AAGATATACTGTTTTTTTTAAAAAAAGAATTAAAATACGTTTCTAACCTCTAACCTCGAAGCTACGTATAGAATATACTTAGTATACTTAGTTACTCTATTTACTCTACTACTTAGTTAGAGTATAGGTCTCGACTAAGTAGTCGAGGCGGCCGAGTTACGTAGTACTTAGTTACTAAGCTATATACGGTTCCTAGCGCGTAAGAACTATAATAACTATAGATAATCTTACTAGTAGTAGTAATACTATAAATTTAAAAAGAATACTAAAATACTTTATAGCTATAAACTTTATCTATAAACTAGATACTAATATCTAGAGCTTAATACGGCTTAGTACTATAATAATCTAACTTTAAGTATTTACTTATATCGACTTTATTAGAGACGGATCGTAACTCGCTTTTACTAGCCTATTTACGTTCTTTAGAGATATAAAGTATTATAACCTAAGTAATATAATAGTATATAGAAATAATACTTTTTAGTATTAACCTCGATAGGATCTAGATTTATTAATAGGAATCTTATTAAAATAGTAATTAGTAGCGTATTATTAGATATAGTAAAATATACTTTAAGTAGCTAGCTAAACGACCTCGAGAGTAATAGACGTTCTAGGATCTTATAAACGGTATTATATTTTAGCCTAGGTTCTAGACCGATATCTATCCTATCGAGACTATTTTCTTAAGTAGTAATCTAGAATATACTTTAGTCGTCGACGTTAGTAAAATTCGTAGGCGTACTCCTATAGGTATAATAGCTAACGTAAATAGGCGGAGTAGAGAGGCGAGATATACAGATATTCGTCTAGCGGTTTCCTAAGGCCTCTAGGCGAATTATCTTGCAAGACTAGGAAGCCGTGATCAAGACGGTTCCCTATCTCCGCTGCGAAGGCGTCCTTCCCATGACCCATGACTTCTTCACAGAACAGCCGATCAAAGGTCTAACAGCCGACGTGAACCATTCTTCGCAGACACCGGCTGACTGTTTCAAAGGCGCTCGCATCTACTACATCCACCGAGTACTGCACGACTGGTATGTAGTTCTTCGGTCAGCCAGGACCTGCTTGCTAATTTCGAGAGTGTAGGCCAGAAGATAAGGCACGAGAGATCCTCTTGAACTTGAAGCCAGCTTTTGCTCAAGGGCACAGTCGGCTGGTCGTCAACGAAGTAGTCTTGCCTCCAAGTGGAGCAACATCCGACCAGACGAGCCTCGATCTCACGATGATGGCTCTCGTGTCCGGCGAAGAGCGCTCGGAAAAGGCGTGGAGCGACTTGATAGAGTTTTGCGGCTTCCGCATCTAAGGAATCTATCACAGCCTGGCGTCCAAAGAGGCCGTCATAGAAGCCGAGCTGGCATGAATCGGCACCCAAAAGTGGGAGGCCTGTCGTTGTAACTGAGGAGTGGAAACCAATCTTACTCCATGCATCCATTGAACAAAGAGGTCAGATCGATTTGCCGTTGCCTCTGTAGCTTGCTCAACTTCACAGGTTCCACGTGAGGAAGGGAGGGCAATGCGGGTTGGGAGATGCTCTTCAGCTTTGGTTTCGACATTCCTCTTTCTCACAACGTTAACGGGCCGGCGAGGGCATGTTCCACCAGAGGCGTGGTGTGCGTTCTGCTGCGAGATCCTCCCGAGCACAGTTAGTTTTGTTCATATCCCGGAAGCCTTGTGCAGCTGTAATGCCTCGTGCGTGAGGACTACAGTATCCAAGGCCACGTCATCCTGCATCGCCAGCTTCTAGCTCTCGTTGTGGTGTTGACAAGAACTCAAAGCTTTCGACTTTGGTCGGGAAACTGGAGAGAACGCATCGAAACAACCCATATTCTCGTCATGCCCGAGACCAGTCTCGTGAAAAGACCGCGGTGAAGTTTCGGTGGACCTGCCGGTGACGTGCAGCGGATATGGAGAGCACCGGACTGTGGTTTGTACATCCGGTGCTCTATATCCGCTTGACGACTGCCTCATGTCTGGTATTATAGCAATCGAACGCCTGCTTAGGGTGCTCGTCACATTCCAGCACCTGTAACAACCATGTCGAGCGAGAAGCAAGATTCAGAGGCAGCGACCTCCCACCGTATCACTCTCGAAATCCTGGACACTATACTAAACGATTTTGGAGTATCCAGGGCCAATGGAAGGTCCACTGTTGAGCTTCGAGGAGCACTTCCAAACATCGAGCAGACCAAGTCCCAGCATATCAACATGTCACTGATAGGGGCCGTTCCGTCACTGGCAAATGCAATCGTAGCGACGCAGATCTTCGAGGCCCGCGGAGGAGATCCTCAAACCATCGCCATTGAGCTGCAAAGATCTCACAACTATCTCGACCCAGACATTGGCATGACGCCCACAATCAATGGACAGGTGATCAACGTCCTCGAACCATTGAGATTGTATGCTGAAACTCCATAATGCAGGAAATCACACTAGATCTGATAGCTGGCAACCCCTTTCTTTTCTCGATTTATCAAACTGCAGACGGACGACACGCTATACCTTCTGCAGTTTATGTTGACCTGGTATATCGCTGGAGCACTTTCCTCCAGTGCTCTGTCAATCAAGTTGATGTTGCAGCTGCAATTCGCACGTGGAAGGCTGCAGGTCAGTATCAGTTCAATATCATCAAGACAAGGCTTTGCTGATCGGACCAGATCTCGAAGAAGCGGCAGAAAAGGCCGGTATGCCATTCGCACTCGTACAGAGCGAGGAGACATGGAACAATACCGAGCAAGGACAGCATCTATCAAGACTTCCGATTGTGCCAGTTAAGAAGGTCACCTCTGCACCACCGAAACCACTTTCTCCCAATCCGAAACGTCCTCTCGAAGGCATAAAACTCCTGTGCCTCACACATGCCATTGCAGGACCCAGTTCTGGGAGAACTCTGGCTGAGTACGGGGCTTCTGTCTTGCAAATAATGTACACTCATGGCTACGAGCACCCGTTCGTGTATACCTATGCGAACCTGGGCTGCGCATCCTCAAGGCTGGATCTAAACAAGAGCAGTGATCGGGAACATATGTGGGAGCTCGTTCGCGACGCAGATGTATGGGTCGACTCGTACCGCGGCGGAGCGTTGAGTAAGTTTGGTTTCACTGATGAGGACCTGCACCAAGCGAATCCCAGCCTGATCGTCTCACACGTCCGCCTGTACGGTGAGAGTGGTCCATGGGCAACCAAACCCGGCTTTGACATGCAAGGCTCAGCGTCTTCTGGCATGATGGCGCTGTGTGGCGGTGGACTGAGCACCCCAGTCTGGCCGCCTGGGCAAGTCATCAACGACTACACGACTGGGTACTACGGCGCCCTGGCCATTCAAGCGACTCTTCTCCGACGCATGAATGAAGGCGGTGGATATCTCCTCAGCCCATCACTGACTGGCACGGCCATGTCAATCGTGAAATACTACAAAACAGATAACTTCCCAGACCTAAAGCACAACAGGACCGAGAAGCTGCCACCGCGTGAACTCCAAGGAGCTACAGCACTCGGCTTCTTGAAAACACTGCAGCCGCTGCCGCTCCTCAGCAAGACACCTCTCGAGTACGGTCAGCTCTTACTCTCACCCATGGGATCAGACCTGCCAATCTTTCCAGGCAGTAGAGACTCCTACAAGATCGATAGGGTCATGGCCAATCTGAAGGAAGACGTAGTGCGTTCATTCACCACATCTGTAACGAAGAAGACAGAAGATCTGAAGCGTATTGCTGCTGCACATCACGCGGAGGAAAAATCCCGGACAGCCCATAGACTTTGATAATACAAGCTTAGTGGAGAGCATTTGACAGACATTTGATGATGATAAGTTGGTGTCAAAGTGTAACGCAACTCCAATCTTGGTCCCTCGCAGAAAGGAGCAAAACAGCCGCCTGTTCACGCCGTGCTGTCCCTGGTTGCCGATAATCTTCAGGAATCCGACAACCGCTTCCGATGCATATTCAGGTTACAATAAGAGTTGGCTACATATACCCTTTCTTGTATGACTTCTGCCTTTCACTTTCGCTTCTCCCTGGTCTTGATATGTTCTTCGTAGGCTGGATCCGACAACATTAGCTCCAGATGACCCTTCTTCTGCTCTACTCTCGACATGTTCCAAATTTCCTCTGCGATATTCCTCGCATTGGTGACCTTCGAGTCATCAGAGACACTTCCACCGATGATGATTATGCCAACATGCACGCCCTTGGGCTCGAACTCCTTGTGGAGAGAATGGACCAGGCTGTATTGACCCGCTTTACATGAAGCCAGTGAAAACATCGCTGGGAAGGGATCTTTGGCCAGCATTCCGCTCGTCGTCAACAAAGCAGGTGTCTTGTCCCCGGAAGCGGCAGACTCTTCAAGCTTTGGCACAGCCCATTGGGCAACAGCATACAATCCGATGATGGCGATCTGTTGCGGCACAAATGTCAGTGACCTCTTGCTCATACAGTGAAATATCCATCAACCATACTTTAAGGTCAGTCTCCAGTTCTTGCGGGGAGAAATCAAAGAATTTGCTCGGAGCAGTCCGGGCTGCGTTAAACAAAACAGTCTCCAGCGGCGTGTCCCCCAGCGCAGCGTCTACTTTCTTGAGGCTTTCTTGAACCTGCTCCGGGTTTCCAATGTCGACTGAAATCTCATCCACGCCGGTCTTCAAATTCGCGGAACGTACGACATCGGCGTCTTGTTTGAGGCGTTCGGCATTTCTGGACATGACAATGACCTTCTCATATCCTCGCTCTGCGAACACAGCTGCAACGCTGCGACCAACTCCGGGGCCAGATCCAAAGACGACCAGAGCTCCGTGCGTAGAAGGCATCGCTATGGTTGTGCTGCTCGTTGCGAACTGGTGGTTTCGGTATGTTTCTTCAACTGGAGTAGCCGACCTGATGCTCAAGACATTAAGCATACAGCAGCGATGAAGGCGCTTTATTTCTTGCCTCCTCAAGTGACGACGGTCAATGACGTTGCAACGGTGCGGATGTAGGAAGGCGGATGTAGAAAGGCGGATATAGCCCTCTGGTAGCTCAGAAGTTTGATGAGCAAGATCGGCCACGGTCCACGGGCTCGCCCATAAGAGATCTCGAAGGCATCGAAAGCTCACAGTCTGGAACTATCTGAACCTCGGGATCGATTGCTGGGTTAGGAATGTGCCCCGGAGTTGGTAGGAGTCAACACCAAAATCTGAGGGTTAACCAAGAGCAGCCTCATCACCTCGCCACTAATCAGCTCATTGCTGCACAACATTTGCAGCTTCATTACCGGAGCTTCGGAAGGACTCATACGTCTCCAGGCCACGTGGCGGGTATCTCAGAGAACTCCACATTGCCCCACAGACCGAAGAGGGTCTGATCCTCAATGGTCCCCATGCCAGACCCGGCAATTCCATCAGCAGAGCCAGGCTCGAATACCGCAGGCCAAGGCCCAGTCGCAAGAAAAGCCTCGATGTCTGCGCACGAGATGTCACCAATGCTGGTGTTTCCTGCGACTGCTTGCTGAGGGTGACTGAGTGTTTCCAGGAACTCCTCGCTCGAACCCGGTAGCAACGCCTGCATGTGTTTGTGGAGGTTGAATTCCGCGAGACCAGAGATGTCGACGATGGTTTGCACCGCTTCATGAAGCTTCTCTCCCCACCTCCAGCGAGGGTATTCCAATAGTAAACGTGCCATTGCCATGAAACGAGATGCTTCGGCATGAACCATCTCGCCATGCCAGTAGGCGAAGATAACGACGAACGCCGATAGCATGATCCTGCGAACTTGTCTCCAAGTCACAGCGAGTTGAGATGCAACAGGAGATGAGAGCGTTTCGGGATCGTAGTCCTCTCCACCCTGTCGTCTTGAGAGCATGCGCAGGACTGGCTGGTAGAGCCCAAGGTACGTGGCCAGCACACTTTGAGCGGCATGCAAGCACACACACATCGACGGCAGCCAGGACGCCTGCTGGGACAGGCCTGGTGCACGAAGTCTCATTCGGCAGCTGGTATCATCTGTAAGCAAAATATGGATCATTCAAGATGGCGGGTGAGGCTCACCACATCATGTGAATTCGGGCAAGCGGCTCATACGCCGTCCTGAAAGAGCCAGACATCGGTCGCGCCGGGGTCATTTGCCTCGAGCAGGAATCGCTGATTTTCGACTCGAGTTCGACAATCTGGCCCTCTTCGGGAGGACCATGGCGAAAGGAATGTTCGATAAGATAGCCATTGATGGTGATGAGATCTACGAGGGTGCGAAGCTGCGGCTCTGCTGTGCTGAGAGGAACGAAGAGGTTCTCGTCGAGCTTGGAAGTGTGTATGATCGGCTCGGTATTGTGCGTTAGAGAGCAGTACCTCCACATGTCATCAGTAGCATATGCATGTCCAATATGGATGACTTACTGGTCGGCCATGTATATCAGCAAGTACAGCTGCAGACCTTGGAGCCCGTGGGAATTTTCGTGCAGTCCAAGCCCGTTGGCGATCTGCACTGCTTGTGCCATAATCCCCTGGGCGTAGTTTGACGTCCCTAAACGCAGTGCAAAGACATGTTGCAGGAAGTATGTAAGGCAAAGGTCAAGAGTCGGCTGACCTACAAAGTGCTTGACCAGCTCGGTGGAAATGCCAAAGTAGAATCGTCCTTGTCCAAATTCGCCGCTGGCCACTGCTCCTAGCGCAAGAGCGGCGAATACCAGTCCGATGCAGTCGCAGGGAAGTCTATGAGTCGTGACGATTCCGGAGGCATTAGAAGGCGTCAAGCTCCGCAGATATTCCTGGTAAGCACGAATCGTGGCATGTATACCGTCTATGTCGACCAGCCTAGTATCTTGAAAACCCATGAACTTTCGGAATGACTTCAATAGACTCCAGGTCGGAGCCAGGCTCAAAGGTGGTGGAGCGTTGGCATCAGCCTGCGCGAGGAGTGAAGCTGAACCGGTTGCTATTCCGCCGCCAGGTCTGCACGAAGGCGGTTCAACGAGTGCGCAGTTTAAAGCGTAGCCTACAGCCAGCGGTGTCAGCCATTCATGGTCGGAGTCATCCAGCAATATGTGCTGATGATTTTCATACCCTCCCGACTCCGTAACAGATCTTCAACAAGCCCACTAAGAATCTCATACGGATCGCCTTGCACTGGTCGCCGTCCAGACGATTTAAACCCAGTCAATCTCTGTGGCAAGGGCGGTTCACCATCTGCACTCGGCGCAGCCTGCCTTCGGCCTTGTTTCGCTGATGCAGGACGCTGTTGCTGGCGGCGTTGCGGCCTGGCCTTGTCGCGCACATCACACGCCACGCCCGCCTGCAAGCATTGTCGGCATGGATACGGCGGCTCGCAGCGTCTGCGTGTCTGTCTGCAGCGCTCGCAAGCCCGGGGCGTGCGTTTTGTAGTGGTTGTCATACCTGCTGCGGCCAATCTTGCTCGTTACCTGCGCTCATAAAGGTTCCGCGCCCGTGTCGATCCCCAAACGGTCAACAAAGATGGCGATTTGCCAACGTAAGCAGCAACACGTGATCGGATTGCCGGGTTCCTTCGGAAGATTGAACGAGGCTGGGTGATCCACATAGGCTAGCGGCTCGTCCACGAATTTGTCGCTTGGCTCACCATCGAAAGAATACCATCAAAAGATCTTCAACTGCATCTCAAGGCCCATGAGGATTATGGTATGGCATTGTACAGAATACATTTCTCTTGATCTATGGCTTTCTCGATGGTGCATCGCCCTGTCCAGGGTATCTGAAAGCATATCGACTGTTTCCACGCACTTTCATCCCATACCAGCGAAATATGAATGGAAACGGCATCAAAACAACGGTAAGGAAGCCGAGCAGCCTTGTCGCCCAAGGCGTACCCAAGTTGCGATACATCGCTGGTGCGAAGAGGGGAAAAGCAAACCCAAACCAGGACCTCACGAACGAGTTCGCCGACAGTGCTGCGTTGGCCAAGAGAAGATGTCTCGATAATATATCCCAGTCCAGGAGCGAAGATCAAAAGTATGCCAATACCCATCGGTACTGTGGAGATGATTTGCGGAGCAGGGTTGATGTGTGGTGAACAAGTACCCGAAAACCAGAAGAGCCCGACTGGAAGCAGAATAGCACCGAGCATCATTGGTATGAGCTGATCCTCCGGCCCCCGTTTGGGTATTCGCAATAGCTTCATGAGAGTGGGCGAGTATACCAGAAGCAGACAGGCTATGATGAAGCCTCCAAGCAATCCGAGAAATGGTAGAGATGCCACGCCAGCGGACCAGCCACGTTCTACCTGAAAAGATATCGGAAATGCCTCGAGCGTCAGGTACAGTATGCCGTACACAAGCGAAAGATATACAGTTAGAATTGCCAGAATGGGCTCCACTGCGAGCATGTGTAAAGGGGTCTTCATGTATTTGGCCATGAAGTCGTTGAAGGTGAGTGCTTGAGGCTGCGAACTGGTGACTTCCTGGTTGACAGAATCGGCAGAGCCAAGCAGCTTGCGAGTGTGTCTCTTTTTCAGCACCGGCTGGTAGGTCTCGGGAATCACGAAGTACGCAAGTGCCACTGAAGGGCCAGTCACGATGAGGACAATCCACGCTGTCCATCGCCAGCCAAGATGCGATTCGGTGATGAAGGCGCCGACAACGGGACCCAAGGCTGGGCCAAAGAACACGTTGCCTAGGAAAAGGATGGTGGACAAGCGTCGAGTTGCTGGATCCAGAATGTCGACAGCTATGCCTGGACTTTTTGTCAGGACGGGTCGAAGGGCATGTCTGAAATGAACATACCTGCAGGCAGTGCAAACATAGCCGATCCAAATGTCCCAGCAAGGAAGCGACTGATCAGAATCGTCTGTACATTCTGTGCCACTCCGACAGGGATCTGAAAGATACAGAAACACAGCATCGCTGCCCACATTGGCCTCGTTCTCCCAAATGCATCACCAAGAGGTGCCCAGATCAGCGGACCTACGAACAAGGTTAAGCAGGCAGCGGATCGATGTTGGCTTGTGTCACCTACCAAAAGCATAGCCCAGCACGTACAGGGAGACCCCCAAGATCATGACCACATCACTGACGTGGAACCTTTCTGCCGTCACGAATATGGCTGCCGAGTATACACTGCTTGCGAAAGAGACACACAGCGTCAGCCAAGACTTCATGACGCAGATAGCCCATTTCCTAGTCATGGAGAAGTTGACTGGATTTCGAGGATCTGACTTCCATTCAACATGCGGTCGGAACTCGTTATTCCCCTCGGGGCCGGTTTTCTCTTGAGCCTCAAGCCATGAGGGCGGCGATGGCTCCACCGTCGCAGTGGACGCTGTCGTGCTGGTGGCTGTGATCTCCTTGCTGTTGTCCATGACGAACAAACAAACGGGAGGTTGACCGGCGTAAGGGAATGTGTGAACTTGTTCGAGGCAACAATGTCGGTATGAGATGCACACGAAGACTTCGCATCAACACCAGACGGCTCATCACCGAGATTTGAGGATCAGCTCATGATAAGGAGCGGCAACAGTGATTTGTGACCCACTGTTGGTGACGTATTCGCATTTTCTGCGCTTGTCAACTTTTGTGTTGAGAGGCACCGCAGCTCCAGATCCGGTGCAGAATGCGAGGCTTACGACCTTGACCGATATCTCAGCCTTGCCTGAAGAATCTGTTGGTGGTTGCCACATCTGTCGCTCGGGACCGGTCGATGCAGTGGTCCAGCTTATTTGCGCCCGTTTTCCGACATCCCGTCTTCCACTGCCAAGGGCTGTAAGCCGATATCAAGGACTCCTGCACATCAACGTTAGTCGCCGTCGCCTACACTTCACGAGCAATGGCTCCTACAGTCACAGCCGATATGATCATCTACCTGCTGGCCTGGTCTTGTGTTGCCCTGCTCTTGGCCCTGGGATGCTGCGGGAATACCTCCAAGCCATCCAGATTGCCACAATGGACAAGGCTTGGGTTTCGAATGCTCTACCGGTCTTATCCACATTTACAATCCGGCTCATATCTTCAGCTGGCTTGGTCACGCTTCAAGGAAACCGGACACACGTTTACATTCTACCAGCTAGGGACCGAGAAGATCCTCACAATTGATCCCGAAAACATCAAAGCGGTGCTGTCAACCCAATTCAGTGACTTTGCTCTTGGTAATGAAAGGGCGGAGCATTTTGAGCCTTTTATCGGACATGGCATCTTCACCGCCGACGGCGAGGCATGGCAGCGCTCAAGACAGCTCGTGAGACCTTGCTTCCGAACCGACGACTTGAGTGGTTTGGCTAGGTTTGAAGAGCACGTCGTCAATCTCCTCGTGGGCCTTCCCAGGGATAGGGAAGCCAAAGTCGATCTTCAAGAACTCTTTCTACATCTGACCATCGACATCGCGAGCGAGTTTCTCCTTGGCCAATCGAAATCCCTCCTAAAAGGAAAAAACATCGAGCAAGGAAAGTCATTCGCCACAGCCTTTCGACGCTCGCAGGAAGCCATGTTGCGCTACTTTGCTCTCGGTCGTCTTTCAGACTTGGTGCCGCGCTCCAAGCAAGAAATCGAAGACAAGGCAGTCATGAGAGAATTCGTGACCCCGTTCGTTACGAGAGCTATGGAAGCCAAGAATGATCGTTCTGCTTCGAATCTCGATGATCTTCCAGCTCCTGCCTATACCTTTGCGTCCAGGCTGGCTGAAACCACGACAGACTTCGATGCTATTTCAGGTAATCTGCTGAACATCCTACTCGCAGGACGAGATACGACAGCAAGTCTGCTTAGCAGCATGTTCTTCGTCTTGTCTAGGAATCCGAACATTTGCGAGCGGCTGAAAATGGAGGTGTCCGAAACAGTCGATGTCAATTGTGGACTGCCGACTCTGGAACAGCTCAGATCCATGCCATATCTCAAGGCGTGCATCAATGAATGCCTGAGACTGTATCCGCCGGTTCCTCGCAACTCTCGTACTGCTGTGCGGGACACAACCTTGCCAAGAGGTGGTGGACCGGATGGTACACAGCCTCTAGGCGTTCCCAAAGGCACTCAGGTCGGCTATCAGATCTTCTCGATGCATCGAAGAAGGGACATCTTCGGGGAGGATGCAGAGGACTTTATCCCGGAACGATGGATCAACCGCAGCCTTCGTCCTGGCTGGGGTTATCTACCATTCAATGGAGGCCCAAGAATCTGTCTCGGTCAACAGTTCGCCATAAACCAAGCATCCTACGTCACGGTGCGACTGTTGCAACACTTTGAAAGCCTGCATGCGGCTGACGAGAAACCTTGGACGGAAGATCTCGGTCTGAGTTGCTCCCTCAAACATGGCGTTCGTGTCTTTGTCAGGGTCAAAAGCGAAGCCAATCTGCAGAAGGATGCGAGATGTGGATAAGTAAGTTGTTGGTGCATGTGAAAAGCAGCGAATAGAGCATAAGACAGTTACGCACGACAACGTGCAACAAGCCGGATTCATTCTCAGCCCGAGGCCACGTATAGCCCAAATAGTGTCAAAAGCCGAATATTTCATGGGCATCATTTGTCAGTTGCCTAGCTCATGTGGTACTACTGCGGCCGTATGGATAGATGAGAGAAGCTGATGGAGCCAAGATAGGTTACGGGGAGAGAATGGCAACAGCAGCCTTTACGAGCATATCCCGAGAGCAAGGTGAAGAAGAGCGCATACATACACTGCTTTCGGTAGCGGAACGGACGTTGATTCTTGCATGAAGATTGGATTCACGCTCGGAAATCAGTGATGGCGCCATTCCTGGGACCCCTTGATAACCCTTGACGACGGTACAGCTCCAAGGAAGGAGGATTCGAACATGCGGATCCGAGTGAGCAACGTTGGTCCTTCGTTCAACGGATTGAGAAGGCTTCTGGTACAGTTGTGGTGGATGTTTCTGAGTACTGTATCAGGAGTATTCTGCGAGCTGATGGACACAAGAGAAGAGGCGTTGGGGCTGACCTTTTGACCATGGATTGGATATGTCCGCTCGACTGCCACTCGACTTCATCAACTACTTAACAATAATATGAACCACGGTTACTATCCACTCCTGATTCTCTGTTTGATCGCGTCCTGCCTCGCCGTATATCGCAGGGCTGGCTTGAAGCGGTCAGAATCCAAACTACCTCATCCTGAGCAAGGCCCTCTGTCTCAACGATTCCTGGTTGAGCCATCTCCACCACAATTAGAGGCGTGGGCTCGAGAGATCCCACATGATGGGCTGCTGGAGTACTATGGAATCCTCGGCCAGAAAAGGATCCTTGTCACAGATCCACGAGCGATCCATGACATACGCCTACAGCTACGTCAAGTCACCAGCGGTTTCCAAACTGCTGAAGTCCGTGTTGGGAGAAGGCTTGGTAGTTGCTGAAGGAGATCAGCATCGGGTACGTATGCTACTATTCATGGACAGGCGCATCGCTCCAAGTTCCTGACGTGCTTCAGGTGCAAAGAAAGATTCTACAGCCGGCTTTCAAGCTTCCATCTGTCAAAGAGCTGTATCCGTTGTTCTGGAGAAAGACCAAGGAGTTGGCCCGCAAACTGCAGGATGCTGCCGAGGACAAAAACACCGTCGATGTCCTTGATTACAACAACCGAGTGACTCTAGACATCGTAGCAGCCGGCGGGTTTGGCATGGACATTGGAAGCCTTTCGAATCCGAAAACTCCGTTCTATACAGAGTACATGAAAGGATTCCTTCCCAGCAAGCACGCACAGGTATACCGACTGCTGGCTTTGATCTTCCCCGAGTGGATACTTGATACCCTGCCGCTCAAACGCAACCAAGAACTCCGAGGTGCAGTCCGAGCGGTAGGAAGTCGTATCCGGGAGAAGGTCGCTGATCTCGACGAAAAGTCATCGCTCGGCGGTCAAAGTCGCAACGACATCATGGATGTAGTCAGACGAGATGGCAACGAGTTCGACACGGACATGTTGGTCAATCAATGCTTGACGTTCCTAGGTGCTGGGCACGACACGATTGCTCAGTCGTTGAACTGGGCCATATACGAGTTGAGCGTAAACAAAAACGTCCAGGAGCGACTGAGGCAAGAAGTGAAAACGCATGTACCTGAACCAGTCGAAACTTCAGAACCAGACGCCGACGCTCTTGCGTGTGTCGATAACATGCCGTATCTTGCGGCAGTATGCAATGAAATTATACGTCTGCATCCCCCGATCCACCATTTGCACCGGCAAGCGGTCCATCCGGTCAATCTCTGCGGCCATGAGCTCCCCAAAGGCTCGAAATTCATCATCTCGATTGGTACCATGAACCGATCACCTGAACTTTGGAGCACGGATCCGTCGACGTTTGATCCTGATCGGTGGGTCGCAGATCCAAATGGCGGAATGAAGGACAGACAGGCGTTCTTGTCATTCAGCCAAGGCCCAAGATCATGTATTGGGGAACGGTTTGCGAGAGCGGAGATGGCGTTCATCATCGCGGGCCTCGTCCAGAGTTTTGACATCGACTTCGCTGGAACTGGCGAAGATGGTCAGTACGATGAAGTGAAGCTCGAATACGGAACGACGACGAGGTTTGAAAGCGGCCTATTCGTTCGTCTCAAGCGCTTGCAATAAGAACTGGCAGACTTGCCGGCTAGATGCAGACGGGACGCACAGTCGGTGCTTCCACGGGAAGAGATGGGTTCGCATGCCTACAACCTTGCATGGCACCCACGAGAAAGTCGTCAACAGCGGCCTTGTAGCTGGCACCGCAGTTGGGATCGCTGTCGAGAGAAATCAGCACTCATACTCTCCTCACTTTGCAGTAGATATCGCTCACTTCGGGTCTTTTCCAACACCGCCGAACCACGAGCAGATGTCGTGCGAGAAGCACTGCTGTGTGTACACGCTGCCCACAGATATGCCGTTGCATCCTATTCCACAGCGGCCTATGCAACCATAACTGTAGTTCCAGTCAGTACTGTCCCCCGAAAGATGTGTGTATAGTGAAATCTCGCTCACTCTCCATGTTTTCCATATTTTCCATCCTTTGCGCCGAAGTTACTCCCAACGACTCCTGTCCATGTGCACTTCTTTCCCTCTGAATTCGTCCAGGTTGCTGTGGCATTTGTGCCGACGTCGAGACATTCGACCGACCGCGTTGGGAAAGGCGAGGCTATCGTGGGGACTAGCAACACGCAGCAGGCCAGCAGGGCGGCGAGGGTAGGCGAAGGCATTGCTGCGCGGTGAAGCGGCGGTGGCAGTGATACAACTGCGGTGACATTTAAGGTCCGAGGGTCAAGAAGGAGGAGAATCACAAGCTTGCGGAGAGCCAAATGATTGTCGGGATGGTGTGGGCTTGGTCGAAGCAAATATCATTACTCCAGCCAACGACGTGGCTTCGAATAATAGCTTGCATGTGGCAAGATTTGTCTACCGAAAGTTACCACGTAGATCCCCTACTCAAATTCGGCTCATGACAACAACAAAAGCGCATCCCCTGCCAAGATATATTAACGTGGTTTCTCGACGAATGGCACACAGAAATACTTATGAAGTTCTGCGGTTCTTCTTCGTTATAATCACGGCTCGAAAACGACCGCCTTCCCCAGCCCAGTCCACGCGGCAGCCTCGTCCAATGCAGCTGCGTGCTCCTCCAACCCAAAAGACTTCACCTCAGCCAAAGCTTCACCTTTCGGGAACAGGCCCCGCTCCATCATTCTCACAAACTGGATCATGTCGTCCCTCGAGTACATGAGCTTGCCTTTCAACATGATGTCCTTGCCGATAATCTGCCACCTGATCTTGGGCGAAGAGGTAACGTCTGCGAGACCCATCAAGCTGACTCGACCTGCGTACTTGAGTGCAGCGACTGCGCTTTTTGTGTGAGTAGATTGGGCTGCATCGACCGGTTTCAGATCGAGGATGGCATCGATGGTGCCGCCGAGTTGTTGGAGGGAAGCTGTGTCTGCTGCTTCATCGCCAGTGATCTTGATTGTCTCAATGCCAGCGCTATAAGGCATGGTGCTCTCGATCGTTTCCTTGATTCTTTTCAACTCCACTTCATTCCGTCCCATCGCAACAACTCTGGCACCCATTGCAGCGGCGACATGGACGCCAGCTCCGCCAAAGCCACCAGTCGCAGGGCAAATCACCACAGTCTGGCCTGGCTCGAGCCCAACATCGCGCAGGCCACCGTACGCCACTAGCATGTGCGAGATGTACATGAGCTGGGCGTAAGAGTATCCCAGCTCCCTGCAAAGCCTCTCCTCGTTCAATGAGATGCAATTCTCCAGCGGAACTCTCTGATACTCGGCGAAAGCACCATCTCGCCAAACCTCACTCATCAATTTCTTACTTCCGTCGCTCAGTCCGTCATTGATGGCGGAGAGGAAAAGATCTGCGGGATTGTCGCGGCTCCGAGTGACACAGTCCACAACCACGAGCTGGCCAGGTGAGAGTGCTGTGGAATCGGGGCCTACGGCGGCGATTTTTCCTACGCAGCTTGATCCTGGGATAAGTGGTTTCGGGAAGGCGTAGTTTCGTTGGCCGTTGTAGATCTCGCGGTGGTAGGAGATGATGTCTGCCGCGAGAACCTTGACAATGGCGCTGCCATGGAATGGCTGTGGCGTTGGTAACGTCTTGACGACGATTGGTTGATCGATGCTCTCTACAAAGAGGGCCTTGTGCTCAGCGGGAAGGCTGGAGGTCATGGTGATCGTTCGGGTTAAACAGTTTCTGTGTCCCTGCTATCATAGTTACTGCTCGTGGCCTCATTTTATCCTCATCACACCATGGACGTATGGGCAAACAGCCACAACGGAGAGAACGGACATACCGGCCATAGCCGTCATTAAGACAAGACTTTAAGATGCTATGTTCGAGCTTTTCCTATTCATGGTAGCCAAGTGCGTAGAGGGCGTTGTATGTCGGCTAAGTCGGGGACTTTCGCACGAGCCGAAGCAATCGTAGGCTTGGAATTGAGATTGAGTGCTAATGGTAGCTACGAATCTCTTGCGGCGTCAGATATGATATTATTACTGTAGCAGCTGTCAGCACCTCACTCAAGAAGTGATTGGTAGTTCTGACCTCTTCCTCATCACCGCCGAACAGAGATCCATCACCCATCACCCATTGCTTGTCACGCCACCTTTGCCATTCAATCACACGCCCCGAGCTCATTCAAAACTTGTTGCATTCTTGCTCTTCTTCCTCGCCCAAGCACCCACACCGAAATAAAAGAAGAAAGGCACTGGCGCCATCACTGCGCTCAAACAACCGAGTAAAGTCAGGGTCCAGTGAACACCGAGATTGGTGTACATGGGCAGCGAGACGATAACCATCGGCCCGCTCTACGAGATAGTCAGTTGGATTGTGCAGACGAATGTGTCAACCAGACACTTACCGCACAGTATCTCAGCAATGTCATGCCGACCAGAGCACTGGCCGCCATGGTCTCGTACGTATCGATGATGTACTGGTAGCACGAGATGAAGATGCCCATGACGGAGAAGCCAAATCGGACGGAAGCGATAAGTGGAGACCAGAAGCTAACACTCAGCCAAGATGTCCAGCCCAGCCAGAAGAGGCTGATGGGGAGACATGGCCCGGCGATCATGGCGTGCAACAGCCTCTCCTCCGGCACAACCTTGTCCTTGCCTCGCTCTTCTTCCTGTTGCATCTTTCTCTTGAAGCGGCGGTAGATGGGAAATATAGGAATTAAAGCGAGGAGGAAGCCGACGTTCATCGGTATGAAGCATAAGCCGGTGTGGTTTTGGCCGAAGCCGTAAATCCCTTCCTCGCCGAAGATGAACTGGAATCCGGGAAGGAAGCCAAAGAGTATGATGTACAGGATGATGAGGTACAGTGCAAAGAGATCTGTGATGGGCTCCGTAAAGAGGAACTTGATCGGAATGTAGATGCTGCGGAGAAGGCGAGTACCGAACGGCGGGCTGTGCCTTTCCTTGTCGGTCATGTATTGGTCGTCGCCGCTGATTTTTCGAAGCTGGCTGGCTTTCCAACTCTGGATTACGGGAGCATAGGTTTCAGGAGCGAAGAAGAGGATGCCGGCGACGAGCGCTCCGGTGAAGATCAGGGTAAGCCATTCTATTAATTCTCATTAGCAGGATTCATTCAGAGCCGTGATATATGGCGTACCTGTCCATTGCCAACTGACCAGTGGGCTTGGCCCGACAAAATCCGCAACCATGGGTGCTAAGAAAGGGCCCAGAAAGCTCAAACAAGCCAGTACTGGAAAGACGTACGTCCTCTCTGTTGGAGTCCACAGATCAGCAGTCGTGCCGCCGAAGTTAGTCAACGGCGGGCAGCCAAAGAGTCCGGCGAAGGAGCGGCACACAAGATACGACTCGATGTCTGTTGCCAGTCCAGCTCCCATGGTAAAGAGACCGAAAATAATGAGACCTGGATGTTGCACGTCAGCCCAATTTTGATTTCAAAGGCAGTATGGCAACACTTACTAATGATGTAGACGGGATTCCTTCCAACCACTTCAGAGAAGGGAGCGCTGATCAAGCTTCCAAGACCAAACGTAACCATGAACAGCGTCGTTCCCAACAACGACACCTCTTGGCCGACCCCAAACTGCTCGACGATCTGAGGTGCGACTTCAGAGTCCACAGCCGACGCCCAAGCGACAACAAAGCCCGCACTGCCGACGATGCCGGTTACTGTCCATTTGTATGTGTATGACCACTTCTTCGGGTTCTCCTTGTCGGAGAGTGCCATCAGATCGAGAGGCGACGCTCCATTGGTTTTCTCGACGTCGTTGTCTTGGGGCGGTGATGGAGCGGGTGAGAGCGAAGACGGCGACAGCGCGGCACCAGAGTCTTTCTCAACACCGTCAGCGTCGACCTTTTCGCCCTCGTCGGGGATGGACTGCGCGCTATCACTGGGCGGTGACCTTCTATTGGCGAAACTCTTTCCTCTCTCGCCGACATTCTGAAGTTGTTGTTGGGCTTCACGCCCAAGTCGTCGATACTGCAAAAGCGACTGCATGGTTGCTCAGGATGGCGTATGGGAAGGGCTGGGAACAATCTCCCACTGCCTTCCACGGTGCTCCATATACATTCGACATCTCGCCGCTACGCTACACTGACGTTGGTGACTTGTCGTATGGGGAAATACTGACGTTGGAAAGTTCACGGCGGCGATATCGCGGAGCCAGCCTGAGTACTATCGGCAGGATCGCGGAGGAAATGCCAAGCCTTGCTGAACTTGAACCTTGGAAGGTGAGTGAAGTTTAGAGTTCGCACGAAGCGTCGGCTGAGCCGGAACAATGTTCGCGGTAGTTTTGAGTCGACCATGACCGCCAGAATCGCGATAGTGAATCCTTCCCAAGGGATGCTAAGTGCTCGGGCTATCATCGATCGGCATCGTGAGCGATTGCAGCTCAGGCTAAGCTCACAGACTCGCTGTGGCAATCGAGACCGTTGCAAAGGCTGCTTCCGCGGTGCAGATAAGGCATCGATGTCAACGGAGCATTTGCACACCAGGACGGTTGGAAGGGGCGATGTACGGTCCGCGGAAGTTGGTTGAGATGCGATGTTCACGGCCAATGTCCAAACAGTAGCAAGGAGTGGTACTTTGGTGGCGGCATTGCAGCATATGGGCCGGTGAGAAGTTGTCTAGATTCAGACCAGCGAGAATGTTACAAACTTGACTGTTGCATTGGTCATGTGGACCTCGACAGGAACAGGTTAAAGCCCATCTTGTGCTCAGATTTGACAAACATGCGTTGAATGACGTTTTCAGCTCAGCAAGACTCGAATCTCATCGCCAGTCCGCGGGAAACACTCTCTCAACCACACCTCCTCGTCGACATCGCCATTGACCTGCTGCTGCCTCACCTCGTCGGCCTGAATGATTAAGGTCTCCAACTCCTCAAAGTCTTCGCAGAAGCGTTCTGCAGCCTGCTCAATTACCCGTCGTCCCAGGACCTTATTCTCAAGTTGGGACAGGAATGCTCGAGCGTCTTCCGTTGCAGTGGGAAGGAACTGATCGAGTTGTTGCGCAATGGAGATGAGCTGGCTGGGATCTTTGTACGACGAGGAGAGGGAGTCGGCTGTTGTGATGGTTTCTACCAAAGGCTTCATGCCGGACTCGTGCAGGAACCATGTGTGTACGGCCTCAATTAATTCGACTTCGTGTCCATCAATCCGTGGCTGAAGTTCATCTGAACGGTCAGCGAAAGAGTACATGCTGAGGGTCTCTTTCGTTGCGAAGAGACAGTTGAGAGCGAAAATGTGGCTATTCGGCGACCTCAGCCGCTTGGTGATGTTCTCACAGCCAGCCAGGAATGGATCCAAGGCTTCCTGCAGGATGGGCTGAAAGCCTTCAATCCGCTGTGCTCTGTTCATGTTCACAATGGAAGTGTCGTAGCTCTTCATGAGCACCTGCAATGTCTCGAGGGCGTTAATGAGGAAGTCTGGGGGAGCCAGATCGTCTGTCGCGATTGAGAGATCTGTGTGGAGACTTGCGACATGATCACGCATCGTGGACCTGAACGCTCGCATGGCAGTGTCAGCCAGCGGACGAAGGGTCTCCAGCAGAGACGAGGCATCGCCAAGTAGATTTGAGAAGAGGCTGATGTAGAAGTTGACCAAGTTGCCGATCTTGTAGGCGAGAGTGGCGTCTTCGTGGCTCTGGATGACTTGTTCGGTGCGCTGTTTCAATTGCCTGAAGACGCCAGCCAGGTCTCTGTCGATGAGTTCGTTCAGTGCCTTGCGCCCATCGAACGGTTGTGATTCGCCCTCATCATCGGTACGAGACCACGGCTCACTCTCGATGCCAGCTGCAATACCCTTGGCAATCTCGTCGCCCTCTGAGATGAAGAGCACCTCAAGTGGTTCCCTCTCGGAGACAGTGGCTGAGTGAGCCCAGGCCAGCATGTCGCTGATGTATCGCAGTGGATCGTGTGCTGATAGCTCGATTGCTTTGCCCATGACGGGATGGTCAGGATCCAATGGAGCGCCCGTCAATGCGGCGTAGAAGTTGTTGGACAGTATGTGCTCTCGGGCCTCAGCAAAGAAGTCCAGACAGTTTTGGAATAGAGTGGGTCTCTCGGCCAGGACACGCAATGCTCTGCGAATTGCGGCGGAGATCTGTGGATTCTCCAAATCGAGAGACTTGAACTCTCGTTGCACCCATCTGTAAAGCTTCTGGAATGCGGCATTGAGTTGGCGAGAGCTCTGTTCGAGGATCTCCAGGCCAAGACGTTGATTCTCCGTTCCTAGCAAAATCTGGCAGTCTTGGTGGATCTTCTTCACCCTCGTCAAGATGCGGAAGAAGTCATCGTTGACGGGCTCCGCTGTTGAGGTCAAGGTAGAGAGATCGGCATCGGATATGACAAAGTGCGTCTTGAAGGCATCGAGCAGCTGCTGTTTGGTTTCGACTTGGCGCTTGTCGGCGAGGATGGTCTTGGCTTCTTCCAGCATAGGTCCAGTCTCGCGTGTCGAGGCCGCAATGTGCTTCCGCATTTCAAGGCAACTGGAGTTGAGATTGGCAATGGCAGCTCCGATACGCTTCAATTGAACGGCGACTTGGCCAAAGTCCTGGACGATCTCGCCGTTGCATTGAATGAGCTCTTCCTGAACATCGAGGCGCAGGTTACGCCTTGTCTCGGCAGAGTTCTGTAGGCCTCTCTCATCCAGCATCGACAAAGCATCTCGGATCTCCAAGTCGGCATATGAAGCGGACAGGACGCCAGTGATCCTGTTTTGGAGGGCATTGGACCTTGCTGCGGCGCCGGCAGTGGGCGTGGCCGGCGAGAGGATTGATGAAGTGCTGCCATTGGCGCCGGAGGAGGGTGTGAAATACGAGTCGGACATGATTTGAACAGAGAGGCTGACGGGGAGGCGGTGGTGATATGCGCCTGACCGCACCTTCCCAATCGAGGGGTAAGCTTTTCACGTGCGAGGAGGAAATGCGGTTCGCCGGTCGGGATGGATGAGTCGATGACTGTACGGGCTGCAGCTGCCTTTTCTCTTTACTCTGCTCCTGCCTCCTCTTCCACCATCCGAACACTTGTTTGCTACTGCTTTGATGGAAATTGATGGGAGGTATTGATGGGGAAGGAGAGAGGTGATGTTGTCGGTCGGAAGCGGGCGAGAGCGTCCCGATTGGAGCCTGAGGCGACCATGAGGTGGCTGTGGCTGTGCAATCGCGGGGCGCTTGACGATGGCAGTGTGACGAGACAGCCAGCCGCCATTAATCAGGTGTTGGCAGATGGTCGCCTGCCCAACTAATCATTTGATTGTTCCTCCGTGAAACTCCATTAACTGCCCATACCACCACCACCCCATCTACCGTCGACGACATCCACCACCACCGCACTCACTTGATCCGAGCCGACCGAACGTCTCCGCGCCTACAACGTCCCACCTCGAACCGCCAACACCACCTCAGAATCGCCCGCCAACTTCCTCTCTCCGCCTCTCCCCCTCCGCTCCGCCGTCGACGACCGCCGCAAGTGGCCCGCCATGGGCAAAAGGTACGTGTGCGCTGCGCCGCGCCTTCTCTTTGTTCACCACCCCCTCCTCCCCGGGAACGAGCGCGGGCGTGGGTCTGTCTTGGGGCAGGCAAACTGGAACTACACTATACTGCACCCCCGGTCTTGCATGCGCTGGCTGTGACGAAATCCGTGTGCCACGCCTCCCCGACCGCCCTCTGAGTCGCACACTCGCCGCCCTCACCACCCCCCAACCTTTCCTGCACCATGACCGACACGCCCCCGGACGAGAAGAAGGTCCACGACGTCGAACCTGACTGCGAAGACCCCACCCCTCCTCCCGACCGCCGCACCAGCATTGCAGACCTGGGCCACCATGCTCGCCCACGCCCATACCACATCCCTCGCTACGTTTCCGAGACATACCCCCAGTTCAAGCAAAAGCAGGAGTTCGCCCTCAAACTCGGCATCAAGGACTTCGAGGAGAAGATGGGGAAATGCACCGGATTGTCGCATTTGGAATTGACGGACCTTCAGCTAACGGTGCATTACAACCACAGCCAGAGCAAGCTGTCGCAGCAAGAGCTCGCCGATCTGCAAAAGGCCACACATTTCGACAAGAAAGAGCTGCAGCAATGGTATAAGGGTAAGGCAGTCAGCACAGGGTTGTCGCAACAGCAAGAACATACTGATACGAGAGGACAGGCTTCCTGAAGGACTGCCCCAGCGGCATGCTCACCAAATCCGAGTTCCAAAAGATCTACAAACAGTTCTTCCCCTTCGGCGATCCGTCATCCTTCGCCGACTACGTCTTCAACGTCTTCGACGCCGACAAGAGCGGGAGCATAGATTTCAAAGAGTTCATATGCGCATTGTCTGTCACGAGCAGAGGCAAGATGGAGGACAAGCTGGACTGGGCCTTCCAACTCTACGATATCGATGGCGACGGCAAGATCAGCTACGATGAGATGCTGTCCATCGTGGAGGCGATATACAAGATGGTGGGAAGCATGGTCAAGCTGCCTGAGGATGAGGATACCCCAGAGAAGAGAGTCAAGAAGATCTTCCGCATGATGGACAAAGATGAGAACGGGAGCTTGGACATGGCGGAATTCAAGGTGAGAGAGGCCGGTACAATATCCGCTTGGGGGTGCATACTGATGTCGCATTGCAGGAGGGCAGCAAGCGCGACGAGACCATCGTGTCGGCGTTGTCACTGTACGATGGGTTGGTATGAGGGCGAGCTGGAGGATTGTTACGAGGGAACGCACACAACAGAGCGAGATGCATGGGACCCGGAGTCGGTGGCGTGGCGTTGCGTGGCAGCCGAGTATGGATTTATGGGGTTGATTACTGGATACCAACAAGTAGGTTCAGCAATTGTTGCATTTTGTGCCAGACATGTCCCCGTTATCCTTCACATCGTTTTCCCACAACGTGAGGTCAGATCCAGCGACGATGATCTTTTCCCAAGGAGGCAAAAGCCAAACGACGATAGGCTTTCTGGATTGCTTGTCGATTTGACATCATCTGGGCCTACTAATAAGACGAGCTTCCAAGCGGCCACGAAAGACATTTTCCTCGCACCTCGCCAGTCCCTGGATTGACTGCGATAGCACGAAAACGCTCAGAAAGATGGCCACGCATCGGGTGTCGCATAGGGGGTGAACTTCGTTGAAGAATTACTTAGCCACTTTCATTTGCAGAAAAGCGTGCATTCCATCGTGAACTTCGACAGGGGCACCACCCACAGGCTGTCTCACCCTACAGCATCAACCGTCAATATCATTTGATCGTCTGCAATCCATTCGACGCCATGCATTCGGCCGAATGTGCTTGGATGCCGTTCAATCCTCCTCGTCAGTTCGAGCAGCAGCTTTATGCAGCCGACTTCGAAAGACCTTAAGCTGCTGGTTTGAATCCAACTTCTCCCAGCGCCGACTGGCCGGCAAGCCTGTCCGTTTCTCCTCGACCTCGACCTCGAGCTTGATTCCCATCTTTGGCCTGTTAAGTCCCATGACCTCCAGCTGCGTCTCCCCGGATCATTTGCGCCTCGGCATACACCGTATCCCGACCAGCATCGCCTCCCCCCGACGATGACCCAGCGGCCACCACTCGAACACAACGGCGAACCAATGATTCCACCAGTCTTTAGAGCATTGGCTCTGCGAAGACCTCGAAATTCCTGTCTTCGGATCGCTTGCCCCTGGAGGCAAGGGAATCCAGCCGAAACGACAATGCTGTGACAGCTCAGCTACATTCCGTTATACCAGTGTTATCGTCGACACTCTGCCAGACTCCAGTTGTGTATATGCGTGCTCAATGATGGGTTCAATTTCAAGAAAAACAGGCGCTGCAATGTCGGGCTGTCGGAGATTGCTGCCTTCGATTTCCTGCCCGTACGCTGAGAGGTGAGGATGCGAACGGCTCTAGATCTGACAGGGTTGGCTCCAGCGACTCGGCGATGAGATGCACTTTTTCCATGACGATCGACATGATCCGGTCGAATTTAAGATCTGGTGCTTGGTGCTGATTGCCATGATGGACTGGCCAAAAGTTGCCCACGGTGGCTGCCGCTGCCAGCAAGGGAAAGAGCATCATCATCCAGCGGAAACTTTCCGAGAGCGAGGCTTGGCATTCACATGCGAAACCCTTTAAACCCACAAGCGTCCCTAGCTGCCATTCCCAACAACTTCTCATGCCACACAAATTCGACGTCATGAACCAGTGACTTTTCCTTCGTCGGCAACATGCCACAACAGCTCGAATATGAAGACAGGAGTTTCGAGTTCGCCTTCAGCACTTTGTCTCTTCACGAATGGCTGCAAGCTTCCACACTCATCTGCACATAGTTTTCCTACGCGGAGACAGTTCGCTCGGTCCGATGCAAAGCTCGACGTTCTGTTACGACATCTACCCGTGGCCCTGCAGAAATGCTGGAAACAATCTGAAGCAGCAAAGGGCCCTAACGATGCCTTCCCTCCGCCGTCCTCCCGCCACACCAGTACCTGCCCCGCCGGCTCGAGTCCTTCCAACACCTCCACCTTACTGGCTACCTGTGAGAGGCTGCGCTCGAATGTGCCGGCTTCCTGAGCTCACCACATCCCGACCCCTAGACCACACTCGACATTTTCAAGGACACGACTAGCCATGATCGATAGTGCATATGATTCCACAACCATGTGCGTGCATCTCCTAAAATGCGGGCTTGCGTATGTGCCACAATCGAAGCAACACCAAGACACTGATCAGGAAGACAATAAGCTCTATGCTTTCCACTTCTGCGGCCATATACTACCTACTGGCGATCGATCGTTTCCATTGAGCACTCAGTACAATTATCTCTAAAAGTATTCTCAACACAGGGCGTAGTTTTCCGAGATTCCGGCAGCATTGTCTGGGATGGAATGTGTTGCTCAACTGGCTTCCCTTTCCGCCTCACTGCAGGCCCAGCATCGAAATGGCCAGGTGAAGAAGTCTACAAGCCTTCCCATGTGATTTCCAGTCAGCATGACATGTCGATACTCACGAGTTGCAGGTTGATTGTAGAGGTTTTGAGGATCTACGATGCCATAGATTGTTTTTCGCTGGTCGTTAGTGAGTTGCACTTTGGCTGTGGGGCTGTCTGACCGCTGACGCTACCAGGCTGACCACTCCACAGGTTGCAAGGCTGGAGCTTCTTGCCGCTAGAAGTGGGATACCTGTGCCAACACTCTACTTCGTCTATATATTCTCACGAGACCTGTCATACCTGCTTGCAGTCCTTTGTCCGCGACAGCACTTCGCTTGACTCGTTAAATTTTCATTCTTCATTGCAAATTTCGTCGTGATCAAACGATGGCAGGTGCACTGAGCCCCACAGATGCCGAAAGCCTTCGAGGCCTGGTGGCGGGAGTATCTGAGGCTGTCGAGGCACGTATCCGAGGCGAAGAGTCTGCAGGCGAGCAAGTCCGCCGAGTGACGCAAGCCGTACAGATAGCAGGAATGGGTGCACCAGAGTATTGGCTCAGCCAACTGCTACAGGTATGCATTTCATTCCATGATTTTTCCATCACGCAGTCGAAACCTTACTGACCCTCATGAACCATCAGCCGTTGAAGAGTGTCTGCATATCTATGGCTCAGGAGATGAAGCTACTACCGCTCGTCAAAGAACAGGGGACGAAGTGTATTTCCGCAGAGGATATGGCAAAACAGACTGGATACGATGCGCTTTTGATCAGTCGAGTCATGCGTACCCTGACCAATGTCGGTCTGTGCGAGGAGGCTGGGCACAATACGTATAGGTCGAGTCAAGTCAGCCAGATTGTGGCAAGCACAGGCGGCATGGCCGGGGTGAAAGTCGCCTGCTTATCAGCCATATCCGGGCGACCGAAATGTTTCTGTTGAGTCGGGGTTGGAAGGACAAGGTCAACGGCCGCGAGGTCTTTGGTTTCGGACAAAGAGCGCCAGTCGCAAAGGGCAAGGTTGTCTCTTCGAATGGCACGAAGCGGTCGCCATACATTGATCAAAGCTGTGATCTCTAGTGAGCGCGAGAAGCCTGGTGCATGTACTGGAATTAACATTCCAGGCAAGAGGCGGCTCACCCCATCGCTTTTCCATAAGTCTCTCGGCTTTCTCATCGCCAAACCGCAGACGCAATGTCTGCTCTGCTCCTAAGTAGCTCTGATGGACCTGGTAAGGGATAAAATATCAGCCAAGATCGATCCTGGTGGCTTCATTGCTGTTTTAACTGACATATGTCGCTCTGAGAGGGTCCATTTTCTGACACATCCCGCCGCCACCCTCTCCCTGCATCAGTTGCTGGGCTTCCTCCTGAACGTCCTCCCATCTCGACCTCCGTATGAGATGGGATTCGTATACGGCATGGCTAGCGCCCGTAGCCTTTTTCAATATCTCCATCACTTCAGGCCAGTAACGCTTTTTCACGACCTCTGAGTCAGAGAAGTCGTCATGATTCAGCGACGTTGGCTCGTTCATGTGCTGGAAACCATTCCTGTCGAGGGTGAAGTGGGTTCCTTCGCAGGACCGGACATCGGTCACGACAGTCTCGTGCACCTTATGTTTCATCAGCTTATCGCGAGCGGTACCAACATGAATGACCTTCTTTCCTTTAGTATACGCCTTTGGATCGTTGAAGTTCAAAGTCGTAGGAACGGCATCAAATAATGACCTGGCAGCTTCGTTGTAAGGCATGCTCTTCGCTGTTAATTCGTATACATGGCCAGGGAATGAAGCGAGGACAAGCAAAGCGACATCTTACTGTGTTAATGTATTATACTTGTGTTCGGACGGTGACGGCACCGGGTGACCTCGCGAGGGTTGCGGATTGCCCAAACTCGACAGCGCTGTGCTTAGCTGTCTACTTTGCCACTTCCCACGAGGATCGACGTCGAATCTGACGAAGAATGTCATTCCAGGGGAGGCAAGCAGGAAAAGTCTCACTTTGCTCGCAAATAGGGAACCTGAGGATTTGCACAGCAGCTGCTATATTGTGAAGACATTTATTGTTTGCTTCCAAAGTTTTCTGGGGCAAATACTGGATCTTCAAATCTCTTCGAGTTTGAGGTAGTGACAAGCACAAGTACTATTGACCTGACGATCTACTGTCTAAGGTGCTTTGATAGAATGATCGTTTGGTAGAATGGTCGAGGAAAATGGTCCCTGAATCCCACAAAAACCGACTTTAGGGCGCTTTGTCCCCCAGCAGGTATCTTGAGATGTACTGTTAGCGAGGGCAGGGATTGGATATTGCTCTTGTCGATCGGTCTGCAAGACCTCATGGCTCACGGGATGTGGCACATCAGTGAGGCTGTTCGACCTCCGCCCCGTGAATAAGCCGCACTCATGGACCTTTCCGCCACGATGTAGGCTTCATCCTTCATGCGGGTGTTTATGTCTGGCAGAGCTACACGAGCAATTGGTCCCCTGCTAAGACCTTGCTCGAGAGGTTTTTGACGATCCGAGTCAGTGCCGACCACAGAGGTTCATGTCGTTACCTCGCGAAGCAGTACCAGGCTATGAGCGGTGGCTAATTCGGGTTTGGTTCTAACGCCGAAACTGCTACAGGACGATGATTAAACTCCGGTCTTGGACTGCATTCCCTCCTTCATCTGTCAAACCAGCGCTGTCTTGAGGAGTTTGAAAGAACATACAAGGCTGACTGTCAAGGAGCAAGTCGTCACCTCCACGTATGCCGCTGACCTGGAGCCCTTGAACTGCTTCTTTATGATCGAGGAGCATACTTCGACTGATGCCTTTGGCTTTCAGTTGTGACGGAAGGTAGGACAGAGCATACAGTTGCCGAGCCACATGCATGGCGCCAAGTTTCCTCCGGCCTAGTTGTTGACGTCCCTGGTGCTAACCGTGCTCTTGGCTCCCGCACTGGAGGATGCACTTGTGGTTCCAATAGCCACAGGGCTACAAAGTACGTGGCGTCGAGCTGTTCGTGGGTGGATAGCTCGCTCCCAAAACGCTGGCCGAATAGTACTCCTGACGCACGGGATTGAGGCTTGAATATGTTTCGATGATGTTCAGCTGGTGTGGGAGCTTGTACTGACAAGCATCGGGCTTTATCCAGTTCTCGGAAGCACACGGAATGGGGGCTGCGCCTTCGACTCACGCAAGTTTCTCGTGAGTACAGCTAGCTATGTGAGCGTCAGTGGTGAACAACATGCTAACATAAGTAGTAGCACCTACATGACGGCTCTAGGCTGAGCTTCTGTCTTCCAGTACAGACCGCGCAGTATCGCTTCCTGGAAGATGGCGCTGTCGTAATGGATCTCCTGGGACTGTTGGTCAGGGGTCTGACTGTTCCACATCAGGGGTCCGTTCTGGACAAGTTCGTCCATGCCTGGCGATCTTGCTCGCCGAGTGACTTCAGCACCCCGGCTAGCCCCCAAGTTTGATACAAGTAACGAACTCCTCTGTCGTCGTCCAGGCCTCGCGAGCGGCGGCGTGATACTGCGCTTGAAGTGGCGGAAATGAATAATGAATCGTTTGACATCGGGCCAGGCGGAGTACTCCAGCGCTCTGAGAGATCTGGCAAGGCGTGTGTGGAAGAACGCCTTGGTGCGCTGCTCTTTGGCGGCGCAGGCGCCCGTCAGCAGTCCAAAGAATCGAAGATATGGATAGGGCCTCCAGTCTTGGTCGAGAGCTGAGATGGCTTTGGCGATACCATTTACGTATCCTTGGTTTGTTATGTGTGAAAAGGGGTGTTGGTTGACCATGACGTTGTATAGAATGGCCAGAGTTTGGTGCCCGACGCGAGCCAAGTGATGATTCTCAACTTCATGGTCTTCCATGCTCTCGCAAAAGTTCTCAGAGAACTCAGCAAGTTGCTCAAACAATTTGTCCGACAAGTAGTGGTATAGATCGCGACATCCTTTCCCGTGTGAATCTACACAACTGTTGAAAGATGTCAGTATTTTGATTACGCCTTCCTTTCTCTCCCGTACAGCCGCGTTGTTGGTCAACACTTTTTCGACAGACGCAATCTGCTCGTAGACAAGAAAGCGGGCTATTTCCTCGAATGCATCTCCAGCTTCATGTGCTCGGCGATCTTCCTGGCTAGAGAAAATTGCGTCTTCCGCAGAGTATCTGCAGTTCTGCTTATGCTGTTCCTCATCAACAACGATCAGGGGATCTGAGTCGAGCCACAAAGCGATGAAAAGGTCCATGGACTCAATGACCAGTCCTGCGCCCCATTTCATGCCGGGATTGCGCTCGACATTCAAGCATAGGATACTGCGAAGACCTCTGAGATGAGTGACAGCGCTCGAATCGACCCTGTAGAACTGTGATCCATCAGCGTGTCAGACTATGATGAAGCGCGGAAGATGCACGATGCACTTACATCGTGCGCAATAAGAAATAACAACGCCGACATAGTCTGATCCATGATCGCTGGTGAGCATGACTGTATCTTGGTTTGGATTTCGCGAATTACTCTGTTCTTGAACAAGACCTATGACGACAGAGTCTGTCAGCCATTGCCATCTCCTGCTGGTATCTATACATACTTCGAGACCACTTGGCAGGCGATGGTCCGCGGCATCCAGACCAGCGATGGCAGCAATATATATGGAGCATAGAAGTGTCGGGCAGCATGTGAAGTCTGCATTCATGCCAGTGGAGTTGCCGTTGGGATCAGACTGCGTGTCTGGCCTGAGCCATCGGAACCCTGTCACATGTCAGGCTGAAGTCGGTGGTGTTGGAAACCTTCATAATTACCAACGCACATTCGTGGCAGAGACCGACCATTTGTTGTAGTTGTTGTGGGGACTGCAAGATTCCCGCAGTCGTAGCACTCCATGTCGACGGTTTGAGTGTCGACAGGCTATCAACGGGAGTGGTGTCTGTTGGTTGGCTTTCTTTAAAGTCATCCGGATCTAGATCCACTAGATGCCCTTTGCCCTCGCGGCCACGCAGTGCAAGAGTCAATCGGCTTGGCTTTGAAGTCGTGTCCGGTGCTGTTCCCTCGAGCGAGCTGCGAGCTCGTCGTTGCCGTGCTCGAAAATCCTTCATGGCGTGGGAGCGGACGATGCGTTTAGCGTCGGCATCATGACGCAGCTCTCCAGCAGTAGAATTGACGAACTGAAACATGACGTGCTAGGTGTTGCAGCACGCACTGGATAGTTCGGGCCTGAGGCGTCTGTTCGTAGCCTGGTATGTTTTGCAGTACAGTTTTTGATGCCTTGGCACACAAAGCACTCCAATATCAATGGTTGAAACGCATAAGGCAGAGAGCTGGGTCCGAGTCCACGGGCGGTGTTTAAGAGGCAGGAAACTGTAAATTTATTAGGAGCCAGCGTGAAAGATTCTAATCAGAACGAACTGACTTTGAGGCCACACTCCTACCTCTAAAGTGGGCTTTGCTCGGAATAGTGCAGGGGGTGCGGGAATGAGGCGACGATAGACATACCACATCTACCATTACCACATCTCAACTCGGTGAGCCGCTGCACTCTAGAATTCGCAGAGCTTGCCCTAAATGACACGTTGTGTAGCCCTCTCTACTAGCCGTTTCGAGACGGAGCCACTATCCATCCCTACATGCGGCCGTCCACAGCTTCGCCTTGTATGTTCACCTCCTGATATAGTAATCCATAGAAGCTTGCATGCCCACTCACACAATGTCTGCGAGGAAGTCGTAGTATAGGATGCAAAGAAACCAGGGCGACCCGTAGCAGGTACACCGTAGTGCGTGACATCTTCAACCGGCTGGATCTTAAGAACCGCGGGCCGAAATCGGCTTTCGATGCTCCGGCTCCGGAAGTCCGGAGTTTGAGTGAATTGAGGCACAGTGAGTCCGGTGGCGCCCTTTACAGCCTCTCAATCACTTATTCAGCTCGACCGTTCAGCTGTATAGGTAGCTGAGGAGTCGTTGCAAGCTGTACTCTCTAAAAGCAACGCTTGGCTTCAAAAGCAGCATGTAAAACGCGTGGCTAGCCTAGAGCCTCATTTCATTGGGCCACACGCAATTCGAGGCTGCAGGGCAAACTGGTCATGGCACTTTTCCTTAACATCGTCCGTAGGTTTGCCAGATTCTTGACAAAAGTAGGTGACGTGCCCTACTTCTACACCAAAAACATCAGTCTTTCGCTCGGCTCTCTTTGCTCTCTCTTTTGGCTCACGTGGTATGTCTCGCAAAATCAGCGCCGGACCACTATCAGCCACATCGAGCTCTACTTGGAAGCAACTTCGGTGTACCTGACCTGAACGCAACATATGATTATGTTATCGTTGGAGGTGGTACCGCAGGCCTCGCGATAGCAGGCAGGCTAGCCGAAGATCCATCCAAGACGATTGCCGTTGTCGAGGCTGGAAGCTTTTACGAAATCACCAACGGAAACCTCAGCCAAATTCCAGGAGACGACATCTATTTCGCTGGGAAAAGCCCGCAAGACTACAACCATCTGGTGGACTGGGGCTTTGTGACAACTCCACAAGCAGGAGCGAACGGACAAGTGATTCATTATGCTCGAGACAAGACTTTTGGTGGCTGCTCAGCTAGGAACTTCTTAGGCTACCAACGCGGCACAAGAGCTTCCTACCAAATGTGGGCAGATCAAGTCGACGGTGAGCCATGCCGAAGACTCTACATGTTCGACGTGCTCACTCAATTTCTAGATCAGAGCTACACATTTGACAACATTCTACCCTACTTCAAGAAATCGTTGCACTTTACGCCACCGAATCAGAGCCCAGGCTATCGTGCTGCCAACTCTACTCCGCAGTACGACGAGTCCAGCCTTGGGCAGGGAGGCCCTCTTCAGATTGGCTTCCCCAACTATGCTCAAGCCATCAGCTCATGGTTTCAGAAAGCTTTAGACATCATTGGTGTGCACCCCATCAACGGCTTGACATCAGGTGAACTTATCGGCAGTGCGTACTGTTTGGACACACTCGACCCTGCTACATCTGAGCGCACTACATCCTACACCGCTTTCCTGCGTCCAGCTTTGGAGCGTCGCCAACAAAACTTCTACGTCTATCCAAACACTCTTGCCCACCGCATCGTGTTCAATGGGACGAAGGCACAGGGAGTGGTCGTCAGCAGCCAAGGCGGCGAGTACACACTCACCGCCGCTGAAGAGGTTATCCTCAGCGCGGGTGTATTCCAATCACCGCAATTGCTCATGCGCTCCGGCGTTGGTCCATGCCACGATCTTGAATCTCTGGGAATCGATTGCGTTGTAGATCTGCCAAGGGTTGGCCAGAACATGTGGGACCACATCCTCTTCGGACCATCCTATCAAGTCAACGTGGACACCGCAAGCATCGTTGCTCGGCCAGGCTACATCTTCAAGGCGAACGAACAGTATACTGCAAACGGAACCGGCATCCTATCCAGCCCTGGCGCCGACTTCCTCGCATGGGAGAAGGTCCCCACCTTTCTGCGCCAGAACGTCTCCCAGCAAGCCATTGCTGACCTCGCCACCTTTCCTGACGACTGGCCAGAGCTCGAGTATATCAGCGTGGGGGCGTACTTTGGCGATTCCCAAAACTTTGTTACCGGGGGTCCAAAAGACCAAGCGCTGGGCAAGAACTATGCTACGCTGGCCATGGGCCTCGTCGCACCTTTATCTCGTGGTAACGTCTCGATCAACTCATCCGATCCCGCCAGCCCGCCACTGATTAATCCGAATTGGTTCACCCATCCGACAGATCAAGAGGTTGGTATCGCAGCGTACAAGCGAGCTCGAGCTGCTTTCACAGCAGAGCCAATGATCCAAAACAACATCACGATCGGACAAGAGTACTTTCCAGGCACGAACGTCAGCTCCGACGCCGACATTCTGGAACAGATCAAGAACACCTTTACTCTGCTATATCACGCTGCTGGTACATGCAAAATGGGCACAGTCGACGATTCCATGGCCGTCGTTGATAGTCAAGCCCGGGTCTACGGTCTGCAGAACCTTCGAGTTGTGGATAGTAGCGCTTTTCCATTTCTACCACCTGGCCATCCTCAAGCTACAGTTTACATGCTTGCAGAGAAGATCGCAGATGACATTCACCAGCAACGTGGTTGTGTCTAGATTGTGTGTTCAAAGAAACCTTAGTACAGCTCGTATGACGAATTGTGTACCATTGACGAAGGCTTACAACTGTACATTTTCATAGTGTCTAACTTCAGCTTGTGTATGCATGGACGTTCTCGAGCCTTCTTTGTACCAAATCTACTAACGACCATCATCACTCAGTCAGGTCTAGACGGCTAAGAAGCGCAGGCAGTGTCAGGCTACGATCGGATAAGTCTACGACGTGTTGGCAGGGCGACTTTTCACGGATTCTCAGCTCTGGTTGTAGTTGTCGAGAGAGATCTTGCAAATACTTCGCTTGTCCGGGGCTCTAGTCTAGATGCTGCTTCATCGGGGCACATGCCTCGACTCCGAGGACTTGTATCTTGAATTGACTTTGGCGCGGAGAAGGGTAGTGATTATGGAGTAAGATGCACATATGTTCTCAAGTCAAGTAATGACGCACGTGAATAGTAATGACAGTAGTTGCCGACCCTTTACTACGGATATTATAGCATCAGATGCGTGCCGATGCGCATTATCGATGTGGTGTAGATTCTATCTACCTTCGACGAAGCAATAAAACCATATGCTGTCACGCTGCTCGTTAGGTAATGACACCCTGTTTCGTCACAGGAAGGAACTTCCACTCTCCTGCAAAAATAGCCTGACCCGGATCATACAAACGAAACGCAACTGAAATGTTGCCTCCTCCCGCAGGTCCTGGAAGCCAGTTGGCCGTCCAGTTGCGAGGCGGAGGCTTGTTGTCTGGTTGAACTAGGATGCGGAACGGAAGATCTTCTCCCGTTGAATCTGGGCCGTAGATGGTATTGCCTTAATCGTACGTAATTTTACTGACCACGCTGCTGATATGGTAGACGTGCTCGGAGTTTGGTATAAGGGTGTTGTTCGCGTACGCGGTCAAGCTCCAGAAACCCGTGGCTTCCAAGTGCGGTTTGGAACAAAAGCTGTAGATAATGGACTCATCTGGCCCAAGTTGTAAGTTCCCTGCTGGCTGGGCTCCTCCTGAAGTCGAGCTGGCGTTGGACCAGCTGGCATATAGACGGTTCGGGGCGGTTAGTGCGAGATAGTCACCACTTACAGCAATGCTCTCACGGAGAGCGTAGTTGGATTGAAAGCGGCCTTCGAGAGCAGGATTCACAGCGCTTCAACCGTTCGACAATTTCTCGTTCGAGGCGGGTGATGATCCTGCTGCTGCTGCTGCTGCTGCTGCCGCCTGTGCCGCTTCGTTGGCCTTGTGTATATCAACTCCCGGTCGCTGAACGAACTGGCCCCTCCTAGTTCCAGCAGCATCCAGAGTCTGATCAACACGCATCGTGTCGGAGGTGTTCGTGGGCGTAGTAAATTGGGCGAACTTGGCCAAGAGATTTAGGACATCCAACGCCACGTTCTCGGCACTGTCAAGTTCCGGCAAGGAGTACAAATTAGGTGCATTTCGTGAGTGAGTGATGTTCCGCGCCGTGGTTTGCTCCTACCATTCGCGGATTTGTTCGATATTTGTGTCGCTGACCAGCCAGCGAGCAATGAGATATCCATACGTCGACGGTGCGTTGATGCAGGCTTGGTATTGTTTCTGTGCCACACACTTGGTCACATCAAAGGGTCCACGAACACTGCGTCGAAGAAAATACTCGCCAGGCGTGCGGATATGTTCGCTTCCGAAGTTTGCGAAGTTGTCTCCATAGGGGTCGAAAAATGAGAACAGGACAAATTGATCTTGCGGAATTCCCCTCGGTAGGCCAACGGCAACGTCGTTGCTGCTCAAGTCCCAGACCATTTGTGAGTAGAGAGTGTCTATATCTGGTCGGATCGTATTTGGGCAGAGAGTAGGGGTGCACGTAATCTGGACGTGCTTGAATTTATTTGGACCGGTGGTGTTGAAATCTTGAACGTGGCCTTCGAATACCACGAGCGGGTAGCCGTACGTAAGTGCGAACGCTGTGGCATCCTGCACATTGATCGCTTCAGCACATGCTGAGAGTGCGGCAAAAGATGCCAGTTGTAATCCGTTTAACCAGAGGCGCATGATGTCAATGTCTCTCTTTGTCAAATGGAAGAAAGAGTGGTCTTCGTGGAGTCGGAGACGTCCTGCTGCCCTTTATATTGTTCAAGTGGTTTCAGCATGTTGAAACCGCTGTAGGTGATTGTTGCGCTACATATATATCGTTGGTGATAAAACTAGGGCCATGATAGGTTAGCAACAAAGCAATGTGCGCACTGCTTGCCCTGCTTGAGCAGCCTGGTCAATGGCCATGATGGCTTAGTTTGGCACTCTCCCCGCGAGGGATCGTGCAAAAGCCTCAGCCTTTCCCAGCCCTAGTTCAATTAGACCTAGCACGTCTCTTGTCGAATCAGTTTAGAGAATCGAAATCTCATGAAAGGGGTGATTGGGCAAGAATTTCACAGAACTCGCCGAGTAAGGCTCCAGCGAGAGTCGATCAAGTCCTTCTATGACTGACTTAGCAATTCAAACAGTTGTGCCGGTACACCGAAAGCATCGAGGAAGAATTCGTAGTCGACCATGGCCACGGCTCGCTCTTCAGTGGCCTGTGGCGATGGCGCGTTGCAGAAGACGGCGAGAAGGGTGATGGACTTGGGGAGGGTGATTTTGGTCCGCGGGAGATAGCGAGGGTTGAGATCGCGAAGCGTACGCGATCTTGCAGGTACCTTTGGGCTGCATTGGCGACCGGCATGCGATGCAGCAAGCCATTACAAGTTTAAGGTTCAGGAGAGTATCTTCACATCGTTGAATCATTCTCATTTCGCAGCATCATCTATCAAAGTTCACCTCAAGTCGAAGCCATATCGACCGGGTATAGATTTTTCATCATGCATCATATCTCAAACCCCTTTCCTTTCCCTCTACACCTTTCCATCCTTAAGAACCAGCTTAAGTACGGGTAGCGAAACCAATACGGCTGTTAGTGGTGTCAAACACGGAGTAGTAGTTCTCGAGGAACTTCTGTCCGACAATGGTGTTGACGCCGGAGGAGCCGCCGTCGTTGATCCAGGCGTAGTACTTGCCAGAGCTGAGGCCGAAGTTGCTGTACTGCGCCTGGGGGACGAGGTACTGGGCCGGGGTGAGGGTGTAGGTGGTGGAGCCGAACTTGATGCCGAAGTTGGAGGTGGGCTTGGTGCTGAAGGAGGCGAGGCCGGAGTTGCTGTCGGTGGAGCCGCCGGTGGCGGAGAGGAACTTGTTGTAGGCCGAGGTGGGGATGTAGATGAGGGTGGTGCCGGTGTCGATGATGCCCTGGGCGTTGGAGGTGAGCGTGGTGGAGCCGTAGGTGAAGCTGGCGATGGCGAGGCCCCAGTAGGCGGAGGCGGAGCCGCTGGTGAGCTTGGGGAAGTAGGTGAGCGAGCCGGAGTACTTGGAGGCGTCGGTGCCGCCGAGCGTGAGCTCGCCGTTGGTGTCGTCGGAGTCGCTGCCGGATTCGGGTTTGAAGTAGACACCGAGGACCTCAGTGGAGATGGATCCCTGGCTGTAGAGGTTGTCCAGGAAGGTTGGGACGGTGTTCGCGTTGGAGACAGTGCCTTGGGTGAGGTCGACTGGGCCGAAGCCGGCAATGCCGTCAACTCCCTGGAAGCCCTGGCTGGAAGTGGCAGCGCCAATGGACTGCTTGCTGACAGTGAGGCCGCCGAAGCTCACGGTGTCGGTGTACTCGTTGCCGGAGAACGAGCCACTGCCGTAGCTGACCTGAACGCTGCCACCAGTGGACTTGCCGGTCGAGGTCTTTTCGCAGGCACTTTGTGCGCCACACCAAGTGTTTGATGCTGGGGCAAAAGTCAGTCACGTCAATCGATGGCTCGTGAATACGGCGAGTAGATACATCCAGTGTCAACGATCAATTGCCAGGTTTTGCCACCAATGCTGAAAGGAGCAACGTAGGTGACGTCCTCGTTGGTGATGGAGCCAGAGCTGGCGTCTGGTTGAGCACCAACGTGCTGAACGTTGTTGATCTTGTTGATGCGAGCCTGGCCAGCGTTGACGACGCTCTTGGCCGACTTGGCGTTGTTGATGCTGGTCAAAGGCAGCACGGCAGTCTTGGCCTGACGCTCGACGATTGGCGATGCCGACACCGCGGCCGCAAGGACGAGGGAAGCTACGAAGTACATCTTGATGAGATGTTAATCTGATGGTAGGAGAAATAGAGGATTGATGATCTGCTGGGATGAAACAAAGTCTTCAACGGGAGGACTGTCGAGCCTTTTGTATTCCGGTCGTCCTTGCACCCACCTTATCCGTGGTTCACTCACTCGTGATGTCCATGATAGACAGCGTGACATGGTACCTGATCTTCATCCCGCAGAGTGGTGTTGTCTGGTGTGTAGCAAAGCGAGCGCATGTCCATATTGACCTGCAGTCGTACCTTCTTGATTGGGAAGGTCAGAACTTCACTTCGTGGGGGGGAGCTCTCTTAGCTCGTGCTAGTTCCAAGGACGATGTGCGACCTTGAACCATCTGGGTAAGTATGCGGTGACAATCATGGTGGGTTCCCCGACTAATGCGCACGCAAGATGCTAAGAATGGTGTGCTTGAGGCTTATCACTTCTTACCTTCTGAAACAAGGCGGATCAGCAAGCTTGAACGACTTGTGACAAGGCTTATCACTTCCTACCTCCTCAAAGGAGCCCGATCGCAGGGGCTAGCGCGGAAATAGCAAGTGTTTGTGCATCGTGCGTATAGAGTTGATAGACGCGAGGATGCCAGAGATAGGTATCTTTAGGCTAGCTTCGCGGGCACCGCTCTGCTAATAGCTGGCTTTACCGAGGTCATGCTTGTATTTGAAGTGGAAGGACGGGGATCGATTCGTTCGAGGTTCGGCCCATGATCCTTTGCGGCCGCAGTATCACGGAAGCCACAGCGTCTATAGCGAATCCTCTACTGCAGCCTTGGGATGACGACGGTCGTTAGTTTACCACTGGTTTGCTCGAAATGGGTCGGCGTTTCATGAACAGAGTAGTAACTGGCTGGGACCCTGGCAAGCCACGCTGCATCCGCCAAACCTTTAATCAACTTCACGGCATGGTGCATGTTGAGGTGGTAGCATATCAAGGTTGACGGTGAGTTCGTGGCTGCTCCAGGGTATCGCCGAACCGTTCGTCCAGTCCATATCATGTCGTATGATGCGTCTCTAGAGCTGCGACCTCAGCGGCGAGTACGATGTTCCTGGGCATAGCACCGCTGCACCTCGGCTTGCTCCCAGAGCCACCGACGACAGACCCCGGAGAATATATGGCGCTAGAGGTTGGCGCCGGAGGAATGGTGATCATTGCGGTCCGCTCTCTTCAGTCTAGGCATCTGATACCGTACACCTCAGGTTGCAGCGACTAAGACAGCTCCATGGGTAACACCGCGACAAGCCGTCGCATCTGACCGACATCCAACGAAGCCGGTCCTTTGTAGGCGCCCGGGCTCCAGCATTCCCGTGTCCGAGAGTAATACAACGCCTTCCAAGAAGAGGCTGAGAGCGGGCAAAGGACTGACAACAGACATTCTGCCGAAGGCGACATCCAATGTCGTGGGGTGTTGCATTGGTTAGTCCATTGTTGATGCGTACACTTGCACGTTCGAGGAAGCTGATAATCCCCCAGGATGCCATATCTCCAGAGGCATGAGGTCGTGGAAGAAGGTACGCAATCAAACCAATTGAAGGCGGAATCGAACCCCAGGAAAGGGCTGGAAATATAACGACATTGGTATTCGCGATCACCTACCAAACACTTCCGTAAGACGCCACGCCATGCACGCTTTTGCTTCCATTCATCGAAAAACGCCACATCACATTCCTTGCCTTCAACTTCTCCTCACGCACTCCGAACCCACCCCCGGTCTATGCCTCTGCCATCTCAACATCCCCTTCCTCGTCAACATCTTCATCATTAACACCCTTCTCCGTGACCTTCTCTTCTAGTGGCATTAGCACATCAAACCCTCCAGTACCCACACCACCAACTCTACCCGTCACAATCCTCGCACTGGGTCCCTTGAGGTCATCAAAATCGCCCTCAAGCACCGCATCCCGCAAGAAGCCTAACGTCGTCTCAAAGCTCATCTTCATGAACGGACTGGGGTTATTGCGGTATCCCATTCGACTGAAGGCCTGGTACACGCCGTCACGGGTCATGTAATCTGCGATCAGGGTAAGGTGGCGAGTGTCGACGGAGATACCGTGACCGCCGAACACGGATTGCATCTCTCTGACGATGGCTCCTCGGCAGGCTTCAACTCCATAATGTCGCAGGATATCTGCAATAGAGTTGGTGTAGATGTGGTGAGGGTGGACGATGTGCTGGTAATCCCACATGGCAGGGATGTTCACTCCAGACGCAGCAATGATGGGATTTCCGTCAGCCTCCTCCTTCGTGCCTTGTTCGTCAAGCATACACATAGCGATGCCAGGCACAGACTGGATGAGTGCTTGATGAAGGGCTGTCTCCACAAGGTTCAGCATCAGGATCTTGGCCGTGGTGGAGTCGTACTCCATGGTGAATCGACATGACGAGCCGGTCTTGTCGTCGAAGGAGAAAGCAACGACATCGTTCGTCTTGCTGGCACCTTTGATGCGGGTTTCGCGATTCTTGGCATTCGAGCGAGCCACCTCATCTGGCTCGGGTGAGGATCTCGGGCTGCCACCATACGCAGAGTCGTTCTCTTCCTCAGTCTCCGGCTCTAGCTCTGGTGTTGCGTCCTTCCTTCTCATGTCTCGCTCCTCGTCGTCCTCGTATGCATCGTAGCCAGCTTGCTGTTTGTTGCTCTTCGACTTGTCCCACGTGGCATCATCATCGCCCTCGTCATCAGAATCATCATCCCGGCCGGCTCGCTCTCCCTCAGGTCGAGCTCTCTCCTCTTCGACTCGACCAGCCGACTTCCCAATTTCTGGCAAAGCATCGTCCGCTGCCTTCAGAGTCTTGGCATCTCCGCGCTTCTTCAGCTCCTTGCGAGTGGCGGCTTGCAGTCGAGGAAGCATTCGGTGTTCGATGGTCGTGACGACATCCTGAATAGTGATGGCGTACTCGCGCTGATATTCTTCGGCCGGGAAGAACTCGAGCTTGACCTCGTACTTCTTCGCCTCGCCATACGCAACACCCTGGCCGGTAGTCTCCTTGACTGTGACTTTATCCACAATCTCCGCCAGCGACAGCTTACTGATGCCCTTTGCAAACTTCTTCGCCTCCTCGACGTTGATGTCGTCATTCAACTTCAAGGTCATGGCTGGGGTGGAGATGTTCGTAGCAGCGGTCATGACGATCTCTCGAAGACGAGGGATACCAAGTGTGACGTTCTTCGCCGCGTGACCAGCCAAATGGAAAGTGTTCAGGGTCATCTGCGTCGACGGTTCACCGATGGATTGACCAGCAACGACACCAACAGCCTCTCCAGCCTCCACTACAGACTTGAGATATCGCATGTCGAGGATGCTGTTGAAGTTCTTCTTGGACACCGTTCCAATGCCATCGATGCCATTCTTCCTGTCGCGAATGAGACGCTCTTTGTTCTCTTCGACAAACTTTCTCGAGTCAACAAGAATCTTTTCGCTCACGCTGCCTCCGTAGGTACTTGGTGGATACAACGCAAGGGCAGGATCACTGGCGCCAAGATCACCCTTCTTGCGATACAGCTTTTCGGCCTTTTTGGCGTGCTCTTTCGCGTCCTCGTTGATCATGCGCTCGAAGGACTCCTTCATTTGGAAGGTGTTGAAGAGGGAGAGGTAGTTCTCCGCGGCGAACTTGAAATCCGGGAGGTACTTGGCTTTGCCGACGTCGAGACCATCCTCGCCGTACAGGAATTGGACGACGCTACCGTCCTCACTGTGGCGAACAGACGTGTCGTACTCGACTTTGAGACCTTCCATACCCTTGATAATGCAGCGCTGGAGGTATCCAGATCGCGATGTCTTGACAGCTGTATCAATCAGTCCTTCTCGGCCAGCCATGGCATGGAAAAAGTATTCTTGGGGCCGGATACCAGTCAAGAAGCGATCCACAATGTATCCTCCGGCTCGGACGCTGGATTCGAAAGGCTTGAAGCAGGGTAATGTCTTGCCGCTCACCATCACAGGCACTCTTCGACCTTCCAAAACCTGTTGCCCAAGGTTACATGAAATGAGGTTGACGTTGACTTGCGAACCCTTCGCACCAGAGTTGGTCATAGTCTGCATCTGATTCTTGGGAAATGGCTTGGCCAAGCCCGCTGGCATGCATTGATTCGAGACGTCCGAGCTGAGATCCTTGGTTGCGCCGTTGGTGAGCTGGTCCAAACCATGCTGCTTCGTATCGTCGCGGAGCACATCTTCCAATCGTCGTCGAAGCTCCTTGTCGTCGCTCTTGGGCTTTTGATCCGTCAATGAAACGTACTTCGCCGCAACTTCAAGACCAACGTCCGCTGCACCAGCCAAAGCTTTCTGCCGATCGACCTCGCCCTTCTTGGTGAAGATTAAATCCTCCACACCGCAAGAGAAGGCTCGCATGTGAAGCAGCTTTGTCAACAGTCGTCCAAGAATACTGAGCATCTTCCCAGCAATGGTGTGCCCATACGCTTCATAGATGGCATTGATGAAGCCACCGCTCGACGGACCGATCTGCTTCTTGTCGAGGATACCTTGACAGAGATATCCTCGCTGGACAATCACGATGTTCTCACTCTCGCCCACGGCACCCCACAGCTTTCCACTGGTGGTCGATTTGCCCGACATGGTCAGGCCTTGCGTGTTGTCCGGCATGATGTTCTTGAGGACCGACGTGATGACCTGCTTACCAGTCCAGAGAGGTTTAGGCTTGATTATGGCCGGTGGGACAGTCTCAACTCTGCCAGTTGACGTATGGCCGTGCTCGGGTCGTAGCGCAGAGTAGAGCAAGTTCATGTAGTCGCCTCGTTCGAAGAACATGTCTCGGTTCGTGAGCCACACAGCCATGGAGATATGATCTTGAATGAGACCACGCAGTGGGTTTCCAGCCGTTCCAGAGAGATATTGATGGTCAGTGTCGGCCACAGTCAAAGCTTCTGCCCTTGCCAATTCGTTTTGTGGAAAGTGCATGTTCATCTCGTCTCCGTCAAAATCGGCATTGTACGTGTTGCAATTGGCGTAGTGCATGCGGAGAGTCTTTTCTCCTGGCAGCACACGCGCTCTGTGACACATCATACTGGGCTTGTGCAGTGTAGGCTGTCGATTCATGATGACAATGTCGCCATTGTTCAAATGTCGATGCACCTTCTTCGGTCTTGCACCGCGAGTGTTGCCAGAGGGTGATGGGGCCAGAAGTTGATTTGCCAGTGCGGTTCGCTCTTCCGCATTCTTTCGATCCAGATTCATTATCGCACCTGTTTCGCTTTCGATTGCAACAGCTCCAGGCCAGATGTGTGGTCCATTTCGGACAGCCTCTTGCAAGTCCTCGAAATTCCACTGCGTTACCGGTTCAGGGTAAGTCAGCTTCACGGCAAAGACTGGCGGCACACCAATCTCGTTCGTCTCGATGTTTGGATCAGGCGAGATGACAGTTCGAGCAGCGAAGTTGACACGCTTGCCCATCATGTACTTTCTGAACATACCCTCTTTCTTCTCCAGCTTTTGCTTAACGCCGTCGGCATTTCTGGCGCCAGCTCGTCCTTGAAGAGGCGACAGATTGCGGTCGATGAGGCAGTTGACATTCTCTTGGAGTGTAAGCCAGGTAGTCTCGAAGTCGGCGTAGGTCCGCGCACGATACCGGGTCACCGTAGGCTCCTTGCCGCTCAACTCTTTCTGGATTTCAGTCAAAGTGTCGCACGTGGTGAGGATGTTCTTGTAGAGGCTGTTCTCTTGTGCTTCAGCGATCTCGTTGTCGCCAGTCTTCGCCTCTGGTCGAAATCGGTTTGGTGGTACGAATATTGTGTGAAGGAAGAACATATCGGCGGAAAGTTTGGACTTCTTCGAGTCCATGCCGTACACCAAACCCAGGACTTCGGCATCGCGTTCGAAGAGCTGCTGCAGGTGTGCATGTACTCGAGTAGGGTTGAGGTATTCCTCTTTCGCCTTCTGCGCAGTCTTTGCCGTTGCTTCTGCCACATCGCCGCCTGCAATCTCAGGCTCGCCCTCAGAATCGTCCATGTTCACATCATCGCCCTCGCCTTCTTCCTCCTCCTCTTCCTCAGAGCTGCGGTCGAGATCAGCCACGGCTTCGTCCTTGTCTCGCTTTCTCTTTCGACTCTGCTCCGCCTTCACTCTCCGCCTCATCTCCATCACAGGATCTTTGGCCTTCTGTCCTGCCTGCACCACAGCCAAATGCTCTTTTTCTGACAGATGCTTCCTGAATATCTTGACAAACCGATCCTTTCGATAACTGTGGTTGATGCCACCGCAGTTGCCGCACTTCTTGCTCTTGGTGATGTTAAACATGAAGTCTCGTATTATCGCAGCCCGAACGTTCTTGACGGTCTCAGTCTTCTCCGTCGACAGACGCCCTTCCTTTTTCGCAGCCTTGACCGCATCCTTCGTATACTGCTCCAGCTTCTGGATCACCTGCTTCGAATCCGCATCCGTTCCCTCGTCTTCCTCTTCGTCTGACGAGCCTGCTGTTGGCTTGTTGTTCTTGGCACTCTTAAGCTCGACCTCCTCCAGCTCATTCAATTCTTTCAACAGCCCATATTTGACTAGCCTCAACTTGCAGACATATCGTGCTACCAACACTCTCTGCAGCTTCAGCTTGCCGCAGTATATGCATGCCGCTCGAAGCAGCCGTAGAATCTGGTCCATGAAAGTCGGGTGGTAGCAAGGCACTGGGAGCTCGATATGGCCTGGATGGCCCGGACATTGCGGCGTCTTGAGGCCACATGTTGTACACGCATTGTCGCCGAATTGACCCAACTCCAGACTGTACAGGCCGCCGGGAACAGGATTCAGTAGGGTGTCGAAGGTTGTCGGGTTCGTGATGCGTCGACATGAGAGGGCGCGCACATCTTCGCTGGACAAGTAGCCAAAGTTGACGCCTTCGATCTGGGAGGCGACGGGCTGCGAGGGATTCATGGCGACTGTTGTGAGTCCATCAATCACTCCATCAATTCTCCATCAACGCCAGCTTCAAAAGTTCGAGACGAAATCTGAGCGGCTCCTTCCCGCAGCTGTTTAAGGTTTTCCGCTAGCAGAAGGCTAAGTTCGGCACGCGGGCGTCTTCAACTTCGACTCCAACTTTCAAGCCGCACACGACAACAACGACAACGACATGTGCGACAACAGAACACAACATCGCCAAGTTGGACAAGATGACAGGTAAGCGACCACATGATGGCGGGGCGGAGGGCGGCGAGGAGTTGGAGCGGAAGAAGCAGGCGACGGCGCAGAAGATGGAGGAGTTGAAGAAGCGCTTTGCGGCCAAGAAGCCGCAGAATGGAGGAGGCAATACTAATACAGCACCACCGCCCCAAACACTCCCGGTCCAAGCAGCACCACAGGCAGCTACCACCAACGGCGGCGACTCGACGGAGAGGAAGAAGGCAGAGGCAGCAAAGAGGATCGCAGAGATCAAGGCCCGCGTCGCAGCGCAAAAGGCGGGCGCTTCTCCTGCGAATGGAGCTGCCGTCGCACCACCGCCTCCACCACCCAGCGAGCCCTCATGGAGAGCAGAGGCGAGACAGAGAGCAGCCGCGGCGGCCAGGAAGAAGGATTCGCCGGCAGCGCCAACACCACCGCAGAGAGTCGAGAGCCGGGGTCCGCGAGGAGGACTGGGTATAGGACTGCATCCTTCGCTGCTGAACGATACCACTGGAGACAAGAGCAAGGGTCCGCAAGGCCCAAAGTTCAGCACAACCAAGGGCAACCAGCAGCCTGAAAAGCCCAAAGTCAACCCATATCTCGCGGCGGACGAGCCAGTCGCAGATGAATCAGAGCGGTCTGCCTTTGCGCCAGCTGCTCGCAAGCAGGCCGAGCGCAGAAGTAAAGCACTTGTCTTCAGCGAGAAGGGCAAATACATGGCTCAGGCGAACTCTCTGCGCAACCAAGCCAGGCTGGAGGAGATGAAGCGTCGCATCGCTGCTGAGAACCGCAAGACGGAGATTGAGGAGGCATCAGACAAGGCTTTCTTGGTACCAGAGCCTCCCAGTGTGGAGTGGTGGGATGAGGGGCTACTTCCTGAGGGCCAGGATACGTATGAGAATTGGGAGGAGCCTGGTCGAAACAAGATTGAGACCGAGGATACCATCGTCACCGCCCTCATCCAGCGTCCAGTCTTGCTCACAGCACCGCAAGACCGGTTCCAGCCAGCACCCAAACCGCTCATGCTCACAGCCGATGAACAGGCGAAGCTGCGCCGACAGCGTCGCATGGCCGACATGAAGGAAGAGCAGGCCAAGATTCGCCTTGGTCTTGTCGAGCCACCCCCACCAAAGGTCAAGAAGTCGAACATGATGCGGGTGTTGGGTGAGCAGGCAGTCAAAGATCCAACTGCCGTTGAGGCGCGCGTGAATCGCGAGATCGCGCAGCGTCAACACGACCATGAACAAGCCAATCTCAATCGTCAGTTGACCAAAGAGGAGCGTCTCGAGAAGCTCAAACGCCAGCAGGCCGAAGACGAGGCCAAGGGTCTCATGGTGTCTGTCTTCAGAGTGGACGACCTCAGCTGTGGCAAGCACAGATATCAAATCGATCAAAACGCCAAGGACAGCGCTCTTACCGGTATCGTCGTTCTCAACCCTACCATGAACCTGATTATTGTCGAAGGGGGTGTGCACAGCATTTCGCACTACAAGAAGCTCATGCTCAACCGCATCCAATGGACCGAAAACATCGCGCCTCCAGCTAACAGCAACCCAACGACGTTCACCAACACTACGGATGGATCAAACGCCAACATCACAGCCGGAACGAGAGGCGTGGGCAGCAAAGCCGCGCAGTGGTGCCACCCTCTCGATGACAACGGCGATTTGAAGGATCTGAGTGGAAACCGGTGCGTCTTGGTGTGGGAGGGCCTTGAGGGCAGCAGGAAGTTTCATCGCTGGGGCAGTCGCGCGTGTGAGACTGATGGTGAGGCGAGGGATATTCTGGGCAAGATGCGCATGGAGAATATGTGGACGTTGGCGAGGAGCAAGTAATGGATGATGCTGCGGCCATCAGCCCTCACAGCCCTCACAGCCATCGGTGAGGTCTTACGATGTTTGGCTTTCCGCAGAGATAAGACCTGAAAGCAGGACTTGCTGGTGTTGCCAGCCAAATCAACTTTTCGAGCACAAGACTCCTTTCTCGCCATTCCCGTTGTGTGAAGCAGATATCTCCATGTCGTGGTGTACGCTGTGGCATCGAATGTGCATCTTCCAGCCCTCACCGTGTCACCATCCTTTGCATATTCAATCTCCTCTTCAAGCTCCAGGGAGGCTGAATTTGCGGCAATCACTGATCAATTGAAATGTGGCCTTGAAGCCGAGAATGTAATGAAATAGATAGTCGAAGAAGAGGTATATGGATGTCAAGCGAAGACTTAATCACCCACCTCTATCCTCTCGGCATTTTTCCTCGAGATGATAAACCATAGAGCTTCAACTTCCAACTCTCGCCACTAGTGTATCTCCCCTTGCCGCACACCAAGCAACGAAGACAATAGGAGAGACGTGGCTTGTATCACGGGTATCAAGACATCTGTTCGTGAAATGTGAACGCGAATGTGAATATGCGCTACCTCCTCGGCGTCCTCAACTGATCCACCGCCTGCAACCTCAGCACCTCCGGATGCAAGTGCGTCCCAGGCATCAACAACCCCACCCCCTTCGCCCGCCTAATCGCCTTGGCCATCTTCCTCTGATTGACCGGCCTCAGCCCTGTCTCATTCCCACTCCGAATCTTGCCCATCTCCGTCGTATACTCCCCCATAATACTGAAATTCGTATAATAATGCAACGGATTCACGCCCAACTGATCCAGCACGTCTCGCCGGGGGCGCGGTTTCTTGGAGACTTTCTTCCATTTGGACGCTTCGACGCCGGAGAGGTCGCGGGGGGAGTAGATGTCGCCGGTCTTCCAGCGGCGGAAGACTTGCTGCTCGAGGTCTTTGCGGGTGTAGGAGCGGCGGAGATCGGCGAGGGCGACGCGGTTTTGTTCGGTGCGCGACTTTTGGGTGGCTTCGGCGACGGCGGAGTTGGCCATGGCCCAGGGGGATTGGGAGGAGGGGAGAGTCGAGGGGGAGGGTTGTTGTTGGCGGGGAGAGTTGGTGGTTCTTTGGCTGCGGGACGATTCGAGGAAGCCGTCTGTAACAATCATTAGAACTTGATGTGGTTTCAATTGTGGTATTGGGGCATACCGAGCATGGCTGTGGTTGCTGCTTGTGGTTGCTGCGGTCGCCGGGCTGACGTCGCGAGCGATCTCCTACACTGGCGGCATACTGTTGATGGCTGGATCGCCAGTCGCTTGAATGCGTTTTCCAGCGACATTGTGGTTGAAGGGGTGGGTGTTGTAGGAGGTGCGTGGTGGTGGAGGAGACGAGACGGTGGAAGACTTGCGGAGACAGCTCGGGAGTGCCAAGCCATTGACCTCGACCACCTCATCATCGACAATCCTCCGCCTCAACTACATTCATGTACATATTGATTGATCGGAGGCTCAATTGATGGGGCTCTTTTGATTTGCGGCCGCCCCAATGGATTGAACCCGATTTCACTACCACCACCATGTCGTCCTCCCTCACCCGCCGTGTGTTTAGGAGCATCCTCGCCAACGAACCCATCGTCCACCGCGGCTGCCTTCGCCGACGACACTATGGAACGACTCGACGGCTACAACTTGCTCCCTCCAGGCCTGCAGCTTGCAATGGGGGTATAAAGCCGATCCAGCAGCGGAGGACGCTCTTTGGCATGTTCGGCGGAGGCAAGAAAAACGACGCCCAAGATGCGGACATCGACCCTGGCGTGGAGAAGATGATGGAGTACGTCAAGATGCAGAAGATGAGTGCGAGACTGCCGCCGCCCAGTGAAGTCGTCGAGGCTTTGTCTCAATTCTTCAACCATAAATACAAATATAAAAATCGGGGCTCCCAGCAACCCATCGAGGACACCCAAGCCGAGCTTGCGGCCAAGAGCTTGCAATATTGCCTGGACTCGATCAAGCCCGTTCACTCTGACGGGCCGAAAACCGTTGTGCCTTTCAAAGCTCTCGAGAAAGGGAGGAGGGCCTTGAGGCGCACCGTTTCGCCGACTCCCAGCCATGTCCATCTGGCGTATTTGATTTATCAGGCCTTCTCGAATACTTCGCCTGTCCGGAGGCTACTAGCCGCTGTGACATACGTCTCCTGTCTGGCTTCATCGGGTCGCGTTCAGGAAGCTCGACAGTTTGTGCTGGACTTGCAAGTTCCGGACGACACTGCAGCACCCAGTTCAAAGCCTTCGGACGAAGATGATCTGCCGAGTAGCGAATTTGTGGATGAGACTGTGAACCCTCCGACGTCTTCTCAGTCTGTCTCCGCCCTATGGTCTGAGGTCCTCCGTGGCTTTGCTCGACAAGACAGCGAGAGCGCATTGTTAGAAACTCTAGACATGGCGCGAACTCACGTTTCCGGCGCGATATCACAGCTCCCGACCCACATGCTCGACTTCTACCTCCGCAAAGACGACCACGACAAGGTGAAATCCTGGTTCGTGGAGTACTGGCAAGCGAGTGGAGAGGACATCGCGTCTGACCAAAGCAAAAGTCAAAGAGCCGACATGGTCGGCAAGGTGCTGCGGTGGTGTCTACAACATGATCAGATTGACTTTGGTCATGATGTGGTCAGGCAAGCCCTGAGCGAAACTCCTAGCAAAGGGATCTGGGATGCTGTCTTCGTCTGGGCAGCTGGGACTGGCAAAGGTGCCGATGAGATAGACCGCATGTTCACCGTAATGGAATCCGCCAACAAGAAGATCGCTGATCCCACAAACTGGAACACTCCAAACACTGCGACGATCAACGCTCTCGTCGAATATGCAACCTCCAAGAACGATCCTTACCTCGCCGAACGGTTCATCGCAATAGGGAAAGCTCGCGACATTCACCCCGATGCCAACACCTATGTCTTGCAGATGAAGTATCGTCTAAAGATATCAGATGTTGACGGTGCGCTCATTGCCTACAAGAACCTGCAGTCCATGGATCTCTCCTCCAACCACGACGTCCCCACCGTCAACGAGCTCATCGCAGCACTGTGCAAGAGCAGTCGCCATGACTTTGACACGATCATGAATGTAGCTGCTGATCTCTCGGATCGAAAAGCTCGCTTCGAGCCCGCAACTGCAACGGCCTTGTCTTTGCTGCATCTCAATCGCGATGAAGTGCATGATGTAACTGATCTGATGAACACGCATGCATTCCATTATTCAACCGCTGAGCGAGAAGTGGTGCGACGAGATCTTGTCGCTTATTGCTTGGATCCGAAGACGCCGCTGTCCCGCGTGTGGGATGCGTACAATGTCCTCATCGAGATCTTCGACGAAATGGCGCGAGACGAGCGAACGCAGATCATGCTGGTCTTCTTCCGGCGGGAAAGGCCAGACGTATCGGTGAACATCTTCAACACTATGCGATCACATTATCGCGAGGACACAATACCATCGATCGATACATACGTGGCAGCGTTCCTTGCGTCGGCCAAGCTGAGAGATTTGGACAGTCTGGAAGTCATCCACAACCAGCTCAAACTTGACTACAACATCGACGCCAATACATACCTGCTGAACGCTTTGATGATCGGCTATAGTGCGTGCGGAAATCCAAGACGTGCACTTACATTCTGGGATGACATCGTGGCGAGCAAGGAAGGACCGACCTACAACAGCATCCATATTGCACTGCGTGCTTGCGAAAAGGCTCCATTCGGCGATCTGAGAGCAGAGAAGATCTGGGCGAAGCTGAGAAGCATGAACATCGATCTTGACCAGGAGCTGTGGGCGTCTTACATCGCAGCTTTGGCGGGGAACGGAAATACCGAGAAGGCCATTTCTACACTTGAGGAGGCCGAATCAAAAGGCGAGCTGGAAGTTGATGCATTCCTTGTGGGAAGTCTGTTCAACGGCTGTTCTGGACAGGCGCCTCAGGAGGAGGTCGAGAGCTGGTCCAAAGAGAGGTTTCCGCAGATCTGGGAGGAGCTGGAGAAGGGGGGAGTTGATGAAGATGAGAATGGGATGAGGACGTTGAGGATTGATCGGACGGTGACGCCTTGATTGATGATGCATTTTCTCGGATACGACAGTACTCGCGAAGGTCTCAACGAGCAACGCGAACACCCGTGCCGCTGTCGGGGGCAATCCAAGAACGCTCTCACGAGGTGCGATGTCATCCCGTCGACGCCCTCCTGCGCCCTGCAGCACAGCGCACAGAAGGCTTTTACATCCTACTCCGCCTCTCCCGAAGACGATGTACGCGTACACCAGCACCCACAGCGACTCTTGCCGTCGCTCATCAACGCCGACCGTCCACGTGGCACTGCGGCAGCAAGTGGAGCGCTCTTCGTGATTCCATTGCAAGGGTTGATGCTGGGAGCAATAATGGGCTGTTCAGACGTCTGGCAAGTGCGGCACTGGACAGACCGAAGGTTGTTGTGGCTTCGAAAGCCTTGTGTTACGCAGCCAGCTTGCAGTGATGGCCCTATATCTAGCTACACGAAGGTCTCGGGCATCGGGAGAAGCCTGTTGCAGGTAGAGAGTAGATCGCAAATTTACAGTGAGAGGAAAGATTTGAGTCTGATGTGAAGGGCCACAAGATGTGTAGGTAAGAGCGATGATGCTGCGGTGGACAGAAATTTATATAGCATCGAAGAAAAACAAAAAGGCAGCTTGAACGCCTACCTAATCGATCACTCAACTCAACTCTCATCTATCGCCATCACCGGCAGGCAGATTCGAACGTAAAGACTTGGAGTACAACTCATACTCATCCTCATCAATCGATAACAAGCAACATCGCGACACAATGTATATGTAGCGTTGTTTCTTCCTCTCACCCGTTTAGATCTCGAGCCTCGATCGGAATGTCCTTAACATAAATGTAGGTAACATGTAGTTAACCAACTTGTTTGATAAAATCACATGTAGATTTCATAAACATTATTCCTCACGCCGTACAATCCTCCTCCTACTCATTCGATGTCCAAGAAGCATCCCTTCGACGAGACAACATTGTTCGTTCGTGATGGATGGTGCTCGTTATTGTTAACCCCAAGTCAACCCTAAGACCCACATACTTGCCTAATTGGATCAATGCGACAGGAGTTTGATTCATGACATCCATTCCGCAACGAGGACAGAAGAGAGACGATTATGCATGCAGCACTCTTCTTATGGTATTATGACAGTATTCACACTCGTGCTTCTTCCATTCTGAAGCCAAAACGTCGCACGCAAGAATCGGGGGTATCTTTTCCCATGCCTGGAACACAGTAAAATCCACACCACACACCACAGCACACACCACGCCTCACCACGAACCACCACCTTCAACGCTCCATCACTTTTAAATTTCGGCCTTGGAGATCATAATGCCGTAAGGATCTCGGTCGACCTCACTGACATGGACCTCGACGTGTTCGTCATCCAGAGCCTCCATGAACTCGTCGGTGGCGCTGTTTTCGTCCTGCAAGGCGCTCTTCTCCTCGTTGCGGATCTTCTCCCACTGTAGCAAGTCAGTCAGTACGTGTGTTGAATGTATCATCGAGGTTGATAGCATACCTCCTGCTTCACCGTCTTCTCCAGCTGCCCCTTCAGCACACTGTGCAAAAAGCCTCGCTCGGTGTTGCTGTGGAATAGACAGATGATGCACTTGCCCTTCTCAATCGCCGCCAACGCCTCGTGATGCGACAGCTCGCCCGTGAAGAGCAGGTCGACATCCTCGCCATTGGCTTCCATCTCTTGGAATAAGTGACCACCAGATCCTGCACACAGCGCGATGCTGCTGATCATCATGTCGCTCGCCTGCTTGTCTTGAGGGACTGCGATCGGGAAGCCCTTGGGATTGCCCAGACCCAGACCTATCCTGTCGATGATGTCCGTCAAGGGCACTGGTTCGGAAAGACGGATGATGCGACCCATTCCAGCGCCTGGATATCCTTCGACTTTCGTCCGTTGGATGGGGTATCGCTGATGTTGGTGATTGCCGAGATTCAGCGCGCGCTCGTGGAGGGTCAGTTGCGAAGGGTGGTGCTGCAGCATGTAGACTGGGCGCTTGGGCGCCTGGAGGGAAGATTTGTCGTCGCCGCCATCGAGGGGCGTTTCCGCTGGGGTCTGCTTTTCGGGGGATTCATTCGCTTCGCCATCGGTGAGGTCTTCGAGTTCAGACGGGTCGGTGGGTGTGCCTGTGACGATGTCCGCGAGCCAGTCGCCTAGCCCGCCCCGTGCGCAGTCGATGGCCGTGTGCGGGCTGTATACCTGGTAATGCTTTAATACAATATCCCCATGATCATACTGTCCCTCCTTACGCTGATACCCTGCGCTGCCAGTCGGAGCAGACTCTGCTGCTGGGTGTCCTTCAATGTCAAGCTCTTGAGGCCTCTGAAGATGATGGGATCTACGCTTCATTTCCTGTCAAAACAACACCCTTTCCCCGCGATACATCTCATACGCACGATATGCGACCACAATCGAATCTTGGCGCTCAATGGCCTCGTCGGCGACGGCTTTGGTGAGGTCGACGGTGAGGAGGACCGAGTTCATCTGGCGGCGGACGGGATCGAAAGGTGCTTCGAGGAGTACTGCGATGTGTCAGGATATATGCCATCATACTGCATATGTGTTGTTCATCGTACAGCCCGTGTTGTCGAAGCTCTTGTCTGCCAGAACCTCCGGATAGCTGCACGCGACTGTCAGTCCGATTCGTCTCTCGAAGTGTCTTTCTACTCACAGCTTGCGCATGGCATTGACCACGGCGCGCGTATAAGGCGCCGCGGTGGCAGGCGAAGTCATGGTGCTGTGGACTCGGCGGAACATCAACCTGAATGAATGAATGAATGAATGAATATTTGATGGGGGCGATTTGATTCAAAGCTTCAACGTCCCTGGTTCCATCAATCACCTGCGAACTACGATCGACAGCAACGGGTGGATCCTGCAGCGAGCGACGTCACCCCGAACTCGGCCCTGCCCTTTTTCTCGACCTCACTCCATCAATTCCCCCCTTCACTTTCATTGAGATTAATGAATCACCATGAGCGCGCGAACAGACACAGAAGCCGAGCAGAACCAGCTCTCGTCGGGCATCACGCCCGACACGCTCAGCGCCAAGTTGAGGGAGAAGCTGGAGGCCAGTCACGTCGACATCGCCGATTTGTCAGGTATGCACCACCATCTGATAAGATCCCCAGACTTCATGTCCACGATGCTCACTTCATTTCTAGGAGGATGCGGTCAGATGTTCGAAGCGATTATCGTCTCGCCTCAGTTCGCCAAGAAGACTACCCTCGCGCGGCATCGCCTGGTGAACAGCACGCTGAAAGAGGAGATTGCTGCTATACATGCTTGGACGCCCAAGTGCTTCACGCCTGAAGAGTGGGAGAAGAAGAAGGGTGGGGGATGAGAAGAGCATGCGTTGGAGAGTGGAGGAAGAAGTGATTGGAATGAGGAAAGATACCCTCGATGAATGATATGAAGCTTGGCAATATTTGCTTGGGCAGCGACGGCGACATGTGCGTGCTACGTGTGCTACGTCTCGTGAACATGTCGATGTTGCTTCTGTGCGCGAGGCAATGGTGATATGTTCACTGCGGACAACTTGTTGTGCAGGTCAGCCTATGCCTTCACATGCTCATATGTCCACATGCCTTGGCCGCACGATCTGCTCAGACGACACCGACCAGTATGATCCCAAGGCCTGGTCCATGCTCGCCAACTCTCGACACTACCGAACGACAAATCCACCATTCCAGCAATGCTCCAATCCTGAATGTGATGGTGCAGTGGCTTTGTGCCAGTACGAGGTGGACGTGGGGAGGGCATCGGGGGTGGTGTAAAGTCAAAAAATGCAAAAAGTATCCTACTCGAAGTTTTGGCTGCCCTCACTTTGGTATCGTATGAACACGCAAACAACTTGTCAAACTGACCACAGCGATATCTCGACCGACCGCCTCACACTCATCAGCATCGCCGCCCAGATCTCGCCGCATCCCATCCTCCTTCAAAGCCAAAACCTCACCTCGGACCTACCTTCTTCCGCACCGCCACCACGTACCCGGTCCCCTCTCCTCCTGTTTGACCTCCGAGCCATCTCCGCGCAAAGCATCAAGCCATCATAACCAAAAATTTCCCAAGCACCACTGCCTTAAATCTCCGCATCCCCGACCGTGGTCTAGTGGTTAAGGGGCTTGCGCACCTCACCTTCCCCCTCCCCTCTTCGGAGCTTGGGGGGCAGCGTCGGGGGCCAAGAGACGCGTGGTTCGATTCCCGCAGGCCGGGGAGTCTCTCTGTCGGATCCGGGTGCGTGCAGAATATTTGGGAGAGTCATATCGACCTTTGGGCGTATGATGGCGATTTTTTTTTCTTTGGGAGTTGGTTCGATTCGCGGTGGGATTTGGCTTTTGGAAATTCATTTTTTGTCGCTTTTGCTGGATGAGTCGCTTCCTGCTAGCAGTCGTTTTGTGGTTTCTGTCTTTTCGCTTCAGACCTGCACTTTGCATCCTCGAGTCGCCTTTCACGCCTGCACAGCCGCCAAATAGCGAGCACCATCCACGCCCGTAACTGTTGCTTGCCAAGTGCCTGCCAATCTGAAGGCAACGAGTGCGCCAGTCATGCACGAACGAGCTCTCCGCAAACGACGCCGTTGCGCTTCCCGCCTTCCCTTGAAAGATACACCAGCGCAGACACCAATTCTCACCCACGCCCTCACGCCGAACGCAATCGCGACGCCGCTCACCGCTACCACCACACGAATTCGAATCGAAACTCCAACTCCCCTGCCAAGACTTTCACCTTTTCTCCCTCGCTCCCTCCCTCGCTTCCTACGAACAGCGCAACAAAACAACAAACACACAAAATCTGCTGAAATATCTCGCCGGACACGACATCCACCATAGAGCATCGATCGAGCGGCCCACACCTGTTTCTACACCCATCCTTCACGATATCAAAGTCATACTAAAATAGACGCTTCTGATTGGCCCACGCGGAGAGAAGCTCGTTTGCTGAAGATTTGTTCATTTGGGGGCCAAGGCGCGAAGGATTGTGAAGTGCAGAGCCACAATTCTTCCCCTAGGGATCGGTGGCTGCATGGGCATAACAAGATACAATGGTGAGGGAGTGGGAACTGGTTCAATGTTGGGAAAATCGCTATGATGAGCGAAGGAATAGGTTGGAGTTGGTTGGCATGGTCTCGTAGCTCGTGACGAGCTCGCCGGTGTCTTTGTTTGGGGTCGATGATTAAAGGACGGACGAATGGAACGCAGCAGGTTTCGGTAGGGACTGGAATAAGTGCAATCACGCAACAACAAAATCACACTCTTCTTCGGCAACCTCCCAATCAGTAGTCCTCGCCACGACTGATCACCTCCTTGCCACCGCTGTGGAGCAAGATGGTCTGCGAATAGTCAGTCACAAATCAAGTTATGGGTTCAAGAGGGATGTACATGTTCGAACTGCGCGACGTGCGAGCCCTTCTTCTCCACCATGGGTGGGTAGTCCTGGACGATGCCGTTGTCGATTAGCTGCTTCATCTGTGCGAGAGTCAGTACTGCACCGAGAAGTGCTTCGGTGGTGACTCACTCCCAAATGGTATCTCTCGACACCGAGACGCTCGAGGTAGCGACGGCAGAACGGCAGAGTGCCGAAGTTGGCTTCGATCGTCTTCAGCAGGGCTTTCGCAGAGGCGTTGTGTAGATGCTTGGCAGAAACACCTTCCTGGCGTGCGTAGCCGTAGATGCCAATCTGTTCACATCAATCAGCTTCAAGGTACTCAGGAATGGTATTCTTGATGAGAACGTACATCATCATTGATGTATCCCCTCCCCGTACTCCCAAACGTCTCAATGGCAAACACCTCGCCCTCCTCCATCTTCTGCCGACTGTTGTTCTTCACGAACGGAATCTGCTTATCGCCGTGGATGCGATACTGCAGGATGTTGTGGCCGGTGATGTTGTTGATCGCCTTGACTGGCAGGACTTTGCCACCTCCCACGTCAATTTCGTAACTCTCCATGACCTCCTGGATCGCGGCGCCGATTTCTTTCATGCGGGCGTCGATCCCGGCGTGAGCGATGCCGGTGTTCGTGGCGTTTCTGACGGCCTTGAGGAGTGGGTCATAGGTCGGGTTGGAGGTGACAGTGAAGGCGGAGTCGACGATGCGGCCATTGACATGGACGCCAAAATCGACGCTCAGAACATCTTCAGCTTGCAGGATGATATCCTTGCCACCTGGGTTAGGCGTCCAGTGCGCAGCGACCTCATTGACACAGAGACCCGTCGGAAAGCCCATCCCGGCATTCAGCACATCGCCCGTCTCCTTGCCCTGATGACCGGTGAGGTTGTAAACACCCTCCTCAATCGCCTGGGTGATGGCGAAGAAACTCGCGCCGGGCTTGATGACTTCCTTCTGCGCATACTGGCGAACCTGGCGATGAATCTCCGCAGCGTGACGATAATCTTGGAGGAAGTTCTCATCCCAAACACGAGAGTTGTAGCGCTCTTCCTCGCCAGTCGTCCGAGCCAGATTCTCGTCTTTGTCATACGGAATAAACTCGCCGTGTGGGTAATCGGCGGCAGGATAGAACTTCGCCAAGGGGATAGTCGGAGGCACGGTCTGCTCGAGATTCCCCTTGGATTTAGACTTCTTCTTCTTCTTAGACTTGCGTTTCTTTTTCTTCTCAACCGCGGCGGCTTCTCCTACCCCGGCTTCACCCTGGCTATCATCATCGTCCTCGTCGTCGTCGCCGCCGTCGAGCATCCCGCGGTCCAAATCGGCGGAGCTCGAGCCGTTCTGGCGGCCTTTGGAGTCCGGGTTGGCTGGCTTGAAGGCAGTGTCGCCGCCTGTATCTTTATCAGCACGGCTTACTTTTGCTAGGAGGAGATGTGCGTACCATTTGCCTGCTGCTGGTGGCCTTCGGGGCTTTTGGATCCCATGTTGCTGTCAAATCCAGCCCAGACATGCGATTCTCGGGGGAATTCTGGTTTGCCAAAGCGATAGAAGGTTGGGTGAGGAAGATTTTGTTTGTCTTCTTGATGCGCCCTAAGCTTGACATGAGGTTCGCGTTCGAAGCGAATCCGAGATTGCATAAATTTGGCATAAAGTTGTGCTTCTGCATAAGCTCTCCAGTCTTGCGAGACTTCACGTCTGACTTCTTTACATTCTCATCAATATTGAACGGATTCCATCACACCTGTGTTGCGGATCACCATATCTGTGGCCAGATTCATGTTCCTGGAGACATCTTCTCTTGCCAGGCTGTATTGCCTGGGCTGCCGTGGACCACTGCCTAGCACGACATGGAGCTCGAGCGGCGAGCCATTGATTTCCAGCCTCGCGGAGCTCGCATGATCAATCAGCCATGACGGGATCGATTGGGCGCAAGATTGAAACCTCCAGGATACTTTCAAGCTGGTCTGAAGCCCCTTCGCCTGCGTTTTGTGTCGAACATGCACAAGCCATTGGAGGGTCACGCCGACATGACTGCAACATCCATGGTCTAAAAAGTAGCTCCACAACACTGCGCTCGAACGCCCATCTCGGATCTGATGGACGATTAGCTCTGCAGCTCTCGGTAGTGTTTGACCCTGCCGCTTCAAGACTTTCCCTGGAGAAAGGACAACAATGCAGATGAATGGATTACCTCTTCCGGTTAGCGTTGCGAGTAACCATATATCGAGTCGACGACCACGCCGGGCGCCTGGTTCTACTCGAACCTCATCAAACTCTGAACCACGTGGAACTCCTATTCTCGGATCTACAGTACCTTGCAGCGACCTGTTCCTGACGTCCGCACGTCATTCGGCTGGACTTCTCCTTGCTACTTTTCAGCTGCGAGCGATGACTGCCCTTCCTGGAAAGCCGCGAAGGAACAGCCTTGTGGCAGAGCCGCAGGTGTTCAGGTGAGTTATAGGTATATACTGGAGTTGATGGGCATGCTTGGCGGCTCCTTGATCTGCATCCATTCATCACCATGAAGCTCCATCTCTTTTCGTCCTTTCTCATAGCGACCACCACCGCCTTACCACAAGCCATCCCTCACGATGAATGCCCAGTTAACACAACGAGTGGCCTCATCATAGGCCATCCCTCACACGATCGTCCCTGCGTCGATGAGTATCTAGGGATTCGATACGGGAAGGCTGATAGATTCATGCCTTCGCAAGCATACAGCAGCAAAGAGGCGCATCACGCCGACAATTTTGTAAGTGCTCAATACCCTGTAGAGACTGACAGGCCTAACAAGTCCCAGGGCAATGAATGTCCATGCGAGAACGGCGTCAATGGCGAGTTGCCTGGTCAGCAGAACACCGAGACGGAGTCTCGCATCATGGGATACTTCTTGGAGATCTATAAGAATGTGACAATGTCGGATGATTGTCTTTTTCTCAATGTCTGGTCGAAGCGCAATAGCAATGACCGGAAGCTCAAGCCAGTGTTTGTCTGGGCTTACGGAGGTGTGTATCCTCCTTGACGATAACAGGCACGGACTGATAATTTTTCTGACAGGGCACTGGGCAACTGGCCAAACAAACACACCATTCTACTATGGACAATACCTCGCCGACCAAGAAGACATTGTCGTTGTCACCTTCAACTACCGCTTCAGCATTTTCGGCTTTGGCAAGGACAGCGAAGGCCTGAAAGACGGGCGCTTGGCACTCGAGTGGGTGCGAAACAACATCAAGGCGTTTGGTGGCGATCCAGAGCAGATCACACTAGGTGGACATTCGGCTGGGGCCTTCCTCGCGGATATACTTTCCTTTGCGTATCCTCAAGATCCGATCGCACAATCATACATCCTGCAGTCTGGCACAGCTACAACCCTACCAGCGGGCGATCCGTCCGTCAGAGACGAGGGATTTCGCAACGTTTCGAAAGCCCTCGGTTGCAACGACGAGGTCGACGAGGTAGCATGTCTGCAGAACAAAGACCTCCGTGAAGTCGCTGCGGCTGCTACCAAACAGCGATATCCCACTGGGAGCCTCAAAGTTGTATTCGGTCCGACGATAGACAACAAGACCGTCTTTACTCCCTCAGAGTATGCTCGCCGTGGCAAAGAAGGAACATTTGGAAAAGGCCCAACTCTACTTGGCAACGCAGACTACGAACAGGGCTTCTACAAGCTGCAATACTGGGCTTTCGACAAGCTGCACCTCGCTGAGAAGTTTTTGTACTCTCTCGTTCAGCGCATCGCAACTTGTCCAGCAGCGCAAGCTGCAGAGTGGCGAGCGAAGACTGCTCCCACCTGGCGCTACCGCTACTTCGGCGAATACCCAAGTCTGGCTCTGTATGGTCCCAACGTGAATGGATCATCCCCAGGTTCACAAGCATACCATGGGTCTGAGCTGACCCTCGTCTGGGGAACATACGAGCCCTTGACCTTGGTGGCTGGAAACGCTGAGTTGAAGGCGATGTCCAAGTACATGATGAACGCTTGGGCAGCTTTCATCCGCGATCCACATCATGGGCTCGAGGCATTCGGCTGGCCAAAGTATAATGCCAGCGGCGACACATTGGTCCATCTGGGCAAGAATGATGCAGCTTGGATGGAGCTGGGTAACTCGTCTGAGTACGATCACCTTGGCGACGTTTCCTGTGCGACGGTCATGCTGGACAACAAGTAGCGGCCAAAACAATGCTACTCCAATTCTTTGTTTATTCGAACAAAGAGCGCATGTTCACTTCTTTCATTCGAGCTCTGGTCTTTTGCCCTCGGAGCTATTTTCGATCTCCATTGTATTCTATCAGTTTGTACATAAGCAGATAGTAGACACCTGAAATTCAAACTACTTCTTCGATACTCTTCAGCAAGACTCAAGAGCAGGACTCAAGAGCAGGACTAAGCGACGAAATCAGTAAGTCTTCACACCCGAGAACTAACTCACAGAGCACAATGGCGCCGACCACATTCCAGAAGCACGCTTCAAAGTCCACCACAGCGCCTCACAAGTCTGAATCGAATAAAACTCCCGTCGTGCCTAAGTCTCAGGAGAAGTCGAAGCAGAAGGACGACAAGAAAGATTCATCTGGACCTTCTCGGCCGCAGCACATCACAGGTGCCCGTGCACACTACAATCCAGCTCCCTATCACTTCCATCCGCATCTAACCTACGCAACTTTCCTCAACATCGAAGAGGACTTTGAGGTCACCTGCCACCCGCACTTGACGTATGTGGGCTATCCCAGCCGAGCAGAGGATTTCGCCATGGCGGAGGACGATGAGGACGAGGACGTCGATGATGACGAAAACGACATCGAAGAGGCGAGGAGGCACAGTCGAAAGACTCGGGTAACGACACATGTGCATCGTAGGCATAAATAGACGAACCGAACAACCATTCGCAGACCGAAGAAAACTCCTACGGCCGATAGAGATCTCTTTCTCCCTCAAACTACGGTTCTCATACATTCCCTCGTAAAGCGACCACAATACCCGGATCGTAACCAATGTATTCCAGCGGTCAGCCAATCGCAACCACATCCTCCTCCCTTCCAGCCCATGATTGGATTCCCAGCACCGCAACCAACACAGCCCTAGACGTCTCGGGCATGCTACGGAGCTTACCGGCAGCCTCGCCCGATCGACTCGTGTGCTTCGCCCTAATGTTCGCGGGCGAGCTACGATAGTCCAAAGTAGATATTTTGTTACCTTCTTGAGATTGCCTTTTGACTGATTAAGTGCTAAGGTCAGTCCGTTTCAATGACTTCTCCCCGCTACACGGTCTACCATAGCCATTACTCGCTTCCGTCGATTATTGCACGCTTCTTGGTTGCAGTGCGAGGGAGTCCTATCGATGGACTCGATGACGGGTTTACAGAACAAGTCATAGATGTTTTTGCCGGGGAACAACTGTCCGCACTCTTTCAAGCAGGCGGTGATGTCGTTGCAGACGTATGTACCCCTGAACGCTTCTTCGATGAATTGATACTGAGCGAATAGATACCAGCGCTGCGGAACGAGTCCAGCAGAGATACAGTTTCAGGCCCTATCGAGATAGCACGACATCTGAGCGATCGATATCCTGCGCTGTTTCCGGCGAAAGAAGCGGACACGATCAAAGCCCACATCGCGAGGCTTCACGATCTCGATTGGTTCTCGTTGTCCTTGCCGGTCCCAAGGCCGAGCCGTGGTGGAGACGATCAATCGAGAGAAGCACTTCAAGAATTTCAACATGATCTGGAACAGAGGCTTGAAGGAGGTGCTTCAGCCTGGTACCGCGCAGCATTGATGTATCGACTGCGAACGTAAGACCCAATCACCACCCCCTGCAAGGTGATGACAAGATTCCTAACACCAATGTCATAGATTCCAAAGTCCCAACGACGAGGTATCCAGAATCTACGAAGTCCGAGCACGAGCAAGACACACTCTCGAGGCGATCGAAGGACACGTCGTCGATCATCGCGGGCATCCATGGATTTTTGGTTTCGAGAGACCGAGTGCTTTGGATGCTCACCTGGTTCCATCGCTTGCGAGGTTGGAAGATGCTGGAAATGGGGGTTTGATACCGCCGAGATTGAAGGGGTATCTTGATGCGGCGAGACGGACGCAGTATTGGAGGGAGGTGATGGGGGATCGGAAGACGTTGCGGTGATGTAGAACATAGGCTAGAACGGGCATGTTCTCTCCGTGGCCTGGAACAACATTGAGTGAGGTACACGCTTGATTTGTCAACAAGGAAGCCTAGCAGTGTGTGGCTACATGTAAGAGATACAGGACTTACTTGAGCCCATCAGCGAGGAGAATGTGTCAATGAGACACGCTCTTTGGCCATCGACAATTTTGAAGAGTGCTGCCTTTTTGTCATGTCGTTGATGCGGATATCCAATGCAAACTCATCCCGCAGAACGAGAATTGCCACGAGGGCAGCTGTGAGAATCGATATCGCGGTACGTCACAAAACCCAGTCTCTGCGATACGTTGTTTCAGCGAGTGGGAGAAATTGGTGGGTGCTTGCCTGTGAACCTGATTCACATGCTTCTTTCCAGCGTCTTGCAGTAAAACAGCTTGCGGGCAAAGATCGACCTAAGAGAGCAAGACTTGGATTGCCATCCCCAAACAGCTCGATCGATTCGGGGCCTGTTCGTCTGGAAACGATCCAGTATTTGAATGCCCGTTGGCTCTTTTCCATGCGCACCAGACACAAACATCTTCATGTTGAGCTAGAGCGCGCGCCCTTGAATGTATCTCGAAGTTCGACGTGCAGTAGACTTTCCCGGAACATATTTACTGATGATCCCTTGTGAGCACACAGTCATTCCCCCCCCGGCATCGGGACGTTGAATCCTTGATACAGCCTTCTCGCAAGGTATTTGCTGCAAGCAGGCCCTGGCCTCGCTTCTATCTGGAGGGACTTCCAAAGTGATGATTGCGCTTTGTCTGGCTTGGAAGAGGGACTCACACGGACATATTTTAGAAGACTGGTATACCCCCAAAGTCAATAAGCTCGATCACCTGGGAAGAGCTTCCTCGACTCGCATGAAGGCCTTCACGGAGACCTTCGGAGAAGGAAACCGGTTCCAAGATACTGGGAGGCAGGTCACGAGCACTGTGCGTCAAGGGTCAGGAACAAGTGCTCGATCGAGCGAGACAATCGAAGAAGGCAACCTAGCTGAAGGTATGCCATGTAGTGTTGACAGTGTATCAGGGCGTGGGGAGATGTCTTGTCGTCGCACCGGCTCGTTTCCAGACACGTGTCAGGCGTGGTAGTGCAGCTTGGCGAGAGGGATCATAGGTATGATGGTATACGAGGACGCGCGCTTGTGCAGCGTTGCGCCTGAGATATGGTCGTGTTACGGTCCTGTTACTCCAGGAGAATGTTCGTTTAGCTCACGAACAAGTGAAGCATGGTTGGTGCCGGAAGGATTCTTGGCCATCATCATTTCCATCCAAGCAATTCCCATGCATCAAGAAAAAGCAAGCGTGCCGTCGATCACATGCTGAAGGCGAGTGAATGATTCGAGCACGGCTTAAGGGGCAGCGCGCAGTGGTGATACTTGTAAGCAGTCAGCTCGAACTTTTCAGCCGGCCTTCAATGCCGTCGGTATCCAGACAATGACGAGAACCGCATCCTCATGGCCTCGTACTAGACTGGATATGTCGTGCATGTCATCAGTCCCATGGTTGAAAGTTAAGCCACGTCGATGGGGGCGTGCCGCAAGAATGCCTAACATTCTGGTTGTTGAAGCCCAACCTGACACTAGGTTACGGGGGCGAAAGTCGCACGGAAGGGGTAAACGGATACGCGGGAGCGATATCGACCAGACCCCTGAGCGTGTTGCAACTGCCGAGGCAGGCGCTTTCTGGTGAGCGTTGCGCTGCCGATATCGCTTAGCGGTATGCTTTTAACCCCCTATCTCCCCCGACAGAATGATGAGCGGTGAACTGGAGGGGAATGATGCTCGGTCAGATGACGATTACACGCTGTCAGCGGCGTTTCAATGGCAATGCTGAGGCTCAACGACAATTTGCGCTTCCGGCAGAGGTAAATTCAGGACTGTAATATTAACCAGACGAGTCGCGGAAGTTTTCGCAGGTCGATTCACGCACAAGCGTACGACCACTTCCTGGCACGTGTGTCTCGGGTAAGCGAGGCTGGGCAGCCAGCAAGAGGCTAGTGACGGACTTCTCACCTGGCTCCCTCACCTCACACAGAAGCTGCAGTGCCTCCGTACGCATGTCATTTGCGCGTTTTGACAGCTCGCCAAGCCAGGCAGTCCGTCATGCTGTGGCCCCGTCCGCGCCGTCGAATGGCAGACACTCCCAATGGCGGCCCTGCCGTGCCTTGCTTTTGCCCGCACTCCGCCCGCCGCCTCCTTCTCTGCTGGCTCCCTTTGATGCCAACACATTCCACTCGCACCACAAGCTCGAATGCTCGACATGGATGGCTGGCCCTACTCACCGCGGCCACACGGCTCTGCCCCTGACAGGCCTGCGGATGATGCTCCAGTGCAGATGGGCCAGCGCGCGCTGCATGACCTGGCACTATCAACCTCCTCACCCATATCGCCCTCCCGACTGGCCCTGCGTGCCTTCGACCCACCAGACCCGCGCCGGCAGCATCAAAGGGTGCTGATATGGCCCTGCAGCTAACATTTAGCTTTCCCTCGAGGCCAATAGCGGCCAACTGTGTTTGTCTAGACCTCGCCATGCCCGGATGAATCGGCGATATTTGCCCTTCTCCAGAGCTCTCCTTCGATCCTCCCCGTCGTCCGACTGGTGACAAGGTCGTTGGGACGAGGGTCAAGCCATGCGAGTCGCAGAGCTCAATACTGCAGGCTACTGCTACCATGCATGGAGATGGTGTGCTCGCCGTCTCGATGACAGCAGCCATGCTTGCCATTGCGCGGGTATAAAAAGGTGACACGAGAGCTGTGTGCTCTTACTTCCTCTTCTCAACCTCTGCTTTCACATCTCCTTAGATCTACCAACTACCTGTCTCTTCATCTTGTCTCACCACAATCAATCACTCATCATGGCCTCAACTTACTACCAGTACCAGCCCACCGGCACCCTGCCCGTGAATGTGCCAGGCAAGTCACCGCAGCAGCCGTATGCCGGCCGCCATCAGCGGAACTCGTCTGCATTCAGCCAGCTCTCGGCATCGCCGCCTGAGCGACCCGAGAGCGTTTCCTCATCTGGTGGAGGTTTGTACTCTGCAGCGTCCAGCCAGTACGCTAGCAGCGAGTATGACTCGAGCGGTGCGACCAGCGTGGATTTGCTGGACTATATGAACGACCGACTCTCGCAAGCTTACAATCCCGTTCCCCTGGACAAGAATTTGGCAAGACAAGCGCAGATGTGAGTTTGAGCAGCGAAATGATACTTTCAGTTACTAATCGATCTGCAGGTCTGGAGAATTGAACGCAAAGAACCGCGAGCTGCTCGCATTGCAAGCGCAAGCCAGAGCACGACTGGCGAAAACTCGAGCAAACTTTGCCGACGGCATGAAGGCCGCAAAGGACGTGCAGCGAGATCTGGAGTGGACGCAGAAGAAAGTCAAGTACGATCTCGAAAATCTTGGAAATCTTGCATCAGATCGCTGACACTGCATAGCACCTTGAACGCACGAGCAGCACAAAAATACCCCGACCAATACCGCGCTGCAAGTGAACGTTACCCGGCGCCCATCGACTACTAAGAAAGCTCGAAAGCCGAAGTTTGCTGCTGTTGAACGCTTCACGACGGCGTTGAATCGGGATCTGCTTTTTCAAATCTCTGTGACTCCCAAGATTTTGCGATCGAGAGGACACCACAGAGGTGACCATGAGAGAATGAAGTCGCACGGAAGACAGGACGTTCGAACAAGCTTCGCTCGCCCGTGGCCCATGCTTTCAGTACCTTGCATTGGCGCTATGGATTGAGTGCCGCTTGCACATGGCGTGCATGGGGCGGGTCGCAGTAGCCTCCATCCACACTGACTGGAACGGGCTGGGGCAGACTGGAACTGCCGGCAGCGGCAAGCAAGCAGGATTATGCAGGGTTGGATGGCAGGCGTTTTCCCCATACCCTCCCGGGCGCCTAATCCCACTCTTATCTCCTTCTGGGTTGATCTACGGCCGACGCCACGGGTGTAAGTTGGAAGAAGAACGGGTAGCACTCGTTAACATTTTCGTCTAATATCTCCCGATTCCGTATGGTGTTGGTGGTTCAATGGCGGCCACGTATTTTGTGTATGCGTCCACAGCCAAGCCTCAGCAGCAAACGATGAGATGTGTGGCTTTTCCTTCATCTCTTATGCAGTGCGTGGGTTGCACAAGTTTGAGATCTCATCCATCTGGATCTCGCTCATTCCGATCGTGTGTTCCCGAGTGTGTGTGGTGGCCCTGGGCCAATCAGACGTGTTTGATGCCCAATGGCACACACGCACGAGGCCCGTTTCGGTGTGACGGATGCATGCTGGCGGTGATCGTGGACGTTCCGGTGGATGGAGGATGTGCCACCGTATAGTGTTGGCGAGGAGAGAGGACGTTGGAAGCTGCGACAAGCGAGTCACGTGCTAAGTTTTCAATGCGGAAAGACGCTAATCCTGTTTCAGGGAATTTCCACGGCAGTTTCCAGAACATTCACGTGAGTTGGAGATGATTCGAGCACGTGATAGAAAGGTGGAGGCGACAAGGATATGGTCTGGCAGGTTCGACGATGAGTCGTAGACGTGGAGATGACGAGAGCCGTCAGATGAGTACTGGATGATACTGGCGACTTCCACACTTCATCGTCGAAGGTTCGAGGAAGTTGAGACGAAAGGTATATAGATCTGCTCAACGACCTCGACATCAACTCTTCTCATCAGACAACAACACAACAACCACATGCAAAGCATCCGCATCAACAACCGCCTTCCTCAAGTCCTTCGACGAACCATCAAGCGAACTCCAGCAACGACTTCATCCTGCCACACCGCCGCACACAACATGTCTCTCTTTCCACGCTACATTGCGAACGAATTCGCACCCATGTTCCGCCTCATGGACGACTATGCGGCGCACCGCACCGGCAGTCTCAACTCAAATGAGTGGCCATCCTCCTTCTCCAGCACCTTCAAATCCTTTACTCCCAAATTCGACGTCAAGGAAAACAAGGACTCGTACGAACTCCACGGTGAACTGCCCGGCATCAAGCAGGAGAACGTCAACATCGAATTCACCGATGCACAGACTCTGACCATCAAAGGCCGCACGGAGCACGTGAGGGAGGAAGGCGAGCGAGCAGCTGGACTCGTTGAAGGCGGCGAGCAGCAGAAACAGATCGAGGGCAACAACGGCTACCACAAGCCTTCGGTCGAGGAGGAAGGGTCGAAGCAGGCTTCTTCTGACAAGAACACTGAAGTGCAGAAATCTTCTTCCGAGGAAGCTAAGCAGTCGGAGAAGCAATCCAAGTACTGGGTCTCCGAACGCTCCGTTGGCGAATTCGCACGCACCTTCTCCTTCCCGACGAGGGTCGATCAGGAGAATGTCAAGGCTTCGCTGAAGGATGGGGTTTTGAGCATTGTTGTGCCCAAGGCTCAGGCTCCGACTAGCAAGAAGATCAACATTGAGTAAAGTGGATCACATCGCACTTGTCTGTTGACGAAGATGGGAATTCGGTCCTTAATGATGATGGAGAAAGAAAGCATGGCGATGGTGTCGTTTAATTCGGTCCTTTGGTAATGATGGGATGGATGAACGCATATGAGATATGACTTGCCTTCAATTACCTATTGTATACTTTAGCAAGTTCTAATGAAGCTTTCTCACTCGTGAAGAAACAAACACTGCCACAACTTTACTTCCCCTGCCTGGCTCGACTTCGCAATGACTATCCACTATACAAAGACCCGCCACCCCTACAGCCGCCCACACACAACATCAAAGCTTCACCGTAAGACCCGTCTTCGCAGCAAGCTGCAACCTCGCAAAGAAATCCGCCGTCCTCTTCGAATCCACCGTCTCCTCAATCCTTACAATCTCGCTTCCATCCTTGGTGAACCACAAAGCCCAAATATACTCATCTTCATAAGGACCGATGGCACTTTGCGAAGTGGCCGTGACGGCGAAGACGGCGATATTATCTCTGGCGTCGTTGACGAGGATGCGAGATTGAGTCTGTAACGAAGCGTGTGTGTGTCAGGGCCGAAAGGATTGGGGAGGAAGGGGGAGATGGAACCTTGAAGCCCGTGATGGGTTTTGCAAGGACTTTGTTGAAGTATTTTCTGTATTCGTCGTTGGTCCGTTGGGGCACGCCCATTGACTTGGGGAGTTGGATGTGGATGCAGTCTTTGTGGCGGTGGCGTGTTACGCCTTCGGCGGTCCATCCTTCGTAGCCGGCAATGAATTCCTTGATGATGCGGGCTTGGTTGGCGGTAGTGCTGTCGTCCATCTTGAGCGAGAGTATGGTTGGGTTTGGTTAGAAGGGGCTCGATCTCGAGCGTGTGCTCATCTATTACCACCGCCGTACTGTGGAAGATATTAGACATTCAGTCCGATCCCTGTGAGATTAAATCTTTTTGTTTCAGTCATGACTTCGACCTCACCGTCAAGCAGCAGGTAACAAACAATTACTAATCAGTCTCCAGCTCTAGAATACTCAAATGTTTTAGCTTTGACGCTCTTTCCCAATCCGTAAAACATCCACAATCAGCAGCTAAGCAGCGCTAGCGTGGACTTTGCTCGCGGAATGGCCACATTCGGTCGAGGGTGGAGTAGGTTGGCCAATCATGGTGACTTGAGGATGCAGGTACTCAGTGAACGTACATGTAGTTTGGAGAGTGCAGGAAATCGGGTTCTTTGGCGGGTTTGAATGGACAGAGTCTGGCCTCGACGTGTCCGAAAGGATCATTCATAGAGGATCGAAGCTCTTCGAACGGGCTGGTCTATAATGAAACTGAATTGATATCAGCTAGAATCTTTTCGCAATATGACCGCACGTAGCTAAAAGACAGCACCACTCTGAAGCGACTCCACCACCTTGGGCATATTCTGATACGCCGCCATAAACGCCGCCTGCATCCTCCCCAACAGCGCCAGCTTCTCCATATCCTCGGGCCTCACCGCCGTGGTCAACTTGGTATAAACATCCAACCGCGACTGCGCCAGCCACCTCTGCAAAATGGGGCTCTGATTCTCCCTCGCGCGGTTCTCCATGTTGATGGCTTCGGAGAGGATGTAGCCGTCGAGGTTCTTGGGGTAGCGCAGCGGGGTGGCGTATTTGTTCTTCTCGTCGTCGGACCAGTCGAGGGATTCGAGGAAGGCGATTTTGGCGCAGCTGAAGGGGATTAAGGGGTAGCGGATCATTTGGGGGACGATTTTGCCTGGTTGGAAGACGGGGACGGAGGGTTTGTCGGGGAGACAGCTGGCGGTGCAGTCGATGAAGAGGGTGTTTGGTTTTACGTCGACGGTGCCGTTTGTGAGGGTAATTTTTTGGGCGTCAATCTTGGTCACGTGGCCCTTGCGGACGATGTCTGGAATACGGCGCAGTTCTTCGACCTCTCGTGGCGCCAGGGTCGCGGCGTGGAATTGTTGTGGTTCAATGCTCGGGTCAAGACGTTGCCAAACTCCGCATTTCTCGAGTGCCAGAGCGATGTCGCGGGAGGTGGTGGCCGTGCCAATGCCTTCGTACATGTCAACGAGGGTGGTGAATGTGTCCATGAAGAACTCCAGCAATCCTTGGAACTTGGCGCGGTTGTAGTACCAGTAATCGGCAGGCATGATCCAGCGGATTCGTTCAGGATCGACGCCCCGTTCAAGTAGCCAAATGCAGGTGTCTATCCCCGTCTTACCTGCTCCCACAACGGTGAAGTTGATGGCATCTTGCGCTCTGCTGGGAAGATGGTTTGGTGGGATGATGGGGACTTGGTCGACCTCGAATGAGCGCGTGTGCTTCAGTGGGATGACGTTGGAGTAGTAGGCAGCATCGACCAGCTTTTTGTTGATCTGTACGGTCCAGATCTTGCCTGAAGGGCCCTCTCGAAGCGTACCGTCTGGCAGAAGCTCAGTCGATGGGAAGAATGTCACCCGGCCTGAGGGAAGAAATCTATCTCTCATTACCGTCGTGCAGTATGAGATGATTTCGGGCCCGGAAGCGAGGGTCGAGAGGCCTTTGTTCAGGCCGTGCACGTCGATATTACTGCTGGCAAGCTCTTTCGACTCGACTCCATACTGACTTGCTGGCTGATGGAGTTTGACGTAAGGATACGAATCGTTCCAATGGCCTCCAGGTTGGTCCCGCTTGTCGACAATCAGGACGGTGGCTGAGGTCCTCGTCAACAGCTCGTCGACAAAGCTCAATCCACTGACTCCTGCACCGACCACGAGATAGTCTACGATGATGTCTGCTTTAGTTGAGGCTGCCATATTGTATATCGATCAGTGAGGTCTTGCATGTTCGAGAGGGAGGTGCGTTGCAAAAGTTGGGAGTCGGTCTCGCTTTAATTCATTCTCTTAGCGAAGGATCGTACGAGCTGAAAGGAACAAGGCAGGCATCAGAAGTAGGGTGGATCTATCTGGTCCGCATAAGCTTACTATGAGTGGTGGCTTCGCATGAAGTGTTGGCGTGGGTACAGACGTCCCTGAAAATAAGGCCCCTCGGTTCAACTGGCGCTGACTTTGAACTACGCGCGAGGAAGTAGCGCGGTCGGTTGTGCGATCCAAGATGTTCCTTCTGCCAATCTACAGCAACCAGTGGTGCGCTGCGCGGTATCATCCTCGATACAGGCAACGCCCCCAACATAGGGCTCCTTTACGGCGGATCTCGCATATCTCGGGCCCGTGAATGGTGAAGCGAAAGGTAGGCCGGGGCTGAGCGCGGCTGAGGAGTCGTATGACAAGACCGCCATGGCCAATGTGATCCCTGCCCTTCGGACGTAACAGCTGCTTTCATCGCATCCGCGCAAAGTGAGCCCAGTCCGCGCATAGGAGCGATGTTTCGAGACCTTGAAGTCGATCGAAGCGAACTACTGCATCCGTGACGCAGGGTGCATAAATCCTCCCGGCATAAGTAGTAGGGTAGCACGTTCGATAGCGGGAGGTAGCCCTACTACCGCCTGCGTCGTCGCGGTCTGGTCGGGTCACTTTACTTGGCTGGATAGGTGTGCTTTCGGCCGCATGGTAAGGAGTTGGGTATGTACTCAGGCGACTCGAGCGTCCTGCATGGCATTGCTGTCGTCGATATGACTAGGCATAGCTCTATCGCCTGTGACCAGCACATCTGAGACTTCTTCCACTACGTCAGCGTCTATGCTCTTCAGTATCGAATACAGCGAAAATGCATGGTCGGTCAGTGAGAGTAGCAAGTTTTGGGTGAAGAGTTGGTCGAGCAGCCAGGAAGATGGCGTCAGGAGTGTGGAGAGATGCATCACGTGACGCTGACTTCCGAAGCTGCCGACGAGCTCCCCGATGGCGTACCACGCTCAGACTTCGACCACCCAAACACTCTCCGCCCAAACACGCCCCCTAACCGCAGTCATACGTTATTGTTGGCGGTGATTTGATTGACCTATTCATTGGCATTGCGTCCATTCGATTACCGCGCTTTGATTGGGCCCAGCGCTTGCCGAGCATGGAGAGGACCGAGTACCCGGGCATGCTGGTGAGTTGCCCGAGAGCTGTGATGTGGGAGACATATGGCATGTGCTGAGTGAACGATACAGCCCAAGCTGCAGCCCGGTCAGGCTGTCGATATCCTTGCCGACCGCGTGCGATCCGTGGGCAGGCTGAATACTTCTATTGCGGACTGGCTACAGGTGAGGAGGACCACTTCTGCAATACGCTCCGGACGAGGGTTGACGGTGATGGTGATAGGAACGGAGTCGCCTGGAAGAGCAGTATGCCGCCGGCTTGCGCAGACTGGCGCGCAGGCCCATCGATGACAACGATCTGGGGTATGGCAGGCAGCGATTCAAGATGCAGGAGTGTCATTAACAGTCGACAGCATCTTCACGGTCCCGTGGAACGCCATCACCAACTCCATGGACATCCTCGCCGATTCGCATTCTTCCCTCGCTTCCAAACTCGAGGTCGACGTCGAGGCGCCTCTGCGCGCATTCCAATCCAACAACCGCGAAATGCAGGCCATGGCCACCATCCAGGGCAACTTGGCCTCTCTGGCCAAAGATGTGGAAAGAGCGCAGCAAAAGACGGACAAACTGCAGACCAAGAACGAAAGAGCCGATCCCGGGAAAGTCGCCAACGCGAGCTCTGATCTGGACAATGCGCGACAGCAGTGGGAGTCGCAAGCCCCATACGTTTTTGAGAATCTCCAAGCGCTGGACGAGACGAGGGTCAACCAGCTGCGGGATCTCCTCACTCAGTTCCAGACGCTGGAAGTCGACCAGGTCGAGAAAGCCCGGGTTGCGGCGGAACAATGTCTGAACGTCTTGCTGAACGTCGAGACGCATGACGAGATCAAAACATTCGCTATTAGGACGTTGTCGAAACCGCGACCCACAGAGACTCCACGTTCCAACAGGATGAGCGTGGTGCCTGGGATGGGAGGAGGCTCGGCCTCGAGAACCGGCACCTCCTCATCTAATGCTCTGGCTCCGATTGCGTCAAACGACGACCAAACTAGTCAATTCTCCGGCAACACACCAGAATCATCTAAAAAGGGCGGGCTTAAAGGTCTGAAGCGACTTGGTACTGTCATGTCGCGACGAAACAGCAAGCAGCCGTCTACCTTACCCTCGACTTCTGAGTCTCCAGAAAGGAAAAGCCGGTTACCAGGCCCATTTGGCAGACTCGGCCGTAACAAAGACTCATACTCTCTCGAGCCGCCGCAGGAGGAACGATCTTCGCGCAGACCGAGCTCACCTCTACGAATGGGTAGCGAGGTGTTGGAACCGCCTGGCTCAAGACAGGAACCCGCAAGCCCTGCTAGTACCAGGCCACCTCAGTTGGACCCTATCCCCCAGCTGAATGGAAGTCGATCGCCTACCGGGGTTGCATTCCCGAATGGCAGTCATCAGGGCGACCTTGCAGATTTGGAACCACCGAGACCAGTACAACAAGATCCACCAACAATACCCGTCGCGGCCGAACCCCAACGTGACAACGAAAGCTTCTCGGTCCCTCCACCAACTCTCGATCCCATTTCGCAAGCACAAGCCGATGCCGCATTCGCTGAAAGGACTGAGCCGCAGTACAATGTCAACATTCGAAGCGCGCCCATACAGGAAGAAGGCAGTGAAGCTGCTCTTGCCAATATGGCAGGAAGACTGGTGAGTTTGGTGTGATACCTGATAAGACGATGGTAACTAACACTCCACAGCAAGCACCACCTCCAGTCTCACGCAGGGTTGGCACGGTGCGAGGGCGTAGAGACAATCGCAATAGTGCTGTGATTAGCACCTACGGACCACCTGACCAAGCTTCACAAGAGCCACTGACCATTGCAACACCACCAACTGCGGAAACAGCTTTTGAGCCAGCGCCCGTCAGCACGCAAGTTCCAGCACCTGCAGTCCAGCCCCCGGTCGATGCATCAGCAAGTCAATCCCCGTCAGGCGCCTTCACCTCACCAGCAAGCTCAACTCCATTCTCGCCATTCAGCCTTGGCGAGCCACAGTCTCCCCTCCGATCTAGGGCTGCTCTGGGCACTGATATTACTGGTGACAATCAGTCTATTCGTTCCGGACGCTCATTGCAAAGCACCGCGAGCCATACCAACAAGCACCCCGAACTTCAAGCCCCAGGTCTCAGCTCATCGATTGTCGAAACAGTGTCTGCGAGGTTCGAGCAAGGCAAGACTGTCAGCTCTCAAATCATTGGCGAAATCGCTCTGGCATACAACGCTGCAGACTTCAACTCCCCATTTGGCCATGAAAACATCCGCCTGGAACACTTCTCGACGCTGGAGAAAGTCGCGCCCAATCCTGCCTTCATCAATCAAAGCCCCGAGCAGGAGGGCGAGTACACTGTCAATCTGGCCAATCTTTCGCGAACCCAAGTGGCGTTCAAGTACCAGCTACGCGGGGAACAGTCCCCGAACACGCACCTGCCACTGCTTCTTACGCCTGCTTACAAGATTGAGCCTACTCAGGCGTCGGTCATCATCAGCTACTCCTTGCGTCCAGATTTCGTTATCCCAAATGGGCAAGACAGTGTCACCTTCCACAATGTCATGATTGCCCTCACTCTGGAGGGTGCTCGTGCATCTGGGTGCCAGTCCAAGCCTGTAGGTACTTTCGCCCGAGAGAAGAACCTGGTCTACTGGCAACTCGGCGATGTCACACTTTCGACGGGCGCCGCCCCCGAAAAGCTGCTTGCACGCTTCGCCACTGACGGCGAAGCGAAAGGTGGAAGCATAGAAGCGCGCTGGGAAATCTCGGGCGAACACGCTGCCGGCCTGGGGAGTGCACTGAGCGTCAGCCAAAGCGCCGCGGGAGAGGGCGCTGATCCTTTCGCCGATGAAGAGGGTGCTGGAGCTGGTGGTGCCAACACAAACTGGAAGATGGTGCCGCTGGTGAAGAAGATCGCCAGCGGTAGCTATGTGGCGAAGTCGTAGAAGGAAAAAGCATTTCATTCTGTGGTTCATTTCGTCGGAAGAGTTGTAAATATTTAATGATACCCATTCGTTTCATGCTTGATGATGGAGGATGGCGGGAGGTAGTGGGCATGCATGGGAGGGTGGTGGATAAAAGGTAGTGTGTATAGAATGGGGCTGTTGCTGATACAGATTGAGACAGATTGTACAGAGCGATTGAACTACGCCTCCTTCCTCGATTCTCAACTTTCCGACCTGTCGTAGTCAACACCTCTCACTCTACCATTGGGAACGCAGCCTCGAGCAGACAGGATACCGGCGTTTCAAAGTACACGACGGTCTTCAGTTTCCGACGATCCCAGAGCCTCTTGCACCTTGGGAGTTCGAACAGCCCACATGAAGCACTCGGATCGCCAAAGACATTGGCCCTACCGCTGCAGCTGCGCATTCGACCTCAGCCTAAAGCGCCCCATGTCGTTGGTCATCGGAGCATGAATGGATGACACAGCCAATCTGATGACACTGCATTGGCGAAGACGGCTAAAATTGGCACTTCACGTACCTATTCGACGGTTTGGGAAGGTCGTCGGCCGTTGGTTTCAGGACGATCCATAAGGCTACGACACGAAGCACGTGGCGTTTAGCCTCCGCGCCCATCTACCGGGTCGTGTTCGCTGCACGACGACGATTCCTTGTAGCCGCCGACGAGTAGAAAGTAGGGATTGTTCGAAGAGAGTTGAGACTACATGCATGGTGGACGTTGACAAATCGTGATTAGTCGTGTGGCGGCAGCTGGAACCTCATATATGGAGAGATCGCCAAGCCGTCGAAGGCCGTATTGCTGGAAAGTTTGAATCGAGAATACGACATCTGGATTCATGCAATGCTGCGGTATTATATCCACGAGGCAGGAGCGGACGAGGTCAGCTGTTCCCTGGATCAGCTGAGATACGGACAGCATTTAAACATAAGAAGATGGACCTTCCTCGGCCTCCGATCGCTGGGCTGATGTCGAAGTCATCCCAGATGTCATCGTTTTTGAGCTGCACGGTCAGCTGTATGATCGAAGTGGTACCTTCGCCACCGTACTGAAGAGAGATTAAAAGTTTCACCAAGGAATCAGTCGAACAAGAGACCAGGCTACCGACTCATCAACCCTTGTCAACAAGACTGGACGGTCTCACCCGAGCAATCATGCAACGAAAGCCACGCTCCTCCTCAGAAACGACAACCTCATCCACCTCATCCACCTCTTCAGCCACCTCAACTACCTCATGGGACCTCCTCATGCCCACCTCCCCGCCCCTCACCCGCACGCACTCCTGCCCAAATCCAACACCCACCCCACAAGCCCCGCTCTCCCCCGCCATCGCCAACCTCGAACAAATCTCCCGCTACTGCGTCACCGTAACCAACGCGCACTTCCCCTCCCCCACCTCCCTCCTCGCCTACATAACGCCCCACATCTCCCCCTCCTGGGCCGCCGACTTCGACGGCTTCCCCGCCGAAACCTCCTTCCCGCGCCACTTCTACCTGCACCTGCACATCATGCGCTCGAACCCGGAATATAGCGCGTCCGTGCTGAATGTGACGACCATCGCGGATGAGGCGGAGGGTTGGGCGGATGTGATGATGTTGTTGGAGGTTAAGGGGCGGCCGAGGGGGACGAGGAGGCAGACGCTTGTGGTGTTGAGGTGGAAGAGGGGGTGGGAGGGCCAGTGGAAGTGGGTGCATTTGAGTAGTATGAGGGGGATTGGGTCCATTTTTGGGGAGGTGGCGGGTGCGGAGTGAGTGAGGAGGGGGCTTTGGTCAGGGGATGGGGAGTTGGTGGTGGATGAGAAGAGATAGGAGGAGGCTATTTTCGGGTTCTATGGAGCAAAAGAGAGATACGAAGCATGAAGAATCGGGTTGGGATGGCGAGCATGAAACAGTATGACCGGTGGATGCGGCGGCCTCTCAGACAGTGAATGTGGGATTCTCAGCTTCGATCCAACTCCGTCCGCCATCCATGCATTGCCTCCGACTCTTCCTCCGCTAATGCAATGCCGAAATACTCCCTCAGTGCGGCTATACGCTGCTGCTCCGTTCGACACTCCACAACCACACTCGTCTTACCACCCAAATTCTCCTTCACTGTCCCATCAACGAGCATTCGCTTCCCGACAACCTGCGGCTGCGCTTCGCCATCTATCAAGAACAGCACAACGAGAACCTTGTCGAAATGCAAACTGGCCGCATTATGCCCTGTGAACCAATTCACCACCGCCCAGTCCTTCGGCAGAAATTCGATTTCCAGGAATGCGTAGAAACTTCTCCATGGCTGGTCCTCTGAGTTCCGATATTGATATACCCAGTACATGTCCCTCTCGTCGGTCCGCTTCTTTTGCTCTTGAAGCCACTCCCGGATTAGGCGGACTTCCTGAGCGCCTAGATTCTCATGGACTCGCCCTGACAGGAGGGGAAGAGGCGCAGTTGGTCCATCTCCTCCAAAGCCCACATCATCTGAGTACTGAGATCCATCCGGGAACGTCACGATGCAGGTGATGTGTATCCTACGTAACACATCCGTGAGCCTGAGACAAGAGTCCACGTCAAGACTGCTGCAACAACATACCATCCACCCCAATCACCACTCGGCACACCATCGACTCGAGCTCTGGCCTTGGCGGGAGCAGGGTAGACGTCGAAACCCAAGCCTAGCAGGACATGATAGTAAATAAGGGCCACTTCCATGCAATACCCGCCCCTGCCTCGCTGATTCTCAACAATCTTGGTGAAAAGCGTTGGCGGATCTAGATCGATGCGATGCGCGGGGTTGTAGTGCAGCGAAAGGTTCTCATAAGGAATACATGAGATCGTGCGTATGTGCAGTTCGTTCAAGAGTGCTGGCGTGGGGGTACTTCCATACACGCTCCGCGGCAGTTTGATATAGTTCAGAAATTGGAGTATTTGCTCCTCTGAGAAGGCTGAGCAAGACATAGGAATCTTTATTTCTCGCCACGACTCATTTGGTACGTCGAGGGATACTAATCATTTGAGCTGTAGGAGCTTTCAATTGCTGCTCGGAACTAGGATCCGAGTTTCGCGGGACTATCTTCCTGAATGCTGATAGGGGCTATGTGCAAGGCGTAGGGCGTACATTATGTAGTTCTAGCCTGGTCGGTTACGAATGCCTATTTTATTCCGGATCGCACGCTATACGCAATTGAATGAAACACCAGTCACGAATTGAAGTCTTGCCAATCCACAATGTTGTTCCATGCCGTCTAGCTACATTTGTCTTTGCGAAACGTCCCTGAAGAGTTGCATTCAAGGTATTTCGACATGGCTCGGCCTTCCACCTACCACATGCAACACATCTCTGTAGATGGCGGCAGTCCATCCTCAAAGCGCCAAATTGAACAAACTTGCTAGACAGTACTACCCTACCGATCCTTAGGATCAACATCCCTAATCCTCTTCGCATGAACCTCCACTTCCTCAACACCATACTTCAAATGCACCCGTTTCGTCGACGCCGGCTGATTCGCCAACGACAAACCTTTCCGCCACTCGGTCGACGGCCGTATAGGTCTCGGTGTGAGTCCCCCGCCGCAGTTGGGACATACGTTGAAGAGTTTCGCCTCGGTGCACTCGCTGCAGAAGGTGCATTCGTAGGAGCAGATGTGGGCTTCGGGGGTGGAGGGTGGGAGGTCTTTGTCGCAGTATTCGCAGTTGGGGCGGAGCTGGAGGACCATGATTGTGGGTGGTTCGAGGTGGCGAGAAGGCTGATGGTGTTTTCAGGTGAGAAGTAGGAGCAGTGGCCAGAAGCTGTTTATGAATGGGCCAGTCGACTGAATTGGCGTGCAAGGTTGGTTGTAGTTTCTTGTGAGAAAAGCGAGAAAGCAGTGGTCAGAGGTTGCTTTCAAATTGGCCAGCTACATGTCTGCAAAGGCTCAAGGTTCCCCGCTGCGTGCCCTATTACTTATTATACGCCACCGCAGCTGTGCTAGATTAGGTAGTGGTTTCGGCAAGCAAAAAGGAGGCATTTAGTAAGCGTGACAGGTCGTGTTCGTTCATTACTGCTCTCTACTGTTTACTGTCTGTGCACGATTTCATGCTCTTTTAAACAGCTTTGTAGACAAATAGCCACGTCAACATTTTCCACGTTATCCGACCTGCTATGCTAGTCCAGCAGATGAAGGCTGCCATGTCGTAATGCAAGGCACTCGAGATTCTCAAGCATGCCGATTACTGCATACTCCAACAATGTCGGTCTTTCCAAAGCGGTTGCTTTCAGGGGCTGGAGCCTGCTAGGCGCTTCCATTCTACATTTCCACGGTGGTTGCCAGATCTTATGCATCAACTTCGACATCGTATCCCTGATACAGAGATACAAGTATACTCTTCGGCATCCGCGGAATGCTTGCTATCTGAGGCATCTTCCCTCGGACGATGCACACACCGCAGAGGTGAGTGGAGTATCTACATAGTCGAATTCAACTGCTCATGTTGGAACTACTACTACCGCTTGGTTGACGTCTTAATGAGCATCTACAGCCCAGTGAATTGAGTCTCCAAGCCACTCTCCCAATTCTAGGAACCAGCATGTTTAACGCCTCAAGTATCCTTTCAACGCCCTAAACTTGCCAGGCGAGCTTCTGCTCTCTCACGGAATTATCAGTAGGCGCTCACAACTAGTTCTTCGCCTCCATTGACGTCCTCTCCCTTAGGACTATTTCCCTAACTCTTGTTGCACATTGCCGATTGTGTTCACCGTTGAGGCAGTTGCGTCAAATGTTATCGGTGTGTTTTGGTTTCTTTTGAGGATGTGAGTTCATGTCATTCACTTCGGTGACGTACGAGTTGACACGGAACATTGATTTTCCGTCCACAATGGACCGTGCGTACCGTCTTCCATCATTATTTAGTATCTCTAATTGTCCCCTGCTTCCGATAGGAATTGTCCAGATACTCTAGATAGTCTATTTCGCACTATCAATGACTATCCCGTGAGGAGATAGCCCTCAGTGTCACTTCAAGCTCGTCGCCTGTCCGTCACTCGCACCCACATCCCCGCCTGCACAAACACGTCCGACGAGAAATTCATCTCGAAGACCTTCAATGGATTGCAGGAATTGACCTCGAAGCGCCGGAAGAGCTCGACCAAAATTTTGTTGATCTCGATCCTAGCAACGATCTCCCCCAGGCATCGAAAGCGTCCGTAGCTGAACTGCAGTTCACTGACACGATTCATCTGCGTCAGCTTTGATGGAGAGTCGCAGTCTCCTCCATCTTCACACAAGATCCACCGTTCCGGGCGGAAGATGTCAGCATCTGGACCGAAGAGATCTTCGTCATGATGGATGGCGTGGCCGGACCAGCTGTGTCAAGAAGTCAGTGATTCATCTGTCGAGAAATATGATCACGTACCCAATCTTGGTACCGCCTGGCACGAACAAGCCGTTGATAGTGTCTCCTTCAGGAGGAACTTTTCTTGACAGTAACGTTGGCGCTGGAGGCTGCCATCGCATGCCTTCTTTGATACAAGCTTGTAGGTATGGCATGTTTCTGGCTTCAGCATCCGTGACAACGACGCCAGTAATGTTTGCCCTGTCGATCTCTTCGACGAGCTTCTTCTGCGCCTGTGCGTTGCTCATTAATGGAACCAAGATACTTCTGATGGCCCCAGCTGTGGTGTCGCTGCCCGCAAGGACTTGCAACACTGTCTCATTTTCGATTTGCTTTCGAGAAAGTCCATGTCGTATGAACGATCCCATCATGTCGTTCTTGTCTTCTGGCAGCTTATATGATTTCTCAGCCTTGCCGAACCTTCTCTCTACAGCGGCATCCGCAATTTTGAACACTTTGTTGAAGCCAAAATCATCGCCGAGAAAGGCCTGAAGCCGTTCCAAGAGACCAGTCTTCTCCAAGAACAAATATACATACGGCAGTTCATGGAATATGGCGAGAAGGGTGATGGACCTTTGTGTGTCGCCAATGATTCCTGGGTTGTCCTTGTCGTCTCGTAGGTTGTCAAATGGCTCTCCAAATGCCAAGGCACTGATCACATCCAGAGTGAAGAAGTTGACTTTCTCCGAGAGATCCATAGGTCGGAAGACTTCTCTCGTACTCACGTACTGCTGAACGAGCTCCACAAACTCAGTGACACTTTTGTCAATGATGGCTTCCACGCCAGGAACCTCCTTGCCGCTATATCCAGGGCCCAGTTTCGCTCTCAAATCGGTGTGAGCTTTCTCATCTCTCATGCTCAGCACACTGTCTTCGCCCCTTCGAAACCTAGCCGCCTCGAAGAAATTAGAACGGGTGTACGAGCTGCGAATCGATCCCATTTTCCGCCACTGCTCTGCATCTCCTGTAATGAGTTGATTCGGACCCACACGCACTAATTTCCCGTATCGAGCGCATGATTCTGCGTAGTGAGCTGCGGGTTGGCCTTGGGCGATCCAATACAATTGACGGAGCTGCGTGAAGCCGCAGAAAGCAGGCCCTGGGATGTGGGCGAGCCGTCGCCAGGAGTAATAGGTCCAGGTGATGTAACCGACGATGACGGCGACGACGATGAAGAGTAGCATGATGTTGGTGCAACTGGCAGGCCTTCAAGGTCGTAATTGAGCAGAGAAAGTTCGATTTCAATCACAGCTCGAGAGGCGAGCGAGGAGCTCATGGGCGAGGGTTGCGACTGTGGGGGGTTTGTATCGCGGGCTTCCGGAGGGCTCGCACAGCAGAAATATCAGTGCATTCATGGGTCAGGTGTTGTGACACCAAGGGCTTGGTTCAGCTATGGTTGAAAGCTCCGACGCTGGCCACGTACGTGCACAAGTCTGCTGTTCATACTTATCCTCTTCTCCAGACAAGTCCACTTGCCGAACTTCTCGATACCGCTGTCGTCTTCCAAGACCACGATGACCTCGCTAGCGGCTGCATGCGAGCTATTCTGGAGTGATCGGGTAGACATGAAGGAATGAACGAGCTCCGTTGGAGCAGTAAAGCCAGAGGGAGTCCGGCTGCAGGAGTAGGGCTGCAGAAGCGCGGCATTAATAGCACAGACCCTACACAGACTGTGGAGTGCGAAGGTCACTGTGGTCAGGTTCCTGAGCTCTTGCATGTGTGACTGTCGATCATTTGCCCCTTTCGTCCAAAATGCGAGAAAATAGTCCTTGGCGGTTGAGCAACCGGCCGGATCCAATATATAAGAAGCAATCGGCCAGACTCGAAGAGAAGCATTTTTGCGGTGTGAAAGTCTTGGACAACAACATAAAATGCACAACTCCATGACTTAGTATAGCAATGAGTCTGGTGCGAGTTTGCGAGGGGATGCTTGGCATTATTCAGCTCCTACTCATTAAGATTCCCAAGCACATATAAATGGTCGTGTGCCCAGCCGGGACGAGACATTCAGCTCCTGGCTGATCTCATTTGGGCGGGATGAATTGCCGTGACTTGTCATTATCAGCTCTGAGATCGGACCTGAAGACTATATCTTGCGGAACAGCTAGAAGCTCGCTATGGCCAAGTCGGATAGGCGACACAGGTGTGCGGAGGCTAACCCAAGGGGTTAAGAAAGAGTGAAGTTTGCGATGATTACAAGACCGGGAGTGCTTCCTAGTAGACTTTTCGGCACGTGCGGAGCAATGCACGTGCTGCTACTAGCCCCTTGCTGGCTCCACGGTGGAGGGTTTCTTCGTAAATGAGGTTCCTCATTTCAGCGGAGAGGTTGTCAAAAGAGCTATTGTTCAGTTTGTGTGAGGGAATGTCCTAAGAGGAAGAGTCAGGATTCGTGCGGTGTTGAAGAACTTTTCCGTCTTCTCGACTTCCAGCGGTAAGTATAACACCACACTTCAGATAACGACAGCAATCTATCCCCTGACTCACACAAATGGGCTGGTCTCTTCCCACCTGGTGCGTGATAAGAGTCCTTCGTCTACAAGTAGCAACTTCCTGTGCCTGACAATAGGCTGTGAATCCCGGAGATTGCAGATCTTCGAAACTCTTAAAGCCTCGTTTTGAGCCCCAGGGTTGTCGAACAGGAGACACCTGCGGTCTATAAGAGCCCCGATACCCTAGGATTCTATGAAAAGCTAAGCATCAAAGATCTCCGCATACTTGCAGGCGCTATGGATGTTGCAAATGAAAACCCTATCTGGCAATCTATGGCATGCCTAGATGACCCCATTGCGGTCTCGCGAAATTTTGTCGTCGATGAGGGCTCAGCACTCCCCCAAGCTCAGGAAATGCGGATTTCTGCAGTAAGATCAGCCCAAGAGCTTGTAGATATTTCGAAAGCAATCACATCCGAGAGCGACCAGAAGCGAATGCCATCCCCCCAACACGACTGTGAGTCTGAACTCGTAGTTGGGTACCGTATTGCTGACGTGTAGAATTCTGCTTGCTGTTTTCGCGACAAACCTGTCAAAATATGTTCCGGAAGGTCACCGGCCACATGTGGGCACTTTCAAACGTTGGCCGACTTAATAAGGTAAGACCATTCATTATTTGATATCAGCTTAGAGAGCTGTAAGAACCACTATCAAACCCTCATGAAACATATAACGCCTGGTCTATCTAGAGCATCGTCTTGTTGAATAGCCCGTAATTGCCAACCCAGTCCGCTAAGGCCGTCCACGTCGACGCAATGGTACAAAAGTTGCCCTGTATATTCTGGGGGTCCGTGTTCCCTTGCCTGAAATACTCGTACGTCTTAACAACGTTGGAATGGATTTGTTGCACGTAGGAAAATGCCTCGGTCTGATTTGCCGGCTTGGGGAACACAATAGCGGCCGCGTTCTCGTTATTGTTAGGAAGCGCGCAGCCAGCCTCTGTTTGCTTCTCCAAGTCGACAGACCCAATCGCAGTTTGATCGTACCTGATCGACTTTTTTGAGAGGTCGTCGATGTCGCGTTGTGCCTCTACACTCTGGTCTCCGTAAGTGGTAAGGGAGTTGTTGAACTGGTCGATGGAGTCTAACAGGGCGTTGTATGCAGACGTGAGGTCGGCAGGCGCGGCCGTTCCGGTTGTGGTGGCAATAGTGAAAGCTGACGGTGAGAGCTTAGCCGTAACGGATGGAGTTGTCGCTGGAGTATTGGTCAGAGTGTCGATCTCCGAGGGCTCTTGTGTGGAGGAGTTCTCTGGACGAGCAGCGGTTGAAGTCGGGGTGCTGAGCGAAGGGTTGTGTGTAGGGAACGTTTCTGGAGGAGCGACAGAGGCAGTGGCCGCTGGCGACTGCTGAGAAGTAGGAGTTGCGGAGCCTGAGGCGGGAGAAGTAGCCATGCTACTCACACCACTAGGCGTCGAGATGCTGAATGTAGCACTTGTGGCATTTCCCTGCCCTGATCCCATCACATTGCGGTTGAGAGATTGAAAAACGGCGTAAGCGTTTCAGAAATCGTCGTTGATGAGATCGGCTTTGGACTCCTTGTTCTGCAAATGGAGAGCGAGCGTATCCAGATCACTCTGAGTCGAACGCAGCCCCATAATGATGTCTTGCTTGCTAGTCACTGGACTGGCCGAGGATGCCGGGCTTTGGAAGCTCACCGGTGTTTTGACCAGGCCAGCGATGTTCTGGAATTGGGCATCCACTTCTTTGAAGCCATTCTGGGCATTGATGGACCTGTCCGGGGAAATGGCGTCGGTGAGGCGACCGAGTTGGTCTCTTAGCTGATTGATGCTTGTCTGTGTGCTTGACGAGGCCGGGAGGTCCGTGGGAACTGGTTCAGCGAACGGCGCCGCCCAGGACGTACCAAGCATTGCAAGAGCGGCGAGAGTATAGGTCGGTACCATATTCGTCATTTTCATGAGGGGGTAGGAGTATTGCAAAGGTTTCGCAATTATAGGAGACTGTGAGCCGCGAAGTTTGGTTTGATTTGCAAGAAATGGGGGTGGGTGTTGATCTGACCAGCTGCAGCCTTACTACAGATATATAGGCTTTCGACTTCTCTCTTTCCCTTCTCAACGCGTTTTGATGTCTCATTTGCTCTCCGGCTAGGATACAGAATGCTATTCTAGGCGATGACAGGACTCGCACGGCCTCTTGGCTGGACCGGATCCTACCTAATGAGCTGTGCGAAGAATGCTATATCCAGCGCCGTCCGGATTGAGATGGAGGTGTAGAGTTAAGGGCTGCAGCGTTACCGCAGCTAGAGGCTGACTCGAAGCAATGTCCGATTGCAGATCACGGATTATCTCGCTGAACAGCGTCAAGTCTACCAAAGCGTAGTGGGCGCAGCTCCACCATTTTGTTACGACACCCAGGGTACTTCGTGTACTGCCATATGCATATGCCCCAAAATGATGAGCCTCAAGACATAGTGGACTTTGGGCTAGGTTCACTCATCCCCATGTCTCCAGAATTTTGAACGACCTTTTGCGTGTATACCTAGTCACGTCACGCGAACTTATTATACTACTACACGTCTAAGTGTGCGACGACTTCGACTTATTAGTCTTTACTCTATACGTTAAAGCCTTCCTTATTCCCGATTAACCACAGCTGGCTTTCCCGTCAATAAGCGTCGAGGCGATTGTCTCCTTTCTCGAGTCAACGATAGCATCACAACAAATTCTCGCACGATACATCTCCATGTCAACGAGTAATCCGCCCGAGAAGGAGGACCAACTGGTCTATGCAGCTCAAAAAGTATTCGCCGAGCAAAATGTCCTCGAAAATATCCTCATCGAAGCTCTTCGCCTTGGGATGCCAATGAAGTCCCTCTTGCTGCTGCAAAGAGTGTCCCAAGCATTCCACAGAGCCATACGTCAATCCGAGACCCTTCAGCAACAACTGTTTCTTCTGCCGGTAAACGGATCAGAAGATCTGGAGTTGTTTTTTGAGCGACCTAGCGACGGTAAGACATATCTTTATGAGAAGATAATGGCAATATTCAATTGACAACCATAGCATGGTTACGCTTGACAGGGTCATATTCACCGCCCCAACATTCCATGCATATTGTCTTGATGTGTCTTGCGGAGCACGTCATATATATATATATATGTATATGGATGGGCAAGGACCTCGAAAGCACGAAAATCAAGCTTCTATCAACGATCCAAATACGCCAGGCTCCTTGCAAGTATCGGCCGGCATGAACTTTTCAAATGCCTCATTTCGGAGAATGTACCTTTCGCAGCCCCCTCCAACGCAAGCAGAGGTCATGATTTGGACTCCAACTTCCAACCGCCCCACGACCAAAAGTCTTAGTGACAACAATGGAGTTACGGCAGGACTGCTCTGGAATACAATTGTTGCTCACGCAGAGCTCAAAGATTCCAACGTCAAAGCAGGAACTAGGTGGCATATGTATCGATTGAAGAACGGCGAGGAGCGATGGGCAACAGTAGCCTACGAGGCAACGAGGAACAAAGGAAGGATGATTGCACGGTATGAAGTACTTTTCTGAAGAAGCTGAAAAAATGGGATCTTGCTATTCGCAAACTCCGTGGTTCTGGTTCTGACCAGCAATTTCAATCAAAAGCATAACCATGGTCGACGAACGCTGGATTCCCCTGGCTAGCTTGGCTTCATAGCCGCTTCTTCGTCACCCAGAGCCTGCTTCGCTGCCTTCATCTCCAACAAACGACTGACAATCTGTGTCCATTTCGGATAGACTTCCATGTTGGTCTTCATAACATCCCGTCCAAGCCGGAAGAATGGCAGCAAAAAGACGTCAACGGCCGTGAACGTCTCACCAAGAGCCCACGGCCCCTTGTCGTCCAGCGTCTTTTCTAGCCTTGAGAACTGCTCGAGCACGTTCTGTTCAGATTTCGCCAGCAAAGCGGCTTGACCTTCCGCTGATTGATCGGTCGTGAAACGGAACGGCCGCTTGTACGGACTCCAGGCTTGTGCATGCAACGAGGCTGAGATCCAGTTCATCCACTCGCACACCTTGATGAATTCGGCTGGGCCATGACCGAATAGGTGCTTCTCGGGAGCGAGAATATTGATGGCGTGAGCTATTGCTGGGTTCTCTGTAACAACATTGTCGCCGATCACGAGAACTGGCACCTGAGCTTTGTTGTTGACGCTGATGAGGCTTGATGGCTCCTGGAAACGTACTGCCTGTGGCGTGAAAGGAATGTTGCAGTGGTACAGTAAAAAGTGCGGGAATATGGAGCTGGAGCCTGGAAAGAAATAGAGTCCGATCTTGCCGCTGAGAGCCATTGTTGGAGACTGCGTGCGAACCGAGCCGTGCTGCCAGGTATTTCTTGAGATCGTGCTGCGGTGAAAGGCCTGACCAAACGAAGCCCGATGACTTTGGCCTACTTACAATATATTTAGACATAGACTGACTCATCCTCGGAACGACAGAAAGACTTGCCGAGCAAACGAGGAAGCTTGCAGGATGACTGACGACGAAAGCTTCAGCCGCACGGCCCGCACCCCCAGCTCTATTATCGGCGCAGATACTCGCACATTGACCCATAAACGATCATCTCTATTGACTGTTCCACCTGATAACGATTTTTGATTAGGCGGTAAAGTCAGCGATTGCCTCAAGATGGTTCAAGCCGAGGATAGGGGCTTTCACACCACAACGGCCCCTTATGCTCTTCCCAATGAGTAACAGATCTCATTTTGCATGTGCAGGTCGACATCTCTGACATGACGCAGTGCTACGGAGCATGAACGACTGGAGCTCCAGACCAGAGCCATTGATCAAATGCTAGGGGATCCCATCATCAAGGCACCAATGCAAAATCCAAAACGCATCCTCGAAGTCGGCTGCGGCACTGGCAATGTAGCTCGCCGTCTGGCAGGAATATACCCGAGGACTACCGTAATCGGGGTTGATCTGTCGCCCGTTCCTGCATCACAAGCTCCGCCACCGAATATCTTGTTCATTCAAGGCGATATTCATGATCTGGCCGATGACAGTGCGAAAGCGCCGGAACTTCGGCGAGGGTCGTTTGATTACATCTTCAGTCGTATGCTGGTCTTCGGTATCAAGGACTGGCCACAACATATTGCCCAGTTGAAACGACTGCTGACTCCAGGTGGATGGTTGGAGCTACAAGAGGTCGACCTGACGGGACTTTTTGATGGCCAACAAAATTCCATCTCAGGCGATTGGACATGGCTGTCTGAGCAGAGAGCTGCGTTCGCGAAGCTAGGACTGCACATAGGCTGTGCACCAGTGCTTGAAAACCATCTCCAAGACGCTGGATTCCAGAACGTACACACTCAAATGTATCGATGGATGCTGGGACCTTGGGAAGGACACCCGGAGACAGACTTGATGGCTCAGTTCAGCACAAAGTATACCGCAGATGCTAACTTCACCGCATACAAGAAAGTACTGGGTAACCATAAGAGTGATTCCGAGCTTTCGGCTGTTAGAGAGGAGATGAGACAAGCATTTTCGTGGTCTGAAGATGGCAAGCACATGCGATTCTTTGTAGCTTATGGTCAAAAGGCTATCCAGTAGCTGGATTCTGAACGACGAGCAGACGCATCCATTCAGACTGGAGCTATCTCTCAGTCCTACGCACGAGGCTTTCGGTATTGATTGTCAAGCTTCGGACCAGTCAACTTCTAGAAGACTCTTGGCTCCCCTACTTATCTGGTTCTTCATAACCCGCTACGTTGATGTCGGATAGGCTACATTAATCAACACACACCCTGCATCCAGCTCCGCTATGTAGCCGTCTCCCGCTTGGGTTGGGATACCACAGAAGCTCTGCAGCGCATTGACGATAAGACCAGTACGTGGACCCCCTGCAATGGGCATATCGTGCAGAGAGGGACATCCAGATTGATTCGATGCCCATCCTACCGAGGCTGTGACGCCATTGTAAGATTGCGTGAACGTGGCTGCAGGACTGTTGGCTGACAGCGTATAACCAGCATTGCACATCGCACTGGCGGCAGTTGTCAAGGCGTCCGTGTTGAAATTCTCGTACCCAGCGCCAAAGTAGCAATATACTGAGGTGACTGATCGCGAGTCTGTTGGCGGTGGTGGAGAAGGTCTAGTTGGTGCTGGTGTGATAGTCGCCGAGTTACCAAGGGTGACCTGCAGACAGCCTTGATCGAGCTTTGCGACGTAGCCTCCTCAATTCTGTGTTCGGCGCAATTGCTCTGGAATACTTGTATAAGGGCCGCAGAGCAGAATTCTCCCGAGACCAGAAAGCCCGTTTCCGATGGACAACCTGATTGATCAGTTGCCCACTGTATGGCGGCTGTGACACCGCTATACGTTCCCGTTTATTGGCCTGTGTAGCCAGGCTGCAATGTGAAGCCGCCGTTGCAAAGCGCCGAGGCGGCACTAGTCAGAGTGACCATGCTAAAGGGGAAGTAGAATGGCGAGCTAAAGCATGAGACTGAGGTAATCTGGTTGCTGTTCGTTGGGTATGCAGGAGCTAGAGTCGTTGTCGGTGGAAGCGTCGTCGTTGGGGGTGGTTGCGGTGGTGTACTTGTGTCTGCATCCACTGAATCTTCAGAAACCATCTGTGCAGACACATATGACTCTACATAGGTCTGCAGTCAGGCCAATCAGCAGACTTGCAATGCCGAGAAGGACAAAGCCGTACGTTGAGACTATCGAAATGTGATTTGGTCGATGACTGACAAAAGCTTTATAGGTGTTCTGTGCTTGTGCTGACCAGGAAAGCGCGTTGCAGGTGCAGAACAATGGAGATTGCAATGGTGGTACCTGCACACAAAACGGCGATACTGCAAGTTGTTAGGTGCAGTAAACGTAGTGACAGTTTTATCATCAATCAATACTTGTTGTCCGAGTTAGCGGTAACGAGGCTCGATCAAGTAGTCACCTTTATAGCAACCCTGCCTCGGAAAAATATTGAGCCGGGATGTCTCCAAGGCTCCGGTGCCTGATTCGGCCTTTACCTTACCGTTTTCGGCGACAGCGACATCCTTCAAATTTATGCTCGTTTACAGGCACCGTCTTCCTATTTCTGATGACTTCCATCACTTCGGGAAAGCCGTCGAAGTCGTCCATCAAGCAAACAGTTCTATCGGGCCAGCCACAACTCGTCGTTCTAAAATGTCGATCGCCACACCAACCGGATCTAACTCCCTAGCCTCCCAAACTCCAGACATGCTACGCCATCAGATCGCCACGACGTCCCCCCAAAAGCAGCAATTTCGTATGCCGAGGAGGAAGACACGCTCAGCCTCACACACAGCTGCAGCGGCAGACTTTGGCCGTCGGTCGACAGCTGCTCGCAACTTTTCGACTCGGCGTCCCGCCAAGCCATCGCCAACAAGGCGCATGACCTACTCCGCACGTCATTGACTCTGCCACAATGCCAAGACGTGGTGTCGCGGGGTGTATATGTTTTGTTTCCTGCTCTGTTTGACAATCATTGAGGAAATACATAGAGTAGCGTGGGCAAGCGCAACTTATTTTTTGTGGTGGAGATTTTTGCATTCCTGTCAACGATAAAATTCCTACCTACGGTTTCGGTGCGCATTGAATCACATACCTAATCGGTATCTTATCCACAGCACTTGAGGTTCTCCGCCAAAATGGTCTACTGCAACGGCAGATACTATCCCTACCAACGATACTGCCGCTCCTCACGCTGGAACGGCTGGGGAAGATGGGTGCTCCTAGGCGTGATCATCGCCTTCGCAATCCTCGTCTTCATCCTATTCGCGTAAGTATCCTAACCCCTCCAACGCAAAAACCCACAGAACTCGAGCTAATGGTCCCTCAAAGCTGCTTCACCGCCCGCCGCCGCCGCCGCATCGGCCGCAAACCCTTCATGGGCACAGGCTGGGCCGCTGGACCGAATAACAACCAAGCACCGCAGCAACAACCGATGCAGTACAACTCCGGTGGGCAGTACAGCTCTCCAGGTTACCAAAACAAGCCCAGCGATATGGAGCAGGGCGGTGCTGCGCAGAGTTATTACCAGCCGCAGTATAGCCAGCCTCCCGGGTATGGACAGCAGACGGCTGCGCCGGGGACGTATCAACCGCCGACTCAGCCGCCGCCGGCTGCGAACCCGGGTGGGTGGAGGTGATGAGGGATTTTTAGAGGAAGGCGAGGAATGTGGAAGGGGAGTTTCTGCTGAATGGGTGGCTTTGTTGGTTTTGTTGCGACGGCGAACGAACTTATTACGACCTGTACTTTGCTCACGGACAATACGAGCTGCTTGGGATACCCACTGGGAGGGGCTCCTTCTTGCGAACTGCACGCATGAAGCACTGTGTTTTCGCGCTTCGTGCAAAGCGCTGAAGTAATGTATTTTACATCTGGGTGCGTGCCTTTCTATCAAAGAAGTCCTGTTATGCAGGCTATCAGTACATTCTCATGTCTTCGTCATCTCAATACCCGTCTTGCTCCTTGCGGCCATCGCCCTGAACCGCACCACCGTTTTCAGCACCAACGGCAGCTTCGTTGATAGCTTGATCATCACCACGCAGCTTGGCGAAGTATGCCTTGATATCCTCTGCTCCAACTGCTTGCCCACTTTCCGCGAAGGGCTGCAAGAAGGCCTTCACCTTGTCGCGCACCATGTTGTAGGCCATTACGCCTTCGATAGCGCGCACGCGGTCCATGGATGAAAGAGCTGCTTCTCCGCGATCGAGCAACGAGCCGGAGTTGACACTACGACCGGCGACAGACCCGTTCTCGTCGTGATCGGACTCTGATACGGGTGGCTCGTACGTATCCTCTTCCTCGAGGAGTTGCGCATGCTTCGCCAGGCGTGGAAAGCATCCGGGGCAGCGGCAGAGATGCTCTCGGAAATCTTCTTTGACGAAGATGGAGACCGAGCCTGCCGGTGCAGGTGGCAGCGACTCGTGCTTGTCCTTTGGAGGGTTGCCGTTGGACACGACCTCAGCAGGCTCTACCGGTGTGGAATCATCATCGACTTTAGCTCTCTTATTGCTTTCCTGAGATTCCTCTGGATCTTCCTCGGCCTTCCTCTTCTTGTTGTCTGGTTCTGATGTAGTTTGCGTGGCTTCCTGAGCTTCACCATTTGTTTGAGCTGCAGACCCGTCTGAAGAAAGTGGACGCAAGAACCCTTCAGTGCCAGCGTACTGCTTGATCCAAGGGAAGGCATTCGCGCATTTATAGCAAATGAGGTGGTCGAAGTCGTCTTCGTGTGGGAAACCCGGCGGAGCGTCATCGCCTGGGATGGTTTGAGTAGCACCATCCGTGACAGGCAGATCAGCGCCATCTTCAGCCTCTTCCTGAACCGTCTCCAACGCGCCATTGCTCTCCTTCTTCGGCTCCTGCTTCACTTCCTGCGATCCTCTCGGCAAGCCCATCAAACACTCTGGATGCCACCAATCCTCACCACAACCTCCATCCTCCACATGTCCCAATCCCAAGCACTGGAACATAGTCCCCTTCTCCTTCTCCGGATCGTACTCCTCGCCGCACCCACAGAACTTGCCCTGGAAGTTGTGGTTGTATTTGTTGCCGTCCCTTGCCTCTTCCCCAGTGACACCTCCCTTGCTGCCCGTCGCAGCATTTAATCGAAGATTACACGGTGCACAAGAAGTGCTCAGTCTCGTCGTACCGCAGTCGCAAACAAAATCCCGCTTGGTGAAGATCTCAACCAGAGTATGCTCGCCATGACAGCTGATACTGCAGCTGTAGCAGACGCCGGCGGGGGTGAACTGTTGATGAGGCGATGCGGGAGGCGGGGTGCACGTGAGACATGCGTAGACCGACTGTCGCAGAGGGCCAAGCGGCTTGGTGCAGGTGTCGAACTGGTAGGGAAGGGCCTCGCGGGCGTCGGCCTCGAGGGAGAGCTGGGAGGCGATGTAGTCTTGTGCGGTGTGGGATGATTCGGATTGCTGCGACATGCTTGCGGACCTCTGCAGAGGCGCCTGATCGGATGCCATGGTGTGGTTACTTGGTGATGTTGGGGAGGGAAACACGAAGCTGTCGCGTGTTGACATGTGAGACGCGAGCGTGGCGGCCCGGCCGGAGATCTGCCGATAGCCGGCCCCGCATCCCCGGGCTTGGCGTTAGGCTTTCCATCGACTTCACCTTGTGCCCCCTTGCCTACTGCAATCTATTTCTAGAGCTTCACCACATAAAGTCGCCACAAAGTTCTTGCTACGCCAGGATCAAGTGTGCCCCGAAACATTTCATCAGGACGGTCCTGCTGTCTCCAAGCCATTCGCAATGTCGATCTCACCACTTGGCAGCCTATGTCGAATAGAGATGAGGAGTTGTTACACTGCAGGACATGGCTGAGGCCGCCTGTCAGCCCGGCGCAGCTCTGCTCAATCTCGAATAGGTTCCCCCTGGAACTGTTCTGTGCTCTGCGTGGAGAATGGAAAATGAGCTTGACTTGTCGCGAAAAGCTGAGCACCATCTCTCTACCTCACGTCAAAGGCTTCAAACAGACTCCGGTCGGCCGTCATGTCTACGGAGTCAGACGAATATGCGGCTGGACCTACTTCTGATTCTAGCATTGAAATCTCTCAGCTTTTCATCGATCACGAGCAGTCGACGGGTCCAAGTCACGGCAACTCCGCAGCTCGACACGACGATCAAAACCAACTGTGCCATGGGCAAGACTCTGGTCACGATGCTGGCAACGTTACAGGCTGTTCTTCCAGTGAAGATGAGGAGCGAGTGCCGCCCCGCCTGTCCCACGTTGCGCTGTACCACCACGAGCCATTTACGGATGCATCCCAGCAAATTCGGCTGCTGCAGTTTGCCCCCTCACCAGAGTTGGGGCTCGTTGCGTGTACACTCAAAACGATCCGGATCACTGACGCTCCTGAGTATGCGGCGATCTCGTACGTCTGGGGCTCATCGCTTGGGAAAAGGCCCATCCTTTTAAACGGAATGCGGTACGATGTTACAGTCAATTGCCATTATGCGCTCAGACAGGTCAGATGTCGGCGTTATAGCGGTGTAACTTTCTTCTGGGTGGACAGCATCTGCATCAATCAGGAAGATCTTGATGAAAAGTCGGCTCAGGTACAAAACATGGGCGAGATATTTCAACGGGCTACCACCGTGCTCGCCTCCGTAGGCACTCACTGTGATAACAGTAGAGAATTGATGCTCATGCTAAAGGCTCTATGGTTATACACCCAAGAAGGACCGATGGAACCGAAGTCTTCTGTGGCTATCTCGACATACTGCTGGCTGCAAGATAACGTCCGGAGATATTGGAGGCAGTTATGTCGAGAGAAGACGTTTGCAACGGGCGACGAGCCTTTTACGCAGATCTTTCTGGCGTTCGTGAATCGAGCGTACTGGAATTGCTTGTGGATTGTGCAAGAAACCCGTCTCGCCCGAAACATACAGATCCTCTGTGGAGGACGATGTCTGCCGGTTGATGTCTTCACCTTGATCTGGCAGATTTGTTCAATCGTGAACAGATTGGACATTCTCAGAGTGCTTCGCCAACGTACGGCAATGAATACCGTATTGTCGTTCTCCAAGTTCTTGCCGGATGAAGGTGCAAACAGCCCTGTGCAGAGTTGGCGCTCGATGCCAGGGTCATGGCAAGCCGCACCTGGCCAAGTACAGAGCTCAGACATACTGTCGGCTCTCTCCATTTCAAAGATCAACAGTGCAGTCTTTTCCATGATTGTTTCTACGCTTTGCAGCATATCGTCGCTTGGCCCAAACACATGCGACCACTCCTTCCAGACTACCGGATGGATCCTCTGGACCTCTTTCACAGCATCATTGGCCGACTAGATCCATTCCTCGACCGTGGCGTGTCGCTGTTTTTGGAACTCAAGCATCTTCTTCCTGCAATTCAGCTCCACTGTCGTAGCTCCTTTCTACGCGAGCTTCGCCTCAAACGCAATCGCCCGGGTTCATTTTTAGCCCATTCAAATGCTACTGCTCGCGGCAAAGCTCTCATTGGATTTCGGGACGGCCGTGAAATGGTAAAGATCCTTGTCAATCAAGAAGGATTGTTGACCTGTGATCTCCATTGCGCAGAATCAGACTTCCAAATATTATGGTCCACCCAAATTTCCAACATCAACAATCTTCTTCGGTCTTCTGACGCTGGTGCGCCGCTGTATAGCAAATCTCGATGCGTAGGACGAGTCTGCGGAGATGCCCGTGAGGGCGACTATCTACTGAGAATGACAGACCACAATTATACCTTTCCTTCCCCTTGCTGGCTCATCCTTCGGTCCTCGGAGCTGGAGCAGATTTGGGAGATCATAGGCGCCGCAGTCGCAAGGTGTGAATGGTCTACCGCTGAACCCACATATTTTACCGGGTATCCCTACTCTGCTCTGGACCTCTTCATGGACCCCGAGGACCCTGTCAACCTTTGCTATTTCACAGATGCGGACCTCTACGAACCTGGCTGGGTAGACGAATGCGTAACGATGAGAATTGTTCGCGAGAGATTCTCGTCATATGTTGCGAGTAGGAATCATCGTTCTGGCGACAGTGAGGCGACATGGACTAGCTTACTGCTACACGAAGAGCCAAAAATATTGGAAAGTCATCGTATCCGGATGGAGAGGCTGGCGGACTTAATGGACCGCGAAGATAGGACCTCGCCGTTTTTCGCCGAAGAGCTACAGTGATCCAACTTCCACCTTCCTCAACTTGCCATAGGGTCGTCTTTCAACCACCTTTTCATCTCCGCTGTCAACCCCGACGAAAAAGCCGACCAAGATCATCGAGCGTCCCTAATCCCAGCTCACACTGGCCCGTTGAAGCAAGAAGCGCCACGGCCACTTTTTCACTTCAGCCTTAAAAGCAATTTTGCGAAGTCGGGAAATGAGCAGAACGAGATCAAGTTCTGACATTCAAGTCGCTTTCCACTATAACTTTTTGCGGCGATCTGATAGGCGAGGAGGTAGCTCCAAGCTCGCGCTGTTCCTGCAGCGTTGACGTCGATAAGCTGACCTCGATTCGTCACCTACATAGCCTGCTTTTTGACGACACCTCATCACCATCAAGAGCACATCTATACCCAAGCCGCGAAACAATATCATCTGCAGACATGGCCTCTTCTGTTGCAGCCAAGCAACTCGCCACGGCGCAGAAATTCGTCGACGGCTACAACGAATGGACGGCACAAGGCGTCGTACGCGCTCGATCTGACGACTGCGTGCATGCTGTCCTTCCAGTCTCGCTGAACCGGCCGCCAAGGACGAACGCAGACTACAAGTTGTTCTTTGGGAATGTGGAGCCACACATGAGCGACTTCCACATGAAGGTTGTCAAGATTGTCAATGACCCGGAGCAGAAAATGGCGGTCGTGCACGCCACAGGTGAGTGTTGGTCAGCTGCTTTCAGCGCCGCTTCTAACATCCACATCCAATTAAGGCAACGGAGAGACGCCCTTCATGCCGTATCGAAATGAGTACGCCTTCTTCCTGGCGTTCAGCGAAGACCGCGAGAAGGTCGAGAGGATCGAGGAGTTCCTGGACTCCAAATTTACGACTGAATTCTTCCAGAAGATGCAGGAGTACCTGCAACACGCACAGAAGGCTTGAGTGTATTTCCAGAAATAATGTGCTGTCTGTGCTCATGTGCGTGAATAATTGGTGGCTGAGCGCGAAGAAGAAGACGAACGACAGGATCAGACTTTCGGAGTCGAACACATGCCAACTTCGCTCACGATCTCACCCCTTTTCCTTCGATCTTTGACCGAGTTCTAACAACCTCAAATCAACGAGCTCTTGACACGCGAGAAAGCAGTGGAGCTGACCTTCTCTGTATAGATCGACGCCCCGGTGTGTAGCCGTACAAATGGTATCCGAAAAGTCAGGACAAGCTCAGACTCATGGATCTCCTGTCTCGAATCAACAATGACAACGGCTCGCTATATGTATCAATTTGCAATTTACGCAAACTTCGACCGAAGAATTCTAGAGCTATTACTACTCAACAATTGCCTATTCTGTCTCAAGGGAGCCGTTCCTGAAGCCGCGGCTGGGCCAAGCTTTGTGAGCACTGTCTAAAAGGAGAAAAAAACACCACGATCGGCCAGTATGGCGGAATTCATCTGCATCGATGGCTCGAAAAAGATGCCACTGCCCTGATGGTATGTTCAAAAGGAGATCTTGCTCCCTGATTTGACGAAGCAGCCGTCCGCATAATTCTCCGTTGATGAGGTCGTCCTTCCCTTCCTTTTCCAACTCTTGCTAGTGCGCAGTACGCCTGCTGTCCGTCGCAACATGCCTTCATTCCGGGGAGTTGCACTGCTGTCTTGCTTTATGTCTCAAATCTTGGCAGAGACCTCACACTCTGGTGTCGGAGACTACATCCTCGCCGGCATCGGCTCCAATGCGACGAATTCGACCCTTTCTGCATCTACGAACTCAAGCCTCTCTACGACCTCGAAATCTACAGGTACATCCAGTACATCAGACTCCTCCACCAGTACCACCACGCTTGTCCTTACCGTGACAGCCACCGCCAGCAATGCCTCCTCCGCCTCTCCTCCTCCGACGACCGCACTCAACTCTTCCATCGCCTCGACCGGCAGTGGTTTGGCCTATGCATCTCAATGCAACGCACTCTCATTAGATTGGCGGAACTCCAGTTTTGCCCTCACCTCTTCAAGTTCTGTTACAACGTACAGTCGGACAATCACCAGTTGGACAGCCACAATCTCTACGCTCTGTGATGGTCATCCTCGAATAATAGGAACACTGATCCCAGTAGCATCCACCACAACGTTAGCAAACTCTACTATTACGAGCACTCCAACCTTCACGAACCCCCCACCCAACTGCAGCATCGCCCCTTCGGATTGTGCTGCATTGTCGCAGGCACAGAACAATTCCGACAGTGCATATCAGTCTTCTCTGTACGCCGTGGCGACTAATGTCAGGTGAGTACGAAAAGCTGAAGATGAGAGCAATTGGCTGACATTCATCGACAGTATTGCAACTGATTTCTCGTCAATCGTCGTCGGGTCTGAGACGACTACATATTCCTTTACCGAAGGGAACGCTCCAATAATCACACTGAATAGCTCAACTTACTCCCCGTGTTTATCAGTAACTACATACGGTGGAGGGAGCAGCAGTTCGTACACGTACTACGATATCACCACATCGGGTACATACACATCCGACTACATCAACGGAAGCTCCTTCACGATATATGGCTATGTCCCAGAGCCAGCGGGCCCAGCACAGCTTGGGCTTGCGTGTTCGACGGTCACGAATAGTGCGGAGCAGTGTGGTGCATGTACGGTATACGGCGGACAAGTCGAGATGCAGTACTTCCCTGTGCCGTCGAGCAGAGCATCTCGAGATCAGTGTGCAACATCGCCCGCGACTCCAGCTGTTACGACTTGCCCACTTGGACCCCTTACAGCTTCGTACCATCCAGGCTCGACTGGAATCAACGGGCACTGTGCGGAGTGGCTCTCTTGCCCGTATGCATACGCGAATACTTCCACTACTAACGGTGGACCGTACTTTGTGTCGGCTGGCAACACTTATTACCAGAACAGAGTCTACGTTTCACTGGATTCTGCTTACGCATCCAACAGCTGTGGTCCTGTCGGGGGAACACATTCGGGCAGCGTCTTCACGCTGTCCACATCTCAAATCTACTCGATCCCGTTCAACTACAGTAATTGCGCGGAAGTAGGGGCGGAATTCAATTTCGCCAATCTCAATCCGGACGTACCATTCGCCGCATGGGCTGAAGCCGGCTCAATCTCAGGTTGTCCAGAAAGTGATGACTTCAATAAAGATGGACAATGCGGCGATTTTATCAATGGAAACGACGATTGTTTGGCTCTATGCAGTGAGTAAAGCTGACGTATGCGTTATGAAGGGCCAAATGCTGACCGGTTGACGCAGCTACTATCTATGATCGAGCCTATCATCCAAACATCGTCGTGCCCACCCAAATCAGAAATCTTGATCCGGCCTGGGGCACTTGTGTTCCTCAGCTAGGGGGTGTCTACGATCCGCCCCAAGCCTTGACCCAAGCACTCGTAGAAGCAAAGCCGACAGCTCCTGGAGCCAGTCCAGCTTCCCAACCTGGAGCGTCTGCGCAGCCAGCACCGTCTCCATCCGAGCAGCCTTCGCCTACAGCAGCTCCAAGTCCTACTGATGGGTTGACAACTCCTTTGGCGAAGAGTACTGCAGAGCCTTCGCCTCAGGCAAGCCCTGATACATCTACGCCGACGGCAGAACCGGAAAGTCAGGCCAGCGCAACACCTGCTCAATCTGGTCAGAATACGCCCAATCCTCAGCCCTCTGGAAATCCTGAACCCTCGCCTTCTCCTGAGTTCTCGCCTTCGCCGGATCCATCACCATCTGCCGAACAGTCGCGATCTCTAGAACAAGATGCTTCTCCAGCACAATCGCCTTCTGCCGAGCCGGTACCTTCTCCAGACTCACAGACCGCCACTCCATCACCAGAGTCCCAGCAGACAGATGCTGACCCAACAAGTCCAGCAAACGTCAACGGTGCGAGTGCAACTCCAAATGACGATCCTAGCCCAGGAGCACCTTCTCAACCCACTCCGTCCCCGAGCGATGCAACTGTTGCTCAGTCGCAGAACGCTCAAGGTCCTGCCGAGCAGGAAACACCACAAGGAAGTCCAAATGCAGTGATCGTTGGCGGCTCCACATTTGCAGTTGGCAGCTCTGCAAATGAGGTCACTGTCGGAAGTCAAGTCCTTACAGCTGGTGGTCCAGCTCAAACGATTGCTGGACAGCAAGTAAGCGTTGCCTCAAACGGCGCCATCTTCAACGACACCAACACCGCGCAACGACTTGGGGCAGCTACGCTTGCTGCGGATCCTGCCGAAGCTGCTACTGCTGCTGCTCTCACTTTCACCGCTGATGGGAGGGCATATACCGCTGCCTTGGCCTCTGGCCAAAGTAATGCATACGTGGTAGATGGCTCACAGACAATTCAAATAGGCTCGCCGACCACATTCAATGGGATAGCAATATCTGCTGCCTCCGATGAGTTCGTGGTAGGAGGAAGCAACACGATTCCTGTCCAAACTTCCGATCCAACGTCTCCTGCTGACCACGACACACCGCCGTCTGAAGACGCCCCGGTAGTTACTGTCTCGCTCGTATCAGGCGAGACGAATGTCGCCGTGATCGATGGCGTTACCAATAGCTTTCCGCAAACGGACGGACTGGTCAATGGTGTCATTTACAGCTGGAATTCGGGGAATTTGATCGTTGATGGCTCGAGGACCGTCACACCTGGGGCGGCTACCACACAGACGCTATCCACTGAAGATACGACTACGACTTCGGCTTCGACGACTGCAGCGATTTCGACAAGCTCGGGTTCATCGTCATCGAGCTCCCCAACTCGATCCACGGCTACGTCGAATACTGCTGGCAGTGCAACTGGGCAAAGCACACCAACCGGAACATCTGGGGCCAGTAGGACGAGAAATGCCATCGGCACTCTGGTAATTGTGTTTATGCAGCTCTACTTCGCGTTTGAGGGGTGGAATCGTGGCCCATGATCCATGAGCTCTGTCGCTGGCCGACCCTCAAACGAATTTGTGAGTTTATAACGGCAACAATATGGAAGATAATACCCGAGCGATTCAGGGTCTTCGATAACATATTGACTTGAATACGAGAACTGTACCATAACCACCATAAAAATCATCTCGAAATGCACAAAGGTTAGCGGCACTGGACAAGGCTGTGGACAGAGTGAGGTCAAAGAAGCCGCTCGTTCGGGCCGATGATCCTTGTCGTCAGCTTCGAACCCTTCTTTCAACCAGACAGCTCCTTTCCTTATCCTTTTGGATCTTGCGATTCCTGCACATCATCAGTCATGAGCCTCCACTTCTGACGCATCTACAGCTCTCGTCGTGACTGCCGGCAGGTGGATGGCGATGGATTCAATTCGATTCTATTCGTTATTAGCCTCCTTCTCGGAATGGCTAGCATGGCCACGCTCGACTCCTCAGGCATCCATCGTGCCGTCCGTCAATCCCATTACTCGGAGTTGGCAAAGGGCTCGTGAAATGGCACAGGTCTAGAGCAGCAATTCGACATACTACACGCGAGACACGGATTCAGACACTTTATCGAGGCCGCGTCGGCAGTCTTTGGGGGCCAGAATGCGGTCCACCTGTGGAAATGCCGCCCTCCCAACGTTTCGCACAACGTCCACATAGGGGCAAAGAGCATCCGTAGGATTGATTGGATATGAAATCTTTCGCTGTGCAAGGATGCTGATATTCTCCGGACTGCCACTTCGTCTCGCTTCGTCGTCGCGACGGCGCACCTCAGCCTCAGCTGGAGTCTGGACGCCTGGTGGTGGGTTTCACGGCATATGGCCGTCGATATAACTCGCTTCGAAACCCGCGCTTTGTACCTGCCGAGAGGTCTTGCTCGGGTCAAGCTTTCTCTCTTCGTTCTTGGTCTGTCGCGATGCCTTCACCGTGGAATATCCTGCTGGCGACCTTTCTCGGCCTGAAGTGCTGCAGTGCACTTGCAAACGACACCAACAGCTCGACAACAAATACGACTTCGTCGATTCTCACATCCAGCAGTATCAAGTTAGAGTCCACATCCCGATCAGACCAGCAAGCCGAGACCTCTTCGCACGAATCGTCAAGCTCGTCTTCAGACGCTCCACTTGGGTCGTTCATTCTTCACGGCCTAGGAGTGACCTTATCAGCGTCAACAGTATCAAGCTCTTCCATATCAACAACCGCATCGAGCTCACAAACGTCACTTGGTCAACTAGTCGCAAACGCAACAGACGGATCACAGACGACCACCAACCAAACTTCTACTGAATCTCTAGGAGATGCTCAATCCTGCAACAGTGCTTCTGTCTCATGGCTCTCTGCACACGCCAACAATTCAGTCACTGCCAACAGCACATCAACATGGACTACAACGTACTCAAGCTCAACACGTATCACGCCGAACGGCACCGTCTTCACACTCTGCGATCACTATCCTCGGATGAACGTGAAGCCATCAGTACTTGTCAGCACGTCTACGACAGTACTCACGACGGTGGTTGTACAAACGCTGGCACCATCATGCACGAGCAATTGCCCATCATGTTCGATTGGCTCCAATGACTGCTCGAGCCTATGGTCGTCGTGGAAGTCAAATACCGGCACAACACAGTCAACAGGAGCATCTCCAGCGTGCCCGTCTCCAACGACATCCGCTTATGCCTGTCCAAATTTCATGCCTGGGCCACCTGACTGCTTCTTCACCGCTGGGCCTGTGCGACTCGTCTACTTCCCACCCGAGATCAAAGGCAATCGCCTGTGTGGGAACTACACAACTGTGCCGCCTCCAAGTAACATCACCGCTCCTGTGACGGTCGAAACGTTTGGCACCACCTTCACCTCTGGCACTGCTTACATTTCGTTCGAAAGCTTGGCTGCAGTCGACACCTGTGGAAACCCAACTGGTACACCAATGAAAGACTTGTTCATCCCATTGCCTTCGTCCGAGGTCAGCAGCATGTGCGGTGCCAATGGCGAAGTCTTCATAACTGGTCCGACATCAACCGCCGTGAACTTCGCCGATCTTCAGACGCCCATTGCTTCGGACGTGTACAAGTGCCAACCGAAATGTATCTGGGGGTAAGTCATAGGTTGTCGATGTGGCACCCACACGAGGTGATACTGACCTTTGGTGAAGTGGAGAAATGTGGAGTGCTCAATGCCCAACAATATACGACGATTTCGCGCCTGCTCTAGCGTAAGCCTCCCAAGCCAGTATTTTATGGCAAAGATTGAGTGCTGACTCCTACGCAGCTATCCAACCCAAGTCAAGCAGCTGCAGCCTGAGTGGAAAGAGTGCTGGTTCAAAGCCGATGAATACTTCCGATACCAGTATGGGCAGGAATACTACCTTTTCGAGTAAGTTTGAGAAGCGAAACGCTTGCAAGATATCCATGGAGTACTGCTAATATGAGTCGACTTCCTCAGCCCACCGATCGCATTGACCAAGACGAACTCTGAGGCTGGGGTTACTTTGCCTAACACGCCCACTCCAACTCCCCCTGGACCGGCACCAGCTGCTGGAGAAGTACCGAGTCCTACTACAAGTGCCGCCACAACGCCAACTATGACAGGAATTAGCTCGGATAGTGTGGCTACTTCTCCTGAAGTCGGCGCAGCTAGTCCGAGCCACGATCAGACCACTGCGCCATCGCAGCATGGTCCGTCAGGCACCAAATCGGTTGAAGATCCGTCGAATACCAAATCTGTCGATGATCCATCAAACACAGACCCCGTGGACGTCCCAACGAATCCTGCGCCTGTGAACGACCCAACGTCCCCAGGCAAGACCGACGAGCCCGCGAAGACATCAGCTCGCGAGAGCCCCTCCGACGCACTTGGTGTTTTCTCAGATGCATTAACTACTGCGAATGATGGCGACAGCAACACTGCTGGCCCAACTCCTGCAGAAGTCGCTCCGACTCCTCAGTCTGAACCAGGTGACCCCGTCACTGCAGCGGCAGATCCAACCCAAGCTCAGGGGCTTGTTGTAGGAAGCTCTCTCATCGTACCAGTCCAGCAGGGGCAGGCTACATCAATCGATCTGCCAGACACCGATCCAGTAGCCGTCAGCCGCGAGGGGTCTACATATGTCGTTGCCGGTCAAACATTAACGCCAGGTCAAGCGGCGACGGTGCAAGGACAGATATTTTCAGCCATCGCAACACATGATGCCGGGGTGACACCTGCTGCCACAATGGTGCCAGCACCAGCCCTTGACATATCACGCTCTGGACCAAACTACGTACTGAACGGGGAGACGATCACACCTGGACAAGCAGCCATTGTTGGCGGTCATACACTTTCTCTCGATTCTGGAGCCAATGCCATTGTCTTGGGAAGCAGCACGCTATCCCTCCAACCCGGAGCCTCAACTCATGTGACGCAAGGCGAAATCACTCCCGCAATGGCAATAAGCCGCTCTGGTTCCGTCTACTTTATCGATGGCACTGCTCTTACACCGGGTCAATCTGCTATCGTCAATGGACAGGCAATGTCCGAAGACTCTGGTGGTCAACACCTGTTCGTCGGGACGAAGTCGATATCATTAGCTGACGGTGCTACTACGACTCTTACACCAGATCCAGACGGTCGAGAGGAGGTTGCGATCTCTCGGTCTGGCTCTGTGTTCACAGTTGATGGAACCACTCTTTCGACAGGTGCTGCATCGGTTGTTGACGGGCAGACTGTGTCAGCGCTGTCGAATGGAGAGGGTGTGCTCGTGGGATCTCAAACAGTATCTCTGGACAATGGCGAGGCAACAACCATCACTCCTGCATCGTCAGATCCGACTGAACTTGCAATCTCTCGATCAGGGTCTTCAATCGTTGTTGACGGCACAACGCTCAGCCCGGGAGAGGCCACTAGGGTTGATGGACAGACTGTATCGATACTTTCGAATGGCAAAGGCGTAGTGATAGGAAGCCGCACAATCGTACTATCAGACGGCGAAGCAACAACAGCAATGGTCAGCGCTTCACTTTCAGCAGAAGGGTTGGTCACCATCGGCTCCAAAACTTGCACCGCATACGCGGTTCCTGGCCACTCCGATCAAATTCTGATTGACGGCAAGACATTGACGATCGGAGGTTCGGCTTTGACAACAGACGGAGAGACTCTTTCTCTTGGCTCGAGTGGGCTGGTCGCAGTTGCACATGGCCAGACGTCTACTGTGGCTTTGACTGGATCGACCGCAGCGGCTACGACTTCGCCTGCGTCCACCGCAGCCGGTGGTGTGACACCCCAGCCATCGGGCACGATGACGAGAAGCGAAGCGCGAGTCATCCGAATGAGCTGGGCAAACCTGATTTGCTCATTTTCCATGACAGCTGTATCCTTGGCTTGGTTGGCAAGATAGCCTTGTTATGTGAATCGAGAGAGGTCCAGTTGGCTCGGCATAAAATCAAATAGCGCCATCGTTCCACCGCTGCTGTAGCGTCGAAATGGGACAAATGCTGTCCCTGGGACCCTGGGACGTGCAGGCTCGTGCAAGTGCGGCCTCCTGCCGTGGCACACAGCAGCCTCAGCTCACAGCCTGTACAACATTGCACCGCCGAAAGACGCCGTCTGATTGTGCGAAATGCCCCAGTGAAGACAGCAACCTCTTCCCATCGCAGACTTACTTCGCAAGTTGCACGTTTCTTCTTCGACTAACGCTTGGCTGCATTCTTGCCAATGGATCCAACGAGAAACGGTGCAGCTCTACAACTACTGCCACAGATCGACGTCGAGATTCCAACTGGGAAGTTTGTCCATGTCTCGCCGTTGTCGAGATCCAGCCCCAGTGTTCATCAGCCATCGGTCCTTCCACCCTCAGGGTGTCCTCCAACTCAACCCGACGGAGTTCTTGAGTCGATCGAGCTCCGGCCGCTCGACGAGTTACAAGGAGCCGACCTCAACGCTCGTTCAAGCTTGCTTCCCTCCCACTCGTCGCAGCCTTCACAAGACGGCTCGGATAGCCTGAAAGAAGACCAAATCTCACTGCAACCTCAAGAGAACGTTGTAGACAGCAGGGAACCACGGCGTGTTGGCATCTTCCGACTCTGGTGGCTCGAAATCTCAGCCTGCGCCTTGAGCTTCGCTTGTTTCGGTGCCATTCTTGGAATCCTTCTCTACGAGAACAATAGACCTCTGAGCCAGTGGAACTTCCGAATAGGCTCAGGACACGACATAGGCCCGACGGCAGTGGTATCCTTCCTTTCCACTCTTGGGAAATCAAGTCTTCTGCTCGTTGTCACCGAAGCTATCAGTCAATTGAAATGGTTGCATTTTGGCCGATCACCGCACCCTCTTGTGGACGTTGAAGTATTCGACGGTGCCAGTCGCGGACCCTTGGGATCTCTGAGGCTTCTTTGGAGCCAGCGGTGGCATGGCAAGCTTGCGTGCTGTGCTGCCCTTTGTGTCCTTCTGTCCCTCCTGATCGATCCATTTGTCTAGTTGGTATTCGCATTTCCCCTCCGGACTCACCCTTCTTCCCTCGAGACAGCGAGCTTCCGGACAGCCACAATCTACAATCCCAGCCACAGCCGTTTAGAGACCGCCGGAACATCATACGTGACAGGTAGGTAGGAATGTCGAATACTCTACTGCAGACACTGACTCATCAATATCATAGCTGGCAAGCTAGACTTGGCTATGCAAGGAGCCATCCTTCGAGGATTTTTCGATTCACCAATGGAGCAATCGGTGCAGTGTTCTAGCGGCAATTGCACCTTCGAACCTGTCAAAACGCTCGGAGTGTGTTCAAGCTGTTTGGATGTCACGGAGAAGATAACGACCTCAAACTGCTCAAACGTCGAACGCGACACGATCGTCAGGTTCGATGACGGTTTTTTGAATACAGACGGCTATCTTAATGACGATTGCGACTACACGGTTCCGGCAAGAGATGGTCAAAAAGGTGTTGATCTTGGTGCGTACAGCTTCGAGGAACCTATACTTTCAGGGGCTGAGCGCGGATGGTCGTCCACCCGCTGGAACTCGAGCACGGCAGAGCACTACAGGGCTCCTAGCAGAATTCTGGCACCAGCTGTGTTGGTAAACATGCTTGCACTGCAAACACCAAGATCAGCTTCCATGAGTGAGAGACTGCCGGCGACCAGAGTCTGGGACTGTGTCCTTGTCTTGTGCGAAAAGACGTTCGAGAACATCAGTGTAGATCGAGGAGTCAACATGATCCCTGACCCTTTAGAGAAGCCTTTGATCCTCCGCGACAAGACGTTTGACGGGCTATCTCCCATGCCGGGGAACCCACTCGGCTACCAAACCTGGCCCGCCGATGGAGACTTCTCCCCGGAGCAAATGTTCTCGTCACTCGCCCTGTCGAATGACTCAGAACCTTCATACTGGATCAACAACCTGGACTACGGAAACATGCAGGAGTACCTCATGCTGCTTCTGACCGTCGGCTGGTGGGACAACGCGACCTTCCCGTCCTCGAGACATCGAGCGGCGACTTCGACGGGGGTCTTTACCACTGATGACGGGACACCTGACGTCGGAAGAGCTTTGGCCGAATCTGAAGACATACCTGCTTTGTTTCGATGGGTCGCCGCGCATATGACAGAAATTATGAGGATGGGGGGGGTGTCAAAGATTTGAAAGATACTGTCGATCTGCAGCCTGGGCTTGCGAATCGGACTGAGGCGTATATTCACGTTCGATGGGGTTACCTGGCTTTGCCGTTCACCTTGACGGCGCTGTCGACAATCGTCCTCGTGCTGGCAATCATCATGACCGAACGAAGCAATTGTCCCGCTTGGAAGAGCTCGAGTCTGGCCTTGCTGTTTCACAGCCTTGCCGACTATAATCTGAATGATCGAGTACCCACTCGGGCGAGCGACCTGGAAGCGATAGCCAAGTCCATGAAGGGAAGGTTGTCGAAGGACGAATGGCCACCGGCTTTCGTCAAACAAGATCGAAATGCAATAGGCTAGGATGATATTGGGATCAAGATAGAACCTTTCCCTACGAAACCTATATCCAACAAATCCATCCGCCTAACTCACTCACCGCCCCCCACCACCCACCAAATCCGCATAAGCCCTTCTCTGCAACACCGAACTCGCCGCCGCCCTAACAACACTCAACCCCTGCGCCTGCGTCTCCACCGTCCTCACCTGCTCCGCCGCCGCCTGCCTCTTCCGACTCATCCCCCTCCTCCTTCTCCTCTCCCCAATCAAAACCTTCCCCACATAACTCTCGCAATCGCCCTGTCCGTCACAGACCCAGGGCGGCTGGGTGAGCAGCCAGGGCTTGTTGGCGATGTCGATGCTGCCGTAGGGCTTGGGGTGAGTGTATTTCGGGGAGGGGGTTTGGGTGCGGTTGACCTGTGGAGGATGGATTAGTCTCGCGGATTCTGAGGTGTAAGGGGGAGGGATTGTGGACTCACGTATGATGCGCCCCACCACTCGCCGATAATGTCGCTGGTTGCGTTTCTCGTGCTCAGTGCTGCGTAGGCATTATGTTGAATCCAACCAGCATAACTTCGACACTTCTGGGCATGACTGTTTGCCAGGCCTTGGTCTGCAAGGTATGTCAGGCCCTTCACAAGAGGTGTCTCCGTGGGCAAGGGCTCGCAGAAGAGATCAAGGTGCTCAAAGTATGCGCCTTTGAAAATGAGATTATCTTGGGAACAGTTGGCTGGTGCGTCGCAGTAGTCTTCCATGATGCCGTTGCGTCCTAGGCCAGCCCACTGCCCTGCTTGGCCGTATCCGTTGGCGTTCCAGCCCGTGGAGTTGATGACGGTGTTGATGAAGCCGTAGCCGTCTTGCAGGTAGGATGTGTCGCCTGTGGCTTCCCAGAGTTCTCTCAGACCAGACAGCATGACACCTTGGTTGTAGGTATAGACCATTTCGTTTCGCTCGTCGCAAGTCGTTTGGCCGTCGGAGATGTGGAAGCCGTCGACGACGAGGCCTTGGGCGTTGGTGAAGTTGTGGGATTTGAACCAGGCCCATTCTTCTTTGGCGTTGGTTAGCAGCAAAGGGTCGTGAGGTTTGAGGTAGGGAAGTGGTGGGAGAGTCCTGTTGCTGTATGTCGTTGATGGGTAGGGATCGGAATTGTTGTCGCCTGGGAAGTAGAGGTACATTCCTATTGAACTCGAGACGAACAGCTCGTTCGTGATGGCATTCTTGTAAGGCGCCAATGCAGGATTCCAGGTTAATCCGCCCTCACAGAGAGATGTGTTGAATTGATTTTGAACGATGTTATAGAAGATGTGGGCTCTGTGGGCAAATTCGGCGACATCCTCTTGCCCAAAAGATAACTTTGAATAGGCATCGTACTGATTCACGAATTTAATCGCTTCCAGCCATTCGAGGACGACCCATTGAGCGTCGTCATATGCTGCGTCGAAGATTTGATTTACGTCCTCGCCACTGGTGTAGAAGGTCTCGATGTCGGAGTAGTATTTTCTGATATTCGCTTGGATTTGTGCCGCATTCACCTGGGAGCCATGACTGTTTCCATTGTACTGCGAGATGGCCGTAGTGAAAGTCCTCTGAGTGTCTATCACAAACGTGTTGACCACGGCCGCGGCCCATTGTAGTATGCTTGGCTACCTCACTCATCAGCGCATGGTCGCATGTTCATCAAATTGCTTTTCTCACTCACGTCTTCCACCCAGTACGTCCCATTCCAATACGTGCTGTACAGAGTAGACAGTACCTCCTGCGACTGCTCCAACCACCACCCTCCAGCACTGGGATACGGGCCCGGCCACTGCCACGGGTTACCTCGGCCATGCCAGCCCGACCAGTACGTGCCCGTCGCAGTCGAAGCCCCCAGCACAACCGCCGTGAAGGCGTACTGTCGCAACATCACGATGACCTGCAAAACAGCAACGAAAAGAAACAGAACTTCGCCCGTCGCCCAAAGGCGGGACATATCCACTCGACGGGCCTTCATATTCCAATCTGGAACGCCTCCACGATCCCTCCCATCCCGAAAGGGACCAGGGAAAGTCAGTTTTCGGGAGTGGTCATGCAGGTACGGAAGTCTATCGGGAGGGAACCATGTTGATGCTGTCTTCCCCGCGGTGAGATTAGGTGGGAAAAGTGGATATCTTATGCCGGTGTTTCAATAGTTTGATGGATTACTGCATGAATAAGAGAAGTATAATTGAGGAAGGGAAGGTGGATGGGGCAAAGGCGGGTTAGGATTGCGAGAGGGGCGCGTGATCGTCGAGACATGGCTTGGGGTGGGTGGTGGTGTGCATGGCTAGAGAATGGCGGAGATGGAACGTGTGCTGGGAAAGCCGGCCCAGAGTACGCTAGCTCTAGATCTAAGCTATTAATGCCCGGTCAATAACCGTCGAGCTTGCCCGTGATTGGAACAGTGATGCCCCGTGGTGTTATTCGCTCAACACTAGCGATCTTGATATTTCTTGGCCCCCTAAAGGTCGTTCGTGCCCAGCTTCACGCACGTAGAACCTACCTCTGCAGCACGCATCAACGGATATACGAATTGCAATTCATCACTCATATAAAGATAAGTCAACATTAGGACTGCACTAAAGTAATGGCCAACAGTACACGAAATAGATGGCATTGGAGAGACTCGCTTACGACGACACACCGGAGTATACGATGCCGACCTCCTGGACAAAGATCATCTACGGGCGATGCCCATAAATATTGTTAGCACGAAGATTGCGGTACCTGGGTATCACCTCTGCCCTGCGCAGGCGTTAACTGAAACACACTATGGTGTGTAGCTGAGGGATAGTGCTGTTCGTCTGCATGTCTGCGGCACAGCAGGGCGATGTCAGTAGTCAAAATGCGCACGACGCGCCCGTCTATACGACAGAAAGGCAGGGCCTCTATTTCATGCGTGCTTCGATATGGCAGACCGACCTTTGAGCGCTGAAGAAGCGGAGAGCTTCATACGGCATATCAGGGCGGATCGGAACGTGGGCTCTGATGGGAAAATCAAACAAGACGCCAACACAGGGACCCTGAAGAGGGCTTTGGAGCTGTAACATGAATTTCGACCGTATCGCGACTCAACTGACCAACACCCAGGCTTTCACAATCTCTCTACACAAAGCCCACGCATTTTCTGCTGGAACTCATCCAAAACGCGGACGACAACGAATATCCCCCCGATGTAGAACCATGTCTGTCTGTGGCCTATCGCGATAACGGATATTTGTTCGTGGCCTGCAACGAGATGGGGTTCACCAAGGACAATGTGCGTGCGATCTGCGATATAGGTGGCACTACGAAAAAAAGCAGTGGGCCAAGAAAAGGATACATCGGCGAGAAGGGCGTCGGTTTCAAGTCTGTGTTCAAAGTTGCAGACCAAGTATGGATCTCTTCCGGACACTTCAAGTTCAAGTTCGACAAATCACAACCGCTCGGCATGCTTGTCCCTGTGCTCAGCAGCTTTCTTCCGCGATCGCCGGTACATGGGGCCACAATGTTCGCCTTCCATATCCCAGATCCAAATGATCGAAAGGCTGTAAGGGAGTCACTGTTGAGGCTGGATGCGGAGTTCCTTCTGTTCCTCAACAAATTGGTCAAGATCGAGGTTAAAATGTATCACCACGACGGGGCCGGACAGCTGCCTTGGTACAGCCGCACGTATACCTGCGAGGAAGGCGATCTCGATGGGTGTTCCAAGTTGATAGGCAAAAGTTCGAGCTATCTCCACCGGGATATACGGCAGGAGTTCTACTCGACTAGATTCACTGTCACTGACCTGCCCGCCGAGAACAAGAGGATAGACGTGGAAGAGACGGACATTGTCCTGGGTTTTCCATTATCTGGACAGACTTCTGCCACCAATCGCGTCTATAACTTTCTCCCAGTTCGCTCTTACGGACTTGCGGTATGTCTTGTATGTTGCGACTGCGCGGTCACAAGGCTGATGTTGACAGTTTTTACTACAAGCCGACTTTATCCTTACCACCAACCGTCAAGACATCGTTCAAGACAACGAATGGAATGACCACCTCACCTTTAATGCCATCCAAGCTTTCTTAGCAGCTATCGAAGAGTTCAACGAGTGCGGTGTCTGTAAATACGATTGGCCTAGCTTCATTTATCACTCACGGGATCAAAGTGCTCATGGCACTATATTCGAAACCTTCGTCTCCGACCTATGCGAAGCTCTGAAGGACGTGGAGGTCCTGGAGCATCAAGATTATAAGGACAAGAATCGCAGATACGCTGAGCCATGCTCTCTCGTTTCAGTGCCACATCGCTTTACCGATGGGAGCCAGGCCTGCAGACCACTTTTGAATGACTCGCGCGATCTGCAGACCTATGTTTCGCCAAAATACAATCACAGCCACCTGCAAAAACTCGGAGTGAGACAGCAGACAACTCGGGAGTTCCGCGATGCTCTGTATGAGAGCGGAAAGTTGAAACGGGGCTGGATCCAAGCACAGACTTCACTTTGGCATGAACGTCTTGCCAGCGCTATTTCGGACACCAATCCTGAGCTGTTTCGGGATATACCACTGATACCTCTGGAAGGCGGTATTTGGGTCAGTGCGAATGATGGGCCACTGTACTTTGCGAATGCCGACGATTTGCGAGTCCCCGAGGACATTGAGGTCAAGACAGTTGAAAAAGCGGCGTGCAGATCTCCGCAAAGGCAAGAACTGTTTCGAAGGTTTGGGGTTCAAAGCCTTACCGAACAACAGATCTGTGAACGCATAGCCCGCTTGCATGGCTCTGGCTCTTGGCGACGGCGGTCCCACTCTCGCAAGGTCATGGTGTACCATGCCTGGTATGTTTACCGGTACGCAGCCTCTAACTTGCAACTCAAAGACCTGCAGTTCACGAGCTGCAGTGGCATACTGACAAGCGGCCGTGATATGTACCTTGGCCTCCCACAAGGCTCCTTCAACATGAAAGACTACTTTTCGCAAGAGGACTCTCCATGCAGGATTCTTCACGATGACTATCTCGAATATGATCGTAGCAGCTCGAACTGGAGGCGGTGGCTCGAATCTGCCGCCGGCATGGCAAGGTTGCCGCGACTGCTGGAGGCCGGACGTATCTCTCCAGAATTCGTTTATCTCATTGAGAAGTATCCGAGCCAGGTCTGGCTGAATTTGCTCAGACGTAATTGGGCATATTACCAGCACTCTGCCGAAGAGATGGGCCCAGACCTTGGACGTGTCAAGGTCGAATGCGTTGGGCATCACCCTCATCCCCTGAACCAGACTTACCTCGGAACAGACTTGGTGTTGCAAACCCCCTTCGTCAGTGGCTGTCTGCCAATTCTAGATGTTCCAGATCCTGGGGATAGCGACTGGCAAAATTTGCGCAGCATCGGACTTCGGCTTGCCCCTGACCTAAAACTCTACCTTCGAACGCTGACTGGTGTTGCGCGACAACCTCCATCGACTTTGACACAGCCCGATCTCATTCGGCTGTACAGCGCAGTCGAGAGCCACTACAACGAAGATCCGGAAGCTGCAAAGTAAGCCCCCGCGGCCATTTTAGTCTTCGTTCTGCTGACATCGGTAGAAACGCGTTCACTACACAATCCTTGATCAGGCTTCCCTCTGAGACATCGTTTCGCTGGCTGAAAATTTCAGAATGTCGATGGAGGACCCTCCCATGCTTGCAAAGCGTCACGGCTATGAATGCCCACTTCCCAGGCCTGAGGAAACTCTTCGTTGACAAACTTGGCGTTGCCGCGAAAGCCGACACACGCGACATCTTGGGCGAGCTACTTTCTTTGCCGGAACCTCCAGTGGGACAACAGCAGCGTGCGAAGACCCTGATGCTGGCTCTTTCTTCGTGCAAAGATCTGGAAAGACACCAGAAGTTGTTGCAGAAGCTTTCCGACAAGTCGGTGTTCCCTGTCTTGTGTTCCACCGAAAAAGCTTTTAGACGAGCGAAAAGTAATGACTGGTTCATTCCAGACAGTCAGCGCTTACGTGCTTGCTTCCTGAACTGTATCTGGATGTTGGATTTTGAAGTCGACGAGATTCCCTTGCTGAGTACGCTTCTCGACCAGATGAACTTGAGCCACCGCTGCTTGTCGACCCAAGTCAACGAGGAGACCATCACCCATGGAGCGAAGGTCTTCCAGCCACAGCTGAGCCGATTTGTGCGCAAGAAAACAGACTATATCTTACGGTACGAACACTCATTGCTACAACAAAATAGAACTGATCGTTTGCAGACTTCTTCCGCCGATGGGGAAAGAAGCACTTGCGAGTCACCGACACAAGTTGAAAACTATCGAGCTTATGTCGTCAGAAGAGCTTGTCTTACGACGCTCAGTCGAGGTTGATGGCGAAGTAGTCTACGGAGCGGACGATAGAGGTAGAGTAATCCTCAAAGCAGTGGATGAGCCTATGATTTTGTTCTGCTCAGCCGCGGACATCGCTCAAGGTCAACTACCGTGGCATTTCATTGTTGAGCAACTGGCCGACTACTTTGACATTTCGAAGGACAGACAAATGATCCTCAGTTCGATCCTTCAAAATGCGGACGCTTCCTACGTCGAGGACATTCTGGAGCGGGAGAAACTTCTGGACAGCCCAATAGGTGCTAATGCTGCTGTGTCAGAAACGAGCGACAGTGAGGAAAGTAGAGACGAAGAAGTCTTGCACGACGCCACCTATGCACAAGATCGCTCTCACCACAACACTGCTGGAACTTCAATGAGTTCAATAAGGACTTCGCTTGAGGGATTGGAGAATGTTACACCCAGAATTCCCTGGACACCTACTGGAGGCCTGCAGCAGGCGTCCACTCCGGAGCGAGGCGGACAGACCTTTTACAAACCAGTCGACATCGATGAGTCAACAATTGTTGCGTCTGCCCAGGGCTGGGAGCGTGGCGATATCCGTATCCTTGTACCTGACTCTCCATCAAACTCTGACGTGACTCGGACGGTTCGGCATTCGTTTGTCGAGGGCATACATACTCCCACGAGTAGCAGGTTGAGCATCCGATCACCCAATGGACGTCTACGGTCGTCCAGTAGACAAGACGTCTTCCAGATGTGCGATGTAAAGGATGCATTACCAGGAGCCTCAACGGCAAGTCTGCCGCAGTCGGACGCTGCCACGTCCAGCGAGCATGAGATTGGGTATGGAGGCGAGCTTTTTGTAAGACTACCACGACTCAGCACAGCACTCGGGCAGGACTGATCAATTCATAGGTGTTTACACTTCTGCAACAGGAGATCCACGCGGACGAGTCGTCCTGGACAAGCAGGATGAGATCGCGGCATGGATTTTCACCGTTCACGAAACTCGAAGGCGAGCATTCGGATTTCACGCTCGACGACCCTGAGATGGTACGCAACTTCACCACATGGCTTGTCAGCAGGGGAATATCACAGTCACAAGCAAGGCTTGAGAGGGTTGGATACTATCATCTGGAAGTCAAGACGACCTTGGGAGACTTGAATGAGCCCTTCATTGTGAGCAACAACCAGATGAGACTTGTAAGTTTCCGGATTGCTGTGTTTTCTTTTCGAAAGGACAATGCTGACCTCCCAAGTGCCGCAATGCTCACGTTGACCCCGCGCGAGTCTACGTTATCGTGCGTGTGTATCAGCTCAAGTCATCTCCACGTTTCGAGATCTACATCGACCCATGGGCTTTGATGATGAATGGCAAGCTGGACTTTGCAGCTCACGGCGGATACCTTGTTCGAGGTTAGAGCTACATGCTGCGGAGACGTGCAGGTATGCGTTGAATCCGCGAGGAGCAGTTGGATTATTTACAGCCTAGTCATCAGCTTTCATTCATGGGAAATACAGGAAAGTCCGCGCGATCGTCGAGACATGGCTTGGGCGGATGGTGGTGTGCATGACCGAAGCCGGGAGAAGCAGATGGCGTGAAGAAGATGTAGACGTGTTCATGCAATGGCAGGGATCTGTCTTGGTATTTCTTCGATGATTGCTAGGATGAATCATGTGTAGAGGTGACGGTGAAACAGCTCATCTCGTCTCCAGCACGTGAAGTCGCGACCGGATCTCGCATTGCGGGGCAACCACAATGCACGCATCATCATCGGCACTACTACAATCTCCCACTCTTTCTTTCCACCAGACGACAGCTATTAGGCTGTACAAGGGAACAACAGCACCTCACAATATGACCAAGTAACACCACCACATCCATGACCATCGACAATGCCCACCGCCCCGCCCGCCGCGAAACCCACCAAACAAATCTTCGACCCCTTCAACAGCAGCGCCACCGGCCACCAACGCGCCGAGAACCGTCTCAGCGGCAGCACATCATGGCGCGACTCGCGACACCAGAAACTGTGCGCGCAGTTCGCCTCCGGCGCGGGCGGCGGCAAGAGAGTGAGCGATAGTGTCGGAGCGGGGAGTCGGGATTTCGGGGTGGATGGGCGGACGGAGAATGGAGGGTGGGAGAAGGGCGCGAAGGGGTTGAGGACGGGTGGGCAGTTGAGTTTGTGGGAGAGTGTGAGGGTTGAGAAGAAGGATCAAGAAGAGGGGAGGCCGGCGAAGAGAGTCAAGGCGGAACAGGAAGAGAAGAGGAAGCCGTCTGCGGTGGTGAATCCATACACACCGGTCAGGAAACAGGACGGCTCAATACGAGAGAGCAGCTGGACGTCCCACGAGACCTCGCCCTCTGACCTCCTCGAGCCTATCGACCCCATACCACCGTCCTCAGAAAACGTCGAAGAACCCAGCAAAACACCACCATCAGAGAAAGACCCACCACAAATCTTCTCTTCCCTCACCTTCTACATCAACGGCTCCACCGCCCCAATCCTCTCCGACCACAAACTCAAAAACCTCCTCACCCTCCACGGCGGCTCCATAGCCATAGCTCTCGGCCGTCGCACAGTAACCCACGTAATCCTCGGCAAAGCCAACTGTAAAGGCGGGATTGGGGGAGGTCTCGCGGCGAGCAAGATCCAGAAAGAGATTGCGAGTGTGAAGGGGGCGAAGGTGCGGTTTGTGACGGTCGAGTGGGTCGTGGAGAGTATCAAGGCTGGGAAGAGGTTGCAGAAGGGGAGGTTTGAGGCGGTGGGGATGAGGCCTGCGGGTGTTGCGGGGATTGAGGGGATGTTTGGGAAGAAGAAGTGAGGGTGAAGGGAGATACTGTTTGGGTTTTGGCGGTGGTGATGATCAGTACATTCAGTGATACCCCAAGATACTTTTGATGATTCCGCTTCTATGCCAACATGCCAGACTACCTACCTATCCAACCTTTTCACTAGTTGATAGGCAACCTAACATGCTTATACGCCCTCTTCCCACTCCCACTCCCATACGCCGCCGCAACCTGCCCATTCCCACTGATCCTATACTCATGAATCGTCAACCCCTCCAACCCCACCGGCCCCCGCGCATGCACCTTATTCGTGCTAATCCCCACCTCCGTGCCAAACCCAAACCGCATCCCGTCGCAGAACCGCGTGGACGCGTTCCAGAATTTACACGCGGCGTCGACGCCGTTGAGGAAGGTGTCGGCGACTTGCTTGGAGGCGGTGAGGATGGCGTCGGTGTGGTGCGAGCCGTGGGTGTTGATGTGCTCGATTGCCTCCGAGGGGGAGGAGACGGTGCGGATGGCGAGGATGAGGTCGAGGAATTCGGTCGAGTAGTCTTGTTCGGTGGAGGGTTGGATGTGGGTTTGTTCTGGGAGTGAAGACAGGGCCTGCTTGGATTTGGGGTCGCACTTCAGGGTCACGCCTTTGGAGATCAGAGCCGATGCTACCGCTGGGAGGATGCTGCTGAGGGCATCTTCGTGGACGAGGAGGGTTTCCAGGGCATTGCAGGCGGCTGGATAGTCTGTTTTGGAGTCGACGATGACGTCTACGGCCATCTTTGCGTCGGCGTCGTGGTGCAGGTATAGACTGCAGAGACCGTCGGCGTGGCCTAGAACGGGCATGTGGGCTTTCCTCTGGCAGTGTCGTACGAGATCGTTCGAGCCGCGGGGGATGACCAGGTCGATGTACTCGCTAAGCTCCAGTAGAGGATCAACAGCATCGCGGGTCGTGACGAGTTGAATAGAGTCGTTGGGTACTTGGGTCGATTCCAGTGCTTTGGAGATGACCGTCGCAATGGCTTTGAAAGACTCAGTCGACTCCTTGCCGCCCTTGAGGATTGCTGCGTTGGCAGACTTGATGGCGAGGGAGGCGATGTTGGCGATAACTTCTGGGCGAGCTTCGAAGATAATGAGGAGCACGCCGATGGGACATGTTTGCCGTTGGAGGATGAGGCCGTCGTCTAATTCGGTGTGGAGGTCGACTCTGCCGACTAGAAAGGAAGTCAGCCTACTTCAACAACGTCCAGTTGGAACCATATCTCAGTCCGATAAATAGCAGATTGATCGGCAAGTTCATAGAAGCAAATATACATACCAGGATCCGCCAACCCCCTCACATCCTTAATCCCCTGCAACATATCATCAAACTTCCCCTTCCTGCTCAAATCCAATCGCTTGTAAATGCTCGGATTAAGTTCGCCATTCTCAGTCGACTTCTTGGCCAGTTCCAGATCGGTCGCATTCGCGGCTAGGATATCTTCTCTCGCATTCGATAATGCATCGTGTATTGCGTCGAGTGCCGAATTTCGTGCGTCTACGGAGAGCGTCGCGAGGGTCCGGGACGAGGTCTTTGCGGCTTTTGCGGCGGCTTCTGGTGAGGCATTTGTGAGGGACATTGTGATTGATCTTTTAATGCGATGTTCTGGCTCTATGGGACAAATGTGGCTTGACTCAGAGATGCGAAGCAACGTCGGCAGAGGTTGATTTGACCGATCGGCGAAACCTCGGCTTGTCGGCGTCGCTCGCTAGGAAACTCTATTCTACTGTAGGGGTAGGTGAATACATATCTACAATGCTGCTTCCTGATGACTGACGAGCTCGAGTGCGCGCTGTGAACAACTGAAGATACAAATGCATTAAGTCGAATGAACAATAAAGAAGCGATTATTCATCGTCCCACCTAAACTCTCATATAACTAACTTTTGCCCTCCACATAGATTCTCTTTACCCCCTCCAGACCTCTCATCATCCGAACTCACTCCTCATCCAAACTTCACCTCCTTACCCGGGTTCGGCTGCGGAACGAGACCAAGATTCTGCAGCGCCGTCAAAGCCCCTTCCTCGCCGACCTCCTTGGCGATCTTCCCATCCCTCAGAGTGAAGATCGTCGTTCCCGAAAACCAGATCTTCTTGCCCGTATTCGGTTCAGCGAGTTCTCCGACTGCAAGGTCATGGAAGGCGACGCCGGTATGGTGGCCACCGCCGATCCATCTTCCGACCACGTACGGTCCGCTGGCGATTAGAGGATACTGATAGGCGTGGAATGAGAGGTCTGGGAATGCCTAGATCGAAGGATTTTCAGCAACAGACGTTTTTCTTGTCATTTGAAGAAAGATTTCTTACCTCTCGGAACTCTGTCAACATTTCCTTGGCTGCTTGCTTGCCCTTTCGAGGACCATGCATTGGGTAGTCGATGAGAAACTCCTCAGCGCACAGTTTGTCCACTACCTCCACATTGCCCTTGCCCCAGTACTGCTCAAAGTATTCGGCCACAACTGCCAGATTGGTAGATTCTTCGGCGGAAGGCATGATTTATTCGTGTTGATTTTGTTGGAAGACGTCGATTTGCTACCGACTTGTGATAAGACTGGCTGCATTGCATGTTATATGCATCGCGATTGGAACGTGCGGCAATGGACATTGCGAGCAATGTTAATCCTTGGCACGAACGTAAGACATCGGTAGCTGGGAATCTTTGCAAGGTTGCAGCCAATGTACCTAGTCAGCCTTGCAGTCGTTGGCCACTTCAACAGCAACTCCGATTTTGCTCCTGGTAATCACATATGAACTAGGCGCGGCCATCGGCATCGATTGACAGCTTTGAAGGACGCGTATTTACCTCGAGCTATCTGGAGACAGCTTGAAGACTCTGCCCCTGAGAGACGAGCGTCTGGAATCAGATTGCAAGGCATTCGTGTTGTCGCTTCCTTACAGCCTAGAGCCGTGGCAGTTCGTTCTGGGACTAAGGCTTCCAGATGTGTAGCATTCTGGCGTGTGGGTTTGTTATTGCTAGATTTCAAACCATGTTGAAGAACTTGCGGTGTCGGCACGACGGGACTTAGCCGGTCGGCGAGATCTCGACTTGCCGGTCGAGATGGCTTTAGCGAAACTCTATTCTCCTACCTTGACTTCACCTCCTCTTCGTGCTGCCTCTTCAAAACAACACACATACCATCATCGTGTCTTCTCGGTTGAATCGCTTAAAGAGGCTGCGGCATCATACTTCTTGATGATCTCCGAGTCAGCTTGCTCCTCAGCCAAAGATGCAACAACTACGGCACGGCACTCCAACAGTTTCAGCTCGGGCGGGTAGATGACTGCATCAAGTAACCCGTCTAGCGCAGGACAAACCTTGGAAACTTCTTTCTACCTGGATACACCCTGACTGCCATTGTCACATCATCTTGCGTGCGGCTGGAAAACAAACCTACGACGAGATGTTTCAAAGTATACAGCACCGAGATTCTGGTCCATGTGGGACTCTGAACTCAGCCTTACACACAAGCGAGGCTTACCAAAGCAACGCGCCCTCCATACTGCTGGTGGGAAGCGTGCCGACTCGACCTAGTCCAGCATCCTACGCTATTTCAACTTAGGGTCACCCCCCGTTGAACTTCGTCCGATGTATCAGACAAGACATGTTGTGCGGCAGCTGAAACGTGCTGGACTTGACATATATGTTCAGTGTCACCTTAACATGTCGGCTGATTTCAGCTAAGCCTTTTCGAAACCATGAATACTACATGGACCGTTCTCTTCGTTGTCTTTGGTGTGCTCGTTGCCATTGCGGCGCATAGCCTTGTCTCCTTGACTTTGGCGAGCCGTCGACCAAAAAGCTTCCCACCTGGCCCACCGACAGTACCGATACTGGGCAATCTCCCTCAGCTTCCTACGACGAAGAGCTTTGTGAAGTCTGCATGCCGGATGCAGGGAATGTCGTGCTTGTAAGGCTGACAGACGTTTATTCAGATTCCGTGAGCTTGGGCGTCAGTATGGACCGCTCGTAGGCCTGAAATTAGGGCCTCAGAATATGGTCATCTTGAACGACTACAAGGCGGTTCTTGAGTGAGTCAGGCCAAGTTCCCTTGCAAAGACGACACTTTAACGTATTCCCCAGTCTCTTCGACCGGAGAGGCAATATCTACTCAAGTCGGCCTGACAATCACATCGCAAACGACATCCTCTTTCAGAACCAAGTGCACGCCTTGTTCACCCCATACGGCGACAAATGGCGCCAACTTCGAAGAATCATACAAGAGCTTCTTCGTACCAGCGCCGTCGATAAACTGGTACCTCTCCAAACCGCCGAATCGACGCAGACATTGTACCATCTGCTACACGATCCCAATCGATGGTATGATCACATCCGACGTTACTCCATGGCCGTTATGCTGGCATCCATATTCGGGCTGCGAGGAGCAAGCTTCGATTCGCCGAGAGTCAAAACGCTTTGGGACATCACAGAGCAGAACACGGCCATCAATGAGCTGGGTGCGACGCCGCCGGTAGATATTTTCCCCTTCCTGAAGCTTCTGCCCGATTTCTTGTCTCCGTGGCGGATATGGGCTCGTAATATCCGAAAAGACTATCGTAAATGGTTGTTCGGTCTGGTCCGTGAGAGTAGAGAACATAGCGCTCGCCCCGACGCTCCGGATTGTTTCTTGGGTCAGATGTTTCGGGGACAAGAGAAGAATGGGCTTGATGACGAGGGTATTGCATACGTCGGGAGTTCGTTGGTAAGATGATACATGAAAATAGTATCGCACAAAGTCTCGAAAAGCTGACCGCAGTCTACCATTTTAGCTGGAGGCCGGCACCGACACGACCGCATCCACCATCCTATCGTTCCTACTAGCAATGGTCACTTACCCATCATGTCTAAGAAAGTGCCAGGACGAGGTAGATGCGAGATGTGGTACTCTACGCTCGCCTTCCATCGATGACCTCGATCATTTCCCGTACATTCGTGCTTGTATGGATGAGGTGAGGCGTCGATCTGTTCTGTTTTAAGTCTCGCACAACTAACAGGCTAGATAGACACTTCGTTGGCGTCCAGTAGCCGCAGGAGGTATTCCGCACACCCTCACCCAAGACGACCATTACGAAGGCTACTTCTTCCCCAAAGGCACAATGTTCTTCGCGAATACATGGTCAATCCATCGGAGCCAGGAATTTGCTCGTCCGGATGACTTCATTCCGGAGCGGTTCCTGAAGAACAAATTCGGCATTGATCAGAAAGCATCTGGAGACGCAGATATTCATCCAACTCAAGATGGCGGTGATGGACGTCGTATACACTATGTCTTTGGGGCAGGGAGGAGGATATGCTCTGGACAAAGAATGGCGGAGCACTCTCTGGTGACTTCACCCCAAATACGATGTCTGATTGTACACGATTGACTTCTGACACAATCTAGATGATCAACCTGGCAAAACTGGTCTGGGCTTTCAACTTCACTGCTCCGCCTAACACAACAATCGATACTAGTATCGAGACGGGATATGAAGGCGGATTCCTTGTTAATCCGAAAAAGTTTCCAGTGGACATCACGCCGAGGTCATCGGCACATGCTGAGGTCATTGAGCGGGAGATGAAAGACTTTACGCCTTTTCTTGACACATTTGGTAAATAGAGGGATACATAATATCTCCGGATACACTACAAAATCGCCATACCCCTGAGCTTCCCGTAAAAAATCGTTCATTCCGAGTGTTCCCTGAGTGTCCTTGGACCGATTCCACGACGGTTCCGGAAGAACAAGACATTCCTACCATCTCCCACAGCACCCTCAGTGTGTTCCACCCACTGACATACCCGAACGTTTCGGTATAGACTCTTGACAAACCCGACAGGTCCTCCCGCCACATCGGATCTATAGTGTCTTCCAAGGACTGGTTTGATGGCCTCGGTTGCTTTGTCGGCGTTATAGAACGGAATCGTGGACACGTAGTGGTGCAGCACGTGGGTCTCGATGATTCCGTGGAAGAGATGTCTGCCGATGAAGCCGAAGTCTCGATCGATCATGGCGGCTGCGCCGCGGATGAAGGTCCAAGAGGAAGATTGGTAGTGAGGCAGCGTGGGGTCGGTGTGTTGGAGAAATGTTATGGCGACTGCCAATGTACAATTAGCTTTGGGGATCTGACATAGAAGAATAAGGAAAGACGACATACCCAGCCAGTTGTTGACCCATAGATAAGGTACGAAGTACCATGTAAACACGTTGCTGAGGCCATACCTGTCGATCGCCAATTTGAGCAACGCTGCGGTTGCCAGAACTCCAACATCACTCAGCAGGATAAGTCTGACATCTCTCGCATCAAAGACCGGGCTGTTTGGATTGAAGTGGTTGACTCCATCGAGAAACCCATTCTGTTTTCCACGACCACGCCCTTCTGCCTGCCGCGCATGTTCATTGTGGCCAGTATCATTGGTCAAGAGGTAAATCGGCCAGCCGAACAGCTGTCGCGCCAGAATGTATCCAAGTGCATATACCGGTGCCTCCTCGGTAATCTCTGAAAGCTGCTCCACGGTCTTGCCAACACTGGCTGCGAATTCTGATCGCGTGCGAGGAACAAACACCATGTCCCGGTGCATGTGTCCTGTGCCTTTGTGGTGCTTGCCGTGTGAGATCTTCCATGAGAAGTATGGCACTAGGAGTGCGGAATGGAGAATGAACCCAACCGTGTCGTTGAGGGTCTTGTATGGCGAGAAGGCTTGGTGGCCGCACTCGTGCGCCAGAACCCACAGACCGGTTGCGAAGAGGCCGTTCAGGAAACCGTAGAGATTCCAAAGGGCAGCACGGGCCCAGAAGGAGGAGATGAGTTTCTCTGTGATCAAGGTCTTTGCAAGACAGAATGTGGCGGAGATGAGAAGGATATCGCGAAGGACGTAGCCAAAGCCGCGAATGGTGCTCCGCTCGAAGCATTCGGGTGGGATTGCGTTTCTGACATCCTTGATTGTGAAGTCTGGTAGGTGGAACTCGTTGCCGTTGGTATCAAGAAGCATTCCGTAGGGTGCGTCCGAAGGAGCTGCTTGCTGCTCATCCAAGGGATCTGTCCTGGCTGGTACAACGGTCTTCAATGTTACTTTTGACATTGTGGGGGATGTTGCTGGGGAACGTTGAGGTGTGTTGGAAGACGAGTGTTGGCCTGACGTACGAGACAACTTATATGGCCATTGTGATGTGGCGTTGCTAAGGGCATCTCATGCGTTTACTTTGCACCTGACACCTGATCTTTGCGTTGAGCTAACAATCCAGTCATACAGACCCTTAAAAACAGCACAGCCTCGTGCGTAGCACTTCCAGCGGTCGCTGTCTTTCCCAGCCAATGGTTGATTGGCAGAGGAAGCGGTTGAGCCCTGCAATAGCACCATGGGCCAGAGCACAAACACGTTCAAAGCTGGACCGCATGACAGCGTCATTGAGCCTGCGTGATTCTAGTTGATGATTTCAAAACAGCATGGGACACGAACTTGACGATCAAGGCCATGTAGTCCTGGCAAAGCAGCATGGGGTGTAGTCACATGCAGATCGAGATCAACAAGCCTTGCTTGGCCAGAATGATTATTTGGCGTTGATGAGTCTTGTGGCAACGAAACTCCTGGCAGCCTCATGCAAGACTACATGAGCCTTGGCTTGAGGTTTCACCAAGCTTGCGGAGCCTTGGGATGATGATGAGGCGGCGAGGGAATGTGCGAGAAGATCGAGACACTCAGGGACGTGGGCAAGGCTGTGGCCAGGTACGGAAATTGCGGTGCAGAAATTGACTTCGATTGCTAATAATTACTATGACGATTGCTGCAAGTTGGCTCTTAACACTGAAAAAAATTGCATTCTCCTTTGGCTTTCACTCACTAAGTCAGTGTATCTCAAGATCGAGCATTAGGAGAGCTGGAAGAATAGTGAATGTCGAGTCGAAGCAAAAGTTAAGCTTGCAGTCCATGAAAAAGTTCCGGTGGAAATCTGACGTAGAGCAAAGGGGATTCAGCACCAGCTCAAGTCCAAGATGTTCTTTTCATCGTACAAGGCATCTTCCGACAGGCTCCAGGACCTCTGCCTCCAGCTCCAGCCTGACGGGGTCTAGTTTGCGAGCTATCCGAAGGCCCTTCAACTTGCACGAGAGCTAGGTGGTAGCTTCCACATTGTGACGCTCTACTAAGCCATTAACGTTGTAACGCTCTGCTAAGCTGCTCACGTTCGCAACGCCCTACTACATCGTATGGAGTGCAATCTTAAAAGTTGCTGATCAATCATGGACTTTTCACTCGTCACCGTCTTGTTCGAGGAGGCAATGGACGGGATGTGAACATACCTATAAGACACTAAGTCGGCTTGTGGATAGCAGCTTTTGTCTCATCCAACACCACCATATCACCCTGTACAGACACCCTAAACAAAGATGATACCTCCTACTACCGCTCAATGGATCATTGAGTGTGGCAATGCAAAGACAAAACAGCCCCAGCCTCATCGAGCAACTTTGAACACATCGACATTCGACAGCCTGAAACTGCAGAAAGACGTTGCAATACCTCCACTACAACCAAATGAGTGTCTGATCAAAGTCCTGGCCGTCTCCCTCAACTACCGCGACATTGCCATTCCGCTGGAAAAATTCCCAAGTCCAGCTCGAAGCAGCTATGTACCTACCTCGGATGGTGCAGGTATCGTCGTTGCAGTTGGCGATCAAGTCACACTTCATCGTGTCGGAGATAAGGTCTGCACGCTCTTCACTCAACATCATCAAAAAGGACTCTTCAAGATCGCCATGAAGAAGTCGTTCCTCGGAAGCAACGTTGGTGGACCACTTCGGCAGTACGCAGTGTACACCGAAACAGGGCTTGTCCAGGTACCTCAATCGATGAGCCTTATCGAAGCTTCGACTCTGCCTTGCGCAGCTCTGACGGCATGGAATGCCCTCTTCGGCCTCGAAGGACGCAAGGTATCTCCAGGAGATTGGGTCCTAGCACAAGGCACTGGAGGTGTAAGTCTATTCGCAGCACAACTGGCACTAGCAGCAGGCGCCAAAGTCATCCAAACAACCTCCTCCGACTTCAAAGGCGAGAAAGTGAAAACTCTCGGCGTGCACCACATCATCAACTACAAAACCGACGCTTCTTGGGGCGCAACCGCAAAGACTCTCACCGGCGATGAAGGCATCGCTCACGTGATCGACGTCGGCGGCGAGGAAACCATCACTCAGTCCTTCGCCGCCGTCAAGGAAGAAGGCGTCATCTCCGTGGTCGGCTTCCTAGGCAATCCAGACGGCCAAAGCAATCCGGATCTTTTTGGGAAGATTTTCGGGCAGGTAGCCATTGTTAGGGGCATTGATATTGGGTCCCGGGAGCAGTTTGTCGCCGTGTGTAAGTTTATGGAGAGGCATGGGAATCGGCCGATTGTGGATGAGAGGGTTTTCGGCTTTGAGGAAGCGAAGGAGGCGTTTGGATATTTGAGGGAGCAGAGGTTTATGGGGAAAGTCGTGATTCGTGTTGCTGATGATGACAATTGATCTGATATAGCATAGAGGTATACTCCAATGCAAATTCTACCCTGTAACTATGTGGGTATGCTGTCAGGTGGAACGGGTTACCTTGAGTTGTGGGGCTGACTGGTGTGCTCGTCCAAAGGCTTTGGCGACTTTCCAAATGCTTGCTGTTTCAACACTTAGTAGAAAGCGGAGGTCATCAAAAGAAGGAGACCACAGCCCGTAAATCTTGAAATCTCTCCTCGTTGAGCGCATCAGCGCAACACTTGCCGATGAGGCTTAGCGGCGCTCCGTCTGTCCGTTTTGGGAACTAGCGTCTTTTGAGTGAATGGTTTCAACCACTAGCCATTGAGAATGATCGTTACATATATAGCACCAGCAATCTGGCTTCTGCAGAGAAGCATGATCAAGTCGCGAATGTTTTTCCTCCAAAGTCCCGAAGAAATACAGCACTACAACCCAGCTCACCGTACTGAGACATTCTATACAGACGTCGAGAGCATGATGCAGTCCATTCCAGCGTTAGCTTCCCTCTCATATCTCGACAAGGGGAGGCTGGACTAATTTAAAATAGGCCAAATCACCCACCCGTTGCAGTACCTCAAGTCTCAGCGGGCCCTGGTATGCCTTTCGCACGCTGCTATAGTGGATGCTTGATGGAGCATGGCATTTCTGTAAGACACTATTCGGACCAAAACTTCATTTGCTGATTTTTCTATTAGATGGGAGACTTCTTACAATTCATCGGCGACTTGAACCAGGCATCAGCCGCCGACCCAACTTTGCAGAACGTCCAGATAGCTTCGGCCTTTGCTCCTTTGCTACAGATACCAGGTGGCCATCTACTCAAGATGGGTATGAAAGCAGGCTCGAAGGTCGGACAGAAGTACATTACGAAGAGTAGAGGGGAGCATTTTCTGGAAGAAGCCAATAGAGCCTACTTCCGACCAAAAGGTCTTACGGTGGGCTTTGGACACCATTGAATGTGTAGTTCAGATTGTCGACTAATGAGGTGATAGGCATCAATCATCTCGACAGATGAGCTTCATTCAAAGTTACATGTCACATACAGTCCGCAAAATCACCAATACACTGCTGAAGGAACCAGTCTGGCTGAACGGCAGGCTTTAGCATTATCAAGCTACATCGCACCTTTAACATTCGACGTACCCACTTCAGCAAGCTCGACAGCAACAAAACAAGAACGAGAAGAAGTCCATGTCCATCGACGTGGCAGATCATCACGGAGGCAACACGAAGCCGGTCGCGGTCACCACTCGAGACTCGCTGAGAAGAGAGAAGCACGTGCCGAACAGAGGCAGGAAAAAGAGGTCGCGAAGCTGCATTGGCTTATGCTGGAGGAGGTTCACAGTGCCACCTCTCTGGGCTCGACGGGAAACCCTGATTTGCCATAAACAGTAGTACAGTGCCTCAACTCGTCTTATCCACCAGAAGGCTTCTCCAGATCATTTAAGAGGCCTGCTCTCCTGAATCCACCGTTGATTCCACAGTTCTTTGCCAATGCTGCGGCAGACATACGCAGACAAGTGGAAATGCCTTGACTGCTGATTCATCAAAGACCTCGGGCTTTCCCAGCTCGGTTTCCAATCTCGTGCTCTGAGGTCCACCCTTATGCCAATCCCCCAGCCATCGTCCCATATACTAAGGGCTTTGATCATATCTCCGCGGTTGAGCTCGAACTCGTCTTGAGCACGGGGGTGGTATGGCCAGAGCACTGAACCGAGATCGTCGCGCTTGATGTTGTCTTGTGAATAGTAGTCTTTGATCGAAAGAAGCTGCTCGCTCCGGTCTTCAGCCTCCGCTGACTCTTTCTTTTCTTCAGGGGGAGGTTCCTGCTTTGTCAATTTCGGTGGGTCAGGCTGAGCAACTGGAGGTGGCGGATAGAGTTGAGGTATGGCCTCCACATTCGTCTCAAGAGATTCCATCGAGCCCACCCTTCTTATGATGGGGAGCGAGACAGCCGATCCACCACTTGGTGTGGCTTCGTTCCTTTTGCTCACAAGTACGTCGCTCCTGGCACCCAACCTCAGCGTGAATCTTTTACCAAGGGTTTTCATTTTCTCACTCGTCCCGGTGGCTTTCGGCTCCTTTGTCTGTACGACAGTGCCGTCTTGCTTTCTCTCCAATCGCTCGAGCTTCTCGGGGATTTGTAGGGTAGGGTTACGAGCCACGGGTCGAAACGAAATGTCTCCTGGGCTAACTTCGAAAGCATGTACGGCTTCAGGGGCGTGCTTCCTCAAAAGCGCTTCAACACGCAGTCTGCCACGTATTCCAGTCTCTGTTATGATACTATCTTGACCAGCCTGGAGTCCCGCTTGTAAAGCCAACCCAACTGGCTCCAGTCCGCTCTCGAGTAACCGAGCGCACAGCAACAGGTCGGCTTCCAGCTTTGAGGCATTGACTCTGGATTTCGTCTTGGCATCCTCTGTCAGAATGGAGGTGATGACGCTTGAGAGCATCCCATCTGACTCTGGTGCAATCGAATACAGATGTGCGTCTAGCTCTTCCACAATGAGCGCACTGCTGGGCCGCAGTTCATCGTGCGAGTTCAGACACTTGCGCACAAGGTGGGCGAGGCACACTTCCAACGATGTCTTTGTTGAGACTTTACCAGCGTCCTCGATGGGACCAAGATCGCAGAGTCTCTGGAACGTTTCTGTGATAAGTGTTTAGCAGTGGTATATGGGTAAGTGTGCGTTACTCACCCCCAAGAGCCCAGATGTCGCTTTTTATGGTAGTTCGCCGTGGTGACATGAGCCTATGTTGTTCCTGGCGGACAAATCAGCATATGCGAAGGCACTCAATGGTGCCCACTCACCGGTGTCACAGTTTGACATGGATCTCTCCTTTCCGTCGGGTAAACACGAAGACTGCGACGCCTTCAACTCATTGCTCGTACAATATCCGATGAATATGACTTACTGTTCGCAGGTTGATGTCGCGATGCAGGACTGGGTGCCACTCTCCTGATGTCGCAAACGGAGCACGCGCCACCTCCAGCTTGTTTTGGTACTTGCCTATATCATGATGGAGATAAAGTAGCGCTTGCGCAACCTGATGCAAGACCAGCGCACACTCTCGAGTGCTAAGCCGCTCTCCGCCACCACTTTCGAATTGGCTCAAGTCGCCACCAGGGCAATACTCTAGATAACATTCAGCACGATCTTCTACATGACTGACAACCTCAAAACGAAGCCTCACGAGAGTTCAAGAAAATGTTACCAGGTTTCTACTACATCTCCTCGCACGGCAACAACATGTTTGTGACGCTGTGACTAGACATCAATCCTCAGGAATGCTGTGGCGAAACACTGAAAATGCTGTGGAAGACGCAACGCCCGCCAGACGGCCGACTTATCCTTCGAAGCACGGATATATCGGATATATACCCGGCCATGGATTATTGTCGCCTCGAAAAGACGAGCCAATCAAGCCAATGACGAGTGAGTTCCCTTCCACTACTTACCGTCCGCTCGCTCTTCCAAGACCGCAAGGCAATGGCCCGTGACTCGCGTGTTATCGGGGGCGGTGCTGTCGTTTATACCTGGCATCTCCATGTATTCTCAATGTTACTGACACCGGTTCCGACAGATCCAAACGACGCACGCAAACGCGCAGTGCTGTGCATTAACTCCCAGGGCCACCCGTTTGTGAGCATGCATGCATGGATGACAAAACATGCGCTAGTGTCCAATCCGTTTTCCACACCACAAATGAGTTTGGGCCCAGTGAATATGCTCAGGCAACCACTACAAAGAATCGTCGCGCAACGCCTCAGCGCTGATTGCATGAAACAGAGAGGCATGCTGTGGGAATGCCGAAACTCTAGATTGAACGGCACGCAAGATCAAGCAACAGGCAGCGCAAAGCAGATTGGGCCCAGCCATATGAGCGACGGCCTGCAGGTTCCCCTGACGGTAGCTGACGAACACCGACCATGCAAGCTAAAGCCCATTCCTGGTAGTACTGAAGTCACCATTGGGCATGCCATGGCGGCTACCGAACTGTCCGATTTCTGTCTGGCCACAACGCATGGCTGTCGCTCACTACATGGCGTCTTTCCGTGGCAAGCTCGCTTCCGGCATAACATCTTCACCAAATGAATGTCTCGCCCGAGCGACTATGTTCGCTCAAAGAAATAAATCGGACGTTCGACCTGTCCACGTTAATGTTTCCAGCCGTGATTACAGAATACACCCTGTGTCATCGTTTGGCGTAGCATCAGTCGCAGAGCAGCCTGTCTTCTCTGGATCAAGTCTGTTGGCCTTAAATCCCCTCGTGCGCCAGCAGAGCAGAACAGATCTTTCCTTCACTTTGACATCTCATCCCACTCCCTTCAGACGCACCTTCATCTCACAACCCACTCGCAACTATCAGTCTCTTGCACTTGCACTTGCTTCCTTCTTCGCATCTTCCTCCTCACCAGCACTACCCCTCAAACGACATCGATCATGGCTACCATCCCTCTACCAGACATGCTCGACGACATCAACATCACTTCTTCGAGGCCCTCTAGCCGTGAGGTCTCACTCGCGGGCTCAGACGATCAGAGTCCACCCATCTACACGGTCAAACTACCGAGCACCAAATGCTCAACACGAACAGCCCTTCCATACTCCGAGACATCTTGCAGATGTAAGTCCTGACCTGGATCTCTTCTCGTCGAAGCATCAAGCTAATTGTCTCAGTGTATCGGATATCAAGAACGACCTCTTCATCTTCAAAAAGGACCCCTCAATCAAGGAGATCGGGTAAGCGTGAGTCTCTCCAATCCATAAGATTGTCACCACTTACTGATCGACTCAGCGTGGCCGACGTGAAGGCCGAAGTTCTGCTTCTCAAGAAGGCGAATGAAGTCACGATAAAGATGTGAGTGAAGCTGTTGCTTCACCATTGTGCTCTTGGCATGGCTGACCTGTTCCAATGTGGTGGATGTCGCGGAAGCTACCAACGTTGAGCACATCGAGGAGTTCATCTCTATCCCGGAGACCCCGGATAGCAATGTTGTCTACAAGCTCAGCGATGGTCTCTTCAAGACTCTGAGCTTCCTCTCCATCTCCCACTTCGCCGACAATCTATCAGACCTCCACGTCTCCGAGGCTTCCACTCACGACATTTCTCAAGCCCTGGCACACTGGTTCTCTTTCTGCTCGGAGGAACTTTCTGGCCGAGTCACGGAGGATCAGTGGGCTGTCCTGAATGCTCCTCATCGTCGCTATGTGTTCCTGGCGATGCAGACTTGGACCTTGCAGCACTCAAACGTTCCCACTGTATCCATCAACCAAGAGCCAGGCTGCGAGCGTCCACTTGAAGTCGAGATGAGTAAGTCCACAATCAACCTTGTGTCGTCTCCGCATACTCGTCCCGTGTGCAATGTGAGCGATGTTTGAGCTGATCCTCAACAGATGTTTCAATGTGTCAAAACGGTGCTGGGGTTAAGGTGGAGTTTTCGTTGGCTTCAAAGAGAGCAATGAGGCGTTCAATCGAGTCATCCTTTCTCTTCAACCGAGAGCTGCCGAAAGGAACGACACTGCCAGTCCAGCTACATAGCGTTATCAAATGTGTGGACGGGTTTTCGCCAGGCGTTGGTGTAGGTACTTTCTTGATGCTGTCCCGCTTGCTTGTTGTCCCACCCTTCCTGCCGGGGCTTATTCAACCCGATCGTCCAATGACCACACTAATTTTCTCGGCTTTGCTTATCTGAGGCCGACGCAAACGTCGTCAGGCTCAAAAATGTTCTGCTAAGACGGACCAAGGTCTTGCTGCCTATAAATTCTTGTTACACCACCGTCTAGCTGGCGAACGCTCGTTGTTGTCTTTTGAAATAGTCGTCTACAGAAGCATGCCTTGCGCCTCAAATGCCATCATCATAGGCGGCGGCATTGCAGGTTTATCCTGTTCTATCGCCCTATCACGAGTCGGAGTCTCATGCGTAGTGCTCGAGCGCGGCAACCCAGCCGAAGGCGCCTCGATCGGGGTCAGTGGACAAGCAGCCAATGCAGCCGAAGAACTCGGTCTGTATGAAAAACTCTTTCAAGCAGGGAGGCACATCGACAGAAGCTACAGTGCCCTGGACCTGCGCGACACAGACGGGGACATCATCTCAAAAGCCCGCAGCGACCCTTACGGCCCAAACTCGAAAGAGACTGTGTGTATCTACCGCCCGACGTGGATCCGGATCATGACTGAGACAGCCTCGGAGCTCGGCGTACAAATACGTCCTTTGACGACGTATACTGCCATTGACAATCGTTCAGACGGTGTGACAGTAACAACTACACACGGTGAAGTTCTTGAAGCAGACATCGTGATCGGCGCCGACGGGCTGCACTCTGCCGTCCGCGAGCTTCTGTTCCCAGACCACCCTCCGCTGACTTACTCGGGTCAGCTGAGCATTCGCTGGATGGCGCCAGGCGCACAGGTGGACCCAGAGTCTTGGTACACCAGCTCTCAAGGCCGACTGAGCTTCTACTGGCTCCCCGAGAACCTGGTGTACATTGCATCTGTGCTCCATGCTCCCGAGGCCAAACATCTCAGCGCCGACGAGGTGCGGCTGCGCTTCACGAAACTGCTCGACTCGTTCTCCGCTCCTGCGCTGAAAGAGCTCCGGAGCAGATTTGACCAACACGTCGAGCTGATCGCACGCAACTACTACTGGATCTTGCTCCCGGACCCCTGGTTCCGACACCGCGGCATCTTAATTGGTGATGCGGCGCACGCGACCACCTCGCACATGGGTCAGGGCGGGGGCATGGCCCTCGAAGACTCGGTTGTGCTGGCTCAATGCATTCGGGATTCGAGCAGCCTGGAAGAGGCTTTTGGGGGTTTCATGAAACGACGCTTTGAGAGGGTGAGCACGGTTGTGAATGCGAGTGTGCAGCTGTCTAGACTTGAACAACAGGAGGATTGGTCGCCTCAGGAGAGAATGGTCTATCGTGGCAAGGCTATGGCTGCTATTTCAGCTCCGTATTAAAAGGGCGTGGCATGCGAGCTTGGAAGAGAAGGTGCAACATGGGGTCAGTCGGAAAAGTTGGTATTCGGGCTTTTACCTGACGCAATAACATGGCCAGGGACAATGAGAATGATAATGGCTTTCTCTAAATCACGACTCTCCAACAGATCATGTGGCTTCTCAATTCGAGCTAGATATTCTTTGACGCGACATGGCTCTGGCATATTGTAATAACTCTACCTTGACTATTGGCCATGAAGCTATGAGACATGCTGTGCGGAAATGTGACTAGAACAAAGGCCTGGACGATTACTCCACGTTCGCCCTGCATGACGTCCCCAGCTCGACATATCATCTGCTGTATGAGGATCGGGGTGTCAAATTTGCTTCCACAGCCTAATGGGGCCCGCGGCCGGGTGAGCTCACGTCCCACGGCTCTACGGCTGCACGGCTGCACGGCTCCACGGTTCCACGGTTCCACGGTTCCACGTCTCCAAGTCGGCTTTCCCACAGGCGCACATCTCTGGTCGACACTTAGTTTTCAGACTCAAGCCCAGCTCTGCAACTCTCTGGAGTACATCTGTGCAGCACGTTGTGCGTCGACATTTGAAAAAAATCTTGAATTTAAACATCGGTCAGCGACATGAACCGCAAAAACGACGCTGTGCACGTGGAGAAGAAGGAGCAGGATGACTACAGCTCGCAGCCCGTAGACGAAAGCCTCCCGACCACCCCGTTGGTCGTCTTCTTTGCCCTCTTCATCGCCCTCGGCGGTTGGCTGTTGAATTTCGACCTCACCTACTCTGGCACGGTGCTACAAATGAGTACGTTCCGATCCTCATTTGGCACATGCATCCAAGAGCATGGCGAAAGCAGTCTGGTCTGCAGCATTACGGCCCTACAACAGAGTCTCACAAACATCTCATCCCTCTTCATTGGACTTGGCGCTGCCCTTTCTGGACTCCTCGGGTCGTGGCTTGGCCGTCGAACGTGTATTCAACTCGGTTGTCTGATCCAGGCCGTTGGTGCTGCAGGATCGATGGGCACGGCGGGTAACTACGTCGCTTATGTTGCGTGCAAGTGCATTACAGGCGTCGGGCTGGGGTTGCTTTATGCGTCGACACTTCCGTACGGCATCGAATTCATGCCACCGCGGAGACGTGGAGCCATGATCGCTCTATTCAATATCGGCTTGTCGTTGGGTTCCAACTGTATCGGGGTCATTTGTCTGGGATCGTCGTCGCTGAAGAGCAACTGGGCTTGGAAGATTCCCATCATTTGCGAGATACCTGTCGCGGCAGTATATGGGACGTTTATCATGCTATATCCAGAATCCCCACGTTGGTTAGTCCTTCATGGGCGCGACGAGGCCGCCGTGGAGGCATTCTTGAGCATGTACAAAGGCCACATGACGCGAGGTAAAGCCGAGGCCATTGTGGCAAGTGTCAAGCAGAATATCGAAAGCTACCTCGACATGGCGAGCTCGACGACATGGACCGAGATTTTCCGGCGACATTACTTTCCAAGGATGCTCACGGCCGCTTTGGTGCTCATTGCCAGCATCATCTGTGGCACCTTTTTCGTCCATACATACGTTGCGCTCTTCTTTGGCCAGCTCAAAGTCTCCCAGAATCCGTTCGTGCTTAATTGCATCATCGAAGCTTGCAGCTTTCCTGGGGCTTGCGCTGGGCCTTTCATCGCTGAAGGTCTCGGTCGGCGGCGTGCACAGCTGGCTGGCTATGCGATGCTTGGCTCGTTGATGCTCATCGCTGGGATCGTCAATACCTGTCTTGGATCCCAAAACACGACAGGTTTGATTGTACTAATCACGCTCCTCTGCCTCTGGTCCGCGATCGCTGCCGCCTTCGTGACTTCGACGGCATGGCTCTTAGCTTCTGAGCTCCACTCCGTTCGACTACGGACTTACGGCCAGGCCTTCGTCATGGGTGTGTCATTCATCTTCCAATTTGCCAACAATTTCTACTTGCCGTATATGCTCAACCCCAGATACGGAAACATGGGAGTCAATATCACATACTTCTTTTTCGGCATTTCTGCAGCAGCTCTGGTCATTGTCTTCTTTCTCGTGCCGGAGACGGGACTGTTGTCACTGAAGCAACTCGACAATCAATGGTCCGCCGGACAGCGAGCTTGGCAGACTTCGTTGCGGAAAAATCGGACCATTTCTGCAAGGGGCCAGGAGTTTGGCTTGGGGCTTGCTAATGAGTGAGAATAGCGTTCTTCTTGCATTCGAGTTGGCAAAGATCTGTGTGCGAGCAAGCATGACCAACTGTGTTTGCGGTTTCAGTCCGTAGTCTATCCAACGGGGGCAGTGTCTCCTCGACTTGCTTTTGCAGTATCCGAGTGTTTGACTTTCTCACTTAGTCGTAGATCAGAGATGTCTAAGACCAATTGTAGTTGGAGAATAAGAATGAGGTTGAGTGGACATGTCAGCATCTTTATTCCCCGGCAGTCAGGGTTCGACCGTGAATTAGATGGGTTTGAGCCCGGAAGCTGCAGCGCCTGTTCGGTCTGTCCAACATGAACCTCGCACTTTGCACGTACAACGACAGGGTTCTGTCAGGTAGATGGAGCCAAAGGCTTAACTCTTCGAGGACAATCTTGGCATGTCAATATATAGGACTGACTAACGACACTCTACATATTCAAGCTTTCGACCTTTCATGACGCTTCGCTTGAAGCTCCTCCACAGGCGCATCAACACGGTAATCCATCTCCATGCTCAGGTCGCCGAGGAAGAAGCAGGCGAGACAAGCAACAGCACCGAATGATGCGGCAATAATATAGACGACGCGCAGTCCATCTGCGTCTGCCTGTTTCAACGCCATTGTGGCGGCCTGGATAATCGAGGGTGTGACTCCTTTGACAATGCGCAGAGCATTTTGGTCATTCTCCGTGAAGGCCGCAATGAAAGCAGGAATCGACGTAGAAGGCAGACCAGCCCTTCCGACCGCATCTCCGACATATTGAGGAATATAGACCCTTAATCGATCGCCCAATGCAGCAGAGAATATCGCGGTGAAGGTCGTTGCTGCAATCGCTCGAGCCGATCTGTACCACACCTATCAGCATTTGTTTTCCCTCATTTGTCAATGCCGCTCACGTCGTGACAGCCGTCGCCGTGGCTATTAGACTATGGGGAGTGGAGAGTTGGACACCGGTGATGATCAGAATCAGTGGCGCTGCAAATCCGATTCCGGCAAGAGCGACAAATACAATGGCGCTGGTGGAATCATTTGGCTCAAGTGTGGCAAGACCGACAATGCCAGCCGTGAAGATCAAAAATCCAATAGCAAGGCCTGGTCGAATAGAGCTTAGTCGAACGGCGGTGTATCCATAGATTGACGTGCAGATCCCGCATGCAATCCAGAAAGGTACAATTCGACTGGCCAGGAGGAAGGAGTCCGTCTCGTAGAGATCAACAGTTCTGTGAAGTCTTCAGTGTCTAAAGCAAGAGCAACAGGATCACTCCACATACAAGACCGGGTAGAAGATGATGTAGGAGAACAAAAGGCAGCCTTCCATCATGATGAGAAAAACACACAAGACAAAAGTCCTTCCTCTGTTCTTTCCACCTTTGAAAAGGTCATGATGAAGGATACCTGTCGCTGTTCCTCTCCACTCGTAGACGAAGAAGCCTGCAAAAACGACGAGACCGACGACCAATGTCGCGACGATGCGTGCGCTTCTCCAGGGATATAATTCACCTCCCGAGGTTACAGCGAACAGAATCAAACTGAGGCCAGCAGCCAATAGGAAGGCTCCTATGAGGTCAAGCTGCCCGATCTTTTGAAGTAACGACATGTGATCCAGTCTGGTATGACGAGAAGGGGGCGTGTATCCGAAGAATATGCCGATCGCCGTGAGACCCCATATGCCGGCTTGGATCCACTATGGATGTAGTCAGCTTGCATTACATAATCTACCCAAGTGACACCCCATACATAAAAGTACCGCCATCCGTTTTGAGGATAAGCACTAGTTAGGCCTCCAATGATCAAAGGCGCAGACACAGCAGCTAGACTAGCGGCCACATTGAGCAATGCCTGGGTCATCGCTCTCCATTTCCTGGGCAAGATTTCAGACGGGACAGAGTACGCCAAAGGGACTGCTGCGAACCCGAACCCTATCAGTGTCTGCGCTGACACAATCCGAGCAAGACTATGCGACCCGGGAGCAATGGCGGAACCCACGAACGATGTCAGGCAAGTGACGACGAGGATGACCTTCCGAGCTTGGAACACGTCTGATGCCGAAGCAATGACCGGGCAAAAAACTGCTTGAACCAACGACAGGGAGTTGGGAATCCACGTCTCGGTTTTCGTTCCGTTGACCGCAGCTGCGATGCTGGAGAGCTATAGCAGACTATGAGCAAGGGCAGCAGATTCGGCGTAGAGTACTCACGACCACAGGCGTCCCCGTCAAGGCTATTATCTACTTGTAGTTCAATTAGCGTGCGATGCAAAGCAGCGTGCGAGCTGAATGCTGACCTGCACATAGTTCAAGAGAAACATGGAGGCGACAGCCACGTAGGTTCGGAGATGGAGGTCTGGCTCTGTCTCTGCGTCGCTGTAGACCAAGTTCCCGTCATCCGCTTTCTCATTCTCGAGCACAACATCATCCTTTCTAGAATGGTCGATATCTTTTGTGAACATTGCAATACACACCATCCCAGGGAACTTGTGAATAATGTAATTAGCGTAGCTGCGGCAAGCCTAAATTCTCAGACAAAGAAGGCAGCGTCAGCAACTCTCCACATTGAAACTTGGGGCAGATATACAGTACCATGAGAACCCGTAGCCTGAAGCAACCCCACAGTCCCACAATCTGCGACGCAATGCATGTGGGGCGCGGAGATAAAGGAGGAGGTGGGGAAATCAAGGTGTACCCTCGACCAAACAATTCAAGGCACACAAGTACGTGTTCCTAGGCCACGAAAGTGTTTGCAACTAATTAACCGCAGATCGCCGGTTCGACGGAGCCTCCTGCAAGATAGTGATATTTCAAGGGTCTCCGAGCTGAATGGGGTTAAAAGTCCACGCGTTCAAGCCATCGATGTTGGTAGATGAGGCTGTGGCTCCGATTAATAATGGTTTTCCTTGTCCATACACGCAACATGGGACCGGCCAAATGCGACGCCATTGCACGGTCCTGACTTTGCAACATGCCACAGATAGCGGAGGGTGGTCGACCCCAATTTGCGCTGCGTGCTTAGAGACGAACGGATGTACGAAATACAGAAGTTGAATGGTGCGCGTGAGGTGGGAAATCCTCCACGGGTCATCGCTGTTGCTATATGATGTTTAGAACAGCGGAGATGTACCCCTTTCCATTGCTTGGATGAAGGTGTATCCACGTGTATTAGAGCACCATAGCAACGAAGAAGGTGATGCTGGGCGCGACGAGGTAAATGGTCTTCCTACAAGTGAGTTGCCGTTTCGCACAATGCTGTACGACCCGGCCGCCACGGCAGCATCACGTTCTACCATGACGACTTTGCTACGCATCTAAATCCTCACGACGAAGATCATTCGGTCATATCGCGAATACGAGAATGCACATCCCACTCGCTACTTTGCAACGTGCTGGGCACGTTTGGTTCTGCATCTTTCTCAACCTAGCTAAATACTAATCGGCAGACCTTTAGCTGACTTCTCCCAACGCCGCTCCAATCCATCTGAGGCTTCGTAGGTCTAATTAGGAAAGAAGAGGTATAATTAGCTCGAAGTAGCTTTTAGGGATGCCGCCCTCCATCCTCACACCGGAGAACTAGGACCGATATTCTAGGATTATAAGCACTGCTATATTGGTATCCTCCTATGAGCATGCTCGTGGCTTTCACGTGTATGTTGCCTCGGATCAAGCTGCTTCCTTAACGCTAAAGTCTATGCACAGTTAGAAAAAATATAATCGCCGGCAAGTGTAGATTTCACCGCAGCTGATGAAGAGCCACTTATCCGTCTGCTGAAAGGCTGTCGCGAATTGACCATTACGGATCGCTGGGCGGAGAGTATGCGCGTTGCTAGTAGCCGACGGGATGGAAGAACCTCGTAGAGACGTCGGGGGAGCCTTACTACACAGAACACTTAGCATCGCTGCAGCCTCTTGCGAAAAAGACTAGACTTAAGGTTACCGAGATTGAAAACTTGCGGAAAGAAAGCCTCTGGCTCATAGGACTTTGTTCTCAAACTTTACCGATTAGCGCAGTCTTTATGTTAGGGTCAAATACGGTATGTCCCTTAGAGAGCTTCCATGAGCCATACTGCATATTGACGCAATATAGGTTAGGAAAAGACCTAACGACAGGCCATTACGACAGCCTAGCCCAGCTGTGTAACAGTGTCGGCGGGTTCGCCGCTCATGCGCGAAAGCTGACTCCTACAGGGTGCGGGCGCCTGGGTATTGTTCTCTGACTTTCTGAGAAAAACAATCAGCTGTGTCTCGTCCTCTGCCAGAGCGTAAAACGAACCACCTCAAGGTCTTTGATGCTGTTTATCAGCTTTAGTGTGCTCGGAGCCCAGTTCGTTGGCTGATTGTTCTTCTTCGTTTCATCGTGTGGGTCCTGTGCAGATGCGCGGTGACTTGTCCGGTGACTCATGTACGGTTACAGATTTCTCAACAGTATCTCACTGTACGCACGACGTAAGCAGATTCATGTGTCTGGGAGCACCATGACGAATCAACGAACATATCTACGATTAAAAGTCCAGTTGATTCGACTTACTCAAGCTCAACGACCAAAGCTCCTTAGCCGACACAAAGATCCTGCTGGCTGTTGGTATTCTTGCATACTGCCGTCTTCAAGATTCAGAAATCGACGCTGTACGTATTTGCAGCGCTGCATGCAGCCAAAATTCACTTGCGCACTACACCGTTTGAGTGGATCTGGATTGCGCCATGGCTCTTGATTCGCGAGAACATCAAAGGTGGCTATCCTTTAATCACGGAGCATGCTGGCCATGACTTTATCTCTGGAGTTCCCTACGTTGTATTGTAGTATGCTCAATGTGTTTATCTGGCTTATGAGTCTGAATCTGTACCTGTGCGAGCGAAGGATTTGCTCTCGAGGGCCTCCAAGGCCCTCCGGGAGAGGCCGATCGCCCGCTGAGGTCTCTGACTTGAGCCGTTTCCTGCATTATGTTCTTTCTGTCTACTGTCGTCGACGTTAGTTTAGTATTGGCCCTCCTATGGCGTCGTCCAGTTTGGTAACTTGCTCCTGCAGTCCCGGCCTCTAGTTGTTGGCCGAGATCCCTTGCCGAACGCTTCCTACGAAGCAGTCCAGTCACTCCCAGTGGTACAGCTGCCAGTCTTGAGGCCGACGGCGCAGGGAGATACTTAGGACGGGACACATGCGCTGCCTTCGCCCATGCGAGCTCCTCCTTTCGCTTTGGCCATTGTTGGTCCCATGCCTCGTGTTCTCCATAGCACCGTGCGCACTATCATCTCGTTGCTAATTATTGTCCTGATGCTTAAATCTCCACTCTTCAACTGATTAGCGGAAATCACTTTCAGTGTTCACAATGTTCTCATTTCCACTCTGTTCGATCGCTCTATCGACATGGGCCTTCAGGTTTCGTAACGATTTCCATTCCAAGCTACAAACCTACTCATGGTCTCAATTTCGCACACCAACCAACCTTAGCACAGCTGGTGTTACCTCGGGCTCCCACAAGGGTCGTTCTCGGTTTGCTGGGTCGAGAGTATCGTCTGGTCGTCGTGGCTTGGCGTAGAAGTAATCCGGAGTATCCGCTGGGACCACATTCATGTTCTGACGATCGTTAGCAAATCCCTGGTGTCTCCGATACGAGCTGTCGTACCGGCCAGTGCGTAGTGCCTTTCCTAGCATTGAAGACCTCCTGTTTCCTCTGTAGATCGCCCTCGGACATGCGACTGCGCGGACAATAACAGACATAGGATATGAATCTTGTTTGCTCGCCGGTCGGGTTCTGATTCCAGTGAATCGTACGACTGTCCCAGAGAATCAAGTCGCCTGCATTGGCGCAGACCTTGACTTCATTGCAGCCTTTGGCACGATACCAGTCAGCGTCTTCGGAAGTGTAATTGTATCCATTCTTTCCAACCCCCAGGTCACTGTCTGGCCTAAAGCCACCGATTTCTTGGAACTGCTGTTCGTGAAGTCTGTGCGAGCCGGACAATACAACAAGCCCACCATCGTCTGGACCACATGGAGACATCTGAGCAATGCCCTGGTACAGCTCGAGCTTCTCGATAGTACGCGGATCTAACAACTTCTTTAGCTCTGCTCCTTCGTACGTCGAGCGATTAAACTACCTTGATCAATGTGAGGCCACGGTTCGCTCTGCTGGATGTCCGTTCTGCCAGTCTTCTGATTAACAGGCAAAGAGACATTCATGCCATCGAAGGAGACAATCAAGTCATCTGTTTCCCAAACGTTCTCAAATGCGTTGATAAGACCAGGCTCGGTTCGAATTTTCCAGACAAAGGCTTCGTGATTGACTGAGTACCGATTGTAGAGGCCTTTCTGGTGTCCGGAAGGGAGGTGCTCTGCGGTCCATGTACTCCGATCATCTCGTTTGAAGCCGTGGGGGAATGACTCTAGCCACTTCCAAGCGTCCTCGACGAATTGATCACAAGATTCTTTGGCGATGACGCTGGGAACTACGACATAGCCATCTTTCTCCAGAGCAGCGAGAAACTGTGGCTTGGTCATTTTGGTTTGATCGAAGAGGGTTTTGTGATCTACTCGGACGAAAGTCTTGCGGTGGTTGAGACAGCGTAAATAATTCGACGAGCACGCAAGTTTAGGCAGATGTCACAAGTGTTGCTCTCAAGATGCCTGGTCAGCTCGCGGAGCAAGGATGATCCGTCGTAGTTGGCCGCCCCTTGGCCGAACGACATGGGGGTTGGAGGCCTTGCTTCACCCAGGCGGGGCTTTGAGTTCGTGACCCCCAATGTCACCCAACCTGAAGATCTTCCAAGCCTCTCAATCTTTCTCCAAGCATCTACGCCTCAAAGCTTCGAATTATCATCAGTTTGGAGTACGCAGAGCCACGGTGTGGTACGATGCACGCAAAGCTCAGGTCAGGCCTCACATTCAACACAATCTTCTACTTTCAAACATGGACCTGCGTGTCAGTAACCAGCTGGCCTGGTTATCGAACCTCGGGAGACACCCGATGCCAAGTCTGTAGTGATACGGTACAATCAAGAAGGAAGAGGAGAAATGCAACCTGATAGCTGCAGCTCCGCGATAACGAGTCGATGGTCGTACATCGTTATCATGGCCCCAAAAGACCCCCAAAAATGTCTGTATTAACATCAGGTGGCCTGGATGTTCTGTGTTTAAGTCTCATCAGCTTCTCAAGCACAGTATGGGCAATCCGACCGAAGACCGTAAGGACGGCATTCTTGAAGGCGCTCTCAGCATTACAAGCTCCAACGATCAACATGAAGACGGAAAGGCGCAAGCATCTATCGGTCAGGTGCTCGAAGTCCAAGGCAACACCGAGTTCATCCAAGCCACCACGGCAGCTCCCCTGAATCCTTGGTCCAAGACATCTCTCCAGTTGTACTTGATCTTGTTGACAGCATATCTGAACGCAACTGCATCAGGATTCGATGGCTCGATCTTTCGGTTCTGTACGTGTACTAAAGGGCAGAAGGCACCCCACTTCGTCTTTAAGACATTCGCTGACCTTCTACCCTTCACTTTAAGATCAATGCTATGGATCAGTATAAAGCATACTTTCACAAGCAAGAGACAGGGAGTGCCACAGCGCTGATCTACTCGATATATACCGTCGGTTCGATGATAGGTGCACTTTTCACCGGCCCTGTACTTGACCTCCTTGGTCGCCGAGCTGGCATGGGTATTGGCTCGGTCATCATCATGATCGGTGCGGTTGTCGTGACGGCTGCACAATCTGAAGCATATCTTCTGGGAGGTCGTTTCGTCCTCGGCTTTGGTATCTCTCTGGGAACTTCCGCCGCCCCTACGTACGCCATCGAGTTGGCTCCCCCACAGTGGAGAGGAAGAATCACCGGTTATTACAATACTTTCTTCTATTCTGGTGCTATCCTAGCGACTGGCGTCACCTATGCCTCGAACAAAGACGATAGCCAGCTGGCTTGGAGGCTTCCGCTTGGACTCCAGTGCATCCCTCCGGGCTTCATTCTCCTCGGCTCGTTGTTAATTCCAGAAAGTCCACGATGGCTTTGCTCGCGAGGCCGATTCGAAGATGCAAGAAAGATCATCGCCAAGTATCATGGCGCTGGCGATTCTAATCATCCCGTTGTTCAGCTGGAAATGAGAGAGTTCGAAGAGTCGATCAAGGTCCAGAAGTCTCGGAGTTGGTGGGATTGGCGGCAGCTCGTCCACACCCACAACGGTCGTTGGAGGATTGCAATGGTAACATTAAGTATGTCTAATACCATCCTAGTCCGATACATGCAGGAATCATGGCTAACAATCGATTAGTGAGTTACGGCAGTCAGCTTAGTGGGAATTCGGTTCTTACATACTATCTGCCTTCCATGTACACTCAGCTTGGGATAACTTCGACTGATCGGAGGCTGCTGCTCACATTTGCGAGCAACATTGTCTCCTGCGCCGGAGCGGTTGCTGGCTCAGCCACAAATGAAAAGGTCGGAAGGCGTACGAAATTGTACATTGGTTCTTTTGTCCTCGCTGGCCTTTTTGCTGCGGTTACCGGTTTCTCGTCTCAGTTTTCAAACCATGAAGGGGCTTCTGGAACTGGCGTTGCCCTATCTAACGCCGGCGTAGCTTTTGTGAGTATAGCATCATCATCATCATCTGTAAATGTTAGCTGACTGTAAACCAGATTTTTCTGTTCGGCTGTGCGTACAGTTTCGTCTACACGCCTCTGACCCCAACTTACTGCGCCGAGACGCTGGATAACCATACAAGGGCAACTGGCATGGGCATTCATGTACTCATGAACAACACTGCAAACTTCTACAACACGTACGTCACAGCAGTAGCCCTCGATGCAATCAGCTGGAAGTACTACCTGGTGTTTGTGGCTTTGAACGTGGTATATGGTGAGTATTTGGCGCTTAGGGCTATTCTCGACGATACTGACAAGGCTGCAGGACTTTTGTGGTACTTCTTGGGAGTCGAAACGAAAGGCCGGACATTGGAGGAACTGCAGGAGGTGTTCGATTCGGAGTGGCCTCCGAAGGCGTCTTTAGAGAGGCGCAAGATGGTGAAGACCGAGGACGGAAACCTGAACCAGGTTCAACATGACAGTTGAGAGACATTATGTATAGGACAAGTTGCGGCAAGGAGCTGTGTCCGAGTCGTCTGCGTCGTTCCTGTCGCTCTCTTTACGATGGCGTGGCCAATCTTTCGAGGTTGGGGCGAGAGGCCACCTTCCCCTGGCTGGACGTGTCACTCCATGAAGTGGCTCCTCAAGTCAAATCTGAGACGATGTGGGACGATCAAATACCAGTGTCTTGACTTGGCGCGTCGTGGACTTCGCGAAGTTGAGTGTCGCGACTGAAGTTCCGCTGTGATCCGCAAAAGCGAGAGAGCGGCGTCTCAAAATCTCAGCCCCTGATCTTACGCTAGCCTTCTCCAACTTCCGCCTGCACACAGCCTTGTATCATTGGTGGATATAAATAACATGGGTCTAAAACCGTGAGATGGACTCCTCATCTAAGTTTTGGTGATGCCTTCTTCTTCACCTGCCAAGCGATCTAAGGCAACAATGTTCATACACTGTCGTGCACATCTAGGTCATGAGCCAAGATTCGATACGCCAGAAGAGCGCTTTCTCATGCGAGCCGTGTCGGCGAAGGAAGGTGAAATGTGACACGGGACAGCCGACGTGCCGCCGATGTGTTGCACGTGGCGAGAGATGCACGTACAGACTGTAAGTGGAATGCATCATCAGGCATCTGGCGGATTCGCGGACTCTGATTTTCATATGACAGAGCACCCTCGATCTCGTACACCAAGAAGCTCGAGGATCGCATTGCCGCCCTTGAGGCGACACTTGCAGACCGGGATAGCCATCACTCCCACTCATCCGCCGAGCATGGACCCAGTCCGTCGTTATCGAGTTCACTATCTGAAGCTCCCGCTGCTTCTGGCACGCCGCCCTCCGGTGGAGAAGCAGCAAACCCGCCAGGTCTGGAGCGAGACCACCGCGGACATGTCTCATTTCACGGCAGCACAAGTCTGTTCAATCTGGTGATGGCTCGTACGATTGAGCATGATCCCGCCATGCAGGCTGCGCTGAGCGATGAGCAAAGCAAGCAGGAGCTCATCAATAGTGCCTGGACAGAGCGAGCTCTTGAGAGGTTGTCCAATCTGCCCGAGGCGATCCAGTTTTTGCTGGATTCACATTGGTGTTGGGTCCAGCCGCTATTCAATTTCGTATACCGGCCTGCCTTCACACGCGACCTCAAGACGAACGGCCAATTCTGCTCTGTGCTATTACTCAACGCTATGCTTGCTCATTCCGTAAGATGGGCAAAGGCCGATCATAACGTTGCCCATTTGCTGGAGCCTTTTGAAGACGGTGCATACTTTGCTCGTCAGGCTCGAATGAACCTCATGGATTCCGTACAAAACGGGCCCCCGACCATACCTACTGTACAAGCTTTGCTATTACTGAGCGCACAGGAGTGTGGGCAAGGCAATCTAACACAGGCATGGTTGTACAGCGGCATGGCTTTTCGTCTGATCGAAGATTTGGGCATAGTTTTTAACAACAGCAAGTATTCGTTGTCAACTGAAGAGCTGGAAGTCCGCAATCGCTTATTCTGGTCATGCTATCTCTGGGACAAAGTCATGTCACTGTATCTTGGACGACTCCCGGTGCTCCGAGAAAGCTCTGTCAGCCCTCCCCGAAGCATACTCGATGACACAAGCGAAATCGACATATGGATACCCCATGGCCTCGATCAGGCTACAACTGCGGACTACCCGCCCGCTCAGGCTTATACAACCTCATGTTTCATAAACACCTGCGCTCTATCTGAGATCTTGCATGCTCTAATGGTCACAATGTATAACCCAACAAAGGAGAGCACCATTGCGGAAGTTGCAAAGTGTGCTATGGAGGAAGAAAGACGGCTTATTGCCTGGCATGACAACCTGCCGTCACACTTGAAGATTTCTCTTCTCCCAGTTCCGGAACACTGCCCACCGAGCCACATTGTCACGTTGAAGTAAGTAGCAGATCAAAACGATTGTGCAGACTTGCTAACTAACTTTTTTTAGCTGTATATATCACACGACACGCATATTACTCCATCGACCAATGCTCACGACATATGGCAAGCGATCCAATCTTGACGATGCTCAGAGCGGACATCACTTACGACAATGCCTGGAGTCTGCCAGTGCAATTCTGCTCCTGTTCAATTTGTTCTGTAAATCTTTCGGCGATGGCCACGTCATCCTATGTCAGGCGTACGCAGTGTACACGGCAGCATCGATGTTCCTGCTGCAGGTTCAGGCTACCAAAGACTTCACCTCACAAGCTATGGAAAACCTAAGATATAGTGTTGATGCGCTTGAGCGTCTCAAAAAGACCAGCCCGAGTAAGTAGTCCAAGCTTGTAAATCGACATCTGACTGACTTGCAAACAGTCCTTGGATCAGCTCTGCTGTCGATATATCGCGCCTTGCAGGAGTCGAACCCCGCAATGATCGCGAAGGACAACGATGGCTCTTACTACATGTCGAATGCACGCGGCATCGATCACAACCAACCGTCAGCGTCATCGAGGATCAATATGGATCCCCTTGGGAGCACTCGCAACGGCGCTCAGGACATCAACTTTGTCTTACCAGATTTCGAGTACATGGACATCTCGCCCGACCTCTTCGACATGCTCCCGGACATCGAGCCGATCTCTGCCAATGTCAATGCCGGAATGGGGATCAATTTGGATCAGCAATGGTTCGCGAGATAACTATGTATCAGACGTGCTCTACCCGCATTTCCGAGATTACCTTCTCTTCGCTGGCTTCTTGGTCTCTGTTCCGCTCTTCGCTGTACTCTGGACCAAGCTTTGCCTTCCAGCCCATCCACCAGTGGCCACTAAACAGCTCTCCCATGCGCTCCAGAGGTACGCCCTTAGTCTCTGGTGCCCAAAGACCAAGGATCAGAATGCCGAGGCCACAGATAAGCGCCCAGAATACGTACGCGCCCCAGACGTCAAGGCTCACAAACATGTTTGGTGTTACGCGCACGACTGCGAACTGGAAGAGCCAATGCAAGACCATGCTAGAAGCATAACCGACACTTCGAATTCGCGTTGGGAAGATCTCGGTTCCGTACAGGTACTGCACCGTACAAAGTCCGATTGACTGGGAAGTAAGCAGTCAGCGATATTGATTTTCGAAGAAAGAGATGATGTGGACTCACCCAACCAACTGCATAAATGAAAACCGACGCAATGGCTGCGTCTGAGGCAGACTTGTTGCTCGCCACGCCCGGTTGGTAGGCCATATATGCCGCCATGTATATATGAGCACTCAGCTGCAGACTGAGCCCTGCCAGAAAGCATCTTCGTCGACCGATGATATCAATCAAGCCCCATGCGAATATCATGGTGAAGACAAGTTTGACGATCCCATACGCTCCTGAAGAGATGAGTGAGCTTGATTCGCCTTTGATGCCAGCATACTGGAAGATCTGCGGAATGTAATAGGTGATTCCGTTGCCTCCCGACCACTGAGCGACAGTCTGCATGGTCATGACGAGAAGGTATCGGCTGCGGTATGTGGGCACTGTAGCAATCTCCTTGACCACAATCCATAGAGACGTGCCAGCAAGGTCTGCCAGCTTCTCTCTCCTTTGGGCCTCAATCTGTTCAAACTCTTGCTGCACTTCAGGGTCGCTCGGATCCGAGCCACGAAGACGGCAAAGCGCTGCGAGTGCCTCGCTATACCTATCTTGCGATGCTAGCCAGCGTGGGCTGTCCGTCATCCAGAATGAGCAGATGAAGGCAATGCCGGACGGGATGAGAGGTATGGCCTGGACCAACCTATATTGCTCCCTGGTGGGCGTCATGTGTTTGTTGGCCGCATAGTTGATGAAAAACCCTGGCAATGTATCAGCTAATGTACAGCACTTTTAGTCTCATTACTCGTACCGAGCGTCAGAAACGTCAGCAGCACAACCATATAGAGGCTGACCATCAATCCTCTCTTCTTCGCAGTGGAAATCTCTGCAAGAAAAAGGGGTCCAGTCACCGTCAACGAGCCCGAGCCCAGACCGCCCCATATCCTCGCGAACAGCATGAAGCCGTAGATTCCCGAAGAGAAGACCTGCATGAGGATACCTGACGCCCATACAAGCAGAGCCAGTTGAAATGAGCGGAGTCGGCCAATACGATCATTGAGGTAAAGAGCACACAGACTCCCGAATGCTGCTCCCAAAACTCCAAAGGAAGAAATATTTGCAACTCGGTCGGCCAGGGCGGACTCTCGGCCTTTCCAGTTGCTTGACTTGAGATCAAAGTCATTGACAAAGGACGGCAGCTTCACGCTCGCGGAGAAACCACCCTCATCGTATCCTGCATCGAGAACAGTTATCTTCCATCCCGAAAAAGGATCTTTTCAAAGATCTGCGACTCACCCTTGGGGATACCCGCGCACGCGATGCAGACAAGCGCTAGGTAATAGTATAACGTCGATCGAGCCATCGCTGCAATGGAAAGCTTACACTCGATAGTATTGGAGCCGTTTGTCTTGTTTACTGGTGGTAAACGTGGTTTATGTATACTTCCCCAGACATCTTCACGCGTGCGGGGAGTGAGGTTGTGGGTCCAGACGATTGCTGATCAAGAAAAGTGAACCAAAGAGGAAAAGAGTTAGGCTCGGTCATCGTCCGAAGTGGTTGAGCGGAGGAAGATCACGGTCTTGGCCAGAGCTGAGTGGCTTGAGCTTCGGTCATCGTCCGAGCCTGTGGCTATTGCTCTAGGAGTGCAAAGTAGTATGTTCACCTTTTTGTGAACATCCTCAATGGCTGACTGTACGGTAGAATCTCGCGTGGCCTTAGCTTCGTACGGAGTGGGACTTGCCAAACTGCTAGACTCTTGGCCACCTACTTAAAGCAGCGGAGGAAGAATGTTCGTGCGAGGAATTCGAACGTTCTGCTTGTTGCAGAATCCTCGAACTCGACCTTGTGTAATGGCAGAATCAGCCATCAGTGGCTTTCTCCAGAAAATGATTCACCCTTTCTACACGCTTCCTTGCTTGGCAAAGATAGGGGCTGGTGCAGCAGTTGTACTGCCAGCAGCATCCAGTCGCTCCGTAGCCAACGAGGCTTACAAGAGAGACGGTCGTCCCAACTTCAAACGACCGGATTACCGCAGACTCCCCAATGACACCTGGGATGGCCATATGCACATAATCGATCCAAGCCGATATCCGTTGGCCGCTGATGCCCCATATACACCGGGCGTCCATTCAACTTGGGACGCGGTGACGTTCGAGAACAGCGTGGACATGAGGAACATAATCATTGTGCAACCGTCCATCTATGGCAATGATAACAGTGCTCTGCTAGACGCATTGAAAGCACTGGGCCCCAATCGATCACGGGCTGTCGTTGTCTTCGACGATACAAAGATCGACAACTCGACTCTGCAGCAGTGGCATACCCTGGGTGTTCGTGGTGTGCGACTGAACCTGGCTTCCGTGGGTGCAGACCCGGACATCGAATCTTTCAAAACGACAGTCTCTGCTTACGCTTCTCTTGTCAAACCGCTTGGCTGGATGGTGCAGATATACGCATCTATGGACATACTCCCCGGGCTCGAATCCACCATACGAGATACCCCTGACGTCAATTTTTGTTTCGATCACTTTGCACAACCAAGCAAGCCCAAGACAAATTCGACCGGGCCATTTGATCCATACACTATCACTGGCTTCTCTTCTTTGATCACGCTGTTGCAAGAGGGGAACACATGGGTCAAATTCTCGGCCCCATATAGGGTTGAGCTAGATTATGATCAGCTCGATGCTCTGGCAAAGGAAGTGCTGCATGTTCGTAGTGATAGAGTGGTCTTTGCGACTGATTGGCCGCACACGAGGTTTGAGGGATTGAACATCAGGCCTTTTGAGGAGCGTGTGCTGGAGTGGGCACGAGAGGCACGTAGCGTTGATAAGGTGTTTTCGGCCAACGCAAAGGAGCTTTGGGATGTTCAGAGATAGAGTAGCTCATCAAGAAATTTGTGATCTGCAGTTCTGATAAGGACAACCTCGCGAGAACGCTCTATACATGCCCTGCGGTGCTGACGAACAACATCTACAGCAGCTTGGGTCCGTCATGCTTCCAAAAGTACACACGGATTGTCGGAGATTAGGGTCGGTAGTTCTCAACAACTACATAGAATTGTAATCATAGCAAGTGGAGGCCGTTTCGTTCCGTAAGGAATCCTGGGGTAGTCAACTGATACTATATAAACATGTGCACAGACGGGGCTCGGTCATGTTCCGTGGTATGCAAGAGCGGAGCGGAAACTGCGGCGCCGCGTTGGTTGGGATACCGTTCCGATATTTTCAACAGGGGGGCTCAGTCCCACCAGGACAAGCTGATTCTTCTACAAATGCTCTTTATTGAGATGAACCGAAGTCTTGCGAGATCTTCTTAGGGGCTTTGCCAGAAGACATGGAGAAACGGAAACCTTCAACAGCAACTAGCATCATCGCTGGATCTATTGCAGGAGCTTCAGAGACTCTTGTGACTGTAAGTAATACCTTGCCACACATTGCCCATGGCCACTAATGCAGTCCTATTCTAGTACCCTTTCGAATACATCAAGACCCGCCGACAGTTTCCGTCAACAAAGAATCTCTCGTCATACGCCATTGTCCGCTCAACGATCTCAACCTCAGGCCTCTGTGGTCTCTACTCTGGCTGCGCAGTACTGGCAGCAAGCAATGCAGCAAAATCTGGAATTCGATTCTTCGCTTTCGAATCAGCGCGGTCGAACCTGAGTTCTTTCTTTCCTTCTCTCGCAGCGCATGGCATGCTCAATGTCACCGCTGGATTGTGCGCTGGCATTGCAGAGAGTGTACTCGTCGTGACACCAGGCGAAGCTGTCAAGACACGGATTGTCAACGCCGCTGCAAGCACTGCCACTAAAACTCAAGTGTCGACAACTCAAGTCATCCGCGAAATGCTCCGTCAAAATGGCCTCGTTTCGTTTTGGCGAGGTTTAGGGCCAGTCCTCTGCAAACAAGGAACCAACAGCGCCGTTCGCTTCTCAACTTTTGGGGCATTCAAAGACCTTCTCAACCGATCAGATACCGTTCGGACCTACGCAGGCCAATCTGTCGTTACCTTTACTGCTGGAGCTGGAAGTGGAGTTGTTACTGTGTATGCTAGCATGCCTTTCGATAATATCAAGACCAGGCTTCAAATGCAAAGCGCTGGCAACGAAGGACTATTCTCGTGTGCTAGGAGAATGCTACTTCAGGAGGGCATCGCGGTCTTTTGGAAGGCTACAACTCCGAGGCTTGCAAGACTGACGCTGAGTAGTTCGATAACGTTCACTGTGTACGATTACGTGATTCGGGCGACGAGGAGTATGGCGTAGCATCTACTGAGCGTTATGCTTCTCTCAAGTTACGAAAAAGACATAGACATATTTACCGTACGCTGACTATTTCCGAATACTATCCTTGAATGCTCGAGCCAGCACCACGTATTGATCAATTGCAAAAGCAGCATGTCCCGTTCTCCATGCCCTTGCTAACGACCTACTTGCTCTTCACAACAAACTTGCGTTGGAACTCCGATCATAGTCCTCGTCAAACTCCGGGCCTACAAAATGTGCTGTTTCGGTGGCTGTAACAATATGACCAAGGAAGCTCCGCTTCGCAGAGCGTTGTCCAACCAGGATTGTATAAGTCATACTTGCTTGTGATCTGTTCGTGCAATTGGTGTCTCTTGGGCTCATGTTGAAGAGGCTGCCACGTTCTTGCCCTTTTGATGTCCATCGTCTGTGTCCCATCGCCGGGAGTACCTATATGCAGAGACCGGTGTGATGTATTCTACAGCCTTACAGGGGTAGTACAACTCCTGACCGTTCACAGTTGCGCATCCTCAATTTCTTCAATAACTACTTTTCTCTTCGGGAATGAAGTGTAACAAGCGCATGAACGGGGCATTGTAGGTTATCAACTGCTATGAAATTCGGGGAAATGTGCAATATCGTTAGACCACCAGATTGGATACATCCCAAAAGGACGGCAGTTCTCAGCTGAACCCCGGAAACCCTGGTGCGTCTTCACCCCTTGGCATGGCTCCGACATAGCTCCAAACCGCCATACCCAATACCACCGTCAGAGTCACGACCAGGCTCATCAAGAAGGTCGCCAGATGCTCATTGCCATCTGATCCCCTTTGCACATATGCCTTCGCTCCTTGCTTGCCCTTCTTCACATTCCCATTACCCTCACTGGGCTTTGGACTTTTACTAGTACTTGCTACGAGCCCTTTGGTGATACCATGCTCGAGCAAAACACCAAGTATTCCTATCACAGCGATCGCAGCAGGAAAGATGCGATACCGTGCCTGAATAGACCATTCCATAGGCGTTCGCTCGCCCCATTCTGGCCCACGGTCAACACTTGCTGTGACATGCTCAGCGCTCTCAACCGTCCCATCACACATTGGCAGCGAGTATGCCGCGGTGAAGCCAATGAGCAAAGCCCCTAGAGAGCCGAACAAAATGTTGGTGATCGAAAGAGCTTTAGGACTGCCGAGGCTGTTGCTGAAAGTGGTCGACATCGCAATGGCGTAAATGGCCACAATCCCCCAAGGTAGGTTGTTTCCAATGGCATCGTGGAATTTGTAAATCCACGGCTCGTAGATTGTTCGAGAGGGAATTGGTAGACAACCGCCAGGTGCTCTCTCGATGAGGAACCATTTGACGACCTTCAGCCGCTGTGTCAGGTAGTATTGATGTGCAAGAACCAAGACCGCCGGCAACAGAGCGGTGGCGAGAAGATAAACTGCATTGCGAGGAGTTTTCGCTTTGATTAAAGATGAGGTTCCAGTATAACGTGAGATGATGGTGAGGCCATTGCTGGTCAGGAAGAAGGTAGCGAAGGTGATGTAGAAACCTCCCCAGTGATGGAAGGATTGCGCGGTCACCAAAGCAATGCTGACTGCTAAAGCTACGGGCGTGATGCTCCGTCCCAGTATGCCATACGCGCACGAGGCCGAGTGAGAGACGAGCGGTATCAGCCAGTGCATTTTCTGCCCCTTTGTCGACTGCGAGTATTGAGAATTGTAGACGCTGAGTGTCGTAAGTCGGTGCGGTCGTCGAGCAAGAAAGATACATGTAGCAATGTATTCTATCCCTCTGCCCTAAACAGCAAGTGCAGTACCCATTCTCGGCTTCTTCTCAACATGGCAGAGTGCTGACAACCAAATTCCGCCCATTGGCTGGACAGAGCGGCGAGAGCACCGCATAAAGTTGGTGAGGCTGCAGCCTCTTTTTCTTTTGTTTGTGGGGAAGCTTGCCAACAAGCTTACTGACTGCATAAAAGTACCTGGTGCGATCGATCACTGCAGCACACTAGGCTGCATGGAGTAGGTCATGGTCATGCGTGCAACATTGCAGATGGATGGAAGCGACGTGCGCGGGCATGGCACAGATCTGACCTCCTCCAGGAAGACTTGCGAAAGCTTCCATTGTGACCGAGTGATCCGACGTGCATGATGCGCTTAGTCGAGGCTCAAGAGTCTCGTCTGCGCCGCGCAGCTTTGTCGGTCATTTCGGACACGGAGTCGTCGCCGTGAAAGGATCAAAGATGGCACATCGCACCCGACAGTAATGTAGCGCGGTACCAGAGCAGCGGCAAAGACCTTTTTGGGAGATTCCAGCAATCTGACTGACAGGTACAAGACTCCTTTGCGACAGAAGTCTGACAGATCCTAGCGACATAGCGCTGGGTCCACTATGGAGTTGCAGAATGATGAAGTGAGATATCTAAGAAATTTTCGAGACAGAAGACGTCCTCCAAACAAGGTGTTTCATTACTGATTCTGTATGCGCGTAAGTCAGTCTGTCAAGTGTTCATCCGGGCTTCATCTGCCAAGGCCATCATCCCCGTTCCAATGTTCCGTACTAGTTCATTCAGCAGTTCTGCGGCGCGTTGCTTGGTGGGTTGGGGCTGTAAGATCTGCCTGGGTATGGTGGCAAGTTGTTGTTGTTGAATTCGGAAATGGCCGGGCAGCTGATAGCAGAGAAAGCAATGCCGAATTGCTTCTGGAGCAGTGTCACAGCCGCGGTCACCAGAGGGTTGGCGTTCAAGACATCTGGCAGACCTAGGATCGGGGTTAGGGTAGGGACTGGTGTGGGATTAAGCTTGACATACCTTGTTGGATGTTTTGATACACGAAACAAGCGAAATTGTCTCCCTCGAAGAGGTTCTGAGCGTTGTAGAGACCGCTGGAGAAGTCCCTGATGTTAATGCCAGTGTAGGTGTTTCTGCACGCCGAGATTAGCAGCGATACAGACCACACGTGTGCTGATTGCCTTCATAAGAGAACGTACACTCCATCTGTGTTGCCGCCGAAACGGAACGAATCAGGGTACGCAGCAAACTCTGACAACAGATCGCCTTTTCATTGTGTCAGCCAGAGTTTCTAGACTCAACTTAGAGGTATTTCTCTTGTACCGAAAACTCCTACATTGTGTCAGCTACAGCGTATTCTAGGCGCAACTTAGAGGACTTCTCACGTACCTGTAGTAGCAGTATATGGCTGAGCACTTGGCCGGCGGTACCAGTTCTGTAGCAACATCAGTCGGAAGACCGTGGGAAGTTTTCGTGGGAAAGGGGGTGGGGGTGGCGCCGGCGACCGCGGGGGTGATTTTTTGACCCGTCAACACCTACATCTGGGATTCTGTCCTGACCTGGATGCCACTCGTAGTTAGGATAGTCGCCAGTGACGGCGAAGAATGTCTTGAACATGTCCTCGTTCAGATAGCCACCGGGCTGGTCGGCAGTATGGTTGGACATCATGGCGATGACGAAGTTGTACCTGTATAGACACGAAAACGTTAATAAAGGACAAAGTTGGCAAGGTGGCAAGGTGGCAATTCTCTACTCACGCCGCTGGGCTAACCAAGGTTGTGGAGAACAACGGAGCGAAGTAGTATGGGTTCTGTCCGATCGAGCGGTGGGTATTCTTCGCAAAGGCACGGGCGAACTTGTCCATGTCGAGGCGGTCGTCCTCGAGACCCTCATAGTATGCATATGCGAATCGGGTAGGGCTCAGAGAGTGGGCGTCACCGTTCTAGAGTATTTGATCAGTCGAATGAGAGCGAAGGTGGTCGGGGTCATACGAACGTTGATGTATGCGTCACAGCGAGAGATAGAGGTGTCGCCCTCATACTTGTTGTGAGACCAAGAGATGCCCTGACCAGAATCGATAGCCCCAAGTTTGGCTTGTGGTCCACCGATGGACCAAGTCATTGAGACCAAGTCTCCATCGAAGGCGATGGCGTATGCACCCAATATACCAGCAAGGTCAACAGACATCCCATAGGCTTGACCAAGGCCTGTAATTGTCTGCGCGAGCGACTGCACCCCGTTGCGGGCTAGGTAGCCATGGTTGGCGGCTGCGTTAAGGCCGGGGCAAGGACCTATGTCATAAGTCAGTGTCGTTCCGCACCTATCGTTCTGCTTTGAACTTACCACGAAGATCTGTAGACTTTGGGGACTGGAAGGCGTTGGCTCCGCTGGTAGAAACGTATTGTTCCGCAGCACTGAACAGGGTGCAGGGGACCAAGTTACCGCAGTGATTGCGGCCAGCGCTTGCAATCTGGGCGGCAGTGGGTGCGTTGGGGTTGTAGCCAATGTCTGCGTCCGTGACTTCGTATTGCTCATTGCATTTTGCACTGGTAGTACAGGTGTTGGACTGGCGTTTGGACAAAGATTCCATTACCGCAGGAAAGGCTGCGGCGCTCTGCAGAGCCGCAAGGAACACTGTGAGAGACTTCATGATTGCGGTCTTTCCAATGGATTGGATAGTGGCTCTACTGAGAGAACATATGTTGGAGTGGATTCCAGCTGACCATATATACTCAGTTCTGGAGAGAAATGATTGTTCTCGCCAATACAGGTCAGCGGGCTGCCCTGAGCCGGTATATTCCCAGATTGGCAACTCACTACCTGAGTAGGCCAATCAAATCATCAACAGGTAATAGCTCAAGCTCAAGAGGCAAGACGTTGGCATGATTTTACTTTCTTAGATTCCATATCTGGACATCGAGCAGTACATACACGCGGCTGAAGACCCGTATGCAGCCACGGTGCGGGGTGAACGCCTCTGGAAACTATAATGCGTACTGCTTGTCTTCACTGCAGGCCTTGACTTTAGTAGTACTACCATGTCCGAAGTCATGATCATGGATGCCCGACGGTCACCACTTAGCCTGCCAGAAGTTTGTAGGTGGCCCTGTAGGCATAGGGAAACTTCAGGCCTCCTGAATTACGTTCGTCGATGCACGCTTTTCGGCATGGGCGATTGCTTGGATGGTTGCTTGCCCGCATGGCTCCTTTCTGCCTTCTCACCATGCAGCCATGCAGATCTTCTCACTCTCAGAGATCGCGATTGGCTTCTGGAGCTGCGAGGTGAGTTTCCCAGTGGCGTATGATAGCTACGTGACAAGACTGAAGGAATAAACCCGGCCCGTAGTGCTGCTTGGGTATATGTCCGTCTGCCAATACTCGACTGCGCCGTGTAGCATGTGAGCGTGAGTTGCAGCTGGCAGCTCTCCAGGTGGTTGACGTACGTGGCCCGCGTCTTGTTGGTACGGAACTGGCGGCTCTCGCAAAAAGTACATTGCGGGTGCCGAAGATCCTTTTCTTGTGTCTGCAAAATGTCAGGTGGCAGGGTGATGTCCTTGGAAGTGAAGTTGTCCTGTAATTAGCAGAGGCGACGAAGGAATCGGTGGTCTGAGCTCGACGAGTCGGATCACTGTTGCGAAGGTCGTATGAATGTCTTCCAGTCTGTCGCGTCAACAGGCGTGAAAGCGGACGCGAAGTCATCCAGGACGCGAGGCAACAGAGGCAGGGTGTGGAAAAGGAAAACAAGCCCAGCTATTTGTTTCGCGATGTGGCCCGTGCTGTTTTGCCAGAAGATGCTGCACTTCGACAGAAGTCGTATACGATCTGACCTCACTTGATCCTTGCCCCTGGCAAACTGCTTACCTCCGTGCCCGCCGTCAGCAAAGATGCGGCAAACATTACCAAGTGGGATCTTCCTGAGCTCCGAATTTCGATCTCATACTTCTCAAGCACCGAGAGCAAGGTGAAATTGATTTCTTTCGCGGGCGTCTATCAAGATTGAAGCGCAGTCAACTCTTTCGTCTAACTACAAGAGAACCTATCCAGGGCTCTGTGGCCAGTCTCAACTTCTGCCTTGCGATTGACACACTTTCCTTCTTCTTCGACCATGTGTTGCTCTTGAATCTTCATTGGACAGGCCTTCGCTAAAGCTAGACCCCCGTGTCGTTGGAAACAAGCAGCATTTCGTCGCGCAATACATTGCTCAGCGGCATCTGACAACGACCTGAGTATAAATGTCAATTACGTCAATATTTCAAGCTTCTATTTAAGTCACTCACCTCATTGTGTTTCTTCAAACCGGGCTGACCGCTTTTGTCCTGAGCCGAAGATCTTGTTAATTGTACCACGTACACCCCCAGACGTCGCTCCTTTGGTTGCACCCGTGGCGACGGCATTCGCTATGGAGCCTGCAGCCACGCCAAAAATCCCCGCAGCCACTGGCGCCACGCGTCTGTCGATCTCAATAGATTGCTTTCCATCCAGCCCAATGTCTTGTCCAAGGTCGACTCGATGGCTGTTGTCTGCCCGAAGCTGCAGAGGTGCGGCATTGGCTGAAATCGCGAGCGTGGCGAGTAGGACGGTGATTTGAAACTTCATCCTCGCGGTAAGTCGTCGATTTACAGTGCTCAGGTTGATTGGTTGTGCGGTGTGGATGGCGTGGGTCTTTTTGGGTGTTCTCAAGGATGATCAGATGATGCAGGACACCATGAAGGGCAAAGGTCAACTGGCTTTTATATCACCATGGAAGCATTTGTCGCCGTCGGATCAGATACACTATGCGATCCTCCTGCCGACTCTTCGACACACACGTGCTTGATTGCAGACATCCCACAAGCCGGTCGACAAGCGAGCAAAAGCAGAAACTTTTCGTCGCGATACTCACGTGGCTTGAAACCTTCACCAAATGCCTCACGTTTCAGACCACATTGGCCAAGACATCAAGGATACGACCTTGGCTTTCTTGGATGTCTCGCTTCTCGTCGGAACGCTTACAGCGGAGTACTCGGGAACAACATTTGGCTTTACCGTCCGACATCATGTCGAGAAAATGCAATGGTGGTTTCAGCCTATCGGTGATACACATCACCCACGCACACTAGAGCCATACTCCTATGATGAAGCGAGACAGTTTTTATCAACAAGAATGGTCACGCATCTTGTTGACGCCGTTTCTGGTTGAATTGAACGCCAACACACGTGTCACCTTTGTTGAAGCTCGTCGCTCCCCGAATGATGAATGGGAACTCCAGAGACTGTAGCCTCGAGGATGCACTGGTTTCTTCCGATCGTGGTGCAATGCTCGAGAGAATGAGAGCGTAGAACTAGCAGGAAAGGAGTATCCGAACGCTCTTCTGATGGAAAGATATGAATGCTGGGAAAAGCCAACAAATGCAACATTCGAGGTGCGAATACAAAAGTCCCAGATACCGATTGCTATTGCCTACATACTACATTGCTGTCCTCCTCACGTCCCGCCTTAACTCGTTCAGTCGTCTCCAGAGACTCAGTTCCATGTGGGTGGTACCCTACTGCTTGAAGATATCAAGCTTGCCGTCAAGAGGGTTGAACGATGTGTCATCGTTCTTGTCCTGAGGAAGGACCTTTCCGAGCACATCCTTGATGAATGGTTCAGCTTCACGCTTTCCTGGAAGGCCGGGGTCGTCGAATGGGTTCAATGGGCTGTCGTCGTTGACCTCTTTGGCCCACCACTGGATAGCGTTGTTCAGTCCCTCCTTGACACCTCCTTGCGGCTGAGCCTCGCGTTTGCCAGGAAGACCGGGGTCGTCGAATGGGTTCAGTGGGCTGTCGTCGTTGACCTCTTTGGCCCACCATTGGATGGCATTGTTGAGTCCTTCCTTGACTCCTTCCTGAGGCAGGGCATCACGCTTTCCAATGACGCCTTCGTCGTCGAATGGGTTGAATGGGTCGTCATCGAAAGGCTTGAATTCAATGAAAGCATCCCGCTTGGAGTCGCCAGATACATCGCGCTTCTTGTCGTCAAAGAAGATCTTCTTGCCGGCCAAGACACCGGCTTTCACGCCAACTTTGGCTGCCAATGGCAGGAAAGGTTCGCGTTTCTCAACAGCATCGAGATCGCGCTTGTCATCGAAGAGGATCTTCTTGCCGGCGAGAATGCCAGCTTTGACGCCGACCTTGGCAGCTAGCGGTAGGAAGGGCTCGCGCTTCTCAACAACATCCACGTCGCGCTTTTCGTCGAAGAAAATCTTTTTGCCCAACGCAGCTCCAGCCTTGATGCCAACCTTTGCTGCGATGGGAAGAGCGGGCTCGCGCTTCTCGAATGCATCTGCAAACAGAGTATGTCAGTACAGCCTCGAGATCAACGCGGGAATGCGATTACGCAGAATCGGATGAAAGTGCCGTACCATTTTGAGCTGGAGCAGCAATGGCATTGCTGACGCAAAAGGCCAGAACAAGTGTGGCGATAGATGCCTTCATGGTTGTTTGAACGTTCGATGAGGGTGTGAAGTGCTTTGCTATAGAAGTGATTCTTCGGCTTTGTCTTTAAATGTATGTCCACCGATGGGGATGATAGACTTTATATCACTCAACAACGTCGCTGATCTTTAGTTGTAGCCGTATTGTTCGGATATCGGATCTTGATGGAACGGGCTTGGGGAGGCTATAGTCAGAACGTTTCAAAGCAGCACTCAAGAACGCCCAGGCTGGAGATTGTGCATCTCTCCGAATGGATTGCTGGAAACGGTGGGCGTAACAATGTCCGCGTTTGTCGGTATATTGGCGTTCTTGACACGTGAGGGATTTGGGCGAGGATGAACATGTCGACCCTCTTTCCAAGAATCTTCAGCGCAACACGATGTGCGATAGTTCAAGACGGCGCACGTGGGACTACTCCGGACCTCAAGCACGTGCGTATCGTGCGACAACGCGGCTAGGCGGCCTGTGCTCGAAACATCGGATGTACGAGGCTGCGATCAGTAATCAGTACGATTAATGTGGGCCCAAAGAAACCGAATTCTCCAGTGCATTCGCTGTCATAGTAGAATCACATACGGATGTCTTGATATTTCAACGGTTGCAGAGTGTAGGAGGCAATAAGAGATCGCAATCACGATGCGGTGATGGCGAGAGGCTGTGCACTGTACATGCTGCCGAGCTTGAACCATTACAAGGGTCCCGGTCACTGCGCTCTTGTGCTCCTGTACTGCACTTCTATGACGTCTTTGAGTTGGTAAGCGTGTTTTCCTTCACATCTTAACATTTTACGAGGCTTTAGTCTGGTCAGGTAGACACGATCACGGGAAAGCATAGCGGCAGTAATTCTGAAGGAGGTGCTTTCTTCAGGGCAAGATCTTTATTTTCCAACACACGCGACATCGAGGATCAAGATCTACCGGGTTTCATCCCGCAAGCTCCCGTGCAGGCAACCTGGTTCCATGTTGTTTCAGAAGTTTTCTCCACACTCCACACGTCATTGCTAAGGCTGCTAAGAAAATAGCGGCATTGGCACGCTATGTTCTTACTTTTACGATGCCCGACTGCTAGGACCAATGTGAAAGAGTACATTCGGACAAACACGTTCCTGGTGGACGCCAAGATGTTCCTGCGTGAGGGTTCTCTACACCTGTCGGGCTATTGACTTGGTCCGCGAGGCTGAGTCAAGTGAGCACGCAAAGATCTCGAGGTAAGTCCGACTTGGAAGACTGCACTGGTAAGATTGTTGAGCATCCATCACGTGGTGATTGAACGAACAATTGTGAAATGCATTCATCGACAGATCGTCGAGATGACTTACAAGATTCCACATGCGATATGAAGGATTTCGTCCTCCGACGTGTTCAAGGCAAAATATGCCCTTACACAGACCTCTCAGGGCCAAACTCAAGCTGCAGTTGGTTTCTGGCAAACATCAAGAAGCTCCAACTCCTTGACTGGCGATAAATTTGATCAGCACCTCGTTGTTCAGCAGTAGATGTGGGTCTCGGGGCGGCGTACGGGACATCTTGTCACGAATGGCTCTCGCCCAGCGTAAGCCAAGAAGCGACATGGCCACCATCACCATCCACCAATTCTCTCAAATTCACATCCTCGCTCGTTGCCGAGCGGTTTCGGAGAGACACCAGACATCTTGGTCGTTATGCCTTCAGTTGGGTAGAATCTCGCAGCTTGCGTCGGTGAAACATGACCGGAAGCATGCTGTTGCCGTTGGATGAAGGCAGTTGAAGTCCTAATGCAGTACGTGACCGGATGGTGATAGTAGTCAGTGAGCCTGAGAACATATAAGAGCAGTCAAGGCCTCCACCCTCAACACCACTCACCAGCAGCACCAGTCCAATCGACAAGACCACGAACAACTCAACGACACTACGCCAAAACCCTCAACATTCTCCTTCTACACATCAGAATGAAGTTCGCCGCAACACTCTCCCTCGCTGGCCTTGCCGCCGCCGCCCCTCTCCAGGGAAGTCCATTCCGCTTCGCTCCTGGAACTCCAGAGGGCCACCGCCCCGGGTCTTACGTCCCAGGTAGCATCATCAAGGGTCGTGCAATTGGGCCCGGAACAGCCGCCGTGCTTGGTGGTGTTGTCAGCGGTGTCGTGGCTCCAGCTGTTACCCGCTGGGCCAACAAGGCACTTGGTCCAACCCGTAAACTCAAGCGTGACTGCGAGGACAGCGATGTCGAGGGCGAGTTGGTCGTTGGAGACAACGTTACTTGGGACGAGGTACGAGTCTTTTCGAAGCTTACTTCCTGCATTTGCTGACAACCATTCTCCCAGGTCCGCGAGGCGTTCCTCCAGGGCGTGACCACGGAGATCTCTGAGGACGCGGATCCAGAGGAGACTGCCATTTGCGTTGGCGTTCCATACAACGTAGATGATGAGTCCAAAGTGGACGATGCTGCTTCGGTCGATTTCACTGCCAACGGCAATACTGCCGTCTTCGACTGCTTCCTTCTCGCAGCCGGAGCTACATTCTCCGTTGCGCCAGAGAACGCAACTGAAGCGAACGTAAGTGCCACCAATACATTGATTGTGCATACCCTCTAACGCACCTCGGCAGGTTGAGATCATCTCCTCGAAGCCAGTTGAGTTGGATGCCAACGGCTCCGTTACTGTTTAAAGCTACATTTCCAAGAACTGGAAGTGTGTGCCCATTGTCACGCCCAGCCGATGGCATTGGAGATTTCTGTGTCTCGATGGGGAGATCTGGTGAACGAAGAGAAAAATGATCTGTGTTTCAGGGGGACAGATAGTCTGCACTACATACGGAGTACGAATTAGACGCCTTGCATAAACCAGCCTTCTCATAAAGAAACCGAGATCTCAGTGTTTCCATCGGGAATTCAACGTATCACATTGCAGCTTGTGATACCGTGTGATTAATTGGCGCAGGCGACGGAGTACCAGGAGCTTGTTGCTGGTTCGAGTCTCGAAAGCCATTCGCAGAAGGATGTGCTGAATGCTGTCCCAGCGGCGACGGTCCTTGCGTTTGCTGAGTGTATTGATAATGCCCATGCTGAGGTGTAACAGGCGCTGCAGATTGTGCAAAACCAGGAAAACTGGGAGGAGGGGCGAAGTTTGCACTCTGCTGTTGTGGAATCGCTGTACCACCGTACATTTGTGTTGACGCAGAGTACGTGCCCACTGCTGCTGTGGACTGTGCGAATGCAGGAGAGGGTCCCTGCTGCTGCCAGCCCGACTGGTGCTGTTGGGCTTGCTGTGGGTACATTCCAGGCTGGGTCGGATAAGAACCAGATGCAGTCATGCTGCGATTGTTTGCAGTGGTTGGATACTCATGAGGTTGCGGCTGGTGACTCGATGCTATCATATCGTTATATGTTGGTGCCTTCGCCAGATGCCCAGGGCCAGGCGCTGTTCCTGCGAAGATGTTTTCGCGCCGTGGAGCGGACTGAGGGTGCAACTCCGGCAGAAAGATTGTCCCTGGCCGGACGTTTGCAAGTGCTATAGAGAATGCTTGTGCTCGTTGTCTTTGGTATGCTCGGCGGAAGTTGTCGTGCTCGCTGTGAACGGACGTATCTTTTCTAGCCTTCTTCCTGGCCTGGCGACTGTAGTCTGTCTCTCCATGTGTCTGCTGAATATACATCTTAAAATCCTGAGAGGCGAGAATGACGGATCTGAAGTTCTCCCAAGTCAATGTCGGAAGGGCGTCTGGCTGATTCCTCGTTTCGACCTTTTCATTCTTACGTTCGTTCTCCTCGTGAGCTTTGTACTCGGCGAGTGCAACTGCAGTTTGGAACGCATTCCTGATCTCTCGACCATTCCATGGAGGCCGCTCAAAGTTGGTGTACACCTCCCAAATCTGAGAAGCATATTGGATGATCGTTTCGGTGTCGCTGTCGTCAAGCTTGAACGGCTGCTTCAGTTCCTCTTTCTGTCTCACGAGACGATTGAGGTTGGATCTCCATAGCTCGACGGTTTTCTCCTGGTCAAGCTCCTTGTAAAAGAGTGCACTGTGTATCCGAGATCGGAAGGCTTCGTCGAAGGCCCCGATACGGTTCGTTGTAAGGAACAGGATGCCGCTGTAGTTCTCCAAAGTTCTGAGAAAAACGGATACAAGGGCGTTCCGTTCAAGATCTGAGTCATCTCTCTCGGCAAGAAAGACGTCCGCTTCATCGAGTAGCACAATGCAATCCCATGCTTGAGCCAGCTCAAAGTTTTCAGAGAGGGCGCTTTCGACAGCCAAGGCATCGAGACCAAGATTGCCGCAGGTGATGGGAAGAAGTGGTTTCTTGTACAGAGCAGCAATACTCTCTGCTGTGGAGGTCTACATCGTTGTCAGCTCGTGTAAGACGTTTCGACGTTGGCATACGTGCCTTGCCCAATCCAGGAGCACCATGGAGCAGAACAATCAGACCTCTTCCTGTGACACTTTAGCGATCTGGTGAGGAAGTGATGAGCTCCTACTAACCTTTGCCTTGGATAATGTCAAAATCGTTACTCCGTTCTGAGTTGAGAGCGGCCTCTTTGGAGTCGAAATGGCGCTTCACGAGCGATTGCAACGTTCTTCTATGTCCGTCTGGCAGCTGCAGCTCGTCCCACGCCGTGCTGCTTTCTCTCACCCTCTTCAATCGATCGGCGTGAATGTCAAGGCAGGCTAATGTGTAGATTGTAAGAACAATAGAATCGTGTCGGGGGCGCATTTCAAGATAGACTCACCCCATGACCGCGTCCGGAGCACGTAGCCAAAGACCTTTGCAGGAAGCAATTCAAAGTCGTTCTCCTCTAGACGGTCAGCGCCGCTGGAAGTCTCATCGTCGTGACGCTGGACCCAAATGTCGTCCTTGAAATATTCGTCCCTTTCGGACTGTCAAAGGTCAGCTCTGATGCAATCGACAGCGGCGAGGGACCTGTATTGGCTTATAGACCTCGCTGGAACGCATTCGACGCACCTCTTCAAGATCCCCATCCCATCTACAATGATCCTCAACAAACGACTTTGTTGTCGGAGACATCTCTGAGGGCACAGCTCTCTCCCAAAAATCATACTCCATGATGCCCAGTCGCGAAAAGTCGGGTTTCCAGCTTGGATTGTACTATTGACATTGTTAGCTCTGCAATCACTGCGATCGATACTCGGGGGATGATATGCAGACTGTGGTTTCAGACTGGGCCAAGCAATCTAGCGTTGCAGGTTCGCGAGCACCAACATCTGTCTCTAGAAGCACAATTAGGGCGGCAGCAGTCACATCCAGTGGTTCAAAGCAAAGGTCATCCGCTGCATCATCTAACGCAATGAGATCTTCTAGCTACAGCGGTTCATCGAGACAGATGGTGTTAGTGGATAGGACTGGTAGGGTAGTGTCAAGAGACTACGACAGTCAGTGTTAATTATGGCTTACTTGAAAAGTTTTGTCAAAATCGACGACAACGTTGGACGACACATCTTCTGACCTCACTCGTCTTGAATTGGTGGCATAGAGGTCACTAACACGTTCTTGGAGCTCCACGCCGCTCGGCGAGTAGACATTGGTGCGGCCGTCGTAGTACAGTAACTTCTCAGAATCCCTTTTCGAGAGACAATAGTCGACAAATCGCTTTCCAGTGGATTCAATGTCCTTGAGAATCTTTTCGGACCCTGGGGGATTTGCATGCCTCAACCACTGCAAGGGGTATGCTTTCAGAGACCTGATTTCCCTGGCTCCTGGGAAGAAGGCGATTGAGAATTGTCTGCGAACTGTGTCAAGCTTCTTACCATCGAAATCGATGTAATATGCATCTAGCCAGAGTGTAGACCATTTCTGAGACTCCGAAGCCGTTTTCTTACGAGGCTCAGAAGCCTTCTCTGTACTATCTTCTTTGCTGTCTTGCTTGGGTCGTTTCGATGAATCGCTAGTCTTGGAAGTTGATTGACCGCTGGGACTGAACTGCTCAGATAGGAGATGCTCCAAGTTGGGGCGCCCACCAGTAACAGACACGACTCGCCAGACCTTGTGGTGATCGTCCGGTATGTACACGTTATCTCCAGGCCGGAAGAACGAACATAGATCTCCATATCGAATACTTTGCACCCGCTTACTCGACAGAGCTTCTTCAGCGGACTGGAGGTACTTGTCAAAGAACCTGATCAGACACTGTAAGTCCTCAAAGGCTTTGTAGCCGTCAGAGGCTCGATCGTCATCTGTGAGCTCGGACTTCACGTCGGCGCTGTCGTCGTATTTTATGTCCAGCATTTGCCACTCGGCAATGCCCAGGGCATTCCAATGAACTTTCTGCGTTACTTTCTGCAACTTATTCTCGCCTGTCACGCATTGTGACTTAGCTGAGTCCATCAGTCTATCGACATCTTCGGTCGCGGCGGATGCTTCAAGATTGACAGTCTCCGAACCGGAGGGCGCTTCGGCATTTCGAGCGAGCTTTAAAGCTTTCTCTCGCTTCACCAGGTATACCAGTGCTGACGAAAGCTCGTCAAGTTCGCTTTGAGCATTGTCTGCGTCCGTAAACAGAAACTCATAGCTGTACGAGCCTGCGCCAAGCTTCATGGCCACCACAGGAGACTCTTCGATGGTACGCTCGATGGTGTGTATCTGGTCAATGTTGTGAGAAAAAGTATCCAGTCTTTCGCCGACCGTCGACTCGGCCCACTGTAGCCAATGAAGGTTTGCCTTGAAGCGTAGAAAGCCCTTGTAGCCCAACCAAGATACGGCATACGCAGAGCTTCGCCACTTGGCTTCATCCTTGTGGTTTGTAGTTGTCTCACTTGAAACTTCTCGTTCTGGTGCGTCAGGAGGATGCTCCAATGCCTCAGGGGCATGCGATTCGACACTTTGTAAACCAGCTTTCTCCCACTTCATGCCTTGATACTTCGTTTTGAGCTTCTCGTATCGAATTTTCAGCTTCTCGTATCGAATTTTCAGCTTCTTGATATGACTGCAAAGGGGCTTGAATGGTGCAAGCATTATGAGAGGCGTCGATGGCGGTGAGGACGTTTGCGATTCGTCGCCAGACCGACAAGTCTCGTGGAGGACGGCACAGAGGGCCTGCGAGTTGATCTGTATAAACCTTGCCGAGTGCTCAGTGTTGCTTCGGTCCTCATTAGCTGTTTCGATATTGTCTGATCCCTTGGGAGGCGGCCAGCCTGCTGCCATGACAACGTCGATTGTGTGATGTTTCTTGCCGAAGGAGAATGAATCCTTCTCATGCCGCTCCTTGTAGCTTTCCAAGCTCGTCAAATTGTACTCAGGAATGGACTTGAGCTGCTTCGTGCCGCGGTCGCCAGGCTCACTTGAAACGCTGGAGTGATCGTCTTCAGCGTCGGTGGTAGCCTCAGGGCCGAGGACTTTCTCTAGAGCTGCCAGGTTCTTGCGTAGAAGCTTCAATCTTTTTCCCAGGCCCAGACTTTCTGCTGCATCCTCCCGAAGATTCTCGCCATCTGCATCTGATGTCTTGATGCCAGAGGCTTCTTGTTCGGTCGCATGCTCAGGATCCCGCGTCGAGCGGTCGTTGAGAGGCACGGGCGGTGCGTTTGGATCGGCTTCTGAATTGCCATGAGGAGTGTGCATTGTGGGTTCACTCTCTTCAGCCTTGCTCTGATCCTTTGGTAGAGAACATGGTGCTGGTTGATCATTACCTGGCTCTGCTCCATCAACAGCGTCTTCAGTCGGCTCCATTGTAGAATTCGAGCCTTCTTGTCTTCACCAAAGTAGAAATGTATTTTGAATGAGCAAGAAAACGAGGTCGCTTCCAGTCACAGGCTACTTGTGTCTCCACTGTGCGGCATGAAAGAGACAGCAGAGGCGCGTTCTAAAATAGGTGGAGCCCTGAAACAGCTCTTATGCGGGAACCAAATGGAGCAATATTGATAATGCAGCTCTTGCTTGGGTGCTGTTGGTCCCACGGTAGATTTGCGGATGACGGGCAGGATTCAAAGAGGCGAACTCGAGCACAAGCGCTTGGGAACCGGCAGACGCTATGCCCGCATCAAGTGTTTGGAGCCATTTATATCGTCGGTTACGTCCTTCCAACTTCGCCTGGAGGAAGCGAACCACAGCTTGGTTACAGGGGGATACAGCTTCAGCCGAACTCGACATGGTCGGCTAGCGATTCCTCTGCAAGGCCTACAGGGGCCCATCAACGATAGGTGGGCAATGCAAGAAACAAAGACAGCTGGGTCCCAGGTGGCTGCAGGTGTCTTGCTGCAACAGCTCCCTCACCGGTGGAGGATGTCACGCAAGACCGGAGCTGTCAACCCGCCATCGGGACTGCCACGGGCCAACACTTGCTCACTGTTAAAATTGCGGCTGATGCAATGAATCAATCCCACATTTATTTCGCATTCTGACAAGCAAGATTGTTCGTGCACAGCATCTATACGTTAGGGGCTTCGAAGAGCAGTATGAGTGCTCGCGCTTTCCTCACCAGCAATGCTGCCGGCCAACGTGATCCGGCATTTCAGACAACTGGCTTTTGCTACGATCCTCTGTCGACGGATCATTATGTCCGACCTGGCGCAGATGGGTGAGTAGATAGTCAAGATTATCCTCCCCCAAAGCCACTGATCCCCTGAAGAATCCAGGCTCGTGCAAAAGCTCATCAGGAGCGATTCCTGGACACCATGGAGACATTCAAAGTGCAGTTCCCAAATGCTAAGAATTTCGATCTTCACGAGCCTAGAAGTTGGAGCGCAGTGCTGAACGAAGGCTTCGCGGCAAAGGGAGCTTATGAATCAAGGCACAAGGGGTGGAAAGGGTCACTGTTTCGTGGATCGAGAAAGATCGCGGACAACGCATCTACCATCACCACGGTCTTGGAACGTACGCTTCCGTCAGGTGAATACAGTTCAATCGTATGCGGCGCGTTAGTTCTCACTGTAGAGCCTGCACGAGAAGATAGGCTTACCGAATTTGCAGTGTCATTCTCGTCTTCAGGGCTTTTCATGCGGTGGGCACTGTACGCGTGATGGTCTTGAAGACGTTGAAAGACTCCCCTCTTGTACTGGAGATGGCAGAACGAGTTCAAAACCTTTATCCGAGACGCTCGACGCTCAAAGATGCAGTGGCAGAGGTCCATCTCGCTCTTCTCGCTGCCATCATGGCCATCGTTGAGTGGCTACGAAAACATCCCTGTAGGTATAAATGTATGGACTGTAAGGCTCTGGCTGACTTACGGGATGCAGTGAAGCGACTTTCTGCGCTTATACTACAAGATGACTACGAGAGTGAGCTGAAAGATCATGTCGAGAATTTGCAAGAATCGACAGAGAGATTGAAAGCCGAAGCCGATCTTTGTCACAAAGAGAGCACAAAAGATATCGCAGTCAAGATTGAAGCCATCCAAGAAGACACCAACGTGGCAATATCCCTGACTACCAATATCCTGCTCATGGCTAGCGAGATCAACGCCGGTGTCCAGGGCCTGGATGAGAAGATGACTGACACAAGGACACAGATTAATACCCTTGATACAAGACTTGGAAAAGTTGGCAGTGGCGTTGAGAGAACCGAGGAGACAGTGCAATACCTACTCAACGTTGTCAACAACTTGTCCCGGCAGTGGGAAACAACACCACGATACTTGCCTCCGATTCATGACGCATGGCCGAATGGGCAGACTGCCGTGATGAGCATACCATTGCTATCAGCCCTAGATATCCAATCGATCTTAGGTGATTGGAGTGAGCACAACAGTATACTCGCGGAGTATTACTCAACCGTGGCCAGTGACGTTGGACCTCAGACTTCGGCTTCTATTATGGACTCGCCCCAGTTCCAATCCTGGTTCTCATCCAGCGCATCGCAGATACTCTTCGTCGAGTACGACACCGTCGACGAGCAAGTCCAGCCTGGGTCATTTGTCACGGCAACCTTGAGCCAGGCATTGCCTCGCTTTCAGCCTGCTGCATGCCTCACTCATTTCTGCTGTCAGACCAGACAGTATTCGGACGGTAACCCTGAAACTCTTTCGGATCCGGTAACAAGCATGCTTGGCTGTCTGATCGTTGAGTTGCTCCGGCAACTCTCCATTGATCTTGGCCGATGGGCGCAGAACAATTCTTTGGCTTTCCACAAAGCTCAACTCCAGGCTAACGACCTACAATATCTTTACAGTCTTTTCAAATACGTGGTTGGAGCCATTTCTGCAGGAACAATCTTCTGTCTACTCGACGATGTTCAAGAACTTGAAAGAGAAGCCGATGTACTTCTGTTTTTGAAAGCCTTCAACTACCTTCAAGACGTGGTGCGATCTTGTTCGCAACGGAGAAGTGTGTCATTCAAGGTCCTGGCTATGACGGTCTCGAAAAGCAGCGTTCTGACGTCGCAGTTGCAAGGCGATGTCTGCGACTGGTTGCATGTGGAGGACTCACGCCGTCAACGCACGAGAAGTCTGGAAGAATCTCATTTTCTTGGAGCATGGTAAACTATGGTCAGAAGAATAGATAGCAGACCTTGGAGTACTATTGCCGCTCACTTGGCTCTAGACTGCCGAGATACTCTCGAAACACATGTCGAGTGATGAAAGAGAAAAAGAGTACATTGTGTTGTGTATGGATCTTTGTCGTTACTTGCATTCATTTTTTGTGTCTTTTCATCATCCTCTGTTGTTTCTTTGACCATTGTTCACTCGTCAACTCGTCGTTCGATCAAGCTTGGACTGTCGTAGTAGTGTATATAAGAATGGACTTTCGTCTCACACTTTGGCTGATCAGAATCTCCAGCGACTCGCACCTTCAACAACGTACTCTCAAGGTTTAGGCAGGTCCTACAACTTGAAAATACAGCAAGACATCTAATCAGTACCGCAACAGAAGTGCAACAACCTTCAAACTGACAAAATGTCTCGCAGCGGCAGCCGCCACGGTTCCCATTCCCATGGTCACCCCTCCAGTCACTCTCGATCGAGTCTTCATCGTGGAGAGGACCGCCATGGCGGTCCACCAATCTCCATGTTCAACAACCCGGACCCCTTCGGTGTTGGCAGCTGGTCCCGCCGCCCATCACTCAACGCAGAGTTCCCGCCTCCACGTTTCTCTGGTTGCCATCCTATCCAAACAGATGAGAGACAGCCATCCCTGAGTCGATCAAGCAGCAGCCGTCGTGCTAGTGACCGCCCAATGTTTGGCAATCCATTCGGCTCTGGTAGTCACTCTTACTACGATGACAGCCACCATCGTTCCTCTCGATCGGGTTCTCGTACTTACAGCTATGAGGACAGCTCAATGCTGCGACCACTGAGCCGCCGTGGAGGTACTGACCTGTCCTCAGCGGCTCACGACTTCTATGACCCATTCGCTGGCCAGCTCGGCACAGGCAGAGACCGCGAGTCCATTCAAGGTGATCCAGAGCTCCCGCGTTACAGATCGGCATCGGCCTACCACCGCTCTATCAGCCGTGTCCCAGGCAATGATGTGCCAGGTATGCCAATGAGGGCTTCCCGGGACCTTCCACCTCCCTATTCCAGCTTCGCCAGCCAACCTGGGGGCGGGCTTCCCATGCAATTCCCTCCAACGAGGCGACCAAGTCATTATGATCGCCTCGGTGGCGGTCTGCCTCCTCCTGACTATTTCAAGCGCTAAAGGTAAGCGGATGCATTGCGTCGGCATGGTCTGCCATCCCCAGCTCAGTAGGTTGCAAGCGGCTTTTCACACAGCATAGACTGAAATCATGTACAATATCCCTCAACTACTTCCCGTCTCAATGCTCTCTTTTCACTTCTCATGCCATGCATCTGGACCTGTGATCACAATAAAATCCTCTCAATGTCCACGATCAGGGGCTTAGCGCAGCCTGACCTGTTTGCTTAAACGATAACGAGCTCATCCTGCAGGATCGACTTTTAAATGTACTTCCTACCAAAACAGGTCTACTCAACACACCTTACTGGTCTAAGCACTCCCCAAAAGCATTCATGCCACATTTGATTCGATGAAGGTGTCGACGAGCTAAGTGAAGTCCGCATTGTCAAGCGATAACGATCGCTTCTGCCGTCTCTGACGAAGACATCGCCGATGATGAACGCCAAAAGATGTTCATTGTGTGACGAGGTGCTTGCTATCTCTCTCATGCTTTCCTTACATGACTGAGTGCATGCAGATTGACTCTGAACTACACAGTTTCTTTCTGCAAAGTGAAGGGATTTATCCCACATTCCACCTGGTAGTTTATTCGACTTGTTCAAGCAGCGGAGAAGCGCATTGAGACAGCATGTTTTCATCATCACGGAAACTTGCATTGGGCATTTCATTGCTTGCTAGCCGGCGTTTGATGTCTTCTCCTCTCAACCTCTATATCACAACACACTCGTGAATCCCAAGCATCAACATACACATCGCCATCCAGCATGGCGGACTCCTCCCGGCCTGCACCACCACCCATCAATGGCAAAGACACACTTTTCGACACCAACATCGAGAAAGTCTTCGTCTCTATCATCCACGCAAAACAATTCCTCAAGCGAGCCAATAACGAGCAGCTCAACGTCTACCTATCAAATGCCGTACAACGAATCGACGTCCCACATCGAGCTGAGAAAGCCGACTGGCTGCTCCAAAAGAGCAACTCGTTCATCGACGGCAAGCTATCGGAGACTGATGAGAAGGGCAGGAGGGGTATTTGCAACCGCATGGCGGCGGTGTCGTTGTTACTGGTCAGACAAGCGGCGAAGAAGGGTGCGGTCAGTGATTTGGGTATCGATTGGGATGTTGTCAAGAGCATGTTTGACGATGAGGTGCACCGTGAGATCCTGGACCATGAGGGAAATCACCGCCCGTCTGAAATTGTTGGCGCAACTGTTTGATGATGCAGGAACGAGGATATCAACGATGAGCAATTTTCTGCTAGATGCACGGGGAATTGCTTGAGAAGGAGCTTGTAGCCGGAACCTACTGCCCGAGAGCCTCATGTATGGTAGCTTGTTGCAGCACAGTCAATTTCCGGCACAATCAGAATGTCAGCCCTGTTGGTCACGCTATTGCATTTATTACACAACGTACATCCCTAAGAAACATGTGGTAGGAAATTCGTCGTCTCCTGGTCATGGTGAAGTGAAGCTGACGATGCTGTGTAGGCGAACCACTGAAGTAAAAAGACAAGTAAACGCTGGAGGGAACGAAGTGTTGCTCCGCCGACTGCGGTCTTCCAACGAGCTGATCCGTGCTTTTCGCATTAGCGCAAAACAAGACGACCGAGCTTGGCATGTGATAGCCACATCCATCCACTTCTGCAGCTCATAATCCACTTACTTCCACAACTGGATAACAATCGGCGGGCAGCGCAGCAACAATCGACTTCGCACCTGGCCGGATCCGAAAGCTAGGATAAATATTTGTTGGGAAGCAATTGAATCATCACCAACATCCCAAAAAGTCCTCTATCTCTCTTTTATCGTCCTTTTGGATACTGCTGGTCACAAGCCAAGACTCAAGATTATCACCCCCACGTCATGTCTGTCGCGGGGGGTTAACGTGGCAAGTGTCACGCATCAGATGAGCACCTACTTCTGAGCCATAAAAGAGACTCGCAGCTGCTTGATGGACTGAGAGATACGACAACATTTGAATCGATGAAACTGAATTGAAATATCAAATTGAAGAGCACCGCCGTGATGGCGTCAATCGAGGACTTGGCGAACCGCTGGCTGGAACTCGACCAAGACGACGAAACGAAGAACGAGATCCAAGAACTCCTGAACAAGAAAGATGTCGATGAACTGGAATTACGACTACGAAAACGCATTGCCTTTGGCACGGCGGGACTGCGATCCTCGATGAAAGCTGGCTTTGCCCACATGAACTCGTTGACTGTTTTGCAAGCCTCTCAAGGACTGGCAGACTACATCCTCCAACAACAACGTCGGGATTCACTTGGAGATCTGAGCGTCGTGGTGGGATACGATGCTCGCCATAACTCAGAGAAGTTTGCTCGATTAGCAGCTGCAACATTCTTGAGCAAAGGATTGAAAGTGCTCTGGTTCGGCCAGCTCGTCCACACGCCATTGGTGCCATTCGCCGTAAGCGAATACAAGGCTGCAGCAGGAGTGATGGTCACAGCCAGCCACAACCCAAAGAACGACAACGGCTACAAGGTGTACTGGTCGAATGGCTGTCAGATCATACCACCCCACGACAGCGACATCGCAGCAGCTATTGACAAAGTCGACACCACCCTCTCTTGGGACACAACACTCGTCGACACCCATCCCAACGTCAAGAAAATCTTCACCGAAGCCGCCAAATCGTACATCGGCCACGTCACCGAACTCGTCTGGCCCTTACCCTCCGTCTCAGACGCCATGCCCTTCACATACACCCCCATGCACGGCGTCGGCCTCACAATGATGAAACAAGTCGCCTACATGCTCTGGTTCCGGGGCCACTTCATGCGCGAAGTAAAAGAACAAGCGCAACCCGACCCGGAGTTCCCCACCGTCTCCTTCCCGAACCCCGAAGAAAAAGGCGCCCTCGCCCTCGCCATCCAAGAAGCGCAAAAGAACGGCTCAGACCTCATCCTCGCCAACGACCCGGACGCCGATCGATTCTCCGCCGCGGAGCGCCTCGTCAAGGGCTTCTACCACCAGTTCACGGGCAACCAGCTCGGCATCCTCTTCGCCTCGCACGTCTTCGAGGCGTACAAAGGCGACAGGTCCAAACTCGTCATGCTCGCCTCGACCGTCTCCTCGCGAATGCTCGCCGCCATGGCCGAGCAGGAAAACTTCAAATTCCAAGATACCCTCACGGGATTCAAATGGCTCGGCAACGTCGCCCAAGACCTGCAGAGACAGGGCTACGACCCAGCTTTCGCCTTCGAGGAAGCTATCGGGTTCATGTTCCCCACCGTTGTCTGGGACAAAGACGGCATCGCCGCCGCGGCAGTCTTCCTCACCGCATGGCAGAGATGGAAGAAGCAAGGCATGACTCCCTATCAGAAACTCCAGTCCCTCTACAAGAAATACGGCTACTTCGAAGACGCAAACACATACCTCATCTCGCCGTCGCCGGAAACGACCAACAAAGTCTTCAACGACATCCGAAAATCCCACAACGGCTCCCGGCCAGAAGCACTCGGGCAACGGAAGATCTCGCGGTGGAGGGATCTGACGATTGGATATGATAGTGCGACGGAGGATCATAGACCTGTGCTGCCGGTGGATCCTGGTGCGCAGATGATTACGTGTGAATTGGGCAGCGTGGTGTTTACGGTTAGAGGGTCGGGGACGGAGCCCAAGATAAAGCTATACATTGAGGCTAGAGGGGAGGCGTCGGCGGATGCGAAGAGGGAGGCACAGGAGGTGTTGGGGGATCTTTTGAGGGAGTGGTTTACGGAGGAGTATGGGTTGAGGCTGGCTGGGACTGGGTGATTCGAATGCCGTAGGGTCTTTCGTGATTGCACGCCTTCTGTTCTGTGGCTGGGCTCAATTGTTACGGCTTGCGAACTAATATGATACATTCCATACTCCATGTTCCAGGTCACAGTGATCGAGCAGACTTGAGAAGGCGACTAATGTCGTCATCTCCTCTGTGGCTACATACCCCGTCATGCTGAATCTTGTATTCCATGGGAGCCATCATCACTTTTCTGAGGCTTCGCGCCGTCACCAAGCAAGCGCCAAACAGCCATGATCCGTCCAGTGTCGTTCTCTTGTGTCGGCCGCCGTCCAACATCATGCCTCGCCGCCCTTCAGTCCTCGAGATCGCTCTCCGTAGAATAGTATTCATCTTCTTCCAGTTGCCCCTTAACGTACTCTTTCAGGCACTTCAGGACGTCCTTTGCGGGTGTGTCGTTCACATCATAGCGCTCGAATCAGATGCTCCTCACCATCTTCAAGTTGTAGTAATCGTTGAAAGTCGCCACAGCGTCAAGCACATCAGCGACAGTGACTCCACACGCTCCAGGCTTTCGAGAGATCATATGCACCAGGGCCGAAGTGGTGTACAAGATGATCGTCTCCACGGGAGGCTGCGTCAACAGCATGCGCCGCAACGAATCACCTTGACCGGTCGTCTTCATGAGTGCCTCGATGCCTTCTTCAATATCGAGAAATGAATCTGGGCGTCCTTTGGACCACACGAATGGGTTGATGGCGACGGCGTAGTGATTCGTATCCGTCTCGTCCCGGGCCCAGCACAGATCTTTAGTGCGCACTGGGCGGCCAAGATGGGTGGCGAGAGGGCGCTTTGGTGCGTTTTTGCAGTCGCATGGCGATTTTGTATAGTCCGACAAGCCTCTCATCCTCAAGGTATGGTCCACGCTGGGCCGGAAGAAGAGGGCCTTCTGCAGCTTAGAGGAGCCTGTGATAATATCGCCCCAGGTGCGGTCGATGCGCTGAGCGAGGAGGACATCTCGGAGTGGAAGCTCCAGCAGGATGTATTCGACAAGTTCAGGAATCGCAGCCAGCTTGGGGCCGGCAAGGCCGTTCGCCTGTAGAAAGAGGTCAGTGATAAGAATCTGGGTGCCATAGGTGAGAGGACATACAGTGTCAGCCATTGCTGGGCGATCGTCTGCTGGATTGTCGAGAGGCTGTTGTTGATGAGAGAGGTGATGTTGAGATTCAATCGCAACGAACAAGCCAGTGGAGAAGGCGCCAGGCACACGCGAGCGCGGTTGCTTGGCAGTCACATGCATTCGTGTCGTACTGTTTTTGGCAGGAGCGATCGTGCAGTCAATGTTGATTCGTATCGACGTATGGCGATGCACGCAGCAGTCAATGCATTTTGAAGCAATCGTCTCTTTAGGGACGTCAGTATCTGCACGGTGCCACCAATCAAGCAACTAAATCATACCACCACTCCCTCCGTGAGCAGTCTCGCTCTCGAAACGCCCAAGTAAACGCCAACGCTAGCCATGTCAATCAAAGCACATTTATCTCCCCTCACGAGTTCATCTTCGGCTTCGACTTGGCCTCCTTCTTGGCCTTGTCAGCCTCTTTCTTCTGCTTCTTCGCAGCAGCAAGCTTCTCGTCGTTCTTGCGCTTGAGACTCGCCTTCTCCTCGTCAGTCTTCTCCTTCACCTTGAAGAAGCCCTCCAATCTTGACTGTTGGCCGGACTTGAGGTTCTTCTGCAAACGAGTCGCACCACCACGGACACGGTCCTCGGAGAAGCCCTTCTCCTCCACAAGAAACTTGACCAGACCATCGACATCGGGAGCCTCCCACTTGAAGTCGCAGTCTGGGTGATCGGCAGGTCGAACGTCTGGTTCGAGGAAGAGGAGACGAGCGTCCTGATATGGCCAGTCCTCTGGTAGGGTGTACTTGCCAGTCTTGTTGATGTGCTCCACGACAGCCTCGAGTGTCTTGTGCTCCTTGATGAGGTTGAGGGCAACCTTTGGGCCAATACCCTTGACTGGATCCACGTAGTCACAGCCCAGGAGAATGCAGAGATCGATGAACTGCTTGCGGTCCATCTCCAGGCCCTCCAACACTCTGTCAACGTGAATCTCCTGAACTGGCTCCTTGCGTTGCTCAGAGAAGGTGAGATGTCGCAGTAAGACTGGAGCGTCGAATGTGAGTGTGTCCATGTCTTCTGAAGCAGCAGCATAGACTTTGCCACCACGGGCGAGCACAGCACACTGCGCCTCGGCCTCAGTCGGTGCGATGATGTATGGTATACCCATCAGCTTCAGCAGTCTCTGTGCCTCAGCATTGTGCTCCCTCGTGACTCTCACCGTTCGCCTGCTGAACTTCTCCACCTCCTCTGCAGTGCCCGTCTCTTTGGCCTCCTCATGCGACTCCTGTGCTTCAGATTTGCGCTGAAAACGCTTCGCCAACTCTCCCGACTTGAGCTTGGGCGGTGCGCCATCGAAGACATACAGTGGCTTGATTCCATTTTCGACGATGCGGAGAGTGCGGTAGAACATGCCCATGAGATGAGAGGTGGTCTCGCCCGTGTCGGACATGAGCTGTTCGCCATTGCTGCGGACGGCGACCAGGAAGGAGTAGAGGGACATGGAGGCATCGATGGCGACTTTGCGGCCGAATTGGGCCTTGATCTCGCCTTCCTTGATCGCATCGGGGCAGTTCTCCTTGATGACTTGGTAGAGGTCTGGAGATGTTAGTAAAGCGACATTGAAGTCGTCGGAGTATCAAGACTCACGTTTGATACCCATCTTGGCGGCTATTCACGTTGTTGAGTGGGTGTTTGTGCAGGTGAAGTCGAGGCTACTAAACGCGAGACGGAAGGTGGACGCGTTTTGGCGCGAGAATTCATGACGTCGTGTTCGCGAAGTGAATGCTTCGCTCCTTCCACTGCACATTTCTATCTATTGGCATTAAATAGTGAATACTCGCATCTCCTCGTGCCTATCTAGGCCAACACCGCCGTGCACTTGAATTGCCACGTTGAACAACCATCTCTCAATAACCTTCCGCATTCGATTACGAGAACACTAGGCCGCCTCGGCGACTGCATGCCCTCGGCTTAAGCAATCCGCCCGGACCGCACATCCATTGACTTGTCGATTCTTTCAATATTTAGTTGTTGCTATAGCACCTGAATTTGACTTCTCGTTTCTGTCTAGATCCACCTCCTCCCAGTCTACCACACAATGTTCAAGTCAGTCGCTAGCCGCGCCGCACGGCAATTCGTCCAGCCAGCATGCGTTGGCCGTCGCTATGCCTCCGGAACTTCAGCAGCTTTCGATTGGAAGGACCCGTTAGGGAGCAATAACCTGTACACCGAAGAGGAACTGGCGATTGCAGAGACTGCGGAATCATACTGTCAAGAGCGAATGCTGCCTAGGGTACTTGGTGTGCGAGCCTTCACAGCGATGGATATCCATTGGCTGGATGCTAACGTTTCTCGCAGAGGCCTTTCGAAATGAAGACTATGACAAGAAGATCCTTGAAGAGATGGGAGAGCTAGGTCTACTCGGTGCAACAATTCAAGGCTACGGCTGTGCAGGTGTATCATCTGTAGCTTCAGGATTGATCACGCGAGCTGTCGAGCGAGTGGACTCCGGATACAGATCAGGCATGAGCGTGCAGTCGTCGCTGGCAATGGGTGGCATTGAAGAGTTCGGCACACAAGAGCAAAAGGACAAGTTCCTGCCAGGTATGGCAAAGGGCAAGATTCTGGGATGCTTTGGCTTGACAGAACCCAACCACGGCTCTGACCCAGGAAGCATGGAGAGTGTTGCGAAACCACACCCAAGCAAGAAGGGATACTACAGCTTGTCGGGATCGAAAACTTGGATCACGAACTCACCCATTGCCGATGTCTTCCTCGTCTGGGCGAAGCTGCAAGAAACTGGAAAGATTCGCGGATTCCTCCTTGAACGATCAGAATGCCCACCCGGCACTCTCGAAACTCCCAAACTTGGACACAAGAACGGACTTCGAGCCTCCATCACCGGCATGATCCAAATGGACGAGGTACCAGTCGCAAAAGAGATGATGTTCCCTGAAGTCGAAGGTCTTCGAGGTCCATTCTCTTGCCTCAACAGCGCTCGCTACGGTATCGCTTGGGGTGTCATGGGTGCTCTTGAAGACGCCATTGCCAGAGCGCGAGAGTACTCCTTGGAGCGGAAGCAGTTCAAGGGGAACCCAATCGCCAAATACCAGCTCGTTCAGAAGAAGCTCGCGGACGCCACCACCGACGCAGCATACGGAATTCTCGCGGCATACCAAGTTGGCAGATTAAAGGACGAGGGCAAGGCAGCACCTGAGATGATCTCCATGATCAAGCGACAAAACTGTGACCGAGCTCTCATCGGTGCAAGGAACCTGCAAGAGATCTTTGGTGGCAACGCCGCAAGTGATGAGTACCACATTGGCCGACACGTATCGAATCTCTTCGTCACACAGACCTACGAAGGCCAGAGTGACATTCATTGTAGGTGTGCTCTTCAGCACGTGAGTATCCCATTGCTGACCTCATCACCAGCTCTCATCCTTGGACGAGCCATCACCGGTATCCAGGTAAGTTTCTTCACACCCTAGACCGCGAAACCAGGGGGCTGACTGTGTCGCAGGCCTTTGTTTGATAGCATGTCGTCATTGATGAAGTGTACTGTATCAAAGAGCGTTGGTTGTATATACACGTGTTCGGCGGTCACAGCATGCAGACCTGAGGCCGATTATAGGACTGCGGGCGGCAAACTACCTCCATATGCATTCTATCATTCCATAGCCTGTCAGCCGTAGAGTGTGGTTGTTGTGAGTGGCACGCGCCTGCATTGATGGAACCCTGCAGCCGCCACTTGGTTCGCTCGTTTGTTGTGTCTGAACGAGCGCCTTCTTCCCGAGTCTCTCGCCTTCGACGCGTGCTTGCAAACCCATGAATAAAGTTCAAGTGATTCGCCGTCCATTCATGTGCCCGCTCGCAGTGATCCTGACAAACCGCGACACACGAGCAGATTCCGCGGTTTTGTCGCTTCAACTGGAACTATCTTTGGGCTCCATAAGGCCAAACTCTAATTAGCGGGCTTGGCAAGACCGTCGTCACTCCAACTGCGGCGCCGGCTTCCTGACTGCAACCAAACTTCTCTTCACAAAGACCACCACCACCACACCCACACGCTCGTGCTACACCGTCCACACCACTCCTATCCACACACTCACTCACACCATGGCGTTGAAGCGGATCAACAGTGCGTATGCCCCCATCGCTACCGCCTCGGACTTGCACTGACACATCACAGAGGAACTCACTGATCTGGGCCGGTATGCGGACACGTGCAGACTGACATCGACGCTGTGACAGCCGACTGACAGACACACAGTGACCCACCCTCATCCTGCAGCGCTGGTCCGATCGGCGACGACCTGGTATGCGATTCTCCCCACTGCCCTCACCCCGCCGCACAGCCCCTCCACGAGGCTGAGATGGAGCGTATACTGACATATCCTGCGCACAGTTCCACTGGCAAGCGACCATCATGGGACCCGGCGACTCTCCATACTCCGGCGGTGTCTTCTTCCTCGCAATCCACTTCCCAACAGACTACCCCTTCAAGCCGCCAAAGGTCAACTTCACCACCCGCATCTACCACCCCAACATCAACAGCAACGGCAGCATCTGTCTGGACATTCTGAGGGACCAGTGGAGCCCTGCTCTCACCATCTCGAAAGGTAGGCCAATGTCGGATATGATGGCGGAAAGCCAACCTTGATGGTCAAAGACATATGCTGACACTCTGACCATACAGTCCTCCTCTCCATCTGCTCCATGCTCACCGACCCCAACCCGGACGACCCGCTTGTGCCCGAGATTGCACACGTCTACAAGACCGACCGCTCCCGATACGAGGCCACCGCGCGAGAGTGGACCCGAAAGTACGCCATCTAGGCTGCGGTGGACGGAGGAGGATGGATTGATAAAGACGTCTGAGGGATGGCACGACAAGATCCTGAAGAGGCGTGACATAACACACTGCGATGAGGAGAACTGCTAGAAGTGCTTTTGGCTTATATGCTACGACCGAGGGGCGGAAACGACGAAAGCGTAGCCTTAGGCGGGACATGTTATTCTTGGCAACGGAATTCACGACGAGAGCTGCATTATAGGTGTTTAGGAGTGAAATTCGATTTTGCAGTATGTGCTTTTCCATCTTTTCCGTCCTTCCAGCTCAGATCATGTGAAGCCAGTGGCTTTCCAGCAGGCTTTCTCCCGTAGGTTCCAGCCCATTCTCGAGCCAGCAACTCTCAGACAATTTCACAGTGTCCTGATTTCGACAAAATGCTCTTATATTCAAGTGCTTTTCACAGGACTGGCTTTGGTTCGAGTTTGAGTGCAATGCATGTAAAAACGGTCCGTGCGCCTCCCTCACGTATCTCGTTTGCTCTTTGGCTTCGTCACCACTTCATCTTCAACTTCACCAACCTCTCAACAACACACCACACTACACACACCAACATCAACCAACTCTCAAAGACGCCAACATGGCTGAAGACGAGGTACGTGAAATTGATACGAAAGTTCCTATTGCGACACTGCTGACGCTACTCAGGACGCCGAGATCGCCTCGCACCAGCAGGTGTTTGACACCGCCGAGCTACTGGAGCAGATTCTGCTGGCGCTACCACTCAAAGACCTTCTACTCGACCAGTGCGTTTGCAAGACTTGGAAGAATTGCGTTGACAATTCGATCAAGCTGCAGAGGGGACTGTTCTTTCGACCTGCTGGAGAGATGGCGGTGGAGGAGTACGAGTTTGACATGCGACGATTCGGCTTTGTCCTGCCCCGTTACGAGACACGCTATCGGGTGTCGACCAGAGTCTGCTTCATCAACCCCATCCTCGTGACCAAGCTCGGATACGATGGGATCGCACACCTCATCGTCGGCGAACTTGACGAGACGGAGTTGCCCTCGAGCTTGCTACACCCCCAAGCATCATGGCGCCGCATGTTGGCCATACAGCCTCCTTTACCTGCAATCATGCTGGAAGGTCCACCCGACATGGTCGCCACGCGAGTCGACGGTTCTTCATTCACGATGCTAGCCCTAGAAGGAATCGAGAAACGCCGGCGAGACAGGTTGTTTGGCGATCTGGAGAGGCAGCTGATCGAACGGGCGAAACCCTGTGTTGCTGCATACGATATTCAAGCATTGGAGACGAAGCCTTCGGCATCTGGCCAGGCCGGGGGAGTGGACTTCACGCTTGACTTGAAAAAGTCCATGGGCGGGAATCACCAGGCGGTGGGCACAAGCCAGGTCCCCTTGTGGGTAACAGGTCCATCTCTGCTTCGACGTACGTGAGTCATGAGACGATGCACCTTTCTATGGGCTGCGACCGAGAGCTCTGTGGTCCTTTCGGAATGGGATGGATGAATGCGATTCTGCGGCAAAGGCACAAGAGGGACTGTGCAAGAGAACAAGATGTATTTTATAGAGAGAAAGCCAATGGCACTTGATAAAAAGCACTCATATCATTCTCTGCCTATCCTGTTCCCAATCCTTCTCTGTAGGTATGTCATACTGTAGGGTATCTTCAAATATCTCGTTTGTCTCATTCATGCAACATATCCATATCCATATCCCAGAAAGGCCCCCATCTATCCCTTACCCTCCTCTCCTCTGCTCCTACAGCACCGCCGCAAGCACCAACATGCCAATCCCCGCAAACCCATACCACGCCGCCGCCCCACCACCCCCACCCACCAACCTCCCCGCCGCACTCCCACTACTCTTCCCATCGCCCGTCCGATTATATAACGTCAGCGCCAACCTTCCACCGCACACCTCACTCGCGTTGCCGTTGCACGCGAAGTTGCACCGCGACTCGTTGAGCTTGACGGAGAAGGAGGAGAGGTAGCTGGCGCAGTAGCATTCGCGGCCGTATTCGAGGCCGGCGAATTGCGAGGAGAAGGAGGCGCAGTAGGCGATGCAGGAGGTGATGGTCATTGTGTTGTTTGCCGACTGTTAGGTATACTTGTTAGTATGGTGGGGTTTTGATGTGGTTGGGGAGGTATTTCGGGCTTACGCTGTTGCCATTTGAGAGGGCGCGGAGGCCGCCGGTGTTAGGCACCTGGGTCGTTTCGTTCCAACAGCCGGCGTAAGCGTAGTTGGAGGCGCTGGGGAGGGGCGTCGCGGTGCTAGCGGCGGTGGTCGGGTTGACGATACTCTGCTGGACTTGGGCGGTGGTGAGGGCAGCTGCTGAGAGCAGAGCCGTGACGAGCGTTGTGAGGAGCATATCGTTTGTCGTCGTCGTGGTCGGTATATCAAGGAGCCATGAAGACGATATGAATAGTAGTAAGAATAAGAATGTTGTCTCACTTACCTCAACAGACTGTCTCTCTTCTTGTGCTCGCATTACATGATTTGGGTGGTGAGCTGATGTCGGCATGGCGCCAAACTCTCTTCCATCCGCGCTCCACCGCCAAGATTGCGCGGCCTCAGGCGCGTTTGGCTGAGACGATGACGACGCCCCGAACAGAGTGATTCAGACTTCACTTCCAGCTTCCCAATTCAGTGCGCGTTCGGCCCGGGTTGTTCAAGTGGATTCCGCGAGATAACAGAAAGACTTCATATCGATATCGATACCTTATCAGGCCTTCGATTTTCTTGGGCTCATCGGTAGGTTCAATTGTCCAAACACTACCACGACTTCGTCGATTCTGGTCCAAGTATATCCTTTTGCCGAGGCTTCTTCACTCTTAGGCACACATGCAAACATGAAGACGAGGAACTATGGACAATCGGATTTGCCATCCAGGATCCTGCATCCTTCACCATCATGATATTAGCCGTCCTCACGGCGGCTCTCGTGGCAGCCATTGCCTTGATCGCTACAACGACTTCCATTCCATCAGAGCTCGCCCTTTTCGTCGGCAACCCTCTCCAACCCCTCGGAGCCAGAGTGAACCAGAAAAGTTCTGAATACTACATTGGTTATCGAGGCTCGGATTTCGACAAGCCATGGGCAAAGTCCTTCAACGACAATGTCTCGCCGGTGGACCAGGACTTCATCAGGAGTCTCGAGGTAGAACTAGAAGCTGGCCTTGTACCTGGGAAACTCATCTGTTGACGACTGCCAGCGATCTCCAGTACCTGCCAGTCAGGGAGTATCCATACGTGATGCCGGGGAAGCATTGAATCAGCCGGGTTATCTGCCTCTTGAGGATGGATATACGTTCCTTGACGACGGGACGCTGTTGCTGGCAATACGATCTGAGATGCCTCCGAACTTCTCGGGAGAAATGTAATCTACTTCCTCGTATCAGAGGTTTCGACGCTGAGACTAATGTCCTGCAGGTACGACTTCTGGTTCTCATGGCACATGAACGACACGACCAAATACAAACTCTGGCATCCAAAGCAGCACCAGTACGCCGCCGTCACAGACGAACTGATCAAAGAGCAACAAACCAAGGCAACTCCCACCCCTCTCCAGTCCTCTCCAACCCCCTAACTTCTCCTAGACCACCTACCGCACCAAACTCTGGGGCACCACCTCCTTCGTCTCCGAATACATCGGCGCCACCGCCGACAAAATCTCCATCTCCTTCTTCGACCCCTCCCTCCTCAACTTCACCACCACAAACCCCTCCACGGGCGTCGAAACCCTCGTGGCCGCCTTCGCCAAGACCTTTCGGCACACGAAACGCGACGCCACAGCGATGGCGAAACGCGGCTTCAAACCCTGGGACACGGTGCTGATCCACCAGGTCCGCCGAACGCCGGATGGCGGTGGCTATGAGGTGAGATCGAGGTTTTGGTTGGGGAGCTGGCTGGTGAGGAGGTTGAGGGTTGTTGGGGATCCGGAGGGGTTGGCGAGGGATTTGTGTGTGCATTGTAGGGAGGAGATGACGCATTTGGGGAGGTTTTTGCCGGGGTTGTTTGGGGAGTTTGGGGGGGATGTTTCTACTTGATGAGGTAGACGCTATAGCCTAAGCAGCGCAGAGCTAGCAAGACAAGAGCCTCTGTGGATGTAGAAATCTGAAAGTGTATGCTCAAGCCTTCGTACTCCTTCCTTCACTGTCTCCATGCTCATCGCCCACAACGCTTGCGCTCCTCCACTTGCTCCCTCCCGTACACGCAAGCAACACAGCACCAGTCCCAAACCCAATTCCTCATCTCCCGCATCAAATCCTCATCCAAGTCCTTCCCCCTGAACAGATCCCACCAGCTCCTCCTTAACCTCCAATCGCACAGTCTCGCCATACGAGGAATGCGCCCGACCACAAGATCCACCCGCCGCCGCAATATCAGTCGCCCCGCCGCGGCAAACGTCTCAAGATCCCGCCAAGCCCGGCGATGGACGAAGGAGTTCTGCAGACGGCGCAGATAGTCATGCTTCTTCTCCGCGACGGACGACAACAACAGCGAATGCCCGTCCTTCTCCGTAAATGGCACTTGGGATTCCTGCTTTCCCAAGCACGGAGAGGAAGACGAAGTATCTATTCGAACGCGCCGCACGGCATCTCCTTATGGATGGTCTGGCAGGAGGGGGCGGGAAACGTGCGGCCACGCGATGTGGAAGGTGATGTTTGTGCGTGGGTTAAGTCCCATGTCCCGGATCGGCTGAGCCAGTGCTCTTTCTCGCAGTTGTACAGACTGTACACTTGCCCGCGTCGATTGACGTGGACTGTAAAGGTGAAATTTCTCGTGGCGGAAGTGGTAAGGGAGCGCCTCGCGGGCGATGAGGCGGCATGGTGCGGTCAACGCCGGAGGCCGAGTTGGACTCGTTCGAAGGAAGAGGTGCGATCGCCCTGGTTCTTGATGAGCACCGAGCGGTAGATCATGATGCGAATCTCGGGGGAAAGTCTCGTCAGGGGAGCTGCGATCTTGCGGATCTTCGAGGTACTGAGGGCAACGTGTATTGGCAAGACGCCCGTGCGAGTTGATTGAGTATGGATGGTGGGCGGGCGTCCATGTTTGCGGCGTGGTGTCTCGACTCGAGTGGTGGATGTGCTGGAGTCGTCGAGTGTGCGAAGTATGAAGAATGGAGCCAAGTCACAAGAAGGAATGGTCGGAGTCAATCTTCACATGCTAGCGATGCTTAGTAGGGTTCACAACCATCAATCAGATTTGAAAGTTTGGACTCACCAGAGCTTGACTATACTCTGAAAGCGAACCTACATGTACACAACACACCTGCGGGCACTCTTCGCGATGAATTGCGAAACACTCTTGTGCACACCGCGAGAAGCTATGCGTGTCAGTTGCTCATGCTGCAGATGCTGGCTTGCAGTAGTCGATAGGTAAAGTGACAGGTTTGATGTGATCTTGATATGAAGTTGAGTGCGTGTTAGGTATACATACGAAGTATAGGCAGCACATCGACGCCATGCTATGAGTTTTCCCCAAGGCTCAATCCACGCGCAGAGCCTACTAGTTTTGCTCGTCTCTTTTTACAAATGCCATTTTCCATCATTCCATATCCTACCCTCACTTATTCCTGCTCCTCTCCTTGTCGCTACCGGTCGTGGCAATGTTCAGACCCAGACCTTCGGTGTCCAGGTAGACCTTGTTCTGGCCTTGCTGCAGGATGGCGGCGACATTCTTGGCGTTCTCGAACTCCCTCAGGTCGACGTATGATCTGCTCTTCTTGATGGCGTCACCAATAAGCTCTGCAGAGCGTGCCTCACCCTGTGCTCTGACGACCATGGCCTGTTTCTCTTGTCGTGCCTTGTCAACAACGAAGGCAGCACGTTGGGCTTCTTGCTGAGCGACTTGCTTCGCTTCGACGGCTGCTGTGAACTCAGGGGAGAAGGCGAGGTGCTGTTTCATCCGTCAGTATCAACATGACAGCACCGAGGTTTGGCGCGGTCTTACCGTTAACGAGACATCGTCGAGAAGAATGTTAAACCTCGCCGCTCTTCGCACCAAGTTGTCTCTCACCAATCTTGAGACATTCTCACGCTGTGTAATCAACTGCGATGCGTTGAACTGTGCCACCACACTCTTCAAGACTTCATTCACAATACTGGGCAACACTCGCTCGTCATAGTCGGTTCCCAGGGTTCTGTAGATTTGCGGCAGAGCATCCACCCGCGGCCGGGACAGGACACGACAGGTGATGTTAACCATCTGCAAGTCCTTCGTACCGGTGAGGGAGGCGACATTTCGAGGTTTGGCGCGCACATCGTAGTCGACGGGTGTCTCAAACCAGGGGATTCGGATGTGGGTTCCTTCGCTGTAAATGTCCTTGCCAACACCACCTATTCTGGTATACTTGATCGCGCGATGACCACCCTCGACTAGAGCATGTCATCAGCAATGGTCTCGTATGTTCTTGTGATAGCAGCGTACCGTTGAAGAGAGCGTTGTTGAAGAACCAGACGCCACCACCGAGCAAGATCAGTCCTCCAATACCCGTGAGAGCTCCTCTTGGACCTGGACCACCAGCTCCACCGGCGCCGAATCTGCGCATCACTCAGTATATGCCTCTGTACGTTCTGATCATCTCTTTGCGTACCTCGCGCCCTGTTGCTGGACTCTCTGCATGTTCTTCTGCCTGTAAACATCTCTATTAGACCAGTCCTTCTCTTCCGTCTCGAACCCATCGCATCACTCACAGGTTCTCCCACATCTGTCGCGGATCGTTGGCCATGTTGACGGCGTCCAGTCAGGCCCGTTGATCGATGGAAATAGTAGTAGACGGAGGGTGCGTGGTGCAGGCGGTGTCGGTGGTGGTGGCAGCAGCTAGTAGGTCCAAAGTCTCGACTTCATCATCGGCGTTTCTTGACGCCGACGTCTCAAGCCCAAGCTCCCCTGTTTGGCGGCGGCGGGATGGAAATGAACAGCTGGATGGACCAAGACGTCTCGACACGCGTGCAATGGAGTCGTTTGCTCTTGCGGCCACCCACGCCGGCGCCATCAACCACCACCACACCTTCACCTTCAACCCGTCCGTCATCGATGCCTTCAAAGAGGTTCGCCTTGCTGTGACTGTCGTTGTCGTCGGCTGGATTGCCGTTACTGGCCTGAGGGGCTACTTCTACTATCACAAGACAACCGATAGGAACTGAATATCCCGAACACGTTGGGCATAGAATACAGACCCATCTGGTATATTGCATTGTGGAGAGTGTATCGACCAAAACGGAGCTGTCGAACAATTGCCCTTTGTCCCTCACCCTCCATCGGCTACCGCTCGACCCAAGACATCGAAATCCATCAAGACATCGAATCGATTACCATTCCCTCGAGGCACCATGGCACCTCAAATACCACAATCGCTAGCCTGGCTGCTCCTCACAAGCCTCGCATCCGCACAATACACCCTCGACTCCCTATCGTTCGGCCAACATGGGCAGATTTCACCCAATGGCCAACATATTCCCGGATGGCACGCGAGTAGTGTCAACCACGAAGTCCAAGTCCTGAGCAATCGCGTTATCCTCACACCGCCGGTACCTGGCAATGCCAAGGGAGCATTGTGGTCAGACCTGACCGTCTCGCAAGCGCCTTGGTCGGCGGAGGTGGAGTTTCGGGCTTCGGGGCAGGAGACGGGGAGTGGGAATCTGAACATCTGGTACACGAAAGATCAGGATAAGATTGGCACGGACAGTGTCTACAATGCGGAGAAGTTTGACGGCATGGTTCTTGTCGTGGATCAGTACGGCGGCAGTGGAGGCAAGATCAGGGGCTTCCTCAACGACGGGTCACAGAACTTCCGTGGTCACAGCAGTCTTGAAAGTCTAGCCTTTGGCCACTGCGACTATTCATACCGCAACCTGGGCCGGCCATCCAAGCTGAAGGTCACCAACAACAATGGCCTGACGGTCTCAATCGACGACCGCACTTGCTTCAGCAGCGACAAGATCTCCCTCCCAGCAGGCTACAACTTCGGTCTGACAGCCTCAACTGGCGAGAACCCAGACTCGTTTGAAGTCATCTCCTTCCTCGTCCAAGCCGGTCTGCCAGGCTCCTCATCCCAACAACAACAGCAGCAGCAGCCAATTCAACAAGGAAACCAGCAACAAGAAGTTCCCCAACTCCAAAAAATGGACGCCTTCCCGGGCGCCCCAGAATACGTCGTCGACAAAGACGCCGACAGCATCAAATCCCAAAACGACCAATTCACCGACCTGCACAACCGCGTGCAGTCCCTCCAACACAACATGGCCAACATGTTCCTGGAGATGAAAACGCTCTCCGACAAACTCGATTCCAAGCACACCGATCTGCTCTTCTCCGTGCAGAACATGAAGGGCAGCCAGGAGAGCGGCCTGCCGCCGGAGATCGTGGGCAAGATCCAGAAGATGAGCGATCGGCTGGAGAATATGGAGAAGGTGGTGGAGATTGTCAAGAGGGATGTCGAGGGGAAGGATTATCGACAGGTGTTGAATGAGTTGCATACGGCGGTGCAGGGCATTCATGGGGGGTTGACGGAGCATTTGCCTGATCGGATATTGGATAGTGAGTACCTCGCCCTGAAAGCGTTGATGATTTGAGATCGGGTGTACTGATTTCTGATGTTATAGTCATGAGACGCCACTCCCCGCAATTCGGACTCTTCGTCGTTATCGTCGTGGGCGTACAGATTGCTCTCGCGGGTGTGTATGTGCTGTACAAGAGGAGGAGGAATAGTCTGCCGAAGAAGTTCTTGTGATGAGGATAGTCAGTGGCAGGGCGTCGAGCTTGCTCGAGACGTACAACCTGGGATGAAACTCGAAGTCCTCGGGTTACGTGGAATATCTCTTCACCGACTCAGCGTCTCGCGGGATTAGGAGCGATGGAGTTGATGGAGCTGATAAAAGCCGGCGAGAGGTGTTTGTTGTAGAAGCTCAAGGAATGGCGGAGACGTGTACTCATACATATATGAGAGTGTGTATGTGCATCAATTGGACGTCCAGCTTGGTTAGAGACACTAGGTTCGGTGGTCTTGGATTAGAGGAAAGAGAAGGCGATACGTGTAAAGCATATGTATGTACAATGTGAACGATTGGAAAGTACTACGGGATCGTACATTCAACCTCCTTCACTGGGGAATCTAGACATCACAAGAGCTAGCCCCGCTGCGTGGTCGGCCGACGATGCATCTATCTGTCTACCTACATAATGAGGTGCCTCGACTTCGACCTTCTCGCCGTTTGATGATGCTGGGACGTAAACGTCCAACCGCCCCAGCTTCAGCATCCCCATGGCTTACCCTTCGTCCAAGGTATTGGAACAACGACGAAGAGTCTCGTTCTTCTTCGCTGAACGGGTATGAGCGTTGCTCGTGGCCACGCAAGGCCCAACGTTTTGAAGACGTTTGCAGAATGCTCTTTGGTTGGACGATTCCATGGGATGGGCTTAACGGGGAGGGGCATAGAGGGGAGGGGAGAGGAGGGGTGTGAGGTCTGGAGGGGCAGGCTGACGGTTTCGAGGCGGAGGGCGAGAGGGGCTGAGTAGGTGGGCTCGGTGGGCTGGGCAAGGGAGGGTGGAAGGTAGTTGGTAGTTGGTGCGTGACACAGTGTGGACCAAGCCAAGTGGGTGAGGTCTCTGTCCTGGTCGTAGATGGAAGTTCCTGGGAAATGCGTATGAAGCTGGCTTGGTTCGTGTTCGGCGTTGCTCGCTGCGTTGCTCGTGTGCTTGTTTCCCCAAACAGTCACGCTTGGCTGGGAGGGAGCAGACGTGATGCAGGACGTCGAGCCACTGATTCCGGACTTCGTTGAGGCAATCATTGCCGTGGCCTTCGATCATGGCACGCATCCAGCTTGTAAACAGTCAATGCCTGGCTCATCACCTCATACGCGTCGGGCATGCCGCAGGTTGCTCGATCGGGAAGAGCACTGCCTGGTCGTCGAGAGCGAGTAGACAGCCAATGACCCGGAAGCAAGGCATTATAGCCACGGGAGAAAGATATCAGTACCTCAGGCCCGTCTTCTCCGCAAGCGCGCCGTTCGATTCTCGAGTCTTGACTGGGCGCGGAAGTATTGATTGGATCCGGTCGTTCAAGGTGGTTACCAAGGCACGTCCTACTCCGAAACTTGGTAGTCAATACAGGTCTTGCAGCGATATCGACAGGGCTGCTGGAAAGAGGCGATGAGGTTCGTCGTGTAGCTCAAAGTTCATCCGCTGGCGTAATCTTCGCGTGGCATAATACCGTTCCTATTATCGAAGGAGTGAGACTCCACTGCCATGGTGCGGGAGGTGTCCATACGAGTCAGAACCAGAGACTTCATCAGATCGGCGAGTTGCCCTGCGTCAGGATCTAGTCCTCATGCTGCTTCATGCGAACGTCCTTCAATTTGTTGATCAGGCCAGTTGTCACTGCTAAAGCCGTTATCGCACTCACTCCGGTGGCCCGCCCTGCGATCTCGAGCATTAGCAATCTGGCCTTTGCATCTATGATCTATTTGAAGAGCATACGTCAGGCGTCCTGAGACGGGTCAAATGTCGGGTCCGTATCAGATCGAGGTCCATCCTGCAAGATCGCACTGCTGGTCATGCAATACTATGCAGTCGACAGCATGCATATTCCCAACAGAGACTTTGATATCTCGGTAAGTGCTGCAATGATTTCCGTGAGGCATCACGGCATCTTGGTCGAGGGAGCCGTAAAGTGCAGTCCTGAATAGATTGCGTTGGCCAATGGGATGTCAGCCAGGGTAGTCAGCCAAAAGGATCACGCCTGCGTGAACCTTGATTGCTTTTTAGGCACGTCGATCTGAGCTTGAGGAAAAGAGGCTGTGGAGAGATCGGGGAAGCGTGCCTGGGCTCGTTGCCGCAAAGCTTCAAATCCCAGGATGGCACTTTTTGGCTTCGATAGAGCGTCTCGTGACGGCGAAGGCCGTGTAGACTTCCTCAACCGCAGGCCTCTGTCGAACTGCTCATTTCAGCTTGCAGTCGCACTCCCCCAGACCGTAAGTGGATGGCGCGTGGATTGCGCAGCTTCTGCCCAGGACCAGCCCGACGGGGATTCATGATCTTGGGATGGGAAGTTTCACAACAACATCATTCATCCTGTCGCGACACGAGCTGCTCGTGCCCAGGCAATCATAATCCAGTGGCGGACCTTCCACCGCGTTGACGCCGTGCGAGTGTCTTCCTTGAACCACTGTGACGCTGTGTAGCTGTTGCTGTCTCGGTAGTTCGAGTTGGCAGTGCGAAGATCGCTGGCGGCACGTGCCAGGTACGCAGCGAGTGCTACAGCGCTGTTCCGGCTCACAGAGTTGCTCGCATGCTCTGTTGCACCGCTGGTATTGGATGATGCAGGCCACACGCCGACGGCCAAAGCGCCTGTCTGTCCCCCGGGAACGCCTAATTTATCGTGCTGGATTAACCGTGATGGCGGTCACCTGGATGTAGCCGATCAGGCCGGCCGGTTAGTTGAGTGAAGTTTAACATGGATTCCAGCCTCCTCCCAACTATTGCATTGTTAGGCCTGCGGGATGCCACCGCCCGGCGCAAACGGCGATGCGTGCAGTGCCGGTGTTTGGAGGCTGCGCTGTGCAGGTTCCGCGCCGGAGTGGATGGCTGCGTCGCGCAGAGGAGCCGGAGTGAAGCGTTTGATCGGTGGCAGAGAGACGTCGTCCAGACAGGACCCTGAATTGAGCGGAAACGCGCTAGGCCGGTAGCTCCACTTTTAGTCTTCGCGCTTAATCGAGCACCGCGTCGTCGCTATAATCAGAGTCTGTGCTGACTATGGAACAGACCATCCTACACCAATGCCCTCGCTACATTGCAACACTCAGAAGTGCAAGGGTAAGAAAAGAAGCCTGGGGACAGTGCATTCATCGATTCGAGTCAGTACATATCGAAACAGCTGCAAGCTCGGGCGGAACGAGCGAAAACCGAATCACTGGTGGCAAGCACAAGATTTGGGGAGATGCATATGCAGCTGGTCGGCTCCGCAGCTCCTCCATCACATCCGCTTATGACTTTCCCAAGACGCGTCTGTTTCGCGTCTCCCTGCAAGAGCCGGTTGATCTCCAAGTGCAGCGCAGCGCCAGCAGGCCCTGCACCGTTTTGCTCTGGAGCACTGGGCTTATACGCATGGCTGCAACCCCACAACCAGCTGGCTATTCGCACACGTTGAGCCATTGATGGAGGGACACGTAGGAGTGCAGGCGTGCTAATGCACTGCCCGAACAGAGAAGCTAGAGTGGGTGGAGGGAGTAGGCTCACTAAATGCAGAAGGCCCCGGTATAGAAACACGTTGGTCCAGTGGGCGACGGGGGCGACTAGCAACACTCTTCACCGCTGGGTGCAGAGTGGTTCATACCGCAGTGGTGTTCGTTTGCAAGGCGGCTCGTTCGCTGGCCGGAGGGCAGACGCTGTGAGACGACCTCCTCACGACTTGGCCTGGGTGCTGCAGCCGTCCTGGCCTGCGTGGCCTGTCGTCTTGTCCTCGTGGGCGTTTGTCGCTGCTACTGCGTGTTGTGGGTAATTTCGCCCAACGCGACCACCGCACGAACTCCAACTCAATCGCTGATACCTCACGGGCGCCTCCATCCCGAGTGACGTCGGGGTCAGGCTTTGACCGATCTTTCGGCGGGCGAGTCGATGCGTGGAGGCTTGGGTGGCCCGTGAAGACAGTGCATCGAAGATTGGCCCTAGTGGCGTTAGCGCCGCCGCTCTCTTCACCTGGCTGTCCTAGCCGTGGCACCTTCCCGCCTCGCGCCCAACTCCATCCGCGCACTGCACCCAACTTCACCTCTCGCCTCGACCGACCGCACACACCTCGCCGTCCCCAATCCCGCCGCGCGCACCACGCCCACTGCACCGCTGCCCTCCACCGCGAGCCTGCGTTTTCTGCTGCCACCACGCGACATGCGGTGGACCGCCTAGACGGCCTGCGACCGCGACCGGCGGCAATTGCGACGCTCGCCCATCCGCCGACCGAACCGACTTCACTCGTTGCGCCGCGCTGCGACACACGCCCGCTGCGTGCTGCTGAGCCCCACCACCACGCGCAGCGCGTCCAACGCACAATACACCCAGTCTCCTTGTCAACATCCCGCCGCCGCCATGCCGCCCCTCCGTCCCTCGCTGTCCATCTCCCTCCCCGCAAGCACCGACTTCCACTTCGCCGACGGCCACATGCCCAGGACTCCAGAGGCACAGCAGGCCGAGCAGCAGACTGCTGTCGAGCCACCGCCTCCTCCGCGAACCCAGCCCTTCAAGATCAAGCGAAAGCGCGTCTCGAGCGCACCCTTCACAGCACCCGACGTCATACCCGACACCACCGCCGTCATTCCCACAATAGAGATGTCCGAGGTCCCAGCCGAAATGTCCAGTCCAACGATACAGCCAACATCAGCACACCTGCTCTCACCCATTCCACTCGCCGCGACCTTCCCCCGCGCCGTCACTCCGCCCAGAACACCCGCACCGAAGATGTACACCACGTTTAGCCAGCTGGAGAGTCCGGCGGAAGAGTGGGATCTCATAAACAAGACAAAACCGTCATTCGAGCGCGCTGGTTCCGTCTGCTCGTCTTTCTCCGACTCCTCCATCTCATCGTGCGGCAGCTCGGCCTTCTCGTTACCTACCGGCGGTTACGACAGCCCAGATTCTGAGGCACCAGACCCATTCACAGACCACGACTCCACGAAACACGAACACCTCATAGAATCACCCGTCATCAAAACCGATGCACATCAACCTAAGCGAGTCAAGACTCGTCGTGATGCCAAGTGGACCCCGCAGATGGACGACCACCTCTGGATGACTTTTATGGCCTACCTGTCCGACCCTACCTTGACTCCGTTCAAGATGCTGCCTGGCAGCACGCCTCCAATGGGGGTCTGCGATCAGGTAGCTTCCAAGGCAAAGCGAACATGGCGTCCACGGAAGAACGGCCCAATCAACATTGGCTCCATCGACGCCCTCTTCGAAACGAACCATGGAGACCGCGCCGGATCTCCAGACACCATTCGACCCAGCACGCTGCAAACGACCCAACCCAAATGGCCGTCAGGTGCAGCGACCCGCCGTCATCTGCGGAAGTTGTGCCAGCGCCGGCCGTACATTTCGGCACACTACCAGCGAATGCTACGAACACGAAGCCCTTCACCATTCGAAACATCAAGTCCCAACAGCCAGCCATCGTCATCCTTCAATGGCTACGATATGGTGAAGTCGTTGGTGACGTCTACCGCACCATCTATGCAACCCGATAACATGCTTGCTCAGTTGGCCAGCGATGAAACTCCTCAGCAACCCGCACCGTCCCAGCGCCAACCTCGACCAGAAGGTTGGTTCGACCGCATACCACGCTCGAAAGCCCATCAAAAGAGCGCATCTCTTCAATCTGAGCTCAAGCTCAGTTTGGATGATCTAGCGAATGCCCCATCTATGCAACTCGCTTCGCCTTTTGATGGCGACGCAGCATCTAGTCGCACCCACCTTCTTCAAAGCATGACCAACACGAAATCACTAGGCCGCACCGAATTCAATGGCAAGTCACTGGACTCGCCCGTTGAGTTCAAGATAGGCGCGCTAACCGATCGACGGTCACGCAAGCGCCGCTTTCGGTCCGACGAGGAGAAACCACGGCGACCGCCACTTGAAGATGTGTTCGGCCCACCCATGCAGGAAAGCATTGTGCGCAATCGTGGCTTCAGTGTTGGGGCTGTGCGAGCGACTGACAGCTTGACCAAGCTATTCACGACACCAGTTACCAATGTCGACCAGGTGATGAGTGAAGCACCAACCAACCTGACCCCATTCGACGATGTTCCTATGGGCAGCCGCTCTGCACCGCGTCGTCTCGCAGAGCCCGTACCTCGTCTTGGTTCGCCTTTCGTGGAGACTCCACCACCTAACCGCCAACACAATACCTTCCCTCGCAGCCTCTTGCCGAATATGGCCAATCAGGAACCCTTCCATCAGCGTTTGATGCAGCTTGCTTACGAACAACCTCAAAATAACGCTTAGCCGCTCATTCTTCACGACAACGCATCGCATCTACTGGCGCACACGGCGTATATCCGCATCATCTAGCGTTTGTTGCATGACAAGATCGACAGGCAAAGTCGACTATGACGAAAACGATATCATGACCACATCCGACAAACCCGATATCCCACCTCATCAATTCGGAGTGGAGCTACGGCACAATGCATCACCTTCTATTCTCGGCAGTGCCGCGTCTCTCATCAACGCTCTGTCATTGCGATTCGTCGCCTTGGTTCTCTTCTTTACATCTCTTTTGTGCGGATTACTAAGGCATGGCTTGGAAGGTTTTTGAATCTAATTGGAGGAGAAGTGAAGGAGATTTCGTACTGATTGCTTTTGAAGATGAGATGGACAGACTGGACTTCAACGCCTTTGCATCTACGGCAGTCGCGGAGAAAAGGATACATACCAGGTTTTTCTTTTCTTTCGGATTTGTCGTTGTTAACTTGTTCCTTTTGTACATGCAGTCACGAAGATGAGGATGATGAAATGGACTCTGTGGTGGGCGTTTACTTGGGGTTTTTAGATTTCGGGTAAGGGAACTTCGGAGTCTGTTTTGGTCTTCATTTGAGGTTACGACTGCATGGATGGATGGAATGAGGATGAATACAATGTTGATATGAAGTTGAAGTAGTGGGAATGAACTCATCAAAATAATTACATCCTCGTTTTCATTTATCGTCATCGTAGAACGAGTGCCATATCGCAGGCGTCCGGGACGTTCCGCATCGTCATCCCAAATCTACCCTCCAACGTCACTTCACTTTCCTCAATGTCAACATCAGAACAACCAAACAAGATGGCGACATCTCAAACCACTCAGAACAGAGACGACATCCTCCAACTCCCAACCCACCTCCGCCTCCTCTCCCTCAACTGCTGGGGCCTCAAATTCCTCTCCACCCACCGCCACGCGCGGCTCAAAGAAATCGCCCACCAAATCGCCTCGCAGTCCCCACCGCCCGAAATCGTCGGCCTGCAGGAATGCTGGACCCAGGAAGACTACCTCACCATTCGAGACATCACCCGCGAGATTCTACCGCACGGAAAGTTCTACTGGAGCGGGGTGTTCGGTGGCGGACTGGTGATTCTGTCGAAATGGCCCATCGAGGAGAGCAGTATGGTGCGGTATCCGCTGAATGGACGGCCGGCGGCGTTTTTTCGCGGGGATTGGTTCGTTGGGAAGGGGGTTGCTTGTGCTCGAATCAGAATCGGCGGTAAGGGAAAGGGAAGGGGAGGTGTCGTGGAGGTTTTCAACACGCATCTGCACGCGCCTTATAACGAAGGTGCCGGGAAGGAGGATAGCTATGCGTGTCATCGGACGGCTCAGGCGTGGGAGATTGCCAAGTTGATGAGGGCCGCGAGGGAGAGGGGGAGTTTGGTGGTGGGGACGGGGGATTTCAATATGGTGCCGGGGAGTCTTGCGTATGGGGTTGTGGCGGGGAGAGGGGGTGGGGTGCGGGATGTTTGGAGGGTGGTGTGGCCGGAGAGTGCGAGGGGAAGTGCGGAGAAGGGCGGGTTGGAGGGGAAGGTGGCGAGTTCGAGGGAGTGTCTTGATGTCCATGGCACGACGTGCGATTCGAGACTGAATACGTGGCGGTGGAGTAAGGCTCTGCAGAAGGATTTGGACCGGGGGAGGGAGGAGCATGTTGATCCCGAGGGCGAGGATTGGAAGGCGAAACGCCTCGATTATATCTTCTTCGGCGACAACGCCGCCGAGGCCACGGGGTTTTCGTGGCAGGTGGAGGAGGTCAAGGTTGGCATGACGATGCGCCATCCGGAATTGAAGTGTTCCCTGAGCGACCACTTCTCCGTCGAGACGACACTTGTACGCGAACAGCCGGATCAACCATCCACGGACAACCCACGCTCACAACAACCCACCCTCCCAGCATCCACCTACGACCAAATCCTCTCCCTCATAACCACCTACATCGCCCGCGAACGCCGCCAACGGAAACAACAACTCACCCTCTTCTGGTCCTCCGCCGTCCTCACCATAGCCTGCCACATCGCTATCTGGTGGTCTCCGCGGAACTACGTCTCTTTCATCCTCATGTTTCTGAGCACGTTTGGCCTGGGCTGGGGCGTGTTGATGGGGTTGATGGGGTTTTTGTTCGTGAAGACGGAGTTGAGGGCGCTGAAGGAGTTTCGGTGGGAGGTGGAGAGGGCGAGGGAGGCGGATGGTTTGATCGGTGGCGTGGGGGAGGGGGATGGGGTAGTGGTGGATGGAGATGGGAAGAGGAGTGCTAACTCTTGAGAGATGGTGGGCAGGCGGAGAGTGGATTTCTAAGGACTGCTACAGCTAGATGATGAGGCACAGTATACATACAAAACATCTCTACACGCGGGAAAGAGGTTACTACGCTGAACAGCTCCTCGATGTTAAGTACACCAGAGATTGAGCTTTCCTTTGGAGACTTCCTTCTTCTCCTGCAGGAGCGTCAGCTCTCCACTCATCAATTCATTCGCGAACGAGCGGAGGAACGAATGAACGACAGAAAGGCTGCCATCCACATCAACAGCAACAGCAAATCACAATATGTTCCAAAAACAACACGTTTACCATCCCTTCAAAGAGAGAGAGGGAGTCATCAGAACAACAACGGTGAGTTTTGTCTGTAGGACACATCGCTACATCTGCCTAGAGGGGAATGAATACCTACCTACACTCTACTTATTCGATAAACATCTACACCGGTTACGGTTGAGGTAGTTGCCTCTTTCTCCTCTCTCTCGTGCTCGTTGGGCATTATAGACTTCTGCCAATACGTCAACTGGTAATGGAAGGATACAATCGTGTATACAGTCCTGCTGGGAGTTCCTTCATTGACGGAGTTGGAAGCAACTGCACATGGCGGGCTCCATAGTCAAGTCCACAATCACCGCTGCTCGTGCGCTCAGGCTCAAAATCTAGATCAGGATAACCGGATAGCACAAAAGATCCAACAACACCATGACATCAACATCAACAAAACACCCGTTCATGCCCATGCCCACGCCCATGCCCATCATCATCATCATCATCATCATCAACCAACCTCCTCGACTCAAGTCCAAGCAAGATCTTCCTTCACATAAGTCATGTCTCTGGCCAGGGTCCAAACCTCAGCTCAGGTCGTTCCTCGTTTTAGAGCTCTCACGAGTCATGTCCTGCTTCCTGCCATCTGTCGATGATGTAGGCGTGGAAAGTATATCGCTTGGTTGATGGCGGTTCAGATCGGAGGGAGGTAGATGGGTGGTGGGTGGTTGCTGGTAGTAGGAGCTTTTGTGTGAGGATAGATGTGGATAAAGGGGGTATCAAGTCATATTCATGAGATGGTATGTAGTATGTAGGTAAGTAAAACAATGTAGTAGTATAGATTCGTCTCAATTCATCCCCCATCATACTCTCGTAAATTCATCAAAAGAACAACACATGAGAGAGAAGGTAGATAGATATCAGGGTCTACAACGCCTCCAACCCCTTACTCCTCCTCTCAATCTCCTCATCATCCAACGCCGCAATCCAAAGACACCGACTCAGTGCCTCCGGCTCGGGATGAAACTCATACTTCGAACTCGCCTCGATCAGCCGCAACAAATTCTTGATAATCGTCGCGGCGGTCTGATACCGCTCGAAGTTCACGAGCGGCTCTTTACCCTTGTTGAGCGGCGATTCGATCCGGGACGATTTCAGCGCGTTGAACATGAGGTCGTGCGTGTAGAGGCCGATGAAGGGGATGACGCCGTTGCCCGCGAAGGCGGTTTCCATCTCGGCGCGGAGGGAGTAGAAATTGCGGAGGGGCCGGCAGAGGCGTTCGAGGTGTTCGAGCATTTGTTTTTCGCGCACGGCGACGAGGGACCAGGTGCGGTGCAGGCGGGAGAGGTCGGTGGAGAGCAGGGCGAGTGTGATTTGGTACATGGAGGCGTAGTTGTGCATGCGGTGGCAGTGCGTGGCGATGTGGATGTATTTTGTGATGGCGCGGGCGCGCTCGCTGGGGGCGTCGGTGAGGACGATTTCGGAGACGCACCATTTGACTACGAGGTTGAAGCGTGCGATGACGATGTCGATGCCGTTGGCGTTTTCTTTGTCGAGGTAGTCAACCCAGTTGCGGACGTAGGGTGGGGTTTGTGACCAGTGCAGACTGATGAGGTCTTTCCAGTCGACTTCATCTAGAGCGTCTTTTTCGATGATTGTGAGCTGCTCGGCTATACACTCAGACTCGTACGCCAATATGAATGGTAGGTGAGAGGGGTACGCTGGAGTATCAGGTGAGACTCTGTTTGATCTAACTTCACCATTCGCTCGTGGAAAGGGTTGATTGGACATCTGAGGTTGAAGTCGTGGTTGGCTGATTGCTTCTTTGAGTGGTCGTCCTGGGTCGCGAGGGAGCAGTCGTGGTATTAGTTGCCTCCGGTCTGGTGACATGTCTCCTTGCCCAGCTGCAGTAGATGGTGGAGTCGAGAGAGGTTGAAATGGCCGAATAGGTTGCGGGTCGTCATCGTCAAAGTAGAAGCTGCGAACACCTTCTTCGCTGTTTCGGTAGTCTGCGATCTCTGTCGAGATGTCACTTAACGTCTCGTTGTCATCCAGTAGGAATGACCCGTGGGCGTCCACACTCCACGGCCCTGGACGGAAGCTGGGATAGTGGCCGTTGGAGATGCTGGCGATACTCTCTGGCTTCCGCTCGTAAGGAAAGGACTCTGGCGAGGAATCTCGTTGATTCGTGTATGGGTCCGGTATTGGGAACCGGCTGAGCCTGGAAGTCATGGGCAAGACCGAAGCCGACGACTCCGTCATTGGGATATCAATTGGCGGCATGGTGAATGGGAGCGGGTATTCTGTGTGCGAGCTCATGGACTGAACCCCCGAGGTGGAGAGGTGATAGATGCTGGCACCTTGAGTCTCAGTTGCAGGTGTCTCTCCACTATCCTCTCCAGACGGCGAAGGCTGTGGTGCGAGGTTGACGTACTTCATCTTCAACTGCCCACTGGCCATCTCCTTGAGAAGAGGCGGTGGAGCGAGTGGCTCTGCCAGGTAAAGCTCTTCCGGCTCTCCTCCTAGAGGGAGTTCTTGTGGTTCGTGGATGTAAAGCCCTGCTGGCTCTCCAACAAGAGGCACTTCCCGAGGTTCTTGCAATGGCAGGCCACCTGGAGGTGAGTCTGTATCACTTTTGTCCTCCATCTCGCCGGAAGAGTTGCTGTTGGCCGGACTAGGTATCTTCCCTTCCAGTTTCAGCAGAGCATCTTCAATCCCGCCTTCAACATCCGTATCAGGAATACCACGTAAAGCTTTGGCCTCCTCCACAAAAGAAGGCCGCAAAGCTGGCTGTGAGGAGTGCGTGTTGAGCAGTGAAACTGAGCTCTTCTTTTCGAGTAGTTTACGCGCTGGGAGCAACACACCACCAGCAGTCGACTCGTCAGTATGTGTTGCAGCAGAGTGGGCGACTGATCTTGTTGCTGTCGATGCTCTGGGGCTGTCAACAGATCGTGACCTCATCCCAGGCCGCAGTGAATGAACATGATGAGCCGCTCTCAAATTATCTCCATGAGGCTGTCTGCGAAGCTGGTGTGGTAGGCGAGGTATCTCGAAAAGAGACGGATCCATCAAAGATGAAGACTTCCGCATGATCTGGCTGTCGGATCGACTAAGTCGAGGCTGAATATCCCAAGGGTTTGGAGTTGTGAGCAAGTCATGCATGCGCTCATCTGAAGACCGCCATCCATCCCACTCGCCAGTACGTGTCATTGGCGGCTGAGATGATGTCCGCTTGAGGTTGTTGGGGATCGGTGGAACAGGTGGGAAGTACTCTCGATCACGGAAGAGCGGGTACGGCATCATCTCTGTCGACATTGAGCTTAGTGACGGCAGACCTCCAGACATCATGGGAATCTCTGGGGCACCGGTAGCATCCACAATCACGATTGACCTACTTCCCGTCGTGACATTCGTGTTATGGCTGTTCAAGCGCCCAAAGTCCATGACATCCACCGACTCTTGCTTGCTCGCTGGGACTGATAGGTCTTTGTGAGCAGTAACAGGTCGAGGTGTCTCGGCTCGTGGAGTGTCTGGAAGGTCTTTCTCGTCCAGTACTTGATCCTTGTTGATTTCACTGCCTGGTGCGGGTTGCAAGGCAGCTTCTCGTTTATCGTGCTTGGCTCTTTCTTTGGCTGTTGAATCGACCGCGTCAGAATACGATGTCTCGATCTGCACTCCCAGCACGTCGAACCGATCTGGTCCAGGCAGCTGCTGCATATCAGGCTGGAATCTTCGATGACCACGAGGTCGAATGGCTCCTTTGGACTCAGTGTCTGAGCCAGAGCCTGCACTGCGTGATGGCGAACCGCTGCTGGCTTTTCGACTGCTCAACGCCCGCCGCACCTCGCCAACGAACTTCTTCACGCCGATATGCTGTCCGTTGAAGTAGCCATCATTGTGACCTGCGAGCCGTGCCTCGGTCAGCTCTGGGCCAGGTGGACCTGGAGTCACAGGCACATTGTTGTCAACCTTTGCAGGAGAAGGCTGAAGCAAGATGCCTCTCACCAGACCGCCGGTGATGGCGAAGGCTGGCAGATCTTTGAGCTCGATGTTGTCCGCTTTGGGTGATGACAATGGTGTGCGCTTGTCACGTAGAGCATCTGAAAAGCTTCCACTTCTCTTGTGATTCCGTGCAGGCCTAGCCTTCTTGTTCTTGTCGTTGTTTAACGTCTTTGGTGGTAAAGTCTTCTCTCTTGCTCGAGCAGTAGGACGAAGATTGCGAAGGAATGGCACAGAGCATGATAGCACTTCAAGACTCTGGTCACTCATGGGAGAAGCTGGTATGCTGGCAGTACGGCTGGTTACCGTCGATCGTGGATCTGATCCATTCAGGTTGATGTTGTTGGCGTTGACGAGACCTCTCTCAGGCCGACTCGGGAGCGGTATCTGTGCCATTTCGAAGATGGAGTGACTGCGCGTGGTTGGTCTGATGGTCAGTGGCAGGCTGAGGCTTGAGTGTGCATCGGGGATGACGGTATCGCCTCCAGGTACAATGTCCGCGTCAGGCGACATCTCGTGGGCATCTTGAACAGGCCAATACAGCGCACACGTGCGTCGCCAGCACTTCTTGAGCTCGCCGACAATGTTCATGTCTCCACCTCCTCTGTCTGGCCGTTCTCGGAGAGATCGACCCAAATCGTTGACTTGATCGCAGAAGTTCTGTCTGAACAGACCATCCACCATGAAGTCGTCTTGGAAGTAGTTGAGAATCCAATGTCGAAGGGCAACGAACGTCCTGACTCTAGCAATCCGACCAGCATCGTTGCCCTCGACAAATGCCCAACGCAATCTCGCAAAAAGAAAGTCCAACACATCGCGGCTTTGCATAAAGCATCGATAGGTAAGGAAGAAGTCAGCAAGAAGCTCATAGTCAAGGAACTGTGGTGAGGTGATCTGTGCAATCAGTCGTGCTGGTGTTGCTGCAACTATTCGTCCTGTTGTGGGGTGATAGTGGACCACACTTGGGTCGTCGAGATTTGATTCTAGCTTATCGAAGAGAGCTGGTGTGATGATGCCCACTGTCGATGGTCGTTGTGATTCGAATGGCGTCCTGGAGGCTGTACTCCTGGAATACGCTCGGTCCGGGTGTAGGACAGATGGTGCTCCTGAGAGGTGGGAGTAGAAGCTGCTTATGCCACGTCCGGGTGGGATTGGGAACAGCTTGTCGTATTCTGTTCGTGAGATGACTGAAGAAGGAATGCCGTCTGTTGAGTTGGTGACCATGGAATAATGTAGATATGCCGTCCCTCTATCGCTGAACCGGGGAGTTCCCAGTCGATAGTGAGGAATGTGCACATCCACCAATCCTCTAGCCAAGTCTGCACTACTTCGCCGTCTTCGCCTGGGTGTTCGTTCGCCGTCCTGAGGCAATGCAAAGTCGTTCGCACCATACTGCGTCAAACGTAATCGATCGCTAACTGTCGATTCTGAATGTGAGCGTGTCCTTCGACGGTCGTATGCCTTGTTTGCATTGGCCAAGCTTAGTGGTGGTACCGGCATTCCCGCCATTGAAGCCATTCGTCCTCGGTCAGGTCGTGGTGTCCAAGAACCAGAATTATAGCTTTCACGCAGAAGAGGTCGATCGGTCCAAACAGACGACTCGCCATCAGACGTTGCAGGGGGCGTAGCAGGCGCATAGTTTAGATGAGGAGCAGCTACGCGAGTCGGTTCGAGGAACAATGTCCCTCCTGCGCCGACGTTGGCGACGGTGAATTTCTTGGAATGGTCCTGCTCGTCTTCGACACTGCTCAGCTTGCCCACAGTTGGGGCAGTGTCCGCGCGTTTGTGCCCTCGTGGTCTGTCAACAGTGCCATCTTTTGCCTTGCGTAGCTTCTCGGAGACGGGGGAGATCTGGGGCGGCGGGTCGAGGTGTTTGATGCGGCGCGCTTGTAGAGGCGGCTTGGCTGGGATTGCGGCGGCCATGCTGTTCACCTTCACCTTGACGGTGTCTTTGTCCTTCTCTTTCTGCAGGCGCTTCCGCGTGGACGCGCTGCGCTCGAGGATGAGCCATCGCATCTGCGGGCCCGCGTGGGCCAGGCTGCTTTTCACAGCAGCGAGGCTCTGCCAGTTGCGTCACGCTCACGATGGGCAGACGGCCATGATCAGCACTGTCGAGTCAGTCGTCGCTGCGTTGGGTTGGATTGGATTGCCGGCTCATCTGGGCCTCGACGCCCTGCGAGAGTCGGGTGGCAGCGCCGTCAGGCATCCCTCGAGTATCAACATCAACAGCAACAACAAACGCGCGGGCTGGCCGCGTCGGGGGATGGTCTATCACTTGTATGAGCGATTCCCTACCGACGTGTGCTCTGTACGGCGCCTGGCACCGGCGTGGGCACTGCTGCATCTCGCATCCCAGGCGGTGGGCGCAGGTTTAGTTCGCTCACATGCAGCTCGCCGCAGGGATACTCGGGGAGCTGCGTCTTCCAGAAATCGACCGCCAATCGCCGCCGTCTGTCCTCCGCCGTTGACGTCGTTGCAATCACTGATTCATGGGCCATTGTACATCATTTTACACCCTCGTCCCTCACATCAAGCAACTCAATCAACCTGACAGATTGGCTACACATTGGAAGAGCAACTCTTCATCAAATTCCTCCGCACGGTCGAATGCGGTGACCGTCAATACGCCATCTGTGAGTTGTCCCCCCAGCGGCTGCATGCCCGGCTTCGAACCCAATTGCTACCAGTGCCGCGGATTGCAGCGAGCCGATCCTTTTTCTGCACGTGCTACACCTCCTCCGTCTTGCCCTCTACCCATTTATCACATGCAAAGCAGAAAAAGAATATCTCGAAAGACGAGCGTGCCTTATCTTCTGCTCCATGTCATTCAGGCCGTGTGAAACGAAGCAAGGTCAACGCACCTGCCAAATCCCCGGTTTCAGCCATCGAGGCACCCAGCAACGCGGGCGAGAAACGATACATCTCGGCTTCTTGCAGGCAGGCAGGCAGGGGGTCAGTCAGACCGGATAGAAACACCACCGTCTCCGTCTGGTTCAAGTCCTCGGCAGACCCATTCTTCCCTCACATCTTGCCATCATTCATGTACTTTCTTCCCACTCGACGCTGACACCGGCTCCCCAGCTGTAGCCAGCGTTTGGTACACTACGGCGAAGAACACGAAACTCGAGAGGCTGGTTTGCCATCCGACTTCCTGTTCGCATTCATCATGAACTTGTTCTTCACTCTGTCTGGTCTGCAGCTTGCTCTCACATCCGACCTGTAGCATTGCATTGCATGTACATGTACCTCCTCGGCCGTATTGTGGTGCTTGAAAATTGAAGTGCTAGTCGACACGTCTTTCCATCACATTGCTGCAGAATTCCCGTCCAATGTGCAGTTGAACATTGACCGGCCGAGGTCTGGATATGATCGCTCTCTTGCTCCTGCCTCTTGAGGAGAACTCTTCCTTAAGTAATTCTCTTCTCACGACACTACTGTAACAAAGGATCTCAGCACATGTGAGAGAGAGAAAAAGATGCAGTCTACCCAAAAAGTGTGCTCGGCCCGAGTCCTCACGAAAAACATCATCTTGAAAACTTTTCGGAGACATACCAAGGGCACAAGGGCACGAAGAAAATAGGGTTGAAGTTCGTAGCACCAACACTAGATCGCGGGGGATAAGCAGCAATGCAAAAGATATAGCTGGTTTAAATGTGCTTGAAACGACAAAATCGTGTGTGCTATCTCTTCGTTAACATTTCAGTATTCGAAGGACTCAGCAACAGACCACTCCCCAAGTCAGATCTGAGAATTATACTGAGACAAACGAAGACGACGACCTCATCATCTCACGGAGAAAGATGTCGACCCTACCAAAGAAACAACTCACCCTCTTCGTAACCTTCCACATCAAACCCGACCTCGTACGTATCCAGATCCATCCACCTCCCATCATCTTGCCCTTCACCTCTTCCTACTACCCCATCCACCAAGTACCACTCTCACACCCCTCCTCCTCCTAGATCGAAGACTTCCTCTCCGCCCACCGCCCCGTCTGGGCCGCCTGCGCCCGCGAACCCCAATGCCTCCTCTTTGACGTCTTCCGCGACCCCCAAACCCCGGGGAAATTCCGCTTCATAGAAGTCTGGGACGAGAGCCGCGAGTGGTTCGAGACGCAGCAGATGACGAAACCGTATTATGAGACGTTGTGGGCCAAGTCGAAGCCGACGTGGGAGCGGGAGGTGGAGATTGAGTATTTTGAGCGCGAGGGGGAGGGGTGTGCGTTTCGGGAAGGGTATCTTGGGTTGGGGAGGAAGATGGATTGATTGAGAGATATTGGGAGGGGTGGGTAGATATTGAGAGCAGGTAGTGAAGGGAGGTGCTTGTGGGGAGGAAACGGGAAATGAATGCACTGGCAAGCTGTTTTCGATTGGACGTAAAGCGGAAACGTCGTCAAGTATGTGACATGTGCAAAGCATGCAACCTTCTCCATTTGGGGGCACTACAGGCCTAGCCACTCGTCCCGATTCCCGTACGCCGTGATGAGAAAGACATCATGACCGTTTAGAAGACGAGCGCAGCACCCTTGGTCTTCTTGTCACCACTGTAGATATGTCAGCATTTGTTCCACCTTCAGCTTTCGTGTTTGAACATACCCCAACTCGAAGTGCTTGCAACGCTTGAGCGCCAGCTGTGCCTTGGTCTTGCATTGTGTGCATTCTAACCGGAGCACGACCTTCTTGGTGGTCTTGGCCTTCTTGTGGAACACGGGCTTCGTCTGACCACCGTAACCGGACTGCTTGCGATCGTAACGTCTCTTACCCTGGGCGAACAGGGAGGCCTGAAAAGCAGTTATGAGTATGTGGTCTTGATGTTCTTTCAATATCCTTGCTCATACCTTGCCAGCCTTGTACTGAGTGACCTTGTGCTGGGTGTGCTTCTTGCAGTCCTTGCCCTTGCAGTAGGTGCGGCGAGTCTTTGGTACGTTCACCTGTTGATGAGATGGTCAGCAATCATCGCGCATCTGAGTATGCGATGCGTTGTCTGCGGATGTGTCCCAGCGAGCGTTCTCCATGTCCTTCGCAAGTTCATCCCAATCTTCAAATCTTTTTCATTAGGACAGCGAACGTCTTTTCAACTGTGTTTCTTGCGCGGCGCCGCCAATCACCCGTTTCCATGCTCTTTGCAGCTGCATTTCCCTCCGTCTTTCATTCTGAGTCCCCTCCCACCATGTCACAAATTCCCGTGTGGCTCGCAAACCCATCTCTTTCGCATCGCCGGGACACATTGGTTCGCGCATGAGGATCGAGGGATAATCTTACCATCTTGGCTGGTTGCTCCGGTGCTGTTGTAGGTGGATAGTGTGGTCGTGGCGGTCGGGCTCACTGGCGATGTTCAATTCGACGTTCGGCCGCTTGAGTGGGCGGTTCTTGCCGCACCGTCAAAAAGTCTTGGCTCCGCACGGACTACCGCACGTGACCTCTATCTTCGACGTCAGCTTCCAAGTTCTCAACGTCAATCTTCTTTTCTTCTAACATCATGTAGGAAGCCAACAGAACAAATCAGATCTTCACAGCAATCTCGATGGCTCCCACGGTGGATGGACCTTGAATAACGAATTGCGAACACAACTGCTAATGAGGACACCAAGATAGATTGACTGAAACGACACGAAAAGGGCCACGTTCAATCTTTGTTTACTACCTTTCTGGACCCGACAATTCTTCCATGCGCTTGTTCCTCTGATTAACCAACCCAAAACAAGAATTCATAGTCCATCGCTCGCTCTAGCTCGTCTGAGTCTGGGTCCAGGTCCGCTTCCTCGAGAGTCTCTGGAGCGGGATCCACACCCAGCTTCTCCACGATGTCGTACGCAGAGCTCTCCTCTGGGAGTCCACGCGAGAACCCATCTTCGCCCCACACCCTTTCTATCGAGGCGTTGAATGCGCGTTTACTACGATGCACATCTCCCAAGGTCAGACCCTTCGACTTGTCCTTCGCCCTTATGACACGCACGTGGTTCGTACCTCGGTGTCGAACCATCATCTCCTTCAGCGGTGGCTGGGCGAATAGCATGCCTTTCCAAGAGGCGCCGCTTCTTTGGTATGCTTTGTCGAGGAACTTGTCTTTGGTTTTGAAGTTCTCGTAGAAGTACCACTGAGACCAAGGCGTTTCGACGCCAAGGATTGGGTTGATCACAATGCGGTACTCTTGTTCGTCTGACAAATCCATCGCCCAACGCGTGATAGAGTCGGGGTGCATGTCAACTGCTCTCAGCGATGTCACGAATGGTGGACAGTCCCATTGGGATGTGCAATAGTGAGGCTGCATTTGCCGGGTTTCCACTAAGCTCAGCTGGATGTCCTCAGTGGGTTGCAAGAAGAGTGCCTTTCGCAGCACCGAGTACCCAGTGATGGCGGCCTTCCATTTCTTGTTCACTCTCTGCAGTGCGACGAGATCTCGCATGGACAAGTCGAGAAGGATCTGCTGCAGGAGCTCTGTTGCTGCTTCGATCTTAGGAAAGACGGGCTCCTTTGGCTCCTCCTGGAAAGTGCATTAGCACTATGATCAAGGCCAGTTCTGGATCGAGAGACTTACTTCTGTGGAGCTCGTCGATGATGCCATGTTCTTGACTGGTGTTTGTAGAGATACCGCTACTCTGAGAGATGAAGAGATGGCTAGCATTGCCAGCATCTTATATTTCATCTAACTTAAGTCGCCGGAACATTCGGCCTGGACTTTGGCAAACAGCATGAATGTTCTGAAAAGAGATGGCAGGTCTCACGCTTCTGGTGTTGCCTCAAGGCACGTCGAACACATTCACTTGGATCTTCATCCAGCATCGAAGGCCATAGGAACGTTCACGAAAGCTCATGTCTGGGACAATGGACCATTCACATGCTCGAGCAGATGCCGAAGTGACAAAACCGTACAGAGAACAACGATAAGAATGATGTGTACCTCATATCTATATCATATAATGACCACCATAAGCTAATATACACTTCCCAGCGATCCATCTGGCATCGTCGCTCGCCACGAATCCAACGACCGTAGCGAACTCCTCCGGACGACCTAGCCTCTGCTCAATCGGTGTCCTCGCCTTGAAGTACTTCTCGATGACCTCGGGTGCTCCTTTCGCCATCTTGTCCGTATCTGTAGCTCCAGGACTGCAACATATTACACGATCAGCTTCAAGGTTGCTTCGAGGGAAAGATTGAAAACAGACTCACCAAACGCAATTGACCGTCACACCTTTAGGCCCCAACTCCTGAGCCCATGTCCTCATCATACCTTCCACTCCCGCTTTCGCACCACCAAGCAGGCTCCCGCCAAACATCCCCAACCTCGCACCCGTCGAACCGATCAAAATGATCCTCCCAGGCCTTTTCAGATTCGGGAGCAAAGCCTGCGTCAGGAACAGCGGCGCCGCAACATTCAACTCATACACCCGCCTGTACTCCTCGTACGTCAAGTCCTCCAAGGGCTTAACCACCGAGCCCCCTGCATTGTGAACAAGGATATCGATTCCCGCTGGAAACGCTTCAAGCACTGCAGAAACTATCTTCCCGTCGCTCGCTCGGTCACACGCATCGGCTTGGAAGGCTACCACTCGTTGGCTTCCAGATGACAGCTTGCGACACATGTCCGTAGCGAGGTCTTTGTTGGAGAGGTAGGTGAAGAAGACACTGGCGCCGCGATCGACGAGATCCCGAACGATCGCTGCTCCGATTCCACGGGCTCCTCCTGTTACGAGTGCGGTGCGGCCGGAGAGGGTGGATGTGAGAGCCATTTTGCTGGGACTTCAAACCTCGTGTAAGGGGAGATGAAGCAGATCGATGAGGTTCCTGTTTGAGGGCACACATAATGAGAGATGACTTGGCCAAGCGATGTTGATGCTTTGGCAGGCACTCCGTCATGTCGACACTATTCTCTCGGCCGTCGTTTATCGGGCGAGAGTTGTTCAGCAAAGGAGTCGCATAACGTCAATGTAGGGCTTCTTTTCGCAGATTCGGTCTTTCGTTTCTTCCTCAGGTACGATCATTGTGAGATGGATTGTCACGAGAGGAGTACCGTTATTCCTTTCGAGAGCATCTCGTCTGATATTGTCATCCTGAAGATGGACCACACTTGAAGCATGGCTCTCACCCATCCTGCTCAGCAGACATACAAAACTCACAGACCTCACACAGCCTGCACCATCCCTCTCTCCTCCCCAAGAACAATTACACCCCAACCCCCAAAAATGCCCACTCCAGAAATCGTCCTCATAACAGGCGGCACCTCCGGCCTCGGCCTCTCAACCGTCAAAGCCCTCCACAGCAGCGCAACCCCCTACAAAATCCTCGTCGGTTACTATGCCATCACCGCCACCGAAGCCTCCTCCATCCTCCAACCCCTCCTTACAGCCCACCCCCCCTCCCCCTCAACCCTGCACCCCCTCCCCCTCGACCTCGAATCCGACGCCTCGCTCCAATCCGCCATCGACTACATCACCTCCTCGCACGGCCGTCTCGACATCCTCGTCAACAACGCCGGCGCCAACTTCGACGAAGACGTCCGCCACGGCGCCCGCCCTCTCCGCTCCGCCCTGCGGAAATCCTGGAACGTCAACCTCGCCGGCCCACACATCCTCACCACCCTCGCGGCGCCGCTCCTCCTGAACTCCCCCGCCCCGCGCCTCCTCTTCATCACGAGCGGGACCTCGTCGCTGACCGAGACGGAGGTGGCTGATTTCGACAAGTTCCCGACGCTGCGGGTTCTGAATTCGAGTCCGGAGCCCGGGTGGCCGAAGGAGGAGATGGGCGTCGTGGCGTGTCTGGGGTATCGGACTTGTAAGACGGCGTTGAATATGTTGATGCGGGAGTGGTGGCGGATGTTGAGGCGGGATGGGGTGAGGGTTTGGGGGGTTTCGCCGGGGTTTTTGGCGACGGATTTGGCGACGGATTTGGCGGGGGTGGGAAGGGAGAGGTATGCGAGTGTAAGTTATGATTGTCTGAGAAGGATAACATGTTGTGGTGGATCTTTGACTGATGTGTGGTTTTAGTTAGGCGCCTTGCCGCCGTCTGCTGGGGCGGAGTTCATTGTCAAGGTTTTGAATGGGGAGAGGGATGGCGATGTTGGGAAGGTGATTCGGGCGGATATGGTGCAGGCGTGGTAGAACGATTTGTTGGATGTGATGCTTCAGGGTTGAATAGGATTTTCGATGAAGATCTCCTTCGCATGTATCTGTCATGCCAAGGTCGTCACAGTCTTACTTTCACTCGTCCCCAGCACGACTTGCATTAGTATCCCGCCAAACCGCCTCAAAGTTGATACCACAGACCGGATCCCGCACGAAAGCTCCATAGTACCCCGGATGATACTCAAATCTCGGACCTGGCTTGCCATTGTCTTCTCCACCAGCCTTGATGGCAGCCTCGTACCATTGATCGAGATGTTCGCGTGCTGGGAATTATCAGCTGGGCACATCGCTGACTATGATGAAGTCTATAGCCTTACTCTCCACCGTAAAGGCGATGTGCTGCTTCCTCCACTCTTTGATCTGCGACTCTGAGGATTTGGTCGTAGGATCGCTGACAATCCAGAAGTAAGGTCGATCTTCTCCCATGCCGACGACATGTGGGACTGGTCGTAGCATCTCTTTGAAGCCGAAGCATGAGTTGGCTGCGAGAAGCCAGGAGACCATTTCTTCCAGCTTGCCTTCTGGGACGCAAATGGTGAAGTGATCGAGGGGCATGGTGAACAAGCTGGAAGATGGATTGTTTTTGGGAGAACGGTTTTAACCTTGATGGTTATGAAGTGGTAGGTGAATGAAAATCTCAGGTTACTTGTACTTGTTGTGTTCTCGCTTTCGCAGTCTTGCATTCAGGCAGCAACAAGCTGAAAGCCTTGGAAGTTGAAGAGCATTGGATGCCACGAGAGACACCAAAGGCTTATATTCAGCCTCAGTAGGACGTACCACGGCAAAGCAAGTACCAAACTATCCCCATCTCAGAAGCGAAGTATGACAGGAACGTGAACATCGTCTTCGAGACACGACAGAGTCTTGTAACTTCAGGCTCGCCAGAAAACGTTCATAACCCAGGTTAAACTCATGTCCGTCCCGCAGAGCATTCTTGATCACACATTTGCCTCATCGATTGCTGCCATGAAAGCAATCGCACATTCCAGAGAATCTTTCCGTCAATCACGTGAAGACGATTTCCAGCATAGCAGGTTTTGCACATGACGTTTCGATGTTGGCGACAAACTTGGCCGGGTGGCTGTCAGATGAAGACTCTTCATTTCAGCAGATAGAGATGTCGTTGTCAGGAGTGAAGCAGCGAAGTTTCGAGTGGGCGCAAGTCCGATCATGACTGGTTGGATTCCAACCACGTGCAAGGAATTCGCTTCACAAAGAACATTCAGAAGCGGAGTCAGCCGCCGCGAGCCAGCCAGACCACGCTTTCCACTCTTCCAGCCCACACACACTTCCTCGACAAACCTACACGCCTCCAAAATCACGCAAACTACACCGCCCAGCCTCAACAATCACCACCTGTCTACCACCACCACTGCGACACTGCGACCAACCTGCAAAAGCACCCGCCACTCGACGACCGTCCGCCCTCGACTCACCCACCACCTCCGAACAAAGACACCACCCGCAGCCTCCAAGGTCGTAACCGTGGCAAAGAGACGAAATGGCGCTGTTATCAGACTGTAATTACAGTAGAAGTAGTAGTAATTACGCCCGCAAGACCTCCACCGAGTCCGCCCGCCGCTCCAACACCCAGGCCTCCGCCTACGCCGTCAATGCCGACACCATGGCCTTGACCGGCTTCCATTTCTCTACCTGCGGGGCAGGGGGAGCGGTACGTCAATATATCCCACGAGGCAAGAATGATGTGCTGACGATTTAATCAGGGGTGTTGGGTTTGAGGTCCCTGTGGGAGGGATACCATCACCACCGCCGTCTCCGGACGCCGCACCCATCGACAACAACAACCGGATGGGTGCCAGCCGCGCCGCCCTCAAGGCGCGCAAGCGTAGCGGAGACGCCGCACATCACATCACGGAAGAGTGTGAGAGACTCTTCTGCGAGACGCTGAAGACTGTATTCTTGGTCGAGAAGGATGCCGGTCTTGAGAACTCGCTGGTGATGGATCTGCGAAACACGCGCATCGTCGACGATACTGGGGGTAGACCTATTGCACAGTCTACTGCTGCTATTGCTACGACGCTGCCGAAGAAGACGAATTTCACCCATGGCCAGCCGACGCCGTCGCCGTCGCCGGACGGCAGGATATACCCTACCCCGGGTGGCTTGGTCAGGGAGTATGTCGAAGTGTGGGACTATGCCGGCGGCGCTCGCTTCAGAGGCTTCGTCGCCGACAAGGACGACATGCGCGCCATGTTCATCTTCTTCGATAAGGAAGTCATTGGAATGGACTTGAAGCCAGGGTGAGTCTTCATCCTTACACACGCTCTACAGTACACACTAACATCGATCTCCAGACTCATGTCCCTCCTCGAACTCGCCAGCAGCGACCACTTCGACTGCAGCCACCTCATCGCCTGCGTCGACCGCACCGCCGACGCCGAAGACGTCAAAGACCTGAACAAGTCCCTCGGCTGGGTCGGCTTCGAACTGACCACCCTCGACGCATGGTCTGCAGATGGCTGCATAAGCGACCGCTACATTTTCCTTGGCATGGATCTCTGATTTGCATGGACCTAGTCTTACATGTGCGTTGTGCGCTGTGCGTTGCCTGGGTGGATTTTGCTCGTGCGCTCACACGCATGGCATGGTGAAAGACAGGGTGCGTTTCCTTACTTGACTCGACACACGTCAGTTGCGTTCGTTTCGTACATATGCAAGCCATTCATGGGCAGTTTTTGGAGCAGGTCTTTCTTGGGTGGTGCTGGTGGTGTGGAAGCGACAGTCCAGCGGTGGAGTTGCGTTACTGTTTTGGGTGCATGCATTGCTTTTGTCTTGCTTACTAGTACTGCTCTTCTTGCTCTTTCATATGCAATCATCACATGCGTTTGCGAGTTACAACAGTCGCAGAGAAAAGTACCTGGTAGATCGAGAATGACACAAAAAACCTTTTGGACTGAACTCCCTCTCACATCGCTACTACTTTCTTCACGTTGCAGTTAGTACTCATGGAAAATGAATCGCTGGACGGATGGTGAAAGTCTTTGAAGAAGAGAAAAACTTTTTTCCCGTATCTGCTCTGCTCTGATCTCTACTCGCAATCCCTCCCGCTCTCTTCATCCATCACATCCATCCACCCAGCGACAAAGGGTGTCTTCGCTCGCGCTGAATTAACAACATCAATCAAGTCATCATCAATCAAGAGAGACGAAGAGCCCCATCCATCCCCTTTTGCCATCTTCGTCATGTCATTCATCCACGATCATGAGTGAGAACAAAGCAATCACAGCCCCGTCTACTCTCTCACCTGGACGATAAAAGCCCAAATCGAGTCCCCTTGTCCCCGTCGTCGCGAATACCACCCAGTTGAGTAGAGCTTCGTCTCCTCCTTCCACATCACATCCTCTACCAATACGGCCGGTCGTCAAGAACGGAGGGCAGATTTAAGCGCTCGTCCTGGTCCTTTCGTGCCGTCCCAGTCCTCCAGAAGCAGATCAAAGTTCGAAAAGAAGTAGTAGTAGTAGAAGAAGAAGCTTATTTCATCCTTCCAGGCCGCTCGTCGTCAATGTCGTGCGTCCGAAGCTGAAAAATGGTAAAAAGCAAACAACATCACAAAAAAACAGACAAAAAGAGGTATCGCTTTGGCTGAATGGGGGTTTCTTCTTCAATGCGCGGAAATATTTGAACTTTCTTCTTGTCTTGGTGTGTGGGTAATTTTGGTTTCGTCCGTTTCATTCATCTCGTCAAGGTCCAGTGTAATTCGTGGGTTTCGTGAATCGTAAAAGATCAGACAAGTTTTTTCGACCACAAAGAAGAAACAAAAAAGTACAGCAAAGGAAAAACATCGTCATCCTCCTCATCGTCATTTCCCTCGAATCGCAAAAACATATGAAAGAAGAATTGCGGTGACTCTGGCCCGTCGCTTTTTATCGGTCGTCTTGGCTTGGCGTGGTGCGCTGTCGAAGTCGTTGGTCGTGCGGCCGTGGAGAAGCGGTCATTAGGCGTATTATCGCCTCACCACGCCGCCGGCTTTGACTGACTGCGGTTGACTGATGGGGCGCGCAGACATGGCACCTGGATCGGTGCGTTGTCTCTTGAGAGCAGAGTCACCTCCAGCGCTGAGGGGTCGCCCGTATTGGTCGACTTGCTCGTCGTCCTCGCGCATGCGCTTGGTACCAGGAACAGCGCCATTCATCGATGGGTACTGCGGCGCAGGCTGATACGCAGGCTGCGGTGCATAGTCGCCGTTGGGAGCACCAGCACGTGCGTCGTTACTCATGACGTAGTTCAAGTTGCTCGAGGGCAATTGATTCGGACGCTGTGGTGTCGTGTTGTACGCATTGTACGGGTTGGTGGTGCGCGGCGTTGCTCTCCCAGAACCGTTCTGGTGCGGCGAGTGCGTCATCTCGGGCGAGATGTGCGATGGGTCCGAGTGGACTGGTCCTGGTGCTGGGTTAGGTTTATAACTGTATGGAGGTCGTCTGGCGCCATTAGACGCACTGGTGTGGGTATATTCACCCTCATGTTCCCCCTCAGCATCTTGCTGGCCGCCGTACGTATGAGCTTTGCTGTCTGGATGCTCGTTCTCTGCGCCAGCGCGAGCAGGTGGGCCCATCTCGGTTTTGACAGGGTGGGGAGGCTGTCCGTATTGCTGGCTGTAAGAGCCTGGTGCTGAGTACATCTGTCGGTGGCTGTCATAGGGTGGCTGGCTCGACTGGTACGGCATGCCTTGCGAATTGCCAGGGGGTGTGGTGGCTGCGAATGTCAGCAGAGTGATTGCAAGTGAAGGGAGATGATTGCTTACCTTGGTGGCCTCCGTACTCGTAAGAGCTTCCTGTATTGCCCATCCCCATTGTTAGACTTGAAGCGTTTGAGGGCGGCGTTGGGAAGGTATGCGCCCTGTCAAGACCTGGCCTACCGGATGCTGGATGAGGCGCGATTGAGTGCGGTGGCTGCGGAATGCTGGCACCGATGGGGTTGGTCATCGAGTGGTGGTGCGTGAGTGCGGGCGGTTGGGTCCCTTGCGGAGTGCGCATGTACTCTTGTTGCGAATCTGGTCGCCGCGCCGCCATTGCCGCATTGCCGATGCTTTGGCGTGCTTGGTTGGTCGGGTGGTAGAGCAAGGCACCGATGTTGTGAACAAACAGAGGATACAGCATCTCTGTGATCTTCTCCTTGTTGGCAAAGTCGAGCGCGCGATCGAAAGGGATCCTGCTTCAGTCAGCTTACGTTCAAGCGCATTCTTAGAAAGCACTCACCAGACACCCTTCAGGTGCATGGGACCAATCTTCACCACATGACGTGTCTTCTCGCTCTTCAAAATGCCGTCGCGGCGTCCTCGCGTCATACCAGCAACATTGAGAAGCTTGGTGCCGTTGATCATGTGGTTGTCCTCGCGTCGCGCAACACACACACCATTCGCCTCAACCTGGAAGCACAAGCTGCCCTCGTCTTCCCACAACGTAGCCGTCACTCGCGGCTTCATGCCGTGAGGCGCAATCTGCCCCGTCGTATCGTGCGAGTGCTGCTGGAACTGCTGGTTCGCTCCTGGGGGAGGTTGCGGAGCGTTCGATTGCATCGTGGGCAGTTGCGGTAGAGATTGCGGTACCATCTGGCCGCCCATGGATGAAGACACTGGATGGCCGGCAGACATTGGTGGTATCGTGGGCGCGTATGAGTACTGCGGATACGCCGCAGGCGCGTAGCTGTGCGTTGCCGGCTGCAGCGCTTGAGGCTGGCCGTAGTTCGAGTACTGGGTCATGCTGGAGGCTGGCGCGGATGCTGGTGCATGCCCATCCATGTACGGTTGCGGTTGATTCATGCTGATGTAGCCCTGACTGTGGTAGGGGTGGGAGTGCGAGTTGAAGTGGGAGTGCGACACCGCGTGTGGGGACGGTGTTTGGTGGTCGTTGTGCTTGAATCCGTCCACCGATGAGGCGTATGAAGTGTTGGAATCGTACGACTGGTTTGCGACTGACTGACCGCTCAAAGAACCAGCCCGAGGCGAAGAGCCAACGGACGACGTGCGCGTCTGCGGTTGCGGGTGCGGAGCCTCGTGGGAGAACGGTGGACGCTCTCCGTATGAGCTCTGCGGCGCAAACGAAGCTGAAGGCCACTGACTGTCGTTTCCTCGGGCTTGGAACTGGGACAACGGTGGAAGCGCCAGCTTTACGGTTGGCGAGGGATTGGGAGAACTCGACTGCGAGGCCGAGCTGGGTAGGAGTTTTGATAGAGGGTGCGAGACCAGAGATGTGAAGTCGTCTGGCTCGTTCGTAAAGGTCGTTTGCTTGACTGGAGCTTGCAGCTGCGTGCGGTCTTGGCAGAAAGGTGGTCGTCGTCGTGGAGCTCGGATGCGTCGTTAAAATCTTTGAATCCGTCGGTAGTCGTGAACAAGTCGTCGTCTATGATGCTCGCTGCTAAAAATGACGCCCAGACCGGAAGCAAAAGCACTGGCAGCAACAGACGCCCAAGAAGCTCACACAGTCGTTAATGCAAGGAGGGTTCGTGACGGGTCGTAACAAGTCGTAACAGGTCGTTGGTCGTGGATTCAATGGCGGTAGCACCACTGAGCCTCACGTACCTAGATGGAGATGGCAGTCAGCAACAATGGCTTCAACACCCAACACACACGCAAGCAGACCAGCAGTCAGGCAGGCAGGCAAGCAAGCATGTGGTGTTGGTGGAGGCAGCGGGAGGACTGCAAGACGGCGACTATCGACGCACCCGGTGCTCTAGGAAAATGCAATGCATGAGGGAACAGAGCAGCGGTTCGCGAATGCGCCCTGGGGTGGGGTGTTCTAAGCTATTTGCTGCTGAGAGGCGGGTGGAGAGGCTGGTGGTGGGCGAGCGCTAGAGCCAACGCCCGGCCCACTTGCGGACGGGATGCGACAGGACGGGCTAAGCCGCATTGGACAGGAGCAACTTACTGCTGGAAGCGAGTGGCGAGCGAGGCAGGCGATGGGGGACGGGCGACGAGCGAGCGCGCAGCCGGATAACGAGCCAGCGCCGCAGCGGATGCGTGTGCGTTGGTGGAGAGCGTGGTGGGAGCGCGGTGCAGACACGCGGGTGGGTGTTTCTGCTGCTGGTGCTGGGCTGGGCGGCTGATGGATGGATCGGTGGTTGTGCGCACCGCCGGCCAGACGACAACAGCAGCAGCCGAGCAGAGCAGAAGAGCGATGCGGCGGCAGGCTGGCTGGCGGAGTGTCTGATGGATGGACAGTGCTGCGGCGGCAGGTACGGCGGCGTGGAGCGCGCCCGGCTGCTGCAGAGCTGCAAGACGGGTGCGCAGGTGAGCGTGTCTGGCGTGCGGTGGGAGTGTGGTGGGTGGATGATTGATGGGCGTGGTGCTGCTCACGCTGAGGCAGGCCCGGGATGCTGGCGTTGGTCGTGCTGCTGCTGGATGCTGCTTGATGCTGCTGCTGCTACCACGGGGCGAGCCGGTGCAAGGGAGACTGCAGCAATGGCGAAGTGCTGCTGCAGCGCTGGTGTGTGTCGGTCGGTGTCTGTCTGGAGAAAAGCAGGCTCGGGCTCTCTCTCATACGAACGCGGCGGAGAGGCCTTTTTTCCTCTGCTGTCCCGACACGACACGAGCGAGCTCGCACGCACGCACGTCGCAGCAGCCAACGGAGTGGGGGATTGGACGGATTGGTGGCTGGCACGGATTGCACTGATCAGCGCTCCGGCTGCTGGGCCTGCGCGCGAGAGAGGCGCGCGGAACCACTGGGACTGGCGGTGCGGCGCCGATTCGACGGGCGGGCGATGCGATGCGATATCCTGCCGACAGACAGCAGACAGACCGACAGCACTTATGTTCTGCGTTTGCAGCGCAGGCGGGCGGGCGGGCTGCTGCTGCTGCTAATGCTGATGGCCTCCCCGCGCAGGGGTGGTGAGGCGTGGAAGCAGGTGAGGTGCGTGAGGGTGCGAGGATAGGCAGGGAAAACGCGCGTGGACGAGATGGTCGGCTGCACGATGATCTGGCTCTGAACAGCAGTAATGCAGACAACCGCTCGCTCTGCCTCAGCGCCCAGGAGACCCCAACTTCTGAGCGCGAGCGTGCGCTGGACCAGACGTTTTGGCGACGCTGATGGCGCCGCAGGCGACTGCTATCGCTGTTAACGTTGAAGTGGCTACGCCTAGCGCCCGTCCACGGCTGACATGGTCCGGCTTAGCCTGGCGAGCGTTCGACGATACGGCAAAAAAGGCTGCCCCGGTCACGATGGGAAGAAGCTGGTCCAAGTGTTTTTCCTGCGTCGCTCGGTCGGTTCCGAATGAAACGGTCGGTGCTGCCGCCGGCAAATGCTATTTTCGATGCAACCTTCTCAATTATCACCTCGTCTGATCTATCTACGACTGCCTATCTGATCATCCATATGCCGAAGAGTTGCAATCGCAAGTACTTTGGTAGAGGATCAAACACAACACTCGCAGTCACGAGAGCTGCACGGCGCTTGGGCTGGTTGAACGGGCCAGCATCGCACGCATCGATTGGCCCTCAGCCCACGGACCGCTGGAAGCAAGTAATTAGTGCATCCCTCCAGCATCTGATGATTGATGATTGATGAGAGCACCCCGGCCACCGAGCCTGTGCTGGCGATGATGCGAACGAGGCCGTGGGCTCCTTCCGGACGTCGCACCAAGTTGGGTCCCAAGTCAGAGGGGTGGATGGATGAGCGCCTGTGCGCCAGGACACGAGCTCTGGCGAGACGTGGTGCCAGGGCCGGCAAGGTTCGTTGACGACGACGACGACGACAACAATTCATTCATCGTCCACATCGGAGACTGCATCTCCAAGTCGTAGTGTTGTTTTAGCAGACAGATCCCGTCGACTTCATGCACAGCACCCGAATGCAGACTGCGGAAGCTACTGCAGTCTGGCCGATGCACATGCATGCGATCCAAACTATAACGCTGGGGCCACGCCCTGCTAGCAGAGCAAAAAGACGACGACAACGATTTTGCAGAACAATCCCTCGTTGCACCCGTCGCACGCCTGATTCCCTCGCCGGCGCGGACGCTCGATTGTGCGAAGAATGCCAACCTGCTCCATGTCGCGATGGCGAAATCCCTCACCCACGGCGACAACTCACACGCTAGGTCTTGTCCGGCAGCCCTCACGGCCATCACCAATATCGCACCGGGATCCGCGAACCACGCTGGGCTGGGCATCGCGAATAGACGTTGGACACGTTGGCAAGTGTGCCCACCCAGCCCAACCTTATTGACGCCACACTGTGCCCGCCGTCGCACGGCTGCGTCCAGGATATGCCTCCACCTCTTCCTATAGGCACCTCACCATGCTGGCTGGGCGCGCGCAACTTCCGCATCGAGCGGCCCAGATGATTCCGTTGAGCGTGGTACAACGGACCAAGTGTTTCACCACCGCGCTCTTTCACGAGCCCGCCTGCCCTCGCCGTCGACCAGATTCTCCAGAGCCCCATCCCTCGCCATCCATGCGACTGCGGAGCGGGGTCGTCCTTCACCGCCTCGCCGCGCGTGCTGATTGGCCGGCGCCCGCAAACGAGGTCCAGACGACTGGTGTTGAGTTTCACCTGGCCACACAGCTGTGCCACGCACCTGTCGACCGAACCCTCTGCCCATCACTCATCGCCCTCCAGCTTCCGACCTGACTTGGAGACGCTGCATCCTGCCGCCCTGCCACGAAAATCTGAGACACCCGCAACCGCATTGTTGTTGTTGGTGATGTTCGCTCTCATCTGACCTCACCTCCGGTCAGGCAATCTCCAGATCTGCAACGCGCAGCGCCCTCCTCCCACATTATTCCTGCTGCTGTAGCGTGGCGGCGCAGGCTGCCGACGCATCGACGGTAGGGTACGCATGCGCAGGCATCCTGCGTATGTAGCAGCATGTATGTGTGTATGTTCGGCCGGCCTCTACTGCAGCGCACCCTCCCGCTGCACCACCACCTGCCAGGGCCCTTTGAATGGTTTATAGGGTCGCAACTTCTTCGCCGTCGTTCTTGCTATCTCTGAACTCGCTCCTGCCTTCACCACACTCCCACTCGGTCGTGCTTGCCAACATCGAACCCTGACTCGCCTTCCGATGGCGTACATGGACCACCCTGGCTGCGCAACGCTTCCGGCCTGCTGTCACACGATCCATATCGCGATGGTTGTGTGCGACTGACTCGTCTTCGGACAATCCACCTCCAGCGTCTGGGGAGCCGTCCAGAACTCGGAGCCTCGCCACACAAGATTTGACGACGTACAATCCGGCCCTGTGATCGCGAGCTTGAAAACGATAACAAATCAGCGGTGAACTGAGTCGCTGCCTTTCTCCTAGCATCCGCTGTATTAACAGACAGCCTTTTGGTCCCTTGGAGTTTCAAGAGCTGGGATGGCCTCATCTTCATAGCACCGCCATGAGCGCTAAAGCGATCGAGACTTTGGAGCTTCACTCCTCCCTGGAACCTCCTCTTACCAACAGCACGGCAGGAGGAGCCGCTACTGGATCGTCTCCAACGGCACTTGCTTCCTCGACTCATTGAACTGCCGTGTCCTTGGGCTGTCACGCGTGCGAGGGCGCCGCACCATTGTAGAGGTGTTGTCAGTCGGGTTACTTTATACATGGCGAACGTTCTGCTTGAGAAGATACTCAGGCGGCGATCTTCACAACTGGACAATCGATCAGGCGGTCACAGATGTCTTTCTCGATGACTGACAACATCACGACTCGATGGCTTGGTTTGTACCTCTCATCTTCCGCGTCAATCGCAGCTTGATCACTTCGTCGTCACATTCTCGTTTCTTCAATCACAATACGAGAACACCAGAAATATCTTGACCTGACTAGCAATTCATTTACTTGCTTCTAATCTCTGTCAAGTCTGACAATTACATTTCCTGATTTGGATACCACGAGAGTTGCACAGGATACCAAACAGTCCGATCGAACACCCGTTCATCATGACACAAGCCACATTCGTGCTGGGCGTGCCACCAGCGACTCAGCGAGCGCGCTCAGGCATCAACGTGGCCGCCTCAACCTATCCTTCGCCATCCTCCTGGGAACGACCAGCTCTCAAGACTTCTTGTTCCTGGGCGAAACGCCGATCAGCACAAGGACGGTCAGGAAAAGAATAGACAACACGGTACTTCCAGTTTGAGACTGCGACGAAACGAAACCGATCTGTACTGTCATCCCAAAATCATCCTTCCACTGCCAGAAATGGATCAGTGGCCGGAGTTGGGGAATAGCTGGATGGGTCCTCAAACGCCAAAAGTCACAAAACTGATTCCAGTCCACGCGATCTTCCTCGTCTCCGACCGTCTGGGTGGCTTTGCGTCCGATTCATGCACAACAGCGCCAGCCGCGGTACAGTACAGAATGTACTTGCAGTATTTCGGGCACCTCTGCGTACAGTCTCGCAGGAATACATGCAGTCAGCGGCGGACGGCTCGACACGATCATCAGATAAAACCAACAAAACAATAAGCCGCATTGATCTCTACGGTGCCTGCGTCGTCCCTCTGACATGATGAGAGTCCTACTGCACTCCTGCTGCTGATGAAGACGTCGAAAGTGTAAGATCGTCATCACGCATGAATCTCGCATGAGACCAGCATTCGTCGATGCGCTCGCCCGCGGACGCGTACCTGCAGCGAACATGCTTAGCTTCCAGCACCACCACCACTCCTGCAGCGCTCGAATGCACACCGTCTCTGCCACCGAACACCGCCGCCTGCACGATTTTTTCTGCTGGCTTGACCAACGGGAAAATTCGGACAGCGCCGGTTTCCACGGCTTCATGTCCGTGTTGTGCGGATTCTTCTTGCAAGCCGGATTCATAGACTATTCGAAGTCTACGCATCACGCAGGAGAACAACTCCCAACACCACGCCTCGACATCGTCCGCCGAAGCATCTTCGCCATCCCCATCGCGACCATCGAGGCTCGTGCTATCTCGCGGTGTGCACTCCCAACATTACCAACCTGCAACCTGCACCGCGGATCCAGGAAGCACACAGCCGCATCCGCGAGCCGCGCTCGACCATGGGACGGAAGAGAATCTCTTCGACGTCCGACTATCTAACTACTGCATCTCGTCAATCAAAACAACATGGGCAGTAGAGGAAAGTCTGTCTCGTCGTCACGTACGTTGGGCCGAACATCCAGCACCACGAGGAATGCCGGTGCCAGGTCGAGTCTTCTAGACCGGCGTGTTCTGGTCTGATTGATGAGCTGCAATGGTAAGGAGGATGCTTTGAACAGAGCATTCTGCAACGAAAAAGAGACCTTTCTACTTTCCCAGCCTCATCTTTCCATCCCCTTTTTTTCGTTTCTTGCTTCTCGTCCACTTGCGAGAAAGAATTCCTCAACCCATACACACCGCCCTTTCAAACTTTTCCTTCCTAACCTCTTCCTTTTCTTTCCCTTCTCTTCCTCCTTCCCAACCAACCAACCACCCAAGAACCACCCAAACTCAACATCCCCTCGCCTCGCCATCTCAACCTCGCAAGGCAACACGTCCCATCTCCCCATCCAGCCAAACAAACCCCATCCTCCCACCAACTATGAAAAAAGAAAAGCAACCTCCGGACTTCCTCGGCGCACACCGCCTCCTCCTTCCAGAAGAGGGAAACACTCCATCATCCATCCTCCTCCATGCGTAACTTCCTTCACACGCACGTACGCATCCCCCGCCCCATCACCAAACTCAAGCTCAAAACCCCTAGAAAAGCAAGCAAGCACACCCTTGCACGCGGAACTGCGGTCCATGTAGGTAGATTGATTGATAGAGTGACGGGAAGATGTGATCCGGTAGGTTAGGTTAGGATTGGGATGTGATGGAAAGGGCCTTTTTTGATTCGAGAAAAATCTTTCCTTGGATGCTTTCATGTCGTTTCATCGTTCTGGCTTTAGAGATTTTCTTTTTGTTCGCGTTAGGCGCGGCTGCTTTTAATTTATCAATCGATCAAATCAATCAATCGATCGAGCAATCGATCAATCCATCATTTCCCCCTGTGCTGTTTTGTTCAATGGGCTTTCTCGAGCGAGGGAGTGTCGTTGGGAGAAACGATGGATGAGTTGATATGTCTCGATTCAAGTGTGTGATCAATCTAGAGCGCTTGCGAAGCAGCAAAGTCCAGTCAAGTAGTTGATAGTAAGAAGAAACAGCATGGACAAGGCATAAACTATCTCCTCCCATTCGTGCACGTTTCATTCATTCTCAACCTCAGTGTAAAAGCAAGAGACCAGCGATACATTGCCCAAAGTGCTGGGTATCGTCTCTCGTGCAAGTCGCCACCGCTCATCATCCCACAAACCAGTCCAAACTCCAGCGCAATCCATAATGATCCAATCAATAATACGTCCGATTCTCCTGCCACCGCTGCACTTGTCCCTCACTCCTGTCGCCACCCATCGAACTCCCCTCCAGCATCCTCGACGAAGAAGAAAGATCACCCTCATCCGCAAAACTCACACGACCACTCTTCCTCCTCCTCGCAGCACCACCCTCGCCAGGGCTGTTCTCCAACAAGCCCACGGCACCGACCCACTCCCACACGCGGCCGACATCTCCAGACTTGCCTTCCCTCACCATCGGCCGGACGTTGGCGTTGCCTTCCACCTTCTTCTGCACTTTCTCCCAGAGTTTGTTCCTCCGCTCAGGTCTGAACTCATCTCGCAGGACATCATCCCTCAAATGAGCGACGCTGATGTAGTTTTCGGGGTACACGCTGGGATCTGATGCGTGCAGCGAAGCCTGGACAGACAACTTCTCCAGCGCGAGACTCGCAAGACGCTTCGCCTGAATCTCCGTCTCATTGCCCGATGTGATGCGATATCTCCCGTACGAGCCAGAAGACGCGACGAACAAAATGGCTAAAATCCACCAAACATATGCTCTAAGCGTTTGGCGAAGCGATCGTCGGATGGCACAGGCGAGGGGGATGGAGGCTTCGCTGCTGGATCGGAGGACGGCGTGTCCGGCACTGGGGACGCGGAGAATCTGTCAGTAGATGATCTTGGTAAGCGAATGATTGAGTTGTTGACCAAAAGATGTGTTGTTAAAGGGAATGATGGACTTACCCGTCTGCGCCGCTGTGCACTTCATCCATCTGCGCGACTTCACCAATGGCGGAGGCCCACAAGTCTTCAAACTCTTCATTCGTCATGCCCTTGCGGCGCTTGGTGCTGATGGCCTGTTTGAGATCGGTCTCCTTGATCTCTGGCTTCGTAGCCGAGCCGCATTCGTAGTCTGCGTTTTGCTGTCTCAAGCTCTCAATTGCTCGCGACTTGACCGATTCGACCTTTCTAGCTCTTGCGCTGTCCGGCTCGCAGGTGGGAGGAATTGGAATGAGCCCGTTGATGGACAGTGGGTGGTGTGTGAGTACGAAACCGTTCTCGCACTCGGTGTGCAGGTTCTCATGGCAGTAGGCGTGAGGTGGGCAAGGCTCGCATTCTGGACGTAATGGATCAGCCCATGGCGGAATCTCCACTCCTGCAAGCTCAGTCGATGGATGTCCAACACCGCAGTATCCCACATTGAACTTCTCTTGCCCCCAGAAGTATCCCAAAGCAGCGATGACCACACTGAACACAGCACCCACGCCCACTTTGGCGTTCGATCCCGGTCGCTTCGTTCGTCGTGTTGCTGGCACGAGCTCTCCTGCTTGTTGCGCTTGTACCATTTCCATATGTTCCTCTGGCGTGAACTCCTCGCTGGGTTCGATCTCCTCTTGTTTGAAGGCGGATACCGGGACATCAAAGGTCTTCCGCGAAGGAACCACCGCACCGTCCACCTGTCTCTTGATCGGACTGACACCATCTGTCTGTCTGCGCAGCTCTCGGTGGCGACGCTCCAGGTCTCTAGCGGCGGTGTTGCCCAGCGTCGTTCGTCTGCGATCCGGGTCTCGACTGCGAACTTCTGATGAGCTGGCTGATTGAAAGACGTTCTGGTTGGAGAAGGGGCTGTCCTCATCTTCACGCTTGACAGTTGGAGTGACAGCACTAACTCTGGGTGTTCTCGAGACTCTCTTCCGCTCAGGCTCAGGCTCTTCCTCTCTCACCGTCTCGACAGTCCGCGCATGCTTTCCAGAGACTGCTCGTGGCGTCACTCCTTCAGGTGGAGCCGTGCTATGTCTCACACCTCTCGGAGTAGGATCCACCTCGACAGCCTCTTCTGTTCGCGCTCGTGTAGTTCGTCGTGTGCTGCGTCCTGTCGCGGGTGTAGGAGGAATATCATCGTCAAGAGGATCGCCAGCGCCAGTGCCCTTGCGACCAGTGCCGATGTCTTCGATACCTCTGCTTGTGCGCTTCACGCGCGAGTTGGCCTGACGGATCTTGCGCGCTTGTGGAAGGACGCTCTCGTTGAAGATTTCGATGAGCTGGCTCTTCTTGGAAGAGGATGGATAATCGACGTTGTGCGCGACCAGGATGGAGCGGAGGCGTGGCACGGTCAGAGTCGAGGGGTCAAAGCCGGGCTCGAGATATGCTTGGTCGTCCATGTCGAACTTGGCGATGGAGTGCAGGCGACGATGCGCGGTCTGGGATCGCCAGTGTTGGGGTGTCAAGAGGGACGGGCGTGCGCAGACGGTCGGGCCAGGTGTTGTCGCTGGGTGGGAAGAAGGTTCGGATGGCAAAGTAAACAAATCTCAAAGCTGTCTTCAGGCAGACACACGTGTCACTAAGAGGTCCGAGCGCCCCGACGTCACAGTGCGGCGACGTCCAACTTCACTCGCTCTTCCCGGGTCTTTCACATGCCAGACGTGTTCTGGGATTTAAGCGCTCCGTCTCTTCTCTCGATCATATCCCCCAGATTTGATACGGCTGGGTGAGTCAAGGCGAAAGGAAGTTCTAGCGAGACCTACATCAAGTGCAGCGTGGGAAGAAAGACCCAGCAGTAAGACACCAGACTGTTCATTCATAGTTGAGACGACATGGAACAGGTGAATTCGTCAGGCAAGGTCAATCTTCGTAGCTCATGTTCCGCTACCTCTGTCGCTTCAATCTGGAAGCGCAGCTATTCCCGTTGCTACCTGTACCCAGCCCACCTTTGCATCATGCAACTTTCGTAATCCTCAATCCTTCGTATCCATACTCCGCCGTGACTCGTGAAATAGCTCATCCATCCTCAAATAGGAGGTGAACCAGGCTTCATGCCCGAGCCGGTATGGCACTCTCTTATCGGGTTGCAGTCGTCAGGGTCGCCTTCGCCACCATCGCGCTTGACAGCAATATCGTCCGGCTTGCTCTGGTCATCTAGCGAGTTGACTGACTTGTCGACAGCTGGGTTGCTGAGAGTGTTCTCGCTGATGCCATCCTTGTCGACCTCGCCGGGCATGCAGAAGCAAATTCCACCAAACAAGCAATGTTGGACACACTGGCGCTGCTCAATAGCGTCGGTGGTCTTTTCGTCCGGCTCGTCGCCGAAAGCTCTGCCGATTCCGTCTTCTACGACGTCGATCGCGCCACCCGGAAACGGCATACTCTCGGAAACCTGATCATTCATATCGATGTTGACGAAGTCGCTCTCGCGCTTGCTGGTGCTGTCCTCCTTGCGCGTGAGACCATCTGCTGCAGCGCATAGCGGCCCCTCGCACAAGAAGCCACCTGGAATAGGAACGACCTTCTCAGCGGTCTGCTCGTTCATCTCAGTGCTCAGGAAGTCTTCCTCGCGCTTGCTGATGTCGCCGTCGTCGCTGCGAACCCAAGCATATGGCACATGGAGGTCTCCCTTGGGGCAGCACGCCCAGTTCACACAGCCCTCCTGTTGAAGAGCGACGATGGAATCGCTACGTTGGTCAGTTCTAGATCCAAAGGCCACGTGAGGGTGAAAAGAACGATGTGCAGTGGCAGGTACCTACCGCTGAGGCACTGGGGCCGCGACAGCTGGCGCCATCAAGCCAACGGCCGTCATGGTGACGGCGACAACCTTGGTAAAGTGCATGATTTGAGAATGCCGCTGTTCCTGCCGAGTTGGTGGCGTAGGGCGAGGTTTGCTTGGTATGTGAATGTTGGATGAAGGATGGTCGATGAGAGGAATCGCTTCTGGCTCAAAGTCGTCGACGTTGTTGTTGCGACGTTTTCGCCGCGGTGGTCGCGCGCTTCTGAGGAATTGTTTGAGCATTGGTGGCGGCGGCTGTGATTGGCCAGGGTCATCGTCTGTTCAAAATAGGAAGGAACGACTTGGAGTCGCACAGGGCAACTGCGGGTCCATTCAAGTCGAGTCCAGAGATGCAGCACGACCAGGAGGTGATATCCCATATTTTTGGAAGATCCGATTTTGTGTGCCTTGCTAGCCTTTTGCTGGCTGCTGATCCGGTCATTTCGGTAGATTCGCGATAGCTTTCGACGTTGCCTCCCAGAAAGCCGCCGAGTGCCTCAGGTTGGCGTTCGTCCGTGGCTGATCCCCGGCGTCAAGGCCTCGATCTCACCATCCTCCTGTTTGAAGTTACAAAGTCCAGAATCAACGATTTCCATACTCCCAGCAGGAACAATGTAACACTCGCCATGTTTTCCTCGAGCCCTTCGTTCGCGCACACCAGAAGAGAACTCGGATCCGAACATGGGCCGAGATCCAGGGCCGAGGTCTTGACTAACCTCTTGCATAGATCAATGTCCGAAGAAGGAGCTTCAGGAATGGCTGTTCTTGTTCAGAATGGCGTTCTTGTGAAAGCCCCTGCTCTGACTGAGGTGTTCATCCGCGGCGAGCTTTCGAAGCCTCCAGGAAGGTCCATTCCATTGTCCAGCCCCAGATGTACAGGATGTAAAGTCGACAGACTCGATATGGAGTGCCCAAACCGCTCGCCCTTATTCCTCCCCATCTAAATCTCCACGGCAACAACCTCCCTCAACACCGTCCTCGCCCACTCCGCCATCTCCGCAAACTCCACCCCCAGCCCCGCCACAACCGGCACAACCTCCTTCAACAACTCCCCATGGAACTCCTTCGCCCACCAATGCGCCTCAAAATCCCGTATAAACACGCTGTACATGAGGATAATCGCCATGGCCAGGGGCTGCTGTTGAGACAGGTATTCGTGGAACTGCGGCGGGATGAAGACGAGCCAGGCCAGGATGCGGGATTTCTCGAGGCGGACGGCTTGGTAGAGGCCTTGGAGTTGGTCGATGGCGTCGATGTACACGGCGCTCGGGTCGTGGTCGTTAATGGGAGCTGTTGTTGTTGGGGTGTCTGTCATGCATTCGTCGTCGTCGTCATACTCGTCGTCGATCTTCGAAGAAGCGTGTCCGTTCGGTAAGAACTCTCCCCCTTTCGCCCTCTCCCGCAAGAAATCCAAGAATTTCTGGCTATTATCGTTGAAACTCTTATGCAGCCGATTATCCCAGTCCGGATAGGGGAACATCACCTCATAAGTCATCGGATCAATCAACTCCTTGGTCGCATTCAACACCAGCGTCGTCCCTCGCCACAGACTCGACAGCTGAATCAACGTCTCCGTCGGCCTCTGCGCCTTGGCCGTCTCCTCATCCACCGCCCGCAACGCCAAAGGAATGAGCCCCAACTTCGCAGACGTATGGTACAGCGCCCGACACTCCGACGCTTGGAGATTCTCCAATCTCTGCCGATAACTCACCAACGCCCTCGAATGGTACCTCATCGCATCCGCGATATGCACATGTGCCTCCGTCGGGTTCAGATACGCGAGGTGCAAACACGTCATGGCGAAGACAGTATCCAGCAAGAACTCATGCGCGAACGCCAGACGAGGGACTTCGATCAGCTGCGTGGCACCGGGACGGGGGCCTAGGGAGATGGTCTCGTAAGTGCTCGTACAGTACTGATGCATGAGCTCGAGCTGCTTGAGGCGCTCGGTGCCCGGGATGCCGCTGGATCCATCGGTGGTGCTGGAGGCGTCGGGCGAGGGTGAGGTGGTGACGGGGTTCGCGTTCTTATACGAGCAGCTTTCCTGGCGTCGTTTGCCTGGAGGTGGGAAGGATGTCGTGTTAGCGAGATACGAAGCTGTTTGCGAGGTTGGGTAATATGAAGTCACTCACAGTTTCCGCAGGTTGGCCGGACTTCGTCGCACTGTATATATATACCATCTTGTCAGTCGGTTTTCTTTTTCTTCTTTTCCTCTCTCATAAGGCTGCAGTGATTCACCTTGACTCTCCGCGACTTGCACTGGCTGCAGCCCAGTCTGGACTTGACATGCGACTTCCTCTCCGGCATCCTTCTTCCTTTCCGTCAGACAAGTAACAACAATCAAAAACCGAAGAAAATCTCTCTCTCTTTCAAAATTCTTCCCAAAACACTTCCTTAGTATCCCATCACAGCCTCCCCAAGCCGCGCACCGCCCATCATCCAGCGCGCGTTAAAGAACGAAAATACGACACAGCCGTCCCAGTCTCCAGTCTCTCCGCTAATAAGGTCAAGGTTCGTGTCGTCCGTAGGGATCCGTGGTCCGTTATACAGACAAGGGGACTCCCTAGAGGCGCGTCAAGCGAAGCAAAAAAACAATCAATGCAGGAACACAAACAATGTGACAATCATTCAATCAAGCAAGCGAGAGAGGTAAGGTAAGGTAAGGTACGGTAGTACGCTCCACTCTTCTTACACAAGACAATAGTACCCAACGATGCCCCTCTCTTCCTCCCCACAACTCCCCTCGTAAGTCGTGATAGCAAGAGAGAGTTTTCCTGCGTGCTCAAAACCCGTCCGCCCTCAGGCCCAGCTTCGTTCGGATGACCGAGTCGCCGAAATGCAAGGCACACAGCCGATATGCACAATCGGTGCCTCACAAAAAACCCTGGGTGCAGTGGACTTCTTCTTCAAGCTCTGCACGCAACTCTAACCGGTCACATGCATCCCGAAACCGAGTCGGACACACATCTAGACCCACTGCAATTGGCTGATCGGCGCTCGGAACGAGCGATACGACCAATCAACCCTGGTCGCCAGAGTCTATTCCAGGTTTTCCGTCTGTCGCCTTCTGCACAACTCCAGCAAAGCAAGTGCCAGCGAAGACAAGCGAAAACAACATTGGTGGTCTAGTCTCTATTATATCTAACCCTAAAATAAGATCATGTCAGTCTGCGCCAAATGCGAGAAACCGCTCGAAGTGCACATCGAGCCCGACTCGGACGAGGAGGATGATGATGGCGAAGACGTGCCCATGAGTGGCGGAGGCCCGTCCGAGGCACAATCACATCAGCAGCAACAGACGACAGTCCCGGACGACGTGCAGCTCTCCTGCGGCGATCACTTCCACTGGGAATGCCTACTCGACACCTACGAGCTTGACAAATGCCCGCAATGCTCGCGCGACATCACGGCCGGAGCCTCTGCTTCATCATCCTCTGCAGCAACAGCAGCAGCAACCCCGCAGATTCTGGTTGATATGAACAACGAAGGTGGATTGCAGAGGCAGATCGACATCTTCCCTATTCTCAAAGAGGAGTCGTACCTCCGCGCCTATCCGGAAGAGCGCAAATGCCGGGCGTTTCTGGAGTTCTGCAGAGAAGGCGACCATCGCGCCATTGCGGAACTGCTGAAAAGCTGCGGTGAAGACGACGACGAAGAAGATGAAGACATGGACGATGGACCCAGCAAGTCAGCCGATGAGGTTCTTCGCTATCAGGATCCGATCGGGGACATGCAGTCTGGACTGCACGCAGCTGCAGCCAATGGGCATCGTGAGGTTGCTTGGATGCTGTTACTTCTTGCAAGCAACTACTCGGAGCTCGAGTTCCCGGCGCTCGTCTTCCAAGAAGCCGCGACACTAGGCGTGATGCGCGAGGAACAGGACGACAAAGTCGACATTCGCAGCCTGAGAGACGCGCATGGCAGGACGGCGGAAGATGTGGCAAGGGAAGCCGGAGTCGTCTGGAACGGTTGGGTTGGAAATGGGAGACTCGCGATTTCCTGAACAAGAGATCCACCTTGTTATGCACGAGATTAGAGTTGGAGCGGTCAGAATCTTCTTCAAGGTCGAATGCAGATACTCCAACCACGGCAGATGAGACGAGACGCCTAGTTCTCACCGCACCTTAGCAGCAGAGCTCTCCGCTCGGGGTCGCAGGATCCGGTGCCGACTGAGTAGTTGAGAGATGATGAAGTGACTAACGTCCTCATCGCTCCAGTACGACAGATGGCTGGCGATAGCAGCAATCAAGTTGATGTCGAAAGCGCCTTCTTGGATAGCATAGTCAACTCGACCATTGCTGTTCAGCCGCCGTACTTTCTCTTCTTCTTTGCGTAGTCTCTTTCCACGCTCTTCAGCTTCAGTCCATTCAGGTGTGCCCTTTACAGCCCCGGCTCCCAGATCGCGGGTCTGTGAGTCGCCTTGTACAGACTTGCGTCGTCTCTCGAAGTCGCCGTACAGAGTCTCCAGCTCATTGTCGATGAGTGTGGGCGGGTGAATCTTCTTCTCACTTGCGGCTTGAGCATCTGCAGCAACGCGATTGACCTTGTCTTCTCCTATCTTGGCAATCTCAGTCCCTTCGGCGGGAATGGGTGCTGTAGGGACGACTCCAGCAGCAACATTCGTTCCGGCAGCGTTGGATGGACCGGGCACATTGGTACCAGCTCCCATCGACAAAGGAGCGGTGCTTTTGGTGATCCCCTGTGCGCTGGCAGCTGGTCTTCCAGATTCTTCAGCGTACCCAAGTCCACGAGTCAACAAGCTCGAGGCCATACTTGACCACATACTGCTCATGCTCTGGCTGACTCGTGCTCCGATTCCAGTCAAGCCTTGACCAACAGGCGCACCGAAGATGCCGCGTTTGGTGTATGGCAATGGTTGGGGTTTGAGAGATCCCATGGCAGGCGAGATCAGAGGCTCGAGACGGTAGGAGACTGGATCCGTGGGATGGAAGATGTTGTAGATCTGCGCGCACTTCGGCCTTGAGACGGGATTCTCGCCTTGAACGTGTGCAGGATGTGGATCCAAAGTAGCTTTCTTCGCCGTGGGTGTGCCCAGCATTGGGTCGTCCATGCTGCCCAAAGAGCTACCAGCACGGTCACGGTTCTCAGGCTGTCTTCTCGAGGCGATTGTTCTGCCTCCAAGCATCTGGAACAGACCGATTGGGGAGCCGAGTGCGTAGAAGTCTTCTACTGGAAAGTCGAGTTTCATCGGCTTTTCGTGCTTGCGCTTCAGCTTCTGTGGTTGGTCTTGTCTGCAGAGGAGGTCGAACATGATGGCTGATCCGAGGGAGTGGCCGACTAGACTGACTTTGCCGTTGAAGTTTGGGTTTCGTTGACAAAAGAGATGGTAGATTCGATTGATCTCTCGCAAAACTATTCCGGAGATGTGGTCCTTGTACGCTGGTGAATCGTACAGTAAGATGTCCAAAGCAAGATCCGTGATGAGATTGCGTACAGCTGGAACGCCATCGACTGTGATATCTTCCAAGCTGGGGTAGTCTTCGTCGTCGACATCAGTGTCTGCCAAGTCTTGCTCTTTACGATTGTGTCTTAGACTCTGCTTTGGAAAGTCAAGCAGATGTCGCCAGCAGATAGGTAGCACTTGGACGCGGCTGTTGACAGACTCAGATTCATCGAGCTCCGCATTCAGTGCACGCAAGTCTGGAGAGTCCGCGTAGACTGCCTTGAGCGTTTTGCGAAGGGTGTTGACATCATGCACGAAGTTGACACTTTCCAGCCGTAAACCCAGTCGTTGTCCGATGCCGTGCGTGACAAGAATTAGATGTTCGATCTCACGGCCTTGATCTTCGCCTTCAGTGTCTCGATAATCGTCCTCAATTTCACGCTCATCGCGTTTGCGGATTTCTTCATCTTCCTTGGCACGGTTCTCACTCGATGGCTCTTCCAAGAGCGAGGACATCTGTCGTTGCAAAGTCTGTCGTTTGGTTTCTGAAGTGCTTGGCCTTTCTTCGCTGACATTTTCGGCTTCAGGGCCTGATTTCACAGACGAACCTTTCTCATCGGCTGCCTTCTCGTCTTTGACTTCGGCCTTCTTTGACGTAACGACATAGCCTCTGGTCATCTTCATGCCTGCAAAATGCCCGCCACCAGCGAATCGCTGGTACAATGGACCGCTCATGCGAGACATGAAATCATCGGTCAGCAGCCAGGCAGTATTGGCATCTTGATACGTCACAACTGAGTTCATGTGAGACCCGAACAAGCGATACGTTGTCTGCGGTTGATCGGCCTGCTCATTGCTAGTGGCAGACAGTTGGTTAGCTTGCTCCGCGGCTTGATTGCGAAGATCAGACGACGACTGCTTGGCCGAGACGGGCTGCGATGCAGGAGGATTTCCATCTTGACCTGGTGCCCACGACGCTGGCCTCGCTCGTGGCTGGGATGCTGAGCGAGGCTTCGTTTGTGAATTTTGGGCAGATGGTAGTCGCCATGCTTTCACCTTAAGATATCCTTCTTCCAGCTGAGCGGCGAGGTTCTCGTCACAGGGGCGTTGGACACTGCCGTCTTGATAGAACCAGATTCCACGACGGACGTCGTAGACCTAGAAAATTTTAGCAATAGAATGTGACAAAGCGTCGATCTCCTTACCGGCCCTAGCCAATACGCTGGAGCAAGTTCTCTCCTTTCAACATCGACGTCGAACAAGTAGTCCTCGTTGACAGGAACATTGAAGTGGCCCGGCTTATCCTCTGTGTTTGGTTTTCTCTTCTTCACATCTGCATTTTCATTCGGCTTTGTCCCACGTTGCTGCTGTATTTTGAAAGCCTCCTCCGAGTCTTCCTCTTCGAGCAGCTTCTGAAACGCAGCTTCGATCGCCTTCGAGTCCCTCTTCGAGAAGGCAGCATATTTCTTCGGCATGCCAGGAGGCTTCTCATCTTTGACCTCCCCAGCCGCTGGATGTGGTCGACGTTTCGGCACATCAACAGCATGGAACCACTGTGGCCGCAAAGGAGGACAATCTCGAGGGTATTTCTTCAGGCTCAGCCTATGCCTATGGTTCACAACATGATCCGCCCCTTTTTGCTCTTGCAATAACGCTGGCGACGGATCGCCATCTCTGCCCTTGCTTGGTGGCATGCTTGGACTTCTACTCCATGGCGACAGTTTGCTCAAGTAGGAACGACTACTTTCATCCGGGGCGGCCATCTTGGCCTTGTCCGGCCATTGGCCAGACTCCAGCCTGTTGCTCAGCCAGATCGCTGGACGAGTGGTCTGTCCGGTCTCGGTCGAGAGCCAGGGGAAATTCCTCCTGATGTATTGTGTCCAAGACGAGAGACGCGGTAGGCGGGCCAACTTGGCAGTTTTCGAGGAGTAGTTGTTTCGGCCGACGCGCAGGGCTAAGCTTCGACAAGTTCGATTGGCGGCACTTGGGGATTGATTCGTGTACGGGGAGGTGTAAGTAGTTCCAGAAAATCGATCCAAAGGCAGTTGTATGGAAAGGCAAGCAAGAGACAAGGAGAGGAGCGACTTGTGACGGGATCGTCACGCGTTGAACGTGTTGGATCAACTGGAGCTCGTGAGAGGATCGGGTGACGTTGCAGCGGAACCGGCAGCAAGCTCTCGGCACTCGACGTGTGCCTGGATTTCCTGCCACGGTCACTCCGATTTCCTCTCAACACGGTATGTCAACACGAAGTTGTCCAATGCACTCGCAAAATACGCCCTTATTATCCATGCATGCAGTCTGAAGCGAGACCGCAGCTTAAATTTTGCTGGTATTTGACACGGCGTTACTGACCGACACACAGCACACCTGCAATCGCTGACCTCCCACAATGGCCTCAGACTCCACCAAAACCGCCGAGCACCTTCACATCGAGCATCTCGTTCGGACCAAGATCCCTCAAGGCGCGATCTATGCCTTCTTGCTCGAGCCCGTCGTCATCACCAATGCATCCAAAGACTACTGCGTCGCCCGCCTGCTGCTCAACGAACGGCACATGAACAGCCAGAAGAGCCTGCACGGCTCGGTATCTGCCACCATTATCGACTGGATGGGCGGCATGGCGATTGCGACGCATGATCTCCGCGCCGGCACTGGAGTCAGCGTGGACATCCACGTCACCTACCAGTCCGGCGCAAAGCTAGGTGAAGAGATTGAGATCGAGGGCATCGCCGAGCGAGTTGGCGGAAATCTGGCATACACCAGAGTCAACCTGTTCAAGGTGCAAGACGGCAAGCGTGGGAGCATCATCGTCTCGGGCACGCACACCAAGTTTGTGAAGGGCTCGGAATCCAAGAAGCAGTAAACAGACACCAATATCCCCGTCTTCTTTGCGCGTGTTGTCCAGCTTCTTCGATTGCTTCGGCGCTCACTCGGATGGGGTAGATAGACATGGTCTTCTGTGCTTTAGAACCTGTCGGCGAGCGGCAAGCCATGAGCCGGCAGGAATTAGATATAGACTACATACATACGCTCTTACAGCAGTACGGGGGCATCGTCTGAGCTTCGAGAGATACACAGACAGCAACATACATCGAGCCCATTTCTGTCCCCTTTGGGACATCATGATAGATTCTGGATAGCTACACGATGATAATACCGATTATGTATCTGACCACGGTGCATTCCACTGATCCCACAGCACCATGTTCGCTGGAGAAAGCCATTGCTGCGGTTGAAATTGATTAATGATGGCGTCCCACTCACTGTTGGTGTCGGGCGTATCATCCGGTTGCTGGCCATACAAAGGATAGGGAGATTGGACCGTGGGACATGTGCCATAGTTGAGATGTTCCCTTCCCGGTGACATGCGAGGTTCATGGTCATTGTTGTTCCCCACTCGCGAACTATGACATCAGCTTATGATTATACCCATCTGGACGAATCAGCCTCACAGAAAGTAGCGCAGTGCTGGAGCCGCCTTTGCACAAATACTGCTCATCTCAACCATGCCGTCGAAGGTCTCCAAGGTAGCGTGGAGCACTTGGTAGTCTTGGTCGTGGCCTTCGCCGTCGTTTGGCAAGTTTGCCAATAGCGCAGTGGCTGCGTGAAAAGCGTGAAAGCTACCCAGTCCGCGCGCATACCATCGAAATGGCGCCAAATCTGGCGATTCGTTCAATGCCTGGTAGCCGGCGAGCAGCTGTCTGGCACTCTCGAGGCACCGCTGGCGAGACCACTGCACAGGCGCATGGTCCGCGCCTCGTCCCATGCTATATTTGTGATGAAGGAGGAGAGTCAGATGATTGCTGTACAGACGAAGGATGTTGACGTGCGCCTGATGATGTATGGGTAGCGTCGACGCTCGCGTGTCATGAGAGTATCGTAGTTCTAGCGACCTTCGCTCTTGCTGGATTAGTGCGTCAATACTCCAGATGGTATCAAGCTGGGGGGCAGCAACCGCAAGCACCTTGTCGCAGATCGCGGAGCAAATATCGTACAGACGGAACTTCAGAAGCAGGTAGGTCATTTGTGTCGCTTTCCCGGATGTGCTTGGAATGCCAGCGTTGAGATCTCCATCGTTCACGTCCGCCGGGGGTTGGGCATTGCTACGGAGGGCAGTATGCGGAAGTCCTATGTGCCTAGCGAGGTATCTTGGGACGTGTATAGCATCATGAGACCTGCCCAGCATCTCCGGCGTTCTTCCGACTTGAGCGTATCTAAGCCAAGTAATTCTGGATCGACGTGGCATCCGATGCTCAATGCGAGGTGGTGGGCGAGACCTAGTAGCGTCCACGTCGGGCCATGGGTATGACCAATGCCATATATGAGGATAACCAGGGCTTGCAACGTAGTCACGCTGTGGTTCCAGAAGTAGTTGTCCTCTTCGAGGCATCTTAGAGCCATGGCACGGTATCGCTGGCAGAGATCTGACATCTTCCGGGAGGCGCTTCGTTCCCGGCTCAAATCGCGTAGCAGCTGGTCGTCGGCCGGGAGAGCTATGCATGCGATTGCAAGGATGGCATACAGGAGAGCCAGCCAAGCCAGCGAGATTGACTCCGGATCGTCTAGGAATGTGGCGTACTCCTCGTGGAAGGTCGGATCGTGCAGAATATGGAAGAGGGAAGCGAAAGATGAGAAGTAAGTCTGAACCAACGTAGAGCACGCTTCCGTGGGTGGGAGTGGCTGCAACAACTCTTGCAGAGGCCTTGAGCGGCTTCGGAAGATGGCTGAAGTTGCGGATTCATCGTTTAACGAGTTTGCGTTGCTCGGGTCCCATCCGGCGTGGTATGGTGTGAAACGTACCTAGCCCAACCGACGTCAGTGAATACTGTACAGCACAGGACGAAAGCAGGACCACTATGTCTATTGAGTGCTCCATGAACTTACATGGCTAGACGCGGTCGTTCGAAGTACGCCACGCAAATCGTCCAGAGCGTCTACAGTCCATACGTGAGCGCTGAAGTCTTAAATCTTTTACAAAGCTCCTCACAGCGACCACAGCCAGGGCTTTCCTACTTTGTGCATTATCGTCATGTGCAAACGTCGGCACCACTGGCCTACCTTCGGAACTTGGCTGTTGACAGGGAGCATGGGATTGAGCCTGCAGTAGCTGCTCCAACTTCCTCACTCGGTCCGCGAGCTCGATGCTGCCGTGGCCGGATGCGGCGTTCGACGCACCACTCGAGAGTGGCGAAATGGGTGCGATGGTGTAGGCGTTGCTGTCATGTCGCGGAGGCCTGGGCCGTGCGGCATACCGACATTCATCGGCGACACCGCGTCTTTGACAGGTAGAGCACGGCGCGGCATCGCGAGTACATCGGATTTTGCGGACGCGACACGGCTCACAGGACACAGGTAGACGGCGAGCTCGAGGCGCGGACATTGCGGACACATTTGCTCGGTGTAAGAAACAAAGGATGCGACAAACGTTGCGCAGCCTGGTTAAGGACTGTGCGGTCTCCGCCCCTCGCGCGGAGAAAGAGAATCCGATGCGGAGAGAAAGAGAAGCGTTCACGGAGACATGGAGAGAGAAGGTGGTGAAAAGGGGACGGAGAAAGCGGAGTCGTGGTCCAGGCACGCCTAACCATTCTTGGTCGCAAGGCTACGCTATATGCAGAGGGAGAAGGAGCCTCAGAACCTCCTCTGGAGTTTTAGAATAGGTAGCACTCGTAGGTTAAGGGTACAGAGTTGTCATCTAGAAGAGAGTAAAACAAGAGAGAGACAGCGCACCATGCAACGGCCCTATAGGCGTACAGTCCTTATCTCAGCTACATCGCCTACAGCCAAGACATTTGAGCGGCGCTTGATGGGGACTCTCCTTGTATGTCTTTCAACATAATTTAAGTTCAACCCAGACAACAGTATCGACGTCCTGAGGAAATGTTCCTGCCAGAAGTGTTCGAGAGAATAGCGACTATACCAATCGTTGGACCGCGTTGGACTAGTACTGCTTCTGCATCGCTCGCTTTACTTCTGGCACGTCAACGTCAGGCACGATAACATGCATGTTACCATCTTGACCCGCAATCGGGGGAGGTACATATTCCTTCCGGCCGGCCTTGTGGACATGGCCATTGATGCAGATAATATTCAGTTTATCATGGTCTTGAAGCACGGTGATGTCTTCGAGCGGATTGCCGTCGACGAGGATGCAGTCGGCAAAGTAGCCTGGCCTCACCTGGCCAAGTTCATGGCCACGCATGAGCAGTGCGGCTACGCCTTGAGTTGCGGCGATAATGGCTTCGTGCGGCGTAAAACCAAGGAGGTTGACAAAGTGTTCCAAGTCTCGAGCGTACGTGCCGTGCGGAGTCCAGGCTGGGCGGCTCGTCAGCAATGTGATGATGTTTGCCGAAGGCAAGGCTGGGCTCAACTCCTCGATCTTGAACAACAGAATGGACTTACCAAACCCATAATCGCCACCTGGCAAGACGACGATGCCCCGGCGGTGCATTTCACGAAGTCCGGCAATCGCTGCGTCGAGCTCTCTTTTGTAGCCGACTTCTTCAGCCTTACTGTGCGGGTATCCGAATGCTTCTGCTTCGTACAATGTGGCAATGAGCCAGTTGATAGCAGGGGCCACGACATGTTTTGTCTTGTTTTTTTCGAGCATATCCATGCCTTGGAAAGATTAGCGTCTCACATGTGGAATCCAGGATGAGCTTTGTTACCTTCGTCGTCAATATACGAAGCATGGTAGATAACGTCAACGCCATGCCTGATGCCTGCTCATAGTGAGCAGATGTTCTCATGCGTCCCGAACCACTGCGCTTACACATTTTCACGGAGTCCCTGGCACGTGCATGAGCACAAAGTCGCTTGCCGAGCTTGTGTGCTTCGTCGACACATGCCGCGGTCTCTTCGTCCGTGAAATAGCAGTCTTGCGCAGAACGAATCTCCGTGATCTGGCAAATGAATTAGCATGATGCGGAACCTGTATCCCACACATATGACCTGCCTCCTCTCCGGACATGCTCAGCTTGATATTGTCAACGCCGAGCTCGACGTGCTCGCGAATAACTTCTCGCATTTCATCTGGCCCGTCTGCGAAGGCAGTGATGCCACCCACCAGCTCACCGTCTCGTCTCGCCATCTCCTGCCCATTAGCCAAATACCTCGGCCCAGGTATGTCTCCAGCATTGATAGCATCTCTGATCACGACATCTAAGCGCTTCTTTGCTGAAGCGGCTCCAAAACACCTGTCGTGTGTCAGCAGGAGTTGAGAGGCCAGTGGTGAGCAACAAGTAGTCACATTGTGTAACCAGAATCCAAGAAGCACTGCGCACTTCGCATAGTCAACAGCGTATGTTCTTCCACTCCTAGCTCGCCGAGGCGATCAAGATCGCCTCCGTTCCATGAGAAGTGCGTGTGCGCATCTCCGAGGCCTGATAATAGCGTTCGCCCGCGGCCATTGAATATCCGGACCTTGGAGTTGCTCTTGAGGGCTTCAACATCTGGTACTTCTCCTACAGCAGCGAACTTCTCGCCTGAATTGCTTAGCGAATGGTGCTGCTTATGCTCTCCTCGTGTATATCGACCTTACCTTCGATTAGAACATCACCGCGATACGGCAATCGTCCAGTAGAATCGAGGATATTTACATCTAGGAACAAGATCGTCGATTCAGGGTGTGTACCGAAGATACTATATTCCTTCGGCTGGAGGTTTGACGAGAATCTCACGTCGTCAATGGCGGCTACATTGGCAGGTGAGCCGTTGAGCTTGCTCGTTGGGAGATTATTCGAATCTGTGGGCCAAGAGACCGGCGGCTCTTGAATGCGTGCTGGGGCCATGAGGTTGTCTGAGTACTGCTAATGGCTTGGGCTTGGAAGGGCCAGGAAGTGAGAAATGGGACGCCAGTGACAATTATGAGCACAACAGATGGCCACCTCCCCCTCCCAGCTCTACCATCTTTTATTTAGCACGCCAAAGCTGGGGAAAGGATACATATGCGAGCAGTTCCCCGCAAATCCGTCATGCGATGGTTGATTGCACGGCCTGGGCCATCGATCACATGGCCATGTGCACATCGTCTTGCGGAGAAGAAAAAGTTAATGTGTTTCACCCGCCATCTCCGCCCTTACTCTAGAATACGCTCCGAGTAGTTTACGAGCATGGCACTTCATCAAGTTTATTTCCTTGTCACGGCCAGAAGTCTTCAACCAATTGCACGCGTAGGGACGAAGAGAACGATCGACATTGTGCGTCGACTCAACCCCCTACCTTCTCGAAAACTATGGGCTGGCTCAGGAACAACTACGCAAATGATGCTGGTACCGCTCACCACGTACCCAATGTTGTGGAGCTCAGATGCGACGCGTCCAAAAAGCCAGCAAGCCAGAAACAGACGTGGCCTTTGTTGAACAACCCAGGGAGTCTTCTTTAGACGAGCTCCCCTTTATACCGCCCGCCACGGTACGGAATGTCAAAAACCATCCGCACGCTCTTTGGATTGTAATCGATAACATTGTCTACGACTGTACGGACTTTGTGAACGAACATCCTGGCGGCAAGACCGTCCTCGAAAGCTTCAAAGGCTAGGACTGTTCGTGGCAGTTTTGGCGATTCCACAACTCCGAGCACATGCCAAGAGATGGTCTACCCTTAAGAATTGGACGGACAGAAGGAGTGATGAATCGTTTCAAGGAGCGGCCCAGATTTCAAGGGTTAAGAAGGCTTGATGCGGATGATGCCTGGTACTAGTCGGGGTGGGTGTGGCAACGCGTCTATACTCTGGCGCGCCTGTTCCTGCGGGTTCCAGATACCCTGTCCTCCTAGTTGACGGTATTTTGCGAGCATACCATGAGTCGCGTCATGCAACGACAGAGATGGGATATAGCTGGCATATCATTATAACAATATGGCCTGGCGAGTAATGCCTGCAGCATGTATTGTAAGGAACTGAGTGCGCTAGAATGATATGAAGCCGTTTGGTAGCAGAACTCGTCCTTTGTTCACCAGTGCCTATCTCAGATGCCCTCAGTTGCAACACGTGAGCGCTGTAATTAGTCCTGTTTGTACATTGCAAACGTGGGCAGCTCGAACGGAGTCAAGCCGCCAGCGAATAACCCTGCGCAGCCGGCCCAGTCTGAGAATTCGGTCAGTGAGTTGAGCAAGAACGAGGCATGTCCAGTTACGTACAGCTGAAGAATGCAACGGCAAAGCCGACAGAGTTTGCTGCAATCAAGGTCGGGCTGCTGTTCACCATGTAGCCGACAGCAAGCAGGAGCAGCTCAATATCCAGGCAAAACAGCGTTAGGAACAGTACCCATGAGCTCCTAACTGCTGCAATGGTAAAGATGACGGTGAGTATGAACCACGCCCAACAGAACATGCCCAAAGCATTGTTGAAGTCGGGTAACAGTTCCCCGGTTGCTTTGTTCGTATACGCGGCGATGATGCCAGTCCCTGGAATATATATCATAGCGTAGCTGAAGTTGAAAGCCGCGTAGGACGGGAAGACAGTCGCGCCGAAGGAATTGCCAGCAACGAACTCCATGATGCCCGCGATGAACTGGCAGACACCGCCAAAGAACATAATGACGCCCACGAGGATGTTTGGGACCTGGATCCCGCGAGCGTGGACACCAAGTATCGAGATCAGGAAGATGCCTGTCGCAAAAGATAGCAGACCAAGTGGTGCTGGATTGGCGAACTTGCGATGGACTACTGGTAGAGCAGGCTGGCTTCGGTCGGCGATATGGCCTCCTGCGGTGCGGACTTGCTCGAGTGTAAAGGTTTCCCCATTTGCTTCCGTCTTCGAAGCATGATCGTAAGAGTCCGGTGCCGTCATGCTTAGTATGCTTTCTGGTCAACGTAAAGAAGTCAGTATTTAGTCACGACTGGGTGGGAGATGGATTGAAAAGGAACGTACGCCAGGCGAGCATGTGTTGTCTATTTGACGGCTCGTAACCCACCTGTCCACAGCGCCCGCTCAATGCCTCTTCCGGCCTTGAGTCAGTACTTTAACCTTGGTAGACTCTCCACGGGGCTTCCCCATGGCCAAGGAAGATGAGTTCTGGCCCGTTCAAACCCCACAAGGCTGCGCCAAGAGCAAATATGCGCCCCGCAATCTCCGTCATTCCCGACATCTCCGCCATCTCCTGCTCTCTGTCGCGGACTCTCTCCATCACTAGTACGGTAGTACCCGCTGATTCAAACATCACCGTTGGATGGGATGATGGGATGACACGTCACAAGCAAGCTCCCTAGCAACAGCTTGCAAGATTGTTACTGAGCTTAAAGATCAACTTCAGTTCCTTTAGATAACACGCAGCATCTCAGCGCAATGGCGACAAACGGCAGCAATGACGGTGGCGGCTCTCACTCGCTGACGAACTACTGTTCTTATATCGACCCAGAAACTCAGCGTGAGCGCATCGGCTCGTTCGATGAAGACTCGAACTCCATCCAGCCACTCGCATACAAGTCTGGCACTCCGCTCTCGACCCTTTACGAGGTGATTCAGGTTGGGGAGAACGGCATCGCTGCAGCTGGAGAGCGCATAAATCGTTCGGATACCCGACTTTTACCCCCCATCAACGGACGCGACGTTCTCTGCGTCGGCAAGAACTACGCTGAGCACGCCAAAGAATTCAACAAGTCGGGCTACGATAGCTCTGACAAAGTCGATCAGCCAACACATCCAGTGAGTTTCTACCGTCCTCAAATTGATCATGGAGACTGAGCAGAAGTTTCCCTGCAAAGGTCATATTTACGAAGCGCTTTACCTCTATCATTGCGGATGGGGAAGAGATCTATCCTCATCCAAAGTTTACCAAGACGGTCGACTATGAGGGCGAACTTGGTGTCATTGTTGGAAGGCCCGGCTTCCGCATCTCGGAGGAAAATGCCATGGACTACGTCTGGGGGTACGCTGCACCAAAACACTACAAGTTTGGTAGATTTCTTCATGAGATGGCGCAGCTGAAGTGTTCTCTCACAGATACACCATCGTCAACGATATGACGGCACGAGAGCGACAGAGAGACCATAAACAATTCTATATCGGCAAGTCGCCGGACTCCTTTTGCCCAATGGTGAGATTGATCTATACACCATCCGACGAGGTGTTTGCTGAAACTCGTCGTACAGGGCCCCATTGCTGTCCCGGCGCACAAGGTCAACAACGTCTTACGAGTCCAGACCCACGTAAATGGAGCTCTTCGACAAGATGCTACCACGGACGATCTGATCTTCAGCATACCTTTCCTTGTGAAGACACTATCGGAAGGACAAACAATCATGCCGGGTGATGTTCTAGCGACAGGCACTGTGAGCACGCCATGATAGCTTGCTGATTCGTTCTACACTGCTGACTCTCAGAAGCCCGCTGGTGTCGGCTTTGGTCAAGACCCTCCATCGTACCTCAACCCTGGTGATGAGGTCAGCGTCTCCATCACAGGACTAGGACGCCTCACCAACAGGATCTCATCAATCAACTCCCAAAACACGACGCTCCTGCGAGTCCAGCATTTAGCTGCTCAAGCGACAGACACGGCACGGTACTGCCCTTCCTCGAACTTGACCGACATCAACGGCAAGACTTTGAATTTGCGTCAGCTTGGCAACAAGACTGGCGCCCCAGCAGTCTTCATACACGGGCTAGGTGGTACCCTCGATTTCTGGACGCCTTTGATAACGGCTACAAAGCTCAAGGATGAATACCAATGTCATGTCTTCGATTTCGAAGGCCACGGACTGTCACCGACAAACGCACTGAGCAAGTTGAGCATTGAGTCCTTATCTCAGGACGTTCAAGGCATCTTCACCTCTCTTAACATTCAGCGTGGGGGAATTCTCTTTGCACATTCTCTAGGGTGTCTCGTCGCCTTGAAGTTCGTTTTGACAAACCCAGGCCTCGTCAGTAAGCTTGTCCTGCTCGGACCGCCACCGAGCCCTCTTCCCAACGCCGGAAGCAAAGGCTCGCATGCGCGCGCCGCACTTGTGCGTACCAAGGGCATGGCCGGCGTCGTAGATGCCGTCGTAATGGCGGGGACATCCGACAGGTCTAAATCGGCCAATCCTCTTGCCATCGCAGCTACACGTCTTTCATTGTTGGGCCAAAACCCAGAAGGCTATGCAAAAGCGTGCACGGCACTGGCCGAAGCAACCGACGAGCTCCCCGTGGAGGATATCAAGGCCGACACCTGGATCATCACCGGCAGTGAGGACCAGGTCAGCCCTCCGCAGCTTTGCAGGGCATACGAAAGGCGATTGGCGCATGTCAAGGGCGTGGAAGTGTTGGACAATGTTGGGCACTGGCATGTGTACGAGGACCTGCCAGGGGTAGCCAAAGCTTTGCAAGCAGCGCTGTGACGATTGACATGGAATGTTGCATAGCTAGGCGTCTTGGTAGTCAACATAGATTTAGCCGTCGTGATGCCCCAAACAATGATCACCATGACCGCAATGCCCGCTCACTGTACACCATGACGGGGCCTCGTGCCTTTTGAGAGCCTAACGTATGCTGACTACCATGGACTAAGAAGCCTCAAGCTTGGACGGGCTGAAGAAATGTCCGAACCGTGTCACGTGCCCGGCGTCTGAGCGGCTCTGGACGGAATTTCGGTGACATCCTTCTGTTGACATCAACGCGTGGGGAAATCAGACCTTGGACTCTGATTGTTCCTTATACAACACTCCAGAAGCATTTGAGACTCACTTGGGAGCAAATATCTCACTCTCGCTCGTCCGAACCAAGCACAAGCTCAATACCAACATCATGAGCGAACGAACACAACAACTCGTCTCCGTAGCCCAACTGCTTGGCCTTTCCGGCGCCTCTGCACTATCAGGTACGCCCAAACTTCAAAACCAGCAGATTTCCAAGAACATCCTAGTTAACACCCACCTCAATCAGCATACATCGCTTCTTTCAGCCTCATCGGCATTCCCGCCTGCCAGATGGCCCCCATCGACCTACAGGCGAAGCAATGGAGTCGTATCTACCACATCGGCAAGGACAGTGTGCCTCCTTTTGCCATCGCCCTCTCCGGTAGCTTTGCGTTCCTTGCATATCATTGTGAGTACCATTGACGCTTCGTCTCAATCGATTCGCTAACATACGCGATATAGTCCGACACGCACAAGGCAGATTCCCCATCCCACCCGTCGTGCTGTACAGTCTTGCTGCCGTCCTACCTCCATCTGTTGTGGGCTTCACTTTCACAGTCATGTGGAACGGTGTTCAAGCGCTCGAAGCGAAGGCTGCTGGAAACGCTGATGCCCCAAGCGAGGCAGAGACCAAGTCGTTGGTTGCGAAATGGAAAGTCCAGAACTATGTGCGGTCGGCGATTGTTGGGAGTGCGGCGGTGTTGGGTGCTGTTGCTTTGCTTTCTTGAGCTGACGAAATTTTTACTGATATCGGGGTTCTGGTGTTGGAAGCGGAATGTACACTATCTGGACGAGGCTTCCTTGGATGAATGAATGCAGCTTCCACGAATGTATGTGAGACGGTAGGTACGATGCTTCTTACCTTCACTCTTTCGTTTGGATCCCCGTCAATTGGTCTCACAACACGCTCAACCCATCTTCACAACCCACATCCTCTCCCATTGATATCTCTACATGTTGTTGGCATCTTTCGCATGAAGCATGCCTTTCATCAACATTCGAAAGCGCCGAGCCGACAGCGAGTCTAGCTTTCGAACCTCCCTCACCAAGAAGAGATCTCGCATCTTCAGCAACCGCACCCTCTCAGCGACAACATCAAGCCCACCGCCAGCTGATACCGGCAGCGTTGCTCTGTCGAGACTGAGGCGTACTGCCTCGAGGCTCTTCGAGAAGCTGATCTCTTCATCTCACAGTCAGTCATTGAAGATCAAGTGATGCATTAGGTTCACATGCTCATTTCACTTTCAAGCTCCTCCACGCCCCATGATGGACGGTGTATCGACCCCAAACCACCGCACTGCCACTCCTCCACCTTCCGTCCTCTCAGCCCCCGACACTCCCCGAGTCAACAAGATCCGCACCCTTTGGCGATCGTCCTCGAGCAATGATCGACCTACATTGCAGCAGCCTCAGCGAAAACGCTCCGTCCGATTCGAAGGAGTGACCAATAGCCAGCTCGATGGGCCCAACAGCGTGCAGTCAGAAGGTCGACCGTCCAAAGCCAACACTTCAGGTGAAGGCTCCCGCGACTCGCACGATAGTGGTCACCTGCGCCAGGTGTCGGAACGTATTGAAAGCCTGGCGAGCAAGTTCAACATCACCTCTGGTACAGACACTGTCATCCACCGATCCAAGCCAAAGTCGAGGCCTAATGTTCCACATATCAAGACGAATGGAGAGACTCATACTACCCCTACCAAAGCTGATCGCCATTCCGTACCAAGCACTGCATCTTCGGCAACGCCTGCCAGCAGAAATGGCACTCCAACTTGGTCGCCAGCAAGTACAGCATCGACTGGTGCTACATCATTCACCTCACCTGGCTCTTCTGGCTCGAGATACAAGCGATTGTCTCCCGAAGATGCTCTGTCGAACTTCAGCAAAGGCACCGGCAACACTGATGAGAATATTCTCACACCGATTGAAGAGGACAGCGGACGTTTCATCCACATTCCTGTCCAGGAGAAGACGATCGATGTTCAGCCGTCAATTGCCACTGTTGAGAATGCCGCAGCTGCGAAATGCGCCTTGGAGACATACCACAGTATTCTGATGGAACCCATGACACCTCGCTCGATCCGTCGAAAGAAGTTCGAACAGCGTATGGGTGATATTGGAATGGCTCATGAAGACCGTGTCAAAGCCAGGGAGCAGTGGCTGAAGGCTGAGAGTGATCACCTGCGGCAGATGAGAGTGCTGAAGTCTACTTCGATGATGAGACGTGACATGAAAGGAATTTCCATTGCTGGATATGACACCATTCGTGTTCTTGGGAAGGGCAGCTTCGGTGTCGTGCGTCTGGTCACAGACCGTGGACCGAAGCCTGTTGAGAACGGAGGAAAGACCACTGACAACACAACCGATTCGAAGCAAAACCCAAAGACGGCTGCCAATGCCGAATGTACAGCAAAGCGGACCATCTCCGCTACTCAGCCTCTCCGCGATGTCTACGCCATGAAAGTCATCCGCAAGTCCGAAATGCTTCGAGCATGTCAAGAAGGCCATCTCCGAGCCGAGCGAGACTTCCTCGTAGCCTCAGAAGGTTCGCGCTGGGTCGTCCCTCTCATCGCCAGCTTCCAAGACAACACCAATCTCTACCTCGTCATGGAGTACATGATTGGCGGTGACTTTCTCGGCTTGCTATTGAGAGAAGACGCCCTCGAAGAAGATGTCGCCCGGTAGTACGTGGCAGAGATGATTCTTTGTATCGAGGAAGCGCACAAGATGAAGTGGATACACCGAGATATCAAGCCCGACAACTTCCTGATCAGCTCGTCCGGACACCTCAAGATCTCTGACTTTGGACTCGCTTTCAATGGACATTGGGCGCATAGCCAGACGTACTACAATGCGCAGCGCGAGACTTTGCTGGAGAAGATTGGAATCAAGATCAAGGGCGATGAGTTTGATGAGGCAGACGATATGGATGGGCAGCAGGATGGTGCGGACTCGAAAAGCTCGCCTGGCAGAGGCACGCCAAAACCTGATGCTGAAGAGGGTGCTCGTCGTGAAGGGTTGTTGAACTGGCGGAACCGCATCGAACGACGTAAGCTGGCTCGCAGTGTTGTCGGGACGAGTCAGTATATGGCACCCGAGGTGATCCTTGGGTATCCATACGACGGCCGCTGCGACTGGTGGAGCATTGGCATCATCTTGTATGAGTGCCTCTACGGGCGAACACCCTTCTACTGCGACAATCGTCAGCGGACCAAGGAGAGTATCGTCAACCACAGGAATACGCTTCTCTTCCCAAGTCATGAGCGCTGGGCCAGACCTTCGTCAGAGTCGAGACGATGGCTACCACCTCCCAGTGAAGCAGTTGTCGACCTCATCCAATGCCTCCTGACGGACAAAGACTTCCGACTCAGCTCTCGCCAATACCGCCAACCCGAAGGCCGAATCGCCCGTCGCCACTCCACTGCTTCTCAAAGCAATCCCCTCGCTCGCCACGTCTACACCAACGGAGCCGAAGAGATCAAGCAGCACAAATTCTTCCACGGCATCCAATGGACGCAACACCATCTCAGCCAGCCACCCTTCGTCCCGCGGGTGAAGGAGAACCAATCCATCACCAAGTACTTCGAAGAAGAAAAGGACATCCTCACCGAAGACTCGTCCAGCTACGACAGTATCAAGGAGCACATTGAGAAAGAACGTCTGGAAGATACTGCGTGTGAAGAACAAATCGCCCAGGCATTAGGCCACCACTATGCGCGCTGGAAGAGCGAACGCACCCGCAAGGAAAAGTGCGATCTGGGGATCGAGTCGTGCTCGGACGGCGAGTTGCAGCGGATCAAAGAGCACTTTGGGGTGGACTACGAGAAGTGGAAGGCGGAGCGGGTGGTGGAGGTTGCGGAGAAGAGGGTGGAGCTGGGGATCGAAGTGACGGTGCCCGCGGGGAGGAATCACAAGGAGAGGAAGAGGCCGCGGGATCGCATGTTGAGGGATCCGGAGGTGGGGAGAAGGGTGTTGGAGTTGAGGAAGAAGGGGGCTTTCTTTGGGTATACGTATCGGAGGCCGAAGGTTGTGGAGTTGAGGGTTGATGGGGGGAGGTTGAGGAGGGGTGGGGTCGGGATTGGGAGTGGGAGGGTTGGGGGGTTTGCGGGTGAGGGGTTGGAGAAGGAGGAGTAGTGATGGGGGAGTGTAGTTTTCTTTCGGTGTTGGTTTACCTATGAATGCAATTAGAGTCTTTCAACGTCCCTTCTGCCCATCGATGTATCTCTTCACATCCCCCTCCACATCCACCCCAAACAACCAACTACTATCCATCCTCTCCGCCCCCATCCCACTCCACCCGGGCATCCGCCTCCTATTCATCTCATCCGTCAACCCCTGCGTCCTCTCCACCCGCCCCTGTCGATACTCCTGCCACCACCCCAACCCCTCCGTCCACTCCACCACCCCCTCATTCGCCGCCGCGAGCGCCAAAGCCAAAGAATGCACATCCTCAAACGCCTGACACACCCCCTGCCCCGCCGCGGGCGGAATCGCATGTGCAGCGTCTCCCAGGATCACGACTCGTCCGCCGTCTTCTTCGGAGAACCATCGAGGGATTTTGGGCACGGTGTAAAAGGGCCAGAGGGAGAGTTTTTCGAGGGGGCAGGCGTCGAGGGCGGATTTTATTAGGGCGTTCCAGGAGTTGTATTTGTCGTTGTGGGGGCCGCGGAGGTGGGTTTTGTAGAGGAGGTCTTTGTTGCGGAGGAAGGCGTCCCATTCGCTGCGGGGGCGGTCGTGGGTGCGGATTTGGGTTCCGGCTAGGAGGTCTGTTGCGGTGGGGTTTTGGGGGGCGAGGACGAAGGCTCCTCCTAAAGGGTGGGAGATGGAGACGGGGAGGGGGTAGGGGGTTGGTGTTGGGGGGAGGATGAGGTGTGAGGAGCTGAGGGGGAAGGTTATGGCTAGGAATGAGGAGAATGTTGGTTGTGCTGCGGTGGGTGCGAGGTGCGCGCGGAGGGTGGAGTGGATTCCGTCGGCGCCGAGGAGGAGGGGCGTTGTGTGGGTGGAGCCGTCGGTGAGGGCGAAGGTTATATTGTTGTTGTTGTCGTTGGCGGTGGTGGTGGAAGAGACGATGTGGGAGAATTTCTTCTCGTAGAGGATTTCGATCTTGTCGTTTCCCGCTTCGGCGATCATGGCTTTGAGTTCATCTAGCAGGACTTGACGGTAGACGCGCAGGGCATCGTAGCCGAATTTGTCCGCGTTGCCCATTTCGTATGTATCCAATGTTTCGTGGTCGTTGTTGTTGAAGGAGAGGTCGCGGAAATGGTAGCCTTTGGATTTGATGCGGGCGTAGAGGCCAAGGATATCCAGCGTTCGTAGGGCGTTGGGAGAAAGCATCACGGCGCCTTCGGAGGTGGTGTTTGCTGGGCGGAGTTCGTAGATCTTGCTGGTGATGTTGTGTTTGGCCAGGAAGAGGCAGAGGGAGAGGCCGGAGAGGCCGGCGCCGATGATGGAGACTTCTTTCATGGGCATTTTGATGACCTTTTTCTTCTGTCTTGGCTCTGTATCGAAGAATGGAAGGATGTCGCCTACACTTCATCGTCCACACCTACCGGTATATATATCCATCAACCTCACTAACCCATGATCTGACGCCTCAACACGGAGACATTTCTCTTCAGCTGGATTACTCAGTTGTGCGCCCTCGCTGCTCGACCATCCTCGCACTTTCGTCGATGTCATTGCCCAGAGCGAGTTAGTGACTGCGAGCACTGCCAGGTTGGAGTAGTTGTTGCTACTACGAGGTGAAGTCGAGGAGAGAGGAAGAAGTCGTGAGAATGGATGGAATGTCCGTCTCGGCCGAAGTCAGCCTGTCTCTGCTACATGCTCGGCTTCTCGTTAGCGAAGGGGATAGAAGAGGCTTCAGCGATGCGGCACGCAGCTCTAGTATTCAGTTCGAGCCTAGATCATTCTGCACCTGAAAGCTGAAAGGGAAAATGTCATCGCCACAAGATGGATGCCCGATGTGAAGGTTGTGGTCTGAAGTCATCGCAGCCAAGACTTCACGGTCACGAGTTTTGGTGAGAAGGCTCGTGCTCATCCCGCGCGTCTGCCTTCCGAACGTCGCGTCGAGCTTCCCTCGAGCAGTGGCGAGACATTGTTTTGGCGACTCTTCAAACATCTCCGTCCACCCCCAACACCTTCGCAATGGCCGTCGCTGCAGACAAAGAGAATGTCCCGCCTGCAGTATCCGGCAAGCACCGAGCGCGTCTCTACGGCGGCACACCCCAAACCGCCGACCGCCTGATCAAGCCATTCAAATGCCCTGGCGCAAATACTCCCGTCCGAGTGTCAGAGAAGCCGGCGCGCAAGAGACGCAGGGTCGACTATGCTGGCGGCGATGGCGAAGCTGATGACGGCGACAAGCCGTATACTAACGAAGATCGACTTGCCCTTGCGACTCGAGATGTCAATCGCTTTCCTGTGTTCAAGGCCAAGGACAAGGACACCACCTTTCGCGCTCGCTTCTCCGTACCGCTGAAGAACAAGGATCCTGGAGCGTACAACTCATCAAGACCGCCGCCGTTGCTGGGTTTGCGACAGGGTGCTGTCTTCGTGGCGAAGCCGTTGCATGATCCCAGTGGAGAGTTTGCTATTGTGTTGTTCGATCCGACCGTGGACGGAAAGCCTGAGCAGAAGGCGCTGGAAGAGGGAGAGGGAACGAAAGATGCGGAAGAGCCTACAAAGCTGGATGAACCGTTGATGCACAAGAGCCTGGCAGACATCCTGGGCATCAAGAAGACTGTGGACACAGAGCGACCAAAGGTTCCGGTTGTGATCGATCCTCGCCTCACTAAGGTGCTCAGACCACATCAGATCGAGGGTGTCAAGTTCATGTACAAATGCACTACTGGACTGGTCGACGCAAATGCCGAGGGCTGCATCATGGCTGACGGGATGGGTCTTGGAAAGACGTTGCAATGCATCACGCTGATGTGGACACTGCTGAAGCAATCGCCCGAGGCTGGCAAGAGTACGATACAGAAATGCGTTATTGCTTGCCCTTCAAGTTTGGTTCGCAACTGGGCAAATGAGTTGGTCAAGTGGCTTGGAGAGGGCGCCATCACACCTTTCGCCATTGATGGCAAGGCGTCGAAGGACGAACTCATCATACAGCTACGACAGTGGGCTTCAGCGACTGGAAGAGCTGTTGTTAGGCCTTGCTTGATTGTGTCTTACGAGACCTTGCGCCTCTATGTCGACGAGCTGCGGAACACCCCCATTGGACTCATGCTTTGCGACGAGGGTCATCGTCTGAAGAACGGCGAAAGCCAAACATTCGAAGCACTCAACAGCTTGAACGTGCGAAAGAGAGTAATCTTGTCCGGCACCCCCATTCAGAACGATTTATCAGAGTACTTCGCGCTCCTTAACTTCGCTAACCCAGGCTACTTGGGCACCCGGCAGGAATTCCGAAAGCAATACGAAATACCTATTCTTCGCGGACGCGATGCAGATGGCAGCGACACAGATCGCCAAAAGGGCGACGAACGTCTCAAGGAACTCCTCACCACCGTCAACAAGTTCATCATTCGACGCACGAACGAGCTTCTTTCCAAGTATCTGCCAGTCAAGTATGAGCATGTGGTCTTCTGCAATCTGGCACCCTTCCAACTCGACCTCTACAACTATTTCATCAAATCACCCGAGATTCAGAGTCTACTACGTGGCAAGGGCAGTCAGCCACTTAAAGCGATTGGTCTTCTGAAGAAGCTCTGCAATCATCCTGACCTTCTCAATCTGCCAGAGGACCTACCTGGATGCGAGGACCACTTCCCAGAAGACTTTGTGCCCAAAGATGCGAGAGGCCGTGACCGCGATGTCAAGCCATGGTACTCTGGCAAGTTCCAGGTGCTCGATCGCATGCTTGCACGCATTCGACAAGACACCAACGACAAGATCGTGCTCATCTCAAACTACACTCAAACGCTTGATGTTTTCGAGAAGCTCTGCCGCAATCGCAGTTACGGCTGCCTCCGCCTGGATGGTACCATGAATGTCAACAAGCGACAGAAGCTGGTCGACAAGTTCAACAACCCGGAGGGCGAGGAATTCGTATTCTTGCTTTCTTCCAAAGCAGGTGGCTGCGGTATCAACCTCATTGGTGCCAATCGCCTGGTACTATTCGACCCTGATTGGAACCCAGCCGCGGATCAGCAGGCACTCGCCCGTGTGTGGCGTGACGGACAGAAGAAGGACTGCTTCGTCTATCGTTTCATCGCGACAGGCACGATCGAGGAGAAGATCTTTCAGCGCCAGGCACACAAGCAGTCTCTGTCATCCTGCGTTGTCGACTCCGCCGAGGATGTTGAGAGGCATTTCGGTCTGGACTCTCTGCGTGAGCTTTTCCAATACCGACCTGGCACCACCAGCGACACACACGACACGTTCAAGTGCAAGCGTTGCAAGAACGGTCGACAGACCATCAAGGCGCCGGCAATGTTGTATGGCGACTCGAGTACGTGGAACCACTTCGTCAATGATGGCGAGCAGGGACCCATGGGCAGGATTCAGGATCTGCTGTTGAGGCAAGAGATCACTGAGAAGGACGTCAGCGCGGTGTTTCAGTATATCAGTCATTGAGATGACAGTTAGGTCTTATGATGGTGATGTTGATGATGGCTAGACGTAGACTTGCACAGCGTAAAAGATGGTATTCATCATGAGCAAAACGACGTGCTCTATTCATCATCAAAACGACGTCTTCACCTACCTACTCTACTACTACCCTTCAAGCTATTCAAGTTCAACCCCCACAAACTCCTTCTCCTTCCCACGCACAGCTTCCCCATGCATAATCCCATGAACATAGCACTCCCTACTCAACATAAGCCATCAGTACGTGTATGACCTTAAAGCAAGCAAGACGGGAATGTTCACAAACTCACCCAACAAGTTCAAACCGCCCATTCCCCTTTAACCTCAACACATGCGGCACCTTCGCCCCCGCGAGCAACCAGACTTGATCACCAGGACGCAGGGATCGTGGGCCGAGACCTAGATAGCCGTGTGTCGACGTGGTGAAGAGGATCCGGTGGTCGAGCATTTGGGATTTGCGCACTTCGAACTCGTGTAATGCTCGTGTGCGGGATTCTTTTTCTCGTAAGTCGGCAGGGTGTGTGGTGGTTGAGTCGGAGATGTGTCCGGCAGGGACTAGGGTGTTGGGGAAGAGACTTTTGAAGGGGCGGAGGAGATGTTCTTGAGGACTGGGTTCTTGGGATTGGGTCTCCCGCGATGGTTCTGCTGGGCTGCCCCCTTCAGCGACTGCGCTTGGGACTTCCGCGACTTGGAAGGCGAAATCCGCCATCTCTGCCTGCGCGAAATGGTTGTAGCTGGACACCGCGTTTTCCAAGAGCTGCAGCTTGTATGGTCCTGAGGGTTCGCGCTGGTTGCCGCAGAGAACCGCGGTCTCGAGCATTTTCATCTTCCGCCTGAGGCTTTTGGCGAATGCGAGGCCGTATCGGCGAGGTGCTGGGTGTTGGTGCTGGCAGCAGTCGGCTATTAGGGTTCGCCAGAGGACTTCTACACGGCTCTGTGTTGTTGGGTCTTGATTGCTGGGGGAATGTTGATCTCGGTCGAGGGAAGGCGACGCTGCTTGGTGGGAGGAAGTGGATGCTGGGATCTCGTTGGCCTTTGCAACGGGGTACAGGCGAGGGATCTCGGCGAGGAGTTCCTGAACACAGGAGAGGTCGTCCCTTTCCCAGGTAGCGGTATTGCGCACTTCGTCCACCAGAAGGCCACGAAGGCTGAGCAGCTTAAATGTCCCGTGAGCTTCGCGAAAGGCCAAGTGGATGGGGACGTTTCCGGCCGCAGACCAGGGTGTTATCGATGCGCCCTGGATCAGATTGAGGGTAGGGTTCCTGAGATCGGGCACCCACGAAGGCAACGAAGAGTCACGGCCACGAGTCTCGTCTTCCTTGTACGCGAGGAGATCAAGTGTTCCCGCAGTCTGCAACCCATACACCATAGCTTCTGTGTAGACAGCCTGGTATGACTTCTCATTGCGGTAGTCCGGCACCAAGGGTCCGGCAGAAACGCCAGCGGGCCTTAGCCCAAGAAAAGCGTAGACCTTATCTTTGGGTTCAGTCGCTTCGAGGAGTCTGAATGAGCTGAAGATCCTTTCATAGCTTGTTACTGGATGATCGTAAGCCCCGGCGACACTCTTCGAGCTCCCCTGATTTTCTTTGCTGAAGGTAATTCTCTTGTCGTAGATTTGAAGAATGGCGTACACTGGATCGAAGACAGAATTGATGTCGGCGTCAGTCTCGTACAGATCGGCACGGCCATCGGTCACGGCGAGAGACGCTGCAGCCTTTGCCAACGCGCTGGGTGGCAAAATACGCGATATCCCTTCACCAAAGCCACCAGTCTCTCTCCGGGAATGAACTTCAGGTGTGATAAATCCCCACCACATGCTCCGCAAGAGAAATAGAGCGCTTAGTCCCAGTACATCGAGTGATACTTGTATAGGACCGCACCATATCACCAGCTCTGCAGCCAAGACAGCCTCTTGCACTATCCATGCACGGCGAAACTGGTGACGAGTCAGAGCAAGTGATCAAAGTAACTCGCTTTGCAGGATCTAACACTTACCCATGACCGCTTCAGAAATGCGTAGATGGCAGAAGTAGAGATCCTTTGTTCGAGGCCTAATTCCGCGGAATTGTCGTGAAGTGGATGCAGGCCTCTCACACGGTCCGCTGCGTCTTCACCGAGCTTGCTCAGAGCGCTCAGGCTATATATGGCCACCTTGGAAAAAAGGTCGGCCTCGCCGAGCCAGGCATGGACAATGTTGGCATTACGGTATATTCGATCCATGATCTGCACTTGTTGACTCCTTTCAACAACGTCTTCCTGATTGATACATATCGAATCGATCCAGAGCGATTCCGATCTGTTCCTGCCGCAAAGGCGCGAGAACGGGTGCTCGTCTTTGAACCCCTGCGGGGCGTTGTCTCTTTCGAGAAGCCTATGGAGGAATAAGAAGAGATTCCGTCGAATCCAGAGTAGATGACCGTTTCAGAGAACCGCAGCTTTGTGGGAGTAGTACTCTTCGGAGCTGTCATGAATGGCTTTGCTTTCCGACACCCTTGTTGGTCTTCCCCAGGTGTAGCTAAGGCAGTCGTATGAGAGGGAATCGACGAGATCTACAGTTCTGAGAGAGAAGCCGACAACGGGAAAATTTGAACCATTCGTCGTGTCGACAAGTGGGATCCCGTCAACAAGCTCCTTTCGCAACCCGGAGATCAGGCGGATGGAAGTGTGCGTGGGCAGGCCATCATAAGCGTAGGTCGGACGTTGCTTCGTGTCGAGAACAACGTGATCCTGTGCATCTTGCTTGGTCGACGGACGCCGTTTATTGCTGTCGGTATCCATGTCTGTGTACACGTAAGGTAGGTCGTGGATTGCTGAGCCCCGGCATCATAGGGGAAGGCTTCTGTGAATCAGGCTCTCTGTTGACCGGTCGCCAGATGCGTCAACCACACAGCTGCTCGCCTCGAGCGCAGCTGGCGTGGTACAGCATGCCGAACAGCCAGCCACCGCAAAGCACTGCCCCCAGCAGCTTGCACGCTTTGATGAGGTCCTAATAGTCAGTAAAAGAGGCTGACTGTCACATTGTTTTGCCCATGACGTCTCAAGTCAATATGAGCGGATGGATGGTCTGAGGTCGCGTCTATATTGCATTGGTAGACAAAATCGATCGAGGTGGTGTTGATGTGTGGTCAAGCTGTGGGTGCACGGGGCAGTTGACGCTAGGCGATTCCACGCTAAATGACCCTAGCTTTCCATCAAAATTTGATTGGGCTTTAATGGCTGGCACAGCTCTACTTTCACTTCACCTCCCGAGATCAAATTAATCGATCTCTGCTTCATCTCTCGACGTTCCCTTCAAGACGATAAAACAACGAATTCAATGGCTCTATCGCACTCCAGTCCAATGGCGCTTCGTACATTGCTTCGTACTCCAGCCTCACTACGTCCGCTCCTCCTGCAACCTCGATCAAAAGCTCTATACCATTCAAACGAACACCCAGAGCCACCACCTTATCGCGAAGCAGAATCCGCCATCCTTTCCTCCGCCATCAAGCATGTCCCAGCCCACGGCTTCACACAGCAAGCACTTACTCTCGGCGCGAAAGATGTGGGCTACCTCGACATCTCCACCAACCTCTTCCCTCGAGGCGCGTACGATCTCGTCCTCTATCACCTCGTCACGCAGCGCCTCGCCCTGAAGCACCGCATCCAGTTTCCCGAAGGACAGAACATTGGTGTAGGACGAAAGGTCAAAAGTCTGATATTGGAGCGATTACGAGCCAACATCGACACTGGCGTTCTCCCTCGCTATCAAGAAGCGCTGGGTCTCATGTCCCTCGCCGAGAACATTCCATCCTCCCTTCGCGAGCTTGGACTCCTATCCGACGAGATGTGGTATCTCGCAGGTGACACAAGCGTGGATGCGAGTTGGTACACGAAGAGGGCGAGTTTGAGTGGCGTGTACGCTGCTACGGAAGTCTTTCAGACCACGGTGGATCAGAGCAGTGATATGGAAGACACGGAGGAGTTTCTGGACAGGAGGCTGGAGGAGGTGAGAGTGGTGGGGTCTGCGGTGGGCGGCTTTGGACAATGGGTTGGCTTTCAGGCTGGTGCGATTGTGAATCTGGCGAGGAGTAAAGGTGTGAGGATATGAGGGCGAGTGGCTGGTATTGGTGCGTTTGACGGCCGTGCGCAAAGATGAAACGTGAAGGCCGTTTGTCGAGGCCATGGCTTGGCGGCGTGATGTTGGAGCTCGCACTTGAATTCCACCTTGTTACCTTCTTCCTCCTTCTCATCAACTTCTGTGACCAGCTTGTCGACTACTCCGACCAGTCTCTCACCTTCCCAGACCAATTACTCAGCTTCTTCGACCAGTTTCGCGACTTCATCGACCAGCGCCTCGGCTTCACCAACCTGCTTCTCCTCGACTTCATCGACTCGCTTCTCAACTTCTCCGACCAGTCATCATCCTCTCAGACGGGCTTCACTATTTCTTCGACCAGCGTCGCAGTTTCTGCAATGGTTCCGCAACCGGCTCGACCAACTCCCTTCTCAGCTCCTGCAATGGCTCCGCAACCGGCTCGATCAACTCCCTTCTCGGCTCCCTCCTCAGTTCCCTTCTCGGCTCCCTCCTCAGCCTCCTCACACCTACCACGACACACCGACGACATGACAATTTCGCAATTGATCCGATCGGCTTCCGCCTCGGCTTCGTCACATCCACCACCACCACAGAACAGCGACACGATGGCAGCCTTTCCATTCCTCGATTTGCCACCCGAGATAAGAATCATGATATACCGCGAGCTGCTCGTTGGCGATCTCATGTCGAAGCAGATTGACACCGCGATCTTGCGAGCGTCAAAGCAACTCAAGACTGAAGGCGAGGATGTTCTCTACGGCGAAAACGAGGTGTGGGGCGACTTGATGGTCATCGACGACGACACTGTCTTCAGGACACATGTGCCTGGCATTCTCGACATATGGGGCGGCATTGAGCCGGGTCGGACTACTCTCATTGACCACAAGATCATCAAAGAGCGTCGACCCCTCGGTGCTGTCATGAAGGTCTTCTCTACAATTTACGCCAAGTTTCGTCGATTTCGGTTCAACCTTTGGATCGACGACTGTGAGAGCGAGAGGTAGCTCGAGGAGATGCACTTCCACACTTACATACTTGCCGCCATGCTGGCCCAGACGCGCGCTCGCTTTGTCACCATTAGACTCCAAGACTTGGCAAGTAAATGTAAACCGATTGATGCACTGGAACCACTTGCCGCAATCAAGGCCGAAGTCACCTTTACAACCATCTCAGACGAGCACGTCGCCCGTATCAAAGCACAGGCCCAGAAGTCTAGACTTCAGGCAGCGATATCAAAGAACGTGGTGGCAGAGTGGTACAATACGGATGTCGAAGCGACTGCATTTCTGAACAAGATCGGACCTGAACGCCTTCCAAACGTCAAGTCAGTAGTGGAACAGCTGCGAAAGCAGGTTCACAACGACAAGATGACCGACCAAGAGCTTTGTCGCGCCACGACGAGTTTGAAGTGTGTGGTGGAGGCTGGCAAGAGGCGGATTTCAGGCGTCGAGGAATGGAATAAGAAAGTGCCGTTTTCACCTCGTAAAACGAGAAGTCCACCCTCTCCGGTACGCAGTTCGAAGGCTCGGAGGAGTGAGAACGGAGGTGTGTCGATGGGTCGAGTGACCAAAGGTGGTGGGCAGAAGAGCAGCAGGGGAAGCGCCTCGGTGCTGTTGGGTTTCGATGATTACGTTGACCCAGACTCAAATCATTTTTGCCGCTGTGCGTCGGCCAATGGCTGAAGGAGGGTGGCACAGACGACGACGACGAAACGTCACGTGAGGGCATGTGACGAGGAGAAGTCTCGAGCAAGATCAGTGAGGATTCAGGAGAAGGATGAAATCGGGATGCATGACGACGTAGAGGTCGAATCACCTGGGAATGCGGAATTGATCAATGAACTTGGGGGTGTGGAGGATACTCTGGTATGGACGCAACCTTCCAGGTACTTGAGACTTAATGACCACTCACGAACTTTCCTTTCCACAACCACATGCATTACACAACTTCTTGGCGTTCTCCCACATTGGTGGACGAAACAACTTGGGTGTGCCTCTTCGCGATTCCTTCCGTTTCCTTCTCTCCGACTCTTTACTGGAAAGATGAGCTTTACCCGAATATCTTTAAACATCTCGCTCGCTCCCAACCACATGCATTCCGGCACAGACCAAGCTGGGCCATGACGTTGCTCAAAAAGGAAGTTCTGGAAAAGTGGAGCCTTCAGCTGCCGACAACCTTGATTCAAGCTTAAGCAACGCTCGACCAAAGAGAAGACAGACCAAACAGACAGCCGAGGCTTGTGTTCGGCAGGATGATGAACTGGATGCCATGCGAGTTGACTCGACTGTTTGATGAGTGTTTTTGAACTTCTACAGACATTCTAGAAAACAACGACAGCTTGCACAAGATGTTGTACACTTCCGTTGCTGCAGTTCTTGCATCGGCTGCGCTAGCATGGGCAGCATCGTGTTCTTCACACACCATCCCGGTCACGACGTCTGCGAACAATGGCATTGTGTTAGCACCGAGTCTTGACTTGGCCTCGCTTTCAGGCGTTGAGTCCTTTCTGTCCTCTGGAGCCGGATTTCTAGGACAATTTGCTGGACTGCTGCCCGTGTCCGGCACATATCAAATCGCTGCTAAATACTGCCAGCCGGCGAACAACCCTCAAGCACCGGCAGGGCGATCGAAGGAGGTGCAGTTGCTTCTACATGGCGTACCATACAACTCGGTAAGTTAAGAACGCCCTTAGCCAGTCCTATAAGTCACTGACCTCCTCAAAGAGCTACTGGTTCGGTCTTCCAGGCAATCCAGATGGCACCGCAAAATACGACTGGGTCAAATACGCCACGCAACAAGGCTACCCGGTCCTCGCCATCGACAATCTAGGAGCTGGAGATTCCCAGAAAGCTGACCCGATCACCGAAGTCCAACAACCGCTCCAGACCGCCATTATCCACAAGATCACTCAAATGCTTCGAGCTGGCCAACTATCCTTTGCACCAAAAGCAGAAAAGGTCATCTTCGTAGGACACTCCCTGGCATCCGTCATTGGCAATGGCATCGCCACCCACTACCCTACCGACTTCGATGCCCTGATCCTCACAGGCTGGACCGACACTCTTGTCCAAGCTGGACTCGGTCTGCTCCTGACCATTCTGGAGCCTGCTCAACTCCAAAACTCAGCAAAGTTCGGATCATTCCCACCAGGCTACCTCGCTTTCGGCTCTCGTCAGGGCAAGCGTGATTCGTACTATGGAGATGACGGAGCGTTCAGCCAGGCCCTCGCGGATTGGGACTTTGATCATGAGGATACCATCACCGTTGGACAGATCTATTCTGCTTTCTCTGGTCTCGAACGGGCGGATAAGTTCAAAGGCGATGTCTTTGCTTTGACTGGGCAGGAAGATGTAAGACATACGATGAACGCATCTTGAGTATGACATGCGCTGACTTGATCGCCAGGCGTTCTTCTGCGGACCAACAGGCAGCAGAGCTCTTGGACCGCAGTCTTGTGGCACAGGCAGCACGAGTATCCCGGCGAAGAGCGAGGCATTCTTCCCCAATGCCAACTATGACTACTATTGTAAGTCGACTGATAAGGTGTTATCGTACACGCCGAGCTGACTTGAACTCTAGTGCCCCTGAACACCTCGCACGCAACGACGCTGCATTATAGCAGCCCTGAGAGTATCAGGCAGGCTCATCAGTTCTTGGCTGCGAATGGGTATTGAGCGGGATAAAAGAACTATGGCATCGCTCAAAAGTAAACAGATCAATCAATAATTTGGCCACGAAGGTCTCTCCAACTTTCTTGACGTTTATCTTGAGCGACTTCAGGGTCATTGGTGGATATCAACTTCATTTGGAGAATATTTACGCTAGGTTGTCAATCACTAGGCAGGCCTGTGTGCCGAATCAATGCGATCCAAAGGCTCTTGCTTCGAGCCATTAGTGGCATTGCCCGCATGAGCAGCCTGCAGAACATACTCAGCAGCCTTCTCAGCAATACCAAACGCCGGCATCATTGTGTGACCGCTGTGCAGCGTAGGCATGACACTGCAATCTGCCACCCGCAGGCCCTTCACACCATACACCTGGAGGTACTGATCGACCACAGCCATCTTATCATCCTTCTTGCCCAGCTTGCAAGTTCCACCAGGGTGATACGATGTCGAGGTGTATTTCTTGACGAAGGGCTGCCATTGCTCGTTGGTCTTGTACTTGTGGTGCTCTGCGCCCGGCGGCCAGCCGCCCTTGACGATGTCTTTGGTGCCAGCGCCTTCCATCACGAGCTCGTTGGCGAATCGCACACCCTCAGACATCATGAGGAGATCGCGTCGGTCGTCCAGGTATCGTGGGTCCACATAAGGTGGCTGGAACGGATCCAAGGACTTGATCTTCACCTCGCCGCGAGATTGCAGGCCGCAGAGGAAAGCGCACATCGAGAAAGCCCACTGGCCTTCCTTGGGGAAATCAGTGTACTCCGGCGGTCCGCCGTAGCAGATTGTGTTGAAGAACTCCATATTTGGTTGGGTCTCTGTGAGGTCCATTGGATCGCGGCCCTCTCGTCGAGGGAAGTTTCGCCACTCTTCGCTGTCTCGTTCGAGGCGGTCATTGAGCCTTGCGAAGCCGAATGCACCGAATGGGAAGTTTGCCAGCCAACCGGTCTTCTTCTCCATCCATTCTTTGTGACCGTTCTCGTAGGCGTTGGGGTCGTGGTTGACTCTTGCGTCGTCTGTGAGGTCCGCCTCTTTCAGTTCGTAGTACATGAAAATCAACTGGTGGTCTTGGAGGTTCTCTCCCACACCTGGCAAGTCAACCTGTACTGGGACGCCTACAGCTTCTAAATCCTTCTTTGGTCCGATGCCAGAACGCATGAGGATCGCGGGCGAGCAGTATGTGCCTCCGGCAACAATGACCTCGCGGCTGGTGTTTACCCTGGTTCGGTTGCTATCTTTGTCAACGTATTCGGCGCCCTTGGCCTCCAGCGTGCCGTCGGCACCACGCTCCAGGATGACCTTGTCCACCGTGGCGTTGCAGATGATCGTGACATTAGACCTTTCCTGATCGGCAGTGATATAATCTGCTGCCGTTGTTCTCCTTCCTTCATATGTAGTTCTCATGGCATGGCCGCAGCCATTAGGCGTCTCGCCGGTGCTGAACATGTCGGGTCGGTAAGGCAGTCCTTTTGATTTGAAGTTCTCGAACATGCGCTCGGCGATCGGGAGAGGTGGTAAGGCTGGTGCAATATGGAGAGGGCCGTCATATCCGTGAGCATCCTCAACGTGAGGGAACCACTCTTTCGGATGGAACGTCTCAGCCTTGGGAAATGTTAGTGTGTTCTTCTTGCTATAGCCATCCTCCTTACCTTCTTCATGGCCCTGAACATCTCATCGCCACTCCATTCTGGGAATCCCCAATCGTCGTAATCTTGCTTGACTCCTCGGACGCAGATCGTTCCGTTCGTGCCACTACTACCACCGAGGAGGCGTCCTCTGGGCAAATTGCAAACCTTGCCATTCAATCCAGCTTGGGGCGTCGATACGATATTCCAGTCTGTGTGCCCGGAGTGATTCTTCGTCCATCTGGAAGTACTCTCTCAGCAAACTGAACGTACAGCGGCGACTGGTAGCCTTACGCTCCAGGCATATGCACATCATCCATATCTTTGCTGGGATTTCCAGCTTCTAGCACAAGGACCTTCAGGCTGGGGTCTTCGGACAATCGTCCAGCAATGACCGGACCACATGTTCCACCGCTGTCACATGTCAGCAGCTTCAAGAATACTTGGACTACAGAAGTCCATACCCGCAAATGATGTAGTCGTAAGTTTCTGCCATGTTGTCGACGCCCAGGTACTGCAGTTGGCTGTACTGTTCCAACACACCGGACACCTCAAACTTCACATATGAGTAGCACAAACGATATAAGCATGGCACGTCTGAGGGTACGACACCACACGACCAGCTCTCGTGCATGAAGCGGGGGATCGCGAAGCATAGCAACGAGCTGTCGCGGACCTGCTCGAATCGAGGCCTTGCGTACGGTGCGCTACTGGGATCCAATGCTTAGCTGTCAATCGCCCGGATGAATCTGGCAGTTGATCAGTCAAACCGAGCGCAGGTATCCAATGAGGGGCGCGCCATCCATAATTCTAGACAAGTCCATTGATGGTTTGTCCAACGGAGGGCTACTCGTGAGCATTTCCGTTGAGCCGAAATTCCCTCCATCATTCCCGAAGGAGCAAGCTCATGTTCTTCGTGTCAGCCATACCATCATTGCACATCTGCGGAGGCAGATCGACTTGCAGGATGCACGATGAGGGGCGAAGCTGGGGAACCTTGGGGAGGAACCCACGCCTGCTCCTGCTCCTGCAGGACACAGAGCCTCGCCCGAAACTCGCTACGACTAAACATCACACGGGTTGCCTGAGTTGTACAAAACGCTCGAGGTACAGTAGCAGATATGGCTCGCGTACGCATGTGACGCCTCGCTCGCTATAGCAAGCTTTTCACCATCTTCCTCAGATCAGGCTTTGAGACCTTGCCGCTTGTGGTCTTGGGCCACTCGTCTGGTGCTTTGCCATCTCCAAGCCAGAAGAAGTACCGGGGCGCCTTGAACCTTGCGAGCTTCTCTCTGACGAATGCTCGAAGTTCGTCGTCGCTGGGTTGCTTGCAGCCTTGCCTCAGCTCGACGAAAGCCCCAAGTTCTTCGCCGTACTTCTCGTCTGGCACGCCAACTATTGAAGCTTGCACCACGGCTTCGTGTTCGACGAGTCGGTCTTCAATCTCCATGGGTGAGATGTTCTCGCCGCCGCGGATGATTAAGTCTTTGATGCGGCCAGATATGATGAAGTATCCTTCTGGGTCGAGAAATCCTTCGTCGCCGGTGTGCATCCATTTTCGAAGCACAGCGCTGTGAAGAGTGTCAGCAAATGCCATGATATCTGACTTGCGCTGACTTACCCGTCGCCAAGGCCTCCGACACCACCAGGCTCCAAATCTTCCTGGTGATATCGAAGGGTCTCGTCAGTTTTCTCCTTGTTGTTCAAGTATTCCGACATTTGTCTAAAAGCAAATTGATCAGTAAATGGTCCGAGGAAACGATCAAGACACATCACTGTACCCGTATCCGCTAGCAACAATCTCTCCCTTCTCGCCCCATGGGAGTACTTTGCCTGTATCAGGCTTGACGATCTTGGCAACGAAATGCGGGAATAGTCTGCCTGCAGTCTTGATCCTCTTTTCGTAGGGATCGGTCTCATGCATCATAGTCACGAATGAGCTCAGCTCAGTCATGCCCCAACACGTGTACAGCCTTGGGACTGGGAATTTAGTTACCTGTTTGGGACGTGAGGTCAGCAAAGATTCAAGACCCGGCGGAGATCTTTACGGACGATTCGTCTGAGAAGCTCGGGTGGCATAGCTGCCCCTGCAATGATACCAAACTTGATGGTCGATCTAGTGCAGCCAATGTTAGCTACCGTATGCGGACTCTCGCCCCGGGGGGTTGAACCTGTCGATGGAGTCGAACTCTGGTTTTTCCATTTCAGTGACAAACATCGTTGGCACTCCGTAGATGGCCGTGCACTTGTAGTCCTGAATACACTGCAAAGTCTTGCTGGCGTTGTAAATTTCGCTTGGTAGAATAAGAGCAGAGCCTGCAACAGTGCTCGAGCTAATGCCTGTGTGGAGTCAGTCATCTTCGTCAAGAGGAAGTCTTTTCCCAGCATACCGACTATCATGCCGAAAGAATGGAAAAGTGGAACAGGAAGACAGATACGATCCTGGTCAGTCATCCGGGTTTGTTGCCAGATGTAGCGACCACAGTTCATGATGTTGTAATGTGATAAGGCGACAGATTTTGGTAAGCCGGTGCTCCCTATTCGCAAGCTGTGAGCGATAACTGTCATTTCTTTGCCATTTTGTTCGCTCACCTGAAGTGAATTGCACGTTGACCATATCGTGCGGCGATATCGAGACCGAAGGCAGACCAGCCGAGCCAGCCTGTGAAATGTACTCCTCGTACTTTACAGATCGATCTAATGGCCCTGAAAGCACATACTTGCCATCGATGTCGTCCATAATAACGAATTTCTTCACCGAGGGAATTTCTGAGGCGATTTTCGGTAATACCTTCGTGTTGTCGTAGTATGCAAACCCTGGTGATGCTACCATCATCTTCGGCTCTGTCTACCGTCAATATTGAACTGTCAATTGTCATGATATTTGCCTCTAACTCACTAACGATCTTCAACAAGGCCAACATCTCCGATTCTGCGTATGCATAATTGAGAAGCACCAGCGCCGCACCGAGCCTTGTGCAAGCGAAGAATGTCTCGAAATACTCGACACGGCTTCCAAGAGAGATTGCCACAAGGTCTCCTTTCCCAATTCCATCATTGGCCATTGCCTGCGCGAGCTGTTTGCTTCTGTCCTGAAGCTGTCGAAATGAAACAACCCGTCCTTGCTGTGGATGGGATATGACCGCCGGTCGTTCGCCTCGAACTTCTGCATGGTGGTCCAGTAATTCACTGAAGGTCATCGTCAAAGGTATCGGTGTCGCTGGGCCATACACAATGGACGGCGGACGCTCATCGTCCGAGCGAACCTCATTCTCGGTTGTCGAACCCATTGTCAACTGTCTTTGCTATTGCTAGCAGTCAAGTGTTGTGTTTAGTGTAGCGGCTTGCCAAGATACGACCTCAGTCTCTGCGATTAATACCACTGTGTGTACTGTTCAGATACGAGACTCCCGTCACAGCTTTCGTGCCTGCCACGGTCCTCCAATCAAGATGGCCACTGATGCCCAGCCACTTCAAACCAGCCTGGCGATGACAATGTCGTCGAGGATGGTCGGCAATCTTGCAAGTTTCGAGACATCCATTGATCCGGACGCCGTTCCAGGTCGACTGCGGTCTGGAATGACCACTATCAGATCGGCGAGATGAGGTCGTGGTACAGCGAGGGATGTACCTTTGGGCTCGAGACGAGGCACTCATGTGGCTGGCAGGAGCGAGAGGGGGATCAACGCGCTACTCCGCACGCCCAGCCAACCGATACCGACCACCAGGAAAGCAAATCGAGCAGCATCATCATCCTTCCGAACTCGTGATGAGAAGTTCGTGACGGCAACGCGTCGACCTCGAAGTAGAGTCTGACATCTGACCGATGCTGTCATTACACCATGCGGACTTCCCAAGCCCATATCGCTGGCGTTGGCCTTTCAGTGTCGCGGGAGAGCAATGACAGCCTCGATAAACTGGCCATATCAGCTGCAACCAAAGCACTCTTGGACGCGGGCGTTATATATGGCGAAGTGGACGAATGCTTCGCTTGCTTCGATCATGACTTGCGTATAGCACCATCATCCTTCGACACTCTTGGCATGCAAGGAGCGCCAATATGTGAAGTGAACAATTCTTTCGGCCTGAACGCGGCAGCTCAAAGTGTATGGTCACGGCGTGCCAATTGCTCGCTGGTAGTGGGGATTGACGGAGTGAGTTTGTTGAACAGTCGACAACGTCTCTCGGATGAAGCTGACCCCCTCCGAGGCTGCTAGCAACAAGACCAATCGACAGGTAATTTTCTTCGCTCCGTCAACGGAAGCATCATATTGACTCCCGGCAGAGCGCTATAGTTGCTGTTGTGATTGTGTCGGATCTTTTCCTCACCTCTCATGCCTATCTCAAAGATGGTGCGGTACGCATCCTTGGAGCTGCTCTCGTCAGTCGCTTCCACTCAAGGACGAAGGGCGGCGAAGATAGTCCACGCAAGATCAAGACCGCAGTCAACTCTGCCCTGTCGCAGGCTAAGATCGATTTCAAGGATGTCCAGGTGCTGGACTTGGTTGGCTCCGGATTAGACAAGGCTGCACTCAAGACGGTCGGCGATGTGAGTCGCAAGTCTTCGCCAAACAACCCAGTATCATCAGATGCAACGACTGGATTTACCAACCTTTGCGGTGTTGGTAAGTTCGCGTATGTCCTGAATCCGATCAGTCGTTCTAACAAAACAAACAGTCTGGCAACTTAGAGGATGGGCGGGCGATGCAGGTGTTGAAGTTCGCAACGCTTTGCAGCTAACGCTGGACGCTGCCGGTGTTCTTGGAGTACTTGTGCTCAGTCGCTCTGACGGGAGACCAGCGCTGAAGTGGAGCGAGGTGGAGAATGTGAGGGATGGTCGAGAGCGTCTGGGTTACAACCCAGCAGTGGAATCACGGAACATCTCGCGCGAGGACATCGAGAATGTGAGGGCGAGAGAACACTTCGTTCCTGCCAATATAGATATAAAGCAGCTTGGTTTCGCCGATAAAGGTGGCGATCGAGCTGCGCTCGCGAGGCTGTAGCTTGTTAGCTCCACTCGAAGCAGCTAGACTGAATGAACACCAATCACCCAGACGCAATGTTTCTCTTCACTCGAATTTTTCACACACCGATAGCCAACGGCATGATGTTATCCTTCAGATAATCTCGCAAGTAGGGGCGTGAATTCGGTTGCGTTATCGTCAGATCCCGTGACTGCATGGGTCGAGCCCTCGGTTGTACATAAGGCTCAGCGCTCCCCGCAAGTGAGCAGCTTCCTCGACCTGGGACCAGCGAGCGTCAAGACATTATCGTCAACAACTTACACTATTGGAGACCGCCAAAGTCTGGCGTTCATTTTTCTCTGAGCAACCGCAGTCATGTATGGAGCCGCCATAATTGCCCAGGCTCTTCATGATCTTGGAGTAAAGGTCATCTTTGGCCTTCCTGGACTGCCAGTCACTGACATCGGCCAAGAGGGACTTTATCGGGGCATTCGGTTCATCAGCTTCCGAAACGAACAAGCTGCTGTATATGCCGCCACGGCATATGGGTATCTGACTGGGAAGCCAGGAGTTTGCATCTGCGTGGGAGGACCAGGTGTTTTCCACGTTATGGCTGGGGTACGTTAGACTCCGAAGACACTGAGTTGGGATGGGCGTTGACATTGATTAGATTCCACACGCAACCGCAAACTCCTGGCCATTACTGGTGCTCGCTGGATCGAGCGAGACGCACAATGGCGGCAAACAGGCATTCCAGGAAGTCGACGCCATATCTCTCCTAAAGCCCCACGCCAAACTCGCCGTGCGTCCGCATTCCGCAGAGACCATACCGAAATCAATCAAGGACGCATATCGGACAGCCATGTTCGGGCGTCCGGGACCAGCATTCGTCGATTTGCCAGCTAATCTGATTCTTGGCCACTACGATATCCCTCGACATACTCCGACACCGTACAGTGAGCCACCGATGTCTGTCGCACCAGATAACAGACTTCGAGCCGTAGTCGATGCCATCAAGTCGGCACAGGCGCCCCTGGTGGTTATAGGCAAGGGCGCAGCGTATGCGCGTGCTGAGCGTCCAATCCAGACGTTGGTTGAGAAGTGAGTAGTTCGGCAAGCTCAACGTGTTGATTGTGCGGTCGCTAATGAAGAAAGAACTGGGATACCTTTTGTTCCAACGCCCATGGGCAAGGGAGTCATTGCAGATTCCCATCCGTCGAACTACTCCGCAGCTCGTTCAGTAGCCCTGAAGGAAGCTGATGTTGTGCTCGTGCTCGGTGCCCGGTTAAATTGGATTCTGTCATTTGGCCTGCCTCCAAAATGGAACCCAACCGCAAAGATTATACAGATCGATATCAGTGCAGACGAACTTGGGCAGAATGGCGGCAATCAATCGTTGAGTCTTGTTGGTGATGTTGCTTTGGTTGTGGAGCAGATTGTAGACCGCTTGGCCGGATGGAGATGGGAAGGTCGATCGTCTGCCTTCTCTCGCAGCCTCCAAGCTGGTAAGGAAAAGAACGAAGCAAGGGCGGCCAAAAAAGCGGCGGTTCAGCAGCTGCCCATGCCATTCGAACGGGCCTTCGATGTGATGAGAACGACCCTCAACGAATTGTCGAATCCAGCAAACGGTGACATCGTTTATGTCTCTGAAGGTGCAAACGCAATGGACATTTCCCGATCGATCTTCACCATGGAGCACCCTCGAATAAAATTGGATGCTGGCACTTATGCCACCATGGGTGTGGGCATGGGTTATGCGGTAGCTGCCTATACAGCCTACAATCTGACAGGCGAAGGCTCGTCAGGAACTAAGGACCACAAGAAGATTGTCGCTATCGAAGGTGACAGCGCCTTTGGTTTTTCAGGAATGGAAGTCGAGACAATGGCCCGGTTCCAGATGGACATCCTCATCTTCGTGATGAACAACTCCGGCCTCTATCGAGGAGATAGCGATGCATCCGACAGATGGCACGAGAAACGAAGGAACACAGTGGCTGGAACGACGAAAGAAGGAGCCGGGCTCACTGCGTGGTCTCTAGGCTATGAGACCAAGTATCAGAAGTTGGCCGAAATGGCTGGCGGAATTGGTTTCGAAGCCCGCACGCCAGAAGAGCTCAGGGAAGCGACCATCCAAGGATTCAAGGCCAAGGTTCCAGTGGTAGTGAATGTTATCATCGATCAACAAGCGGATCTTCCAATGGTAAGTCACTCTGTAACACTATCGTCATTCGACAGCGTTGTCATGCTCACACATTGCAGGACTTCTCATGGCTGGATATGGCGCCACCAAAGAAGGAGGCCAAGTTGTGATGTCTCGCCCGTTACGAGAAGAATTGCAGTTCTCTACGCCATTGTGCGCTGCACAATTTCTATAGTAATCTCGGAGATTGTCAAATTTGCGTCAGAAGCAAGAGTAAAACCTCAATGGATAGAAGAGTCTCCGTGCAATAGAATACCAAGTCTCATTCCACAATTTCCAGTTTCGGCCTCTTCGTAGCTCATGACGAAATGCCTGTCCAGTAGGGTCGATAGGGATATGATGCAGAACCATGTAAGATTTATTGACATTGAGACGTGTGTCGTGAGAGTGCCCCAAGAGTAGGGTTGAAAGTCTGTGGTCAAAGAAACGCGCGACGTGTGACCTTTGTTTTGACCAGTCTGTCGACATAGCTATCCGTATTCATTCACTTACTAAGAAGCACGGGCCATATGCCAAGACTTTCTCTCATCTCAACAATGTTGCCATCACAGCACCAAATAACGCACAACAATGTAACTACTCTCACAATCACGTAGTTTCATGGCACATGTGACTGTTTTCAAGGTCATGCTATTACGTTAAACAACGAGATTCTCGCGGCAAGGGCGGGCTTCTCTTGAATTTTGTTGGACCGCGACGTACGCTAGTCCTGGGGAAGAGAGAAAGAGCAGGGTCTTTCCTGCCTGAATAGGTGCTTCTTTCCCTCTTTTTTCACAGTCGTGCTACCCAGTAATGGTTGAAGAGTCCATGGTATCGTCGTAGACCGTAATAGTACCGTCATCAACTGCTTAAACAGACCTCACCTCCTCCAGACATCACGGTTAAGAAGTGTTGAGAGCCATCTCAGTCAATTTTTTGATCCTAAAATTGCTTTCAGTCTTCCTCGCTGTCCGGCCGTCGCACAATCCCTAGACTGGACTCTTATCACACACCGCCCGAGCGACCGCATCTCCTCATCACAGGATTTCCCTATCGTTTGAACGTCTCCTGTTCTTTCATTCTTTGCACATTTCTACTCTCCGAAGGAAAACAACTCTCCTGCCATGAAGACACCGCAGACCCATGATGCCGTGCTCCCAGCATTACCGCCTTGACACGCAAGGGAATGGACACTGCATTATCTTCCCCTACCGCTTATCCTGGACGTGATATCGTCACTGGCCCTCCACTGGCCCTGGGATCTTTCTGGATGATGTTTCGTACTCCTTGGAACCACACTCAACGGCAATTACAATCGCTGCACTGCCGTCGCCAAGGGCTACCGAAACCGTGCGACGGTGAGCGCAGCTGGATCTTTGAAATTCAATTCCTTGACACCCACCTAATGGATTGAATCCGTTCAAATTCGAGATAGCACCAAAGGCCCCCAACATCTTCCTATCGAGACCTTTCCAAGGTGAAATCGTGGATCCCCTGGGCCATGAAGCGATACCGTGAGCAAGCTTCACGCCGACACACAGCTTGCCTCAACACCTCCTCCCGCCCACTCGCTGTGGGTCCACCTTGTGACAGATTCGTATAGCCGGCCGATGTAGTTATGAGACTTCCCTGGATTGTCAGCGTTTTCTTACGAGGGAGTCCTCGCTTACCTTGAGCTGCAGCCGCAACGCCTGGGCAACTCGAATCAGAGGACAGGATACGTGCCAGTGTCGATGCATGAGCTACGATCGTCCAGTTGAGAGCTTCATAGCGCCATTGCTACTCTGACGCCATCGCCGCGGGCCCTCTTCGCAACCATGAGTACAAAAGCAAAGAGGGGAAACCAGGCCTGCGAGATTTCTCGATCATCCCTTTTCTCTCGAATTTCAACCTTTCTACCACCAACTCAGACCGATTCTGTACCTCCTCTCAAACAAACTCGACACAAACTCTTTTCCCGCTCCTCTCCAGCTGAACCCTTGCCAAGATGTCTGCCGCAACCGCTACCACCACTGCTGCCGCTGACCCTCGTCACGCTTCGTACGACTGCAAGACTCCCAGCGAGCACATCGCCCTCTACGACAAATGGGCTGCCACATATAATGACGATGTCATGGGTCCATCGACCCTCTACGTCGGACCAAAGCTCGTTGCTGAGGCAGTGCTGGCCAACAATGGCAAGATTGACGGAGCCGTACTCGACGCTGGCTGCGGCACTGGACTCTCCGGTGTGGCCCTCGCTCAGGCTGGTGCCAAGGTCATTGACGGCATCGATCTCTCCCCTGGAATGCTAAAGATCGCCAAAGACACTGGCGTATACCGCGACCTCTGGCCTGTGGACATGACCAAGCCAATCGAACAACCAGACGAATTCTACGACGTTGTCACCTGCGTTGGCACTTTCACCACTGGCCATGTCGGCCCAAGCCCCGCCCTGCCAGAACTTGTGCGAGTCTTGAAGCGAGGTGGTCTCGTCGTTGCCACTGTCCTTGACACTCTTTGGAAGCCAGAAGGATTCGAAGCCGAAGTTGAACGCCTGCGACAAATTGGAGCAGTCGACGTTCTCAGCACAAAGGTCGACGACTACAGGAAGGGTGACAACGCTCGCGCAGTTATGCTCGTGCTTCGGAGGAAGTAGTGAATGACAGGATGGCGGTCGTTCAGCTTCACTATGGCACTCCGACTTGTAGGCCTCAACGCCAGACGCAAAATACAATTGGGCTGGGCCCACAAGCGAGCCACTTTGGCGATGATAACATCGCACTAAAAATAAAAGCATTTACTTGACGAGGGCAGGATCTCATCACGATTAAAAGTATACCACAAACTAAATGCAAAAGCCGATTTCAATGCAGACCTTGATGTTCTTTCTTTGCGTCTTTGATCTTTGAGGCGTCGGTTGCTATTTCGAGGAAAAGATTGTCTCGATGCACCAGAGGCACAGGGCAATCGCTCAACAGCAAAGGCTATCCAGTCGATTAATCTGAAGCCGGTGGTGGTTGTGGCACAGGCAAAATGCCTGGTGGGCGCAGCGCGTTCCAGTAACCGCCCAGCAGAGGACCGGCAGCATATATAAGCAACACTTGACCTCAGACAACTTGATGCTGCTAACACTCTCCAACAACACAATGGACAACAGCGCTCCTCGAACTCAGACCGTTGCTGAGGAAATATCACTTGTCGTCTTCACTTTGCTTCACAGCCTTGTTTATCGCGCCAACGCAGAGGACTTGAACCTCGCAGCCTACGATGGCGTGAGGAAACCCATCATCAGGACCTATCGCCTGGTCTTTGTTTCTGCTTGGGTACTGTTCATGTTATTCGTAGGTCCATGAAGCTTTGTGTGGTCTGGTCATGATGTTGACTCCCTGCAGATGTTCCAGGCCGGTTCGACCATTGTCTGCCGGGCAATGATTCAAGACAAACTCAAGCAGCACGATGGATGTCTTTCCGCTCAAAAAATCATTGAAAAGAACGAGAAATTTCTGGAAGCGGAAGTAGTAGACGACTCGGATGCAACGAGCCCCGATCTACGTCGTCAACCAAGGCCTGGTCGGATCGTTCAGATGTTTCGACGATGCTTGCGTGGATGGCTCCTGAGCACGCTCTACTACAGTGTGCTGTTCGGCCTCTTTTGTCTCTTCGACGTAGTCCTGGAGCTTCAGCACGAATATATCAGATTTTTGGCATTCATGTGCTGCTCGGTGCTATGCGCGCCACTTCACATGCTTTGGACGCATACCTTGATCTCGTCGCCGTCAACTTTGCCGGACAGGGTGCAGTCTTTTTCTTCACTGGGAAAACTTGGCTCCCTCCGAAACCTGGGTTCGTTGCTGCTTGCATCGCTGGCTTACTCCAGCTCTCAAATCTTATGCACAGCTGGCCCTGTCCTTACCGCAGGCCTACTACCCTGGGTGTCTGGAGATGAGGATCATTTTGTCACTGACGCCATCTCAATTCTAGTATCGCGAGTGGTCGCTTTTACATACGTCCATGTGCCTGCGGCCATCTTTCTGACCCGTGTCGAGTGGTCTTTGATGCCAGGTCACGAAACACCATCGGTTTCGGACCCATGCGGCGAAACACTTCTCGTCGGCGAGCCACTCCTTGGTCATCAACCGACACGTCAGAGGAGGTTCCTGGAGATTCTGTCGTCGACTACTAATTTTCCCGTCTTTCGAGAGACTCTGAAGGTCTACTTCACATTCATTGCGGCTCTTGTATCTAGCATCGTTCTCTTCATTTTCTGTTAGAGTCCGCAGGTGATGGAAAATATGGATGCCGTGAATGTGAAGCGATAGATCGGGAGTGGTATACCGCAGCAGAGATATCGAGAGTTGTGAGGAAAGGGTGCCTTGGTCGAGGTCGGAGCGGAGGTAATAGCAGATACGTTTCTTTTGTACATCTCGAAAACGTTCCCTATCTCTCAAACATCATTATCTCTTGCCTCAAAATCCGTCCCATGGAGGCAACGTAGAATCGTACAGTCACTTGATGCGAATATCAGTCGCAGAGACCTGTCCTTTGTTAAGCCGATCGATCATCGAACCCAGCAATACATCAGACGTTTCTCCACCCGTTTCGCGGACCATAGCATGGCCAAGTATGACATGAAAGTCGCCGTCTTTATGCAGAGTGAAGACTTCATCCGCGCCGAGGAAGATCCAGATCTCGTCTCCCGCCTCTGCTTTTCGAACGGTGGCCACTTTGCGACCTGAATCAGTAATGAAAGTCCGAAAGTGTTTTGAAGCGTCCTCTGCAACCATCACGATGAGCTTGTCGACGAACAAGGCTCTGGCCTGCAGGATCCCGTTTGGGGGGAAGAAGACAACCGGACTGCTGGATTGGGAAGCACGCGTGCCCGGCCCACCGCCACCGTAGCTATATCGAGCCATGGGGAACTGGATTTGGCGAAGGAATTGTCTGTATGGTGAGTCTGCGTCTTCTTTGCTTGACCAGGTGGGAACCCAGGATGGGATCTGCCCTGAATTGGTGCCGTTGCTTCTGTCTTCGCATGCGATTGCGAGAATGTCGAGCCGATGTTCGTTCTGAATGACGGCACGAGCGGCATCGATCAAGATGGATCTTGTGGGCAGCGAGTAGTCTATCTTGATGTCGTACCGACGATTCGCCAAGTTCAGAAAAGCATAGAGTCTATCCCTTGTGTCTGTGACTTTGTAGTTTCGTGCCTGCTTCATTAACGTCGACAAAGGAGTGGTCGCCATTTCATCTCTTGCATGGAGTTCCGATCTGGCAGAAAAGTGATTGATGATCCTACTCCAGTAGGGTGTCAGGTCCGACAGGTGTTGACTATGTCGTCGAAGGTATTCTCGCTGGTCTTTGGCAACGTTCGGGTCCTTCGGTGGAGCATCATCACCACGGCCAAAGCATCCACAAAACTTGGATGAAGGTGCCTTTTGTCCCTCTTGATGCTTAAGCATGTTGAGCGTGAGAGTGCAGAACTTAATGTGCGTTTCCCGCCGCTGCTCATAGAGAGAAATCAGGTCGTGAAATGACTCCGCTGAAGTCCACAGTCCCCCAAACAAGAACGCAACATTCTCCGAAAGCAAGAATTCGACATATCCCCAAGCTCGCTCCCACCATGGACTGGTGATGATGCTATGGATGTTTTCCCATGCTGAGAGCTGATTCTTAACGACGGCATCGCCCTCAGAAGCAACGGGGTAGTCTTGCCGAGGCTGAGAGATGGCAGTGTAGCTCATCGCAATTCTGCCAGGTGGCGAGCTACTCGACTGCGGCGAGGTGATCTGTTGATGATGCCAGTGCCGCCAGGATGTCCAGTCCTTGAAGCCGAACTTGATATCCCGATCCAGTGGAAGCCAGACCAGAACCTGCTGAGCATTTCGGTATATATCTCCAGCTACAGAGACTTGAACGCTCTTCTCTTCGTCGTCTTTTTGATTGATGCATAGTTGGTCGATCCATATCAAGACATTAGGTCGTCCTGGCTCAGAAGATCGGAAAAAGGTGACGAAATCGTCGAGTGCTCTCGATAGGTTGGCTGTTATGCTCAAAGTGCGATCATCGACTTCAATTGTTCGCCTGTTCTTCGGGTCGCCCCAGGTGTAGGAGAGCGCAAAGTACTGATCGTTTTCTATAGATCCTTGGGTCACGGAATATCGAGCTGAGTTGCCGACAAGGCCAATTTCCAGGAGCTTGATCTGTCTTTCCGCTCTACTAAAATACTCGTGCTGGAAAGTGGACATGGCTGCCAGATCTCAGCAGTACATCTTGAGTCGTGCGCCGCGAAACAAAACCGGGCATAGTCAAAAGCATTGCGACGCCTTCTTGAAGGTGTCGCGGCACACGTTTCAAATCCATCCAGATTCTCAATTTCTCCGCAGTGTCGATGGTGTATGCAAGCCACACGAGCAAACATTGGACAAAGCTTTGTTAAGCTTTCGAGATTGATTCGACGTGGATGAACCCCTCAGGCTTCTTGTAAGCATGATAGAGCTATGCAGGGATCGTGTGAGCACATGATCATCTTGTGGGCGGAGGTACACTGCACTTCATCAGTACCGTGGAAGCAACGTGGCAAAATTGATGATAAGGCAGACTGAAACCGAGGCTGCATTCTGGTGATACCGACAACGCATGCAAATCGTTGCTATTGCGAGGACTACCTTGTCTCTCAGTGATGTCTCATCCTCGCACGTTTAGACCGCCGAGCGAAGTAATTGCGCGCCAGCGCACATGTACCTGCAAAGAGGAAGAGTGCGAATAACGACATCGACCAAGGAGCCTCCGCTGGATGAGCTATTGGCAGTTTCGGCCAGTCTTTCTGCAGAAGCTGAACATTGGTCCAGTGCCTAGGTCTTTGCACTTCGAATACTTCAGACTTCGCCAGAACTGAGCCCACGGAGTCAATGGCCTCAACATAGATCATCTCTTGATAGCCGTCATCATGGAAAGACGTCTCGAATCCAGACCTTCGTATCTCGCCTCGGAGGACCGGTCGTTGTGATATTGGATCCATGGAAAAGAATCTCCAGAATGAGACCTCAGTGGCTCCGTTCCAGCTAACGTAGCAGACAGTCGTGGCCTTAGCAGAGCTACTTCCAAACGCAAATGCTTTCAGCACTGGTGGCTCTGTAGGCTTGCCAGCGAACTCGAACTTGTACGAGCGATAGGTGAAGAATCGGTCGGTCGTGAAGTGGGCTTCCGTGAGCAGTCGACCATCGGCAGCATGCTCGGAGATGTACGAGTTATCGCTCCAGCCCACGAGAAGATTACCATTAGGTAAATGCTGGAAGTTGCCTCTCAGCCGTGAGAGTTGATGGTCTGGTCGCTCGATTCGTTGGACGACACGTGCTGTCTTCGAGATCTTGTCGAGCTCTACGATTAGTGCTGAGGAGTACGAAGAGGTCTCATCGTCCATATCGGAAGCGTTGTCGAGGAATGACACGACCTCTGTGTTGTCATTGTGGCTAACCCACTGAGCGTCATGTTGTCTGGAGAAGTTGAAGCCATCGAGTTTGAATGTTGATCTTTGGCCTCCGAATCGCCAGAGAATCTCTCCATTTTTGCCAGAAATCTTGTAGATGCAATCAGTGAATCTAGAGCTCACAAGATAGTCACCACCGGAGTTCTTGTTGATCGAGTTGCCGTGACTAGAGATAAGTAAGTATTCTGAGCCTGTGCCTAGCCTCCAAATGAACTTACAACCAGTTCCAGCTGAGTGGATATGGGTTTTCAAGACGTTCGACTTTGACGCTGCTTTCGGAGACCGCCACATGCTTCGACGCCCACCACTCGAATGTGGTCTTGCCCGTCTTTAGATCCATCTCTCGAAAGCCCGTGTCGAGGATCCACCCTTGTTTGACACCATCGATCCCCAACTCCGAAACGTCGACATACTCCGATCTGTCCATGAAATGGAGCGCACTTTTCCCATTATCGATGATGTTTAGCTCATGCATGTTGAAGTCAGGGGTCTCTTGGGGAGCAGTGATATTCTGTATCGCATTGTAGGATGCATCGAGAACGATCCCGTGGCGAATCGGTCCATGGCTGTAAGCACAGAATACAGCAGATAATGCATCTTCGTCACCGTTGCGATAAACTCTGAAGTCGCAAGTGTTGTTGTTCCGGAACGCACATGCTCCAGACCAGATCAACTCCTGGTTGCGATTAGCACATTCCCCAAGCAAAATGGTATTCTCATACCCCTGACGTATCATAGATGGCAGGGCCGGTCTGGCAAGGCTGGTAATATTTGGACGGAAAGTACTCCTGAGCAAGTTTTGCGTACGGCGCGATGAACCAGTAGCCTGGAGCAAGGCTTCCTGACTCGTACACAGTGACATTGAAGCGAGGGGCTTTGATCTCTGGACGCTGTTGTGAACGTTGTTCAGTATAACTCATGCATGAAGCGCATATCTGAGAACATACCGTGACAAAATTGGTCAAATCATCATCGTCGCCAATGCCAAGCTCAAAGGCGGCGTGGACAAAGCAGCTTGACGCCAGCAAGGCTGCCAAAAGCACACTCTGTAGCATATTCTGACGATCGAAACATTTGGGAAGACTTGGCGAGCTTCTTGCCTTGAGCTTGTCTCTTGCGCATCAAACGGCGAACCTCGCACGGTCAACCCGTCAACGTCATTCTTGCAACCTTGAAACCCGAGCCGCCTGCGAGACTACTGCACGCTATACCACCGGAATCGCTAGGCTTGCACGAAGGATCAAACGACTGCGTGTTGGTTTTTCAGCCTGTCGCCTATAACATACCGAAGTCGCTTTGCCATTGAAACAGAGCACGTGGGCTTGGATATCCCGCGCTTTGGTGCGGCTGTGATACTTGAAGACAGCTGATGAGTCTACCAACGACGGGATGTATAAGCGGATTCGGCAAGCGAGCCGTGAAGATATTTTCGATCGACGATTTATTGAAAGGTGTTGTCAACGTCGGGGAAATAGGCCATTAGCAGATTTGACCTAGAGGTAATTTGGGAATTTCGAAGACCCAAAACGGACCCGAGCATTGCAGTCGCCAGCGGCCAGAGATGCGTAGGGTACATCCCAGACGTTCGAGTAAAGTGTGGGAGCTTGGAATTGTTCGACGGAATGTCTGAAAGTGGTGTATAGTTTTCCTACAAGGCTCTCAAGGGAAGTCGTTCTCTGCAATGCCACTTTGATCGCACAATCGTCGAAACAAACCGCCCCTTTCCCACAATTCCTTGGGTGTACCAAGCTCGGCGATTTGGCCTGCGTCCATGACACAGATACGATCAAAGGAGATGATGGTCCGAAGACGATGTGCTATGCAGATTAAAGTCCGCCCGGCAAAGGCCTCTGCGATCGTCTGCTGGATCTTTCGGTCTGTCTCCAGGTCTATTGCCGTCGTAGCCTCGTCAAAGACCGTGATTTGCGTGTGGCGTACCAGCGCTCGGGCGAGGACAAGGAGCTGGCGTTGTCCAAAGCTGAAGTTTGTACCATCTTCTTCTACAGCAGACGCCAGATCGATCTGATCACGCTCGCCATGCTTCTCCTGAGCAGGGGTCTGCAGGTGAACTCTTTGCATCGCACGTAGGAGCTCTGAATCCGGATGTTCATCGAAGGGATCGAGGTTGGAGCGTACCGTTCCGCGAAAGAGCTTCGGGTCCTGAGATACAACCGTAAGTCGAGAGCGAAGGTTGGCGAGCTGTATCTGAGAAATGTCGAGTCCGTCGATGACAATTTTGCCCTGTCTTAGATTGACAAGACGTAGCAGAGCGGCAAGAATAGTAGACTTGCCCGCTCCAGTTCGACCGACAATGCCTATACGCTCTCCAGATCGGATATGAAGATCGAAGTCCCGTAGAGCGTCCGGCAAGTCTTCACGATACCGCAGACAGGCCTTCTCGAACAAGATTTGTCCCTTTGTTGGCCAAGACGCGGGCACCTCAACGCGGGTCACATTTTCCGGCTCTTCCTTTGTCAAACAGGTCCCATAGTACTGGAGTCTCTCAACGGACACCATGTCTCTATCAACGTCTGTCAGATACCTGACGGTGAATTGGAGCATCTGAGAGACAGAGACAATCCAAGCAACCACGATGCCGATGACGCTTGGATCGACGCTAATACTGGACCTCACAGCCAACAGCCCAGCTGTGAGCACGAGAATTAGTCCAACGCCATCCAAACGAATGGCAAGCCAGCGTTGGTAGGAGAATGATAGGATGTAGGCGCTGTTCATATCATCAATCGCCCTGTAAAGGCGTGAGACGAAACGATCATGTGCACCGTAGGATTTGATGGTGGGGACCCCGTTAATGGCCTCACCAAATTGAGCAAAGACCTTGCTTCGAAGGGTACTTTCGTGGAATTTCATCTCTCGTGCAGAAGATCTGTAGTAGGTGGTGTACGACAGGTAGGCGGCGACAACTGGTAGGATGGCGAACACGAAGAGCCGGTAATATGACACGATCAATACGAACACGGCCAGTGTAGATCCAGTGGTCATCAGAAACAGGCGGATGGAATCGGCCAGGGTGTTGTCGATGGTATCCGTGTCTTTCGAGAAGCGATTAACGAGTCTTCCAAGCGGCGTTTGGTCAAAAAATGACATGGGCGATCGTACGACAGACGCGAGAGCATCTTCCAGCATGGTGTATGATGCTCGAGTGGCAAATAAAGTGATTGTCTTGCAGAAGAGAAACATGAGGCCGGCTTGGACGATGCCGAGGGCAGCGTATATTCCGAGATAGTAGGCGTCGGACATCTCATAAATGTATGAAGTCCAGCACGACAACCAAAGGCTTCCCCCGATGATGCTGCCTTGTAATAAGGCCAAAATGCACAACACTAGCCCAATCGAGAGCGGATTGCCAGTAGCCTTGTGATAGTAGCTGTAGACGCTGGCGGGCACGCCGCCTCGAGTGGGCCGTTCTTCGTGCATCATCAAAGATGACGAGGCTTTTGTGTTCGTGGGATTTATAGTCGTGTTATCCGGCGCTGTCTGGAGACAAGGTCGAGATTTTTCCTTGGACCCAAAGGACATTTGCCGACGTATGCTTTGCTTAGCCGCGTGATCTGGTACCTCCACGGAGACGATGCGCCCGTTCTCGACGCGGATGATCTTGTCGCAACTGGGGAGTATATGTGTCTGATGAGTTGCCATGACTCTGCATTTGCCTCGGAGCAGACCAAATATGGCTTTCTTCAGAATGTGTTGGCCAACATGGGCATCCACCGCGGAAAGCGGGTCGTCCATCAACACAATGGCGGCTCCCGAGTAGATCGCCCGAGCAATGTTGATACGTTGCTTTTGGCCTCCAGAAAGAGTGACTCCGCGCTCGCCAACCTCTGTCAAGTCACCATCCGCAAAGGAGTCTAGATCAGCCTTGAGTGCACATGCGTCGATGATCTCCTGGTACCAGTCGCTCTCGTAAGCCTAATCAAAGTCAGTACAGGCCAAGAAAATCTACCCTCGTCGTTCCGCTCAAAGTGGAACGCATGGCATCATGAGCCCCCAAAATTTTAGAGCGACAAAGCTCTTGATGGTACTTCAGACTGCTTGCACAGCTCTCAAGTAATTGGGATGCATGTTCCACTTTGAGCAGAACATTGAGGGCAGGCTCAAACAAGTGTTACGTGCCTGTCCGAAAGTGATATTCTCCCTGATCGATGCATTCTGTATCCAAGCGCCTTCTGCGCAGTAAGCTTTCCTGGCACCAAATGTAAGTTCACCCGAGGTCATTCGCATGTGACCAGCCATAGCTGCAAGCATAGAACTCTTGCCTGAACCGACGTCTCCAACGACAGCAACCAGTTCGCCGCGCTTCAGCTTTAGTGACAGCTCCGCTAAGCGAAACACATCGTCGGCGCCATCGCCTTGCGAGTCGGCTTTCAATATTGGCCGGCTGAACTGCTGACTTTCCAGACTTGAGGACCTCTCGAACGGCACCCGTAGGATAGGCTGTTGCTTCATGTCGGTCCCATTTTTGTCTCTCAATTCATCTTGCTGACTGCGATTCGAGGCCTCCCAGGTGAAGGAGGCGCTCGAAAGTACGACCGCGAACTCAGAATCGGAGTCAAAGCGAGAAGTCTCCTCAGCTTCCTCCGCCAACAAAAAACCCTCTATCCTCGAGATCGAAATCGAAGCATCTAGGAGGAGGCTAACCCCTGTAGTGAGAATTCCGAGAGGCTGCCTTAGAGAGTTGAGGAGCCCAATGGACGAAAACACTCTTGCAGGAGTGACGTCTTCAGCCAGGTAGGAGTACAGAGCGAATGAAGGAGCCGCTGCGAAGACTGGAATTGCCATGCTGGCCGACATTACAGTATTTCGCAGGTCGATCAACTTCTGCAGAGCCCGAACCTCATTCTTGCGAAGATCTCGGTGTCGAGAAACGAAAGCTGTTTCCCATCCAAATATTTTGATGAACTTGATTCCCTGCAGCAGCTCCTGAGCAAGTGTAGCCCTTGCATCCGTGATGCCATTGATGCTGGAGCGGCCTGCGAGAGCGAGCTTCATAGCGCGACCGACCAAGGGCGTAGCAGCTGCCAGTACAAGGAAGCCACAGAATGCACCATAGGATAGGTTGAAGAAAAGCAATACCAAGCTCATCAAAATCGAGATAGGGGCCGTCCATACGGGGTGTACAATAGAGCAAGCTTGGTCAATCCTCGATGTGTCCGTTGACATCAGATTCGTTATCTTGCCGTTCGTCCAGCCATCTGAGCCATCGACAACAGCTGTAGATCCGCTGGCCCTGGCTCGTGGCGACAACTTCAATGATTTCTGGAGTATCAGGGCTGTGAGAGCTGATCTTGTCTGTGCGCCAACTAGCATGCTGTAGTGTAGGCAGTGGTTTGTACATAGGCTCTGCAGAAGCTGCATGGCGGTGATGGTGAGCACGATACCGATGCCCTGTGACAAAGGCTTATCCTTACCGCCATAGACGCTTGTGGCAAACGCTATTAGGAAGCGAAGCGCAAATGGCGTAAGAGCGTGGATGAAGGTTGACAATAGCTGCGCCACACCTCCAAGTAACAATTCGGATCTGAAGGCGTCGAGCAAAGCCGCGCGGAGAGGATTTGGATGAGACGCTGCAACATATGTAGCAAGTGCAGCTGTCACACGTCTTGAGAGTCCCTCCGAACTTCTATTGGGGCTCATGAGCCAGATATCATCCAGTTCCAGAGGTCTCTGATGCCCTAGTCTAAGTCTTGTAAGTTTTGGATCTTGGCTGGTGCTTAAGCTATGTCTTCTCGAGCATCACTGCACTGAGCAAAGATACGCACCGCAGCAACGGGGTGACCCAGGCGAATAAAAGCCAAGTCAAGCCATGGTCGCTTTGTTCTGGCCACACTCGTCGTTGGTCCTTCCAGCTATCATTGCTCTGTGGCGGCGGGGACGTCTTGACCCGTGGCAGATCTTGCCGCGATTTCGTAGAGTGCCTGGATATTAGGCCAGGCCGCTTCGATTTCGACGATTGGTCGAGGACATCGAGCTGATAGACCAGTTTCCCAGGTAATGCATCGGTGCCGGTCATGGCTAATCAATCTCGTCCATGACACGTGACCATCAGAGATCACGAAGAGCAAGCTATCAACAACTGAGGGTGTATCGCAAGCAATTTTTCCTGAAAGTTGTTCGCCAGGAAGACGAGATGCTCTGCATGCGCGTCATGGTCAGTCCATGGGAGGCGGAGATGACAGCGGTGGCGGACCCGTCCCATGTTGGCCGGCAATCCTCCGAGCGTGGCATGCATGCATATAGGCAGGAACCAACACGTTTCCCAGCCGATCATCTCGACGGTGATGTGAATGAATTGGTGTAAGGGTGGATGTCCGATCTCGCAGCGCTGCAGTTAATTTGATTAGGGCGCCCACTAAGTTTGGGGTTTGTAGATCCTTGTTTGTCTTGGCAACGCTTAGCGCGAAGTTACGAAGCTTAATGCGACGCCATTCCTCCAACACGACCTTCGCGATCCTCCGCAGAGTCCGCACATTGGTCCTCCACCTGCAGCTTCGCACGTGTGGCGAGGCGAAACTCCGATTGCTACAGCATTCAGACCATGACGAAGATGGAAATTACTGCCCCCGGGAAACTCTCCACGCCTGGAGGAACAGTCAGCATGCAAACCACTATGTCTATGCCCGCCAGGACGCGTTCGACACGCTCAGAAAGGCAGCATAAGCCTGGCCTTTTACTGCCCTGGGAATCAGGCTGAAACCTCTCGAAGCCGCCATAATCATCATGGGCGAGCTATCTCAACAAGATCTTCGACAAATCTGGACCTGGAATGCGGAAGTGCCGGAAACCATAGACGACTGTGTGCATGAACTTTTTTCTCGAACCGCTCGAAGATATCCGCAATCGACAGCAGTATGCGCATGGGATGGAGAATGGACATATTCTCAACTGGATGACCTTTCGAACCGGGTGGCACAGCATCTAGTGGCCTCTGTGCCAACTGGAAGCGCCGACAATGCTGTAATTCCGCTATTCTTCGAGAAGTCGAAATGGACGCCCGTTGCTATGCTGGCGTGCTTCAAAGCCGGCGCCGCCGTAGTCACCCTGGATGTCAACTTACCGGAGCAGCGTCTGAGATCGATCGTGCAGCAGGTGAATCCACCCCTGGCGCTCGCATCAAAGACGCAAACGAGGACTGCAACATTGATGATGAGCCATGGTCATGAAGTGGTGGTAGTTGACGAATCGTTCTTTGATCGAAACCTGACGTATCGAGCGGACGCTTTGAAGATGCCCTCTGTGTCTCCTTCGCAGAAGCTATATGTCTGCTTTACCAGCGGATCGACTGGACATCCTAAAGGTGCTGTAGTACGGCATTTCAACCTGTGCTCTGCAGCAGCACACCAACATGCTGCACTTGGCTTTGCCACTTCTACACGGCTTTACGAATACTCGTCGTATGCTTTCGATGTCTCGTACGACTCTTTGCATGTCCTCATAGCAGGCGGCTGCCTGTGTATCCCTTCGGAAGAGGATCGAGTTGCGGATATTACGGCATCTATCATTAGGCTCCAGGCGAACTACCTTCGAATCACGCCTACAGCGTCGAGGCTGTTGGACGCTTCCCGTCTTGGGGAAGTCCACACAGTGAGCTTCATTGGGGAGCCTTTGAAAGCATCAGACTTGGCCCAATGGCAGGGCCAAAAGAACGTCTACAACACTTATGGGCCAGTCGAGACGACTATCACAAGCACTGCATCTCTTGTCCAAGATTTGAACGACCCTGATATTGGAACTGGGCTTGGACTTGTCACTTGGGTGGTGGACACTGAGAACGATCAACTACAATCAATTGGCAAGGTTGGAGAACTGTTCCTCGAAGGCCCGTTAGTGGCCGGAGGCTATCTGGGTGATTATGAGAAGACTGCGGCTGCGTTCATCCAGGATCCTGCGTGGCTAGTGAATAGCCGATCCAGCGTGCATCCTGGACGTCGTAGCAAGGTCTACAGAACCGGTGATCTCGTTCGTTACATTGGAAAGACAGGCAAGCTCTCGTTCGTTGGCCGCAGAGACAACCAAGTGAAGATAAACGGACAACGAGTTGAGCTTGGCGACATTGAGAGCAATATTGCGCAACTTTTCAAGCTCTTCCAGCCCCAGGTTGTCACAGAGGTGACCAAGCCAGGCGACAGCCAAGAGATGAGCCTCGTTGCTGTGATTACCAGCCAGTCGGTTCCCTTCGACGATTTGGCTGCCGCCGTGAAGGCGACGGACTTGCAAGAAGCCTTGGCCAACTCACTGCAGCAATACATGATACCACGAGTATTGCTGCCTCTTTCACGAATACCAACGACCCCAACCGGTAAGACCGACCGACAGAAAATTCGCGAACTAGCTGCACCCATGCTTGAAGACAAGGTGTCGCAGACATCGATTTTTCAGCAACCCCATACAGATATGGAAAGGGCGTTGCAGAGACTATGGGCCAAGACGCTCGGTATTGATGCCTTCAGAATTTCAATTTTGCATAGCTTCTTCGAGTTGGGCGGCGACTCCTTGAAGGCCATCAGCTTGGCAGCGCTTGCACGTCAGAGTGGCCTCAACCTGACCGTTCCCAACATCTTGAAACAGCCAAAGCTCTTCAAACAAGCACTCTTGATCTCTCAAATCTCTGGAAGTGAAGAGATTGAAGGAGTTCATCCTTTTGATCTGCTACCAGCTGCTGAAAAGAACGAGTTGCGGCTGCTGGCTGCTGCTCAGTGTGGCGTACAACCACACGAAGTGGGCGACCTGTATCCCTGCACGTCGATGCAGACGGGACTGCTAGCCCTTTCAATCAGGCGACCTGGTCAATACATGGCACAGGGCAGTTTGCGACTGAAAATGAACGTCAACGCTGACCGCTTCAAGGCATCGTGGGAGGCTTTGGTGGAAGAGAACCCTATTCTACGGACCCGCATTGTTGACCTTGCGGGCAAGTTCTACCAAGCAGTCATCGATGAGCCTGTCGAGTGGATGCAAGATGCTGAAATGGTCGATAGCGAAGCCATGGGCATTGGAAAGCCTCTGCTCCACGTTGCGTTACAACACAGTCACGAAGATGCGTCGCCCAAATTCGTATTCACCATGCATCACTCGCTGTACGATGGGTGGTCTATGTCGCTTCTTCTAAAGCAGCTCTCAGAGGTTTACGAGCAAAGCAGCTCTGGCCACTTTGTACCTTTCCGAACATTCATCAATCATGTTGTTGGCACCGGCGATGGCAAAGCGCGGGAGTACTGGGCGTCACAATTCGAGGAGTCTGAAGCACCGCAATGGCCACAACTGCCATCAAAGAGTTACCAACCCACGTCAGATAGCCACATCCGTCACCTCGTGCAGGGCGTGGATTGGCCAGTCGCAGACATCACGCCGAATGCCATTCTCCGGTCAGCCTGGGCTTTGCTCGTATCCGCGTACACTGGATCCGATGACACAATTTTCGGAGCGGTCCTCCTTGGTCGACAAGCGCCTGTTCCTGGCATCGAGGGCGTCATGGGACCTACAATAGCTACCTGCCCTATCCGAGTACGGACGCCACCCTCCCAGTCTGTCACATCGCTACTCTCTGCTGTGCAAGAACAGGCAGCAGATATGATTCCCTTTGAACAGACAGGTCTCTCAGAGATCCAGAAGATATCGCCGCAGTCTTGTCATTTTCAGTCGCTGCTCATCGTTCAGCCGTCAGATGACAGCGACGCATCGAGCCCAGCGAATTCTATATTTGCTAATGACCTCGGTAATGCGGTAACAGAGGATCTCGATGCATTCACGACGTACGCTTTGACGGTTCAATGCACTCTCGGCTCGGCGAACTCAGACATGATACTAGATGTGTCCTCTGATACCGCGATCGTCAGTGAGGCTAGGGCGCAAAGGGTTCTCAGCACTTTTGAGCAGATACTGAGGCAAGTGTGTGCCTTGAGCGGTTCAGACCTTTCTACGGCTCAGATCAAGCGGATCGGTCAACAGGACGAGACAGACGTGTATGCCTTGAACAAGCACATACCTTCTGCTGCCCATGAAGACATCGTGGACATCATTGCACGAAACATGACAGAGAAACCCAGTGCTCCTGCAGTGTGTGCTTGGGACGGCGACCTGACCTATGGAGAGCTAGACGAGCTCTCATCTGCCTTGGCGAACACTCTGCAGTTCGAAAATGTTACGAAGACGCAAACAGTCCCCTTGTTCTTCGAGAAAAGCAAATGGATGACGGTGGCACAACTAGCCGTGGCCAGAAGGGGAGCCGCATGTTTGAATTTGGATCCTGATTTGCCCCTCGAAAGGCTTCGCTACATGGTCAGCCAAGTCAACGCACCCGTGATGATTGCATCGAGATCGCTGTCAGACAATGCTGGAAAGCTCGGCGATGCACCTGTGATCATCGTGAGCATGGACGAGCTTGCCAATATGACGAACGCCAGCAAGTCGTTCGAGCCGGTAGTTGTGGATGCTGCGGTATACATCCAGTATACTTCTGGGACCACTTCAGCACCTAAAGGGACTGTGGTTACTCGCGGTAATCTTTCCAGCGCTTTCTCAGCGCAACGAGACGCCTTCGCTTTGGATGCTTCGTCCCGAGTCTATGATCACAGCTCCTATGTCTTCGATAACCACTGGTTGAACATGTGGTATGCGCTCGCGAGTGGTGGATGCCTATGTGTGCCTGCGGGTCAAGATCGAATGGACGACGTATCGGGTAGCATTCGCCGCTTGCGAGCAAATTGGGCACTTTTGATACCCAATGTAGCACGTTTCATCGATGAAGAGACTCTTCGTTCAATGCACCGGTTGTATCTTGGGGCTGAGTCCGCTTCCCTAGATCAGATGGAACGCTTCAGCAAGTACGTCAATACGTCTATAGCTTATGGACCGTCAGAGGCCACCATCGTGGCGACTGTCTCTCAGAGCTACTCCCCGGGAACGAGCCCCAAGAACATCGGTCGAGGTGTCGGTGTAACCACTTGGATAGTTGACCGAGAAGGTCAGCACTTGAGTCCAATCGGGGCCGTCGGTGAGCTGTGGCTTCAAGGCCCTCAGGTGGCGACAGGTTATCTGAACAATCCCGAGAAGACAGCCCAAGCTTTTTTCTCGAGAGCACCTTGGCTTGACGAACTTCCAGATACGTACCAGAACCGTGGTCGACTGTACTCCACTGGAGATTTGGTCTATTACAACGACGATGGCGACATCATTTTCATGGGCCGCAAGGATACCCAAGTCAAAGTCCGAGGACAGCGGGTCGAGCTAGATGAAGTCGAACATCATCTGCGTGCCTCTTTGCCATCTGAGAACAGCAACGAGGTTGAGGTAGTTGCCGAAGTATTCAAACCCCGATACAGCGATTCGGCCATCTTGGCGGCCTTCATTGGTCTTCCCGATGAGATCAGAGAGCCCGTGTGGCAAAAGCTTGCCTCAATTGATGGCGTATTGGCAGAAGTTGCGCCCAAGGCAATGATACCATCAGCTTTCATGGGACTCCAGCAGATACCCGTTACTGCAACTGGGAAGACTGATCGACGCAAGTTGCGTGAAATTGGCGCATCTATGAGCATCGAAGAGCTGAGTGCCATGCATCCCGCGCGTTCCAAGAAGAAGAGGCTTCCTTCAACGGAGATGGAGACCACACTGCAGCTTCTGCTCTCGGAAGTTCTCGGCATCGATGGCAGCCAGATCGGTGCTGATGACAACGTCTTCACGACTGGTATGGATTCGATCGTTGCAATGCGCTTGGTTGGGGTTGCTCGTGAGCGTGGACTGGCCTTGAGTGTGAGCGACATCTTCACGACCCCTAAGCTTTGCGATCTTGCCTTGAAGGTCCACCGCTCCCATGGCCCAAATGCGCAGGAAGACTTCGCTGCCTTTGCACTGCTGCCTCGTAGTCTTGACACCAGCTCAATCCGTCAAAGAGTAGCTACTGCATGTGACGTCGACCTTGTGGCGGTGGAAGATGTATATCCTGCATCAGCCCTCCAGGAAGGACTCGTGGCGATGACCGGGAAGCATGATGGCGACTATGCCCTTCGGTCAGTCTTGGAACTCCATGACGAGATCGACATTGACCGCTTCCGAGCAGCTTGGGATCAGATACAGAAACGGCTGCCCATTCTGCGAACACGAATCGTTGGCCTTGACATCCCCGAACTCCCGCTGGTGCAGAGTGTCATTGATGAACCGATAGCTTGGTCTCAGTATAGCAGCTTGAACGAGTGCTTGGAGCTGGAACAATCTATGGGATTGAACAAGTCACTTTCTAGATTTGCCTTTGTGTTCGACCCAGAAAGTGGCCGCCGGCTATTTGTGCTTTCTCTCCACCATGCCTTATACGACGGGTGGTCGACACAATTGCTGCATGAAGAGGTCACACGTGCATACAAGGGCGAGCAACCACAGTCTTTGGTACCTTTCACTCGGTTCATCGGCTACACCAACGAGATGCAAGGACAGTCGGAGTTCTGGAAAAGGCATCTACAAGGTTCTGAGGCTATGGCATTTCCTTCATTGCCCTCGATTTCCTACCAGCCACGCGCCGACGACAGAGTCGAATATGAGCTCGCCGTCGATTGGTCACGAATCCCCGTAACCCCATCCAACGCCATTCGTGCTGCGTGGGCGATTCTCCTAAGCTGCTACTGCGATTCTGACGATATCACCTTTGGGTCAACGATCTCTGGTAGACAAGCTCCCTTGCATGGCATTGACAAGATTCCAGCCCCAACTTTGGCGACGATCCCAGTGCGAGTTGCACTCAACAAAGACATGGCCGTTGACCAGCTCCTCAAGAGCGTGCAGGACGACGCCGTGGCAACGATCCCATACGAACAATTCGGAATCCAGAACATTACGAAGCTTAGCGACGATGCCGAATGTGCCTGCAAGTTTCAGACTATCGTAGTGATCCAGCCAAAGGTTGCCGCCGGGTCGATCTTTAGGAGCTTGTCAGACTTTTTTGGAAAGCAAGTCGAGGTCGCAGATGCAGGTACCTTTAGCACGTACGCTGTCATGGTCGAGTGCCAGCTGAAGGATGACGGGATGCACCTACGCTTACTGTTCGACTCGCATGTGATCACTTCAAAACAAGCATCACGCCTGGCTCTCCAGCTTCAACGGACCTTGTCGCAATTGTGTTCTGCTGCAAATTCTGGGACTCAGGTTGGCGACATTGACCCCATGACCGACGAGGAGCATTCTCTGATCTGGAGCTGGAATGGGGCATTACCAGAGACTGTCGATGGCTTGATGCACGAGGTCATTGCTGGTGTCTGTCGTACCAACCCTCATGCGCAGGCAATTGCAGCATGGGATGGAAACCTCACTTACGAAGAACTGAATGCGTTGGCGACAGGACTGGCGCATCATCTCGTGCAACAAGGCGTTCGACCTGGAGCTACCGTACCCCTATGCTTCGAGAAGTCTTTGCTCATGCCAGTGGCAGCTCTCTCAGTGTGGAAAGCTGGCGCGGCCTGCGTGGCACTCGATGTCTCACAACCTTCTGCTCGATTGCAGATTATAATTGATCAAGTCAATGCCCCGCTGATCTTGTGTTCAACAGAGCAGAAGGAGGTCGCGACGCAGTTGGGTCGCTCTGCTCCTGTTGTGGTCGACCGAGCTTCATTGAATCGTTTTGGTGATTCTGCTAATGTGCTACAGCTTCCCTCTGTTTCATCCTCGAGCCCTCTTTACCTAGCGTTCACCTCCGGCTCGACTGGGCTACCGAAAGGTGCCATTCTCTCCCACGCGAACGCTGTCATTAGCTGCAAATATCAGTTGCAGGTCCTTGGCTTCCACCCGAACGCCAGAGTATACGACTTTGCTTCCTACGCCTTTGATGTGGCATGGGGCAATCTCTTCAGGACTCTTGCTTCCGGGGCTTGTCTCTGCATACCATCAGAAGCCGATCGAAAGAGCAAAATAGTCGGATCCGTACGCGCACTCAAAGCGAATCAAGCCTCATTCACGCCGACGATGGCGAGGCTCTTTGATCCTTCCGATCTGCCGACTCTCGAACTTTTGAGGTTTGGCGGGGAAAAACTAGAGGAGGCAGACCTTGTTCGCTGGCGTGGCAAGGTCAAAACCATGAACGTATACGGCCCAGCTGAGTGTACTCCGATCAGTACCATTGCTCACACGGATGGTCCAAATGCCCTCGAAGGCGGAATTGGCAAAGGATTCGGTGTCTGCACATGGCTAGTAGACCCCAAGGATAGCTCGAGGCTCGTTCCAATCGGCGGCTTGGGCGAGCTGTGGTTAGAGGGACCTCTCGTGGGACTTGGATACACGGACCCTGAACAAACAGCGAAGGCTTTCTTCGATGGGGCTCCTTGGCAACGGATGGGCGGATCTGCTCAGAAACGCGCTAATGGAAGGTTTTACAGGACGGGAGACATCTGCAAATACAACGAGGATGGCAGTCTTCTCTTCATCGGACGAAAAGACTCGCAGGTCAAGATCCGGGGCCAACGTGTCGAGTTGGGTGATGTGGAGCATTTGATCAGACGTCACATCCCGACAAGCAACGAAATGCAGGTGGCAGCCGAAGTGGTCATGCCGAAAGGCAGCAATGCTCCATGCTTAATCGCCTTTCTTGCAAGTACGTCGCAAGACCAATCTGCTGGACCAGAAGTCCGCCTCATCAAGGATCTGATATGCCACATCGATACCGAGCTCGCACAGGTCGCGCCTACAGCCATGCTTCCCACAGCATATCTAGAACTTCCAACCATTCCTACGAATGCAAGTGGAAAGACAGATCGTCGTCAGCTGCGGAATATCGGCAGCTCGATGACTTTGGAAGAGCTGGCAGCCCAGCATCCCTCCCGCACAGAGCGGCAACCGCCTCAGACGGAGCGAGAGTTGCAGGTACGACACCTATACGCCTATGTGCTGGGCATAGACCCCACTACGATTGGACGAGACGATAGCTTCATGAGGATAGGCGGCGACTCGATTGCTGCAATGCGCCTTAGCGCTGCAGCAAAGGCAAGCACGCCATCGCTCAGGATTTCAGTTGCGGATATACTCAGCTATCCGCGGGTGAAGAGCCTTGCCGAAATGGCGCAAGAGATACAGGAAGAGACAGAGCTGGAAGTGGTACAACCCTTCTCGCTTCTACCCGCGGCTGTCGATATCGCATTAGTCTGCCGAGAAGCTGCAGCCTTGTGTCCTGGACTTGGTCCCGAACAGATCAAGAATGCCTACCCGGTCACATCACTACAAGCCGGCCTCATGGCGCTGACGTCTAAGCGTCCTGGTGACTACGTCGCTCACTTTCGATTCGAGCTGTATCAAGACGTCGATGAAAGCCGCTTTCGACGAGCATGGAACGCCGTTGCTCAAGCTGACATCCTACGCACTCGCATTGTCGATATACCCTCATGTGGCGGCTTGACTCAAGTCGTGACTGACCAAAACGTCGACTGGCTCCAAGCCGAGAGTCTTGATGATCTTGACGGGTTGTTGTTAAAGGACGCAATGAGACTTGGCAAGCCTCTGGTGAGGGTTGCCCTGACATCTCACGGCGACAAAAACTTCTTTTCTCTAAGCATGCACCATGCGATCTACGACGGTTTGTCGCTGCAATTGCTTCTCCAAGCTGTCGAGAAGGAGTACTTGAGCTTGCCATCTCAGTTGCGACCAATCAGTCTCTTCATCAATCATATCCAAGATGCAAGCTCGACAGAGGCAGACCAATACTGGCGCACGCAGTTCGAGGGAGCAGAGGCTGTGCAATTCCCGGACATCTCCTCCGCTGGACCGAACTATGTGCCACAGTCTGATCAGCGCAGAACGACCGCCGTGGACAACTTGACCTGGCCGAAGGCGAGCAATTTTACCACGGCCAGCCTAGTCCGTGCTGCGTGGGCAATTCTCGTCTCTCATTACACCGCCGTTGATGAGAGTGTCTTCGGTGCCGTTCTGTCCGGCAGGCAGACAGCTGTTTCGGGCATTGAAGATGTACTTGGGCCCACCCTTGCTACTTGCCCTATTAGAGTGATAACGCGCACCAACAGCACCGAGTCACTGGGAGAATTGATCACTCGTGTCCATCGCCAAGCTGTCGACATGACGCCCTTCGAACAGACGGGTCTTCATCGTATCAGGAGAGTCAGCCCTTGTGCTCAACAGTGCTGCAACTTCCAGTCCCTGTTGGTTGTCCAAGCTGCCAGCACAACCTCGCAGAGCCAAATTTTCGCCAGTGTCCCTTCGGGTGTAGAAGATGGTCCGGACACCTTCTCAACCTACGCCATCCTGCTCGACTGTCGAATCACAGCTGATGGCTTGAAAGCCCAGGCGAGCTTCGACTCCAAGTTGGTTCCTGCAGCCAACATGGAACGTCTTCTGGCCTCGTTTGAGACCATCGTTCGACAACTATGCTCTGTCGACCTTAGTAAGGCATCTATACGTGATATTGAGGTCGCAAGTAGCCAAGATCTTGAAAAGATCCGGCTCTGGAATGCAGTGTTACCTGAAGCGACTGAAGAGTGTATTCATGATCTGATCGCCAAGCGAGTTCGTGAGCAACCTGAGCATCAAGCTGTTTCCGCTCACGATGGCGACTTGACATATTCTGCTCTGGACAAGCTTTCAACTCGGTTGGCTTGCCACGTCCTGGCGGAGATAAATCGACACGGGCAGTCCTCCAAGAGTCCAAGAATCGTCCCCATATTCTCTGACAAAAGCAAGTGGGTGTCTGTCTGCATGCTGGCGACTGCGAAGGCTGGCCTCGCTTTCGTCACGCTCGACGTTAAACAGCCGCTTGGACGATTGGCTTCTATTATCCGACAAGCTGAAGCGACCTTGGTACTGAGCTCTGCTTCCTGCCTGTCACTTGCTCGATCATTGTCGGACAATGCTTTTGAAGTCAGCCATGAGGTCCTCAGCTCGACGCCAAGTGACATCGGGAAGAGCTTACCGTCAGTCTCTCCGGGTGATTTGCTCTATGTTGTGTACACCAGCGGGAGTACGGGCTCTCCAAAGGGCGCTCAGATCTCACATGCAAACTTTGCAAGCGCTGTCAAATACCAGCAAGAGGCTCTCAGATTCAACAACGCCTCGCGTGTCTACCAGTGGGCATCCTATGCCTTTGATGTTTCCATATCAGACTGTCTGCACACGCTGACAGCCGGCGGAACCCTTTGCATACCTTCGGAAGATGATCGTTTATACAACATCGCCGGCTCTGTCAAGGAACTTTCTGCCAACTACCTGCACATGACCCCCACGACTTCAAGACTCGTAGAAGACATACCTGAACTGAAGACGATTCAATTCAGCGGCGAGGCTTTGAGGCAAAGTGATGTGGCAAAATGGAGCAACGGATCCAGATCTATCATCAACTCTTTCGGCCCTGCCGAATGCTCCGTGACTGCAACCGTCGCAGATCTTACAAATGCGGATAATGCCCATCAACACAGTGATCCAAGCATTGGTAGGCCTGTGGGAGGTGTTGCTTGGGTTGTCAACACCTCTACCGAGCGACTATCTGCGATTGGAGCCGTCGGAGAGCTATTCCTTGAAGGTCCGCTTGTTGGCCAGGGTTACCTCCACGATCCTGATAAGACTATGGCAGCTTTCATTAAGAACCCGCCCTGGCTACTTGAAGCTGGCCGCCAAGGACTGGTCTACCGAACCGGTGACCTGGTCTCATTGAAACCAGGTGGCAGCTTGTCCTTCGTTGGCCGCCGAGATGCCCAGGTCAAGATTCGTGGGCAAAGACTTGAGCTTGGTGAAGTCGAGTACCATGTGCGTAACAATTTGAACACATCGTCGCTCGAGAACGTTCAAGTGGTTGCCGATGTGGTTGATCGAGCAGGAAGTCAACAACTGGTGGCATTCATCAGCTTGACCCAGAGCTTGTCATCTCCTGTAACCGCTCAAGAACTGGAGCAGCTCGGAAGCAGATTGACGACAGGTATCGAAGAGAAGCTCGCGAAAGACGTTCCATTGTACATGGTGCCGGCATTCTATATTCCGCTTACGGCGATCCCACTTACAGCCACCGGCAAGACCGACAGACGACGACTTCGCGAGATTGGTGTGGCTTTCACACTTCAAGATGTTGCAACGACAAAGCCCAGTGCTGCAAGACCACCGACGACTGAAGTTGAGAAGCAACTGGCGATCATCTGGTCGCAAGTGTTAAACGTACCGCTGGCATCAATCTACCCGGATGATCTCTTCATTCGCTTGGGTGGCGACTCAATATCGGCGATGCAAATAGTGTCTCGTGCAAGGCAGCGCGGAATCAGCATGACCGTGACGGACGTGCTTCAGGCACAGACGATCGGAAAGCTGGCCTCCAGGAGCAAAGTCGCCGAGAAGAAGCCACAGGTGAGTAAGCAGGTTGAAGGAGATAATACTGACTGCTTTCCTTTGTCACCAATACAGCGTCTTTTCTTCCAGAACAATCCCGATGGTGCCAACCAGTTCAATCAAAGCTTCTTGCTCAGAATCAATCGACCTGTCGTGTCGAGTACCTTCGCAAGAGCCATCGATGTGCTCGTCGCCCGGCATGCGATGCTCAGAGCCCGATTTCGAAAGGACGACCAAGGACATTGGCAGCAATACGTCGATCTACCTGGTTACAGCATGTCGCTGTACGCTTTCGAGGAGCATCACGTGAACGACATGCGTGACGTGCAGCCCATCTGCCAGCGTCGTCAGGAGACACTTGACATTCAGCAAGGCCCAGTGTTTGCTGTCGACTTCTTCAATGTGCCCAATGGAGCACAAGCAGTGCTGTTCACTGCCCACCATCTTGTAATCGACCTTGTCTCTTGGCGTGTCGTCTGGCATGACCTCGAGCAGCTTTTGACGAAAGGAGGTCTGGACCAGGCCAGACCAATATCTTTTGCTGCTTGGGTCAAAGCTCAGATTCATGATTCAGATGAGCAGCCAGAAAATGGCCTGCCTGACGTCGATGGCAGCTCTGCGTCTGGGTTCTGGGAGGTAAGTCCCAAAGACAATACACGCCGAAACTCCGAGACCTTTGATTTCAGGTTAGACACCGATGTCACTTCCAGATTGTTGCAGGATATCAGTCGCAACATACGCGCAGAGCCAATGGACATCATATTGGGTATCTTGATACACACCTTTCAATGGCGATTCCAGGATCGTGGTTCGCCGGCACTATGTGTCGAGGGTCATGGTCGAGAACCGCTTTCGATAGGCGACAAAGACATGTCGACCACCGTCGGATGGTTCACCACGATTTATCCTATACGCATAATTTCCACGGCTGGCGAAGAGATACTACACACTGTACACTGTATCAAAGATGCCCGAAAACGGATGACAGGGAGAGGTCGAGCGTACTTTGCCTCCCGCTTCTACAATCCTGGGGGCGACAATCACCTTCAAGACGAGGACCCTGCGGAGTTTCTCTTCAACTTCACGGGAGCACTCCAACAACTTGAAAGCCAGCAACCCTTCTTCAGTCAAGAAGACCGGCCAGAGATGCTCGGCAGTAGAGCGCAGGTGCACGCAGATGTACGGCGATTTGCCTATATCGAAGTCAATTGTGGTGTAGAGAAAGGCGAGCTTGAGCTCTCCTTCATCATCAACAAGTCAATGAAGCATCAAGATCGTCTGCTCGAGTGGATGACGGCGTCTGTTGATGCGTTCAAAAATGGCATTCCATTTGTCTCCAACAGCCACAGTCCATTCTCTTTGAGCGACTTTCCCATGCTTTCGACCACCTACCATGGCCTTGATCTAATCTCGCGCTCTCTGCTCGAATCCGGGATATCTCCAAACGACGTCCACGACATATACCCCACATCACCGTTGCAGGAAGGCATTCTTTTGAGCATCGAGAAGAATACGGCAAGCTACACAAACCAGCTCATGTGGAGATGCACTCCCACTTGGCCACATGACAAAATCGATGTCGAGCAGCTGTCGAAAGCATGGCAGGCTGTGGTCCGGAGTCACTCCATCCTTCGAACAGTGTTCATTACCCATCCTGAGACCGGCCGCTTCCTGCAGGTTGTGCTAGATGGCTTCGAAGCCAGCATTCGCAATGTTGATGGCGATGAGAGAGCTCCCGAGAACACCCTACAGGCTCTTGAGACTATCGCCTTTCCGGATGGTCGACCCCTGCATGGGTTCACAGCATGTAAAAATACTCGTGGCGAAGTGGCCTGCAGGTTAGACATCAGCCATGCGCTCATCGACGCTGTCTCGATTGCGCTTATCAAGGGCGATCTGCTGGCGGCTTACAATGCCCAAACTCTACAGCCTGCACCATCATTCTCCAGCTTCATCGGACACCTTCAAAGGTCAGAAGGGAAGCTTCTTACTCATTGGAAACAGCGGTTAGCAGACACGCCTGTTTGCGAGTTTCCACGCACCGCAAATGCGGTTGTGGAGTCTGGTGTACTGCACGCTTCGATGCCAGTATCCAGTCCGCGGACTTCAGAGGTCCATGCGTTCTGCATGAAGGCGCAGATGACAAGATCAGTCTTTGCTCAAGTCGCCTGGGCCTTTGTATTGGCCCATTTCACCGGCATGGATCGGATTTGCTTTGGAAACCTTGCCTCCGGCCGTGACACTCCTATCGATGGTATCGACAAGCTTATGGGCCCTACCATCAGCGTGCTTGTTGCGGAGATCGACCTCACTTCACCACTGATCCAAGTTCTTGAGCAGACCCAGAAGAGATCTATCGAGGACCTCGCTTATCAGCACTGTTCGCTTGCTGAAATGATAAACGGGGCTCAGACTGGTGTTGGCAGGCTATTCAATACTAGTATCACCGTCCGCAAGGAGACGGAGGTCAGTCCAAATGGAGCCTCTGGACTGACTCTCGACACTATCAACTGGGAAGATCCTCAAGAATACGACCTTGTCCTTGGTGTCGGGCTCGCGGAGTCTTCCACTGATTTCTCGATCTCATATCGAAGAGACGCCGTCAGCGACGAGGCCGCCCATTTGGTGATCAAGAAACTGAATTCAGCAATTGATATGATCCTAGACTCATCAGCAGACTCCACCATGACGGCACAACAACTAGCCGATGTTCATCTTCTCGACCAACACGATCTGTCGCATATATGGAAAAGAAATTGGAAAGTCCCCGAACCAATCTTGAACCATTGCGTGCACGGTCTTATCGAGCAGACTTCACAGAAGCAGCCAGATACTATCGCCATCGACGCTCACGATGGCCGACTTCTGTACGGAGAGCTGGACCACCTCTCGAGCAGATTAGCCTTTTACATGTCATCTCAAGGTGCACGGCGAGGCATGGTCGTGCCTGCTTTGTTCGAGAAGTCGATGTGGTTCCCTCTGGCACTTCTTGCAACGTGGAAGACCGGAGCTGCCACTCTTGCGTTGGATCCGAGTCTTCCTCTCGAACGTCTCAGATCGATCACCCAGCAGGTGAAGCCGCCCTTTTTGCTCTGCTCACCTAGCACAAATGCTTTGGCCAAGGATCTCACGCCGAAAGGGGCGATCTTGCGCGTTGATCAGCAGTTTTTGAACAGCCTTCCAGTCCAGCAGGCTGAGCAATCGACTACATTGCCCTCTGACTTGCTCTACCTCAACTTCACCTCAGGGACGACCGGGCGGCCCAAAGGAGCACAGGTTACGCATTCAAACTTTTGCTCTGCAATAGAATTTCAGCAAGAAGCTCTACGGTTCAGGTCAACCTCTCGGGTACGTTCCCAAGCACATTTCCCGTGGACTATGCACTGACGTGTATCAAAGGTTTATCATTGGGTGTCGTGCGGGTTTGATGTCGTATACTCCGACGTGATCCACACGCTCACCGCGGGCGGTAAGTGTATATATTCGCCTTGAGGCTTAAACTGATGATAGAGATAGGCACGCTCTGCATCCCTAGCGATTACGAGCGGATGAACGACATCGCAGCATCTATGCGAGTTTTGAAGGTGAATTATGCTCATCTCACGCCGACAGTCTCACGACTGCTGCAACCGGATGATGTTCCAACACTTGAGACTCTCCAGTTTAGTGGCGAGCCGCTCACTAGCGACGATGTGGCACGATGGAGATCAAAGAGCGTTCTCCTCAACACATACGGACCAGCTGAAGCCTCTGTCACGAGCACTATTGCAAGCGTTGGCCTGGCTCAAGGTGACCAGGAACCTTCTATTGGACACCCTTACGGCGGTTTGGCTTGGGTCGTCCATCCTTCTTCCATCAATCGTTTGGTGGGACTTGGAGAAATCGGCGAGCTTCTCTTGGAAGGACCACTTGTGGGCGCTGGATATTATGGAGACGAGGTTCAGACTTCTGCTGCCTTCGCTGAAAATCCCGAATGGCTCTCTCGAGGTGCCCCTGGCTTTGAAGGACGACAGGGCAAAGTCTACTGTACCGGCGATCTCGTATGCCAGCAGCCAGACGGCTCTCTGAAATACGTTGGCAGGAAGGACAACCAAATCAAAATACACGGCCAACGCGTGGAGCTTGGCGAGATTGAGCACCACATTCATGATGAACTCGAATCGACACATGGCCAGCACACCAGAGTTGCAGTAGAAGCAATCGCTACCGCCAAAGCTGCTGAGCCCGCCTTGGTTGCTTTCTTGAGCATAGAAAGGCATATCGAAGACCTTCCAGCTCACATTGCCAACATCACCGGCGACTTGACCGATCGTCTATCTGCCAGGCTACCTCACTACTTCATTCCATCTCAATACGTTGGCATGGAACAAGTGCCGCAAACAGCCAATGGAAAGCTCGATCGTCGTCGCCTCCGAGAGATTGGCGCCAGTGCCTTGACACAGCGTGCGGATCACTCAGGCCCAGGCTCCTCAATCCGAGGAGGTCCTGCAGAAGAGCGTATGCGCCAGCTGTGGGTGCAGGTGCTAGGGCTTAATGATCCCCTTGGCATCCAACTTAACGACAGCTTCTTGAATGTTGGTGGGAACTCACTGGGCGCCATGAGGCTGGTTGCCGCCGCACGAGACGCTGGGTTGAAGCTCACCGTGGCTGAGATCTTCAGGCATCCAAGACTGAGCGATATGGCGATCCGAGCTCGCGTGTTGCAGCATGCCAACAATATCATTGAGCCATTCTCGCTCTTGTCTTCGGAGATGGGCGGCAAGAACAGGCTGTCCACCGTCGAGATCCAGCAATACGTCGCCCAAAGCTGCCATCTGGACGAGTCTTGCCGGGTGGAGGACGTCTTTCCCTGCACGCCTCTGCAGCAAGGCTTACTTGCGTTGACAGCCAAAAGACCTGGAGACTACGTGGCTCACATGACCTTCGACTTGCGGGCCGAAGTGGACATTCTACGGTTGCAGCAGTCCTGGGAAAAGACCTGCCTCCATTTTCAGATCTTGAGGACTGTCATGTTGAGCTTGCCGGATTTTGAAATGGTACAAGCGGTTCTCAATGCCTCGATTGAGTGGCAAACGTACGATAGCCTCGTCTCTTACCTGGATCGGTTCCAGACCCAGCCAATGGGACTAGGGACTTCCCTTACTCGTGTGGCATTGATCCACGGAGAGCAGACGAGCACGAAATTCATCCTCACGATGCATCATTCCATCTATGATGGATGGACGATCCCTTTGCTCATATCGTCGCTCGAGCGCTCGTACCAAGGGCTCACTCTCCAACATACTCCGCCTTTCCAGGCATTTGTCAAACACATCCAAGAGACCGACCAGCATGCGGCAAAGGAGTACTGGCGAACACAATTTCATGGGCTGGAGGCAAGCCCGTTCCCTTCCCTACCTACTCCAACTTACGTTCCAAGATCTGACGAAAGACTTCATGCAACGTTCACAAATATCTCGCTTCCTACTGGCTTCACTGCTTCGACGGCCGTCCAAGCTGCCCTAGGCGCACTGATCGCCCATCATACGAACACTAACGAAGCACTTTTTGGACTAGTCTCCTCTGGAAGACAAGCCGATGTCCATCACATCGATCAAATGGCTGGCCCAACAATATCGACCGTGCCTATCCGAATGGCTGTGGAGTTTCAGGGTACCATACATGACATGTTGGCTCAAGTCCAAAGCCGTTCTACTGGAATAACTGCTTTTGAACAATCTGGCCTCCAGAACATCCGAGCAGTCAGTGAGTCTGCAGCGCGAGCATGCCAATTCCAGACCTTGCTTGTTGTGCAGCCGGAGCAGCCTGTGGGCAATGTCGACAGTCCAATATTCGAGCAGCACAGTAGAAACCTGCTGAAGGGCGAGGCTGATGCATTCTCTACGTACGCTGTGCTTCTTCATTGCGAACCCGCCGCACGTGGAGAAGTGAACATACAAGTCAGCTTCGACTCCCATGTTGTATCTCGAGGATACGTACAACGCCTGCTCTGGCAACTGGAGACGGTTTTGAGACAGATCGGCACAGTTGATCCCGCAACCAAGCTGCAAGACATTCGGTTCTTAAGCGGGCAGGACTTGGTTGACATCCGAAGATGGACTGAGGTAGTCCCTTCGCCGGCTACTGATGCCACTGTCGACGAGCTGTTCCAGATCGCAGCCAAACGCTTCGCCGACAAACCGGCCATATGTGCCCACGATGGAAACTTCACGTACCGGGAACTAGACCATCTTTCCACATGTCTAGCTCATTACCTTGTCACAATAGGGGTGGGACCAGAAGTTACAGTCCCACTGGTTTTCGAGAAAAGTGCCTACACTGCAGTGGCTGCCCTGGCCGTCATGAAGGCTGGCGGCGCTTCTGTGCTGCTGGATCCTGGCCTCCCAGTAGAACGATTGAGATCCGTTGTTCGACAAGTTCAGCCTCTCAAAGTCATGCTCTCGTCGGTTTCCAAGCAAAAGACGGCAAAGTTTCTCGACAAATCAGAGATCATGGTCATCAACCGTCTCAGCCTACAAAAGCTTAAGCACGACGAGTTTCAGGGCAAAGAATTGCCAGTATTGAGCGCTGATGATTTGCTCTATGTCGTGTTCACGAGTGGCACAACGGGGCTACCTAAAGGTGCGATGATCACCCATTCGAACTTTTCATCAGCTATTCGCCATCAGCAGAAAGCGCTCGGATTCCACCACGGCGCTAGAGTCTATGACTTTGTGTCATATTCATTTGACGTTGCCTGGAGCAACCTACTTCACACCTTGACCTCTGGCGGTAAGTAACCCCTATTCCGGCCTATATGCAACACAATGCTAATTTGCATAAAGGCTGCCTTTGTGTGCCTAGTGAAGACGAGAGGATGTCAGACATTGCTGGCTCGATGCATCGACTGAATGCCAACTATGCCCATCTCACACCAACCGTCGCCAGACTGATCGATCCAGCACAGTTGAGTGCCTTGAAGACGTTACAATTCAGTGGAGAACGTCTGACTGCGAGCGATGTGGCTCGATGGGATGTCGACATGATCAACACTTATGGGTAGGTTCGAGCCTTTTTGAGCAGGACTTACAAGTACTGACCAGAATTTGTAGACCCGCAGAGGCCAGCGTCACCAGCACCATTGCTGTGATTCATTCTCAGAACCGGCACAAGGCTTCTGGACTCACAAATGGGCATTCCCTGACAAACGGTTCTGCTGACGAGATAGAAGAAGCTAGAAGCTCTATCGACAAAGACCCCAGCATTGGAAAGCCCTTCGGCGGTGTTGCCTGGATAGTCTGTCCCAACAATCCACAGCGTCTCTCAGCCATTGGTGCTGTTGGTGAGTTGTGGGTAGAAGGTCCATTGGTAGGGAAAGGGTACCTCAACGACATGGCAAAGACCGCCACAGCCTTCGTGGATGACCTACCTTGGCTCAAAGATATCGACATCGACCACACCCAGCGACAACGAGCGTATCGGACGGGAGACCTCGTGCAACTCAATTCAGATGGTACACTCTCGTTTACTGAGCGCAAAGACGCTTCTCAGGTCAAGATCCGCGGCCAGAGAATCGAACTCGCGGACATCGAGACCAACATTCGGAATAATCTGCCAATGGACAGCGCAATACAAATCTGTGTGGAAGTGGTCAAGCTTCAAGGCAGCACTGAGGCTACTTTGCTGTGCTTCCTTAGCTCTGAAAACGTTGCCCATGAATCCCTCAAAGGCGAAACAGCAGAAATCGTGGCTGTCCTTGATGAGAGACTGAGACAGCTGCTACCGGCATACATGTGTCCGTCGGGGTGGATCCCTCTCACTTCAATTCCAGTCACAGGGACAGGAAAAACAGATCATCGTTCGTTGCAGACGCTGGGTGCGTCCTTCACCCTCAAAGCTGTGCAGGAACGTTACCAAGTGCAAGCCAAACGCCGGCAGCCCAATACAACCGAAGAGTGTCTGATGCAAGCTCTTTTCGCCGACATCTTGAAGATTGACAAAGATCTTATCAGCGCAGAAGACAACTTTCTCCGCATTGGGGGCGACTCCATTGCTGCTATGCGGCTTGTGGCTTCTGCTCGGGAGCAGCATGGAGTCAACATGAGCGTTGCCGATGTCTTCAGAAATCCTGTCCTCAGTGACTTGGCCAATACTCTGGAAGCCTCAGAAAACCACGTCAACGATGATGTACCCGCTTTCTCATTGCTGTCATCGATTGAACATCTGCACGGGACAGAGCGACCATCCCTCGAAGACATTCAGCAGCAAGCAGCAGCCATGTGCTCCGTTGAAATTGTCCAGATTGAAGACATATATCCCACGACTGCACTCCAAGCAGGGCTACTCGCCATGAACGCGAAGAGCTCTGAGCAAGACTACGTCCGGAAGAAAGTCCTCAGACTACGAAAAGATGTTGATATCGATCGATTTCGTCAAGCGTGGAAGACAACAGTGGACGAACATCCGATTCTGAGGACCCGAATCGTCGACGTATTTGGTTTCGGTCTTCTACAAGTCGTCGTTCGAGATGCCATCTCATGCTCCTCAGACACAAATCTACAAGACTACCTCAAGCGCAACGATGAAGAGCCTTTTGGTCTTGGTCAGCCTCTGTGTCGTATGGCCATCATTGATTCTGGACGAAAACACAGTTCCGTTTCGGAAGATCGCTTGTTCGTCCTGATGCTGCACCACAGCCTGTACGATGCGTGGTCGCTGTCTCTGATCGACAAAACGGTCGATGCGGCCTACCACAAGACGGAACTACCTCATCGTGTTCCGTTCAAGAACTTCATAAGAAGCATCGCGTCAGTCGATCGCGGCCGCCAGATTGCGTACTGGAGTGAGCAGCTGCAAGATGTCGAAGCAACGCCATTCCCCAAACTTCCCAGCCCATCGTATCAGCCTCGCGCTGATCGGAGCCTGACTTACAGCATTACCCACATACAATGGCCAGGATTGGGTTTTACACCTGCCACGACGATCAAAGCGGCGTGGTCTGTGCTTTTGGCAAGGAGAACAGACTCAGAAGACGTAACCTTCGGCGCTGTCTCGTCTGGGCGACAGGCACACGTATCTGGAATCCATGAAATTGTCGGGCCAAGTATCAGCACCATTCCGGTCAGAGTCAAGCACGACTTTCAGGACAGTACTGCTGGGGAGCTTCTCCGCAATATTCAAGATCAGTCTACGGCTTTGATTGAGTTTGAGCAGTTCGGGCTTCAAGAAATACGAAAAGTCAGCGATGATGCCGAAAGAGCATGCGGATTCCAGTCTGTCCTCGTGGTTCAAGCTCAAGAAGGGCAAACGCAATCTGAGAGCTTGTATGCTCCAAATGAACAGTTCCACAATATGGACAGAAAAATGGGCACGTTCAGTACATATGCGATCATGCTAGAATGCCAACTGGGCTCCGACGACGTGACGATCCACCTAGGGTACGACTCTAATGTCGTTTCAGAAGCTCATGCCGGCACGCTTCTGTCACAGTTCGAGACAATCCTTCGCCAGCTTTGCGAACATCCTGAGAGCAAGCTGTCGTCGGTCGAGACAATCAGCAGCGAGGACATCGAGAACATTTGGTCCTGGAACGCAGTCGTACCAGAACGCATAGAGAAATGTGTCCACGAAGTATTCTCAGAACAAGCAGCACGTCGACCAATTTGTCCGGCAGTGGAAAGCTGGAACGGTTCCATGACCTATAGCGAACTCGAGAAGGCATCGACAAAGCTCGCTCGGTATATCGTGGGCAAAGCCAAGCAGAGCATTACTCCAGAGATGGTCATACCACTGCTCTTTGAGAAGTCCAAATTCACACCGGTCGCCCAGCTTGCTGTAATGAAGGCTGGTTTTTGTTCGGTCGTAGTCGACACACGGCTGCCCTTCGAACGTCAATTGTGGACTACGAAGAAAGTCGGCGCAACCATGATCATCGCCTCTAGAGCTCACGCTGAGCCAGCAAGCCGTCTACTGCCTAACGACGTCCTTGTCCTTGATGAAGACATCTTCAAAACTGTTTCGTCCCCTCAGCCAGAAGGAGATCTCCCGAGGGTGAGCCCATCGGCACCCCTCTACGTCAATTTCACCTCAGGATCTACTGGCGAACCGAAAGGCGTCACAGTCTCACATCGCAACTTTGCAAGTGCCTTATGGCATCAGCGGGATCGACTTACTCTACCCGAACACAGCAGTCGTGTCTACCAGGGGATCTCCTACAGCTTTGATGTCTTTTGGTATGAGACCCTGCAGGCCCTCACGAATGGCGCTTGTCTATGTATCCCAAAGGAGGAAGATTGGCTCTCTGATATGGCTCAAAGCATGCGAGACTTACTTGTAGACAGTGCGATGCTCACACCTACAGTAGCCAGACTCTTGGACCCCAACGATCTGCCGAACTTGAAAAGATTGGCGCTGGCTGGAGAAGCTATGGAGGCTAGTGATGTTGCGTTTTGGAGCCAGATTGAAACGCTGCATAATGCATATGGCCCTGCTGGTAAGTGTAACCGAGCTTGTTATTGTGCCTTTTCTGACTATATACAGAGTGCTCGGTGTTCGCCACTGTCAATGAGATCGACACACGCCATGTCGTAAAGCCTCACATTGGATTTGCAGCAGGTACCGTGACGTGGGTCGTTAGACAAGATAATCCAGAGCAGCTGGCATCCATTGGTGAAGTTGGGGAGCTGTATCTGGAGGGACCACTCGTGGCTGAACACGGGTACCTGTCGGATCCAGACAAGACATCTGCTGCTTTCATCGAAGATCCTGTCTGGCTCCTACGCGGCAGCGCAGATATGCCCGGTCGTCATGGTCGACTTTACAAGACTGGGGATCTAGTCCGCTACATTGACGACTGCAGCGGGAATCTGGAGTTTCTTGGTCGAGCAGACGACCAGGTGAAGATCAATGGCCAGCGAGTTGAGCTGGGCGAGGTTGAGCGTGCAGTCCAACAATGCATTCCAGCAGGTGCTCAGTTGAAGCCTGTGGTTGAGCATACCAAACCTAAAAACGCCGAAAAAGCTCGTCTCATCATCTTCGTGGCCGGGGAGCATGGAACAGGAGCAGAAGAGCAAGAGATACCGATGACAGACCTCGCAACCACTGTGCATGAACAGTTGACAGCCACATTACCTGCCCATATGGTGCCCTCCCACCTAGCCGCAGTCACGGAAATACCACGAACCGCATCCGGCAAGATTGACCGTCGACGACTGAGAGATATTGGTGCCGGCACCACTATCGGCGAATTGTGGCCTGTACAGCCTCGAACTGGCGCCTCTCGAGCACCTACGACTGCAAACGAGAAGGCTTTGGCACAAATTTGGGCCTCCACTCTGGGCATGAGCGACAAGTCCATCGAAGTTAACGACAACTTTCTCCACGCCGGGGATAGCATTAGTGCCATGAGATTGGTGGCTGCAGCCAGAAGAAGTGGATTGAACTTCACTGTCATGGACGTCTTTCAACACGCTCGATTTGAGGATCTTGCTCTGTTGCTCAGCACCGACAGGGGCCAACCTGCACAAGACATACATCCCTTTGAGTTGTTACGGGGAAATACCAGTGTTGCTGAAGTCCGTGCAACAGTTGCCAGGCAGTGCAATGTTAGTCCAAGCCAAGTTGAGGATGCTTTTCCTTGCACGAGCCTCCAAGAAGGGCTCTTGGCGCTCTCGAGCAAACGACCTGGCGACTATGTTGCCAAATTCGAGTTCCACCTTCGGGACGATGTCGACTGCGGGCGCTTGAGGGATGCATGGAAGCTCCTTCTCGCGGCTACTCCGATCTTACGAACAAGGATAGTCGAGCTTTCGGAAGGCTTGGTGCAAGCCATCATCAGCGAGCAGGCCGAAGTCGATGGTGACGCTCAGGTCATACCTGTGATGGGCACTGGATCTGCGCTTGTCCACGCAGCGATACCACAAGATCCGACTGGTGTCTTCAGCCTTACTATTCACCACGCACTATATGATGGCTGGTCGCTGCCTATGCTCTTCGACAAGCTGGCCAAATGCTATGGCGGTGCGACTGCTGCCGAACTTGAGCATACTCCTTTCCAACAGTTCGTGAAGCACATGCTTCAAATGACCTGCGGAGACATGGAGCAGTTCTGGAAGAAACGATTCTGTGGCTTGAACGCCATCCCATACCCTGCTCTTCCGTCCACTGCTCATCAACCTCAAGCCACGCAACGCGTACAACACAGGATCGGTAGCCTCAAGTGGCCGTCATCCTCAGATATCACAACGTCAAACCTCATATCTGCTGCTTTGGCCTTGCTCATTGGCAGTTATACGGCTCAAGATGAGGCGTTGTTCGGGACTGTAGTATCGGGTCGTCAAGCTCCAGTCCCAGGGATCGACACTGTACTTGGTCCCACGATTGGAACCGTTCCCACGCGTGTTTCAGTGGCCCAGCATGAATCTGTTCCAGAGTTTCTGGCTCGAATCCAGCGTGAAACGCTTGAGAGCAGCAAGTATGAGCAGACTGGTCTAGCTAAGATCCGCCGGATCAACGCTGAATGTGCCAGAGCTTGTGACTTCCAAACACTGCTCATAGTACAGCCCGCACCTGGAGAGAAGAAGCGTAGCATCCTATTCCAGGACGAGAAACCAGCTGCAGAGACTTCTACTGAAGACACAAATGAGCCTGATGCTTTCAGTACCCATGCAATTGTCATTCACTGTCTTCTGGTAAACGAAGGCGCGACTCTGCAGATCGGTTTTGACCCAGCCGTGATTTCCAGGAGGGAAGTCCAACGACAGGCAGAACAATTCGAGTCTCTACTACGGCAGCTCTGCGCGGTCGGTACTGCCCGTGAGCCACCAAAAGTGGGCGACCTTCAAGCAGTGAGCGCCAATGATACTCAAGATATCTGGCGGTGGAATGCACGCTCTCCAGAGCCCATTGAGAGATGTGTTCACGATATGATCGAAGCCGTGATCAATGCGGAGCCTCACTCACCAGCTATTTGCTCTTGGGATGGGGAGTTGTCTTATCGTCAGCTCGATGAGTACTCAACACGACTTGCCCAGCAACTGGCCAAACAAAACGTCAACGGCACCGTCGTACCGCTCTGCTTCGAGAAGTGCCTCTGGACCCCGGTTGCTGCACTGGCTGTCATGAAGGCAGGAGGCGCAAGCGTCACCTTGGATCCTTCAAGCCAGCCGGTGGATCGAATGAAGACTATCGTCGATCAGGTCTCACCTCTTGTGGTCTTGTGCTCAAGAAGCCAATTGTCTGTGGCTGAAAGGCTGTCGACGGTTTCAGTCGTTCTGGTCGACGAGGAGACAGTCCGAAGCCCATCAACTGCCGAGCAGCCTCTTCCAACCATTCAGCCGTCCTCTATTCTATATGTGGTATTCACCTCGGGATCCACCGGACTGCCTAAGGGAGCTGTGGTTTCTCATGGCAACTTTGCTAGTGCCGTGCACTACCAACAAGAAGCCCTTCGCCTCCATCCCCAGCCAAGGGTGTCAAGGGTGTTCGACTACGTCTCTTATACCTTTGATGTCTCTTGGTCCAACCTGTTGCAGACACTGTGCGCAGGAGCCTGTCTCTGCATCCCAAGCACAGACGAGCGGATGAATGATATTGCTGGCAGCATGCGACGTCTCAGGGTCGACTACTTGCATATCACGCCAACTGTATCTCGCCTGCTTTCCAGCAATATTCCCGATGTGGAGACGATTGCTTTTATTGGCGAGCCCGTCAAGGCGAGCGACGTTGCTCAGTGGCGTGGCCATGCTCAGCATATCCTGAACACATTCGGGCCCGCAGAATGTACTCCCGTGAGCACTGTCACTGAGCTTGACCCGACGAACGATGACGTGCCTTCTATTGGAAAGGCCATTGGCTCTGTGGCCTGGGTAGTCAATAAAACCCAGCCAAACCGACTTGTCGGGGTTGGGCAGATTGGTGAGCTTTGGATCGAGGGCCCGATAGTCGGTCAAGGATATCTCAATGACACCAACAAAACCGCGGCTGTCTTCGTGAATGACCCTACTTGGCTGACAGAGGGCAATAGTCTTGACATCTCAGGTCGCCACGGTCGATTGTACAAGACCGGAGATCTTGTCAAGTATGCCCCTGACGGATCCCTAATCTTCATTGGACGAAAAGATGCGCAGGTCAAGATCCATGGACAGCGTGTCGAGTTGGAGGAGATAGAGCATAACGTGCGCAAACACCTTGGTCGGGCTGACATTCAACTGGCCGCCCAAGTGATCCATCCACAAGATACCAAGGATTCGATTCTGGTTGTGTTCGCTGCAGGGTCGGAAGTAGATGACGATTCACTGAAGGGGCTGACTGCTACACTCAACGAGCGAATGGCGAGCATTGTGCCAAGCTACATGATACCTTCGGTGTACATACCCGTACAGAAGTTACCCATGACGGCATCAGGAAAGCTGGACAGACGTGGATTACTGCAAATCGGAGCGTCACTGTCTCGCGAACAGCTAGATGAGCTGCGACCAGCATCCATCGACTACGAAGCACCCAGAACCTCTGCGGAGATGCAACTTCAACAGCTGTGGGCTCGCATACTGCGCATTGATACCAGTAAAATTGGTACCTGCAGCAGCTTCTTCGAGCTTTCAGGCGACTCAATAAGTGCTATGCGGCTTGCGAGTGCTTCCCGAGAAGCTGGATTGTCTGTGACTGTGGCCGACATCTTCACCTCACCCAGACTGAGTGACCTTGCAAGTCGAATGAAGAGTTCGGCCGACAGTTATCTTGATCCAGAGCCTTTCTCTACCCTGCCTGAAGACGTGCATGACAAAGGCTTCTTTGAACAAGAGGTTGCCGCCAAAATTGAGCATGCCTATGGGCGTATCGAGGACGTGACGCCCATCAACAGCGCCCAAGAAAGGTACATCAAAGCCGCACTGAACGAACCCCTTCGGCGTTGCTACCACTGGTGGGTTGACTTTCCTGCTGGGACCGATGTTGGACGACTCTCCGAGAGCTGTGCTCGTCTGTGGGAGCACATCGAGATTCTCAGATCAATTTTTGTCCTGACGCAGGACAAATACTGGAGAGTCGTCTGCAACGGCATAGAGCCCTCCATCGCGGCCTATCAATGCGATGAAGATGTAGCTCAGGCGGCAGCAGCCACATACAGAGAGGACTCTAAACTGATGCTCCGTCTCGGGACGTGCTGGACAAGATTTATGATCCACCATTCGTCAACTGGACCGGTTCGATTGACAATGAGGTTGTCTCACGCCCAGTACGATGGACTCAGCATGTCACACATTCTATCCGCACTGCTCGCCTTCCAGGACGGACACTCTCCCCCACCAGCTCCTTCTTTCTCTGGTTTCATCAATCACTGCCAACGGAAAAGTGAATCAAGCCAGCGGTACTGGACTTCATTCTTGAAGGGCTCCCGGATAACTACCATCGTCGACAATAATACAAGTCTCGTGAACACCCAAGACTCGTCCATCGTGTTGAAGAGGAGGGTATCTACCCCAGAAGTTTCAAAGTCTTTCACTCCCGCGACAGCCTTCACCGCGGCCTTCTCCACCGCACTCCGCAAATCCACACACCAGACGGACATCACATTCGCCCTCCTCATCTCAGGGCGTTCGAGTCTTCCACCAGGTCTCGAAAACGTGGTTGGTCCCTGTCTGAACAACGTCCCCATTCGAGTAAGGGAGCAAGATGGAGCAGACTTCGAGGAGGTAATGCGAGCAATCTACAACCAGCGCGTGCAGAGCCTACCGTATGAGACTTACAGCTTCGACGACATTCGTCAAAACTGCGTCGATTGGCCCGAAGAGCAACGAGACAGCGGGTTCTTCGTGCACTTCCAAGATTATGAAGAAGATGCCTCATCAGGCTCGACGAATTCAGGGATGAAGCTGACCCCTGTTGAGAAAGATGAGGCGATTGAGAGTCAGCAGATCACGGTGCTGGCAACGCCATGCGGAGATGGCCTAGAGGTGGAAATGAACGCTAGTGCGAGATTTCATTCGAGAGGTGTTGTTGAAGGATTGTTTGAGGAGTTGGTGAGGGTACTGAAAAGCATGTGAGATTGATTTCGATGGCGTTTTGGTTATGGACAAGAGTTACGAGGATTTTAATCGACTTTAAATTGGGAGTACGTTCGCGGTAGTCGTTATAACACAATCTATCACTCGGATTGGTTTCTCTGTGCAGCCTCACTTGTCACTTCACTCCTGGCTTTAATACGATCCTTGGATCGTCTTCACCGTCTCCCTTGCCTCTTCAATCAATTGCGTGTTCACTCAAGTCCTCACTTCGATGCCGTTTTCTCGTCACTACTGTCTTTAGTCTCGACTTCACAGATCGATAAATACCCTATACTCCTTCTTTGACTCTCCCTTCACCTTTGTGCTCACTTGAATCCTCACTTCGACCCTACTCTATACTCACAGCTGCGCTTAGTCTCGAGTTCACTAGGGAGATCATTTTCAACTTCAGTCCGCATCTCACTTGCGTAATGAACTACCACTCACCCACAAGGACTATGTCTTAGTTCTTGAACAGCATGTCCGAAGTCCTACTACGATAAGGCTCCATACTACGCTATAGTTAAAGCAATAGGGAAGGAGAAAAGTTTGACATGGTCGAGCCTTCAGTTAAAGGCCGAATAGTACCGCGTCAATCGCGAGACGGTCCTGTTGAAATGTTTCAGCTAGTACTAAGTCTGTCAGATGTTCCCCGTTCCAACTAAATCATCGAAGTATCTTGAACCGAAGTTCCTCGTCAACCGCATCCCCCGTGCAACTAATAGGACAGGCGGCTCCGGGTCGCATGCAGTGCCATGGATGCCCAAGAGTTGCTGGGGAAACATGACAAGAACATCCTGTGCGCCTTCCCCTGGTCGACACAGTCGTTCAAGCAACAACGCCTCCTCCCATGTCGACTGCCAAAGCATCCTCATCGCCGTCCCCTCGTCACGACCTGAAACCCTACATTCACGACATCTCCCCACCGCAACACCACCAACCAAGCCATCGATATCCAACATCCTCAACCAAAAATGCCCGCTCTCACCCGGCGAAAGTCAACCCTCTCCCTCAAATCCACCAAATCGAGAACCCTCCCCCTCCTCCGCCGCTCAACAACCCTCCGTCTCGGCCGCCGCAAGAAACCCGATCCCCTCCCCATCGAAGAAAACGGGCCGTCATCCCCGCTCCTCGCCCTCCCACCAGAGCTCCGAAACCAGGTCTACACGTATTGTCTCCAGCTGTCCACGCGAGAGAATCGGATCGAATTGCGAAATCTACCTATTCCGCCGCTGCTCGGAACGTGTCGACAGGCGATGCAGGAGGGAATATCAATCTATTTCGCGGAGAACTACTTTGTGTGGACGAGAATGTTCAAGCACCGGTATCGATTGGAGGAGATGATCGTGCCGCCACTGCACTATCTGAGGGAGAAGGTCTTGATCGGTGGTGAACTGATCCAGATGGGCCCGATCTTGGACATGCGACTCGACGCTTGGATGCCGTGGGTCTGGAGATTCGGCGGTCGAGGTATGGAGGATGAGGTTCATCGGATCCATCTCGCGAGTATTACACGGCCGGCCGTGCCATCGAACGGAGCGTGGGTGACTTGTACGGCGTGGGTGCAGCGGGATATCAAGCAGATTTTGAGGGGTTGGAGACCGGTGGAACAAGGGGGCCCGAGTTTTGATGAGGTTATGGATGAGGTTGTGGGTGCGATATGGTTTTATCATAAGGTCTTAGCGACGCCTGGCGGCTGGCCTCCGAGGATGGGATTTTTAACGTGGGTGAGAGATAAGATTATGAAATCGATGGATGACCAGGATAGGAGCTGGGGGAGGTGGTAGATAGTGGAATGCCAGTTCACCCCTGCATCTCCGCTTGTTACGAAGGCTTGGTCAGCCTGACCGACAGCCTGGCTCATCTCGAAGTGATGGGGATAGTCGCCGGAATCCATCATCAAGAGTTGAACTTAGTTCGTCCCAAGCAGCGTTGATATCTGAGGGTCACAGATCCAATTCTGTTGGCTACTGGAAAAACGCTCAGTCGTTTCCGTCGGTTTCGCGATCCCAGGCCCGTGAAGCCATTCCTGTCAAAGTCCTGGGCCTCCAATGCCAGAGCATCACCGACACTCAAAGCCATGTCAACTTCTGCCGCGAAACGGATGCAACGGTCCTCCGGGCAACGGCAGCCAGGGCCTGCGACAGAGCTCAGACTTCGACTCCCGAGATCGAATTCAAGCATCGCCTGTCCTACGATGTCGAACTTATCCGGAACATCAATCGATCGTCTCAGTACCAAGGCAATTCTTTCGGGAAACCATGCTTGTATCAGGACGTCACCGGCAATTGCTTCTGGACACAGCGCTGCGATCATGTGCGGGCCATCTTTCACATACTTGTATCCTGAAGAAGACTGTAGACGACTTGAAAGAGTGCTCCTGCCCATCTCCTTGATACTGCCCTGCCACGTCGTAAGAGGCGGAACCGCCAGCTCGTCTCCACGCACTTCGCTAAGTTCGACACATTCCACCACTGCGTTGTTCAGAGACTGGTTGTACAACGGAAAGGCGTACCTCTGGTCCCTCAAAGGGCATGGAAGGGACTCTAAAACTCCTGAGCCTATGTCGTGCTGCCGCTGCAGCAAAGCTTGCAAGTCTGGTGTCGTTTCGTCGATGCCAAAACGAGATAGGATTAGTTCACAAAAACCTCCGTTTATTTCAACATCATCTCCGTCCGTGACTATGGCGCGCACCTGCAAAGCCAATTCAAATGGTGTTTTCGAATAGTCCGGCTGTAGAGGCTGCATGTCCAATGAGACCCAGTCCACTAGGCCTATCAGTCCGTAAATGAAATCTCGAGGGTCCGCGCAAAGCAAGTGCGAATTCCTGTAGAACAAGTCGCACAGCCTGGTCGAGATGGAATGGTTGCTCGCAAGGGTGTCCATCATAGACGAGTTCGGCACAAGTGCCTGATGGCAGACCCAATACCCCGTTGGGACCCATCGATCGATAGAGCGCCTGTGCTTGATCCTAGACAAAACGCCTCGACCCTGAACACCTTCGTGCGAGGTGCCCCATATAAGCTCGTAGAACCAGACAAGGATGTGGCCTGTCACTATATCCGAGCCGCACATGAAGTAGACGTGGCGTCCACCAAGAGCACCTGCGAAAAGTTCCTGAACAACCCACAGCCGACTCCAGTACGTCCTGTCGCTCAATGACCTTGAGCTTGCAGCAAGACTTGCGATGTCAATGTCGCTTAAGCTCGAAAAGATCTCGTGCCAGATCGGTGATTGAGAGCGTTGCAGATATCCGCGTTCTACCGTGATATCCGTTCTGTCCATGATGGCGTGCATTGTCTGCATTAACGCAAAAAGCTCGCCGCTATTATCTGCGGCGGCTCCTAAGCCAGCAAGCACCCGCGAAGCGTTTTGGTATATCTTGAACATGATCGCGACCTGGCTACTCTTCTCCAGAGGTTTGTTCTGTTCGATGCATATGGAATCGACCCAGATGCGAGAATTCGGAAAATGGCGAGTAGCTTGTTGTAGAACACAGTAGCAGCTCTTCTGCACTGGGTGTAGGTGTAGATTGCCACTGATGCGAACAGCTCTGCGCTCCGACTGCTGCACCTCTTGTATGGAGGCCCGGAGGCGTTTTAGCTCGAACTTTTGGGTCGCAAGTTGTCGAGGTACCAAAGAGAAGTCGAATTTCTCGAGCGCAGTACGGGCGTGAGGCGTCATAATGTGATCGGTATTTTCTCCACTGCGTATCTGGCTCCACCATAGTACACAACCGAACTCAGCATACAGTCTCCAGTGCGCGAGACTTCGTCTCGATCCGACCTCTTCTAACCAAGCACGAAAGCTATCATGATACTCCTGCGTGATAGCCTCCGGTTGCAGGTACTTCTCCAGCCGCTCAACAAGCTCAACCTGCTCAGCCTCTTCCCGAAACAGCTTTGGTATCTCTGACGGCCCGTTCGGATCTCCCCAAGTATATGAGATGGCATTATACGGCGGCGCCTTCTCCAGACCCCACACCGATATGTCGAAGGAGAGTATCTCACCAGGAGCCGTTGGACGAGGTTTGAGGAGTCTGATTTGTTTCGAAGAATCCTGCAGAGGTGGTAGGGCGGCCATTTCGGACGGAGGTCAGAGAGGAATTGTGTTCGTGAGGCTTTTGTGAGGGTTCAAAGGGGAAAGGTGGTCCATATCGCAGGGTTGGAGAGGAAGAGCTGCTCAGCCACTGTGTGTAACGTGCTGAGCCACCATAGTCAGCCTGGGAGAAGAGGGTGCAGTGAGACCGTATACTCGAGCGTCTTGAAGATGTCGTCTCGCTGGGAGAGCCTTGCTGGGGTCTCCAAACTGGAAGACGGTCATACGAAAAATCCGACAAAGCAGGTGCGCACATCTGAGCTCACTTCTGTACAACGTTTCAGCCGTTGTCCTTGGCTCGAAACACGTCGATATCAGGAGTTCGAGGATAGTGTATGGCGTCGAGCTAGATTCTGTCCTCGTACAAGCGGCAGCAACGGGGCCTGGAGTTCAATATCCAAGGTTTGCTGTGTTTGCTTTAAGGAAGTGACGAACGGCACAAGGCCCACACGATGAGACGTCTCCATTCCGCATCGCAACAATGCTCCCTCATTCTCTACATACACTCAGTAGTATCAAGCCGATGACGCACAAGCCACGCCCAAGACTCCATGATGTGAATGAAAAGGGGGTATATCATCCAATCAAAAAAAGCGCACCACATCGTGGAGAGTCCAAACTCCTCCCATAGCACACAGCACACGGGCTTCATCCCACTCCCAAGAACCGAAAGGAAAACATCTACAATATTGAAATGAAAAGTCATCCCTAGAACAGCGGCAGCGAAGGCTCGCTCATCCAGTGCGTCTCCCTGCGCAAATCCGCCACCGTCCTGCGTTGCCGTAGTCCCTGCGTCGTGGCGGTCATGACCGAGCTGTTCTATTGCGCCGGCGGCTGATCGCCACTGTTGTTATTGTTCTTGCTGAAGACACCTTGGGCGCTGCCCAGGCCCTTGTTCATCCAGCCGTACCACGACCCACGGTTCGCTGCGTTCTTGGCCGCGTTCTCATCCTTGGCTTCCTGGACCAAGCGTAGTGGACGTGGCTTTGAGCCCATCATGATAGCGCCGCTGGGCTTGTCTTTGTCGCCGCTGCTGGTTGTGCTGCGTGGAGGTGATGATGGGTTGGATCGTTCGGACGCGAGAGCACTTTCTGTCGCGCTGTCGACATGTTCGATGCCGCCAGCCGTGCTCGAGATGACACTGTTGCGGTTGCTGCTTGCAATCTTGCTGTCGCGCTGCTCGTTGTCTTTGTCGACGTTGGTCTCCGAGATCGTGGGCACGTTAGACCCCGACGATGGCGCACGCATGCCTCCGAAGAACGAGTTGCGGTTCGTTGGCGATGTCAAACCTGGACTCAGAGGTCCCATGGTCTGCTGCGGGCCACGATACATATTCGTGACGACACTCGCAGCAGGCCATTCTGAGTTTGCACGCCTGTGCCCACCTGCACGGGTAGAGGCAGACCTTCCAAGCGGCACTCGGGGGGCTGTCTGTGGATCTTCGTGCTTGGACGGCTCGATTGAAAGAGATGCTCGTGGTTGGGTCTCGACTTGTTCTGGGTTAATGGTTTGTGATGTTGGTCTCGGCTTCGGCTTGCTGCTTCCCATAACGCTCTTAGCTCGTTGCAGAAGGCTGGGCTGTTCGTCCTTTTCTGGCGGAGGTGGTGGCAAGTCCTTGTCTTTATCGGCCTCTTGGTATTTTCGACTTATGGCGTTGGGTCCAGCCATGAGGTCGGGCGTCTTGTCAAGAATTTGTTCGAACTGCTCATGCTGTAGCAGGCGCGAGATGATATTGTTAATATAAAGCGTGAGCGCCCGGTTTTGGTCTTTCAAGCTGTTAACTTCAGCCTGCAGGCGCTTGTGCTCCTCTCCGCCCTCGCTGTCAGCTTGAGACTCTAACTCATCAGCCAGAGTAGTTCCACCACCAGAGCGGGCCTCTGACGCGTCGGGCTCTCGAGACGGTGGTCTTGAATTGTTATTGGAAGGCGCCCTCAAGAAGTTGCCAAAGTCGCCGTTCAGCGTTTTCTCGCTGAGCAGAAGTTGGAACGATTCGTTTTCTTCCATCAGCCGAGCGTTCTGCATCTTGATGTCGTACATTTGCTTTTGCAGCTCTTGCATGTGGCCACCTCCCATGTGCTCGGCTTCCACCAGTTTCACTTGTGCTTCTGCCAGCTCCAGACGAAGCGCTTCTATCACTTTGTCTTTCTGCATCAAGAGTTTCGAGTTTTGTCGTGAGCTGGAATCACTCCTTTGCACGGACGATGGTGCGAACTGTCTGTCGAACGCCTCTGGGTTTGGTGATGGATTACTGCTACGGCCATGGCTGGATTGTCGCGATATGATGGGACGCCGTTCGTCTTCAAGACCAGCGCGCATCTCTCGTTGGCCCAGTGTCTCCTTCATGCGCTGCAGAGCCTGCTGCATCTCTTCCTCACGGGTGGCCACTTCCTCCTTCTCCTTCAACGCCGCAGCTCTTTCTGACTCGTAGATCTGCTCCATCTCGCGACGAGCTCTCAAGCTTTCCTTTTTGTCATTCTCAAGGTCTTCAATGTGTTCAGTATGCTCGTGCACTCTTTCTTCCAGGAGGCCCTGCTCCTTGACCGCCTCGTCCAACTTCACCTGCAGCACTGCTGAATGTTTCTGAGACTCTTCATAAGCGGCTTCGGCCTGCTGTAGTTTCTGCTGTAATTCTTCCATCTTCGCTTTCATCTCGGCTTTGGCGTCTTCTTCGGCTGGATCAGGAGTTTGTTTTCTGGCAGCGGCAGCAGCACGAGCGGAGACAGGAGCACCGTTGCGAACAGATCGAGTGCAATTGATGCCGTTAGACGTTGTGGAGGCCGTTGCTGAGGCCGGCTGGGATGATGCGGTCATTCTGGACGGGCTGCGCGAGGGAGGTGCGGTGGTGGCTGCGGTGGATGGAGTGCCGCGCCCTGCGCCGGGAGGTTTCTTATTGTTGGGAGTAGACATGCTGAGTCGCCGGTAGTAGTGGGAGTGTTGACTGCGCGTTGGCGCGCGCCAGCATACGTCGGTGGGCGAGTCGTCTTATCGTGGCATGTGATATGCAGGTGCGGTCAAGTATGGCGATCCGCCGAGAATAGAATGGCGGAGCAGGGCGCACGCGAGCGAGAGCGCTGACTCGGCAGTGGCGATGGCAATGTCTGGTAGCGCAGAGGGAGAAGGCGCGACTTAGTGATGTTGGTATGTAATATGGAGGAAAAGGAGTCGCTGTTGTTTACGGACAAAAGTTGGCAGATTGTCGAGGGCAGCACCAGCATGTGCCTCGTCTCCATCTCCATCTCTCGGGCCGCCGCATCTGCCCCTGTCGTCCTTGTTTCTCATCTCACCGCCATCGGAGGCTACAGCCAGCAACACGAAACGCTCGTTGCATTGCAATGATTTCCATCGCGATCTCCGACTATGCACTTGAAATACTCCGAAGTGGCCGGGTGTTGGTATCGCATTAATTGACGTCGTGTTTCCGGCAAATGTCATTCCAGAATAGAGTTAGGGTTGCCGATCTCCCGTGTGCCGCATCCCGCATCGCACGTGACACCACTTTTCTACATCTATCACTCAGAGCTCTGTCTCGTTTCGATTTCCACCTCAGCACAGGCCTTGACTGCCTCCCGACTGTCCACCATGGATCTACGAACGTACGTTTCCGATCACTTGATCAAGCTGGATGGAAGCAGCTCAGATATGACAGTCGAGTTCGTCCTCCAAGCAGCCAAGTCTGCAAAGTCGCCCGGTGCTTTGCTGGACAAGCTGTCGCAGATGCTGGACGCTGGGAATTCCGAGTTGAAGCGATTTAGTGATGACTTGTATGCGCGCGTGGCTAAGCCTTCCTCCAACGGCACTTCACTACCCAAGCGCGACAAGCCCAAGGAAGGGAAGAAAAAGTATGCGCTTGTGGAGATGGAAGTTGAAGAGGAAGCGCCGCCTCCCAGAGAAGAGCGCAAAGAAGAACGCCGGAAAGACCGCGATAGCGATAAGAAGTCAAGACCCAGGTCTGAGCGAGAGAGAAGGCGATCGAGAAGCAGAGACCGGCCTAGCAAGAAGCTGAGGCGAAGAGATGATGGTGATTTCGACGATCGATGGGGCGATGAAGAATACGAGGAAGAAGATGAGTTTCCTTCGCCTCCAGCAAAGCGAGCGAGATTCGACGATGGCTCTGCGTCCCCGCCTCGAAGGAGTCCAGATCCAAAGGAAGACGAAGACGAGGAAGAGCGGGACAGAAGGGAGCGAAAAGAGTTCGAAGAACGGCTCAAGAACAAAGATGCTTCATCTACGAAGAAAGTGGGGGAAGATCGCTCGTCCAAACGAGATGCGGCCGACGCTGAGAGGAGAGCACAGGCTGGAAAGCTGTCTGCAGATGAGATGAAAGCTTTGAGATTAAGATCAAGACAGGACTACTTGAAAAAGCGATCTGCCCAAGAACTCGCACTTTTGAGAAAACAAGTCGCAGAGGAGGCTGAAGAAGAGCGCACGAATCCAAACCTGTCCCAGGCAGAAAGAGAGGAGTTCATTCGAAATCGAGAAGCTTTGCGTTTGGCAGAAGAGCGAGAGGGCATCGATGATCACTACGATGGATACGCGATGCCGGAAGATTACATCACAGAAAAAGGCAAGATGGATGTCAAGAGGAAACAAGACGCCTTGTATAGTCGTTACGTTGATCGAGATGAGCACGGCCGAGAGCGATACGTGACTGAACATGAAGAATGGGAACGAGAGCAGCTTGCCAAAACCAAAGCCCAGATCGTTGTCGCGGATCGTGTCAACGAGGGAGATTACGAGTATGTCTTCGACGAGGAACAACAGCTCAAGTGGGTTACAGATGCAGCCATGCAAGGATCGATGAGCAAGTTGGAGTCCCCAGAACAGCGACTTGCCGCTCAGCAACTCATTGCTGCTGAGAGAAAAGCCAATACGATCCAGGAGAAGCGTAAGACCCTGCCAGTCTACAAGTACCGAGACATGTTTTTGGAAGCGGTAGAAAAGTATCAGATCGTCATCATCGTCGGTGAGACCGGCAGTGGTAAGACTACCCAGCTGCCGCAGTATCTGTATGAAGCCGGCTACTGCGAGAACGGCATGAAGGTCGGTTGCACCCAGCCTCGTCGTGTTGCAGCGATGAGTGTTGCAGCCCGTGTTGCAGAGGAAATCGGCGTCAAGGTTGGAAACGAAGTCGGGTATGCAATCCGTTTCGAAGACGCCACCTCAGACAAAACTGCATTGAAGTACATGACCGACGGTATGCTGCTTCGTGAGTTCTTGACTGAGCCCGACCTAGGTGGATACAGCGCTTTGATGATTGACGAGGCTCATGAGCGGACACTCCATACAGACATCCTGTTTGGTCTCGTGAAAGATATCGCTAGAGGACGGCCTGACTTGAAGTTGCTCATCTCCTCAGCGACACTCGACGCGCAGAAATTTAGCGAGTTCTTCGACAGTGCACCAATCCTGAACATCCCTGGACGAACTTTCGACGTCGAGATGAACTATTCGCTGCAGCCTGAGGCGAACTACCTGTCTGCCGCAATCACCACTGTCTTCCAGATCCATCTGTCACAGCCAATGCCGGGTGACATTCTGGTTTTCTTGACAGGACAGGATGAAATCGAACAAGCCGAGCAGTCCTTGCAAGAGACGGCAAAGAAGCTTGGATCCGCAGCTCCAGAGCTCATGATATGTCCAATTTATGCTAATTTGCCAACTGATCTCCAGCAAAAGATCTTCGACCCGACGCCACCAAAAGTACGAAAAGTCGTCCTGGCCACAAACATTGCGGAGACCAGTCTGACCATCGACAACATCGTCTATGTCATCGATCCTGGCTATGTCAAAGAAAACCGCTACACACCTGTTACCAACATGGAGTCCCTTGTTGCAGTGCCGATTTCGAGAGCGTCTGCCAATCAAAGAGCTGGTCGAGCTGGACGAACTCAACCGGGAAAGTGCTTCAGGTTGTACACCAAGTGGGCGTACTACAACGATCTGCCCGAAAGTACAACGCCCGAAATCCAGCGAACGAACCTCATGAGCATTGTCCTCCTGCTGAAGTCTCTCGGCATTAACGATCTGATCAAGTTCGACTTCATGGATCCTCCTAGTCCAGAGATGCTCATCCGCTCTCTCGAACAACTCTACGCCCTAGGTGCACTGAACGATAAAGGCGAGCTAACCAAGATCGGGCGCCAAATGGCTGAATTCCCTACCGATCCTATGCTCGCCAAAGCCGTCCTCGCCGCCGACAAAGAAGGCTGTGTTGAAGAAGTGCTCTCCATCATCGCTATGCTTGGTGAAGCTAGCGCACTCTTCTACCGACCCAAGGACAAGAAACTCCAAGCCGACGCCGCTCGTGCCCGCTTTACTGTCAAGGAAGGCGGCGACCATCTCACCTACCTCAACATCTGGAACCAGTGGGTCGACAGCGACTTTTCGTACGTTTGGGCGCGTGAGAATTTCTTACAACAACGTTCCCTCACCCGTGCCCGCGACGTTCGCGACCAGCTGGCGAAACTTTGTGATCGAGTCGAAGTCACCCTCTCCACGTGTGGTGCCTCCAACCTCCCTCCAATCCAGCGCGCCATCACAGCCGGCTTTTTCCCTAACGCCGCCAGATTACAAAGAAGTGGAGACTCCTACCGAACCGTGAAGAACAACATGACTGTGCACATCCATCCCAGCTCAGTCCTGATGGATGTCCGGCCGAAGTGGGTCATCTTCTACGAGTTGGTCCTGACTAGCAAGGAGTTCATGAGAAGCGTGATGCCCTTGAAGCCAGAGTGGTTGACAGAGTGTGCGCCACATTACTACAAAGCGGGCGATATCGAGGCCCTTGGAATCGACAAGGCGATGCCGAAAATGAGGGAACAGAAGTAGTGACAGGAAGCAGAACTAGAAAGACGTTGGAAGAAGAATCCTGATGAAGAAACCTATCAAATCTCCACGACATTTTCAATCCACTCCTTGCCTTCCTCCCATCACTCAACACTCGTAACCTCAGCAACACTCCCCATACCCAAAAAATCCAGCTTCCCCACTTCCACGCCCCGACTCCTCAAAATCCCATAAGCCGTAACGAGATGAAAGAAGAAATTCGGCAGCGCGAAATTCTGCAGAAACAGCAACGCCGTTGGGAAATCTAGTTCCCTTTTGGATAGTTTCACGTGGATGGGGGTGTCCTACCCACCAAGAATCAGCATCAGGATTAGACTAAAGATATTGGCATGGGATAAGGTGGGATGGTGAAAGGACGTACCGGAGCAAGAAACGTCTCTCGCCTCGCGGTCTTCAGCAGGGCGATAGTCCTCTCAATCCGGGCGTACAGTTCCGGGAACGTGGTCTCGTTATCCTGCATGGGCGTCTCGCTCATCCCGCCGATGCGGTGTAGAATTCCCTTGGCGGTGTTGGAGGCGGATTGGATTTGGAAGGTTAGGGGCTTTGAGGCAGCAACAACAAGAATCAGCATATATACACACACCACTCAAGATGAATGATGAGGCAGGGAAAGGCAACGTACAAGCATATCCTCCACCAACTTCCCCTCCAACAAAATCTTCTTGTCGAGGTTGTGCGTCGAACACCATTCTTCGCCTTTGTGCAGGATGTGGTTGAGTTGGGTGAGTTGGCGGATGAAGAGCGGGATGGTGAGGTCGTAGAGGGAGGCCATTTTTACTCTTTCTGTATTGTCGTGCTCGGTAGAGATATCTTCTCACAATTAGTCACTGGGAGAAAGACGTATTTTGAGGTTTCGTTATTGTTGCACGCCAATGAATCCTAGAGATGAATGATCGAAAGCAGACGTGGCATCCCTTCTTTCACACATTTCTCCAACTTTTGTCGTTTCCTGGCTATGATCTTATATACATCCCATAGCTTGGCCAACAAGTCCTACTAGTCTTTGAAATCTCGTAAAAGTCGGACCAACTGAACTTTAGCCTTTAATGCATTACAAATCTCGCAGTATGTGGGTCGGTCAGTCCGGTCCTCGACTAATCGTCTGTTGCGAGGTCTGATTACCTGAAAGAGCAAGGGTTGCATTTCTCTCGCAACCTTTACCATACAACACAACCAATATGACATTGGCAGGGAGTTTATCGTTCTTCAAATATTCCTTCATAAGGCGTTGTCAAAGGGAGTGTACAACTACCTCTTCGATCTTACATCAACCAAGAATCAAATAATATACCTATACCCCTTCTGCAACATCCTCGCAGTGGCAATATCAATCCCCTCCAACTCCGCCGTCTTCTCCAACTTCTTCACGTCGCGCTCCGTCAGCGTGGCGTCCTCGTTCTCCATGCGTTCGAGCTGGCGGTTCTGGTACTGCAGGTAGAACCGCATGATGATGCCGCAGATGCCCGCGATGCCCACGAGGCCGATGTTGATGCCCATCGCTTCGCGGTAGTAGGGTTTGTCGGCGTCGTTGTAGGTGAAGGGCGTCCAGATGGAGGCCGCGTTGCCGATGCTGTTCATGAAGGCGAGGGCTGCGGCGCGTTTGGCTGGGGGCCGGGGGATGGCGTTGGCGATCCAGGCGTAGATCTGGAATTTCAATGTTAGTAATGTGGTTGTTTGACAGGTAGACTGCAGCACTTACAGTTCCGTTCATGACGAAGATGAAATTGAGCAAGAACAGGCTGAAGTATCTCGGTCCGAATCCATCGGTGAACATGAACAGCAGGGCTCCGACGATTACAATCGGGACAGGGTACATGTAGAACCAGAAACGATTGCCGACCTTGTCGGAGGTCAAGCCGTGTGCCAGGGAGTAGAAGACCGTAAACACGTATGGCGGAGCAACCAGCAACAATGAAATAATACTGTCGTATCCAAGAGTCTGCGTTAACGTTGGATAAAAGTTTTGGAATCCTGCAGCGCCTGTGATTCCATGGTAGGCAATAGCCAGTATGTACGTCTTAGGGTCCTTGAAGGCCGCCTTCATACCAGCGAGATGGCTCGTCTTGCCGCCGGCATCAAGGTCAGCTTCCGCAGCGTCAAGGGCCATTCGGCGATTGGCGACGGCCTTCATCTCTGGAGTGAGAAGTTTCCACGTGTGAGGGAAGTCTGGGAGGAGGAACGTGACGACAAATCCTATGAAGATGGTGACGGTGCCTTCGATGATGTAGAGCTTGTGCAAAGTCAGCGGATGTGCTGGGATCAGAAAGAGGGTTGGTTGACTCACCCATCGCCATGAAGCCAAACCACGAGCGCCGTCGAGGCCACTGAGAATGCCAGCCGCGATCAGGCTGCCAAAGGCTCCAGAGATGAGGGATCCAGAGTAGAAGATTGACATTCGTAGGTTGAGTTCACTTTTGGTGTACCATTTCGAGAGATAGAATAAAATTCCACTTGATCAACTGTCAGAGAGCCTTTCACGTGAACACTTTCCCATACAGGCGTTAATGTACTCACGGAAAGAACGGTGCCTCCACCACACCGAGGATGAATCTGCACGCGACGATCCCGCCATAGCTTTGCACCTGTGAGGTGAGCGTAGATACCAAGCCCCAGGCAATGATGAAGAAACCAAGGTACCAAGATGGCTTGCCGCAGAAGTTGAGCATTGCGTTCGATGGGACTTGCATGAGGACCTATGCTTCCGTTAGCATGACGTCCCAGGGAGGGTGTACATCCGACATACATAGCCGACGAAAAGAATGCTGAGTCCGACTTGGTACTCCGTGTCATTCAGATTCAAGTCTCGTTCCAATCCCTGCAGCTTCGCCGCGGCATAGTTGTTCCGGTCGATGTAGTTCATCAAGTAGACCAGCACCACCAGCGGCATGATGAGGCTGTCAATCTTCCGGCGAAGCTTCTTCTCGATGACCCTCTCTTCCTCGGTCAATTCCACCATGTGGCGGGCCTCTTCCTTCGTGACTTCATCGCCAATCGTTATGTCATGATCATGGATCTCCTTGTGGATGTTGTCGCCTTTCTCGTTGCCATCCTTCAACAGCGTGGTCTGAAAGGCCGCCGGGAGGTCTGTCACTAAGGAGCCCATCTTGGACAGAGGCGATGGGAAATTACGGTGAATGAGTAGGGATGGAAGACGCACAGAAAGCTGACCATCAACCACAAGGTCAGAATGCAAACGCAAGTCGGACTTAGCCTGTTTATGTCTGCGAGCGCCGATCACATGCCAAGACAGTGTGGAGGCGAACTGAGGGGAAGTGCTGGTGCAGCGTAGGTGTGTCCGTCATCCACATTGGCTCGATAGTTAGATCGGCAGTTTTAGATGCACCACATGGCATGCACATGCGCTGAGATTCGAAAAGCGGCGCCGGAGCGAGCAGACGGACGCGGATACTTCTCCTGGTGAGACGCCGTCAATGGCCTGGGTGTTTAGGCTCAATCTTTACCCAGCTGCAGCACAGACCTGTGATTACATTCTCGTCCACAAGAAGCTAGGTTCACGGACTGTGATCCGGCTGTACCACGCTGCATGAAGCGTAGACTTTCGACAAGCCGTGAGCGGAGGAATGCTTGATGTGCTTGTACTTTCACGCTCGTCGATGAGATTGACGGCCTGTCTTTCGAAGGACATGTCTCTCGATATCGTAGATCAGGAGCATACGATGTCACAAGCGAGGCATCTTCCCCAGACCAAGCTCCGCAGAGATCCCCAGTTTCCACTGTGGATACCGCGGGGTACAGTACTGCCGAAGAAGAGGCGGATAATAGTGTCACATTTACGCGTCTTAGCGGTGATGGATTGTGCTTTTCCATCTCTTATCAATGCTGTGAGGTACTTGGAATATCGGAATAGGCCTTGTTGCCTTGCGTCGCTACCAACAATCTCTTTCCCGAGTCCGGCAGCATCCAGCTTTTGTGGAGAAGTGTGACGCTTTTACGCACCTCAGGACCCAATGCTGGTATCGCTCTGGGCTGCTTGACGCGTGTCGAATGGAGAGGCAAGTGTGGATCCTGAGTCGTGGTGGCCGGGTGCTTCACGGTTGGGAACTGCTTTTGACGTGGGAGAAACGCTACGCAATTATCTGGAGTCGACATAAGCGACTTCAGGTATGATATGTCGTGTTCCCTGAACTGCATGAGCGGCAGCAGGCCATGCATGTGTTGCCGGTAGGATCATCGTGCGGCAGGTCCGTGGGATAACGTCAAGTTCCTGATTCTGGCCGAGCGTAGTTCAACTCATGTGCAGGGGCGAGAAGACGTCTGGGAAAGAGAGGCACGCTCGTTAACGCAGGGCAAAGATGGTGTTCATGTGTGTTTGAGTGTGTTTGGTTTGTAGGCAGATTCACGTCGAGTGGAGCCAGCAAAAGCCGCGTGGCGCACGGTCCACCGCGTTCGACAACTTCACGTCCTCACTTTCCTTCACAACTCGAGATTTCATTTTATACGTCTTCTCTGCGAATAGTTCACGAGATTCTACGACATAGTACTCAATCCTTTGCCAGAGTTCAAGATTTCCTCGTCGACAACGAACGCTTCAACCTACCTCCCAAGTCATGCGCTGGCAGTAGAAGCTGGATTGCCTAATTAATTCGACGGGCTGAGTATGTGGATAATAGTCCGCTTTCCAGCGCTGTGAGTTTCTGGTCCAACAGCTGCTGAAGAGATGTGAAACGAGACTCGTCCGAGAAAATTCAGCGACCATCCTACGTTGATGACCAACGACAGAGGATTAGTCGCGGCGAGGCCCGATCATCAATGGCTCATCATCTCCCGAATGCTGCTCTGATGCATCTTCGCAAGCCAGGTCCCAGCCCAAAAGCGTCTGATGGCCTTGCCCCAAAACATAAAGATGATAACGCAGAAGTTGTTGACGAAGAGCACGGCACAGAAGACTCCGGCGATAATCACAGCATAGCCATGCTGTTCGATCCAGTCGAGCAAGTCTGGTCGAAACCGTTAGTCTGGGGATCATCTGTACTTGGCGAAAGCACTCACAAATTCCAAAAGCGAAGCTTACAAGCTGCTTCCCGCAACACATTGCAATCAACATCTCGGAGACATTTGCATTGTACGAGTCCACGGCGTAGGCGAGTGTGCCGGTGAAATAGAAGTAGGCACCCCAGTTGCACATTGCGACTCCGAAGAAGTAGCCGATCCAATGGGCTTGATACTGTGCCGTCAGAACGTATACGATGAGGCCTGCGGGAGCGACGACTGCAGCTGGGAGGAGCACGCCGAGGCGCATCTCAGCTTCGCGGACAGAGTCATTCTTGCGTGTTTTGTATGCGGCGAGACTGTCAAAGGTGCCGATTAGAGGGATTGCTAGAGCGTAGCCGATGACGTTGCCTAGGCAGACGAGGCCTGAGTTTTCCTAGACGTACAATCAGTTCCCGGTGCAAGAAAATGTCTTAGTCCACTGACCTGACTCCAGTCATAAGGAGGAACGACGATGACAATTGGAAAAGTGTAGTTGAACACCAGCGCACCGAGCCCAATGTAAATGCCGTAAGTGGTCACAACCCAAACGACCGAAGGGATCAAGAAGTACGAGAAAGACCGTATGGCCGTCCAGAGGAAGGGCTCATCATGGTCGATACCGCCCCAGACTTTGAGACTTTGAAGAAATGACCTTCGGGCCGGTACTTGTGTTTGGATCTCCAGATGCTCGATATTCGCCTTTGGTTTGGTTGTCGCTTCTGCGGGTAGATGAGAAGGCTCGCGCAACTGACGCTTGTATGCGGTCTCTTCTACGAAGAGGAAGGTCATTATGAGCAGCAAGCCAGCGAAGGCGATCTCAACGTAGAAGTATAGTCGCCAGCTTTGCCCTCCTGCAAGCATGTATCCGGCGTACAGAGGTCCAGTCGAGCCTAGGCAGAGGCAAATCGTGTAGATGCCTAACTTTGTTGCACGCTCGTGTACTGCCTTGTCATCAGCCTTCGCCAATGGAAAGTATCGGGAAAAAACTCACGAAAGAAGATATCATTGACTAGCTGGACCGGTAGAGCCTCGCAAACGCTACTAGATAGGGTCTGGAAGAGTCGAGCGGTCATGAGTCCACTGTAGCTCGTACTTTGGCTGCAGCCTATCAGGGCCGCCACGTAGATGGCCATGCTCAGGAGCATGACGGGTCTTCGACCGAACTTGAGATACCTAATGTGCTGTAAGAATACAGACTGCCTTCAAGTAATGAAAACTTACATTGGCACTGTGACCAGAGTCCCACAGCCGTAAAGAATGTTTGGGTAAGAAATCAAGCCCGATGCCGTCGTAGGCGAGATGGAGAACTCATCGGCGTAGATGCTGATGTAGACAGATGGTCCCAGTAAAGCCGTGTTCGAGAGAAACGAGTAAAGGCAGCATATCACGAGGATGGTTGTCTTCTTCCATTTCGGCCATTGTAGTCTGCATGGCTCCCGTCAGTCTCAATACAGTTCTGGCTTTAACATGCAGTGACATACGGATCATTGGGATCCAAAGCAGGCACCGGAAAGAGTGCTTGGCCTCCAAAGGCGGTGTAATCGCCTTCGATTGCTTGGAGATCAACTGTGCCAGGAATTTCGCCTTCTTTGGCATGGCTAGTCGAAAGATCTTAGAGATCGATCAGTTTTCAACTTTGAGTGGACTCGCCTCTGAACCAAATGCAACTCTCGATTTGATGCCATTGTCGATGTCTATACGGTGGATACCTACAGACTACAGCATCCGCAGTTATGCGTGTCCATATAAAAGGCGAACACTGTCCGGCTAATGCCTTGCATTCAAGAGCCGTGCGTGTAACACCTACTTGCATTTCTCATTTCAGCCATCTTGCATGACTTGTCCATGCGGGGAAAGTGCGACGCCATCCAATCTCTTGCCATTACATCTTTAGGAACCATGCGAAGACAAGGATTGCTGTACAAGGGCGGCATGAGTCGATGAAACGGGTGTTCGTGGTTTAAGCGATGCGGAGATCTGAAGCTCGGCAGTTGTGAATGTCTCGTAGCCGGGTTGACCGAGCGTGTACGTCGCAAAGCAAAGCCATTGTCGGGTTAATACTAAGAGGATTTCAGGTTTTGGCGAATGGTAAAGACTTTACTTCTTGCCCATTGTAGCTGTCCAACAAGAATTGAACCTCACGGCGTCTTTGCCTGCTCGAAGCAGATAGTAGCATGAGAGCTTCGAGCGGCGTGCTACAGCATTTTCAGGCTGTATTTTGCACCTCTCAATGTAACGAAGGAACGGTAATTGCAGTGCGAAGATGAGATCGCGTGTGCTGTGCTTTGTTGAAGGAGAAGGCGACATGAAGGACGACGTGAAGTCGACGCCCAGTGGTCCGTGCACTGATGGGTCAAAGCCAAAACCACCTCCTTACCTTCACACAGCATCCTCTGCTTACACTGTTCCATCAGTCTGGGTCACGAGCTTGTCGAAAATTGCCTCAACTCACCTCAGCGGTACAGCCTGACGCTTCGGTCGGCTCTTCTTACGCACACAGAAGCAGTGCTCCTCGACAGCATCTCATCAGTGGCGTCTCGATGCTCCGTCGTCCGGAAGTGCAACGATATGCGATATGCATGATCCGGCAATCAGGATCGCTCGACGTTGGCCAGACCAAAGTCTCCCAGACCCAACCCCGCAAGAAACAGAAGATTGGCCGATGATTACTGGTAACCGCACAACGCCAGGCCAAGGTGGCTTTTGCCCTGCGGGGTGCAGATCTTATCTTCCCCGTGGGGTGGGCGATGGTTGATGGGCGTACCAGATCAGCTGAAGGCCTCACTATTGTGAGAAGGCTAAGCGCTAGCCCCTTTGAGCAGTATGGCGGCGGCCATATACCTCATTTTCCGGGAATGAGTTGCGAAAGACGAGGAGGTCCTTCCTACAATTGGCCTCGTCACGGGGTGATGGATATTGAACTCTTAACAACAGCCAAGCGCCTAACGATGCAATCGTTCACGAGCAGACGCAGGCACGAAACCGCAGGAGTGGATAAGATATCATAGAGGCCTCTGCACCACCCTGAACACGTCGACTAGCGAAGGTCGCTTGACTCCCCTCTTTTCTTGACTTTGAGTGTCGAGATTTGCGCCCAACATGGAGAACAAACCGCATACTGGCGACTCCAGCCCAGACTTCGAGCATGTCGAATCTGTACCCTCTGGCCAGCACATCAATGATCCGTCTTATGTCGACCACCGTGCAGACGATGATCGAGCAGACGAGGCCAAGGGTCGTAACTCGGACAAGATTGACAAGAGCTACTGGCTTTCAATCAACTTCATTGGCACCATGTTTGCGGTGGGAATGGCGTTCATGGGCGGAATTGGAGGTACGTTCCCACAAGACGCGCAGCGCTGTTGTCTCGCTCGCTGACAGTGTATTACAGGCTACGGTTTGATCGCGCCAGTGCTCAGCCAAATCAACGAGGAAATAGGTCCAGATCCTAATATCAATTGGGTGCCGTTGGTGAACTTGGCTGGTGGTGCTATCTTCTTCTTGATGGTTGGCCAATTGTCGGATATCTTTGGCAGGAGATGGTAAGGCTGCACTTCGTGTCGTAATTTCTCGCTGAGCTCATATCATGCAATAGGTTCTTTATCATCGGCTCCGTAATCGCTTTGATCGGCTCTATTATTGGCGCTACTGCTAAAGATGTGAACACTCTCATTGCAGCTGAGGTGTTTATTGGAATTGCAGTGGCCTTCCAGCAGTCATTCGTGAGTTGCTATGCTCCAAACTTTGGGCATGGAGAGCATTCGCTAACATGGCAACAGTTCTGGGTTGTTGCTGAGCTCGTGCCGATGAAATGGAGATATATGGCAAACTCCTACTGCTATTTGATGACTACGCCGACGAGCCCTTTGGCTGCAAGAGTAGCGTATAGCTTTCAAACATACCCTGGCAAATGGCGGAATAGGTGAGCTCATCTCACCTTGAAAACAGAACAAGAACTAATACTGCGAAGCTTCTATTTCCTCATCGCCATCAACGCCACGAGTGCGATTTCCTGGTACCTGTTCTACCGTAAGTTATGGAGAATCCTCGTCAACTTGCAGTCACTCATAATGTGTTCCACAGACCCACCGACTTTTAGCATGCTGCACAGGAAGAAGCTCGCACGGGACTTGTTTGTTCACTTCGACTGGATTGGTCTCATCCTGTACAGCGGCGGTACGATATTCAAGGCCAGAAGCTGTCTTCAATATTTGAGCGATTTGCTGACCTTCTTCTGCAGGCCTGTGCATTTTGATCTTCGGCTTGAATTGGGGTGGTGTTCTGTAAGTTGTTCAAGATCTTAGAGAGTTCAACATGCTAATGGACTGCAGCTACCCCTGGGACTCGCCTAATGTCATTGCTACCATGGTCATTGGAGGCGTCACGCTCTTCGGTCTCCTGCCAGCCTACGAAATCTTCGTCTCCAAGAGAGGCAAGGAGCCGTACCTACCTCTGCACCTGTTCAAGAATATTCGGTTCCAGTCGGCTGCTTGGAATACCGGGATTGGCGCCTGTGTCTATTATGGTGGTGCCATCGTCTTTCCCCAGGTCGTCACAACCCTCTACTATGGATGTGGCCTTATCAGCGAGTACGACGTGGGAACGCTTGCGGGACTTATCAACATGTCCTTCGTCTTCGCGCAGATGTGCCACGGCTTCGTCGTTTACATCTTCGGCCCTAAATGGTCCATGATCGGATCGGCTATCATAGCATGCGCACTCATCACGGCCTGTGCGACCGACCTGGACAATAAATCCTTGACACTGGGCTTGATTATCCCCGGATCTTTTTCCATCGGTATCGTAGAGTCAGTTTCCATCACGACCTCGACCTTTCCACTTCGCTCGCAGGAGGAGATAGGACAAGGCGGTGGACTCTCTGGGAGCACAAGGAACTTCACTTCTGCCGTCGCCGTCGCCGTCTTCACTGCAACCCTGGGCAACCGCCTCTTGTCGACTATACCCGCGAATGTATATCCAGTGGCGCGAAGCCTTGGTCTGCCAGAAGGCTCCTTCATGGCACTCTCAATGGCACTGCAAGGCAAGGGTTCTTACAGTGCTGTGCCTGGCTTGACTCCAGACATCCAAGCCGCCGTTCAAGAGCCCTACCGAGTTGCCTTCAAACAAGCAGCACAAACGGTCTTCTTGGTCACTCTCGCTTTTACCGGTACAGCCATCATCTTGGCTCTATTCACGACCGAAAACGATAAGAGCACGGAACATTACGTTGCGGGTAACGTTCACAAGATGAAGGATGAGAAGACGTTCGCGCAGACACATGGACGTAAAGATTCCGCCACGGATGCGCAGGCAATCGAGCATACTGAGAATAAGATGGGCTAGGGGGACGAGCTCAGGTCAAGATCCTACTACAGATACACGGGTGAGACATTCAGATGCTGTGCGAGCGGCATAGTCAGGTTTGCAGACGACGAGATGTTGAATAATAATACGTAGATTGTGTTGCCAACTTCAAGACGTCTTTCTACAATCTGTTGCATGTGACAATGACATGTACCCAAGTACAGACGCAGGAAGACGTAGGCACAGCAGCTTGACAAGAGTCTGACGTCGAAGCTTGACTTGACCACATCATTGTCCTAGATCTTGTCGGAAACAGAGTTCAGATCCAAGGGCAGCTCTTGGAGTGGAAAGGATCGTTTTCTCGTTGCAATGGTCAACGTCCATTGACCCAAGAGGTTGTCGACCTCCCTTACAACAACCACCCCACCAACCTCCACGTCATACAGCACGAAAGATCACCCAGAATCAACACAATCACCGTGCAGTCTTCGAACCACAAAGAGCAAACGCGAAGCTTGGACCACGCATGTGCCAAAATCCCCGCTCGTCTGGCACGCTACCGGGTAAGAGATCAACGCCATCTTGTCGCAGTCGCGTTGATCTCAAGCCATTTGGGGGACCGCGAGACGGGGTCTTTCGCCTCCCATTGATTGACGGTCGTGTGCTTGTTTTCTTCGCGGTTGTGCACCGGAGTTGGTATGCCGGGATGGCGAGGACGATTGGCTCGACCGAGCGAGTCTTCTGATGGGGGATTTTCATAGCGAGGTGAGATGGCGTTTCGTTCTTTAGACGTGTGAGATGGTTTCGGGTAGGAGGCTAAGTATTGGATCGCTTTGAGTGAACTACCAAGGAATTCTACGGAGTCTCCTGTTGAGTTCCAGAATTCATCTGGGTGGAAGGAAGGGGCATGGCGGTTATGGGCAAAAGGATACTGTTGCGACGAAGGATGTTGTTGCCGGTGCTATGAGGACAGGAGGTCTGGACTGCTCTCCAAGAAATGTCTTGACATAAGGAGGCAGGCACGGCCGAGGTCAGCTCAGGCACAAGGCACACCTCATCAGGGACAAATTGGTCGGGTCGACTTTCAGACCTGACCTCACCTCCTCCTTAGACTCGACAGTCGATCACCTTTGTCCAGTGTTCGATAAATAGCCCCGAAGCTACGCTTCTGGACCATAGTGATGTAACACAGCGTCTTCCTCGCTGCCACCTGTTCTTCCTATCGACAACGAGATCCAGAGCGAGCACAGGGCCTTCGGTAACATCGAGCGAGAGGAATATGTCGAGGATCTGACCCTGAGGCCGGGCAACCTGGAGGCGAGATGTGACTTCAAAGTATCAGACTGGAAACCCGTCGACGTTGGAAGTATGGAACGTCATCGTGGGATATAGACATGCTGTGAATCCAGATTCCGACGACGACGTCTGCATTGCTGAACATAAGAACAGCAGCAGCATGCCTCGTATCAGTCTCGAATTGTTTGCATCATAATCTAGTTATGGATACTTGAGTACACTAACATGTTATTAAGATACCACGCCAGTCTGGCCAGCAGATGGCACGATAGACATTCTCCAAGCATTCGTCAAGCCTCTTTGAATGCCACGCCAGTCAAGGTCCATATTGCCACGAACATCATACTGTCAAACACCCGCCTTGATTAAACACCCGCTTTATCGATTACTCCCACTACCAATGCTTCGATCACCATCAGATCCGCTGCCGACCAGTGTGGTAGCATCATCGTCATCGCTTGAATGCCTCGCATCGTCCACCCTCCATTGCAAGGTTTCGTGCGTGGCTCTGAATTGTTCCATGGCATCCCATTCTTGCCTATCCAACATTCCAGCGACCTCGTTCATCATTTCTGGTGGCACTTTGCTGGACTTCTGCCCACTGCCTGGTGGCTTGTAGTAAACGACGTCAGGCCACCAGCAGTCGTTCGCAGGCGGTGTTTTGGGGGCTGCTCGCTTCCGTTGGATGACGTTACGGAGGGGGCCTTCCCTTGGAAACGGTATTTCTTTGTCATTACTGCCGACTACCGCTCGAATGCTGCACTCATTGAGCGGGCTTTGCGGGATTGGGGAAGTCTTTTTGTCGTTATTGATCCGGGCCGCGTAGGTTCTGTCATCGATCGGATTCTTGCCGTTACTTGTTTGATAGAATATGACGGAGTCGTGAGTGACCGGGCCCTCGCGCGAAAGAGGACTGGCATCCATGCAGCCACAGAAACCCTGAGGAGGGCCTCGACAGCATCGGCCCCGCTCGAGGCCTTCGCAGCAAAAGTACGGCTGGCTGGTATCGCAGCCAGATTCGCCTCTCTGCTTGTAAAAGCAGAGATTTGGGGGCTTGGGAGGGTCGGCTTGGACTAAGGTGAAGAGGAGAGCGAGTATCACCAACATCGGCGATATCAGCATGGTGTTCAAGTTGAGGAGTATGTCGGGTGTGTGTTTGTGCTTGATTCTGGTTGATTTCAGTGTGCAAAGAAGTGTGCAAGTTGGACATTCATCTTCGAACAGAGAAGTCGATATTTCTACACTCATCAGTGGTCATCCGCAGTACTCACGTTTGACTGCCAGCGCAGTGCTGGACCACATCATAGCAGGTTGTCATCCGCATGTAGCACATGGAAGAACCAACAACACATATCCGACTCACGCTCCCTCACTTGCCAGCGGACTGAGCAAAATAGATGGTGGTCCATAGCATGACCTAGCACATAACCACATCGGTGCAAAGGAAAGACGTCAGTTCTGGACAACATAATCCGCTGGGAACGAAGGCTGACTTTGCCGTCTCGGTGTTCTTGAAAATGCGGTGATGTCGTTGTCCAGCAGGAGATCAGGCGAGTGCAATTTCATACTTTCGCTTTGATACGAGTGTTGACTTCGTTGTAAAATTTCTTGACGGGCACGCACCAACGCCATGCCTCCACTCTCGACTGAACCGAGTCAGGCATCGTCGCCAGGTGACCCAACGTTGTTCCAAATCGAATTCGTAGCATGTGCGAGATCTCGTAGTATATACGAGATGGGGGATTAGAAGGCAAGCGAGGCTGGCGTATGACTCCCTCCAAACGCGAGGATAATGTGGTGCATGGCCAATAGATATTTCGACTGTTGAAGAGATCCCTCGGTGGCTCGCTGGCTCTTTCCTCCAGAAAACAGGTGAAGTCGGGGGAAAAGCGCGGAGGCAGGGATTTCCGTACGGGGACCGGCCCGTCTACCGTCTGGCGAAAAGCTTAAAATGGCCTTCTACAACGTCGCGCGGAGGAAGTGATCGCAGCTGGAAACATTGTGGCCCTTTGACTTGGATGCCGCATGCAAAAGCACAACATTCATTTTCCTGTTCCGGCATTTGGCTTGCTTGTGATCGTCTCGACCGCGGTTCCTTTGCATGAGATCGGAGCAAACGAGCCGCCCACACCTCGTACCTCGTCTTCCTGATGGCGATCTCCATGCCCTTCGACTGCACACAAGATCCAGGCACAGATGAGCAGCAGGCATCATCAGCTCAGCCTCGTGACACTGTCACAAGATTACAAGTCCTGAGAGCAGGACTTTACCACCTTGATGCCGGCAGAGAATCACAAAAGACAGGTTCCAATTGGAGCGCCCGAGTCAAGCCATTGGACGAGACGTTTGGGACGGGGTCGTTCCTGTAACACAGTGGCAAAAGTTAGCCAGCTTCTCATACACCCTCTCCATGACTTCTACCAAGTTGTCGACCGCATGCAAAATTTGCAGAAAGGAAGGATCTCGCGAGTGCACATGGAATGGCGCATTTTAACTTTTGCTGAGTGAGTGCACTTGGAAGCCGGAGAGGCGTCCTTCCGTGCGGGACCTTGGAAGATCGTCGACCGCCAGCACCGACAAGTCTACAACCACGACCACAACTACTTGAGACCGGTTCGACACACTCCAAGCTTATCGAGTAAGATTATTTCCAGCCGATATAGACTTCTAATGTTCCGCAATGTCGGGGCATGTGGCAGCCATACGGATGCTTTGATGAAGTTTGAGTTTTCTGTCTCGGATGTGGCCTGCGGACTGCATTGCAGTTACAGTGTGGCTGCGCCTACAGCATGCATCGTCTCTATAAGTATTGTCTGCCGCTGTCTCCGTCGTTGATTTTCGACTTGTTCAGCCGTGGAATCTGCACAATATGTCTTTCGTTTCAGCATTATCACTCGCATCTGCATTCTTAGCTATTATTCCTACTGTCGTTGCTGCATCGTCCGCCAAGACAGCCTGCTCTCTAATCGAAAAACAGTATCCAAAGCAATATGCCGACAGCGTCCTGGAGCTTTCAGACCTCGCTCTTGGAGTGACCTACACAGATCAACTGCACGCCTACTGGTCCCAGGCCAATGCGGACAACATCCCAGCATGCATGTTCTTCCCAAAGACAGCGCAGGACATTGCCTTTGCGGTTCAGGTGTTGAACAACTACACCGATGTGCCATTTGCCGTGAAAGGCGGTGGCCACAACCCGAACAAGGGATTCAGCAGCACGAAAGATGGTATCCTAATTGCAACTGAGCCCAACATGGCGACGACGACTCTTGACAGCAACAACTACGCACACATTGGACCGGGATCCAGATGGATCGATGTTGCTACCGCTCTCGATCCTTATAACCGTGCTGTTGTGTCTGGACGTCTTGGACACGTCGGAGCAGCTGGTCTGACCCTCGGAGGCGGATTGAGTTTCTTGAGTACCGAGCATGTACGGGCTACAACCATGTAAACATGAAATTCAAGGGCTGACGATCCACAGGGAATGACCGCCGACACCGTCGTCGAATACGAGATTGTCACCGCGCAAGGCGAGGTCACGAGAGCCAACAAGAACCAAAACTCCGACATCTGGTACGCCCTGAAAGGCGGCGGGAACCAATTCGCCATCGTCACCGAATTCGTCCTCGAAACCTTCCCCATCGGCCAAGTCTGGGGCGGGCACAAGATCTATACCCTCGACCAAAAGGACGCCCTCATCAACGCAACCCACAACCTCATTTCGAATTACTACGATACCAAAGCCGCCGTCATCGTCACCTTCTCCACCACCCTCGACTCTCTCGTCGACATCTTCGTCGTCTTCTTCTACTACAACTCTCCCGCGGGTCCCGGCCCCATCCTCTCCGAGTTCAACGCCATCCCCTCCCTCATCGACGCCACCAAAGGCCCCCGCTCCTACAAAGACCTCATCGACGACAACTCGCAATTTTCCCTCGACGGCATGCGCTACCTCATCCGCACAGGCACTTTCCCCAACCTCCCCGGCGCCGACGGCGTAGACTTGTATCAAAACATCTTCAACTCCTGGTTCGATCTGGCAAAATCCTACCAGCGGAAACAGCTCGACAACTACGTCTTCTCGTTAGCCTACCAGCCTATGCCGTATACTCTGCAATCGGCCTCCGTCAACGCCCCCAACGGCGTGAACCTCTTAGGCTTGGATCCAGCGCACGGCGACAAAGTCTTCATGGAATACGACGTCTCCTGGCTGCTCCCCACGACCGACGCCGCGGCCGCCGCGGACCTCACGAATATCACGCAGCCTGCACAGAACTACGCCCGGCAGAAATACGGCAATTCGAGGCCGACGCATTGGAGTAGCGGGTATGTAGGGACGACGAATTTCAACCCCCTTTTCATGAATGATGCCATGTATAATCAGGATCCGGTGAGGAGTTATGGGGAGGAGACGTATGAGCGGTTGAGGGGGATTCAGAGGCAGAGGGATCCGAGCGGGTTGTTTAGTGGGAGGACGGGTGGGTGGAAGTTCACTTGAATAGGCATTATTGACTTCTTATTTGCCACGAATATCAAGTTCTATATTCCTCCGGTACTTCTCGTCCCTCAGCTTCGTAAGCCTTCGCCTCAGCGCTGCGGGCTAGAGCTGTGAGTGTCCTCCACGAAGAAACTTGCCGGTTCGCGTGCAGATACCCTAGGATCATCTCCGTCAAGGTATTCATCGCCTCGGAAGAATTCGATGAGCTCTTCGCCTCATACTCGGTCCAGACCTCCCCAACTGGTTGGTGAAGTCGCGAGTGGCGCGCGTAGATAATGTGGTTGAGTTGATCCGGCAAGTAGGGATGTTCGTCTTCGCGGAGGCGTTGGAGGAGGGCCTCTTCGCCTGGGAGGGGAAAGGGGCATTTGTTGGTGCCGCGGAGGGTCCATAGTTCGCTCCAGATGGTATGAAGGGGGAGGTCGGTGAACGTGATATCCAGATTTGGCGGGAGGGAAGGTGAGGAGAGTCTGTAGCGCGCGATGTGCGTGCAAGTCAAAGCGAAGCCGTGTTCTGCTTCGACGTGGGTGCTCCCGATCCCGCGGATGGTTTGTTTGATGAATTCGAACTCGCGGTAGTGGTTGTGGTAGTCGACGACGACAGTTCTGAGACGAGGCAGACTCCCGAGGGCGGCGATGAAGCCTGCAGCGTTGGGCTTGCACACATCGCAACAGCCCTCCAGGAAGAGGTTGTTTCCGCCTGAGAAACTCGAACATCGAATCGACTGGCTGAAGTTGCGGATGAGTAAGTGGCGGACGCGATCTTTGCGGAGGGGAGTCTGCAATTCGGGGCCTGTGTCGCTGCAGAAGTCGTTGCGGGTGGCGAGGATGGTGTTGGCGTCGTAGAAGATGGGCAGGGCCTCCGAGGCGATCTGGCGGTTGAGGCGGAGGATGGCGGTGTTCTTGGATCCGGCGACGACTTGGCGGAGTTTGAGGGGGCGCGGGAAGGTGAGGATGTGTTCGTAGATTATGTCGCGGACTTCGCGGGGGAGGAGGGTGAGGAACTGGCATGTAGAGGGGTTTGGGTTGGCCACCATGGTGGTGAGTGATGAAGTGGAAGGAGAGGGAGAAGCTCGCGTGATGTCTTTTTGGGGGAGCTGATAAGGAGAGAGCTTATTAGATGGGATGGACTGAGGTCCGCTGCGAGGTCGCAATACAAGCCTATAATTGCAAAGACTTGACTCTCAGTTGCCTGCGAGAATCGCAATACCCCTTGCAAGAAGTAGGATGAGTTGAATTCATTCACCTCCTCACACATGTCGAAATGGACCAAGCGCCGGTGACCCTGGCAACGAACGCGGGCTAGCTTCGGGTAAAAGGCGGAGATCCCCCACGTCGTCTCGAAGCAGCTGCAGGTGCAAGCAACCCAGCAACAAACGTCCCTGAAACTCAAATCCAACTCTCCAAACACATGGAGGGTGTCTTGCATCGCACCCAGCTTTGAGAGCTGCTGCTGCTGCCGTAACCGCTGGGCGGACATCTCCCGAACAAAGCCTCCAGACACAACTTCACCTTCGCCTGCTACTCCCGCCTGAACTGCTCACCGTAAACACGCCTCCCCCGCCGCTCAGGCGCTTCGAGCGCAATGGCTTTTCTATTTGGTCGCAACCGCCAGAGATCCGCCTCAGATCTGGCCAAACAAACCAAAGACCTGCTGCAAAGACTGACCAAAGACGATGGCCAAGCTGCAAAGGTATGCGGACACGATCCGAACACCACACCGCAACAACTGATTTTCCCCCAGGTCGAAGAAGACCTCGCCCGCAACCTCTCCCAAATGAAAACCATCCTCCAAGGGACCCCCGAAGCCGAAACCACCCCGGAACAGATCTACTCGCTCGTCTCCGCCCTCCTCACCGAATCCCTCCTCCCCACCCTCGTCGACAAAATCCACCGCCTGCCCTTCGAAGCCCGCAAAGACACGCAAACCATCATCTCGAACGTCTTCCGGTTTAGAAACCCGGGGTCCAGCTCGAATGAACCGGATGCGCTGAAAGAGGTGTTGCGCAGACAGCCAGAGATCGTGATCGCGTTGTGTAAAGGATACGAGAGACGGGAGAGCGCGAGTCCGTGTGGTGGGATCCTGAAAGAGGCGTTGAAGTGGGATGCCGTCGCGGCGGTGATTCTATACGACGAGCCGAGCAGTGACGGCAAGACGATCGACATCTACAATGACGTGGACGTCACCGCACCTGCGTCCGGAGAAGGGGTCTTCTGGAGCTTCTTCACCTGGATCGACAAGTCGAGTTTCGAAGTCAGCGCGGATGCGTTCGATTGTTTCCGGCTGATCCTCACGAAACATAAACAACTCGTCGCGCAGTACATCACGACGAATTTTGACCTGTTCTTCAGCAGGTATAACGAGGTGTTGGTCAAGAGTGAGAGCTATGTGACCAAGCGGCAGTCGATTAAGCTGTTGGGGGAGGTGTTACTGGATCGGCAGTTCTACGAGGTGATGTGTCGGTATGTGGAGTCGGGGGATAACCTCAAGCTTATAATGTGGCAATTGAAGGACGATCGGCGGATGGTGCAATACGAGGCGTTTCACGTCTTCAAAGTAAGTGATACCGTTTCCCTCAAATTTACACGATGACATTCATCCTAACAGTAATATCTGCAGATCTTCGCCGCCAACCCGAACAAATCCCCCGAAGTCCAAAAGTTCCTCATCATGAACAAACAGCGCCTGCTCAAATTCCTCCCTCGCTTCCTCGAAGACCGCACGGATGACGATCAATTCAACGACGAGAAGGCGTGGCTCGTGAAAGCCATTGGGAATTTACCGGATACCACGGCGGGGATTCGAAGTCCGAGTGCAACGACGCCGACGACGCAGCAACCACCGCCGCCGCAGCAGCCTCCGGGAAATGCGACGTATGTACGGTCATGAAGATTGTGAGGGCGTTTTTTTGTTTGTTTGAGAAATGGGCGGCGGCGTCTTGCTTTGTTTGTTTGTTTGAGGGTTCATGCTGGTTGTTCCTTGTTGATGATGAGGATTCATGATATCAGGATTAAGATGAATTGATTCGTGAGATGGAAATGGGTTGATCGATTGATTGGTGTGCGTTGTTGCGTTGTTGATCGGGAACGCAATGGAATGGCAAGCGATGGGAAAGATGTGGCAAAAGGGGGTGTTGTGTTGTATTCATGCAAGTGAAGATGGAAAGGGAAAGATAAGATAAGGTAAGATATTCTTGCCTCATTCCAGGATTTTGGCTGTGGCCTGGTCTCGTTTCACTGTGCTGTCTTGCCAAAAGTGTGTGCAAATCATTCTTTCAATTGGAAAGTCGGAGAGAAAGTGAGTGTTCACCTCGTGGAGGATGTGAGAATGCTTCAGAAAAGCTGACATGAAACACGCCAGTGGCTATTTCGTCGTTGCAGCAGAACAGAGGCGGGTTGTAGATGGGACGAATTTCTCTCCTGTCGAGCGAGAACACGACGGCAACAAGTTATATCCGTTACGGAGACTCTACTGTCGTTTCAGCTACCTTAGGTATGGGAAAGTCTCAGTCGGTATATTGTGATGTTCAAGGAGTTTACGTGTCCCCGTGTGGAAAGTGATGGTTGGCTATGGATAATGTTAACACTGGCTTTGGACGTGGTCGTCGTTTACATTGGAGAAGATATGTTCTCGTCTCGTTTCATCAGGATGCTGCCTTAGGCCGAACTCCTCGAGGTGGCTTACTGTCACTGACCGAACATGCGTGATGCGTGCGTTGCCACCGTTCTAAGCATCATGACGGCCTGCTGACTTCCATGACTGATGGGTATGATGTTGTCCGAGGTGGCGGCGACACGTTGGTGACTTCGTATTCAAGTCGCCTTCACGTCTCGTACGTACTTGCAAGATGTCATCGCCACCGTTGCGCGTCAGCACGTGGCTGAGCGAGAGGGCTTCTCTCGTATTCTTTTGCGAGTTCCTAGGTGTTGCGACACAAGCGTGCAGGCCAAATGGAATGCTTCTTGGTAGATGAGCTTTTCGTACAGAGTCGCTATATGGACGCTAGTCCTCGTGACATAACCGGTAGGTCTTTTGTCGATGCAAAAAGTGCTAGTCGAGCCGCGGAAGTGAGACCCGATTCCGAAAAGATAGAATCACATGGGAGACTGAAGAGATCTGTGTTGACGATGACGCTGGAAATCCACTTTCAATTTGGCGTCTTGGATGTTGCCGAAGTGCAGCCTGGTGATGTTCGGGGGGAACGCCGATGTCCGCAGTGCTCATCATCAAATTCTTGTTCGAGGTTGAGGTTGAGGTGAGGTTTGCTGATAGCTCTCTCCTATCAGTCAGCCTAGGATGTCAGCCGTGCATGTGACAGAGCGCCGTGTATCTCTTCTAGGTTCTCTCAGCCGCATGGCCTGCAGCAAAAGATGCGAGGGCGAGAGAGGTGACGTCCTGAGATCCTCTCGGCAAGGCCCGTGACGCTAATGCAGCATGACGTCTGCGACTGACGGCACCTCCTGCGTTCACGCGGATGGGATGATGCTGGGAAGGGGATTGAAGATTCTTCAGCGAGGCGGGCGTCCTCAGTCAATCAACTTGACGGGCTGAGTCAGGTATCTGACCACCTTTCTATCGATTGATCGATTGATTGAAGAGAGAGGGAGAAAATGTTGGCGACTGCCGATTTGAAGACCGAAAGCAACGTCCCGGCTGGGGAGTGAGACAATCACATCGCTCGGTCCGCTGCGTCGGGACGAGAGTGGTCGGCTCTCGTGGTCTGCCTTGCGTGAAGGCTTGGTCGATGAACTCTCGCACAAGGGCGGTCAGGCCGTATTATCCCTTCTTCGTCTTGCGGTTCTGTCGACGATAGGGCAGGAAAGACGGATCAACGACAATGATCAATGTGCAGGCAAGAGACAGGGGTGGTGGTGTGGTTTAGGCGATGGTTCTTCCCGTGCTAGTGCCCTCGTTAGCTGCGATTGCCCACGCTGCGTGCCAGACGCGACGGTTGGGAGTTGGCAACAATAATCCAAGACCGGTTAACGTAGACGCTGTCTCGCCCGCACGTGTGCAGCTTTCGTAGTCAACAATAGCGTGCGCGACCGATTGGAGATATCGCTGAACGGGGTGTCTTGGTCGCGGTTCCTGGATGTGTTGGTGTTGGCGCAGGTGAAAGGAACCTTGAAGCGTCAGGGTCGCACGGCTCTCGACGTCACCGATCCGCCGCCTTGCTCTCTGCAGCGTCTCTGACGCTTTTCCCGCGCGCCCACGCCCGCCTAGTAGCTCATCAGGATCGCACAGCACAGGACGGGCGACAAGCGACACCACCAGCAGCAGCAGCATCCACCCACCCAAACTCTACTCCGCCAGCTGCTGGCCTCTGACTGCTCTCCGATGCGTTCGCAGACCCATCCCTCTACCACGCGCCCTGCTCTCGTCTCGCTGAGCGTCTGGCACGCTCGCGCGGGCACTGGTCCCCCGGTGCACAGAGACGACGACCTGCCGCTGCAGCGCGATGCAGGAGCACGACGGCGACGACCCGACGCCCACTGAGGCTCCGCCGCACCCCAACGCCCCCGACACCACCGCCTCGTCATCCAACGTCCGCCCCCAGCTGCAACGCACCCCGCCCGGTCGTCTCTCAGAAATCAACCGCAGTCCAGACGAAGGTGCTGCCATCCCCGACGACACCGCGAGCAGCGTGCCAGGCCATGACGGCGCCGCAGAGGATCACAGGAAGGCCTCCCGGCCGAGTGCCGCCCGAAGTGGCAGCTCACACAAGGGCAAAAGCAAGGCTCCTGCTCAAGGCGCGCAGCCTGGCAATCTCGACCAGATAAAAGACCAGCTCAGCGCCAAGATGCTGGCTCAGACCCGGATGCGCAGAAGTTATGGCAGCAGCGCAGGTGCGAAGGGGGAGGGCAAACGGGTCTCTCCCATCCGAGAAGAGGAAGGTAGTTCGGAGGGCTCGCTCAACGCCATGCTTGGCGACGAACCCGTGCGGACGTCATCTACGGTTTCCACAGAATCGACCGAATCCAACCGCACCATCAGAGGAAGTGTCCCCGCGACACCAGCAGGCGCACCGCTTCGAACACCATCCTATCCCTTTCCATACGTTCCAGGCACCCCGAGATCGTGGTCAACGTCATTCCATCAGCCTTTTACTTCGCTATCGCCGACGACATCTAATCAAGCGAGCAATGACCAGTCCACCCCGCGGAAAGGTAGTGTCGATACACGGTCTGGACGATCAACGCCAGGCATGCATCCTGCTTTCTTACAGCTTGGCTTCGGCGCCGACTTTGGTCCAGAGGACCCGCGATATCCAACCCCTAATTTGTACGATCTAATTCTCCAGCTCAATGCAGAACCTGGAATGGAGCAGTGGTGGGCGGCCGTCACCAACATTTTGCACGACCACTTTCACGCCGATCGTGCGACACTGATTCAACCGGTTGACCCGACCGATATTGAGAATGTACCTTGGGGACAGAAGGCGACCTTCAGTATGAGTGGTCGAGAGGATGTGGTGCCGACTATCCCACAATCGCAAAGCGGTTTTCAGAGACCGGAGTTCGTGCTGCGCGAACCTTCCAGTGAGACGGCCCATGACAGCGGTCCTCAAAAGTTGCATCCTGAAAGGCTGCGTCCACGACTTGAGTCGCGGCATTCGTACGCCGGGCATGGGCGTGAGGTCAGAGACGTTTTGGGCATACTCAACGATCCACCAACCCGTGCACGACCGCAAGGACCGCAGCGCACAGTCACCCATGCGTCTGGTATGACTAACGTCGGATATAGCTCGCTGCCGACGCCTCGATTTCCCTCATCGACAAGCAACCCTCTTGGTACTCTGAGTGATCAAGACTTTAGCAGCATTGGTGGTGGTGTCGATGCTGGTCCTTACGCGGAGGTGTTCGATACGCTTCGCGCGCTCGATCATGAAAATCATCCACTTATCGAGCCTGCTGGCATCAATCGTGTACTTGAACGTGGTAGAATCGTTACCGTGACCAGAGATTACGCTGCGAACAACAACAACAACTCGTCTTTGTCGCAGTCGGCTCCAGAGTCAACATCTTCCCAGAAGCCGCCCAGCTTTTTCGGCAACTATCGAAGTGTTTTCGCCTCTGATAACGGACCACTGCTGCGAAAAGAGTACGAAGACTACGAACAGCAACCTGTCTCACCTTGGCAACAGTCTCCCGCGCCATCGCCGGCTATCCAGACGGACGAAGATAGCAATCCGTTCTTTTCTCCAGACGAGAGTCAAGTGGATGATGCGTTTCAACCAGCCACCAGCCCGAAAGACTATGCACAGTACGATCAGATCGAGGCTATTGGCGTCGACCGTGCGCACACTGTGATACACATCCCACTGGTCCATCCTACCTGGTCTCAGCCCATGCAATCTCTGAGAATGACACCAAAATCGAAGGACAGGCCTCACAACTTGGAGCGCAGTAATACCGTGGATCAGGATAGGAAGGCACCCATCGCGATCATCTCCATTTTGTCTCCAGCTACGCCATATCCCAGCAACCTGGCGCAGTGTTTGTCTCTACTAGGACCCCATCTAGCGACTTCTTTCGCGATCGCTCAGCAGTTCTCAGCTACGCATGTACAATCCGTCGCGATACGGCACCGCCGGACTGCCAGCGGAAATCAAGTGCGCATGGCACCGATGACGATTGAGCCTGCGTCGTTGGAAGACATCGTCCATGCAGAAGTTGAGCAGCCTCCAGGATCGGTCTCTGGAAGCATGACAAGTCCGTCAGACTACTCTGGCCGTTCGAAAGCCAGTCCATCTGGCTCTATCGTTGGAACGCCCGGCTGGGACCCTGCATCTCATGGCTGGACCCAAAGCAGATCTGTCGCTGGCACTCCTGCTGTGACAGGCTCTGAACTAGTTGACAACTACTTTGAGGTCAAGAAGCAGCGATCGGGTCAACGAAGCGGCAGTATTGCTAGCAGCACCAACACTCCTGCAAAGCCTAAGAAGACATCGAGTAGCGACAGCAAGCATGGTGCTGATGATGAACTCAAGCCATTTCAGACCGATCGCAGGTCAAAAGGCAGTGCACACAGCAAGGAAGATAAATCCCCTGCTCAGTCCATTACCAGAGAACGCAGCCCGTCCAACACTGCAGAAGGACCGTCTCCATCTCGGTCACGACCGTCCATGCCCGTGCTGCCAGACTTCAAGGAAAGTAGACAACATTCACTTCTGCACTCTTACGGCGCAGATCTGCAGACATCCTTTGGCGGCTTTACTCCCCTTACGCCTGCTGAAGCTCGAACGCCTGGGTTCGCACATTCTCGGAAGGGTAGTTTCCCTGAGGACATGCCACCACCTTCAGAACGTCTGCTGCGCACCATCATCGACTCTGTGCCAGTGCAGATCTTTACGGCCCAGCCGGAGACTGGCATGCTGAGCTGGGTCAATTCAAAGTTCCTCATCTATCGAGGCCAAGAACCTCGACAAGTTTTGGGCGATCCTTGGCAAGCGATTCATCCTCATGATCGAAGAGAATTCTTACCGGCCTGGCAACGCTCGCTTCGGACCAATCAACAGTTGCAGCAAAAGGTTCGCCTGCAAAGGTTTGATGGCAACTACCGCTGGTTCTATGTCAGAGCAGCACCTTTGAAGGACAAGAGACAGAAAGTCGTGCACTGGATTGGGACTATGATGGACTTCCACGAGCAACAGCTGGCCGAAATGAACTCTGCTCGGCAACAGGAGACGGCTGCTTCTGAAGCCAAGTATCGTGCTCTTGCGAACTCGTCGCCGCAAATAGTGTTTGCAGTGAATAAGGTCAAAGGTGTCACGTTCTGCAACACGCAGTGGCTTCACTACTCCGGACAGACCGAAGCTCAAGCCCTGGGTGTCGGGTTTATGGAGCACGTGCACCCCGAGGATCTGGCAAAGTGTAGATTGCCCACGTTTGACGAGGGGTCAGACAAGCCCAAGAACGTGCCGACATCTCTTCCCGTGGAGCCAAGACGAAAATTGTCGCAATCCAACGCCTCATCGAGTGGATCGTCAGAGACAGAAAGGGCTCAATCTGGCTCAGAGTCACCATCGCCAATCGCGCAACTGCCTCAACGAAAGCTGTCTGAGTTGGCCAATACTGGAATTTTGAAGGTCTCGCGAGACGCTGATGGGCGGCCATCGTACTCTACTGAAGTTCGACTCAAGTCCAAAGACAATCAATTCAGATGGCATCTGGTGCGCGTTCTTCTGGCTGATCCGCTGTTGAATGACGATGAAGAAGAGACGTGGTACGGTACTTGCACGGACATCAACGATCACAAGACTTTGGAACGTGACTTGAAAGAGACCATGGACGAGAAATCGCGATTCTTGAGCAACATGTCGCATGAGATTCGTACTCCCCTAAACGGCATCACTGGCATGGTGAACTTCCTCATTGACAGCAGTTTGACCGCCGAGCAAATGGAGCACGTCAATATCATCAGAGCAAGTACTGAAGGCCTACGCGGCTTGATCAACGACATTCTGGACCTCTCAAAGGCCGAGGCCGGCATGATACAGCTGAGTATGGACTGGCTATACGTGAGAGCTTTGATCGAAGAAGTAAACGACTTGACTTCTGCGATGGCCATCGACAAGGGCTTGGAACTCAACTACCTCGTCGATGAAGATGTCCCACCTCAAATCAAGGGAGATCGTTTCCGCATTCGCCAGATTCTGCTGAATATCGTTGGAAATGCCATCAAGTTCACAGCCACAGGCGAGGTGTTTGTCAAATGCAGCCTCCTCATCGACGCAATAGAATTGGCGCAGAATGAGGCCTTCATTAGATTCGAAATCATCGACACTGGCCGTGGATTCACCGACAAGGAGGCTGAGTATCTTTTCAAGAGGTTCAGCCAAATTGATGGCAGTAGCACGAGGCAGCATGGTGGAACGGGCCTCGGATTGGTGATTTCGAAACAACTTGCACAACTTCACGGAGGCGATATGAGTGCCAAAGGTGTACCCAACGAAGGATCGACATTTACGTTCTACATCAAGACGACAGTGCCATCGAAGCATGACCAGCCACCTCCGCCTACCCCAAGCGTCCACAGCATCCCTGCGCTCCCTGCATCTCCAGGACCAGTACCGACCCCCACGGCAACGCCTTCTCTAATGAAAGTCCCCTCGGCACCAACACCTGGAGAGGCACAGGCAAAAGCGTCTCCAAAGTTCCTGCATGAGGTGACAGCATCACCGTCTCCTGGGGACGCGTCTCCTTCAGTCTCGTCTGCAAGCTCTGATCCATCGGTACGCTCTGCAGCACGAACAAGCAGTCTCCGATCTGAAAGGTCATCGGCATCTTCAATCGTGCCCGATCCTTTGACAGCGAGTGCCCCGATGAAACTTGAACTGCCTCAAGGCGACAAAAGCCGCGCGAGTGAGCATTCACCAGGGTCTGAGTCTTCAGCGTCAAACACGTCTATCGAGACTATCAAGGCACAATCTGGAGCTACAAGCCCGCCGATGTTCTCCATCCTTGTGATCGCACCGCTTAAGTACAGTCGCGAAGCAACCATGACGCACATCGACAAGACATTGCCGAAGAATGTTCCACACACGATCGCGGCTCGTGAAAATTTGACAGATGCGAGGGATGTACTTGGATCAAAGCCGATGACGTTCTCTCACATCGTGGTTGTGATTCAAGATGTGGACCAGATCATAGCACTCATGGATCAGGTGTTTTGGTCGACTAGTTCAACGACTGCCATTGTCCTCATCACCGACCTCGCACAGCGAAGAATGATCATGGAGAAGGCACCCAATTACAATTACGATCAGCTGGTGACCGAGAGGAGACTGAGGTTCGTCTTCAAGCCGTTGAAGCCGTCTCGGTTCGGCCTCATCTTCGACCCGCAGAAAGAACGCGAGATGAGTCTGGATCGCAACCAGGACAGCGCGCAACAGGTTGCCGTCAATCAAAAGCAAGTCTTCGAGGAACTGACACTCCGACTTGGCAATAAGGACAAGCGCGTGCTCCTCGTCGAAGACAACCGCGTCAACCAGATGGTGATTCTCAAATTCCTAGCCAAAGTCTCCATCAAAGTCGACACGGTCCTGGACGGCGTCCAATGCACCGAGAAGGTCTTCTCGCAGCCGCACGGGCACTATTCCATCATCCTCTGCGATCTGCACATGCCGAACAAAGACGGCTACCAGACCTGCAAGGAAATCCGTAAGTGGGAGAAGAAGAACAAGTACCCGTACCTGCCGATCATCGCGCTGTCGGCCAACGTCCTCGGGGACGTGTACCAGAAGTGCGCCGAGGCTGGGTTCAACAGCTACATGACGAAGCCGGTGGATTTCAAGGAGCTCAGCACTGTGCTGATGACGTTTATGGATCCTAGCGATCCGAGCAAGCCGCATGAGTTTATGAAGTTGAAGAGGGGGCAGCATCATCACCATCATCATGCGCCGAGAGGTTGAGGTTGAGGGGGAAAGAAAAAGTACACTGAGATGAATTGATGAAGGATGGAAAAAGAGCAAGAGGAAGTAATGTGTTTTTGTGGGGGTTCATCGACGGGCGTGATTCAATTTTCTTCCTCTGGCGGACTCGACTCGCTCCCTTTTACTTGATCGTCACTGGCACTGGCATAGCGGAATGCGCACGCACGCACTACTACACACATCGACTTACTGCTACTACACAACAACATTGAAACATTAGCGAAGGCGCTTACAGACGAGAGAGGGGATGGAAAGATTGTATGGCTTTTTGGTTTGGTTTGGGCATTTGGTATGCGATGCATAGATGGAACGGAACACGGCCGGCTTACTTTGCTTCTGTTTGGTTTGTTGCATTTTCTAGGAGCACTTTTCTTGCATGAAGGAGAGGAGAGGCTTTGGAGCCGCGAATGGTTGGTTCATTGGTTGATTGGTAGACGGGAGGGGAGTGGCGAGGAGACTTCTTTTCGACTTGTATAACTAAGTGGATGGATGAAGATTAGAGGAGGAGGAGGGAGAGGAGGAGAGGAGATGTCCCTTTGCTTCGTTCATAGCCTATAATTGAGAACGTATCGATACCCCTATCTTGCCTTGGCCTACCTGACTGCCAAGTCGTGAATGACGGGACTTGAGCAATTCTCGAGACATAACCTTCTCGCGACTGCGGCATCGTTGGAACCATCATCTTTACACAGTACAGTACCTCGCCGCAAAGGCCAACATGCTTCTTATGCGGAATCCCAGGGTCGATGCCTTTCGCGGTGGCCGTCGGATATGGCATACATGAGTGTTAGCACTGCCGGCCGGACTGGCGCTGGGATTGTTCGTTTGATTGATAACCGCCGAACAACCTCGTTGTCGCCATCAGTGCTTGTACACGGCAGCGGCTCTACGTCGTCTGGGGTGATGTCCATACAACCGCTGCGACTGTTGGCGGGATCTCCAGCGCTGACAGTGTATTCGCCGTCCAACTTCGCCATTATGCCCGTTTAGGAACCGTGGAGGCTTTCGACTACCACCATCCATCCTGACTGCAGCGCCCACACTACTCGGGCGTACACTTTCGGCAAGCTCCAGTTTGGGCTCGACTGCATCTCGACGACAGCCAGCACGGCGATCTGCTTCGCAACACTTAGCAGTCAGGAGCACATCAACAGTCGATACGTCTCACTAGAAGCAATCTGGACAAAGGCGCTTGGCACACGGCCTGAGGTAAGCGCGGACCTGGATCCTCGCCATCACCCTTCTGGGTCGCGACCTGGTGGCTCTTGAGGGGTCCTTTCCGGCGCGAGCCGTCATTTTGAGGATTATGAATTCGGACGGGGGTGGAGGTTTCGCTGTTGGAAGAGGGAGCAGTGAAGCCACATCCCACCAAGACGATAGCTGGCGGGTTAGCGGGCATTTGTGATGCTTTGCGAGCGCTTCAGATGGGCCAAGTGTCGGCCGTCGAGCAGGTCTACCTTGTTTGTCAGTGAGATCTAGGATTGTCGTTAGTCGACTTGTTCCAATGCGTGGGGTTGCAGCGTTCTAGACGAAGGCAATTTACTCACACTCAAACTCGAAGGCATGGACTCGCTCTGACACGATGCGTACGTTCAGCACCGACGTGCCTGCAGGTGTCAGTAATAGACTGGCCTCCCTCTCTGCCGGTAAAAGGACCATACTCCGCCACGCTTCGATCCAGTCGTCGTCGCCCAACAATCACATGCTCTTGCCATCCCACACCCACACTTCTGCCGGAGTCGAGGAAAGGCTCACGGACATGTTCACGCGCAACACATGTACGTACGCCTCCAACCACGTCCACACCGACATTTTGCTGTTAGCCGTAAACTTTCTCGCACATCCTCAGGTCGTTTTTTCATCATCACCATCGTCTCTTGCTCGTCTTATGCCGAATGGTCAGTGAGGCTGTGTCGGCTTTGGCAAGAGCTGAGAACACGTGGGGGCCGGCCACTTCTCCGGACAAGTGATTGAACCTTATGCATGTTGCCCTACTTTCATCACATCCCGACTCGGACCCTCATTTTGAGCACCCAGCCGGGTAGGGCGGTCGATGTGTTGCAGCAGTCGTTCTCGATGCGGTGCCTCTGGACAGTCGATTAGACTTTTCGGACTTGTCACCATCAGCGAGCTGGTTCGTCATGAAGACGTGGAGGGGCATAACAGATGGCATCTAAGTGGTCAGCCGCCACGAGAGGCGTTTCAAATGCCGCATGACTCGTAAGTCTGGGATATCGTGAACAGATCTTAAAAAATGTTCTCGGATCTTGTCGTGTAAGACCGACGCCAGCCGGACGAGTCTTCACTCTCGTTATTTCGCCAGCAATGGGGGCGACGTTGATCATTGTCGATGTGGCGAATCGGCAGCCGTAGATGCCATGTGCTATAACCTCACACAGGCGGTGTATCAAGATGGGTGCTGCCTTTGCCGTAGAAGGTGTGTGAGACTTTGGCCACATGACAGTCAGCGGTCGCTGAATATGCCGTTGGTGTGAACCGTGACCTGATTTTGTCGTTCCACCAACTGGGAGGCGTTCGGAGGACGACTGCGTGCTGAATCATCATTGAGTTGACCCCAGAAGCTGGCCGTGACAGGACCCTAGAATGCGAGTGCCTGGGCAGCGTGCCCTCCCTGTACCTGCTTCCCGAGTGGAAGGAATAGGCTTAGCTGAGGTGAGAACATCGAGATCGTATACTTCTCGATGAACCGTCAGACCCTTACGGGGCTGGGCTGTTCTGTAGGGCTACTCAATACATCTCAAGCCACCAAGCCATTTCATTGTTTCACCCGTGGTTCAGGAGGAGGAGCTGTATAATGCAGCATCCGCGAGTATCCGAGATGGCAATCGATTGCAAAAAGCTGGACAGACGCTCTTGATCTTGGATCGCTTCCAGTCGCGGCCGTCTACGTATTGGGCCGTCTTTGACCGACTATTGTTGCAGGCAAATGCTCAAAGATGATTGATTCGCTCCTTCCCGCTGCGGCAATTCGTGCTGCGATGTCCAACCTTGTTTGAGCATTCCTGCCGGCAGAACGACTGGCCTCTTCATTCGCTTGCGGTCCTCTTGTGGATACATTCTGGATCGAACGTGTTGTTTGCCTCGTCTGGGAATATGTCGGTTGCTGGAGAAGGCCATTCCTGCTGCTGGCCGACATCATGACATGAGCAAGCGTGAGACTGGACAGCCCAGGATGTTGGATGAAGGCAAAGTTGTGCCGTTTGGCAGGCGTTCTGTAATGTCAGCATCGATCATACTTTCGAGTGTCTACCAGTCAAATGAAGGCTCCCGAGTCCTTGGAGGCTCACGGTTCGCGGCGAATCCTGTAGCTGTACCACTTCACGTTGGCGGACCGTCCCTTGACTACGGCCAGTAGACGTGAGGTCTTTCGAACTCGTTACTAGTGCAGGCGAGATACTGCTGTGTAACGTGAGTAGCGTGCAGTCCTGCATCCCCATCATCCTGTTCTGGCTGTCAGAGATAGAGGCGCGGTTCCATGTGTACTGTAGACGCGCAACGCTGCGATCAGCCCTCCCCTCCCCGCAGAGGATGCATGATTACTGTGGATTATTAGAGGCAGAGGGTGTGAGTGGTGATCTGAGCGCCGCAGCACCCCTTCCTGGCAGGTATCATGCACGACATCGCGCCTGTCACACGCGAGGGCTGTCCGCAAGTGGTGGGCGCGTCTATGTTCGCTTGGGAAAGCGGGGCTGATTGATGCACGCCGCCAATCACGGTGCGACGACAGTGTCGGAGTCAGCATCCTCAGCAGGTACGGGGTGAAGGCGTGGTGGTGTGGCTGGCCTGGAGGGGGCGGTTGATGAGGCGGACGAGGTCAAGTTGTTGATCGGAGGAGATGATGACTTTAGCTGCTCGCTTGCTGCCGTCTAATCGATCGTTCAGCCCACCGGTAATGAACCTTAATCCTGGCCCCGACGGCGCTTGGTCGCTAGGCCGAATCGTCTGCATTCTACGCGCATCGGCCTGGCGACTCGGCCAGCCGTCCCGAGACAGCAGTGAGTGAATGAATTCGAACATATACGTCGCCCTTGCGTCGAGGCTCAAACAGGCGCCGGCAGGGGTGGCAATGCTGAGCCGCTTATGCCGTCGCCAGACGAGACGCTGTGCAACGGCGGCAGAGCCGTGTGTATGTAGCCGAGTGCTTCTTCTTCACGGTGACAGTGATGCCGAGCGGGAGAAGTGCGGGCGAACCGACGCGCAGTCAGTCCTGGGCTAAACTCGATTGCGAGCCTCAGCGTTCTCACTGTCCACCACGCCTGTCAGCAAGCCATTTCCCATTATGCACATCTTCACATCTTTGGGGGTGGCAACGATGGAAGAGAGCCATGATTGCCGTCTCACGTTGCCCGGTTGTAGCTGGTGGCACGACTGACTCGCCAGCTCGCATCCTCCCTGGGCGTGTTGCTCTCACGGCCCTGATGCATGCTGCACTGCTGCCGCCCACTCATTTGGCCCGCTGCATCCCAGACCCAGACCCTGCTGTGGAGAGCGATCCACTGCCTCGATGCCATGTTTGTCTCGACTCTTTCGCCTGCACCGCTGCTCGCTGCTCTTGCTGCTGCTGTTGCTAACCAGCACTATACCGCCTGTGCATCCCTCTCTGCATTGTTGAGCCGCTTTCTCCAAGGTGTCGTCATCCGCGGTGCTGCTGCTTTGGGTACATACTTGTACATGTAGTGCATGCCCCTCGACGGAAGCTTAACAGCATGTGCGTCGATTCTAGCTCCACGCTTTTCAAATACCATATACATGGTAGGGGCCCTCGTACCACTGCCAGGGCCAGGATCAATCCGATTCATCACAATCCCACGCACGGGTCGCTGCACTACCCATCCGATATTCGTCTGGGAAGATAAGCCGCCGTCCATCATACCACTGCCATCTCGACCTACGCCAATCTGGTCCGGAGTCCAACCTTCGCAGCATGGAGCTGCTCACGCCCATATCGCCCGTGGCCTTTGACCAAAGGCACAGCATCGCGCGCAGCTCTTACTATTCCGCCGCCTCCACCACCTCGAGCTCCTCGCCCGACCTGACCACGCCCACGACCACCGTCAGCACCGCCCTCACCAACCACGACAGCGACGACGACGACAACAGCAGCAGCGCCGACTCGTCGCGACAATTCCGGATAGTGCCCAAGATCGAAGAGCTCGACGACGAAAAGTACATCAATGGACAGTTGCACGCGGTGAGGGACGCCAAGTCGCCGGTGGGCATCGTGTCGTCGCCGCCTCCCCGCAAGAAGCGCGGCCGCCCCAGAAAACACCCCATTGTCGACGCTAGCGAGTCTAAAAAGACCTCACACGCCCGCTCCAAGACTGGCTGCGGGACGTGTCGCCGGCGCAAGAAGAAATGCGACGAGACCAAGCCATCATGCATGAACTGCGAGAAGAACAACGTCGTCTGCGATGGCTACGAGCCCAAGCAACCCTGGCGGAGTGGCAAACAAAAAGCAGCTCTCCAAGTGGGCCATCTCGGACACTCATCAGTGCCTCCTTCGATACCGGACATGGCGCCAGGCATCAATGGCGATCTTGATAGGCAACTCATATACTTCTTCTCCACTAAAATCGGCGAAAGGCTGTCTCTCATCGACGAATCCAACCCGTTCTTGGATCTTATCATGCCATTGGCCATGAAGAACGTTGGCCTCATGCACAGCGTCTTGTTCTTTGCCAGCAGTTGCTTCCTGGCAAGCGGCCCTGGAAGTACGGACGAGGCGAGAGCCCGGCGAGAACATCACCATCATTTGGCAATTCAATTTCTCAACGGACCCCACACAGCGCTCGAGCCTGACAACGCCAGATCTGCTACACCAGCTCAATCCATCACAGCTGGCGCCGAGCTGACACCAGTCGACCAACCGCAGCCTGGAAGCAGCGCTCTCACACCGACGAGCAAGCCTGGATCCCCCAGCATCCCTATCGCTCTTGCTCAGGCTTTGATCCTATGTCTGGAGACCGTTGCTTCTGGGAGCCTCGACAGTGACTATCGAGTAAGCAGCGTCGAGGGCGAAGACTTGCTTCTAGACCTCATACTGACTGCTCTTGTAGGTACACCTAGGCGCGATGAAGGACATGCTCATTCAGCAACGCGACAACTTTGCCGACCAAAAGCTGCGAACCTTCATTCTTGAATTCCTTTTGTACCATGACTTCAGCAGTTCCATCACCAATATCGAACCCACCACCGACGACCGCAGTCTGGAGCTGATGAAAGACTTCGATCCCCCGCAATATATGGTGTCCCCAGCAGCAGGCTCGCTACTCGGCGTGATGGACGGGTTGTTCGGCTTGATGTCTCGCATCCGACATCTCAGAGACACGATCCGCGCAAAAAAGACCGTTCGCCCAGGGTTTTGCTGGCTCAGCCATCCCGAAGTGCAGGTGGAAACGTACAGGATCGACGACGAGATTCGCAAGTGGGAGTGTCGCTACGTTCCGGAAAGTCCCCGCTTCAAGACCAGCTTGCTGTACCGTCAGTGCGTTTGGGTGTACCTCTGGCGTACTGTGTTTCCGTCTGAACCGCACCCCGCACTCAAGACGGCAGTCGACGGCGGCCTCAAGTTGCTGAATGAGCTACCTTCGGGCGACATCGACGACGTGGGCGGCACGCAGAGTGTCTTGCTGATGCCCGTCTTCCTTCTGGGCTGTGCGGCATTCGAGCAGGAACAGAGGCGCCACATCACCGAGGCGTTCTACCGATTGAAGACGTGGAGCAGGTTGGGGAATATCTCGCGCGCTGAGGAGGTTGTGAGGGACGTGTGGGAGCTGATGGACCAAGGGAGGGAGCAAGAGTCTTGGGATTGGGAGAATGTCATCGCGCGACGAGGCTGGGATCTTCTGATTACTTGAGGGCGATTCAAGGGAGGAACGCAACGACGAAAACAGCACAGAATGACCCCTGGGTCAACACCGGCCATTCTGGAAACGGAAGGAGACGAAGCGAAGCAACACGCATACGAAACTGGACGAAGGAGAAACGCATTTTTGACACACTACCCAACCCCACCAACATCTCATCCAATTCTTTCAAGGCGCCAACAGGATTCACTGGACTCTGGGATGTATTACTGGAAAAAGAGCACTTTCATCTCTTTTATGTCTCGGCATTTCTTCATTCGATTATTTCGCATGGGCGGCTCATCTGGTGCTTAGCTTACAGGCACACCTAAAAGTACGACAGCAGGAGGACAGAACCGACGAATGATTTGGCGGGAATACAGAATTTTGCTCGATTGGATGGACGAAATGTCGTTGTTTTGAAGGGTGGTGTGCGAGCGAGGGAAGGATTGAAACGATCAGACGGGCATCTATGAGGAGGGGGAGGAGGATTGAGTGGCATGAAGGAACGATTTGAGAGGCAAGATTTGAGAGGCATTTGTCGAGATACCGACGTGGAAGACGGCGGACTTTTTGGCGACGATGGAGTGGATGTCTCTTTTACCATTTCACTGCGAGGGATGGATATCTTCTTTTTCTTGTTCATATTATGAGCTTCTCGGCTGGCTATGGTCGAGCGAGGGTTGAGGAGGGACGATTTGTACGCTGTGAGCATGGGAGTGGACGAGGTTCAACAGACTTCTCCCTTTTTGGTGGTCATGTTTTTTCTATTTTTCGATGTGTATAGAGGTATTTTTATTATTCCAACCAATTCACCAAACTACTGTACCAGAAATTGCCGCTCTTCTCTTGCACAACAATTCAAACTGTGGCGAAAGTTGTTCAATCGCCGCCTTGTGGGTCAGATGATCGAGCAGCAGCCAGCTCGTGATTGGGTTCTTCCTTGCTTGCGAGCGGGATGGTATGGGACTTCAGATCCTTTGGGCATGCACTTGGGCGTCATGACGTGCGTACCGGCGGTAGACTGGATGTGAGGATTGGGGAGAGGCGATGCGTGATGTGTTGTTCGTGAAGGGTGGTGTCGTAGTCCTGGAGATGGCGGTCGAGGGAAGGAGGAGCTGGGTGTGGAGTTCGGTGGTACTCTGTGTGTGTGAACGAGAACGAGGGTTGGCGATGTTCGCCAGGACTACATATGGGTATGGCCTTTTGACGGGGCCGGACTAGGGACAACAGGTCCTGATCGTTGATGGGATGTTCAACGCGAGCTTTGAAGTTTTATCCAGACTCCCAAGGGAAGAAGATCTTGTCAGTCAGTCAGACTGTCGTTGAGATGCTGTGCCTTTAGCCTCGTGCCAATGAGAATAGAGCATATACATGTATTAGATCACATCGATACCCTCTGAATGGCCGGCTTGTAGTGCTGTTCGCCCGACTGCATCGACGGGGATGCAAGAGGCTGCCGCTGAAACATGCGTTGCTGCTGCTGCTACGCTGACATGGCCGTCGTTCTGGCAGTCATCAGTCACTCTGCAGCTTGAACCTCACCTATCATCTTCGAGGGGAAGGGCTTTCACGGCCGTCATTCTGCGTGAACTGGACCAGGATGCCCTCGAATGCGAAGCAATATTACTCTGAAGAATTGGCCACGCGGACATGTCGAAGTGGCGTCGAGTGTAGTGATATTTTTCTTGCTGGAGTCACGGTTGATGGTGGTGCGAAGAGGCGATTGCGTCAGGGTGCATAGCTGGCCGGGCTAGGTGAGATGGTTGGGGACTGGGGCGTGATCTTGGAGAACGACGGGTTTCCATGACTCTTCTGCCGTTCGTTCGGTCTACAATTCATTTGTCTCGCTGTCACACATTTTTCGCACTGCCGCTTTTCGACTCTGCGTACAGACGTGGGACGTTGTCGTTGTCTCAAACAAGGCGTCGGTTTGAGTTTTGGGCCGGACCTTCCCGTCGTTTCGCTTCCTCGGAGCAAGAGCGGCCGGGCGTCATCGCTCCTACCTGCCACCAGCCTGCCCACCCACTTTCGACTGCGACAGCAGGAGGCGCGACCGCAGGTTCTCGCCCGTCGCGGAGTCTTGAGACGTGCAGGGCCATTGTCGCCGCTTCCAGTCTTTCTCACACGAAGCGACTGTCCACCTTCACACCACCTTCAGAAGCTGGCCGTCCTTGGTCAGCTGAGGCGCAGCCCAAGCCGCATCGACCTTACCTCACCTTCACCGGATTCGCACACTCGGCAACGACAGCCTCTCTACCACCAACCCCTCTTCCCCTTCACCGCGACCACGGCCTGGTGGGCAAGGCTGTCGCAAAACAACATCGCCGTTGACCGGAGTACCTACGCCCCGCTGCTTGACTGCCCATCATGACTTCCGTGAGGGGCAGCCGTACTGTCTATCGCGAGCGAAGTGAAGAGCGCGACTACGAAGAGGCTCCCCGCCGCTCCTACACCACTGTCAAGCGATACCAAGTCCCGGAGTCCATCACCCGCTCAGTCTACAAGGACGACGAGGAGGAGGTCAAGGACAAGATTGTTATCAAGCACAAACACCGTGAGGACCCTCCCGCTCCGTCCAGACACTCCGACGACGTCGAATATCGAGTCACTGAGCGCCGCTGGGAACGCGAGCCACCGCCGCCCTCGCGCGTGGATCGAGATGAAGTAGACTACCGTTTCATTCGGACCGAGCGCTCCGCCGACCCACCACGACGAGACATCAGCTACCGCGTGGTCGAGCGGGACAGCGATTACGAGAGACCTAGGAGCTCCCATCGTAGCGAGTACAAATTTGTCGAGAAGGATACCGAAGTCATTCGTGCGCCATCCCCGCCCTCGCCTGAGCGCGTGCGTGAATTCCGTTTTGAGCGTGACCGAGATTACTCCCCAGCACGAGAACGTCCATACGATCTGGAGAAGTACAGCAAGAGCACCGAATATTTTGCACAGCCGGCACCGCAACCAATCATCATTCGAGAGCCAGCACAGCAAGCACCGATTATTATCCGCGAAGAACGCCGTGAGCCGCAAAAGATCATCATTCGCCGAGAAGAGCCTCAATACGAGTTTGTCGAACGAAAAGAGGTGATCAAGGAAGAGAGAGACGAGAGCCGCTCGCTGGTCAAGAAGGAAGAGCCACCGGCACCAGTTCCTGTACCAGTCCCAGAGCCCGAGGCAGCCAAAGAACCGGAAGAAGACTACTTTTACGAACGCCGCGTGGTTGAGCGAAGACGACGAAGCGACAGCTACGACCGCAAGACGGAAATACGACCTCGCGATAGCGCTTCCAACTACAGCAGCGACGATAGCTACGTGTACGAGCGACGTGAGCGTGTTGTGGAAGACGACAAAGATTCACACCACAAGCGCCACCTGGCAGAAGGTGCTATCGCCGGTATTGGTGCTGCTGAGATTCTCAGACATCACCGGAAGAGAAAGGGCGAGGAAGTTGGAGGCAGAGCCAAGAGTGCCATTGGCGGTGCTGCCCTTGGCGCCGTTGGAGCTGAAGCATTGAGCAGAGCGAGAAGCATGCGCAGTATGCGCCGTTCGCGGAGTCGCTCTCGCAGCGATGACAGACACGGCCGGCGTAGACCTCGCTCCCGCTCGAAAGATCGTGGACACTCACTGTCACGCGGACAACAACTTGGTGGCCTGGCAGCTGTCGCTGCTGTCGGTGCTCTAGCAGGGTATGCGTTGAAGAATCGTGGCAACAAGAATGAGACTGTGGTGGTCAAGGATGGCCACCACCGTCGTAGTCGATCGAGAAGACGACGTGGTAGCGTTGACAGCTACTACACGGACGATACACGACGTGGGATGTCCGAGCATCGTGACCCTGAACACCGCAACCGCCGCATCGCACAAGCAGGTCTGGCTTCTGCCGCCGCCGCTGGTATCTGGGAAAAGGTTCGGTCTCGCAGCAGAGGTGGCAGAGAACGCAGCAAGTCTCGCATCAGGCAAGGAGTTCCAATCGCAGCTGCAGGCTTGGGAGGTGCTGCTCTTGCTGGTTTGTATGAAAAGAACAAGGCGAACAAGGAAGCGAAAAAGGACGCCATCATCGAGGATGAGATGAACAGAGGAAGGCGGAGGCACAGCCGAAGCCGGTCAAGGAGTAGGTCGGTCCCTGCTCCATACCCTGCAGATGACAGGAGGAGTGTTGACGGTCGTCCTGGGTTGATAGCATACGGTCAAGAACCTATCTATCCTGATGATCGCCGCGGCTACTACAGCGACGAGGAGCCTGGTCTCTATCGCCGTCGTGGTGGCAGCGCCGACAGCAGTCCCGACACAAGACGCCGCCGTAGCCGTTCTCGTGGACGGCGTGCCGCTGAGATGGGTGCTGCTGCTGGTGTTGGCGGCCTTGCTGCTCACGAATTCGGCAAACACCGCGAACGTGAACGGAGCAAGGTGGAGGCAGAGAGGAGGAGACCTGATCGTAAGTCAATGCACCATGATTGAGATGGCACTCACACTGACATACTTCAACAGACGATGAATACTACAACCGCCCTTATGCACAGGATCCTTACAGCCCACCTCCGATGGTCGACAATGGGTACCCACCATATCAGCCAAACCAAGCGTATGGACAACAGCAGTACCCATCAAGCAACTACTTCCCTCCACCACCGACTGGTGACAACGCTCAGTATCCCGAGCAGCAGTCTTATCCTACCTACAATCCAGCAGACTACGCCAACCAGCCACCCACTCAACAACCCTATGACGCTTCACATGGCGCATATGGCCATAGCGATGCCAACCTAGGACAGCCTTACCCTGGCGACACATTTGCGGGCGATACTCGCTATGGAGCGCAGGATCATGGTAGAGGGCGAGGCAGACCAGATCCTGAGAATGTGAGTCCGCCCAACAACGACACTGAAAAAGAGCGCGAGTCTCAGGAAGCGGGTACGTCCCAAAAGGACCCGTAGCCTGAGTTTGTGACGTTCAGAATGGCAATGCTGACTCCTAACTCTGCAGATGGTTTAAGCACACCACGCCAACGCTCTACCAGCCGTGTCAGATTCGATCTGGACTCCAACGTCGCGCATTCGCCAGAAGCAAGCCGACGAAAGGACGACGCTAAGCGTGGCGATCCTTCAGAGCCACGGCAAAGTGATACCGAGACAAGCGACGACCGCAAGCATCGTCGAAGAAGCAAACGTAAAGGGAAGGAGCGGGAGCGAGACTCACATCACTCCCATCGTGATGAGGGTGATGACCATGAGCGCAGGTCGCATGATCGGGAACGGAACAGAGAGAGGGATCGCGGCGACAAGGACGATGATTCTGACGATACCGTGGATCTGCCGGACCGGTTCGATGAGAACGGCAACCGCAAGGCCGAGGACCCTCTGGCGCAGAAGATTAATGAATTGCTTGGTGGGCAGGGAGGCGCGGGTAATCTTTTCAAGGGGCTGGTGGGCGGACTTTTGGGCGGACAGGGTGGTGGTGGTGGTGGTGAAGATGACGACGAAGGCCGGTCTAGCAGACGCAGGCATCGAGATCGACGTTGATGAGAAGTTGTTGCATTCCGGTTATTGGCACTTTTTGGTTGAGAGGTGAAAGGAGGATGAGTTTGGGGAGCGGTGCTCTTGCATTTTGCGCGTTTATGACGATACGACAACGACCGCTTCTTTTTTTATGATGATCATGACAGGTATGAAGATAGACAGTCTACCCACGAAACAGAAGCATTACCCAGTTGCATCAGTACCTTTACATCGACTGTTCTGCATCCTGTCTTGTGGCAGTCGGTTGTCATTCAACAACACCTCCGCAGCTGCTGGATGAGGAAGGTTTGAAAGCCGAGGCAAGCAGCTTTTGACCTCACCTCCTTCATGTCAAGATCAGAAATCTGTTTTCTTTCATCATCTCTAATATTCTGTTCATGGTTCTAGCAGATGTTAATTGATAGAATAAATACATTCACAATGCCGGAACGAATTCAACCTCGACCAATCACAAAGATCTTGGTGGCGAATCGGTGAGTGAAACATGAAAACTACCTGTCTACCCGTCGACGTCCTTGCACCGTCAAATATGAAACTGACCTGTTGCACGTAGAGGTGAAATCGCCGCCCGCATCCTCTCAACATGCCGCGAACTGAACCTCGAGACCTACGCCTTGTACAGCGAAAACGACATCTCCCACGTCTTCAACGCCTCCCATGCCATCCAGCTCGACTCCGCTGCGGACTACATGTCCGTCGACAAGATGCTGCAGATCGTCCAGGAACACCGCATCGACGCTCTGCACCCCGGTTATGGATTTCTCTCCGAGAGCGCCGAGTTAGCGGACCGCATGGGGTCGATAGACGTGATGGTCGTGGGACCCGGAGCGGAGAATTTAGGTCGCACGGGGGATAAACTGGAGGCGAGGAAGTTGGCGGAGATGTGCGGGGTTCCTGTCTTGCCGGCGTTCACGAGTCCGACGGGGGACGTCGAGGAAGTCGAACGGTTTGCTGAGAAGAATGGCTTTCCGATCATGGTCAAAGCGGTCGATGGGGGTGGGGGACGGGGGATCCGACTCATTCGGCGGAGTGAGGATTTGAGGAGTCTGGTGACGAGGGCGGTGGAGGAGAGTCCGACCAAGAAGGTTTTCGCGGAGAAGGCGGCGGTGGATGGGTACAGGCATGTGGAGGTGCAGATTTTGGGGGATGGGAGGGGTGGGGTGTGTCATCTTTGGGAGAGGGAGTGTAGTATTCAGAGGCGGTATCAGAAGGTTGTGGAGTTGGCGCCGAGTATGTGTGCGGATCGAAGGGTTGTGAAGCCGGTTGTTGAGGCGGCTGTGAGGATTGCTAAAGAAGTAAGTCTTATACGCACAGAGAGGAGGGCTTTAGGATGGGCGATTGATCATGTGTGCTAATGTGAACGGCCAGGTCAAATACGCCTCCCTAGGCACCTTTGAATTCCTCCTCAACCCCCACACGCAAGAGTTCTTCTTCCTAGAAATCAACCCCCGCCTACAAGTCGAACACACCATCACGGAATCCATCTGCTCGACCGACATCGTCAAAGCCCAACTCCGCCTCGCCCAGGGCGCCTCCTTCTCAGAAATCGGCCTCGATGGCTTATCCCAAGACCCCCTGACTCCACCACAACAACACTCCATCCAACTCCGCGTGACGGCCGAAGACGTCGAAAAGAACTACGCCCTCAGCATCGGCAAAATCACATCCTTCCACTTCCCCTCCGGCGTGGGAACCCGCGTGGATACCGCTCTGGTCCCCAACGCCCCAGCAATCGTCACCTCGGACTTCGACAGCGTCATCGCCAAAATCATCATCACCGCCCGAACCTTCCCGGACGCCGTCGCCAAAGCCCGTCGCGCGTTGCAGGATACCTCTGTCACAGGGATTCAGACGAACCTTCCTCTTTTACGAGCTATTGTCTCGCATGAGGACTTCGAACAACGGAGTTGCGACACGCAATGGCTCGAGGCGAAACACGAGGAACTCCTCTCACTCAGCAAAACGTCCCACGACATCAAAGACCCCCTGCACGGTCTCGCCACCTCGCAATCCTCCTCCTCATCGACATCCTCCGCACTCGCAGCGGCAGGAGGCGGAAGTGCAGGCCCGCTGCTCAAAAAAGACGACGCCTGGAAACTCGTCCTCCAACCCCAAGACTCCAAACAGGAAGAACAAACCCACCACCTCCACCTCCAAAAAATCCTCCAATCCGACTTCCCCACGTCCTTGCGCGCCCAGATCCTCTACACAACCCCTGCCTCCCCTCACCCCATCCCCTACACCCTATCCCTCTCCTCCACCACAGCCTCCAGCTCCGCCATGATCTCCTCGCACCCGCAGGGCAACAAATCCGACCCCTCGCATATCATCTTGCCGCTGTCGGGGAAGTTGGTGGAGGTCTGTGTGGATGAGGGGGATGTGGTGGAGAAGGACGAGGCGGTGGCGGTGGTGAGGCAGATGAAGATGGAGGTCGAGGTGAGGAGTCGCAGGAGGGGGGTTGTGAAGTGGGTGACGGAGGCGGAGGACGGGGAGGATGTTGGGGAGGGAATGTTGGTTGCTGTTGTTGTTGAGGAGGAGGGGAGGGCGAAGTTGTAGATAGATCCTGTATGCGGGTACTTTGGCATCAGTCATGCTATTGTGATGAATCGAATCTCGTTACTTCTAGGACTGGAGGGGACCATCAAGGGTGAGCCTTCTTGATTCGGCAAAATACTAGTCAAGGCCGAAAACCCCAAGACGATCGATACAGCATGTTCGAGCAGTATCGTAGCGCTTCATGAAGCCGTCCGCGAAGCTGCCGTCTCACGGCCTCTCTGGGAATGCTGTCCTGGGTGCAAGAGAACAGGCTGAGGATTATGATGGAGACCAGGTGAGCGAGACTTCTTCTAGGCCAATATCTGATGCTGCAAGTCCAAGACTGGATGGTGGAAGGGATTCAGCAGAGTCGACAGACTCAGGGCATACACCCTATGAGGCTTGGAGCCAGCACGGGTTCCCCGCGACAGCATCCTCGACTGAGCCATCGAGTCCAACATCAGGCGTGAATAGCTCTGTAAGAGCCAGGGGATCGATGGCCACATGAACAAGCGTTGATTCGCTCTCGTACGCCCAGTGACGTATCTGTTCCTCGCCTCGATGGGGTGAGTTGAAGATCCAGCTGACTTCATTCATCGTTACGCTTGAATTTCGAAGACGTTGCGAAGGTCTTGACGAGCGATCCTAATATTTGGCATACATCCTCATGAGATACCACTGAGGACGCTACTGCGGATGTCCCACAATAGCAACAAAAGAACTTCCGGGTGAGGAGCAGCAAGGAAAGAGTCGTTCGTGGAGATGGAACATCATTCATGTGAGTTAAGCCGATTTCATTATCAGTGAATGCCTTTAGCATTTCGTGATCGGTGTGTCGTCGCGAAATCCACGATCTGATCCCAATTCTTGCACTGATGGTTGACGAAGTATCCATTCACGCCTGGCCCGAGAGTCCCGTTGTCCAGCATGGAGTAGTGCTCGAGCGTCATGTCCCCAGAACACATGATAGACTATCAAAGAGTCAGAAAGGCGAAAAGATTGCCTGGAGCAACGTTATCGCTCACCTGTCGAAGATAATCGATGCAATGGTCAACATGCACCAATGGGTCCTGCCCATCGTCGCCACTGTCATGCGTCATGATCTTTCCCTCTGACCGCATGCTGTTCAGCGCATTCCGCAGCATGGCGACACAATGGAGCTGGTGAAAGACAGACAAGCAGTACTCTCCGTCTCCGTTGTGAAGTAGATGGGTCTCGCCCAAGCCTTGCGTCTGGTCCTTTGGTACTCTGACGAATCCCTTGCCCAAGGGTATGAGTTCGTTCCAGGGATTGTGTTTTCCAGTCGAGCTCACGGAGAACCTTTCATCTGGTGTGAAGGTGACTGGGCCCCATGATACTGTCGATTGGTTAGAGACGATACGATTCATAATCATGCTCGAAAAACGTACTGCTAGGGAGAAAGCTGGTTCTGCGTGATCGCGCCGTCACAGATATGTATGTGCCGATGAGTAGTACCACGCCGAGAATGCTGAGACCACTCCAGATCAAAGGTCTCCGATTGCGGGTGGTGAAGGATTTTCGAGGTCTCTGAAAGTCATATTCTTTCTCTGTCTCCGGATGGAGCAGATGTGATGAGTCTGAGCCGGTCTCTGACGATGAATCCATCCTGGCTGTTCTGAGGAAGTGAAAGGAAACAGAAGGGAAGAATAGCGCTTCAGCTGAGTACAGCGACAACTCGAACCCACACCGAGCAATGACTGATCGCGTGCGAACCTCGCAAGCAACAAAGAGACCCTGCATGTGCTAATAGCTGTCTGCAGTTCTGGTGGTGTAACGCTGTGGCACTCCGCTCTCAGGCCAGACGATCTTGCTTCATTAGCAAGCACACCCGAAGACGCATTACAACTGAGGCCCACCCTTGGCATTCCTTTGGTAAACTCACTAATCGCTGAACAGTAGTCCCAATTAGGCAGTTGGGAAGCTTCCTGCTTTCAAGCTATTCCAATAAGCTTTGCCCAAGCTGGAAGGGATGCTTATCGTCATGACGTCCTTTGCAAACTGAAGAGATTCGCTCTTGTTGTTGCGGCTGGTTTCGGGTTCTGAAAGCTGAGGACGGAGCGCAAGATCTGTAAGGCGCTTTCCCGTCTCAATCGAAGCGTTGGGCTTTTGGTTCAGGAAAGGGCTCTGCGGACTACACCCACGACCAAGGTTGGTGATCATGCCTCTGCCTTTGGTATTCCGCTCAATTGTTCATCCCCATTACTCCCAAGCCGTCTAAGCAGCTTAGGATGCAATTAACAGCGCAGTCGCTTGTGAAAAGTTAGAGAGATGGCAATCGCATACTTTCCGGTTTGACCGGAAAGAGGAGAGTAGCTACAATACGCTTCATTCAGCCCATGGCGACCTCACACAATCGTACATTGCCAATCCTGTCCATGTCGTTGCGTTCCACATCTCTGTACTCGTGCCCAGTTGATCAATACAATGATACGCATGATGTGCAGCCAACGTCTTCCTGTCAATCCACTGCACCTTGTTATCCACCGCATACATCAATTTCCGATACAAAAACAGACAGTGTTGCAGATGGTAGCCAGCTCTGTTCGTCCAAAGATCCAGCACTTCTGCCCGGTCCAGTTGCTCTCTAGACAGGGGCTGAGTGAAGTTTTCGTCCTTATACCACTGCCACTTTTCCCACGGGTCGTTTGCTTCGGTGACTTCTGGATATTGACACTCTGGTGCTATCCATCCGTATATCATGGGCTCCAGTACACAACCCCGAGCTCGTGCCTGGCTAGAGGTGTGACCGCACTTTTTGACTTGAGATGCGGGTTGCCAGTATTGCTTGAGAGGTCGTATTGAGCCGAGTGCGGCTCCTAGTATGGTTGACAGGAGGACCAAGGAGACTATGCCAAAGATTCGAAGCCATGGCCGTTGGCGAGGAGGTCGTGGCGTTGCTTGTGAATCATCCTCGTCCCTAGGAAGGTGTTCATAGTCGGTATAGTTCTCTTTCATTCTGTCCCGCCGTGAGGGTGTACGTGGTTGCTGCGACGAGGGGAGAGGGAGCAAAACGCAAGTACACTGCGTAGCTCGTGTTTCCTCATGCAAGGCCTCCTACGCTCCGTCATGAGGCTTCGATAAGCAACGAACCTTCTCTAACCGACAAAATAGTGTCCATCCTACGATGTAACACTGCAAAGACCGACATGAACGAAGCTGTTGGACTTTCTCGCAGACTTGTGCGAAGTATGCTGGTACGCGGAAACCAGCTCTCCACCTCCAACGCAAGGCGTGCAGTCTCGGAATTCGCTTTGTGGCCAATCCTCAGCCGCAAGCTGTTTGATTGGCTAGTGCGATTCCACACCTGCCTTATACGGACGTTAAAGTGGGGCAGAGCTGAGCGACCTCATGTGCTCATGGAATGATGGAATTTCGTCCCAAGAAGCTGGAAACACGATGTTCGTTGACGAACCAATGGAGCTGGAAGCGCTAGTAGGGTTCTCATCACACATGTACCCTCGTCGTTCCGGTCAAAGTGGGATCTATCGAATTGCTATCTCTCCAACTTTCTACGAGTAACTGCGCTGCTAGTTGCACTCTAACCTACTTAGACGGACTAGAAGTACAGGGGATGAATGTTCCACTGAGTGGAACACCGAGGGTACCATGCCACAAAGTCCGACCTACCTACCCTTTTCGGGACAAGACTGGGCACCTGCATAAGTACAGCGAAGATCGTCAAGCACACGACATCTACCAACATTCCGAGCGTTTGATCACTGAACTGGCATGTCATCATCGCATCTGCTCCATTGGAAGTGGCTATCTAGTTGGAGAAACCCGTTCCCAACATATTCCCTTTCCGTGCACTTGTCTTCCACCAATGGACTTTCACTAGCCTTGGGGCTTTACTCGGCCTCTGCGGCTTCTCCCTCCTTGCCAGCTGTGACAGCATAGTAGCCAAACTCGGGGTTGTAGCCCTGACGCTTCTTGAGAACCTCAACCTCAGCCTCAGCTGCTTCACCTTCCTCTCCTTTGCTAACCACGTAAAATCCGTTTGTGGGTGAGTACGTCTGGCGCTTCTTGAGAATCTCTGCCTCGGCGACCTCGCCCTCCTCACCGGCGGTCACGGCGTAGGTACCAAACTTCGGGTTGTAGCCTTGACGCTTGAGGACCTCAGGCTCAGCTGCTTCACCTTCCGCTCCTTTGCTAACCACGTAGAAGCCATTGGTGGGTGAGTACGTCTGGCGCTTGTCTAGATAGTTTGTTAGCATCAGAAATTGTATCTGGAAGGGCAAAGTTCATACCCTGGACTGGAGCAGCACAGCTCAGGCCGAGCAGGCACGCAGCAGCGATGAGAGAGACGGCTTTCATGGTTGCGAGTGTTTGAAGAGGGTTTGGAGACTTGAATAGAGTCGAAAGGTATCGTTTATGAACGATCTCTTCGAGCAAAGCAGAGCTCTTTGATTTATACGGCCCAACTCCGCAACCACTCCTCTTATCTTGCGGTGCCACTTTATGAACCATGTTCCTTCGTTCAAACATCAATGCATGTGTCAAACCCAGCTCCACCAACACGGAAAGGGTCGTCGATCTACGTGTTGTCGACTTTCAGGCCAACAATGATCAACATGGGAGCTCCTTCCCAGTTTGGGGTTAGGCCCATGTAGAGGTTACATCTTCCAACACGCCTGCATGGTAGCGCTAATCACGAACTACTGCTGCACCGTGCTTAGAGGAGAAGCGAAGTTTCGCCACTGTTGTTGAGAAGTGAGCGCATCACCGCAGCGATGCATCACGCAATCATTCAGAGTTGAGGGAGAGCCACGGTGGAAGACGGGAGAGTGTAAGCAAAATCGTCCTGCGAATTCCTCTCCGCCAACATGGACGACTCGTGCCCTTGCGAGGAAGCGTGCCATCTCCTCGACGACGAAGGCAAGCAGGTCCGACATCGACATCCCAAGCAGAAAAGATCTCGAAAATCGTTGTACCTCTTGTCGATAATCCTGACGAATCTGGTGACTGCCATAGCCGCGTTTACAGTCGGACAGACATGGCAACGGCATCGAGACCAGAGCTCGATTCACAGTCAACTACACACGCCGCAAGATGAGACTTCCTTCTACGCAGACATCGACCAAGACTCGAGACATACGGTGAAATTCTCGCCTTTCTCATTAGATCCGAAGGCGTCGCCGTACACCTCGCCGCCATCCCCGGAAGTCGATCAAGCATGGAGGGATCTAGGAGTCGAATGTGAGTTTTGCCACCCTCAAAGATACAGAGAATCCCCATATGAACATTCAAGACTAACACAAACCCCCCTCCAGACTTTACTTTTGTTCTTCCCCTCCCCCTGGGCCCAACCTTCAACATCGACCCCTCCCACGCCATAATCCCCGCGGATGCCCCAGGAGCACACAACGAATCCGGCTACGCCGTCGACATGGAAGCCATGCACCAACTGCACTGCCTAAACCTCCTGCGCAAAGGCCAGTACTTCAACCACGAGTACTACGCCGCCGCTGAGAACCTGCTCGACCGCCCCTCCTGGGCGTTCCGGGATCCCGAGCGGAATGTACGAGGCCATATTAATCATTGCATTGATGCGTTGAGGGAGAGGATTATGTGTGCGGCGGACGATGAGGTGTTGCCGTATTTTTGGCGAGATGGTGAGGGGAGTAAGTCTTCCGTTCGGAGTCTCGTCGATGAAACGTGCGCGAGTTTGGGACTTGTTTGTGTGCTGATCTTATCGCAGTGACGATCTCTGATTTTGCCGTCACGCGGCAGTGTAAGAATTTCGAGGCGGTGAGGAGTTTCGCTGAGAAGCATCAGTTGGACGATTGGGGCACTTCCTATGTGCTCAAGACTCCGCCAGATGCTTATATAGCATCTGATATATTATAGCGTAAAGTCCAAAGAAGCGTTCACGGAAATAGATGTCCCGGCACGGCCATGTTTGTCTAGAGGGTCAAGGTGTTTCATGGAGTGTAGTCTGCGGATCATTCACTGGCACTTCCTCATGGACTTGCCAATGTCAGGAATTCAGGACTGGCCGCATTCATTCGACTCATAGACTGGTCCTCATTTGAGCTCTGGAGATACACACGGAAAGATCATAAATCACCTTGCCAACCAACTCCCCCGAAAGCCATCATTCACCGACCGAATCATCATCTTTCCTCACAACTTACTCCCCACCGCCGGCGCCGTCACCGCACAACAAGCCCCACCCGCATCCACCGTCCCCTCACTCACCCCCTGACGATGCTGCTCGCTCAGCAGCGTCGACTGGTTAAACTGCTGCGTGCTAGGAGGCACATCTAGCGCGGGGTTCTTCTCGAAGAAGTTGACGGGCTTGAGGGCGACTTTGATCGTCTCGCAGGGCATGACGGGGAAGTCTTCGATGCGGGGAATCTATTGAAAAGAAAAAACACTCAGGGTTAGTGTGTGGAGTTTTTGGGGGATAGGGGGTGGTGACTTACGTGGTTGATACCGAACTGCACGAAAACGACCAGATCCTCATCGACGATTCCGTCTTTCCTGTCCGCCCAGCTCCTTACTCCAGTTCCTCCTCGGCTCTGGTTCGTGTACTTGCCTCCGGCATAGAGTTCCCCATCACGGTACTTCACAGCATAGATACTCTTATCCGCGAACTCGGCCCGCTTGAAATTGAAACTCTCCGTGTCGGACAGCATCTTCTGGAACGGCGGCGCGTGGATCTTGTACGCGACGGGCTTGTTGTTGATCGGGTTGCGCACCGCGGCGTTCTGGATCTTGAAGACGCGGTTGGCGGCGTAGTCGATGTCGTAGCCGCCCGAGTGCGTGAGGAGGGTTTCCTTGCTATAGTAGCCCGTGCCGTGGGGGTTGAAGTCGCTGCGGGGCATGGCGTGGGCTTCGTCGTAGACGAGGCGGTTCTGGTAGCCGTCGATCATGGGGTCGATGCGGAGGGAGAAGATGTGTTGGTGGTGGGTGGCGAGGACGCCCGGGTGGACGACTGTGCCCCAGGGGACTTCGAGGCCCTCGTCGATGGGTTGGGTGGAGAGGATGCCGGTGGCGCGGACTTCGTAGCTTAGTTCGCCGGCTTGGTTGAACATGAAGGCCATGATGTATTCGTAGTTGGCCACTGCAGAAAACAGTTAGATCTTTACTCAATGTGGGCACTCTTTCGTGACAGTAACTTACCCGTGATAATACTCTGCACAACCAACTCGCGGTTCCGGACAACGGCAGCACGCCCAGTCCTGTAGTTAGTGTGCTTCCATCCAATGCCATTATCCTGTTCATGGATGCAGACCACATTTGGCATATCGAGTGGATTACCCTTGTCATCAGCAAGGGTAGCAGAGAGGTAGTGGATAGAGCCGAGACAATCGCATCCCAGCTTGAGGTCATTGGCCATGATGCCTAGAGAGGATCATAGTCAGCTTCTTTCCTTCAAACATTGGTTGTAGAGTAGGGTTGTTGCGTACCAGCACCAGCGTCGCCAAGATCGAAAGCAGACTTCTTGTGGAATGGGTGGCGAGGGTCGGCGTAGGGGATGTTCATATCCGAGAGAGCCAAACGGTAGAAGAGGTTTCGGCCATCGTATCGGACGTCGTAGAGAACCATGCCCTCTCGCTGGTTGAAGCCGACTCTGAAAGACCACTTTTGCCTGCAACTTTGTTAGCCACCGATCCTGACCGTGGAGCTGCAGCTCAAGAAGAGGCATCAAAGATGGCTCGTCCTAGACACTCACCACTCAACAACATTACTCGTCCCCTGCTCCGCCACACTGAAACTCGCCCCCTCCGGCTGGACGACCTGCAGCGGCTTCAAGTCGGTCCTCAATTTCTGATACTCCGGCACGTACTCATTGCCAGGCTGAGACTTCCAGGGCTTTGGTTCGGAGATCGTGTTATCCGTCCCGGTAGGCAGGTGATCGATACGGATGACTTCCATCTTGGAGCAGTCGATGACGGGGGAGATGCTAAGCGGCAGGGCGTAGTGGTTCGAGTCGGCGTCGGTGGCGTTGAGCGGGTCGCGGAGGTACATGAAGCATTGCCACATGCGGGCGTCGTCTTCGATGCCGTCGGAGCCTGGATACCACAAATTAGCCAAAGCGGATCTTGGTAAGTGTGATCGTGGGGAGGGAGACATACCATAAATCCACGGATCAACAACCACCTTCGCCCCCTCCGGCAACTTCAACTTAGCCAACTCAGCCTGCACGCCTTCATCCTCCAACGCAATCCTCTCCATAGCGGAAATCTCCTCGCCATCACCAGGCGCGTGCAGATTCGCGCCCAGCCGAACATTATACTCGATGCTCTGCCGGGAGAGATTCACCACCGCCTCGTGGAATTTATCCTATTCATCAGAATCCCGTCAGCTTCAACGTTCTCCTCGTCTCTACATGACTCAAAAAGAGCTACTGCATACCGTCTTACGCAAATAATACGTAACAAACACCCTCCGATCAATCCCAGGCAGACTCCGACTCCCCTTCGCCTCCGCCTCCAAGTAAGGCACCATCTCCGCCTTGGCCGGCTCCTCGAGGGTAATAGCCTTGAAATGGAGATCCTGGCCCTCGGGCCATTGCGACCTGATCAGGGCGACGGCCTGCTGAATCTCCGAAGCATTAATAGGCGCCAATGGATGACTGTGAATCTGGGTTTGCTTGCTGTCGGCGCCCCGCAGGGCCAGTGACGTCGAGACGGATTCGGTAGCCATCGTAGTTGTGGGTTCTGTTTCGTCTTTTTGGTTTGAGAAGGCGAGGATTGAAAGAGAGGATGAGGGGTTGGAGGTGGAGGAAAGGAGTCAAGTTGAAAGAAACAGAAGAGCTAGATGCTTTTCGCCACGCGAGACAGGTTCCGTTAACTCGGTAGAAGAAGCAGCGTGAGTCCCTCTTTAGATAAGACGGTCTCGAAGCTAGGTGGGTGGGCAATGCAGCAAGCAAGCGGCGCGCCGACGGCCAAGCAAGAAGCTCTTCGTTCTCTCTTTCTTACCTGCAGTCATCGCCCTTCAAGCCCATCATCATCCAAAGCCATCAATAACTGCTTGTTCCCGTGGGCCGTAATCCTCCCCCTCCAACAAATCATCCTTCTGATCCAAGAGATGAGGGGAAACGGGGCCAAACACGACGTATTTCGTAAAAAATGTAAGGCGGGATGTCTGGAGTTACTGGATCTTGTGCCGTAGAGGGAAGGTCCAGGCGGAGCGAATCAGAATCCTTCGGTCGAGATGGAGCTGAGAATGCGAATCGGCCAGGTCATGTGATGCTGATAGGGCAGGGCATTGTAAGACGGTATGACTTCCTTTCAATCATCTCGTATGGGATTATGGAGATATAGTGAGCCTAAGGGCATGTCTGGAAACAGCATGTCGATGCGGCGCTGAAGTGGAAGTCAGCATTGGCAATGTGAGAAACAATTCAGAGAAAAAGAAGCACATATGGCACGGCGATTGACTCTGCTTTCATATCGAAGAAACACGCTCAAACCATCTCAAAAGACAACCATCCCCATGAGTACGGAATACGAAACCACGGACTTTCCTGACTGTACAAAATTCCTCGATCAAAGGCCCGCAAGAACGCCGCAGTCTTCCCATCATACAACGTGAACCCATCAATCATCATTCTCAAGCACCAGCCTCAACAACCTTACACCCCTCACTAACCAACTTGGAAATATCCTCGTTCTTATGCGGAAGTTGCTGCAATGCAAACGCTACATCGTTCCATTGCCGCTCGCTCTCCGCACGCTGTAATCGAGGAGCCAGTTTGCTGGCCAGCTGTTTGGCGTGTTTGTCCTGCAAAATAGTGTCAGTTCGTCTCTTCTCGCGTGTGATGTAAGTGGATGTTGAAGACTCACCTTCTCGATGAAGCTCGTCAAAAACTTGACAATCTTCTTGAACCGCTCCTCTTCCAGCGATTCATCCGCCGACAGCAGACTGAACATGTCCACGAAGTGGTTGTACACCGCGTTGTCCTTGCCCGCCAGCTCGCCAAAGAACATGCGGCTCATCTCCCGGATACGGTCATCGCTGTCCTCGACGCATTTGGCCATCTCGCCTAGCTGGCCCTTGACCTTCACTTGTCCAGCGAGGATCAAGAAGGTCAAAGTCATCAAGCAGGTCCGCTTGACTTGGAGGCTGGCGTCTGACAGGCGGCGGTAGAGGAAGTCGGTGTTTTCGTCGATCAGGTGGTTGAAGCAGACCGCCATGTCGCCCAGGGCAACGACAAGGTTACTGCGGGTGATGGAAGAAGGCGACCTCTCCAATATAGTGATGAGCAGGCTGAGATTGGTCTCGCAATACTCTGAGCTCACGCACATGAGCTTGGCCATGCAGAGTGCCGCTTGTGCCTGCAGCTCAGCATTTGGATAAGACGTGTTGTTGCTGCATATCTCCTTGACCAAAGGCCCGAAGTGTGTAAGCAGTGACTGCTGGCCGTAGAGAAGCTCCCGCTCACGGACGTGTGCTATCGCGTCTGTGAAGTCGTCCTCGGTGGTACCAGCCATCAGGTCAAGCTCATCCGGCTCGTCTTCCTTCTTGCCGTTGCCCTTCTTAGAGGCTCCGGAGACGGCTCGACTGCCTGGGGCTTTCTTCGCTGATGACGGCGCATTGCTCTTCTCCTTCTCGGCTTTTCGCCGCTTGAAGTCTTGTTCACACAATTCAAGGTGGACAATCTGCTTTAGTGCAATGTGGCCGACAGCGAAGAGAAGCTGGGAGAGAGCCAATGCAGAGCCGCTGGCGTCTAATGGGTCTTCTTCTGCCTTCTGCTCTGGTTCGGCCTCTGCGGGAGCATCTGCTGGCATGTCACTCATCTCTACATCGCCGTCGACGTCCATCTGGCTGTCGTCGTCTGTCTCCGTCTTCGGTGGTGGACTTGAAGCCGACGCCTTGCGAGCGAAGACAGTCTTTGTCTTGCGTCGCACCACATCCGAGCACAGAACATCCGGGTGCTTCGAAAGAGCGTAGATAGCGCCAATCGCCTGCTCTGCCATGCCGTACCAGTCACGGCTATCACTCTCGATCTCGAGCAGACCAGCCAGGCGAACAAGTACTGCATGATCGTTGGGCAATCTTGTGCTTGGTCCGGCTTCTGTGCCTTTGACTGGCTTGTTGTTCGTCATTCGCATGAGTGCGATGCAAGTGAAGCGTGCGAGAACAAGGTCGCGTCGTCCGACGGAACCCAGACCGATGCGAAGGCAGGTCTCCATCTCTCGAACGACGATCTCAGGATCTGCGAGAGCCAGCATACCGAGCACGATAATTGCACCCCGTCGCTGAGATTTCGAAATCTCCTTCTTCTGAACTCCGTACACCTGCCAAAGCTTCTGAATGACCAGATCGTTTATCGCTTTCTCCTTCATCATGGTGGCCAAAAGTTGTTCGAGACTCGTCAGTTCCGCAGGCGAAGCACCGTAAGTCAGACTCATCATGTTCCTGGCAACATAGTTTGCGGCGTCATTCGGGCTGAAGTTGCCAGGTGCGGTGAAGAAGAGGCCCTTGTAGCATTCGATGAGATGCGTCTGCACGCCTTTGCCCTCATCGCTGTTGCCCTTGGTCCAGATCAAACGGAGCATCCGACGAATGCCAATCTTCGCGGTTTCAAGCTCGTACGCATCGGCTGTGACGAAGAAGTCCATTGCTTCAATGACCTCAGTCTTATTCTTGGACGACAAGAGCTGAGTCACATGCTCTGAGGCTTCATGAAGTGTCTCAATGAACCTCAGAGCCTCGACATAGTATCGTCTTGTCAATTGAAGTTTGTTGATGGCCTCGGCAGTTGCAGCTTCCTCTTGCGCCTTTTCCATTGCCGCAGCCAGCTCCTCCTCTGTTTGAGGTGGCTTTTCTGCAGGTTCGACTTGGGTCGGCTCGTTGAGGAGGCTTTCATCCACGGTCTGGTCATTCTCTGCACGTTCTCCCAGTCCAGGTGTTCCAGCTGGGGGCTTCAAATTCGCCAACTCATTCTCACAAGCCTCCAGTCGCTCGCTCCACTGCTCATGGCTGAGTTGTCCTCCATGAAGCACAGCAAACGGATGTGTCTCGAGCAACTTTGCAAGTAGCTTAATCGCGTTACGCCTGACATTGGACGACTTGTCCTCCAGGCTTTGTGTTGCGAGTTCTGCGGCTCGCTGCCGACGTTTTGGATATTTTGTCTCCAAATCGCACAGCTTGACATACACCTGGATCGCTCTGCATCGAGCATAAGGATTGACATCCAAGAATCGTTCTTCCAGCACTTCGAAAAAGGCGTTGATCTGTCCCTTATGCTCTTCCCTTCGCTCGCTTTCCTCGACCTTGGACAGCATGGAAATCAAGTTGCCACAGACTTCAAGGATCGCCATGCGAAGGGTGTAGTTCTCGCTCTCCAGTAATTTGGCCAAATACGTAACCTGCTTCTGCACAAGGCGAGGCGCGAGTTCAGAGAGTCGTGCTACGAATGTCGATACTGATTTCGGTCCCTTGTTGTCGTTGTCACTGAACTCTTTCGTCGACAGCTCCTTCATAACTTCCTCGGCCAGTTGCGGGTAATCGTATTGCTCGGCCAAGATGTTCAAGAACTCTGCCATGGGCTCTGAAAGATGCTCGAAGTACGTCAGATTCTGAACGATACTGGTCTGCGCGCCATATGCGTGTCCGTGGTGTTTAATGGCCACACAGAGCACCTTCCAAGCGTGCATCCGAATGGCCTGGCTCTTCACTCTCGTCTCGCTTTCCAGTATCAGATATGTTGGCCTTGTGAACAGTCCGATGAAGGTATCGCGCTCGCTAGTCGTCACGAAGATCTTGGACAGCTTGAGCTTCATGACTTTCGCCATGGTGTCCAGCGCTGTTTGGAGCTGCGCCGAAGGATCCCAGGTACCATCTTTCTGTGCTGCCTTGCTCTTCGCGCCTTTTGCACCCTTCCCTCTGGCAGGCGCAGCAGGCTTCTCTGCGCTCTTGGCTTCTACCGCTGCGACGCACCACTGCAGCAAGAATGCAAACATCTCCAGTATTTGTTTATGTTGCGCGACCTCGGTTTCTCCTTCCTGCTCTTCATGGTGCACGATCTCGGCTTCCGCGCCCAAAACGCTGATGACGTGTTCGAAGATTTTGCCAAGCGACGCTGATGGGATGAAGGAGGCCTGCCTAGAGAGAGCAAACAACTCAATGTCAGAATGGGTGTTTTTTGTGCAAGACTGTTGGTGTAAAGGAATTGTGGGCGCGCACTTGAGCAAAAACTGTAAGCTGTCAAAATTGCTTGGTTGAAGAATCGCTTCTGGGTTGTTCGCGATCGCATCGACTATGCCGTTGAGCACGCTGTTGATCAGGCCTGGTGTAAACGCATCGGGGTTGTTTTCGCAGTCAACAAGCGCGGAATCGGCCTCGGGGGTGGGGATCGCTTGGGGGTCGTCTAGATAGTGTGTGAGCGCATCGCTGATATTGAAGTCGGCCATTTTGGCGACGAGTATAAGTTGAAGAACACCAATTATGGGTGTCTGCTGTGGCAGTGTCGTCAAGTTCGCGTCTGGATGTTTTCGACATGGCGCTAGTGGCCGCCGGCGGTTTCCCCAGCAACGGACGCGCTTGCGGCGCGTGGTGCCTTTGCACCTGCAAACTCACAGTCTGAGGTTCACGTCCATGCGACATATCCGGGGTACATGCAACCTGTGGCTGATCTTGTGGTGACTGGAGAGACGAGGTGACCATGGCGACGGTCAGCAGACGGGCACATGAGTCCGTGGTGGTGCACGAGGACGAGGAGCATGCGCATCATGGCGAGAGCACCGAGGACGACACCGACAACCTGGACGAGAGCAAAGGCCCACTAGACGAGAGCGGTGGCACAGTCTCGGATGACGAAGAGGAAGAGGAAATTGACGATGCCATCCTGGATGACATGGAGCGCTTCGAGCAGAGCTTCAAAAACATTGGCATGCGTTACAGACTCATCAACCGCATTGGGGAAGGCACATTCTCCACCGTCTACAAGGCCCAAGACATCCTTCATGATCACTACATCAACGACTGGGATATGGATGCCGATAAGGAGAACCATGAGAACGATGCCGCCACGAAACAGACCAAAAGGCCCAAATATGTGGCGATCAAGAAGATCTATGTCACCTCCTCTCCCAACCGTATATTCAATGAGCTGGAATTGCTCAAAGACCTGAGGGACTCGCCGAACGTCTGCCCTCTCATCACGGCCTTTCGCCATCAGGACCAAGTCATAGCCGTCCTGCCTTTCTTCCAACACAAAGACTTCCGAGACTACTATCGCGATTTCACCACAAACGACATGCGTGTCTACTTCCACAGTCTCTTCACTGCCTTGAAAGCAGTACATGAAGCCGAGATTATCCACAGGGATATCAAGCCAACCAACTTCCTATACTCCCCAGCACACAAACGAGGTGTGCTGGTCGACTTCGGGTTGGCGGAGAGAGAAGGCACCGACTATCAGCAATGCTTCTGTGGCCTCCCCGAGCGTGAGCAGCATAAGAGGGAAGAGAACTCCATATATGCTGCGAGCTGTATAGCTGCTGCCAAAGCCGGTCAGCCTCTGCCACGACCATCATACCCAAAGGAGGACCAGCGCTCGTCACGGCGCGCCAACCGTGCAGGAACTCGAGGCTTTCGTGCGCCTGAGGTGCTGCTCAAGTGCACAGCACAAACATGCCGGATCGATGTGTGGAGTTGCGGCATCATGCTGTTGACCTTCCTCTCCAAGCGCTTCCCCTTCTTCCACTCGGCTGACGACATAGACGCCTTCATCGAGTTGTGCACAATCTTTGGCAAGAAAAAGATGAAAGACACTGCGTTGTTGCATGGACAAGTCCTACAGACCAACATCCCAACCATCCCCGAGAACGGGCACAGCTGGGAGAAGATCTTGCTGTGGTGCACATCACGCAACAAGAGGGATGACGGCGGCTTGACACCCGAAGAGCACGACGCCGTATCATTCATGCAGTGCTGCTTGCAGCTGGACCCTAGAAGAAGAATCACCGCTGCGCAGGCATTGCAGCATCCGTGGCTGACAGCAGACGCGGAATCAGCGCCACCGAGTAGCCAGGAGAGCGAAATGGTGGATTGACGATGGAAGGCATTGGGACGGAGGGCTCAGCATGTGCGAGCATACTGAACGGCGTTGTTGGGCGGCGGCATTTTCATGGACAAGGCAGATACCCATCATGTTGCGTGTATATACTTTGCGTTGGCATTGGAGTTGGGCGAGAATAGAATTCGTAGAGGCCGTCACAAGTGATGTTCATCGACCAGTTTCCTCAGCCAATCAGCGCTGCCTTTAGTCATGACCTCAATGCTTCAACTCGGTGGCCAGCAGACTCCGGCTTCATCTCCCTCGCACACAACCCACCATGGCTTCCAAACTCGCCCCATGGGCCCTCAGAGGCAGTGCGCGAGCCCTGCGCAGTGGTGTCAAGGAGCAGCGACGGACGTTCCAGGTGTCGAGCGCATCGCGGAGTGCCTCGCTGATGGTGGTATGCACAAGGAATCCGATCACCCACACAGGCTCTTCTAACAAACCATCTAGCACCGCGACACGCCCGAAAACAACCCCTCGATCCCTTTCAAATTCAACGCACAGAATGAGGAACTCATCAAGGAGGTCCTCAGCCGATACCCCAGCCAGTACAAGAAGGCCGCCGTAATGCCCCTGCTCGACCTCGGACAGCGCCAGCACGGCTTTACCAGCATCAGCGTCATGAACGAGGTGGCGAGGCTATTGGAGATGCCGCCAATGCGCGTGTATGAGGTGGCGACTTTCTATACCATGTACAACCGGAATCCCGTGGGTAGATTTCACGTACAGTGCTGCACGACGGTATGTGGGAGAAGAAGTGAATGTCGCGAGGGACATAGCTAATACAAGGCAGACTCCATGTCAATTGCGAGGCAGCGACGGCATTATGAAGGCCATTGAAGAGGAGCTAGGCATTCACCACGGCGAGACGACCAAAGACAACATCTTCACCTTCACCGAAGTCGAATGTCTCGGCGCCTGCGCCAACGCACCCATGGTCCAGATCAACGACGATTACTATGAGGACCTCACACCCGAAAAGACCAAGGATCTCCTCCGAGCATTGAAAGAGGCCGCAGAGAAGACGGGCGCCAGTGGCTGGGCACCGGGTCTGGTAGGCGACAGTGGCAAAGATCAAGTCTCAGGACAATCACCAGGACACCAGATCAAGCAAGGAGGAGAAGGATACTCAGCACAAGGCGCAAAGATTCCGGCGCCGGGACCATTGAGCTCGCGTATCTCGTGCGAGAACTCGGCAGGCCATACGAATTTGTTGGAGCTAGACAAGTATCCTACACCGGAGCAGGCGCTGCGAAAAGATGGTGCGCTGTAGAGCAGGTATACATGTATATGTAAGAATACGAAGCAAACCATCGGGACTCGTAGCGTGGCAAGAGAACACAACATGCGGATACCCCGACTTCACGCAAGCCACCTCCGCGAGACTGACCACTACCCGCATCTGACGTACATACAATTCCCGCACGACATTGCAGCAGAAGCGCCACGGGGTAGCTATCACAACATTTATCCCAAAATGAGACTTGAAAACAGAAAAACCCAGCTCACGTAGTCCCCAACAGAACCCTTCCCAAAACGCCCACACTCCACCCCGAAACCCCATCCACAATCCCTCACAACCCCAACCCCATCAACCCGGTATTACAAGTGGTATAGCCCCATAGTCCTCAAATGATCAATGGTGCGGCCGTGACTGCTCGCACCCGATTCAGCCCACGGAATTGGTGCCCTTCCCGGCGAGGTGAAACGCCGTCCGGGCGCCAAATTTTGGACGCCACCAAATAGCGCACATGGCTTGTGGTGAAACTCACCACACAGACAGACATGCACGAGCAGGAGTCTGGAGTATTTCGATCTTCCGTTTGGTGTGGTCTGGTCTGGTCGGTCTTGGGTTAGGCGATGGGGCTGCGTTCTGGGCTAGGCTTGGACCTTGAGTCGTTGGAGCGCTTGGGGGATGGGCCTGGTATAGAACCTCTGTGGTAGAAGGTAGGTTTTCTTCTTTCCTTTCCTGTCGACTTTCTATTTGTCTTTTTCGACGACGATATAGACCTTTGATAGGTTTCCTTCATTACATTTCTTTGGCTGCCATCTGGAGAGACGACTGGACTTGTCGATATTCATTTGATTTGATTTGCTTTTTTCTCGCGGAGTCACTCGTTCAAAGACGCTCGTTTAACGAACCATCACCACGACGATTCGATCATATCGACAGCATTCGAGATGCAGTACACCGCCCTTCTCCTCGCAGCCTTGACGGCTCTTTCGACTGGCGTGTCCGGTCTTGCTCTACCGGCTCTTTTCTCTAGAGGTCGGTGTTCATCCCTACATCCCATAAACAGAACATCACTAACACGTCTCGATGAATCAGAAAAGTGTATCGAAGACCTCCCACAATACCAACAAGCCAAAGCGAACCAATCCACCATCTTCGGCCTCCAACTCGCCGGCTCCGCCAAAGACCAAGACGAACTCGACACGACGTGCTCTGATCTAAACGATGGAGCCTACTCGAAATGGAAACAGGAAGGCCTCGTCCTGAACGCCATAACACGTACCTCTCCCCCTCCCGCACCCTATCCAAACACCACACCACACCACTAACACTCTTCCACAGAACCAATCTGCAACCCCCCACACCCCCCAAACGCAACCCTCACCCTCCCCAACCTCGCCACAGCGAACACCCACCTCCTCACAGCCCTCCTCCTCACCGCCTTCCCCTCGCAAACCACAAAATCCTACCTCTGCACCACCCTCCGCTACCCCCTCCTCGACAGCCTCCTCCTCAACTCCGACACCATCATCGCCACGCTGTGCAACGCCACAACCACCCCGCAGGCCCCGCAGCCCTTCACTTCTCCGGCGCAGGAGGGAGAGGAGGAGAACAGCACGGCGGTAGCAGATCTGCACACCGCCGCCGCGAACCTCTTCGCGTACACCTACGCCTCAGGCCTCACGACGCCATCCGCCCTCTCCGCGGCATGCGCCTCCGCTTCGGCGCGGAAGTCAGCGTGGGGAAAACTCATGCTAAACGGTACAGCCGTAGAAGAAGTTCTCTGCAGCATAAAATCTCCTTTGAAAGTCGACGTTGCGAAGGCGAGGATCACGGAGTGGAGCTCGCGGTGGTTTGGGACGGTTTTGGGGGGCGTGAGTGATGCGGAGGGGTTTAAGGGGGAGGTTTGTCGGGGGTTGAGTTGTGGGGCGATGGGGGAGGTGGGGTTCGATGGGGAGGTTGTTAGGGGGGTTTTTGGGTGTTGAGAAGATAGGAGGGGATGGGTGGGAAGGGATGGGTTGATTCAGTTCTTGGCCTTGATTGAGGACCTAAGAGCCGTTGACGATACGAACGGGCATGTACATGTACAGATCAATTTCTTCGATTCGCCCAGCTCACGAGTAGCTACAATTCGTCTGCTACTTCTTTGCTCCACTTCGTCCCCACGTATGATATGCTGGAGACGCTCCATCATGACACAAACGAGCACTGTAGGTGTTCCCTGATTTCGATCTCGTTTGTTTTTGAGCTACACAGCCACCGACATGCAAAGAGCTATGTACACCACGATATCTTTCCTCGCAACAACGGTATCGATCAGTATGACTTCCGGCATCAGCATCAAGGTCTTTCCCCCTTTTAAATTATTCTTTCCTTCGCTCAAACGCCCTCAACCCCCACCCCCTCCCCCATCAATGCAACGCCCCATTACTACTCCCCCAAAGAATCGTATTCAGCACGGAATACGGCGAATGATCCTCCTCGCCCAGCACCGTCCCCGTCATCTCCGAATTCGTCGGCGTGAAAATCTGACTCTGCTCCAACTTCAACGCCCCACCATCGCCGCCACTGCCCACCGACGTCGGCGTCGTGGTCGACGCGATATTATCCATGAAGCTGGAGCTCTTCGGTTCCTCGATGTGGAGTTTGCGCAGGGCCGCGATGCCGCGTTGGACGGGCGCGGAGATTTCCGTGGGGTCGACGGTCGAGGTCACTTCGGTCATGAGGGTGATGAAGCGGCCGATGAGTTTGCGGGCGCGTTCGTTGCGGGTGTGTTCGCCGAGGATCCCGAGGAGGAGGGCGGAGCTCAGGGCTCGGTGGACGGCCGCCCAGGATTGTCGGGCGAAGAAGGTGATGTTGTTGAGTCCGAGGAAGGCTTCGACGACGTTGACCAGATTCTCCACACAGACGGCTTTACACGCCTTGACGACCTCGCTGGACGATCTCGGACTGAGAGCCGGACGGCAGAGCTCCGACATGGCATAACTCGTGTGCAGGTAAAGGGCCCAGTGTTCCAACGTCTCCTGACTCGTGCTGCAGGTCCTCGAGTCCCGGAGGTGATCGCTAGCATCCCGCATGACGTGTGCGATTTCCTCGCGATGCGTGTTGATGCGTGCCAACATCTCACGCGAGCTGGAGACTTTGGCTCGGTCGCGGACGATGTCTAGCGCAATCTTGCACATGCGGTACATCGACGCGTGGTACGAGGAGACTTGGCCGAAAGTTTGGGGCATTGGCATGGTGTTGACATCGAGTGCCGCGTTGCGATCGTAAGTGATGGAGAGGAGGCTATCCTGCCAAATGATCGCCCACCAGACTTTCGATCGAGGAAGTACCACGTCTGGCGTGATATGTGGTGGACATGCTTGGTGTAAGCCTAGGCCTTGAGCAAGCCTTATGGTCAAGCCGAGCAAAGACCAAGCAGTTCCTGCGTTCTGCGCAAAATTAGGAACAGGCCGTTCAAACGGCGCAGCTGGGTCAAGGCGTACCATGTTGTTGGTCATGACATTGCCTATTATGAGCAGTGCCTGAATGCTCTCGATGTGAGGCTGAGAGAGGAAGTTTGTGAAGCGCAGACATTCAAATCCACAGCATACTGCTTGAAATTAGCGACCACATGCCTCTCATATTTTGATCGTACTCACCGTATACTTGCGATGTAAGCTCGCGTTCTTTGCGTGTCAACGCACTGCACTGAGCTCCACTGGCCAGAACAGCAAAAAGCATACCCAGCCAGTAAAAGCTCTTGCCGTAAATGGTATGTTCAGTCACACCGTCTTCGGGATCTGCCATCGAGCCTCGAGCCACGAGAAAGTTTGTAAGGTCCGTTTCTAGTTGTGCCAAATCAGCTATGCCAGGATATATAACATATCCCTTGTCTCGGTAACTCGCGAACAGGCTGAGCATTTGCGAGTCGCTGGGCAGTGCTCGAGCTAGTTCTTTCGCGCGTTGTAGAGATCCGTGCGGCAAGCCCCATAGGTCGACGAAAGGGTAAGTGGCGGATTCGTTGTCGAGGCCGAAGAGTGGCAGAACAGACTTGCCCAAGAATTCTTGGAGTTGTGTTTGGTCCGAACCGCTGGGAGCTTGTCCTTGGCTGAGTGCATATAGCATGGCAGGTACAGAACCACCGCCGAGATGGACAATCTCTCCCTATAACAACGCTTAGCTCTAATGATGACTGAAGAAAAGATTCATGCTTACCGACTCATTCTTCGTATGAAGCCCATGAACATCAGTATGCGACTGATGCCGCTGCCCATCCGCAGACTCATCACTATCCTGATTCCCATTACTCTCATTCGCATTCCGTCTAATCTCACGTTTAAGGTCCGCGATAGAATTCTCCAGACCATTCAACTTGCGACACAGCATATCGAACTCCGCGCGACCAAGCGTAACAGACCCAGCACCCGGCGCAGAGGTCTGCAGCTGCGCATCCTCCGCCGGCCTCACAAGAGGCGGAGGCGCATTCTGGTCAACATTCTGCCGCTTGTTGGGTGGATGATAAGAGCACAGTTCCGGATGATCTCGGTCTCGACACGTCTGACAAGGCCGCGAAAGATCGCATCTGCTCCCAGAAACATCAGCGCCGCCGTCCGTGGCAAATTTCTCCATCATCAAAAAACTCACTTCACCTTCCTCTGCCGACACGGATAACAAGCCTTATGCTCCCTCGCCTTCCGCTTCTTCCTCAAAAAATCATCCACTTCGGCCTGTGGCGGTATTGCTCCCGGTGCTGCTGCTGCGGCGGCGGCGGCGGCGTCCTGGCTGTTGTACGGTGGCGTCTCCATCGCTGCTAATTGCGGATCCATTCCTATGCGTCTATATGGGCCTCAAAGAATCATGGCAGTTCGTTCTCCCTTCGCGATGACCTCTCCGATCTCGTCTCGTGGGAGATGGCAGTCCCGGCGCCACGGAAGTTGGCTATGAAACTGGTCCCGAAGAATCGCCTGATGGTGATCGCGATTTTAGCCCTGCTCCCGGTTTCTGGTGTGACGTAGCGATCTGTTTTCCCGGCGACCAGGTGCGCTTCTATCGTTTGATAGCACGCGAGTGGGCGGACGTGTGTGTTAATGTGAAAGGCGAGGCTGGTATGGATGCGAAAGATCGAGTGAGGTGCTGAGTCGAATGTCGGACGTCTCCACTTTGCAGGTAAGCGCACGGACCAAAACCTTAAACCGCCTTCCCGGTGAGATAAATTACACAGTGGGGATGGAAACATGGAAAGACAAGACCGTGGCGTTGGGAGTCTGTGAGTCTCTGGGCATTTCATGATTCTTCGTGGTATATCTGATCAACACGCTTAACGCTAAAGACAGCAAATCACTGATCCATCTCTTCATCCGAGTCCTCTGCAGAAGATTGTGCAGGTTTCTGGACCTTCATGCTATCCGTTGTCTTGGACCGCTTGAGATCCGCTGGACGAGCTCTGGCCTCCTTCAAAGCACGCTGATAATCCTCGCGATTCATACCACTTGCTGGTGATGCGAAACCGCTGCCACCACCTGCTGTTGCAGCACTACTGCCGGCAGGAATCTCCTCAGCCAAGCGCTCGGCGACGTTTGCATCATACTCCCTCTCTTGCTCGCGAATCGCTTCAGGGTCAATCTGGCGAGCAGCAGCAAGGAGATCAAGCGACCCATCATCACTCTCGTCATCATCGTCCTCGTCATCCTCCTCTTCGTCCGAAGACGTGTAGTGCAGTTCGACTGGCTGTGGAGCCGCTGAGGGTGGGAAGGCGTGAGGTGATTCTGGCGAGACCGAAATATCATCGTCCACATCAGACTCATCGTCGCCCATGGAGTCGTCGCCGAAGGGGAAGCCCAACGCTGGTGGCAGTTCGGAAGGAGGAAGTTGCTTGACATTTGTCGCCACAATTTGCTGTTTATGCATTGCCCCGCGGATTTTGCGACCAGGACCAGAGTCCTTCAGAATGCGGGCGAACTTCTCGGGAATTCGCTTGTTAGGAAGGTTGTCCTTAACAGAAGGTGCTGAGCTTTGATCAATGCGGGCGTGGCGACTTTCCACCGCGATAGCGAAATTGTCTGCGGGCCAAACGCCGCCAATGCCGGTGACTTCCATCTCTACGGGGTCGAACTTCCTCTTCTGAGATTCCATAGGCGAGCGCGGTGGGAAGGAAAGCTCCATGGAGGCAGGTATTGGGTTATCGCCGATGTCCATGGGCTCTGGCAGTTCGACAGCTTCGGCCAATGGTCCTCGCCTCTCAAACAAGCCAGCAGCTGCGGGTTTTTGGGGTTGTCCGACGGGTGTTGAGGTGACTGTGGTGTAAGGAGGCGCGTTAGCATTTCCGATCGCTTTGCGGTCCCCACTGAGATCCGTGCAGAACCGGGCATTGTTGTAGAAGATAATGGGTCCATCCTCTTGCTGCTTCTTGCGTCTAGTCGATATAGTACGAATTCCCGAACTGGTCATTCCTGAGGAGTCTCCCGCGAGGGGCATGGGATAAGGGGACTCTTCACTATCCTCTTCCTCTTCCGATGAGGATTCAGTCCTATCGGTGCTATCCTTGTGGAAGAACAGTGGGGTGTACACAACCTTGTTCTCCGCCTGAGTGCGTGCAGACTTTGAAGCACCAGCCTTTGCATGAGAGGTGCCAGATCGATGACTGTCACGGTGGGATAGCTTCGGTCGCTTGCGAGGGCTGATACGGTCAGGAGTGTCGTTGCTGGTACGCTCGTTCGATGAGCCTCCTCCACTGCTGCTTGTCCGCGTCACGGACTTGCCCCCTTTCCATCTAACCTTTCGCCCATCGTCAGACAACTCAAACTTGGAGCTCATCTCTGTCAAAGCCTTACGCACGAAGTCTGCCGTGACGTTGATGGTATGCAATTGTGCCATGTTGATCAACAGGTTGAGGTAGACCCAGCCATGTCCTTCCTCGGGTGAAGTCGATGTTGCTGGATCCGGAGGGGAAAAGCCCAAGTGACGCATATATCGGATGTTATCCGCAGGTACTTGCGCGCGGTCTGGGTCAAGATCAAGTGGACGGGTTGGCCTTTGATCACCATTGTTTCCTTTCGCGCGTAAAGCTTGTTCGGTAAGAGGGTGTGTTGGCTTTTCCTGGGATGACTCTTCCACCGAAGGCTCGTTTTGGCCGCCTTTGTTTTGAGCTTCCGCCAACTCTGCGGCGTCGCCTGCTTTTTGGCTCATGATGTGGGCCTCACGGAAACCTTCCAAGCCACTCCTCTGGCCTTGCGCTTCGTTGGCCGCCCTATCTGCTCGAGCCGCCATATGTGAGACTTCTTGCTGCTGCATGGGATGTTGGTGTGCTCCGAGCATAGCGCCTTTGCCGGCAAAGATCTGTTCAAGACGTCGAACAACAAGCTTCTTCTTCGCACGTTCAGTCATGTTCGTTGGGTTGGGCTGAGGTAAAAGTCCTTCGGGGATGTGATGCAGGTAGGAATGGATGTTCTGTCGACGAGACGCCGTATTCACTCCACTCTGCTGCTGCTGCTTATTATACCTCGTCTCGCCGCCGGACAGCGCGGATGAACCTTGACCAGAAGCCGACATGGATGCATAGGCAGAGTCGGTGTTTTGTAGAGATGTCTGCGATGATGCGGTTTTATGCGTCGGTAGCACTGGTAAGAGACCCTCGTAGCCGTTGGCTGGGAAGCCGTTGGTTCCCAGGCTGGATGCGAATTTGCGCAAAGTCTCCTCCAATTCGCGCTTCTTCTCTGCCGGCAAGCCATGTATCCTGACTTCGAACAACTTCTCATCGCGGAGGTGTGAATCGTGGAGTTTCTCGTACTTCTTCAGCCTCCTCTTCAGCTTCTTGTTCTCAATCGTGAGATCATCGATGACGCTGCGGAAGTCCTCTGTACTGCTGCCATCTGTACCCAGGTGCATAAGACCAGTTCGCAGAGGCAAAGAGTTTGAACCGTCGTTGACTCCAAGAAACTGTCGCATCTGCTGTTGGGCCTCTGGCGGGGTCTCGGACGATGACGAGTTGCGCATGAAAAACGGAGGGTCATTGTCGGCAAAAGGAGCGCTGTTGTCGCGCACCTCGTTGTTGGACCTTTCGAACCACTTTTCAGCATTGCTGCTCTCGCCAGAACTATCTCTTCCGAGCGGTTGCAAACTGGATGGCGAATCGCTGGAACCCTTGGAGCCATTCATGGAGCCATTTACCTTCCTCGTGCTTGAAACGGGGCCATCGCTGGAAGAATCGCTCGGCTCTCTCGCTGGCGGTGGTTTACGTCGAGGCGAATGCAGAAGGGATACAGAGCGGTGAGCGGGTGGTCGGCGAGGGTTCGACGTCGACGATACTGGCGGCGGTGTCATGACAATAGTTGGATGGGGGAGTTGGTCGGCCATCAGTTGGTACAGGGAGTATTACGGCAGTTCAGGATCCATGTGTGTTGCCCCAAAGCCGGTGTTGCAAGCTCAGGTGACTCCGGATGGACAGGACGGTGGTAGTAATGGCGGTCGTGGTGTCGGTCGAGTATGCCTGACGTAGATTGCCGAATTCAGCAAGGCAAAATGTATGAGGCAGAGGATGGGTATAGATGGGGGAGCGGGTCCCAAGGGCAAAACGCCTGTGCCAGTACTGCTCCTGCTGCAATCGCGATCCGTACGTCCCAGGGTGGTCAGAGTGCAGGGAGTGGATGTCAGTAACGTGCCATCAGTCGGCGCATCTCACAGTACTGGGGACATCGAGCCCAGCAGCCAGTTCACTCGCGGAGATGCGCCGGCGCTGGTGAGATACAGCGGGCTGGCAATCGGCGAGATGCAAGGCAAAGCGCGATGGTGGTCAAGCGACATGGCTGCGATCCTCGATTGCCCTCCAGCTGGGCCCGTCTGCTTTCGATCTCGACTCCCGCCAAGATGAGGACAGACGTCGTCGAGATCGAGACCTTAGCGGCCAGGGTCCATCGGCCACGGCTGTCCAGGCATGGACCACCACCACCGTTGCAGCGCACAACACACTTCACCATCGTCGATTGGTCGCGCCCGCTCTTACACACCCATCCAGCCAAGTCTATTAATTGCACAGTCCGCTGGTCTTGTGCGATGATTTGTCTCTACCAACTGCTGCAGTCATCCACCCACTTCATGCGTCCCTCCGCGCAATATCCACAAGACCATAGCCAGCGGGTGCGAACGCTCCTGCAAAACCGAATTCCATCCTGCAGTTCGCATCACAGCTACCATCGACGTTCTCCTGTTCTGGCCGCGGCGCTTGCTATGATCCATCGATCCAGAATAGGGGCGGATGCAGATGTCTGATGGCTATGTCGATGCAAGCTGCACTTTGCGATTTAGGCCAGTGAAGGATGAATGGATGCGGGCCGCCGTGAGCGTCATCGCGCCTCAGACCAATACGAGAGGAGAAATCATCGACGATGAGCGCGTGAGGCTGTCGTTCGCGGCTCTGCGGCTATTCCCTCTCCCAAAGGCAATTCTCCGACTGGACGCTGGCAGACTTCTCCATCGACGTCACCGGGACCATTCTCTCTGTCGGCACTCTCTTCACGTGCAGTCTGGTCTTGAGATCGACACCACGTTGGCTGTGAGACAGCACCACAATCGCTGATCCGGCTCTCGATTCGAAAGTTAGGGTGGTTCATGATGACTTCTGTCCTACGACAGAGAAATCCTCCTCTCCCTTTCACCGCTTCACGAAGATGTCATGGCTTGATGTTAAGATTGCAGGGGGAGGGCCCTCTTCTTGAACGTGCGCTTGCCGCATCACAACAGCAGGTTCTGCTGGTGATTGCATTATTAACTGTTCGATCTGTTGCCGTGTCTCGCACACCTCGCACAAGCTGAGCGAGAACCATTGCTGTCCGAACTTGCATTCTGATGGTGAAAACTCTATCAGAGTTGATGTGCTGACTACTCCAGATCGAAGATTACCTTTCAATCGGGTGTGCCTCAGAGAGCTGAGTTTGGTATCAGCTGCGAAGATCGTGTCGATTCGAGCTTTCCAGTAAAACTTGCAGCAACACGTTACTGCTCTGGTATGATTGAGCTACAAGTGTCTCCTCTTCATCTTCATGACCTCGATATCAGCATCACATGAGCTTCCTCGTGGTCTCCGTTCGGCTAGTCAACTTGACCTGAATCAATTTGAGGGCTGCGAGCGATCCAAGCATCGTAGGCACCATAGGGTAGGGAAGTCTCCAATTGCTACATTGGCTGATGTGTGTGGGACAAGAAGATGTCCGAATCAAAGGCGTCGTCGAAGCCCCCATGGACAAGATGAAGTCGAAATAAGGTCGCTCTGTCCTTGAGAAGTCTATGCTTGGCACTGGCCTTTCCATTTCCACCAGCTCGCGTCAAACTTGAAGAAACAAATCAAAGCGATGGACAAAACATCTCCGAGGAGCAACATTGGCCGTGTACGGCGCCTATTGGTGATTTCAGCTGAATGATGCTAGACCTCACTAGCCCTGGTGCGCCGACATGGATTATTCTCCATCCAAAAGAACGACTTGGCCTCCCTTGAGTTCGACGACATCTCACGACTGGACGTCGCGGCAAAAGACGCAAGCAAGTTGACGAAAGGCAGTCAGTTCAAAGCCAAGATACCGACGATGCTGGAGATGGTATTCACGACAAAATCGATCAATTTTGAACCATTCTCACGAGCGCGATCGCCGTCTATTCCCGCGTGCTGGCTATCTGGTGAAGCTAGCAGGCTACAGGTATAAACTTGATCCTAGTCATGTCGCTAGAAACAACCAGGCAGGCCTGTCTATCAGCGTCATCATTGTTCAGTCAGCTGGACATGGCATATCCCAACGACCTACAATCTCTCCCAGGTTCGATGATGACACCTCCTCTCGACGTATTATTATTAGGCCTCAAGCTGGGACTGGACGGGGAACTTCACAGACAACAGACACCTCTCCACCCAGAAAGCCAACGATCGTACAACAACAGCTCTCTACCCAGCAACTCGAACTCGTGCCTTGACCTTCTGGACACGACGTTTCAGCTCAGAACATCATTGCCCGTCTGACACATCTGACCTACAAACGTCTTCACCTCTGACCTTCGGAGCCTGCATTCATTAGAATATTGGCTCCTTGTAGAGCCTGGAAACCTTAGAATTCGTCCTAACGACAGAGCAATCCTTTCCAGACGAATAAACTCCCCATGGACGAACAGCTGTAGACACAGCGGACCCGGCACGAAGCCGCTTTTTCTGTGCTTAGGTAGAAGGAAATCCTCCCCAGCTGGGTCGAAGGTTCATACTCTAGTATGTATTGCTTTGATGTCACAATCAAAAGTTGCACTATCAATCTCAAAAAAAAAAAGTAGATGAAGTTCCAGAAGCGTACAGATGAACAAGTTCTCCTCGGGTTGACATTTCCAAGCATTCGAGACTGGGGCATAGATCGGATACTGCGGCTGTGTATGTTACGGCAGACCAGGCACTTGGACAAGGAATTCTTGCGAGTGCTCCAGTTCATGGTGAGATCACATCTCGTCGCGACCATCAACAAACAAGCCTAGCTACAAGCATTCTCTTCACTGTCAACAATGCTGGCTCAGTGAAACTGGCGTAGTATGGTCAGTAGAACCAAGCAACGAAGTCATAACCCGCGTGAAGTGGTGCCCTGGTTCGCCAGTGCCATGGATGAGGTGTCGTTCCGAGCAGCAACCCGGTCTCAGCCTCACTCATCGTTCGTCCGAGCAGCTGTGGCGCTTGGTTGGCGCCGTAGCGTCTGTAGTGACAAACGGATCACCGCACAACTCGCACCGCGCTCCCAAAAGATCCTGCGAGAACGGCAGCCTGCAGTCGTCGTAAGTAAGTGACTTGATGTGACTGACCTCTTTCACGTGTGGCTGCCTTTGTCATCAGGCGAAGGAGCAAGCCGATTACGCAGTTCCCCAAGGCGCAATGCCCAGACATCCGCCCGCGCCGAGAGGTGACGAACGCGCCATCCGGGCTTCTCTCGTATAGTTATATCCTCGTCGCTCAACATCCTCTTGCTGCCATCCATCGCCGTCGACAGTGATTGATATCGCCCATCAATTCTCGCGGTCGTCCATCGAGAGAGAGAGTCGGCGGAATCGCGCGCTAGAGCAAACACAAGCTTCAGAAGCCAGCACAACCTACTAGACTCGAGGAACCAGCCAAGAGACGAGACAGGCAGCCATGTCGAACAAATACGTATGTTGTCTTTCGGCGTATTCGGCTGATCCCAAACAACCCAGCATCCAACCAACTAACATCATCAACCACAGGAAGCGCCCAGCGGTCCCCCTCCAGGCTACCCTCAACAACCGCAACAGGCCCACTACGACGCCGGTCCCGCCGGCGACCCTCGAGGCGCCGCAGACGGATACTACGGCAGCCCACCACCAGGTCAATACGGCCAACCTGCTCCTTATGGACAGCCGCCGTACGGACAGCAGCCCTATGGCCAGCCGGGCTATCCCCCACAGGGCGGCCCATACCAGCAGCAGCCGATGATGTATCAGCAAGGACCGCCGCCTGGTGCCTACGATCAGCGCGGTCCGGGCGGTGGTGGTGCTGGATGCTGTAAGGACATACACACAGAGAGCTTGAAAATGGGCAATTGCTGACGAGAAATGATAGGTGCGGGTATTATGGCCGCGTTAGCTTGCTGCTGTTGTTTGGACATCCTCTTTTAAAAATTCCTCGAGACTTGTGAAGCGAAAGAGACAGAATTGAAAGAGAGTGCAACACAGGACTTCGGCGAGGATAGGCCGTGGGCTGGATAGTGCATGGTGTGCCATATAAGAGCATGGTGTCAAGGCGTTTCGGAGGGACATATCATCGTATCATTCAGCTGGTTCGATTCGTTCTGTTTTCAATGGGTGAGATCAGGCCCGACGTCGAGGAATGGCGCTCGGGTACTATTGCTTGCGAGGCTTTCGTACTGCTTAATACATGGTCATTTACAATTTCTCAGACACAACAATGCTTATCTCGTCGCATTTCAGTCTGTCGCGGCTCGACGTCTGCTGTGCCCCGGAGCCGGACTCATCCAATGCGCAACAGACCTGAAAGATCTAAAAGCACTTTGTGTCCGCCATGATCAACGCAATCACACGAGACCATGGCTCACAAGGTGTTCAGAATGGCGGCAATGCTTCATAACAAGTCTTGCCATTGCTCTTGAGAGTTCAAGGATACTGCTTCATTCGAGAAGACGCTTCCATTCAAATCGTTTTCGAAGATCCCTTCAGTGACAGGTCATACATAGTCAGTGACCCATGAGCTATCAACTAGAGGGCAGGAGAGGCATGGCTCTAGGAGGTCGTGCCACATTCTCCAGTTTTTCCTCGTCTATGAGCTTTAGAAGGGGAGTCTTTTCCTTGAGCCGTAAGGAGGATGAATCTGCTTGGAATATATCTGTCTCATCCTCATCATACTTCACACGGAAACAAAAACTGTGTATCCCTTCGTTCCATTGGAACCGAGGTCGCTCTCGCCCAGCACCAATCGTCCGTGCGCAGAGACCCACTCGTTCCAACTTTCACTCACCGCACACGCTCACATGCAACTCCCACAAAACATCCTTCCCGTCCACTCAACATATCCACCTCACATCTCTTACAACCCAACAACGCCTACATGACCTCAACACCGCAGCCTCACCTCCCCAGTCTTCGATAGCGATAGCCCAACAAAAATGTCCGCCGACTTCTGGTCCGGCTACGTCTCCGGCGCCGTCGGCATCCTGGTCGGAAACCCTCTGGATATCTTCAAGACGAAACTGCAAGCCGGAAGCATACACTCACCTCCCCAAACGACAACTACTACCGCCTCGCAGACGTCGCCTCACTCCCGCTGGACCTCCTTCGCCCGCGGCTCCGCCGCCCCGATTCTCGGCTACGGCGCCCTCAACGGCCTGCTCTTCTACACTTACAACCGCTCCCTGTCTTTCCTCTCTCCAGGCGATACCCCTCCCAATGCAGCGGCGATATGGACGTCTGGAGCGCTAGGCGGTCTTGCGACGTTCGTCGTTTCCGCACCGACGGAACTCGTCAAGTGTCGCGCGCAGGTCGCCTCGCCCGCGAAGTCGTCCTGGGAGGTGACGCGGGACCTGTGGAGGAAAGCTGGTGTTAGGGGACTGTACTTGGGTGGTGGAGTGACGAGCGTGAGGGACGCGGTGGGGTATGGGTTTTAGTAGGTCTCCCCATGTCTCCCCTTTGCCAGATCTTTTCCTTTCGTGTTCTGTGTGGTAGATACCTCTTAAACCAAAACCGCTGAGACTTTCTTCCTTTTTCTTGCTTATAGTTTCTGGTCCTACGAACTCACCAAACGCGCCTGGTCGAATGAATCCGACTCCCAACAACAACAAGCCCTCAAAGTCCTGCTCTGTGGTGGTCTCGCCGGCGTCGTGACTTGGGCTTCGATTTTCCCGTTAGGTATTCCCTTCGCCTTCGTCCCCATCCACTGCCCAGTCACTGATGCTTATTGTTTGACGTAAAGACATGATGAAAACCCGCGTCCAAACCTGGGACCTCATGACCCCCTACCACACACCAACACCTCCACTCGTATCAGCATCTGCATCTGCAAGTCAGCCGCTCCTCCAACCACAACCACAACCCTCTCCAGCACCACCACAACAACAAGCCCCCCAGCCGTCAGACGGAGCAACAACAACCACAATGAAGCGACCCTCCACCTTCGCCATCGCCAACGAAGCCTACCGAGCAGAAGGCGCCGCCGTCTTCTTTCGCGGACTAGGGGTCTGCAGCGCGAGGGCATTTATCGTGAATGCCGTGCAGTGGGCGGTGAGTGATAATTCCCCATCATTCATCCCTTTCTTCTCGAGAGATGATGTCCGGCTGACGAAGAGAAACTTTGTGTAGGTATACGAATGGATGATGAAGACATTGACGAGTTGATGATCCCTTCCCGGCCTGATCTGGTGTCCACTACCTCGCCCACGGAGGTAGTGAGAGACATCCAGACACAGAGACACACATAAACCCGACACACAACCTCAAATACACCACACAATTTCAACACTGCCTGGCCATCACAAGACCGTGCCATGCGTCTCTCATAACGCCCCAGTGAAAAACATTGCTTGCCTTCCATTCACCCTGCTGCCTCAAACTATGAAAAAGGAAAAACAAAAGCAACTATTGTTACACAGTCCGCTCCGCTTTCCGTCCGTTCGACGCCACAAGGCTCAGTGGTTTTCTTGAAAGAAGCACGCTTTTTAATTTCCATACTGAGGACATTGGGTTCCGGTCCTCCGATGCAGGTAGTAGCAAGTAAAGCAGCAGCAGTAGTGGTATGTTACACGCCGAAGAGAACCAGTCGAAAGAAGTTCATCCAGTTTTCTCAGCTGTAAGCATGTAGTCGAAGAGGCCGTGATGGTGTTGAGAAGCTCCAGGAGGCTGTGGTCCGTGCGAATGCTGTCGAGGGGCAGAATTTACATCATCTGCTCCTGGATGTTGCCGGTTGGCTCCTGACCCTCCATGGCGCCGCCATCTGGGTACTTAGCGTAGTCGAGACCTAGGGGACGACCGCCGTAAGAGTAGCCTTGGAACTTCTCGATAGCAGTCTGAGCATCACCCTGAGCGCTGAACTGAACAACACCGGAACCACGCGAGCGGCCGTTTGGCTCGTACTGAATCTCAGCGCGGTCGACATTGCCGATGGTCTGGAAGAGCTCGACCAGATCCTCGTTGCTGGTGCTCCATGGCAGCTGCGACATATGTCAGTACGAGTCCACGCAAGCGAGGTTGATGCCCAAGACTTACGTTCTTGACGTGGATGGCTGGGCCTGGCTCGCCTCCTGAGAGGACACCATCGGTGAAGGCATTTGGTGGGACAACCGAAGCGGTAGCACTGCCACCAGCGCCAAAGCTGCCTCCGCCTTGACCGCCAGCGTAGTTGCCGCCGCCGCCGTAGCCACCACCAAATCCACCTCTGCCACCGCCATATCCGCCTCCGAATCCTCCACGACCGCCGAATCCACCTCCGCGGCCACCATATCCTCCACCACCGAATCCACCTCGACCGTAACCGCCTCCAAATCCACCTCGACCACCGAATCCTGGACCAGAGCCTGCGTAGCGATCTTCGCGGACCTCGAGAATGCGGCCTTGCCAGTCGTAGCCGTGGAAGTTCTGGATAGCGTTCTGAGCGTCTTCAGGGGTCTCGAATGCGACGATACCGGATCCCTTGGGATGGCCATCTGGAGCGACGTGAACGTCGGCGCGGAGGACGTTTCCTAGAGAGCAGGGTCAGTACCAGAGCAAGAGATGAGGGATACACAACATACCAGCTTGACGGAACAGGTCCTTCAGATCCTGCCAGCCGACTTGGAATGGCAACTGTAGAGCGTCAGTACGATTCAAGATTCCGGACAAAAGGTGTACAAACGTTAGACACGAAGATCTGGCGAGCACCACCGGCTCCACCAGGAGGACCTCCGCCCATGCCACCACCATAGCCACCGCCTCCATAACCGCCGCGGCCACCGCCGTATCCACCGCCAAATCCAGGGCCACCGCCGGCACCGCCGCGAGTTGGTGCTGATGAGCCGGAAAAGCGTGGCTCGGTCTCACGATCCTGCAATCGACGTGAGCATGAAACATTAGTGTGGTAGTCGCCTGGTACACTCACCTCACGAACGTATACGAGCCGTCCCATAAGCGGCGTGTTGCTGAGTGAGGTGATGGCGGTCTGTGCCTGATCTCTTGTAGCGTATTCCACGATTCTGAAGGCAAATTAGCTTCATCCTGATGCCGTCGAATGGATGGCGTCTTTTACTCACCCACAACCCTATATCCCAGAAGAGTCCTGCTGTCAACCCAAGTTCCTCAAACAACCATTTTTTGCCAGTTAACCAGCCTGCACATAATTTACCTTGCTCATCCCATTTGGAAGTAAAAGTACGTCGGCGAAGAGAACGTCCAGAGTGCCGTCTGTTCGAGAGTCAGTGCTGCAAGTGACATTGAGGGAAGTGTCCCAGCTTGCCCTTGCGCATGTGATCCTTGAGGTGATGCCACTTGACATCGTAGGAGAGGTTGCCGACATAGACGCGGCGGTCCTGCTGCGAGGACTCGTTGACCGACTTCATCATTTGTTCCTTGTTCTGCTGTCGATCCTCGTGAGAGCGTGGTGGTGCGCGACGATCGCTGGAGTCGTAGTTGCCGTTCTCTGGTGGGCTGCGGTCACGGCGTTCTCGGCGATAGTCGCGAGATGGCGATCGGCTCCGGCCGCGGTCTTCGTAGCGGCGGCGCGGTGAGCGAGAGCGTCGGTCGCGAGGCTCCTGAATTGTCACATGTCAGCATCTGAATGTTGGTGAAGAATATTTGACGACGCTTGGCCCTCTCGTGCTGTTGGCGGCGGCAGGCGTGGTCGGAACGGCAGTGGATGGCGGGCGGCGGCATTGCGAGTCCAATGGCAAGGTAGAGTCATCGTGCGCGTTGTGAATCCATTGGGGCGTGATGGTGAGTGACAGCGGTGATGGCGAAGCTTGACGATCGAGTTGGCCGTGTGCAGCAGCGGCAAGAAGCATCTGTCTGGGGCGCTTTGCCAGAGATTGTCCAGCGGTATGGCATGGCCATGTCGTGTTCTGTGCTGGTACGCACATCTTGCAGGCTTATACTCGAGATGAAGACGACATGTTCAGTACATTGGACGCCGTGCACATGACTTGTGTGCCAGTCCCAGATGATGTGCAGAGAAGCAATGCCGGCACATGATTGGTGCGCAGACTTGTATGCAAAGACGTCGTATGTCGACGGATAAGAGATGTTATCTCGAATGATTTTGAGATGAGTATAGACGGCATGGCATTGCTACGTCCGCAGCGCTCGGCTTGTCCAGAATCTGCAAGTGGTCTTCAAGCTCCCACGCATGTCCGAAGTCCTTGTCTGCTGCACTCGTCCGCACGTTGTCTTCTTGCCCAGTCTTGCCGCGGCCGCTTCGAGTATCTGCGCATTGCTGTCTCTTCTCCTGCACGTCCCGCTCCAGCATCTTCAGGTCGAATCCAGCTGACATTGCGCGCCGACCACCATCCACAGCCAGTCGATATCCAGGTCCAGGCCAACCAACAAACGACACGAGAGGGCTCTGCTGGCAGTCAGAGGGGATGGGGGTGTCAGTACTTACCGGGTCACGGCGGTAGTCGTCACCTAGAGTAAGAAGTGAGCCAGGGCGGTTCGGTGAGGAGGTCGAAGAGGGGCTGTCGGACGGGTGGTAGTCGGACAAGGTGTGGAGAAGAGGTGGAAGGTGATGAGATGAGGTGGACGAGGGAAGGAAGTACTAACCCATCTTGTGACTGGCGAAGCAGGTGCTTTGAAGTCAAGTGAGTGAGGGCCTAGCGTGGCAGCAGCTGCAGGCTTGGAGTGAAAACCCTGGCAAGTATGTGAGCACGACGAGCTTTCAGCAGCAGCCAACCACAGTCAGCGGCGGGCAGCGAGCGAGCGAGAAGCAAGCAGGTCAGGAAACGCAGCAGCAGCAGCAGCCAGCAGCGAGCGTGGGAGCGCAGCGCAGCGCAGCGCAGAGTGCCACGGGCCAACAACACTCCAGGGTGCAGTGAGCAGAGGATGTGGACAGCTCCACCTCGCCAGCCCAGCGAGCGCGGCCTGCCTGCACAGCACAGCGCAGCACTGCTGCCGCGAGGTCAGACACCGTACGTCCCAGCAATCCTCCGCACCCGTGCGCGCTGCCGACGCTTCCTGGTTGCGGCCACCACTGCTGCTGCTGCTGCTGCTGGTCGAGGAGGGGAGGGCAGCCTTACCAGCACGTGCGAGGCCTTGTGCCTTGGAGACGCTGCAGGTGCCGAATGCGATGTTTCTGCTGCTGCACGTCTGCCGCGTTTCTGCTGGAGCGGCCGCGGGGGAGTCGGTGGTGCGGCGCAGCGGCGTGTAGGCGTTTCGGTGAGTGCTGGAGCGTCCCAATCAACGTACGTGGCCGTCCGCGAGCGATCGTATCAAGACCGGGATGATGGTGTGGTGATAGAGTTGGCAGAGCGTGCAAGCTTCGAGGCAGCGCGACTGCGGCCGGCGACGGCCAAGCTCCATCCCGAAGCCGATGCCCCGGGCGCTGGCCAATTCATTGGGCTGCCATGAAATTGCCCATGAAACTGCATCAACCGGCCATCAATCGCGATGAATGCCCCCTACGTGTCCGCGTCCGTATTGCCACACCGTCCTAACCATGGAATTGTACGCAACGTTCTATCGTCGACGCCCTCAATATAAACGAGCTCGTACCGAGCCAGGGCGAGGACGCGTTGCCGGGACATGGCAGATACGACCCAAGCGTCGACTACGACATGCCCCGGCGCTTGGGAGGCATATTATTGTTGTTATTACCTCTGCGATTTCCTCTTGCACCCACCTCCGGCTACAGACGACCTTGAGACATGCGTCTCACCGCTGCAGTAGCTCGCAGACGCCGGCAGCACTCCTTCGGTCGTCGCTGCACTGACTTTTGGCCCCCAACCACTCTCTATCCCCGACTATACAACAGACTTCATCACGCCCATCTCACCTCACCGATACATCTGGCTCCGCAGAGTCTCGTTCCTAGCACCAGCTGGCCGTCTGATGCATTAGCCTGCCGCTTGTACCGACTACACAATCAACACTCGCATCAATAAATCACGCCACGCCATTCTGACAGCGGGCCTCCCGTCTTCGCTTCCATCCATCAGGGTGGTCTGCATGCACATTTTGCAAAAACTCTCTCACGTAGATCGTGCGCAGGACCAACCTGCAGCCCCAACGCCTCATCAGTGTCGCAACACACAGTCCAAAACACTGTTGCGGCCGAGGCTGTCCCTCGACCGAGTATCTGCAAGGATGTATATACATCCACAACCGACCTTCTACGCACCTCTTCCAAGTTGCCTTTGCACATGCCAACATCGTTGGGACATCGCCCGCAGCAAGGCAACGACTCCACACTGCTGGCGGCTCAATGCTCATTGACTTTCCGTCTTCCCCGGACCTCGTCTGCTGTATCATCAGACCTGGTGCCTTAGCCTCGACCAACTTCTCCACCTGTTCTATCTCGATGTCTCCACCACGTCTTCTCCAACTCTGCAAGAATGACCTTTGGAAGCTTGGCGTGGCGCAGTCCAAACAGCTGAAAGTGCGACGGCATTCATGCAAGAAATGCGATTTGGCAAGCTATGCCTCGATGAGGTTAACTCCACAGCAACTTGCGCGAGACATGCAGCTGCTGGAACGGATGAATTACCTGAGCAGAGTGTTGCTCCAGTAAAAGCAACACCGCTTTCAGTTCAATCTCGTGTAGGGCTGGGAGACTGCAGCCCAAGACCATCGGACAAGTTCGGCGTCCACGTGTAGAAAGCCACCCAGACACCTATAGCCCAGATCACGGAAGCTTGCTGCCAGAGCATGCGCATCCTTGAGGAAAGGATCAAACGCCACGCTTGGTATCTTGTAAGTCATCAGCAAGTAATCGTGACGGATTCCTCGGGATGGCAAGGTGGCATGTGATTGATGCGTGTTGCTGCTGCAGAGTATCCACATTCACAGGAGGAGTAGTGTAGGAGGAGTTGGCCGGGGGTTGCGAGCCGTGTGCAGTGCAAAAGCGTTGAGCTTCTTTCCTCGCGTAATGTTGCGTTTCCTCCAATGGGCATCGTAAGGAGAACTATCTCCTCTTGCCAATATTTCTTATGCGGCCTTTCTTTTCCGTCTGCGTACATGCATCTTATCAATTTCTTCTACGACCTTCTTCCAGATTCTGTTGTTCGACCCTCCGTCAGCTAATCGCGAGCTGTAAAGACGGCATAGGGCCATGGGCGTTTATCTACGACTCTATCTCAAAGCAGAGCTAACGAATGGATTGGCGGTGAACGTGCCATTCAGTAGTTCACCCCAGTGATAACGCTGCCTTCGAGCAAGACCACACAACGGTCGCGGTCTTCGTCAATATCGGTTGTTTGGCTGAGATTTAGTCGCTCGAGAAGGCGGACCAGCTCGAGCGAGTCCAAGTGGTTAACGGAATCGCGATCTCGCATCTACGACTACCATCGTCGCTTGTCCAGCGGTAGGATGCCACACTGACTACAATTTTCGACCCTTGAGCACTCGAACTGGATCCACACGCGCACTAACAACCAGCGTCCACAACCTCGTCACGTCGCCTAACATCACGACACTCAATGACAAGCCCCTCTCCCCTCTCCCGTCAAACGCTGCCATCTCTCCGATCCAACAGATGTCTTACCAGCCCCAGAACGTACCTGTCGAACTCCAGGGGTCGTTGAAAGGTCCCCAAAAGCCCTCACGACTGCCGTGCCTTCTCCACGCAAGACGTTGTCACACCTTTGCAAGAACTCCTCCTGCGAGATAGTCTCATGAGAAGCAAATGATAATTGCGTCGACGCAGGGTAGAAAAGCGCCATCCGGTCGAGATCATCAGCGAGCAATACGTGGCAAAGTCGGAATGCTTGCTAGTTGCGACGCGTCAACCGCGTAGGCGTGCAGATCCATTCCCTCAGCCCAGTGAACAGTGCCCTGCGAAGATTTGGTGCTCGGCGAGCCATTCATGCTTGAAGCAGTACCTTCCATCCGTATGCCGGCACCATCACCTGGCTTGCCGAGGCCCCTACGATAAAGCTAACGCAACCACTTTGCCAGCCCATGTGACTCGCTGGTGTTTGACGAGCTGCGACAAGGACCAGAATGCACCTCAGCCTTCGATTGGTCACACAGTTTCTCAAGGACGTGATGTCTCCAAAGATGCGAGAGTGTGTCAAACCTGTGGCGGCATCGCGTGACAGGTAATGAGTGCGGATCGGTATTGACCTTTGGACATTCCAGAATCTCGTATTGGCGCAAGTGAGTTGAGCTCAAGTCAAGCCGACTGTCAAGACGTAATAGCTTGTAGAATAAACTTTACCTTCGAGAACTTCCCCATCGCTCGCAAGACCTACAGTACCCAGATAGGATGCTGCAAGGTACCAACAACGCTGAGTAATCGTTGATGTAGCTTCAGAGCACCCTTACCGGCTGTCAAGTCCCAGATGAAACGATCATACGTTCGAAACGAGTCTGTAGACACCGCAAACCACGGTAAACGCCATTTCCCTCGTAATTCGAACGTCAGACAATTATTGTTGGGAAGTGTTGAGTTAAGGTGAAGTGGCAATCGGAATAGAGGACCGCCTTGCCGCGAGCCGAGCCGCGACGATCGTCACGCTTTCGACGCCTTGCACGAGAGCCTCATCTTCGGCGAAGCGCAACTGCAGCTCGTGACTTCCGACATCCACCAAACACCACCTCACCTCTCCCGCCATCCTCTTCAAATTGCCGGATTAGCATCATCAACACCTTCCCAGCCACGAACAACTCGAACCACAATCATGGCGGAAAACGAAGCGAAACAGATCGTCCAACAGCTCGACTCGCTCAAAGCAAACCACCTCACGCAAGCTCCTCAACTCCTCTCCCGCGCCAAACTCGCCCTCCTCAATCTCAATGCCCTCGTACCATCCGAAGACACCTCATCAAGCCATCTCGCGCTCGCCACCGCTGTCCTCGAGCGTGGCGCCCTCATCAGCATCAAGCTCAAGGACACGGACAGCTTCACGCGATACTACCAACAACTGCAGCCATTCTACTCGCTAACCAGCCGGTCGCCGAATCAGAGCAAAGTAACGGGGCTGTACCTGCTCCTTCTGCTGAGCGTGGGCGACTATGCCGGCTTCCACACGGTGCTTGAGGGTCTGGAGTTGAGCGCGGGCAAGGAGCAGATTGAGAAGGACCAGTTCATCCAGTATCCAGTGCGGTTGGAGCAGGCGCTGATGGAGGGAAGCTATGATAAGGTGTGGGGTGAGACGAAGAGGGAGAGAGTACCGAGCGAGGAGTTTGGTGTATTCTCAGAGGTAAGCACACCACAGGCACATGAGTTATGACATGGTCATACTGACACACGACACCTAGGTCCTCATCGACACCATCCGCTCCGAGATCGCATCCTGCTCTGAGCGCGCATACCCATCACTACCCATCTCCAACGCCAAGAACCTGCTGTTCCTCGACTCCGAAGGCGCCGTCATCCAGTTTGCACAAGCACGAGGCTGGGCAGCAAAGGATGGCCGGATATACTTCCCCCAGCAAGAAGAGGAGGCTTTGGCGGCGGAGAAGGATGTCATGAGCAATAGCGACGTGGTCATCGAGAACACGTTGGGGTACGCGAGGAAGCTGGAGACAATTGTGTAAGAGTATGAACAAGGGCGTATGTATAACTTCACGAGACTTCAATAGACAAAGTCTTGCCATAAGGTGGCGAGATGCCATACCGACATGCTGAATGACCATATTCTGGGAACTACATCTCACATGAATCTTAGGCCTCTCCCGTTTCGATTTGGAACGATACAAACTTCACTTCTCGCAATCCAACCGACATCATCACATCAAGCTACGAACCACGCCCATCCTATCCCCCTACCCCTGACACATCGTCGTCTCCAAACCCCCCATCACCCCCCTCCACTCCTCCGTCCCCCTCGCCCTCTCCACATACCCCCTCACCTTCTCCGGCAACAACCCCTCCCTCCCCACATCACACAACCGCACCGCCAGCGCAACAACATGCGCATCCGCCGCACTAGGCCGCTCCAACCCAAACAGCCACCCTTCCGTCGAAGGCAACTTCTCATCAACATACTCCAGGAACCTCCGCATTTCCTTCTCGGCTTGTCGGACGGATTCCGGGCCGAAGAGGGTGTTGAGGTCTGTGCCGGTGTGTCTCCATCCTGATCAGTACCAATAGGACCCTCGAGGGTTCGAATGATTAAGGTAGGGACTGCAAACTCACAAAGAAAGCTTCCCCTCCAACGCCCTCCTATACCCCCCATTCCCCTGCACCTCCCCCTTCTCCAACAACGCCCGAATCGCCGGCTCAAACCCCTTCGGCACATGGTCCGCCGGATGCCCGCCCCCAAACGAGAGGATGAAATACGGCAGGGGCGCGTGGATTCGGTGCAGGATGTCGTCGATCTGCGCTTCGTAGCCGGGAGGTTTGAGGGCGGGGAAGCGTTGGGCGAAGAGGTTTGTGATGGCGAGGCTGTCGGGGAGGGGGGAGGGGATGTTGGGAGAGGGGGATGTTAGGGCGGGGACCTAGAAGACGTTATGTCGAGTTACGATGGTTGTTATTGTGTTGGGTTAGAGGGGATGGGGGAGGGGAAAGGGGAGGAAGTACTTTTCCCTTGGGATTCACGTTTAAAAGGTAGAATTCACTCAACTGTTCGAGTTTGAAATGGATATCGACTTCTTTCTCCTCGATTGTGATTTCATCTTCGGGGTTCGTTGGGGCGCCCCGAATTGCCAGCGTATACTGCAGCATGTACGAGGCGAGGGAGACGGGGGAGTAGTAGACAGTTACAGGGATTGGGGCCATGATTGTTGGAGAGTTTCTGTTGTTCGAGTTGTACGTCTGCTATTCTTCTGCCGAGACGTGGAGCGCATCTTTTTGTACATTGCTATATCACTACCACTAGACATAGACAACTAGCGTCAGACCGTCAGCTGTAGCTAGACCAATGTGTGGTACGCTTTTCGCTAACAGCTGAAAGCTCGTCAAAGACGGGAGGATGCTCTGTCAGCGTCTTCTTCAGCCGCCAGAAGTTTTGTTTGCCCTACTTCTCGTCTTCAGCTATCTGGATGGTAGCCGAGAGCTGGACAAGATATGTGACAGGAGGTGAGAACGGTAGCGGAGATGTCCTTTCCATACTCCTGCTTAGACTGGGGTAGAGCCCGGTCTGTATGTCGACGTGTCCTCTGATATCCGTAAGCCTTCTCAGCCAGTCCATGCAAGCAGTTGTCTGTTTCCTTAACAGAAGTCATGCTCCTCTCTCTTCGATGCCTCTCTATCCATGGATTCCACTAATGCCTCGCTGGATGGATGCGAGCATGTTACGCAGCTCCGACGAACCACGACGGCCTCGAAGACGTCGGTAGCTCGAGCTCGCGAGTTGCGCCAGGAAACACGCTCTAGCCACCTTCATCTGTCTCTCGCAACCTCCCGTCATCTTGAATTTCCTGCTTTTGTAAAGCGCTGAGTCGTAGTCCTGCACGTGCTTCGAGATCGCCCGGCACAAGTTGATGATACCTACGTGCGGACTGCCTTCCAGCGTCACAACTTGGAACAGATCGAGGTCCTTCTTCTGCAAGGCTCCGCCAGCAAGGGTTGTCACATCAAGAAGTTCCAGATCTTTCTGATCTTCCTCCTCCAGTCTCGCATGTACGTTGAAGTTGTTCTGGTAGTTGCTCAAAAATCCCATGTGTCCCATCGGTGGTTGACAGATGAGCATATCACGCCAAGAAGCATGTGGTTAGCCCATCGACGAGGCGTCGGCCACCTCATTGATGTTGCTGAGGACTCCAAACTCGTCTTCGCTGATGGAGAGGACGGACTGGAAGATAGTCTTCCTACCAGGCGTCGCAAGGACTTCGGCGCAAGAGGTGTCGAGAGCGAAGGTGGTGACCCCTGGCAAGATCTCGGATTGTTCTGAGGGGATGGGCTTGAGAAAGAGCGCCTGCTGAAGCTGGATTGACTCGGCGACGGTCGACCGCCAGCGGCGTGAGACTCGCTGTTTACTGAAGACGTCGCGGATCGGCAGGTCGAGGATGATCATCTCCAGCAACTCGACGGTGTCGAGAACTCGGGCTGCGGCCGCCATGTTCGTGATGTGCGGCGCACGCCAATTTGTGCCGTGTAGATGTTCTTTTCGATGTCGCACCGACTTTCGCTGATGTTCGAGGTTGAGCTCACGAGACAGGCGGAGATTTTGGACGGCAAGCGGCTGGCTTAAATTCGGGTCCAGAAACGGAAGTTGCGGGAAGATGATTACTTTTGAAAGAAAATTGAGAGTGACGAGCGTACGGATTTTGTCAAGATTTGGCTTCCCATTCATGTCTAGCTACTGTGCCGTTTGGTGGCGTCGATTCTCTATGGCAGCGTTTACTTTGGGTCGTCGAAGACGTAGGTGAGGTGGCACTTGCCGCAGTACTGGCGGTTGTGCATGGCGGCCATGAAGATACCGGCACCGCACTGTAGACTGTTAGTATCCGCATGACACGCATCTCGAGTCTTGTCATGCTCACCTGCTCAGCTGGGCACTCTCTCCTCAGACGCTCGATCTTGCCATCACCGTCCACCTTGTAGTACTTGAGCACAGCCAACTTGGTCTTCTTGCGCTTGTGCTTGATCTTCTTGGGGGTGGTGTACACCTTCTTCTTGCGCTTCTTGGCCATACCACCACGCAGACGTAGGACGAGATGGAGGGTGCTCTCCTTTTGGATGTTGTAGTCGGAGAGGGTTCGGCCGTCCTCGAGCTGCTTGCCGGCGAAGATCAAGCGCTGCTGGTCCGGGGGAATGCCCTCCTTGTCTGTTGTTTATATGTCAGATGCTGTGCTCGCCTCGCGACCGATGCGATGAGCGTACCTTGGATCTTGCTCTTGACATTGTCGATGGTGTCGGAAGACTCCACCTCAAGGGTGATAGTCTTACCCGTAACTGTGCGGTCCGGTCAGTGAGTGCGCCGCCGCCATCGCGTTGCTGAGGGCCACGTACGGGTCTTGACGAAGATCTGCATCTTGTCTCAGCAGTGATGCGTCTTCAACAAATGTTGCAGATGTCCAGAAGGGCGAAGAGAAGATCTGGAGAGGCGGCGGATTTGGACTTCGGTGGGTGGCCCGGGCGCGCCAAGGGAGGCTAAGCTGTTTTTGGACGTGGCAAGGATTACTATGCGGCTCTGCGCTCGGTAATCAACAACAACACCTCCAACAACACGACGTTTGCCACGACATCGCCGTGACGACAAGCACGAGATGGCGTTCGTCCGATATTGGGTTGTTGGTCGAGCCGTGGTTCTTCGGAGAATAAGATGGCGCAAGTCCCACGAGTGTCTTGCAGCCGCCGTTGGTGCTGCGAGCGAGCATCCCGGCAGCGGCTGCGCTGCCAGGACAACCGGCCGAGGACCGTGATGTTTACCGTGACCGCATTGACCTACCGTTTCACAGTGCTTGTTGTATATCATTCATCTTCACACCCCCAGCCACCTGCTCTTGAGACTGCTGCACACTAGACACCACTTCTGCTTGTACATAGCTAGCAGCAGCAGAGGCCAGCTACTACACTCGCTGCACCACTCCACCATCTACTAGGCCTGAGTGGCCTTCAACCCCCAACCTATCCCTCCTCATTTGTGTGGGATACATCTGAGGAGGCGAGAAATACCCTAGAAGTCTTTCGCCCGGCGGCTGCGGCTTGCACTGCGTGAGGTATGGCAGCAGGACAATCCTCGGTCTCGTCTTCAGCACTGACAAGTTCATGTAGTACCGGATCCAAAGAAGGTCGCCCGTGAGCGACCTTTAGACATACCAGGACCCCACCAGGACTCTTCCCCGGACTCAATCTTGCCCTCAAACACCATGCTGCCCGCAAGTACGGCCTCGAGCATCCAAAAGCGAAGACAACAACATCGCCGACAACAATCGCTCGAAGTGCCAATACTTGCCACGCCCTTGCCTCACCAACACCGACGGACCAACCCAGGACATCGACCAGGCCACCGACGTGGGCTCAGTCTGGACCAGAGTCTGAGCACCATGAACTCGCCCTCCGGATTTCGACCCCTCGTACCCCAGGACATCAACGGCCCACCCCTAGCAAGGACACAACACTACCCGGATACTAACCCAGCATTCCCACCGGATCAGCAGCATCTTATCAAGCAAGAAACGCAGGAGCACAGCCTAGCTCAGCCGGGCTATTCGCAGCCGCCGCCGCCGTCTCAGGCAGGCCCACCAGACTTCCAATCCCACCTTCATCAACACCTGAACGGCATCTTCAATCCCTCCGTCAGCGGACCCAACCCAGAGCAAGCCGCCGCTGCCATGCAACATCTGCAGCACCATATGATGTGGTACGAGCAGAACTTTGGCAACAGCAACGGCGCTCCACCACCACCCAATCCCAACATGCAAAGTACGCCATTCGTCCAGGTCAGCCATCCTGTCGCCGGCGACATGGCTGCACCTCTCTTCCTCTCGCAACCTCAAATGCCAGTCATGCCGGCTACGCCAATCTCGCATGGCCACGCGCAGACAGTCCCCAACACGCCACAGAACCATGCGCAAAACTGGCCAAGCCCACCTCCGTCACGAGTCAAGCATCAACGAAGTCAGAGCTATCAGCTTGATGTCGCGCCGATGCCTCCCAACCATGACCCAAATCAGTTTGCAACTCAAGGAGGAGCCTTCAGCAATGGGTCATTCAGCTTCTCAGGTGAGCAAGACTACGCTGCCTCCGCTTACTCCTCATCAATAGCAGACGCATCCTCGCCGCCTCACCAGCACAGCACTCCGATGCCAACACTCTTCGAGGAGACTACTCCCGAATATGCCACGCACGGAGGGTTGATGTATCAAGCAGCTGGCGGTGCTGAGCAAGATTTCAACAGCCCACATTTCATGATGGGTGGAGGGCCGATGTGTCCAGAGCAGGCAGCGTTGGATGCGGCCGGTATCGACGCAACCTATATCGACACTGGAATCAGCGAGGAGCAGATCAACTCATGGCTGGTACATCCCACCGGCAAGGGCGACGCTTATCGCTGCAAGTGGGAGGGTTGCAACACGAAAATCAACCGCAAGGAGAATGCACGATCGCACGTTCAGAACCACCTGGACGATCGACGGTTCCGATGCAATCCATGCGGGAAGAGGTTCAACCGTCTACACGACACCAAGCGCCACCACCTTACCCACACCAACGAGAGACCAGCAATCTGCCCGTGTGGCAAGACCTTCGCACGCGCTGATGCTTTGACTAGACATCGGCAGCGTGACATGTGCGAAGGTGTGCTGCCGGGATTTGAGAAGCTCGAAGAAGACAAGCCAAAGCGTGGCCGACCGAAGAAGGACAGATCGGGCGGCAACGACAAGTCGAAGAAATTAAACCGTCCTGACTTCGAGACCAGAATGAAGAAGGCAGCTTTGGCACGATCAATGGATGCTGGCAACGGCGACCACAGCTTTGCGGGTAGCACGAGCTCTGCAGCCAGCGAGTGCAGTATGCCCCATACGCCACCGCAAGATCACGACGCAATGGACGCCAACGACTTCCTCAACATGGACGCCAGTAGTACACAGTTCAACACGGCCTCGAACACTTGGCTCGACACTCCACCGACTTCGCCGCCTTCAGCCACCCAACTCCAGAGTACTGATTCCAAGATCTTCATCGATCTCAGTATTCCCGAAGAGCAGCCAGAGAGCGTATCGCCATCGAAGCTTTCGACACGATCGTCGCCAGTGCCAACAGCAGGAGTAGCAGCGTCGGTACACAGCCACTCAAGCCCTGCCGATAACGCCAAGAACCTCTTTGCCGACCATTCTTCACCACCGGGTTTCACAAATGGCAGCTTCCACGGCGACTCGAGTCCAATTGACGGTGGAGTCGACATTTTCAACGACGCAGTGGACTTTGATGTGCTGAACTCGCACCCAGATGTCGGACGAGATCTCTTTTCACCGCCAGGAGAGTCATGCAGTGGGTCGAGTGTCTACAACTCTGATTGGGACACCGTGCACATTGGCAAAGTGAAGGGCGGTGTCTCGAACGCCATGCCAAGCACCATCTACAGCGATAGCTTCGACACTGTCCAGCGCAACGCGTTCTCGATTGACGACTTCATGGGCAATGCCGAAGAAGACCAATACAACGACGTCCGCGACATCCTGGACTCATGGGTTGCCTCGCACTAAGTGCTTGCTGGCACAAGCCGATGAGCGACGAAGTGACGAGAAGACGATCCACAGAACGAGTGTAGCAACGACGAGCATGTAACGATAAGACGGAGGAGATAATTACGACTTTCGACGACGACAACGAACTTGCATTTCAGCGCCTAATGACGACTGGATGAAAGATGACGAACGGCATATGGAGCAGGATGGGAAAAAGAACAAGACTGCACGGCGTTCAACCAGGCGTTGTTTTTGGATACGATCGATATTTGCTGAGCGTTCTTCTTTTTCTGCCTCGATCGTCCGGCCGGACCGTCTGTCTTGCGAGAGACGACATACACGGCGCGACGATTTCCGCCCTCTGCTGCACTTTTTAATGATTACCCCCTCGTCTTTCGCTCTTGGAGCCGGATCTGCGATACACACTACTGCCTGTCACTACCGTGGCTGCCGCAAGGACAACAACGCACACACGCGCGCGCGCGCGCGACATGTTGATTGTATCATAGAAGATTTGGCTGGATGGTGGTCTTTGAAGCGTTCTGCGTGGTTAGATAGTTAGTCTTAGGTAGAGTCCCGGGCTTTGACTCCTAGCCGCAGGTTTTTCTGCTTGTGGTGGGTCGAGTTGGTCGGGTTGTACTCCTTTTGACTGGCAGAGGTGTACTCCAATTTAACAACTTATGATGAATAGAATAAAGGTAAGCAGATGCAGTCTGGTAGAGTGTCGTCAAGCAGCACGCTTGGACCGCCGTAGTCTATTTCGACCTCAGCTCGCTTTTCATCCACCTCGCCAGGCAACCAGATAATCCTAACCCGAGCAATGCGAGCGGGCCACCTTCGACAAATCACCTCGCACATGCATTGTCATCCATCTGAACTTTCGGTTACCGGGACTGGATGCCAAGAAGGGGAGCATAAAAGATGGGTTTCAAACTGAATAAGGTGGGTGCTGCACGCCTCCTGAGCAGAGCTTCGTCGAGCTGGACCTCTCGGACACCGGATTCGCGTATACGTCCGTCTGAGACATGAGCAGACGAGCACCTGGAAAACTCGCAAAAGTTTGAGAATAGATATCTTTGACTGTGGACTTTGGTATGAATAAGTCGAAGGAAGCGGATTGCTTTGTCACCTGATCGATGCCCTGGATCAGGCACTGCGAAAAGCTGATGAAGACGAGCTGAGGTGAGGTGATGCGAGTTGAGTTTTGCGGCTGCCGGCGGAAACACGAGAGCTCTCGGCGGCGCCTGCCACCTGAGCCGGCAGTTTACAATCTCCGGTTCCGTCCTGCTTCACATCGCTGCTCTCATCAGCACTCCTCGCACGAAACGAACGAGCGAACTGTAACACATCCCACGTACCACCAGATCATCTCCCACCACAGCAATGGCCTTTTGCGTCTGTTCGCGGAGGGTTCTGTGCTGGACATGCGACACGGCGCACACGACAGTCGATGACATGGCCAAGCGGTCGCGCGACCAGCGTGTGGCTTTGCAGCGCGGTGATATCATCGAGCATGGCGACAAGCGCCTGGTCGCATGTGCTGCTCTTCTGGTGAAGAAAAAGGCCTGCGCAAAGCAAGGCAGCCGCTTAAGAGCTGCTAGGCGGGTATGGCTGCGCCCAGTGCTGTGTTGGTGATCCGCGGACTGGGCGGCATGGCTTTGGAGTAACCAGTCCTCTGCGGGAGAGACAGCTGCACGCCCGGCCGTCAGCAACATATTAGGGAGCTGGACGGAGCTTGGCAGGCTCCGGTGTGCTGCTGGCGCTGAGAGGAAGAAGCAGAAGGGCTCGGATCAGCCGGATTGGAAGAGGATGAGATGATGACTATGTAGCGCGTGGCTGCTCACTAGCACCTCACAATCAATGACATGCGGCGCCAATCCGCCTCCCACCTCGTCCGCTGCTCTGCTCTCTGCTCTCCAACATCACACAGCGTCGTCTCGACTCACGGTCGTTTCTCGTTGACAGGTCGACAGTCTTGTGCAACGCCAACACCACCCGGACTCGGCTGCGAGTGGTCGCGTGCGGTGGATCGCCAGGCGGCTGTTAAGATTGCCAACCCGAGACGCTAGCAGAAGGCCGTGGACATCAGCAATCTCGCTCGCGGACAGCGCCTAACGTCTTCAAAAAACCTTCCGCCGCGCCATTGCTGTACATCTACCACTACCCAGCCTGGTGTCGCGTGCGCTGCCGCCATCCATTCGCATCGCATCGCATCGCATCGCATCCTCCTGCTGCTGCTCCCGGCATCTTGTGCGCGCACGACCAGCATCCCACTGCACAGCCGCATCCGCATGCTCGCGTGAAACACCGCAGCAGCTCGCTTCCTCCACCACCACCACTACTACAACCACACCCGCCCTCCTTGCGATGCGGCTCCCATACTTCTCCCTTCCCGCCGACGACTCGACGCCTCGCCCCTCGATAACCATGCCTCGACTACCCTTCTCGCTCCCGAGCCTCCCCATCCACATTCCTCACCGAATACGCCGCCGCTTCCGCTCGACGAGGTCCAAGATACGCTCACGGCAGACGCCCACCTCATCCATCGCATCCATTGAAACCTCATTCAACCCCGCCGACACGATACGGTCCCTCCGAACACATCAATGGAGCGTATACGATGCGCAATACCTCTTCCTGGCGGTGCTCGGCATCTTCAGCTTGTGCATAATACAGAGCCCAGGGCCGCTCTTCAAGACGCTGGTGGCCACCGCTCTGTTGACTAGCCTGGTAATACCGATCACGAGGCAGTTCTTCCTCCCATTTCTACCCATCGCCGGCTGGCTCATCTTGTTCTACGGATGTCAATTCATTCCATCAGAATACAGGCCAGGCATCTGGGTTCGAGTGCTGCCTGCGCTGGAGAACATCCTTTACGGCGCAAACCTGAGCAACATCCTCGCCGCACACAAGAATGCAGTTCTTGACGTGCTGGCGTGGCTACCATATGGAATCACGCACTTTGGCGCACCGGTCGTGTGCTCAGGTCTGATGTTCATCTTTGGAGCACCCGGCACGACCCCAGTCTTTGCAAGGGCTTTCGGATACATGAACATCGCAGGTGTGATTATCCAGATTCTGTTTCCATGCAGCGCCCCATGGTACGAGAACATTTACGGACTGGCACCAGCCAATTACTCGATACCTGGATCACCCGCTGGTTTGGCACGAGTTGATAAGCTGTTTGGCATCGACCTCTACACCTCAACATTTACCGCCTCGCCGCTCGTGTTCGGTGCTTTCCCATCGCTGCACTCGGCAAACGCCACCCTCGAGGCGCTCTTCATGTCTCACGCATTCCCAATGCTGCGGCCGCTCTTCATCCTCTACACCGTATGGATGTGGTACGCAACCATGTACCTCAGCCATCACTACGCGATCGATCTTGTTGGTGGCAGTACCATTGCTGCAATCGCCTACTTCATCGCAAAGGGCAGCTTTTTGCCACGACGACAGCCAGGCAATCTATTCCGCTGGGATTACGACTACGTGGAGTATGGCGAGGAACAGGATCCATACGCTTACGGCATCAACGACATTGACGAGTACGAGCTTGCTCGGAAGGGCGACAGCGATGAGTGGACAATCGGCTCCAGCTCCAGCTTCTCAAGCAGCAGCCGCGAGCCATCAACTGGCATGCGGTCACCCAGTGCTGACAGCGAAACGTGGGAAGGCGACACCCTAGCATCATCATCCGACAACGAGTACCAAAAAGCATAGGTGCGATTTGGTACACTTTCAATCTATCCCGGATCGATGAACGCCCCACGAACCGGCCAGACCCAGCCGAACCGATGACGATTTTGACGACGATTGCATTGCATGGCGTGTGTTTTGACATTGTTTGTGTGCATTTTCAGCGGAACAAGAACTCCTGGGCAACGAAAAACACGAAACCTCTGTTTGGAACCAAGAACACCGGCGTTTGAAGTTCAAAATCACGAAACGACGACGAACGCTTGTGAAAGGCAGCCTCGCGAGAGCTTTTTTCGCTTGAAGGCTATTTGAGAGCGTTCTTGCTGTTTGATCTTCTCAAAGGCGAGAAAGAAAGACGAGAAAAAGATACCCCCCGATTACATTCGCTTTTTTGTGTTGTATTAGATGTACAGCGACCACACTCGCTATGGAACAGGGGAGTCTTCGTAGGACGAAGGAAGGGATGAGGAAGAAGGGGTCTGCAGCATTTTTGTGTGCATAAAGGAAGGGCTTTCTCTGCATAGACGTTATGGTGCAAATAGACATTATGGGAAGGGCGATATGATGGGGGGAAATGGGTCATGACCTCACGCTGTGAAAGAGAAGAGGAAAGGATTCCCTATCAGCAGCTGGGAATGTTGTAGATATTGTAATGCATAATCAGCGTGCCCGATGATGGTTGATTCAAAGGTTTACAAATTTCGTGATCAGTTTCCCATACTATTGAGCATTTACCACTCCAGGTTGAAGAAGCATGCACGTTCATATTTCCCACGTGAGCCTTGGCGCTTTTGAGTGAATCTCAATGCCTCTCATTGACACATTGGCCACTCTCTCCTTCTACTTGTACACAATACAGACTCCCAGAAGCGGGGTATCTCGTCTTTCCCAAATCATATAACGCCACGCCGTATAATCCCCATGCTGCTGCTGTACACGTTTCCCGCTATGCAAAAAGACAACCTCGAAACCACCATCCCTTTGAACTTCATCAAGGCACAACCACAACCCCCATACTCCCCGCCTGCGCCACCACACTCCTCACCACGGCCTCCAAACTCATCCCACTCAGTCTCGTCTCCCCCTGCTTAATCCTCGCAATCTCATAAACATGCTTCAAACTGACACTCCCCACAACCCCCAACCCGCTATTCCCCGGCGGCGCGCCCCCAGAATGCGTCGCTTTTCCCTTGCCCTCCATCCCCAGCCGGGATTTCGGGCCCGCGGTGTTTCCCGCGCCGCGCAGTTTGTTCTTCGTGGGGGAGACGCCGGCGGCGGCGAGGAGCAGGGAGGCGGTGGGCGGCGTGCGCAGTTCGAAGTGGAAGGAGCGGTCGGGCCGGACTGTTACGCGGGCGGGGATGGGCGTGCCGACGATGTAGGAGGCGGTGCGGGCGTTGAATTCTTTGCAGAAGTCCATGGATTTTACGCCTTTGGAGCTGGGAGGGTGGATGTGAGTATGGTGGTGTTTGGATGGGTGTGGTTTGGGGGAGTGGCTCTTACCCCAATGCTGGGCCGACGGGCGGCGAGGGCGAGGCTTGGCCGGCGCCGACGATGAGCTTGACGATTTGGTCGCCGAGGATTTTTTTGGACATGGTGAGTGGTGTGTTGAAGCTTTCACATGCGAAAGGTGTTTGCTTGCTGCATTGAAGTTCAGATCGGCTGTCGGGACTTTTAACAGCACGTGACACGACGTTCGGCTCGCCTCGATCTCCCCCGAGCAAATCCACAAATCACGAGGCGGTCCACGGCTGCTCTCTTTCGCGTTCACCACATTACACTGGAATGTGCATTGCAGCATCGGGATCCTGACTTGGGACACACCATCTTCCACCTCTTCTCCTCTGCGACTGCCATCATCGCTGCAGAATCGCAGACGACGCTGCACCATATCCGCCCGGGAGGACTGTAACATTCACGGCCGTTGTGTGTGCATGATGCACTCTGCAGAGCCAACGCATCCTTCTCCAACGCTGCGCTGCGTGTCGCTGCTGCTCCCATCCGCGCAAATCAATCGCAAGCCTGCTTTGCCCATCAGCGGACAGCCCCTGAACGCGAGCCTATCTGCTCTCACGCCCAGGAGTCACACAGGCCTTTCCTGGCTGCTGTGAGACACGAATCGTCCGTCGGCCTCCTATTCCGGCCTTCCTCGCTCGCTAAGTAGCAAGCAATCTTGTTATTTGCGTTCAACTAAAAGACATGTGCGCAATCGCGCTGCTCCACGTCCGCCCGCGTCGTCTTGTTTCACCCTCCTAACCTGGCTTGTTGCATCACCACTGCCACCACCGCCGCCAAACCACCATGTGCGATCTTACTCGTCACTTGCGCTTCCAGATTCACTGAGTCAGTCTATAGAGGCCATCCTGGGCCTCGCGGGACAGGCAATGGTAAGTGAGTTGCGAGATGCCTGGCTTGGACTTCCCTCACCTACTTTTCCTCCTAACATTGGTGTCTTTCTTTGTGCTCTAGCCAGAGACCACGAACCGAGCCTCGCCGCATGCACCCCCGAAACTCATCGTCTCGCGGCCCGCAGAAGACGTAGCAAGCACGACAAGACCTACCCTGGCGTCCAGACGCCGGAGCAAGACTGCGAGCTCCGCGCTCAACCATAACCAGGGCAGGGCGGAGGGTCTGGAGTGGATCGATGTCGACGACGATAATACGCAACCGCGACGACGGAAACGCTCTTCGAAACGATCGTCGACGAAACGGGAGGGTGGGCATAGAAGTCGGAGCAGTACTGAGAGTGAGGTCAGCCGCTTCTTCCCCAGCCTGACCCGGATATTGGAGTCCAACGAATCCAGCAGGCCTGGTACTAGTGGATCCGACTCTCGGAAGCAGAGAGAGGGGAGTGTAACAACCCATCGTCGCCGTCATCGCGACGACAGTTCAGTCGGAGGATATCGTCGGCCTGTAAAGCACAGGGTAGGCGGTGTGTCGAGACGGGCAGAACCGACGTTCAAAGTCAACCCGTCCTTGCTGTCGGTCTTGACCAGCTTGACGGGCAACTCGGACAGCAGCAGTAGCACGACCATTACGCAGCAGTCCTACGATCACCGGAGTGGGGATAGTGATTGTGAAGGGCGAAAGGTGCCGGAGACCGAGAACCGCGTTAAGAAGTCTGGCTTGTCGCCCAACGTTTTCGACTACATGGACGCCACTTCCGTTGAAGACGGCCATGATGGCGTGTCGTTGTATTCATCCTCCTCGTCGTCGCATTATGAGGCTTCGGATGCTGGGTCGAGCGAACTGCCCGAGACGCCTTCGTCTCATTCTACCTTCCCGTCACCGACTGCTACGAGGAATTCCAGCTTGACCGGCAGTGTTGCTGAGCTTCGTCGGAAGTATGATTCTCAGTATGCGTCGTCGGCGGGCGAGCAGGTCTCAGCCAGGAGTAGCAGCTACAGTCCCGAGTCGTCGACGAGGAGTTTGAAGAAGTTGAGCAAGATCAGAGATGTCGCGGAAGATTCTAATGAGGCTGCGAACGAAGATGGCGAGAAGAAGCGACCATCGTCTATCTCATCTCGCTCGTCGAGGGCGTCACGTCGAGACGAGGAGAGACTACGGCATCAAGAAGAGACCATGCGACATCACCAGGCACGCTCTCAGCATGGTCAGCATTTGATCGATCCGGTCTATGGACAACATCGTTCGCATTCTGCTTCGTCGACTGGCTCGGCGGGTTCTGCCCGTGCCTATGCGCAGTACATGGCAATGCAACAATATCAATACCCATCGCCACCCGTCCCCATGGCGTATCCCATCCCGCCGCAAGCGACGAACGGACACGTCGCACACAATCCTGATCGTCCACCCGTTCCAGACGCTCCTGATCTCAGTCAGAGAACACTAGCAGGTTATGAACAGCTCGCTGTGGAACTCTCCAACGAATCGTCCCCCGTCAAACCGCTCTATCGGAAATTCGAATTCCTCAACCACCGAATCCTGCTACATCTCCAGGACGAACTCTCCGAACTGGAAGAACAACTCCGCACTGTCGATGAAATCATCGCTCAGATGGAACCTCTACCCTCGACAGGCCAGAAACGCCCCCCAGCTTCCCGACGAGGCGACGCCTTCAGTGGAAGTGAAATCCACCACCAGCGCACAGCTCTGCTGGGAAGGATCTTCCTCAAAACAGAACAATACAACCGCGCCTTATCCTCCTTCCAATCCATCGCGAAAGACGCCCGGCCCGCCGAGAAGGAAAACGTGGAGACGTACAAAGAGTACATGAAGACCAAATTCCCCATCCACGAGATCGAAACCCGCTTCCTACACCACAACGCGGATCTCATCGCCCTCGGCCACACTCCCACACAGCAGGCCGTACCTCAACCGGGGCTCCCTTTCCAAACCGCAGCTCTCACATCCCTCCCCATAGCTCTGATGCTCCCGCTCCTGCTCTTCGCCCTCATCCCCTCGCTCGCGGGGCGCCTGGTCGTCACGGCGTTGATCGGCGTCGGGGCGTTTATGGTTGCTGCGACGGTGGAGAGGGTGAGGGATCTCATGGCTGTGAGGGAGTGGGCGGTTTGTGGGGCGGTTTATGTGTTGGTTATGGCTGGGGTGGCTGGGTGTGTGCCTGGGCATGCTTGAGAAGGAGGAGGAGGAGGGGTATGGTGAGGGGGATGGGGAGGGGTTGGTGGGAGGGTTGGGTGTTTTGTGGGTTGTGTGGGATGGGATAGGTTGTGTGGGTTGGGATGAGATGGGGATCTGGCGTTCTGGCTGTGCTTTTGTGGGTTGGGCCGTGGTTTTGGGATTGGTTTTGGAGTGATACCCCCCTTTTCCTTACTACCTACCTTTTGTCCGAAGGCTTTTGGATCGTTGAGATGATGATTGAGGTACATGTTGGCAATAGGCAAGAGATATCGATTTCATAATTCTTGACACGAGATGTTTTAATCGTATGACAAAACACTTCACAATCGCTTGACACTTCGTCATCGCTATGTATCCTTATTACTACGATCTATTCCCTACTTTGACGTTCTTCCCTTCGTCGATCTACTCGTTCTAGTCGTAATAGGTTGGCTGTTCCTGGAGTGACACCCCCGTCCTATGTGTCTTCTCTACATGACTGAAATAATATTTTATGGGGTATCAGGCAAGGAGAAGATCATTTTCATCTTAAAGAGATAGTCAACCGCATTACGCTTTAACGACCGCTATAGATCTTTATTACTACGACGACCCACTCGAACTCCCATTAACCTCCCCCTCCTTCCCCACCACCTTAACCTTCCCCATCCCCTCCAACTTCATCAATCTACCCATTCCACTCGGGATAGCCCCTAACATTTTAAGTTATACCCCCTTTTCATCTCTTTTCCTTCATCTTCGAATGTTTTTCTCTGCAGAACTGAGATGATGTTGGCATTATGGGGTATCAGGCAAGGAGAAGATCATTTTCATCTTAAAGAGATATTCAACCGCATTACACTTTAAAGACCGCTATCGATCTTTCTTACTACTACGACCCACCCCCATTCGCCCTCCCCTCCCTCTTCTCCCCTAATTTCACCTTCTCCCTCCCCTCCAACTTCATCAACCCCCCCGTAATCAGCGGAAACGGCGTCCCCATCCACGTCGCCCGCTGCGTATGATCCCGATACTCACTCCCGGTATTCGGATGCACGAGCGCACTCAGCGGCCCGCGGTTCACCACCAGCCACGGCACGAAGGCCCCGAATTGCTCCGGCGTGAAGAGGTCCACTTCGAACATGCCCACGGGGTGCGGGCCGATGGGGCGGTCCCAGAAGCGGAAGATTTTTAACTCGGGGAATTCGTGCCGGATGCGCGTGTGCTGTGGTGGGGAGGGTTAGTGAGGGAGGGATGAGAGGGGTGAGGGGGAGGGGAGGTTTACGAGTGCTTTGGCGAAGGCAACTTGTTCCTCATCCGTGTGTTGGAAGTAGATGTGGATGTCGAAGCCGGGTTTGGAGCCGTTGGCTATGGGGTCTGGGAAGGCTTTGTATGCTTCGCTTGTCTTGGTAGGGGGAGGGTTTTTGAGGGATTTGCCGTCTTCGTTGCGTTCTCTGGTGCCGTGAGTGTTAGGATATATGAGGACTGTTTGTGGATTGTTTGCTTGTGGGCTTACTCTGATAATGGTTCGAGGTTCTCGTAACCTTCGAGGGGAGAGGGGTATTCGTAGGCCCAGGGATCCATTTTGGATGGAGTTCCTCTGGCGTTAGTAGTGGATTGAGAGGTAGTGTGCTGGTATTCAAAGGAGCTGTCAAGACGACTTATCTGATCAAGATGACCGCCAAGGATAAGAAGAGAGTATATACAGCGAGGATCTAAACAAGGACGTACGGCATCAGCTCACCCTTTTAATTATAAGAACCCAGTTTGTAATAGGCGCGGAACTGAGCAATGGCGCCTTCGGCTTTGCAGGAGTGGAGAGTCGCCTGATGACGCCTTTGCTCTAAGCTGTATCACAATAGGAACACGAGTACCTCTGAACTGTAGACAAGACGATATTGCCTGATTCCTAATATCGCCGAGTGAGAAAGTCAGGACGAGGTGTTTGAGGGTGACGTCGCCGCCGCTGTCGCGTGGGAAACGGAGATGCCCCACTTTCGGCCACGTGCGCGCGCGATCAGGCGCGTGTCCCGCTTTCAACTCAAACTCGCGAAGGTCAAAGCATCCCGACCCTCGTCACACGCTTGCGAGTACATGCGCCAGCACCATGTCGGCCGACGAAGGCAGGGAGAATCATGTCAATACGGATACTCTGCGGACGGAGCTCAAGAGCTGGGAGAATGCGTTTAAAGCGAAGAATGGGCGCAAACCTGGACGCGCGGATATCAAGAATGACGCGACGATAGGTTTGTCTTTGGGAAGTAGGAGGTTTAGATGCCAATGCTAACTTACTCTTGAAGCGGCGAAGTACAAGCTCTATGACCGAGTCACTCGACGAGAACAGACGACACCGAAACAGACGCCTAGAAAGAGCCACAGATCGAGACCTAAGGAGGATTTTGGAAGAGAAGAAGCTGCGCATAGAACATCTACTACGCCTCGCAAATCGCCCTCGAAGAAGGATTCACAGTCATTACCGCCTTTACAACCTTCTCCTTTCGCCGAGATCGAAGAAACACCTGCTCATATTAGACTCGCATTGGGTCCCACGCCGCTGAAAGATGGACAAGTGTTGGGGCTATTCGACTTCCCATGCGCTACACCATCCCGGGATCTCAACACCCAGAAGTCTGAAGTAGAGAATCTAGTAGCAGGAACACCTTCTAAACAAACACCAGCATCCTCAGAACACGCATTCTCCAAGACCCCGCAATCTGTGGGGAGGCGCTTCTTTCTGGACGCATTCGCAGGAACACCATTAAAACGCAAGCGGGAAGAGCAAGACATCGGCACCACTAGTGCGAAGAGGTTAAACTCCAACACTCCAGCTTTCTTGAAGAGGAGCTTCCCCATGGCATCGATAGACGAGGAAGGCGCAGAACCGCCGGCTGCTCGTCACCCCTTCAAGAAGCGAGGTCTGGTGAGGAGCTTGAGCAGTATCATTCAGGGCTTAAAGAAGCAGGAAGACGAACGGATGGACGAGGAGTGGGATATTCTAAGAGATATTGAAGAGGAGCAGGAAGACGGAGGTGCAGACAAGAGGAAGGAGATATCAAAGGTAATGGTGCAGGATAGCCAGGCGGCTGAAATGCCTTTGGGGCCCGATCAGGCTCCTCTGTCGGATGTTGAGGAGGCTGGGGAGAAGGAGACTGAACGGAAGCCGTGGAAGAAGAAGGGATTGAAGAGGCAGACGAGACGGGTTAATATGAAGCCTGTGCTGCACAGGGCGAAGAAGGCGGATGAAGTCGACGAGTTTGATGCGAGCGAAGCGGAGATCGTGCCGGAAACGCAAGTGGCAGAGCAGACGAAGGAAGGCGCAGATGACGGTGATGGCTCAGAATCGGACTTTAACGAGGGCGAAAAGAGGACGACAGCCAAAAGCAAGCCAACCGCAAAGAAACCGCCAACCAAAGAGAAAGACAAAGAAGGCAAGGAAGCCTCGAAAAAGAAGCCCCGAAAGGTCAACCCCGACGCCCACGCCAACTTCCGAAAGCTCAACATCAAGAACAAAAACTCGAAAGCCAACGGACGAGGGAAGAGATTCGGAAGGCGCTGAAACTAGAAGAAGTCTTCGGCGATTCGTTTTCTTTTTATCAGTACAGATACCCAAACAATACGACAGATCTTGCGAGCTTGCTTCCCAATACTGCGCTCTTGAAGTGTGAGTGCTTTCTCTCCGAACGCCTTGCTGGAACCCAATAGAGATCACCTTTTTGTCACGTTACTGCTGCATGACCTTCAACTCCTCAGAGACCTTGAACGGCGCCTCAGTCTTGGACTTGATCTCATCAACCGTCACGCCCTCAGCGTGTTCGATGAGCGTTAGACCATCCGTGAAGTCGACATCAAACACAGCCTAAAAGCAAGAAAGTAAGTACTACGTTCAAGCAACAGAAGAAGACCAGATGCAACACTTACCAACTCCGTAATAATCCTACTCACACACGCCTTCCCCGTCAACGGAAACGCGCACTGATTCAGAATCTTCGCCCGCCCCTTTTTATCCGTATGCTCCATCGTCACCACCACCTTCGTTTTGTCTGGGTTACTCACGAGGTCCATTGCCCCGCCGAATCCCTTCATTTTCACGCCTGGTACCATCCAGTTCGCTAAATCACCCTTCGCGCTGACTTGCATAGCCCCCAAGATGGTGAGATCAATCCGTCCGGACCGGATCATACCGAACGACTCTTCTGAGCCGAAACATGCGGCTCCTGGGCGGAGCGTGACGGTTTCTTTGCCGGCATTGATGAGATCCGGGTCTTCGCGGCCTTTCTGGGGATAAGGACCTAATCCAAGAATTCCATTCTCAGATTGCAGCTGGACTTCCACGGAGGGGTCCACGAACGTCGGCGCGAGCATGGGCATGCCAATGCCTAGATTAGCGTACTGGCCATTCTTGAACTCCTTCGCAGCACGACGCACGATCCGCTCGCGTTTACCCGCCGCATCGCCGGATCCCAGGGCGCCGGCCTTCAACTCCTCGGGACTCTTCGCGTTGACGACTTTTTCGATGTTCTTGTCCGCGGTCGCCTGGATGACTTTCGTCACGTAGATCCCCGGGACGTGCACGGCGGCCGGGTCGATCTCGCCGGGTTCGACGAGGTGCTCGGCCTCGACGATGGTGACTTTGGCGTTGCGCGCCATGGCGCCGTTGAAGTTGGCGGCCGCGAAGCGGAACATGCAGTTGCCTAGGCGGTCGGCTTTCCAGGCTTTGACGAAGGCGTAGTCGCCCTTGATGGATTCCTCTAGGACGTAGGATTTGCCGTTGAAGACTTTGACGTCTTTGGGCGTGGTGTATTGCGCGACAGAGCCCGAACTGCGGTAGCGAAGGGGCAGTTCACCCGTCTGGACGACGGTCCCGTATCCAGCTGGTGTGTAGAACGCAGGTATCCCTCGTCCGCCAGCAGAGCACCTCTCCGCCAAAGTCCCCTGCGGCGTGAGCTCCAGCTCAATCTCCCCGTTGAGATACATGCTCTCAAACACCTTATTCTCCCCCACATAACTCGCAATCATCTTCTTGACCTGCTTCGTGCCCAGAAGCTTGCCCAGCCCGGATCCAGGCACGCCGGCGTTATTCGACACGGCCGTGAGGTTTCTGATATTGGGCATTTTCTCGACTTGGTTGATCAGCGTGTCTGGGACTCCGCATAGTCCGAAGCCTCCGCAGAGGAGCGTCGAGTCGCCTTGCATGTCTTTGAGGGCTTCTTCGGCCGAAGGGACGATTTTGTTGATTTCATTGCGGCGGGAGGAGGAGGCGAATGTTCGTGCGAGGAGGCGGGACTGTCCATCGATTAGCTGTCGAAGTCGTAGTGCTATTTGGGAGTAAGGTCTACCTGAGGTGAAGTCCTGGTGAGGTTGCTCGCGGTCCGCCAGCAAAGCGATACTGAGGAGACCATATCTTCGAAAACTACACAACCCACGCACAGAGCAGAACAGTAAGACAGGAAGTTGAGATCAAAAGAAACCACGCGAGAACCCACTCCCCCCCCGCAAAGGGACGTGTCGTTACTTAGCCATTCTTCGGCATTGGGCACGGTTGTTCGAAGAATCCTGACCCGATCCTACCCATGAACCGACAGTAGTCTTCCCCAGTTCCGACTCCAGGTACACCCACACATTCCGCATTCCGACGACAACCGCCGTAGCCGGTGCGGGTCAATGTGAGATGCTGACTTTCGCGGAACGTTAGGCGCTGTTCAAGTGAATGTTCCCCTTCGTGGAGAGCTAGGGAGGTGTTGTTGAGGGCGGTGGCTTTCCGCTGGCCGAGTCCACGGTGGTTTTTGTTCATGCCGAGAGAGTTCCACGACGACTTTGACTCGGAGATAGTGTGGTGGATTCTGTGGAGTGTGGAGAGCGACATGCGACAGCGGATCACTTGACGGAACCGATGGCACTGTTTTGGGGTCACGGTCCGAGATGCTCCCCTTGTTCTCCGATGGACTTGAACTACTGCTGTCTGAACTCTTGACGCCGTGGAGGACAAAAGAAAAGCGGATTGAAGTGGTAATGTTCGTACTGTTTCCCATTTCCTGTCGTACATTCATCTAAAGATTTGGTAAAGGCACGTTCAATCACTCGCTATCGACCCGTTCAATCGTCTCCTGGACGGACTTGGACTTCTCAGCGCGAAACGCCGCCGACGACGCAGACGATCCAGACAGTGCAAGAACATCCGTAGACGCAAACTTGCGTGCTGGAACCTTGGCTTGAAACAGGACGTCGAGCTCGGCGAATGTTCGTCCCTTGGGTCTGTTGCAACAGTCAGCTAATATATCCACCAAGGTTTCAATACTGCAGAAACGTACTCTGGCAATCTGAAGAACGTCCAAACAGCGCACAGTGCACAGATTCCACCCCAGAAGAACCCGGCTTTTGCGCCCCAGTTCCAGGAAGTCGGGTTCAGCATATGGGGAGTGAGGATGTTGGCAATCAGACCGGTGATGTTGTACAAGTTCCTGGCGAGAACGACGGTCTTGTTGCGGAGACGTGTCGACGCAAGCTCGGCTACGAGAGAGTAGCAGACTGGCCCGACGGTGGCATCATAGACGAAGGTGTAGATGAGAATCATGGCGCCGATGCCCCACTGAGCTCCCGAGCCATGGGCAATGCCTAGGAAGCCAACAATCATCAGGATCAAAGCCATGATCACCTGGCCCCAGATGTACAGCGTCCGGCGGCCGAACCAGCCCATGAGGAACCAGGATAGGAGAGTCCCGACCGCTCCAAGCGCATACTGTCCAAGTGAGAGAGAAAACGCGTGCGAAGTATCCAGTCCGGCTTGCTGGAAGAAGTAGGTCGAATATCCGGTAAACGACGATGCGCCACAGAGAGTCTGAATCGCCCATACAATTGTTACGATTTCCGTCCGCCTCAGATTCACGCCCTTGAAGCAATGCCAATACTGTGCGCCAGATACATGCTCTTTCTCCAGCTCGTTGGTGTAGACCATCATGTTGATGGTAGCATCGGGGTCGAAATCAGTCTGCTTACGCGATGTAAGGCGGAGTAGCTGCTATTTGGCGTCTTCCTTGCGGCCCTTTCGAACAAGCCACCAGGGACTTTCTGGGGCAAGAGCAATCCCAATGATCAGAGGAACGGGCCACATCCACTGCAGTCCATAAGGCAGCTTGTATCCAATGGATCCTGTCTTCTCGCTGACGCCTTTCAAGACGGCTGACGACAGGAACTGTCCGATGACCCAGCACAGATTGACATATGTAGTGAGGTATGGGCGAAGAGTGACGGGGACCACCTCAGCTGCGTAGGTTGTGGTCAAGGTTTGGAAAGCTCCCCATGGAATGCCGCATAGAATCTGTGAGAGTGAACCTGATTAGCCGGCGTGTTCACAGTAGACGTTTGAGTAGCACACTTACTTCTCCGACCAAGAGCATGGCAAGGTTTTGAGCAAAGAACAAGAGGAAGATGAATCCAGTGAGAAGCACCAAAGCCCCGATCAACGTCTTCTTGAAGCCGATGCGCTCAGCTACGACACCCACGAAGAAGAGTCCCAGAATCTCTCCCACGAGGGCACCATTCGACAGACCAGATTGCCAGGCCGCAGAGATCTGATAGGAGCCATCGCTGTCTCGAGTGCCGAAGCGTTGCTGGAACGCTGGAAGAGCGTATAGAGAGTTGATCAAGACAATGTCGAAGCCCTCCATGATGATACATGTTGAGAGTAAGATCGACCATCCGACTGCTTTGGGGTATGTCTTGATGCCTTGCATCAGGGTCATGGACGTCTCGCTCTCGGTGGCTTTGGCGGCATCGTCGGCGACGGAAGCGTCGACGTCTGGAAGGTGGGCGACATCTTCTGCGACTACGCTTGTTCGTCGTTCGATGGAGGCACGCCGTCCCGTGGTGTGAGGCTCAGTGTGAAGAGTCGCCATCATGAACGGCTGGATGTTGAGGGTAAAGATGGATGATTGATCGGCTTGGAATGTCCTGATGCACAGGTCATGATCTTGAGGGTGATAGCTCGGGTCTTATATGTCCGTTGGGTAATTCCTTCATCGCTGTCGAGATGATCTGTGTTCGAGAGTGTTTGGCCCGAAGCGTGCTCGAGGACATGCAATATCGCACTAAGAGAATGAAGGCGTCGTATATTTCAGCGAGAGACCGTGCTATCGACCCATGGCCCGATCGTCCACCATACGCCGTTCCCCGTGGGGATGGAGATGGAGATGGTAGTGCGGAGAAAGAGACGAAGGATTGATGAGAAGAGGTGTTCTCGCTGAATCCCTCGCCCAAATCGACACCAATGAGATGGCGTTGACCTCTCTAGCGTGGCTGGCGTCGCCCCTTCTCTCGCCCAATGTCGACGCCACGTCCTCTGGACCAGACTGATGTCGCTGATATACCTGGAGAAATACTCCGTCGTAGTCATCGCTGCGATATCAACGACGATCACTGAACGCCACAAACATGATAAAGCGATTGCCTACTGTCACCATGTCTTCCCCCTTCAGCATTCTCGCTTCTTGCACTCCTCACCTACCTAATCATGACTATCACGCAGCATCCATGGTGGAAGAACGCCGTCGTCTATCAAATCTACCCCACTAGCTTTCAGGACTCCAATAACGATGGTATCGGAGACCTTCGAGGCATCATACAAAGGCTCGACTACATCCAAAGTCTTGGAGTGGACGTGATATGGGTGTGCCCAATGTACGAAAGCCCACAAGTGGATATGGGATACGACATCTCGAACTATGAAAGCGTCCATGCTCCTTATGGCACCGTCGAGGATATGGAGGAGCTTGTTGCACAAGTTCATGATCGAGGGATGCGTATTATTCTCGACCTGGTCGTCAATCATACGTCTGATCAACACGCTTGGTATTTTGGGCATTCTATCACCATTTCCTTTCATTACCAGTCCTGACAAACTTCTGAACAGGTTCAAAGAGTCTCGATCGTCCAAGTCAAATCCAAAGCGCGACTGGTACATTTGGAAGCCTGCGAAGTACGTCAATGGCCAACGGAAACCACCCAACAACTGGCGCTCCAATTTCGGTGGCAGCGCATGGCAATGGGACGATACGACCGAGGAGTACTATCTTCACCTGTTCTGCCCGGAGCAGCCCGATCTCAATTGGGATAACGAAGAAGCTCGCTGGGCTATCTATGAATCCGCGATGCTGTTCTGGTTGGAGAAAGGCGTCGATGGCTTCCGAGTAGACACGGTCAACATGTACAGTAAACCGCCAGGCCTACCCGATGCTCCCATTACAGACCCTTCTGCAGAGTGGCAGGAAGCTGGCCTCGTCTATTGCAATGGACCGCGGATGAACGAGTATCTTTCGGAGATGAATGCTATTCTTTCTCGTTACGACGCCATGACTGTTGGCGAGTGTCCCTTCACGGCGGATTCTTCAACTGTACTCGAGTATGTTGGAGCGTCGAACAAGCGTCTAAATATGGTCTTTCAATTCGACGTCGTCGACACGGGTCAGGGGAAAGTGTTCAAGTACCAGACTGAGCCCTTTGCCTACAAACTCCAAGATCTGAAAGACGCCATCGCACGTACTCAAGCACTTCTCGATGGCACCGATGCGTGGACAAGCTCGTTTGTCGAGAATCACGATCAAGCACGATCCGTGTCGAGGTTCGGCGACGATAGTCCTGAGTGGAGGGAACGATCTGGCAAGATGCTGTCGTTGCTGTTCGCTTCTTTGTCAGGTACCTTGTTCGTGTACCAGGGCCAGGAGATAGGGATGGTCAACATGCCCGAAGAGTGGTCGATCGACGAGTACAAAGACGTCGACTCATCCAACTACTACAACATGGTCGCCGAGCGCAGTGGAAACAATGCTATTGAGCTTGCAAAAGCCAAAGCCTCGCTGCAACATCTCTCCCGCGACCACGCCCGCACACCAATGCAATGGGATGCCAGCCGCAACGGTGGCTTCACCGATGATTCCGTGCAGCCCTGGATGCGCGTCAACACATCCACAACCGAGATCAACGTTACTCAACAGACCAAGAGCAAAGACTCTGTCCTCGCTTTCTGGAGACACATGCTGCAATTCCGCAAGGAGCATGCCGATGTACTGGTCCACGGCACCTTCGAGCTTGTCGATAGACAGAATGAGAAAGTCATGTCATTCGTCAAGCACGGGAAGAGCAGGAGCGCATTGGTTGTTTGCAATTTCTCCGCTACTGATAGTGAGTTCCCGTGCGTCGGGATGAATGGTAAGACGGATTTGTTGTTAAGCAATGTCCTCGATGTCAGCGGGGGCGACAGGTTACGGCCGTGGGAGGGTCGAGTTTACACGCTCCGTTGATCATGACCACGATATATGCGGGAGTGCTTTTGATTTACTAGTTGCCAGTGTATCTCGAGCGTTTCACAGGGGCTGTCGAATGTGTTCTTGGCTCATGAAAGAAGTAGATAGGAGATAAGTGGTAACCAGACCCATCGGACTGTCTGATCTCCAGCAACATGCCATCTTCCCGAGACGCCAGACCTGACATGCAATAGCCATGCACCAATTCTCCATCTTTAGGGCAGGCATGTCATAGCCAAGTCGACGGACATCGTCGTCGGCGGACGTGACTCTTTGAGTCCGGCGTTTACTAATCGTAGGGCCTTCTCAAGAATCTATGGTTCTGACTTTGAGATAAGCTTGGCGTCAGCCTTGTGGTCGGACGGTCGTCAAATGATCCTACTCTTGTGTTTGTGTTTCGTTGGGCGGTATGGATCGATGAGGGCTGGTAATAGTAGCCTGAATGGGCCTTGAGACTAGAATCCGATCGCCTCTTCGGTGAAAGCTTTGATACAGATTGCCATTCCCAACGATGCAAACAACAAAAGTAGTTCAACTGATGCTCGCCGCTACAGCGTACTTCAAGGTCATTGTAGTCGGTGACCACACGTCGAGCAACCGCCGTGACACCGGCTGACAGCGGACCGATATACGACAGTGAGATCTTGCATACTAATCCAAGGCTCAAGCACTCTGCACCCTACGACTCCAGGAATGGCATCGAAAGCTGAGTGAGAGATGTGGATGTCGAAGGGTACAGTCTTGGTAATGATGCGAGGGTTCCATGGAGACAAATCGAGGCTTCATAAGGGCGGCCTTCCGCACTTCAGGGCGTCAGCGGTTGACGGCAAGACGAGTGACGGCTTCCAGGACCTGAGCAGTCCATGGACACCCTCAGAGACGCCCCCTTGGGACAACTCGTCCGGCAGTTCTGGACACCAAATTCCCTTCGCTACCCAGAAGAAAAAGCCGGCTTCGAGATCCCCGCCGGTCTCAAGCCCAAGCCCGTGAACGAGGATATCGAGAAAGGCTCCGATAACGATCAGCAATCTGAGGGGCATGCAGAAAAGGCTGCGCCTGACGGGGTCATCCTCGTCGACTGGTATGGAGCTGACGACCCTGAGAATCCCCAGAATTTCTCGGTGGGCAAGCGAGCGTGGATTACGTTTGTTTTGTTCTGGATGACGTTTGCGGTGTATGGTGTGTCGTCGATGTATACGCCTAGTGAGCAGGGCGTGATGCAGGCTTTTGGCGTTGGTGTCCCCAAGGCGGCTTTGGGGCTGGCTCTTTATGTATGTTTGCTCGCAAGAGGCTCGATTTTCCCATTGCTGACATTGGTTGAAGGTCCTTGGCGCGGGTTTGGGACCGATGCTCTTCTCCCCGCTAAGTGAGGTGCCTGCTCTGGGTCGCAACATACCGTACATCATCCCCACGACGCTGTTCCTGATCCTCTCGATACCAACTGCGGTGGTGAACAACTACTCTGCTCTCATGGCGTTGAGGTTCCTTACTGGATTTGTGGGATCGCCAGCCGTCGGGACCGGCCCTGCCTCGATACAGGACATCTATCCCTTTCACATTCTTCCTCTCGGCCTCACCGTGTGGATGATAGCCGCCTTTACCGCTCCGGCATTCTCACCCACCTTGTCAGCCTTCGCGGTCATGAATGAGGACTGGCACTGGTCGCTGTGGGTGATCGTCTGGATTACGGCACCAGCCCTCGTCTTGATGTGGCTGGCACTTCCTGAAACCTCGGCGCCAAAAATCTTGCTGCGAAGAGCACAAAGGCTGCGCAAATTGACCGGTCAGAAGAACTTCAAATCCCAGTCCGAGATCAGACAAGCCAATCTTGCAGTCGGATCAGTACTTCGTGACGCCCTTCTCAAACCGATCGAAATCTCCTGCTTAGACCCCGCCATTATGTTCGCTCACCTCTACATCATGTACATCTACGGCACGTACTACTCCTTCTTCGAGGCATTCCCAATCGTGTACGCCGGAAGCTACGGGTTCAATCTCGGAGAAGTGGGCCTATCGTTCATCCCCATCGCAGTCGGGACCTTCATCGGCGCTGGCATCTTCGTCTTATACATGGGGATGTACGTGAAGCCGGTGTATATGAAGAAGGGCCCTCAGCCGCAAGAGTTCAACCTCATAGCAGGACTTTACGGCTCGTTCGCGCTTCCTGTGGGGCTATTCATCTTCGCGTGGACGGCGAGAGCGAGCATCCACTGGATTGTGCCCATGATTGGAAACGCGATTTTCGCAGGTGGAGCTTTCTTGATCTTTATTGCGGTCTTTTTGTATTTGCCGATGTCTTATCCGCAATACGCAGCCAGGTACGTTCGTGAGCGAGATATACTCAATGCCCTTGTCGTTCCGCTCTCAGGGGAGCGCATGGCACTGTCATCCCCGAGACTTTTAGAGCGACCGAGCTCTGGATTGCAATTCAGATGGCTTGGACAGCTTGCGAGGAACGGGGATGACAACGGTTTAGATGTGAAGAGTGCTAACGTGTATGCAGTCTATTCGCGGCGAATGATCTCTTTCGCTCATGCTTCGCTGCCGGTGCGGTTATATTCGCTCACCCGATGTTTGTGAATCTAGGCATCGGGAAGGGCGTTTCTGTCCTGGGAGGCTTGGGTGTAGGGGGCGTTATCGGCATCTGGCTGCTGTGGTGTTTTGGCGCTGCTCTTCGCGCGAGGTCTCGATTTGCACTCTCCCAATAGGCATGGTCATACTGTTGTAGCTGTCGGTCAACGAGAGCCATGGAAGGGGATGGTATTCTGGGGATGATAGCGCAAATAGTAATCGAGTGACGTGAAGCTACGATCACGTGCGGTGGCAATCGGGAGCTCGGACCACCAGGCCCTGGCAATGACTATATGCGCCCTCGACATTCACTGTTGCTCTTTCCACTTCAAACCTCACTTTCCGCAGCATGAAGAAGCGGAACAAGCCGCTGTTGTCCTCCGCTTCTCTCCTCGACGACCTCTAAAACCTCCCTCACACCACCACCGCGCCACCCCATCGCTAGACCACAACCCTCACCGCCGCCCATGACGGCGACCACCACCCACTCGAAGCCGTGGGACCTCTCTCTTGTGCTCGACTTCGCGAACAGCCTCACCCCACCGTCACTCCTTGGCGACGACGCCATATTCACTTTCGACGAAGAGACCTTCAATCCCCGCGCCGCAAGAGTAGACAGCGCAGCAGCCAGCGACACCGATGGCGGAGACTTGGCCAAGCAGCCTGGGACGCTGGGAGATTTCGCCAAAGTGTGGCAATTCTTAGGCGCCCCGAGCATCGATCCAGACTCGACCAGATCGAGTGCATTTCAGACATCCTATGGCTCGCCCAAGCAGTACGGCTATGTTTCAGATGGTGCAGCGTACACACACACGAGCAAGAAATCACATACAAACGTTCAGCTATCAGATGGCGGCGACAACTCGTGCGAGGAGGCTAGCAGTCTTCCAAATGCTACGTCTCTGACAAAGAATCAGCGAAAGAAAGCAAGAAGAAAGCAGAGAAAGCTCCTCGACGCCCAAATGGTCAATAACGCACCCGTATCTGAATCTGCACCAGATCCAGCCAACAAGGGCAGCCCAGCAAGAGCAACACCAGCTTATGATGTCGCCCACACTGCTCCAGCTCCCAAGCGCAGCACAGCAGAGACCGACAAGCGTCCTAAACCCGCGACTGCCTCGACGGCAGAGCTGTTATTCGGACATGATTCACCAATGGGCCCACCAGCGACTGTCAAACAAGCAGTCAACGCGGTGACCCAAGCTCTTGCAGGCATCAAGCAGCAGAACGCCCCAGATACACCATCGCCAAAACCTCGCATGATTCCTCCTCAGCAGCAGTCAAGTCGACCCGCCGCAACGCTTTCCCAGCCATCGACGAAACCTACTCCAGCTGGCCAGGCTGGCCCACGCGGCCAATCTACTAACCTCAACTACACGCCAGCTCCTAACCTTCTTCCATCCAGCATCAGCCCCATGCCCAACAGAAACCGACCTGCCACAGCCACGCTGCCGCTCGCCAATGCCAAGTCGTCGCCGCCAAAAGATGTCATCAGCCCAATGAGCTATCGCACTGGAGAAGATCGCAATCTCTTCTTTTTGGTGAAATTGATTAATGACTTTCCTGAGGATCGCAGGTACTTGGTCAACCCAATGAACTTGACGACCCACAACGACAATCCAGCCGGTATCCATGTCTTCGTCGATGCCAGCAACATCTTCATCGGCTTCAACGATCAACTCAAATTCACACGCAACATTCCTCGAATGAGACACATGCAGCAAGCCGACATGTCTTTCGACTCTTTGGCGCTCCTCATGGAGAGGCGCCGCCCAATCGCCAAGCGAGCCCTGGTTGGCTCGAAGCCATACGTTTCAGCATTCGACAAGGCGAAAGCCGTTGGTTACGAATGCTCCATCTTGGACAAGGTTTACAAGGCCCGCGAACTCACAGATCGCCAAATATACTTCAAGGAACTCGAGCGCCGCACGTATGGTCGGTCCACGAAAGTGGCCCCTCCGTCCAGTGCGGTCGTCGTTAGCGCCGGTTCTCCAGCCTCGAAAGTGGTTATTGGGAACGGAAGTGGTAGTGGCTCGGAAACGAACACGCCGCAATACGCTAAGCATGCTTGGGTTGAGCAAGGTGTTGATGAGGTCTTGCACTTGAAGATGATGGAGTCTATCGTTGACTTTGACGAACCTTCTACGATGGTGTTGGCGACTGGAGATGCTGCTCAAGCGGAGTACAGCGCAGGATTCCTGAAGATGGCACAACGAGCTTTGCAGAAGGGTTGGAATGTGGAACTTGTCACTTGGAGTAAAGGAATCAACGGCCAGTACAAGGAATTGGCGCGCTATTGGGGCGAGAAATTCAAGATCATCTGGTTGGATGACTATGCGGAGGAGCTGCTTGACATGTGATTGGGGAGCAGCTGGCATGGTACTTGCATGAGAGTGCAGGGACGACTGTTGATGATGATGGATGATTGATTGAAAAACCGGGCAGGACAGGCTGCATGGATGTCACATGGATGTCACATGGATGAACGCATTGTGGCCTGCATGGCTGTTGGTCTAGCGGACTCTGAGAATGGGACTGCACATAGGCTTTCATAGCGCAGTGGCCTAGATGCGATGCAAGCTTGACATCAAGGAATGCAGCGAATGAATGAAAACACTTTACGGATGCCCCTTCTCCCCCAATCTTTGATCCTTTCTCCGCGAGCCCTTCATTGCGAGAGATATGAAACTAATTTACCACAAGAAACCTTCTCCCAACCCAAGGAAAACAACCCTCAAGGAAATCCGGAAACAAACGAAAATAGAAAACAAGACCGCTTCACTCGCCCCCTTTACGCCCCACTCACTTCTTTCTTCCAGACTTCTTAGGCGAGGGCGTTTTCCCCTTCTTCGTCGCCGTCTTCTTCTCCTGCGCCTGTGCTATGGTAGATTTCGCCGGTGACCGAACGGGCGCCCTTCGTCCTGCCCTTCTTTTCGGCGGAGAAGATGTCTTCGCCTTTCCCTTCCCCTTCTTCTCCTCCCTCGCCTCCTTCTCCAACTCCAGCAGCGTCGCGAGACCTTCGTTGCGCTGGTCTCTGACCAGACGAACGAGATTTCTGCCACCGACGGCCATGGCGCGCGCGGTGATAGTTCCGGCGCTGAGGGTGGGCTCATCGTCGTCTTCGAATTCTTCCTGAAGGCCCTCGAGCAAAGGATCGAACCCATCCTCATCATGATCGCCGGCGTCGATGAAACCTTCCGCAACGTCAGATTTGTTGCGCGGCTTCCCCCTCGGGCCATACATCGCCAACTCAATGGCCCTGATATCCGCGCGTGCCTGTCCGGGGTCGGTGTCGAGCAAACGCTCCAGCGCCACACCGCCGAACTCCCAGGCATCGCAGTGGAGGTTCGTTTTGTGGCGGGGTTCGTTGCGGAGGTCTTTGCCGCTGACGACGACGTTGTGCTGTTTTTCGAGGGCGCGTGGGCGGGCGAAGCCGACGTTTTTGGCGCTGTAGAGTTGGCGGATCAGCTCGACGCCGCCGAGGGGGTAGGCGCGGGCGTTGAGTAAGATGGGGAAGCGCCCGTCGTCGTCGCCTTCTTTCCAGGGGGTGTCGTTGTCGCTGGTGGAGGGGGTGCTGGTTGGGTAGTAGACGCCGGGCTGTCGCTTGGACTTGCTGTTGGTCGTCGTGGATTTGACTGTGGAGAGAGGTCTGACGGGTCCGGTGGGATGGTAAACGCCATGCCCGCTGAAGCTGGTCGTGCGCTGCTTGCCGCCTCGCCTGGCGGACTGGGTTGGCCAGCCACCTGAGGGATTGAAGCCTCTGCTGTAGGCGTGGGGGCGGTCGTCGAGGCCGAGTGAGATGTTGTTGGCTTGCGACGGAGGCTCATGCCCAATGTACTCCATTTCCCCCATCCTTTCTCTCAGATAGGAGGGCATCTGTACCGGTTCCGCGTAGCCTATGGTCCTCATCGGCGAGGTAGACTGGGCTGCTTGAGCGAGGGCAGTGGATTGCCTGGGATACATGTAGGTTCTGGATGCGGTGGTCGGCTTCTTCTTAGGCGCGGGTTTCTTTGCGATGGTCTTCTTGGTCGTCTTCTTCGTAGCGGCAGGTTTCTTCTTCGTGGCAGTAGCTTTCTTAGGTGCAGCTTTAGTCGTCGCGGCCTTCTTCTTTGGGGCCGCCTTACTCGTCGTAGCCTTCTTCGGAGCGGCAGCCTTCTTTGGTGCAGCTTTCTTCTTCGCAGCAGCAGCGGTACTCTTCGCCTTCGGCTTAGCAGCAGCACCCGTCTTCCTAGCCGTCGTCTTCTTCACCCCGGCATCAGTATACTTTTTCCCGAGTTCCTCTCGCTGTTTCATGACTTCGAGCCGTCGGATACGCGTGCTCTTGGGACGGGTGGGTTCGGCCTCGGGTTTGAGTTTTGCCATTGTTGGTGATGAGCCTCAATAAGGGCCGAAGAGGATGGCGTCTGGATGAGCGGGAGGTCAGCGATGATGTTCGTAGGCGAAATGTGCAGGGAGGGACGTACATGTCTGTTGGATACTTCAAAAGGCTCCTCGACCCAAGCACGAGACTCGAAAGAGTAGACACAACAGAAATAAACGTGACAAGAAGAAACAAAAACAAACGCACGTACAAATAGCGCGTTCCATACAACCTATACCCCATCCCAACTCCCCCAATCACTGATGTTTACCCGATTGTTATGAGTTCATCAAACCCCCAAGAATGCACATGGCTTGCTGCTCGCTCACCCAGACTCCACATTCCCCACACACACAAAATTCCTCATTCCCTTTCATTTCATATCGAAAACTTTTACCCTACCAGAGCGCCACGATCGCCGAATTCGCATCCGAAATGCCTCTCTAGTGCACGCCGTTGACCAGATGTGCCATGCGTTCGTTCATGAAGGCGAAGAAGCTGACGGGCGAGGCCGAGATGCCCATGGTGTAGATGAAGCGGCTGGCGAGGAAGCTGCCGAAGATGGCGCGGAGGTAGTTCTCTGGGACCTGTTGTCATGTAATATTAGCATTGTGGTTGAATGACGGGCATGATGCATGAACTCACCCGCTCGAGGATCTTCTCCAGACCGATCTTCTGCAAGAGCAGGTTCGGTAGTGCGTCGTTGAGAACACTCCTCCGCAGAGGGATGTTATCCCACAGCTCCGTTCCCTGCAGTTCCTCGTCCATCTTCGTGATGGCAGTGCTGAGCTGATCACTCAGAATACTCCTCGCCACACCAGTCTGTTCGTGCTCGCGCCAGATAGCCTCGAACTCCAGACGTGCGTTTTCTTGGATGACCTTCTGCACTTGACGCACGTAGTCCTGGTAGAATTGGGGCACGCTGCCATCCGCACCAACACACATGTTCTCGATGAAGCTCTGGTCATCGAACGACAGCGATGCGAGTACTTCCAGAGACGAGCTGGTGACACCTCCCTTGTTTGCCGAAGCATCCTTGAAGACAATGCAGCCGACCTTCTCGAGACGCAACTTAGCCTCTTGAGTGATGAAGAGGTTGGCACCTTCGACGATATAGGGGATGGTTGGCTTGCCCTTGGAAATAAGCTTGCCTGCGCTGGTGAAGTCGATCGACTCGGGGCGGCCACCACAAGGCACGAAGACGTCGTAATTCTCAGCATCGCGGAGATGGAAGGTGTTGCGGAAGGTTGTGCCGTTGTTGATGGTCTCTCCGGATGGCAGTTTGACGTTGTTTTCCTCGACAAGCACACGGTAGCCATCCTTTGACAATTTGGAGATGTCGAAGTTGACGATCATCTTACGCTCCTTGGCCAAGCGCAACAGCTCCGAACGATCAAGACCGTTGGGGTCGACAAGCACACCAGAGCCATCGACAATCGAGACGTACTTCTCGTTGCCGAGCAGAATCTCGTTTGAGCCGAGATCTCCGTCTGGGCCACCAGTCTGCAACTTGCGCACTTGAGTCTCGTCCAAGTTGAGCTTCCTGTAGATGCCTTTGACGTATTCGCGAACGGACAGCGTCGTCATACCGTACGAATCGTGAGGGATACCTCCCAACTTGGGCGACTTGCCAGTGAAGAACGACTTCCACCAGGGTGCCCCTCGAACTTTTGCGTGTTCTGTTGCCCAGTTGACGAGGTCTGCAGTGTTCTCATCAGGACCCATGAAGATGATCTCTTCCTTGCCGTGGAGGTCGACAATGGGGTCCTTGATACCAGGGCTGGTAGGTGGAAGAAGCAGGTCCATGATACTGTCGATGTACTTCTCAAAGGCCACCGCTACTTTGTCCTGATGCTGAATGTCGAGCAAAACAACACCCTTGCTACCACCCTCAGGGATGTCCTTGTTCTTGCGTTGTTGAGTGTTCGCCAGGTTGTAGTTCTCGTCGAACAGAGATCGTGCGTTGATGGCATACGCCTCCTTGCTCCTAGACTTCACAATGCGAATGCCACCACGCGCGATGTCTCGGAAACGAAGATGGAATCCTCTGAACTCCGAGCTGATGACCAGGAACATGCCATACAGAGGCTGTGGATATTCCTCTGGCGGCAGGAAAGATGGGTTCATGCGGAAGCTGAGGGCGACCTTGGTCGGGGTGTAGAAGTTGGTCTTGAGGACTGCACTGTTGAACACGCGGAAGGCCGTCATGACCATTTCGTGGTGCTCGTTGATGGCGGTCTTCGAGATCATGTCCTTCAGCTCATCGTCGCTAAGCACTCGGTCGACCTTCATTCGCAGGTACGAGAGTGTGGGCAAGAAGTCGTCCTGCTCACCGCGGGTCTGAACGTAGTGGGTGCTTGCGAACGCCAAATACAATGATCGAATGAGGTCTGGGTATTGGTTGATGATCTCGAGAATGTAGTCGGCCGTGAACGTCTCTGTACGCAGCCTCTTCTTGAGCTTGGTGAGAAGCTCAGCATGTACGCTATTGCTCGTATCCAGCACAGATCGAAGCGTGTTGTACTCGTTTCCAAGTCTGTTCAGGAAGTGCTGGACAAAGACCCAGACGCAGTGAGCGTAGATCGACTCTTGTAGCGAGAGTCTGCCACTGGTGAAATGTGGCTGGAACTTGTTCTGTGGGATACAGTAAAGCAGCGAGATCTCCTTCATGACCTGGTGAATGCTGGCCTCGATCGGTGGGTGCTTGTTCGCGACGTTCGGCGAGGGTCGAAGGTAGATCGACATGATCGTGATGCTGTTGCTGAACTGCTCGACGTACTTCCTCGACGAGGTCAGTCCGTAGTAGTGGTACAAGTCACTCAGCGCTGCGAACAAGCCCAGAGCAGAGCCTTGCTTGAACCCAACGACCAGTCTCTTCTCGCGAGAGCCTTCGACATCGTACATGTCAATCACTGGACCTGTTCGTTGCACGACCGCATCCATCACGCTCTGATAGATTTCGCGAGTGTTGCTGGTCGTCTTTTGTAGAAATCGCTCATCTCCCAGCTCTTCTACCTTTGTCTCGTCTGGCCGAGGGCTCTTGTTCTTGAAGGAGGACTGGTAGACGAAGTAGCATCGAAGCGACTGGTCGTCACCGCCTGGGATCTTGCTAGGTGATCTGAAGGACTCCACGCGGTAGCTGCTGAGGCCTCTGCTACCGTCCAGGTACTTCTGCTCAAGCCTCTGCTCGAAACCAGAGCCATTGTGCACACTGATGCCAGGTACACTGGTGTCAATGTACACCGCATGGTCGGTGGCCTCTTTGTCGAGTCTGATATCGAGCTTCTTGTCGTCCCTCGCATACGCCGCAACCTTGGCAGCATACAGCGAGTGGATATGGCTGACAATGGCGTCCACGGCCTCTGTACTGAAGTACATGTCGTCAATGCCGAGCTCGTTGTAAAACCACTTGGTCTCGGGCTCGACCAGATCACCCGGAATGAAGCCCTTCTCTTCTACAGCATCCATGACCTCCTCCATCTGCTGCACCTTGCCTTCGAACTTGGGCGCGACATAGCCGGAGCCCTTCTCGTGAAGCACATGCGGACGTTGAGGTATCGCTCCAGGAACGCTCAGATGAGTGGGTTGCGGTGAAGGCTGTCGTCCTGGCGTTCTTGCGACAGTGTCCAGGAGCTTGTTCTTGGGCACGTCGCCATTGGCGGTGCCGTTCGTCTGTTCTGCCATACTGCCAGGATCTTGCGATTGTGTGGTATGCGAAGGAGTGGCGGTGGTGGGGTTCAAGAGGATTGAAAAGCTGTGAGGTCTGTTAGAATGCCACCAAAGCGGAACAGCAGCAGCAACGAGCAGCAGCAACACGCTCAGCAACACGCGAACAACAAAGGCGCAGTACGACCTATTTTGGTCGCTCTTATCAGTGGCCAACTAGGGTCAGACGTCAGGCTCAGACACGAGCTGCTTCACCCGTCGCCGCCGTGCTCCTACTGCCGCCCTCAGGGACCAGCAGACACGAATCGCGGCGCTGCAGCAGAATTCGAGCCAGCGCGAGGCCGCAGAGGCTCAGCTTGCTTATGTGCCTCGTTCGGGGCGTTGAGACCTACCTGTGGTCCAATAGCCGCTGCCGAGCACTGTGATAAGCCTGGCTGGCGCTGTGGTTGGAGCGTGTCGACGATGTGGCCGTGACACTGGGAGTATAGTAGGAGGTGGGTGATAGGAAAAAGATGCCCCGCCTGGACGAGCAGCAAGGGAATATACCAGATTATAAGAAATCTCTCACGCAATCCAGTCGAGGAACGACGGAGTCTTATTCAAATCACGCAATGCGCGTTCAAGACACCTTTCATGCACTTCTCAAGTAAAAATTTGGTAAAAACCACGCAGGGCATCGCGGTTTTCACCGGCATAGCACAGAGCTGTCCTCGAACGCATGTACCTGTTCCTGACGCTAATGCATCGCCACGAGGACCCGTCGATCTTGCGGAGAGAGGACGGACGAAGAGGGGGCTGGATATTTCTGGGGGTGGCGTCTGTTCATGTGATGGGCACAGTCCCGTGGTACGCCAGTGCTCGCGCTGACAACTCGTCCTCGTGCGCTTTGCAAGTCTCATTACTGTGCACTTGGTACAGATGTGTTGCGTACTCGAGATTATGAACATTGCGGTACTTTCTTACTGCTCATGCATCCTTTGGAACGCCGCCGATGCGAATCCCTGTCACCAGAGCATCACGAGAGTTGAAAACGGCGGGATAGTCCGGACTGGCGTCGGTATAGCTTGCCGATGGGATAGTGTTAGTGGAGAAATGCTTGCGAAAGAGGTCGTGGTGCGTATGCTCGTATGATACTCGTGATCTGTTCACATTACTCGTAGACTATCCAGCTGTACTTTTCTCGGCCTCTCCTGCCGATTCCGTGCAGTTCCCATTTTGTCCCTGTACACCACATGACGCTGCTGTCCCAAGAAGATCCAAAACGCCCGTCTAATGCTTTGTCCCGTCGCTATGCCAGAATCATTCCCATCGCTGATGCAACAAACAATGTACAGAACGCTGCAAGCCAAGGGACAAGGGCCCTGGAATCTGACGTGCGTGTGACTTGGGCCGTTATGAGGCTAGATGCGTCGGCTGTCGCCAGCAGCAGCTCTGACGACTCGGTGGTCGACGCCACCCTCTCCATTGCCAGGGCTTCGCCAGCCGCAAGATTGCGCATTGGTGGATTCGTCGCCATGCAGTTGGAAGGATACACCGTCGTTGGTAGGCCTTTGTCATCCCATCCAGTAGATACTCCGTCTTCAATCGTGGCTGTCGTCAGGAAACCTTTCTGATCGTATGAGGTGACGATCTTATATCCTGAACCGGAGCAAGATGCCGCAGGTGACGGCGCTTGCGACAGCGTAGACGAAACGGGTTGGGACGTTGACTGTGAACAATGTTAGCATGTTGTCTCGAGATTGCGGTTCACACTGGGAGGATCTTACTCACTGGGGCCGCCGACGGAGGGACAACCTTTCCGGAGCCACTGACGGTCCACCCTGAGGGCAGGCCGTACAGAGAGGTGTACGAAACGGTTGCTGTGTTGGTCCTGTGGGTGCCGTCCCACGCTTCATTTCCGCTCGAGGTCGAAGTGATGGCTGGCGCTGATGCAACAGTGACGCTGCCTCCAGAATTGCCATTGACTTTGCCTCCATCCGACTCGATGCTCTCCCAACTGCCGCTCTGGTCGCCATAGCTGTACGACTTGCCCGTGGAGTAGTCGACGACAGATACGGAGCTGACATACATGGTGAAAGGACCGGCGGCGTAGTTGACAGCACCACCAGCCCAGTCGATAGTGCCTTGCGAATTTGCAGGATCGCCACCGGCCCACGAGCCGAGTTTGAGTTGCATCGGGGTCTGCGGGAATTGCCCATTGGCTTCACCAGCGTTCAACACTCGTTTGACGTCGCCATCGATTGACCAGACGATTTGGTTTTCGGTCCACTCAATGTCGTACGTGTGGAATTCGCCTTGGGTGTTTTCGACGGTGTGCACCGCCGCGCGATCGTATGTCGTTGTTTGGCCTTTGCCAAAGTAATTGCTCTGGACTTGATCGCCTTTTCCTCCTAGCCATTCCCAATCGATCTCGTCCAAGTCGTCCGATTGCAGCACCACGGAGCTGACTATGCCCGTGCCTGGTGCTGCCTTGAGGGTGACTGAGAGCTTTCCGAACATAATGTACCATTTCGACGTCAATGTCGGCGCTTCACCAGAGCCTGCCACTGTAAACCCTGCTCCTGCCGAGTCGTAGGTGGGATTCCCTTGCGCGGTGAACTGGTCAGAGGCTCCGTCGGTGAACTTGATTGTTAATGACGTGCCCAGTGCTGGATCTGCTGGACAGCCGGATTGTGATGTGGGATTGCAGGTCGAGTATGTTTGTGCGGTTGATGGAGATGTGTAAAGAAGTCCTGCAATGGTAGCGAGAGCAGCCAGGCGCATCGGCGAGCGCATGGCTAGGATGTTCTTGAGCGTAAGCATGGTAGAATGAGTGTCGAGATAGCGGATTGTGGTGGGTGTTTGCTATCAGACTGCTGGCTTCTGTGAGACACAGCACTGGTGCGAGGATGGGGAAGAGAAAGGACGAAGGAGAGAGGCAGGTCTGGTGTACTTATTTGACAGCTGGTTTCCCTGTCTTCCAGCCATCTATCGAACGCGTCGTCATCTGTATTTTACGAAGCGTGAGCTGGTTCCCGGCCACACTTACCCAGAGCTTCCTGGTAGAACGCAGCGTGAGTGGTTGGATGCAGCTGTGCAAGAAGTGTGGTGGTTGGGTCGCCCGCGCAAAAGAGGAGGGTGGGATGGCGCTCGCTTAGCTTCCCGCTTTGAGGTGTCGTTGCCGCGGCAACGCTTGCCGATCCCGAAAAACATCACTAGGATCCTCTATCAATCCGAAGCCGCGTTTCTCGATGACACGACACTGCACTACTAACCACCAGCACGATCCACAACCATGGCCGAGTCGCAGGATCTCATCGACTTCAACGTCATCGAGGGACAGAAGGAGAACATCCAGGCTTTGCCCAGCGGTCGGTCGGCCAAGGCACTCGCACAGATTTACTCACCACCTCTGCTCGGAGCCAACCCGTCCCCGTCGAACCTCAGCGAAGCCCAGCTGAAGGCGCGAACCGATTTTGAAAAAGAATTGGCGAATATTGACGAAGCTGACGACCCTCTCGACGTTTACGATCGCTACGTGAAATGGACTCTGGACGCATTCCCGTCCGCACAAGCGACACCGCAGTCACAACTACTACCCCTCCTCGAACGCGCGACCAAGGCATTCCAATCATCCAAACACTACAAAAACGACCCGCGATATCTCAAGCTGTGGCTGCATTTCATTCGCCTCTTCTCAGATGCGCCGCGTGAGGCGTTCGTGTTCCTGGCGCGACACGACATCGGCGAAACTCTCGCGTTGTACTACGAGGAGTTCGCAGCTTGGTTGGAAAATGCTGGCAGATGGAATCAGGCAGAGGAGATATACAAGATGGGAATAGAGAAGGAGGCACGGCCTACAGAGCGATTGATGCGCAAGTTTGGAGAGTTCGAGCAGAGGAAAGATGCACGACCAGCAGATTCCACTGAACCATCGAGTCCTGCTCTGCCAGCCGTGCGGCCTGCGTTGGCCGCCAAGCTGGATCCATTTGCTTCGGCTTCGCCATCTCCATCACAACCCCAAAGCCAGGGCAGTTACTCGAAGAAACCTAAAGTCTCAAAGATGGCCATCTTTTCAGATGACGAGGCTCCTGCTAGGCCTGCATCTGGCAGCGGGTCCCAGGGCTGGGACAACATTGGATCGCTGGCGAACCGCAAGAAGGAAAACACGATGGAACCGAGGCCCATGGCTGGCGAGAAGCTGAAGGCTGGCAAGACCAACGGTGGCATGCAGAAGATGATGATTTTCAAGGACCAGGTAAGCTCGTCCCTCTCTCCTCCAGCTGAATCACATGTTTACGAATTCAGGACTAAGTTTCGATCGTGTATGCAGTCTTCCTCTCGACGTCAAATTCCAAAACATCTTTCTCGTCAGAAATCCAGTAGTAAACACGCGGACCAAGGTACATTCAATGAGAAGACTGGTAGGATGGAGTGGGTGTTTGTCAATCTCGAAGCTGTCTACCCTGAAGCTGGGAATCTGTCAGTCGAATACTCCTTCGAAGAGCTCAGAGCCAGGCATCGAGGCTTGCTCAATCGTGACTTCAAGAAGGAGAAGGCTGCAAAGCGTGCACAGAGTTCGAGGAACGACGCTTTCGAGCTTGATCTGGGTAGAGGGTCTCAAACTGACGAACAGCCGCGTCGGCCGCAAGAACAAGACCAATCGAAACCACAAAAGAAGACCAAGGAACGAGGCTTCAAGATCTTCGAGGACATTCCAGAGGACGAAGCCAAGCATGTGACTTCGCAGAATCAAGATCAAGTCCTGGTAGAGACATTCTCGAAGAGCTTGGCCTTGAATGACGAGAATGATGAGAACACGCCACCCTCGAAGCAAGAAGTTGACTTGGCCAAGAAAGCGAGACGAGAAGAACGAGCCAACCGCACGCGCAAGATCAAAGTCATGGACGTCAAGCATATCAAAAACGAGACACAAACAATCAAGCTGAACATGGATTCGCCTCAGAAGAAAGTGAAGCGCAAGAAGTCGATAGGACCCACCGAGCCTACCATGACTATCAACACCAAAGAGGCGATGGACGAAATTTACGGCATCTTCAGTCAACCACTACCTTCACAAGCCGAGCAGCAAGATGAGGAAGAAGACGAAGAAAGTGAGAGCGACGATGACGACGACTATACAACCGGAGACGAGAGCACAGCAACTGGCAAGCTGTCGGCAGCGGCCAGCGAGTATGGCGACGAGACTCGGAACGAGCTTCTGGGGAGTCGAAAGTCAGTCGATGAGGACCGCACCGATGTTAGCGGGTGGTCGGACTTCACTTCCAGTAAACACATTCCAAAAGACGACAACACAGAGAGCGTCACAGAATCTGCCCAGACAACCACGCAAGATGTATACGAAGACCGCACGGAACCAGAACATCTGATCACACTGATTGACGAAGACGAACCTCGCACGCAATATGTCCCTATGCCACCGGAAGAATACGATGCTCCTGTTGCACAATTCCGTGACATGTCAGTCATACCGAACCACCGCCTGCCCTTCATGACTCCAATTGTAGAGCAAACGGAATCATCGCTGGGCTTGGCTACGGCGCGAACAGACAAGGACTACTTCGTAGGGACGAAGACCCCAAGCAGAAAGACCGGTACGGAAGAGCCGATAGGTGACGATGATGAAGAGCCTTGTTCAAGTCCCTTTCATGATGAGCTCGCTGACATGGCGGAAGACAAACGTAGAGTTCTGCAGCCGATTCGTACGAAGAGCACCAAGGGTGCCATCACCCTTGGCCAAGGTACGGCGAAGGCGCAGACCGCGAAGAAAGATGAGCCAACGGTTGTGGAGACCGTACAAAAAGGACCGATCATCACAGACACACAGTGCAACCCCATGGATCCCTTCGTACGGCAGACTATTCTCGCCAAGATGAAACCACCAATCGCCTCCTTCGATGGTTATCATGAGGACTTGGAGACAAGCTCTGGTCGCACTTCAGAGATCAAGAAGTACGTGCGTGCGCTGTCAAAGAACAGCAGAAGCAGCACAAACGTCGATAAGACTGCACACGCCCTACCGCCACCTCCCATATTGGACCTGCCGGGAGCTCAAGGCACGTACATCGTTAAACGAGAACTTGGAGCCGGTACCTTCGCTCCGGTCTACCTCGTCGAGAACAGCGCCGCAGCGGCCATGGAGGACGACGACGCCTCAGACGAGAATGTCATTCGATCCAGGGTCGGAAAGGCCTCTTATCGCAAACCTCTAGAGGCTGTGAAGATGGAGGAGCCTACCAGCACTTGGGAGTTTTACATGCTGAGACAATCCCATCGTCGGCTAGGAGTCAGCCGAGCAGCCGAATCAATCGTTCGGGCGCATGAGATGCACCTCTTCCGTGACGAATGCTTCCTTGTGGAAGAGTTCCGCGACCAAGGCACGTTGCTGGATCTCGTCAACATCGCACGACTCGAAAGCGGCAGTGGAGGTGGCATGGATGAAACGCTGGCCATGTGGTTCACCATCGAGATGCTTCGGGTGGTAGAAGCGATGCACTCAAGACAGCTGATCCACGGAGACCTCAAAGGCGACAACGTCCTCGTCCGCTTCGACGACCCCGGCATGGAGACTGACTGGTCACCCACATACTTCCCCAGCGGTGCGCACGGCTGGTCCAGCAAAGGCGTCTGCCTGATCGACTTCGGCCGCGGCATCGACATGAAGCACTTCGTCCCCAACGTAGCCTTCATTGCCGACTGGAAGACCTCCGAAGCCGACTGCGCCGAGATGTGCGAACTCCGTCCCTGGACCTATCAGATCGACTACCACGGCCTCGCGGGCATCATCCACAGCCTGCTCTTCGGCAAGTACATGGAGACCGTCGGCGAGAAAGGCACCGCCACATTAGGCCAAGGCGCGAGCAAAACCTACCGTATCCGCGAGAACTTCAAGCGATACTGGCAGACGGAGATCTGGAGTGAGGTGTTCCATCTCTTGTTGAATCCTTTGGCGCATGTGGAGGCCGAGGAGGGCAGGAAGATGCCGGTTGTAAAAGGGATGAGGGGCGTGAGGGAGAGGATGGAGGGGTGGTTGGAGGAGAATTGTGAGAGGGGCGTGGGGTTGAAGGGGATGATTTCGAAGATGGAGGCGGCTGTGAGGGATAGGAGGAGGAAGGGGGCGAAGGGGCTGTCGCAGTCGCAGTGAAGAGGAGGTATGTGTTTGTTTGGATGGAAGGCGTTTTGGGAGGGAGAGGTTTCTGTACAGTCGAATGTCGTATTTCTTACATGGCGAGTGAAGAATACATTCCAGACGTCTGCACTCCTGCTACGCTCTAATCTTCTCTCCAAAACTTTCAGGTATCAATGGGCGGCTCCAAAGCAAATCCCGCAGTTTGCAACTGCTGAGAATTGTGACCTCAGCCTCGACTGCTCTTCGCCTACCACGTGCCCCCGTCGTTCCGCTCAAATGGACCGCATAGACATCGCCAGTCCTCCCTCCAATTCCTACAGCACCCAATTCTTCAATCGCACCCTGTATTGGTTAGACAAATTGCAAGTAATGGGCATGGTTTCACGTCGACGCGAATCATTCAGTCAAAGCAACAGACTTCGCTCTAGACCCAAATAGGTAAGGACGTCTACCGTAGCGCCCGAGTTGTGGAATCATGCCTCCCATTCGGGTTTCGCCTCACAGAGAAATCCTGTGCCTTTCTGATTAGGCTGGTGAGAGGGTTTCTTGCTTTGTATACTTTGCTGCATGACAAACTTTATACAGAGTCTCTTAAAGCCAACTTTTTCATTCTAGCAAAGTTGAGCGTACCCAGCCCAGTGACCGGATCCCAACCAGCAGTTGCATTAAAGCTCGCAAAAGGGATCACAGCTCCTTCCGTCCCCGGCACATTTGTCTGTACATTGTATCCGAGACATCCCAGGGAGCCACCGCTCGTGATATCTGTCAGCGCATCGACTACATCTCTGCTGTACAGCCAAGGGTTCAAGAAGCCCATGGCTGGTCTGTTGGCTCGGAAGCGAGCATCGTTCAACAGAGCAATGATGCCGGCTACAATCGGCGAGGACGCCGACGTGCCGCCGTTGGGGTATGCGGTGCCTCTGACTATGGTCACATAGCTATTGCACAGTCAGTCATCTCTTCAAAGATTTCCAATTTTCTGTTCATTGCAGCTTACTCTGGATAGAAGCTGTGAGCAGCAACGTCCGGAAAGCCTCGGCCAGAAAAATTGACGTAATCATTCTCGGTGTAATACTCCTTCGCATGTTGATCGATTTGATTGTTCAAATAACTGTCGACAGCCTCTCGCTGGTACCAGGCGACCGGAAAGAGATTGGAAAATCCACCAGCACTGAAGTTCCATGCTACCTCGGGCCCGACGGATTGCGTGCCTCCGACGGATGTGATATACGGACAAGAGCTCGGGAACATTGGCGTAAACTCAGGAGTACCCTCTTTGAGGTTGTCGCCGTCGTTCGCGCGACAGATTTCGCCTACGCCACCATCGCCACTGGATCCCAGAATGGTCCGGCCACGAAGCCCCAACATGCCTATCTGGGCGCAGACACGACGAGCATAGCGCTCTGGAACCGTGTTTTCATCGTCTGCATAACTGTTGGTTATCACCCACGGAACTTTGTCTTCGGGCTGGGCCAGAAGATACTCGTAGAACTCCAGATATGGTTCGTTCTGATTGTACGACTGATTTGGTTCCATCAGATTCGGAACGAAAGGCGCAATACCTCCGGTGATATAGGAATAGACCGGCAGTCCGGAGGCAATAGAGACTATGTTCTGGACATCCAAATTTGCCTCGCCGTCCGTCTCTGAAGCTGGGTCTTGATTGTCGACTCCGCCATTGATGAGTGCGAGGACAGTGAAGTTTTGCCTCGGGAGATTGAACATCTGTTCGAACTGGGCAAGGTCCGAGTAACTTGCAGATTGATTCAAGAAGTTACCAGAGGCGATGTTGCTGCCGTACTTGGGATCGGGGTTGTAGTCTTTGGTGTTGTACAGCTCCTGTAGGCATTTGGGGCTGAGAACATCGAAACTTTCGCTCTTATTTGCCGGTAAAGGGATCGAAATTGTGGTCTCGCAGGACTGGTTGCATGGCGTTCCGGGGTTCGCAAGATCTTGGAGCAGCATTTGGTCTGCGGCTGGGGGTGTGACTTGTTTTTTGCCCAACCTGCCAATATATATTGTTGGGGATATAAAGTCGATGTGGCTAGCAAGATCATCAGGAACGGAGTATGCATCAGTTCTCAACTGCATGAGCTCTCCGTTCGTGTAAAACTTGAAATCAGTGTCGAGCATGGTCTTCGCGTTCGCTACAGTTGCGGTAAAACGCACACGATTGCCATCATGATTTATGTTCGTGGCGCCTGATTTTTGCAACCAGAGCTTCACTTTCTCTGCTGATTCGGGGGCTAGTGCAAACTCGCGGTGTAGTTCTTCTACACTAAAGAATTTGCCATACTGTGGACTTGTTGGAGAAGACACGGCTCCAAGCTTCGATTCTAGTTGATCCAGATTTTGATATGATCGGATGTGGATGTCAGCACAAATTGAATGCGATATAAAGATCCCACACTCACAAGTATATCTGCAGATTTAAAGGGTAGTCATCAAAAACAAAGTGGGATGAGTCTCTCCACCCGAGCGGCAATGTGGCTCGTTCCTCGTGGACGGCACCGGCAACGCAAGAAGATAGAAACATGAGAACGAAGCCGTTTAACAGCATCGTATTCGGGGAACTCGTGAGTTGAATACAAACAAAAACTTTCGTGAGTTGAATGTGGGACCGAGGAACGGGCGTTGTGGCGAAGTGATGCGAATATGCTATGACGAGCTCTGTGTAAGATGGAAAGTACTTCTTGACGAATGATATTTAAACTCAGCCGTGTCTTGATGTACACTACCGTGCTGCCAATACCCTCGTGCGGAATCGAGATTGTTACGACTCGCCTGGCACGACTATGAAGCAACCATGAAAGGAAGGTATAACGTCATGAAGATGCATGACATGTGCGGAAATGATGGGTACATGGCTGCACGGTTACCATCCGTACAATGACCTTCTAAAACAGTCCAGGCTCATTGGTATGCAATAGGTGAAGCTAGGATCCAACAAGGACGATCCCGAAGCTATAAGGCTCAGCCTCAGGGCTAATGCGCTTTCCTTATACCTCCGACTCACATTTCTTATCGTGACTAAACTGCAAAGTTCGTGCACTCCACTAGTCCACAAGATGATCAATCAACACATCGCCTTAGGAAGGAAAAAGTCAACTGACTTGCCTTTTGCAGTGAAGTATCGGACATGCACCGAATGCAACGTCGGTTTCATTGGGAAAGAGACGAAAACTGGAGGGCTCGGATTGACCATTGGAGTTCATGTGATGAAGCTTAACCTCCACTCCCTGGCTTCATTCAGGATGGAGCCTGCAGAATTTATCACGAGCTTGACACGTATCCATAGCAGGAGAGCGACTTCATCGAGGAAGACGAGGGGTGGAAGGCTCGGACTAACGATTGGAGTTGATGTAATGAAGATTGACTTCCGCTTCCTGACTTTTCTCAGGTCGGAGGCTGCAGGAGGCCATGTCAAACTTGAAACGTGTTCATAGCAGTCCAATCCATTGGTTTACAACTACGATCCCAACGTCAGACCTTTCGATCATGGAGACGTAGGAGTACGGAAAAGCCAGGCATACTATGCCGATCAAATCAAACGTACGAGATATATAAGTGCCAAGCTCGCTCAACTACAACATTGCAAGAACCATCACACAAGCCTACTCCAGCAGCATTTTCAATCAAACCAATCTACGAGATTCATCGTCAAAATGTAACTTCTCTCCCCACTTCCTTCTTGCTGGCAAGACTCTGCTAACCACAAGTCATTATCAGGCAATTCCAGACTCTTACCGCTCTCCTCTTTACCGCCGTGGTTACTGCGGGTGTTGTCCCATCTGAGCTGATCGGCAACCACACCGACGTAAGCAGGACACAGACATCACGATCAACGTCAGCATGCTAATCGAAATCAGATCGAACAATGCCGTTCTTCCGGACAGTACTGTGACGGCGCCGCTTTCAGGTGCTGCGCCGGCGTCTACTGCTGCGGTAATGGTGCCACTGGTATCTGCGCAAACGCCGGCTCGGAGCCAGCCAGCGCGGTTTGCTTCTAGATGGAGCAAAGGAAGTGTCAACACTGTCGATGCGGCGAGAGGTTGTTGGGGCTCAGGGGTTGGTTTGTGGAGACGCATATAGAGATTTGTTGTCTTGAGACTGCTCACTCAGTCTTTCGTTTAACATTGAGTAGAATCACAATAAACGTGAATTGGCCAGTTCAGTCTGCGGGCTCGAGATATTCATTGCAAGCGAAATGTAGGTAAGCTAGCTTTTAACCGCTTTGTAAGGAGCCGCAGCCTCGTTACAGCCTCAGGCAAAAGTTCTCAACTCTGTTCCCCAATGCTTTACGTCAAATGAGCAATTACAACGTTTTAAGTATACAATGTGTTGAGGGAAAACAGTATCGGACAGTGTGTTTCAGCATGCTCATATGTCGACTTCGCCTTTTTGTAACATCCAGCTGCGCAGGCAAATCCAAATTGCAGCCTCAAGAGGAATACTATACTTCGTCTTTGCTACAATGTGCAAAGTGAGTAGAGCTAAAATGTCTCAGCGTCTTGAGACATTCCATTCTAGACAGTATCCTCACGGAATCCTGAAAGTTCCCTCCAGCTTTGCAAAAGAAGTCACATCCTGTTGGTGGCCTGTTGAAATGCTTAGGACACTCCGGCCGGCCGACATTGTTGAAAAGAGGATTCACCAAAAGAGATTCGGAATCTCGGTCAATGCACCTTAAAACTTCACTTCATTTCTTACAGATCTCGTGCAAAATAGAACAATAGGCCGCGTAGATGCGGGAGCAGAGGCATAGTGCAACACTAGACAAGTCAAACTTGGTGGATTCGAGTTGGGCACTTAGAGCTAGTGCAACACCGTTCTTGGTTTCATTGGCAGCCTTAATTGCCCAGTGCGGGTCTTAGGCTTTAGATTTCCATCTTCGTAATTAGGGACCTGCCAAAGGCGTCAGCGCCCGGCCGACGCTAATGTGCGGCTACAGAGGTGTCGTAACAAGAGAAAGGGTACTTGCATCTGGTTGTTGTTATGCCAACAAAGAGTGAATTGTCAAAGACATAGTCTACTGGCACAACTCACAAAGTTAAAGATCAGTTCGGCGAGCGTACAAATCTAGTCTCCAGTCGATCTTGCAAAACGCCTTATGTAGATGGGCATCCTTCTCTCAGTAGCGTCCGGAGTGACGCGCTCATGGACTAAAGGGTCGATGTGCACACAAGGGCTAAGGCTCCGTGCCTCCCAACGGTCGCTACTCACTTCCCCCAATGTTCTCAAGGCAGAAGAGCTGCTAGGTTGGACTGTCCTGATTCTTGCCGTCGTCTCCTCATCGATTAACATCATGCGTCCAGTCCCGGCCTTCCAGTCGTTTCAGCGCCCTTTATCATTGCTACAACTCGCGTACAGTAGACATCTGAGAACCACTTTCTGTTTTCACTCCCTGGGTATCTCAAACTTTGACCCACTGCTACGCTTTCACGAACACTGTTGCGGAGCAAGCCCAAGCGAACGAGGACGTAATCGAAGTTACGCCGGGCTCTGCCGGAGGCGACGGTTCCTCGAATTCGGCATCGTGCCAGAGGGAAGACATATCCGACCAGGCTTCAGTTCTGGTTGCTGATGCTTGACCCTGACAATGTGTTGCGCCTTAGCTTCAAGTAAAAGATAGAGCCGCTGGACTTCATCAGCACACTGACCCTCCTTTCGACGCCGACCTGTCTCTTCCTGGGGCGGCATCACGTACTCGTGGCCTGGCGGCCGAGTGGTTGGATTGATGGTCACATCGGCTGTCCTTTCAGGTTCATTCGTCTATCAGCAAGTCCGCAAGGGTGACACAGCAAGTGTGTCTTTCCACATTCTCAAGCGGTGCACCGGTTTTGCCGGTTGTCTCTTCGCATCTTCCAAGATAGCGAAAGCAGCGATGGCGGACACTACCAGCTCACTCTCTACAAATCTTTTCCCAGCTGCAGTACTCTCAGAAGTGGCTATTTTGGTGGCTACTTTTGTGGGAGATGGTGTCGGGTCTGGCATGAGTGCCTCTGGTTACTACGCACCATTCATGATCTTCGCTTCAGCAGCCATGACCATCGCCGTTGATTTCCTTGTCCCTGCCCATTCACTCGAGGCTCCACATGAACTCCGCGCTAGCGATGCAGGCACCGAGTGTGTTTCACAAGCTCAGCCCCTGGACCCCGCTGCGTAGTAATAAGCTCCATACCATCGCAAGAGCTCTACCTTACTCAACTTCTCTACTGACAAAGCAGCTTGCAGCTTGCAGCACGACGACGATGAAGATTTGGACAGCACAACCCCACCGACGTCAAGACCAAGAAGCTCTCTGATCAGGCTCTGGACGCTCCGTTCAAAGATGAACAGCGAGCCACTTGGGTTGGGTTCGCCAACTTCTCCTCGTAGCTTAAATTTTCTTGCCCTCTACTGTGGATAGCCATTCAGCGACTCCATAGAACATTACTTGGACGTACAAAATCTCCCACAATGGCCGGCGTCATCAAAACCGTCGGCGTCATTGGGACCGGCACCATTGGCTCGTCCTGGACGGGTCTCTTTCTCTCAAAGGGACTCAAAGTCCTCGTATCCGACCCAGCTCCAGGAGCAGAGAAGTTGCTCACGGAACACCTCGAGAGGTTCTGGCCAGTGCTGGAAGAGATTGGACTGGCTCCGGGGGCTTCCCTCAAGAACTGTCAGTTTGTAGGAGCGAGTATGGAGAAACACCTTGGTGAAGTGGACTTCATCCAGGAGGTAATGAAGATCGATTCTTAGCGAAAGACTGCACCTACGATGCTGATTAGACGATTGTAGAACGCCCCAGAGAAACCAGAAATCAAGAACAAACTCATCGGCGAGATCGACGCCGGCGCTCGCCCTGAAGTCATCATCGCCTCATCCTCCTCTGGTATTCCCAGCTCCCAATTCATCTCCCAGTGCAAAAAGCATCCAGAACGTGTCCTCATCGGTCATCCCTTCAACCCGCCACATTTGATGCCTCTGGTCGAGGTCGTTCCCCATCCGGGCACTAGTAAGGAGGCGACCGACAAGGCGATCGAGATCTATGCTTCTCTTGGCAAGGCTCCAGTGCTTGTGAAGAAGGAGATCCCCGGCCATGCGGCGAATAGGTTGCAAGCAGCACTCATGCAAGAAGCGTACAGTCTTGTAGGAAACGATGTCCTGAGTGCCAAAGATCTGGGTAAGCTGTTTTTCATAACACTACACGTGCGTATAGAATCTAACACTCTGTGGCAGACGCCTGCATAACTACTAGCCTCGGGCCCCGCTGGGCCCTAGTCGGACCATACATGTCCCTCGTATCAGGAGGCGGCGGCGGCAGGGGCGGCTTCAAACACATGATGCACCACATTGGTCCCGCCGCACAAGGCTGGCTCAAAGACATGGCAGAGCGCAATCTACCATTTGACGAGGACTTGATCACCAAAATGGACAAGAGCGTGCAGGAAGAGCTAAACGAATTCGACCCGACGGTTGTGGAGAAGCAACGCGATGAGGCGCTAGTTAAGTTGGTGAAGTTGAAGCACGAGAAGGGAGCTTCGATGTTGGTGTAATGTTTTATGTGAATGATTAGACTAGGCCGGTGGCTTCAGAAGATAGTTCAAGGGTCGGAGACGGTTAATGTATACACATGGGTTGTTGCTTCAATTCCCGCTTCTCTCCATGGATAGAAAATCGATGTCTGAGAAGCTGAGGTCTACTCTCCCTCTTTACGCTTATGGTAGAACACCCATTACTATTACGCGCAAGCTATCTACGCAACTTAAAATCTAGTTGAGAGCTAATTCGCTTCTAGTCATTTGGGGAATACCAAATCCGTGCACATATTACTTCATTTCCCTTGCTATCGGAGCATTTCTCAACTCGATCAAACCCTCATACCGCACTCCAACTAAACTTCTCATGAAAGCAGAACGGCACCGGCGAGCGATCCCACCTTGGACTAGCACTCTCATTCTCAAACTTGATCAACGGGCCCAGAATGTAATGATCCCTCCCAAACGGGCTCTCTTTGAAATGCGCAAAGAACTCCTTCCGCTGCAACAGGTCGCTGTGCGATCGCCAGCCATCCAGCACGACAATCAAGAGATCCTCCATGTGCTGGTCAGGTGTCATCTTGGCGAAGTTGAAAGTCTCCTGTACTTTCTGCACGGTCTCGCGTTGGTAGAGCCCGAACTCTGGCGTCAGCTGGATGGTGTTGGATGCAACAAGCACGGTGCTGGCGTGGTATGAACCGCCGTGTTGGGCGCGGTCGCGGAGCGCAAGCAGCACGTCTAGGGCTCCAACCGCGCCGGTCATCATGTCTGCGACGGGGAGGGATGGCAGGACGCCCGTGCCCTCTTCGAACCCGTATGCTCTGCCCATGATGTAGGAGCATCCTGACGCGGCGTCGGCGCTTTGTTGGTATCCTGGCCGCTCTGCATATGTGCCTTCTTGGCCGTAGCAGTTGAGATCAACATAAACGAGCCCTTTGTTGCGCTTGCGGGCCATCTCGACCATATCTGCGAGGCCGAAGCCTTTGTGTTTCATAGACCGGAGGCGGAAGGCTTGGACGATCACGTCGGCGCCTTCGAGGATCTTCTGCAGCTGCTGGCAATCGGGCTCAACGGTGAGGTCGAGAGGGTGTGTGTACTTTCCAGGCGTCAGAGACAGTTGCAGTACCTAGAGAAGTGTTAGCTTTGATCGGTCATTTCGTCAGAAAAAGGGGTCGCAGTACGTTTGGATCCGCGAGATTCGGACTCTGCACTTTGACGACTTCAGCTCCCAGGGACGTTAACAACGCACAGAGCACCGGTCCAGCAATAACGCGAGCCAGCTCAACAACCTTGATACCCGCCAGTGGTCGATTGTCATTTGGTACGATAGGGAAAGGCACCGGTGGTAAATCCGCACTTCCCACAATCTTCTCATAATCGATCACCGGATGCCTATCCAGAGCCTTCGCCATCATGGTCTTGCGCCAGCCTGCGGGCGAAAAGACCGTGTTACCGCATAGGCCGTGCTCCATGTTCTTTTGCTCCAGCTCTCTGGCTGAGTATTGCGAGATGACTGATTTGATGAGCTCGTAGGCTTCGTCGACGTTCTTCACTGGTGCGTTGTCGTCCAGCCCGTAGGCGTCGAAGAAGATCTGTGGTCTGAGATTGGCGATGACTTGGTACCACACGTTCTTGTCCCTTGTAGGATATATTGCCCAGCTCCGCGTTCGCACTGAATGAATGAAAAGCTGGGTTAGTACAATTCGACCAGTTACATAGCAACGTGCAGCCACCAAAATGGCGTAGCTCAGAATGCAATAGAAGCAAAGATATACATACTATGATTGGCATGCATGGCACCCTTCTCGACGTTCTTCCCCATCTTGGACAGAGATCCATCTTTAGCCATCTCGACCATCGTCTTGCCATTAATAGCGACCAAAGAGCACATGGCAGGGTACATGCCAGCATGATCCGTATCAATACTGATCTTGCCCGTATCGACGCCTTTCGTAGCTAGAATATCTTTGGATACAATAGCCATCATTGCATGGATGACTGCAACCTGCAGAATCGTCAGCCTCTTCGCCTCATTTCTTGGAACGTAGCTGAGCATACAAAGACCTGCGCCTTGATCGGGCCAGGTAGGACTGGAAGGTCACTGCCAGTGAATTGCACATCTTCTAGGATTTTGGGATCTTTCGTGAAGCCAGGCGTGATTTGGGCTAAATGCTTCAGTAGCCGTTGGGAATCTTGTGGAATAGGAATGAATTCGGTATCTGTGTACGTTCCTGGCCCATACACGCCCTCGGTTGTCTTGTGCTCAGCCATGATGGCAGAAGATCGCGGTTGAAAATGTGCGATGGAGTTGAATGATAGGTATTCCCCCCTGTGGTTCAGAGCAAAGGTCTGTCTCCGACGAGCGCGGATCAGATCTGAATCGCCACCTCTGGAGCTCCCTCAAGCTTAGATAATGGCAATCATGGTCGTTGACACACAAAAGCAAGATCCGGTGCATCGGTTGGGTAGCACTTTGTTGTCCGTGGCCATCCAATTGCAATCAAACGTGGCTGAACTCTGACTTCGGAAGGCCTTAGTCATCGATTGAAGCAAGGCTGCGTCGGATGTGTTCTGCGTCGGATATAGGCGGTAGATGCATTAGCTCATCAAGTCGGCTTCTCTCGCAATGCTTCATGCAAGAGCTTCTAAGCGTCTCCGTGCCAAGCAGCGGATAATGACGCCCACCAGATGTTTCTGAAGCCGCGGGTTGTTAGAAGTTTTTGACACTGAATTTTGGCCAGAGTCTTCCAGCTTCAGAGATTGGTAGAACCTGGTTTTGTCGATGTTCAGTAGATAGATTTGTAGAGGAGAAGGACTAGATAGCCTGAGAAAGGAGGATGACCCACCTTATTGTATCCTGCTTTGTTCTTATAGACCATCTTCTATATGATCGTACAATGAGCACCAAATTATCGAAACTCACAATGGGTTTAAGCGAGTAGTTGCACAACATATGAAGTAAAGATGCGCGCCAGCTGATACTGGAGGGCTTCAATGGGGCGCAGTGTCTTGCAGCGCCCAGCTATGCCAATCGTGTCTCCAGTCTCCAGTTGCTTGTTCAGGCCACAGGTCGCGCATCACAGCTTCGATCTCTGGATCGAGCCTGCGACCAAACGCACTTTCGTAGTCCTCTCTGTCCTCGGCTCCCAATTCCGCTACAAAGCATGAATGTTTTGGTGCATCATCTCCGGGGTTCTTCTCACACTGCCAAGAACGTGCTAGCATCTTGCAAGTAATTTCCAATTCGTGGTCGAATGATGCTTGATCAATCTGCACCGATAGCCGGAGTGTTTCGAGTGAGCCGTGCCCGACAGTGGAGGATGCTGATACGGCGCCAAAGATTGAAGCTGCTAATGATTTGTCAACGGCAGAGTCTATCAATGCGGCGCGTATTATGCTTGCATCGTCCACTGTATCCAAACGGTAGTGAACATGCAATGTCAAGATTAGACAGCGTAAGTGCTGAAGGGCGCCGATTGTGCGGTGGCGACCTATCTCATCTGCATTGCCGGCTGAACGTGTGGTGGTCACTGCTAGTTCTCGAAGGTTTGGACAACTGTCTCGAATATTCGACAGATCGTTGATGTCCGAGATTGTCTCGCCGAGGCGAAGAGTACGGAGGCTATCGCCATGCCGTCGGAAAGCCACTTCCAGCACGCCTGGTTCACTGCTGGCGCACACCAGTCTCAGCGCTCGTAGAGGCGGGAGAGAATCAATGAAATCCTCTAGTTCATTGGTTGCATCTAGAATTTCGTGGTGACTGAAGTCTAGTCCAATTTCCTCGAGAGCTTCGGAAAAGGGACGTAATTCTGTCAGCCAGCACAGATCCTCGATCGGTACGTCTTGGTACAGCTTTAAAGTACGAAGCTTGGCGAAGTCTGTCTTTCGATGCCAGACTCGAAGTTCATCGACATGAGAATGTCCAGCAATGACCAACGTTGTCAGAGATTTTTGCTTGCTCTGTTTTCCCTCTCCCATCTCATTACCGTGCCACCTCTGTCGAGCAACGTTCGAAGCTGCCAAGATTGCTGGGAAGCGACCAGGCAAGTCTTTGCACAAGAACAGCTCTTTCAAATTTGGAGCCAGAGAAGCTGCCATTGTCATTATGGCCTCCTGGTTGAAGTTGGCATTCCCCTCGCTGTCATATGCTGAACATCTTGACGCTAGGCTGTAAAGAACGGGCGATGTGGCCAAGCGTCTTTCATATGAGTCCACTTCGATCGGAACGCCAGGTCGTACTGACAGACTGCGTATGCAAAATTTGCGTAGATATAAGCGGAGTCGGTGTGCCCTGTCCTCTTGCTCGAGTACAGAAAGAACACAGGGGGGAAGTTGATCAGAACTGGCCCAGACCATGTCCATAAGAGCCGGCAAACGATCGATGAATGTCGCGAGCTTTGCAAAGTCTTGATCATTCTCACGGGTCAACTGCGGACAGTGATTTGTAGCATAGGATCTCCAAGGCTCCCGCGGATCGTCTCCCAAATCTGGGATGCCAAGTAGTGGTGGTTTGTCAAATGCGTCATGAATCTCAAGTCGCTGCACCGCCTTCCAGCTGGAATTCAAGTCGAGTATGTCCGTCCATCGATCTAGGTCTTTCTCAAGCTTTTCGATATCCACGAAGCGGAGAGTGATTTTGCAAAACAGCGAGCTGCTGGCCGCTGCTCGGAGAGTCTTGCACGTCCTGGAAAAGCCAGAAAGGCCTCGAGAGTCGAGTTGTCCACTGACGATTTGGAGAATTTCAACGGGAAGCGCGAGAAGTGCGGTGTCTGGCATTGTGGTGAAGCTTGGGATGTTGATGTGAAGGGGCGATGTCGTTGGAACGGTAATTTTAGCCACTCCTTGTCTGAGCGACTTTGATTGGTCCGCACAAAGCTCCGCTCACAAGCAGCTCTTAACTTCACTTCGCTCCGCCTTCTTTGATCTCAAAACAAGCAACACTTCCACACTCGACTCACCATCCCACAACATGGACATGGACGACATGGAAATCGACCCCGCCCTCGCAGTAGCCATGGGCTTCTCCGGCTTCGGCACGCAGCCCAACGCCAAAAAGCGAAAATTCAACAACAACAGCACCGAAGGTTTCGTGGATCCAAATATCGGGAAATCGCAAAGCGCTACGGGTGCGAACAATGTGCCTGTCCGGGAGAAGCAGTCGACGAAGAGTGTCGGTGAAGACTCCAAGGCCTATGAATCTGCTGGGAAGGCGTCGGGTGTGACTGGTGATGGGAAGCCGAGTCTGGAGGCTTTGAGGCATGGAGTGAGGAATGAGAGGGGCGATGTGGCATATTTCTTGCCGAGTTTTGTGGAGGATCCGTGGAGGGGGTTGGAAGCGAAGTGAGGGGATGGGAGTACGGGAATGGACGACTTGAGTGAGGTTGAAGTTACGCACAAAGCTCTGGACTTCGCGCTGGCGATTGCAACGAGCACATGCTGGTGCGAGACTCGAGTGGTGTGGTCTGCAGGCAAATTGGAGAAAGTACCCAGCATTGCTCGCAGAGCAACAGCCGCCACAGAGCATGTGGCCACCAGAGCAAGACCTGGAACTACCGAATTGGAACGCAAGGGCTTTGACGCTCTTCTATGAGCACAAGATTGGCAATACGGAAGCACATAAAGATGTCTGAGGAACATCTCGGGACGAGAACTGCATTTACTTCACGTACAATCAATGTCGCTTTCGTGGGATGGGCACATCTCAAAGCTCAAACATCAGACTGGCAGTTCAGGAGACAGCCGTCTCCTGTTGGAGCAGTCTCTCGAAATCAAATATAAGAAATGCTCCGGAGCCACTTCTGCTGTGAATGAACGACTGCATTTCATGGGTATCTCAATGCATCAAACTATCAAGTACTTTTGAACTTTTCGATCACCTCCCCAACACCCTCTGGACTCGGCGTCTCCGCACACACGTCGGGCTCAAAGCCAAACTGTGTAGTCAGGAACTCCCTTGTCGTAGGTCCAATCGTAGCAATCTTCGTCGCGAGCGGTCCAGACATGATCTCTCTTCTCCCAGCACTATACTGTCCCGTCTTCTCATCCAGCCAATTCAACGCACTCAACATAGCCTCGCAACCCTGCGGACTGAACACCACGGCCCACTGCTCCTTGACCTTCGCCGCCCGCGCCTCTTTCAACAGCTCCGTGAAATCCTCCTCGAAAGTCGCCATCTCCCCCGTCTCATAAACCACAACCTCTTGCACCGCAATCCTCTCCGCCTCACTCAACTCCTCCGACTGCAGCGTCTTCGGAATGACGTCCCTCCTCTGCTCCCCAACCAAAAACAAAAGCGGCAGCCTCCTCCCATTCAAACACGTCACATCCCTGGACAGCGTCCGGTGCCACTCCAGAATGAACTTCGCCAACGCCTCCCCGTTCCCCGTCTCCTCGCCCACCACCGGACACGGCAACCCCAGAGCCCTCACGCCATTCGCAGTCGCGGGGCCGACAACGTACATGGGCATATCCCTATCGAACAACATCTCTAGTTTCTCCGGATCTAGCTTGGCAATCACCGTCGCGAAAGCATCCACAGCGCGCTGAGAAGTGAATACGATCCCTCCATACCGCTTCGCGGGGTTATTCGTAGCTTTCTGTCGTGCGGTAGCTTCACTTCCACCTGCGAAAGCGAACCGTTCGGCAGATCTTCGAAGTGTCCTTAAAGTGTCGTCGCGGAGCATGTGTTCCAGCACGGGGACGAAGAGGGGTTTGTATTTGCCATTTTGGAGGCGGGTGAAGTATTCTTCGTAGCTGTCGGAAGGGGAGGACTTGGTTTTGAGGAGGTACACAGGGATCTGGTCGATTTGGAGGTCTTTGAGGCTGGATGTTACGCCGTCCATTGTTCTGGTTGTTTTGTTCGCGACTTCATCTATGTTTGTTGATGTTTGTATTTTTGAGGAAGTCGAAAGAGCATTGAAAGGCAGGACGTCGCCTGCCTCGGCAGGGCCCGAGAAACCTTAAATCCGCTTCCGAATTCCACCTCACTTGGGAAAACCTGGGGCATCGAGAGAGGAGCACGGTCACTTTGCCTAGCGAGAGGGAAAGCGGATTTGTCAGGCGATGGCGAGAGATGCCCGTCACCGAAGTTGAATTTCCTATCCTGTCTACTCTCCTTTGTACCGTCGAGAAGATGGCTGGCGCGACGTTTCCTGATTTCCAAAAGGAAGCTTCGACTTCTTCATCAGATGATGGGACGAGTAGACCCTTGCCGAAGGGCGTGGTGTTGGGGCCGGATGGGAAGCCGTATGTTTCAAAGGTTACAGAAATGATATGCGCTCGCTGATGAGATGTACATAGCTGCCGAACATGCACCTCCTCCGCCTCGTGGAAAGCCATGATGGGCCAAGCAGCAACCACAATCACCTCAAAACCCAAACCCCAATCGCAATGCCCTCCGGACGTCGAAGAACTCGGCCGCTCAACCTGGACGCTTCTACACACCATCACCGCCAACTACCCCACCACGCCCTCCCTCCAACAACAATCCGAAACTAAAACCTTCCTCTCCCTCTTCGGCAAAATGTACCCTTGCTGGGTCTGCGCGGACGATTTCAGGAGTTGGATGTCCTCGTATGGGAATGAGCCGCGGGTGAGTAGTAGGGAGGAGTTTGGGAGGTGGATGTGTGAGGCGCATAATGCGGTGAATGTTAAGTTGGGGAAGAGGGAGTTTGATTGTGGGAGGTGGGAGGAGAGGTGGAGGACGGGGTGGAGGGATGGGAGTTGTGATTGATGACGGTCTGGACGAATGAGATGGATCTTGATAAATGGGAAAGGGAGGTAGACTTGATATACTACGGCTTTTTGCATAGCGCGGTGTTTTGGAGGGGCATAAGAGAGGCAGACTCACCTCAGTTACAGGAATGACACGCTACATCGCTCGGCGAACGCACAGTCGGCACACCGCCATCGTGATTCTGCTCCAAAGAATGTACTAAACCGTCATCTGCCCGCAGTGGAAGGAAACCAAGCTCATGATCGCACTCAGATCCCATGGAAGACAATCTTCCACGGCATCTCTTTGCCCGTTGCGGTCCCTCAAGTCTCTATCCGCTCAGTTGCTATACACGCCCCACCCTCTATCGAAGTTGCTGAGATGCCGTTCGCCTACGAAGAATCCTAGCTGCTTTCTTTCCCCTTCAAGCCTATCTCCTGTCCCCAGACGCTCAATCCTCCACATCCTCTACAACTGTTATTCGAACAGCGTCGAAGAAATTGAAAGCACAAGCACACACACAAACAGAATGCCAACGTATCGTAGACTATACATCTATCACAGAGCCCTTCCGCAGTTCCAAAACTGGTAGTAACAAAAGCCCACAAACACGCTCGTCCAAAGCCCGCTATGCAGCTTACTCCACCCATCCCCCCTTGATCGCCCGTCTTGCCTTCTTTCCTTCCAGTGGTAGTTGGACCCCCTTGTTGTTGGCACAGTAGTAGTAGATGTAGATGCACGTGGTCCTCCCATGTAACTCGGTCTCCAAAAGCCAAAACGCCAACGCTCCCAAGTGATGCGATTTCTCCAACCCTTCTCTCGTTTCGCAATCTCTACTAGACAGTCCGCCAACAAACCAAAGCGCCCGGTAGGAGGCAAAGGCGGGAGATCCGATGTTGTGTGTACGGAAGTCTCCAGTCTCGTTGTGGGTAGGCATGACAAGGGGAGGAATCATATCCAACCCCTTTTCACTCAATGTTCGATTTTCATCGCGGCTCATCCTTGGGCACGGGCTCCGGTTTCAGGTTCACGAGCATATCTCGCGTCAGTTCAAAACTGAGCCAGCTGCTGGCCATGCTTGGTGCGACCTTCAAAAGATTTGGTACGAGCCCTTTGTACATTCCTGCAATACCTTCGTGGGCGACAATGGTCCTGACCGCGTCGAAGATGGATTTGTATTTGTAGCCCATGCCGGACATGGTGTTGATTTGGAAGCGTCTTCGAAGAACGTCGCTGTAGTGTGCACGTTAGCTTGACTTCATGGGTGAGTTCTGACATTCCTCCACTTACAATGGATACGTGAGGGTCTGTGCCACGGCGCCTGATATAGCACCAGCGCTCAACTTGCCGACTGACGACGGCGCTTCCTTCCCCTCTGGAGTAAAATACTGCCGTACGCTCTCGTACACCATGAAGTTCAGGCCCACGTATGGAGCCACACCCGCAATGGTCGGAATGATTCCGCGGTAGAGTGCCAGAAAACCGCCCTCGTTTCTGTACATGTGTACCAGAGTTTGAAACATACCGGGTAGTTTCTTCTCGGCTTCTGATCTCGAGAGACCGCTGAATGATGCAGACTGGATGGATAGGCGCGTTCGGACGATGTCGAGAGGGTAGGTCGCTGTGACAGAGGTGATACCCGCTATTGCGCCGCAACACAGTCGCCTGACAGGTGTGAGAGGCTCGCCAGGTGAAGGCTCGAAGAACTTGTTCACTTTTGTCAGCTATCATGTGGTTCAAATCGAATTGTCCTTCTTACTGGTTTGTAGAGATTGTAGCTACCAAACTGCACCGCACTGTACGGCACGATCCGTACACAGTTGGTGCCATTGCCAGCCATCATGCCCTTGAAACCTTCCTCTCTCCAGATCTTTGCCAACGCCTTGGGTACGCTCATCTTATACTCGGTCCTGCCTGTGCTCTGCACCTGTAACAAAATCTTTAATCTTTCCAGTGGGGAGACGACTGTCCTCGACACTGCGCCAGCCACACCGCCGGCAAGAAACGACGCCACGACAGCTTGAGAAACCCATGATCGGAGGCCAAAGAACGGCGGTGTGGTGGGTTGTGAAGAGGAGGGATCCATATTCGACGGAACAGGCTCGATCGGGTCGGCAGAGGAAGAGTTGGGGGAATCGGTCGATTTGTGATATGCAGTCGCGCTCATAGTATTTTCCGGTACGCTATTAGAGGTGGCATTGGAAGCACGGCGACGCTACTGGTACAATAGTTGAGATGTTGGACTGAAGGGATCGGCGGAGGTGAAGGTTACTCTCCCGAGGATCGCATGAACGGAGGCTGTGTCGTTGCCGTTGAGGATATCGTGACGGAGAGTGGAGTTTGACGATGCGCACGCATGTGCTGACGAGGCCGAGTCTTGTTCAGTAGCAGGCGCAGTCGTGGTAGGGTTGTTGGCGGGTTGGCGACATGGACATGGGCGAGAAGATGGAGTTGAATTGCACCTGAGAAAGCAAAGCCAAAGCGAAATCTGTGGCACCAATGCAGCTAGATCCCGTTCGCCGGTCTTTGCCGATTGCCGCTGCCGCGTCCACAGCGTTGGGACAGAGAGTGGATAAAATAGCTGGACAACAAGACCTCGCTTGATCTTATTGCCGTGAGATAAGAGAAGAGCTTTGAAGTTCTTCCGACGACACTTCTGCAAGCACGCGCTGCCACCTCACTCCCATGAAAGACACAGTGTCACAAGCAAGTTTGCCACGACCATCATGACCCTGACCTCCTTTCTCGTGCACCGTCCAGTCGTTTCCCACTTCCTGACTTTGGGGCTGTCATTCGCTAACACCTGACTCTCGCCTACTTTCAAACACGGCGTGCGCCTCTTAGGCGTGATGAGAGGTCAGGCGTGGAAGGTATTTGTTGCTGCTGACTTTGCTGCCCGAATCTGTCGGCTCGCGTGAGCGCCACGGCAAGCCGATCGGAACGTACTTCTCGGCAAAGCGGGCTTCTTTTACACTATTTGCAGAAGCACTAAACACTCTTGCATTCGTTCTAACGCTACGGCTCTTTGACTACACAATTACAATGCCATCCCCTACACATACTTTGGCCTCGCTGGAATAGTTTTCAACTGCTCACCCGGATGACCCTTCAAGCCAAACAGACTATACACCCACTTGAGAATGATCACGAAAGCCTCAGGCTCGCCCATATGCATCCTATTCTCCACCAATCGAGCTTCCTTCGGTGCACCGCGATGCAGACAAAGTAGATAGTCATCGACCGGGAAAATCTCGTCCTTGTCGCCATTGACCAACAGCAGCCTCGTGCATTCTGGCTTGTCCAACGTGCCGTCCTCAAGCAAGGAGTACTTCATGGCTTCTTTCTTGAAAGTCTCGAGGTCATCGCCGTAGCCGAATTTGTAGGCCAACGTGCTTGCAAGATCGAACGGGTACTCCAAGTGGTTGACGTGGGAAAGCCACTCGGGATGAAACATGTAATGGCAACCACCACCTTGTGCGACGATACCAGACAGCCTGTGAGGATGGGTATGAGCCAGTCGAATGGCGTAGTACCCTCCCGTGGAGAAAGCCCACATCGCTTTGCGAGACGGGTCGATTTCAGCTTGCGCTTCGACCCATTCGAGGAGACTGGACCAGACTCGGTCGGGCGCGGTGGGATCAGACGGGTTGGCTGGGTTGTCACCAGTTCCTGGGATCTCCAGAATCAGAGTCGCAACCCCTTTCTGCGACCAGCCTTCAATCCACACAGCGAGCTCAGTCCGGTAGCCGTCCAGGCCAGTCAGAATCACCACTAGGGGGACCGGGCTGTCCTTCGACGTTCCTGGAGGAAGATGGTAGTAGAAAGTGATCTCCTTCCCATCGGTGTCGTTGCCGTACTTGTGAGGAATGGACACCTCCTGGGTTGGTCGTTCACGCAGCATGAGACCTTTCTTGGCTGCTTTCTTGCCCTCCGTCCACGCATGGCGCTGCTTCTCTGATCGCGGCGCCGGGAATCGAGAGATGCGGTAAATTGCAGAAGCTCGACTAGTCAAGTCAGTAGACAGCGGGCATGTGCACGAAAAAGGGACTCACAGATACAACTCAGACGCTTTCTCCCTGTTGCCCTCCTTATCTGCCTTGTCTGCCTCTGCAACAAGTTCCTCAGCCTTGGGGAAGAAAGCCTCAGCATACTTGTCCCAATCGTAAGGTTCCTTCTGGCCTTCCTACTCTACAAGTCAGCTCTGAGCTCTGCTGAACACTGCATAACGTCAACTCACCTTGATCAATCTCTCAACGATGGGCTCAAAGTCCTGGTACGCATTGAACATGAACCTGTACGATGGTCAGATGGCTGGAAAATAAATGTGGAATATCATTACTTACGGATAAAGACCCGCCTTGCAAGGCGCTTGCCATTTCGTAGTCCACAGCTTCTCAAAGCTCTCATGATGAACTGCAGGAGTCTTTAGAGCGTCCTGCACGAAGAACTTGCCACCAGGGAGCGCCATATCGAACGGTTTGAATGCCGATGCAGGAAGATCACACTGTTTGGAGTCACTGCCCTACAAAATCGGGAAAGCAAGGATGGCAAGAAAGGAAAAGTAGTGATGATGTCTGCTCGACAGCACCAGCGCGACCAGGCGGCTCCGAGATCCATTTTTGGTCCGAGTTACCAATGAGCCCCTGATTGTTGGCGGACGTTGTCGCTGTGTCGAAGATCCGGGTGGAGATCCGCAGGCGCAACGAGGCGTCGGCGGGAGGAGCCGAAGGGGGCCATTTCGGGTTTCGGTCTCGCGAAGGCCGACTTCACTACAACAAGTACCCTGACCATTTTTCGATTATACAGCCGTCATTGGACATGGCCTCGAAGACGCCCGTGGAGGCAATCTTCGACAGCCTCAAGGGCTCGTGGCGGCTACGAAGATCCCTAGACAGCGTGCTCCCAGGCTTCCCATCTGGAGTCTTTGAAGGGACGGCCACATTCAAAGCACGAGAACCAACCGCACATTCTGCAGCCGGGGAACTGCTCTACTCAGAACAAGGAGAGCTCAAAACAGACAACGGCCTCACACTCAAAGCCAACCGTAAATACGTCTACCGCTACAATGCCGACGAAGACAAAATCAGCGCTTGGTTCGTGAAGGAAGACACGAAGCAGAACGAAGGGCGTGAAGAAGTCGACTACCTATTCCATTATCTCGAAATGGACTCCGCGGGGAACGCGTGGGCTGGACGAGGGGAGCATCTTTGTGAGTTGGATATGTATTGGGCGTATTATGAGTTTCGAATGCCGAAGGTGGTGGAGGAGGGCAAGGAAATGGATGTTTTTGGTGTGAGGTATAAAGTGAAAGGGCCGCAGAAGGACTATACGAGTGATACGGCTTACGAGAGGACGTTCTCTACTGATGTCGCTGTACTATGATGTGGTGGTCTTCACGACCGTCAAGCTAATCGCTTGATGTCTACGGCTTTGGCAATAACATGAACGTCAACTCTCAACACCAAGCGCTGCTCTGCTCGATACGGCAGACAAATCAATCCAAGCATGTCTTCGAAACTGGAAAAGATTCTCACGGTCACCAACAACCAAGACAGACAGCTCCAAACCCGACTGTCCCAGAAATTCGATGCTCCCAGCCTACGAGTCCTACGATCAACATCTCGAACCCTCGCAAACTTCGTCCATAAATATGGCCGACCTGCCTTTCTCGACATATACATCCACGCACCAGTGCGTGAGAACGACACCATGCGAGGAATCGACAACGTAGGCCCCTTCTGCAAGCACTTAACAATCACCATCGCTCAGCCAAAACAACCCACCACCAATCCACCAACGCCCAACCCCTCAGTCCAAAGCCCCAACAAGAAATCCAAACTCCGCACCAACGCCCTCCGCCGCATCAGCATCGTAAAAAAACTCTGGTCCTCAACCAGCAGCCTCATGACAATCCCAGACTCTTCCTCCACCTCCGCCACACCAATCCCCGCAACCCCCCTCCAACACCCCGACGCCTTCGCAATGGACCTCCGCCTCTGGACCTCCACCCTCACCCACTTCCCCAACCTAACACACCTCACCCTACGCAGCCCCACCGCCGACCCAACCTGGCCCGGCCGCCAACTCCCCGAACAAACCCTCCTCCTGCTCCGCCTCAGCCTCGAAAAATCCCACCCAAAACACCTGCACACCCTGACCCTCTCCCCCCTGCACGCCCTAGGCCTCCTCCACCTCCGCAGCACCTCCTTCGGGTCCTTCCACAACCTCCCGCCTCCTCCTCACCCCAACAACAAGAACAACAACATCTGGCGCAACCTCACAACCCTCACCCTCCACCTCACCAACCCCGTCCCGGCTCTCGACCCCCCAAAATCCTCCATGTTCCTCGCGATCCTCCACGACTACCTCCGCTTCTTCTCCCCGACCCTCCGCCACCTCACGTTCCTCTGGTTGGGACCCTCGCCGGGTCCGAATCCCCTCGCCCTGCTGGAGACGTCCTCCCGTCCGAGGATTCTCTGGCCGAGGTTGGAATCTTTCTGGTTTGGGAATGTTACGCATCCGAATAAAGTCACGGCGATGCTAAGGGATGTCGCGCCGAGGTGTGCTGTTGTCAAAACTTTGAGGAGTGGGCTGAGGTTTTCGAGGCTCGGTGGACGCGGAGATGGGGAGGAGGAATCTTGGTATGATGTGCCTAGGCGGAGGACGTTGGGGAGGGGGAGTCTGGCGGCGAGTAGCATCTACAGTCAGGATGTGGGAGGGGGTAGGGAGGAGAGAGTGAGCAGGACGAGTCGAGTTGTGCCGTTTATGTTGGATGTCAAATCGCAGGGGGAGATGTTGCCGGCGACGCGGTATCAAGGGTGATGGGAGATGGTCTTGACAGCGTTGTTGTGTTGTGTTGATTTGATTCCTACCAAATAAGCAATGATATCCCAGATCCCATGCCCATTCCATCTACAAGCGTCTGCGCCAAGCACATAACAATGCCTTGTATTTCTCCTTTTCCACAGGTCGTAAGAATGCAAGCTCTAGGCTTGATTGCTCTTAGGTTTAGCGGCCTGCGTCCCGGCAAGCATGGCCTTTGCGTCGCGAATACCCTCGACCTTGCCTTCCTGCACACGCTTAAGTGTCAACGCGGCGATCAACGCAGCTCCGACACCAGAACCGTCTTCAGCGGGGAGAATCTCAACAGGATCGTGGCCTCGGCCGAGTGGCTTGCCGTCGCGGCCCTTCTCCCAGTCGAGGATCTCCTTGAGTGCTTGAGCACCACGTTGCTAAAGGCCATGTTAGCGGGCATTAATTGTGATACAAGGACATTGGCGTGGCTTACCTTGAAATGAGGGTACTTGTTGAATACCGACCCATCAGCACCAACGTGAGCCGTCTTGTAGCCCTTCTTCTTGCAAATTGCCGCCACACCGCACGCACTAAGTCTGGCGGATCGGGTGCCAATCAGCTCAGCCAGACGTCTAATCAGCTCGAGCTCTGGCTTGGAGCAGTTGATCTTCAGTCTGTCGTAGAAGATGTCGTAGGTTTCCTGCAAGTTCTCATAGGGGTCGTTCTCGATGTCTGACAGGAAAGAAGCGTCGAGCGAGTAGGGCTTCTTGAGTTTGGAGATGTCCTGATCTTGGAAGATCTGGACGTGTGGCTGCTCGTGGAGGTCGACCAGCACCAGACGGAACAGCTCACCGAGGTAGAGACCTGCAATCATCTTCTCGAAGGCTTGCTGTCCTGGACGAGGAGAGTCCTTGTCGATGATGATGTCGTACTGTGTGCGGGGAAGAATCTTGTGCTCGTTGTCAAAGGCACCCCATTCACAGTTGATGGCAATCTCTTGCTTGGGGTCCATCTTCCAATCTTCAAGCTTGGGAACCTCGCCGGCGTGTTCGAAATAGGCAGCGTTGCAACCAGTACCGAAAATGCAGCCAATCTTCATCTCTGAGTCAGTGTAGGCACTAGCAATCAGGGTTCCAGTGGTGTCGTTGATCAAAGCGGTGAGCTTGATGGGCACACCACGCTCCTCGAGGGCCTTCTCGAAAGGAGGAACGACGTCTTTGCCCTCGACACCATCAATGTCGAAGCCCTTGGTCCAACGCTGCAGAACACCGTGATCGATGTAATTCTGGGTCGCTGGGTAGGAGAAGGTGAAACCCAGAGGGAGCTTGTCCAACTTCTCGCCCTCGTGGTGGTATTCAATGAACTGTTGCAAACAGTCCGCGATGTACCCCCAAAGCTCATCGGCATTACCAGTCTTGAGCTCCTCGGGCATCTTGTACTTGGACTGAATGATATCGAACTCGCCCTTCTCTTCTGGGAGATTGATCTCGCAAACACGCAGGTTGGTGCCTCCCATATCCAGGGCAAGGAACGTGCCGGTCTCGTATCCAGTGGGAAAGCCCATGACCCAGGTCGGGTTCATTGGTATGCTGCCGCCCTCTTTCGACAAACCCTTGGCCAGCTCGGAGATGAAGTGTTCGCTGATGGCCTTCAGCTTGGCGGTGTCCACGGTGAAGATCTCCTCCAATCTCTTGATCTCGCCCAAGAGGTCCTTTGGCATGTCTGCCATGGAGCCTCTGCGGCTCGGCTGCCGTCTCGGTCCCAATCCCACCATGTTGGCTATAGTTGAAGAATGACCGATTGCTATGCTGGTCGTTTGTCGATTGTAGAACTCGTAGGTTCAGCTGAAGGTCGGTGCGCAAGAATGACAGACTTGGGCAGAGTAGCCGGGACAAGTCGGACTGATCGTTGATCGTTTATACGTCGGGGTGTTTTGAGGAGCTGGGTAGGACTACAGTCAAGAGCTTTGTCAGTGAGGTCCACTCAGCACTGACAAAGCAGGCCGTAACAGCACAGGCAACACGGCCAGAGAGAGCGGATCAGGGGGATTGGATAGAGTGAATGTTAGACTGTTGCTCAGCGAGAGTTGAGCTGGCAGCAGGAGGTGATCATCTTTCCCGGTAGCTGTTTCTCTTGCATACAAATCTTTTTGAATCACGTCCAATGCCCCACCTTTCCCCTCCAACCAAGCGAATGGCAATGGCAGGAGCGAGTGGTTGGACGATTTGTCTGGTTCAGAATTGAGGAAACAGTGCGTGGATCTGACTGACCTTTGCGAGTGTTCAGTGTTTGGAATGAAGGGGAAAGGAGAGAGATAACAGGAGCAGACATGTTTTCACCACACTCGGGCCTTCTTCGCTGCTCTGACCGTTGAGCTAGCAGAGGCAGACGTAGAGACGAATGACGCAGCGCACGTGCGTCGTCCGGACAATGTGCCTGAGCCGAGCTGGAGAGCTTCCACTACCACCACCATCCAAACAATAATCAACTTGAACAACGACAACCCCAATCATCTCCCTCATCCTAAACCACCCCTCATCCAGTAAGCACCATCGCCAAACACTCCCCTTCCAGACCACCACTCACACTCCCTCCCAGCCATGTCTCCCATCACCCGCCAACTCCCAACCCTCACCAAACCCACCTCCATCCGGAGCTTCTCCATCGCCGCCAGGAGGATGGCCGGAGGCGACACCGGCGCCCCACGCTCCGGAGGTGCCGCCCAGAGCGACGCCTTCACCAAGCGCGAAAAGGCCAACGAGGACTTCTACGTCAAGGAGGAGGAGAAGAAGAAGCTCGAGGCGCTGAGGAAGAAGATTGCCGATGCCGAGTCGCAGTTGGCCAAGGATAGGAAGGAGGCTGAGGAGATTGTGGGGAAGAAGTAGATGGTGGAAGGGGTTTGATTTGATATGAAGGAAAGGTGGGTTGTAGCGAGTGATGAGTAGAGAGGAGAGGGATTGGGCTGATGTGTTTTGTAGGTTGCGAGTGAGCATAGACTGGTTGAGGGAATCGAAGCTGCAGCTCCAGTATGCTTGAGTGTACATATATCAATGGTTGAAAACACTCCTCATCCAAGTACTCGAATATCTGTCTTCGTCCATATCCCATTTGAATTGCACACCCTGCCCTGAATCGACAGCTGCCCGAAGCATACTAACGCTGACGGCGTGCCAACGTCTTTTCTCTGAGGACCTTAGCGAGGACATCGTGGCCTGCTAATGGCACCGGCATATGCTGCCTCCCAAAGCTTAAAGGCCCGCCGCATTGCCATTCTGAAAATCGCCTATTGAAGCACTTCAATTTTGATCATGCTACGCTACACTCAAGAACTCTCAGCTGTATCCATCTATGCCTTCGACATCCCCAATCGTGCTCGCATCAAGTAGTATAGAAAACGTTGGCTCAGAGTAAAGTATCCCCCAAAGCACACCGCACAATCGAACACCCAGCCCTCACCGTCTCCGGCGCACCATGCTCCTCCAAACTCGGATTCACCTCCACCAAGTCCAACGCCACAAGATTCCCCGTCTCATGCACACACTCCGCGATGAAATCCCCCTCCCGCAGCGTCAACCCGCCTCTCACAGGCGTCCCCGTGCTAGGAGCCCACATAGGATCCAACGCATCCACGTCAAACGACAGATGAATCGGCGTATCGCGTCCAATCCACCCGAGCGCCATATCCACGACCCTGCCAATCCCATGGCGATCGACATCGTGCATGCTGAACGCCTTGATGCCGTGATCCCGCAGGATCTTCTTCTCGCCGCGGTCGACGTCGCGCAGGCCGATGTAGACCAGCTTGCTGACGCTGATGCGCTGGTCGTCCTTCAGCCAGCCGAAGGGCTTGTCCTCGCTTTCTTTTGCTAGCCCCGTCAGGAACGACACGGGCATCCCGTGGATGTTGCCGCTGTCGCTCGTCTCCGGCGTGTTGATATCCGCGTGTGCGTCCACCCAGATCACCGCCATGTCTCTGCCCAGCCGCTCGCGGATGGCTTTTGCCGTGCCGGAGATGGTGCCGATGGCGATGGAGTGGTCGCCGCCGAGGGTGAGGACGAAGCGGCCGTCACGGGCGTGTTCGTAGACTTGGCTGCTGAGCTGCTTGGTGACGGCGGAGACGGCGCGGGGCTTCTTCATGTTGCGGTAGTCCGGGTCGTCGTCGGGCATGAGCTCGCCGTACGCGTGGACTTTGCCGTCGTAGTAGATGGAGTACTTGAGGTCGTCTTTCAGCTGGTCCACAAGGCCTGATTCTATCAGGGCCATGGGCGCTGCTTCGGTACCTGGCTTGCACTGTGGTCTATTAGTACGTGTTTGCGGAGTCGAGGAGTGTGTGCAGTCTTACTTGTCCACCTGAGAAGCCTACAGCGACGAGACCTAGCTCGTTTGGCTTCGAGAGGAACTTGTTCTGAATCGTAGGAGCGTCCATTTTGCCGGTACGTATGACCTGTGAAGGTCAGTGTTCCTGTCAAGATGCCAGCTTCGCGCTCGGAGGTGAGGATGTCTGGGTGCAAATCGACGTACAAAGCAATAGAAGTAGTCAGAGGAATGTGTTTTCCACGTGTTAGGAACCAAGTTCTCGGATCTATTCACCAGCAGCCAAAGTCAGGATCCTCGCATGTAGGAGAATGAAGAACAGTGAAGGAGAGCGACGAGAAAGAAAATCTGCCGAGCGGAAGCGTCAGCTGCTTGCCTTCCATTTCACACGAGTGCGGCAGAATCTTTCGTACTAGGAAGAATTGGAAGTTGTTGTATCGCTAAGTGCAGTTGAACGCGAAGTGTCGTCTATACATGTACTTTACGATCAGGCGTTGGAGTAGCGACCCAGCCAAGCGTTTCTCTTATCTAATCCCGCTGATAAGCGCCCCGCCTGGCATGTGACGACGGTTAATGACGGATTGGGGCTTGGCGCGGATTGCGAGTGAGTGAGCGGAATGTTCTGTCTTTGTGCGACTACGCTACAGCTAGTTTTTGGTCTTCTTCTTCTCCTTCGTCTTCAGCCAATTTCGCCTGCTCTTCCATCGCAGCCCTTAGCGCGGCAGCTTTCAGTCGCTCCTCTACCACCCCCTCCCATCGGCTTATCTTCTCCAGGCCTCTAGTCTTTCGATCCGTCGACCATAGCGCTTGCATTCCTGGGCCGAAGCCGTTGTTGAGGGACTTGCGACCGTCTCGTAGGATCGTGGATATGAGATCCTTCGTCCCAGAGTCGAATTCGTATACATTCTTGTCCATCTCCGACAACGTTTCCGCGATGCCATCCAGGTCCGCATAATGTCTGTAGAGAAGCCACATGTGTTCGTTGAATAATTCCGTCGAAGCACCTAAAGCAAAAGCGGAAGGACCTAGCTTCTTGAGCGTTGGTAGAAGTACGAGTCCAAGCAGTGATCCTGGAAACGAGTCTCGAAGTGACTTCATAAAATAGAGGAGAGACTGCGGCAACGTTTGTGTGAGGGTCTGAAAGTCGCGTCCAGCTTTCACTGGCCTCCAGGAATCCGACAGCGTCCTGACATATGTGAAGATTTGTAGTTGAAGGACGTTCCACAGGGCGACATCGGTCTTCGCTTCGTCCATGCTGGATTTGATACTGTCAAGCTTTTTAGCAGCTTGATCATCTGGAGCAGTAGTTGACATGCTTCGATCGTCGATCGTCTTCTCTCCGTCTCCAATGGCTTCTTGAGCTCTTAACGCAGCTGCCTCTTCCGCCAAGGGACGCAACAGATCGGGGAACTCCCTTCTCGTCTGCGGCGCTGCAACTCCATAAAGGTTCGTCTGAGGAGCTTTTGATCTCAACTGTCCCTTGTTGTGCAATTTCCTGTGATGCTTTGCCTTTCCAAAGGCTGCTCCAGCGGGTATTTCATCATGGCTCCCTTTCACTGGCTGCTCCAAGGCTTTCTTCTCCTCTGGGGTCCCATCGGCTTTTGTATCTTGCTGAACCTGAGTGGGCTTTACTCTAAAAAGCTGCTCAAAGATCCGTAGTTCTTTTGGTGTCATCGTAGACCCCTCGACTCTTGCGCTCAGATCGCTGGTGGGGAGCTTCCCCTCGAATGGTACTGGTTCTTCTCGCGGAAGTCGTTCTTCTGTTGTGTTTGGTCTGAAGGATTGTCTGTCCTTCCGAGGGTCACGAGTCCTTCGGTTCCTGCCATTGCTTCGCTCCTTATTCCCATCAAACTGATTACTCCTCTGGTTGTATGATTGACCTCTGCGATCGTCGTCATGCCGATATTTATGGCCGAATGTCGGTCTTTCTGGTAATCTGGCTTTCCTAAGTGCACGAGCTTTTCGATCGCTGCCCTTCTCTTGCGCCTCGCTGCCATCTTTTTGCTTGTTCTTGGAATTTTGCGGGTTGTTTTTCCAATCCTCGCGACGCTGATAGTTGTTGCTAGTCGCGAACTCTCGAAGGATGGTTCTGGTTTGGTAGAGGAAGGGCACAAAGCCTGCTTTCGTGGATTCGAGGCTCAGCAAGCAGCTTTTCGCCGTGGCTGACCTGGCCAGCATGATCAATCGCGTGGATCACAGTGTTCAATTTCCCATCTTCTTTGGATCGTGGGTGTTGACCGTCATTCGAAATTGGAACGCTTCAATGTCGACTTCACTTCACTTCAATTGCTAGCTTGAACTTTACGTAAGCAGAGTGAATGCATTAGCGCAAGACTCAACGCGTGCTATAACGCGTCTCCGTCATCGACTCACTTCCGTCCCCTGTCAACACATCCTCGAATATCTACAACTCAGCATGGCGGCCGGAAAGAAAGGCCAAGCTCTTAGCGACTACGAACAGGCTAGACAGGAGAAAATTGCAAAGAATCAAGCCCTCCTCCAGCAACTCCAACTCGACGCGCAACAAGCCGGCATAGGGCCCAAGAAGTCAAAACCGAAACCTGCCTCAAGCACTGGTCAAAAGCGCAAACGTGATGCCGAGAAAGTCAAATTCGAGGACAATGCGCCGCGACGAACATCGGCGCGACTGCAGGGCATTGTCGCCGATTCCGAGGTAGCCAAGAAGAAGGAGGAAGCGGATGCAGAAGCATTCCAAGAACAGCAGCGGATCAAGAGACAGCGCGTCAGCGATGACATCGACCTTCATGCGGCAATCGTCAATGGGAAGGGCTGGGATAAGGCTGGTAACTGGCTGAGCATGGTTGGACCTGCGCAGCCCGGGGAGCGCACTTTCACACCACAAGATATCAAAGATACCAGCGACAAGGAACTGAAAGAGCTGAGACAGCGTATGAGTGGCTTGGGGCTATGGGAAGGCGCTGAACCGAACAGGATTAAGATCACACCGGAGAGGATATATGCGCTTGGATTCCACCCGTCTGAGGAGAAGGCACTTGTCTTTGCCGGTGACAAGCTGGGAAGTCTTGGACTCTTCGATGCATCTCAGACGAGCCCACAGCAGATCAAGCAGGAAGCAGACGATGCCGACGAGGATGGAGACGTGGATGACGAAGTCGAGCCGGCGATCACCACCTTCAAGATCCACACGCGGACGATCAGTGCCTTCCAGTTCGCTCCGCATGATCAGAATGCGCTCTTCTCGGCATCCTACGATTCGTCAATACGGAAGCTGGATCTGTCGAAAGGGGTTGCGGTAGAAGCCTACGCGCCAGACGATAAAGGCGCCGATGAACCTCTCTCCGGCGTTCAAATGAGCCACGCAGACCCGAACATGCTCCACTTCACAACACTGGACGGAAGATTCGGGATCAAGGACATTAGAACACCTCAAGCCCAAGCCGACATCATGCAGCTATCCGAGAAGAAGATCGGAGGCTTCACACTGCATCCCGCACATCCCCATATCCTCGCCACAGCATCACTCGACAGGACGCTGAAGATCTGGGACCTGCGCAAGATCAGCGGTAAGAAAGACAACAGAATGCCCCATCTTGTCGGTGAACACCTCTCCAAACTCTCCGTCTCTCACGCAGCCTTCAACAGCGCCGGACAAGTTGCAACGGCCAGCTATGACGATACCGTCAAGATCTACGACTTCTCGGAATCCGCAAATTGGAAGCCAGGACACAGCCTGACGGACGACGAGATGCAGCCTGCTACGATTGTTCCCCACAACAACCAGACCGGACGGTGGGTGACGATCCTGCGTGCTCAGTGGCAGATGCAACCGAAGGACGGTATTCAACGGTTTGTGATTGGGAACATGAATCGATTTGTTGATATTTACACGAGCAAGGGTCAGCAGTTGGCGCAGTTGGGCGGTGAGAATATCACAGCTGTACCCGCTGTCGCTCAATTCCACCCGTCCATGGACTGGGTCGGGGCGGGCACCGCGAGCGGAAAGCTGTGTTTGTGGATGTAGAAGTCTTTGCAGTGTCGTTGGATATCAATGATACAAACAAAACCATCACTCCCCACTAGCAGACCTCGTCCGTACATGCGTCATCGTACTCCCCCACTCATGGATCCTAGGGACACCCTCCCCTCCCCCTCCCGGCGTTATCGGCCTCTTCCTCTCCACCGGACTCCAATGCCTTTTGAGCGCATCCCCAATCGCCTCCACATCATCATCCCCCTCCCCCTCCCCACCAGCACCATCCTCCACAACCCTCACACCCCCGACCCGCGCCCTCTCCCTCTCCTCACTAATCTTCACCCCCTCCGCCTTCCGCCTCTCAAACTCCGCCACAAGATTCTTGAAATACACCTCCGCCGCCACCGTCTGACTGTACGCCAACGGCGTCCAATCGTAATTATTCTTCGCGAGCGGGTTCGCCCCCGCCGCCAACAAAATCCTCAGCGCCTTCAGCGACCCCGACGCCGACGCGTGGTGCAGCGGTGTATTCCCGTCCAAATCCCTCGAGTGCGGCGAGGCCGGGTAGTGCGGGTCTTGCAGCAGGATGGGAATCAAGGCCGTCGAGCCCGGCTCCCTCGCCGCGAGAGCTAGCGCATCCAAACCCTTCCGGTTCACGAACCCGATACACCGCGGGAACCTCTTCGCGAGCATGGTCCCGACCTCGAAGTGCCCATTCTGCGCCGCGAGCATCAGCGGCGTGTCGTAGTCCGCGTTGCGCGAGATTTCGTGGTTGTCATGCCCGGCGAGGATTAGGAGGTTGGCGATTTCGGTGAAGCCGTTCGCGGCGGCGAGGTGCAGGGAGGTGTTGGATTTTTCTTCGAAGTCTGGGTTTGGGAGGATGGTGGGGGTGTTTGTGATTATGCGGCGGACGAGGAGGGGGTCGTTGAGGAGGATGGCGCGGCGGAGGCGCGAGGAGACGTCGATCCTGGGGTGTCGTGTGTTAGTTGGGGTAGGGTTGGGATGATTTGCGGAGCGTACATCTCGTTGTCAACATGGTCGTGAGGTTCGTGAGGTTCTGTACCCGAGTCCTGCTCAAAGGGCAAGTGATGGTTGTTACATTGGTTGGAATGGAGGGGAGGAAGACGAGGTGAAGTTGGGTTGGTGGTGTAAGGCTCGAAAGCCACGTGGGGCTAACTATAAATATCGACATCGAACAGAAATGAGGATCATCTGGGAACATGTTTCTCTATCAGTCGTTCCTTCGAACTGGTTCTAATGGTTGAATGCGGGCTGTCTATAGCACAGAGTTGATATATGTACATATTGTACAGGCCGCCGTCGGCCGTCCCTCCTAGCAACACCAGGCTTGCCAGCACCGTCTTTGCGACAGCATGGATGCAACGCTAAACAGTATTCGAAGGATGCAGTGCACTGTCGTCGATCGCTCACTTCCTCCGCGACATCACCTTCGAGCACATATCGATCAGGCCGACCTTGGCCTCACTCTCTGGGAAACCTGATATGGCGCGAGCTGCCTTGTCGACGTAATCTTGCGCAAGTGCGCGCGTCTGCTCAATGCCGTCGCTCTGGATGACGAGGTCTCGTGCCTACAGCATGTCAGTATGTGTGACGGTCAGTGCTAATGATTACTGAACTCACCTTTTGCACATCGCCCTCCTCCGAGAATTTCCGGCCTACGAGCGTACCGAGCTCTTTGTTGTTTCTCCATGCGAAGAGCAGTGGAGCTGTGGCAAGTCCGAGTTCCAAGTCTGCACCCGCTGGCTTTCCAAGCTCTTGTCCACTCACGGTGTAATCAAGCATGTCATCCACCAACTGGAAGGCCAGTCCCAGGTTCTTGCCATACTGATAGGCTGCCTCGACGACCTCCATTGGATGCTCACCGAGCAACGCAGCCGCACGACAAGACTTGCTGATCAAGCTGGCCGACTTGAGGTATGTCTTTTGCAAGTAGTAACTGACAGTATCCTCCGTCCACACAGGATGCTTCTCGTCCAACGCGGTGTTCTTGAGCTGCATGAACTCTCCTTCCACAAGGTTGGCGATGACAGTCGCAAGCAGTTCTGTGACTTCCGGATCGCGTAATCGGGCAAGTGCGACTGAAGCTCTCCCGAGGAGGAAGTCACCCGCTAGCACAGCCATCTTGTTACCAAAGGCAATGTTCGCAGATGGGTTTCCTCGTCTTGATACCGAGGTGTCGATAACGTCATCGTGGAGAAGCGACGCAGTATGGATGAGTTCGGTAATTTCTGCTAATCGACGTTGAGAGGGACGTATCGAAGGGTCGTTGGCAAAGTCTCTGCTCTCAACGCTCGAGGCTGTGAGAGGTGAGTCGGGGTTTGTATCGTTGAGCACGGAGGACGATGTTATGGGTGCATCGACAGCATCTTTGAGACTGTTCTCGGATCGCGGACTTCGTGGCAGTAGCGCTGTAGCTTGCGACATCAGTAGCACAAGCATTGGCCTAATGTATTTGCCCTCAGACTGTGTGTAGTATTTCGAGACCGTATCCAGCATTGGATGCCCCGAGCCCAGCAGCTGTCTTATATTCCCCGTCATGAACTTCATTTCTTTGGCGACGCTCCTCAAAGGGTCAATGCCCATAGGTCCTGCTGGTGGAGGGCCATTGAACATCTCCTTCGCCTTCGATACCGCTGCCGCCACTGCGGACTGATTCCGACTTGAGGACTCATTGTAGCTTCTCCTCCTCGTGCTATGAAAGTTTCGATATGAGAGTGGCTTGTAGCATTCTGGACAGAACCTCCGTACGGATCGAGGTGGAAATGCTGGCGTTGAAGTGAGGGTTTCGAAAGTCCCAACAAGAGCACGCGAAGGTGCTGCTGCCGGCCTAGGCATATATTCGTCTCAATGGTGGAGCTGCGGAGACGAGTGGTGGTGTGAGGGTTGTTCGAGAGCTCGCGCAGGTTGTGAGAGGCGTGAAAGTGAAGGCGGGTGAACTCGGACGAGCTTCGCAATGGAGCAAACATCGAAATGTTCGGCTTGGGACGATGGATTTTGCGGAAGCTTCCTTAGCGTCATCGATCTGGACAGTCAGCACGATGCAGGTACACCAATCACGTCCGCATTCAACTCTGAGCCTCTTCTGTTTGTGACATTCTACGGAGATGGTGCAGCTCACGGTCACGGCTGCTGGGAAAGCCGCCGTCGAGGAGTACTGCAGGCTGAAAACTGCTGACGGAGAGGGAGAGGGAAATGAGAGGCTGGAGACACTTTCCAAGACTGATCTAGGCAGCCCTGTTGACCATCACGAGCTGGTCGGCATCTCCAAGTACCTGGTCGGAAAGCATCGAGACAGTTCTGAAGTCGCCAAGGAATGGCGTCTCGAAACGTTGTTGAAAGGTGCTGTCGTGTATCAGCCTCCTCCTCCGCCAAAACCTGAGAAGGTAAGCCACTTTGCACACCGCAGAACTGGGCAAGTCATATGGACTGACGGTATTGCAGTCACTCGAATACAAGGCTCTGATGCAGAGATTACGAGAACAAGAAGAACAGAGACAATACGAGCGCATGACAAATCCTCCAAGTCAGCCGGAGTCGTTCACTCAACACTTTCCCAATGCTCCCAAGCCCTTCGGCGCCGGACTGGATGTTGGCTACAATGCTGCCGATGACGTGGACGACGTGACCTTTGCCGACGTCAACCGCCAGATGGTTCTGATCATCAACGTGTTGATATCCATCATCTGCACCAGCGTGGCGGTGTGGATGGCCGCACGTCGTTGGAGCGTACCCGAACGCCTGGGACTGTCCTTCTCGAGCAGCACTGTAGTAGCTGTTGCTGAAGTCGCTATCTACATGGGCTACATCAGACGAATCAAGGACGCCAAGACCAGGGAGAAGAAGTCGACAGAGAAGAAGGAGATTGTCGACACTTGGGTGATTGATGCCAAGTCGTCATCTCAGCAAGCCAAGTCCTTCTCTTCCACTGCCGACTCTAGCGACACGATCAGATTCAGGAAGGGTAAACATCGTTGAGCTTGAACTTCACATCGTCTTGTTGAGACAAGGGTCGAAAGGACTTCATAATAACAAATCGAGTTGAGTACAAGATGCGAAGTAGTGTCTCGGTCTAGGAACGAGCTGCGGTGTTCCCTCCACGTCAAACTGGTACACGGGGGGATTCCTACTGACGGTTTTTCTGCGGCACCGGTTAGTGCGTGAAGATTAACCTACAGTAGTCCGGGGAACGCCTCTCTGGGGCATTATATTTCGTTACCTCTCACGACTGGCAAAATTCAATATAAGGTCCCTCTTCGGACAAGCTCCTCAAGGCACGCTGACTGGGAAGAGCAGGCGTTCAGAACCCGCGACGAGGATCACGCTTTGAACCAGCTTCGCAAGCTCACCACCCATGATATTTACCAGGATGGTATCGGCTTTCTTCATGAGGGCACACCCAAGCTGCTAGCAACGCAAACATCTTCTGCTCCCCTCACATCCTTCTTTCTCTTCAAATATCTTCACATGGCTTGCCCGAGCACGCAGTTCTACCAGAACGATTCGTACATCGCAGAAATCTGGTCATGGTTCGGAATTGGGTATGTTGAAACTTCGGTATGAGCTTACGTGGTATGCGATGACTGACCGATCGGTAGCACGCTGGTGGTCTTTGCCCGGCTCGTCCTCCGAATCTCGAGGGTCGGATTGAGCCGACTTCAAGGCGATGACTACCTCGCCCTAGCGGTATGGTTCTGCTTCGTGATGAAGTCCATCGCCCTTACTACGGTCTTTGAGTGGGGCTCGAATATGGATTATGGTGCCGCGCACGTCGGCGAGCTGGGCGACTGCCAGCTCGAAAGAGTACGGCGTGGCAGTGGTATGGAATTGCTTGCGTGGTCTGTTTTTATCCATAACTGAACTATACTTGATCTGTGGCTGATGGCAAACAGGTACACGTACTGCTCGATAATATGGGGCTTGAAGGGAATCGTTCTCTTCATGTTTCGTCGGCTCACGTTCACTCTCGACCGACCACGATACTTCACATTCGTGTGGGTTGTCACTGCTGCCACATATATCGCCATGATCCTCACCTTGACATTGGGCTGTCTCCCATTCCAACTCAATTGGCAGGTCAAGCCACCACCGCCTGCCAAATGCTCCCTCCGCATGCACGACGTTTACGTGTCGACCATCCTGAACGTACTGACCGACATTCTTATTCTCGCCATTCCGCTCCCAGCGCTATGGAAGATGAGCATCGACTTCTGGAAGAAAGTGGGCCTCGTGTTGTTGCTGTGCTCAGGCATTTTCGTCATCACCGCAGCACTTGTGAGGTTTGGCTTCACGCTGGTTGGCTCAACATCAGTGAATCTCAATCGGTACTCTTGCACAAATGCTAGCCAAATGTTACCTGACGACTGACCGGTAGCTGCAGTTGGTGCCAGCGAGAGACGACGGTTGGCATTATAGCGGTCAACGCAGCCGTGCTGCGATCGTGGTTCAAAAGGCGGAGACCACGCGGCGGTGCTGACCTACACGGGATCGAGGCGATGACCATGTGGCCTGAGATGGGAGATCCGGTTTCTTCACCTGTTATGCCGATTCTCGCCAAGTCTCCGGTCGTGACTACAAGTGAAGACACTACTGATTCTGCTTGGGACACGCCTCCTCACGGTTTGTCGATCGTTGCGAGCAGCAAGATGGAAGCCAGTATGGCTTAAGTTAAGAGGGTGTCGCAGTTGACTGACTGTTTCATGACGTTGGTGTTGGGAAGTCTGTTTAGATATTAGTTCAATCCGATCTCCGTACATATCTCAGTCCCGGGACTTTTTTGGTTTTGCAAGGATTCAAGGCGCGCGGGATGTCTCAGCGTCATCTCATATCATCCACCAGACGCCTTTACATGCAGTTTCAACTACATCACAGCGACCTTTCCTGCTTCACTCCCATTGTTGCAGATATGGAGGCCTTGCAAGAGAATGATGAAAGCCGCGATGATGAGGTAGCCGCGCCTCTCCTTTCTTCACGCGACAATGAAACCACAACGCCAGGCAAGAAACTATCCGTAGGCATCATTCTAGCACTCACATGCATCAATGGTGGACTCCAAGTGTTCTTTTCGACAGTCATGGCTAACCTATCTGTACGTTGTATACAGTTCTCCCTGGAAGCATGACTGACCAAGCATCCAGCCATACCTCCAAGAGCTGGGACTGTCCAAATCTGCAACAGCTGCCATCACCATCGCCTTACCACTCTCTGGCGCTTTCATAGGACCCACAGCCGGAGCACTTAGCGATCGTCTTCGAACACGATGGGGTCGAAGGAGACCTATGATTCTCGCGGCAGCAATCCTGACTATCGTATTTCTTGGCCTCCTGGCATGGACGGAGCAGTTCGTCCATCTGTTTGCGGCTTGCCCGGGCGCAGAGCCTTGTGACGATCCCAAAGGCAACATTTCTAAGACCACAATCGCACTCGCCATCATTTGGACACTACTCGTCAGCATCGCGGTGCAGCCAGTTCAAGCTGGCGTCCGAGCTCTCATGGTCGACATCGCACCAGCAGACGAACAGAGCCGTGTCAGTGCTTGGGCGAGTCGGATCCAAGGCTCATTGGCAATCTTCAGCTTCTTCGCCAGCTCGTTGAATTTACCTGATCTACCTGGACTGGGCCGCTTGACGCAATTCCAGGCGTTGACATGTCTGAATTTCATCACGCTGGGCGGCACAGTGTTGATTACCTGTGTCTTCATTGCGGAGAAAGATAGTCGCCGTATCTCGCTGCAAGCGAAGCAGAGAAGTGTGAAGGAGGTGTTCCGCCATATCTATCAGACCGTGTGGCATCTGCCCAAGAGGATTTCTGGGGCTTGCAAGGCGCAGTTCTCGTCGTGGTTTGCGTGGTTTCCGTTGCTTTATTACACAACTACATTTATTGGCGAGCTGGGTGAGTTGATGATCTTCTTGCGTTTAATGACTACCACTAATTATGTGGCACAGGCACCAAAGACATGGAAGTTCTGGAGAGTCCTGGCGATACGCTCGCCCAGGCTGGATCGCTTGGTAGCCTATCCTTCGCCATCGTTGGCTTCTTTTTCACCCTCACTTTACCAGTGGCATTGCCCTACGTTACGAAAAAGCTCGCTAGACGTTCCACCCAGGCGGAAGCTGATAACGAAGCCAACGACACCTCCAATTTCAGCTCAGAACCGCGTAGCCTCCTATGGCTCTGGCTCAGCACACAGCCCGTTCTCGGCCTTCTGCTCGTCCTCACGCTCGCCGCAGCCTCCCAATGGCAAGGCATCGTCCTTGTTGCTCTCGCAGGCTTGCCCTGGGCGGTCACACAATGGGTACCATGGGCCGTCATCGGTTACGAGACATCGAGACAGGGTCTCCAGTCCGAAGAAGATGAAGAAGATGCTGCAGACAGTCAGGCTGGAGCCATACTCGGAGTTCACAATATGGCCATCTCACTGCCGCAAGTGCTCTCTGGTGCTGTGAGCAGCGTGACGTATAAAATTTCTGAGGAGGCTGGAAGTCAGGTTCCGACGGCGTGGGTTCTGGCGATTAGTGGTGTTGCCGCGTTTGTAGCGGCTTATCTTGTTAAGCGGGTGTTGTAGACAAGAAATCGAGAACATTGAATCTTGAACCTTTGAAAGTCACGAGATGACGCGCTTTAGCGCGAAAGCGGGATTACTTCCAATCCATGTCATTGGAGCGCGCCACAACTCCATCCACAAACACATACATCCATCGACGACCAAAGTCGGCGCACGACGAAGGCGACAGAGCCAGATCAGATGACTTGGCAAAAATGGCGCGAAAAGACTTTCATCACCCGTTCCAACCATACGACATCCAGCAACAATTCATGGAGGCCATGTACGACTGCATCGAAGAAGGCAAAGTCGGTATATTCGAGTCTCCCACCGGCACTGGCAAGTCCCTGAGCTTGATCTGTGGAGCTTTGACTTGGCTACGCGAGCAGAAAAGAAAGACATTCGATGAAGCCATGGCGTCGGTCGAAGTGGATGATGATGAGCCAGCTTGGATGGCGGAGCATACACGAGAGACACGGAGTCGCGAGATACGCCAGATGAGAGTCGATTTCGAAGCACGGCTGTCCGCTGTGCGAGAACGTGAGAGGAAGTTGAAAGAGCGCTTGGCCAATGTTGCACCTCCTTCGAAGCGGCAGAAGCAATCGCATCAACCAGAGGAGCATGTGGACGACAAAGATCAGTTTGTTCTTGACGATTACGACAGCGATAGCGAAATAAATACCGATCAGGCCACAAGCTACTCATCACAGACAACCAAGTTGATGGAGAAGTTGGGCATGATGCCGAATGCCGCTGAGCAGAAAGGTGCTGAAGTCGTCGAAGAGCTCAAGATTTACTTCTGCTCAAGAACGCACTCGCAGCTATCGCAATTCACTGGAGAACTCAAACGACTCCATCTACCACCTGGTCTGCCACCAGATCAGGACGCCGACGAATGCGGTGAAGAGCCAACTGAAGAGATCAAGCACCTCACCTTGGGCTCTCGCAAGAATCTGTGCATCAACCCAAAAGTCGCGAGGCTTCCCAGTCAAGTAGCTGTCAACGAACGCTGCATAGAGCTACAGCAGTCAAACACTCCAGCGGACAGGAAATGTCCCTCCCTGCCGAACAAAGACAGTGAAGATCTGATGCTCGACTTCCGAGACCATGCACTCGCCAGTATCCGTGACATCGAGGATCTCGCAAAGCTTGGCTCAAGATTACAGATTTGTCCCTACTACGCATCACGACCAGCAATCAGTCCAGCAGAGATTGTCACCTTGCCGTACCCCTTGCTGCTGCAGAAAGCCGCGCGGGAAGCGCTCGGTATCTCGCTGAAAGGCCATGTGGTTGTAATTGACGAAGCACACAACTTGATGAATGCGGTCGAAGGAATATATTCTGCTCAAATCTCAGATCTTCAGCTCAAGCGGGCAAAGGATGGCTTGATCGTGTATCTGCAGAAGTTTCGAAACCGCTTGAAAGGGAGCAACAGGAGCTACTTGACGCAAGTCGTTCGAGTAATCGACTCGCTGCTTGGATTCACTGGCAATGTGGACAGTCAGAATAGTACCGGAGCTGCAACTACGACAAGTGCGCTGCTGGCTGGCAAAGCCGTGGACCAGATCAACTTGTCGAAACTCGTGCGATACATCAACGAGAGCAAGCTTGCCAGGAAAGTGGAGAGCTACATTGGATATCTTGCGCGAGAGGAGGCGACCAAAAGTCAGAAGCGCTCGAAAGAATCAAATGATAATGTTGCTGATGTGCCGACCCTCACCCACGTTCAGAACTTTCTACTCGCTCTCATGAACCCATCAAGAGAAGGAAGGTTCCTGTGGTCAAAGGAGAACGGGCAAGTCGTTATCCAGTATCTACTGCTCGATCCGTCCGAGCACTTCCGGGAGATTGTCGAGGATGCTCGGGCTGTCATCCTCGCGGGTGGTACCATGTCACCGATGGATGACTACAGACAGCAGCTATTTCCTTACCTGGACTCGCTGCGTACATTCTCATGCGGCCATCTCATCCCTTGCAGCAGCTTATTTGTGCGAGCAGTGACATCTGACGAAGTAGGTCCCTTGGAGTACAGCTTCAAGGCACGTAACGACGCCAGCGCTCAACGACTCGGAAGAGCGATCGAACAGGTTGCCAGCAAAGTCAAAGGAGGGCTTGTCGTCTTCTTTCCCAGCTATGGGTACCTTGAAAGCGTCACGAATCTCTGGCGAAAAGACTCGATTCTGGATCGGCTAAGCAGCATCAAACCAGTCTTCTCTGATAGCCGTACTGTCTCCGCCGAGGACACGTTCAGAGACTACAGCGAAGCGATTCGAACCGGAGGTAGAGGCGCTGTAATGCTTTCTGTCATTGGCGGCAAACTCTCAGAGGGCATCAACTTCTCAGACGATCTCGGTCGATGCGTGGTCGTCGTTGGTCTGCCTTATCCTAATTTGAAAACTCCAGACTGGAAGGCCAAGATGCAGTATCTCGAGGAACGCGCTAAAGAAAGGGGCGAACCAACTGGAAAGGCGAGCAGAGAGCACGCAGAGAATGTGTGCATGAGAAGTGTCAACCAGGCCATTGGTCGGGCTATTCGTCACAAGGACGATTGGGCGAGTATACTACTGTTCGATGCGAGGTATGCGGAGTCTCGAATACAGGCGAAGTTGCCGGGTTGGATAAGGGAGAGCACCGATTCGAAAGCATGTGGTTCAGTCTCGGACGTTGTAAAAGGGCTTGAATCCTTCTTTGAAGAGAAAAGGACGTGAATGAGGCGCTCGAAATACTGGACCCAACTAGCAACCACGCCAATTGATGCGAATTCCTACTGAACGTCTGATTGAAATGCGGGCACCAATCGAACATCTCCACGGGTCCGTACAGCAAGGCTTTCGTCCGTATAAGACGCAGCGGAGTCTATGGAGGAAGGGCTATCTTGACAGTATTACGAAGAAGAGTGGAAGACGACCCACTCCACCGTATTGTAAATTGCCAAATTCGGAAGGCCTAAGGCGGCGCTACACTGGACCGAAATGGCGCTATTAATGTGTGTCAATCCTAGGGCTGGTCGAGTGCTCGTTCACCTCGTATACCTCGAATTTTCACTCTTGCGGACACTGAGTCTCAGGATTAGCCAGTCCGGGGCCCCATCTTTCGATTGTGCTTCGACCTCGTTGATCTACAGCCTCCACTTGATCCAAGCGAGACGATCTAGCTAGAACGGGGTGCAAATTCAGGGACGACGGAGAATCTATATCTAGATCCATGTGCCCCCGATCCAATGGTCTTGCCAGCAAGCAAGATGGCTCTGATTTTCGCAGCAAGGCTTCTCCTGCTCCTTGCGTCCACCGTGACTGCTGTCCTCCTCCCATCTCAAGATGTTTTCTACACGCAGCCGGCAAACATCTCCAGCTACAACCCAGGTGACGTGATAAACACGCGCTCGATCCCAACGAACTTGAATGGTTTACTAGCTGGCGGTCCTTCTCCCTCGATCAAGGCTGCATATCAGTATCTCTACAGGACGACCGATAGTCTAGGAAATCCCGTTGCTGCTGTTACAACTTTACTGGTTCCCCACGGCGCCGACCCGTCGAAGTTGCTGGCGTATCAGACTGCGTATGATTCTGCCAACAATGATTGCAGTCCTTCGTATGCGTTGCAGGCAGGCGCCAATACGTCAGCTACGTCGGACATCATTTTCGTGAGCATCCTAAGCTACTGCTCCAAGTGTACAGACCTAACATGCCATAGATCACCGCCGCTTTGGACCAAGGCTGGTACGTCCTTTCACCAGATTACGAGGGCCTGAACGCCCACTACACATCGGGTCTCATCTCCGGTTACGCAACTCTCGACTCTGTACGTGCAGCCTTCAAACAGACCGCCGCCAGCGGACTGAGCACCTCAGCAAAATACGCCATGTGGGGATACTCGGGCGGTTCACTGGCATCAGAGTGGGCGGCTGAACTCCAACCATCATACGCTCCCGAACTCAAATTCCAAGGAGCTGCACTTGGCGGACTCATACCAAATGTACAGAACGTGCTATCGACCATCAACAAAGGCCCGTTTGCCGGCTTGGCCTTCTCCGGAATCTATGGCTTGAGCAAGGCATACCCTGAACTTGCGGCCTTTCTGGACGCAAATCTCGTGCCTTCGAAGAAGGACCAGTTCTATTCCACTGCGAATGGGTGTCTCAGCCAAGCGTCCTCGCAGGGTGCATTTCAGGACTTGTACTCGTACTTCACAACGGGCAAGGCCGCATTCTCACAGCCAGTTCCTCAGTCTGTTCTTTCCAAAACGGGAATCATGGGAACTCATGGCGTTCCATCGATCCCGTTCTTCGTTTACAAGGCCGTCGCGGACGAAGTGAGCCCTTCGAACGATACGGATAGTCTCGTCAAGACACTGTGCAGCAGGGGCACGAGTATTGAGTACCATAAAGATGTCATCGGCGAGCATATCACGGAGGCGATCACAGGGAGTGCGAATGCCTTGGCGTGGATTAGCGATCGTCTTGAGGGGAAGGCTGTAAGTACTGGGTGTACGACGGAGGTCGTAGCGTTGACGTCGGTGGATTTGGAAAGTGTTGAGCAGTTGGGAGGGGAACTTGTTGCTTTGCTGCAGGATTTGCTGGGTGGGAGGTTGGGGCCTGCTTTCTCTGGGTGAGGAGTATGAAAAGGGAAGGAGTGAGAAACGGGACTTCTATCGTATCGACCCAAAAGGGGAGTCTAAAGCTTCAAGCGACATAGTCCGGAAAGACTGAATGATCCCACGGCTCACTCTCCTGAATCAGCTCCCATCCCAAACCAACTCCGGTCCCAGCCACGCTCGCTTGCGGCACAGGTGCTGCAGCATGATAGATCCTCGTGAACGTCACCTCACTCCAGTACTTGAACGGAACGCCCGCAGGCACAACCGCAGTATCACCAGTGCCTAACGCAATCGTCTGCCCGTAAATCTCTACATGTAACATGCCTTCCAACACTTGAAAGACCTGCGCAGCACTCTGACTCCTGCACTCGCGAAGAGTCTCATTCGGAAGTTTCGCCCGCACGGTGATGGTTGTTATCGTTAGGGCCCCCTGAGATTCGTTGCCGGACATGTAAAGCTGCATGACCTGGCCAAGGGAGCGTTGAAGATACCTGGGACCCCAGCCCCCGGCGACAAAGTACGGTGCTATCGAGCCCGGAAGGCTGTTGTTGCCTGTGTGCCAGGGGGAAGAGCGGTCAGTAGTGCCGTTGATGAGGTTGAAGTTTGCCGGGTAGTTGGTCGGATTGTAGTCATAGTAAGCTCCGGTCGCTTCCATCAATTTCGTTATGTTGGCGGGGAGAGGGTTGTCGGCGGGAAAAGGGGCGTGATCTTGAGGCTCGTAGTTCTCGCCAACAGCCTGGTAGAAACTGAAACCTCCTGGTGTCACCGCCCCTATCACCTCCGTATCCGGCTCAAGCAGTCTGAAAGAATGGTTGGTATAGGGTGGTATGCTCCCCATGTCTAGAGGCGACAGGCGGCGAGTCTCGTTCTGGGCAAAGAGCTCAATCACCCCCTTGACGACGAAGAACGTTTCGTGATAGCGAGAATGGTAGTGCGTGGGCACACGGCCGCTGACCTGACCGTGCAGTGTCAAAAAAGACAGGGCACCCGCCGTTGACACGTTTGTGGCCGGGAAGCGGAGCACATAGCTGAATGCTTGCACGCCATAGCCGTAAAGATGTGGAAGGACGAACGGGCGGACTGTATCAGGCTCCGTGTCGACAATGAGGGGGTAGTACGAGGTGTTTGTCGTGTTTTAAGCGACCAGAAAGGCTGCGCGTCCTGTCTTCGCAGTGAAGAGTGTCAAGAGGAGAAGTTGCAGAAGGGATCTAGCCAAGGCCATTCCGCAGAAAGTCTCCCTTTCGGAACCTGATAAAATCCAGTAAGGTCAAATGCATCGACAGTCTCGTTCGGTGTGGTAGAGGCGTTATAATCGACTTCACTCTCTGTCATCATGTTGGAAACATCGGCAGATTTGAAGGCGAGCGGCCTCCCCTGGATCAGTTTTATTCGGCCTTTAGGGCGTCGACAGATGTATACAGTATTAGCTCCAAAGTTTCTCAACAATTACTCCATTCAGAACGGGTTATGGAGGCGTAAAATCATGCCTATGCGCCAAATCCAGGCAGACCTAAATTCTGACAGTGCGAGCCCTACGAGTTGATGTCGATCCGGGTCATTGCTACATTACACGCTCTGGTCATGTTGTCCTATTTGTGGAAAATGCTACCGGCAAGTACACTCTTGCTTGCCTGTGACTGGCTCCTTCGTAGGCTGCCGCTGGAGTCATTCCCAACAGCTTGAGCAAGTGAATCAGCTGCAACTATCATAACGCCTGCTCTGTCCATAAGGCGAACTGAAGAGACGTCGTGTCTCAATCTTTGTCTTCAACGGACGAAGGGGAGGAAACCTTCAGTGGAGTGGTTGATGTACCTCTGGGCATGTTCTCATTATCTAAGGCGAGTATGAAAGTCATTTGAGAAGCTCGCCCACCTACACAGGACTCACAGACTGTCCGATTTGGATCAGCCACGCTCGTCTTGTCCTATTCGTTGCGCACGGGTCCTATCTGTGAATTGACTCCACTGTCTCGTATCAACAGCCAGGACCTGCGCCCACACTCTCTCATTCCCATTCACTGGAACAGCTAACCCACCACCGGTAACCACATAAAGAATCCACCAATCGCTTTCTGTCCTTCCGAAAGCGCAAGAAGTCGGCTCAGCTATCTGAGTCGAATTCACATTCCCGGCAATAATCTTTCCTTTCGACCTGCTATCCAAGCCGAGTCGCTCTATCGAGTTCCCCGAGCCAGTGACCAGATAGACGTCTTCGCCATTAGGGGAAAGGGCAAAGTCGTCGAATTGTAGAGTAGCATTGAGAACATGGGTGATAGTACGTGCGGAGCCGGACGGGGTGCCGTCTAGATTAATCGGAACCCGGGCGAAGATCCCAAGGCCAGTGTTCGTGAAGTACAAGATGCCGTCGCGGACGTGGATCCCATCGACGCCTCCTAATCCGATGAGCGGATTTGGAACGGCAGTGGTGAGCTGGTCGTCGATTACTACTTGGTGCGTACCGACCGTAGTGTCGACCCGCCAGATTTTGCCCGTTCCTAAGTCGCCGGCTAGGATGTTTCTAGGCCCTAGAGAGGAAGGGTAGGGGAGGCTGCAGACGCCATTGGGGAACACCAGTTCAGGTAGGTCGGTGATCTTGTACAAATTGGAGCCAGAAGTGTGATTTTGGGAGAGGTCGATGTTCCACACACTCCAGCTACCGGCCTGAGGCTTCCCTTCGGATATGGAAAAGTTGCCAACCGCGGCGACGAAGACATCGTGCTCGATCTCGGCAATGCCTGTCAGGCTGGAGGCATCTGGAAATCTATAGACTGTTTCGGGCCCGGCGTCGGTATGCAGTGGATCCAGTTGCGTCAGCTCAGGGGTAGTGGCAAGTGTCAGGAGTAACTTCCCGCTCTTGCGCACGGCGATGTTTTCGACCCAGGTGCCTAGTGGGAATTGATGAAGCAAGTGAACAGCATCTCCATCATGACGGTACAGTCCGTCATATGATTCTGATATTAGAGGTGCTCCAGAGACATGAATAATATTGCCAAGGGCAGAGATGCCCCTGAGAATGTCGGAACGCCTCATGGTCAATCAAAGCAGGATAATTTAGGCAGCATTTGGTAGAATAGGTCCAGAATCCACAGTTCTACTTATACTCGGTGTGACACCCTCGCCCTTCGCTAGTATCGATACTCCGGCATGATTTCTAAGCACAAGAAGCCAAGGCTGTCGCATTAGTCTCGTGAACGGATCATCTCAGGCTTCGCTACGCTACGCATAGCCTCGCCTAGTATTTCTTCTATTATGCGAATATATTCTTAACTACATCGCATACAAAACTATCTATCTCACAATATTATACCAGTTAGAAGATGTTGGAAATCAGCTCAATCTGTTCCTCTACTCGGGAGCTTAGCTATCCGGATCCCGAAAATTGCTACAGAAGGCAGAGCGATGGTCTATGGACGCAGCAATGCACGATCTTGTTCATTTCGCGCAGCCGCAGCTGATATTTGTTCAGCCACCAAGTCGTCGCAACGTGTGCTATATTAGGTGCCTGCTCAATAATCCTCCTGTTTTGGCAATCGCTAAAAACCCCCGTGGTCAAGTGATTGCTCAATGTGCTACTACCAGTATAAGCTGGGAAGGTTGCCCCTTTACAGAGAATCCGTTACCCTCCGTGGTGCGAATCGCCATGACAGCAACTGACAGCCAAGCACAGCTCACCATCCTTATCATAGGTGCTGGTCTTGGAGGTCTGGCCGCGGCTTACTATTTCGCTCACGAAGGCCACCATGTCAAGGTAAATCAGAGCTCCAAGCATCTTTCAACCTCGCCTGAAATGTTGACTACATTCCACAGCTGTACGAAAAACGCGATGCTTTCAATCCGCGCGGAGGGACCATGTCCATACGTCCCAACGCAACCCGTTCGCTGATCAAATGGGGAAGCATTCGAGTTGGTTGCCGATCAAGTCGGGGCGTGGAGCTTTCGTGGTCTCCAGTCCGGACAGCAGGTTGCGCGACATGTGAATGAGGACTTTTCGGGATTCCCTGACTGGGGGATTGATCGAAAAACGACGCAAGAGATCTTGTACAAGTCTGCCACCGCGCGTGGTGCAGAGATACGCTTCGGGAGGGAAGCTGTGGGCGTCGATGAGGATCAAAGACATGCGTCAGTCTTGTTTTCCGATGGGAGCAGTTCTACCGGCGACATGGTGCTGGTGGCCGACGGGATCGGATCGACCTTCAGGTCCAGGATTCTTGGAGACGGTGGGAAAGCTCGACCAATAGTCACCAATGCCACTAATTTCACCCTTGAGCTCGAATATCAGGATATCGTCGAAAGCGGACTCCACCAAGAACTAGCAAGTTTCTCGGACGGTGTTGTCTGGATAGGCCAGGACCGCTACGCCATAGGGAGATACGTATCCAAGTTAGGCAAGGTATTCCTCGTGTTCGACATAAGAAACGGGCCCGCGCCAGCTGAAGACCACAAGCTCTGGCAAGAGGTGTGTATTCACATGAGACCGGGCGAGAGTCTTGTTGATTTGATCTGTCTAGACTGGGGACCTCGACTACGTCCAGAAGTCCTTCGAAGGCTGTTGTGACAGCTTAGACTCGGCCCTGAGACTAGCCAAACGATGCGATCAATGGCATCTCGCTTATCTACTAGAATTGCCGCGGTGGACGAGCGAGCATGGACGAGTGTTGCTGCTTGGCGACTCTGCTCATGCGATGCTTCCGAATGTTGCGCAGGTGAGTACGGGGACCGTCGATGAATCTTGTCTTCGTACTGTGAAGCACATGCTGAATGTTCGGGTAATAAACAGGGCTTTTCTACAATAGTGGAAGATATCGACGCACTCGGGGGTTGCATAGCTGAAGGCAAAGGTCGAAGCTTGGAGAACCTGACTGAAGCATGGTCGAGGCTGCGGATGCCGAGGATGAACAAAATACAGGCCTATGCAAAAGCGGCGTTCAACGGATTTTCAGGCGGACCGGCAACAAGAAACGGAAGTAGTGAGGCGGAAGGCGAAGGCCTGCCGAACTATGAAAGTCCTGAATTCGTTCGTTGGGTTGTGGGCCATGATTCTTACGAGGAGGTGCGTATTTCCAGTCGTCGATTGCAAACTGTGAAAGTCATCAATTGACCAAGTGAACAAGCGAAAGGCCCTATTGTAGCTCCTTTGCTTGCTTGCTACGTGTATTAAGGCCTGCTGTGTACAAGCTGTGATGTTGTAAAAGGGCGTGACGTTGTTGCAGCCTTATACCCGCTAATGCGAAAGTTACGCAGTTGTCACAGCCTGGTTTAGATTATACCATGCTGCTATACAGCGAAAGCAAGGACAGCCCTGTCCATACCCAGAAGGTCAAAAGCTTTTGGGCAGCTCAATCAGCTGACCCGTTGCCAGACGCGGGCAGGGCTGGAGGCATGTGAATGTACCACATGGCGTCCACGTAGCGACTTCTGAAGCTTGATAGGCTGTTGCGGCACAAGATGCATGAGAGCGCATCGTAGTCTTCTACGTCTCTTATGCGACTGGTCTCAGCAAAGAACACGTTCGGCAAGCTTGAAGGTAGTGGCGGACAGCAGCGGCTCAGTGCTGACCGTCTCACTTACTCTCCTGGGTGGACAAAGTATGCATCCATTAGCATGACCGGAAGAAGAGAGCGCGATATGAGCGTCTGTCTTTGACGGATCCGGTGGCGCGGTTTCTAGTACCATCCAGGTTTATACAGTGTCATCGAAGCCAGACAAGTCCCATAAAGCTGAAAGGCAACAGAGCGCTCCAGTCGAGGTAATCGAATTTGTCTTGGAAATAAGCTTCAAGTTCCAACCACTCCTGCCTCGCATGATGATTATAGGACTGTCGGTACCAACGCAAAGCAAAGAAAATTGGCGCTCGAACGGCCTGGGCCTGTCCGATATCTCCGTCTACGGTTGAAGTCAGGAGCGAAATGCACTTTAGAAGCTCTTCGGCGCACTTGTCACCGGCCTTTCTGGTAGCCTTTGCAGAGAGTCCGCTGGCTGTCAAAAGACAGTATTCGGCTTCGTGAACGAGTAATGAGATGACGGTCCGGAAAGCGTGAGCGAGTGCGGCGATGTGAGAATGTGATTCCGTGGGCAATGTCTCGTTCATGACCTCTCTGCCCGGTTCTGCTTGAATGCCGTCTGGATAGAACTCGCTCGCCCATGACTTGAGCTTAGATTTGAGATCTTGTAGTCGCAGTAAGGTCAGGTGATACTCGATCGAGTTCTGCTCTACCTTGCACTCGTTGCAAAGGTAATCGGTCGTTTCCAGAAGTGCTGGAAGTTCGAGTGCGATTCCAGTAAGCTCATCGATAGCACTAGCCCCGGTCAATTGCGAGTTTTGTGAACCATGTAGTCGAAGAGGTATAACTGCTTTGCGTTTGACAAGGGCGTACATTAAAGCCACATGCCGAAGTTGCATGGAAAATCTTACATGCAATTCTCTGCCCACATCCAAAAAGTTTGTCGTCTCGAGGATTGCGTTGATACCTGCGATATTCTTCTCCCACCCTTCCAGGCCAGAGGAAACGACCTTGTAGATCTCGCAGCTAAGCAATTCGAGAGCTGCGCAGAGTGTGCCTTGAGCGTGGATGTACTTGTCTTCAACCTCGTGCCGAACCAAGTGGAGAGTGATGACGAATTTCCGGAAGCCCTCGAGTGCGATTCGATCACTACCAATGGCACCGCCGAAGTGAAGAAGAGTCAGGGCATCGTATCCGGCCTCCTCAGCTGGACATGCTGGCATTCTCCAGAAATCGACAATGCTAGCAAGCTCCGAATTCGCCGCCGTGGTCATGGGGAAATAGCCTTCGACGAAATTTGATGCCAACGCCGTCCTGTATACGTGCGTGTTGTTGATCAAGTGCGATTCGCAAGGCCAGGGAAGGGTGTCTGTATGATTTTCAGGCTGTAGATCGATGGTGTACGATCCTTGGGACTCCACACGTTCAGCGACAGGTTGTATAGAACTCCAGCGCTGTTCTTGACGGAACGCTCTCATTGCTTGTGATCGTACGAGGGACCTCTCGCGCTCGTCGTTGACGACCATCTTCGTGCCGCTTCTTGACATGTCTGCCCTCATCTGGATGAACAGCGACATGATGGCATCAAAAGCACCGCCGGCCACAGTCAAATTAGCATGCGAGTGTGCATCGAAGGGATATACCGAAGACTGTGTCGTGGCCACAAGTTTCAATTCTACCTGCCTCAGGTTCAATGACGACCGGGAATCGCTTACTTAAGCTTGCTTTCAGCTTTGCTAGTGGGAATCGGATGGGCGGGGGAGGGGGTGCAGCGGAGAATGAAGGTGTACAAAAGTTGGGACAGGCGAATGGCAACATTGAAACCACGTAACATGACTGCTTACGCTGCTGCTTCTGGTGTGACTGGGACGTCTGGGTGAGGCTGGCTTGCATGGCAAAGCTCGAGGGCTGCGTGAATGATTGCCTGCTATTTGACAATGTCGTCTACAGAACCGATGTCTGGTTTGACTGCGAGCCATGTGGAAACATGGAGAACACCATGACGCCTCAGTATCACGTCAAAGTCGAGCTTTTGAGCGCACTCATCAACGCAGCCTTGTCCAGCACACCCACGACAATATCCCGGAAGACGGCGTCCGTCCCGGCGAATCTCCGACATCCCGGTCTCACTCACACTCCTACATCTTCCCTCGAAAATACTCGTCGTCTACTATATCTTCGAGAGCACGAGAACGACAACGACGCACATCAGCCCAGTCAGACTCTGATGACTCTCACACACGCTTCTCGTCCCTCCGGACTCCGTGACCGTGACCGTGAATGAACCAAACGGCATCAAACCCGACAGCATATTTCCAATCCCGACCTTGAGGCTTGCAGCCGGAACAACGTCCCCGGAAGCCACGAATCTCAACTGTCTCGCACGTGCAAACGTTTTTCGATACCGTGATATCTAGAATAGAGAATGGAGGAGGAAAATAATAGGGACAATACTGATAGGAATTGTGTAGGACGGTTGCTATCACATGCCAAAGCCTTATCTTAGCCGCTACGGTAGGTAGGTTTCTGGGACCGCGGCTTTGGAAGTTGCGGGCGTTTTTTTGTTCGTTGCTCAACAGACACCGGACTCCGTCGAACCTGGATGGATGGGTTGTGCGAGAAAAAACGCCTTGTCCGTGGACTGGGATTCTCAACGAGAATGTTGCGGAGTGAGGTGTATTTCTGGGTGACTGGGTTGTGGTTTTGTATTTCTGTTGGATGGATTCGGCGGATGGGTGAGATTGGGAAGTCTAACGGCGCGGTGTTGCGTAGTGTTCGCTCTCTTTCTCTCTTTCACATGGTTGTGGTGCATGAATGTAAGTTACTCATTGTTGAGCTCGGTGTGCTGTATTCTTTCCGTTCGGGTTTCTCTTTCCTCTGGTCTGCTTCTCTTTCGTTGTTAGTCTCTGTGTTGTTTCGTTGACTAGTGCTGCAACTATACCGACAACTATACCGACGACTATATCGACAACATGTCTTCCCCAATGGCTCGAAGGACGATGAACAATTGCACGAGATCGATTGTCGATTCATCTCTCTCTAAAAGTCTGACTAGACCTTCTCTTCATGCTCCTTGCCAATTCGTGGCGGGTCAAAGGAGATGCATCACGATCAAACAGCTCGAGGCTGCGAAGAACGGTATACCATCCAAACTCCCCTTCCTTCCCTTCCCCACAACAACCACTTACCATTTATAAACTCTAGACCGCGAACGAGTCGTCATCCTCGGCTCGGGCTGGGCAGGCTACAACCTCGCCCGATCCCTCAACCCCAAGAAATTCCAAACCGTCGTCGTCTCGCCCCGCTCCTACTTCGTCTTCACACCCCTCCTCGCCTCCACCTCCGTCGGCACCCTCGAATTCCGCACCGCCCTCGAACCCGTCCGCTCGCGAAGCAGCAAGTACGATTACATCCAAGGCCGAGCCGATGGAGTCGATTTCGGACGAAAAGAGATCATGGTGCGGGAGACGGTGCGGGATCCTAATCAAGGTCTGCTGTCTACTCGAGCTGGAGAGAAGAAAGATGAGAGGCCGTTGGAGATGCAGATCGAAGCGAGTCGGGGGGAGCTGTTTAGTATGAGTTATGATAAGTTGGTGGTGAGCGTGGGGAGTTACAGCCAGACGTTTGGGATTCCTGGGGTTAAAGAGAATGCGTATTTCTTGAAGGATGTGCAGGATGCGAGGAAGATACGGAATAAGTTGTTGAGTTGCTTTGAGACGGCGGCGTTGCCTACGACACCCAAGGCGTTGAAGAAGCAGTTGTTGAATTTTGCAATTGTTGGTAGGGGAGATGATGTTCTAGACTAACCGGCTTTGCTGTTGAAGACTGACACATCGTAGGTGGTGGTCCTACTGGAATCGAGTTCTCTGGTGAGCTTCAAGACATCGTCAAGGATGACATGGCCAGGCTTTATCCCCACCTTACAGAGCACGTCCAAATCACCGTGTACGATGTCGCCGACAAGATTCTCCCCATGTTCGACGAGACGCTCCATGACTACGCAGTGGAGCACTTCGCAAGAGAAGGAGTAACCCTCAAAACCAATCACAGCATCCGCGAGCTGCGCAGAGGATTTCCGAGAAGGGAAGGAACAGAGGACCTGAACGACGATGTCAAAGCCAGCGGTTACACATTGAAGTTGCAGAATGGTGAAGAGTCGGAGATTGGATGTGGTATTGTCGTATGGAGTACCGGCCTCATGAGCAACCCCTTCATCCAGAAAGCATTGAGTTCGTCCTTCACGGCGCCAGCTTCGTGTTTGCGATTGTCGGACGATATCGATGCGAGCCCTGACGGTGTGGCCGATTGGAAGGTACAAAGGCATCCAAGGACTGGCAGTGTCATTACAGATGACTTTCTCCGGGTCCAATTGGATGCTGGTGATCACCACGAGGACCGACCAGCGGCGATTCTGCGCGATGTGTATGCCCTTGGCGACTGTGCTGCGATTGAAGGCACCACGGACCCGGCAACCGCGCAAGTTGGTGAGTGATGCAATGTCTGCCCAAGTTTCACCAGGATGTATGGCTCTAACACACAAGTAGCAACCCAGAAGGCCAAGTGGCTAGCGAAGAAGCTTAACAAGGGCGACATCAACACTCGCGGCTTCTCATTTGTAAAGCCCCCTTGTCTCACGGCGTGTGTCAAAAAGTGCTTGTTCCAGGAACTGACTTATTTTGCAGGCTAGCCAGGGCGTGATGGCGTATATTGGTGGTTACCGTGCGCTGGTGCAGATGAATCAAGCTTCGCTTTCTGGAAGGACCGCATGGCTGTTATGGCGAGGAGCGTATCTGACCAAATCCATCAGCTGGAGGAATCGTATCCTGATTCCTATGTATTGGTATGTCTTGCATGTTGCCTGCCCAGAAAGATGAAATAGGTGCTAACGATATCATTGCAGGTTCATCAATTGGTATGTCTCGCCGTTGCTGGGTATTTGGAAGACAGTTGAACACAACAAGTACTGATGACAAGGCAGGGCTTTCGGCCGTGATATCTCTAGGTTTTGAATTGGAGCTAAGAAGAGACTCGTGACCCGCCGTCGAGGGGTCGGTCTGTCTTCGTCTTTCCGTTCTGGGAAGTGGATTGCCCCGTTCGGCGCCTCGTCAGGTGTCCTGGCCGTTGAGACCAAGGACGTCACCTAAGCAGCGCGCAGATTTGGCAGCAGAATTGGGGGCATTGCGCGAATTTGGGGCATGGGTGGGCTCGCAACTGTAATGGCTACAACAACAACAGCAAGCGCTGCGTGCGTGTCTCTGGGGGGTCTCCTTTGTCGTGCGTAGAGGCGAGTGGCGTTGCTTGCGCCAGGCCGGGGTCGACACGCAGGGCATGTCTGATTATAGAGTTCAGATAGATGAAGTAGCGCTGCAGCGCAGGCTGTCGATGGCCGGCAAGTTTCGTATCGCTGGCCTGTGATGAGGATCAGCTGTCCTGACGCAGGCCAGCGCTTATAGGACAGTTGCAAATGCATTTGTTGGAGAAGACAGGCCTGCGCGATAGATCTGCCCGGCGTGTGCCCGCCCAGGATTTCATCATCACGCCGTCCGTGTGCCCCTGAGCTGGGCGACTCGAGGGCTGCTAGCGTGGCGGTTGCTCGATCCTCTTGCTGCAGAGCCATCAAGCGGGACGACCGACTCACGAGGTGCCTGAACTCTAAACTATCGGTGTCGCCCATTGCCAGATACTCCTCATCCTCCGACCTGACCACTCCTCCATCACCACCGCCGCCCCTGGTCCATATCCTGCGCTGCACAGCGTGCGCAGTCGCCCGTCCGCCCGCCGCCCGCGCCCGAGACAGCAGCGACGCCGACATTGGCTGTCTGAAACACCACCGCCCGCGCACCACCATCCGCGAAATCCAGGCGCATTGCACCTCCTCCCTGTGCGACTGGCACCCACCGGCGCACGACTGACAGCGCCGACGACGACGACAACGACGACACCGCACCCTACCCTCGCACACGGCCCCGCCCTCCATCCCACCTCGCGCTGCCACTGCGACGCCATTGCGCCTGCTTGCCGAAGCCGACCGAGTCTTGTGCTTCAGGAACGTGTTTCATCTGCCGTCTGAGGCACGGCCTGCGACAAGGCTATCTGGTCGTCTGCCTCCTGCGCTCTTCCCCCTGCACCCATTGCGCACCTCGCACCTCGACGGCCGCCCGCCAAATCACGCAAGGGATTCCAAAGGCACGTTTTCAAACACGGCACCATCCGCGTGCCAGCGACCACCACGCCTTTGTTCCACTCGACCAGCGCAGTTTGCGAAATTGCATTGCGACCACTGCGGGTCCGGGAGTGCCAGCGACGCAGCACAAGAGACGACGTCGCCGTCTGATAAACTCCCGCCATGGCCGTCTCGATGCTTCACACGCCCTCACGCACATCCACCTCCTCTGGCTCCTCCTCCGTCCCGGTGACGAGGCAGAACACCATGAGCTCACAAGAAGGGTCGCGCTCCATGCGCGCCTCCAAGCGCTACTCCGTGACCGCCCTCTACCTCTCCATGAATGCGAACCAGCGCGATCTCGAGATCGAAGACGACCTAGCAAGAGCTCAGAAGTCACTGAGGGATCTCAAGTCCAAGATATCATCGCAGTCGAAGAAGAACTTTGTGCTGGAGAAGGACGTGCGGTATCTCGATTCTCGAATCGCGTTGCTTGTGCAGAATCGCATGGCAATGGAAGAGGTATGCCCTACAATATCACACTGAGATGGGAATCCGGCTAATAAGTGTACAGAAAGAAGAAGTCGCGAGTCACCTCGACGACTCATTGGACCTTTCTGAAGGTTCGTTTCCGAACGACGAGAAGACCCAGAAGTACGGCAACCTGCTGTTCCTACTACAAAGCGAGCCCAGACATATCGCGCATCTGTGCCGACTGGTGACCATGGCCGAAATCGATCAATTACTCCAGACAGTCATGTTTACAATCTACGGGAACCAGTACGAGAGCAGGGAAGAGCACTTGCTTTTGACTATGTTCCAAGTGAGTGAGGAATGGAGATATGCCTGGCAATTTACTGATGATTGTGCAGTCTGTTTTGACCTTCCAATTCGACAACACCCCAGACTATTCATCGCTCTTACGAGCAAACACCCCAGTATCACGAATGATGACCACATACACACGACGAGGCCCAGGACAGAGCTACCTGAAGACAGTGCTTGCAGAAAGGATCAACTCGTTGATCGAGATTAAGGACCTGGACCTGGAGATCAATCCATTGAAGGTATACGAGAGCATGATTGGGAAGATTGAAGCAGATGGCGGTTCTCTACCAGCCAACCTGCCCAAAGGAATCACCGCAGAACAAGCGGCGGCAAACGAGAATGTCCAGCGGATCATTGCGCCGCGAATAGACATGCTCATTGAGATTGCCAATTCATTCCTGGACACGATCATTGATGGCCTGGACGAGACCCCATACGGTATCCGCTGGATTTGCAAGCAGATTCGAAGTTTGACACGAAGAAAGTACCCAGATGCCCAGGAGCAGACGATTTGCACGCTCATAGGTGGATTCTTCTTCCTTCGTTTCATCAACCCGGCCATTGTGACACCCAGGTCGTACATGCTCATTGAGCAAACACCGGCCGAGAACCCCAAACGAACCCTGACATACGTCGCGAAGATGCTGCAGAATCTGGCCAACAAGCCGAGCTATGCCAAGGAGCCGTACATGCAGAAGTTGCAGCCATTCATCCAACAAAACAAGGAGCGCATCAACAAATTCATGATGGATCTTTGCGAGGTACAGGACTTTTACGAAACTCTCGAAATGGACAACTATGTGGCGCTATCAAAGAAGGATCTGGAGCTCTCCATTACCCTCAATGAAGTGTATGCGATGCACGCATTGCTAGACAAGCACGCGACGGAACTATCCAAAGACGAAAGTACACATCTGAGTCAGCTGCTTGGTGAGCTGGGACCAGCACCAGCGCAGCTTCCGAGAAAGGACAACAGGGCCATCAGTTTACCTCTGTACAGCAAGTGGGAGCAATCGCTGGACGACTTCACTGCGGCGCTGGACATCACTCAGGAGGAAGTCTATTTCATGGAGGCCAAGTCAACGTTTGTGATGATCATGCGATCTTTGCCGGCAAACTCAGTGATGATGCGCCGACCACTTCGCCTCGACAGAGTAGCGGAAGCAGCTGCAACGACCAAGAATGACTCAGTCATGGTTCGCAAGGGGATCAGGGCGATGGAGCTTTTGAACCAACTGCAAGAACTTGGCATCATCGACAAGGATGATAGTTATGCATTGCTCAGGGATGAGGTTGAGCAGGAGTTGGTCCATCTCGGATCACTTAAGGAGAAGGTGGTGGCCGAAACGCAGAAGCTGGATGAGGTCTTCCGGACCATTCGCGATCACAACACCTATCTCGTCGGCCAGCTCGAAACCTACAAGAGCTACCTACACAACGTGCGAGGTCAATCAGAAGGCACTTCGAAACGCGGGCAATCAGCCAAAGTGCTAGGACCATACAAATTCACACACCAAGAACTGGAGAAACAGGGCGTGATACAGAAAAGCAACGTGCCAGAGAACCGCCGAGCCAACATCTATTTCAACATTACGAGTCCCAGCCCTGGAACATTCGTCATCAGTCTGCATTATAAAGGGCGTAACCGCGGTCTGCTGGAGCTGGATCTGAAGCTGGACGATCTTCTTGAGATGCAAAAGGAGCAACAAGAGGATCTGGACCTCGAATACGTGCAGTTCAACGTGTCGAAGGTACTGCAGCTGTTGAACCGGCGGTTTGCGCGGAAACGCACATGGTGAGTCAAGTAGAGATATCATCCTTTTGAGAAACGATGCTAACCATGTACAGATGACATGTACTTGTACGATAATCAACTTTTCGCCGCGACATTACGTCTACGATAAAGAGGGCGTGTGGAGAGAGGGAGAGAAGTGTGTTTTGCTGCTACTGCTGCTGCTTTGCAACTGTAATCTCTTTGAGTGTGATACCCACTGTTTGTGTGATGAAAGTTTTTTTGGTGTGTACGATACCTAGGGAATATTATTCTCCACAAGTCTAGGCAAGAAATAACGGGAGAAGCAAGATATCTGAGCGACGAATGACAGACAGAAGGGAAAGCTGTGGATGTTGCAGTCATCTACTGAGAGAGGAAGAGGAAAAGGCTGGATGTCGTTTCCTCAGACAGCGGCGAGTTGAGCGTACTATTATTATTTTTCTTTTTGGTGCTTGTTCTTTCTTGTTCCTTGAGTTCTCTGTGTCTGTATGATGATGAGGACGGCTGGAAACGGATGTAGTGTAGTGTAGTCGAGCTTGTATGTATGAGTAGAAGAGGAAACCGTTCTCTCATAGTACATAAAGAAACACTCCCGTTCCATTTCTAGCCATCAGATCATTCCCTAAGATGCGGTCCAGATCGGAATGCGTGATAAGACGATAACGATAACAGCGGATCGACATGGAATGGCGCGAGCAGAGGACGAGAAAGGATCACATGCGATTCCGGGCCCGGGTAGCTGCAGCTAGCAGGCATCTTCCCCAACCTTTGGGCTTCGAGTCACGCACGCACGCACGCAACCTAGCTCGTGCTGTTGTGTCACATTGCCTCACTCTACACTCTACACTGCCTGCTTGTCTTGTCTTGTGTACATTGATGGTCTATCTACCCACCTGAGAACGAATAGTCTTTCCTAGTATCCTTTGCGTTTCCACAGTGCACTCCATCCACAAGTACCTGAGATCAGATTTTCGACTAGACGAAGCCTCACCGACTAGCCGCCATGTCGTCTTCCATGCCCATCCCCAAGCGGAAGAAGCCCGTCGTCGTCGCTGCGAGCTCCCCGGCGTCGTCGTCGTCCTCCTCTTCATCGTACGGAAGCCCACCGACTCGATCATCGAAAGGGAAAGAGAGGGCGAGTGAGAGTGCTTCACCGAGACAAGAGGGAGGGGCGTTCATGATGAGGAGGACGAGTATGTTAGGTGAGGATACCGTACCCTAAGCGACGTTCTTTGGGCTGAGTTGTGTGACACGTAGGAAACTCGCTGTCCAAGTCAGAGTACACGGTCATCAACCTAGGCCATGAGGATGGGCCGCCTAGGCTGGTATGTTCCTGCCAACCCAATCCATCATACCTTACTGTGTTAGGGAATTGTGAAGCTCATATGATGGGTTGTATAGGTCACTTGCGTGAAATCCTCACAGGGTTTCGATTGGAATCAAGGTCAGCACGACTTTCCCTTCCGATGTTGACTATATACGGCGGAGGTTGACGAAATGATAGAGCTCTTCCTCCCCTCATACATCGACTACGACCCCCAAGATCTGGAGCATCGCCCGGATCCTGTGGATGATATTGTTCTTACTGATGAGGAGGCCGCGGCGATTTTGCCTTGAGGGAAATTTTTGGATGGTTCGCCGTGCATTGTAGCGATTTCCAGCATGGTGCTTGGGAGCTTTAGGGGACACCGGTTGCATGGTTGCATTCTGGGGAATGGAGATATGGTCTTTGCATAGGGGGTAGGGACTGGATGGAGCACTCGTTGATATGTGGATGCTAGGACTGCATGTGCTTCTGCTTTTTGGCGTTGCATGGGATGGGATTTGTTATATAGAGTGGCAAAACCTCGACTCGATCTTCAAGAGCTGTACGTCCCATCTCACTCGGGGCCCTTCATCCTCGTGTTGTATGCTGTGAAACGTGAGCCTCGTATCATTCATGTACTCAAGACAGAGCTCGTGCCGATAGCGGAGAGAGCTCACCGATAAGCCGAAGGTCGGCATCTGAAACAACGTTCGGCTCGGCCCATCTCGGACCCCTGCCGACTCCACCTTGTCTTTCTGTGTTGACATCTGCAAACACGACAACCAGCCCAATCAACACAGAACAATCGCAAACATGGCCGCCGCAAACATCTACGAATCCGATGCCCCGCAACATGGCGAGCGCGCGACCGAAAACACCCACCGCAAAATCGAACTCCAATCCCCGGCCGATCTGACCTACCTCATCGCGAACGTGTCGCGTGCGGCGCGCGAGAAGATTGATCGGCATCTACCGCCGGATGCGGCGCCTGAGGGGGAGGATGCGATGAGGAGGAGGGTGGAGCTGTTGGTTGATAATGTACGTATATACAGTACTTGAACTAAGTGTAGGAGGAGTGGTTATTGATGGGGTTTGCGTCTCGCAGTATATCCGAAATACGTTCAATGCCGCCAAGGACGGGATCTCGATCAATGGGATGGATTCGAGGGAGATGGAGAGGGAGTTGGAGAAGGCGCAGGAGGGGGAGGGTATGTTCAATAACCAAGCAAGAAGAACGACATGGCTGATGATGTGTGTGTTGTAGAACTGGAGCCCTTCGACTCGAAACTCGCACAGCGCATTCAAGCCCTCTCCGCGCAAATTGAAGACCAGACCCTTCAGCTCGCCAATCTCCGTCGAAAAGCACCGCAAGAGACTGCACGGACGTTCCTCGAGTCGTTTGAGAGACAATCGGCGGAGTATGATGCTCGGTTGAAAGCGGATCAGGAGGCTAAATTGCAGGCTGCGAAGGCGACAAAGATGGAGGTTGGGGAGATTGAGAGGGTGGATGAGATGCAGGGGACGTGGCAGAGGGGAGCGGAGGATTTGGCGAAGTTGAAGGAGGGGTTGGGGGAGACGGTGGGGAGGATGGAGAAGGCGAAGAGGGCGGTAGAGGCTGTTGAGGAGAGGTGAAGGAGAAGAGAATGTTTGGGTTTTGGGTGGTGTTTTTGAATATGATGATACCCTGGGCTATGGTGGTAGGAGGCGTTGTGGTAAGCGGCATTGCGGGATGATGGTCACGATTCATGGATCGCAAACGCGTTTGGTCTATCGTCTATGCTCTAGTACATTCTGCAGACACAACGGATGCTATGACTGGCCTGACCCAATACCCTCAGACATCGGACTTGGTCTCTCCCATTCCGGAGGCTTTCGAGTAGCCTCTACAAGTACTCCCAAGCACCTGGTCCGCTCTCATTGCTCGCAATGAGCGAAGCACCAAGGCAAGCAGGGCCGAAGTGAAGCTGCGGCAGAGCAGCATACATCTGCCACGGGCCAACGGAGCTATCGTTTCCAGAAAGGGAGCAGAAGAGGATACCGTTCGACCATGAGAGCGTGCCGAACGAGGAGCCGTTGCTGAATGTCCAGCCCTCGAGGATCGATCCCTCGGGCATTTGGGCGCTGTGAGGTTGGGTGAACGAGACGATGCCGTAGGCTGGGTCGATGTAGCTACAAAACATCAGCATCCTAACATCTTATCAAAACAGGCATGGCTATGAACTTACACCTGCTGAGCGCCTGGGACACTCACGCCCAACGCCAGCGAGCCATTAGCTACACCCGAGCTGGAGAAGACGGTGCGTCCGGTGTTTGGGCAGGTGATGTTCTGCTCGGCGAAGCTGGGCGGGCAGTACGATCCGGCGTCCTTGCCGATCCAGATGCCGCTTTCGTTGGCGTTGATGGTGCCGTAGTGCATGGGGGAGGCGGAGCGGACGGCGAGGAGGGAGAAGTAGGAGGCCGAGGCGCTGGAGGCGAGGGCGGTGAGGGTGAGGAGCTTCATGGTTGTGGTTGTTGAAGTTGTTGTTGGTAGTAGAGGAGGAGAAATCAGAGAAAATGGGGATGGAACGCTATTAAATCCCCCTTCTGTACCACCTCGCACGACGCTATAGCAATCTATGCGCGAAACAAGCGGTCGTCTTCAGGATACGAGGAAAAGTGGTTCATGTCTTACCTCCTCTGCCTGCTTCGGGCAATACAGCCGTGGCATCAAGGTGGTGTTTTGATCGTCGGGCAAGGTTGAAAACATACATAGCGACAAGCTATTGTTGCGCTATCTGATATCCTTGTCGCGGTGAAGTCATAGTGTGCAGACGATGCTAGGCTATTTCCGCGCTACTTGATGTAGCCGATCTGAACGTCGACAGGGGTTGTTGTGAACACACACCTTATCAATTCGTAAGTGAGTTGTTGAGCGTTACCAACATCTCTGCGAGGTTATATACGAGGACGTAGGCGAGATTGCCAATGACCAATCTGTTCCCAGCGAGGGCAAAGTTCGAAATGAGCGGGCTGTCGGTAGGGTTGAATGGGTGGTAGTTGAAAACCCCGAGCGTCAGTCCATTGGGAGAGCGGACTCGCACTCCGTCGTTTTCGGCCGTCCAGATTCTGCCTGCGTTGTCGATGTGCAGGCCTGGGAGATGTCAGAGAAGTGTAACGATCGTCAGAAGTAGGGGTACTTACCATTCGCAAAGCCCGTACGAACGAGACCAAAGAGACGACCATTAACAGGGAAACCTTCATCGTCCAGATCATACACATGGATGGAGTTGGACAGACTAGTGTTGCTCGCCTGCTCCAACGGATCGTGAATGTACGGCGTATTGGTAACGTACAACTTCTTCCCATCAGGAGAAACACGAATGCCATTAGGAGTGAACAGTTCATTCGAATCAATCACCGGCAAGAGGATGTTATCGTCCAGGCTGAACCTCCACACGGCCGTGTCAAAGCGCTCTTTCGGAATCGCAGGAATGATTTCCTTGCCTGCCAAGGTCGTGGCGTATATGTAAGTCTTGCCGTGCACGCGGGCTACCACTACATCATCGCATGGAGCTAGAGGAATTCCTTCATACGAATTAAAGACGGCTTTGGCTTCGAGAGTCTTTAAGTCGATGGCGGTGATTGTGCCTGGCTGTGTTGGGGTGTCGAATTCAGTGGCGTAGACCTTGCCGTCGTCAGGCCAATAGTACAGACCATAGGTATATCGCACCGGCGGGGTAGTCACGACTGGCCTGGAGGTTCGGTTCCGCAGGCTGTACGAGGTGATTGATTGCTCGTAAGGATAATAGAAGCCAGAGTACGAGAACCAGACCTATCAATCATCAGATCAAACCACGTTCCACAGTAAAGTCAAAGCGTACCTCATCCGTTTCGGGAATCCAAGTGCCTCCCTCATAAGCAGCATAAGGGGACCCAGCAGGAGACTCCACGGTGTACCAGCTGGGGTCTGGACCGACTAGGGCATCGAATTCATCAGAGTACGAGACGAAACGTGCCTCGTTGGCGCGTGCCAGGAGCTCGTTGATGGTCGAGTTTCCCGTGGTCGTGCTGTTTAACCAGCTGTACTGCAACTTGCTGTCGAACGGATGGGGAAGGACGTAGGTCCATTCGCGTGGAATGCGGACGAGAGAAGAGTTGGCGTGGACCCAACTGGCTGTCGCTGTGGACAGGAGGAACAAGGCCGCACACAGCATTGTGTTGCTGGTTTGAACTGTGATTGACGCCCCAGCAGGTTGGTCTTGCGTTTATGTACTCGCCCTGACAGATGACGACTCTCTGGACTAGTGAACCGTCGTTGCAGACATCATAGCTGCCGCTCGGGCTCATGGGTAATGAGTGATCGTCCGGTACAGGAGACAGTGGTTCCGTGACTGCCAAGAGGACAGTCCATCGAGAGCAAATCGAGTGATTGTTGTCGTATTGGAACTCCAAACCGGATGTATCCGAGTATCCAGAGGTTAAGTTTCGCTGCGACTCTACCAATTTCGAGCCGGATCGTCAGTGGAAGGACATGTACTCCACGTATTTAGCGACCTGTAACAGTCCACTCAACGGGGCCTGATGCTTTCAGTCTAGTGATCTTTTGCAAGGAAAGTTTCTCAAGCTTTGCCGGCTTGACGAGAAGGTCCTTGTAACAACTGCTACTTTTTGGACTACAGCCATGTTAGCATCGCTGACGATGGAATTATGCTAGCAGAGGCGAAGCTTCAGGCGTTGGTGAGTTTACTTTGTGCGAGTCCTATCGTGGAGAGGCACGGCGGAGCTTGAACGGGCTGAGCAGGCCAGCATGATCGACGCAGTTTTGGATATAGGCGGATATGGATGTGGATGTACAAATGACCCAATAGTCCTCGCCACAGTCGCTTCATACTCTTCAAAGAGGGACGCGAGGCCTGAGCAAGAAAGCAAGGACGAAGAGGAAAGCACGACTGGGAGGCAGTCGTCACTTCCTCCAGAAGATCCAGTCGTCGGTCCGGCGTCGAGCCACATTGGGTTCTGAAAGGAGTACGTAACTCATCGTGACTACTCGGCAATGGACCGAGGGCGTGGGCATCGAGGATGGGCCTTGAGTCAACTTGTTTCACGTTCACTAGATGGAATGTGAACTTCCTTGGCAAGCATTCCCATTCTTGCGATCGTCCGAAAGCCGGTGAGGGAGGCAGTTAGGGTTCTGGTCTTTGCATCTTATGTGTACTGTTCACGACCGTGATCGTGGAAGTCCGTCGGCATGCACAACGCCATGAAGTCAAACTCGTCCAGTGGTGAGGACCTCGGTCTGTGAAAGTTCAAACCAACGTACAGTCTACCTCTATAGCTCATCTCGTACATGCTCCTTCTTCTTGCGCTCACGCTCAGCATCTTCCCGTTGAAGTCGCTCCTGTATACTCTCCTCATCGCCGCTATGAGCATCAGGAAGACCAGCTTCGGCCTCCTTTTCCACACCAGCTTGCTTCTCCTTGTATCGCTTGGTCACAGCCGCGATCTCATTGTCGTACTCCGTCCACTCAGGCACCTGTCTCCTCGCTCTATCCAGCTTAGGCTCCTTAGTCTGGGGGTTGTTGCAGAGGTCGATCGTCTTTGCATCTTTGAGACTCTCGTCTGAACACCACGTCTCACACCACAGCCACTCCTGCGGTAAGCTGTGAATGGGGAGCAGCGCTTGCATGTGGTTCGGCAAGTCCTGATCCAGATTGCTCAGACTGTTTGGATCAGCTGAGAGCTGATGGTAGTTCTGGCGCAGTCGATCACCAGCTGCCATTTGGCGGAAGCGCTTCAAATCCACGACGTAGAGCGCGGAAATGTGGTATGGCAGTCCTTTGAGGAAGTTCTTCCAGTATCCTTGCTTCCAGAATCGGAAACCCTCCATCTCTGTGCGGGAGTCGCACATTGGTGTGAAGCCATACGGAGCACCCTTGAGATCATGCTGGACCAGCTCGTGCATGTCTGTGCGGACAATTTGATCAGCATCCACGAAAATGACCTTGTCAAGATCCAGTGGAAACAGAACGTCGAGAAACAAGATCTTGTATCCCCAGATCTCTCGCTGCTTCTCCTTCTGTCCTCGCAACCAATGTGGCCACTTATAGGTAACCATCTCATACTTGAAGCCGTACTCCTCAGCCATCACCGGCAAGAAGTCCTTGAAAGATGGCGACAAGAACTGTTCGATGAACCAGAATTTGACGCTGTGCTTTGTATGCTTCATGACGGATACCATCATGATGTTCAGCATACGTTCGTACAAGTGACCTGACGCAACAGAGAAAATGTTGATGTCGGCGTGTCGGTCTGCCGAAAGGTCAGTCTTGCCAGAACCAGACAAAAGGCCAGAGCCGAGTTTGGCAGCCTTTGAGAGGTACTTGCTGGCTGAGGATGACTTGAGCCCGACTTGTGACAGCAGACTATCAGCTCCGTCAGCCAGCGATTCCAGGGCAGTCTTCGATGGCTCCAGAACATCTTCATCTTCCATGCCCTGCTTTCGCGACAGGCGTGGGTAGAGTGTAGAGCCTCTGAAGCTCATCAATGCAATTTCGGTGACGTGGTCTCCCAGCTGAGCAGCATATCCCATGGTGCCAGCGCTGTCGATTTGGAAGATCTCCTCGCTTCGTCCTTTCTGGAGGGCGAGATTGTACAGACCTGGATTCGCCTTGAATTGGAAGTAGCCAAGGTTTGCCATGATAATAGTGTCAGCAAAGTGAGGGTCGGCGTCCGTTCCTAGCACAAGCTGGACACCACGTGGAGGAGGCCCAGTAGTCACATCTCTCGAGTGACCTTCTATGAGAATGTGCTCGAGCTCGTAGACTGCGTCAATGTTCGCGCCTGCCTTGACAGCGCTGAGCTTGATGTTGTCCAAGTCGTGGATGGTATCTTTCGGAGCCACAAGCCACGAAGGAGGCATGTCCATTCCCATGTTGAGCAAGGCATCAGCAGGTAGGCCGCTGAACTGGGCGCCATTGCCTTGCAATGCGCCATTGGTCTCGAACGATGGCTTCGAATTAAGCACTTGCCTGTAGAATCGCTTGATGGGGATCTCCTCCAACCGGTCTTTGGGGTTGAGGAAAAGGCAGGTGTATACGCCCTCTAGTTCTGACAAGACCTTGATGATGGGAATCCATCTCTGCGCAATTTCAGAGGCAGGGTCAATAGAGGTGTAGATCTGAATTGTGGATGTCTTTCGATCGCCGATATGAATGGCCGTCTGTGTCGAATTCCACTTCTTGAAGATATCAGTCCTCACGGTCGGGGCAGCCTCGAAGATGCCGTCTGGTACATCAGATACCATTGAGAGTGCGATGAGATTCGATATGCGAGCGAAGGCGACTGGCGTAGATGCTCTCTCGCCCAAGCCAAGTGCTTCGATGGCCAACGCAGTTGGCAGTTGTCGTTTCTTCCTTTCGTATGAGAGAAGAGCCTCCAGATCCGACACCTCAAGATCGGCAGTGTCTGACATGGGCCCAGCGATGCGTCCGTTGACGATGAGTGCTTTCTGTCCAGGCTTCACACCAATCTGGGAAACGATATCCTTGAAAGGTGACCAAACACCACGGACCTGCTCGTCGATCTCGGTTGTGGTCTCCATGGAGCCAGCCTTGTACATAGTATCGTAGATCTTCTTCCTCGCTACCAAGGTCACTGTGCCCTCAGGTGTCTCCGGTTGACTCTCAGCGAGTAGCTTGTCATAGTTTCCAAGAAGCGTGCGCAAGAACTCCTCTCCCGATGTTTTATCGTAGTCTGAGCCAAGTCTTGTCTTCGATTCCGTGGACTTGGGCACATGCAAGAAAGCGACCTCGACGTTGTCGTGTTCTCTCTGCAGCAATAGAGCCTCCATCAGCTGCTCAAATCCTTCTTTGCTGTCTACATCTGCAGCGACTGTCAAATGTACGAGCTCACGTTCGATTGTGTCCTTATTGCTGGGCAAACTGGGAAGGTCTGCAAACTGTGGAAGCTCTCCGAGATTGACGTGGCGAACATCTTTGTCGTCTTCTGGTACCACAAGCGGATTGCGCTTCAAGCTTGCCTTCTCGAGGAACAAGTTCGGCAGATAGTCATCGTCTGACAGCGAGCCTTCATACACAGCCTGCTGCACCATTCGTACATCCACGCTTACTCGCTGGCTCATCGCTTGCAGCCATTCTTCTGAGCGTGGGACTGGAACACCGTTAATCAAGACTGGCGGAGTCGTATCGGTGCTTCCAATCCTGGCAATGTATGCTTGAGCTCCTTTGAGTCGCAGTTCCGTCTCGGTACCATCCAAGACTTCTTTGAATGAGGAGGCAACTTTTTCAAGCCTGAGGTCGCGAACTTGAACAGCAGCTTGGAATAGCTTCTCGTCTGGTGAGGAGTATTTCCTTCCAGCGGTCTCCACTGAGTTCTCTAGGTATTCGAGCGCCGCCGCAAGGCCGTACCTGTCAATTAAGTAGTAGACAATCTTCGTCTGCTCGACACTGGCAGGAGTCTTGAGCCGGGGGACCAGACCGAAGTGAATCGGCACTTTGCGCTGAACAAAGTTACGCAGGCTTTCAGTCACCAGTACGACATCATTGTAGTCCGCGAAATCAATTGGGACTACGAGATTGTGCACCTCTTTGCGGATTGGGGGAAGTTGACCAGGGAAAGTACGCTGCAACAGAGCATGCACAGTCTCAGGCCATTCTGCGTATCGCTTGTCCTTTTCGATGTCATTCATCCAGATGATGATATTGCCGCCTTCCGCTTCATCCCGCCAGTCGTAGCGCTGGACTTCATCGCTCACTTGTGACGCGGTGATGGCCTCGTTAGAGAGTAAGTCAACGGCTTCAGATCCGCTTAGTCCGATTTCTCGCACACCATTGATCATTCGGCGCTCTCGTCTGAGGTGCTCGAGCAGGGCATAAGCATCGATGTCGCGAGGCATGATCTGAACACCATTTATCCAAATTACGTTGTAGCCCGGTGGAAGCAGCACGTCTCGGTTGTCCGCATGCTCCATGACGAAGTCTTCCGAGACGTTCGTCACGGCAATAGAGCTCGAATGCTTCGGGAAATCCTGAGATAACCGCAAAAGAGTGTCGAATGGAGAGTCGCTGTTCATGACGAAGCTGGCGGCTTTTACGCCCAATCGTCTCAACTCGGAAGACGAAAGTGGTCGCAAGTCAGACACCTCTTCTTCGCTGAGAGTACCGTCGCCGGTGCTTGCTGCATCTTTCTGCTCTTCCTCGGCTTGTCGATCATCAATGACAATGTAGTCTGTTCTCTTCAATGCCAGCTCAATGCCATATCCGCTGACAGTCAATGGCTTGCGTTCGCCTGAGGGAGCTCGATAGCGAACCCGATATGACGTCTTGCCATCTTTTGCTGTCTTGCTCAGAGTCTTGTGAAACTTGCGGAATGATTCAGCTTCCAAGTCTGCGTATAAGACGGCTGGACGATCGCTCGAAGCATCTCCAAGAACTCTATCAAAAGGTAGTTGTTGAAGAACCTCGCCAGCACTGCCAAGTGCCTGTGCTGAAGCCTCATTCAGCTCTGGAGAGCAGTATCTCTGACCACTGAACGGAACGTAAACCCATGTCTCGCATCCTTCCGCTGCCTCGTTGCCGAGTGATGGCAAAATGGAAGTGTTGTAGTATTGGTAATGCCCCTCTATTCGAGGTGCTGCCGAATGGATTGATAACGCATAGTCAAATGATGACAAGTCCTCATTGCTCAAATGTCCGTCTTTTTGCAATAGTGACCGGAAGCTTTTATATAACTCTTGCTCTGTCTTCGAGGAATCGAAATAACCGTCGGCGATGCGATCGAGTAGTGGGAAGTATGAGGTCGCGTTTTCCTCGGCAGCTGTCTCCCTTTGAACCGTCAGCGACCATCGAAAAGGTAGTAGAGAGAGACTTACAGCAGTTCGATCAGATAAGGGGGAGCATCGAACGAGGTCCTCAAGGCTACGTTTACAGATGGTGCAGCATTGGCACATGCAAGCAGAGTAGCAACCAGCGCTGTCTTCCACTGGCTGCCTGCCTTCGACATTGCCATGGCCGCACACAATAGGAGGCAGAGGATACCGAGTTCAGTCCACTGTCATGCTGATGGTCAGTCCAGGAGCTCAGCGGCTGTGACCCTGCTTCGTCCAAGAGCAAGAGGCTACGTTGCGTTTGGGAGGTGTGCGGAAATGCTGTTACTTTCAGACTTCCATAGGGTGAACAGCTAATGCACAAGGCTCTCTGAGAGCTGCAACTCGTTTATGAGTTGTCAAGAGGGGCAAAGTCTTTCACATGCGGTCGACAATCATTCCCTCGCTACGTTGCAAGGTGTCGAGAGGAGCTGGCTCCGCTCCAGGGGCTGGAACAAGAAGGGAAGGTGCGGCGAATTGTCTTGGCACTTCCGACTTCACTTCACCTACTCTACCAACTTCCAGATTTACACTCTCATCTAGTCCAGCCCATCGTCAAGTCTTGCTCCGCAGAGCCAGCAATCTGCCACGCAGCTTCCAAATGTCCTTCCAATTGACATACACGAGCAACGCCAGATTCGTCACAAGGAAGGTATTCCCTAGCCGTGTGAATCCGTCCTCCGGGTCGTACAGCCATTTCATGGACCACCAAGCGACATGTTGCAGCCATCGCCATATTCGAGACCATGGAAGCGTCCTCGTCTCATACAGTGGCACGTAGTCCGCCAGTGTCCTCAGCCAAAGCCAGAAGTGCTTGTTTGCCTTTGTTTCGGGCAGCCACAACACCAACTTGGCGATCCCGATCTGTCCGAGAATCGCCAATGGCAATTTGTCCCTACCAACGACGAATATGGTGAACGGAAACGCGAGGATTGCCCCGCTGACATCCAATTTCCAGGCTGCGAACGCCGTCGTAGCTAAAGGAGACCAGTCATTGAAGACTAGGAGCCAATACCAAGACCACTGCAGCCCCCATTTTAGCCGCGAGGACGTCCCGTGGAAAATCATTGGAATCCATTGGATTATTCTCAGGGTCAAACACAGTAACCAACGGTAAGATGTCGACGCCACGAAGTAAAGGACATTCCTGTTCCGGGGAGGAGCGACGTCTAACTCCCAGAATGTTTCGCCGGCAATCTCAGCCCTGTCCAACGTAACGCGGACTTGTTGCCAGACTTGAAGCCTAAGAATTGTGAAGAAGACACTTCGGGGGCGAGATTCTTGACGACACCATATGGATCGCGTCAGTGGAAGACTTTCGTGCGGCTCCAGAGTTCCGTTGCGAAGTCGCTCCTGAGCTTGAGAGCGCACATAAGACCGAACGTCCTCGAGCACCCGTGTTTCGCTGATGGCTTGCACATACAGAACCGGTGGTGGTGACCATGTTGAAGTGGTGTAGGAACTACGCCGGCCATATGCAAAAGCAACAACACCGTATTGCCAAGTTGCGGACTCCTGGTTGGATCTCCTTGCAGGTTTGTGCCACCTGATGCAGATGGCCGCACCCTGCAAAGGACCATCTAGTTCCCAAATCGAGCTTGGTCTGTAATAAAAAGAGTTGGCGGACGTTCGAATCCAGTCCTTACTGGGAGTGACGCCTGCCAGGAACACGCCCTCTCTCTCCTCCGTGACGCCTGCCATGTACAACAAGGCCTCCTTCTCCTCTTGCACGTTCGGCAATCGCAACTTGAGATGCCATGGGCCACTACTATCGCAGATTCGCCCGGTATGCGACCAATCGTATGATGCCGCCGATTTGCGAATGCTGAAAGATCTTCGAGGAAAGCTGTCTTGCTTCTCGCGCTGGCGCAATGCTCGCCAGTCAACAGCTTCACAGCGTCTCACCGGGTCGAGCATGAAGTGCCCGCCCGGACCTGGTATCAGCCGAAGGAGAAAGACTACGGATGGATCCCCAAGTGAGCGGCAATCCAAAATGGCAAACGCTCGACCTGCGCAAAGATTGATCTGTAGCCCGATGTTGTCGATATGGTAGGGTACTGGACTTTGTCCTTGGCGGGGGACGACATGGCCGCGGTCCTTGAAACAATCCAGCGATTGGGCCAGCAGACTGCCATCCTTTCCATTCCACGCAAACAGCGATTGATCCGTGGAGATCTTCACAATTTCTTCCTGCAGCCGCATAAACGCTCGATGCTCGCCTTCGCCGTAGTGCGTTGCCATCGTGATACCAAAGAGACCGACCAACGAATACGCACGGTCTTCCGAAAACGTTGTCTTCCGGTTGGAAGCCCAGGAGAGACGCTGCGCGATGCTGTAGCTGTACAGCGGTCGCTTGTGCGCAAGCATATCGGCATCGATGCCCGTGACTTGCGCAAGGAATCGAGGGCTGTCTGCCGAACCCATCAAGAAGGACCAGCTCTTACTGAAGAATACTATTCTCGTAGGTGCGATCAACTCCTGCAACGTCCAGCCGCGTTGGATCCACTTGCATTGTCGCAGAGCCTCTGTCAGTATAGACGATGTCTCTGGCGAGTACTGGAAGTGCGAGTCTCGCGTCATGACAAGATCGACGTCACTCAAGTAGACATAACAGACTGTCGCTCTGCTGTACCAATTGAACATACAATTGATGGCCTCGGTCAGTTCGGTCGGATTGCGCTGGTCGATACAGCATGTATCCATCCATACATATCGTATGTTGCTTTTTTTCGCCTGGTTGACCAGATACATGAGCTTTGTCCAGCCTACTTTCTGGTGCACAGTCTCTGGCGAGTCGTGGATATGGAGCATGTCCTGCAAGGATACCTCGTTGTAGCTTGGGTGGATCCATGTGTGTGACAGAATGGCGTATTCGGGGCATGAGCCGTGTGAGGGGACGTCTTCGAAGCATAGGTCTTCTACCCTCAACAACCTCATGGTCTTTCTCTCATTTACAGTGTATGTTTTGATGAGTCGGCAGAGCAAAAGAAGGATGGAGTTCAAGATGCAGCTGAACGCCACCCCTAGTGTTGGCGTCTAGTCTCAGCCTCGCCGCTACTGCATGCACGACGCCGCCACTGCCAAGGGCTGGACAGAAGAGGCCGCCCAAAAGGTTTAGATCGTTACTGGACTATATTGCCCAATTATATGACATCAGCCATACCTAGGTGCTGTAAGTCGGAAGGGTGGGCCAGGTGCCATATCAGTGCCATCGATTGCTAAGACAGGCTGTCATCCTTCTGAGGTACAAGAAGATCCTTCGGGGTCACAGCCAAGTGCCAATATTTCTCACATGGTGTTTCGACTAGTGTCAAACATACATGTATTTCCCCTTTCGAATCAATGTCAAAGCGATCTGGACCATCATTTTTATGATTGTCTGGCTTTTGTGCAGAGTTGTCTCCAACTGCCGCGCACATATTTTGCAGATTGGATTCAGGTGGTTCCACAAGTGAGATGCAAGAGTATAGATCCTTCCTCGTTGTACAGGAGAATGCAATGGAGATGAAGTGTTCGCTTTGGCGTCCGTCGTGATCATGGACCACTCGTAGAATGACGCCAGCTGCTTTGCAATACGAAGATGAGGATCCTAGGAGCAGACCTGGTTTGTCCCAGGCTCGAGACGGCCAGAAGTGCAGGACAGAAAACCGGAGGTCCGATGGTGGGTTTTCTGTAGTTAGACTAATCGTTGCCCTTAAGCCTCTTTGCTCCGTTCTGACCATTCCAGTGCCTGGGGCTGACCGAGTTCTCAAGATGGTGATTCGCTGCCATCTTGATTCCGAAGGATCCATTCGTTCAGAGAGGTCCGTCCATGGGATTTCATGGCAATGCCATTTGCTTGCAATGGTGTAGCAGCCGCCTCGTCTAAGCTGCAGAGGTATCAGAAAGACTGTTGATGGAGTCCTGATCGAGCTGCAGCCTAACACCGCTACAGTGAATGGAAAAAGACTGTCCGACGAATAATTTCTGATGAGCGCGAATGGAATCGCGAGACTGAACAGCCCTTCTGCCTTCAAAATGTCTTGCGAATCCCGTAGCTTTGAGCCCTTCAAGGCTGTGCTCTCGTATGGGGAGATTGCCTTCAGACGACAGAGGTAGACCTCGATCTCAAGGCCGACATTGGTAACAGAATACGGCTTGTTTATCCGTTGTGGGGCGGGAGCAACGTGACCCCTTGATAGGAAGTATCCAGGGTTTGACGCAAGGAACGATATATTCGCGTCCTTGAGGCCATCACTTCGTAGACCACAGTCACGTATTGCGGGCGTATCTGAAAGATCCTTCCACGCTAGGATGGATTCATCTGCATTCTGTTTCATGATTTCCAGTTGCAGCCTCTCAAACGCCTGCACCGGCCCTTCACCATAGTGGAGAGGCATAATAACACCGAACAAGCCAAGCAGAGAGTATGCAACGTCCTCTCCTCGAGTAGTTCGTGGTTCGGCTGCCCATGACATGCGGTGTGCTATGCTGTACTCCTGGAGATCGTTCAAGCCAACTCCTTGTGGGTGACGGTCATGGCGGTCCTTACGCCTCATTAACATTAACAGCTTCGCATCGATTCTCGTGATAGCCGATATGACTGTTGAAGAGTCCGCTCGAGTTGTGATCTTAACCCAATTTTGGTCAAAAAACTCAACTTCCCGTGGGGCGATAAGTTCTTGTAGCGTCCAACCGCGTGTAAACCACTGAGAAGGGCGAAGTCGTGCTTCAAGCTCGTCGGTGTCTTTGTCCGCAAAATCTACGTCCGAAAGATATACATAACAGCGTTTGGACCTCTTGTACCAGCCATACATGCAGTTGATCGCTTCTGTCAATTCTGTTGGGTCTCTTTTGTTGATACAACAAGTGTCTATCCATATGTAATCGATATTGTCTTTCCGTGCTTGATTGATCGTGTATTGTATCTTCTGCCAGCCAGGCTTTTTCCTCGAGCCGCCAGACTTTTTCTTCGAAGCGCTAGACTCCTCCAAGATGATATCTTGATATGTGACCTCATCGCGGCTCGGGTGGATCCAGGTATGAGATAGAATTGCGTAGTCCGGAAACGGGCCATGAGAGGGCACCTCGCCGAAATTCAGGTCGTTGACTCGTAAGAGCCGCATTGAAGCGATAAGTCTTGTTGATATGAAAGTATCGTGGCAAGCTCTTGGGCATGGTACATGAAATGCTTCAGCTCGACGCCACGGGCGGCCTCGCTGACGAAACCGTGCATATACATATTGTGCGACTTCGAAGTTTGTTTAAAGGACCCAAAACCAGAGCAGAATCAACAGCGAGTGGCACTCAAACAAATTATTTGGTCTGTCCGGGTCAGAAGCATTGGCCTTGACTTTGCATGACAGACAGCGTACGGAAACTTGCCGGAGCCTGTTCTGGCTCAATGATCGGGCATTCGGTGGTACTTCAGGCCCGTTGCAACCAGAGCCTTCGAAAGAGCAATATTTGATGGCAATGCTCAAGTCGAGTTGCTGTGCAAAGTCCGCCTTGGCCAACTTATTATATACTTGAACCGGAAAATTTAGAGTTTGGCGCTACAACGAGCATGCCGTAATAGGAAAGCTGCACGTGAAAGACGTCAACGATTACCTGTGTGGGATAGCATTAAGTCCGCTAGTGCGACTCAGTTAACGGGGAGATAGCATCAGTTCTGCCAGGCTGATATATAAAGACGGCGAATGGAAGGTGGAAGTACTCACTCACCCACATAGCAATCCCAACATCCACACACAGACCAGTCTCGAGACCTACAAAAGTCATGGCATCCGCGATCAAGTCAGTCTACGCTTCATACCCTTTCATCGCACCACAGAAGTTCGCCGGCAAGCTGAAGGGCAAAGTCGTACGTGAATAGCCATCCTCTTTCGATAGCTGTGCCAAACTGACAACATTCCAGGTCGTAGTAACAGGCGCATCCGTCGGAATCGGCCGAGCGACAGGCAAAGCCTTCGCAGCAGCAGGAGCCAGCGTCGCAGTCATCGCACGACGAGAAGCCGACATCAAGACCCTCGCAGAAGAGATCAAGTCCTCAGGCGGCCACGCCATCCCGATCGCCGCAGACGTAACCCAGAAAGATGCCCCGAAGCGCATCATCGAGACCGTCGAGAAGGAACTCGGTCCTATCGACATTCTGATCAACAATGCTGGCATCAGCCGGATCGGTCCCCTCGTCGAAGAATCCGAAGACCTCGACATCTGGTGGAAGGTCTATGAAGTCAACGTCCGAGCACCCGTAGCACTTATCCGAGCTGTGCTCCCCGGGATGGTCAAGCGAGGCAGCGGCGTCATCATGACCGTCTCCTCCGAAGTCGCCAGCTTGGGGCTCCCCGTCATGACAGCGTACGCCTCGTCCAAGGCGGCCATCAGCAAATTCCACGAAAGCATCGTCCCCGAGCTGGCCAATACTGGAGTCCTCTCCTTCGCAGTGAACCCAGGTATGGTCGGCGGAACTGAGTTGGGTAAAGGCGCCATCAACACGGACGCAATGGAGCACCCGGCACAGAAGGCATTCCTCAACCATCTCAAGACGAGTGCTGGGAACAATACGGTGGGAACGTCCGAGCTTCCGGCCGACTTCATGGTGGCGCTAGCGGTCGATGAGAGGTCGAAGGCTCTTCACGGCAAGCATGTGAATGCGGATCAGGACTTCGAGCCGGTGTTGGATGAGATTTCCAAGGAGGGCGGTGGCAGGATTGGGAAGGAGGTGCTGTACAAGGTCCATATTGGGAAGTTGTAATTAGATACATATTGTGCGGGTCAGCTGGTGTGATGAAGATCAGTTGAGATAGTATTCACTCACGAGTTTTGGTCTGATGACTCTGCCCCGTTCGAGTACAAAAAAATATGGACGAGGAGTTTCTTCTTCAGCCAACGCCTCCGCAGGAAGGCGTCGACACAAAGGTGTTTTTATGAGTATATAATAGATTAAAATCAAGAAATCCAAAACGCTTATATACAACCAAAGCGATCGCGAGCAAGACAACGCCATCATGCCAACCAGGTAAAACACCATAAAGTATAGTTGTCAAAACAAGAATGCCTATCCCGTGCAAAGCGCCACGCTACCCAGTCATATCATTCATCGCAAAACGGCGCCGAGCCGACAATCATACTGAAGGCTTAGTGGCTCTTCTTCTCGCATTTGGCCAGGCAAGAGTCGACGGCCTGGACAAGGTTGGCAGGCAGAGTCTTGCGGAACTGGTCAATGTTGGAGCCGTCGATGTTGTTGATCTCGCCGAGGGTGATGTTGACAATCTTCTCGTCTTGGAAGAAGAAGTTCTGGGCGACTTGGGAGGTGCCTGGGTCGGCGTTGTTGAGGGTGGCGATGAAGGTGGCGGGCTCGCATTCGTTGTTGAACTGGAAGTGGATGGATCTGGAAGAGGTGACTGTTAGCTGATGTTTTACGGAGATGTGGGGTGGACTGTGTGGTGGCTTACCCCTGGGGGAAGACGGTTCCCTGGAATGCATGGAGCTCAGTGGGGACCTGGGTGGTCAACTGGCCGATGGCTGCGTTGGCAAGGAAGCCGTTCTCCAGCATGAAGCCTGATTGAAGCTTGCCCTGGACGACGGTGAGCCACTCGGTGGCGCGAGGGTGGGTGTGTGGGCTGTTCATGCTGCATGGGTTCAGGAAGCCAACGGCGGTGGCGATGCCTTGCTCAACGAGGATGGGGAAGTTGTTCTCGTTGGCGAGGACAAATCGACCACCCTGTCCAAGAGGTGCGGCGCGAGCACCGAAGTCGAAGACGGTGCGCTCCCTGAGCTGGTCTGGTGGGAGGAGCTGCTGGCCGGCGCCATCGACAGTGAGAAGAGTGTTGAAGCGCTGGACATTGGTAACGTCCAGGACAGCTTCCCTGGCGAGTGAGGCAGCGGCCGCGGCGGCGGACGAAGCGGCAGCTGGATTGGCTGGGGGAGCCGCAGGCTGAACGATAGTTGGCACAGCTGGGTTGCCCGATGGTGCACTGGCGGTGTAGGAGGCGGACTGCGTGGCGCTGTAGGAAGCACTGCCGTAGGTAGCGGCGCTGACATAGGCGGTCGACAAGGTGCTGCTTGGAGCCGAGTACTGGCCCTCCTGCTGGTAAGGGGCCGCGGAGACACTGGCAGCGGCACCGAGGCCGGCAACGATGTATCGTGCAACAGACATTATGATTTAGATGGTGTTTGGTTGGTTGGTTGATGGGACGCTGTGTTCGCGGAAAGAAGGTGCGATAACAGGTAAGGAAATACAAAGGAAACAAGGAAACCGAACGAGTTGCTTTGGTTGAGTGGTTGTTTGCTGAGTTTGTTGTTTGATGGAGAGAGCAAGATGAGGAGGTGAGAGATACTGTTCTTATACACGCAGTAGAGACAGACCCCCGCACGAGCGCTGTTGGATGTTCAGGATCCGCAATAGCGCTCGTATGGTAACAGGACCGTGCATGGTTCCTAGGCCTTGCCGTGGTTAGGTCAAGCGCGAGCTTGGCCAACGCCGAGCAACTGTTGCGTTGTGAGGATGATCTTGGAGCGAGGCTTTGCTGTACCAGCCATTCATTCACGCATAGGAATAGCACGTGTGCTGTTGCATTCTTCCGTCTTATTCGCGAAATTGGCGGGACACCGCCGTGTGCCACATGTTGGGTGTCTCGTCCTCCCTTGTCATCAGCTGTATTTTGATCCGCTCATGACAAACATCAGTATCACCAAGAAGAGTCCGACGGCTGAGATTGCGGGATGCCCAGCGGCCGTACAGCTCGACAGGGCGGAGGGTGTGTTGTCGAGATTCACTTGCAGCAGCCACTAAGCGCTTAGCCTAGCGTGGACAAGTGAAGTCAGATTTAGGAGCCCAGCATGTGGCAGCACGGCCCTGCTACGGGAGTAACCGCCTCCATTTTGACGCTATCCTGCCACGAGGAAGCTTAAATCGAGGCATACTGCGGTCGCCTCGCAAAAGCCCGCACCAATCGGCGTCTTCAAAGGGCTGAAGAAGAGCGAGAGTGCGCGAGGAGGACCACTAAGCGTATCCATAAGTATACTGCTGGGGTGAGAGAACTCGTGGTAGTGTGGTATCTCGCTGAGAAGGAACAATGTCAACAGCTGAACGAATCAGACATCATTCTGCTTCAGATTGCACAACTGACAACTGTCAACTCACAGACATCTTGCCAGTGATTGACATTGCATGTCATCTGCCCCGAACCACAATCGGAACTGGGGGTTCATCGAGACGTGGCTTGACAGCGCGGCGATAGTTGCCAAGATGTCTGACAAAGCCTGGCTGTAAATAGCGCCGCTGACCATTCAGGCAAGAACGTCGCACGCTGTCCGTGCGTCTTGTTAGAAGCAGACTGGCTCGTCGTACAGTCTCGCTTTTCAATACCCCAACAGGGCAGTTCGTGGTTGGGCATAGTCCAGATCGCACGGGACCGACTGAAGGGCTAACAAGAATGTTGCGGTACGAGCTTCCTCCAACCCAGCGAACGATGCAGCGCACTTTCTCACAGTTTGGCGAACTCCGAGAGATTCCCGAGAGACATGGTCTGGACTATCTGCCGCAGATATGTAGGAGCGGTAGGAGCTGGCTCACTTCGCATCATCGATATCCATGCCGTCGCTCTCTGCCATAGTCGTTGCGTTGCGCTGAGGATAGTACCCATCTGTGGCCGCACTGGCGTTACTGACTTCTGGCGAACTGCGTAGACGGTCCTCAAAAGCGACGCCGGCTTCTCTTGGACCTCGAACTCTCCTTCGCAGACGTCGTTGTGTCGAGCCGAGGTCGTGGTCATCCAAGGCATCCGCATCGGTCACATCGGTCTCGCTCTTCACGCTCTGGCTGTGCGTGCGCTTGAAGATGCGAGTACCGGCACGCTTTTCGATGTGCCTCTGTCGACGGCGTTGTTCGAAGTCAACTTCCTGGTCATCGCCACAACGTAGCCGCGACAACTTGCGAGTGAGATGCGATGCCTCATTTTCGCTGATATCAGTCGCATCTTGCTCCTCATCGCTACCACTGCTGCTGATCTCCTCAAGCTCCTCAGGATAGACCACGTCGATGTCCGTCATGTAGCCCATATCGCCCTCTGCAAGTTCCTCCACTTGGATCTCATCGGTCGCGGCTCGCTTAGCGGCCTTCTTTGCTGGACTGCTCGTCTCGGCGGGGTGAATTGATCCCACGGTTGATGCCGGTGAGTCACTGCGCTCCAGCCTGCGTTTAGTGACCCGAGCAGGTGTATACGGCGGCGTACGTGGGAGCCCCGATAGGCTCGCTTCAGAGTTGAAGCCCGATGTGGAGTACAGAGTCTCCATCATCATGTTGGCGAATGTGAGTGAATGTGTTTACAGCCTTTTTCTCCGATGCGCTCAACGCTGGTCCAATGTGACAATACCACCCAGGTTCGGACGATGATGCCTCTTGACAATGAAGTTTCGTGCTCGTAGTTCCAACAGTAGCATCTTCGGGAGTTGGAAGTGTTGGTAGGTCAGGCGTCGGTCACCGCGTCTGGTGTCTTCTTATCGGGACAGGTCTCGGGTGGTGTGGCGCGGCAGCTGGAGTTGGAGGGACTCTGTCTGGAGTGAGGCGGGCGGCGATTGCAGGCAGCACTTGGATGTTGGCGGTATTTGAGCAGGCTGACGGCGCTCCTTGCTTGGGCAGGCAGGCAGGAGGAGAGGTGCGAGGGCGAGGGGACTGGGAGCACCCTGCAGGATGCAGACGAGAGGAGCGGTACTTGTCAGGCAGCGCTGCGCTGGCCGGTGGCAATCCTCGTGGCGATTCGCGGTTCGCTTAGAGGCAGACTGCGTGGTCGCCGTCGAATGGATCAAACGAAGTAGACGAGCGGTGCTCAGCGTGTACGTGCAGACTGCTCGAATTCATGTGCAACTGCAGCGCGACGGAGAACTTCGGCGCAACACTCGGCTACCTGCCAGCGATGGGTGCCATCCACTGCCGGCCTCGCTGCCAGCGCCGCGATGCCATTCCACAGCATTGTGTGTGACTGCGTTGTCGCGGCGTCTGTCATGTTGCCGGCTCTGGGTGTCACTGCGACTCTGCACACCACAGAACGGTCTGTCGCAGACGCGAGTGACGTTGTCCGACCCTTGAGACGCTTGGTCGCAAGGAGGTCTTCGCGGCGAAGACCACGTGATGCGGCGGTGAGTGAATGAAGAAAGTCGTGGTCGTTGATGTCGATCATGAACGTTCACAAGTACGAGAAAGAGGTCGGTGAGAGATATTTCAACCCTGAACATGCGTTGGAGCAATACTCGAGTGCTTGCTGCTAATCAATAATGGTTCTGTGAGAGCATGTGAAGTGTTCGTGGACACGACTAATGCACAGCTATCTCGCGTCTTGGCAGGGAATCTGGAGATGGCTCCAAATGTAGCAGCGCATTGAACAGCTGTACCCCCAAAAACACCACAACCACAACTGCCACATCTCCTCCTCAGGCGGCGCCATAAACTACGACAGACTCAACACTACCCTCACGAGACACGCCATCACGAAATCTACGCCTGGTGTTTGGTGGAAACAGCACATGCCCGGAGCTGAGGCTCCTTCTCCATAGCCCGCCATGACTTCCCACCCCTCGATGCTCACCAAGTTCGAGTCCAAGTCCTCGCGCGCCAAAGGCATTGCCTTCCACCCCAAGCGACCATGGATCCTAGTCTCCCTTCACTCTTCGACCATCCAGCTATGGGACTACCGTATGGGAACCCTCATAGATCGCTTCGAGGAGCACGATGGACCAGTCCGAGGAATTGACTTCCACAAGACCCAGCCTCTCTTCGTGTCTGGCGGTGACGATTACAAGATCAAGGTCTGGTCGTATCAGACGAGGCGATGCCTATTTACGCTAAACGGTCATCTGGATTATGTCCGAACCGTCTTCTTCCACCACGAGCTACCCTGGATCATTTCCAGCTCAGATGACCAGACCATTCGCATCTGGAACTGGCAGAACAGGTCGCTAAGTATGTTGGATGTATGAGGGGAAGGTGGAAATCATTCACTGACATGCTACATAGTCTGCACAATGACTGGTCACAACCACTACACCATGTGCGCTCAATTCCATCCCAAAGAGGACCTCGTTGTTTCGGCTTCTCTGGATCAGTCAGTAAGAGTTTGGGATATCTCAGGCCTGCGCAAGAAGCATTCCGCACCCACATCTATGTCTTTCGAGGACCAAATATCGCGGGCGAACCAGAACCAGGCAGACATGTTTGGCAACACAGATGCGGTGGTCAAGTTCGTGCTGGAGGGACACGACCGGGGCGTCAACTGGGTTGCGTTCCATCCGACCCTGCCATTGATCGTGTCTGCGGGTGATGACAGGTTGGTGAAGCTTTGGAGGATGAGCGAGACCAAGGCATGGGAGGTCGACACCTGCAGAGGCCATTTCCAGAATGCGTCAGCATGTCTGTTCCACCCCCACCAGGACCTTATACTTTCAGTCGGCGAGGACAAGACCATTCGCGTATGGGATCTCAACCGGAGAACATCAGTCCAATCTTTCAAGCGTGAGAATGACCGATTCTGGGTGATCGCAGCTCACCCTGAAATCAACTTGTTTGCAGCAGGTCACGACAACGGTGTGATGGTTTTCAAGCTTGAACGCGAGCGGCCAGCATCTGCTGTGTACCAGAGTAACCTCTTCTTCATCACCAAGGAGAAGCACGTGCGGTCCTACGATTTCACGAAGAATGTCGAGAGCCCATCGATGCTCTCACTGAAGAAGCTTGGCAACCCATGGATTCCACCTCGCACCCTCTCATACAACCCAGCCGAGCGGTCTATCCTTGTCACTACTCCAGCAGAGGCTGGCACATACGAGATGATGAGCCTACCACGAGATGCATCTGGCGCTGTCGAACCCACCAGCACTCATCGTGGTACTGGCTCGGCTGCAGTCTTCGTCGCCCGAAATCGCTTCGCTGTCTTTAACTCCCAGAACCAACAGATTGACATCAAGGACCTTCAGAACACCACAACCAAGACCATCAAGCCGCCGGCCGGTACTACTGACATGGTCTTTGGCGGTACAGGGTGCCTGCTGCTCATCACCGCCACCCACGTCTACCTGTATGACATTCAGCAGAAGAAGCAGCTTGCCGAACTCGCTGTCACTGGCGTCAAGTATGTCGTCTGGTCATCAGACGGCTTGCATGCGGCGCTTTTGAGCAAGCACAACGTTACGATCGTCAACAAGTCGCTCGAGCAAATCAGCACTCTTCACGAGACGATTCGTATCAAGAGTGCTTGTTGGGACGATGCTGGCGTACTCCTCTACTCCACCCTGAACCACATCAAGTACGCCCTCATGAACGGAGATAATGGCATTGTGCGGACTCTCGAGCACGTGGTATACCTTGTCCGCGTAAAAGGCCGAAGCGTGTACTGCCTTGACCGAGCTGCCAAACCCAAGGTGCTCACGATTGACCCTACCGAATACCGCTTCAAGCTAGCGCTAGTGAAGAGGCACTACGACGAGATGCTGAACATCATCAAGACATCGAGCTTGGTTGGCCAGAGCATCATCTCTTACCTGCAAAAGAAGGGCTATCCTGAGATCGCCCTGCAGTTCGTGCAAGATCCTCAAACCCGATTCGAGCTCGCTATTGAGTGCGGCAACCTCGACGTTGCTGTTGAGATGGCGAAGCAACTCGATCGACCTCAGCTGTGGCAACGTTTGAGCACCGAAGCCCTTGCACATGGCAACCACCAAGTCGTGGAGATGACCTACCAAAAGCTGCGCAACTTTGACAAGCTATCGTTCCTCTACCTCGCCACTGGCGACCAAGGCAAGCTCAACCGAATGGCAAAGATTGCCGAACATCGTGGCGACATGACCAGTCGTTTCCAGAATTCCATCTACCTCGGTGACGTGCAGGGTCGGATAGAGATGCTCAAGGAAGTCGACCAGTACCCTCTCGCATATCTGACTGCTAAATCCCATGGACTTGATGAGGAATGTCAAGCCATCTTGGAGGCCAGCGGCTTGACTGAAGAGGAGATCAGCCTTCCTACAGTTGGAAAGCCGGTCTCACCTCCCAAAGCTGTTGCACCCACTTTCAAGACCAACTGGCCTGTCAAGTCAAGCGGTGCAAGCTCATTCGAGAAGGCCCTCATGGCTGATGGAGACGAAGCTGCCGTGGCAGATACCAATGGCTTCGCTGAGGAAGACCTTCTCGCCGAAGAGGAAGCCGCCCCTGGCACTGGCGCACTGGACGATGTGGAAGATGACGATGCTGCGGCTGGCTGGGATATGGGTGACGATGCTGTTCCGGAGGTGGAAGACGATTTCGTCAACGTGGAGAGCGCAGAAGCCGGTGCGGGCGGTAGTGAAGCAGATCTATGGGCACGAAACTCTCCTCTCGCAGCGGATCACGCAGCAGCTGGCAGCTTCGACAGTGCGATGAACCTGCTGAACCGACAGGTCGGCGCCGTCAACTTCAAGCCACTCGAGGAACGGTTCCTGGAAATCTACCAAGCAACACGGACGTATCTTCCCGCCAACCCTGGAATGCCACCTTTGGTCAACTATGTTCGCAGGACCCTCAACGAGACCGATTCGCGAAAAGTTCTACCTCTTATTCCTCGTGACCTGGAATCCATCTTGGCTACGGAGATCGCCGGCGGCAAGAACGCGATGAAGGCAAACAAGCTCGAAGACGGTGTTGCGCTTTTCAAGAAGGCTCTGCATCTTCTCCTGGTTAACGCTGTCACGTCGCCAGGCGAGGTGCAGGAGGCACAGGCTGCGATACGCCAAGCATCAAACTATATTCTGGCAATGTCTATCGAACTCGGGCGACGAAAGATTGTTGGAAGCGCCTCAGATCTCAGCTCTTTCTCCGACGAGAAGAAGAAGCGAATTCTTGAACTCTCGGCTTACTTTACAGTTCCGGAGATGGAGCCCCAGCATCAGACGCTGGCGCTTTTCTCCGCCATGAACTTTGCCAACAAGAACAAGCAGATGGGAAGCGTGTTGAACTTCGCCAATGCTCTCATCGAGCGTGGCACCAACGCCAAGTTCAAGGAGACGGTAAGCCTACTAAACTCCACCTCTTACTCCACATGACTAACGTATCCACAGGCCCGCAAGATGAAAGCCGTCGCCGAACGCTCCCCCACCGACCCGATCGAAGTCGAGTTCGACACCTTCGGCGAGTTCGACATCTGCGGCGCATCATACACGCCCATCTACGCCGGCGAACCGAGCGTGGCGTCTCCTTACTCCGGCACCAAGTACCACACCAAGTACAAGGGTATGGTGTGCAGGATTGATGATGTCGCGGCGATTGGCGCCCCGAGCAGTGGATTGCGGTTGACGGTGTAAGACGTGTTAATGGATGATGGGATGGATGATGGGGATAGATTAAACTTGGGGCGTCTTGAAGCGTTGTCGGCCATCGAAAAGCAGGGGTGAAGGAAGAGGCTTTTGGGATTGATGAGCGTGGAGGAGTCGTTGGTAGAAAGCAGCCCCCTTTTTTCTCCAAACAATTGAATCGAAATTCCAGTATCGCTTATTACTTTTTCTCCTTGGCTTGGCATGTCAGCTGTCAGCACTTTAGAATGTTGAGCAGGGGTGATGCGGAAGACTCGAGACGAGACCAGCGAAGGAATTTTTTGTGTTTGATGAAAGGATGGTATTTGGGTAGCACTGTCTGTCATCACCTGTGAGAATGAGATGTACTGTCATCATTGAACGGAGATTAGACGGGACAAGACAGAGTCAGAGTCAGTGACATGTGTAACAAACAAAACGACTAGACTCGACTTTGACCGGAGACCACGCGGGCAGTCAATGGTGAGTACGACGGATAGGATAGGTTGACGTGAAGCACAGCACAGAAAATACAGCTGTAGGTCAAGCATAAGGAGATCTGTCTTTTTGCTTCTCTTGATGACTTCTCCTCCTTCTCTACAGCGTACACCGATGTGGTATCCGACTTCCAAGTTTTCTGCTCTATATCGTACAGTTTAGATCCCCCAAAGCTTCGCTGTCGTGGTTTTCCTTCCGCTCACTTCTCACAAACAAGACGATGAAAAAGCTCAATAGAGATTGTGGTGTATCGACCCAAGCAAACCGAACCACACCCCATTCCTCGCTGCAGCTCCCGCTCCCGCTCCCCAACTCCATCGCTCATCCAACCCAAAGAAAAATTCATCCAACAGATCAAAAGAAACCCCAAGCGCAGACAGCGTGTATATCTTTCATAACATTCGTATCCAACCAAAGAAAACCTCTCTCTCTCTCTCTCTCTCTCTCTCTCTCTCTCTCACCGCATCGCAACAAAAGCATTCTCAATGTTATTCGCGATCAAATCAAACTGGCTCAGATTCTGGCCAAACACCGGCGGCATAATGCCATTTGATTCGGCGCGGTACTTGTTTGGGTCGTGGTGGCCGTCGCCGTTGGTGGGTTTGTAGACGGCAGGGTTCACGCCTTCGGCTACGGAGAGGGCGTCGAGGGTGTGTGAGGAGTTGCCGTTTTGGGAGGGGATGAGGACGAGGGAGGCGCGGGAACGGCGGTAGCTTTGGACTGGGGCGGTGGTTGCGGGGCTGATGGTTATGACTTCTTCGTAGTCGGAGTCGGGTTTCTTGGCTGGGGGAGGTGCGGATGGAGGTGGTGAGGGCGTGGGTCTGGTTTGGAGGGAGAGTCGTTTTGCGAAGCGCTGAGCCTGGGAGAGAGGTTGTGGGGAGCCCACAGTCGATTGAGGTCGCGACTTTGTAGGTGTTTGTCCGTTGGGTGTCCCGTTGGTGTTGGGATTCTGTGGTAGTTGTGGTTTCACATGGCCATTGACGATACCGTTGCCATTGACACTGCGTGCAGCCGGACTCTGATTCCTGACACGATCCAATGGTCCAAGTGCTCGACGAACTTCCACAGGACTAACGCCTCGAGAGTTTGTGTTTGCGTTGGAATCACGACGGACAGGCGATATCGATATTTCGGTATTCGGTGTAGAAGACTGCTCTCTGACTGGCGACACGGATCCGTTCACACTCTGTGGTCCCGCCCGTGTTGGTGGTGTGGTCGAAAGCTCAGGCGTTAGAGAGGCGGGCGTTCCGCTGGTATTATTACTAGCAACTCCGTTACCGTTTGCCATGTCTCTTGTGGACTGTGATTGTCATGATGTACCTCGTGGTAGTTGGGGTGGCTTGCTGTCCACCGCTGATTGTGGGAGTGATGGGATCGTAGGGGGAGAGGAGGGTGAGTGGCTTTCAGTAGAGTCGGTGCCTCCTCGACTAAGTCGTGTCAGTTTAGGTGAATCGAATACATTTTGCGAGATTCGTACCTCTTGCGCCGGCCTAGGCGAGCATTCCCAAACAGCTTCTTGAACCGTCCTTCTGTAGGCTTCTGCAGACACATTAGCACCTCAAACGTACGATAGCTCGTAACGGCACTCACATCAAGACTCTGTTTGCCGCCGTAGTACGCACTATCCGCCTCACTCTCCCTTCGAATGCCATTGTGATTATGCCCACCTTCACGCAACAGGTTCATCGTAGGCGGCGCCCATCGCTCTTCATCACCACATACAACAACATACCACCCCACCTTCTCTTCCGGCGCGAGTTTATCGCGTAGCTCCATCATCGCGGCCCACTGCTCATTCCCAACACCCTGCCCTCTCACCTCATCAACGTCTACCCCTAGCTTCACCTCGTGCACGATATCCGCGACGTAGGCATACGGCTGGCTCGCAGCTTCCGCAGACGTATCGTTGGGATCGTATTGCTCCACAAATCGCAGTCTCGTCAAATGTTGCATGGCTTCCGGGTAGAGTTGATTGAAGTTCTTGAGCATAGCCAGGGTGGTGTTGGGCGCGACCAGCCATTCGGCGGCGGCATCGTCGAGGTTCTGGAGGATGATGTGGATTCGAATGAGAGGGCGCGGCCAGCGGAAGCCGTGGAGCAGGTACACAGGCATTTTATCGTGCTTTGCGGGCGATCGATTGGGGGGGTGTACGAGAGGGCGTGGTGTGCTCTTGGCGAGACGTGGCCGTTGTCAGATACAAGCAAGATCAAACGGCGCGAGGTGCGCGTTGCTCTCGCTCAGAGACAGGCAGTGGCAGGAATGGTGGTTGCGGTGTTGGGCTTGGGTGGGTCGGAAGGCGGCAGACGAGATCCAGGACCAGCGTCGCGGAGGGGGTTGCAAGAGGGGGACATGAAACAGCGCGTCCGAGGGGAGCAGCTCGTTTTGAGGCAGAGGCAGAGGCAGAATAATGAAACCGAGTCGTGCAATCTGCGCACCGCTGCCAGACGTGAGACGCGCAGCCCGCAACTCGAAGGTTGGACAACGTTCAATGTTGCTGCTGGCTGCTGCAAGCGGTCCTGCGCTTGCCCGAATCGTGTGCGTCGGCCAATGCGGATCCGGGCGGCTATTTGACTGCCCCTCAATCAAATCGACGCACGCATTTCATTCAGGTTGAATCGGACTTTGATGGGGGACGAAGGCCTTCTGCATGCACTGCATACAGGCAAAGCAGGCTAGTCGGGGACAAGTGATGGCCAGGGATCAATGCTTCAACGTCACGCAAAACCGCCCACACTCGGCTTCTAGCGCATCGATATCTTGGTTGCGCGGCGATGCTGGCTGCCGATAGAATGTTCCGGTGACACCCTCCGCCCGGGGTGGCCTCTTGTTTGCTGCGCAGGCCGAAAGGGATGGCCTGGTCGGCTGATGACTCTGCCGCTGTAGTGTCGGACGAGGCGACGGGTAGGAATGCCATTGGAGGCGGACGTGCAAGCGAGCAGGACGTCCTCCTGCACCTCACTATTCATAGGAGAGGATGAGTTGAGCGCCTATAATGACGACGCTAAAACTATGATCTGCGCAGGGAGGATGAGCGCCGTTGACTAGCCCTTCTGCGTAATCAGCACGTGCCTGGCCAAATGTTTAACCTCACTTCACCCGAGCAAGTAGCACCACAAGCTCAGCATTTCACCCTCCCATCGTCCTCTTCCTCAGAAACGCCTTTCGCCATCTTGTCACAGACCTCACAATCAAACCCGCCGCCTCAAGCTCCATAGTCTCAGCCTGCCTATTCGCCTTGACCTGATCCAGCCTAAGATCCCACTCAGCACGGAGCTCGTCCTCCCACGCCTCCCTCGACATATTAACACCATCAACAACAACTTCGCCAGGAGAAGAATTAAAGTTGGACCTTGGTACGTGTAGTAAAACCGGGTTTCGGCCGAATTCAAAGACGTCCGTCTTCCCATCCTGAAGGTACCCGAGGCACTTGGAACAAAGTACGTGTCCGAGGCGCGACTTGACGAGGTAGAAGCCATTCGCCAATTCTTCTTCTCCAAAGGTATGATAATTCCGGAAACATCTCAACTGATAATCTTCCGGCACGGCTTGCAGCCCAACAGAGCTCCGGCGTCGTCGTCGATGGCAGCCAGACTAGCCGCAACTTGCAGGAACCGGTTGCCAATGGAACTGAACTCGTCCTCGAGGACGTCGCCTAGGCGACTTTGTATGATTTTCCGCGCTGCAGACCTATCTCCTCTGAGATGTTTGGCCCTGGCCACAGCGAGTCGGATGTCGTGGTCTTCACGGCGGAGGGAATCGATGTCATGGCCGACAATGTGGGTCATATTCTCCAATTTCTTTTCGTACATGCCAGCGCGCGCCCTCTCCGCTTCTCCCCCTACTGGTGCTGCATCTTCCAAGAGTGCTTGGCAGAGAGAACGAAGCGCATACCAACCGGCCATGGCGAGGGTCAAGAACTCTCGCGGAGATGTCACGAGCTCTTCCCAGATCTCAATCGCGGACTCATGGTCTTCTGTCCGCTGAGAGGTATGGTAGAGGAGTGCCCCAGAAGCATAACGCAGGACCGAAATGTGCTGTTCATGGAGCGGCAGTCCCGCTGCAGAGGAAAACATCTGAATAACATGTTGTTCCGACCCTGTCTCAGCGGCAGCCCTTATAGCCAGCGAATAGAATGAATCCACCATAGCAGGGAGCCAGTATCGTACTCCCCGTGGCCCGTTTCCCATCGCTTCCCATTGTGCCAACATGTCAATGACCTTGTGAAAAGCTTTCTGTTCGCACCAGGTGTAAAAGAGGTAGTTGACCGCTGACTCCTGGGACATTTTCAGGAACTCATCTTCGCCCACGTCGTGTTCCACCAACGCCTGGAAGCATGAAGCAGCAGATTCGAGGTCTCCAAGTCTAAAAAGGATGTCTGCTTCATCGTACAAAGAGCCCCAGTAAGCCAGCGTGTACCGTGCATCAGTATTCAAGAGCTGATCTTTGAGTGCTCGGAACATCTTAAGGTAGTCCAGACGTTTTTGAGGATGTGTGTGAGCTTCTCCCATCAGCCGCAAATATAGCCAGTTGTCTGAAATCTGCGGCTCGAGCTTCTCCAGCATACGAAGAGCTTCGTCCATGAGGCCCCAGTGTTTGTAAGTTCTCGCCCTTTGTAACTCCCACTCTTCGTCGGTCAGATCTAAGTCCACTTTTTTCTTCGCCCACTCTACAACTCGGTCTATGTCGTGGCCAGACGGACGTCCGTCATAGCCAGGTGAGATATCTACGTGAAGGTCCAAATCCTACAGCAGTGTTAGCGCGACACCTCTCGACACATGGGGACTTATCCTACCTTGGCCATTATTTTTGCAGGTACTATAAATAAGAGGCCCATCGAACGCTCATTTCCAAACCAAAGAGCTGCAACACGACCAGCAACCTTGGACACGATATTGTACCTATCGCTAGACTGGGCCAGCGCAGCTTTGATAAACTCGTGCTGTTCAGCATGGTCGCGATAGCCCACTTCGACGTATGGATTGCTGAGACATCGGCGTAACAAGTCCACGTTATCGCCGGTCTTCATCTAATCCGAATGAAGGTGCATTTGGCGATTGCGGGAATGCCACCAGATATCAATCGTGGCGGGATCACACAAGACCTGCGCGAGACGACTTCCAATCGCCCCCAAGGTCTCTCTACTGACTTCCAACAGATCGACCTCTCGTAGATGGCGATGGAAGTGTGTTGCAGCATAATGGCGGAGAGCTTCTATTCCCATGTCTTTATGCCTTGTGCACAGGGAGTCGAGACAGATCTGGAGAAGGCTCAAATGGAAGGCATTCCTGCCCCCCAGACATATGCGAGCCGTCTGCTTGCCGGTCTTTGCCTCGAAGAAGCGATCAAACTCGAAGCGTGAGTAGAGGTCATCGTCACAGACGTTCAATAGGAATCGACGGACAAGTGCGATCTCGCTCGCATGTAGCACAGTGTTCGACTGGTCCATAGAAGTAGCATCCGTGGGCGTTGGTACCTCTTCTAGGATCTCTTTGAGTGTCTCCGATTGTAGCTTCACGCCGCTGATATCATCCATCGTAATCAGCGCCGGAAATTTATCAACAACAGCTTTGAGCATATATTTCTGACCAAGGCGAAAGTAGAGTGCTGCTTGCAATACATCTGCTGGCTTCAGCATGAGCGATGGGTGGGGCTCAAAACCGCCAGCGGCCCAAAGAAGAAGCTCATTCAACTGCTTTATTTCCGTTTGACCAAGTGAAGCGTTGAGATCCGCAATGGCAGTTCTGAGTGACGTCGAGAGGCCCTCGTCCGCGTTCTCAATAATTGAACGAATCTGTTCCTCGCTCTCGCAGGAATCAATTTGCCTGAGTTTGTCTTCGAGGTTTTCGAAGTGGCCAGCAACCGCGGCGGCCAGCTCAGATGCAACGTCGCCCATATCCTCTAGCAGGACGTGAAGCTCTGGCTTTCTCGTGTACATGCCCTGTATCCGGTGGCGAGCCACGAGAACCAGATCTTGCTGGTTGACGACGGCGGTCGCATTGTCATTCCAGTGGAACTTGCGAGGCTTTCCAGTGGCAGCACCCGAGTATGAGCGTTCGAGTCCGAGTGAAATCTGAGCGAAGCCATCGCCAAGCTCCATGCTTTCGAAGTGATCAGGAAGAGCAGACACGAAAAAAAGCATTTGGAAGCCGTCACCCCTCGGCAAGGCCGCATATTTCGCCATGCTCGAGATGGTCTTGCCTGAACAATCGACTCGCCTGAAATCTTGGAATCCATCGAGACAAATGAAGCAGTCGCCGTGGATTTCGTCGAGTAGATCAAAGATCAACTTGTCCCAGATGGCTTGAGACTCGTATGTAGTACCTGCATTCTCGCACGCAGTAGCAACGGCCCTGGCGTAAGTCGGTCGCTTTGAGGCGATTTGACAAATGAGTGAGCCCAAGCACTTCTCAAGCGACTCATCTCGATTTTCGGGAGAGAAGTAGTAATAGGACACAATCGCCTTGTGTTGGGCACTAGTTTTGCCATACTTCTCCAACAAGGCAGCAATTACTGTGCTGCAGATATGCGATTTGCCATAGCCAGACCTGCCGGTCAATGCCATGACATTCGTGCCCTGTCTCGAAAGGTCTGCCCATTGCTTGAAGACGATGTTGTCCCTGACAAGCCAGCTTCCAGAGTCAGGGACTCGGCTTCGTATTAGACTGTTCTGTTTTTCGAGCCATGGATCATCATCTCCAACTCCTAAAGCACGACGAATCGATTTGAGATGCGCTTCATGCTCCTGTCGCGATACCTGAAGATCCTGAGCTTTTTTGATCTGCTGCGTCGAGTCTTGTACTTTGCCAACTGCGCCTCCTATGGAACCCAGATGGTCGACGATCTCAGTCATATTGCGTTGGCGCTCGTGTTCAGATGCAGACATGAACTTAGCAAGCCCCTTCACATCTTTCAGAATGACATCAACCTGACTCTGCGTGACTTCGCAGACAAATCGTTCCATTTCCAGCATGTCTCGGCTAACATCGCCATCATCGTTGAAAAGAACCACATTGGCAACGGCTTTGAAGCCAGCCATCTTGCTGTGAGCCAAGCGATGTGATCTTCCCACAACCTGCAGGAAGAGACCAAGTATGGCATAGACTGGTTGTCAGAGATGCTCATCCAGTGAATTGCCGTGCTTAATGAAGTTCAGGCGCTCCAAGAACACGACACAGCGCTCGAGAAGCACCGCTAAGCCATCAAATATCTTCTGAACGCCCTGTGCTGCGGAAATGGCGAAGCTGGTCGCATTCCAGCATTATGCGCTGGGACCGAACACAACGCTTGTTGCTTGAGAGATGATGCCGCCGAAATGTTGCAGACATTGCGCCAAGCGATTCAAGATCTGCTTGGTTCGAGTTTTGGCAGCAGATCTGCTCTTGTGGAGGGTCTCATCGACTTGTTTGCTGACGAGCGAGAAGTCGATGTTTCGTCCAGGAGGCAATTTGACACCGCTCTGTTTTTCGTAGGCGTCTAAGAAAGCGGGCCAGATAAGGTCGAGGTCATGGTCAGAACCCAAAGCTGCCATGACATTCAATAGTCATCGCGTATGAGATCTTCCTAGGGGCGGCGTGGCATTCTCTTTGTACCCAGAGCTCAGCCCCAACCTCGCATTGGCCACTTCGGCCAACTGGGCAGGCCAGCTGAGGTGGAGGTTGCCAAGCATCCATACGAATGCTGTCGGCTGATGAACGTGTCCACTGCGATGAAAGCTGACGATGCTATCACGCTATAGCAAAGATTCAATTACGATGAAGAGGATTTGGTGGTATGAAAGAGCTCAGCAGCGGTGGTGAAGGAGCAAGGGAAGGCTGAAGTCGGCCCCCCACCCCAGTATTGCTGAGATAGGCGAACAGGAGCTGGCGTTGGTAGTCAGTCTGGCTTTGAGATTTGGCACGAACGATTCAAATGGACGGACACGGGCATCTGCGTGCGGCTCGGATGCCGAGAGTTCTGCATCGGCTATGCGGTGGGCGATGAAGGACGAGAGTTGTTGTCCAAAGATTAGTGGTGAGGAGCAGAAGGGCGGTAGAGCAAAGCAAGGACCTGAGATCGGGCCCCGTCACTAGCGCCATTTTTGGCTTTTCAGGTGGGGGCCGATCAACCTACTTGTCTGGATAGTGACCACGACTGGCGCTTTCAGGTTGCTCGCAGTCGAACAAGTGCATGCGAGTCGGAACCAGTAACGACACATCGTCAACATGCCACTCCATCTACTGGGCAAGAAGAGCTGGAATGTGTACAACAACGACAACGTCGAGCGCGTCCGGAGAGATGAAGCCGAAGCACAAGCGCGGGAAGAGGCAGAGGAGCAGCGCATGCAGGAAGAAGATGCTCGGCGACGTATAGCTATTCTCAGAAGAGAAGAGCCTGCACCATTGAGGCCAGTCGTCGAGCCTGTAGAATCGTCAACCGGATGGCGAGAAAAGAAAGACGACGATACGTACTACCAGCGAGACCGCAAACGCAGGCGTCTGAGAGGGGAAGACGATACAGAGCGCGACATCAGATATGCTCGCCAGGACACAGCAACGGGTGAGAAGGCCGCTAAAGCTTTGTTGAAAAAAGCGGAGAAGGATGCGCCTCTAGAAGACCGCGCAGGGCACATTCAACTATTCCCAGCACCTGACGAAGTGGCCATTCGCAAGACCGAGAAGAATGCCGAGCTCGAAGCCGAGAAGGAAAAGAAGCGGAAGAGAGAAGAAGACAAGATCACCATGCGTTTCAGCAATGCAGCTGGTTACCAAAACAGCGGGCAGAAGCCATGGTACGCCTCGAGCAGGGATGCTTCCAATGATCAGGCGAAGGACATCGTTCTGGCAGAGGCTCAAGGTAAGGACGTTTGGGGGAATGATGATCCACTGCGTAAAGAGCGTGAAAAGACCCGAATATCCACCAATGATCCCTTCGCGGCAATGCAGCAAGCTCAGAGGCAGCTGAAACAAAGTGAGAAAGACAAGTTTACCTGGGAGAAGAAGCAGCAAAGGGAGCTTGAGGAATTGAAGAAACAGCAAAGAAAGGAGAAGCGACGAAGAGACGTGGACGAGGATAATCTGGACGGATTCAGCCTGGATGCACCGCCAGAGAGAAGAGGAAGCGAACGTGACAGAGACCACAAGCACCGACACCGCCACCACCATAGAAGATACCACAGTCGAAGTCGAAGTCGTGAGCGAGATAGGGAAAGAGGACACTCCAGCCGTCGCCACCGGGATCGCCATTGAACTGTGACGAATGTCCTACTTCGTCAAAATTATCGAGTACTTGCCTCAGCGTATATCCGACGACTGGCATACCTGCGTGGAAAGACGTTCAGGCAGATCAAGACGACCTATGATCCTCGAAACGAGTCAAAAAGGATCCGATCCCGAGCTCTTCGCGACATTATCAGCCGCAAAATGCCAATTTGATGCTGTAAGCCGGGCGGACTTCACGTGGATGATTCATTCCGCCAAGTACTCTGTTGCGGAACGGCATTCACTTTCATTGGCTCTACCTTTGCGAATTGACCAAATTGGTAGTAGTCAACATGCTATAATACCTGCTGTGGCTGTCGGTGTGAATCACTCGCGAGGCGACCAGCTGTCGCCCGTAACGTGTTGCTGTGGAGGATCGGCCTAGCTTGGTCGAATGACAGGAAGAGGCTGGAAATCCTACAACTCTGAGAAGTAGGATTCCATCTTTCGCCTTGATAGGATGCAGCTCGGCTTGGAGACAGAGCTTCGCGAACCGTGTGAAGAACATAAGTACAGTAAGTCGCCATATTTCTCACTTTCTCCAGTCTCAACCTTTCGAAAAATTCAAAAACAAGCCTTCTCCTGACAACCATCCCCCCCAATCGCAATGATGTCTCAGCAAGCAAACATCCACGTCGTCAAGAAAGACAACATCACAGAGCATGCCACGGTTCCCATCTCTTACTCTACCCCGTCTCTCGAAGATGGTTCCATTCTAATCCGCTCCGCTCTCGTTTCCCTTACGGCCAACAACCTCTCCTATGCTCACTTAGGCGCCGTTCTCAATTGGTGGGATGCATACACCGTACCAAGCTCCCTCCCAGCTCCCTACAGCGATGACTCTCAATACGGCATTGTGCCTGTATGGGGATACGCAGAGATCTTGGAGAGCAAAATCAGTGGCTTGACTCCAGGACAGATCCTCTTCGGCTTCTGGCCCAGCCATGACTTGCCCGTCGCCTTACGCCTGAAATCGGCAGACGATTGCCCTGGCCATTTCATTGAGATCACGGACAGCAGACAAAATTTGATGAATCTATACAACCGCTACATCCTTCGCCCGGATATAACACCTTCGTCTGTGTCAGCTTCCACGCCCCAGACAGACTCCCTCGCCTGGCAGTCAATCTTCCTCGGAGCAGGCCGCTACATCTCACGCTATGTCTTTGGCTCGCCGCCCATCCACCCTGGCCTCGGGAGCCTTCCTTGGACTGCCGAAGACGCAGACATGTCGCAGGCCGTGATCGTGAGTCTTTCGGCTTCGGGCAAGACGGCGAGGGTGTTTCAAGACGCTTTGGTTGGGGAGAGAGAGGACAAAGATGGTCCTTTGGGTTGGATAGGTGTCACGGCAGGGAATGGAAAGGGGTTGATTCCTCAGACGAAAAGATTCGAGACGAAGATAGTTGGCTACGAAGACATCACGAGTGAAACTCTGATGAGATGGATCGAAGGGCTGAAGCCCAAGAGAGTGAGTTACGAGTACTTCTGCATCGCTCGCCATCAGCTAACATTGGATCCATCACAGCTCATCATCATCGACTTCGCATCGCGCGGCACCTCCCTCCAGACTCTCATGACAACCCTCCAATCCACCCCTTCGCTCGGTTCCCTCCCACTAACAATCATCGGCGTCGGCAGCGAAAGTAAACCCCATAAACCCTCTGACGTCACCGCCACGTTGCAATCGCGTGCGAAAATGCCGAATCGAGTCCAGATGAACATGTCTGGGATTCGAGACCGAGCGATCGAGTTGCTGGGGGCAGAGAAGGTTTTCAGGGAGGGACAAAAATATTGGGAGGGATTTATGAAGAGAGGAGGCGTGGAAGGGATGAGGCTGGAATGGGGGAGCGGTATTGGTGGGAACGAGGGGATCGAAGGGGGTTGGACGAGGTTGTGTGAGCAGGCTGTGCCGTCGGATGTCGGGATGGTGTTCAGGGTGTAGGGAACACGATTCGACAAGAGACGGCAGCGCCGATGTGTAGGGTTCGGATTGAGAAAGACTGAGTGGCAATGACACGTCCAGTGTCAACCCCAGCTCTGGATCCCTTCCCATATCAGATCGAACCGAACGGCGCAAGCTGTTTGCATCTTCTTGGCCCTGCAAGCCCATATTCGACATCCAACGCCACAAATCCAGACAGCTTAGCTACATAACTACACGTGCTAGCAACGCGCATCGCTAGCACATACAGATAAGGCAAGTCATTCAAACACATTCCGCATCACTGATCAAGCGTCCTATCAAGCAAGCATGCCTACAGGGCCAGCCGTAGAGGATGCATACAGGTATATCTCTAATCACATCTCGACCACTGAGACGTCGTAGTCGAGAGAGCTGTCCTTCAGCTGAAGGTGTTGCGGCTCGCGGAGCTTGTACAATGCAAGTCAAACGTAGCCTTGCGAGCAGAGTGGCAAGGAAGACAGAAATGCGGGCGCCTTCGCACGTCTTGTGCAACGAGGACGTTCTTCCAGAAGCTCTGCCTTGTGCTCTCAAAGATGGACCACTCACCTCATGAAGATATCGCCAAAAGGCCCAACGCGACGAGTACCCCTAACTTGAAATTCCTCAACTACTCCCTCACAAAGATCACACTTGACGCCGGCCTCCGCATCTCCAAAGCAACTACAAACCTCTCCACCGCCATCTGCGGTGCCATCCTCCTCATCCCTCGCACCGTCTCCGCCCAAGCAGAAGATGGCTACGGTTACCCAAATCTCACTCCCGCAGGCCCGAACTACGACGATTTCATCGCCGGCCCGGCCAACAGAAGCGACAAGGACGGCCAGAAAGTCCTCGCCGACGTCGACAACTTCCTCGCGTCAAGCCTGAACTGGATCGCGTTCAAGCAACGCGCGGACCAGATCCGAAAGTCTGGAATCCAACAGGATTGTATTGGGAATTTGTCGATTGCGCTGACGGGCCTGGGCGGTGCGTATCAGGCTGGCGCATCTGGGGCGACGACGCTGTTGACCTTGTTGCCGACTGCGGGCGCCTTGATCGGGACGCCCGTCACCGAGCTATGGGTCTTGTGTGAGTGTGAAGGATAGCAGCCCTCATGTGAGACAATCCGTCATGGCTAACTTCCTGCTTCGTGGACAGATAAGTTGATGCCGCTCGCTGGGTTGATTTCGATGGTCCTCTCGCTGGGCGGGAACATTGTCCCAGCCGAAGTGAATGAATACGAACGTGTGGCGGCAGACTTCACGTACAGCGGCATGGTTGCGTCGAACCCGGATCAGTACAATGCTGTCAAGGTCGACGACGATGATGCCCTGCCGCCGGATGCTGGCACGACCGAGGCGAAAGAGAAGAAGGAAGCCATCAAGTTCGCGAATCAGGTCGCTGCCAGGGCGAGACATCCTATTGAGTTGAGGAAGGCTCCTGTCATTGTGGGTGGAATCACAGTGCAGATCTTCCTGTTGGGGTTGATTATGGTGGCTTGTTGGTTTATGCAAGCAGGGAGCATCGTTGTCTGGTGGTGCACAGTAAGTAACGCCTCCTGATCCTCATCATTCAGCTGAGTTGACTGGTCTGCAGTTCTACCCCTGGATGTACTTCTGGTACGGCTTCGTCGCACTATCATCGCTGCTTGAGAACCTCGCCGGCGTGCCCTTCACTCATCAATGGACAATCCGCGTCTCTCGCGCGCCCAAAGTCGAAATCTCCCCAGATGTACCCTGGGCTATTCCAGAGCCTGCGCCTCAGATTCCAGAGATCAGACACCAAACAGACATTCAGCCCTCCGGTAGTAAAGGTCCCTCTGCATTCTCCGATGAGGTCGCTTACCACGGCCACCAGCTCACACCGTCAAACCACTCCAATGCGAGCGGCGACGTCCCCACGTTCTACCCCTCGCGATACTCGAGCGTGCCTCAACAGCCGTTCAGTGAAGGAGAGATCCTGACTCGTCTCAAGAAAGGCTACAACACATTCGGCAGGGTCGTCATGGAGCCTAATCGACCCTGGTCGGCTGCGAAGGACGCCTTCTATGTCATCATCAGTGAAAGAGGCGTCGACTACTCTCACGCATCCCTGAGAGTTTTCTCGAAGATCCTCACCATCGGCGTCTATACGGTCGGGACGGCGATGTTTGCGTCGAGCACTTTGGCTACGATCCTCGTCGCTGTGGTGGTCGCCAGTCTGGTTATCGTCGCCGGTGTCTTCGGTCGAGTGACTGCAATGTGTAAGTCACTGGTGCTTCTCAGCTCCAACATTATAAACCATCGCTAACATCGATGTAGGGATGGCCAGCGAACTGATGAAAGGTCGTCCGATCCTTCATAAAGTCGCCAAAAACCGCAAAGAAGCCGAGCTGTACATCGAAGCCATACTCAGAAAGCCTGACATGGTCTTCGAGGTCCTCGGTCATGTCATTACCGATGGCCGGATTATCAAACGGTACAGGAAGCCGTTGCGTTGGAGCTCGATCTTGGGCGTATTGGCGGACCCGTACGACATCACCAAGCTGGCGACGGCTGGTTATTCAAAGGTTTGATGCTATGATTTGCGGCGTTGGTTGAAGGGTGATACTCAGAGCACATAATCGGACTGTTTCAATTACTTGCCCGACTTTTCGGCATTCGCACTGGCCTTCTTCTCCTTGACGACTTCAGATATTCTCTCTTCTTCCACCTGCCGGCCTCAGGCTGCGCGCGGCATCCTTCGTCGGCTCCTTCGCATGTCCGGACGCGGGACGCTTCGCTTTGGCGACCACTTCACCCTGTCTGTACATAGTTGCGATGCCTTACAAGCCGTAGACTGCCAGCACATCCGGGTATCTGCCCAGCCGTTTCATCGAGCACATCGCCTACTGCAGAATGCCGCGAAGTCGGTCATGCGACAACCTCAGTCAAGCGAACATATCTTCAGCCGGGCCAGTCGAACCAGTGGGATCCCGCGGAAGAGTGGTGTGAAGAGAGCCAAGTCAGATGCCAGAGGCGTGAAACGTTTTGGCGCTGCTCGCTGACATCACCCACGCCAACAGAAACTCTGTTACTTCCTGCTCGCAATGAGGCTCAATCCTGGAACGTGACCGACTTGGTTGGCTGTTGGCGATGTGCTAGCATCGCAGCTGCGAAACCAAGTTTCATACCGCGTTTTCCGAACGCGGCGTCTTCTTGTCGTTGCGCCTGGCGTACTTCGGAGGTGATGTAGGCGGAATACAGGTGTGATTAAGGTAAGTCGAAAGCCACGTTTTCCATCATCTTCTTTTTCTTCGTCGAATTCCTGGAGTTGCAGCTGGGGAAGCAGCCCAACAAATATGCGCACAAGACATGTGGTCGGCCTTGTATTCCTCTCCATCCTCTCCCTCGCATTCCTCTGGCGACATCATATCCGCGACCTCTCAGAAGTTACCCGCACATACAGCGTTTTCCACAAGTACCTACGGCGTAATCAAGATGTCCTGGTACGATTTTCGACTCAGCTTCAATCGTCAGAGGCGAACGACATAACACTGCCCGACTCCGTTCCCCAGATCATTCACCAAATCTTCCTCTCAAATGGCAGACCGAACTCAACTCTGGCCAAGTACGATCCAGCGATCAAAAGCTGCCAAGCCCTACATCCGGGATGGACGTTCAAGATGTGGACAGACACCAATGCGACTGACTTCATCGCTGAGTTCTACCCGGACATTCTGCCTCATTACACCGGCTACAAGCAGAACATCCAGCGCGCCAACATTCTCCGGTATGCACTGCTGCATCACTTCGGCGGTGTATATCTAGATCTCGACGTTACGTGTCTTGCAGCTCTGGACGAGCCACTATCCAAAGGGTCGGATAGATCTCTCACTCACCTGCCATGGGTCACCCCGGGAGCTTACCCAGCAGGCGTTAACAACGCATTCATCCTCTCTCGACCAGGCCATCCCTTCCTCGCCGAGCTGCTTGGTCGAGTGCCTAGCCGCGACTTGCCATGGCCCATGCCGTACGTCGAGAACATGCTCAGCACAGGCTGCATGTACTTCTCCAACGTCTGGATGTCATATGCTCTGCGCTTGGAGAGGGAGTGGCGAAATCCTGGCGTGAGGAAGGAAGATCGAGTGTATATCCTCGCGGATGAGAATGGCAGTATGGATCCTCACATGCTGAGAGGCAAGATCACCACACCGCTCTTCGCGCACGGCGGGGCGAGTAGCTGGCACGGTTGGGACGCGGCGATGATCGTTATGATCGGGAAACACTATGGATATTTCGCACTTGGACTCGCGAGTCTGGTGGCCTCGATTGTGCTTGCGGCGTGGAAGCTGAGTCGACGCAGCAAGTCGAGGCGGAGGAGCAGCTGGAGAAGTGCGGTTTCGCGGCTCAGTCTTGATCGACGGAGTCTAGAGAAGCATTCCCTGCTACAGGATGAAGAGCAGGGATTGGCGAAAAACGGGTAACGACGAATGGTATGATCTTGTGACTTGTCTTTGCATAGCGATTGCGCGGCGTGGGAGCGATTCCTTGATCAGCGACAGGAAGATGATATCCCGCACAGGCACAGATTCCATATGGACCTAGACGTAGTGTATAATCAACGAAATGACGGTTTGTAACAAGGATTTGATGGCTCATTGGTCTTGCTTCGTGCTCTTGCTTCTGTTCTCGTCTAGAGTCATGTTGGCGTATATACATGATCATGCCCTGATTCTTTCGATCAGATGTTTGGTGTATATCATTTATAGCTTGGCTCCCTCCTTCAAAGTTCCAATCTTCAACTTCGGGCTGTACTTCTTCAACACGCTTTCGTTGTGGTACTGCACTCAACATGTCAGCAACTTGTGTTACACCATGCTACATCCTTCATTTCATTCCACATTCAGTATGTGGTATATGTCTAATGTAACTCACCTTCCAAAACTGCTTGCTCGCATCCTTTCCACCTACTCTCTTGAGGATCTTCGCACCGCCTGGGTGCTCATCTACGAAGCCTCCCATCTCGTACACGTCATTATCAATGATGATATAAAGGCCCTTCTCGACTGTGTTGTGCTCTTTCACTTCGTTGGCGGTGATTTGCTTCGACATCGTGAGTTGCGATTCAGGTGGAGTTTGCCCTCGGCTATTGAATTGGTTGGATTGCGGGATCAAGATAGGGCTCGTTTGAAGCGCTTCAATGCGGTAATTGAGATGATCGGTCCCGGAGTGGGCAGAGAGGTGTTATTAAGAGATGAGGTGCGTTTGAAAGATGGCACGTGGGTATAGGTATAGAGATAGGTGAACAGAATAATCAGCGGAGATGTGACTGGTGGAGAGAGATCACTGACGTTTTGCCTCGGCATTGAGGAGCTCACGTGACTGCTATAGCCGACGCGATAACGGAAGAAGTTGAACTTTATCAGGGGTTTGTGAGACTTCACTGCTATCAAACGTGCTCCCTAACAATTACAACCACCATGCTACGGCCTGACTGATGTGTTTCCGTACACCGCAATTGTCTGCTATGGAAGTTCCAGCAACTTAAAGCAAGAGATTGGGCCCATTTTGTATCGAAAGGCATGCTAACAAAGTCCACCTATGTGGTGTATCTAAAATCCGGATGCCGGTCTCCTCTTGCCCCAGCATCGATCAGTCGCCTCTTCTCGTCTTCTGGCATTGCTTCCCGCTTCCGGTTGATCCCCCTCAGCAAGAAGAACATCGTCGCATATCCAATCGAGGCACACACGATTGTCGAGAGCGAAACCGCGTGTCCGATGACATACCTCCCATCCGAGTTCGTTATCCGATAGATCTGTCCAGCCAGGATGCCTGCACTGTTACCGACTGTCTGCTGCAAGCCAATTGCCGTCGCCCGTTTATAGTAGCCTGCGTTCGAGTTCGAGATCCATGTGACGTTCAGCCCAACACAGCAGTATATTCCCGTTGCGGTGACGAATGTCGCGAAGTACAGCACAGCTGTCTTGTCCATGTCAATGCCGAGCATCATGCAATACCCAATCGCCGTGACTATCGCCAGCGGCGACATGAAAAATGCCCGCCGACGAACTTTATCCGAGACGTACGCAACGACAAGATAAAAAATCGAGGCCCAGATATACACCGGCACCGTGAGCAACTGCGTCCGGACCGAGCTGAACCCAAATCCCCTGATGATCGTCGGCAAGAACGTGCTGAATCCAAAGGAGCAGGTATTTGCGCAGAACTGGCAGAATGCACTCAGCCAGACTTTGGGATCTTGGAAGGCGAGCTTGACCTCCTCGCGGTCGAAGAGTTCGTTCTCGCCTTGGTAGAGGGCGACTTGTTCGTGTCGGATCCGCATGAGTTTCTTGTCGTTATCGTTTAGCCACCAGGCGGATTCGAAGGTGTCTGGGAGGAGAGCGATGCAGCCGAGTCCTACCAGGATGGAAATTAGGCCTTCGACGAGGAAGAGCCACCTCCACCCTTCGAGTACGCCATTCAATCCCGTCAGGCCGTACGCAAGAAGTCCTCCAAAGGCTCCTGATAATGCTGCCGCGACGAAGAGGTATGAGATTCTCCGGGCTTGTTCGATGGGTTTGTAGAAGGTCGATAGGTAGAGCGTTAGGCAGGGGAAGAGGCCTGATTCGAATGCGCCGATGAGGAGGCGAGAGGCGAGCAGAGTTGCGTAGTTTTGCATAAAGGCGCTGCCGATGACGACGGCGGACCAGCAGATTATGAAGAAGGGTATGAGGCGAGAGGGGCGTGCCTTCTTGAGGATTAGGGAGGCGGGAATCTCGAAGGTGATGTACGTAACTGTGTTGTCGTCAGCATGTGTCAGAATAGCTATTCGATCGCAATATACTGACCGTAGAAAAGTGTCACTGCCACGTTAAGTTTGTCCCCATCGAGTCCGAGGTCTTCGCTCATGCCAGCGATGGCGGCATTCCCCTGACAAGGTCAGTTATGCTTCAACATAGACTCGAGGCATCCTTACGATATTCGACCTGTCAAGGTACGCAACCAGAAACACCAGCACCATCATCGGCGAAAGCCACATATCCAACTTCCTCACCAACTTCCTCTCCGCCACAGGGTCAATAACAGCCTCATGCGAGCCAACCTCATCGTCTCTCGGCTCCAGGTACTGTTGCTTCGACTCGTCCATCGTAGCGTAGCCTTGGCGTATAAGGTTCTCGACAAACTTCGTGGAGACATGCAGAAAGGCTGCGGGTCTACTGCAGTATTTATGATCTATAGGTCTAATCTTTCCCAAGACCACTATCTCTTGTGTCGACTTTCGCCGATCTGGTAGGATGAAAATTGCCGATGATGATCGGCAAAATCTGTTGTCATGCCTCCGGGGGAGATAGCGGGCAGCTGCTTGCCCGACCAAAGAAGGATTCTTATCGGTCAATTGCGAGTGTCAATGGATGTGTGGCGAATTGCTTTTCATCAGGCCGTGTACAGTGTTGAGGTGTCTTTATATTTCAGCATCATCCCGATCCTTTCCCCTGCTTGGCCGGATTACTATCATTTGACGAGCCGTTGCCTGAATCATGGGGTCTATAACAACAGAAGTTGAAAGCATTCTTGTAAGTTGGGTTGATAGCTGACGAGTTGAGAGGGACTGATCTGAGGTTCTTCGACAGACGTGGGAGCGTTTGGTCCGCTTCATCGCCCAGGAAGATGGCCAAGAACATCTTGGTGAGCCGGTGGACCGAGATCTTGATAGTGAGTTCATACCCAAACGCATGAACGAATGTGTCTGACCAGCAAGTAGTTGGCGCTGCTTTGGCGTCCTCGGAGTCAGTCAGGGTCCGCAAGTTGTCAGGTTCATCGCCTTTGGATTCCTCCCTAAAGGTCACAAGCTCGGTATTGACGATCAAATCCATACTTCCACCTCTTTCGAAGGCAGAAGTGGGTACGATCCGGTGCATTGGATTGAACTACCGCAACCACGCGAAAGAAATGAACTTGACGCTGCCAACTCATCCGTCAGTTTTCTTCAAGCCGGCGTCGTGTCTGAATGCCCCAAACAGTCCGCTCGTCATACCCTACCAGGCCATCGACGACCAAGCAGATTACGAAGCGGAGCTGGCGATTATCATCGGGCGAGAATGCCGAAATGTCAGCGAGGAGAATGCCTTGGACAACGTCCTTGGCTACGCTTGCTCCAACGACGTGACCGCGCGCAAATGGCAGTTTGCCGGCGGCAACACGCAATGGGGGTATGGTAAAGGATTCGATGGATTCGCGCCTCTGGGACCTTGCATAGTGTCACAACGACGGATTCCAGATTCCAGCGAAATCGGGATCAAGACCGTGCTGAACGGCGAGACCATGCAGGAGGGACGAGCAGACGACATGATCTTCTCGATACCGGCGATAGTCTCACATCTAAGCCAGGGAACGACGTTGGAACCAGGGACGGTCATCATGACAGGCACACCGCATGGAATTGGTGTGAGCAGAGATCCGCCTGTCTTCCTCCAGGACGGCTACGACGTGCGGATTGTTGGAAGCCATGGTCTAGGAAGCCTGGTGAACCGTGTTGTGTATGAGAACACCCCAGTTAAGGCCAAGACCAACGGTTCATGAACCCAAGATCATGAGAATCCGGGCTCTTGAGCTATGCTATCAAGCACATATTCCCACTGCTGCACATCTATCGCTTCCGGCAGCGTAAGTGCAGGATCATGCCAGAAGTTGGCGCTCGGGTCGATTGGGAATGGCGGGAAGAACCTATCATTCAAGTTCTGCTCGGGAGCCAAATCCAGGCCAGGGAAAGGAGTTTGTATATTTGGATCCATACCGCTGCTTGCTGGAGCAGAAGTCATCGTTGGCTCCATGGAAGCCCTGCTGTTGGGGATACTCCGCTTGTTGCTTTGACGCAAGCTCCTCGCTTTTGAGATACATAACTCAACAATCTTGACTTCTGCCAGTGCGAACTCGTTTACCCAGACGTCATGGCGCTGCATCTCACAGTAAGCGTCGAGGTCTTCCAGTAGGGCATTGGTTCGTGGCGAATGTGGGTCTTGGACCGCGATCACTCCCAGGACAAGCACGCCGTTGAACAAGTGGTGAGGTCCTAGGGCCCACTTGAGACGGTCTTGCAAAGGTTGTCCAAAGTACTTGAGTCGTAGCGCCAGATCGGAGCAAGCGGAAGACATGCAGACATCGTGACTGTATCTGTACCGATTCGTAATGCTGTGACGAAGTAGGTATGGTCGATGAAGCGTAATCCGGGCGAAGTGATACATCGCATGGAGCCGCAGTCTGTTCCAGTAGAGGTATGGTCTGGAGGCATCTGACGAAGTATCTGCGTCTTGTAGCCTGAAGTACGGTGGTAGCTCTCATTCCCAGTTCACCACGTCACGGTCCAGGGATAACACTGTCTCATACGAAACAGCAAAGAGTCCAAAGCAATGTTCCTGAATCTTTCCGACGATGACGGCCAATTCATGTGCGAGGAGATTGCAGACTGCTTGAGTCGGTTCCGAAATCGGTGCTTCCGTGGCGGCGCCAGCATCTTCGTCGCTCAGGTCATCAAGCCAAACATTCGATGCCCGTTTCACCATGCATTGTTGATCAACAATAGCGAAGGGGCGGCCTAGTGCAAGAGCAATCGTCTTGTCCAAGACGTAAAGGTGACTCCAAAGTCGCCGTCGAGTCTCAGTTTCCTTTCGAGGGAGTCTCCAGCGTTCGCCGTCGATATGCATCCCTTGAGCTTGAGACATTCGCTGTGTAGGATTTAGCACTAATCTTTACCCGTTTTCAAAAAAGAGATAGCGTACCATAGCGAAGCTTGTTGTTAGCCAGGACTCAGTGACTCGTCGAGTGTAGATCAAGTAGCGCGTAACGAGTATTCCTGCACGAACGAGGTCTGTACTTTCGCCGTAGAACGAAGGTGCAATGACAATAGCTCGTCTCGAAGCCCAGTAGAATCTCAAAGATGTCTCTGTGAGCTCACGTTGGCTTTCCAGGTTGGTTGGCGCAGAGCCATCCAGGAGTACGCCATAGGCAAGCACGATAAACAACAGCGCCAACCATCTGAGATCGACTGTAGCGAAGTCATCAAACCCAAACTTGCGTGTCCAGAAGGCTTCGTACTTTTCCCGAAAATTGGCAGGGTGCACTGCATCGATGGACCAGTTCAATTCTCGAAGGAAACATTCTGTCAGATTATCAACGGTCGCCTTTCTGCGAGGCAAGATGCCTAGGAGATCCCAGATTTGAGAGAAAGGCCCGCCTTCATCGCGGAAAGAATGAGCCGACCCAGCACCAGGCTGCGCTCGGATTCCCGACGAGACATCTGGCGCAGGTGCCTCGATGACTTTTGCCGCTGCCTGTGGTCCAAAGTAGGATGAGCCGAAGAACGACGGAGCATCCTGGCTTCTGAACAAATTGCCAACGCTGCCTTCTCCTTCCGGGAGTTCGACGGCAGATGAGGCCGTGTACGAGTCTGGAGCTCCAGCATCGACGTGGGTTGATCCGGAAGATGAATTGCCAGCTGCTTCAGTGGCTCCTGGGTATTTACAAGTCGATGAAACTCCACGACGGCGGCAGTTAGAGCATACGGTAGACCCATCACCATCGCACTACCCAAATGTCAGCGAGTAAACTTCAAACACAATCTCTTACGTACCTTCTGCTTCCTGCGATGACAAGGGAGACAGGCTACAGCGTGTCGACCGCGCTTGCGTGGGGATCGGGATATTGGCATGATTGTGTAGAAGGAAAGCCGAAGGGAAGAGGAGACATCTGGCTTTTTACCGACGATGCCGGGTGGGGCGGATTGCCCTATCGCCTCTCTACTTTGTCTCTGGTGTTTCTGGGGTAGCTTTTACGCTATTGGTTAGGCTGAGTACTGGGCATCTAGTTTGCGCTTGCTCTAGTGTAACATGTTCGGTAGAACGTCAACCAAAAGGATACGACAAAGCTATGTCGCCAAAGCCCGCCGAAATTGGCAGAATGCTGACCCACGTATTATGGTGTAGGGGCCCCTGGGATGACGATACAATTCGATCAACTCCGTAGGATGTGAGTTGATCGTCCGATAGGTGCATGAAGCGGTGGAATGAAGCTGGTTATGTTTAGCCGTCGAAACATCGAACGCAAAAGCAGGTCGAGACTTACAAAGCAGATTCTGGCAGAGATGCCAGCCGGGTACGGATTGAGCAAGTAGAGTCTCTAGTTTCGTTCTGTGCGTCCGGATCCGATCTTGCTCCGCAGGGTCTGTCTGATCATAGCGGCAGTGGACCTCCAACAGAAGCATGATGCCCGAAAATATCGTACCGACCAGAGGATCAATCAAAGATTTACGATGATCCCATTGGCATGCTACAGCCACAGCGTCTTCGCAAAACGACACTGCCCGACGCCATCGATATGCCCACTCGGTCTGGTCGCTGTGAACTTCGGATGGGATCATTGCGATGATACGAGCAAAATGCATGAAGAGCACTGATGTAAGCCTCTCAAAGTATGCCGACGTGCAGTCGTCCAGCACGGTCTGTTGTGTAGGGTCCATGTATCCAGTGGGCAATGCGTCTCGCATAGACGCCAAGTTGGACTCCATAGCCGTTATGCGTGTCCGCAGGCTTGGTGTTGGATTCTGCACCAATAGTCGCCTTAACGTGCCGGCCTCTCTGAGGATCGTGACAGCCAGGATACGTATGCTCTCGTTAGCATTGTTGTGGCGGCCGATGACGTCGTTGAGTGACGAAGGAAACAAGCTGCAGTCATCAGGAAGAAACACATCTGTTGAATGCTCCCGAATAACGTTTGAGCTTGCATCCGCCGATACCAATGCAGTCTTGATGCTTTCTTTTTCGATAAGAAAAGGAGTTCCCGCCATAATATTGGAAAAAGAGTCCAGGCTGTAGATTGACCACCAGACCGCTCTCCAATCTCGAAGCTCCTCATGGCTGATTATGATATAGCGGTATAAGGAGCATTGATTGGGATTGTCGAGTTGATGGAGGCCGCATTGATATCCCTTTCGAGTCAACCGCACAACGCGATTCAACGATCGTTCGCCTGGCATTTCAAAGAATGCATAAAACGCAAGTAGCGTCGCTTGCCGAAAGTCATCGAGCGACGTCTGTGCTGTTGCCTTGTAGTCCAAGTGGTCCGATTCAAGCAAGTAATCCAGATATGATCTCGCGGCTTCTGAGCTCCAGAACTTGCAGTCGCCGATGAGCCCCACAGATATGGCGCACATTGCAAGCGTAAGGTCGGAATCAATGAAGCCGAGTTGGTACTGCTCAAAGAAGCGTTCTTCCACGAACAGAGGGAAGGATATGTGTAGGTGCACGAAGAAGTTTCTCAGTCTGTAATGGTGAGCTTGAAGCTACTGTGCATAAGGTTGCACCTGGCTTACAGAATGGATCTTTGAGGCGACGCAGCTTGTATGTAAAGGGCCTCTGGAACAAAGGTGCTGAAAACTGCGCTATCTTGCAGTGGCTCGTCAGTCGACTGCTGGTTTGATCCACCAGGAATATTAGAGATCACAATGTCTGTCGGTGAGTGCGTGGTTACCAATTCCGGTGGCTTTGAAGACTCTGGAGGGTTGTCCCTAGGACTCAGACGTGTGCTGTGGGTCTTGACTTTTCTCCTGGCTTTGAGGCGTGGCGTTTCCCAGCCGCTATTTGTATCACTACCATAGCTCCTAGAGCGAGTGGTCTGCTTACGACTGGAGCCTTTGGGAGGTCCCGGCCGCTTCTTGATGCTCGAATAGATGCATTCAGAGCCATTCTCCAAGCAGCGAGAGCACGAAGGTCGTTTCAAATCACCTGGACGAATGAAAGTCAGCTCAAGTGGGTTGTAGTAAGCTCCGTATCATATTACATTTAGTCTTCCTCCTGTGAGAAAGGTCAGAGCAGGACTCGTCATGTTGCAAAAGCTCTCGACCCACGTTATGCATCGATCACAGACACGAGTCGACAGTAGCCCAGATGTGGCGAGATCAGTCAAGAGGCGAGTCCCAGTCATCGCCAGGGGACGCACTGCTCCAGCAGCTCTCAAATCTGTGCGTGGTTCTCAAGTCCTCAAGCGGTTGCGCGCCGTTCTTGTGTTCCATTGGTGTCGACAGATCGATTAGCCGGGCCATCTAAACACGCTGGAACTGTAGCCCATTCGCGAAGCCACGTCCAACGACAGTGCTTTGGCGGTAGAGACTCTCGTGCCAGCGTTGATGTCGATGGGCCACCAGAGTGAAGATGATGACTTCCAGCAAAGATGGATGTTGAAGTGAGAAGTAATAATGGCTGGACTTGCTTCCATCGTTCGTGCGGAGACAGAATTCCGGGCCGAAGCGGAACCTGAGCGGATGCATCGCTTACGACGAATACGACAAGGCTACGACGTTCCCGTACATTGAGCAGAGCGACCATGGACCACCGGCCAAGTTCCAGAGGTACAACACGATAGCTGTTAGGAGCAGTTCGCTAGGCTTGATGAGCAGAAATCGCACGACAGGCGCAATGTCAAGTACAAGACGGAGAGGTTGCAGCCTGGAATCATCATCTACCAGCTAGATAGGGTTTCTGAAGTCAAGGACGTTCGGGAAGCATCGTCAATAAGACTCTGGATGGTATGGGTTTACCTTGGTGAGTGATCTGTTGTGACACAGTTACACTCCCATCTTCCCCTCCTCGTTGTGGCAATCATGTCTCCCTTTCAGCTAGGCCTCTGCTGGCAGCTACTCTGCCGGGACGTCTGTCTTGTCCGCCTCGAGATACCATTTCTTTAGCCAATTATTGCGATGCCACACAAGTCGATACATCTTTCCGTAACGGTAGAACACAACGACCAGTACCGCCGGAAAGGCCATGATACCACCCAAGCTACAGAGTACTGTCCTAGGGCCATCCTGCTCCACCCACGGTACGATGAACACAGACATTCTGTGTTTCTTGTCAGCTTCAAAGAAATTGTTCCAATTGAGTCCTTCACGTACCCATAGCCTAAGAAGTTCCGTACTAACGCTGACATTACCAAAATCTCGCTACCATACTCATGGAAAGCCGAGAGTGCGTAGTTGAAGAAGGTCGTGTTGCATGAGCTCAATCCAAAAGCCGTTATTCCCCAACATACGCACACGACGTAGAGTGACGTGCGTTGCTGGTATGTATACCCGAGCCCAACCATGCCAGATATTGCGCATGCTACGCCGATGAGCGTAAGCGGAAGTTGAAATTCTGGCTCGTAAATCCCACGATTGCGCCGGGTAAGTATCCTAATGCAGCGATCCGAGCAGAGGCCCATGAACAGTCCAGCTAGTAGAGCACCAATGGCCGGAGCTACCGAAGCGTATCCAACCTGGCTAGAAGTCAAGTTGTAAGGCGGAGCAGTGAGAAGAACAGACGATAGTATCAAGGTTGCGGCGAGCCAGCACAACGTGAGTCCGCAAGATACAACGGCAAAGGTCGCGCCGAGATTGACCAGAACGACCGGAAAAGAGATCAAAATCCTCCAGATCGGATCGCTGACATATGTGCCGCTATACAGTCGTAGTTCTTGACACCATGTCCTCGGGGTAGATTCGACAGCCGTCTGTACGACATGCTCATCATGCGACATCTCGCCACAGTCGTCTAGTGCACGCTTGGAAGCTGACTTCGCTTCAGGACGGGTGAGACTTGACCAGCTCGTACCATCTTTTGGCTCGATCTCGGAGTCGTACCTGCGAATGTATGAGGTCTCTGGAACAAACAGTGCTGTTGATATAGCCTGTAGAGCTGCAAAGGGGATCAACATGTAGAAATTGTAACGCCAGCCTAAGTTGGTGGTGATAGTGCCAGCGATGATGCCAACAATATTGGCGATGGCGTTGAGTAGGAACACCCCAGCTGCCACACGAGGACCTCTTTCGTGGAGGAATGTGATATCACCAATTGCAGAGAACACCAGAGTCTCATATGCAGCCGATGCAATTCCTTGAATTACGCGAGCAGTTAGCAAGGAGTTGTATCCTTGCGCCGTTGCGCCGACCACGGAGCCAATGACTGCCATGAATGATGAAAGCACGAATATTGGCCTCTTGCCATACTTTCGGGAGCAAGCAGCAACGAAAGGGCAGGCAGCGCCCGCAGCCAGAAGGTAATATCCGGATGAGAGCTTTACCATGCTGGCCGCGGATATGTTGAGATCTTGAGCGATCTGGACAGTGCCAGCTAGCAAAAGGGGCGCCTATGTGAGGTGGTCAGTAAACGATGTGATCAAAGGTTTACGGCGTATAGTCACGGTTGTAGCTGAATGAATGACCGTGCCGGCGTACACGATCGAGGCAATGGCACGCTTTTTCGCGAAGGACCAGTTCAAGGGGTCATTCGGGTCATCCGAAGGTTGCGGCGTCAAGATGATTCTGCCATCTTTGCCTTGACCATGTTTGAGAGGGCTTAGTATGTTGTCGACTGCAGCGCTTTCTGTAACATGTTCCAAGTGCACGGTTCCTGGAACGTGGTCTGTCGTCTTTACGTCGAGGACGCCGATACCCATGGTGTTCGTTCAAGGCTGTACAATTTTTCGAGCTTCTGATGTAGGACCAAGTCGAGAAGATACCAACGAGGATGGCGTAGAGATACTCTCATCGATCTCAAAAATAACGAGTTGCTTCGTGGCATTGGGAGGGGTTGCAAGCCCAGTGCGTACACCATGAGCCTGGCAAGGACCCGGACCACGATCAACGCAGGTGGAATCTGACTACAGTTACTAGCTCACATTACTATGGCTCTGGTTCTAGATTGGTGCCTCACCGCGCATTGGCATTTGGTTCCGGTTTAGAAGATCCTCCGTCAAGCTCGAAGATCCTCCGAAGCACCAAAGATCCCCCGAGGTACCACAAGCCTGACAAATGGGCGGATGCTCCTGCAGGGCAGATCACGAGTGCCTGTACGGCAAAACTTCTTCAAGCTGCGCAACAAATTGTCGTTGGAAAATTCGGCCAATGTGTGAATCGTAGACATCGTAGATGTTGGCACGGCTGCTGTGCGTGCATGGTACTGAAATCGTTGTGCCTTCGGTTCAAGCGTCTGCCGATTTGGCGTCGTCGATGAACCACATGTAGCATTGGGCTCGATTTTGAAATGAAATAGCTCGTTATCAGACACGATCTTTCTCTTCCATGCATGTTGTTTTGACTGACGCCCACACATCGAGAAGGACTCTTTGCTTGGACTCCACCATCAGGAGAGTGATTGCCCAAAGTCTCTCGTCGATGCACGTTAAAGATGCCGCTCTCAATCAAGCGAGCAAGCAACGTCTTCTGACGTCGAAACATGCCGTGGAACTTCGCTAAGCAAATCTGTAGCATCATGACCGGTCTCGTGCGTTTTCGATCGAGGATGAACGTAGCGACGAGTCTTGACATCCGACCTCCATGCCACGGACTTCAACTTGCCCATGGTCGGCGTGCGGTCAACGATGAAAGCCGTTTCCTCAATGACAATGTCACCATCGGGGTCATCTTTGTATTTTGCGACCAAAATCTTGCTTTGCGCCATCTTGTAGAAATTGTGAATATTGACACCGTTGTCCCATTCCTGCGGGATGATGGTATCCAGCACTCTTGCTTCCTCTGGGATGTCTTCGCAAGTCAGATCGAATGATTTAGATAGCACATCATTCTTGAGCCTGGCGCCAGTTTCTTCGATTTCCATGATGCACTGAATCCATGAAGCGAGGAAATGGCCATCACAGACGCCTTCGAGGTTCAGAGCCCGTAAGATGTCCATACACCGTCTTCGTACAGCAGAGTCGCGACATCGCACTCCGATTTCGCACACAGTGACGGTCACATGTGTGCCGGTAGTGCTTGCCGGTCTTGCTGACCCGGAGGTAGAAGGTCCTCGGCCCCGTGTCTTTGAGCAGACTCGGTCGAGGAACACGAATCGTTCAGCAAGGCTGATGATGTGCTCAAACTGTGAGATTAAGGGGTCGAATTCTTTCTGATAGCGGCTCTGGAAAGAGTTTGCCGCAAGCCACAGGTAAAAGTAATGTATGTTTGTCAGAATGTAAGCAATTTCGTCTTTAGGGTCCCATGGTACTCTGGTATACGTTGACATCCAAGCCGCGAGTTTGACTTTGATCTCTTCAACCTTCTCGGGTTTTGAGGGACAACGGACAGCATCGTGGCGTGCAACGAAGGTAAGACACTTCAATGTGCTCGTGTCGGTTGGGTGAAATGCCTGTGCTTGAAGGGCTTGGCGGGCAGAGTTCAATAGGGTTCCAACCACTGCTCGGAGCTCGCCATGCATAACGTCTAGGTGCACCTGCGGAGGAGTGTTAGTCGACCTGCTCGGACCATCTAGCGCTGTGAATCCTACCATAGCTTCGTCAAGACATGAGAATGATGCTGGTAAAGGTTGCAAGCACACCGGAGTTAGGTATGACTCGCTCTTCCCTGGAGCCAGTGAATGATCGCTGTCCAAGCGTACGAAGGTCTGCGCAAGCAGCTCAAGTCCATCTCTAGGATTGGAGCAGAGAGGTATGAGGCGCCATCTGCACTCTTTGCCGACTTTGACATGTTGTGGCTCAAAGCTGTGGTGTAATATTCGAAGGCCCCTCCAAACGTGAACATAAGCCTCGTCATCGTCGCACCTCAAAACATTGAAGCAGAAAAGGAGCAATATCAGCAAGAGCACTACTTCCACAGTCGAAGATGTCGCCTCATCTGCGTGGCTGGTAATGTACGACCGTAGGTACGACATCGATATGCTGTACTGGGACAATGCAAAGGAGTATTGCTCTCTGTCTTTACTTGCAAGGCCAGGTCCGGACTTGGTGCCGATCTGGGATCGGTGTATTGCGGCTAGAGCAATTACAGCGTGCTTTACCGCTGCCTTATCGTAGCTCATGCGAAGTGTGAGTCGCTGCCATGATAATGTTCTCGGAGACCCGGGCAGACTGTGTATCGTGTGTAGGCGGAAAAAGTCAAATGCAATGCTCTCCGACGGGGTAAGTTCCGTGGGCACAACCGAAGGTTGACAAGAGATTGGAGGACTTTCTGGGTGCTTGGGCAGTAGGAAACCCCCAGTTCTGTGGTCAGTGGGTCTGATCATCTCGTAGCCGCGGCACGTTCGGCCTGATTTGAGGCCTGGCTGTGGTCAATATCGCTGCAAATGCGACAAAGAATCCACCTTACATTTCATGCATCCTGGGCGACCCTATGAAGCCATGCATTAGTGTAAAGTGCGGCTAGTGCAGCCGGGAACCCTTTGCATACCTCGTCACATTTGATACGCCTCTCGCGGCTGCACCGTCGATCAGTAAAGACCATGGGTTTCATATGTACTCCTTCATGGAATGGCTTACCATGTTCTGGAGCCTGGATAGACGAGCAATGGTGTCAGCGACGGCACACAAGGCCAGACACGAACTTCATGTCTTGTTACATACCAAATCTTGTCTTAGGATGTTTTTTTCGGAGTCGATCACTTGGAGTTGTAGCCATACGGAGAATGCCAGATCTCGACAGAAGGCTGTTGGTTAGGGAACGAGACGAAGCCTTGGCTGTGTGAAGGTCTGTCGCAAGAGACTGCTTCCCCATTTGTATCGAAACGCCATCCGACTACGTAAGGAGGCTGAGAGCATTGTCGGTACAACTTAGAGTTCTGCATCGTCGCTCTTCAGCGAATCAAGGGCTGTTGTGCGACCCGCGAGGCTTTCCTCGGAATTCAGCCGAATGCGATGTCGATGAGTTGTATGTCCTACTGTAGCTGCTCAACGCTTACATCCACTCACAGCCCGCTAAGGCAAGTCGATGAGGCTTCGGTCGACTTCATTGTCCAGCGAAGTCAGTATACGTGGACGTGAAGTGGTATTGTCGATTGCCCCGAGGCAAAGTCGACTTCGGTTATCCCGTGCGGATGTGAGAGACGCGCAAGGCTTCGAAGGGAACATCAGCACAAACTTATTCTTTTACGAATTTCCGTGTCCTTGTCCACATTGCGGCCGGTGAATGGATGCCCTTAGCTATGTGCGTACAGTTGATGGTAGTTGTGAGAGCAGATGTCCGCGTTTTGATCATGGATGAGAAGGTAGAAGGATGGGATTGACGTCAGCCGAATGCCGCTTTCTCTACGGTGAACCATATGTGTGTGAGTCGAAATTTCTATACGCTCGGCATTGAAAATCCGTCCGCAAACTCCGTCCCAGTATCGTATCACATCAGCAATGTCTCTCCTCTCGGGACAATATCTATGCGCTGTCTGCAGCGTAAAGAGCGGACATTACATCGAGAAGTGTGTCTGGTGTCGCGCACGAACGAAGAAGAAGCGATCAGATGGTGTTTACGAAATATGAGCTAATGGATGGATCAGATCTGGACTGTGTGCCTGCACTAGACGCATCAAGCAAACGTACGAGAAGGCATCATCGAAAATCTCGAAATGGCTGTGCATTTTGCCGTCAGAGGAGAATCAAGGTAGAGAGATAGGTCCGAGCACGAGCGTATAGCGCATTGACGAGCATAGTGTAACGAAGGCAGACCGGCATGTAGCAACTGCGCCCGCAGGAGGAGGTGTTGCACCTATTTCGACGAGCCGACCTACAATGCGACGACAATAACCGTGCAGCCGCTATCGTCTGCACACATGATGACGCTATTGCTTGAGGCGCTTGAAGCCACAGACAAGGAGCACGCCGAGTTGAAGGGCTTCGAGAGTCTGATTCGTGCTCATGCAGTGGAGAGTCTGAACGACTTCGTGACCTGCGATCGATCCTGGTTGAAGTCGCCTGCAGTACAGGTCGTCATGCAACGCACAGTAACGCAGTTGGTCAGCAACCGAGCGTACCTTCTGCATGCCGTCCTTGCAGTGTCGGCTGCCCATTTGGCTTTCTACAAGCCATCAGAATCCCGCAGCTACTGGATGGCATCTGGAGCACATTTTCAGCACTCGATTATACTACACGCCGAGCGTATGCAAGCGAAGATAAACGAGCAGGACGTCGACGCCTTGTTCTTCGCCAACCTCATCCATTCTATTCTTGCTTTCCTCTACTCGCCTTTACCTCTCTCGCATAGCCAAAAGGATTCATTGACAGGATGGATCATGTCAATGCGAGGTACACATCTACTCTTTACGATGCCAGCCGCGGTGGAGCATCTGTCGCAAGGCTGCTGGGCCACTGTGGTGGAAGAGCATAAGACCTGGCATAGACAAGCTAGATTGGCTGCTGCATGCGCATCTTCCAGTAGGACCAGCAATGCGACTGCCGCCCTGTTGCAGTACTGTAACAGAGTACCTGGACCAGAGCGGGAAAGCTATCTTGAGCGAGTCCAGACTCTTCGGATGATGGAACTCGAGACCGCCACGTCGCAGAGCATAGGCGGCCTTGCGTCGTTTATAACCGAAGCTCCTCGAGAGTACATACTTCAATTGAAGGCACAAGACGAAGTAGCGCTGTTGCTGTTACTCCGCTGGTGTGGTCTTTTCTCTCGGATTGACCAGTGGTGGATTTCACGTTCAGCGAAATCAGAATACGGACGCCTTTACGCCCATCTATCACGCAATGGGTCTGAGGAGATCCAAGCGCTTCTGGCTTTGATGTGATTATCGTTGCAGAAAGCAATCTTAACAAGCAGTAGAGTACATAGACGTTCACTCTTCGATCATTTATCGGTTTAGTCATAAGCCCGAAAAGTCCGCCAGAGCGTATAGCTCAGCAGACTGAAGGATCCGAATTCTGGTCAGTTCCATTGACCATTGCAACAGCCACCAGATATTTACGTATATACAGGTCTCAAGACGGCGGGCGAGTAAGATCGTTCGACACCAAACTTCATTCCCATCCAGCGTGCATCACATGACAACCATGACGACTACGCTTTCACCATCTTCCGGCTACGCCCTGAACTCAGGGTCCAAGATTCCCGTAATTGGGCTCGGCGTAAGTTATGAGAGATGGACTACGAACGTCGCTAATATTGTCCAGGTGTTCAAGGCATCGGAGGCTGAAGCAAGCTTGGCTGTCCAGGAAGTATTCAAGTCAGGTTATCGCCACGTGGACACTGCGGTGTATTACGAGAACCAATCCGCGGTAGCAAAAGCTGTGTTGAAGGCTGGAGTTCCTCGTGACCAATTGTTCTTTACAACCAAGGTCCACCCAACAGCTACCTCGTACGAAGGCGCAAAGGAGCAGGTAGCCAAAACTTTGCAAGAGATAGGAGGCTTGAAGTATGTTGATCTCATGCTCATACATGCGCCGTATGGAGGAGCCGAAAAACGTCTTGGGGCCTGGAAAGCTTTGACAGAAGCAGTGCAAGAGGGGAAGATACGTAGCATTGGGGTGTCAAATTATGGAGTCGATGTTGGTTCTGTTACAAGTCTGCTACCAGATGAATAGCTGACCATCACAGCACCTGACCGACCTCGAGCAATACATCAAAGACACAGATGCCAAGCTTGGTAAGGGAAAAGGAGGTGTGCTTAGTGTCAACCAGATCGAACTTCACCCCTGGCTCCAGCGAAGAGACATCATAGATTGGTGCAAGAAGCGCGGCGTGCTTGTTCAGGCGTGGGCTCCGCTGGCTCAGTCGTCACGATGGGGCGATCCTCTTCTCAAGAACATTGCCAAGCGAACCGGAAAGTCTGAAGCACAAATCCTTCTGCGGTGGAGCTTGCAAAAGGTGAGTCTCACGACATAAGTTCATCACTTCGAACTCTGACTAGCCATCGCTCCAGGATTTCAACCCTTTGCCAAAATCTGTCACGCCTGCGCGCATCCAGCAAAATCTTGACGTCTTTGATTTCGAGTTGACCGACAAAGAAATGGCCGAGCTCGAAACGGACGAGTACGATGTTCATGGTTGGGAGTAAGTGCAAAGCTCTATTTGAAGGCTTCGTGTCTAATGACTTGACACAGTCCAACGACATCCGGACTTTGAGCAACAGCTGCGGGCGATAAAGACCACCAGATCGATAGGTACCACAGCCTTTTGAATTCTCAATCAGGTTCCCATCTACCCAGGCCGCTCTCATTCAATGGGCATATATGATGCATAAGAAATCGTTGATCCATATTTGCCCCTCCACTCATCCTCCAGCATACTCGCCTCCCAGAAACTCCACCAACGGCCATACTTCCAAGCGAAGTCTCGCTTCACTGACTCTTCCGCAAAGCCAAGTTTTAGGTATAGCTTCTTCGCCGACTTGTTGAACTCGATCGCCCCTATGCCAATGCGATGAAGCCGAGCGAAACTGAACCCCCAACACAACGCCCATTGGATAGCTTCACTTCCGTAGCCCTTTCCACGATGCGGTGCAAGGATGGAGATGGCAATATCAGCTCGACCATGATGCTCTCTGCCTTGTCCCGGACCAGTCAAGGTGAGGACGCCGACAGCCTCGCCAGGGTCGGGGTGTGATGGTTGGTAGCTTTCGATCTTTGCGGGAGTGGATGGTGTGACACAGATGATGACACCCAATAAGCAAGATTCAAGGTACGTCTTGTACGATTTCGCAGCATTGGATCCTTGCGGGGTTGGCATGAATGGAACAGCGTTATTGAACGCTTCTGCATCACGACCGAGTTGATATAGCACTCCAGTCTCATCGTCTTGCTCGACGGCCCGATATGAGAGGTGCGCCGAGTTCCATGGGGCAAATTCTGAAGACATTGTGCCAATCGTCGGGGAATGATGCCGCAGCTTTCAGAAATGGCTTCACAAAGTGGATGTTGAGTCTCGGTCTGGCAATCCTCTCGTTCAATCGCAGGAATAGGTTGTGTATGTTGGCTTAGGCTACGTGTAATATCGCACCTTGTCGCTTTCGCACTCGATGCTGACCAAGGAGATCGGTTTTGCACAGGTGTGATAGTTGGCGGCTATGACCGGCCCGAAAATACAGGATTCCACTCCCTGTGCCGGTCGGTATGCAGCTTCAACTATGAAGGAAGTGCTTGCGAGCATGAGCGGAAGCTGCGGTGTGCAAAACTCATTCCAGTCGTGGCGATTACTAACCTCCATTTCTCATTTCGTATAATGATTCATGTGGCGCTGAATACGGCAACGCTCTAACTCTTGGCCTGATGGCTGTGTTTGAGATAACAAGGCAGAACATGAGTCAGTATCTATGCGCATCCTCAGTCATGCTCGTTTCCTATTGATCTCATTTATTTGGATGTCGAGGCGTAAGGGTGCCAGACATGTGGTAGTGCAGCAGCTATTGAACCCGTTCTCTGAATGCTGACAGGATCTAGTCCTCTCCAGAAAGTGTCTGAGGACGGTCACCAATTCGCATTATGTTGAAGTCGGGTATGGAGTCTAGCTTGACCCCAACATGATCTCGTCCTCGAAGCTATCGAAGTGCAAATAATCGCCAATACTGAAGTCAGGCCCGTGTGTCGCGTTTTGAAGGACTTGTTCCACATCACTAAGCATCTTGACGTGGCCTTTGGCGGCAAAATTCCCGCTATCAGCCATGTCCTGTAGGAGAGCTTTCGAAGTCAGAGCCAAGGTTGGATCATCATCAGCATGTGAGTCGGTCTCAAAAGGGCGGATTTCGCTCAGCAGAGTACCTAGGGCGAATATCTTGAGGGCCGAGAAGAGATGTAGGCTTTCCCAGAATCCGTGCCTTGCTTTTGTGACGGTAAGTGATATGTTCAGATGAGGAAACTCGGTGTTGAAGACTCACCAATTTTGCCAACGCGATTCAAACTCTCCAGAATTCGAAGGTTGCATCGGGCAGCCGACATGCACTGTCGAGCAAGGGCAATCAAATCCTCTATGACATCGTTGCTGATGCTCCCATTGAAGACGTGATCGAGAAGGGCCAAGAAGACTGGACGCATGAGAAGAATGAAGATCTGATGATATCGCAGATAGATCGACGATATTGATCGTACCTCAGGCTTCCGTAGCATGTCTGGTGGAATTCCACTGTCAAAGGAGGTGAAAGCACACGACTGAGCTACCCCAGCCTGCCATTGTTGTAGAAAGTCAATGCTGGGTTGAATCTTGTTTCGCAGCCCAGCGTGATTACCAGGCTGTAAGCGAGCGGTGGCGGTCTGCATCTGGGCACGACAAAGATCGATGTTCATGTTCAACACCTCCTTGTTGCCGAACTGGAGCTGCTCTTCCTCGCTTAAGTCGTCATTGCAAGGAGTTTCGACTTCGACCTCACCGAGAAGTAAGGTCGGTCGTTGGCCTATTGCTAAGCTTGTCATCCAGTCAATGAGGTATGTCGTCCATAAGACCCGCTTCTTGTGCTCAGATCTCAGTCGCGATGATTCCACCGTTGGAGTATGAAGTGAAAGAGTGCGTGCTATGCGAGACGCCAGACCAGCGTACATGTAGGCCGTCTTGCGGCGATTCATAGAGAAACAATACCATGCCTAACTATCGTCAGCGGCTTTATCTACATCGATATAGTGAATAGTAAAACCTACGATGAGATTCAAGACCTCGACATGATCGATGTTTGGCTCTTCAGATGGCATCTTGAAAAAAGTCATAGCCTGATCGAAGAATTCTACGCCCGGGCATTTTGCGCAGATTGGCGCACTGTCGCTGACATGGTCTGAATCCACCAGGGGTACATACGCCTGGGTGTATCGTGAATACGAAGCACCAAGAGCCCATATGATGAGCATCTTACACAGCTTCTCGCGTACCGCAAGGGAGTTGGGCTCGCGGTAAGCTTTCTCAAGGTCGGTTCGAAGATCGGTCTTCAAGTACCAATGGTAGTCATGCCCCATGTAAGTCTCGAAAAGGTCAATAAGTCTGATGGCGTAGTCATAAGGGGGAAGAAAAATTCCGTTCCTTGAGAACACGCCTAGCTCTACAGTTGTCGCGAGAGGCACCAAGGTCAGTCACCAATTGAGACAAACATTGACTTTTGACCAACCTCTATTCTCGCCTGAAGCTAAAGGTGCATACTCGTAATATGTTTGAGCGGCGATCAACGGAAAGCTCTGCAAGGTCGAGGTCGTATTCTTCAGTCTGCTCACCCAACTTTCTTGCGTTTCCATAAAGGCATCTTCACCTTCTTCGTGACTTCTAAGCTGGGGACTTGACGATGCCAGGAAAGCAGTCTGGTGGCCAGCGGCAGCTCGGAATTGGAGATCTCGAACGTATGCTTCCGACACTGTTATAGCTCTATCCCGCATAGGATAGACACAATTCTCGCGGGCATCAGCGCAGTTCTTGCAACCCGGTCCGGCCGGTTTGGGATTGCATCTGATCTTCTTTCGGTGGCAACGATGACATGCCACCGGTTTGCGTCTGGTATGAGAGTAGGACATGTGAAAAGATACGTCTCTGTTCAGTCAGGTTGCTCGTCCTATGGATGAACCTCAGCTCCGAACTGTGCAGGAAATACTTCGGCCGCTAGCATCATCTCGCCGAGTGAGTGACCGTAACCCGGGCTTTTGCCCGACGGGATCTAACAAAGGCGGCCGAGAGAATACGACCGTCCTGTGTCAGATGCATCCACAATGGTACTTTTTCTACACTTATATTGCCCGTATGCCGCGCTGATTGCAATGTTGAAGCGCAATCTTGCCCGCCATGTCCGAACAGCCGTCTGTCATAATCGTCGGCGGAGGAGCATTTGGAACGTCAACTGCCTACCACCTCGCTCAACGAGGGTATGCTAATGTCAAGGTCCTGGATCGATTCGAACCGCCCTCCAAAGATGCTGCTGCCACCGACCTCAACAAGATCATTCGTTATGACTATCCCAATCCACTTTACACCCGTCTGGGACGAGAAGCTATGCAAGCATGGAAGGATCCTGCCAGTTTGCTGTCCGGCTTCTTCAGGCCGACTGGCTGGATCATGGCCGCTCACGAAATTGCTCTCGAATTCTTGAAGTCGGCATACGAGACTACTAAAGCGAATGGATCCAAGAGTGTACAGTACATAGACGCCACGGAGATCAAGCGCCGTTTTCCAGAGTTCACTGGAGACTTTCGAGGGTGGACCAACGTCTGGTCTCCTGAGGCCGGATGGGTGCCTTCCGGAGAGGCGCTCTTACGCATGGCCACCGCTGCAAAAGCTCAGGGGGTAAAATATGTGACAGGCGACACCGGCTATGTTGTCAAACTCTTGTACAACGATAAGGGCGCTTGTATCGGAACGCTGTCCAAAGATGGTCACGCTCACTTCGCCGATGTCACCATCCTCTGCACGGGGGCAAATACAGCCGCTCTGATCGATGCCAAAACCGAGATTGTCGCCAGATCTCACTGTGTCGGGGTTATTAAGCTGACGCCAGAAGAGGTGATCAAGTTTGCAAACTTGCCCGTGGTTGATGACTTTGAGCAGGGCATATTGTTTCCGCCAGACCAGAATGGTTTGCTCAAAATCTGCAGCTGCAGGTTCATCACGAACTACTACAATTCTCACGTTCCAGGAGCGTCCCTCGGCCACTCGCACGAAGACTTCCCGGACGATGGCGTGCCTCGACAGATTGAAGAAGAAATGCGAAAGTTCGTGCGCGACTTGATACCTGAGCTAGCAGATCGTCCATGGATCTCTACCCGTATGTGCTGGGATGGCGATACCAAGGATATCAACTTTCGCATATGTCCATCTCCCCATAACAGCAACCTCTTCATTGCGACTGCTGGAAGTGGTCACGGTTTCAAGTTCTTACCCATCATTGGAAAGTACGTTGTGGATATGCTTGAAGGCAATCTGAGTGACGATTATGTCGATCTATGGAGGTGGAGGTTTGGACAATCACCTTCAGACGATGGCAAATTGCCTCATCCTTGCAAGTAAGACCCGTCGTTGATTTGCATCAATCGCTGACTTCAGTCCGCAGATCCGGTGAGAGACCTTGGTGAGCTGGACGGATGGCGTGGGCGCAACAAAAGGGCCAATGAGGTGAATACAGGCAAATCAAAGCTCTGACGATTTTCTGCAGTAGTCAAAAATACAATTAAGAACTTTGTTAGTTGTAGTCATACTCGAGGGTGTGTGAGACAAAGCCAAAGCCGAAGCCTTGGTGTCTCATAGCTCCATAAACTCGCTCACGACGTCTTTCAATTTCTCAGCCATGTCAGGGGTGCTGTTATACAACAAAAGTAGTACTATCAAGACCATACGAGGTTCAAGCAAATCTCACGCTTGGGGCATGTCTTGCTTCTTGATAGAAACTCTTGGCCAGCCTTGTCAGTCGAAGCTAAGGCCCCTGCAGAAAGAGTCTTTGATCACGGTATGGATTTACCGCTTTCACAGCATAGCAACTCTCTCAAAAGCTGCGTTGAATGAGCAAACGGGCTATGTCCTCTGGAGATGACCAACCTGCAATGTCAGCCAGGGCCGTTCTTCCCCGGCCTCTCCGAATCCGCGGGCCCACGGATTACGCAATATATACAACGATGTCGGTACGTCCTCTTGAAAGTTGACTGTAAAGCTCTGAGAGAATTATCATGACGTTGCCAGCAATCGCACAATTGAAGTACGCTACCGTTTGGCTTGCTCTGGCTTCCCTTTGCTGCTACGGGAGACGCGCCAACGCGGTCGCCTTAGGGCGGAACAACCAGACGACTTACATCCTGCCGACTAAAATCATCCAAGAGTTCCCACCAGACACCTGGATCGAGAATATCGCTGTCCGCCAAAATGGCCAGATACTGGTCACCGAAACAACGCAGCCTCGTATATATCAAATCGATCCTTTCGGCATTCAACAACTGGTCGTTGTCCACGAGTTCAACGAGACTGCATCAGTGACCGGCATTGTGGAGGCAGAGCCAGATTTATTCTATGTGTCAACTGCAAATTTATCAAGCAACTTCGACGTCAGCTACGGCCAAGCATACATTTACAGAATCGATATGCGTACTTTCACATACGAAGATCCAGCATCAACCGAAGTCACTCGAATAGCGTCTATTGTGGAAGCTGGAGCACTCAACGGATTGGCATATTTGGGGAACGGCACGGACACGCTGGTCTCTGCCGATACCCTCAAAGGGGTCATATGGAGTGTAGATACAAGCACCGGACAAGCCTCTGTCGCAATAAACAACACATACACACAGCCTCAAGGTCAAGCCGTGAATGGCCTGAAAGTACGAGGCAAAGATCTCTACTTCACAAACTTGGTCCAGAAACTCCTCGCCAAAGTCCCAGTCGACTCGAAAGGTCGGGCTACTGGGCCAACGGCTATTCTGGCGAATAGTACATTTCAGCCCGATGATTTTGCATTGGATCTGAACGGCGATGCGTACGTGGCGAGTCCTCTTACGCATCAGAATGCTGTGGTCTTTGTGCCACGGGAAGGAGGAGCAGCAGTACCTATAGCGACTACGGCAGGGCCGACTTCTTGTGCATTTGGTCGCACGGTTCAAGATTGTCATATCTTGTACGTTAGTACCAGCCGGGGCGATGAGGCATACATGGAAGGTCGTGCAGATGTTGTCTCTGGGAAGGTCGTCAAGATTGAGGTTGGTCGTCAGGGTATGCATGGATGCAGTAGGGATGGTCAGTGAGGCTGAGTTGTAGAATAGATCCAGGTTATCTTCATCATTTCGACAGAGATATCGTAGATGCTGATCAGGTTCTTGAGAGAACATGTACCACCTTGGTGCAAGTTATGTTGACGAGACTGCCAACGGGCTTTGGAATATCGGCAACATGCAGATTTACAAACGGTACTCGTCTCATCCGGGTACTGGTGGTCTTCATTCGAGTTATGCAGCCACGCTCTATTCTTTCATAACCCCTTAGCTTAGCAGCTCTGTGTTAGAGAAGATGATGTTAGTAATCGGTCGATTTGAAGGTCTGATCATTACATACGCAGTACCAGATCTGAATTAGATCATCAGTGGTGTCCAGCTGCGTGGTAGGGAAGAGTTACTTACCCCTTCTGTGTTGTGCGTATTCTTCCAAATGCCCCCAGCGGCGCTGCATGGCGATTGACACTGTGACTGGTTGATGTACTCTTGTCCACAGGCGGAAGCTTGTGCGACGCTGAATGTGGCTCCTAGAGCAAGCAGCAGTTGGATGAGGACCTTCATTTCCATTGGAGGAGAAAGAATGTATAGACGGAGGCTTAATTGAACGTTACTTGTGTGACGATGTTTGTAGATGTTAGAAATCTCAAGGAAGGAAGTCGAGTGCCCTCATTGATTCTTATACCAGTCAGTTTCGAGCGCCAACGACAGCTGATTGCGGCAACCCCTCTTCAGCTGAAGTCCAGATGCCAACTTCGAGGAGTCCACACCTACTTAGGAAGGACGAGGTCTCAAGCTGCATGGCGTGTAACACTAGAGGTCTATAGTGAATCCTTCGAAAGCTTGCACTGCTAGGCCAAGATAAGACAAGCCTCAATGTCCTAAGCCCCTTGTTCGATAGTAACGCGTGCATGGGTGAGATATTGACAGACGAGCCATCCTTCGCTCGCCGGAATTGCTTGATGCTTTAGCTTCGTTGACTGTACGGACGAACGCAGTTGAGGTCGACATAAAGCCCCCTATGCGCCGGAACAGTAGGCACGCGGTCGGTAAGTGTGTGGTCGGGTTTATAAGCATGTCGCCGCATGCATGGCGCTGCTGTCAGGATCGACGTTATACCACTACAAGTACATAGGTTGTCTGAGAACGGTATGGATTGGCAATCTTGATCGTTACAGACAAATGTTGGCTGCGACATTCGGAGGAGCGGCTATTCTGCCCATACCACTTGTTCGGTCAGGCCTTCGTCGAAGAAGCTCGCTTTGTACGTATCGGTGTTGAAAATGAGAATGACATTATTTCTTTTGCAGAGGAAGTCTTGGCCAGATTTGATGGAGCGATCGATGAGATGTTTGTGGTGGGAGGAGTGTCCAAATAGAGTTTTTCGCTTTCGGGTGCACGATCACCAAAAAAGGGCGCGCCTCAACATCGCACTTCCATCTCGATTCAATCATTTTCTACCATTACGAAGACTCCCCACTTCACTGAATGCGGCAGATGCTCATTGCTAGCCAGGCCCATGTTCACTCAAGGCCACACGAGACGAGACGAGACGAGACGCAGACATGCTTGTGAAAAGGATTTGAAAAGACATGCCCGATCCACCGTATTTTGGCCATACTATTGGCAGATATCTTATATGCTGGCCTTTCCCCGGGTCTCGAATGGCAACAAAAAACTCAAGAGCCCTGCGGCCACATACAGCGAAGCCGACACATATACTGGCGTGCTGGTGTAACCGACATCTATTGCTCATCAGTCAAGACTTCTCGACCCCGTCTCCAAGTCTGTCACTTACAAGTTGCGATAATCGGAGCCATTAGGCCGCAAATCCGGTTAAAAGCCGCAGCAATGCCAGTACCCGTTCCCCGATGCATGCTAGGGATTACCTCTGGCGTGTAGCAGTACAATGCTCCCCACATGATGTACTGCGCGAATGTGGCAACACAATTGAAAGCCAGGATCTCGGCAGGCGTGCGAGCAGTCGTGAATGCGAACAGAAAAATTGCCGACAAGATCAAGGATCCGCCTAGGGTACCTTTGCGACCGATGTATTTGATGTTGATCAGCAGGCCACCGACCAGAGTGCCTGGGATGCTGCAGATAATGATGATGAGGTTATTGCGGTATGTGATGGCGACGCTGGTCGAGCCTGTGGATGCACCTTTGGCTGCGAGGAGCTCAGGCAAGAAGTTCGAATAGAGCGGACTGCCGAGACCAATCATGCCCCAAATCAGGATAATCAGAGTCATGCTGTAGGCCAGCTTTGGAGTGGCAAAGAGGGCGCGAACATGTTGGAAGCCGCTGGGATTGAGCTGGCTCGTGAACGCTCTCTTGATGGCTTCTTTGCGATCGACTGGCGGCCGTTCGTGAGACTCGGAAAAATCCCGCTCTACCTGTTCCAGATCTTCGACTGTCAGCGGCTGCGTCGTCTTATTGTATGCGGCTATTGAATTGAGAACTTCCACGGCTTCGACATATCGACCCTGTCCGATCAGGTACTTTGGCGACTCCCTCAATCTGAATAGAAAGAATCTGCCGATCCACAAGACGACCGTGAAGGCACCCATTGTGTACATCAGGTACCTCCACCCCATGTTATCCGCCTTCCTGCATTGCCCAGCTGGTGTGTCGGAAGCACAGCTGAAGTTTGGAATGAAGCCCCAGGCCGTTACAGCGGGAATGACTTGACCAAGCGACCACCATACACTCAGGATCTCGAGTAGCCATTGATGCGTCGGTGGCATAAGTTCCAGAAAGATGGCCCCATCGACAGGTAGATTGCCTCCAACACCGAAGCCAATGCATGCACACAGCGAAGCGCAAGTGACGAAGCTGTTTGCACCGCCCGCAGCGATACCAAAGACGCCTGCAATGAAAAGCGTCGTATTGAAAGCCAGTCTTCGCCCGATCAAATCGCAGCCGAAGCCCCAAAACCACGCTCCCACGACAAGGCCGGTTATCAAAGCAAGCGAGAGGAAAGCTTCATGTTGGGGATGGAACTCGAGCCCAACCTGAGGGAGGGCATCTGATACGGTCGTTTGCCAGAGCTGATCGCAGAGCCAGCCGTAGCCTGCTACGACAAACAGACCCCATTGGTAACGACCCATGCCCATCTTTTGAACAGCATGGTTAACCAGTGATGCTTGAGCCTCGAACAGGCGATTGGAAGATGTGTCTTTGAGAGCCGCGAGTTCCGGTCGTACTGGTTCCAGCTCGCCGACAGCGACATCGTGTTCCTGTGAGCTGTGGTCTGCATCTGCATTGAAAGTTGTTGGGTCTTTTTTGGTGTCGGCCATGGCTTCATTTGAAGAAACAACCATTTAGTGAGAAACGTTTTTCGACAAATTTGCACTTGGCGGCAGCGAGAAAGACTACCTACACAAGCTCTCTGATAAGGAGACGATGCGGTTGCTGGCCTTTGCCACGAGGCCCATATCTCAAAGAGACGATACGACCGTCAGCATCAAGGCGAGCGCTTGGCCGCTCGGATGTCGGCATCAATTATTCTATTGCAGTCAAGTACGCAGGCGCAGAACTGCTACATTATGAAGGTAAGATCTGTTCCTGCCGCGCTGGCCTATCTGAAGGATGCGGGCTACCCTCGTGGAATTCGACTCCTGCCACATCCAGAGATTCTATCCACATCTGACAGCTCAAGAGGATAAAGTCAGATCAGCTTCTATCGATGCCTGTTCGTTGGACTGCGCGCTGAGCGTCGAGATAAGAGACTGGTCGTTTCGGGAAAAGATTGACGGAGTAAGTCACTTTGATCTTGGGTATGCCGGCTCCTTCACTGAGACTATCTGCGGCGACTACACACCCAAACGACCCGAGTCTGGGGTGCAGCGGCCAAGGTTGCTTCGTGTCCGGCCGAAGCTTCTGCTGCTTAGTTGCTTCTTTCTCTTTGCCTTATAACAACAACTCATCAGGTTTTGGCTCAGGCGACACAAGACTCGATACTGATCTCGCGGATCATCGCAGCCATGGCGCCCTCAGCTATTCAATCAGAGAGTCCTTATACTCAAGGTATTGACAAAGCGAAGGTCAGGACATTGAAGGAGAACACATTGTCGTCTGAATTCAACGCCACCCGCCACTTGAACTTCGAGCCTCCGAACGAGTACTACACCCTCGACAAGCTGGGGTTATCTTCCACTGGCTCAATATCCCCGGTAGCGATCACTGCATCGTTCCCCCTGCTCAGCGATGAAGGCATCCGCAAAGCACGCGCCGACCTCTTCCGGACGGAAATGCTAGCCAAGCACAAATACGTCGAATCCAAGGACCCAGGCGTATACAAGCTTCGCGGATATGGAAAAGATGCACGTTTCGTGTATGACATGTGGACGTCGAAAGAAATGCTAGCTGCATGCTCTGCGGCTGCTGGTTGCGAGCTGGACGTTGTGTTTGATTACGAGATTGGACATATCAATGTGCAGCTACCGCCAGGTGTGGATGAAGGCGGTGAAGACCTTGAGAGATTGTTGCCGCCTGTGGACCCCCCGCGTCAGAGGGCAGAGGTCAGCGACGAAGAAGCAGCAAAAGCCGCGGAGGCTGGTATTGCCAACGTCACGGCGTGGCATAACGATTCTTTCCCATGGGTCTGTGTTGTGATGCTCTCCGATCCGACCGGCATGAAAGGTGGCGAGACCGCATTACGAAAAGGCGATGGCAGCATCCTGAAAGTTCGAGGGCCGTCGAAGGGTTATGCTGTGATGATGCAAGGGGGTCTGATCAACCACGTAGCCTTGAAGACGCTTGGTGACGGAGAGCGGATCACCATGGTAACTTCCTTCCGACCACGAGATCCGCACGCGGTGGATTCGAGCAACCTGGGGAATGTCAAAGCGGTGAGCGAGCCAGGGCAGCTCTTCACGCAATGGACACTATACCGAACAGCGGTTTTGGAAGAGCGATGTCGAAGATTTGCAGAGGATCTTCGAGAGGCGAGGCTGACTGGAGATGAAGTCGAGGTGATGGTCGGCAAGTGGGCGAGAGAACAGATTCAGTATATCGAGCGCACAGCCAAGGAGCTGACAGATGAAGGTGAGAAGGGGAACTACAACCATAAGTTTGTCAGGCGACCTGGAGAGACCGTGGGAAGGGACTTGTAACAAATAAGTCTTCGACGCTCATAATTCCACTGGAAGTGTAGCAGCTACCCTCGTTACTCACGAGCTATCCAGGCAATGTGAGCTGCGATATAGGCTTTGACTTCTTGGGATGTCGGAAGGACAACGGTATCATGCGGTCCAGTTTGAACGTGAGAACGAGGGCGGCCCGAGAAGATCTCGTTCTCAACGGCTGAATAGTCCGATTCGGCTCCGAAGCTGCATCAAAAATCGAAAGACTCTTTCCCAGTCTGGCCGCTTCTGTCTCGCTTGGCGTTGTTGAATCTCGTGTATCGCTCAAAACATCAAAAAGCCTGTCCACAACATGCACACCCATCTGTCGAGATCTCGGAGTCGGCACTCAATGGTCCAAAACTCGCCTAAGATCTGCAAGCCCACGCACATGGCAGCCTTCTCGGGGTTTAGTGGCGTTCGGTCTAGCCCAGATCCTTCCCAAAGGGAGCCTATAAGCTCCCCACAGGTGTCTCCCAAGCTTTCTAGAGCGACCTCAGCGCAAGCCCAACTTCTCGGGCATGGCCGTCTCAGCTGTCCACATATCAGCCCATCCTCTGGTACATATGGAACAACAGCATCCTTCCCTCAGCCTGCCGTCTTCACGTGTTGCGATTTTGAGGTCCAGGCTGCTGCGATATGCGAGTGTCTTCACGCCGGCAGGTGGTTCAGGACGGGACGTTCAAGCCATGGCGACGGACATTTTCTTGGGAGTGGTGATCTGGAATGGTAGGTGTTTTGAGGCTCTGGGTCTGGTATAAAGTGCTTCATGCTGGCAGGTGAGACATGTTGAGATTTTGCTGGTACAAGCTAGCCACTACAACCTCCTTCAAAACTCCACCTGAAAGCATGCGTTTCCTCAACTCTTTGATACGGTCAACAATCCTCTTCAAGCTCTTGAATAAATTAATATCGGCCAACGCGGACTTTTCGCTCGAGGCCAACGACCTTCCACCAGGCAGCCAGGAGCCTTAAGGCCAGGCCAACAAATATGCTCAACCACATCCTTCTAGCAGCATGGCTCGCTCAAGCATATGCCTCACCTCTCAGCCCACGAGCAGCAGTAACGCCTAAATTCAAATCTGCCACCTACCTTGGAAATGTCACCGACCCAGCATTGGACCGCGACTCGTGCGGCTCCGTGCGAATAGGAACCCGAGCTTTCTGGACATGTCGCGACACAATGGTCTACAATACACAAACCGGCCAAGATCAGCTCCCCATCATCGTGAGCACAGCAGGCTGGACAGACGCCGTAGCCAATACTGGTGGGCCCGCAATCAAAAAGACAGGCGGCACAGTCGGTGCAGCTTCGAACGGCAAAGGCCCAATCCTGCAGATGTACGGGAACAACGTCAACTCTCTGAAAGAGTACTTCCCCATCGCGAGCGACAACTGCAACACCAACCACGGCTTCTGCTCCGACGGCTCGAGATGGGCAATCTGGCCAGACTCCCCACCCTTAGTCACAGCATCCAGCTCCAGCAGCATCACTGCCTACAACTGGATCCCACGAGCGCACATCCAAGGCCTCACACTCCTGAACCCTAGCCAAGCATACTCCCTCTACCGCACCACCTACACAAGCACCTCCAACAAAAACACACTCCCCACCGCCACCCTCGTAGCAACCGAGTTCTGGAAAGCCGGCGAAATCGGCTTCGGCGACTACGGCGGCGTAGTCAAGAACGGCTACGCCTACCTCTACGGCCAAAACTTCAACCACAATGGCACTTTCATCGCCCGCGTGCCCACCGGCTCGGTTGAGAAACGCTCCGCCTACCAATACTATAACGCGTCCACCTCAACCTGGTCCTCCACCCTCCCCTCCATCAATGACACCACCGCCGTCATCCCCAACGCCGGCGCCGGCGGCCAGGGAACATTCTACTACTCCAACTACTACAAATCGTACATATGGCTCGGCCAAGCGGCGCTGGAGCCCGTGGCAAATTTCTACATCTCGACGGCGCCCGCGCCGGAGGGGCCGTGGATTCTGCCGTACAAGCTGTGGCAGGGGCAGAACGGGAATGGGTTTGTGGGAGCGTATTCATTGCAGGCGAATCCGGCGTTGTTGCCGAGCACGGATGCGAGTGAGAATGCGATCTATTTGACGTATACGCAGCCGTGGACCACTGGCCCGTATGTGACGCCTTTGGTGTATTTGACGTTGCAGTAGCGGAGTCCTATCTTGACCGAGTTGGAGTTTGGGGATTCGTGTGAGCGATTGGCGTTTGCGAGTTGATGTATGACATTTAGATGAAGGCATGACTGATCATATTGTAGAATGTCACTTGCAGGAAAATTTACCACCAAACGCCTGACTGCCCGCTTTCAACTTGTGCTTATCCACTTGCACACCGCCTAATGGACGCTCTTTACATGTCTAGCCAGAGCATCACCCCTCGCGAACCCCTTATTTGAATACTCACAACCAGCAACGGGACACAGATGCGGTCTCTCGCCAGTTTGCGTCTTCGCATGTCGCTTCAGGTCTTTAGGATATCTAAACGACAAATCACAACCGGGGACTCTGCAGCGGTGTTGTTCGCTCGTGTGACTGCATTTCGGTTAGATACAGTCTATTAGGATGGTGAGAAGCAGAGGGAGAATGGAATCGTACGTTTTGTCCATCGCCTCAGGGCTCTTGATAGCAGGGACGACAAGGCTGGGTTGTATCTCGGCGCCGGGCTGTATGGAGGTGCTACACTCTCCTTATTTTGAGAATTGCTCACGGCCCCATCGCTGATCGGCACTTCCTCTTTCTCTTGAACATCACACACGAACGCGCCATTCGCATGCATGGCACCTGCCCCGTCGATTCGGTCGAGCTGGGGGTCGCAGCCGACAGCCTGAGACAGCTAGATTGGATTAGTGGACCTTCATTGCAAGATGTCATTCCACCCACGCATGCTTCGACTTCCACACTTCCAAAGCCTCAGCAAACTCCCATTCCTCACACGCCTGCTGCAAATGCCGTCCGAGGTCGTAGAGACTATGCGTCTCCATCGCCAGGTCTGAGTAACCAATAGCGAAGCAGCGGGTTGAGCAACGATCCAACTCGGTCGATTTGGTCGACACTCACACAAACACTGGAACTTCTTGAATCTTTGTAGGACGACGAGAACGACTCCGGATCGCATGTTCAAGAGGTATCTGTGGCCACCAATCTCATGGGGTCACTGTCCCGACCACCTCTCATCGTTGACGGGCGAAGCGGCGGGAGCGGACACCAAGCAACGCAACCCCTGTCGCCCCCGAAGTCACGAAATAGAGGATTCTTGACCTTCACCTCAGTGGTTAATCAGCGCTTTTCCATGAGAAACATGCCCTTTATACATACAGACAGCCAATGGAGTAATCTTACAAACACTTAAAACTCCCCTCATCATCAACATCCCCACCAACATACTTCTGCATCTTCGGCCAGGCACAAAGCCTCCTCACGGTCTTCTTCTCCGCCTCCGTCCCATCGCCATTCTGACTGACCGCCACCAGCGTCTCAGGCGCCTGACCATGCTCCACCCACTGCGCGAGCTGGCCCAACGTATCATTCGCGTGATGTCCCAGCCCTAGCCCACAGTGTCCATCACCAGGCGCCTCGAAGAAGCGGTAGAAATCGCTGACGTTCGGGTCGAGAGATTGTACGCTGCGGTAGTATGCCGCCGTTGCCCGATGAGGAATGAGTTGGTCAGCTGTGCCGTGGACGGTGATCATCTTGGCTCCGTGGTCACGGAAGCGGGCGAGGTCGGGGAAGCTGGTTCCAATGATGGAGGCGTATTCGTCGACGGATTGTTGGAACATGGAGACATATTGCGTGTCGGTCATGTTCGCGTAGTTGAAGCTGGGGTCCTTGGCGAGGAAGTAGGCGAGCCATTGCGGTCCCAGATAGAATGGGTTGGCGACGCACGAGGAAGCTGAAGTTCCGTTGCAGGTTGTGTTGGCGACGCCCATGAGCTGGGAGCCGCGTTCGAGGCCATACCAGAGGGGTGTTCCGTCCGATGCTACAGGCCCTGACCAGGCGGCGTTCGCGATCTGTGCTGCTTGAAAGGTGATGGTCTGGTTGGTGCCTTTGCAGATAGTAGCAGGCTTGCCGATGGCCCAAGTAGCGTTGAAGTCGCAGAGTTCTGGTGAAGAAACCACCCCATCTACCACGCCGTCGAGACCATCGCACACCTTGATCGCTTCTGCACTGATCGAATCGAGCTCGCACAGAGGTGGGTGATAATCCAGCTTGGTAGCGATTTGTTGAGACCAATATGTCGAAACCGGCAGCTTATCCCAATCAATCGCAGGACTATCGGCGATGATACCATCCCAAAGATCCGGGTACCGCTGGGCAAACATCAGACCTTGTCGTCCACCTGTCGAGCAGCCAACCCAGTAAGAATACTTCGGCGCAGTACCGTAGAAGCTTTCCGTCACTGCTTTCCCAACAACAGCCAAATCGTGCAGACCGGTAGATGCGAAGTCTTGCAACAGGCCAAGGTTGACGTTTCCAGGACTGAGCAAGGCCCAATAAGACGCAGCGGCGGCTGCATCACTCTCGTCACTGTGGCCCCCATCGGAGGCCGCCACGGCATAGCCATTTCCAACAGCTGGCGCAAGACTGGCCTCACTTCCCATGACCCATCCACCGCCTCCAGCGCCTTGGAAACGCCCGTTCCAATTTCTTAGAGGGAGCCATATCTTGATGTTGATCGTGTCGTCTCGGCCAGGATGTGTGTAGGTCACAGTGACGTTGCAGAAATCTAGTCCGGTCCAGTTGGTGTTGAATGAGGGACTCGCGCCGGCTTGTGGAGTGAAGATGGAAAAGTTATGCACCGGCGCAGCTGTGAGGGTCTTGATCTCGGCGCCGAAGAGGGACGGTTTCGGTATCGCTGGTGAAGAGCAGTTCAGAGCTGCTGCGCTGACACCAGCGACTGCTGTAATCATCGTTAAGAGGAAGCGAGTCGCCATGGTGCTCTGGTCCGTTTGCTTGTGGCGTGTTGATGTTGGTGCAAACAGCAGCGCGACACCCTTGAAACTTATACCCAAAAATCTGCTGCCGACCGTCACTGCCGCTTGTCTCATTCAATACCGGTATCCAGGAGGCGCAGCGACAAGACACCGTCTTGAAGAGAAACAATGTCATCGTTCCCATTCAACTGAGACCCATTCAAAGCCTAGCGTCAGGCACCGGCAGCTGCCGAACGGTTTGATCCTTCATGCCAAGACCAGCTCCTGCCGTATGAAGTAAGTCTGGAAGGCTTTTGTGTGGTGCATAGTGTCATAGCCTTGCTGTTACTTTAGGCACCATTCTGCTAGACACGGAATTTCATATCGGCTGTCTGAAGAGCCGCGCGGATCGTCGTGCCATTAGTAAGGCCGGAGACTTGTCAAAACCCGCCAGCGCCAGACATCGTGGAGTGGCCTGAATGTTACAGCAGTCGACATCCGGGCAGTCGGAGCAAGCTCGTGGATTGGGTCCAGGAGGCCAGAACTGTGCAGCAGCGTCCTCAGAAGAGCACCTCAATCGAACCGTTCATTCACCAAGCACATCCTCACGACCAATCGCAGCCCTCCGTCTCAGAGCCACAAAATAAGCCTCCTTGCTCTCTTTACGAGTAGCATCAGGCTTAATCCGATGGACCTTCTCAAACAACTTCTTCAACCGCAGCTCCAATGCATGGTCCTCAGCTCCAGTATAGAACTTGCAGAGGAAGTGTCCGCCGGTGGCCAGAGTGTCGTATGCGAATGTCAAGGCGGCCATGCAGAGGTCCTGATATCGCCATGAACTGTCAGTCTTGACCTAATTTTACGTCTTGTTTGTGGAGATGTGTAGTGGACGGGTGAACTCTTACCATACTCCCCCCATGATCTCTCGCCGCAATACCACTCGTATTCAACATCCTGCGATGGGGATTAGACACGCTCTTGATCCACGTACTCGTGACCAAAGGCCAGGGTTCTGACATATCGCTCAACACCACATTGACCGTCCTTCCCATCATCGTGTCCTCATTCTCATCCCTCCCACCAACATCCTCCACATTCTCCTCTTTCGCCGCAGCCTTCTCCAACTCCACGAACCCACTCCCCTCATCCCCCTCAAAAACCCCACTCCTCACCCGCCCCCTATCAACATCCCCCACAAACCTCCTCACCTCCTCCCGAATCTCCCGACTCAAAAAATTCCCCTGCAGCGCATTCGCGCCCCGCGGCGGCTGCGCGGGTATCACATCGATGCCCACCACCCTACCCCCAGGACTCGTGCGATTCACCGCGACCTGGCTCCAGCTCCCCGGCGCGAAGCCGAGGTCGACGACGGTGTCGCCGGGGCGGAAGAGGCGGTGCTTGTCGTTGATTTCGAGCAGTTTGAAGGCCGCGCGGGATTTGAGGCCGGAGAGCTTGGCGGAGCGGGCGTAGGCGTCGGTGGATTGGCGGGTTTTCCAGCGCGTGGAGGAGGAGGAGGAGGAGGATGCTGCGCGGAGAGGGGTGGGTGTGGTGAGGAGGTATGGAGTCGGGTTGAGGGTTCGTGGAGATGGTATGGCTTTACATCTCGACGCAGTCGTCAATGTCGCGAGCAGTGGTCTCCCAGCTGCTCGCAGAAGCATTGACAATGAACGTGGCCCTCTGCTGCGGAGGTATAGTTAAGACTCCATCAATGTCGTTCGTAGGAAGAAAGCTCTCTGCTGCATCCCGCACTGACGAAGGTTGATAGCGCACTTCTAGAAGGCTTGGCGGAACAAAGTGGACTGAAACTCGCCCAATGGCTCACGACCACAATAACAAGGCAGGCAGATAAGTAGAACCGTGCGATCGCTCGCTCGCCCTTTCAACCTCATCCCTCTTCTCAAAACCCCGGTACTTCGTCCCCTCATTCTCCTCTACGAACAGCACACCTCACGTCTTAGAAACGGCCTTGAAATTCAAGCCTCTTCTGCAGCCATTCAATGGCGTCTTGCATGTACAGATGCTAGTGTCGCTGCTAAGTACACGTTCCTCTTCTCGTTCCCTCCTCCTGCCGCCAAACACAAACGCCAACAGGCGTCTTCTGGATTCACGCCCTCTAAGCAACAAAGCTTCTTCGACTCCACAAAATAATCGGGGTATCTCGATTCAGAATGCCAAGGCCCAGGAATATGCAAGAAATCTTCTCATCTCTGTAACATGTGCAGGTTGCTCGAAGGGGAACAACAAAATGTCCGGTGTTTTGATCCCTGCCTCTCCATGCAAATGCGATGTTTCTCATGCCTTCAAAAATATCCCTCCATCTGCAAAATCCAAAACACGAGGTCTATATTCCGGTCGTCATGGTGGTTTATAAATGGTGCGTGACATTCCTGTCATGTATGTCAGCTGGATCCTGGCCGCGAAGCCTCCGTCCGGCCTTCCCGTTCCCGGTGGATGTCAGGTCCGGACGACTCCTCCTGCTGCTGCGCTCGCGAGGGAGGTCGCGCTGACTCGTCACTTGTGTTGGTGTTGCCGGAATCAGGATGAGACGACCGTGGAGGAGGAGGTTGCGGCGGCCCTAGGTCCTCGCGTCGACTGTCTGGTCTGCTATCCGGATCGCGTCCGGCTGACGCGTTGCTGCGGGACCGCGTATGACCACCTTTCCGACCCGATGCGGAGCTTGTTGTGGAGAATGAAGGTGAAGTATATTGCGGTCCAGCCGAGGGTGGTGGGTTGGGTTGGTGTCCGCCTTGGGCTTTGCGCTTGCGCGGCGAATCTTTGAACTCGCTTTCGTGGATCGACGAGCTCGGATGCGCCGAATGCGGGTCGCCTTTGCTCGCCGGAGTTTGGGGTGGATTGCCACCTTTGGATTCGCTCGGCGGTACCCAGTGATGAAAGTATATCGACGGTGACGACGATGGCTGGTCTTGTTGGATGGTCTGACTCTGCTGGAGAGGATGCGCGCTTCCTGCGCCCGCTGGTGGAGGTTGGTGAACGTACATTTCGTTTGTCGTAAGCCTTGGCAGCTGCGTGTGCGTGGCCGATCGGGGAGCCGAAGTCTGCTGCTGTCTTGCCGCAACGGGTTGATATGCCGAAAACGTCGTCTGGATGGGACCTGGTGGGGGTGGGGGATGTTCGGTATGCTGACTTGGCAGGACTTGCTGCTGCGTTGGTTGAGCCACGGGATATGCTGGAGGAGGACCAATCAACCGGCCTTGGTCCCTTCGAATGTCTGGCGAGGTTTGCTGAATCTGCTGTTGTGCTGCCTGCAGCTGGCCGGCATACTGTTGTAACCACTCCACGCTAACGTTCGCCAGACTGCCACCCATGCCCGCATAGATGAATGGAATCATAGGAGGCGGCACGCCGCCTTGTAACGACTCGCGCAACATGGACTGCTCGATCTTGCGCTGTTCGAGCTTGAGCGTCTCTTGCCGCGTGCGCTCTTCTTCCTGCTTGCGCTTGTCCTCCTCAGCCCTTGCTGCAAGCCAGTTGCGCATCGAGTCTTCCTGTCCCTGCCACTGGGGCGGCGGTGCAGGAATGGCACCCGTCCAAGGTTGCGTGAGGGATGGAGGAGGGCCGTCTCTCCTGATGGGGTCAGGCAGGGCCATGGCGGACGGGGGAGGGAGGCCCCGGTGAGGATGGGGAGTCGACATCTTGTGGTCGTCGGACGGGGTGGCGCTGACCCGCAGCGAGCTCACCGGGGAGGGAGAGTCGACCCGTGGCTTGGGGGAGAAGCGCGACTTGGCAATCGAGATCCTCGGGTTGAACTCATGGGTGAATCTGTGGCCGAACTCAGTCCGTATGGGCTGAGAGATGGTGAGCGACATTGGACAGGGAACGATGGAACGAAGGGGGAGAAGTCGAGGGGGAGGAGGTGGTGTGGCGGCAGGGCATGTGCTCAGTTCCCAAGCAGGAAGTCGAGAGTTGCAGTGCGAGGGGTACGTAGAGCATGGGCGGTGGCAGGGAGCAGCAGCAGCAGCAGCAGCAGCGGTAGTCAGAGAGGCACATACGGTAGTTACATACTAGTCGTGAATGAGAACCACGTGTGACGTTGCCTCAGGTCAGCCGAATTGGTGGAACAAACGTCGCAGCGCCGGCTAAGCTCCCACACGGAGACCCTGCCAAACCGTCGATCAACGGGCGTTTGCGCGGTGATTGGGTCGCTGATTGGGGCTTTGCGAGACGACGGGCCAGCTGCGCTCGCTGATGCGGAAATTCGACCGAATATTGCAAGGCGACGCTGCGGCCAGTCAAGTCGTCTGAACGCGTCCTGCCCACGTCGACGACGACCTGCGCAGCCCAGACCCGGCGTGCGCGAGCTGAAGACAGCAAATGCCAGGCTGATCCCCAACTCGAGCGCGGATGCCCGCCGACGACTCCGGCTAGTGAGGGCGTACAACGAATGAGGGTGTCGGCGTTCGAGGGGGCCAGGACGAAGATCAGCTGAGCGTGGGCGCGGGCGCAGTGGTGGTGGTGGTGATGCGAGGGAACAATAGCGACTGCGCGCAGCAGGACGCAGATGATAAGTGCGGCAGGAAATACGGCAATGCCAGTCCGGGGGCATCAAGAGTTTCGATGGCGGCCAGTTGAACAGAGTGGCTGCGGCATGGGCACGGCCGGACAAGCCATCGCAGTAGGTCAGGTCAGGTAGCTCGAGTGCTGCTGCTGCGACTGCTGCAGTGGTAATCTGGGTGACGGACTGCAGGCAGCGCTGCTGCTTGCCCGGTGGTCGTCGTGGGCGCCGTCCGGTCACGCTCTCAGCACAAAGCGGGTCGACAATGCATGTCGTCGATCGCAGCGGAGGGGACGAGGGCGAGTCACATCACGGAGCAGCAATCTCATCATCGCCAGGTGCTGCGCTGCGCTGCTCGACCACACCCACCACGCCAGCACACGAGACGCCGCGCGATGGGGACAAGCTCTGCCGCAAATGTCGCTTGCGGCTTCGTGAACAATTGCTGAAACAGGCCGTTACAACTGCAAAGAGACATGTGGACTTGGCGCGCCTTTCCGGACCAGGAAGGCTGGCGACATGCTAGTCGCTCATACAGCGCTGGAGGCTCTCATCACGAGCTCCCAGCATCGCATCCAGGAAGTCCAACAATGGGTCTACCCGCGGACTGGCTGCCGATTGACTGTGAGGTGCGAGCTATGCTGCCCAAACTGGCGGACCACAACGCCTCTGACGGCCAAATACGCCGATGGTGGGCGAGCAGACTGGAGGAGGCGTCGCTGGGCTTGACGCAACCGGCATGCTAACCACGAGGCTGCTCGTGATGCGCGCGGGCATTGGTGGTTGGCAGGGCCGCCCGTCTATTGCAACGTTATATTGCATGCGACAAGCTGCAGCAGCGCAACAATTAACGGTAATGCAGTCATGAGGATCAAGCCGTGGAATTTTCTCGTCATCCGCTTCGAGCTGTGTTCGAGTCAACTTGAAACGCCGCGCCTACGAAAGCGTATGACGACCCGCCCCATCCAGCTACCCCTTCAGTCATTTCGCTGCTGCTGCGTCGCTGAAGAAGCAGGTAGGGCCCAGACTGCCGGCAGAGGGTTAGTGTGAGAAAAGGTGTGGCCCTCGCTCTGATGCAGCTCCAGTGCAACACGATAGCCGGGCAGCCACAGCTACACAGCAGCGATTTTGAAACGGGCTCCAAACAGCGCGCGCACTCTCACGACGAGCACACTACACCGCCATTCCTGTCCCATTCAGGCGTGTGGCGGAACGGTGACACCGTTCGTTTACAGACTCGAGTTGGGCTGCTGCGGCTGGGCAGAGGAGTGCCATTCTCCCCTCTGCCAATCAGGCGGGCAACGGTCGTGTGGGAGGTGCGGAAGCGGACAAGGCGTTTCATCGACAAGCTTCTGACTGCCCGCATGAGGAAGGTCAACCGTCTGCTCCCATTGGGTTGTGCGCTGGTTAGATCGTCGTGGTGGAAGTCATCAGGTTGGAGATGCCGCTCACTACTCGACCCCTGCAACCCGAGATAGCATGGACAATCAGGCAACGCAAACGGCGGACATCAGGCCAGCTGTCGTCGAAAAGATGCGCGCGCGAGTCTGGGCCTCTTCAGATCGAGGATGAGGCCAGCTCCATCGTGCGGTCGGACGATCCTTGCAAAGCTTATTGCACGTGTCCGCTTCTGCTCGTCGCGTGCGTCTTCACCTCAAATCTGCCCGTCGCACGTCTTGCCCAAGACCACGGCAGATCTACTCGATTCGGCGAGAGATCTACGACAACAATGTCATCTCGACGCGAGGTCACGACCAGGAATTGTCCGCCGCTGAGGAGGTTTTGGCGAGGTGTGTGTACAAGACGATTTGTACAGCACAAGATAAGGCAGTTGGCAGGACCGTACTGGCCGTTTCGGAAAGTGATTGCCGGCTCTCGCTTGCCAGCCGTTGGCGACGTTGGATTTTTGGCCGTTGACGGATCTGAGACACGCCAACGACTGTTGGTAGACCCAGTTACCAGGATTCGTGTATGAAGAAGGCGAGAGAATTGGCAAGGCTGTCTTCGCTTCGCTGGAGGCGTGCGAGAAATTCGAGAGGCGAGAGTTGGGCCGACTTCATGTCGCTACCGTACACGGTCGACAACATCACGAGATCAACCAATTTCGTCAACGCGACGGTCATAGTAGTCGACCACCGGAAAATTACGCGCGGCAGCCACGACGGAGAGTTTGGACGGATTGCCTATGAAACAGACCAACAACAAAAAGCATATGCTGCATTTCTCCGCGCAAGCACTCACCAAAGAGTCAACACCAACACTATATCGCGAACATTCCCGACGACGGCAAGAAAAAACAGGCCAGAACGAGACTTGCCCTGCCATCGTGACCTACACCCACTCCTTCTAGAACCAATATCCCCGTCTGCAGCCAAAAAAGATCAACAACACGGCTACCTGGCTAGCTGAAGAAAGCGGAGATATGCTCAGAAAGCAAGACGAAGCGATCCGGATCGACACGACCTCTTTCTCAACCAGGACGTTGCATGCATGCATCCACACTACTGTAACCGCTCCATCACAGAAGGATTCTGCTTTCTGTGCTGGAGTCTGCGGTTGGAAGTCCGGCGCACCAATTGCAGCGTCTAGAGCACGGATTTTTGGTCGTTCAAATCAGGGTGTGGATTATTGACGTGCATGGCAAGGCAGGGCTGCTCATGTTGCATTTCGTCGACGCAACGAAACGGTGTTTGAAGGGTATGGATGACTACATCTCGCAGATTGCCCTGCAGATTCGGTCCGCTGAGGGTGTGATGTGAGGAGAAAAGCGGTAACTTTTGCTGCAGTGATGTGTTGTTTGTCAGGCAAAGCGAATCATCCTTCTCATCCATTGGATGTCGTTGGAGGTGAGTCTTTTTCGGATTTACGTCCTTGAGCACTGATTGTGGTAACCCAGCACGATGCGGAAGTGCACTTGACTGCTGTCTGGCTGTCCTGAATTGGAAGGTGCGAGTTGCGGCGTTACGTCCGGGTCGAGGCACTCTTCGATGGGAGTCCATTCCTGCTGACTGATGACACTGATGACACTGCGAATGGTTGCTGCACGCACACCGACAGACTCTTCGACGCTCCCTCATCGTTCAGCACACCAATATCCGACTCTTTTAGGGGACGCTGCTTGCGGCTATGTCACATCTCGATCTGGCTGATGTGTTGTTCCACAGAGAGGAGGCCTGAGATTTCCAACTCGTCCTCACTATTCGCCTATCCTGTGACCAAGAGCGTCTGCCTCATCACATCGAAAGGAACGTTCTCATTCCTGTGCGCCTTCGAACTCGTTCGCATCTTCATCCCAGCTCGAACAAACCAAGCCTCCCCCTCCAACACTCCAATCCCACTCACCTCATCCACCTCACCACTCCCCTCCCCTCCCAAATCCATCCCCCAAAGTCCACAAGCAACCACGTCAAACCCCCTCCACCATCATGCTCCTCGTGACGAGCCCAATCGAGAAGACTCCAACAAGCCCTACAACGTCCTCCTGCAACAATACCACCCGTTCTGGAGTGGAGCTCTGTCTGTCAGCATGTATACGTATACATACGTACTCGCAGAGGTCAGACCTTCGTGCAGAATCTGAAACACACTCACATGCACGTACGGCGCTTCCTCTCACGCATACAGTAAACTCTCTCAGAAGCTGCACGTTCGGTCACAAGACCACCCATCCATTCATCCATCCATAGAGAACAGTAAAGCCACCCCGCGGGATTGTGACGGTGAATGGGAACGTAGTGTTTTCTTCAACCCTCTTCATTTCTATACATTACATTATCTAAAAATAAAACACCATCTAATCGATGCTTTCTTCCTCCACCCCAAAAAACAAAAGGTCTCGTTCAGTCACACGCGCAAGCAAGCAACGACTGTTCCGCCGACCGCTCCACAATGATCCGAATGTCTCTTTCAGGGTATCTCAATTGCGAAAAAAGGAAAGAAAAAAGAAAACGCAAAACAAGCAAAAAAGCCCTCGTCCATGTCCTCGTCCTCCCTCCATGCTTTTCGTCAAACAAACATGAACATAAAACAAAAAGAATCCTCCCTTCCAGCTATCGTCTATGCCCGTGAGGGTCCACTGCAATGCTGCATCATTTATCCATCTTCTTCTTGATCTTCCACTCCGCCCTCGCAACCCGCATCAACAAATCCTCATCCTTGATGGGCACGAACGATGTGAGAACCTTCATAGCGTTCTCAAAGTCGCTGTCCAGCAGAATCTCCCTCGTGGCATCGATGAGCGCGGCGCTGGTCGCATGGAGGACGTCCAGATCCGCGCCGGCGAAGGAGCCCGCGTTATTCGTCGGGGCGTCGCCGAGCAGCATGAAGACGTCCCAGACGCGGAGCTGTGCGGGGAAGGGGATGCTCATGTTGAAGAGGGTGAGGTACCAGCGGGTGCCGTAGGCTGTGGACGTGATGCCGAGCTCGTTGAGTTTGTTGGCGACGTCGCCGCCGCGGAGCCATTGGGTTTCGAATTCGCTGAGGCAGGTCATTAGGCCTTCGAAGCCGTTTTGGAAGAGTTCTTCTAATCCTCGGAGCTGCCATAGTCGGACCATCATGACGAAGGCGTTTTCTTCGTCGAAGTAACACAGGAGTGTTGCTGCGAGACTGGCCATGCCCTGCACGTATCCGGTATCGGGGAAGTAGAGACTGACAGCGTGTAGCACGCGGAAGAGTAGGCGCTGGCCGCCGCGGTATCTTCGTCGAAACATGATGTGCATGTTTACTGTTCGCGGTACGTCGACATCAATCTGCAAGTCATCTGCCGAACTCATCGCTTGCAGTTTGTGAAACTGCCCAATGAGTTCTTCATCAGTGACACCAATCTTCCTTTTCTTGGCACTCGCAGAAAGGAAGCAATGCCATGCGGTCGCTCGCCATCGGTCAGGGATGCCTTTCCATGTTCGTTCGATGAGTTTGGAATCGGTGGTGTCAAAGTCAAAATGCATCCCACCGCCCTTGCCCTCACCCTTTCTGCGAACCATGCGGGCCATCTTTTGCCATTTCTCCTCTCGTGCCCACTCTCGCTGCTTTAATGATGAAGCGGTCTTACCAGCGTCGGCATCTTCATCAATGTCGGCCAGACCAGGTGGTAAAGTCAGCATGTCCGATGCATCGGCCAGCACCCGTTTGGTTCGTGAGCGGAAGGGGTTCGGAGATCGTGAGGAAGTCTGGGTGTATGTGCTATGTATTGAGCCTGGTCCTTTCTTTTTGAGCGTCCATTCTTTGCTGTCTTTGGGCGGCACAGACCTGGCAGAGCGTGTACTAGACGCTCCTCGGCCCATTTTCCGGTCCTTTCGTGGCTGATCTGATTCTACTCGTAGCGAAGTCGCTATTCGTTGCATGCCGCGTCCAGGTTCTCGCGAGGGTGATCCTGACGAGCGTGTTGCGATGCGATCTGGGTGTATAAAGCCATAGCGGTCGACATACTGCCCTTCAACATCTTGCCAGTCTTCTATGCCACCAGCGAGCTCAGTGGCTTCCTTAGAGTAATAGCTGGAACGAGGGTCCGCTACTTGTGAGGTTCGTGAAGATCGTTTGCTGGCCGGTCCTCTGATCTTGGACACACTCAAGTCTGCGTTCATTGCGTCGGGAGTAGGGGTGTCTCTCATAGTGGTGGCGGGTGTGGTCTTCCCGGAGACGAGTCCGTCCATTGGCTGTATACCATTGATCCACTCGGTAGCATTCTCGTTCCCATGAGCATACATGCTTCGCACATTCATAGACAAGGTCATTTCCTCGGCTGACAGAACCCGACCGCCTTGGATGGCGGCTTGGAGCATTTTCATACTCGGCTGCCTCCTGCCCGACTTGAGTCCAGCACGTGGTGGCACTCCATTCTGAGCAGTATCCACTTTCGACGCAGCCGTCTGCGGCGCATCCTGCTGCACTTCATCTTTAGGATATTCCCTCGCAGCCTCCCCAGGAATAGGTGTTGTTGTCCCCGCCTTGTCGTCTCCCTTGGATGCAATCAGTTCCTGCATCTTCTTGCCCCCAAACATGAGACTACCCCGCGTGGAGAAGGTGACCTTGTCGGAGGTGAGGTCGCCCAGGTTGAGGTCATCGGCGCTGGCGGCAGGGAGGATGGACTGGATGCCCTTGAAGCTGTCGTTGCGGTTCATTCTCGCGGGGGAGGCCGATTTGGCCTGGCGGCGTGGCAGTCTTTCCTTCCTCTGCCCGAACGGGGATCTGCTGCGCTCGACTGAAGTTCCTGCCGCGGGCTCCTCATCCTGCACCAAGATGGTCGGCAGTGTTGGCTCCTTGGCCGCGCCCCTTCCTGCTTCGCTGGCGGGGACGGAGAGGCAGGACTCGGTAGTGGCGATGGAGGGCGCAATGCCGCTGTCGCGCTTGAACACGTCGGCGGCGGCGGAGGAGGGCCAGGGTGCGGTGTCGTGGGGAACGGGGCGGTGGTGGCTAGGGGCTCGGACGGAGCCCGTTTGGGAGCTGTGGTAGGAGGATCGCGGGAGGGACTCGGTCTCGGCGTGGCTGGTGAGCGAGGCCACTCTCTTGGGCGGCGCACCTTCCTTCGCCTCCGCATAGCTCACCGTCCGTATCGAACTGAAGGACGGTTGGGCCCGCACCTCGTCAATCATCTCGCCCATGTTGATGGAGATTGGTGTATCGTCGTCGTCCCGATGGCGCAGTGGTCCACGTGACAGCCTTCGAACCAGCGACAGGCATTGGCGGGAGGCGGACTGTCTGATATAAACACTCGACGCGATATGTCAGTGTTGTGATATGGGGCGCGGCGAGGAAAGGGGCAGCACTCGCGGTTTCACACACACACACGCAACACTACTGGCGACGGGCGATGGGCAGGGTACTTGTACGGCCTCGCGCTCTTAGCCCGGCTCGCGTAGTGATATTAACCCATCGATGCTGCTCGTGCTAGCGCCGCCAATTGCGTACCATCCTCCGCAGCGACGGCACCGCGACCCATTTGCTGGGCCTGATATTGAAGCCTGTTGAACGCGTCGCCCACCAAATCCATCAAAACACCCTCTGCCGCCCGCCCAATTGCCCATGGGAGGCTTGTTCAAAAGACCGGCCCGCCAAACCCTCATCAAACCTAGCCCGTCCCGAAGCGCAGGCAAGCTCGGCACCCACGACTCGATCCCGTCTGGCGACTCAGTCTGCACCTCACTTCGCACGCCGTGAAACGACACCACCACACAAAGCCTCGATTCCGACCGCAGCCGTCATCGTATCGTGCAGTTCCAGGACGGTCCGCGGCGGTGTTCTGCATGTTTCACCATGGCGCACATCATCTCGCCGCCCATTTCCACTGCATGTCGCACTGCAGTATGCGAGGAATACCTGCGCCAATCGCCCGCACCCACATCGCTCTCGTAAGACGCAACCGGGTTCTTATCCTTTGAGCCTCGTCTTCTCCGCCTTGGGCAAGAGGCAAGCAAGGGGGCTTTCTTGATTATCAAGATGGATACACCAACTTTACCCGGACAAGCTCGGCCATTCGCACCACACAGGCCACAGCAAACTCCTCAAATGGAAAATGTCTTCACAGGCTCCTTCGCGGCGATTCGATACATTCAGGGACGTGCTTGCAAAAGGTTTGACGAGACTCTCGTCTGTGTGCATGAGCGCATCTCCCGCAACCAGGATATGCCTCACTCACCGGTGCCGATCCGCCGACTGCCCTCATATGTAACGCCATGTGGAAGTGACTGCTTCTGGATCATGTCGATTGAGCCAGCTCAAACATAAAGTCTCGATGACAAGTTTGCTCTTGCCACTGACTTATCATGGCAGTGGTATGACGATCTCATCTGGCAAAGAGGACGTCTATCCATTGTCGCCATTCAATCTCTCGGTGAGACTCCAACGAGCGATCCGAACGGTGGTCGAGCATTGATCATGGATGGCTGGCCCTCCTTCATTGCGAAGCCACGACAGACCGCATATTGGCCTGTTTCGAGACGGCAGACTGATGACGCTAGATCAGTGCAGGGCTCCAGGCCTTTACTTCATTCCAGCAATGCCCAACCTGAGGCGCCCTCCTCTTCGCTGACGACGGCATGGGTCTGATTCCGGGTCCGCCGATACATTGTGCTGGTACCCAAGCGGTCGCCCAGACCCAGTGCCCGGTTGGGGAATTGACGACATCGAGGATCCTAGACAGCAGTTATAGCCCAGATTGAACTGGCCGTGGCTGCCGGATCATAGCGTTTCCATATAAGCAGTGGACGGGCTGCTTGAGGCTCACTTTGTCCAAGTGTGCTGCATACAAGGCCGAAGCATAGGTGAGTCACCGCCACGCATTTCTTCACCACTGACAACAAAATTGGACCTGCGTTGCTTGGCACAAAGGTTGCAATTTGGGGCAGGCTTCTTCTAGATGCTACGAGACTAGCTCAAGAATCGCGCAGTTCCTTCTAACACGTACCTGCAGACTGCATCCAGATGTCAAGGGAGTTTCCAGAGAACAGCCTGCCTGTATACCCAACCAGCACGCCGCCTGTGGGGGTTGAAAGCTTACGACGAGTCGACAAAGTTGGGAGTCCAGCATTTCCCTTGAACCGAATGCGACCCTTTGTAAGGTTGTTCTAACGCTGGTGATGTCGACCTACGGCATGGGCAGGCCTTTAGCTTACCTGTTGATCGCAGTCTATAGCAAATATCTGCCAATAGCGCATACCCTCGCCCGAGCGGCTGCCTCGCCGTAAAGATCAACCTCCAGACAACGAACCAGGGAGGGAAGACTGAGACCGGACCAAACCGAGGAGCCCAACAACCTGGCGACTTTTTTGCCACGCGGGCCTAAGAATGGATCAGTCGTTTCAGCAGTCTTCGGTTTGGAGTCTAATACCGACTTTACCCTGAACCTTCTCTCATCGCGGGATGAAACACCCGAGGAATAACGAACGATGACCATGAAATACTTGGGAATCGCTCGCTCTCGACTTTGCCAGTTATGCGACACTTCTACGGCGCAGAAATTCCACCAGCTGGTCGTTCTAGAAGACATGTGAAACCATTCCCTATAGCCCGGACATATGTCTTACAGTCAGTCCTTCGAGGACATGGAATTACTTGGCCCGTAATTCCACTGTCCTGACAACAGTCCGGAAGAAAGGCTATCGACGTTCACGTCGCGGTAGGACTACTTGTGGACAATGGAGAAGTCTCGTATCAATGTTTGCAGGCCTGAGCAGACTTTCAGGCTCAATCTTCTCCCAGCCTTGTCGAGCGATGGCCAGCCTATTCCATTCAATACCCTGAATGTAGCACAAAGGACCACTACTTGTACTCCAAAAGAAGACGGAGATCAGAACCAGCGCTAGTCTCCCCCGCCAGGCTCCACGCTCCTGCCACGGACAACGCCGACGGACATGCTCGACAAGGTTTGATATCCGCAAGGAACACATAGATTCTCGAATGGCTTCGTAAGCGAATATCTGGAGAAAGAGACACGACTACCACCTGTGGCGTCCCTCTTATCTCATTGCAGCGGATGACACTGAACAAATCGGGTCCAAAACGCGTGGGCAATGGGATAGAGCTCGCTCCATCAGCTTTGTTCCTGCGAGGGGCTTGACTATTGAAAGGTCGTCGTTGAAGCCTTCATCACTCATGACAGTCGCAATTCGCATTTCTTCTCACCTCGATATCGTTATATGCACATCACCATGACGAACCATACGGATGACATCGTCCCCGGCACCGTACATCTCATTAACGTCGCCGGCCAGACCTTAGAGGGACAGCATGGAGTCCACGGCAGCGACATCGTCCTCGTCCCTCAGCCCAGCAAAGATCCAGAAGACCCCTTGAACTGGTCTCAGCGCCGTAAATTCTGGGCCCTCACCATGGCCATAGTCTACACCTTTGGAGTCAGCATCCCTCAAACAATGCACTTCTCTGTGATTGCGGACATTACTCGGGATACGGGCATTTCGACGGCTGATCTCGTCCAAGGCAATGGCCTCATGTTTCTCTTCCTTGGGTGGGGGTGTTTGTTCTGGCAGCCTATTGCCATGGCGTATGGAAGGAGGGGCGTGTACATGGCTTCGACGTTAATATGCACGCCTATTATGGTGTGGACTGCCTATTCGTCAACTGCCGGTACGTTGACGCAGTCTCCCGATGCGATGATGGAACAGTGTGTCATATCCGCCTCTCGCACTGGAGAAAGAGTTGCACAGATCGTCTATGGGTAACAACATGCTAATGGTCGGCAGGGGAGTGGTACGCTCATCGGATCTTGATTGGATGTGCCAATGCGGCCATAGAGTCTCTACCCGAAATCAGCATCGCAGACTTATTCTTCGCGCACGACCGAGACACCTGGATGGCCGTGTACGTCCTCGTCCTGTTTGCTTCGAGCTTCGTTTCGCCCATCATTGCCGGTTGGTTCGACGTGGCGTACGGCTGGCGATGGACCATGTTCCTAGGTGCTATGATCTCCGCGCTCGCATTCTTCATCCTCCTTTTCGGCATGGAAGAGACAACGTACTATCGACATAGCATCGAGGGCGAAGGGTTCCAGAACCCTTCCAGGTCCATGACCTCTACAGGCAGCAACGACGACAAGAAGCCAGAGAAAGCCCAGATGGTCCCCATCTCATCCATCGAGCATGATGCCTCTACAACATCCCCGTACCCAAAACCTCGAACCTACCTCCAAAAGCTCAAACCCTTCATGCGCCTAAGCGGCCGCCCCACCCCCAAACAAGTCCTCTGGATGATGTGGCGGCCCCTCCCCATCATCCTCCAATTCCCCAACATCGCCTGGTCGGGCTTCATCTACGGCATCAACCTCTCATGGTACAACGTCCTCAACGGCACCACCAGCCCCGTCCTCTCCGCGCCGCCCTACAACTGGTCCGCCGCCCTGATCGGCTGCATCTACGTCGGCCCCATCATCGGCTCCATCCTCGGATGCCTCTGGTCCGGCTGGCTCGCCGACAAATGGGTGCTGCGCCTCGCGCGCCGCAACGGCGGCATCCGCGAGCCGGAGCAGAGGCTTTGGCCGCTGGCCATCGCGGGCGTCTTCACCTGCGCCGGCCTGATCCTCTGGGGCGTCGGCGCCGCCCACGGCATCCACTGGCTTGGCCTCGCGTTCGGGCTGGGGATGCTCACCTTCGGGCTGATCGTCGGCGGCAGCATCGGGCTCTCCTACGCGGTGGACTGTTTCAAGGAAATCAGCGGGGAGTCCATGGCCTCCGTGATTATTATCCGTAACACGATGGGTTTCGGGTTTAGCTATGCGATTACGCCGTGGTATACGGATGTGGGACTGCAGGATTGTTTTCTTACGGCGGGGTTTGTGTCTTTAGCTTGTATGATGACGTTTTTGGGCATGGTTTGGAAGGGGAAGGCGTTGAGGCGGTGGTCCGCGAGGGCGTATTGGCGGTATGTGGAGAGTTCGCTGGTAGCGAGTCATTAGTCGTGCTTGTGGGCAGTGAAGGGGAGCTGGAGGGAGTATATTGTGTGACATTGGGTTGGAGGTGTATCCAGTACGTTTCCTGTCTATTGAAGTTGAATCACTACTTTCTTCGCACTCACGCCAGCTTTATTCGTATTACAGGCCAACTGCACATCCTCCAGCCTGCTGCCCACAATAAGGGGTTCCGGCAGGGGTTTCAGCCTCCCCTGTCCCAACGCAGGTGTGACGAACTTCTCCCACAGCGGCCCGTTCACATCAAAGTTGACGGCAATGATATTGCCCACCTTGACGGTGCTAGGCACATCCGTAGGCGGAGGTAGCGTCATAGCGACGTTGCAGCCTCCCAGCTTCTCCGCGATAGGGAAGACGTATTTGCAGGAAGCTTCTGTCGAGATGGCGTCGAAGACTCCGGCGAAATGGCCGGTGGTGGATCGGATGGCTTCGACGATATCGTCGACGACGGATGGAGTATTGTAGTCGAGTGCCGTCGTTGCGCCTAGGGATCTCACGAAGTCGAGGTTATGTTTGCCGGCGACTGCGATGACTTGTGCTCCGGACGCGGTGGCGAGCTGTATCGCTAACGCACCTGTCGAGGAGGAAGCGCCCCAGACGAGGAAGATCTGGTCGGAAGGAGGTGCTGCACTCAATGTTGGATAATTTAGACCGAGAAAGCCTTTGTCTCGACTGTCGTACAGACCATGGCCCGCGGTATCCAGCGCCGTGGGCAAGACGGAAGCCTGCGTCAAGGACAGATTGTCAGGAACCTTGGCGGTGAGAGAAGCTGGTGCTCGTGAGAAGAGCTGGAAGCCTCCATCTTCTGGCTTGTTGGTTGCGAGGCATACACAATGCCTGTTGCTGTCTGTCAGTATAGAGAAAGACCTCGCCAGTTTGGATAAGCAAGGTACTCACGCAACCACGCGATCCCCCTTCTCGAACCTACTCACATTCTCGCCGACCGCGTGCACGACCCCAGCCACATCCTCCCCGAGCACCACCGGCCACTCTCGAAACCACACCGCGCCTAAAGCCTGGATTTTCCAATCCGCTGGGTTGATCGCGATGCTATGGTTGTGAATCACGATGTCGTTGGGTCCTGGGAGAGGAATGTCACTTTGATCGACCTGGAACGTTATTGTCAACCGCGGAATTGAAGGTGGAAAAGAGGAAACGATTTCTTGTACTTACTCTGAATTTCTCTCCCTTGCCATCGAGCCAGGCGGCTTGGTTGGACATGATATTATTCGTCATTGTGAAGCTGGGAAGACGTAGTCTTGTTTTTGGGCCGTGAAGAAGATCACTACTAATATTGAAGCACGAGTGTTTGCAGACCAGGCATCTTTTAAAATGCAGAGTCCTTCAGCTGTACGGAACAGAACCCTAAACGTTCTAGGTGATCCTCAGCCTGCCGATGATTGATACACGAGTGGAATTCAGCTTTTGCAGACAAGGCGTTTATTTAATGCGAAGTCCTTCAGCTGTATACGGAGTCGAGCCCTAAACTTTCTAGGGGATCCTAAGCTCCCGTCAGTCGTCTTCACGAGCTGCCATGCGACGGATACATTGGCCATTTCAAGTCATATTGCGAACAGGGCTGTACTGTGCTGCGCTTTGCCTTCCTATTCGCGCACCAGCTGGACGACGAGGACACTTCGATGGGATAGCGATAGCCTTGCGGAAGGTTCTGGGCGCAGTGTCAAAACGCAGCGCGAGACACTGTCAACCTCAGCATTAGCAATTATTCTGCAAGTATACACTCACCAAGATAAAGGACGCCGTGTTCTTCAGAATATGAGCAAAAATATTTTTTGGCGATCGGACTGAAGTCCTTCGGAGCTTATCATGTGAATGCCAAGGCCCCTGGATGCCTTAGGCAGGACTGCGCACATTCTTGGTCCTTCATAAGTCGAAAGGTCAAAAGTTGAGACGAGTTGATAGAGAAGGTCGCGTGTACCTAGAAGTTACTGCAGACTTCGAATAAGTCTCTTTGCGAGATTGTCTTTGAGGATGTAGATGGGAGCGACTTACGGCTTCCAAAGACTCTTCTTCAACCTCTTCGAGGCCAATCTAGAGGACAGCTTCCTATCGCCCGTTGTGTTCGCTCAGGAGACGGTCTTAAATCGCTCGCAAGCCACAGCACATCGAAGAGACCCGATGGAAATATTCAAAGACGTCCTCAACAACCCAACTGGCGCCTCGCCACGCGCTCCTACAATAAAACTGCATCGTTCCAGCGGTTTCCGCTTTGGAGTCCTACCCCGACGTCCTAGTTATCAACGCGATTGAACCGCCCGAGGGATAGTCATGGAGCGTATGCGAGTCGTTGCCTTCAAGACACCCGGCCATGGGAAGTATAAAAGGTCGGTAGTCATTCATAAGAGGAGTGTGGGTCTTTTTGGAGGTGCGACAAAGTCTCAGGCCTCTTTTGAGTAGTCTTCAAGATCAGATGTCGCTGGCTCATCGCAGAACGAGGAATCAGGACCACCCTGTAATCGCCTGCGCTGAAAATGAATGAAGATCTCGCATCGATACTACCGCTTTCCGCGTACAGCCTATCTCTCCCTGTTTACCCGTCCTTCTTCCTCCCTCCTCATCCTCGTTCATCCGCATCCGTACAACAAGGAACCAGTAGTACCTCAACTCACTCACTCACACCTCATCAGATAAGCCCAGCACTCATTCTCTCCGCAAATTGATCATGCACTCCGCGGCGGCCCAGCCGCCCAAGTGATTCAATCTCGATCCATCCCTTGGCTCTCTGGCGATGAGGCGTTGCAATCTCGTCTATTTGCCGTACATAGTGTATGCACTGATAAGAGGTACGTGCTTGGCACCATAGGAGCTGGGTCGTTGGGGGCTTGGCGGGAAGTATGTATAGCTTGGGGAAGTGTGACGTACCGAGGTGAGGTGTGTGTTTGGACTTTGGGGCAGAAGCAAGGTGTGTGAAGTCTGTCTGTCTGGGGTGCAGGTGACTTTTGTGTATGTTTGTGTGTGGATGGGGGTCCTGGAAGGCTGTCGTGGGTGTTTTCTTCGAAGATGTGTTGTAGGGTATATGTTCATGTTTGGTTGAAAGTGGACTGTAAAGAGGAGAGTGTTGTTGAAGAGTGTTGTTGAAGAGTGTGATTGTCATGGTAGTAGAATCTCGTCGAACTCGAACATACATGTGCTGCTTTCACATTTCTCCCCTATACTTATTTGGTATCTCAAACTCATAAAAAATCTCTCACAAATCTCTAAATCTCTCTCCATACGAAAACAGTCTTTCTCAGATCAGCTCATAGACCGAACACAGATTCATATGCGCACATCCGTTCAATGACCACCCGAAGTAGCCTCTCTCTTGCTCTTCTCCATCTCCTCATACGCAACACCATGTCTATCGCCTCCAATTCCTGTATGCTCATGCCCGCTGTTGCTTCCCTCACTTCCTGCGGGATCCTTACCCTCGATCATATCGCTATGCTGCTGAATTCCGTGCCTCTCGCTCTGAGGAACATCGGCGTCCGCCTTCTCCGGGTCGCCCTTGGTGGGTGTCCACGCGAGGTAATCTCTCCTCACCTCGACGTAGTCGTACGCGAACTCGCCAAGCTGGTCGTCGTCCATGCCAAGAAGTTCGGCTTCCTCGCTCGCGCGGAGCTTGAGGCCGGGGATGAAGTTAATGGCGTAGGCGATGAGGGCGCTGATGACAAACGACCAGGCCGTGCAGGCGGCGATGTAGGCGATTTGAATGTAGAGCTGCTTCCAGTTGTGCTGGATCCAACCGCCCGGGTATGCGGAGGAGCCGGTGTTGACGCCGTCGAGGCCGATGATGTACGTCGCGCCGAAGATGGCGTTGAAGAAGAGTCCGCACATCCCCGCGACGCCGTGCTCGGCGAAGACGTCCATGCTGTCGTCGATTTTGATCCAGTACTTGATTTTTGTGGCGAAGTTAGCAACAACGCCGGTGGAGATGCCCAGCACGACGGAGGCCCATGGGGGGATGAATCCTGAGGCGGGGGTTGCAGCGACGAGACCTGAGATGGCGCCTGAGCACCAGCCCACCATGGACCACTTGCGGGCGAGGCGGTAGTCGAGGAGAACCCAGGACATGGCGGCGAACATAGCCGTGAGGTTGGAGTTCCAGCAAGCCATAACTGCACGCAGGTTGGCGCCGAAGGATGAGCCACCGTTGAAGCCCAACCATCCGAACCAGAGCAGGATCGTGCCGAGTGTGATGAGGGAGACGTTGTGTGGGCGGAAGTTCAGCATCATCTTCTCTTGTCGTCGGCCGAGGACCATCGAGTATGCGAGCGCAGACATTCCAGAGCCGATTTCGACAGGTCCTCCGCCGGCGTAGTCCAACACCCCCCACTTGTAGCCCCAGCCGTTGATGTTCCATGCCCAGCAGGCGATGGGGCAATAGACGAGGGTGGCCCAGAAGAAGGTGAAGACCATGGCGGGGATGAGACGGCCTCGCTCCGCGACAGCTCCCATGACAATGGCGGCCGTGACGGCGCAGAATTGCATCTACCACACGAATTAGTACTCCATTGGCCCAACACCTCACTCTCCTCTCACATACCTGATAGAAGGCATACAGCAAATCCGGGACCAATGGACTTCCGGGACTCGGCATCGCCAAGGTATTCATCAACCCAAACTTCTTCAAATCACCAATGAAGCCATTCGTCGCATACTGGCTGAACGCCAACGAATAGCCCCAGAAATACCACTGGAACGTAATGACGGAACATGAGCCCATGCAGGCGAATATCATGCTCAGGGCGGATTTTCTTCGCGCGAGGCCGGAGTACAAGAAGCCGAGTCCTGGTACCATGACCAGCACCATGGCGGATGCCACGATGATGTAGGCTTGATCGCCGGCCGCGAACCAACCATTGAGGTTCTCGACGCCTGTAGTAAATATCTCGTTAGTCTGTGGTCTTTGTTTGGGTAGCTTTTTGAGGCATTGAGGCACGTGATGTTGACAATTCCCAATGCCGTCACTCGCAAACTTGGGGGTTGAGACTCACTCGAATCGCCTCCGAGGTCAGGGTTTGTGCCGTTGAATTGGGCGGGCGGGCCAACCCAGAAGTACGACATGCTGGCGGTGGGCTGCTCGCGAGCGAGCGCGGTGAGTGCTGGTGCTGCGCTGTTTTTACGACGCTGCAAAATCACGCAGCAGGCGAGATTTCGTCAGGGACGCGGTATCGGAGTCGAGACGCCTCGGTAGGGCTGTCTGGCGGGTTGCTGGAGGAGCCGCTGGCACGCAGCTGGGCTGACGGAGAGTTTCGTGGGGGTGCGGAGCGAGACACGTCCGACAAGTAGAGACACGACCAGGAACCAGAGGAACAAGAGGGTGAGGGTGGGAGTGAGAGTGGACGGCGGCGGTATAAAACAAGAGAATAGCCAGCAGCAGCAGAGGCTAAAGCAGAGAGGACCCAGCAGGTGCAGGAGCTCGAAACGCGGAGGCCAACGGGTCTTATGATTGAGAGAAGCCGCCGCCAATTCGAAAACGTCCAAGCACCCACCGCGACCACCACGCACCAGGCAAGTAGTCCAGGGCAGCAGCAGTGCGTAGAAGCGATCGCTCTCCAACCTCAGCTACTGCTCTTATCAGAACCACTACCGCCCGACTAGCTCTGCGCCGAGATCTGGTGAAACTCGGTGCGGATTGGACGCTGCGGACGGGCTAGCCTCGTGGCTACACAGCAACAAAAGCATGGCAAGACACAAGTGGTGAGAGCGATCTCTCTAGATCGCGTGCATGACATGGCATGATTCCTTTGTGAAATTGACATGTGCAGAGATGATCCTGGCACCAAAGCCAACAGCAACACACAACTCCTGCTGACCGGCCAGATCCCCAATCCCTAACGGCGGAAGCAGGTCCCTTGATGAGAGCAGAAACAGTCTTTTCGACATGAATGCCTTTGCTGGTTCCATCCCACACCGGTGCTCGTCAACACACTTCCTGCTCTCACACATTTCTCCCTGCGTCCGGAACTTGCCAACGCTTCCAAGCGATACACTAAGCAGCGATCGATCAATCAATCAATCCCCCATCAGTCCATCGCTCGCTCTTACATGAAGTGCTTTCTAATGCCCAGAGATCCCCAGCCCGTGTCGACGAAAAGCCACATCCTGTGGGAAGACCGTTCTCGGCGCGCATCCAAACAAATTGGTGAGTCTGATGAGATACACCTTATCAGTGGAAGCGATGACAGCAAATTGTTAGAGTTGACGTTCGCGTTGAGGATGCGCTTCCTGGTGCACCGCTGCCGTCCGAATACAATCTCTCACTGGTTGAAGTACCGAGCGAACGGGCGCTTTCCCCAATATGGTTGTCAACCCTGACATCCTTGCGGAGTGTGATTCGTCGGATCTCGTCCTTATCATGAGCAGAACGAGCCTAAGCTGCTTCGGGACGAACAGGAGATCTATTCGCAGAGAAGTCGCTGATAAGAGATGGAATTCAAATATGCCAACGAATCTCTTGGCTCTTTTCCTCATCAAAGATCGTTGCTGTGTGCTGCTGTCATACTTTCACAACGAGAAAAAAAACAAAACCTCCAGTCGTGTGCTGCTTGGCATTTAGGAAGGGTCGACCGCCGGCCCTCTCACTCAACTCACCCATCTGTCGCTCACGATCCTTCCCTCTCGCATCTCGGAACTCATGCCTGACTCATCCCGGGGATGATCGGTTCGGCTACGCGACGCCCACTCGCTTTGCCAGTATCAGCGCGTCGTCTTGTCCAATGCTTGAGCACTGCAATTACACGATTGCAAGTATAAGAATTGGGACAAACGCCACGGCTCCTCCGATCTTCGGCGATGCGAAACGCCACTCTCCCGCTCGGTACCTTTCGCTCGGCCCAGCGTCGGCTTGGGAGTTTTTTGGATCCCACGGATTTGGTATTTTTCTGGTGTCCGATTCTGCCGAGTTTCTAGAAGGTTGTTGGATTGTTGGGGATGGAGCGCCCTGTGGATGATGACCTGGCCCCGCACACTCGCCTCACTGTTTCAGCCGCCGTGAAAGAAAGAGAACAATACCATTCGCCTGGCAAGATGTCGAGAGGCAGGTTCTCCGCGGAACCGTGGCTCAAGGATATGGATATCTGAGAAAAGTATAGTTGAATGCCAACACAATGCCAACACAGCGAACGATATCGTCGCTGAAACCAGACTCCAGTGGCTCCGTACCTTCGCAGATGGTCAGCCCTCGTCAGATGCCTTCCTTGACAGGATCTCGTGCGTTGTTGGAGCTGGTACCTGCGCCAACAAAAAGGTAGGTGTGTTTCACTGCAGCGGTGAGTAAGCCACGATGATGATGTTGGTGGGCTCGTTCCTTGCAGCGGAGCGCAATTGCACAATCGCGCGTGGGATTATGGAGGATCTGAGGCTGAAAAGAAAGCACTTTTCTACCATCGCCGTGCTCGTGTGCGCTGTTGATCTTGCTCTTCATAAATTCAAGATACATCTTTTCCATACATGTCCAATCCAACTCTCCCAAACTCCCAGTCCATGCACATCCATATCTATGTCTAATATCCCCAAGTCTTTATTCATCTCATCATTACAACATCCCTCGATTGAATCATGCCACATAGCAAAACGACGCGGCAATGAGCGCCAGCGCCCAACTCGCAAAAATCGCCGTCTTGGTCGCATCGCCCTTGGGGACGTTCCCAGTGGCAGCCTGGCCCAAATACCAAGCGCCAATATCGGTCAACTCGCCCTTCTGCGTCAACATAGCGGCATTGGGACCGACGTTGGACACGTCCGAGCGAAAGGAGCCAAAGTAGGAGTAGCGCTGGATGTACCTGTTCGCACCATCATCAGCTATAACGTCGTCTGAGAGATGGGGTGTTTGAAGCAAAACTTACGGCACTCGATCCAAGAACGAACTGCTCTGATTGTAGAAATCCTGCGATTCACTCAGATCTTGCGTGGGATCTGCGTATTCCGTCACCCAGATCGAGGAGATGTTTTGGTATGTCCCGTTGACTTGGCCGATGTGGCTCGCGAAGCCCTCGAAGTTGCCGTACCAGTGCACGGGGATGAAGTCGATGGTGCAGTTGGAGCACTTTGGACATCAAATCAGCAACCACAGAACTCCCCCTCCCGGGAAATTTTGTAGGTACTCACCGCCGTGAAGAAACTCTGCAACCACGTAAACCCGTTCGGACTCCCCGTGACCGCGGGCGCGCCCAACTTGATCCCCTCATTCTTCAGCGGCTCGATCTGCTGCATCCACACCTGCGCCGCCGTGTTCGCATCCACGCAACTACCCCCGGAGACACACCCATCCGGCTCATTGAAACCCAGCACGTAGCTGATGTTCATGCCTCCGTCCTTCAGCCCTTTGACGGTCGTGTAGAACGAAATATCCCCGTTGTTGGTGCCCCACAGCATGGGCACGAATTGGAGATTTGTGCCGGAGAGGGCCGCGGTGGGCGTCGCCATGTAGTTGTAGTACCAGGTCAGGTCGGAGTTGGTCGTCCAGTAGTGGTCGTCGCTGGGGTTTTCGGTTTGCACGTAGACGAGGCCGCGCTTGGGGGAGGTGAGCGCATCTTGGGCGAGGGCTAGGGGGAGGGCGAGAAGGGAGAGGGGCGTGAATGGCCGCATCTTGGATGGATGTTTTTCTTGAAGTCTGCGATTCTTGCTTCTGTCGTTTTTCTGTCTTGCTAGCGATAGTGGAGGCTGTATGCTCTTGGAAACACCTCTGCCGGTAAAACGAACGAGAGACAGCAATATGAAAGCAACACAAGAACGAAAAACCCACACGCGGCCCTCTCTCACTCTTTAAGAAAAAGCTCCCTCACTCACCTACCTACCTGCTGCGCGATTAAGCAGGTTCCAAACTCCAGCCCAGAGTCGCCAACGCCTCACCCAGCTGCACGACTGCGCCCTCCAGCGCCATGGTGTCGACTCTGTTGAGCGCTTGCGAAAGTTGATGCAGAGAGTTGCGCCGAATCGAGCGAGCAGAGGTCTGGATTGAGCACTAGTGGTCGCGCCAGTGCTGGTTTGGGAGGTTCTGAGCACGTGCATGGCGTTCTGAACGATCCCGGATCCCGGCTCGCGGCTCGAACGGTGCCGCGGCGTTCGTTCCTGGCACTTGGGAGCGTCTTCTCCGGCCAACGACGACTTCGATGTTTCTATGCCGGATGGAGGGTATTGCGTGAGCATATGTACGCACTGCAGCCGGTCTGCTGTAGCTCACCAGGAGGTCATCGATCTTGGCTGGCCCTGGCCCTGATAAGAGGTTATCGGAAACAGGGATGTCCGGATAGAGCTCAACCTCTCCACGCTAATGCCAACTTTCCTGCATTTCGAGTCTGGACTTGATAGGAGCAACAAGCACGCAGTGAGATCTCAGAAGCAGCTCTTCCAGCTGGCTACGCGTTCACGGGAGCGGGATCCGGTGCGGTTTTAGATGCCATTATTGAAACACTTGGAAGTGTGGGCGTGATGGTCGCGACGGCGAGTGAAACACAGGGGCCGACGCCTGCGCCTCTGAAGAAGAGGACCAGATTGAATCCTGCGAGGCGGAAGTCTGCGAAGAGTCAAGGGGAGTGTCAAAGTACGACTACTGCTGCTGCTGCTGCTGCTGCTGGAACAGCAATGGAGAAGTCTAGCCAGGCTCAAGATCGGGCGAAAGCGAGCAAGAATGAAGCTACGAATGCCCAACCTGTCTCAGAGCAAAGTTCGACCACGGCCGGTCAACAGAAAGCCGGTAGTGCGTCTTCGAAGAAAGACACAACTGCCTTGGCCAAGCAGACCGACCCCAAGAACCCCAATGGCACCTCAAAGCCCGGAGTCGCTGGGAAGACGAACAGCACTCCAAAATCCGGCCCTCTCGCCTTAGCAGCACCAGCAATGGTGACCGGCGGCCTCGCAGGCTGCGCAGCCGGCGCAGCAGTGATCCTAGGAGCCGGCCTCTGGAACAAATTCGCAGGCGCCGACTCCGCCATCCTCGCAGCACGGACGGCCAAGTTATGCCTAGACAACCTGATCGAGGAGATCATCACGAGCCTCAAAGCCGGCACATACAGCGCCCCGGAAGCCCTCGACATGCTACGACGAACGACCTTGGCCTACGCTAGCACGATCCCGGGCGGCGCGCCGTTTGTCGAACGCCTGTTCCGCGAGATCGATATGGTGCGGAAGCAGCGTGGTCGCGAGGTCGATAAGGTCATTGCGGAGGCGTATGTCGATCTCTCCAAGGCTGGGAAGCGCGGCGCTTCGACTGCGGAGTTGCATGCGATTGTTATTCGGAATCTGGTCAAGTTGTCTTCGTTTGCGGAGAAGGCGACGCAGGATATCGTGGCCAGGAATCCGAATTTGAGCCCGTTTCGTGAGAGGGCCGTCAGGGCGTTGCAGCCGCCGCCGCCGAAGTCGAAGGTGCCTACTGTCAAGATCAATATGGCTGTGCAGCACAAACCTGCTGCCAAAGCTTGATAATCCAGATGCCAGACAACAGCTGGACAGCAGTTGTACGCAGGCTCGAGCCGCAAATTTGTCCTCGCTCCACGACTGGTCTCTTGCCATTTGAAGGATCTGAATACCTCTAGCGACGACAGTCGTAGCTCGTCAAAGCTCGATATTGCTTTGATGTCTGGATACGAGGACCATCGATCTGACCACCACTTCTCTGTGTTTCATCGAATTCCAAGCGATACTGTGACAACGCATCCATCGCTTTTGCTGAGAATTATGGCTCTTTCGATCTGGCGGTCTGACGTGGAGCAGGCTTCATGAAGCACAGCGTCGAAGACCGCGCAGCCTCGGCTGTCTGCACTTGCCTGCCTGACCAGGTATGGCAGACGAGATCTCACCCTCATATGTCTTAAAACATCGCAGCTCGTAATGGAAGTTCCAACGATCACGACTGCTTTTGCTCGACAGCTTTTGCTCAACATCTTCAAATGCAGCCCTTGACAATGCAGCTTGAAATTTTCCCGATAGGGGATTTGCTCGGTCTGCATTTGTGCATGCAGACCCTGAGTAGCCGATCTGGTTTATCCCTGGCGACGGAGGGACTCTTGCTCCCGACTTAGACCTCCAAGCACCAACAGTACTCCCTCTCTGTATTCACGACAAGTATGGACTCTACAATACTCCACTGCAAAGGTTTCAGTCCACATCGACTGCAATGAGCCCGTTGGGATGATTTGCGCGCGGAACATCAAAAGATCGCTTCGAACAGGCCTCTGCACGCTCAGGGTTGTGTCACATCCAGTTTCTTCAAGACAGCTGCATCGAAACTGTGCCTTGCAGTAGCTCCACCTTTCGAATCAGACAGGAGCTATTCCCTACCGCAAAAGGCTCATGAGTTGATTCCATGAAACGGGACGCCTTATTACTGTTATTCATTGCACGAATGAGGTGTTTTCTGGCAGATCCGACTGCAGGAGAGTCGTTGGAACGGAGACATGAATCTAGCCGTACGGAAGCCGGCTGAATGGCCTCCGCTGCGCTCACGCTCCTTCTCACAGCTTTAGGCTTACTCACAGGGGTCCGCATAGGTTACCTATACGGGTAAAGACAATGGCATCTGATATGTATTCACATTCATGAGAGTCGGTCACTCCTAGCAGAGTCGACCAATCCACCAGAGCCAGTCACAGCTAGCCGTTGTCCAGCCTTTCTGCGAACACCACTTGTACCGATCGAATTCCACTTGATGAGCACAGTCGACGGTTGGCCATTGTTTAAGCATGAGTCTGGCCATTGGAGAAGACACGAGCAATCAAGATGGAGCCTCCGAAACGAAGGACGAACCGCGGGACGTGGATGAACCATATCAAGAAGAGCACAGACATTCGGAAATCGCTGAGCTGGCAAAGAATTTGAGACGCACAACGACAAACTGGTCTCAAATTCCTGACACCCCATTCAACCCTTTACCAGACTCCACGCTCGACCCCCATTCCAGCAACTTCAGAAGCCGTGACTGGATCAAGTCGATCGTCAAGCTCACGGCGGCCGAAGACAGCTTGCCTCCACGTCGAGCTGGCATTGCATTCAAAGATCTCCACGTCTTTGGATACGGCACTGCGACCGACTATCAGAAGGATGTGGGCAATGTGTGGCTCGACGCATTTGGCCAGGTTCAACACACACTGGGCCTGGCAAGATCTCGGAAGATTGACATCCTCCATAACCTGGAAGGCTTGCTCGACAGTGGAGAGATGCTGGTCGTACTTGGCCCGCCAGGAGCGGGCTGCTCATCCTTCTTGAAGACAGTTACTGGGGAGACCAACGGCCTTCATATCGAGCAGAAGTCTTCGATCAATTACAAAGGCATCCCAGCTCGAGAAATGCACAGATATTTCAGGGGTGAAGCGATCTATACTGCAGAGAATGACGTTCACTTCCCCTTCTTGACCGTCGGCGATACGCTGTACTTTGCTGCTCGGGCAAGAGCTCCTCGCTCCCTTCCGGGCGATGCTAGTAAACAGCAATGGGCCACACACTTGAGGGATGTGATCATGGCCGCTTTCGGAATCTCGCACACAGGCCATACCCGTGTGGGCAATGACTTTGTGCGAGGCGTCTCCGGCGGCGAGAGGAAGCGGGTGTCGATTGCAGAGGCGATTCTTAGTGGAGCGCCGTTGCAGGTGAGTACCCTTGCCCCAGACATGAAAAGTCGTCGTGTCATTGACTCATCGTGTAATTGACAGGCGTGGGACAACTCAACGAGAGGGCTTGACAGCGCCAATGCTATCGAATTCTGCAAGACTGTAAGGCTAAGTACAGAGTTCACAGGCTGTGCAGCCGCCGTAGCTTTGTATCAGGCTCCTCAGGCGGCATTCGATACTTTCGACAAAGCACTGGTCCTGTATGAGGGACGGCAAATCTTCTACGGCAGCACGGGACATGCACGAGAATATTTCGAACGACTCGGATTTGTCTGCCCAGACCGTCAGACCACCGCCGATTTTCTCACGTCGATGACATCGTCCCAAGAGCGTGTCATCAGACAGGGCTTCGAAGGGACAGCTCCACGAACAGCAGACGACTTCGCAGCTGCTTGGCAAGCAAGTACCGAGCGGTTTCAGCTTCTGCAAGAGATTGACAAATTCAACGAGGAGAACGTGTATTACGGCGAAAACTATGACAACTTCGTCGCATCTCGTAAAGCTCAACAAGCACGGGGCCAACGGCTGAAATCTCCCTTCACGCTCAACTACGCGCAGCAAGTGCAGCTTTGCATCTGGAGAGCCTGGCGGCGCTTGATAGGAGACCCTTCTTACATCTTCACGCTGCTGTTTGGCAACTTCGTGCTCAGCCTCATCATCGGGTCCGTGTTCTACAACATGCAGCCCAGTACGGACTCCTTTTACTCTCGCGGTGCGGTGCTCTTCTTTGCCATCTTGCTAATTGCTTTTGGCTCGGCGCTGGAGATCCTCACGCTGTTCTCGCAGCGGCCCATCGTGGAGAAGCATACTCGATACGCCTTCTACCATCCTTCCGCCGAGGGTATGGCTTCGATGTTAGCCGATGTCCCCTACAAGACGCTCAACGCTATTGTGTCTAATCTTACCCTCTACTTCATGGTCAACTTGAGGCGGTCGCCCGGCTCATTCTTCTTCTTCTTGCTCATTGTGTTCTTTGTCAATCTCACGATGAGCATGTTATTTCGTTGCATGGCTTCCCTTTCGAGGATCCTACCCCAAGCTCTAGTACCAGCCGCAGTGGTTATGCTCATCACCGTAGCCTTTAGTGGCTTCGTGCTGCCAGTCGACTACATGCTTGGTTGGTGCCGGTGGCTGAACTGGCTGGATCCCGTGGCGTATGCCTTCGAATCACTGGTCATCAACGAATTTCACAACCGCAATTTCACCTGTTCGCAAGTCGTGCCACCTTATGGCTCGCTTTCGGAAAACACCCAAGTGTGCTCGGCGGTGGGATCTCAGCCAGGCTTGGATATTGTGGAAGGTGACGCTTTCATGAACTCCAGCTATCAGTACTATGCCTCCCACAAATGGCGGAATTTTGGCATCATGCTGGGCTTCATGGTGTTTTTCATGGTCGTCGGCCTTGCGGCTACTGAAGTCATCACGCAGAAGCCGAGCAGTGGCGAAGTGCTCGTGTTTCGTCGCGGTCATGGCTCTGCACGGAACGATTCAAGAAAAGACGAGGAGAGTGTGCAGATTGGATGCGGCGGCGCTCAAACTCAGCAGCAACCGGAGAAAGTCGACACTTCACACACGATTGAGAAACAGACCTCAGTCTTCAGCTGGAAGGATGTTTGTTACGACATCAAAGTTGCCGGCGGAAAGGAACGACGTATTCTGGACCAAGTCGATGGGTGGGTGAAACCAGGCGTTTTGACCGCTCTTATGGGCGTCTCAGGAGCGGGCAAAACAACTCTCCTTGACGCTCTGGCTTCCCGTACTACGATAGGTGTCGTGAGTGGCGACATGCTTGTCGATGGGAAGCCGCGGGATTCGTCTTTTCAAAGGAGAACGGGCTACGTACAGCAACAAGACCTGCACCTTCAAACCTCGACGGTTCGGGAGGCTCTCAGCTTTAGCGCTCTACTTCGACAACCTGACTATGTCTCTCGCAAGGACAAGCTCGATTATGTGGAGGAGGTCATTGACCTTCTAGGCATGAGAGAATATGCAGGGGCAGTCGTGGGAGTACCCGGGGAGGGTCTCAATGTCGAGCAGCGGAAACGCCTCACTATTGGCGTGGAGCTTGCAGCGAGACCTGGCCTTCTTATGTTCTTCGATGAACCAACTTCAGGTCTCGATTCGCAGACGTCGTGGTCGATCCTGGACTTCCTCGTCAAGTTGAAAGAATCCGGCCAAGCGATCCTGTGCACTATCCATCAACCATCGGCGATGCTATTTCAACGATTCGATCGTCTACTGTTCCTCGCCAAGGGCGGCAAGACAGTGTATTTCGGCGACATTGGCCAGAATTCGCGAGTACTCGTAGAGTACTTTGAACGTTATGGGGCTCCTCGCTGCGGTGACACTACGAATCCTGCAGAGTGGATGCTGCAAGTCATCGGTGCTGCTCCAGGCTCACATACGGAGCTCGACTGGGTTCAAACCTGGCGAGAGAGTCCAGAGTATGAACAGGTGCAGTTAGAGCTTCGCAGACTTGCAGAGCGACAAGCAGAAACCCGCATTGGGGATAAGCACGATGATGGAGAAGAACAACAGCAATACTGGGAGTTCGCAACGCCCCTGACCAAGCAGCTCTATGAAGTAACCATCCGGGTCTTTCTGCAGTGTAAGTCATTACTCAAGGATTCATGTGATGTGCGTTCGCTAATCCCGATCCCAGACTGGCGCACACCATCTTATGTTTACTCCAAGATCGCCCTCTGTCTATTCTCCACCCTTCTTATCGGGTTGATCTACCTCAACGCCCCAAACACCCACCAAGGGCTGACCAATCAATCATTTTCCGTCTTTCTCTGTGAGTTCCAGCCAAATCTACCATCTTGTACATATGATCTGACCTCGATGCATAGTGTTCACAATCCTCGGCCAGCTCGTCCAGCAGATGATGCCATTATTCGTAACACAAAGAGCTCTATACGAAGCCCGTGAACGCCCATCGAAGGTCTATACATGGAAGGGTGCGTATAACCATTAGCCGCTCAGCTATTACGATCCGCCATTGACTCCCCCCATAGCCTTCATCTTCTCCAACCTCGTCGTAGAGCTCGCCTGGAACGCCCTCATGGCCGTCATCATGTTCGTCTGCTTCTACTACCCCATCGGGCTCCAAAACAACGCCGTCCCAACGGACACCGTACACTCCCGCGGCATCCAGTTCTTCCTCTTCGTGCTGCAGTTCATGCGCTTCTCCTCCACCCTCTAGCACATGGTCATCGTCGGCGTCAGCGACGCGGAAACCGGAGGCAGCCTCGCGAACCTTCTCGTCATCCTCTCCCTGATTTTCTGCGGCGTCCTGGCACGCCCTTCCAGCCTACCTGGTTTCTGGATCTTCATGTACCGCGTCAGCCCATTCACCTACTTGATCGGAGGCATGCTAGGCACTGGCGTCGCGAACGCTGCCACACGGTGTGCAGATAACGAGCTGCTGCGATTCGACCCACCTGTCAATCAGACCTGCGGCGAGTACATGGCGCCCTATATCGTTGGTACGAACGACCAGGTGGGCGCGGGAGGTTATGTTATGGACCCTACCTCCAGGAGTGATTGTGCGTATTGCACGTATGGCGACACCAATGTCTTCCTGCAGAGCTTGAGTATCTCGTATGGAGACTCGTGGCGGGATTTTGGGATTGTGTGGGCTTATATTGTGTTCAATGCGGCGGCAGCGGTTTTTCTTTATTGGGCGGCAAGGGTGCCCAAGAAGCGGAAAGAGAAGATGCAGTAGGGGCGGCTAGGGAAGACGTTGAAAATGACCAAATCGGGACTCTAGGATGCTGGCGTCAACCAACCGGGTTGGAAGGGTTCCGTCTCGTCGGCGTTGATGACAGGCACAGAGGCTATGGCACAGGCGTCTGCTTTAACGCGGGCCTTCAATGAAATCATGAACACTTCTGACCGGAGACATGGCACACACACTCACGGAACAACTCCGATCCTTGAGGAAACACGCCTTCGGCAGACGCCCGACGGGCGACACGAGAACGAGAATCTAGCTTTCAAGACGACGACACAACGGATCTCATACTGCCCAAGCCCTATGAACTAAAGCTATTGACTCAGCACTCCGGCGCTCTTGGACTGAAGACCCAATGGGCATCTCCCGAATCCTTCATTTTCCGCGGATTTAGTCTTGCTGGGCCATAGGGCTGAGTGGTATTCGGTGCATTGCACGAGGGAGGATTGAACGAATGAAGTCAATGCCAGGATCACTTTTAAGAGACGCATTGCTGCCCCGGAGGCTGGCAGAATCGCAACGACCCTTATTGCGTTCGTTTGCTTGCCACATCTCGCGACAGACATGCGGTTCGACCAATTATTCCATCTGGTGGCTGCGGCGTGGGTTTGCCTGCTCATATGCTCGGTCCTGGCGAAGGAGAGAGATCACGTACGTTACAGTTTCCAGATGATGTGATAGAACTGTACGATTCTGATGGGCGTGCGACAGGATCGTGATCCGAGCGCTAGTCGGACTTACGAGTTTGGTCAGGCCCAAGAACAACTCGCTATGAACTCACCCCCTCATCAACCGGAAGAGGACGACGATTGCGTTTATGGGCGAGATGGGAAGATCCGATGCAGGGAGTTACGATGACTTCGAGGGTCCCGAGAGGCCGGATCGAAGGCACCCCTGGATCGAGCAGCTGCAAATAGATTGTGGTGGCCGCGAACGACAGGTCGTACCGCTAGGGACGACGTTCGAACAGCATGCACGGCAATCGGTTGAAGAATCGATGGCAAATGACACCTTGCTGCCTGGGGAATGTTGGCAACTGAGCCGGCGTTTGGACCTGGTTCATGCTGCACATCGCTTGAATCTGGAATCTGAATCAATCCCGTGTGCCTGGTTCGTTGGATCTGTGCAGGCCAAGTCTGCACTGCCTATCTAGTCGTATGTACAGCAGGGAGTCGACTCTGGAGTGAGCCCTTTGCGTGGCCTGTCATCTGTCATCTGTCAATGCGTGCAAGTGGATGTGTTCGGCCAACTCATTCACTTACACAGCTACAGCCGGCACTAGTGTCAGCCGACCCGTCATTCGCCCTGCTCTACAAGAAGTTGAGCTGTTGGACTTATCATTCTGATGAACAGGGGAATTTTAGGTGTTTGTGAGACGAATGAATGGCGTTGAGGTTGAGATAGTCGTGCTGGAATCGATGAGTTTTCTCTGCTCATCATCTCCAAAAGACCAGCTTGCCCGCGACGTACAGGCCGAAGGAAGGTATCTCCTTTGATTCCGTATCGATCACTACGCTAGACTATGCTTCCATGCCATGGACAGGTCGAATGTGCTCGAGAGAAAGGTTTCATTCATTCACTCACACGGGTGTAGCCGACACTAGTAAAAGCCAGGATGCTCTGGATCCTTGTACTTGTACATTTGCCGTTATAAGTCGTCATGAGAGAGCCGCAGTGCTTCTTACTCGCTCGGATCTTAGCGCTATTTTGAAAAGCCAATAGTTCTCCTTGCAAGCGTGCGCATCTGTGCATTTCGTGAGGCGAGTCGCGGCCAGCGGACGGACGAAAGTCGTGGTGCCGGATGGGAGTTCCTGGCCACCTGGTCCAACGGCGAACTTCACTAATGGTATCATACTCGGACAAGTTTGAGGTGGGACTGAGGCTCTGTGATCTGTGGCCGCTGGTCATGTTGGGCCCCCGAGCATTTGATCAAACTGCAAGACTCTAAAACTTGGACACGTTCGGAGTTGCTCTCTTATAAACTCACCCTTCGAAACATCCTACCAGTGTCGAAGATATGAACCATCAATCGTTTCCGAACCGTTCGCAAGAACAATTCAATCTCCCGGCAGAGAACTGCAACTTCGCATTCTTCGACGATTGGCAGAATGTCTATGATGAATGGCTGTATGAGCCACAGTCGACTCTAGCGAACGATGTTGAACACGTCAGAGACTCTGAGCCATTGCGTGTTGTCGTCACTAATCGAAGCAGTCGCTTTTCTTCGAACATGCACAATCCATGGCTTCACAGTTCGCTGGACCCGTTGCCAATGACCAAAACGGGTTCGCACAAAGCTCCGCCCGCATCGATCAGGATAAAGTCGAGCCTTCCACGTCGACCATGGACAGCTCATGGACCACCGAAAAGGAGCGCGATCCGATCGAAATTGTGAACGTCGTGTCGAAGCGGTTGTCGTAGGTCGTCTCCAATCCTCATCACAACGTCGCTAACCAAGGCAAAGCCGTAATAGCGGTCCATATCGTTGCGAAGTGAACGACTGCGATCGATCGTTTCGATTCCCCAAAGACCTCAGACGTCACCTCCTGACGCATACGAACGAAAGAAAACATAAGTGTCCAGAGCCGCAGTGCGAGTATGCCACCAAGGGCTTTTCCAGGAAAGACGCCTCAGGCAGACATATCAAGAGCGTCCATGGGGCTGAAATGGAGTCGGTTGCTGGGTAGTGAGTCGTTGGGGTTGTAGTCCTGATCAGAGTCGGGTTTAAGAGACGGCGGCCTTGATACAAAAATCAGATGGTCGATGATCGATGAGTAACGAAAACGACAGTACGGCGTTGGTTGGCTTCGACAAGGCGTGTGCTAAGGAGAAATCAGCAGTAATGAATTGAATCTTGTTTCGTCAATGATCTTTCAGTGCAGAATCAGTTCACTAACTCACATCACATCATCCTCAAACCACCAACCCCATGCGCAACGTTGAACTCCGACTGTCGTCGCAGACCAAGACCAGGCGACTCGGCGTGTTCTTTCTCTTCTGATGCTGCGCTGTCCTTTTCTTTCTGTCCTGCATTTGCTTGGATTATTACGTCCTCCAGTCTCGACTCAAACGCCTTCTCAGCGCCCAGCCTTTCCCTCCTCACTTTGAGATCGAAGACATCGAATCTTTGGTACCCGCCCACAACATCGTGGAACTGCTTTGGCTCAACGCATTGATTGAGATCCAGATCTGCGTATGCGATGCCTTCTTCGCCCTGAACCATGTCGCCGACTTGGGCGCCTGTGGGATCGAGGAACATTGATGCGCCTTGAGTAAGGCTTTGCAAAGTTGAGAGAGCGGATGGGTGGGTCTTGGTCAAGGCATCTTGAAAAAAGCGTCAGTACCGAAGCGTGGATATGTCTGGTAGAAGATGGAGGTCACCTTTCATGGCCTGATCCATGAAGCCCGAACACATGACACCGAAACACTTCGCTTCGAAGCAATGGGCTCCTGTTCTCGTTCGATTCGCCGCGATGTTGTCGTACTGTTTTCCACCATCTTCGGTCGCTTGCGGCCTTCTGGTGGGCCATACGGCTGGCCAGGTGGTGATGTGTAGCTGTTCACCTTGTGCCATCAGTGACCTAAAGGAACATCATCAGCACGAGTCGCATGTGACACATATAGCGCTCGCTCACCATCTCGCCAACGGGTTCGTGTTTTCTCCACAAATCAAACTTCCTACACGGCCACACCTGCCCGTTTCCACGACATCCAAACCATACCCGTCACCATTCGCCCAAGTCAGCTTCTCGTAGAACGTCGGCACAAGCTTTCTCGAATGGTTCACAATCTTGCCTTCGTCAGAGATCAGCACTGACGAGTTGTAGATGCATCCCAGACTGGCAGGGCTTCTTTCGTTGAATCCAACATGAGCGAAGACGCGAGATTGCGCACAGGTCTGCCGCAGGAGCGACAGTTCGGGACCGTTGATGAGGAGACTTTCGCGGGCAAGCCGGGTGAAGAAGGAGTGATTGTCAATCGGAGCGGCGATAGCGGCCTATGTTCAATGGTCTTGTAAGCGAACGAACGCCACAGCAGGGATGAAGGAGAAATTCATACCCACAGAGGATAAGCAGGTATATAGACTTCTGGAAACACAATCAGATCGGCTCGATTATTCGCCCCTTCTTGTATCAGCGAGACGGTCTTCTGCACCGTTTTGGCGGTATCCAGGAAGACAGGCGCAACGTTGCAAGCTGAATGGCAATGAGCGTTAGCAGTCCGCCTCCGCAGATGGGTCGTGTTTTTGCTTACCAGCCACTCGAACTTTCGGCAGCCACGCTGTAGCCATTGTGATGGCCAGAGTACACCTCCAGAGTCGATATGTTCAGTCAAGTTTCTGCCAGGCGCCAATGGAAATAGTCGAGGGGTACCGTACCTGAAAGCAGTGACAAGTAAGAGCACTTATCATTGCATAACATTGAACTCACCGCAAGAGGTGAGGTCAGATTGCTCAGTGCGGGGTAATCGCGCCCTTTGGAAGTCAGCTTGAAGACCAGTGTCATTACAAAGATCTAGCGATCTAGACAAGACACAGAGGAGGTGAAATCGCTGGGATTTGCTCAATCGGGAAGCTGTAGATTTTGTAGTATACAAACCCTAGACATACATAAGAACAGCCAGGTGTCTGGCTTATTCAGTGCTTTTGTGTGATCCAGCCATGCTTGATTCAATGCTTTAGAACGGTGGAAGCCAGAAGGGATAGCCGCCATTCTTCACCCGGAAGACACTGAGAAGGAAGGAGTAGGTGACAAGGAGCACACCACCCCAGACCAGAACAGCAACGGACTGGGATTTCGGATCTGCCATTCGTGGGACCTTGAGGGCGAGGCTTATGGTCGCAAATGCGAGCACGCCGTCTGGAAGGACAAGTTAGCGTTTTGTCGAAGATCAATTGAAAGAGACTTACACAGAGCAGCCACAATCTGCGTCTCCAGGCCAAATTGGTTCTGGAAACCACCTGCAAAGTAGCTCACGCCTCCCTTTCCATCCCCAGCAACATATGGAACCTTCCTAATGTGGTTGAACATGTGTCCGCTTGTGAAGAGGAGTACAGCGATCAAACTGATGGCTGCCCAGAGGTTGCGGTTCTGGATGATTGGAAGGATGTATGGTGCAGCAACAGTAAGGAAAGTGATTACGCCAAGCACGGCGGTGGTCGTCACTGCAATTTTGACGTATTGAATAGGTCGAACGATTGGGGGATGTGGTCGATCTGGCAGTTGGCGAGAGAGCCATTGGTGGACGGTGTCAGCCTTGTTGATGCTGTCGAGATTGTTAGCAATCCACACACGGAGCTCACTGTTGCCGCAGACAGCGGAGAGCATGTTCGATATTGTAGATTCTTACCCAGTGTTGAAGTCGAGCCTCTCCATTGGCTTGTCTGGCCTCGCGTGCGGACCTTGGGTTGGATGGAACAGGAGCATTACTGGCGCCGTTTGGAGTTGCATCTGAATGCTACTGTCAGAACAACGTTCAGATCACCAAATCGTTGGGATGTCGTCTCACCGATTGGAAGGTCGCCTTGCCATCCAAGAAGTCCAGTGTTCCAAATGCCAACCTTGACTCTGCCCCCTTATCGCCCTTGGTCCACGATCTTGCCAACAGCTCCCATTCTGGCTGAAACTCGTGACACAGCTGACATCCGAATCTTGCGTCCATTGCTGTCAGAAGCACAGCGACCGAGTAGTCTCGAGGAGCCTTGGTAAGAGCATCGTAGGATCGGTCGTCCAGCTTGACAGGCTGCGGCTTTGCGTGGGCTTCGCTGAATCGTTCCTCAGGCGACTTCTTGGCTGCAAGGGCAGTCAATGGCAGTAATACCGCTGCCGCGAGTTGTAGCACCCTCATTTTGTTGGTAATTGTTGTGCAATGGGTGAAGTTGGATGTCGGGTTGATGTGAGCTCCAGCAGCAACGCCAGCTTTCCTCTTGGCGCGCAGCGGCCCGCAGCTCGGAGACGCTAGAACGTATCTCCGTCTGTTTACCAACGACAACAAAGCAGCCACGCTTCTGACACAACAACCTCTCTTCAATGCAGTGTATCCAGCACATCACATCCTAATGCCGGCATCGCATCAAGCAGCAACAAATATGTTGCCCAATACCAAGCTACACGAGCAATCGCTGCAGAGCTCCGCGCTCGAGCTCAAATACGCCAATAGCTCACATCTAGTCGACATCATAGCCAAGGACGAAGACATCCGCCTCCTTCGCTTCGACATACATATCCTACAGGACGACAATGACGAGCTGAGAGACTTACTTGCGCAAGAGGAGGATCGGTCTGGGAAGTTTGAGAAACTCGTCAATGAGAATCTGGCGCGGGCAGAGGACGCAGAGGCGCGCCTGGCGGACATCGAGGTTGACTTGAGGGCGAGAGAGCAAGAGGTCGGCACATTGCAGGCTGAGGCGAAGGCATTGCAAACATCTGCTGCCGACTCCGAGGCTTTCTTGATCGAGAAGCTGGCGTTGACGCGCGAGCTGTCTGTTTTGCGACCCGAACTCGAACACATGAAAGCCCAAGCCGCATCCACGGAGGCACTCATGACTGAGAAGTTGGAGCTGCAGCGTCAGTTAAGCAACATTCAATGTGAGCTGGAGAACGCAAAACGTGACTGCAAGCGGGCGTTGGCCAAGCGACGAAATACTGGAGTCGAAATCGCACAGGAAGAGCAGGTAGAAGACTTGAAGCGACAACTGGCCAAAGAGAAGCGAGCTCGTCAACGTGCCGAGGAAGCCGCCGACACCACGCAAATGGACGTTAACATCGACGATGTGCGCAAGGAGTTGGCGCGTGAAAAGCGCGCAAGACAGAAGGCCGAAGAAGAGCTTGAGGCTGCTCAAGAGAACACGCAAGTGGAGGATGTCAGGAAAGATCTTCTTAAGGAGAAGAAGGCCAAAGGAAAGCTCGAGGAGGCTCTCGAGAATCTGAAGGAAGAATTGGAGAAAGAGAAGAAGGTAGCCGCACGAGCAGCTAAGCGTGCTGACGGGGTCGCTGGTGTGGATGATCAGCTCGAGGAGTTGAAGCAAGAGCTGGCGCAGGAGAAGAAGGAGCGACAAAAAGCAGAGAGGGCTGTGCAGAAGGCCGCAGACGAGTTCGAGGCTCAGAAGGCCACACTAGACGACAAGCTTCAGCAATTCCGAACGAAGCTCAGGTCGACCAAAGAGAAGTTGAAGGAGACTGAGACTGAGCTCGAGATGGCTCGTGAGGAGACAACGCAACAGAAGAAGAGCGCCAAAGCAGCACCCGCTGCAAAGAACGCGAAGAAGCGCAATGCTGCGTCGTTCGAAGCTGATGCAACGACTCTCGGCACGCCCGGAGATGGTCCAGCGGCCAAGCGTGGCCGGAAAGCTGCAGCTGGTATTGGCGACAAGTCTACCTTCTCGATGACGCCGTTCCTCAATAAGACGGCAAGCATTCTTCTGGACAGCCCCGAAGCAGGGGAGGAAGAAGCTGAGGTGGAAGAGAAAGTCGAGGAGGCAACTGCAGCATCCCCGAGTGTGGAGACAGCAGCTGCGAAGACGAAGAAGCAACCTCTTGCGGCGGTATCAGCGAGCGAGACCAACGTCCAAAAGAAGCCAGCGCCCCGACAGCGAAAGCAAAAGGTACCAGCGCCGGTTCTTGAGATGGTCACCGAGGAAGCCGAAGACGTGCATAGCCAAGGCCAAGAGAATGCAGCTGCCGCGAAACCAAAGGCCTCCAAAGTCAAGACAAAGACAACAGACGGGACTGACGAGAAGCCCGGCGCTGCGGAAAAGAAGAAGAAACGCAAGTCACTCGTTGATTTTGCATCATTCGATCCAGAGCCGGAGACGAAAAAGAAGGAGAAGAAGAGCCGCAAGTTGGGTGGTATGGGCAAGACGCTGTTCGGCGAGGAGGAGGAGAGTGCTGCGCCAACGAAGACTTTGCCTGGCAGGGCGCTACTTGGTGCCAGAGGCTTTGGAGCACTTGGTGCGGGAACGAAGAAAGCTGGCGGGTTCTTGGGCAAGAGTAAGATCGGGAGCTCGATGCTGATGACTGCTGGAGATGGCAGTGGATTTCAATTCTCGCCTTTGAAGAGGCAGAGAGGAAATCTGGATGATACACTGCGTGGGTAGCCACAGGTGTTTGGATTTTGGAGTTCGCATCATGGCTTTGGTATGGGAAACGGAATGAACGGGCAACAGGGCATGGCGTTTTGGATGGCAGGCAAGGGTTGGTGACCATCGATTTCGTATTGTAACCATGATGCATTTTCTCTCCCGATCCAATCTGTTCATCTATCCAGACCCACATCACATGCCACGACGGGAGGATGCCGAGGCGTGAACTCTAATCCAACTACGTCTTGAGCTATATTGCTGTGCCCCAGGCGCCAACATACATCGTTATCCAAGAAAGCCCAGAACAGAGCTTTTGATGGAAGAATGATGAGCAACTTACAATCAAGCCTACCAGAAACGACCATGGACGCCAGCTCCGAGGACCTCGAATAATATCTTTCGCTAGATCAAGCCCACGTTTGATATTGAGCAAAAGCGAGACCAACATTGAACGTATTGCTTGTTTAAAATCGAAAAGATCAATCCTGCGCACCGCAGCAAGAGACGAACCATCCAAAATGTCGATCAACGTCACCATAACCCTCCCTCTCCCAACCGCAACCGCAATCCAACAAGGCGACTTCGACAAAGCCTATCTCTCCCAACTCGTCCTCGACGCAGTAAAAGCCCTCCCCCTCCTCGGCGGTCCCTCATTCTCCCATCAAGACCCCTTTACCAGCAACGACGGAGCACTCACCCCACCCGCCCTCTCAACCTACGACCCGGAAGTCGTCACCGTCCGCGACGGCTACGCATCCCGAGCAACGAGTCCACCTGTTTATACGCCGAATCCGACCGAATACGAGTCGTCTTCTAGAACGGTAGTTCCGGATGTTCAGGCTGTGCGGTATCCCGATCGGGATTCTTTTAAGGTCGATAAATTCCCTGTTACGGTGATTCATGAGGGTAAGGGCGTTTGGCCGATTCATGTGAATAGTGCGATGACAGGGGCGGAGCTGGCTGTGTTGATTGAGGAGAAGAGTGGGGTGGAGGTGGGGAGGCAGAGGGTGAAATTTAATGAGAGTTTGTTGGAGATGGAGAAGACGCTTTATGCTGTGAGTGGATGACTCCAATTCCAGTCTTTCCACACCTGGCTAATCGTTGTTGATGATGGTGTAGTCCGGCATTCGTCGTCACCGGCAGTTACATCTCATCCAGCTCTCGGGTCTTGTCCTCTTGGATTCGGACGTGGACTTCTGGATTCATGTTAAGGGCTGCGTGAGCGAGAAGAAAATTCCTATTCATGCGAAGCTCTCAACAAGCACGACTGAGGTCGGCATGGCGTTGTTTGAGCACTTCGCACCACATACGCCTTTCGGTAGGCGACAAGTGAAGTTTAAGGGCCAGCCCGTGTATGGAGTCAACGAGGTCGTGAGGACGATGGAGCATGTGAGTCTCGAATGCCCGATCTGATAAGGCTGTGACGAATGCTCTAACCAAAGCGCAGCTTGGTGTGAAGGCCAGTTGTTTTGTGCAGCTCGAGATGGTCGTCTTTCCGTGATATGGGTCACTTGTTCTTGGTCGCCAGATGTAAATATCATGGTATGCCTTCTGCAAAGATAGCAGATCAAACCCTGTACGGATGATGTATCAGGAGTCGTCGCTGAGACGGATCGCTCAGCTGCCCGCCTCAAATGAGCGATCAATATAGCGATAACTTGGGGGAAAGCGTATTTGATTTTACTTTGACAGACCATCCAGTCAACGATGATAATAGAGCGAAGCATAGTGACTTGTGACTACCTCCTTGAATTGTTGATGATCGACTGAGTTCCGCTCCGGACCGTGACGCACGCTTCCTGCTTGCGTGTTCGAGGCGGGGACAAAGGGGTTTATCAAGGTTGTTACGTTGGAAGGCGGTCTGAGTTGATACACCCTCTTCTTTCCACTCACAAATCAGAGACACTGTACCAGAGTAACAACAGACCCTCAAAAGCACCAGCAAATCACAGCCTCAATCATGGCATCTTCCTCGGAGACCACCACAGTGGAGTCAAAGGTCCGCCAATTTCCCCACAGCCGAGACATCGCCGTCTCCACGATCGCATCTCAGATCACTGATAACCCTCCTCTTCTAGACCGCCGCCGACTACCTCCACGCCACCACCGAGCCGCAGCCAGCTGAAGAGACAGGCCTGGGAACGCACTTCACCAACACCTTCTCGAAGGAGCACAAGGAGACTGCTCCGAACCAGCCACCAGAGGTCAAGCTGAAGGATACGAATTCCGGCATGACGACGGCGCAGCTGCAGCAGGCTGCGTCGGACGCTCAACAGGCGGATCCGAATATCCTGAAGAAGATGAAGATTGTGAAGTAGGCGGGCTTGTGGATGCATTGGCGAGCGCGAGAAGGGATAGGACACACGAATGAACGCAGGGATACACGCATAGAATAGAGCATGCAATGGGCAATGCCGGCATCAGGCTCGGTTGATGAATACATGTGTTTGCTATACGTTGAAGGCTTCGTGATACTTGACAATGCCGATAGGCATGCTCTCCTTCATCGGCAGCACCATTGTGAACCTCTTGGGTACCCCTTCAACTCGAAGGGAATGGTCACGCGAGAAGCCAAAGCGTGTATACAACTCCGGCCGACCGAGCACAACACATCCAGACGCTGCCTGATCTCGCAATGTCTTCAAGGCCTGCTCGACGAGGGCGGTCCCTATGCCTTGCCGCTGCCAACCTGGATGGACCGCCATTGGACCGAGGCCATACCAGCCTTGGATGTGATGATCTTGCCCTTCAATGCGGACTGGTGATACCGCTACATGGCCGACGATGGCGTCTTCTCCATCAGCCGCCAACGAAAGAGTCAAGTCTCCGGACTCCCTCAGCTTGTCCACGATACGGCTTTCTTGGTGAGCAAGATGCGATTTGGCAGCGAAAGCGGCTTGGATCGTGTCGCGGATGGCTTGGATATCTTTCGTTTCCTCCGGCCGGATGCATGTTCTCATACTTGATATGTGTCTTTTCCTGACGACGCAGGATCTTGACCGAAGCATTGCATTCCAGCTTGCTCATCAAGTCTTTGCTGGTGACCAGATTGAGATACGGAAAGATGACGTCACTTTCAAAGGCTCAGGATATCTTTCTACTTTGAAAAGTTCGACTCTAAGGTAGATACGATGATATCGACAGGAACTCATGACCACAACTCTATTCGATTGGATTTTGACTGTTTCTCTATACAACCAGCCACTGCCGGCCTCAGACCCATGGATTGTCGAACGAGACAACGCTTGTCGGGCCACAACGACATTTCAATCCTGAACCCGTCTATCTGTCGAGTTCGCCCGTATGGGCGTGACTGTCGACCAACTCTTTCGACTTTCGACTTTATCCAGAACTCATTCCTTCCAGCCACTGCCCAGGATCCCGGAGCTGTAGAATGAGATGTGGGCCATGGCATTCTTGATGTTGGCCGTTGGTGTATGTGGCGGTTGGAGCTGTCTCTCAGCTTGGTTTGGCATGTCCTGCTCATCATTTGAGAGGCCGAAGATGAATGCCCGCGACTCCTCAATCATCATCATCTTTAACCTCAACGACGCTGGCTATCACTGGAGAATCGTTCCCTTGCTTGGCAGTTGCCTCCGAAACCAGCTGAGCCCAATGTTGAGCATCCAATCCATCGGCATCGGATGGGTGCGATATAATTCTGATGAGTGCGTGGCCATCCTTGCCCTCATCCTCGTCCTCATCTTCACTCTCGTCGCCTGATAGAGGGTCTTCGTCGCTGGACCATTCATGATCGCTTGGTTCATCGTCTTCATCGGATTCCGAACCTGTCTCGCCGTCTACCCCCAAGTCGCATGCGTCAGAGGTGTCATCGATTTGTTCAGGTTCATCGAAGGACTCCACGGCGTCATGGTAGGTCGGCGGAGGACTGGCCGGCTCATCTTCGAGGCACATTTCCTCCAGCGAGCTCAACACCCGGATGTGCAGAAGCTTTCTTCGTAGGCTCGGGCTCCTGCTGTGTGCTTCTTTCCGGAGATTCATCTCGGCCGCGATGCGTATGCGCTCGGCTTGCATTGTCGAAAGTGAATGCAGTGAAGTGTTCTCGACGCAGCTGATGTTGCGCTTGTATGCCGCTGATGTAGTGTCCATAATATCGACTTGCCCAAAGGTCAACAGAAGTTGGTTTGTAACAACCACAGCTAGACTTGAGGGTCGTGTGCGAAAGAAAATGTAGCAGAGACACTTCCCAGACTATCTCGCTATGATGTAGTCCCCGTCAGCGTTTCCGTGATACTTCCGACCAGTGGCAATCGTCAACGTAAGAAGCAGCGAATTGAGTTTGCTCTGGAGCCAGCTCCGACAACATGTCCCGATTGACTCCCTGCAAATCCTGTTTGGACGGAAAGCTTAACGGGAAAGCTTGGACGGGTCAATCGGCAGTTTCCTAAACGGGCAATGAGATTTGGTTCCGGTTTGCTGTGAAGGGAAACTAATGCAAAATACATAATCCTTATTGGACAGTCAGAAACTCACATTGGTTCTGCAGGATGACGAAAGGATCATGCCCCAAGATGATATGTCACTCCGCGCGGCGCGCACGGCTCTATTGCGTGTCATACAATCGCTTTGTACTGTGGTACCAGCACAAAATAAAAGCTGCATCTGATACTGGACGATCCCAACGCTTTGAGCTGACGTCCATCCCCTGGAATCAAGTAGTCTACCAAATGTCTAGTCTCCAAGATCGAGCGAAACGGCGTTCGCGACGTAGCCAAAGGAGTGACAAACCCTCATGTCTACTGTGAACTCCTTCCCATTCACCGCGCAGGCATTGGCCTAGTAGAATGCGAGGGTGCCAACATTACTCCCTGTGCTTCCGAGATTGTTTCCCGTGACGTCGTACGAGCTCCAGCCTACTTTGAGGGCGTTGAAGCAGGTGACATCTTTTATGCAGATGTTGCCGCCTGAGAGAGGGCTCTTGCAACTGGTGTCCGAGCTACAATTGGAGGGTCAAACCGTCGTCGCAGCCAGCAGATGGTGGTGGCTTTGATGGATGACGCAGGTTTGAACGTGTTGACTCAAGAAGATGATGTGTTTGATCAGGAGCAAGCTCGAACAGGCGAGTAAAGACTAGCCCGGCTTGTGCCTGAGGCAGCAGCAGCCTTGGCAATCACATGGTGGGCTGTCATCAAGTTGTGTTGCAAGTTGGCAATTTGTCAGTGGCGTTCGACTAAAATGCAGAAGGCTTGTGGTCTCAACCTGGGGATAATCGACTGCCTTCTCGGGAGGACGACAAAATAACCTCTCCGAAGCCCGATCTCTCCATTAACTTCACTTTGCGACCTTTCCCTGGAAGTGAGAATGATTCCGGTTTTATTGCTCGAGACCTTGAAAATTGCATTTCACCAGATGGCGGTGACAGATGTTCTCCATTCCTCTTTACGGAGGTGAAGGAATCGTCCAGCGACGTCCAAGAAGCGTATTTAGCGAACCTTCACGACAAGCCAGGCGCTATTGGTAAACTACTTTAAAATCTACCAACTTAACCTAAAATCGGGGCTACTACTATTAGCTACATTTCTGATGACGTTAATAAGGGAAAACAACCGCAAAGCAACAGTGAACAGAAAGTTTCAAGTGGTGAATCACATTCGCTGACGACTACGTCGCATCAAGGTGAAACGCCACCTTGATTCCATTCCGACTCTCGACCAGCATCCGAGTCGCCTCTATGTATTCCAAGCACTCGTCCCTATTCTCAACCATCTCAAATCGCAGGACCAGACGCACAAGTAGATAGACGCTCTGCGAAATGACCTGGTTGATAGCCGGGCAGATGCGTGGCCCGCCGAAAAAAGGCGTGAACTCCCAAGTCAGCACCTTTCCTTCGAAGCGATTAGGTCGGAAGGCCTCAATATCATCACCCCAGACATCGGTGTCTCGCATCTTGGGGAAATTGTTCAGAAAGACTCCGGTTCCTTTGCGTACGAAAACAGGGGCCGACCCATCGGGACCACCACCGCGCGGAAGGGTCGTGTCTCGTAGCGCGATACGTCGTACCTGGCCTGACGGGCCTAAGAGTCGGATTGCCTCGAAGAGGGTGTAGCGGAACAGGTGCAGACCTTTCAGAAGCTCGAACGTGATGGGTTCGTCTTGGATTTTCAGGGCTTCCTGACGAAGCTCTTTCCAGTACTGCGGATTTCGTGCTAACAAGAAGAGAGCGTTGGAAACGAGGATTGCTGAGGTGTCACGAGCCGGGAAGAAGATGTTCAGGAGTTGGAAGCGAAGCTCTACCGGGTCTGGAAAGTGCTTGACCATGCCATCGAGGAGGACGTAGCGGCGCCGTGAGCCCTCCAGTGCTGGCTCTTTCTCGGCAGCCTTCTCATAATACTTCTTGATTCTTCCATCGATGAATGCATGGACCTGGGTGTATGACTTTTCCCAAGATTTGTCAAAGGCGTAGATGAAGGAGAAGGCGCCGCCCATGTTCAATCTCTTCCCGGCTCCAGCAAGTGCGGCATTGAAAGCCTGAAGGAAATCTTGTGATTTTGTTGTCGTATCACGCAGCGAATCGATAGATTCGCCAAAAATGAACTCGGTTGAGCTATCCAAGAACTGTTTCTTGTTAGCGTTAAGCAACTGCAAAAGTGCTCAACGTTCCTCCACTTACAAGCTTCTGCAACAGTGGTTGCATGTCGACTGTACTCCCATCTAGGGGTAACAGGGCGAACAATCTGTCCACGTACTTCTTAAAGTATTCAATGTCCAAAAGCTCGGCACGTTTGAAAAGAGGTGTGACAAGATCTCTCGTTTGCTTCCATTCGGGCCCATTCATGGAAAGGATCCCGCAGCCAAAGAAAGGCGCGGCAGCACGTCGAGTATCGCGTCCAAAGACCTGAAACTGCGTGGCACCTACTGCTTGAAAATTGGCCGTCTCGGTGGAGTTAATAATGGTGCTCAGGTTGGCCCGTTCCTGGTATGTTGCACCGTAGTTGGCGAACAGTTCGCGATCGAAGCCATTGCGACGACCATCAAGAACTGCCTTAAGTCTCGCACGGTAGAGATCGTAGCCAAGGAGGTGGGTATGCGGGTATTTGTTTACTGGGAGGCAGCCCAGGCTCTTTGCACGTTGCGACCTGCTTCGTGCGGTACTGAGGCTCCGTAGAATAACTAGGACAACGGCGGCGAGAAGCACGTAAAGAGATGCCATCCTCTTTGAATGAGGACTGCTGCCCCGGTGGAGATATCAGTCGGATCTCAACGACGAATAGCACGAAGGTTGGGCTCGAAGGGTCGCGCTGGATGCCAATGTGGGGGGCCTTCTTGTGACCCAAGCCGATGACCGTTGAATCCGGGCACCGACAAGCGAGACCGACAGTGTAGGTAAAGTCAAATTGGATCAGCCCGAGCTGGACGTAGGCACGCCAGCGTATCTTTCCCGAATTACACGGATTCGTGATTGATTGATGAAGATCCCCGATATACACTCCCCAAGACAATGCGAAGGAGCGAATCCTGATTCCGGATCGGACTTCAAGATCGCCGCCTTATCCATCCATCGCGCAAGGTGGCGCTACCATCCCCACGCCGTTGCGTCAGCCTCCAGCTGTGAGTTGACATCTTTAGCCACCCGGCGATCCTGACACTTTACTCGAGCAGGCAGGTCGCCCGCACAGACCCCTGCGCTCGCGAGCCAGACCAACACGGCACAGTGGTGGCCTCCTCTATCATCATCGCCACTACCAGACAGACCCTGACTTATATGTGCCATTCGCCATGTGCGATGTCCCGCGGAATCAGCTTGGAGCATCGACATCTCGCTAAGTAGCCACCAAGACTTCTTCTCACCAAGCAACCATCAAGCAAACCGCCATTCCTCCGAGCGTATCGTAACTATGCAAGCCTCGATCATTCTCACTTTGCTTGCCTCCCTTCGCTTGGCCACTGCATTACCCGGTAAGTCACCCTGGAGAAAGACACATATGTACGAAAGCAGACTCATCGGCAGTGCAGTGAACAGCCACGATGTCATCACTCGAGGTGCAAGAGCGCCAGCATTGCAAGCCGCACCGCTAGTGGTCCGTGTGGACGATGATGCTAAGGACAGCGACGACAACTCGATTGAAGATACCATATTGATGAGTTTGACCAGTAGAGGCGAGGACGACGATGCAGAGCACGGCGATGACTCAGCTACAACTATGTCATTGATGAATTTGACCAGCCGAGAGGAGAACGATGATGCAGAGGACGATTCAGCTGCGCATACGGAAGTTATAAACTTGACTCATTGAGCACGAGGTGCACTTATGATGCGTTTGAAAGGCGTACATACAGTTTGCAATATACATTGGTTCATTCATCCACTACTGAGCTGCTTCTCCCATGGTTTGCTCCCATCTGGACAAAATTTATACCTCTCAATCTCCGGCAAGTCAGTGTCATTTTCCCGATGCAGTGGATCGTAACAAGCGCTGTGCTCTTTAGCCCACGTTTGCAACTTGGTCCAGTCGCGGCACTGGCGAGTGTCTCCTAGACCGCCCAAGGGATGGTCTACGTGACGGTTCCTGTGAAGGAGTCCCTGGTACAGCGGCGTATCGTCAGCATTGCACATGATGCTCTGCAGGATGTATTCCAAGCAATGCGCCGAGTGCTTTCGCGGCCATTTCGGCGACTCGCCGTCGTAGGCTTGATTCACAGTCGTCCGGAGCAGATGCTATGCAAAGTCCATTAGCTGCTGTGTCCACACGTGTCATGAGGATTCAGTATTCTGTACCAGGCAATGTAGCTCGTGCGCACTGTTCAACGTATAAACGCCCTTCTTCGAATCCCACGGCCAACGCATGGAGTGCAAGACGCCCCGGGACTCAGTAAACGAGTCGTCGAGAGCAACCACCAGAGTGGTTTGGTCTACAAGTTCGGAATTCCAAGCTGCATCTTCTTCCGTTCGGTTCGGATTGTTGAATCGGCTATGGTATTCTATTGTCTTGGGAACGTCATAGCTTAGACCGGCTGGCGGGAAATTAGCAGTCAGGTCATTTCCTTTGCGTGAACCAATGCTTACCAAACTTCGTTTCGAACCTGTCTGGTCGCGAGACATGGTGCAGCCTGATGTATGAGTGGACGTTCAGAGCCAGTGATGTGAGTAGTGACAGGGAAAGCAGGAGTACAGCTCCTGTTTGCCACGAGGTCTGTCGAATCGTGTGTTGGAAAGGTCCCTTCTCAGCAGCGTCTTCGTCCTGCGAGAGGGAGACGTAGTGTTTTCCGAACATCGCGGACTGAGATGGACTAGCAGCAGGTAATTTGCAAGGCCGACGTTTGAGATACACCAGAAATGTTAACGAAGGCCTTCTTCGTATTTCCCTCGCTTGGCATCAAGCGACAGACATGGAATGCCAGGATACGTGGTGCAGGACGAAGGCTTTCGGGGTCCGGTCGCCATGATGTCGACTGAGGCACGCCATTTGAACCTTCCGTAGCAACACCTGCTGAAAAGGGCAAAGTCGAATGGTGATGTCGCGGTAAGAAACATTACCGCTAGCTTATGAGCTCGCTGTCGATTTCATCAACTCGGGGCCAACAGCATGCGCCTTGCCGTTCAGCTTTCAGCCGTTCTGCTGATCCCCCACGGCAGATCATGGCGTCGGGGCCGCGAAGGATTCGAGGCACGTATAGCATGCTCAACGACGGGGGCCCTTTGATTGCTTGCATGCAGGCGTGGAACCCACGCACCGGTCGTCCCTTCTTGAAGATATCGGAGGGGTTCCTGCCTCACGTCTACCTCTTCTCAGTCGATTCATGCTGTCCTGACAAGCTGCTTCTCGGCCCCATCACCATTCACTCGCCGTTCGCCATGTCAGACACTTCAGCAAGCGGCATTTCCGCCCTCACTGGCACTTTCTTGGGCCTGAGCGTCGTTACAGTGGGCTTGCGCTTTTTTGCGCGGTATAGAACAAAAATGCCCGTCTTGGCCGACGATTGGCTCATGTTGGCCGCTCTTGTGAGTGCGCTTAGTCCCCAACGCATCTTCAGCCATCTACAAGAGGCTAACGCGTAGGCGTCTTTCAGGCGACTTTCATAGGAGCTTCAGCATGCATTTTCCTACGTATGCGCACCCTCTTCATGCCGATTCGAAGGAAGACTTCAAGCTGACCGCTGTGCTAGTCCTACACATCAAAGCTATAGGGTACTCATCCTTCGAATTCACAAAGGCGCAAGTAATTGCAAGATATGACAGGATGGAAAAGGTCCGTCACACATGCTCAGCCTCGACCAAAGTTCTTGGACTAATAACAATTCTCAGCTGAACACGTCGCTGGTCTGCCTCACGACCGGCGTCTTCGCTGCCACCAAAGCCAGTGCTCTGTTCTTCTACAAGCGTATCTTTGGCGTATCTGGACCTGGCAAACGCCTGCGCATCTTCAAAGGACTCGTCAACGCACTCATCGTCATCATTGCCCTCTGGTTCCTCGCATTTACTTTCTTGACCATCTTCCAATGCAAAGGCCACTTCGACGGGTTCTACGACCCCAAGAAATATGCCAAGTACTGCACCATTACGTGGGACTTCCTTTTCGGCTTCTCCATCTCAGATGTCATACTTGACATCTTCGTTATCGCTCTGCCTGTTCCCAACGTAAGGCCACCAGTCCGGGGCACAATATGTGGCAGGCTGGGCTAACAACCTAACCAGATCCTGCATCTCCACATCTCCCTGGCGAAAAGGCTATCGGTCTTGTCCGTTTTCATGGTGGCCTGCGCGTATGAAGCCCTTAACTCAGTGTCCAGAGATCACACTAAAAGCAGTGCGCAGGGGTCTCGGTGCTTCGATAGCACGACTGGTCGTATATGCTCAAGTGTACACAAGTAAGTCCTCGCGGCACAAAGCCATGATTTGTTCAACGTCAATGCCAATACCTCACAGTGGGCGTTGAAGCCTATGATAACGGTGATTCCGAGCGTGAGTCCCCCATCCCAGCTCGAACGCGGAACATGCTAACGCAGAGCTTCAGGCGTTCTCACCAGATATCAATTCTATTACATGCTGGAATGCGGGTGCTCGATCGTCGCCTTGAACATGCCTTCGATCTGGCCCCTGATTAGCGGCGGCAAGGCGCTGGATGCCGTCGTGAAGATTGCTCGCAGTCTCACGTCGCTAACCTCGTCTCGTTCCGATTCGCATGCAAGCAACCAAGACCTTGCCAATAGAGAAGGATCGTATGATCCAGAGGCGACGAAAATGAAGCGAGAACACGGCTTCGAGGATTCGTACGGAATCGAGGGTCTACCCGCGATGAGTGAGCCAGGAGCACAGAAAAGCGAGATTGTAAGACACGATTCGGTTGAGGTCCATTCGATGGCCAAAATTTCGGGAGAGGTTTCTCCTGTGGAGGGGAGAGGCTCTGTAGTCAGATGCGAAGGAGGTTTGTGAGCTTCGTAACTAATGCCCTGTGGTAACGACGCGTACATTTTCTAGAGAAGTTCCTATAATGCGATCTGCTTCTTGTGCGATATATGGCGCATGCAACTTTGTGATGAGCAGATAGCATCAATTCTCGTAACGCTGTAATCAATGCAGCGAGTTATGGGTAGAAACAAGTTAGTATGCGAGGATAAATGTTACCCAGTCGAATGGGGAATTAAAAGAGAAGGCGCACTAAACTAAGCTTTGGACTAGCGCGAATCTCATGAGTGAAGCAAAGAGAGTAACGTGACGACGGCGAAATGGAGGATTCTAGCAAGAAGAGTGCCTGTCGAATCTAACGTCTCGTTATTTCTAGCGGCTTATAGCTATTGAAGAGGGGAGCCTTATGTGCTAAATAAGCGGTTACTTAGAACGTAGAAGATTAAGGCTAACTATACTAGTGTAGAATACGTTAACGTACCGCACGCTAAAACCCTTATAGTAACTAGTATAACTCTCTTCGTTAGTATTTACTTATAGACTACTATATAGTAGTCTAGGTTATCTCTTTATAGTTATATTTATCTAGCGATCCTACGCCTATTACTCCGTAATCTATATTAACTTAATTATGTTTAATACTAAATTAAATTAATTCTATAACTTATCTAGATCGAGCTATAGAATTAATTAACGATAATTAACTAGTACCTCGAATTAGTTAATATTTAGTCTATATTAATTTATAATAATTAAAATAACCGTTATTACCTATCTAGGCGACCGTAATATATAACGGTAGCTATATATATATATTAGTTTATATATTATACCTTTAACGCGCTTTAGCGGCTCTACCTCTTAATTACTTTTAATCTATTAATTATAATTATAGCTGTCTAATTAACGCCTTTAATTAGTTCGATTAGACTAGTACTTTAGATTAATCTAATTAAGTTAATTTAGATTACTACTTTTACTAATTAATTAATTATATAGCGGTTAACTTTAAAATAGCTCTTTCGGTCGACGAAAAAGTAGCGGTAGCGGATTTTCTATCCTCTCCTACTTCTTCTCTCTCGTTTATATATCGAATTACGGTTTCGATATTATAGACGACTTTATAGGTCTTATCCGGTCCTAATACGCTTAGTTAACGAGCTTAATCTACGCTTTATCGTAGTATTACTAGAAAGACTTAACGTAGTTCGCCGCTCTATTATAAAACTAGTACTCGTAGCTTAGGTACTTAGTCTAGGGGTAAGCTTATCCTACTAGTCTAGATCCCGATCGAGCTAAAAGAGTCGAGTAAAGCTATACTTTATTAGTAGTTAGGAGATACTCTCTATATATTCTAAGAAGCCCTATTAGCCTTCCTTTTACCCTTCCTTAGGACCGAAGTAGTCGACGTATACTTCCTAGCTGTCCTAACTTACCGTATCTATAAAAGTCTATTTACTCTTAACGCTCCAGTCTCTAATATAGCGCTAAAGGTTACGGAGGCATTTCCGGCTCGATAAATAGCAACTACGTCAGCACTCAGTCCTCTTTTCTATCTCAATAATAGGTTCGGCCACCTGCAGTCGCCCATGGTAGTGATGAGTGGAAAATTGTAGTGAGAGGACTTATAACTAATTCAGTGCAGATTTCTCACATTCGGCCACAGGCAATTGAGAATTAGCCATCCCGTCCGCTCTGGCATATACAAGCAATTGACCGCCTGATTAGTACTACGGTGGGTGACCACGTGGGAATACCGGGTGTTGAATGTTTTGTCTTTTTGCTCGTGGAAAGAAATTTTTGTTGGGAGCAAAGAAGCTTGTGAAAAAGGGCTGGACGGCCTTCACTATTCCGTCGTATGATTGGCTAAAACTTATTCTTGGCGCGGAACTAGTCCCAACCGAGCTAAAAGTCAAAGCCTTCCCTGAGCGACATCACTTCTCCAATTTCTTTTGCCACGTACTAGTATTCTTGAAACCTCAATTCACTGCGAAAACCTACCTCAAGTTCAAACTGCGCTCTGTGAAAGTAATTCAGTGATAACGAAGAGTTCAGACGTAATGCTCCCGTCAATTAGTACAGAGACATATTCAGACTTCTTCAAAGTGCTTTGAATCGTAATTGCAAGCACCCGTGAGAGCATCTATAACATCGAATCTTCTGGTATCCGCCAGCTATTTCTAACCATCAACCATACATCTGACAAGAGCTTTTGGCGACAGACAAGAGAGTTCCGTCTCATGGTTTCACGACCGCCAATTTGCCAAGGACAGGCACGTTGTTCGGGGTATTGTCGACAGATGGGAATCCCTCTATCTCAACGCCCTCTTGAAACAGGACTACAAAAGCACTGCCTCCAAAATGGAACATTCCCGTCTCTTGACCCTTCTCAATGTGCTGGCCTTCCTGAACGGTGATGTCGATGGTGGAGACCTCGTAGTTCCCGACAGCAACGAATGCCATCAAGCCGATGGCCGGATTATCCGCTTCGATAAAGATGATGCCGCGGGTGTTGAGGGCAGCGAGATATCCTTGAGAGTTGAGGTTGTTTAAAGAACGTGATTGGATGTCGTAGATGAAGCTTGCGTTCGTGGGAGAGGGCTCTTGCAGGGGCTCAGCGAAGTAGGTGCCTTCCTTGACGAACACCTTGACAACGGTGCCGCTAACGGGTGAATGCCAGCGGTGATAGGAGAGTGCGGAGAGGTAAGCCTGGTACAAAGTGCCATTCTCCAAAATTCCGGCGAGGTCGTCGTTGCCAAGTATGTCCTGGACGGAGTACTCCTGCTTCTTGATCCAATACTTGCTACGAAGTGGGACTCTGGTGGCCATGTTGTAAGGCTGGGCTTCGCATGGGTTTGCAATCACGTCGTCATCGTCCGGCGATGCTAGAGGTCGGACACCGGGTTTCAATTGGCGTGTGAAGAAGGCGTCCCAGGACCTGAAGCCATAGTACGTTGCATTCGGGTCTGGGGCTTGGAAAAAGTCCTCAAACTTGTAATGAGTATTTAAGGGTGCATTTAAAGTCGCCTCGAGGGCCTTCAAACCACTTGGGCTGAACCATCCTTGTTCAGAGTTCAAGACTCGGGCACTCTGAGAGCTTGTCAGAAAGCTGCTCCACCCGTTGAGGATGTTCTGCATCACGCGATTGACTTCGGGCTCGAGAAAGGCGGCGTAACCGGCTGGAGTCTGCATCGGATAGTCCAGAATGGTGACTATGGGCGCAGCGAGCAGGCCGAGGTCATTGGCCGCAGTTGACCATTGCAGACCTTCATTGATGATGCGGTTGAGCGCGCACAGCAAGTCGTGGTAATTGCGAATCTCAGTTCGGTTCAATGGGTTCGTTTTGAAAGCTGGCTGGTGTGGGACCTGATCATCAAGCATCTGCGTAAAAAGTATGTTGATGCTGGGATTGTCCTCGATCAAGCTCTTGAGTTCTAGTATGGCTGGCGAAAGCTGCTCGGTTCGATTGGAGCTAGCATTTAAATGCTGAATCTGCTGTCTTGACCATAGTCTGTGGGAGCGAGACTCGATCGATGCCTAACAGAATCTCTTAAGTATTGATGCCTTGGATATGTTCTCTGCGAATGACTTACCCAGGCCTCGGCCGTCACAATGAGCAGGGCTGCCACCGCAACAGTCCTCCAGAGCGCAATGAGAGTCATCACTGCAATTTTTGTGGGAGTAAGTGAAGCAGATAGAAAGATGGCATTGCCAATCGTTGGACGGTCGAAACATCCACGAATAAATATGAAGACATCGGAAAGCCGACTCACCAATATCGCCGGTTGGCCTCAGCTCCTGAAAGATCCTACATGATGTGCTCGAGAATGGCTTGTTGTCACTATCATCGCAAAATGGTATAGGGGCACGCCCTGGGGTGGCCAGTAGTCGAAGCGGAATGATAGCACGGAATAGCCGGAATAGAACGGAGTGCCGCTGAAAGGCTGAACTTCACGACTTTCTCCTCTAACCTGTAAACCTGCGCCATACACGAGAGACCTCAACGCACGGAAAGCAAGACAATGTTTTTAATGACTCACTTTACATCATGTTCGGGTCCGTCACCTCCGACAGCAGACACGAGGGTGAAAGTCGTGTAGTCGTTGGCCCGTTGATCAAATCCGTCAATTGATAACAAGGTTGGCAGTGATCTGGATCCGACTATGAATGCGCCTGCGTTTCGCGTAAGCTTCGATGGCTCCATACTCTTGTCCTGCTACGAAATGCAGCGTCCCTGTGTGTTCGTGCAAAATCGGCCACGAGACCGGGAGCACCGTCCGCCGGATCCATGACCTCGCTCTCAAACAGTGCTTGATCCTCACGTGACAGTATGGTTAGCATTGGTGCCATGCATCTCTGGAATTGGCTGCTCAATGAATTGGCGAAGGTGCTCAGATGACTTCGATCCGTTCCCTGGACCAGGGCCCAGAAGCTTGGTAGCTATTGATGGATACCAACCATATTTGTCGACGCCTGGAGGTATGAGCAGTAGACACTATAGCAATGGATCAATACGACATGGTAGACAATGAGGCCCGCGAAGTACAGCTTCGTTCTCGGAACGTGCGACAGCGCGTTGACCTAACATGCAGCCCGGCCTTCTTACACCTTGCTAACAGGTGCAGAGTCGCTTCATGGCGGCGACTCACTCTGCTGAGCCTGATAGTACCGTCAGGATTTGGCTGATTAGCTCAACACAGCAGAAGCAATAATTTTCTACAAAAGAAAGGAACAGAGAAGGCAAGGCAGTGGAGGAGTGAGACCGCGGAGGCAAGGAGGCAAGGAGGCTAGAAGGCTTTTGGAATCGCCGTTTCATTGGCTGAAAATTTCGCCTTGGCGCGCTAGTCCAAAGCTAGCTAAGTTAGCCGCCATCAAACAACTCCAACGCAGCTCGCCTTTCTTCTCTCATTGTATCTCCTGCTTTGCAAACATCATCAACAAGGAAATCTCTCATCATCTATGCGCCCATACTGTCCCTGCGGTGACTACTGTACAGTGTAGAAGCAGTGCATAAAACGTGACGGGGCGAAAGTGCCGAGACACGGCAGTCCGATCAAGCAGCGAAAAGCACAAACAACCTTGCCATTTTTGCAGGCCTTGAGATCTTTTCTCCATCGCATCTAGTACATCATTTTGGAATAAATTCCTGCGGAGATTCGTTGACAGGCCATTGCCAGGCCTCAGAAGGATATGATGTAAGGTATGTGTATCTTGAAAGGCGGCCTATTGATCGGCTTCTCATTTCTGCCTGAATACAACTCAGGGGACACACTCTCCTCCACAGTGAATACCTTCGCGTCTCTCCATACGTTTTGAGGTATGACAAGGTAGTAGGGCCGACTCCCGGATTCTCTCCGGATTGCCAACCGCCGCCCAGACACTATTCTGACACGCCAAGGCCTCACCACGATTCTGCCATTGGGCTTGACCATTTCTGCAGCCAACGCCGGACGCGGACGAGTCTACCAAGAACGCACTTGTCTCATTCGGCTCTATCTTGCGTAACGGATGAAGATGCTAACATGCCTTGGCAATATCAAAGGGCCGATTCAAACTCCATGTGGGGGCCCCGAAAGAGCCCCGTATTTTGCGACCACTCCGTCTGGAGTATAAAGGCTATGTTCAACCATGGCTAGTCAAATTTACTGCTGGCCGACTTCAGACTTCCTTCTCAAGGCAAACAGAACTCTCGTCAGGTCGCCATCGTTGAAGCCATGGGTGGTGCAGTTCCCGCCGGAGGTCTTAACCTCAACATCAAGTGGTCAGAGCATCGTTGGGCTATCTTCTACTGCCTTGTCGCAACGATAGGTGCTTTGTGCTATGGCTACGATGTGCGTCGTAACTAGTGATCACAAACGGTAGAGCTTCCAGACTGACAAGCTTCCAGACGATCTACTACACTGGTATCCAGGGGATGAAGTTCTTCGCCCGCGATTACGGAGTCCAACAAGCGGACGGTACTTACGAACTCGGAACTACCTTTTTGTCCGTCTCGGCCAGCATCATCTACGTGGGAGAATTCCTTGGGGCCATCCTTGCAGCACCAATCAATGACCGCTTCGGACGCAAGGCTGTCTTTGCTTGCGCCTCTTCGTGCATCATCATTGGTGCCATCGTTCAAGTCTGCGCCTACGGAATCGATGGCGTCTTCTATGTTGGCAGGATCTTCGTCGGTCTGGGAGTTGGCCAATTTACCGCTACTTGCCTTATGTATGTGGCAGACGTAGCCCCCAGTGCGATCCGGGGTCCTGCTTTGATGATGTTCCAATTCATGCAGTCGATTGCTCAATTTGTCGGAGCCTGCGTCAACCAAGGCACGGAGACGATTGATGGCGCCGCTCAATACCGTCTGCCCATGGCTTTGCTGGTCATCTTGCCAACGACGATGCTGATACTCTTGATCTTCACGCCTGAGTCTCCGGTCTGGTACATGGCCAAGAACCGAAGAGAGGATGCGAAGAAGTCTCTAGTCAAGATCAACCGCAGCTCTCCATCCTATGATGTTGGACCTGATCTCAAGGCGATCGAAGACCAAATCAACCTTGACCGAGAGATGGCCGCGGAGTCAAGCTGGATCTCATTGCTCACGGATCCTGTGGAACGTCGAAAGCTGATTTACGCTTGTGGTGTCATGTTCGCGCAGCAGATCAATGGTATCCAGTTCTGGTATACCTACGGTGTGGTCTTTGCCCAGTCGATTGGTGTTGGCGAGCCATTCACTATTAACACGATCATCTATGTAAGTGTCATCTCAGAACTTAAAGGACTTGACATGTTCGCTGATAATTTCTTGTGATAGGTTGTCCAAATCATCACCGTCGGTCTCTCAGTCGTGTTCGGCAATAGAATGAACCGTCGAACGAATCTCCTCGTCTGCACCATCGGAATGCTTGTTTCGCTTGTCTGCGTCGGCGGCCTTGGTACCACCAAAGACGCTGATGGAAACTTCAGCCGTGGCGTTGGAATCGGCATTGTGATTTTTGCCTACTTCAACATCGTTTTCTACAACTTCTCGATCGGAGTAAGTTCTTGCCGTATCTTGATCATATATTATTTATGGCTGACTCCCAAGTAGACCCTCTCCTACACCATCGCCTCTGAGATGGCTGTCGGACGCAACAGGAACAAAATCACTGCTTGTGCTCTTGGAACCTTCTTCTTCACTGTCTGGTTGATGGTCTTCACCAGCCCGTACATGTACTACGACGCCAACTTAGGACCCATGGTCGGCTTCGTGTATGCTGGAACTACACTCGTAAGTTTTTGCTGTGAATGTCCGCTGCTACAATCTCTGACCCTGAACAGTTCACACTCGCATACTCTTGGTTCTGTGTCGGAGAGACCACTGGCCGAACGAACGCTGAGCTTGAGCGCTTCTTCGTTGAGAAGATTCCCGTTCGTGCATGGGAAACCCACGTCTTTGAGAATGATGCGGCTTCGTCAATTTACGGGCCGGAGAAGGAGAAGGTTTGAATGCGGTAATTTGTCGAAGCTGATCAAAGTTAGAGCTAGAACATATGTCTTTCATGAACGGCGATACTCATGCCTCCACAGCTACTGCAATGTGTCCTGATTAGATTCATCGTTTCTCGGCCGTTACTGTACTCCTTTGGGCTTGCAGTCTTGCTCCACATAATAGCACGGTTCACTAAACATCAATACCGAGGACGCAAAATCGCAATATTTCCAGGCCTTTGTTCATGTCAATGCAGTTGAGCAAGTGTCTATATGTATCGCGATCATTGAGCCACTAGAGCCAAGTAGACTCATTACCTTTACCGAATTGAAACCCCTTGGACACAATGGCAGATGCCCCAAGGACCCCCTGAAGCTGATACCTCAGCAGAGTTCCCTTTCAATCTCCACGCGGTTGACATCCTAGGCTCCAAGATGGCATACATCGGCACCAAGCCTAATGCGACAGCTACCAACGGACCAGTCGCACTCTTCATTCACGGTAACCCAACCTCGTCATACCTCTGGCGCAATATCATTCCACACGTATCGCCTCTAATGCGCTGTGTAGCCCCTGATCTCATCGGCATGGGACACTCGTCCAAACCCGCGAACTTGCAATACCGCTTTACAGATCATTATACCTTCTTGGCGACATTCATCGAGACTGTCATTCCATCTAGTCCATTACTGTTGGTCGTATACGACTGGGGCTCTGCTCTGGGCTTGCATTGGGCGCATCAACAAGCCGAGCTCTCCAACCCTGATTCTCCACCGCGAGTTCTAGGCATCGCTCTCATGGAGTTCATCCGCCTCTTTCGCGATTGGGAGGACTTCTCCAACCGAGAGGAAGTTCGAGCGACATTTCAAGCGTACCGTAACCCTGAGGTTGGACGCAAGCTCATCATCGAGCAAAAGTCTTTCGTGGAGAAGACACTCCCCCGTGGCGTGGTTCGCAAGATGACAGACGCCGAGATGGGTGTTTATCGGCGACCTTTCCTGAAGCCAGATGATCGATTACCGACATATGTCTGGCCGAATCAGATTCCGATCAATCATCGGCCGTCTGATGTTTACGATATTGCTACGAGGTACCACAATTGGCTGCTGACCACAGAGGTGCCGAAGCTGTTCTTCTGGGCGACTCCTGGCACGCTTGTGAGTGTTGAGAAGGCACAGTGGTATGCGAAGACTCTGAAGAATACTCGGACTATTCATCTTGGGAAGGGTGGACACTTTCTCACTGAGGATCATCCCAAGAAAGTCGGGAGGAACGTTCATGATTGGGTCGTTGAGGTTTTGTTGGCAAAGGCAATCTAAGGGGGGAAAGAGGCTGTGTGTTGATTCTAAGGATGCAAAGCTCAACTCAAAAATTAATGGTCAGTTGCCATTTGACATACTTGATGAGATAATGAAAAACTTCAAAAAGTACAACTTTGGATATTCCATGTTCTTCAGCCTTGCGAAGCCCGAGGCAACCTTAATTTGTTCGACATCTGGAGTACACGGCGAGATGCTGAACAGTATTCGCCTCAGAAATGTTCGTTTCGAGGACAAAAGAAATTACTCCGCATCTTTACTTGTTTGCTGCCATCATTTCGTCCGACCTTGTCGGCAGGGCGACGTGTCATGGATGCCCCTTGCATCGCAAGAAAGTTGACATATGCCAGCACATCTGCAAGGGACATATTACGAAGCGCTGGCATCACATCATCCAGACATTTCAGTGCTTCAAATGGATGTTGATGATGTTGGCAAAAGGTTGTACAGCTTACACTGAGACAGACCGCCAATTTGACAGTGGTAGCACAAGTCCACCTGATGACGCTCAGATAAGGCTTCGATAAGGCGCTGCCACACCGCATCAATTGCAGTGCAGTTTCATTTGAGTAGACATAAAGCCCAACTCTTGGGCGCTTCCACTTCTTCAGTCAGCCCTCAACTACCATCGAAACTTCGGGACGCATTCGTCGAAGAACGGGCGTTGCTGCACCATCATGCCTTCAAGATTCATTCCACCATCAGCACCGCAAGTGCAGGACTTCGACTGCAAAAACGTCGACCCTTCCACCATCGTACAAGCACTGATCACCACCGGCGGCGTCCTACTACGAAACTTCATACCCAACAAAAAGATCCTCTCAGAAATCGAGAAAGACGTACGTCCCCACATCAACGCCGACACGCCATGGAAAGGCGACTTCTTCCCACCAGAAACACGACGAGTGTACGGCCTCGCAGGGAAATCCTCAACCTTCATGCATCACATCGTGGCGAATTCGATCTATCAAAGCGTCTGCGATAAGCTTCTCAGCTCGACTCACAGGTGTTATATTGGCGATAAGATTGAGGAATCGCTTTCTCCGCCGCAACTCTGCAACACGCTTGTGCTTTCCATTGGGCCCGGGGCTCGAGATCAAGAGCTGCATCGAGATGATATGATTCATCACAATGCTTTGCCGGAGATTTCTGCTGAGGATTACGCCATCGGCCGCGATACGGGTATTGGACTGTTCGTCGCCGGTAAGCCAGTCACAAGAGCCAATGGAGCTACGAGATTCATTCCCGGAAGTCATCTCTGGGACACCATGCGGCCATCTTCTGGAGACGAGTCGGCCGTGTACGCCGAGATGGAGCCCGGCGATGCTTTCATCATGCTGAGCAGCTGCTACCATGGTGGTAGTGCCAACAACACGTCCAACGAAGAGAGGCTGCTGTATAGCTGCTTCATGACCAAAGGGTACTTGCGACAGGTGAGTTTGGAAATTCTCAAGATGTTAAGAGAAGCGGACTAATAGAATGTGCAGGAAGAAAACCAATACCTGGCTGTTCCACAGGAGGCAGTCAAGAACTTTCCCCTTGGAATGCAGAGACTTATTGGGTACAATGTCAGCAAGCCGTTTCTGGGATGGGTGGATCTCGACGATCCGAGGAAGGCATTGTATGGGAGCGAGTGGAAGGGATCGAACGGTGCGGACTTGCTTTGAGCACAGATAGCATAGACCGTCGCTGTGTCAATGGGTATATGTTAGTCATGGTTCCCCATCAGGACTCGACAGTCATATCGATCAAGGTTATCCCGAAGACAAACGCGAAATTCAACAAGGCTGAACCATTTCCTGCGTCGAGTCGTGGACATAGTGACGGAGAATGGACAGCAAGCTCAACAGTCAATAATAGTCACGGCCTAAGTCATAGGTCAGCAATTACTTTCCCAACACAACCTGCATCTCCCCATGGTAAGCAGATTCAAATTTCACTTCCGCTTACAAGCCTTCCAATTCGTCCAGCTCGATCCCCCGAGTCACCCACAGCCTTACGTATCAGCCATATCCACTGGCAAAATAGTGTCCTTTTGCATCCTGAGTGCGCTGGCGGCGGGAAACACCCGTTAGTCTACCTATGTCTTCGTCGAGTGCTCTTTGAGGTCAAGGTTTTGGGGTTGCGTAAGCCTTGGAAGGGTTCTGCTGCTTTTGTGAGTATGAGACGGAGGGCTGATCCGGGCAGTAGAATCTTGTGTTGCGGAGGACGGCCGTTAGTCAATCGAGGTGTCTCTGGAATGTCTGTCCTTGCTAAAATTCTGGCATTGGTCATGATATGGGCTTCGCGGCAAACTTGACCCTATCTAACACACAAGGCTGAGCTCGACTCCGGCATCGGAGTGCAAAACCATCCTACCCATTCAAATGCCCCCGCAACCCCTCCGGATACCTCTCCCCCTGCACCTCAAACCCCTCCAGCAACCCCCAAATCTCCTCCAACTCCTCCGCGCTCAACTCAGCCGGCCTCGCATTCTCCCTCACCCTCGCCACAGTCGTCGACCCGGGAATCGGCACAACGCCCTGCCTGACAACCCACCCGATAGCCACCTGCGTCGCCGTCACGCCCTTCCTCCCCGCAATCCCCTCCAACTTCTCCGCGAGCTGCACATTCTTCTCGAAAGCCCCTGGCTGGAAACGCGGCATGTGGTGGCGGTAGTCGTCTTTCGGGAGGTCGGAGGGTTTCTTGAGTTGGCCCGTCAGCCAGCCGCGGTCGAGGGGGCTGTAGCCCACGACGGGGATGTTCAGCTCGTGGCACGTTTGGATCGTGCCGTTTTCGAGCGCGTGCCGGGAGAAGAGGCTCAGTTCGATCTCGACGGCGGAGACGGGGTGGACGGCGTGGGCTTTGCGGATGGTGCGGGCGGAGACTTCGCTGAGGCCGTAGGCGCCGATTTTGCCTTCTTGAATCAGGGAGGCGAGGGTTTGGATGGAGGTTTCGAGGGGGGTTTTGGGGTCTACGCGGGCGCACTCGAAGAGGTCGATTGTTTTGAGGTTGTTAAGGATGTGCAGGGATTCTTCGACGGAGGCGCGGATGCCTTCGGGGCTGCAGTTGGGGGTGTGTGTGCTGCCGTCGTAGGCGCCTTTGAGGCTGAGGACTATTCTGTCGGCATCTTGAGGGTACTTTTCGAAGTATGCTCGAAGGAGGTGGAGGGAGTTTCGGTCGGGCGGTCCGTAGAAAGTGCCCTGCAGGAAGATTTAGCTTTTGTTCAGACAGTGAATTCAGGTCTTCTTACCGCATTCCAAAAGTTGCTACCGCTCTCCAGAGCAGCCTTCATGACCTCGATGGCCTCTTCAAATGGTGTTCCATGCCATGTCGTGAAGCCCATGAGGCCGTACCCGACTGGCCCAATAGCCTTGCCGGCGATCTGCGAAGGGGCTGTCGGTGACATCTGGAATGCTGTTCTTCTTCTTGGTAATCTTAACACTATTGTTGTCCTTGTCTCGAGCAAAGCAGAGACATTACATCAACCTTTATCGATTTCCCCATTTCCGTCACTCGGCCGTGATAGAACAGCAAGTCTGGTAAACGCGGACTTAAGAATCTTTGAAGACAAATAACTCCATATCATACTCTTGATGGAAGCAAAATATTCCGGGCTTTTGGTAGCACATGCTGCTCGGATGCGCAGACTAGAGACCACATACCAAATTGAGAGCTAGCGCATTGGCAGGAAGCCAGCGGCCGGCAAGGCAGGCTGAGGCCGGAGATAATGAGAGAAGTGAGAATACATACCGATAGCGAATGATTCACGAGTTGTTCACTAAAGGGAAAATTTGCGATTCTCAACGCAATCTTTCGTATGCATGGTGTAAATATGATGCGAAGGCGAGCTTTCATATTTGCATCATCGTATGGGCAGAAATCTGCACGTTGGGCGATGTTGTTCGGTAAGTCGGGTTTCCGAAGATGATGTCCCAGTATCAAAGGATGGAGAACCTGTGAATGGTATCCGGACAATTCTTTGGAGGCAGCGGTCGGACTGTGTCTGCATTCATGCTCATCTTCGTCTACAAGCTCGCCAGCCAACTGGTCAAAATCCGGTTTGTTTCTTCAGGCACCTCCTGCAAGACCCAGTGCCCAGAATCAACAGGCACGATCGTCAAGTTGTCGTAATACTGCCTCGATTCATTCCAAGTTCGTTGTGGACTGAAAGGATCCTGCGTCCCGGGAATAAACAAGGACGGCATGTGATATATACGCTTCCCGGCTAGATCCTGGGCAGTCTTGAGCTCGTCTTGCCAATCTAGATGGTGTGTGCGATACCAGTTGCTTAGTCCGCGAAGCACCTTCTTGGCGATGTTCTGGACGTAGAAAGCTAGGTCGGATCCGTTGACAAGAGTATTTGGTCGAAGGTGTGGCAGAAGCGGGAGATCGTAGCCTGTGAATGTGGAAAGAGGACTCGAACCGTTCGCCGTCGTGCCTCCGAATGCTGCGTTGAGGAGCCAGGATATTTCGATCTCATTTTCGAAGTACCTCTCGTAGCCGAACTCTCCGAATTGTCGTTGGTATCCCAATGTGCTATAGTTGGGGTTCAGCACCAGTTCAGGGATACCCACGAATGGCGCGGCAGAAAGACCGAATATTGGAGGCCAGTAGGGTACGCTAACGGTGAAGAACGCCTTGACCAGATCTGGGTACCAAATGGCAAGTTTGTACATGAAGTCAGCGCCCCAATCGTGTCCACCGACGATGACCTTCTCGTCGGGAACAATCTGATCCATCAAGAGTGCCATGTCTGTCGACAGCTTTCGCTTGGTAAATTCGGCCAACTCGGCCGGAGAGTCGGTATCTGCGTATCCTAGCATATCCGGAACGATGACCTGGTAGCCCAAGGAAGTGAGGAGGGGGATCTGATAGCGCCATCCATATGAGAAGTCGGGGTAGCCATGCAGAAGGAGGATGGTACCGATCGGCGTCGTCTCCGGCCTGCCGCGAAGGTAATGATAGGTGTGGCCGCCGACTTGAGCGAAATGGCTTGTTGTGCCGGGCACTGAACCAGGAACCGATAAGGCGATGGTGGGAGAGGCAACGAAAAACAGTAGAAGAACAAGTGCAGAGAGTATGTGTGAGAGCATCTTGGGCACAGAGTATGTCCGAGATCGTTGCAGCGGATTGGTCTTTGTCGATGATGCGGGCTGCGGACCACGGTCCTTATGAAGGGAAGTCAGCAACGTAACAGCATTTGGAAGCAGCACAGCTAAATGCCGCGCATGTTCGCCGGTGACGTGGAGCCATTGTGTCCACCGAGAGGGTACGTCTTTGGCAAGATCCTACAGACGTGAGTAATGGCAAGCGGTCTAGAGTCGCACCGTGGTGGTAGAGCTGGGAGCATTTGAATCCGTGGAGCTTACGGGTCTCAAGCCTCGAGGAACGAAGTTGAAGCAGCAGTGATAGTCAGGTACAGCGTACGCAATGATGCGAAAGCTCAAGTTCTCGTGCAGATGCTTTGAAATCCAACGAGGCTGAGGGTGATCTGTGGAGGGCGATACGGAATAGGCAATTGCCCACTGGCCAATCCGATGCGGTCGAAGGATGTCAGATGTCATCAGCAAGGATTCCTGGGAAATTCTGCAAAGTTTGGCGCTGAATGAAGCACTATGCGATTCGATGCTTCGGTATATGGATGGCCATGTTGTGGTCGTGAGTGCTGCATGTGACGCGAAAACTTGGAAGTGAAGATAGGCGCGTTACGTAAGCGAGCAAAGGCCACACGCTAGGAAAGCTACGCGGTTCCTCACATGCTCAACGCGACGAACTCGACCAACCTGCAGCAATGTCTCTCGAATCCTCGCCCGAACCTCGCCCACGCTCGCCCAAGCGCAAGCGATCAACGCCAGATGAATACGCCTCCGCGCGATACGGCGACGGCGGAGATGCCGCCCTTTCATACGCATACGACGAAGACCTGAACAGCGACGCCGAAAACGCCTTTCAAACCCCAGACAACGGCAGCGATGATGAGGCCAAGAGCCCGAAGAGGAGGCGACTGGAACGACCGCAGCGGTTGAATTACACTCCGCACTTGACTCTGCGTGGGCACAAGAGGGGGATTGCTGCGGTCAAGTTCTCGCCAGACGGGAAGTGGATTGCGAGTTGCTGTGAGGACCATAATACTCTCGTGATGTGGACAGGATACTGATGGGAAGCAGCGGCGGATAGCACCATCAAGATATGGAATGCGCATACGGGACAGCTATCGCAAACACTGGAAGGCCACATGGCCGGAATCTCTACAATCGCTTGGAGTCCAGATTCGAAAGTCCTGGCTAGTGGATCTGACGACAAGCTCATTCGACTGTGGGACATTTCGACGGGCAAGAGCTTTCCAACCCCACTCCAAGGGCATCACAACTACGTCTACAGCGTGGCGTTCTCGCCCAAGGGGAATATGCTGGTGTCGGGGTCCTATGACGAGGCCGTCTTCCTGTGGGACGTACGAACAGCACGGCTGATGCGCAGCTTGCCCGCGCACTCAGACCCGGTATCAGGAGTTGACTTTGTGCGAGACGGCACCCTCGTAGCGTCATGCTCTAGTGACGGCTTGATCCGAATATGGGACACCAGTACCGGCCAATGCTTGAAAACTGTGGTGCACGAAGACAACGCTGCAGTCACCAGCGTCAGGTTCTCGCCCAATGGAAGTTATGTGGTTGCAGCTACTCTGGACTCCTGCCTACGACTATGGGACTATGTCGAGGGGCGGTGCCTTAAGACGTATCAAGGGCACAAGAACGAGAAATTCAGCATCAATGCATGCTTCGGGAAATACGGTGTCAATCCTGACACGCAATCTGAACCCCCAAACGCCGACCAAGATCCCGAAATCAGCGATGACCAGACCTGGGCATTCCTGGCTTGTGGCAGCGAGGATGGGAAGGTCGTGCTTTGGGATGTGAGCTCAAAGGAGATTCTGCAAACATTCCACGGACATGAAGGCGCGGTGCTGGGAGTTGATGTTCGCTCAGCAGATCAAAGCATCGTGACTTGCGGTATTGACAAGACCATAAAAGTGTGGAATCGGGCACCTCTGCCACCGGACGCTGACGAGATCACGAATGGGAATGGGAACGGGCACCGCGAAGTTGCACCGCCAGTGAGAAGTGAGCAGGTCTCAGATGAGGAGCACGTCAAAGACTCAGATGCATGATGATGGATACCCAGCGAGCGAGATAATATCAGACACCAATACCCTCCTCGTTCCGGTCAAATTGGAACATATGCAATTGCCCTCTCTCCGACTTCTCACAAGCGACTATGCTGCTAATTGCACTGTAAGCTGGTTAGAGGGCTTAGGAACCACGGGGATAGATGTACCGTCTTGGACTTCGTGGCTCTTTACCCCGGATTGGAGGGAAAACTTGGGGATGCGGAGAGAGGCGGAGAATCCTGACCCGAAGTCTTGTCGATCTCTTGGGCACTTCACATCTCCCAGAGCTGCGCCTACAAGACCATGTACCTGCATGGTAGAATCGACCTGTCTTCTGCGTCACGGCAGTTACTGCGGGCTTCTCTCAAGCACTATATAAGTATCAGGCAAGTAGCCACAACTGAGCGTAAGTTCTCACTTCACCTCAGCTAACATGTATTTCTCCACCCTATTCCTCTCTCTGACAACCCTCGCCACCGCCATCCCACACCCTCCCCACCACTACCCTGAATCAGCCCCATCCCTCGACAGCGTCCTCATCTTCGACCCACCCTCAAACTACACCGTCCCGCGTACCCTCTACGCCCGCACCCTCCAACTCAAAGAAACCGGCACCCTCCTCGCCACCTGGGAAAACTACGGCCCCAACAACAACACCTTCCCCTACTTCCCCATCTACGAGTCCACCAACGGCGGGCAGACCTGGCGCGAGCGGACGAAAGTCTACGATCAGGTGAATGGGTGGGGACTGCGGTATCAGCCTTTTCTGTATGAATTGGAAGAACCCATTGGGGAGTTTGAGAAGGGCATGATTTTGCTCGCGGGGAGTAGTATCCCCGATGATCTGTCCGAGACGCAGTTGGAGCTGTATGCGTCTACCGACGGGGGGTATGAGTTTACGTTCGTCTCGCATGTCGCTCGGGGCGGCGTCGCTCTGCCCAAAAACGGCGAAACCCCCGTCTGGGAACCCTTCCTCCTAACCTACAACCACGAACTCATCTACTACTACTCCGACCAACGCGACCCGGCCCACGGCCAAAAACTCGTGCACCAGCGCTCCACCGACCTCCGCACCTGGGGCCCCGTCGTCGACGACGTCGCCTACCCGACCTACGACTGGCGCCCGGGCATGACGACCATCTCCCTCCTGCCGAACGGCTCCTACTTCCTGACCTACGAATTCTACGGCGCGGTCGAGGAGGCCTTCGCGGTGTATTATCGCTTGAGCGAGGATCCGACGAGGTTCGATGAGGCGGGGTATGGTGCTTTGATCAGGGCCGGGGATGGGAGTTTTCCGGTCGGGAGTCCGTATAATGTGTGGACGCCTGCTGGGGAGGGGGAGAATGGGACGATTGTGGTTAGTTGTGGGGGGGATGGGGGGGTTTGGGTTAGTGGGGATTTGGCGGAGTCGTGGACGAGGGTGGAGACGAGGGAGAAGACGAGTTATACGAGGAGTTTGCTTGTTGAGGCGGATGAGAAGACGGTTTTGATTGTCGGGGCGGGGGTGTTGAATGGGGAGGACAATAATGTCACGGCTAGCACGATTGATGTTGAGGGGTTGTGAGTTGGCGCTTTTGGGCGACTACCCTCTGTGGAATATTCATCCCCGTTACTCTCAAGCCGTCCAAGCAGCTTAGGATGCAGTTAGCAGCGCAGTCGCTTCTTCAAAATCGGAAAGATGGTGAATGCATACGCTTCCAGTTTGACTGGAACGAGGAGCGTAGAGAAGAGTTGGAGATGTGGATGCAGATATATCGGTGTGTGAATTCAATGAAACTTTGCATACTCTCAAGATGTCTTGGTGTCAACAGACAAGTCACTCAATCACATCGAACGAGAAACATCTCGCTCTCTTCTCACGATATTCAAGAGCTTCTCTGCAGCTTCGAACACCCCTGTTAGTGGAGTCTGGCTCAAAGCTACGGAGATCCATTGTCTTCGTTCGCCTTCCCCCGTCCGTCATTGTCCAGTTGTGTCCTTTCAGTCGTCTTGGGGCTCGTCTATCTTTCTCCCTAACCCCGTCTCATACGCAAGGGCTCGAGGCTGCTGCGTTGAGACTCCGCCGTGCTTCACTACGCCTGTCTGTTCCTCGAATGTATTCCCGAATCCCAACAGCTCGAGCATCGTAGTCGTCGGCAGATGGCGCAGCTTGCGATGCGAAGCAGGTGGCGAGGGCAGGTGACCAGGATAAGAGAATGAGGACCAGGGTGTACAGGGAGGCAGAATAGTTTCATGTAAGACGACATTTTGTTGGTGAAGGACAAGCCCTTTCATCTTCATTTCTATCGTAGTACCCTTGCCCTGAAGAGAAGTTGAGCTGGCTGAGCGACCGGAGGCTGGAACGGCCTCCGCTGGTGTCTGCCCAGCAGTAGCAGCACTCTCAATATCCGAAGCCTTGAATCCACCGTCATGCACACAAGCTGTTCTCGAAGCTAGCTGGGCGACCGGAGGCTGAAGCAGCCTCCGCTGGTGTCTACCCAGCAGCAGCAGCACTCTCAATATCCGTAGCCTCGAATCCACCGTGTGCTTCACTTCGCCGGCCTCTCAATCGCCGCACGGATCTCTTCCTCCAATGGAGCCGTGAATCCCACCAGCTCGAGCGGTGCAGTTGCCGGCAGATGGCGCAGCTCAAGAAAATGAAGCGCGATTATGTGATCTGGGTCAAGGTTGGGGCTGGCCAGGGAGCGCGGGCTACAAACCAGCTTCAGCGACTTGACAGGGTTCCGAGTGCCGAAGTGTCTGAGGAGAAGTGGAAGGATACGCATGGACAGCTCGAACAGCTTGGGCTCCCAGACACTGACAGTCATGGTAAGGTGCTTGATGCGAAGCAGGTGGGGATGGCAGATGACCAGGCTGGAAGACTTAGGAGGACCGGGGGTGTGTGTGACGCCGAATAGTCTCGTTCTGGACGAAACTCCGTCGACTATGTTGATGGAGAGGGCGCTCTGGTCATAGAGGATGCCGCAAGCCTCGTTGTAGACCTTGTGGGAGACTCTCAACAGAGCTGGGTACGCCTTGGATGCTTGCGGCGGAGTGTAATTGCTGATGCCCTGATCGCCGGTGAACCGAGAGATCATCGTTTGCTCATTGTTGTGGTTGAGAAGCAGCTCGTAGACACGATTGCGCAGTTCTGGAGCCATGTCGAAGAAGCGAAAGGTCACTTCGCGGTCGAGCTGCTTGAGCGTCTTGATGCAGTATTTGCGATTGGACTCCCGGCGGAGGTTGCCTCTGCGCTGGCGGACGAATTGACGGAGCTCGTCGTTGGTGCAGTCTTTGTATCGCAGTCTGAACTCGGGGAGAGTCATGGTGGGTGGTTGTGGTGGGTGGTTGCTGGGTTGTGTTGGTGGATGCAGAGTTGATGAGAACTGAAGAAGTGGCTGCGGCTGTCGCGTCAGTGACTCTGGAGTCAACGTCGGTGACGCAACGCGCGCCCAAGGATGGAAGGAGCGACGACTTTCAATGTTGTTTTCACTCACAACGTTCAGGCTCGCGATCCCCAAAGAAAGCTGGAAGTTCAGGTGCTGCAGTGTAACTCCGAGAGCACAGTCAATCACGTTAAAAGTGGGTTGTTCGGCCCAGTCTTGTAGGAACCAAAATTCCAAACCAATGCGTTCTTAACCACTACAACGATGCATCGTTCAATCGAGATGATCGTCGAACGATAAAGGACTCCTAAACCGAGCGCACCCGATTGCCGATGATGGACCTGGAATTGAGCTGACTGTGAGCATGAACGTGAAGCGCCTGCCACAGAAATGTATGGTCATCTTGTCGGGACCCAATCGATCCAATCCAAAAAGAAATATCACCCACCACCGCCAGGACCCGAACTACCGACCCCCAACACAACCCCGCCCAAAAGTACAAAAAAGAAATGGCCTATCAAGCGTGGTCGTTCGGATCTTTGTCTGCGGGGTGTTACGCGCAATACCAGGCATTATCGTTGGGTGCCCTACTTGGACCCTTATAGCTATCATTTAGGTTAAGGAGAGAGCTTCAAAACAATATATGTAGCTCCAATCGTTTTCGGCCGAGTTGTTGCCGACTTAGCGAGACTGCGGCGGCGGAGGGGGTAGGCGGTGAAGGGAGCGGGCAGAACTGGCTGCGCCGAGGTTGGATGGGAGTTCTTGCTGCGTCATTATTCCCGTCAGAGTATCCAATGCTAGATTCTTATTTGTTTTACGGCGGCCTTGGTCGCCCTGCGTGAGCCCGGGAGGATCTTGTCGGCGATCGGTTAGGGATGTCGGAATTCCAGGCCTTCGCATTCGGAGTAGTCGCGAGCAAGCTGCAATAAAGACTCGTCCTTTCAAGATGTTTTGAGCTGCAAGATACCGTGAGAATATCATAGTCTTTCTCGCAATGTCGAGCGGTCCATGATTGTTGAATCACCGTTGGGATCGAGAGTGCAATAGGGAGAATGGAACGGCTTCAACATTTGACCACAATTAACATGGAGACAAAATGCCATGCCGCTTTGAACAGATTCGTCCTTTCAATTTCATCTTCTCTGGTATGTTTTTAAGAGGATCAATCTCCAAGGTTTGGCAAGGTCTCTGCCATGATTCCGCCATAATGGCCACACAAGAAGCTTGGGAGCATGAATCCTAAGTGTTCCAGTGAGAACTTGAACAGTTTTGAGCTGGTTGAAAAAAGTGAGAGGTATTCCCAAGAACACATGTGAAAGTCGAAGTCAGGTGAGGTCAAATCTGCTGACCACGCCAAGACGCGGCAGGTTCCGTCATGGATCTTTGGACGAGCTTCTGAGATCCGAAGCAAGTCGCATCAAGCATCGACTCGTCTTCTCTCTACACAACCACCTCATCACCGCCAGCATGTTCCGCACCGCCCTCCTCCGCTCCGCTCGATGTGTTGCCCAGACTAGCACCCGCGCTGCCACCCGGCCGGCCGTTCGAACAGCCATTCGCAGCCCCTTCATCACATCCAGTATCTCTTCGCCCGCAACGACCATCTCGGCAGTACGATGCTACGCTTCGTCTTCAGGACTCGCTCAAGAGGAGGTCACTGGCAGAATTCTTGATCTGCTGAAGAACTTTGACAAGGTATGCTATACGGCAAGAATTGGGACGGAAGAGAGGCATTGGCTAATGCAGTGAAAAAGGTCCAGGATGCATCGAAGGTACATCAATGCGTAAAGAGATATTGATCCAGTGGCTTACAATAAGCAGCTCTCTGCAACCTCGCACTTCACGAACGACCTTGGCCTGGATAGCTTGGATACCGTGGAGGTCGTTATGGCGATAGAGGAGGTTGGTGGCGGCAGACTATACATATCAGAAGAGGAGATACTCATTCATGATACAGGAGTTCAGCATTGAGATCCCAGACAAGGAGGCCGACGCGATTCACAGCGGTATGATGAAGCCATGAGGCAATGCTTCATAGAACAAGATACTGACATAACGCAGTGAACCAAGCTGTGGACTACATCCTGAAGCAGCCAGACGGTATGACTTGCCACGACTGCGACACTTGGTAACAGCTAACACTCTGTAGCCCACTAAATCAGATGGTTGGACAAGGCAATGAAGTGCAGGAGGCGAAAGTGAATGTTCGATGGAGGCGCGTGACCTGGGCCAGCAGCATACGAGCCGGACTGGGGGATTTATGTACATTGCCGCTCAGCAGAGGAGCACTCGATAAACGTGTACCATCAACTCCCACTCACAGTTCTTCTATTCCTTGTGTCTGCACTCAATCAATGTCTTGCATCACGCCCGAACCCTCAATCGTGTTAGCTTCTTGGCAATCCCGCAGCGCTCGAACTTCAGCGCCTCGCCTCGGACGTCAACCTAGTGTCGCTCCCGCAACCACCACCACTTTTTGTTATTTACTCCTCCGCGTCTGCTGCAGACTTGACCCTCATACTCACTTCAATTGCAGCATCGCCGGGCCCTCTTCGGACAGCCGCGCATCGTCGTCCATCGTCGTCCACCCATCCCTGGCTCCAACACCTCAGCCCTGTAGCGCACAGGCACGTGGTTCCCTCAACTCGAAACGCAGATCCCTCCTGTCCACCACACCGATCTGCACGCTCAACACTTGAAGCGACTCGAACAACATGGCTACGGCGTCAGGCTCAGGCCTGACCCGCCGTCGAGGCGCGGGCGGCGCATCCTCCACCGCGGCTGCAGCAGAGAACGGTGACGACGGCTCGCGCGTGGCATCCCCCGTCCCCAAAAGCGCTTCTTCTGCCCCCGAAACCTCCTACGAAGCCGGCGAAAATGGCCACAAGATCGCATTCGACCCTCGCGACATCTCAGAGAACACCGAGCGCGCCAAACAGCCCAAGCTTACCCTCATGGAGGAGATCCTCCTCATGGGTCTCAAGGACAAGCAGGGATACCTGAGCTTCTGGAACGACAACATCAGTTATGCGCTGCGAGGGTGCATTGTCATTGAGCTGGCGTTTAGAGGGAGAATATCAATGCAGAAGGATAGCTCGCGGAGACGGTTCCCTCTGGCAGACCGGTTGATTGAAGTTGTGGATGATACACTTACAGGGGAGGTTCTGCTGGATGAGGCATTGAAGATGATGAAGAGCAGTGAGAAGATGAGCGTGAGCTCGTGGATTGACCTCATGTCAGGTAGGAGGCACAGAATATTAGATGGAGGATACGTAGGCGACTGACATTGCATACACAGGCGAGACCTGGAACCTGATGAAGATCGGATACCAGCTCAAGCAAGTGCGCGAACGACTAGCCAAAGGTCTCGTGGACAAGGGCATCCTTCGCACCGAAAAGCGCAACTTCCTCCTCTTCGACATGGCAACCCACCCAGTCGCGGACGGCGGCGCAAAGGACGAGATTCGACGTCGGGTCAGGAACGTGCTCACCAACAGAACCGTCGTGCTTCCGCCGTCCCAATTTTTACCAGAAGAGATGGAGTTCCGATACTTGAGGACGGTAGCCATGCTGTGCGCTGCCTACGCCGCCAACGTACTCGAAAACGCTTTGACGACTCTTGGGCACGAAGCACGCGAGCGAGCATTTGCACAGGTTGACGAGCTGCTCGCTGAGTACTCGCAATGGCCATTTGGAAGACGTGCAGGTGGACCAGCTGCCATTGGCGCCAACTTGGATCAGGTCATCCGTGATGAAGTCAATGGTGGAAAGGACAAGGAGCTGCAATTAGAGGTGGGTGATGTATTACCTCTATTGGCTTTGAGTATACTGACGCGCTTCTCCAGGTCGTGGCCGCATGTCTCAGCGTCTTCACTCGTCTCGACTCCCTGCTCTAAGCACAGTCACGACCCCTCTTCCTCATCCTTCATCGATCGCTAACAAGCGACAATATACTAATATCAATCGCTTGACTCGCAATTCGAGTGACGAAAAGCAGCAACTCGATAGCCGAGAGTACCGGACTACGACACGGAGATATTGCTTCAGGGAGAATGATCTGGTTGGTGAGCCAGCGAGTAGTTGGTGGACTCGAAGTTACGGGCAGCGATCGATTCATCTCCTCACAGACGACCTTTTTGGAGGAAGACACGCGAGGCGTGACGGCGTTCTCGGAGTGTTGTGGCAATGTGGTTCTCGGTCTTTGAGCAAGATACCTATCCAAAAGAAGCATTTGTTCCACTTGTTTTGTCAGGCACTCCAAGCTAACACAGATTGATAGCAGATATCACATGTTCTCGGCTTACAACTAACTGGCGTAGAACATCACACTTTTCATCATGGAGAACAACTTCGAATCGATCACGGCTCGTTGCAAGCCGACGGCGAAGTACGCGCGGCAATCGCTTCACTTCTAGCTCATTTATGTCCTTCACGTGACGTGACACAGGGACAGTCAACGCGGATGCTCTCGAGTGAAGAAGATTGCCAAGCACCACATGCAACGAGCTATTTATGTTTGTGCATGCCGCTCCATTCTTTCAACCTTTTGACAACATCCAAAGCAGCACAACATAGCGTCGCCTATCGTCATGCCGAAGTCCAAGGACAAGAAACCGAACTACATCAAGTGGTCCACCGAAGACCTCATCACTGCCATCAAGAATCGCACTCTTCAAGATGTGCCGATGCAGCAAAAGAAGAGCGTCTACATCGAGCGTCTGAAGGAGATCGATCGCAACCCGCCAGGGGTGTTTCGCTTCATGGATCTGCCAGCGGAAATGTGAGTATCACTACTACTTCATCTGGAACCCTGGCTGAATCATTGCACAGGAGGAACAACGTCTATGAGGAGCTTCTTCCAGACGATGTCGGTTCCAGTCGCCGGGTCGTCCACCACCCCATCCTCAGAACCTGCAAGGCCATCTACAAGGAGGCAGCGTCGATGTTCTACCTAGACAGCCACGTTCGCATCTCCATCAAAAAGGGCATGGTGAGCTTCCCCCACCGCAAGAACAAACATGCCGCCGCTCTCCGCGACATGTTCTTCGAGCACCGCTTCGGAGGATCCAAGCTCCGCAACCTTCGCCATGGGCAGAACATCACGGTCGCGATCGCCTATGATGGAGGGATGCGTGCTTCAGGCGACGACGGCATGTGGCGGCAGAGGGAGATCATCGCTTCTGGCAGATGCTTCTTAGCAGTTGTGAGGACTTTCGCAGCCTCAAGGTCATCATCGGAGACAGCAGGAGCGACAAGGACAGTCAGCAGGAGGTGATGCTGAAGATGCTGGCTCCGCTCGCAGAGGCGTGGAACAAGGGGAAGGTGGAGGTTGAAGGCTTGGGCGACCTTACGAAGATGGAGTTCGTGGATTCCTGCAAGTATCTCAACTGAGTCTAGCCATGTCTTGCACAGTGGCGAGGAGCAGACATTGGATGGCTTTGATTCCTAGCAACACGAAGGTCCCTAGTTGCTTGTACTATATTCGACACGGAGAAATCAAAAGCATTCATTGGAATCTTCTCTCAAGTGAATTGACGTTTCACCCCTGGTATTAAATGTGCCAGTTGCATGTCGCTTTTGACCTTACTGTTAACATCAACACCATTTGGCTATCCACCATAATTGTCAAAATGCAGTATCTGAGGGATTCAAAGTACGCAAGCTGGTCGAAGGAAGAGCTCATCGCCGCCATCACAACTCGCACGCACGAGGACATCGACCCTAAGCAGAAGAGACGCACTTGCATTCGACGTCTGAACAAGCTCGATCGTGAGCCGCCTGGCGTTTTCCGCCTCCTCGATCTGCCAGCAGAGCTGTAAGTAACCCCCTACGACTGATGGGGACTTCGACAGCTGACCTACTACCCAGGAGAATCCACATCTACGAAGCCATCTTCGAGGAGAAAGACGACACCGGACGTGGCACGTGTTCTGCTCTCCTGAGAACCAGCAAACCTATCTACAAAGAAGCAGTCCCAGGTCGCCACGAAGGTAGTCACGTCCACCTCACGATCCTAGCCTCTCGCGACGGCAACGCCAGAGTCCGCTACGGCGCTGAGATCAAATCTCCAGAAACAAACACCAGATTCCGCACCCGCGCCCCTGTCAAACCCCCTGAAACCGAACTCCCAACCTCCGAAGCCCTCCTCCGCCTCCGCCTCATCCACAACTTCACCGTCACCATCGATTTCAGCGGACGAATGCGCGCGAAAGAGTTCGTTGCCAACGGGGAAGGTCAGGTGTGTGAGTTTTGGACGGGGATGATGAGGACGTGCGAGGATTTGCGGAGTCTGAAGATTGTTTGGAGGGATGATAGGAAGCGTGGAGGGCCGTATCGGGAGCAGTTGTTGAGGCTTGTGGAGCCGCTTTGGGAGTTGGGGAGGGAGGTGGGGTTGGTGTGGGAGGGGCTTGGGAGGAGGATGCTTTGGTTTGTTCCGCGTGGTGTTGAGGGTTGAAGAGTTGGTTGGGGGATGGATCTGGAGCGTGCGGTGGGGAGTGCATGTGCCAGATGCTAGGATGCCTTGAAACGAGGGCGATGAAATGAGAATACCAGGTGAATCTACGAATGCACCCATTTTCGATGAGTTCTCGGTGTTTTACCGTTGATCTCCTCAGAATGGTAGGACATGGTACAATCGACACGGCACTGTCATCCCCACAAATTCTCGGGCGACTGCGATCTTGCGTGTAATTCAGGCGGCTTGGCAAGCTCTTGAACGGTGGGGATAGTTCCTTGAGTGGAATAAGGAGCAACAGGTACGACTTTCAAGTTCCACTCGGCTAAAGATGCCGCTTCCAGTGACGTCTGTGCCAAGAGTCACATGCGAGCGCATGACTCGCTTAGCTTTGCTCCGGCGTCTCCCTGCTTCAAGTCGCCACAAACACTCGATCACACACCACCCCCGTCGCGATCTTCCACGTATCGCGTCGCCATGGCCCATCGCGATATGGTGTCGCGTCAGCAGAGGCAGCTCTACGAGTCCGTCGAAAACGAGCTGATCGTCGATATATGGAAGCTGTCTGGAGAGCGCATGAGTCGAGGACAGCCGCGACATGTCTACTTGGAGCGCTTGCACCAGCTCGAACGGAGTTGTGTCTTTCCTCTCCTCAAGTTACCGCCGGAGCTGTAAGTGAAACACACCTGAATTTCCAAGGGTTGATGTGAGACTAACCACCCGCAGGCGCAACCTCATCTACCCCGACCTGCTGAAGCACAACCGCAAGGAAGGTATCATCGCTCACCCAGCAATTCTGCGCACCTGCAAGCAGCTCTACAAGGAAACCTCTCCTATGCTCAACCACGCGAGCCTCGTTCACCTCAGCATCCGCTTCACCGGGCAGGATGAAACCGGGCGCTTGGACTACTTCACCTGCGGGCGCTACGACAGCGTACGTCTCGAATACGCTGTACAGACTCACAACATTCTCACGACGATGCGACACGTCCAGCACATCACCATTGCCATTGGCCCCTTACTCCACTGGCGAGACGGGGAGAAACTGCACAACATGTTGATCTGCATGATCCATTTCTTCGCTTGCCTGCTTGGGGTCTGCGAGTCGCTAAGGACGCTCGTGCTCGAGTTTACACAGGAATGGGATAGTCGGCTGCAGAGAGACAAGTTGTGCGGGTTCATCGCGATCGTAGCTGAAGGGCTGGAGCGACGTCCTGAGTGTTGCGAGCTTAAGGTGGAAGGGTTGAACAGGGGTACGGTTGAGCGGGTCATGGAGTTTGTTGAGGAACAGAGAGAGCCGGATGACCTTGAGTGACTATACTGCTGTAAGGCACTAGTCAGGGTCAGTGTTTTGGCGGAGAAGAATTGCTCGAAAGCTCTGTAAGACGAGCAGATTTCTCTTGAATTGATCATTCTGTATCTCTGACTTGACATCCGTCTCTCACAGAAGTCGAGAGCGTCTATGGCGATGAGACCGGTATGAAGCCCTGGAAGTAGCAGAAACAGGTGAGCTAATCTACGGCAGTGCAGTACTGCCTTCGATAGCAGCGCAGCCTACTTTATCAAGGAGCGTTGGTAGCAACCATAGATCCCGCAATAAAATATTCGACTTCTAGTAGATTTAGTTGGCATGACAAGGTCTTTCCCTTCACTTGCTGCACAGGTCCCGCAATGAATGCGAAGATTGAGATTGGATAATTGGAATACGGGGCACTGAGCATTCATATACAGTATAATCGAGTCTTCTAGAATATATAGCTAATATAAAGCCCATGCCATGTATCCGCACCATGTCCCACTGCCGACGGCTCTCAAATTCGTCCTCTCATTGTCCCCTCAATGCAAAATCGTTCTTAAGCAGTGGGCTCCGCCGCATTGCAAGCTGGCGTAGTGTACGTCGGCTCAGGATATCCAGGGCAAGACGAGAAACACCCGGGTCCATAGGTGTTCCCACAGTCATCGAAGTAGTCCTTGCAAATGTAAGGGCAGCTGGCCGACTCGCCAGGTGGAGGCGTGTAACGCTTGTTGACATCAGGGGGGGCTGTGGTCGTTGCGGCAGCTTCATTGCAGACGGGAGTCGTGAAGGTCGGCTCGGGGTATCCAGGGCAAGACGAGTAGCATCCTGGACCGAAGGTGTTGCCGCAGTCGTCGAAGTAATCTTTACAAAGGAGAGGGCAGCTGGCGGACTGACCAGCTGGTGGGGATTATCTCTTCTGTGGAGGTGCGGTTGTTGTCGGTACGGCTTCGTTGCAGACTGGCGTGCTATAGGTAGGCTCTGGGTAGCCTGGGCAAGAAGAAAAGCAACCTGGGCCGTAGGTGTTACCGCAGTCATCGAAGTAATCTTTGCAGATGTATTGGCACTGTGCGTTTGGACCTCCTGGTGGGGTGTAACGCCTTTGGAGGGTGGCGGGTGTGGTGACTGGATCTTTGGCTGCTGCGAGAGCAGCAAGAGCTGCTGAGAGGGCGAGGATGTTGGTATACATGTTGATGGCTTGAGTTGAGGCTGATGGTGCAAGGTTCTGTTGCGATGCTTGTAAGAAGGCTTGGTGACGTTGCTTGGCTGCTTGATGTCAATAAAACAAGGGAGTTCTGGGCTTTTGTATTGCTTCTTGCACCTTGGCACTTTCTATCGTCACTGGACCCTCACGTGAAGAGATACTATCTTTGGCATGTTTTACGGACACTGCGAGAAGCGGTCCTTGGCAGCCAAGCGTATACGGACTCTTTGAGACGGGAGGTGGTATTAAAAGCGTCATGCTGTAGGACAGAATGCTACCAGGAAGAATCTAAGAATCCTCCTAGCAGCCACTGATGAGCATCGGAAAATTAGGACACTGACCATAGGTCTTAGCTGACATGGCGTTTCTTTAAATGGAATACTGATTGACGTCGTGCAACTTTGTTTCGTAGGGCTGGTGGTCGGGGATGCGAATTCCGCAAAACTAAGCTGAGGCTGAGCCGGTGGCATGGAACCTGCGAACAACGTCAGACCAGTTGTATGTGAGACAGAAAGAAAGTCTCGAATCATAGGCTGACTGCGAATGCTCTACATGCCTCGGGTGGGTATGTTCGGCGAGCCGAAAGTCGGGAAGCCATGCGAGGGTTGGGTTGAACATACCTGTCTCGCCACCGAGCTCATTCGGACTGCCTCCCCTGTCGCCTGAGACACCATTGGGAGAGCAGCCATCCGTCGCAAAAGAGCACGAGCGGAACAGCGCTGAAGCCGCAGAGTATACCTAGAGCCAAAGTTACGCCGCCCCAGCCAGCGGCGTCATTGATGTAGCCGGCCATGATCGGACCGACAGTGTTTCCCAGAGACCAAGCCATATTGAAGTGCGCGTAGGCCTGCGCATGGTAGCCGTGCCGAACATCATGTCCCGCCCGAGCATCCATTTCTTGCAATTCTTTCGACCTCCTGCCAACTTCACTGAACAGCGGCTCGAGAATGACAGTTACACAAGTGCCGATCAGCAGTAGCAAAACAACCAAGAGCGCGATATCTGCCGCAGACTTTTCGCGCACGAATCGCAGCGCGATGAGACAGGGGCATGCAACGAGAAAAGAGGCGAAGACAACCCATCTGCCCCCACGTCGATCTGTCCGTCTGCCGATGAGCATTCCAAACAGAGAAGGGAGTGAGAATGGCAGGAAGATGAGGCCAGCTCCAGTTGCGTCCCAGCCCAGGATTCGTTCGACAGTGATTGGTAGCACAGTATCAAAAACTGTGAAGACAACCGCGAGGACGAAAACGCCCCAAAGGCTGACGCAGAAGCGTGCCGAGCCCAGCAGACGGAATATTACGGGTATCCTGGTACGTTTGGACACTGAGTGTCGAACCAGAGAAGAAGTCTCCAAGGCAGATGAGGTAGAGAAAGTCGGGGGAGAGGCCAGCTCGATTGTAGCCTCCTTGTTCGACTCAGATCCAGAGTCAGGGCTGGGATTGGGCATCGTAACCGCGAAGGGCTTTCTTTGTCTCTCTTTCATGATCAAACGGAGCACGACGTCGACCCCAATAACGGCCATGCAGAGGCCGAAAACGCCGTGCACGCCGCCGTACTCGTGGTCCACTCCGCCCAGAACCGGGCCAGCGACGTTTCCCAGATTCAAAGCCAGGCCAATGTAGCCAGCATACTCTAACAACTGTCAGCATACATCAAGGTATCGAAAAACATAAACTACCTCCTAGCTCTTCTTGACCGACTGTATCTACCAGCACTGCAAGCGCCGTCGTCCAGACGATCGCAGATGCAAATCCCTGCAGTCCGCGTCCAGAGATCTCAAGACCAAGGATGGCCCTCTGTAGGACAAAAGGCGCGAACCATAGCACAGCCGTTGCTACGAGGAGCACGATAAGACCGAAAAGAAAGGGCACCCGGCGTTGGGGATATCGATCGGACAGCCAACCCCAGGGTGCTTTTGTGTGTTAGCAAGAAGGTACATGACACAGCTCAGTATATTGACTGACCAGAAGTAATAAAGCACAACATGCCAAACACACCGAGCATCAACGTGATGAGCTTCTGCACTTCGCCGTCTTCAAATCCTTGTCTTTGCAGAGCAAAGGGGGCCATCGGTACGATAGCACCGTATAAGAAGGAGTCGGTAAAGACAGCGTACGCGACCGTAAAGGTTATGAATGCCTTCGACGAGCGAAAACTTTCAGGTTTGTGTGGGGTGGGTTCCATGTTTGCGAGTTGGCTTCAACTTTTGAGTCTACTGGCAGGCCTGGAGAAATTACTCAACAGAGGTTTCGAGATGCGTATAGGGCGTATTGTTTTGCTGGTGAAGCTATCATCCATCGAATGGGACCTCATGAATGGGTTGTTTGTGAAGTGAAGATGGTCGTGTTCCCTAGATAACGCAAACAGAATCGACTACTGATGGTAGGGGGAAAGGGTGAAGGAGCGAGCGCGCATTACGGAGAGTCAACATAGCAGCAGCTCACCATGGACCTCTCCGTCATCATCGTTCCAGCAACAGAGGCCTAGATAGACTGTTCAACGGCGCCGCTCCGTCATTCTGGGTGTGTTGCTGCTGTTCGACAGCGAATCATAAAACCTCATTTGGAGAACGGGCAGAGGAGCTCGCGAAAGGACGCCCTACTCCGAATGGTTCCTCGATAAAACATATTCCTTCGCCAGCAGCCTGAGGTCCATTCCAATGACCAAAGGCTGGTCTCGGGAGGCTCTCTCCGCACGCACAAAGCAATCCATTGCGAAGTTACCCATTTCTTTACCACCCAGCGTTCCAGAAGAGCACAAAACGCAGCCAGCTTTTGGTGTCCAGTGAGCCAGCCAAGGCAAGGCTATGCAAACTTGAAAGGTGCCGAGGAGTTGTATTGAACAAGTCAAAAAGGAGAAGTTACTTCTCAACGGTCTTCCATGGCCGAAGCAGTCCGTGCACGCGGGAATCCGGGCGCTCCCGACGTCACTTCTTCTCCTCAATCGCCTCTCTGCAAAATGTCCGCTCCGGTATCATCTTTTATCAATTTCAGAATCAAAAGCAATCACCCTTACATAATAAGGGGAGAGCGCTCGAAGTTATCAGCAGAGAAGGCCGAAGGCGACTGGTTATGCGAGCCACCGATGTGAAGGAGCCAGGCCACAAGTGGCCTTCATACTTATGAGACCATTGGCAGCCTGTTCTCAGTCCGGCCTCTCTGCACAAGCTCATCAACTCGACCGCCCAGTGTTTAATTGTCCACGTTGGTTCGAGGATGAAGACGTGTCAACGAGACTGCGACGATGAGAGGCCGGCTAGTTCGGCAGCCGGCAAATGGTCGGATCGAAGTTCGCACCTTTACGTGTTCCATTGGGTGATAGCAACATCTGATGGGACAAGGAATGCGAAGTTTCAGCCCCTGACAAGTTTTGGCCACTGAAGCGAAACAATGTTGGAAGTTGGAAGTCGGAAGTCGGTGGCGCTTTGTGTGCCGATCCACGTACCGCCTGCGTGGCTCAATCTTGCCTGCGCGAGCCATCTCCGAGTATAGATGACGTACGTTTCGGTCCGTACTGTACTGCCGATGCACGGAGCCGCTGAGAATTGCATGAGACGGCATCCATCCCCTGCGCTGTCGTCAGTCGATCGGATAGAATCCTTCGGATCTGAAACGACATGAACCAAATATGTGCCTGCGCTATATTGCTCAGTGGGCCAGGCACCCACCGAACTACTGCACAAGGCTTCTGCAAAGCTTGTGCTCCCTCACGAAGAACCACACTTGCTTAATCTATCTCTGCATATTCGGCATTCAAGTTGGCGCGAGGACGCCGATCGTGCCACGATTGCATCTGCCAGACTTTCACTGGCCAATGAGCAGCTTCGTTCAAACCCCTTGCATGTGGCGGTGACGATTCTGGCGACCATTATGAATGCACAAATTCCTGTCAGAGGCACGAACACAATGCTCACAGCCCATGGAAGACCTAGAATGCTACAAGTGGATTGTCGAGCGCCCCATACAGCGGCCCGTTGCCGCCATGATTCCACGTCGCCGCCATTTATGATATTGCAACGACTGCGATCGCGGACCAGAAGCGGTAGCGTTGGCCAGAACTTGTTTGTCACGAAAGCTGTTATATAGTTTCCACCTTTCGCAGTACTTCGCCGCTGTCAATCATTTGTACTACTGAAATAAACCAAGCATATCAAGATGACCTTACCAGACTACATGGATTCGGAACCCCGAAAAGTCCGATCACTCCCACAAGTGGTCGACGACTTGTCACAGCAACATCCAGATGATGTTTGGATGACCATACCGCTGGACTCGGACCTCTCAGGAAGATGGCGCAACATCACGTACAAAGACCTTTCTCGTGCTGTGAGTGGCATGCTTTCTTGGATGAAAGAAGCCTCAGGCGATTACAAAAGATCGTCAGGAGTAGTAGCGTATATTGGGTACGTTGAACAGACAGAACGCCTTGATTGAGCCCACGGCTGATCACAATCAGTGTTAACGATATGCGATATGGCGCTGTTGAAACCGCACTCGTCAAGGCCGGAAGTAAAGTAGGTCATTCGGAGGTTCATAGCGTCGTCATGGCTGACCAGACGCCAGGTTTTACTTCCATCACCGCGAAACTCTCAGTCTGGCCAGGTCTCGCTTTTCCAATCATCGAAATGCGGACTTCTGTTGCACAGCGAAGGCGTTGATACACACATTGAAAGCATCAAATCGGCACTACCTGAAGTACAAACACTCCAAATTCCCAGCTTCGACGAACTTTGCGAACGGGGTTCGACACTGAAGAGTCTCGAGCTACCAAGCAGCAACAATAACGACGACGACCAAGTGATCATACTTCACACCTCCGGATCAACAGGCAACCCCAAACCGATATACAACACCAACGCCAGCATCAACACTGTGGCGGCTCTGAAAGATTTACCAGCTCCGAAGGGGCGGCAAAATAGTGCCCATTACTTCCTACACTCAGATCGAGCAATGCTCGCAGTGGCTCCTTTCTTCCACATGATGGGCCAGGCAATCTTGTGGAAATCGCTGCTCTGCAGAGCCCCCGTCGTCATCTTACCGCCCGAAAAGCCGACAACTGCCGAACTCGTCATCAAAGCAATTGAACAGACACGGCCGTGGTCAGCGATATTCCCACCATCGGTCCTGGAACAGGTTGCAGAAACACCAGGCGGGATGGACGCTATAAGGATTTTGGAGTATGTGTTTTTTGGAGGCGGGCCGCTGGCGACTGGAACTGGCGACAAGCTTGTCGAGAACACTACACTGCTTAGCTTAATTGGAAGCACCGAGGCAGGCCTCTTCCCCATCCGCGTGCCAGAGGATAAACACGACTGGCAGTATTTCGAGTGGGCACCTGGCGCAGGTATTACTATGGAGCCAGATGCAGATGGGCTGTATGAAATGGTGGTCATGCCTGCGGATAAGAGGTATCAAGCCATATTTCACACCTTCCCGGACATCAAAGAATGGCGCACCAAGGACCTGTTCGAGCACCATCCCCGGAAGAAGCTCCTCTGGCTATACAAAGGCCGCAAAGACGATGTTCTGGTCTTGAGCAATGGGGAGAAGTTCAACCCAGTGGGCTTTGAGAAGATGCTAGAATCTCACCCGTTTGTGAAGGGTGCTTTAGTAGTTGGTCAAACTCGTTTTCAGACTGGACTGCTGATCGAGCCCGAGTGGTCGCTACTTCCGAAGGATCAGGACCCTACCGAGCTTTTGGATGTTGTCTGGCATCTCATTGAGAAGGCGAACGCTGCAAGTCCCGCTCATGGAAGAGTTTGGAGATCCAAGATTGCCATTTCGAAGCAAGACAAGCCATTCAAGCGGACCCCGAAAGGTTCCATCGTTCGGCGACAGACGGTGGAGCTGTACAAAGCAGAGATCGATGCTCTCTACTCGAACGAATCTAGCGACGATGAATTGGGCAAGCTACCAGCAGATGCCGACAAAGCGACCATCAAAAAGTTTTTGAGACACGCCTTCAAGTCGAAAGGGCTTGACATTCCTGAGTCGTCGATGGACGACGATGATATATTTAGCTTCGGCGTCGATTCGTTGCAGGTTCTCGCACTTTCTTCCACCCTCAGCCATGCCATCGGAAAAGAGAAGGGCTTTATGATATCTCCCCGGGACGTCTATGCCCATCCAACAGTCAATGGGCTTGCGGATCTCTTGAGTGGCGACGGAGCCAAAGACAATGAGATCCAGCTTTCTCGCGAAGACGCCATGGCCAAGATGGTTGAAAATTATACTCACGGTCTCTCCAAACGTCGCACTACCACGACCAAACGACCCGAGAAGCACACTTACATCCTCACCGGCTCAACGGGCTCGCTTGGCAATTACATTCTGGAAACCTTGCTCAACTCCCATGATGTCGACCACGTCTACTGCCTCAACCGATCTGCAGACGCAGGATCGCGACAACGACAAAGCTTCGAGGGCCGTGGCTCCAAGGCAGATCTATCGAAAGCCACGTTTCTCCGAGCAAACTTCGGCAAAGAGTGTTTCGGCCTGTCAGAAGAGGTGTACGATCAGCTCCTTCAATGCGTCGACATCTTCATCCACAATGCCTGGGCCGTCGACTTCAACAAGACCTTGCAGACTTATGAGGATGTTCACATTGCCGGTACTCGTCGCTGTGCAGACTTCAGCTTAGATTCACGGTTCAAAGCACACATTTTGTTCATCTCATCAATCGCCAGCGTTGGCAACTACCCGGCGACTGTTCCCAATGCCACTGAGGTACCAGAGCAAATCTTCGATGACCACAGAGTGCCGATCCCTCAGGGGTATGGAGAGTCCAAGCATATCGCTTCTCTCATACTCGCAGCTGCTGGTCAGCATGCTGGTGTGCCAAGCACAATTGTTCGAGCTGGACAGCTTGCTGGACCCAGCGGAGCTGGTGCCCCTTGGAACCAACATGAATGGCTACCCAGCATTGTGATGTCTTCCAAGGCCTTGGGCATGTTGCCAGATACACTCGGAGAGGGCAACACTGTCGACTGGGTTCCTATGGACCTTGCAGCTCGCTCAGTCGTCGACATCTCGCGGTCCAGAACTCAAAACTCCGATGATCTTACAGACACTTGCACTGTTTCGCATCTGGTCAATCCCAAGACGACAACTTGGACTGAGTTGGTTCCTGCAGTCCGCGAATCGCTTGAAACAGAGACCGGACATGAAGTGAAAGTCGTGCCTTTCAGAGCTTGGCTCGATAAGCTTGCAGCATCTCCTCGTACGAAGGAGGAGATTGAACAAAAGCCAGGCATCAAATTAATCGACTTCTACGAAGGACTCGCTTCTGGTGCTGGCGGCCTTCCAAGACTGGCAACGGAGAAGACGGTCATGCTCAGCGACACGGCGGCGAACATGACTCCTGTCGATTCCAGGCTGATGGTGAAGTGGGTACAGCAATGGAGGCAGTGATCGAATTGGTGATTTGGCGAAATTCTTAGGTATTCTTACGGCTGCAGTATATGAGCCAACGGAACAGTATCCGATGCTTTAACATGCACACGCCGCAGACTCCGCACAGCATCCGTTTCGGATACTTCGTTCTCATCGAGAGTTTTGCCAACTTCAGCCCATCTCTGACAAAGACCGGACATTCACTCTCCTTGACATCAAATGTCTTGAATCAACACATATTTTGACCACTCGCAGACTGACCGTCTGTCTGCAGAGACCCATCCATTGCTTGGCCGGCAGGATCTGTGAGCCTTCCACCCGGTGCCTAGCGAACGCGGAGCCAGTCCCGCTGCAAGAGAGAAGAGGAGTTAGGTGCGGGGACTAATCCTCGCACAATACTCAGACGAGCGGGGCATCACTGTGGCAGCTCTTCGAAGGATGAAACGACTCAAGGGATAAGAGATGAGGTGGAGTCGCTGCCCATGTCCATCAAGGTCCACGACCTTAACACCCTTGCAGACTTATACGCCAGCAAGATGTCCATCCAATCCCAGATCAAAAAAGCCCCTGAGCTCAAGTTGCCAAAAAGCGACAATACCTGCCAGGTCTCCATCATTGACAGTACTTGCGATATTGTCGTTTACCCCTCGACTTTGATCGAACCGCACATCCCCGGACACGAGTGGCTCAATCTCCCGACCTATGCCTTCTATATCAAGAATGAGAAGACTGGCAAGCAAGTCCTGTTCGATCTCGGCAGTCGAAGGGATTGGCAGAATCTGGTTCCTCATGTTCAAGAGATCGTCAATCTCCGCATCCCAGGGCTAAAAGTCGAGAACGAAGTCATTGACATCGTGAAAGACGGAGGTGTGAATCCAGATGACATCTCTGCGCTGATCCTGAGCCACTGGCATTACGGTGTGTGCCCCAGCAGCCCTGAGCCACAGCCTCAGCTATACCGAAAGCCTTACTGACGTCTCATCACAGACCATAGTGGAAACCTCGCGAGGCTAAATCCGAAGACAGACCTTGTCGTAGGGCCAGGGTTTAGAGAAGCTTTCTTGCCAGGCTATCCGACGAAAAAGGATTCGAACTTCTTTGAAGCTGACTTCAAAAACCGCAACGTCGTCGAGCCACCTTTTTCCGACGATTTCAAGTTTGGTGGCTATCAGGCTCACGACTATTTCGGCGATGGCAGTCTGTATGTCCTTAACGTACCAGGCCATACCACTGGCCACATTTCGGCATTGGTTCGCACAACTCCAGAAACCTTCGTGTTCTTGGGCGGTGATGTCTGCCACTTTACGGGAGTGATCAGGCCATCCAATTTCATTCCAATGCCAGATCCAATTCCAAGCTCGACAGTCTTGGACAAAAGACTTCCGGTACCATGTCCTTGCTCGATATTCACAGACTGCCATCCAGACCAGGAGAATAGCCGGACAAAGGCGTTTTACCAGTGCTCTACAGGCGGGCCGTAAGCATCTCTTCTCAACTGAGACACCAAGTGTGTTCTGATCTTCGCACAGGTACGGCTCGTGGTACGACGATCCGCCGACAGCGATGCAAAGCATTACCCATCTATTCGATTTCGATGCGGATCCGAACGTGCTTGTCCTCATTGCACATGACATGGCGCCGAAAGACTCCTTGACATTCTTTCCTAATGGCACCGTTAATGATTGGAAATCAAAGGGCTATAAAGAGGTGAGTTCCATCCTCCTATCGAGACCTGAATTTGTATCGCTGATGTCACACTTCTTCAAGGCAATGCATTGGTAAGTCTCCCTCGATCGTGACGACCTGTTTGGATTAGTGAGCTGATATCGAGCGCTTTAGGTATTTTGTCAACGAGCTGCCCGTTGACGGCAAAGCTGGCAGAGACACTTTGTGCGACGGCCTGTACAGAGACGATGGGAAGGGATTGAAGAAAGTGAAGACATTGAATGGCGACCCTGTCTGATTAAGTTTTAGGTAAGACTATAGCCGCAACGTAACGCGGCCCTCTTCTATTATATGAAGAAGTGCACAAAGTCAAATACTTTAAGCTTTCTCCTAAAGGTTGGTGGCTGACTACGCTGCGCGTCCCGAGATGACCGTTGGGCTTTCCTGAAAGTGTAGGAAGGAGCTTTTTGGCCCCATTCACTTTCTGCAGTCTTTGCGAGATAAGACCGACAGTTTGCATAAATATTACATGATATCGCAGGTGAACTACGTATCTCGACGAATGCCTTCTTCAGCACAGATCTGCATCGCAAGGCGTTCTTGTTTGTTCGAAGAAATGGCCTAAAACCAGCGCATACCCTAAAAGGCACGAAGGATGAGGACACGCCGATTTGCTGCGAATTCCGCAACCCTAAAGCCACAGGCTAACGCACATAAAGATGCAGAGGACACGCACGCCATCAGATTCGCATCTAGATTCACGATGTCAGATCTTGCCACCGGATTCCTGCATCCTGTCCTCCCGTACTTAAATAAGACACAACACCGTCTCAGCCTTCCGAACATATCCATATCTGCCATTCAGCCAAGGTCAAGACATACCAAGGCCCGAGCGCCGAGCCTTGAAGAAGGCGACTGCAGCGATCAACCCTAAGTGCAGTATGGGGAGGTGTTCTGCAGCTGCAGTACATCGATACAGCCGCATCTTGAGGGCAAACCACCTCAGCCGCTCGTTGAGCACATCTTCGACATCTTCTTTGAGGTCGAAGAAGTAGAGTGTCTCGAGTTTTGGAAGCCTGCAACATGTCCTCTTCATCTTCACCTACTGTGGCGACCTCTTCAGGCTCTTCGCTGTCTATGCTCCTGAAAGACAGCCCAACAACCGCGCCGAGTGTTGTAGAAATCGAGGTTGACCAGAAGAGGCAAGAACCCGACCCACTTGTCATCTCAAGACACTTTGTCCAAGCCTTGAACGAGTGCGATTGGGGGCACTGGTCCAACAGACACTTCGCAGCAAACTACCGGGCCAAGCATGACAATTCCAAATCGGAGTTGACGTGGGAAGAACAACACAACTTGTACAAAGGAGTGAGGGCTCGCTTTCCCAAGTAGTGAGTTTGAAACAGAAAGCTTGAAGGCAGTCATCACTTACCATCGACTTAGTCACATGGATATCCTGAGCGAAAGCGTTGACATCGACGAGACAAATGGAAAGGCTGTCGTCTGGCATTTTATTCGAATCACTGGAGCCCCGGAAAACACGCAGCGAGACGGTCTCGGAATGGTGAAGTGGTCGAGAAAAAATGGCGTATGGATGTGCTACGGCCATGCCGGCTTTCGAAGCTGCGGTGCTGTTTGGTGATATCCTGAGTTCGAGTTTTGACAAAGTCATTTGAGGAGCATCAAACCAAGCAGGTACTTCCGCATGTACCTCCTTCCTGCGACAGAATCTCGATGACGAACGTGGCTGTCAAAGTAGAGGCGCGCTTTCCTGTCCATGCAGCCGAGCATTGAGGCGCAAGACTGTACCACTACCGCCGCGCTGAATGCGACAAACAACACATCCGGCCGGAGCTGGACTCGCGACACGGCAATCACCAACTACGGCCTATTTATTTGCAATCAGATCGTCGTCGATAACATGGGCTACCTAGAGGAAGGCAGAGTATTGAAATCCGAAAATGGCAAAACCTATCTAGCGGTCAGCAGCCTCGGACAATCAAACGTCTGGACCGGCGTTGAGGACACAGGGACCGAAAAAGACAACTTCAGCAACGTCGTGGTGCTCAAAGCCCCCTCTGAAGAAGACGAGCAGGATACTTGGCCACAATTCGTCCACGAAATGATCATGCACGAGCTTTTCAAGGAGGCTCCCCACATCCGCAAACAGATCGATCGCATCCCCCCTGTCAAAGAGAACAGCTCGCCTCCTGTTCTCATATTGGAGATGTTCCAGATGACACTATGGCAAGCTCGAGCGAAGCGACCTCTATCCCGCCTGGAGATTGCAGCCATTGTGAAGGGGATTCTGGAAGCTTTGCAGGTAATCCACGCAAATGGCTTAGTCTACAGCGACTTCAAGATGGAGAATGTGATGGTAAATGGCTTCGACCCACATGCACAATCCCATGGAAGTTGCCTCTCCGTCAAGCTTGGAGACCTCGGGACAGTCATGTATCCTGCCAGTGGGACCGCCCAACCCGTTGCGTATCGGGCCCCTGAGGTGTTCTTCAAGGAGGAAATCACATCAGCGGCGGACATCTGGGCTGTTGGTTTAATATACTCGCACCTCCTCGAAGCACGAAGCAACTTCTCGGAAACTGGCTTGTACGATGATCTGCATTCTAGTTCTGGCCTGATGGATGAGCGAATCCAGGCGATGAGACACGCTCTCGCAAACGATTACGATCTGAGAAATGTCCCCTACTACAAAGACTGCATCCTACCACATCGCGACGAAGATCACGCACATGGAAATCACTGGGAGAGCCTGCGGAAGAAGGGCATGGAAGAGCTAGATGTGACATTCCTGCAGAGGATTTTGAAGGCAAATCCAAAGGAAAGACCGTCAGCCAAAGCGATCTTGAACAGTCAATGGTTTTCCGGTGGGCTTCTGGCGAGAGAGTTTTTGGAGGTGGTGACTGATGGAGCCTCTGATCGGCTGCCGTGGCCGGATATACCTGAACGATTAAATCTGGTTGAAACATGAGAGTGATACTCTCGCTTCGTCTCCTATAGGACCTATTCAATATTGCAGAATAGTCGCTAAACGCTAGGCGATCTCGCACTTGAATCATGTGCTATAACGTATTGTGCATTGGCTGTACCACTTGGGATAGAAATTTGCTCTTGCATCTCCTTCGAGCAGCGTCACTGGTTCCAGAGGGAAGGAATATTCTGCTCTCCTCAGGTGTGCTCCACCTATGCTCATTGACCTTCTTCCAAGTCACATACACCAAGTGATGTTGAATAGTAACCGAGCCCACCATTTCAACCTGCAACGCTAGCTGTCTTTGTCAGAGATTGCATACGAGCTCTCATCTCAATCTCTTCGCCTCAGCTCCCATTAATTTTCACCTGCCTCCCACTACTTCCTCCCACCATCTCGCATTTCGATCAGGCGTCCCATTCACTCACGAGGATTCAAATCCCAGCCCAAAAAAAATTCTCCTTCCCAAACCAGCTCACCGCGCCCCTCACCAAAATCATGAATCCTTCCAGCCAAGCCCAGCCCCATCAAACCGACCAGGACAAACAAACCATCGCCTACATCGAAGCGATAATGTACCAATTCAAAGACTCCATCAACGCCAAAGATTTTCGCATGCCGCACGAGGTCAAACCCGGCGAGCAGCCTTCCATCTGGCGGTACATGGCCGATTACTTCGACACCGAGCAGGACCTGGTACAGAAGACGCAAGCGACGACGCCGGGGCCTTCGAAGTTTGGGCTGAAGGAGACGCTAGAGAGTTACAAGATGGCGGGGGCGGCGTATCCGGATTTTCATATTGAGGTGAAGGAGATGAAGACGGATTTGGATGTGAAGGCGGGTTGGGCGACGGTATTTGTTAATCTTGAGTCTTCTGGTGAGTTGATTGCGCTCGTCTTGTCTTGGCTTTGATGTGAGGTAGCTGACAAGCGCTGAATAGGTTTGCCGAAGGAGGTCACGAGAACGAGTGTCACGGTGTTTGATTGGAAACGACGGAATGGAGAGTGGAAGTGTGTCTCCTCATGGGCTGCCAATGGCATGCCTGGCATATGATGCTTGTTACATAGGCGTGGTTTGCAATTCTAAGGATAGGTTCTTAACGCTTCCACTGCTAATGTGGATGTAATTGCGATTGCCTCATTTCCCCAGAAGCAGCTCATAATCCAGTCAAGAAGACCTTGATCCCTTCCAGCATCTCCTCCCCAGTAGGCCTGATCTGCTCTGGCGGCAACACGAAACCATGATCGCCCTGATCTCGAAGCTCAAATGCATACGCATACTCAGCACCAGTAATGTCAGTCGCATAGTCAGCGCTGCTACCGGTCGTTGGGTAAAGTGTGGCTCCGCTGGGTCCCACAGTGAAGTTCGTGCCGTACACAGCACGAATCGCGTTCGCCGCCTCGTTACCCAGACTGACTTGGTCGGCCGAGTTTGCTGGTACAGTGGCAGTGTATCCATAGGGCGAGAGGATGTACTGACCGTAGCTGTGCCAGTCGACGTAGAGGGCAATTGGCTGTTTAGCGGCCGTGGCGTTCATCTGAGCGACAAGAGCTTTGTTCTCGGGAGTATCGCCTGCTGCTCGTCCTCGGTATGTCTGATCGCATGGGTTTGGCGACGAGCCCCTAGGGTCGCCAATCCACTGGTAAGGCCAGTTTCTGTTGATGTCGGTTCCATAACAAAGGCCTAGCTGTCCAACGATGGGACCAGGGGAACGATTCTTGCGCCATCTACATAGAAGTCAGCTCCTGTCCATGCCCATATCAACATTACAAGACACTTGCAATCGATCCTTGGTCTGCGAGAAAACGAAGCCATCGGGATTGACAAACGGAAGGATGTAAAAGTCGTACGCATCCAGAAACGAAGCGAAGGTGGCATCGCCTCCTTTGTAGCCTTTGATCAGGTTGTAGGTGATGTACTCCACTGTCATCGACGTGATCCACTCCCGAGCGTGCACATTTCCGTGCCAGATGATCGCAGGCTTGTCGCCAGTGCTGTTGCCGTAAAGCTTCAAGCCAAAGATGTCTCGCTTCTCGTACGACTTGCCAGCCACGAAGTACTGGGAGTTCTTGGGGAAAGCAGCGTTGAGGTCCTTCCAGTACTGCACGTGGTCGGCGTAGGCATGGTATGAGTTGAACCAGGAATCGCTTGGGAGGGCACCATTCTGACGTTTCACGTACTTGGTCGAGGCTCCGGCTGACTCTGCGATGATGTCTGCTCCCAGGTCCTGATGCATAACGGAGTACTTCAAGCCCAACTCCTCGAATTTTTCCGCTTCGTCTGGTGCCAAGGAGATATCGATGTGCTCATCTGAACAGTAGTTCCATCGCTGGTAGGAAAGGGTGGAGAGTTTGTTTAGCACTGCGTCTGATTCGCCATTCGAGTCCACACGGTAAACTCTGTGGCCATCGTAGTTGACAGAATCGTCTTGAGCGATTAGACTGCCGAATGCCAGTGGCAGCAGCGCGAGCAAGCGCAGGCCGAGCATTGTTGCTGGTGTTGCTGTTCAATTCCAACTCTCGAATGGATTTGCAAAGACCAAGGATCCAAGTGAAATGGCAAGGTGTTGATTCTTGTCATAGATGCTGGGAAGTCGCCTGTGGAGGATTCGGAAAGACCTGTTCTTGATGCTGCGACTCATCCTTCTCCTCTTATGTGACATCTCGACCGCGGTTTCCATGTGCCCAAACAAAACCCTCCAAAGATGGACAGACATCCGTTCCGTGTCGGGTGGTATTTCACATATTAGCAAACATCTCGAGGTCTTATCTCCTACCAAATGTAGCACAGATCGGCAAGGCAGCGGTCGTGTCACCAGGGAAGTCGTGCAAGTCGGTTAACAACTGCGGCTCTGGTCTTGAGAAGCCGAGCTTGAGGTCTGCACTGCCCTGGTGTGTTATCAAATCATGCACAAATCAGATCAGGCGAACTTGTCTTGACTGCATTCGTGGCGCTTGTAGCACTCGGCAGAAGCCATGTATTCTGGAGATCCATACTCGGCGCCCAGCCGCTTGTGATGGCTTTGGAAGGTGCAAGTCCAGCAAGCTCCAGGTTGCGACAGCCACCGAAGGCAATTCTGACACGGAAATTCATGGCGTACGATGGTGCTGTTGATGGAGCCTCGGATGTCACTTGGACAGAGAGCTTTGATCTGAGGCCACAGCTTGATGCCAGAAGCCTACATGTCTGGAATTTGGGATCAGTATGCTCGCCGAATACGCCTAGTCCTTGGCCATGCTGCATAACAGTGTGCCCTCCGTTCGACGGGCAGTTCGAAAAGGGTGGTTCTTGCTGTCGGGAAAGAAAGTCAGACTATTGCAAGAAAAGGAGGGGATATATACCAGTCCCCCAACGCTTTGACCATGCTCGAGCAACATCGACACCTTGATGAACCTGATAGATGTACCTGATTTATTAGCTAATGCCTATCTACAGTTTTCTCAATCAAACTTTCGTGTACTTGTACTTAAAGATTTCGCGGTCGCTGAAAAGCTGAACGCTACACCTCGCTCCCAATGACATTCGCGAAAGGCGGCGCTGTCGTCTGATCACAAGAGTACTACACCAGGTATGGCGACGTGAGGGTATTTGAGTCCAATGCGGTGATCCCGTTCGGATCACTCAGAGTAATGAAGAAGCCCGCACCACCAGTGGCTTGGCCGTGGATGAGCCTCAGGGGAAGATACTGGCCTTGCGTCAACTCCAATGTGATACTCGTCCGAGGCGTGCCAGTGACATAGCTGAAAAACAGTGAGATATTGGAATTTGCTTTCGTCCAGCCAGATTGAGCAAGTGGTCCAGCCCAGAGAAGGAATGCATCGTCGACGTTCGAAGCAGTGATACTCCAAGTGCCAGTAGTGTACACGTAGAAATAGCCACGATGATTCAAAGCGAACTGGTAGCAAGGTATCGAAGGTCCACTTCGCGCATTGTAGATGGTGAAGTTGCCGTTGTTGCTTGGACAAGTGGTGCTGAAACCTCCGATGCCCGTTGTGATGTTGGTATAGTATCTTGTCTGCCAAGTGCCACCAGCCGACGCGGCCTTCATAAATGCTGGATTGAATTGGCTGTATGCTTGGTTCGCGTCGTGTGCCGGTTGGTTGTTAACAAACGCTGCATACTGCAAACCTTGGTTCCCGCAGAGAGGAGGCGCTGGTAGCATGGCTGCAGCCGTAGTCGTTGCTGTGACCGTCGTTCCGGGTCGAAATGAAACTGCTTGAATATTAGCAAGTAGACAAGAAGAGAAAGCTTGGGATACCGACTTGTAGTTGCTGTAGCAGTTATGGTGTTTGGGGGAGCGGTTGTTGTTCGAAAAAGAGTTGTCGTGTACCCTGGGCCAGAGCTGATGACCGTAGTCACTATGGTGGATGCCGGATAGACTGTCGAGAAAGTTGTTGTTACTGTAGAAGGTTCAAGAGTGCTCGTGACCTGTGTATGAAAATCAAAGTCAGCAATCTTAGACATTCTGCCTCCAATCCAAGCAGCTTAGAGTGCAACTAGCAGCGCAGTCGCTCATGAAAAGTCGGAGAGATAGCACATGCTCAAGAAGTTCAGAGAGATTGAAATTCTTTGGAGACATACCGTTGAGGCTGGCAAAGTGGTCACGTAGGTCGTGATTATCACCGATCCAGGCTCCGTTGACACTATTGTTGTTGGCTGTCGCGAAATTGAAATGGTGGTGACCGTGCTGGCGAGCTGAGTGGACACATAGCTCGATACAATGGTGCTGAAGACCGTGGTGATGTATGTCGATGCTGGCTCGGTCGTAAAAATCGTCTGGGTCTCCGTTTGTGTGGCGGTTTCCGGTGGCGGAATGCTTATGGCTGTGGTAGTAATCTCTCGAAGCGAGATGGACAAACTCGTGACCTCGATGCTAGTTGTATATGTAACCGCTGGCTCAGTAGATATTGCAGTCGACACTATCAAGCTCGTCTCGACGTAAGAAGTCGTGTATGTGACCTATAAAAGCAGGAGATTAAGCTCAAACTAATGAATAGGGGCAAATTCTTGCGGCGTACCGGCACTGAAGTCACCAAAGTATAAGTACTCGCAGGCAATTGGGTCTCGATCGTGATAGTTTGTGGCGGAAGTGTCGTTTCGTACGTGATGGTCGTGGTGATTGGCGGCTGTACAGAGGTAATCGTGGATGCTGGGAGTTGGGTTTCCTGAGTCAAAGTGACCGTCAAGGGAGGGTATGAGGCCGATAGCGAAATGGTGGTAGCTGGTTCTGAGTAGACATTAGCAATTATCCAACAGAAATCATGAAATCATCTCTTGAACTCTTCTGCCGAGCAAGGAGCCAATTCATTGCTCAATGGCTTGCTGAGGGTCGGATATTTGGGGGATAAGAGATCTTTCTTTGTGAATCTCATCATACACAACTTACCTGTCGAACAATGGTGGTTCGCTCTGTTGACACTATCCGCTCTGTGGAGACATAAGAGCTCAGTTCCGTCGTTGTTATACTGATCGTGCTCGCCGGTTGCAAGCTTGTGAGGGTAACAAAGGCCGTTGAAGTCGATGCTGGGACCACACTGGTGACAATTTGAACTATCTCCGTAGTAAAAATTGCCGTGGTGGTTTCACCCGGTAGTGAGGTTGTGTAAGTGACGGGTACTGTCCGCTCGAAGGTGGTCGTTAAAGCAGGAAGTGTACTGAGGAGCAACTGCGTCGAAATTATCGTGGAAGGTTGTATGGATATGATCGTGGTGGGGACTGTCAGAATTTGGCTGGATATGACCTGCAAAGATTGAGATGTTAGTAGATTGTCAGGCTTGAAATTATTTCTCAAAAGCGATTAGCATACCGTTGTAGGCTGCGTTGTAGTTCTTTCTATAGTCGTGGGCACTGTCAGGGGGATAGCGGTAGTCAGAGTAATCTCATAAATAGATATAGACGCTGGCTGAGTGCTGATGCTGGTAATAGTCAAAATGGACCTGCTTGCGGTAGTTGTAGAAAGTAACGTTATGGTGCTCGCGTCCAAAGTCAAGGTGGCAGTGCTGATGAGGTAAGAGATTTCGGTAGTTCGATCGATAATCCTCTCAGTCGTTGTTGGACCAGGCTGCGTGGAGATGATCAAGCTGGGAGGAGCAAAGCTGGTGTCTGAGGATTCGATCAGCATTTGATCATGAGACTAGCAGACAGGCGTCAAGGAGCGTTCTGCATCCGTGGGTGCACGAGATAGACAGCCTGGTAAGCTGACAAACGCAGAGAGCGGATAGACTTACAGGTAATCTCAATGGTCGACGTTGGTCCAGGCGCGGTGACAATGCTTGTCAGTGTTTCGGTTGAAGCGCTCTGAGTTGACACATAGTATTCGGTCGTTGTTGCTCCTGGCTGTGAAAATGTAATGGTCGAAGCAGGGTACGTCGTCTCGAATGTCGTGGTCTGCCAAGAAGGTCAGCAGTTGCAAATGCCTTTAAAACGTGCACGAATCATACGAAGGTTGTTCCGGGAAGAACACTGAACACGGTGCTCACAGAGAGCTCAGTCGAGATTACTGTTGTGGGCTGGAAGACCGTCGTAGGCATAAAGTCAACAGATCGCTCTGTTGAGATTATGGTCGTCGGCTGGGGAATGGCAGTAGTGACGACTTCTATCGCTCGTTCTGTTGAAACCAGCGAAGTCGTTTCGGTCAATGTCCGAGTGAGCTCGTAGGTGAAGGTCGAAGCAGGCTGCGTAATGACACTCAACTCAGTGGTTGTATACGCCGAAACGATGGTCTGGGTAGCACCAGGAGCCGAAATCGTAGAAGGGGGAAGTGTTCGTTCGATGAAAGACGTGAAAATCGTTCCCGGCAATACAGTAGTCACTGTAAGTACTGAAATGCTGCCGCTCGGCAGTTGCTGAGTTGGATCTCCCGATGTCACCTGCGAGGCGCTGTTGGGGGAGACCTCAGACGATGATGAATTTGGTGCATTGTCATCCACTTCTGTCCCGTTCGAAAACCGTACCGCCGAAAGGGCAGGGTACTGCGAGTCCAGCTGGCCATCCACAAAGTCATATAGAAGGCATTGGTCCTCAGAATACGACAACGCAACGCAATCTGAATCAGCAGTGCATTCAGACGCACAGTCCTCAGGGCTCGCTCGTTTGCCCAAACTATCAGCACGGCGAGACAATGCCGATATTATGCTACCATCGTATATCACGCCACAAGCCACCAGCGCACTTCCTCTTTCGGTATCAATGACTCGCCCGTTGTAGTCTGGACAAGGTCCTATCACGGCATCTTGCACAGATGCGGCAGTCGGCGATGGCTCCAAAGAAGTCTCTGTCACACCTCCTGAAGTGTATGTCGTGGTGATGCCACCTGAAATGCTGGTTGATGTTTGTCCGTCAACAGTTGACATTCGAGTGACGCCACCTAGGACCGTTGTCCCAATAGTCCCGCCAGTGATGTAATAGCGAGTGACGAGAGCGATCGTTGACGCCTGAATGCTCAAAGAGGTAAGAGGTGTGAGTAGCTGGCTGGAAGCACTGGCCGAGAGCGACGTGAAGGGCGTAGATGAAGGATTTGATTCACTAGATTCAAGTGAGGTCAATGGCGTCGAGGGTGCCGTGTTTGCAGCTGTGGTTGACGATATCACACCGGATGATGTCACGCCAGGCGTGGGCGGCGGGCTCGATGTACTGGCCGAGGATGAGACGGAGGGCGTAGATCGAGGACTCGATGGAACTGAGATTAAAGCTGTCGATGAAGCTGTGTTCGCAGATACACTGGCCGAGAGCGAGATAGACGGCGCAGAGGGAGCTCTCGATTCACTCGATGGAATTGAGGTCAAGGCTATCGATGAAGCTGTGTCCGCAGATACGCTGGCCGAGAAAGAGACGGAGGGCGTAGCTGGAGCACTCGATGCACTCGATGGAGCTGAGGTTGAAGGTGTCGATGAAGCAGTGTTTGCCGATAGACTGGCCGAGAGCGAGATGGACGGCGTATATGAAGCAGCACTCGATGCACTCGATGGAAGTGAGTTCAGAGGTGTCGATGGAGCTGTGTTCGCAGCGGTTGTCGATGATATAACGCTGGACCTTGGCGGAGATGGCGTCTGCGGGTTTGACTGCGATAGAATCGACGATGGTGCATTTGATGGCGACACTACGCTGAGACTGGACAACGCAGTACCCGAAGTTTGCGGAACTTGAGATTGAACACCAGAACTCGTCAGGACTGACGGCGACGGGCTGAAGATGTACGAAGGTGGTATCACACTGGTGGACAGGCTGAAGCTGTATGAGGATGCGCCTGAGGTTGGCACCGGCAGATTCGATTCCGGGGGCTGAAGGCTGGAATATGGTGCTGGTATGCTAGGGCTTGATGGTCGCAAGCTGGACGATGTATCTGAGCTGGGCAGCAAACTAGAGGTGGAAGTTGCGCTCAAGCTGGATGACGGACGTGCGGTCGATGCTAGCGACAGAGAACTTGAGCTGGACAAAGTCACGCTCGATATTGGCAATGGCAAGCTCAGGCTTGGCGGTTGTGAACCGGGGCTCGACATGTCTGGAGTGTATGATGCTGCGGCTGGGCTTGACGAGATAAAGCCCAGCGAAGCCGTTTCCGCATTGCTGGTCGTTTCGCCTGAAGAGCCACTGCTGCTTTCCCCAGGCCCGACTGTCCCCACAGCCTCAGCCGACGATGATATTATCGCTCCTCCGGATCCAAAGTCGGGCTGTATTAGGCTGGAGATCGTAGCGCTGTTTGAAGTCACCACGCTGTCTTGCGGCGATGGTGCATCGACGCTTGACGAAGCATCATTCGAAGCCGTACTTCTCGTCGAAATTCCAGCTCTCGAGCTCAAAGATTTTGAGGTCAACACAGGACTCTGAACTTCGGTCATCGAAGACGAAAGACGTGTCGGCGAAAAGGAATATGGTACAGTGGTGCCATTGGTCGATATCCATCCGTACGAAGGCAAAGTCACCGTGGTAGTCGGGCAAGTCCTGTGAACCGTCCTCGTGACAACACGTATACTCGAAGGCGTGTTCGACCCATCGACTCCAGCCTGTCGCGTTCGAATCGCATCCTGTCGTGGCGACAGCGCAGCAACCGGGTCGCCGACCAAAGTCCAGAAGATGGCAAAAAGCCACATCTCACACTCGCCAGCGTGGCTATAGCCTGAACGGCTCCTGCCAGCTGATGCTTTTGATCTGAGGTACTTCTCGCGTACTGGTACACCTTGCAGCGTGTTGTCGAGCGGACGGGAGGGATGGTGCCAAGAAGGCCTTCATTTTTCATCCCGCTGTTTTCATCGTGCCGCCATTCCAACGCCTCCAGCGGACTGGCAGGCTAGCTTTGAATCTCCCGCAGTGGCATACCATGATCCCGCCTTTTGGGCCAGATGGTTGACATAGTAGAAAGTGATTGGCCATTTCACGGCGGACGTGGTCCGATTGCACGCGCAGGTGGGTTCGAAGGGCGACAAGCGTGAGAGCCAGTAGAATACCACATTTTCGGGTGCCTGAGTCCCATACAGAGAGCCGAGTTGGGTTGGTACATCTGCGAGACTGTCACCGATGGGAGGTTTTGCGAGTCGCGGGTTGAAGGAAGGAGGGACGTTGACTTTTGTTCCAGCGACTTCAAGGATGTATTTGGCTTAGCGTGTGAACGTCTGGAGCTTTCTGAGATTAAAGGCAACGCAAACAAATCAAGCTGCAACGATAGCATTTGTCTCAAGATGATAAGAAGACGATTCATTAACCATGTGGCTATCTTCCAGCTCTTACCCTCAGTGGCTACATTATATTCGCTCTCGCCTAAACAGCAACACTTCTACAAATCCAAAGCCTCTCCCCGACGCCGATCCCCATTTCAAGTACCAGTGACGCCGAGCGAGAGCCTGGTCTAGCTTCTGCCGAGCGAGAAAGGCACGAAGGCGCCAATCCTGGCCTACGTCTTCATGCTCGGACGACTAGATTTTGCTCAACCCGTACCCAGCAAGCACGCCGATCACGCCGAGCAAAGCCGGGTGCTGACTGCCCCATTGTTCATATGCTCTACTCGCAATCCTGCGCAGCTCGTTGCCTTTCTCTGCACACGACTTGGTGGTTTGGTGGACTGAGAGGGAACAGAGTCAGCTGTAGTCTCCGAGGCTTGAAAAGCCAAATGGGAAGCGGTACCCTCCTGGACGTAGTCGAGGAAACTGTCTACGACGCTGGAACTGCAGCCACGTGTTGCTGCTTGGAGAGATTCCGGCGCTGGGAAGGATGTGTATCCATGGTTGTTGGCCAATGCTTCTTGGTAAAAGGCTTCGTATTGCTGGGCTCTCTGGTTCGCTTTGGAGCTTGACATGCTGGGTGGGTTGAAGAGCGAAACGAATCTGAGCTTGATAGATCACATCGTTTGAGAAGTGGCAGTCTTTATAGCCGTGTTTGTGCAGCTCTCTTGGGCGGCCTCCACCGACTCTAGGCTACTGCACGATCAAGCCACATCCTTTGGTTCGTGCGATCTGGAGTGTAGATTTCCACGACGGCCGCCAATCACTGCGAAGTGACAACAAAGCTGTGCGCCAGCCAAGACTAAATGCACGATGGCGGGTTATTCTGGAAGGATTCGCCAGCTGGCAGCGGTTGAAAGCAGAATCAGACCTCCTTATGACATGTAACGATGCTCGAACAAGAATGTCACGCCCCACGAGCTGTACAGCTTGTGGCAATGACTGACTTCGCGCCTCCCTGCAGGACGGGACGTAGGCACAGAAGTCGCTGAAGGCCACGATTTGTATCTCGACGACGGATCGCTCAAATTGGACGCTGAAAAGAGCTTTGTTTTTGTCGCTTCAAGGGCCGCTTCAGTCTCGCTGTGGTGCGTCGGTTATGCCCATGTCTTGTCTGTACTGAATGTCGTTGTCTTGAGAAAGGCTGAAGGGGCTTAAAGTCTAATTCGCAAGGCTCGAGAACTCGGATTCGCATTTCGTGGGACGTTCGCCCTGCAATTATGGAACGAGCGAGATTCTCTGTCAAGCAGACACTCCGATTCGCGGCTGACAGCTCATTAATGTTCGGCGCCAAATCATGAAAGCTGCATGCTTGATACAGCAGCCCTGGGTAGGACGTTTCCGCGATGGCAGTCTAAAGCGAAGATCCAGTCGGGTTTGACATGATGCTTTCGTTCCACGGCACCAATTTCAGAGAAGTAAGACATTTAAACCCAGCCCCTTCATAGCCTCCCGCCAATCGATGAAGAGTCCGCCGGGATCGCAACGCAAGGTCTCTGCCAAACGCTGTCGTCCAAACCAGACCTGGCGGACGAGGCGATGCACATCTCGCCGATTCGCTGCACCAGTGTCGTCGGCGCTTTGTAGACAATATGTGGCCAGGCTTTGCGCTTCGGGCGTGTATGCCTGTGTTGCAGCCATGAATACAGGCCAGATTGAGAAGGAGCCGCGCTGTTGCAGGTCGACGTAATCTGCTGTCGCCGCAAGAACTTTGTCAACCTTTTCATGAACGCTGCACGGCGGACAGCGTAGGACTGTGCTGAGGAGATATAGTTCAACGCCCACTGTAAAGAGCTCGATGTGGAGATGGATGGATGTGCGCATGTGACGAGATATTTCGATACCATAAGTCTCCTGGTGCCTAACGTAAATGTCGACCTGATCTTCGATGGGCATTTCCAGTTGACGGATGATAGCGCTCAGTTTTGTTTGCATAGCCGCATTCATGACTCCAGTGAATCCCTGTGGGTGTTCTTGGTACATGTCCTCTTCAAGGCACCTGATCTGGTAGATCATTCTGAAGATGTGGCCAGTGCCACCGTGTGTGTAGCCGAAGCTGGGCTTATCTAACAGCTCATCAAGTACATTGTGCATGGAAGTTGGAATGCGAGATGAGCTAGAAGGGCACCCTTTGCTGGTCTGCAGAATCAGGTACTCCAGCGCAAAGCTCTGGCTGACGGTCCACGCCTCTATTGATTTGGTCCAAGGCCGAGACGGGGCGTGCTGGCATACGAACTCGATGGCAGCAGCATAGTGTACATGCCATCCATCAGCATCGCCGCGAAAAACGTGCTCGGCCAAAGGAATTGCTAGTAGGGCTGCCAGAGATTCTTCATATACGGTAGATGTCCGCAAGTTTCTGCGAAGTTCTCGAAGCGCACGGCCGTAGTGATAGCCCGCTCGAGTCTTCTCTGGGCAAGCAGCATCTTTGCCGAGCAGGTTGATCAAATGATAGGCCGATTGTGCTAATAGAGCGTGGTGCAGAGATCGCACGCCAGGAGAAGTTGCTGATCTCGATGCAATCAACGGGTATATGGACTTCCACGGGTTGTGAAGGCCATCCACGGGGACCATCGTCGACGAAGTGGCAGTGACGAAGTGATGCAGAAGTCGCCGCTCTTCCGGGCTTTGAGGTGGTTTCACCAATCTGTCAATCTCGATGAAATCCATCGCGAACTCAGGGGTCGCATCCCCGCCCCGTTTGCGTAGAGACATGCCGTTCCGGACAGCAAGTTGCAGGTTGTCCGCATTGTCACTAGATGTTTCGCATGCCACTGCATCGTTGTTTTCTCCTCTACAAGCAAGAGGGATGGGCGAACGACACGACTCATCCGAGGGGTGCTCGTCCAAAATCAAAATGCCAGAAGACTGCGAAAGAGTACTCTCCTCTCGGACTATGCCGCAATCGCTACCAGGATCATGGTTTGACTCATATTGACTAAAAGCAAGGAATGGACTGACACCCAATCTGGTATTCTGCCCCTCGCAACGATGGATCATGCGGCTGATCTCCCTTCGAGTCCACTGTGGATGCCCTGCCCACGTGCGGTGACACGGATAAGCACGCCGCTGTTCATGGACATAGTCTCCCGTCTCAGCATCGACCCACACTAGGCGCAAGTTGTAGCCTTCGCACTCAATCCGGGCTTGCTTGCATTGTGAGCAGGCGGGAACGCTGGTGTCGCAGCGGACATTGCGGCGGCGGCATGTCCAGCACCCGGTGAACGTTCTTGGGGCCGTCGTCTTGGGCATCACCCTGCATTGATAGACGCATGGACTCGTTTGAGTCTGTGCATTTTACGGCCTCGAGGTGTATGCACTTGAGGTGATGTTGTCAGCTGAGGAGGAAGCTTTCGCTGTGGAGGGAGCTTTCGCTGTGGACTGCCAAAATGAATTCGCCAAGGACATCACGTAAGCCGACCCTTGTGATGTCTCGCTCGGAAGGATCGCAGTCAACTCATTGATGATAGAGAAGGTGGTTGATGGCGGCAATGGAGTGCTCAGATGCAGACCTCTGTACAGTATTGCTACCTTCTGTTGGGCAGTTTTGTCGAGAAAAGGCTTTAATGCGGTTAACTTGGGTCAAGTAAATCCATACAACCACCCACAGCTTTTTTTCCTGGCCATCGAACGCACTAAAGAATGTTCTGAGGCCGGCGTGTTCTGACACTCAGCCTTGACCAGCGCGAACTCATGAGCCTTCCTTCTTTGAAAACAGCTAACAAGTGCTCGTCTGGCCTGCCCAAGACCGTGATGTCGTCGAGAGGATTGGCGTTCAGGATGAGCAGATCTGCGACAAAGCCAGGCGCTACACGGCCCAGAGAGTCCTCACGCTTCATCATCTGGGCTGCATTGACTGTTGCGCTCTGAATGATCTCCAATGGTGTCTGTGCAGAACTGCGAATGACAAACTCCTTTGTCTGCGCAAAGTGCATAGGACCAAGAAGATCTGTACCGAAGCACATCTTCACGCCGACCGCTTTCGCAATCTTGATTGCCTCGATACCACTTTCCAGAGTGCTTTTCAGCTTGAGTTTGGAGGCTTCGCTTATGAACGAGCCGAATTCCGGCATCTGACCAGCCGCGTACGCTGCGAGGGTTGGTGTGTAGAAGACGCCCTTCTCAGCCATCATTTCAGCGGTGGTCTGATCCAGAAAGTTGCCATGCTCGATACCAAGCACACCACACCGGATGGCATGTTGAATGACGGCAGGCGTGTAAGCATGCGCAGTCGTGAAAGTCCCGGCATTCTTCGTGACCGTGGTGATGGCTCTAATTTCTTCTTCGGTGAAGTCAATGTCGGTCAGGTTTCCCACGGGTGAAGACACAGCACCTCCCGCCATGATTTTGACGAAGTCCGCCCCGAGTCGCAGCTCCCCTCGGGCAAACTTCAAGCATTCTGGCACGCCATCGACTGTCCGGCAAGGGGCCTGGACGGCGCCAGCACAGCAAATTCGGTCGTCACTCTGAGATCGATGGTCGCCAGAGCCTCCAGACTGGGTAAGCTGCCTGCCGGCAATGAAGAGCCGAGGACCAGGATGTACGCCTTCCTGGAATGCTGTTTTGAGCGGAAGTAAGGCTCCTCCGCAGTCGCGAACCGTAGTGAACCCTCGATCTAGCATGGCTTGCCCAATTTCAGGCTGGCGTAGGGAAACCGTGACAGACGGATAGTCCAGAATCTCGTCGAGGCTGTGGCTTCCTTGAACGGCCACAAGGTGCACATGGCAGTCCCAAAGTCCCGGTAGAATGTATTTGCCTTGAAGATCAATCGTTTCATACTCTTCATCGCCAGTCACTGCTTCCCCTGGAGGATGAAGGCCTTCCACAAAGCCACCGCTCATGCGTAGCGTGGCATTTCGCATGATGCTTCCATCTCGTGGATCAATCACATTCGCGTTCGTGAAGACATACGTGGTTTGCGGTGGTTGCTTCCAGGGTGTGATAATGCGCTCGAGACTGTCAGTCTTTTCAAACTGGAAAGCTGGGGCAGCCATGGGGTTAGTAGTTGAGGGGAGGAAAGCGATGAGAATTGGGGAACATGTCTGCCGACGTGACTTGGATCCAGCTTATTTTGAGATATTCCTTTCTGTACTGTGTGATCTAGGAGGCAGCCCATAGCGAACGCATTCCTGCTGTTGCCTCTATGCGCTTGATATGAGGCTAATTAGTCACTCGCTGTCGACTGCCATTCTGAAAACTGGGCCCTGAACTGGCAAAGTAACTGGGCTGCATCTCGCAAGAATCGGCGTCTGGCAGGCGAATGCTCAGCGTATAATGAAGCATATCGCCCAGTAGAGAGCAGAGCCATACAGCAGTCAGGAATGAAAGCCAGAGGTAGAGGGCGGGTGAATGAACGGAGAGACATGTGAGAGTGAAGTCGAATCTCCCACAAGACATCAGATGCAAAACTCCTGGGACATGCCTTACTAAGCACCCTTCGACCTCACCTCACTTTCTGCGACACTCAAACAAACAAGTAAACGCGCCTGTGGGCGCAATGCAATCATGGCAGTCTCCAACATGCCATCTGCGTCCCCCAGAGCCCTCCAATCTCCACAAAAAACGCCCAACAAAGCCGCGCTGAACCCGAATGTCACCAATGTTGTGCTGGGAAACCTCCACATCAAGCCATGGTATCCGTCCTTCTATCCGGAAGACTTGGTCGGTGGGAGGAAGGCAGACTGGCTGTATGTGTGTCAGTGGTGCTTCAAGTACACGTCGGAGATTATGAAGTATAGTACGCATTGCGTGAGTAGACATAGGCATGCAGAGAGGAGGTGGACGTGCTGACTGGGTTAGAAAGTCTGTTCCATGAAATCGGAGCCACCATACGGCGAGGTGATCTATGACAAGGACGAGTATGTCATCCATAAGATCGATGGCGAGGAGTCCAAGGTAGGAAATCAGTACACAACTCTTTAGCAACCACTGATCGAAATGTTGCAGCTCTACTGCCAAAACCTCTCCCTCTTCGCCAAACTTTTCCTCGAAACGAAATCGGTCTTTTTCGACGCCTCCACCTTCCTCTACTACACACTCATCCTTAAGACCCCCGATCACCCATATGGCCAAGTTGCTGGATTCTTCAGCAAAGAGAAGATGTCTTGGGATAACAACAACCTGGCCTGTATTCTGATCTTCCCGCCCTGGCAGCGACGAGGTCTGGGTCAAGTTCTCATGGCTGCATCATACGTGTTAGGCAAGCGAGAAGGACGCTTTGGCGGGCCTGAACGGCCATTGAGTACGTTGGGAAGGAAAGGATACATCACATACTGGTGTGGAGAGGTGGCGAGGTTCATTCTGGGCTGTCCCAAACAAAAGACGGTAAAGATCAAGGATGTCAGCGATGAGACTTGGATCATGCCAGAGGATGTGGTGGCGGCGCTGAAGGAGATGGATGTGTTGGAGAAGAGGAAGACTGCGAGTGGGAGTATTGTGGTGAATAAGAGCAAGGTCAGAGCGTGGGCAGAGAAAAGCAAGATCAGCATGGACCCTGTGGTGGATGTGGAGGCTTTTGTGGAAGAGGAGGAAGATGACGAAGAAGAAAGTGAAGAGATGGAGGAGTGATGTCCAGTTTGCCTATGATGATACCCGACATGAATCCGATGAGAGAACAGACACCGCCACGTTCTGCATCATGTCAAAAAGCCCGCTTGCTAACTCAATTGGACCGTAAGATGGCACCCCATTTGCGCATGTACCACGCTGAGCGCTGTGGTGGCGGCTTGAAGTCCTTCCAAGGCCGACCGGTTCTGGCCTCGAAGAACTTCGCGACGCTTTCTTCGCTGTAATTTCCCACGTGGTAATCAACTACCATCTTCTGGAGCTCGACGTGAGCATGCAGTGCGTACCAGGCCTTCTCTTCCTTCACCAGTTCTTCGAAAGAGTCGGAGAGCTTCACGATAGTTATGGCAAAAAGGTTGGCTGTTTGCACTTGGCTCTTCCCTAGCAGGATTGGAGCGATCTCCACAAGTCCTTCGATATTGCTGAAGCGGATGAAGTTGACCACCGCCAGATCTGCTGCATAGGCTAGTTCAGGGAGCAAGTACTGTCCTGGTGTCAGCAAAGTCTCCCGAAGAGCAGCTTTTCTGTTCCTGACCTTGTCTGCTGCCTCCAAGACATCAAGGGCCAGGAAGAAGTTTTCAACCGATGCCATCTCGCGTAGATCGCCCATGTCGTCCTGCTTCGTGGGAAGAAAAGGAAGCGGCGCCGCATACAAGTGACGAAAGACGATATCCATGGTGCTGGCGGATTCTGTAACTTCGACTAGGCTAGAGCTTGCCTCCTGGATATAGTCAGTTGATGGCCTCATTACGGCTTCCAAGCTACACACCTGCCAGCCATTGCGGTTCGCTGCCTCGAAAAATGGGCACAGCTCGCAAACGATGAGCTTGTGGACATGGAAGTCCCGCTCGGAAGTGCGCACTGTCAGGTCCGAATACTTGCCGGACTCGTAGTTTCTAGAATGTCAGCTCGACTGGTGCAGCGCTCTTTGGCGGCACTTACTTCTGCAAGATGTCTTTGAGGCCTCTGGCTGCGGATGTTGTGACTGGCGTGTTGCTCGAAACGGGCACCTTGCCCCCATCCGAAGCGGAAATGGTGGTGATGGGATCTGAGGCTCGGTTGTGCAAGGAAGAGAGTGTTGTGAGGGGTGCAGCCGAAAGCTGGCTAACGGTTTGCACATGCAAACGCTGCATGCCAAGCGTTGAGACACGGAAGTCTCGAACGACGCGCAATGCGATCGCACTGGGAAACAGATGCACAGACTACTCACGATACCTACACAGACAAGAGAAAACATAGAGGCCTCGTGGAGGATGCCCGCGCCCTCTCGAAAGCTTGCAGAGCAGAAGAGAAGAGTTGAAGAATTCAAACATGATCACCCTTATGGTGGCCCCGGAGAGTTGACTGGATACGCTTGGCTATCTGTCGTACTTTGGAATACCTCGCCGGTTTGCCCTTATCGCCGCCCTTTCGCCCACGGATGAGGAATGCCGTCGTTCGGCGTCGTGTCTCGCGCTGAGCCCGCGTAGTAGTCGGTAATGAAAGACCTGCTTCTTTGAAGAAAGTACGCAAAAGCGCAATATCTGCGTCGCTCAACATGCTTGTGCCGGTAACTCGGACTCGGCGTTCTCTGATATGCGCGTACTGGACAACGAGCTTCTGCAGCCTGGGATCGCTGTGCAACTCAGCCCAAACCTACTTGCAGCCAAGCAACTCCTGGAACGCAGATCCTAGCCTCAACACAGAGAATACCAGACAGTCGCTGATATCGTCCGGATTTTTTTAAGGAGTGCCTTCGCAAACGCCACCAAGTCCATCACGCCCGCCCTCAGTACGCAGTTATCCATAATGGGGAATGTTGCGCTATCGATTCCAGCCAACAGGTACTGCGATCTCATAACAGTTGGACACTATGGCGTTGATTTGATAACATACCTTGTTCGCGGTGGTCTCAACATCCAATGCCAGGTAGAAGTTCTCACACTTCGCCTTGTCGGACAATTGCTGCCGCGAGTCACCTTCTCTGGGGACGATATCGATGTCGACCTTGTACATGTATCGAAACAGCATATCCATGACAGCCTCTGGTTCCTCAACGACGATGACGCCGGTCTGTACCTCCTGTTCTTCTTAGCACATGACATACCGGCCAAGCGACTCCAGGGTGTGTGGCGCGTGTTCGAACGCAAACTTACCTTCCATTGGCCGCGGATAGCACCAGCGAAAAACGGACACTCCTCGCATACAACGTACTTGTGGACGTGGAAGTCTCGAGTAGAGGTGCGAACCGTCAGGTCGGAGTGATGTCCGGTCTCGTAGAGCCTGGATGGTCAGCTTCGTTACATGGATGAGGCTGTCCGCAAGACGGTTGCTTACCTCTGCAGCAATGGTTTCTCCATGGTTGCGGCGTCTACCGGGCCCGCCATGACTGAATGCGCTGCTGAGTTGTGATCAAAGTGGGTGGGATAAGAAAATGGAAGCAAACGAACGGATTTCGGTTCTATTTAAGCGTGCGGGAGGCGGCCCGTGCTGATCATCACATGCAAACAACCGCTGGTATGTCGGAAGACGTTTGGCTCTCTGACATCACACTAACAGAACATCATCTATGTCTGAGCAGCATGTATGTCTGAACAGCATCTAGGTCTCAGCAGCATCTAGGTCTCAGCAGCGTCTAGGTCTCAACAGCATCTACGTCTCAATAGCATCTACGTCTCAACAGCACCTAGGTCTGAATAGCATTTAGGTCTGAATAGCATCTAGATCTAAACAGCATCTAGGTCCCAACAGCATCTATGTCTCAACAGCATCTAGCTCTAAACAGCATCTACGTCTCATCCTACTCCCCCTCCAAAATAGCCCTCCTCCACAAATTCCTCTCCTCCCCCCACCCCGCCGGCCAAAACACCCTCCACTCCTCCAAAAACTCCGCCTTCCACTCAACCCCAACAAACTTAGCGCACAATTCAAACAACTTCTCCGCAGCAACCTCTCGGTCCTCCTCACTCTCCCCCCTCTTCGCCAGCTTGAGCCAGTCAAACGCCATCTTCGTCGCAATCTTGTAAAACTCGTAATTACCATCTTGCAACGCCTTCATCGCAGCGCCGCAATTCAGGACCTTGGGCATTTTGGTCGCTAGTAAGAATAGAGCTGCGAGACGGAAGGGGTGATACGCTTCGTTCTCCTTCCGAGCTTCGAGGGTAAGCACGATCTTCACGAAGTCGACGAGTGGTTTGTCTTTGGCGGCCTGCGTCTGCGCGGCTTCGCGCTCTTCGCGACGGCGGTTTCGTGCTTCTTCTGGGAGCTTTTTCTCTGCTTCGCGGATTCGGGACGAGGCACGGACTGGCTCAGGCTCGAAGGTCCGGAGGGTGATGCGGTCGAGGGAGTTACCGATGATGAGCTCCGTCAGGGGTAGGAGGGAGGGGATGTCGAATTGGGTCTGTCCACAACACATATCAGCTCCACTCAAGTCCGACGCCGTGGAACCCACTAACCTCCACAGCCGCCTTCCGCAACTCAACCGCCAACTCCACATTCTCCAAAGCCGCCTTCCCCTTCAACTCCTCCTCCCCATCCATCTCCCTCGGCACACCCTCAATCGGCAGCATATACACATGCCTCAACATCTCATCAACCACACTCGCCGGCTCCGCAAGGTTCACGATGGTGAAGTTGCGATTCCGGATCTCGATCCGCTCGAGGATGGGGATTGCTGGGTAGACGATGCATTTGTGGACTTTGAATTCTTTGTAGTGTTTGGTGCCTTTTTTGCTGAGCGGATGAGCAGGTCGCTGAGGATGCCGGTTGTGTAGAGTCTTTGGGTAACACGAAGGTCAGCAACTTTCAGAGACCGTGGACTGGTATTCAGCCTACCGCTGGATGAGGGCCTGAGCGTCCTCGGCGGAGTCTTGCGGTGCAGACATGGTTGCAGACAGGTGACAGGTCGAGTGGTGAATATTGAGTTGAAAATATCGACGAAGTTCCGCCTGCTTAAGAATCCTACATTGTCTCACCACTCCTCGACCAATGCCAAACGCGGCATCTGTACATCCAAGACAAGGCTGAGACGTCGTCGCGAATCTCAGCCCCTTTAAGACATCTCACAACGAACCTCCGCCACTCCCACGGCATTCTTCAAGACAGACTCTAGGCCCACCGGCAATGACTTGTTGAACGATGAAAATATGCAATGACTTGATTCAAGCAGTGACAGCCGACCGCTGCCACAGCCTCACGAAGTGCCAAAACCCGGTTGTGAATCCGCCAGTTTTCGACAACATAAAATATCCCACTGGCACTGCCACGCTTCCTCTTTCACACTACACCAGTACTCCGCTCAACACCAATCTCACCACCGAACAAAACCCCACCACCAAACACAAACAACCAAAATGACCAACCTCCCCTCAGGCACAATCGGCGACGAATTCTGCCCCGAATGCATGGCCCTCCTCCCCCTACACACAAAGAAATGGCCACAGTACTCGAAACAACTCTTGAGCAGGAGAATTCAAGGGCCGCGTGAAAGGAGTGTGAAAGACAAAACGACGCTCAAAGCGCAGTGTATCTCGGTCAACATCTCGTGGAGTGAGTGTGGGATACCACGAGACATGCCCACAGGTTTCTCTCCAAATCTCCACGAGTAGTCAGACAGACTACTCTCCGAAGCGAGATTCGTAGGGCATGGACAGCTTGTGAGCCACGGAGATGATGACCGGACAAATGCCAATATCGCAAAAATTTAAATACCTGGTACTCATACGGTGTGGTATTGAACTGTTACGTGCCCCTTTCCGTCGACTCCCCTCATCGGTTCGCTCAGAGCGGAACACCTAAATATCCCCATCGCTCCCACGCTGTCCAAGCCGCTGGGACGGCAAAGAGTTTTTTGTGTTTTGATGGCTGTTTGGGGATGGGGGTTGGATGTTGGGTTGGAGGGTTGAGGGTATTCAATAGTGAAGCCTGAAATGTCTTCCACTACATTCAAGCCCGTTCCTTCTAAATGTCTAGCCGTATTCCACACAAACTCCACGTACCAATTCAATCATTCATATACACCCTCCATCCTCCACACCCACCCCTCCTCTTCTCTCCCTCCAACCCAACAAACCTCTCCACCTCCCTCGACAAATTCCCCTAATCCCCCCAAACAAATCCCCAACTCAAGAAGACAACCATGACGCAACTCAACAGCACCCTCGAAGACAACATCTGTCCCATCTGCGACCAAGTCCTACCCTTGCACGAGAAGGATTGTCCGGGATTTGCGAAGAAGAAAGGCGTAAGACAGGAGAGATAACGGGGTTACGACACCGAGTGAGAGGATGGGAATTAAGCGTTGGCATGAGTGCTCCGAGAGGAGGAAGGAAAGGGTGAGATATTGAGTTTTTGAATTCTGTTATATGTAATACTCTCGCTTCGTGGTCGTCTTTTTTTTTTCGCTCTTCAGAATACCAGTCTTGTCGCTGCTGTTTTTGTTTTTGCTCTTATCGTAGCCAGATCAAATCGTTCAGGAAAACCAGAATACATAAATCATCCACCCCAGCCAGCCAGTCTTCCCCGATCCCCGTACCAATCCCAATGCTCATGCCATCCAGAAGCAGAACGCAATCACCAAACAAGAGACACAATCCTCGAGAAGGCAAGACCAATCTAAACCCCAGAATCATCATCGTCATGCCTTTCCGCTCAATGCCTCCAGTCTCGCCGAACACCTTCACAACTTATGCACAACCAACCAAACCGGCGGCACGCCCTCACTCCCCTTCTTCTCATCCCAGTACAGACTCCCCAAACTCCCGTTGGCTTTGTCGCTATCGTATTCGATCGTTGTGCCCTATATCAACGATATTAGCAAGCACATTACAGCCACTCAACACAAGAAGACCCCGCACCCCCCTCCCCCAAACGCAAGAAAAAAAAAAGGTAACAAACTCACCTTCCTCCACACACCCCCACCCCCTTCCACAACCTCTGTAACCGCCCACTTCCCCCCACCCTCCTTCGGCTTCCCCCTAAGAACCCTCTCCACAACCTCCCTAACCGTAAACTGCGTGCTGACCTTAAAAATCTTGAAAGCCAGCGATTCGGTGCGGTACTTGGCCTCCCAGACGGGCGCGGCCTTGTTGAAGATGTGCAGGAAGGTGTGGGCGGGGGCGTGCATGTAGTTGACGCCTGGGCGGAGCGTGAGGGGGGCGGAGGGGGCGAGGGAGTGGATGGTGGTTTTGGTGTCGTCTTCTTTTTTTGCTGGTGGTGGGGCGGGGGGTTTGGGTGGTAGGGAGGTGGGTGCGGCGCGTGGGGGTGGGATCGCGACGACGGGGCCGGTGGGGTAGGCGTTGTAGGGGGTTGGGGGCGGGTAGTACCCGAAGGGCGCGGGCGCGGGCGCTACGTAGGGTTGCGGGCAGAGAGGCATTGGGTAGTAGCCTGGTGGGGGGACGTAGCCTTCTCCTGCGCGCCACTGGTAGGGCGCGAAGTTCATGTGGGAGTGTGCAGGTGGCTGTTGGTGGTGAAGAAGGGTCGATTGGGTGTGGATTGAAGCAATGCAGTGGTTTGGTGGGTCGATGGTGTTGGTGAAGCCTGGTTGTTTGCGGATGTGTAGCAGGAAGAGTTTCATCGAGGAGAGGATTGCTGGGTATTTAACCACGGCGGTAAGCTCTTCAGCATGACCATGATCGGGAAATGCAGGCGTGAACAGTGCGAAAGTGTTCGGACAGCAAACAGTTGCCGTCTGTCATGCGGTGGCGAAGACAAGGCTGACCTGATCTGTCGGTGTGTTGGCATGGTATGTTGCAAAGCCGTAGCATGCCACGAGGCCCCGGCTCTGAAAAGGGGTCTCGTGCGTTGTGCCGTTCGTCCGTGTGAGCACGGTGGAGTGTCGTAACGTGGTCCTCGAATGGCGATAAGGCTGCTATGTGTGCTGGCGTTGGCAGTGTGTTGGTAAAGCGCCTGACAGGGTGGAGGAGTGGCAGGTTCGTGATCATATGGCGCGAAATTTCAGTCTAAGACACATCAGCACCGACAGCCAAGGCATCCACTCACCCGACCAAGACTGGAAAGCAGTATTGTAGTTGTGGATAATGTTGAAAACAATATTGCAGTAACATTGGGTATCTTCCTCCCTCATACACCAGCAACAACAGCCAAGCCGTTGTAGATCAAATTTCGCACCGCGTAAAAGCTGCCCTCCATCTCCTTGGTTCGGAATTGAGGTCTGCTAAGGCCTCCGGCACCTGCTTCGACTTCGATCTTGCCAGTTGCTGACTTTCTCACCACGACCGTGCTGTCAATCAATAAAGTTCCTTCACCGCGGAACTCTGCTGTGTGACCCGACGCCTGCATCAGCCTTCGCAAATCTGCCAATCTCAGATCTCCAACGTGTACGGGCTGTGTAGCTCGTTGCAGGGTGAAACCTGCGGTCGATGCAGTATTGACGAGATCCAGTACAGGCATGGCTAGCAATGTAGCCAATTTTCCGTCACTCTCGACGTCTTCTTTCTTTGCCAGTTTGAGCTTCTTCTTCGCACTCTCCTCACTTTCTTCCGGCTCTTCCAACGGTTCGGCATCCAGTCGACCGGTTAATGCGACAACACCCAGCCCTTTAACGTTCTGCCACGTGAGCTTCTTGACGAGCTGACGGCTGAGTTTGAGGGTCCATGCGTTGGTATCGACACTAGCATCGACCAGCTCTCCAATGACGGGCGTGAAGACGTCCGATGTCGAATCCTCGCCCTCCCCTGCCAGCAGTTGGCGACACTCATTAGCCAGTGCTTGCGTATCTGATGCATCTCCAGATATCAGAATCAGCTTGCGAGGCCGGATCAGAGGAATCAACATTTGAAGATCTCTCTTCTCGTGAAGACCTGAAAAGTCGATGTGCGCGATCTTGAGATTGAGATTCAGAATTCGAATGTCGAAGACAGCTTTCTGAGGACCATCAGCGCCAGCATCTTCTGGCTCGTAATCGCTCTCGCCGTCACTCGACTCTGATGCATCTCCATTCGTGACGGCTGGGGCAGCACCAGGCGCAGCAGGATCTTCGCCTGTCGCGCGAGCTATCAGGGCATCGATGTCATCCGGCTCTCGTTCGACCTTTGGCTTCTTGTTCTGTTCTTGCTTCTGGTTCTTCTGTGCCTTGCCGCGTTCTTTGACGAAAGCCGGTCCCTCCCACTTTCGCTTCTGTCCGACCTCAGCCGTTTGAGGCTTCGTGCCGTCTCGTGTGTCCGCGCCATCACCATCAGTGCGCTCTTCAGCACGCAGATAGTCCTCCGGCTTGATGATATCGCCGAAGTCGTCTTGCTTGCTGCGATGAGGAACGAAAGGAAACATCTTCTCGCGGCCGCGCTTGTTACGCACGTCGAAGTCATGTACATTCTTGCTGCGGATAAGAACGTTTATGCCCAGCTCTGCATCGGACAGGCCAACCTTTCGCTTGTTGCTTTGCGTCATTTGAGCGGACACATTCAGCGCTCGACCTTGATGTTCGGTATCCTCTTCATCTTCTTCATCATCCGACGACTCCTCGGCTTGCTCGTCCGCAATCTCCACAGAGGGATCAGCCCCAGTATTGTCGCCTTGTAGGTTGCTGTGCATTTGTTGTTGGCGTGCGAAGTATTGCTGATACAGCATATCCTCATCTGCGCTGAGTGATGAAGTGTGGACATCTCGAACATGCACAGAGTGGCCCTCTGCACTCACGACCTTGGCGACGCTACTCTTTGACGCTTGGCCGGCGCGGTCTCGATAGCATTCCATGAGCTGCTTTGCGAGACTTGAATAGGCAGCACCACTGGCAGGTGTCTGCTCAGTCAGGATGACAAGGTTTCGAGAGTCTGAGGCGAAAATGTCAAGGGCTTGCCGTGAGAAACCCCATTCGAGAGAAGTGTCACTGGCAAGGAAGATGCAAGGTGATGACCTTCTCATGGCTCTCTCAAACTGCGTCTTGCGTTCAATTTGCTTGATATATTTCCAATCAAGCAGATTGGGCACTTTTTTGTCATCGCCTCCCTGGCCCATTGCTGCTTCTGCATCACGAATGATGGCATCGTCCATCCATTCTAGCATACCCTGTAGTTGACGCATGGTACTTGTGCTGCTCTTGCTGGCCATATAAATCTTGGCTTGTCGATACGTATCTCCGTGCGGTCCACTGATATTCTCGCGCCAGGTGTGGTTCAAGATGAAACCCAGCTCCAAGACGCGTGCAGAGGAGTCTGTCGGTATCAAGACTTTACCGCCTTGAGCGATGGTCTCTCTGATAAGACTAATGAGTGTCTCATCTCTCTTCTTCCTTGGCAGTGTATCCGTCTTTTGTACGCCCTTTGAGCTGCATATCAAAGCAGTCGGCCTCCGCAGAGGCTCGATGATCTCGCTAGCACTGCCCATCCACGCTGCCCCGGATAGCAGGTTCTCGCGACCTTGATTCCAGTCTGCAGCATAGACGATACTCTCCAAGCTGTGCTGGATGTGCCATATTGTACCTCCGGGTGTGTGACCAGCGCTGTACGCGGTGATCGTAAGGTTGCCCAGTGGTGGCGACCATGATGATGGAATCGGCTGATGAGGTTGACTGTACTTCAGTGGATAGACCAGATTGAAGTAGGTCGCGATCTCATCGGGGGTGGGGGGCGTGTAGAGCAGATTGGGGCTTGATTCGGGTCGTGCAGCTACTGGCGACGAGCTGATGGCGGATATGGGCACGATTGAGGCGGCGAGAGGTGACGAGGCGTAGAGATCGGCGAGGAGAGTGCGTCCCAGGTTGATGACGGGGGTGGTGGCATAGACGGGGACTTTGGCGAAGAGAGGGATGTGCTTGCAGCAATGGGCGTATGCGCCGATGTGGTCGATGTTCGGATGGGTCAGGAGGACGAAGGACAGCGTCGAGACGTGCTTCTCCAGCGCCTGCAGCTTCTCGGCGTCGAACGTCTCGTCCCAGCCCACATCGACCAGCACCTTGACGTTGCCATCGAGCTCGAGGAGGGATTGAGATGCGGGCGAGTCGGACTGGGCGCCTAGCAGCGGCGTGAAGTTGAACATGGCGCGTCGCTACCGGTCGATCATGGCAGTGAGGGAGAGAGTCAGTCGTGGGGTTGTCTTTAGCGGTGGTGGTGAGTGAATGAACTGGCGTCGTCACATGAAGAAGGGCGACGGCACGAATGCATGCGGCGACGCGGAGGTGATGTGTGGCGTGTGAGCGGAAGTGAGCTTTGGGCCAGCGTGCAACCTCCAACCTCCAGCGCTCTCTCTTTCTTCCGCACAAACGCAACCAACACTCAATACAAAGACTACCACACAAGATGGCGAACCGAGAGAAGGGCGGCCGGGTGGTGTTCATCGGGAACATCCCCTATGGCGTGTCGGAAGAGCAGATCATGGACATCTTTGGGCGATGCGGACAGGTCATGGGCTTCAGACTGGTCTACGACAAGGAGACGGGCCAGCCGAAGGGCTTCGGGTTCTTGGAGTACTCAGACACCGACTCGGCGGCGACGGCAGTGCGCAATCTGAACGAGTTTGAGCTGAACGGGCGCACGCTGCGGGTGGACTACAGCAACGACAACCGCAGCACCGCCAATGCCAACAACCAGCAGAACCAGCAGCAGGACACCAACCGCGCTCCTCCGCCTGCGCACTTCAATATGCCCGGAGCGCCGCCAGCACGACCGGATGCAACCGCTCTCCCACCCATCCCACCAGGTGTCGAGCTCCTGCCCGGCGTCACGGCCTTCGACCAGATCAGCAACACCCTCAAACAGGTCCAGACGCCTCAGCTGCTCGACTTCATTAGCCAGCTCAAGAACATGTGCGCAAGCAATCCTCAGCAGGCAACTGCCCTCCTCCAATCTCAACCTCAACTCGGATACGCCGTCTTCCAGGCCATGATCCTCCTAAATCTCGTCGACACCAACATCATCGCCCAGCTAGTCGCAACGGCTGGTCCGCAACAACCAGCACAGGCGCTGCCTCCACAACAGCAACCGCCGCCAATGCACTACCCTCCCGCCCAGCCACCCCAAGCCCAATATGGGCAGTATCCACCCGGCTACCCTCAGCAGTACGCCCCCACTCCACCTCAACAAGCTGCGTACCAGGCTCCTCCGCCGCAGCAAGCTCCACAGCCGCAATTACCAGACGATCAAGCAAGAGCGCTTGAAACTGTCAAGAATATGAGTCGCGAGCAGATATACGCAATGGAGCCTCAGATACGCGACCAACTCATCGCTTTGCGTCGACAATGGGGCATATCGACTTGAAAGGTGTGCCTTTGGGACAGGGACTTTCATCTGGGAAGCGCGGCGTAATGGCGTTGGCATGTCTTTCAACGTCTGTGGTCAAGGGGAAAGCATCGAGACGCGAAGTAGGTCTTCTGAAATGATACCCAGGTCAATGTAACGAGTAGTAACATGTACTTTTTAGCCTCATTCCACTTCCCTTCCTACTCTATCTTCTCCATCATATACTTCCGAGCGTCGTTGTTCAGGACGCCACCTAATCCATACGCTGGAATCACTCGACACGCCCTCGCAACAGAAGATGACCACCACATCCTCCTCACAAACTCGAACCTCTCCCTCAATGGCATCTTCCCGCTTCGATAGTACAGATCCAGCCCATACAAATGCAAAGGCGTGCAAAGAAACTGGCTCGCCGCCGGAGCCGCTAGCTGCGCAATGGACAGTCGACTCATGTACTTTTCCAGTCCCTCAGGCAGGCTCGGCGCGATCGCAGCAGGAACGTTGAACGTCGCGCCCAGCGTGATTCCATCCCTGACGATAAATGGGACATAACAGCTCGCCGGCAACGCCCTCAACTTCGACCCAGGAGACCCGAACGATCGCGCAAACGTAGCGTCTTTGTATAGCGCCAGCCCAACATTCACGGCTGTCACCGCTGCGAACTTGGTCGTGCTGCTTGTTGTTGAAGAAGCAGGAAGATTTTCCGAATATGAGGAGAGAGTATCGACGGTATTGGCTGTCAGATATGTCAAGCTGTACAGCAGGAACATGGAAGCCATGGGCCTGTTGAAGAGGAATGTCTGCGGTTGTCGCGCGAGGGATTTCAACGAGTCTCGAACCGAGCTGGCTATTGAAGTTTGGCCTGCTGCTGATTCTGTGACGGCTCTAGAAAAGGGTTCAGCCTTGTCCGCGGATATTGAGGATTGCTGTGATCGCTCACCTATCGATCAAGGTCATCACAGGCGATACAGCAGTTGCTGCTGCCAACGCCGCTGCGGCGTCGACTGAAAGCCGCTGGAATAAGTTCTCCGTCTTGGAGACATCTCTCGACGATAAGGATGTTCTTTCAGCCTTCGAGCCCGACTTCATCAATGCCTGGTCCTGTTGCATCTTGACTGTCCGACTGTAGAGTCTTCTTCAAAAAACACAGTCTTCTCACACATCGACGAGCCTGCAAGCCGACCAACGAATCCTCGCCATCTGCCAAAGCTTCATTTTCGGCGCCGACGGAACCGCACTATCACCTTCCAGCTCCCTTCGCAGCTCAGCACCGGCATTCAAAGCTGCGTCCAAAGCTCTCTCTACCGAATCCACGGCTGTCACATTGCCAACACATGAGCTTGTTCAAAAAGAGTCAGAGTTTCCAGAGACGTCTTGGATCGGGACTGGTAGCCGACTCCATGAAAGCTCAGTGAGCAGGGAGGTGGAGCTCCATCTTCGGGTCTTGGAACCGCGTCACGTGATGGTGGTTGCTCTGCCTATCGATCTGGTGGATGTCGGTCGGGCAAGTGATGGACCGGTAGGCCCGGGAAATTTATCGAAGGCCGGGAATGGTGGTGATAACCTTGTCTTTAGTTTGGAAGTTTGGAAAGACTGCAACATCGCCGAGATTCTGGAAGGTTTTGAGAGTTGCTGAAAGGAAACGTTGCAAAATGGCGACCAATTCGGAACAAGACGTATTGAATTCTGGAACAACACCATACTCAGCAAATGGAAGACAGGATTCTGAATCGCCATTGGCGTCTGTGCCTATGGCTCCAAAAGATCCCATGTTTGGATTGAGTGCAGCGTTTCGAGCTGATACTGATCCCAAGAAGGTCGATCTGGGTGTTGGGGCATACAGAGACGACAATGCAAAGCCTTGGGTGTTGTCCGTCGTCAAGAAAGTAGGATCACCAACAAGGCTGCCAGAAGATCATAAACTGATGTTCTGACCAGGCCGATGAGATTCTCCGACAAACACCAGATCTCAACCATGAATACCTTCCCATCGCCGGACTCAACGAGTACCTCGCCGCCTCCCAACAACTCGTCTTTGGCAAAGACAGCCAAATCCTCCACAACCACCGCGTCGCCACCATGCAAACCATCTCCGGCACAGGAGCCCTCCACCTCGGCGCACGCTTCCTCTCCAAATTCTTCCCAGAATCCGACGCCAAACGAGTCCACGTCAGCTCGCCCCCCTACGTAAACCACCTCCCCATCCTCCACGACGCCTGCCTCGAAACCGCCTTCTACCCTTACTACACCCCCACCACCAAATCCCTCGACTGCGACGCCCTCCTCGCCACCCTCCACGCCATCCCCGAGCACTCCATCGTCCTCCTGCACGCCTGCGCCCACAACCCCACCGGCGTCGATCCCACACAATCCCAATGGCGGCAAATCGCCTCCGTAATGCGGGAGAGACAACACCTCCCCTTCTTCGACTCCGCCTACCAAGGCTTCGCATCAGGCGACCTCGACGCCGACGCCTGGGCGATCCGGCACTTCGTATCCCTCGACTTCCCCGCCCTCCTCGTCGCGCAGTCGTACGCGAAGAATTTCGGCCTGTACGGCGAGCGCACAGGGTGTCTGCACGTCGTTGCCCAGGACGCGGATCTCGCCGCGAGGATTAAATCCCAAATGGAGAAGTTGCAGAGAGTGAATATCTCCACCCCGCCCGCGTACGGCGCGCGGATCGCGAGTACGGTTCTCAGTTCCCCTGCTCTCTTCTCCGAATGGCAAGAAGACTTGAGAACGATGTCCGGACGGATCGTCGAGATGCGGAGAGCTTTGCGAGCCCTTCTCGAGAAGGGGAAGGGTGAGGAGGGCAAGTGGAAGCATCTGACGGAGCAGACGGGGATGTTTTGTTACACGGGCTTGGATCCGGAGCAGGTGAGGGTTTTGCGGGAGAAGTGGCATGTTTATTTGACGGGCGATGGGCGGGTTAGTGTTAGTGGGTTGAATTGGGGGAATGTAAGGTATGTGGCGGAGGCTTTTGGGGCGGTGGAGGGGATGGGGAAGGCAGATAAGGCGAGGATGTGATGAGACTGTGATGATGGAGTTGGGAGTCTGAAATGTCCATTCCTCTCTATCTATCTACATGCAATGCAATTTCCACCTCACCTCCAGAACTCAAAAGCTCAATCAATCATGTCTTCATAACAATCATCACATAACCCAAAGTAACAACCCTCCCCGAAAAGAAACTTCCTACAACCTTGCCCTAACAACCCTCTCCTTCGCCCGAATCAACTCCCCCAACTCCGCCCCCTTCCCAATCCTCCAACTAACCTTTTCGCCCCAATCCCCCCCTCCAACACTCCCCTCCCTCCACTGCCACCGCTCCAAAGGCTGCTTCCCTCGCTGGATCAACTCCACAACCCACTCCCCAAACACCGGCATCATCTTGAAGCCGTGCCCGGAATCCCCTGACAGACAAATCACGGAGTTCTCGGTGCCGGGTACGTAGTCGATGCAGTATTCTGAATCCGCGGTATCCGCGAACCAGCAGAGTTTCTGGTCGACGAAGGGGCGGGACGCCATCCAGGGGAAGGTTTCGCGGAGGAGTTGGCGCAACTTCTTCTCGTCCTCGTATGGGATGAAGTCCTGCGGTGGCGGGAGACGGTCAGGCGGTGGGAGGGATATCCCCGTTTTCGCATCCGGGTTCGTGTAGCCGATCCCTAAGGGGCAGAGTTTGAACAGTCGGGTTTTAGGGTCTGGTTCGAAGAAGAATCCCAGATCCCGCACGTTCGTCGTGGGGATTCCGCGGAGGAGATTGCATTCCTCCTCCGTGAGCTGGACGTGCGCGACGGACCAGCTGCGCGCGACGGAGAATTTTCCGAGGCTGGGGAGGAGGGAGGCGCCGTGGGCGCCCAGGGCCACGATTGTAAGAGCCGAAGAATGCGTCTGTCCGTCGGCCGTGACGAAGCCCGTGCATTTCTTGCCGGAGTAGACGAGTTTCGTAACTCTCCCCGCCTCCTCACCAAGCACGAACTTGACACCCCTCCTTGCGGCGAACTCCCACGCGCTGCGGAGGGAATCGCTCGAGTGCGCGTAGCCCGCGAGACGGTTATAATACCCCTTCCACTGGCTCAACGGACCCGTATACTGCCACGTATAATCCCTGAACGCCTCGCGGCCCTCCAGTCTCCGAATCCCCGCCTTGAACGCCGGATCCTGCTCAATCGACGCGAGGGCTTTCTCGAGGTGCTCGACGGCTTTCGGGGGCGCGCGACCCGTGCAGGCGACGACGTAGCCGGTTTGGTGGTAGTGCGGTGTGAACGCCGGGTGGGTTTTCCAGGCGTGGATGGCTTGGAGGGCGAGCCGGGTGTAGAAGGGGTCTTCGTATTCGGCGCGCACGATTTTGTTGAGGTCGTAGGCGGCGGAGTAGGGGGAGGGGATTTCGGGGGAGCGGTCGTAGACGGTTAGGTTGGTGTGGCCGGCGGCGAGGAGGTGGATTGCTGTTGAGAGGCCCCAGGCGCCGCTGCCGAGGATGGAGATGGGGGTGTCTTTTGATATCGGCATTGTGTGAATATATCTCTGTCTTGTCCTGATGGGTGAGGTCGAGAAGGATAAATCAATGTTTTAATTGAGAATCACTCTTGCTCTCGGAGCTCAATCCTTCCGCACTCCGAATATGCCGTCCTTCCTCACGCATATATTATCCAGAAACCTTCGGGTTCCTCTTTCCTACTCCAGCGAATCCATGATCCCATGGCGAGAGAAGCTGATCCGGACACAAGTTCCGTTTCGCACGACGACTCGATCCACGTAACACATGACCTGACAAGCTCTATCTCGTCGAAACAAGTATCTCGTCGGGACCCCTCCCGAGAGGTGAGGTTGGTTCTGGTTCCTGACTACGGTTGACCTTCCGTGAAGCTCTTGTGGGGAGAGCTGTGCGGAGAGCGACTCCTCAAGCCGTCACCAGCCGATGACTACACAATCTTCTACCAGGTACACGCTCGAAATGGCAGTTGGGAACGGAGGGGATGTATCGGTCGGTCACGGAAGCCGTGGATGCAATGCTGGTCACACGGCTGCGAGACCGGCGTGTTGCATGTGCGGGTGAGGAGCAACGGGAACTTTTAATGTATACAGTGGCGTCAACAACGCGTTTCTGTGGAAAAGTGAGCTTGTGACTTTTTTTGTTTGTCTTGCTCTTCGTTGCTCTGTTCTTCGTTTGCTGCTCTTCACAGATCTCAAGATGGCGACGAGATTACGACCTGCTGGATCAGCTCTCAGACAGACTGCGACTTTGAGATCGCAACGGATATGCAGCAGACCAGTCAATGGTGTGAGGTGTTTGACCTCTGGCACTTACCGTGTGCCGAAGCCTTTCAATGAGCCAAATGTGAGTTCATGGAGTTGGTGTTGTGTGGGAGGTCTGAACTGACGAAGAACACCAGCTCGAATTCGCACCCAACTCACCAGAGCGAACAAAGCTCTCCAGGGCACTAGAAGAGCTCCGAGCACAACTCCCCGTCAAGGTCCCAGCGATCGGTGGAAAGAATGCACAGGTGTCGGCAAACCAGTCACTCACGTCCATGGTGATGCCTGCCGAGCACAAGTCGTCATTCCAAGAGTTCGCCTCAGCATCCAAGGAGGATGTCAACAAGGCGATCGAGTCCGCGTTGAAGGCGAAGAAGACCTGGCAGGAAATGCCCTTCACAGACCGTGCCTCCATCTTTCTGCGAGCGGCCGACTTGGTGTCTGGCAAATACCGCTTCCAGCTTCTTGCAGCTACCATGCTCGGCCAGGGAAAGAACGCATGGCAGGCTGAGATCGATGCGGCTGCAGAGTTGGCAGATTTCTACCGGTATAATGTTGGTTTTGCTCAAGAGATTTACGACAAGCAACCGACCGTGAACGCTCAGAGCCACCACGGACGAACAGACTGGCGGCCGCTCGAGGGTTTCGTCTACGCTGTCTCTCCGTTCAACTTCACTGCCATTGGTGGTAACCTCGTCTCGGCACCTGCGCTGATGGGCAACGTCGTTGTGTGGAAGCCAGCTCCAATGAACGCCTACGCCAGTCATCTTGTGCACCAGATCCTGCTAGAGGCCGGTCTTCCAGAGGGTGTCATTCAGATCGTCCACGGCGACGCCGAGACCATCACCAACACCGTCTTTGATCACCGCGAGTTCTCGGCCCTGGCATTCATCGGCTCTTCTGATGTCTTCCGTTCTCTGAACGTCAAAGCCGCTCAAGGCCTCGCAGAGAAGAGGTACCGCGATTTCCCGCGGATGATGGGCGAGACCTCTGGCAAGAACTTCCACCTCCTTCATCCTTCAGCCGATGTTGTCAACGCAGCCAAGCACACAGTCCGAGCATCGTTCGAGTACGCCGGCCAGAAGTGCTCTGCATGCTCCCGTATCTACATCCCCGAGAGCCGCGCCGATGAGTTCTTCACTCAAATCAAGAAAGAACTCGCCCGTGTCAAGGTCGGTCCTCCAGAGGATTATCAATCGTTCACAGGTCCCGTCATCAACAAGAAGGCTTTCGACCGCATCACCGCCGCCATCGATTCCGCCAACGCCGACAGCAAGCTCGAGAAAGTCGTCGGTGGCACCTACGATAGCTCCACGGGCTGGTACATCGACCCAACCATCTACAAGACCTCCAACCCAGACCACGAACTCTTCGACAAAGAACTCTTCGGCCCCGTCCTCGTCGCCTACGTGTACCCCGACGCCGAATTCGAAAAGACGCTCGACATCGTCGACAAGCAAGGAGGCGGCTTCGCTTTGACCGGCAACATCTTCTCCAACGACCAGCAGGCGGTCAGACTAGCGGAAGACAAGCTGCGATACGCAGCCGGAAACTTCTACATCAACTGCAAGATCACGGCGGCGGTGATCGGACAGCAATCGTTCGGTGGCTCGAGGATGAGCGGTACTTGTGACAAGGCGGGAAGCGCGGGGCTCATGCAGAGGTTTACCGCGCCGAGGACGCTGAAGGAGGAGTATAACAAGTTGGATGAGGTTTTGTATCCTAGTAATTTGTGAGGAGAATGAGGCTTGAGCGCTTGGGGACGGATGATGTCTTGATGATGGCTTTGCATGGTTGCATGAGGGCTGGTGTTGGTGGTTGATAGATGATGAATGTATTGAAAGCGATGTTCGAATTGTCGAGAATGAGTCTGGGCTCCAATGGTGTACTACTTTTAGGCCGTGAAATTGTGATCGGCGATTCCCCAGAGAGTTCAGCCATAAGGCTGAGACATTCTGGGGTACTTTAGATTGCCGCCCGCGAGATTGAGATGCCGAAATTATAACATTTCGAGATGATCGTTCTTGAAGAATTTGACATCGTTTGATGATGTCGTTTCCAAATCTGTTACTACGGCCATTCATCGAAGGAGGCACTCCTCCAGCAAGTTTATGGTACAAGATACGTACTCAAAGATAACAGTCATCAAAACGGATAAGATGCCCGAGATTGGGTTGTATAGCGGCATCGCATACCGATCCGACTTCACTCACTCGCCTTCCGCCTCACAGTAACAATTGATGGACGAAACACGGAGCGGGCGCGTGCGAAAACGTGCCCCGAACGCGTCAGTTTCCGGCCCCCACGCGATCAAGTTTGTGTGCCCGACTAACGATTGTCTCAGGTGCAATCGATGCCGGCGACAGAAAATCAAGTGCTCAGGCAATGTGCCTTGCGAACAGTGCAGTCGACGGAGTATCTCCTGCGTCTTTGACGACAAGCAACACAAGATCCTCGTTAGTCAACAGTAAGACCTTCCCGCAGCTTCCGACTGCCGTCGACTTCGAAACCTGGCTTATGAAGTACATATAGCTACCTCGCGGAACTGGAACGACAGGTCTCTCAGCTTCCTGAAAGTCGTCTCAATGGCGGGATCGGTGCCGATAGAGGAGACGAGGAGATTCATCCCTCTTCACAACAGGACTTCATGACAGAAGCCGGACCGGAAGCCCCGCAGAACCCAACGCCACCTCCCGGGTCTAATGATATTGATATCGAACATGATGATCCTGACTCCGAGTCAGAGGACTCGCATCAGCATAGCGGACTGCGTGCTACGCCGGAAGCTGATTTGACGAACCCGCTTAATCCCAGTACTTCTGAGTCGTGGACGGTAGATCAGGCCAGTAAACGATGTAAGTAGTCCACATCCAACGCAAGATGTCAACACTGACAATACATATAGTCTTCTTGGGCGTATCTAGCAATTGGTCTTTCGGCCGACGGATCTTACGGATGGTCTACGAGAAGATCAATGGCACCGAGCTCCCACCGGACAGTCTCCTTTTCGAGGGATCGACTTACGACCTTGAATGGGATGGCCATATCAGCTCAACCAGCGTCGATGTATCCACTTTACCAACCTCGGACTTCGCACTCTTCCTCATCAACGCCGTCAAGTTCCACTGCGGACGGCTGTTCCACATGTTCGACGAGACGACGTTCATGCATTACTTCGGGAAGTTCTATGAGGATCCGGGCAACGAGAAGAACTACCCTCGCCTGTGGTACATCCATTTTCTGTTGATTCTGGCCTTCGGCAAGGCTTTTATCGTTCGAACGAACAAAGCCAAGCGACCCCCTGGCGCTGAGTTGTTCGTGCAAGCGATGCAATTGTTGCCGAACGTCACCTTTTTCTGGTCAGATCCGATACAGTCGATTGAGATTTTGACTTGTAAAGCGCTGTACTTGCAGTGTCTGGACCTGCGGAGCGCCGCTTACAATGTCGTAGGTGCTTTGTAGTGTCTTCCTTCGAAAACGAGACTGACACGAGAATAGATCGGCCAGGCGTCTCGTCTTGCCGTTGAGCAAGGCATGCACACTGACATGCGCAGCCTACATCTGGAAGAGCATGTCGTGGAAAGATGCCGCGAAGTTTGGTGGACAGTCTACATCTTAGATCGCCACATGACATCTCTGCAAGGCGTGCCGATTACTTTGTCTGACGATGACATAACCGCCGTGTTGCCAAAATTCGCTGGCTCGACAAGGAAGTCACTGGCCCTCAGCTTGCATGTGAAATTGTCCAGGGCTGAAGCGATGATTCTCCAGAGTATGTTCAGATTGAGTTGATTCATGGACTTCGCTAACGTGTAACAGCTGTCTACGGCAAGAGCGGCGGACGAAGCGAACGCTTTATGGCCAGCATGAAAGAAGCGCTGAGGACGATCGCTGAAGCCAACGATGAGCGCAATCAATACTTCCCCCTCGACCTCAAAGCCTCTGCGAGCGGTATATGTCGACTGTCTGCGTATTTGCACATCTTCCACCATCAAGTACGTCCAGCATCGATGAATTGGTGTGCTCCAGCTGACAGTGCGACAGTGCCTCATTCTTGCGACCAGACCACTCCTCTACAGCTTTCTACAGAAGCGGCTAAACTCGTCAAGGCCTCTGCGTGTATCGACTTCTCACGGGGCGAGGTCTCTTTTACGTGTCTGCATTGGCTCTGCACAGCAGACGCTCAATATACTGGAAGCACTGCAGGCTCAATGTCTTCTGGGTGAGTTCAAATGCAAGAATTCCTCAAGTCTCGATGACTGACACTATCTGCTTAGAGAGCCATATGCCCTTCGATTGTGATGCTACATTTTCGTCTGCGCTGGTGCTACTGGTCGCCACTACGGTCGATCCATCGTTAGTCCGTGACAAGAATCCGAGGCTGGAGACTGCTTATACCCTTCTTAACGAGATGGTCTGTCGAGGGAATCTTATCGCTGGCTACAATAAGCGGGAGCTTGAACTGGTGGACGAAAACTTCAAGAAATTGCATGAGCTCAACGCTGCGGCCCAGCAACCGAGTCAGAATGAAACGCCCACCAGTGTCACGGCTTTGCCTCTGGTTCCGCAGCCGGGTATGGACGACCAGCTTCAGGACAATTTGTACAGCATTGACACGATCTTGAGTGAATGGAACTCTGAAGATGGTCTCAGCGGAGAACACCTTCTGGCGATGGCCGACTCCCTGGACTTTGGACAGTTGAATTGGATGGATATGGGTGACTACGATCAGGCTACGACATCGGCATTTTGAGATATGAGTTTTACGAATTACGGCAGTGTACGAGCTATGTATAATCGCAACAATTTCTACGTCTTCCACGAAGCCATCTCAGACACCACTTCGGCGACCGAAAGCGGTCCCAATCTCCCATCACTCACCTGGAACAGCACCCGATCCGGCCACCACTTGGACGGCAACGAACTCCTACTCGCCCGTAAGTCGGCGCATCAGAATGTCGTATCCATGTGTCAACCCCAGGGACACAATCAGTCACATGTGCTCACCTGCCGAAACGAAGGCCTTCCAGCCCCGGATTCCATATCCAAGTATAGCAAGTAGCTCACCCAAGGCCCTATCGAAACAGCCTGGGTAAAGCCGCCTTCTGCCGTGCGAGAGCTTAGCTTTACGTGTCAGCCGGGAGCTACGTCCCTTGGTATCACAGAGCTTCCATGTGGAGTCCTGGCCCGACCAACGCACCCCTCCTCGGGACTATTGTCCGACCGAAGAGGTCGAGATAGGAGGATGATCTTAAAGGTGTAGATAGAGATGTGAGGTTCTTGCAGCTGGGTTGTATCGTTGTCCTCGTCTTCGTCAACGTCTATCATGTCCATCAACACGATGTTCGGCCGGGCTGTGGGGAGCAATGTGCGATTGTGTGTTGTGCCTTCGTTGCAATGCGAACGTTCTGCCAGGAAGGTCATACTCGCCACCGCGAGGAGGAAATATTCAGACTATACCGTCGCCCCAAGGGAGGTCAAGGAGAGCAATGACTTCGTTCCCAAGCAGGCGTCTCAGTCACAGGCTGTCGTCGTTCCTGCGTCTGGACTAGAACGATTGCCGACGGTCAACATCCTCAGAAACCTCCTCCTGGGGAGCCTTTTCACATCGCCACTTCTCTTTCGAGTGGGCATGACCGTCCTCTCAGGCATCGCCAACTCAAGATCAGCACTTCTCAACCCGGACGCAAATCCAATCTTGAGGGCATTGGTCAAACCCCTTGTATATGACCAATTTTGTGCTGGAACGAATCAACATGAAATTTACAAGACACGAGACACGATCAAGCGCATGGGATTCTCTGGTATCATTCTTTGTTATGGCAAGGAGATTCAGGTTTCTAGTTCAGGGGGCTTGCATTCAACGGGAAGGGGAGATTCTAATCAATCTCTGGAAATTAATATGTGGAGGGATGGCAATTTGAAGACTTTGGATATGGTTGGCGAGGGCGATTGGCTTGGAATGAAGTAAGTCATAGCTTCTCGTCGTTGATATGGCCATTGCTAACAATACTCAGATTGACCGGTGCTGGACCCGGCGTCACTAACGCCTTAATGAAGAACGAAGACCCACCCGAAGAATTCACCGCGGCAATGAACGCAATCTGCGACAAAGCACTCGAGAAGAACTGCAGAATCTGGGTCGACGCCGAACAACAAGTCCTCCAAACCGCCATCGACCGCTGGACGATCGATGTCATGCGGCGATACAACAATAACGGCAAGGCTCTCGTCTATAACACCATCCAAGCCTACCTCAAAGCCTCGCGGACGAAGCTGAAGGATCAACTCGCTATTGCCGAACGAGAAGGCTGGACGCTCGCCGTGAAACTCGTTCGTGGCGCTTACATCGCCAACGACCAAAGAAACCTCATCCACGATACCAAGCAGGATACCGATAACTCCTACAACGGCATCGTCCGCGACCTACTCTCCGGCACAAACCTCGGCTTCTCTCCCGAGAACTTCCCCAGAGTCCAACTCTTCCTCGCAGGCCACAACCCCGAAAGCGTGGCCCGCGCCTGGGATCTTGTGCAATCCCTCTCCAACCAGAACAAGCTCAAAGTCCTCCCTGACTTCGGCCAACTCCAGGGCATGGCCGACGAGTTAGGCTGTAAAGTCGTGAAACGCTGTGAGGATCTCGAGGGGCAGAAGAGCGAGAAGGCGAACGTTGTCATTCCTAAAGCGTACAAGTGTTTGACCTGGGGCAGTATTCAGGAGTGTATGCAGTACTTGCTGAGGAGGATCATTGAGAATCGGGGTGGAGCGGATCGTATGAAGGATGGGATGGCGGCGAATTGGGCGGAGTTGAAAAGGAGGGTTACTGGGGGGAGGGCGTTGAGTAGATGAGTGTTTGGGGATTTATGTGATGATGATTATGAGGTGATGATTCGGATTTATTCTTATTTGGGCGTTTGTCGAGCATATGGTAGCATTGATCTTGGAATCTCTTCGAAATGTGTATGTCTTGTCTCAGTTGAATGTCCTTGCGGAGCCTGAATATCATTGTAATATACTGGGTGAGGTCTATTCGAGACGAGCTGCACGTCAACGTTGGCTCAACTTACTTCACAAGTCTGCCTTAGATACAACGTTCCAGTAAACCGCGCATAAGTCTCTTCGGCTGTCGATGCAAAGCACAGGAGCAAATGAAATGTAAAGGACATGCGAACCGCTGCTTTCGCTCATCAAAACACCATCGGATGGCGTTACCGATGTGCATTCGCAGCCTCGCTTGTCCACCGTGTCCACCCTCCGGCGCTGCCGCTCTACCCGACCCCTGACCAGCCTCATTGGGAACTTATATCGACCCCTCAGCACGCTCTTTGATCGTCGAAGACTCCATCGCACCCATATTCCACGATGGCAGCAACTATCGAATCTTCGGTCCAGGTCTCGGCAGCGGCTTCCTCGAAGAGGCCATACGTTCACAACTATCCAGTGCCGAAGCCCGGATGCTATGTCCCGGCCATCACTTTCTACCAGAGAGGCGCGGATAAGCTGGACTTGGATGCGCAGGCAAAGTACTATGCGTACCTTGCCAGCACTGGCTTGCAGGGACTTGTGATTCTGGGGACCAACGCGGAGACGTTTCTCCTGACGAGGGAGGAGAGGAAAACACTTTTGCAGCTGGCTCGTCGCTCGGTGCCGGCGGACTGTCCGATTATTGCTGGTGGTAAGTATGAGGCATATATCTGTAGGAGGGCCATCGTGCTGATGATTCCGACCACTTCTAGTGGGAGGCCACTCAACCGCACAAGTCCTCGAATTTATCACAGACGCATACGAAGCCGGCGCCAACTTCGTCCTCCTCCTACCATGCGCATACTTCGGCAAGCAGACAACAACAGCTGTCGTCAAGGATTTCTACAAACAGGTCGCCAGCGTTAGCCAGCTCCCCATCATCCTCTACAACTTCCCGGCCGTCTGCAGCGGCCTAGACATGGACTCGGAAATCATCGCCAAGATCGCAAAGGCCAACGACAACGTCGTCGGAGTGAAGTTGACCTGTGGCTCTGTTGCAAAGATCGCTCGACTCGCCGCGGTCTTCGCACCTTCACGGTTTGCTGTCTACGGCGGCCAATCCGACTTTCTGCTCGGAGGCCTTGCCGTCGGTAGCGCAGGCTGCATCGCCGCATTTGCAAACGTCTTCCCGAAGTCAGTCGCCAGGCTCTATCGGTTATGGCAAGCCGGTCGACAAGACGAAGCTCTCAAGCTGCAGCAAACACTCTCTCTGGCGGAATCACCTACCAAAGCCGGTGTTGCTAATACGAAATACGCTACCGCTGTTGTGACTGCTCCACGAGCTGGCATCAAGGATGCGGAGTACTTGCTTCGGCCACGAAGGCCGTACACTGAGCCGACGGCGGATGTGAAGGCGAAGATAAGGAGTGTGATGACGCCGATTGTGCGATTAGAAGATGTTAGTGCTGAGGTGGAGGTGAGGAGTCGATTGTGAGGAGACGTCGGGAGTGGGTGCCGAGTGGAGAGGAGACGAGCATCGGATGTGCAGCCGTGTCCCGGCTGTGCCCTGCCGACTACCTTGCTTGGTGGAGTTGGGAAGCATCAGTTCATGAAAAGGCGTTTGGGGAGACGTCTCATCAAACATAGCGAGGAGAATCAATAGAAGACGTTATAATGACTGGATCAAATGAGAAATCTCTCAAGATAGCCATTCTCGGCTGCGGTAGGCCTCTATACTCGGAAAGTTGCGAAATCGCCACCTGATGAAGGAGCAGGTTACATGGGAACAGCCTTACTCGATGGCTGGCTACAGAGATCAAAGCACACATTCACAGCACACGTCAAGTCACAAAATTCTCATGACCGACTACAGGAGAGCCTCTCCAGCCACTCCGACAAAGTGACAGTCTCCCACGGCGATGACAAGATCGCCCAAGCAGCCAAAGATGCCGATATTATCCTCCTGGGCATCTTGCCAGGCGAACTCAGCGCATTGCTCAAGATCTCAGGTCTAGTTCAAACGTTGAAAGGAAAAGTCATCGTCTCGATGCTTGCCGGCGTCCCAACATCTCAACTTCAGAAAGAACTGGCCTCTCAACCTAGCTCCGATGACTGGAAAGTCGCACGAATCATTCCAACCATCGGCTCTAGAATAGGGGAGAGTGTCACACTAGTCGCAGACCCCGACTCTAAAGTTCCAGAGCACTTCAAGCTCATCGACGAGACCTTCGCCAGCATCGGCTCGGTCCAGCACGTCCCCGAATCGCAGATGGACGCTGCGACAGCAATCGGCGCAGCAGTACACGCCTTGGCCATCGTCGCCACGGACTCCGTGACTGATGCAAGTGTGGCGAGCGGAGTGCCACGTGCGACGGCACAGGCGCTCACAGCTGCCTGTCTCAAGAGTGCTGGGGCTTTGTTCAACCAGGGAGGCATGACCCCTGAGTCGATGAAGGCGGCGATGAGTACACCCAGCGGGATCACACTCAATGCTTTGGTCAATCTGGATTCGACGGTGAGGGCTGGGATCTCCAGTGCGACGAGGGGTGCGATTGATTATGCGAGGAGTATGAATGACTAGACTACGGTGTCGTTGGAGGTCTGGCGGAGTGTTTGACGGAGTGCATGGCTGATCGATGACGATGAACAAGGACATTTTGGCTCTCAATGCTTCCGAATAATGAGCTATCTGACTTGTACAAATACGACTCATAGTAAAAAGCACTTATCTCACACAGCAAAGAAAATCAATAAGCAAGATGTAGCAGAATGCCTCAACGCTTCAAAAGTGCAGAAGTCATCCAACATCTCGCCGAGACCAAACATCGTCCAAACTTCGAAATGAACTGGTGGCACAACTTGAAAACCCGACCCTCCGATATCCCACCATCCACCATGACGCCTATAGTTCACCGCCTCCCAAGTCATTCCCTCCACAAGCCCTTCCCAAAAGCATCTTAATTCGCCCATCAGTTTGGTTGGTTAGGGTAGGAAGTGCAGGTTGGCTTGTGGTAAGGGAGGCCGGCGCCGCATTCTGGGCAAGTCTTCTTGGACATTGTGGATAGTTTTGACCTTGAAGTCTGATTTGCGATAGTGGGTTCGAACGATCGGTTCTGTTGCGATTTGTGATGGTGTGCTTGAATGGTGGGTTCTGTTGCGGTGTGGAGTCTTGATTGAAGGATTCAAGTGTGAGTGGTTCTTTAATGATGTGTTGAGAGAGGCAGATCTGGCTATTCTTATACTATGGTTATTCGTTCTGTGAATGCAGAAAGAGAGTAATTGCTAGGCAGTCTTGAATGTGCACTATTAGCCAAATAGAATCATTCACTACTACATAGGGACAAATAGAAGACCAGGGTTTGCATTGAGTATCGACTTCAATGTTACGTGCGACTTACTACCAGAAAAGCTCACATGTTGCGGTCAGTCGCCCCATTTTCTAGACCATGGAGTCGCTCAGGTGGTCCAACTCGATAAAGGAGTTATCCTTGACCTTGGTACCAGCCCCAAAAGCTCTCTGGATAATCCATCTCGTGAAATGGAGGTGGTGATTGACATATAGGGCAAGGCCACTGGATTGCCATCGTCGATTTGACTTTGCTGGTAGATCGGTTGGTTGACAGTTAGAGGTTGTTCTGATTTGAGGGAGTTGCTGAATAGTTGCTCCAAAGCTGAACTTTCATAAATGCATGAAAGAGCATATGAAGGCCATAATGATTTATTGAAGTCTCCAAAAGATGATGTTGAACAAGGCTGCGGTCGTCTTCACCCCTATCGATACGAATGATGCCTCAGGCAGAACACGGAGCTCGCTCCACGTGAGATCTCTTCCACGCTTGCGTCCACGCGCAACCATCACAAACTTCTATTGGCATTGAATGCATCGCTTGCGTGGTCATGACGAGAATGACCAATACCTGGCATCGCCCGAGAAGGAGCCGTGAGCAGCATAGTGAGAGCCGACAATGTCGAACCGCGGGAGGGCGGTCTCCGTGGACTTCGACGTCTTCGCCAACGCTCAAGTTTGACGAGGAGATGAAGAGAAACCATTCTCGGCAGCTATTTCATATGTTCGAAGATTCGGCACGTATCAGACTACCGAATCATGAACCAGAATAAGAATCTCACAGGTCAAATCTGAAACTCTACACCCCACGGAATGGGGCAGACGTCTTCACTACGGAAAGAAGAGACCACCAACATCTCAACTTGACTTCACAATCCCTATGAGACCACAGAGAGTCACCATCTAAAGTCCATCGCGGCATACTCTCATCCAGGGCATCTTTTCAGCCACGGATTACAACTTACCGCAGCCAAGTAAAATGGCTTGAATGCCCAGAAACATCAAGCCTCTAGAACCAGGTTCGCATTCTACCTTCGACAGCGACAGCAAGAGCGGGGTATACCCCATGGGGCAAGCCATGTGGTGTACACGCGAGGTACACATGGAGACCTCTCGAGTTCCAAGCCTGTCCTTCAACATTGGCATTGAACTATGGAGTCAAGCGGCACAGAGATGCGGAAATGCCAGAGAAAGGTATTTAAGAAAGCTCTTCTAGCGGCAGACATGATCGTTCAAACTTCTAACCCGTCGAAACTCAACAATTATCACGATGACTTCCGACAAGGCGCAGGACGACATGTTCGCCGAAAAGATCGACGTCGTTGTGGATGCAACGGAACTGCAACCTTCTCCATCACAGATCCAGTCAAGATTCGAGACGCTGCGAGACCTCGACGATGAGCAAATGGCAACTCTGAACAAGAAGTTGCTTCGAAAGATAGATTGGCGTCTGATGCCGACGATTACAATCATGTTTCTCATGAAGTGCGTTGTATACATTGTGATGGATAAGCTCGTGCTGATACAAGTCTACAGCTATCTTGATCGTATCAATGTGTCCAACGGTAAGCAAAACCCACGCATGGATCTTCAAGAACTTCTCTAATCAACTCTCAGCCAGAATCGCTGGCCTTCAGGACGATCTCAATATGTCAGACGCCGTCTGGAGCACCGGTATCTCAGCCTTCTACATTGGATACCTTATCGGCCAACTTCCGGGCAATCTATGGCTCGCTCGGGTCCGTCCAAGTCTCTTGCTCCCAGGAATGATGATTGGGTGGAGCATCTGCACAATTTGCATGCCTGCAGTGACCTCTGGAGTCGGATTCTGCATGGTTCGCTTTGTTACCGGCCTCTGCGAAGCACCGTTCTTCCCGGGCATCACGTTGAGTAAGTCAAAACTGCCTGCGACGATAAGACACACACATCTGATATGTTTCCAGTGACGTCTTCATGGTATATGAAGGAAGAAAACCCAATGAGAATGGCCATCTGGCACGCGGGCAACACCATTTCTAACATCATATCCGGCTTCCTCGCAGCTGGTATCTTGCACAATATGGGCGGTATGGCCGGACTCTACAGCTGGCAATGGTTCTTCATCATCGAAGGAGCCGTCAGTATCCTCGTGGGTGTCGTAGCTTTCTTTCTCTTGCCTGATTGGCCTGAGAATACCCGCTGGCTGTCAGACGAGGAGCGTGAAATAGCACGATACCGGGTCCTCGTCTCCAACGGCGGCAAAGAAGAACAGGTCGGCGGCACCTGGGACGGCCTTAAAGACGCCATCAAAGACCCATTTACTTGGATGTTCTGCGGCATGCACTTTTCTCTGATCAACGCCCAGTCCTTCAAGGACTTCTTCCCTTCAGTAAGGCTCAACCCTCCGGCTCGAATCGTTTGAAACAGCCAACTGACACTCTCAACCAGATCATCAAGACCTTTGGCTTCTCAGAACTCAACACCTATCTCGTTCAAGCACCACCCTACGCTATCGCATACATAACTGCCTGCCTCTGCGCCTACTCGTCTGGCAGATTCCGCGAATCGTGCTACCACATCATCCTGCCCATTGTAGCATCCGCAGTCGGAATCTCGCTCATGATATCAACTCCCAACATCGGAGCACGATATTTTGGATCTGTGCTTCTCGTATCAGGCACGTACAATGGCCTCAACCTCCAGCTGTCCTGGGAGACAACACTGGTCCCGGCACCTCGAAGCAAGAAGGCAGCCCTGATCGCCATCGCGAACTGTGTCAGCCAGTGCTCGCATTGGTTCTCGCCATACTTCTTCCCAACGAAGCACGAGCCGTTCTATCGCCTTGGAGGTGGATTGATCCTGTTCGGATGTTTGTGTACAGCTTTGCTGTGCTGGGCGGTCAAATGGTGGGCGAAGCGCTTGAACAAGAAGCTGGATGAAGCGGAAGGCTACAGCGAGCATAGCGGAGTGGAGAGGGGATGGCGATATGCTTATTGAAGAAGGAGATTATGCGCATCCGGGATGCATATCTTGACGAGACGACGATGAGGATTAAAAAGGTACGAAGGTCGAGTTTACTTAGTTGCGTATACTGCGTGCTGAAGGCAGGTCCCTTGAGACTGGTTGAATGAACAATTTTTAGCAATGGCTCATTGGTACAACGACACAGAACAGCAATGCTCGAGAACAACGAACCAGGAAATATTAATGCTGACAAGAGGTGAGACCAGCGTGACCGCTAGTATCGCGGCACTGTGACCGTGGTCAATTGCTTAGTCCCTCTATACGCAGTAATATCGGCTTGATGTCTTGGAAGTTGGTACTTCTTGTTGAGCTCCCTATGATCATCCTGATCTCGTACTCACTCTGGGAGTTACTCAAGGATCGAATTGGATCGCAAGATGTTGCTTCGAGCAATCATCGCGGCTCTCGCCACCAGCCTGAAAGCCGTCAACGCATGCACGAACTGCACCAACGAATCAACAGAGCCATACACCCTCGCCCCGGCACCATGGACTCTCAAGGGTACAATTTACACGACTTTTCTCCTGCCCGGTATAGGCATCTCATTAGACGGCAAGCTTCCAAACAAGGCTTTTCCACCTCTTGAGCGACAGTACCCCGAGTCGATTGCTGGCAAGTTTGTCGGCACACTGGGCACGATTCAAATCATTCGATATACCGAAAGTCCAGTGGGACCTTATGATGAGATGTTCATCATTCCTGGGTTCTTTGAGTATGAGAATGACGGGAAAGTGGAGCGGAATGTGAGAGTCAGCAGGATTTATGTTAGCCAGAAGTATTGCGTTTGGAATGCACGAAAAAGTGAGTATACCCACAGTATCACATGTGTGAAGCCGTCGCCCTTGTATGCTAACATTACTTGTGCAGTCTGGAACCAACCCAAACACCTCGCCAACTTCGACTGGACCACCAACGCCGACGGCAGCGAATCCGTCAAAATCTACCCCTACGACACAACCGGCGACGAGTCCGAATCGACCCCCTCAACGAAGCCATGGTTTCAGATGACCTACTCCTCCCTCCTACCCGAAAACCTCAATCTCGACTTAGGCATCCTCAACCTCGACCTCGACCTCAACCCTGCCATCCCCTTCACTTCAGATCTGTACGGCCTCCTCGGCATCAACGCCACTCTGATCCAGCCACCGCTGCCACAAGGCAATGATTCGTACGGTGCGTTGGCAAGCGGTGGGGAGTTTTGGAAATCTGTTGTGCCGGGACAGTATAGCGATAAGACATCAGTGGGCACGATGAATCTCGACCAGAGCGGTGGGGATGGGGAAGAGGAGGGCGTGAATGCGGTTGGGGATGAGTTTGAGGAGGCGTTTTGGCCGGGGCTGTTCAAGACTTCGGTGGCGTTGAAGATGGAGGATGCGACGTTGACGTCTAGTGAGGAACAGGTTTTGCCGGGGGTGAAGTGAGGGTTATTTTGGTACAAGCTGGTCAAAATACGTGATATACTGGGAGAGCGAGATGGCTGCAGCGTCAAAAGTTGCCGAGAGATGCTTCATACACATTGATAGTCCAACAATTGTTCGGGATCAACAGCTCCCTCTCTCAGACATATCCCTCGCCCGATCAGGATTTCTCACTGCCCAGTCCGGCAGCCCTCGTATTGGATGCACCAAGGCGAATGACTCGATTTGGCCGTACCGCATAGCGGACATTTGCCACTGAACGACGTTGGCGGGATATGTCCTGCACGATCAGGCTCCATCTTCAGTTTTCGGTTTCGGAATACTAGATTTTTGTTTGTTGATCGACGTTGTCCTGGATGCAGTGTTGGCAGTGAGGAGATACTGTAGAGGGTGACGGAAAGGCTCATGTAGTGTCGAGAAGAAGAGCGCTATATGTGGAGGCCAGTCGATGTTCACAGATTCCAGTGATAGACGTGGTTGGTGAAGGGGCCTGTAAAGGCTCGCTTGGTGCTTACATGCTGTAATTTTGGGCTTCGATCTGTGAACGGAGTCAGCTCATAAAATGTTCGGCATTCAAGTCCGGCCACTGTTCAAGGCACCAAGAGATCTTGTGGCGCCTGTCACGGCGTCACGGGACAATAGGCACGAGAGCGCAACGCATCTGCAATGACCGACTTCGGTGTTCAGCAATCAGCGAAATTGTATTGTCTATCATGATGCCGTCTGATTCTTCAAGTCCGACCATTTGGGTGCAGGGACACTCAGAATTCTACACAGATCTTTCCGTCGTTTGCGGAAGTCAGAGTACAAGCCTTTCCAGATCTCACGCTCGCGGCATCCAAGTTTACTGCCATCGCAGTCGGGCTGCATCTCTGCCAGCCCCTCGTGAGGCCACATGATCCAGGGCTTTGGTAGAGGCCAGTCGCTGAAGTGGATCAGCTTTGCTTCCTGGTAGGCATGATCGGGATCCCAGGTCAACTTTGACATCCGTTCCCGGGGTCCGTTGATGGTTCCAAGATAGGCAGAGTGGTCTTTTTGGCGAAACTCTGCGCTCAGCATGGCGTAAGCCCTATGTGGAAGGACCATAGCGGAGGCCCCGAAACGGTGATTCAAGAGATCCATGTCGTAGTTCCGTCCAATTTGGAAGCCAGGCTTCAGCTTCCAAGACATGAGAATGTCGATGAAGTTCTTCATCTCCAGAGGATTGGGCTCGATGAGCATGAGCAAGCTCGTCAGTGGCCACTCGCTCGGCTTTGTATCTGACCAGTACGCTCTCGGCATTGCGACAGCAGCACTTGGTGCCAAGAAGAGGTCGTCCATATGCTGGAGTAAAGTGATGTCGCTGTCCATATGTAAGACACGGTCATACTGGTATAGCTCAAAAGCCCGCAGCTTGGTGATAGAGGTAGACCAAGAGCTCGGGGCATTCAGCGTCCCTGGGCTTGCCTTGCCGTCTGTATCCAGTAGAGCGACAGGGTGAAGTTTGACATTCCAATACTTCTTCGCCCGGATCAACAGCTGGCTGTTCCTGTCTTGTTCGGAATCGTCTTCGAGATCCCATTCTTGCGGGTAAAGCAGTATTCTGTCGGCTTTGCTTTTATATCGATGCAGTGCCTCGAATACCATATATGCTATCGGATGTTAGCTTGTGTTACACAACAGAGCAACATTTTTACTTACCATTGCACAAGTTGTGGTTGTCGGTTACATACCTATGCAGTGTCAGGACGCATCCTTGATCATCACCTTCTCACACAGTACTCACTGAACGTATGCGAAGCGCTTCCAGTCCACCGGGGCCGGCTTTGGTTCACCCTCGGTATTGAGATACCAGAACAGGCAAAGTCCAATCAATATCGTTGCCGTGAGGGTTTGATATTTCCGTCGGATGAGGTAGTACCAAGATCGGAGGACGCCCTTCACACTTTGGTCTCGTGGCCGGTACCGAGGCTTCGTCGGATGGCCCCAGTCATCGTAGTCGTCGCCCATTCCAAGGATTTGATGCTGTTGATGATTCTAAGGAGAAGTCGACTAGGTCGACTTGCGTTTGATGGCGATCTCGGGTGTCGTAAGCCGAGCCCCTTATCCGAGCTTAAGAGACTTAAGTCGTGGTATCTCGATGTTGATTCTTGGCCAATTGCTGGTTCATTCGTGCTTGTGATGAGATCGCACTGCTCTCCCTTCCTCGCTGCAATACTAATTCAGTTACAGAGTCTTTGACATTCCGAAGAATTCGCGCGGTTGTTCAGAAAGTGCCATGGCTTTTAGGAGGAAGGATCCACTCATGCTCATGGTGTGGCCTGTGCGGATTTGACCGCACTTCACCTCATCGTTTTGCTCGTCTTCCAGCACCGCTCCACAAACCAAGATTATGTTACACAAGATGCGTAGACACACATCATGTCTCAAGTCAGACGACAATTCTTTTTCATTCCCCAATCGGTGGCTGACTTTAGATAGGAAATCGACTGTGCCTAAATCATCTAGGGCTGGCGAGATCCCCAGCATGAAGCGTTGAAAAGACAAGCTCGGGAGCATATCTGGAAGATGTGGTGTGTGTCTTTCGCAATGGTTCGAGCGGGCGATCTTCACTTCACTGAGCAATATGTAGCACTGGCATACGCTTGGCGGTGCTTCGAGGTGGCCCTTCCACAAGATGCAGTGGAATGTAGCAGGCTCGTTGACTTTGCGAGTTGCAGCCAATTGAATCAGACTGACGGCGATACTCGCATTGTTCGTATGCTGTTGCGCGACCTCCAAGCCAACGCTGCCCTCTCAGCGTCCAAAAGCCCCATTTGGGGCTCGAGACGCTTCTTCCCACTGATGCAGGACCAGACGCATCACCTTTACATCTCCGGACTTTGACCAATTCGCAGAGAACTCACTTTCTCGATGCGTCCTTTGCGCTTCCTTGACCTCATCCCTGAGCTACGTAATCGTGTGTACGAAGAAGCTCTTACCCACGATCGCGCAAATGGCCAGACCGCGACAGTTGCCTTGCTGCGTACCTGTCGCCAGATACACAGCGAGGCCAGATGGATCTTTTATGCTATGAGTACCCTCAACATCCATGCCGAATGCCACAGCTCTGGACCGACCTTCGGCGCGACAAGAGAAGCCGTTTTGAGCGGCGATATAAACGACATAGTGGACACTAGTGAATTTGCTACTAATGACTTCAATGGCGCTTTCTATCCTCCGCCGTCCGCACCAGCAAGAATCGTGCTCCAGCTGAGAGTCGAAAGCGATAGCTTCGATGATTCTAGGGTCGCTCACTGGCACAAGTCAATTTGCCATCAGGCCAGGCTCCTTCTATTTGCTGTCGTGGAATGGATCGGTCTGGATAACAGAGCGCATCAACTCCACCTCACACTGCTCAATAGCGAAGTGTACTCGGGTCATAATGCCATCGCAAAAGAAGACTTTTCACCGCTTGTCAGGCTTCATTCCCGGAATGAGCTGTCGATCTGCGGTCTCGACAAGGAGGTGATACGATATCTGGACAGGCTTCGCTTGATGTGCCCACCGTCATCAGTCGTCGATGAACCATTTAGGCGACTCATATTTTCATCGAATCAAGGTATACAGTGCGACATTGCATTTTCAGCGGAAGAGCGCGTTCAGAAGGACATGGATCATCATAAGCTACTCTTAATGGACTTGCTTCTTCGGCGCATTGAGAGGATGCAACTAAACTCTGCGTAGAGCCCTGATTTTTGCGATTCATCTGTGAAGTTTGGCTCGAATGAAGAGTGGCCCTCAAAACCCGACCTTCGTGTCGCGGCTCACTTGTGAGTCACATGAGAGCATCTGAGCTCTCGTTCGCGCACAGTCGAGAGTTTGGATTTCTCTCCTTCTTCGGTCTGCATCAAACAAGCACCAACATCATCGAAATCACTCAAACTCGATACCAAAGCACAACTCCCATCTTCAATCACCATGCCAGCCAGCTTCTTGGACCTCGCAGCCGAGCTCCGTAACGAAATCTATCACGAAGCACTCACTCACGACCGTGAAAACGGCCGCACCGCTACGGTCGCACTCCTCCGCACTTGCCGCCAGATTCACAGCGAGGCACAAGGCATCCTCCATTCGCAGAGCATTTTCCTCATCTCGGTCTCGCCAGTGGAGTGCAGACACCAAGCCAGCACTATGATCAGCGCCACAAGCTCCCTAAAATTCAGTGGTGACTGCTTGGACCTGCCTCACTACCGCACTACAACATCGGAGCGAGAGTTGAGAGCTCTTCCATCTGCATCGCTGAGAGTGCCAGCAGTGAAAGTCCAGATCCATGTCGCAGACAAGTCTCCGAGAGGCAGGACGGAGCAACTCAACCAGCCCATTCATCGCTTCATAGCAGCTCTTTGGCGCCATATGAACTCAGACAACCGAGACCGGCGTGTGGATATCACCCTCATCAACAAGACGGCCTACGCGGGCAACACCTCAAGCGCAATCGAACACTTCTCTGGCCTGGTTTTCCTTGGCCCCCATGTCAAGCTCACGATGCATCAATTCGACAAGACAGCGGTGGATTATGTGGAGAGTCTACGCAAGGGAATGCTGGACTCGTCGGAAGGGACAATCAGGGACACAGAGTGACAGGTCCAGTTGGAGTAGCCCACGGCTGCGTGCGGGGAGTATCGAGACTGATTCAACTATGCGAGGTTCACAACAAGACATAGGGTGTGAGAAGCGGAGTTAAGATACCACATACTGCTCATCATTCATATGGAGGCTCGGCGAAAAGGCGAGTGACTGGGAGTTTCGAACGGCGAGGAAGTGACTCGGTGGTTTTGCGGGTGGGCGAAGTGAGGAAGTTTGACTATGAAGTATGTAATGCTTCAAAGACTTCATTTGGACGCCAGTGTTCTCTCAACCTGCTGGAGTTGAGCAAGGCAATACCACGTGCAAATCACGATAGAGACGATCACATGCTAGCGCAACTAGCGCCGAGTCAAAATCTCGGCAAGATCCGCTGGTCGCGGCCCTTCAAAAGCCGCTCCTTCCTCGACGCTGCGGCAAATACCGCGATCACCACAACACACCATTCCGACTTCTTGCATCTCACCAAAGCCAGACGACATCCTCGCCATCAACACCATCAACACCATGACGCCGTTTAGGTTACTTGACCTGGCGGCCGAGCTGCGCAATAGGATCTACGAAGAGTCGCTGACCCACGATCGCGACCGCGGCTGCACTGCAAATGTGGCATTGCTGAGAGTCTCGAAGCAAGTGCATGCCGAAGCAAAGGTAGGTGAACTCGTCCGCCTTCGGTGAAAAAGTACAAGAACCAAGAACGCTGATTTCGAGGTGAAAACAGGGCATCTTTCGCGAGCTCAGCACTTTCACGATCACAGTTACACCTGGAACGGCTCACTATGAATATGGCATCGAATTCAAGGGCGATCTGACGGCAAGCATCCCAGAAGAACGATCTTCGGCGCTGCGCATTCATGAGCTCTTGACACGACAGATTCTTCGAACCCCGAGAGTCAAGATCAACCTGCGCCTTGTCGACTACAGTCATGACACACGCATCAAGATTTTCCTAAACCAGGAGGGGGCGAACCGGCTCCTGTACGCGTTGGTGCACCTGCTGAACTCCGACATATCGAAGAGGAAGCTTACCGTCACTTGGTATGATGCTCGGCACGGCTCTTCCGACATCTCCTTTGAGGACATTGTTCGGCCACTGTGGCTGCTGCAGCAGAACAGCGACCTCGAATTGATCGACATGCCTCAAGAGTATGAGAAGGTCTGTCGGGCCAAACTCGAGAAGCGCACGACAGTGATTCACGATCCGATAAATCCAATCGAGATTCACAACAACCAGGGCAAAAGCTTACGGGCGTACTTGGATCAGAACAGAGCGGTTGAGTTTCCTCGCTCCGTGGCGTGGGCGACCGAGTACTGTTTGAAACAACTCGAATTCATCTTGCAGGACGAGTTGGACTTCATGGACGCATACTGCGACTTTGAAGTGGTCACGGCTTCCATTTGCATAGAAGCCATGGCAATCTACTGCAAGGTAGGTGGTCACGAGGACTCCGCAAACGTTCTCAAAGCACGGCAATGTCTGCAGCGATGCTTCTCGGTCGTTCGCGAAGACTTTCACGATGTGGACTCTTTTTGGTCCGACGAACTCAAGATGGAAGCTCTTGGTCCGCTGTGCAAGTGGCTGGGTATCAAGGTGGATCTGACTTAGAGTCATGATGCTATGGGGCGTAACTGTGTCAGGGTGAACAGTGATACATGCTGAAGTCGATGGTGTGGAAGGAGGTCTGTAGCATTAGTTGCAATGCGAGGAAGTCATGCCTTGGGGACCATGGGGAGTTGCCATTGTCAGAAACACGTTCCGTTCCCCTAACCTCGCCGCTGTACGAATACACAGCCAAAAAGATAGCGCCGTCCTGGTATTTGGACGTTCATACGCTGCGAGAACCCGCGGATCGCTGCATTCACATGCTAGTGTGACTAGTGCGGAGTCAAAGAAAGTTTCGGCGAGATCCGTGCGCGCTGACCAGTTGAAAGCTCGCTCCTTTCGTTCGTAAGGTAATGTGTGCTGCAGCCAGCATCACCACCACCACATCACAGAATATTGCATGGAGACCCATCACCGCGACGATGGCTCCATTCAGGTTCATCGACTTGCCGCCCGAAATGCGCAATCGTGTCTACGAGGAATCACTCCTCCACGATCGCGAAAATGGACATCTCGCGACTCTCGGCCTCCTCACAGTGTGCAAGCAAATTTATGCTGAAGCCAAGGTTCGTGCGCATACTTTGCTGGTTTCTTGAGCAACTTGATAGATACTGCGAGGCTCAGGGCTAATTTACTCAATAGGGCATCTTCTATGGTCTCAGTACCTTCACCGTCAACATGAGGCCAGAAAATGCAGTGCACCTTGATGGAATGTCAGGTCGCCTGATGTTGACGGGTGACATTGATGCCGACCTTGACGGTGACGAGACTTGAGTCTTGAACCTCCGCGCCTGGCTGCCGGCTCAGATGTCTAAAGTACTGAGAATCAAAGTCAATATCGACATTCGCCCAATGGTATTTCACAGTCCGTCTACCATTTACGAGTCTTGGGAAGAGGCAGGCAACCGTTTCCTTTGCGCGATGGCCCACCATCTGAACTCAGACAAATCGAAGTGTAAACTTGTGGTCGATGTGCGCGACAGGGAATCACTTGTAGCGGAGGAATTCTCCGACCTGCGGTCGTCATTAAATGTGCTACATCCTCGGATCGACCTGGAGCTTCGCGGCATACTTCGTCATCTTCAGCCAGACCTCGACTACCGCACGGAAGTACTTGAGGAATCTGTGGACCCGGCCATGTCATACCTGGCGCGCAACGAAAAGATGGTGCAGACGCTAAGCAAGTATGAATCAATGCTAAGGCACCAAGTGAGTTTGAAGAAAGCGGCATTCGACTGCTTAGCATACCTGGCAATCAGTTTGTGTAACTCGAACGAGAGGGAGTATACACATATCAACTACTTGATGCATATTCATGCGATCGCTCTCGAGGCACTCTACATTGTCCTCCACCACGATACACAAGAGCATCTCGATGATGGAAAGCTCTCACTGCGAAGATTGTTTCCTATGCGGCAGGAACTACGCTACTCCAAATGTGCCAATACCTTCTGCTTGCAAGTGCTTACGCCTCTTTCCGGGCTCTTGGATATCAGCAGAGACGAATGGTATGCTTAGAGATGGATTCGATGGGAGAAAAACCACTACAGCGCGGAAGAGAGGGGATGGTCAGCTAGCAAAGTCTGTCAAGCAGGAACATGGTCGGGACAAAGACGACACGCACGTAGCTCTAGAATTCAACGTCGCAGACTCCGAGCTGCAGTTTTTCATCGTTCCTTTGCCCGACATAAGCCAAGTCGTAGCAAGTGAAAGTTGCATATCAATGCCATTCCGCCCTCTCGAAAGCTGCCAAGCGGCATAAACAAGTGAAGTCCCACAATCACATGCTCGCGCGACTAGCGCCAAAATAAGCTTCGTCTAGCGCCCGGCGTCGCAGCTTCTTCCACAGCTCTTGCCTCTCGCCTCTCTTCTTCTTCGACACCGCGACAAACACCACCACGAATACCATGAACACCACATCTCTTCCGTTTCGCCAACGCGCCGCCATCATGAAGCCGTTCCGATTCCTCGACCTCTCTCCGGAGCTGCGCAATCACATTCATGAGTTGGCGCTCTTCCACGATCGCGACGGCAGGTTCACTGCCAATACCTCTCTACTGCGAGTCTGCAAGAAGATACACTCCGAGACCAAGGTAAGTGCCGTCGTCTGACCCTTGCGAGCCAGTAGCTGCAGTACTAACAACTCCGAAAGGAGATGGTCAACGAGCTCGACACCTTCGCCTTCACAGCGGCTCCCATCATTCAGAACCGGCGCGAGTGCTCGCTCATCATGAAGGGCGACATCCACACCAAAGTCGCGAAGAAGCAGTGCTCGATCCTCGACATCTACGAGCTCTTCCCCAAGGTCATGCTCAAGGTGCGCGAGGTCCGACTCCATCTACGGCTGCAGGGAAGGTAGAACCGGCACTACGCTGAGCGCTCAGGGCTTCTGTGCGCGGCTCGCTTCCTCTACGCTTTGGTCCACTTCCTCAACTCGGATGGCGGTTCGCGGTCGCTGCACATCATCTGTTACAACGACGCCGAGCACGCCGAGGAACTCGACCAAGGCGAACTCCATGTCGTCTTTAAGCAGCTCTGGACTCTTCGACCACAGGTCAGCTTGTCGTGCGTCGGACTTTGCGAGGGCACTGTCCATTTCCTGAAGCGCTTGGCGCCCGTCGCGCGGATGGATCGCGGCAGCGGACTATTCAATCCCATCGACATCTACCTCAAGCACGCACCCCTCGTGAGCAGCCTCAAAGGCGAGCTAAACGGCGTGCACGACTCGGCGGACGGGGCACTCTCCAAACTCCTCAAGTTCCTCCAAGACTCGAGCGTCGGAGAGAACCGGGCTGACGATGTCTGCAAGTTCCAGAAAGAGCAGTTCAACATCGAAGTCCTCGCCATGGGCATCGAGGCGATAGCCATCATCACCGAGATCGTGGACGACGAAGGCTCCGATTACATGGCACTCGCACAGGATTTCTTCGCTCGTGCTACCCTGGTGCGAAACCCGTTCGACCTCGTCGGTGATAGGAACGGAGACCGGTTGAGGAAGCTCAAGAGACGCCTCTTGGGAGATTTCTGCTACGCCTTGGGCATGGACTTGGACGAGTTGCTTCAGTAGGGGTGGGATCAGGATGAGACGAAGGGTTTGGATTGAACGTAGCGGCTTGCTGGATTTGCTTTTGGGGATGGCTACTGACGGTACGGTACTCGATTTTACGAGTTGCGCAGGATACGGTTTGGAGACTGCGGCCCGCATTGTTTGGTTTTCAGGATGGCGTTTCGCGTATGACTCGGAAGGCGGACACGCTTCGATTTGCATGAGGCAAAGGGTTTTGGTTGAAGGCGGCAGCTTGTTGGATCTGCTTTCGGTATGGCTACTCACTGTACTTGATTATGACTTTGCGCAGGGTGCGGGTTTGAGGACGGCGGCTCGCATGGTCTGGTTTTCAGAATGGCGACTCGCATGACCCGAGCGATGGGGGTGGCAACCCGCAGTATGGCTTCCGAAGATGACGGCTCACGGCTTTGTAGAAAATTCGCTTTCTGGAACAAAGAAGCACACACACTCATGACAATGCTCTTTATTCCACTCATTCCCGATCTCGTCTAAACCTTCTCATAAGCCCTCCACCAAAGCCCCACATTCGCCGCAACCAACAAATCCAACATCTTCAATCCCTCGGGCTCAATAATCAACTTGCCCAACTTCGCCTGCTTGCCTCCAAACCCGCCCCCAGCCCTCTCCTGCCCGAGCGTCAAATCCAATCTCCCATCCTCTCCAATTACAAACGTCGGCATGTCATCATCGTCCCCGTCTGTACTCGAGAGTGCCCGGCCGTGCATGCGGTGGAAGTAGGAGGAGCGTTTGTCGGAGAGTGCTGTCGCCGTTCTACTCGACGAGGTGGGGAGGTTGAAGCGCAGCTCGCTGACTTCGGCGACGCCGCCGCGGTTGGGTGGGAGGTGGTGGCGGCATTTGAGCGATTTGCCTGTTGTGCCAGTGGAGAATTCGCAGCGGCCGTCCCAGGGACTGGTGAAGTTGTAGCTTTTGCTTCGGCGGTCGGCCTGGGCGGGTGAGGAAGATGTGGTGCTCATGTCGACGGAGTGGCGCATTGTTCGTCTTATGGATGTGTCGTCCGTCGGGGCTAAAGAGCCTACTGAGCCGAATTTGCGGGTGTGGCCGTAGTTGTGTTCGGCGTACTTGGAGCCTGGCATGTACAGACGGCGTCTGAAAACTCCCTCTGGTGGCGGATCACTGTCGCCGGATGTAGCAGATCCCATGCTGACTCGTGAGTCTGGGCGGTTGGCATCGATGAATTGCTCGTATGAGGGGTTGCTAATGTCCAAGTAGACAGGGGCACCACCACGTTTTGTCCGCATGGCTGCACTCGGCTTACGCAATGCCGCGGAGCTGACTTCGTGGACGGGAGGATCATATATGGATGCTACATTCCACTGCTCGCTGGATGATGGGTCCCGCCTGATTAAAGTCAAAGTACCAGGCTCCGGCATATCGGCAGGGTCTATTGCTGGAGGTGCTGGCTCGTAATGCCTCAGATACGGGTTATTCTCTTCGCTGTGTTCAGCTCGTCGAAGTAGCCGAATGTTGCTCTGATGCAACGAGTGCGAATCGAGGTCCTCTTCCTCTGGTGGCGATGGAAGGGGTCGCCGTGGAAGAACAGGTAGGTCAGGAGTCTGTTGGAAACTTGCTCCATGCTTTGGCGCTATCGGCTTTCGAGAAATTTGTTGTGGCCTTGGTGGGTAAGATGGTGGCTGTTGAGTGTCCGGCATGCTGTCGTATGAAGGGTACGGCGGGCTTGGAGGCTGCACAGGTCGTGCGGGTAATACTGGCTTCCTCTTCGTGCTATTCTCTCGGATGGGCATCAACTTGGAGGCATCCGTGTTCACAGAAGACGGTCTTGCTGACGGCTCTTCGTAATCGTCACGGCTGTTGATGTGTACATAGTACAGCGAACTTTGAACGTCCTCAGCCGTAACGACTTTCTCTCTCGGCTTTATCGGGGTGAGAAAGACGTCTCGACTTCCAGGTACCCTCGCAATGTACAAGACTAGCGGCAGCCTTGGGTAGTCTGCTGGCGCATTCGGATGTGATGGCGGGTTGGTTGCGATGTCGGTAACGTGAGATAGAGAGGTAGCCTCTACTATGGAATCCATGTCGTAAGTCATGTCGAATGTCGAATCGTGTGAATGTCGTATTCTCAACAATCCAAAGCTGGAGGAGTGTATGTTCCAGGCAGGCGCGTATGTATATGTACTCTCGAGGCAGCCGCTTTCCAAGTTGTATATGCAATGACGCCTCTCCCTCTTCCTCCTGGTCGGCCGGGCGGTGGGAGGCTTCGCCGACGATGCGAGTACGGCGCGCGACCAGGTACTTACACAGTATCAGGGAGCGATTGCGTCGTGCAAAGATTCATTAGCAAACATGGAGTGCTGCGCTGGGATTACGATTTCGGGCGTGGCACTGGCGTGGCGGAGCAGTCCGGCTCGTCAGGCACAGCGCAATGCCATCATCGTCTCCCTGTCGCCGATGGAATGCCTCGCCGATCAGTTCGTTCTGCTTACGACGAATGCGTATAGGAACGAGGAGGACGATCTACAGATACATTTGTCGAGGTAGTGCATGTGCGAGGTAAACAGGCTGGGTTGGTGAGGTGAATGGCGTCGGAGTTTGACTTTCTACGCCGACCCCACACTTCGCCTGCTGCAGCGTTTGCAAGTCTTGGCGGCAAAATCATCCAATCTCCACCTCACCGCATCCGTCGCCGCCCTTCGTCTTTGTCGCCAGTCACTGGCCTGAATTGTGGAAAGTTGATCTCGGTATAATGGGCGAACAAGCAGAAGATCCCTTGGACGGCCTCGAGGTATTTTGTCTTCATGTCCGGGACAAGACCAACACATCTAACTCGACTTCTATAGGAGCGCCTCCAAAGCCACGCCAAGGCCTTCGAGTCTCTACTTGCCTTGACACCGGCACGCGATCACTACGGGAGCCAGATTGATGATGGTCACGATCCCAGCGAGCAATGGAGCCGCAAAAAGCAAACCAAAGAGCAAAAAAAGGCCGCGAAGAAAGCCAAGCTCGATCCGGCCAACCAGAAAAGCGCACTGGATGTGATGAAGGAGCGTGAAAATAAGCGCAAGCGGGAGCTAGGCATTGCAGATGAGGAGCAGGACAATGACGGCGCTTTAGAAGATGTCGCGAGTAATAAGAGGCAAAAGAAGGAGCCTGCTGAAGATGAAGAGACGAAGCGCAAGCGAATGGCAGAGAAGAGGAAAGAGAAGCGACAGGCCAAGAATGAGAAGAAGAAGACTCTGCTGGCGAAGAAAGAGGCGAAGAAGGCTGCCAAACAGGACAGAGATCTTGGAGAAGTGGTGGCCGAGAGAGAGCAAGCTGTGGCCGGTGCTGAAGAAGAGGAGAACGACGAAGACGACGATGAGCCGGGGCAAGCGAATGACACCGCCGACATGGATAAGCTGGACTTCTCTGGGCTTGCAGATTCTGACGAAGAGGAAGACCACGAAGAAGATGAGGATGAGGCCGCAGAAGCGTCGTCTGCGCCAACCAGTCCGGTAGTGCTCAGCCCTGCCTTTGACACCTCCACAAACCATTCCGAAGCATCCTCATCATCCTCCATTCATCCGCCATCAACCTCAGACGAATCCAAGGAACTGACACGAAAACAGCCATCATCATCGTCATCAACCAAGCCGCAGCTCAAGCTCGACCTGTCCGAGAAATCCAAAGCCAGCTCCACCTCGCAAAAATCACTACCTGACTTCGCCGACCCTGCATCTGGAACCTCGTCACCCAAGATTCAGCTACCTGACGTCGACCCAGCTGAGCTTCAGGAGCGACTACGAAAGCGGATTGAAGAGCTACGAGCACGACGAAAGGCCGACGGTGGTGAAGGCAAGCCGGCAAAGAGCCGACAAGAGCTTCTCGAGCAGAGGCGAAAGAAGGAAGAGCAACGGAAAGCACACAAGAAAGAGCTGAGGCGGCAAGCCAAGGAAGAGGAGGCAAGGAAGAGAGATGAGCAGCTACGTGGATCTGGAAGTCCACTTTCCACCGAGATCTTTAACCGAAACTCGCCCCGACCACAAGACAACAACTTCAGCTTCAGCAGACTCGCGTTCGAAGATGGCACTGCAGCCGATGCTTCTTTGACCGAGCTGCAAGACCCGAGGAAGCGCAAAGGACCGCAAGATCCACGTACGGCTTTGGAGGCGGCGGAGAAGAAGCAATCTCGATTGGCAGGTCTTGATGCTGAAAAGCGGGCGGACATCGCTGAGAAGGACATGTGGTTGAATGCGAAGAAGCGTGCTCACGGTGAGCGAGTAAGAGATGATACCAGCCTGCTGAAGAAGGCTTTGAAGCGCAAGGAGAAGCAGAAGACCAAGTCCGAGAAGGAATGGAATGAGCGTAAAGAAGCGGTTGTGAAGGGCAAGGAGGCCAAGCAGAAGAAGCGCGAGACCAACCTGCAAAAGAGGCGAGAGGAAAAGGGACAGAAGGGAAAGAAGAAGTCTCAGGGCAAAGGCAAGAAGAAGGCGAGACCTGGGTTTGAGGGCAGGTTTAAGGCTTAAAAGGGACTGTACATGATATTCTGAGCAGCAGATGAAAATGGTCATCGAATCAATGCTGTCGTACCTTCTTCACCTGGAATTCACCTTACGCGTAAAATTCGTCATGCACGCGTTTATCGCAGGATGCGAGAAGTGGGTCTTTTTCACGCCGACTTCACCTCATCGACCAAATGTGTGAGAGTATGTCTCGCAAGACCAACGACGCCAATGGTACGTAAGAATGAAATCGTAGCCTCTGGTCTCGATTGCTGACATGTCGACCACTGATTTTTCGCCGTGTTTGGCACAGCTCCGCGAAGTCCTCGTCCCAGACATTCGGTCCATCCGACCCAGCGCCCGTAAGGTCAACCTCACAAGAATCATCGAATCGCCTTCAAGCTTATCAAACTGATTCTTGCTCTTCATCATGCGTTCATGAGATAGCAACCGCCAGTCTCTACTCGGTCTAGAGCTTCTAATGCCTTTCTTCGCAGAGCCCAACATTTTCTCTAGGCCTGGAGTTGTTTTGCTCATCTAGAGGAACATCATCCTTCCTGGCTGATCGAATTGATTGATCGTATTTCGGCGAGCGGATCCGGGATCATCGTGAAAGACTCCCGCCCCTGTCTCTGCGGCGTGCAATGCTCGGGGTTCATGGGCGTGTCAGAGTTTGCGAAGGTTATGTTTGTTTGTGGTGAGAGTTGAGATGCCTAGAATGTGAAAAGGAGGCGATGTCGTTGGATCTGGAACGATGTGGAAGAGGCTGGAGGATGGCTGCTTGCTCAAGATTGTGCAGGACATGGTCTTGCAACAAAGGTCTGTCCAGGCAGCCTGCTGCTCTCTTTGAGGCTGCGAGCAAACCGTCTCAAGATGGTCTCTTTGAGGAGGTGCCCTATTAAGGCTGGAGCAACTTTCATGATCTCGTCTTCACCATCATCGTCATGGCTCCCTGGAACGTTCTGTCAGCACCATATAGAATGATACAATTTCCGCCACGAGCACCACCAAAGCGAAAGCCGCCGCCCATCCCTCGCTATCCAACCCCTCTTGCAGGACTCATGTACGCAAAATGCACAAACAAGCAGCTTCACGACAGTGTTCTGGGACGCCGTGTGTCGGCCTCTGACGACAGCAACAGGAGATACCTCACAGGCAAGCTGCGGCAACTCGATGCGGGTTGGACTTTTCGTTTCACGGATTTGCCGCCTGAGCTTCGCAATATGGTTTACTACGAGCTGCTGAAGCCTGACGCCAAGACTGAGCGCCCGGCGAATATCAACATCCTGCTCGTGAGTAAGCAGCTTTGCCGGGAGGCTGAGCAGATCCTGTATGGCTCCAATCCCATCAGTATCGAGTTCAGAAGTGGAGCGCGAACACTGTTCCGCGGCAAAGCGTTACCACAACAGTCCGAATACCCGGCACTAATGGGACGTATCGAAACCGTCGCTGCTGAGTACGCCAAATACCCCAAGATTACTTGTCTCAAGGTTCAGCATCTGAGAATCCGGGCTGCCGCAGATGATTTTGTGTACGAGCGTGCACACAATCGGAGACTGCTGGCTCTGGCGAATGTCTTTGGGGGAAGCAGGGCCTTGAAAACTGTCGAGATTCAAGTGTATTCTGTCTTTCCCATCATGCATTTCAGTGATTCTGAGGTTAAAGAGATGGAAGACATGCTTTATCCCCTGACCAAGCTGAAGAACACCGATGCGCTTTGCACTTTCCGCGATCGAGTCGTTACTCTTCGCTGTCCAAGTCAGAGAGTCCAACGACGCCTGGAACGACGCATGGGATCACCCACACCTCGCCCCGTCGACGCCATTGGCACATTGGCGGATCTGGACCGACGATCGCACGAGATCCAGAGATCGTTACGCAAGCTTCCCCAAGTAAGTGCAGAGTTCTCTGCAGACTTCGACGTCTTCCAGTCGGCTTTGGAAGCTGTCGCCAGGGAGGACATACTGTCGGAAGTCGTTGACTACAAGACCGATGTTCTGTTCTGCTTGAAAGTCGATTCTTTGAGGAGGGTGCTCGAGAAGCTTGAGAAGCAGTGGAGAAAGTGCAAGCGTGAGAATATGTGGGAGGTTATGCATGGTGCTCAGGGCGGAATTCATTGGGAAAGTACTGAGGACGCAGAGGACTGGCTTGATGAGCAGAGAGCGACGTTTGACATATTGCGGATTGGAGAGGATGACATTTGGATTTAAGCAGCAGGCGTCTTGGCATCACATGCGCGGTAGCTTTTAACGCCTAGCCTCTTTGGTACGCACAACTACTCATCATTTATCGAATATAATATTTCTGCTTTCCTCTCCCCGCTTTCTCTTCGCCCACCACACGAAAATGGCCACCGTTCACGATTCTACAATCGCAACGGCGACACCAAACACCAACGACAACCCCCTGGCGCCATCAACCATGTCCGACAACGCCAACAAGACCCAGTCGCGCCTCCTGCTCCTCTCCGGAGAGCTGCGCAACGCCATCTACAACTTCGCCCTGCTCACAGAAGACCCGATCAAATTCAACAAAGAAAACCCGACTCCCCCAGGCCTCCTCGCGGTCAACCAGCAGATCCGCGCCGAAGCCGCGCCCATCTACTACCAACTCAACACCTTCGACGTCTCCAACCCGGACTTCTCGCCCATCGCGCTCCAAGTCTTCCGCAAGCAAAGCAAGCCCTGGCTGCCATCCACCATGATCCGGGAGCAGCGGAGTGTGCGGATCGAGCTCAAGATTCGGTCCGCGAACTGGGCGAATGTGCTGGAGTGGGCGAAGGTGGCTCATGCGGATTATGTGTTGGGGTTGTGGTGTAGTCAGGAGCTGTGCCCGGCGAGTGTTGAGTCGGTTACCAGGGTTTTGTTTACGGCGGCGACTCTGAGGGATTTGGAGTGGGAGACGGTCGCGGTGGTGTTGCAGCAGATGAGGGAAGTTTCGGAGCTCGAGAAGGTGGAGTGGGCGAGGCGATGAGTGGGTAGTAGAGGACTTTGGGGGTTCGCTTTGATGCGGCCATCTGGGAAGGGCTTGCCAAGTTGGGGGAGATCATGGACGGTGCTGTTGATATGGGGAAAGCAGATATGGGGAAAGCGATCTCGACTGTTGGAACGGCGGACGGGCAGTATGCCAGCTCTTCATTATGTCTGTGAATACCTAGGTAATCTAAGAGATCTGGTAATAGAACTTTCGCTTGACGTCTTGCACTTTTTTCAAATTTTCGCCTGCTCCTCCTTCAAATGTTAGCCTCCGGTCCCGAACTCTTTCCTTCCCTGCTTGATCATATCGCTTCCACTTCCACTCATCATCCCGCGCCTCTCTGAGAACACTCGCCTTCATACCACCGCCACGATGGCGTCGCAAGAATCAATGCAAGGGGGTGAAGGTGGCCTGCATCTTCTTAGTCTACCGGCCGAGATGCGCAACTTCATCTACGCCGAGGTCCTCATCTCCAACGAGAGGATCAAAGTGACCAAGGACAACTATCAGCAACCAAGCCTGTTACGTGTCAACCACCAGATTCGCCACGAAGCACGTCCAATCTACTACTGCCAGAATAACTTCACAATCGCCTGCCCTGACTTCGACGCCACAGCATTGGTCGCTTTTCGCATCCAAAGCAGAGATGTTGCCCCTAGCATGCTGGGAATCGATGGAAAGAAGCCGGCGATATCGCTCAAGTCGCCAACGCATACACAGCCTCGCAACTGGTCCAACCTGTTCCGCTGGTTGGGCGCACTGCATCAAGACGACTTTCTCATCCGCTTCTCAACGAAAGGCGACCCAGGTCGACGAGTCGCTAGGGCTATGATGTTGGTGGCTGTCCAGCTCCACAGCCTGTCTTGGAGAAGAGTCAAGCACATTTTGCGGGACGTTGCATCAGCGCACCATGTGATGTGGACCTGAGGATCTGGGGCTACCGCGTAAAGGACTGAGATGGATGTTTCGGGCAGTGGAAGACGTTCGCACATTTGTGAAATCCATGAGACATGGTGGGAATGTGGCAGAACTGATTCATTTCTTGGCCGGGATTGTTAGTGGGACATGGGAAGTGGCTGTTTCAGGTGTCAATTGCGGCAGATATCTAGTCTGCCTATCGAGTCTCTTGCTCCCAACCGCTGTATGCAGTCATCATAAACGCCTGAATGCACACCCAGTTCCACCTTGCCGTTTCCGCGCGCACAGAATCAGAATCCTGTCCCAATGTCAGTATCTTGCCCAAACCCAATCACACTCTTCACAGTATCCTTATACGTACGTAATGGGGTGAAGAACCAGCGGTTCTTTCCACTGACATATCGCTCCTCCAGGGCCTTCTTGACCGTCTTCTTGGCCTCCTCGCGCTGGCTGACCTCAGTGAAGGTCTCGTTGGTGACAACGCCCTTCAGACCCTCCAACTCGAGCGTGTAGCGGGTGGGCATGAGGTGGTTGTAGTTGATGACCTTGATGAAGGGCTTGACCTTGCTGCGCTTGTTCTGTCGGGTCTTGCTCATGCGGCGGGTGATTTGTGACGGGTAACGCTCGATGCCGGCGACGAGGGCGTGGGGGAAGGGGTGCTTCTTGCTGCCGTTGTCCTGGGGCTGGATGATGACGACCTTCTTGCCTGCGTAGCGGCCGCGCGAGATGATGGCCTGTGAGAGGGAAAATGTTAGGATTGGGATGGGATTGGAGGTGTCGCATGCGCTCGACGTACCACTCGGCCGACCTTGAGGACTGCAGAATAGTCAGTAACATATCATGCGTTCATTCGGGTGCAGACGTACACTTCATTGTCGCTGGCTGTGGTGGTTAGTACAGGTTGTCGTGAAGTCGATCGTCGTCTCCACGAGATGGAGAATTCGTCGGCTGTGTGTAAAGCTTGGCGTTGCGGCGAAAACGGTCTAGTGGACGGACTGGACGGCCCGATCTAGTTGCTGTGGTGACGGCGGCGTTTACATCAACCCTGGGCTTTCTTGTGGTCCGCTCAACGTCCAGAGCCACACGTCACACCGCAATCGCTCGACCGACTACACCACATAACTACAACTGCGCAGAAATAATTTTGGGCGTGAGCAGTCTTGCGGAAGAACATCTCCTTCAGAACATGCCATTGTTCGCCGTGCTGGGCGACCTTTAGACTGCATCGCACGCGCCACATTCCAGCAATCTCGTCCCGACTCGAGCTACTCTACCACGACCACCACCACACACATGCCGGCCATGGAGCGGGAGAGCTCGCGGGAGCCCGACCCTGTCGCTCGTCACCAGCATTCCTTTTCCTTTTCCGATAGTAGCGGCCGGGCGAGTGTGCCGATGTAAGTACAATGCGCTTGCTGACATCACGTCCAGTGCGCCGAATCCACGCGATATGGCGACGACGAGATGCAATTACTGACGCGAGTCAAACGCAGGTGGGACAGCTCTGACCCGGAACGCGCACCTCCCCCATTACCACTCAATCCAACGACTGGAACTCCGACTACCAAGGCGAACACATCCGCTGGTATTGCCGCGGCTGCCAAGCAGATAGTTGAGAAGGCGCGTGAGAGCGCACCGATATCTTCATACACCTCAAATGGCGCGAGAGAGTCGCAGGGATCTCCAGAGAAGTCGTTGGTCAAGGGCGCACATCACAGGCGCATGCAGTCGCTACAACCAGGCCATGTCAAGGATCTGCGAAGCTATCTGGACAACAACCGATCGCCTGACCGATCTCCGGAGAGGCCTACCTCGCGCGGGTCTTTCATGCCATACAGTCGCGTGAGTAGCACGGAAGACTTTTCGCCAACTCCAGAACGTTCTTCGACTCCTACCCCAGCCGAACGCGAGCCAGCAAAGGAGACGCCCACCCTTCGACCGTCTACCAGACAGCCACCTCGATCGATTCTGGGCGAGAACACTCCACCTTCGGCGACTATGCTTGCTCTTCAGACCATGCAAGTACCAGATCCACCATTAAACGATGTGACGAACGGCCCAAGCACACCAAATGGATCAAGAGTCTACACGAATCTGGACTTCTCGAGTCAGCTTCTCAACCTCACCACCATCGCAACCAACTTGCAGAAAGAGATGGCGCAATTGAGCAGGCGAAGCAAGGACAATGCTACGGATCTGATCAGTTTGAAGGATGCGACCAACCAGCGCGATGAGGATATTCGCAAGAGCCTTCGAGACCTTTCAACAAATGTCAACCTGACCCAAGGATTACTGCCGCCTCCACCTCCAATTTCTGGCGGCACCAGAAGCACAAGCGGTTTCAGTGCACCGCAGTTTCTAGACAGCAAGGCATTCAGTTCTCCGCCATCTGCGTCGAAGACCTACAACCTTCCAAGAGCGGCCAGCGCGCATAGCTTCCTTGATGGAGATCGATGCGGGTCTCCTTCGCCGTACTCTGTGGAAGGAGCTGCTAGCGTCGCAATGCTTGAGAAGATCATTCGCGAGATGGTCACCAAAGATGGCCAAGAGCGTCTTCTATCGACACTCTCAGAATTACTGGACAAGAGTCGGAAGGAGAATGTCGAGGCGGCGAAGAAGGTGGAGCAATTGTCTGAATTCATACGGGAGAAGTCAGAGTCTCAGGCTCTGGTCCACGTCCGTAATGCAGACGGTGGAGCGCCGAGACTGGACATGAACTTTGGCTCACCGCGAGAGTTCTCAAAGTCGGTCGACAAATCCAAGGGCGCCGATGGGCCTGGACATGAGGAACTGATGAAGCTCTTGAACCGGATCAAGGACTCCGTCGCACATTCAGGCGGCACCAGCTCTGAGGTCAAGGGACTCGTCCGTGATCTTCGAGGCGAAGTACTCGGTATGGGTAGAGAGCTGGGCAAGAAGCTGGACCAAATCGGCGAGACATCATTGAGCAACACCCTCGATCGGTCGATCAGCGATAGCAAAGACTCCGAGCATCTTGAAGAAGTCCAGCGCGTGGTCGAGGAAGGCATTGCCGAGCTCAAGCAACATTTGTCAGGTGTGCTCAAGGAGCGCGCAGAACAGGACGACGACACCTTCAGACAACTCGCCACTACACGCTCTGGTCCAAATGGAGACGAGATGCTATCCATGGTGAAGCATGCTTTGGCTGAGCACAGCAGCGTCACCGAGAAGCGTGAGCCTGACGTAGAGAGCATCCCAAACCCCGGCCTCGACAGAGATGGCGTGCTCGACGCTGTGAAGGAAGGCCTGAAAGACTTCGAGCCCAACATCGAACTTCAGCAATTTGGTCTGGAACGTGACGAAATCCTCGCAGTGCTCAAAGAAGGACTGGAAGACTATCAAAACAGCCGCACCGAGCCAGCGCCTGCTGGCATCGACAAGGGTGAACTGTTTGAGGTCATGCAAGAGGCTCTGAGAGACTTCAAGGCTCCATTCCCAGCCGAGCAACTTGAGCAAGTAAAGGAGGAGCTGATTAGCAATGTGCGAGAAGCTCTGTCCGAGTTTACGCCTCCTCCAGCGGCATCTGCGATGGACAGCGAGGCGATGCATGCTGCTGTGTTCGAAGCAGTCAAGGATGGACTGGTTAATCATGGTCCAGCCGGACCCCGAGAGATCGAGATCAGCCGAGACGACCTTTTTGACGCTGTCAAGTCATCTCTCGACGGGTCGACGATACCATTTGGTGGCTTTGGCGAGCAGGTCTTGAGCCAACTGCGCGAGCTCGTCGATGGAATGCGTCTTGAGTTCAAGCAATATTCTGCTGCCAATGGTCGCGACACCGAGCAGGTCTTGGATGCCGTAAAGGATGGACTGGAGTCTCTTCGAACGGAGATTGAGAGATACGTCGACCGCGCACAGGATGTCACCGGAAAGGACGAGATTGTCGACACAGTCAAGACAGGCCTTGAGCAGCTTAGCCAAGACGTCCAAGGCTACGTTGCCCATGGCACTGGACAAGATGCTGGCAGAGCTGAGATGTTGGAGTACATCAAGGCTGAGTTCGAGCACCTCCACGATGCTGTCGCCCATAATGGGACGTCTCGTGAGGTTGAAGAGTCTAATGCTGGCCAGACCACAGCCGTCATCATCGCTCTCAAGGAGGGCATGGACGACGTGAAAGCTCATCTTGAAAACCGACACGACGACACGCAGTCCAACGAGGATATCAACGAGGCCATGAAGGAGGAGTTTGAACAGCTTAAGGGTTCATTGCTCAACGCCTACGCAGCGGACAAGAGCGAGCTCATCGAAACCATCCAGGACAGCATGGGCGCGCTGCACTCCAAGCTCAACGGTACTGGACTCAGCAATATGTCTGGCGGGTCCTCTGAAGAAGTTGTACACGCGCTGCGAGAAGAGATGAGCACACTCAAAGAATCCATACACGCCATGGTCATGGATGCCGAGAAGGATGCGGTCATCTCTGGCGTGCAGCAAGCACTCGACGAGCTGCGCACGCAGCTCTCTGCAGACCACGACGATGCTTCAGCTGAAGCACTTGGCGCTATCAAAGAGGGACTCGAGTCGTTCAGGGAGTCCTTCAACAGTTCGCTGGTGGTTGGTGGCGGTAGTTCGGGCGAACAGCTTGAGACGCTTCAAGAGATTCGCACTACACTTCTTGAGGTGAAGGAGTCCGCAACAAAGACCGTCAGCGGCGGTATGACCGATGAGCAGCTCGAAGCATTCAGAGGCGAGTTTGAGAACTTGCGAACTTCGATCGGCAATAGTGTCGTACACGGCGGCTCGAATGAAGAGGTTCTGGATGCCGTTCGCCTAGGCCTTGACGACCTTCGCTCGCACCTGGAGAGGAAGCTGGACAACCCAGAGCATGTCATGTCGCATCAAAGCCAGGTGCTTGATGCACTGAACGACGGCCTGGACAGCCTCCGCACTGATATCGTGAAGACTTTGGACAAGCCTCTCGACATGACTGTCAACTACGAAATCCTCGACACTCTGAAGGATGGTCTGGCCGGCTTGCGTGGCGAGATGGACAAACTCACCTCAGGCACCGGCAGGCCAGCCACTTCACGAGGCGGCGAGATTGTGCTCGCTGACGGTGCTGAGGTTGGTACCTCTCGCGAACTTGGGCTCGACGGAGAGGTTCCAGCAGGCGCAGAGAGCATCAAGCATGCCAGCCTCGAGAAGGTCGAGGTCCTTCTAGCGCAGCTTCAAATCAAAATCGAAGCCTTGGACCAAACTGTCCAGGACATTCCTGGTCAACACCATGCTGCAGCGGCGCCTGAGGGCATGGCGATGAAGGACGATCTTGCTGCTCTCGAAGTCATGATCAAAGACGTGCAAGACAATGTCATCACTCTTGCGGCGAGAGAGGAGCATGCAGCTCCAGAAAGCGCCGCTCGCAAGGAAGACACTGATGCCATTGAGACGCTGCTTCGAAACACCAAATCCCAGCTGGAAGAGATGGCCACACCAGACTTTTCCACGATGGCGTCCAAAGATCACATCGATGAGGTACACGCTGCGGTTCGCACTGCCCACGAGACCATCGAAAGCCTTGCGGAGAGACTTGACAATACCACCGCATGCAAAGCCGATGTTGCGGTCGTTGAGGTCCTCGCCGAAGATATCAAGTCGTTGATGGAAGAGGTCAAAGAAAAGGTCAACGCGGCACCGTCCGAATCAGAGAACAAGCCAGAGCTCGTCACCAAAGCCGATCTTGATGTGCTCGGTGTGATGTGTGTCGAAATCAAGGAGCGTGTCAAGGAGATGATACTTCCCGATCCAGACGACATGCCTTCAAAAGCTGAGCTGGAGCAACTCCAAGGCCTCATCAACGACTTCCGTGAGAGCCATGACAAGATGAAGGACAGTTACGAGACTGATATCGCTGTTACCGCCAAGGCTTTCGATGACCGTAAGCAGGAGCACGAAGACACCATCGCTCAGCTGAGTGAGGTCAAGGTCCTTATCGATGAAGTCAAGGCCGAGCTTCTGGACAAGTTCAGCGACGGCGAGATCGGTGTCAACACCCTCGGCGAGACGCTGAAGGGTATTGAGGAGCGTACCAGCAATGACAATGTCATCGCTGAGGTCAAAGAGATCATGGACAAGGTCAAGGAAGAGTTTGAGCGTGCCCATGAATCTCTTGGCGCGATCAAGGTCGATCATGCTCAAGCAGCTGAGGCATCTCTTGAGAAGCAGTCTGAGCACAAGGATGCCGTACTCACCGCACTTGGGGACAAACTCGACACTCTGTTTGACGGGTTGACAACCAAGTATGATGAAGCACAGCAAGCTGCTGAAGAGAAAGCCAAGATGTTTGAAGAGAAGACCGCCCAGCAGGAAGAGATGCTGAGCACCATGAAGTCTCTGGCAGACGAGCTGAAGCTTTCCATCGACACTCTCGGCACAACATTGACCACCTTCATGGGTGATCTCCCTGCTCAGGTCGAGAAGATGACTGAGGATCACAAGACTGTCTTCAGCCAGGTCGCCGATACACACATCAAGCTTGAAGAGGCCACCGAAGGCCTCAAAGGCGAGCATGTTGCCACTCGCGATGAGGTTGCAAAGGTTCTTGCCGCTGTTGACGTGGTGCAGGGCGAAATGTCAGAGCATCATCCACGCTTCATGGTCACTCTCGAGGAAGTTCGCGCGCTCATCAGTTCTCATTACGAGCATTCTCAGAAGCATTCTGAGGCGGCCGCCGACCATGCTCAAGCTGTGAGAGATCTTCAAGACGCGCTCAAGGCCGGGTTCGAAGACTCCAAAGCCCAGGCAGAGGCACAGCGAGAGGGCTTTAAGTCGGATCATGAGGAGCTCAAGACTGCCCTGCCTGCTCTGCTGCCAGCTTCTGTCGAGACTGCGGTCCCAGAGAAGTATGATGATGCTGCTGTCCACGAGAAGCTCGACAAACTCATGGGTCATGTCGAAGAGGCATCAAGTCGGTCTACTCAACTTGAGCGTCTGGACCAGATTCATGAGAAGGTCATGTCCACCGCTGCGGAAGTGTCTGCCTTCGTGGCTGCACAGAACAAGCAGATTGCCAACGACCATGAGAGCAAAGAGAAGGAAGCTGAGGAGATCGCATTACTTCTGGAGCGTCGTCTGGAGCGCAAGGACCAGCTTGAAGCCGACATCACGGTACTCAACGAGGAGAAGGAGTCCTTGGCGAATGCAGTCGAGGCACTCAAAGCCGAGAAGGAGGCGTTGGCGGCCCAGAAGGCTCGTCTCAATATCGATGTCTCTTCGCTAGAGACTGCTCTCCATATCCGACGAGACGAGCTCCATGACATGGACAACAAGGCGGCTGCCATCGAGCGACGCATGCTTGAAGGTGTTATGAACCAGTCACGCATGCTCCTCCTTACAAAGACGACGAAGCCTCCCTCGCCGCAGAAGAAGAAGCCTCAAGGTCGGGATCTTCGTGTCCCAAGCAACGCTTCTGCAGTTTCAGCCCAGACTGTCACTTCATCAGTGCCCGCACTCAAGGCAAACCACAATCTCGCCATGAAGTCTCGTGGCTTGCACAGTGGCTCCCTGGCGAATACGGCTGAGCGTCGTATCATGTCACTGAACCAAATCAACCATAACGTGCCCACTGGTGCGCATGGCTTCGTCGCTACTAAGCCCAGCCTGGCAAACAGAGGCCTGAACAACATGAAGCGCAGCCACTCGGTCAAGACTCACTTCAACCCGCGGAAGCCTTCGTGGAGCGTCAAGCGGAATGTCAGCCTGTCGTCTCACAACAAGGAGAACGAGACCTTGTCTGAGGAAGACGAGGAGGACCTCTCCCGACCAGGATCCTCTCGCGGCGGAGATGTCGAGACTCCCAGTGACGTTGGCACTGAGCGTCGCACCAGCTACCTCTCTGGAACCGACGGCAGCATGACCTACGCCACCGGCAGCTACCTCGACGGCGAAGACGACCACGACCGCGAGCCAGGCCACTACGCCACCAGCGACATGACGTACGACACCGGCAGCTACCTGACAGGCAGCTACATGACCGGCAGCGAACTCGATCGACGAACCAGCTTAGGCAGCTCCGCCAACGGCGTCGTGGGCGTGCAATCCGCCATCAACGAAGAAGAGCCCGACGCAGAGATCGGCGCCGAGCGAGGCGAAGACGAGCATGAAGAAGCCGTCGAGCACGAAGTCGAAGCACCCAAGCAACTCGAAGCGCCGCCGTCTCCAGAGGCCGAGAAGAAGGGTATCGCGAGACACTTCGCGCCGCCGAGTGATAGTGGGCTTGGGACGGATTTGCCGACGGGGATGATGTCCGGTTCTGAGGGGTACTTCAAGTGAAGTGGGAGATTGATTGGTGGAAAAGGGGTTCGGTATTATGATGTTCACGGTTCTTTCTTGTTGATGCTTGATTGATTGATGTCGGGGTTTCTTGCCTGGCTAAGACGGTATAGCGTTTTTGAGCGAGAAGAGAGTGTAATCACGATGGTTCTGGGTTTCGTTTCTTCTTTTTTGATTGGCGTACGTAGCGGTTGTAAAGGATTCTTTTTCGGATTTTCAAGTCTTGTCTTGCTTCTTCGTCTTCGAGTCGGTGTGGTAGGGAGGTGACTGCGTGAAGGATATCGTTCAACATGCTATGTACATCAGCTACATACATATTACGCCTTTCCATCTTCTGGGTTCCCAATCTCCAATCGTACTGTCATCTGGATATCATTAAAAACAACACACATACACACACAAACCTCTCACAACCTCCCTCTTCTCCATTCTACAACTTCGCCTTCAACCTCTTCCCCTCCCCCATCTCAAAATACTCCCTCACCGCCTCCTTCGCCTTCCCCACGACACTCGGATCCTCAATCGTCGCAGGATACACCACCTCCTTCTCCCACTCCCCCGCAACAGCATGCTCCAACATCTCCTTCAAACACCGCCTCAACGTCTTGCCAGAGCGCGTCTTGGGAATAATCCCCGGCTTGGCGATAAACCCCGCCAGGGAGGCGATGGGGCCGATGGCGTGGCGGAGACGGGCGTTGAGGTCCGCGAGGAGGGCGGCGGGGTCCGAGGGCGGCGGGGCGATGGCGATGAAGGCGAAGGGCGCGTGGCCTTTGAGGGGGTCCGGGATGGAGACGACGGCGGCTTCGGTGATGGAGGGGTGCGTGGAGATGGCCTGTTCGATCTGGCCTGTCGAGAGGCGGTGGGCGGCGACATTGATGACGTCGTCGGCGCGCGACATGATGTGCACGAAGCCGGAGGCGTCGATCAGGCCGGCGTCGCCTGTGTCGATGTATTTGGCGTCGAAGCGCGCGAGGTAGGATTTGTGGAAGCGCGGGGCGTCTTGCCAGAGGGTCGTGAGGCCGGTGGGGGAGAGGGGGATGCCGAGGACGATGTTGCCCATTTCGCCTTGTGGGACGGGGGCGCCGTCGTCGGAGACGATGCGGATTGTGAAGCCCGGGACGGGTTTTCCTGCGGAGCCGGGTTTGATGGGGAGGGGGGTGTAGAATTTGTGGTCGTTGAAGTTGAGGGCGACGCCGGGGAGGAGGGCGAGGGAGGTCATGGGGGAGCCGGATTCGGAGGACCACCAGTTGTCGATGACGGTGGCGTTGGGGGCGCAGTGTTTCTGGATGAGCTCGTTGTACATCGTCACGATGGCGGGTTCGCTGCGTTCGCCGGCGAGGAAGAGGGCGCGGAGGTTCTTGAGACCGCCTTTTTCGCCGCGGGCTTTGAAGAATTTGTTTTGGGGGTCGTCTTTGCGGATTGCGCGGAGCGCGGTTGGGGCGGTGAACATTGTGTTGACCTTGTGCTCGTCGAGGATGCGCCAGAAGGTGTCTGCGTTGGGAGTGCCGACGGGCTTGCCTTCGAAGAGGATGGTGGAGGCGCCGGCGAGGAGTGGACCGTAGACGATATACGAGTGGCCTACTACCCATCCAATGTCACTGGCCGTGAAGAGCGTGTCGCCTGGTCCTCTGATGCCAAAGACATAGCGGACCGTGAAGTTGAGACCAACAGCGTGACCTCCTGCTTCGCGTACTACTCCCTTCGGCGAGCCTGTCGTGCCTGAGGTGTAGATGATGTATAGAGGCTCGTTGCTCTTGACAGGGACATTCTCAGCCCTTACACCTCGATCTCGTGCTCCTTTGACAACTCTCTGCCAAGTCCGTTCTCCTGCAAGTCTGTCTGTGTCGTTCCACCGTGACTCGTCCCGCTGCCAAATGAACACTTTTAACGGTTTGTGCTTGGCTTGCTCAACCGCTCCTCGGACCATGGGCTTGTACGGAAGCGGTCCCTTTGCGCCTTCGATTCCACAACTGGCTGTCAGAATAGCTTTCGCTCGACTGTCGTCAATTCGTTGTGCCAATGAAGATGCCGAGAAACCTCCAAAAACCACCGCATGTATAGCACCCAACCTCGCAACCGCAAGCATTCCCACCAACGCAGCCGGTATCATGGGCATATATATGATCACAACATCTCCCTTCCTCACACCCTCTTCTCTCAGAGCACCCGCCAAGATTGATATATCCTCTTCCAACTGCTTGTACGTGATGTTCTGTTTGCTCCCAGTAACTGGACTATCCCACTTGATCGCAATGTTGTCGCCATGGCCCGCTTCGACGTGTCTCGTAACCGCGTTGTATGACGTACTGATCTCTCCGTCCGGGTACCACTGCCAGGTGTCGTGTTCTATGCCATTGGGAAGCTTCTTGGTGAACTTCTTGTAGGTCGTCTGAGGTTTCTTGTGCCAGACGAGCTGCTCGGCCTGGTACTTCCAGAAGCTCTCGGGGTCCTTCTCGAAGGCGGCGTAGGCCTCGTCTTGCTTGTGGAGGGCCATGACGAAGGTAGTGATCTGAGGGAGAAGGAGAGGAGAGTAGCACCTACTATTATACAGGAAAGAGCATATAGTAATGCTACATGGCTGGTCGAATGATGGTCAGTCCAGAGCTCCCTACGTAGCTCGGTCGTCGGCCAAATGGGAGGACGGAGTTCTGGGCGAACTCGCAGTTGCTGAACGCCGACTACTCGCATTCCCTCACTGGTCCTTAGCGCCAAGGGATTCCCGCTTCCCCACAAACTCTATCCTCGTCCGAGTTTTCGCCGCTCCAGCTGTGGTGGGGGCTGAGATGCTGCTTCTCTTGACCACACTCGTCTCCTTTCCTGCAACGAACGGCATGCTTCCGCACGCCATCGATACGACGTCTCTGCAACATCCTTGGTGGTTCAAAGACGAGCGAAACGTCCTGCTCCAAGAGCGCCGCGCAGTCAGTGTTCCAACTTCTTCAGCTGCCTACAAGGCGCTGCACGACGGGTCCACTTCAAAGCTCATCATGCGTTGACTAAGTGGGCAGCAATATAATGGCAGGTGGTATCTTGCTCCGCTCTATCTGTTCCATGCAGTATGTCTGGCTTGGTCAGAAATACACGCGGCCTGCTTAGCTTGTGTATCGCAACCTCAGGGCGTTTTCGACACCGCCCAGCACAGCCACCTCTTTGCACATCACGCCCTAAAACGCCGATGTTGGAGGCAGAGCCGTCCAAGCAGCGTTCTTCCTTTGCCTCCCATGTTGGTGTTTAGCTGCCAGATAGTTGAGGCCGCCGTCAGTAGGCCGGCTATACGACTGCCTTGATGCTGGCGAATAGCCACAAGACCATACCCCATTGCCAATCGACATCGCTGCAGTTCGCGGGGCTTCCACACCGCGCCACACACCAACGCAACGATGACAGTAGGCTTGCCACTTTCTCCCTCTCCTACGTTGTCCTTAACAAGAGAAGGAACGCGCTGGGCTTCGGTTGTGGCTTTTCTTGACTCGTCTAAGACTCAGGATCAACAATATCCGAAGCATCGCAACAGGGCCTGATCATGCGCCTCCTCAACGTACATTCCCTCCAATTGGAGAAGTACGATGACATCGAAGAGACACCGGAGTATGCGATCCTCTCTCACCGGTGGTCGAAAAACGAGATGAGATTCGGCCATTTTCATGTCGTCGACTGGGATTCCATACGCAAGTCGGCCTTAGACGCAAGCCATGTAGACGACGTTGGCCTCGCCAAGATCCTCTCTGCCTGCGCTGTGACGAAGACCTTCAACCTCGACTATCTTTGGATCGACACGTGTTGCATCGATGGCAGCAGTAGCACTGAAGTCACGCAAGCCATCAACTCAATGTTTCGCTGGTATCAGCGAGCATCGGTCTGCCTTGCATATCTCTTCGATGTCTCCACAGATACTTCGGAGTATGGACAGTGCATCGACAAAAGTCTCTACATCCGCAAGAAGAGTCAACTCCTGCGTATAGGGCCAATTGAGAAAAGTCAATGGTTCAAGCGAGGCTGGACGCTCCAGGAGCTACTAGCTCCGCGGGAGCTCGTCTTCTTCGACCACGCCTGGAGACGCATTGGAGTAAAGACTGAAATGACCAAGCAAATCGAGGCCGCAACGCGCATTGATCCCAAGTACCTGACCGGCAATTTCGAGGACGCCAGCATCGCCACCAAACTCAGCTGGGTTGCGGATCGCACAACCACCCTTCCAGACGACATGGCTTATTGCATGGTTGGTATACTCGGCGTCAGCATGGACACTCGTTACGGCGAAGAAGAGCGAGCATTCATGAGGCTGCAAGAACTGCTCATCGAGAAAGTCGCCGATGACTCCATCTTTGCTTGGACGGATCCGAACCTGCCGCCAAGTCAAGGACATGGCCTTCTTGCACCTTCACCAGCCTGTTTCCGCCACACAAGCAAGATCCAAAGCCGTGGGCCCAATTACAATCGCAGGACTCAGCCTCCGCAGGTCACCTCGCTCGGTCTACGTCTGAATGCCCCTGCAGGAATACTCTCCTCAAGCAAGCGACAGTTGCTATTGTTGGACTGTTGGGAAGATAGCACAGGCCCAGACTACACCGTCACAATTCTCCTCGGAAAGGACAAGAATGGAACTTGGAGGAGATATTCTTGCAATAAATTATTGCTGAGACCTTCACCCGGTCGTTTGCGCAAGTTCAGCCGCGGCATGAGGTCGAAGTCTTTCTTGGTTCCGCAAAAGGTCATTGAGGATGTGACTAGGCCTACGCATCAACCCAATCATTGCGACTCTGGTCTGGATACGTGCAGCAGCTCTGGGTGGTCGGTGAAGGTGTGATGGAAGGGAATGTGAAGGCGATGAGCTGCACAGCGTCATGATGTCAATGAAGGCATACACCATGTGATGTTGCATTTTGCAGTTTCGATCAATTCCAGTCATACATATACACGCAATGTGACTGCGATCAACGAACGATATGAAATCAGTACATTCAATGACTATCAGCCAGACTACGCCACTCGATTAGGTACCTCCTTCCCAGCCAAAACATCCAAGATCGTCTGCACCGCGAACTTGCCGCTATTGCTCTGGTTCTCCTCCGTACTAGCCCCAACATGCGGCGTCAAAATCAAATTATCTTGCTCCAAATGCTTCTTATGCTTCTCCAACGACGGCGGCTCCACATTCTGAGCATCCAACGCCGCGCCAAAAATCTGCTTCGTCTCCAACGCTTCCAGCAAAGCATCCTCATCTACAATACCACCCCTCGCGGCATTCAACAAGATGGCATTGTTCTTCACCAACTTGAACTCTCGCTTCCCGATCATGCCCTTCGTCCCATCCGTCAAAGGTACGTGCAAAGTAATGACATCCGAGTCCTTCAGCAGGGCGTCCAGCTCCGTCACCCGCTGATGCTTGATATCGCTCCACGCTCCCTCCGGAGCGAAGGGGTCGTAGGCGATGACTTTGCCGTTCATGGCCCCGATCCATTTCTGCGCGACAGACTTCCCGATGGCGCCCATCCCGATGATGCCGATCGTCTTCTCGAAGAGCGACTGGCCTAGGAGTTTCGAGCGCACGAGTTTCTCCCCTCGCTTGAGGAGTCGATCGATCTCAACGACCCTCCTGGCGATCGTCAGAGCGAGGGTGATGGTCAGCTCCGCGACAGATTCGCTGTTCATCGCAGGCGTATTGCAGACGATGACGCCGGCGTCCTTGGCGGCTGCGATGTCGATGTTGTCGACGCCGACGCCCTGCTTGACGATGACTTTGAGGCTCTTGGCCTGGGCAATATCGTCCTTTGTGATTCTTGTTTCGGAGCGCAGGAGGATGCCGTTGGCGTCGGCGTGCCAGCCCGAGGGGGTGCTGAGGACGACGGTGTCGACTTGCGGGGAGTCTTGGGAGAGTTTGATGGCGTCTTGGTGGTAGGGGTTGACGAAGTAGACTTTGGGTTTGGTGGTGTTCGTCATGGTTGCGGTGGATGGTCTTGTTTGTTTGTTTGGTAGATAGAGAGGGTGATGTCTCTTCGTGAGTGGAGGTGAGGCCTTTTCGCTTACCTTTGTTGATTGAGGAGCAGGAAGATCCAGATACTTAAACTACTCGCACCGCACCGTCATCGGTGACCACGCGACTTGGAAGCGGTACGGATCCGATGGCGTTTAGCAATAAGATCCATGCAAATTGTCGAGACGGTTTCGCGTCGTGCTCTCTGCAGCCGTCGTGGCCATCCGAGCTCGGCGGTCTTCCACGGTCGTTTTCCGAGGAGCCTTTTCTTCAGTCTGCGAAAGTTTTCATTTTCGTTTTCGCACTTGGGCGGAGCCGTATGTAGATGAAGCTAACGCTGAACGCATTCGAGGTTGGATGGCCTGAATGTTTGGAGATACATGTCGTTCTCCAGAAACAGTAGTGCGAGAAGGTGCCATTCACCTGGGCTCCACTTTTTCTTTATAGTCTAGCCGCATTGGGAAACGATGGAGAACCTCGGCAACATCTGGCAACGACTCGCCGTCTTATACAACATCGATTCCACCAAATTGGCCATGTAGTCCATCAAACACATCAAGACCAAAATGGGAAATGATCAAGACCCAAACGATGCCTCATCAAAAGCCGCAGCCCGAGCGAGCCAAGTCTCAGACCACCTAAACACCACCCAAGACCAAAAGAAGCCCAACACAAGCCGAAGACGTCGAAAAGACAAGAAAGACGAACTGCCTGCAGACTACTCCGACATCCTCTCACACGTCGCAAAACTCCGCGAAATCGCCAACACACCGGACCAATCCCGTCGCGGCTACGTGCGCCAGAAACAGGACGGCAAGCTCTGGGTGCGAGAACGGATCGACAAACTCCTCGACGCTGGGTCTTTCAAGGAAGTCGGCTCAGTCAGCGGACATGTCACTTGGAAGCAACTAGGTGGCGAGAGAGAGGAGCCTGTTGATTATCTGCCGCATAATAACCTGCAGGGTTTTGGGCGGCTTAATGGGAGGCAGATTATCTTCACGGCGGATGATTTCTCCATTCGGGCGGGGCATCAGGATGGAAATCTCATGGCGAAGACGCTCTGGTCGGAGAAGATGAGCGTGAGTATGAAGTTGCCTATGATCAAGTTGACGGATGGGAGTTCTGGCGGCGGATCCGTCTCGACTATTGCGGCGACGGGGTTCAGTTACGTGCCTCCCATGCAAGGTTTCGACGTTGTCGTGAAGCAATTGAATATGGGCATTCCCAATCTCGGCGCAGTGCTGGGTCCTGCGATCGGTCTAGGGGCCGCGCGAGTCGTGAGCTGTCACTTCAGCGTGATGGCTGGGAATGTAGGGAGTCTGTTCAACGCTGGACCACAGGTCGTCAAGAACGCCACATTCGAAGAGGGATTATCGATGACAGATCTCGGAGGCCCCGCGATGCACTGCACGAACGGAACAATCGACAATCTCGCAGCATCCGAAGAAGAATGCTTCGAACAGATCCGCACAGTATTAAGCTACCTCCCCAACTGTGGCACACAGGTCCCCCCAACAATCCACACCGATGACCCAGTCGATCGAGAAGACATCTCCCTCCGCTCCGTGATCCCCCGCAAACGGGAAAGAATGTACGACCCGCGCAAAATCATCACCGGCGTCGTGGACAAAGATTCCTTCTTCGAAATCGGGCCCCTCTGGGGCCGCACCGCCATCATCGGGCTCGCACGACTGGGAGGCAGACCGATCGGCATCATTTCCAACAACGCCGAACTCCTAACTGGTGCCATCGACGCCGCAGGTGCGCAGAAACTAACTCGCCACCTGAAATTCTGCGACATCTTCAACCTCCCCGTCCTCCAATTCGTCGACGTACCAGGCTACGCCGTCGGCACCGTAGCAGAACGCACCGCGACGATGCGGTGGGGCGTGGAACTCACAAAAGCGTACTACACGACCACCATGCCGCTCTTCAACGTCATCACACGGAAATGCTACGGCGTCGCGGGAGGCGTCATGGTCGATTGTCGGGAACCGCACGCGCGCGTGGCGTGGCCTTCAGGGGAATGGGGCAGTCTGCCGCTCGACGGGGGGATTGATGTCGGGCATAGCTATGAGCTGTCGCAGATTGAGAAGGAGAAGGGGGTGGAGGCGAGGATGGAGAGGTATTTGGAGTTGCAGACGATGTATCGGCGGTTGATGAATCCCGTTAGGACGGCGAATCACTTTAGTATTGAGGAGATTATTGATCCGGCGCATACGAGGCAGGTTGTGAGTGAGTGGGTGAGGATGGTTTATGAGAGTGATTTGCCGGAGAGGGTGGTGCATAGGATGAGTGGGAAGTTACAGCCGCTTTATGCGTGATAGAATGATTGCCAGCGTTATTCTGCGGCATTGCCTATGCATCATCGTCTGTGTAAAGGCCCACATAACCTTCCGCAATCCAGTCCTGCTTGGTATAAGGCAGCACAGCAGGCGCTCGATTCTCCTTCGGCCTGATTTCCGGTTCCCAGCGCAGCGTCCAAGACTTGCCATCCGCCGAAGTCTCAAATGCGATGCTTTCGATATGGTCAACTTCGAAGTCACTCCTGAAACCCACACATTGTCCCCAAGGAGCCTCGCAAATGTAACACCAATTCTCTTGCCTCACCCAGTCCCAGTGATCGTTGCGGAAGGCCGTATAGTCATCTCCAGCATGCGGCTCGTCGTAGTCGTACCGATCGTCGAAGTCGTCGTAGATAGCATCAACTCCAGGGTACTGCGAGTGCTTCCTCTCCTGCTTCGCCCGCTCGATGCTTGCGTGCCAAGCTCGAAGGTGGTCCTTCTTGGTACTGTGATGGTACGTTGGCGGTCTGGGGTACAACTGAGCCTTCTCGTACATCATCTTCTTGGTGACAGTGACGGTCTTTTTTTCAGGAACTCGGCGGAAATGACAGAAACAGCCCGCAGGGTCCAGCTCACAGATGTTGTGGACTTGCTTTCCTAGCCAGCCGGGTTTGACTCCTTTCCAGAAGTAGTACTTTTCCTGTTCCTGCCGCTTGCGTTTGCGTGCTTTGGAGGCTGAGCGGAGGTCGCGGAAAGTGTTGTCGTCGCCTCTGCCGCAGACCTCGTAGTTGATGGCCACCTTGCGGGCGTTGCTGAGATGTTTGGCTCCTTCTTGGGCATTGTAGCCCGCTGTCCCATCGGAGAGGTATGAATTCCCAAATCTCCAGCGATTCAATAGCCACAGGCACAGAGGACACTCCTCTTCTGAGAATGGGACAGTGGACGTATCTGACTGGGCGTCATCATCCCTGTCTGCTTCGCCGATAAGTTCTTGCTCGTCGGCAAAGGTGTGCTCGCTGAGTGATTGTACGCCGAAGCTGGAAGCCGACTCGTCACTGAAATCAATGTCTACGAAGGCATCGTCCAAATCTTCGATGGGTGTGGAGGTGTTCTGGCGGATCATTGTATTCAGCCATCCTCTCGTGCGCTCGACGCGCCGGTGAAGCGTAATGAAGGAGTTCATGATGTCGGAGTCCTGTCAAAATTTTGTGTAGCGATAGTGGTACTATATTCTGTGAGAGCCACTGTATGATATGTAGTAAGTTGGTGCAGATTCATGTGTGTACAGCTCCAAGACAGTCAAGAGTCATCTGTTTGCGGTATCCAGAAAGGGAAGCTTCGCCACACAGGTGGCCTTGCTCGCTTACCACGTCTGTCATTGATCGAGTGGAACCCATTGACACCGCAGCTCGGTATGCGAAAATGGCAGCACTGATCCTGTCAGGCTGTCACCAGGTGAAGAGAGGGTCATGTCAGTAGACCGCGCGATCGAAGCGCATCACACACAGATCTGAAGCAAGACAGCACGAAGCTGCTGAAATGGCCGAGAATGTTTTGACTGGAAAGCAGAAGGCCGGAGACTTTTTTGCAGCGCACTTCTAGACTAGGAGATTTGACAACAGTGGGAGTGGTCGATACCAAGCCGTTCGTGTTGCTGGAAGAAAGCATAGGCGAAGAGAACATGAAGTCTCGGTAAGGTAAGGTAGCCAGCCTCACGGGCCACGGCTATAGTAGCGCACGGCAAACGGCGGCCCGATCCGGCGCATTGCGGTATGCTATTGGTCGTCCGCCGACCAGGCCAATCGTTCGAACATTCGAAGGCGAGGTCGAGAATAGTAGATGGATCAGAAGCGACATCTTGTTCCTTCCCTTTACTGGAACCATTGATCGTCTATCTGGCATGCCGCTTCATACCGATGATTGGCTGGTCGCCGAGCGATGCCCTTCAAAGCTCAATACAATGGAGAGACGCCCCTATCGAGGCACCAGATCAGAGCAGTCCATTCGCCTCGCCGCGACGCCTTGAAACGGCCATGTGCCAGAACAAATATATAGTCGCCTTCATGTCTGCGTTCAGCTTGCTCCAGTCGACAAATCTCACGGATCATACCACCCCGATTCCTACCACGGCCACATCTCGTTGAAAGCGAACCTCCTCCGGAAGCGAAACCAAAGGATCAACAATACGTTCATGGGTCTCTTCAACGACCCGTCTCTCTACGCGCTTGCTACGTTCGTTATCATCATTTCCTGCGGCTTAGCAGTCTTGCTGGGATACGCCGTCCACCGACTTCACTACGGATTGGAGGAAGAGACTATGCGAGAGCCGTCGGCAGAGCAAGCAGTCTACATGCGCGAAGTGCGACTTCGGAACTTGAGGGACGTCGCAGCGATGTCAAGCCGGAACGCCTTCGATATTCGGGCCTGAATAGGATGTCGCAGAGGAAATGTGTATGTTTGTAAAGGACAAAACTTGAGGTATAGAAAGACGCAAAAGGCTAATTTGGGCAGAGGAGGCCGAGGCCAAGGCCAATAATATTCCCACAGTAGGGGTAGCAGGTCCCAAGGCACTCCGTATATAGTTAAAAGCTGGCCGACGAATTCCTCATTAAAGATATAGCTAGCCGCGAGCTTGCTAGTGGTAAATGTAATTAGACCTCTTCTCGTTACCAAATATCATACCAGAGCTGCTATATTTAGATAAAGTTAAGTAGACAAGAACATCACCCTTCTCCCAACTTTGACTCGCTCCCATCCTTCATGCTACTTCGTCCTCTGTCACTTGACACGCATTGCGTCGGTCAACTCCATCGACATCGATGGCTGCACCGCTTCCGAGACGGAGAGTCGCAAACCCCACTCGCAATGGCTGCAGGACGTGCAGGTGGAGTCGATTGTCCAACGTAGACCGCTGAGAGCTAATCTTCTCCAAGGATACGGAAAGTGAAGTGCGACGAGACTCGGCCAGCATGCAATCGATGCGTATCGACTGGCCGGACCTGTGATGGCGAAATTGGCGCAGCATCCCTCCCAGTCTCTTCTCGTGGTCGGCCGCTGCTCCCTGCTACATCGACGGGCTCCTCTTCGTCTTTGTCTGGCAAGACTGTGCCCTTTTGGCAGAGCATTAGCCATGACTTGACCGACCGAGAGAGATACGGCTTTGAGCATTTCCAGAACGTGACGGCCCCGGCCTTGCAAGCGATTCTCCCCTCACCGGAATGGGTTTCGACGGCCTTGCAGCTGAGCGTTCGAGAACCCACCGTATTCCTCGCAATTACCGCCACAGGTACCATGGCAAGAGCTCTCACCGTGCTAATGCATTCCTCCTTTCCCCGACCCCTCATCCAAGAACCGGCACTGGAGGCGACGCGGCAATATGGAAAAGCCCTCAGACTGTTGAGGTATCGGTTGAATACGGCAGCGTCGATGGAAGGCGGCGCCGAATCCACGCTACTTGTTTGCCTGCTTTTCGTCTGCTTCGAGACGTTCCGGAGCCAGAATTCGGCTGCTGCACAGCATGCCCACCTCGGGTGGAATCTTGCAAAGAGTTGCTCCTCATACACGCAAGGGATGTATAGCCCAAGTGCTAGATTCTTCGATTCCGTCTTCAGTCAGAGCAATGGAATGTCCGCTTTCTTTGTCGATAAGCAGCATCACGACCTGGACTGCTGCTCCGACTGGCGTGACTTGTCATCCACTTCGTTCAAATCGTGGAAGGAAGCCGTCATAAACCTCAATGCACTCGCAACAGCTGGCGATCATCTGAGGGCCGAGTTCTTTCAACTTGCCAAGGCAAGGACATCGTTCACCTTAGATTCCCGCGTCAGCACCAACGGCTTCTGCTTCTGCCTGACAGCTTGTCTAAGCAGGACGATCGCCATCTCTGGCATGCAAGCAACCCGATTACAGCAATTGCAAATAGCGCATAGACGGTGGAAGGAAGCATTCGTTGAACACGAAGATAAGCTTAAGCGGAGAGACCTTAGAACATTTCTCCTACTGCGCACCAAACACTTATATTCAAGCTTCACGCTCGCCACATGTCGCGATAGCAACGAGTTACCGACAGACCACTTTACGAACGACTTCGCAGATGCCCTGGATATGGCCGAGCGTTACGTGAAGGAGGAGGGAAAGCCAATATCTGCCACGGGACAGGAAACGCAAACCCAGATCCGTTTCTTTGGCTCCAGCATCCTCCCGACTCTCGATCTCATCGCCCACAAATGTCGCGATCCGCAGCTGAGGTATCGAGCAATACACTTGTTGAGCAAGATCCAAAAGCAGGAGGGTTTGGAGGACAGCCAGGCTCTGAGCAAATATGCCCAAGCGGCGGCCGAGGTGGAGGAGGGCAGAGCTCAGAGTATTCTCGGGTTGGAAGAGAAGCTGCTGCCATCGACACTGCCGGAAGAAGCGAGGTTTTCGGACGTCGTCACGGTCGGGGAGGGAGCTCGTCAAATCTTCAGACTTATTTGTGCGAGATATGTGGACGCTGAGTCTGCATCGCAGGAGATCGAGGTGGTGGAATATGAAGCTGGGAGCGTACCTCTGCGGTTGTGCTCTTCGCAGAGAGTGTTGGTGTAGCTTGTGCATTCTCGTCAGCGCCTCAGGTCCTCGACCTCACCCAAGTCATCCCATTGCCTTCCCTTGGACCTCCACTCTTCGCCCTTAAGCTCGACAGCTTGGAATCGAGCGTATGCTTCTTCGGAGTACATCTTGCGCTCGTCATAGTACTCATCGAAGACTCTGCCCTCCGCATGAGCATACTCCGGCAGCTCGTTCCACTGCATCTTGTACTTGATGAATATGAATGCCTCAGGCCGTAACAGCTCCTCAATAGCCTTCGATCCTCTGTCCAATGTAGCGACCCTCAAAAACTTCAAATGCGGACCGTGATCTGAGTAGTAGCTCCACAAGGCCACTCGGCAGCGAGGACATCTTGCGATCGCTTGTCCATGGCCGCTTTCTGAAGGCATGATGATATGTTCGAGTTCCTCCGCAGTGGTCAGCTCATTTGCTTCGATCAAAGCGTTGATGGCAAACGCTGAGCCGGCTTCGCGCTGGCATTGCTGGCAATGGCAGCATTGTGTGAAGATTGGTCGTCGATGCAGTTGATAGCGGACATGGCCACAGCCGCAGCTGCCTTGGATTGGGAACTTGATGGGAGACATGTCTGGCGTGTTTACAACATGTCCAAAGTTGAAGTATATGTGGATGATTTTGGTGGCTGTTGCATGTGTAATTCGGGATGATGCAGGGCGCATTCGCATTTGGCAACCTGCTCCATCCGTTGGTGATTCCTCATAGCTGCTTCTCGCCCAAACTTTAATAGTTCGTTTCTAGGGGTCCCTAAGGGTCTCCCTTAGGAACAAACATTGAAGCCATGAGAACTTTTACACCTCCATTGCCGTTGCTTTTAACTCAAAGTAAGCCATAGGCTTGGATAATTGAGCAGCTCTCGACAGGACCCCTCAGTTCTTCATTAGCAAGTCGACTACACGAGGCATATCTCTCGTTCTATGGCGAGTCGTCGGATCAGACTCTCCTCATAGTCGAAATCATGCAACGTCTCGAACGTCCCTATTCGTCGGAATTGGACTGAATCCGTAGACACTGGTTGCAGTAGCAGCCCTTTATAGGAGCATCATCCGTTATCGTAGAGTAGCACCAATGCGCATTCTTTGGCTGATCCTGATTCTGGTTGGAACTCGTCTAATCGGGCCTCGATTTCGAAGGAGTGCAAGGGGGAGGAGTGTAACTTCAGCCATGCTGATGGGAAAGACGAATGTGTTTCTACAGTGCCGTTCACGAAGGGTGTATGAATCCACAGCCCCCAGGCAGGATGATCGTCGTCCACAAGCAGATTTGGCGAGGGAAGTTGGAGACTACGAGCTATCGGCTTTTCCTGGAGATATGACTCGTGCAAGGAATAAGAAGGACGGATTTGGACGCCAGGAGCCATAGATGCCCAAGACCATGTCGGTGCTTTACACATGGCGTTACGAATAACGCCCTGCGTTTTCGGTCCGTCATCTGGTAACACTATCCAGAGAAGAGAGTTGATGATGTCGTGCTTCCAGTGACCGAACAAAAGCTATCGTCGTCGGTTCGCAAACCCCGGATAGCATGCTCCAGCCCAGCAAGCGCAGGCAGACGATCGCTAGGATGGCTGAGCTTGCAGGAAGAGTACTGCTTCACGACATCACACCAATACGAATGGGCAGTGTTGTCTTTGATCCATGCGAGCTGCAACTGAGGGTCGCAGATCAGCCCTTCTTCCGTGGTGATGCCACGCGTACATTGCCAGATCATACGATTCGAGGTGAAGTAGACGATGCGCCGAGACATTAGCCTTTCTTGTATTGCCCATCCTCGTGAAGCTAATGGCTGCTTTCCCAGAGGTCCCTGCGGCTCGTGGATGTAAAATTTGAACTTCCTCATTTCATCTTCATCAACCATGTAAACAGGGTATTTTTCGTCGATGTAACTTATTGTACCGCAGAATGCCCAAATGGGCTGAGAGTCTCGGTCACCCAAAAAGCCTTCCATGTCGGAGGAGGCCCTGAAGGCAGCAATTGTCAGCCGAGCGTTACCATAGACTTGGTCCATCTTCATGCTTTCGGCCCGCCAGTCTTCTTCGTTGTCTTGCAGGATGCACAATGCATCAATCCAGAGATAGCGAATTCCTAGCTTTCGTGTCACCCAGATAGCATCTTTGTATGTCTGGGGAAGAATCGTCTCGTCCAAACCTTCGTGGAATGCCTCGATGCAGGTTTGTGTGAGCTTCGGGCCTTTATAATGGCCCCAGCAATAACTCAGCGCAACGAAATCGCCCTCGTTACCATCACAAGTGCGGAGATGTAATTCCGGGATACGTTCGGTCCCAACATCGACAAGCCTGCGCGGCGAGCGCTTCGCCTTCGGTCGGACACACCCGGAATGGTCCTCACATTGCCGAAGCCATGATCTGAGTGTTTCCAGCACGTCCACGTCCATTGAGTTGGATGGAACGACTGTGGTTGACAACGGAAGATGTGCAATGTCTTCAGAGGTATCATATAATGTTGGCACTAGTGAGAGGTCCTTCAGCTCATGCCCTCCAGCCGAGACGGTTATGGTCGGGTAACGGAAGTGACGGGGTCGATCAAAGCTTAGACTTAGCTCCAGTTTCTCGTTGAGATACTTCTCTTTGTCTTTGTCCATTGCGAGCTCGGTACTGATGTGGTGCTGTATGAAGTTGCAGACACTACAAGGTGGCGGTTCTGCCAAAAATTCTGACACAGTGGCGGACAATCTGGCAAGGCAGAACTTGGACGCATGGTCGTCGTCATCAAGACGAGCATTTGCGATCACTCGAGCAATCAAGTCGCCGCAAACACAGTTTGCACCCGTGGAGAGATTGTCGTGTGAAGGAAATTGGGCGTCTTTTGGAATTGGTCGAGGCGAGGGCTTTATGTTTTCGGGTAGAAGTCCGAACACAGTGTCGAAGTCGGAAACAGGTAGCGGCAATGCAACATTTTCGTCGGAGTTCTGCCATGTCAGGTGCCGAAACTTGCGTAGATGGGTCTCGAGCTCCATGGCATGGTTTCGCGAATTGCGCCTGCCGATCTTCTAAGTCCTCTGGATCTTTCTTGCGTGCAGCTGTTCCTCAGTCAGTCCATTCAGCCGGCAGGTTGGCACGGGAGCTTCCTAATCGAGAAAGCATGTGATTCTGCCGAGAGAAAGGTGAGTGAATGAAAGAAACTTGGAAGGCAACATGTCTCAGCCAACTCGCCTATCGGCCGAGGAGAAGTGGGCGGACTGCTCTCCGATCCAATGAAAGAGGCCGGTATCGACGTTGCACCATGCAGTATCAGGCAGCGAGGCACCAGACCCTGGGCGGGCGTCAAGTTGGCGTGGGGGCAGCTGCTTGTCAAGTGACTCTCCATCGCTCGTCCATTTTCTTTCGCGTACACCTGCACTCGTCACCCACCACACGCAATCCCATTGACGAATCCACGAAGCCTTACGAAGCCTCACGCAAATCGCAACTGCCTGTACTTAATTGTCGTACCTTCTATATAGTCCACCAAATCCGCCGACTCGAGCACTTCACGGCCGTCCGACCTCGATCTGCACTTCACTCTCACATCAATGGCATGCTAATTGAACAACTGCCATTGGTAGCCCGCCAATGGCGGCCTACTATGGTCAAGCCATCGGGAGGTCACTGAGCGGTGGCAGTAGGCTGGAGCAGATACTTTTACCCAATGGAGCGTGCAGCTATCGAGACCTGAACGCCGGCGTGAAGGCCCCGACGTGTGGATGTAGGAGATTTTGGTTGAACAAGAGCCATGTTGTGAATCAAGAGAGCGAAAGAGCCTGGTGCTTTTGCGGACACCATGCGTGCTTCCACGACAACGTTGTGCCAGCGGGCAACGCGCAAAGCAACCCACAGCCTGCTGGACTGGCTGTCAATACGTTTCCGAGCTCGCACCAGGCTAATGGAGCCAGCCAGAATGGCGGATTCGTGCCTCCGACTTGGAGTTCGCTGATAGGAGACCATGATAATCCATATACTGGGCAGCCAAGGCCTGCGTCTACTCGACCGACCACCGGCCTAGGGATCAGGAATACCACAGAACCACAGGCTGAGTCTATCAATAGTCGCCTGTGGTATGCTCTCAACGGCTTTGCTCGCCTGCAAGAAGGTGGCAATTCTGGCGACACGTCCAAACTCCCATCGACTGCTGTGCCCAGCGTTTATGACGACCTGGGCAGGGCAAGTCCTTCACAGGCGCTGCGAGAACATGTCCAGCAAAGCCGCTTGATGGGTCCACCGGTCAATATTCCTCCGATCAATATCGCTGAGGCTCCTGCAGATGAGTACAGTGCTACAGAGGTGGCCACACCCAGTATTCGGGGCACTCCAGATTTCAGAGCAACCCACTTTCCAGCAGTCCAGCCTGGACAGTCTCCTGCACAGCCTAGAAATGTGGCGCCTCCTCGATCGTTACCACAAAATGCGACAAATCAAGCGAATAGTTTGCCAAATCCGACTGAACCGACGCCGCCTCCTACAACGACCATGGGCCCATCTCTTTCGATACAAGAAATGTGCAACACCATACAGGATTATGGCCGAAGAATCAATATCCTCGAAGGCGTCTCTTTCTCGCACATGCCGAGTGACGAAGTTCAGGAAAAGTTCGATCTTCAAGACTCCAGACTTATTGACTTGGAGTCGTGGCGTACGGAACAGGACGAAGCTCGAGCAGCGGATGACAATGACGAGAGGATGGAGGGAGTTGGACGGCGCTTAGATGAGCTCGAGACTTGGCGTTCTGAACACGAAAGGTCAAAGAGCAGTCAAGAGGATTATGAAGTGCCAGAATCATCTGAGAACAAGAGGAGACGTCTTCTTCCTGACGCAAGCTCTTTGGCTTCGGATGACGGCTCATTCGACGAGAATGCGGCTGCCCAGACTGAAGCTGTAGTGCTTGCAACTCTTGCTGCAAACGCAGAGACTGGTCCACGAATCGATGCGCTCGAGTCGAGAATCGCCAGCCTTGAGCATGTTGCAATGCCGTCGGCCGCTCGCCCATGGCACATTTCCGTCGTTGTTCTCCCCTTTGGTCGGCAACTACCCGGCATCTGGTTCTCTTCTAGCGAGTCCACGCAGCATTCGATCCGGACTGCCACACAGACATCGGAAGACTGGCCCACTCATCAGTCGATGTTGAAAACATCCTTCAGATCCAACGCTAGCAGCGGCGCTTGGACAACAGAGTCGATTGAAGCATGGGCGAAACAAACTGAAGACGAATGGCTTTCGCCGAAGGCTTGTGGTCCATCTGGAACCGTGTTTCAGAGATTGGCGAGCCGTGGCCTGGTCCGTGATGTGGTACTACAATCGCCAGACCCACATCACATCGTCAATGCCATCTCGAATGCTTTTGGCAATGTTATTCGCCAGCAAGGGCCACCGGAAGGTGATATCGTCCACAAGTATCAAGGCCTGCAAGCGCGCCTCATTCCACTTCGAAAACAGCGAAAGTCGAGTCGTCTGCGGTTTCTGAGCCCAGCAGAGATGGTGACTCCAGCTACGTGGACCGCAGAATTTCTTGAAGCAAGCGTCTTCATGAAAGTGAACGATGGAGAGCGACGACTGTACCTCACCACTACTGAGGGATACACGCAGCCTGCACGTTTGGGCTGGACGTGGCCTGAGTTGAGAAGCTTGCCTGCCTTCGACGTGGATGGGATCGTTCAAGAGGCTCAGATCGATGGCGACATTGTGGAAGCTTGCTGGACCTACAACGACCGTCTGGATCACTCTACCAGCTTGCACTCCTCCTTTGCCTCATCACACGAAGAATCTGGATGGGACGTGAGTGAAGATGATGGTCACGAGGTCGACAAAGATGATGTTGTCATGCTCTCTCCCACTGCTACTCGACATTCGCGTGTGAGGTCGGCTTCGTTGCCCAGCTCTGCAGTCGAGGCGGAAGTCGCACCCAAGCGAAGAGTAGCATCATTCGAACTTGAGCCTACAGCCAGCACATTTGAATACTCGCCGGAGTACATCGCAAAGCGCCGTCGAATCTCCACGTCCCCGGAACTTGAACGACGGGGAGTAAACTTCACACCTAGATGGAGTCGCGAGCCACCATCTCCTTACCTGCAAGAGGAGATCGGGCATACCCGGAGCAGCCAGGCGACGAACCGACCAAGGGGAACCACGCCATTTGCTTATGCCACGCCGCATAGTCACTTCGACTCGCGGGGTGGAGATGGTGATACTGAGGTCGACGATGTCACGACAGTTCCGATCGCTCCAAGTGAAGATGGAGAAGACACGGATGAATGGCAAGGGGTGCAGGATGGCCCTAACTCGCAAGGGCTGCACGAAAAACTCGACGAACGTCCCGACGGGAAACATCATCAGATGGATGAGGAGGACATGGAAGATGGGTTGTCCATCTACGAGGCTTGATATCGAGATCGGCACCAGGGTTGACGGTTTGGGTGGGGATATTACATGCGGGCATTGCATGGCTATGGATGTCCTGATATACTGACAGCATCTCACAGCCCATTTTCAGATGTAGCCAAAGTATGGCTGCGATGTAGACTGGCTCTCCGGTCAATGTAGGATAATTGGATCCGAGATAGCTCTCCAATCTAACAAATTGGAATGATTTCAGCCCCCTCTCAGGAGCATCTGGACGAGCCACACGCACCAAGCGCCTATAACGCCGCTCCGCGGATTCTGGGAGCGTTCCCTGGGTGTTCCTGGACATACACGTCGGAAGTAGCATCCTCGAATAATTGCATGCCGCTCGAGGCAGCGACCAGCCGGACACTGGTCAAAAACGTCACACAGCAACCACGATTGGATTCACGACACGCAACAAAGCGTCCTCTTCGAGCGATACGTATCTCCGGTACCTGAAGGAAGCTTTCGTATACGTCCTCTACGTACCACGCCGGAAGATGAGAGAAGGGGGACGCGCGCCTCATCAACTCCTCACTGGAGCTTCGTGGCAGTAGTCTCTTGGAGTCTTGGGAGTCGTGCGGAGTCCTGTAAGAGCTTGCAGTCGCTACGACGGTCCTTCTTCCAATGATAGACTCCTCCGCTTGCCCCACGAGACATGGGTCGGGTTCACTGACAGGCAACTTCCTCGTCTTGTCCGTGGTCTTCCGATATAGTGTCATCTCGCCCTGGCAAGCCGATTCCAGCCAGCGAAACAGTGTTGACGAGTCCGATGCTGCTCCCGAGGGGATATTTGAAGCGAGCAGGATAGGACAGAATTGAATTAGAAAGAGGAGGCTCGCCTACACTCGGATCCCGGCAGCATGTTCAAGTTGACAGGCAAGGTTCCCCATAACGACCCCGCAAAAGCAGCTGCAGAGATGCATGAAAGGAGCGCATCACAGTGTGGAGAAAGTTCAACTCTGAAGACGCTTGCACATGGGCAGCTGTTGAGCGGGCCAATGGCGTGGCGTGTTTCGCAACAGGGACCCCTCAAAGGGTGCTGTTGGCAGTCCTGGAGTGGAGAGATACGTGAGGGAGAGTTACGGTACGGCGCCACGAATGTGTGGACCCGTCGACTCCGTGAAGCTAGCTGCTCGTAGCCGATCGGCTCTATAGCGACCTCATGTGTCGATGCCATCTCTGATCCAGTGCAGAAAGGCAGTGTTATGACACGAGTCACTCTTTGTCCACCAGGAAGCTCACTACCAGCACAGTGGTAGCTCCACCACTTCTCTCAAAGATGAGCGGATCAGGACACCCGGCTAGGACCAAACGAATCGACTAAGCTCCTGCGACATCAGATTGATCCTGGAGCCCAAGCTGCGCTCGATCCCATTGCTGGATATTCGACATGCGAGATGCTGGAACTTTTGACTAGGTTCTCCGCACCTGAATCTGAGCAAGTCTCAGGTCGCACATTCGTGAGGCTGGGTTGTTGGGTTCTATCGGCGAGGGGCTTGGTTGGACATGGACGCGGAATGGACATTGCACACCTCACTGGCCGTACGTGTTTGGATGCAACGCAATGGATTGGATCGACCCTCTTCTCGACGACAGGCCGCAGGGAATCCAAATCCAGCATACTAGCCTCGTTTCGCACGGCAGTAGAGGGCAATTGCGCTTTTATCCGTCGTGGCGTGAGCTGCCCTGCACTTCCCCAACAGCTACGTGCCTCTCATCAAACCGCATCCCTTGTCAATCCCTTGTACCACGTACGTGGGAGTCCAAAGCTCCTCTCTCCCGAAGAAGCACCTGACTGCTCTGAAGATGCGGGGACTCGAGGTTGATATACTGGCCGTTCTGCGTGCTGATGATCACGACTGATCACAGTCCTCCGCCATCCTCTCCTCCTCCTCCACAACTCTGAACAAATTGGAACTTGTTGTCTTTCTTTGATTTGAAAAGGTGCTGAAGGGAACTGGTCAAGATGACGATTCCGGACGAGGTTGATATCATTGTTGTTGGAGGAGGATCATGCGGGTACGATCATAGCTGCCATCGGCATAAAACTGGATCAACATTGACGGCGATGCAGTTGTGTTGTTGCTGGCCGTTTGGCCAACTTGGACCACAAGCTCCAAGTCCTGCTCGTTGAGGCTGGCGAGAGCAACCTCAACAACCCATGGGTGTTCCGCCCGGGTATCTTCCCCAGGAACATGAAGTTGGACAGCAAGACGGCTTCGTTTTACTACTCCAGGCCATCGGAGTGGCTTGCTGGCCGTCGTGCCATTGTTCCAGCTGCTCATGTCTTGGGTGGTGGATCCTCCATCAACTTTATGGTGAGTTCGATGACGGTCAACTGTTGGGAACTGAGCTGATAGGATCTCAGATGTACACTCGTGCCTCTGCCTCCGACTATGATGACTTCCAGGCCAAGGGCTGGACTACCAAGGAGCTCATCCCATTGATGAAGAAGCATGAGACATATCAGAGAGCTTGCAACAACCGTGACCTGCACGGCTTTGAGGGCCCAATCAAGGTCTCCTTTGGCAACTACACATACCCAGTCATGCAAGACTTCTTGCGTGCAGCCGTGCGTATGGATGACACGCCAGCCTGGACCGTCGCTGACATGCTTTACAGGAATCACAAGGCTTCCCAGTGACAGATGATCTCCAAGACTTAGTCACTGGCCACGGTGCCGAGCATTGGCTCAAGTGGATCAACCGCGACACTGGCCGCCGCTCTGACTCGGCCCATGCCTACATTCACAGCACTCGCCAGAACCACGAGAACTTGCACCTGGTCGTCAATACCAAAGCCGACAAGGTCATCCTCGAGAATGGCAAAGCAGTCGGCGTCAAGACTGTCCCAACCAAGCCTCTTCACCCATCGGAGCAAACATCCAGGACTTTCCGTGCGCGCAAGTTGATCGTCGTCAGCGGCGGCACGCTCAGCTCCCCATTGATTCTCCAGCGCTCTGGTATCGGTGACGCACAGAAGCTCCGCAAGGCCGGTGTCAAACCACTCGTCGACCTGCCCGGTGTTGGTTTGAACTTCCAAGACCACTACTTGACCTTCGCACCATATCGTGCCAAGCCATGGGCCGACTCCTTCGATGACTTCGTCCGCGGCGACGAGAAGGTCCAAGACAAGGTCTTCACCCAGTGGAACATCAACGGCACTGGCCCACTGGCCACCAACGGCATCGAGGCCGGTGTCAAGGCTCGCCCAACCGAGGACGAGCTCAGGGAGATCGACTCCTGGCCATGCAACGAGTTCCGCTCGGGCTGGGACAGTTACTTCAAGGACAAGCCCGACAAGCCTGTCATGCATTACTCGGTCATTGCTGGCTTCTTCGGTGACCACATGCAGATCCCACCGGGCAAGTTCTTCACCATGTTCCACTTCTTGGAATACCCCTTCTCGCGTGGCTTCACCCACATCACCTCTCCCAACCCATACGAGGCTCCAGACTTCGATGCTGGTTTCATGAATGACAAGCGTGATATGGCCCCGATGGTTTGGGGCTACATCAAGTCTCGTGAGACTGCCCGTCGCATGGATGCCTTCGCTGGTGAAGTCGTAAGTACAATCACAGACTCGCTACCACATCATCCCACTAACATGACCACAGATGGCTCTTCACCCATTCTACGCCTTCGACTCCCCAGCTCGCTGCCACGACTTGGACGTGGAGACGACCAACGCCTACGCCGGCCCCAACCACATCACGGCCAACATCCAGCACGGCAGCTGGCACGAACGCAAGAAGCCAGGCAAGCGCCCCGAGGACTCCTTCCTCAACAGCAACCAGCAGGAAATCCAAGAGGACTTGCAGTACAGCAAGGACGATATCCTCGCCATCGAGGAGTGGGTCAAGCGTCATGTTGAGACGACTTGGCACTCGCTTGGTATGTATCCGTCTCACCATCTTCCACTCGTCCCTCCATACTGATATAATTGATAGGTACGTGCTCCATGGCCCCGAAGGAAGGCAACTCGATCGTGAAGCACGGCGTCCTCGACGAGCGCCTCAACGTCCACGGCGTCAAGAACCTCAAGGTCGCCGACTTGTCCATCTGCCCCGATAACGTCGGCTGCAACACGTACTCGACCGCCCTGCTCATCGGCGAGAAGTGCGCCGTCCTCGCTGCTGAGGACCTTGGCTACACGGGCCGTGCGCTGGAGATGCGCGTGCCGGAGTATCATGCTCCGAGAGAGATTACTGGATTGAGCAGGCTTTAGGTTGAGATGGATGCGTGGATGGATGGGAAGATTGGATGTGCGTGTGTGTGTGGTCCAAGTGATGTTCGCGAAAAGTCTATTCTGATTCGTGAGACTGTCTTTGTGTACCTTATGATGTGACCCATAGTAACAATGGAGTTGTAATGCAACGCCGGGTTCTTTTCTCATCTCTCGTCTCGAACTCCTTCATCACCAACCTGATCGTTCGACCTACTCAGTACCGTTGGGCTGCAGGATGTACCGTCACTAACAGCTCAGCCGCGGACTCAAGAGTCCTCTGAATCTGTAGAGTCGGACTGCTCAGCTCCTCCAACAGCATCCGCATCGTCCTCAAGATGCTCAAGGACAGACAAGCCGCGCTTAGACTGGAACGAATCAGTACGCGCCAGGATCGGAAATCCGCTGTCGGCCTCGAGACGCATGGAAGCCAGCAGGGCTAGTTTCGTTGTAGTAGTCAAGAATGACCTCAATGGTACGGCCGATTCCAGTGTCTCGAGATTCTTATGGTTCCATCGAGCCAGCAGTCTAGGCGCAGATATGAAAGATGATGAGCGGCGGGCTGTGAGGAGCGTATTATTAGTCTTCTGCTCACGTCGAGAGTGGCTTTATACTTACAGGTCGCAGTCTCTTCGAGTAGCAGCTGCTGGGGGAATCCACTGATCGGGTATAGGAGGCGTTCGACGTGAAATCCTCCAAGGCGAAGAGCAATGTCGGTCCTCGCCATCTGATTCCAGACAGGGATTTCGATCTGAATGGGCTCGAAGACCTTGTCGAGCGCCATCCGCTGTACCGCTGCTTTCGCAAATTGAATCTGTCGAGCATGTAAATAAGCCATTCAAGGTACAGGCAGATGCAATTCATACCTCTTGGTGGTTCTGATACGCCTGAGCTTCTCGCACGACAAAGGAGAGCTTGGCCTGGCGCAGCAGGTACTCGCCCAAACTGCCCATCCATTCGGTATGGTTCTCAAATCTGCAGCGTATGCTTCCAAAACACTTCTTGCTCTGGGAGGACGTCTTCTCCTTGTGGAAATAGAATGTTGATGCTACCAGTTGATTCGCCACCAGCTGTGTCATCTCCCTGGACTTCTTGGTACCGAGTTCAATCTTCGCTTTTCGCTGCAATGCTCGCAAGTGGAGGACTGCATCCAATTTCGGTGGCTTGGTACGTAAATCGACATTCCAGCGGACATATGGCAGAGGCCTCCGATTCGGCCAGACGTTTCTGGTCCTCTCAATTTGATTCTCAAACTTTCGCCATGATCTCTCAGTATCGAGCATGTTGTCAAAGCGCTTGGCCTAGATCGAAAGTCAGACACGGCAATCGCCTCGCATTGAGACTCGACAGATGTTTCCACAGACTTCTCTTACCAAGACCTTGATGCTTCTTCGAAATCGCTTCTTGGCTTTCATCCCCCTATTCACAATGAGTGTCGGTGCGAAGCTATGCGCGATCAGCCTCTAGCTTAAAGGGTCCCATCATGTGACGATGCACTCACGGCGTGTTTCCACTGTCCTGGGCTGCAATTTGCTCATTGATATGCGCGGTGTGCTGTCCAGTTCCAATAGAGAGCAGAATGTCAGGTTCCACTGCTGCTTTGTCCGGCCACAACAGCTGTCGCTCGGACTCTGCCAAAACCGCTGGATTGTTCCAGTAAAGCGCACCGTCCACGAACGATCGATCAGTGGCCTCATGAATGAAGGTTTTGAAGTACTTAGGTGCTGCGGAGGTTGCAGCTGCAGCCTCCCATACTTTCATCTCTTGTTCTGGGTGCGAGGAACGAATCAAGTCGTATTCATCGTTGCTGTTGTCCGGGCGGCTGTAGTTGGTGATGATGGCGGGCCCTTTGCCTATATCTGAATGTGTGGTGACCGCTACCTTCAAGGGGAACTGGGCTTGCTGCTCATGCGTGCCGCCAAACATCAAATCATCACCAAGGCTCTTTCGTAGTGCTCCATAAAGTGGCTTCGTCTTATAAATGCTCTGTCTGGCGAACAAGGTCATCCATTTGGGGATAGACTCTGGGTCCCGCTTCGTGAAAGCGTCATTGCACAGGCTCAGGAAGTCATCGGTGCACCGGGCCAACGACCATTGTTTGGTGCCAAGCGCGAGTGCGATGATCCCACCTGTGCTGTGGAACGTCAATATGGGACCATAGAGAACTTCAAGCAACGTACCTAGTGCCTACGATGAGGTCTAAGAATGCCTGTATTGACAGGGAGCCTCCCAGCTCGTCTTGAATTGCTTTGAGCACTTCGAGCTCAATGATACCTCTCACACCGCCACTGCCGAGATATCAGTTGAAAGAAGTAGATGGCTCCACGATATTCAGCAAGACGTACCCGTCTAGACTAAGCACTCTTACTCCAGCGTGGCGAGGCTTGGTACTGATGCGCCACGGTTCGACAAATCTGTCTGTGTCGTGCAGAGGGCACTGCTCGATCAACGTTACGCAGTCGCTGAGGGATTTGCCGTGGATGTTGACACAGTCTGTACAGACGACATGGCCACAGGGTAGGACGTGCTCCGGTATCGTTTGCAAACAGGCAATGCAAGTCGTGTGGCTTACGAAGCGTTCTCGGGCCCCCATGATACGGAAGTTATCGAAAGACTTCGTCATGAAATCTCGGAGTATGTGAGAGCGAAACTTTGCCCTCAGCCCGTGCCTTGACGTCTCGTCAGGGATCTGGACGGCCTTGTCTATGGTCATGACGCGGTTTTCGATGGCCGCCAGCCATTTCTGCTTGTAATAATAGAAGTCGACATTTGTCTCATGGGTTCCAAGACCGATAGGCTTTCCAGCTTCATTCTGATGGCCTTTGGCGATGTGACCACTGCAACTGTTCTTACACGCTTGTCCTTTTGCATCTTTGAATGAACACGGCCAGTGTTTGTCCCGGAACTCTGTCAAAACTGCCTCTAGTGAAGGAACATATCCACGAAAGAGATCAGCGACCGGCCCTAGGAGGCATTAGCAAGGATCGAAATACAGTGTTAAGATCAAAGTAGTAATCATACCCTCATCACGTTGCATGGCATCAAGCTGTATACATGATGCCACATACTTCCCGAGGGTGTCCATAATCTGCTCGGGTTGGAGTGCTGGCAGTTGGAGAATCATTAACAGCAACGCCCAGATATGGTCCGCGAAATCCTCTGGCAAAGGATTGTTCTTCAGCTCCGCCTTGATGAAGTCGAACGGTATGTCAAGCGTCTTCGCAAAATGATCGAAGCCAGCTTGCAGATATCGAGTCACTCCATCGGACGTGACAGGCATGTGATATCGATTCTTGACGATGAAGGACTCCGCACATTTATCCTCGATGACTCGTTGAAGAACTCCCGCTTGCTGCTCTAGCAAAGTGAAACGCCCTGCTCCAGATGGAACTCTTACGACCGTGAACGATGAGTAGTACTTGTGCAAGAGGGCATACGTGTTAGTGATCTCATCGTCAGTCCCTCGCTTCCAGTTGGCGGCCAACGTCTTGAACTCGTGGTCATCTCCTAGCCCGCTTCGAGCGCCAATGGAGTTGAGGAATGCTTCAGTAGCAATTTCAGGGTTCCACTCATCTACTTCGACATTGCTCATGTTTAGCACCACGATCGCATGCGGCAAACGTGGAACATTGAGCGACTTCTCGAGAGAAGCCACACCCCAGCGGATCAGCTTCTTCAGGACCGATTGGAAAGTCCTACATCAGAGTATTAGCAGTCCATAAGCCAGAGCCAGTCTGTGGGATCGTACTTCGGGTTTTTCAGAACGAAGACTGTGACATCAGAGAAGGTGTACAGCAACCGCGGATACAGTTCCTTGACAACGAAATCTCGACTCCGTTTGTCCTCACTCGTGGCCCATTCAATAGGTCGAGGGTGACGCATCCATATCGCCCGAGGTCTCCTCACGAGTCTAGCAGCAGACTCAGCCCTTGCAGCTGCGTTTCTGCGGAATTGTATTGCTGAAGGCTCGCCAGTGCCGCCTTCGAGGCCCTCGCAGTCAGCGAACAAGAGGGGGAATTGAGTACGTGCTGTGCCGGGATCGGCATATAGGTGAACATCACCGGTTGTAGGAGTCTTCTCATGTGCATCTGAGCCAGATATAGGCGATGGAAACTCGCCTTCTGTAGTTTTACTGTTATGCAGCTGCTGGCGACGAATCAGGATTTTGATGATTGTGCTCTTTCCAGCATCTGGCATGCAATTAGAGGCTTCTGTCAAAAAGTCGAGGCCAACGTACTCGTGTCGCCAATGAAGGAGACTAGCTGGGGGTACCTCGCAACATGCTCGCCGACATTTGAGTCAGCAAGCAGCGACATGTATCGTCCGCGATCGTTCAAGTACAAGAGCCCTGTCTCTTTGTCCTTTTCCACACCTGGAGAACATCAGCGGGAGCGCTTGCATGCGATCAGAGACGATACTAACCAAACCACAGCGCCTTTATGTCTCTATCATGGAGTTCCTCTAACTCGAGCTTGGACATTGAGTTATGCAATATGTCCTGGTAAAGCTGCATTAACGGCAGCGCGGCTTTTTCGTGCTCTTTGCCATCTCGAGCCTTCTTGCCGGCTTCGTGAGCAACTTGATAATTCCAGCAAACTTCACACAAGGTACTGTCGCAGTCTCCGCAGAAGAACACGGTCTCCTTTGGGGTCATACAGCGTCGATCTTGACAACTGAGGGCACCTGCATAACGACGACTTTCCTGCTGGCTCATGATGTGAGCTGAAAAGATATCAAGTTCCCTAGAGAGCGAAGGTGAGGTCGAGTTTCAGAATAAAATGGCAGGTCTGTGGTCAATAAGTATAGGATAAATCTCAGCCTTGTTGTGAGCTCTAGCTCGCGACGCTTCCTGAGATCCATGCCTGCTGTCTCGACTCCAGGTCTGCTATCTCGAGCCGTACGCCCAGCTGACCAGCTATGCATTTGTCTGATTGACCGGTGAGTGTTCGCCTGGTGTCGACGCCTTCTTTCGAAAGCTGAGGAAATGGTTGGTGTGTCGCCATTGGATCAGAAGAGCGCCACTCGGCCCTAGGTGCAGATACAAACCCCTGTGAGTACATGTTTTCGGCAGCCATGGGGCAACCAACCGCCACGATCGCCTGTTGTGCAACCCGAATCGGGTTACCGGAGCTGCTTCGTCTCTTTGAGGTCGCCCGGACCGATGCAGGCGTTAATCTTCCCTATTATCATCTCAACTGATGGCATCTCTTCAAGTATCAAGTAGCAGGAATGACGTGAGCGAGCGCAGGGAAACGAGATACGAAGAGGGGCAGGAGTGTAAAGAGGAGCTCGGTGGACTGTAGCCATGTGGTCCAAGTAGGATCTGCATCGGCTTAGCAAATTGAAAATTATTACTTTCCGCCTACAGTACTCGACAAGTTGCTCTTTTACGAGCGCGTGAGTTGCAGGACCTCTGCGTGCCGTAGAACAGTGGTTGATACGTTGGGACTTTCCCACTAACGAGGCTCGCAAGAAATCACAGACAGCGTCTCGTCTCAGTTCTTCGAGGCGCGCCGGGAATTATCAGTGCACAAGGCTGACATCTCTTAGGTAGACTTCGAACGTTCCGCAGCAGACTTCGAGGTTGTTTAGGAAGTTGTGTTGACAGAGACAAAGGAGGTTCGCCGAGCGAAGTTATTGAATGCTATTGGATGAAGTAGCGAGCGAATCATCTAATCTGATTTGGGAGACGTCTTACTAACACGAATCCTTCCGTGCAGGTGTCCTCAGGTGCTTCGTTCTCTCTCTCTTTCCTCTCCAAGCATGTTGAGTGTTCAATCTGTGCAAGTCGGGCATCCCATACATACATGATGCCAACATCAGGACGCCTCACGTCCCCTCGACAAAGTCCGCCTTCTCATCCTTGAGCGTCATGAACAGCCTCTTCAACTCACCAACTTCCTCGTCACCGAACCGCACACCAGCCTCCCGCATCTCCACCCACCGTGCCAACGTGGCTACATATGCCATCCGCATCCGGTCTCCAGACAGGCTAGCAGTCCCCGGGCGATTGAATGCCGCGTCAGCCTTCTTCAAGTACTTCCCAACGAGTTTCCAATCTTTTCCGCTCCCATCGGATCCTGCTTTTTGCGAATTTGGCTTCTTGGGGAACGACTTGAGATACGCCTCGATCTTCGGGCGTAGTGCCTTCATCTCGACAGAAGCTTCAAATGTAGTGCAGGCGGGTCTGAGCTTCTTGACCTTGTTGCCCTCGAGGTATCTGCCGCGCACTTGCTCCTCGGAAGCCTTGTCGGAGCTGTGGTAGAAGATGTTGAGGTGCGGCGGCATTCTCAGGAGCGGGTAGGCCAGTCGTAACTCGACGTCTCTCCCATGTTCAAGCTCGATGCTGAGGTCTTGCATCTTCAGACTCGAGCGACGAAGAATGCTGGCGAGGGAATAGAGGAGGTGATTCGGGATTTCTGGGCGGCACACGGGTGCTTTGATCTCGATCCGAGCCACCTTCAGGATTGCTGATGGGAAGGAGTTGACGAATCTATCCAATGTGCTACGTTCCACCATCGCATGCATATCCCCGCTGATGAAGTCGAAGTTGGCATCCCGCAGACCCTCGTCCGTGGATCGTGTTGGTTTATGGGCTCTGATGCAGAAAGTGGTCTGCGACCAGAAGATGCCGGCGGCCTCTCGATACACCTCCTTGGAGACTCGCAGCAACGCTGTGTTGGCGAAGTGCTTTTGGAAGCGGTTCTGAACAAGCGCATACTCGTAGATGCGGTTGCGAAGTTCGGGAGCTAGGTCAAAGAAGCGAAAGACTTCCTGCTCCTCTTCGGCGGTGTTGGGAGACGGAGCCATGACGAGGGTCGAGGGCGACTCGTAATGATGTGCCATGCGTGTTGCGATGCGACTTGGGGTGCCGGCGACTGGTGATGTTGTGGTAGTATGTGCGGCGCGGCAACAAAGAGAACACGCTGAGTCGATGGCCGCTGCGTGCGACCTGCGACGTCGTATTGATGTAGTGTGTTGCGACGAGAAGTTAAGTCAGACGCAAGCAAACGGAAGATGAAGTGCTCGCGAATGGACGGCCCGCGTCACTAGCGACAAGTGACATGCGACAGCACGTGGCATTTTTTGCTTAGCGGCTTGGCGGGAAAGCAAGTGAATGGATGTGGAAAGTGAGGTCTCCCGTTTCCTAACAATCATACGATTCTAGGCTAAGAATACAGTCGTGTGGCTATTCCACTTACTTCTTCTCAACCCTCCGGGCCTTCCATGTCTGACAGTCGGCATCTGCTGCTTTGTTCTTCATTGTCATCTCTTTTGTCCCGCCCCTTCTTGTCCAGCAATCTCAATTCCTCGCTGTTACTCGTTCCTTTGCAAAGTTACCGTTATCACTTCCTCTCCCCCCAAACCCCCTCGGGCTCAGCCTCAACCCTCACCCCAAACCCATCCAACGCCCGCAGCACATCCCGATGCAACAACCTCCCGACCTCCACCTCCCCCTCCAAAAACCTAACCTCCACTTTCTGCTCCTCACTCTCCCCAAGAACCCCGCCAACGACTCCAAGAACCAATATACCGCGAAGAAATCCGACAGATGGCGCCAAGCGGTGGGTTCGGTGTCTTGCAGGTAGATGTTGACGACGATGCGCGGGGCGCGGAGGAGACTTTCGGGCCAGAGGATGTCGATGTTTGTTTTGGAGGTTGGGTCGCAGCTTGTTGCTTCGAGGGCGCCGGTGAGGGTTAGGTGGCAGAGGGGGGAGTAGGTTTTGGTTTGGTTGAAGGAGAGGAAGCAGGCTGTGAAGGGTTCGTCTTTAGGGGCGAGGGCGAGGGCGGCGACTTGGGAGGATACGGTGGTTCCGGAGTCGAGGCGGTTGCTGGGGCTGAGAAGGGTCATGTCTGAGGGTGAGACTGGACCAGTCTGGCTGGTGCTGATGTTGGACATGACGGTGTCGGCGACTCCGCAGGAGATCAGGATGCAGTCGAACAGCAGGGTGGTGTCTTTGGAGTCGAGTTGGTCGCAGTCGGCAAAAAGAGTCTTGTCAAAGCTGTTCAAATGTCTCGGACAAGACACGAGGGACAGCAGCGTCTTATTTAAACGCAGTCGAGACGTCCATTCACCATTCCCTCCTCCCATTTACTAGCTCTTACATTCATTCGCTTCACCGGCACCCCTCCACCCATTCACCTCAACCCCTACCACCTACCAACCAACAACCCCCCGAACCTCCAACTTCGCCCTCGCCACACAAAGCCTCCCAAACGCCCTCCCCCACCCCTCCCCCACAATCCTCAGCACCTTCCCGTTAAACCCCAACTCCCCCAACACCCTCCACTCCGCCACCCACCTGTCCTGCATCCCCTCGCTAGCCCCCACCTTCAACAACTGCAGGACGGTTTTGAGCGTCTCGATGTACTTTTTCAGAGTTGCGTCCGCGATGGAGTCGTAGGCGGGGAGTTGGTAGTGGCGGTGCGGCGAGGGGAATTCGGCCGTGCTCATGGCCCAGAGGGTTTGGAGGGGGGTTGGAGGAAGGAGTTTCCCCGGGTTGGGGTCGCGGGGGAGGAGATGGCGGATGGTGTTTTCGAGGGCGTGGATTTCGCTGAGGGGGTCGAAGTGCAGGAGGTCCGTAATCTCTGCATCGTTGTCCAGTCGAGTTCGTTGGATGAACTTCACGTGGCCCGGTTCGAAATTCTCCAAGTTCAGCGTCAAGGCGATCTTCTGAGGGATTTTCATGATGGGATATAGCGCCCTCTGATAAACATGCCCGCATTCCTCCTCTCCTGGTCGAAGTTTCTGATATCCAGCTTGATCTCCTTCACGGCGCAGTCTTGTCTCTTCAAAGCCGAGCTCATGTTCAACAGCAACGCACTGAGCCCCACCGGCCTCAAGCTCACATCGATGGTGATCCACCACTTCCTCACCTTCGTCGACCAAGGCGGGAAGAAAGCGTCCGAACTCCTGAGGCGTGGGACATCCGGCATGCTTGAGTGGCGCCGGCCTCTCGCGTCGAAGTAGTACCCGTAAACATCGCCGACGGCGAACATAGTTGTGTAATCCACATCGAAATCGACGTAGAAAGTGCTGTTGTGGTGCAGCACGTCGATTCCTTCGCGATAGATCTGCTTGCAAGTCCTCAGCAGCGCAGAAGACGCCTTCTGTCCGGGGACGTGCGTCAGGACCATGTCGTAGATTTGGTTACGGAGTTCGCCTGGGAGCCTGCCGAAGAGGCCTAGATTCTCCATATTTTAGGACATGTGTGGACTTTCGGTCTGAGTGGAATATGGTGGAAAGGGAAACGGGCAGTGGTGATGCTGGAGACCGGGAAGTAGACCAGAGAGGCAGAGCAGAAGGGAATGTGAGATACTAACTTGTGAGATACTACCTTCCCAAGAATTGCGAAGATTGTGAAGAATCGTATGTGCGGCCCTACAAATTCGTTGGGTCAGCGACAATGTGCGCCAGTCGTGAAGAGAGTTATGTGCTGACCACATGCAGCTTTCGTAGGCCATATCCAGAAATTCCACCTCGCACGTGCGAAGCGTCACCCACGCAACGAATGAACTGCACTTCCTCTCTCGGATACTGCAAAGTCTTTTTGATCGACTATTGCACCCTACTTGCGTCCGACGCCTCGATCGTAACATCGTTCAGCGACAACACCTTGGTATCTGCTATTGTACAACATCGGTGCCGTTCCGTGCACCCTATCGTGTTTCCAGCGACCGTCAGTCGTAGTGGAGATGGTCCCGTATTCATACAACAAGCCCGCACCGCGCCATGCAAATCATCTCATACACTTCCAAACTCGCCAATCCTACTTGCTTCAGTGCCGCAAGCCTACGTGGCTTGCCGCAGAGCTCTTGCAAGCTCAGCATCGCCACCTTCAGTAAACTCGCCAGTTTCATCAACCTTCGGTCTCTTCGCGTCGTTGACTTCCGCTCCCTCAGACATTGAATCTCGCTTTCGCTTAGCGCCTTCCCCATTGGCGAACAGGGGTTGCCGCTTTGTCTGTTCAGGCGACTGTGAAAGAGGAGCTGGGGGTCGGTAAATTGGCAAGTCGTTGACGTTGCTTCTCTGGCCATTTGGAGACGTCTGAGAAGTTGATTTTGAGTCTTCGATCGAAGTGTGCGCTGTCGAGTTGCCATTCACATGAGGTCCTCCCTGGGAGATAGGTCTCGCGACAGTGATAGTATCGGCGTCGACATCGGGTGGAGGCGGCTCGTAGAATGACTGGCCAGCTATTGACGGGTCGATAGCTCTCGGCTCCTGCGCTTGCTTCTCGTTTTGCTCTGCAACGTCAGATCCGGGAAGGGAAATCGCAGAATCAACGCTCTCATCAGGTCGGTTCGAGTCGCTCACGGTCTGACCATTCGACACTGACGCAGATCCACTCTGGTCGAATTCGAAGCCATTCGTGTGTGGGTCTTGTTGGTCGTGGGCAGTGAAGTTAGGATCTTGATAATCCTCGTACGAGCGGCCGTTCATGTCGAGAACCTCGTTTGCGATCTGTTCAAGCGATGGGAGTTGATAGAGCGGAGGCCTCTCTGCTGCTGAATATGCATATGCCATGGTGTCCGAAGCTTCTGAGTATGCGAAGAGACTGGGGTCGATTGGCGGTTGGGTTTGGTACTGCTGAGCCTGCGTCTGCGTCGGTCGCTGTTGTTGGTTTTGCTGCGGGCGATGCTGGGTTGCAGGTGCAATGTTGTGTTGTGGAGTGTACGGTTGAATCGGACGTCCGTTGTGCATGTCATACGTTGCAGGGTCGGCATGATTACCATTCGACTGCGCATGCTGGTTGAAGGTCGACGGTGATGGTCCATTGGAAGGAGTGCTAGGGGTTACTTTCTTCTTGGCTTGCGTCGGCGTGCCATCTTCTGCGGGTCGCTTCTTGGTCGAGACTGAACCTCGAGGGACTGGTGTCTCGGCCGCTTTGACGGGGTCAACGTTACCGCTTTCGTCGTGAATACATCGGCGCTGTTGATGTTAGCAAACAATCACCACCTCTGATGGGATGCATACCTTGGACTTTCTGCATTCAAAGCAGGCCTTCGTGCGTCCGCGTTTCTGTGCCTCGCCGAAGATGGGTACGCCATTCATGGTCATGGGAATGTTGGCATTGAGGTATGCGTTCGTGCCAGGAAGAGGCTGATTCTGTCCATTAGTGACTGGCGCGCCATTTGCGAGAGCTGCACTGAGCATTACATGGCCATTCGCCCCCTGCTGTGCATTGATCGGGTTAGTAACATTGTCGAGAGAGGCGCGCGATTTTGGTTGCGTTACAGTAATGTTGTCGAAGAGTTCTGGAGTCTGGTAAGAATTGGGCGACGTCTGGAGCGACTGGTTGGGGCTACCTGAAGTGGCCTGCAGGACAATGTCTTTGTGCTTGCATCGGATTCTGCGCTTCCTGCACGCATCGCAGGCCACGCGCTTGGGTCCGAGCACCGAAGTTTTCGGCGTGCTGATGTACTGCGCGGGCATCGCGTTCATCGCCATCGCCGTCGGATGGACAATGGGCGCGGGCTGAGCATGCATTTGGTGATGCGCGGGCGGTTCGGTCGGGGCATGTGATGGGTGTTGCGGCGATGGATGTTGATGATGAAGTCCATTTGCTGAAGTGCGCTCAGGAGCCGCCACAGCGCCATCCACGCTAGTGCTGGCACTAGCCGCAGCGGCGGCATTCTTCACGCGAGCGCTCTGCCGCTCGGGGGCCACTTGCCACGCTGCAATGGCTTCCTTGCGCTCCATCTCCTTCAGTGCGCGCGCCGACAGCTTCTTGGGTGGTCCCAGGTCCTTGCCGTTCGGAAGGACGGCGTCTGGATGTGCCCAAGCGGGTGGGTCCTCGTTCCCTCGCTTCCAAGCCACCCAGAGGGCAAAAGTCTTGGCCACTTCTAGCGGCTCTCCGTGCGTCTTGGGAATCGATGCATTCACCCGCTTCATGCGATCTTGAGATACGCCTTCAATCCGGCCCATGACCAGCATAACAGTGCGGAAGATGAAGTTGACCAGGTCTGGCAGGCCCTCGATCTCGGCTTGGCCATAGTACCGGGTGTTCTTTGCGCCGGGCCGAAGGTCGTCGACAGCAGACTCAGCATCGAACTCCGCCCAGATTGGTACCTGTCGCTCGAACCGTTTGCCTTCGTAGAAGAGCTGTGATACAGCATCCGGTAGAGGGTCCGTCTTCAGGTACTGGATTGCTGTATACCACATGATCTTCTGGAAGTAAGGGTATCGGAATTTCATGGGCGTCTCGTTGGCCTTCTCGATATCAACGACCTTGAACTGGTTCTTGTAGGACATTCGATTCAAGAAGTTGCCGCCAATGACCAAGCTCGTCTCCGGCGTCCAGACTGCGTGGATCCAGCCAGATGGAATGAGCATCGTATCGCCCTCGTTGAGGTCAACGCGGTAGCATTCCTTGGTGATGTTTGGCAGGAAGGTGTAGTTCTGTTGAGGACTGTCATTCCATTCTTCGTACGCCTTGAGGTGTTTCGCCTTTGGTGGTATGAAGAAGAATGTCTTCTTGCCCTTCAAAATATGATAGTAGACACTGCTTCCGCCAAAGTCGATGTGGAAGTCGGTGTAGCTGTCTGCCACAGACATGAGACAGTAGAACTGGACCTTGGGGTATTTGCCTTGATCGATCTCTTTCTGGGGCCAGACTTCATCCTGGAGGTCGATATCCCGCACAATCTTCGGTCGACGAAGAAGTCGTCCCAGCTTCGACTGCGATACTTCCAGCGAGATCACATTCCGAATCGGCTTGTCATCACCGTCTTCCTCATAGTAGTCAGCCCATCTTCCAAGCGTCCACTTTGCACCAGAGTTCTGTGTCTTGACATCAATCACATCCAGGGGTATCTCCGGTCCCACCAAGTTGCAGACCTGCCGCACAGTGAGATCTTCAGGCATGACCATGCCCAGCTTGTCTTGGCCCACATCTGGCACCGCATCGTACTCGAACTCTTCAGCCGTCAGATCTGACATGATGTCTTCTACCTTCTCTTGCCCACCGTCACCCTCGGCCGCCTTCTGCCTCTTGTGTACCCATGGACGAGGGTTCCACTCAGCTGGAATACAGATCGGCTCAACAAAGACGTTACTCTTCTCGAAGAAGTCGCGTGTGACCAGCTCAGGTCGCATTCGGGGAAAGTTCTCCGGATCGAACTCGAAAGTGCCGTCCTTGATCGGCTGAATGTAGTGGTGCTCCATACTCTCTTCACTAGTCTTGAGCACTCCACGCTGAAGTTCAGCGTAGTCGACTTGCGCATGCGCACGAGTACTCTTCCTGACGTATGTCGTCTTGCCATGCACAGGCTCACAGGGTTTGCAGAAGAACTTGTCCACGTCACGAACTTCAGAAGCCTTCTTAAAGCCAGCGCAGTCCACGTGAAACCATTTCTTGCACCCGTTGCATGAAACCCATTCGTCGAGTTCAGGGTTGAGCTTGGTCGTCTCGCGAGCGACTTCGCAGCCTGCGCAAATCGTCTCGGCTGTGACCTTGTTCGTGCGTCGTGATGTCTTTGTGGGTGAAGTAGAGCGGATGATCATGGGAGTGTCATGAGGAACAGATTTTGCTCGCGGCCGCGAGTCGTCTGCTTGTGACTGTGCCTGAGTGACCGACGTAGCACTGAAACTGTTCCGTCGATTGGCATTGACGTCTCTCGCGCCATCCCAGACGCTAGAGACTGCCTCGCTTGTGCCTCTACTCGCCCTCGATGCATCTGGAGTTTTCTTTCGTGCAGCAGCTCGCTTCGTAGTAGCTCTATCGGCAGCGGACTTCCGCGAAGAGGACACTCGAGACTTTCCCTTTGGCCAACCACGCTGCCTCTTTGACGCTGGTTCTGATGTCTCGCTCATGACGACGTCGGTACTCTGGGCTCGTGAAGTAACTTCCTCTGGGGGAGTCTGTGTCTGCTGAGGAGCATCCTGCATGTGAACATCCGGCTTTGGAGGAGGGAGAGAACGGATGCTTTCTTGCATGACCACATCTTCCTGCTTAGGCGGCTGCGCACGGTAGGGACTGGAATCCACCTCCTCGATCGTCTGCTGGGGTGATGGCAACGTAGGCCGAGGCTGGTCCATGGCTTGTGGATTGAATGGAGGGAGAAGGCCGGCCTGATTGACAAGTTCAACTTGACGCGGCTGATAGGTGTCCTGAGGAAAGCTATTCGCATGAGGACGAGGCGGCATGGGAGCGGCCATGCTCGGTGCTGGTGGAGGAGGCAGATGAGGGTTACTCGGCGGATATCCACCCGTACGGAAGTTGAGCAAGAGCGATGCTTCCTCGATACGACTCTCATAGCTATCGCCAGGCTGCGATTGCTGTGTCGAGCCTCTATGCCAGATGTTGGACTGCTCGTAGCTGGTCGCCGGCCGCGACGCATACTGCGCTACCAGAGGAGAAGGTAGGAGCTCAGAACGGGAACGCTTATGTGGAGGCTCACTCCTACCGTGGCCAGACGGCATAGGGTGAGCATGGACAGGTCCATGGTGCGAGACTCCAGCATGTGCGGTATGTGGTTGGTACGAGGGGCTTATGGCAAGCGCAGCCTCTGCCAGGGTATCAATTGTAGACGGTGTCCGGTGATGTCCATTCTTGTGACTACCACTGCGCTCTCTTGCTCTGGGCGTAGCACTATAGGAATGCTCTGGGCGTACGGTGAAGTCCACATGGTTGTTGATTGCTGGGTAGTTGAAGTTGGGCTCGATCGGCTTCGGTCTGGCCGGCGACAATGGCTCGACATATCTTGTGGGCGGCGTCGGCGAGCGGCCTGCGGCATGGGCAGAGAAGTCTGGTCGCTTGAAGGTGGGATTCCACGCCATGGTGGTGCCTCTCGCTGGAGCAGTCTGAGCTCCGCGGGCAGCTGCGGCGGTGTCGGCGTCGAGGGTGTTGGGGCTCGAGGGAAGGATAGCTGCACGCACTGCGCGCTCGAGTATGTGTCGCAGAAGGAGTTCAAACTATGGTTCGCGCAGTCAGGCGCCTCATTGCCTGGTTCCTGGCGGCGGAGGGGGTGGTGAGTCGGTGTCGAGGTGGGACCGTGGTGTGAACGAGTGCGCTGCGACCGACAGCGTGCGCCGACGCGGCGAATGGGGTGGGAGCTGGGCTAAACAATAGGAAAGGTGGTCTCCAGCACTGCGCGCCGTGTGCACAGGTCGTCGAGGTGTCCAGAAGGGCGGTGCATGTGAATGGGTAGTTGGGAGCATTCCACTGCTGTGCCCGCCCGCCATTCACTCGACTCGACGCCAGCGCCCCAGGCTCTCGGACGGCAACTGCGCCGACGCTGGCTGGCTGCCTGCACGTGACGATCGGCCTCGACGCCTGGAAGCTTAACAATCCGCCCACGCTCCCGCTCCTCCATCCAATCCACCCAACGGCGCCTGGCTGTTTCGCACGACCACTCCCACCACCGCCACCCCTTCACACACGCGCGAAGTATGAGCCGCAGCTCCAAACTTGCTCCTGAAGTCAACCGGTACGCACGCGCCCGCGCCTGTCCCTCTACTGGCCACCACCGGCGCACACCACCCGCATCTGGAATGTCTCAGCTAACCGCCGGCAGGGCTTTATTCGTCAAGAATCTGAGCTACAACGTCAGCGCCGACGACCTGTATGATCTCTTCGGCAGGCAAGTGCTTCGCACACCCGAGTCGTGGAATGCGCCCGCTGACTTGTTATCTCCAGGTTCGGCTCGATAAGGCAGATCCGCCAGGGCATCGCGAACAATACCAAGGGCACCGCCTTCGTCGTCTACGAGGATGTCATGGACGCCAAAGCCGCCTGCGACAAGTTGAACGGCTTCAACTTCCAGAATCGCTACCTCGTCGTTCTCTACCATCAAGTACGTATTATTCTCCGGACTTTGCCCGACGCAATATACTGACAAATGTATTTCTAGCCCGAGAAGATGGCCAAGAGTGAAGCAAACCTCGCCGAGCGCCAGCAGAATCTAGAAAAGCTGAAGCAAGAGCACGGTATCCAGTAGAGGTGCGTGGGAGTTGCAGTGGGTGAGACCTCAGCGCAGGAGACGACAAACACGGCCGACGAAGACCTCGACGACCGTGCGTCTTTCAAGCGCAAGGACTCTGGTATGAGTGGCATGGACCCCAGCAAGACACCAGAGACTGCAACTCCCAAGACGAGAGATTTCGCGACTACCAACAACACCACGATGAATCGTAACGTCAGAAACGAGAAGCATGATACCAACAACTACAAGGCGGCAGTGGATAACAGCAGCAGCAGCAGCAGCAGCAGCAAGACGACGGCGCCGGCGAGCGTCCTGCGCGAGAGCAAGCACAAGGAGAATTCGAATATGTTGCGGCGTATGAAGAACATGGCTCTGGCTCCTCTGCACATTGGAGGAGGAGCAAAGGCGTGATGTGGCATTCAGGCGTTTTCTGAGAAGCTTTCCCTACGGGCTGGCTGCTTTGATATTTTCATACCTTCTTCAAGCCCCACGAGAGGCTACGATGAGATAGCTGCGAAACTGAGCACTTTTCACGATTCCTACGCCAATTCACGTCACGTCTGACTTTTATCACATGTCTCGCCGTTCCGGTAAACTCCGCGACACAGACTTTCGAAACACAGCACTGGCGACATCAACACATCTTCCCCTATCTACCTCACCTACATACATCTCACAAAGTATACACAAACTCCATATTCTCCCGATCCGTCAAATCGAGGAACTCTTGATCCTCCAGTTTCACGTAACCTTCCGTGGCCCGGACCCTCGCCTTTTTGGCATTCTCCCTCCGACACCAGATATAGATGAAGAGCATGATGCACAGCCCGACGCCCCAGCAGACGATGATGGTGATTTCGGCGGGGACGTAGCGGGGCTCGTCTTTGGGGCGGAAAGTTTGTGGGCCGCTTGAAAATCGAGAGGTTAGTGATGAGGTCGAGAAGGGGTTAGGGAAGGGGAGGGGAGGGGAGGTACGTACATGATATTTCCCACGCAGTAAGCGATAAGATACAGCGCCGCGACCGTAGTTTTCTTGGTATACCCCGCGATATTACTCGAGATCAAGCTGAGGAAGCACACGAACGGACACGCGCTCGCTTGCGTGAGGTAGTAGCCGGCGAGACGGCCGTTGTTGTTGTTCAGGGGCAAGCCGACGATGAGGGACATGCCGATGATGGAGAGGACGAGGCCGGAGGAGGAGACGAGGATGCGGTTGCGCCAGCGGTCGCCGAAGTAGCCGCAGAAGAGGAGCGTGATGACTTCGACGGCGCCGCCGGGGGTGCCGTAGAGGAGGGATTGGTTGGGCGTGTAGCCGAAGGAGGTGATGAGTTGGGAGAAGAAGTTGGAGATGCCGCCTAGGGGGTTGTTAGTGCCGTTGCGTGGTGTAGGGAGGGTGGGAGCAAATTACCGTTGGGGATGTCTACGACTAGAGCGTAGAGGACGAAGGCCCAGGTGATGGGGTCTGTGAGCGCCTCCTTGAGCTGATACATCTTGAAGTGTTTGTTTCCCACGCCCTGCTGGTTGATACGGATTCGTTCCAAAGCCAGTATTCGGTCCTCTTTCTTCAGCCAGCGTGCATTGAGCTGATTATCCGGTACGATGAATAGGAACACAACACCGACCGCGGAGGTGAAGAGCCCAATAGCAAGGAACAAGATCTGCCATCCCTCGAGCGAAGTGGGATGCTTCTCCGTTCCGACTGCAATGCCATACGCAACTACACCTCCAACGACCTGAGCCACGCCATTCCAGCAGAACCAGAGATTCACACGCATGCCTTGTTCGGCCGTGGTATACCATTGGGAGGTTATGAATGCGAAACCAGGTGTCACTGCTGCTTCTGCAAGTCCTAGGAAGAAGCGGATGGCTACAGCGCCAGCGAAGTTCTCCACGGCGGCGAAGCAGGCCAGGACAGCGCCCCAGATGATGATGCAGACTGCGCTGTATTTGCCGATCGGGAGCCATTGAAGCAGTCGATTCGTTGGATACTCCCAAGCCAGGTAGCCGAAGTAGAACATAGATCCCAACCCTGGAGGTCCATATCAGCATCTGTTGTGCGGGATGGTGATGTACCCTTACATTGATAGTCATCATCCTTAAGATTCAAGTCCGTCTTCAGCCCCATAATGGAAGCATACGACAGCGTCGTCTTATCCAGATAATTCAAGCCATAGACAATGCACATCACCGGCATGAGGTTCCAGTCAATGCGTCGCAGCAATCTCTTGTTCGTCGCCTCATCAATGGTGATGACTTCCCCCTCATGGCCCTGAAACGCCTTCAACGCCTCGTCCGCGTCGTGTGAGTGCTCGAGTATCTTTTCGGGTACGGATCCCGCTCTGATGGCATCCGCGAGTGGCGCTGGGATCTTCTCGTCGATTTCAGGCTCGACCGTGTGGTCGCTCTCTTTGGTCAACATATTGGAGAGCTGGCAGCGTAGAGGGATGAGATGTGAAGGAAAGAAACGAAGTTGGTCTGGAAGAACTCACAGATCGACCTACATACGTGTGCATCGACCACTGTCACATCCGACCCAAGAGCGACCGCTGATCGGAGGAGTTGACTTGCAGCACGACCAAGATAACGCCGCCCGTCACCCCTCCTCTATCCGCCTAAACATTCTCAGAACAGAGCGTTTCATTCTGTCACAGGCGCGATCCAACATCGCGTGGTCCACACGTTTGTTTCGCAGAATGACGTCCGCGGGCCGTGAGTCGCCCAGGTGCATATTCTACCCCTCTGCTTGGAGGGTGTTGTGTTGCTGCGATAGGCGAAGATTGCTGGCCGAGATTGGCAGGTGGAAAAGCATTCGCCGCCGGGAGCTTGACGGTGCTTCGGCATAGCAAGGCGACTTGGCAAATGGATGATGGGCGGGGTTTGCGAGGGCAACATTTATTTGGAGATGGAGGTGAAGTGCGTTTGCTGAGGGAAGCGAGAGTTGTAAGGAAAGTGCTGATGTTTGGATCATCTGAGAGTGTGAGCCATTGCAGTACATTTTCCACGATTGGAGCGGGATGGCGGGATCTAAGGGGAACCAGCGGGTGTTCGAACTTTAAAGCTTGACTTCACTCACTGGATACCAGTCACGTGGCTTTGAGCACAGACCGCAAACAAATTTATTGGTTGAAAAACCTGGTCCGCTAGTGAACTGCCAAACTTTCGCAACATCTACTTTAGTTTTAAGATTCATAGACGACTGATCGCACATTCTCTCCCTCACTATGTACGTTTGAAGCAACTGATGGAGAATGCTCATGGCTCGGTCGCATTGTAGGGAACCATGATCAGATCTGGTCAGCTTTTGTTAGTCTTTTCAAAGCGAACAGGTGTCCATCTGCTAGGCGAGTGATTCATGGGCTCCTGCCACTTCCAACACCGACGTTCTATAATGCAGATACATATCGTTGAAGATGCTTCTGGCGACTTCGACACCAAGAGCCACGTTGAACCTCGCGCGGTGCAAAGCCTTCTGAGTCAACATGGACGCAACGTGTCTCGAAGAAACAGCGCTTGGGAAATATGTAGCCAGAAGATGAACACTGCAGTCATGTCTCCAAATCGTGAGAGAACCATTGTTTCTCAATACTCAGTCAACCTCTTCAAGTTGAGATACACCCATCAAGCCAAATCGCAAACATGCAAATCAACCCCATCCTCTGGCTCTACGCCCTCCGACTAGGCCAGGTCGCAGGCGGCTTCAGCATCCTCTTCTCGCCCATCATGCTCCTCGACCCAGAATACTCTCCATACGCCTTTCCAATGATTGGCCTCGGGGTACTGTTCATCGCCCTCCCTTACAGCAGTGCTTTCAAGAGGGTCATGAATGCTGGTGAGGATTAGCCCTTGTCTTCGCTCAGTGCTTCCGTGTGCTGACTACAATGAAGGCTACGAAGACAGTAACAAACGCAACGGTGCGGGTGACAATGGCGAGAACCGGCAGAAGAAGAGGCAGCGGCAGCGGCAGGAGCGCAAGAATCCGAACGGTCTTACTTGGAGGCGATGAAGGAGTCGCGCGGTGTGGATGGCGTTGTAAGAGGTGTCTGCCGGGTTCGTGGGCGGATATCCATGCACATGCGATGGAACGTGGCGGTTCTGTTTCTTCTTCTTCTGCTGCTGCTTCTGCTGACTGAGAAGAGAAGTCGTCACCTTGTCAGTCTCAGTATCCAGTTCATTCCGGCGGCTGCGTGACAGTTGATACCTGTGAGATCTGCTTGTCATTAGGCAGCAGCGCGACGACAGTCATCAGCGACTCGATGCGATTAATGCCCTCAAACACATGCAGTTATCGCGATCATAAGCATCCATCTCTTCTCCAAGATCCTGCGCACGAGCAGACATTTTGATGAAAAGGTGACGTGAGTCGCGAGTAAGGTATGCCAAAAATTCCCTGCCGATCCGAAGACCAACAGAAGCGGTCAGTTGATAGTTTTCAACTAGCAAAAACGCAATCTCGGACGAATCCTCACTGATATGCGTAATGCCCGTGCTGTGAAGAAGTCAGTATGCATTGAAGATGGTGAAGTTTGGGGTGCGGGTTGATGCTTACCACTTGGACTGGAGGAGAACGGAAGGAGTTTCGGTCGAGCTGTGGAAAAAGATTTATAGGCGCAGCGGGAGCGGCCGTCAGCACGGGCCTCAAATCTCAATCGCGCGCATCGCAGCTTTGCTGGCGCGTTGGACGACCTCCAGACATTCACTCACTGCAGCACATGCCAACGAATTCACCCTGATTCTCCCGCGACGCGCCGTCGCATTACCGCCAAGATGCAGAATCCGTATGAATTAACAACTCATCCCGCCCGCGCTCACACTAACAGGCCGTCACAGTTCGCAAGGAGTCGCACAACAACTCCAACCACACGTGCACTTGATCTCGCTCCACCGATTCCCCCTCATAGCCTCCCTCAATGTCGAACAAGCCTTCCGCTACCTTCTCGATGCGCCCTCAATCGTCAAGCAAATCGCGCCCATGTCATGGAACTATGTCTCAGCACCGCAAGATGGAACCGTGTGGCTGGAATGGATACCTCTCGAAAAGACGGATCAACCTTTCCCCTCCGATGGCTACGCTTGGGGAGATCCTGAGCAGACATACAGACAAGAGTTCAGTGGATATACAATCGAGTGGAGATCGCATCAAGTCGGGTACAGACCTGGCCACGACCAGGTGGCATCGCACGCTCGGACACGCTACCACTTCATCTCGAAGAACCCCTCTGTGAACGCACCACCACCAGATCCATCACTCTGGATCGTCCACTATCACGCAGCAGATCCTAACCGCGTAATGCCTGCCAGCTCGGTGCCCGTGTCTGGTCAGATGCGCCAGACGATCGCGTTCAGGACATGGCTCGAAAGTCAGGGAAGATTGGAGCGGAGAGACTTCATGTTGCACGATCGTGAGCACTGGCCGACGCTTAACATTCCGGGCCAGATGCAGCAACCAGGACAGTACAATGCCCTGCAGAATCGATACCCACAACAACACTATCCGCAGCAGGGAGGCGGGCCTCCAGCGGCGAAGAAGGCAAGAACATCAGGTCCGAGCATATCAATGCCTGGCTCCAGCGATGGCCAACACGATTCGACCATCGAAATGGAAGAGGATACGGCGCTTGGTGACTTCTTCGACCATCTCACTCAACGCGATATCAGCTTAGCCCGCTACATGCAGCATCATCGCTGGATGGAGGAGGTATTCTCATCACCATACGCTTCCAGCCAGATAGTACCGCCGGACCTTGGTATGGGCTTGATGGGTGAGCTCAAAGGCTTGACAGATGGTATCCTGGAACCACCCAACATGGACTTCATGGACCGCGCAGACAGCAAACCACCCAAGGCGAAGGAGGCGGCGCCATTCACCAACCTCAAGAAAGAGCAAGTCGAAGAGTTCGGCAAGCGTGTGCAGAAGCATCTGGAAGAAGGACAGGCGGAGATTGAGCGGATGAAAGCTGAGCATGCGGCCAAGATGCAGGATTGGAAGAAGGTCAAGTCACTCATGCAAGCCGAAAAGCGGTTGCGATATGCGACTTGGGAAGGCCATGAAGATGCTGTGCCCGCATATCGCCTGGAAGAACCTATCACCAATGGACATGGTGAAGAAGTCTCGGGCAAGGAAACTGTGGACAATGTGGTGAAGGAGGTTGAAGAGTTGCTGAAGGTCAAGATCACCGGACGAGAAGACGCGAACAGGGTGGCCAGGGGTGGACTGAGAGATCGCAAGCCGCCCGCGTTCGATTACGAGCAGCAGAACAATCAGCAAGAACTGACGCTCGATGGCTTGATCAACGACGACCCGGAGCCATCAGAAACACCAGCACCTGCCGCGAACGGCTCCTTGATGGAGTCGACCACGTTCCACGAAGATCCCATGGCCGTCACGCAGACGGCTGGTGAGCAGAAGTTGCCTTCCCAAGTACCTCAGTCCATATTCCAATCAGACCTCAACCAAGGGACCCCAAATGCCGCATCTGAACAAAACGCCGCAGGAGATGCTCTGGATGATCTACCGGGCATGGACATGAACGATACGCTGATGGATGGCATGGATCTTGATGTTGGCGATTCAAACATCGACTTCGGCGACGACAATGCGGGAGGGCTTGACTCCCTGGGAGACAGCATGACGCCGGCCCAACCAGATGCGTCTGCTGCGGGCGGTCAAGCCACCCAACCTACAGATGCCACCGCCACCGCTCAGAGTGCGGACAATACCAATCCATCTGGTGGGAATGATCCAAGCCAGGCACAAACTCAAGCGCAGCCTTCGCAGACCACGACTCCAAATGCCGACACTGGCGCAGTGACAGGGGATAATGGATTGGGTGATGACGCCGGCGACACGAGCATGTTCAACGACACCTTTGACGATCTCACAAACATCGACGGCAACGGCGATGATGGCCTCATCGATTTTGATGGTGGTGGTATTGGCATGGACGACAGTGCATTTGGAGACGCTCTCCACGGCATGGACGCCGCCGACGGCTCTGGAGATGGTAACACACCAGCGACAGGTGGATCTTAGTCGGATTTCTTCCTTGGGCGTGAGAACGACTTTGTCTGATCGATGATGGCGCCGGCGGGACACACGTGCGCGCAGATGCGATTCTTAGCCGTCGCAGCAGAGATGAATTGGAGAAGAAATGCAAGATTCGTTGGCACGGACCCGTACTCCTCACAGTCGATTTCTTTCAGTTATCAGTTGAGTGGGCTTGGCGCGGTTCACTGTTGAAAGAAGTAAGCAAGTGTATGTGGTACTGACTGAACTTTAACGAGGCAGACAAAAAATGAAAGACCAGACTTTGAAGTTGGCTTCCTTTAAATTAAGAAGAGTCCTGAGGTTCGCGGTATTGCTCTGCGCTCCTTCCTTCGATATCACACTCGCTTTAAAGATCACTCTTTTGTCGTCGATTCTCACGCTCGCTTCAAACCCACGAACAAGAACGCACATGTCTGCAGTCATACTTCACATTCTCTCCGACGACGACAACAACACAAGCAAGCAACAACCAGACTCTCCCGCTCTAATCCCCATCATGGACATCAACAATCCCCAAAGCATCTTCACCAACACGCTTCCAACCGGCTTCACCACCTCCTTCACCCAGCAACAACTCACCACCGCGACAGCAACACCCTCCCTAACAACCACCGCCCCAACGCCCACCTCCACCTGGAAATCCCACGCCCCGCACGGCTACATCGGCGCGATGACAGGCGGCGTCCTCGGCTTCCTGGCGCTGCTCGTGGTGCTGGGCATGAGCCTGCACGTGTGGATGGGTCGAAGGAAGCAGGCGGCGCTGGTGGCGAAGAGTTTGAGTCGGTCGACGACGGGGACGATGGGGACGATGGGGGATGTTTCGGGGGAGGAGGGTGGTATGTGATTGTGTAAGGGTTTGTTATGTGCGGTTGCTGACTGAGTGAATCGTAGGGAGTTCGGACCAGGCGACGCCGAGGGGTGTGGACGCGGTGGAGTTGGGGGAGATGGGTGCTCGTCCCATCTCTCACGAGACGGCGGGTCCATCTCATCGCGATACTCCGGTGGAGAGGCGATGAGCTCGGTAAGAGCTATGAACAATCCCTACATTTGACTTGGACGGATGGGGCTGCGGTCACATCGACACGGACGGACGGGGCGAGGGCCCTACGGTTGGAACATAGATGGCGCATGAAGAGGTCAAGGCCTCGATAATGATCTTGGGCTGCACAATTAGGCTTTTTATATGGCGAGTTGTTGAAGAGCGATAAATTGTGAGGGTTCTACTAATTGCCGGGATAGATGATGGAGAAAGGAGTTGGTTGTACATGTATCCTGAGATAGAAATGAACGGAGTTTTGGAAGACATTGCTTTTGGGGGGAGTTCTTGTTTATTTCTTGCGGTATGAGTCTTTTGGCAAGGCGAAGAAGAAGGAGAACAAGACATTGAAGACAATTCAATTCCCACGTGTAGTCCTCCAAAATCAAGACGTGAAGTCGGAAGATACGATCGCGTCTGTACCTTCCCTTTCCAGAACTCGAAAAACCACATCTTCCTATCAATCCTTCCTTCCTTCCTCTTCCCGACAACCTACCACACGAGTTTCACGTCCCAACAAGACATGCATAACACGCTTCACCATGAAGAGGAGGAGATAGTGATGCCGTTCTCCGGAAACAACTCGTTGCCGCATGCCGAAGGAGCCGAAACAAACAAGAAAGTCTGTAGGCGAAGAAGCAATTGACTTTGCGACTAGACCCAGCTGTGCTAGGGTTTTTTAGCTGCTGTCGAGGGAATAGGGCTGGAGGTTTTGCGCTGGCTGGGTTTGGTATGTTCTCCGTCTAGGCAGAGGAGAGAGCCTTGTTGTAACTTTCAAGGCATACGGATAGCATAGCCTACCTCAGAAGAGAGTCAAGGCCTAACAGTAGTCGACGGCAGTGGACATCACGACCGACACTTTGAGAGACGTCTACAGCGTCACCTGCATCAGCCTCCCGAAGAGATGCAAGGCCCCAAAACGATGGATCAGAATCTGCACGTCTTGCCCGAATCGAATCGAATGGAATGAGAGCGTGTCGGTCGATGGCCACCTCATGTTACACCCGGGCGCCCCCAAGCAGAAGCAGAAATACTGTCGTGGGAGAAGACGAAACACGTGCCTCCCCCACACCTCTTCTTCAGGGGAACTGAACGGCTTTCATCAAGGTTGTGGAAGGATGCGACACGTTTTCTCTGCAGAAGACTGCGTGGAGTTGTTGTGTGTCGATGGACAAGACGACTTATCCTCTGGGCGGTGCGGCTCGCTTCGATGCAGGAGGGATGTTTGTGTGTTTTTGTTCTTCCTTCCTCGATGCCGCCGAGCCACGTTATTCGACATGCAGAATGTGTCCCTGCCGCTCCACATACCGACCGCTTTGCGGACCGCATCTCGGGATCCCTGTTCGATGAGTGAAAGAAAGAACAGCGGCTCGAGCCGGTCCCGATGCCTCGAGATCAACAGTCGCACATACCGGAAGCAGAGACGAGGCGCGGCGAGAACGTGGTTTTGATTGCCCTGTCGAGCGATCGTCGGGTACCGGCTTGAATGGTGAAAGGCCCTCTTCTGCAAGAGCAATCTACGCGGGAAATCGGAATGGAGTACTCAGACTATGGATCATGGCACAAGGGTGTTGTTGTTGTTCCAGACGACAACAGCTGCTGTATGCAGCATGTCACGAGAAGATGCTTCCCGATGGGTTGGATGGCGGTGGCCTGGTAATAGCGATGTTACACGCAGGCGTGTGTAGTTTTGTGTTGGGGATGTGATGAGAGCCACTGCGAAGGCCAATCGTTTGGTGAGTGGACTTTCACACGACATGTCTTGGTCAACTGTCAACTGCTACTTTCACATGATTCGCACGCTATGCGGGAAGTCGTCTTTTCAACAGTCTTGTTGGTTTTTCTTGCTAACGGGCCTCGGCCGGCGATTTTGTGAAGAGGGGTGTGACCAATTCGAGGTTGATCAAGCGGTAATTCTTTCAGCGGGAAAGTCGCTAGCAGGCCAGCACATCCGTTGTTGGACTCCAACACAGCATGCAATGTTGCCCTTCTGCTATCGATGTTGTCGTCGACCACAGCTCGGGGCCGGCCGAGACCACCAAACATCGGCAGGGTACAGCATTTTGCAACGCGTTGATTGATGCCTGAACATGGCACAAACCAGAAGATGGCCGACTCTAGGAACAGCGTGACATCGGCAGTCTGTTGCAGTGCGTCTACGAATCATCGGCCGGCCGAACAAGACCAGTTGTTGGTGCTGCAGTTGTTAACTCCATCCCGTCTGCAGCGTGCTTCGGCAAGCGCAACGGTGCGCTTGTATAGCGCTTCCGGACGACACCCTGTCCGCCGCTCAAGCGTCCACGACCATCCCGTTCTCGTCCAGCGCGGTTGAGGGCACCGGCAGTAGAACGGCATGCTACGAACTCCAGCAAAGGCTGTATCAGCCAGTCTATCCATCTCCAATGCCTTTCACGTCACGACAAAACCTCTTCGCCTGGACTTCTCCACGCGTTTCCAAGCCATCCCCCCACGTCCTGTCATCACGTTGTGCCAGTGTCGAAGTTCACTGGGAGTTAATGACATGGACAATGCGCCGAACATGTGGTTGGTGGCCTTCATGCCGCATGCACGCGAGCAGACCGCTCTTCTGCGGCGTGGTGTTTTGGCGAAGCGGCGGAGAAAATCTGCAACATGCCTCCCACGACTCGAGGTGATGTCTCAGGGGAGCGAACAAGTACATACATCGCTGGAGGGCTAAAGTGCCGTCGGCTGCGTCGATCCCATTTCTCTCTGCTCAGTCGTCAATCAATGGCAAGAATTGCTTTGTTGCTCTGCTCGCACGGCATGCTGTATCCAACGCCCGAAAGCAACAGCATCGCGGCGTCTGAAACACGGCCATGTGAGACAGAGCATGCATGATATATCACGCCGTGTGCCGCGAGAATTGTTCAAGCGTGTGCGAAGGAATGGAAAGGACGCAGGTGCATGGCCGACCCTGGCGAAAAGGCGCATGTCGCAGTGGGTTTGGCGTGTGAGGATTTGTTGGCGCGTCGCGACCAAGAGCGGTAGGTTGAACGGGCCGTTGACAGCTTTCCTTCTAGCTGGGAGAGCTAGCAGGCCCCAATGCTTGAACGGATCAGAGCTCAACGCGATGCCGTCCGGGCAGGAGGGGAGGGGAGAGGGCCATGGGGAAGGGAGGCAGTGGATGAGAGAGTGGCTTTCGAGGCTGTAACAACGACATGTTGAAGCTGCAAGCCCGGCGGTCATCGTGCGGCGGAAGAGAGGCCGGCGAGGCGTTGGAGGTTGTCGCTGGATCGAGTGCCGATGCACAGATGCATGGTTTGATGCACACGCAAAACCGCGCTTCACAGGCGGACGGCAGCTGCTGTGCTGTGGGGGAGAAGCGAAGCCACGAAATTTGCAGCTCAACCGTGTGTGATGGTCCAAGGCCCTCGTCTCAAGCGTTGACGGGTCCCAGCAGCAGTCGTCGACGGTTTGGAGACACGGCCGTCCATCAGTCATCCGCGCCGGTGCACCACCACCCTGCCCGCAACTCTGAATGTGACCTGCGTTGCGTGCGGTGCTGCTGCTGCTCTGCTATCTCTCCGTGCCTACTACCCTTTCTTCTCCCTCCCTCCTCTTGCGTCCTCTGGTACATCCAACCCACCCGATTGGCACTCTGATACACACCACCGCCCACCCCAATTCGTCTCCTCGCGGCGCCATCTGCACCTGCAACCCGCTAGCAGCGTCGACCTGCCCATCGGAGGAGTGACCCTGTGCGTGTCCCTGCCCGGCTTTGACGCAGACGCCAACAACCCCCCATCCACCACCGCGCTCGACAGCCTTGATCCTCCCTCCCCCATCCCATCCATCCATCCATCCATCCCATGTGCGCCGCACGTGTGCTATCGTGAGCGACTCCGGCACAACGGTTCAGCGTGCAGCACCCCCAGCATCCCTCCGGCTCGCCCTCCCACGCTCTCGTGCACCGCCTGAGGTGTCGCAGCCTTCAAATAGAGTTGCACATCGTCGTCCCAGGACCCCCAGACGCACACCACACCACACCACGCCAACCACCGCCGCCGCCGACGCAACCCCATCCCGCACCGCTGACGTCTGTCCAGACGGTACTTGAATCTTGTCCGCCGCTGCAGCAGTCCAGTCTGGCCCACTCTCCTCCCATACTACCGCTCCGCCTACAGCAGCCCGGCCAGCTACATCCCAGCCGCTGCTCCCTTTGAGCAGAGATTCACACTGCACTGCTCGGCCCAACTCCGCGACGACCGGACCGCACCACCAGCATTCAACCAGCATTACGGCGTCTCCTCGCTGATTATCGCCGCCTCGCTCGCCTTATTCCCACCCGCCCTGCTCTCTGCACCGCTGCGGCCACGGAGCCCTCGCCTTGGCAGCCCTGGTGCGCCGCTGTGGCCTGCATTTAGCCAGCGTTTGCCATTCGCCGCCGCTTCGCTGTCGCCCGCGACACACAGCAGCACCACAGCCAACATCACCCCGTCATTGGCTCAGCTCGCGCTGCTGTATGCCATCGCCGTGAACCCTCACCACCACCGCGTAGCACAATCTGGTCGCCTGACGCCGACGCTCTCGCTGGTCACTCCAACTCCTGGGCTCTTCTCCACCCCCGGGTTTCCCACGTTTGCAGACATCCAGCCGCCACCATGTCTCACGGCAAGATGACGCTGTACAAATTGGTGGTCTTGGGCGATGGTGGCGTGGGCAAGACCGCCCTGACGATACAGGTATGATGATGAAGTGTGGTTCGAGAAAGGGAGTGGGAGTGCATTCCAGCTGACGCGCGCAATTCACAGTTATGTCTCAACCACTTCGTCGAGACCTACGACCCCACAATCGAAGATTCATACCGCAAGCAGGTCCAAATCGACGGCATGTCGTGCATGCTTGAAGTGCTCGACACGGCCGGGCAGGAAGAGTATACAGCGCTGCGGGATCAGTGGATAAGAGACGGCGAAGGGTTCATACTCGTGTACAGCATATCCTCACGCTCGTCATTCACACGGATACAGAAATTTCATCACCAGATACAGCGGGTGAAGGAATCCGCCGCGGCAGCATCACCCACGTACCCCGGCTCGCCGCTCTCGCAAACCATGGGCAATTCATACGGGCCCGCACCGATCATGCTGGTGGGCAACAAATGCGACAGAGTGACGGAGCGAGAAGTGTCCACACAAGAAGGCCAGGCGCTCGCAAAGTCGCTGAATTGCGAATTTGTGGAGGCGTCCGCCAAGAACTGCGTCAACGTCGAGCGCGCTTTCTACGATGTCGTGCGCCAGCTCCGGCGACAGCGATCCAACGCTCCCTCACGGCAGAGCCAGAAGACCTCGAATTCTGATCCAGTCCCTCGCACGCCCCGGACAAACGGGAATGATGTGTACAATGATCGGGAGAAGAAGAAGCGATACCGTCGATCGGATAGAGATCGAGAGCGAGGAGGAGGCAGCAAATGCGTTATATTGTGAACATGGATCAAACTTGCAAGACACAACTTCGCTCTTGCGCGGCGGTCGAAATCGCTGGTCTGGGGATAGAACCCGGTGCGAGATGTCCCGAGCGAGCACCAGCATCAGCACAACCGAGACCATGATATGCCCCTGCACGCGCAGACGACGCGAGGGGTCGTTGGGTCTGGTGGAGGTTCGCAGCATGCGTGAGAGAGGAGACATGCCAATCAAGGCAGCAAGCACGACGATTACCACACGCGAGCTTCGAGCACGAACCAGGAACAGACACTTCGGCAAAGGACAACGGGACGGGCGGACGGGAACCCAGAAGACGGTCTTTCTCTTCCCAACCTCAACGGCTCCACACGATTCTCTCCCGTTGGAGAGAGGCGAGAGGCGAGAGAGGAATGGCTTGGGATGCAATGATCGCAGACAGGGAAGCCGATCCTCTTGGGCAGCTCGTCTACGCTCGAGCACGAGCACCCCTGGAACTCCAACCTTTGCCGCTGCGGAGACCGACTTGTTTATCAGCCGGCCATGCGGCACAGCGAGTCTGGGCCCCAAAACAAGATCCACCGTGTCGTGATGTGCACGCATATTGCGACTGTCACGTGAAGTTTGGCTGGTCAGTGCTTTGGAAGCAGAATTATGGGCATACGGCGACGATTGCCCGTATGGAGGAGAAGAGCGTGGAGTTGAGTGAGGTGGGATGTCGAAGACGCAATGGTGTGTGCTTGGTTATCGGAAAGGGGGAGATAGGTCATCATCTCTCTTCCTATCTCCAACCGAAAAAGAGAAAAGGAGAGTTGTGAATGAATGAGAGAGAGAGAAAGAAAAATACAGGATACCCATGTTTTGCTACGACACTGTCCCAGATAGACTCTTTTCGCTTCGAAAAGGAAAGCCAAGCGCCATGAAAACCGCTGTTGTCAAAAAGTAGTAGAGTTTCATGGAAAGACTTTCCCGTCTACATTGTTGATCAAACTAGCACTGATGCCATGACTGACTCTCAATTCTTCCTCGAGTCGCAGACTCCTTCCTTCCTGCACGCATGCAGACCTGTTCTCATGCACGGTCAATGGTCTGTCTATACTTCTGATCTCTCTCTCTCTCTCTCTCTCCTACTCCATCCTCGCCCACCTACTACATCTGCGATCGCCATTGTTCCCACACCCGTCCAGCACCCGGCACCATCCTCGGTAGGGATTCTGCTGCGCGTAGAAAGGAGTGTTTACGGAAGCAAGAAGTTCAATGGAGGGGAACTGTAAACAAATGATCTTGGGGAGCGAGAGGGAGGGAGAAAGAGAGTCAATGATCATAACTCCTCCAGGCCAGGCCTTCTTCGCATGGGTTTGCAGTCACTGGGTCGAGCACCGTCGAGGGGCCTGGAGAGGGGAAATGAGACTCTGCATTACGACTTTCTCGCGGGCACGCACTGGGGAGTCAATTCGCTACCTCCTTGGGTCTCTTGCCTCGCCCGGGGGATCGTGTCGTTCGGTGATGATGTGCGGAGCGGAGGCATGGTGCTGTGCGTGCGCGATCGTGGTGATGAGGAAGGGAGGGAGGAGGAATGAGTAGGTAAGCAGGGCGATACTTCACATTCTTCCCGTCTTCCTTTTTCGGCGGATGGGTATGGTTTCGAGGCCCGCGCAGTGAAGCTATCAAGGGTATCTCATTCTCTCCCAATCCATCGCAAGGACTGCATCCTCCTCGTCGCAGTACCGTCTGCCTGCTTTCTGCGTGGCGCTCGGTTCCAATCGACGTGCTCCTCCTTGTTGTTACAGATTCGAATATAGCTGCTCCTTTCGAGTCCGCGCTCGTGGCTCCTACGACCGAGCCATCACTGCTCCTCGTCCCGCTGGAGGAGAAGGTGTAGCTGTACACCGCCGTCTCGCTCTCCAGTATTTGGGTCGAGCTATATTGGCAATCGTGCTGCGTCCGCGCTGAACTTTCAACACCTCCGTCCGTGATGCGATGAGACGTGAGATCTCCCCAAGCCGTCTGCTCTTTCTCCAGTGCTCGTGCAGATGGTTGGTATGCGGGCTGGGAGGAGAGACACAGTGATGTATGTAATGAGTATGTAACGAGAGTCTTCCAAACACCTACCTGCCTGGACAAGACATCCACGGCTGCCTGTCTCCTCTTGTAGCATGTGCGTTACGCGTTCTTCGACAAGTGCACAGAGGGGAGATGCGTGTGTCTTCTCGGCCGTGCGGTATGTCCTCGCGGAGGATGTACTGCGAGGCTCGATATATTCCCATATTCAAGTCCACGGGTCGAGGATGCACTTGGTTCGCTGCTGGTTTTGACGTGTTCGAGGAGGGCGTGAGCAGCAAACGTGAAGTCCAGCCCAGTCAACAACTCTTCCTGCCTCAGGCAACTAGGGTTACTTGGTGTAGCATAAACCGGTGGGATTCGTGCTTCGTGGCGACGATGGGCTTGACAACTTCCACGTTTTACCTTTTGAGAAGCTGAGACTTGGCAGGTGGACTTTTCAGAGTGTTTTGAGAATGGTGGTGGGGTTTTGGTGTGGTGGTTGGGAGTTTGTGGGGAGTTTTGGGGGATTTGGTGATTTTGAGTTTGGTTTTTGGATGTCAACATATATCTCGACCTACTTTTGCACGTGTAGTACACCATCTTCATAGACAAGTAGACAAACATATTCAAACATCGTCTGGGACCGGGATTATAAGGCACAGACACCATAACGACGCCTATATGTCCCCATATCCTACGAAAATGCGTACCCATCGTCGTCGTGACCACTGAAGACGGCGAGGAAAGGCGTTGTCATGCCAGCATCTTGCCTGATAAACGAACCCGCAGAGGCGTGTGCTTTGCTGAAGGCATTACTTGACGGACATACTAATCGAGAGACTATAAGAACACAGCAGAGGACAGAGTGGAACAACGCACAAGAAGGACCCCCTGCAACCTCGATGGGCGAGACGACGAGAACGTGAGCAACAGTGGAAGGACATGGATGGAAGAACACCACGAGTTGGTGAACGATATACCACTGCCTACCACAACGAACTACCCTACCTCCCAACCTCAACTCCCAACCTCAACCCCCAACCTCTCCGCCGCCGTCACGAACCCCACCTCCCCCTCCCCGACAAAAACCTCCTCAATCCCCTGCCCCAGCAACTCCGGATACCGCTCCTCCCTCGGCCTCGCGACATAACAAGTCCGCAACCCATACTCCCTCGCATGCTTCAAATCATCCAGATGCGCCGCGACCATCATGCACTCCTCGGGCTTCAGACCCAACTTCTCCACCGCACCCAGGTAGACTTTGGGCGAGGGTTTGTAGGACTTGAACATCTCCGAGGAGAAGATGTGCGTGAAGGGCATGTGGCCGTGCGTCGTCATGTCGGTGAGGAGGGACACGTTGCCGTTGGAGAGGGTGCAGGTTGTGAAGTTCTTGTTCAGTTCGCGGATTCCTTGGACGGTGTCGGGCCAGGGTTCGAGGTAGTGCCAGATGAGACTTAGTTTGACGATTTGGTGGTCGGTGAGGAGGGAGCCTTCGGCGGGGGTACTGGAGTTGTTTTGCGGGCCTGGGAGGATCAGTTCGCGGGTTGTGAGGATTTCGCGGAGCGCGTGGAGGTGGTGCTGGTCGACGGTTTTGTAGGGGATGGTTGGGTCCGCGGCGATGGAGCGCGTGAAGACGAGGTAGGTGTTGCGCCAGTCTTGGGCGACTTCGCCCCAGTCCTCGTAGGTCTGTGGGAGGTGTTAGTCTCTTGTGGCGAAGGAGGAAGGACTGGAGACCGACCATGTTCGATGCCTTCGACCGAACCTGACTGCTCAGCGAGGCGGACGGCGAATCGAGAGCCTCCTTCGCTGCATTCCACAACGCATTCGTCACAGTCTTGCGCCAATCGACACACGTCCCAAAGACATCGAAGAAGAGAGCTTTCGGTTGCGGATCTGGGAGTGGCATTGTGGAGGAGTTTATGCTTCAATGAAGCCCACACTCGAAAGTCGAGAATCTTACTTATGTATCGTCTTCTTCCAGCACACTTCGGACTGTGGGGGTTTATCCAAGGCCGATTCTGACGCCCTTCGGCTGCTCGAAGAAGTGTGGTTGTGGACTACTAGCAACCTCGGCGGCGATCGGAGGTGTTGGTGAACTGGAACTGACGTACGAACTGGCTGAAAGATATTCCGCAATCATTCGTATTCGCAGCTTACATCTATTCGTCTGCGAGCGGTGCAAGGATCAATGTTTCTTCTTCTGTCTTCAACGTGGATTGGATTGCAAAGCAGGAGAACGAGCAAGTGGTGTCGTTTCGTCTTCGTCAGGGTCTCGCTGAGGTGGAGTGGAGAGCTGTCTTGCCGGCTGTGATGCCATAGCGAAGACAACTTTCATCGCCTTCAAGATGCATCATCAGCCTCTGCAAGCGATAATATTGGTACTTGGGTATACCTCCGTTCAAGCACAATGCAGTGTCGTCGCGCACGAGATAGAAGACCCACTTCTGCGCGCACGGGCCGGCCTTGACCGAACGTCACGCTCTCTTGCCGACCAAAACAACGCGGTGGTACTTGCACCATCACGCGACCGCGATGTAAACAAAGTACGAGAAGCACAGGCAGAAGATCGGAGAGGAAAAGGAAGTGGAACGTGAGAAACAGTGAAGTTTGGTATCATCTTTGTCATTGTCGATGCAGCTCAATTATCACCTTGAAACACCCCGCCTTGTGTCTTTGAGCCGTTATGTTACACCATTGAAAAACCAAAAGCAGTGCCGAGAGCAGCCTGCCAACCCATACCATACGCCTATCCATCGCCAGCCTTCTTTGTGCTGCAGCGTCATGCTGATGGATATCTCAGAGTCGTAAAAGCCATGCAGAAAAGTGTCGAAAAGTCGGAAGAGAGGATGCGCTTAGCCGCCGAAACCGTAGAGGGTACGGCCTTGTCGCTTGAGGGCGTAGACAACATCGAGGGAGGTGACGGTCTTGCGCTTGGCGTGCTCGGTGTAGGTGACGGCGTCACGGATGACACCCTCGAGGAAGGTCTTGAGGACACCACGGGTCTCTTCGTAGATCACTGGAGTGCATGTCAGATGATGTTGCGATGAGGATGTGAATGTTGTTGAACTTACTGGCAGAGATACGCTTGACACCACCACGACGTGCGAGACGGCGGATAGCGGGCTTGGTGATACCCTGGATGTTGTCGCGCAAGATCTTTCGGTGACGCTTGGCACCACCCTTGCCGAGGCCCTTGCCACCCTTGCCGCCTGTGAAGAAGTCAGTACGAAGGCGATATGGTGAAGCGGATGATGGGAATACTGACGTCCAGTCATTTTGATGAGGGTTGGTGAGGTTGAAGTGTTGTAGTGATGTGTGTTTGATGAGAGTTGGTGGATGTCGCGGATTGGCTGATGCTTTGCGAGTTGAGTGTGGAGGCAAAGGGCAGAACTGGCGAGGGGAGGGCGGCTTTTAAAGTGCGGGAGTCTCGCCGCTGCCACCTGCTATCAAACACGCCCACGCGCGGCGCGCCTGGCCCGAGCGTCGCATCACAACAACAAAGTCAGCGACGCCCCGCGCGCGACCAATCAGCGTGCAGGATCACAGACGCAAAGCTGCCTGCTTTGCTGCGCGCTTTCCAGGCGTTGATTCTGGCTGTGACGCTCGCAGCCGCGCCTTTCAAATACTTCGGCTTTCCGCCCTCTTTCTTACAACACACTCCACCCACCAACCACATCTCATCAACACCACCCATCACACCAAGCACTCCACACATCAACAACTCAATCAACTCCATCAACATCTGCCATGGCTCGTACCAAGCAGACTGCCCGTAAGTCACCACCACCTCATCGTCGCTGATACGGCTGCCGGGCGCAATCTGTTGTCGTCACGCCACATGCTTCAACACCGCACCTCCAGCGATCAGCACCCATACCACCTTCACATCAACACATGCTAACAACATCTTCAGGCAAGTCCACTGGTGGCAAGGCCCCACGTAAGCAGCTCGCCTCCAAGGCAGCCCGCAAGTCTGCACCATCTACCGGTGGTGTCAAGAAGCCTCACCGATACAAGCCAGGTATGCATCACATGCTCTCACAACATCTCCATCAACCACTGACATCTCCCAGGTACCGTCGCTCTCCGTGAGATCCGTCGCTACCAGAAGAGCACCGAGCTTCTCATCCGCAAGCTGCCCTTCCAGCGTCTGGTCCGTGAGATCGCCCAAGACTTCAAGTCCGACCTGCGCTTCCAGAGCTCTGCCATCGGCGCTCTCCAAGAGTCCGTCGAGGCCTACCTCGTCTCCCTCTTCGAAGACACCAACCTGTGCGCCATCCACGCCAAGCGTGTCACCATCCAGAGCAAGGATATCCAGCTGGCCCGCCGTCTCCGTGGCGAGCGCTCTTAAGCGACTTCTTCTCTGACCAATACGACTTCATGATTCACCACCACGACCTCCTCCGGCAGGCCTTCGTTATGGCTAGCAGGTGCTGATGGGCGGTGGCATTGGATGCTTCTACAACTGATATGGCGTTATGGGTTTTCTTACTACTGAGTACCATGGGGGTGATGGGTGTTTTCTGAGATATCAAACAAGCACCAGCAGAAAGTGCTTCGAATGCAGTGTATCATAATGACAATGGTGCAATGCAATTGCAACTGATCATACTTGAAACTGGCTTCACGGCTTTCTCATCTCTCCAAAGTGCAGTGTTTATCGTCTCGTTTCGCTGTGGTCTCCATTCATCTCCCAAGGTCTGTTGTCCGGTCGCAATCTGGCCCTCCATGAAGTATTCGAAGCTTTGACGAGATGCTGCTGTCGCACAACAGAACTCCCCTTCCCACGCATCACTCGACTTCGTTTTCGAGCAACGTCTTCCACGTTGTTCAAGGCCTTCGCATGTCGGCAATGTCCAAGTTCCTGCAGACTCCTTCCAGTGGTCGCTGACGACAACGACGTGGAAGCTTTCGCATAACCCGACCGGAACGCTCAACAAAAACAGCTCGGCCAGGTACCCGGATTCTCGCGCGCAAGACTAATCTCGCACGGCGATGACCCCACGTAAGTCCGACATCGCCTTCATTCAATCACTACTTCCTTTGCATACATGTACTCTCTCTTGTGCGACGCGAGATAGTGTCCAAATGTTGGACTTCCACTCTTCAAGATGACCTTTGCCTACTTCGCTGGGCGGTCCAGTTTGCGCCAGCTCCATCGAACCGTCCAGCGAAATATCACCCGCCAGCACCAGCGAAACGTCCGATACGAGTCTTCGAAACAGAGCCCACCTTCACGAAATGCATCGACGGTCGCTGGGGAGGGTTCAGCGAAGGGGGAGCCATTCTCAGGAGCATACTGGGCATGGGTAGAACCGATCAAGATCCCCTTCCGGGCGTACAACAACATGCAAGCACGGAGTCCACTCTTGACGCAGTGGGAGACAACACTCATAATATACTTCCTCGGAGACCTATCCGCGCAAACCGTCCAAACAAACGCCTACACCGAAGCCCGATACGAGCCCATTCGCGGCTTCCGCGCCATGTTCATCGGCGGCATCATCAGCATCCCCAGCTACAAATGGTTCCTCTGGCTAGGGCGCAACTTCAACTACGCCTCGCACCTGAAGAGCCTCGCGGCGAAGATCGTTGTCTCACAGATGCTCTTCACGCCCATCTTCAACACGTACTTCTTCAGCATGCAGACGCTCCTCTCTGGCGGGAGTCTCAAAGACGCGCGGGATCGTGTGGTCGCCACGGTGCCGGTGAGCTGGAAGAATAGCTGGAAGCTTTGGCCGGCGGTGACGGCGTTTACGTTTACGTTTATTCGCCCGCAGAATCGGAGTGTTTTTGCGGGCGTGGTGGCGATTGGGTGGCAGACTTATTTGAGTTGGTTGAATCGGTTGGCGGAGGCGGAGGCGGGGAAGGGGAAGAGTAAGACGACACCGACGGTGCGGAAGGAGTTGAAGGGGACGGCGGAGAAGGGTGTTGGGAAGTAGAGCTGTATCAGAGCGATGGGGAGGATATTAGGCGGCCTCAAGAGGTGGGAGATGAGGAAGACGAGTACAAGGATATCTCATTTGTGAGAAGGGTAAATCTGGATCTCGAGACCAGAGAGAATTGGATAGATCTAGAGAGCATATGGGAGGAGTTCTGGGAGCAATGGAAGTCATGAAGTGGAAAGCTGAATTAGGAGATGTTGATTGAGATACCCGAATGTTGATAGACCATTTATCAGACCATATCCCATCAAGTAGCTTGTTCCTCATGGCGAGATATATCTCTCCACCAAACAGTATCTACTGCCATATCGAGTGTGACCATCTCCCACCAGCCGATTGGCGCTCGTGACAGCGCGCTACCCTCGACGCGACCCATCCCAACTTCGCGCGTCAACCTCGGCGAACACCTCTCAACTCACCTCAATGAGATCATGACTCCAACATGGCCGTCCACGGACCTACCCAACAACCGGCGCCTACCATAGATCCAGCAGACAGCGACTATGGCTCCGACCTCGACAACGACGCCTGGGACGCCATCTTCTCCCAACCCCCCGAGTCACAACCCACCATCATCCCACAGCTAAAGATCGAAGAAAGTGTCGTAGAAGAGCCGATCCTCCCCGACGATGCAGAACCGCAAACTCACAGCCTGCGTCTGGCGCGGATCCGCGAGAACCTGGAGGCGGCGATTCGCGACTTGGATGGGGTGGCGGGGGAGTTGGAGCAGAAGCGGGAGCAGCACAAGGTGGAGATTGAGTATGAGCGCGAGGAGGAGTTTTTCGCAGGTGAGTTGGGAAACTGATGAGGTGTGGTTGGAGGGGCTGACGGGCTGACTGGCAGCGTCTTGTAGCCGTTGAGGTGGAAGAAGTGAAGGCTACATCTGTCGAGCCGGAGAGTGTAATAGATACTCGATCACCGCTGGAGCGATTTCGAACGAAGCCGAAGAAACCACTCTCCGTCACGGATCTCGTCTCGCCGGCGTGGTGTGAGCTGCAGTACTGGTATTCCCTGACGAAGTATGGCCGAGTGCGAAGGACGCCTGCGATGAAGCAGGGTTCGAAGATCCACAAGGAGAAAGAGATGGAGGTGCATACAGAGGTGCCGGTGGAGATTGCTACGAAAGAGGATCGATTGGGGCTGAGGCTGTGGAATATCATACAGGGATTGAGGACGTTGAGGACGACGGGGTTGACAAGGGAGTTGGAGGTTTTGGGGGTTGTGGAGGGGGAGGTTGTTGTTGGGATTATTGATGAGGTGTCGTATTATTGTCCGGATTATGAGATGGAGCAGTCGATTCTTGAGGCGGCAGAGACCGCAAGGAATGGAGGCAAGAAACAGCAGGCATCACTCCCACCCGACCAACGCACCATGAACGACTTCTTCCCAGGCGGAGGAAGCACCAGCCAAAACCTCTGGCTCGGCACCCTCCACCAACCCCCCAAAACCCTCTACCTCGTCGACATCAAAACCCGCAACTCCAAAACCCTCCCCAAGTCCGGCAGCCAAATGCGTCCGACCCAGATGCAACTCATGCTCTACCGCCGCCTCCTGCACGCCCTCGCGGCCAACGAAGTCGACGCCGAGAAAATCTTCGAACGCTACGATTTGGAGCCGCAGAAGCCGTTCAGCGATGTCTTCATCGCGGGCATGGGGAGTATAGACTTCTCTGCGAGTCAACACAGCGACGAGCCCATGGCGTCCGACCCCGACCCTGTGGAGGAAATCCTGAGCTACAACACGCTGAGTTCGCTCTGGGCGCACATGATCGCCGAATTCGCCCGCACCATCTCCGTCACGCCCCTCTCCTCCTCCATTTCCCCCCTCCTCACGGCGGAATTCCGTGCGGCGAGCGACGGCGCGGTGATCGGACGGAGGAGTTTTGCGTTTGAGGAGGGCGTGATTAAGGGGTATGTGAAGGATGAGATGCGGTGGTGGAGGGGGGAGAGAGAGACGAAGGGCGTGGATGTGGAGGAGGCGTTTAAGTGTGGGATTTGTGAGTTTAGTGAGGGGTGTGAGTGGCGGGTGGGGAAGGTTGAGGAGGCGAGGGTTAGGGCGAGGGAGAGGGGGATGGGGATGAGGAGGGGGAGGGGGAAGATTTGATGGGTGCATGATGATGATGATGACCTTTTGCTATGAGATATGAGATGTATATCCAACGACTTCGACAGATACCACCCAAGAGCCCAAACAACAGCTCTCAAACCAATACTTCCTCTTCCCTACCAAGGATACTGTCTAGCCTCCTCCTCCCCCTCCAAATCCAACCCCCCCTCCACCTGCTCCCGATGCTTCGCATCCAAAAACCCCAACAACACCTCCCCATACCTCTCCCTCCCCTTATATCTACTCACATCCTCGCCCCAACTCCTCACCGCACTCGCCAACCTCCCCGGAACATACGCCTCCTCAGCAATCTCCTTCACGGGGTGGAAATACGTCCTAATCGTAAACACCACCCCGCCACTCCGCGGCAGTCGCCTTAGACTCTGCCGTTCCGAGCGGAAATAATGGTGTTCGATGGCTTTATTTTTTTCCGCCGTCGACCACGAGATATCCGGATCATCCTCCCCGCCGATCGAATGGCTCCACGCGAGATCATCATCCACCTGGATGAAGTAATTATTCCTCAACACGGGACTCTCCGGCCGGACGCGGCGGAAGAAATTCATCATGCCCTTTTCGAGTTTGGATTTATACCCCGGCACGTTTCCGGAGGTGTGGATTTCCGAGAGCGGCATGCCGAATTTGTCTTCGAGGCGCCAGAAGCCGGCGAGCAGGATCGCGCCGCTGAGGAGGTAGTATTGGCCGTCCGGGCGCTCGAACATGATGGCGAGGTCGTCTTGGATGAGGCGCGCGGAGAGTTGGATGGGGTCTTCGTGGACGCCGTTGATAGTTAATTTGTCCTTCCGGATGTCGAAAGATGCGGAGGTGAGGGTGTTGTCGATGCCGACGGGGGTTTTGGTGAACATGGACGGGTAGCGTTCGGGGAGGTAGGCGGCGAGTTCTTCGAGGAGTTCGAGCGCGCCGTCTTGGACCACGGGGTCCGGGTCGGTGCGGCAGCAGCGGGGGCCTCGTTGGGCGATGCGGGCGGCTTTGGCGGCGTGGAATTTGGGGTATTGGTTGTCGAGTTCGATCCACGAGTCCCACGGCATGCTGCGGAGGCCCATGGTGATGTGGTAAGGCCCGTGGCGGAAGGGGCGGTAGGGGAGGGGTTTGGTTTCTGTGATGGACCAGTTGGGGTAGGGGGTTGCTTTGGGGCGGCGGAAGGGGGAGGGGGTCCATGCTGTATTGGGTGGTTAGATGGGTTGTGGAGAGGATGTGGCGATACTGACTTCCTGGCGGTCGTTCCGTCGGTTTCATGCGTTTCTCTGCGAATTGTGCGACGTCGGAGGGTTTCTCGGGGTCTGGTGAACGAGGTCTGATCTTGAGCCATGATTTGGGGCCTTGTTTTCGTAGAAGCCACTTCGCTGCGAGGTAGACGACGCCGGTGGCCAACAGGAAGAAGTAAACATGAATCGGTGTTATACTGATGCCATTGGTTTCCAAGGTCTCTCGTAGTTCGTCAAGTCTTTGCCTGTTCAAGTTCTCGTCGATCCAATGCTTGATGGCTTCCATGTTGCCAGATGTATTCGATCTAGGTCAAGGGTATGTTGAGTGAATGAATAGTGGACAAGAAAGGCCGCATGACGTCCGAATAAGCTCTTGGTGTCAGTATTCAAATAGCCAGACCTACAGTGCGAGTACTTAAGCTGCGATAAGAGATTAGATCGATAGCCCCCCCAGAGTAGCTGTGACGTCCACTACCTCCGACGGTTGTGGAGCGTTTTTTGCCCGCTTTGGGCGACTGCGGGCGACGTGGAAGATAGCATTCCCCTTCCGGCAAAAAAGAGCATCCACTGGCACTGCATTCGACTTTATATTTGCATAGCATTCGTGTGATTACAGGAGAGTCTCAATGTTTGCTTGTCGATCTCCAAGTTGGGGCTGTTGCTTCTTCTTACGCTTCAACAGGCAATAGTCGCCCCAAACGCGCTTGTACTTCGCTGGAATGAACGGTAGATCTGGCACCCAACCAAGTCGGCCAACAATACCCGTCGAGGCAGCGTCCAGGTATGGCAGGCACTTCACTTTCTCCCAATTCTGAGTGTCGTTGATGTAGCTTGGTTCCAGTTTGGTCGTCTCGGTGCTCGGCAGTTGCACATCAATCATGAAATTACATCGCTTGACATCTGTGTACTTCCCGATGTCCTCGCGATTCTCGTCGTTCATGCCAGGTGGGACGAGCCATGTACCGGGAAACAACCCAAAGCCATGGATTGCTTCGGAAAACTCGCCTGGAAGCAGGCCAGTAAACTCGCTTTTGATGAATTTTGCTCGAACATCATGTGGCAGGTGATAATGCGAAGGAAAGCGATACCATTCCTTGCCTAAGCAGACTGTGTCGCCTGCTTTGGCTAATCCGTGTTGATGAAGTGGTGTGTAGATTGACAATGGCGCACCGTATGCTGTGATGGTTCCAATCGTGCGGAAGGCCGCGAATGCTGATGCGGTAAGAACGAACGTCAAGATCGCGAGCAGTCGAAGCTGAACTGGGATCTTGCTAACGAGGTCTTTTGGATCTGTCGAACCTAGATTCGCAAGAATGATGTGCAGACTGATCGCAGCGTTGAAAGCCAATGCTGGATAGGCTGGGTACATGAAACGTTCCTCCTTGTGTGGTTGGACTGTGAAGATGGCCAGCCAAAGGTAGAACGGGGTCAAGAACACAATTCCACGCAGGTAGCTGGTCTTGGTAGCGCCTTTGGCTCGTAGAAAGTGTTGTGCAAGTAAGAGTGGCATTGAAAGCAAGGCCAATGGCAGCCAGAAATGGAAGTTGAGGAAGAGGTTCCGCAGGTAAAAGTGCCATGGCTCAGTACCATACAGCTCAGGTCCCTTGTTGCTGAAGATGTTGTACCAGACGATGTTGAGCGGAACCAGATTCAGCTCTTTGTAGAAGAACCAGTCAATGCCGACTTGAGTGGCCAGTATGAGCAGGGTACGAACCACACCGTCCACGACTCGCCAGAAGAGATCTCTCATTCCTTGGAAGTCGCTCAACGAAGCAAGTAGAAGCTCTTCGAGGAGATATGGAACTGCCATTGCTGCAGCAAATGGCCAGCCTAGACAGGCGCCGACGCCCAGGCACCAGATTCCCTGCGCCGTTCGCAGACCTCCACGCCAGTCCATAAAAGCAGCCATGCCCAGCATGACGAAGTACATGGCAAAGCTGCTTGGAAGGAAGGCAGTGGTGGCGTGATACATGCCAGGGGAGGTGACGGTAATCAGCAGGTACATGATGGCCAGCCTTGGGTTCAAGACGGAGGATACCTTGGAGAAGAGTCTCGTCTCGCAGAGGGCACATACGAATCCAAGGAAGACTCTGAGCAGGTAGAATTCGGCCATTTTGGAGGTGCTGGGGTGAGGTAGCAGTCTTGCAAGCGGGGTTACTATCGCATGGAGGGCGATGTAGGTCCAGGAGCGGATCGCATACTTTGGAGAGTATTCCCAGGTCTGAAATCCATGTTTGTGGTTGAGGTAGTGAGTTGGTTCCCAGTAGTTGAAGACTTCATCGCAGTCCTGGATCGGGCTGAGAATAGCAGCTAGAACGTGGAAGGCAAAGAAGACGTAAAAGGCGAAGATGGGTTCGACATGAAATTGATCCTGTTTTGAGCTGTGACATATCAGGAGGCTGTTGAAGGGAACGATCTTATTTCGATGGCTGCTTACGGAGTGCCTGTGGGGAGCTTGGTCGGCGCGTGTGGTGATCTGGAGCCCGTGCTATACAGTACGTTAGCGTATGGTATTGTATTTGTTGATCTGACATATTCTTTCGTCAGGAGTATCATGTTCAACATGTGAAGCTGCTCCGCTTGGCGTGGTGGCTGGGGGATTAGGGGAGTATCCCAGCATCATCATCCACAACTCACCTTGGTCTTGCATTGACTTTGCCCTTCGACGGAGCCATGATGGTGAATGGTGAAGTCGAAAGTGCCAAAATTGAAAGTTGTTCTCCGCGCGTCCTGAGAGGGAAGTGGGAGACGCGCCGGAAGGTCTGTGCACTGCATGACGTTCAGGGACCAGCGAGAACTCAATCAAATGTTAGCTCGAATTTTTGGACGACCTGTGCTTCAACTCCCAAACATTCCAAGTCCTCTCGCCCGCCTGATTCTTAGAATGTCTTGCATCGCACAGGGTACCTGGTAATATGGCGACTGAGAACCAAGCTCTTGAAATACAAGAACCAGACGAGGCGAGACCCGCTAAGAGAGTGCGACTCGACGCTCCTCTGGGTGTCACGGAAGAGACGCAGCAAGAGATGGCCGACGAAGACGACTGGGACGATGTCTACGCAGACCCGAGCGCCGAAAAGTCTGCCACAGAGACAGTGACAAACACTGCGAGCATCGATCAACCAGACTCCACTGCGACCATCCACTCGAACACTGCATCTTCTGCAGCACTCACCGAACTACAAGAGCATCAGTATGGCGTCTCGGTGAAGGAAAACGAAGAGAAGAAGCCGGAAATTATGGATGGAGTTCCAGCCGAAGCCATAGCACAAGACGACGATCTGGTGGCACCCCCTCAGCCGTCATCGCAGAACAATGACAAGGCTTCGCTGGATGTTATGGAGGAGATGACGGAGATTGAGTGCCACCAACCTGACATCAAAATGGAGGAATTGCAGGGTCATAACACGGGCAAAGTGGATGGCAATATGGGAGATGTCCAACATGCGAATCGACCAGAAGACCTTGACAGAGAGCAACCCCGTCCAGTTCCAAAACCTGCAGATGATCCAGAGTTCATGGCGGCAGCTGCTGCTCAAAAAGACAACAAGAAAGCAGAACGGCAGTTTGACTCCTCAGATGCCGAGTCTTCTTCAGACTCCGACAGCTCGGACTCAGACGATTCGTCAGACGATTCTGATAGCGGCAGCGAAGGCGGGTATGAGATGCTTGACCCTGCTACTGCTGCCAAGATTCTCATGTCAGGCGACGATGGCGACGACGAAGGAGGTAAGGGCAAAGACAAGGCGGGCGCCAACCATCAGCCAAGAACGACAAACGAAGCCAAAGAGGAGGTGGTCGTCAAACCTGACGTAAAGGTGACTGAGGACATGAAGGTCACATTTCTGGGCAATGTTGAACGGACCGTCGAGAACATGGTCCTCATCAAGGGAGCCACTCCTGGTGAGTATCAAGTCCTCGAAGGCGGCTCTGTACTTTGCAACGAGAATCGAGAAGTCATTGGAGCGATCGCGGATACTTTCGGACGGGTCCAGGAGCCTCTTTACAGTGTCGCGTTCACCAACGCCAAAGAGATCGAAGACGCTGGTCTCGAGTACGGCTCCAAGGTCTACTACGTGGACAGCCACAGCACATTCGTCTTCACCCAGCCTCTCAAGAACATGAAGGGTACCGACGCTTCGAACATCCACGACGAAGAAGTCGGTGAAGACGAGATGGAGTTTTCGGATGACGAAGCTGAGGCAGAGTTCAAGAGGCAACGAAAGTTAGCCAAGAAAGCAGGCCGTGGTGGACTTTCACGTGCCGCATTCCAAGAAGGTGCTCGTACGTACGGCGCGTCTGGTCACGACGGCGGACAGACTTTCGTTGGTGGCAGTGATGCTCCAAGCCAGACGTACGGCGGCGGTATGAGCTATGACGACAACGAGCCTGCGGAGGACTTCTACCAGCCACTGAAGCGGCCTGATAACCTCAGCGATCTGATGGCTGGTCGAACTCTTCCTCCCAAACCACAGCTGCCAGCATTCGACCGTGGCAGAGGCCGCGGACGCGGAGACCGAGGCCGTGGTGATCGTGGGAGAGGACGAGGCGATCGTGGCAGAGGCAGAGGCGGCTTCGAACAGCGTGGTGGACGTGGAGGCGGTGGTCGCGGCAATTATCAACAAAACGACTCTCACAGAGGTAACGCACAGGGCTTTCAGAACCGACAAGCCGGCCACCGGGATACTGACAGACAGCACTCATTGCCGCCCAAGCCTACTGCACCTCATGGGGCTTCACCTCCGCCTCCTGCACAGCATCCTCCTCCGCAATGGCCAGCGCTACAGTTCAATGGCTATCCACAGTTTGGTGCTCAAGCCCCAGTACCGGCGCCACCGCAGCACAACGCATACTGGCAGCAGCCACCGCAACCGCAGTACCCTGCAGCACCAGTGCCAGCTGGCGCTTATGTCAATCCGGCATTCTTCCAACAGCAGGCGAACCAGCAGCAGCAGATGCAAGCACAGCAGCAAGGGTACGCCGCTTGGGGCAGTCATTATCAACAGCAGCAACAGCAGTACGCTCACGCATACGGCGCTGCGCCATCGACTGCAGGTGCTGTACAGAATCACCAAGCTCCTCAGCAGCAGCAACCTCCAGTGGAACCAGAGCACCAGTTCAATCTGAGTGACATCCTCAAGAGACTTGGCGCAAACTAGCAGGCACAATTGAGAGTTGATTGCGTCTGCATGAAGCGGCCAAACACATGGCTTGATGCGAATTCTCCGTACTTTGATTTGTAAAACACACCGTGTTTAGCTGGTGATAGCATCGAGTGTAAAGACGAGCGTTCGAATGTTCCTGTAAGTGGGTCTCACATTTCTGTCTCAGACTTCCCTCTATCTCGTTCGTCGACACTGCCAAGAACAGTACGTTTTCGGCGTCCGACACTCCTCGGACAAGAAAAGATCAGTAAACAACGTAGACATGATGCATTGCATTGGCCTTGGAACGACTGTCTGCCCTTGTCTGCTGAAGACAAGGTTGCCTATAGCACAGGATCCCATCGGTCGATCGAACCTCGCACGAAAGTATCGCGAATCAGCACCTGAGGGATCCCATTGTATAGAGAGTCAAGCTCGAACAGTCGAACAAAAGGCTTAAAGAAATCTTCTCTTCATGGCAAGTAGACGGCTCTCCTTCATCTTCTTCGATTCCCACTTTCAACATGTTTCATCCACTCGTCCTCGCCATTCTGGCTCTGATTTGTGCCATCGGCTCGAGCAACGCCAGGAAGCAACACTCTTGCGAGAACAAATGCATCACAGAGGAAGAAGTCACGCATCTAATCGACGGCTTCCGAAAAGTCATCTCTGAGTCCCCCGTCAATAAGACCTCGCAGCCGAGATCATCTCAGAAGACTTCATCAGCATCTCCGACAGCGTCAACTTCGTCGACCAAGTCCCCGTCAGTCACCTCCAACACTCCCTGCTGCCAAACCAAGACTAACCCCCAACCAGCTCAACACAACTCTAACGCACTCCCTCCCCGAACTCCTGGATCAAGAATCCCGCCTCCCCGCCGTCGGCACCGTGAAAGACCTCTACGTCGCGCACAACTGCGAGATGATCACCTGGTATTTCGAGTTTGCAACGAAACCCCTTCCAACCCGGGGAATCGCGATTCTGTTTGTGAATCGAAAGACGAGGAAGATTTGGAAGGCGTATCGGGAGGCGAATGTGGGCGCTACGTTGGTTGCGCAGGGGAGGCCGGAGTGTAAGGGGGATTTTGGGTGGAGTGTTGGGAGGGAGGGGGTGGAAGGGGGGAGGAGTGGTTGTGAGGGAGGGTGTGGGGTGGTTGAGGGGTATTGAGGGTGTTGTGGTGTGAGAGGGTGTTTGATCGGCGGGAGTTGACTGGTATCGTTCTGATCACACTTGAGTACTTCTGGGAATCAGATCAGCTGTCGGTGAATTCAGTTCGTTGATGAAAGGGAAATCATGTGCTCAGTGACAAAATCTTTGATTTCAGAGACCAAGTCTTTGATTCCAGATGCACTTTTATCAGAAGTCGTTCCTTCCTCATGTTCGTCGACGTTGCAAAAATCACGTGACATGAATTCGGAGTGAGTGAAAGATTTAGAGTTCAAACATAAGCTAGCGCCCGGAGATCCCGTTCCAGTCGTTCTTTCTTCGGGATAAAATCTTGGCACCACCGGGCTAGCGACATCCTCGCTCGAAATTCGACTTCGCGCTTCAAGCACGCACAAACTTCAGTCTGCGAAGGTCATCATCAGCCGGAGACAACATCAATCACAATGGCACCAAAGAAGAGCAACAAGACCGCCGACAGCATCAACGCCAAGCTTGCCTTGACGATCAAGGTGCGCAATGAACTGGACATCACCGCTGTCGACACAATCTAACCACCGCACAGTCTGGCAAGGTCACTCTTGGCTACAAGTCCACCCTCAAGACGCTGCGCTCTGGCAAGGCCAAGCTCGTCATCATCGCCGGCAACACCCCTCCTCTGAGGAAGTCTGAGCTCGAGTGTACGTTTCGTCGAAAAGATGAAGGAAAACTGGACACAGCTCACACCCGTCCCAGACTACAGCATGTTGGCCAAGACCGCCGTCCACCACTTCTCCGGCAACAACGTAAGCCTCCCCATCTGAAAGACCTACATCCATACAACACCTAGCGAAGGAGCCTCAAGGCTCTGGAGGGTGCTGCTCTCTTGAGCCCTGAGAAGAAGCCTCCCGCGACGGTTGGCTTTGGAGGGAGAAAACTCATTCTGACGTGACTTGCTCGTACAGATCGAACTCGGTACCGCCTGCGGAAAGCTCTTCCGATGCTCCACCATGGCTATCCTCGATGCTGGTGACTCGGACATCCTCAGTACCACCCCACAGTAGACGGCTCTTGAGGAGGATGGGAGGAGCAGGAGGCGAGTCTGGCAAGACGGAAGCCTATGATGACGGATGATATACCAAGCTGCATGTCTTCGTGTAGGAGGTGTCCATGGCACTGATGCCCCGTGTCTGGCGATGCACTGCACGCCCGACTCGGGTTGTGGTCAAGCTTTGCTCTTCGATGGCGAGATAGTCTGCCTATAGGCCGCTCAAATGCAACTCCCACGTCATGACTTCAAACCACACTGTAACCCTGAGCCATACCTCTCTCGTTTCAACGTTGGAACATCACAATGCTTGTATCAATCTAAATCAAACAAGGCCTGCCAGAGCACCTTGTTCTGACTATGGGCCTTGGGAGAAACAACAACTCGTGTACTTGCCTGCTGGCATTACGTTGCCACTCCCCGGATTTTGACGAGCGACTGCGCTTCTGTTCACGTTTTCGGCGGTCTTGACGGCCTGCGAGAGATGGGGATAATAATCAGAACAGTCTTTGGTTCACAATCCACGAGTTCGAGTCATCTTCTTGAAACTATGATCACAAGGCCGTGACACATGCTTCCAACGACTTCAACGAGCTTCCGCTCCGAGTTATGAAGGAGCTCTTTTCTTGATTTACCCTCCTCGTTCCGGTCAAAGTGGAAGATATTGAACTGCCACATCTCCGGCTTTTTACAAGCGACTGCGCTTCTCTTCACGATATAGGCGGATTGAATGGCCTGTGAGAGATGGGGATGACTCTTCTTGTTTGAACGTAACACTGAGAGTAAGGGTGAGAACATCCTTTCCTTGATTCACAATCCAAAAGTTCGAGTCATCGTCTTCAAAGAGCGAGTTGGCGGAGAGCGAGATGAAGCCAGACGTCTTGATTGGTGCCCGGGACGAGCCGAGATTTCTGGGCGTGGCAAGTCGATTTCAAAGCAGCACTGAAGTCTTGGCACTCAGCGGACGTCAGTTTGTCTCCTCCTCGACAAACTCCTCGAAACCGACAACAACACCACCCACACCAATACCGGCAAGATGGCTCGTCGTCCAGCGCGCTGCTACCGCTACTGCAAGAACAAGCCGTACCCAAAGTCCAGATTCAACCGCGGTGTGCCAGACCCCAAGGTGAGTCGCATTCTTCACCACACACCTCTCCATCGCATACCACACCACATACCTTGTTACTCTTGCTAACAGCCTTCCCGATTCGCATCTTTGACCTCGGACGTAAGCGTGCCAATGTCGACGAGTTCCCGATGTGCGTCCACCTCGTCTCGAACGAGTACGAGCAGTTGAGCTCCGAGGCTCTCGAAGCCGCCCGAATCTGCGCCAACAAGTACGTCAAGGGAGAGATGGCAAGAGGGGAAGGAAACGTGGACTGACAGCGATGTTCAGGTACCTCGTCAAGATCGCCGGAAAGGAAGGTTTCCACATGCGTGTCCGCGCCCACCCATACCACGTCGTCCGCATCAACAAGATGTTGTCGTGCGCCGGTGCCGATAGACTGCAAACCGGAATGCGTGGTGCTTTCGGCAAGCCAAACGGCACTGTTGCCCGTGTCAACATCGGCCAGATTCTCCTCTCTGTCCGCACTCGTGACTCTCGTGAGTATAAGAAAATCTATGCAGAGTGGAACAGGACTGACATATCTCCTCAGACCGCGCCACCGCCATCGAGGCCCTCCGCCGCTCGCAGTACAAGTTCCCAGGTCGCCAAAAGATCATCGTCTCGAAGAAGTGGGGTTTCACTCCTCTCAACCGCGACGAGTACATCGAGAAGCGCAAGGCTGGTGAGCTCCGTGTCGACGGCTGCTACGTCCAGTTCCTCCCTAAGCACGGCCCAATCGAGTACAACATGCGACGATTCCCCGACGCCTTCGAGGCTGAGGCATAAGCGAGCGGTTTTTGGGTCATGAAGCAGGTCACGGTTGATGACGGGAATATGTCATCAGGTGGGCATCACAGGCGTACAGGTGCTCTAGCTACATACCAGCAATCGAGCAAGCTTCGAAAGACAATCTTGCATTTCCTTTCCATCTGTCTTTCCGCCTTCACAGATTCGTGTGATCCGGTCCATGGGTTTCGCTGTTTTGCTGAGAGATATGCTGATTTGAAGTAGCAAGTTTGATAAGCGTCGGCATTCATCACCACTATAGACCTATGGTTCTATAGAACGCCCAAAGAATACACGGTTTGGTCAACATCGTGAAGACATTTGCCTCCTCGTTGCTCATTCACACATGCGACTGACACGCACCGGCTCTCCACCCTCGCATCACACTCGTCCATCACGAGGACCCATCACCTCAAGACCTCGCCCCTGGATCCGGCTTCGATCTCCCGGCAAAGACAAACACGCACATGAGCATCGCCGCCGCAGCGAGAACCGGCGTCGCTTTGAGAAGAACGTACACGGCGGCGCCGAAACCCACAAGGGCGAGGATGAGGTAGATGACTCCCAAAACATCTGCTTGGGGCTTGGGTGGATTCTGGTCCTCCACGGCTGATGTCTGAGGGGGCGGGGAAGGGGTCTGTTTGTCTTTTCTGAGTCTTGGGTTGCGTTTGAGTTTAACCATTGTTGATTGGGAGAGCAGTGGAATTTTGATGACCTGGCGGCATTGGGGTAGTCTAGGGCGGGTGGTGTTTTGTGCTGCTGCCAGTGTAGTCGTGAAGGGCGTCACGATCTAATTCACAGTGAAGATAGCTCCCTGTCTTGCCTTCAAAAAGTGTCGCTAATTCCGACTGCCTACCTACATAATTGAATCTATCCTCAACACATGTATCCCGCACGAATGCTCGACGCATTCGAAGAACCTCCCAAACTCGCCACAATCATCGGCAACACCTCATGCTCCGCGAAATTCCAAATCGCACTCGAGTCATGACTCTGCCAAGCAGCGCCCGTCCAATACGTCCCCAGCTGCCCCTGGAGACCGACAAGTCCATCGTAGAAACCAGCCTTGGCCGCTTCCAAGGGCGGCACGACTAGATAAGGCGAATGGTCCTTGAGCGCAATGACTTCCGCGGAAGCGTTTCCCTGCCGGCCCGTCCAGCCATCGAACTGACCCTCGATATTCCACTTTACTCGTGACTTCGGGATGTCGTAGGCGCTGCCGTACCAGGCGACATGGAGGTCTTTGACGGTCGTGGGTGCTGTTCCGAATACGGCTGGCATGGCTGGGATGCCGATTGCGGCTGCTGGGTTGACGTTGGAGAGGGTTGCGGTTTGGGGGATGCCGCTGTTGGCGACGACGTTGGCCCAGATGTGGCTGTTGTTGAATTGGCTGAGGTAGGTGTATTCGTTGTCGCTGAGGTCCAGGAAGGGGTCGAGGATTTCGAGTTTGGGTGGGATGGCGATGACTAGCTTTGAGGCGTGGATGGTTTTCTTGCCGGTTGGGGTGGTGATGTGGATGGTGGTGCTGTTGTGTTGTTCACGTTGTACACGAGTGACTCTGCTGCTCACGAAGGCGTTTTCATGCCTTCCTAGGCGATTCAGTGCAGAATCGTAAAGTGCTTGATTGTCGTTCGCTGCGCTCGTGATAATACTATTCGTCAATGTGCGATGCACCATGTCCAGGGAGAACTGCTTCATAATGTAAAGCGTCGGTTGCGCGAGAAGATTTCCCAATCCACCAATGCTGGCAAGAAGTGAGGGTGCGATCACGCCCAAGTCGTATTTCTGAAGGAAGTCGCCAAAGGGCAACAGCAGGTCTTCGGGGATGGGATACTCGAGATGCCATCCAGTACTCAAATATGGGTACTTCTCCACCTGAGTCCTGTATCGTACCAGAGCGTCTGGGAAAGCAGTAGCATTCAGAGGCGCAACCGTGGCTCCCGTAGCCAGGTTGACGTATACGTTGGTTCCGTTTGGTACAAAACCCGTGAATGGCTTCGCGGGCACATCGAGATGGCCAAAGTAATCAAGGACCAAGGAGTTGTTCGAGAAGATCACGACTCCATAGTCGAATGTGGTATTGGTTCTTGGGTCTCTGAAACTATTCACGGAGCCTCCAAGCTGTTGTTCCCTCTCGATGAGCGCAACAGACTTGCCCATCTGCTGCAATCTGGTGGCAGTATATGTCCCGGCAGAGCCACCGCCAATGATGCAGACATCTCGATGTAGTACCACTGGATCTGGTCTTGGATCGGCCAGTGCTGGATTGCAGAGCAAAAACGAAGAGACAGCCGCTGTGAGTAGTCGTAGTTTCATCGTGAAGGCGAGGAAGTAAGAACGATGGTAGGATGTCAACAGAAGGAAAGATCTCGTTGAACATACCAATTTCCTTTCAGCTCTGATGTCACGGCAAGGAATCCTTAGCTTGGAAAAGGTCCCGCTGCTTGATTCCTTTCATGCCAGTTGCTGGTCATCGCCGCAGTGGTATAGCGGACTCGTTGGTCAGCCGCCGTGCATACCACCCCAACCCTACACATCTCGTCCTGCCTTGAGGCATCATGGACTGACGATGGCTTTTCGCCCAAGGAGGTCGACGTAACTGGACACTCATAGGGGAAATTCAAACTTTGGAGTCGCACACAGGACAGGCTCTCCAGCGAAGTTCGCAGCAGTCGGAAGTCATTGTTGGGATGTCAGAAGGAGTTGGTGTTTGGTGTTGATAGGGCTCAGAAGTCTGGGGGCGGTCAATACAGACACTATTTCGCATTAGATCTGAGCTAGTCTGAATAGGTAAATACCTATTCGCGGGAAGAGCCGAAACGCGTACCTCACTCCCACGACGACCACAACAAACCAGTGCAACCAGCTCGACCTTTATCCGACCTATCCGCCCCGTCATCATGCAATGAATCTGCGATGGATGCGAGCTTGACGTCCGGAGCCCAGACCGCCAACCTGCACTCTCCTCATCATTCGGAATCTGCCACCAGCAATTCCGCGGCAATGGACATTCACGAATGCATTGTGAAGAGGAGGTGTCAGGAACGAGTGCAATTCGCGAGCAGAAGGTTGCAGTGCAATCTCTTGTGAGCTACCTCAGACGTCTAAACACGTCGTTCTGCCCAAGTGAAGCGCATGGAATCGTCATCCCTCCGATTTCTAAAGTCACCAAGCTGTTGATTGCACTCCAGATTGCTGAGACAGCTCGCGAATGATGGGGATAGATTCTTCCTTATGATTGAGGGGGGAATCGTCTCAAGGTGACAGTCGTCTGATGTCTGCCTCTCTTCGCGGTGTCGAATCTCTGCAGGCATTTGTCAAGACGACTCCACTATTGCCTCATCGGAAAGTATATCTACAACCGATCTTAGGCCATGAAAAGCTACAAGTAGCAACCCAAAAGCTACAAATAGCAATGAAAGAGCTACAAGTAGCAATCTCGATGAGGGACGTCATCTTGAAATGGCCAGCTTCTAGGTGTATTAAATGAGCAATCCTTGCCCGTTGGTCTCACAGGATAGGTCAAGGCCAACTTCAAAATGAGGATATCTCAAGCAGCAGTGCTGGCGGTCGCCAGCCTTGTATATGCACAGAACGCAACGCAGGCCTCGAATGCGTCCCACGCAGTGGTGCAGCTTCCATCCGAGTGGCTATACCTTCTGCCTCAACCTTTCAACAGCAGTATCCGGTACTCGTGGTTAAACAGCACAACCACTGGCAACGACACGATCAACAGAGCTCTGGAAGAGGCCAACCAGTCTCGGTTTGTATCATACTCGGACGAGTTCACGCAACTGGTAGGACCAAACCCAAATGTCTCAACTATCCAATGCCCGCAAGGAGCACCTGAATGTGCATTCGAGGCTGGCGTCTGGCTTCCGGATACAGATGAGGTGTGGTTCACGTACCTCGATTTCGACTATCCATATAATCAGAGCATTACGTCTTTCAGTTTGAGAAACGGCTCAGCACAACAAGTCGTCACGGATCCGCCTATCCGGGTCAGTACCTCCAAACGACAGCCCATTGCCCTACATCCTGCTATGTATGGCTGACATGACACTTTAGTACCCGCTTGGTGGCTACTACTTTTCCTACGACGGTCTCGTGTATTTCACTGAATACAACGCCGCCACTTCGCCCGCCACAATCATCACCGTAGACCCGAAGACACTCCATGTGACTCCTATTCTGAACTCGTATCAGGGGATTCCACTGGCTCCCTGCGACGATGTTGTGGTCACTAGGGTCAACAACAAGGACTACATATTCCTCACCACCTTCTCCCTTCGGGACGTGCTCGGCTCGAAATTCCCACGTCAACGTTACGACACTGCCGTCTGGCGTTTCGACCTCCACGAAAAGGTCCTTCAGCCCGTCATCTCGGCCAACGAGATCGTGGCGCCTAATGGCATCAGAGTCAGTCCAAATGGTAGGACTTTATATGTGACCAACACAGCCATTACGGATCAGAGTAAGCTGGAAGACCAGGCGAGCAATATAACCAAGAGCAACTCGATCTATGAGTAAGCTAGAACGCTGAAACTTCTAAAAGTGCCGTCTAGAGACTGACTTGCTTCAGATACGACTTGAACGACCAGGGCAAGCCAGTCAACGGACGACTGTTCGGACTGGTCAGATCCGGCATCGCCAATGGTCTCCATATCGACAACGCCGGCCGTGTGTGGACGGCCGAGGATGATGCAGTGAATGTGAGAAATGCCGCTGGAAGGCTGCTCGGCATGTCCCATCGCCTTATGTTCCAACAGTCTCATAGCTGATGACTCACCAGGCTCCTTCAACTACATCCCCTTCCACCCCATAGATCAACCGCGGATTGGGAACTTTGCGTTGGCAGGCAACAAGCTCGTCATCGGCGCGGACACATTTGTCGTCGTGTACGAGCTGGCTGAGAAGTTGGTGACGCCTGGAAACCTCTTGACAAATTAGGGCTGTTGGCATGTTGGGATATCGAACTTGCTTCGCCCCTAGCCGACAGTCAGCTCGTTGACAGAACTTGAACAGTACCGACGCTCAAAGCGCTCGGCGTCGCTAATTCAAATGTGACTTTCTCCATGCGTATTCGGGTCTATGTGCGTGTGCATTTCTGCGTGCGTATTCCTTTGCCGGTGCGTATCCACTAGTATGTGTAACTTTTGCGTACTCGCTTAGACCCTTTTCAGCGGAAGAGTATAAGAAAGCAGAAGCATCAAAGACTATTTGTACATATAGACTCCGGACGCCCTCGAAGGGAAAGAAGACCCAGAATCTCCCTCCTTGACCATGATACTCTCAATGCTCTTAGGCTATGTCGCCTCCGGCCTGATGGTCGGAACACAGGCTGTTCCGTCTCCTGTGAATTCCCACGCGTCGGGACACGAGCCTGCCGGCCACGAATGGCAGAAACCAGGGCCGTTTGACAGTGAGCCGATAATGCTCCTCGATCTTCTGACCGATGACTGACAGTATTGCCCAGGTCGAGCCCCATGCCCAGGCCTCAACTCCCTAGCAAACCACGGCTGGCTCCCACGCCACGGCAAGAACATCACCTACGACGACATCAAGTACGCGGCCTACCATGGCTACAACTACACCGAAGACGTCTACGAGATCTTTTACATCCTCGCCACCCAAGTCTTCACCAACATCTCCACCACGGGGAACGCCTCGACATTCAATCTCGAAGACCTGGCGAGACATAATACGATCGAGCAGGACGGCTCCCTGTCACGAAACGACATATACTTTGGAGATAACCTGCATTTCTCCGCGCCGGTTTGGGAGCCTGTGGCGGAGGATTTGGGTCTGAAGGGCTATGCGGCGAATGACAGCTACGTGACAATCGAGACGGCGGCGAAAGCATATTTGGCAAGACAGGAGGCTGCTCAGGCGGCGAATCCGGCGTTTACAGTGTCCTTCACTCAGAGAAATGGGACGAGAGGGACGACGGCACTGTACCTGGCAACGCTATGGGACTATGGGGCCAAGGCCGCTCCGAAGGCGTGGGTGGATACATTTTTCAGTGAGTTCATGTTATGCTGCAGACACTCTGCTGGTGGTCTACGACGGAGACGAACACTGGCTGACCGTAACTGTAGCTGAAGAACGCATCCCGTACCTGGAAGGATACACGACGCCGAAGCATAAGAATACGGACTTCATTCATGAACTTTTCGTGGCCATTGAGGAGCTTGTTGGTTTCGATTGAGGAGGCCGTGAGTCGCTTCATTCCACCGACGGTAGAGGCGCATGATGCTCTCTTCCGTGCGTCTAGCAGAATTGTTCTTGGGAGTCTGTTATGGGGGGAGCGTTCAAGGGGTTTCGTCGACACATGTGACTCCAAACGAATCGTTCTCAGGCCTGTAGGAAAGCACATCTAAAGGTCAATTCGATCAGTGGCAACGCCGAAATGCCATTGCAGACCATTGGCACCGGGTGTTTGTCTAGGATATTCAATTACGACACATACTTTGATTGGAGATCCATCTTCATGATGCCAGCAGCGAACATGTCTGTGACCATCCTTCAGTGAATGTCATTAAAACTATTACAAACAGTTCTTCCCCAAATTCATGAACGCACACCCCTAAAATACATGTCCCCTAATACCACAGCTTCTCATTGACCTTGAGGTTATTCTCCTTACAATGATCCAAATACATGCGCCAGAAACTGAAGCCATCCATCGTCTCTCGAAGCGTGTTGTCGTCGCTGAAGAACTCAATCGAACCCGTCACGTCGAAGATGACTTCCGAGTTCTCGCCCATGTAAAGCGTGTGAATGGTGCCAGGCATTTCGGTGATGTAGTCGCCTGGCTTGCCCTGTTGCCGATGAGATCAGTCATGTCCACATCTGCTGTTAATAAGTCAGGTACATACCGTCCAGGAGTATTCATGATATCCCCAGTTGCCCGCAATGGTATACGCTCGCACCTCTCCTCGGTGTCGGTGCTTGCCGAGCTCGGCGTGAGGTTCAGTCTTCAACTTGATGATGTAGCAGCCCTTGCGGTTCTCCATGCGGAGAATCTTGACGTAGATGGTGCCAGTCCAGTGGTACCAGCAGGTGTCTTGTTCGCCGTCGATATAGACATCCGGTGCGCCGTACTGGTCAGCAAGACCAAGTTCGGTCTGCTCGTTTTGCTTCACGCGGTCCAGGGGTTGGCCTTGCTTGGTGGAGACCTCGTCATATTGAGGCTGCGTGTCGACGACTGCTGGTGCCATTGTGATTGTTTCTACGCTTATGGTATGAAAGAGAAGGGACGAAAGATGAGAAGGAAGCCCACCGCTGCCAGGAGAGTTGATCCTGCTTACAACCAAGCCCTCTATTATATCTTACCTGGCCGTCTACTTTCGATAGACTCTACAGTCTTATGCATCCCCCGCAGCCCCAGATATGTACCCCAGATGTTCGAGAACGAATTGTTGCGGCGAAGTCTTGGTGTACACATGGAGACCGTTCCGTACTGCCATATTGGGTATCGCGCAGGAACATGTACAGCATTCATGTCCCGCCACATCATCACGGCGCGCACGTACTGGCGCCATTTGAATGGCTTCGTAGGACGATCATCGAATGGGGTTGTCCAGACTCGTCTCGGGGCCGCTCTGGTCACAGCCTCCTCGGTCGAAGATCGTATCTTGATGACGAGCCAAGCTGAACATCTCCGAAGCAAGCGGATTGCTAGTGTTTTGTAGTTCTCTCTATCGTTTTGTGGACTCCTTATCGTCTGAGCTCGACGTGAGTCAAGATGACGAACAAAATGAAAGCAGTCCGTTTTCACGCAGCCAAAGACATCCGTGTCGAAGAAGTGCCGGTCCCGACGGTCAAGCCTGGCTGGATACGAGTGAAGCCTGCGTTTTGCGGTATTTGCGGCAGGTAAAGACCAAACAGAGACTTCGGGCGATTGGCCTTTAATACTGACCTCCCTTTGGTGATCTTCATGAGTACCTTGATGGACCACATATAATCCCGCCGAATGGACAGCCACACGGAATGACGGGCGAGAGCCCGCCGATAACGCTTGGGCACGAGTTCAGCGGAATAGTCGATGAGGTCGGCGAAGGCGTATCTGGATTCAAGCAGGGAGACAAGGTCTGTGTTCAGCCAACGATTTATGATGGCGACTGTCGGGCCTGCCTCAAAGGTCTGACCAACTCGTGTGATACCTTTGGCTTTATTGGCTTGTCAGGATGGGGTGGTGGTATGAGTGAGTATACTTGCGCCCCGGCAGAATACGTGAAGAAGCTGCCAGACGATATGGGCCTTGATATCGGGGCTCTGGTCGAACCTCTTGCTGTAGGCTGGCATGTAAGCTCGAAATCTCAACTTCGTCTAATACGCATCGATTCATAGCTCACACTGAACCCAGGCGGTCGCTCCTTCACCATACAAGGATGGAGACAACGTCTTGGTCCTAGGCGGAGGCCCCATTGGTCTTTGCGTCGTTCTTGCCTTGCTAGCAAAAGGATGCAAAAACATCATCGTTTCAGAAGTACGCTCTGAATCAGTTTTGTCTGACACTACTCTGACGGCATCGACACAGGTATCGAGACGGAGACGAGAGTTTGCCCAAAGCTTCGGAGCGCACCATGTGATCGATCCAGAAAAGGTCGACATCGTCCAGGAATCAAAGAATTTGACGGACGGCGAGGGGGTATAGGATTGCTTGTGAGCGGTCTAGACGCAGCTGACTGGGCTGATCAGGTGGACGTGTGCTTCGATGCGGCGGGCGTTCAAATTGGCGTCGACGGCGGACTGCAGGCGGTGCGGCCACGTAAGTGGTCCTCTTCTGAAGCAATTCGTTTCGTGCGCGTCGAGTTGCTGACGCAAATGCTGGTGTAGGGGGCACCTTCGTCAACATCGCGCTCTGGGGCGCAAAGAGAGTGGCGTTGGATATGAATGTCATGCTGTTCGGCGAGAGAAGATATATGGCCGGTACATTCTTCGATCTGGTCGGACCTGCCTGCTCCGGCTAACCATCTCCAGTCGTGACCTACATCGATGGCGACTTCGAGGCAGTGATTGAAGCCATCCACAGCGGCAAATTGAAGCCGCATGGAATGATCACCAAGGTCATCGTAAGTACGTCTGAGACGCAGTTAGTCGCGTATCTAACGCAGAAACAGAGGCCAGACGAGGTGGCGGAGGAAGGTTTCAAGGCATTGACAGATGACAAAGACAATCAGGTCAAGATTCTGGTTGATATGTCCAAGGCGACGGAGGTGGCCGCCGCGTAGTTTCTGTAGGAGGTGTGTTGTTGTCTTGACACGAAAGGGGTACGTGAAGGGTACGCGCCTGGCGGAAATTTGGTGGCTGGCGTACCTTCGGCAGAAGTTCGGCCAGGACACGTCGAACGACCTCACCTCACCTCACCTCACCTTCCTCTACACAACGTTTCTCAACACGTGCCGACAACACGACACGTCTATGCCCTACAGCTATGCAGACCATGTGCCAAGCCGCCAGGCCACCCCCATTCGCAGTGTTGCTGTCCATGGATCAACGTACTCGCCCATAAGCTACAGCTGACGACCTCACTTCTTCAAACCGAGCGGGGTTTCTCACCTACTTACTGCAATGTTGCAGCACGTAAAGCGCAATCTATAACTTGATCTTCACTGCCATCTCGACAGAACAACAACACATCGCACAAGCGGATTACTATTCGATGCCTCCCACATGGCCTCTGGCTAACCTAGCTTTCGATGTCTCGACAGCCGAAAGCCATTACACGAAGACGGACAGGCTGCGTGCCATGCCGAGACCGGCACATGGTGTGTGATGAGAAGCGCCATACATGTCGCCGTTGCAGTCGTACTTCGACTACTTGTACTTGGAGCCGAGATCTCCGTATTATCTTCCACGGTGCATCGGGTCAAAAGACAATCCACAAGGCAGTCAGCAGAGACTTCCCCTCCTCTCGCCAGACGACGACGGCACTCTCCTTGGACACGGGGATCGCTTCTATACGACCTCATGAAGGCCAAGTTCTTTCACAACCAGAGCTTTTCAAAGACTGGGCGAGCCTTGGAGCATCGAATTTGGTGCAACAAGCCTTACGTTCTAATCTCGAGCTGGCGTTGATGCATAACTATCTTACCGAAGTGGCTCCTTGGTTCGACGCTCATACTGGCATACAATACTACTCCCGTGTCGAGGTGCCCCGGATGCTGAGCTGTCCTCCATGGAGAGCAGCCGCACTTGCCTTGTCGGCTAAGAACATCATGCTACGAGAGCATCGCTCACTTGCTCTGGAAGACGAAACTCTGCCACTGCATCTTTATCAGTTCGCCGTCCGGTTAGCTATAGACGCCATGTCTGGAAGATTTGACAAAGTTGGCACGCTTGCGGGCTGCGTGCTTTTGTCTGTGTACGAAATGATGACTGTCACTTACACAGATTGGCGAAGACATGTGCAAGGCTGTGCCAGCATTTACACTCATAATCTCTGGAACGGTTCCACTGGTGGCCTGGTAAGTGGAAGTTTCTGGGACTATGCTAGAATCGGTGAGTGTTTAGCCTCCACGGATCGATGAAGCATACTGAAAGCCATTGTTGGCAGATATATGGGCCGCGTTCAGCGCTTCAACTCAAACCGTCATGGCTCCAGACACTTGGTTTGATCATCCCGACGCAAAAATCTGCTTGACAAACATGGACGAGGACTTGCATGCTCAGATAGCAATCTGGCTTACAGCTAAGGTGGTGAACATGGTCAACGAAGCTACAACATCTACAACAGATCCCGAGTTCGACGCTCTTGTCGCAGACATGATCCGCTGGCAACTTATGGGCGGCGAGGCGACACGACCTGTCATTACGAGAATGCCTGACGCTGACGCTGACACTTGGAGGCCGTTCCCACGGATTTTGTTTTCTACTCACAGTTCCAGTAAGTGCATCCCTACCTTGTAAAGATTGAAGCGAGTCGGACGACTGAGGTTTCTGCAGCTATCGGACATACCATGTGGAACAGTGCCATGGTGCTATTGTTGGAATTCGAAGCCAAGAGTGGATCTACCGAAACACAGGCACTCCGAGACCGCGCATATCAACATGCTCTTCAGGCTGCTGGCATAATTGAAACGAACGACCACACGTAAGTGCCTCTCAAGACCTACTGACGGTGGATAACTGACAGAGGTATCGCAGTGCTTGTCTAGTCAACTCGTTACAACCCGCGTATATTTGCGGAAAGCACATGAGAACAGCACGCGAGAAGTCAGCAATCCTCGAGCTTCTGGACCAGATAGAGCGGAAGACAGGCTGGAGATGCGACTGGAGAGCCGACGGCCTGCGCGAATTCTGGAAAGACGCATGAGGGCCGATCGTGTGATCTTTCAGTCCTAAGTCCAGACTCGTCGAAGAAAGAGACTCTGCGACTTGAGCCAGTCGGCACCCTCTGCCTCATTCAAACAAGAGGCCGGTCCGTCCTTCCGTATCAGGAAAGTTGGAAATGAGGGGTGTTGCCAACAGATCCTCTGTCTTCGTCGCGAGGCTGACGGTCTAGCTTCAGGTACAAGCTACATGACCGGGTCAGCGGAAATCCTTGCGCGTTCTGTGGCTGCGAGGAGCTTATGATGTTCTTGCTTTCTGTACAGCCAAGTCGGCTTGAATGTCTGCAGATCTTTTTGGGTTCAAGTTCGCTGACTGCGATATGGCGGTGGACTGTAGTTCGCGATGTCATAGGTTGCCGTGTGCACCTAGATCTCATCGAGTGGTCTCACAGGCTTAAATGGCCACCGGGTGCTGGATTGCAGCTCCTCGCCGGAAACAAGTCACAACGAGATTATCTTAACGTAAAATACTCCATCGGCGTCGCTTTGATGACTTCAACGTCCAGCTTCTCCAAATGACAGTCACCCACCATCTCCCACGTCCTACCATCATCATTCCTCCTCACAACAAAAGGATACGACGAACCCGGAAAGAACACGACCTCATCTCCAACCCTCGCCCCAGGCGGCGCAAGACCCATCGACCCTCCCTCCGTGATATAAAACTGCCGTCCGTAACATGAGACTTCCATACTCTCGGTGTAACCCCATATCTTCTGCTGCATGGACGAATCCCAGTCGTTCCAGTCCTGGATCTGGGCGAGGATGACCATGGCGAGTTCGACGAGCTCGAAAGACCGAGACGCTTCAGTTTCCAGGAATCCGGTGCCGTAGTGATGGTACCACATTGCGAAAGGGAAGAGGATGCGACCGCCGGGTCTTTTGTCCATGCAGTAGTCGTCTTCGGCATGTAGAGTTCGAGCGAATGCTTCGAGTGCTTTGATGCCGTGTTTCTGGACTTCAGCGAGGACGAGCTGTTCCCAGCGGAGCATTGTTGCATTGAATGCTGCACTCGTCTGGGTACAATCGTCCGGGACGGAAAGTGTTCCTCCTATGGAGTGGATGATGTCTAGTCGAGCGCCCTTGATGGTGAGCTCTGATCCCGAGAAAGATAAGTCAGGCGCATCTTTGAGCTCCCATCCGAGACGCTCTGTATCATGGGCTCGGGGAAGTACACCCACAGGCTTCGAGATGCTCCAGTCCGGGACCCACGAATCGAGACCAGGTAAGCTGCGATTTGGACCTAGCCAGTGCAGAGCGAGGAGGTCGTTGCGGTGCTCGATGATTGCTTTCGTGAAGCTGCGATAGACATCCTCGACAGGACCGTCGTAGTGGACAGGAATGGGTTTACTAGGGAGCAATCCGAGGATGCCAAACACCTTGTCGCGAGGGTCTTTACACTGGCAACATCGAGTCAATGTAGCGACGCCCGAAATGTCGCAGTAGTTTGCCAGGCGAGATACACGTTCTGCATGCCGGATTGCGTGCGGTCCACGTAGGGGATGATAGTCGCTCAACCATCTGGCTTCTTGACCAAAGCGGAACGAACCCTTCAGGTCGACGCTGTCAGATCCGCAGATCACGGTCGCCTTGACGCCAAATCCAAGCTCCTGAAGAATCCAGGTGCGATACCAGTAATTCCTCCGGCATATGGCTTCGAAAGCAGTCTGCGCCTCCTCGGAGTACCAGAAATTTGGTGGGCTAACAATGTGCTTCGGTTGGTTGGCATCATCTTCGATCTTGTCTTTGTTGCTCTCATGCCACTCAAATATCGACTGGGAGTTATCTGCATGCTCGCCTATCCAGACCAGCACTCTAGTCGCTCTTTGATAGATGTTCTCCATCAGGCTGACTTGGCGGCTTTTCTCATTGTTGTCTTGCTGGTTGATGCATATAGCGTCTACCCACAGGACTCGAGGCCCATCTGGACTGCGCATTCTATACAGAGCTGCGGCTAGGTTCATTGTAATACAGAATGGTTTGGCATTCACTGAGATCACGCACTGCTCGGTTGTATCGCCCCACACGTACGAAAGAGCTTCGAAGGGCGGGCAATCGATAGGTTCGTGATCAGACAGTGTACCGCAAAGAGGATCATCCAGGCATGCGGCCGCCTCCAAGTGGAACAATCGGATCGTCTTGTGGCCACGTAAATTAACATAGGTAAAGGGAGTGGCATGTGACGAGTAAGGCCGGGGAAGAACGACGCGACTTACGTCAACACGTTCAATGTTGCCTTCACCCCCCGGTATAGGTACTGAGCTCGTCCAGGTTGTACAAGCCTTCACGTCTTGTGTGTTCTGCTGGAGATGCGTCGCCAATTCGTGCTCCCAATATCCTACATCATCGTCTCTGCTTCGCTCAAGGAGGAGTAGTGCGAGCCGTTCATCAAGATCATCGCCCAATAGACGGGATTCAAGAGGCGGCCGCTGAATGTAGTAGTCCAGAGCACAGCATGTGAGTCCTGGGCATGCAGGATCGGCGTCCTCATCTTCGACGAGCCATCGTACTACAGGATACAGCTCCCATTCGCAAGCCAAGCGTAGAAGGCTTGTCTGGACTCCAGGATCAGACGTATCGTCGCCGAGACGAATGGGAGGGTAGGCATCCATGTCTGTGCTGACGATCTCGCAATTAGCAAAGTCACTGACATCCTTCAAGGTGTAATAGTCTTCGAAGTCGACATCCAGATTTGTCCTCCGTGCCATCCTGAAGGCATCATTCACCACCAACAAAAGTCCACCCAGCAGATACTTCATGATCTCCGCATACTCGGCACGTCTTGTGGTGTCTCGTGCCCATTGATGATAGTGATATCGTCTCATCAAGCCAAGTGCAACATGTGGGAAGTCGTGCAAATCGATCCCCACGCCATGGTCTTTTTCCAGATACTTCAGCAGTTCCAAGTTGCCACGGTTCAATGCATACTGCAGAAAGCGCCTACCATCCAGACAAACGCCATGACGAGCAACGGTATCGATCATTTCCGTGTTCAAACACAGCGGAACACTTTCGACCCGTACCTTTCTTGCGAGTAGGTCCTTCACCATCTCCATCCATCCCTGTTCGATGCTGAAGTAAAGCAAACACCGTAGATCATCTTCGTCGGCATGAGGGTCGAAGAGGAGCCGGCATATGTCGCGAATGTCGCCCGAGCTGCGATGATAATACAGAGCGCTGACCAAGGCCGTCATAGGTCTTTCCGGTTCGGAAATATTTAGTGAGCCCCATCGACCCGTATAAATTCGCCCTTTAGAGCTTCGTGACGCCCCGTGCTCCAGGAGGTACTTTACGACTTGCGACTGGCAGCCGATCGCAGCGGCTTGGAGTGCAAATGTGACCGAGAATCCACGGTTCCAGTCCACCCCTCTTGCTTGGACGCTTACTCCAAGACTTGTCAGCTTCTTGACTCGTTCCAAGTGTCCATGACAGCACAGCATATGATACACGGAGACGAGGACGGGATCAGCTGTATCCATTTCTAAGCCCATGTCAAGCAGTTGCAGGATGATCGCTGCATGCCCTTTTGCAAGATCTTCTTGACGGTGGTCGAGTGAATGTGGATATTCTCTTGCACTTTGCCAGGATCGCCACGTTGCCTGAAGTAGATGTTGCGTGAACCGCTCTTTGCTTTCTCCTAATTGAACCTCGCCGTACTTGCTCTTGTTTAAGGAGACCAGCTGACGCGCATTGGCACCTGCTTCTATAAGCGTCCGAAAAGTTCTCGAGTCCCCCGTCTTGCAAGCGAAGTATAGAGGACATTTGCCATGCTCGTCGGCAACTGCCGCAGGAGCACCATGTCTCAGTAGCAGAGCCAAAATCTTGCCCATGGACTCTGGCAGCCCTGGCACAGATCCTGGCTGGACGTTATTGAGAATGAGAGCCTTCATAATACACAGCTGACCGTGCACGCAAAGTGCTTTCTCATCGATATCTGCCAAGAGCCTCGAGACCATATCATAGTTCCTGTTCGGAAGAGCGTGGCACAGAATGCGGATGCGAATATCAGGAAGGTTCGGTTCAGCACGGAGTTGTGAATAGCTCGTTTCGAAGATCTCGACCTCATGGTCCAGCAAACCCTGTTCGCCTCGTGACCCCGCTGATTCTTTAAGGGCGAGAGCTTTCAACGACTCTTCAAGATTCCGAGTCTTGTCCATAATATCGTTCTGCAGCGTTAGTCTACCCGTGTAGTCATTGCATGGCCAGGATCGACTTTTCAGAGGCCGGACGGAGTCAAAATCGCATGATCCTCGGCTGGTTCGAGAAAGTGTGCGCGCCCCCGAGCGCCCCATGCGAACCCAACGCCCATACGATCCGGTCAAGACGGCCACTGGTGGTGTGGGCTCGTTGCGGGTCAATGCGTCTAGATCCCCTGCGCAGAGTGATATACTGGGCCCGCAAGGCATCAATGGGGCATTGAGAATGGCGTCGACAAAAGGGAGCCTCAACTCTCTGATTTAGCCAGCATTACCAGAGAACGATCTCTTGACCTGTCCTGCATCGATCTCAAGGCAATGCATGGTGTCGACCGGCAGGAAAATTGCGTTGATGCCTTGGTCGAAGAGCATTTTCCTTTACAAGATGGCGCGAGCTGGACGCAGGAAGAGGCCGCTGTCCTGAGTTCCGATCCGTCATGACTATGAGGATTTGCTTGATAGCATTCAACCTCAGGATGGCGTACAGGACAAATCTTCTGAGAGAAGAGCGTTGACGAAAGGTTTTTGAAGTCAAGTTCGATGGCAGAGGTCAATCGAAATACCTATTTATAGACACTTCAGCGCTAATCCCAATGCGTCTGGATTCTGTTTGTCTTCACTTTCACTCTCTCTGCTTCATATCCTCTCGAAAGTCGCAAGATTTATTATCATCACTCAGCTGGGAAGCCTTTTGATGGTAATCCTCGAGAACTACCATTTGCCGCTCCCACGAGAAGTCACAGGAGCTGGCTGTCGCTACGTCTGACTTTGTCGTCCTCCCAAAACCGCAAGTTCTCTTACTTGATCTGGCCTCCTACTTTACCTACTTCTCTCCGAACTCCATTGTGAACGGCCACTAGCTTGACGTGAAGACTATTCCTGATATCATTACAGTCATAATTGCCGGCTCGATGCAGCTCTGATGCCTAGCTGAGTGAGGAGTAGCATGTGGCAGGCATGACGGGACTGTGCCTCATACGGCGCTTCGCTTCGCTGCGTCCTCACTTAAAATACAAAACAGTATTATAGCACATGAAGACAGTCGATCTGATTCCGCATATGATTCATTGACTGGAGTGTAAGTGATTGAGTGTCATGTGAGACAAAACTTAAACCGCTCGAAAGGGAAGGCGCGCTCCAACCTTGAGCAAACAGGTCTCGAAACATCTGAACTTCACCTGTCTCTCTTTTAACCGACCAAAACCAAGAAAAACATCAAGCATGGACCTCAAACGCATCCTGAACCACGCCGAAGACACGGCCGAGCAGCGACCTCATAAGCGACAATCTCAGTCTCCTTCCAGCGTGCACCCTCCCTCATCTCCAGACGTCTACGAGTTGTCTTCGCAGCCAGGTTCAGCCTCAGCTCCGAACATGGGCCAACTCTACTCCTACTTCGACAACCAGTCGTCGCCTTCAGCCTCACCCTCACCATCACTCGGCGCCCACGACATTCCGAAAAGCGACAACGATGGCAACTACACCTACCATCAAGAACCCACTATCCCAGATGATTCTGCGTTCGACCCGAGTCTGCTGGAAAACGTCGACCGTGAGCTGGGCGGAGTTCCTCTCACCGGCCACGACCATCTCGACGGTCTCGACATTCAAGATGACTCCCTGCCGACCGCTCCCTTCACCGATGATCCCCCCGCCTACGATACCGTCGTCCCACAAAACAGCCCGCCACCACCTCCCGCATTTCTCACCAACCCAGACACACGCCTGACGGACCTCTCGGACATCGAGCGGCAGCAATACTACGAAGCCCTCTGGGCCAACAACGAGATCGAACTGAAGGACCTCGCCCAGCCAAAACTCCACTCCCAATACCCCCAATTCTCCGACGAGATCCTCCTCGCGTACTTCACCCACACCACCATCATCACGAAAGTCTGGTCCAACTACGACAGCCCCGAGCGCCAATTCTTCTGGCACCCACGCAACCGCTTCAACGACTGCGGCAAACTCCACCTCACACCAAACCAGCGCCGGCGCCTCAACACGCTCGACCTCGAAACGCTACAGATGCTGCACGTCCGTTTCGACATCGGCACGCCCTTCCGCACGCTCTTCAAGGTCCACCTGCGCTCCGTCAAGAACGAGTCCAGCGCGGTATACCGGCTGGACAGCGAAGGCTACTGGGAGAATGATCCGCACGCCCCGCATGGCGACCTCGAGGAGGTGATCAAGGAGGGGGTGAAGAATTCCAGAGAGGACGGGCTGCCGGAGGGTCAGGTGGGGCTTCGGTTGAAGGATCTGGATGAGATTGCGAAGGACTTTGTGCTGAGGGAGAATTGTGCCAAGAGGCAGGAGATGGTGCAGAGTAACAAGTGGTTCTATGATTAGGATTGATTCGGCTGGGTGTGTGTTGAACAGAGCGAGGAAGTCGATTTCCCGGCTCTGGAAAGCCATCAGGGAAGGCGGAAATCAAGGACAAATGCGGTTGAAATGAGACCCAGACGATACCAGCTTGAATGCACGAAGAGGTCGTTCTCATTGAGACTTGGGTAAAGTAGCCCAAAAGAACCGTGCTACTAAGCTAATGTACAATAAAACCACCGATTGTCTCTCTGTCCATCTGAGTTGCTTTTCGAACCGTGATGATCCAGCCTAGTGAACCCCCCGAAACGCCTTTGCCTCGTCTGCCGAGATGGAACTCGTAGAGCACGTAAGAGGTCCGAGGAATGCCAGCAAAGCCCAATGATGATGATGATGAATGGTAGAGGAGCAGCACTTGAGAGTACCAGCACTAGTAGTGCAAAGACGAGCTGAAAGTGGTGCCTCCCTGGATCGTCGTGTCGGCGTCGGCGCCCACGAATCTGAGGCCCTTCCGCCACTTGTTGGGAGCTCGCGGAACCTGTTGTTCATCGTCAGTACTCAAGCCTCGAAAACCTCACATCGAGAAATCTTGATAGATACCGCTTACCTATCCGCCACCCCTGGCATACGGATGGAACCCCCGATGACCACCCCTACCACCACCGCGGTAATTCGCGCCAGGCTTCCCAGCATTCTTAGGACCAGTCGGCGCATTCGCAGGAGCCTGACCAGGCGGAGCAGCTGGAGGCCGGTTCGCTCCTCCGCCACGACCACCACGGAAGCCACCGCGGCCACCAACACCCTGCTGCAATCCAGCCGGCGCGGGCACATCGTCGTACATCCCGTCCCACGTGTTCTGGTTGCTGAAGTTCTGCTGCTGCATGCGGGCCATCTGTTGGCGTTCGTACTTTTGCTGCTCGAACATGAGTTGCTCTTGGGCGTTGAAGCCTTGGCCTGCGGCGCCAGAGCCGCCTTGTCCGTTGCCTCCTCCTTGACCACCCTGGACGGGGGAGTCGCCGCCTTGCATGCCTCCTGGGTAGCCTTGCATCGACGCCATCTGCTGCATCATCTGCGGGTTCATACCGCCGCCTTGACGAGCCATCATCTGCTGCATCATGGCTGGGTTCATACCACCCATGCCGCCCATCATGTTGCCGCCCATGCTTTGCTGAGCTTGCATCATTTGGAAGTACTGCTGCATCTTCTGCCAGTACTGGGCCATCATCGCGGGTGTCATCTGGTTCCCATCTCCGGCTCCACCTCCACCTCCACCACCGCCATTCTGCGCCATCTGGTTTGGGTTGAAGTTGCTGCCGTTGCCCCATTGCTGGTTTCCGCCTTTGCCACCGCGGCCGAACTTGTTGCCTTGATTCTCCTCTTCGCCCATCTTGCCTCGTGGCTGGGCGCGCTTCACTTCGATTGGCTTGCCGAGAATGGCGAGAGGTCCTTCGAGGGTACGCTCAACAGCCATCTCGTTGTCGAAAGTGACGAAGCCGAATCCACGTGGTCTGCCGGTGTCTTTGTCCATCATAAGGGTCGCATCGAGCACACGGCCGAACTTCATGAAGAACTCCTTGAAGTCGCTTTCAGTCGCATCTTGGCTGACACCTCCAACGAAGATCTTGGCGGTCTTCTCCTGCTCGTCTCGTGGGATTGCACGTTTTGGATCGATCTGTAGGCAGTCTTAGAGGTTTGTCTAGTCGTTGTGATTGCAATTAGACTTACCAGCTTTCCGTCGAGTTGATGCTCCTTCACCATAACCGTATTGACAGTCTTGGGGTCTTTAAATGTAAGGAAGCCGAAACCGCGAGAGCGACCTGTTGCGCCATCTCGCATGACAGTGCACTCAACAACTTCGCCGAATTGTGAGAAGTAGTCCTTGAGCGATTCTGCACTTTCTGTTAGTATACATCTAGTAGATACTGGTGAGGAAACATACGGTCTGTCGTCTCCCAGTTGAGACCTCCGATGAACATCTTTCTGCAAGCGACATGTCAGTCAATTGTACTTAGAAGTCAGGTTGTGGTTGGTGTCGTGGGCATGAGCGAGTTCGTTGCGTGTCGTCGTCCAGAAGCGAGTCGTGCTGGCGGCATCAGTCTGTGTCGTATCCCAGCTCCAGCATGCATGTACCCGAATTCGAGCGAGGGCGGCCATTCCAGGGAAAGTCTTCTTCTACCAAGCACCACGAGGCCATATAGCCGACAGGCAGCGTACATAGGATGCATGCAGTGCCATCAACTTCAACTTGCCCACACAGTACTTCGTGAAAAAAGACTTGCCAGACCTGTCATTCATCTCGGCTGGTGGCGTGCGTGGGGCCGAACTCTGTCCAAAACGAAAAGCGCAGCGCATGGCAGAAGCGTGGTATGAACAGACACCTCTCGTGTTGTCTCTCTGGTTGCGGCATATCAAGCTGACTGCATGCTTATGGTTGCTGGTGCTTCTCTGGTCCGAAGACGCAAGTGAAGTTGTACTCAGCAGCATGTCTCTATCGGCTATCTCTTCTGCTCTGCTCTGTCTGTCTTTGAGTGCTAATTGTCGCTATGGCGAGGTCATCGAGATCAAGCTAGTATCGCGCTCTTGAGTTTCTGGACTTGCGTTCGCGCCCGGCATGCGGTTTCCATAGACCTCAAAGTAAACAGTAGGCAGCTTTTTGGCAGTAGCCAACTGATGAACAGTCGTCCAGCTGTCCAAAGCTTCTCCACCGAGTGTCATCCCTGCTGTACGCAACACTGTGCTTTCAAGTACCCTCAGCGACACTTGTCCGATATCCGCGCATATACCCATGACCGCTCAAGCAGTGCAGCCTCCACATCGCCAACTTTCATTTGTTTGACATTCGGCTCCAAGTCCTTCTTCAGATCATCCAGTGTTTCAATCGTCACTCCAGCTTTGCAGATAGGAAAGGCCAGCAAAGCATGCGATTCTGGAGTCGGCTGACTGTCTTCCAGAACCAAAATGTGCTTCTCCAGGGGTGCATGTTCTATTCCATGCGATACTTGCTCATGCCCACGACCTAATAATATGTAAATCTATCACACAGAAGTTTACTTACCCGTCCTCCTTGATGCCAATGGGCCTATCCTCAGTTCTCGAGTCGTGGTAGTCACCGGAATCTTGCATTCCCTCCATTCCCTCTACATCATGCCCCGCGTTGTTGAAAGCCGAGTCATCCACCACATCTGCTGCGCCCGAGCTGCCACCGGCGATGACAGGCATCGACTCGGTGTCAGGCTTGAAGTCATCATCGGCGGTAGACTGCGGCTCGGGGTCGGTCTTGGCGGGGGCTGCGGTTTGGTCTACGTCGTCGCCGTCGTAGCTGTGTGGTGTTAGCGGACAGTTCGAGAGTGAGGTTGCGGCTGAATAGCCTGCGGTGTTGCTCACAGATCAGCGAAGAGATCATCGTCGTCGACGCCCGGCTCCGCCATGGTCGATGTCGGCGCGCGCGATGAAAGGGAGAGTGAGTAGGTGGCAGTTGCAGAAGATGCGAGCAGCCGATGGGGATATGCAGATCGTGCAGGAGAGACAAAGAGGTGTGTCGAGGGGTTTGGTGGTGGTGAGTGAAGGAGAGCAGCAGCTGTTGTTTGCTGCTGAAGAGAAGCTGGAAGCGACGAGAGCGCGGGGCGGGAGGAGCCGAGTGCCGATGATCCTCTCAATGCGCCGCTTCATCACAGCCCAGACAGACACCCGCGTGACGACGTTCGATGATGATGTTTGAGCCATGAGCATGCCGTAGTCGCTATGAATTTCACAAAACCCGCCCATCAGGTAAGCCCATACCGAATTCTTTCAGCAAGATAGCGTTACTAACTTCTGCTAGGAGATGCGTCAGGTCGGTTCGTGTCCTTCCCTCAAACAAGCCTCGGCCGACTCGATCCATCATCGCAACCACCAGACAGATCACGAGAGCTAATATGGATATATGGGCCTTTATAGACCGCAATGAGTATGTCGGCGAGATATCCAAGACAATGTGGCCAACACTGACACAACGCCCCAGCACCGCGTCTCCATTCTGGAGGGCTGCTTCGTCCAACAGCCAACGAGGCAACGAGCAAACCCGCACCTCCACGCCTGAGCGTAAAGTAATAGGCGCATCTTATTCGCACGCAGATATTCTGAATGTCTCCAACCTGTACGAAACGTCCGTTCTGTGTTGTGGGAAAGTGCTGATGTTCGTCAAGCTCCATTTCCGGCGACCAAAGACCACGAACACCGCCCACTTCTACTGGATCGAATCGCGGCACTCCTCCACCTGCGGCAAACAGCACCAGATCGCCACCGTCACGCCGAACATACTCCAGCTTCGTTCCTGAAACCGACTACCCCTGGGACGACAATGACGACCAATTTGGAGTGGACGAGGATGAGGACGAGTTTGGACTGCCAAGTATAGCGAACATGCGAAGAAAGGGCAAACGAATATCGAATAAGAAAGGCCAAGATCCTGGGGGTGGTAATAGACCGGGGCTTGGTAGGACGAGCAGCAAGAGCGGGAATCTCAAGAATGGACAATCAAGCTCGCTCGCCAGCTGGGCACTGAACGACGGAGACGTAGCGTCAGAGCGCACTATCCCATCCTATCCTTCGATGAAGAAGGTCGTCGAAGGGCAGAAGATCCTGAGGCCACAATACAAGGACATTCTACGCGACCCAGCCAACAGTCTCCATCTTATATCCCATCCTCCGGTCACGCCTGGCGCCTCCGCCAAGGAGGTAGAGGCGCATTCAGCACGGATTACACGCATAAATAAATTCAAGAAGATCCTCCAGGCATCGTCAATATCACTTCCAGAGCTACGGGCAGCCGCGTGGTCCGGACTACCCAGCGAAGTCCGTGCGATGACATGGCAATTACTGCTGGGATACTTACCGACAAGCTCTGAACGACGAGTGACGACTTTGGAGCGGAAACGAAAGGAGTATCTCGATGGTGTAAGGCAAGCTTTTGACCGCGGGACCATGGGCGCGGAGAGGCCAGTGGAAGCAGGTCTATCTGGGTCAGGCTCTTCTCCTATTCAAAGTCGAGGTCGCGGCCGAGGTTTGGACGTGGCAATATGGCATCAGATCAGCATCGACGTGCCGCGGACGAACCCCCATCTGGAGTTGTACAGCTATGAAGCTACACAACGATCCTTAGAACGCATCCTATATGTTTGGGCGATCAGACATCCAGCCAGTGGATACGTACAAGGAATCAATGACCTCGTCACGCCTTTCTGGCAGGTCTTTCTTGGACAGTATATCACCGACCCTGACGTAGAGTCTGGAATGGATCCTGGGCAATTACCGAAACCGGTCCTGGATGCGGTGGAAGCGGATAGCTTTTGGTGTTTGACAAAATTGCTGGATGGAATTCAGGACAACTACATACACGCGCAGCCGGGTATTCAGCGGCAAGTGTCTGCTCTGAGAGATCTAACAGCTCGCATCGATGGCGCGCTGGCGAAGCACATGGAGCAAGAGGGCGTCGAATTCATCCAGTTCAGTTTTCGATGGATGAACTGTCTTTTGATGCGGGAAATCAGCGTCAAAAATACCGTGAGGATGTGGGATACGTACCTGGTAAGACTTTTCCCACATCATATCGCTTTATCTGCTAACTTCAATGCCTAGGCCGAAGACCAAGGCTTCTCCGAATTCCACCTCTACGTCTGCGCAGCCTTCTTGGTGAAATGGTCGGATAAGCTCCAACACATGGACTTCCAGGAAATCATGATGTTCTTGCAATCGCTCCCGACCAAGGAGTGGACGGAGAAGGATATTGAGCTTTTGCTGAGCGAGGCTTTCATCTGGCAGAGTCTGTTCAAGGGTAGCAAGGCCCATGTGAGACAGACGAGTGGTGGAAATAGTGGTGCGTTGAATCTGTGATGACGGAGATTCAAAGTGACCTTGGATAGCTCATCCAGTATGAACTGAGCATTCGCTTCATTTTTGGGTTTCAGTCGTCCGCATTTTGAGGCCTCTGCGCTCACGCATGGCCATTCGTCAAAAGTTCGTCTTCCACCATCAGATTGACGAGTCCCTCCCTCGGTGGCGAGAACTGTCTTAATTTGATCCCCGCCGCCTTGAAAATCTTGGCCGCTTCAGCATCCATATAATAGCTCTGGCTGTAAACCACCTCCGTGATCCCAACCTGCACGATCTTGATCGTGCACGTCAAGCAAGGGCAAGTATTGCAGTACAGCACCGCACCATCGCCGACGCGTTCTCGACCAGCTTCCAGCAATGCATTCTCTTCCGCGTGGATGCAGAGACAAGTGCTGAGATCCGCGCCACCGCCTCCCCCACCGTTGCAACGTGGACAGCCTCCTTCGTTGCAGTTCGTGACGTTTCGAGGTGTGCCGTTGTAGCCTGTTGCCATGACACGTTTCTCGCGGACTAAGACGCAGCCTACCTGGCGACGCATGCAATTACTCCTCCTGGCGGCAAGGGAGGCGAGTTTCATGAAGTAATGATCCCAGGTCGGCCGTATGCGGCTTTGGTCTGTGAGATTCAGCGCATCTAGCGAAGTCCAGAGTTTACTGAGGGACGCCGTGGAATTGAGCAGCTTGATCTGCGCCTGCGACGCCATGGTCGCGAGATTGCTGGAGGTGGAGTACATGTGTTCATCGTTGCGGAGGACGAATTGCTCGAGCGTTGGGGGTGTTAGGGAAGCTTCAGCACATCGATCCCGGAAGCGCTGCCATCGTACAGAGATGGGTGCGTCGATGTGGAGGAGGGTGAAGAACGGTCGTCGAGATAGAGCTTCCACGATACTCTCGTCGTAAATTGATGTTGTAACGAAGTTGTCTCGCCAGTTTGCTGTTGCGTAGTCGAGGAGGGAGTTGATGTCCGAGAATTTCACGGTTTGGAAGCTCTCTGAGTTGGGAATTGTTGTGGGTACGTGGGCTTCAAAGGCGGATTTCTCGACGTCTGGAGTGGGTGTTGGGCGTGTGAGTGTGAGGACTTGGAAGGAGTGTTTTTGGACGAGATATTGGAGGACTGAGTGCTTGCCGGCGCAGATGCCTGGAAATTTGTTAGCAGTCGTCCGCGATATGACGGGAACTTGACATACCGCCGCAAACTCCGATTAGCATGGTTGTATGTTGACTTTGATGGTCAGGATGGAGTAGAAGTGGTGAACATTCACCTGCTAATTTAAGCTTTCATCACGCGTGGAAGGGACGACGCGAAACGCGATTTAGAGTTGCGGGGTCATCGGGATCATGCAGGTCCGTCGGCGGCTCCAGCAAGTGATCCACCTCATGTGCTTCTAATCCCTCGAGCTCACCTGAGGACGTCGACTCGTGGTCTCGTGAGCAGTCGCCAGAGCGCACCTGATCGCTGCATGACTACCACCACATCGCCAACAACATCCTTCGACATCATCACCACCACTTCCATCTCCTAACACAGACCGAACTACCCCCCACTTCACCATCCGCCGCCATGCTGCAGCCCATCCAGTATGCGCCATGGACCTCCGACGTCGAGCTGGCCTTCTACTCGGCGCTCGCATCCCTCAAGATCAACCACGACAAGCTCGACTCGTCCGCGCGCAAGGTACTCGGCCTGTACGAGATCAACCACAAAGACCCGCCCGATCGATCGACTCGCATGCAGATCCATGGCACTGCGCTCACAACCGATGAGTAAGTAGTGAGTATGCGTGTGGAGGGAAAGAGGGTACTGTGGCAGGCTGACAAGGGCAATGATCTAGGCCTCCGCACGGATACTATCGCGCAGATGGCTTCATACGCAACTTCAACACGATCGAGGAGTTTCGGTCCGTTGATAAGCATGAGTACTTGAGCCGGGCTGCTCGCATGATATGGGATGCGATTCAAGATGGCACTATCTACTCTTGTCCCTCGCTGCTATGCTCCTTCTCGGTCATAAGCTTTGCAGACTTGAAGAAGTACAAGTTCTCATACCACTTCGCATACCCAGCGCTGCACTCAGACCCGCAGTGGAGGCTGGCAGCACCGTATAGTAATACGGATGCTTCGGTCCGACAACTGGAAGCAAAAGAGACAACGATGTTGGTGGATGCAGTACAGACTTGGAGATACAGCGTCGATACCAGACAACATGGCTTCTTCCTGGCCAAGCGGTTGCGAAAGGACACCCTTGAAAAGGAATGGAAGGCAGGCAGAGGCGAAGTTGAGGAAGAGAAAGATGACGACGACGGCAACCTTTGTTCGAAGAGGAAGAAGAGCACAAGATCATCTAGCCTGAGTGAGCTGGGCTTCCTCTGGTGGATTGGCTCACTCTCAAGCTACGAGAATGGCTTCTTTGACAACGCGCAGCCAGAGGATCGTTACGTGTGTTTTGCCGACCCTTCTACTTACGCTGAGAACCCTGGTTGGATGCTGCGGAACCTTCTTGTACTGGTACGGCAGCGGTGGAAGCTCGACAAGTTGCAAGTTCTGAGCTACCGAGATACCCACGCTCGACGAGAACATCCTACCTCGCTTATCATGACGCTTCAATCAGCAGAACCCGTATACGACTTCTCAGCTCAGAACCAGCTTGAAGAGATGGCCAAGATGGGCGCGTCGACTGCATTCACACCCGATCAGGTCGACCGATTTGGCGAGCTGATTAAGGAGAAACCGAAACAGAACACAGAGCAAGAACTACCTGTACGACCTGCACCCCCGCCACCACCGTCTAGTGTGACCGAATTCCCAAAGGCCACTGGTTGGGAGCGAGGAGAGAACGGCAAAGTAATCTCGCGGACGGTAGATCTTGCTGCCTACATGGACCCGTCGAGGCTTGCAGATCAGGCCGTTGACCTTAACCTCAAACTCATCAAATGGCGAATATCACCTTCAATTGATTTGGACACGATCAAGAACACCTCTTGCTTACTACTCGGAGCTGGCACTCTGGGTTCGTACGTTGCGAGAAATCTCATGGGTTGGGGTGTCAGAAAGATTACCTTTGTCGACAACGGACGTGTGAGCTACTCAAATCCAGTGAGACAACCCTTATTCGACTTCAAAGACTGCACGAATGGCGGTGCGTGGAAAGCGCAGCGAGCGTCAGATGCTCTCATGGAGATTTACCCCGGCGTGGACTCAGAAGGAGTCGTCCTCAGTGTGCCAATGGCTGGACACCCCATCGTTGGCGAGGAGTCGAGAATGCAGAAGGCCTTCGAACAACTACGAAAGCTCATCAACGCCCATGATGCCATCTTCCTTCTGATGGACACAAGAGAGTCGCGATGGCTTCCTACTGTCATGGGCAAGTCAGCTGGCAAGATTGTCATCAATGCCGCACTGGGCTTCGACACATACATGGTGATGCGGCATGGCCTACGAGCACCAGTACGACCCACTCCAAAGGTGACCTCAAATAGCGCGGAGGGAACCGTGATAACGCATCCAAGCGATCAACAAGATCCCCTCTTGGCCGCTGCATCAGACCCGATAGAAAAGGGAGACCCAAGCAAAGGAGACCCAGAAGAGCTTGGCTGCTACTTCTGCTCTGACGTTGTTGCACCGGCAGACAGTCTGAAATCAGCCACTCTCGACCAACAATGCACAGTCACAAGACCTGGCGCAGCACCCATCGCTTCAGCGCTGGCAGTAGAGTTGCTGGTCTCACTAACACAACACAAGCTCAAAGGCCGCGCCCCTGCACCACAACCCCCTACACCAGCAGCAATCGCCCCCGCACCTCCCACAGACGCCTCCTTACCAGGCTCACATCCCCTCGGCACTGTCCCTCACCAGCTTCGCGGCTACATGTCAACCTGGCAAACCCTCCAGATCAAAGGTGGGTCTTACGACTGCTGCTCGGGATGCTCGCCCAAGATTGTCGAGGCCTACGAAAAGGATGGGTGGGAGTTTGTTAAGCGAGCTATGAACGAGAAGGGGTTCGTGGAGGAGGTGAGTGGGTTGGCCGAGGTGCAGAGGAAGGCTGAGGAGGCGGAGAAGGCGATGCTGGAGGAGGAGGATGAGTGGCCTGATGAGGATGAGGAAGGGGAGTTGATATGAGAACACGGCGTTATGAATGCATGGGTTGATCGCGAATATGCACTCGCGTTACGTGAGTGGAATGGTACACTGGCTGTGTTTGCACCTGAATGCGAGAAAGATGATGCAACTTCGAACTCCATCGGTCTCGATTCCGACCGTCTACCCTGCGTATACCACTATGCCAGATCACCAGCCTTTCTCTTGCATGTGACTGCAGCAAAGCACACCTTACCCACGGCATGATGCATTCCTTACTACAGCAATGGAGACAAACAGCCGCTGCCGAAACAGTGCCTTCAAACATTCTCTATCTCCTCAACACTATCCGCTCTGTAGAACCCCAGCGCCTTGATCATTGGCCGATCGTCAAACCGATACAAATACACCCGTTCACCAGGACTCGCGTGGTGCGTATACTTGTACCAGCACGGCACACAAAACGTATCACCACGCTTCCATGTGATGACCTGCTCCCCGACTTCGGACTGTCCACTACCCTCTGTGACATGGTACACGATCGAAGCGGTCTCCTGTCTCGCTGGCGACGTTGCTCCGCCGTCTAGTCTCTCCGCGGCGCTGCCGAGGGTTTTGCTTACTGAAAATGTCAATTAGTGGCCAGTAGGTCTGCACGTATTTCATCTGGAACATACCTTCACCCCCTTTCGAGTCAAGATATCGGCTCGTCGCCCAAGTCCCAACAACCCCATCCAACTGCCCCTTCATCCCCGCCCAAGGAAACACAATCGGACACTCCGCCTTCTCCACCGTTGTCGCCGGATACCTCGCCTTCTCAAAATGCTCCACAAAATGCACGGGGAAGTGCTTAAAACTAGGCACATCTAATCCATCGAGCCAGATCATCGGTCCAGAGCCGTCTTTCCCGTGGTCATGCCACGTCCAGCTCGGCGTTAGGATTACATCGCCACGGTCCATGTTGATCCGCTGGCCGTCAACAGCTGTAAAGCCCCCGGTGCCTTCGATGATGAACCGCATCGCAAATGCGGTGTGGCGATGTGCCGGCGCGGTTTCGTTGGGTATGACGAGTTGGAGGCCGCCGAAGATGGTGTCGGTTGTGCAGGGGATGTCTTGCAGCGGCGTTAGAACGTTCTACCTCATATCGTAAGGCGGCAATGTGATTGACCTGTCTTGGGGTTTATGAGCATCAACACTCGCCTTTCGGCCTCCTGCTCGCTGATGAGCTCGCCGGCTTGCATCAGCTTTGGGCGCAGTTGGTCGTATCTCCATACGAACGGGATGGCGTTTGGTTTGGGCAGTGGCGGGTTCACTCGCTTCATTTGTGCCCAGAGAGGGGCTACGTTCAGTGTGTCCAGATCTGCGAGCAAGCTCTTTTTTCGTTGTGTCTTGCTATCCACGGGTTGGACAGACGCTGTCGTCGTGTTGGTGGTGCTTGCCATGGTCGTTGTGTCTTTGCTGCTCACGTGCGTAGGTAATGGTAAGAAACTCTATGGCATGCTTTCTGGGTCTCATCGTCGTGATATGACTTGCGTTGGTGTTGGTCCGGGTCTTCCGGGGCTCTTTCGGATCGTCAGCGAAATTCAGGGGCATTGGCTTGGCGGGGCCTCAAATGAATGTTTGAGGACTGCATTCGAATCCACTACATCCGTATTGGCATGGCAGCGTATGGTGTACACGTGCAAAGCTGTACTCTAACTTGAGAGTTCCATCATGGCGAGTGGAAGCTAGCTCACGAACAGGTAGTTGCCGTCTCCTGAGAACAGGCTACTATGCAAATCGAACTCAGACATATTACTGAAGGCAAGAAAGTCTTCCGCAAAAGTACCAGAGCTGTCATTCGGGAAGTCGAGAGACTCCGACTGAGAGGAAGGTAGTTCTGGCAACTTGGGTGTCAGTGGGCGCGCTACCTTTCGAGCAGTGAAGTATTTTGAGAAAAGCACGACTTACGCAGGGCCTGCATAGCCTGAATAACGGCGACAAGATACTTGGAGCATCTTCTCGCGATCACGGTGTTCTTCGCTACGACCTCCACCATTGCAGCGGCTTTCTGCAACTGAGCCAGTGCGTCAAATTGGCACAAATTGGGTCTGGCAAGACTGGACTTGGCGAACACGACTGTACCGAAGATGACGAGTGCCGACTGGAAGACTGTTGCAAGAATCGGGTCAGCTATTGTCCGAAGTGTTGGGTCAATGTGAGCTTACGATAGTACAATACGAACCACCATGACGGCAACGCTGTACCGCTTCTCTGAGCATCGGCTATAAGGTCGATGGTCTCTTTGGCGATGTCCGCACAAACGCTCACATAGATCTGACAGGCGGCATCCATGGAAGCTGTCTGAATTGGAAGAGTGCCACTTGCAACGTGGCCGAGATACTCAGTGAGTATCGAACGGTACAGAAGCAACTGTATGCTGAAGTATCTCAAGGTGAGAACAACGCGGGCTCCGTCAGCAGGCGTCTCGGTCGGTGAAGTGTGGTCGCCCGGCCGAACCAGCTTGAGACTTGGGCTCAGGTTGCTCTGCCAGTCATGACAACGTTCGTCGAGCTTCATCACCCTTGTCAATAGATCCGAAGTGCCCAGCGACTGTCGACAGGATCGGTTCTGATCGTAGAGCTCCCCGAGCAGGTCACCGAGTAAGCGATGGAGCTGTCTATATGGTGATTAGCAAACGAGAAATGCTCGCAGCGATCATTACATACATTGTCTCGATGAATAGATCGCAGTACGATGTCGTCTGGGCCATGACTGCTGACGGCTGCTGCAAGGGCGATGTTTTGTCACTGAAGTCACGTTCACATGGCAGCGGTATCGTAACCCGTGCTTCCTGTAGGAGTGGTGGCCGCCCCAGCGTAGAGCTGAGCATCCTGTAGACGATTCTGGCGTTAGTGTGGCGCTCAGATTCTCACGAGATGTAGGTGTAGGTACAAACCTGTCCAAAGTCAGACACATATACCACGTTCTCCGCCGCATCTCGAGCTCAAGCGGGCTGAAATGCAGCGCGTTGGTGTCATCTTCGACGTGGAGGCCGATGTTGTATGCGGCTTGTACCAATAGACCGTGTAGCTTCCAGGTCTTGGCAGAACGAGACGTCCCCTCCGCGTATTGGGTCATGACGGCGAGGCCTTGCACTGCAACAACTTCTGTGTCACTACCTCCGTGCGCGGGCACAGTCCAAGCGAGTCGGCTTACCTGTCTCAAGGCTCGCAGTATTTGATGCCACCCAAGGCGACAGAGCGAACGCACGCTCAAAGTACACGTCTGCTTGAGCCTCATCGCCCTGTATGTCCTGACTGTCAGGAAGCGTGAGGCTTTTGCCGCATGCGAGTACAGCATTCAGCAGGCTGAGGAATGGTTGTGAAATGTTCGACATGGTGGCTGACTGCACACTTTGTGCAAAGTGTACCAATGAAGCCTTGTTGACGTAGGAAAAGTAACCTCCGGCACGACTGAAGTACGCCTGGATGAGAAGCAGCATTTCATTGCTGGGTGGTAGGTGTAACAAGTCGGCAGCCTTGCGCTGTTGCAGCCGTCTAAATGGCGATGCTGGGCGTGACAGCATCGCAGTTGATGGCGGTACATTGCTAGTAGAATGTGGTTCTATAATACGACCAGTCCCTTCCAGACTAGTATCGAGATTTGAGTTCGGTGTTGCGGTCGAGACTGCGGGAACAGGACGATGGATGGTCTTCACCGCTCGAGAGATCTGTGCCGCGAAGGCGGAGTTGGATGACAATCCAAAGTAGTGTGATATGGTCTCGCCGGAGAACGTGATAGTGCCTAGACCATCAACACTGTCTCTCTCAACTGCAGGCAATGTTGTGTCATCGGATGGCGCGGTGAAGCTCGATGCATCGTCATGAGAATCTCGCGAGCCCGCGGCAGTCCCTGACAGTTGTTGCAGGAGTGCTTCCACCATCTCCAAGCGATTCTCCATTGCCGACACGCGTGATGACTCCGGCGATGACTGCTGCACGGGGGCGCCGGTCACCACCGGTCGACGATAGTGGCAGGGAAAGCCCATATCGGAACATGCTGTACAGGCAGGCCGTGCGCCGTCGCACCGTGATTTGCGATTCCGGCATGATTCGCAGGCCAAGGCTGTTCTTTGTCGCTTATGACGTGCTCCGTTGTCCTGGGCACTCTCGTCTCGCTCGCGTCGAGCATCGGCCTGCTGCGATGGTGAGTTCGCCGGCTGTGTTCCGGGCTGTGTGGAAGATGCCCGTCTGCCATCGCCGTTCATGATCGAGTAGCTTGGCATACACGCCGCCTGTGAGATAGGAACGTGACTGAGTCTTCCCCGAAGATGTATCGCAATGGAAGTAAGATTATTCGGGCGGGGTATTGCTTCTATAGACTGACCCGATCCAAGCCCGTCCCAGAGGTTCCTGTATCCCTGAATGTCGGCAAACCGGCCCCTAGCCTTACGACACAGGAAAATCTACTCCGGTGACCTAGTGCTTGCAATAACACATGCATTTCTCATCATTCGCACTGGTTCGCTGCATTGTCAGATTACATTCACCGAATTCGATCAGATCATATTAGATGAGAGACGGCACTGAGATCCTCTTCAGCTGTGTAGCTCCAATGAGGCTTGATCGATCACATTAAAAGCCCAATTCCAGGATCTACCTAGATCTACGTAGATCAAAACGGCTATGCGCAATGGAAAATCTAGTTGCAAAAAGTAATGACGTGCTGGTGGTCTACTAGTACTGATGCCCCACGACTAGCGAGGAAGTTGACGAAAGGGAAGCCAATTTGAAGGCGACAGTATCTTTTGCAATGCAGCACACAAAACATTCGCGTATACCACTAAAGACCGTGAGAAGACGCTACCTCTTCATACCATGCGTCTCGAATAGCAGCAGCAGCATCATATCCATACGCCCAGAGCTGCGTCGTCGGATCGCTCCATTGGTTGGGACTGCGAACGAAGTGCACTCCCGCAACCTCATCCTCCATTTGAGCATCCCTAGCACGCTGCAATGGCCCGTCCGGAAGGTGGATGGTATACGCATGTCTGTAACTGGCCTCATGCATAGCTTCCGTTCGATGTCTCCTCACTTGCTCGTACACATCCACAGCATGGTCAATTCGGTCGGGGCTCTCGACGAGACGAAGTGCCTGTGATAAAGCAGATGCATCTTCTACGGCCATCGCAGCTCCTGTCGCAATCATACTTGTAAGTCTATGCTCGCATCAAGGAGTTCAGTTCCTACACACCGATTGACATGAACGGAATCATTGCATGAGCGGCATCGCCGAGCAGGACCAGCTTCTTGCTGGGGGAGACCCACTTCCTCGCGCATTCAATGTCTTGCACCGGCCACAGCCTGGTGTCTGTTACCGAGTCAAGGATCTTCTCAAGGCTGAACACGATTAGTGATTCCCTAGATCAACGGGGCGCTCCGTCCTTACGTTGGGTCCCATCCTTTGAAGAACGACTGCATGCGAGCAACGCTTGTCACTTCACTTGCATCCCAGTCTTCCACCTCTCGCACTTCTGGTACGTTGGCTACAATGTTCCATTTCTGACCGCCAACGATGCCATAGCTCTTGACATGTGCACTGTCTCCCAGCCTTTCGTTGGTTCAGCAAATGACAAAGTCCTTGTAAATCTCTGGAGAGAGAAACATACCACAAGTTGATGCTTTCTAAGTCGATGGTGTTAGAAATGTCAAGGTTTCCTTTCAGCGATTCGATTGGTACACATGCTCGATACGCAGCCATATTATGCTGCCGAAGTGTTGAAGGCGCACTCGAGTTCAGCATGCGCCTGGCCAATGATTTGATGCCTGTAACATTTGCATTAGCAGTAACTCATGATCTCGAGCGATTGGCGATAGGATCTACCGTCTGCGGCGATGATCAAGTCTGCCATCAATGTCTCCTCCTGAAGTTCCAGACTCGCCTGCACAAGGCTGTAGCCTTTCACTCTCTTACCAAGCCGGACTTTCACCCCAAGTTCAACCGCACGCTCATGCAATATCTCGTGCAGATGAGCTCTATGTGCCACATAATAAGAAGAGCCATACCACTTCTCAAAGTCAGGTCTGTATCTCGTGTAGCCAATAACACGGCCATCCTGCCATCGTCTCCAGTAGAGGCTTGTTGGACGAACGGATTTCAGTTGCAGTCTATCTTCCAATCCCCATGATTGAAGGATTCGAGCTGAGTTTGGGGGTATTTGAATGCCGGCTCCTATTTCTGCAAGCTTCGGGGCGTCCTCAAGGACTTCGATTTCGTGCCCGTCTTTGGCTAGAGCAATGGCAGCTGACAAACCGCCTATTCCTGCTCCAACCACTATGATCTTGAGCTTGAACTTCGCCTTGAGCGACTCTCCGTTTACGTGACCAGTTGAGACTGCATCAACATAGGTCCAAGATCCACTAGGGTACGGTGTCGTCTACAATATCGATCAACTGATGTTACGAGATAGAAGTATGGGGTTTGATACATACAGTGACTGGTTTTTGTATCGAAGGCATGACCAGATGGTTGATTCTCGGCAGTTTGACCAGCCGCCGCCCGCAGGCTTTGGTGTCGTCTTGAAGGTTTGTATAGGATGGATAAGCGGCTAGATTAGGGGCATCTTAGACGCAGCTCCGCAATAGCCCCGAGGAGTGCAAAGCTTCTGTCAAGTGATTCGTATGGTAGTCATTCTCCACTGCAGCAGGAGAGAATACCCAACATGTGGAATAAAGAACCTTTCCTGACTTGGCCACCATCACAAGGCTGGGAGTTCCAATGACCTGGGCCTACGAGGCGAGGGGCCGCAACTCGCAGCTTTTCGACTACCCACTCCCATGCTTAAGGTGAAGTCGAACGCTGTACATACATGCTCGCTGCTCGGGTAGGCTGTACTTCACCCATGTTGCATCGAACAGTCTACGTAGAGTATAAACCCCATTACTTCCGAATGTTACATGAGCGATTCTTTGTCGAAGCGGAACTTCATTGTGAGTGTTCAGTGGGTAAGAGCTCGATAGTGGGCCAAGTTATGAGTAGACTTTGTAGCGAGTTGGAATATCCATCAATTATAATCTACTCCAAGAATCGATCGATCACTCGAAGACGATGCTATTCGCAAGAGTACCAAGCCCGCCAACAGTGACTTCGACGGTATCACCGTGCTTCAACCATACAGGGGGATTCATGCCCATCCCTACGCCCCGGGGAGTTCCAGTCATGACGACTGTGCCTTTCTCCAGCGTGGTCCCTTGACTGAGAAACTCGACGAGGGTGGGCACATCAAATAGCAGGTCTGATGTATTCGAACTTTGTCTGAGCTCGCCGTTGACTCGCGTCTCAAGGTCGAGATTGCTTGCGTCGCCAAGCAGCTCTGTAGATACCAACAGCGGTCCCAGAGGCGCGTACTTGTCGAATCCTTTGCTGAAGTTGAACTGAGGGACAGGGCCAGCAAACTTAGGATTCCTCTGCCATGTTCGTGCCGACATATCATTTCCCGTCATGTATCCTGCAACGTAGTTCAAGGCTTCAGCTTTTGGAATATCTTTCCCTTCGCGACCGATGACAAAACACATCTCTCCTTCATAGTCACACTGTTCTTGCTGTGCCACTTTAGGGATCGGTATTGGGGCACCCCAGTCGTTGACACTCTTTGATCCCTTGATGAAGAACATTGGATACGTCGGCGTCGTTCGGCCTGCCTCCTTAACTGGGACATTCCGCAATTATTAGCAAAAAATTTTGATAACTATGCATGTGCTACTCACTATGACTGACGTAATTCAGTCCGATTCCCTTGACTGCTGGAACTTGAGATGCCTCGAGTGGACCCAACAGCTTTTCGACCTTGATTGAATGGGTGCTCAACGTAGCACTTCCATCGAAGATATCGCCATCAAGAGGGTATGCGTTGAGTTTGCCTGCACGATACAGATCCACCAGATTTTCAACATTGGTGATGTCCGGCTCGCCGTAATACGAGCTCCCGTCCACGCCAACGAAGCGTACCAGCCTTTTCCAAGGGAGTTTCATCGCAGAGAAAGGAATTATCGTAACTCAAACACCAAGCTCGTTCTCTCCATGACTTGATTATGCACAAAGGTGCCGGAGGGACCGGGGCTAATTCGGGTGATACTCCCGTTGTGGAGTTCCTGCTGAGGCTGTCCTACAGCCTCACGCATTAGCCTCTCAGACCCGGCAACGAGGCGGCAGCGCACGCTTCTGAAAGACTCACTTTACTATTCGAAAATTTGTTTCAGCTGGCCACTTCAATGCCTCTCTTGAATTTGCAGGACGTTCCATCCACACGTCTGGTAGCATGGCTGGATACGCCAGGGCAAGGGGCGAAGCTCATGTTTCGAAATGTTGCGATACCTGCGCCAATATCGAAAGGCGACGTCTTAGTCCAGCTAGAGTGCACAGGAGTCTGCCACTCAGATGTGCACGGCATCTACGGAGAGACACCAATGACGACTCACATTCCTGGGCATGAAGGAGTTGGGTTGATCGTCAAAGTCGGTCAAGATGTGCCAGACCGAATGCTTGGCTCACCGGTGGGGTGGGTTGGTTGTACAAGACATGCAATCAATGTGAGATCTGTGAAATCGATAGAATGGCCTGCCCCAGACAACAGAACTGTGGCCGTGATCAAGAAGGGACATTTTCTCAGTTCTTGGTCATCCCGTTCGAGTCTGTCTTCATCATCCCCGAAGCTCTCTCTCTAGAGATCGCTGCCCCTCTGCTGTGTGCCGGTATCACGATATTCTCCGCCATACGCAAGACACGGCTCCGGGCCGGTAATTGGCTGGCAATCTTCGGTGCTGGAGGAGGACTAGGTCATATTGGCTTGCAGATCGCAAATGCGAAAGGCTACCGTGTCATCGCCATCGACGTTGGCATTTCAAGGCGTGATGCATGCCTAACGTCAGGTGCGACAGAATTTTTTGACGCCGGGGGTGATGTTGTCGACGAGATCAAGCGCATTACAGGTGGCTACGGCACTCACGGCGTCATTGTAGCCGTGGGAAGTCAGTCAGCATACAGCACAGGGCTACAAGTAGTGCGTAATGGCGGCACTGTGGTCTGTGTGGGCATTCCTAGCAAGACATACAGTCTGCCAGTTTCTCCTTTGTCGTTGATAATCAAGGGGATCACGGTGATTGGAACGTCAGTTGGGACAAAGACAGACATGGAAGAGCTGTTTGGCATGGCAGTGGCAGGGACTGTCAGGCCTGTCGTTGAGATGTTTGACTTTGCCGACGTTAATGTTGTGTTGGAGAGTCTAGCACGCCACGATATCCATGGCAGGGCGGTCTTACGTCTCCAGTAGTCGGTGCTTAGACATGCGATGATCGTTCGACCACAATTACGTCTTAGCTTAACCCCTGAGGCCTAAGCCTGACTTTGTGTCGCATTTGGGAACGATTTACGCCACGAATCCTTGTTAGATGACTGAAAGTTGCGTTCACAAGACGACTTCTCTCAGCCACCTGAGTTTCCATTTGAGTGATGCAAAAGGTCCCCCTCATTCTCGATCGAGAGAAGGGTACGGTACGCGGGGATACATGGGTGGGCGGAGCGCAGTTCCCCGTGGGGAAGGAGAGACGACTAGAGTAGGGAGGTTAAATCAATACTCTAAATAGTTCCTGCTTGGCCGGTCGATGGTACTGTCCTCTCCTGCAGTATCTCCAGGACTTACCGCTTTACAATCAACCATGGCTCACAAGACCACAACAAATCCTGGACTATTGTCTCTGGAAGACCATTTCGTGTCCTCGATATGCCAGCAAGACGAGATCGCCTCGACCATTTCGCTCCACGTATTTCCCAAGTTGATCCTGGACAAGCTCCTCGACGTTGGACCAAAACGCCTCGACGACATGAAGAGCAGTAACATTTAGTGGTTTCCCACATTCCCGTTGCTCTCGGGGTCGATGCCTGTAAGCAGACGAATGATCAACTTTACGATGCAGTCAAAGAGCACCATCCGCGCTTCGCCGGCTTTGCTACATTTCCTATGGCAAACCCTGAGAGCATCGTAGACGAGCTTGAGCGTTGCGTCAAGGACCTAAACTTCGCCGGCGCCCTGATACCAAACAGCGCGAATGGACGATACTATGACGGGCCTGAATACTTGGCCATGTGGCAGGCAGCGGAACAACTGGATGTCCCCATATATCTCCATCCTTGTCCTCCTTCCGAGGAAGCAAAGCCAAAGTTCCGTGGCAACTATTCTGGGAACGTCGCCTTCGCTGTAGGTACGCATGCTTGGGATTGGCACTCGGACTACGGAGCTCACTTCATCAGGTTGTTTGCTTCAGGCCTATTCGACCGCTTCCCGAAACTCAAGATTGTGCTCGGTCACATGGGCGAGATGCTTCCCTTTATGCTGGGACGTATCGAACGAAAGCTCGCTTTGACAAAAGATTCATCCTCCTGGCGTTCGACCTTTCGTCAGGTATATGCACACAATGTGTGGATCACGACAAGTGGCCTGTACGATATCGAGGTCTTCAAGCTTGTGTTGGCCATCACGTCGGTCGGAAAAATCATGTTCAGCGTTGACTACCCGTTTGAAAGTTCGGAAACTTCAGCAAGGTTTATGAGAGAGGTGCAGGAGTCCCACATGGTCACAGAAGAAGAGTTAGAGCTGATCGAGCATGGGAATGCGGAAAAACTTCTAGGCATCGGAGCAGTGGCATGGTCAACCTGACGTAGCATACTTCAAAACTCGTTTCATTACTTCAGAGATGAAAGAGCCTCTTCTAGCTTCGTTACTTCTCGAACTTCGATTTTACCGGTTCCTGTGTCTGCATCCCAGGAGTGCTGCCTTCTAATTTCCTACTTGCGGTTCTCTCCTCCTCGTCACTTGTGCCATTATCGGCTGTAGCGACTTGGTGACTAGGTACCGTCTACACGAGAGCACTACTCGCGGCTTAGCCAAAGTCAACTCATACCGAGTCAGTAGCTGAATCAATAGCATCTTCATTTCCAAGAGGGCGATATTTTTCCCCAGGCAAGACCGCGGTCCTGTACTGAACTGTAATGCAATTTTGATCAGTCGTCTGTCTTGTCGAAGCTGCAGATGGAACATACCCCTAGGAAGCACCGCTCCATGTCCTCCGTCTTGTCAAGTAGCCATCTATCGGGGTTGAAGATGCCAGGCTGCTGAAAGACGCGCTCATCCATGTGAACCGCATCATGCATCACGCATATGATAGTGCCTTCGGGAATATGCTGCTTCGAAATCTCAACGCCACCGGTAGGGGAGACACGAGGCATCGGCCCGCCAAAAGGGGCGTTCAGGCGCATGGCTTCCTTGACGCAGGCGTCGAGGTAAGGCAGTACTAGCACATCTTTGACAGCTAGCGTTTTGTTGGAGATAGCATTATCCAGTTCTGCAGTCAACTTTTGGAGCACAGGGGAATTGCTTAACAGGTAATACAGGACCGAAGTTAAAGCAATGGTCAAGGTGTCCGATCCAGCAACACTAGCGACAGAAACGATCAGATGTGATTGCATGCTTCGACTCGTGGGAATGCATGACTTACACGTTCGTGGAGGCGTTTGTGGCGAGGTCTGGAAGCTTGATACTGTCGCCTGTCTCCGGGTCCTTTGCGTCCAGTAACGCGCTGAGTATGTCAGGTCGCCCATCACTGCCCTGGTCGATGAACTTGTTCCATCGACTAGAAACTAGGGACCTCGTTTTCTGGAGACATGCGATCAGTCATATCCGTACATTCTGTAATCCTTGGTACATCAATACCCCTCTCACGTACTCAAAACCGGCTGTGGAACCGGCGAGGCCTGGGAGCCTCCATCGCGCCAAGAAGCGGCGCAGTGGCCGAAGAAAAGGAGGCAAAGAAATAGCTACCACATTTCGCCATGTTGTCAGCATCTATGTGACGGAGGTTGTGATAGCGGACTGTACCACGAAAGTGTACTCAATGCCCTCCGAAATCTGACTTGCGAACTCGCCTTCAGATCCACGGGCCAGCATGTCAAAGGTCTCACCAAAAGCCAGGTCTCCAATCACATCGAATGCGTAATATCGAAACCACTCACAGAGATCGATTGGAATTCCCGACGCTGCGTATGTCTCAAACACTTGCAAGAGCCGGTCTACGTTTGAGCTGATGAGGCCTTCCATCTTCGCGATATTGTTCATGCTGTACGCCTGGGCAGCGATCCGACGTTTGCGAGTATGTGCCTGTTTATCGATCTCACTGAACACGGAGGGTGTATGGAACACAAGCGCTCTGTAGTCGGACGACTTTGCCAGGTGATTTGAGCCATAGCCTAGGACTTTTGTGATTGCTTCAGGGGTGCGAGCAAGGACAGTGTTGGGAGATACGCAGACGACATCGACGTATTTCTCGTGAGCTTGGAGCACGGCTTTTTGGAGGGTATCTCTGAAAGCGTGATAGGCAATCCACCCAGGAATGACCTTGCACGGTAACGGTCCTGGGATGCTTCGTAACGGACCGGAAAGCAGGCGGTTACCAATATAGGCCATGAGAAGCCCCTAAATGGATCAGTTCGTCATTCCATGTCTAAAGTGGCAGACTGATACCGACCGCAGCAGCGAGTGACAGCACCAACGGGAGGCTACGATGGCTCAACTCGGGCAAGTGAGGCATTTGCACGGTGAAATCGCAATAGGAGAAGTCCTTGACGAGAACTACATGAGTGAGCGAGATCATCTAATAGTAATACACTTACTCTACTGGGCGAGTACGGCGGATACGAACATGTCGCAGCTACAGCCACACCGATGCCAGCGTTGTCCTAACGGGGATATCACGGATCAGTCTCCGTGGTGATAAGCCCGTCATGAGCATTAGCTTTCTGTACCCCAGACTGATTCACATGCCACGCGAAGCCATTCTAGGACGAACTATGGTATCTTACCTCATCAGCAATGTCCGTATCTTCGACGGCCTGGAACTTTACGATCGCCCTCATGCGGTCCACATCGCCGACGGCAAGATCCAATTCGTCGGCGACGAGGAACCCACTCACGTCGAAGACGATACAGTTCTCATCAACGGTGACGGGGGCACACTTCTACCAGGCTTTATCGATTTCTTATGTCCATGTCTTCCGGGGCGTGGAGGAAGCCAAGACAGCCTTGCAGTTTGGTGTGACGACTTTGCTCGACATGCACAATGTACCCGCCAACGCGAAGTATATGAAGGAGTTGAGTAAATCTTCTTCCGAGCTGCCGCAGATCTACGGTGCATTCTATGCAGCGACCATAGCCAACGGATGGCCTCGTGCAATCGTGCGTCATACGACCGACGATCCTGTGCTGCTTGCCAGCCTTGTGGATTATCCAGAGTTGTCGACGCCCGAGTCTGCCCGGGCATTCGTTGCGGCTAATAGGAAGGAAGGCGCAGAGTAAGTCATTCCAAAATCGTATGCGCATCCAGGAGTGGATCAATCGCCTGACAGACAGTCTGATTAGTTTCATCAAGCTGATGCAAGAGAGTGGAGACGCTCTCATACTCGAAGACCTCCCCGAACCGCGCATTGGTCTCTAGAAAGCTGTGATTGCAGAAGCTCGCCGATATGGCCTTCAGACGTTCGCACATGCAACAAGTCTACGCGAGACTATGCTAGTACTAGAAGCCGGTGTGAGCGCATTAGCTCACCAATTTTTTGACAAGCCACACGATGACGCCCTCGTCCAAGCATACAAGAAGAGTAATGCCTTTCTGGTACCCACGCTTGTCGCAATAAGTTCGATGATGGGCATGGAAACGACAAAGACGTGGATAGATAGTCGAGCACTCGATGCCCGGTTGCCGTCGCAGCTGCGGCAGGTCATGTGTGAATGCATGAGCATTGCACAGCCCACATGTAGAGCTGACTATGCATATGAGACCATTAAGAAGCTCAAATCAGAAGGCATCGATATCGTTTGGTAAGCTTTCCCCATACCTATCGCTCACGGACGGCCTCTGACGTATCGTAGCGGCACAGACTCCGGACCGAATATACATGGAACCGCTGCTGGACCTGCTCTTCATCTAGAACTCCAGCTATACGTGACGAAATGTGGGTTCTCCCCTGTTGAAGCGCTGAGAACGGCTACCGGCGTGTCGGCAAATCGTCTTGGTCTCAACGATCGAGGTCGAATCCTGCCTGGAAGAAGAGGCGACTGTCTTCTGGTCAAGGGTAATCCATGCAAAGACATCGATGACACTTTTAACATCAGTCATGTGTGGAAGGAAGGTGTGCTGTGCAAAAGCCAAGGTTTGGCACGCGTGGACAGCCGCTTCTAGCTTCAGAGCGGATTGATGCCATGGAAGATGTAGATGAAGATAACTAATGAATCAACCAGACGGAGCATATCCTTCGGTCGAGATTGTTGTTGTGAAAGGCTGCTCCATGTATGTAGGATTTTGAATTGGGAGCTCGAGGAGGAAGTGAAGTCGAAGCGGACGGGGACTTTCTTTCCTGTGATCGTGATGACGTCACTCGTTAGCCCTTTTCACAAGCACATGAGATCGAAGAAGAATAGAACAATCTTGTCAAAAGCAATTTGCAAGAGCAGATCCAGGAGATCCATCAGCCTGAATTGAATGCGATCATTCTCAACAACAGCCTCCAAGATGTCGAAGAGAGTAAGTTACCCAGCCCTGGATCCAGTCACTCTAAGCCGCTGACCTCGATATCGATCTCCTTCAAAGTCGAGGGCGTCGTCCAGGGCGTCAACTTTCGAGCCTGGTCGATGGACAAAGCAAACGGACTCAATGTCACGGGCTTCTGCAAGAACGCAGATGATGGCTCTGTATGTTTCTTCCCCTGTTTTCGGCAACGGAGTTCTGAGAGACGACGAGGTCATTGGTGAGGCTCAAGGCTCTGAGAGCTCGCTGGACAAATTCGTGCAGCATTTGAATATGGGTCCAACGCATGCCAAAGTCAGCAAAGTCGACCAGAAAGATGTCGACACCAAGGAGGGCGAGTCGAAATTCGAACAGTAAGTTGAAAGGCCTTTCAATGATGGCCAAGACCGACGAGCTGACCATGTAAGTGCAGGATAAGGAGATGAAGATGACGATAGTGATGGCATATGAGCAGGAATGAGAGAAATGAGTCGTGCCAATGGACGCCTTATTCCCGGGTCCAACTTGAAGACTGCCAAAGATAGTCCATGTTTGAGGTATGGCACAGCGAGATGACACGCCCTGCAAGACGTACCCCTACCTCAGCCCTAAGCACATGGGATCGAGCAGAGCCTCAAAATTCTCGTCGATGGAGAAGAAATGTCTTGGAAGTGGCGCATGACTGCCCAGAATCCGAAGTATCCCGTTCTCGCGATGGATCGGAGCGTCACGTGCGCTCCTCTCAATCCGTTCCTTTGAGTGTTACGTCGCGTAGAAGGCGAGGATTTTTGATGTTGATGCAACTGCACAGTAAGGCACATGGGTAGCTGCGTAGTCATCCGAGTAGGTTGAGATGGTTGTCGAAGCAGAGAGCTCGAAGGAGCAAAAGCAGACGCCATGCAAGCAGCCACAGCGCTGACAAACAGGGACAAAACGGATAGGCAAGGGCTTGGACCGGCCAATTTCAGGGGTTCCGATTGGCTGTGTCGGGAGGCTTGCTGAACATCCTTGGACGTCAGCCCTGAAGCTCGCTGTTGTGACTGTTTGGTTTCGACTGTTTACGAACCATCCACGTTCCGCAAACTCGCGCTGCCGCGTCTCCATGGCTGAACAGAGGGCTGAGGCATGAGCCAAACTAAGAGTAAGCTGAAGTTTTTCGCATTTTCATGTGTCTGTCCGCTTTCATATAAAGCCCGTGTTAGCCTCAGTCCCCATTGTCCGGTTCTTTCCTCTGCTCTCCAGACAACAAAGAAAGAACCACAAGACATCACTGCAGGATCAATCCACCTACCTACACATCACACCACCACCGACCTCGAATCGACATCGTCACGCAACATCCGATCGATCGTCGACACCCATGAATTGCACGAGAACACTCAGTACAAGCAACATCCTACCGAAGCAGTCCGCTGCTCAGGTCCTCAAGGTCCTCAATGGCTCCGGTGCGGTGACCTTCTCCAGACCCGCCTTCGTGGGCTTGCAGCAGCAATGGGCCGCCCGCCAGTTCAGCACCACCAAGCCTTCTAACTGGAAAGAATTCTTTCCTGCCAAAGATACGCCTGCCATTAGAGAGACGCCGCCAGCATGGCCTCATCCTGTCTACACGGAAGAGCAGATGAAGCAGGTGGAGATCGCACACCGAGAAGCCAAGTCCATGTCCGACAAGGTGGCCGTGGCATTCGTGCGGACACTGCGGTTTGGTCTAGATCTCGCCTCAGGCTACCGCCATGGCAACGGCAAGATGACGGAGCGGAGGTACATGATTCGGAATATCTTCTTGGAATCTGTCGCAGGCGTGCCCGGAATCGTGGCGGGTATGCTGAGGCATTTGCACAGTATGAGGAAGATGAAGCGAGATAATGGCTGGATGGAGAGTCTGCTGGAGGAGTCGTACAACGAGCGCATGCATCTTCTTACGTTCTTGAAGATGGCGGAACCTGGATGGTTCATGCGGTTGATGGTGCTCGGTAAGTCCTCAAGACATTTTGCCCAACTATCTGCAAGCTAACACATCCGACCAGGCGCCCAAGGTGTCTTCTTCAACGCCTTCTTCCTGGCCTACATCGTGTCTCCACGAACCTGTCACCGCTTCGTTGGCTACCTCGAAGAAGAAGCCGTACTCACCTACACCCGCGAGATCGAAGACATCGATGCCGGTCGTCTCCCCATGTGGGAGAAGATGCAAGCGCCCGACATCGCCATCAAGTACTGGAACATGCCCGAAGGCAAGCGGACGATGCGAGACCTGCTCCTCTACATTCGTGCCGATGAATCGAAGCACCGAGAAGTCAACCACACGTTGGGCAACCTCGATCAGAACAACGACCCCAACCCCTACGTCTCGAAATACAAGGACGAGTCGCAACCGCATCCTGGCAAAGATCTGAAGCACCAGAAGCCAACGGGATGGGACCGCGAGGAGGTTATTGGGAAGCTTTGAGATCAGTTTTGAAGCTCTGTCTTTCCTTTGAGTTTTGTTGATGCTGTGGCGTTCGAGCGACTTGTCCTAGATTATACCATCTCTCTACTCTCCATAAGGCGCAGGAAGGGCTGAGACTACGAGACCGAAGTAGTACTATTGAAAGGCATCAAGACTTTTCCGCGATGTTTGCACATCTTTCAGCGTCGACATAACGAACGACCCACACCCTTTCCTCTATTCATCGAACCCTCACTCCATGCCTGTCCTCCGGGCCATTCCAAGCTCGAATCAACCCATCACGTGCCCGCAAGGCAGGGTGAGCCAGCACATGCAAGTCCACTCACATGTGCTGTGCTGGACATGTGAAGGTCGGCGGCTTCCGAGTTAAAAGCGCCACTTTTGACACGTCATCTCTCTTTCTTGCACACAACTCTTCCACGACCTCGACAACAAATCCACAGGCCTTCACAACTCTTCACAACTCTTCACAACTCTTCACAACTCTTCACAACTCTTCACAACTCTTCACAATTCTTCACAACTCTTCACAACTCTTCACAACTCTTCACAACTCTTCACAACCCTCTTCTTCGTCAACATGGGCGACAACATGGAAGGCGATACCGCGGCTGCAAAGGCATTTGCCGCCCATGCACGCAACCTCCTCACCGACGGCCTCCGCAAGGACTTCCCCCACATGGATCTGATGGATGTCGATCGGACTGTCAATCGTGCCGTCCAGGAGATTGCGAATGGACTTGAGCAAGCGTGAGTTCTCGCAGTCGACATGCTTTCGACGATCTTACAAGCTAACACGGGACGTCGCAGCAAACCACAGATGAGAGCAAGTAAATCCAAGAGCGGCTTCTTCTCCCTGCCACCTGAGATCCGCAATGACATCTATAACCTGGTCTTCCCCGCAAGCGACTCGAACCCGACTGTGACGTTCAAGGAGCCGAAGAACGTGGGTAAGAAGGCCAAAAACGCTGTCATCGCCGACTTCGCCTTCCCGAAATTTCTGCATGCCTCGCGGCAGATCCGCAACGAGGCCATGCCCATCTTTCTGAGCAGCCTATGTGTGAGGGTGCTTGCGGCACTGTACCTGAATGGATCAGAAGTGTCTACAGCGCGATGCGAGAAGGACCAAGCTCCGCTTTCCATGACCTGGATCGCAGGCCTTGGCAAGGAGCACGCAAAGATGATCAAGAAGTTTACTACATTCGTGGACGCGCTTCAGTTCGGACGTCGACGAGAGACTCCTCTCAGCCTCGAACTGCGAGGGACCAACGGGGAGATACTGGAGGATTTGGGATTCAGCGAACTCGGGATGCGGAAAGAGGCGATGGGTCTTTCTTTTCCGACTACTTTCGGATCCAGCTTGAAGGTCGGGTGGAAGTCGCGTACGGATGAGGTACGGATTACTAGAGTAGCTCGCTAAGGAGGACCTGCTATAGGAGTGCATGTATGCGTCAAGATGGCGTTGCTGAGACGGACCATTGACTACCTCCAGTGGGGTACCGCCGTTCCTAGTAGCAGTTTGTGCACTAGAGGTAGTTCGATACTGTATGACATCGAAAGCAGCTGTGACACATTGTTTGCAATTGCATTGATGAAACAAGACTTAAAAAGGAATGATTCGAAGTCTGTTTAATTACGGCTATGCATTATGATTAGAGATTGCTGCCTCGCAGGCAGGTGAATACATGTGATTCTTGGCACACGCTAGAGGCTTAGTCACTAGTTTGCTTCCCGCTTTCCGCCGCCGTCGCCGCTGGAGCCTTTATCTACCACTCGCCAGTATGATCTCACCTCAAACCACGCGACAAATAGCACGTCCGTCTACAGAATCATGGATGACGACGACGACACCAAGTCCTCGAAGGCGCTCCTCGCAGACACTCGCACATCTCTCACGGAGGACCTTCGCTATCAGTTTCCCTTCATGAGGACATCACTCATGAATGAGGCGGTCGAGGCGACTCTTACAGCACTGCAGCAGAAGGTCGAAGAAGCGTAAGTCGTCCGACCGAGTCCCACTCGAGTCGCAGCACTAACGACCAACGCAACAGCAAGCCACAAATCACCGCAAGCAAAGCCCGCTCCAGCTTCTTCTCCCTCCCAGCTGAACTCCGCACCTACATCTACGACCTCTCCTTCGCACCCACCGACCAAGGCACCTACCACGCCGTCTTGGACGAGTCCCGCTACCCCCTGAAGCGAAGAGGATGCTACCGCGCGACGGGCTCGGGACCCTACCAGACAGCCGGCCCAGACCCCCGCGTGGGATTCCCGGCATTGCTGCATGCGTCCCGACAAGTTCGCGCCGAGGCGATGCCTGTCTTCTTGAGGAATCTGACGGTCCTCGTGGCGTCTGACCGATTGGAGGATTGGGATTCTCACGATGATGTGGTTGTTGCGAGGGCCTGGTTGCGGGGACTGGGTCCGAAGTACGTCAAGCTGGTCAAGAAGTTTGTGCTGTCGCCCGTCACTGCTGGAGGAGTACCTGATAAGAGTAGACTCTGGGAGATGTTTGGCTTTGGGGGACTGGGGTTGCGGGAGGACGCGGTTGAGGTGAGCGTCTTGCATATGGTTTTTTGCGAGCAGTTGATGCTGGAGAACACATGAAGGGGTCGGCGATCGGTTGGCATGTTGTGCATGCATTGAGAATGGAGCGAAGAAGTCTTCGTGGCGGGACGAGGTGCAGACGGATAAGAAATGGAGGTTGAGTGGCAACACATTTTGATGCGTCACACAAGACAGTAGTGCCAACAGGCATGTCAATTGTGCGTCGACATAGTCACGGCGAAAGAGACAGCGAGTTAATTCTCTTCCTCGACTGCTCTCTAAACAATCTTCAGCGTATTATCCGCCCCAAAAGTAATATTCGCCGTCCTCATCGTCCGATTGATATAACTCGCATCAATCCCATTACTATCCTCCCCATTCGGATCAGACATGAACGTCATCATCGTCTGCACCTCATAAGGTCGCGGGAAACACGGACCGCCCGGCCCATACACCGCCTGTCCATTGAGGGTACCCGTAGCAATCAGTGGTTTGGAATTGGGCACGTATTGCTTGCCGCTCGGAGGGATGAGAGCGTTTGTTGGAGCGACGGCGTACTCGATTTGGTAGGTTGTGTTTTCGAAGTTGCCGGTTACGTAGAGGAGGATGGGGTGGTTGTCGGCTTCTGGGTTGAGGATCATAGCGCCGCCTTCCACGGTGTAGTCGCCGTTGTTGCCTGCGAGGAGCGTGGTCGTGCTGCCGACGAGACTCAGGCCGTCTGCGCTTAGCTGGGTGACCTGGATTTGCGAGTCTTGGACGGAGGTTTGGCGTTTCCAGAGGATGTATGGGGTCCCCTTGTATGTGAATGGGTAGGAAGCAATGTACTGCACACCTTGGGCTGCGCCGCACATGAGAGCATCTGTTGCTGGGGTGTATGTGCCCAAGACGGTAGTCGATGTCGCGGTACCGATACAGTGCCTAATCTCGCCATTCGGGCCATTGACCTTTGACTGAGCTGCGTAGTAAAGGACGTAGTGGCTGGCATTGTAAACATGCAGCATTGGATCCCAGACATAAGGATTTGTTGTAGGCCAGGGAGGGCCGTTGGGCAGGACGACAGCCGAGCTGTACTCCCAACCAGAAGAGAAGGATCTCGAAGTGGCAACAGGAATGTGCACATTTGGTTCAGTGCCTCTGTCCTGCTTGTACGTTGCGAATCCGTAATAGACGCCTTGCCAGTAGGTTGTGCGTGGGTCTGCAAATCCGCCAGAGAGGACGAAACCAGAGGGGTTTGTCACTGCGAGTGATTGCTGAAAGAAGAGCCAAGATGTGAGAAGAGTGCTGGTGATGGAAGCCATGATTGTGAATACGACCTAAAACAAAGGTGAGCAACGAATGATTTCCGTCCTGGAAAAACAACAAGAACGCCACTTTTATACAAGCTCCTACGCATTTCAGCTGAGGGACTAAGGTATGATGATGAAGTCGTATTCATAGTTCTTCGCAAAGCTAGCCAAAGGTGCCCTATTTGTGAATAATAGAATTGTGTAGGACTGCTGGACTGCCGTAAAGTCCGTCTTGCAGTGCTTTGATCGCGGCAGGATGGCCATGTGCTGCATTGGGTCATGCCCGTGTTGTGTGGTCGTGGTGACATTCGTAGATGCGGTGCCTGATCCTGCATATGGTGAGCTTGGGGCATAGACGCTGCTTACACTGCGGCAGTCTGTGGACGAGCACTCTTTGATGATGGATTCTTCCTTGTCCGCAACTTCAGAAGAATACAGTCTGTCCCGCTGCCGGCCAAGCTGAGCATGCGAAGGTGCAGGAGTGCAGACACGCGAAGTCTCTGATGGACAAAAGACTTTCAGCACGTCCTCAGGGTGCGGCGTTCCGGCAGATCAGGTCTTGTTTTGAGTGCGAGGGTTCAGGAGAAGTGAGTTGGATTGGCTTTCCATCCACGTCATGCAGGAAGCAAGGAGAGTCAGAATACTGCTCTATAAGAATGTCAAAGAGTCTGCCTTCGATATTGATGATGAGATGAAGTCGATGGAAACTGTCGATGCTGAGATCTTGTGAGGTCGTGTGTCCGGTTCGCGATCATCTCGGCCCGCTCTGGAGATTGACGCGACCCTGGCGCGTGTCCAGACTTTTTTGGTTTCCCTGGGGCAATCATTAACGGCCGACGTTGAGTTTACCGCCCCTTTCAACACCAAACACCTCGACTCGCCAGGCCTGGCCCGCCGCCGCACCGCTGCCGTCCCAAACAACACTGACAACATCAACAACAACACTGGGGACACTTCTAATCACCACAATTGCTAGGACTGGGCAGTCGTTGGACATAGTCGCGCGAGTCAGGCAGCGCTGTCACAAGCAAACAACCCCAGGACCCGGAAGCCGACCTCAGGGGGCTGCCAGCTCATCCCTGCGACCACCACGCTTCAGAACACCTCTGTGCCACTGTCTTTACGAGAAGGCGGCTTGCCATTTCGCGACGACGAGGTCTCTCAAATGGCAGACATCACGCCGAGCCCGCCTGCCAGCGCCATCACCTCGCCCGAGCAGAGGGCCGGCTCTCCATCCCCGAGCATAACACCTTCACTCGCCCTCGATGCAGTCCCGCAACTCATACTGGATCGTTCAGTCTCCACACCTTCCAGCACCGGCTCGACACTCTCGACGCGGTCTAGAAACTCGCGACTCTCCGATGGCGCAGCAACCGTTGTGCGAAGAAGAGGCTACATGCGTCCGCAAGGGACAGCATTCGCCGAGTCTGCACGCAATAGAGACAGTGTGATGAGCTTGGGGAGCATTGCTCATATGCAGTACTACTTTGCAAGGACGGGACTGTTGGATGGCAAGGGTGCACAATTGGCGAAAGAGCAGCGCAAGAAGAGCTCCACTGGTGACAAGGAGAACGTACAACCAGCACTCACGGGCAGCTCTCTCGATGAGTTCAACATTGGGTCACTCTCGTTGCATGACAGCACATCTTCGTATGCCATCTCGGATTCTGGTGCCGACCACAGTGTCGTTGAGAGCCCGACAGAGATGCATCTCAACGGTGATTCCTGGGTTGATCCATCCGATCCAATCATGCTGCCACCAACCGTCAGCACATACAAGGTGAAGCCAGAGTTCACAGAGCCTTTGCCAGACATGCCGGTTCTCAGGAGGGAACTCAAGGAAGCATTGCAAGATGCATGCAAGGTCCTTGAGGAATCGCAAAAGCCGGAGCACGCCCAGAACAACACCGAGGACAGTGCCTTTTACGAGATCCAGGGATTGCATCTCTTGGATATCATCACCCTGGCTATTCGAGCGGCGAAGAACTACTACACCGCACACAACAACCCGCAGAAGCTGTACGCCCTCAAGTCGGAGAAAGACATTCGATCGGATCTCTACCAAGTCTTGGATATCCTGAAGCGAATGGCAAGTCGCAACTTTCGTGGAGGAGTTCGGTTGGATGAATTGACCGCCATCATCATCTGGATTGAAAGCATCGACAAGTTGATCAAGACGGAAGAAGTGCAGGAACAGCAAGAAGCTGCCGAGCGCGAATCGTGGATCTGGAGAGAAGGCGACTGGACTGGCCGGGAGCGGGAACGCGAATGGTTGTTCATGAAGTCGTTCGATGGAAGTGAGCCGGTATTGCCGCAGTGGCCAGAGGCGAGTGAGGATCAGACGCTACCGAACGAATTCTTGAAAGCTCTGCAAGACGGACAGCGCTTGGTGAAGCTGCACAACGCCCTGGTCGCTCGCTCAAAACGGAAGTTCCACGAGATCAAAGATTGGCACACCGACGTTGCTAAGCCGTATCGCATGGCGGACAATCTGAGATATTGGGCGAAAGCTGCGGAACTGCGATGGGATGTAGCCATCACAATACCGGCACTTGACATCGTCAACGGCAAGGATGACGCTTGGAAGAAGTTCGACGACGCCATCTTGATCTGGTGTCAAGGTGTGCGAACTGAGTTGACGGAAGAATGGAGGCAAGAAGCGCAAAGCCAGGAACGCAAACGAGCGCCTGAATTGAGGGTTGAAGTGCCCGAGGAAGGCAAAGAAGAGGAACAGAAACCCGATGAAGCGAAAGTAGCAGAAGAAGCTGCTTGAGAAAGAGAGAGGATGTGTGACGGCCGAAACCCCCCACCACAAATTGTCTGTTTTGAATGATACCCTGTGAGAGCCCTGTTGTTGAGTGGATGTGTTTCTAGGACACTTTTGCTGTTAGCTTTCGGCCCTCTGCCATGTAAATTCAGTTCATTGAATCGTCGAGTGATTATTGTCCTCACTGTCAAGGTTTGGTGGTTGTTGGTGATGCTCACTCGATCAAACTGCACTGCATTGCCGTTTAAGACGTCTATTTATGTATTGCCCATCGTGAGATCGGATTCCCGGCTGATACCCGATCACGCCCGCCAGCGCATCCCTGTCGACTGGCGCACAGTGACGGCTAGCGGACGGCGAGGTGAAACGGGCGTCCAGAAAGCAGCTTGGTGGCCGTCCTGGACGCGCTTCGAGCCTGCAGGAAACCCTCAGGAACAGCGTCTGACAACGCGTCGAGAGCAATCAGTGGCGGAGAAGCTCAGAGCTGTCACCCGTTGTTACACGCCTCGCGGTGTGGATTGTCTGGCCCCAAGGCGGAGGAGAGCGAATGTCGTGTGGATGACACAACAGCCACGTACGGTGTAAGTCGGGCCTGGATGTTATATGCAGCAGGCGATCCCTTGAGTCGGTCGACGTGGTGGTTGTTTGTTGTGCAAGGCAGACGCGTTTGTCGAGTAAATAGTGCGGGACTGACTCGCAATGGCAGCTCTCCCACTCCACGACAACCAGCATATGCCCGCCGACCCCTACCACACTCGTCACTCCCCGTCCCACCGCGCCCACGCCTCCAACAATATCGCAGCGGAGCCCGTCTATACCGTCCCGCTACCAAATTTCGCAGACTGGGTTCGCTCATCGGCAGAGACAACCACGCCGTCCTCCTCCTCCCCGAGGCCCGCCAAGCGACTGGCACCCGGACTCGAGCTGCGTTTGCGACGCCTCGAGGAACAGAGACGTCGCAAGGACGCAGAGGCCCGTCGCAAACAGAGCATTGGCCGTATCCCGGACGAGCAGCTCGCGGAGCTCGAGCGATTGCAGCGGGAAGGGGCCGTCATCGAGGTCCAGCGGAGGGGGACAACCTGGACAGGTCCGCCCGTGAGAGTCTCAGGAATGCCAGCGGGCGGCGTCCGACTTAGCGGTGGCCCTGTGCTCACGGACAATGAGGCTTCCATGCTGGAGAGCGACGTCTCTTCGATCATAGACATTAGCGACAATCTGGTCCCCTCCGATACCGAGGACGACCGCGACGAATTGCAGGACAACCACAAGTATCGCATGCCGGATATTGGCAAGACGCGATTGCACTTGCATACCAAGGAAACACTGAGTCCAGGACCCAAACAACCTCGGATACGACAGAATAGCAGCTCGACCCCGACTACACCTCGCACGAACCCAAACGGAGCCTCGCCTGGCAGGATGGACTTCCCGCCCAACTGGCACAGCCGCAACATGAGCGTGGACAGCGTCAATGAGGATGGATTTTTCCCGAGCCTGTCACGAGCAGGCTCGATCCATACACTGGGGCGAGCAAGTTTTACAGGCCAATTGGCGCAGCTGACTGCCATGCGACTGCCCGATGCCGACTCCCTGGCCAAGAGGATATCTTCCATGCCCACGGCAACTGAGGCTGCCAAGGCACTGTCAGATGCGTCTGAGCAGATTCGACTCTGGATCAGCAAGGCATCGGATGTGCTGGAGGGGTTGAATGCCGAGGATGATGTTGAGTGGGCTGCAGCTGGTGGTAGGGAGGGCATTGAGGATGTGGATCAGGCTATTAACCGGTTTCAACAACTCATCGAGGTGTACATCCTATCGATCGAGCGACTTCAGACACGAGACGACGTTGCGTTGCTATCCGCAGACGAGATCAAGAGCAGCGTGGGGCAGATGGAGACGATCATTGCAAGCTGGAAGAAGATCAAAGATACACTTAAAGGTGTGAAAGAGCAGGTTGAGATCGCAATGGAGTGGGAAGAGCTATGGAACAAAGTTCTAGGAGAGATTGCCCAAGAGGTGGAGGCTCTGAACCGACTGGTATTTGAAATGGAGGAGAAGCGTCACCAAGGGGCGGAGAGTTTGCTTACATCCAGAGACAGCATAGACATCAGCGAGCTCGAGACGATTATAGAAGAGCAACCTGGAAGAGCAAAACCTACGCTCGCCAATCGCCTCAGCTTATCAACACAATCGGTCGAGTCACCACTACGGACACCTCCACCTGTGGCCGACAAGGAGAATGGCAGCCTGCTAGCACTCTTCGCACGGATGCAACCTTTGAGAGCCTCGCTGGACTTCCTCCCTATCCGACTTACCGCATTTCACGTTCGGGGGAATGTTATCTTTCCGAGCGCGAGCGTAGATCTGGAGCAACGGCGGGAGCAACTGGAGGGCCAATGGAAGAAGCTAGAAGCCGACGGCGAGTCACTGAGGCGAGAATTGGGAGAGGATAGATGGATACTGGTCTTTCGGAATGCTGGACGACAAGCAATGAAGATGTGCGAGTCGATCACTCGAAGTTTCCAAAAGCTGAAGGACGCCATCGACTCCAATGAGCAGCAGACCAACCCGTCTTCGGTGACTAACAAAGTGGAGAACTATGAGCAGAAGAAGAGACATTACGGACCTGCCATCGAGCGCGTGCTCGCGATCATCGACCGTGGCGTGATGGACCGGCTTACCGTCAATGGTGAAATATTGCGGTTGCAGAGTGACATGAAGCGTCGATGGACTTCCCTCCAGCTCGAGATGGCTGATATGGATCGGGTCATTGAGGAACTGAATTGCGAGCGGCGCGATCAGCATTTGCGGGACTCGGTCTCGACAGTCATATCCAGCGAACGATCTCTGGGAAGCAGCATGGTTGACACACCAGGAAGCTCCCCTGCCAGCAGCATAGTGGGAAGTAGGAAAGGCAGCTTCGGGTCCAGAACGCCAACACCTCTCACAAACATCAAGACAAGGAGCAGCAGCACCAATCCCAAGAATCGGGCCCTATCAAGCTCACTACCTCGAAGGAGCTTACTTCCCAAGGCCTCGATATCCAACCTTCACTCACCCAGCCCCAAATCCTCGCCGTCATCGATACCCACGCCGTCGAAACAAGCGATGTGGCCCAGCAGGCCTGAGCCTGAACTGCCGAGCAACAAGTCTCGATGGGTCAGTCTCGCAAAGGCGCAATCTCGCGACTATCGCCCACTGTCGGCTTACGAGCCATCGCCGTACGCGAAGACTCCAGTGACGCCCAAAACCAACTTCCTTCGAGCGACGTCGAAATTGAGCGATACGCCCGTGAACCGAACACCAGTCCCACGCATCGTCAGTGAACCGAATCCTCCATCCTCGATCCCTCGACCGACTTCAGTCATGGGCACTAGCAGAAAATCATCACTGCCTGTGCCGTCAGGTACACCGTCAAAATCGAGGCCTTTAGCACACAAGCAGTCAGCACCGGCTTTGCGAACAGCTTCCCGTTTCGCCAGTGGTAGAAGAAGCAGCATGATGCCGGTACCGCCGAAGTTCACGGATGGGAACGATGCGGATACCGAGACGCCCGCCCACCACAAGAGACCCCCTAGTTCTCTCGGCGGCGGCAGGAGGAGTAGTATGCTGCCTCCGCGGGCGACAAGCAGGATGGACAACACTGCTGCTGACGACGGCAAGCCCAAGTGGCGTCCATGAAGAGGAGTGATATTTGAATTTGGCTTTCTTTGTGGATCATCGAGCGTTGTAATGAGAGTTGTTCAGCGTTGCATGGAAGAGCATTTGGTAGGCGTTGGGGTGAATGTGGACAGGAAAGAGTGGGCTGGGATCAAATTTTAGGAGATGCTGTTTCTTGAGAGATATACCCATACAGAATAGCAGTGCTTTGTCTGATCTTGTTTGCTTCTCATCACATGTGAAGTCTTGAGGTGTGTTTGGGGCGTGACAACGCGCTTTAGCGTGAGTTTAAAGTTTCGAGACTTTTGACTCAGTCTTCGAAATTCTTGCCGCCGCTGCTGCTTCTCAACAATCATCATATTTTTCGGCAAGATATTGATGAGATTGCATGGACTGTTCGACCGACTAATTCTAAATACACGGCAATCAGTCTTCACTCGCAGATGCAAGTCCCTTCTTACCGCGACCATGGAGACCCGAACGCTACCAGTTGACGCCAGCAAACTCGGCAAAGTAATAGCGACCCCATTACCAGACGACATTCTCGACGAACTCGACATCGAATTATCACTCGACTCACAAGACGCGCGACACCTCAAGGATGCAGCCGAGAAGCTCAGGACTTCAGACGTACCTGTAGCATTTCCTACAGAGACGGTCTATGGCCTAGGCGCGGATGCCTCGAGGAGCGATGCTGTCAAGGGGATTTATAAAGCTAAGCACAGACCTGCTGATAATCCGCTGATTGTGCATTTTGCGAGTCTGAGGCAATTGAGGGCATTACTGAGGGGTCGTGAGACTGAAGGTGGGAATGCATCGAATGGGAGTCAAGAAGAAGAAGAAGATCCCATACCGCGGATTTACAGACCTTTGATCTCGAAGTTCTGGCCTGGACCATTGACAATTCTGCTCCCGAATCCATCAAATTCGCCCCTCGCGCCGGAGGTCACGGCGGGATTGAAGACTTTCGGCGCGAGGATCCCACGACATGTCCTTGCGTTGGCGTTGATAAAGACGGCGGATGTACCTGTCGCGGCGCCGTCGGCGAATGCGTCGACGAAGCCTTCTCCTACGGCCGCGGAGCATGTGGCATTCGATCTGGATGGGAGAATAGAGACGATTCTGGATGGTGGGCCTTGCGATGTTGGGGTTGAGAGTACGGTTGTTGATGGGTTGTCTGAGCCTCCGCTTATACTGAGGCCGGGAGGTGTTAGTCTGGAACAGATTCGATCGTGTCCTGGTTGGGAGGGTACGCAGATTGGGTATAAGAATATGGCGGAGAGTGGCAGTCAACCGAAGGCGCCTGGGATGAAGTATCGGCATTATTCGCCTAAGGCTACGGTTGTGTTGTTTGAGCCGGGACAGGATGCGCCTTCGCTTAAGGATTTGAGAAGTCAAGCTGGAGAAAGGTTGAGAGTTGGGGTCATTCGGACGAGGAACTGGAGGATCGATCCGAGTGCTACACCACTCATCTCGAACGACACCTCACGACATCCAACGAACATGACTAACGGCGTCCACCACGACCATATCCCAGGATTCGCAGGAATGCTGCAAAGCGCGCAGGCTTCCAGGAGAGCCAAGTCCGAAACCACAACCCACGACGTCGATCTGGAGGGAGTGAAACTACAGATCCTAGATCTTAATCTCGGTCCAGATACGGCAGACATTGCACGAGGGATATTCTCGGCTCTACGAGATCTGGACAGGAAAGACGTCGATGCCATCTTCGTGGAAGGAATCGACGAGGACGAAGGCGATATTGCGGCTGCACTGATGAATCGACTTCGGAAGGCTGCGGAGGTAAGAGTGGGGAGTTGAAGAAGAGCATCAGTCTCTCACGGTATCTTCACACGCCTACTGTTTGCAATACCACGGCACCGGAAAAGGCCAATCGATCTAATGATTAAGATCGCGTATCTGCCCAATCAAATTCAATCAAGATCCTCGGCCTACGGGCCGGCTAATCGGTGGACCTGCAGATGGACCGCTGGACCAAGGGCCAAACTCATGACGTGAAATAATGCAACTCATCTCCTTGCTACCCACGACATGTTCCTGTAGAGAACGGGGTCATTCACAAAGCCGAACAGCAGCCTTTTGACCCGCTGTGCTCTTCATGAACTCGACATCAGCAGACACTATCAGACAACAGGACAAGCCAGACATTCCATTTCGATGGGGTCCATCCAGAATGACGACAACAAGAAAGAACTCACCATCCTGGTGACCGGCTTTGGTCCTTTTCAGGAGAAATACCCGGTGAATCCTTCGTACGAGATCACAAGACTGCTGCCAGACTACTTACCGGCAACATCGCCACACGAGTCGGCTGTCCGGATCATCTCGTACGGCACGCCCATCCGAGTGGTCTATGACGGCGTCCGTGAACTTGTACCGAAGCTTCACGATGCGTATGCCGGAATGGTAGACCTGGTCCTGCACATCGGCATGGCATCAGGACGGAAGTTCTACTGTGCCGAACGGTATGGACATCGAGATGGATACATCAAGAATAAGGACCTCGATGGAAACATGCCGTCTCCGGAAGAAGGGAAAATCACGTTTGGGGATTGTCCGGAAACGATGACGACGTCTCTCGACTTTGAATCCGTGCTCCTGAACTGGCAAACGAATATCCTCGCGATTCCGGAGGGCCAGCCGGGTGCGCACGCGGATATCCGACCGAGTGAGGACGCGGGGAGGTATTTGTGCGATTATATCTATTTCAATTCGCTGGCGTATTTTGGAAGGAAGAGTGGTGAGATGGAGGGTGGGAGGGATTCGTCGAGGCCGGTGCTGTTCTTTCATGTTCCGGCTGAGAGCGATGAGGGGTCTTTGCAGAGGGGGCGGGCGGTTTGCGAGGCGTTGATTAGGGCGATGGCGGATTGTTATTCGAGGAGGATGGAGGAGAGGGTTGGGGTTGTTTGATGAACGAATCAGAGCATTTGTCTGGGGCGATTGGAGGAATTGGATAAGTACGAAAGAACGACAGACCACCACATATATCAAAGCTTGGACAAGACTCCTCCCCTTTTCCTTCCTTCACTCCCTCGCCTTCCTCCACATACACCAATGCCGTCCCTCCCTCTCGCCCCCAAACTCCCTCGCATCCAACCCAAAATCCCACACCTCCCCAAACCCGTACCGTTCGTACAACGCCCTCCCCTGCCCGCTCGACACCACAAACGCGGGAATTTTCATCTCATCCACCCAGTTCAGCCCATCCCTCAACAGCGCCGACCCGACCCCTTTCCCTTGCTGCTCCGGGTTCACGGCGAGGATGGTGAGTTCGACAAAGGGTTTCGGGAGGGAGGAGCGAGACCGGACCATGGCTGAGATTGCGGCGCGGCGGAGGGGGTTGTTTCTGTTTAGTTCGGGTGGTGCTGGATGCGCTTCTGCGGCGGCGAGGGTCTTCGCCACTTCAACCTCGACATCCCCCTCCCCTTCAGCATCAGCTTCGAATACCTCCCACCCCGAACATCCCAGCACCGCGCCCGTCTCCGCGTCTCTGGCGAGGTAGAGAAGGTTCGTTTTGGAGGGGGCATCGAAGGTTGCGAGGAGGTGGGCTTGCACTTGAGGGTCTTGGAGGCCGGTTGGGTAGATTAGGGGCATGAGCATGTCGGCTGAGGGGGGTGTGAAGGCGCTGGCGAAGGTGGTGATGTAGGTGGGTGTTTCGGTGGGGTGGAGGACGGGGGTGATTGTGATGGTGGGGGTGGGCATTGTTGGGGAGGGCATTGTTGGGGAGGGGTTTGCTTTGGGAGGAGGTGATTTTGGGGGTTCTGTTCTGTATTTTTGAGGAGATATATGTGGCCAGGAAGTGAGGCCAAGGAGAAGGATAAGGAAGAGGAGGAGAAATGGGATTCTGGACATAGAGATGGAAATAGAAAGGCGTCGTTGCACTAATCTCTGTTTCTTGCATAAGCGATTCCGCAAGACAGGCAGCCGTTCGCCGCCCATTTCAGCTCGTGTCCTTGTTCATGTTGGCGGCCGATATGCACTTTTCGGGGGGTGGTTGCGGAATTGACAGAAGTCGATGCTGTGGTCGATTTTTGACACAGTTTAGAGTTCTGCCAGGGTTGCCACTTTACGCGTGAGAGACGCGTTTCGTGACCGCACTTGCTTCTTGATGATGAGAGAGTAACTCGACTTCTTTGACATTGCAACACCACGTTCACGGCACATGGACTACTAGAATCGAACTTCGGATTATCAGAATACACAAGAAAAGATGGCCTCCCGCCCGGAGCTCAAGGTCGACGACGAGCCAGGTTTCGTCCGGGCCTACAACGACCTCGAGAAGAACAAGCCCAATGACACCATACGCATCTTCGACCGCGGCGACTTCATGTCCGCGCACGGAGAAGATGCCAAGTTCATCGCCAATGTCCAGTACCGGACGACCTCCGTGCTCAAGACCTTGGGAAGAAATCCGGGGCTCGACTCCGTGACCATGACCGTCACTGTCTTCCGCACATTCCTGAGAGAGGCGATTTTCAGATTGGGGAAGCGCGTCGAGGTCATGCAGTCGAATGCGAGGAATCAGTGGAAATTGGCGAAGCAGGCGTCGCCGGGGAATCTTCAGGATATTGAAGATGACTTGGGCGGGCATGTTGAGTCGGCGCCTATCATTCTGGCTGTCAAGGTCTCATCGAGGGCGAACGAAGCGCGGAACGTGGGTGTCTGCTTTGCGGATGCTAGTGTGCGAGAACTGGGCGTCACCGAATTCGTGGACAACGACATCTACTCGAATTTCGAGTCTCTCATCATTCAGCTGGGCGTGAAGGAGTGCTTGATACAGACAGACATTTCGAAGAAGGACGCTGAGCTTAACAAGCTTCGCACGATCGCTGATAATTGCAACTGTGCTGTGTCGGAGCGGCCGGCTGGTGATTTCGGAAGTAGAGATATCGAGCAGGACCTGGAGAGACTTTTGAAAGACGAGAAAGCGGCGAGTCAGTTGCCCCAGACGGATCTCAAACTGGCCATGGGGTCTGCTGCTGCCCTGATCAAGTATTTGGGCATCATGTCTGATCAGAGCAACTTTGGCCAGTTTGCTTTGTATCAGCATGATCTGAGCCAGTACATGAAGCTGGACTCGTCTGCTCTGAAAGCACTCAATCTCATGCCTGGACCAAAGGATGGCTCTAAGACGATGAACCTGTACGGTCTGTTGAACCACTGCAAGACACCCGTCGGCAGCAGACTTCTGGCTCAATGGCTGAAGCAGCCCTTGATGAATCTCGAGGAGATTGAGAAGAGGCAGCAGCTTGTTGAGGCTTTTGTCAACGATACTGAACTTCGACAGACGCTGCAAGAGGACCACCTCCGCTCGATACCGGACCTTTACCGCCTGGCAAAGAAGTTCCAACGCAAGAAGGCGAATCTGGAAGACGTCGTCAAAGCTTATCAGGTTGCCATCCGCTTGCCTGACTTCATTGGGACCTTTGAGGGCGTTATGGATGAGACATACAAAGACGCTCTGGACTCAGAGTATACGCACAAGCTGCAGGAGTATTCAACCAGTTTCATGAAACTTCAAGAAATGGTCGAATCCACTGTCGATCTGGATGCTATGGACAACCATGAATTCATCATCAAGTCAGAATTTGACGACACGCTGAGAATCATTCGAAAGAAGATCGAGAGCCTTCGCTACAACATCGACAAGGAACACCAACGTGTTGGTATGGATCTGAACCAGGACACTGAGAAGAAGCTGCTTCTCGAGCACCACAAGACGTACGGCTGGTGTTTTCGCTTGACACGGAACGAAGCTTCTGTCATCCGCAACAACAAGGCGTATCCAGAGATTTCGACCCAGAAAAACGGCGTCTACTTCACTACGAGCAAGCTGACGGAGATGAGACGCGAGTTTGACCAGCTGTCAGAAAACTACAATCGAACACAAAGCGGACTTGTCAATGAAGTCGTCAACGTTGCGGCATCATATTGCCCCGTCATTGAGAAGCTCGCCGGTGTGCTTGCTCATCTCGATGTGATAGTCAGCTTCGCTCACGTCTCTGTTCACGCCCCTACCGCCTACGTTAAGCCCAAGATGAATCCTCGAGGAACTGGAAGCACGATTTTGAAGGAGGCCCGGCACCCGTGCATGGAGATGCAGGACGATGTCCAATTCATCACCAACGACGTCTCACTCACCCGCGATGAATCCGAATTCCTCATCATCACAGGGCCGAACATGGGCGGCAAATCGACCTACATCCGCCAAATAGGAGTCATAGCCCTCATGGCACAGATTGGCTGCTTCGTCCCCTGCTCAGAAGCAGAGCTCACTCTCTTCGACTGCATCCTTGCCCGAGTCGGCGCCAGCGACAGCCAACTCAAAGGCGTCAGCACCTTCATGGCCGAAATGCTCGAAACCGCCAACATCCTCAAAACGGCCACGCGAGAATCCCTCGTCATCATCGACGAACTCGGCCGCGGCACAAGCACCTACGACGGCTTCGGCCTCGCCTGGGCCATCTCCGAACACATCATCAAAGAAATCGGCGCCTTCGCCCTCTTCGCCACGCACTTCCACGAACTCACCGCTCTCGTCGACACATACCCTCAAGTCCAGAACCTCCACGTTGTGGCACACATCGGCGACTCGGAAGGCGACGCCGCCATGACCAACGGCGACGCCTCCAACAATCCCCGCCGCCGCGAAGTCACCCTCCTCTACAAAGTCGTCCCGGGCATCAGCGACCAGTCCTTCGGCATCCACGTCGCGGAGCTCGTGCGCTTCCCTTCCAAAGTCATCAATATGGCGAAACGCAAAGCGGATGAGTTGGAGGATTTCTCTGGCAAGCACGAAGAGATGAATGTGCAGGCGAGTAGCGAGGAGGTGGAGGAGGGGAGTCGGCTGCTCAAGGAGGTTTTGGTGCAGTGGAAGGAGGAGGTGAAGAGGGAGGGTTTGAGTAAAGAGATGCAGGTGGAGAGGATGAGGGAGTTGGTGCAGGGGAATGAGGCGTTGTTGGGGAATTCGTTTTTCAAGAGTGTGAAGGCTTTGTAAGGGGTTGTGTTCGCTCTGTATTATGTGCAAAAGGAGGGGGAGTCAAGGGTGCTGGGACACTGTACAGCGGGGGCGTTCATCGGAGGTCGTTGAAAGAGTGCATGTGGAAATAGCTCATGATCGAAAATTCAGAAAGAGTAAAGTATAACTAACCTTCTCACGCGAATGATGAGTAGGTTTCCATTCTTGATAATTCTGCTGCTACTACTGCTGCTGCTTTCAAGAACGCTGCACTATTCGAAACAGACTCTGACTGTTGGACCTTGATCGTTTGTCCAAAATGCATCGAGTAAGAAGGAAAAGGAAGCACAAAAGCACCCAGTATCAATTTTTGTGAAAGCCGTACCTCCCAAGATGCAACCTTTTGATGATGGTGGTGATGATGATGAGGCGAGTGCCGTCTAAGCGGTAGTGGGCTCTGGGGCCTCCTTGTCCTCGATGGTGGCCTTCTTCAGGTCCTCGGAGACGTCGGCGGCGGCGTCTTTCTCCTGTTCGAGCTCGGCGCCAGCGGAGGCGGATCCGTTGACTTGCTGCTTTTCGGTGGCGGGTTTGCGGGCGGTTTCGCTAGATGCGGCCTTGTTATCCGCGTTGGCGGCTTCGGCTTCGAGACGGTCGATTTCGGCCTGAGCCTTTTGGACGTTCTGTTTCAACTGTTAGCATCCTTTCAACCTGTCTCGTCTGTAATTGAACGACTCACCTCCTTAGTGGCGCGTTCTTGGTCCTTCTTCCAGAAATCGAGCTTCTCCTTCAGCTTCTCAACCACGGTCGGCACATCAGCTTGGGACATAGGCGGGTCGACGCCAATCTTGGCGAGGCTGTCAATAGTTCCGAGGTCGAGGTTGAACTTGCCGCCCTCTGGCGCAGGCGATGAAGTTCCGTTGGCGGCAGAATCTCTCTGGTCCCTGCCCTTCTTCTTCTTGCCTCCACCACCAATGAAGTAGTTCTCCTCTTCGTCACCCTTCTTCTTCAAAGCAGTTCCCTTGATGCCAGATGCGTCGACGGTTCGTGATGCGGTAGCTGCGAATTTGCCAGGGCCAGACGCTTCTTGCTTGCCGACAGAAGATGGGTCCAAGTGGGCAAGGAGGGCCTGGGTCGTGCGGATCTCGTCCTGGTATGCTGGGGCGCTTGCATCCTCGAGCTTCGACTTGGCTGCCTCTTGCCTCTTGCCGCGGAAGTAAGCGTCGTTCTCAGCCCGTCTCTTCTCTTCGCGCACACGCTTGGCTTCACGTTCGTATGCGATGGCAGCGCGGCGTTGCTCGAAGTATGCATCCTTGATTTCCTTGACAGCAGCCCACTTCTTTTGTTGGTCCTCGTGAAGCTTCGTCCGCTCGTCGCGCAAAGTGTTGAGGCTCTTGAAGGCGCCGTCCTGCTCAGCCTTGATGGAGTCGAGTTCTTCCTGGATCTTGGAATAACGGTCTGACAGCGCCTTTTGCTCTGGATCCTCGAGCTGCTTCTTCAACTCGGCGATCTGTGCCTTTGTCTCGTCGATGCCCTTCTGCGACTCGTCGAATCCGGCAAAGCCCTTCTTGAGACGGTTCAACTGGGAGATGTCTGCCAAAGCCTTCTTCTCATCCACGAGCTTCATCTTGCCAGAGTCCACATCTTTCTGGAGTTCGTCGATCTTCTTCTGGACCTCATCGGCGGACTTGAACTGGACCTTGCTGCGGGCATTCTTCGACTCGGTGATGCGGGACTTGAGGTTTTCATCCAGGCGGCGGATTTTGTCAAGGATCTGAGTGCGGCCGGACTTGCTCGATTGCTGTTGCTGGCGGATGCCGGCAAGCTCAGTTCGCAGTTCTTGCTGACGCTTCGAGACAGGAGAGTCCTTGTTCTGAGGGCGTGCGTTGTCGATCTTGGCCTTGACTGCTTTCTATTCTGTCTATCAGTATCTGTTGCCGCAGAAATATGCAATTTCCCGATCCCGCATCCGCGATCACATGCAGCCAAGCGGCAGCAATATGCAAATGTCCGCAAGACAACTGAACGACAGTACCTACCATGCGCTCCTCGGCAGCCTTGAGTTCCTTCTCTGCCTTGCCTAACTTCTCCTTATATTCCTCCTCACTCGGACGCTCTGGCTTCGTGACAGCTGGCGCGGCGGCCTTGGTCTCGGTCTTTGCGGTGTCGGCCATTGTGTGCGATATTAGTAACAGCGGAGTCGCTGTTGCTGCGGTAGTTGTGGTTGAAGCTGGAAGATGTTCGGTCACCGCAGAGCCATGTGCGATGTGTAGGTCGAGGGCGGTGGAGTGGTGAGGTGGAAACGCTATTTGTACTCGACTTGAATGGAGAAAGAAGTCCAACGATGCCAAGATTCAGAAGTGGGTCCTCGGCTCGTGCCGTCAAAGGGTCCGGAAAAGTGAATTACCTTTGCTTGTGATTCTATTAACAACATTATTGGAACATGAATTTCAGATGCTAATCACGTGTGTCGACTCTACTAATTCAGATGGGGCATGGGACATTACGGGACCGCGGGGAGCTGATACGGTAGGGAGAGTGAGTGAGAGTGCGCCACTTCCCTCAGTTCAGAAGCAATGCGATTGCCTTCAATTCGGGAGCAACCTCCATTTCCCCAGAGCACAGTTTAAAGAGCTCGTTGGAACCACCATCTTGACGATATCATCCGAGCGAGAGGCAAGATGGATAACCCAGCTCTTGCCAACGCGTTCGGCACTCTTGGGGCAGTCTGCTGGTCCGTTCAGCTCATCCCTCAAATCGTTATCAATTGGAGACGGCATAATGCCACGGGCCTTCAACCTACGATGATGATGCTCTGGGCATGGGCCGGAGTACCATTGGTGAGTGCAGCAGACCAAATGAAATTCGGTCGAGTGATCGTTGACGAATATACAGGGCGTATACAACATTGTCTCGAACTTCAACATCGCACTTCAGATCCAGCCTCAGATTCTAGCCGTCCTCAGCCTTCTCACGTGGATTCAATGCTACTATTACGAGCAAAAGTGGTCCATTGCACGTTCGCTTGCGGTGGTCCTACCCATTGCATCCATCATGGCCGGCATTGAGGTGGCTCTGGTCTATGCTTTGAGGATGGGAGTGAGGCGCCATGTCCACTGGCCAGTGACTCTGATGGCCGTACTGGCGGCTCTGTTCCTGGCCCTGGGCGTCTTGCGGCATTACTGGGACATTTACGTCCATCGTACTGTGCGCGGGATCTCGTTCCTGTTTGTGGGAATCGATGCACTTGGAGACTTGACATCTATCATATCTGTTGTGTTCCAGCCAAAGCTCGACGTACTGGGCCTTGTGATATACGGAACAGAGCTGGTTCTTTGGATTGGGATCTTCGCATGTGGTGGATACTACAACCTGGTCCCTTGGATCCGCAAGAAGCAAAGGGAACGAAGAGCGCCTGCTCACGAATTAGGGCCAGCGCAGCATGGAATCGGGCTGCATGATCTGCCATCGTCAACTTCTGTGTTTAGAACACCGTCTTCCGATATGGAGTTACGATCACGGACTGCTCCTGCAAGGTCGTCGAACGAAGCTCAGCCTGGCTAAGGAAGTCCATTTTCGAATGAGCACCGAGGACATTCGATCCGACATAATACCCTTGGACCATACTATCGAAAATTCTATCTTGCAGCTGGAACTCGTGGGAAGCAGACACCAACGGCAGGCTCAGCTCGCGACCGTGAAATGCGCCACGAGATCGACGAAGCCCGGCGTGGTTGAGACCTCCATAGTGAACACGAGCAGAGTTGTCGGCCCATTTCCAAAAATCTGATACCGAGTGCGACATCAAAGCAAGCTCTGTCGACCCCGAGGCTCCATATCCATTTCGGGGAAGTAAACCATCGCGAAAACGAGTCTACCATCGTGGAAAGCGTCCGGCTGTATAATCAAGGCTCTCAGCTTGGCCAAGGTTTCTCGTTATCTGAAGAGCTATCCCCAGGGGAATTATGCCTACCATGCCACATTGCTATTGAGAGGATGGAGAACATGTTCTGCGCTATTAGAACCGGGATAGCTGTGAGGGAACACTCGGGGATCGCCGGGACGGGGAACATATCTTCTGGCTACCCATCCCCGTAACATGCTCTCCGACCATGGCATCGAAGACCAGTATGCGGTGTTTGCAGGCTGTTGGGACATGGGGATTACTAGGATGAGGAGCCTCACATCGTGGAAACTGTACGATTGACTCGCCCGCCAAAGCGATGCCCCGAATCTCCTGTCTTCTCAAACCGCCCGGTCATCCCTATAGGAATGAGCTCGACCACGCTATTGGGACTGTGCATGCCACCTTCTTCTGTCGTAAGAAGTATGGGATGGAGAAACCGGCTAAAGAAAGCAGCACGTGACAGGCCTTCTTCAATGAAGTCGCAACTTCCCAGTTGGGAAGTTCATGAGAAGTGCTTCACTTACTCCGGCCGTAAGTCAAGCCTTCACTTCAGCCATTACTGAATTGGCCCTTCATTTTAACTACTAGTTGGCATATCATTGAAGCTATCAGTTGACCCTACTCCAGCTATCACCTGATCTTCCACTCTACCCTTTACTTGATCTTTCACTCCAGCTTTCACTCCATTTCTTACTCCAGCAGTTACCTCGTCCTTGATATCCTTCACTCCAGCCGTTACTTTATCCTTCTTTCCAGCCGTTACTTTACCCTTTACTCTAGCCGTCATTTCATCCTTCACTTGAGTCGTTACTTTACCCTTCACTCTAGCTGTTACTTTACTCTTCACTCTTGCTGTTACTTGTCCCTTTACTTTAGCGATAACTTGTCCCTTTACTTTAAACGTCACTTGTCCATTTACTTCAGCTATCAGTTAACCATTTACTTTAGGCATTACTTGGGTCTTTACTTTTGAAGTTACTAAAAGCTTCAGAACCCATTCGGGGCCGCTAACACAGCCCTATGCACAAGGTCTACGTGTGAAGAAATATAACTTCCTAATCGGGAAGTTCACATGTGAATGCCGAGAGCCGGCCGCTCCATTCACTCGCCAAATTAACCCGTAAGTTAACCCGCACAAACAATTCACACAGAGCCGCTACTATTGTCGCACGGACAAAAGCTCACCTGCCCCTGAAGGCCACCGGCTTAAATTCCAGCAAACAGCAAGCACAACTTCCTTTCCCCAACAACATCCCCGTGCCAAAGAAAGTTTCCAACAATGGCACAGACACCCAGCGGTATGGACAGACATGTATCTCTGGGGATTGAGCGAAACTAACAATGATAGACTCGCGCTCCACCGTCCCCTCCACCGCGGAGACCTCGCCGCCCAGCGAGGGAAGCACTGTCTCGCCCCCCGGGGCTCCCGCCAACACGATCGCCGGCACGCTGGCAAACCAAATCCCCAACGCTGCGGCATTGTCTGCGGCGCTGGGCGCCATGACTGTCGGTCCGTCTGCTGCTGCCAATGTGGGAGCGCAGAGCGCCGTCAGTGCGCCGGCTGGTAAGACCTTTCCTCTTTTCTATCACAGAGGTGGCGGCAGCGAGCAGGAGAGCAAGACCCCATGAGCAGAGACTGATTAGACAGACATCCCCGCACGCACCACCGCCGACCAAGCCACGGATCTGTATCCCGAGATGTCAACCTGGTCTGCGCTCGCGAAAGAAGACGTCGAGAATGCCCTCAAGCGTCTCGCAATGGCGGCCAGAGACGAGCACGAGCGAGACCCAAGCAAGACCGTCAAGCAGCACTACAGCGAGGCTCTCGCCAAGATCATCAAGGACGGAGAGATCGAGTTCGATGTCAGCTGCATGGACAGCAACAGAGAGACGGAGAGCAATGCGACGAGTTCGGAGGGAGAGACGGAGAGCGATGCGACAGATGCGGACAGCACGGCATGAGAGATGGAGACGCAGATGAAAGAATTGGAGAGCATGAGATGAGAGATGAGAGACGAACAACACGACACGACACGACATCATGGAGAATGGACCACAGCACAGGAGATGCATCAGGACGAGAAGCAACGACAGCAGGATGATGATGACGATGATACCCAAGAAAAGGGCAGGATAGCTCCTCACAGAGAGAGAGCAAGAATCGAAAGGCCTCGCGGCTACCTTCACATGGTCATTACCTCTACATATTCTGTGCCCTCGTCGTCCGATCGTAGAACTCCAACGTGCACGCCGCCAAGAAGCACGGGATCTCATTCCGACCATCCACCCAAAAGTCAATCATGTGTCTGATCTCGTTCGCGAATACGCTCTGAGGTCCACCGCTGACTTTCATCGTCCCTTGCTCACCGTCGAAGATGATGCTGTTCTCCTCTTCTTCGCCGTTGTTGATGAGGCTTGGGTAGAGGATCGACGTCGCTTTGACCCGGCCGTTGGGCATCATGTCTAGTTTCCAGCCGAGGATGCTGCAAACTGCTTCGCGAAACTCGATGGACTTGGCGCCCCAGATTTGCTTGAGGCGCAGTTCCTTCTTTTCGAGTTTGGCGATTTGGGCTTTGAGTTCGTCGATTTGTTGACGTGCGTTGTCTAGACTGCTGATGGGAACGACTTTGGTGCCGTTGGGCTGGCCTTCGAGTTGGGCGAGGAGTGCCGCGTTCTCATCAGCCAGGGTGCGGAGTCTGGACATCTTGATTGCTTCTGCCTCTGCGGTTGGGTTGTTTCGTAACTCGAGAACTCTGGTGCGGGAAGAGTCCTTCAGAGAAGCCACTTGAGAAGCGCTCGCTTTAAGCTCCGCCTCAAGCAGATGGTTGCGACTCTGTAGCTTCTCAAGTTCGTCTTGCAGACTCCGTGCCTTACGTCGCAGCTCGCCCAGGCGCTCGTCAGCACCCTCATCGTCTTCACGAGGGCGCTTCTTTGGTGTCTGAAGCGACGGCGGTGGTGCTTCGACTTTCGAGAGATCAGCTTGCAGAGTCTGCACCTCCGCTCGATATTGCTCAACCATCTCTTCGAGCTCGTGTATCCGTTTCGAGTGTTCTTCGTTGACGTGATCGGGATTGAACTCTGCTTCCTCCGCCTCAAACGTCTTCATCTGAGCACCCAGATACTCCACCTCTTTCGTCAACAATATCTTCTGACGCTCAAGGCGTGCCTTTGCTTTAGCATCGGCTGGTGTAGCTGTAGTCGGGCTATTCGAAGATGTCTGACGGGCAGTCTCCAACTCTGATTGCAACCGCGCCTTTTCGTCCTGCAAGCTGCGGATGTTCTCATCCCTCACAGAAAGCTCAGGCTGCACCGTGCCCAGCTTATCCATGAGACTGAGGCGCTCCAGTCGCTCTTGCATGAACGCCTTGGCCATTTGTTCTGGTGTCTCGTACCGTAGATCCTCTCCGCTTGCTGCTTCAGTCTCTAGGTAGCTTGTCCACTCTTTCTTCTCGTCTTCCAGGATTCTCTTCTGCAATTGTGCTTCTGCCAGTTCCTTTCGGAGATCATCCATCATCCTCACTTTAGCCTCCAGAGCGTGTTTCTCCTCTTCCACAAGCTCTACGCTCTTTTGCGATTTGCGGAACTGCTTGAGCTCGGTCAATTGCTCGCGGTTTGTGCCCTCCAGCTTCTTGATGTACGCCACTTGTTCTGACAGCTCTTTCTTTATGATGGCAAGGGTATCCGAATCGCCGGTCTGCGCTTTCAATCGCAAGACTTCGTTCTCCAACTCCCCAACCTCCGCCTCCCTCTGCTTAAGCTTCTGTTGCGTTGTTTGCAATACTGTGACCTTGCCGCTGAGATCCTGCTGCATGTCTTCCACGGATGCCTGCAAACTTGCATGTCTTTGTTCCAGCTCACTGAACGCATGTTTGTTCTGTCGTCCTGCAGAGTCCAGATCTGCCTTTGCCTCCTCCAGCTCGTCTCGCAAGGATCGATTGTCGTCTTGTAGAGATCTGATCTTCTTCTCCAGCTGTAACTTCTCATTTGTCGCTCGATCCTGCTCTTCTTTGAAGTCTCGAGTGAGCGCCTCTGCTTTCCTCGTCGCAGTATTGCCGGCACTCTCAGCAGCTTGTGCTCTCTTGAAGTCTGCATCTGCACGGCTCTGGGCGTCGCGCAATTCTTGTTCATGGCGTAACTCATTCAACTCGCGCTCCTGCTTCAGCGAGTCTAGCTCATACTGTACAGTGCGCAATTGGGCCCGGAGGTCTTCGTTGTTGGCGTTCGCTGTTGATTGCTTCATCGTCTCTCGTAGGCTCTCGCGCTGTGGCTGTCTCTGAGCTCGTGCCGGCGACATTGGTGCACCCGTGATGATGTCGAAGGAATTGCCGTGTTCGCGCGCCATGGCGAAAGACTGGCGACCTTCTGTCGCGATTGTTGTCGTCGCGATGTTCAAGAACGCCACATTCAGCTAGATCAATACAGAGCGGAATTGACTCCGTCACTCACTTGTCATACGCTAGTGGCTTGGCAAGATTCCAGATTCTACCAGTATCATACATTTGCTATTACGCATCTCGATAATTCCAATCTCGGGACATCATTCTTCAGGAATCTGCTTAGGTTTTCTGATTCTGGGGTGTCGTATCTTCTCGTAATGTTAAGGTAGAAGCAGGCGACAGAAAAGTACGCTACTATCGAGGCACCAAAAAGCGGGTCCAATGCCCTGGCCGAGGGTAAGATTTGTAGCTACAATTATGTACGCAGTAATTCGCTTTCCATCCAATCATAGGCAAGATGGTACGCATCAATTCTTCCGAATCATCCTCGTCCACCGCTAATGTCCAACAGGCCGAGCGGTCTAAGGCGCCACGTTAAGGTGTCACACCCTTAATCCAATTCCGTGGTCCGAAAGGGCACGAGTTCGAATCTCGTTCTTGTCATTATCAGATATGCATCCGATAGATGATGCATCATTTTTGGGCTTTTTTTGTGGTGGTCGGCGGCCTTTTGGCTTGCAGGAAGTTTTTTCTGGGCTTTGCGGTGGTCAGCGACTTTTTGTTGTATTGGAAAGAGGTAGGCGTAAATGAAGACTTTTCAATTCGAGGTAATACCGAAATCGTTAAACGCAAAAACCGAAAACTCTTCAGACCCTTCCATGCTGGTACTGCTGCAACCACCAAATGAAAATCGTCAATCGTCAGGCCCTGTAGAAGAACGTCTCACGCTCACATGTCAAGATCCATGCTGGCCTCTGCACGAGCAGGAGCATTCGTCATCTCCACATCCTCTCTCATTTCTTCTGGCAGCTCAGACAGCTGGTCGTTGAAGCCGGTTTGCAACACTGACTCGAGATGAGGTGGAACGGTCAGCGGCTGACGCTGAGACAACGCAACTTCCATGGGCTCGCTGTGCACGAACGGCCCGTAGCGTGATGGAAGGCTGCCGTGAGGATGAGAACCACGAACAAGGCTGTCGCTTGCAGGATACGGCTGTACTCCTTCGACGTGGCGAAGGGGTGTAGTGTCGACGCCAGCCTCCTTCAGCCTCTTCGCTCCGCGGAGTCTGTATTTGTTGATGCTCGCCTGGGTTGGACCAAGATCAAGCGCATTCTGCATCTCTTCAGTATACCAGCCATCTTCGTGCTTGTACTTGTCGTGAAGGTCGCTGGTGTTGTCTTCATTGCTCTCCAGAATGTGCTTTGTAAGGTCCGTGATTGAGACGTGCGCAAAAGGTTCCTCCAACTCAGCTCTGACGCAGTACCCGCAAGTGAACTTGCCGTCATGCTTGACTTGATTTCGCTTCCACTCGGAGTATGGATGGTGGAAGTGGCTATTCAGGTGGACGTCAAGCGCTGCGGGGGACTTGAAAGGCTTCATCTGCAGAGAGTTTCAGTACAGTCTTCTTCCACAAGCGAGGATTCATGGAGCGGGTACATACCTTGTCAGAGAACATGACGGAATCATCCTCCTGGCAAAGCGGGCAGGTTTGGTTTTGCTCGGACCAATTTGCATGGGCTGAAAGCTGGTTTTCGAGCAGGATCTCCATCATTGATCTGGCGAGCTCAATGTAGGCAACATCTTGGATGCCGCTAGTATTTGTAGACTCTGCGTCGACGTCGTTGTCGGGAGTGAGCGTGATGGCACCGGCCTCGTCCAGCTCCATTGGCTGGTTCAGCTTTTCACGTTGGGCAATGGTATCTTCAAGATCCGCCTCGTACCTGCAACAGATTTGAGCATCACTTCGTTAAAACGGTAGCAGCAACTTGAACTCACTCTTCGTCAACCGCGGCGGCGGCGGCCATCTCAGCCTCAGCCACAGCCTCAGCGCCGTCGTCGTCTAGATCGACCTCATTGTCACGACCCTCTCGAATGGCTTTGAGGGCTCGTTCAAGCACTGCCTTCGCAAAGTTCGAAGCATCGAGTTGTGCCTGTCTCTCATCCATTTCTTGCCGAGTCATTCGGGAATTCTGCGAGTCCTCTTCTTGTTCGACAAGAATTTCCCTTGCCACAGTGCGGACTCTGCGACGGTAATTCTTAAGATCGGCGTTGGAAGCGTCCGCAGCTGGAGGATCTTCGTCGGCCAAAATTAGTCTACGAACAAGCTGTTCGAGTGCCTGGCCTCTGGAGCGCTGGAGAGCACTACCGTCGAGTTTTCCAAGAGCGAGATCATTCCAGTTCTTGGTCTGCTCGGTGGAAGCTCCTCCTTGCTGGATGTCCTGCGCAAGAAGGATTCCCGTGTTGTCGAGGGTCTCAGACATGTTGAGATAATGGCGCTCCAGCGTAAAGCTGTCGGGGGCATGGCCGAGAAAGATTCGCGTGGCGGCAAGTCCGATCCTGAGGGCCATATCAGTGGCTGCTCTGCGTCGGATGCTGTACCAAGAAACATTGGAAGTGTACCCGATTTGTTTCCCACGAAGACGAAGATAGCTCGTAAGTGAATGAGCCGCAAGTGGGTATGGGATGTCCACTGCAGTGCCTTTCGGGATTCCTCGGTAGAAGACTGTGTCGTCGAGATATTTTCGCTTGACACGAATCTCGTTCAGATTGGTCGTGAGGAGGTCGTCGAGAGATCCAATGCCTTCGAGTATCCCACGGCGTAGAGCAATGACCAGGAGGCGATGCGTAACGGAGAAGACGAGGTTGTGCGGCTCTGGCGAGGGCATGTTGAGGCGCACAGGCACTGTGCTTGGCCTAGACTCTTGAGCCACTATTGGGTCTGAAGATCGCTTGATGTCAAGATGATCCAGAGTCAGAATGGATCTGAACTTCCCAGGCACGGATGTGGTGAAGAATTCGAAGTCCTTCCACTTCAAGGGCTTGCTTCTGCCGACTTTTGGATCTGGCGCGAGAGAAGAGGGGCGGAGGGCAGAAATTCGGCCGATACACCACAACACCTGGTGCTCCTCAGAGAGCTCGATGCAACGGTTGTTGACTGCTTCGTGATCAAGGAGTTGACGAAGCTCGGCCAGTCCAAGATAGGTCTTTGGCTTGTTTTCAATTGTATCGCCGTACTGCTTTTGAACAAATCGCATGGTCTGCACCAAGTCGTTGAACAGCTGGGCTCGTCCCGGAAATGGCGTTCCTCGATGTCGAAGCTTTTGGCTGGACCAGAACAGTAGCGAGTCCCGGTACTGGCACAGGGTGCGCATGTCGATCGAGCCGGCGGCCTTGGCTCGAGGTATCGCTTTCTTTGAAACCCAGGTGACGAATCTGAAGAAAGTTAGCTTCAATCAACAAAACATTGAAGGCAACATACAACTGCATATTCCTACTCATGATGGGGTAATCGTCGGGGAACAGCTCAAGGTCGACTTCGTCGTCTGACAACCCATCTGAACTCTCCTTCTTGATGTACGTGAAGTAAAAATACTTGTACATCTCCAAGTGATAGTCCTGGCGCTTTTGGGTCGAAGCAGCATGCCAACGGAAGGTCTTAGCAGCTTCGACATCCTGCTCGAGTTCTTCGATCATCTCGAATCGGAGCTGCATGCCTTCCTCGCCTTCAACAGTAGTGATGCGATCCAGTTGGTCCCTGAGACTTGCGCGCTTGCCGAAGGACTTCGGCGCCTTGGCCAGCGCCTTGGGCGGCATGATGGGCGCGCAGGGATGAATGCAAGTTTGACAATGAACGATAGAAACACAGGAAGGGGAGCGGAAATCGCTGGGCAGGTGGAAGAGGGTGCGAGATGGAGTACTCCAACTGGCCAAAGTAAAGGTGGACTGGACTGCGAGGGCGCATAAGTTCGACGGCCGTCACTTGGCCTTATACATCCACACGAGCAGTATGCCCATGACGACAATGGGTCTCGCCAGACCGCCGCAGTGAAGAGTGAAGAGCCTGGGCGTGCACTGTCTGCAGCTCTCTGTGGCCAATTACATTTCGAGGGTGACTTTTTGGTCGTGCGAAGACGACAGTGAAGCTAGGAAGCCTCGCGGTGCCGTCACAGATCGCGCTCGATGCGTGAAGGAATGCACCACGATCAGACACACCGCTCCATGGACTCGAGGCTGGACGGTCCCAGCTCAAAGCCTCCACTGGAGCCTTGCCCCGACAAGATGCTGGGATTCAATGCATGCCTTCACCGTTCCCGACGTTGCGATGCTGATTCCGTCAAGACGAAGTGCAGCAGTGCATGGTATGAGCCTGTGCGACGTGGATGATTGCTTGGCCAATTTCTTGGCCGATACCATTGACAGGCTGGTAGTAGCCGACGTCGTGTTTCTCTCCCGATATGGACGTTGGTGGGCTCACAAGCACAAAGCCACGGTTATCGCCCAAAAACGCAGTCGGGATTACAGCAGATGCATCTATGCGGACCAGCTTGTGACGCAGCACTCATCGCTCGACACTCGACACGGGAAGACGCACAAGCGTCTCAACGGTCTAAGTATCATATTGCAAGCAACTGCTATCGGGGGACGGCCTCGTTTCGGATCATGGCTGGCCTGACTTCCTAGATGCGTTTGCACAAGATGCGTATGAACTCGTCAACCCGCTGGCGATGGCTTGTGGCAGACGCTCGACCAGAGACTGGCTGATGTGTAGCTTGCAAGGGTTGGACGCTGTGAAACGTGGAGCGCACGATCGGTCAATCCCGCCTGCTCGCCAACCAGGTCTGCGGGTAGGCGCTTCTAACCGAGCGCAGAAACAGACTGTGCAGAGTTGTACAACTGCCACGTCGTTTGATGCCGTAAAATGCTGGTATGGTGTGACAAAATCAGACAGATGAAGCGGCAAGCCTGCCGGAAACCATGGCATTCGCTCCTCCCGAAAATTGAATGACGCGGCGCAGATCTTTACGTTGCGTGATTGTCGTTGCAACGCTGCCCTCCCGCTTCGAAGCTGGATACATGTATGTAGTCACTCGGTGGCAATGACGGCGTAGCTCCGGTAAAGTGCACTGATAAAGCAGTCGATACATTCAAGATGGATCACGTACGATGCCGGGGACGGGTACAGTGCTCCAGGCGGTCAGAATGTGATGAGTTGTCACTCGCTGCCGTCCCTTCAGTACCAACACTGTGCTGTATGTTGCGGTGAAGGCATCGCCCGTGCTCAGCCAGGTCTGTTTGAATGTGTCTGCCGAGAGCTGTGAGAATGGCGGGATGCAGAGCTGAGGAAACGTCCGCGCTGCTTCGTTTGGGTCCTTTTGGTTCGTCTTCGGTTCAAATTGCTTGGCCATGCGAGAGCGACTGATTGCAGTATGCATGTGCGGCCATAGAGATCATCTGTCTACACACATGTACAGAGGATATTGCAGAACTCTTCGCCGACTGTGGAGTAGCCATGGTCCGATTCAGTGGTCGAGTATTCATTCTTCGAGCGCGTGACTGTGTATATTCCCACACAACGCTGAGATGAATATCAGCATGATTTTCCACAGCAAGGAGGTGTCGAGATAGCCAGGAGAACATCCATGCCCATCAGGCACTCCATGCCTTCCGCTGGAGGCGTATCGTGGGCACCGACTTTGCAGTGTTTGCGATGTGAGCCGCCGAGATGCATCCCACGCAGACAAACGAGCAGCGTGACGATGCAGCGATTCGTGGTCAAAGCAGACTTCCATCGGCGAGAATAGTCTGCAGTGCATTGCAGTCTTTGGCGTTTGGTCTTCGTTGTTCAATGTTGACAATCAACTGCGCACCCTCTTGAGATATATTATGCTCTCTTCACAGGTCTTTCTTCCGTCTGACTCTCCATCGCTCAACTTTCGTTCCGCTCAGCGGCTTCGATTCTTCCCTTACACCGTGCTGTATCACATCACAGTCCACCTCCACCTCCACCTCCACCTCCACCTCCACCTCCATCACCTCGAGACCACCACCATGGCAGGCAATCGTCCTTCCATTGGCGAGAGTAGCCACCGCGGATCCATTGGCGGGAGCAGCCACCGTGGATCCATTGGCGGAGGTACTCCTGGACTTCCCCACGGGGGGACTCCAGGGCCATCTGTAAGTTCAAAAGTGGGCTTGTATGTTGGCAAGACGTTTTCGCTGACGGGTCGTTTCCCCTTGTGTTGTAGGGCTTCGCCACTCCCGGCGGTACCACCCGACTCCCTGGCGGTTCGCTGCCCAACTCAGCTGCGTGGCTGTCCATGAAGAACCCCGATCTTCTCTCTGCATCTGAGCGTGTGTTGCACAACAACCAGATGATGCTCGCATACATGATCAATCAGACCACCCAGGCCTTGAACGACACGATGGGTCGCAGCGGTAATATGTTCTCCGTGCAAATCGAAGCTGGATTCATCAATCGACGGCAAAAGGCTAATGAATGTGCAACAGGTTCCCGCGCTGCTTCCAAGGAGCCAGTGACCGCCGAAGAGACCGAGACCCAGCAGCGAGACGAGGAGATCATCGAAGAACTCCAAAACGACCCCGTGATCAAGTCCCACACCCGCGACTTCCTCCAGCGAGCCCTGGGCGCTTCGGACAAGACCGCCTTGTGCTGGCGCGCCGGCAAGCCTGCGGAGAAGGAAGCCGCCGACTTTCTGAAGATTCTCCAAACCGCTGTTGTCGAAGAGCAGAAATCCATCGAAGAGCACATCGCCAACGCCATGGACGAGAACGAAGATCCGCCACAACCCGTCCTTCAGATGATGCAGTCCAAGATTCTGAAATTGTCCAAGGGAGACAAGGGAGGTTTGGTGCGTTGGTACAATCAGTCCGTCGTCCAGAACGATCTCGGTGGCAAAGGCAAGCGTGGTGCACCAACAAAGAAGGATGCGCAAGGCGGGAAGGCGGGCAAGGGAGCTGAAGGCAGCAAGGCGGGCAAGGGAGCGGAGGGCAGCAAGGCCGCTGGGAAGAAGCGCAAGGCAGAGGTCGAAGCTGAGGATGAGGACGAGGATGAAGAGGAGGATACCAGTCGTCATTCCAAGCGTCAGCGTCCTGGCAGCCGGAAATCGACCAATGTCATCGACGAGGACGAGGAGAGCGAGGACGGCTCTGAGTAGGTCTGGTTGTGGGTCTGAGCGGGATGCGGTGTCAGATGTCGTCGCATGGAAAGTGTTTGCTTCGTTTGCTGTTTGGACATCTCATGTCCTCGACCACACTCATTTTGCAATTGGGTTTTTTTCGCTGAGAAGCTCGACTCGACATAGATAGAGATTGTATCGCTCAATATCATCGACCTGTCACGGAACTCGACTCTCCTCTTTCATTGCCACAGCCCCTCACTAATTACGTTGCCTGTCTTCTCACTCCGCATCTTCTCACTAACATTGAGCCTGCTTTGCCGCATTCATTCGTGGGGCGGAGTTCATCGTTCGGTGTCTGGCTAGTGTGATGAAGCATCGCACTCTGGAGGTGTTGGTTGGTGGGCGAGAGGGCGAGGACATCTTGGCGTACGGGCTTTTCTTGTTGTGTGGACGCCTTTCCTTGGTGCACTTTATCCATGCTCATCTCCATCAACGTGAGTTCAGGAAGCGTTCGCGTTGGGGTTTTGACTGCAACGTCGCTGCCAAACGTACGGGAGGTGACGTTGAAGGAAAGCGAAGCCTTGGCGTTGGTTCTTGCCTCAGGCCTGAAGATGACAAAGCCCGGGGCACCTCCCTCGACTTCGCCCAAACTCCGCTTTCTTTGTCTTCCTCAACTCCCACATCCACACCACCACCTCATCGTCCATATCCCCCTCATCATCACGACAACAGCCCACTGCTATCAAGCGTACCATGGGCGTTGACGTTCTCGCAGATGCTCATCCCTTTTGATGATTTCCAGTATCTGCGGCAGAATGATGAGAATGTAGCCATACCGTTTTTTTTTTCTTTTGGGAGAAGAGTTGTGAGATTCGTGAAGATCACGTAGACGTACATGTAGCAAATCGAAATCGACATCTCTCACTTGTTTTGCGCGCCTTTCCTATATGGGTAATGACAACAACGTTGGAGAACAACACTTCCGATAGATATAGTAGACCATCTTCTATACCAGCTTCATGTACGAGTATTTTCCCAGATAGGCAATGACAGTGACATTCCATTTCCTTCGGTCGTAGTGAGCCTCCGGCGGGCGCAGCGCTGACACGCTGCGCAACATTGTTCACGTCGATGGCCCCTCTACGAGTTCGCCCCCCCCCCCCCTTTTCCCTCCCTCTCCCGCCAGGGAGAGGAAGAGGAAATGGAATTTGGGGGCGAACGCTAGAGAGGGGTCCAGGGCGTGAGTTCGAATCTCACTCTTGTCAACAGTTCTTTTTGCTCTTGCGCATCCAATGCATCGATTTTGGGATAGATTCGACCTCGGACGAGGGCAGTAGAGCCAAAAAACGGTGGTGGGTATGGAAGTGAATCTGAGGCGTGGGCAGCATGTGGGAATCTTCTTAGAGAGGGGATGAACATCTAACGAGCGTGAGCATTCTTTTGCTCTGGTTTGGGCTTGTCTGGGTTTGATTTGGGGTTACGAGGTTGGCGGAAAGGGAATAGGTATCGATGTGAATGTGTGTATAGGCGGCCATGATTCGACGCATCTGCTAAGACCTCCTATAGTGAATATCTGATAAACATCTGATAGTTGAAAATCGATTCTTTTGGCATCTTTGCCCTGGTCTGGGTTGCTGGCTTCTCTCAAGTCTTCTCTCGCGAGGGGATGGCACAAAAGACGATTGAGATCAATGCGAGATATTTGGACTGGTCATGCAGTCTCACGACTTCACATGAGTTTCAGGAGAGGCTAATTTTGATGGTTCTTTTGGACCTAGCAGCACTCGAAGATACTTGTACTATCGACATCATCGCCAAGACGTCAACTGTATATGACCGGAAAGTACGAGTCTCTTATTACCTACACTCTCCCCTTCAAAGGGTCCTGTCTTTCATTCTTCTCAATCTCGTTCTCTAGAACTCTTACCCTCTCATCACTCCTTGCCTTCAAGTCGAAAGCGAACCACTTGGGCTGTACATTGAACCCACTTGTATAGTCATACAACGGCGGGTCCACTTGGACCCCATCCTTCCTCGCCTTCTTCACATCACAAGCCCAGGCAATCCTCGCAGTCAACAAGTAAAGGCTCCTCTCGGCAATGTTCTGACCAGGGCATATCCTCCTGCCGAACCCGAAGGCCGAGTAATTGTGCAGGTTGGGGTAGGTGGTGAGTGGTTCACGATATGTTGGGTATGATGGCTCAAGCCAGCGTTCGGGTTTGAAGGTCTCAGGGTCAGGATACAGGCCCGGCTCGCGGTGGATGGCCCACTGATTGGCGTGAATATTGGTCCCTGCCGGAATGAAGAGGCCATTATATACATCATCTTTGATAGAGTAGTGCGGCACACCACCTGCGGTGACAGGATGCCAGCGTAGAACTTCTTTCACGACTGCGCGCATCGTTGGGAGTCGAGGTGTGTCGTCAAGTGTGGGTAGGCGGTCGCTACCGCATACCGAGTCGATTTCTTTCTGGAGTTTGGTGAACCATTCAGTATGGAGCACCATTGCAAGCATGAAGGACATCATCGCCGCTGCAGTCGTGCCTGGAAGAGTGTATGAGTAAAGCACATGACCTTGAAAGATTGATAAATTACCTGCTCCAGCCTCAAATAACGTTCCGACCACGTACGCGGCTTCGTCCTCGGTCAGGTGAGGGAACTCTGCCTTCCTCTCAAGGTAATCTTTCTCCCAGCATTCAGGGGCCGTGCCAGCTCGCATCTCGTCCTTGACATCATTCAATAGCTTCCTGAACAACTTCAGCTCTCGATCATGTAGCCAAGTAAGCTCTCGCTTGAACGGCGCGATTGCCTGTGGCAAGTTCAACATGCTGGGAAATGTATCGACGAGATAAGCTCCAGGGGAAGCAACCCGCTCGACGGTATGAACGACATTGATCACATCATGCACGGACTGCTCATGACCGGTCTGAAGGAATTTACCAAACGCAAGTCGGAATATAATGCCCGCAGAATATCGCTCAAACCAGTGTTCGTAGTTCGCGGGATCTTTGATCAGATCTCGGAGCATCCGTGCGGATTCGAGGATTTGGGTAGGCTGGTAGTTGCCAACGATGGTGCTATTCGAGACTTGATGCATCAACTTTCGGCCATCTCGCCATGTGTCTGTCCTCGATTAGCTCGGTCCCGTGAAGTTAAGATCGATTCCCGTACCATTGTAAGGCCAGAACAAAGGCCGCAAACACCTCGACAGCAACTGTACAGCAGCTGGCAGTTGCTCTCGACTCGAATAAATGCCCCCACGCTCTCGCAGAAGGTCATTCGCGACCTTCTCCGTCGATGCAACATAATGTTGTCTCCCGGCGATGTTCAAGCGCATTATCGGTCCATACTGATCTGACCATTCTTTGAATTTCAGCCACGAGTGTTTAGGAGGAATGTCTGGTAGATTGCCAACCAGAGGTTTTCCTGGAGGTCCTGGTGGATATCTGCTGCCCTCTTTCGGTTGAGTCCGTTTGCTGCTCGATATAGCGACCAGGCCTAGCACAAACGCAGCAGCAACCACGAGGAGGAGCGAAGAGAAAGCCATAGTGTCGTTGCTGCGGTTGGTCCCTCGTGTAAGACTTGTTCAGGAGCTGTGCGGCTGAAATTGATCAGGACGAGAGTGACGTGGAGCAGATATCGGTAGCAATTCCAAGTGTCTCGACAAGGTCAATTTCAAGATGTTGAGTAATTCCAAGTTGTAGGGCGGTATTGGTGGTATCTGAGAGGCTCTAATATGTGGGAGCCGAGAGAAATAGGTGGAATAGGGCATATATTTAAGCGTTCGCCCGAACAAGCAAGTACGCAGGTGTTTCGGCTACTCACTGTCGTCCTACGGTATAAGCATTGAGCTGATTAGGCAGAATCAGAGTGATTAACAAGCTGTCATCAATGTTGAGGAATGCATTCCGTGGTGACAAGGTTGGCCCTATTGCTGTTCCTCGTCGCCTCCGCTTCATCATGCTTCTCTGGCGGGGTTGACTTGCTATCGCGGCGATCTGGGGAGCTGTTGGTAAGACTCCAGTCTGACACCGGTAGTGATCTTGCGCTATCGCCGCCAGAATGGTGCTGGATATGTTCTACATGCATGTTCTTTACACTAGTAAGAACCAACCTCCTTTCTTCCAGCAGGTGAACTCGGTATCGGCCGGCAGATCCTGCCGAAATGGCCCGTGCTTCCGCGTCAGACAACATCACCGAGGGCACGCGTTCAAGACATCAATCGACACTTCTATCAATTCGTCCATATTTGTCGAGACTACATCATACAAATCTTCTTGATACATTCTGCTCAGATGATAACTTCAAACATGGTACTGTCTATCGAAAGGATGGCCCAAACGCCGCCGCTTCATACCCATCCCAAAACGCGCCTTCAACACCAACACAAAATACCCAGATTACGGTCCCGAATGTCGTCCCAAACCCTACACTGTGAAGGCTATGCTCGTGTCCTTCTCGCAATCTGAAGACCCCAAATTCAATGCCTCCGAGGATGAACAGTAATCATGCATACTGATGCAGGAAGCGATATCCCTCGACGACTGCCTTCCAACACCGCTTGTCAGGCTTATCCCGGTACAGATCGAACAAATGCGGCACATCTTCGACAACGCTGAGGCCAGTTGGAATGCCCTTGCTACGCAGCGCCTCGTGCGTTGCCTCCATCTGCTCCAGTGGCACAAGGTCGTCTGTCGTACTGTGGATCAAGTACGTCGGCGTCGTGTAATTGCCGCGCATGATCTGACTCCACGGTGAGATGGAGACGAGTTTCTCGACATCCGGCTGCGGCAGATCGAGATATTCCCCAACAGCCTTGTCAGCTTTGCTCTTAGGTGGAAGCCCTCCGAGGAGAATGGGCAATGCTTGACCCTTGCAATTCATGTGCAACACAATGCGGCTTCGTGGATCTTCCATATTGCACCATCCGCCCACTGCAGACCCTGTCGATGGTGGCACGTTGTAGGCCGTGATGGGCTTTTCCTGGACTCCCTCAAGCAGATCGTACGTGCTTGGAAAGGCGTCTTTGGAGTTCTCGGGGAAATTGGGCTCCTGCCAGAACTTGTCCTCGTAATTGCTCGGGCAGTAGAAAGCGAGGGAAGCTGTTGGAGGTTCTACGCCTCGTTTTCGACTGGTGAACCCCAATGACAGTGTCAAGGTGCCTCCCGTGCTCCACCCGATCGCGAAGACTTTGGAAGCATCAAGTTGGAGGTCTGGCCTTTCGAGATCCATCGTGGGCAGGACCTCACGTACCCACTGGAGCGCATCTAGTACATCAGTCATAGGACCATCGATGATGTTGATCTCAGGGCAAAGACGATAATCAATGCTGACGGGAAGGTATCCGTTCTTGAGCAGCAGCTGGGTCTGGCGTGGCCTAATGTCTTTGCGGGAGAGCATGGTATGGCCGCCACCATGAATCATGAGCGCTGATGGCGACACGTTAGACTGTCATTTCGAGCTCATGCACAGAAGCCATCCTCACCTATTGGGCGCTTCCTCTCCGTCACTTCCGAGGGATCGGGCAAGTACACATCAGCCAGAAGCTCAACACCGTCCACTTCTTTGAAACAAATGGTCTTCATACGGTCGCCAACTTTGCGCCTCTCCGTTGGACCAGCGTCCCGAAACTCAGGAGCGCTGACGACGGGGTGCTCGACCTTAGCATGGCACGGTGCAGGCTGTTCGGCACCCTCGGAGGACGCTGTCTCCCTACGACACTCTGGTCAGCATGTCCTATTCGAGGGTTTGAGGGAGCCGACTTTACCTACTGCTGCCCTCCAGACTTCTCATTTATCACCAACTTGCACAGATCTCCAAAGGAGCCACCTAGGAAATCCTTGCTGCTTATTTCAGTGCCAAATCGCTTGCTAATGGCCTGTGCCATCTCCACACTGAGCAGTGAATCAAGGCCAAGATCCTCGAGGTCAGTCTCCGGCAACAATGCATCGTTCGTCTCGGTGTATTCTGCAACCAGCTTGGCCAGGTCGGAAAGCCCATCCTTCTTGTCCTTGCCAGCATCGCCATCCGACGCTTCTGAAGGCGCGGTGATAGACGTGGATGCGTCAGAAGCGTAAGGAGATGGCGTCGAGGTCCCAGAGTCTGCAGAACTGCCAGCGGTAGTGTTTGACCCGGACGCACTTGGCGTGAGCAGTTGGGATATTGCGCCAGCATTAGATGCATCGAGCAGCTCTGCCGAGGACAGCTCGACGTTCATCTGGTCTTTGATGGTGCTGATAAGTTCAGCCGTCATGAGCGAGTCAATGCCCAAATCGTCCAGAGAAGCGCCTCTTTGAATTTCAGCAGCCGGTACGTCTGTGATGCTGCTGAGGACCTTTGCTAATTGAGGGAAGGCATCTTCGCTAGCGGTACTACCAGTCGCGCTGCTTCCGCTGTCAGACTTCGGCTTCGACTTCTTTGCGAGGCCTTTCGACACATCTTCTGTCGACGGCACCTGAGGGCGTGCTTTCTTGTCCGTTTTCTCGGCCGGGGCGTCCTTCGCCTTTGCATTTGGATTGCTCTCGTTGACTGCGCCTATAGCCCTCGAAAGCGAAGCAATCGGAATGCCGGTAAACTGAACGCCAAAGATGATGACCTGCAGCTTTCCAGTGTTACTGAACACGAAAATGTCGCTCAGAGTATCTTTGGGTCCTGTGACACGGGTCTGGGCATAAACTACCGAGTGAACATCAGCCTTGGTGTCGCGATAGCGGAAATCCTCTGTGGCTTGGATACGACCAATCTGCCCGCAGATATAAACTTGGTTTGGTGGGCAGTCCTCGAGAAGGTTGGTCTTGATGCCGGCGACCTGGAGATAGTTGTCTACCGCGATTGGATCCAAAAGACAGTCATGAGTGAGAGGATTCGCCGGCAGATAGACTTCAGCAGCGGTCTCTCCCCTCATGGATGATACCGACTTGATGCCGCGATACTCTTCGGCGTAGTTGACGACCCTGCTGAACAGCCTGTATACTAGGTTCCCTTGAAGACCGGTGGAGTCTTTGGCCTGCAGAAATCCCTTGGCGCGGTTCACATCAATCAGTCTCTCGTACCGGGTTATCTCGTGCTTCAGGTGGCGATCATCTGGAGGAGTGAGACGGAACTCGCCTGATGCATGCGTTGTCTGCTTCCCGTTCGAGTCCTTGCTGGTGAACTGGAAGCGCCACGCGCGCTGCGAAGATCCGAGTTTGGACATGGACAAGTTAACTGTCCTCTTGGGATCAGTACCGAGTGGAGCAACCATCGACAAGTCGTCAACACTGGGTACCAGGACCTCTTGCTTGCTCGGTATCAGCTCCAGAGCCGCACGGTTCACAATCTCCAGGTAAAGGTCAGCGGGGCATAATGGACTGTCAAGCACAGCGTGACCTTGAACGAATGCCTTGAACTCCTCGCTTCGAGGATCGATGGCGAAGTTGGACTCGTTGTTGCCCTTCTCGGACATCTTGAGCAGTTCGTACTTGTCGACACCCTGGACGATTGGAGCGACGGAAGCCGCTGCGGATGGTTCTTCCCAGCTCAGCCAGTGGCTCGTCTTCTCAAACTGGTATGGAGGCAACGACAGCTTCGCAAACTTGCGTCGCTGCGGTCGATCGAACGCCCAGAAGCGGAACTTGTGGCCAACTTTCCACAAAGCTGCGGTGCTGTCAGCGAGACCGTCCATGGCAGCCTCGCCGGTCATCTGAATGGGTTGGAATGTATGTGCACCCGCATTTTCTTTGCCAAACACTACCTTCACCATGGATGTCACACCGGAATCACCACCAGCCTCAAGCCAAGTGCAAGCACCGAGTCTCTCGCCTAGACGCTGCACTGCCTCGCCAAAGTATACGGCGGTACGAGTGTGCTCGACGATGCGTTCCGGGGTGGCGATGTCCCACGCTGAGCCCGAGGAGCACGTCTCGATTGGGATCGTTGGCTTATTGAACGTCAGGCCTTTGGCCACCTCAAGCAGGCCTGGTAGGAGTGGCTCGGTGAATTCAGAGTGGAATCCATGGGTGACTTGTAGCCTTCGCGAGCGAACGTTGCCTAGATTTTCGGTCTGAGTCTTCAGGATTTCCTCCGCCGCGTCAATGGCAGACTTGGATCCGACAAGCACATGGCTAGTAGGACCATTGTAACAGGCGACTTCAGCACGGTGGCCTTCGCCTTCCAGTGCCTTCAGTACCTTGGTCGTGGTGTCACCATCTGCCATAAGCGAGAGCATGCTTCCACGCTCTGGGCCCCAGTGTTTTTGCATGAGTTCAGCGCGGCCTGCCACCACCTTGACGGCATCTTGGATCGAGAGCACGCCAGACACACATAGCCCAGTCAGCTGACCGAAGCTGTGTCCAATGATTCCGTCGACGTTTATCCCAGAGGCCATCCATGTCTTGGCTGAGGCGTACTGCACTGCAAAGAACAGACAATGAAGGGTGACAACGTCCTCGACCGGTTCCGTCTGGAAAAGAGCAGGGTAGATTCCATCAAGGCCTTGCTCACGCATGACGCTATTGGCCTCGTCCAAGTGGCGACGGAAAAGCGGGACGTCCTGATATAGTTTCTTGTCCAGACCGACGAAGCTCTTGGTCTGACCGCCAAAAGTGAGCACGACGGGCTTGGGCTTTGCTGCACAGTTACCAGAGACTGATGCCAAAGTCGAGGCGAGCTCGGGCAGAGTGGATGCAGTCGTTGCAAATGCGTTCTCTGTGAACACTTTGCGCTTATCCGCAATGTTGAAGGCTAGATCGGCCAGCTGGTTGTGACTGCTGTCGGCTGATGCCAGCTTGCTGACGTAGTTGCGAAGAACATTGCAGTAGGCCTTGAGACTGTTCTCCGAGTAGGCGGAGATCAAGAAGGGCACCTTGTTCAAAGAGTGGCCAGTATTGAGCGAGGAGCCCGTGTTCGGTGGCTGGTAAATGACGGCAGCACCATTGCTCCCCGCAGCACCGTAGTTGTTGACTAGAACAGCTTTAAATCCCGTCTTCCAGGGCATGCAGCACATTGGGATTGCCATCTTCGAGGCCTCGAGCGCTGGGATCTTGGGGTTCAGCGACGTATGGCTGGCGAGGGGAGGAATGATGCCGTTCTGGATCATCATGACAGCCTTCATGACGGAGGCGACACCTGAAGCAGCCTCACAATGGCCCACGTTGCCCTTGACCGATCCGACGTGGAGTGTCTCGCGTCGTTGAGGCACTTGAAGAACATTGCGGATACTGGAGATTTCGACAGGGTCGCCGGCCTGAGTGCCAGTACCATGTGCTTCAACGAAGCTGATCTCTTCTGGCTTGACACGAGTCTGCTCCAGAAGGCCCTTGTACAAGTTGGTCTGGGATGGGCCGTGGGGAACGGTGATGTATGTCTCGTTCTTGCACTGGTTTACCGATGTGCCGCCAATGACAGACAGAACGTGGTCTCCGTCGGCAATGGCTGTCGTGAGCTTCTTCAGGAAGATAAGTCCGACACCTTCACCACGACAGTAGCCATCAGCCTTGGCATCGAACGGCTTGGTTGCTCCTGTTGGGCTCAAGAAGTTCGCAGCGCGGAGATTCTCCCACAAATACGGGCTGCTGAAGACATTGACGCCTCCAGCCAATGCCGCGGTGACATGTCCGTCTTGAATGGCCTTGCAGGCGGCATCGATCGCGATCATGGACGCACTGCATGCCGTGTCGAATGTCATGCTGGGACCGGTCCAGCCGAAGTGGTAGCTCAGCCTTCCACTGAGGAACGCTCGCAGCTCACCCAGGGCTGAGAAGGCAGATGGCTTATGTGCAGCGATGCTGTCGTGGTAGTCCTGCGTTGCAACACCGACATAGCAACCGACATCCTCAATCTGCACCGGCGCTCCAAAATATCCTGTTCCCTCGACGGCCTGGTAGGCGGCCTGAAGCAGCAGCCTTTGTTGCGGATCCATTGCAGCAGCTTCGCGGGAAGACTTCTTGAAGAACTTGTGGTCGAACATGTCAACATCATGCACAAAGTTTCCCCACCACGATGCCCCATCGGCTGTTCGACGCAGGCCCGTTCTTGGCCATCGTGAGTTGGGCAGCGTTTCGACCATCGAGCGGCCCTCCTTGACCACATCCCAGAAGTCATGAATCGAGTCCGCGCCCGCGTACTTGGCTGACATACCGACGATGGCAATCGCATCAGCACTTATCCCTTCTGTAGGGCGACAGTACGAAGTCTTCTCCGCTGAACCCGCGGCGTCGAGACGAGACACCGTGATATCAGGCTGTCGGGAGACTGATGTTGGGACTGCCTCCGACAATCCAATGGACAAGATGTGCTTGGGCTCATCATCCGAAAGGCTCGCAGACGCGGCTGTGATGGTCTGATGCCAGTCGGCCAGTTCCAGCAGCAGAGACCGAATGGCAATCAATGATGTGCTTCCTTCGTAGATGATCCTGCCGTCACAGTTCGTGCGGACTGGAAGAATGAGAGCATCGGCGTTGGGAAGCTGCAGTTGAGAGTCTCTTTTGACAAGGGCACGAAGCTTCTCGGCCTTCTTGATCAGAGCATGGGAGTGGAAACGGCCCTGCAGCTCAATTTTCCGCGACATGATGCCGCCCTCGCTCAACTTCGAAAGTAACTCCGCCTCCTTGGATTGAGGAATGGTGACTGTGACATTGTTGTGGTCGTAGATGACCGACGTGTACGCCTGAGGGAATGATTCGACAATCTTTTCGCAGGCGTCCCTCTCGCCAGTAGATCTCCATCGGGCGACCAGGCACGAGTAGCCACTGTTGGTTTCGTCTTCTTGGCCGTCTGCGTCAACATAGCAGCCGATGCAGAAGGCAAGACTGAGTGCGGTCGCTGCCAGCTTGCCAATGTCTTCCCGGGACTTGGCGCTAGCGACGACAATGGCCGAGAGAAGACCCGTGCAGAACCCCTGAACGCCGCCCTGCTTCAGGCTCTCCTGCAGTCCCTCGTGGGATACGTCGTCGTTGTCTTGCAAGTATTGACAGTACAAGCAGATGTGTACAATGACTGTCAAAGGTGTCGCAAATGCGTTGGGGAGCGATGTTGATTCTGATGGTCGTGACAGAATGCCCTGATCGAGCCATGTCTTGAACGCCGCCGCTGCCTGGGGGCCGGGCACATTCTTGAGGGTGGGGTCGGTTTCTTCGAGTGCCTTCCACAGTGATGGGAGGTCGCGGATTGCCTGGACTAAGGGAAACAGGCTCTTCTCAAGGAGCAAACATTTTCGGACGAGGGCGGACTGGTCTTCGGTCGGCCAGGTCGTCTGTGAGCCGAAGACGATGAGAGATGGGTTGGACATGATGATGACTTCGTGTTTGGCTGCTCTGAAAATTGTTGGACACACTCAACAACAGATGCAATTGTAGAGGAAGGAAGAGTTTGGGTTGGCTCGAGATGTCTTGGTGTGTCTGTGAGTATGAAGTTCGACCCGCTCAATGCGGATGAGGCATAACAGCACCATCTCGCGGGCGACCACCACCATTTAACGGACACCACAACCCAGGATCTAGCGACGTCATGTCATACACGGTGGTGAAGTTGTGAGATCCGGATCATTCACCACAACGACCTCCGTCGCTCGGCTTCCGCTGCCATGCCCATGCAAACAATACAAATCCGAAAGGGAACCCACTCTCAGCCACGCATCGAGAACGACGCCTCTACAACATCACGATCCAAGAACAATTTCAAGATCTCGACGGTATGAATGACGAGCCATCGCGATGGGTGCCTAGGATCACATAAAATCTTCCTCGAATACTCGGTGTCGAACAGCGTGGTAGACCCGAGTATGGCCCCTTGGTCTGACCGCTGCTATTTCCTCAGCGCGATACGGGCATCAATCGAAAGATCACGACCGCGATTCGATCAGGCTTTGTTTCAACACATGCCGTGGTGTACGTTGGTGAGCCAACAATCGCGGATGGCGTGGCCAGCCAGCCGTGCGTCGAAATCGTTCTCGATTTCTTCTCTAGATCGAAGAAACCTAAGGGCAGCCGAGTCTTCACGGCCTTTGCATGTGAAGAATTCTTGGAGTATCCGCCCGTGGGCTATGGAACCAGTCAAGATTCATGACTGTTGCCGTCGAGTGGTTGCTCTCGGAAATGCTCATGTTCAGCTCGCAAAGCAAATTGGACCTGAGATAAGGTCTTGGCACTTACGACTGTAGAAACAATGTGGTCAAATCAAAAGAGAAGCGACGTCGAAACTCGTCTAAAGTTTTGGAAATTCAACAATTCTATCGTGCTCGACTACATACAAAGAAGCGATCAGGCGCCAGAAGTGGAAGAACGATATTAGCCAAATTACTGCAAGAACCCAAGATGCTTCCACATGTCGACATATTTGGAGATCAAGTTCTCATCCACGCCCCCCGTCTGCCGCAATGTCTTGCTCACCCTTCGAGTTTCAGCGGTGTCCATGATGACGTCGCCGCCGCTCATGTGCTCGAAGTCACCCTCGAAGAAAGCGAGAAGCTTTTTCGCCGGATTGTCGCCCATGCGATCATCTGAGACGGCCCTGATGCGGTCCAGCCACTCTGAGTACGGAACTTGTGCATCAGGGGCGAGACCAATTGCCGGCGCCAGAGTTGAGAGCACATCCCGCCAAGACTGTCGGATGGGATTTTCGACGTGGAAGATGTTAGATGCTCCAGGGCCGGAGAAGGTGATGTCCGTCACAGTAGCGGCGGCAAGGTCGACGGGGAGCCATGAGAGAGTCTGAAGCTGATGTTAGCAAGGTCCTCGTCTGCTGGATACTTCCAATGAGCGGTCACTTACCCCCTTGAGCTGTGGCAAGGCCCCCACGAACTTAGACGATTTGGCCAAGGATGGGAAGTGCTCGGTTGTATTCCACAGTCCACTCGTTTGTGCTCCAGTCATCTGTCCTACACGGACATACTTGGCATCCACCTCGTTGCTCGCATTGGCGGCGAGGTCCTCCACAATGCGCTCGCACACCAGTTTGGCACGCGCATACCCAAAATCGTCGACAGCGTCGTTGTTCTCCATTGGAATTTCGCGAACGATCTGCTCACCAGACAGGTCAGGATAATTGCCCACTGTTGCGATCGAAGAGATGAAGACGAATGTCTGTCGCGTCGAAGGTCGTCGAGAGAATGCTGAACGAGATAACCAGATGAGGTTGTCCAGCGCCATGAATTGACTCTCGAAAGAAGGAAGCTGTCGATTGAAGTCCATCGGCCAGGCGTTGTGAATGATGTGCGTTACCGAGTCACGGATGAAAGCGTAATCATCTTCTTGAAGACCCAAATGGTATGACGACGTATTGGTTGCGTATGCTCGGATCTTTGATAGATTCTCCCCTGAGATATCGAGGTGCTTGGAGCTGAGAGCACTGAACTGCCTGTCCAAAGGAGTCTCGTCGCCTTCTCTAGGTCGAATCAAGCAGATGACTTGGCTGACGGTAGGGTCCTCGACCAGATCAGCCACGATGTGGGATCCCAGGCTGCCAGTGCTGCCAGTGAGCAGCACAACCGATCCACCAGACCCTCTAGACGGCTTGTACTCGCCCACGTACTTGTTGATCAAATCCACGTCGCCCGCATTGCCTTGCCCACGAACCGCAGCTGCGAGTTTGGAGACCGACGGGTGTGAGTAGACAAACTCTCTGGGAATCGATTCGTCCTCTGGCTTTGTCGCATTCTTGCGAGCCGTCTTGGTCAGAAGACGGCGAAGCTGGATAGCTTGGAGCGAATCCATGCCAAGATCGAACAAGTCATCTTCTGCTGTCCATTGATCCTCTGGCACCTTCCATGTCAGGCGTTCTTGGATCATAGACTTAATCTCGCTCTCGAGGTTGTCCGTGTCCAGCAGTGGAAGGCTGTCGTCGTCCAGGTCGTCCTCTTCGAGAGATCTGAAAGTCTCGTTGATGAGCTCATCAAAGACCCGGTACACTTCTTTTCGCTGAATGGAGCCCTTGTCGGTGCGAGGTAGAGTCTGCCCTGCAGGAACAATTGCAATCGCCTTCTTGCTCGAGATACGCCCTTGAGCATCCATCAGCTGGTTGGCTCTCTCCACCACTGGCCATAGAGCGTCTCTGAAACTCTCAAAGTCCCACTCGTACACTTCGCCCTTGGGCTCGACGAGCAGGCCAATCTGGAACTGGCTCTGGCCGATAGCGATAGCCGCCTTGCAATGCTCAGACTCGGATACCGCTGTCTCCAGGATATTCGGCAGTACTTTCTCGCCAGTGGCCAGCACTATGAGATCGTCGTTCCTCCCAAGGGAATTGAAGTCGGTCTTTGGGTATTCGGGGCTTGCCACCAAATTATCTTGGACTTCAAAGACGGAGTCCCATCCGAACGGCCGAGCTGTCAACTTGTAAAGGGCTTGCTCCCCTGGCGCAGAAGGCACGGTCTCCATGACGATGTTGTGATCGGTCCTGATGCGGAAGAAGTGGAAATCATAGCCGATGCCGCTTTTCCTCGGGTCGAAAATAGGACAGATTGCTCCAATCTCCGTTGCTCCATAGTGGTTCAGCAAAGGCACTCCGTTCGATGCGAGCTTCTCTCCTACTGAGATCTTGAGCGGACCACCACCAAAAGCGACAAAACGCATCTTTTGAAGAGCCTTGGCCCCAGAATTGTCTGGAAGCAGACTGATGTCTTCCAGTGTAGATGGGACCGTCATGAGAGATGAAGCGCCAGTTGTTCTCAGGAGCTCAATCACAGAGGATCCAGACGCTACATTCGAGACCGGCAAGCACAAAGTCATGCCAATGCTCATAGCAATCCCAGGCGCGCAGAGCCCGAAACCCTGTGATGTGTTAGCGAGAGCTCTACTTTCAGGGCGAAGATGACTTGCATGATAAAGAGGCAGCGTTGAGAGATTGAACGGCGGCGTCTCGCCTTCCGCAAATCCGTGAGCGGCGGCGAAGCCTACGAGGTACTCATGGGGCTGGTATATTGGCTTAGGCAGTCCAGTCGTGCCAGAAGAGTGCATGATGATGACCTCGCGGTCCTGTGTGCCTCGATAAAAACCGGGGTATGTGACGCTGGCAGCCTTGACTGGGCTTGGACTGGAAGCATGCAATTGCTCGATCATCTGCTCAAGCGACTGGCGCTCGAACAGTTTGGGCAGGCTTTCTGCGTCCTGCTTGTCTCCAAGTGCCAAGGCCTCGTCGACGGTGCTACGCAAGCGAGGGGATGACAAGGCAGCGCCTGCATTCGTCTTCTCCATCAGATGGCGGATGGCGTTTGGACTCAGACGAGCAGACAAGAGGAGCGCAGGAACTCCGAGACCAAGCAGAGCAAGCATATGGATCCAAAGCCCAACGTCACTTTCCATGAAGAGAGCGACCGGCCGGCTCTTTGAGATATGCTCCGCGGTGCGAGAGCGTAGCCATGACTGGCAGCACAGGACAAGTTCCCGCAGTTTCTTGTGTGTTATTTCAATGAGGTGGACAGAGCCATCGTCACGCTTGCGTGCTTGGTAACAGAAGACGTGGTCAGGGTTGTGCTGGGCGTTGAAGTCCACCAGATCGGGGAGGGTGAAGATACTGCTGGAGTCGGGCGGAGCAGCTCCAGTGGTAGGCAGCCACAATTTGGCTCGAGTAAACGACTTGGGCTCTTCTATGGATCCCATGATATGCTGATTGATGATGAATGAGACCAGTTCTTGGTGTACCCAGCGTGAAAGGTACGGATGGGAGGATAACGAGGTTTAATCGTCGTGTCCTCCATCGGCGACGAATGACGACACTATCGACGATGGCCTTCGCCATTGTTGGCTTGATCCTCGTCGCCGAGATCGAAAGACTGGAAGTCCGGACTACCCCCTTCTCAGGCGTGAAGGTTGAGCGGCCATCGACGGCCATCGCTACCGCAGCTCCAAAATAGCAGTGCATCTCACGGGACTGACGGTGACCAGACAGCTCGGGAGGGTCTTGCAATAGGACAGGCAGGGAAAGGGGCACCCCGCCATATGAAATGCGAATCCCGAAACATACTCGGGTCCTGGATCACGACCGCAACTCGGCCCGGACAACACACATCAGATCGAACAAATGCAGGGACTAGAACTATGGCCTGACGAACGTGTCTTGTGGTTCGCCATGTGCACGGATTTGCAATGCGAAACATCACACGTGTTGATATGCCCGGACTAACGAAGGCTAGATATCGGAACACGCAGAGCGTGGGATGACTGTACATCACACCGTGCATTGATCTACTAAAAGAGGTCTCTATATGCATATTGTACATCCCATGTGTCATCAAGGCCGGTCCGATCCACGAAGCTACTACGTCGCTCATCAAGTCGACTTTGAGTGCCGGCCTCTCTCAGATCCGACTCCATCCAAATCCTCCATGTGCGCCTCGGGAGAGGACGAAAAAGCAGACACCCACGAACATGCTGACGCCACAGTAAAACTGTAGCCAGGTGAAGTCTCCACCATCAGCTGTGATCAGAACACCGCCAACGGGTTGCGCGATGAGAATCGCTGGCGAAATGACGATATAAGCCGCCCCCATGTAGCACCCGAGTTTCTTCATGTCGGTACAGACCTGCGCGATCAGGGCAGGTACCAGCGCGACGAATGCGCCAGATGAGAAACCGTACAGCGCTGCGAAGACTAGGTTAGGAGCATTTGAATTGGCCGGAATCCAGAGCGCCAGGACCAGGATAGTGGAGAGTAAGGAGGTGATGATCATAATGTTGAAGCGGCCGAATCGATCTCCTATCCATCCAGGAAGGATCCGACCAAATATGCTGGTCGCGCTGAGGATGGTGAGCGTGTAGTTCGCCAGCTCTTGGGACATCCCGTAGTAGACGGACTCTGAGATGAGGAAGTTGTACGGCAGAAAGACGCCCATGAAGAAGAAGAAGCCAGCGCAGCTTAGTAGAACCACTGGTGGCTCACGAAGAGGTTGAACCAGATCCGACGCCATCAGGTTCGCGATGCTCGGACGACTGAAACGCTTGGGTACGTGGTGAAGGCGCGATTTGACCGTTGCAATGGCTACGATGAGCAGGCCCAACATCATGAATCCGACAATTCTCATCGTCCAGCCAAAGCCGATGCTATTGAAGAGGTTTGGAATCATGGCCCTATTACGCCGTCAGACGGAACTACCACATCGAATTTGCTGGCATGTCACTTACGTTCCAACCAAGCCTCCAATCGACGACCCAGAGGATACAATGCCGAGAGCATAGGCACGGCGTTTATGGAACCAAGTGCCAACAGCAGTATTGGAACCCCAGAAAAGACAGCTGGAGCCAATGGCACTGCATATCGACTGAGCCAAGAAAAACTGATAATACTCCTTGCACAGGGAGATCATCATGACTCCAAAGACCTGGAAGAAGGAGCCCACGATGACGAGCCACCGAGCGCCGTAACTGTCGAATATTCTGCCGCAGATCGGAGCTCCCGCGAACATGAGAAACGTCTCGGTTGCTGGGATCCAGGCTACGGTGCTTGAAGAGTAGTTGCTCAATTGGTGGGTAACGTAGTAGTCCTGGAAGACACCGATACATGTAATCCAGCCGAATGAGCAGGCAAGACAACACCAAGCTCCTGCAACGACCAGCCAGGCACAGAGCCCGCCATCAGGAGGTCCATCATCGTGCGGAGTTGAGTCTTCTGCTTTCTCAGCCTGCTGGGCCGTGTTCTGGTTTTCGCTCGTGGAAAGGGAAGATTGAGACAAGTCATCTTCTTTCGAGCTGTTGTCCTGGGTCTGCAGACTCATGATGGCTGATGGAGGCCAAAAATCCCAATACAGAGAATCGATGCCAGTAATCTGAAGCGGAAGCCAGGGGGTCGTGGACTGCAAACGATGCAACGACGAGATGGAACTTGAGCGAACGATCCTGACGCCTCTCTCGCCCTCCTGTCATCAGGTTTTGTTCTCATTTGGATCCCCATGTCCGCAGATGACGATACAGTGCCAACTGTCCGATTTCCCTGGCCAACCACCGACTCCTGATGCCCTTCTTCGAGTCCCAGAGCCAACACTCGATTCCAGCGCGAACAATCCGATTCTCAGCAACGCGGCATCCACGCGATCAAGGGCATTATGACGTGCGGTGTCGCGGCCTCAAGTACAGATCGTAACGTGCTAAGGTCGCACGTACTCAGGTCCGCACACCGGAAAATTGTTGTGTCGCGTGGCAACTTCCGGCCGGTCTGCAAAGGCTTCCGAGATCCAGCATCCTGCATCCTGCAGCCTTGTCTCCAGACACTATTCCGATGTATTATGACATCAGTAAGATCCAAGCCAGAGTCGTATGAAAATATGCAGAAGAAATGTGGCGTCTTGGTACACTGGCTTGGTATTGGGTCGATCCGGAGAGAAACGGCCACAATGACGGTGTCCCCCGACAGCCTCGTCCAACGTTGGCTTGCAATATACCGCTCAGTCTCCGCAAGGTGCGATGGCAATGATACACCGATGATCGCGTGTCGCTTAGGCATGATGAAAATCGCTCCAGGAAATCCAGGCTTCACTGTAGCCTCCATCTCGAATCTTGCCTAGCCAAAGTTGTTGCTTGATTTGGCCATCTTCATGACCACAGCTTGGCTCGAAACTGCTGTATACTGGTCTCCTCCAAGACCTCGATCTTCGCGGCGACATCGCAACAAACGTGCTACCCATCTCGGAAAGATCCAAAGTGCCTGGACAAACGATCCTGGAAACGACGACTTGGAATCGACTATGGCTGGCTGACTATTCGATCCAATTCCATTCTCAGGTAAAGCTAACGATCTACTCATACAGGGAAAGGGGATAGTGCCATTACCATGTGACTGCGCGGGGCCGTGCATCAAGTGAATGACTTGGAGCGCCTCTGCTACAATCTACGCCGACCGTGACGACTTGTGCGCAAGCCGAGGATCAGCACAGTCTTCACGGATGTGGAATCGGGTTTCGGCAATTTATTGCCGCTTTCTCAGCTTCACCTCGAAGCCAAATTGTGGGACAAACCAACGATTCTCCACCCTCCAAGGCTGATCGCCGTCCATGAGCTCGAGCTACACATCCATGTGGTTAGCCAAATGTCGTTGAGGGAGGTGCATGAGACCGCGCTTCTCCGGCTGACCTACCTCGTATGTTCGCAGGATCGTCGGTACCAACTTGTACAGCTCCAGGAGCGAGATGTTCTTACCCAGACAGGAACGATGTCCTCCTCCAAACTGCGCAATCACATGCACGTCAGCACACAACCAACAACTGCGTGGGGGTGTGAAGATCTCACGCACAGTTAAGAGTCCCTGGTCCATCCTCGCTTTCGTACTCTCCTCGGCCTCGAGCCATCGCTCAGGTCGCCATTGGTCGGCATCGTCGCCAAAGACGTCTCTGTCTCGGTGGACTACCCATCCGTTCATTCCAACAATGGTCCCTGCAGGAATAAATTCGCCGGAGATGCTGAGACCGCCTTCCGGCACGATACGCTCCAGTGGTAGGCCGAATGGTGGATGGACTCGGCCCGCTTCTTTGATGCAGGCATCTAGGTAGGGTAGCTCGCGACTCTCTTTCCATGTGACTGGCATCGACAACTGGCCACGGGATTGTGCCTCGTCTAGCTCCTTGCGCAGGGCAGCTAGTGTTCTTGGCTCGGTCAGGAGGTTCTTGAACAACGTCCGCAGATATATAGCAGTCGTGTCGCTGCCGGCGAGGATGTTGGAGGAAGTCCAAGCAGGAAGCGCCCTGTCACGAAATCAGTAAGTGGGAAACGTTGGTGGAGGCTCGTGCTCGCTCACCATTGAGGGATGGACGAGTCTTTCTTCATTGCTTGAATGAACCGAGACAGGAAGTCCTTGTCGTTGACATCGTCATCAGCGACCTCATCCTTCTCCAGACGCTCTTTTTGCCTGGCCATGGCAAAATCGACCATGGGCGAGTATTTCGCCGGTTTCAGCATCGACACCAGCTTGTTCTTGGTCCAGATACAATCCAGCCAAGGCATCTGTCCGATCTGCCAAAGATGTCAGAAGATGGAGGGTACGAATACTTGCGGTGCAAACAACATACCACTGCGACGTACTCGAACCAGTGCCAGATGTCACCCATAATTCCGTCAACATCCTTGCCAGCCTCCAGGAAGCCAAGACGTTTCGAAAAAGTGATCTCGCCGACGACATCGAAAGCAAAGTATTGCAGCCAAGTGCCCCAGTCACAAGTCTCGCCCGTTTCCACGAAGCGTTTGTCCAGCTGCTCAAAGAAGCAGTGGATCGTTGAATCGACGAACGACTCGAAGGACACCAGGTTGGTCATGGAATATGTGCTGGCGATTGGCTTCTTCAGCATGCGATGCATATTTTCGTCTTGTGTGGCGAAGACACCAGGCAGGACTTTGCCCTTTGACATTGGAAGGATGACGTGGTAAAAGTTGGACTGTTGTCGATTTTACATGGTCAGTGATAATCTCTTGCCCCTTTCTCACCACGCTGCACTGACCTTAATCAGGGGCCCGCTCATTCGGTACAGATTCTTGACCTCTGTTGCGTCTCCAACCGAGACCATATTTGGTCCAAAGCGAACGAGTTTGCCATGCTGCTGGTGCAGGTCGACATGGATCTCGTGTGCTCGCCGCGAGTACACCCAGAGCAGTCGCGGCAAGTCACTCACTTTAGCCAGCGCGGGACCGGGAATGTGTTTCAACCGATTCCATGAAGTTAAGAGGTAGACTCCAGCCAGAATCGTTGCCAGACCGAGAAGTGCGATCCAGTTGTCCCCTTGACCTAGAAGGTCACCTAGCTTTAGGAGAGCCATACAGTGTTGTCAACCTAGGGGGTTCGAGAAGCAAGAGAAAGCTTGTCGTTCCAGCCATGCCAAAGCTCTTCGCCATCATTATAGAGAAACCAACATACGTCTCTGATCGTAACAAGCCACAATCGACGTCACATTTCGTCGGAAGCCTTCAAGGGAATGAACGCTGAAACTGCGGCTCTCAATCGAAGGGGACCCGAGTAGTAGGGCCAGCCCAATCACTTGTGCAATCGGAAGCATGCTTCTCTAACACTCAAGTCCGATTTTACACTTTCTACCCTACTGCAGCGATAAGCTTAGCGTCATCGCCGTTTCAGGGTTGTTGAGCACATGCAACCCATCCCAAGCGCGAGGGTATAGTAATTAGCTAGCCGTGTGACATGCACGTGGCGGGCGTGAGCAGCTGCATGGCTTGAATCCACCCGAGCCGCCACACGAGGGACCTGCACAATACCAACACCTATACGCTGCACGGCAATCGTCGATCTATAAGACCTCCTGTGCTGCACCATCCCCTGCGATCTTCATCTGCCTCATCGTGAGAGGACGAATCTTGCAGCATCTGTTGGATAACAATGGAAGGGCGAGGCTGATGAAGGCTGAGAAGGTATTGAACTGTATGCAGCGCTGTTTGCGGGACCTGAGTTTGGCATCCTTCTGTATTGATTTTCTGCTTCCCACATCACTTTTTTGGTTCTTGTTTGGCGATCGATCGTGAAGGACAGTGAAGATGGTGGGCGTTTCTGAGAGCTATAGATAATACCTCTTTCCGAGCTCGACAAGAAATGGACAGGTCAAGTCAAGAAACACATACCAAGCATCCTTTGTTGTCGTTATTTCAATGCAAACATCATGAATCCTGCCGACTGCCAAATCTACCCTGACGCTCAGGTCCTTCATCAAGACCGATATGTCGCTGCCGTTCCGCCATATCACAATGTCTCGGACGCTATAGCGAAGACGCCTCGGCTGAAGGAGGTCTGTGATAGTTGCTCCGCGGCAAAGGTGCGGTGTAGCAGTATGTTCCTAATACTCACATTTCTCGACTACTACTCTGACACGAAGCCACAGGGGATAAGGATGGCTGCAATCGATGCCTAGCGAGAGGCATCGAATGCGTGTACAGCGCCTCGCGCCGAGTGGGTCGACGAAGGGGGCCTCGACACAGGAAGAGGACGACGAGTATCAGCTCTGTGATCAATTGTCCTTCTTCGCCCTCGACTTCGCTCGTGGATTGCACCGAGTCCGATGCGTCCCCTCTGATGACGTACTTGCCCATGCCTGGAGATAGCCTTGACAAGGCTGCTCTGGACAACCCCTATCTCTGGTCGCTGCCGCCGCATCCTGAAGACCCGACCGTTCAGTTCCCTGTGGATCACGGACTATACGGCATGCAGGACTATGACCTCAACCAGTCGTTCATGTTCCCAATGGAGCCAACCAACACATTCCCGGGGACTCTCTCGCCTCCTGAGGCACTCACGCCTGTCAAGACATCTAAGTCTTCAAGCGTTGTCTCGGAGATAAAGGAGCCCAAGCTCAAACAGCGCGAGGATTCTACCACTTCCTCCTCCACTTCCTCCTCGATGGACTCTAGCCTTCTCCCTCGCCGCAGCTCATCCTCCAGCGACTTGAACCTCTCCATGGATCCCGCAGCAGACAGCCGCATCCACAGCAGCCACATTACCAGCGTCTACGACGAACTGCAAGGCCTGACAATCTTCGCGTTCTCCATGGAACAGAAATTCGACGCCGTCGTCCGCCAGCAGATGAGTTGTCGACCGGCGTCGTCATCGGATTTCGGCCTCCCGCTTGAGGAGCTGCTGAGCAAACCTGATGATGGCAGTAATGGAAAGGGACGAAACGAGCCGGGGCAATTAGAGAGTGCTTATTATTATTCGCTGGCAGAGTTGAGGAGGAGGTTGAAGTGGTTAAGAGAGGATGTGGGAAATATGATCCCGCAGCCTGGTGGGAAGCCCGCTGATGGGTTCGCTGCTTGAGGGGGTGGTGATGGTGTTGGCTTTGATTCTTGGGTGTATTAGTAAAGGTGCATGGTAGGGACTCGGTAATGAGTACAACGGCCTGTTCTGTTCACGATTTGCTGTTGCTGTTGAAAGCTCGGTCGCCCACAGTAGTGGTACGCCACTGGTCCACTTCTCCAGAGTGACACGACCTTAGGCTTCTGTCATCCTTAGCGCAGTATCAATGTTTTGGGTCCGTACTCAGACACGTGCCTTACTACCGGACAGGTGTTCGGATTCCACGACGAAGTCGATAGTCCGTACATCGATCAATCTTGTCGGTTACTCATCTGAATTGTGAGGCCTTGCGTCCACGTCGGGCACAAGGCCAGCTGGACTATCGCGATACGCTGTCATCGTCGGAATTGCCTACCCTCGTGAATCATGTTGTTGGTCGAGGTGACAAGCCGGTCTGGGCATTAGCTGGGCTGGGCTCAACGCTCTGGAAACGGAAGTCAAAGGATCCTTGGTGGCATCCTCTTTCAGTAATCACTCGGATACTGCGTACACTGTCCCGTCAAACGGGATGGCTCATCGACTCTGATCTTGACAAGCTTTTCGACTAATATCCACGGCGATCAGCCCTCGTAAGCGAGTTTTCGCGCAAGTCGCTATGGGTTCCCGAATCGCGACATCGATTTCGGTGTTGGATAGTATACGAGGGCTGCGTAGTAGTGAGTGGTGTAGGAGTAGCCTACTCTGTGTACCGAGACAAAATAGCGTCTGGCGTGAAGAAATCCTCCGAGTAGTGTGTTGTCCGAAGCAAGAACAACGCGAGGTGTCGTCTGAGGCGTGGACCGAACGTGGGCGTGGGGGTGTAGAATGTGGAATCGTGTGGGGCCGACGACACGTGGCGTAGATACATGCACATGAGATCGGCGTCGGTTGTTTGTCATTCCCCTCACTCAGATCTGCATCTCGCACATGTACCACAAACTTCAAGGCAGACCTGCGTCGTGGCCCGCTGTATCCTGGACCACGCAGGTCCCCAGCCTGCAGGACTCAGCCATGGAGCGACATCAGGGTGGACCCTTTCTCCCTTTCTGCAGCTAACGTGCCGATGGAGCTGAGTCCTTCGCACTGTTGCGTGCTTGGGAGCGAGCTTACATACTCGGGGAGCACAGGAGAGCCGCCTGACGCCGCAGTCTGACCGAGTCGAGAATCGATATAGGGAGGCGTAGAAGAAGAGTATCGAGACAAGGCGGTCGATATTCAAAAGACCACGGACATCCTGAGAAGACAGGAGAGCAATAAAAGGGACCAGCGGGCGAAGGAAGGCGTACGAGAACGACCGTCTGTCATATCCCTCGGGAACATGTCGCCAGTGCCAACAGGGAGATCGACACGCTAGCACCAAGTCAGCAAGCGCGACTTTCTCAATACGCGTGCTCCTTCGGCGCAAAACACGCCGCAAAGTGTATGAGAGTGTATGCTTCCTCCAGTGCGAGATGCATGAGGGCCTGCAGGGTGGCTCCTGGCTCCAAAGCTTTTATCTCCCAACCGCCAAGTCGCCGGCCGATCTTGTCGGTTCTCATGGCATCGCTCCGTGGCGTGGCTGCTCCCCGTGTTGCACAACATGGACATGGCATGATGGAGCTTATGGAACGCTTGTGCTTCTTCTCGGTGCTGAACATCTCGAGTGTCGCCGGGCCTCGCAACGCTATGCTGCTTCCGTGTCAACACGCGAGTACATCATGTCTCGTCAATGCCGGACCCGTAGCTCTCCTGCAATCTGCGGCTCTCAACAGCCGCGTAGGAATGCTTTCAGGTTGTTGGTATTACTCTGATCGTCGTCCTTGGTGGGCCTAATTCTATGCATCATTTGGCAGCTCATGTGAGCTGTGCATTGGAGCGAGGCTGGGAATATAGGCCGTCCGCCCCCGTCTTTCAGCTCCTCGATCTCCAGAGCCCAGCGGTCTGCTCAAGCGTCGCTCACGATCGTGAGTGACTTGGGTCCTACTTGGCTACCGTCGTTATTGTCCTCGTCAAGGTTGTCTCAGTTCGGCCATCTTCGTGTCTTAGCCTGGGTCGACATCGGCTGGGGGCGATGGCGTCTCCTGCAGGAGCTGCGGCTCCGCGAAAGTGGACGCCTGCGGAGGACCTTCGTCTCCGGGCTGAGTGTGAACAACAACGTGAGTGGTAAACACCAGCAGTCGCAGTGTCGTCAACAGGGTGTGGAGAAATAAATGTCCATGTGTGCTGACACTAATTTTGCCTTGTAGTACGGCAGACGGGCACCGTCAACGACTGGATGGCGGTAGCAGACAAGATGCCACATCGGACCAACAAAGACTGCCGTAAACGGTGGAGCAAGGTCTGTGCCACGCTGAAGAAAGGCCCATGGAGCTCCGATGAGGACTCCAGGCTACAACAAGGTGTAAATCGGCACGGTTGCAAGTGGACACTGGTGGCCCAGGTGGTGGAGTCTCGAAGTGCCGACCGTACGTGTGTTGTGTTGGGTAGCAGACCACCTCAAGCTAACCCTCGTCCAGAATGTGCAAAGCGATGGCAACATAGTCTGGACCCTCACCTCGACCGGAGCGAGTGGAAACCTGAGGAAGATCGACTCCTCCTGGAAGCGGTTCGTCAGTATGGTAATGATCCCGTATCCCCGAGACGATTGGCCCCGTGCGAGACATGTGTTGACATCTTCAAGGTCAATCATGGACCAGTATATCCGAAGCAAAGTTCCCTCGGCGAAGCAAGACCGACATCAAGAATCGATACTCCATCATCCTTCGACGGTTAAAGCAGCGACCTAGCTACCTCCCCACACCGACACCCGATCACGAAGATGACGATGATGATGCTTCGGACTTTGAGGTCGACCGTACGTCCACCACAGGTCTTGGCGCTAGCGCCCAGCATATAAATTACCATCAATCCCCCTCCTCTCACCACAACGTGCCGGCTGTTCCTTACAATCACAGCATGCCGGACATGATGTCGTGCGTACCGCCATACCTCACCGCCGACTATCGTACGTCATCGTCTTCTTCCTCTCCGCCCACACCTGCCTGGACTCAGAACATGGGCATGATGGATCAGTCCATCGGGGGCCGCTTTGGGTCTAGCTCTCGAGGCAGCAGCAGCAGTGAGATCTATACACCAAACGACATGAACACGATGATGGACCCGATGGCATTGGGCCACGATATCGCACCCAATATGACCGACGAAGAGTTCACATCCGAAATGCTCGCTCAAGTCAGCTGCATGGATGGACAAGATCTGATGAGCATTTCCGGCGACCCAACCTCAAATTCTTTCTCCAGGTCCTCATCGACTTTGACGATAACCATCGAGGATGCAGACCCGAATCACATCGACGGGATCACCAGCATTTTGTTGCGGTCCAGGACCAGATTTCGAATGAACCACTCTTGAGCATTGGGACGTCCCGATATACCAACTTCTCATTCCATCCTTGTATAATCCACCATCCTGGCATTGATGACTGACGAATAACGATACCAATGGCAAAGGAGCACAGGCGATATCAGGTCCTTCATGAACGGAAAATGGCTCCTGGGATGCGGCGAACTTGGTGTGTACGATGGTCGCATCCTGGCGGGCGTTGCTCTTCCTAATCTCTTTTGTATCCTTGCAAAATGTTGGGGCATTCACGTCCCCACTGGGCTTCCAGTCCAAGATCCACGACGAAAGAAGGACGCATTCTAAACGATCGATGACAATCGAAGCATAGCATACATGTCAAAACGAAGGTCAGGAAGTACCCTCCTCCCGCAGAAGCGGTAAAGAATAGAAATAGACGACAGAACACATAAGAAAGAATCGAACGAATCTGTTAAAAACCACAAACTCACTCTCAAACACTCTCAATTAAAAAGAAAACTCGACGTCCTCAATGCCCTTTTTTAAACGTGAAGTCAACTCGCCACGTGCGGAGACGCAAAGCCGGCCCTCCCTTCGTAAAATCCGGAGTGGTCAGACGTGCCGAAAACGGCGCCATGTTCGGAGCCTGGTGGCCGAACATGGGCAGCGGATATAAGTCGCCTGGGACCCTTTCCTACTCCCAATGGCTTGTATCGTGTCTCTCTGTCTCGCTTACTGCGACGCGGTATCCATTTGCCACGAACCGGCTGTTGGGAAGACGAGTAAGATCTCCTCCATTGCTCCCATCGTCTTCCGCAACTGATCCGTTCTCGCATATTGCTGTTGTGGGCCAATGCTGAGCAGGAAATCTGCGTCTCATGACCCAATGGCGCCGTCATAGGGGTCGAATAGATCGAGCTATGGATTCCGCCTTGCGAGACTTGGACGCTTTGTACGATGTCAATGCACGTTGCAGACAGAGTAGAGCCCGGAGTTACGATCAGACATGAGTAGACGGTTGGAGGGCCAGCGACGTCGCCCACAGACTTGGGCTCCGCGATCGTTCCATCGACATCTCCACCGCCGCGAGCGGGGAGTCCGGACGACGCTGCTTGAAGACCGCTCCGATGATGGAACGGAGTTGGTTGACAAGGGGACTTGTGCGACTTCACGATCTATCCCCGACACCATGCTACTTCGGAGACGATTGACGTCGACTGGAAGATGTGGCAGCAATCCTCCGGTCCAGGAGGCCACTCTTCTCACGAGTACAATGACGTTTGGCGAGACACGGCTCGGGGAGACGTACGGGGGGCTGGCTGGCGGTCTGGCTGGAACGAACGGGGGAGGCAGAGTCTGAAGGAATCCCGTCACGCGAGGCGATGCGATGTGATGTAGCTCGCTTCGCTACAGCAGCATCCCAGGCCCGGTGGATCGACTTGCTTCTGCTACTCTGTTCAGTGGACCACGATCGCCTTCGCTTAGAGCCCTAGGGAGCGGGCGCCATCGTGGGCGGGAGCGCAGACCCCGTGATCATCATTCAGGAGTCTAGGTGTCAATTTCCCGGGGCTACTGCGTATGTGACGTCTGTGCGACTCGTTGTAATGCCGAGATGGCGTCGATGGGGTCTCGCTATGTGCGTGGCGTCGATCGTTGCGATTTTCGCATATCTATGTAGGTCTTGTCTCTCACTACCTGAAAGACTTCGCACGTCCATCTCGCTTCTGTACTCGTTTTTTTTTTTCTAATTTCATGAGACGTTTCATTCTCAAGAGTCGCGACTATGTACCCAAGGAGACGGAGGAACGATCGGAGCGACCGAGCGTGACAGTCTGTACGTGTGCAGAGATCGACGCCCAACTCGTTTGGACAGCTACATCTGGAAGACACCGCGCGACGATTTTAATAAGATGAGAGGCTGCGCAGTGTATGTACAGTAATTCGCATTATGGCCGAACTCGACTCTGACTATCGCCTCTTCCAGCCTCGCAGCCTGACCCCAAGCTATGCACAAGAGCAACAACGAAGTTGATTCGAAATATAGTATAACTTGTCATTCGACATATTCTTCAAAAGAGTTACAATCCCAGTGTCTATATGGTATCTAGTTGCCCGCAAGGATGGAAGCAGAGATCTTCTCAGCCAACGCATCTATTTGGGGACGACAGGTCAGCCACATTCCAAGACACGATCAATGAACAGGAAAGACTTACAAACAGTAGACATAGGATGTCCAGGAGGCAGAAGAGCAAAAGACGAAGCATCCACAACCCGCACACCAGTCACGCCAATGACCCGAGCTTGGGGGTCGACCACAGCATTCGGATCATTCGCACGACCCATGCGGCACGTCACGGCAGCGTGGAAGATGGTGCTGAAGCTCTTCTGGATGAAGTCCAGAATCTGGGCATCGGTTGAGACCGCAGAGCCGGGGAAGTATTCTGGGCCGATTAATAGGGGCTTCATTGGACTGGATTGCCAGATTGCTCGGGTGCGTTTGAAGGCGGCGATGGCGGCGGCTTGGTCGACTGGGTCTACGAGCCAGTTGGGATTGATGAGAGGGGCGTCTGCGGTGTCGGCCGAGGAGATGTTCACCCAACCCCTGGAAAGGGGGGCGACCAGCCCAGCCACCAGGGATGCATAATTGTAACTATCGGTAGGGTTGTCGGTGATGTAGTTCTGTGAATATCCAAAGTAGCCCCCCGGCGCTATGATTTCTATGTCTGGCCAGTCGGCGGGGAAAGAGTTGAGAGCCTTGATGGTGGCGTTGTTGAAGTTGGTCGAGTTTCGGGGCAATTTCTCCCAGCCGAAGTAGTCGACGTTAGGGTTCGTCAATTGGCCATATCCTTGATGGAATTGCTGTACGGCAGTGGCCATATTGTTTCCTTGCGATAAATAAGAACCGGTAATGACATTGACACGGTAGGTTTGACCGAAGAGGATATGGTCGGTCATCTGCAATACCTCCGAGTCAGCGGCCGAAGGCTCGAAATCATGTGGAAGGTACCTACATTCTGACCAACACCAGGACGGTTAGCTAGCACTGGAATACCATGCTGTTGAAGAGTAGCGGCGGGACCGATGCCAGAGACCATAAGCAGCTGTGGAGACTGGAAAGCCCCAGCAGACACAATGACCTCTTTGCTCACGCTAAGAGTATATGTAAGGCCATCAGTGTTGACCTGCACACCAGTAGCTTTCTTGGCGGAGTTGAAAATGATCTTCTTGCCAAGGGTGTTTGGGAAGACGATAAGATTCGGACTGGGTCTCGAGATCGACTGTGCGATTGCAGGCTGCAGAAAAGCGACCTCAGAGGAGTCTCGGAAGTTGGTCGTGTAGTCGATTGTAGCCAGCGCATACGACGAGCCGATCAATTTTCCACTTTCGAACCCCTGAATGGGATTGATGCCAATGGCAGACAAGCCTTTCACGACAAACGTTCCAAAGGCGCCAGCCCACGCAGGGAAGATGACGGACAGGGGCCCACTTGTGCCGAGCTGAGAGGCGACGTACTGTGGAGTTGAGTTCGCAATACGTCGACTGTCTGGTGGAGTGAAGTTCTGGCTCTTTTTGAAGAAGGGGTAGAAGTTGTCGAACGTGTAACTCTGGTCGCCGACATAGTCTGCCCATCGTTGATAGGAATCTGCTGTCGAGGCATGATCTGAAAAGTGCTGTCAGTAGAGCGAGAGATCTCGAGGTAATAAGATACTTACAAGTCATGTAGTTGCGCGCAGAGCTCCCGCCAAAACATTTCCCTCGAGGATAGTGAATTCTGGCATTCTGAGCTCCTGTCTGGGGGGTCGTGACGAAACCCCAATCGATCCCAGGCTGCCAGTCATTCACAGCCTTGCCCGCGTAGTACAAATCGCTCTGAGGAATCTGACTAAGGTTGCCATTGGTCGTCTCGTAGAAGGTTCCCGCCTCAACCACGGCGATGTTGAGTGCAGAGTTCTGAGCAAGTCTGTAGGCGACGGTCAATCCAGCGTTGCCTCCACCAACAATGACATAGTCAAAGGTGTAGTTCTGGCCTGGCACACCAAAAGCTGATCCCACCACTGGTAGACCATTACCAACGGGAGCCGCAGTGACGACTGATGCTACGCTCAGAAGCGCTACAAACAAATTTCTGGTCGGCATATTCGCAGCCGATTGAGTTTGTTCACAGCGAACGATGCAAGCGAAGGAAGGGCAGAAACAGACGATCGATGACAGGAGATGGAATCGTGGAAATGGCTCGGCATCGCTCAAGTCTTATACGGGTCTACGACTCGTCGAATCGCCTACCTTGAGATGGGCTCCTCATCATCTCTTTGGGAGGATGCATCCATCGCGAGACCGCGATACAGGACACCGAGCCGCACATGGCTCGCCTGAGAACAATACAACAATAGCGAAGCCATGGACGGCACACGTACCGTATTGGTAGAGACAGATGTCGGGCCGGAGGGCAAGCGATAGTATGGCGCCGAGTGCAACCAACACCGAAGTGACCAGGCTGGGTAGCGATTGGTCTGCACAGACGGAACTGCATCATAGGAGCGACAAGGTGAATAGGCGATAGTTGGTATCCGATCGCGATTTAGCCAAAGCCGTATGAGTCCAAAAAGGAACCATCAGTTTCAGTATGTTGAGAATAGCCTTGATTAGGTAGATGATTCACGTGTGCCACAACTTTCATGGGAGTATTAACCACGTGGCACACACGTTCGCTTCATGCACAAGTTCCATGTGTTCATGTCTCACACGAGAGTAAATGTGGTGGTCGTTGTCCTCGATCGCTCACGGAGAGTTCTTTCGGATTCTCGGCAGCACGTGATCCTGCTGAGCACCGTAGATATCTCAGAAAGCCCAGTTCGGTAGCGATGGTCCTGTCTACACGCTCGCAGACGAATGGTGATGATCTTCGCGCATACTGTGTTTAGTTACATGGCACAAGGTGGTGTGAAGTTGGGCAAGGTGACGTTGAGGATTAGCCTTTTTACTCGGGTCTCGCTTGCCGGCGCGCTAGTGGGAGGCCCGCGCCGATCAGATAAGCACTGACGTTCCGTGAACCACACTTTCTTCCCTCCCAACAACCTTGCCAATGCAGCCTTTCAGTCTGGAGTATCACACAACACCGACTACACGTACTCGGGTCCAGCATGAGTGTTGCTTTTGGCAATGACGCCAATGACGTTCACCTCGCGAACTTGCCAGGTATAATACGTGACAGCCATGGCGCTTCCTTGGAAATGCAGTAGTCCAGAGAGTGCAGCAATCATAGCAAATGGTTGGCACCACCCTGAAGAACATCCTCCTGTGCTGCACACCCAAAGAGGGCGTATCCGACACCCCACTACCTGCTGCGATTCCCGAGAAGCAGAAGACCTCATCTGTCGACAGCTCTGACAGCGATTCCACCTCGACCATGGCTCGCGTTCCCAGCCTCGCCGGCAAGATTGCCCTTGTTACTGGTGCCTCGAAGGGTATTGGCAAGGCGACCGCTCTTGCTCTCGCTGCTGCTGGCTCGTCGGTTGTTGTCAACTTTAACTCTGACGAGCAGGCCGCTAAGGACCTCGTGGGCAAGATTGGTGCTGATCGGGCTCTCGCCGTCAAGGCTGACTGCAGCACTCTGAGCGGCATTGACTTTCTGGTCAAGCAGACCGTCAACCGCTTCGGCCGCATCGATGTGCTGATTGCCAATGCTGGGATTCTCCCCATGAAGGACCTCGAGCACACCACCGAGGAGGACTTCGACCGCACCTTCACCCTGAACGTGAAGGGCCCATACTTCCTCGCTCAGGTAAGTACCAACGACAAAATGGTCATCGAGCCATCCAATGAAGACCATCAGCTAACATAGTCCGAAACAACAGAAAGCAGTCCCCCACATGCCAAAGGGCTCGCACATCGTCTTCCTCTCCACCACCCTCACCAAAGCCTCGACCGTCCAACCCGCCTACCTGCTCTACAACTCCACCAAGGGCGCCATCGAGCAGATGACGCGCGTGCTGAACAAAGACGTCGGCCGCAAAGGCATCTTCGTCAACGCCATCGCGCCCGGCCCCACGGGCACCGAGCTCTTCTACAAGGGCAAGAGCGAGGAGATGCTCAAGACCATCGCCAACTTCAACCCGCAGGGCCGCATCGGCACGCCCGAGGAGATCGCGGAGAGTATTGTGTTTGTCAGTGGGTCGTCGTGGTTGTCGGGGCAGGTTGTGGCTGTCAATGGCGGTATGGCTTAGAGAGGTGGAGGGAACTCTATTCTGCTGAAAATTGTACTGTACATCATAGAATGCATGGCTGTCGACCTTTCTTCGAGTCAAAGCAAAGCAATGCAGAAGATTAATGAATTGGACGACCTTACGAAAAAGCTGACGTCTCAACAATCTCCAGCGTTCCAGATCCGTTTGCGCCACTCTCTGTTCGCTCTCAACCATTAACGCGTACGTGATTGACTGACCGTGACAAAAAAGTACGAAGAAATTGGCTACTGACTTAATTCGAGGCGACAGACCCACTGCAAGACGAGAGAGGTGCAGCGTGGCGAAGTAGGGCTTTTCTGGCAGTCCAGAAGGTCGAACTCAATAGTGTTGGACATGGTCCAACTCCGCTCCATTGATTTCGGGTTTCGGGGGCATGAGACACACGTAACATCAACATCCTGAAGAGATGTCCACGCGTCGTTCGTGTAAGAACCAGAATCCTCCCTCCCGTATCAGAGGAACAGCGAGCGGGAAGATAAAGCGAGCAAAAGGATCGAAGTCACTGAACTCAACTCACATCGCCACCAAATAATGAGGATGAAACTTCCTCCGTCGATCAATTCTTCTCAAAGTCATATATGCATTCCACAAAACCAAAGTAAAAATCTATCTATCGCGGTCGCCGTCGCCGTCGCCATCATTACTCATACGTAGACAGCCAGAGACAGCCCGACCAATCTGATTCTATCACGTCGATCGCATCACAATGCAATGCTTTCTCAATGTATGTTCATCTATCGCTTCTTCAAAAAAAGTTCTTCACGCCGCCGTGAAATCGCATAGGGTATCATAAAGCGTAACAAAAAAGCCAAAAGAGTCGTCGCTGTAGGGAGGATCCACCAGAGATCTAAAGAGAGAGGATGTGATAGCAGCAGTCACGTTGTGTCGGTGACGTTGCCGCCGGGGAGTCCGCCCTCTTCGACTTCTTCTTCCGGTGGGGAGTGGGCGGCTGGTTTGGAGCCGCCTAGCCAGTGCCTCACGGCGCAATCCCCAGCGCCTTGGCATATCTTCGATCGGCCTAGGTTCTTGAACTTGGGTCCTGTTGGGCCGTTGACGTAGTGATACTGGCCGGCAAAGCGGTATTGTCGAGGGTCGGAGAGAGGGTAGTATTTGTCGCCCCAGTGGCCTCCATAGTGGAACCAACCGATTGGGGAGAGAGGGTTCAAAGTCGAAGCTCGAACTTCTCTTGTCCTGTAGTCGTAAGTGTACGACTGCAAGTTCTGTGCCGGGTCCCACAGGGGTCCGCGGTCTGTCTCGTCATGCAGGAGTCCAAAAGGGAGAATATAAGGATGCAATCCGGGCGTGCCGTACATGGCGTGCGATCCAACAGCGCTGTACACGACAGGCCGCTTGGCGTGTCTGGCGGCGGTCTCGTTACTCCAACTGCCGATCATAGTTCCTGAGCCGTCGTAGCTAGGAATGTACTTCTCCATAGCTTTCCAAGTATACGCCTGTCCAAAGTCGTGCTCTGAAAGGAACACAGAATGGGGCTTGCCATTCTTAAATCGGATGGTGGTGTGTTCCCAGTCACCAACATGGTTACCGAATCGAATGTTCAACACACGTTGGCCCAAGTTGTAGGAATAGAAGAAGAACCAAAAAGCGTCGACGATGCCATCGTCTTTAGGAACGACGACAAGGATCGCCGGTGCCGAACTTCGTCCACCTTCTTCTGGCCGATGCCTTTCAGCCTTTACATCGAGCGAGCGTCGGCGTAAGTCCGGATGTGGTCCCCGGGGAGGGTTGTATGGATCGTAGCACGTTCCCGATAGCGGATCGCAAGGATCCCCACAGTAATCGTCGCTCTTTCCGCACCATCCGTAGATAGAGCAGCACCGACCGAATTTACTGCCTGTACACGTGAATCCACTGCTGCCACCGCATCGTCCATCTTCACTAACCACCAGCTCCGCCGGCCACATTTGCGGATATGCTTCTTGGCTCGATTCTTTTGGCGGATGGTTTGCAAGAGCCTGTTGCTTGGCTGACTCCAGGTCAAAGTCTTTGATATCGTCAAGGCTCGGCCACGGCGGATCTTCGTTATCGTCGCCGGCCGTTCTTTCGGGTACCTTGGGAATGTTCTTCTCACTGGCCAGCCACTCGGGCTTTTCTTCGACGTTGTCGTCGCTTTGGAGATACATGAACCTGCCATGCTGTCCCACCGTGTAATCATTAAGTTCGTTGAGGTTGGTGAGATTTCGGTCTTCGGATAGATCCAGAATCTTGCTATAGTTTAGGAAAGGCGATGTGTGGATAAGGTGATCACCCAGATCACTGGGCCAGTATTCTTCTCCGGAGAATAGGTGAACATAGGGTGCGTGGTCCAGCACGTATTGTGGTATTTCTCTGCGTTGGATCTCTTCTCTTGACCACGAGTTGGGATCCTCTTCGCCCGAAGTCCACCATTCGGGGAGACGGACTTCATCCACAGTATCGTCATCATCGTCCACTTCTTCCCACGTCCATGCGCTTTTGAACACCCAGTGCTGTACTCCGCACAGTCCGAGCCACGTGCATAGCTGGCGATCCAGCCAGTACTTCGAACTCGCGACCCATGCCTTGTTCTCGGCCAGTTCGGCAAGATTACTTCCTTTGGTGAGATGCACCACGAGGCCCGTCAGCGCAATGTAGACCAAAGCGACTGAACAGAAGCCGAAGAAGCATTGCCGACCGCTGGGGCGCCGCATGGGGAGTGTTTAGAGCGGTGGGAGATTGGCGACCACGACGGAGATAGCGGTGGTAGCGTAGCGCTTCTGTACTACCGGGACATTTGGATCGATTGCGGGAGCGACGGTGAGGTGCGAGTGAATGGTCGCTGAACGCTGCAATGGCAGGAGATGCGGGAGAGGTGAGATGTTGGTGGAGCGAATGGGTTGAGATGTTGTAGTAGGTGAAAGAGAGCGTGGGCGGAGTGAGATTCGAGTGCGCAGGAAGGGCGGAAGTCGGGTGGATGAGAGCGGTACCTGCAAGGTGGAAAGGTCCGAGGAAGCCACTGAACGAGATGTGCACAGCGGGTGGTAAGCCTCAGTCAAGAATGCGCTAGTCGATGCGGTAGGTTGGATCGAGTTCGGAAGTTGATCTCGTGACGAATCGCTGCTGTCTGGCGGCCGGCTTCGTCGGATACTGACGTCGAGCAGCTTGGTAAGATCTATGCCAGACGTCGACGACCCCGGTGGCAGACGTGGCAGATGCAGCCCGCAGCGTCCGGCCCTGCAATTGTAGCAATGCTAGAGAACTGTGCGCTGTGGTAACGATGGACAAGGCGGCGGTGTCGACCGTACGAGCGTCCGTACAGCCGTCAACTCAGCGGCGGTGGTATCATTCACGCACGAAAGGACGTACGAGTTTGGGGGGCATGGCGGTCGCTTTAATCGGCATGCGGGTGCAGTCAGCAGGGCATGGTCCAAGCAGTGCCATACTCCGGCCCAGCGCATCACGCTTTGCCGAGACGACGACAAAGAGAGCCAAAACAGTCGTCGAGGAGCGGCCGAGCAGCGAATCACAGCAGCGTGTGCGGTGAATGTGTCAGGTTGAGCGGCGCCCACTGGCCGAAACTGGGCTGCAACACTGCCATGTCCCGATTGGCAGTCTGCACGACCTTCCCTGCGTCGACATCCTGCGTCCAATTGCGCCCACACGCGCCTGCTCCTGGCGACGACAGCTCTTGACCACGGCCTCAGGCGACTGATCAGAAGGGAGACCGCACACCACACCACCTCGTCGTCGCTGGCATGTGAAACGCACAACACCTTCACCTGTGCGTGCGTTGAGGGGAACGCAGGTGACGTGAGTGGCCACTTAGACTTCGTGCTATCTGCACGTTGTCTAGACCACCGACTCCTTCGCACACCTGAGCGGTGACCAACAATGGGCCAGCCCATCGCCAGTGACGGTGCGCCCGCAATCGTGAAGGACGACGACGACGACGAGTGGGAGTACGAGTATGATGCGACCGAGACGGAGGACTGGTACTTCACCCTCGACCTCACCACGCACATTCCAGATGCACTGCTGCAGAAATCCGCCCCCGCAAACGGCAGCCACGAGTCCGACGGGGCCGCACGGGGCTTGCCACGCAACGAGGAGAAGGATGGCGAGGAGGGAGCAGTGAATGAAATCGAGGACGACGCCTCTGCCAAACCCGTCGGCAATCTGCAGATCATTGACTTGCATACCACAAACCCTCTGATTAAATTTGACGACCAGATCTTTTCCTGCTACTGGAGCACCGACCTTGGCACGCAGGTACACATCGCTCAAGCTGGAGACATACCAAGCCCTCGTCGAGCAGGGACAGTGCTCGATGTTGTCGGCACATCGCAGACCAGACTGATCGGAAAGCCCGCATCCCTCAAACCCCGTGAAGATGGCGGACGACGACAGGAAGGCGGCGCTCAAACCAACGCCATTGAAATCAAGGACGCATCCGACAGTGAATACGAACTGGAAGAGCGTTCGCAAAAGTCCACGCCCGCCCCAAGCACTCAAACACCAGGCACACTGCTAGAAATCCCACAAGAACTGCTAACCAGCAAAGCCGTCAAAGACCAAGCCTCTTTCCTCGAACGTCTCTCAGAGGTCAAGCTAAAGAAAGGCGAGCACGACCCCATCCCATTCCACGGAATTCGAGTATACGATCCACCGGACAATATCGAAGAGATCCGTAAGAAAGATAAAGAATTCCAGGCTGCGAAACTTCAGAAAGCCAAGGACGAGCAGCTGGCTGCGAAGGGCGATCGGCCGCGGAAACGGAGGCGGAAATTTGGTGAGCAGGGGGCGAGGTCTGATGCTGGGAGGAAGGGGAGAGGTGCGATCGCGGCGTCGTTGGGGTTTCTGGAACGAAATAAGGGTGGTGGAGCAGCAGGAGGACAGGCGAGCACTGCAGCTGCGGAGGACGATGGTGCGGAGGAGGAAGATGCTGCTGGAGAGGAAGATGATGATTGATCTGATTTGCATTCCATCTAGGCCGAAAACACACACATACCCCATGTTCAGGCCTCACAAAACAAAAGACTGGAGTGCCGCCGACCTCAACTCCATCCGCTCCGTCCACCAAAGAACTAAAAAGTATTACCCTGGAAACTGATCGACTCCAGCTGCGAAGCAACACGCAGCTCCTCCTCCAGCGACGCCCACAGCCCAGGCGCACTCGGAGCGTACCCAAAGTTCTTCTCCGCCCGATCCGCTCGCGACCTCGAGTTGGCGCCGAACATGTACGTTCCGATGTGCGGGACTCCAAACGCCGCCATGGTCTGGTCGACCTCTTCGGTGGAGATGGACCTGGCCGTGCCGTCGCCGATGCTGAACTTCTGGAGGATGACGGCGGAGCGCTCGGCGAGCTCGCGCTGCGAGTGCTCTTGCGAGGCCGCGAAGTAGTAGCCCTGCCGTGGATGTCAATACGAGTGAAAGAAAAAAAAAAGGATACGACCATTGGGAGAAAGTTCAACTCACCTCCCCGCCCCACTGCGCACCCTCCCCACCCTTCACGGCGCTCTCCACCAAGCCCAAGTACACCTTCACCAGATCCTCAATGTGCACCCAACTCCGCACATTTGCGCCCTCGTTGCCGTAGAACGGCTTGCTCAGCCTCTGGATCTCCGTCAGGAACACCGGGAAGTAAACCGTGTGCTTGTTCTTCAGGCCCCGGCCAGGACCGTAGATGTCCGGGGGACAGACGATGGCGGTCGCGAGTCGGGAGGGGTGGGTTTGGGCGGCGGAAAGGATGAGCTTGTCGACGTGGCGGTGGAGTTCGCCGTCCGGACGGGTGGTGATTTCTTGGATGTCGGTGATGTCGGACCAGATCTTGGGGTTGAGCTTGCCGACCCAGGAGGGGGAGCGCCAGTCGGCGATGAGGCCTGTGCCGCTGAGGTGGAGGAGGAAGGTCTTCTTGTCTGTTGTCGTGGGGAGGGGGTCGTTAGTTGGTGGACGAAGGGCTGGGCTTTGGTACGGGATGCTTACCGCTCTTGAGGCTGCCGTCGATCAAGGCCGTGATGCTGTGGACGTGGTCTGAGTTGCCGTTATCTGCACGACGTGGTCAGTCATCGGCGATGCTTCAACTCGAAAGATCGAAGGCATTCGCAGGCATTGCATTTCCGTCCAACATCACTTGACGAGTCGCCACGTGTGCGACACGATCGAAGATGCAGCAGATCTCGCAGCGCATGGAGGCCCTGGCCGAATCTCACGCAAGGATGTCCTCAGCAGGATTCGCAACCCTGCGCACGAATGCCGAACAACACCTCTTTGTGACCCAAAAAGCTCCCAGCTAGCTGCCCCAGCTTCTCTCTGGCAACAACAACATGAAAGAAGGTATTCTCAGAGAAGAAAAGGCAACTTACGAACAACGACATCCGCCTTGGAAGCCTCCTCGCTCAGCACATCCGCGTTGTCATAGTCTCCTCTGACGACTTTGACGTTGGGATACGTCTTGGCGAAGTCCTCGGGTGGATTGCGAAGCAGCGCGGTGATCTCGTACTCTGGGTGCTTCTTGACGATGGTGTCCAGGACGGTTCCGCCGATGTAGCCAGTGCCGCCGGTGCTATTCTCCAGTGTCAGTGACGTGAGCGCTCGTTGTGGGCTCCTGCGATACCCACATGAAGATCTTGGGCGCCATTGCTTCGTCTGCTCGTTTGCTTTGGGATGATGACTTCCTGTCAGATTCTTGTTGTGTTGGAAAGATGGCTCGCTTCGTGTTCTTCGCTTCTGAGCCCTCCTTTAAATCCCCTCTCAACCCTGAAGTCAAGTGTCAATTTCTAAGCACTGTCGTGCCAGCTCATGAAAAAGTGACGTTCTAGCGTCGAAAGCGCAAGTGCCACCACAAAGAAAGTTCCAGGTTTGTTGCAAACAAAGACATCTAAACACATCTGAACCAATGCATCGGGATCGCTGCCAAGGCACGCTTGCGCGACCGAACCACATCTCTGGGAACAGATTGAAGAGTCATCGTCGCTACGGCACAACTTGAAATACCTTACCTGTGTACGACGGCATTGCTAGTCCCGACTTCCATCCTACAGTAAGCTAAGTGTGGGTGGATAGTCTACGCCACGTGCGGCGCCTCAGCTGTGAAGAGTCATACTGTCATGCCAATCACTGCGATATCCGCAGATGCCATTGACGACTGTGTGAATGTCGAGACGAGATTCCAATGGCCGGCGGGTACGCATTGCCCCGCTGTGGGCGCGAGATGTCGGCATCGTGGTGGCCGTCTCGGACCGATGTCACATGATGTTGCCGATAGGCCGGCACTGATGAAGGGATAGGAGTTGTTCTTGGGTGGTGGGGAGTGTGAGAGAGGAGGCAGGAGAGCAAGGATCGTGAGGTCGTCATGGGAGCTGGGCCGATGTGAAACAGTGGACCTTGTCGATGCTTGGTGAGTAGTAGTCAAACGCTGATGCATTTCCAGACATCGACTGCCCGTTGGCTGACGGAGTCCTTACTCGCACCCACAATCACCATGGCCACGATGCTCATACTCATGCACAACATCGCGAATAACATCCTCCAAACTCTCGCCCGCAACACCCAAGCCAAGCATCTCTTTCGCGTCTCTCTCCACAGAAGGTCTCACCGCATCCAAGCCCTTGTCGAACAACACACTTCTCTCCATGAGGAACATGCCCGCATCAGGAAATCCACGTTCGAACCTCCTCTCCCCTTCATGAACGAGATCCTCCACGTCTACATTGCCCACTTCCCACGTCTGGCCCGTCTGATCCTGGAGAGATTGCATAATCTCATGGCCGCTGACTGTCATGCCGGCGGCGTAGATGTACTGGTTTTTGACTCCGCTCCAGTGTGTGATTATGGAGTGAGCCACGCGACCGATCCACGAAGACGAACTTGCTGCGAATTTCTCATGGCCTGAGCCTGGAATCATGGCGCTCTGCCATTTGAGGTCGAAGCCTAGGGTTCCCGTAATGAGGACATGATCGAGGGGGAAGCAGCCTGTTGCTACTGCGGTCCACTCGATAGATTTCTCGTATTCCTGGAGGTACTCGATAACTTTTGCTTTTTCTTTGTAAGGAGGTAGACGGTCCTGGATTTTGGGGTTGAGTGTGTCGTGCCCGAATTCTGCGGCGACGAAGCGTGGGATGTTGGTTTGGATTGCGGTGGTGATGAGTTCTTTTTGGAAGGAAAATGAGCCGGCGGATTGAGTGCTGAATATGATGTCGGGGGCGACGGTTGTGAATAGTGAGGTGAGGGATGGTTGGGCGAAGTCACTTTTATGGACGGTGATATTGTCTTTTGTTGATGCGCTGGACTGAGCGTGGGCGATTTGATGTATGTCGAGGTCGCTCGTTATCAGACCGGATTTGATGCTCGATGCTAGTCGATTGTCCTGCAGGTCGGTTGCTTAGCAGCTTCACGTGAGAAGAGGTCTCGACAAACTCACGCCAAGGATCACTACCTTGCGGATCGGGCTCTGCGTGCCATTGCGGCTGTCGTTTGTGATGGCCATAGGGATTGCTCTTCGCGCAAGGTCGCATTTCTGGTGACAAGCAGGATGGGACTTGCATCTCGGTCGAACGGATACTCCTCACTTCAAGCCCTCTTCTACTCCAAGCTTGCAGTCGCTAGCATAGGACATAGCCATTGGGGAACCAGACGAGCAGTATTTGAGGTGCTCTGAGAAGTTTGATAATGTGGTCGAGAAATTTGGCTCACAGACCTCGTGTCCTCACAAAGAGATGATATCTCGAATGTCAATTCCCTTCGATTCTTGCTCCGACCGTCCTTCAACGATCCTCATGGGCCAAGCCATCAGCTCTTGCCAACCAGGTTGGAGGATCTGATAGATTTTTGGGACCTGCTGCTCAGCTATGCCCGCAAACCAGGGAACAGTGTCTGAGATGAGTTTCATCAGAGCAAACGCATGCGCAAGCAGGACCATTGCTCTAGGAGCCCGCATATCAAGCAGTTCCAGAAAGCGCTTGGGTAGCCGTGAGGGCAGCGCTACCAAGCGACGGCAGTTGGCGAGTGCTGGTTCGCTTCCTTCGATGATGCTCTTGTACACCAATGCGATATACGCCGTGCACTTCTGGTACGAATCCTTGTCTCCTGGAGATGCCATCTCGTACTCTTCGTTGAAAGTGAGGACTTTCTCGAACGGTCTGCCGAATTCACGCTGGAAAAGCGCGTCTTCTTCGTCCAGTTTGCCGCGCCCGAAGTAGACACCGTTGGCTTCAAGAAATTCTTCGCCCATGAGCCCTCTCCACACCTCGCATAGATATCGAGTCCCATCGGCAAGGCGTAGCCATACGACGGGATCCAGTGTTGGGAGGGTCCTGTCTTCGTAGGAGTCGCTTAGAGTGAACAATGCGTGAAATGATACGAGGATGGAGGTGATGTAGACGGCTTCGACGTTCTCTCGTGTGAGTGCTGAGAGACCTCTGCGATGGCCATCGATGGCTCTGTCGAAGTAGACACGCGCGTTGATGAGCATCTCTTGTCTGCGTTTCGTGCTAACGTAGTCAGCGTTGTTCGAATTGCGCAAAGCGTTTGCTGCGTCTACGGCATCTACAAGTCGTCAGCATGATCAACAAAGCTTTTAATGTCCTCCAAACATCTCTGTGCTCCCTCTCAACGCACCTTCATTCTCTTTCCACTGAGCAGATATGTCCTTGGTGGCATAGGCAGGCTTCTGAATGGGATCTCGTATCGGTACCATGCGGCCTTCCATTGGAATCCATTGCTTTGGCGATTGTCGCGAAAAGTGTAGAGCTGCCAGAGCAAACATGGCATCTAGTACCATGCGATGCTCCATGGCGAACAGCGGTGCCTGGAAACGCCAGAACTCCGTACCAGTCGAGAAGCTCTGTTGTAAGTCAGTCGAGGCTGCTTGGAGTCCTGCCACAGGAAAGTTTTTACCGAGCACGTGTAGGCAGTCCATTCGTGCATGAGGCGAATCTCAAGTTTGGGATCAAGCCCTTGTAGGTCTCCATGATATCCGTTCGACTCAGCGGGAGGGGTCGTCAAGGACAAATTGTCCGATCTTCGAGGTGTTGGATCGATGTATTCGCAGGACACATTGTGGCGTGTGCAGGCAGAGCATTTCGGTCGCTGCTCATCGCACTGCGAGGAGCACGTCAGTCCTATTCATCCCACACGACACTCACAAGATGCTGTTGAAAAGTTTGCTCTTGGGGGTTGAACATGGTCTCGAATTTCGATGCCTCTTGTTGATGGCATGGTCGGAGGCCGGGTCGCAGAAGTGACTTGCACAGTGTGAAAGCATATGACATCCATCCCGTCTTGAGCAAACAACGAGGGCGTACACTGACCTTGACCTTCCTCGCCTTGCATCGCTGACAGCCGGTCCGCGTCTTCTTGTGGTTGAGTCTGGGCATTTCGTTTACTGCCAGGGATGTGTGGATAGATGTCGGCAGGCAGACCGAGGAACCGAGACCGAGAGCTGGGTTGTTGATTCAGCGTCGCGGCTTCTGTTCACGTCGTCTTGCACGGGCTTGTTCAGTTCTTCGCTCGTCACTCGTCGTCGTTGTCGTCTCGAACTCGCAGACCCATCACTGCTCGCCAGTGGAAGGGCCGGAATGTCGATGCAAAGTAGAACATCGACTGTCTCTGCTTAGTTATGGTTTTGGGTCCGTGCGGGCGGCGGATCGAAGCAATTTTAGCCTTCTTCTTTCTCACCCTCGCATTAAACCTCGGACTTTATTCTGTGTGCGCTCGACACGACATGGGCTTCTTCGAACAGGCATGGTAGCCCGTATTCTCCCCTTTCACGTCCATTCAGGCACTCGACCGCGAAATCGACAAGGTCCTATGCCTGCAAACAAGAAGCTTGGCTGTGGCCTCACCTCTCCCATCGCGGCTGCCTCGAGCGCGCCTCGGAAGCCGCAGACACTCGGTCCTTAAACGCAGAGGACCGATCTACTGGACACAGCGCGGCCAGACTTCTCACATATTTCCACAACCATCAGAGGCATTCCAAACATGTCGGCGAATACATCGTTCCGCCCCCTCAGCCGCTTCTCCGCCCCCGCCCGCTCTCGAGATCATCGGTGACAACTTTATTGCAGGGGCCCCTCGGACGTTGAAGTCATGCAGCCTGACTTCTAGGCCTAATCGGTCTACTGCAATTCATCCCATATATCAGATGCTGCTATCATTGGGCATGATCATGACAAAGCAGCTCTGTTCCGCGATCAAGCAAACCCTAAACTTACCGACCTCCTACACCGTCGTACGTTCGTAAAAAATCTCTCCCAGAACTTAATCGGCAGCGAGGATCACTTCATGCCATCTAGGATTGATCTACTTCCTAAGAGGCGCGCTGGAATCTCAAAAGCTGGCTCTCACCCTCACCAAGCTGCGCGCTGATCTGGCTGTCCAACGTCCCCAAATCTACAGACTCCCACACGTTGCGCACCTGATACGAGCCGGAGAGACCAAGGTCAGCCCAGGTGGCAGTCACGTTCTGCGTACCCTCCAGGCTAGTGTTGAAATTGCCCTGTCCTTGGTCCGGCCCATAGTTCGCCAGCACCACCGCCGCATCGCCTGATCCATCGGGTCCGGCAATCCAAACCTGCAGTTGCTGAGGCGAGTTCTTTCCAGTACCCGGGTTCCGGGGCTGCATGGGATACTGGGCGGTGAAGTTGGCCACGTCGACCCACGCCTCTGGTAACGTCAATAACTTCTTGCCCAAGTCATCAAGGTTGGTGAAATCGGATCCAGAGAGCAGGTTCGCGCCCGCGGCGATCCAGTGGGTTGCGATCGTCGTTCTTTCTGCATCAGATACGCCGGTTACGCTCTCCGGGTTGCCAATGAACGCGTTGTCCATGTCCGGATGGATGGTCAATGGTAGGTGGTTGTCGTCGATAACAGTGCTGATGAATTGGCGGTAGTTCTCGATCGCTCGTTGTACCACAGCCCACTCGACCAGCTTATTCCCTCCCTGAGCATTGAGATCCTGATCCAGCCTCATCGAATCCGCATTAGCCTCCCAGATATCGAAGAACGAGTCGTTTCTCTCCAACTTCCAAGAGATATCCAGACGAATCGGTCTACCCACTTTCTCGATCGCTTTATGAAACGCGATGACCGAGCCAGAGGTGTTCGGTTGCAGAGTCGCACTGCCAGGAGACGGAGAGCCAGGAGTAACGTAGTCGAACTTGATCAGATCGACGCCCCTACGAAGAAGAAAGAGTCAGCGCCTCAACAAACCACTTCAACAACAACGACTCACCAATCCGCAAACAACCCCACGACCGAATCATGCCACTGCTGCACCCCATCCTTCGCATCATCAAAATCCATCCGACACAACCCATTATCATGCCCATCCCACGTATCCCTAATCGCAATACTCGTCCCCTCGATCGTCTTATCCCCATCGTCATGAAAAGACCCAGGAACAACATAAACCCCCAACTTCAGCCCCATCGAATGCAACTCCGGCGCCAGATCCGAAATATCAAACTTGCTCGTATCGTCGATGATCCTGCCGTACTGGTCGCCATTACACCCGACGCTCCACCCGGAGTCGAGAGAGATGTAGTAATCCCCATCCGCGAGGAGGGATGCAGGTGAGTTGGCCACGAGCGCGCGGGCTTGCGTTAGGATAGAGGATTGATTGAATGAGAAGTTGGGTTGCGCTCCGGTATTGACCTGCAGACCGAAGGAGTTGAAGCCCCTCGGCGGCGTGGTGAAGCCGTTTGGTGTGGAGGAGTATTTCACTACGGTGAGAGGCGTTTGCGCGGAAGCCAGGAGTGGCAGCAGGGAGAGGAGGGGGAGGAGAGCCATGATTACGAATTGAGTAGACTTGCTTCCTTGAAACGACGTCCTTCTTTCGTACCTCAAACATGGCAAGTATGGCTACTATATAAACCCCCCAACCCGACGACATGTGGAGGGACCAACCCGGCGGTGCGATGCAATGTAGTGTTGCGATGGCGAACAGACGATCTCACACGGACGAAGTTGCGGCTTTGAGCCTTGCGAGTGGGCGGGGTATGTTGACATCGTCAGAAGACAAATACGAACCTCACCTTTCAGTACGTAAAGAATACGAAGAGGACGGCTTTCTTAGTCCTACCTCTGCATGTATATGTATAGAGTGATCAAAGAAATGTATTGTAAGAACTGCAAGATGACGTTTTGAGGGGGGAAGATCGGTCATCATCACATACACATGCACATGCAGGTACCACATACCGCTCTTGGAGTTGATTCCCTCTAAGCAAATGAACAGAACTGAAGAGGTAATAGGATTGAGTGAAGGATTCCAATAAGGGTTCGATTTCCTCTCTTTCTCATCTAGTAGCATCGTGCTCAGGTATTCACCCTGGAGCCATGGTATCAAAAGAGTCAAAACGCCATGCAACGCAACACAACGCTTCATCATTCAATCAAGTCATCGTAGTAGCCTGCCCGTGGTTCGATTCGTCGTCCTCTTTGCCCAAAAACTCCACGCTAAAGACCCCAAAAGCAGAGAGCCGTCCCGTATCCATCCTGATCCACATCCATTCTCAAACTCCCCAAGTCATCTCATCCATCCTCATTCTCCAATCAACAGTATAGGTCAATCAAACCACCTTCCTCCCCGCCTCCCTCAACTTCCGATTCTCCACCTCCGCCTCCTCCGCCGCCATCTCCTCATCCACATCACTCTCATCCGCCTCATCAACCACATGCTTCTGCATCGGCATCTCGCCCTCCTCGGTCACAGGCGCATCCTCCAGACTATCCCCGTCGATGAACGTCCAGTTCTCCTCCACATCCTCCGCGCCCTCGCCCGCCACATTCCGCTTCTTAATCTGGTCCTTGGCGCGGGCGAGGTTGCTGTACAGGGCGTATATCGCCGTGTCGACGCCCTGCTCCGCGCGGATCTGTTCGCCGAGGAGGGCGGCTTGCGTGCGCATGCGCTCGTCGTGCACGGCGACCCAGAGTGCTTTGCCGAGCTGGTTGGTCGTGACCTTTCTAAGGTGCACGCCGACGCGCAGGTCTTCCACTCGGCTCGCCCAGAAGTTTTGGTCGCCGAAGAAGGGCTTGATGAGGGTCGGGATCCCGGCGCGGAGGGAGGCGCCTGTGGTGCCGGCGCCGCCGTGGTGGACTGCCGCGTCGATCTGCTTGAAGAGCCAGTCGTGGGGTACTGAGGTGACTGGGAAGATGGAGGGTGGCAGCTCGATGGGGATCTGGTTGGCGTTGTCTTTGTTCAAGCGGTCGGACCAGCCTTTGGACAGAATGCAGCGGACGTCGGCTTTGAGCACCGCTTCGACGATGTGTTGGGTCAACAGTCTCGCATCGGACACCACGACAGAGCCAAAGCCAATGTAGACGAGCTTCTGCCCGTCGTCTCGGGCTTTCTTGATGAATTTGGCAAGATCTTCTGGTGGTTGGTAATCCTCGCCCTCGTCCAGGAACCAGTATCCGGTGACGTTGTGCCAGTCGCAGAAGTCGAGAGGTGGGATGAACACGCTCGGAGAGACGTTGTATAGGAATGGGATCTGGTCGACCTGCAGACGACCAAGACTCGTGGATGGCAAGTTCAGGGTCTTCCGACGCCAGTGGTTGATCTGCCACGAGGGCCACGACCAGAGCACATTCTCGAAGAGGGTGTATGTCGCCCAGTTGTACATGCCGCCCTTCTTACTGCTGTGAGCGGCAAACGCATGCGGGTATGTCGTTGTCCTCGTCCACGGCATGGTGAAGGCGCGGAAGTATGGGACCTCTAGCGCCTCCGCAATGTGAATGCCCACCATTGCGACAGGGCTCTCGATGATCATCTCTGCATCACGGCATGCGGCCCAACCAGTCTGGCAAAGAAGATCCAACCAGCTGCGGTAGGTCGAGTTTGCTTCAAAGATGAACGATGGCGTGAACATGCCATTCTCGACACAGATCCTCATCAGCTCTGCTGGATCGCCCGCGACTTCTGCGAACTCGATGCCGTGCTTCTCCACCCAAGGCCTGAATTCCGCATGGGTGGCGATCTTTGGACGATGACCTTCAGCGATAAGGCCCTTGCAAAGTGCTATGAATGGCTGGACGTCACCGCGGGAGCCGATGGTGAGGCAGACGATGCGTAGGGACTTCTTGGGCTTGATCTCGAGTTTCGCCTTGGCGGGATCACCGAACAGAATGGGCGGAGGCGGGTCGCGCAAATGCTCTGGTAACTGTGAATCATCGTCAGTAAATCCCTCCTTCCTCGCCTCTCTCAACAAGTCATTCTCGGCGGCAGCGGCGACGGCATTTTGGCGTTCTTCTGGCGTTAGTATCGTAGACTGCGCAACCTGTCTGGATGGATCTGGCAAGATCAATCGGACAGCGGCTTCGGCGTCGTTGCGCAAGTCGTTAGTAGGGAATTCGAAGAACAGCTCAGGGTGTCCTTTGATGATCATCACCATGCCTGGGTAGCCCCAGCGAAAACCGCTCTGCTTCTGGACGCTCGAAATTTGTGTGTGTGGAAGGATGACCTTGGTCCCCACACCGTACAGCAAGCTGCGAAAGCAGAAGTTGGTGGTGCCGATATAGATTTTGCCGTAGGTCGGAATGGTCTTGTGCAGCCAGCAGAAGAAGACAGCAACCAGGTTCTCGGTCTCTGGCAACGCGAAATGTTGTCTAAAACGTCGCTCGTGTTCCGCAACTTCCTTCTCTTGGTCGGGGTCCTGGATGCTGTCGTCAGGCGCCAGTCGTGCGGAATCAGTGTAGTATCGCTTTCCACCAGTGAAGGCTTCGGAGAAATTCGAGATGTATGTCTTGGGGCTGCTGCTGAGGTACGAGCCCACTGCCTTGCTCGATGATCGCACGACGTCGGCGACAGTCTTGGCATGCTGTAGGGGCATGGATATACCACGTGCCAGACGCCCTGGTGCTTTGATGGTGATCGGTTGTGTCTTGTTCTTGGGCTCAGCCTCTATCGTTCGACCAGATCCACCACTCTCGTTACGGTGTGCTTGAGGACGATCCTTGTCAGGAGGCTGAACACGCACGCGCTCGGCACTTGACTCTCGGGACGACTCCTCTGATTCTTCTCGCTCGGCAGTCCTGTCTGGAAAGGTGCCACGATACTGCTGCATGCTGAAGGTTGGGCGTTGGAACATGCCATCGTCAACCAACATCTGGCTGGCAGACATGTCGGGATCGGTGCTGTCGTCAAGGGTAGAGGAAGAGGTGACGAAGCTCTCACTCGATTCCAGCATGTTCGGTGGATAGGGCGGTTTGCTGTGCTCGTCTGGGCCTCCACTGCTACCGCTTCGGCTGCTTTTCTGCGGACTGGCCGTTCCACCTGCTGCGAGTGGTGAGAGAGTTGAGCGGGCAGGCTCCTGGCCTTGTCTGGCAGGCGACCGCAGCTGAGTATCTGACGACCGCATCTGTCGCACTGGGCTGAGGCTGCCATCCTTGGCAATACCTTTCTTGGCGCTGTTGCCCTCAATCATGCCCTTCAGCACCTTCAAAGCATCTTTGCCGTGCTTGACGAATGTGAAGAAGTACTCATCGATCGCGTAGGTATCGTCACCGGCAAGCACCCTAAGCTTGATGGTGTCCGCCAATTCGATTACGTTGGTCTCCTCTACATCTGCGATGTTCTGCATCGGCAATGATAGCTTGACTGAGTCACCATCGTTGTGGTTTCTGAAGATGACCTTCTGTAGCTGTTTGACCCATTCCTTTGCGGATGATGGTTGTTCGGCTCGGTAGTAGTACACTCGATCGGGAGTGGTAATGGTGAAGTCTGTTGCTTCATGGCCCTCCTCAGGAGTGGTGATGTCTGCAGAGATGGCGTAGCGCAGATCGACCATGCCGAGAGGAAAGTAGGGATCTGCCGAGCTTCTGTAATACGAAAAGCTGTCTCCTTTCAAGACGAACCAGTATTGGTGATAGACGTAGCCATGCTTGCTTTGCTTTCCAATGTGGCCGTTCTTGAGCACCGTGTTGGTCTTCTGATGCAAATAGCTGTAGAAGCAGACATGCTTGGTGGTGATGTACATGAAACCTTGCAGTATAACGTTCTTAGTGTACCAGCAGGGGTATTCGGCCACAACGTCCTCTGGCTCTTCGAATTGGAAAATGGTCGCGACGGTCTGGGTGAGCGACGTCTTTGCCTTATCTTTCACCGTCTGTCCAGGTTCCTTCTCTTTCTCATTCTTCGAGATGTTCGCAGAATCCAACGTTCCTACATCTGCCATGGCCATGGCTTGCAACTTGCGGTCTAGGACAGGGGTATCTGCCTGTGCTGGTGTAGGTTGTTCCGCCTCTTGTGAATGCTGTTCGTCGCGGGGTGGAAGCAGCTGTGACTGCGTCATCGGGTCCTCGTGCTGCGAAGCGTCCTTCTCTTTGATGGGCTTGAGAAAGCTATGGACTAGCTTGTTCTCACTCGGTCCCTGGCCGTGCTTCTTCACTGCAGGCTTGTCTTTCCGGATGTCCTTGCTGGTTGCTGGTCGTGCACCCTTCTCGCTCAGCTTCTTCTCATCTCCCGATATCTTGCTTGCGCCAGACTTGTCTTCGTCACGCTCACTCTCACTTCCACTGTCGTGCTGGAACCAGCCTGGGAAGTTGACTCCACCCGACTGCGCGGCGATCATGCCGTACATGCTCTGGTGTGCGAAATTGGGGTTGTCGACTCCAGTGCCGTCATCGCCATCGCCGTCGTCGTCGACCTTGAACCGCTCAGGTAGATCCATGGTGCCTCGTCCTCGCTCGCGGACGTTGGCCTCTCTGCGTTGGAGGCGGTGTTTGAACGAGCTCGAATGTCGGCGGGGTTGTTCCGGTGAAGTCATGGTGAACGAGTGAAGTGAAGTCGCAAGTGACGTCCGTTTGCTTAAGCACGTGAATGAGGTCTTACACGTGCTCGAGTCACCTTCACCGGTGCTGTCGGCAGCGACTGACGCTGTTTGCCGCCTCGCCCTTCTATTTTCACAGCTCTTTTTGGTGCAAACGCGACTGTATTACTGTCCAGTGATTGTGCCTTCGAGGCTCCAGGCCGTTCGGGAGTACCGCGAACAAGCTATGCTGCAGCACTGCTCTCAACCGTTCACTCGTTACCACACAATCGGAGTCGCTACATCTTGGCGCATGCAGTGGCCTGGGTGCATCAGGCAATAGAGCGGCTACCCTGATGGCCGTTGGGGGCGAAAGAATTGATTAAGGTATTAGGTAGAGCTACGAGGGTGAAAGATGCGGCGAGAGTGCGTGTGGTGAAGTCGGGTCGGGTGATGATGAGATCGGCAAGCCAGGGTCCGCGCACGGCCGACAATCTTCCATTTGGTGGCATGTGATGACAGCTCGAGGTACATGTGACCGTACCGTTCGCTCACGAAGATAACAGAGAAGGCGTCACTTGCACGCTGGAATGAAATCCAAGCGTTCTGACTTTGCTGGATACATGCGCTCTATTCCAACTGTCTGCGAAGAGAGCACAGGCATGAAGAAGCCGAAGACGCAGGTACAAAGCGACTCTTTCTGAGATCTCACTTTTTACAGGGACCATCCTCGACCTCGTCTGGATGGAAGAAACGCTGGACGTGAATGCTGTTGTCATGAATACATTGTCTACGCTATGAGATCCGCTTCTTCGTCGTCTGCGGCCATTATCCTACTAGGTACACAGTCTGCGTAAGGTATCCTCCGTCCTAAGCTTCGTCATCGAACGCCTTGTATGCGCACCGTACTTTGCCATTCAGTTCCTACTATTACATAGTCTGGGCTTGTTTACTTGGCCTTGGCGAGACCAACGGCGTTGTTCTCGAGGTCGTAAACGGAGTACCACTTGCGGAGGAAAGCGTCACCGAGGATGGCGAGTGGGCCAGCTGGCTCTGGGATGTCAAAGCCCATGAAGGCGCTAATACAGCTGCCCTGGACCTCAAGAATGTAGTCGTATGGGCCGATGGTGAAGTTGTGGCCAGTCAGGGTAAAGGTAAGGTCTGGCAGGGAATCACGCTTGCTGCATTCGACGGTGTACTGGCCGTTGTACGACTTCTTGGCACCGATCTCCTTGTTCAAGAGCTCAGCAAGAGTAGATGGAAGGGCGAGAAGGGAGGTTCCAGTGTCGAGGATGGCACCAGTGGAGTCGATCTCGGCGGTCTGGTCACCGAAGGTGATGGCATCGAGATCGACCTCCCAGTAGGCCTTGCGGCGGAGAGGGATCTTAGTGAGATCGCCGGAGTAGTGGCTCTTGTCAACACCGCCAAAGATAGCCTCAGACTCGCTGCCCTCGTTGGTGTCGCTGAGGTAGAACGCAAAGACCTTCTCGTCAAGCAGGCCTTGGTCAATCATGTTGTAAAATGGCGGTGGAATGCCGTTGACGGAGATGGTGTCATAGCCCAGACCCAAGATGCCATCGAATCGGCCGAATGCAAAGGCAAGACCTGGCTCCGCGGTAGCCTCAGCGAAGAGCTGATTCTTGATGCTGAGGTCACCAATGGCGACGGTGTCCTGGCTGACATAGCCTTCAAGGCTGCCCGAGCCGTATCTGATGGCGAAATCTGACCCGTTCTTCTTGTATGTGCTCGACTCGCTGTGGTCGTACTTGGAATGCAAGTAGCAGGCGATGGAACCACAATCTTGGCTGGGCACCCACAAGTTGGAGCTGCCAGTGTCCAACACGACCTTGAAGTTCTGTGGTGGAGTACCGATCTCGATCTCGCTGAAGTACTGGGCGTTCAGGAAGTTGTCGACGGCGACGGGGTGGCCCTTCTCGGCGTGGACGGATGTCTCCTTGAACATCTCGTTGAGGCGGTTCTGTGGGCGGATACCCATGTACTTCTGGCCGAGGCGCTGGACGTGGTCCTCAATGCTCATGCCCTCCTGCAGACAGTGTCAGTGGCATCCGCTGGCGACGCATTGGAGATGGCTTACGAGCTGCTCGGACAAGGAGACCTTCTGGAGCCTGTTGGAGCAGTCAGCGCATGTTTGCGACGCAGATGAGCTGGCGTGACGCACTTCATCTTGTGCACGCCGGCAGAGGCGGTGCCAGCCACCAGGGCCGATGCCAACAGTGAGTTTCCCTTCATAATTGCAGATGAGAGATGGTGATGGAAGGGAGATGTGGTTGTTGTGTTGATGATGGGATGGAGAGGGAGCTCGAACGATGCGCAACTCGCTGCCTGGGTGACCCGCCACAGCTCTGGATGAGGCAAGCGCCGTGGACGACGTCACTGCAGGAACGAGTGCCCAAAGTCGATGCTTCACGCGACCGTCGACAATCACATGTTAGGTCAACTATTTGATGAACTGCACTCGACCCAGCCTGACATGTGGTGCGTCGAAACCGAACAACATGCACCAGGAAACGTATACGGCCAGTATCTGGAATGCGCTGGTACGAGAGGTGTTTGCCAGGACGAAGGCGGCGATACCTCTACTTTCACCAGCCCGTCCTGAGCTACGCGCCATCACCTGGAACAATGGACTTGGCTGTGTCTCCGCGTGAGTTCAGCAGGAAGAGCGAGCAGCCCTGAATAACGATCGAGGTCATCTCACGCCTCAGTAACAATGCGTTCCTCAGCCTGCGTAACTTCGTGACGGCTTCACATTGTCCAAATGTAACATCCACGCCTCTTGGGTACACCTGGTACAACATGGATGCATCTTCTGGCGCGATGCGAGCCAAGTCTCGGAGCAGGAAGGCCTCGCTGTCCGCTCTGTCGCAAGTCGCAATGGAACGTCGGTCGATGCAGATTCCGGCCTGTCCTCATGCGTGCTCTATATCTCGTGCTCTCGCGTCGTTGTAGTCTTGTTCACATCTGACGGCTTCTTCGTCTTGCATTTCTGCGTCTCGTTGTGGTGCGAGAACGAACGACAATGAAGTGTCGCCAATCCGTGGCAATCGCAGCTGTTGGGGCCCGCAACACGTTGCTCCCTCCTGCTGCGGCTGAGCTTCAGAAAGTCGTTGCTCCTGCAATTCACTCTCCAGAATTGTGAAGAATGCACACTGAACCCAATGCTCAAGGACGAGCTGAGGGACAGTCTCTCTCTTGGTCTGCCTGGAATGCAAAGAGTGCTAACTGCCAGACTCGGGCCTTGGACGAGGTCTAACTTGTCTAGGAGTCTCGACGGCGCTCTCTTGTCATTATTGCGGCGAATTGGCGCTGCGGGACATTCTCCGACGCAAGGCTCTCGCCAGCGATCATGATGAATGTCCCGACGAGCCTCTGCCAATCTCATCCAGGACCATGACAAGCCGACGGGAGGCGGTGCAGCTACCCTTCGACGCACGCCGAGCCATACGAGGGCCAAACGACGGGCGGTCGCCAGCAAGGGTCGCCTCCCAAGCCGTGACAATTCTATACGGGCTGGGAGCGTCTACCGTCGCAGAGTTCACCGGCCGCTGCACGGCAAACGGGCACGTCGCTCGCGGGCGAACTTGTAGTCGCGACAGAGGGTGACGAAGACCTCACTCTGCTGAGCGCCGGACGGCCCACCTGCGATTGGCTAGGCTTCCCCGGGCCTCGCCAAGATGACATTGGACCAGCTTTGTCGAAACCGCCAGGCTGGCCGCCTGCTGCGACACGCTCTCACAGTCACAGGTGGCTGTGCGACGACCGAGTCGGTGTCTGCTGATCGCGCTTGTACTTTCGATTTGGCAAGGAGCCGGTGTCGTGCTTGCGCTGCCGCAGTTGACCAACAGTTTTCGCGCATTACAACACGCCGGCGAATCGTCTTGCACGTGGGGGACGTGAAAGGGTGTTCAGCACTCACCCACCACAGGTCCCTGGGAGCTCCAACATTTCACGCGCTCGACGACAACAGCACACCACACCACCCGCGGCTCTCGTTGCTGCTAGCCCTGCTGTCGTCCCTCCTGACCGCCGACCACGCTCCCTTTTCGAATGAACACCACATAGCGACTTTTCCAACCTTCACACACCATGGCGGGCACTTATGTCTGGCTCACGAGGTGCATCCCCGGTTTCAGCGTCGTTGGCGTCTTTGTTCTCCTGGTTTCCGCCTTGGTCATATCGCCCTACGGCAAAGGCGAGAAGGGCAACCACACTGGCGAGGCCACCATTCCCCAGCTCATTTTGAGCGTCTACACCGTCTTCCTCCATATCCTATCGATCGTCTTCCCCATCCGAGTGTGCTGGGCGATGAAAGATGTGCTCAAGAACGTCAGGGAGGCGGGGAACGACATGCCCAGTGGACGAAGACCCCGCGTGCAAAGCATCAACAAGGAGAAGGACGACAAGCGGCTGCCCGTGCCGTTGTTCGTCATCATACTGCCAGCATACAAGGAAGAGATGGCAACATTGGAGGAGACTTTGCGAGTAATGGCGTCGCATTTGCAAGCTCGCACCAGCTATCATGTGCGTGTACTCTGAGACTGCTAGAGGTTCAGGCGGCTGTCCGCGAAAGGAGGGTGCTAATGGTGTCTAGGTCTACCTGGCCATGGAGGAGAAAGAAGAAAAGTCGGCCTTCAAGGCTGCCAGCCTTTGCGCAACGTTCGAGAGATCGTTCTTCAAGATGAGCTACACTGTTCATCCATCCAACATTCCAGGAGAAGCGCAGGGTAAAAGCAGCAACGAGTCTTGGGCAGCCAAGCAAGTGATGAAAGACTATCCCGAGGACCTCGTCAAGCAGAACACTATCATCACGGTCATGGATGGTACGCAACACTCGTTCGCTCTCCAGATCTCCACTAACACCATTTTCTTAGCCGACACTCACCTTTCCGCTCGCTACTTCACCCAGATGGCACGACTGCATACTGAACACGCAGAGACCAACGAGACGACGATATATGTCCCGCCACTGGTGTTCGACCGCAACTTGCACCATGTGCCGCTTTTTGTGCGGACCGCTGACTTGATGTGGGCGGGAGCCGGTCTATCCAGTTTATATTCCGGCTCCAGCGTCTGCATCCCAACGTCTGTCTATTCGCTTCCAATGACTCTGGTCGAGCACGTCGGCGGCTGGGATACTGATCCTGGCGCCATTGGGGAAGACATGCACATGTACCTGAAGTGCTTCTTCGCTCTGTCTGGCAATCTCAAAGTGCAGATCGTCCACGCTGCTGCAAGTCAGTGCAACGTGAGCAGTGGACAAGGAGGCATCACAGGTTACTACCTTGGTCTTGAGGCACGATACAAGCAAGCGCTCAGGCACATGTGGGGCTCTCTCGACACTGGTTTTACGATCCGGGAAAGCATCAAGATGTTGGACAGGCACCGCAAAGCCAAGAAGGCACTGGACGAATGTCCTTTGAGCGCGCCCAAGTTCGTATGCGTTTTGTCTAAATGAACAGAGGAGGCTAACACGAAACAGCTCAAACTGGACCGCCTTCTACACTTCCACCGGTCTGCACAAGTCTCTCGTACCCAAAGGCGCCGACAACGCGCATGCGCCGCCTAAGCCCGTCCACAAGTACAACCTCTTCACGCTCTACCATCGACTTTTCGAAGCGCATTTCCTGCCTATCCATCTGGCCGTCATTCTTACGACTTCGAGCATCTATTCGGCATTTCTTCCGAGCTTCTTGGTCCCACACGTGCTCAAAGTTGCTCTGGACTTCTCTGGCTTCTGCCGCCTGATTGGATTCTGCACCATGTTGACATTCTTCTACCTGTACGAACGCTATCACCGACTATGCGTGGGTCTTCGAAAGGAAGAGATGCGTCGCGCGGGTATGCTCGAGGACATGGAAGAAGCCGATGGATTCACGGCAAACGTGTTCCAAGTCGCAGGGCTCTTCGAAGCCGCGCTCTTCCCCATTGGAGGCTTCATCTTTGGAGCCATTCCGGCGATGCAGGCTGTTCTCAGCCATCTGTTCACCGATCGCTTGACGTACGTCGTGAGCTTGAAGCCACAGCTCACGCTCAAGCCTTGGAGAGACTTGAGCCTCAGGACACCGTAGGGCTACCCATTTCACAATTACCACATACCCCGAGCAGATCTAGCACTAGCATCATCATCTTGCGTTTGCATAGCGATTGGAGTTGATTCTTGGGAGAGAAGGATATACACAACATGTTGGCGCGAAAACTCGAAAACCCATCCATGAAACGCCAATATGCACGAAAACCGTAATATCAGAAAACTAGAACCAAACCGCTAATGTGTAATTTCTGCCGCAAAGTTCCTCGTATACCGCTGGCTTCGCACGCAAGCGTGAATCCACCTCGAAAGCCACGGCGACCGACCTCAACGGGCCGAAGATGAACGGCCACCATCACCATGTGCAGCACCGCCGACGCATATCGAATCTGCTGCAGTTCTCAAAAGAAGATTAGAGTTTTTTTTTTGGATAAATACATACTTCCACGCGCGAATGAAATGAATCTTTTTATTACGGCCCTGGTGTCTCGAGAGAAATGAGGCGGGAGAAGGGATTTCTGGACATTTAATTGGATCGATGTACGACAGCGGCCAGGGCATCTAATCCTATTAAGGTTGGACGACGGACGGGATCTAGGGAGGGGGGGCCATTGCGTTGCTATACGAAGGTCATGTCCGGGGAGAGGGGGTTACAGTAACGTGGTTGAGGAACAACGATTCTGGTGCAGCTGTACGAGTCGAGGGCTTCGCCTTGCTGGCTCACTACGACGCCAATGCATGCATGTCTGTCGACGGGGTCCTGCAGCTGACGACGACGATGCGGTTCGGCTGGCGTGAGTGAACGATGCTATGCCCGTATGGAGAATGTCTTGGACCCAAAAGGGTCACCGCAGATATCAGCAAGTCGTCCGCTGGCGACGTCGGCGCTCCCCCTCACTTCTTCTCGCCGCTTCCAGGACGAAGCCTCTTGAGCAGACTCCGTCGTCGATGTCGCTGCTCATCACGACCCTCACCATCGGCAAACTGAACACGTTGTGTTGTTGTTGCCTCTCCTTCATCGCCTGCTGCAGCAGGCTGCTGACTGGAGCGACGACTATTGCTCGCGTGGCTCGTTGGTCGTCCAGCGAAGCTTTCTGCAGGGTCCAAGGCGACTCCTTCCCGGAACCTTCCCACTCTAGATGACGAAGCAGAAGGAGATGGATCGCGGTCGTCATTGTCTTCGTACAATTGGCGATGGTCGTCGTCTTGGAAAGGCCAGCGTCGTTTGTTGCGGGGAGAATAAGAAGAAGGCCTGGCTTTCGTCGTAGTCGTAGCGATAGACGAAGCGCGTGGACTTGACGGTCCAGCACCAACGACTCCCTCCTCCTCACCACCCCCTCCCTCCCCTCCAAGCTTCCCCTCTGCCATCAACCGCCTATACCCCTCCAACAACTCCCTATAACTCTCCACCCTCGCCCTCTGCACCGCCCTCTCATGATCCCTATAAACCCCCATCCCCAACTCCTCCTCCTAATGCCTCACACTCGCCTCCTTGGCGCGCGCCATCTCCTCGACATGGTGCTCGAGACTCTGCTGCTGCTGCGGCTCCGGCGCGTCTGCGAGGGAGTTCTGTTTCGCGGTTTCGAGGGCCGTTTCGTGGAGTTGCGTGTGCTGGTGCAGGGATTCGTGGAGCGCGGCGTCGAGGTGCTGGAGTTCGAGGTCTTCGAGGGCGTGTTCGAGGGTGGTGAGTTCGTGCTCTAGGTCTGCATGGCTCCTTGCAGTGATGGTGGCACTTTCGTTGATACCTGTCTTACCTGTTTTCTCACCTTTCTCGCCCTCCTCACCCTTCTCTCCCTCCTCACCCTCCACCCCCTCCAACTCCTTCCTCTGACAATCCGGACAAACCATCCCCTCCCGAATCACCCACCCAGGATCCTCAGGCTCCATGAGCTGTTCGCAATGCTCCGGGGGAGCGAGGTTGCGCGCCGTGGCGGCGACGCAGTGCACGGGGGACCAGGCGTACGTGTGGTTGCAGGGGGTCCAGAGGTGGGGGATTTTGTAGCACATTTTCTCGTTCTTGAATTGAGTTGGATTGGATTGGATTGGATTGGATCGGTCGTCGAGAGAACCCACGTCGGGGAGGTTGGAGTGATGGTTGGAGTGATGGTTCGGTTAGTTAGTTGGTGGTGTGCTGCCGCAGTGGAGGGTGAAGAGTTAAAAGGGGTTGCGGGATTCGATCGTGGGTGAGATAGATATAAGGCGGCGAGAGGTTCCGGTGTGCTGTTGTGAAGACTGCCATGCTACCGATACGAGTTCTACCATAGAGCGTGAAGTTGATGTTGAATGCATGAATGATGGATGTGTCATCAGACATTACCTCGTTGATCGCATTATCCCATATCTACGTTTGAACTTTTCTGCTTTTCTTCCTGGGGGGTATCAAGAAAGACCAATCTCATTGCTTTTTCTTCTTCTCTCTTCGTCCACTTGCTCGAGACATCTCTCTCCTATAGTCTTCTCATCATACACATTTCATCAACATTCATCCCTCTCGCCCGTGCGTGGTGATCGCTCAATTCGTGAAGTTAATCGATAACGAACCTGATCCTTATCCCGTCAGTAAGTTTCGTGGCAAGGATCAATCCGAGAAGCTGCAGACTGGTAAGAAAACAGGGGCGCACCTCGCAGGCGAACACTTACTCGTCCTCGTCTCCCCAAGCGCTGGTATCCCGATGATCGCGACAGGGCGGCTTGTTGCTTCGGTCGCTTTGGTGTAATACGAAGTCGAGAACGTCGCTTATCGGCTCCACGAACTGCCTCAAACACCAACCCACCGGCGCTGCATATACCTTCGGCTTGCCTTCTGCGTCGTAGCAGGTCGATCGAACGAAGATGAACTGATTCTTGGAATCTTCGCGCTCGTAGATCTTGTCTGATGTGCCAAAAGCAATGACGCGGAGTTTGGCTGGTCGCAACGGCTCGGACTCTGTGGTGTTGCTCTCAGAATCGTCGCCGTCGATACTTGGAGGCGGTGAGATGTTTGAGGATGAGTGCTGTCCAGCAGCCAATTCAAATCCTCTTTGCGCCAATGCCTGCAACATCGTCTCATACACCGGGCGTGGCAAAAGTTGCGTGGACGGTTTGTTGCTCGGCCACGTCGAGATGTGTAACGTGACCATATTCCGCAAATGACCGCAAGCATTCTCAAAAGACCTCCAGTCATCGCTCGGACTTCGGATGAGGCTGGTATGCGGCCATGCGCAAGACAGCTGCTCCAGATCCTTGCAGGCTTTGCAGATCTTCTCGAAATCCTCAAAGTCCCAAATCAGCTCATCTGTATCGCACTCGGTCGATGTGATTGGATTTGTGTGGCCTTCTGACGTGCAGTGCACATTGAGCAACTCAAGAGTCTTGCCGTGCTTGGCGATGCCAGCTGCGGCCGGCAACGCCTTGACGTGATCGAGATCGAGGACGAGATGACGTAGGCCGGAGACTAAGCACAAGAATCCGTCTAGAGCGATGAGTGCTTCGTTCTCTGAGTTATCTCGATGCTGGAACTCCAGTACTTTCAGCTGTTTCGGGAGATGAGTTGACTTGCTCAGCTGACCGAACAATGAGTCTGCGCCTGGGCAGTGATAGACACGCAAATACTGCATGTTGTGGAAGTTGACGAACTTGCACCATGTATCCCCGCAATGTCTCAGACTGATCCGGTGTAGTCGCAATGACTTGAGGTTCTGGAAAGGGGTGCAAGTGTCGAAGGGCGTCATGCAGCTGAAGATGGTGTTCGAGACAAGTCCAGGAGCAGTCGCGGAATCGTTGAGTTCTCGACTGTCCGAGCCGTCTGATGGGAAGTTGCAATGAACGATCAATTCCTCCAGCTGATCCTTGGTCTTTTCCACGTAGAATCCGCTTAGGTTGAGCGTCTCGCGGTTCTCTGGGTACAAAGCCAGCTTTCGGGCGTTCTTGAACATGGTCTCTTGCATTTTAGCGTTCTTCTTGAGTTCTGGAAGGGCATCACGGTCAAGGTCCATAACCTCGAGCCATTTCATCTTGCGCTGCTTCTTGTAGAGCAAGATGAGGTTGCCAGTGGAGAACGGCTTCCATGGGCACCAACTATCCAGCCTGTCAGCATCAGTACCGCTCGAAATATGACCAAGACGTGTGATATGTGATATTTACTCGTCTTCTTCTTCATATGGTGGAGGTGACTGTCGTGCATACCTGAACTCCTCTAGAGTATCTTCAGGCAGGAACTCTAGTATCATGCGAGCCGCAAACTGCGCTTGTTGCTCTTGATTGCATTTGTCGTAGACGGAGGCAAGATACAGACGTAACTGCTTGATGTGTTTGAGACCGATGTTCTTGGGGCTCAGAAAAGCGGACAGCCGGTTATCGTTGGAACTGCCCAAGTCGAGGGAGACATTTCGATAGAGGTAGCGAACGGCGACTTCGTGTAGTTCCCTGTTTACGAGACAGACGTTCTTGAGGTCGGACGGACGTATAACCTGCTCGCCGTGTCAGCTTCATATATGTCCTGCTGAAAGCGGGATCGATATGTTGCACACCCGCTCGACGACCAGCTCTTTGATCTCTTTTGACAACGTGCTGAACTGCAGCTTCTCTTTTGGAGTATTCGCCGACGGTTCCGTGGTGGATTGTGGGGTGTCACGAGTGGTGTTTAGAGCAAGGGATGTTTCAGTCTGAGTCTCCAGCTGCGTAGCCATGTCTGATCAACGCAGCCTTCTTTTTATGCTTGATGTTCACTTGAGGCGTCTGGTTCGACGACGAGAGGGAGGCGGGCGAGGGATTCGAGGAAAGAACGACTTGCTATGGTGATGTTGGAGGCGGCGATTCAGCATCGAAGTACCTGTCCCAGCGGCGGGTACTTGTGAGCTGGCAAGGTAGGAGGCAGTGTAGTGGGCGAGGCTTGGGTGAGAGAGTTGATGTTTTCCTGTGCAATCGCCGCCGCCGATAATGGGCCTGCCGTGTGACGGGCGCTGTCGAGGTGCAGGCCGGTCAGAATCACGAGGCGGCCAGCTGCGTCTTCAGCCTGCTTCGCCCTTCGCATGAGCTCGAATCGATGCTCGACCGGAGGCAGGGTTGATGCCTGTCCACCTTGGCGCTCGCTTGCGCCGCAGCCTCCGTGACAAAAATCGTGCTGTCGTCACTTCACTTCACCGGAAAACCATCTTTCTCGACATCACAAGCCTGGACCAGATCGAATCCAATCAAGCCAAACTATTCAACATCGGCACGAGTCTAGAGTAGATCGACACATATCAAACAGACTGGCATCTCGTGGTGAAGACGCCACTTTGAAATCGACTGCCAGGCCTCACATGCACGGCGTCATGCACGCTTGAATCACTCAACAGCACTGCCATGTAAAATCAATGGTCGGCATCCTCCTCCCGACACGCGAACACATGTCAATCGACTCATCACTTCTCACTTTACCACCATCATCATTTCTCACTTTACCACCATCATCGCTTCTCACTTTACCACCATCATCACTTCTCACTTTACCACCATCTCACAAGCCATGTCCTATGCAGGTGTCCGCTGAAGAAACGCGTCCGCCACATGCAAGAACGCCTCAACTGTGCGCCCCATTTTCACAACCCTGCATACATATTGCTTTTGCGATAACCCCGGCACATGCTATCAAGACCATCATCCTTTGAAAGGGAACCTCTCTCTTACTCTCCTCCCAGTCCAGTAGAACACTGCTGGCGCTGGCATCAACAGCACACTCAGAAACCCGAACACACTCATGCCCCAGCCGTAGCCCAATTGCTCGAACATCCCACTGACAAACAGAGGGACGATGCCACCGACAACGCTTCTCAAAAACGCACCAGCTGCGAGAGCTGAGGCCGCATTCGTCTCGTATGCGTCGATGTAGTACGTCTGCACGCAGTTGAAAATGCTCACTTGGCTGGCCCCAAACAGCATCGTCGCGAGTACGGGTACCGGCCAGGGAGCATTCTTCTCGACCGCCCATCCGAACCAGAACAGCGATATTGGTAGAAAGACAGCTCCGACGTTCGCCATTGGCAGTCTGTACTCCGGCTGGCCTTCATCTCCATTCCGCTCCGCCAGCGCACTGTACACCTTGTCGATAAAGAGTACAATGAAGACCGCACAGATGATGAACCCCACCGCCGGACCAAGATACGTCAACCCGATCTGCTTCTTGCTGAACTCGTAAGGCGGCGCCGACCAGATGGACGTGTACTGCGAGTACAAGCTGTACATGCTGCTGAAGACCAACGCCTGATACAGCGACATGGTCGACACAATCGGCTGCGTGGTCAAAATCTTCACAGCCCGCGTACTATTCCCCTTGATCTTCTCCAACAGCCCCTGATCCGTCGTCCCCTCCACAACATACCTCTTCCCGGGATTCTCCCTCTCCAACGCCCTCTTCCTCTCCAGCAACAACGTCACCGCCCTCGTCTCAAACAAACAAAAATACCCCACCACCGTCGCCAACCCCGCCAACCCCCCCGTCAGCAAAAACAACCACCTCCAACTCCCCGTGCCCCCCACGATCAACCCCCCAAGCAACGGCCCAATCGTCGGCCCCAACAACGGCCCAACAAGATACACCCCCAACACCCTCGCCCTCTCCCTCCTCTCAAAAACATCCGAAATCGTCCCCCCTCCATTCGCCACGCCCACACTCCCAAAAAAAAAACCCGCCAGCGCCCTCATCGCCACAAACGTCCCGACATTCGGTGCCAGCCCCGTCGGGATCTGCAGGATCGTGAAAACCCCCAAACAGATCAGAAACACCGGCCGACGACCGAACGTCTCCGACATGGGCGCGAGGAAGAGCGGGCCGAGCCCGAGCATCATCACGAAGACGGCTTGGCCGAGGATTATTTGTTTCTGGGTGGAGCCCGGGAAGGAGGCTTGGATGTTGGAGGCGGCCGGGGCGGTGATGGAGGAGGCCATGGGGCAGGAGAGGGCGATGAGGGTTATTAGGGCGGTTTGCAGGTATTTGGAGGAGAGGGGCCAGTTGAGGGGGTTGGAGGGATCTTTTGGGGAGAAGGAGAGGATTTGGGGTTCGGAGTCTTGGTCTTCATTTTGGGGGCGGTGGTGGCCGTTTAGGAGAGGCTGCCTTTCGTTGGCGTTGTTAGGTGGCATGTTGAAGGACCGAAGATTTTGGAGCGGGCTTCGTTCTTAGGCTCTGTTATTGCGGATTCGAAAAGGCCATCGTCGTTTGGACTAATATAAAAACAGACAGCAGGCACAAGAAATGTTGTGATGATGAAGTTGGCACGACATTTTAAACTTCAATACCATGCCAACTCAAAAAATGTCTCGTCATGTGAACCCTAAAACCAGTGACGACATGATCATTGGCTGCACGTGAAATGGCATAACGAATAATGGGTACAAGTTTCTTCCTCATTTCATAATGCTGGTGTTATGCTGAGAGCCGATGCTATTCGAACAGAATCCATGCCACGGCCTCCAAACACCTTGCTATGCAAAGCAGTGCATCGTGCGCCTCTCTGGCCGGACGACGCCCACGGCTTCGCCTGTTACGTTTGCCCATCCAAAGCACCAGTACCACCACCATTCTCAGCAGCAGCTTCCTCTTCTTCATCCTGATCGAGCTCCGCCGCTAAAGCTGCTTCGAGGTCGAAATCACCATCAGCTTCTTCGTCTTGCGCTTCTCCACCGCCCTCGTCATCTTTTGCGGATGCGCCACTCTCCTGGGATGAGGCGACGAGATTCGTAAGACTGCTAGTCCTACCCAGTGCTTCCTTCTTCCGCTTCTGCAGTCGACTACCGTCCGCCTCGTCCTCTGAGTCTCTGTCATCTGACTTTCTCTTGCGTTGACTTGGTGTTGTCTTTAAGGGCGGCGTAGAATCTCCCTCGCTCTCGTTCTCGCTAACGGACTCAACATCGCTGTCCTCGAGGAATTCTTCCAACTCTGCGTTGATATCGTCCCAGTCGTCGGCGTTCTCGGTTTCCGTGGGACTGCTGTCTTGTCGCGCCATCGTTGGCGCGTGCTTCTGCAGTTCCTCGTTGTCGGTGTCGGTATCAAAGTCGGTGTCGAGCGTCAAACGCCCGTTGCCTGCACCATTAGGTGTCTCGGCATCTTCGGTCTCCTCTTCCGTCTGAGCGGCTTCATCGTCAGAAGATGAGAGCATGAAGTCGTTGCCTTGGTCGAAACTGTCTGGCAGACCGGCAGCACCATTCGTAGGTGCGTCGGAATGAATCCGATACGGGTTCTCGTCAACCTTCGTCCACTGACTGAAACACGCCAACAGCCAGCCTTGGCCGACTATGGCGACTTTGCCACCCCTCTTAGCTGCCTGTCGAACCTTTGCTGTGCGTCGCTCGGGCGAAGCAATCACATGCGTGGTCCTCTTCGTGATGCTCTCGCTGACAGTTGCGCCAAAGCTCTTTGCCCAAATGGCGATGTCATGGTTTTGAATGTCGACCCCCAGCGGCACAACACCCGAAAAGACGATGTGCACACCTGCAAGCACCCTAGACTTGAGACTGTCCATGATCGCGGCCGCATCTGGTATGTGCTGGAACTCATCGACGGAGCGTTTCTTCGTGTGGCCTGGTCGTAGCTCGGCAACTCTACTGCCTTTGCTGCCGGCCGCATCTCGCTCGTACTCCTCATAGTAAGCTTTGTGAATGTTTCGCAGGCTTTGCTGCAGATACGTCAGCTCGGTGTCGTCGTCCTGGAGAAGATTATGTCGATAGTGCTTCTTTGGCGGCTCGTCTTTCGGCGCATCTTCCGTCTTGTCGCCATTTTCTGAGAGGAGCTGTGCTGCCGCTTCTGCCGCTGGAGACGTCTTCGCTTCCTCCTCCTCCAAAGCATCCAGCATCTTCTGCTTTTGCAACAGTGGTCGATCTTCAAGCTGTGCAGCGATCGCTTGCTCTTGTTCTTCCTCTTTCGTCTTGATGCTCTTAGCATCTTGCTGCCCTGCCATGTTCAACATCTGTGCCACAGCAGAGACTTCGCCATTGGCCGCGGGAGTCGTCGATGGGGGTGTCGTAGGAGCGGTACTGGTTGTGCTTGCTTCTGGAGTGGATTCGCTGGTGCTGGCCTCCGAGCTCTCGCTTTTGGTCGGTGTCTGCTCCACCTTGGCAGGCTTTGGTTTTGCATCCAACTCCGGTCGCTTTGGCAGGAAACTGCTGTTGATGTCGCCAATGCCAACGAAGAACTCGTAGACGTTGACCCTGACTAGGTTGGGTATCCAGTGCCAGACATCAGCCCGATCATCGATAATAACGACCATCTTCGTGTCCACTGGGAACAGCCTCTTCAAGTTCTTGGCTGTCATACTCCCGCTCTCGTCTCTTGACAGAATGCGATCACCAAAAATGTGATGCTCGGGGTCGACGATCTTGGCGATGTTCTCGGCATATGCTCTCGTGCCCATGGTGTAGATGTGCATCTCGTAGTATTGCGACATGGTTTTGAGGAATTCTCTAAGCCCAGGTCGCAGCTTGATGTAATACCATGTCCCCGGTCTGCCTGGTAGATCATCTACCAGCTGGAACTTGCACACGTCTTTGACTGCTTCGTGGTTCGGATTTGATGGGTCGTTCTGCCACTCGCCAATGGTTGGCTCGACAGACGCGTGAATGATGGTCTGATCAAGGTCAACAACCAAGCTCAACCGCCGTGTATCCAGCAGTCTTCTCTTCGCCTCTTCATCAGCTTTCGTCGCCTCTTCCTCTGACACGAGCAGCTCCGTTCGACCATGGATAGTATTGATCGTTGCGCGCTGTGTCATGGCGGCTGACTCATTGTACGAGTGAATCTCGTTCATGTCTTTGCCGCAGTTAGCGCAAAGGCCGCCGAATTGCACTTCGTGCTTGCACGCCTCATCCACATCTGCGACCATCGTCCGGCGCGTGATGACCTGACCCGGCTTGACATTCAGCGCCGCGACGGTCCCCTCCAGCTCGCTCTCGAATGTTGAATAAAATGTCTTCTCCACCTCGACATCTTCTCTCTCGAACTCGTCCCATTGCTGCACGGTGCTCTTGTACTCATAGTTGAAGAGGTGGCCATCCTGCTCGATCTCATCGCCGGGCTGCTTGAGCAGCTTGGTCACGGTGATCGGATACCGGAGGCTTTCGGGCGTGTACAGGCGCATTGAGATGGAATGTGTGTGGGTGTAATTGGATTGGCGTCGCGGATCACATGGTCCTGTCGCACGAGCAACGGCAGTGATGGCTAGCTCGAGGTCACACTACACAGCGTCACGGACGAGGCACGTCTTCGTCTACGAGCTTGATCGCATGACAACTGAGATATGCCTGGCGCAGTCTATGTAGGGATCCTCGGAGCTTGTCGCGTGCGGCGTGACGTGTTGGCGGTCGGGTGAATGGTCTTGTCGAGGGGGTGGGTGGTTTATGAAGTGATGCGCGACCGTGAATTGGGTGACGTGAAGTTGTTGCGGTGTTTGAATGTGACGTTTCCCGTAAACAATGAAGTGTCGAGAGGCGCTTGGAGTTGGCTCCTTCCCTCTCGCTTGGGGAGAGCTCCAACTTTAAATAATGCAGCAGTCCCGCTTGGCCCGTGGGTTTTGCCGGAGAAGTGGGGCGCACCATCCCCTTGAGGCCACTTAGGAATGCAAACATCTTCACGCAACCGTCGCCTAACTTCACTGCTTGCAAACGTATGGAACTGCCATCTCTCCGACTTATCACAAGCGACTGCGCTGCTAATTTCACTCTAAGCTTCTCGGTTGGCTTCGAAGTAATGGGGATAGATGTTCCACTCCTCACAATATAAGTTTCGCCTCCGCGAAGCCTTCCAACGAGTTCTCGATTAATTGACGCTACCTGCGAGCGCTCAGTCAAAGCAATACATGTTATACACGCTACCTACCCCAACGCCACCACCTCATACAATGGTCTGTACATCTTCAATCGGAGTTGATGTCGTGTCGCCAGACTTCTTGCTCAGCTCTCGCCGAAAAGGTCGACACCCGCAAGATATCCTGCATCTGCTCATCCGAAACAAACATAATGTTCCGGGCGACGAACCATCGCAAACCTTCCGTACAAGGAGGCGAGGTTAACGAGCCACGGTAGGTCCAGAAATCGGAGAAGCGATCGATCTCGTCCAATGCAAGATTCATGTTCATCGACGTGTTGGGTCTACTCTCGCCGGTCGAGTTGAATCCAATAAAGGCTGGAAGCTGACGAAAGAAGCCGCTATCAGAATTGCCCGGGTCGATACGGATGGCGAGGACAGCGCGTTCGTTCCCTTGGGCATCCGCATGAACGAGATGTAGCTCGGCTTTGGAGCGGTCGCCTTGTACGGAGTGGTCTGCAGGTGCGTGAATGTGCCAGCTGGCTAGATATACCGTCTCGTTGACGTTGTTTTCATCGAACTGCGCGGACGGCAAGCTTGTAACACCGGCCCCATTCTCGCCCAGAAATGTAGTGGCCGGACCATACCTGAAAGCAAAGCGTGGAACGTCAGCGAATGTCTGGAACACAGCAACGACTTCTTCTTATTACCCCCAATTGTGGAAGTCCCCGGAACTGGTGTTCGGATAGTTGAACTCCAACGTGTGGAATCTCGAGAGGCCTTGGTCAAGTCGCAGTGGGATTGGACTTTGCTGGGTACCTGTCTGGCACAGTTCCCACGCTACAATAGTCAGTGGCCCGCAAACGATTACAACGTGACAATTGCGGCATACCTGGATTGAGTCTGCCCCAGTCATCCGATTCTTGGTAGGCAAAGAAGCGGTTCTCCTCAGGAACAGTCGAATTGACGCCCTGTCTTTTCTGGAGTTGAGGGCATGCTGAGGCCAAGCTCAGTGAGAGAGCCAGGAGACGTAAGGAAGTGAACAAGGCCATCGTTCGAAAATAGAGTTTGACAGAGCCTGGTATGTATGCAGGTGCCGTCACAAGGGGGTTTTGTCAGCGTACGTCGCGAGGAGTCGTACAGAAGAGATGCGGATTCTACCTTGCTGGCCATGGACCAGCTACTTATATCAAGACGTCTCGCCCTCTCCTCATCTCCCTCAGGTGCAAGTGACAATCCCACAGCGGCTCAACCTCCAACGCAGGCGCCAAGGTGATCCTATGCAGGCTGAACCGTGTCATCCTTGCTTCGTTTTCATACGAAACGACTGCGGCCGAAATGTGCAATGCCATCCGCGTTCCGTCGATCAAGACATCACACGGACTAGACGAGCCAAGAAGCCCTACGGCCGATATTGGCCAAAGGCCACAGGATGCCAACGTCACGGAGGAAATGGTATGCTTGGCAGCCGCTGAATAAAGTCTCGCTTGCCGAGCCGAGAGTTATATCGAAAGGGTAATTTTCAAGCAATAGCTAATTTAGAGCAAGGTTGAACGTCGAGGCGAAGCTGTCGATGTCTTGGCGTGTCGAAACAGCTACTGTCCCCGAGAGGCTGCCCTCGTTCAGCAAAGACGTTTTACTACTCTGGGCGCTTACGATTGCTTTAACGCGGAGAACGAATGAAAATCCGGCCAAAACCATCGATCCAAACGGCTGACTGACATCGAGAGTTCAAGTCAAAGCCATCGATATGGAGATCAAAAGATCAGGTGGATCCTTCTGGTCACGCACACCCGTACCTGTTGTCGTGGTCACGTTGATAACGAGCAGGGTATGCAGTGGCAATCACTCAGCCGCAGTAGAACGCCTCCCACCGTCGAAAGTCTTTCTGCGACCTAAATCTCACGGCTTTGAACGGAGATCTTGATGCCTTACCAATAAGCAACTTGCCCATATTCACTTTTGGCGCAGTCGGCCACACAGAGCTCGGAGAACATACGGGAGCTCAAGAGGGCCCAGTCTTTCTTGCCTGTCTAGGTAAAAGGCTAAAAGGCGTCAAACCGCTTGAAGCAAGGTGTCCGATCTGGGCATTATCCGAACGTGTGTGACACTCTCATAGACCGACGATCTGGACCTCGTCTCAATATAGACTACGTCCTACAGTTCCATCATGTTCCTTCCTGGCTGCCCTCACAGCCTCTTCACACGAAGGTTAATCCGCAATATGGATGCTGACGGTTGATGTCACGATAGCCGGCCCTTAGGATGGCCCAGAGGAGCGTGGTGGAGCTAGGGTCTCTCCGCGGACAGCAGCGATGCATCAAGCAAACTCCATCCAGGTAAAGACGAAGGAACCTCCGAATTTCGCTCCTTGTCCATGCTGACTCGTCGCATAATCCATCTCGGTCAAAGACCACACTCTAGACACTCTAGCTGGCTTCCCTCGAACTACACGCACATCCCCTCCTCGCTTCTCAGCGTCGTTGCTCCAGCCTGAATGTACTTTCTCGAGAGCTCGGCCGATCGCACAGTTTCGAATATCGTGTCGCTACGGTCCTTGTACAGTCGACTCGCACCGCACGCCAAACAGGTGTTGACAAGGAGTCGACCAACTGGTCAGGGCAAAGGAGCAGAGTGGAAACCCAACGAGCTCTACGACGTAGAGAGCGCATTCGAACATTCAAGCGTGAGTTGCTGTCAGCTCAGAGCGGTGCTATTCGTCAAGAACATGAGGACATGACCTCTCCGGCTCGTTGAACTTGGGGAGCCATCAGTGATGGGCATGATCAATGAGTGTTCCGCATTGAACAGAATGAGGAGGACAGTCTTCAAGGTTGGAGGTCGAGCTTGACGGTGAGTGGCCTCGCAATGCATCTCTCTATCTTACTTTCTATCTATATTTACTTTGTTTTTTGCCTTACTCTCTACTTTACTCGCGGCGTTACTCTCCGCTTTACTTCCTATCTTACTCTATTCCTTACTCTCTCCCTTATTCTCGCTTTTACTCTCTACTTTACTCTCTCCCTTATTCCCTACTTTACTCTCTACTTTACTCTCCGCCCTATCCCTAGTCTACCCCCGCCTTCTACGTGTTACTCGCCTCGTAACTAAACGGCTAACCCTAATCTATGCAAAGATGTCCCTAAACCCTAACAGTGCCCAAGATCGGGCTGTACTAACAAGATGGTCCTGCTCACATGCGTGTCGACTTGCTGCACTTGCCTTGTTAGACACGCAGTCTGCAATTCATAGCACGAAACGGCCGAGTTGTCGCTGGAAGTCCTGTCGTCGACCGCGGGTACCCTTGTCGTTCTGCTCAAAGTGGAACACATTGCGCCGTCGCCTCTCCAATTTTTGACACCTCCAAGCTCTACACTGCACATCAGGTTGCTTAGATAGCCCACGAGCTTTGGGGATAGATGTAATACTTTGAGCGGAAGAAGGAGGGCAATATTAAGTTCGAAGGCAGTCGATTTAAAGCCGGAGAGTAGGCCAGACTAGCACAAGACTGCAGGGGTAGATTTGGTGGAGGTTGGGCAGCGACAAATAGCCGACGATGTATCTCCATGGTGACGATATTCCTGTGTGCCCAACACCAACCTGTACATGTACCCAGATCTCTTTTCGCCTCCGTTTTCACGACAGAATCATGAACCTGACGACGATTGCATGAAGACAGGAGCTGAAGTCGCGGGAAATATCGCGGATAAGGTTCAAGCCATCTTGCCAGCCACTGCTGTGGCAACCCTTTCTCCACCGCACAGCTAGCTGCATGAACAACACACACGACGGTGAACCGCACAGCTTATTGGACGTGCTCCATGGTTGGACAAGCTGCCGACGATGTCTTGCATCGCTAGTCGACTTGTAAATCCTCTCTCTTGATCCAACATACTGTGTATAGCGGTAATTAGCGACGACCCACGACCACGCGACAACGATCCAGCCCTCAGCCGAACTTCGGTTCGCTACGACCCACGAGCACAACCACGAGACCTTTGCGATCGCCAGAGCCTGTGAACCACGGCGGTGGACATTACGGATATCGCGATCTGTGTGTGACTGTACAGCATCATTCGCGACAGCGCATAGTCCCATCCATCAACTCGAAACACAAACCCGAGTGTTTCCAAACATAATTATCGCAACGAACCAAAACAAACAATGTGGAAGGCAGCCTTCACCGGCCGGAGTGAGTCTGGCGGTGGCAGTGGCAGTACATCCGGGCGGCCGAACAAGGACGAACTCCGGCGCAAGAAGAGCAGCCATAGCCATCGCACAGAATCCGTGATCTCATCGACTTCAAGACGAGATGAGGATAAAGACAGGGAGCGCAGACGCAGGGAGAAGTCGGGTAGCTTGTATGACAATGCGTCTTCGTCTTCGAGATATGAAAATGGCTCTTCGTACATCTCTGGCGGAGGCTCGCAGTACGCGACAGCACCTAGCTCTCGTGTAGGCGAACCGCGTCCGCTCACGGAGAGTGCTCTGCGCATGCTGCCAGATGATGAGGAGGAATGGGAAGATGAGGAGAAAGATGCGCGCAGTGAGAAGAGAAGCAGACGGAGAGAGAGCGGGGACGAGAAGAGGAGAAAGAGTACGCGCAGTGAGAAGGACAGATCTCGCAGCCGATCTAGAGAGCGCAAAGACAAGAAGAGAGAAAGCAAGTCTGAGAAGTCTCGTGACAAGGATCGAGACCGCTCCCGACGTGATCCTGAACTGGTGTCTGAGAATTCGAGGGCCATTCCGGAGATGGGCTCCTTCCAGCAATTTCCTGGCCAATTTGGGCCTTCGAACCCTCACGACGCGGTCATGTCTGGCGCGTTACCCACTCCAGCGCCTAATCAACAATTTCTAGGCCAGGAAGCGTATGCCGCGCAACCGATGCCTCCTCAGCCAAACCGCGCGGATAGTTGGGGAGCTGCGGCGGAGTATTATCTGGATGAAGGACAATCGGTGCATGATCAGCCAGGCTTCCGGGTCAAGAGTCCCAATATGCTTGTGAACCCAGACCTTGACCATTTGATGACCGCATCTGCCGAAGCCAATCCTGTAGCGGACACTGGAAATGGCTCAGCCGCTGACTTCTTCTCTGGCAAAGTGAGTCCAGTGCCATATGAGACGCCGCAGAAACCTACGAAGCCAGGCAAGCCGTCATCTTCAGGCAAGCCGTCGTCTTCGAGCAAGCCTTCAAAGCCCTCGCGAACTTCATCAGCGGGTGCTGCCGCGGCTGCCTTGGCTGCGGCAGGTATTGGAGCGATGAGCAGCTCTTCGAATCACAAGCACTCTTCTTCGTCGCAACAGCAAACGTCGACGTCATCTTCATTGAAGCCGATTTCACGACCACCGCGACACAGCTCCGACGGCGGCGTCTACTACGCGACACCATCTTCGAACGGAACCTATCCACCTACCCTACCATCGACCAACGGCTGCGGACCCGGCGCTCCATCGCAGACAGGTACTCCAGGTAAGCGTCCTACTAACAATTCTAACGTTCCACTTTACGCAGGTGCAGCGGCTGCTGCAGGAGCCGCTGGGTACGCCGCCTACGAACACAATCAACATTCTCAATACAACGGCCAGCAAAGTACAAGCTACAACATGGCAGCCGCAGGGGGCTATGGCGCGGGTGGCCAGGGACCGCCAAGATCTCCACAACCAGGCCCTGGAGGATATGGCTACTATCCGCCAAATGGATCGAACGGTGGCATGGCCCAAATGCCCTACCACGAACACAAGGGGCCAATGGCGCGGCTCAAAGACGGCCTGCTGAACCTCATTTCTACACCCGAAGACACAGCCAAGATGGAGATGTACACCGAGTACATTGGCGTGTGCAAGCATTGCTTTGACCCTAGGACAAGCGCATGGGACGCACCGCGAGTGCATCACTACCACAAACGAAGTGATTCGTTCGAGGACCTCCGAAGACGTCGATCCTACGACAAGATGCGTCGTCGCGGAAGTGATGAATCGCTACGACGTCAAGGTTTGACGAGAGTCGACAAAGAGAATCGCTACTACGCTTCAGATTCGAGCAGGAAGAAGCGGGAGAGCGGCGGTGCTGGTATTCTTGGCGCTGGACTGGCTGCTGCAGGTGCTGCAGGAGTGGCCAACGCTATGTTCAGCGATCGCAAGGATTTTGATGACACTTACAGTGTCAAGTCTGGCCATCGCGAGAGCTCTGCCGTGAGACGACGAAGTCGAAGTTCTTCCCGTGAGAGGCGGCGCCGATCGAGCTATGGCGTTGCTCGGCCTGAAAAGGACGAGTATGTCACTGTTCGCAAGAAGGACGGCACTGTCGAGCGTCGCAAGGTTACACGAAAGTCTCGTTCAAGCTCGCAAGATCGCAAGTCCTCTGGATTGTTCGGCGCAGCTGCTGCTGGAGCTGCACTGGGCGCCGCAGGCATGGCTGCCAACTCAAGACGTCACTCGAGAAGCCGCAGTCCCAGTGTTCTTGGAGGCTCCGATTCCAGGTCCAGACGAAGGGAGCGACGGTCACCAGGAAGAGGCTCTTATTACGACAACAACCGCCGTGATGACCGACCCCAGGAGTCCGAAGGTTTCTTTGGAGGCTTCTTTTCACCGCCTCAGAACAAGCGACGAAATTCTCGAGAACATCAGAAAAAGCGCCGCGGATTCTTCACCTTCAGCAACAGCTCAGAGTCTTCGCATGATGATCTTGCATTTGGCGAAGGTTTCTCCAGCAGGACGAGTCTTCCACTTCGTAGAAAGTCGTCCACTCTGTCGAATCGAACCGGCCGAGCTGGGCGTCGTGTCCCGAAGAAGAAGTCCGACGAGCACCTGGCTGCCACCGTCGCCGGAATTGGCGCAACTGCGGCTGCTTTGGCCGCTGCACAGAAGGGTCATAGAATCAACAAGCGCACCAGCAGGCCAGAGCTTGGCAAGAGACGAGAGCCTCGTTACGACACGCACGATTCTACAAATGACGAGTGGGAGGACGAGTTGCCATCCGATGTCGATGATGAATCTAGCGTTGACGGCGGTATGGCTTTCGGCGACTACGGTGGTAAGCGCCTCTCCAGTCGACAAAGCATGGAGAGCGTGGGCTCCCAATCCTCAGCAGGTGGTCCTCTAAGTGCCTGGGGATGGCGATGGGGCAACAAGGAACAGAAGAAGCGCGGCCGGCGAACATCTTCTCCTCGTCCAACATATCCAACAGGCGCAGGGGGCTCGTTCGTTGCACCAGGTCTGAGCAACGCAGGATCTGTGTCTGGAGCGTCCTTCGATCCCAGCAGGCCGATTCACAAGCCTGTGTACCTAGACGACACTGGAAGACCGCTCCCAAGCATCAGCAGCGAATCTACAGTCACCAGCGGGCAGCAAGGTTCAATGCAATATATGGATCCTGCGCCAATGTCCGATGCTGGCAGTAGAGCGGGCTCTCGGCATCCTTCTATGCCAGGTGCATTCGACTATGACCCGCCTGTCATCAGCCCTGGCCCTGGACCAATTCAGCAGCCACAGCCAATTACGCCTATCCCGCCTTCGTTCACTCAGAGTCCGCCAGAAATGAACTCTCGGCCCTCTCAACCGCGCCGTGCTAACTCGAGTCCAACACGCGGTCATTTCGCCCAGGACGCAGCACTGATTGGAGCTGCGGCACTTGGTACTGCTGGCATAATCGCTGGTTCTTCGCTGGTTTCAGGAAAGCGATCACGAGAGCCTTCAAACGTCCGCTTTGGCTTGACCGAGGAGCAGCAGCGCAGAGAAGATCGTGATCAGAGAAGTCAACAGAAGACTGCCGACGAAGAGCGCCGCAAAGCCGATCGTACTAGGGCACTCAAAGCAGAGGCAGACCGCGCGGCGAAAGAGTCAAAACAAGAGGAGATCAGACAAGCCAGAGAAGACGAGAACCGCCGGCGCGCTGAAGAGAAACTCAGAGAGCAGAGGGACGCCGAAGAGCGAGCTGAGCGCCAGAGACAGAAGGAGCATGCACGTGTAGAGCGCGAGCGGCTTGAGAGAGAAGCCAGAGATCGACAAGAAGCGGCCACTGCAGCAGCCGCTGAAGTTGAGAGGCTCAGGCTCGAGAGAGAAGAAGCCCAGCGACAGGCTGAGCAACGTGAGCGAGAACGTAGGGACCGCGATGAAGCGTACGCTCGAGACCAACGCCGCCAAGCCGATGAGCGGGAACGTTACACTCGGGAACAAGAAGCCAAAGACCGGTATGAACGTGAGCGTCGAGATCAAGAAGCCAGTGACCGCAACGAACGCGAGCGCCGCGATCACGACGAGAGACAATCTTCAGCCTCGAAATGGGCTCCAGCTGCGGTGGGAGCCGCTGCAGCCGCGACTGTCGGTGCAGCGATTGCCAGCGAGAAGGGCCGGGATCGCAAGCGCCGCGACGACTCGTACTATGATGAGGCTCATTCAGATCGTCGACAGGATCGCGAATATGGCACTGCAGAAGTCAAGCCCAAGTACGAACACGAGGGAGAGCCCATCATGGACGACGACATATTTGACCCTGAGTTATTCAAGCGCAATCAACGCGACTCGTCCAGTCGAGAAGAGCTCGAGAATGATCCACGTTACGTCGAGTTTGCTCGCCGCGCTGCCGATAAGATCACGGCGGATCGTGCGAATGCCTACTCTCCTGTAGGCAAAGACAAGTACACCACGTACGCCGATTTCTTCATGCCGGAGGAGCTGCTCAACAAGACCGCCGAGCCAGGTAACAAGGTGCGAGACGTTAGCCCTCACGCCGACAACGAGATTGCGATATGGCATGCCCGTGACGAGGACATTCGCGGCCACTTTCCACAGCACCCCAGTGATTACGGCTATGGCAAGAGCAAGCATGCGCCTTATGGAGTGCCAGCGCTCAAGGTCATTTCCCCAACTCCACCTCTCGAAAGCCAGTCGCCTACGAGTGCGAGAAGCAGCAAAGGCTCCAAACCATCGTCGCCGCTCGCAAAAGCGCAAGACGCGGACGAGGAAGAGGTGCCAGCAGAGCCGACCAGATCGCAGGGTTCTGGAAAGTCTGAGCGTTCCCGGAGCATCTCCTGGGGCGTAGACAAGACCCATTTCTACGATGTCGACACACCCACTCCAGAGTCTAATTTGGACCGAGAGTCATACATCACCAGTCCTGACATGCGAGGGCAGAAAGAACGTGTCGCTGCTGGTGTCGCTGGCGCTGCGGCTGCGGGTGCTGCATTGCACGACATCATCGTCGAGGGGCCGTCAGGCGAAAGCCACAGGTACTCTGAGGAAGAGTGGCTACGTGACGAGAAGAAAGAGAAGTCTTCGCGTGGCCGCCAGAACTTCGATGATGATAACGATGTAGAAGACATTACGCCATCTCCAGAACCCGAGCCTGAACGTCAGGGCTTCTACCGCCAGCCGTTCTTCGACTCGGTGTCTGATATGGGTACGGGCATCTTCAACGTCGACTCGCCAGGCACGGAAGGAGCGCCTCCTGTCCGTGGCTTTGTGGAAGAAGTGGAACTTGACGAGACTCCTGCGAATGAGAAGGCACCCCACATCCCTGGTGGATTTGATGATGACGAGGATCCAGTCTCTGCAGAGGTGAAAAAGGAACAGGCTGCACAAGCTTCTGCTGGAGCATCAAAGGACGCGGCCGAACCTGCATGGGAGCCCCCATTGAGCAAGAAAGAGAAGAAGAAGCGCGAGAAAGCCGCCAAGCGTACAGAGAGCATTACAGAGAGCGATCCACCAACGCCTGTGACCGAGACTCCGGCATCGAACGGAGATCCAAAAGATATTTCTGCCGGCAACGAAGACTCCTTTCCCCCTCTTAGCAAGAAAGACAAGAAGAAGCGGGAGAAAGAGGCCAAGAAGCAGAGCGTGGGCTTTGCTGATCTCGTGGGCCAAGTACAAGGAGAAAAGGCGCAGCCAGAAGAGGCTCCCCGTGAAGAGACGAGTGTTGACGACTGGGAACCTCCCCTCAGCAAGAAGGAGCAGAAGAAACGTGACAAGGAGGCCAAGAAGCAAGGCGTGGGCTTTGCTGATCTTGTCTCTCAGATTCAATCTGAGGTGACTCAGCCTGAAGAGCCCCATCGAGAGGAGCAGCAGAGCGTTGACGATTGGGAGCCTGCCCTCAGCAAGAAGGAGCAGAAGAAGCGTGATAAGGAGACCAAGCAGTCAGGCTTCGCGGATATCGCAGATGAGATTCTTGCTGCTGGTGGCATCGCCGCGGCCGCTGCTGCTGCTACCGGAGTGGCTTCAGCTGCCACGGACAGCACCGAAGAGTCCACTGGTGGATCAGGTTCTTCAAAGAAAAGGAAGAAGGGCAAGAAAGCGAAGCTTGGAGAGCCACTGGAGCGTGACCCCAGAGATCTGGAGCTCACAAACGATGTGCCGCCTGCAGTTCCCGAAGTCCCTTCGTTTACAGAGGAACCGAGCAGTATGCCTGGTGCTTGGGACGACGAGCGTCGCGACTCAACAGACCAGAGTCCAGTCGAAACCTCTGTGGATCCCTTCCAATATCAAGTCCGAGACCCTGAGACTATTGCTCAGGAGCGACCTGATGCAAAGGAAGTGGACTCCTGGGCAGAGTGGAACGAACCATCTACCACTAGTTCCAAGAAGTCGAGGAAGGACAAGAAGAAGGCAAAGCGAGGCAGCGCAGCGTTTGACACTTTCCCAGAGGTCAGCTCACCTCTCAGAGCCGAGGTGCCGCAAGACGACTTCTTTGGCAGAGCTGAGCCCACTGAAGCAACCAAGGAGACTGTCTTGAATGGTGCTGCAGCTCATGTCAATGGCACTGCAAGAGACAAGGACGAGTCTGCCTCACATCAAGGCGAGCAGCCATCTGACGACCGCTCTGGACGACCAGACGAGTTCTTTGACGACAGCAAGCGCGTCAGCGAGAGTCCTAGACGGGTCTCTCCAGACGATGTACGCTCTGTCACATCGGCGTCAGAGACTGGAGAGCGACGCAGATCGCAACACCGCGAATCCCGACGAGGTAGTGACTACGCCGACGAGCCTTCTTACGCCTACGAAACGCAAAGCATTGCAGCATCGGAACCTGCAGATCCTTATGACCGCGAGAAGAAGTCTTCCAAGCGTCGATCAAGACACGCCGAGGACTTTGACGACACAGCATCCGTGACTTCTAGCAGGTCAAGACGTGACAAGGAAGAGTCGCCATCATCGAGCAAGAAGGAATCGAAGGGTGGCCTCTTCGGCCTCTTCAGTCGCAAGTCTGTTGATGAGAAGTCCAGCAAAGACGGTAGTTCGCTAAGCCGCAAGTCAACCCGTGACGAGGAGGACGAGAAGAATCGTCGACGCAAGCATCGGTCGACATCTGAGTACGGAGATGATGACGACGATACCAGAAGTGTCAAGTCAGAGTCGCGACGCAAGCACCGTTCTCACTCTGAACAGGGAGACGAAGATAGCAGAGAGCGACGCAAACACAGCTCGCGAACGGAGTCTTACGACGACTATGATCGTGACCGCAGCTCTCCGGCCCGCAGTGAGCCATCATCCGGCCACCGACATCACCATCGCAGACGAACGGACGATGACGACGGTGAGAGCCTGTCCAGAAAAGACAGTCGAGAATCACGGGGTGCCGTGAGCGAGAGCGGGCATCGGCACCATCGACGCCGCAGAACGGACGAGGACTACGATTCAAAGGACCAGTCTTTTTTAGGGAATCGGGTAGAGGATCTGCCGCCTCTACCCGCTAGTCCTGACGATGCAGATTCAGCTGCTGTACTGGAACCACCAGCGCAGCGAGAGCAGGGAGAAGGCAGCCCTGTCTCTGCTGAGTCTGCTCTTCAGGCACCGGTGAACGTCGGAAAGGTCGACTTAGCAACGGAGGGCACGAGGTCGGCCGAAACAAGCGAGCCATTGCTCCAGACGCCTGGTCAGATCGCTTCGTCTGTGGAGACTCCACAACGACCTGGTTCTGTGGGCCGGCCTGTCTCATCGACAGCTGTACCGCTTCGCTTTCCCTTCGGACACGCTCCACCGCAGACACCTGCCAGCCTCAAGGAGCGTGCTCATAGCTTCAGTTCGCCCCTTGCCACGCCAGGTACAGCTGGTGCATCGCCAGTGTCGCCAGCTTCCACGAGCAAGCAATCGCGACAGGGCCGTCCGCATTCTACGGAGATCAGGCCTCTGTATCTTGTGGAACGAAACCGTCAAACTCCAGAAGTTGACGAAGCGCTTCCAAGCCTGCCTTCCAGCAAGCCAAGCAGTCGCGCAAGCAGCATACACGGAAGCGACGAGAACTACCAAAGTGCTGCCGAAGACTGGGATGGCGCGGAGTCTCCCTCTCGACGTCGAGCTCTTACAGTCGACATTGGAGAAGCTCAGAGATGGAAAGACGAAGGCGATGTGTTGGGCTCACAGCAAACGACGCCAAAAGCAAGTGAATTTCCCCAGCTTCCGACTGAGAGGCAGCACGGGAAGCAAGAGCCACAGTTCTACACCTGGGAAGACCTGGCCCGTGAAGAGCAACCAAAACAGCAGCCACAGTTCTACACATGGGACGATTTCGCAGAGGACGAGAAGATGCACGAGGTGGAGAGTCATCCTCAAGTCGATCCTGAAGCGGCGTACAGGGCACGCATTGCTCAGCATGAGGAGCTTCCGCCACTTCCAAGGAGTCGATCTGTCTCGCCTGCCAAGAAGGAAGATCATGGCCACGGATCTAGCTTCAAGAGTGTTGCAGCGGCCGCGATGCTTGGGACTGCTGCTGTGTACGCTGGCCACAAGCTCGCTGAACGGTCGCCTGAACGTGCTTCGAGCACTGAGCGCAAGGACCGTCGAGGTTCGTCTGAGCCTGTGGAGAAGAAGGGCGCCCGCGATTATCCATTGCCTGCTCCTATTGAGGAATCACCTGTTGCTGGAGGCGAGAAAGATTCGTCGAAACCTGAGCTCTCTCGCAAAGGTTCTTCCAAGAAGAAGAAAGGGAAGAAGGGCAAGAGGGCTCAACGGGTGGATGACGAGCCCGAGACTCCTGCTACTCCCCTGTCTGAAGCAGAGGCTACAGCGACAGAGCAGCCGTTGGAAAGACAAGACACCGATAGCTTCTTTGATGCGGAAGCGCGTGCAGAGTCGGGCGAAATGGGACCAGAGCCCATCTCAGAGGTCATTGCCAGTGCTCCTGCCATCCAACGTACTGATACAGACACTTTCTGGAGGGAAGAGAGCGAAGCCGAAGAGGGTGTGTCCCATCCACATTTGCAGGATCCTGAGGTGGTCGCTGTGCCGCCAAAGGAGAATGCATTGGATCGCTTCCTGCACGATGAACAGGACATGGAGGATGGTGCTGTCTTCGCTTCAGCTGCTGCACATTCGATGCCAGCGTACGCGCCTCCCACCTTTTCCGACGAACGCTCCAGCCAGTATAACCGACAATCCGTGGACGGTGGCGTGTTCTCTTCATCTGCGTCTCACACGATACCAGTTCTGCCAACACCTGGCGAAGAATCCACAGTGCGCTTCTTGGAAGAAGAGTCACGAATGGAGGACGGCGCCGAGCCTCATGCTCCTGTCTTGCAACCAAGCGTTGAATCCAGTCGAGCACAAGAAGAAGAGCGCCCAGCAACCTCGTATAAGATCCCTCAAGCCAAGGCCGAGCCAGCACCTCTCGTCATGGAGCCGCGCAATGTCGGGGTCGATCACGAGCAGTCGACTGAGATTGCATCCGCGCCGAGACTCACGAGGAAGCAAAGCAGGAAGGCCAAGAAGAAGCAGAAGGCGACTGCGTTGTTCACTGGTGAACCTGGTCAAGAGGATGAGAAGTCGTCGGTGCCTGAAGCTGTGCCTGAAGCCTCTGCTGCTGAAGAACAAGCTGAAGCAGGAGGAGAAGTCAAAGAGACTCGGCTTTCGAATGAGCTTGAAGACATTGACACGCCCTCTGCCGCTATTGCAACCGCTTCGCCTTGGGACTTTGGAGCCTCTGATTTTGGCCATGTCGCGCATGGAACCAGCTCTTCTTGGCATGATGCCCAGTCGCAAGCCTTCGCTGAATCCATGGTCCAACCCAAGCGCGCGCAAAACGACACTTCTCGTGACATGCCACAAGAAGCCACTATCGAAGAGCCGCCGATGGACTTTAGAGGCGAGCAAGAGTCGTCTTTCGAGCCTGCTTTCTCCAAGAAGAAAGCTAAGAAAGACAAAAAGAAAAATCCCCCTACTTGGTCTGAAGAAGGCGGCGAAGAGGATTCCTCCGCCCAACCTCTGGAAGACGACAACGCACCGGGTGAATCGCACGACGGTCTGTTGGCGGGCGCTGCGATTGGCGCTGCGGCTGCAGCAGCAGCACCTACTGTTTTTGAGGCCCTAGACTCCAAGTCCAAGAAGAAGGCCAAGAAGGACAAGAAGAAGAAGCCTCCGACTTGGTCTGAGCCAGATCCCGAGCTAGAGTCGACTCCTGAGCAGCGGCCGTTCGATGCAACTCAAAGAGAGGCCCGTGAAGCAAACGATGTCGAGAATACTGCAAAGCCCACAACAGAGATCGAGCCGGAGCAATTTCATGAAGCCCTTGCTGAACCTCAAGAAGACAAGAAAGATGAGACCATGCCTGAGGGAGCAGCGACTGTACCAGAATCACTCAAAGCTCCTGCTAGGTCTGAAGCTGAAGTCTCACGCGAAGCCGAGACCACTGCCGATCCTAGCGCTGCAGACGACTTTGCCCCCATACTCTCTCGGAAGCAGAGCAAGAAAGACAAGAAGAACAAGAAGAGAGCATCAATTTGGTCTGAGCCTGCTGAAGAGTCCGAGCCTACTCAGGAATCCGGCCAGGCTTCTCGGCATGCTTCGGTCGACAGTCCCTCCTTGGCCACTCGAGATAATGTCCTTGAGGAGACGCAGGAATCTACTCGGCTTGATAGTGACGAAACAACAGCAAACGCTGATGTTGCTGAGGACGCCCCTGTTGATACTCCCGACACTACTGCAGCGGAAGGTTCTACTTTCGCGGATGGCAACGACAGCTTTGCTCCAGTGTCCAGGAAGAAGAGTAAGAAGGACAAGAAGAAGGCAAAGCAAGTCGTCTACTGGAATGAGCCAGAGGCAGAACCGCATGCTGAGGCTTCTACTGCTGCCGCTGGGGTTCATGAGGAGACTCCACCCGCAGACACACCTAGATTGGAAACAGAGGGTCAGCAGTCCACGGTGCCCGCAGAAGAACGTGACATCGAAGAGCGAACAGAGGCAGCGCGCGACATCGTTGACACCACTCCTGCCACCGGCGAAATTGCTTCTGTGGATGATTCTGCTGCTCGATCGGCTCTCGAAGAATTTGCTCCTGCAGTCTCTAAGAAGCAGGCCAAGAAAGACAAGAAGAAGAAGAGGCAGACGTTCGATTTCAACGAGCCTGATACCGAGCCTGAACCTGCGCTTGAACCTGAATCGGACTTCGTTCCAAAGGCTGAAGAAGCCAATGCCATTGCTCCTGAGCTGGAGGACTTGCGGTCTACAGAAGAGTCCACAGCACAAACATCAACCGGGCCCAGAGATGCTGCACCCGAGCAAGATTTCAATGAGGAGCCCGCGGGCATTGTCACTGCGGCTGCAGAAATCATTCAGCCCGAGCAGACAGATGCAAAGTCTGCTCTTGAAGAGTTCGCGCCCGTATCGTCCAAGAAGAGCAAGAAGGACAAGAAGAAGAAACGAAACACCTTCGACTGGACCGAGCCGGAACCGGAGCCAGAAGCCTCGCCATCGCAGGAGTCGCGAGATGATTTAGCAACGGCGGAAGAGCCCGTAACGAGCAAGCAAAATGATCTTTCTGCTACTGAGGTGGTTGAACCCCAAGAATCCATGCCATTGCAGGAAGACACTGTTTCTCAAGCACCCACGCCTGCTGCTGAGAAGACGGAAGAGGCTGCCGACGACGATTTCAAGCCATCCTTGTCTCGCAAGCAAAGCAAAAAAGACAAGAAGAAGAAGCGCCAACAACTTTCGTGGGAACCTGAAGCAGACACCCAACTGGAAGCTGCCCCTGCGGAGCAGCAACCTTTGCGTGAAGAGCCTGCCGCTGAGAGCCTGACGGTCGAAGAGCCAGAGAAGTCTGCCACTATTCGGCAGCCAGAAGACGTACCCTTGCCTCAAGAAGCCGATGACGAACTCTTGGACGAAACTAAATCAAGCGATTCGCCTGCTCCAGAAGCATATCGCGATCTTGGCAGCACTTTCGGTGGCACGCCTGCCGGTGAGACTTACCCCAACCGCGATGACGACTTGTCTACCGAAGCTCAGGAAGAAGTCGAGGATCGCAAGGCGGAAGATGTAACTCAAGAGTCTTCTCTTCCCACTGAGCAAACTAGAGATGGGCGTCAAGAGTCAAGCGCGCCAGAGCCAGCTGAAGAGCCAGAAGAGGAGTTTGCCTGGACGACTAGTACTCAAAAGAAGTCCAAGAACGGCAAGGAAGGCAAGAATTCTACATCAGAGACGCCAACACCAGCAGAGCCCGCGACATCCAATTTTGCAACGCCCGATGTCAGCGAGCCAACTCCAGAAAGCTGGGATGACATTGTTGCTCAAGAACAGGATGTCTCACAGCCTGTTGAGAAAGACGAAATCTCAACGCCCGGTCCAGAAGCCGGCGACGCCGAATTCTCATGGGCTCCGAGCTCGAAGAAGAAGGGCAAGAAAGGCAAAAAGAGCCGTCAGGTGTCGCTTGCCGATACGACCGTGGCTGAAAGCGAACCTCCGTCAAAGCAGCAATCTGAGGCTCGAGACGCAGCTGTCGATTCTGAACCGCCACATGTGCAATCTGCTGGTGATTTAGAAGTTGCAAAGCCTCAAACCGCAGTATCTGGTGAAAAAGTGGCATGGCCAGAGCCGACAAGCTCTGCTCCAGTCGAAGTCGACTTCGAACGTGGCGCTAAGCAGGCCACTGAAGGTGCCCAGATCGAGGAAGCTACCCCGGCAGAGCAACCGGAAGATGACTGGTGGTCGTTCTCTTCGGCCTCGCAGAAGAAGAAAAAGGGCAAGAAGAGCAAGGCGTCGTCTGGCACCGCAACTCCAGCAGAGCCAGAGGTCCAGGCCGCCGAACTGGCGCCCAAAGGTGAAGAGACGAAACCTACCGATGCAGTCCAAGAACCAGTAGCAGCTGCTGATAAGTCATCTGTGGAAACACCATTCGAACAGACCGAGCATCTGGCAATCGAGAGTGAAAGGAAGAATGACATTCCGTCATCCGAAGAAGCTCAGGACGAGTTCTCATGGGCGCCAAGCTCGAAGAAGAAAGGCAAGAAGGGGAAAGCATCGACGCCGCAGACTCCTCTAGCACACAGCGCGGATCCATTCGATGACTGGACGGCGCCTTCACGATCTGTAGAGCAAGAGCAGACAGTTCTGGCTCCTGGGGATGACTTCCAAGCGCTTTCAGGTGATGTTGAGGTTGCTGGAGAGGACGAGTGGGCGTTACCAACGTTCTCGAAAAAGAAGAAGCAAGGCAAAAAATCTACTTCTGGGCTGCCCACCGCGATCGCCGAGCTGGTTGAGTCTGAAGTACCTGTGGACATAGGCCCTACCGTGGAAGAGTCTGAAGCAGTCAGGCATGAACCATCGATCGACACCAGTACGGCTGAGGTCGGCCACAATGAGGCTGCCTCCGGTCCACGGGACGACATTAAAATGCCAGATGCTTCGGCTTCAGCAGACAAGGAAGATACTGTTGGAGAGACCGACATGGAAGGGCCTCCGGCCGAACCAACATTCAACGACGTTTGGGCGGAAGAAGAGATTGCCACTACAGAAGATCATGATGCCGTTCGTGACTTGATGGATGATTCGAGGGACAACACTGAATCTTCCTGGACTCCTTTGAAGAAAGGCAAGAAGAAGAAGGGCAAGAAAGGATCCATAGCAGAGCCAAAGCTCCCCGTTGAGCAAACATCAGCAGCTGAGAAGAACGCTGAATTTGATCCAGCGCCAGTCACCGCTGAGCCACTTGCTTATGGAGAAGACGACAAGCCCCAAGAAAGTGAAGGTCAGCGCGCTGAGGGGCCTTCGAACGACAACGCCAATGCCGACACTAACATCTCTGACGCTCTTCAGACGCCTGCCGAAAGCAATGAGCCTGAGAGCAGTGCTGCAGAATTTTGGATGCCACAGACAAGCAAGAAGAAGGGCAAAAAGGGCAAGAAAGGCAAGCAGCTATCTCTGTCGGAGGAGCCTTCCACACCAATCGATGACGTTCAAGAGGTTGATGTGGCTCCTGCTATTGATGATACTGCGGGTGCACACAGCATAGCCAAAGACACCGACGCACAGAAGGTTGAGCAAGTCGAAAAACCTGCAGAAGACATCCCCACTCAAGAAGAGGACGCTGTTTTGGACGACTGGCTTGCCCCATCAAGTGGCAGCAAGAAGAAGAAAGGCAAGAAGGGAAAGCAGACAGCTTTTGATGCTTTTGACGAACCTGCGTCTTCTTCTGCAAAGCAAAGCGGCGAATTCAGTATAGACAAGAACACAGATTCTCAGTCTTCTCCACCCGACGAGACATCTCGCGAGGCACCAGTGTCTGCCGAGAAGGATGCTGGCGAGGCTTGGGAAGTCCCCACGACTGGCAAGAAGGGAAAGAAAAGCAAGAAATCCAAACAAGTGTTCTCCTGGGGAGACGAGACGCCTATCGAAGGTCCTGGGCTGGAGGCATCGTCAGATCCAGTGCAAGTTGAAGAGGATCCCATCGCGCCAGAGTCAACCTGGGAAGCGCAGGAGCACAAGGAGCAAGAAGCCTCTTTGCTTGCCGACAAGTCTGAAGTCCAGCGTGCAGGTGAAGATAAACCATGGTCATATCGAGAAGATACCAGGGACGTGAACATGGATCAAACACAAGGCAAACCAAATGCTTCCGGCGACAGTCTCAAGACAACGGACGACTGGTCACAGCAAGCGCCTATTCCATTGCCAGAATCGGTCGAGCAGGTCGAAGAGCCGATGGAGTTTGACACAGCAAAGGGCGACAATGTCACTGCTCCCGCCGAGCCAGAGTCTTCGCAGACGCCACAGCAAGATGAAGACTTTGGCTTTGCAGTCAAGAAGAGCAAAAAGGACAAGAAGAAGGGGAAGAAGAGTCGATCCTCAACTACCGACCCATGGGCGGAGACAGCTGAGTCGCCTGCGGCAGTCGATGACCGGGATCTTGACAAGGACAAGTCCAGTGGGTTGGAGAAGGCTGCAGTTGCTGCGACAGCTATTGCCGCGGCGGCTGCTGTGGCAGCAGTTGCAAAGAATGAGTCCGTGGAAGACGAGTGGCCGACCTTCACTTCCAAGAAATCCAAGAAGGCCAAGAAGAAAGACAGGAAGAGTGGCTCGTCGACGCCAGCCTTGCAGCGAGAAGATGAGCCCCTGGAGCCTCCAGTTGACGTTGTCGACTTTGCACCCGAGACGCCAACTCAAGAGTCCAGCGCATTTGAGCAACAGAGATCGTTGCCACACGATGGTGATACTGATCTGCAAGTTGCTGCGAACATTGGTTTGCCCGAAGTGGCTGTGAACGAGCAGCATGATCTGGAGGAGCCTGCACAACGGTCCATGCAGCAGGCGGAATGGGCCGGCAGTCGTGATGAAGCCGACGTGCGATCGGAGACCAAAGACAACGCAGCTAATGCCAACCGAAACGAGACATGGGACGAAGCACCCACAACCGGCTCGCCACATCATCCATCACAGGACATCGACTTCACCGCTACCGTGGCCGCCGGTCTCGCCGACAGTGGCTTCAATCCCGACTTGGTGATTAACGATCCTGTTTTCCAGCGTCGTGCGTCCCCTCCCGGGGCAGTCGCTGAAGGTGACCCTGAAGAAGGCTTTGCATCGACCACTCGAAGGCGCCGGAAGAACAAGAAATCATCCGACTCTTCTGCCAGCCCTGCTGAAGGACCAGCCATCCCTGCCGAGCTTGTGACGGCTGACAAGTTGGATGCCGATGACTTCAACAGTGCGATCAGCCGAAGCCTGCAAGGCACTGGGTTTGACCCTGCTCTTTTGGAGCAAGCTCTTGCTTCGAGCAATGAGGCTTCGAAGGATGTCACTGAGCCGGAAGAATTCTCCTTTGCAACGACGAAGCGTAAGAAGGGGAAGAAGGGCAAAAAGGCTCAACGAGAAGAAGAGGAAGTGCCAGCTGAGAGTACTGCCGCTGCGGTCGAGGATACTACGCAGGCCTTCAATGTGCCTGAAGACTCGCAGTTCTCTGTAACAGGTGGTGAGCAGCAGCAAGCGATGATCACTCCGCCGGGGAACGATGAGCGAGCAGAGGTTGAAATGCCAGAACGTGGCGCCGACAGCCGAGCGGTTGACATTCTGACTGTTGGTCGCGACGAAATGGACATGGATGAAATGGAAAGGGCCTACAAAGCTTACAAGAAGAACAAGCGCAAACAGAAGAAGCTAAAGGCCGCTTCCAGAACAGCAGGAGCCTCTGACAACCCCGATGAGACCGCCGAAGAGACGGAGCAATCTGCATTGGTATCGGAGGCGGAAGGTCTTTCCCGCAATACTACCGTGGAGGATGTGCTGGGTCCACCATCGACTAAAGAAGCGCCATCGACCGAGACAAGAAATCAGCGTGAAGAGAGGACATCGACTGGAGCTGATGAAGCTGTTGAATCAGCAAAGAGCCCAACGAGCCCAAAGAGCGCGGTTCAGAGTGCTTTCCCAGGATGGGAACGAGTAAAGCGACGTGCTCCACCGAAACCCGAGCCAAAAGAATATGTCCCATCGAATCGTACTCCAAGCCCACCACGAGCGGACCCTGCCTTTGGGACGGCCGGCATGGCAGCTGTTGTTGCTGCTGCAGCTCGCGAAAGGAAAGCGCGGAAAGAGTCCGAGAAGTCTCGTGAGGGTCCGCGAGAGGAACCATCCTGGTCATTCGCAGCGTTGGATGACCAGAGCAAGCAGCAGGAACCTGAATCGCCTGTCGTCGGCAGCAGAGAGCATCAAGCTATCCGTGATAGCGGATACCAAGAAACTGCGCGCTCGGCTGATCGTTCAAGCCGCGAGGTACCTCAAATCCTGTCAACCAGCTCCTCGCGGGATAGCTTGCGTGAGCGAAGGTCTCTGGAGCCACTGCACATTCCCATGAGCCCAGAGGACCAGTGGGATCTCAAGGTGCCGAAGAAGCGATCCAAGGAGAACGAGCGTTCGCGGGAGGAAGCTCGATCGAGGACACCAAGCGCAGAGACTCCTCTGAAGCCTACGAGCAAGGACCGAGCTTCATATCTCTTCCAGTCACCTCCCGAAGGCCTCGCCAGCACTAATGGAAAGTCGCCCCAACCCATCGACGCTGCAGTGTCACAGCCACCTACCGACAACAGCGAGTACTTCAGGACACGGTCAAGATCCAGAGAGTCGCCCGAGCATCCTTCCTCAAACACCGAGACTACTCGTGATCGCTCTGCCTTTTCACCTTCCAGTGGCCCGCTCAGTCCAAGACAAGCACTAGATCCTATACCAGAAGAGCACAATGTCGGAAAGAGGAGCCATGCAGTTTCTGACGTGGGTGGACCAGACCACATCAAGGCCATCAAGCGTGCGGAGACGCCTCAAGACATTCGAATTCGGGAACAAGCAATCTCGCCATCGATGCGACCGCATGTGACCATCCCATCAGGGAGCATGAGATCTACTAGCAACCCGCTTTCGACGGATGAGCTGATCAATCGACTCTCCTGGCCTTCTGTCGACGAGAACGACGAAACTATCAACCTCAATCGATCGTTGGGCCACCGCCACTCGAAGCCTGCCCTGCCCGACCCACGCTCTCCAAGTGCCATGAGCAATCGATCCAATGCCAGCGGTGCACACTTCAAATCGCCCCAAGAACTGCGGTCGTACAGCCGCAACAGCAATTTCAGCCAGGCCAGCTCATCGCACTCGCTCCGACGAGTCAGTCTGTCAGGTGACCTGAGAGCCGCTAGTCGGCGGGGCGACGCGGGATCGTCCGTGAGCGGCGCTCGGGCGTCGCCCATAACAATTCCCTTCGAGCCACCACCAACACCACCGCTCAACGATGACGAGATAATGGATGGAAGCGCTTCGCGCGCCGCAGACATGAACGATGATGTTTTTGTAAGTGATAGTCAATATGATCGCAGTATCTACATTACAGACGCTGACATTCCACAGCAGGGCTATGGCGACGCCCAAGGGTCGCAAGTCTCGCCAACGCGACCGCCAAGCGTGCGCAAACGCCAGAGCATGCACATCAACGACTTGGAGTCTAGAATAGACCAACTCGCTGCTGAAAATCGTGCGCTGCAAGAGGCTCGCTCTTACGCCGAGCAGACAAACGATGCAGCGCGCGATGTCAATGGCCAAGCATTGCAAGAAGCGGTGATGCAGCGCGACCTGCAAATTCAAGAAAAAGATGCCGAGATCAACAAGATCAAGGCCATGCTCCAACCGTTACAAGAAGAAATCGCGCGACTGTCCGAGATCAATGGTGGCCTCACCGAAGCTAACAGAAACCTGGTCGACGACACCAATGGACGATATGCAACCCTACAACGCGAGCATCACGAGGCGCACGAGAAGTGGCAATCCACCAGCAGAGAGCTCGACACGATGCGATCAGAGCACGGACGAATCACATCCGGCATGAAAGACATTGTCGAGGCCGAAATCGCCAGTGCACTGGCCGACAAGAACGCAGAGATTCTGCGATTGCGAGAACAACTCGACATCGCTGCAGAGCAGATCCGTGCTTTGCAAGTGCAGATTCAGTCTTCGAAGACCAGCGATTTCCTCATCCAGCGCGACGAAGACTACTTCGATGGTTCATGCCAGAAGCTCTGTCAACATGTCCAGCAATGGGTGCTACGCTTCTCGAAATTGTCTGACAACAGAGTCTGCCGACTGTCCACGGAGCTGAACGACGATAAGATCGAAGCTCGCTTAGACAATGCAGTCCTGGATGGATCCGATGTCGACAAGCTACTTGGCGATCGTGTACGCCGCCGCGACATCTTCATGTCTGTCGTCATGACCATGGTGTGGGAATATGTCTTCACACGCTACCTTTTCGGCATGGATCGAGAACAGCGGCAAAAGCTCAAGGCACTCGAGAAGCTTTTGGCAGAGGTTGGACCGCCTCGTGCTGTTGCGCATTGGCGTGCAACGACATTGACGCTACTGTCGAAGCGACCATCATTCGAGTCGCAGTGCGCGCTGGATACCGAGGCTGTCGCGCACGAGGTGTTCGGCATCCTCTGCAAGCTGTTGCCGCCGCCGTCTCAGTCTGAGCAGCAGCTACTTGCATCTTTGACCAAGGTCATTCGAATCGCCGTAGACTTGTCCGTCGAGATGCGAACACAACGAGCGGAGTACATTATGCTGCCGCCACTCCAGCCAGAGTACGACATCAACGGTGATCTTGTGCGAAAGGTCCACTTCAACGCCTCGCTCATGAATGAGCGATCAGGCTTCTTCAGTTCGAATGAGGAGCTTGCTGCCGAACAAGCGGTGGTGAAGATTGTACTGTTCCCTCTTGTTGTGAAGAAGGGAGACGAGGTTGGAGAAGGAGAGGAAGAGATCGTCGTCTGTCCAGCGCAAGTGCTTGTACACAGCGACTCGGGACGAGGGAAGAAAGTCGTCCGTGTGATGAGTGGAGCGATGGAGATTGACGACCCCATTCGAAGCAGGCAGAGCAGGCACAGCTTGGTGAGTGAAGCACCAGGCAGCGTGCAATTCTAGGGAGATGATCCATCAGCAAGGGGTGTTTGGGCTATCGTTCACGGCTGTAGCGAAGATTCAAAGGCGTTCGGAAACGGCATGCATATACCATATAGTTATGATGAATATTGTCTAGAACTTTCACATGCTTCACGATTCATTGGTCTACTCACTCATCCGCAATGCAGGCTGCTTACTCGTGCGCCGACAGCTCTCCTACTTTTTGTTTTGTTGAACGTCGTTGAAACGAACATTCTACTCCTATATTTCCATCATGATCATGTTGGTTAGGCCGCTGATGCCGGCTAAATCAACTTTACAACACTCGAGGTGTCTTGGCCTTGTCTGACTGACATCACCATCAGTGACCGATCTGGAGCTATCTCCAGGATGGCTGGGCGAGAACTGAAAGCCTCAGTGCCAGTGGTGACCAGGGATGCTGCGGCATTGATTATGCACCCACCACGCACACATCTCACCGGGGCGGCCTCTCTTGGTGGTGGGATGTTGGTGGTGGTATTATTAGGAATCCTTCGTTAGCCGCCGCCTGACTGACTGACCAACACCTCGAGTCACTTTCTGCCCAGCTGCCGCCTGTCGCGAGTTTCAGGTCGCCCAAGATCTCAACCTGTTCCTGTTTCTCTTCTACTTCTGCTGTACGGATCGTTGGAGAGTGTCTTGGATTGAGTGTCGAATACGTCACTGCGACTGCCAGCTCTCGTCTATAGCTGCTGCTACAAATCCATCTCGACGCTGCCTACTTCTGCTGCCGCTGTACCAGTCAGTCCGGCCCTCTCACACATAACCACCAACGAGACCAAACCACACGTCCACACCCACAGCCTCCTCCTCCTCCACCGAAGAAACCCCACCAACCACCACCAAAATGTGCCTCGTCACCTCCCCGAAACGCTCCTACTACGTCAAAGACCACGACCACTACGCGCCCCGCCCCGTCTCCAACTACCACGGCGGCCCCCGCAGCTCCATCACCACCTCGCGACGTTATAGCAGCTCGGTGCCGGCGGAAAGGATCAGTTATCGGAGCTCGGTGAGGAGTGTGCCGAGGAGTAGTGGGGAGGTTTACCGCAAGACGAGTAGGACTTACGTGAGATGAGATGAGAGTGATGGAGAGGGGAGGGTGGGGATGGGGATGGGATGAGAGATACGCGAAGAGGATGATTTTATGATATGGATATGGATAACGCGACTCTTTTTGTATGGCGTGGATGGGTAAATGGTCTTCGTTCTCAGACCAATGGATATGTATCGTGGTATGCATGCGCATACGTCTGAGGGAGGGCTCGCAGCTCGCAAGAACACGGCTGTGCCGTTGTAGAACGCGCGCGATATGGGGAGACGAAAGTGCCCGGAATAATGCCGAACGATAGCTATGAACCATGTGTACACGTGTACGCCACTTAGAATCCGGCGTCAAGATCTTCTCTTTGTTCCTGACCGTTCCGGGCATCTTGCATTGTTTGGGCCGTGAGCGTGAAGGAGAGTTTGGAGCTTGTGTGGTCCGAAGCAGGCTGGACGAGGATGGGTCACGTAGCTTCCTACGTCACCGCTGCCCTCCCGCTCTCTTCCTGGCCTCGAGAAGTTTTGTTCGTTACGTGACTTCATCATACTTGCCACTGGCGTGAAGACACTCGTATTTGAAGCTGAAGGACTGCTGCGTTGTTGTTTGAACGGAGACAATCGATTTCGGGACCTGAAAGACGAACCCCCACCATTTGAAACATAGACAGCCGTCGAGATGTAAGTGAGGTCGAGCTATACACACACCCATGCTCTGCGCCGCCAGGGAGTCTATCAGATCTAATGCACACTCCCCAGGAATATCGGCCGCTCGCACTCGATCCGCTCTGGCAAAAAGGGCAGCGACAACAAAAGCGATGCCCCCAAGCACCGCTTCGCCATGTCCTCGCTGCGCGGCATCCGCCAGCCCGAGCTCTCCAAGAAGCTGTACCAGCTGATCAAGACGGAGAACCACGCCATCGGCGCCTACGAGCAGGCCGGCAAGGAGACGCAGAGCATCGCCAGCCAGCTGAGCGAGTGGGGTGAGAGCACCGAGGATGATGCTGTGAGCGATATCTCGGACAAGTTGGGTGTGTTACTAGCGGAGATTGCGGAGCAGGAGGATTTGTTTGCGCAGAACATGGAGGAGAGTAGGACGGTGCTGAAGGGGATTCGGAATACGGAGGCGAGTGTGCAGCCGACGAGGAGTCATAAGCAGAAGGTGAGAATATCTCAAGCTTTTGTAGGGGAGGGTGGTGTGGTATGCTGACTGTGGTTGATAGATCCAAGATGAGATCCAGAAGCTCAAGTACAAGGAGCCTGAGTCGACGAAGCTTGTCACGCTGGAACAAGAGCTCGTCCGCGCCGAAGCCCAGAGCCTTGTTGCAGACGCTCAGCTGAGCAACGTCACTCGCCAAAAGTTCAAGGAGGCCTATGACCTGCACACCGCCGCCATCATCGAGCGTGCCGAGAAGCAGATCCTCCTGGCGAAGCACGCCCGTACATTGATCAACCTCCTCGATGACACACCAATGGTTCCAGGCGAGGACCGCCAGCCTTTCCCAAGGGCTGAGGAGGCACGGGACCTTCTCAACGACGCTGAGGACTCCCTCAGAAGGTGGCACCCGGACATCGAGCCCATCCACACGTCGGCGAGCAAGCTTGGTGCCAACGCCATGGCCACGCAGAACTTGCCCGACCGAACTGCCGGCACTGAGCCTGGCTTGACTGTCGACCAGCAGCGCGTGGAAGCTCTGGAAAAGGCACAACAGGCGGAAATCGAGCCCCCGTACCCTACCGCCGAGAAGACGGAGCATGCGGCGCTTGCGTCGTAGAATGAGCGAGAAGACCGTTGATTGACGAGCTATGAGATTTAATCATCGCAGATTTCCCTTGAACGTTTTCGGCTTTGATGTTGACCTCGCTGTTTTTTTCGCAAGGCGTTGGCTGGGATCTATTTCTACAGTAACAGACAGACAGAACTAGCTGAATAACAACAGACAGAACAAATAATCTTTAGCCCCAGTCCCAGTACCCTCCTCCATCCATGCACTCACATCCAATACCTCTCCATAACCACCCAAGCCAAAACCGCCGTAAAAAAGTAATACCCCAACCCCACCGCCATAATCACATGCGGTTCCCAGCGCCACCCTCCCCTCCGATCATCAGCCCCAGCCACCCCACCAACCCACCTCTCCCCGCACCCCGCGCGCCAATGCACGATGCCCGTGAATTTATTTGCACCAGAATCTCTCGGGCCGCGAGGAGGAATTCTTGTTCTTTGGAGGGGCAGTGAAGGCCGAAGGTTAGGAGGGGGGGTTGGTCTTGGGGGAGAGGGGGTTTTTTTCGAGTTGGCGGTGGATTACTTCGGCCGCGAGGGGGTTCGTGGTGGGGCTGGTGAGGTGGGTGAGGTAGGTTTGGAGGGTGGCGTGGTGGGGGGAGGTGGTTGAGGAGGTTGTGCTGGAGGGCTCGGTTGTGGTGAAGGTGGGTAGGGAGAGGGAAGGTGGTTCTGATTCCGGGGCGTTGAGGGTTGGAGAGGACCTGGGTTGGTTAGGATGGGCTCTTGGATAGGGGGATAGTGGGGTTGGCTTACATTTTTGCTTTGGTGATGACTCCAATGGGAGGGCGGTATGGTGTTGGAAGAGGGGGAGGGGAGAGAGAGGAGGTGTCTACTTTCTTTGAATAGAAGAAGACGTGATTGTTTGGGATTCATGTCTTCACTGTAGACTTTGGCAAGATGCTCTTGTGAAGGATAGGTTGTGTGTGTATGGATGAGATGGTGAATGGGGAAGCTTTTGGACGTTGCAGAGCATGACTTGAATGAACTAGAGCGCTAGACTCAAGTTATCGTCGTGGCATACAGCGTAACATAGTAGTCTATGTGAAGGCTCGAAGAACATCTTCAAATCATGTTGACGATGTAGAAGTCCTCCATGCAATACCTCTCCAAAACGGCATAAACAAAGTGAATCCACCACCACCACCACCACCATAAATCCCGCCTCCCCCAATCCCCAACCCCCTACCCCACCACACAACAAACAACCCACTACCAAACCATGTTCCCCCTCAACCGCATCCCCAACTACGGCGGCCCCGCCGCCCCCGGTTTCTACAGCGCAACCGACTGGCAAGACCGCCACTTCCGCAACAACAACTACCGCACCTACGGCCCGGGCTGGCAAACCAACCCGCAGGCGGTGTTCGGGTACCGTGGCGGGTGGGATCGCTATGGCGGGCCGATGTATAATGCTATGCAGGGGAGTTGGATGGGGATGCAGAATCCGCGCACGAGGATGTATCGGGGTGGGTATTTCTAAAGGAGGGGGAGGAGATGGGGGTGTAGGTATTGTTTCTAGGTAAGGTGGTAGTCTTTTTTTCTTGTAATGAATAGGGGTGTTTTCTTTTGATATGTAAGATTTCTTTTTCATCAGAAGAATGCTGCGGCGCCGTTAATGAACACGAAGAGGACTTCATAGGTGACGATTCCTCGCAATTGTTCCTGCCAAAAGAGGTATGCGGCCAATGCTCGTAGGAAGGTGTTGAGGATCAGAGCCTTGCGATGGATTGCTGAGTAGCTGGCCGTTAGGAGGAAGTATGAACCCATTGTGAGGAGTTGTAGGCTGCACGCATTTAAGTAGCTATGCGTGAATGAGGGGAGGGCTGACTATAATACCTTGCAGCACGAGCAAGCTCAGGGCGTCCGCCGAAGGTACGTTCTCCAACTTCTCCTATACGTGCGAGGAAGTCTTCTGGTTGGAGGAAGGCGTAGACTCCTGAAGCCGTGACCATGAGGCCTTGGAGGAGGAGCGTTCCTGTGGTGATTGATCTTGAGACTGCAATGGTTCTGGGTGCGAGGCTTCGATTTGGTGCGATTGAAGGGGTGTGACTTTGAGCTGAGGTGTGTCTTCGAAGATTGAAAGGTTGACTGGAGTAACGTAGGCGGCTGGCTGGGCGAATGACAGCACACAGTGCTGTTGAGTGACAGTGCTAGTCTTGGACGCCTCTGCGAGTTCAGCTCGCTTCCTTGATCTCCAACTCGCTCAAGTCCGAGGCGCTTGCGACGTCTTAATCTTGGCAGTATCTCTGAAAGTCGTGACTGTCGCCATTGTAGTTGTTCTCTTGAATCCCGGATGTCTCACGATTGAAAAAGACAATATTGAGAATCAGGCTGCTTTGGCATCGCTCTCCACGATCTGCTCGATCCATCCAGCCACCTTGACCGCCACAGGCCTGCTGTGCTTAACCGCGAAATCATGACGAATGCCAGTCCTCTCAATCTCCATAGTCGCCCTCCATTCATTCGCAGAACCCTCAGTTCCAGCAGGTCGACCTCTCGCCGCAATAAGCTCATCCCTCGGTCCACTAGGGATCCAGTCATCATGTTCGCCAAACAGAAAGAACAGCTTCGGCCGTGGTTCTGACAGAATTGTTGGGTGCGGTGATCCCCAAACTTCCTCATCCCAGGTATCGTCTGCGATTCTCTTCATTTCTTCTTTCGCTAGGTGTAGGCTTTCGTGGAGGCCCCATTTGCTTCTCAGCCAGCGGGAGGCTATGTCGGCGTCTTCGGCGGGATAGCCTGTAGCGGTGGCAATGATGCGTTGCAGAATGAAGGCTGGTATAAGGAGACAAACGAGTCGAACGAGTGTCGAGAGCAGCGGCGCTCCCCATGGCACCGAGTCGAGCCATGCGAGTTTCGCTGGCATTGTGCCTTGGGCGAGATGGACCAATCCTGGGAACAGGCCTATGGCAGAGACGAGTCTGTAGTGATACTTCAGGGTTTCCTTTGCTCGTAGCGAGTCTCTGCGTCGCTGTAGCATCTCCATCGCAAGATACGCTCCGAGCGAGTGCCCTACAAGAACGACTCGAGTAGGTTCTCCTCCATCCCCTGCCTTCGACTGCAAGTACCTAGAGAGTTTCTTCTCCACGAATTCAATCTGTCCATCGATATCCACAGGCGGGTTCTGAGCACGGTAAGAAGGGTTCGGTGCATCGCATTCGAATCCAGCCAGACTAGTTCCAAAGATCTCGACATCATATTCTGCCGCTTTCGAATTCCTTAAAGCCTCTGACAGCTGGTTCAGAAACCTTTGATAGAAAGCTACCACGCCCGGGTTGCCGGGTAGGAAATAGATCAGATATCTCCGCTCGCTCGAACTTTCCTTCTTCGATATGTCCCCAGGCAGGTGCATGGCTGCCGGAAGAGGCATTGATGAAGGCATCCTGGAAAGAGCCCGGAGGGAAATGTTATGAGACAAGGGCTAGCTTGACTCCCCGGCTGTTCGAGGTCTACACCACTGTCATGGGCGTATGTATATCTTTGACGTGGAGATTGATACAGATATGCATTAGCAGCCTAGTCAAGACCAATAGACGCGCTCAGTTAAGTGTATTACGGCCGTTGAGTCGCCAGGAGTTCATGACACTCCGCTCGGTACGAACAAGCCAATAAGAGTTCTTTTGGGAATCATCTCGCTGGCGGAGTTGAGTTGATGCTCCTCATCGATGAGGCTACAAAATGTAGTGGGAGGACAAGTCGTGGTTGCCCACCCCCGCGAAGATTCACTTCGCAGCGCTAGGGCCTCGCTCCGCGGCTCTTCCCGCCGTGAAGAAAAGATGATGGGTGTCCTTGCCCCTGGTTTCACGAATGGACTGTACAATCACGCCATGATAGTGATAGCAACAGTAAAGACTGGGAAAAATCGCTTTTTGAAAGACTCGATTAGCACCACCTATGTACGCCTCCACGAAAACGCCTTTCTTTTGATACAGATGCTTTTCCTCCCGTACAGAAACACACGCAGACATGCTGTCGACAGTAGAAGAAACCCATCATTCCTGCAAATGCCGTCAAGTGCAAGTCGGGTATCATCGGAACAGACAGCGCAAGCAAACAGTATAATAGCAATGCAATGTAATGCAACATGCGAAGTCGCATAACTGACACTCTGAAAGAGCGCCAATGGCGAAACTCGTCCTTCCCCCAGCACTTGGTCTGGAAGTAGAGTGCCACCCATGCAAACGTCCGCTCGGAGAAGAGGCCGTAAAACAGTGTACATGCGAGTGAAGCCGTCAAAGGAAAGCAGTCATGGTCCGTCGGTTGGTTGGCAAGTAGCCCAGGTTCCAGTTCAAGTCGAAGGAATTGGCTTATTTGCTCTTGTTGATCTCGAGAAGCTTGACGTCAAAGACAAGTTCAGAGTTCGGTGGAATGTCCTTGCCGGCGCCCTTGCTGCCGTAGGCGAGATGGGCGGGGATGGTGATACGACGCTCACCACCGGCAGTCATGCCAGCGATGCCGATGTCCCAGCCCTTGATGACCTCGCCAACTCCGAGCTTGAACGAGAACGGCTTGCCCTTCTTGTTCGAGTCAAACACCTTCCCGTTCTTCGACAGCTTGCCGATATAGCGCATGCCAACGCGGTCGCCAGACTTCGCAGCGGGACCGCTACCGAGCTTCTTATCATCGATGGTCACGCCTTGGACCTTCTTCACGCCGAGAGCTCCCTTCGTCTTGTCGTCCTTCTTGTCGGCCTTGGTGGGAGTTGGGCCCTGCTCGAGCTCTTTGGCAAACTGCACCTTCTTGCCAGATCCGTCCTTGACCTCTTCAGTGGCAGTGACAGTAGCAGAGCCATCATTCTTCTTCAGCTTCTTGAGCTGCTTCTTGCTCAAGGTCGGCTCGCCGTTGGCCTGGTCCTTCTTGGCCTCCTTTGCGATCATCTCGTCGATGGAGGCGCCATTCGCAGCGTCTTCATCCTCGGCAGGACGCTTGTTCTTGCCCTTCTTGCTCTTGGTAGCCTCGACGAGCTTTGGGGCTTCCTCTTCATCCTCATCTTCGTCGACCTCCATGACACGAGGGTTGTCCAGGTCATCGAGCTCATCTTCCTCGTCGTCTTCGTCGTACATCTCATCGCTGTCGGGCTCGAGGTCGTAGTCGCCCTCCTCATCACTGTCTGGGTCGTACATGCCTGGGCCATCCTGCTGGCCAGCTGGCTCGACGTAGTTGCCGGTAAGGAAGATGCTGTGGGTACCAGACACCTTGAAAAGGACGGTCTCGTTCTCGACGACAGTGATGTCGAGTGGCTGCTGGTAGTTCTAGAAAAGAAAATTTAGTATATGGAAAAAAACCCGAGATATTAGCATTGTTTGGTCTTACCTTGGTGGGGTCCAGAGTGCAAATTACGAACTCCTCAAACTCCTCTGGCTCGTCATCAGAGTCCTCATCGTCGTCCTCGTCGCCGACTGGCATCTTGCCGAGCGCCTTGGCAGACTTGATGCCGTTGATGCCGTTGGGCGCATCGTCAGAGTCATCCTCCATCTCAGCGTCCTCGAGCAATTCCTGGATCTGCTTGCGGGCAGCCTCCTTCCTGGCCTTCTTGGACTTCGCTGGATCACTTGGACCGCCGTTGGCTTCCTGGTCGTCATCCTCGCTGTCCTCATCGTCCTCGTCATCTTCAGCGAGCATAGCCTCCATTCGAGCGACGTCGAACTCGTCGTCATCCTCATCGTCCTCGTCAGAGTCGTCGTCAAAGAGAGACTGGCGGATGATCTTCAAGGTCGCACGAGAAGCAGCACCGTCCTCGCCCTCTGGCTCCGCGGATGGGTCGATGGCGGCCATGGTGACACGGAAGGCAGCAGGAATGTCTGGTCGAGCTGGGATCGCGACATCGCCAGGTGGAACCTCGAGGCCGTAGATGGCCATTGGGAGAAGAGCGGTCATGGTGCTCGTGCGGTGAAGTATGCGGCGTACTCGAAAGGGAGGGCCTGCGGGATATGTTCTCGCAGTGGTGTATAGAGGGGGGAAAGAGACTCACGCAGGAGGGAGAGATGTAGAGAAAAGAGTCTGCGGTGAGAAGAAGAGAGGGCAGAGAAAGCTTGTCGAGGTTCGACTTGAACTTTTCCTCGCCCCGAAAATCTAGCGAGCGTTTGTGGCCAAAGCTTCTTTGAGCGACGGGCCGCGCGGCTGAACCCGATTGGCGCTCACGTCTTCGCGACTTCACTTCACGCGCCTGCAGGTGGCGATAGAGAGAAGTCATTCACTTTCTTCACATGTCACCCACTAACAGATTCCGGACCATACCATGACGCTAGGATGCTGCGATGGGCTCTCGTCTAGAGCAGAAGTCGTCTCTCGTGCGAAAGCGCATCGAGAACCACGAATTCAACGGCGAAGATGGTAAGCTCTCCTTCTATGAGTATCCCGCTCAAAGTGTAAACACATCTCTATCTCTATTGCTTGCAAGGCGTCTAGACACCTCACGACCACTAGCCTTGATGCTCTCGGCTATGGAGAAACGAGCTATCCACACATTCCGCTCTGAGCAGAACAACAAAAGTAGATCAGCGAGGACATCTGCTAACTCTGCATAGGCGAGGAGTATGAAGGCTCGAAATTCGGAGGGTTCTCGGACTACTTTCGTCGCAAGAAGATAAAATTGCAAAATCTGGACAATGACATCCGTCAACAAGCAACCGACAAGCCAAAGCTATTCAAGGGTATCGTGTGCCATGTCAACGGGTACACCCAACCGTCTCTCAATGACCTCCACACGATGATAGTCCAACATGGAGGCGGGTTCATCCAATACCTGGATGGCAAGACGATGGTAACGCATATCATCGCGAGTAATCTAACGCCCAAGAAGAAGGAAGAGTTCAAACGATATCGAATTGTCAAGCCGGCCTGGATCGTCGACAGTATCAAAGCTGGCAAGCTACTGCCCTGGGATGCTTACAGAGTTGTTGATGAGGGCGTCGGACAGAAAGTCTTAGGCTTTGAGAATGGCCAGATTACTAGTCAGGCCAACCGAAAAGTTCAAGGCTACAGAGAGCAGACTGATACGAGCTGGTATACGTCTCAACTGAAATCTCAGGCCGTGCCGAAACCCCAAACACAGACTGTGACACCCACTGCAGACGATATCAATGACGACGAGTATCCGATGCCAGAGATTACAAGTTCGATGGAGGAGGCACTGAGAGAGGCAGACAAGACGATTCCCCCTCGAGAAGAAGACAAGCCGCCTGAAACAGACAGCAGAGACCAACTTGGCGCAAGCGAAATGCAAACACCACCTCCAAGCAGCCCGCCACTTGACACTGGTGGCGACAGTGCAGCTGGCGTGGCTCACCAGGCATTAAAAGATGACTCTGCGCACTCAGCGCCCGCTCTGCATCCATGGGACGGCTGGAATGAGTCGGAGTTTTCCCATGCTGTTGTCCGCAATTCTGAGGTGATGAAAAATGTCTCACCTGAGAAGCTGGCCTCGATGACCGCAGAAGAACACAACGCAATGCTTCTGTCCGATCCGAACATTCGCAAATCGACTGTTGTGAACCCCGAGTTTCTTGAACAGTTCTATCGCGAGTCTCGCCTCCACCACTTGTCTACATGGAAAGCTGATCTCAAGTCACAACTTCAAGCTCTCGCTGCCGAAAAGTCTTCATCTCAGAAAGCGAAGCAGAAAAGAATTCCTGGTCAAAGACGGTACATCATGCATGTCGATTTCGATAGCTTCTTCGCAGCCGTCTCCCTCAAGCAATATCCTCAATATAAAGACAAGCCAGCCGTGGTCGCACACGGCGGTGGCTCCGGCTCCGAGATTGCCAGCTGCAACTATCCGGCTCGCAAATTCGGTATCAGCAATGGTATGTGGATGAAGCGAGCGCAGGAACTCTGTCCAGAAGTAAAGATTCTGCCTTATGACTTCCCCGGGTACGAAGCAGCAAGTCGAAAGTTCTACGACGCTATCATGGCAACTGGTGGAGTAGTGCAGAGCGTCTCCATCGATGAAGCTCTCATTGATATTAGCGCTCTCTGTATTGCTGAGAGCGGCTCTGATGGCGTGCAAAGAAACGAGGGTGCAGTCCACCGGGAGCAAAGCAAAGCTGACGATGTCGGACAAAGACTTCGAGATGAGGTGCTGGAGAAGACTGGCTGTGCAGTGTCGGTCGGCATTGGTGGCAACATTCTCCAAGCTAAAGTTGCCTTACGCAAGGCGAAGCCGGCTGGTCAGTACCAGCTTAAGCCTGATGAAGTTCTTGATTTCCTCGGTGCACTGGAAGTGACCAAGCTCCCGGGTGTTGCATGGAGTCTTGGGGGAAAGCTCGAAGAGATCGGGATTAAGTTCGTCAAGGACATTCGTGATACTTCCAAGCAGAAGTTGATGACCACCTTGGGACCAAAGACAGGCGAGAAGATGTACGAATACGCTCGTGGTATCGACAAGACTGAAGTAGGAGATCAGGTGGTTCGAAAAAGCGTTTCTGCAGAGGTCAACTGGGGAGTCCGGTTCGAAAATCAAGAGCAAGTGGATGAGTTCATGCATGGACTCAGTGGCGAGCTCAATAAACGTCTGCTCAAGGAACGTGTCAAGGGCAAGCAGCTCACTATGAAGGTGATGAAGCGGGCAGCTGATGCTCCCCGAGATCCGCCAAAACACTTGGGTCATGGCAAATGCGATGTGTTCAACAAAAGTTTGCAGCTGGGCGTGGCAACCAACGACCACGCCGTGATCACGAAGGAAGCAATCGCCATGATGAAGTCGTTCGCCATTACCCCTGGAGAGCTCAGGGGCATCGGCATACAAATGCAGAAGCTGGAGCCGCTCAAGCAGGGCACTGATGGAGCTGATCTCAGCAGTCAAAGGAAGCTTCAGTTTCTCGTGGGACAGCGTTCAAAATCGACCCCAGAAAAGCCACGCCCATCTGAAGATGCCATTCAGGATGATGTAAAGACACCTCAGAAGCAACGAATACCAGACGCCAACCAACCCAGTGCAGCTTTCAAGCCTGTCGATACAGGTACGCCGACCAAGAAGCCGCTGAACACTTTGGGCACACAGTTCGTCTTACCCACGCAAGTCGATCCGAGTATGCTGGCCGAGCTACCGCCTGACATCAGGTCAAAGCTTGCGAAGCACGTAGGGAGAGTTTCTGGAGACACAAAGCCAGCCGAAGCTATCAAAGAGGCCGACGATTCAAATGCATCCTCAAGAGCGCACTCGCCTGCTGTTGTGATACCGCCCCAGTCACAACTCGATCCCAGTATTCTCGAAGCCCTGCCAGAGGATGTCCGTAGAGAGGTGCTGGGATTCTACAAATCACCAGGTAATCGAGCAGAGAAGCGAGGTGATCAAGCACTTCTTCCACAATCCCCGCGCAAAGCTCGCACCGCTGCTCCTGTTCGTCAACCCGTAAAACGAGGTCGAGGCAGGCCTCGCGGTAGCAGGAATCTTGGGGGACTGTCTCGTAACAGCGGCAACTATGGGGAGTCGTCGACGTTGACACAAGCGAACTTCGTCGCTCGTCCCCATCTCGTCGATGATAGCGGCGGCACAGACAGCGAACAAGAGCCCGAAGAGCTAGATGCAGAAGTCCTCGCTGCGCTTCCTGAAGACCTAAGACAGGAAGTCCTTGCACAGCAGCGCCAAGCACGACTGCAGAGAACTGGGGGAATCGACCTGTCCCTGCATCAGAGGTCCAAAGCCGCACGAAAAAAGAAAGCCGAAGACGAAGGCCCCCTCGACAGGCACTTTACCTTACCTCCCCGCGCGGCGAAACCTACCTTCACGAGCAAGAAACTCAGCGAACTGCCTGACTTGCGCAACGCAGTCAGCGCTTGGTTCAGGGAGTTCAGCGACGAAGCTCCTTATGAGGACGATGTGGCCGCGTTGATCAAGTATTTGAAGGATGTTGTGACAGAAGAGAGAGACACTAGCAAGGCTGTTGCGGTTGTGAAGTGGATGGCTTGGGTCATTGATCAGGGGGAGGAGAGTACTCCCGAGGAGGTGTTGGATGGGTGGAGAGAAGCGCTTGGGAAGACGAGGCAGGAAGTGCAGAGGGCAGCTGATGGGAGAGAGTTGGGGATGTTGAGGTTTGAATGATTGTTATTTTTGATGGATGCTTGATACACGAATCATGAAAGAGAACCCTGTGATAGTACCGGGCCATTTCTGAAGACAATTCCTTCCCCGTTCGCTCTCGTCCACTTGCTAGCAGCAAAGAGCCGACCCATTCATTCCATAGAAGAGACCATCTATTCTTCTCTGAGCTGAAACCGAGGAAGCAAATATTGTCGCACCGGTGCTTTTTCGCTGTTTTGGATCTGCACCGTGTGCTGCTCATGTCGCTCAAGCAAAGGAGACAAGATAAGATGATGAACTTCAAGCTGGGAGAACCACACCCATCGGAGCTCTTGCTGCTCAGTGCTCCTCGTCAGCAGTCGCAGGGATTTTGTCAATGACATGCGACAGAGACTCGAAGGTCTTCTTCAAGTACGCTCTGGGCTTGACCGGCGAGCCCATTTCCTCGAGGATCCTGAAAGACCTAATGAGCCAGTCTGGGGGCCCGACCACGTCCTTGAAGCTCTCGACTGAGTCCATCCTCAGCAAGCCTTGGGCCGCGATGAAACTCAGACAGATTCTCGTATCCTGAATTTGAGACCACCAGGTCACGTTTTCGAGTTCGCTGGTTATTTTCTCTAGGTGATGTCGCGCCAAGCGACGAACTTCGTTGTCTGGTTGGCCGTGTGTAGCCTGGCCGTGGATGTCCGAGTACTTGGTGAGAGGGACATGAACGAGGTCTCGCTGGCGATATTTGTGCAATTCCATGTCCACCTTTCTTGCCAGTATATCGGCGCTGGGCCCGCCCCCTGGTAAGCGATTGTCAGAGTGTGCCGCTAAATGCTTTGAAAGTGTTTTCAGTCCGAAGTGGATGTGCTTCTGTAGTTTCCGCAGTGGCCAGAAAGTGATTTGGATGAAGGGAGAGGTAGGTTCGATCGAGCCGTGCATGATCGAAAATTGGAGGCGATGCGGTCGATCAGACGAGTTGAGCAGGTCTACCAAGGGGAATAGGAATCGATTCGTTGCGTGGGCTGCGCGACGGCTCTCCTCAGATGGCCTGCCTTCCAAGGGAAGTTCTTCAATGTCGATTTCGATGTGGATGCGAGGAAGTTCAAGCATTTTGCGAGGTAGGAGCCGGAGCATTCCTATGGTGGACTCGTGGTGAGCTGGAGTCGTGGACATGTCGCCACCCAGCATCAGCCTATGGAGCCTCGAACGTGGGCTCTCTTGCTGCTCTGATGTGAATCTCGCGCTGATTGTGAAGATACTCTGTTCGTAGAGTATGGGTTTGCTCTCGCTGTAGACTTGGCGACAGGTCCTAAGAAGGCCGACCGCAGCCGTGATGCCACTTGAGCGGTCGTGGGTCAAGGCATGCTCGTAGATGTTGTTGCGTAGCTCAGGCGCGAGGTCGAGGAGTCTGAAGGGCCGCATAGTCTCTGAGTGGTGTGGCGGGTGATGGGTTGAATGAGAGTGTCTGGGGTGTGCAGCAGTGGCTGCCCGTCGGAGTGAGTGAGTGTGTGTTGTGTTGTGTTGGTGGATCAGCGGACAGGAACTGAAGTTATGCAGAGTGGCGATTGCGCCGTTGCTGGTATGGTCGACTTCAGGCAGATGTTCGTGTGTTGATGAGTTGTGATGTGCTCCTGTGGCAAGCTGTGGAAGAGCAAACGCGAGCACCCATGCGGCGCGCACAGACCAGTGACGCAAGTGCATTCACTTTTCTCGAGTCACATGCTTTCAACACATTCAGTTCGTAGGAAGATGCCAGCGCCTTTCTTGTTGCTAGCTGTCTTTAGACCAGCCTTTCAGACTGCAAGCGCCTCGTGCCCATGTCAGGATTGCCTCGCGTCTCTCATGTTGTGAAGACATGCGCCAGAACATATTGGCTGGAAGCGGGTGTTTTAGACATCCGGTCGAAAGTTCACCAGCATAGAAATTCTACAATCGTATTCGACGCCGCTGTTGAAGCTCCCGTCGTGTGTCACAATATGATGTTCGCCGAAGTAGTAGAGGTATCGCGACTTCCTCATAATGTCGTTCCGCGATCAAGCCACGAAAACAACGTGGCAGGCTTGCCTTCTTTCCCTGTCTGTCGAGATGAGTTCAAAATCACCTCTTGACTTCGCTCGTACAGCCGTGTCTATACTCACAAATGAACTCATCACCAGGACGTTGGTGTACCGAAGACTCTTGCCTTTGGATAATTCAACTACAATCTCGCAGTTTAGTGGAAGATTGCAACCAGTTACTACCAGGCTAAGAGATGGCTTCCACTTCTCACAGCAAAGTGCTCACACTGTCACTCATCACAGGCTCAGACTTCGAAATGTCTTTGCGACCCCGTGGAAGAAGCATGCTTGCAAGGGTGGAAAACAGTGAGCTATCAGCCCTGCGACACTACCGAGAGCTTCTTGCTTTTGCTTCCCGTCGGCCGTTCTATGATTGGAAACAAGGCTTTTCCAATATCGAGCGGAACCAATCACCGGCCGTGGTCTGCTATATCCCATTAATCTTTATCGAATCTGCCGTCCGGAAAGGCATTCTAGAAATCAAAGACAGGAGTCAAAGCCGATCCCCATCATGGCAGACATGACTCCTGAGGTCTTGACGAGGACGACGAAAATTCTGCCAGACGGCGAGATGGGGAAACGTTGCTCGTGTGATGACATCTTTGGGTCTTTGGTACGGCATTAAACTTTGTTATCGGACAACGGCTGAGATCCGATGGAAACACGTCGCGAGCGCGTTCGAAGGGAGTGGTTCGCGCCCCTGAGCCCGTTTTGCCCATGTCCCGGCGGGTTTGTCGAGGATTGAGACTGTGATGGCTTGGCGAGTGTTTGGTTTCACGGCGTCGCGTGGAACTTCATGTGATGGATGAGAACGAGGCAGAAGCACTCACTGTCAAGCCCATGCTGGCATCGTCATCAGCTGCGTGTGCATGTGGCCTTGCGGTCGGGCGATGCAGCGTCGACGCGATGGCAGACTTCACAGTTACCCGGCCAAATGCAGTTCAACGGCAAATCCAGGCACACCAATCAACGCCGCCGCAGCCCCCGCCAGCGCAGCTGATCCCTGCCCCCGTCGTCAGCTAGCGGAGCTGCGTTTGATTATACTACGCACGGGCCAAATCTGCCAACCGCCCTGCCTCACGCCTTCGTTTACCTCGTCGCTCTCTCGCTCGCGCACCTCGTCGTCGTCGCAGCACACCCACCTCTGCCACTGCCCACACCTCACCGCCGCCGCGCGCCCCAGCGCACACATTCATTCACCCTCGCAGCGACTGCACAGCTCTGCCGCCCTTCGTTTACCGGCCGACTGCGCAGCGCGTGCCCTTCGTTCGATTCGCTCCCTATTTCGCTGGGCTTCCGCCAATTCGACATTCCTCGCGCGACAACGAGCAGGTCTAGACGGCCGCACCACTGCTATCCGCATTCCAGTCCGAGCTACGCATACACTTCAACACACACCTCACTTTGACAATTACACACCACTTGGCCGTGCGCCTCACTCGACCGACTGACTTCACCCCGATTTCGACCTTTGCGACAATCCGACGACGCCATGGGCCTTCACAAGCGACACACGCACGGGCGTGTCTTCCGTGGCCTTGAGGCCAGAGAGCAGCTCCAGATCCGCAAGCGCGACAGCCATGGTAGCAACGTCAAGATGAACATTCCCAAGAACTTCCAGCAGAAGGAGACGGTCGACGACACCCAGACCGCTGTCAATGTGGTCTACGTCACCCTGTCCCAGACCTTCGACGGGCCTGCCATCTATTCGACTCTCGGTGAATCTGCCACCAGCGCTCCCAAGTCCGACGCGCAAGCAACGGCGGCCAGCTCTGCCAACGATGCTCAGGCCTCGTACGAGGCCGTCAAGTCCTCAGCTCAGGCAGGCAACAAGCCAAGCACCACCGCAACCTCTGTCGCAACCGTCACCCCTCACAGCAGTGAGGCATCCCCAATGACCACTCTGGCCACTGCGACCTCAGCACTCGCTGCCTCGAGCATGGCTGCAAGCACATCAAGCGACTCCCCTGCTGTCGTTGGTGGGACCCCTCTGTCGGCAACACGAAGCGCTACTCCTGACGCATCCGAGCAATCGAGTGGAATGACCGGTGGCGCAAAGGCTGGCCTTGCCATTGGTATCCTCGCTATCATTGCTCTTGCGGCTGGTCTGATCTTCTTCTGCTACCGCAGGAAGAAGTCTGCCAAGGCTCATGAAGAGCTCATGGACGAGAAGCACGGCAGCTTCGCCGATGCTGGCGCAAGAAGGGTCGAAGCTGGTGGAAAGCGCGACTCGACAATGACCGAGAGGGTTCCTGCCAGCTTAAGGTCTACCCGCACCGCCTCGACAGCACCACGTCTCAGCCTTCGTCCTGTTACCCAATTCCTACCCAACCTCAGCGAACAGCCCAAGGCCAATGGCAACAACCTTGAAGTATCTGCTGCTGGCGTCTCTGAGAAGCCTCGATCGGCTTGGGAGCGCGAGCCAGCGCAAGCTGCACAGAATCCTTTCGCCGACGCCGACGCCACCATGTTGTCCGAGAAGCAGGCCCGCCCAGACAGCCCACCATCGAACCCATTCGACGAGCCCGAAGGCAAGAAGTCCAGCGACTCGCAAGGCTCTGCTGGTGGCATGAGCGCTGCTACTACTGCTGTTGGCGGTGCTGCCGCTGCCGCTGGTGCTGAGAAGAAGCACAGCCCCAAGTCATCATGGGAGGGCAGTGAACCACCAACTCCAAAGTCTACCAAGTTTGGAACCGCCGCCGCTGTCCCTGTCGCTGCTGCGGGAGCTGCCAGAGATGTTCCACCACCTCGCGGCCCTAACAACGTCCACCGTGTCCAATTGGACTTCAAGCCAAGCATGGACGACGAGCTTGAACTCCGTTCCGGCCAGCTTGTGCGCATGCTTCACGAGTATGACGACGGCTGGGTAAGTTTCCGTTGTCCAACTTTTACATCTCAATTACTAACGTACTGCAGGCGCTCTGCATCCGAATGGACCGCAGCCAACAGGGTGTCGCACCCCGTACTTGCTTGTCAAAGCTTCCTGTAAAGCCACGACCCCAAGGCCCACCACCGCCGGGTTCTCGCCCCGGTACGGCTCAGGGCTCTCGCCGTCCATCAAACCCACCGGCCCCAAACGGCGTTCCTGGCGCGGTGTATCCGCGCCCTTTAACGCCGACCCAGTCGAGTCGCTCTCCGTCCCCGACGGAGACGAATGGAGAGGCTTCGACTACGCAGGCTGGCGTCCCGGCGAGGAAGCCAGTCCCGGGCCAGGCAATGTAGACCCTCCCTTTGGGGCCTACCGAGGTGATCGGTCCTTCTCCGATCCCTTCCCTTGCGTTGATGAATTACGTGCGGCGATCAATGACTACCTTTACATACGGGGATGGAATGTTAGTCCTTCTACTTCACCTGCTGCCGAAGATCGCAACCCACTCGACTCTGATACCTCTCTTGCTGGCTTCCACTTCAACGACAGACACACCGATCCGGGCGACGCTGGAGACAACGGTGGCGACAACACCCTGAGGCGGATCAATACTCTTGACACCTCACGCGTCTCTGCCGTTCCTCCAGTACCGCCACTGCCTCCTGTTCCGCCTGTTGCGCCCGAAGCTCAAACGCTTCCCAATCTGTTTAAAGTACCGCTACCCAACGTACCGCCACCTCCACCGATACCCAAACGAGCGAGCGTACGACAGAGCAGACGAGCGACGTTGAAATACAAACGACAAACGCGAGGGCAGCGCAAGACTTTCCGCCAGTCAGAGTGGGGCGATACTTGGGCTTTACTCGACTATTAAACGAAACACACGATGGGAATTTCCTTTTTGATATCAACTGAAAGAAGCGTCGGCGCGTGTGATGTGTGTTTTTTGTTCTTGCTTCTCTGCTTTTCCAGTGCGTCGAGAAGAAACCGAAAGTCCCGAATCGAAGTTCCGAGCTAGATTCAGGGTGTTGTGCATATAATGTCTGGCTCGGAAAAGGAACATAGAGCGCGCGACGCTGCGGTGGAGGAGGGAGAGCAGATAGCTGGTGCTTTGAAGGTGCTACTACTTGTCCTTTTACTCTTCTGCGGAGGCCTTTTGTTACCACTGTAGACTACTTCTTTAGGGGTTTTATGTTATGATTGAGAATATTTCTACTCTGATATTAGCTCCAATGTCAAGTGGTGAGGTGAGGTGAGGGCCCGAAAGTAATGTATGCAGGTAAGCGGCAAACAATGAAAGCTGGCGGCCGTGACAATAGCACAAAGACATCCTTGCCAGTACCCTGCATCTCGACATATCAACATGGCTCTCATCACACGTCTGTTCGATATTGTGCTATCGTTTTCGGAATGTCCAACGACGATGTCCATGCATCGGAAAAGCGAGGCCCAAGCTTGGCGCTCCAAAACACGGGGTTTCCGACCTCATCTGCACCTCCGCTGCTACACGACAAGCTCGACAAAGAGCAGCCGCTGCCATAACGACGGCAAAGAGCCGCCCGCCAGCCGAGACCGCATGGAGACGATCTCGAACTTGGTGCTGATGAACTTTTAGACACCTCGCAGAGCGCGACCGAGTCTGCGCTAAGATTTGCAAAGAGGAATACGCAGAGCAGTGGCGGAGGGGGATGCTCATTACTAGGTGAATCAGGGCGACGAGGACTTGGAACTTGAGGGCGCACCCGCTCCGAATAAGGGAGTTTCTCTACACTCCAGAGGCTCTGCGTTACCACCGTAGTCTTGGACTCTGAAAAAGAAGGACGACTTGACCGCGAAACCACAGCGACAACACAACTTTCACCTGCGATATGGCGCCGCAATTCGCCGCCGGCGTGATGACGCCTAAACTGGGCCAATTCCTCAATGCGATCAACGGCTTCGTCAAAGAACAGAACGAGTCGGGGTTGGCGGATTTCTTGGTGATTGAGCCGCCTTTCAATCAGACGTATCTGGAGATGGTCGAGGAGGTGCGACAAGCATACCCGAAAGGCAGCGAAGAGGCTCTTGAAGAGAAATGCACCAAATCGCTCACGGTGGCGAGCAATGGATTGAATGGTAGCGCGAGTTGGACGATGTTCATCAAGTTCATGGCGCAGTATCTCTCTTATCTGAGGGATGTGGATGCGGATCCGAATAAGTATTTGGAGACTTATGAGTTGCTTTATGAGTTGCAGAAGTAAGTTGAGCGCTCATGCTGTTACGATCGCAATCGCTCACTATCCTCAGGCGGGCCAACAGCGCACTGGTGCACCCCTCTCTCGGACAAATCATGATACAAACCGTCATTTCATGCGCCAAGCTGATTTGCCGCCTTGCGATTGGCCTCGACAAGCAACCTGAACTGATCGCGCATCTCAAGTCAAGCAAGCCAGGAGGCGAAGACGGCGGACGAGAAACACTGCCCGAACGAACTGCTGAAACCATTCGTCAAGCCCTCACGACTTGCCTTAATGATCGAACATCAGATCTCGACCAGAACGGTAGACCCGAAGGCAAGAAGCGTGGCATCTACATCATCGCCAACATCTGCCTCAAGATCTTCTTCCAATGCCGTAAGACTCGCAATGCGGAGATGATCTTCACGACCATTAGAAACAACTCGCCTCCATTGGCTGCATATCCGAAGGCTCAGCGAGTTACCTACCTCTACTACCTTGGACGATACTGGTTCCAGAATAACCACTTCCACCGCGCACAGCTGGCACTTGACGAGGCCTACAATGAAAGCCCAATCAACGAACTAGCAACCCGACAGAGACGACACATCCTCATCTACCTCATCACCTGCAACATCACCATGGGCCGCTTTCCATCAAACGTCGTCTTCCAACGCCCAGAAGCACAAGGGCTACGAGAGCGCTTCATGCCAATCATGCTAGCCATCCGATCCGGCGACCTCACCCTCTTCCGCCAATACCTCGACCTAGACGGCCCCAACGCGCCTTGGTTCCTCCACTTCCGCATCCTCTTCCAACTCCGCAACCGGTGCGAAGTCCTCGTCTGGCGCAGCCTAATCCGCAAAGTCTGGATCCTCAACGGCACACGCTACGAACCCGGCGCCAAAACAGCACCACTAGTCGACGTCCACGACTTGCTCTCCATCTTCCGCCTTTTAGAAAAACAAGCCCAGAAACCCCAAGACACCGCCTACATCGACCCGGACCTCGATGGCGACGACGAAGGCGACGAGGATCCCGATGCTCTCCTCCCCACCCTCTCCTCCATCGAATCCATCCTCTCCTCCCTCGTCGACCAAGGTTTTCTGAGAGGCTTCATCGCCCACCGCCAGCAGAAGTTCGTCATTACGGGTGCGAAGCAGGCGGGCGGGGATGTTCTCGCGGCGGGCTTTCCGCCGCCTTGGAAGGTGGTTCAGGGGAAGGTTGTGGGGTTGGAGGAGGTTCCTGGGTGGAAGAAGATGGGGGGCGGTTTGGCGGGGATGGCTACGGGGGGGATTAGTGGGGGTATGGTGGTTAATTTGAGTGGGGCGAGGGCTTCCGGGGCGGCTTGAGTTGGGGTGGGTTGGGTTAAGTTGAGTTGAGTTGAGTTGAGTTGGGAGAAGGAGGTTGAGGGTCTTTTATGTTCAGTGAAGTTGACTTGTTGTACAACTGCCAAAGGCATAGAAGACTGCATAATCCAAAAATGTGGCATTTTGTAGAGCCCATCTCGCAGTCTTGTGTCTTCCCGCCTGCGCCCCAATCCCTATACCCCTCCTCCGCGATGCACACCATCCGCCCTCCATCCCTTACCCCACCGTCCAACTCAATCAACGCAACGTCATCTTCCCACCAAATCTCTCGACCCGCCTCTTCGTCAATCGCACCTGGTCCATCTCACTACAACACCCGCAAGCCTCGAATTCGTTCTCGCCATAGTAGATGCTTGACGCTTCGTTGCGACACTGTTGACAGACCTGCAGGAGGTCGGGAACACGGTAGCGCTTGTTGCGGACGCAGAAGCTGTTTGTTTCGATCAGGGCGAGGCGGTGTATCTCGTTGCGGAGTTCGGCGTGGAGGGAGAAGAGGGTTGGTGGGGGTTTAGTCGGTGGGGAGGTGGTGGGTGAGGTGGTGGCCTGCTTGATGTCGTCGTTGGCGGCCATGGTGCTATTGAGATGAGGGTGAGCGAGCTTAACTCGATATTCGTGAGGCGAGGAGAAGTCGACACGAACCTTTGGTTTTGTGGTTCAATTGGTATTGGTGTTTCGGTGATGTCTGCAGATTACGACAGAAAGTCGCGAGGTGGAGGAAGGGACATGGTTTCAGGCTAGCGAGCTTGGCTTGGCCTTCACATGCAACGGAGCCTAGTTGGAAGGCGCGATGTGGGATTACGTAGTGAGGTCGAAGCCTTTGTTTTACACTCATTCGTGGGCTTTCCCGAGTGTATTATTCGTATTGCAGTTCATTCTAGTGATCCTCTACCGCCTCCCCATCAGGGGATAAGGACATTCAGCAGGTTTGTTCTGCACGCAGACCTGTCTGACCGGAGCAAACAGTCATCACACGGGTCTTCTTAGATACCCCTCTCATCCTTCTAAAGCTCCCAGCTCACCCTTAACCATACGCTCTGCCCTTCCCCTTCCCCTTCCACCTCCACCCAACACCCCTTCTCCTTATCTCAAAATTACCATCTCTCCTCCCCTCGCCTTCCCAACATGCTCCTCAACATATCCAACCTTTTCCATTTTGTCTCCACATGCGCGATGAGCCACAAACTTGTTTTCTCCGTAGTACACGCCGGCCGCCTCGTTTCGGATCTGGCGGCAGACTTGGAGGAGGGCGGGCGTCTTGTAAGTGCTGCCACACACCACAGTCCGAAGGTAGTTTGGTTTGACTAAGGCTAGGCGGTAGATCTCGTTGCGGAGTTCGGCGGGGAGGTTGAAGAAGGTCTTTGTGGCCTTCTTGGCTGGTAATTTGGCTTGAGGCGTGCTGCTGCGGTTATTGCGTTCGGCCATGTTGTGAAGTGGGAGTTCTTGGGGCGGCGGAGGGTGACTGCTGCTGGGTTGGTTGTGAGCGAGCGTCTTTGAACGGTTTGAGCCAGGCAGCTGCGTGTACAAACCTGGAGATTGATGTTCGCCGACGGTCATGTAGTTGAGCAAGTGCTTGAATGTTGTCGTGTCTCAAGAGAAGAAGCGGAGACGGGAATGAAGCTTTTTGCGCTACGCTTCTTGGCGTTCACATGCAACAGTGCAAATTTGGAAGGCGCGACGAGAGACAGGTGGCTGAGGTCACAGCATTTGTTCTAAATCACGATCTCCTCATACTCCCATGCAAATACTCGGTATCACCGCTCATTCTAGTGAGTGTGTACCACATTCTCGCTGAAGATCGAGGGCCATCACACTCCTAATCTGCTCTCCTAGGCGGAGCCACGATGAAGCTCATCGAGCTCATCGAAGGATACGGGGGCTTCAGAACCCTTACCATCTTCTCCGCTCCCTCGTACTTCTCCATGTCCGTCAGCTCCCACCTGCTCTTCCTCCCCAACTCCACCTCCCGAAGGAATCCTCGACCGAGCTCGTCACTCCGTATCGCAGGACGCAAAGGTCCAGACTCCATCTCCTCACGCTCCAGATTCAGCCCTTCCCACTCCACCACCTCCCCCCTCCTCTCCATAACATACTCAAACAAATCCCCCTTACAGTAACACATCGCAAACTTATTCTCCAAATAATGAATCGCGGACGCTTCTCTACGAGTCGGTTGGCAGATCTGAAGTAGGTTGGGCGTGATGTACTCGTGCGGACAGGTGGAAATGTAGGCTGAGGGCGTCCAGTGAGGGGTTGTTGGTTGAGGAGGGTCGTTGTCGGTGGGGAATAGGACCATGCGATAGATGTCATTCTTAAGCTCTGCAGGGAGAGTGAGGAGCTTTGAGGGTTTGTTGGGTGGGCCTTTTGAGAGGTTGTTGTTTTGTGGTTGGTCTTGAGTCGTGGTTGGGAATGGCGCCATTGGCATCGCTTGATCGCTGCTGGGTTGGGACAACGTCAGCAAGATCGCCAGTGTGATGATTTCCGAATTACTACCTTTCCTCGTCGCGAGCAGACATTGTGGCTGAGTGGTACTTTTCGATGCTAATGCTCCGGCTTGCGTGGTGTGGTGACTGGAGCTTCGCAAACAGCTCAAGTGACGTTCTTTGTGTTGGCATTCATGTGAAACCCATCAATCTGGAAGGAAGACAAACGGAATGACCCTAGGATTCATTCAACGCTGAATAATGGAAGACGTCGACCATTGTGAAAATACGCTCAGAGACAGACTGTCTGTTTCAGCCCGTTATCTAGCTCAGCTATGTTCGCTATTTTCACTCTCAGTATGCGACGGACCCGCAGGCCACGCGATACTTTGCATCACTCATCTCATGCCGTCGTAGTTCCTCGACGCCGGAGACGCCACCCAATGCATTGGAACGCCGTCGCTAATTCTCACTCGCTTTGTTGCTCTTCTTACAAAAATCTCAACATGCCCTCCATGGCTTCGTCTCGTGCGGGAAGGTTGGTATCGGAGTCCTGCTAGGCACCCATGATGTCCTCATCCCCATCGTCCAAAGACACCGGTGGATCCCACGAAAGATCCATGGCATCCGCGATATCCCCGTCCGGTCCTCCCGCCTTCTTCATCCGCTTCTGATGCTCAACGTACTCCTTTGATAGCTGAAGTCGCCGATCAGCGTCGCGGATGAACGTCACCAGATTCTGAATACGCTCGGTCTGGTCCTCGAGATCCTTGGCAGCGATTGATGTCGATGACGTGTCGGTGGAGTGGAAGCACAAGACTGCATCTGACCCACTTGATATGCTCGCCTTGAGATAGCCCATCTGGATCATGCTCTGGAGCAGCTGCATGGTGTCGTTCGCTGACAGACCAATTTGATCTGCCACACGGGTGACTGGTAGTGCAGCATACGTCTTCTGCAAGTCCGTGACGCGATATCGCATCAAGGCGTCGGCAACTTCCTTGATCAAACGCTGGTTGCCGTCCTCTGACCAGACGACTTCTCCCGCGTCCGCCTCAGCAATGAACTTCTTGTAGTCCCTCTTATCGAAGTCATCAGCCAGCGCTTCATATGGCTTCGCCAAATTCCTGATGCTCTTCATGACAGCCGCGTCCGCTGTCTTCGGTAGCGGGAATCCCTTTCCTTCGGACAGTAGTCCTATCAACACCCATTTCTTGTACGCCTCTACCTGCAGTCCGCTGCAGGCTTTCGCTGGGGATGGTGACAGGATGACGGTTTCGAGGAAGAGGCGAGTTCGGTTGAAGTTGCGGAGGCCAATGTAGACATGGGCGCCGAGAAGGTAGTACTCGAGGACGTATTCGGGCAGGATCTTGATAGAAAAGCCAGACTTTTCGGTTATGTACGGGTTACTGAGCTCGTGGGCTTCGCTGAGGTAGTCTTCCGGCAGGTTCTTAACAGCTTTCGACGGGTAGGCGTAGATGTCGTTGTCTAGGATCGGAAGTGCTTGGCTGGGAACACGAGCTCGAATGCACAAGCGCAGCACCCGGAGGTGGTTGGGTGTGAATGTGCCTGCCGTAGGGTCAAGCCGTAAGAGACCGCCAACAAGAGCACCGCAATCGGTAGACTGGGAACCCTCGATGCCTTTGCAAACGAACTCGAACAGGGTCCGCCATTCCTCGCCCACGTATCGGATCTGTACTGGATCGCAGGTGGTGAGGAAGACCTGTGCAAGTGCGAACAAATGCTCGAGGCGCTCTGTATTCTTGTTGCTGGTAGCTTCTATTTGCCGGTTGAGGGTGACGAGGTATGCGATGGAATTGGTGGTGGGGTCCAGCAATTCCAGAAGGCCTTTCTTATCGACCGTCTTGCTCCATGCTGAACTCGAGATTTTGCTGAGCTCCCTCAGATATGTGTTGGCCTGGCTGTCGTACTGCTTGTGGGTGAGCTTCTTCTCATCCGGCGGGAAGCCCAGAAGGGTTGGAAGAATGTCAGCCATGGTGGACGCTCGTGGTCGATGAATGAGCAGCTGAAGCTATCGGTTGGCGGCGTTCATTTCAGAGCTCACTGATGCGTCGGCCAGTGCGGTGTTGGTGTTGTAAAGGTTGGTGCGGTCGGTGAGGGTGGTGTGTGTTGATTGAGAGTGTTTGCGAGTGAGTGCACAGAGTGGAAGCACATGAGCTCACAGCGCCAGCAGCAGGCAGCTCTCGATTCTGCCGCGGGCGGTGAAGCCCGCGTTATCTAATCAATATTTAGCGCGGGCCCCATCAAATCCTGGGTCAGGGTCTCGTTCTGTGCCACCTCCTAGCAGTGAATCATCTGTGATGAGATGAGTGTCTTTCGGTGAGGCTTCTGATGGATTCACTTGTATGAGAGACGACAACGAGTGAATCCGAATGCTACGCACGACTTGACTTCACAATGTCGACGCCGCAACACACGAGTCGCTATCGGGACCAGGTCCTCACGAGAGGCAAGATCGAATCTCTAATCGCGGAAGGCCGGAAAGTCGTGATCGTCGACGGCGTGGTTCTGAAAGTGGACGCATGGCTACCTTACCACCCTGGCGGTGACAAGGCCATACTCCATATGATTGGAAGAGATGCGACGAATGAAGTGAAGGCGTTCCATGCAGTGGAGACGCAACACTTCATGCAGAAGTACCGCATTGGAAAGATTGAGGGAGAATGGAAGGATTTCGTGCCTCCAATACAAGATGGCAAGTTCCGGACAAAAGAGGAGCAGCGCTCGGGCAATAGAGGGCAAGACAAAGAGGCGGTTTGCGAGCTGGACTCGTCACGCCATAGCAGTTCTGAAGAGCCCTCTCCTCTTTTCGAACCGGCAGATCGAGGCACAAGTTCCCTTCGACAAAGGAGGACAAGCGAAGATGCTGCTAGCGAATCGTCTGCTACATCACTGGACACTTTGGCCATCGGAGAACCGGCGACGAGCAGTAAAAAGGCCGCACCAGGAGGAGACAGGACACAACAGGAACTACAGCGAGATCTCGAGACATTCCCAAGTCTTGATCCTGCCACTCAAGCAGATATCATAGCCAAATACAACGCTCTCGACGACCGACTCCGAGCAGAAGGCCTTTACGACTGTGACTACTGGGCCTACGGCAGAGAAATCTCGCGGTACGTTCTCCTAGGCTCCCTCGCCTACTTCTTCCTCCAAAAAGGCTGGTACATCCCCTCCGCCATTTTCCTGGGCATGATGTGGCACCAGCTCGTCTTCACCGTCCACGACGCTGGACACATGGGCATCACGCACAACTTCCACATCGACAGCCTCATCGGAATGGTCATAGCCGACTACATCGGCGGCCTCTCCTGCTGCTGGTGGAAACGCAACCATAACGTGCACCACATCGTCACCAACTCGGCCGAGCACGACCCGGACATCCAACACATGCCCTTCTTCGCCATCAGTCACCGTTTCTTCGACAGCCTGCGAAGCACCTACTACGACCGCATCATGACCTTCGACCCAGCCGCCAAGGTCCTGCTCAAGTACCAGCACTACCTCTACTACCCCATCCTCTGCTTCGGCCGCTTCAACCTCTATGTCCTCAGCTGGCAATACATCTTCCTAGGTCAAGGGCCCCGCAAAGGCCCCGCCTGGTGGCATCGCTATTTCGAGATGGCCGGTCAGATCTTCTTCTGGTACTGGTTCGGGTACCTCACCGTCTACAAATCCATCCCCACCGGCTGGGACCGCTTCCTCTTCGTCCTGATCTCCCACGCCGTCACCATGCCCGTCCACGCACAAATCACCCTCTCCCACTTCGCCATGAGCACCGTCGACCTCGGCGTGGCCGAGTCCTTCCCACAACGCATGCTCCGCACCACCATGGACGTCGACTGCCCCGAGTGGCTCGACTTCTTCCACGGCGGACTGCAGTTCCAAGCAATTCACCACTTGTTCCCACGCATGCCCAGGCATAATTTGAGGAAAGCGCAGGGAGCGGTGAAGGAGTTTTGCGAGGATGTCGGGATCCCGTATGCGATTTGGACGTTCTCGAAGGGCAGTGAGATGGTCATTAGGCAGTTGGAGGATGTCGCGAATCAGGCGAGGGTGCTGAGTGAGTGTCAGAGGAGTATGACTCTGAAGGATATGCTCGAGGGGCATTGAGACTGGTCGATAAATGAAACGAAGATGTAGACGAGTCTGATTATGTCGCCAGAAATGCTTGCCATGGCAAAATGGCTAGATCGAGAACCAAAAAACTTGCCATTTCGGGCGAGGTCTCTGCTTCCCGCAGTCATCGGCCATGTCGTACGCTAGATGGCTCGCAGGAGGTGAGCTTCGCTACTGCTATGGGTTTTCGTCCCCCCAGCTGCCGTGCAGCCATCAATTCTAGCCTGAGATACACAGATACTCGGCACGTCCACACCAACTGGAGATATGAAGGCTGGAGCAGAACGCTGCTTGGTCGTTGACGACATAAAGCAGCTCTTGCGGCCATGCCTGCCATCGTCCTATCGAAGAGGTGAAGCTATCCTGCCTTGCTACGAGATCCATCTTCTGTTATCTCGTTCACATTCGCAAAAACCCCAATGATACCCTGCAGCATCTAACTCTTCTGAGTAATTGCTGCACCAAGTACTGTCCATCAAGCTCGGGTCAAGCACTGTACTCGAAATCCAGCTGACCGTCGATACATACTACGCTGCCGTCGGCGAGGACTTGGCGATGTATCTTCCATCGCCATTCGTCGTCAAAGCAAGCAAGCCGCCGATCGACTAACCCATGCACTCGAATCTGGTATCGATTGCGGCGTTGTCTGCCCTGCTTCAAGAATCCCGATACGATCGATTGTATCGCGATCCTCAACCTCGTGCCAGGAGAGTGAAGTCATTTTTAGACTCTGCGCTACGAATCCTTCGCCAAAGGCAAGACGCCACCTCGGCAAACTCACCTGCAGACTTCACCACGCGACGCACGCTTGCTTCGCATGGCCTCACCGGACGCTTCTGCTCAGCTCCTATACCACACAGCGTGAAAATGAATCATATGGCATCGCCATAACTCCAGCATCAAAATATGTCCGGATGAGGCACCTTCGCGCCGAAAGGAGCAGGAGACCATGGTCGACTCGCCTTTCATATCATATTCCCATCAGAAACATGTCGACCGGTCCACGCTCAGCCGCATTCGAAGTCATGCCCAGCAGAAGGTGCAGGATGACAAGTGGTCGAAGAAGATTGGGAAGGAGCGTGATGGGGGGTCGCAGGTGGTTGTTCCACGAGTTCCGGAGCGGCAGTGTTTGAAGTTGGTCTTTGAGAAGAGATCTAAGGATGGCTCGGGGAAGGCTGGATCTGGTGCTGTCGCTCGGAAGGTGAAGAAGAGGCAGTTGGAGCAGGTTCAGAGGGCGGTGGCGACGAAGTTGTGTGAGACGCTGGTTGTTACGCCTGTCGACAAGCGGGATCCGTTTGACTCTTTTCCGGTGGTCGTTAACGCAGAGTTGATGGATCTGCTGGAAGGTTGTAAGTTCAATTTTCTAGTAGGCAGGTGCTTTGCTTATGCTACTACAGACTACGGCAGCTGGAAATGGAACAACACCAAATCACTGATCTTCCAGGAGACCGTAAGCAGCCCAGTGCTCATACAGAGCTGCCTCGCGATGGCATACCACATTTGCCATCAGGATGAGGTGCGAACAATGGTGCATGAGAGCAAGACTATGGAGCTTGTGGCAAGCGGGATCAATCAACTTGGCAAGTTCAAAGGCGATCAGCGTCGTGATGCGGCATGTGCTCTGATTTGGGCGATTATGCGGCTGGCGACGATTAAAGTCAACCAAGGGCAGCTGGAGACGTCCCTGAACCATCTGAATGCATTGGTATTGGTCTCGCCAACGCTGAGAGATTGGGAAGGGCACAAGTTCGCTCTGCATTTGCAGTCTGCCATTGCAAGGTATGTCGTGCATACCACTTTCGCCGTTCGTATACTGACAGTGCCATCCAGCTTGTTTCTAGCGAACTTCACGCAATCAGGCAAGGTCCTGCCCCTGCTCCATTCCCCGTTTGGCACTGTGCAAACATCAGCCGTCGCCGACGTCAAAGCCCAAGGCTACATGGTCCCAGACCGAGCCGTCATGCTCGATCCTGTCTTAAAACGCCTGACAGATCCAGCCATCCTCGATGGAATTCTTGCTCTTACAGCCCTATACAACTTAAGCGGCCAAGGCTTTGACACGACCCAGCAATCACTCCCGCACACCCACACTGGCCGTCAGGCATTCGAAGGTGTCCGCATCGCCCTTCGTCTCGCTCAGCTGGACACCACACCGCCCGCAGAGTTCTCGGCCGACAGCAACAGAACTTGGCGCTTTGCCCTACAGAACGTCCTGCGTCTCACCGCAGTCCTGTTTACCTGGTCCTTCGCTCGCCGTGTCAGCAGTCGCTGGGAAGCCATCTCGTCCGTGCGGACTCAACTCCACGCAGCGTTAACCACTCACTTACTATCGAACGTGGTCTTCGAGAGCCGACGGAGCAAAACACTATCGGATCTTATGCTATGGATCTTGATCGTCTGCGGTTCCACAACGTACCATACCGAGCACATGGTCTACTACGCAGACTTAATACGCACCTGGTTCCCCGAGGCGCAAGACGTCCCCTATCAGGATATCAAGAGGCTGGGCGAAAGATTACCTTGGATCGACGTCCAAGACAATCCGCCTGTCGAAGACTTCTGGAACATGGTGACGGCGGACGAGCTGCCCGTCGTGAAGGAAGAGGATACTTCGAGCAGCCGGCAGGAGTCTGGTGCGCTCCTTGTGGGGTTTATACAGCGTCAGCTACCCAGGAGATGACAGCAATACATTGGTTGGACATAGGGATGATAGCCCCAGAAAAATGCCTTTCTGGACTCAATTTTAAAACTTCAATGCCCCCACCAAACAAACCACCCTCTCCTGATTCCTCGTCCACGCATTCAGCACAATCACCCTCTCAATATCATGACCATAAAACTTGAGAACCCTCTCCCTCGTCTCAACACCACTCTTCACAGGACACTCCACATCAAATTCCCGCCCCAACACCTCGCATAAATCGAATTCCTGCTCCTCCCAAGACATCGACCTCCCATCTCGCTTCACACTAATCTGCACTCGGACCTTGGCGCCGTTTTCGATGGTTTGGATGAGATGTGCGTCGAGGGAGACGGAGAGGTTAGGTTTGTTGCTGGGAAGTCAATGAGTCGTTTCGCAAAGAGGGAATATCGGGGGTTAAGTACTTCGTCGCCTCGCTTAAGGTGATGTTGAGGCTACTGATTTGCAGGATGTAGGATTTTGGATCTGTGCAGTAGGTGAAGGGGTTGGTGCCTGGGACTGAGAGGTCGTTGTTGGAGTTGGTGAAGGGGATCTGATGGGGGATGCTGTAGCTTCGGGCGAGGGCGATGAGGTTGTAGAGTACAAGGAGTGGAAAATACATTTTGGAGTAGCTTTTGGTATTAGAGGGAATGCTTGGTATAGTGCTGTGCATGTTCTTCTCGATGGCCTCTCGATGTTTGACCCAGGCTACAGAGTCGATGTTCCTTCGCATTCGCATCGTGCAAAAGGCGAGTGTTGTGCTGCTTGGCTTCGCGTGAGTAGTTGTAGCGATAACTTGCTTGCTGCAAACAAGTCGTGGAAAGTGCAATGGAATGCTTGGTGTTGTTGATATTTTCTTGCCTTCATGTTCATAATACTTTTCTTTTCTTTTTCTCCATCTTGCGAGCAGTACAGTCTATTCTGAACACTGGCAAGAGTCGAGACTCGGGTATAATACAGCAGTCAGTCAGAGTAAAGAGACGATATCCCACCGAACGCACATCATCCAGCTAATGTTTGCCGCCATGTTGCTACTCCAAAGACAAGCCCTCCCGCATTTTCAAATGAGACCCTGGTCGTACCCCACAATGCATCATAAGACGCCGGTGCTGTATGCAGTGCAATCATGTAAACCCCTTAACTCGTCCATGTCGTTCATTACGTCTGCGCAGAAGCAGGTGGCATCATTCCGTTTGTCGCGTTGGGCCCGTTGGGTTTTGGAGAGGAAGACGATTGCGAAGGCCGCTGATCCATACCAGGCCAGCCGGGGAACAGTTCTCTCAGCTGCTCGTATTTGGGCTGCAGCTGAGCCATGTGCGGCGGCGGTGTCATATGCGCAGGGCCAGGCGGTGCTTTGGCCTGCGCCTGCCCACTTGGATCACTGGATGCCTTGGGCATGAGGTAGGCTAGGTTGGCCTGCACTCTACGCAGGCATTGAATGTACTCATCCGACGCCATCTTGTCTGGCTTGCCCTCGTTGCGGAGCTGCATCAGCTGCTGCGGACTTATGGCGCCGCCGTGTCCCTCCGCCTGCAAGCGGCGCACCTCTTGTAGCAGCTCCACGTTGATGTCGAAGAGCAGACCTATGCGCTGCTGTTCCCTATTCTGGCTACCGGGCGACTGCGGCGACATGGGCGAGGGAGCGGCATTGCTGGCGGGAGCCTGCTGGTTGCCGGGAGTCTGTGGGAGGGGCGGCGCAGCCATTGGGTACTTGGTGGGCGGGGTGGGAGCATGCGGCGAGGCGCTCTGTCGGAAGTCCTGCTGCTGGTACTGCTGCTGGACGTAGATCTGCTGGGCGTACTGCTGCTGCTGCTGGGCCGGCGCGGGCGAGGGAAAATTCTGGCCTGGTGGCTAGGTCAGCACTGCAGACGCAAGAGACTTGGCGCGAGGTCGCTGGCACTCGCTGGTGCGTGAAACTCACCTGGGGCGGACATGGAGTGGTTTGCTGCAGGCACGTTGACGCCATACGGCCCAACCCCATGGTACGAAGCTTGTTCTCTGCTGACGCCAGAAGCGCCTGTTGGAGGCTGGCCCAGAGGCGCGTGGTGATAGCCAGCCGTGCCAGCAAAGGCAGCGCCTGCGCCCCGAGGGGCATACGGCGCGGGCGACTGGAGCATAGCCGGCGTACAGACGAAGCTAATCGTGCGGTCCAACTCGCAAGGCTGCTTTTATTGGCTTCGGCCACTCGTTTTGCGCGTGAGGTGCCCCTTCCCTTGCTGGCGGTGGTGAGAGTGCGGCAGCTTCTGTCCGAAACGTGGCTAGCGCAAACTCTAAATCGCCCATCCAACTCCCGCCTGCCGTTCTGCTGCATCTCGTCAAAGTGGCCCCGAACCAGTCGAAGATCCGTGTGGGCCACCATCATGTCAGGTACCTCTCCACGCTCGCATGTGCCTCTGATAAAGATCCAAATGCTGACTACACGCCTACAGGAAGAGGTCGCGGCGGGGGCCGAGGGGCTTATTACAAAGAGAAGTACGGTGGAGGCCGTGGCAGAGGGCGAGGCGTTTCCTCATCACACGAGTTCAACGACTCCAGCCCGCAATCCCAGCAGCAGAGACCCGGTCCGCCAAAGGATTGGCAGCAGCTCGAATACCATCTACAAGGCATCGACGGGCAGCAATATGGTAGGTGGAACCGCATTCGCCTTTCTGTTCCCTTTTGCTTGCTTGCATCGTCTCTCCAGCAAGATCCTTTCTCCCTGGCGAGAAAGTGTCTCAGGCTCTTCTTACCTTGATCCCCAGCTTGGTGCTTCAATCATTCGCGGGGATAGCCAGAGAATCTCTCCCTTACTCATTTTACATCGTCCCTCTTCTTGTCCGTCGGCCTTGCAACGCTACCATCTTCAGATCACTGACAGCACACCAGGTGCTTACAAGCGCCTGTTGGGCAAGTACGAGCATGCAGGTCCTCGCTTCACCCTCTCCGTCGATCACGTCCAAGGCGATGCCTATGCAGCACCTTCAAAGGTGAGGTCAATCGTCCCATGGAGCGAGACCGGCTTTCCAAAGGAATACCTCGACTCCGATGTGAGAAGAATTGCGCTCTGCGACTTTGTCTCTCGCATCGCCGGCAGCATCATCCAAGCCAAGCACTTGGACCGCAATGTTGGCAACTCAAACGGTGGCTGGTCTGGTCCGAAAGGTGGTGCGTTCTCCATATGTATGCCTGGTACTGAGATCTTGCCACGGACATCCGCTGTCATCGCCGGCGGCGATTCGATTGAGCTGCGATTCACGGTCTCACTACCAGCAGCTGGACGTACCATCCTCGGTCAACAAGCCTATCAGATCCTAGCTGTAAATCTCGTCGAGATTGTCAGGAAGGCACTTCTCCATGCCAATCTGGACCAGCAAAGCCTTGGGCGCCATATCGAGTCTGCAGAGCGTCAAGAATCGCTCCGTTCGCAGCTGAGTAAGAAGGGGCTCATTGCTTTCATCTCCAACGGAGCTGTCCTGCCTAGGGCATCAGGAGCTTCTCAAGCACCTTTGTCTGGTGCATCCGTGGTGGGATTCCGCGCCCCTGCCGAAATGGAGGTCACTTTGACCTCGTCCGATGGTCAGTCCTTCACGGGCATGGGGATCCCCAAGGGCGTCACACTGCTCACAGGTGGCGGCTTTCATGGCAAGAGTACGCTGTTGGAGGCGCTTGAGCTGGGTGTCTACAACCACATACCAGGCGACGGTAGAGAAGCGGTCGTGACTGATCCAACAGCTTTCAAGATCAGAGCCGAGGATGGAAGAGGGATTGCGAGCACGGACATCAGCCCTTTCATCAGGAACTTACCTGGCGGAAAATCCACCACTGCCTTCTCGACCGAGGATGCTAGCGGTTCTACTTCGATGTCTGCCAACATTCAAGAGGCGCTCGAAGCAGGCTGCAAGACCTTGCTCATTGACGAAGACTCATCGGCCACGAATTTGCTTGTCCGCGATCAGCGCATGCAGACACTGATCAGAAACGAGCCCATCACGCCGCTCATCAGCAAGGTTTCGGCACTCTACAATCAACACGGCGTCAGTACGGTCATTGTCATTGGCGGTCTGGGCGACTGGCTAGCCGTGGCCAACAGAATCATTGCCATGGACTCATACGTTCCGCACGATATCACCGAGAAGGCGCAGGGGGTCGTACGTCAATTCCCTGGCACGATCATGCAAGATGCCGCCTACGGTTCACTTCCAAAGCGCAGTTTCAGGGTCGATCTACAAGGCCTCAAGTCTCCATTCGCGAGTCGCAAGCGATTCATCGCGCTCAGGTCACAGATCAAGGACGCCGTGGACGACCCTTCCCAAGCGGAGAGTGGCGTTGACTTGGAAGGGCTCGACCAGATCGTGGAGATTGGACAATCGCGGACCATTGCAGTGCTTCTGCAGCGTATTGCAGGTCAGACAGGAGCCCGTGGCTTATCGCTGGGTGAGCTGCTCAAACGACTGGAGATGCTCATCGGTGTCGATAAGTGCTCTCTGGCCTCGCTTGAGGGTGGCGACTTGGTGGCTGTTCGGCCTCTGGAACTCGCTGCGGCACTTTCGCGATTGCGAGGCGCGGCTCTGCAGGTCGATGCTACATCGTGATCTTGCTGCGCACGAGGTCGAAATCTACGAAGGAACGCTGATTGCAGCAAGGGGCTGGGCCGGTGAGAATCGCCACTGACTAAAAAGAATGACCCTTTAGACCTAGGAGTCGATGCGAAAGGATTGCGCAGTTCAAGCCTCGCGAAGCGTGAAGTCATCTCGCGTCTTTTTATCGTCTCCTTGGTCTCAATCTCTATCCAGAGCTTCGCCATTGCTCTGATTCAGAAGAAGTGACTGGGGAATGAGTCCCAGAGTGAGGCTAAGGATAAGTCGAAAAGTGAGACTAGGAGTAAGTCCCAGAGTAAGGCTGGGAGTGAGCCCAAGAGCAAGCCACGAGTGAGTCCGACAGTAAAGCTAGAAGTGATTCCAGGAGTAAGGCCAACAGTGAGTCCGCCAGTAAAGCGAGGAGCGATTCCATGCGTAAAGGAGCAGTGTCGCCCATTGAGACACCGCGGAGCAAATCGATCACGCCCTTCATCAAGTTTCGCGAGGCGTGAAGTCATCTCGCCTCTTGGCGGTAAATGCCTCAGTACGTACATGCAGATTCCATCGCAAAAAATAGCAAGCATTGGCGCGAAAGCCGACATGTGGCCGTTCCAGCCGCACAAGCTGTGCCTTTGCCGAAGTGGCCTCATGTGATGTCTGCTGCGCCTCTCCAAGACCACAGCCCGGCGAGCAGATACCGGGTAGGAAAACGAACAATCAATCAATCTATCGCACATGACTCCGCGGGGAGACGGCTCGGCGCTAAGGTGCCGAGTACGAAGCAGGATGCCGATTATTTGCCCGCATGGGATGTGGCAGCACATGCAGTGTGGTGTGAGATCTCGTGATGGCTTGCTGCTGTTGGAGGTCTTCTTGCTGTGAGAGGCGTCATCTACTCCTCTTCCTTTGCAAGCGAATGATTGTCATCATTGTTGATGGGTGCGGCGCGAGGCGACAGTGCCAGAAATCGCCGCAGTTGGTTGCAGGCCGCAGCGTCGTGAAGCTGCATAGAAGACATGGTGATATGCCTCTCATCGCCGCGGAGTCAAGTCATCCTCAGGTGTCGAGCTGAACGAACACAGCAGCAATGCCAAGTGAGCGTGCCATGGATGATGCTCCGACAAGTGCGATGGACTGGATGGAGTGTGATGCAGGCCGTGGAGAAGTGGACATCACAGGCATGGATTAACGCTTGGACATGTTCCCTCACCAACCAGAATGCGTTCTGGAAGGCGGGCCGCCGAATGCTTAGCCCAAACCGTGCCGAATTCTAATCCTTCGTGGCAGGGCAGTAGCGGCGCTGTGGTCATTGATGATTGACGGGCCTGTCATCTGCGAGGTGGGTGTGTGTGCCGCTATCCATCGTCGGGAGTAGTGACGTGGTCTATATATTGGCCACTACTGCCTCTGTTCATTCGCTACTTAGGTCGTTGCTCTTTCGTACAGCAGTCGCACAAGACAAATACTTATAGCAATCTCACTTGCCGAACCAACCCCGCAATCTTTCAGCTGCGACTATCAACAACAACATCACCTCTTCCATCACCGCCAGCAACCAGCAAACAATCGCTACTTCGACATTCCATCACCATTCACATTCGAGACGACGATGAACGGCGACATGGACTCAGGCAAGGCACCAGTTGCGAACGGCGGCAGCTCGCGCACGGCAGAGCCTCTCGTCAAGGTCCAACCGCCCAGGCGTGAGGATTTGCAGCCATCGTACGCCCAAATCATTAAGCCAGACACTGAAGATGCGTCTCAACACGGGTGGTATGGATCTATGATCAATTCTCTGGGTTCTCTGATCGGTACTTGCGGTGCTGTGCCATGCTGTAAGTCTCCAGCACCCCCACCCCCTTCTCCCCGGCAGTTTGCCACTCTATGCTCTCAGAGCACGTACGTAGACTTTGGGACATGAAACAGCCTGTGAGAGCAGAGTTATAGCAATACTAACGATTCCAAACAGGCATTATCTGCCCAAACCCATACCGCCCCGTAGCTCAAGGCAACGTTGGCCTCGTGACCAAGTTTGGCCGCTTCGCAAGAGCCGTGGACCCCGGTCTCGTCAAGATCAACCCTCTCTCCGAAAACCTCATCCAAGTCGACGTCAAAATTCAAATCGTCGAAGTCCCCAAGCAAGTCTGCATGACCAAGGACAATGTCAACCTCACCTTGACCTCCGTCATCTACTACCACATCACAAGCCCACACAAGGCCGCCTTCGGAATCTCCAACCTCCGCACTGCCCTCGTGGAGCGCACGCAGACAACCCTCCGCCATGTCATCGGCGCCCGCGTGCTGCAAGACGTCATCGAGCGCCGCGAGGAAATCGCCCAATCGATCCGCGAAATCATCGAGGAGACAGCTACGGGCTGGGGCGCCGCCGTCGAGAGTATGCTCATCAAGGACATCGTCTTCAGCCAGGAACTCCAGGACAGCCTGTCGATGGCCGCGCAGAGCAAGCGAACCGGCGAAGCCAAGGTCATCAGCGCCCGCGCCGAAGTCGAGAGCGCCAAGTTGATGCGCCAGGCCGCTGACATCCTGTCTTCTGCACCCGCCATGCAGATCCGATACCTCGAGGCGATGCAAGCCATGGCCAAGTCGGCCAACAGCAAGGTCGTCTTCATGCCTGGTCCTCCGGCTCTGACGCAGCAGACCATCCAGGCGCTTGATGAGGTTGGCGAGGGTCCGGCGGCGTACCAGCAGCACGGCGACTACCAGATTGGTGGGCCGACGGGCAGCCTGCAGACTGCTATCAACAGCCGTGTCGTGGAGAACATGTAAGGTTTGGGAAGAGAAAGCAGGGGATCGAGATTTGAAGATTGGAACGACCCCTATGAAACGGCCGATTGGCTCTTTTCCTACGATTGAACGTGTTTTGATTGAGGAATTATTGGTGTGATACCCTGGAAGTCTTAGCTTATGTATTTGATAATGTTTTCAGAACCAAACTCTCTTTCGTCCCTTCGAGGGTCATAACATAGGCTCTTCAAAGTAGATAGGATAAGGCGATTGTGACAGCTGTCAGGTCGCGACTGACGGACCCAAGGTCGAAATCTATCGACTCGGGGCTGGATGCATTACGACGACATACTACAATCAGGCAACGGTCTCAATTTTTCTGCGGTGACTTGGCGCATTCGAATGTTTCTAAGGTATGCAATCCTCGTTACCAAACGGATCCAGTCCGTAAATCAGGATGAACATTCCCAGAAAATGGAGAGAACGTGCAGAATTTTCATTGACACAGACTAATATCGAGTGTGGTGTTCATATTCATACCCAAAGTTTCAACGACGACACTACACACACGGAGGTAAATATGTGTGATGCTGTCTACTTGAAGTAGAGATAGCACAAAGATGAGAGCGGGGACGACTCAGATGCGATGCTTGATTTATATAAAGCTGGCCGTGAGTTGCAAAGTGAAGTCTATACAAATGTTGGGTGTGAGGTTGAGAGTGAATGTACATGTGAGGGGATGAGTGAAAGTGAGAGTAAAGGTAGGAATGGAATGAGGAATGAAACGAAGAGTGAACTGAGAAGTGAATGTAAGAGTGAACTAAGAAGTGAATGTATTCGTGATGTGCTCGGTTAGGAAGGGAGGAGTCTGGAGGTTACGCGTCCGGTCTTGGATTCATATGTCAAGATGGGGGTATCTATATAAACATCTCCGAATAAAACCGTCGAGAGAATCATCTTCGTGTTGTTAATTTCTGCGATTCAGAAAGGTTCCGCCGAAGTGATCAATTCCTGATCTGTCCCCATCCACCTTTTGGAATGCGTGGGCTACTTCAGAATAAACCGTAGAATGCCAGATCGTCTTGAAAGATAAGGTATTGCCGGGAGTAAAGTAGATCCGCGACACCATCTCGAACTCCGTTTACTGCAGCAACAGCTGCATTTATGTAGAAGCCTGCAGCGTGAGGATCTGCGCCTGAGTCCAAGAGCAACTCGACTATGCTGACGTGGCCATGGAAGGCGGCTGCTTGAATGACCGTACCATAACAGTCTCCTTCAAGGTTGACATCAGCTCCGGCGCTGATCAGCTCTTTGACCACACTGACGTGCCCTTTCATTGCAGCTGCATGGAGGGCATTGCCCTTTCCGTCATTCGCATTGATCGAGGCGCCGCGATCGATCAACATACGAACAGTAGTCTCGTGACCATTGAGCGATGCACTCCTCAAAGGCGGTCCAAGTGGGCCAGCGACTTCGATCCCAAGTCCTGCGTCTAGAAGGAATTCCACCACTTTCTCGTGGCCATGCGCAGCGGCGATAGCAACACTGTCACTTGGCAATACTCTGCATGCCTGCGTCGCATTTCGAAGTAGGAAGCGAAGGCCACTGATCTTCTCTTGAACGATAGCTTTGGTCGCCCTGTTCTGGCTGGAGGCTTGGGTGTGCCGAATGGTGAGGTCTCTTGCAGCAGCTTGATGGCGAACAGAAACCCGGCTTGGGCTGCTCCGTTGAGTATGGAGTTGTGCATGCCTTGGTCTGAGATGCTGAATCCACTGCTCAGTAACAGGAGAGCTATGTGCTCTTGATCGCCTTTGAAGGCAGCATCGAAAGCAGATGTGTACGTTTCCCCAGTGTACGGGTTCGCACCGCTGTACAAGAGCAACTCCACTGTCGCATCATAGCCATGAAAGCATGCCGCGTGCAGAGGACTTCCATGCGAACCACATTCGACGTCTACCTGCGCGCCCTTATCGAGCAAGAATTGGACGAGACGTTCATTGGACGACCGGCAGGCGAGATAGAGCGCCGTATGCCCAGCATCGTTGCGTTCATTCCAGTTAAAGCCTGTTGGCCATTTATGGTGCGAGATGATGAAGTCGATGCCGAAGATGCTCAAGGCGAAGATGGGGCAGCCACGCTGGTTGAACGCAGCTTGAAGGAAAGCCTTGTGTCGTTGATGTCTCGGAAGTGATTCTACTATGCTATGCATAGCTTCGAGCCACATCGAGAACATCAAGCCTACCTCGTCTTGGTCGAACACGAAGCACTCTGCTTGGTTGGCAAGAGCTTCATCGGCACTTTGAAGACTTGCTTGCTGTAGTTGATGGAGCCAACATATGGCCGCATAGCGGTATGAAGCATCATAATAGGCTGGACCGGTAGTAACATACCCGTAGTCTGGGGGACCTGCATCACAGATGGTGAGACAGTTCGAGGCCAGCATGCCGTGTCCAGATACTGGGTCAAACTCTGGCTGAGTCTTCAAGAAGTCTTGAATAGACTGGTGGCTGAAGTGAAAAGTCTTTGGGCCGGCTGTCGTGTCGTCGAAGTCCACCAGGTTCATGGAAAGTCGAACGAGGTCTGACGGTGTCAGTGGGGGGGCATCCAAACTCCGACTAAGCAAAACCACGAAGCTGTCGGCTATCAATGGCTCCTGGCCGTATAACAGCCAAGCAAAGATGGACATCGCAATTTTGCATGCGGCCGATCCAGACTCCTTGATGCGTTGGAACGCAGTCGCATAGAGTTCATCGAGTGTCGTGGTGGATGATTGGGACATGGCAGTGAGCAGATCTTGTTCATGAGCAAGTCGGCAGAAGTTGGCGATTTGCATCTTCACCCACATGAACATCTCGCCCGCTCCCGCTAAGAGATTTAAAACAACGCGGTCTTGCAAGTCAGCGCCGCAGTGCCCTTTGAGTAGCCTCTTCTCCGTAACCACGGTCGCCACGCTCATGCGGGTGTAGCGCTCCACGTCAGCACCGTTTTCGCGTCGAGAGACTCGCAACAGCGTTGGTCGATCAAGCATTTCAAATATCGAAGAGTCGTCTCTCGTGCTTACGAAGATCTTGACCACATTCGCGGATTTTCGAACAATCTCATTCAACGTCTCAATCATAGCGTAGCGCATTTCCGAAGGAATCTCTTCGAGAGCGTCAATCACAATGGTGGCCGGATTGCCGTCAAGAGCTTCCAGGATCATAGCCAGGCATTCAGAATCACTCAGCGGAAGCACGTCCAATGGGGAGCCATCGATCTTGGCCTGAGCCTGCCGGCGTTGGTAGCAGGACAGGATTGAAGATTGCACTGAATGCTGGGGTGTGATTGAGGTCATCAGTTGTCGCACTATGCTTCGGTACACGTCCACCGGGCTGCGCCTTGCCTGCTCTGATTCCGAGTCCGCACAATAGAAGTAGGCTACCGGTGCCGCTTGCGTATGGGTTGCCCTCTGGTTCAAAAAAGCATCGATCACGACTGAGCAGAGATTCGTCTTGCCGCAGCCACGTATCCCACGTAGAACTAGTATCGAACTCGAGCTCGTGGACTTCCAGGAGCTATAGGTCGGATGTTGCAGAATCCACTCGCCTGAGTCTGACATTCTTGTTCGCCGGACAGTCTCGTGAGTGCGCATAAAAGGCACTGGGGAAACCCAAGCCAAGAGCTCGAAGAAATGTGCTTCTTCCACCTCCTTCTCGGAGACAGTTGCCAAATCGCAAAGCCTGACGAGGCTGCTTTCCATGGCTACAGCTCTTGCTGTATCATTCAGTGAAGCAAACTTCAGGACCTCGCCTTCTTTCGCATGTATCTTCTTGCGAAGCTCTTCATCCATCGTCCTGAACGGCGCTTTTAGCACGCGTTTCCCGGTGGACTCCTTGAAGTATCGAATATGGGAAGCCAGGGATTCCAAAGTCACTGCATAAAGCTCAGCAAGTGCAGCTTCGATATTTGGGGCGAGTGCAGAGGTTTTAGCCAAGTGGACCTTCTCGAACTCCTTGAAGCGCGCGAGTATCCTCGTTATCAACTCGAGATCTTCCACAATCCCCGCGTGCACTTCTGCGTCGTTAATACTGGACTGTAGCAGGAATCTAACAGCAGCCCAAGGTAACGATGCATGCGTGGGGTCGAACTGCACTGCGACATCGCCGACATCTCTGAATCGCTTCGTCCAGGCCGAGACTTTCTCTAGGACATCTCGAATAACGATCTCTTCGCCGCCAGGTCTGATCTTGACTTTCCATCGCCGTTTGTAAGATAGCTGACGTTTTTCTTCCACGGTCTGCAGAACGGCGGAGACGATGTCGTTCCTGCCGCTCCTTACGAGATTCAGCGTTGCTTTGATATCAGGGCTTAGCTGAGAGATGGCCTGTTGCCAGAGATCTGGGGCGGGGACACCTGCTGCAGCCATATTGATGGAACTCGCTGGGTAGCAGGAGATTTTAAACACGAAGCTGTGGTTAGCAGACGAAGCAGTATTGACATCTCAACGACGCCCTGGACTGCGGGACAGATGAGCTGGACACTCAATAGTATGAAACGCGACCGGTGAGCGCAGCCCCATCGGTTTTGAGGCTGTGATTTTGTGTCACCCAAAGATGCTGCTGTGCTCAACACATTTTGAGATCTCTCGCAGCAGTCACCCAGCTGTGTGCAGCTAGAGCCTTCCGACTTTCCCATTCAAAGAGCAGGAGCTATCACGACCAAGGAATCGGTCCAGCTGACAACATGCATCGCAAGCCTGCGAGAGCGCACCAGCACTCCGTCGACGTGGCCATACATGCGCTCTTAGGTTCAAATAAAAGTAGGGTGTCTTGGAGCATCGAGAATGTTGAAGGAAGGGGAAGAAAGCAGAACGGCGAAGCAAGTGCAGTCGACATAGCGGGATCTCCCGCTCTCTAGCACGAACTTTAATAATTGCAATATGGCTTGGGTCGCTTAGTCTTCGTGGCATACATAGGCCTTTTCGACGATAGCGACAGAGCCCTTAAGATGGCCCTAGTTACGGGGAGCAGACCGCTCAACACGAGGCTGAGCTGACGTGAAGAAGAGGGTGAGTACGCAGAAGACAGCAAATGCAATTCGCTCGCTAAGATCAGTACATAAATGTCCATGCTTACACGAATCAAAACTTTGTACTTCCCTCGTGCTCAATGCTGTGATATCCAACCGTTCATGTCGTTCAATGTTCGTTCCGTCTCTTTCCTTGTCGTTCGTTGTCAGTCATCCCTTCCGCTATGGCAGTCCCAAAGTCGTTCGTTGTAGGTGGCCGAGGCATCGAACCATTCCAGTAACAGTCTTTCAAGTTGTCTCCACAAAGCTCTCCTCAGCCTTGCAGCCTTATCCAAGTATACCATCCTCTTACTTCCCAGCCAACCACCCCAACTTCGACAGCCGAATCCTAGGTACAATGCCCACAAGCGTAACAACGCTCGCAACAACCACAGCCCACAACTGAATCTCCAACACATTCACATTGAACGTGGTATACGTCGCCGCACAGATCGTCGCCAGCATCACCAGGAGGGTAAGGTAGCCCCACACACGGTGGTACTTGTACAGAGCCTTCGCATTTTCCTCGCCTCCATACAGCGCTGGCGTGAAGTACTGCGTGACACCCACGAACGCCTGCAGCAGGACAAGGATGTATGTGACGAGACCGAGGATCGCGTGCGGGGATTCGAAGTGGATGCCGCCGTGGTCGAATTTGTTGTACTCGATGACGACGAGGCCGGCGATGGCGGAGAGGAGGGCGACGTCGTTGAGGGCGGCGTGCACGTAGGTGCCTTGTTTCTTTTGCTTGCGGGTGTGGGTGGGCTGGACGATGAGGATGCCTTGGATAAAGAAGAGGAAGGCGGCGGAGTTGAGGAGCTATGGCGTGTCAGCGATGCGGTTCGCAGAATGAGCCTTGACTTAGTTGTTGGGGACTCACAGGATGGGCGGAGAAGAGCATTAGGTCATTCGAGAAGACTGCTCCCCAGACGATTGCTGCGATCTGTATGGCGTGTCAGCTTGGCAGTGGTATGCTTTCAAGAGAATGTCCATACAATCCATGCTCCAGCCTGTGCAATCACACCAGTGCCTGCAACAAGTATCAGCAACGCTATCCCACCGCCTCAGCTCGCATCTACCACTGCTCACCCAAAATGAAGTTGTAGTACAGCGGCTTGCCCTCCGGCAAACTCGCATCTCCTCTCCCACCAAGCAAAGGCTCCTCCTCACTCGTCCCCGGGACACGCTGCTCTTCCTCGTTCGACATGTTGCCAACCTCTTTCTAATGACAACAATCCAAGATCTTTCCTCTCGTCTTGGTGTAAAGTTCAGCAAGTCCGATCAGATAGCCAACATCAGATAAAGGCGAAGACAGACCGCCAGGTGAGTTCAAGAAGCAACGAAACAAGGACAAGCAAAGTAGGTGTAATAGACCCCAAGCTTATTAGGTACTCACAGGACGGGACGTTCCCACAGATTTATCATCACACTGGCCCTGCCCGATGTGCTGGAGGAAGCGGGGCTTTCCCTCATCCCAACTTCGTTGCTTGCTCCTCTCGATGCTCGACGACGTCGTCGACATGCTTCCCATCGCACCATCCGTTTGGGCGGTAGCGTCATGAACAGCTAGCTGTTGACCTATCAGATGCGTTGGATTCATCATCCCCGGGGTGTTTGCTGACTGGGATCGGGGAAGTCGGATGCCGACTCGGCGATCTTGTGTTGTGTGAATGTGGGTTAATTAGGTGTCAATCAATTTTCAATCAAATGTTCAACGATGGGTATACTCGACAACACTCCATTCTATCACTTCCCTATTCTACTTGTATACGACGTCTATCCAATCTAAAACCCCTTTCCAACCATCACCGTCTCCCCACCACCCCCATACCACAAACTCCCCTTCCGAAACTCCAACCCCTTCTCCCGCCCAACAACCCACTCGCCTCCATCCCGAATCGCCCTATCTCCCTCCTTCGGCCAAAACTCCCGCAACCACTCGTTGATCTCCTCGATCCTCTCCACCAGCTTCTTCACTTTCTGACCGTCAACCTTCCCATCATGACCCTCCAAGTCCGCTGTCTGGATGAAACGCCCGATCGTGAGATGTGCTGTAGGAATTACGTATCGACTGGCGACTTTGACGCCTGTGTTGCTCGCTAGAGTGAAGAGGTCCCTGCGGAGGTGGTGGTATGTGTATTTGTCTTCCTCCTCGCTGCGGCCTGGCTCTGCGTCTGCGGGTAGCCAGGAGAGAGCGAGGGCCTGGGCGTCAAAGCTGACCATGGGCTTCACGAGTCGTGATCGATGGTTGAGGGTGTAGTTCGTGACTGTCTCCGCGTGGGGCAATATCTGGTTCACCAGGGCATCGATCTCCGGTGCCGTAAGACTGTGTGTGATCTCAAGAGCCGTCATGTGTAGACTGTTCTGAGGCATGGTCCAGAGGTTTGGCACGACCTCCTTGAGACGGCTTTGGACTTCTGCAATGAGGCTCTTGACCTGGCTCGTTGGCCTCGCCCAGAAGACGAGGCAGTGACGAGGATCCTTGTAATCTGGATACTGCTTGGGGTTCTCCAATTTCGCAAGAATCTCGTCAAGGGTCACTCCAGGGAAGTCGGGCGACAAGAGCTTGTCTTTTTGTTGAGCATTGCGGTTGGTACGGTGTGTGTCGTATCTTGCTTGGATCTTAGCCTGGAAAGATGTCAGCTATACCATTCCTTGGTATCATTGTACAACTGACCGGCTCATTATCGCAAGACTCAATCAAATCATGATACGGATTGTCAGTCTTGACTCCGTTCCCTGTCGAGCCAGAGAGGTCCTCAAAGGTGTAGTATGCGGCCATCTTGACTTCTCAGCTCAAGGTCCTCAACGAGTACGTTAGCACTGCACTTGCAATGATCCTCTGCTCTCTTCGAAGACCCCTCATCGTGAGTCAAAGAGCAATGTCGGATCCGAGAGATCCAGGATGCCCACACCGACTGCCCCGGCTCCACCCTCCAGTGTGGTATTTGTGCAACTGCAACTGAACAGTCATCCAGGTGCTCGTGGTAGGCTTACCTGAGTGCCAAGCTGTTGCCGTGAGGAAGATGGTGTTGAGCGTAGAGAAAACAAAAATGGTGCCCCCACCGTTCGTGTTGAAGACAAGCAGCACTTTGGCTTAAACGGCTGGCGCGAACTGAAACATGGCTTGCAGTTGTGGAGGGGGCAGAGAAAGTGAAAGTGTGAGATCATACTTTGCGTTCAAGGCCTTGATGAAAATGTACCGCCTCTCAGTACATGCACTACGATCAGGATGACGAGAAAACGCCCAAAGCAACAGCACGCCGTAACAACCCCGTGATACCACTCGTAGGCCGGCCTGGAGCACTCCTTCTTTTCGTGCCCGTCCTTGGCCTCCGCCGTATGCGCATGCATCATAGCATCTATCACTAAGGAAGAAGCATCTATTGAGCGGCTGGCTCGTCCTCGCCGACCAAGGCCTGTCTCTTGGCCTGGACACGCTCCTGTCTCCGCTCGCGGGCAGCCTTGGTCTTCGCACGCTTGGCGTCCATCTCTGCCTTCAGTCTCTCCTCACGCTGCTTCTCGGCCTTGGCCTTGTGGATCTGTAGGAATTATGTAAGTATGTTGAACGTGCGGCAAGTCATGTGATGTCATGGTGACTGATGGAGTACTTACGTGCTCAACAAGGGCACGCTTGTGCTTGAAGGTGTTACCCTTGCTCAGGTGGTAGAGCTCGTGGTAGAGGTGCTTGTCGATCTTGCCAGCGGCGCGGTACTTGACGAGCAGGCGGCGGAGGACACGCAGACGACGCATCCACATGACCTGACTGTATCCAACGTATCAGCATATCGTTTCGGAATGAACGCCGTTGCCATCTCCATCGCATCTCCTCGCCAGTATAACATTTCTCTCCCACTTCCCACCCATCCAAATCCGCCTCTTCCGTTCAAAGCACAAGTGCACACTTACGTTGGCATTCTCGCATCAGCGGTACCCTTTCTCTTACCGAAACCACGGTGACGTCCAATGCGGCGAGCAGCGGTCAACTCCCTGGCGCGGGCACGCGAGTGCATGGTGACGGGCTTGCGGATAATGAGGCCATCGGCAATGAGCTTGCGGATGGTCTGGCGGGAGTTGGCGTTGGAGATCTCGTTGACCTCGTTGGGGTCGAGCCAGATCTTGCGCTTGCCGCAGTCGGCGACAGAGGCCGCGAGGCGCTTCTGGGTGCGGAGGTTGACCCTACAGTCACGCAGTGGTTAGCGATTGTCGTGTGTGTAGGCGTGCACACGTCGGTGAGGGGTTCGGGGAGCCCTCGAGGTGTTTCGAGAGGTCGTGGAAACGCCATATGCGCAGTCGAAGGGGTTCTCTGGGGTGTCACATACATCTTGTCGGTTTTGGGCGATGGTCGTGAGTGGTTGCGATACAGCGGTCGCTGGGCGGAAAGGTCGTCGTTCGGGCTGGCTTCAATCAAAATCGGTGGCCTGCCAAGAATCCCCTCAAATGTGCGCTAAACTTATGACAGCTTAGCGTTCACGTGATCTCGACTTCACGTCTTCAAAATTCTTGAAGTGATGAAGTACAGCCTTTCTAATATGAGGTCTGATAAAAGAATATTTCAGGTTGGCTTTGGCAATTATTGTCATTCGAAATACTCATACCACGTCCACTGGTTTGCTCTTTGCAGACCGAAATTTCGATGATTCAAAACGACTCACTTCGCACACGTGATGTGGACGAACAAGGACGATGACTCAACTACTCTCTTACCTGGGTACTAGCTGTCTACCTAATCTGTGGCGGAGGATGAAGCACCTTCTGCCTCTCAAACATCCTCTCAAGAACCACCATCCACCTCCTCGGCCGATCCCCAAGATCTCGTCCAGGATTCTTGAAAAGCTTGCCCATGACCTCCCTCAACTTGGTTCTCAAAGTCTTCAAGACAATCATTGTCCTCCAATCACGGACCTTGAGTCTCAGACGGTTTCCGTCAATGATGATGACGCCTGCGTACATGTGGAATGCCGCTTCTCCACTCAATAAAAGTAGGGGTATCTCCTGAACCGGGGATGTCTCCTGCGCATTGGTGAAGCGAGAAGAACTCTGCATGATGCTGTAGAATGACAGGTATTTGACGTCGGGTGACAACGAGTACTTGTTGACGGATGTTGGATGCAGACCAAGAGATTGATTGTTGGCGATGTTACGCCAGCCTTTGCCGTCTTGCTTGATGATCTTGGGGTAGAAAGACCATGCGATGACCGACGTTGCGACTGTGTCGTTATCGTCGGCCTTGGCATACTGTGATGGAAGAGCGACAAAGTTCCGATGCCTCTGATTGTAACGCATTCGTGAAAGGGCTGTCTTTTCTTCAGGGCCGAGGTGAACGAAGCCAGCATCGACAAGGGATGAGAGTAGCTGGGCTTTGAGATCCTCAATGTTGCCGAGATTCTGCGGGCTCAGGAAGTTCTTGTTGCAGAATGGATATTCCGACAACCCAGGTGTCGTGCATACCTTACGCCAAGCGCAGTAAGCATTGTAGACAGTCAGCAGATCGGAGTCTCCTCGCTTGAACCCCAGTCGCACCGTATCTGCCTGTTTCTTCGCGTGCATAGGGTTCAGAAATGGTGACTTCGAAGAGAGCGTTGCCGCTGCAGTGAGTACAAAGTCTAGGCAGCCAAAGTTGCTTCCAAGCAAGATCAACTTTCCCAGCTGCGCATCAAGAGGCAGTTTTGCCAACTGGTTGCCCAAAGAAGTCAACTCTTCCTTCTCCGTCAAAGCACCAACTTCTACAAGAGCGTCGATAGCTCGTCGAATGTTGCGAGCTGAAGGCGGGTCCAGTGCTTCCGAGAGGGCCTGCTCAATGTTCCCAAGCTTGCAAATCTTGACTCTCATGACGAGATCTTGTAGCGACAACCTCAGCATCTCTGGCGTCTGCTGTTCAACCATGAGATGGTCATGTCGGTGTTTCGTGAAAAGGTGGAAGCACAAGCCCTCTTGCACACGCCCAGCACGCCCTCGGCGCTGCTTTGCATTCGCTCTTGCAACGAAGCTCTGGATGAGTCGTGACATTTGCCGCCTCTCATCGAATCGCATCTCTTTGTGTTTGCCGGTGTCGATGACGCATGTCACATCTGGTATTGTGATACCCGTCTCGGCAATGTTCGTGGCAAGTACAATCTTGCGCACGCCCGGAGGTGGTATCTCAAAAGCTGCTTGTTGATCTTCGCTGGAGAATGTTGAGTGAAGCGGGTGCAATTGCCATCCTTTCTGGAATTTTGGGTGGCCAGCGATCATATCATTGAGTTGACGGATTTCTGCGATGCCAGGCAAGAAGATCAAGATGGCCTTGCCGAAGTCTTTGAGCTGGGGCTGGGTGGCGACTTTGTCGAGCAGTTTCACGATCAGACTGTAATCAATGCGGTATTCGTCGTAGTTCAACAGTGTGTTCTGCGTCTTCTTGTTGTAACCTTGCAATTGTTGCTGGCCGGTGTTTGACAGCTGGGATTCGTCTTCTGCACTATCCTCGTCAACCGCATTTTGCGATGCATCTTCATTCGTGTGGCCCGTAAGCTCGATTGCGTCTTCGAGGAATTTTGCGGTGACCGGGAACGTCCGTCCTGGCACATTGATGATTGGCGCTCCCTGAAGATATTGTGAAAAGCGTTGTGCGTCGACTGTTGCGCTCATCAAAACCACCTTCAAGTCAGGTCGGCTATGCATGAGCGATTTCAATACGATGAGCAAGAAGTCGGTATCAATGCTTCTCTCGTGGACCTCGTCAATGACCAGGTGAGTGATGTCGCTTAGGCCGTCGCTGTTCTCCAACATTCGCAAGACAATGCCAACGGTGGCATACACGAGCCGCGTCTGGGCAACTGTTTGAGACTCCAAGCGGATGGCGTATCCAACAAGAGAGCGACTGGTACCAACATCGCCCTTTCTCTCGCCCATCTCCTCGCTCACTCTTTGCGCTAGGGAGATGGCTGAGATTCTTCGAGGCTCAGTGCAGTAGATTTTACATTGTCGGCCATTCGATAGCTCATGCTCCAATATAAACGCCGGTAATTGCGTCGACTTGCCGCAGCCGGTCTCGCCGCAAAGGATGGTGACTTGGTTTCTCTGGATGGTGTCTAATGCAGCAGCCCGGAAGTGAAACATTGGCAAGTTCATTCGAGCAACAAGCATATGCTGATAGCTCGGACTCGCAACCTTCTGTAGCCACGTCTGCTGTAGTTCCTCGGAGAAATTGACGCCGCCTGGTTTAGGCGTGCCTGTTCGCGAGACTGGTGTGGCAGCCCCACTGGCACCATCGAGGCGTCTGCGACTGCTGATATTGAACACGACCTCGTCGTCGTCATCGTCATCGGAATTGCGGTTTGCCTCAACAAGCTGTCTCACTTCCTTGACCACGGTACCATCCACAGCGAGTAAATGTCCTTGCTTCATACGAGCACACTCATCCCAGAGGTCGCGAAAAGTTGGTGGCAGCCTGAGATGCGCTTTTTCTTCCTTCGGTGACCCAGAGAAGATCAGAAAGAGGGCGACTGTGGCGACGAAGGCTTCACTTTGAGCGACGTCTGGCGTCGCCATTGTGGTGGCGGTAACCGTCAGGCTACTAGCTTTTTGGGTGACGGAAACAGCTTGTAGATAGTCGCTTTCGATCGGCTCTTGTTCTTTGGACCACTGCACGGAGACTGAGTGGCGGCATGCGTAAGTGGTTGGCGATACCATCTTGTATTGTAGCTTGCAACGTGAATCTCGGGCCTTGCACGCTTCTTCTAGAACACGCTTCGGATTCATGCCGGTGAGTCTGCCGAAATCTCTGATCGTAACGTTGCTGTCTGAAGTGCTAGTACCATCGGCTGCTTGATTGACGCCTGGCAGAGCATCAAACATGCCACTGAGTAAGTCGCCATCTTCAGCGGACTCATTAAGAAGCTCTTGCCCTAGGCGCTCGGCTTTGTCGTTCACGTCATCTTCCTTTTCAATAGGTGTGGATGATCGTACAGAACCGGGTGCGTCGTCGTGTTGTTGAAGCTGTAGCTTTCTCCTCTCCGCGGCATCACGCGCCAGGTCGATCTTCATTCCAGCCCAGTGTGCATCCGCTTGTCGTTTGTCGAAGAGAACATCAGACTCTATTTTCGAGAGCTTTTGTCTCAATCTCTGGACGCTCTTACTCGCAGGCTGCACGGAAGTTCTCGCTGCCTTTGACGCCTTCGATTTGCTTGCACTACCCTGCTCTGCATTGGGGTCGAGTTCATAGAGTTTTGCCCTCGTGCGCAGATGGACAGACAGCAGTTCGTCCGGCTCAAGGTCACTCTCGACATCGCTGACTTCGATCTCATCCTGGTCTGCAGTCTCGAGGTCTTCGTCACTTTTTGATATTGGAGAATCGTGTTTCTTCGCAGTCTGCTCAATGTCGGTAGCTGGTGTCTCCTCTGCGTCGACATTCGTGGAGACCAAGGCCTTCGGCTTCTGATAGTCGTACTCCTCGAGCTCCTCCGGACCACAGTTCAAGGCAAGCCAATCTAGACACTCATCGAGACCCCAGACCGAACTAGAGGGCGATTCTGCTGGTGGATGCGACACAATCCACCCCAGCACCTCGTTCACCCGAGCCGAAGGAAGAGTGAGATCAAAGAGACATTGGCGCAGCTGCCATACCTTTGCTATTAGGTCATCCCCTAAAGGTAGCTTACTCTTCTTGACAGAGTCAAGATCTCGACGTAGGTCATCATGGATCAAATCCAGGATCTGCTGCATCAGCTCGTCAGGGAGCCAGTCCTTCACTGACAGGTAATCGGCCTGGCCTCGAAGCAGCCGCTTGTCGGTCTGCAGTCGAGTGACTTGACGGGTAGCATCCTTCTTCACCTTGGGGCCATGACGCTCTACAAACTGCTGGAGCTCGGAAGCCTCGAGTTGAGCCTCGAATTCTTCCGGCGACAGTTCTTGCAAGCTCTTCGCCTCGGTATTGGGGACTTCCGGTTGAGATTCCTGGGTGACAGTGGGAGTTGTGTTCTTCTCTGCTGGAGTGGCTGTCCCTGAGGAGGCATTTGTCGAGGCGGCTTGGGAGACAGTCTCTGGTTTCGGCTTGGAAGCGACAGAGGTCGTGGCGAAGCCTCTCGCTGGGTTGGCGGCTGGCTTCTTCTTCTTGGCCATACTGATATGAACAGATCGGGGTTGATGAAGATTGATGAGAAAAAAGTCGGGGATTCGATAGTGCTCGCGTGTGACTGCTGTCTTTCGCGCTGCCTGTGACGCCAGCCGACTCGGCTTTTTGTGGGGGAATTTTGGCTCTGAGAACAGCACCGCACGTCGAGAAACACAACACCGCACACTCGGCGCATTGGGACTTGGTGAATGAGTCAAAGAGCATCATCGCGGTTGCATACATCGCATGACTCTCACCACCAGATGCTGCCGCACGTGAAGCACTCTTCAGCTGCTCCCTCCTCCACCACCACACTGCCCGCTGGGCTTCACTAAGACATGGCGGAGCGAATAGCAGAGGTCACGCTGCCCAATGGCGACGACCACGCCTTCGACATCTGGACCGTCCGCCAGACACTGCTCTCAAACTCGACGAAGTTGCGCACTTCCGAGCTCCATAGCATCCACGAAAAGCTCGTGAGTCGAGGTAGGTGTAAGACTTTCCTCCCGCTCGAGGGCGCATCCACCGCAGTACTGACCTATCTATTCGCGCAGAGATTCCATCTTCTCGTATTGCTCCTCTTCTACACGCTCTTTTCGACACATATCCCCTCTACGTCGATACACGATCGCGCCAGGAAGTCGAGTTGTGTTTGTCTGCAATCGCGAGTGGTCCTGACGCTCCGAACTTCATACCTGGATTGGTCAAGGACATCGAGGATGAGACGAACAAGGCTGCGATTGCCCCTGCCAATGCATTCGTTCTGCTGAGATGGAGCTCGCTTCTGATCCAGCACGCTGCGCGAGAGAAAGAGCTGTGGGATTTGTGGGGAAAGACAACACTCAAGGCTCTGACCAACGCCCTAAACACGCTGTTCGCGTCTCAGCCCAAGGATAGCACACGGATAACAGCGTTGCGTGTCAGTCGGCGTGCGATACGCACCGTGCTGAAGTCCCCATTTGGCCCAGATGTGATTGGAGACTGCATATCGACCCTAGCAGCAAAAGCTACCTCTCCGATTCCGAAGAATGCGCTGCTCCTAGGAATCATTGCTGGAGTGTGTAGAAGAGTTCCCGGCCAGGATGGAGTGGTCGAGTCCAGGAAACCAGACTACTTCGCCTTTTATCTGAGAGAGATTCTGGGATCCAAGACTCAGTTGCCAGCGTACATCGCGACCGCCCTGCACGACTTCTTCGCTGCGTACGTGACGGCCGAGGACTTGAAGAAAGAGATCGCGCCTGCTGTCGAGAAAGCTTTGCTAAGAGCTCCAGAGGTCGTCCTGAACGATCTTGTCACGCCTGTCATTGTTGCGCTCCCCGTCGACCTGGACCTGTCGGAGGTGTTGGCCTCCCACTTTGTGAAGCCGCTGCTTGCCAACATTAAATCGACCAACGCCTCGATTCGAGAAGGTGCTGTGCGGACGTTCAAAGCTTTGGCAGCGCGGTCGCGAAACGAGAAGCTAGTCGAGAAGGCTGCTGATGAGGTCCTCACCCCGTTGAAGACGAACAAGGTCACTTCTGCCGATCAACGTGTGCTGCATGCCGAGATGCTCTCAAGCCTTACGCCCACCGCTGCACTGGCTTCGAAGGTACCTCAAGGTCTAATTCCAGTTGCGGCCAAAGAAAACAATGAACCCGCAGCTGCAGCAGAAATTGGCTGTATTGCGACATACGTGCGCTTTGCGCTGGAATCAGACCTCAAACTTGACAAAGTCATAATCGATGCATTCACCAAAGGCTTGGCAGAGAAGCGATTGCCCATGCGCCGAATCTGGGCCTTGCAGCTCGCATCTGGTATTTGGTCAGTGAGTGAAGAGACGCTCAACAACGAGAACACCACAGCCCTCTTCGATGCTTGCGTTGGAAATTTGATCGACTCTTTCAACGAAGTCGTGGCAAACCCTTTACCTGCCGCTCAGAATGGTCAAGTGTCAGTGGCGTACGGTGCGACTGCGCTGTGTCTCGCCAAGGCGCCAGGCATGCCATCCCTGAAGAACGCTCCTGTTGTCAAGAAGGCAGCCATTGCTGGCAAAGTTCTGGTGGCAGAGCCGAAGCCCTCATTCCTGCTGAATCCGCGTGTCTACACCAAATTGACGGCCGAGGATGACTTGCGGTGGTTCCTACATGCCGTCAAGTCTTCCTTTGCGTCCTTGAGCACGGAGAACGGTCAGGATTCACTCGCGATTGCATGGGCACAGACAATCATATACCTCATAAGTTCAACGACTGTGCCTCCCAGCGTGAGGAAAGAGGCGGTCGGCGCATTGAAATCCCTGTATGCTGCGACTCCTCTGCGTACTGCGCAGGTGGTCGTCAACGGTCTTTGGCAATGGTGCGAAGATCTTGAACTCGAGACCAAGGAAAGCACTGCCATTGCCTCAAAGTCAGGACGTGATGAGCTTCACAAAGTCGTTCGAGCTATTTGCTTGGACGCAGAGTCTGCCACGAGTCTTGGGGTCGCCTTGGACCGAGAAGGACTTGAACTGCAGCTAAGAGCATTGCTCGTGCTCTGCCGACCGCAGCTAATCCCAAAAGCCCCTTGGATCGAGTTGTGTATCCGCACTGGAGTCGATCCTGGCGGTCTCGCAGAGAAGTCATCCAGGGACTGTCTAGTTCGAGTGCTCGCCGTCACCGAGAATCCGATTTGGAGGCCACTGCCAGCCTTCCAATCCGCCGCCTGCAGTGCCGCTGCTGACCTTGCTTTTGTGGCGCCTGACGTTTTGACACCGCTAATCGTTGCCCAGATGACCATAGATCTCAATCCAGGTCAACTCGAAGACATTGGACCGACCGAAGCTGCAATATACCGTACTCCAGAGGGTACCGCGTTTGTTGATGTGCTATCGAAACAGCCTCAGGCAAGACAAATCAGCAAAGGCGACAAGGACTACGACACGCTCAAGTGGGAAGAAGAGCTGAGGGCTCAGATCGCTGCTAAGAAAGGCCAAACCAAGAAGCTCACCGCCGACGAGCAGTCAAAGGTCAACGCACAGTTAAAGAAGGAAGCAGAGATCAGGAGCACTGTAGCAGAGGTAGACGCACGTCTTCGACGAGGAATCGGCTTTATCACCGCGCTGGCAATAGGGCCTCCTACAGAAGCGGAAACATGGTTTGGCCCTGCAGTAAAACTGCTGTTCGATGTCATTCAAGCTGGGGCTGCACTCATTCTTGGTGATGCTGCTGCGCTGGGATACTTGCGTTGCGCAGAGAAGACCTCAACTCGTCTCGGCGCCATGCGTCCCTTCGTTGGAGTCGCTACCCTACGGTCCGCTGGAATCACGATCCTACCAGAGAACCTTCTCGCCGAGCCGTTGGGAGATCTAGTGACACGCATACTGTACAGAATCAGATCCCTTGGAGAGCAGCGGCCCTTTGACACGGTCACATTGAGCTACATCGTGGCTTTGGTCTTCCTCGTTCTCGAGAATGGAGGGATTGATCGGGCCTCAAGCGAAGATGTGGACGAACAAATCCTCCTCGCCATCGAGTTTCTCTCATTGCATACAGCCGTCTGCGCCGACACACGACTCCCTCGTCAGAAACTTCTGAGCACTCTCATTACCGCTATGCAAAAATACACTCAGCACTTCCGAGCTTTCAAGGACTGTTTTGCAGATCTATGTCGTCGTGTGGCTCCCAACATGAACACTGCAGAGACCAACACCGCAGTCAAGGGCGTCATTGTTCCGGACGTATCGGTGCGGAACGCTGTCCTGCAGGCCATCAGTGCAGAACTGGAGCTCGTGGATCGCGACTTCTACGAAGAGATATGGCTCGCTTGCCACGACGACGATGAAGAGAATGCAGAGATTGCGCACGAAATTTGGCAGGAGAATGAGCTCAAGATCACCGAGGAGGCAGCCGAACAGTGCTTGGTTTATCTTCAGTCAAGAGACTCCCAGCTGAGGAGAGCTGCTGCGCGAGCAATTGCAGCGGCCGTCAAAGAACATCCTTCTAAATTCACAGACGTGATGAAGAAGATACAGGCTGCATATTTTGAAGCAGCCAAGCCGAAGAAACCCGAACTCGACAGATATGGCATGCCAGTTAAGAAAGACATGTCCGACCCGTGGGAGGCGAGGCATGGATTCGCCCTGGCTTTCAAGGAATTGGCGCCGAGCTTCCCAACCGATCAACTACAACCGTTCCTGGAGTTTCTGATTCAAAACGGGCCCTTGAGCGACAGGAGCACCACTGTGAGAGACAGCATGGTCGAAGCCGCGACTACTATAGTATCGGTTCGTGGTGCAGATCAAGTCGAGCCGCTCATGAAGCTCTGCGAATCTACTCTGGGCAGCAGTAGCAATTCAGAGGCACAAGACCTCGTGAACGAAGCTGTTGTCATTCTGTACGGTGCACTCGCTAGACACTTGCCCAAGGGTGACCAGCGAATACCGAAGGTTGTCAACCGCCTGCTCGCTACGCTAAGCACGCCGTCTGAGTCTGTACAATATGCCGTAGCGCAATGTCTACCACCTTTGGTCCGCGCATCACTCGATCAGGCCGGCCAATACCTGCAGCAGATGATTGATGAGACTTTGCATGCAAAGAAGTACGCTGCTCGTCGCGGAGCAGCTTACGGCCTTGCAGGTATCGTGAAGGGCAGAGGCATATCGATCCTGGGAGAGACCCGCCTTCTATCCACCCTTCGAAGTGCCACTGAGAACAAGAAGGATCCGAACGAGCGCCAGGGAGCTTTCCTCGCCTTCGAGCTGCTATCACTGCTACTGGGACGTCTTTTCGAGCCATACGTCATTCAGATTGTACCTCAAATTCTTTCTGGATTCGGTGACTCCAGTACGGATGTGAGAGAGGCTTGCCTTGACGCTGCAAAGACATGCTTTGCTACTCTCAGTTCGTACGGAGTCAAGTTGGTTCTGCCACAGCTACTGGAGGGCCTGGAAGAGCAACAATGGCGAAGCAAGAAAGGTGCCTGCGACTCTTTGGGAGCAATGGCTTATCTCGACCCCCAGCAACTTGCAGTATCGCTCCCAGACATCATTCCGCCCCTCACGGATGTCCTAAACGACAGTCACAAGGAAGTGCGAGCATCTGCCAATCGAAGCTTGCAGCGCTTTGGAGAAGTGATTAGCAACCCAGAAGTCAAGAGCCAGGTCAACATTCTACTGAAGGCCTTGAGCGACCCCACCAAATACACCGACGACGCACTTGATGCTCTGATCAAAGTCAGCTTCATCCACTACCTCGATGCTCCATCTTTGGCTTTGGTGGTTCGCATTCTCGAACGTGGCTTGAGCGATCGATCAGCGACCAAGCGAAAAGCCTCTCAAATTATCGGCAGCCTGGCGCATCTTACAGAGAAGAAAGATCTCATTGCGCATCTTCCGATCTTGGTAGCTGGTCTGAGGGTGGCGGTCGTCGATCCTGTCCCGGCAACTCGTGCCACCGCTTCCAAGGCACTTGGTTCGACGATCGAGAAACTCGGCGAAGACGCTCTTCCTGATCTCATCCCAAGCTTGATGTCTACTCTCAAAGCTGACGCTGGTGCCGGTGATCGTCTTGGATCCGCTCAAGCACTCTCCGAAGTGCTTGCTGGTCTTGGTACCAGCCGACTCGAGGAGACTCTGCCAACTATTCTGCAAAACGTTTCGAGTTCAAAAGCTTCCGTCCGCGAGGGCTTCATGTCTCTCTTCATCTTCTTGCCCGCTTGCTTCGGAAACAGTTTCTCGAATTACCTTGCCAAGATCATTCCACCCATCCTGGCAGGTCTCGCAGACGACGTGGAATCTATCAGAGATACTGCTCTTCGTGCAGGACGCCTGCTTGTCAAGAACTTCTCCGCACGCTCGGTCGACCTCTTGCTGCCCGAATTGGAGCGTGGTCTCGCCGATGACAGCTACCGTATCCGTCTCAGCTCCGTTGAGCTCGTGGGAGATCTGCTGTTCAACCTTACTGGTATCAGTGGCAAAGCTGAAGCTGAAGATCTGGAAGAGGGCGCCAACGAAGCCGGACAATCCCTTATTGAAGCTCTTGGTGAAGAGAAACGCAACAGGGTGCTCTCGGCTCTGTACATCTGTCGCTGTGATACTTCTGGCCTTGTTCGCTCGTCTGCTATGGGTGTCTGGAAGGCACTTGTCTCATCGCCACGGACCCTGCGCGAGCTCATCCCAACTCTTACGCAATTGCTCATTCGGAGATTGGCTAGCTCGAACATGGAGCAGAAGGTCATTGCCGGTAATGCTCTCGGCGAACTTATTAGGAAAGCTGGAGAAGGCGTGCTTGCAACGCTTCTGCCCACACTCGAGGAGGGACTGCAGACCTCTACGGATACAGATGCCAGGCAAGGTATTTGCATTGCCTTGCGCGAATTGATCACTTCTGCCGCGCCAGACTCGCTAGAGGATTACGAGAAGACGTTGATCTCGATCGTGCGGATCGCTCTGGTTGACTCAAATGAGGATGTCAGAGAGGCTGCAGCAGAGGCTTTCGACGCATTGCAGAGAATTCTGGGCAAGCGCGCTGTCGATCAAGTGCTACCTCACCTACTCAACCTTTTGCGTTCCGAGGAAGACAAGGACAATGCTCTGTCGGCTCTGTTGACCCTTCTGACAGAGGCAACGCGGTCGAACATCATCTTGCCAAACCTGCTCCCAACGCTGCTTACTTCGCCAATATCAGGCTTCAACGCAAAGGCTCTGGCCTCGCTCGCAGAGGTGGCCAGCTCCTCTATGACGAGAAGACTACCCAACATCCTCAATGCGCTCATGGACAACATTGTGGTCTGCAAAGACCCAGAACTCAAGTCAGATCTCGACAGCGCGTTCGACACCATCTTGCTGTCTGTCGATGAATACGATGGGCTGAACACTATGATGAGCGCAATGCTCACTCTTGCTAAGCACGATGACCACCGCCGTCGTGCTGCAGCAGACCTTCATCTTGCCAAGTTCTTCGAAGCCACGGATGTCGATTTCTCGCGCTACTACCCTGATCTCATTCGCGCACTGCTCATCGCGTTCGATGATCGTGACGCAGAAGTGGTCAAGGCTGCTTGGACGGCATTGAATGCTCTCATGCAGAAGCTTAGAAAGGAAGAGATGGAGTCGTTGGTCATATCAACGAAACAGACTTTGAACCAAGTCGGCGTTGCTGGCCACGCATTGCCTGGATTCTCACTGCCGAAGGGCATCAACGCTATCCTGCCGATATTCCTGCAGGGTTTGATGAATGGTTCTGCAGAGCAGCGGACTCAGGCTGCCCTTGCTTTGTCTGACTTGATCGATCGCACCAGTGCTGAGAGCTTGAAACCGTTCGTGACGCAGATTACTGGTCCGCTCATTCGTGTGGTTTCTGAGCGATCCACGGAGCTCAAGGCGGCGATTCTTCTGACGTTGAACAACTTGCTGGAGAAGATTCCGACATTCTTGAAGCCGTTCTTGCCACAACTCCAGCGCACTTTCGCCAAATCGCTTGCCGATCCTTCGAGCGAGGTCCTGCGAACCAGGGCTGCTCGTGCGCTTGGTACGCTCATTACCATGACGCCTCGAATTGATCCCTTGATTGCTGAGCTGGTCACTGGATCGAAGACGAGTGATTCAGGTGTCAGAAATGCGATGTTGAAGGCACTATATGAGGTTGTGAGCAAGGCAGGCGCCAACATGAACGACGTGTCGAGGAGCTCCATTTTGGGTCTCATCGATTCGGAATCTGGAGAGAGTGACGACTCGTTGAACATCACCTTTGCCAAGTTGCTTGGTGCGCTCATCAAAGTGTTACCAGCAGATGCTGCCACACAACTGATCAAGGGCCGTGTCTTGACCAAGGACTTCAGCCACTCATCTGTCTTGGCACTTAATGCCGTCCTGGTCGAGGCACCCGAGACTCTAACGGATCACCTTGACGAGATCACACGTTCGTTGATCGTACAAGGCATCGGCAGCAGTCAGCCTTTCATTGCGGACAATGCTGTGCTGGCATCAGGGAAGTACCTTCTCACCGAGACAGGCAACAAGAGCTTTGAGGCCACCAAACCTATCCTCGAAGCACTCGCGGCCGTGATACCTGCGGGTAAACCAGTCGACACTCGCCGTCTCGCTCTTGTGGTCATTCGAACCGTCAGCCGCGAGAACAAAGAGCTCATCCGCCCACACCTGAACATCCTCGTCCTACCGATCTTCCGGAGTGTACGAGACCCGGTCATCCCCGTCAAGCTCTCTGCTGAAGCAGCGTTCTTGTCGATTTTCCAGGTCGTGGAGGAAGAAGGTGCGGTCTTTGAGAAGTACATGCAAGGCCCTGGAGCCAGCCTTGGGCCGGGCGATAAGAGAAGCATACAAGAGTACTTCAAGCGTATTGCTTTGCGACTCAGCACCCAGGCCAAGGAGAGGAAGGAGGCTGAAGGTGGCGCCGGCGGACTTGGTCTCACTAGCGATGAGAAGGAGGATGAGAGGGAAGTGTGGTCGATTGGAAAGGTCGATCTGGGTGAGGGTGGATTCTCAGACGATTGAGAGGCTTTCACGTAGACAATCGTGAGTAGAAATGTGAGTCCATTTACTCTGCCTATAGGCTGCTTCTGCTGTCGTTCCCCGTTGCACAGGCCTAAGACTTCTCGATCGCCACTGCAACCTGCTGGCTCTGCGTCTGCACATCAGTAACATAGCTCCCAAACTGCCTCGCAGGCACCCTCTTCCTAAACATCTCATCCAACTCTTCATAACTGCGGTTTGCAGTTTCTGGTTGGAAAAAGAAAAGAAACGCAATACACGGCACACAAAGTCCTCCAAAAACAAACCCCACCGTCCCTCCCATATCCGCCTCACCCGGATTAAACATATACGGCAACACAAATGCCCACATCAAACTGAAAGAATTCGAAACCGCCAGCCCAATCGCTATCGTCTTCACCCTCAACCGCGCCGCCGCCGTCTCCGTCAAACACGTATACGCCGTCGCGCCGATGCTCACGTTGTAGCCCCAGCAGTATACCAGGATCATGGCGATGCGGCCTTTGAGTTGCGCGGTGGTTCCGCCGACTGCGAGGCCGCCCATGATCCAGAGGACGAGGGTGAGGCCGATGGTGCCGTAGAGGGTTAGGGAGCGGCGGCCGAGTTTGTCGACGAGGTACCACCTAAAGAGAGGGGGCGGAGGTCAGTATGTCTCAAACTTGAGAGATTCTTCTCGGAAAGGAGGCTCAGCTCGATGCAGCCAGCAATGCTGTTGATGGCATAGACTGCCTGACATTGGGCGAGAGCCTTCCATCCTTTGATTTGACTCACGAGATCACGTTGCCGAACATGGAGAGGACTTGTTGGATGATTTGGAGTTTGAAGGACATGGAGGTTGAGTAGCCGGCGACTTGGGCGTAGTAGGTTGAATAGGAGGCTGCGAAGTTTATGCCGGTGAACTGTTGGATCAAGAGGGGAGCGAAGGAGACGATGGTCCTTCGGAGATTAGACTTGCGGAAGCATTCGAGGTAGGTGACGCCTTCGGTTTCTTGTCTGACTTCTTCGAGGGTGAAGCTAATGTGTGCGAGGGCTTTTACATCATCGCCGGATGCAGATCTGTAGCCGAGTCTTTGGAGGCTTCGAAGGGCTTTTTCTTCGCGTCCCTTGCTGGCGAGCCACCTGCAAAGGTGTCAGTATTTGTACCGGTGGCTTGGACGGACTGTCGAAAGGGGGGATACCACGGGGATTCTGGCATGAACTAGATGAACATCGCCGCGACGGCGGCAAAGCCGTATTGAGAGCAGAAGATGGCACGGTAGGCCCATCGGTTAGTGTACGACCCAGTGCTATTGATGATCAAGGCGACAGTGAACGGCCCGACGGTATATGCCAAAGCAATGGCACAAGTCATCAATCCACGCAACGCCAATGGTACGATCTCGCCGATGTATGTTCCTGCGCACGCTTGGATCGTGCCGACCGCGAAGCCATTGAGGAACTTGCCCCCGAAGAAGAGCTCGTTGGTCGTAGCGACAAACTCCATCGTGACAGCACCGAAGGATACGACAAGAGCACCAATGATAGCGTTTCTGCGGCCGATCCAGTCTGCAACCTGGCCTCCAAACAGAGCCCCAATGACCTGAGACGCAACAGTGGCTCCGTTGAATGCAGACTGCCACTTGGAATCAAGCACATAGTTTCCGTCGTAGAAGTTCCCGAAATCTTTTCGAAACTCTGGAATCGAGAGGATGGAACCGGAGGCCTGGTTCTCGAACGAGACGAGGAGAACGGTCCAGACGGCGTAGAGGCACCAGATGAAGGCCCAGGGTTGCTTCTTGATGGCTTGCCATTTGCTTGTCTCGTGCTCTTCTTGGTTCGCGATTGCGGCGAGGTCTTGGTGGTGTTCTTTGTGAAGGATCTCGGGGTTCTTCTCTTCGATCGACATCTTGAGAAGTGGGACTTGAGGGGCCAATGGTTGGAAAAGAGAAAAAAATGGCAAGGTGTCTAGGCCCTTAGGAATGCTACGAAGTTGGAACGAGGCACAACCTGGAATATATCTTGACCACCCGGGGTATGAACGACCCGACGACGAATACCAACTGACTCAAACAATGCACCCCAACCTCCAGTACCTGACCCGAACATCGCATGTTCTCGCTATGGCAGTTCGCATCGGGATGGCCACGCGATCCTCCCCAGAGAACGCGCATGACCCCATGGGCACTCCACAGCCAGATCTGGCAACAGGAGACGCCGATGGCTTGGGGAAATGAAATCGTTTGTATGCAGAAGGCAGTTGGAAGCCTTTTACCAAGGTTATTGCGCGGCCGTTCACGGCAATATGTTCACCCACAACTACCGGTGCTGTGCCATTCGCTAGCTTGTGGTGGACTGGCTCCATCCTGCAAGGATATGCGGACCGTGAAGCCGGACGGTGTCGGCGAAAGGATCGTTTTTGGAGACATCATTTGTTGACTTATTAATAGATGTAATTTCAATATCCAAGGACTGAAACTTGACGGAAACAATACGACTCAACAATCCATCATGAAAGACCAATCGACATTCCGCTGCTGCGATGACAAAACCCGTGTCTTCATCGTCTCAGACATCTCGAACGAACCAGACGATGCCGAGTCACTTGTTCGATATCTGCTATACTGCAACGAGTTCGAGACCCGGGGATTAGTAGCCTGCACGTCGACATGGATGAAACGGGCAGTCCACCGGGGGGACATGCACAAGATCATTGATGCTTACGAGAAAATCGTTGACAATCTGAACAAGAATGTTCATCCGCATAACCAGTATCCTAGCGCCGAAAGCATCAGAGCTCTGGTCAAAACTGGACCGGTACTCTATGGCAAAGAGGCGCTGGAACCGGATGTGCCCCTGAGTGAAGGCGCGAAGCTGCTGATCGAACGACTGGATGAGTCGGATCGACCTCTTTGGATCCTCTGCTGGGGCGGCACCAACTTCCTGGCACAAGCCCTTCAACATGTTAGCAAGAATAGATCTCCTGAATAGAGCGCCCGTCTGCGATCCAAAATGCGGGTCTACGCCCTCTCAGATCAAGACGACACGGGGGCTTGGATTCGCCACCGGTATCCAGATATCTTCTACATTGCTAGCGTCCATGGCTGGAATCAGTACGGTTTAGCAGCTTGGACAGGCATCTCAGGCGACAAGTTCTATGGTTTTGATCAAGGCGGTCCTTCTTTCGAGAAGATGACGAAGGAGTGGATTAAGGAGAACATCCAGATTGGTTCTTTAGGGGCCGCTTATCCTGACTATCTGTTCATTCCGGAAGGGGACACGCCGAAGTTCCTATATCTTATACAGAATGGTCTTGGCAGTGCTGAACATCCGGAATGGGGTAGCTGGGGAGGACGATATCTCCCGTCGAATGCTGGTGTTGTCTCGAATCACTATGCCGATGCTGTTGATAGAGTTGTGGGGGCGGATGGATGTACGCATGTGAGCAATCAGGCTGCCGTCTGGCGATGGCGGGATGCGTTCCAAGACAGTTTCGCTGCACGAATACAGTGGATTTTGAGTGACGATAACTCAAACACCAACCACGCCCCCATCATCGTCGTCAACGGAAGCAGTCAAGGTCCTGAGCCTATATTTATCGAAGCCGAAGCCGACTCTGAAATCGACCTCGACACAACAGGGACATACGACCCCGACGGAGACGAGCTGACCTATCACTGGTTCCAGTACAAAGACATCACAGCAACGCAGTGGTGGGTCGACGCTGAAGTCCACGACGTAGCCTTCGTCGATCAAGATCCAAGCAAGCCTGGGACGAAAGTGAAAGTCAAGCTTCCACCGCCGGATAAGTGTGCTGTGGATATTTTTACCAGACAACCACAAGCTAAAGGCCAGATTCTGCATTTGATTTTGGAAGTCAAGTACAAGGGAAGTCCGCCTTTGACATCGTATAAGAGGGTTGTGGTGCAGGTTACGAATCCAAGGCTTTTAGGGGGCCAGGAGAAGCCGGCTGAGTCGATTGCTGAGGCGCATCGAGGTTGACCTCAGCCCGGAAGGTAGATGAATAGAGCAGTGAGGAAGTCAATGAAGGCAGCGCTCAGCTATGAAGTGACTAGAGTGATCAATTAGCTAGGCTTCAAATGAAGGATGCAGCGAAGGCCGATGAGATTTGATTGAGGATTTCAGTACAGATACAAATAAACTATGAGTGAAGATACAGGCGAGGTAACAAGGAAGCTTGATATGTTATCCGCTCGTTCGACTGTTTCCCCTTGTTTATACTCATATCTTCTCAACGATCTTAGGCCCAGACAGCCTCACGCGAGCTGCTGCGATAAAACAGGAGCCAGCAAACATAATGACTCCCGCAAAAATCTGCAACCCAGTGTACTTCCCATCCCAACGAGTAATCAACGCTCCTCCTATCGGATTGCTAATTAATGCTGCGATTGAAATCGTGGCGAAAAATGTACCCGTCCTGACACCGATCTTTCTCACATCTGATATCTGCGCAATCATTGAGGGCGCCAGGCTGACAAAAGCGCCACTGCCGAAGCCGTAGAGGGCAGCAAAGACGATTATGGGGGCGTTGGCTTTCGAGGGAATCCACATGGCCAGCACGATTACAGCCGAGAAGAAGCACATGATTATAGTCATGTTGAAACGACCAATCCTGTCTGCAACGTAGCCAGGGAGGACTCGACCGAAGAGTGAGGCTGCGTTGAGAATCGAGACGAGATATTGGGCGAGGTTCTCGCTCATGCCATATTCGACGGCTTCCGTGATAATGTAGTTGATCTACAATGGTTAGTCAACATCGATGGCTTGAGCAGGGTCGTACTTACAGGGATGAAAAGGCCCAGGAAGAACAAGAAGCTACCAAAGGCCGTCAGGTCGAAGGGAACCTCCTTCAGTGGTTCAATGAACGCCATGAGCTTGAATGGCGTCTTCCGGGGCGGCATCCTCGAGGTGATTGTCAGGTTCGCGATGATCATCAAGAACAGGATCAGGAACGCCGCGATCCGCATGCTCCAACCGAATCCAACGTCATCAATGAGCCGCTGAATCATGATTGGAAAAATGACTCCACCCAACGAACTTCCAGCAGCAACGATACCGAATGCAAAAGCCCTCTTCTTGTAGAACCATGTCGTGATCGAAGCCATGGCCGGGAAGAAGATCATGCAGACACCAATCGGAGAACATATTCCTTGTGCCAGGATGAATTGATAGTATTCCGTGCACAGCGAGGTCATCATGAGGCCGAAGACGTGTAGGAAGGTGCCTACAATGAGCAACCACCTGTGTCCATATCTGTCGAGGATAGCTCCAACGACCGGCCCCAGGAAGAAGTTCATAAACGTCTCCAAGCTGGGAATCCACGCGATTGTGCTAGGCGAGTACTCTGCCAATTGATGCGTTTGGTAGTAGTTCTGGAAGACGGCAATGGCGTTGATCCATCCGAAGGAGCAGAAGAGGGTGCAGAAGCCGCCGAGGTCTGGATTTTGTCTTGGGTCAAAGATTGCAGGTGGTGGAGCTGCGTTGGACGACTCAGGCTGAGCTCCGCCTTTCTCGATATCGCCTGGGTGGCCGGTCTGTTGTACCTCTGGAAGGATCGCGGATTTTGTCTGGGTCTTAATGGGGTCTGTGGAGGGCTTGAGGTCTTGTGCTAGTTCTTGTATCGTTCCATCGTGCTCTTTCTCGTCCGTGAAAGACGATACGTTGGAAAGCTGGCCTGGCGGCATGGTGAGTGTTGTTGATCGTGGGATGTATGGCGCTCTCTTGGCTGTCGAATTTGGGCATCCAGGAGAGATATACCACAAACAAGGTTATACCAACCAGGCACCACTTCTCCTAGTTTGTCGAAGCAGCGAGTCTCGCAGAATCGGTGTCTACTGGACCCCGAAAAGCCCGCAGCGGTCAAGCCACTTGATATGCAATGCGTGCACAATGGCTGCATTTCGTACAACGTGACCAATCATCGGCCGAATGCGCGGGTCGATCTCTTTGTACATCCTCAACACCCATCGCGCGAACAGCGTGTACGAGGAATGCACGACAACCCGTAGCAATGACATCTTACAGAATTGGAGCCTACGGCTTCAACGGTGGCTCCGTTATGAGCTTGATTAGGATTAAGTTGAGATAAAGGAGACCGGTAGTTGCGGACGACGGAGTCGCTTCCAGTGTCGAACAACCCATCACAGGTCCACCGGTTCGCCCGGTAAAACTTGTGGAAAGGCTGAAGCCACTTGAGTGACTAGAGCCTGCATATTGGATCAGCAGTTTCGTTGATTAATCATGTGAGGTGATGAAGTCTTGTTCGTGGGAGTTGTTGTTGTGCGAGCTTCCTGGGATTCGGACGAGCGACAGGATCATATCTCCGGGCCGAAGGCTGGCGGCAAGTGTTGAGCCGCTCGGCTTCCAATGTCCAAAACGTGCCCGATGCCGACAACAGCAACCAAAGCATGAGGGAACACCTAACTAAGTACATATGTCAAGCCAGACATCTCAAAAGATTATGCCCTGAGGCGGCAATCCGTTCCATGCAAACTGCTGAGGCGACATCATCATGGTAGGGTCGAATTGAGAGAAGCCATCTGCGGAACTGTCCTCGAATCGATCGAGGTTATCCATCATGCTGCCTGCAATAGAGTTGTTGTTCTCAACGGCGAAGTCGCCAACTGCCCCCAAGTCTAGCCAGCTGAACTGGTTGATCGAAGGCGGAGCCGCTTCCATTGGCACTGGCTCTGCGCTTCGATTTGGTACGCCTTGTCCGCCTGGTTGAGCGGTGCCAGGCCTCGTAATGTCGTTAGGTTCAGCGATACTTCCGCGACCGGGCGGCTTCCTCCACAGCAGCCGGATGAGGCGAGAGTAACGTTCTCCCACATCGTTGGGACAGGCACTCGATTTCTGAAGATTGTCCATCGTGTCGCTGATGAGACGCTTTACCGAACCTCTAGTATCACCACCCATCACACCCGTCGATCTCGCTTTATAGAGGAAGACGGCGGAATAGATGACATAAAGGTAGTATCGCAGAGGCATGAAGCGGAACGTCTCTTGAGGGTCGACGAAACTGCAGAAGGTACTCAGCAGAGCCTTGGCAGCATCAATGGCGTCGTAGATGAATCTCGCATCTGGCGTCGCTGCCACATCCGCGAAAGGATAGGCTGGAGCTCGGGCGGTCTGGCCATTGTCCATTGCCTCCTTCATCTTGTTAATCAGTCGATTCAGAGTAGCCTGATATGCAAATGCGTTGACGTAGAGCCGTAGGTATTCGTAGGAAAGGATCAGACTGGCCTTCAGTGGCGGCGAGCAGGTGAAGACGCCCCACGATTCGTTCCAGTGCCTTAAAGCTACGCGGAAGTCGTCGATATATTTCACATATTCGCCTCCAAAGTTGAGCTGATTTGAGCGACTTTTCGTGGCGTATAGCACGTCGTGGGCATTGCTGAAGAGCTGTGTGAGCTCCAAATTTGCTTGGTAAATGGCGGCAAAATCATCGTGGCGGTGAAGACGAGGCTGTAGACTAGGGAAGTCCTGGGCGCGTAAGGCTGTCATAGGGCCAGGACCACGAGACCAGAACGCCTTGCCTATCCTGACCGAGATCTGTCTGTCACTCATATAACAGCTGGCCCAGGCGAGTCGCTTCCTGTTGAGGTCTGCTGTCTGTGCCTCACTCTCTGCACGAAAGCCTGTCCGATCAATTCCAAGAAGGTATCCAAGGCGTATCGCGGTGCCCACGTACATCCAGGCTGCTTGATCTTCTTCACCACGTCCGATGGAGGGCGTCGAATGTGGTCGACGAGGCACCCATTCAGCTAGAATGAGCATTGCTTCGACTGCTTCTACAGAACCTGAACCACTGTAGACAAGGCTGGCGACTAAAGTCTGCATGTGCCAAGAGCAGGCGTCATGCACTTCCCACCAATCCTTCTCATCCTTGGAGGCGACTGTCAGGATTGCCGCCAGAAGGTGTGGCTCTTTCGCGGCGATCGTTGGGAGGTTGTTCGGGTCCATTGCTGCTGGGTTTGCCAGTGGAAAGAATGGATGATACTTCTCCTCGTACCTATATCGCGTGAGCGGCCTAATCCTAGGATAGGTCAAAATTGAATGCTCACCGGTACAACAATGCGTGGATCATCTCTAGACTCAGCTGTCCCTTATTGAAAGGAGGATAGTCAAGTCCACCATTTGGACTTGCCTGAGGTAACTGCGGTCCTCCATTTCCAGTTGCATTCAAACGATTCTCAGGTCTTCCATACACTGAGCTGTGCATTGGTGGCAACTGATTACCCCCAGAATCACGTTCAGCAACATGTGCCAGAAACTCCAAAGCATCAGCTGGGTTCTGAAGATCGGTAGAAGCCACAGTATCGTCTACGGTCATCTTAGCCGTCGGCGTAGCGGCTCCATCATGTGCCAAAGGCGGCAGAGTCCTAGAGTCGGGATCTCGCAGGCTGCTCCAGCTCGGTAAGCGTTGCTGGCGAAGGTTTGCATCGTGTTGGTCGCTTCGAGGAGGTGGGAGTGGTACTGGTCTGATGACACTGTCGATACCTGGAACTTGGCCGTTTCCTTGTTGATTTGCAGCGTCTGAAGTGGTCCTCTTTACACGTCTTCCACCACGACGAGACCCACCCAGAACGCATTCATGCTGTTCACGTATGCATCTCTCACAGGGTGGTCGTCCGGGCTCTCCACTACTGTATCTGTGAATCCGTGGGGTCAGCGGCAATCGACAGGCTGGACAAGGCTGTGTTGGAACGATTCTGCTGTGCCGCCAGAAAGCGATACAGCCAACAAGAAGGCTATTGCAGTGCTGTAGGCTGGCATACGCCTATCTTGGCCGTTGCGTCTCGCCTAGTCGGCTGTAGACGGTATTGTTTGTTGATGTTGATGGAGTGGTTAGAGGGAAAGTGCGACTCACAAATCACAGCGTGACTTCCTCTGTCGACAGTGCAGACAGGCTCGGTAGGTCCTCTTCTCTCGTTCACTCTTCTCCCGCGACTTGGTATGGCTGCCCGAGGCTGGTTTTGCATCACTCTCCGGCGAGCTGGCTTGATAGGCGTTCCCGTTGCCGTTGCTTGTCGCAGAGGCATCCATCGTCTCGTTACGCAACAGTGGAGCGCTGTACAAGGCGAGCCGACTGACGGCAAATGCAGAATGTTAAGGAAGCGGATGACGACGGAGCAAGCACGCAGCGTCTCCTCCCCCGCCCCCATGGAGAGGCCTAGGTCGATCGGCGTGGGATGAAGAAAATCACGCGACGACTCCGAGGAAACCTAAACTGCCCGCCTAACAACCACAGCCTTCCCGATATTAATGCGAGACCATCAGAGCTGGAGTGTTTGGGCTATCACCAATATTCCGGTAGCTGCTTTCTGATATTCATGTTATCTGACATTTCCTACATATAGAGTGGCGAGAGGTGAATGAAAACAGTTGGCGAAGCGAGATGAGCGGCTTCAGACGGCAATTGGCCGAGACAAAACCACCTCACCCTAGTCTGCTCTCCTTGAGAAGTTGGTCCATCATCCGTGCCTCATCCGTCGCTAGTCGATGTTCAGCGCCTGTGAGTTCTGCTGCAAGTTTTGATCTCGTTGCTTTATGAGCATTTTCATTCCATCATGATCGAACCCTTTCTGCCTTACGCACGTTTCTTGACTTACTAACCTCGTTACACAGCGAACAATTGTGTTCTGTTTGCGCCTGGGGCCAGCAGTAGATGGGGGGAGACTCGACAGATGACGGCCTTGAGATGGAGGTGCGAGAGTGACCTGGTCCAAGTATTGCTCCCACGTCGCCTTGGTGATGAGCATCGTGCTCTTCTTCATGGTCTTTGCATCGAACTTGATCAAGCCCATCATCATGTGTGCGCGAAATTCTAACTCGATGTACAGGAGGTCGTCTGGCTCACGCGCTGCAAAGGCGGTCAGTTTGCTGCTGCTTCAGATGTGCTTTTAGATGTCCTTCAGATCCCCTTTAGATCTGCTCCACATCTGCTTGAGATGCAAAAGAGACTTACTCTGATACGCCTCATCGCTCTGGGTATGGCCAAATAGCTGGTCGCTTTGGTTTGGGTAGGTTCAGGGAGCTTGAGGGGTATCGAAAGTGTCGGGAAAGAGCATGTATTCGAATCCTTCGCTCTGGATCTTCATGGTGGTGATAATGTCGCGCCAGTAGGTTTTGCCGTGCTCGTTGGTGTTCCGAAGTTGATACATGAGCAGAACGTCGCCCTCTTGGATCTCGATTGCGTTCTCGAGGACGTCCTCTATGGTAGCCTCGACATCGCTGGGCTTGAGAAGCTCTCCCATGATGAACTGCCGAATCTCTTTCAAGTGGTCCCAGTCAATATTCAGGCCTTGTGCGATTTGCTGCAAGGTTGGATCTGGACGCCTCCACAAAGCCCGCATCGTGTCGCGATCGAGCGGTGGCATCCCACAGCGCGGGATATCGGAGCAGTTCTTCATTTTTGTGATGTGCGGCGCTATGATGATATTGTCGCTGTGAGTGAACTGTATGAATCTAAGTTGAGGATGTGTTGCAGGGAACAGAATTGACCTGAATGAAGTGACTGACAGGTTATATAGAGCTACCTTCAGAATACCACAATTCACACTTCTCTTCACTTCACCTCAATTGCTTGTACTGGAAAGGACCCTCAGCTGCACCTTCCTATCACGATCACCAACCTCATTACACATTTCCGCCACGCAACCTGCGCGCACTGTTCTTTTGAGATGATATCAACCACGCCGACGCCGATCTGTAAGGATCTTGATACGACGTTGCTTCAATGCACTGACAACTCACAGCTGCCCAGCATGGTGTCCACTCGTCGCTCGCAGGACATCGGTCAGCCACCGACTACTCCGTCCGACGCCGTCCGCAGAAGCGCCCGTATCGAGCATAACACTGCCTCACCCGCCAGCGGTAGTATCAGCTGCGGCATCTCCAGACTTAGCTTCAACGATCCTCCAAGTGGCGCCCGAAAGAAAACTCCATCCACTACGAAATCCCTCAAGCGTGCTTTTGACGACCTTGAGGACTCTGAGAACGAAGAGGTTGCTACTGGAACGCCTTCCAAGAATCACAATGTCCCCAAGGATCGCCCAGCCTCACGCAGCAAGAATTGCCGCCAGACTGCTGCTGGTGAGAAGAATATGTCGCTCTCTCCGGACTCTGAGAAGGAGGAGTTTCGTAGCGCACCGTATTCCAAGAATCATATTGTCCCCGAGGACCACCCAATCTCATGCAAGAGCAATAATGGCCTAGCTCTGCATTCCGCCCAGATGAACTCGAGGAGCGCCTCGATGCAGGACGACATGGAAGCAGCGGTGATGGTGAGACTTTAGTAAGTGGAAGGTTCATCCCCATTACTCCTAAGCCATCTAAGCAGCTTGGAGTGCAGTTAGCAGCGCAGTCGCTTCTAGAAAGCCGGAGAGATAGCAGTTCAATACGTTCCTTTATGACCGGAACGAGGGTAGTCTGAACTACACTTCTATATTCATGTTCGCCAACAGAGCTCCCTGCACATTCTTGCCGATGTTAGCTACCCAAAACCGTGTCTCGTTCAGCAAGAATAGCTCCCCTCTTTTCCCAAAACAGAAGTTGGCAACGCCTCCTGGAATCTTGATCTTGCCTACCAGCCTGCCTCCTGGCGTCCATATGGCTACTCCGTCGCCGCAGCCGCTGTAGACATTGCCTTCAAGGTCACATTTGATGCCGTCAGGAATGCCTGTTCGATGTGAGACGTTTAAGTTCCAAGCTCGGCAATCTTTTGACTGACCTTCGTCCGCCATAGCAAACACCCTCCGATTCGACAAGAAATGCGACCGATGCCTCTCGATCACATCAAAAGCATACCTAAGCCTTGAATTAGCGCACATGACACGTGGACTGCCTGCTAGCATCGGGGCCACTACATACACCGTCGAAACCCGTGTGAGGTCCCTGCTCCCATCCCCATGGATCCAGTCGGTATCTGTGATATAAATTGTCTTCTCATCCGGAGAAAAGCAAAGGCCGTTAGGTCGGCCGAACCCATCGGCGACGACTCGAACATCACCAGAGTCTGGATCAAACCTGTACACCTGACACGGCAATTGAGGTGATTGCCGGAAACCTTGCTCGTATCCGTAAATGGGATCGGTAAACCAGATGCTGCCGTCGGTGTGCGTTACGACATCGTTGACGCTTGTAAATTTCCTCCAATGGTACGATGAGATGAGCGTCTTCGTATTGTATGGTGGTCTGGCCTCCATTAGGACCAAGCCACCAGGCTGTGACTTGTTGCCTTGGTCGCAGAAGAGGACTCCGCCCTGGTAGTTGATGCCGCCATTTCCCATCGCTACGTCGGTCTGGATCTCCTCGTGTTGCCATTGATGGTTGGTTGTTCTCGTAATCTTGCCGATCTTGATCTTCAATTTGCCATTGACTTGAAGGATGTTGCTGGTGATGTAGATGGCATCTTGGTCCGGGAAGTAGACTCCTGCTTCATGGGCAAACGGCCAGTCTTTCTCGATGGCAAGTTGAAGGCTTGGAGCATCGCCTAGGAGTTTCAGAAAGGCGTCGTCGTACACGGCAAAAAATGCCTCGTAGAAATCACGCTGAGCAGCAGCATCTTCAGCGATAATCTGCTGCTTTTGCGTTATTCGCTGTCAACCATCAGCTTCAAGTCCATCAGACACGCGCCTAGCACCTCAGTTTACCTTGCAATTCTTGGGAAGACTCATACCTTTCGGCGATGTTCACTTCGATAGCGCTGACGCAGAGCAGCCACCACCTGAAGTAGAGCTCCCAACTAGGCCGATTCCCCGTCAGTATCCGGGGGCGGGCACGGTCAGGGGAAGCCTGCAGAGGGGGCTTGCGAATAGGCCGAAGTTACAGGCCTGTGCCCAGCGACCCCAGTCTTTCCCACGGGGAATGGGCACATATACTTCGTCGTTGCCGCACTTACATTGGCTGCGTGAAGTCATCTCGTGTTTCATTCGATTCGACTGTGCTGTTGAAAGAGGTGGAAGAGGGGCTGCAGAAGGCCTGGATCTAGACCGATCTATTTCGACAGTCGACCACAGCACCAATCTCTGGAAGTATATGAGCATTCGACCACACTGCTGAACGAAATCAGGACGAAGGATCAGCAACTCGATCGATATGGCTTGGCTGCAGCTCGAGGGCCAAGCCCTTCTCTATACGGTAGCGACCCTGACCTGCTTGTCGTTTCCTGCTCATCGGTTACGACAATGGCCTCATGGGCGGGCTGATCAACACTGCGAGCTTCGACAATACGTTTCACATCGACACAGATTCTAAGGCCGGAACAGACCTTTTGGCGCTGATAGTAGCTATATACGAGATCGGATGCTTCTTCGGTGCCATCGCAACAAGTTTCGTTGGGGAACAGCTGGGTCGACGGCGAAGCGTCTTCATCGGAGTGATCATCATGATTGCTGGAGCCCTGCTGCAAGCAACAGCATACAGCCCAGCTCACATGATCGTTGCTCGAATTGTGAGCGGACTGGGAATGGGCATGATCAACTCGACAGCTCCGGTCATAATGGCCGAATTCGCGCCCAAAGCCACCAGAGGTATCTATGTCTGCGCCCAGCTCTCGACTCTCAACTTCGGCATCATGCTGGTGTACTGGATCGACTACGCATTCGCGAAGATCCCCGGTGGTCCCAGCTACGCGTGGAGAATACCGGTCATTCTCCAGTGTATCTTCCTCGTGCCAATGCTGTTCATCATCATGATCCTGCCGGAAACCCCACGCTGGCTGGTGGCCCACTCTCGCCCAGACGAGGCGCTCGAGGTACTGACGCGTCTTAACCACAAGACGATGAGCGATGAGGCGATCGTGAGGACCCACAACGATATTGTGAACACCGTTGCATACGAAGCATCCATCGGTTCCGGCACATGGGGCGACTTGCTCAAGGAGGACGACATCCAGTCTCGCAAGCGGTTCCTTATTGCTTGCAGCGTTCAGGCTTTTCAGCAGCTTGGGGGCATCAATAGTTTGATATACTATAGTTCCACGCTGTTTGAGAAGAGTCTGGGCTTCGACAAGAACCTCTCCGCCCTCATGTCTGGCGCGTTGAACTCTTGGTTCTTCGCGGCATCGTTTATTCCCTGTAAGTCATCCATCTAGCAAAGATTCGACCAATGCTGACATCGGTAGGGTTTCTGATCGACCGTATGGGACGTCGTCCGCTCTTCTTATCAATGATATCGTTGATGGCTGCCGTTATGGTCGTTCAAACCGGTCTTATCTGGAACGTCCAGAACGAGACTTCCATCGCTGAGTCGTGTGGTGCTGGAGCTGCGGCAATGCTGTTCATCTTCCAAGGCGCCTTCACCATCGGTATATGCCTTCATCTGTCAAGTATGGTTTTCGGTCGTTAACGTTTTCCAGGTTTCCAAGCAACGGTATGGGTCTACCCATCCGAGATACTGCCTCTGAAGCTGCGCCAGCGAGGTTCGTCCATCTCCACGGCATGCAACTGGATCTTCAACTTCATGATCGTCTATATCACGCCTCCGGCGATTCGCAACATTGGCTATAAGACGTATATCATTTTCGCTGTAAGTTCTCCTTTGTTCGCGTCCCATCTCACGATTCTGATGCCACTTATAGGTCCTCAACGCCACTTGGGTCCCGATCATCTACTTCGTCTATCCTGAGACCAAGGGACTTGCGCTCGAAGATGTCGATCGACTTTTCGCCAGGACCGATGAGGCGCATAGGCAGATGAGTGTCATCGCCGAGGATTTTGACCATGGAAAGGGCGGCGTTGACCAGATCAATGATGTTGTGGTTGCGAAGGTCTGAGCGGGAAATGCTGTGTCCGCAAACGTGGGTTGTCAGAGATATGTCGGCAGATTAGAAAGACGAATGTGAAACGTAATCTGAAGTTATTGGTGAACCGTCCAGTGAGCTGCACAGTGAGCAGCGAAGTGAGCCGAGAAGTGAGCCGCACAGTGAGCCACGAAGTGATTCCCAAAGTGAGCAGCAAAGTGAAGCATCATCGGCCAATCGGTCTTGAACGCTCTATTCCAGTGGAGGCTGCTTCTTCCATCGCCTCCGCTGGAGGACTTCCAGGCTTCCTCGTTCGATAAGGCAAATACGCGTCCAGCACCCTCGTATCGTCACCAACATCGCCATTCATACCGCTTGCCGCAAACGTAGGCTCATCCAAGAGCGAAGGCTCCATTTGAGATATCTTGATTCCAGTCTTGCGGGTCATAAGTCTATCAGCCCAACCCAAGTGCGAACGGACCAAGCGAGGGAGTCCCAAAACGTCCAGACCTCCTGCCATGACGATCATCCTGGCGAAGGCAGTTCGGTGATAGGTGATGCCAGAGTTCATGTCCCCAATGACGATCTCTCGAAGAGCGAGTCGGCCCACGGTGAGTACCGTGCCGACTGCGAGGGATCTCGCAGGATCGCTCAAGGCCTCGTTCACGGAACCGACGACTTGCGTTGTCAACCAAACCAGCAGTCTGGGATCGTTTTGTTGTCGGGAGACAAGATCGCCCATGAGCGAGAGCATGTTCATATAAAAGTAGGCGGGTTCGCTAAGAGTCAAACGCCTCACCCAAAGTAACGTTTCGTCTTGTTCGGCAGGCGTTGCTCGCAGGGACGACCATCCTCGCCGCATGAAGTGTCCCACTATGCTCACACTCAGGCCGAGTCACAAGATGGAAATATGAGCCTTGACTTACTGTTGTAGAGAGCTTCTCCAAACCATGGCTGCGCGGGTACTGGATAGCTGTCAAATGGTTCGTCCGCATAAGAGCCAAGCCGTGGTATTGACGCCCTTCGCTCCGTCAAGGGAGTCGAGTGCCGAGTCTCGTGGTCTGTTCGCTGCACCTCGTCCTCCGAGACATCTCTGCTCGCTGAAGTCGCTGCTTTTGCGAGGCTGATAGCCGAACCCCTTCTCGATGACGAGGCTTCTGAACCTGAAACCTTCCTTTTACCTGAGGGCCTTGTCGTTGGCTTTCTAGCTTTAGGTTTCCGAGGACCAAACCTATGGCTATGCTGCGCTGCTTTCGAACGGACCTGGCGTCGAGACTCGTCATCTTTGCTGCGGTCGTGATCCAAAAAGATGATTTCGCTCATGGGTTAGCAGTGTGGTCGCAGCGTTTATCGACGAAGACAAGACATGACGCAGGTATTGTATAGTAATGCGGTGTACAGCTTTGCACCGAAAAGGGCTATAAGCAGTCTCTGTTCCAAGGCAAGTGTACTTCTCAGGAACAAGCTTAATGACGAAGCGCCCCACGGCGATGACCTTCAAGCTAGTGCTGCAGGAATCGAACGAATCCTGCACACTGGCAGGAACCTGCTGCGTTGCATTGCCACTACTCGCGTGTTTTTCTGTTTCCGTGGCTCAAGAGACTCGGCCCAAAAGTTTCGACAGTGGTTTGATGCTCAAGCGCATGTTGCGTCTAATGGCGATATCTAGTTGGATGCAGTGCATGCGTTCTTTGCAGCGTAGCAGCGAGTTTGACATGTTGCTTTAAAGTGGTATGCTCAGCTGTCAGCCCACCGTCCTTGGAGCGGTCAGTAGCTTATTTTCACGAGCACTAGACAGTGGAGTAGAGCGTCCACGAAGGATTCCAAGTGGCGCATGGGATAGCTTTTATCGCCCTGTGGACCGTTTCAATACTACCAGTGGCTGCTCACGCTTGCTCACATTCCGGACCAGGCAAAGACGGGGATGGGGACTGAAAGGTCTGGATTGAAGCTGTACCCTTGGTGTTCCGCTCGAAGTGGAATATTCATCCCCATTGATCCTAAGCCGTCCAAGCAGCTTGTGGTGCGATTAGCAGCAGAGTCGCTTGTGAAAAGTTGGAGAGGGGGCAATTGCATATCTTCCAGTTTGACTGGAACGAGGAGGGTACTCGACTCCGATATCCGCGCTAACAGCCGGGCTGATCGACTGCGCTGCAGCGGCGCGCGGGAAAGCCAAGCCTTGTGCATTGAGTTGTATGCAGGGCACTGCTATTCACCTATCAAATGGTCGAGAGCGACGAACGGTAATGGTTAGCTTGCTTAGCACAACGCGTGAAAGTTGGCCGTCGTTCGCTCGTCATCTTGCCTGCATGGTACATCTAATAAGGCCATCTAAGGCCATCTAGAGCGACCGAATGAGAAGCGGGTGTGCATTTTCCCAGAGAGGCAAGCGGATTTCTTGTTTTGTCCGCAGCACATCAAGTGGTCGTTTTGTCGCGAAGGCGATAGACCTCGTTCTTGGCTTGGTGGAGGCGAGCATGGTAGATTGGACTTTCTCTTCCAATCTTTGGCCGCATCTCTTCGAATGAGAATGGCCGCATCTCCATCAACTCATCATACGCCATTCCTCGTTGCCGTCGTGGAGGTGGCATGCCAGCACTGATGGCACGGTCGACAGCAGAATTATAGTCGTCGTCGTGCTTTCTCGACAGCCAAAGAAGATAGTTGACTGCTTCCCAGTTTTGGAATCTCAAGGTTCCGAACGGAATGTTCGTGGTGCTCACTGGTGATGGGGATGACTCTTGACTTTCCGGGAGTGGGCTCGACGAAGTTGTAACACCTGCATCACGATTCTTTGCGGGTGAAGTGCTTGGTCTTTGCTCCGTGGTAAACTCATCGTATAGGTTACGCATCTCTTCGTACGACAGCCGCAACCAGTCTGGTGGCGGTATCAAGGCCATGGACAAAGACTTTCCACTCAAGTCCTGTACCGATGAACGGTCTTTAGTGGCCGAGTCCAGGTCAGCGATCTCTTTTTTCAAGCCAGCAATACCCTCAGAGATTTCAGGGGCGACGGAATCAAGTGAGGCATCGCTTTTCTCCGGCTCGTCGGGCGACTTTGCGAACCGATCTTCAAATACTGCGTGGTCCTTCGCATCGATGCTCTCCTTCACTAACTCGAGTTGGTTTCTCGCGAAATCGATCAGATTGGCACGGCGTGCTGCTGTGACGAGCGCGTGAAGATCGGCCACGTCTGGACAGGCGTTTCTCTTGCCCCGTGATTCCGATATGTCCTTCCAAGAACTTTGCAGAAGGTCTGCGTCCTGCATCACGCCAGCGGCGATCAAGATGCTTCGTCGAGTAATGTCTGAAGCTTCTATCTCCAGAGCCTTCATATCTGCCAATGCAATGCTGATGACACTCTTGTCGCCGGAGAATCCCCCAATGTTCGTGATGATTGAGTTGAAGAGAGCTTCTCCGGGCAAAGCACCGTACCGCGCAAATATGCCAAGCATCTGTTTGACCATCCCAAGGATCTCATCCACCAGTTCTCTACGCTCCTTTGCTTCCAGGGAAGAAAGACTCGGCAGTCGGACAGTCTGAATGACGGCAATGGTCAATTCGTTGACGGTATTTGCGTGTATTGTGCCCTTTGCTCCAAACTGTAGATGCGTTGCAGCCAACATAGCTCTTAGAGCGGATAGGTGGACAGATACAGATTTGAGATCAGAACTTTGGCGCAGGCGCGACACGAGTAGTTTATAATATGCAACAGGCAACTGTATTCCAGCCCGGCAGGCAATGGCAAACACCGTGAAAAACTCGGAAAGGGGTCGCTCGTCCTTGAAAATGGCAAAGAAGCGCGTTGGAGCTGTAGTTGGATAGAGTCGTAACGCGGTATCGAACGCCAAATACGCTTTGTGCGAGTCCCCTCCAAGCAGCCTGGCCACCGTAATTGACAGTAGCAAAGACATTGGGACGCCTTTCACTGGAAACTCGTGCTCCCGATCTTCAAGTATAGCATTGGGCGAAAGGTGGTAGGCGTTGAATGTTCCAGGAAAGCGAGCCAATGCATCCTCATAGAGTTGCTCCAGCTCTTCGAGAGGTGTTCCAGTCCGAGCCAGCAGATCGATCGCAACAGAGTAGACGTCAGCATTGACATATTCCTCGTCTTGAGCTTGGAGCCATTCCCAAAACTTGATACCACCATCGTAAGTCCCGCTCTCTTTGAAAACGCCCAGTAGATGGACATGGGCATATATGTGTGGAAGTAGACGTTCTTTCCGGATGTCCTTCACCAGCTGCGTTGCGAACGCTACGATCTCATTCAAATCCTCACGCTCCTTCGTCTGCAAGACCTTGTACGTCTCCTGACGAAGGCATTGGTGCACGCATTGCGCAAGTGCAAAGAGGTCCTCGGGGGTCAGTGGCTTCTTCTCGGGCAGGCTCGCGTAAAGTGCAGCGACCTGCTTGATATCATAGTCCTTAACTGCCTGTAGCAGCTCCTCTTTCTGCGACAGTGTGCCTAAAGCGACATGCTGTACTCGATCCTGATTGCGCCTCTGCTTCTTTTGCCATGCCGTGCGCGGCTTTCCGAAGAATTGCTTCTGCTTCTGTTTCTGTGCTTCCGCGCCGACATGGCTGCTGGAAAATGTTCGTCGGTTCGAGGGGTGGAACTGGTGAGTCCAGTGGGTACCAGTAAATGATCTCAGCCAGTTCTGATGAGATTGAAGCTCTTGTTGCACTCGCCGAATGCGCGATGAAAGCATTCTTCAGGGACGCGTTGTGAGACGTGACGTGAATGAAGGTTTCGATTCCGAATCAAATTTTGGTTAAGAGCTAACCAAAACCCGAGCGAGTCCGTGCTTGCCAAGACCGCTACTCTCGACCTCACCCTTCCAGCTGTTAACATTGCATGTGAATAGTCCACGAACACCACTGACGCTGCGCCAAAACCTCCCCTTCTTCCTGCTCGAACACCCACAACGCAATCATGTCGCCCAATATGTCGCTGTTCTCGGTTAACGCCGTCCTGATTCTCTCCACCGACGACTCCTCGCGCATCCTGGCGAAATACTACAGCCCCCCGCATATTCCCCAGAATGCCCAGGGCAACAACTACCCAGGCGCGAACCCGTACCCGAACGTGAAGGACCAAAAAGCTTTCGAGAAAGGCCTATTGGAGAAGACCGCAAAGCAGACGAGCGATGTCATTTTGTACGACAACCGAGTGGTGGTGTTCAAGATGGAGGCAGATGTCATGCTTTACGTGGTTGGCGGCGCAGATGAGAATGAGATCATGCTGTACAACGTGATCTTGGCTCTGAGAGACAGCTTGAACATTCTGCTCAAGTGAGTTCGCCGTGCTCATTCGAGTTCAAGCAGTACACTGACTAAACCCAGGAACTCGGTCGACAAGCGCACCCTCATTGAGAACTACGATCTCGCATCCCTCTGTATCGACGAAATTGTAGATGATGGGATCATTCTCGAGACGGACCCCGTGATAGTTGCCAGCAGAGTCAGCCGACCTCCTGTTCAGGACATTCCGAACATGCAAGGCATTGATCTAAGCGAAGAGGGCCTTCTCAAAATCTACCAATTCGGAAAGCAAAAGCTGGGCGAGCGGTTACGACAAGGCCTGTAGAAGATGCATGGCATCCGATCCAGATGGTTGTGGCGGCCACTGCATAGCGTTGGCGTTCAGGAGTTATAAAGATCAGGCACGGGATAGAAATGACCAGAGTGGCTTGGGATGGGAGGCAGCTAAAGCTTGTATGATCGAATGGATACGATGACAAAAGTCAACAGGATCATATCGAACTTGCTTTGTGACGAACACAAGCAAGCCGTGACAGGAATCCAGAACGAGATTCGCCAATGGCCGCAGTTCAATGATGGTCGTAAGATACTCCCGGGCCAGAGATCGTTCCACGCGGTGCTGGTGTATCTCAATCTCAATGAGGTACAGCTCTTCGACAGCTATTACATCCTGCCAGTCCACATGTGACCTTCTTGACGTACTCCTCGTTCGCATACACATTCGACCACGCCTCACGGTCCCGCACGATCTCCAAAATTCGCTTCCTGGTCTCATTCTGAATTTCCCAGAGCACGGCATGCCCTGCTAAATGTCCACTCTCATGCGCGTCACGGCCCATCCAGGTCAACGTATCCGGCTGCTTCACACCGTCGAAGACCGCCCTGATAGCCCTGGTGGTCTCGACGTGCATGTCTTGCAGTTCGTAATAGTCGGCTGCCTCGCGGAGACGCATCAAATCCAAGTAATTTTGCTGGCTCGTGGATGGAGACGAGAAATCCTCGTCACCAAAAGTCAGCCAATCCACAGGTAGCTGGTAGATGAAGCGCAAAAGCCGTTCAACAACATCTTCGTCATGCTCCAGTACGACACTGCCAGTCTTGCCTTCCTGAGACTTGTTAGGATAAGAGCTATTGGTCAGAAAGGAGGTGGTACTCACTTCGAACTTGTTCTTGTCACAGACAGTGGCGAAATACCTCGAGACCCTCGATAGAACGTCAGAGTGCATTGCGAACCGGGCTGGATTGTTGGCTATCCGAATCTCGAAATCGGAGGTTCGACTTGGTAGGAACGTCTGCGAAACTGTCAAGCCTTGGAACATCTGATGAACGACACTGGTTTGGCTGCTTTGATCTTGCTGTGTTTGTCGCGATGCAATACTGGCGGTACCCATAATCCAGGTGTTGAGGAAACTTTTTGCTGGCTTCGTTTCCAGCGGGAGGCGCTTTTAAGATGGATATTCCTGTTAGACGCAAACACTTTCTTTAGGAGGCATTACTTCTCGCTTTACTGGCACCTTTACTGCACGCTCTACTCTTCTACTTACTTCTCTTTTTGACTTGTCTTTCACTCCTCCCTGCACTTCGCTATTCACTTCTTCTTTTACGCCTCCTTTTACTTCCTCTTCACTTTCTTGTACTGCCTTGTTCACTTTTTTGTTCACTTCTCAGCTTAGTCTACGCTTTGCCAACAGGTCTTTAATTTCGAGTGCGCTAGAAAGCGATCGCCATCTTGAGCTCATTCGACGTTTGCTGAGGCTTTGAGTTCTGGGAAGGTATAAATGAGTACAAGAATAAGGCCTTCAAACATCACTACTGTGGGTTGAGAATCTCGCAATGTCCCCCAACTATAACCCAGGCGTGCTGCGTTCGATGTTCGACAACCCGAAAGATTCCAACCTACGCATCGAAGCCGGTGCACAGTGCGTGTGAGTGTTCCGCGTCCACAAAGACGTCGTCTCGTCGGCCCAAGAATCGGTCAAAAGGAAATGCACTTTGCCCAGCGGATCTTTGATTCCAGGTCGAATTCGCATCCGCATACCCGAGAATCCTGATGTCGTCGAGACGATGCTCAGACACATATACGGCTTCCAGAACTCCCGGCTCCAGCTCAAGAACATAATTGACATGGATTTCGACAAAAGGTGGCTCTGGCACGAGTTAGCCTTCATCATGGACCTGAGAGTGACAAGCCGGAGATATGGAGTTCGGGCTCTCAACAATGTCACGATGCTGCTAGTCAGAGCCTGCCTCCAGCATGAGCGCGTCATGGACCACGATCTCACCTTGCAGATGTGTCACGCAGTCCTCAAAGACATTCACCCCAGCAGTTCGCTTTTGCATATGTTAGCAGCCCGCACGGCTCACATTAGAGTGCGCACCACTGGAGCTCTTGTGTATAGTTCCGAAGACGGTCGGGGGAAAGTTGTGGGCCAGGGCATAAATGGGGGAAGTGTTACTTTCGAGGATAGGTCGCGGGAATATATGAGATGGATCGAGCGGCAAATGAGGTCTGTCGGCCTGGACTGGATCTTCGAGGGCGTGGTTGAGGATGTTGGTCCAGCGTACGATTGGTTCCGTGAGCCCTAGTGACTCGGTGAAGTGATCTGGGATGAGCACATCGATGTAGAATGGAGGGGAGCACTGGCAAGAACAGGAGTAGCCATCGTGTTGTATGTACGAGATACCGAGCAGCAAGACTGCTTGCATTCGTCGCGTACCTGATTAGCTGCCAATGTTCGTACATATAGTCATTGCTCTCCGTCACGCAGATACAGAAATCGCTGGTACTTCTGGTAAGTCCACCTCCTGAACGTCTTGCCCCAGATCATCATTGGCACGGTCGTCATCTGGAAAGCGAACGAAAGAACACCAATGCCGATAAAAGTTCCAGCCAGGCCGCTAGCGTCGATCCAATAACCTTTGATAGCTGTCAGCTTGCGGACAAACGTTGAGTGTTGGGGAATACTTACTGCATGTGAAAGTAAAAATGCAAGCCAAGCTGTTGTTGATGACAGCAACGCCAACCATACCTTCAAGGACCATATCCGGATAAGCATCCATGAGATACGCCATGGAAAGATCCCCAGCGCAACCAAATCCAAACCCGGTCATGGCAAGGCCTATGTAGGGGCCCGGCCAGCTCCAGTCCTTAGCTGATCCAATTCCGAACAACATCAAACCTGCGGGATTGATGACTGCTGAAGCCAGGAGTAGCCAAAGGCGATCTTCAGCTTCCGAGATGCCATTTCGACCTGGTCGCTTGGCCATCCAACGGACGAAAACGTCTGAGAACCAACCACCATAGATACATCCAATGACGGCTCCAATGAGAGTTGGAATGTTCATTATGGCAACCGCTTGGTTTGAGTAGTTCCACGGTGGGTCATAGTAATTATCCTCCTCTACAGTCAAGTAGAATGTTAGCCAAGCGTCTTGAGCGCCCCATTGGAGGCCTGAGTACAGGACTGCAGGGAACATAAACACGCGAAGCGTATAGTATAAACGCTGGAAGTACTGCTGGATGCCCCATCCATACATGTTTGGAGCTGGGGTAATAAGAGCAATACGTTCGCGATACGTTTTCTTCCGGTCCGGTGGTTGGTTTAGACTCTCGGTGGATATCCTGGCATCTGGTCCTGCTTCGGTCTTCTTTTCTTCATCAAGAACCTGCGAAGCTCGGCCACCTACATGGCGACCCAGGATGGCTTCACGGTGGAACGAGGTTTCTTCCAATCCTGATCTACAATTAGTACACGCAATTCCTGAAAAGATCTCGGAGACTTCGCTCAAGCTGTTCATAACATACCAAAATAGAAGACAACGAGCGTACACCCAGATATAATGACACTCGTCCATCCAACCCAGCGCCAGTTGTCGATTGCAATGTACCCAGCAACCAATGGACCGAGGAAGGTTCCAATCGACGTGGCCAAGATGTAAAGACCTAAGACCAAACCGCGCCGATGCTGGAAGAACAGGTCTGACAAGGAGAGCTGCGCCAAAGCCTCTGCACATGATTCTGAAGCCCCAACAAACATTTGATTCCAAATTGAGTCCTGAACAGTCTGAATCCTTGCAAACCATATGGATCCAATGATTGACCACAGGATGCATATCAAATACTGGATTCTTCGTCCATAGAGCCACGGCATTGGGCTGGCCAAGAGCGTCCAGTAGCCGATCGCAAGGAATAATACACCAGCAGCAGTATTGGCCACACCGTAGCTGATGCCTAGTTCGTCCTTCATGCCGTCTCCAGCGGCCCCAGCGTCATTTGATGTTGCAGCCGTAAGCGCCGTGATGAAGAGAACCAAGCCAGCATGCCAATACTTGCGCCATGGAGACCAGTTCAGAGGATCGTTGGGTGAGTTCGTCGGAGGGGGGGTCAATGTCAATTCCTGATCACGAAGATCACCACTGTCTCCTTGCACGAACATCTGGATAGTGCCCGGAAGCAGCTGGCCGTTCTCGTCGGCCATGACAGCAGTGAATGTGGATGTCAGACACCCTCAGCCTGAAGTTTTCGTCGTGTGGCAAAATGTACCACCACACCTTGTATGGATCCGTCGTTCTTGTGTGGTGGTAACTTGTACCTCTTGTTACTTGACCGTGCCAACGACGAACTCTCCAACGAATCCCAACTCATACATATCGCGGCGGTGCAGAAGAAGAAGAAGGAAAGAAACAGTGCGGACGCGCGTAGGATTTTTCTTATCAATGGCACCCGTGCGTTGTTGTTCGCCGTTGGCGCGGCAAGGCCGTTCAGCCGTTGGAGGACAGAGAACTGCACTATCCCACACAAGGCTAGCATGCCACACCTCGCTAAACCCACATGGCATCGGAAGGGCCGAGTGTGAGCCTAAAACCGGGCAGCAAAGGAGACTTGTCCGCGCTGCTTCTCTTCCTCTCTTCCACCAGACATCAACAAGTGTCAGCGGCACAGACAGCGCCGGTGCTCAGACTCACCACAAAGGACACCCTCAGCCGAATGTCAACTTGCCAGCGCAAAATGTCGAACCTCTACCATATGACGCGGTCTATACCGGACAGTACCCCCGAGAAACCCTCCAATTGTGACTCCGGCCTGGGTGTGAGCGAGAACGCAGCCTCTCTCTCCCTCAGCGGTCCGACCTCCCTGATGGAGATGCCAGCCTCGCACACTGGCAGCCTGGGACCGGAGTCCAACACGAAAAAGGTCATTGTGGTAGGCGCCGGTATATCCGGGTTGCGTGCGGCAGCGGTTCTCCAGCGCCATGGCCTCGAAGTCATCCTCCTCGAGGGGCGAGATAGAATCGGCGGCAGAATCCACACCTACCGCACGGAGAAGGGCGTTCGTGACATTGGTTAGTGCTGCAATGACACAAATTGTAGCTGAACCTGAGCTGCAGACCTGCGTAGGTCTGTTGATGGCTGTGAAAAGGCTTCATCACCTCCAGGGAACCTTGGTTTCCTCCTGCTAACTCAAAATCACCCATGTAGGCGCCGCTTGGCTCCACGAAACCTCTCAGAACAGCCTTGTCAAACTCATCTCCAAATTGAAAATAGACTACTACTATGATGACGGCCTTCCTCTGTACTTCACAGAAGAAGGACGAGCTGGCTCCCAATTCAAAGCCAAGAAGGTGGCGGACGAATTTGCCGATCATTGTGAATGGTTTTATGAGACAAATCCGAATGCGCCAGACCGAAGCGTCGCTGATTTTGTGAACGAATTTGTACGAAACCATGAGCTTATCACCGATGACGAGCGACTATGGGCTCCCCAGGCAGCTAAAGAAGTCGAACTGTGGTTGGGAACGGCGACCGAGCTCACGAGTTCGAAGCATCTCAGCTATTTCATCACTGAGAGAAACCTTTACATGAAGGGTGGCTATGATCACGTCGTGAAGTGGACAGCGGAATCCCTGCTTGAGAGACCAGGAACCATTCGCTTGGAACATATCGTGGACCGCATCACTTGGAGCGAGGACGGATCCAGTTCTTGCGTTGTCGACTGCCACGACACAGAAGGACGCACCGCGAGCATCGAGGCAGACGCTGTGGTCTCTACCCTCCCTCTCGGCGTACTTCGCCATGACCTGGTCTCGTTTAGCCCACCCCTGCCAGCCGACATGCAGAAAGGAATATCAAGCTTCAGCTACGGGGCTCTTGGCAAGATCTTCTTTGAGTTCGCCGATGTCTTCTGGAGCAAGGACAACGACCAGTTCATGTTCTACCCATCTCCACCGGCTCTTAACGAAGAACTCTACGGATCATCTGCAAGCTCTGACAGCTTGACAGAACCTGATTCTTGCCTGAAATACGCAACCGTGACAATAAATTTGTGGATCATGACGGGTGCGAATGAATTATGTGTCCAGGTTGCCGAGCCTTTGACCCAACGCATCGAGGCCATGACAGACAAACGACAGATTTACAAGTTTTTCGAGCCACTCTTCAAGCTCTTCCGGACAGAACCATACAAGAAGCTGCCTCCACTTCTGAACGTGGAGACGACAGCGTGGTCCCGCGATCCATTCGCAGGATTCGGCACGTACTCTGCCGATAAGGTCGGCGATGAACCCGAGCTGCTGATGGACGCTCTGGAGAACCACAAGGACTCTCGTCTGCAATTTGCAGGCGAGCATTGCACCATGGTCGCTAATGGCTGCGTACATGGCGCTTTCGCTACTGGAGAGACCGCAGCGAAGAATCTGCTGAACACGTTCGGTATTGATTACGATGGTGGCGACATCGTGAGTTTGAAGTGAAAGCTTCACTACTAACAACGTTGGACGACTGAATTTGACAGCTGAACGACAGAAGGATTAACACTATTTGTGGTAACTGCAGTCTCTTTGGCAGCAATGAGCGCGCATGATGAGCGCGCATGATTTCGTCACATAGCGTTCATATTCATGTAGCTTAGGCCATCTATGGAGCGAATATTGAAATTCAGCCACACCCAGCATCAACCTCTTAGGCATTGTTCTGGCAGACACCACCATCGATGACCATCATGTTACCATTGCAGTAGCCCCCAGCTTTCGACGCGAGATACAAGACCGTACCGGCCAACTCCTCCTCATTGCCCATTCGTTGCTGTGGCACCAGAGTCCGAGGCATAACGCCATCAGTCTCCTCGAAAGCCTTAGCCACCGCCGTTGTCATGTCCGACGGGAACCATCCAGGCGCAATGATGTTCGTACGGATGTCATGTGGAACCAGGAAATTGCCCAGGTTCCTCATCAAGTGATGGATTCCAGCTTTCGATGCGTTGTCTGAAAACAAAAATCAGCCACAATGCACCATCTTGAAAGTCAAAAAGGCGAGAAGACATACAAATGAATGGATCGGTAAACCTCAACAACCCCCCAGCACTCCCCACGGCGATAATCTGACTCGTCGGCTTCCCCTTCTCCCTGCGCTTATTCCCCTCATCCAACAACTCCAAGAACGCCATCGACGTCGTAAAAGTCGCCGCGACATTCGTCTCCAACGTATCCCTCCAGATCGTTGGGGTCCTGTAATTGAAATAGTAATCCCGAATCTCAGAAATCGTCGAGTCCTGCTTGGGCTTCGGACGGATGTTCTCGCCTTTCTCGGCGGTTGACATGCCAGCGTTGCAGATTAGGAGGTCGATGTATCCGGTCTCTTTGGTGACCACGTCGACGGCTTTTTGGACGTCTTCGTGGGAGGTTGTGCTGCCTTGGATGGCGGTGATGTTGCCGTGAGTCTTATCATTTCATCAGTATGAGCTTTTGTGGAGATATATGTGAGGCGTACTGCTTCCTTCACAGCCTCGTCCAGCTTCTCCTGTCGTCGGCCCGTGATGAATACTTTGGCGCCGTTGGCTTCCAGAGCGTGGGCGATGATGCGTCCGAGGCCAGAGCCGCCTGGAATAGGCGTATTAGCACTTGAACTCCATGGCTATTTAGATTCAACATACCTCCTGTGACTACAGCCACGAGGCCGGAAACATCGTTCAAGTTCTGGGGGCTGAACTTCGATGCCATGGTGGATGTAAAAGCGGTGAGAGTCGAGGAGAGACGAATTCAACGAAGCAAGTGACTACCCAACACTATCGAGGCAAAGCGGCCGAGAACAGTGAGAATTCGTCTGGTCAAGCCCGTTTCAAATGTTTGCAAAGATCAAAGTGTACACGTTTAGAAAAGAGTTACTCGTCCAAGAGGTGAGGTGAGGTCAAGCAGCAGCAGCCTCCCGATGGGGCCGAAATCCACCAGCACGCCACATCAACGCACTCGATCCCACCGTCTCATGCCCGAACGAAACTCACGAGCTCCTTCAGCCTTGCTGTCAGCGTGACAATCTTGATAACGAGATGTCCGGCCATTCGACTGGATGGCTCGGTCAGCGAACGGGGAACTGAGCAGTGAGAAGCCGATTCTCATCGCCGGAGCCCCGCGTGTGATTCGACGTCACTCGACAAATGGCATGAGAATAGTAACGAAGTTGTAGAAAGGCCTGCATGAATCAGCTGGCTGGGCTCGAGTTGTCTGACAGTTCGGTGGGAGCACGTTAGTAGGAAGTTTCCATTCGGTCTGTCGAAAGAGGTCTTTCCAAGCCGACACTCGGCCCGACAGACCAAGTCTTATTATTACTTCCAGTGGGCTGGTAGCTTCAAGCATGATTCTGCGCTCAAGTCAAAGATGACTTCGTGAAACTTGACCATGGCCCGGAAAGCCTGGCCGTGTTTCTAGAAACCTTCCTAATCAGCGCACTCGATGGAGTAACATGTCCGTATTGCGAGTCAGGTCAATTGATTCATCGATGTACCTTCGAAAGGCTATCTCGATATTCGGGACCACATTACCGCCTCTTCGACCCCTTTCCGCCTCTGCCCCCTTTCCCACCGCGGCCTCCACCCTTACCCTTGTCCGCGCCAGAGCCTCCAGACATCATCACACGGACCGACTTGACGGGTATGACTCCCACAACCTCAGCCTCCTTGAAACCCTTGATGAGCTCAGCCTCGTGCGGCCAGATCTTTTCACTGTCCTGAGTCTGAGCATCGATCTTCTTCGGATCACTCGCGTCCTTCGTCCACTTGCCAAGAATCTCTCTCGTGGCTTTGCCCTTCTTTTGCTGGCCCGGCTGCATCTTGGCCTTGTACTTGAAGCGGCTCAAAGCTGCCCATGGAGCGCAGATGGGGATCGCCTCGAGGATTTCGTCGCCAGGCAGAGGCATGCCGATCAGGGAATCCAATTGTGTCAGTTGCGACGCCTCTTCCTCATCGAGAGCTTCGACGCCTTCTTCGAGATTCAGACGTCGAATCTCCTCTGCCTCTAGGCCTTCTCTCTGAGCTCGATCATGCTGAGCTCTTCGACGAGCACGGGCATCCTCTGCATTCTCCTTCTTCTCGACTTTTGCTTGTGCTTCCGCTTGCTTCCTCTCCTCGCCCGCTTTAGATCCTAGAAGCTTCATAGCCAACTCGCGGTCTTCGTCGTCTTGATCAGCATACTTCTGTGCCATCTTCTTGTTCTTGCCCTTGCGACCTCGAGCTCCCTTGGCTGGCTTGACCTTGGCATCGTTCTTCAGCGGCTTCCCTTGCTCTAGTCTATTCTTCATCTTGCGTTCTCGATTAGTCAACTGAGGTGCCTCTGTATCACCGTCCTGTTCCGCATCATCGGCTTCGGTGGGTGTAGCTGTGTCTCCAGGAGTGAGGGTAGACTCAGTATTCTCACGGTCGAGATCAGCGCCCTCCTCTCCCTGCTCATCTTCCTCTTCGTCGTGGCTTTCGTCGTCATCATGCTCATCGTCATGTTCCCCGTTGACTACTTCAGGTCTTGAGGTACCAGCCTGCAGAGGGTTATGTTGACCTGAGCGGTACTCCGTCTCCTCGTCCTCGTAAGATCCGTACGTTCTCTCCCGCTGCATCTCTGGTGATTCATCGCTGGAGAATTGCTCTTGCTGAGGCGCCGCATCAGGAAATTCATCGTCTTCGTCTTCCTCGATCCTTGGCGCAGGACCAGCGTCTGGGAAATCGTCATCGTCGCTTTCACTCTCATTGTCATCGCCAGCGATAGAAGACTCGGCAATCGTCTCTCCATCAGTGAGGTCTGGTGTGGCGAGATAGTCTTCCGGCCGCTGCATAAGGCGATGCTTGACGTGCCTTGCTTTGCTCTCCTCGCTGATCTGAAACATGATCGCGAAGCCAAGCAACAGCTGCGCCGGCGGCAGGAAATTCTTCTTTCCGCGCACCATGAAGCCTCCAGTCGTCAGATACTCGCCAGTAGGAGCGGTCTTGGACACTTGATCTGCATTGACCCACCAAGCCGACATGACAGCCTTGCTGTCCCAGGCACTGCTGGTGCACACTGCCAGATTACCTGCTTGCGACAGAGTAGAAGGTGGGATAGGTGCTTCGGGCGTCGCCGGGTTGTTCTTGATCATCACGGTCGCCGCACCGTGCATGTCAGCATGGACGTATACATCGCCTTTCTTGAGGTATCGCCGGTACATGATTTCGTTCTGCTGTGCGTCTTTGCCGGCAAGGACCAAGTAGCCATCCGAAGAAACGAAGTAAATAAACTTCTCAAACCAGAACTGCTTCCTGACTGGGCGCAAAATATCTTTCTCCTGCTTCAGTCCTTTCTTCAAATCGGCCAACACTTTCTGTTCGGTAGATTTCAAGGCTTTCTGCGATGCTTGCGCCGTCCTCTCCTGCTTCACAGCCGCCGTTCGTTTCTGATCGTAATACTGTCGTGCATTTGACCAAGCGGATGCTGCAAGATCGATATCGACAGTGAGGCGCTTGTCCTCAGTTCTGGTAGCTCGCCTCGGAGTCGCTTGAGCATCCTCATCCTCGCTGTCTGAAGGCTCACTGTCCGTCTCGTTCGCCATAACATCGTCCTCAGCATCGTTCAGTTCTGATAGAAGAAGGGTGACCGTGTTCTCGTGCAGCTTGAGTGGTAGCTTGATCAGCTCAGCGACTGGATTGTGTCTGGCCTGCTCATTCTCGATCAACCGTCCGATATCGACCCAGTCCATGCCTTGAGCGACAAGACCATTGACTGCAGCTACAGCTTCCTCGACTCGCTCCACATTCGCCTCGATGGCCTGCGCTTTGCGTACATTCAGCTCCTGCACGTTCTGCAGTCCTTCGATGCGCTTTTCTTGCTCCTGTCGAGCCTGTTCAATCCTGCGCTTGGCATTGTCCTCTCGTTCTTGTAGGCGTGACTCGAGCTTTTGGCCTTCAATTGAAGAGAAGAACTCGTCGACTGTCCTGTTGAAGCCCTCGAACTCAATGAAGACATTAGAAGCTTCGCTTTCCAATTGTGCAGGCTTGAAAGGGTGGAAATCGTCATACATGACATTTTGAGAGGAATCGGCAGCCTCGTCACCTTCTCGAGGCGCTTTACGCTTTGCGAGAATATATCCCTTGGCCGTCTCTGCGGAAGTGATGTCCGCGATCACCTTCTTGGCCGCCTCTAGAGCCGCCAGAACCTGATCTATATGTGCATCGCTCGCGATGACCTGCTCGGGCTCTATTGTACGATCCACACCTGTGACATGCAAGGCATGGTCAATCAGGATGGGTGGGAATTCGGTTGTAGTTACAGCCAACGCCCTCCTGAGAGCATCGCCTGCTTTCTTCTTGGGCTTTTTCCCAGGCTTTTGCGCCTCCGCTTGCTGCTTTTGTACTGCCTTTTCCAGTCCATCTTTTAGCCTCTCGCGGGTCAATTCCGGCACTCCCTCATAGTTCTGTCTCAACGAGAGGTTGTATTTCAGCCCAAGCCTATATTGCTCATGCTCTTCGCCTTCGTTCACTGAACGCAGCAGTCCCAGTATCGTGAGCTCGTTGTCGGTGAGGACAATATTGCCGCCAGCATAGAACTCGAGGAACAGCCTGTACGAGCCATCTGAGAACTCGATCTCGATGACTCGGTCGGTGCCGATCTGCTTGACAGCTGTGCAACGTCTCGTTCGTAGAAATTTGCGTAATCTAGCAACGAACGGTGAGGGCGCGGATGCAGTCGCTCGAGCAAAGCTGGTGAGATGGCAACGGAAGCCTGAGTCGACAATGAGCTGCTCTCGATGATCTGGTTTGGCGAACTTGAGGAGGAAGATGCGCGAGGAGAGATCGTAGACGTTGGCAAGGCGAAGGGTGACCAGTGCGTTTGAGAGCTCGTGAGCGATGACTCTGACGTCCAAGGACGAGAATCTCTGTTTCATGTTGTCCTGCAGAGGTTGTTGTGATGGAGGAGAGGGCAACAAGGTGGTTGTGTTTCTTTAGAAGTCGTCCAATTCGAGACTCCGCAATGCGTCATCGCGGCGGCGTCGCTTGCATTCTGCCACCGCCCGAGCAAACACATGCACTTCGTCTCCTCCATCACAACACACTTCGAAACACAGACAAGCACAATCACATCCAAGGCGACGGTCATTGATGGGCATCACATACACGGGCTCGTATGAAGGTATTACGTTCTAAGCCGCAAAGTCGCGCCACACCAGACGTCTCGAACAACAGCTTCAATGCCTTCGTCGACTCTTGACCTTGCTTCCTCGCACCTGCCACCAATGGATACAAAGTTATGGAGGTCATAGCTACAACATGCAGCTTTCATGGAAGACAAAACGAGATCTTGGTCCTGGCCTCGTGCCACCGACGCTGTCTGCAGCGATCAAAACTACGTCGATTTTGTCGAGAGCAAGACGCACTCTGGCATCGCAGCGATCCAAGTCATGAAGGAGAATCGACACCCACGAGTCAGTCGGATCGTGATAGTCCTGCCTTCAAGGATATGATCCATCCACACCGTCTCCAAGGCGAGTCTTGAGCCTGTGAGTGGTTGTCTGTAGTAGGCGCCCTTTCATTGTCCCAGGATCCTCCCACAACATTACATGAAGAAGAAACAAACGCTCGGCATGTCTCTTCATCGCCGTCTCTTTCCCATTATTGCGCTATTCAAGGACATTCCAATCTTCAAGGTCCTTGGCAAGACTGCTGGTGGCGCTTCTGGTATGGCCTCCCCCTTCTCCTTCAAGAATCTTCCATGACTTCACAACAACCAGCATGTTCGACGAGCATCTGGGCAACACGCTCTTGCAGGCGTTCTGTCACCTAGTGCTTATCTTGGCGAGCCTCGAAATTGGAAACAATGACGAAGGGTAGATGGCCTGTACGGCGTACGCAACGTCAACGCGAACCACCGATAGGCAGAGACTCTTGGCCGACCATCACTCCCCGTGTCCGTGTTGGAAGCTCCAATCACTGCTCTTGCGCAAGATAGGGCACGTCTTCGAGTTGACTAGCCCTCGGTCGTATCGAAGAATGCCCTCCGCGTCCAAGAGAGATATGGCCATGTGACCAAGGACATCCAAGCTCTTTCTGACCGTCCCATCCTACCGTCACATACGAGATGCCCACGAAGTGAAGGTGAGACAGCCTCCCAGATCTTCGGCGCTTTTACAACAACCACAATGTAAGCAGAACGAGTGTCCAATTCACCGATGACACCTCACCAACCACGCGCACGTGGTGTCCATCTGAAAGGGATCTGGGCCAGGATTCGTCGCGGCTGTGGCGTCCAAGAGGGTTAGCCTCCTTCACCAACGAGCGAGCCTTGTCGACGACCACCACCTCAACAATAGCGCCGACGTGCTACACTGACTAGACATGGAGTCAGCATGTACACCAGCCCAGTAACTGTGCGGTCGTCGTCTCGAGGCGCACCCTAACCAACCAAGCAAGCCGCCGAGCTCGATGACCGCCTTGCCTATTCCAACCAACTCGCAGCAGCATATAACCAGCGCCTTCTCATCCGCAGCGCCAAAAGCGAGAGAGCAGGACAGGATTACCTGGGACGGCAACCCACGATCTACGCCGCCGCACGATGTCATGTCCAGCTTTAGCACGTGCCGGGCTTGGGGGGATGCAAGAATCTTGCAGGACCGACCGACGTTTAGGCGCTCCACGACCGGGCGGCGGAGGAGGAATCTTGAGACGCCCTACTTTCACTCCCGTCTGCTTTTCGTTCCACCCTATAGGAGCATTTGCTTTTGCAATCAGCCTCCTTTCTGAGAGACGATGCTCCGGCTTGTGGTGAGATTACCAGCGACCAGGCTGAGGACAATAACGAGCAGCGTGCACCGCCATGGGCAATCCATGACGATGAAACGTAGCGCTGGGTCTGATTGCTTCCCACGGACGTGGACGAGATTGAGCATGATGTAAGTGAAGAGACAGGCCGCGCTAGAGGGCTATACATTCCGCAAAGAGTCGTAGTCGCATATGCGAAAGGAGGCAATCCGTCACATGCACAGCGCAGCACAGCACGAGAATTGTGAGCCAGAGGCAGGTCGGGATGTCCTGGTGTTCTTGCTCTCGCGTCTACGTGCAGATGTTGGAGCCGCTTGCGTTGGTCGTCGCAAAGCTGCTGCTGCAAGCCCGTTACCGTGAGGCCCACTCGTCTACGTGCAGCTCTGTGAAGGGCCCCCCTGTGCCGGCCATGTGCGTGTTTTTTTGATTAGGCGAGCCAAGTCAGCCTTCGTGTCGTCTAATTACAATGGAGTGCACTGCCGCACTGTCTTCAGTGACGTCGATGGACATGTGTGCGCGCGTTTGTGTCTTTGACTAATGGTATGAGAAATGTAAGCTGTTGAGCTTGGTTGATTGAGGAGTGAGGTTTCTTGTTGGTAATTTCCTAGCGCACTTCAGGACGGTTGTTAGTCTGGTGCATCCCACGCACTACTCTCCTAGCACCCATTGCAAAGGTGGAGAGGGGTGGTAGTTTTTCGACCGTCTTGCGAAGTAGCGTGAACACCTGGCTTGTCGTCGAGAGCGACGACCCGACGAGGGTGGTATAGGTAGGCGATTGACGGCGTGAGCAACCTTACCAACCTGTTGCAGCTGGGCGTACATATCGTCTTGCCGGATCTGGCATCGTTCGTTCACTTCAAAGTGAGACAGCACCGCATACCAGCAAGTGAGACATTTACAAGGAGCCTGGTCGACACAAGCGAAGTCGTGATGGTCTCTCTCCAGCTCCAGCTCTCCGGTAGGAGCCGGTTGGGGCAGCGCCGTCGTGCTGTATGCGGCAGATACCCCGGCTGGGGGATCATGTTAGTCGGAAGTCGTTTCATTGTTTCGAATGAGGATGAGCACTAGCACCATGTCTGCGCAGCTGGTGGTCGATCTCGAGCGAACCAAGCCAATGCCACGACCACGAGCACCTGTTGTAGATCGTGATGTCTTCATTGGGTGGTTCGACATGAATTCATTCCATCTTCTCTAGCTATCTCTTGGTGGAGATGAGCTTCGTACACATCGTACACCTCATGTCTTGCTCTAAGCTCATCGTGGCAACTGAAAGGGCATTTTCCTTTGATGATGGGTTCGAAGAAGGCCCGCCTAAGGTGGCTAAATCGTTTCACCTCACCGCCTTGCGTGCGCATAGCACACCGTCGAGACCCTGCTTCACTAACACCCGCGCTCACGAAGTACTGGGTTGGGCGGCGCCCCAACGATCATTGCGCTTCTTCTTGCCAAAGTGTCTTGGCAGGCCTAGCTGCTCGAAGCACTGCTCATACTCACTAAGCTCCAACTTGCTAGTGATGGTGCATTCGTTGAGCTCGTACCCTTGCTCGAAGAGAGCGGCTGCAACGTCATGTTCGAGTTCGTCGTTGTGCTTGTACAGTAGGACGATGTGGCGGAGCCATTTGATTTCGCACAGGCTTAGCGAGTTGAGCCAGTCGATGAGTGTGCTCACCGACCAATCGTACATCCAGAAAAGAGGTCTCCAGCACTCGAAGATGTTTTCTTGGTAGTACAGAGCTAGCGTCTCTGCTTGAAGTTGGTGAGACACTCTCGTGATGGCTGGTGGTAGTGGCCTGTTGAACCGGTCCATGCGGATCGGCCTCTTTTCGAGGATCCTGCTCCTACGCTGTGGTGAGGTGTGCTTGTCGTGCTTGTCTTCTGGCGCCGGCGTCCACTCCGTAACGGTATGGAGCCATATCAACTCTCGCAGCTCTGCGGGGAGAGCGAGCAGGCGGCAGGTTCCAGTCGACGTGGTGGACTCCGAGGTGTTGGTGATGTGATGAGAAGTTGGACGATGAGACCACATCTCCCGAGATAGGTGAGGTGGCACGACCTCTCGGACGATGCTGTTCTTGGGCTGCATGCCGTTGTCGATGACAGCCGCGACTCTGATGCTGCCGTCGCTCTCGCTCTCCACTACCCTTGGCCTCTTCGCGTCTCGCGAATCTGCACTTGCGTCGTCAACATCCATTCTCACCAGTACACAGTATTTCACGGTACACTACCTGGTGGAGCTGGGTCCGCTCGGCAATGTCGTGGTTGAATGGGTTGTTTTGCGGTACGGACGTAGGTGATTGTGGTTCGCAGATGGAAGTGTCGTCGGAGCCGGCCTAAATCCCGCACGCACCCAAACTTTCACCTCACTTGCCATCAGAAACCTTCTTTGCCCGGCAGCGAGTCTATCACAACTTCATCTCGTCGACATCTTCTCATCTTCATCGCCTTCATCAGTGTTGCTGGACTTTGGCACTCACCTACGAGATTTTGGCATCAGAAAGAGCTGGGAAGGCACATACTGAACGTTGATACGCCAGAGCTACCTACCCTTCCGACATCACCCTCCATTCGACAACATCTACGCCTCGGTCGAATACATTCGAATACACCTCCATCACCACCCCCACGCTTCATCGCCGCCTTCTGTCCAACTACATCTCTCTCCTTTCACCGCCTTTCATACATCGCAAAGCCGACTCAACCCGCCCTTCACAATCTCCTTTTCATGATCATCCACATCATCATGGACATCCCAATTCTGTCCTGACGGGCGTATCGCGGCTACACCACACCCCCAAAAATGGTCCACGACAACACCGTCTCGTGCCAGCTGCAAAGGATGGCGGTTTCGAGCCAACAGACGTGGCGGCTTTCGTTCGCTGAATCCTTCGAAACTCAAATTCCTGCTGTCGCCCGGCTTGCCTGGAGAGGACACAGAAGGCAACTCGTCCAGGTGATCGCAGACATACATCGTTCAACCCATTGCATACTGTTGACGACTCGGGTGGAATTCGGTCACGCGTTTCACGTCGTGCGCGAATGAACAGATCCAGGCCTCACCGCTCGCGAACTCGAGGCGTCCTCTAATATCGCGAGGCGTGTCGTCTGGTCCGAGGGGCGTAGAATTTCAGACAGCAAACGCCTTCAGACGCCGATCTCTGCTATAGTCCAGCCCGTGTTACTATTGCTGAAGAGGCTGCACGTCAGTATCTGTCGAGTCAGTCGCTGACGATGCGGAGCACCTTTGCACATGTTTCCATTCGACCGCCCGCCTGTTTTTGGTTGTTCTGCACGTTGCCGAGCCGAATTCTCCTGCGTCGTGATCTCGGGCGGACTGCTGAACATTGAACCTACTTCTCTTACCGGCATGATGCTCCTCCGGGCCGTGTTCGCTCGGGATGGCGCTGTACAAAGTCTAGAAACGCATGGCTGCCCTCACCTCCTGCGGCAGGCTCTGCATGTAGAGAGGATGTACAAGAAAGTACAACTGCCAGCATCGCCATTTTTCACCGCCTACGTAAAACTGACCACACTCCGTTGTCAACTTTCCTGTGTCATGTGTTCTCGACGATGATTGGCAGCTGTGCCACTTTGACTTTTCCTTCGAGTCAGCTTTCGTAAAGCCTCATTGCATTAGGTTTACGTGGGCCCGCTCGAAACATTCCGGCAGTGCCAACCGAAAGAATGCGCTACAAGTTTTGAATTCTTCTACAATCCTTCTCTTGCTTCCATTTTCAGCGCCGAACGATGTCCGACAAGTGGATGATCGCCACCACTTGTTGCGTGTGTCATGTCAAACTTCAGTGGACTGTTTGATGAGCAGATTAGGTGTGGCGTCGAAGTTCGCGTGGTTCCGTGACTTGCGCAATTCGAGGAAGAATGAGTCGTCCGGTGGTCGGCCCCGATGAGGCTCAAAGTCGTTGAAAGTATCTTGGACTGGTACTTCCAAGAAGGATGCATACGAACGAGTTACGAGTGTCGACCGGGTGGAACTTCTCAAAAATTCTCACCCGTGTGCAGTTGCCGTGTTTCGAAGGAACAAGTTGCTTCTCGCACGAGGTTGTCTCTCTCTCCGTTCATCCTGTCCACACACAGCTCGTGACAGCTCGTGGTCGCAGGGATGGCGCGGTAGGCGATGTCATTTCAGCGTCATACGAGGAGTGACGTTCTATTGGCAAGGTGCGGGCCCAGGTGCGGGTTGTTGGTGAGATTGCATGAAAGTGGCAGTCTTCTCGAACAAAGCGGGCTGGCAGAGACGAGGTTGAGATTGGCCATATATGGATTTGAGTTTGCAGAAAATGCTCAAGCGCCATGCAGACGCAGGTCGACCGTTGTTGAAGCTCGTCTCGTGCAGCTTACATCAAGGTACATAGCAGAGGTCAAGGGAAAGATTCGGAAGAGAGTGTGCGCCAACGCTGCAGTGAACGAGAGGTTCCCTGCACGAGTCAAGGCGGTGGACAACCATGTCTGGGCGGCTGGGATGGACGGTTGACGGTGCTCTGATTGATGCAAACATGCACGTGCACCCCGCGGTCTGATGTAAAACATCCCCGGCAACATGCCCAATTGGGAGAGTCGGGCCCGAGTTGGGAGTCGTGAGGCCAATGCTCCGAGATGCCAGTCGATTTGCGTGTCAGAAGATCGTGATGTTTGGACGGGCGAGGTAGCGCAAATTTGCGGCAGCTGCGAGATGATGTTGGGTGAAGAATGGGCTCGCTCGAGCACTGCCGGAGCGCTAGGGGTGCAGAGATTGCTGTGGTTGCGGGGCCCGTCTCGTACGCGCAGCAGAGCGAGTGGATACAGGCTGAAAGCAGTGACGATGGCAGTGGCAGCCAGACAGGAACAAGTAAAGTCACGCAGGCCAGGTCCAGGGACAGGCTCGCGGTTAGCTCGTCAACGACAGCTGGGAGCGGGCCTGCTGGGGGAGAAGGGGTTGGCGTGTGGATCTGGTGCACAAGTACCGCCCAGGAGGGGAGGGCGAGGACGCGCGTGGTATGGCGCGAATCGCTTGCATTCCAGCGTGGTCCAGAGGATAGGCGGCAGACCGCAGACATGGACAGTGCGGGCGATACGGAGGGGATGGGTACCGGCCAGGAGGAGCAGAAGGGTCGCGGCCAGGACCAGCGTGGGAGCGCACCCCTCGCCCGGCGTGCTGCCGCTGCGTGGACGTTTGATTGCGACACACGGGCGGCGGTGGACCGCTGCCAGCGCAGGACAGGGCTGCTGGGAGGTGAATGTTGCTGCTGCTGGCAGCTGTTCTGCTGCGGTTTTGCTGTGCTGCTGCTAGCGTCGCCGTCCGCCCGCCACTTGTTTCGACAGATAGAGTTTGAGCTTAACGGGCGGGCTGGCGTGCGCTAGAGCGGCATCATCCATCCTCTGCGCTGCACCTCACGCTGCTGCAAGCGGGTGCTTGGCCTGCTCGGACGACGCTCGCTCGCCTGTCTGTGCACCGACGACTGCTCCCATCCTCGCGGTCGGTCAGTCAGTCAGTCACTGTCAGTCGCTTTGGCTTTGGCCCTGCCGCCCAGCGTGACCTGTCGTCCTGTCCTGACCAGCAGCAGCCGCAATAACGCCCTCCCACCGCACGCGTGCTGCCCGCGCCTGGTCTGAGCATCGCACCCCATCCCATCCATCCATCCACATCCTCGTGCCCAGTGATCCCAGTCTTCGGCCGCCACTTGCCGCAGCGCAAGTTATCAGTCGGCCTACACTCCATCGATCGACTGCCACCGTAAGTACCGCTCCCATTGTATCAGCGCCCTATTTACCGGCGAGCCCGCGCCCATCTTCGCGCGACTCCGCGCTACACCTCTGGGGCTCCAACTCCAACGCCCAAAGCCCACCGTTGACCCGAATGTCTGCCGCCGTCATGTCGAACTATTACTCATCGCAGCTCCAGGTGCACAACTGGATGCTCGCGCAGATGTCCAACTACCCGCCGCCGCCCCAATCCGACCAGCAGCAGCACTACAACGCCCTCTACCCGACCTCCGCCGGCGCCCAGCAGCTGCTGGACCCCGTGCAGAGCGAGCAGCTCCAGTTCAGCAGCCTGAACCAGCCAATCTACCCCAAGGTCGAGGGGGCCGCCCAAGGCCATCAGAGTCCCGGCAGCCAGCACATCCAGTCCCTCGCCCAGGAGCTCCAGCACCATGCCGCACTCGAGGAGCAGCAGCGCCATCACATTCACCATGCCGCAGCGCAGCTCCAGCAACCGACGCCCGTGACGAGCCACCCAACGAGCGCGGGAGGCCATTCGAATGCGCCCACGCAGACCTCTACTCCGGAACAGCAACCACAGAAGACGAACCGTCTGCGAAAAGCATGCGACTCGTGCAGCATCCGCAAAGTGAAGGTGAGTTCTCCCTTTCCTTTCCAATCACGTGGATATCTAAAAACTGACTTTGGCTTCAGTGCGACGAAACTGGCCCGCCATGTAGAGCTTGCGCGGCACTCGACATTCCATGCACGTTTGATCGACCTAGCAGACGACGAGGGCCACCGAACCGACATGCCGAAGCCATCAAGCGAAGACGCCTCGAGGAAGCCCAAAGCGCGGCATCACCCGGCATGTCAGGCACCTCATCTCCGACCTCACCAACACACGCAGCGCAGGCACTTGCAGCTCTTTCCGGTCATTCCTCCACACCGCTTTCCGCAGAATCGATTTGCCCGATTGAGACACTGGATCTCTTGATAGACGACTTCTTCACATACATCCACCCGCTATGCCCATTCCCGCACGAGCCCAGTTTCCGCGAGGCATGGAAGCACCGAGAGGATCTGTCCAACAAGTCGTTCCTGGCTTTGTTGGCGTCGATGATTGGAGCACTGGTTGCATCTTTCCCAAGAAAACCACGCTTGCATCTAAAGGCACAGAAGCGCGAGAACCTCTTCCCCAATCACATGAGTCTTGTGCATAGATGCCAAAAAGTCTGCGCAGCAGCGCGTGGCCCAGGATACCTCGAGCAAGAAACTTTGAACGTGTATGATGCGGCCACCAGCTACTTCCTCGCACTCACGGGCATCTACACCTTCAGATGGCGTCTGGGTCGGCTATACTTCGGCGAATGCTTGACAATCCTTCGGACGCTTGGCCTGCATAAGGCGAAAGGCCAAAGCTACCCGCAGTTGGGCACACTTCCCACTGCAATGGGATCCCATCAGCAGCCAGGCGAGAATGGAGCTGAGCACAATGTCGACAACATCACCCTCGAGATTGGACGTCGCATCTTCTGGACCATGTTCGTCAGCGTCAAGTCGATGGAGCAGTTGGGCGCCAACTTTGGCGAGCTGGTGATCCCGCCTCCTACCCACACTGAACCTTATCCTCCACTGCCGGCTGAAGTGGACGACTTTTGCATTTATCCGACGCACACGGAACAGCAACCGCAGGGGCTCGTACCGATGATTGCCGGGTTCAATGCGAACGTCCGCGTATACAGCTCGTACAATGCGCTCGCTACGATGGAAATGGCGTGGGGTATCGACGCTATCGTCGACTGGGATCGCCAAAAACGAGTCCTCCATGAATCGCTTCGACGATGCAAGAGTGCCATGACAGATCTGCCAGCAGACTTGACTGTGCAGACGAACGCACCTACACCCAACCAGCAGAATGGTGGATTCTACCCAGCCTTTGCGCAACCCCATCTTGGAAGAGATCCCGCAGCCTCTCTCATGAGCCCTTCGTCTCGCGTTGCCGCAGAGCAGAGCGCAGAGGATCGTCGTCGCTCTCAGTATGAGATCCAAAAGGCAAACATCTACGCTTCCAGCTTGGCGACTCGATCGTACATTGTCGAGAAGTACTGGAACCTGTGCGAAGCTCATCAACGATCTCGCACACAGAACCCAAGCTCCTTGCCAAGCTCACCTGGTGCTGGCATCACTGCTGCCGGTATTGACGGCATGGTTCCTCAAGTGCCCACGAGCCACTACGACATGGTCGAGAATGAGATGAAGGAAGAGAGGGAGAGCATCGTGAAGGACCTCCTCGTCGTCCTGGGCAGCATCGATCAAGTGAACATGGAGCCCAACGCCGACTCATTCGTAAGTACCAGTTACTCATCCTGTCGTCAATCTATACTAACCTCACTCCCAGACTATGAAGATCCGATCTATTGCCAGCACCCTCCTCGAGGTGCCCGATCAACGCAAGGGTCCCCTCGCCATTCAAGCTCAAGAATACCTGAGCGCATTCCTCAAGATCCTGATGAAGCTGGAGCGCGTCAGCCCAGCCAACAGCGACGCCGACCAACCTGAAGACGAAGACTCGGAGCTCCGCACGTGGGCCGACCTCCGCGAGTATCAGATGAAGTTTGCACAGCAGGGTGGCCTGCTTTGTTTGTCTTGAAATGCACATTACGCATACGCACACGAAGAAGAAACAAAGGTCTGCATTTTACACGGTTGGCGTGGCTTGACTGTATGATGGTGTGATTATGCTCGATACCCATGGGCCGAATGTGCTGTTGTTGTTGTTGGTTGGTGGATGGCGCAATGGGAAACGGCGGATGGAGTCTGTTGACCTTTTGAGAGACCACGGCGATTGGTCTCTCGTGGTCGTAAGGGGGGTTTTATTGAGATTGTTGCTGCTTCTTTCTCTTCTTTGTGCCGTGGCGTTCTGCAAGGGACGACGATTCGGCGTTTGTTGTTGCTGGTGATGATGAAACGGGGTTCGGGCGTCATTTTAGCATAGAGCATTGTTGTTGTCGTTGTTGTATGTAGTGTAAAAAGACAGTCCTGCTCAACGACTTTGAACTGTCATTCAACTTGTCCAACTACTCTCACTTCCAAACCTTCTTTATCTATCGTCATCGTCGTCGTGGTACTTCTTCTAAGCACCAATGACCTTCTCAGCGGCACTCTCATTCACACCCGTGTTATCTAATAACCCAGCCTCATCAGCCTATATGTGTTGGTGGAATTATTGATGAAGATAAACATACCAGGCTCAATATGCACCGACTTGACCTTCCCATCCTCCGTGACAATCGCATGTCTCTTGTACCTCTTGTCGCCAAACACGGCGGGGCCTTGGAAGAGGACGTCCAATTTGGAGCCGAATTCTTCGGAGGGGTCGGCGAGGAAGCGGATCTATATGGAGAAGAAGGGGGTTTTAATATGTATGATGGGGTTGGGCGGTCGGGGTTGCTCGGTAGATGGGAGGCGGTTGTGGAGGTGGGACTTACGCCGCTTTTGCTTCCTTTGTCGAGGTCTTCGGCCCAGGCTTTCATGCTGTATGTCGTCAGTGTTGTTGTTAGAGAGGGTATTATTGGGTATGTATTCGGTCTCTTTCTCCTTTAAATGTTGACTTACACGAAAGGATCGTTCACGGAGACGACGTAGACTTTGCCGGCATCTTTCAGTTTCTTGGAGTTGATGTATTCGGGGACGTGGCGGGCGGAGCAGGAGGGGCCTGTTTGTGTAACAGTGTATTAGATCCGATCGATCTTGATCTTGTGCTGTTGGTGTTGGTGGAGGCTGAGATCTTGGTGAGACTGACTGAACGCTGCAGGAACACCGACGATGACGCCTTTGCCTGAGGCGAGTTCTTTGGCGAGGTTGACTTTGGTTTCGGGGCCCTCGAAGAGCTCGACTTCGGGGATGGGGTCGCCTGCTTGGACCATCTTGAGTGATGTGGTTAAGTTGATTGCTTGGGAAGACAGTGAGAGGAGTATTCGAGGAAACCGAGTACAAGATGAGACGAAATGCTTAATAGTAATCACTTATATCGTCCTGCTGGATTTGAGATGCTTCAAGATTTACAAATACCTTGCGAGCTCTGCAGAGCTCTACGTCAATCGTCGACCTCGAGTCGAAGGTGGAGGAAGAGCTCACCTTCGCAGTCCACGAAAGCCACGGCGGAATGAGCACGCGAATGGTCCACGTGATAAGGCGGGCGCGTGCTAAGAAAGTGAATTTGGGTGAGGCGTCTTCATTTCGCCACCACAACCACGCGTGACTGCACATGTGGCTTTGGCTGTGAGCAAGTCCGAAACGGGCAGAGCGAGCTTCCCATTGGAGATGACGCGATAAACGGAGCTGAGAGTTTCCCAGGCGATCCTCTCTCATCGGCCGGCGAGCAATTGGTGGATAGATAGCCGAGGCCGCTAGCCTATAGCAAGTGTTGCTTTTGGCGAGTATAGCAGCTGCCGGCGGTGGTGGAGGAGAGGCGAGAGATGAGCGGAGAGAGGGGGTGTATCCAGGCGGATCTTGGGAGATAGATGAAGGGTCGCAGCGGCGAGCAGATCAAACCGGCAGTACCAGGGCGCCGCAGTGGGCGGTTGCAAGGAGCCTTGCTGGTGGTGGCATTTTGGGCGACAGACGGGGAGGGAATTCCAGGACACGGCAAGCAAGGAATGCAGCCGCGGCGATCCTCGACCAAATCAGCCCAAAGGAGCGAGCAAGCGAGCGCTTCTGAGTGCTGAGCGACAGCCACCGAACCGGGCATTTCACTGATCAAGGACGGCGGGGCGCTGAGGTGAGGTGCGTCGGTGCAAGAAGTTGCTTGTCTGTCTGCTTGCCTGTCTCTCCATCGCCGCCGCTGCCGCCGCATCACCCAGATATCGCCCCTGCACGATTATTCTTGCATTCAGGGTGTGTTTTTGGGAGTGGGCGTTGACGCACTGGACGTGGAGACAACACACTGTTCTCTTCCCTCTTCACCTCTGCTGCTGGCGCCGCTCCAAACCTTGTCCTTCCCCGACCACCCTCACTCACCTCACATCACTCTCGTGGCTCGCGCGCACCTCTTCCTCACCTACAACGTCGCTACCGCTCTTTGTGCAACTGTTTCGGCCTGTCTGGACGTCTTGGGATCTCTGCTCTCCCCTTCTGCGCCCCTTCGCGACTGCATTGGATCGACCGACGCCGCCCAGTCCACACGGCTTCATTCCCGCGAGAATCGCAAACACAAATGACATAGCTCTCGCATATTTCCATTACCCTGCGGCCATCCGCCCGCGCTCCTCGACCCCGATACCCCAGACCACGCGCCGACTGAATCGAGTCTTTTCCATCGGCAACGCGCGCTCGCGCACGAGAATTTGATGCGCTATCGCTAGGATGGATAACAGTCAGTCTGGCCAAGGGACCAACAACTCCTCGGACTTTGTACGTGTGCCCTGAAAGATCGCGGGAGAGTGTGTATGATGAAGAAATGCTAACGCGCTGCAGGTCCGCAAACTCTACAAGTATGCGAAATGCGATCGCCGGGCCCCGTTGCGCGTTGCTGACACGATGACTGCAGGATGTTGGAGAGCCCACAGGACGAGAGCGTGGTGAGATGGGGGAACGAGGGCGATTCGTTCGTGGTGCTGGAGAATGAAAAATTCACAAAACACATACTGTACGCGGGAGATATAGGCGAAGCGCTGGGGAGATATGCTCACAGGATGGCAGGCCGAAACACTTCAAACACTCCAACTTTGCCAGTTTCGTGCGGCAGTTGAACAAATACGACTTCCACAAAGTGCGGCATAACAATGAAGAAGGGGGCACTTCACCGTATGGGCCGGGGGTAAGATTTGTGGGAGTATGTTTTGGTGGGAAATGCTCACACGACAGCAGGCTTGGGAGTTCAAACATCCCGACTTCAAGATGAACAACAAAGATGCTCTGGACAACATTCGGCGAAAAGCACCTGCACCGCGGAAACCCAATGCGATGAGCGATGAGCTCGTACCTACTCAACAGATGGACCTAGTGAACACGCAACTGGTCGCAACCCAACAACAATTACAGCAATTACAGGAACGATACAACGAGCTAAGCATGCATCACTCCATGCTCTTACAGGAGGTGATTGGGGTGCAAAAGACGGTGGTCAACCACGAGCATGTGATGCAATACGTCATGAACTTTTTGAACTCTGTGGATGCGCAGAGACGGCGGGAGAGTAGGATCGTGAACCCGAATCCCTTTGCAGCAGCGAACAACGGAACCTCGAACGGAACCGCAGCCGCAGATTCAAATACGACCCCGGTGCCACCAGTGGAAGAGGAACCACCCGCATCGCCTTTGCAGCATGCCTCCAAGCTCCTTACCGAAGTCAGCGCGGATCATATGCTGAATACTCGAAATCTGGAGCAGATGAATGAAGCATCTATGCGAATGAACCACAATCTCACAACACCGCCGCCAGACGTGGCAGCTCGGAACGGCACACGATCATCAAGCAGAGGAGCGCAACCTCATTCAGCGGCTTCGTCCAGCTCGGCAGGCTACGATCTCGATACTCTGGTCTACCCGATCGGCCACACACAAGGAATCGATCCCATGTACAGCGAACACATCAATAACATTCCCTATCCATTGCCATCGAAAGGAACAGACGGAAACTTCCAGCCTGCACCGCAGCCGGAGCAGCGCAAGAAGAGTGCACAAGTGGACCCTGGCTGGGTTCGCCAACCCCAGATTCTCCTCGTGGAAGACGACCAGACATGCAGACGCATCGGAGGAAAGTTCCTTTTCGCTTTTCATTGTTCTATCGATAGCGCAGTAAGTTTTGCAAAGTATGGATGCTTCTGCGTGCTTTTGCTAACGTTTGGAAGCTTGACGGTCTGGAAGCTGTCAACAAACTCAATTCTGGTTCGAAGTATGATCTGGTCTTGATGGATATCATCATGCCCAATCTTGACGGAGTATCTGCGACACATCTCGTACGACAATTCGACAACACGACACCGATCATTGCGATGACCTCCAACATTCGAAGCGACGACATCTCGATGTACTTCCAACATGGTAAGCTAACATGGTTGGTTCAAATCTTCATTCGAGCTAATGCAGGACAGGCATGAACGATGTCTTACCCAAACCATTTACCAAGGAGGGCTTGCTGAGCATGTTGGAGAAGCATCTAACCCACCTGAAGAAGCAACCTCCAGGACTGGAGATCATGCCGCCACCCCTCAATTCAGCCAAGAGGAGCTTAAAGAGCGAGGACTCACCAGCCACGTCACCGGCGACTGGTAGCACTTGGAACTCACCGAATCAACTCACCGCCGGTTCGCCGTCTGCAAGCAACCTGACAGACGATCCATATATGGCGAATCAGCCGTACGGTCAGCCGAACATGCCTCAACACGTATACGCACCTCAGCCTGGACCGCCGGGTAATCTTGTAATGCCGCCCCATCAACGAGGACCCCCAATGGCAGGTGCACCTCAGCGAAGAGGCATAAACGAGATATCTGGTGGACCTCCCGAGATGCAAGATGCGAAGCGACCAATGTATGCGCCTCCACCGCCGGGTCCTGGGATGCCGCACATGCAACAACAGATGCCACCACAGCACATGCAGCAGCGGCCGCCGCGGTGACGAGATGATCTGCGCTATTTCGATGAGTGATTTACCATCGCATCTATCTCCCCCCCTGTGTGCTTTCCGTACATATGTAGATACCTTGAGATTTTTTGAGGTCAAACGGAGACACTTTCCCCCTTTTCCAGCAGGTGGAACGGATTCTTTTGGGTGGATTTCAGAGAAGCGAGGAGATGTGGTGCATTTTCTGCGTCTTTCTGCTTTGTTATAGCTGGATCTAGTTGCTTGACTGGATCTGATGAATCGGTGCTGGGTACTGGGTGCTAGTTGGGACAAGGGAGTGCTACCTAGGAAGTTTGAAGGGTAGTAGGTAGAGAGGCTCTTACGAGAGTCTTCAATGCGAGGAGAGAATTAAGAACCGTTCGTGTCTCATTCTAATGTCAAGTCGTATACTTAGTCTTATAAGTAACTCCAATACGTTCACAAGGAGAATAGATTGAGTCTCGCATGCTGTACATGTAGGCTAGCGCATTGCAGAAGAGGGCCGTGCGCCGTCTTGGCGCTGTGAGTCGAACCTTTGAGAACTTCAAGTCTGGACTGCGACTTCAAAAGTCACCACTCTCGACCGGCCGAACTTATTAACAGCTTGCAGACTCAATTCCGTACTCCGAAAACGGTATTTGACTGCGAGTCATCGATCAACTCTTCCATCTAGGCGGCTGACCTACAATTTCTGCTTGTGCATCCCCAAGGCCAACTCACCCGCACGGACAGCATGCCGCCAAAGGGCAAGAAAGGCGGCGGAGGCGCCAAAGACAAGAAGGGCGGAGAAGAGGAAAGACAGGAACCTCTCCAGGCGGTGGTACTATGCGACTCCTTTGAGACTCGATTCAATCCCTTCACCCTCGAGCGGCCGCGGTGTCTCCTTCCTCTAGCGAACACGCCACTCATCGAGTACACCTTAGAATTCCTCGCAGGGTCTGGCGCCGAAGAGGTTTTCTTGTACTGCGGCAACCACACAGATACGGTCGAGGAGTATCTCCAAAACTCGAAATGGCTAAGCAACACGGCGCCTTTCTCGCTGGAAATTATTCGCTCGACATCGAGGTCCGTTGGTGACTGCATGCGGGATCTGGATCAGAAGGGATTGATCGTGAGTGACTTCATCTGCGTGTATGGCGATGTTGTGGCGAATATCTCTCTAGAGGGCGCACTAGCCGCTCATCGCGCGAGGAGGGAGAAGAATAAGAATGCGATCATGACGATGGTGCTGCGTGAAGCGGGGGAGAACCATCGGACGAAACCAACGCATATGCGACCGACTTTTGTGATTGATCAGGACACGGGCAGGTGTGTGCATTACGAGCAGATTCGACCGGGACAGAGTCCGATGCTGGATGTTCCAGGAGAAGTTCTGAAAGACCATGTGGATCTGGATGTGCGTGAGGATCTGATCGATTGTGGGATTGATATTTGCACGCCGAATGTGCTGGCGCAGTATACGGACAACTTCGACTGGCAATTGCCCAGACGGGGGTTTCTCTACGGCATTCTCAAGGACTTCGAGACGTTCCAGCTTACGATTCACACACACATTGTTGCGGAGGAGTATGCGGCCAGAGTCAAGAATCTGCAGGCATATGATGCGATCAGCAGGGATGTTGTCTCGAGGTGGACGTATCCTCTCACGCCAGACACGAACCTAGTGGCCGGCCAGACGTTCCAGCTTCACAAGGGGAGTGTGTATCGTGAAGAGGGAGTTGTGTTGGCGAGGTCCAGCAATGTTGGCCGGAACTGCGTTTTGGGAAAGGCTACGTCGGTGGGTGATCATTCGAATATCACAAACAGTGTGATCGGACGGAGATGTGTGATTGGCAGCAGGGTGAAGATTGATGGTGCTTACATTTGGGATGATGCACGTATTGACGATGACACGATCATCGAAAAGGCCGTCATTGCGAACGAAGCCTCCATTGGCAAGCGCTGTAAGATCGACCAGGGTGCGTTGATCTCGTACGGCGCGAAGGTGTCGGATGGAACTACAGTATCTGGCGATCGAAGAGTGACGACGCTCAAGAGGAAGCGGGGTTACGAGAAAGACGAGGTTGTCCAGGTGCCTGCAGATCCGAAGATTGTTGGTGAGGATGGAATCGGCTATCACATGCAGTTCGACGAGGATGAGGAAGAAGAGGTGGCGGAAGCATTACTCGTTGGTCTCCAGAATATGGATCTCACCGTTGACGACATCTCGACATTTGACTCGGACGAAGACGATGAGGACGACTACGAACCATCCCACGCACGAGCTGGATCGACGAGGAGTGACAGCTTTGCATCGATTGACTCAGAGGAGAGTGGCGAGAATAAGAGCAGCGTGCAGGAATTCCACCGCGAAGCCGTCAACAGCTTGTTCGACGACATGAAGAAGGGCACAGATCCTGACACCATGCAACTCGAGCTGAAGAGCATGCGGTTGACGGCTAATGCTGAAGACAAGCAAGTTCGACGAGCTCTGGCGGTGGCCTTCAACAAACGAGTTGCGAACCTCATCGAGAGCGGCAAGTCGCCCAAGGATGCTGCTGCGACGCTGTTTCCAGAGTACAATCGTCTGGTGAAGGGTTGCGTGTCATCAGATGAGGAAGATGAACAAGCAGAGTTTCTGCTGTTCATTCAGACAGATCTCACGCATCGCGCTCAAGGCGAGAAGATGATGCTTTTCCTGTCGAATGCCCTTGCTACGAACGACCTGATTGAGCCGGACGGGTTTGAGAAATGGTGGAACGACGAGCGGAGTACGGCGAGCGAGCAGTTAGTGGCTATTAGAAAGGACACGGAGCAACTGGTGAAAGTGCTTTGCGAGGATGACGAGGACGACAGCGAGGAGGAGGAGTCTGATGAGGATGAGTGAATGAACGCTGCGTGTTTCTCCACTAGCGCGTCGTGAGTGAATAGACTCAGCGCTATCGCCGCATTCGGCGTGTTTCTGCAGGCAGCTTCCCGACAGAGACGCCTCTTAAGTAAAGTGCAAGTTGCGAGGTCTTTAAATACATACATACATGTTCCTGAAAGACTCTGCAACAAACAAGACATACACTCGCCCACCTTCTTGTCCGCTTCGCTTGGCCCGCATATCTGCGGTTGGGCCTTCTTTGTTCGTCATTCACCCGGATCCGTGCAGCGGGTGCCTTATGTCAGCAGCAGGGTCGGGGCCTTGGGTGTCATAGGGTGCCTTACATCTCCCTCTTGCAACATCAGCTGCCCTCCGCCGCCACAGCACACGCCGACTGTGACTCTTGTCGTTTGCTGCCTTGCCAGAACCGACCACCGCCCGCCCAGTCACTCACTCACCGCCACCTTCCCTCCCCCCCTTCTACCACTCGCCGGGTTGCTTTCCAAGCAGCTCGCGCACTGCAACTCCGTCACCACGCCTCCGCCGACGACTCGCAAGAGGAAGTTGGACACCACCACCACCACCACCACCACGGCGCCCGCCCTCGAGAACTCGCCCGACTCCTGCACCCACCGCAAGGCGAGTAAGACCGCCCACCCAGACTCGGCACAACTTGTGGACGCCGCCGCGCTGCCGGCTACTCCACAGACGCTCGCCTCTGATAAGCCCATGGATTCCGACGATGATTTCAATAGCCAGGTGTCCTCCGAGGACATGGACCTGGATCTGAATGATGCCGATAGCAGTGTGGATTTCGGGGCGGCCGGTAAGTTTTGCAGTCTTGCTCTATGACAAAGCCTCGCGTGACTGACTGACTGACAATGACATCAGACTCGGACGTTGACCTAGACGATGAGTTCGCAGACGAGGGCGCCTTCGATACTCAGGACAAGGATCTGAAACCACAGAGGAAGGCATTCGAGGTCGACTTCAAGGTGTACAGCCCCGAGGACATTCAGGCACAGCAGGACAAGCAGGTGGCTGAGGTGGCTACGCTGCTCGAGCAACCACATGAACAGACGGCCATACTATTACGATTCGCGAGGTGGAATAAGGAGCGGCTGATTGAGCAGTACATGGACAACCAGGAGGAGGTGCTGGAGAAGGCTGGTTTGGGACAAGATACTGCGAGGGACCCACCTCGGATTGAGACTATCGATGGCTTTGCGTGTGATATCTGCTGCGAGGATGAGCCGGGTCTGCAGAGCTTTGCCATGAAGTGTGGACATCGCTTCTGTATCAACTGCTACCGACAATACCTGGGTCAGAAGATTCGGGAAGAGGGTGAGGCGGCGCGGATCAAGTGCCCTGGTGATGGCTGCAATAAGATTGTGGACTCCAAGTCACTGGATCTGCTTGTCACATCCGACCTCACCGACCGATACCACGAGCTCCTCATGCGCACATACGTGGACGACAAGGACAACCTGAAGTGGTGCCCCGCACCTGAATGCGTCTACGCAGTGGAATGCGGCGTGAAGAAGCGTGATCTCGGCCGCATCGTCCCTACCGTTCACTGTGACTGCAAACACGACTTCTGCTTCGGCTGCACACTCGCCGACCATCAACCTTGCCCGTGCTCACTGGTGAAGAAGTGGCTGAAGAAGTGCGAAGACGACAGCGAGACTGCGAATTGGATTTCGGCGAACACAAAGGAGTGTCCCAAGTGCAATTCCACGATCGAGAAGAACGGCGGATGCAATCACATGACTTGTCGAAAGTGCAGGCATGAATTCTGCTGGATGTGTATGGGAGTGTGGTCAGAGCATGGCACGAGCTGGTATAATTGCAATCGGTTCGAGGAGAAGAGCGGTACCGATGCGCGAGATGCTCAGGCCAAGAGCCGGCAATCGCTTGAGCGATACCTGCACTACTACAATCGCTACGCGAACCACGAGCAGTCTGCTCGTCTGGATCGGGACATCTACTTTAAGACGGAGAAGAAAATGACCCTACTTCAGAACCAGTCCGGACTCTCTTGGATCGAGGTGCAATTCCTTGAAAACGCATCGCAAGCGCTGCAGCAATGCCGGCAAACGCTCAAGTGGACGTACGCATTCGCATACTACCTCGCTCGCAACAACCAAACCGAGATCTTCGAGGAGAACCAGAAGGATCTGGAGATGGCGGTCGAGAACTTGTCGGAGATGTTCGAGAAGCCGGTCGAGAGCCTCGCGGGTCTCAAGGTGGAGATGATGGACAAGACGTCGTATTGCAATCGGCGGCGGATTATCCTGCTGGATGATACGGCGAAGAACTTGAAAGAACGTGAGTCGATCCGGAATGAAAGTGATGGGAATGTGGTTCATAGAAAGCTGACTTTACAAACAGAGAACTGGGAGTTCAATGTGGATCTGAGCTAGACGTCCTCGGGTCCCCCTTTGCGCCCCATCATGGAACGCCCTCGCCGGGACGATCTCCGCGACTTGATCCTCCGCTTCTTCCACAATATGATACGGGACTAGAGAGCATGGCTGTTTAAACGACATGCACAGCGGGAGCTTCTTTTTCACGACGTACGTGTGGCGTTTTCTTGCGCCTGCGCGGAGGTGGTGGTTTTCTCATTAATGATTGACACGATGCATTATGGAATTCTTTTTTCTGCTTTCTGGTGGGCTTACATGGAGCACGGATCATGGTGGTGGTGATGATGGGGAATTGGAGTCAGGTCTGGCACGGCAAGCGACTGATGACGGTGCTCATTTTCCTTCTTCATTAGATTCCCGCATTGAGTCTTACTACATAGCGTGCGAATGAGTACAGAATAGGAAGATGAGAAGAATCATGAACTATACTATGACTTTTTGAGTTGTTGTGTGTAGTGAGTATCCGTCCGTCTACTCTATGAGTTGCGTGCTCGAAAGAAGTTTGGGGGGTTTCACGTTTCTTCCCCTCGACTGTCGCTTCTGTCTGTACTGAAAATTGAACTGCCAAGCCTTCCTCCCTCCCTGCTTGCTCTGCTATAGGTAGATGTCGTAAGTTTTAAAGCAAGATTTTTTACATTGGATGATGTGAATTAGACTTTGAGGTTTTGTCGTTGTCGTCGGTGTGGTTTATGTGGACTGTGACTTTTGGGGTGGTTTGGTTGTTGATTCGCCTTGTAGTTCACGTCGTAAGGTTGTGAGATAGTGCCACAGTGTTCGGCAAGCGTGATCGACTTCGACTTGTGAAACGTACTGTAGATTGACACGTGAAAGTAGGAAAACTGACGTCATCTCAGGAGGTGGTGAGTGAATGACAGAGGAACTTCGGCTCCATGCAACATGATGAAAGCAGGCGGAGAGGGCGGAGAGCAAGGAAGTCGTAACGAGCGCTTCGAAGATTTCTCCTTTTAGAATGAAGGACCTCTTTGACATGTGAGCATGTGAAGATTGACGTCATGTCAGGATGTGGTGAGTGAATGGATACCCAGCCCCCCAGCAGCCCACATCTAACCTCGTCGAAAGATTCTGTCTTCCTCCTGGTATCGAGCCAGGAGATGAAACATCGAGGCAACTAGTAACGAACCCGGTCCTCCTTTTCCTCCACCCGGCGGTCCATCAGGGGGCGAATCTCCTCCGTCGGCAGGCGTGGTCGGTCTTTCGTCATATTGTGGCGAACTAAACGCTCTGTATGGAGTATCGTAGGGAGGATCTCTGTAGTGACGTCTGCCCAGGTCGTTGGTGTGATCAGATGCTGTAAGGGTTAGAAGGGGTCGGTCGAGGACAAGGGAAGGGAGGACATTCTGAACAGCCTCCTGTTCCAGGGGGAGGAGGGGAGGGTGTGTTGTGAAGGGATTTCGTATACTCAGCACCTCTGTCGAGGATGCCGTGGTCGTGAAAGTGGCAAACACCATAGCCTGGTGAGGAGTCGTCGGTAGGAACAGCGAGCGCCGAGAAAGCAGTCAATCGAACTGTCGATCCTCCGTGGAATGAAGTCATAATTCTTCAAATTTTGATAGGAATAGCAAAAGCCCCAGTGAACGGTCAGCGAGTGAAGTCATCTCACTCCAAAATGCCGTCATGTCTTCAAGGGGTGTTGAGGCGTATGACAGCATTCTTTCCGAGGGGGTGGAGGCGAAGAAGAAGAAGAGAGTCGTAGATGCGATGTCAGTGGTTGAAGAGGCGAAGACGAGGGGATAGACGTGGCCAAGACGAGGGGATAGGAAGGAGAGCGGATATGATCGAAGATGATGATGACGAAGATGATGTAGTTGAAGGTGGACAAAGCATGTGATACCGTACCTACCTGGCGCCTCCAAGTTCCAACGCGTCATGGCATAAATCCTTTGCGGACGCGGCCGGTTGTTGTGGCGATGAGTGACGACAGCAACAAAACATCAACAATGCGATGATGCCCTTTGCTTTGTCGGTGAGGGAGCAACGCGTGGCTACGGGGGCCGGCGGAGGGTACCGTACGTTCGATCCTGATGGGAGGTACCAGAGTACAGGTAACGGTGAGGACGTGTGCGCCCCTTGAGGATCAGGGGAGGTAAGTCACGCAGGGCGGCGAGGGAGATGACGGTGTTGCATGCCACCTTCCTGCCAGGTCCGTTGTCTGCATGGGTTGTCGAGGAAGGTGCAGTAGACCACGAGGGTACGTCGAATGGTCGAGGGGAGAGCCAAGATATGACGGTATGGGTGAGGGAGATACCCATCGCGGGCCGTGAGAGACGGCAGGGTCAGCGTATTCGAAGTGTTCTCGTCTCGTCGCATATGCCAGCGGGCAGAAGAGGGCAAGATTTCGACGACCGGGGCGAACATTGGATGGACGAGTCTCCTGAGTGTAGCAATTTCTTTTCGCGCTCCAAGACATCCCAGAAGTCGATATCTCTTGCGTGCACGTTTCTCGAAGCTGTCCTCGTGTGACAGCGACCAATCAGAGCGATTTTCCAGGATGTCAATAGGGCAGCTCAACTCTTCAGATGATGAGCTGCCAGGGACGGTCATACGAAGGGAAGTCTAGGCTGGAGTTGACGGGGCCTGGTGGTGAATCGAGGCTGATGAGACCAGGGAGAGAGTGCGCACATCGACTTGCCCTCTCAGGGGTAGCGGCGTGCATGGCGCTGATTGGGTGCAATAGGGCCTGCACTGGCGGTAACAAACGTCAGTAACCCTCAGATGCTCCAGAGCGCCGGAAACGACAAGCTTCTGTCATCTGTGGTACTGACATCAAGCCTCTTCGAAACTAGGGCGTGAGAATGGCTGTCCTTGCTTCAAACTTCGAGATGAGATATTGACCACGACTTCCTTGCGAGGTCGAGGAGCAAGGCTGCTGTGTATTCTCGCGCCTCCTTCTTTGCCTCTTCGGGAACCTGCCAAGGGTGAGGCCTGAGCCAGCTAGATAGCTGGATAGAGGTACAAAGAGCCTGGTCACCAGGGGAATTAGACCAGGTCCAGGCAGGTGCATGCATACCAGGGCACCCCACGACATCCCCTGAAAGGTAGATCTAGTGTCGCCAAAAGATCAACTTCGTTGTCGGAGTCGCGCTTGGAAGAGAGCGACACTAACGCCTGCGGCTACGTTCGGACGGCGATGTTGCCTCGACTCGAACATCGACACATCAGCCCTGAAGCACGAGAGCGCTAGGTCATTCGCTGTTTCGCAGGAACTGAGGCCCGTCATACCGAGTTCGAGGTACGCAGTTCTCTAGAACAGCAAGCTTTGAAACATGCTGCGTTACCTAAGTCAGATGGATACAACGGAGAGCTTGTGACGATCCAGTGCGCTTCAGTCTGGGTCACCTTGCGAGCGCACCTGTACATGTCTCTCGGATTCTGCCAAAGGAGTTTGCGAGGCACACTTGATTCAAGTGCATTGCAAACAGGAGACCGACGTGAGTCGTGAAAGTGTAGGCTGCGACGTAGCGGCTGCAATCTCGATCTGCCAAGGTTACAGTGCCTAAACCTGGACGAGTGGATTGGCGGTAAGAGCAACGACGGTGACACTGGTCCACACATTGACGGGGTCTTTCCCAGTGCTGGCGCTGAAAGCGAGAGTACTCCCGGCTTGTTAGACATGTTCTGTTATCAAGACTTCAGATACTCCACGACAAAGCAGAGGTCGAATCCTGCTGTGCAACTGCCGAGATTATGCTCTAACGATCGCAGCATCAAACGCGTGTTCTGAGACGCTGCTGACGCGAAAGCACGAATGTTGTCGCTGCACTTGCTCAAAGGAGGAATCCTCCTCTTGTCCGGTCATTCCACACTCCAACCACCGTCTTGATGCAACTCAGCATGTCGCCAAGAGGAGTAGTCGTGGGCCTTGTCGAAGCATGAAACAACCAGCCTTCTAGAACGCAGGGAATGGGGGCTCCCTGCGGCTCAGACATTGACTTCGCGAGGGCATACCAGATGACCATAGTCCCTCGAGGACAGCTTTCCAGGGAGGGCCCTTGCACATCTCCGCATTCTAGAAAGAATCATTCGTTCTCGGAAGGCCGATACCAAACATGACATGCTCGGGCCCGACACTCTTGATTGAGACATGTACTTTCCCGAGCTCGATTCGATAGTCGCAACGATAGTGAGACTCTCGACATCGTTGCAACAGGACTCGCTATTGCAAGCGGGCCGTTTCCATGCGCTCTGCGTTCTGGACTTGCTTGTTTATAAGCTCGTGAAACACTTGTCGAGTTCGTGCGCTTCTCATTTCTGGCTCACGCCACACCAAAGGGACCGGACAAGACTGATGACTCGTGGCCGGCGCGTGGCTTGTCATTGCCCGGTCAGCCTTGCTGGGGATGGTAGCTGGATGCGCGACATCCGGGCCTGTGGTCACTCTTCAGGATTAGTCCGGCTGAGGAGTACACCTGCAGATATCCGATGGTCGCAAATGTGAATGTGTACAAAAGAATCGCAGTGTGCTGACGCGTTCGATAGAAGTTTTGTCCATATTCGACGAAGATCGAACGCAAGAATGTGTGCGAGAGTAGGGAGAGGTGATGGCGGATACAGCGGTGGGAAAGTACCCGTAGACAGGGGCGAAGAGGGTAGAAATTCAAAAGCGTGCTGCTCAGCAGTCGTCGTCAAATAAGCAAGCAACATAGCTGGTTTAGACCTTACTGATCGACGATCGTTTTTGCATGTGTCTCGTCTTTTGCAATCGCCACAACCTTCATAACCGACATGTCATCCATTAACATGAAGTGGAATGCGCCGCAAGAAGGCAACCGACGGCATTTGTTCATCTGGGTCCAGAAGACAATCACCGAAGAAGTCTGCCAGGATCGGGCATCGAGCCTACTCCGGTTACTGGAGTTGCCTTTGGTATGGTCGGAATGTGTTTCCAGCCCAACAACGCCTGTCGATGAACTGGAGACGGAGTGGCCCTATGCTCGAGATGTCAAAGATCTTGTATGCCGCCCAAGGCTTTGAGACATCGTCGCCTTTGCTCCAGCATCATGACAACCCGGTCGAAGGAAGACAAGTCGATTGCTGGGGGAGCCGAACGTAGAGCCAGTTGCGATGTTGTTCTTGGTGTGCCGTCGGTCGGCGTGTGACGACGGAAGTCGAATGAGGCTGAAGACGCCTGGCTGGGCGGAGCCGGAAAGAAGTGAGGTTCGCTCCTGCCTCTTTTGATCAACAAGCCCCACGGCCTCCGGTTGTTACTTCTTCCTCAGTCAACGGATTACCTGGAGATGGTCAGACATTCTGGAGAGCCGTTGCAAACATTCCGTCCTTCGCGAGCTGTTAATCCGGACAAATCCACATCCAATGCCTGGGGCAGCCGTTAATGGACATTGTCATGATCCCATGGCGGCGCTTCGTGCGAGAGCCGACAGAACGCTCACAGTATTTCTGGCAATGTCTCTGGGCACCTGCAAGACTGTTGCAGAAGCCAGCCATGTCGATGAAGCGAGCGCGGCCGAAGAGGTCCATTTTGGCTGACTTTCCTCCGACGAGCGACCACCAATCGGTCTCGGGATAATATGCGTCGAAGACAACAAATTCATGAGCGAAGAAGATACTGGCGTATTCCTGGCGCAACTGCTTGCATGTGCGCAGCAACGGCGGTCTCCGGATGTGGTCGGCAAAGGCGAGTCGGTCGTCCAGCGCGACGAAGTGGTAGACGGCATCGCGCAACTCGGGCGGCAGACGCAGCAGTCTGCTTCCGACGGACATGGCCAGGACGTCGAGTTGCTGGCACGAGTGAGATGGAGGTCGGAGGGATGTCTTCAGGCCGTTGGGCATTTATAGCACTCAGATGACGGAGAATAGGTGTGTCGTAGGATGGTCGTGGTCGCGGAGGGTGTTTCATCCGCTTGGCCCAGCCACTCGCCAGCCATTCGATATCGGCGCATGACGAGTCGCGCAGGTACACGCACTCGCGCCCAAACGCTGTTCTCCCAACTCACCCGTCTTTCTCTCTCACACTCCCTCTCACCATCCCGTCGCTCGTTGTGTACATACCAAGCAAGAACATCATCAACCACGACTGCCATATCGCGCATCATCCGTCGCATCGCGACTCGGCTCGGCTAGATCGTCCCGCTGCGCTCACCCCACCAACCGCATCCCAGCAGCAGCTCGAGCTCGACAACAATCTTGGAAGGATAGCAGCAGGCGCCAGCTCTCGCCCACGTCTCGCCGCCTGCAGTCCCAGAGTCCTCCTGCCTCCAGCGCGATACCACACCCACCGCTATAGCTGTTCGCAGCTGCGCCCGCGAGCCATGCCAGCCCTTCCGCCAGTCCTCCTCCACCACCGCGCCGCAGACTCCCGCCTGGTCGAATCCCGGCAACTCCACGATGTGTTAGACAAGGCTGCGCACTCCGCTGGACAACTGCTCAAGAGGATACCGCGGATACTCCCCCGACAGAATGGCGGCATCTTGGCCATACCTACTCAATACGCGGGCCTCAACGCCGGCCCTGCACCTGGCACAGTCGTCGGCATCGTTCTAGGCAGCATTGCCGGTTTCCTCCTAATCATCTTGCTGCTCTGGATCGCGAGCTCAGGCTCAGGCTTCATCCGATCAACAGCGCTCACCGAAGAAGATGTGATCGTGCGGCGAAGATCGAGAAGTCGCGGAACAAGACGGAGCCATCGTACCGAGATGACCAGCCGATCGCCGCGGCGAGAGAGGGTCGTTCGGAAAGAACGGATAGTCCGCGACAGTGTCCCTCCACCACGAGAACCAAGTCGGATACGGGAAACAATCCTTGTGAACGAAAGCCGGCCGCCGCCGGAAAGGAGGGTGGAGGGCGACGATATCGTGGAGGTGATTGAGGAGCATTCTTCTGTGGGAGTGCCTCCGCCGAAGAGAAAGACGAGAAGGAGCAGTGGATACAGGTAAGCCAACATACCTCTCTTTCCAACCAAGGCGACAGGCCAGCAGCTGTGCACATCCTCTTCCGTGGTGCTTTCACAAATGCTGGTCCCTTGGGCAGCCTCACAATCAGGCACTGACCAAGGCTTTCCGCCAACAGATGATTCGACTTCTTCATCAACACAAACTCACATACGACGTTCAAAGCAGACGAGGAGACTACTCCGACCTCTAATCGACACCAACCAACAATCGTTCCACCACATCGAACGACATCAGGCATGCACATCACTGTGTACAGCGACATGTATTAGTATCTGTTCGCATTCGACAGGGAAAAGCGACGGCGTTTTGGAGGACGGCATTCACGGGGATCATACAGGACGGCGAAGGAATGGGCGACTTGCTTCGAAGACGACAGATCGAATGAGGCAAGACAGCACGCCTCACATAAGCAGGAGGCTGGGCTGTCTGGTCGAGGAAGAGACGGATACCCAAAAGGTGAATGAAGAATGGTAGAGACGGAAGAGAGAGAGATGCATGGCTTTTGGAGATATACCCCCGAGTTTTTGGTTGCTTTTGCTTTGCTTATTTGCTGTACCCTGCACTATACTCTCTCAAACTGGCTCTGAGCTAGAACGCGAAAGTGAGTTGCATCGCCAGGTGCGTGAGACCCACTCCTTTTCTTCTCTCGCAGGAGAGACGCAGTACAGCAGCTTAATACATTACCCACCAACCTTTCTTCGGCCACGATTTCCTTGCTCTGCAGCTGTGGCACAAGCTCCCATACATGTGTAAAGGATGAAGGACAAAGGAGTTCATTATTATCGCCGCTCCTCGAAACATCATCATATCCATATGATCTGTCCAGCCATACGCATCAACATCTATTCCCCAATTCTATGTACGCCACGCTTGCAGATCTGTCGTCAGGAGGGTTTCCTACCTCTATCCATCCATCCATGCATCCCGGCCAAATTAGGAATATACACTACGAGATACTCATCATGACATGACAACAAGGGAATTTCAACTTCCAAACACTAAAAAGCCAAATCAACCCGACCCTTTCCCAGGCCCCTTCCTCTTCGTCATCTGAAAGCTCACATCCGTCGCAACGATGGCTAATGTAGCCAACAATAACGTCCCACCACAGAAACTCTGCGCACCAGGCCAGCTTTCTGGGAAGATCGCTCCTCCAACAGGACTTCCGATGAGGATACCCAAAGCACCAGCGAACATGTTGATTCCGAATCTCGTGCCGATTGTTCGGAGGTCGCTCGTCATGGACGCTACTGCAGCGCCTTGGAGAGAGACGAACGCGCCTGAGCAGAAGCCGTAGAGGAAACACCAGACAATCAGGCCTGCCGTGCTGTGTTTGATGGCGATCCAGCAGAATGCGAGGAGCGTCGCGGCGGCTGTGGTGCATGCGAGTACCTTCAGGGGGTGGAAGAACTTGTCTGCGATGAGGGATGGAACGATCCGCCCAGGTATTGAGCCCACGTTGAGGAAGATGAGCATCCAGAACTCCAGCCCCAGGCCGTGGTTGGCGGCGAATTGTTCGATGAAGAAGTAAGGTATATACTGACCAACGAACCCAAAGAACGTCGCCAGGTTCATGAATTCGAAAGGGACCTCCTTCAGGATCGATGTGTCGAAGATCTTTCGGCGTCCAGGGGGCTTGGCGCGTGGTTTAATGACGAGGATGGGGACGACGAGGGTGACGATGGCAATGAAGCCAATGATGCGGACGGCCCAGCCGAAGCCAATGGTAGGTTGAACGTAGGTGAAGATAATAGGGTAGACGACACCGCCCAGAGACGAGCCTGAGGCAGAAATACCCATGGCCAGAGCACGCTTCTTGCTGAAGTAGGAGGGCAGGACGCTGGTGGCGGTGATGAATAGTGCACCGCCTCCAATGCCGCAGCATATTCCTTGGGCGAGCATCAGTTGCCAATACTCTTTACAAAGAGAGGTCATCATGATGCCGAAGACCACCGAGATAGATCCAAAGATGACCAGCAGTCTTGGCGAGCCGATGTCGAAAAGAGGACCCCACGATATCGGTGAGGCGCAAAGAAGGAAGGATGTCAAAGTGCCGATCCATGCGATTGTCGAGTTGGTTTCGTCTGAGATCAAAGTGGCCTTGTAGTACGTCTGAAAGACACCAAACGCATTGATCAAACCCCAAGTGTTGAAGAAGAGGAAGTAACCACCCAGTACCTGCAACCAGGCCGTCGTTCCACCATCAGGAGGTGGTCCCCCAGGTGGTCCCATGGGCTTCGGAGGAGCTTCGAGCTTTGGAGGTTGAACAAACTCCTTCGATACTGATCTAATAGACGAGCGACTGTCTGACCGCTGGTGCGCATTTTCCGGAACTGCGAGAGGCGAGCGATTCCAGGGCCACGTGTGGTTGTGTGGTGAGCCCGGTGACTCGGGCCCTGGGAATGCAGGATGATAGCCAGGTGACTCTGGAGGACTGTAGTGGTGTCGTACATCTTTGGGTAGGAAACTCTGCTGCGTGGGCGAAGCAAGGTTGAACGAATGTCGTGTGGGGGAGGCATCGTCATGTGGCTCGTTGACGTGAGGCACGAGGTGTCTGGTCGAATCTGCGAAGTCGCCGGCTCTGTATGGACGAAAGGAGTCCTGTGTCACTGGTCGGAAGCCTGAAGCGCCTGATACGTCACGAGAATGGGCTGGCCAATTGGATGCAAAAGATGCGTCTCGAGAATGATAAGGGGTCTCTTGCATTTGAAAGTGATAGTCATCTTCCTGGTGCGCCATGGTGAGCGATGTGTTGATTCAAGGAGTGAGCGTCGCTCTGATACGGCCTCAAGCTGTCATAGTCTCAGGTCTCAAGAGAAGGGATGGCCTCCACCAGTTCGTCGCTTGGCAGACGACCGGTCACGGATACACTTCGTCCGAGAGATAACTGCCGATCGAGACCCAAGAAAAGCTGAGAAGTGCTCGCGCGAGACGTGAGGTGACCGCGGTGATGGAACGCAAACGAGAATGTTGAGGGCCTGCCGGGATGCGGAACTCTAGATGCTTGGTATAATTGCTGATTCAAGAAAGTCCCGTATGGAGGATCGCAGGCTATAAGGCAGATGCAGCAGGCGGAGGGAGGTTGAACAGCAGTATACGAGCACAACCGAACAAACGAGCAGCGAGAACGCTGGGCACACCAGTGAGCAACAGCGTGCAGACGCGTGCTGTAGTGGAAGTCGATATGGCGCTCTGGCCTCACATGGCAGCAGAAGCGCTGCTCGTAGGGCTCGCGTGCCGGTCGGCTAGCAGGATGCGCAGCAGATAGCGCAGGATGGCAGTGGGTTCGAGCGATATCGAATGCCGCATTTAGCAGCAGATGCTCTCGTTTCACCAGTCATGGTCTTCGTCTGTGTGGGCCGCTAGAAATCCCCTGCCCTGCCCATGCCCGCCGTGTTGGTAGAAGCACGGGCAGCTGCGGTGTGTGTGTTGCCGCGAGCATGCTCTGTTCGATGCTGCTGCGGCGGTTGCGAGACCATCCCCATGGCGGTGACGTCTCCTGGCCGTGGGCGGAGGCGTTTGTGCGGCGTGAAAGCTGGAGGGGAGTTGTCACAGCGTAAGGAGGCCGTCGAAATATACTTCCAACGCGCGATGAACCTTCGCCTTCGGGCGCTCGGCCTGCAAGGGCTCCCGCTGAAAATCCTCCGAAATGGGCCAAGCGCAGCTTCCTTTCAGCCACAGCCGCCCTGCCCGTTGGCACTTTAAACATCACCTTGCTTGACGCAGAGATAGCCGGCGGTAACGTTGGGTCCGCCTGAACGCTCGCAGCACTTCACCTGTACCCACCAGTGCATGCTGCATCGTTATCAACACTTGCCTGCGCATTCGTACGAGACGGCCAGCGCACAGTGCCAGGCGCAAGAGAGCACAGTGTGGCGCTGCGCTCTCGAAGAAGACGCATCCATGTCATCTTCATCAGACAAATTAAGGGGCATCTGCAACGGAGCGGGTCCTCCAAGCTTCTGAATCTGACTCTTGCTCCACCGCACACGAACAACGACTCGCTTGATCCCAGCGTTTGCCAGCCGAACGGGCTCGCCGCGACGGCAGAGTTTTTGCGAGCCCAGCGCAGAGTCTGATTGAGACGGCGAACAAAGGACTGCTCGTACACGATGCATCTCGTCTGTACATGGTGCATTCCGCCCCGGCCGTGCCACCGCGCACACCACGCGCTCGCTGCGGTGTTGCGACACTGCAACGCTACCGATATGGCAGACCCTCTGCAGGGAAGCGGCGAATGGAACGGTTGCAGAAGGCCTTTCCGTGAAACGGGGCTCCCCTTGGCGAGCTTCGCGGTCAATCTTTGCTCCAAAGCTTGATCGCCCTGGGTTAGTTCCTCCGTCCGCGTCGCGTACGCATCCGACGAGATAAGTATAGCAGAGTCGTGGTGTGAACTGCCCAGTCGCATGCCTACGGCCCTTCCCAACGGATCCCGGCTGCTAGCACGTGGAGACTTGTGAATCGCGGGCATGAGCAATACATAGGCGTCGCCCATCCTGCCGTTGCGTATCGATGGAGTCTGGCTCCGTTGTACGTCGAACTGTCATCCATCCCCTTGGGCGACCATGAGTGAGACAGCTCCTTCCATCGAGTACGGCCCAGAGGTCGGCAGTCGACAGACCTCCCACCTCCAGCTCTTCCAAGATGTCGTCAACGCCCAACCAAACGCAACCGCCCTCATCGCCAAGCACCAGTCGCCCAGAGCCTTCCGCTGGGTGGGCAGCCAACACGTCGATAAGGATTACGTTCAATGGACATACGCAGATCTGGATCGCGGGGCTAGACGCCTCGCGACTGCCTTAAACAGACTGACGCATATCGAACGAAGGCCCATCGCCGCTCTCATCAACAATCAGGTAGAATGGGCTCTACTGTACTGGGCGTCCGCATACCTGCATTCGCCATTCGTACCAATCAATCCAAAGATCGCAACCAGGACCGAGGAAATCAACCACATGCTGGATCTGGTCAGCCCGGTTGTGGTCATTACTGCCGATCTGACCATTGCTGGCCAGCTGGAGCAAAGCCTTTCAGAGAAGCTGATGTCGTCTATAGCTGTCAGGATGACCTTGTCGACAGCTGGCGCAGAGACCACGAATCCTTGGAACCTTCTCTCGGGCGTCATGTCAGGTGACCCAACGCCTCCTGATACCCCAGACGTCGTGGCTGCCGACGACACAATTGTCATCCTCTTCACTAGCGGAACGACATCGCTGCCCAAGCCATGCGCTTTAACGAGCTTCCAATGCCTGAACGCGGCATTGGGTTACATGGATTCTCAAAAGATCAATTCCAGCCATCGATTTGTACAACATCTTCCTGGGTTCCACTCGTACGGCATAGGATGGTCGCTCGGTCTGTGGCTCAAGGGCGGCTTGATCATCTACCCGTCAGAGTCCTTCGAGGCGCAAGCGACCCTGGAGTGCTTCGACCAGCTTAAAGCTACGCACATGGGTCTCGTCCCCACAACTGCTCAAGCTATCCTCGCACATCCTTCTTTCGCCAAGACAGATCTTAGCACTCTTGTCAGTGTTGACATCTCTGGAGCAGGTGTTCTGCCCAGTCTCGTTGACTCCTGCACGGCAGCGTTGAAGGTTCCCTCCACAACCAGCTATGGCATGACCGAAAGTCCTGGCACCGCCACATGGGGTGTCGATGAAGGCTCTGTTCTTCGTGAAGGTGAGGTCATGTCTGGTAGACCGGTGCGAAATGCAGTCATGAAGATTTGTGAGCCTGGAACTCGAAACGTTGTACCTCGTGGCGACTTTGGTGAGCTTCACAATGGTGGCCCGCAGGTCATTCCGCACTATATGGACTCTCGAGTCTCTCAGAAGGACTTTTACCAAGACGACGAGGGCATCAGGTGGATCATCACTGGAGACCAGGCAGTCATGGATGTGGACGGTGCTGTGCGGATCACTGGAAGATACAAAGATATGATCATCCGAGGTGGCGAGAACATCTCCCCTGCCAGTATTGAGGACTACCTGAGTAAGAAAGAAGATGTCTTCACTGCATATGTTGTGGGTGCTCCAGACGACATGGCCGGCGAAGTGCCAATCGCTGTTATCACCACTGTGGACGACCGAGAAGCCAACCTGTCGGAGCTGAAGCAAGACGTTACCCGAGACCTTGGTGCGGCTTTTGCGCCAAAGATGATCCTCCACCTGAAGAAAGACCTTGGATTGGACGCCTACCCCAGTACAGCGTCTGGCAAGATTCGCAAGGTCGAATTGGCCAAGGTTGTTCGCGAGTACTTAAAGGCGCAACAAGAAGCAGGCCTCGACAAGTCTGGCTCGACCATTGACTCTCTCATTGGTATCTGGAAGATGATTAGTGGCACCGATGGCCTGCTCCCATCTACCCTCATTGAGTCCTTTGCTGACTCACTGATGATGATGCAGCTGTCAGGCATGGTGAAGAAAGAGCTTGACAGAGACATCACTGTCGAGGACTTCAAACTGTGCGAGACGATTCAAAGCCAGGCCGACTTGATTGAGTCGAGACCTTTAAAGAGTGCTGTTGTTGCGAAGCCTATGCGCGAAGGACCTCCGACGATTCATGACATGCCTCATGCGCACGACCAGCCGGAGGTCTTCGAGCGGACACAAACGGCCGTCACAGGCCTGATTGCTCCCCTCGGAATGAAGTGGGAGGATGTTGAGGATGTCATTCCACTTCCGGACTGGGACACAATCTTCTGCTACCGCTCTCGCCCGTCTTCCTGGAACTTGCGCTTCAGCTATAACGCACCTGTTGACGCAAGTGCGCTAGAAGGAGCCGTCAAAGCGTCGCTGGAGTATCACCCGACCATGAGATCTATGGCACTCGAGCAAGATGGAGAGACCCTGCTTGTCACTGTTCGATCTTCGGAAGAATGGTTCAAGGCTTCGATCACCACCGGTTGGGCAGTTCAGACTAAAGAAGATGTCAACACTTTACTTCTGGACGACCCCGTATATGACAACGCGAGCGCGCCAGGACCTCTCGTTCGATTCCATATTGCCAGAGTGCTGAGTGACGGTACTTCTGGCCTTGTGCTCATTGCATCGCACTCAGTCAATGATATGAGCATGACAAAAATCTGGCTCGAGGACATTGTCAATCTCTTGACTGGGGAAGGGACTGTCGGTCACCACGCGCAATTCAAAGACTATGCAACCGCTTTCTTCGACCACCGAGACGGTCTCGAAGCAGACAACGGAATCTCCTACTGGGCACAAAAGCACCAAGGCATCAGCCTCCTCCCAGAATCAACATACTGGCCAGCACAAAGGGCCGCCGAATGGTTCAAAGGTGTCGACGCAGGCTGGTCCCGCTGGAATGGCGGTAAAGCACGACGAGGCGAGCGCTCTGTGGCTCAGTCCGAGAAGATCAAAGCACAGAAAGGAATCCGAAGGATGGTTAAAGTCGACGACATCCTAAAACTAAAGGCCGAGCACAACGTCCCCGTCTTCATGCTCGTCAAAGCCGCCATCGCCATTATGAACATCTCTAAGACCGGCGCTAAGGAAGCCATCTTCGGGACGATCAATGCCGCGCGAACATGGCCCTTCAGCTCAGATTACAGCGCTCTCGAGCGCGAAGCATACACTGGCAACCCCCTCGACATTTCCGGTTGCACGACCGAGTACGTCCTCGACAGAATCCCTGTCGGTACATCCAAGTCTCTTTTGGCGTTCATGCAGCAAGTCACCAAGGACGAAGAGCAAAACTCTGCCTTTGCCCACACGCCTTTCTTCCGCATCGTTGACCGTCTGCGAGATCCCATCTCCGCCGACGATACCAGGACATTCGCCGAACGGGAGCGAGACGCAGACTCCATCCTCCCCTTGATCCGTCGACAGAGCTTCAACTGGCTGCCCACAGCCCCGACCGCACAGAATCCGAAGGGTCTGCGATTCCAGGAGATGTTGACAAGAATGGATAACGGTTTGACCATCACAGGTTTCCTAGCAGATGACAAACGCAGCGTCGCTTTGAGTTTCAGCTGGGATGCCGAACATCTCTCCTTCGCAGAGGCGGAGCGCGCATTGGATGAAGTCGTTGCCTTTGTGGACAAGATGGGCAAGGAGGAGAACTGGGGAGCGAGTGTCGCGGATTTGTTGAGGATGTAATTGTTCGTTCCTTGGATTGTGTTGGATTTTGCTTTTCTTGATTGGATTGATGACTAGGGTGGGCTGGGTAATGAATGAGGTTTGGATGGGATTACTACACGACAGATCAGATGAATTGGCAGGATGGGACGGATCGAGAGCCAGTGGCTATACATGCGTGTATGCTGTGTCTTGAGAGAGAGAAGGATATACATATAGTTGTCATTTTCCTATGGGGCTCAGAGAAATCTAATAGACATGGTTGGTTGACACGCAATCAGCTTCCGTTAGATTACTATCATCGACTGGGATGTCATCATCCACCGGCCTGTGGGGGGAATAGTGCTCGTCGCTCACTGGAAGCCGCCCTGGCGGCGATGGATCATCTTGCCGACACAGATCAGGAGTGGACTGTGCAATATTCTCATGGTGACGGAAAGGGCCCAGGAAGTGTGTGCTTGCTATAAATAGGCTGGCCAGGTCTTACAAGAGAAGTCGTTTCCCAGCAGCATCCGCAGCCGACCATGCTTTTGATGCGTCTGCTGGTGCCATCGCCAGTAACGAAGCTCTGGGGATGGCTACTAACGTCACCTGCAAAAGCGCCCTCAACAAGGCCGAACGCGCGCAGAGGCAGAATTAAGCGTGGTGGTGTTGTTCCAGCTGATATTAAACTTCACACAGAAAGGATCATCTGGCGAACCGTACAGAACGAGCTACGAGATGGGGAGCGAGACTCCCTCGTCCGTAACCCAGTAGCGGTTGCCTGTGGTCTTGAGTCTGGTCCACCGCAATTATGCCCAGTATGCGGATTCGTTCTAGTTCTAGGTTTTTGGCATGTCATCTAAGGAGTTTAACTATAGCGCTCTGTCTGGCGGTTGGGTGAGTGTGATGCCAGCTTGGCAGTCACATGATAAGGGGTTCGGTTCACTTCAAGTGAGCTTACCTGACTTCTGCTCTTACAGGCACAGCTTCTTCTCTTCTGCAGACATAGCGCCAACACGGGCAGCGTCTTCGGCCGCATGCTTGAGCTTGACTGGTGTCAGCTCTTGACACCTCGTCTGGAGCTTTTAAGTCAAGGCCTTGAGCTCAAACGGGCCAAATCTCCTCGTCGCGCGTCATTCGGTATAACTCGGCAATGATTTGCACATGACCGGCGAGATGCGTGTATTTGGCGCGGTTCACTACAGTTCTTGTCAAGACGACGTTTTCCAGAGTGTGGTTGATGCTTTCAACATCATTCATCGTCGTGTGCCGATGACAAGCGTCCGTGGAGGGAATGTGGGGATGGCCCGCTTGAATGAAGTTGCGGATCGTATCGTTCGCGTATCCGTCAGGGTACTTCCCATCCTGGAAGATGGACTGTTTTCCCTCGAACCAACCCCTTACTTCATCCAAGGTATGCCTGAGCTCTTCCTGAACCGCTTCGTCCTCAGGTGCTTTGATCTTAACCTGCATCTCGTGTCGCAACCGCCTCCCGAAGTTCTTGACAAGCCACCACAACAGATCAGGTGGCTTCGTGCCATACTGGTTTAGACATGTTCGGCAGACTAGGAGATGTTGGAAATCTTTGCTGCGGTCACCGCACCGAGTAAGAGTCCCAAAGCCGGCGCATGGATGCTGCATGTCCGATAGGGCTGGATCGTCACAGTTGCAGTCTAAGGTTGGTGCCATGCCCACGTCGTCGTTCAGATCCTCCTTGGCATCAAGGACGTCCACACCGCCGGCTTCATCCACGATGATCTCAAGCCAAGCAACATCGGTGTTCTTCGGATGTTGCCTCCACATGTTGTGATCCTCGACCTGGACAATATGAAGGACTTCTCATGGATCGGTTCTCCTCCCACCGCTTGCATACTCACCACACACGACAACGGCGGCACCATTAGATACTTGGCCCGGAGAGAGAAGGACCCCAAGACGAGTTATTCGGTACGGGCGTCCACGAAGTTGAAAGTGTTGCGTTCTCACATCTCTCCGATTTTAGAAGCGACTAAGCTCCTAATCGTACTTTAGGCTGATGGATGCTCCACTTTGAGTATAACGACGAGGGTAGTCTGCGTGTGAGCCTACTCAGCTCTCTCTGCTAGGCAACGGTACGTACCAGGTGGGTCTCCAGTTTCTTCGACTATTTCCTGGGCGCGAGCTACGAGTGGGAGAGCCCAAGGCATGTCCATGGTAGGAATGAAAATTATTGGACAACCTCTCGACAATCCCAGCGGTTTGGTCATGGAATGCCTCGGCTCAAAGCGTATAGCCCTCTTGTATGGCATGAGTCTGATGCGAAACAGATCACTGCCAGGCATGGCGTACGTTTGTTGCTTTGAGTTGAACGAAACACCATCGGCAACGTTCTTCCTCCAGAGGGCCCATTAGCGAGATATTCGTCTTCAAGATGGCGGACTACTCGATGCATGCCGTCTGTAGTGGTGATGATGCCGTGACATCGTGTCGACACGCAACGCTCGAGAGGAGAACAATTCTCGATTCCTCTGACCCTTGAACCTGTCGGTTTCTGGAAGAAGTCCCTCTGCAGAGCTGCGACACTGCTAGGTGCCGCCCTAATCATGGATTTGTCTTCTCTATTGGTGTCTTTGTCGATGTTTTGGTGTCCAATCGTACTCTGCTAACAGAAAATACCAGTCGGATGGCCTGGAAGATTGGTCTTAGAAGTGCATCCAAATATGTTTGTATTGTATGGCAGTCACTCGCACGTATTTGAAGTTTCCTTAGATTGTCTCGAATGTTTGGTACGGGTTCCTGGTGCCGCGCGGTTGCGTGCAGCAGGATGCATGCGCAGCCGCCGGGTCGAAAGTGTCGACTTATGCGACGTCAACTGCACGTTGTTCATCAAGTCAGCCATGCGTCGACTTTCACATAGCCACCGGACTCTATCGTCGAACCGCGCGGGAGAACGATGTTCGAAGATGCATGGGATGCTGTTTCAACCCCTGCATGTTGCGGTGGCTGAGTGCTGCGAGTGGCCTCAACGCTGTGCCGCCATGGGGTGGCTATTGGACGAGAGCGCGTGGGGTGGTCGCTGCACGCAGGCATCGCTGCGAGAACGATGTGGTTAATAAATAGTTCTTGTTGTGGTACAGAACCAGTCCGTCGAAGTGAATTATTCCTGCGTACTTACCTTTGATGATTGAGCATGACGGATATACCTCTGCGTGAAAGCGGTGTGTCGACTTGGGAAGCCCGGAAGAGTCCCACTGGATGGCCTGGGGCGGGTGTGGCGGACAGGAGTCTGAATCTCTTGTGTCTCGATGGAGGCGGGATCAAAGGTCTTTCCTCTTTATACATTCTGGAGAAGATTCTGGCGATCAAGTCTCGCCGTGGTGAGGAGCCCCGACCATGCGAATACTTCCACATGATCGGCGGGACGAGTACTGGAGGGTCAGTGTGATCTTCAACATACTGCGCAAGTACTGAGCTGACGGGCTGCAGGCTGATCGCGATAATGCTTGGCCGGCTAGAAATGTCAGTAGAAGCGTGCATTGAAGCCTATGTCGAATTAGCTGGCGAGGTATTTGGCACCAGGAAACATCGGTGGGGATTCGATATCTTCCTCCACGAACAAGAGAAATACGATAGCGAAATTCTGAAGCGAGCCATTCAAAGAGTGGTGGATCGGAGAGGACTCGACAAGGACGCGCTGATGAAAGAATGGGGTTCGGACTGTGCAACGTAAGTCATGACGCGCAACGTAGAACGATATGTGCTCACATTTTGCAGTTTCGTATGCGCTACAGCAGCAGATGCGGTTGGTGGGACCACTGTATGCTTCCGCAATTATCCCCCACGAGCGGACACTGCACATCTATACAATACGACGAAGATTTGGGAGGCAGCCAGAGCCACATCGGCAGCGACTACGTTCTTCGACCCCATCGAGATTGGGCGGCATGGGGAAACATTCGTGGACGGAGGACTCGGCGCGAACAACCCCATCAACGAAATGTGGAGAGAGGCATCCGACTTCTTCTGCCCGGGCGGTCGTCTAGAAGATAAGATCGCTTGCCTGGTGTCGATTGGTACCGGTGTCGACTCGCTCCAAAGCTTGAAGGGATCTGTGAAAGGAACTGTGAAGACTCTTGTTGCAATGTCAACGGAGACGGAGAGGACGCACCAGGCGTTTCAGAACCAGCATCCGGAGTTGTGTAGCTCGAGCAGATATTTTCGGTTCAATGTCCCCGAGCTGAGTGAGATTGGTATGGACAAAGCGAAGAAGCAGAAGACGGTCGCTGCACAGACTCGCAATTATGTGATGAAGTTCGACGTGCATGAGCGGATCGAGCAGTGTGCCGGTGCGATGGCGGAGGGGAATGTGTTTAGTTAGAAGGCGGTCAGCAGTCGAATGCTACAAGTGAAGTCGGCAAGGAAGGGATGTCTGGGTAATGGTAATACGTCCATGATCAAGGCGACTAGTATCTGTTCTCCGTTGACTCGCACGCGTATTTTCGCGATATGCTGAGTACTTGTTGAACGCTAGGTTTATAAACAGTGGTTTCAAACTGTGGGCGTGTAAGTCAGATATGCAGACCTTTTCGTCCCTTGACAGCCGATTTCAACCTCTTCAGAAGACCTGTGGGAAACCGGTGGCCACTGGTGGTGGAAGGTGAGTGAATGTTTGGCAGAGGATTTGCAAGCATGTGAAAAGCCACAACGTCACCTGAGCTCCTGAGACACGTGGCTTTGCCTTTCGTGGGGCAGCTGCGCCACATCCAGAACAGCACCCACGATGCAGGAGCAGCATCAGCGTCGGAAGGCAGCTGCTTCACTTTCACTTTCACTCTCAAACAACTATCTTTTGAAGAACCCAAAGACTTCAGCGCTGATTTCGGATCTTTATAATAACCCCTCCTCCGACCTGTATCATCAGCTAGATAGACGAATCAGACTAAACGCTCCTTGTGCCGCGCAGCACCTTCCAACATGTTCAACCGCGAGTCCCTCTTTGGAAACAGGCAACCTCCTCCGCCAGGGCAGCGACAACCTGTTAGACAACAACCACCACCCTCTTCCTACGAACAACCTCCTCGATACAGCGAAGACCGTCGAGCACCTCCGCCCCAACCGCAACAGTCAAGAGGAGGAAGAATGCAGCTACGACCTGTCAACTCCCCGGCAGAGCTCATCGTTTTCAACGTCTGTACAGTCTCACCGTATGATGTGCCGCCGTCACGCGATGGAGAGACGTATTTGTTACTTCAGGGTAAATACGTGCTGACTGCACGGCCTCATCCTTCCATTGAGGGGGGCGCCATCGGCTTGAACCAGATTCAGCGAAGATGGATGAACGTCGCTTTGGCCGATGTGGTGGATGCGGAGATCTATGACCCGTTCAGGCAAGGGAAACAGTGCTACTTGGGCAATATGGACATCGAAATCGGCTTCGCTACCAACAAAGCTTTGAGCGAGGCCGTCGACCAAGATGAACTCGCCGACGCTGTTATCAAGACATTCAGAAATCAGATCTTTGCTCCAGGACAAGACTTTCTCCTCGACTTCAAAAGTGTGAAGCTCCAAGGCAGTGTTAAGACAGTGGAACTGGTGGACCTCGCGAGGTTAGGGTCGGAAGGCAAATCAGAAGTGAGTTTACAGGACGCTCGCTCAACTCATCGCAGCATCGCATACTAACCAGACTTTTAGACCAACCCACAGGCTCGAGGCATACTCACGCCAGAGTCTCGCATCAACTTCTACAAAAATGCAAAGTCTCCGATCAACCTCAAAGGCTCGACACGACGACCTGCAGCCAACTCTATCATTCGCCCAGACTTCAAATTCGAAGACCTAGGTATCGGTGGTCTTGACAAAGAATTCAGCGACATCTTCAGACGAGCGTTTGCCTCACGCATCGTTCCTCCAGGGCTTGCAGACAAACTTGGTATTCAGCATGTTCGTGGAATTCTCCTCTATGGCCCACCTGGCACCGGAAAGACGCTCATCGCACGACAAATCGGCAAGATGCTTAACGCGCGAGAGCCCAAAGTCATCAACGGACCCGAGGTACTCAACAAGTACGTCGGTCAATCAGAAGAGAACATTCGAAAGCTATTCGCCGATGCAGAGAAGGAGCAGAAAGAGAAGGGCGACGAATCTGGGTTGCACATCATCATATTCGATGAACTCGACGCTGTCTGCAAGCAGCGTGGCTCTGGCGCAGGAGGAGGCACTGGCGTTGGAGACAGTGTGGTCAACCAGTTGCTTTCCAAGCTTGATGGTGTTGAGCAACTAAATAACATTCTCCTCATAGGTATGACGAACCGGAAAGACATGATCGACGAGGCATTGCTACGATCTGGACGATTAGAAGTGCACATGGAAATCAGTCTCCCGGACGAGCCAGGCCGACAGCAAATTCTCAAGATCCACACAGGGAAGATGCGCGACAATGGCAAGCTATCTGGTGATGTCGATCTAGCTGAGCTTGCAAAGCACACCAGGAACTTTTCAGGTGCTGAGATCGGTGGTCTGGTCAAGGCCGCCAGCAGTTTTGCTCTTCAGCGACACATCAAAGGAGGCACCGTTGCAGCGCTCTCCGACGACATTGGAGAGATTCAACTCCGCATGCAAGACTTCGTCAACGCGTTACAAGAAGTTAAGCCGTTGTTCGGTGTCAGTGAAGAGGACCTGGAGCGTTGTGTCGAGGGCGGTATCATTCACTTTGGGTCCCACATCGACAAGATCCTCAGAGATGGACAACAATACGTACAACAAGTACGCAGCTCGGCCTCACAACATTTGTCTGTTCTGCTACACGGCCCCAGCGGTTCCGGAAAGACGACCTTGGCTGCCCAAATCGCCCTTAACTCACAGTTCCCATTCATCAAGCTAGTCAAGGCCGTGGATATGGTGGGCATGAATGAGATTCAGAAGATTCAACACCTCAGCAAAGTCTTCACAGACGCCTACAAATCGCCTCTCAACGTGCTCGTGTTGGACGAGATTGAGATGTTTGTGGATTGGGTGCCTGTTGGACCTCGCTTCTCCTCGGCGGTACTCGCTGCTTTGAAGGTCCGTAGACTCATCCCCAAACCTACATTTTCGAGAAGGGTACTGACACATATCGCAGGGACTGATGGGCAACAAGCCTCCGAAAGGTCGGCCTCTCCTTGTAATCGCAACCACTTCTGAGCGAAGTGTGTTACAGCAACTACAACTCAAGTTCAACGCCGAGATAGCGATACCGAATGTGAGGCCGGAAGAACTACCTCAGATCATGCAGCAGTCAGGCGAGTTCTCGAACCAAGACATCCAGAGAGCTGTCAGTGAGATAGGAGACTTCCCAGGTGGTGTAGGCATTCAGCAAGCGATCTTGGCCATTCAAACGGCTGTGCAAGATTCTGATCGTGTCGGACGGTTTGTGGAGGTTATGGGAGAAAAGATCCACATGTAGAGATAGTATAGAGCTGCACAGAACTAACTGCACGGCGCAACCAGCCTTGTCATGAACAGATATCTCGTCTCACAGTCATCGTATTTCCGTCGAGAGAAATACTTCATTCTGGCCAATCGGAGCATATATTCACTTCATCGGTCACATGACCTCGCTGCTCGCTTGCCCAAAGAGCAGCTCAAAACCTTTGTTCGGCCGTGGCAGGATCCTCGGCCGATTAGCGTCATCGCTTGCTTGAGATCATTCACGCATTCAACCTCTGTCCCTATCGAACTTTCTACCTCCCACACTCCTACAACCACGACTCTATCGCAAAACCATCACACTACTCACCGACAAGTCGAAATCAACCTCACAATGTTCAGGAGAGTTCTCGCCACCGCCCCGGCGCAGGCCAGCAAGGCCATCACCACCGCCGCAACAGGCGCTCGCCCTCAATTCGTCCGCAGCGTCGCACCCGCCACACAACAAGTCGCCGCACGACGGTCGTATCACGAAAAGGTGCTCGACCACTACAACAACCCGCGCAATGTCGGCTCGATGAAGAAAGACGCAGAGGATGTGGGCACGGGATTGGTCGGTGCGCCCGCTTGTGGCGACGTGATGAAGCTTCAGATCAAGGTCGACCCCGCCAACGACACCATCACCGACGTCAAGTTCAAGACGTTTGGATGCGGCAGTGCGATTGCGAGCAGTTCGTATTTGACGGAGCTTGTACGGGGCATGACGCTGGAGCAGGCGGGGAGGATTAGGAACACGGAGATTGCGAAGGAGCTTTGCTTGCCTCCTGTTAAGCGTGAGTATACCACGAGACATCTCCTTCCACGAAGAATACATTGCTGATGACCGTGTGATAGTCCACTGTAGCATGCTTGCGGAAGATGCGATCAAGTCCGCCATCAGCAACTACTACACCAAGAACCCCAAGGCGCGAGCAACTGACCTCGGCGGCACCGGCGCTGCCATGCCCAAGATTGAAATCGAGAAGTTACCCGCCGACGCACCTGCCCAGGCAACCACATCGGCGTAGACTGTTCATTGTCAGAGATGCGGCAGAGGGGAATGACGAAAGCATGAGTTGTATGAGATGAGAGGGGGTGGCAGTCCTGATAAGACTGAAATGTTCTTTTGTGGTTGCTTTTAGCGAAACGGGTTTTGCACATATTCGGCGTTGTGTCGACTTGACTTATGGGATAGGAAAAGAAGGCAAATGGGAGGGTTTTCTTGAGAATGGAAACAGATACCCTCAGTCACATCTATCTACCTTTACCCTCTAGGTAGCTGAAAAGAAATTGGCGTTCGCTGTCAAGCGACTCATTTCACAGGCCCTATCTGTTCCTAGTCATCCTTCATAACGGTCCATGCTGCTGCCTCAGACCATCTCGTTGAATCCACGGCACAGGCCTTGCGAATGCGAAAGAGGGAGCGGCGACAGACGTACGATACACTTTTCCGGCCACCGCAAACTCCGTCCAAAGTGGAACCCTGCACGATCCTCAACCTCTCAGCATCACTCATACCTGCATGACAAGAAATGGGCAGAAAAGCCTAATGCAGACATTCCATCAATGCAGATGCCTGACAAAACATTCGCTCCTTATATTATAGAAAGGTTGGCTGATTCTGTACTTTTCAAGGACACTTGCATCTTTCTTCTGATCCCTGTTCCGTTGACTTTTCGAAAAGACATCGAATCGTTTTCACCGCCGCTCAACAGCATGTAACGACCGACCATGGGAGTTTTGAAAGACATCGAACTCTACCTCACCTCTGCGGATCGATTGAACGATGATGGAGTCCCCTCTGCCTCGATAGCACTTCTCGAAGACCCTTTCGGCCCCATTCAATCGCATGTGATCACGAATGGCTACGAGGATCCGAATACGCTCTACCAAGCATGCAGTATCTCCAAGGCCATTACAGCGTTGGCGGTAGCGAAGCTGATCGATCAAGGCCGTTTGAGCTATGAGACCAAGGTGGTGGATTATGTCGACGAGGCGGTTCTGGAGGGGATTCTGGATCCGCGGACGGCGCATTTGATGGAGTTGGTTACGGTGGAATTATTGGTTTCGCATAGATCTGGACTCTCGCAGCATGGGTTCGCTGGACATACGGATGAGGAAGAGATGCCGACGTATCAGCAAGTCTTCGCTGGACGACCGCCGGCGAATAGTCCGAGGATGAAGTTCTTGAGTTTTCCGGGGAGTCAGTGTAGGTACTCTGGAGGGGGGTTTACGTTGCTACAACTTCTTCTCGAGAAAGTGACGAACACCCCTTTCCCCGACCTCATGCGTACCGTAGTCCTCGAACCCCTAGGCATGACACGAAGTCTCTTCGGCGACCTGGCCCCGGGAGAGGAGAACTACGCCAAACCACACACCACAGCCTACATGCCCAGCCCACGAGGCCACCACCGCTTCACCGAACTCGCCGCCGCCGGCCTCTGGACAACCCCAACAGACCTCCTCAAAGCCATGGCCGCAATCCAACACTCCCTCCACAGCACCGACACCTCCCCCACCACCTTCCTCTCCCGCCAACTCGCCGACCACATGCTCGCCCGCGTAACGCCCAACGACCCGGACACCGCCATGTCCTACGGCTGGTCCGTCGACGACACCTTCTTCGCACACGCCGGCTACAACGACCCGGGCTACAGCAGCTACCTCCTCGGCGCGCACGGCTACGCCGCGCCGCTCCCCCTCGGCGGCCTCCTGAAATCCCCCGGCCGCATGTCCCTCGCCATCATGACCAACTCCGCCCTCGGCACCGAGACCTACCAGCGCCTCGTCGCCGCCGTCATGTGTCTCAAAGCCTTCCCCTTGTACCCCTCCCTGCCGGACTTTGGCAGGAAAATGTCCTCGTTGATTCCGTACCCTGGTCCGGAGGGGGTGTTTATGGGAGATCTCTACAAAGCCTTCCTGGGCCATTGGACGGATTCCGCACACCTCCCTTCCTCACCCAACAAACGCGCCACGCCAGGCGCCAGCCCTGCAGCAGCGAGTAGCTATGCCATGGATGCGGAGTGGGAGATTTTCTCTGATAATGGGATTCCGTATATTGCGTTCGATGGGGTCGTCAAGCCGCAGAGGTTGATTGGGGGTGCGATGCCTTGGGCGCCGGCGACGGGGGCGCCGCATGAGATTTGTTTGGTTTTGGAGGGGTTGGAGATGGCGGTCAGGTTGTTGTATAGGGAGGATGGGGAGAGGGTTGTGGAGTTGGTGCAGGAGGAGGTTACTGTGCTGAAGAGGGTGAGGGGTGGGGAGGACGGGGTGGAAGGAGGATAGAGCTGATTTTAGCAATGGGAGAAATCCTCGTTGCCGTCTAGCTACATGCAGGCGAAGCTGAGGTCAGGTCGCTCCGGCGTTTCTCCATGAGTTCGTTACTTTTCTCGCGTTTGATGCACTCTATGCTACTATACATGATGCGGCGCATGCTCTTTGGAATTTGGTGCAATGCCGGAGCGCCCAGGATCTACTCCAGAAGATTGGCCTGGGAGTTGTAGAGAACCTCTACCACACTTCCCAACTTCTCGATCGTGTCAAGGGCAGCATCGTAGCCCACATCACGTCCTCCTTCTTCGAAAATCTCGATGACTCCCTTGCCCTGATCCAGCACGCCGACGATGACACGATCCAGGATCATCTGGCTGAGCTTCCGCTCCACCTGAGCTACGTCAAGGCCGACCACTTGCGCAACATGGCTGATCTCGACTCGTGAGAACGGCTCGATGACTTTGATCAGATTCTGCTCCAGCATGCTGTCGTAGAGGCGTCGAAGGTGAGATGCGATGAAACGGTCGCTACCGAGCTCGTATCGGTATGCGTGCAGTGCCTGTTCGTACTCCTCCAAGCTTCGGTTGTTGTGGGCCCGAGCTACAGCCTTCATGGCGTCGAGGTTCTTGCCGGCGTATCGAATGGCATGCTTCGAAGTCATGAGCGTATCGACGTCGTCCTTCAAGTTCAACATGATCTTGCAGAGAAGCATGTACTGCAGCGCGGATGTTGCCTTTGCTGCATCGTCCTGTGAGTGGTAGCCCTCCATCGCCTCGATGAAGTATGAGAATGCCGTGTTGAAGTCTCCATCCTCGGCGTGCAGCTGACCAGACTGCATGTCCAGACCGGCCTGGAGCAATGGCGGGGTGTATACAGATGCAGCACTTGTCCTCGCGCTGGTCAGCGCCGCTCTACCCTTGGGTACGTTTCCTAGCGCATGGTAGACTCTGCTCTCCAACAGTTGTACCTCCACCAAGACCAGCTTATCGTCTAACCGCCTCAGCTCTTTCAGAAGGTTGTTGATGAGGGTGAGTGCTTCGTAGTATGACTGCGTCTGCATGTGAAGGTTGACTAGACGAACTTCCAAGCTCTGGCGCAAGAAGCCTTGACGCTGTTGCACGGCCCAATCGATACATGACTTCGTGACGGAGATCTGCGTGTCGATGGTATTGGGAATGGCGGCGAGAAGGTCGAGGAGTTGGCGGACTGAGACGTATCAATGACTGAGGTTATAAGACAAACAACAGTGCTGCATACCTAGCTTTGCGGTCTTCGCTCTGGCGAAGCTGGAAAGAACGTCCCGCGTTTGTTGGATGAGGTTGGCGAGGTCTTGCGTCCGCTTGTGGTCACGGTAGAGCTCGCCCAGTCCAATGAGAGCATTCTCAAACTCCTTCACTGACTTTTCGTTGGTTCCTGGTGCTTTCGAGAGGATGTCCTTGTAGATCTGCTCGGCTTTGGCTGGCTGGTCTTTGGCCAGCTTCCTCGCCTCTTCTATCCGCTTTGCATTGTCTTCCGCGGCCATGTTGGCGGTGATGTTCTGCTGGTATTATCAAGCGTTGGGTTGGCGGCTGATGTGAGTTTGTCAAATGCGCAGATGGAGTGGTCGATGGTGAAGAGGTGATGTCGTTGCAACGGCTCAGGTTCCAAAGCAACACGCGATCTCATGCTCGCCGACGTGCAGGGATCATCGGCTCTGTCCGCCGAGCCGCAAACCTTAATCGACTCGACTTCTCGAATTTCTTGACGTCGTCTTGAACACCCTCTCTACAGCGATGGACCGATCATGAAGATCAAAGCACTTACTCGCTCGGCGAGTTCGATACAGACACCTGGTGCCAGCGATGGCTCGGCGCGACAGCCCCGAAATCTCGACCCTGCCCTCCATCCATTCGAACGAGCGAGAGAATACACACGAGCTCTAAATGCCACAAAGCTAGAGCGCATGTTCGCTGCGCCTTTTGTCGCACAGCTCGGAAGAGGCCATGTTGATGGAGTGTATACTCTAGGAAGAGATCCACAGTCGTTGGACAGATTTGCAAGTGGCAGCGGCGATGGTGTATTGAAGGTGTGGGATCTTCCTAGCAGAGATGAAGTATGGCAGACGCAGGCGCATGAGAACTTGGTGAAGGGAATGTGCTGGACTCAGGATCGCAAGTTGCTCAGCTGCGGAACAGACCGAACGGTCAAGATGTATGATCCTTACAACACGCCTTCGAAGAGTCCACCCACTGCAACATGGCTCGGAACGAACTCCTTCACAGCGCTGTCGCTGCATCGCTCAGAACCGGCTTTTGCTGCGGCGTCGTCTTCAAGCATCCAACTCTACGACATGTCCAGACCTTCGACCACACCTACGCAGACACTCGCATGGCCCACCAGTATCGACACCATCACAGCGCTTGCGTTCAACCAGTCTGAGACTTCTTTGCTGGCTTCTTGTGCAAGCGATCGGTCTCTCGTTCTTTACGATCTCAGGACAAGCTCTCCACTGCACCGCAGCATCCTTACTATGTCGAGCAACAGCATTGCCTGGAATCCGATGGAACCCTTCAACTTCGCCGTGGCGAATGAAGACCACAACATCTATATGTTCGACAGCCGAAACCTAAGCCGAGCTCTGAACGTCCTCAAAGACCATGTGTCTGCGGTCATGGACGTTGATTTCAGCCCGACCGGTCAGGAGCTGGTGTCTGCATCCTACGATCGTACGCTCCGGCTCTGGACACCGCAAAAGTCTGGGCACAGCCGAGACGTCTACCACACCAAGCGCATGCAACGCATCTTCTCGTGCACGTTCAGTGGCGATTCTAGCTACGTCTTGTCGGGGTCGGACGACGGCAATGTCAGGTTGTGGCGATCGAATGCCAGTGAGCGTAGCGGCGTCAGGTCGGCACGAGAGCGACAAAAGCTCGAATACGATGAGGCGCTAAAGGAGAGGTGGAAGCACATGCCGGAAATCCGCCGCATCGGCAGGCACAGGCACGTGCCAAAGGTTGTTAAGAAAGCGGGCGAGATCAAGCAGGATGAGCTGAAGAGCATCAAGAGGAGAGAAGAGAACGAGAGGAAGCATTCAAGGAAAGGTCAGAAAAAGAGGAGGAGTGAGCGAGAGAAGATGGTCCTCACTACAGAGCAATAAAAATTGGGCTGTGATAGCGTTAGGTTGCATTGCGTTGGCGTTGGCAGGCGAGTGGAGCATTTCCAGGCGTCGGAATGAACGTTAAGATACCACGGTACTTGCTTATATAGGAACTGAAATCATGATCATGAGAACAGACCGAGTCCGTTGTTGGCCGAACATGATGCCTCAGGTTGAAAATATCGGTCACGTGCCCTAGATTCGCTAGCGTCTTTCGCGAGTCAAGCTTCTTCCATCAAACGTCACTCCTTTCTTTCTGACTTACCACACCACCGACAACCACCGCACCGCACCCCTCGACAACACCACCCATCATGTCGCGCAGCGGAGGTACCACTCTCTACGTCACTGGCTTCGGCCACGGCACACGCGCCCGCGACCTTGCCTTCGAATTCGAGAGGTAAGCCACGCCTCGTCCCTCGATCTCCTTGCCCAGTCGAATGCCTCCGAAAACGCCTCGAGTCGCGATTTCATTAACATCCTCCCAGATACGGCCGCCTCGTCCGCTGCGACATCCCAGCCCCACGGACTGCTTCTTCCCGCCTTTTCGCCTTCGTCGAGTACGAGAGCCGCCGCGATGCCGACGACGCCTACCACGAGATGCACAACAAGCGTATTGGTCGCGACGACCTACTCAAGATCGAGGTGAGCCAAAACAAAGACATATGGGACACTCCGACACGTTCTGACATGAGCTGCAGTGGGCTCGTACGCCACCATCGGCCAGCTGGCGATTCGACACCGGCCGCGGAGGAGGAGGTGGTGGTGGTAGCCGCCGTGAGCGATCGCCTCGCCGTGGCCGCTCTGCCACCCCACCACGCCGTAGCTACCGCGATGATCGTGGCGACGACGAGTACCGCGGTGGCCGTGACCGCCGCGACGACCGAGGAGATGATCGCCGCCGCAGCAGGAGCCCGGATGATCGCGACCGACGCGACCTGAAGGAGCGAGACCGTGAGGATGATTTACCAGCACGTGACCGCGACGACAGGGAGCGTGAGCGTGGCGACCGGGAGTATGAGCGTGAGACCAACGGAGCCACCAACGGCGAAGAGCGTAAGGGTGAGTTGCCCATTCGCACCAGGTATGACCAGCTGATACTGATGAACGACAAAGCCGAAGAAGCTCCACCTGCCCACGATGACCTGGATACCGCTGAGTGAAAAGAACAAGCTAACACATGGCCAGAGGAGCCCATTGACGACGTGCATATGGCCATCTAGGCAAGCGCGCACCCTTACACTAAAAGCAACTCTCAAAAGTCTTGAAAGCATGGGATCGGATACTGAGTGTACTAGTAAACCACAGACGGGTTTCGGTTTGCGAACGTCAGCTTAGCAACTTCCGAAGCGAAATCGAAATCGAATCGAACGGACGTTTTATCTTCGAGCCTCGTCGTCGAGTCGAGTCGATCGGCCATCGTCCTCACCTGTCGAGCGCTCATTTACAATGATCCCCCTCCGCTGTTAACCACGTCGTCGCTTACCTCGTCCTCCATCGCCGCCGACCTGCACCCTCCCCTCCGCCCCCGTCAAGCTCCTCCGCTTTCGCCCGCCGCCCTCTCGAAAGATGCACTGAGTTTGAGATTATTGGTAAGCCAGAGTACCCTTGCGCTGCTTTTAAAATCCCACGTCAAAGATCATGCGTGTTTCCTTTGTGCTTGAGGTGAGAACGCAATTCAAGATGACACAATCGTGGTACAGTATGTAGATAGATCGAACAAATTCTATTCCAAGTCCTCCGGTCTTTTGACGGGACTATTACTGTGCCCAGCACCAGAAACTCCATTGCTCAATGCCCGTGCATGTCCTCCAGGCTCGGGATCTGCAGCCAGCGCCAGGCTATCTCGCATCAATCCAACAGTGCTGGTCGAATCTCTCCCAACTTCAAAGGCATCAGGATCCGCCAGATCATCTTCAGATTGCTTCGCCTTCCCTTCACCCTCATCCCGCTCCATAATCTCATGCGCCTCCTTCCTCGCCTCGCTCTCCATCGAACTGTACTTCAACCAATTGTAGCCCGCTATGCTCACAATCGTAACCACCAGTCCAGAAATATTAATCGGCGAAAGGGGATCCCCGAACGTCAGCGACGCGGCCGAAATTGTCAGAACTTCCTTGAAAATCCCACAGACGGATAACGTGACGACGGAGGTTCGTTTGATCAAGGCGAATTCTGCTGCCACCATCATGAAGGCCAGGACACCCGGGAAGAGCATGAGGACTATGCTGACGAAGAGGCCTTTGTCCTCGGAGAGGGCGCCAAAGGCCGCGATAACGTTTGCGGGGCCTTCGATGGGGAGGGCGAGGATGAGAAGCGCGGTGAACATGACGGGCGTGAGGAAGAAGATGCTGCTGAAGGGGTTGCTCGTGGCGGCGTTCCTCAACAGCAAGATCTGCGTCAGGGACCAGCGGAATCCGGAGCACAGCGAGGCGGTCATCACCAGCATGAAGCCCAACGCGTTGAAGGCCGCTTCGCCGGCGACCATCATGATGACGCCGACGGTCATGAAGAGGATGATGGCGCAGAGTTTCCAGGTGGGCTTTTCGAGTTTGAAGAGGAAGGCGAAGAGGAGGACGAAGGCGAGGACGGAGGATTTGCACATGGTGAAGAAGGTGAGGGTGATGAAGCGGAGGGAGAAGTTCCCCAGGCCGATGTCGAGGGCCGTCGCCGTGCCGCAGGGGGAGATGCGGGTGAGGTAGAAGGTTTTGGTCATGAGGGGTTTTTTGGCTTTGGGTTCCGGGTCCAGGCCAGGGGGTTCGTCTTCGTTGTCGTGGACTTGGCTGTACCCGTTGTGCGAAGGTATCTCCGCAGCGCGACTCGGGCGGTAGCGAGGGAAGATCCAGAGGACGAGGCTGGCCAGGCTGAATTGCACCAGCATATGCACACTCGTCGTGAAGAGCGGGAAATGGAAGTCCAGGTTCTCTTTGCTGAACATCCACTTGTTGTAAACGCTGATGCTGATGGAGAAGCTGTACCACAGCGCAATCAGACACGCATTGATAGCGATATTCTTGATCAAAGCCGCTCTCGCGATCCCGGCATCCAATTTTGCGTCCGCCTCTTCGCCCCCTGGGACTGGATGTTTCCGTCGCCTCCTCTTCTTGCGTTCCGCGTATGTTAAACCCGTCTCTTCATCGTCGTCCACGTCGGAGTGTATATCCGTCAACTCCATGTCGTCGCTCGAAGAGGGCCCTCCTGAGCCGTCCGATCCAGCCCGATCTTTCGGGACATGGCCATTGGAACCGCTCGAAGTATGGCTCCCACCAAACAACAATGATCCGCTCCGCCTGCGAGCGTGATTCGGCGATGTCGGACTCCTCTCCATTGTCTGGAGTCGGCGGTGTTATCTGAAAGCTGACATTCGTATAAGCGGTGTGCGCGGTCGATGCGCACGGGTTCTATTCTGGACGAGTCGTGTAGGCGCAATGCTGTCGAGGAAAAGCGGCCGTGAGCGGTGGAGGATTCGGTATTGGGCGTGTTGGTTTACATGTTTCGGTCAGACGAAGAGATGAGATGGGTGAGGTCCACGGGGCTGGACCCTGAACGGATCCTGGATCAGCCGGATCGCGCGCTGTGCGTGTACTTTATTTGGACTTCGTCCCAGGACTCTCTTCCTTGCACTACATAAACTCTCGTACATCTGGCCATGGATGTCAGCCAAATCCTTGAAGGGATTATCTGAGGAATGGTGTCCCTCCTGTGCTGTCAGAATCGCACGCCAAGACAAAGCCGGAAACGCACCTGGAAGAACAATGAATACCGATACCTTACCTTAGACTGAACTGGGACGAAAGGGAAGAGAGGCTTGAACGAGATGTGGGGCTGCAGTCACTGGTAATGCGATGCGATTCCATGTCCTATAGCAGACAACAATATGCAGGATCCATTTCAGCTCCCAAGTGCCCCCAAACAAGACCTGGATCGCTTTGTCCATCCTTTGAAATCGGTCCTCAATTGAAGTTGAATGGATTCCGGCACAGTGGACAGGTGCTCGCGTTGCTCGTCTTGAACCACTTGAGCAAACAGCTCGAATGGAACAGATTCTTGCAAGTCGGGCATCGCTTCGTGGGGAGTTGCTTGTCGCCGCTGATGATGGAGTAGCAAATGGCGCACTCAGTCTGGCCTTTGAGAGCGCCGATGACGTTCTTGCGCCAGGCTGTGAGACCGTCTGTGATGCTGCCGTTCTGCAATCAAATGTTAGCAAGAACAAGTATTGAAGACGGGCTTTTTCACTCACGGAGAATGTAATCACTCCCTGACAGTTGCGCAGCCAGCTCTGCCATTTCTCTTCTTTGACAGCTACACGATTCACGCTGACGACCTTGGCAGAGTCGAGGGGATACGTCTCGGGCAGGATGACCTTGATCGCCATCGTCTGCTCATCCACGAGGTAGCTAACGTTGATCTCCTTGCTTCTCATGCCGACCCTCACGGTCATGTTCTCACAGTCAGGATCGTCTTTGACGCTCTTCTCCGCCCAATCAGACACATTCTGCAGACTTGCATCAATGATCAGAGGAGCAACGTATTTCGCGGTCCAGCTTTCGATAGCTTGCGTCGTTTGACGTGACCGAATCTCCAAGAAATAGCTTTTCACTAAGCTTGGAACATTGGACAGAGCTAGATAGTACAGATGACTCAATAGCCATTGTACGTCTCGCTCCACGTCCGACTCCACGCCGTCCTCGTATTGTTGCAAGTTGAACTTCGATGCATCGACAGGCTTGCCTCTTGTATGATCCAAGAAGTCGAAAATGAGGTCAAGCAGTCCTGAAAGGTAGCCTCCCTCTTTTAGTTGATCCACATAATCACTCTTGACACGATAGCTAGAGTTGGTGAAATGATCGAACGTCAGGCGCCAACTGTTCAGGAAGCCTTGCAACTGAAGGGGCATGGCTCGGTCGAACGATGCATCTGCAAGCGAGTCCAGCGTTGGTGCATCGATGATGAGTGAGAGAAGCTCGTCTGGTAGTTGCGCCGTTTTGTCTTCAAGAGCAGCATCGAATGAGATCTGTTCTTGACTTGCTGGAATCTGGCGATGGAGCAGATCGAATGCTGCACCTTGAAGGGCATGTGATGGGGTGTACATGAGCGGGAAGAGTTCCTCAAAGTCGGTGATCGATTGGAATGGCATACGGGACAGCTCGCGTCCCAGCAGCTCGTTCGTGACCATCATGGGTTGATGGGTTTCGTCTGAGATCCCATTCGCTGACTTTAAGACCTCGAACACTCCATAGAAGAGTTGGTCGTTGTTGTCCTTCATGGCATCCATGAGATCGTCATTGGGGTCGTCGTCTTTGGTGAGCTTGTGGAGGGCAGAGTAGAGCTTCAGTGAAGAATGGACTAGAATGATGCCCTGCTCAGCAACGATTTTGCCATCGGAGAGCATCTCGGCGGATCTCCAGAACGAAGGGATCCATTCAATGATCTGCGACCAGTGCTCGCCGTAGGTGTCTGACATGGCTGGCAAGAGCAGTGACAGCGCTTTGCATACTTCTGCTTTCGAAGCAAGAGAAATATCTGTCGCAAGCCATGGCACGATGTGCTTGACCAAAAATATGAGACGCGTCTTCTGGACCTTGTCGACAATGTCATCTTGGGTGTGTAGAACTGCGTTGAGGACGACAAGTGGCGTCAGAATGGCGTCCTGATGGCCCGAGTCCACGCTGAGGTCAGTCAGATCAGCAACGAGCTCGTTGAAAAGCCGAGTCAATGACTGGCTTCCTGCAAGTGGCTGAGCATGGCCCACGATGAATGAAGACAATACCAGTGGATCCTTGGCCGCCTTTTTGGCTTTCAGCGATTCGTCGCTTGATTTTGTGGCCTCTGTGGAATATCCATGCAGCTCGAAGACATTATCGTATGCTTTCGTGGAGGCGAGCATGGCGTAGTATGCCATTGGCCCCTCATTCTGAGCCTGACTCTTCAAGTCATCGAGCGAGTCGAAGAATGCACTCTCAGCAGAAGCAGGTCCGAGGCTCTCCCAGTATGTTCTGAGTACGGTGTTGGCGTTTGAGATAAAGTCCATGACGTCGTCCTCGAAAGCGATCGTTGCTGCAGGCAGCCACAGTCCATTAGCACCAAGAACGCTTGTATTGTCTTCAGCGAGCAATACGCAGATGTTGAGAAGCACGAGCATGGGTAGAGCATCGTTGCCAAGCTGCTTGAGTACCTCTGGGTTGTTCAAGACCTTGGACATGTAGATGGCGATCCTCAGCCCCTGAGAAAGGCCTTCCCCGTCGTAATGGGCCGCATCGTACGCATCAGCTGCGTCCGAATGAATGAGGTGCACTGCTCCACTTAGTGGACTCAGAAGACTCAGTGAGGCTTTTGGTGGCCGCACGATGGCGAGAATAGACTGTCGCCAGGTCTTGAGGCTGGGCAGCAGGTCTTGGACCGTTGAAGGTTCCGAGGCAGACGAAGAGACCTTCTCCAGGAGCTCGAGTACTGCATCAATGGACAGAGATCTGTGAGACACGGTCTCCAAATTCTGCAGGATAATACTGTACTTTGCATCGGTTGCAGCACTTCCCATTGCTGAGGACAAACGTCCGGATAGGGAAGTTGCCTTCTCGGCCACCGCATCATCTGGAGACTGTTCTAGATGTAACACATTGGGCAGAAGCTGCTTGCCTGCATCGCTCTCCATGAAGGTTCGTACGGAGGACTGGTCGCTCAAAGCCAACTGTTCTACAGCGGCAAGGCTCGATTGTGCGTGAGAGTCAGGAACCGATAACGACGCTGTCAACCCTGACAGTACCGTGTCAGTCGTCTGTTGTGCAACCACACCAGTCTTGAGCAAGTCCGAAAGAAGTGTCAAAGTCACTGAATCGTCGCCGGCAAAATGCTGAGATGCAATATATTCCTGCAGACCTCGGTGATTTCGCGCAAGCTCCACAGCTCTTTGTGGTGTCTTCGTCGGCAACAGCGCATGAAGAGCCCTAAGCTTAGGTTCTGTTGACTCCTCTGCGTCCAGTACAGCCTGCAAGGTGTCCTGGAAAAGCTTTTCAAATTCTGGATCGCCACCAGTGGCATACAGGCATCGAGCCAGATGTCTTTGCGATGGGCTGTACATCAAGCGAGGTAGCTTATTCGTCACAAAAGTCTTGAGAACTTGTTGGAAGTCCTGCCTGGCCATGAGTTGAGGTGCGTTGGCGCGTAGCTGCTCTTCGATGATTGCTGCCGCACCGTAGGGCTTCCCTTGGCGAGCTTTGAGTAACGCGATGCACTCTTGTAATACCTTGAGGCTCGCCGCTGCAAATGCGTCTTTGGTAGAGTCTGGCAAGTGGTATTCTTGAGAGTATAATTCTCTTTGAAGATCAGCCCACCGCTCACCCGCGGCTGCCACATGCTTTTGTGACTTGTCAAAGTCTTTCGATTGCTCGGGTTGTGACATTTTCGCCAATTCGACTAACTTGTCTGCCAGATGTGGCCACTTCCGTTCCAGCAGAGGCGGTAGGCGTCCGATCAACGCTACTTTAGACACCAGCAGAGCCGATCTTGCGCCAGTGATACTCCATTTCGCATTCTCGTCTTGAGGATGTATGTATTGGTTGACTGGGGGCAAAGCGAACTCTTCTAGAAGGCTCTCAGTGATCTCCTCTGGAAGCGCCGAAGTAACGATATCGACGAGTGTGAAGTAGGCTGGCCACGCCGCTGATGCGTTGAACCGTTCTTCTCGCTTGGAGACTCCATCTCGTGCCGCTAGAAACAAATCGGTGGCTTCGCCTTGGCTCTTTGGTAAGACTTCTTGGGGAAGTTTACGGAATGTGTCTCTCATGACGTCCCAGTATCCAGACGGGCCTCCATGAGCTCCACGCTTCAAGCCTTGCTGCAGTCTGGAGATTGCGGACTTTTTTCCGCTGTATGCATCAGTCCAAATAGTCGGCAATGCTGTAGTTAGTGCGTCAAGAGTCTGTATAAAGTCTACTGCCGAGCTCGCCTGGTCTGAGGACAAGCCTTTGTAGACATATGATTTGCTTGCAGCCTTGACATTAGATTTTACGAGCGATGGTTGCCTCTTCAGACACACTTGAACGAGTCTGTGAACGGCGCGACGGACGCTGGGATCATCATGCGACGCAAATTCCCATACCTTTGCGTCGCCTAGAATCTCTTCATAGATGTGGATTTGCTTCGACACCTCATCAGGGGGTAGCGTCTCCAGTAGACTGGTTACAACTGAGATGCTTGTCGATATGACTCGTGCGTAAGTGGCCTGGGCGTCATCAGGGCTGACAGTCCTCTCGTCGCTGAGAGTCGATACACTCTCGTTGACAAGAGCATCTCTGCAGTATTCCAGAATCGATTGATGGAAGGTCTTCCTTAGACCTTGGATCTTTTCTGAGCTGGGGAACACATTGGCAAGGGCATCCTGAGCGGCTTTCGCTGCTAGTCTGTCGACGTCAAATGTTCCAGCCAGCCAAGGACCAGAGATGCGAGGGAGATGTTTTGCTACTCGCTTGCCGCACTTGGAGCAAATCTGACCGTTCAGGACGTGGGCAAGCTGGCGTACCCGACGAGCATTGTCAATGGAAAGGCGAGGATAAAGTTTGACCTGGGTGAATATTGTTACTATCTACATCCATCTTTGGGCGCAGAATCACACGCACCCATGCTTCAACCACAGCATCTTCGAGATCGCGATCGGACGATATAAGAGAGTTCTGCAGATCTTCGAGTGCCTTGGCCTTGGTCGTGCTATCCTTCTTGGTCAGATTCTTGAAGGCAGGCACCAGGTTTGCATCGCTGATCAGGGAGTAGTCCGGTGGCTCTTGGATGTATGACAAGACCGATGACTGTGTCGAACCGAAGCTGGCGTTTCCAAAGGCACCGAAACCGCCTCCAGCCCGGCCGCTGCTGGCTTGTGACTTGAATGGCCTCTTGCTCATGTCCGAGGCGCGGGTGTTGGATGTGGGGAGAAGAGGCCGGGCTGATGGCGAGGAGGAAAGAGAGTGTTGGGGAGGAGAGCATCTGCAAGCAGGCTTCTCTGTCGTCGATATGCAGGTGGTTGTTTGGCTGTCTGCGGTGTTGAGATTTCGTCGCCGCCGTCTGGAATGACGCAGGCGAAGTCAAGGTTTGAGATCGCGCGCTAGTGGTGATCGTGCATTAGCGCTGCTCGCTTAGCTCCCAAGGCACGTGCCTTCGCGGCGACCTCGTGAGATCGCTGACTTTAAACAGGCTTCCATTCGTTGTTCACCTCTCCACGGACGACGACCATCATCAGCTCCATTAGCACCTAGTCCACAAGATAGAGCATTCCCTCTGACCACCACAACATCGAGGCAAGCCAACTGCGCACCCAGATCTGGATCGAGGACGAAATCCGCATTTCAATCTCCTGGCATGAGGCGAAAGGCATAGAGCGCTGTGAAGTCGCCAGGCGGCGAACGAGTCTTGGAGAATGAAGTTCTTTATTGAGGACCTGCCGGTTCTCTTTCCGTATCCCAGGATCTACCCGGAGCAATATGCCTACATGTGTGATCTCAAGCGCACTTTGGATGCTGGTGGCCACTGTGTTCTGGAGATGCCTTCAGGGACCGGAAAGACCGTGTCTCTTCTTTCTCTCATCGTCGCATACCAACAGTTCTATCCAGAACATCGGAAGCTCATTTACTGCTCTCGTACCATGTCCGAGATCGAAAAGGCGCTGGCAGAGTTGAAAGCTTTGATGAAATATCGCGCGGATCAACTCGGCGAGGTGGAGGACTTCAGAGGGTTGGGCTTGACCAGTCGAAAGAACTTGTGTCTACATCCCTCCGTCAAGCGAGAGAAGAGTGGCTCAATCGTCGACGCCCGGTGTCGAAGTCTGACGGCGGGGTTCGTGAAGGAGAAGAAAGAGCGTGGCGAGGATGTAGATCTTTGCATCTATCACGACAATCTGGACCTTCTCGAGCCTCACAACCTCATATCGCCCGGTGTGTGGACACTCGATGGTATGCTGAGGTATGGTGAGCAACAAAAGCAATGCCCTTACTTCACGGCAAGACGAATGATGCCATTCTGCAACGTAATAATATACTCATACCACTATCTGCTGGACCCCAAGATTGCAGAGAGGGTATCAAGAGAGCTGTCGAAAGACTGCATCGTAGTCTTTGATGAAGCCCACAACATCGATAATGTGTGTATCGAATCTTTGAGCATCGATCTCACAGAGGATTCGCTCCGAAAGGCGGCAAGAGGTGCCAGCAATCTAGAGAAAAAGATCAACGAGATGAAAGACACCGATGCAGAAAAACTTCAAAATGAGTATGCGAAGCTGGTAGAAGGCCTACGAGAAGCAGACGAAGCACGAGATGAAGGCGCGTTCATGTCGAATCCAGCTCTTCCCGACGATCTGCTCAAAGAGGCCGTTCCAGGCAATATCCGAAGAGCGGAACATTTCACCGCTTTTCTCAAACGCTTCATCGAATACCTCAAGACAAGAATGAAGGTCTTGCATGTCATTTCAGAAACGCCGCCGTCTTTCCTGCAGCATCTGAAGGAGTTGACCTTCATCGAGAAGAAGCCTCTTCGCTTCTGCGCTGAAAGACTTACATCTCTTGTGAGGACCTTGGAGCTCACCAATATCGAGGATTACCAGCCATTGCAAGAAGTTGCTAGCTTCGCGACACTTGTGGCGACGTACGATACTGGCTTCTTGTTGATTCTGGAGCCCTACGAGTCGGACACAGCCACCGTGCCAAACCCAATCTTGCACTTCACATGTCTCGACGCAGCTATAGCAATCAAGCCGGTCTTCGATCGCTTCAGCTCGGTCATTATCACATCCGGAACCATCTCCCCCCTCGAGATGTACCCAAAGATGCTGGGCTTCACAACAGTCGTTCAAGAATCATACGCCATGACCCTCGCAAGACAAACCTTCCTGCCCATGATCGTAACCAGAGGTTCCGACCAATCCCAAATCTCCTCCGGCTTCCAAACCCGCAACGACCCAACCAACGTCCGCAACTACGGCAACCTCCTCATCGAATTCTCCAAACTGACCCCGGACGGCGTCGTCGTCTTCTTCCCCTCCTACCTCTACATGGAATCCGTCATCTCCATGTGGCAATCCATGGGCATCCTCGACCAAGTCTGGAAATCCAAGCTCATCCTCGTTGAAACGCCCGACAGCCAAGAAACTTCGCTCGCCCTCGAAACGTACCGCACCGCGTGCTCCAACGGCCGCGGCGCCGTCCTCCTCTGCGTCGCCCGCGGCAAAGTCTCCGAGGGCATCGATTTCGACCACCACTACGGCCGCACGGTGCTCTGCATCGGCGTCCCCTTCCAGTACACCGAATCCCGCATCCTCAAAGCGCGCCTCGAGTTCCTCCGCGAAACCTACCGCATCCGCGAAAACGACTTCCTCTCCTTCGACGCCATGCGGCACTGCGCGCAGTGCCTCGGCCGCGTCCTGCGCGGGAAAGACGACTACGGCATCATGGTCATGGCGGACAAGCGGTTCGCGAAGAAGCGCACGCAATTACCGAAATGGATCTCGTCGGCGCTCAAGGAGAGCGATACGAACATGTCCGTCGACCAGGCGGTGGCGAGCGCGAAGAAGTTTTTGAAGTTTATGAGTAAGCCTTTTCCGGCGCAGTTGCAGGAGGGGGTGTCGACGTGGAGTTTTGAGGATTTGATGGTGCATCAGGAGAAGATGGCGAGTGAGAGGAAGAGGGAGGAGGAGGAGATGAATGGGGATGGGTATGGGGATCAAGTTATGAGGGAGGCGGAGGCGGAGGAGGTGGGCGATGAGGAGATGTATGATGATGCTGGGGCGGAGGCTGCGATGATGGAGGTCGATGCTTAGGTAGTTCGAACAAAGAAAACTGTGATGTTGTCTATAAGATACTGGTTTAGTGCTGAAGTCTTGAACACGGAATACCAGGACCACGAGCGGTGCTGTACTACCCAACCCCTTTCTCTCGTCAATCACCAATCATCATCCTCCGTGAACGTCTTGCTAAACTTGACCAAAGAACTGTAGTCCTCCCATCCCAACACACGATTCTTGCCCTTCACTTTGTTCACTTCGTCAATATCGTCATCCGCTCCACATCTCACCAGCCAACTCTGCGGCCGCAGACTGAACATGCCGTCCTCACAAACAAGTTGCGTCTTCTCCTTCTTCTCAAGACCGTGCTGATCCAGCTCTTTCGCCGCCTTTGGAGGTACGACGGATGGTCCACCGCGCTCTGTCAGGGCGGTATTGCGTCGCTCTCTGTGCTCCAGGATGTCGACGTCAATCGCATCCAGTGCGAAGATCCGGTGAACGTGAATCTCCTTCTTCTGTCCATATCGTCGTACACGACCGATTGCCTGCGCCATCGTGGAGTCGTAGCCGTACTGACTGTCCCTCAGCAGCGGACTGAGGAAGATGACGTGGTTGGCATTCTGCAAGTTCAATCCAGCCGCCGTCTCATCGGACGCATTGAGCACCATGACGGTGATCTGATCCTCCTTTCCAGCAGACTTGACGAATTGCTCGACCTGACGTCCAGCAGCGAGTCCATTCTTCACCACCGTGTTTGAGATGTCCTCGTCTTGGAGAGCGGCCTCGATCTCGTACAGCTGCTGTTCGTACTGCACGAACAGGATCGCTTGATCGCCTTGCTTCTCGATCTGATGTAGAAGCTTCGTGGCGGCTTCAGCTTTGGCGCCGTGCATTGTCTGAGGGCTCGACATGTCGCCCATCTTCTGTGACCATAGCAGGTATGTGTCTGGCATGGACTCCGAGCAATCGTCTGCTGGGCATGTGGCGCTGCCTTGTTCCCGCATTCGTAGGTAGCAGGCATAGCAGATGAGATGGCCGCAGAACACTGATACCCCAGCTGCTTCTGATTGTAGACTCCGACTCCCACACTCGGGATTGTCGCAAAGATCCTCCTTCTCCTCACCCTTCTTGGCAGCCTCTTGAATTCGTTTAACGTTGTGAAGGTATCGTGCGGACCGCCTAGCCTTCAGAAGCTTCTCACACATTGCATTGAGCTTGGCGGTCTTTTCCTTTTGCCCGGCAAAGGAGACTTTGGCATCATGGTCCTCCGGGTCGGCACTGTCGCCGTCGGAGTCGCTCTTCACTTTCGCGTGTGCCTTGCCCTTCTTCGCCACTGTCATAGAGCTTCGTAGCAAATGTGAAACTTCCCGAATTGTGTCCCTGTCACCAAGCCTACCGTCGTCTAGTCGTGAAGCTTTCCAGGAAGCAAAGGCAGCGGGCTCTTCACTGCTCGCAGTATGCAAAGCCTCTGCAAGTTCCCCAAGGATCTTCTCAGCCTGTCGGTTTCGCCGATTGATGATCTCGTCGATATCCCGCTCGTCTCCGTCGAGGAAAGCCGCGGCTTTCGAGAGAGCTTCCTCAGCGGTCAAGCAATCATTAGTCACGCTGTGAAAGCGTTCCTGGCGGTCCGTGGCCTTGCCCTTTGTGCTCTTCTTGATTCTCATGTCTGAGGAGTTGAGATGCTGGGAGATCTCCGCGTAAAGAGCCATGTGAGATACATCGAGCCGCACTGGATGCAGATGCTCGAAGCAGACGAGGTGCTCATTGAAGTCCGAGATGTTACGCCTCACGAAAGTATCCAAGAATCGCTGATCTGTAGCATGGATATGCGCATGCATGGAATCGGATGGTAGGTCTCGCATCAGATCAAACTGCTCGAAAGACGTCATTTCCTTCTTCATGTCTCGGGCATTCTTTGTCTTCAAGACTCCTCTCGCACCACTACTTGTACGCAGTGGTATACCCAGCAAGCTCGCAGTCTGAGCAATGTCGTAGAAGTCGTCCATTGCTGGCGTTGCAGAAAGTCCCCATCGCTTGTCGGCGTTCAATCCAGCAATTGCGGCGCGTTCTTTGGGCTCGTACTGATGAAATTCATCCACCATTATACGATTGAAGCAGAACATCTCCAGCAATGGCTTTCCAACTTGCGAGACGTCAATGTCTGGAGCAGCCGCTGTCGTCTCTACACCGACCTTCTTCTTTTCTTTGCCAGCCACATATTCTCTACCGCGAAGTCGGCGCGACGGAACGCTCATCTTGAACTTGTCGCTGTCGAGATTAGCTTTGTATACGTCCTTCAAGTGACGCTGCAGCTTCTTCAATCCGAATCCGCGATCAAGGATGTCGACGTGCGTTGGAACATCTTGTGCAATAGACTTAAGCCAATGTGCAAAGGAGCGACCTGACTTCGTTGCTGGCCCAGGCACACCAGCAAAAGTAGCTAGACGCTCTGCATAAGCATCAGCTCCAAAGACGTTCCGATTGACGACAATGATTGTAGCGTTCTCAAAGTCAGAGATCGTATGTTTGTCAAGGTCTTTTATGGTGTTGATCGCAATGACTTGGCGCTTAACTCGGAGCTTTTCGACGACCTCAGATTGCCACTGTTTCAACAACGCGGCAGGACAGACGATCAAAGTCGCAGCGATAGGAATAAGTCCAACCACCGCAGATTGGCTGCCTTTGGCTTCGTTGAGGATACCGGCCTTGCTCTTTTCGATCCATTCAGACTGGACGAGAGCCAAGCTGAGGATTGTCTTGCCAAATCCTGGATGGTCGGCACATATCCCTCCCTTGACCGTCAAGGTGGTTCGAGCCTTGACTTCTGCTTGCCAGCCGAGTGCAGTCAGGGAGGACTCTTCAACCTCTTCGAGCAGGAAGTCGACACCTTGCTCTTGCTTACGCATCCAGGCTAGAGCTAGTCGTTGCTTCGGAAAAAGCGTTACCGTCAGACCACAATCGCTGCTGAAAGGTTCGACGTCCCCTGTCGATAGAAGGACGAAGGGCTTGAATATAAAGCTGTCTGCTTGCTTTGCACCTGTCGTGAAGCGCCAGACGTATGAAATGGTGGCTTCCGGTCTACAGTCATGCCGCAAACGTGCACCTGCTCTATGGCCAAGGCTTGTAATGTTGATGCCGACTTGAATCTCACGCCCATCGACGACCGTTACAAGCAATGGCTCCGGTCTTGACTTGATGGCTCGCTCATATGCTGCAGCTGTTGCTGGATCCTCTTGTGCAACAATGTTGCTGTTGTCGCTTAAGGCCCATCGAATCTCGGGACGTCGAGGGGCACACTTGTTGCAGTGACAGTCGACATAGTCGTTTTGCAATGGCAACCACTGTTCAGGTGGCAGGTGACGGCGCAAAGCTTCGAATATCCATCCATGCTTCTCGAAGAACCCAGGCTGGTGTGGCTGCATTGATATGGCCCCAGCATCTCCGGCCGCCAGACGACAAGACACGAGGATTGGCGTGGTCGCACAATCCAGCGTCTCACCGATGAGTGCAGGCTGATTCGGTGCGCATATCTCAAGGCTTGTGTCTGTAGACGATAGCTTGAAGTCTGAAGGAAGCCAGTCGTCATCCACGATGAGGTTGGCTCGCGTGGTAGCCGGGATTCTCCCCTTCTCCTTCTCCTTCTCTGACCATGGCCGCCAGGAGGAGTCAATGCGTGCGATGACAGGCCGGACTTCGTCGTATTCAAGGATAGCTTTGTTGTGTGAGAACACGAAACAATCCTCCTTTGGATCACCAATCCTCGTGGGATCGAGGAACATGTAGATAGGCCTACCATGGCCAGCTTTCTTGTACAGACCGTTGCATGCCGTGCCACACAGCGGAAGATGGTCATATACGCCGCACACAGATTCGACTGCCGGATCGTTTGAGATTCCTGCATTCTCAGCCTTGATTGTGAGAGTCTGCCAGACGGAATGATCAAGGAAATCAGGCAACTCGTTGCGAGCCCACCATGATGCAAGCCCAGAGCCAGAGGCCTTCACCACTATGGGAACTTTTGTCGGCATTGGTGACCTAACTTGCCACTTTGAAGCCAGAAAATCACCGCGCATCTTGCTACGAGCCACAGGCTGTTGCAGCAGACCACGGAGCTTGCTATCACTGGGCAGGTCAGATGAGGCATGCGCGAAGAGCCGCCACTCTGCGTTGGCCTCGTTCTCAATCGCAAGCTCCAGAGATGCGGAGTCAGACTGGTAGAGCACCGACCAGCAATGCGTGCGCCGAACGTGTTGAAAGCTGAATGTTTGCTTCAGCGCTTCACTCACTTGTCCAGAATATTCTGGGTCTATGGCGTTGCCGAGCATCTCGTCCACCGACACATCATTGTTGTCAAACGAGAGACGAAGAGGTAGCACCTCTCGCAACTCCTGTTCGAACTGTCCTGGAGCTAGCCGTGCATCGCTCGATATTGATGACACGTTACGATAGCTGTGAGGAGGGTTGCCACCGCAAGCAACGCATGTCGTATGCCCACAATCCGAGCACTCCTGAAGAGACCTGGAAGTCACACCTTTCGGACCCTCGCAGTAGCACTTCCGAAGGGATCGGGCTGCTCTGAGTAGGACGTCTGCAGTACTCGTGACCCCTAAGCCTGACTTGAATCCTGTGATACTCATGTCATCGCTGGCCATAAGCTGCGGCTCTAGACCATTCGAAACGCTGCTTTCCAAGTCACGCTCGGCTGCACTCGCTTGTGGGATCATCTTGTATCCAGCAATGAGCGCCGATAAGATTGATGACCCAATGACGGTCGTTGACATAGCGTTTCCAGCCAGGTCCTGCACATCGGATGGGGACTCAGTTGTGAAGGAAATCCTGTCAAGCGGAAGGCCCTGAAGCTGCAACGTCTCTTCAGCAGTCAGAGGTCTGCCAGCATCAGAGATGTAGAACATTCCTGATGGCGTAATGCATCCAACCACACCAAATGGTCGATGATCTCTGTCTCGATCCACGTTCTGCGATAGGTCGACAACACGAGTCTTGTACCGATTGTCATACATTCCCAGACTCGGTAATGCCTTGCGCAGATTGCCAACATCGATAGTGTCCAGCACTCGTTCGACTTGCCTCTGGTACCACTGTAGGTTACCGTTGTCAGGTACCAGCAATGACCCACTTGCGGACCAGTTTGTGATGGGACGTGCATTACCTAGGCGAAGCTGTTGACGATACTGTATGTGCCGGATCTCGCATGTGGACCAATCTACTTCTCGGGTGGGATCGTCCGTGCGAATGTGCTGACGTGCGATTTTGTCGTTTGGTAGGAAGAAAGACGACACCGGAGAGCTCGCCGGCCGCTTAAAGGTCTCCATTAGTTCCGCCCACTGGGATGCCACTGCCCTGGATGACCCAGTCTTCAGCTTCTGCTTGTCAAAGCAAGCCATGTATCCACGTTGACGGATATGAGGAATGTAGTAGTCCTTGGTGTTGACCAAAGCTCCGACAGTCTCATAGCCGATGTCTTGGTACTCCTGCAGCTGATAGTCCCAAGGCGCGCCCTTGACGTTTTCCAAAAGGACTATAGCTGGTCTTGCAGCCATGCAAAAGTCCATTACGGCCCGCCACGTATCGCCAGATTCGCCGCCATCGTTGATGCCTTTCTTTCTAGAATTCATTCCTGAGTAATCGACGCAAGATGTACCAGCGATAAGCACATCTATGTCGGTTGGCACCGGAACTTTCGCGCCGTATGCTGTCGTAGCAGCTGGCTGTCCTTCATTATCCTCGAAGGCGTTGATGAGCTCGGTGATGTCTCTGAAAATCAGAGGCGGACTGAAGTTGCGCTCTATGTAAGCTTGCTTGAAAGGTACAAGCTCGGCAGAGAACAGGTGCTCGATCTCAAAGGCCTGAGGTCCTAAAGCACTCTTGATCATCTCCAGTGCCAGGAGTGGCGACTCAGTCCCGGAGCACATGGTAGCAACGCGAAGTGGCCGCGATTTTCGCAGGTGCTCAATCGCCTGGTCAAGCCCATGTGCATTAGCCTTGGAAGTCAAGTCCTGGAATATGTCCTGGATGCTGGACACTGGCGGCAGCGACAAGTCGAGACCTTTGCTCCCTCTCAGCAGATTCACCATGTCCTTTGCGCTCGCACGGGGCTTTGCGACAGTCGACGCGGCTGTCGTCGTGGTGGCTTTTGCCTTCGCAGGCAACTTGGCTCGAGCTTTGGACGCTTTCTTTGGCCTAACGACATCCTGTTCATCGCTCTCGCTGGCTTGGACTGAACTGCTGTCGTCCATGGCCACGTCACCGTCGTCGGACTCTTCTTCGTCTGATGCAGCAGATTCTGCGGAGAAGTCAGAGTCGTCAGAATCCTTGCGTCTCGACTTTGTCCGCGTCTTGGAAGCGGCAGCTTTAAGTGTGTTGGTTGCTCTCTTCTTTACTGAAGTTGAGCGAACATGTCCGGCAAGCTCGTCCTCTGATTCGCTAGGGGACGAAGTGATGGAAGCATATGCTTTTCTTGCGGCTGCTCGCCTAGATCGTCCGTGGGACGAGGTCGTTGCTTGGGAAGAGAAGAAGCGGTCTGTGATCTTGGGGGTCGCTACGACTGTCGAGAATTGCGACAGGAAACCAGGCTTGTGTACAGGCGGGTTGTACCAAGCGATCGGGCCTCGTAGTCGGTTCTGGAATTGAGACGGGCTCACTTCACCGAGCACAGTGCGAGGTGCAGTCACAGGACTGGACTGTGTGAGCCGTGGAGATTGTGATGAAAATGGGGCCTTAGTCGCTGGGACTGAACCTTGAGAGCGGCCACTTCTTAGAGGTTTGGCTTTACTCTGAGGGGCAGTCTTGAGTCTTGCGACTTTTCGAGGTCGAGCGTTGGTGGTAGAGACATCGCTTCCACGCGGCCGCTTCGAGCGAGATGCGGTCGTTGCATGGCTCACCACGATGGTGTCCTCGTCGGAGTCACTCTTGGAGAGGTCCATGACCTCAAACAAATTGCGCTGTCGCATAGCGATGGAGCCGCCTTGATTGATGCGCTTATGCCGGTTTCTATGGCTTTTTGTCAGTTGCAAGAACGGGGCAACGCATGTATGCAGGCGCGGGCGTGGAGGCAGGCGTGGGCATGGGCGTTTTGGCAATGCTTCGTGTCGGCTTGGAGGAGTGAGGTGAAGCTGGAGACGCGTGAGACGCGACTGGATCCAGGGTCCTGCGCTTTCCCGAACCCGAAACTCAAATGCGCAAGGTCAGGAGACCAAAGTGAGGTGAGCTTCATCAACCACCACCTGCTCCTCCTGCATCGAAGTGACGGACGGAATCACCGCACCCATGGCAGAAGTGAGTCCTCGCCAACGCGCCATCCTCGCGAGACGTCCCGCGGCACCGACAAGGATGAAGGGCAGCGCTGCTCCACTCTTGGTCTCTTCTGCCCGTCGTCTTCTCATGCGGTCCGCGACAACACCACTTCCTCGGGCGGCCGATGTCCAGATGGCCAGTTCATTCAGATGGCCAGTTTATTCAGTCTCATCCATTCAACGACAATACCATTGAATACCAGCACTAGGCGATGTGGTGAGGAGCTCACCGCTCCGACTGCCACACTCTCCGCCGACTGCCAGAGAGACACCACCAAGGATACCCAGCCGCCGACATGAGCTGCATCGTCGTCGAATCGCCTCGCCTGGCCCTTTGGTTGGTTGGTCGAAAAGTGTTGCCAGCTGAACCCATGGGAAAGTACGAGACGATGCACGATGGACGGTACACTGCCAAGAGCCTGTGTAGGTTTTCTGTTCAGCTTGCTGCCATATGGCCAGCAAGTGTCCGACCAAGGCGTCGGAGCGTCCTGCGCAGTTCACGATACTGAGGAATCACCAGTGTAGGTAGAATAGTATCCCGCGGTCTCGGCTTATCGCGCTGCAAAATGTCGACGCCTTGGCTGTTGGCCAAGAAACTTTTGATACCCACGTGGGCAGGACAGCTGCTTTGGGAGCTGATAACAACCTTTGACTTTCGACCTCACCTCTCAAACGACTCTAGATCAAGCCAGAACAGCACGCAAACATCGATCCGGCCACGTCATGCTGCACGACGGCGGCCTGAGAAAATCCAAATCCGGACAGGTCGTCTTTTCCCACGTGCTTCGAAGAGCTGTTTAGTGGATGTTTGACTTCAACAGGCAAGTCGCCTCAAGAGAAAGAGACGACTCTGGCCTGCGCCATCACAGCACTCAATCGAAGGTCATGTTTTGTTGCAGTGTCCATCGACGAGCGGGCTTGAGGAAGGTAAGTATATTTTAACAGCTCCCTGTCTCACCTCCATCCAGGTAGATTTCAGCTTGTACATCCTTTTCTGAACATCGTTCCATTCTTTACCAAGTCGTTGAGGATGAAGTCCTGCATTCTCCTCGCCGCAGTTGCTGGCTTGGCCAGTGCTGCTCCCCAGCTTGAAAAGCGACAGTACATTGACTACGAGGCCGTTGTGGACGACTACGTTCCAACAATTACCGAAGTTCCTGGTCTCAAGACTCAGACTGTCCAATACGATCCAACTGCAGCTATCTCATCTGCTGCAGCGGAGGTCACTGAAGACCCGCTTCCTCAAAAGAAGCGTGATTTGGAAGTCCGAAGCGCCTGCGACCCCGAGCCTACCATCGCCAACACGTACAACATTGATGTGTCCAGTCCATCGGCTTTCCAGAACGATCCAAATGCCGCCGCTGCTGCCAACGCTGCAGCTGTTCCCAGTGGCTACTCCCGCAACTTCAAGGCTCTGACCAACACTGTTGTCGGATACGGCTACCTGGGCTATCAGCAAATCAGCTCCTACGACCCACAGCAGTGCGCAACGCGTTGCACTGCCCTCGCTGGGTGCCTTGGCTTCAACCTTTGTAAGACATTATGTTGTCTACCTCTCTTGACATTTACTGATCAATTCCACAGTCTTCGAAAGGGCTCCTGTTGCCACACCTGGAGACGACTGCCCTAACCCTGCGCCTTTCGCCAACATCAAGTGTGCATTCTGGGGCGGTCCAGTCGAATCCGTTGGTGCTCTCGATAGCAACGACACCCGCTCTGCCTTCCAAGTCGTCTATGCGGGCAGCAACGGCTATACGACAACTGCTGTCCAGCAGATCGCAGGCTACTCGGCTCCAACTATCTTGAAGAATGTCTCTATCAACGCTCCATTGGACTGCATTAACCGCGATACGTATATGGGCTTCAAGCTTTTCACATCCGGCGCATATGACACCCGTCTGTGCACTGCGGCCTGTGAATCTCAGAATGTCTACAACAAGCAGTACCCACCGCAGGACATCACCCAGCTCAAGCTTTGCAAGTTCATCACTTCGTACCTCTTGCTCAAGAACGGTGAGCCGGAGGGTCAGTTCTGTGTCATGTACACGCAGGCTTGGGATCAGAGCTATGGGACCAACGACGGCCAGTGGCGTGGTGATGATCACTACACAATCCAGTACAGCTTCAGCTACAGCAACGCTACTGACACTGGCCTGCCTGTATGCCCAAATCAGGTGTCCTACTTGCAGACTTCTGGACAGGAATTTTGCACGTCATACATCCACTACAGCGCCCCAACTTCCACCGCGGTGTCGACGGCTTACAGCACGCCAGCTACTTCCACAGTCCGATCTACCTCTACCAGCACTGTGACTGTGTACAGCTACACAAGGACCACGACCATCACTGGCTACGGATCGTCGACATCGACCTCGACGGTGCCTCCTATGAAGAGAGATGCACCTCCGACCGCGAGCCCAACTACCCTGGACGAGGCTTCAGCCTATCCGATCGACCCCGCCGCTACTTCTGGGGCTTATGTTGTCTCAATCCTCTCGTCCGTTGTCCCAGCCTACACCAACAAGGTTGTCGATAGCGTCGTCGCCAGCACAAGTGCTGCTCCCCAGAGGCGCGAAGTCCCCGAGAAGCGTGCAGCAGCACCGGTCGAACAGGCTGTCGAAGAGAAACGAGCGGCACCAGCACCAGCTCCAGCTCCAATCGAGGCTCATGCCGTCGCAACTCCAGCGTCTGCCTCCAACTGGCCTGCATCAGTCCTTTCTAGTGCTTGCTCGTCTGTAGCCACCGGCACAGCGACAACAACCCGAACGACCACCCTCACCGCAGCAACACCTCTCTACACCAGCTATACCTCCACAACGACCACGACAACCATCACCACCGTCTCGACGCAAACTGTTCCCCCCGTCGTCCTCTCCTCCGCCACTGCTGTCGTAGGCAGCATCAACGGCTCCCCCTCAAGCTACGACGACTCTTACTACGCCCTCAACCTGCCCTTTTCCATCGGCACCTTTGGCTCCTACAGCAGCTCCATCTACCTCGGCATCAACGGCTGGGTCGGCTTCCCCGGTCGCTCAGGCACGTACGTGAACACCGCTCTGCCCGCCAGCAACATGCCGGATACCTGCATCATGGCTCTTTGGGATGATCTGTACATCTACCAAGGCACCCAGCAGGGTATCTACTACCAAGTCTCCGGCGCGACAGGCACCCGTGTCATTACCTTCGAGTTCTACACATCCGCCTACCAGCGTCCGTCAGAGTACTATCACTTTACTATGACCTTCTACGAAGCCACGCCCGCCATCACCTTGTTCAAGTACTACGACGTGAGCTTGTCTGGCAGCTCCGCGACTGTGGGTGCACAGAAAGTATCTTGTAAGTTCACTCGTCACTTTCCCCTACCCCGTCCTCTTGACCTTAACCCATGCTAATGGTTTTCGACAACAGCGAACAAAGTCTCGCAGTACTCGTTCAACCAAGCCGTCCTCTCGCCGGGCATGACGCTGACGCTGAACACAACTACCGGGAGCGGAGTGTTCACGGCGGGAACGTTTGATCGCAATGCTCCTTCTTAGGAAGAAGTAAGTGTAGAACATGTTTGACGAAGAAACGATATGAGAGGCTTCTTAGATTGGGTCGGTTAGATTGTTTCCCTATGTCTTTTGCTCGGTTTGATACCTTTTGATGTCTTTGAGATAGAACGAGTAAAAGGTTGCTTCGCGATGGAGATGCTGATTGCGGATTCTTGACGGAATGTTAAGCTTTTCTATTCATGACCGACTCTTTCCCGCCTTCCTTCCCTCTGTTTCTGACTAGACACGACACACCCCACCCGCCATCTCACTCGTAGACACATTCATCTCCGATGCCCTTCACAGTCTACCTTTCCTTAAGGTTTGATAAATTCTGTTTAAGCTACCTAATCCAGTTAAGATCATTGAAGCTAGACAGGCAGGCCGACAACCATACATGTAGAGCTTGCACATCTCCTAGTAGTGGCCTCACCCGTTGAAAGGAATAGACTGGCACCAGACATGCGACACCCACCCGCCCAACGATGCCATCCAAACGACCTCACCGGAAATCCCGCCTGGGGTGCGTCCAGTGCAAGCAGCGAAGGATCCGGTGCCGTGGTGGGCCACCGCAATGCGAGAACTGCTGCAAGCACCGGCTGGAGTGCGAATATAAACAGTGGACGTTTCCTACTTGTGTGCTGATGCACACTACTACTGCCACCAGGTCACAGGATCGGCTGAAGAGCTCCAATGGGTTGGAGTCCTCGTCACGACGCTTTGCGGTGGCGAACGACGACTGCTTTCGAGACGCAGATGGGGAGGGGGAGTATCTATTGCGTCTTTCGCCAGGCTGCCCTCCCTCAGCCTCTTTGGACAGCCTCGCAGAAGGATGGATTCCCACGCATGCTGCCGCCCTTCACTATTTCCGCACGTTCGCCGCCGCCGATTTCAAGGGCTATCTGGCGTCCGAGTTCTGGACCTCAATGCTCTATCAAAAGTCAGAGTACTGCGTCCCCGTGCGCCAAGCACTTCTTGCCATCAGCAACGCGCATCGAGAGCGAGTCACTACCTCCGCCGAGACACTCTCAGGATCGACTTTAAGGCTCTATGTCACAGCGATACAGCTGGCTGTCGAGCACATGGAGCAAGAGAGCACGATCTCCGAAAAGCGAGCGACGAGTCTCTACTGCTGCGCCGTGTTCTATTGCTTCGAGCTGTTCAACAAGAACCCCCAAGCAGCAGACATCCACCTCGACAACGGCCTCCGGCTCCTGAGAGAATGGCACCGCCTTTCGCCAACGTGGCCGCCGTCCGGGCTCCGGAATCCCGCTCGTGACGATTTCACCAAGCTGCTATACACCCTCGGACGCCTAGACTTGGACAGGATGTTACGAGACGCCGTCACCCGGAGCTCCGAGCACGACGACAAGATCTTCGCATCTGGACTCACGCCGCTCTCGGATCGTCCAGCTGACGATTACTTCGCTCTCAAGGGTCGTATGATGCTCCTCTCCCGACGCATCACACGCTTCGTCCGTCGTTACGATCACCCGGACACGATGCCGATAGCTGAGGTGCCTGCTCATGTCCTCTTCAGCCGCCTGCAGCTACAATCTCAGATCACGGAAATGGAAATCTTGCTCGATGAGAGAGAGAGAGGAGGCTCCGCGAAACGTATTCGTCCGGACGATGTGAACTCACCGCTCTGTCGACCCTCCGGCTCTACCTCGTGACGCACCGCGTCCGCCTGACGATGATGTTTGCTCGAGATCAGGACCAGCGTACAGCTGTATACGATGAGTATGCTGATGTGATGCTCAGGTACGCGAAGATGGCTTGGGATACGTTCCGCGCACAGAGGGAGAGGGCGCCGCTGTTGCCGGAGCCGGGCGTGTTGGTGCCGATCCAGTGGCTTGCAAAGGGTGTCTCGCGAGAAGACAGTCGTCGGGATGCGCTGGAGTTTATTGGCAAGTACTATGCTATCGAGGGCGTTGGGATGTTTGAATGATGTCGACGGCGAGCAGACTCACCTTATCCATCGACTGACGATCTTGTCGATATCGTGAAAGAAGGGCAGGCCTTGCTCGTCTGTGTTGCCGATTCGGAGTTCGCATCTGCATGCCGAGAGCTTCGGGCCAAGGCATGGGAGGTCCAACTGCTCGACTGATGACAGCAGGAGTCCAGGAGAATTCGATGTTCGATGGTGGATTCGTCCACATGCACGTTTACTGAACATTGTTAGTCAATCTCACGCCAGCGGCATGTCTGGTAAGCCAACGGCACAAGGCGTGTATGTGGAAATTCTGGAGATGAAATCGACCAGGAAGAGCTTTTTTCTACCGTCGGTGTTCCGCTCAAAGTGGAACATCTATCCCCGTTATTCCTAAGCCCTCTAAGCAGCTTAGAGTGTAATTAGTAGCGCTGTCTCTTACGAAAAGGCAGAGAGACGGCAGTTCGATACGTTCCACTTTGACCGGAACGAGGAGGGTACCCTTTCTATAGTGGCGTGAGACGCGTATAGCTGGATAAAAGAAGGATCGGGAGGCTCTAGAAGCTGCATTAGCTTTTTGGGGTAGCTTTGTGGGCGATCAAAGATAGTTTTTGCGGAGAACCTTGGAGGGAGAGATTGGAGGCCTGATTTTGAAGAAGAGTTTTTTTTCTTATCTGGACGTTCCTTGCATATTGATCAGGTCTGGAGAGATTTTGCCGCGAGGGGTTTTGCTGGAAGTCCAGGGTGAAGGGAAAGTCTCGTTACGAAGGACACGGAGAGAAGGCTTTGACGGGTTTCCAGATATTAGTTGCTTTGCTGAGCTAAGAAGTGCCAGTGTCAGGATGAGTGAAGAGTCACACGTAACGCTGGCCATCTGGTCTCACTCGCATGCGCCTCCGTTGATACCGGCTGCGGAGATCAGCTTTGATTTGCGAAGGGTAACAAACCCACCGAAGCACATTAGAGACAGTTATGATGGTCGTTCGAAGAGGTTGCGGGAGCATCTTCTTCATGACGCCACGTTCGTCAACCTGCTGCAGTCTGCCATGGAGGAGATCTTGAAAGTTGCGAATATTCGACACGACGATGAAGTTTTGGAGCAAGCATCTCATCCAGAAGAAACCGGCTTCGTGGCTGGTGCTGAAACGACGACGAGCTCTTCACCACCAGCCACCGGCCCGTCGAATCGCACAACACGCGAGGACAACCCCAGTGACGATGACACTCGCGAAGCTGAAAACGCCGATGATGAGGAGGCGCAGGCACAGACAGCCTCGCAGACCACCGAATACGACTCCGACCAGGAAGAACCCGACTCTTCGTCTGGGGAAATTGAGCCGGGAGAGTCAGAGTCAGAGTCAGACTCGTCGCGATTACTCCGCATCAGCTGTTTCTGCGAACGAGGACGGCACCGGAGCGTCGCATTTGCGGAGGAGTTGGGCAGGATGGCGTGGCCGCGGGGATGGGATGTGTTGGTGCGGCATAGAGATGTGGATGGTCAAGGAGGAGGGAAGAAGAGGAGGAATGGGCGGTCGGGCCGTGAGGATGGGAGGAGAGGCGGTAAGAGGGGGCTTGCATTCGGCTTCGGTCCGGATGGGGATGAGCCGTGAGATGGCGATATCGTGGCAAGTACGGGCTTTACTGATGGTGGTGTCGGTGTCGTTTGAGGATGAGGCGATTCAATCCATAATGTCGCAGAGACCATAGCGTCGTATCGAAGATACAGTACGGATTATCAGGAGGTCCATGATCACGCCTGCAAATTCCAAATGCGATTCAAGTCATGATGAGCCGAGATAATTGCGATGGGAGTATTTCCGGTAGACGGGTCGCCGTTTGTGCCAGCAACGGGCGGTGTCGAGTGCCACGGGAGCTTGTCTTCGCCCAACTCTGCCCTCCAAACACGCAAAGACGGAGGCGTCTCTCCGCATGCAAACCTGTCAATCTGATGCGCGGGCGTCACACAGACAGCGTGAGCCACGCTGTACTCCTGCGCACCAACAGCGCCTCCATCTGATGAGTCTCTTCTCGGCAAGGGCAAACGACGATCGGGAGAGAGGCTTTTCTGTACCGTGGAAAGGCATCCGGCAACGGTGCAAGTACCGCCGGTGGTGTGACGGGCCTGGCTCCCCGTCGTGATTCCGCTCCAGCCCGCGAGATTGAGTTTGTGTGGGGGTGGAGAAGGAGAATGGAGAAGGTTTGCCTGTGCCAGTGCCAGCTTTCTCTCTGGCAATGGATCCGCCTCACTCCTTCGCACTCGCGACGCCGGGCGTCCTGACTCCTGCTTGTGCGCGCAAATCAGCCGTCGGTCTCCGTACGCGAGAGAGACGTGGCAGCGAGCGAATCCCACGGCGCCGTATCGTGGCAGCCTGCCTCACCCTCGCCCCCAAGAGAGCAGCGAGTACGCACGGCGTGGCGTGGTCGGTCTCACGACTTGGCCTTCCACTTCTATTCCGAGCACGAAGATGCGCTGCACCGGTGCAGTACATATGGGTTATCTGATAGGCAAAGAGGCTTTAGATCTGCCGCTGCACATCCCATGTCCTGCTGCCGCCGAACCCTGCAACCTCGCCGAGTGCAGTATCCCGCCGCTGCTCGAAGCGGCAATGCCCATCACATCTCTCGAGCGGTGAGGTGTGTGCTGGCGCTGTTGCTCAAACACAAACCACTCCATGACGCGCCGGACACCCGCCTCGCATCGCTCCTCCGCACGTCGCAGGGCATCCCACGGAATCGCCTTTCGCTCGTGTGAGGACGCTCGGCCAGGAACATGGGCTCCGGGCACGCCATCCTATTTGCTGAGCGGCCGTGCCGTTGCAAACACAGAATCAACGAGACGCACCGGCGACCAAGGGATACAGTTACCGGATCCCGCGCGGAGGGAAACTTTACTTGTCCGTCTGTGCCTTTTCTTGGTCGTCGTGTCGCGATCCTTTTTTTTTTCTTGTACTGCCAAAACGAGGCGTTCGGGCTGAGGTAAGGGTGCGTGTGTAGGAGACTCGGGGTTGTACTTAATCAAACGCCTCGCTCGCTCTTTTCTTTCTGAAACCTTTTTGTTTCCTCTCACTACGCTTGCTGCTACAGGATCTGATACTGCCAACTTACACCGACAGACAACTTGATCTTAATCTCGATCGAAGCCAGCCACATCGACAAGACCTTACTACAACAAGCCCACTCCACTCATCGTCGACACTCCACCTCCACCACGTCGACCTCCAACAAACCAATCAAAACCAAACTCAAAATGACCGACACCATGCCTCTCCCGACTCAACAGTCGTCCATCCCTCGCAACGACTCCTTCTCCGCCGAAGACCTCACCAAAGCCCTCAAGGCATCCGCAACCAAGCCACGCAACGAGCTGTCATTACGCATCGTCAACCACGAGGAGCCAGCCGTCCCACCACCATCTCCACGCGAGTCAAGACCGGCATCGGTTTACGGCCATAGGAGATGAAGCATGACCGATCAAGCTGGACTTGATTCGATTCTCTAACGGCAATACCACTTCGATTCATTCGGCGACACCACGTTTTTCATCATGATATCCCACTTTTTATTCAGCAAGCGACATTCATCACCAAACGACGACGAAAACCAAGGCGCATATTGAGACTGGGGAATGGTCACGGAGCATTTAGGTACTTGTATAAAGGAAACCACGGCGTAATCAGAAGGGAGTGGGCTATTATTACTATGTTATGCCTCACAGGCCTCGACTATGGAGTTGCATTCAGACATGAGTTTCGGTGGAAGGGTACTTGTCGATAGGATAGCGAAAGGTACAACCCGTACAAAATACGAAAAGACTTGTCGAGCTTGGCCTCGACAAAGGTCAACCAACAAACAAAGTCAATCCTTTTGAACACAGCCATCGACACACTTCGCTTTGAGACCTCTTCCCCACACCAACCAACCGACCACGCATCCATTTTCTCAAACCCGCCCCCATCGTCACCCCGTCAACTCCTCCCCCACAAAAAAAAAGAAAAACCCGCACTCATCTCCGCTCCATCCCCCTCGATACCAACGTCCGCATCCTCCGCCACGCAACTACAGTCTCTGGCATAAACGTTAGCAACCCCTGCTAGCGTCTTGCAAACAAATCCTGTCTGTGCGATTGAGCACTGACAGCGTGTGCGTTTCGACCTTTCACCGTTAGGCTAACAGGGGTTGCTAACGTTTGTGCTGGGGACTGTATTAATCAAACAGTCTCCTCCCTCCCCGCCTTTCGGCTCTTGTTCCCATGGGAATCGGATCGTTTAGAATCAGTGTCCCGACGGCGCGGTTAAACGGTCTTACATACAACGTGTCTCAGATTGGAGAGCTGGGACGTGGGGGTTCGGGGGCCCATGGGAAAGGGTGTTTGAGAGTGCTTGGTGGAGTTGGGTGGACCGGTTTTTGGGGGTGGGATCGATGATGGGTTGGGGTTGGAGTTTGGGAAGTCGATGTTATTGACTTTTGTTTGATGATTGAGAAGGGACTGGATGATGGATGGGGTGGTTTGTTTGTTGGATGTATTGACGACAGGAACGCCTTTGTCCTCACGACTAAATCAGCAGCACAACCCAGACTACGTCACCTCTCTAAACATTCGACATCCAGTACTTTCTGATCGCCCTTCCGCGCTCGAACTGACTATTGATCGGGTTTCCTGAGATGCTCTTCTCACCACGCTGGCTCGCTACCGCCTTGACACCGACATTCGTCGATCGTGAGTCTGATGCGACTGGTACCTTGCCTGGACGTTTGTCGAGTCCTTCGGTGCGAGGGGGGAGATAAGTCGAGATTTCCTTTCCATGTGATAATATCACGAGCTCAATCGGTGTCTCCTGAAGACAAAGCACAAGTCAATAGACACTCCGAAGTAGGCAACACATGAAGAGCACTTGTTATGAAAAATTGTTACAGCACGAGTGAGCCTATCAAGCTTCCTTCACATGTGAAAGCCGAATCGTAACCCGTAGCAACCCTTATATACACGAACGAGGCATTCACGACATGTGGCAGTAAATAGAGAGACGCTTCTAAATGTACTCTTCACCTATGTGAGATTTCGACTTCTATTCACTTGCTATTGTGCACGCCATCATCAATAGATCCGCCAACACTTTATCATGTAGCCTTCAACCCGCTTCAATGCAGTTCAACAACGTCACCGAAAAGCACTCGTAAGTCACTTTTCCATGCTATCAAAGCGGCAGCAGGAGATACTAACACACGATCCCAGTGCCGACAATCAGAGCTCCCTCGCATTCAAAACTCACATCAAAATCGTACATGTTTCTCTCCAAAACTGCCAATGCGACCATGCTAACGACGCAGCTACAGCAACATCAGTCCATCGCAATGCCTTCGGGAAACGAGCGCAAAAGCGCTACCAACGACGAGGAGAGTGCGGTCTTCGCGCGCGACCCTGCGGCCTTCATCGCGCAGCAGGTGAGCAAGTTCAAGCTGGAGGAAGCGGCGGCGGCGGCGGAGGCGGCGGGAGTGGCGGCGGGCAAAGCTCCCCCGGATGGATATCTCGCGGGCGAGGAGGATGGGACTTGTGTGAGGGATTTCGCGGTTTCGGGCGGCGATCGTGCCAATGAGTTATGAGTTGGGGGCTTGGACGATGATGGAGTTTTGGGGATGGACGGCGGTTTTCTTTCTGGGATGGAGATTTTCACATGAGATCGGGGGCGGGCGAGAAAGGAGAAGGCGGTGCATCAAGCGATCAGTATGCGTTCATTCCATACTCTACATCAAACACATCGCCCTCGTTGAAGAAGTCAACGAGCAGGTAGTTCGGCCGGCGCTCGTACAGCGACCTACATCGCACAGCATGCTCTCCCAGTTCTCCTTCTCTGAACCCTGCACCATTCGTCGTATTCGCATAGGAAGCATTGGGATATCGAAAGCCCAGGAAGCTCGCGTACAAGAAGTGGTTCACCAGACTTAGTCGGTCGGGGATATAGCCATAGATGTACCAAGGCCGAGACGGTTCGCAGCTGAATTGGGAGGAGTGGTCGATGACGAACGATGTTTCGAACATGTAGTTGAACTCGCGGAGGAGGAAGGGGACTTGAGTCTCGTCGGCGCCTTTGTCGAGAAATGAGACAAGGCGCTTGTTGGTTTCCACCATCTCGACTATCGTGGGCCAGTCACCAGTTTTCATGTTGCCGAAGGTCTTATCTGGAGCTGGTATGTAGGACATGATGTCCAGGCCGGTGTCGTAGTAGGCTCTGGCCCAGTGCTCGAGAGGGGGGCCGACGTTCACGAGCATGAGCGTTACGATTTCTCGAGGGTTCTCATCCAGGAATGACTTTACTGTCGCGAGAAGCTCATGAAGACTTCCACCGTCCATGAGAGCGCAGTTGAAGTGGCACATGCGGATCTCCGATTTGCCATTCGGGTCATTGTGGCCTTGAGCCTGGATGAACCGAACGCCAGCTTTCAGCTGCGTTGAGACGTTGAAGTATTGATTGCCACTCAATGACCAGTTGTTCTCGGATGTGCGTATTGCTACGGCATCATGAGTTCCGATGAAAGTCTGCTCGGAATAGCGTTTGTGGTACAATGCAGGTACCGGCACTCTAGAACCTGGTTGCTTTGGGTGCGGATCATCATCGTCCTGGAGAGCTAGCCATTGAGGAAGAGGCCCAACAGGGACCTGCTGGACTTGCGAAGCGAGACATTGATAGACGAACAGCAATAAGAAGATGCACAAGTACATGTTATTGTGCCCCCAGTGGTTCACATGCAGCCAGGAGGTGAAGTCGATGTCAGCGTCCCGAAGAGGAATGGCGGGTTCCCGGCAAATGACGGCGTCTCACGGGCTTCATTCACCCGACCTCACCCCATCTTCATCAACTCCACCTCCACAAACCCCCCAAAGGCGGGGTTCATCAATTGATCATCGACTTGCATATGCCCACGAGGACGAAGACGCGACAATCCAAGGCAGGAATGCCGACGGTACTACAGCAGGTAAGCAGACGAGGAAAGATTCTCAAATTGCATCTGTTCTTGCTTCCCTTTCGTTCACTTTCCTACCGTCACCATGGCTCGAAGCAGTAGCTGGTACACGTTTGGAGTGGCGGTCTTCGCCGCCATAGGCACGTTCTTCTTCGGCTTCGACACAGGCATTGCTACGACTACCATTGCCCATCAGTCATGGATCGAATACATGGGCCATCCCTCCAATGGAATGACTGGAGCTGTGGTCGCGGTATACATCGCAGGAGAGGCTGTCGGGGCTCTTATCCAAACCGCAGTGGGCGACAAGCTCGGTCGAATACGCTTCATGCAGATGATGTGTATCATCGTCACCATCGGGGTCGTCATCCAGACAGCGGCAGTCAACATGGGAATGTTCCTTGCTGGTCGGGTTCTGGCCGGCATCGCAGTTGGCGGCATGGTCGGCACTGTGCCCATCTACCTCTCAGAGATATCAGCACCACATCAGCGGGGTCTGATTGGGGGTATCTCAGGATGCGGCATTTCCTTCGGCACCATGGCTTCGAACTGGGTCGGCTTCGCGTGCGGCTACGCTCCCTACGGTGCCGTGCAGTGGCGGCTTCCTCTAGGAATTCAGATTCCTTGGGGGATTGTCATGTTCATCGGTCTTATGACTTTCATGCCCAACTCGCCCCGACAACTCATTCGAAGCGGCAAGATCGAGCAAGCACGCATCGAATTCGTTCGCATTCGCAAGGACTTGCACTCCCATGAGGCCCAGGAAGAGTTCGCCCTTATGCGGGCACAGATTGAGTACGAGCAAGAACGAGAAGTCAAGACATACGGCCAGATCTTCAAGCTCTTCAAGCACCGAGCATTTGCTTCCATTGCAGTGCAGACGATGACTTCTCTAACTGGTGTGAATGTTATACAATACTACGTAACGATCCTACTCAAGTCGCTTGGAATCAAGTCTCACACCATCTTGGCACTCGCAGGCGTGTACGGAACAATCGCTTTCCTGAGCAACGCGTTGACAACACGATACCTGACAGACCAATGGGGCAGGCGAAAGATGATCCTCACTGGTTTGTCTGGCATCATACTCATCGAAATTTATACGGCGGTCATGCAGAGAGAGTTTCAGAACACGAACAACAACGTCGGTAAAGGGTTCGCGGTCTTGGGAATCTATCTTTTCGTCGTTTGTTACTATGGCATGCTGAACAGCACGACTTGGTTGTATGGTAAGTGAGATTGGAGGGCTACCAATCGCGGAGGATGGTTTTGCTGACGTTTGTCCTCTCATAGGTGCTGAGATTCTGCCCATGTCGCTTCGAAGCAAGATTATGGGACTAGCTGCGGCTTCCCACTTCATCGTCAACGTTGCAAGTAAGGACATATCCAAGACTTTGAAAAGGTAGTACTCTGACATTGCGACACAGTCACCGAAGCTGGTCCGTCTGCTTTCGCAACGATACATGAGAACTACTACTATGTCTTCGTCGGATATACTCTCTTCTTCCTGGTCACCGCCTACTTCTACTTCCCGTGAGTCTATCTGCATGTTCCCCGGGTAGAATAAGGCTAACCCCTCGCAGTGAGACAAGACACAAGACCCTAGAAGAGATCGCGTCTGCCTTCGGTGACAAGGTCGTCACTCTCACAGAACGAGACCTCGCAGTTGAGCAAACAGTCTTTGAAGGCAAAGCAGCAACTGGACATATCGAATCGATAGCTGAAGACGACAAGTAATCATTAGACGCTGGTATAGCTAACAGAAAACGCAAGTACAGACACTCTAATACCCGAGCTGCTCAAACTCCCTCTCTGTCCACTCCCACAGCCTCTTCGCCTGCGCATCGTCCTTTAACGCCTTCTCCGTATACTCCTTCAACGAAGGCTTATACAACGCCCCACTCCTAACCCCACTCCCGGTCGCAGCCCACAACTGCGCCCTCGCCCCCTTCTGCACATCTACCGCAACCACAGTCGCAAGCGACCCGACCAACCACCCAAGCCACGGCGACCGCTTCTTCCAATCCTCCAGAATCCCCGTGTTGACAAGCCCGGGATGGACCGCCACGCTCGTGATGTTGGGGTACTTCTCCGCGAGGCTCTTGGTGTGGTAGTAATCCGCTAGCTTGGTCTGGCCATAGCGGGCGATGCTGTTGATTTCCGTGAGGGGTGTTTTGAGTTTGGGGATTAGGACGCCTTCGCTGGGGGCTTGCTTGAAGAGTTCGGAGCTGAGGTTCACGATGCGGACGTCGGAGTCGGGTTGTGAGGCGGTGGATTGGAGGGTTGGGAGGAGGAGTTTGGTGAAGAGTGCTGGGCCCATCTGGAAAGTGCATTGTTAGAGCTGTTTCCGAAAAGTTGGATGCTGGGCAACGACTCACATAGTTACTCCCAAACTGCACCTCATACCCATCCTCCGTCAACCCCGGCGGCAAATTCATCAATCCCGCATTATTAACCAGCACATCCAAACGATCATGATCCCTCCCAAACGTCTCCGCGGCGGCTTTCACAGACTTCAAAGACCCCAGGTCAAGCTGTAGGAATTGGAGCTTGCCTTTGCTCGCGGGGACCTCGCGCTCAATCTCTTGGATCGCGGCATCGCCTCGTTGCTGCGTGCGCGCTGTGAGGATGATTTGGTGCGGGTTGTGTTTGGCGAGTTGGAGCACGGTTTCTTTGCCGAGACCGCTGCTGCCGCCGGTGACGATGATGGTTTTGCCGGCGAGGGAGGGGATGTCTTTTTGGGGGTTGAAGGACATGGTTGGGTAGTTCGCGGTTTGTTGGTGGTTGTCAAATAGGTTGGAGTTGTGACGAGCGGTTTCTGTCAGGCTGAGGCTTCCGCTGGCTTTAAAGCGGCATTGACTTCTCACAGTAGTAGGAGATAGAAGGTCATCGACTAAGATTGTTAGTAATTTTGAGATCAATTTGGCCTATACTGATCTCTCGTCGGAATGGCGTGAGTCTCTCCGATGCAGCTCAAAGTTGTGCCGGTTCGGCTGTGGCGATTACTCAACGCTCATTTTCACTTCACCAGGGTGTTGTGCACATGGCGGAATCAGCCTTGCAGCTAGCAAGACAAGTTGCCTACCCTCCTCATTCCGGTCAAAGTAGAACGTATGGAGCCGCCATCTCTCCGACTCTTCACAAGCGATTGCGATGCTACTTGCACCGTCAGCTGCTCAGAGAACCTGGGAATAATGGGGATGAATGTCCCACTTTGAGCGGAACACCGAGGGTAGGTCGTCGCTGCAATTGGTAATCTATACATTGCTACTATACTTACACCCCGTACATCATCTAAAGTCTCGGCTTCCCGTTCGTTGACGTGTCAGCAACAGCCGGATTCTTCACATTGATAGGCGTGTGCCAGGGATGCACTGGCGGCGAGTCCTTCTGTACGGTCGCCGTGAATGTGGCTTTCCTCTTTTCCAAGAAGGCATTGACAGCCTCATCGTTATCACTGCGAACAGGGTCAGTGAATAGTTTCGGCACTTGACAAGGGATTGAAAGCTTACGCTTTCCCTCGCATGTGACCCATCACCCGAGACTCCAGTAGATGAGCCTCTTCAGCACTAGGCATTCCCCGGTACAGCATCTCCCGGATCATGTAGGTGCTCACACTACTGGTGTTGACCGCTAGATCATCCGCAATCTCCAAGGCCTTTGGCAGGACGTCTTCCTGTCTCTCGACCAAATCAGAGAAGAGGCCATGGAGCTGCTTGGCTGATGCTGGAAGAGTAGCTCCAGTGATCAACAGTTGCATAGTCTTCGAGAAACCAACGAGGCGTGGCAGGAAAAACGATGAGCAGCCTTCGGTGACAACGCCGCGCCTTGAGAAGACAAATCCGATTTTGGCCTTTGACCAGGCGACGCGCATCACGGCTGGGAGTGTCATGGTGATACCAACTCCAATGGCGTGTCCGTTGATGGCGACGATGGTGGGCTTCGTGCAGTTGTGCATGGCTAATGATGCTCGTCCTCCACTAAAACCGGTCAGTGAGTTTTCAAGTTCCACCAGGCCATGAGAAGACGACAAACCCATCTCGATGCGTCCGATCAGTCTCGTTCTTGCCATTCCCCTGCAGTCTGAACCCTTGATTGAGATCCTGTCCGGCGCAAAAGATTCTCCCATGGCCAGTCATTACAATGACCTTCACTCGATCATCGATACTTGCGAGAGCAAAGAAGTGCTCAATCTCATCAGTCATGATATCTGTAAAGGCATTGTTGTGCTTCGGTCTGTGCAGCGTCAAGATCAACACTGGAGTTGGCGTAGGCGAAGAGGCCGGGTGATGTGATATCTTGATCTCCTGGTATGGAACGTCGGCGTACGACGCTCGGAGCTTCGTTGGGACTGGCTGGCCGTTCGACATGATGGCTCACGATACTCAGAATATCAGACTGGTACGCCGAAGAATGTTAGCAGGACTTGAGTGGTTTTTACATCTTCAACATTAATCGAAGACGTCGAGCTCCACCTATCACAGCCACTTCGCTGACATTGCCGAGGTCTTGAGTCGATGCACCAAGATGGCAATTTTGAAGTCCAACATTGATTTGAATGTGTGTTTGAAGGTTTACTGCCAATGATATTACCGAGGCATGCTCTCAAGCATTCCGAAAACATCCGATCGCATCGAAAACTGTGAGGTGAATGACTGGCCGGCCAGTCCATCAGTCGCAAGCTTTGTAGCAGGGAGCGCACAGTGTTATCTGAAGAAAGCCTCCAGGCTGACCTTTGAAACGGGCCACATGTCTGCTTAAGACATCTCTCAAGCCTCAAGCTCGCTGAAATAACGCCGGACATTTTCGAAGCCCTCAACGCTCAATGCAGCAGTGAACGCAAGAATCCCATCAGGTCTCACGACAAGACATGCGCCTTGTGCAACCCCGATTCCAAACTCGAGGTGTGCTTTCCACTCCGTATCCCAGTACGCGTTGCCAAATCTCTCAAAGCCCAGAGTCTCATCGAACTGGAAGCCGACTCCGGGAACAATGGTGAAGAGGTCCATCACGGGGGTCTGGATTAATCGATCTTGCGGTTTCATTTGACGGATTGCCTCTAGGATTGGAGGACGAGCTGGATCCCCTGTGAACACCAGACACTTGAACTTCCATTCATTCTGAGTAGAGAGAGTAGTCGGACGGGAAGTCGTAAGCCGGGTTTATGCAGCAGTGTGTCTGGAACACGATGACCAATGTCGAGACCGATGGCGAGGCTGTTGGCTTTGTCGTTTATGAAACTCGGCTCATAGTTGATTGGAAGTCCCGAGTTGAACGCATATACGCCTTTGAGGAACTCCTGGAGCAGCTCAGACGGGGACTTTGGCGAGCTGGCCAGATGTTCGGGCTTATGGCCTGAGACCAACACCGAGATGGTTTTGTCAATGGCAATGAGCTCCTGCGTGGCTTTGCGTTGTTCGTCGGAATATGTCGATAGCACGCGAGGATGAAGCGTGCCCTTGAGCACGCCTGCAAGACGCCAGCACAGATTTGTAGCGTCATGGATCCCGGTATTCATCCCCTGCGCGGCTGCAGAGCTGTGCGTATGTGCAGCATCGCCGGCCAAGTAGATTCGTCTGCTGTGGTCGTGGAACTTTTCTGCTATACGTTGTTGTATGACATAGACTGTGAACCAATCTAGCTGCTTGAATTCGAGCTTGAATGGCAGTACAGCTTGCTTCGCTTCGTACATGGCGTCTTCGGCACTCATTTCAAGTCCGTACTTCTGGAACAGCGCTGCATTGAGACCGTAGCCGATTCGAGTGGCTCCATGGTCTATTGCAGTCCACAGAATGTGTCCATGAGTGGGGGAGTGGATGAATGCGAACCCCAAACGTGGCTCTGGCATATCCGTTTCGACAACAGCATCCATACGGACGAGATGATGTACTGAGCTTTCGCCTTCGAAGGGTATGCCTGCCAACTTCCGGACTGCTGATTTTCCACCATCACAGGCAATCAAGTACTTCGCTCGGACTTCGACAGAATCACCAGCCGCATCCAGATAGGTCGCGGACACCTTGTAGTCATCTGGTGTCTCTTCGCTGACCGCGATTCGATTTAGGGTCGCTGGCACTGTGACTTTAGCACCGTGCTTCGCAGCAGCGTCGCGAAATGCATCCTCGCAATACTTCTGCCGGACATGTAACGTGTGGTCGAAATAGCTATCTTTGACGCCGTGCAAAAGCGTGCTGATGCCTGTCGCTATTCTCGAGCCAGTCTTTTCGTAAGTCACTGTGCCACGGGAAATGAAGCCCGTCTGGGCTAAGTCATCGTAGAGGTCCAGCTGGTCGAGAAACTCAAGTGTGCGAGGGTAAAGACAGCAAGCCCTTCCAGTCATAGGATAGTCTGACGCCGTCTTGTCCTCTTTGTCGATCGTAAGGGTCGTAATGCCTTGTCTTGCAAGCATGTATGTGGCCAGAAGGCCGATCGGCCCTGCGCCGACGATCAGAACGTCTGTTTCGCGACTCATCGTTCGAATTCCCCTTTCGTGATTCACAACACTCTGGCGACGAGGAGGGTCTCTCCACTTGGCAAGATTAATTCTTCAAACAGTATGTATTAGAGGCTCGTCAAGCATCTCAGTGGGTGGTGCATTGTTGTTGATGAGTAAGTCCCATCAGAGTGAGGTCTGAGTTGTAATCATAGCCGTAAAACCACGACTAGGGCTGTATTACAGCCTTCAATTCATCGCATGGGTATCCATTGATGATGCTCGTCGGCTTCGCGGTACAACGACCTGATCCGTGAGATTGCTGCTTCAACTTCGTTCTTCCGTAGCTGATCTTCATCGCGAAGCGCAGCAGTAGCCCCCGAGCGTCTCAACTCTGCGCGGCGCGCTGAGGTCATCCATGACTTGAGATTGGAGTCGGCTTTCCGTGCTCGGTCCAGAATGACAGACCATTCCCGAGGGTCGACATGAAGCATGTCACTTTCTTCAAGTCCCAGGACAAGAGCATCGCCAATCAATTGATGGTTGTCACCATCTAATGAGCGTACCACGAAGGGATACGGTGCTGCAGCGAAGTAGCAGACCTTGTCATCAGGCTTTGCCAGCGGTGGGACCCATGCTGCATGAAAGCCATCGTGGGTACTCACCACACATAACTTCCATTCCCTGTCGTATGGATATCCGGTGATATGCGGTCCAAGATTCTGTGCAAGCTCATCAAGCCGGCCTTGGACGTCTTTCTCTACAGATGTTTGTCCCAGCCACTTAGCTAGCAAGTCCAGTGGCACGAGGCGCCGTTCCGTTGCCTTAATTGTGGCATGGCTGGCGCCAAATATGTCTCCTGCGCTTTGACTGCTGGACATATCGTCTGCCTTTCTCGATAGAAGGTCAGTTTCGAGGAAGCGGCAGCATCTGACATACCAATTGATCAGAGCCACCGCCTCATGATCCGCACATTTGGATGGAGTGCGACGATGGACGTGCTTCGAAGGGCATGCCGAGCCATCTAAAATGACATGAATTCGCCCATTGAAAGTACCTCGCACCAGTAGCAGCTGTGGGTCGTGTTGAGAGATTCGACACCGGAACTCTGCAGCGTCGGCAAAGAACTCGCGCTCAGCCATCGCCCACTGATAGTAGGCATGCTTCGAGCGAGATCTTTCCGACAAGTACTGCAAGTTCGGGACCCACGAAGGTCTTAGCAAAGACGACGCTTCTGAATATTCTGTACCTGCCAATGCCAGTATCAGCACTGCACGCCCGCCTCTTTTGTTCACTACGGCTGTGAGACTTAACTCGACGACTCGGCGGTACAACTCAGATACTGATATACTGTAGTCCACTTTCAATGCATCAAACGTGTGCAGACCAAGCACCCTGCTCACGCCATATATTCGATCGTGTGCGTCTTGACAGGCGAGGCGAGAGAGCATGAGCAGGTCTTTGCACAGTGAGGTAGGCTTGAAAGAGTCTTTGTCGTTCAAGAGATGGCGATTGCGGGCTCTGAGCTGGTTGAGGTAGTTGCAATGCGCCCATACCTGTCGTAGCTCTCCTCGTGGCAAAGTATTGGGCACGACTCGCTCTACGCGATGTTCATCGTCCTCAAACTGGCCAGGCGCTCTGAGCACTTCAGTGAAAACCTCCCATGAAACGAAATGTGAACCACAGTGGACGCGGATCTGAGCTGCTAGAGCGACCTCTTGCACAACCCATAGCCGCCCAAACCAGGGTCGTTCAAACAGCTTCGCCACTGCAGCTAGTGCGTCTTCTAGTCTGATGCGCCGAGGAGGTGAGACTGCAATATGGCAGCACTTGCAGTGTGTCGCTGTCTCAAGATGTCTTTCAATAATTCTGAGAAGTTCGCGACGAGGTCTATCACCTCTGGCCACGATCGGCGCGGTCAAAGTGACGAACGCGATGGTCTCAGTTCCATCGGGTAGGCAAGGTCCAAGCCAGACAAGCACTCTCCGAGCCTTCGCATAAATCCTGCCCATCATCTGTACTTGAGACGATCTTTCAACAACATCGTCCTGGTTGATGCATACAGCATCGACCCAGAGATGTCGAGGCTGATTCGTGTGTCGGAAGGCTTGCAAGGCAGAATAGAGGGACAGTGTAAGAGCCAGGCTGCTTCTATTGGTCAAGTGCAGGTGCTGTTCAGATAATTCATTGCCCCAGCAGTAAGAGATGGCCTCAAAGCCATTGTCCTCACTCGCGGCCTGGCCATGGTCGCGGTCGTCCTCTGCGGCATCCAGCGATTGCCTCTTCAGCTGCGCTTCGAGCGGAGTATCCGGCAGCCCGGGCAAGAGACACAGCGTCCTGATGTGGCCGTCCGGTAGCGCCTGATACGGCGATGGAGATGCCAACCAAGTGTCATTGTTCATGGCATGTTGGTGTTGAGGTTGACGCGAGACGTGTCAGGCGTTGGTTGCCAAGGGAAAGCCGTTGTCGTTGTCGGCGAAACGTTCCGCCGTGTCAAAACGTCACCCGCCTCTCTCTTTCCTGTCTCATCCACGTCGGTATACCACAATGCCACCAGAGTCGTATCATTGGCCATTGGCGGTGCATCTGATCAAGACTCCATCATTTGAACAACACCAAGATCCGCATTCGCGTCAAGATCTAGCTCTGCCGGTGAAGGCCGCTGAGCCGCGAGCGTCCGCATTTCAGCGCGGAACGGTGACAAATTGACCATGGCAGATCGAGCGGGTTGAGACAACAGACAGACGCCAGCTGGAAGTACTGTTTTGCCGTCCATGTGGACGAAGCGCTGTGGCAATATTTGTGCTCAGAAAGCGCCTCAAAGACGGACTTTGTCGACGTAAAGCCGGCATTCAGATCCCTTACGCTCGCTGCCGACATTGCCAGACCACCACGCTATCATTGCACTATCAGAAAAACAAGAACACGAGCCGATTGAATGAACGGCAGCCACGTTTCGGTCAGATTTACGCTATGTGCTGCCCTGACGAAACCTTCCCCGTATCGCGGATTGCTCCAGAGGATCACACTTCGACCCCCATCTGGAAAGTGGCCACTGTCGAACTTGTCTATGTTTGCACATCTACCTCAAATGATTGGAGCACAAAAACAACGTTTCTCATGGAGACAAAGTGACACTATGCCACGAGGACGGACATCAATCATCTTTCAATTGTTGCGGGTTTTGAGGGCTCTTCTCGATTACCCTGCCCTGTAGCAGACCAGAACACCATCGGACGGACTGTTAGCGCGCACGTACAGTCGTGCTCTGCCGCTCTGCCGCTCGACGCCGATCCCACTGCATTAGCATGTCTTCACAAGCAACACCGGCGAACTCCACGGAAAGTCGCCCTTCAGAGCAGCCTGCCTCCTCTCAATCATGTGCGAAGAAACTACAGACAGAGCGACATCTATCAAGACCCTTCGAGGCGTTCCCAGCGACAAAGATATAGTGACATGGCCAAGACACGGTCAGTCAACGACGACCAACCATGATGAGTGAACACCACATGGCATTTAAGCCGAGTAACTAGGCTTAAAACCTATGTCGATCCTCCACATGCCAATTCCTCCATTAGGATCGATCGCACATTCTCTCCAGATCCACACCATTTGCAGGACGCCGAGATGTAAGCAGTTTGCGGAGTCTCCGCTTGGGGCTTCCCTTGGCAGCCTCCCCAGACGGCAGGCGTCCAAATAGACTTCCTACTTTGCATCTGTGGCTGCCTTCTGCTAACTTGAACAGCAACGCCTTTACTTTTTGCGCTCAATCGGTTGGTCTGATAGACTAGGCGACCAGTTGCGCGAAGACTAAGCGAGCGACTCACGGCCTTTTGTCTATTCTATGTACCGAGCTGAGCACCTAAGTGGTCTTCGACGCCTTCGACGTCCGCGACGACATGCCCATACACGCTGTTGCGAAGTGCGAACTGTCCAGCCACAACGGTGCAAGCACTGGATGAAGCGACACTACTGAGCGCCCAAATGCCGTCGACGTCAACATGCAAAAGCAACCTCTCAGTACGGTCAACAAGTCCGACAACGATACGCGATGATGATGGGGGCATGACCCGTTGATGTGTAGGTATAATATTCCCACAGCGATCTCCTCGTTACAACGAAGCCGCTCTCTTCTCCTGTGTTCTCTCTCGATCGAAGAAGTTGCTGGTATGGCGGGCAAATCCATTCTCAGCCTTGTGCTGCTCAGCACTTATGCTACTGCGTATCCCTTTGCCATGGACGGTGGTCTCCAGGCCAGACAGACGGCTCCTCCCCAAGGTGCCGGTGCTTTGCCCGCGGTCCCGCCGCCGTTCGATGCAAACCTCCAGCGCGTTAGCAACTCCGGTGCCAACAGATTTATTGCACCTGGCCGAAACGATGCTAGGGGCCCATGTCCAGTAAGTCACGCAGCAGTTAGCTCATCTGTCTATGAACGCCCAACTGATCTGGAACTAGGGTCTCAATGCACTGGCAAACCATGCATACTTGCCACGCAATGGCGTTGCTACTATCCCACAATTCCAGTACGCTACCAGTAAGTCTCCATCGATCTGAACTAACTGTTGTTAGTTGCTGATCATGTTGCTCTCCACCAGACAAGGTGTTCGGCATGGCCCCTGACCTTGCCGCCTTCCTTGCCGTCTACGGTGCTGTCGTTGACGGAACTCTCACACAATGGAGCATTGCTGGAACTCCTCACATCGGTATCGGTGGCTCGCACGGCAACTACGAAGCCGATAGCTCTCCCTTGAGAGCAGATCTGCGTCAGTACGGAAGCAATACCCGACTCATCATGTCGCAATTCCAGAACCTCTACAACCGCCAGCCTAATGCCCGGACTGCAAACTACAACCTCGAAGTTCTGAGGTCATTCCGCGAGCATCGATTCAACGAGAGTATTGCTAAAAACCCTGTCTTCTTTTATGGTACGTTTTCTTGATCTCATGTCGAATGACAATGGCTGACGTCCGCCGCGTGATAGGCCCCTTTGCTGGCAACATTGTCACCCAAGCAGCCTTCACTTTCATCTACCGCTTCATGTCTAATAAATCCGCAGAATATCCCGAGGTAGCTCTCCTCTTCATGACATAATCTCTATTGTACTAACACAAGCAGGGCATCCTGAACAAGGACGTCTTGAAGAGCTTCATGTCTATACAAGGGCCAGAGAACAACCTGAGGAAAGTACATCCAACCTCTTGGGTTTGGGTACGAGTCTAACATTTGAGACAGATGGGTGCCAGGAAACGAGAAAATTCCAAACAACTGGTACGTACTACTCGAATCTTCATATAGATGGTATACTGACCCTGTGCTAGGTACAAGCGCCATCCCACTGACGAGTACTCTATCCCATACTTCGCCACAGACGTGTTCTACGTCGTAGAGCGTGATCCACGAATTGCCTTGATCGGCTGCAATCAGGGCAAAGTCAACACTTATAATGCCATCTCCTCTGAACTGCTCACCAGCGGCGCCTACACCACCGCTCAAGTCCTCGCCAACCCGGTTTGCTTCTCCACCCAGTTCCTCGCTGCTGCGCTGCCGTCCGCCACAGGTCTCTCCGCGACGGTTCTGTCGCCGCTGACCACACTGTTAACGAGTGCTACGGGTGCGTTGGGTGGATGCCCGGCCATCCCCAACGCTAACCTGAGTGCGCTTGCATTCTGCCCGGGCGCGACTGCTTACGGTGGACCTACAGCGTCTGTATTCCCAGGCTCGATTCAGTCTTGAAGGATGTCCATTGTGGAGAGAGGATGAACGAATATTGGGTGGAATGGATATGGAGTCACGATAATTGACGAGGCATATGTTATGTTGTAACGACGAACACATTGTACACAAAAAGCTATGTATGCAATCTAACGAGCATCAATCCCTTAAATACTTGACCAACCGCAGCTACTGCCTCTTGACACGTGCTATCCCTCGCTGTCCATCCTCAATCCTGACCGGCACTTACCGCACATCATCCTAACAGACAGTCAGCCAGACGACATATTACTAACGATCGCTTCCAACAACCGTCAATGAGACGTCACCTGAGAACACAGCAACTGCCATATGTGTGACACCGCACATACTGCATGGGGACACGGGCACGGGCGGAGTGGCAACCGCTTACCTCCGCCAGCAACACTGCGCTATTCCAGCTTCATGTTAACCTTTGTTAGGGCCCACCAGATACTTTCTCAGCCCCGCAACCCTCACCTAAAATGCCCGTGTAAGGACCGCAAGCGAGTACGTTACACTGTTATGCCCTAGATCCTGCTATGGATTCCTTCTCTGTACAGGGGTATATAAGTGTGTATATGTGAGCGTGTTGTAGACAGCTGGATGGCGATTTAGATCGAGTCGAACAATTTCAAACACAACTTTTTCCCAACTTGAAGCGCAATAGCCCATCATGTCCTTCTCCCAAGACTCAGAGGGCCGCAAGATCGTGCCCAACACCATCTCCGGCGAACCCATAACCCTCCCAGCATCATCCACCTTCCCCATAACCTCCTCCAAAACCGGCAAACCTGTCCACTATGGCCAGACCGCAAGCGTCGACGTCGCCAACCGCGCCGTCGAAGCCGCAGCCAAAACCTTCAAGACGTACAAGACTACTCCGATCCACGAGCGTCGACGTATGATCATCCGCGCCGGACAGCTGTTCGCGGAGAAGTCGGCGGAGTTCACCCGTCTGCAGATCGAGGAGACGAATTGCGCGGAGCAGTGGGCGACGCATAACAATGTCCAGGCGACGACGTTTTGTAATGATATTGCGGCGGCTGTTGCTGATGCTGTGGTTGGAGAGATTCGGCCTTCGCAGTTTGGGTTTACGAATCTTGTGTTTAAGGAGCCGGTGGGACCGGTTTTGATCATTCCCCCGTGAGCATCAACATTCATCCCGGAGGCCACTTGAGAGCTGACTTTAGTCCAGATGGAACGCTGCGGTCGTTTTGGCTGTACGTGGTATTGCTTCAGCTCTCGCAGCTGGATGCACCGTTGTTGTCAAGGCATCGGAGTTATGCCCTGCCACCCATAGCCTCATCGTGTCGGTCTTCCACGAAGCTGGCTTTCCTCCAGGGGCTCTCAACTTGATCATGGCAGACCGTCCCGCTGGCGCAGAGGTCACCGAAGCCGCCATTTCCCACCACGCACTGCGCAAGGTGGAATTTATAGGCAGTGCGGGCGTTGGCAGGATCATTGCTTCTGTCGCGGCCAAACATCTGAAGCCTGTTCTCCTTGAGCTTGGAGACCAAAGTCCGGCTATCGTGCTAGACGATGCTGATCTGCCCAACGCAGCGAAGCTATGTGCACGAGGAGCGATGATGCACCACGGTCAAGTCTGCTTCTCCACCGAACGAATCATCGTCCAGTCCTCGATCTTGGAAGAATTCGCTCGCCTGTTGGTCGAGGAAGTCAAAGGTATCCCGTCAGCGGGCTCCGCAGTCACCAACGTAGGCGCCGAAAAGGCCAAAGCCGCAATCGATGGAGCGGTGAAAGACGGTGCCAAGTTCCTCTACGGATCTAGTGACATGACAGCTTCTGCTACTCTGCCACCGTCCATCCTGACCAACGTCGACCCCAAGTCCGCCATTTCGACAGGTGAGGCTTTTGCGCCAACTGCTTTTATCGTACCTGTGGAAAACGAGGAAGAAGCAATCGAAGAGGCCAACTCCCGCCTTGGTGGACTGTCGGCGTCGGTCTTCACGGGAAGCTACGAGCGCGGCTTGCGGGTCGCTCGAGAGCTGGAGTTTGGCCAGGTTCAGGTCAACAACATGACGCTCTTTGCCGAGCCTGGTGGTCCGGTGACCGGTCATAAGGGATCCGGTTGGGGCAGCAACAACGGCAAGTACGGCATTCAGGAGTTCACATTTAGCAAGGCTGTCTCACTCGTGCCTAGCACGCCCCAGGCCGGTCACTAGATCACATTCAAACGATCATGGCTTAGCTTGGCCAAAACTGCATATCAGTCTCCTGTGCCATATTGCCAATGTCGAAGAGGTTGTTCCAAGAGATGTCCTGAAAGAAGTCATTGACATCCCAGTCCACGAAACCTTCGCCAGTGATAGGTGTCGCCTGAGATCCGTTTGTATGGCTGGCGTTAGCCGTGGATTGATTCGGTGTGGTTGTGGTATCGGATGCTCCATGCTCGAGCCTGATTCGTTTCGTGTGAGTCTCAGGGTCGTCTCCAAAGGCTTCGGTACTCGAACGACGTTGCGTCTGCTGTAGGTCGGATAGGAGGGTTGCCAGAGCTGCGTGACATCGCTGTGCACTTCGCCAACGGCTGCCCATGCGCTTGAGCAGATCGAGACAGCGAACAATCTCCCTAGTACTGTGTTAGCAGACGTTATGTTCTCACTGGGCACTTTGTCCTTACTGCGATCCTTGAACGATGTTATAGAGGCCGACCTGGCACGCGAAGGAGATAATCAACCCAGACATCCAGGTGGATGCAAGATAGCCGGGCCAAAACAGCGTGTTCTGTCGCTCCATTGCGATGATCGTTCTTTTTGCAGCTCGGATAGTGACTTGAAGGCCGTGGTGAAACTCAGGTGCAGAGCGTGGTAAAGATAAGGACGGACGGTTGATGGCAATCACGAGTTGCTCGTACAGCACATGGAAGAATGGCGAGAACCGAGCAATCTGCTCTTCTGCGGTCGTGCTCTCTGGCGACAGCTTTGGCTCTTCGGGTAGGTTGTTGAACCATCGATCCACGTCTGAACGTAGAAAGAGCACAATCCGCGGATCTGAATTGCGAGCGTGCAATGATGCGTGGAAGATCTCCAGTGCGCGCCCAACGAGTCGTTCGTGTTCCACAAAGTTGGCCAAAATCACTTCCTTACTGATGTCCGTGTCCGGCGACGGTTTTGCTCCAGGCTCAGATTTTGCCGGAACATCAGGCGGTGAGGTGGCACTCCCACTTCCGTGTTGCTCCTTTCTTCCAGGAATGCATACATCAATCTCCAAGTCTGTGAGAGACACTGGTATGCCCAACGCCTGGCAGATATATCGATCGAGTGCGTAAGAGCTCCACAGAATCCTTTTGCGAAGGTCTCGATCTTCGTTGGATAGCTGCGGGTATCTGTAAGGACAACGGTGTAATCCAGCGTGATACAGCAACCTGCTCAAAAGCCCCCCGAGCGACGACGCAGTGCGCAACGCCATAATCGATACGCAGTACACCTGAGCTGCTAGTATGGTTTGAACAGTCAGGATGTCGTGCTTGGTTGCCAACGCAGCTACGAGGGAGAGCAGGTTCGACCGTGATAGTATATTGGCGTCATTAGAAAGGCTTGCTGAAGTACCAGATGCCCCAACGTTCAGAACGCATTGGATGATGATAAGGTAACAAATGCGACGTCGATCCACCGAGGCCTTTCCTGGGCCTTTGGCTGTCCTTGGGTCCCCGTAGACGGCCTCAAGCTCCTCCAGAAATTCCGGGCCCGAAAGAAAAGGCAGCACTGGGTGCCATGTCGAGAAGTATTCGACTGCCAATTGCTGTGCTGTATCATATGGAGGAAGGGAGCCCAGCAGAGAAGTTGTCGTAAGTTCGATCGCCGCTTCACTGTTGATATTCAGCTCGAATCCTTGAGTCCGTTCTGGTGAGTTCCGTGCCGAAGCAAGATCCTCTTCGCCGCCTACGGTCTCTTCAGCTGCAGGGAGATGTTCTCGTCCATTCTGCTGTGCCGATGCCTCGAAGGCCTGCCTGACGGTGTTGATGAAGTAAATCCCACTGCTGGAGCCGATGAACCGGCTCTCGTGCGGCGAATGGCCCTGAGTGAGAGACCCAGTCTCGTGATTAGAAGATGGCGATTCCTGTGCCATCTCTTATCGGTCTCCGTCCTTTGAGCCCGTCATGCTGGCCCCTTGGCCTTGAGCATGGACGACAGCGCCGTCCGGTATACAGCGGAGAAGAAGTCGAAGTGGCTGGGGCTGAACAACGACAACATTTAAAGTCTCGTATTAGCCAAGCCTCTTTTGGGTTTAGTGCGTAAAACCGATACGGACACGGTAGGAAGAAATGGCGATCCGTGAATCCAGCCCTTTCACACTTGCACCTACTCTCGTCCATCGTCAATCATCGTTCCGATCGTTAGAGCGATCAAGCTCTGGTTAGTACTCCGGATTGCTTATTAGGCAGCTTACGAGCAGTGGGGAATATTCCACTTTGAGCGGAAGAGGCTGGGTATGCTCCAGGACGAATGATAATGTTGCTTATCTTAACGTCACTACTGCAACTTCTCTCGGTGAAGGAGTATCAAAGCATCTTCATAGGCGGATCGCATCCTATTCCTCGCTTTGAGTAGCCTGCTCACTCGCGACCTCTTGCGCACTGAGAAGGCGGATCTCCTCGGTTTCGTTGGCTTTGCTGGGAATGATGAGAACTTTGCCACCGCACATCCCAGCGACAAGGGCGGTCACCTTTGTCCGTTCCGCCAACTATCGACCAGAATGGCAGAGGACGGAGGCACCACAGGTGTGCTCTGTCAAGATAATCTCAATCTGCGGGACAAGCGCAAGTACGGATGCAACCACACGTTCCACCGAATATGTACGACTGAATGGGCAAAGAACGAATTCACGCGAAGGGAGACCGACCGCCGTAGGCCAAGTTGATGTCATTCATCAAACCAGTGCTTGATGTCGTCGAGGTCCTCCCAACCATCCAGGACGAGGATGGTGCGTTCTTCCGCTACGTTCTGACTCGCATGATCTATGCCTGTGATGAACCAGCTTTCGCTATCTATATCCTACTGAAAACCCAACCGTGGCTACCACCTATACTTTGGTTTGAGATCAAGTCAAAGAGAACAGTCAGCGTCTCGGGCTTTGCTTCGAGTTGTCCAATAAAGCATGTATACAGCGCGGGAACAGGTTGTTCTGTTCCTTTACAAATGATAAGGGTCGCGGCGATGGGAAACGCCACCCAATACGTGCAACAAACGGCCATGCCCTCGCGTTCCGCTTAAAGTGGAACGCATGGCACCATCATCTCTCCAGCTTCTACAGAGACCGAGCTCCTAATCGAATCTCTGACTGCTTTGGAAACTCGAAAGAATTGGGGATATTCTGAGGTTCAACTTTGAGCGGAACAAGCAGGGTATGCTTACGCATACGGCAGAAAGCATGGATGAATGAATAGTACCTGAGCCATCGGTGAGAATCGAAAGATTACCATACATTCAGCCTGGAGCAAAGATGTATGACAGCGGCGACCAATCATGTGTAACGACAGCCTCGCCACATCCAATTCGAGGGTTTGCTCGCAAATACTGACTATTCAAGCCTGACTTGGCTCCACAAGGCCGCGACAGCTTGTGCCTTTACGAGAACCTTGCGAGCAATCATCGTAGCCACTTACGACAAGCCATCTGGCGCAATATAGCCCAGGCCATCGTATTTTCCATTGACGGGCGAGCCTGATGCACTGTACACGTTGCCTTTGACGCCAGCAGATTGACTAGGGCCAGTGAACTCTTGGACTGTGAATGGATCAGCTGCAAGCTCTCGATCAAGACGTTTTGAAAGATGAACTTACTCGGACAGTTGTAATGCCCATCATTGACGAAGAATGGCCAGACTACACCCTTCCAGAACGCCTGGAAGAGGTCTTGATTGCCCAACAAAGCAGGTTGCTGTAGTTGTGCCGGGATTAGATCGAGCAAGTTCATCGTGATGAAGCACGTAATGTCCTCTGGAGTTTGAGCCGTGAGGTTGGCACCCAAAGGTATGAAGTTCCCGGTTCCAACATTCGCGCCTAATTCTCGAGGAGCAGCGAGAAACATCTCGGCCGCTGTTCCGAAGTTCTGGACTGCGTTCCAAGGCGTTGCTCTCCTGTACCAGTTCGGTGGAAAGGTCTCGTTGAGGAAGAAGGGGGCGACGTTGGCGTAGTCGGCTACACCTTCGTTCGTGCCGTTTGGAAGAAGGCTAAACACGAAAACTCTCTCTACATGCGTGACGAAGAACCACAAGAACCCTGCGAGGAATGATGGGTTGTATTTTCGCGAAGTGTCGTATCGGTTCGAGGCGTCTTCGACATTGGCATCGAAGTTGAATTGGCCGCCATGCTTGTCTGCGAGAGCGACGTATCTAATACTTGTTACGGTATGTTCTTGAGAGAGTAGACTTCGTGGTACTTACTGCAGCCAGCGATCATTGATGAAGTTAGCGTTATTACCCCAGTGAGTGTCTTGGCGTGTGATGCTAGTATCAATTTCGAACACGCCGTGACTGTCAAGGCCTGGAGCTAGGCCGAGAGTATTGGGTACACGGTCGTCTTGGCCACCGATGGAGTATTTGCCCGAGATCAGATCACCGCCAGCAGCCAGAGCAAATGCCGACAGAAGGACAGATACGTCGTAGCCCAGTCCGAACCCCGTCTGACAGGCGTTGGCGACTTCTGCGAAGCTGGAGATTCCGTCTCGACTGTATGATTACTTCTTGTCAGCTCATAACGCTCCCTCAGGATTCTGATCACAAAATCAACATACCTGATATAACCGTGGTTCGCTGTCGAGAATCCAACAGTCAGTCCCTTTCTCTCATTCTCATGCCCTCGCTCTTACCTAATGCATTCAGTGTAGGACACATGCCCCGAACGTCTGTCGGTCCTGGCTTCTGGAATTGATGGTTGGGCTCGTCGCCTGGAATCTTTTTCAAGCCAAAGGGCTGCGGTGTCGGAATATCTATGGCCTCCAAAGCACCGCTCAGAGGCTGAAGAATGCCATTTACTGTCTAACGGTGAGCAAAGAAGGCCATATCGTATTGACGAAATGGTCACGTACAAAGACCGCCTCCTAGAGGAAGAAGATCCAACAACGATCCGGAAGATGACGTTGCCGCATTTGGATCGCGCCTGGGATATTGCTCGCTACGCCCTTGCTCCTCCAGGATGATATCTTCTGCGGCTCTTGGATCGCGCTCGATAGCATCGAGTTTCGCCGCATCCTCGCTGCTAAGCTTGCCGGACCGTTTCAAAGCATTGGCGTAGTGGGCGAAGGCATCGGCACTCGCTATCACCAGGATGCCTGTAGTGACCAACGAGGAAGTCTTCATTGTTGTGGGGTCAGCCAATCCATCTAACCCCTGCTATGATTACTTGCAAGAGCCTTAACACCCTATGTAGATTTTCACTGATTAGTGATGATGTCTCGCGACATTGCGCTAGCTAACAGACGCCTAATCGTTCCAGGTATAGGGAGGAAAGCTTGGAGTGAAGTTCCTCCGGGCGTTCTCATCATTTGAGTTTTGATGCCGATCATCGCATTGTTTGGTAGAATGCCGCATATACCGAGCTCTTGATCTAACAAACTTCGAAAGTGAACAGGTCGATGGTCGGCGATCTCTTCCGCAACTCTGCGGCTTTCTCTTCTTCGGTCATGATCATCAATGGCTTGGCGCAAGTCGCTTGAGTCGAAATGTTCGACACTTCTTCTAGGCGTAGAAAATCCGCTTGGTAGGGCTGAACCCGCCATAGCTTTGGCTATGCAGGGTATGTCGCCATTGGAATCATTCATCGAAGAAAGATATGCTTTGTAGAGGTCACAACCCGGCTCATGTCACACCATCCTCAATGCATTGAAGTTGGACAATCGATTGGACTCAGTACCCTATAGACGAGGAACGTATTCATGATGATACAGAAGAGCCTTGAAGAGATCAGCAAGCGTGTACTGGTGCCACGGGGAGTGAGCCGGCTTACCAAAAGTCGTAAAGACAACACCAACGATGTTGCACAGTAACGTCTTCGATCGAAGAGTGCCACAGCGTCTAAGAGACGATATAGTTTTCGGATCCAGCTGTCGATGAGTTGTAATTCACCAGGCGTGTAGATGTGGTGGAAAGTTTTGCCGCCTCGCTGATATGCCTCAGGCTTGCTGAGCTGTTGCCCCTGTCTGTCAAAGATTGGAAGACTCTGAAATGTCGCCGGCTTGCTCCAGAGCGTTTACACGTCATTCGTGGCCGCCTTCCTAGCTTTCACTTGGCCAATGATCGGCGTATCACCGCAGGAGCCCTTAAGTTCCAGCGATGATGCACTCAGCGACACATGATGTGTTTCGGCATGACTGCATTCGCTGATCACCAGAACAGATGCTTTGGAAACCGAGATGGAAGAGCCTCGGCATCCTGGGAGTTGGCCATATTGCCTTGCATCGGGGCTGGTACCGAGCGAGGCTGATCACGAGGCAGCAAGTTCCCTTGATTCGATATCGAGAATAGTGTCTGGGCCACGTCTCTTGTCTCTTCGCTGTATCTTTCCTCGCGGGGAGCTATTATAGCTTCCTGTGTTTGGGGCCAGTCGTAGTCTTCGTTCTGGAAGTCGGCTGGAGGCGCTTGGTCTCCAGCCGATGTAAGACTCGCGGCATGCAAAGCCGAATCCACTGGTTGCATCTTGATGTCCGAAGGTACGTCAGACACTCCCCAAGCAGAGGCCGCATTTTTCTGCGTCGGTTCTGAAGGTTTCAACGTGATGGTTTCCGAATTTCGAGCTCGTTGCCATTGCCTCACGCTGTCCAGCCTGTTGAGTGGGTAACTGCTCCAGTAATCTGGGCCTGACATTGAACTCGTCCAGGTCTGGTGGCTTGTACCTTTATCCTGCTGCAAAGCAGCCGATAGCTCACTGTCGGGTAAGCGATTGAGGGCGCCGAGTAATAGAGCCTCTGTCTCCTGTAGACGATCTTGGAGGGATCTTAAGTAGTCCTTGGCGGGCCCACTATGAAAATGGTTAGACGCGAACTTGCTCTATGAGTTGGATATCATGCCGTTTCTTCTGATCGCTCCACCAACACTCTTCTTTATGCAGCCGGCATTGGTCACAGACTGGTCTAGCGACTTCACATTAGTATGCATTCATGATGGAAGAGCGTTGTTTGTGTACTTTTCGCCGCTGCATTTTTGGCGCTTCTGTCGACATACAGCACAGGCTGCAGTGATCCGAGAGCGCCTTGTCTTCTCGACTCCGTTGCCAGGCATCGCCCTCGTTGCACCACAGAAGTCGAAGCATCTGGGCAAGATCAAGGTAGAATCGGAGGCAGAGAGAATAGCCGGCAGGAGCGGGTTACGTCGATCGGCGCCAAGACGGATAAACTATCCTCCTGAATCAATGTTGCCATCAAACTGGGCCGAACTCAATCAAATTGGCTCAGTCACGAGCGATTCACGTTCAGTTTCCGATGTTCACGATGCTGTTATAGGACGTTAAATGAGCGGCAGCCGGTCATAGAGCCAGACTACAAGACGCTACCTATTGTAGCACCGTCCTTAACGGAAGGCATTTCTCTCCATTACTCGCAAGGCTTCTACAACAATTCCAGCTACAAGATCTATGAGCCCGGCCGCTTTCAACCTGTGGAGAGACGAAGAGAGCAGTCAATATGCTTCCAGTTGAAAGAGGAGTGCGTGTATTGATTCATGATCTCACTTCAGATGTTCATCAGGTTCCAGCGTGATGTTCGCCGGCTGGATTTTCAAGACCTCTCATTGGCTGAGAAACGACGCTAGCTCATGTTTGTCTTGGCACGACGGTCATTCATTTCAGGTTTAGAGTTCCGGGATCGGTATAGAGTTTCGGGGTTGGTGACTAAGTCAAATCCCGCTTTTCTTGGCTCAGACGAGACTGCTTCCGATGCTCCGTCAACTTCACCTCTTCAACACAACTTGAAATCCTTGTATGAGTCTGTCCATACTTGCAGTATTATACTATGAGGCCTGACGAGTCCTTTCAGTTTCGTATTTCGCACCCTTTCATCACATGACACCCCCCCTCTTCAGCTCCCAGTTTTAGGCGAGGCCCCCTCGAGCGACGCTGCAGCCGCCACCATGCAGATGCAGGCCAATGGTCGACCGTCGACTGTGCGGCCCCGCGCTGGCTGTGCAATTCGTCTATCTCGAAACAGTACCATGAGAGCGCCAGTTCATGAGATCCTTCATCGATGAGAAACCGCGGTGCGACGACGTGTGCACTAAATAATGTCCTTGAGTGGCTGGGCCACATGCGACGATCACAGCAATGTAAGAATGGGGGAAAGCGCTTGCCAAGCCCTCCTCGCCAGTAGACCTGCCCAGTCAAGCTAATTCACTACACTATCCGCGCCCCATGAGGCTGAGCCATGCCCCAGCCGCCTGTCCATTGACTCAGCTCTGGGCGCAACAGCAACCATCGCTATCTGTCTCGACATGTGTCGAGCTGCCTCACGTTCTCCCATCTACAATTCGTTATCTCAAAGCTGCAATTTTAACAAGTTGCCCACATCTGGTAGTCGGGCCTCGTACGACCAAATGATCTCAGCCTCTTTGCCCTGATGGCAACTGGACTGGATGTCGCTGCTGGTATTGCGGGCCTAATAACGCTTGCGGATGTGGTCATCGATCGGACGGCTAGGACAACCAGAGCGTGCAAAAATGCCGGAAAGGACTCTCAGAAGCTGCTGCGAGAAGTACAGTTTCTTCTGGGTATCCTCAATGGACTGAAAACCATAGCAGGTCAAATTCCAAAAGGAAGCCTACAGGCTCTAGTATCTTCCGATGTCATTCAAGACTGCCAAAAGACACTCACAGGCGTCCGCGATAAACTTGTCAAGGCGAACCCTGATGAAAATGGCATCTCGACGGCGACGAGGATACTCAGAATACTCAGGTGGCCAATCACAGAACCCGAGACTCAAAAGATCATGTCGGAGCTGGAGCGCTATAAGACTGCATTCGACCTCTCTGTCTCACTGGACTCGCTCCAGAGCATAACGGATTCACGAGCGACCCAGGCCACCATCGCTCGAGGTGTCGAAGATGTTCGAAAAGCGCTGGCGGACATCACACGCATCCACCTGAACGAAGAACGGCACTGTGTATTGAAGTACTTCGGAACCTTTGACATGGAAGAACCCCACGGAAAGAACACCCAATTGCGCCATCCTGGCACAAACCTTTGGTTTACCCAGGGGCCAGAGTTCACGTCATGGCTGCAGTCTCGCAACTCTAAGCTTTGGATGTATGGCATACCAGGAGCCGGGAAAACAGTCCTCGCTGCCGCTTCTATCGAAGAGACCATGCAGTACGTTGACCCGCAATACGGCGTGGCGTACTACTACTGCGACTACAAAGTACCGGACAGTCAAAAGCTCCAAAAAATGTTCGCATGTCTGGCTGGTCAGCTAGGACGACAGAACGAGGGTTGTTTCGAGGAGTTGGCGAAGGTGTATCGGCCGGACCCCGATCAATCTCCCAAGAGCTCGCTGCCGAGCGAGGCGGATCTCAGCCAGCTATTGTCACGATGCTTTGCTTATTTCGATCAGGTTGCAGTGATAGTCGACGGTGTGGAGGAGTGCTACGATCCTAGCAACGTTGCCATTGCACTTGCTGATCTTGTGTCTCAATGTCCGCAACTCAGACTTCTTGTCGTGAGCCGAGACGAGCAGACAATCCGACCGCACTTTCACGACTTCGAGAAACTCTCTATTGCCGCCAGAAACGAGGACCTACGGCTCTATGTATCCGCTGAAATCGAAGAAAGATCGAAAAGAGGAACACTGCGTATCAAGAGCACAGCCCTCAAAGATGATATCCTGGATCGCCTTATCAATGGAGCTGAGGGTATGTTCCGATGGGTGGCTTGTCAAATGGACACTCTGTCCAGTTTGCCGAGCGACGCTGCGAGACGGAAGGCGTTGCAGCAGTTACCTCCAGATCTTTACACGACTTATGATCGTATACTAGAACGAGTTTGCGCCGCAGGCGAAGAAAATTGCAATCTGGTCCAGCGTGTGCTAAATTGGCTCTTCACCGGAAGCCTTCGAAGCGATATCCTGGTGGAGGCAGTCTGTGTCGAATCCGACACCGATTTCATCGACCCCGAGTCGCGACCAGATGACCAAGACATCTTGTTGACGTGTAGTAGCCTGGTCCGCGCCGGTGCTGACGAGAGTCTCGAACTTGCGCACTTCACCGTGAAAGAATATCTCGGTACGTGTTTCCCCCTTGTAAGCTCGGCGTGGTCTATTACAGCTACTAACTACTGGAAGGCTCTCAAAGGATCAAAGACGACCCGCAACTCAATCGCTTCTACTGTGAGATCACTGGCGTAAATGAGTATAAGGCGGTGACCTGTCTACGATACATGAGCTTTCCGCAGTTCGCCATGGCAGATGTGCAACAGCCGCAGCAATACAGAGAACTCTCCAAGAACAACCCGTTCTACAGCTTCGCTGCATGGAGATTCGACAGCTATGTTTTACACTCGAAATGTTCAGAGGTGGAGGATCTTGCAGTCCAATTCTTCTGCTCTCTGCCGCACAACTTTACTACGTGGAAGTACACCTTCACAGTCCAAGGTGAGCAAGACACCATTGAAAGCTGAGTGACAATACTGACAATTCCGTCTTAGAATATACCAACTCGGGCTTTGCGCAGTGGGACGAACATGTTTACGCAAGACTCAAAGGAATCGCCACATTCGCCAAACCCCAGCACGTAGCCGCTATGCTCGCTATGCAAAGGCTTCTCCGACGCATCCTCTCTCAAGGATACGATGCTAATGAGCGATGTCCACTCGGGACTCCTCTTCATTGCGCACTTGGAGGTACGGAACTCCTGGGATTGATTATGGACCGGCGGCAGACCATCAACTGGATCAATGAGGCATCCGTGGACGAGTCATTGGAGAACACTGTGCAAACCCTGCTTGAACATGGCGCGGACGTCAATGATCCTTTCCTCCTTGAGAACATCTGCGATGTTTCTGAAGAAGCTCACTGCACTCCAGCTTGTTTTGCCAGTCGAATCACGAATCTACGAGTCACGAAGCTGCTGTTCAACGCGGGAGCTCGCCTTGAACGCCATACTATGCGTGGACTCTTTCAACGTAATTTCGAGAACGACGCGGACAAGGCAGAACTGCTGGAGCTACTGAGCGCTCAAACAGTGTCAGACGAAGACATCGGGTTGCTCGAAATGATGAAGTCAAAATTCCGTCCTGCAGGTCAGTCCGCCCCTCAACCCAGTTCGAGGATGCCTCAGAGTCATCGTCAAGGGCTCACTGCCTCGGACGTCGAACAATGCCTTCGATGGGCATGCGAAAACGACGACCTTGAGATGTTGGAGTCTCTCATAGCGGTGGATGCCACCAAGCTGGACAAAATCCTGGCCGACCCGTCGCATGGATACCTTCATGTAGCCGCTTATAGGGGCGCATCCCGTGTTGTCAACAGACTGTTGGACTACAAAGTTCTCGCTGATGCCATCGATCAGCGAGGTGCAACCCCACTGCACACGGCTCTGTTTGTGGAATCCTGTCGAAGCGGAATCTACAAACAGCTGGATTATGTAGTTTCGGTGGAGGTGATTCAGTCCCTGATCGACCATGGTGCGGATGTGAACAAATTGGATCAGAACCAGAGCACTGGCCTTCACGGATGGGCGGCTATCAAAAGATCATCTGGCGACGGTAAATGCAAGGCAGTCCTGGACCTGCTGCTATCAAAAGGGATGGACCTCATGCAACAGGATTTCGGTGGAGAAACGCTGCTGCATGCTGCGGCTCTCTACGACACGAAAGATCGCATTGAAGAGCTGCGCGCTACTATTGACCCATCAAAGTTCGATGAGCTGAAGATGATTCCAGACAAACGTGGTGCCATGGCTGTGCATATTGCATCTCGTGGTGGCTGCCTGGATTCGCTGAAGCTCTTGCGTGAATATCACCCCAAGGAAGGCCAACTGACCGAGGACGGAAGGAACGAAGTTGCATATGCTGCTCAAGGCAGTGGATGGGACAATGTCGCGTTGGAATACCTGCTAGAGTCCGGTGTTGCCGCCTCGCTTGCTTTCAAGGACGGCTCAACGCCCATCCATTACTGCGTCCAAGGCCTGGCCTCGCTCCACGACTCTCACCCCGACGACCGTGCAAAGACCGCTGCCGACTCCTTTGGAGATGCCATGAACATGCTCGAGGCTCACGGATGTGACGTGTCGCAGGCTCGTAACGATCAAACAACTGCCTTGCACCTCCTTTGTCACATTGTTGCGACAACAGGGTTCCACCCCAAGTCTGAGCGCTGCAAGTTCTGCAGGGTCTTTTGTGAGTGCGTTGACAGTAAGTGCGAAGGATTGATGTGTTTACCATGGCTAGCTAACCGAATACCTTGACAGTCCTGCTGAACCACCTCCACGATTTGTCCGACAAAGACAAGGATGGACGTATGGCAACAGAGATACTACTGAGCAACTGCTTCCGGACATATCCAGACAGCTTCGACATCAGTGTCATCAACCACGCTGCAGTGGAATGTCTCTACAGGGTCTTGCAACGGTGTACTCCAGAACACGTCAAAGGGCTCAAGTTCCGCGGCATGTCGGCTTTGGGGATCGCTGCCATGCTCCATCATGAAAAAACGATCATTCGACTCCTCGAGCTCGGTGCTGACGTGGATGAGAAAGGCGTTTTCGACCTCCCGTGGACCCCGATACAACTGATGTGCCGCCAAGGTTGCTCTCCAAAAGTGATTGAGATGGCACTGAAGGCGACGAAATCGGTTAAGCAGCGGAACATTAACGGAGACACACTATTACATCTGGCAACGTCGACGAGAGGACGAAAGTCGCACGCAGATGTTCTGAGAGCACTCCTCCGCGCCGGCATTGACGTGGACGCTCGCTCAGATTCGTACTCGGAGACAGCTCTGATGTCAAGCGCTTGTACAGGATCGCTGGATGAAATGGAGATCTTACTTGCTGCTGGCGCGGATGTCAACATCTGTGATGATACCGGAGGTACAGCGCTGGCCAAGGCATGCTGGGGTGGATCTCTCCCAGCCGTGCGTCTCCTGCTTGATTCAGGAGCTAAGAACGACTTCTCGGCGAAGCGGTACTTTTCTGGTGATGCGCATGTATCTGTCTTCGGTGGAGCTCCTCTGCTTTCTGGCCCTTTGCACCTTGCGGCCGAAGCTGGCAATGTCGAACTCGTGCGTTTGCTGCTTGAGAACAGCGAGACGCCGGCCGAAGATGCCAAGGCAACCGACAAGGCCTCGCCACTGTGGTGGGCTTCGTACTACGGCCAAGTAGATATAGTGCGTCTACTGCTCCAGCACGGGTTCGACCCGGACGACATCGACCCGATTGAGAACCTTTCCTGCTTGCACATCGCCGTTGTCTTCAGCCAGCTTTCGGTCATCCACTTACTTCTCGAAGCAGGCTGTAATGACCAAGCGCTAGATCGACTGCAACGCTCTCCAATGGACCATGCTGTCGCTTACGGGAATCAAGCAGCAATACAGATACTTGGCTCACATCAGTCTCGAGCCAATCTCTTGCGTCCCATAAGTGCAGAGATTCCCATCAAGCCCAGCACTCCACAGCGACCAAGCGCGGTAAAGAGTCAGTTTAGCCCTCCGTACATCATGGAAATTATCGACAAGGGTGAGCTTGACACCGTTCAAAGATTATGCGAAAGTGGAGTCGACTTCAGCTTGCCTTACGCAGAGTGCAGTTGCACTCCTTTGCTGGAGGCCATGTTCCTTGGCAAGATCAGCATTGCAAGCTATCTGCTTGACAAAAAGGTCTCAACCAAAGGGACGACTTGCGCCAAGCATTCTGTCAACCCGTATACAGCTGGCCAAGTTGCCTCGAGGAAAGCTGAACACCTTAGCCTCCTAACGAAGCTCTTGGACGGCCAAGAGGAGGGACATGCCAGGGACATACTCGCACACGAGATGCTTGTGACTGCAGCTCACGAGGGCAATCTATCTGCCATCAAAGAGCTAATTAAGAGGGGACACCTCAAGCCGAAATCGTCGAACCTCGTCTTCAAGTCTCATCCGCTCTTCGCTGCAATCCGAGCAGACGAACCAGAAATCGCTTTGGAGCTGCTTTCAGCTGGCGTCGACCTCACATTCATGGACAATGGGCTTGTCACTGCACTGCATGTCGCAGCAGACATGGATCTGGAGGACGTGGTCGTAAAGCTCCTCGAACTTGGCGCCAATCCGAACGCAAGAGACGACGACATGAGGTCTCCGCTGCTATGGGCTGCATGGGCCGGTCGTGATGAGATTCTGGATTTGTTGATTGAACGAGGAGCACACCTAGGTCTCGAAGACACTCGAAGCCCATCGGTCATCACAGAAGCGATTCGAGGCGGAAACTTGGATGTGGCTCGAAACATTATCAACAAGTACGACCTCTCATCCAAATCCATTGTGAAGTCGCTTCAATACATGCCTATCGCTTGGAACGGGGGACTATCAGGCCGCACTTTCGCATTGAACCTGGGAATCGACTTGGACAATGACAACTACCTTTTCGACGTCGGCTTGCCGTACGCACGCATGTGGCGTCGAAGAGTGATCAAATTGATGACTCCTGAAGCCCTATTCAAGAATCTCACATACCAGCGTACAGTTGACGTCTACAGCGGTCGATTGACTTCTCTGCATCATATGGTCCTCAAGGGCGATCACAGGGGCGTTCTCCGTCTGCTGAAAGCCGGCGCTTTCATCAACATGGAATCAAGCGACCATGGCACACCTTTGATGACGGCATGTCGATACGGAAGATTCCGCATTGCTCGGTTGCTGGTCCGACGAAATGCTCTTTTGATGTATGTGAAGGACGGAGAGCTTTTCAGTGCCGTTCGGGAAGCCGCAGCATACCCAGAGATCATTCGCTGGATCCTTGTTGACCGGCATACTGATCAATTGAGGATTGAAGGCCCACCCCCTGCACCAGATTCTGCAACCAGGCTCGACTATGAGTCAGATGGGAGCTTCGCCCCAGCTACTTCGTTTGGACCTGTTCCATGGAACAACCGACAGTTCATTGCGTCAGAACGGTTGGACGAGTTTATTCGAACGAAGCTTGCAAGTTTCCGAAGCGGGACTTTCTACTGCAGAGGGGATGGCCACATTACGCTTGTCCCAACTGCGTCCAACGACTGGCCTTGGGGTTGAAGGCGTCCTATGGAAGGTCTTTGACTCATGCACTGAGCCCCAGGCATCAACGGCAACCTTGCAAAACGTCCGTCATGTCTCATTGTTCACCGCTCAATACCATGGCCAGAGTTGCAGCTTTCCAGTGAAGCTGTCGATGCTGCATCAGGACGCCGCTGCAGCAAACATCTCAAGCAAACATCCTGCTTGGTGAGGGATCGGTCTATAAGAGTAGTCTCTCCAGACCGCTGAACATGGGAACTGCAAACTTCAGAAACCCCCATTCCCACCCTCAACAACGCAATGGCTACCGACAAGTTCGAGATCACGCTGCATGGTGAGGCGAGTCTCTCCCTCCCAGCAGAGCGAGCTATCCTGCGCATCGACGTTTGCACCACCGACGTCAACAAGCAGACCTCGTTCGATGCAGTGCTTTCGACGGCCAAGAATGTCGAAGCACTGCTTCGCAAGCTCTCTCCAAAGAGCATCTCTGATGAGTCGAAGCTCCAAGCCGCAGTTGATCACTGGAGTCGCACGTCCTTGAGTGAGACTAGCCAGATGCCGTACGGTAAGCTCATCCCAAACACCAGGCCTCAGACTTTGAGCTCAACGCTGACGTCTTTCCCCTAGACCACACCAAAGGCAAGAGCCGCCCACCACGCCAATACACTGCATCTGTCACTTTCGAAGCTCGCTTCCAACGCTTCCAGGCGATTTCTGGTCTCATCAAAGAACTCGGTGCCATCTCTCACGTCAAGACCAAGCCACTGGAGTGGGTCCTTCTGCAGAAGACGAAGGACGAGAATCGCTCAGCCCTGAGAGTCGGAGCAGCCAAGAACGCCCACCACAAGGCACTGGACTACGCACAGGCCCTGGGATATTAGAAGCTGATCCCGATCCATCTCAGCGAGGGTTACACCAACGCCAGATCAACCCATTCGAAGGCTCCCAGAATCGACTTCGACGACGACGACCAGGACGACGAGGACGACAACAGCGACCAGAACATGGTGGGCGTAGAGACGGAGGCATGGGAGGAGGTTGGTGGCGATGTGTTTCGGTATCAGCCAGAGAACGTGAACATGAGCACTTCGGTCAATGCGTCGTTTTATGCTTTGTGAGAGGGTTGTTTTGCATCGGCCTGAAGCATCATTGGGGTCATCACATGTAATTTGTATCACAACTGGCAGACGAGGATGTGGGCAGCGAGCAGTGCAATGTATCTAGTCCCATCCAATCATACCTGCCTATTAAAAGATTACCCGAGTGATATAGCTCCCAAACTCAAACTTCACCTTTCCCCTCCTCCACACAAGCCTGTGACGACGATCAACTGAGCCTCACAATCGCCAAGAAGTCAACACCTGCCATCTATCCTGCCCTGACAACGCAAGCCCGGACCCCGGGAAGCTCTTCCAAATCATCTTACCAGGCACTATCTCACCCAGCATCACCAAGAGATCTCTCGACCAATAGCCATGTTCTGTGCAACAAGGTTCTAGACCTCACCTCGTGCCCCTCGTTGCTAGCCACCTGATGCACCCCGCAATGGGAGATCCCCTTTCCGCGTCGACGGCCAGCGAGTGTTGTTGTGAAGATCACTCAATGGGGACTGGTGGACGCGGTCCGTCGGCGAGATGGAGCTTTTGGTCCTCATTGTGCATGATGAGGGCGGAGGGAGGGCAGCTCCGTCCGTTTAAAGGATGTCGTTGACGAGTATGTGCGTTAAAGATTTTGTAGCTTTCTTTTCCACTTTGTTAAAAGGTGAGGCGAGAGAATTGATCACTTGAGATTGTTCGGAAGAAAACAAATTCAACAAGAAGAGTTGATATTCCATCATGGGTTCAATCGGACAAGACAAGTACATCCGATGGGATGCAGAGGGAGTGGAAGTAGAGCAGCCGGGTGAGAAGGAGAAGATCTGGGAGGTTTCGAACCAATTCAACAGGATGCAAATGATGAACTTCAACGAGCATCATCATTGCTTGCGAGGAACTCACTTGAAGACTCAAGGAGTAGGCGACGACCATTCATTCAAACGACCAGCAACTAACAGAGATGGCAGTGTGTTATCGGTAAATTCGTGGTGCACGACAAACTCCCACCTCACCTCGCTCAAGGCATGTTTGCAAAACCCGGGACCTACGACTGCATCATGCGCTACTCGTCGCTCACGCCCAAGCTCATCCCCGACAACGTGCCCCAGCCTCGTGGCATCGGCATCAAGATCTTTGGAGTTGAGGGTGAGAAGATCTGGGGTGAGGACAAGAAGACTCAGGATTGGACGTTCAACAACTACCCTGTCCTGGAGCTGAGAACGCCAAAGGATACTTGTGAGATTTCCGATTCGTTGGAGAGGAATTGGAATGATATTCCCAAGTTTGCGGAGGAGTTGGGCCAAAGGAAGGATGCTGAGGTTGCGACCATGCCGGCGAAGCTGCCCAAGCAACACAGTGAGTGCAGTTGGACGGATGTGGTGTGCGGATGCTGACGCTTGCTTGCAGTGGTTGCCATGCCCCAGTGGTCTCAATCTGCCTACCGCTATGGCGACAACGTGGCCAAGCTAGGAGTATTCCCCAAGAGCGCGGAGCAGAAGAAGCTCGAGGAAGAGCTCATCAAAGACGACGACCCGATCAACATCCTCTCCCAGCACACGCGTGCCTTCCACCAGAACCACAAAGTCACCTACTCTTTCTGCGCACAGCTGCTTCAGAATCTGGACGAGCAACCCGTAGATGACATTGGCGTGGAGTGGGATGAGAAGAAGTACCCGTTCGAAGAGGTCGCTCATCTCGAATTCGAGCCACAAGACTCCTGGCTTCCTGAGTTCCGCGTCTGGTGGGACGATCGCATCACTTGCAACTCCTGGCACGGTCTGAAGGTTCATCAGCCCCTTGGTAGCACGAACCGGATGCGTAGAGTTGTGTATGCCGAGAGCAGGAAGCTACGTTTGAGGGTCAATGGCTTCAAGGATTACATTGAGCCTTCGAGTTTGTCTGAGGTTCCGGCGCCTATTCCTGCGATTCAACTGCCATACAACCCCAAGGCTGGGCAGAAGGCTGTTACGTCCGTTGAGATCCAGGCCTGAGTAGCTTTCTCTCCAGATCCAGTGCCAGCACTCAGTCGTTGATTGTGTAAAGAATTAATAGTCGGCAAACAAACTTCCTCTTTCTTCCTGTTCCTTTGACTCTGCGCCCAAGTGCAATGTGTCAATCATGACCGTGCTTGTCATACCATTCGTGTTTTGGGTGTAGCGAGTAAGAGGTGTTGTCGTGGACTGCATGTACATGTACTGGTTCTCGATCCGCGCTAGCCGCACTAGCCGCGTTGGTGCCAAGCCTCGCAAGGCTCCCAAGCAAAAATGCAATACTACACCTACGCCCAACAAACAAACGATAAAGCATGCATAACCCACCTGATCAACGTACCGTCTTAGTCTTCCACCAAAAGACACAAAAATCCTCCAGCCCATCCAGCTCTCCCAAGCCTAAGAAGTTCATCCAAAGCCCAACCAAAAGGTAAAAAAATCGAGCCTAGATTCTATCATATGATAGAGCCTTTTTTGATGGAAAGGAAGAGCCGAAGGCGGGGCTCGAACCCGCGACCTTGAGGTATTCTTTGCTGCGTAAGAGCCACACGCTCTACCGATTGAGCTACCCCGGCACGCTGATCAGGCGGTGATTGTTGAAGGCACGAAATTTCTTTCAGTATGTGAAGACTCATTTTTGCTAGCGCCGGATATGAGCCGAGGAGTTGGGCGGCGGCAGCACGGTCCGCCTTCTTACAGCATTCGAATGGCCGCCTCTTGAAGGACAACGCTGCAGCAGCCTGGCGTCAACCGTCTTGTTGGAGCCTGTGGATCGTTTCCTTGGTTTCTACATCGTTCAGCGTCGGAGGGTAGAGGACTGATACCCCCCAGCTTTCCATCGGCCTTCCTGGCTATGCTTCGAATCAGGCAATCCCTTCGAGTGGCCGTCCACCCTCAAGCCCTTCCAGGCATCAAGTACTTCAATCGATCAAGAGGCGGATACTTGCAGCGCCATGAAGTTATCCAGCGGGGTGGCTGGCCTGCAAGCGGTTTATATCTTTGTCCTGGGGCTATTTCGGCGCACAGCATACGGGACAGTGCGTTCCAAGTTCCGAGCTCGTCCTGTGGGAACGTCAAAAGTCGCCTGTAGAACAAGTGGGTGGATCATTCAATACAAGATGAACTTGCTGGTCGTTTCTGCAGCGTTATTATTTTGTGTACGTGAAGTAGTACCAGTCGAATGCCCCGAGCCCCTCGCTGATGCCAGCTGGAGTGAGCACGGGCCAGCAGCCCGCGGCTCGGTCCACCTTCCCAACAGCTCACCCACGCGTGGCACGTCACTCGCACACGACCATCACATGCCTCTCTACGCCTGACTCTTTCTCTCCCTTTCACCCAGACCAAGCACTCTACACACCCTCATCCTTGTTTGTCGTTGCTTCATGCTCGCGAGACATGGAACCTACCAGCGAATGCTGGCCTCTTGACCAACCATAAATCGCCTGCGCCGCCTAACGATCGATCTCGACCTAAAGTCGACTACCGTCCAGCATGGAGAACGTTATGTCTTCGCGAGTCTTGTCTCGCTTTCTGCCCGTTGCTGAGGGCGATGTTTCAGTAATAGAAGGGCTGCGGCGGGATGCTGCACGACAAAGCGATCTAGAGTCTCAGCAACCGACCACCTACAATGAGGCCTTCCACGACGAAGACGACAACCCAGAAGCTTTCCTCTACGATGCAACACAAGACACCTCCACTGATCCAGGCCAAAGCCCGGAGATGTTGGCATTGCCAGCTGCAAGACATTCAAGACCAAGAGCAGAGGCATCGAATTCAAAGAGAACTGCAGAGGAGGACGACGATGTTCCAGAATCACTTCTGCTGGAGCCTAAGAGCAAGCGTCAGTCCAGTCGTCCCGCCACAGGTGCCTCTCGCATGGAGAACAAGCTTGCTCGAGCAGATGCACAGTGGAAAGCGATGCAAGAGCAACAGGGCCTGCACCCGTCTCCAGCAGCTCGAGCAACAAGACCCACAACTCGACACAGTTCCCGACCTTCTCAACCTCCGGCAGCTACTCCTACACCTGTACCAGGCACGCGAACTGACCCTCAAACGGAGGCTCTTTGGCTCTACACCAATGCTACCAACCTCGATGCGTTTTTACTTGAGGTGTACGACTACTACGTTGGCCATGGTGTTTGGTCTATAATGCTCTCTCGTGTGCTCAGTCTGGCCACAGAGCTTTTCGTCTTCAGCTTCGCCATGTTTCTGACGACCTGCATCGACTACTCCAAGATCCCCACCAGCAAGACAACGTCGGAGGTGATGATTCCCAAGTGCATGTCTAAGGCATCGTGGCTGAAGAGTGCCGCCCTCTTCTTCTTCATTGTGTACTGGCTTTCCCAGATAATCCGCTATATTGGCGAAACGAGGCGTCTCTTCCGCATGCACAACTTCTTCCATCACGTCCTAGGCATTAGTGACGATGACATTCAGACTGAGTCTTGGGTACGCGTGGTTGACGGCCTGATCAGGGTGCAGAATGCGAACATCGCCACAGCCAACCCATCCGCTCAAGTGAGGAAGTATCTTGACTACAAGGAGCCACAGCAGAGGCTCAGCGCCGAGAGCATTTCGAATCGACTGATGCGCCAGGCGAACTATTACGTTGCGTTCTACAACAAGGTTATCTTCGACTTCACCCTACCGCTACCTTTCATTGGCGCTCGTCAGTTCTACTCCAAGAGTCTGGAATGGTGCATAGACTTCTGCTTCACCAACTTCATCTTTGACGAACAAGGCAGTATCAGGCCATTCTGTCTGGATGTCAAGAACCGCAGTGCTCTGGTCGAAGCTCTGAGGACGCGACTTCGCTTCGCCGCAGTTACCAGTGTTATCGTCGCGCCGTTCAACATCCTTCGATTCTGCATCATGTACTTCTTCCGATATTACACCGAGTTCACCAAAAATCCGTCTCGAGCAAGTTCCAGGACCTTCACACCTTACGCGGAGTGGAAGATTCGAGAGTTCAACGAGCTGGAACACCTCTTTCGACGACGCCTTCGACAAGCACATCCCTTCGCGAACGACTATCTCAAACAATTTCCAAAGGACAAGATGGACCAAATCTCCCGGTTCATTGCATTTGTGAGCGGCGCTATTGCTGCCGTGCTGACCTTGGGGACTTTGATCGATTCAGAAATGTTCTTGGCATTTGAGGTGACGCCAGGCCGGACCGCTTTCTTCTGGATCGCAGTCACCGGCGCCATTTTCGCCTTTGCCCATGGCTCGGTGCCGGACGAGAACGAGGTGCACGATCCTGTGTTGCATCTGAAGGAAGTTTTGATGTACGTCCATTATCAGCCCAAGCATTGGAAGGATCGCCTACACAGCAACGAAGTGCGCGCAGAGTTCTCGGCCATGTTCCAGATGAGGCCGCTCATCTTCGTGGAGGAGATTCTCAGTCTCATTGTAGCGCCATGGCTGCTCTGGCGCAATTCTGGAAAGAGGTGCGAACGAATCATCGACTTCTTCAGAGAACAGACTGTGCACGTCGAAGGCGTGGGTTATCAGTGCAACTTTGCCGTCTTCAATTTCAAGAAGGATCCAAATGCCGACGATGCCACTGCTGTGCTGAACGAGCCAGATGGACTTCGTGACGACTACTACGCTGTCAAGGATGACAAGATGGCTCAGTCCGTGCAGAACTTTGCGCAGTACTACTTACATTATCGCCAGACTTCTCGCCGACCAGGATGGCAACCACCTCCGATGTGGCCTCCAGTAATGTCGCCGCCCTCCATTGCTGAAGAACCTGGCCCAACTGGCGTATCAGCTCGCCCAAGCCCACCTTCTGCAAGGAAGTCTGCATTACTGGATCCTCGCCAGCGACCCTCATCATCTATGCTTCGCTCCCCGAGACAGACTGGGCTAAATGCTCCGAGACGAGGTATTGCTCAGCGGTCCGATGAAAGTGGCAGAAGGACTACTACCGTCCAAGGGGTCTCGGAAAGCAGACTTATGGCTCAGGATAGTGACCTGCAGGACTTTGCCGATGCGCCTGGAGTGAAGCAGCTTGAAAGCGACACCGATCAAGACGAGAATGAGGATGCAAAGGATGGTGTCAACACAGGAGTCTTGGGAATGCTAGCGCAGCTATCCAAGGCGCATGCTGAGAAAGGACCGGGACCAGTGAACATTTAATGACTTGCATGATCTGATGAGGGACGTTTGGGAGTTTCTGAGCATCATAGCGAAGGCGTCGGTGGTCGGGACATGCGACGCCGTCTGGTTCAGACTGTTGCGTCGTCGTTTGGGAATTGCGTCTTTGTACGACAATCAAATGGTTCTAGAAGTGGAAGCGATGCACAGCAGTAGCCCTTTTGGGCACTGAGCCGTTCACGCTGTGAAGGCGCAAACGGAAATTGCGTGAGCGTGTTGCCGACAACGTGGGCGTTGCAACGCGAACAGCCACTGCGTGGAACCATCACAACGCTATTGTTTCGATCTGTTCCATTTCACTATTCTCGTCGATTCTAACCTATCTCAATGGCCCAAGTCTGCCACAAAGCGACTGGCTCGAGCCTCCAGAGGACCAAGTTCCCTGCAGAGGCTGCATGTGTGGAAATTCTGCACTAATGAATGCTGCGTTGTCGCTCAAGAGAGTGGATCGTCAAATGGGAGGCTTAAAATTTAGCTTGTTTGGCAGGCGCCACGGCCTCCTTTCCGAGTACCGCTTTTTCGGCCAGAGCCACGAACGTCTGGAAGAACTAACAATAGACAAGAACAAGTGATCGCGACGCTCTCGAGAACACCTCTGCTGGAGAGCGACTGATAAGGCGATGAGCTGAGTTCACGACTCGATGATGACAACAGAGACTCCTGCTGCTGATATGCTAAAGACGGATCCCCAATGAGGAACTTGTGGCGTTCTCCTGCGCTAGCAACCCTGAGCTGGAAGCGTGAACAGGAGAAGAATCCCACCAAGCTCTGCTGGAAAAAGACCACAAAATTGACCAATCGACATTCTACTCCTGCGCGTGGCGCTGATGTTCTGGTTCGTGATGCGGTCCATGTTTGGTACCGGGCAACTGCTTGCTTTCCCAGTTTGAGCCTTGCGACGTGCGGACCCGGCCCTCCATTACTGCGGCGTGTTTGTTGACTTATCATGAATGACTTTTATGCGAGAAGATGCGAATATTGGCATTTGACGACCCGTTGTTGGCAAATAAGCTTCACCACTACTCCACCCGCGTGGCATACAGTGGCGCCCGTTAGTAAAGGTGAACGTTGTGTGATTGTGGGATGACAGGAGGCTGATGGGGTCGAAACGGGCGGCTGCCAAAAGCCAAAACAAAGATCGATTATATCATGATGTTGTGTCCCCCCAACAAGATGCTTCGGAGAGTTTGGATGCTGCTTTTGTGCTAGGTTTCGTCGGCTGCAGCTCATATCTTCCAGCTGTTTGGTGCGGAGTCCGGAGAACGTGTTGCTAGTGTGACAGGACGAGCTGCAGGAGAGACTGTTGCGCGAGACGCATTGGATGGTGGTGCATGAGGGAACGGGTTGGGGCATATAGAACGACTGGTGTTCGCTGGGACCTCGAGCGACACTCTTCGACCTGGATCCGTTGAAACACTGGGCTCACCGCTATCGACATCGACTCTCTTACTACATCTTGGACAAGACATTAAAGCCATGGATTCCCGATCACAACAGAGGACCGTCTCTGGATCTTCTTCAGACTACGAAAAGGAATGTGGGACTCTATCTCCAAGATCATCTACCTCGAGAGCAACACCGCCGCCATTTCGACCACATCCTGAAGCATCATCGCCTCCAAAGACAATCGTGCTTGGACTTTGGCCTGGAGCACGAAGTGAGCAGATCGAATACTACGCTGGAGGCTACGCATCTCTTTATCCGTCCACAAAAGTCGTCTTACTCCATCATTCGAGGACCTCACCACGACATGTCGAAAATGCTCTGACAGAGCTTACTGGAGACCAAGAAAAGCTCTCCATACAGAGCAGTCAAGACACTCTCATCCACCTGTTTGGCGACGATGCCGCATCGCAGATTTGTCGACTACTAAGGGCCTATCGAGCACGAATAGAGCAACCCCTAGGCGTAAAAGCAATCGTCCTGGATTCCGTCCCAGTCGTCATCGCACCCAACCTCTCAACACTGATCGCCTCGCCCCAACGCCTCCTAATCTTCATCTACCTCACCATAATCGCCATAATCTGGCGCCTAGCCTCAGTCCTCACCCTCTGGTTCTCCGAACCCCTCAGCAGCCACGTCCAACGGGATCTCCACGATCCCCAACTCCTCCCCGCAGACGCGAGGAAATGCTATATTTTTCCTGAAAGAGATATCATGTTTGCGTGGGATCGCCCGAGTCATGCAGAGGAGGTCTGTGAGCGGCAGGATTTTGAGGTCAAGCGCAGGAGGGTGGATGGGAGGGAGAGGTGGACGGGGGATCAGGAGAGGTATTGGTTGGGGATTGAGAATGCTTGGGAGGGGCGGTGATGCAGGGGTGTGGCACTGGGTTTGGGCTGCTGCTGCTGCTGCTGCTGTATTTTTTGATGATGAATGGAATGAGAGATTCAATGACGATTGCACTTGTTGGGATTAGTGAATGGACAAGGAGCCATTGGCTTGTTGCTTCATGCAGGTAAGCATCGTGGCACCTTGTGCTACTGTGAGGCCTATCTCGCGAGATACGCGAGGGAATAGAATCGGCTTCCTTCGATCTGCCTTTGATATTCCAGGTATTCGGGGGAATACAGGCCAGGGGCATATGAAGAGGATTAGGAAGGAGTGAGTATCTGGAAGCTGCAGTCAGCATGAACGATGATGCTGACAGATGTTGACAGCTGCAACGGAACTCCGACTCCTTCGATCAAGCAAAACAATCATCTGTCACCAGGACGATGAGTCTTCCAATCTTCTTTTTCAGCGCTCGACTGCATGTCGTCGTACACATGTGTACCAGAGCTGAAACAGCCAAGCTTCATATCGGCTCAGCACTTGCCCTACTTATCAGTCGATGAATCATCACATGCATGATAGATGTCTGTAAGAAGCCGCAACCGAAAGACAGTCTTGACTGCTGCATTCTTTGCATTATGATCGGTACCCAGATGCATCTGCTCTACAGTCCGATACCCTCCATTACAACTCTTTGTGTGGATCGTGAGCCTCGTTCGTTTTCCCATCCATTGTTTCCTGTCTCGGATGTTGTGTGAATGCCCGAATTGTGCCTGCATCTTCTCTCGTCGTCCCTGTAGGATGTCTCTCGTATGAAGCCTATTCCACTTCATATCATGGGCTCTCGTGATCGAGCAATGGTACTTGGTCGTCGCCCTGATAACAGACCCAGCTTTTGCACCTTCCACCGCCCTTGTACCTTCAACCGCTCTTGTGCCATGCCTTTGTCGGCGCAGATCTATTCGGCTATGATCTTTGCCATGTCGAGGACGGCAATCTGCTCGCGACCGTTCCCGTGAGGCTCACAGGCGACGGTGACGACCGCTCGGGGGAGCTTATCGCTCTGGATGCTGCACACTGAAAGGATCATTTCTTGGGTGAGCAGAGGAACAGGACCCCAGGATGCATCGAACGGGCTCGGCCTCGATTCGCCATGGTAATTCAGCCAGATGTGGTTGATAGGGTCGATGGCGTTGACCCGGGGGAAGAATATCGAGAGTCTCCTGAAGAGTCTTCCGTGCGGCAGGATCATCCGTTCCATGACCACCTTCAGCCAGTGGAGGTTACTATTCAAAATCCCCTCGTTGACGCAAATTTCGAAGGAGTTTTGGCTGTAGTATACAGCGCGAGCTTCTGTTCGTACTTGGTGTGATGCCCGGGCCAGACCATGACCGATTCCAGATAGACAGAAAGGCCGTACGGGGGCCTTTGCAATTTCACAGCGACCTCGCCAAAAGTTGAATTTCTCGCGTCTGCGCCTGGTCAGAACCAGCGCATAGATCTGGTCGCGTATCTCGGCAGGTAGTGAGAAGAAGCTGATCCGCGCTTTGGCCTCTTCCATGGCAGGCTGTCTATCCAGCCTGTTTAGCCACGATATTGCAAAATGTGTGTACACATGTGTAGACTTACGCGAGTGCTACATCTTTCTCCACGGACTTCGTTACGTTGTCTAACGTGCGCTGCAGGGCTTCGGGCTTCATGAACGGATACCCGGATCGAAGCTTCTGCTGGACGACATCTCGAATGGAGTTCGTGACCTCGTCGGTATGGGTTGACGAGTCAATGTTGGGCGTGGACGAGGCGTGGTGGTGTTTGTAGAGCTCAAAATGAAGTACAGCGCGGCGCGAGAAGGAAGGAAGGAGAAGCCTTGGCGGATCACATGTCACAAGTCACGCACCGTTTCTAACACGCATTGGGGTCACAACTTGCCTGAAAATACGTGAGCATCAAGTGACTAGAAAGCGTGCGTGTGAATGCGAGGAGAAGATGGCTCGAGGCATCAAATCATTGTTCATACTCTTTCACACACTGCCAGGCCCTTCCTGGTCTCAGGAGCTCGCATACGCACAACTTCCCATATCTCTCTTCTGCACCGGCGCCCCAGGACTAATATCAAAATCAAAAATATCAATCGGCACCCCAAGAGTCGTACAAGCGTTCGGGATATCCACAATGCCTGCAATATGGCCCTGGACAGGGGCACAGGAGAGCAAGAGATAGATCTGATAGTCGCTGTAGCCGTATCGCCGCAGGTACTGGGAACAAGTTAGCTCTGCGTCTACGCTCAACTGGCGTTCGGTATGCGCTCACCTCAATGACTCTCAAACAAGTTTGCCTGTACGCAACAGTAGCATCCAGATAATGCTGCTTGCCGTTCTCATCGACGCTGAAGCCCTCGAAGTAGATGTATCTTCCAGGTCCGAACTGAGGTTCCACAGGTCCGGGGATATAGATTGGGCTCTTAAGACCCATGTCGGCCACGCCATTCTTGATGACAGTGAACTTGATGGTGATCACGCCAGCCATCTCGATGGCACCGCAGAAGGAGATCTCGCCGTCGCCCTGCGAGAAGTGCAGATCGCCAACGCTGAACTTAGCGCCCTCGACGTGCACGGGTAGGTAGACCTTGCTACCACGGGAGAGGTTCTTGATGTCACAGTTGCCGCCGTGCTCTGGTCGGCCGGGGATTGTGCGTGCTCCTTCTTTGCCCACCTTCTCCTTGATTGCAGCTTCGCCAGTACCGACGTGAACGTTCTTTGGCTCCGGTGGCTTTGCAACGTCGCGGTCCATGTGGGAACAGGCTGAGATGAGCTCCGCCTCACGAGTATTCCATGTCTCCAACACTTCTGCTGATGGTGCGCAGCCTAGAATTCCAGGGTGGATAAGACCGGCGAACTTTACGCCGGGAATGTGGCGTGTGGAGCAGTGGATGCCTTCGAAATCCCAGATTGCTTTTGCTCTGTCCAGCTTTGTTAGTCGAGAAGCACAGGCGTGTGGTTGAGGAAACCGTACGGCTTGGGATATATCTCGTCCAGGAACCCGCCTCCATTCTCCTTCGCAAACACGCCTGTGAAACCCCAAGGCGCATACTCAAGAGGCTGGACATCTTGGATATCGACCAGCAAGAGATCACCAGGCTCAGCAGTCTCAATCTCGAAGGGACCCGTGAGGTAGTGGATCCTCGTGAGGTCCACATCCCTCATGTCATCCGCCGAGTCATTGTTGCCAATCTGCCCACCAGTCCAGTCCACGCATTCGATCTTGACCGTCTCGTTGTTCTTGATGGTGCCGTAGTTCGGGACTGTGAAGCTCTGTTAGGCATGGACGACCTTAATGGCGGTAGCTGCATGAAGCTTACTATCTGGATGCCAGCGGTTCTGCAATCAATAGACCTGACATTAGCCTTTGGCATTCAAGACAACCATCAAGGTGATTGTTGACACGCACATGTAAATACGGCAACGTGCCCGCGTCTTTATCCAAGTCCACCTTCGCTGCGTAACGAATGCCTTCTTTGCCCATCCTAACGTCCTTTCTCTCGATCGCAAGAACTTCGACTACCTGTGAGAGCTACAGGTCAAGGACGATGTGAAAGGAGAGATTGTGACACAGACGAGAAAGAAAGCAGAGAGGCTCCCTACATCTCCCTCCCTTGGTCCAGCCTACAATCTCGAAACTCTCATCAGGCGGGGTCAGCTACGTCGTCGATCAAAGGCGATAAGCCAAGTCAGACCTGTACGCGTTGGACGCGCCAGATGCATGGCAAGCTCTTGAAAGCGAGGTATTGAGTAACAGGTTGGAGAAAAGGGCTGATAAGGGCGCGCAGGCTACGTGCAGGCGAAGCCAGACAACCGCCATTGGACGAGTCGTTACGTTTGGTGTTGCGGGGCTGCTGGAGCTTCATGGAGCTCTGCCAGCTTGCTGATATGACGGCAGTGATGTCTGCGAGAGAAATCTCCGATCCTGGGCCGTTATCGATACAGCGGCATGATGCTGGAACGTGTTTGCTTTGCTGTCTTCAGTGTCTGTTATGTGAACTGCCGACTCTTGACTTCCCCAAGACCTGAACCTTTCTTCTCGTCACTAGTCGAGATATTGAACTTGTCCACAGCGTCCAACGGCAATGAAAGGAATTCGTGCTTGTTCTCCCAGCGAACGTCCTTTTTCTTGAACTCTGCGGCTTCCTGCGGTGGAGGTGGTGGCTCCGTGATCTTTGTAATGAGGTATGCGGTCGAAGCTTCTGCAACGCCATAGATAAGAACGCCCAGGAGTGGGATCTTGAGGAACACGAAGAAGGCGACGGCGAAACCGTAGAGTACACCCTCACGATCGTGGAACCAGAGACGCTTCTGCTGGGAGTCGTACCGGATTCGAGAAAAGTAGGGCTCGAGCTGGAACTTGTTAGCAAGAGGAAGCATAGGACACGAGATGGAGAACTGTACCAGTTCTCGCATCAAGCTTCTGCTGGAGAAATAGCTCTGCAGAAACATGACCAAATAGCGCTTTGGCACGAATAGACCACTGCCGAAGACAAGCACCGCAGGCTGCCATCCTGCAGCCTTATTGAAGGTATAGAAGCTGGCGGCTGGCAGCACAAACCTGCCCACCACTGGGAGGAAAGATAACAGATAGATGCCCAGCGAAAGAGCAGCTTTCTTGCCGAAGCGTTTCAGAAAGGCAATCATAGCCTTGTATGGGTCCTTCTTTTGTGCAGTGTCCGCGTGTTGGCTATACAGGCGCAAATTTGGGTAGTACATGGCTCGCAGGTGGGAAGGGTCGTCTGACTTGTGCTTCTGGATGTACGTCTGGTCTACCCACTGCAGGGAGTCCATGAACATATGGTCCATAGCAGGGCTTAGATATCGCATAAAGCTCATAAGGAAGAAGGGCACCTGAAGGACAGAGTGCTCGATGAACTCGATCCCGTCGATGATATCTTCGTCCCATGTTGAGCCTTGCAGGTCGGTGAAGAGGCCGGCGAATCGAATGAGAAGTCGGATTCCAATCGTCTGCCTACGTTAGTGGCGTGTATATGTACTGTCTTGTCTTGCATACTGGTATCGCTACTAGCAAACGGATAGCAATGCCTGCTCCAACTGCCAGAGCCGCCTGCTTGTAATGTTCGCTCGTGAAGATTCCTGGATTCTGGAGAGCTCGATTGGCGCCTACGATGGTGAGCTGGGCGCCCCGGACGATGCTGTTGAGCTCGAAGCTGCCGAACGCGCCATAGTTACTCATGATGCCTCACGGGGTTGGAAGAGTTGGGAGTGTAGGAGTGAGCATGCGACTTCAATTTTGGGAGTTGGTGAAGCCTGCATTTGGAAAGCAGCCGTACGTCATCGTGGCCGCGCGCCGCGTAGTCGCCCACGGAAACGCAGCATAGCACCACTCTCGCATGCTGCAACGCGACCTTCACGCACGTGCACGTGTCGAAGTATATACATCAATGTTAGTTGGAAAGCCAAATCGGTGAGTGAATGAAAGAAGTCCAAGCAAAGTGCAGCTCCGTGGAGGGCTGAACAAGGGGTCGCCTGGCTTCCGAAAGTGGAAGACAGCCCCAAACAAACTCCCAACGGCTGTCGCATTCATGTCCAGGAGCCAAGGAGGCATCAACTGTTCGACCACATTCGCGCCTGTACGATCTTTCACATGAGCGCGTTCGCGTCCGCAACGTCGCCGACATGTCGACCACGGCGCCGTCCACCCCAGAAAACACACCCCGCAAGGTCGCCCTGAATCGCTCCTTTACCCTGCCAGCCAAAGTCGCGACATCGAGTCGAACGAACCCAACCGCCGAGATAGGAGCTGCAGAAGGGATAGAAACACTCTACGTACACCCGAACTGCAAGGTCATCAAGTTCACAAGTGCGTCAAGACCAGGTAGCAGCGGTGGAACCCCGAGTCCAAGTGGCAGCAGTAGCAATGGCAAGCTGCCATGGGCTACTTTGACAGAGCAGACGCTGGCTGCAGGTCCACTGGAGATATATCGCGTACCTGGGTCAGTCTCGTTTCTACATTCGGGAGCTTTGCTGCATGCGATCTTGCCCAGAAGCAACTGCTGGTGCGTTGATGGTGTAAGCAAGTTTGCGATGAGGGTTCTACCGGACACATACTATCGCATCGAACTACCTGGAGATACACCTGAAGATTTGGAGAAGATTGAAGAATGCAAGCAAACTTTGAAGAAGGTACTGCACTACGAACGTACTCCCTGCCCTTTCGCTCGTACCTTTACAGTCGACCTTCCAGAAGAATTGGAAGTCAAGAAGACGCGACGAAGGCGAAGCCACGGTGCTGCGAGGAAGTGGAAGTTGGATCGCGCATACAGCTGGAAACCAGAAGATGGCGTGGAGCCGCAAAGTAGAGTCAGCGAAGAGTCGTCAGGGAGTGCAGCAGGCTCCGATGAGGAAGAAGGCTCGAGTTCGAACGAGGATACACGATCAGAGGCATCGGAAAGCCGCGATGCTGTCAACGAATTGCCCATCCAAACCCCATCCAGACCCAGCGTCAAAGAACGAGCACGAGGCTTCAATCTGCGATCTGTCACGGCGCCTGCTAAAGTGTCGTTGCCAGCGCCATCCACGCCTACACCAAGGCTGAGCACGAGGATCCCCGTAGACGCTCGGCTACAGTCTAGGGACAGATCAAGGTCGCCTATGCAACAGGAAGCAGAAGAACCTAGTAGTGGTCAAACATCGCTGAGACCCTTCCAATCGATTCCTACCGACATGCCGCCTTCCCCTCCAGACTCAAGCGCAGGAATCGACTTTACTACGGAGCACCCACCACGGACAGCGTTTCCTGATGCATCAACGTCGGTTGACGTGCATGAAGCGTCGTTCATCAGTGACTCTTCTGCACGCGACACAGATATGTCTGCTAATTCCGCTACAGCCCTGAAGAAGGATTGTGTCGAAGAAGCTGCTAAACATGTTGCGGGAAGATCGGAGGGCTCGCTTCCAGAAGCCGGCCAATTGGATTCGACAGCTTTCGCGGTGCAAAACAGTGAGGCGGAAGACGGTACGCCAAACTCCATATTAATTGCATCTGCAGCGTCACAGGAGGAAGACATATTTGTCACTTACAGCAGCCGTGAAGGAGTCAACCCGGAACGTGGGAACCACGAGTCCCTTCATGACTCGAGTGCACTTGAGTCAGGTAGCGTGGGAGATCAGTCCGCCTTACTTTCATCACACGCAGGGCGACGCGAAGGTGAACCAGAGAACGGCCCAGATCCTGCTGCTGGCGATGAACTGTCAAGATGCCACGAGGAAGAGAACTCTGCTATTAGCGAAGCCGACAATGACGTCGAGAACGATGCCGGCCAAGAACAATTAAGACCGGTCTCCATACCAGGCCAAGAGCCTGCGGTCGAGCCTGCGGTCAAGCCAGACCCTTATGCACAGATCCAGGCGAGGATACAGGCGAGGAGAAGCATTGGAGGGACGACCTCCTTCCATCCAACAAGAAAGAGTCCAACCAGACAATCGACCTCGTCCACCGCCTCTTCAGCATCGCTGTCATCGATGAGATCAGGCCTAAGCCGGCGCAGTGGCTCCTCTCAACCACAGCAGCAAGCTCTTGCCAGCGCTCTAGTACGCAAGGCATGTGCAGTGTTCCTTGGACCACCGGCCCACCTAGTTGTGATCATGCTTCGGATTGCGGCAAGATTTGCGAAAGGAGCGCTGCCGTCTTCTCTGATGTTCGAGTCTCCTGCAGGCATGACTAAGCGTGTACCTGGCAGCTTCGACTTGGAAGGGAGCGATGTTGAGGACTTTGATCTTGACGATATGGATTGGGAAGAGGATGACTTTGGGGTGCCGCTGCGCAGTCCGATCAGATTGGCGATGAACGATGCTGTGTCCAGAGAGCTTGGCGAGAATTCACTGCTTCGTGAACGCAAGGCATGGGATGGTTGAGGTAAGAGATGGTCTTTGATGCGTTGATGTGACGAGGTTATGAGCGTGGTGTTCGGGTGTTTTCAGGGTGGGTCTTAGATGGATGGGAGGCGATATGACGAGATGAACGATACTTGACGGCGTTTTATGAAGACTCAATTGAGTTTGTGCCCTTCCATTCCCTTCGTCGTCAGTCCTCAACATCTATGTGCTTTTTTGAAGGGCGCTCGCCATGACGTCTATCATGTGCACGTGCCAAGCTCTGCATGTGAGAATCATCGTGGGCTGCTTTCTTGCCATCTCTTCTTCATCAACGACCATCGCCTTCTCGCCATAGCAATTTCGACATTCCTCAACCAGCGACCAAGGTTTCAACAATGGCTGACCTATCCTCGAAATACAGTGGCTGGGTGATGCGGGCGGTGTGCGTTTATTCTCCTCGCTACCCTTTCAGGTAACTCCGCACTTCACGTCTTCCTTCGTCGCCAGCTGCACGCGACTGCTACGCGACATACACGGTGAGGGTCACATCTACATTCGGTATTCTTTTACGTGTACGTACGATGCAGTGACATTGCTCTTGCGCGCCTTCTCGATTTCACCTCACTCCGCTTCACTTCACGACTCGCCCGCTGGAAGGTCACCTGAACCTCGCGCCAGGCGCACGCTTCACTTCCCTGTGAAAGCGTCATTCTTATTCGCCCTCTACCATTCTTCCAAGCACGGATGCGTCAACCCAACACACACCAATACGCCCGAAGGTAGCGAGGCGCAAGGAGAGCAGGACGTCCGAGGGAGGGCAAGATGAAGAGGAGGTCAGACGTTTCGCCCAATTGGCACAACAAGAGACTCAGAGGGAGTGAGAGCGCCGAATCGAGTGACGGTGCGACGCCGCTAAAGAGTGCACTCCTGACCCCTGGAACGTCAGACTCTGAACTGCCCGCAAGGACGAAGCCTAAGACCACGAGGAAATCGATCAGCACGGAATTCGAGGCTTCTAGCGAAGATGAATCGGACACCTCAACCACGGGCGCGCGACGACGTAGAGTGAAGGTGTACCGGCAACTCTCCCATGTGGCTGCACTAGGACCACCTCTGCCACGGTCGGCATACGAAGGCTGGACGCCAACTTGCAAACAAGTCTCGGAATCTGAAGCCATTGATCGACTGCTTCAAGCCCACAAAGAAGCACACCCTTCGGAAAGGCCTGAGTACACTTACTTCGAACTCAATGACTTCTCTGTCTATAGGCCCACCAGCTCGTACAAGCATGCACTGGAACTGGCGACATTGGACCTTCTCAGCCAAGATCGCTCTGCTGAGTTCTTGTTCGACGGTGTGTTGTCTGTAGGCGACGAGAAGTGCTACCTGCGGGGGGTGCCGTTCCGCATTCTTGCGATTGATGGCTATGGCGAGCTCGAGAGTACTGACTTAGCCCGCCAAATGTGCATCCAGACGCCTCTTGCCCAGCGCAAAGATGTTTGGTACTCACTCGGCGAGCCTTCAGTCGAGTATCAGCGCTTTTACACACCGTTCCTATGGCTGGCACGCTTCACCAAGCACTTCGTGGACTACCTACTCGAGACTGAGAAGGTCACTCTCCATCACTTTCAAACGCAGTTCCACCAGTGGCTCGATGCACGATACAGTGACGACAGCTTCACCTGCTGGATGGCGGAGGCAAACCTGACGGACTTCCGAACGACTGTCGTGGCGCACTTTGGCTTCCTTCACAAAGAATGCTACAGCATTGACTTTGATCTCTGCAAACACCCTGTCTGGAAGGAGATGGACCCCAACCGACTTACAGCCATCCCAGAGCAACCAAATAAGGAGCACCGAACTATCGTGACACCGTATGCATACGACTGTTTCAGATCCATGTACTTTGGCGACCATCTGGAGCGACGTGAAATGAAAGACAGCGCCATACATACCGTCCTTGCACGAAAGGAAACCCTGCGCCTTACGCCTCAGTGTATTGGACAGCAGAAAGCACCGGATACCCTCACTCCGCTGAGTATGGGACGGAACTCACCGGAGTCCCTTACGAGTTTGGATCCTGGAGATGTAGTCTCTGTAACGCCAGACTCGAACAGCAAATGGACCTCTACAGGCGACATGTGGTATGCCTACGTGCAAAGAGTACGTCACTTCGAAGACCGGACACTTCTAGATGTGCTGTGGCTCTATGAGCCCGGGGACACCACAATCGGCAAGGCATCATATCCATTCAAGAACGAGCTCTTCATGTCGGATAACTGTAGCTGCGGCAAGGATGCTCTTGACCTCGAATGTGCCGTTGAGAAGGTTCGCATCTCATGGTTTGCGGCCGATCCAAATGCAGAAACTGGATTGTTCGTCCGCCAGAAGTTTCGCACCATTCACGAGCAAGATTCGTATGACTTCGTTGCGCTGCAATACTATGACTTCACCTGCCACTGCCACGACCAAGTCCCTATCTTCGAAGAGTGCCGAAGTAAGTACAGCGTCGGTGATACCGTCCTTGTACGCGAATGGAACAAGATCATGGGCGAAGATCGGTTACAGCCTGCGCAGATTGTCGACTTTGACTGTGCGAAGATGCGGATCCAGCTGCGAAGTCTTTTGCGCAAAAGCGAAGTGGACCAGACACCAGGAACGCGTCCAAACGAGCTCGTCGTCACAGATGATCTCTTTGACAAGCCAGCTAGCTCGATCGTACGGCGTTGCCACGTACGTTTCTTCACACACGAGCAGGTGAAACTAGGTGACATTGTCACTCCATACGACAGAGACGGTGCTGGGGATCACTGGTTCGTCGCAAGGGATGGACACACAGATGAGCACCAGACGCCGCCCTTTCCTAGTTCTGATGGTAAATTGCCTTCAATCAATCAAGGATGGGACCCCAACGCCAGACCACCCAAGCCCAAACTCACTGGACTAGGCATCTTCTGTGGCGGAGGCACGTTCGATCGTGGGTTGGAAGAAGGCGGAGGCGTCAAGTTTCGCTATGCCGTGGACTGGGCCGAGAAGGCTCTGCACAGCTATCGAGCAAATGTGCATCGCCCAGAGAGTGTGCATTACTTCCTTGGATCCGTGAACGACTACCTGGCTAGAGCTATGGCAGGCGACAAAGACAACCGTATCGCAGGCGTTGGCAAGGTCAACTTCATCAGCGCTGGCAGCCCTTGTCCTGGATTCTCGGCGCTACAAAACGACAAGAACAGCGTTGAATCAAGACGCAACGCCTCCATGGTTGCGTCAGTCGTCTCATTCGTAGACTTCTACGTTCCAGAGTACTTTGTCCTCGAGAACGTGGTCACTATGACGAACAGCATGGGCCCAAAGAAGGACGAGAACGTCTTTTCCCAGATTGTGGCCGCCTTGGTCGGCCTCGGATATCAAGTTCAGCAGTTCTTGATGGATGCATGGTCCCATGGCGACCCACAGCTCAGATCTCGTGTCTTCATCGTGGCCTCAGCGCCTGGTCTTCCACCCCTGCCACAACCGCAACACACCCACTCCCATCCGCGCAACCTCAAGATGCCTCACCGTTCGCTCGGCAAGTCAAGCAATGGCCTCGCCTTTGGCATGCGGCGAGAAGAGTACACTTCTTTTTCACACATCTCCGCGGCAGAGGCGGTTGCGGACTTGCCGCACATTGGAGATGGCCAGTCTCAGATATGTGTGCAGTTTCCAGATCACCGTGTCCCCGTCACTGAGCCGCACGTCAACAGACATCGCATGGCCTGCGTACCACAACTTCCTCCTGGCATGGGCCTTATCCAAGCAAAGAACACAGGCGCGCTACGAGGAGAACCGCTCGAGCATTGCAAGAGGGTCAATCTGATCCGCAGCAAGCACAACTCGAAAATGTACGCTCGAGTCTACCCCGATAGGCTTTTTCCAACCGTCATCACCAGGATGGCTGTGGGCGATGGTATTGCGGGTCGAGTCGTCCACTGGAGTCAGAACCGCATCCTGACCGTCATGGAAGCTAGGCGTGCGCAAGGTTTCTTGGATCATGAGGTCCTCGTCGGCACGGTGAAGGATCAGATCAAGATCGTTGGCAACAGTGTGGACAGGAAGGTCGCGCTGGTGCTTGGACTGGCGTTTCGAGAGTCTTGGATGGGTTCTTCGAATACTTCGGTTTCAACCACAGGTGTCAGAGATGCAATGGTAGCCAACGTGCCAGAGACTGGCGAGGCTGACGACGAAGAGATGGATGTTGAGGAAACAACAGGGAACTCGCCTGGGTACCATGGAGACGAAGACGCAGAAGATGCTCGAAGCATTACCGAAGATGAGAAGATGAGGATTGAGGACAACACCAGAATCGCATCTGGATACTACGAAGAGGAGGAAAGTCAAGCACCATCAAGCACAGACTCCTCGCCCATGAAAGCCCCCAACGTCGACAACCGCTCCACAAAGATGGCATTGCTGGGCTTAACCGAAGACGACCTGGGAGAAATCCGAATCGGAGGCTTCAAAGCCATCAACCGCATTTTCGCCCAAAAGGCAGCCGAGGGTCATCCTGTCACGCTGAGTCCGAAAGCAGTGCGAGTAGAAGGAGGAAGTAAAAGTGGAAGTGGAGAGCAGTCGTCTCCGTCTCCGCGATGATGATGATGATAGTGAGGCTAACCAGAGGCACCGCATGAATGTACATAGCCCTTTACGAGTCCTTTACGGAATCCTCTAGCTCGATATCAATACCCTCCGCTCCTACAGTATCATCGGCATCGCCGCCATCAAAGCCCTCCCGCCTGCGAACCTCGCAAACATCACCACGACGTCCCGTTCCCCAATCCAGCTTCCTATTCCAGCACACCCCGTCTGCCATCCTCCGTATATCGCCTCACGAAACTAAAAGCAACCATCCCGTTCCGTCCGTGGTGTCGTCGTACAGCCAGCTAATACAAGCAAGTAAAATAAAGACACACATTGTTGCTTACATATCGAGCGGAATATCCATCGGCACCGCCGCCACCAGGATGCTAAAAGACTAGTCGACGCAGGCACCGCAGGCGCGTGTGTGGTGGTGCTAGGAAAAATGGGAAAGTAGGCGAAGGAATTGGCAGGGCGGGTGGGTGGCTTGCTTGCCACGGGGAATCGCCTGACTTTTCGATCTTTCTGTACGGCGCGGCTGCGGGCGGCTGGCGCGCCAAGGGGGGATGATGGGAAGGACTCGAAGGGGAAATGGATGCGATTCCTTGCGGTGGTACAAAGGAGTTTGTAGAGTTGTATGTGTTTAATGTTGTCATGCAGTTTGGGGCGCGTGACTTACACGTGGTTTGCTTATAGGGAGGGTAAGCGTGGACAACTCATACTTACATTGCATTTGTTGTTGTTCTTGGTGCGAATCTGCAGCCGTTATCAAACAGCGCACCATCTGCTTGTGCGTGATGTGTTGTATGCATTGCCCGCAGTAAGTATGTACCCTGCACGCTGCACATGCAAGTCACGGGCGGGAGCTCTTCTGTTGTTCGAGATGCTTTTTGAGGTGGGATGGGCTTTATGCGACTTAGGGCCCATGTCGATGGTTGTGGAAGGTGTGTCTTTTGTCGGTGAAGCCGGCAATAATGGGAGCGGGAGCTTGGATCTGCCGTCTGATGGGAAGTAACTGCCAGATGCCAGATTAAATGCATTTACCGGTTGCGTGGTTCGCAACTTGAGTTGTGATGAACTTTGAAGTCGCCGTCTCTGCTCCTCGAGGATGTGCGTACAGAGAAGACCAAATAATCTCCCATCTGATGAAGAAGGCCTTCATCAGTTTTGCCGTGGCCGGTATTTCCCTGTAGAGTTACCGAGCACAACAGCACCGACAGTCTGGTTTACTTTGCAGAAACGTTTGCGACATGGGCGGTGATGCGACGTGCGGGCACATCACCAGACCTCGACGAGGTGCAAGGAAGAGGCACAGCTCCGCTCGTTACGGATCGCCTTCCTTCATCACTGTTCCCTATGCTGGGACACGGCACGAAGGAGGGGAAGAATCGTAGTGATGAGGAGCGTATTTCCGCCTTCGAGCGACGATATTCGGTCTGGCCTTGTTTTCCTCAATGATGTGATGAGCTTGATCCCAAAACCAGTCTCTGCCAAGGAAGAGCGGGCTAACGGTAGCGACGTTTTGCAGAACTCACGCGGCAGGAGCGAATGAGCGCGGACATCGCCCGAGCTCGAATGCCTGTAGGAGAGGGAATAGCAGCCATTCGTAGTGAAGGAATTGTGTGATGGGAGGAGCTGTGACAACTTACTTGACTTGTAGCTCTGCGGAGGAATACTGTATCAAGTTCAGATGACTTCTCTGTTGTTCGTGTGATGATCACATTGCGAAAGTTTGCGGTGTGCGGTCTAGTCTCTAGGAATGCTTGCCATGACCACCGTATGGCGAAATGCGAGGCTGGTGAGTCCGAAATCTAATCGCAGGCTCGTGATCAATACGTTATCTGCAAAGGCCGCGCGAAGGGAAGTAGGAGCGTTGAGTTAGGTGAGCTGGAAAGTTGGGCATCAACAGCTGGTGAAGTATTGGAGCTTCATCAGCTTCATCGAAGATCCATCGAGTCCTGTTGTACGCGTTTCCTCCTTCTCAGCAAGGCGCCATTCGTCTCCTCTAACATCCGTCGAAGTCTGTAGGCGAAGTGAGGGTCGACAGTGGACGTTGGTCGTCGTGGTCGTTCTTGTCGGGCACGTGAAGTGAAGAAGGTGGGAAGTTACTGCGAAGCTATCGGCAGGGTGGTCGGCTCGGCTCGGCATGTGTCGGGATTCATGTACGGACAGACGTCCTACGGTCGAGTATTGAAGACGAAAGCCAATCCTCATCAAATGTTGTCACACTAGCAAGAGCGCAGGATGTCGCTGATTCGCACTGTGGAAAACTCAAGCCCTTAAATGGACATCCATGTCTTACAGCTGTCAATGACGATGCTTGTAGTGCCGCCGGGAGGAATCGAAACAATATCGTGACGTCTCGTCGTCTCTGCTATGATTACACGCGTGTTGTACAGCCATCATCCCTGTGTCAAGCGCTGGTAGAGTGGTGGCGTTTGAGTGCGATTTCGGGCAGCGAACAAATATCGCGCTATTATGTTTTGCTTCCAAGGTTGAAATAGGAAGTTGCGTTGCAGCGTGTGAAGGTTGGTTGAAAATCAGGAAAGGAGATGCTCCCACTTCATCACATCGTCGAATGCTTGCTGTGAGAGGGATCACGCAAGCTGACGATGACTCGCCATGAAAGACTTCCTTGCGGCCGAAGTGGTCACACGAGACGAAATCAACCTGACTGACATAGACTTTGCGATGCTGTGGAGAAGATTCAACTCACCGCATATTAGGCGCCTGCGTAAGGCTGACTCTTCCTGGCATCTTCCCAACACATTCGCTGCGTGTGTCTGACTCGTAGTGTATTGCTGACTGGGTCTAGGGTCAGGCATCAACTTCATGCGTTGCAAGATGACCCGCAGGACTTCGAGGTCATGTGGTCAAGGCGGCTTGCTAAATGTGGTTGTCCATCGGCAAGATTTGCCTGTGCGGTCCCCTATTTTCCCTGTGCCTCACTGCTTGAACTTCCCACTTTGGCTTCTTCGATGAAAAGCAGGGGCTCAGGGAGTCAGGGACCAGGTAGCTTGTAAGTTCGGCATTCGATGTGGCCCAACAACGGTGCCGAATTTGACTTCACCTCCAGGTCTCGGTCGGTCTGCAGGCATGCAGGCTATAGCCCGAGACGAAAGTTTGGTGGATGGAACGGCGATTCTGGAGGAAATGGACTCTGCCGTTGTAGGCTGGTGAACCTGCTAGTTAATCTTGATGTCGGTCCGGTTATGGCAGCTGCCGGTACAGCGTGGACACGAAGCGGAAATAGCTGACGATTCACCAAGATGTGCCGGCGGTGACCATCTATTGCACGTGGTAGATTTGGGCCAGTGTTGCAGGAATTGGCCTGTGCGGTGGCAGCTGCTAGTAGAGTAGCAGCTATGCAGGCCGTACGATGTGGCACATAGTGGTGTGAGTCCGGTGGTATAGAATCATGGATCTTTCTTCTGTGCTTCTTCGCGTGCAGTCGTGTCTCTGCACGGCCTTACTGCGTAGATCGGATACTGCTGCCGTGCGTTCTTCGGAGATTGTGCGGCCCGAACACACAGACTTATCGGCGGCTGCTAGAATTATGGTTCGCGTATTTTTGGGCGTCAAGATCACGACAGCGACAACCTTACAAGCGAACCTCGTACGCTCTCCAGACACGGTGTTGAACTTGCAGTTGCTGCGGTGTCGGAATTGTGGCCGGGAGGTGATGTGAGGAGTGTCATTTGACAATAATGAGGATGTGCAGGCGCGCGGAGTGGTCCAAGAATGGAGTCGCGCAGACAGGCAATCGAGGCACAGAAACAGGGCCGAATTGACGTTGTACAACCCGAGGTTGACGGGAAAGTCGGTCAGGCATGTTGCCAGCACGTCAACTTTTATTGTCCTCGTGTCACGCAGCACCGCTTAGCTCATCTCTGCGCGCGAAAGATGCGGTGTGGTTTGCCTGATGATCGCATGACCATGGGAAGAACTGCGGCCGAAGTTCGAAAGATCCAGAGTACGTCAGAGGGAAATCCTGTCCCCATTGGAGTAAACGCCAAGGAACGCGGGAGACGTTCTTGTAGAAGGGCGAAAGTGCCACCAAAACGGGAGACTTTGCATTTTCGAGGAAGACTCCGGGAATGTGGCTTCAGCCTCTAGCACGTGGCCGTGATGGTGATGTGGTAGAGTCGCATCGCGGCGTCGAGCACTGATGAATTTGAGAGACGAGCGAGTGCTGTCAGGGCGCACAGCAGGCCATGGGTGACGTGAGTTGGGTGGGAGGATATCGGGCGTGGGTGCTGGATAGCGACGCCACGACGGCTGTCGGAACAAACACGCGCGAAGCAGCCTTTTGTGTGACGATCAACTCTGCGCAAGACGACTGTCTTCACCGATTTGCCGGAATGCTCGACGGACGCTGATCAGCGGGGGCTGTCTCCCTCATAATGTCTTATTCTTATTGCACCCTCGCGGCTACGATGCATTCTGCAAATACAAGAAGCTGCGATGGCGTGCGCTTGAGCGGTTTCAGCAGCCGCAAATGTGAAAGCTTATGTGGGCTGTCAAATGAGAGGCAGAGACGCCAACAGGACGCAGTGAGAGGCCATGACTTGAATGCGTGGCGACAACGGCCACGGCATGCCTGCGAAAATAGGACACAGACTCGATCTGGAGAGGGTGCAAACTGTTCGACCAGATCGATTATAGCTGAGATGGCGCGTTGGGGTGCATATAGATAGGGCGAGATGCGAAGACCGTTCCGATCAGCGGCCGAGGAGATGTCACAGTGTCGCAGATGTCACAGGGGCGAGTGGTGGCACAAACGTGAGGCGAACAAGCAGAACTTTAGTACAAGGGACGGAAGTGAAGTGAGAGGAGGTAGAGGGATTTGGAGCTCGGTATAACGATGCCGCACCGGGCGGCGAAGGGCGGCGATCTGAAAAGCTTCTTGATTCAAACCTCTCGAAGCGCGGTTGACTCGGAAGGTTTCGGCAGTACGGGTCAGTGGTGGGGGAGCAGCCGACGATGGCATTCTGCGTGTGGATTGATTTGCGTCTTCACTCGTGCAGACGACGGCAGCGTGGGCAGCAAGAGACGGTGAACTGCAGCGCTGTTGGCAGCAGTGGGACTGGGTGGGCAGGTGCGATGGAAGCTGCTGCTGCTGCTGCCGGTTATCTATCTGATCTATCCCATCTCCCAACAATGAGGCGCCGCGCGCTTCACATGGCTGCCGATCCTGGCTGTGCGCTAGCGCTAGCCTGTCCCAGACTGCCGGCGGTGGTGGGCTGGTGGAGCGTGCATTATTTGTGATCGGGACCAGGGTGGGCGGACGGGCAGCAGGGCAGGGAGCCGGGGTGGGATGTGCGTGAGTGATGGGCGACATGAGCGTGAGCTGTCTGCGGGCAGCCATGCCTCGCTGTTGCTGCTGCTGCGTTTGCAGTGCATGACACCGCATGGGCGTGCATATCGTGTGCCCGCGCGGATTTCTGTAACGGACGGCCAGCGCGCGGCAATAACAATGTAATGGGAGCGGATGGTGCCTGGCGCAGCGCGGGCGGCTCGCAGCCAGTCGTCGGGCCAGGGCGCAATTAAGGTTTCTCGTTTTCCCATTACCCAGCTGGTCGGTTCCTTACGCAGCGCTGGATCAAACTCTGAGCTGTCCGGCGCAGCGTAGCTTCGCGGGCCTGCCATCCCTATCATCACTAACACGAACACTGCTGCTCCAGCTGCGCCGACGACCGTTGGGCCATGCCAATCCATTCGCTGCGCTCGCAACCCTGCCTGCCAGCCTTCACAGCGTCCTCGCCTTGCTTACGCACAACGAGAACCCAGTCCCCGTCCGACCCAGCGCCCGCCGGCAAGCGCCATGTCGCCGGCCTGACCGCGCACGCCCGCCAACCGCAACCGTAACCGTGTCCGAGTCCTGCTGGCTGTTAGGTCCAATCCAGTACGGTCCAGTCGCTACTGCCCAGTCTGTCCAGAGGCCCTGATGCACGAGGTCTGACCCCCGTGCGACGACTGCCGACGACGTCGTAGCAGCGCCTTGACCGCATGGCCTGGCGACCGCCCTGCCCAAATGGACTCCAGGAGACCGCCCTACCACCAGCTCCCCCCCAACACTGCTGCTACTCCTCCTCCCCCGCCCGCCTATGACCCGCGCCAGCACCACCACCATCACCAACATCAGCAGCACCACCAGCAACCGCAGCAGCCCTACCCTCCGCCGCCGCCCCCGCCGGGCCAGTACCCCCAACAACAACCGCAACAACACCACCCTCAGCAGCATCATCCCCATCACGCCCGGCCCCAGCATCCGCAGCAGACACCTCCCCAACCTGCGCCAGGTCCTCCGCCGCCGCCGCAACAGCAGCAGCACCCTCCTCAGCAACAGCCCTACTCGGGCGCGCCCAATCTCCCTCCTCCCCAAGGGCCAGCGCTGCCTCCCATACAGCCGGCCGCGCATGCGCAGCCGGCGCCCTCGTCAGAGCAACAGAATCTGCCTTCCTTCCGCCACCCCTCGGCACCGCCGCCCCACGACCAGCGCGAGGGCGGCCCGCCTGAATACCACTATCCCTACAACCACCACAACCGCTCTGGCCATGCCACGCCTGCACCCGTGAACCGCTCATACTCGCACGACTCTGGGCCTCAGCGCTCGCCTGCTACACCTGCTGGTCCAGGGCCGGGATCGTTTCCTCCCAGTGCAGGACAGGACGGCGCGCCGCCGCCGCCTGACCCTCCCCCTCCCCACCAGATGGATCATGGCGCGCATCATGGATACCCGCCTACGCATGGCAACCTGCCTCACGGCTTACCGCCCCCTCCACCGCAGCATCAGCACCATGAGCAGTACCCGTCGGCGCAGCCCACACGCATAATGGATGGCCATTACCCTCCATATCCGCCGCCGAATCAACCGTCCATGTACGGTGGGCCACAATACAACGGCCCCGCGAGTGCTGGTAACCTTTTCGGTACCAAACGAAAGCAAATGCGCGCAACTCAAGTCAGTTTGCTGCAATGCACACTCATGTCACCCAAAGTTTCGCTAACGTGTTTCAGGCCTGCGAGCAATGCAGACAGCGGAAACAAAAGTGTGATGAGGGCTCGCCGTGCTCTTTTTGCAAGGAGAACAGTCTCACATGTCAATATCGTGATACTCCACCAGCCAAGTAATTTAATATCCAGTCGTTGGTCTCGATTTTCTATACTGACCTTGTGGTAGAACCGACAAGAACATGGAGAAGCTTCTGAGTTACATGGAATCTCATTCTGATGGGCTCAAAGAGTTGACCAGCAAGATTGACAGTTTCGAACAGCGATTACGCCGAGTCGAGCAAAGTAACCAGCAGAACGAGACCGCCACCCACCCGAACGCGCCGGAGCCTACGATCATGGACGATCGAGAACCACCGAAACGAAAGCCGGAGCTGGACGATCACAGGACCGCACCGCATAAGTTGCTGTTGCTTTGGCCTTCTGTGCGCCCGCTCTTGAGAAGCGCTAACGTGGAGCACAACGATGGTTATGTGATGGAAGCCGAAGATCGTGGCGTGCTTCGACTGTGGACTCGTGGTGAAGGCATTGACGAGAACGATGGAACGCAACCAGGTGGCCCTGCCAGTCCTGCTAGGAGCGACGAAAGCGGTGAAGCAGCGGCTGCGACACCGCATGCCGATGGACTTTGGGGCACTGGATTCCCTTCCACGCCTAACAGTGAAGCTCGTCGATCAGAACCATACGGTGCGGGAGGCCTCAAATCGAATGGTGAAGTCGATCTGGACGCGGCCACGATCAATATGCTTTACGACAGCTACATGCGCCATATTCACATCATGCATCCATTCCTCGACAAGCGACGACTGAGGAAGATGTTTGACAACTTCATCAGGCGTTACAGCACTGGCAGGCCTCGAGCAGCATTCGCTGTAGGCAATACCTTCGACTCAGACCAGCGACCGCTCAAACGACAAAGATCGAATGGCTCAACTGCGAACGTGGGCCCTGGATCAGATCACGACGGCAAAAGAGAGCAGACCGAACGATCTCCCGGAAACGCCATCATCTACCTAGTGCTGGCGTTGGGCAAGATATGCATGCATCGCGATCCCCTACCAGCGGTCGTGGCCGACAGTAAACTACAGGCCAATTCGGTCATCTCCCATCAGATCTCGGGCGCTCGTGGTCTCGCAGCCAGCTCACCAGTGTCGACCAACATCAAACCTTCTCCTATGTCGCCAAAGTCGACTTCAACGACGCAGCCGACACCACCGTCAGACGCTGGCACGCGACTTGCCGAGTCACGAAGTCGACGTTCGTCGATGGAAGGCTCACCGAGCGCCATTATGGCTGGACCCAGGAACATGGACGTTATCCCTGGGATTGCGTACTATGCCAAAGCCGCTGAGATCTTGGGTGACCAAGGAGACGGTAACGATCTCGTTCACGCACAGATGTTCCTGTTAGCAGGTCTCTACAAGGGCCAGCTAGCACGTGTTAAGGAAAGCATGAGCTGGATAACGATGGCAGGTCGTGCAATCCTCATTCTCCTCGATCGTTACAAGCTGTACAACGACAACTACTGGACGGCCTACGGCGACGTACGAAGGCAGCATGAAAGTGCGCAGAAGCGTATTAAGGATACGCGACAGAGCCTGATCGTACTTGCCTCGTGGACGTGCCTCCAACTGGAGAGTGACATTCTCGCAGAATTGAGGTTACCGTCCAGTGGGATCCAAACCATTGAGAACCTGCTCCTCATGCCTCACAAGACACCTGAGGACGAGTCGTACAGTGGATTGGAGCCAGATGGTAGACTAGAGGACTACGACAACATCCTCATATACTACACGGCACAGCTGTTCCTGCGACGACGATTGAACCAGGTCCATCGAGAGATGTACGGGCCAGAGTGCTTAAGCCAGCCGTTGTCTGAAGTTCAAGAGATGCTTCTGGGTCATGAGAATATCCTCACTACCTGGAGAAGGGGACTCCCGCCGACTCTGAGATGGAATGATAACGACCCGCCCTCATCGGACATCCTTGCGGCTCGATTGCGTGCGAAATACTACGGGGCCAGGTACATCATCAACAGACCTTTCCTCGATTACGCGCTGCACATAATGCCAGGTCTCCGAGATGGTCATCCAATGGAAGCTGTCGCGAGGGATGGATACGGCAACCCGCGTGACAAGGCTGACATCCATCTCTTCAGGGCCATCGAGAATCTCGGCGAGTCGACAGTATGGGGAGCCGCCAGACGATGTGTGGATGCAGCCATGCACAGTACTATCGCGTTCGACGGAGTGCCAGACCGCCTGATCATCACCAATATCCACGGCACAGCACATGCGTAAGTTCGAGGTTGTCATATGAGCGATTATGATCAATGTAGCTAACCTTGTTTTTAGTCAATTCGGCAACATGCTCGTCCTGTGTGCGACGTTCACGACCAACTACATGAAGCAGATCGTCCAGACCGACAAGTTCCGAGAACGACTGCAAAGGACGATCGGTTTCCTTCGAAAACTAGCACCCATTTCGCCTACATGCGCAGCCGACTGCGGCATCCTCGAGAAGTTCAACAACCTCCTGTTTCCAGTGTCGAGCGAGCAGCCTGACATCTACCACAACGAGGGCGTGGAGCCAATGAGTGCTGCGAACTCCTTTGGCGGACATAGCACATGAACGTGATGCTACCTCATCTCAAGCTCACAAGCACAACTCACAACCTTGACCCCATCAACACTATCCTCACACCAACACCAGCCGGCGGACACCTCCAAATTTCAGCGCTTTGCATCACATCATCGGGCATTTACCTTTTTGGCGTTTTATCACAACATTCACACGTGTGTATCAGCACCCACCGACTACACCACCACCAAACGACTGGGCGCGGCAATCTGTCTTTTTTGAAACTCCCACCATCAGCGACAAGCATTCCAGCATCCGGGGAGGATCGTTTTTCCAGCGTTTTCAGACCCTATTCGCGCGAACATATACCACTTTTTATCACGCCATTGCGTCAGGGGAGGCAACCTTTTTTGAACTCATCGCACCACATTTGTTCGGTCGTTTGCTACTTTTCGCGAATCTATACCAGGAGTATGGATGGATGGAAACAGGGCTCAGGCTGGTGGAATTTTTCATATGGATGAGAATGAGCAAGACGGCCTGTTTCTCGATTTTGGGGGGTTTTTGTTTTTTTCGCGCGCGCTCTTGTCTATCTGTACAGTATATGGGAATGTTCACACAATGGAAAGGAGGTGGAGGAGGGAGAGAAGTAGTAGTATTGGTGGTGGTGGTTGATGGTGAAGGTGAAGATGGGCGAAGCGGCAAGGCCGTGGAGATCGTATACAGCATTGTACCAAAAACATCCAAGCAAAACGGAATGTTCTTCTCACTACTAGAGGCTCTGGCATGTACATTGAACAATATAGAACACGTGCAGACCTAGTGGTTTGGACGTGAACGACGGACGAATCCTGCCTTTCGTCGATCGACCAACCCAATCATCATCTCACAGATCTCTCACTCAGTAGTTCAAAACCCACAAACAAGAAAGAACACCCACCGAGCACCGCATGACACACACCTCTTTCGTTCCTTGGACGTAACATTCTATTCGGAAAACCCGACCATCGCCTTTTTAGCCTTTCCCGCCGGCGTCGAACGCCTAAATCATAATCGAGACAGCTTTGAAGCGAGAGGATCGTTCACGGCTCGGCCGCGGTGCCGCGGGTTCGTCCATCCAATCCATCCCTCCAGAACTGGGTTTTGTTCTTTTCTAGCACCAACGGTCCTTCCAATCTCCTGGGAAATTCGTCGACTTCACCTTGTCTGTTGGCTGGGTTGGATTTTCACATGCAACCGACGGAATGAGTGGGTGGTGTGTCGTCTTGACTCGTGTGAAGTGGATGTGAGTGGGATGTTGTGATGTGTGGCGGTTAGGTTAGACTTAGGGTTCTCTCGAATGCTGGAATAAGCAAATGCCACCGGCGACGGCAGATATACAGTTCTGTATCTGCCGTTGCGACTGAAGGTGTTGGTCTGCCAATTATCATCGCGGGGGGACATGTTTGAAGGACTTGCTCGGGATTTTTAGATGGTGCTCGAGCGCGGGATCATATCTGCTAGTTCGCGGCTCAACCTAGTCGGCATGTGAGAGCTCGTGGTGGTTGTCGTTGGGCAGCAATGGGATTTTCGCGTGGGTTTTTAGACGAGATAATAGGTGCAAGTAGCTTGAGCTGAGTTTACCCGGTCCTTAGGCGTTCCAGTTCTGTGAAGCACGTCAGGAAGAGAAGCATGGGGGTTCTTTGCTTGAGGTTGCGTTTTCGGCTTCGACATGCTATTTTCGTCATGGTCGAGTGCAATGGTGGGTGGTTGTCGCGACGGAGCCACATGACCTCCTCATGTCGCTGCTCGCCGCGATGGGTGGGCCAGGGGCTGGTTGCCGACGAGATCCATCGGATACAAGCACTCGCCATCACAGACGTCGCCGTCATACGCCTGAATGTTCCGTATCAGATCGTAGTACACTCGGATAGCTTCGACATGGTCGCTCATCTGGATCCTCTCATCAATGTCATGGATGCCGAGCCTCGAGCCTTCTCGGCTAGGAGTGAATCGATAAATGTTCCTCGTCAGCTTCCAGTAATGCGCCGTGTCTGAATTGCCCGTCGCGATGCTGCCCACCGGCACGACAGTCTCGACGCCGGGTAGGGTGTCTACAGATTCATAGACTTGACGCAACGTGCCACTGAAAATACTCCACACTTCGTTCTCCGAGTTCGCAGGAGTGATAGGCGATGGCCGCAACAGGTCTTTCGATGCCAGGCGAATGACACCTCCTTCAGTCTGCTCCTCGTCGAATCCAAGACCTGAAACGGCGATGTCGAATTCGTGTACGACGGACGCCACGCGCTGGGCGACTTTGTTGAGTAGCTCCTCCACATCGTCGTGGGTTGAGATGCGATAGTTGACGGTGAGTTCAACTCTGCTAGGGAGCTGGTTATCTTTGCTTCCGCCATGGATGATGTCGACTGCTTGGGACGTCTGAATTTGCCAGCGGATGGCATCACCGCGCGAGTTGACCATCTTCTCGCCCAACTCATGAGCAGAGCCGCCGGATGCCAGCTCTTTACGCAACCAGGGCTCCACATGAGAAGGGGAGTGAACGGCTTCACACTGTAACACGTTTCTCATGGGGTTCGTTTGATCCAGTACGGGGGAGAACGGGTTCTCTTCCAGCGCCTCGACGATCTTGGACATGATACCAATAGAGGTGTGCTTTGGTGGTCTGGAAGAGTGTCCACCGCTCGTCTCCAGCGTGAGAATGATATCAACGAAACCTTTCTCTGCAACAGCTACACCTCAACGTCAGCTAAACCCGCGCTAGGGTCCAAGTGAATGGTGATCACATGCTGATGAGGTCTGTCGGCTGAGGCGGTAAGAGCCCTAAGCACAACAGAACGACCCCAGACACTTATGCAGTGAGGCAGGCCCACAGCCATGGATGATAGAGGCACTTACCAGGCAGCGCATACGCGATGTGTCCAAGCGTCTTGACTCCCATGCCCCCCTCGTCGAACACCATCGCTACGGAGTCGTTCCCCATATTGCGTTCGAGGTGGCGGGAAATCTCTGCAGCACCCTGCGTGCCACCAGTCTCCTCATCGAATCCAAACGCGAGCAAAATGGATCTCCGAGGAGTGTACGCCTGCGCCAAGAGTGCGTCAATTGCGCTCAAGATGCCTATGAGGTTCGATTTGCAGTCGGACGCGCCTCGTCCCCACAGCCATTCGCCATCGAAGTGAGCCTGGAACGGCGGATGAGTCCACTGCCTAGGATCCATCGGTGGCACGACGTCTTGATGTGCCATCAAAAGGATAGGCTTGAGGGAGCGGTCGGTGCCAGGAAGGTAATATAAGAGGCCGTACTTGTTAATCTTCTCCACTTCGACTTGCTGAGCACTATATTCCTCACATGAGTTCGGTCTTCTCGCATTGTAACTCGGTTCGGCTTACATTACTGGAAAGAGTCTTTTCAAGACTGTATGGAGTTCGCCAAACGTTTCCCAACGCATGTCCTCGCCGACTTGGCCATTGTCGTCGTAAGAAATGGTGGAGACATTCACGACCGCCGACAATCGCTCAACCTGTCGATGAAGAACTTCATCGATGGCGAAAAGGATCCTGGAGTCTTCCAGACCATCGTCAGGTGGAGTTAACTTGGGTGATAAAGGACACCATCTTCTAGTCTGATCAGGGGACTGAGGCAGCTCCGCTGCTAGGTCCTCGTCCGTGATCTGTCCATCGTCCGGCAGGCTGTATAACGGGCTATACAGGAGGATGGTAATCAGTACGAACACTAAGCACAAGAATAACAGACATCGTTGCCACGTTATGCATTCCCGCGCCTGCATCGTGTGACGTTGGAAGCGACTCCGTCGTTCAGGCCGGCTGTGTCCCTGTGCGTGAAGTCTAGCCAGCCCCTCACTTTTGGCCCCATTTTTCTCATTTGTCTGTGACATTGCAGCTCGTATTGCATCTTTCTGTACGAGGGGAATTTATTATAGAGCAGATGTTGATGTCGAGAAGGGAGGAGTGTAGTTAGCCCCTTCACGTGGGTGCGAAGCGAGAAGGTGAGGTTAGGTGAGGTGGAGTATAGCATTTGTTGAGGCAGGAACGAACCATCGTGCATACACGCCAAGAGCCGACTGGTGGACAACAGTAAGACCAAACAGATCCGTTCACATGTGAAGACGCTATGCAAGAGGAGTACATTGGTATAACAAGCCATCAAATCATCGCTTCGGCATCCAGAGTCCAATCCCATGATCAAAGAACAAACTCCCAACTTTACTCTTCCTCGCATTCATCCTCCCCTGGTGAACTTTCGCAGGCACAGCAGGAGCCTCCCAAACCCTTTCGTGGTGCATGATCTCAACAGGACTATCGCTTCCCATTTCAGGATTCTCCGGCTCGTTGACTAAACAGCCTGCGTATCGTCGCTTGAAAGAATCGTCCACTTCTTTTCGCAGCATTGAGATTCGATTTCCGAGTCGAGATTGACGGCCCCAGGTTCTTGCGGCTTTGATTTCGCGGCGCCGATTGATTTCTCGATAGAGCAGGACCGTGAGTGCGAGGAGTGAGACGCCCGTGATGAAGATGCAGACGGTGAGTGAGGTTATGAAGGCCGTTCGGGAGGTGATGAGTTCGCCGTCGCTGAGTTTAATGCATGATTCGCCAGTCGCTGTAGGTCGTGCACCCGCGTCGGTCCTAGGTTCGATGTATCTCGTCGACAACATGCTCCAGATACGAGTAGAGGTTGTAAAGGGCGTGCTCGATAGGTGAGATTCGCATGCGCCGTACTGGTGCAGCCCTCGTATCGTTGCGAAAGTAGTGAAGAAGGATTGACAGACCGAATTGGAAAGATTGACCTACCTTCGCGTGACCTCGTCGATGAAATACCACCACATCGAGCGCCTATGCTGCTGTGCGGCGCAGTATTTTGATACAGTCCAGCGACATGCGTGTGACCTGAAACTGTTCTTCTGGAGCCCCGAAGCTCTTGCGAATGTCTCAAACAAGTCAAAGGGAAGTGTCGTGAAGTTAAGCGCTGGCAGTCGGCAGTTTGCGCTGCAACGTGGGTCGTTGTCTATGAATTGCTCGGATGCTTGGTCTTAAATAGCACATAGGCGCCTAAGGAGTTGCGTCCGGCGCTTAGCACATATGACTGGCTGTCAAATGCCGATTTCAAGTTGAATACCACGTGTAATAGAGGCATCGCTTCTATTTTACGCCACACAGCTCGATGGAATCTGGTCGGACGCTGTTGAAAGAACCGATGAGTGAAGCCAGCGACATGTGACTGCCAAGGCTGGATAAGGTCGAGTTTGGGTGTCGTGTTGGTTTACCTAATGCCTGATCAGAGAGTCTTCTTTAATTTTGCAATACGAACGGCATGTCAACTCATTTGCTCCCTGCTGCTGCCTTGCGTCCTTCAATGACTTTCATAATATCGTCGACGTTGTTGGCGTCTCCCTTTCGTTTCTTTCCTTTGCGCTTTTTCTTTGCCTCGCCTTCGTTTTCATCCTCGTCCCAGCCGTCGTCATCAGCGGTGGTGTTGTTCTTCCATTTTGAAAGGCGTGTCTTCTTATCCGCCGCACCCTCTTCATCTTCAAAGCGACTAGATCCGAAACCCATGTCCATATCCTCGAGGTCACGATCTTGCTGGGCCAGCATTTTTGCGTGTTTGGCTGCACGTGCTTCGCGTTCTGCTTTCGACATAGAATCATCGTCATTCTCATTCGTGCCTTTTGCTCCAATCTGAGCCGCTTTTTTGAGGACATTCTCTATGCCCTTGAATCTGTCTTGTTCGGCGTCCTTTGAATCGTTCGCAGCGACTTTGAAATAGTTTCGTTGCGCCGGAGCTGATGGTGGTCCAGTATTTGCATCAGGCTCTGGCTTCTTTTCTACCTGCCCGGTTTCGTAGTTTTCGCCACGGGAAGGCTCAGCTCGATTCTTTGGGCTCTTCTCGTCCACATCCTCGTCAGTCTCATCGTCATCGCTGTCATCTTCCACGTCACCCAAGGGATTATACTCGGTGCCTGCGCCTTCAAAGATATCATCATCGTCTTCCGATTCTGGTTGCTGGATCGGTTGTTCTGGAACAGCCACATCGGCTCCAAGAACTGGCTTACTCGCATCTGGTATATCAGCGGAAGTTTTGGAGTCTGGCACCGAGTCTGCCGCAACTTTTCGAATCTTCTTCTTTACAACCCCATTTTCATCGACACTGATGAGCACTTCCCTTCCTTTGGCGTCGATTTCGATCTTTGGCTTCGCAGGATCACCTATTCTCCGCCACCTGCTATCGAAAGCAGGTGCCGCCGCAGCTTTCGCCTCTGCTGCGGCTTTACGTTGCGCCTTGAGGTCGGCCATGATTTCGTCTCTTGTCCGCTTCACCCCAGCAGTTTGAGATGCTTTCGTGCCCTTCTTCTCAGTCTTCTCTCGTGCGACAGCCTCCACGTCTTTTTCTTCCAATTTATCAAGTTCTTCATCCACGTCTGGCGGCGCAGTCCCATCTTTGCCTGCTCCAAGCCCAAGAACATCTTCGCCTCGTCTCACCCTCTCCAGTAATTTCCTGTCCAATCCCTTCACCAAATGTGTGCTTGACGCATCGCCACCAAGGATCTGGTCGCGAAGAGCTTCGAACGTCTCTTGTGACAGCTGGCCTAGTTTCACCTGTTCTTCCAAAGCACTGATCCGCTTCGCTTTGTCGTCCTCTTCTTCCTCTGCCTCTTGACGCGCCTTCGCACGGTCCGTATATCCTGCCGCAAACTTGCTGCCCTTGGGAGCTGACGATTTGAATTTTTTGGCGGGCTGTAGGGAAGCGTGACGCTCTCTGATCTGTCGTGCGAAGTCTGCGTTGCTCACAGCTTTGCCCGGCCGCGGTGTCATGCCAGCAAAGCTAGACTTCTTCCCACCGAGCGCACGTTGGGCCATTGACTGTTGCGGTGGTGAGCCGTCATCCTGTCGTGCGGCCGTCACCAGCTTCCTGAATTCGTCGTTCTTCATGTTGGCATCAGGTGCAGGAGTGGAAGACCTGCGGTCGCGATAAGGTCGTCTTTAGGCTTGTGGCCCGGTCATTAGCGGCACCAGGGTCGAATTCCGCTAAAGCTGCAATGCAATGTTGTTTGCAAGTTGTGGAAGTCAAAAGCTACCGACGTCGTGGTCTTGAAGCACTCTCGGTGCCGGTTTCTAGACTTCTGGTTCGGCCCGTCAGCCGATCAAAGATCACGTGCTAGTGGAGCCGATGACGGCAAGCCACATTCACTTCAATCCCCAAGATCCCCAAGCTGCTGTTTCACGAGGGAAACATCCTGCTTTCACGTTTCACAGATCCAAAGCATGCGCCATCATGACGCGGAAGAATCGGTGCATGAGTTGGCATCATCACGAGACTTTCCCTTCAAATCCGAATTTACGAGGTCCTAACCAAGACGGGGGCGGCATAGAGGCGGTGGTTTCCTTGGAGACGACCTCCTCCACATCCTCCGTGCGGAGAAGACCTCTTTCTATGCTGCATTGAGCATGCCGTCAAGACTACACCAATCCTGCAGAACGCGAGGTTCCCGTCTTGGTAAGTGAATATATTACTCTCGTAGCCGATCTCATTCCTCGACACTCTCACACGGTGACATCTCTCTTGCAAGATGAACCTCACTTTCGGCTTGACGCTGTTCAGTGGCCTTCTCGGCTTCGCCACTGCTCAGAACAGTAGCTCCAACACATTCACCAACCCAATCGTACCTACAGGCGCGGATCCTTGGGTCACACGCTATGGAGGATACTACTATCTCGTCTACACTACGACCAACAACATCACTCTGTGGCGAAGCCCAGAGCTTACGGATTGGTCGAGTGCAGAGATGAAGGCTGCTTTTCTGCCTCCGGTAAGCCTTGTATACGCTTGAATGCATATCGCTCTCTCACATGAATTAGGAGAACCAACCATACTCGACCGACTTGTGGGCTCCTGAACTGCACAATATCGACGACAAGTGGTACATCATCTTCACCGCCGACCCCAACTCGGATACGCCCCCACGGGAGATCGATATGCTGTGCACTTTTGACTGTCCTGCTGTTAACCACCGCATGTACGTGCTGGAGGGCAGCACTTCTGATCCATGGACAAGCAATTACACCCTCAAGGGTGAGCTCAATGGCGTCAAGGGCCAGATTGACACGTACAACCAATTCGCTATCGATGGGACCTACTTCCAGCATTCGACGGGTCTCTACCATGTGTACTCGTGTTGGTACTCAGCTTATGTCTCTTGGCCGGCTAATCTTTGCATCTCAAAGATGAGCGATCCGTGGACGGTTGAGTCGAATGTCACTGAGCGACAGATTATCTCTGTACCGACGAATCCATGGGAGAAGACGCCGTATGTATAATAAATCCCCTCTAACCATCCTTTGCTTACGAATGTTTGTTTAGGTTCGGTCGAACTGAGAACATCCGTCTCTCATCCAACGAAGGCCCAGAGCAGCTCACAAACAGACAGACCGGACAGCAGTTCATCATCTACAGTGCAGCACGTAGTGACAACAGAAACTACTGCCTCGGCCAGCTCGAACTTGTCGGCGACGACCCCATGAATCCTTCAGACTGGAAAAAGAACAACGAAGGTTGCGTGTTCTATCAGAACCCCCTGGAGAAGGCCTATGGAGTTGGTCACGCCAGCTTCACCACCAGTCCAGATGGTACAGAGGATTGGATTGTGTACCATGGGATGGAGAACCCCTTCATGGGCTGGGGAGCCAGGAATATTCGAGCACAGAGGTTCACATGGAATGATGACGGGACGCCAAATTTCCCTCGGCCAGGATATGGGCCGTACGAGGCCCCTAGCGGACAGAACTCTAGCATGAAGATGTTTTAGTTTGCAGGTTTGCTACTGGCAGTTGAAAAGCGGACGATGTCGTGCAAACTCATATACAACGTCAAAGTTGGCATTGATCTATTACTCTGCGACTTGCTTAAAAGTACCAATCAACTCTGCCCATTCTTCATCTTTCAGGAGTTCACATCGCACTACTCATCTTGGCAGCCATACGCGATCTTGCCGCAGTTGTGTCTCGGTCCATCGTCGCACGGTCTGCGGGCGTGAAGAGGAATGGTTCGCTTGCGGCAGCTACATGTTGTAAAGGCTGTGAATGCAAATAATAGACCTCGCATCAACACGAAGTAAAGAGGGCTGTCTGCAATCGAGAGAACAAGGCCATTGTTCTCATGTCTCATTGGCCCAAGCCCCTGGCAACGATGAACGGCGGGAAGTGGCGTGGATGCGCCGCAACGTCCCTCCAGAGCTTCAACCTCGTTGCAACGTCACTACCTTGCCTCTGCAATTTGGTCGATTTGCTTGCTTGCGGATAGACTGTTACACGATCACACTGGATCCGTCTGTTTGACTTCTCTCTACAGCAAACAGTGGAGCGACTTCATCAGACGGCCTTGGGCTTTCATTCCAGAAGGAATTCTCTTGGAAGCAAGGCCGGCCCCCAACCACAACGGCCTTCATGCAGTCCAGCAGCTAAGCCGCAATTGGGCCCCAGTCCATCACAGGGTTGCAGTCCAGGAGAAACCCCGCCAACGGGTTGGAGATGATACAAAGGCTGAACGCCTCTCTGCCACCAGTACCGCACACTTTGCCTGTTTGTCGCTTGGAATAGAAGGAAGGATATCTTTATCATCAGCGGACCTGCCCATTCTTTCGTTGTTGTGGTCCCAACAGCAATAACAACACCCTAATCATGAGGCTCCTAGCCGTTATCGCGGCGCTTTCGACGACCGCGTTAGCAGTATGGCCTCTGCCTGAAGAATACAAAAGTGGCGACGGCGTGCTTTGGATCGCACGGGATAAAGTCACCGTCACTTATAATGGGCCTGGACATGTGAGCCTTACTTCTCTATTTCGGGACGAGCAGTTACTTAACTATGATGCGCAGCAACCACAGGGCTACGGTAATGGAAACCAGAGCAGTCCTGGTGCTCAACCACCACCTGTCGTCAAAAGCGCGATTCAGAGGACATATGACACGCTTTTCGAGAAGAACTTTGTTCCTTGGAAACTTCGGCCTCGACTTTCGGACTTCGAACCTACGTTGGGTGGTGATTCTACCTATATTCACGAGATTGTCTTGGAGCAGAATGGGCCCGATGCTGGAGGGAATGCGAGCAGTGTCGACGAATCGTATACTTTGGAGGTCACAGAGGCAGGCAAGGTGACCATTTCGGCCAAGTCTTCGGTCGGATTGCTTTACGGTCTTACGACTTTCACTCAACTGTTCTACAAACACACCAATGGCGGCGTATACACGGACAAGGCGCCTGTCTCTGTCACTGATGCGCCCAAATTCAAGTGGCGAGGACTCAACGTGGACACATCTAGGACGTTCAAGCCTCTCGCAGACTTATACCGCACGATCGATGCCATGGCCTTCAACAAGTTCAACAGACTTCATTGGCACATTACTGATGCGCAGTCCTGGCCACTCGAAGTTCCTGCATTGCCAGAACTCGCAGACAAGGGTGTGTATGTCAACTTCCAAAGATACAGCCCCGAAGACATCAAGAAGTTACAAGAATATGGCAAGCTGGTCGGTGTAACCGTGGCGATGGAAATCGACAACCCAGGCCACACCTCCTCCATCTGGTTCTCCCACCCAGATCTCATCGCCGCCTTCAACAAACAACCCGACTGGACGACCTACTGCGCCGAGCCACCATGCGGAAGCCTCAAACTGAACTCCACCAAGGTATACGATTTCTTGGAGAAACTCCTGGATGACTTGCTCCCGCGACTCAAACCCTACACGCCCTACTTCCATCTCGGCGGCGACGAAGTCAACATGAACACCTACCTCCTCGACGACACGGTCCGCTCCAACGCCTCCTCCGTCCTGCAACCTCTCATGCAGAAGTACATGGACCGCAACATGCACCAAGTCACGCAAACCTACGACCTCACCCCGCTCGTCTGGGAAGAAATGCTGCTCGAATGGAACCTCACCCTCCCCCACAACACCATCATCCAAACCTGGCAGAGCACCGAAGCCGTCATCAACTCCGTCCAGAAAGGCTTCCAGACCCTCGTTGGAAACTACAATTACTGGTACTTGGATTGCGGCAAGGGCCAATGGTTGGATTTCTACCCCTCGAACGCGGCGGAGTACTGGCCGTTCAATGATTACTGCGCGCCCGTGCACAATTGGAGAGTCATGTATTCCTTGGATCCCCTCGAAGGCGTGCCGGAGAATCTCACGCATTTGGTTATCGGTGGCGAGGCGCATATCTGGAGCGAGCAGACGGACACAGTCAACTTGGATAAAATGGTGAGATGCCCATATCCTTCCTCCTGTCTAGAATTGAATCGTTTGCTGACATGTGAGATTTTTAAGATCTGGCCCCGTCTCTGCGCCGCAGGAGAGATTCTCTGGAGTGGCGCGAAAGATGCTTCTGGACAGAATCGTTCGCAGATCGAGGCGTCTCCTCGTCTGGCGGAGATGCGTGAGCGGCTTGTTGCGAGAGGGGTGGCTGCTGAGCCGATTCAGATGCCGTTCTGTACGCAGAATGGGACGCAGTGCGCGTATCCTCCATCAGGGTGAGCGTTTTGCTTCTGACTTACGGGAGAACATTGATGGGGACTTGAAATAGTGAGCTTTCTTGCATATAATATATGACTCCATCATTGATCAATATCTTGCCTTTCCTGGGTATCTTCCGGCTCCTGTCGGCCTCGTTGCCCATGTACACCACAAACTCCCGCTACTCCGTTAATAGATCTCTACAGTTTTGAACCATCGTCGTCCTTCCTCGTGTCCTCAGCCGTCTTTGAGCCTTCCGCCGGAGTGAAGCTATCGACTCTCGGACCGCCGATGAACACATGACCCAGACCCTCCTTCTCCTCCTTAGCAGCCTTCGTCACGCTCGACTCGACCTTCTCCGACACACCCTTCGGTAAGTTCTCATTCCTCACCTTCTCCTCATGCCACTTGGACAGATTCAGCGTCTCGTCGACTTCCCTGGTCAACTTGTCCACCTCATCCTCAAGCGCCTCGTCTCTCGTCTTCTTTTCCGCTTCCTTCTGCTTGCCCAAATCAAAAGAAGCCTTCGGCGCCGTCTCCGCCCACAGAGCCTCGAGCTCATCCCGCCACCCCAGGGCATCGCAAAGCCTTCGCACCCCATCGTCACAGTCCCCAAGAACTAGAACGTCGTCCGGCCGTCCTCCCAGCCCACCCACCCGCTCCTTATTGAGCAAAATCCTCGGCGTACCGTCCTGCACCATCCCGGGCAAACTCGCAAACGGCTGCACAGTCAAACTCGTCCCAATCACAATCGCCAGATTCGACTCCGCAGGGAGGTCTCTCGCCCTGAAAAACTCCGCGGGAAGCTGCTCGCCGAAAAACACAATCTCCGGCTTCACCAGCCCTTGACAACTATGACACCTCGGAATCGTCTTCGCCTCGATGTGCGCCTTCATCTCCTCTTCGGTATAGGGCGCTCTGCACTCGATACAGCTCTGCCGCGCGAACGAGCCGTGCGCCTCGATGATTTTGTCGTCCGGGACGCCGGCTTCGCGCTCGAGACAGTCGATGTTTTGCGTGAAGAGTTTGAGGAGGAGGCCCTTGTCGTGGAGGAGTTTGACGAAGGAGTGCGTGATGGTTGGTCGGTATTTGCCCGGGTAGAGCTCGTGGGCTAATGTGTAGAACGGCTCAGGCTTCTCTCTGAAGTAGCTGATATCGAACACCGCCTCTGCGTAGGGGAGGTTCAGTCGCGCGAGGTTTGCGTAGAGGCCTGTCTCTGGGGACCGGAAATCTGGGATTCCGGCTGAGGTGCTGATGCCCGCGCCGGTCATGACTACGATCTTGTCTGCGGCGCCGGACTTGATGTAGTCGGCCACGGCCTCGATTGTGCGGTTTGTGAGAGTAGCAGGTGGGACGGAGTCGTCAACGACGGAGCTCTCTTCGTTGCCCATGTTGAAGAACTGGCCGATGGGGTGACGGTTGCGGCCGGGTTTGTGGGAGCCCTTTTGGCTGCGGTGGGGTTTGTGTTTGCGACCTATGGTGGCGAGGAGGGAGTGGAGGAAGTTGATTTTGATGGTGGTGGTGTGGTGTGATGTCGGGGGTCCTATGGAGTGTAACCAAGCTGGGTCCTGTGTTTCAGGTGTGGATTGATTGCCAGTGAGACAGGTAGTGTCTTGGTAGGGCGATCGCAAACAGAGACAAGTATTGGTATGCGGCCACAATTCAGCCCTTTCGGAGCAAGTTGCCGAAGAGTGTCGTCCAGGAATAGACTCTTAGTCACGGTCGTTCAAAGATTGGCTGAAATGTCCAGATTTCCGTAAGTCGCAAGTAGAAAAGGAGTGGGTCACGAAATGCCAGCACAGTGTGCAGTTGTTTCGAGCTCGTCCAAAAATCTTGCCGTGGCTCCAGTCTGGACTGGAGCTCTGACACTGACGTCACACACTTCGTTCCCCCGCCACTTCCAACATTCACTTACCGCTGATCGCACGTGGATGATTTAAGCTTAAGATAGTCCCGCCTGTGCACGTTTTCGATCGACAACTAGACTGTTCACTACACTCCTACTCCTACGGGATTCCCACTTCTAAACTCAACAACCATGACATCCCAAACAGGCACCGGCTTCCTCAAGTTCAACAGGTACGCCCCGTCCCCTTTTGCACTCGTCCACCCTCTCTAAGGATAAGGACTCAAGCCTTCCCCCAAGACTCCACCTCACCGCCGACGACGACGACTTCGACCCCACCCTCCTCGCCCACTTCCACTCCGAAGGCTACGACGTAACCTACCTCCCCCTGGGCGCCGGCGGAAAACCCTACCGCAACGAACTCGCCCACCTCGCCGACGACCTCGAACTCGGCGAGTCCTACGCCATCGTCGCCTTCGGCCACGCCGCGGCCGAGTGTCTGGACTTCCACATCAAGCCGCAGCCGAAACTCGCCGCGCTCGTCGCGTACTACCCCTCGTCCATCCCGAACCCCAAGACGAAGTACCCGCCGCATTTGGAGGTCTTGTGCCATATCGCCGGCACGCAGGGGTTCGCGCCGGCGTTTCCGAGTTTTACGTATCGGGGCGCGGAGCCTGGGTTTGCGGAGCATGATTTGGAGACGTTTGATAAGGTGGCGGCGGGGTTGGCGTGGAGTCGGACGTTGGGGTTGGTGAGGAAGGGGTTTAAGTTGGTGGGGGAGATTGATCTGGTGCCGGTGAGGGAGAGGCATACGGCGAGTGTCTATGCGAGGAGAGATGCGGAGGGGGCGTTGAGTGGGATGACGGAGGATGCGTATGTGAATAATGTGGCGACGATGACGGGTGGTATTGGCCAGAGGGAGTTGTTGTCTTTCTACAGAGACTACTTCATCCCGCAGAATCCGCCTTCGCTCAACATGAAGCTCGTCAGTCGGACGGCGGGCGTCGACAGAGTGGTCGACGAGTTCATCGTCTCGTTCAAACACACACAGGTCGTGGACTGGATTCTTCCCGGTGTCCAGCCGACCAACAAGCAAGTGCACGTCGCAGTCGTGAGCATCGTCTGCGTGCGTGGCGGGAAACTCTGTCATGAGCACGTGTACTGGGATCAAGCGTCGGTGTTGGTGCAGGTTGGCTTGCTGGATCCAAAGTTGGTCCCGGAGTCGTTCAAGAAACAGGGACTTAAGCGCTTGCCGGTTTATGGGAGCGAGACGGCGAGCAAGATACTGGATGAGGAAATCCAGCCTAGCAACGCGCTCATTGCTAGTTGGAACGACAAGGCATCGGGAAAGGGGAAGCAGCTCCCAAACAGACCCAAGCCGGCCGCCAACGGAGGGCAGGCTAGTGATACGTGAACAGCAGCTCAGCCGACAAAGTGGCAAGTCGGGAGACGATACTCCGGCACGACCCAGTACGGACGCCGAATACCATCCCATGACTTGGCAAGGTCTGGAACTTGAAGCGTCGTCCAGTCGACATCCAAGCCGGCATCGAAAAGGTCCAGTTCGACGACCTGACAAAATGTTAGCGACGATCGATCAACTAATGTGTAATGATGGACGCCTACCTTGGTGTAGACGTCGTAGCAGACCTGTCGATCAGCCCCAAGGCCGTTGTAGAAGCCGAATTTACCGCTGCTATCAAGCAGTGCAATGACATGCTCGGTGAAGAGCTCCTTCAGATCCTTGTAATCTTCAGCATACGTGTCGTAGTAGATGGCATCCAGTACAACTCCCTGCTCGACCAGCTTAGGTAGCACGTCCTGCCACCTGCCTTCATGGACAGTCACATTGGGCTTGTCGTACCAGCCGGTCTCGCGCATATGCTGCATGACTTCCGGGTGTGCTTCGATGATGTGGTGCATCTCAGGGTCGTTTTCGAGGAACATTCTGTCGACGATACCCATGCCATGGCCGATGTTCATGGTGCGAAGACTTTTCTTTGGGCAGAGCTGGTCTGCAGATGCCTTCATAATCTCCGTCTCCCAGTCCATCATCACGGCGTTCTTGTCAGAATCAAGGAGGCGGCCTTCAGAGTATGTCAACTTTGAGCGGAGGTAATCTTCGCTGTTGACGTTCGGGTTGGCAAGTCCCGACTCAGCAGTCTTCTCCTCGCCAGTGTCGTCGGTCTGGGCGATTTGCGGAACGCTCGAGTCGGTTCCATTTAGTGCGCCTTCAGCGGCATCATCGACTTTGTATGAGGGGTTCGGCGTGGGCTCGAAACCCTCGACGTGTGGTACTCCATTGCTCGTGCCATTCGAGGTTGGCTTGTTGCCAGTAGGTCCACTAGGCATAGGGTCGAAGCCGACTATCGCCTCATCATCGTGGCCATCTTCTTCCTCCTCATCGTTGTCACCCAGCGGCTCGTATTCGTCCAGCCTCCCGAATAGCAGTTCTGCCCGCACACCGGCAGAAACGATCGCATCATACACCCTCTTCAAGCCCAGACGCAATGCGATACAGCCTGGCGTCTCGTCATTGTTGTCGAGCTCATTCCAGATTGCACCGTTCTCGAAAAGTAGGTTCACAGTGGCCAGTGCGGAGTCTTCGGACAGAGCGTTGCTATGAACAGCGTCGCCCTCTGCGTTGACATCTTCGGTGAGGTCGGAGTCAGGCTCGCACGAGGCAATGGCAGCGTGCAGGGGCGAGAAACCCGTCTCCGGATCCTGGATGCGTGCAGTGCCGCCTTTGCGAAAGAGGAGATTGAGAGCTTCGAGGTCGTGGTTGGTGGCTGCGAGAAGAATTTCGTCGTTGGTGGTGTCGGTGTCGATGGCCATTGCGGGGTCCGATTGTGCCAGAGCTGCTGCAGCGGCTGCCATGACTGCGGTTCAATCGTGTGAAGAAGTGTGACAGTCTTTGCAGCAGGTGGGCGGAGAGAAGACAGCAATATGGAGGCCGTGTTGGAGGTGGAACTTTTTTTGAACACACAAAAGAAGGAAGTGCGGGTGCGGGGCCGAAGAAAAGGCTCGAGGAAGGCGCTACGGTAGCGCCCTCCTCAGGCCTTCGACCCTGCGTTTCATCGTCAGCATACACGTTTCAGCAGCTCGATACTTGGAAGTCTTCCCAGTTGCTGCGTCCGCGATTCGTGGACTGTCGATGCGGTTGCCGACGATTGCGTGTCTATATAGAGACAAGACATTTGATATCAGAACTCTCAAAATACACTCCATCCCATATTTCCAACTCCAGTCCATTCACTCACAATGCCAAGGCCATGCCGTCATTGGCCAGCGCGTCTTCCTCAGCGCCTCAAACTGGCGAGCATCGCGCAATGGGGAATATGACGTTGGCCTCCCTGCGCCGCGCCTTGCATGTGATGTATTGAAAACGCTGCATGTATACCACTCCTCACATCTGTGCATTCCATCTCCACCTGCCGCATCTCTCCGCTCTCCAAACTCTGGTCCAGCTGCAGGAACGACTGGACAATCCTTGACACTGCGCGCATATCAAATGCCATGAGCGACACCACCGCATCCCACAACGACCGCCCGCCTATACGCACCTACGATACCCTCGATGCCGCCCAGTTGACGGGCTCTCTCAGCCGTGATAGAATAGCTGCGCTCCGCCCCGATAACTCATCCGAAAATGCCAACGGACATACACGGTCAGCGAAGCCGCCTGTTGGCCAAGACTTCCATAATGCTGGCGTCGGATCCTCGGAGGTGTCAGCTACCGCGAACACACCAGACGACTCGGATGAGGCCATTGAAAACTATGACGATCTCGAAATCGACCCGGACACCCTCATCGTCAACTCGAGAAAGAGCATGGATGACAGCTATCGCCCGAGTGGCAGCATGAACGGGGGAGAAAAGCTGGATGGCCGACGAGAGTCTGAGCCTTCGTCAGCGCCTGGTCGTCACAGGAAGAGGAATAGTATTCAAATTCGCTTGGAGAAGACCGACAAGAAGGGACGCTACATCTTGACTGCCGACGATCCCGAGATCAAAGACATCTTGCAGAAGGGCATCGCGAAGGAAGAGGCAGAGGCCGCTGGCAAGAAGCCTCGCATCCGGTTCAGAGATCTGGTCTTCACGCGACAGTTCACTACGTTCGATCGCCAGAATCCTGCCAGTGCTGAGAGCCCTTTCTTTGGCTTCTTCACGCTGTTCTGGATATGCATGCTCCTCATCTTCTTCCAACTGGCGATGCGCAACTATCGCGATTATGGCAGCATTCTGGGGAGAAACCAAGTCATGAGAATGATGTTCAGTCGAGATGTGGTGGTGCTGGGTCTGACTGATGGTGTCATGTGCGCTGCGACGTTCGAGGGCGTGCTCTTTCAAAAGCTGATCAGACATGGCTATATCAACTGGGCGAAATCAGGCTGGATCATTCAAAACATCTGGCAGACAGCATATCTCGGATCGGTGATAGGATGGGCATACTTCAGGGAGTGGCCTTGGACGCATACCATCTTTGCCGTGTTGCACGGACTAGTGTTTCTGATGAAGCAGCACAGCTACGCATTCTACAACGGCTACCTATCTGGCGTCTACCGCCGAAGAGCGTTGTTGCAACGGAAGCTTGAACAACTGGAGACTATCGATCCCATAAACTCGGCTCCCAACAGCCCATCCAGCCCTCGAGGGTCATTCCAGGCAGACGCCCTGACTACGGGAGCAGACCTCAACGATACAGGTCTATCGAAGCGTCGCCCCTCAATGGGTATTCGCACTTCTACCAACTTCACCAAAGAAAAGTCCCGCGTGGCCGACGTCGCCGCAGCCATCGAATCCGGCTCCTCAATCGACACCGACCAAATGGCCACCTTCTCCAGCATCATCCACACCGAAATCACCGAACTCACCAAAGAACTCCAAGGCAAATCCTCCTCCCCCTCAAAAGCCTACCCCAACAACCTCACCTTCTCCAACTTCGCCGACTACATCTGCCTCCCGACCCTCGTCTACGAACTCGAATACCCGCGCCAAGAAAAGACCAACTGGTGGTACGTCCTCGAGAAAACCGCCGCGACCTTCGGCGTCCTCTGCGTCATGCAAGTCGTCTCGCAAGGCTACATCTACCCGCTCGTGGCCAAAACCATGCGCATGAAAGAGCAAGGCATGACGCTCGAGCAGCGCTGGGAGGAATTCCCCTTCATCGTCTCAGACCTGCTCTTCCCGATGCTCATCGAGCAACTGCTCACCTGGTACCTGATCTGGGAATGCATCCTGAATGTCCTCGCCGAGGTGACGCGCTTCGCCGACCGCGGCTTCTACGGCGACTGGTGGAACAGCATCACCTGGGACCAGTACGCGCGCGACTGGAACCGTCCCGTGCACAACTTCCTGCTCCGCCACGTCTACCACTCCACCATCTCCACCTTCCACCTCAGCAAGACGGCCGCGACGTTTGTGACGTTTCTGCTGAGCGCGCTGGTGCACGAGATGTGCATGGCGTTGATCTTCAAGAAGGTCCGCGGGTATCTGTTTTGGTTGCAGTTGACGCAGATGCCGTTGGTGATGTTTTCGCGGAGTAAGTTGATGAAGGGGCGGGTGGTGTTGGGGAATACCATGTTTTGGATGGGGTTGTTTATTGGGCCGAGTTTGTTGACGAGTTTGTATTTGGTTGTATAGATGGAATGAGAAAGTGTATTGATGTGTGTTGGATTAGATGTAGTTTAGTAGTAGGTGGGCTGTATGATGAGAGAAGGGTTTCGAGAAAAGCTCTGTTGAGTGCTGTACCACCATAAACTTTTCACCTCATCTATTCTTTTACAATATGTCTCTATCAATCAAACGTAATCTTAGTCGCCGTCTTCGCATCAGACGTGTCCTTGAAGAACGCGCCGTAGGCATCATGGCCCTTCTTCTTGACTGTCGTTCCAAACTTCATCAGCTCCTCTGGCACAGGCTGATCAGCTTTCTTGAGAACATTGATCAAAGCGCCCGCGAGACCTTTCTCGTTCTGAGTGAAAAATGTGATGGCTCGGCCGTCTTGGCCAGCTCGACCGGTTCTAGAAGTAGACTTAGTATGTGAACATTTGGCTGTGGCTGGGTGAGTTTGCATACCTTCCAATACGATGAACATAGTCTTCCACAGTCAGGGGGAAGGTGACGTTGATCACAACCTTCACGGCTGGGATATCCAGTCCTCGAGCAGCGACATCTGTAGCTACGAGACACGGCACCTCGCCGTTCTTGAACGCTTCCAGACTCTCCATGCGTTTTTGCTGGCTAAGATCGCCGTGGATGCCGGCTACTGGGAAGCCTCTCCGTCGGATGGATTCTTCAACACGCGTGGCTTCCTTCTTGTATAGACAGAAGACGAGGATGCGATCCTTCTTGTTTTTGCCGGATTGGTACTGTCTGAGGACGTCGAAGAGACGGGACTGCTTCTGCATCTCTTCGATGACTTCGACTTCCTGCACGATTCTAGTGTTGGCGCGAAGTTCGCCGGATGCGTTGTCGCCGATGGTGATCCTGACTGGGTTTCGCAGGAACTCGGAAGCCAGCTTGCGGACGGATTCGGGCCATGTTGCGGTGAACATGAGGGTTTGTCTGTCCTTGCCGTCTGCGGCTGCTGTGATGATCTTCCTGATGTCTTGCTCGAATCCAGTGTCGAGCATGCGGTCTGCTTCGTCGAGGACGAGGTATTTTGTGTTTGAGAGATCGATGGTGCCGTCGCCGATGAAGTCGTTCAATCTTCCGGGTGTGGCTACCACGATGTGTGCACCTTTGAGAGCTTGTCGCTGATCGTCCTTGCTCATACCACCGTAAACGCACGTTGCTTTGAGACCCTTGGGTTTGGCGAGCTTGGTCATTTGCTCCTGGATCTGCAGAGCCAGTTCTCTCGTAGGGCTGACAATGCACACTTGAATGCGCTTGACGTCCTTCTTCAAACGGTTTATGCAAGGTACACCGAACGCGAAGGTCTTTCCCGATCCAGTCTCCGCGACACCGATCATGTCCCTGCCGTTCAGTAGGTATGGCCACGAAGCGGCTTGGATGGGCGTAGGGGTGCTGAAGCCTGAGAAGTATGCTTTTCGCGTCTCCTTGTCAAAGGGTAGGCTGTCGAACGAAAGCACTGGACCAAGAGCTTCCTTCAGCGGATCTTCCACCGCGATTTGCTTTTCCTTGTAGTATGCATCTCCTTCTGCCTTGCTCACGCCGGTCACTGTCTTTCCGTTGTTCTTCGACACATCCACATCTTCCTCTTCAGTCGCGGCACCGTTCGCTTTGGCAGCCTTCTTGGCGGCCTTCTCAGCCCTCTTGCGCGCCTTTTTCTCTGCTTTCGCAGCGGCGTCTTCGTCTTCCACGCCATCTGCAACATTCTCGGCCGCCTCTTCTGCTGAAGCAGCTTTTGCGGCCTCCTTCTTGGCACGCTTGAGCGCCTTCCTTTCCTCCTTCGACAGACTATCCGATCTCACTGTCGCATCGACCTCAGCAGGTGTAGTCGAGGGAGACTCGGTCGCGCCATTCTCAACAAGCTTTGCCTTCTTCTCCTTCTTTTCCTTCTTGTCCTTCTTGACTTTTTGCTTCTTGCTGCTGAGTTCTGTCACCTCTGAGGCAGCCTCAGCCTCGTCTCTCGATCTTTTGCCCATCTTGGTGGTTAGTGTCTGGGGAAGACTTGAGCCTCGAACTTTTCGAGATTTCTCAAAATAAAAAAGTGGGTCTCGCTTGATCTCAAACCGAGGCACTGGCAGATCTTCCGCACCTCACCTCTCCAACTTGGAACGGGCAAAACATGCAAAGAGTGTCACCAAGTGCCTGGACTCTCAAATCTTGCGTTGATTTGCTGCGCTTGACCTCGTTTGCAGATGGAGGTCAGCATTGAGGCTCCCTCGTATTACGAAAGAACGTTGGGCAACGCCACAGTTGCTTGGACATGCCGCGAGGACGGACGATCAACCTTCTGGCGGCCAAGTCGATGCTCTCTTCAGTCTTCTGATGTTCGAGGAAGAAGATAGCAGATATCTGAAAGCATACCATGGATCCCGATCGCCCATCTGAGCCGCCAATGCAGTCTGGCAATCATGTCACCTACGCAGACGATCAGGATGGTCCTCCGGCATCCAAGAGGCCCAGATCTTCGATGTCCAAGTCGATCCCGAGTCGCACAATCACTCAGGACTTCGTGGCGAGCGATAACTCACAAGATGCTTGGAACTCTGACCCGTTGGATTACCCAAGGCGACGCGCAACAATCGCCTGCGAAGTATGTCGGTCCCGGAAATCAAGATGTAATGGAGCCAGGCCGAAATGCAAGTTGTGCACAGAATTGAATGCAGAATGCGTCTACCGAGAGCCTGGTGTCAAGCTGGATGCCGGGGACAAGCTCATTCTTGAACGTTTGGCGCATATCGAAGGCCTGTTACAGTCGAATCTGCTGGAGTCTGGGCACCCTCCCGCAGCTCGTTTCGATCCTACTTCACCGGCGACGAGCCACACTGCATCCGATGCGGATATTCATTCAAAGCGGTTGAGCGCCTCTGTGAGCTCGGTGCCTATGAGCGGAATGGGAATATCGATGGCAACCAACATCTCCACCATGCCCAAAGCACACACCACGCCTGCGTTACATCTCCTTCAATGGCCTGTTATCCGCGACCTGGTCTCAAAACCCTGCGATCCCTCAGTCCTCCTTCAACTGGAAATGACACGAGCACCTTTGGATATTCAGCATCCCTATACGCTGGATCTGGGCGAAGGCGTGCAAGCATATGCTCGTGCGTTCTTCGACAAGGTCAACGTTTGGTACGCATGTGTGAGCCCGCATTCGTGGCATGACTATTTCAGGACTGCTTCGAATTTGTCGTTTCGATCAGGAGCTGAGAGCTGCGTGGTTCTCCTCGTTTTGGCGCTAGGACAAGCAGCGTACGACGGTCATAGCATCTCCCGCTTGCGTGAAGGTCAGCCAGTACCAGGTATGGACTACTTCAGTGCAGCGTGGACATTATTGCCCAGTCTCATGGTTCGCAACGATATCATCTCAGCGCAGTGTCACATCCTCGCAGCAGCGTATCTGCTCTACATCGTTCGTCCTCTGGAAGCGTGGAACATGCTCTGCAACGCTTCGATGTAAGATCAAAACAATCATTTACCACGCTTGTGATGGCGATACTGACTTGAATCTTCAGGAAACTCCAACTCAACCTCTCCTCCCCGACCACAATTCCCCCACCCCTCAAAGAACTCAGCGAAAGAATCTACTGGAACACCCTAATGATCGAATCCGACCTCCTCGCCGAACTCGACCTCCCCCACTCCGGCATCGTCTCCTTCGAAGAATCCATGCGCCTCCCCCGCAGCTTCCCCACCACCATAACCACCCCGAACGACCCCTCCTCACCCTCCTCCCCACCCCCAGGCCCCGACGACATCTGGTACTTCCTCGCGGAAATCGCCCTCCGCCGCCTCCTCAACCGCGTCTCCCACACCCTCTACTCGCACAAACGCCACCCCCTCACAACCCTCGACCCCATCGTCTCCGAACTCGACTACCAACTAACCCAATGGTACGAAAACCTCCCTGCTCCCATCCGCTTTCCCCGCGACCGCCTCCCGGCGCAAAACCCCATCCAAACCGTCCTCCGCCTGCGCTACTTCGCCTGCCGCACCATCATCTTCCGGCCCTACATCCAAGCGGTGCTCCAGGACGAACACCTCGCGACCACCGAGCCCGCCGTGCAGGCCGCGTGTGGGAAGTGTCTGGATGCGTGTGTGAGGCAGGTCGAGAACCTCGCGGCGCATCGCGAGGGGCATTTGCCGTATCTGTGGCAGGGCGTGTTGTCGATTACGAGTCAGACGCTGTTGCTCATGGGGGCGACGCTGGCGCCGGTGTTGGCCGGGTTGCTCCCTCCGAAGCAGCGGCTGGATGCCGTTTTCAAGGAGGTGATTGTCGAGGTCGAGGGCTTGGAGCATTTGGCGCCGAGTTTGAGGCTTTGTGGGGAGATTATTCGGGAGGCGGAGGAGAGGAGGAGGGTGTTGCTGCAGCGGCCGAGATGAATCGATAGACGAAGCGTACGATGTGGTGTGTGCTGGCATGGTATATTACATTCCACGTGAAACATCTACATGCTACGAAGTGCAAGAGGTCTTCTGAGTCTCATCCTCGCATAAAGCATGACCGCAATCACAACGACCTTGGAGCTATTTTCCGCCCGCACGCTCGTCCCTCTCGACCAGAAGAACGCCAAACTCACAAATCACGAACATCATTCATGCACTAGACAAACAAGCTCTCATCGCTCAGCTTGTACTGCTTGATGATGTCTGCCAGCTTCCTCGCCTCGCGCGAATAGTCGAGGGGATTGGCGTACTGTACTTGATAGCGGACCCTGGAGTACATCTGTCAGTAAGAGAAGGAGAAAAGATTAGGGTAAACACACCTCTGCTGGTCCTGGAAGGTGTCCATCTTCGCCTTGCACCGCCAAATCATAGTCTTGCAAGTCGCATCGCCAAAAGCATCGTTGACGCTCTTCTCATCGCCGCCCTCCTTCATGGCCATAATCTCATTCGCCGGCACGCCCATGATCTTCTCCGCAGCTTCGTTGAAGCAGCTCAGCCACAGCTGGCCGGTGTGGTCGCTCACGTTTACCGACATGATATATCGGTACAACGGTGCGGGATAGCTCTTCTCGCATTTCTCACAACGCCACTGGCCATCCGTATCCTCGTTGACCTTCTTGTTGCAGGGAGGATCTAGCTTTGGGCAGGCTGGGTATGCAAAGTTCTCTGACTTGATGTAGACGACTGTAGCCTTGATGCTGAACCAGTCGGTCTCGGCTGACATGCCTAGCTGTTCGTCGAGGACGGATTTGATCGTCTTGGTCTCGTTCTTGCCACCAGAGGTTGCGCCGGCAGTGGCCATGGTGTTGGCGTGGGAAGCGAACTGTTCGGTGCGACCACTGCCGTCGTACCAGCCCTTGAGTTTGTATGCCTCCTCGATGTCCGGGTTGACATTCATGCTGCCACTTGAGAGAAGAGAAAGGGATCGACCACCAAAGTCAGAGACCTTGACACCCTTGAACGCTACGATCGACTCCGGTTGAGCGTCAAAGCTCTCTGCAGTCTTGCCCCAGATGGTGAGACGGACACTGTAGCCGGTGTCGTCCACGAGCGTGAGTTCACGCTTGCTGTACGGCTTGGAGGTAGTCTTGGAGACGATCTCAGAGACCTCACCCACGTCCTGCAGAACGCCAATCATGTCCGTAGTTGAGTCCTTCTCGATATTCTGGAGCGCGGCAATAGTGGTGAAGTTATAACGCACTTGCGGAACTCCGTCATTGTCTTCGGCCTTCTCAACTTGTGTGTCCTTCTCAAATGTGAGCTCGTAGTCGTTGTTCAGGTTGGAGAACTGCTTCTTGGCGAGCTGGACTCTGCACGGGCTGGAAATGTAGTAGACGTTGCCTTCTTGCAGGACTTCGTACCATTGGTCGACCGCATCGTTGAACATGGTGGCACGAATCTCGCCAGAGTCATCGAGGAAGTTGGCACTGAACAGCTTGCCCTCTCCGTTCTTGTTGTGCCAAGTCTTGATATCGCCTTTTGAAGTGCATCGCGCTTTGATGGTCCACTTGTGAGTATATGGAGAGATCGCTTCGATGGGTGTGATGTTGGCCTGCATGCCGCTGTTCGAAGCACCGTTCGGTCGTGATGGCAAAGCTCTCTGCTGCTGTTGTTGCTGAGGCTTGTTGCCGTAGAAGTTGTTTCCTGCGATGTTTCCAGGCTGTGGCTTCACGTCTTGCTGGGCTTCTGGCTTTGGGCTTTCGAGCGCCACCGGCTGACCAAGCTTGTCCGGCTCTCCATACTCTTCCAATACGTCCAGCTCGACGATGATCAGGATGTGCTTGTCTTTGACGAAGTTTGCGGTGTATTGGGTGAGGCGGCAAATGCTACCCTTCTTCAGGCGGTTCTCGTTGATGAGGTAGTTTGATTCTGTGACATGGTCAGGACTTGCCAATAAGCCTCGCTTCTTCACAATACTTACGCTGTGCAATCATGCCCTGGATGAAGTTGACGGTATCGTTGAAGACCACTCGCCATCGCTCTGTCCCATTTTGCCCTTGAGCCATGGGCTTGATCTGAACGCACTGCAGGATGGGGCTGTCGACATGTTGGCCCCCAGTGATGCTACGCAGAGCGCCGTGACTGATGGCGTTGAAGGGGTCTCCCATGTTGTCGTCGCTGCTGTCGGGTGTGAGGATGGAAGGACTGCTCGGCGGCGATCGTGGGGCTGTTGTTTGCTGTGGACGGGACGCGCTTTCCACGCGTCGTAAAGTGGTGGTCACTAGCGTGCCACGGGCCGACGCTTCCGAAGTCATTTTTCACGTGACTTCTCCACAGGCGAACAAGACTTCTTTCACTTTTCTGCTGCTGGAGTACCTTCGAATCAACATATAAAGAAATCAATGTCACTCACACTACCAGCACGAGGTTTGTTAATAAAGTCGTAGCGGGCCATGCACTGCAATGTGGTGGCAGATATGAGTTGATTCGATGACAATGAGTCTTCCGCCATCTGCTGCCTTGACAGCTCCGTCTTGCAGGCTCCGAGCCTATGAACGTCAAGGGGCCGTGGAGAACATCGCCTCCTTCTTGCTACCAACCTCCTTAAGCCTTGAACCTCTCACATCCCCTCTTCACGAATCTGAACGGCACTTTTCCTTTCCTCATCTGCAGCGTGATAATCGTCATCATCCCATTCTCAAGCAAGTCCTTCGCCCTCTCATTTGCCTTATTCCACGCCTCCTGCCTCAGTTCCGGAGTCGCAGTTTTGAACTCCTCATCCGAGAGATACTCGCTGACATCAAGCTCCACGGTCCACGTCTTGAAGACGATGGCAAGAACAGCGAGGATTTCCACCTGGGCGAACCTGCGCCCGAGACACGATCGATACCCTTCGCTGAATGGTACATAAGATCCCTTTGGAGGGCGGAAGGGTGAGGCTGCAGTATCGGGTCGCTTGTCAGGACCGTCAAAGTCGAGGCCTTCCTCTTCCTCATAGGTGTTGGCTTCTGAGTTGGAGTTCTCCTTCGATGGGTCGAGCAACCAGCGTTCGGGTCTGAAATCCACGAGGTCCTCCTCTGAAGTGTGAGACCAGTATTTCGGGTTGCGGTGCGTTGCAGCTGTGGCAAGGGTAACATAGCACGAGCCTGGAACGGTGATATTCCGTCCCTCATAAATCAAACCCTGCGGTTGATCCTTGGGCGTCGTCTTGGGAATCCCAATGACCGGAGGAAGGATCCTCAACTGTTCATTCATCACGGCTCCGCCCATGCTGCCGAACAGGCGAGGCATATCCCTGTCGTAGTCCCACTCAGTTGCTGGTTTGTCGCCCAGAATCGAATCCAAGTCCTCCTGCAATCGTTTCTGCGATTTCATGTGCATGGCCAGGAAGAGCATCGAGAAATGAATGGTGTTAGCAGCTGTCTCGTGTCCAGCCAGGATGAACACAAACGCATTGCCCAAGATCTCGTCGTCTGTCAGCAGCTGCGAGCCCCCTTTCTCTGCATCTGTGTCGTTGAGAGATTCTTCCGTCATACCAGCTCCCTTGACGAGAGCTCCCATCAGATCCATACCGTCTCTACTCGCACCACTCTTGACCTCGGCACGCTTGTCGTTGTACATCTCTCGCATGTACTGGCCCCACTCACAGAACGATTGATACGCAACCTTATGCATTTTGAGCGGCGAATACTTCAGTATCCACTGGGGTGTCAAGATCATAATGATTAGGTTGTGAAGAAGCGTCTCCAATGCTCCCTTGTAGGACATCTTGTGTCCTGATGGGATCTCCGTGTCGCTCTTCTCGTGCGGCCAGAACAAGCCCACGCCGAACCCAGCTCGACTGATGACATGCAAAGACAGCCTCATAGCTTCTGTAGCAACGCTCCAGACTGGACTGCTAACTTCAGCATCCTTTGTAGTCCATCCTGCCATCATGCTCTCAGCCTGACGGAGTGACTCCTTCCAAACCAGAACATTGTTCTTTTCCGTGAAGGGTGGGCTGGTGATCTTGCGGTGATGGCGCCAGTTGGCACCTTCAGTGGATACGACATTCTTGCCATACACGTCGATGCCCTTGTACATCCAGACTGGCTTTGGGAAGTCGTTTCTCCTGGCAGTAATCTGGCTGATGACATCGGCATCAGCTACATAGAGCGTATTGGCACCAGGCGCTACGATGATCAAGACATCGCTGTTGTACTTCTTGAATATTTCATGCTTTTGGTTCCAGAGAAACTCGGGAACGAGGAGTCTGCGTTGATAGGTTAGCTTCGCGGACTTGTGGTACGGGACTGATCTTCGCCACTCACTCGATGTATTCCTCCGTCCACGAACGAGGCAGTATCTCGATGAAAGGCATCCATAGCCGATGGGTGATCAACCATACCGTATTGAACGTGTACACTGGCGTGCACACATACGGTATACCGCTCTTCTTGGCAGCCGCCAGATTGACCTGGAAGCAGCGGTACGTGTGTACCACATAAGCGACCGCAATGGCCACAATGGCCAACGTGAGATATGGCACCATGTTGGTCAGTCAGACCGCTCCAGACGTGTACTTCTCCAAGGCTGTGGCCCTCGGCCAGGGCAATAAGACGGTAAAGTCGGCTGCCCGATACGAATGAAGTACGGAGATCTGGATACCAGATGCCGGGGCCGAATCCTGTGATCGAGGGTGATTTTGGTGGGAGATACACTTCGGTGGCCGGGTGGAGGTCGGCGAGGCGAGGTCGAAGATCAGCCCCTTGACATCCCAAAGAGGCGTTTGCGATAATCCTGAAGCCTCCGATTCAGGGTTCAGTGCGGTTGAGATTCAAGAAAGTCCCAAGGCGATTTTCGAGGGGGATCCCAACGGTGGCTGGAATTTGAGGAAGACGACGTGAAGGCGGTAAAGAAGTCTTGCGCGAGGGAAACAGACGTTTAAGGCCACCACCTGCCTTTGTAATCTTGTGCTGGAATACAGATGAAGTCAAGAAGGAGATTCGTACAGCGTATGGAAAGCGTCAATCGGCCTCGAAAAGAACTTAGAAGGCAATCCATGACGGAACCATCCAATGGCGGACGAGCAAACACTAAGCATGCAGTGAAACGGATGCTCGAACCTCCGCTCGGGTGCCTGCCGAGCAGGAATTTCGATCCCACATCCAGACCCTACGTTGGAATCGGAGGCCATGGTTGCAGCGAGAAGAGGAGCGGTGTTGATGGTTTAAAGAATGCTCGACGATAACGCAACGGTCAGACGCACTTTCCGAATCGACGTTGCGGACAGGGGTCGTTCGAATAGCCAGACTATAAGCGAGACCAATTTAATGAGGTTCAAGCAAAGCGATACGTGGATTTGATGCACATTGAAAGGGCACCCACGGACGCCAAGTTGCCTAGGCAGGGCCGCAGGACATTGGTTCGTTCAGGGTTCGGCAGCAGCTCAGCGTCACCGAACCGGAGCATCTTGCCAGGCGTGCAAGCGAAGTCGAGCATCTGCTTCCTTCGTGCTTTGATGAAGTGATGTGCTGCCGACTGCCGGATCTTCGGTTGGGCATGTATTTGAATTGTCCTTCTTTTGGGGTGCGGTACGCACTGTTGTTCGACCTCCTTCGTGTGCAGGAGACTGTGGATTTCGTCTGGGAGGCGGTGCCGTCTGGCATCAATCGACCCTTCTTCTGCTACCCGACCTTGACTCTCATCACGTCGTCGACCACTCGGTGCTGGTACACCCAAGAGTGACGTGTGGTCACTCTCATCCACCTCGCTTGCGCAGATCCCTAGGGGTGGCAGCAGCAGATCCGTGGTGCGCACCCTCACAGGCTCAAACCGCAGCCATCATCTCACACCCCCCACCGGCCTGCGCACCCTCGAGACGATGAAACTCGCTCGCTACCACGCCAGGTGCAAGCCGAGCATGCTTCGCCATCCCGCCGCACGCACGATGGGTGGCTGCGCCTGCTAACCGATCTCACTACTCGCAATGGACCATCCTGGTTAAAGCTTGTCCTGCTGCTGCTGCTCTGCCGCTCGCTTGCGCGCGCCCTGGCCTCGCTTGGAGCAGAGCCAGCACGCCCGGCGATGATGGAGGGATGGAGGGAGGATTCGACGCCCGCCGACTCGACAATTGCCGCGCGACGTCAGGCCATGACTTGCTTGTCTGCGCTGCCTTGCGTCTTGCCGGCCCTGTCGCATACTGCTCGAGCCTATCACCGCTCCGAGGTGCTGCTCCCTCCAGCAGCTTGCGTCGCAGGCACCCGAGAATAAAGCATATAGACGAGCATGTCCGCCCTCCGCGGCTCCATGCCTGTCTGTCTGGCGACAATCAATCATCGTCAACCAAGCACTCCCTCTCCCGGCGGTGGAGCGAGCGGCCTTTTCATGCGGCAATCGTTTGGGGTTTGCGCCTGTTCGGCCCGGTATATGTAGGTCAGTCGAAGGGTCATGTCGCTTTGCCAGGATGATTTGACTTGTCTCTGTCTCTTAATTTATATCTCTTAGCGCGTGCGCGGCCTGCCCTGCTCTGCTCTGACTATTTCTCTTCTACTTCGTCACTTGTCTTCTTGGTTGTTAGTCTTTACTCTTTCTAATCCTCAATGCCTTCCCTTCTCGTCGAAGAGCAACAATTCAAGACTGAGCCTGTCTCAAAGCAAGATCCACAACAGCAACTTCCTCAACCACACATCAACGATCAAGTCAACAAGCAAGAACAACCACCCACAACAACCAACACAATGGCCTCCACCACCGCCCTCAACCCTAACAACATCCCTCCCATCAACACCAACCAACAACAACCCCTCTTCTACGAAACCTTCCTAGAATCCATATCCAACGACATCGTCCAATACCTATCCAAACGAAATGAAACTCCCAGCAGCGGCAAACCTCCTTCCAGCAACAATCTCACTCCTACTCCTAACGGCAACCACCACGCCCGCAAACGCAGCTCTACAAGCCGACCTGACAAGCCTCAAGGAATCGATCGCAAGCGCCACAAACACACTGATCGAGTTTCGAAATGAGACGACGCACGCGGTCAACACGGCGGGCATGATCCAGAGTGTCGGATGGCAGGTCGGGGCGGTTTTGGCGGGGGTGGGGTGTGGAGGTGTAAGTCGGAAATGCGGTGGTTGTTTTGGGATAGGGTTGCTGATTTGATGTTAATTGATCCAGTCCAACAAATCCCCCTCCCTCAACGGGCGTAACCTCACCACCACCTCCGAAATCGAGAAGCCTTACACTGATGTACGTCCCCATCCCCCTTCCCCTCCCCACCAACCCCCAACCAACTAACCTCCCCTCCCAACAGTACATCACCTCCCTCACCCCCCTCTCCAAAGCCCTCACAACCCGAGGCCAACACCACACACCCCAAACCGAGTCCCCGCTCCCCGTAATCCAACAAATCCAATCCCTCACCCGCGCCCTCTACACCCTGGGGAAATGACTCTACAACAGACGAATCATCTCCTCGGCCGCGGCGATTGAGACCTGGAAGGCGGAGGGGGACTTGTTGCAGGCGACTAGTGAGTGGGAGGGGGAGGTGGATGGCGAGAGCGGTGGAAATGAAGGGGTGGTGGGGAGTGGGGAGAGAGGGGGGAAGAGGTTGAGGAGGGAGAGTTGTGGGGCTTTGGGACGGTGAATGAATGTGTTGGTTGGTTAGTTGATAGAGATGGGGAGGAGGGGAGGAAGTGAAGAACGAAGAAAGATTTCTTATATCCTTCTCATAAACAAAATCCCTATAATCTATCTACCCTTCTCCCTCTTCCTTCCTTCACATCCATCTCATCCATCTACATGAACAAATAGCACACACCTCTCTCTCTGTCTTTAGTCTATCGATCTAACGTTCCCTCCCATCCATCCATCTAAATCCAAAAAACAATCGGGAGGGGGTGGGGATATCATCGCCGCATCTCGAAAAAGCATCAGAAAAAGTATGCAACATGAAGCAAACAGGCAAACAAACAAACAAAGTAGCTTTAACAAAAAACAAGCGAAGGCCCCTTTTCCTCTCTCTCTTTCTCTCTTTCCCTCTTTCTGTCTCTTTTGGTTCGGCTGCCGTAAGAGATCCGCTTCCATACAGCCGTCGAATGAACACACACAAACATCAAAAATCGTCAAACTTCTTCTCTTTGTACTAATCCAACAAACGAAGAAACCCTCGCTAGAGTTCCTTTTTCTCCTTCCTTGCGACCACTGTGGCAGGGTCAGTCGCAGAATTGTCAAGATCCACTTCTTCTTCAAAAAACAAACATAAAAAGATCCCCCTCAGCCGTTCGTTGTTGGTAGTCGATTTTTCGTTTCACACAATCCTCGTTGGTCCCCCATAAATGGCAGGTGTGATCGAAGAAAAAGATATCCAGGGTCGTGGTCGTCTGTCGTGGTCATCGGGAATTGCTCTCCGAAAAGCCTTCATGCTCGTTTGGCGATGTTGCAGCAGTTCGTGTCCAGCGTCTAAGCGAGCACCCACTCCGTCCCACGCTTGACAAACTTCTCCATCAACGCATTCAAATCGCCCAACACGAACCGACACACGTAGAAGCCAAAGAACTCGGCTGCGTGCCGAATGCTAAGCTCGAGGCCAACGTGCGTCGGCGACGAGTGCTTCAGCCCCGGATCCTCGACCTGGCGCGCTATCTGATCTGTAGAGAGGCAAAGGTAATTAGCTCTAATGATCCTTGGTGGGAGAAACATGAACAGCTCGCTTGGGGGCCGCAATTCTGACGTGCAGGAGATATGCACGCTTCTCGTACGCGAGGACAGGGGTTGTGAAGTGATCGGCTTCGAAGCGAGAAACACCTTTGAACAAGCGGTCTGATGGTGACGTTGCAAGATGTGCTGGTTGTGGTTGGGGATGGTGTCGGGGTGAGGATTAGTGGGATGATGACTTACCGAGTATTTGCACGCCGTCGAATAGCCGGGCCAGGGAACCCATGTACTCCTTGTTCGGACCATCAAACACCAGATTTCGCGCCTCTTTCTTGTTGCCTCGACGTTCGACGGGCACAAAGCTGGTCATGGGGACCGAAGGCATCGAGTGCTGCTCCTTGTCCGCGGGTCTCGAAGATGCCTGTGATGATGATCCCGATGAGAGTGGAGTTCCTGAGCTCTTGTTCCGTAGCTTACGCCATGAGGTGAGGTAGCTCTTGCCAGAGTTGCTCTTCGCCGCCTTGTCGGCCGGCGCACCATCGGGTCCATGTGCATTGCCCATGGCCGTCGCCACGGTGGCTGCCGACGCGTCTTTGAACATGCCATTGACCCCATGCACGCCCACATCGCTACCAAGCTTCTTTGCAAGGACAGCCTGGACTCGCTCCATCACCTCTTCAAAGCTTTGTAGTTCGTCCGCGACCGCATCGGCGTCATACGTATCGACACCTGCAAGGCGACCAAGCGCAGCGGTCAGCAAGTCACAGTTGGCGACCTTGTCCTCAACCAGCTTCAGCTTGACGCCTCGTGTCTGCCATGACTCGCGAGGGACGAAGAGTTTGGTAGTGAGGAAACCGCCTCGTGGGTGTGTGATGGTCTGTGATAGAGCACGCATAAGCCAGAACGGCCGCAATAGGTAGGACTCTGGACAGGGTTCCAGGCCGGTCGGTAACGGTGATAGGTTGGGTGACCGTGGCGAGGTTGGCGGCACAGAAGCAGACAACGACGTGTCGAAGAGGTAGATACCGCCGCCAGCCTGCTGACTCTCGAACGAGGATTGCCCAAGCGACGGTACATTCGCGCGCTGCGACGTTAGCGGGTTCGGGTTGCGTCTTGAGGCAAAGCTCATGAAAGTCGAGCTCATGGGTGTCACAAGGGACGGACCAGATTCCGGATCAGGTGATGCAAGCAGGACAGTGTGCTCGGCATGGTCTCGTAAGCTCACCGAAGACTTGTTCTTCCTGAACAGTGTCGGTCTCGACGTGTTCTGCTCCGACGGCACCTCCTCGTAACTCGGCCTGTAGTCCAACGTCTGCTGCTCGTTCGAACCGGTCATCTCGTCCAGAGCCTGGTGGAACTCCAACGAGGGCGGCGATTGCAAGATGTTGTCATGGGTGGCATCCGACTGCGTAGGCTCCAACATCTCGCCAATCTTCTCCCCCTTCTCGGATGTAGTCTCATGCTGGTCTTCCTCATCTTCGAGGAACGGGCTGGCCGTGTGATGGAACGTCGAAGCACGTTTGCGAGCCGCAGGCTGCGGTGACGTCTCAATCTTGAGCTGCTTGGAATTTAGTCCAGAAAGTCTTCCACTGCGCACAGAAGTGTGGTTGTTACCCGCACTAGGTGGCCGAGGAAGCGCTCCGCTTGGAGGTGCAGTGGGAGGAGGCAGCGCCGTGCTTTCGCCACGTATTCGTGAGAAAGAGCCTGCGCCAGACGGTTTTGATAATCGACTTGATAACCCATCCTCCGCAACGGTCGACAGAGACGTCGCAGCTGTGGCGCGATCGGACAACGAAGAACTCTGCCATGTGCTTCTCGAGTAGCCACTAGAATCAGACTGGCGCGGCAGCGCCGACTTGGTTTTAAGGTCGAAGTTGAAGGTTTGCCCGTAGTCATGCGCAATCTCGTCCAGAATCCGCTCTTCTTCCTCGTCATCAGGATCGAGGTCAAGCACGCTCGTTGAGTTAAACTCTCCCGGCAGAATCTCATTGATCTCCGATGCGGGAATTTGTACAGACTCATTCTGTACGCGTCGCAACGCGGTCAAGCGCTTTCTTCGTGCCTCTAAATCAGGCTCAAGACCTTCGTCATAGGCGGCTTCTACAGCTGCATCGAAGGCCGCATCGAAATCTGGATCCGTCTCGTTGCTCGCGTCACGAATGTGCTTTCGTCGATTTCCCTGCTGATCGTGGAAGTCATCCGAGTCAGAGCACGAATCCCCTGACTCGTCGATGGTATCCAACCACGAAGTCGAATCCTTACTGTCAGCCCGATCCCTCGACCGATCTGATTCGCTGCTCCTGATTCTGTCAATCTCCCTTTGCCACGATTCTTCTACTTGTGGTTGCAGTTTGGGTGAACGAGGCTTCCTCGGCGAAAGCGGTCGCGGGACATATTCAGAGTGTTCTGGAGGAGGTAGGTGAACGGATGTTCTTCTTGGAGGCTGGTGTGGCTCGCGGTCTTCGACTTGCGCTCCTGCTACAGTCTGCTGTTCATCGTCGTGACTCGTATCAAAACTGCCTGAGCTGGCCACGGCTTCCATCGTCCTTTGGAAAAAGCTGTCCCGGTCGTTACGCGGATAAGACAGTCGGGGAATGTCAGATGTGCTGCGTGTGGTGGTGTATTCCATGGGCGATACATCCAGTTGAACGCCGCCTGCTGGACTCAACATTTGCGGGCTCTTCAACGACAGGCTATCCTCACTCATCGGCCTCGCAGGAAGGCCTTTCTCTTCAGATGTTGTAGGTCGTTCTTGAACGAGTATTCGCAGCTCCTCCATCCGATTGCTGTATGTCACTCGAATGGCGTCCAATTTCCGTTTATCGTCTTCGCCAGATGTGCGGTCCATGACCTGCGTCAACAAATCACACGCATCGCTGTATGCCTCCAATGCGCCGTCATAATTCTGAGCGTTGTCCAACAGTACTGCAGTGTTCGCTTTTTGCAGCGCTTTCGAGAGCATGGTCTTTTTATCCTTTTCTGTTCGCTCTCTTGTTCGCGGTCGTCTGTGGCTGTTTCCTTCATCTTGACCCTTTGATCTTCGCTCGCGCTCTGCATATGACGAAGACCCGGCCTGCTTTATTGTCTCCTGGCTTTCTGAGCCAGCGGCTGTGCTTGTATTTGTGACCTGCATTGGCGCCGTGTGATTCCGCACCATCATTACTCGTTTAGTCTTCGCCATGCCGTAAGGTGCAAGCGCATCGTCGTGGTCGAAATAGTCGTTTTGGGAGTACGAGTACGTAGGCTGCGACAATGGGGTTTGGAGGGTCTGGGTGGTGGAAGGTGATTCGGTATCATTGGGATCCGTGAGGGCGGGAGTGGTATGTAGCGGGGGTAAGGCGGTTAGGGAGGTGGTGATGTCGGCTCGTGAGGTGGATGTCCGTCGACTGCGTTGCGGGCTGCCGGTAAGCGATCCAGAGTTGTTGGCTACATGTTTCCGATGGGGGCTCGCTCTCGGAGACGCATCCAGCGCATTGTGGGGCCTTGATCTGGGTGAAAATGACTGCCCTACGAGTGAAGACAGAACAGCACCGCTGCTGGAGCGGTTTCTCCGCGATTGACTGGCCAGACTGGAGGTTGTGGACTGGGACCAGCGGTTTACGGCGCCAATGCCTACGGAGTCGCTGGCCGAGTGCTCACTGGGATCGAGGGCGACGCTCTTCCTACGCTTGTGGTCATTGGACATGGGATCGCGGCCCAGGCGCAGTGGTATCAAGTTGGCATCGGCGGCCGGGCTCTGCGATCGAATGCGGGAGATGGAGCCCGGACGGTTGACGGTGACGACGCTGCCGGAGGAGAGCGAGGTGCTGCGGTGGCTCTGACGACGCTGGGGCAGAAAGGCGGCGGTGGTGGTGCTGGGGTCCAAGTCAAACGGGGCAGAGGGCGGCGGCGGCGGTGGTGGTGCTCCTGGTGCTGAAACGGCCGTGCCCGCCTGCATTGTCTCGGGATGGCGCTCACAACCACGATCCGCACGCTCCCTCTGGCGAGGGCCCCTCGACGACACACGACGCACCGAACAACCCTTTCACACGTCGTTGCCTCCTTCGCTCTCGACTCCGCCACTGCAGCCCTACAGAGTTCGCAGATTCATGCGGGTTGCCGATCGGCTGCGTGCACCGAATCGTGCGTGGGCGCTGGGACGCTGCAGTTGTGCCCGAAAGCGGTGGCGCCCGCTGGTGGTGGTGAGAGACTCGTGGGACGCAGCAGTGCTGGGCGTTGGCGGTGCCTGGTGGTGACACACGGATAGTTACAGGATTACAGCTCCACAGCCGCCGCGGTGCAACGATCGGACAGGCGAGTCGCGAAAGCTTGATTGTCCGTTTCGTGTCGTCTCAATGCGTCCTGTTCTGAGTTATTACTGCCCGATTGAGTCCGCGGCTGCGACAGCTCCCATGGAGGAAGCGTTTCGGGATGCGCGCTCGCGATATGGGCAACGAATATAGCTGCGGCCAGGACCAGCGCAGCGTTTCTTATCTGCCCTCCCTCGCTCCCTCGTGGGCAGACAACTCAATCTCCAGCGTGACCAGCACGAACCGTGAAGGCGAAGGCGATGGCGTCAATGGGGTGATAAGAGGCTCGAGGGTCCCGGGGCGATGCTTGCGCGCCTCGTGAACGCGGCGTCTGTGTGTATGGGTGTGCTCGGAATGCTCATGTCGTGAGATGTCGGTCGGCCGGTCGGGGATCGAGTCTCGGTCGCGTCCTGGGCCAATGCTAGACGATCAGCGCAACAGCAGCAGCAATGCCCAAGCGACTCGTGAAGAGGGAGCGTCGATTGCTGAAGAGGTTCCTGGCGCGGTGTGGGAGGGTGGGTGTAGCAGGCCAGGGCCGGCTGGTGGTGCGCAACAAGCCAGGGGATCCTTCCCAAGTCGTTCCTTCCGCACGGCACCTCGGGGCGCGCTCAGACTGTAGCGCTGCCCCTGCACGGCAAGCTCACGACGTTTCTGACAGGCCCGCATCCATGGGTTGGACGACTTTGACCGCAACAGCGTTGGCAACATTGATTAACATTCACTTCGGCAGTCAATCAAAGCTGCATTCGGCACTCCATCTGCTTGCGCATACATATACGTGCCGTCTGCTCGTGTCGCCAGCAGACGCCCGCATTCTGCACCTCCTCCTGCTTGCCTGCTTGCTTGCTGCATGCCCCTGGCAGCGACAGCTCGCCGCCGGACGGACACGCTGCTAGGAGACGTGGTCCATTCACCCACCGGCGCTTCGCCCTAGCTTCGGGACTCTCCCAGGTTGCGCGTATACTCACTCGATCATGGGCATGTGAACGATGCGCTCGCCTCCTGGTTGGCAACGTAACGAGGTCGACGAGGTACATGAAGCCCATATCGGCGAAGTTGACAGCCCTCGACCATGATGGTAGGTATGCCTCTGCCCGGGAACATGGACATGATACTATTCGGATGCGAAGAGATGCGAAGTGATGGTGCTATCGAAAGAGCCTACTTTGCATTGTGTTCTCTTTCTATACCCATGACCTCCAATCACATCTATCAAACTCAAAGATGGCCTCGAAATTGCGTGAGGGCCCAATGCCAGTATTATCTCGACAACAACAATAGTACCACTAGGACTAACCACCTGCAATACTCCCCTTCTCGACATTCATTCATTCATTCATTCAATGCCTAGAGTCACAATAATTGCCCCGTACGTCACGCCCCTCCACCACCCGGCGAAACCAAACCCTCCGCCTTACCAAAAGCCACCACCGCCTAGCACGTCAGACCGGCTCTTCACGCCCACACTCACAAGCTGCAATTGCCCACAACAGCACCCACCTCCCCTCCAACTGCAGTTGAGACGCATCACCAAGGGATTCAAGAAGAAATTCTACAAAATCATCCAATCACAAAAAGACACATGGAAAACCCCTTTCATTGACCCAATTGCGGTGAACAATGCAGTCTAAAATCCCCTCCAATGCAAAGCTAGAGAAAAACCATCCCGTCCGTCCGCATGTCCCACTTCCTACGCCTACGCCTACGCCTACGCCTTTGACCTACGTCCCGTCGTTGCACAAGTCCCAAACACCACTGCATCGCCGAATATAGCTCCCGAAATGCCCTGCAATGCAATGCATTGCAACGACCAAACGAATAAGTCGACGAACAGCTCCAAACGATCATCGACGGAAGGCAAATGTCCAGTAACCACGAAAAGAGCCATCACCCTGCCGAGGAGGAAGGGCGGGCGGAAAAGTTGCATATGCAGCAAGCAGGTTGACGAAAGGCTGCTTGCTGCCGCCCGCCTCACTTCTCGGTCTGCGCCATTGTCATATCCTTCAGTCGCCGATGATGAGAGAGAGACCGCTGCCTCGGGATGTAGCACGAAAAGTGTATGCCTAGTAATGCGATATCGTAGATCCGTGCGGATGAAAAGCGCTGCTGCAATGTCTGTCTCGTCGTCTTCATCATATCCAGTGGTCACGCGAGGAGCAGTGGACCTGCCTCGGACATTTCAACACCAGACGCCTTGTGCGCCCGCATCATTGGGGCCATGATCCATTCGATAACACCACCACCACCACCGATACTCCCTCTCAATCCCATCACCACCCCTCCCCTCCCCTTTCCCCCACAAACTCAAAGCGTCTCCCACCCCCCAGGATTAACATCCCCCTCCAACTTCCTCGAAATAACCGTCTGCACCCCATGCCCCAACCACACCTCCCGCAACAACTTATCATACCGCCTCTGATTCAAAAACAACTGATGATGCCTCCTGAGCGTCGGATCCGGCTCCCCATGCCGATCCAAATACGGCGCGTGCGCAAAACTCCCCGTCCCCGGCCCGTGCAGGAACAGCACCATGCACTTGCGGATGTTGATGAAGAGGCCCGTCTTCTCCCCGTGCGCTTCCATGTGTTGGTAGCACCCGCCTTTGTTGCGGTCTTTCATGCAGCACACGGCCTGCGAGCAGAAGATCTCGCCGCAGAGGAGGCAGACGGCGGGGTCCGTGACTTCTTTGCCGGTCGTCGGGCAGCGTCGCCGGATCGCTTCTTCGGTGAGGGTGTCGTAGTTCTTGGGCAGGCCGACGAGTTCGAAGATGGCTGGGTGCGGGAGGCGGATGGTATCTTCGAAGCTGGGGTGTGAGGCGGCTTGTCTTATCCAGCGCGCCGTGATTTTGCGGAGGTTGGCGCCGCTGGGGGTGCGGGAGATGAAGGTCGCGCACAGGTCGTCGATGGAGGGGATGTGGAGGAGGGCGGTGAGGCGCTGGAGTTCCGGCAGTTCGGGGTCGATGTTGTAGGGACAGTCGAAGTCCAGCCCGTAGCGGACGAGCATGAGCACGGCGCATTTGCGCAGGAAGGTCAGGGCGTACTTGTTGACCACCTGGCGGAGTGCCGGGGCGAAGGTCGTGTCGGTGGTATGGCCTTCGTCGAGTCCAACCCCAAGGTTCATTTCTTCGACGGCGGCTTTGAACTGCTCGCTCGTCTCGCCCGCGTCCTGTGAATTGCCTTGATCATCGAATATAGACCAGTACACGAATAGCGTCTTGACGATCTCCGCCCAGTAACACAACTGCATGATCGATGACGCCTCTGAGACAGTGGGTGCCATGAAGGCTAGCCAGTCGGCAAAGAACAAGAACATGTCGTCCTCGAAGAGCATCTTGACGTGTGCTTGCACCCGCGTCTCATCGAACTCCGACTCGACGCCGAAGAGCTGGGCAGTGATGATATCGCGCTTCTTGATCGAGTCTCGAGCCACGTGATTGGAGCCAGACTTGAGCACGTTGACTGCCAAGTAGGACTCTGTCGTCTCTGACATGATTCGCAAGTGTGTCAGGACTTGCTCAGGCAATTCTGCCAACAGAGATGTGGCCGTGGGATCGTTGCAGACACCACGATGCGAGATCTCAAAGGCAGAGATGGATAGTCCAACGGCACGAGACATGGCAACGACTGGATTTGCTGAGACTGGCTGCGGGCCCAGTCCAGGTGTTTCTCTCAACTCCTCAGATAGATGGTTGTGCTTGATCGAATCCTCCATGCGGGTATAGGCTTTGAGAAGTTCGTTCAACCTGCTCTGGTCGGATGTCGGGGATGATGTCGGATCACCGCCTGAGAAGACTTGCCCTTGACTCGCACTGCCATACGAAGTCAGCCCAAACAGTCGCTGAAGTGTATGTCCTCGCCGCAGAGGATATCGATGCTGATGGGCGCTCGTGGGCGAGTTGCTGTTGTCCAACGATAGCTCGTTCATATTTTGGACTAGAGACGGCGCGAACATGCTCGCCACGTACTGGAACGAGCGATTCGAGTACAAATCCTGAACTTGCTGTTGATGGTGGTTCGCCGCCGGCGCGCTGTCGAAGAACGAGAGGTCGGCGGAGTAATGCGAAGGCGCTTCAGCGATCCAATCCGCGAAGCCCTTCGCGGCGTGCAACTCATGCTCCTGTGCACACTCCTTCGCCTTCCAGATGATGGGCAAGAATGTATTACCAAGTGCTTTGCAGAGTGGACAGATGAATTCCTTATTCTCGATCGACTCCGGATGGTTCCTAGCAATATGCTGTGCGTGCCGACGGTGTGTGGCAGTCAAGTACAGCTCGAAGCAATTGTAATGCATGATATGTCCGCAACTAGTAGCGACTGGCCCCTTGATGCCGTTCTGGTGTGGAAACGCTTTGGACAGACCTTGTCGTTCAACTGTGACCATCTTGCCGTCGGGGTTGACCTTCTGGACTGGACGTTTGTTGTCTCCTGCTACACCAAAAGGCCGGATATCATCTGCTGGGCGGTCCAGACTCTCTGGTATATTGTGCACTTCTTTGATGTAGTCCTCGTCGAAAATTGGCGTTGATCGTAGAATGCTGCTCTCCCCCAAGAATGCAAATGTACCGTACAAGCGCTGATCGTCTGTCTCCTCCTGACAGAGTATACACGTTCCAGTTGGGAAGCTCCATGTCTTGCGCTGCTCGATGCTTTCCGGTTCTTGAGTGATGGACATATCATCCTCAAGATCGTCAAATTCATCGTCAAAGCTAGACAATCCTTGGTTCTGAAGGAAGCTGTTCTGTGCCTGTTTCATTGCCGCCATGACCTTGGCCTGTCGTGCGAGCGCTTCCTGCTTCTTGCGGTCTTTGTCTTCTGCAGAAAGCGAGGCTGGTGAGCCAGTGTCTGATCGATCAAGTATCGCACCTAACGGGCCCATGGCCGTGGTCAGCTTATCTGGTCGCTGCAAGTGCATTTTCCGAAGAATGTGCTTGATCGCAGGATGGCAAGAGGCATATTCGTCCATGCCAGACAGGGCTAAAAGTAAGGTGACGACGGTGGTCTGTGTGCTAAGCGCAACGTAGTCGTGTCCCTTGAAGTTGCAAGTCGTGGAAGACGCCAGTTTGACGAAGCCATCTTCTGATCCTTCGGGTGTCTTGTCCTCCACTACAGCAATCAACAATAGGTGAAGGACGACGTGTAGGAATGTCTCCACTCGTGTGACTTGTACCTTCGGCGCTGCTTGCTTGACGTTCATCGCAAAGTTGAGAGCAGCTCCAATGACTTGAACGAATAGGGGCGTTGCTGTGAAAGCCGACATGCTGGCAAACAGTCCATCTCTGATAGGCTCCATCCTTGGCTCATAGACGACATCCTCAGCCGTCTTGCCAGTCTTGCGGGCGATGTGCCGCTTGTAGATGTTTTCGGCTTCCTCGCGCTGATTGCGAGAGTAATGCGCATAGAATGGATCCACAAGCTCGATGTACTCTGATTTCAGCTCGAAGGTACCGGTATCCGAAAGGCCTTCTGGAGGGCGGAAGACAGTCATGCTCTCGAGGATACGGTTAAAGTCATCTGATTCACCGACTTTCTCCGTCACCCTTTGACTGAGTTCGCTGAATGACAGTGGCTTGAAGCATAGGGCGTGAGCAATGTCATGCTGTAGCACTTTGTCATGCTGCTCCTTGGCATCGATACTCGGTAGCAGATTTCCGCGCTCCGAGAGTGCTATGACCAGGAGGTGGTAGAAGTCTTCAAAGACGTCGAGCTGCTGGGGCTCTTCATATCCGGCGTTGACTTCGTAGTTACCCTTCGCCCAGCCTTCCATTTGGAAGCGATCAATCATCTGAGCTAAGAACCTCTCTCCTGGACGTTCAGTCTCGGCGCCACAGAGCACCAGTCCAGCTTGCACCATCAGGAGGTCGCGCTGATAGCCGACGTCTCGATGTGATACGCCACGGTATGTATGGGCCTGGTGTCGAAGGGTAATCCCATTTCGGACCCACATTCCAGCTTTCATCTGTGCAAGCCAAACACACACACGCAGCGGATGGTCGAAGATCGCACTCAGCAGTTCGTCGGAAGTCAAGTCATGTGGAGCTGGAGCAGTTCGAGTGACATTCCAAGGATCCTTGAGGTCTGCAGGAGAAAAGTGTAGCAGTGCTCGCATCTCTTCCCTTCGCATGCTCTTGGCGTTCTCGATTAGCCACGAGAGAAGGTAGTGTAATGGATGATGGAAGCTCATCGGCTCCGACTGAACGATATGTCGTGGCACACTGTACAGCTTTCCATCATATTCAAATGGTCCGACTGAATGCCATGCTAGATCATCCTTGAGCTCTGCAGCGTGGAAGCGCTTGCGTTCATATCCAAACGAGTTGATCATGGCTACTTGGGCCACTGTCCGGACAGCACGCTGCAAGTTGGCGTTGCCATCATCGTATTTGGTATCCGGGGCGAATGAGATGGCGACTTGCTTGCACAGCTTGTTGATCTCCTTGACAATCATACTGGCACTGATCCACGCATCGGATTCGTACTCGACGTGTTCGCCGGTAGCGCGCAAGTTCGGACAAACACCTTGGTGTAGCTTGACGAGATCCAGGAATTGTAGGAGATAGCGAGGCTCGAACCGCATTCGTTGATGGATGAGCTCAGACTGGAACAACCACCGGAGGTCAAGGAAGAAATGGAATATCCTACGATTAGTGACTGCCCCTGCGTCAAACGCCAGCGTAGCTTTGGGATTGACATCCTCCGGGAAGCCGACCTGTCGTGTTGTGATGAATGTATAGAGGATTGCGATGAGATTGGTAAGAAAGTTGCCCCGCTCGACGACTTCTTGCGTGATCGTAGGCGTGGTCAGCATCTGGACACTCAGATTTATGATAGAATGATCTGGCTCCCGGTCTGCGACAAGATACAACTGTGCGAGCGCCGTGTAAAGGCCGGCGAATCGAAGGCCCAGGATGCGCTTGAAATGTGGGATCGTCACCACTGTCGTGATGTACAAATGCCGAAGGTGGATTCGCAAAGTCTTCCACAGCCGCAAGTCGTAAAGAATGAGGAAATCAAGCCGAACACGCTGCCAGAGATCCTCGCAAGGCTCAGTTGGTCTCGGTGCTTTGAAGCCCTCCGGCTTCTCGAGCCAATGCTTGCTAGGTCGTAGTCTCTTTGTGCCTTTGACTTTGGGTGTCCGTGGAACGTTACCATATGGCTCGTTGGAAATTGGTCTTGGCTGCTCAGGGCCTTCTCCCTCGTCACTATCTTGGGGTGTCAGGATCCTTCTCCGCTGACTAGAGGGAGCTGGAGGAGGCGGAGGAGGCGGGTATCCTGCATACGTAGCCTCCAGAGCGCCAGTCACATCATCCTCGCCTTCGTCCAGAATATCGATGTCCATATCAACGCCTTCGTTCACAGCCGAGTTCGATCCATTTCTGAGATCTTCGACTTCGAATCCCATATCATCGTCGTCGTCAACGTCCATGTCACCAAATCCGTCGTCATCATCTTCATCGTCTTCGTCATCATCCTCATCCTCATCGTCGTCGTCGTCGTTATTCTCCGTTTCATCATCATCGTTGACAGGATCCTCAACTTCGACCTCAAGTCGAACTACGTTTGCGGCCCGCCGCAGAGGTGCCATGTATGCTCGGTATCTCCGAGTCAACCTGTCGTTCTCGTCGGTCTCATGATCGTCAATGCCTGATTGACCAATGTCTTTGTTGCTCGCCGGACTGCCAGTTCTCCAGGGTTTCAGAAGCTCTTCGCAGACAATGTTCCTCAAAAGATGTGGTTCGTCGCCCACTGATCCGCTGGACACATCCGATATCCAGTCTATAATAGTCGAACACATCTGCTCTCTGAAGGTGTCCCGGGCTGACCTGATAGTTACTGTGACCTTGAGCTGCTCGATGATCTCCGCCATCCGCAAAAGCTCTTCCAAGTCTCTGGAGTACTGAACGACCGACCTGCCGACATCGTTGACTTCCATAGCCTTCTCCAGCCCAAATCGCTTTGTTTTCGAGCAGGCTCTAGCAACTTGATTCTGCACATCGTCGACGGTGTGTTTCTCATCGTTCCATAGCACCAGCGCAAACTCGGGGTTCTCCTCGAGAGTCTCGATTCCGTAGACGTGTGACAGGCGCGCCAGCCGTTCGTCTTGGAGAATAGAAGTCTTTGATTTCGGTAGCCTCAACTGCTCAGGCGAACAGGAGAAGACGTCGCACAGGTAGTCCACGCATCTCGCTACAGTCATTCGGATCGACTCAACCAGATCCACGGGAAGCTGTGAGCCTGAAGAGCCCGTAGCGACCTTTTCCTTCTCCTTGCCGCTACTCTTGGCAGTCTGCCCATCAGGCTCTTCTCCAGCCGTATGTATCGAACATCGGACTTCCTTCTTCCATGCCTCGCGGTCACCGCAGTCGCAGCAGCCACTGTTGCCAGGCGAGACTGAGATCAAGACGGTGTGCCCCTCATGGTCGCTACACTCAAAGCACGTTGCGCACAGGACACAGGTGTCGTCTGAAGCGCACGTCTTGCAGTGATATGTACTCTCTCCATTCTTGAAGATGTGGCCACATGCTTGGCCTTTTGCGGCAGCCGAATACTCGGCGCCCTCCAACGCGCCTTGAGCATCTTTCAAAGACCATGCTTTGGACCGGTCAGTGGGCGGTCCAGCGGGGAAGAAGAGGCGAAGATAGTCATCTCGGCCTTTCGCTATTGATCGGAAGAGGGTTTGTCTAAGGTCGCAGTCGGCGGCATGGGTAAAGCGGTTATCGAAATACGAAGGTAGTTCGAGTAGTCGTCGGTTCAGCTCCTTTTCCTCGGGGGAGAAGGACTGCATCATCATCGTGGTGCTGGGTGGGGGGAGTCCAGCAGGCGTGAGCGGAGGGGCTGTGGTCGGTGTGAGGCCTCAGAGGCCGCGCAAATCATGGGTTGGACTTCAGATTGCTGTCGCAACTCGGTCGCACGCGTGCAGTAGTCAGATTTTGGAGTAGATCGGGTCGCGTGCTGAGGGCTGGATGTTTCGGGCAGCGGTGGTGGCGGTGATGACTTGCGGGCATCAAAGCTGCTTTGCTGCTGTGCATGTGCCTTCACGCTGGCGAGCTTCGAGTTCCGCGTTCAGTGACGTACATGTGCCTAGAGCAAGCAAACATCACAAACACCTCCAAGCGCCTTCCAGTACGACAACAGAGGTGGGTTCGACGCAGGAGTCACTGAGTATCTTCAAGATTGTAGTAAAGAAAGCATGTGATTGCGCGGTGTTGGGAAAAGGCAGCTCAGGCTAGCTCAAGCTCGGCTGAATATCTTCACATAGGACCGCAATGAGCATTCCTGCCCAGTCGCTCTATAGTATACACGCCTTGTCTCTCGTGGAATTTATGTCTTCGTGATTGCCCCTCAGCCCATGTGATGCAGCGTATTCGGCTTCCTCGCCTTTCCTCAGTCTGCCACTGCTTCGCTCGTGCTACTCGTCTTCGTCCTCATCATCGCCGGCCTGCATGTACCGGTACTTGATGTCCTTCCATTGTCGCTGACACCCCAGTTAGTGAAGTCGTCCTCTCCTGTATGAGTCGTTCACACGTACGCCCTTGTTTATTTGATCCCAGACCTTGTTCGAGACGGTGTCAAATGCGCTGCATTCCGTTCAGCTCTATGCCCATGCTCCTTCCACATCCTCAATCTCTTACATTTCAGTTGCAAAGGCGCCGGTGAAGATTGTGGCCAGGAAGATCGAGTTCCGCTTGACGAATGCTCTTGGGGTGGTGGTTAGTCAATGGCTGCGCTCGGGAGGCCTGGGAGGGGCGGCACGTACGAGTAGAGACCGCTGAGAACGCCCGACATGGTTGGCAGAGGAAAGGAGGTGTCGAGAGGTATGCGCAAGGTGCTGGATCGTGTGGTTGCTCGCAATGGGAGGCAGTGAGGTGGAGGTTGAATTGTCGGAAGAAGGAGGGAGTTTGGGCTAAGCAGCTTTACGCTGATTGGCTGCTGAGGAAAGTCTAGAGTCGCGACTTTCTCACGATCGAGTCGTCTGTTTCCTACCCATAGACTCACAACCTGCAGTCGCTGTTGCTGCGGCAGCAGTTGGGAGACTGCCTACATTCACAATTGGTCCTGTCAACTATACAACATGGCACTTCCAACGGACTCCACCACCCGGTCAGGCATCCGCAAACTGAGCAACGGCGAATCTGTCATTCCCGCATCCACTCGCGCAGACGGCTCGGTTCGCAAGGAGATTCGAGTCAAGCCTGGATACAAGCCGCCAGAAGATGTCGAGGTCTACAAAAATCGAACTGCTGAGGCATGGAAGAACAGAGGCAAGGGAGGTGTACCTGGCGCAGCCGCAGCAGATGGTGAGGACTTGCCGCTAGCACCACACAAGGCCGCTGCGGCTGCTGCCAAGAACGCAAAGAGAAGGGAGGCCAGGAAGAAGGCCGCTGCAGATGCGGCTGGAAAGGCTGACGGGGCAGAGCCGGCTGCTGCAGATGGTGGCAAGGTTGCAGATGAGCCAGCTGCAGAGAAGACAGCGGAAGCAGATCCAGAGGCAGAGAAGGCCAAGGAGGCACGGAAGCTGGCGAAGAAGTTGAGGCAGGCTCGTGAACTGAAGGACAAGAAGGAACAGGGCGACAGCTTGCTGCCGGAGCAGTTTGCGAAAGTCATCAAAATCAACGAGTTGATACGCCAGCTGGACAACCTGGGCTTCGATACGGAGGGCGAGAAGAAGGAGCAGGTTGAAGAAAAGGCGGTTGACGACGAAGCGGCGGGATGATTTCATTGTCACGCCTTCACGCCAGATCATTGAACGCAGATCGCAAGCCGATATACAGTCTCGACGCTATCGAACATCAACCGTCACCAGCACCGCTCTACCCCTGATGGTCTCAAACAGCCCATACTCGGTCTCTGTGCGGAAGTTGACCTGGTCCATCTCTACGTCCACCGTTACCGGAGGCTTGGGCTGTTTTGTAATAGGTCTGGCTTCTGGCGCTTTGCTTTGCTTACGAGTCCAAAATGAAGACTTCGGCTGCGATTCGATTGGTGGTGGAGGAGGCGTTTGCTCAACTGCAGGCGCTGGTATTGCACCTCCCAACTCCATCAACATCTGCTCTTTCAGCAGGTCCAGCGCTTCTCGCTGCGTCCAAAACTGGGTTCCATCGTAGCGACCTTCGAGCTGGATCAATATCGGTCTGTCGTCTTCCGGAAAGCCTACGAGCTCGCCCCTCTTGCTGGCATCGCCTGGCAGTCGTCAGTCGCTGGAACCATCATAATCGCTATGCTACGGACCTTGATCAGATGGGAGTAACAATAAAACCGTCTTTGATAGCCCGCTTTTCGCTCGTTCCCTGATCTGAGGCAAGAGTTTGGATATCAATGCCGTAACATGCTGCGACCTCGACGAGCCAACTTCATCCCGTATGCTGAATCGTTGCGGCACTTTCGAATCGACATCATGATTGTCATACTTCGCATCGCATTCGCCGACTGTATCTTCATACGACGGTGGTTGCGACATTTGTGCTTGGAAGCGATCCTCGGGGGGAAATGAATCGTTTGGCTAAGAAGTCGCTGTGCTCCCACAAGTCGGCTTTCGGCAGGCAGTACGGCTATGTCGGCCTGAGGACGAGAATATGACGGAGAATTCAAGGGATGCAGAAAGGCTGAAATGGTCATGCGACACAGTTCACGAGTGCGAGACTTTGAGGAAAAGCGGTACTGATGCCTCAGGCGACTCGCAATTCGCCTTTGGTCAGCAATTGATTCGTCGAAGCGGATTCGAAGTTCAGGAAGTCAAAGCCAGGAGTGCGCCATCATTACGAGCACTGCGACTGCGGCAATTAAAGAACCACTCGCAACATTGCCGGAATTCGCCCTGTTGCATTAATGCCAAAAGGTAAGATGAAGCCAGGCATCACTTTGCTGTGCACCAAAGAGGCCGCCCGACCTGTGTTCCTGCATGAGCTCAGCCTTACTTCGCCACTGACAGCTTTCTATTGGCTTTCTCGGCATCATGGTCACGAGGTAAGCGCGCCTTGGTCTCGCATGTCGACAAAGGCCGCAAATCCATTGACACACATCTCTATGGCCGACATCCCGTTCAGCTGCGGCATACGGCATTCTTGGACCAGTGTGACTGTATGCTTTGACCGGAGTCTTTTTTCACTAGCGATGTGGGCATTGCAAGGCGTGAGCCACCACGACCAGAAATCTAAGCCATCACATGAGTTGGTGTGAGGAGATATATAATGATTTCCTCTCTTTCTCCTACTCCACAGAACTTCCCTCTCTCCTGTGTCTCACTTCAGTCACTGACCTTTGTATACTACTGCACGAACCTAAGCTACGAAAGCCAAGTCAATCCAACACCGCCAACATGGGAATGTGGTATCATGTCTCGGAGCCGAACTCGTACCTCGCCATCACCGGCGCAGGTATCGACAAGGTACAGATTGCGAAGAAGAGCTTCGTGTATCCATTCCAGAAAGTCACCAAGATCAGGTTCGCCATCACCGTGAAAGCTCATTTTGCAGCACATCTCTAACCCCTGAGTAGCATCACGCCCTTCGACTTCAGCATGTCCCTGCAGGCCATGACGAGCGAGAAGCTGCAGTTCTCCCTTCCGGCCGTCTTCACCATCGGCCCGGAGGATGAGATCGAGGCTTTGACCAAGTACTCTGTATGTGATACCATCTTTCCAGGGGGCGAACTACTCACTTATCATTTGTAGATCCTCCTCACTGGCGACTCGGATGGCCAAGTCCAGTCGAGCAAGGGTGGCATGGTCGCCACCGGCCGTAACCACGTCCAAGACATCGTCAAAGGCATCATCGAGGGTGAAACCCGCTCCATCGTCAGCAACATGACAATGGAAGAGCTCTTCAACAACCGGCGTCTCTTCAAGGCCCAAGTCATCGAATGCGTCCAAAAGGAACTCGACCAATTCGGTCTCCGGATCTACAACGCCAACGTCAAGGAACTCCAAGACATGGGCGACTCCAAGTACTTCGAAAGCCTCGCCCGCAAAGCCCACGAGGGAGCCCAGTCCCAAGCCCAAGTCGACGTCGCCAACGCCCGTATGATCGGCCGCGTGGGCGAAGCCGAAAAGGACGGCGAGGCCAAGCAACGCATCGCCAAAATCAACGCCAATACCGCCGTGCTCGAAACCGAACGCAAGGTGGAAAAGGCCAACGCCGATCAAAAACTCCGCACGCGCGAAATCGAAATCTCCCGCGAACTCAACCTCGAGCAGATCGCCGCGCAGCGGGCGGCCGAACGCAAGGATGCCGAATTGCAGAAAGCCGTCGAGGAGAAGCGCGCCGAGATGGAGCTGGAACGTTTGCGTGCCACGACCGTCACGCAGGCGAAAATCGCCAAGGAGTCCGCGCAGCAGAAGGCCGACGCGGATCTGTACACGCAGACGAAGAAGGCGGATGCGCAGATGTACAACCAGAAAGCCGAGGCGGAGGCCATCTACTACCGCAGCGCGCAGGACACGGACGCGATGAACTACAAACGCACCAAGGACGCCGAAGCAGAACTCATCGCGCAGAAGAGCCAGGCGGAGGCGATGTTCCTCATGAAAGAGCGCGAGGCGGAGGCGAACTACGTCCAGCGCGCCAGGGAGGCCGAAGCAGCGTACGTGGCGCGCAAGCGCGAAGCGGAGGGTCTGAGCGAGATGGCGAGGGCGTACGGGCAGCTCGCGGAGGTCATGGGCGGGCCGCAGGGCCTGATGCAGTTCCTTATGCTGCAGCAGGGGACGTACGAGCGGCTGGCGGAGCAGAACGCCAGGGCGATTCATGGGCTGCAACCGAAGATTAATGTGTGGACGACGGGGGGTGGGGAGGGTGGTGGGAGTGGAGCGGAGGGGGCGATGGCGCCGATTCAGAATTTGTTCAAGGCGTTGCCGCCGCTGTTTAGTACGATTCAGGATCAGACGGGGATGACGCCGCCGAGTTGGATGGCGAATATGCCGGTGCAGGCGCAGAAGGGGGAGGGGGAGAATGGGGGGAAGGATGCGGCGAGGGTGGAGAAGAAGGAGATGGCGTTGATGAATGGGCATTGATGGTGAGAGTGAAGGGGTGGGATTGGTGTGTTCTTTGGACAGGACGAGGTTTTTGGTTGCGGTTGCTTGATACCCTGTTCTGACCGTCGTCTTGGTCGTTGAGTCCGTTGCAAGGAGTATACATAGGAGCTTTAATATAATGTATGGAACGCTAGTTGGGAGAATGCTCACCTTGCCTGTGCAGATAGGGCTTGTCACGAGCACAGTTTCTACCGAGACTTAGGTCCCATTCGGGGATAGTAGGATATTTACTTGGAGGAGAGCAGAACTCACCTGTCTAATTCATATGGTTCTTTTGACAGAGCGCCTTTGGAGGTGATTTCGCTTACAATTCTGGGTGTGAGGTAACCAGGTAGTGACGATTCGCGCAGTATCTTCAAGGCACTCTTAGGGAACCATGGCCGTCATGGAGGCAACGGGATGTGTGTACATTGATGTGCGGTGGGGATGCATAGAGGTTCACTAATTTAGGGAGGACAATAACTCACCTGTCTGTTCTTAGGTCGCATTCGAGTAAAGTTCATTTGGAAGAAGGGTTGCTCTTACAAATCTGGATGTGAAGCAAACAAGCAATTTAGTATTGCAATCCATCCCCAGGAATCTCGTAGGGACTATGGCAATGATCGACGCCATGGGATATGCGTACGTTGGTGAGCAGCCGGGATCGAGAAAGGCAAGAGGTTCACTTGAGATAGAGTTCGCGCTAACGGGCTTCGTCGAGGGAACGCCGATGGTGGCACGTGCGCTCGAGCTCTTTCTCGATTTCAACTTCGAATTCGACCTCACATCACCAACACCACCCGCCCGCAAATTCTTTTTCTGTGATAACAATTCTCTAGGTAAGTACTCCACTTCAATCGCAGCAAAGAGCAGGGATGGCGCACCAGGGTAAGGAGAACAGCGCCGGCGGCAGCAGCGAGCAGAGCATGAGCAACAGTGGATATCAACCACATACCAACTATTACGGCGCAGAGACCGCAGACCCCGCCCACCACTACTCGACATATCCCCAAGGATATACGACCGACTACGCCCAGAACAGCTACTACGGTAGCTTTCCCTCGAACTACTACACTGCGACGAACCAGGCAGCTCCTGCCTACTACCCGAACTACTACGACCAAAGCGGCTACAACTCGTACGGCACCAACAGCGGCTACCAAGCCTACCAACACCAGGCAATGGCGTACAACAACTCATACGCCAACTCAGGCTATGGCGCTGGGTATGGTTATCCACCAGGCTACAATGCGCAGTACGCTCAGCCACAGCAGCAGCAATACCAGCAGTATCAGGCCAGCCCACCGCAGATTCGCAACCCCTTCGCACCTCCGCCACCTCCTACTACGACCTACGGAGCTCAGAATGCGAACTTCGACCCAGAGTATGAGCAGCAGATCGCCGAGTGGCAGTCGGCATATGCTCCCGCAGACCAGCAGGAGCGAGGTAAGAAGAGCGGCAAGTTCGACCGCCTTGACAATGCCAATGCAGCACCAATCGGCCAACGTGGAACTGTTGCGACCGGCACCGACAGCAGCGACGCCAAGGGTAAGGGCGCCAACGACAACGTCACTGTGGTGAGAAAGGGAGGAGGACAGACGTGGGAGGACAAGTCACTGCTCGAGTGGGACCCTACCAAGTTCCGCATCATGGTTGGCAACCTCGCTGGCGAAGTCACCGACGACCTGCTCAGCAAAGCGTTCGACAAGTACGACGTCAGCAAAGCACGTGTCGTGCGCGACAAGCGTACCACCAAGTCCAAGGGATTCGGCTTCGTCGAGTTCAATGACAGTGAGCTCGGCTTCAAGGCGGCTCGCGAGATGAGTCAGAAGTACATCGGCAGCCACCCCATCACAATCAAGCGCAGCACCGCCAACGTCGCTCCCGTCGTCAAGAAGGATAACAACAAGGGCAAGAACAACGATAAGAAGAACAAGAAGAACAAGGATGAGAAGGACCCATTGCGTGCGAACACTCAGGCGGGCATCGACAAGAAGCAGCCAAGCAGGGCTCCTTCTGGGTTGAAGCTGTTGGGTTGAGCATGCAACGAGGAAGTGAAGATTATGGGTGGATGACTTTGATGATACCCTTTCAGCGAGGCGTTGGATGGACAAGATGACTACATTACGGATCAAGCGACATGGACATGATGGAAAGACATGCGACGGGGCTACACTCAGATGCTGTATCGGAAAGCTGCCCGAGAAACATTGAGAGCGCGCGTCGCGCATGGAAATGATAGCAGGAAATCAGGATACCAGGTAACGATGCCGGTAGGGCTTTCTGCTGCACTCTCTTTCATCTCTCTTCGTTTGTGCGCACTCAGATGCCGTGTATTGAGCTCTCGATTCGACTTCTTCAGCCTGATCCTCCCCTCGTATCCATGTATGACACCAACTACCGTCGTTATGCCTCGCGTTCCACGGGCATTGGCACGCACATGCCAGCCAAGCCACCCTTGACAGATGACAGCCGCCGCGGCTTGCCATTGAGCCGACGCAGCGTCAGACGCGAGAACGAGACTCTCGTACATGGGCAAACTTGCAATTCCCCGATTCAAGATAGGGCTTTTCGTGCACAAAATATCAAACAGGCGGTTCATGCAATATGCATTTAAGCGAGCAGCAAATGCACGCAATGTGATTCGTTTCATCGGAATCGTACGTGCGGCACTCTTCGCTTGCAGCTGATGAGCTGATGAGCCAACCAGCCGCGGTTTAATTTTTCTGGGAGGAGGGGGAGGGGTGGAGTAAGTATGGGGAAAGCATGGATGGCACATGATGAGAAGGGCGATTTTGTGGTGGCGAGTCGTCACGCAGCACGGGTTTTCATGGCGCGCTTGACGTGGGGATGATAGAGATGGGATATTAATATTTGGAGGTGTTCGTCTCGTTCCGTCGTGTTTTCCTTATTATTGAGAGAGGGATTTGTTGTGTTTGCTGGCAACGTACCCTGAGGCGTGAGATTTGACGATTGAGGTCTGCGTTGCGAAAGGAGGACGAGACGACAATACTACCGGCTGGCTGCGGACGGACTCCTCATCCCTACAAATCTCTCGAGCATTAATATCCAAAAAAAAAAAAAGAAGAACGAACAAACGCAAAAATGCTCCGCTCCTTCCTCGACCGCATCTTCCCCCTCACAGTCCTCTACGCCCTCCTAACCTACACCTCCCTCCAACTCGGCCCCTACACCACGCCCCTAACCTCAACAATCCTCTTCCTCCTCTTCACATCCTGGTACCTCCTAAAACTCCACCACCACCTGCAACAAACCCTCCTGATCCGGCGCCTCGGGAAACAAGCGCCCATCGTCCGCACCTACACGCCCTTCAACGTCGGCTTCCTCGTGCAGGCGCTGTGGTACTTCTCGCAGCACAGGAACCATGAGCTGTGGTGGAAGTTGTTCCGCACCGTGGGGAATCCGAAACGGCCCTATACGGTTGAGGCGGTGACGGTCGGGCAGAGGATTATTTTTACGGCGGATGAGGAGAATGTCAAGGCGATTTTGGCGACGCAGTTTGGGGAGTATGGGAAGGGGCCGCAGTTTCGGAAGGAGTGGAAGGATTTTTTGGGGTTGAGTGAGTGGAAAGATTTCTTTTGGGATGTTCGAAAGGAGATGTTGTTGTTCTTGAGGGTGGGTGATGCTGATTGATGGTCTAGGTATCTTCACGACCGATGGACAGCAATGGCACGACAGTCGCCAGCTGCTCAGGCCGCAGTTCATCAAGGATCGTGTGTCGGACTTGCATACCTTTGAGCACCATGTCAAGGAACTTCTGCCTCTCTTGAATGGAACTCATGGTGACGCGACAGTCAAAGTGGACGATCTGTTCTTCCGCTTCACTTTGGACGCAGCAACAGACTTTCTCTTCGCTAGGAGCGTCGGCAGTCTGCAGAATGGAGAAGCCGAGTTTGCAAGAGCATTCGCTGAGGTTCAGCGAGTGCAAGCCATCATCGCCAGGGCTGGACCTTTGCAAGGACTTCAACCTAAGGCGTCGTTCCACAAAGCCCTCAGCGTGCTGAACAAGTTCGTGGACCGATACATCGACGAAGCTCTTGCACTGCCGAAAGATGAACTCGAGAAGAAGACGAAATCCGACGACGGCTATACTTTCCTTCACGCCATTGCCACCTACACCAGAGACAGGCAGGTGCTAAGGGATCAGCTTGTCGCAGTGCTTCTGGCAGGCCGGGATACCACGGCCGTGACTCTCTCTTGGCTGTTTTACGAACTCTCCAACCACCCACAGGTAGTCGAGAAACTCCGCCAGGAGATTATTGACCGTGTCGGGTTGGATCGCGTACCCACTTATGATGACCTGAAGTCGATGCGCTACTTGCAGCACACGCTGAGCGAGACACTGCGTTTGTACCCCGTCGTGCCATACAACGTACGCGTCGCGCTCCAAGACACAACATTACCTCACGGTGGTGGACCCGACGGGACCGAACCCATAGGCATCACCAAAGACACGCCAATTGGTTACTCGACGTTTGTGATGCAGCGACGCGCTGACATTTATCCTCCACAGTCCAGCGGCTTCCCGGATCATCTGGCGTTTGTACCTGAACGCTGGGAGAATTGGACGCCGAAATCCTGGACGTACGTTCCATTCAATGGCGGACCAAGGATATGCATTGGACAGCAGTTCGCCTTGACTGAGATGGCGTACACCGTGACTAGGATTCTCCAGACGTTCGAGAGGGTGGAGAGCAGGATGGATGGGTTCCCTGGTACCAAGTCGGATATTGTGAGTGCTGTCGAGCCCCTTTGAGAAGCCGTAAAGACGATTGACTGACCTTGTTACCTTGTAGGTACTTCAACCGGCCAGGGGTGTTTATGTTGCATTCGTCAAGGGGCAGAAGTCGTGATTGTGGAGAGATACATCCAGTGGTAGCATAGCACTCCACTGGATTGACGCGCAGGTACCTGGATATGTCGAATGTTTGCTCCATCTCATAGCCAAGTTTCGATTGACACAGATTCGGTTATTGTCGGAAGCTCCACTCTGTTCAGCAGTTGCGAGAGCAGCCACAGACTGTCAGGATGATGATGACGGTGTTTGTAGGAAACGCCGTTTCTCGCTCCACCAACAGAGTGTTGAGCGCCAGTCAAGTGTCACCATGACGATCGTTTCAGTTTGTAGAAGGCCATGGTCCTGAACAAGGCGGCCCGGGAGCCAGGGGAAGACGGGACGACAAGCTGGAGAGTTGCAGATCTCGTTTGAACCTCCCAAAAGCTTGGGTTGCCTTTCACATGCAATCGCGGGTCAAACACGTTCCTCCCTGGGGTCCGCCAAACGCAGGGCATGAATGATTGTGCAGCCGAACCATCTGGAACAGTCAAGGCGAGAGATGCCGGCTTTGCGAACCAGGAACGTACATCACCTTGCTGATCGGATTTGCGAAGCCGTTGCGAGGAAACGTCTGCACCCAGCCGGCTATTTTGGTGAGTTTCTCGTTGAGGCTGAGAGTGGCTTTGACATGTGAAAAACATGCCGTAAGGGGGACTCCTGGACGGACCGAAGACCGTGGAGTCGAGTTCAAGGAGTGCTCCACGACGAAGACTCTGCTGTGGAGAGTGGTGCCCGAGGCACGCGAGCGTGACACATAGCTGCACTGTGATGTCGCTGGATCGAGGCAGGCTACTACTGGAGCTATTGGATTACTTGTGGACGATGCTGTTTGCTCGGCTGGCTGCTGCAGGATGGACGGGTTGATGCGCAAGAGCACCGGGCCTGACCCTGGAGTGTCTCACTAGCAGACGTGAGTTCCGTAGACCAGGAGTGTGGGGCTGAATCCTATCGTTCTCAACCCGTCTTGCCGGCAGGCTTCAAGACAAGCCTGAAAGCCACAGCAACGGGGGTAGTCGAAGGGTCACGAAGCGAACCGTGTCGGAGATTAAATGGGGAAGCCGCCATCGCAGGCCGCACGCCGTGGCCCACGCCTCTCCAGATGGTGGTGGTGATTTGGCGGGGGGCAAGTCGAGGCCACGGCGGGGGAGTCGAACGCTGGTTGCGGGCGAGGGCGTAAGAGATGCTGTCCGCACCCGCGGCTCGAGGCTGCGGCGAAGTCACAAGCGGGTGTGATGGATTGCATACGTGCGTTTCGGTGGTGGAGGAGGTGGTGGAGGAGCAGGCGGCGGCGACAGCAGGCTGCTGATGGTCTGCAGCGCGCGGCCTTCAGTTGCCAGAGCACACAGTAGCACCCGAGGCGAATGGCAGTGCTAGGAACAAGAGCCGACGAGCTTAAGCAAGGGCCAGCGTCAAAGCGGCCTAGCGTGATCCGGCGGCATGGTTGAGGCGCGGTGCCGGACGCAGCTCGTGCATGTTCCGAGCGGAAGGAGCGCGTTAGTGGGAGAGAATCTTTTCACCCACGCCTCGCGCTTGTCGTCGATGATGAAGGTGCAAAAAGCAGCGTTGCGAGCTGGCGGTGCTGGCGAGGGATGAATATCAAAGAGCTGCCCGTGCCCGTATCGATAGCTGTCCTCCAATCCATCTTCGCTTCTCCGCTGTTGTTTACGGGCCGTGTTTGTGGACACAACACGCGTCTGGGTGCCAAACCGGTGGTGGCCGGTGATTTTCTGAGACTCGCGCCAACGACGGGACGTAGCCGCGGCGGGCCAGCAATTGAGCCTTCCCTTTGCAGTCGGGAGCTCGAAAGCTTGACGAGGAGACGCGCTCAGGCCGGCCGTCGATTGAATCGGGTCTGTGCCAGCCAGCGCCCAACATCGACTGCAGCCAGCACCAAAGCAGCGCCAGCGGTCGTCTGCTCGCCCACGGTCGTCTGCCCACGCTTCCAAACACCTCGTCCGCCGCCATATGAGAGACGGTCCATACCCGGACTCAGCACTGCATCGCCCGTCCAGAGCCTTCCTCCCTGCTGCTGCTCGTGCTCAATATTGGCTTCATCAAATACAACGCGGGGCTCATCCTCGCACGTCCTCTCCCTCTCCCACCTCCCGCCATTCGCTCCCCCAACAACTCGCCGTCCACCCTCTGCTGCGCGGATTCACTTCACTGTCCTCGACCTTCACATACACACTCGACCTACACTCGACGCTGACGACAACCTCGCTCGCTCCCGCGGCTCGACGCCGCCGACTTCTCTTCACCATGGCTGCCCACCAGCATTCGCGCTCTTCCGGCTCTTCCGTCTCCTCCAATGGCTCCTCGTATCAGCTCATACTCGACCACATCCTCACCTATCCTGGCGACTATGAAATCCCGCTACGCACCATGTACAGTCTCAATTGCCAACCCCGCGGCCAGAACCGGTACACGCCGCCCTCGAGCAACAACAGTTCGCCAAGCATTGCTCAAGGCTCCTTTTCCTCCGACGACAAGTCGACGGAGACCTTGACCCAAAACCTCATGGCCCAACTCTCCAAACTGCCGAATCAAGTTGCTGCCTTGCCCCCGAGCTTCATCACATCCTTTGTTCAGCGCTGCTTCCCTTCAGAGCTGACTCATGTCGACTTCCCTCAGGCATTGACTGGCCTCGACTATCTCAAGGACCTCGAGACGAAGAGACGCCGAGAAGTTGCGTCTGCCTTCGATCGCCTCGACATCGACCGCGATGCTCTTGCCCAAGATGCCAAATTGGCAGAACGCTATCCTGGTGTCCTGCAGTGGGTCGAATCGATGGAGATGAAGGAGCGCAAGGTTGATACCCTGTACACCCAAGTCTATATTGGCCTTCGACGATGGATCCTCATCAACGAGCTCTCACTACAACCCTTCAACAAGCACAACTGTGTTGCCATGCTCAACACTCTATACCCTCCCATGGGCATGAAGACGCAACCAACAACCAAGCTCACCGAACCTGTCCTGAAGAGCCAACGTGACGGCTTCTTCAAGTACATCCAAGCCGTAGAGAAGAGCGGTACACGGATCCTCAACAACCTCATGCAACAAGGCAAGAGAGATCAGGACGAGAATGGCTGGGCAGCAGTGACACGCACACTTAGCATGTACCTGCAGCTGGCCAACTCCGTCATCAATGAATGCGGTGCGGTATGTCACCCTCAAGACGTCTCACCGCAGAGGAAACGCGATTCCAACCAGTCACGACATCAGCGAAAAGCGGATTCTGGAATCAGCTTCACAAGCAATGCTGAGCAGCGACCGTCAACTCGCAGCTCAGCAAGCAATGAGCCTAGCTCGCCAATTGACTTCACTCGACCCAAGACTCCACTGGGTGGTCGCCCCAGCACAGCCTTGGAGAAGATTGCTCGAGGCCTGAAAGGAATTGGTCGCAGCAGGACTGACGTAACGGAGATTATCGGGAACGACACTCCCCCTGTTCCCCAAGTCGACAAGCCTAAGATGTTGCGCAAGATGCGCAGCCTGGGCTCCCTCACCGACCGAAAAGGCAGCTTCTCCAGCGTGCCTGGTCGGCAACCATCGGATACACCGGCCTTTGACGTCGAAGAGATGCGACGAAAACGCCAGGAATACGAAGCCGGTGTTGCGGCGCGGCCAAAGACTGGCAAGCGAGCCAGCAACGAGGTATAGACTCAATCCGGCGCTTTCACTTCTGTGACTTTACCACTTTTTGCGAAGCCTTGTGTTTTACGAACTGCGACGATACCATGATCAGAAAGAAGCATTACGAGCCGGCGAGCTCGGGGATTGGAACCCAAAAATTGCATGGAACACGGAGCAACGGTCTACGTTCGATTGTACAGACAGAAAATGTTTTTTGAGAAGAATCGGTTCAGTTCGACGCGTGTCTTCCGGTGAAGACGATTCATTGCATGGTGTGGAATCACCACCTTTCAGCAGCAGCAGCAAGACTATCAGGTCTTCGCGGGCGGAAAAAGCTAATGTCTTCTATACATTGTCGTTTTTTCTCTGAGCCGCGAGCCGGACCACAAAGCATGGCATGGAGCTATTTGGGGCTAGGAAAAGATTTGTTTTTCCAGCGATAGCGATGGGTGGGAAATTGGGAAGAAGCCAACGATGAACGGCCAGAAAGTTGTGGAGAGAAGGTCACTACTGATGAGACCAAAGAATTCCATGTAGTTGAACGAGAATCAACATCAACAAACAATGCATCTTCACACAAGACCTCCCTCCCACTCCCACTGCCTCCTAAGAGAAAGAGATGTCCGAACCCCCTGTCAATCGCTCACTGCCCTGCATCCGCCCATCAAATTGCCCTGCTTTGATTGTACATTTCGGAGCCACGCCCGCCTTTCTAACAATTGGTCTGGCTCATGTCTCACCGACGCCTTGGGCGTTCAACTGGGGGGATCTGTGGAAAGGAGATGTGGAGGATGGAGCTTCAGAAAAGTTTCCGTAGCGTACCAAGGTTGCACGAGTGTGTCGCGATTCACGCGCGAACCATATGCGCGAGCTTGACTCGACTTTTGTTGTTGTTGGTGTCGCGTTTGGATTGTATACAAAACATGGAGGGTGTTTGTTGTCGGTGGTGTGGCGGTGTTTTGTTGTATGCTGTGGCAGGAGGGTGTTCATGGTATCGTAGGGGAACTGGAAGAGTCACTTCTATACTGTGGGTACATTCTGATGCTGCTTGCTTGCTCCCTCCGACTTCGCGCACAGCTTTGCGAGCATGGAGGTCGAACGTCTCATCTCATCGACTGTGACTCCTCGCTTGTCAACGACAGGGCGTCCATCACACGAACAACACTACTAAAACCACAAGGCTAGGTTTGCGAGCAATTCCCATCTCCTTCACATCTCTTCACCACCAAAAAAAAGGACAAAGGAAAAATAACGGCCGCTCGTCATGCCGCAATCACTCTCCTTCGTGACCCTCGACGTCTTCACGCAGGATCGATATCTCGGAAACCCGCTCGCAGTGGTGAATGTTCCCGCCGGGAGGGATGTCTCGACGGAAGTGATGCAGACGATTGCGAGGGAGTTTAATCTCAGCGAGACGATTTTCGTGCACGAGGGAGCGAAAGGGAAGGATGGAGTGGTGGAGTGGAGGGTGAGGATCTTTCTGACGAGGAGGGAGGTTCCTTTTGCTGGTGAGTGCTTCTTTCTCGGAGGACGAGGACGGGGATGGTGTTGCTGGCAATGGTTTTGTCGACTGATATGTGCCAGGCCACCCAACCATCGGCGCCGCTGTGTACGCCCTCAGCACCCTCGCCCCTTCCTCTCGAGGCCGCTTCCTCGCCAATGCAGGACCTATCGATCTCACCTTCAACGACAACTTCGCCAAAGCCAGCATTCCTCACAGCCTGCACATCCACACCCGATACCCTTTCACCCTTGAGCAAGTCTATGCTCTGCAACCATCCCTGCGCGGCGTTCTGCGCGATCAGTCGGCCATCACGGTAGCAAGCCCCGTGAAAGGCATGAGCTTCGTAATGGTTGAGTTGCCAGACCTCTCGGCATTAGAGAAAATCACCACCTCCCCCAAACCCTCCCCAAAACTAGACGACTACGACGACTGGGATACCGGCTTCTCCGGCTCCTACTTCTACGTCTTCACTTCCACTCCCAAGGCCGACGACGGAACCCCATTATTCAAACTGCAAACCCGCATGATCGAAGGCGTCCTCGAGGATCCCGCCACGGGTTCCGCGGCTTGTGCCTTGACGAGCGTGTTAGCTCTGAAGAACGCCAAATCCTCGTCGCGGAAAGTCTTCCACTTTGAAGTCACACAGGGACTCGAAATGGGGAGGAAGTCCGACATTGGCGTCACGGTGACTTTGGATCCGAAGCTTGAGGCCGTTGAAAAGGTCGAGTTGGCTGGATCCGCGGTGAAGGTTATGGAGGGCGTGGTGGAGTACTGATCTAGCTGAAAGCCACTATTCGGGGCTATAAAATACAGCTGCCATGTACCGCTGCTGAGCTCCGAGGGGAGGAGAAAGGAGGAATACCATGAAGCCTTCAATGTTTCTTTTCTACAAGCGTCCGTCAAGCTTCGCAAGACATTTCCACCACATCCCACGTGGCTTAGAGTAGCACGCATCCTGCCGCACGAAAAGCAATCTAACAAGATGATGTTCGGCGTTCCGCTATGGCGTCGACGATGCATTTACTAGTCGGACTCCACTTTCGATGCCATACAAGCCACGTGGATGGGCACCAGAAGTGGTCTCGAACACACGACTGTGTTGAACAGATTCGACGTGCTGAGCTTAATGGCATCGGTCCTCGTCCTCAACGGGATAGAAGGGCTTCAAATTGGCAGTCGGGGCATTTTGTGGGACATTGCGGGCTTTGAGGTTGGGGTGCCCTGGGTTGCGGCCATCGTTGAGAGCGAAGGTAAGTGGTGGATTGTCTTGTGACATGGCATGTCCTCCATAATAGCACGTCGTGGAAACCGACGACTACCTCCTTCACAGCTATTCGAGTACTAATAATGCATCAAGTATCTGATCCGCATAGTTCACAAGTAGGCTCACATGAGCCTCATCCTCCAACAGGTGCAGCTTACAACCTTTCAACACACCAGTCATCTCCTCAGCCAACTTGTGCGAGACATTCTGATCCTGTCCTCCATGCCACACATCAAGCCTCGTGCCATGGATCTTCTCGACGGGAATCTTCCAATCCTCATTCAAGAGCTTCGCCTCACAAGCCCACCCTCGCGAACCCTGCTTAAAGGACTCTCTGCAGGAATCTACTGCCGCCTTGCGAACTTCGACATTCTCTAAGCTCTGAGCTTCTTTCGGGTGCCTAGCACCCACGTCTTTTACGAAACGTTTCTCGAACTGTTCGGCTTTCTTTGGATCCCGCGCTTCACGGCCGACGTAGAACTCAACTATATAGGGCAGCAGGCTTGATAATATTGGTGTCCGAACCGCAATGCCAACCGCCCTGTTGATGAGAATCGTCTCTTTGCTCTTCATGCATCCAGGGTAGGCGCCCGAGACGATCGCCCCTCTGAGAAGACGCTCCCTTGGGATAGATGCCAGGCATGCAAGTGTGTATGGACTTCCGCCCGAGAAGCCAAGGACGTAGAATTGCTGGACGCCGATAGAGTCCACAAACTCAAGTACATCGTCTGCCCAGTCGAGATGTGTGCGATCGGCCTTCAAGGAAGAGTCGCCAAATCCTGGGCGTGAAACTGTGATGAGGCGGATTCGATGTTGGATCGCCGGCGTCTTGATCATCCCGCCTTCGGGGTGCGAACCTGGCCAGCCATGGAAGTAGAGTACTGTAGGGGTATGTTGTGTGACATTGGCAGGTGCGAGGATGGAGTAACCCAGTTTGCGGCCATCTTTGAGCGTGAAGGTGAGGGGTTGTTCGTTCTGTGACATTTTATCTACAGCGACTTCGTGGAGATTGACTGGCTGCTGCGATACGGTCAGCAGCATGGCACGTCTTCTGAACCTCAAGAAATGAGAGCATTGTACGAGCCTGATGTAGTAACAAAAAAGTAATCATGACAACATATCGATTCCAATGTAGACAGTGAACATACCCCTGTGTTGCAACTACTTCGGCGACTGGCCGAGCCCGGCGACGATCTGTGATTGTGCGCAGAAGTCGGCGAGATGCTCTGAGAATATTGAAGGGATCGCAAGCTTCAAACAACATAGATACAAGCTTGACCGAGACGCCGAAACGGGAATTCGCAAGACTTGTCTGATTGTCTAGCTTCGGAGCAGCAAAGAGTCGCCGATTGCTCTAGCGGGGGTGGCAGCACACACCTCGATTCTCTCGTCTTGCTCTTCTTGATTGTATAAGAATACGACACCCACCTCGACGAAAGGTCCACAACCCAAGCTCTTTCAGAACCTCGATCAAGACCGCAAATATGTGCAAGCAAGCCGTCTGTGCCACCTGCCGTAGGTTTCGACCCCCTCGAGTACGCACGCAACCCCAGGCTAACCCGTCACCGACAGAGAAGAAGACGTGGTGGGGCTGTGGCCAGCACGTTCCCCAAGTTCTCGACTCAATCGCAGCCGGCGAGCACTGTACCTGCGCGCCGAAGGTCGAGCGCGATGGGAAGCAGTATCCTCCAATGGGTCCGCAACCTTCTTGAGGAAAAATTCTCTCTAGTCGTCAGTGGGTGGGTGCTGACGAGGTGGCAAGGACCGGCTTTTGGGATGGTGAAGGCAGCGTTTGGCTTTGGGGGTGCGCCGAGGGATGAGATATGAGAGACGAGTTGATGCTTTCACGATTGTGAGAATGGCCATCAAGGTCGTGCTTGTGGGAGACATGTGATATTGCGGAACTTGCCGCGAATGGCAGGGATGCTAAAAGGGACATCACGTCTTTACTCTCGTCAACGGGATACCATATATCACAAGGCTTGGTTCCATTCTACTTTCGACGGTGTTCTCGCATTTTTGTTGACGGTTCCATGTACGTGTCGCTGATTCTACTTGTTCGAGACATGGCTGTGTGAACTCGAAACTGTGGCTTGAAAGGCGAGGTCCCGACACGAAGCCGTACTGCTGTTGATGACAATGCAGGAAAGACACTGGTCGATTCTTTGTGTACAGAACACACTTGACATGGCTTGCCGACACCAGAGGCGCAATATCTTTCACAACAGCACGATGGAGATGAATGAATTGAGATCAGTTCATCAACAAACCGACATGGCTTCCCCCACATGCCGATCTCTACCCTGTGAGAAATCCTCATCCGATGAGGCTGGCATATCACGCCGCAGGGCCCGTCTTCCACGGGCTCGGCGAATTGAGCGATCAGCGCTTAGACTTCCTTTTGAGACTCTCAGCGCTGCAGGAAAGTGGCACGCGAAAAGCACGCGATCATGCCAGGCGGATTCAAGCGTTCAGTAAGCTCAAGTAAGAGTCGACGACGAGCTAGCTTGTGTGTCCTTTACTCTCTTCAGCGCTCTTCTCTCGGGCGTTAGATCTATTCCCTGCAGATCGTAGCTTTGCTGGACAGTGGCATCTCAGTCGAGCCGCCAGCATGGCGAAGTTCCAGTTCAGCAATGTCTACCTCATCAGTTTCATAGCCACGCTGGGAGGCTTGATGCAGGGTTTCGATGTTGCTTCCATGTCCGCCATCATTGGCACCAAGCAGGTAAGGTCTGATCGTTTCTGTCGAAGTTGCACTTCGCTAAAGACTTGAGCAGTACAAGACATACTTCAACAAGCCTGGATCCACCTTGCAGGGAGGGATCACGGCCTCTATGGCTGGGGGCTCGCTACTGGGATCCATCGCTACGAACTTGACGGGTGACCGCTTCGGACGTCGAGATTCGCTCGCTATAGGATGTGTGATCTGGATCATTGGCTGTGCGGTTATGGCCTCTGTGCAAAACGTTGCGCAGCTGATCGTGGCGAGATTGATCAATGGTTTTGCTGTTGGTATCTTCTCTTGCCAGGCGTAAGCGATCTATCACTTGTCGTCGAGACCTACGCCTCACACGAACCACAGGCCGCTATTCATCGCCGAGATCAGCAAGCCGAATCGTCGTGGTCGCCTTATTGCGTTCCAGAATTGGATGATCGCGTGGGGTGTAGGTGACCCGGCAGGTCTTGAGGTTCAATGTACTAACAATGGCAGACACTGATTATCTACTTCATCTCATACGGCACCTCGTTCGTTGAAGGGAATGCCTCCTTCCGCATTCCATGGGCGCTCCAAGTCGTGCCCGCGATTGCGATGCTGGCGTGTATCCCATTTATGCCTCGGTCGCCGCGATGGTAAGAGATGTGATTGCCCTCGTTGAGTATGGCTGTGCTGACTCTTCCATCAGGCTTGCGAGCAAAGATCGTTGGGAAGAAGCACACGATGTTCTGGCCAGCCTCCATGCAAAAGGCAACAGGCTGGATCCTTTGGTCCTAGCAGAATTGAATCAGATCAAGGAGAAGATTTTGTCAGTGTTTCCCCAATACAGAGGTGTTTATATGGCTAACTGACCTTCCACAGCCAAGAGCGAGACTACGGCAGCACTTCCTGGCTCGAACTCTTCAAGCGTCGAAACATCATGCGAACGCAAGCCGCTGTTTGCGCTCATCTCTGGAGTCAATTTTCGGGAAACAACGCACTCATGTACTACATCGTGTACATCTTCCAAATGGCCGGCATCAACGGCAACCGCGGCTTGATCTCTGGAGCCATCCAGTACTGTATCAGCGTTGGGGTGCAAGTCATCTCCTTCACATACATGGACCATTATCGCCGTAGGTGGGCACTCATGGCTGGCTCAGCTCTCTTGGCAACCTGGCTTTTCGCCGCTGCTGGGTTGATGGCTAACTATGGCCATGCTGTGCCTGGTGGCTTGAATGGTGTGCCCAGTGTGACCTGGGTCGTGGACTCCAATGCAGCCTCGAAGGCGGTAATTTCCTGCGCATACCTCTTCGTGGCAAGTTATGCACTAACATGGGGGTATGTATACAATTCTATCGGTATAAGACACTCACTAACACATCTGGTAGGCCAATCGGTTGGGTCTATCCCTCAGAAGTGCTGCCAATGTACATTCGAAGCAAAGTCACTTCCGTTGGGGTTGGTGTGAACTGGATCGGCAACTTTGCCTTGACCTTCTTCACTCCCCCGGCCTTCCAGAACATCCAGTGGCGGGTATGCATCATCACTCGTGCTAGATAATGAACAACGCTAACATCGCTCCAGACATTCATCATCTTCGCCGTCTTCAACGTCACCAGTTTCTTCCACGTCTTCTTCTTTTTCCCGGAGTCGAAGCAGAAGACCCTTGAAGAGTATGTTACACCATCTCAACGTTACTTCTACGCGATACTGACTTCTCATCCCCCAGAATGGACGATGTCTTCGCTCAGAGCATTTGGGCTTTCAAGATCAAGTACACGAGCAGCAAGCTCAAAGATGACGTGGAGTATGTCAAGAAGGACGTCAACGCTGCGGCGGCGGAAATCGAGGCAGAGGTCGAGGATGTTGAGCCGAAGCGTGACTCTGTGGTTTGAAAGATAAAAATTCCCCACTGGGAACATCGACTTGTCTCTGAACTGTCCTCAATAGACTAATGCCAAAGACCAGCCACAGTTCATTCAAAACGGGCCCTAGAACTTTTTTCTGCCAACTACATGCACATCATTCCTGCAGTACCTCTCTTGACTCGGCAAGTGCTGCAGACTCCCTCGAATGCGCACAACAAATATGCAGCAAACATCTGAGTCCCTGCCCTCTCTCGACTTTCTGATATCCCGGCATGAACGTGACCAAGGGCCTGGTCACTCGAGGATTTTCCCGAGTCGCACGGTCACGGTACGCAAGGTGCCTGTACTACTATCGTCGACATGCGACCACTACTCCGGTCAGGGACTGTAGGACAAGCGGAAACGTGCAGAGCTCGTGCGCAGAGGGCATTGTGACGTGCAACGATTACTGGAAAGATGAAACGGGACACGATCTTGACGACAGCTCATTTTTGAAGTTCTAATGATACAGATACTCATACATTAGCAGACCTCATCTCACCGACGTTCCCTTCGTCACGTAAACACTCACGAGCCTTCAAGACTTGATGATACTTGTCATTGAAGGCTGTCGCCACCCATCCGTTGCTCTCTCCGGAACAAGACGATCAGTAGAGGCGGCAACACGAAGATCATCTGTGAACGGGCTGCGAGTCTCGGTGACTGAGACCGCGGGAAGTGTTCTGTTCGTCTGGGTGTACGCGCGCTCCTGGTTGATGGTAGTCGTGAGATTGTTCGTAGTCACCTGATGACCGACTGCGATGTTGCAATTGACGACAGTCAGTGTCTCGAAGGAAGGAGTGACAATAGGAGAATTGATGGTCGTAGTGCTCTCTCCACATTCACAGGTCGAAGTTGATGTCGTGTATGTCGTCGCAGAAGAAGTGAGGGTCGAGTAAGCCGTGTAGCATGTGTTCGAGACTACGGTCGATAGCGGGAAGTAATTCTGCACCGGAAAGCAGTCCTTGATACCTGCAGGCTCTCCAGACGGATTGAGGACGACTTGCTCCAGATAGTCGGTGATGGCAGGGTAAACCGGGACGGCGATATAGGTGGTGTTCTGGGATATGGAGGTGGCCAAGGCGTAGGGTCCTTGAAGCGGATAGATGAATGAGGCGGGGGTTGTTGGAGATGGCAGTTCGATGGGGACTGGCTCAGTAGTTCCAGCGCAGAAGCCTTTGGTAACAGCGTCCGGGTTGAGGATGTAGTTGTCCTTCTCGAAACCAAGGTATTCGACGTATGTGGTGGGATATGACCTGGCATGGGTTAGCGGCGATTCGAGAGAACAACAGCGCAGAACACACATCGGCACATCACTCTTCGTCCAGGTCATATCAGCCAAGTCTGAGAAGACTGTGAATCCCGGGGCAGACGTGATGCCATGTGGGTAGAGTGTCTCGACGCAGATAGAAGTAGAAACGCAACCATCGTCGAAAAAGATGACGTAGGGAGTGAACAGGGCGGTGACCGTTGCTACGATGGTATACGGAAAAGAGTGTAGAGATGCAGCTGTTGCTCCAAAGTAGCAGCTACTACAGGTCGTTGAAGTCGGAAGCGCTGTGGTATAGGCAGGAATGGTCGAGTCTACATCAGCGATCAGTACGGTATGATAATGACAACAGGGTTTATGTACGTACAAGCGAGTGTGGTGGACATCGTTCACGTCCGTGGTGTTGCGGCTAGGTGTGTCGGAGAGCGCGAGACTGGGCGAGAAAGGATAGGAGGACTGCGAGGATCGTTATATGGATGATCCCTTGTTGACAGAAGCATAACAAAACTGACAATGCTTCCCTGGACAAGTACAGCATGTGCAGGCGTTGTGTCTGCGTCACTTGCACAGGCATCGGCACGTTGCATTGAGCGACATGCCTCACCGGAGTTGCCTTCGCTGGTGTACCACCATTGCCTCGAAGCCTTGTTCGCTGCTCGAATCGCCGAATCTGCGGTGGCTCCTGCATAGGACGCAGAGTGTACAGATAACGGACGAGAGCCTCTGTTGAGCGCCATTGTGGTAGTGTACGACTTGGCGTACGGCCTGACGCACGTATTGGTGCCACTGCTCGGCGGTGGCTATTCGTTGTTGCGGTCTGGTATCGTCTGCGAACTCAGCCTCGACCAACTGATCCAGCTCTTCTGACGGGCGTAGATCTTCACACTATGCCGTGATGGTTCCATGCTCATGTCTCAGTGCCAGGAATTCGAACTAGAGACTGCCACCTTGCGATGAATTCGACTTCAGGTCTTCTCAGCCTCGCACCAGGCGAGTGGAGAGGCGATGATGGCAACTGGTCGACGTTCAGTGTCTTAGTAGATGGTGCATCTGGGCCCTTCTACGTCTTGCCGGCAACTGGAGGCTCGCAGATATGGCTTCCAAACCCGATAATGGCATGCCAGGGTTCTACGATCCCAGATTGCAATGGCGAACGAGGTATTCCCAACTACACTTCACTGGACAAAGCGTCCGGCTGGACCCAATATGGCACCTCGAACATGTCCGCAACGCCGCCCATTTTTGAGATTGACCGTGCAAGTTTCTGGTTTGGTTCAGTTGGGTGGAACAGCGTTAATAGTGGAGATATCGAGACACCTGATAACAGAACAACCATTGCCTCATACACCGATAGGGAGTATTGGCTTGGACTCGTCGGCCTCGGGAACGATCCAACGCGTTTCGACATGCAAACAATGTTGTCCAGTCCTTTGCAAGCTTTGAAGGACGCAGGACACATCGGCAGCCTTTCATATGGCTACACTGCCGGAGCTGCATACTGTGAGTAGACTGGCAGTAATCATGAAAGATCACGAAACTTACATATGCGTTGTTCCAGTGGATGAAGAGGCTGGAAGCCTGACCCTGGGCGGATACGATGAAGCTCGGTTCCAGTCCGATAACGTGGTCAACGTCACGATGAAAGATGCAGGAAGGAAATTGCAGCTGCAAATGACAGATATCAGTGTGTCCGGTGGGATTCAAGGAGGGATCAAGACGCTTTTGACGCCAGAAGAGTTGCCAGAAGGATTGTCGGTTCTCTTGGACTCGTCGACAGCTCAACTTTGGTTGCCAGCCGACGTGTGCCAACAATTTGCCGAAGCCTTCGGGTTGACGTATCAGGAACCATTGAACCTGTACACGATCGATCAGACGTCCCGTGGCACTCTTCATGACCACAAGGCGAACCTGAGCTTCACCATTGGAGCAGGTAGCACCCTGGAGACTTCGACGACCATCGTCTTGCCTTTCAGAGCCTATGACCTAACTTTGTTCCCACCCTTAGCGGAGACAAGTGCAGGGGCCTCGTACTTTCCACTTCGAAACGCGACAGCGGAAAGCGGCAATATCCTCGGCCGGGTATTCCTTCAAGAGGCGTATGTTGTGGTGGACTGGGAGAGAAGCGTTTTCAATGTCAGCCGAACGACACATGCAGTCCAAAGTCCTCGCTTGGTGCCCATCGCGTCAATCGACTCGACCTCGTCAGATACGACCGGAAACAAGTCGCTGACCAGAGGTGGACAGGCTGGCATCGTGGTATCGTGCCTGATCCTCCTTTTTGCCATTGTCGCAGTTCTGTGGTGGTTTCGACGCCGTAGAAGCCGCGAAAGAGACCGGAAAGCATTGACAATTGGCACTGTCGAGACGATAGAGACGGGGTGGGAGAAGCCGGAGCTGATGGCAAAGGAGAGCAAGAGCGGCCAATTCCTTGAACTTGACTTCCTCAGGGGTGGAGAGGCGGATTCCACGCAATTGCTCGAAATGAGCGGCTCGGAAGTCGAGCGAGAATTGATGTCGACAGAGGTGCTGGAGATGGAGGGCGACTTGGTGCAGCAAGATGTGAAGAAGTCGGTTGGTGGCGATAAAGAGGCAAACGATAAAGAGGAGAAGAAAGTGGGATCGGTACATGAGTTGGAGGCGCGACAGTTCTGCGAACGTGATATCTGGGCATCTGTGAATGCATTAGCTGAACTTTGCGAATGAGAGCGCGTCTGCCGAAAGACCAGGCTAATTAGTTAGATTGTTGATGCTTATGTTCATTTTCACTCATATTAGATCATGCTCGTTCAAATTTCGTCTCCCATCTTATTAGTCGTTCCACAGATTACAACATTATCATTCCGATACCAGAGACCACAGCCAGTTGCACAAAGAGCCAGAAAGCCAGTGAGCCGATAGCAGGGTGAATAACATTGTTCATGCCAGTGGCTCCTGCACTGGACGATGAGGCACCACTCGAACCACGAGAGCCTCCAGAGCCTCCAGAAGCACTGATAGCAACCGACGCCGAGCTCAATTGATCTCGGCAACTGCCACTTGGAGTAGCAGCGGCCTGAGTTACGGCGGAGCCTGAGAAGCTGCAAGCGCTTGGGCTGCTATCCTGCGCCAGATAATATTGGTTCAAGACGTAGCCGAGCTGTTGGGTAGAGTTGCACATGCCGAATTGTCCATAGGTACCCGTGGTGCCATTTGCCGCAATGCCATCGCAGGCACCACCTGGCAGGCCGCATACGTAGCCAAAAAGGTCGCCATAGCTTTCTTCTGAAACATCTGGAGCGACCGTGCAGCCCAGGGAGTTGTACATACACTCGCAAAGACCCGCATCTGGAGAAGGAGGAAGCGGAGATGCGGCGGCAGTAAAGTTCGCCCACCCGGTAGGACAAGAGCGTGGGACGGTATTGCTCGGAGTGTAAGATGCGCTGGTGACGATGCTAGGTGAGACCGTTGCAATTTCCGTCTTGAGGTTGCCAAAATCAGGTAGGGTTGAGACCGAGCTGCCAGACACAGAAACAAGGCCTGAAGATTGTCAGTCCATTTTTTCAACATCATCGTTTTTGCTGGAAGAGCTCACCATAATTGTTAGCCTCCTGGAAGTACAAATACACAATACCGCCGGAGAAGACGCCGTCCATCATAGGGCCGTACAGCACTGGTGTTTCGGTGAATAACCGAGTTCCAGCGGTGTTGCATCCATATTCAGCAAAGAATACAGGGACTGTGTAGTTCTGGTAGTCCTCAACACGCACGTTGTATCCAGATTGCGTGAACGAGGAGTCGCCACACCAGGAGTAGACATTCTGGCCATAGAAATCGACCGCATCATCCTGGTCCGAACCACAGTTCATGTAGTTGGACAAGGCATCGCGAACGTACTGGTTATCTTCTGCCGCATAGCCAACTCCGATAGCGCGATACTTGGACTTGATGTACGCCTTCGTGTCACGGACAGCGGCCTTCACGAAAGGAGCGGCAAAGGTGTTGTTAGGCTGAGTGATGACCTCGTTACCGGCGAAGAAGCCTAGGGTGTTTGTGTAGTTTGCCAGAGCATCGACAACACCTGTGTAGCGCTCGTAGATCTCGGTAGTCCACGTTGGGTTGTTAGAGTCGATAGATTCAGAGGGCGAGCCAAGATCTGCGATGACATAGATGCCGGCGTTTGCAAACATGTTCATGCATTCGGAGTGATCTTTCGTGGGGTCAATTGCGTACACACGGATGGTGTTTGTGGAGAGTTGCACAAGGTATGGAAGGTCCCTCGAACAACCAGCGGGATCAGCGAGCGGGTCAGTGTAGCCATTGCTGGAGTTTGCGCCGTCCGAGACGAAGTCCTGCTGATAAGCAATGCCTTTGATGTAGCTGGCTGCTGTCAGTGAAAGTGACCCCGGATGTGGCGGATACCTTACAATTCAGTGCCATTGGTCTTGTAGAAGAACTTCGTGCCTTTGATGACAATTGGGTCGACATCCTGAGCTGTTACAGTTCCAAATAGCAAGCTCCCCAGTGCCACGGCGATGGATGCGGCGGGTGCAAAGTTCTTCATGGTGAACGCGGCGGACGAACCCAGCGATAGACGTAAAACGAGTGTCCTTTGTACTCAATCGTAGTGATGGATTGCCCTCACGGCCTGCAGATTGTAGGACTGAGATGATGAGAGTTGGTAAGAGACAGCTTGTTGTCAAACACTGCCCAAAGTGTTGACCGAAGGATCTATACTTTTCGGCAAAGATCGACTGTCCGCGTACGCATTGTTGCTAGCTGCGGCGAGGTTCGACCTGAATAGTCAGCAGCCCCAGCTCTTTCAGCTCAGATAAGACCTCTCCAACCGCCAGCCTTCTTTGCTTCAGAATGGCATGTGTTGTCTGACCTGAAAAAGTGTGATCCAGCGACTGGAACCTCTGGAGATGGCCCTCGCGAACTCACAGGCTCCTCTCGTTGCGTTGTGCTGGGTGTTGCTATGCGGGATCATCGCATTCGCCACGGTCGCTCAGAAACCCTCCGCGGAAGCCCGGTGGCGGTGGACGAATACGGCCGATCCGATATTTACGGTTTCTGCTTCCACACGACGTGTTCTGCGGACAGAAAGCGGTAGGCGTGCACCTCGTGTGATGCATGTCTTGTGATTGTCAAGGTGAGTGAATGTTTTGGGAGGAGGTGAGGTCGAGTGCCTACCCCTTGGCGGGTCTTGGACGGCAAGAGCCAAGGAAAGATCAATGCGTCGAAGTTCGATATGCCCTCGCTCCTATTTCTTCAACAACCTCCATCATCATCAACACCACAACATTCCATCGCTTGTGGGACGGCATCAACATCGCAAGCGAATGTCGCAAGCGGTGAAAGGTATCGCGATTTCGCGAAGATGGACCTTGGACCGGACGATATGGACTGCCAGGAAGACAAAGTCGGGAGTTTTTCGGTTTGCCATGTGTTACATCATATGGGAGCGCACGTCGCAGGATCCGTGGACTGTGTGAAGAAGCCTTCAGCCGCTGGGTGAGAATGATCACACCTGCTTCACCCTACTCCCGCTGGTGCCGCCCACAGCCAGGAGCACAAATCCAATGGATTCTAAAGGCGCCCCATACACCTTGAAGGACATGCCAGGGAAAGGGAAGGGCCTGGTCGCGAGTGACCAGCTTCTGAGAGGAACGTGCGTCATCGATGAAGCAGCCCTCTTCACAACAGAGTCTCTCCAAAACCCTGCAGCAATCGAGAGGGACTTGGGCGGGATTGTGAAATCCTTACCCAAGAAAGACCAGACCTCCTTTCTTTCCTTGCACAACAACTATCCTGGAAAGAACGCGTTCTCGAACATCGTCCGATCCAACGGCTATCCTCTCGGACCTAGCAGTGAGATCGGAGGCATCTTCTTGGAGACGGCTCGCATCAATCACAGCTGCCAGCCAAACGCTCAGCATGCCTGGAACGAGAAGTTGCAAAGGACGCAGGTCCATGCCGTGCGCGATATCGAGGAAGGTGAAGAAATAACGCTATCATACGTCGGCGGCGGACCTTCGTATGCTCGCTAAGAGCATATCAAGACATACTTTGGCTTTGACTGTGGTTGCCACGCTTGCTCTCTGCCATCTTACGAGCAGAAAGTCAGTGACGAAAGACTGAAAAGAGCACAACGATTGGACGAAGCGATTGGAGACTCCAAGCGAGTTAGATACAGCCCAGAGAAGGCCCTGAACGACTGTCATGCGCTGCAACAGATATATGAAGAAGAGCAAATCTTCGACCTTCGACTGCCAAGGTTGTACTACGATGCTTTTCAGATCTGCGCCATGCATTCAGACCAAGCAAGGGCTTCAATCTTCGCCCGCCGTGCTCGCGAAACACGCATCATTTGTGAGGGCCGTGGCAGTGGCGAGGCCGCGGAGTTGGAGAAGCTCGCATCGCATCCTGAGAAGTTCCAAAACTCTGGTGTCACAACGAGATGGAAATCGAGAGCCGATGATGTTCCACAAGATTCTGATTCGACATCTTTCGAGAAGTGGCTTTGGAAAGACTCCTGTGCTTGATGCAGCCAAGTATTATTAAGTGCGTCTCCTCTATGTTTTAAATCCTTGTCGAGCCGGAGACACCATCACTGACGAGCGTATAGTATGCTTTTATAGGCAAAAATAATGGCGCTGCCCTATGTTGACAACCCGAATCAGCATAGCCATTTCCTAGTAGAAGTATCTTCCACCGACACAATGACCTCACCTTCGCTTGCCTCGCTACGGTAGGTCTCGAGAAGGTTAGCCTCTTGACAAAACTGGCATATGACAAAGCTGCGTCGGAGCTCGTTGACGCTTGCCCGCCCCAATCTACCCTAGTACCAACCAGAAATGTCACTTGCTTAGTTGGGTGAACATATGCGTTTGGTTGACCATGCTTATAGTAGTCATGATTTCTCATGATGCTTGCTTTAGGGCACGGGTAGGAGCAGCCCCTTGATCACGACATTGAGAGGTGGGAATGTATAAAGGAAGCCTACTTCCACCCCACAGCCAGGATGGGCATCTATGCCAACAACAACAACAATTCGAACATCAACGCTCAAGCACAACAGTGACAAGATGGCTTCAGTATCACCATACGTCCCTACATACCACGACACACCAGTCAATTTCTCTGGACCAACATCATCTGGCAATGCGACTGTCCACTACGTCGAAGCTGGCTCTCCAAGTTTCCCAACGGTCCTACTTCTGCATGGATTCGCCAGCAGCTCGTACCAATATCGCGAGTTCATTCCTTTGCTGTCAGACTCCTACCATGTCCTGGCTCCTGACATACCCGGCTTCGGCCTCACGACAGTCCCTGATAACTTCAACTACACATTCGACAATCTTGCTGCAGTGATCACGGCTTGGATCTTGGCCTTGAACCTGAGCCCCTTTGCCCTGTACATCTTCGACTACGGCGCGCCTGTTGGCCTGCGTTTTGCCATTCAACATCCGGACAAGATCAAGGCGATCATCAGTCAAAACGGAAACGCCTACAATGAGGGATTCGGGCAACCCTTCTGGCAGCCAGTGTTCAATCTCTGGAACAGCTCCAACGCCGAAGCCGAGCGAGAAGTCATCAGGAACAGCGTACTCACACTGGAGACGACCAAGTACCAGTACACTGAAGGCGTCCCAGAAGCAGACTATCCATTACTGAACCCATCAGCCTGGACGTTCGATTACTTGCAGAACATTGCTGGCGAGAACAACACCGAGCATCAGGTTGACCTCTTCTACGATTACCGTACGAACCCAGGGACTTACTACCCCAAGTTCCATGAGTACTTCCGTAATTCGAAGGTCCCGATCCTCGCAGTTTGGGGGAAGGGAGATCCTGCGTTCATTCCACCTGGCGCAGAGGCGTTCAAGCAGGATTCTCCTGATGCGGTTGTGAGATTTGTGGACTCTGGTCACTTTGCCTTGGAGACGAAAAGGTGGGAGATCGCTAGGATCATGAGGGGATGGTTAACTAGTATTGGCTATTAGAGGTCCTCATTCAAGGAGTGCCGTGACATATGTAGTTCGGAAAAGCAGTTGTCGTATTAATAGACCCTCAATGAAATATTGATTAAGAAGCTCAACCCGGCTATTCTTCGGATGTTCATGCTCATGCCCTCAAGCTTCACCTCGATGTCCAACATAAGTTTGAGCACCACTACCTACGCCACGACCTTGCAATGCGCCGAAAGGCGTTCGAACACGTGTGCCTCTCGTGCCGACAACTGAACAACTCGTCGAGAGTGTCTGGCCGGCGCTATGTGCAAATCAGCGCGACTCCAGCCTCGACCGAGCAACAACAGAGCTTAGAGACGTCCACCAGTACGAGCTCAAGCCCTTCTGCTGGTATTCTCCCTCTACTAGGATGTATATTTCGAAGATGTAGCTCACATGTACTACCAGACGCGCGATTCGAAGTCCTCGGCAGCCCTTTCTCGCTCCTCTCCGCCTCCATATCCGCTTCTCAGAACCTGTATACGCGCAAAGGCACATTGGTGGGATTCAATGGCAAGGCAGAGAACGTAAGGGCATGCGCCACGGGATGAGGAAAACTGTTGTTGACTTGTATAGGCGGTATCGACGTTGTCTCTGCTGGAACCTTTTCGCCGAGCCCTCCTAGGCATCCCCTTCGTTTACCAGCGAATATCCTCGACTACGCCGTACACTGCTCTCATAGCCACCAAGTCACCTATTAAATCTCTCGTCGTGGTACATCTAGATGGGCGGCTAGATTGGATGATTGCGCGCCGCAATGCTCTCCTGGCATGGACTGGACATACCTTGAGCTTGAAGCCAAGATGGAATCAAAAGATGGTGGGTGGTATGCGTGATAGTTGATGGGCAAATGCTAACAGAAGCAGAGCCTGGCACATTGGGGCAGCACAACAGTCACAGGGCGAGGCTTACTGGCACTTTCGGGCAAAGGCTTGATACACCAAATCACACTCAAGACTGGAGACGAATACGTGGTACACCCTAGCAACGTCATCGCATACAGCATCATGCAACACGCACCGCAACCTTACCGCTTCAGCTCGAACAACTTGCGGTTGCAAATACCCAACCCGTTGACGTCGCTGCCGGACACCAGATTCTGGAGGACAATGCGGGAAAGCACGGCCTGGAGACTTATCAGAGATGCTTCTTTCGCAGTCAGAACCTGGGCGAGAAGAACGATCTGGGGTGACAGGGTAAGTACAGGACCGAAATAATTGGTGATGGATGTTGACTTTTCCAGCTGTTCCTCCACTTCCACGGGCCGGCCACCATCCTTGTTCAATCGAGAGCGACGGCAATCAGCGAAGTATTGACAAACCAGGACGTCAATGAGATCGCCGACAGTCCAGCTGGCGCTGTGCCGACTACACTCCACGCAAAAGCGGCCGCCGAAGATCGCGCTTCTATCGCATCCAGCACACCAACCTCAAAACAACCCGAGACTTCCATGAGCTACGCCACTGTGGGTGACAGTGGAAACGTCAAGTTCGACAAATCTTAGATACCCATTCAAAAAGGCTTCGTATGTATCATAAAGTGAGCAGCTGTACAAAGGCAGATCCCAGCTCGGCATGCAAAGGCATTACTCATCCCTAAGATCTTTGTAAAAGTGAATCTCATCCATCAAGCTGCCATCCTTTGGAGATACACAATATCTGGGCAACACACCCCAAGCTTTGTATCCGAGTCGAGGATACACTTCCGCTGCTGGTGTGCCAGACTCGGTTCCAAGTTGCTGACACTGCAATGAGTACTTGCTGAACTTCCACGTAGCAATTGACTTACTATTAAGCCTGCGTTTCGTTCCACGGCCGCCTCCTCGAGCTTGTCCATCAGGCGCCTCGCAAACCCCTTCCGCCGATGTCGAGGGCTCACCATGAGCTTCTCAATCCAACTTCGAAAAGGACCTGTCTCCTCTCCAGGCACATGCAAGCTTCCCAGTCCGGCCAACTCCTCGTTACCACTCGCATCGGTAACGAATTGGAGTACGATGACACGTTTGCCATCTTCGACCTCTGCGTGCTTCGTCAGCCAGTACTGGTCGAGCTTGGAACGATTTGACACGTCGAGAATGCTAAGCGGCATGGCATCGTGGATCACACAATCGTGGTGAATGTCGGCAATCTGGGCGAGGATGTGTTGATGTTTGGAAGGGTCGTAGAAAATTGGTGTTGCAAACGAGGTATTGCTGGTGGTATTCGCCATGATTGTTTCTGCGACTTGAGTTATTCTTCTGCTGACTCTGATTACCAGGAAGCTCATGGCCAGTGTACGGCTACAGGCACATGTCCTCCTCTATATATCGAAGACGGCTTGCTCTTACAAACAATCGATCTTCACAGCGGTGTCCGGATTCGGAAGGATCGAGCGAGCTTTTCTGTATATCAGCTTACCACCGGAGCAAAAGTGGCTGTTCGCGGCTCGCCGCATAGCCAGCGGAGAAAGGGTGCCGAATATTCGAGGAATCGAAATGTTAACATCTTGAAGTTGATGGTTTACTACCACGGAACGGCTCTCAACAACACACCCGTGCCGACCAGGACTGCAACGAATATCGACAAGTTTCGGTTGGCGTTTGCCCTGGACTCTGCATATGCCCTGGCCATTCTTGCTTCGAAATCGCTCGGTGTGTTACCATTTGGGAAAGGAATATTTGGCACAGGCTTATCGAGAAAGTAGCACAACGGGTCCCTGCATTGAAATGTCAACGTCGGCCTCACAATCGCCAGACTGAACTGATACTCGAGACTCACCAGTCGTCCTCAACCTTCCACTTGAGATATCTTCGGCCCTCCTTGTTGAGTCTCCTCTCCAAGCCTGCGTAATGCTCCAGGTAGCATGACTTTCCGTTCGACTTGAAGTCGTATTCGAACAGTCGTCGCCAAAAGAGGAAGAATGTCACTTGATGGTTCCAGAACAGTCGCGAATCGAAAAAGGTCAACAGCCAGTCCCACCACGTGAGGAAGTCATTATGCTTCTCGACAGTCGCATCCGCACTTCGATACCAGGCGTCTAGGTCCTCGCGATAATTCAGAATGACCTTTGCATCAGGATACGCATCGAGCAATTCATTCGCAAAACCACAAGACGGCGTGTCCGTGACCGCTCGACAATCTCCAAGAACTTTGTCGAACTCCTCCGCCGTAAGCTTCGATTGCTTGCCTTGCCGCTGCGTTAAGACGAGTCGAACCCACGGTAGGATCTCTGTCGGATCTGTGATGTACCGGAAGCCATGGTGGCAGTCGTCGTAGCCAAGTTCGATGAGTGCTTGGCGGAGAGACTCGGTGCCTGAGCGGGAAATGCCCAGAGCCAGGACCTGCAGGGGACGATCTCTGGTGGGGCTCTTTTCTGGAAGTGGGTATATGAGGCGGAGAATGTCAAAGGAAAGAGGCGTTAGTTGCATTTTTTTTAATGGAGGTTCGGTCTGCGAGGAGGAGTTCCAAGAAGACATTGGAGTGGCTTTTTGACGAGAGATTGATATCTCCTCACCTCGACCGTCGCTCCACGGACAGTCTTGCCGTCCCTTCCCTGGATCCATCATTTAAGCGCATTTTATAGGGAAAACGAGGTTGTCCACTTAGGGACTGAGGCTGAAGACTGAGCGGTTTCCTTTCCGGAACGTCCACTCGCGATCCAGAAAACGAGAGGTAAGCTTTTCCACCAGGCGAGTCCAGTGTACGGCTAAAGTCCTTAGTGTAATAAGACATTTCGAGGCCTGAGGCATTCATCGTCGACGACACATGCTGACGACATTGTATTCGAGGTCTGGCTAAGAGCACCAGCAACCATGAGCACTACCTCTTCTGTACTACACCAGAACCCTAATCGACAGGCCATTCACGAGCATCGCTTCACCAACAGACTAGCCCCTTCAGAACAAGTTCGCGCTGAAAGGATCCGCCCAGTTCAGCTGCACGACCGGCCATGTGGCATATAAAGAACATCACATAAAGTACGCTGGCACCCCAATCAACCGTCTGAGGAGTTCCACCAACTAACAATGTCGAAACCAGGTCCCAAAACCCGTCGGCTCTTCACTTTTCAAGAACACTGCTTCATCGAAAACATCGCCATCCGCCACAATGGCCATCTCCTCCTAACCACCTTCCGCGAAGGCGAACTCTACAACGTCGACCCAGATGCTTCATCGCCAGAACCCCAACTCGTCGCCCGTCTTCCCGACGTCAACGCTCTAACCGGCATCGTCGAAATCGCCCCTGATGTTTGGGCCGTCGCGGGTGGGATGCACGCGCCGCAACCTTTCGTCTTCGACAACGGCACCATGAAAGTCTTCCGCGTGGATCTAAATACTGGGATCGAGAACCCATCAGTCGAGAAAGTTGCGGATGCACCTGATGCGCCGCTCCTGAACGGGATGTGTGGCGTCGAGGAGAATCCGCATATTCTGTTGAGTGTCGATTCGCATGGCAAAGTGTGGAGAATCGATACCAAGACCGGCAAAGTCGACGCACCGCTCGAGCATGCGAATCTGGCGCCTAGCGAGGCGGCGGAGAGGTTGCCCATCGGCGCGAACGGCGCGAAGACGCTGGATGGGTATCTGTACTGGACGAATTCGGGACGGGAGACGTTTTGTCGGGTGAAGATCGATGGGGAGGGTGTTCCACAGGGAGAGGTGGAGGTTGTGGCGAAGAACGAGGGTGCTGGGAAGATGATTGCGTATGATGATTTTGATTTCGATCGGACGACGGGGGTCGCGTATCTCACGCAGCATGGGAATGCAGTGCATAAGGTGGATCAGGAGGGGAAGTTGGAAGTTTTTGCGGGTGGTGGGGAGGATAGGACGTTCGAGGAGCCTACGGCGTTGGCGGTGAGTAAAGATGGGAAGAGGATGTTCGTGGCTTGTGCTGGGAAGATGGGGGAGTTTAAGGGGAATGTGATCGAGGTTGAGGTTTGAGAAAAGTTTGCAACCCATCGTGCTGAGTCTGATTTACTTCCTTCTGTCGTACAAGTGTGGCCTTGATGCAATTATTGGCTGCTCGCTGGTGTGAATCCGCCCTCCGCGAGTACCTCCTGAAAAGCAGCAGCCTGTCCGCCGTTGTCCGTTTCCCAAATTCGCCGAACCAAGAAGATGAAGGCGTCGCTGCTATATTGGTCGCTGAAGAGTAATCTCGAGCTGAACGCTGGGACGAGAGGTAGGAATATCATCGTGGCTCTTTAGGCCCATGGACGCATCATGGTGGCTGGCTGGTATTGCAGGTTGCTAATAGGCACGGTAAGTCAGCTCAAAGAATTTCTAGAATCCAACTGTGTGATGGTGGTGTACTTACATATCTCTCGTGAAGATCACAGTAACCGCATACTTGCCGTGTCCCCGAATGATAGCTGCAACCTCAGACGGATGCGGGAAGAACATTGCAAACATGGCGAGCCACATCAACAACGCATCGAAGATGTAGAGGAACGCCTCGTGCGTGATGATGTAGCCTTGCCATCCCTGGCCGTATTCGACCAGACGAACGAGGCATCGGACGAAGATCAGGACGCTGACGATGTAGAGGTTCCACAGGTGCTTCTCGTATGGGTAGCGCTTGCACTTCTCAGTGGGGTTGCCACGAACGCGAGCGTGGAAGATCGCACCAGCCACGACGAAGAGGAAGAAGAAGACGAGTTGGAGCGCCAGACCTCCCATGATGAGTGATTCGCCGGTGTTGATGCTGTCGCCGCCCTGTGCTAGGAGGCCGCCACCTTGAAGAGGAATTTAGATGAGAATAGAATGCACCAGGGTCTAGGGGGTAGACTTACCACCAGATTGCATGAAGAAGGATAAGACGTCGCCCGTTACGAAGATGCAAGTCAACCAACGGCGTCGGATGAACAGAGCATGGTCACCATCCACCATCTGCACGATGCGAGCGAGTTCCATGTAGATAGATGCAGCGAAGAGGGCCGGCGCGACGAGAAGGAAAATGCTCTGAATGATGTACGGGCCAAGCGTAAAGTCGGGTGCTTCGTTGGATGACAGTGCGCGGCCGATGTAGCCGATTACTTCGACTGCACGGCCATTAGTACGAATCTATCGTCGCGATCGTGTAATACTGACAGAGGCCGCCAATGCAGAACGGAATCATGAACCACGTCCGCGTCCGGATCATCTGGTAGAAGTGGATGGTGGTGGCGAGCAGGAATAGGAGGATGAAGATGACCGCGCCGGCCATCGTGGGCGTGTAGTAGTAGTACTTGAAGTCGGAGAGGCCGCCATCATCGGCGCGAGAGAGGAGCATCTTGGACGAGTTCGTGTTGGTGGTAGAGAGCGACGGCTGTTGTTGGAGGACTTCTTGATGTTGGGCTGACAGAGGTGTTCAAGAGCCACAAAACCAAGAGCCACAGAACGTGTCAAGGAATGTGTCGAGCGTGATCGTGAAGAGGGAAGTGTCGGTTTTGAATGGAGGTGTTGTTGAGGAAACAGCCTCGTCGGAGCGGTCGTATGCACATCGTGTCCAAACAAACGACAGTAGCTGCTGCGCCGAGCAGATCAATGTGGGTCTTCCCGTCTGAAGGCATCAGTTTTCAAGAGCATTGACCGACCCTCAGCAAAAATTCGGTGCAATCACTGAGTCGCAATGGCTTGCCGCGTGCTTCGCGTAGACGTAGAAGAGCGATACGACGAACACGACCAAAGAGAGACCCACTTTTCTGGCTGTGCAAGGGGGCAATCCTCAACCGAGTCCGAGCGATACGTTAAAGCGGCTGTCGTCTGTGGCTACCTTCTGCGTCTATTCTTTGTTTGTTAGCACGCAAGATAGTCTGAGTAGGCAGCAGGATTTGTTCGCCCGTCAATGGCTGCTCTGTTCAAGTCTCGAAGCGCAGCGAGACTCATCACTGGGAAATGAGAGCAACGGACTTGCCGACAACCTGTCTCATAGGCAAACCAGAGCGAGTGCGAAAGTCCTAACGACCAGATGTCAACGATCATGCACACCACCGTCGACTACGCTCAAAGTGGAAGTACAGCGGCCTTATGTCTCCGATTCTTAAAGTGACTACGCCCTTGGTCGTGCTCCAGGTTGCTTAGACAGCTCGCGAGCTTTGGGGGATGTGTGTTCCACTTTGAGAGAGATGAGGAGGGTAGGTAGGCCGGCACTTACTAGGTTCTGCAGACTCTGATCAGTGCCACGGTATGACTTCTGGAAGACTATGCTCGTTGCATTGACACTTATGGAGTCTGATTGAAGTCGTAGCTGTTCCCAAAGCCGCGATTGAGGTAACGTTGTGTCGCTTCAGCTTCGCTCACCCAGTCTGTAGGTACTTCAAGCATATCTTGGCCCTCAACGACAGGTCTGATGGTATCCGATAGCTCAAGCTTCATCGGATTCCTGTACCAAGGAGCGAAGTGGACTACGACAAACGTCAGCCTGATTTCATCTACACATATATCAAGAGCCTCACTCATCGCAAGCATGACCCGGATGTCTTGCGTTTTGTTCGGCATACCAGCATGCCAAAGCCTCAGATCTCGGATGACAATACTGCCTTTCTTGATGTCAGGTTGACTTGGACCTCTGGTCTGGCGTCGATTCTCCAACACGTGCTCCATGATGCGGCCACTCGCTCTGTCTCCGTGCAAACCTTCTTGGACTTTCAGGCCAGAGAGATCGCCGGTATGAGTTCCCAGCCAGACTTCCGTGCTTCCATTCTCTGGCGTAAAGTCGATCAGTGGCACGTTCACGACCAGCGCAAAGGGATGATCGGGATGGGCAAAGTCTGCGTCGGCGTGAACAGGCTGTCTTTGCGGTTCAGCTCCTGGCACTGGTGGCAGAGCAGAGTTGCCACTGCAGAAAGTCCACTTGGGCTTTGGCCCAAGGACATTTGTGGTGATCTGGCTGGCAATGGGGTTCATGAATATTGATTTATCGAAGTACTTGCGCACCGGTGGGGCGTCTTGTTGCTGCCAGAGGTCTCAGCTTCATCCACACGGTGTGACGAAAAGTACACTCACTATGTTGCCAACGTTATAGTTGAATGGACCGTCTTTGCCTCTCGCCTGGAGTGTTCGAGCATCCTCTACCATCTTGGCATTCAGGTCATCCAGTGCTTCGTGCTGAATTACGTCCGATACGACCACCAGGCCATCTATGTGGAGGCTCTTCACCGCGGCCTCGAGGTTTCTGGACCCCAGGCGACCGGCTGCTATCTCATCTCTGGAAGGTTTGATGGTATGAGGCAATGTGGATGCCCGCCGGATGAACTGCGAAGTGAGGGTTGTTTTGCGCGCAAGAACGGTTTGGGAAAGACGCAGGGAATTCATCGTTGTGGTGAGAGTGTGAATGAGAGATGGTTCTGAGAAATCTGCCTTACCTTTGCACCTAAATACCACATCTCGACGCGGCCATGTGTTTGGGTGCAAGTCGAGGAGAGAGCACAAGTTGACCCCATTCTTTCCCGAGCTCGGAATAGATTCACTCACGGAGACTAGCGTACGGTACGGGAGTTTCCGATACGGCCCGGTTCCTGAGTCGTTGCTGCGAAAGTCAGGAGATAGGACAAAGACTTCACGGCCACCGGCGTGGACATCATCATCATCGTCGGCCTCCTCCAGCGCTAGATGAATCAAGCCACAGCAATTTGAGCGCGAATCGCCGAATCAGCATATCAGAGCCGTCTTTCCTGGCGCCTGGCGATCATTCAGTGCGGCTGGGGTGGCTGTGCGAGCTCTTTCAGCTGGCAACAGCTCTTCCCCTCCACATCGCACGCCTTAGCGGTCGCTACCTCTGCTATTCTAGGGAATTCAGACCAGTATATATCATTTCGTTGTTCGCCAACACCCGAACCTCAATATTCTCATCATTCTCCTCCAAAACTTAGTACCTTTCTAGTATCGAAGAGACACATCTTTCACCATGACCAAGAACCCACCAGAGGGCCAGTACGGCTACCCGCAACAGGGTCAATACGGCCAAGGACAGTATGGTGGACAGTATGGTGGACAGCAACCATATGGAAACTACAATTCTGGCGAGGGCTCTTACGGAAACTACCAACAACCGCAGCAAGGCTACGGTGGCCAGCAAGGCTCTGCACATTCCTACTACGGCTCAAACGATGAGCCTTACCAGCAGTATCCCCAAGACGGCCCACCACATCAGCCGCCACAGGGCTACTACCAAGGCGGCCCAGCAGCTCCATACCCTCCTCAGCAGCATGGCTACAGCCAGCCGGACCAGTACGGCGGAGGGCCACCTCAGTACGGCCAGGAATATCCCCCTGCCCAGCACTACGCACACCAGCAGGGCAGCGGCGGAGATGTCGATGCATTCCGCTCCCACTTTGACCAGCCCCACGGCCCAGGCCAGTACGGAGGTCCTCCACCACCAGGCGCTCCCCCAGGCTCTGACGCAGACCGAGGCATCATGGGCGCTCTCGCAGGTGGAGCCGCCGGTGCGTACGGCGGGCACAAGATGGGCCACGGTATCATTGGTGGCCTAGGCGGCGCAGTAGCAGGCAGCATGCTCGAAGACACAGTCAAGAAACACCACAAGAAGGACAAGAAGCACAAAGACAAGCAGCACCGCCGTGGCTCCAGCTCTAGCTCCAGCTCGTCGAGCTCGTCTGATTCGGACCACAAGAAGCATGGTAGGAAACACGACCGACGACATCATCACTAGTTCGGTTCACTCATCCTGCCGTGGGGATCTTCGCTGACACCGAGCCCAGGCGGCGCACCCGCTGGTAACTTCTTCGCAAGCTGTCGTCAAGGAAGCGTCCATTTGGAAGGTCGCTCTACGCTTGTCGCCGAAGCAGCCAATACTCACGGACACCACCATCGCTCTGAGATCGATTTGAACGACTGTTTTACGAACACCAACGGCCGCTTGCACTGGGCGAGAGGCGGCAACTTTGCGGCTAGCGCTCGCAACATCAGGCTGGCGGATCACGGCAGGGTGATCGAAGCTGAGCTGGGTGATGGTCGCGGCGGATGGCAGCACAATGCCGTGTACTTGGACGAGCGCATTACGAACGAGGACGGGCGCCTCATGATGATCTAGTGGTCGGCTCTGCATGTGACGGTCGAGCTTGGTTTTGCCTTTCTTTTGTACATTACGATACCCGTCCCTATCTTTTTCACACTACTTGCGTCTCAATTTCATCCTCTCCTGTTACGTCTAGACCTGGGAAGTCCCTGTTACACTGCCCTCAAAAGAGTATCGAGCTCAAGACCTGTCGCGTGATACGTACCGCCATCGCGAGAGGGGTGGTCAGACCGGGATGAAAGGTACGTATAATAACAGCAACTCCTCACCCAGAAATAGTCAAAGCCGGTACACTCCCAAGAAGCAACAACTCCAATACCTCGCCCACGCAATCCAAGCCCCAAATGCCACCGATCCTCCCCAAAACCCTGCCCACCAAGGCCCTCCTGCCCAAGCCAAGCCTCCTGCCCACCACCACACGAGCCTTCACGAACACGCCACACTCCATGGCCGAAGGCGACACCGGCTCCCTCCGCCCACGCGGCGAAGCAGCCGCAGACAGCTGGACGCGGCGGGAGAAAGCCGCCGAAGACATGTACATCAAGCAGCGCGAAAAGGAGATTATGAAACTGTTGCGGGAGAAGATCGAAGCGCAGGAGAAGAAGCTGGAGCTGGATCGGGAGGTGTTGAGGTCGATGCAGGATCAGTATGGGCTTGTTATGGAGGGGAGGGAGTAAAAAGGTTCGATCTCGGGAACTGCAGCGAGATATCAAGGATGGGAGTCAAGGAGTCAAGGAGTTTCGTTTCGTTTCATTCATCGACCAGGCGACCCAACAACGCAAACATCCGGCCCAGCCTCACTCCCACTCAGCGTATTCACGACCAACTCCCACACATTCCCATCATACGCCTCCCCAATATGACCTACAGGATCATTGGGACAAAAATCCTGCACATACAAATTCCGCACCCCGGCCTCGTCGCGCACGAAACTCGTCTCCGTCGGCGTCACCAATTCATCATACTTGGACGTCAGGATCGTCACCTCGTTGCCCGGCTGCACGATCGGTCCGTCGTCCAAAGCTTCGACGGCAGCGCCATTGGGGAGGAGATCGTTGCACGCCGCGCAGCCGACGGTGTCGAGGATGGTGGTGACGAGGCCGCTGGTGAGGTTTCCGCCGATGAAGGAGAGGTTGTAGAGGTTCGCGAAGGTGGTTCCGTGCGTCGGGGGCGCGATGGCGAAGATTTTATCGACGATTCCTGAAACGCCGTCTTCGAACTTGGGGATGTAGAGGGCTTGGAAGGCGCCTTCGGAGTGGCCTACGAGGTCGAGTTTGGCGGCTCCGGTCTTTGCGTGGACATTTTTGATGAAGGTTGCGAGTTGGGCGGCGGATTCGTTGATGGGTTTCAGGCCGCCGACGTAGGGGAAATCCGGGTAGGCGCCGTAGGTGATGGAGAAGGTGCAGAAGGAGTTTTGTTGGAGGTAGGCTTCGAGGTAGTTGAGGTCTTCGTAGTAGGTTGCTCCGAGGCCGTGGAGGAGGACGACGGGGTTGGGGTGCGTGGTGCTTTTGCAGAGGTAGTTGTTGTGGAGGGCTTGTCTTTCGGTTAGGATTGGGGTTGCGTATGCCAGTGAGGTGGTTAGCAGGAGGGAGGTTATCGTTTTAAGGGCCATGTTCGTTGGGAAGGTGAGTTGAGGTGAGGTCTGACAGATTGGTGTACCAAGCTGCGAATGGCATCGTTTTTATGGGAGAGGTTTATTTCGATATTGGTTCTGACTTGGACTGTTGTCGCTGATCTTCGGGGCGCTAAGGGCCAAGTACCTGACTGCAGAGCCATTCGGATGTCAGCTCTCGTCGTCTCCACCTCGAGTGAACTTTGTAGCCGTGAGTCCTGATTCGGCGAGTGCACTTTCCAAAATTGGACGTGTCGGCAGACGTCCTGCTTCCCCGAGAGGCACCCCGTTATTATCTATTTCCAAGTGCAGATAGTCGGAGCAGAATGAAGAAAGAGAGGGGGCCACAAAGCCTCAACACGTATTGATACAACTAGACAGAGACGCATGTATGCCGTCTACGCTTTGACTACTCTTGGAAAGGTATCCGATCCATTCCATCCAGCACTGGCTCCACCACACCAACATGAACCGTCACCTTCTCTTTCCACATGTACAACGAGATCCATGTTCCTTCCTCTTACAAACTCGTCAACTCGATGCCTCACATCGTCCACATCCGCGTTGGGGTTCGCAATGATGTGGATAACACCGGTGACTTTGTCCTTGCCGGGCGATGGCCCGTGGTCATGTCCGTGATGGTGTCCATGTGAGTCTGCAGCATCTTCCTTATCGTCCAGCCAGAATCGCGGTACAGCGTATCCTACCACGCCGCGCAACTCGCCAAGTTCTTGGAGAGTGTTCTTGATGTTGTATTCGAGCTGGTCGGGGATGACGAGAAGGAGCTTCTGGCCTGAAGATGTCACTAGAGGTACAGCTGCTGCGAAGATCAAGATGGCGATGATAATCGTTGCCAAGGGGTCCCAGAGATACCAGGGCTTCCACAGCGTCATGGCAGTGCTTAGAATGACGGCCAAGGAGCCGCCAGCATCGGCTGCCACATGCAGAAAGATACCATGCATATTCTCATTGTGGTGGTCGTGGCCATGATCGTGCGAATGAGCAGCGGGTGCGTGAGAATGGTTGTGTTCGTGGGCGTGGCTATGTCCATGGTGCAAATGGTCGCTGTCGTGGGAGTGATTGTGCGAATGGTTCGCATGGCTGTGGTCGTGGCTATGCGAATGATCGTGAGCGTGATCATGCGAGTGTCCGCCGTGTGAGTGGCCATGTCCATGGTCGTGTCCAGCATGCGCGTGTCCAAAGGCAAAGAGCCCGATCATGTTGACTACGAAGCCCAGCGTGCTGACTACGAGTAGCTCCTGAACATGGCGAAGCTCCTTACCCTCGACCATGCCTTCCACTGCTTCCCAGATGAACTCAATACTCACGAGCATCAAGAAGATGCCGTTGCCGAAGCCTGCGAGGGTGTTGAGCTTTCCCCAGCCGTACGGTCTCTCTGGGCTTGTCGGCCATTTCGAGGCCACTGCCGCGCCAAGTCCAACGACAAGGCCTAAACAATCAAAGAACATATGCACAGTGTCGCTCAATAAACCAAGCGAGCCACTAATGTATCCGTAAACACCCTGCACAAACATGAAAGCAAAATTCAAGCTGTGATGCGTTAGCTAGCTCCGCTTTCATACCTTGATGGGCTCTCACTCACCATGTAAAGTACGCGATGCGGCGGGAGTCCTTTTCGCTCAGAATACCATAAACAAGAGAGCCCGGCTCGCATCGTTGCATCAATTGTTTTGTGAACCATGAATAAGAGCCGTCCGCAGGGTGATGGTGGTGGTGTGTGTCGGCGTTATGTGCGTGTTCGTGAGAATGTTCATCATCATGTCTATGCGCCGCAGCCGACGATGTATCGTACAGAACGCCGAAGTAAGACAATCCAGAAAGGCCGCCGTTCAGAATAGTTCCAGGCCACAAAGACGGGGAGAAGAGAAACGCGCAGGCTGCAATCGCGAAGCAGCCGAGCCCAAGACCAGCTTTGTGGGGGCCGCGAAGAGCAGAGGGTCGAGCATAGAGGATCGCCGCGGCGGAAGTACCTAGAGAGAGAGTGCTGAACGCTATGGCCGAGAGCGTGATTGGTGGCGATGTTGAGAAGATCAAGGAGAATATGAGCGTTATCAAAGACATCAATACACCGGCTGTAAGGGTCGTATTGACATCCTGGATGGAAGACACTAGAGGTGATGTGGCCGGCTGCGACCAAGGCGATCGCATTGTAGTCGGTGTCGAAGAGCTTGCGATATTTGAAGAGGGCGTAAAAACGGCCGGTAAGGGAGGCTGAATTACAAAGAGCGAACCAAAAAGCGCTGAGTATCCAAGCAGCAGATCAACAGTCGATGCTCTGAAGGTGATGCCAGTGAAGTCAAGAAGCAGGGCAATGACGATGATCGATATCGAGCCTATCCTGGACTTCACGACGTGTTTCCAATCGAGTCCAGTCAGACTGGACGGGGTTTGTGGGTTGGTTATGTTGGATGCGATTGTTGTTAACAGAACAAGTCCAGTTCGCATTCCTCCAATCTGCAACGAAGCGTAGAAGGGCAGGCCAACGCTCAACGATCGAAGGGCGATCTTCCGCAGCGATCCAGTGGACAGCAGGTCACTAACGACTGGTGAAGGCTCCGGCTTGTCCTTTCGTCGGTCCAGCATTCGCTCTGAGGATCGAATCTTGGCCAGTATCCCAACCAGCAGGAGTGTGCCTGAGGTCAATGTGCAAGCTTCCACGAACCCACATCCCGTCTTCTCGAACAGCTGCCTCGAAGGAAGCTCCTCATCCAGAACCGACTTTTGCAGCCTGGCATATGCGGAAAGAGGAGGGAGGCCATCTTCGACAAAGCCACCATGGTTGCAATATGCCACGGATGCGAACATATACGGCAATGGTATCAACAAGCTTGTCAAGGCCTCTGGTAGTGAGAACCATGAAGCCGAAGCCGCTGGTAGGTTTCTCACTACGCTGGTGTACGACGATGCTGGCCGGCCCAGATCCGACTCTCCTCTTGGCCGGCCCTTCATTGGTAGAGGTAAGTGGTTGTGCGAGTGTGTATGTGCGTGCGAATGCTCGTGATGGTGATCGTGGCTATGGTCGTGGCTATGGCCGTGGTGGCTGTGAAGATGCCCGTTCGAAAGGCCGTTGACACTGCCGTTGGCTCGTACCGCCGACAGGTTCTGTTCAAACGAAGGTGGGTGGTCGTCTTCTCGGTACGGCGAGGCTAGCGGGCTCGTCTCTCGACTGCTCTCCTTGAGGGTGTGCAAGCTGCCGTCCAGACTGCCCTTGGAGGCGAGGTGCTTGGCGGCGTTGCCATTGCTGGTGGGCAAGTGGGAGTGGTTGTGCGTCGAGGCTTCTTTGGCAGGCGACAGCATGGGCTGGGAGTGAGAGTGGTTGTGGTGATAGTAGCTTCCATGGCTTCCTCCTGCCGCGGCCGGGGCAGGAAGTACCCTGGACATGCTTCGGGGTGCTGAAAGTCAAGTCTCAGGCGTGCATGTGTGTGTGCGGTATCCGTCCCATTGGTATCAGGCGAGTCTCGCCGTATCGTCTCCTTCTTCTGCGCTCCTTCCTCCTCGTACTCGTCGATGATGTTGCGCGTCGTGGGTGCAGGTGGTGTCGGAGGCGGCGGCACCAAGGATCATCGAACAACGTAATGGACCGGTGCACACAGATAGCAGAGCGGCCAGTCCACCCCTATTCACTCGAAGCTGCCCAATCCAGGCGCGTGAGGCGCTTTGTCGCAGGGTCTGGCGCTGCCGCAAATAACTTAGGCTCGGGCCCTGCCGAGATAGCGCCACAACCTTGAAGGAATCAATCCTCCGACCGACCACCTGGCCATGTTCACGATACGAACCCATTGAACGTGCTTCGATGACGACGATTGCGAACGAACAGCAGAGGTCATGTCGTGGTGGCTGGTCGTGTGGAATGTCGTGCTAACGGCAGCCATCATCACCTCGGCCGTGACCTTCATCATCATACTCGCTCTGCCAACTTCCTACAGCCACTTCTACCCACGCTACTTGACCGAGGAGGCCTTCCCAGAAAATTGCAAAGAGAACCCTGAGAAGTCCGGCTATGCCTACTTCAAGAAGCACGTCGACGAAGATGGGACCGTCAAGATCGATGCCAGCGTTCAAATCGTTGTCCTGGGCGACATTGGCCGCAGCCCTCGCATGCAATATCATGCCTTGAGCCTGGCAACACACGGAGGCAAGGTCGACCTTATCGGCTACGCTGGATCTGAAGTCCACCCGGACATCCTCCAAAACTGCCTCATCAACATCGTCCCCATCAAACCCTTCCCTCCGAGACTCCAAACAAACAACCGCCTTCTCTTCCTCCTCCTCGCCCCCATCAAAGTCCTCTACCAAATCTGGAGCCTCTACTACGCCCTGGCCTACTGCACCGTCGCCTCCAAATGGATGCTCATCCAAAACCCACCCTCAATCCCCACCCTCGCCGTCTGCCAGGTCGTCTGCTTCATCAGAAACACCCGCTTCGTCATCGACTGGCACAACTTTGGCTACTCGATCCTCGCCCTCCGCCTGGGCCCCCTCCACCCCCTCGTCAAAATCTCCGAATGGTACGAAGGTCTCCTCTCCTCGCACGGCGTCCACGCCCACTTTTGCGTCACCAACGCCATGCGTCGCGTCCTGAAAGAGAAATGGGGCATCGAGAACGCCCTCCCTCTACACGACCGGCCCCCAGAGATCTTCCAACCCCTCTCTGCATCAAACCGAAGTGAAGTCCTCCACCGCCTCCCCGGAACAACCAAGTACGCCGACGACATCCTCTCCGGCCGCTGCCGTCTCCTCGTGAGCTCCACCTCCTGGACTCCGGATGAAGACTTCTCCGTCCTCCTCGACGCCCTGGTTTCATACTCCACCACCGTCGAACAGAAACAATACCTCCCCAACGTCGTCGCCATCATCACAGGCCGCGGTCCCCAGAGAGAGCACTACCTGCGCCAAATCGAAGCCCTCACGAAAGCGGATAAACTCCAACACGTCATCGTCACGACGGCGTGGTTGAGTCCGCACGACTACGCCTATCTGCTTGGCTCGGCGGATCTGGGCGTGAGTCTGCATACTTCCTCCTCGGGAGTGGATCTCCCGATGAAAGTCGTCGATATGTTTGGGACAGGACTGCCTGTGGCGGGGTGGAGTGATTTTGAAGCTTGGCCGGAACTGGTGCAGGAAGGGAAGAACGGAAGGGGTTTTAAAAGTGTTGAGAGCCTTGCTGACATCCTCGAGGAGCTGTTCGGTGAAGATGGATCGCAGTTGAAGAGTCTACGACAAGGAGCAATGCAAGAGTGTCAAAGACGGTGGAACGACGAGTGGATGCCCGTCGCTGGGAAGCTCTTTCAGCTAAAACCATGAAAGAGACATACTTCTAGCCTCATACTCATTGTCTCCATTCCCAAAAGCCATCCATTCGTCCATCTCCAACATACCATACCTTAAGTCCCCACCACCTCCGGCATATCAACATCCACGTCTCCCTCCATCGGCCTCGCAGTCGTGTTGACATCCCTCGTGAGATACGCCATGATCCCCCACAACACACAGAAAGCCTGCACGCGCTGCTCAATGTCCAGTAAATCGTACCACTGCGTCCGCTGGAGTCTCGGCGCGCACCAGGCAGGGTCTGAAGGCATTGGGTTGGGAAGCTGTTCCGTGAGGAGGTAGTCGATGTAGGCGCCGTGGACGGTGAGTTTGAGAATGGAGATGTGGTGGTTTAGAGCGGAGACCATGAAGATCTGAGAGAGATTTGTTAGTTCGACATCTCAGCGATTATCAGCGGTTCAAGTTCAACACTCACCTCATCGAAATCCGACGTCGGATCCTTGCCGACGGCTTCGTAGTCCATCTTCGCATCCCACAGTTTGCTCCCGCACTTCAACTCCTTCCATAACATCGCCGGCGTCTTCTTCTTGCGCGTCTTGGAGCTTCGACCAGTGATCATCTCCTCGGCCATTTGGAGCACATCCTTCGTGTCGCTGTTCCCTTGCTGGGCTTCGACCTCGCCACCATTGCCGCCTCCCCAACGCTTCTTCTCAGTCCACCACTTCCCCTGTCCAGGTTGAACTTCCGTTTTGCCCTGTCGATGACGCTCTTGCGCACACTGTAACAATCCACCGAGCTCACGCATCACATCTAGTCTTGCTTTCGTCTTCGACTGAAACTCGCTGAGATCCGCCGCCTCGAAGTCTGTCTCTGCCCTCACTTGAATGCACGTAATGGGTCCTTCCAGCCAACCGCTGCGTGCTTTCGATCGCTCCTTAGGCACACGAAAGACGCCTGCGCTTTGGCGTACAGGAAGATTCAGCTTGTTCATCTGCACAATCGGCATCTGTCGAGGCGCTGCGACATTGCATTGGAATGCCCAGACCACACCTTCCACGAATGCTTTGACAGTATCTGTGCGGAATTGGTCTGGCATATCGCGTCCTGTGCCTGTTCGTCGACCTTTGTATCGTAAACATGTCCGTGGTTCGGGTGTTGAACTAGTCGCGCGCTCTGGCAGGTCCAACAATGCGTTCTCGAGTCCAGTCAAGAGGTCATCGTTTTCAGGCAAAGGAGTCTGACTGGCTTCGTCCAAAGTTGCTGCTTCCTCAGACTTTGATTCTGAGCCAGCATCATTCTCCTTGTTGTGTCCTTTACCGAAAATTGGAACCGTCACTTGACTTGCCTGGGATGAATCCAGCTTCTGGCGTTTAGTTCCTTTCTCAATCTTCTCATCAGCAGACGGAGCCGGGCCTTCATAGTACTGATCAAGGCCAGTGTCCCAATACTGAGACATGCTTTCGAGACCCTCCCAGAACTTCCTCATATACCCTAACCGCGGTGGCCTATTCCCTGGCTTGGTCGTCCTGGTGATGACGCGGTATCCAGTGTCGTTGTCTATGCGAAGCTCGACCAGACGCTCGTCAAAGTCCTTTCGCCTCTTGGTGGAGGCTGCATCAACTTTGGTAGCATCTGCGTAGGATGCTGGGGTGATTGCCTGGTCTGGCGAAAGGGGTGGTAGATAAGACGTGCCATCTGGTGCGTGGTGTAGGAGCTCATCTGGAGGACAAGGAGAGTCCACCTGAATGTTCAAGGCTTCTAGATGGGCGTCAGAGATATCTGACGGCTTCAAAACCCTGGCGAAGATTGGTTGAAGCTGGGGCGGTGGCGTGTCGTTGCTCCATGATGAAGGGCTGCTTCTGGGTGCCTGGCTTGGGAATGACACTGGTGTTGGCGCAGTTGGCGGGTCTCGTTCGGCCTCTGGATCAGTGTTGCTGAGAACGACACCTGAGTCATGCGCTGTCAGTTCTGTCTTTGTGATGGGCCCCAAATATGGAGATGTCTCGCCCTTCGAACGCTTGCGGGCGACTTTACGCCTGGTGGCACCCACGAACCAGGGCACTCGCACCATTATCACCGGCGGTGGTGCAGACGAGCGGTGTGCCATTGGAAGTGGGTGTTGCTACAAGAAAGCCATGTGTGCAGTGTTCGGGCTTCATGTGGAGGTGGAGTGAAGTGAGGTTGAGCAGTCGCCGCCTGCCGTCATCTTCACGGGCGTGCCTTCTGCCTGCTCGCTCCAGACGCCTCTTCGACATGATCATCACCCTCCTCCCACCGCCCACCATTCACCGAGCAACGAGAGAGTGGGATACACACCGGAGAAGACTCCTGTCATGAACATCTTGACGGCCAAGTGGTAGTCATCTGCATTCCACCTCCGTCATCTACCGTCTGAGCGTCTGGCCGAACCAAATATCCCACACGAAGGCAGGACTGGAAGGAAGTGAAGTGAGCATTGCGGAGCCAGTCCAGCGCAGCAACAGCACAGCAAACCCATGGGCCGTCTGGTTGCATGAGGCAATGGAGCACATGCAAGGGTCAGCCGCCGCTACTGCAGTGCGGCACGGGCATCCTGACAGCGTCCTTCGTCACCGTGAAACTTCAAGAGACTGAACAAGTGACATGGAAGCGGTCAAAGGCACTCTTGATTCACTGCTATGGCTTTTGAAAGCCCCTCAGAGGATGTGTTGTGGGCGTGGGCTTTGCGAAGTCTTGCAAATTGCAGTAACTCGACGCCGTTGATGGCGCCCCGGCAGGATTGACAACGGATCGAGATGCCGCCGGGCCGACGAAGCCAAAAAGCCTCTTGCTACAAGCTCCCTGGTCTGTCACCAACGTGGCTGCAGCGAAGGCACACGAGAAACATGGTTCTCAAGTGTCAGAAAGAGATGGAAAGCATGCAGGGCTTCGTGCGGAAGGGTCTACGCAGAGATTTGGAGGGCTTGGTCAACACTGAGGGGGGTAGAGACGAATGAGATGGAGGTCAGGCCGTTGTCAGGAGGACTCCGTGTCAGGAAAACCAATACGGTGAGGATAACTCGACAGACGAAGCGTTCATCAACAGACGATGTGTCTGAAGACTTCGAGGTCCTGATAAGCTTGAAATGGCCATGCTCGTTTCGATCGTGATTCTCCCAAATAATGGACCGTCGAGTCAAGCAGACTGCTCACAATCGTGCCCCGCTTCCCCTGCCCCACATCGTCAATGGCCTGCAAGTTTTCCAACGATCATGTGCTGTAGACCACTCTATCAAACACCACCAACCACTTGATTCCCCAAAATGTCGATCACGTATGCCACCATAGGCACCAACTGGATCACTGACTCCTGGATCCTCGCAGCCCAGAAAGCCGGCAAATGGAAGCTCCACGCAGTCTACTCGCGAACCCAAGAACAAGCAGAAGCCTTTGGCAAGAAGCATGGCTGTTCCAAGTACTACACCTCCCTCGAAGACCTCACCTCAGACGGTGATTTGCAAGCCGTCTACATCGCCTCGCCGAACAGCCTCCACTACGCACAAGCCAAGCAAATCCTCAAGGCGAAGAAGCATGTGGTTCTCGAGAAGCCAGCGACGTCGACGGTCAAAGAGCTGGACGAGCTGTTCAGGATAGCCAGGGGGGAGGGCGTGTTCCTCATCGAGGCGTACAGACATATCCAAGAGGCGAACTACAGACTGCTGAAGAAGCTGGTCTTGGACGAGAAGAGATTAGGCACAATCTACGGCGCGAGCTTCACGTACGCTTCCTACAGCAGTCGGTACAACAACGTCCTCGCGGGCGAGAAGCCCAATATCTTCTCGCTCGACTTCTCAGGAGGCAGCTTAGTCGACGTGGGAGTCTACCCAATCACCTTCGCCGTCGCTCTCTTCGGCCTCCCCAAAACCCAGACCTACGTCCCGTTCATCTGCCCGACTGGAGTCGACGGTGGCGGTGTAGGCATCCTCCACTACGATGGCTTCGGGGTACAGATCAACAACGCGAAAGGCTACCAGAGCAATGCCCCTTGCGAGATCTATGGCGAGAAGGGAACCATCACTATCAATGCCACTACGGACATCAGCACGTTGAAGCACTTCGATCCGAAGAGCAAGAAGACCGAGGAGCTGGCTGGCTCGTATAAGACTGTCGAGAAACCGAATGTGAATATGGAGGAGGAGGCGGTGGAGTTTGCTAGGATTCTGCTGGAGAAGGATACCAAGGCGCTGGGGCAGCTGGAGGAGATTTCGAAGAATGTGGTCAAGGTGACGGCGGATATGAGGAGGCAGGGGAATGTCATATATCCTGCTGATAAGCAGTGAGAGCTGCTACAGTAGAGGTCGATGGGCCAGTCAGTCTATATATATTCTTGATACCCATGTACAATGGAAAAGCAAGCAAATCTTCAATGACTATTGCTTCCCCCTCCGCTTCTGAAACTCCTCAATCCACTCCGCCGCTCTCGCCTTCGGCACGACATAAATCCTCACCAACCCATCCACGACCTCCACCTTGCCACTCCCCAACAACTTCACCAACGCCAACTTCTTCCCTGCCTTGATCAACCCCCCAGCACTCGTCTCCATATAACACTCCACATCCTCCACGCGATACTCCCCCTTCTCATCCCACGGCAGCGGCAGAATATACTCCAAATGCTGCAACACACTCTCCCCCTCCCCCACCGCCTTGATGAAATCCGTCTGCGCATGCAAAGGATACAGAAACAACACAGGGAACCTCACCTCACTCCCCGCCTCCTGGGGATCCTCCAGCTGAATCCTCGCATCCTCCATCTCAGGCGGGTTCGCCGTCTCCCTCACGACGACCTCCCGATCCCGCAGCGCCTTGCGAAGCGTCGCAGCCTCGCTCCGGACGCGCTCCTCGCGCTCCCGTCGCGCGGTCTCGAGCGCCGCCAGCTGATCCCTGCGGGCGGAGATGGAGGTTTCCAGGGTGCGCAGCGCAGCGTTGCTTGCGTCAAATTGCAGGCCGGACGCGCAGGCATCTAGGGCTTCCGGGAGCTTGTCGAGCGCGAGGCAGGCGGATGCTGCGCGGTACCAGGCTTTGAGGTTTCGTGGGTTAATGCTCAGGGCCGCGGCGCAGTCTCTGTTGCAGGAGCCGTAGTTTTCTGGAGGGGGCCTTGGTTAGTTTTGGGGGGTTGATGCGGTGGGTGTAGTATTTGCTGGGGGGAAGTGATACTCATCTCGAGGTTGCAGAGCGCTCGGTTCGAGAGACAGGCCTCGTCGATGGAACGCTCCTTTTTCGCTTCGGCTTCTTCATCGAGTTCGACGACTTTGATAGAATGATCATCTTCCGCCTCCGTCGTCTTGACCTGTCCCCGCAACGCCTGAATGCCCTTCGTATAAAACTCGCGAGCATCCTTCCACAACTTCGCGCGCGCTGCCTCATTCCCCTGCTGGCGAAAGTTCTCAGCGACTTCCGCTCGGGTGCCTTCATACGCCAGTGCCTTGATGGCTTCCAACATCGTATTGTCGCCACCGTCGCCGTCCGTCTCGTCCAGCGAGGTCATGAACAACGGTACGCGATTCATTTCCTTCAGGATCTCGTCGGCGGACATTTGCTGGTTCCTCTGCATATTGGGAGGCATGGCGGCTGACACGCTGTCGACGAATTGGTCGGCGGCTTCATTTTGCGATGCGGGTGCATTATTCAGTGAGAGATTGGCCATGTCGATATTCTCCTGAGACATGGTGGTTGTTTGGTCTCGTGTCGAGTCGTCGATCTCATCTCATGTATAACAGTATCTTTTTTGCGGCTCCTTGTGACCCTGCAGTATGCCGACGTTTTACAGGACCTCGCTTCGACGCCTTTCCGACCGTTTGGCGTGTTGTATCGAGTCAGTGAGCACTTTCCTTAGTCGTGTGTCGTCTGTCGGAGACTTCTGTGGCGTTTGTCGTTGCATGTCGCGCATAAGAAAAAGAGCGAGATGGGTTTTTCTGGGGCATCCTTGTCGCTCGCGTTGCTGGCTTGCTGGCTTCAGAGTGGGGGCTGGGGATTCTGTCGCGTGTGCTGCTGGCTTCGAATTCGACCACAACAACTCGTCAGTCTCGAATGCTCACGACAAACCGACATGCGACAACGAGGCTAGATGGGCGATCAGAGGCCTGTCAACGACTTCGCGTATACACTTTGCTGCACTCGTTCGGCTAGACGAGGATGTTGTGATCCGTCCTATGAGAATCGAGCGTGCAGACATTCGAGCGTCGATACATCGCAGGGTGACTTCGTGGCCTGATCTGTTCTACTTGCCTTTCACAAGTTCAAGACGAAGCAGACTTCACTCTATTTGACTTTCATCAGCAGCAGAAGAGCAGGAGGTACAGTATCGCGGCTTCTACACAGCCAAGTCCGCGGCAGCCTGGCACTCCAGGCAAGGGTGCAGATGACGACTCTCACGATATCTATCCTTCTTGCCGACTCCGAACATTGCGCGACATCTTCCATGTCGAAGGGGAGATATGTTCGTCATCTGCGCATATCGCGGTGATGCCGTAGTTCTGGCGAAGATACCGATGATACCTCCCAGGACTCCCGGCAAGGCATACCATTTCGACGACGGCAACTTCCTAGACTGGCCCTATCAGCGTGGTGAGTATTCCCTCGTGATGGTCTTCGGTGTCGCCGCATCCTCAAAGTCGCCATTTGGAAGGTCATGGATGCCCAATCGATAGACTCTGGCCTAGAGGACTGGCATGCAATGGACGGCCTGTTTCAACCTTCCCATCGTCTAAAAATGCCCCCACTTGGACATTGGCACTTCCCACGATGCCTTCACGCATATCCGGGCAGTCGGACTGGATCCGATCGTAGTCTCATGCTGGTCTTGCAACGGTGCCGCGCCTCTGCAGCACGATGGACGTGTTGGAGAAGTTGATCATCCATCTGGGGAACTGCCGTGCTGCAGTAGTCGTCTGCGAATGAAAAGCTAATCAGATTTCCCAATGAAAAGCAGCGGCGCGTCTGCCGGAGGAGCTGCCACATTCTGCTGAGAACTTGCAAAGATTCTGGGCTGAGCGGTGCTAGAGGAAGCTGGCTGCAGCGATGAGAGCCTTGTTCATCGGAGATCATGCAGGAGAAAAGGTCACAAAAAGAAGTATTTGCACAATTGTGCGAGCAGTCTGTAACCTACAGGAACCCTCCGGCCGAGTGACGTTGGATCTTGAAACAACGCCAAATACGAGATGGAAGAGCCCAGACCGTGTTCTGGTTGTTAGAGCAAGGATAGATGTGCCATCACGACGCCCTTCACATTGATCGAATTTCGAAAGCGCATAACTGCCCACTGCGTCACAGTGAAATCCCCTCTACTTCTCCACACGCTATCTCGCTACGACCGCTGATACTCGTGTTGCATACAGTCCCCGGCATAAACGTTAGCAACCCCTGCTAGCCTAACAGTGAAAGGTCGACACGCACACGCTGTCAGTGCTCAATCGCACAGACAGGATTTGTTTGCAAGACGCTAGCAGGGGTTGCTAACGTTTATGCCAGAGACTGTATGCACGTGGTGGTGTGCGTACCATGGGTCGGAGCTGTGGCAGCTGTCATGATGGCGGCTTCGACAGCTGACGAAAAGAAGATGCAGCTCCTGCATTCGACGCTCGCCTGTCTTCCTGTTTCTGCCATGCTCAGCGAGTTCTGGCAGCGTCGAGATGCGTGCGGCGCCGAGGACACAGCAAGCTGCAGCTTTAGCCATCGACGGCTCGGCGGCAGTCGACACACTGCTGCAGGGCCAATGCCACTCTCGGCCGCCATCCCCTGGCTTAGCCTAATCCTCTCCAACCGGCAGCCAGCGCGGTGCCAGGATCTTGGTTCCGCCTGCAGGCGCGCTGCGTCGGCACCACAAGGTTTGCGTCGAGCAGTTTCAGTGGCCGAGCTTGATGCTCCCGCTGCCATCGTCGCCCCAAGCGCACGGCAGAGAGACAGAGCAGGTTCTCACGAGTGGTTGTAGAGACAGGATGGGAGGGAGGCTGTGATCATGTGCCACCAACATGCACCTCGAGCACCAACACAACCCACCTCTTGTCGGCGTCGACGACGTTCAATTTCGGCAGAGATCTGCTCTCATTAAGGAGGCCTGCACGAGCTCAACGCATCCCAGCACGTTGCTGCATGCCTTCGATCTGCGCCTGCGTGGTCCCAGCAAGCACCCGACCCCCATGCACTCGTGCATATTGCCGCATCTTGGAACAGACATGGTGCGGCCGGCTCTTCGACTGGCGTTGATCCGCCTGCACGCCGTAACACAGCAGACCTGTCATCCTGTCGTCGCCGCTCCAGCGCGCGCCATGCGGCACCGGGCAGCCGCTGCTGTCTCAACAGCTTTTGTATATCTTTCCCCCGCTGGCCACCAGGCGCTCTTATGTCTGCTTAAGCGTTTCGGGTGCCACTGTGCCAGGATTGTTGGTGGACGGGACGGCAACGCCTGCGGGAACGTTTGGTACGTGCTATTGGTGACTAGGGATCCCCGGCGAGGCCAATGCTTTTTAGACACAATTACTCTCTCCACGCCGCTCAATGCTAACCCTTCACGCGTCCCAGGGCCACCTGGAGTCGACGTGATCCCGACTGAATCGTCCTCCATCACCTTGTTGTTACCACCAGTCTCTACCGCGGCCGTGTATCCTTACTGTCCGTTGCTGGACGTGCGAATGGCGCTATAGCCTTTTCAACCCGCCATTCGATCAGTATCGTTATGCTGGACATTACTTTGTAGGTATGTATGCCGCGACATGCCACGTCTTCGACGCCTTCGTTCGACACGACCATCGCGCTAACATTCAAACAGTATATCCTCCTTTCGGTTCTGTAGATGTATCCATCGAGCCACTCTCCTTCGGCTGCCGCATTCGAATCGAGCAGCCTTTCCGACCGTGATATTCCTTGGGAGTTGTAACCATGGCGGACTATTTCAGCGAGTACTCTTCTTTCGTCGGCGCCAAAGGTCTCCCCTCACCAGCCGACACGCCCTACGAAACCCCGGGTTTGATTCGATCGAAGCGCTCATCCCGCGTCGCCAGCTCCTCACGAGAGCAGTCCGTGTCTCCCCCACTCCCTCCTGACACAACAGACTATCAGGAGAACAAGCGGGATGGACGGTATTCGGCATTGGATCCTCGACGTTTCACGCCCACCCTGCATGCTTCGCTCGTCTCTGAGATATTGAACCTCAGGCGCGAGCTCGACTCCAAGAATCATTTGGTTGAGAATCTTGAGACGAGCTTGTCGAATGCCAAAGGCGAAAATGAGACCCTCAACGACCAGCTCACGGAGAGCGCGAAGGAGGTGCGCAAAGCGCGGCATCAGGTGGAACAGATGGAGAAAGGAACGTATGATGCTGTGGAAGTTCTAGCGCGGGAGCGCGATGCCGCAGTAGTCGCTCTCCAGGATCTACGAAGTCGATATGACAATGCGCAGAAGAAGACTCGCCAGCAAGATGAGGATGCGGTTCGTACCCAAAGCATATGGGAGAACGAAAAAGAATCATGGGACAATGAGCGTCGTCAACTCGAGCGAAGAGTCCACGTCACAGAGACCCGACTGCGCGCTGTTGTGGACGAGATGGCGGCGCAACAGGTCCAGACTGCGCAGTCAGAGGAGAGCTTGGATGACGCGACTTTCAAAGACAGCGGTCTGGGCGACGGCAGTGACACTGCAAGCATTCGCACAGCATCTCCTGTCAAGCACAAGCGTAACATGAGCAGCATTAGCTTTCGACCCAAGACCATCCGCAGCTCGGTCTCCTCTCGAGGAACCACGCCGACCCCTGATCTCTACGCACGACCTGGGAATACTCTGGCTGACGAACTTGGCATCGATGAAGAAGATGAGTACGACGCGGATGAGTATGAAACTGCAGATGATGAGCTCGACTATACGGAGCGCTTGAAGCGATCTGTGGAATCTCGGCAGAGCTCAATGACTGGAGAACTGGATGCAAAGGCTAAGCGCATTCTTGGATTGAGGGCAGAGTCACTGGAATCTCCTATCACGAAAGATGCGCCTACGGAGGCGACTGAAACGATCGCACCAAGGCCGGTCTATCAAGATCGAGCGACAACACCACCACTTTTCGAAAGACCCCAGTCCCCACCAAAAGTCGTGTATGTGGATACGGGATATCAGCCTTCGCCACCTGTATCTCCTCCTCGAGTTCAAGTGACTTCTGCGCACGATGAGGCTGAGGTTGCGGATCAAGCCTCCACCACCAGCCATGTGCGCCTGTCAGAGATTAACAACACCTCCATGTTGCAAAGTCCTACGCCTGAGGCCAGAACACAAGTCGCGGGTTCGCCCATCAGTCCGCCCCAAACACCCGTTGTTGATGGAGTGACATGGCTAGAGCGCGAACCGTCAACAGCTGTCGCACCAGCTTATAGCACAGCATCGACGCAGACCGACTTTGTGGAACTTGAACGCCCGAGAGGTCACACTCCTAAACGTGACAGTCTCTCGCCACCAATGTTCGTACCCTCCATCGCGATTCATCCACCCAATTCGAGGCCGTCTTCCCCGCGACCGTACGTTTTACCGCCTGGCACTAAGAACGCAGCTTCACAAGCAAACCTGGGCTGGCCGTGCAAGGATGCGGGTATGCAGACTGAGGAGATCAGGATTGACAGACGACCTGTGAAACTCCCACCACACCTTCTACCAGGAAGTCTTCTCCCGAGTCCGACTTTCCAGGAACCACCGCGATCAAAGCGCGTGGGTGCAGGGGGGACGGCAAAGATCTATACCAAGATCCTACCTTCTGCTTCTGGGCCTACTTCGCCTACTCTGCAATCGCCAACCGAGTCCAGTCCGGACATGTCGCGAAACAACAGCTCCAAAGACCTTCGAAACTATCCTTTGAAAGCGATCCCCTTGCCAAGGCCTGTCCTGTCTCCGCCTCTGCCTCAGGGCGAGACGTTTCAGAGCAACGGCCCGCTCAACAGGTCATCGCAATATGGTGTCAGCCAACCCAAGGTTGACAACATGCCCCTCGCTGACGTGGACCAGTGGTCAGAGCCCAGTGAGGATGAAGACGCCGGCAGTGACCTTGACATTTCTGATCTTGCAGGTTCTGTGCCTACTCTCAGTCGCCCTCCACCAGGTCGCTTTGGTTTGTCGGAACCACCAAAGGCTGTTCCAGAGGATAAGGAGATCTCGCCAGAGCGAAGACCAGACACAGCCGATTCCTATGGAGCAGCTCCTGCGCCGTCGGTTGCCAGCAGCCGACCAACATCGCAAAAGCGCCATGGACGGCAACCGTCAAAGTCGAAACTCAAGCAGCCGGAAGTGCGGCGAGATCTTCGGTCGCGAAGCCCCAGCTTCGGCAGCATGGCTTCCAGCAGTCACAGCGCACCGAGTGGCCTTCCACCATATCCTATCCCATTGAGATCGAGTTCGCGAATTGTCGGATCCAAGGGCCAAAGCGATGGTTCACAAAGTCCTACGCCTCAAGAGGTGTTTGGGCCACGTAACAATCGCAGTGGTCGCTCGAACCACAGCAGGCAGATCAGTCTCCGAAAGGTGCAGTCAGCCGCTGTCATCAGGAACAGGACAGGGAGAGGGTCGCCATCCAAGGGCCATCGCAGACGAAGAAGATCACCGGATCTCACTCCCGTGGAGTCAATGGCCTTCGATAGCCCAGCGCCGACGAAATTCCCCATTCCCGAGCTACCTACTCCTCTCCAGGACAGCCTAACGTTTGACTACGTCAAGGGTTCAGTTGACATTAGCAGGTCACCAGGTACTGCGAGCACCGCCCCACGTAACTCAGAAGAGACCAACTTGGTCGATGCAATTGCGGGGACGATGGTCGGCGAGTGGATGTGGAAATACATTCGCAAGCGAAAGTCATTTGGCATTGGCGAGGACAGTTCTGAGTTCCCTGTGGCAGATCAGAATGGGATCGTCAACATGACCACTGGACATGGTACACGGCATAAGCGCTGGGTCTGGCTGTCGCCCTACGAGCGCACCATTATGTGGGACAACAAGCAACCAACATCAGGCCCGGCATTGTTGGGCAAGAAGGGGCGAAAATGTAAGTGTGAACTACTCACTGACATCTGTTCAAGACCGTACTAACCCATCGCAGTGGCCATTCAGTCCGTGTTGGATGTCGAAGACCAAACGCCCTTGCCCAAATCACCGGAGCTCTCATCTGCTTGGAACCGATCGATCTTGATCCTTACACCAGAGCGTGCCCTCAAATTCACCGCAACAACACAGGAGCGACATGGCCTCTGGATGACAGCGCTCTCCTTTTTAGCACAATCAGGCCAGCTGCCAACGCAGATTCCACAGCAGGTTCCCCGAAAGTCGAACATCCCTCCAGTGCCACCGGTCCCATCGAACCCGTCGATCGATGGTGTACCGATCAAGCGCCACCGGTCGCCATCCTTTGGAAGGTCGACTGTGCGCGACTCAATCCGTCTCGCCAAGGGCAAGAGGCCAGACCTGCACAAGGTCCAATCCCAGCCAGAAAGCAACTATGGGTCCGAGGTCCTACACAGCGAAATGAGCGCCAACAATGACAACAGTGCGGACTTCCCAGCCGTACCTCGCCTTTACATTACCACCACACGCCACCAACGAAAGCGCAGCAACACGAGCCCTCGCCTGCCTCAGCCATTGAGCAACAACCCGCGCAGCTTCTCATCTAGCGCCGTTCCATCTTCCACCTCCTCGGCCCATCACTACCACGCGAGCTCCACCAACGGATCCTCTTTCCGCCCCAGCGCATCCTCCAAATCTGGCAGCCGTCGAGACTCAATCACCAGCCCAGACCGGCCAAACTTCTTCGAGGCCGTCGGGACCGTCCGCATGGAGGCGTTCGTCGACCCGAACGTCAGAGACGGAGTCCTGTATGTCCCAGCACCTCCCCGTCATCGGCGCGCCAAGAAGGCCACGACGCGGGAGCAATCTAAGTCAGTCGACAGTCGACAAGAGGCGAGCAGGATACGTATTCGACGAGGACGGGATGGATCCGTTCAAAGGTTTCTAAGAGAACAAGCCAGAAAAGAAAGCAGAAGCGAAAAAAGATCGAAATGATGATACCCCCTTTTGATTTGTTTGCGATAAAACCACCACCATACCGACATGTCTCTCATTGGGAAAAAGAAATCACGGCTAAGGAAAGGAAAAGATAGGGGTTTCTCGGGATTTTGTTCTTTCCTTGCAGAAAGAACGGGTTTGCACTCACTGGGCTGGGCTGGACGGAACGATTTTCCCCCCAATGTACATAATGCGGCAGTCAGTCAGCTTGCGGCAAGAAGCTAATGAAGTTTCTTATGTAGAGAGAAGAATGACCAAGTGTCGAGTTCGATGACCAGTTGCGATGTGCGCCAATGTTCCGTTGCATGAGGCGAGAGAACAAGACGAGAATGTGTTGGCGAGTTGGCAGGCGAAGGTCTTGGACGATGTCAGCCGCAGCGCAGTGCAGGTTCGGCGAGGGCGATATACTAATAGCATACTGGCATGACTTTCGGGATCAGACCTTGTTGACAATATCCGACCAGCAGAGCCGAGCGAGGCTGTGATGAAGCAACACCCGTGAGGAACGACGCAGATCCAACAACGGCACCGATGTGCTGCGTGAGTCTCGGGATGCTCATCCTTTATGTCGATTTGAGCGCTTTTGCCATGACGGACAACGACCAGGGACAATGCAGCCGCCGCCGACCAGTGGAAGCTTGACTGCGGGCCTAGAGAACTGAGGGCTGGCGCCATTCGGCGGTGAGGCAGGTACAGACAACAGACGACTGGTCGTGTTTTGTTTGTTCCTGGCGATGGCGACTGTCGTCATCACCGACCTCTCACCACATCTGTAGAGATTTGTCTCCCATCGATTTTGAAAGACCGGTGAGTGAAAATGGCTACCACTCATCGCTATCTCTACTAATATAACAGCCGGGTGTTGGGTCATCAGCCACATTCGCCCTTGTCGGACATGTAGGACAAGGAACGAGATTGGGTTGAGGTCGCACGACAGCCGGGTGAGTTGGCACTTTAAATGGACAGAACCGTCGAGTCGTGCAGTGAGAAATGGCCGTTACGCGAGTGGCTTACGGGTGCGTTGACGGAGATTCGATTGTTCGCAGTTGTTTGTTGTTGACATGTCAAGGCGGTCTCACCGTGAGCTGATGAGGTCTTAGAAACCAGGCCCGCTTTTGCCATCGAACTACGATGTCGTTCGAGTTCACAACCTCTCGTGGGATGCACGTGGGATGGTTCCCCAGCCTGCTTCTTGCTAGCAACTCAACAAAAACTGCGCTGCAACGGAATCGTTCGATCAAGTCAGACCTCCATCACACACCGTCTGTCTGATGGGTTTCCTTTCGCCACGGCGGCAACATCGGCGTCCAGAAAACACCGTTTCATGTGAAAGTCAAACTTCGGCACGGCCGTGGCAGACGCAAGAAGCCGAGAGAAAAGTTCGGGACTGGACGAGGTTGAGAGGCGAAGTAATACGCTTTGGGTAGTTACTAACCCAGGTTCGATCCTGGTTGATGTTGATGGAGGAGTCCGGGGGTGGTGACAGGGGGTCCCTTGTTGAGGTGTTGGACTTCAGCGGATTCTCTTATCGTGAGTGTACGGGTTTTTTCTTTCCTATGCAACTTCCCGTGGAAGGCTGCGTGGTAGGGCTGCTGTTGATGCATCGGCTCCTGTGCCTGGGAAAGTCCGCCATTCTTCTTCCTATCGCCCCTTGGATGGCGCAGGAACCTCCTGGTCGATTCTTGCCTCCCGCTACTGCGGCGCCGACGACATTGATCTTTTCACACCGGCGCCACAAGTTCATGACGCAGTTCTCACTTTCCTGGTCGCTCTAACACTCACTGACGAACTAACATGGCTCTTGTTAGGCTTGTCAGTCAAAGATCTCCATGACGGCACCGGTGCCTCAACACTCCGATATCACCCCGTCCACCCAGCGAAGCTGTACCTGAGAGGTTCATGTTTCGCACACAAGCGCGGTGTGCACCAGGTTCGGTGCTTGATGACGGCCTTCCAATGAGGTTTCGCCTCTTCGCCTTCGAGGAGGTGTCGTTGTATGGGTCAATGAAACTTGACAGGCCGCCAGACCTTGTTGGCGTGGATCAATCCGCTGTGCGAAGAGGACTGTCCATGGTACCGGGCTAGTATCAGATGGATGCTGCCTTTGGGGCTGGTGAGGTGCGTCGTTGATGTTGTGTAAGCTGCACGACCCCTGGGCAAATGCGCCGATATGGGTGTTATCGAGGACTGTGGACCTTTCTGGGGGCCACCTCTGTCTCTTTTCTCTCTCTCATCCGCCCTCCCTCTTTCGCTTTGCTGTCCTCTCTCCATTGCTGAGCACGCTCTCTGAAAGAAGACCAGGCGTTCGTTCTTTAACGCTGTGGTTGACTCGCAATCGCTTTACGGAAGACGTCAAACACCCCGAGAAGACCACCATCACCAACGCAATGGCCGGTTCAACCATCCTCAAGCTGGCGCTCTTCGCCTCCGCAGCACTCGCCATGCCCTTCGACCTCCAGGAGCTCTCACATCGCCACTACTCGCCAGGCTCGAACCCACCATTCCCAAAATTCAACCCTCACGCTGGCGAGTTCCCTCACAACAGCGTGCCAATTCCTACCGGCACCGCCGTCGTTCCAACTGGTACTTCCATCCCCAACCGCTTCGCGAAGCGTGACAACTTCCAAGGCTTCTACGCTCCTCCCTTCGCCACAGGAGCCCCAAGCGGCTACATTTCCCAACCCACAGGCTTCATCCCTCACCCAACGGGCTACGCACCAGCTTCTACCGGCTACTTCAAGGAGAAGCGCTTCGCCCCCTTCCCAACGGGCACTGGCGGTTATCCAGCTCCAACGGGCTACGCGGCTCCCACTGGTGACCTCCACGATTTCGAACCTCCTTTCCCTGCGCGTCGCCACCAACATCAAGCTCGTCAATTCGAGGGTCCTCGCCAGGGTGGGTTGAAGCCTTATTTCCCGATAGGCTATGGTTCTGGTCCTGAGGGCCCTGTTCCAACGGCGACGGGTACTGCCACTGCGCCTCCGGTGCCGACTGCTTCGACTTGAAGGCGGCTTGCTTTTGATGAACGATTTGATGGACTTTGAACGTGTTAGCGCGCTGGAATGACCGACCACATGATTGACGCCAATGTGGAAGGTCGCAACCAGCGGGCTCGAGGCAGGGGTATGGGAATCGTGAGGACTGTCATGGCCTCTTTGGGGTAGAAAGATTGTCCGATTGTCCTTCTTCGATGCACTCTCTTTGATTCTGTGTGCTGATGGCTGTCAGCTTGCTTTTATAGGCTTTACGATATACATAGACGCGATTTATGCAGACGAGATTCTGGGATGGATAGAAGAGGCTATGCAGTCGTTGTTTGCTTCGTATGACCATCGTTGATGCTATTGGATCATGCTGAGATTCGATTCAGAGCCTATGAGGCGGTCAGTATATTGTCAAGCTCAAACTGGAAGATCGATTCGAATCACCTCCTCAACCTGCGCGGTATCACACACGCCTCCTTGCCACTGTAGGTTCTTCAAAGAGGCGTCATGCGCCTCCGTCGTCAATGCAGCACATGCATCGTCTACAGTCATACACCTGCCACACAGCACACGTCAGCCCAAAAGCTCACCAAGCCTCATCGACCCCTTTCCACTCACCTCCAATCCCTCCCCGCCGCATCCCTAACCGTACTCTCCACACAGACATTCGTCGCACACCCACAAACCACAACCTGCTGCACGCCCTTACTCCTCAACACCTCCTCTAACTTCGTCCCCGCCGCAAACGCACTATTCCGATACTTCTCCAACACCACCTCCCCCTTGCCCTCATCCGGCTTCAACTCATCAATAATTCCCGCATCCCAACTGCCCCTCACAAGAATCTTGTTAGCTTTCATCTGCTCCCCGCCGGGGATCTCCCAGATCAAGCCCGAGTTGGAGTAGTCCTCGTTGAAGGCGTAGCCGACGAAAATGACGGGGAAGTTATGCGTGTGGAAGGCGGTGCGGAGGGCGTTGATTTGGTGCGTTACGCGGGTCATTGTGCTGGGAGGCACTTGGATTCCGGCTTTGACGAAGACGCCGTTGGGGTGGCAGAAGGTGTTTTGCATGTCGACTATGAGGAGGGCGGGTGGAGAGGAGAGGGTGAGTGGCTCAGTAGACATGATGGCCGTGGAGAGAGGTTTGTTTCGTTTTGGGAATGATGGGGAGAAGGAAAAGTAGATCAGGATGCTTGAACATGGAAAACGGCTTTAAAAAGGCAGAACGAAGGATGGAACGAACGAGAGTGTGTCGACAGAAACGCAGCTCTTACCTATGCACTGTTCGAGCAAGTGACGAGTACGCGACGTCGAGATTCTTCGCCGGAGCAGCTGACGTCTTTGGTGAAAGCCAAATGGAGTCTTCGGAGACATCTAGAGGTTTCGGCGAGCCCTGTTGGTCTTTGGTCGTTTAGTGTCTTCATCAGCTCAGACGAGAGACCCTAGAAGCCCGACTTGGCGGTGCGGCTGCGAAGTCAGCAGTAATACCAACATTCAGTTATGTTGTCAGCGGCTTCCGAATTTTGGATGAGCCAAAGCTGCGGTATCCAAATGTCCCGTCTTCCGGTAGCAGTATCTACCTTTTGCTAAGTTTGCCAAGTGGGCATGCTGCCATACAAATAGTCATCCTTGTTGAGATCGGCGTTCTGAAGGAAGATGGGCGTCAGGACAGCAGGTAATGTCTGTTAAAAGTGTCTGTGTTGCATGTTGACTGATCGAACAAAGGAGCTATCTAGAAAGTGACCGGCCAAGCTTCACATGCAGCAACAGATCCTGCAGGATCATGTCGACTTCAGCTACAAGACAGCGAAAACGTTCATTGTATAAGGATTTTCCTACTATTTTCAAGGCGGCCGTCAGTCTGAACTACATGAAATCGTAATGAATGACTCCCAGGTCAAAAATGCTGTTGTTTCTCACCCAGTCGATGCCGGTTTCCAATCCCTTCCTTTCGACAGAACTACTCTAAGAACCGCACACGGCCTTGAAAGACGCAAAGTCCTCGTTGGCATAATCACCCTTGTTGCCAAAAATGGTGCTCTCTCCGTCGCCACCGCAGTTGGGCTCTTCGTAAGTAAGGACCTTGCACTTCGTAGCATTGCCTTGGAACCCGGTGAGTGTCACACAAGCGCCTTCGCCGACCTGCTTGCAAGCGCTGGTGCCTGTGAAGTGTCAGGAATGCCAAAGAGGAAGAGAGACTGGAAAGGTATCGCCGAGGGGAATGTCATGGGGTATATGGTAACTCACTCGTGCCGCTTGCTTGGACGGTTCCGAGGTTGGCTCCGGTGCAGCCCTTGGTGCCTCCGCCTTCGTTCATTCCAGAGAATGCTGCGTAGAAGACGCTGTTGGTGGCTCTCTTGCTGGCGAGAGCAGCGGCGTTGGCGCCGCTGCCGACGCCGAGAGCGAGGAGCAAGTAGCTGGTGAGGTGCATATTGAAGGATGTGGTCAAGATATGGATGCAGTGCTCCAGCTTATGGTGTGATGAAGAGCGGTACTTATATTCGGCCATGAGCACTATGGCCGCTGGCCCAACATGCTCCAGCAACTACGACCCCTAGTGCGATTCAGCCCACAACAACCGCGTTTATGGAATAGAGCTCATCGTTGAGTAGCTTTCTTTACTACATCTGGCAGGTGACTACCTTCTCGGGACTGAAGCCAATGAAGTGGTTTCCATGTGTCGAGTTTCCAAATTCAATTGGCGTGGTAATGCTTGATCAGGTTGTCTAATGATGCAAGCTGAGAACTTCCGGAGTGGAAAGTCCACCAATGCTGCAACATCGATGTTGCATAGACTCGACGACGAATGGTGACCGTGGTCCGGTGGGTAGATGTGGAGGCGATCAACCGCTTGGAAGGGGTAGAGCCTGATCTCCAAAGAGCGGTCTTCTTCCTTGGTACGCCGCCTTGTTCATGGTGTCATGCGAATGCCTGGATTGGTCTCTGGCTCGGCACGTGAAGGCTCTTGTCCAGCGTAATAGGTTCGAGCTCGACTGCATCCTTGCACGACTATGGGTTTGTGATCCTTCAACACCACTGATGCGGCGTGAGAGAGATCAAAGTCGTATGGCGTAGAACTCTCACGATCTGGAAGCTTCACCGGCGTTTACAGCTGAAGGGGCTCCAGTTCAATAGCAAGAAACGCAACATTCGCAAAAGGGAGGTGTATCGGCAAGCTCACTCCGCCATCCTGCGAATAAGTCTTGAACTGGGCTTTCGTAGACGAGGCCTGTCCAAATGTTGTTTCCACAATCTCAATTCAGGGCCGCGGACGTCTGCGGAGGATTTGTCAGTTCATCTGCGTTTCAGTGTCTCGTAATGATAGAGTGCAGTGCAGTAGCTTGGCCTAGCTGCCCAGTTTATGTTGTTGGTCTCGCATAGGTGTTAGAGAGAGTGTGTATATGTGGAGCTTGGGGGTCCGCTGCGTTGGAAGGCTGATGATTGCAAGCTTGCGTCCTTTCTTTTGATCTGTCATGATCCAGTCAAGATTGCGATGAATGCAGTAGTAGAAGCTGAAGTGCTGCGCGAAGGAACGTTAGAAGGTGTTGTTGGTGTTGTTGTGACCTACATAGCGTCTCCGTTACGTCACAAGGTGAGGTGTCATCAATGTTGTCCCTCACCTACCTTAGCGTCGAAGTTTCAAAGCATGTGTGATCGGTCGTGCCACGATGGTTGATCTCGTTCCCCCTACGTTCTCGACAGTCTGCACTGTCAACAACATCAAGACTGCTGCATTAGAGGGCAGTTCGCAACATACCTTTTCAATACCATTACCACGAGCACAAACCATGGCCGAACCGACGACATTGATGACGCTGCCGCCCGAGTTACGAGAGCGAATCTATGAATTCGTTGCACAGTCGTATACTACCCGTCGCGTTCGAACCGTCGACAGCGAAAGCAACAACGTCCCGGAATTCAAGACTACTACGTCAGCCATAACTGCTACCTGTCGCCTCGTCAACAAGGAATACGAAGCTGTAGCTAGGAAATCCACAACGACACTCGAATTTACCGCGACCAATATGGATTTCGGTCCTATCATGGCCTACTTTGACCGCAAAGTAGATCCCCAATTCCTCGCCACTCTGCAACAGAACAAGGCAATCATTCTCGTCAACATCGTCATTGACAATCATAACTACCAACGCAACCTAGCGGAGTTCTACCCTTGGGCTTTATTCCTCATCCGCGTTCAACTGGAAGCGGCATATCAGAGTGACACTCAAACGTGGATGGAGATCCACATTGCAGGGTCGGATGGAGGATTCGAGGAGCAGTGCGAGCTGGATAGGTCTAGTCCGCAGGACATTCGTGACAACATCGAGACGATTCGCAAGTTAGCCGGAGATTTCGACAAAGCTGTGTGGACTGCTTACCCAAAGTTCTTCAAAGCGATGCAGGCTCGATATCACCAAGAGTGGGATCGCAGGAACGGCGGAGAGTAGTGGGTGGAAAGAGATTAGACACAACATCTTAATTAGGGGGAGAAGTTAGGCGGATAGGGATAGTACAGTAGGAGGGCTGAAAGTACGCCTCAACTAAAAGTTTGGCACCTTCCCTGGGAGACAAATCAGTCTGAAGTGAAATCAGCTGCCATGCAAGGGGTTTCCTTGTTTGGGATCGGTGTTGTGAAGAAAAATGTCGTGTAAGAACAAGAGGTGATGTCTAGCCGGCAGCCACACTTTGATCGCACGGCCCATTGCCCAGCCACCGAATTGATGTCACTGAGCCAAGTCCCGTTGTAGTGATCTGTGTGCTGTCCCCGACCATATCTGCAGCACCACGCAATTCGTTTTTCGATCGGTACATGAGTTCTATAAGATAGTTCTGAGAGCGTCTGACGGGGAGAGCGAGGAAGGCGAGCTGGTCTGATGATTGGCCAGAGCGGCCGGACGAGTGTTCGCCATCGTTTCCTGTACGACAATACAAGCACAGTGCCGCGATATCGTTCTCATTCACTATGGTTGTGTGGTGCGTCCGTTCGCTTTGGCAGTCGATGGTGTGAATGCAGCGAGTCAGTGTTGGTCGTCGTTGGCCGTAGAGTGGACCCCTGCGCGGATAAATTTATTTTACCCGAACGCGCGCTAGGACACGCTCTTGACGCGACGCGTTAAGTGGGCGGGCTCTCTCTGGCGGCTTCTCTTCTGCCCGCTCTTCAGCATTCGACTTCACACACAGACACCATGAGGTAGACACAACCCACAGCATACCACTTTGCATCACACTGACACCTCTACAGCTCACCACTAAGACCCAACATGTCTGCTGCCAATCGCGGACGCCCAGCTGCCGGCGGTCGAAAGAGAGGACGAGACGCCGACGAAGACATCTCCTCGTCTGGCGCTCCGCCGTCGAGCCGTGAGTATGACAGCGATGTTGAGTGTATATACGCTGACATTGGATAGCTCCGGCTTCCTCTCCACCAGTATTTCCCGGAAACGACGACATCGAAGAAGATGACAACCTCGATCCGGAAGAGGACCTCATTCAAGACATTGACGATGTAGACGAGATGGCCGAAGATGATGCAGGCATTGATCTGTTTGGAGACAACTTTGACCGAGATTACGATAGAGGAGACGATGTTGGATACCAAGGGGCCGATATCGATGATGATGAAGACTACGACACCCTCGATCCGGCCGCCAGGAGACAGCTTGAAGCACGCCTGAATCGCCGAGACAGAGAGCTGGCACGAGAGCGCCAAGTGCCAAACGCCTTCCTACCAGACGAAGATGAAGATGTCATGGATCTTACGCGCCAGCCGCGCCGACGCAGGCATAGATTCGACGAAGAGCAGGACGACATCGATATGCATGAGGATATCCTGAATGAGGAGCTTTCGCTGGAGGCATTGGGTGATATCAAGGCCGCGAGCTTGACTGATTGGGTCTCTCAACCAGCCGTTCACAAGACGATTGCTCGCGAGTTCAAGGCCTTCTTGACTGAATATACCGACGCGACGGGTACTTCGGTCTACGGAGTCCGCATTCGAACACTCGGTGAAGTCAATGCAGAGTCTTTGGAAGTTGACTGGGAGCACCTCTCCGAGTCGAAGCCGCTTTTGGCATACTTCTTGGTCAATGTGCCTTCAGAAGTGCTGCCGATCTTCGACGCGGTGGCTCTGGAAGTGGCATTGTACCACTACCCGGACTACGAGCGAATCCACTCCGAACTTCATGTGCGCCTCACGAACCTGCCAGTGTCACTGACACTACGCCAGCTCCGCCAGAATCATCTGAACAGCTTGTTGAGAGTCAGTGGTGTCGTCACAAGACGAACAGGCGTCTTCCCGCAGCTGAAGTACGTCAAGTTCGACTGTACGAAGTGCGGCATTACTCTTGGCCCGTTTCCACAGGACAGCAATGCAGAGGTCAAGCTATCTTTCTGCCAGAACTGCCAGTCTCGAGGGCCGTTCACGCTCAACAGCGAGAAGACTGTGTACCGAAACTACCAAAAGCTCACTCTCCAGGAATCACCTGGCACAGTCCCCGCTGGCCGACTTCCTCGTCACAGAGAAGTCATCTTGCTGTGGGATCTGATCGACTCGGCGAAGCCGGGAGAGGAAGTCGAAGTTACTGGCATCTACCGAAACAACTACGATGCCCAGCTCAACAACAAGAACGGCTTCCCAGTCTTTGCTACCATTCTCGAAGCCAACAGCGTAGTAAAGTCGCATGACCAGCTGGCTGGCTTCAGACTCACCGAGGAGGACGAGCGAGAGATTCGTGCAATGAGCAGAGATCCGAAGATCGTCGACAAGATCATCAGCTCTATCGCTCCCTCGATCTACGGCCATGAGGACATCAAGACTGCGGTCGCATTGTCTCTTTTCGGCGGTGTTTCGAAGGAAGCTCAGGGAAAGCACTCGATTCGTGGAGACATCAACATCCTTCTTCTTGGTGACCCAGGAACTGCAAAGTCGCAGGTTCTGAAGTACATCGAGAATACTGCCCACCGCGCAGTCTTCGCTACAGGTCAAGGTGCTTCGGCCGTCGGTCTTACTGCCAGTGTTCGGAGAGATCCTCTGACTGCGGAATGGACGCTCGAAGGTGGTGCTCTTGTGCTTGCAGATAAGGGTACTTGCCTGATCGACGAATTCGACAAGATGAACGACCAGGATCGAACCAGTATCCACGAAGCAATGGAGCAGCAGACGATTTCCATCTCCAAGGCTGGCATCGTCACAACACTGCAGGCCCGGTGCGCCGTCATTGCCGCAGCCAACCCCATCGGTGGCCGCTACAACGCCACAGTACCATTCAGCCAGAATGTCGAGCTCACCGAGCCCATCTTATCTCGTTTCGACATCCTTTGTGTTGTGAGAGATACTGTTGACCCAGAGGAGGACGAGCGTCTTGCCAACTTCGTGGTCAACAGCCATGGACGGGCACACCCAGTGATGAACTCTGCTGCGGGCGGAGAGTCCCAGACCACAGCTCCCAACGAAGAGAGCATGGATCTAGATGGCGTAGAAAGCCAAGCAGGTCCCAAGACAAAGACGGACATTCCTCAAGAAATGTTGAGGAAGTATATCCTCTATGCCCGCGAACATTGCAGGCCCAAGCTGTACCAAATCGATCAAGACAAGATTGCACGCTTGTTTGCAGACATGAGACGAGAGTCTCTGGCAACTGGAGCTTATCCTATCACCGTGAGTCGAAGTTTCAAAGAAGACTTTACGACACCTACTAACCAGCTCCCAGGTCCGTCATCTCGAATCTATTCTCCGTATCAGCGAGTCCTTCGCCAAGATGCGCCTCAGCGAGTACTGCAATGCTGCTGACATCGATCGCGCTATTGCTGTTGCTGTTGACAGCTTCGTTGGCAGTCAGAAGGTCAGCTGCAAGAAGGCTCTTGCACGCGCTTTCGCCAAGTACACTCTTGGCCGGCCAGGGGCTGTGAGAAACCGCGGTGGACGAGGTGGCAGGAGTCAGGAAGTTAGCGTTGGTGCGTAGATGATTGATGATGGAAATGTATGAAGTGTTCAAGGTTAGAGTGATACCATGGTGTTCGGAGTACATTAGGCTGGGGATGGGCTTGGCTAACAGACCCCTGACGGTGATTTTTAGGAAAGCAACGCTGATGGAAATGTAGACGTGAAACAACCGACATCGTCTGTTTCTCTTTGCCTCGTGATACCTTTGTCTCCACGTTGTTTTCACCTCCCATCTCTTTCCCTGGATCCGCCGTCTCGAAATCATCTCAACATAACCGAAATCCCCCTTCTCCGTCTTGTCAACAACCCACCACGCTCCCCTCCCATCACTTCAAACTATACCTCCCAAAAAACTCCATCATAAACTCCGTCCCGTTAAAATACGTCCCCTTGCTCGAGTCCCCATTCGCCCCCGTACTCGGCCAACTATGCCCCAGCCCCTCAACCCTCCACTGCGTCAAAAAATCCACCTTCCCGCCGAAATCATACTTCTGCACTTTCCCGCCGTAAAGCTGTGTGGTGACGTTGGCGGTGGAGCTGAAGTTATCCACCGACGCCCAGTTCTGCAGGAAGTGCGGGATCGAGGGCAGGCATTCGCCGCGCCGGGCGCCGCCGTCGTAGGGGATTGTGGTGTCGGAGGTGCCGTGGATTTCTAGAAGGGGGATTGGGCGGGAGGGTGCGCAGGGGATGGGGATTTTTGAGGCGTTGCATTGACCTGAGACGAGGTTTTGGTCTGAGAGGGGGAGGTTAGATTGGTGGGAGGGGGATAGATGGGGAGAGGGATGGGGACGTACAATATGCGCCGCTGGCACTGGCGAACGCAGCGATTCTGTCCGTCGCAGTTGCGTTGCATGCGAGGATATTCGCAGAGAACCCTTCCCCATTGGATTTCCCCGTGGCGTAGATAGCGTCGGTATCGACACAGTACCTCGGCGTCAAATAATCGATCATATCCAACGCAAACTGGACATCATCCGTCGTGGCCTCCGGGTCGCCCTGCCATTGATTCCCCACGCCTTGCGGGTAGACGGCGAGCAGGTCCGGGTTGAAGTAGGGGTCGGAGAAGGAGGAGAGCTGTTCCTGGCTGGCGGCGGTTTTGCCGCGGCCGTGGTAGGAGAGGATCAGGCCGCGGGCGGTCGTGTTGTAGTTGGTGGGGATGTGTAGGAGGAAGGTGCGGGAGCGGCCGGAGGAGGTTATGGTTATGCTGTTGCTGCTGCCCGTGGAGCCTAGGGTGGTTCCTTGGGGGAGGGCTTTACTGCAGCCTGGGGAGGGGGTGAAGGCTTGGGCGGTGGAGAGGAGGGCAAGGAGGGAGAGGAGGGTTGGGGATGGCATTTTGGGTTTAGGATGCTGGGTTTTGCAGTACGATCTTGCTTGTCCTTCTAGTATCCTCGAGGATTCCGTCTACTTTTATATTCCTTCCCAACTGCAAGGAGCGCAGCCTTCGGCTTGTGGTGTAGTGGGCCTGCACGCCATCTTCCATCGTCAAGTCCGAGAGGGATGTCGACGGTCGCATCTGGAGTTACCGGAAAACCCAGTGGATGCATTGCAGCAGCATTCGAAGTTGGTGTTGGAAAGTCTCGATGTTCAGTCCAGCTCGGAGGGAGGATCTGTGGTGCATCCTGGAGCGTGTCTTTCTGCATGTGCTAGCGAAAGCTTCACGCCCGAAAGGCTGTTGCATAGCGTAATGTTGTCATGCGTTCACACCCTTACATCATGGACGGCTCCGTGGTGTTGTGTTGTCTCGGTTTTCTAGTCGACGTGTGTTGGCGGCTAGTACACCATCCAGTTGTCTTCTGAGACACTCGTATAACCAAAGTGCACGAGTACTGTTTCTGTGGCTTCCCAATATGGCTCGTCTCGGGATATGGATGCTCAAGTACACACGCTACAGAAGATGCTTCTGCAACGGCCAACGCATTTTAAACCTGATTCCGTGAGCTGTGCGAGCCCTTAAAAGGCCCAATTTGGTGAAGGCTAGGGAACATACCGTGCACGTGTCTTGTTCGTGAGGCCGCTGGACCTCAGCATCGTTCATGCACCTAGCCTCCATTCACGAAACCACGCCTTGGAGATCCTCAACGAGCCCCCATCCCCCTCCTCCCCTCCCTCACACAACTCCCACCCCTCTTCCTCCCACTCCCATCATCAAAAGGATAACCCGTAGTACTCCTCTCCACAACCCCCAACATCTCTTCCACCACCCCCCAAACCACTCCCACCCCCTCCGCAACCTCCACCACAAACCCCTCCCTCCCCACAACCCTCTTCAGCGTCTCAAAAATCCTCTGCAGCGGCAACCACCACATCTTCTCCCTCAGCAAAAATTTCTGCGCGTGGTTGCACTTCCACAGATCCGTGTTCATCCCCTCGATTTTACCCCAGAGCGTTTTCTTGTAGAAGATGTTGACCGTGGCCGGGTTGATGTCGTCGTATTTGCCGGAGGGCACAGGCCAGGGGAATTGCGAGGTCAGGTCTTTGCCGGAAGGCAGGACTTCGAGCGCGATGTACCGGATCCAGGCGTGTTCTTTGTGGGGGTCGCCGTGGCGGAGGCGGAGGGTGTCGTGCAGGAGTTTCCATTCTTTTTCGTAGGGGCCGCTGGTTTGCGCGATGGCGTTTTCCATTACGATTGCGGTTCGTTTCAATTCTCTCTTGAAGTGCGGTTGCTCGACGTGGATGTCGCAGAGTAGGTTCCTCAGCAGACTCTCCCTGTCGTTCTGATCGATCTCGCTTGGATCCGTACGAGCCAGCTCGTCGATGAGGAAGACGGCTCGGGAGCGTTGGGGTTGGCTCAGGAAGTGGGAGCACTGCACTTCACTGTCGAAGTGGTAGGTACATTGGTAAGGTCGTGATTCGTGGATGGCGTTGTTGTAACAGAGGCGTTGGGTAGGATTCCATTTGTGAGTCGGTCTGTCGAAGTCGGTGACTTTGATCGAGGGTGCGTTCCAGCAATTCCATTCGTACGGCGGCGGCGGAGGTGGTGACATGATAGAGTCGTGTCGTTGGCGTTGGGGCCTGCTGTCTGATTCTTCTTCACTTGAGTGGAAGCGCACCGCTTTTGAAGTTCTTGAGACGGCCATGCTTCAATGAATTGTTCTTGCTTCGGTGTCTTGATGATAGAGCAGAGACAATATTTGACACAAGACACGATGTTTAACACATGTCTTGCTTGATGAAGAGACATGAAGGACTCCAGCTCATGATCGTCACGAGCTTGGTCTCACATGTGAAGGTGAAGTAGACTCACATGGGGATCAGCTGCTGCGGGAGTGAATAGGAATTCCTTGCATATGACAGGCAAGAATGAGTAAAAGGAAAGGGGATATTATACACCAATTCCATTGACGCCAGTGTTGACCTCAGATCCTATGTCTGACTGAGGTGCATGCTGTGGTATGAATGCCTGGTACGCTATGCTATACAACCGGAATCCAGAGGCCTCCCTCAGCTACGAAAGCTCCTCGTTTCACAGCCCCACGTTTAGACTGTATCATCGCAGAGATAGTGTTGTCGAATGCCACCTCTTAGACACGACACATGGCCATTGAGCCGTGGTTGTCATGTCTCTCCGCTCGTCCAATCGAGGCAGCCTTGGTCTCCCTTGGAGACTTGCCCCTCTAAGATTTACTGGCTCGTCCCTCTGCCTCGACATCCATCTCAACCGGCGCCCCACCCTCGTCAATAACCTCAGTCACCAGCTCGCCTTCACCAACCTTCTTCTCGCCGCCTTCGTACATGATTCTCCTCCAGCCTTCTCTCACACTCGAATCCTTTACAAACTCCACCGTTGGGAAGTAATGCTCGTTCTTTTTCATGGTCGCAACCCAAGGCACGTTGTCAAATGTCATGACCTTCAACCGGAAGTACTCGTTGTCCGGGATCTTACTAACCTCCCTCAGGAAAGACTTGAGGTCCGGTGTTGGCACGGCGTTGACTGCCATGATGAAGTTTGTCGGGGCGAGACCATAGGCGTACGAAGGACTACCACGAGTTCGAGTAGAGACGTAGATGCCGGAATGCACTTTCGAAATTTGTTGGCGGACGGCGTGATGGGGTCGGTGGAGGATGGCGCCGCAGAAGACGATGATTCGGTCGGTCTCAAACTCTTCGGTGGGGACGGTTGGTACGTCGAGCTCCATCTGTTGCTGCTTGCGGACGATGACAGCTTTGAGGACCTCATTCGAATACATGACATCCATGTGGCTGACTCTGGTGATGAGGCGGTCGTTTAGGGTCAGGATGATGTCTCCTTCTTGCAAGCCATTCACGTTGCCAGCGTCGATTTTGCGCACCATGAAAAGCTGGTGTCGTTCTGGATCTTCGCGTTCGACCCTCTCGATCCATTCTTCACTCACACCCATGATGCGGCATTGAGCCATGTGCACGGTCTGTGTTTCGAGGTTGAGGATACGAAGGTTCGGCTTGCGTCCGCTCTTGACTTCCTCAATAACTGGCAAGAGCGCAGGTGTGGCAAAACCGAGATGGTACTCAATGTCTTTGCCGCTGTGGCCAGTTCGTTCGCCCAGGTAGGTCAGCCAAAGAGCTTGAACAGTGCCATCTTCGCTAATGAGTGCACCGCTGCCGCATTGACCGCTCAAGGAGGTGTCGACGGTAATGGCATCGAGGTTAGTAGCCCGGTAGCGCGGCGTCGATGCACTGGCTGGAATGCCAACTGTGGTAATGTCTGTGACCGCGGTTTTGGCAACGACAGGGCGCAGATTTTGGTTGAAGCCGAAGAAGATAGTCTCCTCGCCTTGTTTGATGGGCTTTTCTGCTAGCTTGGCGGACTTTACAGGTGCCTGGACCAATTTTGGGTCATACTGGATGATGGCGTAGTTCTGCAATGGATGCAGGAAGACAACCTTGCCGTCTACGATGATGGAGTCGGCAATGGTGACGGAAATGTCGCACATGTCGTACGGCACAATGGCACGCGAAACAACAACGAGACCCTTGTCTGCGTCAATGACCAGACCAAAGCCAATCTTTCGCGCCTTCGGGAATCCATCGAGCTTGACTGGGAGCATTGTCGAAACCTTGACAAACGATCTTACTATTTCGACAGCAGCTGGGTGTTGGGCTCCCTCCATCTTGATGAAGGTGGCTTTGCCCGGCTTTGCTTCTTTTGGAGGGAGAGGCTCTGCGAGGTCTGAGAAGTCCCAAAGGCCCGTCTCGTCGTTTCGCACAGCGAGTCGCATGTTTTTGTGCCAGTGACGATCGACAAGCATGATGCTGGTATTGAGCGTGTGCATGTCGCGCAAGTGCTTGTAAGTTACAACAACTCTGCTCCTGTCGGCAATGGATTTCATGACTTCGATGAAAGTTTCCAAGTTCGGCGTCGGTTTGTGGTCAACCGATTGAATGAGCCAGCCGTACTCAGAGCCATCGAATCTGAAAGAACCGGCCGCCTCGCAGCAGTAGACACCGGCATCCTTCATCGCGATGGCGTACAGCCGAGCTTGCTGGTAGGACAGCTTGTGGAAAGACGCACCAGCTACAGACACAAATCGGTCTGGCGTGATTTCGTGTAGGTCGCCGACGCTCAACTCCACTTCCATGTCTTGGCCGCCTCGCTGGATCAAAAGCTTGACTGATCCGCCAACGCTGCTGTCGAGGATGTCGTCAAGACGGACGAATTGTGTGAGGAGCTCGTTGTTGACTTTCAACAACACGTCTCCTTCTTCCAACTTCTCATCGCCTGGACCTTTTGGCAACACGACTTCTGCCACAAGCATGCCGGTCTCTTTAGGGAATTGCTTTCGTACCTCGCTCTCCCAATCAGCGGTCAGTCCCAATCTTCTGCACTCATCGAACGGTTTCAACATCCATTGAGTCTGGATTGTACCTCGTTCGACGTGCTTTCCTTCTCTTATGCATTGCAGGGCACGAAGAGGTCGGTCGAGCGGGAGGAAGTAATCCGTGGCAGCACCGTCGGCTCTACCGCCGGCTTGCAAGGCAACGGCAAATCCATCGATGTTGACAACTGGCGAACCTGACGAGCCTCCTGATGCAGCTGCAGCAGCTTGAATGTAGTTTGTGTTGAAGTCGCTGTAGCCCTCGCCGTATTCTGGCGCGTTCCTGTCCAATCTTGAAATGACACCCGACAAGATGCTCAGCTTCTCCCCAGCATCATTACCCACAACCCTGATCTCTGCGCCCACTTTTGCAAGGTCTGGTCGTAGGTCCAGCTGTGCTAAAGGTAAGTACTTGATCGCTTTGGGGTCGAATCTGAGGATGCCGAAGTCATGGACGGGGTCGCGGTAGACAGGGTACACATCGCACTCTTCGTGGTTGTCGAAGATGCAGTAGCCCCAGAAGGGACCAGCGCCAACGACGTGTCGGTTGGTCAGAATGTAGCCGCGCTCTGAATCAACGACGAAGCCAGTGGCCTCGCTTGAGACAGCAGAGTCGGTGTCGAAGGAGTGCGTCTGACAGAAATGTATGCTGACGACATTGCGAACGACTTTCTCGATCGTCGCCTGCCACTCTGCGGTATCTGCGCCTGCCGCAGCTTGTATGAGAGATGTGTCGTCCGTGTGTGGAGATGCGTATCCATTGGGCGTATCCGCTGCTGACGCAGGCACGCCGTTTCCCACTGCTTTCCCATTCTCCATCGGTGGAGGCGAAGGTCTACGGACTTGCTTGGAAGGTCGTTCGGAGGAGTTGGAGGTCGGGGGTTGCTTTCGTTTGGCGGCGGCGGAGTGGTCCATGGTGTAGTTTCGACGGAAGGTGGATTGAAGTAGGCTGGATGGAGGCGCGAATGATGCGGCGGCACGATACGCAGGCGCAGAGGCAGCAGCGACGGCAGACAGTGGGCGACAGGGCGGACGTATAGAGGCCGCCAAAGGCTGAGGTATCTGAGGGTTTGAGGCTGCGGCGGGACAAGGCGTGGTGGATGTTGATGCAGTGGTGGCAGATCTAAAGCCGCGGCTGAGGAAGAAACAACGAGCGGTGACGATGCTGCTTGGTCTCGCGCCCGTCGTCGTCCCAGCAGTCAACAGCCTCCGCATTCAGAGGCAGGCAGGCAGTCCACGATGGCAGGGAGGGACATGCGCCGTCCATCAAAGTGAAGGCAGAGTTCTACGCTCGCCCGTTTGCACGTGCTGCCGTCGTCACTTGCAGGCGGGAGGAGCCGCAACAGTGGGTCCAGGAACAGACTTCCGCGCTGCTTTAGCCTTCCAAGCGAGACATGGGTATCCCAAACATCACCTGCTGGAGCTCCAAAACCTGCGTGCGCTGGACGGCGGCGAGGTGGCGATGTGCAGCGGCAGCTCTCACCGTCTTCGCCATCGTCTTGTGCGTTGGCCTTGCTTTAGAGAGCCGTGGTGCCCGCATCCGCCGCAAGGTCGAGAGAGTGCCATGGGCTGATTTCGTGGTTGAGCCGGGCGATTTGGTGGACGATGTTGGTTGGATGGTGTATCTCTCCCTGGCACCGCGTTTCGAGATCTTCATCTTGGGCAGCATGTTCTGTGATCCGCGAGGTTCTCGAACGTGTGCAGGCATCGTGAGCAAAGAGACGAGTAAGAGAATAGCGTATCAGATGTTCATCAGTTCTTGATTTCCCTCAACGACCGCTACGATGAGGCAAGGCATGAGTAGCAGGTCACAGTCTACTGACTACCTCTCTAACGCCTTTATACTGATGAGAGTAGACTCCCGTGTCGGGCCCCCATGCATGCGATCGACCAACTCAAAGCCGCATCCAACGCATCACGCTGAGCTCATCCAGCGACATATAGGTGCATGTGCGTACGAGGTGGATGCTCTCGTGACCGCTTCACACCAAACCGTCGTCCGCTGACTCGTACTTTACCAGTCCTGCACCGTCTCCGCCTTCGCTGCTAGAATCCTCCCTGGCCGACTCCTTCTTCTTGCGTGGGGTCTTTGGCTTCTTCTTCGCAGCACCGTCCTCTTCGTCGACGGCTTTGGCACCGCGCTTCTATGGAACATGATTAGTGTCTGAATAGAGAATATATGCGATAAGATGGAAACGTACCTTGCCAGAAGCGGGAGTCTTTGGTGTGGCTGGGACATCCTCACCATTGGCCTCAGCCTCTGCCTCCTTCGCCTTGCGGATCTTGGCCTTCTCCTTGTCAATCATGACCTGGCAGGCCTTCTGAGTGCGGCCTTCTGGCAGCTCGAGCTCGCCCCATGGAATGCTGCCGCCCATCTTGCCAATGATCTGGAAGAAGAAGCCGACCTGTATCACAAGTCAGCAAGTGACTCCAACGATGTCGGTTGTAAACGTCGAGAAACTGCAAATCTGATGGCCTGCGTACCTTCTCAGTGTCAGTCCAGCCCTTGCCAGACATGATGGTGGTTTGTGATGGTTGGAGCTTTGTTATTTGAAACGGCAAGAGACAGTGGATGTCAGGGAGGGTATGTTGTTTGTCAGTTGGCTTTGGATGTGCTTGCGTGATGGAGCAAGAAGATGAGGAGGAGGAGGGTGAACAGCAAGGTGGGTGGAGGCTCGCTGAGAACTTCACTTTTGGGCTGCTGCCTACCCCATCACTTTACTTCACTTCACCACACCCACGAGTCTGGAATCTTCAAACATCACATGCACGCGAGCATACACGTAGGACCAATCAGAGCCGCTTCTCGAGGAGTGAAGGCAAACCCGAGTAGCAATCAGCGGATGTACTGCGCTTCTAGCACTTGTCTCACTTATTTCAGCCGCTTCTGATCTACCTTTACAAGACTCAACACTTGCTTTCCAAACCAGCACTCGCACAAATTCCTTTTCCAACATCACACATCCAACCAACCCACATCCAAACATGGAGAAGCGCAAAGCTCCACCACCACAAGACGAGCCACAGGGTCAGCTCGAGTCCAAGAGACTCAAGGGTGGTATCGACAGCGACGACGACATGGACAACACCAAGCAGCTCGTGCCCATGATCTCTCGCGCCGAGACTGCTGCCGTCCAACACCAGTTCGAGCACGACTCCGCCACCGCAGACGATGATAGTGGCGACGAGGAGTTCGTCGATGCACCAGAAGAAGTCAGTGATGACCTCGACATTCCACCACCACCGCGTGCCCAAGACGATGTCATCAATGTGAGCAATGATGAGGAGGACGAGGAGGAGGAAGATGACGACGACATGGACGACACCAAGTCCACATCTTCCGACCTCTTCGACGCCACGTTTTCCCATCTCAAAGATCAGAAGGAGGAGGAGGACGCAGCAGACGACGATGGCGACGATGGCGACAACGACTCAAAGCAAGACAGCGGCATCGAGTCCTCCCCAAATTCGCACACCCAAGGCTGCGAGGAAACCCGCCGCCGCATAAGCACGCCACCCCTCCCCACCCCCGACCTCATCGTCACCGGCGCCACCACAATCACCAAGAAGCCCAGCCCAACAAAATCGGACCCCAACGCCAAAAAAGAAGAAGGCCGCATTCGCGTAGGCCCCGACGTCGACCGCGACCTCTCCGAAGGCCTCCGCTCCCACTTCCGCTTCCACGAGCGCGTCGCCAACCTCATCCCACGCCTCAACGCCCCGGACTTCGACTGGTCCCGAAGGTACTGGATCGCGGTGCTCAGCCACCTGAAACGCGCCAAGAACGCCACCAGCGAGAAAGATTTCGTGTGGATGAAGGGAAATCGTCTCAGTACCGGCAAGACCATCTTGCACAAGTATTCGGACAGTATGTTCCCGGATCCGGAGCGCACGGTGTTGATGCTGGGGCATGAGAGGTTGGGGATGGGGGATACGATGGAGGAGTGTGATTTCTTTGGGGATCGGTTGGTTGTGCTTAGGGCGGTGGAGGAGGGTGTCGGGGAGTTGAAGGAGAAGAGTTTGGTGGCTGGGTTGGTGAAGGAGGTGCCGGAGGTGGTGGCGCTTGACGATGATTGAGCAAGCAGAGCCATCGAGGGCGGAGACGAGAGCAGATGATCTGTTACATGGAAAGAGGAGCGATCTTTCGAGGATGCTGAGAGACAGTCAGCCCATGTAGTGTACGATAGGCGAGTTGGATCTGGATATGAACCTTGAACTTCATACTTCGTGAAAGCGCAGTGGCGATGCCTTCTACCTGACTTCTTCTCACTTCGCAGACCAACAGTCACGTAGCAGGACCTCTCGCTTTCCATTCTCTACGATGATCGCACGCTAATCTTCCGCTCTGCTCTCGAATGTCGTCTCCTCGATCATCTCTTTTCAACCTTCGTCCCTCAAATCGGGCCGAGATGCCCACTAAGAGGAACTTCAACATCACCATCGCCAGCAGTCGCAGCAGTCCTCCTAACGGACGTCCCCGGCTGCACTAGCGGAACGAGATGTTGCCCGTCGTGTGCCGGTTCCATTCCATGCTCATACTTGGGAGTACCACTGTGATTTCCATGTTCAGCTCTGTCCCATCTCAAGGGTTCGCGATAGATATGGTTCGCGTCTCGAGCTATAGCGCAGCTCTTTCTCTCATGTTCATGCACCGAGGGCAGGGCCAATTACTCCAGCTTATCCAAATGCTCCAAGCGCGTCAACACAACCTGCTTGCTCGTCTCCTGAATCTCGCCGGCGAGGAACACTTCATCGAGGATCGCGTAGACCTAGATATTCCCACATCAGCAACCCGATCCAACCCGTACCCAAACAACCCCACCCTTCAAACTCACCTTGTAGAAGTTGAACACCAAATCCAACTCACAAACATTCCCAAAGAACTGATCCAGCACCTCGACGAAGAAGTGGATCGCCTCCAGAAACGCCAGCTCGTTGTCATTCGCATCCACGCACGCGCAGAAGAACAGGCCTGCATAGCGGCGGTAGACGACTTTGGAGGAGCCGCGGAATTCGACGAAGTTGGACTGGTGTTTTTGGTCGCGGGGCGCGACGAGGCGGTGCACTTCGCCTTTGAGCTTGATCTTTTCGTCGTCGGTGTAGGGCGAGTACCATTTCGCCAGGCGGGTCTTGCCTCTGGAGGGGTGGGTGGGTTAGTTTGAGGTTGGATGGGGAGCGGGAGGGTATGCGATAGGGATGGGGAGGGAAGGACGTACTGGCGGTTTTGGATGAGGATGAAAGAGAGGACCATTTTGGCGGGTCGCAGCTCTTTCGCCGGTTGGGGACGTGTTGGTGTTTGTGAAGGTGAGCTCGGGTGGTGGTATGGGAGCTCGAAGGAGGTGCGGTCAGATGCGGAACTGACTCCGCGTTTGGCTCTCACTTCACGTTGGGGAGACGAGATGACTTCTTCTCTTTCCTCGTCCACATCCCATTGATGTTCAGAAATGGTTCTCCGACATAGCCATGACAATGCTCTGATGTGATAACGCTACACGGTGCGTTGCTCTCCGATATTCGCAGATCTTGTCGCGTTCAACACGCGTCGAATTTCGACTTCGAAGTCTCCTGCCTCTCCTACTCCACTAACCACCAGCCATGGCCTGCACAATCACGATACCCTTCTGGCCCGACTCCACGGACTGCCTGGACTGGTCGCCAGATAACCAGATCGCTGTCACTGGAGGAGAACAGATCGCCATTCTGACACCAAAACTGAAGGAGACGGCACCCAATGGCAAGCTCTGGAACACGACTCTTCTGAAAGTAAATGCCTTCACCGCGAAGGAACACCCCCTCGTAGATGCACCATTAAGCAACATCAACTTTTCCATCGGCGAGGAACTTTCCCTTCGGCAGGCAATCGAGTCGAAATGGTCACCGTCTGGTCTGGCGATTCACAAAGGCTGTGCGCTCGCCGTGCTCACGGCGAATCATGTGCTCAGTATTTGGGCCCCGAGTGGCAAGTCAGATGTGGCAAGTAATTGGGCGCGACAGGGCATTGTCAATGATGCTGTTGCGGAGTACTACAGGTCTAAGGACACAGCGCGGCAGCATGGCACAGACGACCAGTCAAGTCAGCAGCAGCTCACAGAGCAAGACCGAGTTCGTCAGCGAATCCGATCTTTTGCGTGGAGTCCTCCATTGACTCGCAATGGCGGTGACGAGGAATACTATCTGGCCGTGTCCACCGAAGGTGCTGATATTCTCTTTTTCCGAGTTACATCACCACATAGCGGCACTTTGACGCGCCCTTCGAAGTGGGAGCTGACCGTGGTGGGTTCGCTTCGATTGGAGTCAGATGCGGAAAATCATCCCCAGGTCAATGTCGGTGGCATCCGCTTCGCCGAGTATATCGCCTGGGGCGGATGGACGGTAGATACCGCCGGACAAAATGTCGCCCGATTCGCATATGTTCACGCTGGCAGACTGTTCACATCTTCTGTCAAGCGAAACACATCGGCAGAGTCCTCAGCACCAAGTCGTGGGCTGGACATAGACGACAGCAGACGGGTGTTAGGCGATCGAACCGATATTATTGGGCCCGTACGATTTGTGCCGGGAAAACAGCGAGGCTCTTTGATAGCATTTGGAGATGACACGGTCTTCGAGATCGACGTTGACGAAGAAATACCCACCGCCCGAACACATCATCTGGACGACAGATGGGATTGCGTATCCGGCGTGGCCTTTGCCAATCCAGGAGACGGCAGTATTGTCTTGCACATCACTTCACTGCTTTCAATGTCGAATGCGGCAACTACGACTCTCAGTCTACCACTGGAGGGGAATGACACCAGCGTCCAGCCATCGTGGCAGCACGCAATCAGTGAATTCAGAGCTACATACGGCGCGGATCATAACCTCGACAGCCACGTAGCAGAACGCACGTCGGGCATTGCGAGTTCGCCATTAGGAGACTATGTCGCGACTTGCACGACCATGCACCCCTCCGACTGCATTGAATACGTGATTGGGTCTGAGCAGAAGAGTCTTTTGAGCATCACCTTGGAAAGCGAGTCTACGGAAGGTCACTTTCTACCAGCTCCGCCGACGACATCGTCTCAACCACTATCTGCTGAGGCAATCCTCTTCAGTTTGTCGCGGCGACTGGAACAGAATGCTGAATCTGAGGAGCGCGAGATTGTTGGCCGTGACTCGCTCGTCGCCGAAATTCTTCGCTACCATCAGCCTTCCAAGGACAGTATCACCGTCGACAAGTCCACCCTTTTGGAGGCTCTCGGCGACGACCCCAAGCTTCTTTACCGTCATATCAAGCAAGCCATATTTGTACACCCCGACGTGCTTACTGCTCAAGCATCGCGGATTTCGGGCATCGCACTCAAACCGAATATTACTCGATCAGAGGTTACACGACCAGTAGTACAACGCCTCGTGCAGGAGTTTCTAAAGCTAACCAGCCAAGCTCCAAGCAGTGACAGCCTGAGCGAGAGGATCAGGACCATTTTTGCTGTTGTGAACACTAAGCTGTCTCCACCAGATCCCGCCACGGTCAATGGAGACAGAGAAAACGATTCTGAAAATTGCACGATATGCCAGAAGTCCATTCTGTTCGAGAGCCTGAGGTGGGCGAGATGCATCTCTGGCCATCAATTCTCTCGTTGCTCGCTTTCTTTCCTCCCCATCCAGGAACCCGGAACTACAAAAAGCTGCGGCATTTGCGGTCTACAATACTTCAACGAGAAGGTTCTCTCGGACATTACGCCTGCCACGGAGGACATCGAGATGGCAGATGTTGCCACTACGGAAAGCAATATAGACACCCCGGCCAATGACACGTGGGTGGAAGTGTCACGCAACTCGAATGCATTTCCACAGCGAACACCATCGCTAGCGCAGATTCTCTTTGCCGCATGCGACGTTTGCGTTTATTGCGGAGGCAAGTTCGTGGACTAGTCGCAGGAGTTTGTACTACCTCTTACTTTATCCGGCCTTGGCACGTAATTAATCTCCAAGCCGCATTCCAGTCGTCGTTGTTGACGACAGGTCGCGATGTGACCTCACCACGGTGACCATTGACGATCAATCAATCACTTCCATACAGAGATAGACATGCTACCACACCGCCATATCTCGATAGTGTTCTTGCCATCAAGATAGACTGAATCTGCAGCCACCCGCAAGACTTCGGGGAGCCGGACGATCGAAAAGCCATCCAATTGACCCGACCGAACAGTTGCATGCCACTGCATTGCCGCACAAACAAGCGGCCGAGCACGTTTCAATGGACAACAACGATGGCGAAGAGCCGGAAGGCGGAGCGATTCGATTCTCGAACTCGCCAAGAAGGTGGACAACAATCACTCAGTCGCTGGCCAGTCCGGTGAGGAGCGTTCATCCAGAGACAACAGACACTGGTATGATGGAATCGATCAACAGCCAAGCGGACTTTGGACACCGGACGGCCGATTTCTTCGAGGACAGTTCGGAAGATGAAGCTGGTGGAATTGGCGAGGCTGTCACTGCGCCGGATAATGACTTCAGGGAGAAACCTCCGTCTCCTAGCAAGAGAAAGCAACCACCGCCGTCTGCACAGTCACTCGTCTCTCAATGCGAACCGAAACGGGTGACGCTACCGCCAGAAGAGCCTGGCAGCGAAGGGTATCAGCGATTGGAGTCCAATCTGAATCAACAATTACACGCTCAGACGACTGATGAAACCACACCCGACACCTCGTTTAATGGCTCCGTTGAGGAGATGGACCTAGTGGCCGATCAAGAAGGCCGCACTGGGCCCTCGTATCCCAAGCCAGCGCGACTATCTTCAGGTCGGACAGCTCGAAGTTCTGGTGCCTGGCGGTATGAGCCGAGCATGGATCAGCGCATGTCTATGCATTCAGACAAGCTCGACCAGAGACTGGGCGTCCATGCTGTGGCCTACGATTTCCTCCTTCGTGGCATGCTGAATGATCAGGAGATCATGCGAAGAGATCCCAAACGTAGCTCTGCAGTTCGCGCCTCTATGCTGCCGCAGCAGCTCAGACTTCACGACCCGCGAAGTCCCAGGGACAACATATTTCCGTCGGACATGGAGCGGAGCAATTCGACTCTCAGTAAAAGCAAGAAAGTCCACGTCGTGCCCCCGCCGATTGATACCAGTGGTCCGCGACCATCACTTCCGGAGAACTTTGTTCGAACACCATATCCATTTACGAGTGATAGAATCAACCGCAAAGACTTCGGCCGCGAGCCCCCATCAGCCACGGAGTCTCCTATAGGCGCCTCAGAAAGCATCCTCACCCTCAGCATCCGAAGAGCGAACCCGCACAGTCTCCCCAAAGTCACAAGCATCACAATCCCAGCCTCGAACGATTTCACCGCGGTAGGCGCAGGCCAGGGCGAGAAGCAAAAGCACTTCAAAGCCCTCGTCTTCGACGACGCAGAATTCTTCCATCAAATCCGCCTCGCATACGTAGAACTCTCCGGCCCGAGACGATTCTTCTCAGCCCGATCTCTGGCACGCATAGCCGTCAGCGGCCCAGCGACACGCGCGGCAGACGCCGGCTACGGCTGGCTCCACCAACCCCGGAGTCCACGAGTACTGGCGTACAAAGGCCTGACGGACACGTTCAGCGAAGAAAAGATCCTGCAGCATTATCGGAACCCCGGTCTAGGGAAATCGAGATACGCATTCGTCCACTGGGCCCATCGCCTCGCCGCTGCTCCTCCTCCAGCCCGTTCGACGGCCTTTCCCACGGATGACGAACATCCTGACTCGCCGAATGCTGAGCTCGTGAGAAGGATGGAGCAGCCGGAGGGGCTGGAGTACATCATCAGCTGGTCGATATCACGCATCCTCTCGGCCCTTCTCATCATCGTCCTCCTGAGCATCGTGGCAGTGCTCCTCTGGACGTTCCTAGGGAAGAGCACCACGCCCAACTGGCCTTCGAATGGCGGCTTCCGCGGAGCAGGCGATCGAGTAGGCACGGGGATTCTGATTGGCATTTTTGTGTTTCTGAGTGGGATGGGGTGTTTCGCGGCTTGGTTGGGGGTTAGTTGGCTTGTGTTGTGAGAAAGGGGTGGATGGATACATTGTGCGGTTTCTGGATAGAGACGGCTGGTCTATGCATTTTCGTATTCATCGTAACATCATCTTCGTCGTGTGCGTGCTGGGCTTTCATTTCACGTCTTCCGTCGTCGTAAGTGCTGGACAGCAAGGTGCAACCCAAAACGTGCGTCCTGTAGCAATGGGCCTCTTGCCTTCCCTGAAGCCGACTTCCTTTCCAGTTCCACCGGCTTTACAGCGCGAGACAGAGACACTGGCCCTTGCCATTCGGCTCATTGTTAGGACGAGGATCGGATCGAGAACTTCTCAGGGGCCCGATGACAGCCACTTGCAGCCTGGCGGGATGCTCGTGAGTGGTTCGCTGGTATACCAGGATCAAGGCGGCGAATCAACATCCACCTTCTCCTCTCTCAGCTCGCCCACAGGCGTATTCGCATTCCCCTTATACCCCTCCACCCAAGGCGGTTTCCCGTCCTCGTCGAACTCCGCCCAGACGAAGTATGAGCAGCCCTTTTTCCCAGGCGTATAGTTGGCGTAGCACATCCACATGTACCTCCCTCTCGTGACTTTCCGCTTCTGCACACATCGCAGCACACAGGACACACCGCATTTGCATTTGGGTGTGTATTTTGGGTGCAGGTAGTCTTTGTAGCATCTGTATGTTATGTTGAGGCGTTTGTTGAGTGCGAGTGGGTGAGGATCTATGGCTTGTGCCGGTGCGATAGAGTGTTTCCATTCTTCTTGCATTTCGGCGTGCATCACCAGCAGGGAGTTGTGAGGCAAGTGTATTGCGATCTGGCCTTGCTCGTCGGCCGAGGATGCGTCTTCTTGAGGCACGATGCGGCGGACGCGGAACTCCCTCGCCACGCCTAGAGAGAGGCTGCCGATAATCGCTCGTGGACCGAGGTATGTGAGTTGATCCGAGTGGTATCCTACGTTTTCCTTGCCGCCGTCGTAGCAATTGACGAAACTCGCGTTGGGTTCCCATGTTTCGGGGGATTGAAATTTGAGGTGCTTGCCTTCCGGGTGGAAGTCGTGGATCCGGCGGGCGACTTCCTTGTTGACTGCTTCTTTGACGATCGAGGAGACTCTGAGCATCTCGGGCGTGGTTTTGGCTACTTGTGCTTCGTAGAGGCCGTCGTAGATGTATTCTGTCTGTTGCTCTTTTACGGCTTCCATGGTGTCCACGTAGAATTTCCAGGTGTGGGGGCTCTGCACCGTTTTGTCGAAGAGTTGGAAAGTGCCTCTGTCGAAGTTTGGCGCTTCTTCTAATAGCTCTTTCAATAGGATCTCTGCATCCTCTTTCGGTAGAAAATTATGTATGATCGAACAAGGTGTGTGGTTCTCGACATCCTTCGGCGTGTATAGATGTAATGTCTTGCCCTTCTTCGTCAATGGCTTGACCACTGGTGAAGCAGACTCCGAACCCTCGGCGCCCTGGGTCGCAAAGGCCTGTATAGAGGACTGATATCCGTTGGCGCCCGTTTTCCGCCTCTTGACCACCCCGTCGTAGCCTGAGCTCATGGCCTGCGAGGCCTCTGTCCGCGCAAAAGTGTTTTAGCCATCCGTTCCTGCATGCCTCACAAATGCCTTCTACCCTTTCGACTTACTGTACGCAGATCCGCCATACGCCGTAAGATAGTCCAGATGAACCTCCTGCGATTTGTCTGGGTGCAGCGATGCTAGCACCGCGAGTTTGAACTCAGTATCCTCTGGCCCTTCATCGGTGTCCGCTGTCTTGGCCAGTTCTATCGCTTCGGGCGAGGGTTTGACGCGCTTGGGCTTGTGCTTGCGTATCTCTTCCATCGCTGCTTCGCCATGGGGGGAGTCGATGGCGGGGTCGAGGTCATGTTGCTGCGCTTGTCGCTCGCGCAAACAACCTTCCAAGTTCAGAGTAGTGGATGGGTGGTATGAAGTCTGATGCCTGAGTAAGCGTACGTTACACGGTCACATTTTGGGGACGCGCTGAGCGGCGCTTGGACCAGGCGAGTGAATTCACCCCGCGACTTTTGCCTGTGGCTGTGGTATCGCAGCTGCCGCTCTCAATGACTCTGAACCCATTTCCTTCTCGCACTTATTAAGTATAGTAGTCATCGATGTATAACCTGAGGACTTCACAGTAACTACCGCAGTATGGTGGACACTGGCTCAGAGCTATTAGAGCAGCCGTCAATTCTTACCATCGAGAGTGAACGCCTGCAACTCAAGACCATCCAGATGTCCGATCTTCAGGAAGTCATGCCTATCATTACAGATATGGAGGTTATGAAGTGGACGTAAATTGATACTCTAAGCCAGAATACGCTGTTCTGTAATGACCAACGTTGACAGGACCCAAGGCCCTCCAGCAAACCTCGAACAAGCAGAACGATGGCTCAGTGCCAGGACATTGGGTCCTGATGTTTTCAACTTCGTTATGCGAGAGAGGACTGCCGACGGCGTAGGTACCGACATCGTTGGCATCATGGGGAGCTTCCATGTCCCTAAATGTGGCTATCTCATTCGTACCGGTATGATCTATCCAACTCACTGTCCCACCGTCAATCATAACGAGGAGCAGATCGAGCCGGGAAAGGCTATGCCACAGAGGCGCTCAAGGCTTTCCTCCCTGCATATTTCGAGCGGGTACCACCTGCAAGTGAGGGCGGCACAGGCGCCGACTTCATCGAAGGTTACGTCGATGTTGAGAACAAGGCCAGCCAGCGAGTCCTTGAGAAGGCTGGCTTCACCCTGTGCGAGTCGTTGCCTGGCGAAATTGAGAATCTGGTCAGTGGGATCCCACTTTTGAAGTCTGACTCCTGCTCGCTGACACCAATCTAGATGGGTTTGAGAGATGTCCTGTTATATCGGTGCCCACGCCCCGGAAGGACGCTGGAGGAGCTTGGTTTGATGCCTAATCCAAAGGCTCTCGAAGATCCACCTGAGCCTTCCATTCAGTGATGTCGGGAAGTTCTCTTCAAGACTTTGCGGATGAGATTTAACACCCATCTTGTCAGGCCAGCCAAAGCCGTGCTACGATCTTTTGTCTTGCATCACGCCCAGCGCCTATATCTGAAAGGACGTGTTGAATGGCAACCAGTAAAGACCAGCTCGTGACTGCAGATTGTCCGGCCAGGCGCCTAATCTTTCCCTCGGAAGATCGCTCTTATCGCCCAAAAAGGCAGTTCCACCACTCACACACAAATGAGCCATTCATCTCTTGGCCCATATCACCACGCAACGCCATGACCGGTGCTCGCACATCCGACCTGCGGGAGTCACAGGCGCGTGGAGTCGGAGGTTTTCGTTGGCGTGTGCAAGCGTGTTGCTTGAGTTGCTCATCGATCGACTTGACGTCACGGCGTCCAATCAATCGCTGAAGACTACCGGCATATGGTTCCCTAAGGCGACTTAGCACGATGTCAAAATGGTAGTTGAGACCGGCACGTGTGGATACTTTCAAGCGTTGAAAGGTTGACGATATGTGCTGTTGATGAAGTGATGGTCTCGTCGACAAGATCCCTTTACCCCATCTGTCTTCCGTGAATCAGTGACACGGCAATGTCTCTCCACGAGAAGGTTAAGGACGACGTCCCCGAGCAGAAGGCGATTATTGTCGAGTTCAAACCTGGAGATCCCGAGAATCCTCGAAATTGGCCAGAATGGAGGAAATGGTGCATTGTCGCTGCGATTACTCTCGTAAACTCGACCTTCTCCCCCGAGTTCGAACGATGATTGACAACTTCTAGGTCGACCTCAGCGTCTCCTGGGGTGCCTCAGGTTTCTCTCCGGCAACCACGAAGTTTGAGAAGTCCTTCAATGTCAGCGCAGAAGTCGACGTGCTCGGGCTCTCGCTCTACGTGCTTGGTCTGGCAATGGGGCCCATGACTTTGGCCCCGTTGTCTGAGTACTTTGGGCGAACATTACTCTACGTCGTACCGTACGGGATTTTCCTCCTCTTCTTGCTAGGGACAGCATTGGTGACAAATCTTGGCGGATTCCTTGTCCTAAGGATCCTATCTGGAATGTTCGCCAGCGTGACGATTGCCAACTTTGGCGGTACCATCGCGGATATGTGGCCGAGACACGAGGTCGGTCCACCGATGAGCGTGTTCCTTTGGGCGGCTGTATGCGGCAGCCCAAGCGGGTATTTCTTGATGTCCTTCGTTGCTCAAACCCGAGGGTGGAGAGACGTCTTCTGGGCATTACTGGGCATCTGCGGTGGCTCCTGGGTCATTCTCACCACCGTGCTGGTCCCTTTCAAGAACGAGACGAGGCATGGGACGCTACTCAGGAGGAGGGCTGCCAGGCTGCGAAGGGAACGTCCAAGCGAGCGGGATATCATCAATGTGCCGGACTCTATGAAGGCGAAAAGCGTGAGCGAACTTTTCAGGACCACTCTGACCAGGCCGTTCCGTTTCCTAGCCACTGAAGCAATCATTATCTGCTGCGCCTTGTACAATGGCTACCTCTACGGCCTGTCGTTTTTGTTTAACGGTGCTTTCAGCCTCGTCTTCGGCCCCAAAGGATATGGATTCAGTACCATCGGCGTTGGCTTGACGTTCCTTGGGTTGATCATCGGCGTCTGCATAGGACCTGTCGTGAATATCTGGCAAGAACGCTATTATCAACGTCGCATTCGCCAGGACCTTGGCCAATCTGTCGATACCGCCGTCGAAGCATGCAAGGAAGAAGACGTCTTCAAAAATATCCCAGAAGCACGGGTCCAGCTAGGAAAAGTCGCAGCAGTAACTCTTCCGATCAGTCTCTGGTGGTTCGCCTGGACGACTCCCCCGGAGTATCACATCCACTGGATCGTGCCCGTACTCGCAACCGCTCTCTTCGGCTTCTCATTCTAAACGCTTATCCTCATGACGTACATGTACGCTGAAGATGCGTACATGGTCTTTTCCGCAAGTGCACTGGCTGGCATCGGACTGGTGAGGAATCTTGCAGGAGGGACGTTCCCTCTGTTTGGGAACCAGATGTTTGAGAATGAAGGATACAATTGGGCTGGTACGATCCTGGCTTGCTTGGCGATGTTGTTGATTCCGATTCCTTTTGTGCTGGAGAAGTATGGTACGGGATTGAGGGCACGATCGCCGTGGGCAAGAGATCATATGGATTGAGTGCGGACATCATGTCGGATTTCGTTCTCTATCTGCTAACCTGTGTCATCTGAGACTGCTCTTTTCGTTTCTGTTGGTTCTTGACTCTCCAGAGTTCAAAAAGGCAGAGCGACGACACCAGAAAAGACAATCCAGCGAATATCTGAGGGTAGAGGTATCCCCATCGCCCCTTGCTCGGGCGTCTCAAGTACAACGCAATGACCTCCGCAAACGTCGTCGGCAGCACAGTTGTAAGCCACTGCAACGACAAAAAAGAAGGCACCTCAGCCAGGCCTGCCACCTCAGCACACAGAGGACCAACGGACATCCAGTAGACTCCAAGAATCGCACCGCTGATCAGCGCGAAGAAGATGAGCACGCCGAAGCTCGTCGCTGGAATCCAGATTGCGAAGACGGCTACCGCGCACGAGAACGTAGTCACGGCTGCAACTTGGATCCTCCCGAAGTAATCGCTGATCAGTCCAATTGCTGGTCGTCCAAAGCCAGTACCCAGGTTGAGCACGGCTGTGATAAGGCTGGCACGAGATTGAGGGAGGCCTACGACTTGCACGGCATAATTGGATAACGAGTAGAGGATCGTCATGTAGCCGAGAAGGTTGATAAACGCCCATGCTAGCAGCAAGAGACAATCGTACCGGCGAAGCAAGTGCGTGGCGAAACCGAGTTGCGGTGGCTTTACTTGAGCGTTACGGTCCCGGATCATGAGAGCTCCGCAGAGGTTTCCGGCGAGGCAAAGGATGCCAGTGATACGTAGTGCCCAGGAGAGCCCAATCTGCTCGATCATGGCGTTGGTAGCGAGTGAGAAGGTCAGGCCTCCGAAGCCAGAGCCTGCTGATGCTATTCCCCCGGCGAGAGAGCGTCGTTTCAGGAACCATTGAGGGAGGACCTGAATCGAGGGGATGAAAATCGCACCGAGTCCTGCACATGCGTTAGCCATGTGCCTCTGAGATGAAGTGAAAGTCACTCACCAAGTCCAATCAACACTCCCTGGCTCAAATACAACTGCCACGTTTTGTGGGCGAAAGACGCAGCAACAAAGCCCCCAGCAAACATCACAGTGCCAGCCAGCATGACACCAAGCCTTCCAACCTCTCGCGTAAGGACCGTACACAGTGGCGAAATAATCATTGCCACGCCGAATTCCAGTCCGCCGATGAGGGCGTAGTCCAGTGGTGTCGCTCCAGGAAAATAGTCCGTAGCCAGATAGTGAGAGATGTAAACTCCGTAGGATGCGGCCACACCCCATGTGAAGAAATTGATGAGACTCAGTGCTCCTGCCACGACCCAGCCAAAGCCGCCATCGGGTGGGAGTTCCACAGGTTGAACGACAGCGTCCTGAACAGCATTTGCCTGCTCCAAAGTAGCAGCATTCGCAGCATCCGCCATCGCAACCTCAGCACCCTCACCACCAACCTTCCCATTCGAAAATCTCTTCATCTTGATATTAAAAGACCGAAGACGTGGTAGACGAAGCGTTGAGAAAGCAAACCATGCTGAACGAGAGGTGCCGAACTCGCTCGCGCATCTTTTCAAGGCAAGTGCTCGTCACCTGCAAGGTGGAAAGTTGATCTAAACGGTATACAGTATCGCCCGGCACTCGGCATTCATGGGCGGCCAAGCAAGCAAAATGTCCCTCTTTTCTGCTTGGCCGATCCTTTTCGCCGCTTGCACGCGCTTGGGTGGAGCTTGCGAGCTGTGTGAGCATGTAGAAAGGGCGTGCATACGCTGCTGAGTTTGAGGATGATGGTAGCCTTTCGTGAGGCTCTGACTTCAGATCGAGCAGCAAAGCCACGTAGATCTGTAGGTTCTGGTTTGGGTATCTTGAAAGTCAACTAGATCAACTCAATCTATATCCTCGCTTTCCAATCCCATCCCACTTTCGCAAAACGAGTCGCTATTAACAGTGTGCCTCCAATGAAGAACGATATCCCAGCCCAGAGCTGAGCATGCAAGTAATTTCCTCCGTTCTGTTGAATGAGAGCTCCTGCCAACGGCGGGCCCGTCAAGCAAGCAACACTAACGACCGTGAAGGCCATTCCCATTCTCACTCCGGCCTTCTTCAGGTCTGGAACCTTGCTCAGATTCCCAAACATAGCTGGCCACAGCGCCTGCATCACCGCACTGCCGGACCCGTAGATGGCGGCAAACGCGAACAAGCCGCCCACCGAGTGGATGCCAATCCAGGCAAACATCATGATTCCTGATAGGAATGCAAAGGGGATGAGTGTGTTGAGTGTGCCAAGTCTGTCCGCGAAGTAATTCGGCAACAGTCGGAAGATGAAGCCCATGCAGACGATGGTGAGGAGCAAGTTGACAGACTGCTGATAGCTCACACCCAGGACGTTCCGGCCATATGAGCCTATGTAGAAGAAGGCAAAGTACAATCCCCAGAAGTTAAAGAACATGGCGATGCAGTATAGTGCGTATGGTGCTTCTTTGAACGACGCCCAATCGACCAGAGCGCCAGACTTTCGTGGTGGTAGGCGCGTGCGGTAAAGGGCGATCGTAACAGCGTGGAGGGCGAGCATGATGAATCCAATCACGCGGATCGTCCATGGGAAGCCCACTTTGGGCAGTAGTTGCTGGACGACGATGGGAAACACCACTCCGCCAGTGCAAGACCCGAGCGCGGTGATCCCTACCGCAAAGGCCCTCTTCTTGGCGAAGTAAGTGGTGACAAGTGCCATGGACGGACAGAACTGCAGACCATTCGCGATGCCTATGCAGACAGCTTGCGACAGGAACAGCTGGTAGAACTTGGTCGATTCCGCCATGGTAAAGATGCCAAGTATTTGGAAAAAGGCACCTGCGATGTATACATATCTGAAGAGCCCAGCGTCCGTGGCTCGGCCGGTGAAGGTTCCAATGCCGAAGAGGAGGAAGGCTTGCACGGATCCGATCCAGGATATAGTTGAAGACTCGATCCCGAGTGATGTTTGGTAATAGGTTTGGTACACGCCGAATGAGGTAAAGAAGCCAAAGGTGTTGAATATGGTGAGATGGCAGCAGAACACTTGTGTCCATGCCTGTAGTCCTCCATCAGGAGGCGGCCCTGGATCCTTCCACGATGAGGCTGCTGATTTTCCGGTGATGCTTCGTACTAAGGCGTTCGGCGCATCGTGATGGGCCTTCTCATTCTGACGTTCTTCCACGAATTCAGGGTGCTCTGCTTCCTCTATCGTTCGCTCGATCTCGTCGTCTTCGGTGTTCGGCCACGCACTCATGGCATGTTCTTCGGCCGCGTGGTCTTTGTCTTTCTCCATATCGTACTTGCTGCTTTCCGAAGCCGGTCTCGCCATGATTAATATTAAGATATAGGTTGTGTGGCGTCAGTGCCGCTTAATCAAAAGATGCCATGTGAAAACAGAGTGATGGAATCAAGTGAATCAGAAATGTCAGCACATCACCAACCTCCAAAGAGCGACACCGCTACCCCATCCTTACCGCATGTGGTACAAGTGAGTGGTCTGCATGTCGAAATATTTTTCCTCGGGCCAATCGACGCCGTCGAGTGGAGATGTTCGGGTCGCGGCAAGGGCGGGCGGGCAGTAGACTGACGGGTTTTCAGATTCGTGATGGCGTGCTGCAAGATGCCGTCGCCAACAACACTCTCTGCTTTCTAGTCCACTGAATTGGAGAAAGGCTTTTCGGTGGTCCCAAATGCCGACAGCATACTGAGCTATGAAGTCTGTCAAGACGCAACACGAAGAGGGGCGAAGATGAGGCTCTCAGGTGACAGTCTTGACCACCGGAGATCCAGCCCGGGCTCTTATGGCAGTCTTCGCTTTTGTTCATCGCAACAATAATTGCCATGGCGTAACGAGTCTCGTGACTCGTGAGCAGTAGCAGCGATCCTAATTAACAGGCTGGAGGCCATTGACGACCCGATGTTTCGTTACGCAGTAGAAGATGAAAGGAGCACTGGAATATGCTGATGTTGTGTGGCGAAGGACGACAGTTAATACCGCCAAGGAGATTGCGGACCGTCAACGGTCTGCCTCGTTTCGAGGTCTTTCGATCTCAGATGAAGCTGTTCATGTTCAAGGGACGCATGAGGCGCGAGTTAACTCTGACCGCACATCGTGATTGCTTCGTGTTATCATTACTTTGTGGAATCTGGACTCTGTGAGATGTACAGCTGGAGTCAATGCTGACCTCTTACGCCAGGACACCTCTGGGAGAACACCCCTCATGTCCGGTTCAGCGGATCTGGTGACGGCAGTGAGGCGCGCATTGTCTCGAAGCTTACTTCGAAGTCGTGTCGAACCTCAATTAGCGACTCCAGGTGTGTCTTGTTCAGCGAGACCCCATCATCTCGGGCGAGCGTGCAAGCTGTGTTGACAATGTTGGATATCTCGCGGCCATTTAACGGCTCTTTGGAAAGCCAATGCAGCACATCTGCTACTTCCAGATCCATTTGCTCAGGGGGAATAAGTTCAAGACACTGAGACCATATGCGCCGACGAGATCCTAGGTCAGGCGCAGGGTATCCCAAGGCCAGATGTACCCTGCTTTTCATGGCCTCATCGAACACTTTGATTCTGTTCGTTGTGAGGAACACAACTCCAGAGAAATACTCGAGGTGCCTTAGAAAAATCGCTACTAGAGCGTTCCTTGTTGTGTTGCCACTGTCGGCAGCATTCTGGACACGTGCCTCGAGGAATACATCTGCCTCGTCGAAAAGTACTACTGCTCTCCACAGCGTTGCTAAGCGAAGCAATTTACTTAGGTTCCGCTCAAAATATGTCGGCGAGTCGTACTTGTTCAAACTGTGCATGGACACGCTGAATAGGATGCGGTGAGTCGCCTCGGCGGCGCACTCAGCAGTAAGTGTCTTGCCCGAGCCGGGCGGGCCTGAGAAGTGTCGTGTCAGTTTCAGAATACACGGTGATCTCAAGGCTTACACACCGTAGAGGAGCACGACAAGCCCCTTACCCTTCTGTGCAGCCTCGTCGCCGTCTCTGGCGGGATATTCATGTGCTGAGACCAGGGAGCGGACCAAACGAAGCTGTTGATCCGGCAGGATAAGGGCATCATAAGGATTGCGTTTCCAATCAATTGTATGAAGCGAAGACAGGTAGAACCTGCACCATTCGCGGCGCGCAGCAGAGAAACCATGCACGAATGGTGGGCACAGAATACAGTCGGAATCAGTCACATGGTCTTTCTTGGTCACCGGCTCATAGGAAATATTCTGAGACTCGCTGTCAGTTTGAGTCAGAACTACAAGCCACAGGCTAACTTGCCTGCTGGTAACTTCGTTCGTCAATCACAATTCTGCCCCTCTCAGTGTACGGCAACCACACATGCGGAAATTTGTCCATCCCCGGTTCCCAATGGTTGGGAGGTGGTTCGTGCAAGTACTCGGAGAGACCATCGCACCTTCGCGTGCAGGTGCCAGATATCGACAGAAAATGACGACCTCGTTCCATTAGTTGAGTTTCCAGGTCGCCTCCGCCGTACCAATATCGGCGGGGAAATATTGGCAGCTCGACGATCTTGGAGGGATTGCGCTGTGCGAAGCATCGCTTCTGCATGATATTGAAGATGTGCCTCACGTTTCCGAATTGGTGGCCATCGTAACCAGTGCCGGTGCAGTGCACCTCAAAATATGGACCAACTTTTGTGCTCTCCTCGTAAGCGGTCTTCTCTACTCGCAAAAGCCATGGGTGTCCATGTTTTCTTGTGAGAACGAGGTCCCCAGGTCGATAGATAGTCCAGAGAGTGTCGTATTGAACTTGACCTTGTGCGGCGCTCTTCACTAATAGTCGCCTTGAATCGCCCATGTCGGCTTCCATGAACTCAAACAACAGATTGAGATGCATTCGGCAGTCATCGTCATGGGTAGACTCTTTAAATTGGTCCAGGTCATGCCAAAAGTGGAAAAGCATCTGAAAGGGACTTTCCATTTCAAATGGCTCAGAGAAGTCCGCTGGCACGTTTGGATGATAGCCGACCACTTCTCGAAATACCGTCAGAAGATGAGCAGAGTTTATGGTCAATGTCGTCTTTTCCAACACGTTGTCTTTGTCAAATACTTGACGCACGACAACGGCATACTGCTCGTCGGATTTGTAAAGGCCGCCCAGCTCCGTGACAGGCACAATCTCTCGCTTGCCATGCTTGCCAGAACGTTCCTGCCAAATCTTCAGTTCGCATTTCGAGCCTGTGCGGCGGTCCATGATCTCGTCGGCAGTGGTGACAACCGGCCTTGACTGCTGCTGATGTTCCTGGATTGAAGGGTCGAAGTGACCTCGAGGCAAGTCGATAAAGCTGCTGCTGCATTCTGACGCTGCGCTGGCAAAACAACTGTTGAATCATCGTTCACCGGAGCAAGCAGCATGGCGCCATTGCGCAGAGCAGCTGGGACGACTGACGTTGGCGTCTTCGCCTCGGGCGGCGCGGATTGGTCGACGGGGAGGTCATCCCAGCCCGCCTATCGTGATGCATATGCGCGTGCATGGAATGGCACGCACTGTGGCATCAATTGCGGGTGGGGGACTTCGTGATGGCTATGGAGCCGCGCGATGTTCAGAGCTTTGGTGCGGCACAGTGCAGCCAAAAGGGCCGTAGCAGAAGAAGCTCGTCGAGGATATAAGGGAAGGGAGGGGGCCAGCCGCTACCCTTGTTCTGTCGTCGCCTCGCCTCGCCCCGTCGATTAACATGGCGTCGAGCGAGTTCGCGGAAGCCATCCGCGTCTTCATCCTGGAGAAGAAGTCAGACCAAGACCGCGAGAGCGCCTTCTATCGCGAAGTCCTCACGGGCATCCGTCCCGACCGGCTCGTGTCGACCTCTCACGACGACGCCCAGGCCGAGGCGGAGCGTCTCCGCGCCTACGTTGTCGCCCTGGATCAGGAACACGGCCAGCGCAGCAAGTTGCGTGGCTTCGCCCAGCGCCTCAGTCGCGTCGTGTCCGGCCTCGTCCAGTTCACCGGCGCCTGCGATGTTCTCGTCCAGGCAGGGCCCGCGGCGGCACAGCTAGTTTACGGAGGGACTCGCCTCCTCCTGCAGCTCGCAGTGAAAGTGACCGAGTGCTACGAGAATATCGTGGCCATCTTGGAAGACATCAACGACTACGTGGACTGTTTCGCCGTGTTTGCCGCGGCACACCAGGGCTCTCGGCTGGTTCGGAAACATCTGGTGGCCTCGTACAAGGCCATCATCGACTTCTGGCTGCAGGCCTCCCAACTCCTCTCCAAACCATCCATCAGAACTCTGTTCTCGCGAACGAGGACTCAACTTAGCAGGCAATGGACCAAGTATCGAGACGTCCTGCAGGATGGGGATCGACAAGTTCGGAAAGCCTCGCAAACCGCCCAGCTTGCCAGACAGGTCCAGAACGACGCGGAAGCATCACAAGAAGCGGACCGCAAAGCTATGCGGCAAGTCATCGAGTGGATCAAGGGCAAAGAGAGCGATGATGCGCTTGACTTTCGTAGCAAATGCCGGAAGACTGCCGGAAAACGCCATAGCAACAGCTGCCAATGGTTCACCCAGCACCCAACGTTCGAATCATGGCTGGCAGCTACGAGGGGCTGGCCGTTGTGGCTCCACGCATTTCCTGGAACCGGAAAGTCGGTTCTAGCAGCTCATGTAGCTCAGCAGTTGGAAGAACAGACATGGCGCACCCATGTGGATCAACAATGGAAAGTAGCCTACTACGCCTTCTCTTTCGACGATGCTTCGAGGAAAATGACTCTCACGGCACTGAGGTCCATTGCCATACAGATCCTGACTACTTTTTCCACGGTGCCAGAAAGTGTTGACCAACTACACCACGAAGATACTTCCAAGGGATGGCAGCATTTGACCGAGCTGGACACTGCGGTCGACGTCGTCAATGCATTGATCAAGCGAGTCCCACGCATGCACATTGTCATTGATGGGCTTGATGAGTGTGGTGATCGAGTTGACCTTCTGAAAATTCTTCCAGGTCTGCTCAAGCAGCCGCCCCTAGGCGTTGTCAAATGGTTTTTGACGAGCAGGGGCGAGAGAGATTTCACGGACTTCATTCGTACCAATGATTTGTGTGCTATCAGTGCTCCACCGGAAAACTTCAAACACGACGTCCATGATTACATGACGGAGGGGCTTCGCAAATACGCGGGGCTCTGCTGCGACGACGAGATTGACATGTGGGTGACAAGGTCTGAGGGAAATTTCCTGTGGGCATACCACCTGCTGCGCTCTCTGCAGACGGACAGTCATCTTACATGTCAAGCCGACGTTATCAGAGCACTCCGAACTTTTCCAGCCGATCTCAGGGGCTACTACGAGCGCAGCATCAGATTGCTTGTAAGCAACAGATCCAATGAACAGCAGCGACTTGCAAGAAGAACGTTCATGCTTGTAGCTGGCGCTGTCCAGCCATTGCGTCTGTCTGAGATTTCTCACGCACTCGCTTGCACAGAAGCACATGGGTTTAGGAAAGATGAAATTCCAAAGCCAGGATCCATCGAGACGCTGTGTTCTGGGCTGGTCACGTTCGAGCGCGAGGCAAACACGAAACGGGATGATCCAATACTGACATTCAGTCACAAATCAGTGCGCGACTTCTTTGTTGACGATACTCTAAAAGCGACTGCTTCAGGCGCCGTCGCCAGCTTCTTTACGACGGTCCAAGACGCTTGTTGTGAATTGGGCCTTGCATGCCTCCGATATCTTTCCTGTGCATCGTACGGAAAGCCTTACGATGTGATCCGCTTCCTCGAATCGGACGAGCACGCATTCTTGCAGCACTCGTCAGCATTCTGGCATCTCTATCTCAGCCAAACAGAGCCCTCGCCTTCTACTCGTGCTTCAGTCTTGCGGTTTCTTCAGAGTCCATGCTTCTGGAGCTGTATTGCTGCTCAGACGTACACTGTACCGCACTTATTTGCTCGATACCACGAGACTAGATCCGGTCGCTATCGCCCCCAAACATACGGTCGAGCTCGGCCTAACAATGAACGAGAATTGTATTACGGATCACCTCTGCCACTGTGGCTCGATGAGCCTGGCCATGGCGCCGAAGACCTTGTGCAGAGACTGCACACGTTCATCGTGCAGTGGCACCCGATCCTCAGCTCCCACCCAGCAGCTTTCCAGCAGGCTGTAATGCACAACGAATGGGAGGCCTGTGTTCCCGAAAGAGACGGCTTTCTGTCGGATCGCGCGTCTGCCTCTTCGGTGGGCGAAGTACCAGGACCCGTGCCCGGCAAAGTGTCAGTGGCCTGTTTGAGCTTCGACATAGAACTCGACTGCGTTCTGTACCAAGTCATCGAGTACGATGACGGGACTGGTGTTCGACATGTGAAGAAATTCTCGCAAAGCGTGCCTTGCGACATGGTGAAGCCCGTTGGGACACTGTTATCCAGCCAAGATATTTCCAGTGTTCAACAAGGCAACATTGTCATCTTCAAGGACTGCTTCACTCATGACTCATCCTGGAGGGTTCATTGCGATTCTTTGGCTGTGGAGAAATCGAGTTCATCTTCACATAAGCTGACTGAGCTGCTCTACCCTCAAGCCACTGACGGAGGGTGGACGGTGCACGAAACTCCATGTACCATACAAGGGCAAGGCATTTGTTATTGTGGGCCCAATGCTTTCTACTGCGTATCTGACAAGCGACCTATACGAAGTCACGGTCCGAGCAATCGCAGCGGCACGAATAGTGGGTCCGGATCTGATCAATCTTCACCATCCTCGGACTCTGACGATAGTGCGATTGAACTTGACCACGACCTTGGGCATTCATTGAACCGCTGCATAATCCTTGTGTCTCCAACAGCACCACCAAAATGGAGCTTTTGGCAGTCAGAAAGGCGTCACGAATTCATGCAGCCTGCTTGCAGTCCGCAAGGCGCCATAGCTGTATGGAGTCCGCGGACTTATGAAGCAAACTTCATGAGAGTAGCTTCTGGCCAGGTAATGTCGGCGGTACTTCCGGAACCTTCAAGCGCGGAGTTTGGCAAACAGACTGCTGTCTTCAAGTCCTTTCATTTCTCACGATCCGAGGACGTAATCTACTATCTCGTCTATACTGTCGATGCGGCGGGTTTTGACGTCCTGCATCAGCGACTATCCATCTCTTCGCTAAGCCTGTCCTGGTCCAGCAACGGGAACCCTCAGCTCGACCGCATCAGCTCGCAACGCGCCATTGACACGGCATCAATTGGGCATCTGCAGTCACCGTACATTCTCACCGCATGGACTTCTGATTTCGTCTACGTGGCAATGCCGCCGCTGACATGCGATCCAAAGCTCGTACGACTTCGACTGTCCAGTATACTGCAAGATGGCTCCGAGCCCGAATTCGAGACACCTGTGGAGCCGATCTACTTTCCCAGCAACACTCCACAGAGGCATCCGAAGCTGTACGCAACGACTACTGCCGAAGGGCGGGAGAAGATTGTCCTGACGTTAGACTCCTTCGGGGAAGTGGAACAGCCAGCTGTTGTCATGATGTGGACGTTCCACCTCGACTCGGACTGGCGAGCTTGGAACAAAGACACAGACACAGAGTCAGAAGAGTATAAGCGTAAGGACGACGTTTACCAGCGGCTACGAGGCTCGTTCGTGGCAGCGAATCAGAAATTCTACGTACCGATTCGGAGCGGCTTGGATTGGAGAAAGAAGGCATTCTTGTCGTGTGCGTAGTCGGGTGTTGTTTTCAAAAGGCTGCTTTTGCATATTCTTTAATCATCGTGGAATCTATACTACTACAGTCGCCTATGTGACCCCACACACCGCGAGGCCCCTGATCCCAAACCGCCATCACCAAAACGTACGTTTGTCGCCATTCACGGACACCAGCTTTCCAAATAGAGCCTGCACATATCTATATCTCTTTCGTACGGATCCCCTAGGTACGTCGGTCCAAGTCTAAGCAGCATATTTGTTCTATCGTTGTGCGGCCACTTTGTTCGGCCAAAGCACTTCATATCTAGTACTTGAAGCTGGGGGTCGGCGAACCGAATGCAGCATGTTTTCTAAGATGGCTTGAGCAGGAGCATGCCTTCTAGGAGAATGCAGCCTGGGTATCGTGGTGGGATTTTGATGTATGCAGTCATTGGGCTTGAACAACGTACCCATACCCGATGGTGGCTGACTGGATGTACTTGTGATGAAGGAGTCATCACCTTCTCACTCGATCGAGCTCAATCGGTACCTGCAGCATCAGCGAAAGGCACATTTCTTGCGTCTCGCTCCAAGTGCGGAGAAAATGCTTGGATGATTTTGATTTGCACGCGTCTGTTGCGTATCACAACACCCTGACTAGAGAGTCCCACGATTATAGACCAGATCCTCAATGTGATACCCAAAAGCTGGAGGGGAGAGGCGTAAAGTTGGAGCAGATTACTTTGATCCGAACTTCCCTACATCACGATCTATGCAGCCACGCAACTGGCGGTACTTGGACACGCCGTTGCCCAGCTACACACAACACACTTGCGAATCGTACCAGGGTAATTGAACGGACCAGTTCATGACCATCAGCGCTGGATGCGGTGTTACCCCCTCATACGGATAGTACTCGCTCGTTAGTTACGAGGCATTCTTTCGTCTACTTAGAACCTATACTTCTAGCACTAATAAGCCTTTTCAGGAGAATTATCGTTTTGTGAACTTGAGGGGATCCAAGTTCGATCAGGCGATTGCGGAGTTGCCTCGAGATGTTCCTTTAGGTCTGCCTCGTTGCCTGGCTCGGGATGCATGAATGGCTGACGAAGATCGTGTCAGTGCTCGGCAAAGGTGTGGCGGTCGAGCCCAATCGTGAGTCCTTGATAGGTATTCTGTCAAGTATGAAAGGCAATGCTGACAGCAGAGATAGGAAAGGTCCAAATCGACTACTCCCTGAAAGGCGTGCGAGATGCAGCAAGATATCTCCGGCAAGATATCAAAGCGTTGGCTCAGCCGGCGTTGGATGCTGAAGATGCTGGGGAGCCTGCTCCACGGTACGCAATGTACAGTGTCTGGGTGAGTCAAGAGCACAGATATTACCATACATACAAGCACCTCTGACAAGGCCCTCTTCCCAGCGGCCTCTCAAACCCGTCAAGCGAGACCCCCTCGTCGTCTGCGACTACCGGACCGTAGACCATTCCGAAATCGCAGAAGTCTTCTACCGAAGCCCGAGCGATATCTGCGACGAATACCTCGCATCCTCATGCATGATTTTGCCGCCCAAAGACGCTTCGAAGCAGAAGTGGTACTGGATGCCGGGGCAGACACCAGATGATGTGCTGATCATCAAGATTGGGGACACGCAGAGTGAGGTTGAGAATGGGATTGCTGGAGGTATCCCTCATGTTTCGCCCGTCGTGAACGGTGTGGAGGATGTGCAAGAGGCTAGGACGAGTATTGAGGTTAGGTGTTGGCGTTCTGTTAGGAGGTTGTCTGTGGATGGTCAAGATGCTGTGGTGTTCGGCGGGGAGACGTCGCCATTTAGACTGAGAATTTTGGACACTGCTACCCCGTCATCGATCATGTGTTCAAGCTTGATATCCAAGGAAAAAAGAGGAAGAAGGGAGAGGTCTCGAGACAAGCCTCGCCAAGCGCCGTTGAAGCTTCTTTCCATGACCCCTGAAATGAATGATCCTGGCGGATGCATAACTTCCCAACCTGCCGTCGTAGTACTCTTTCTCTATACCACTGATGCAGGTCATTCAACAAAGACCAACAATGTTGTCATATGCAGCCAGCAAACAACCATGCCGCTCTTCACTGCTGCTGCTCTCAGCGCCGAAGATCGCTGCCCATCACGTCATCAAACACGAGCAACCTGCATGAGCCCCAAAAAGCTCACTGCACTGCACGTGTCCGGGCCACTGAGATCGATTAGTGCATTTGCGGTGACCAGGTTTGTAGCAGCAGACCTCCTGTTCCATTTCCCCCTTCCTTCCCTGTTCCTCCAAACAACACAGCCAAAGCAAAGCAAAAAATGTCCTACTACAACGACTCCTACGGCGGCGGCGCCCCTCCACCACCCCAGGTCCCCCCTCCATGGTTCGCCGAATGGGAACCCCGCGAAAACCGCTACATCTTCGTGAACCGCCAGACGGGCGAACGACAATGGAACCCTCCTCACCAACAGTACGGCGGCGACGGCGGAAACCCAGGCTACGACGGCGGCTACGGCTCCGGTCCCTACGGCGGCCCGGGTCCAGCAAACTACGGCCCTCCCCAATCCGAACCCCGCCACGAAGAGAAGAAACACCACGGCTGGATGGGCGCCGCCCTAGGGGCCGCCGCCGGTCTCGCGGGCGGAGCGTTCCTCATGCACGAGGGCCATGAGGTCAAGGAGGACTACGAGGAGGACAAGTACAAAGTCGACCAGTGGGGGAATCGGGTCGAGAACAATGTGGAGAATTTCCCGGAGGATGCGGCGGAGTGGACAGGCAGGAAGGTTGGGGAGGTGGAGGATATTCCGCAGGATGTGGAGCAGGGGTTTGATAGGTTTGGGGATCGCGTGGAGAGGAAGTGGGATAATGCTGTGGATGATGTTGAGGTGAGTGTAATACACAGGCTGATGTGTTTGGGACGATGCTGATTTTGGTTGTTTAGGATGCACCAGAGGACGTGGCCAACTGGGCGGGCGACAAAGTAGGGGACGTCGAGAGGTTTGGAGACGACGTGGACAGATATGGTGATCGAATTGACGACGCCTATGATGCTGGCCGTGACGAGGGACGGTACGATGATTGAACGAGCAGCTGAAGGTGATTCGAGTAGCGGCATAGCGATGGCATAGCGAGTTCTGCAGTTGCATTTGATTTCGAAGAGCTCGATGTCATGAAGCTCGTCTCTATGAATCGGACATCTATGTTACAGTGTGTCGCTTCAGGCAAAGACACAACACGATTACATCCCCTCAAACCCGCCATCGTCACCATCATCGGCGTCGCCTTCGCCCTCGATGATCTCCTTGGCCAACTCGCGCTCCCGCTCACGAGCCTTTGCTGCCTCAGCAATCTCTTGACGGTGCTTGTTCATCGGATATCTCATAGCCATGACACACTCATCCCTCATGCCCAGCAACGCACTGATACGTGCGTGGAACGCCTCTGAGGGTTCCGTGGTGCTGTAGGCGTCCTTTTGTGGCACCGTCACCATGTGTCCGTTCTGGTGATCGAGAGAAGCCTCAATCACTCCGTCACGAATAGCCTTCGCAGTGATGTATTCAGCCGACTCTTCAGAATCCACGCCCAACCGAGTGCAGATATCACGCAGAGAAATGCGGGAGTATGAAAGCGAGAGCATGCGCACGCCCGTCTTGATGACATTTTGCCGTAAACGGAGGATAAGAGTGTATGTGCCATCTTTTCGGAACTGAGGCTCGTTGACAGTGGAGCACTTGAGGAAGGCTTGGAGATCGCCGACACGCACGGCTTGTACGAGTTTGAAGTATGGGTAGAGGGCGGCTTCGAGAGCAGGCTGGCGGAACAGCGATCGGTCGGGAATGTCACCCATAAGAAGCTCCACCACGATCAAGAGCTTGGTAGCTTGCTGGTAGAAGCCAACAGCAGGACCAGTGGTGGGCGACTTCCTCGTGGCGGACTCCAGATGTTCGTGTGCTTGGGTGTAGGCGAGTTGGATAGCGCGGATGCGGCCGAGGTAGTACAGGTAGCGGCATACTTGGTTGTTTGAAGCGGTCATCGGGAACTGCGTCTGAGCAACGAGAAGGTCGGCTTGGGTGATGTCGGCGGTGCTGATGTAGTTGCGTAAGAGCAGCACTGTCACGGCGGCCTGTGTGTCAGTATCCTTGCGCAAGACAGCCGAGCGAAGGGCTGCGAGCAGCTTCGGTCGGGTATCGATGACCGGCGATTGCTTCGACGGCGGCTTCGGGTCGAGGTTCTCGTGGAATAACGCGTAATAGAAGTATGCCTTGGCTCCGATCTGGTCAAGCGTTCGTCGATTCCAGCTGCGAATCCTCTCCACGAAGTTCTCGCTGAACTCTGCGCCCTTCTCAAACTCGCCATTGTCGTGCAGATAGACCTGAGGATGTCAGCATTTTTCCAAATTGCCATTCCCAGATTTTCCCCAACCTGAACCAAAACACCCAGATACGCCCAGATCTCGGGGTGTGTCTGCTCTTCCGGCGCTTCCTTGCCTGCTGACGCAGATGTGCCGTTTTGCTGATGCTTCTCCGGTAGCAGCTCTTCCAATATTTGCCGTCCCCGATTCGATGCTTTTGGGTATGCTGTGCGAATGCCGGCGATCAAGGCGTCGGGGAAGTTGGATGCTTTGCGGAGGGTTGCGATGCTGCGGAGGGCTCTGAGGGTGAATCGCGAGTCGAAGCTGTCTACTGCCTCGTTGATGAGAGCGAAGTTGTTGGTGATGACTGTCAGAATATGCATTAGTATTCAGTGTTGGCGAGGCGGCAGAGGCAACGTACTTCGCTCTGGTGGCAGGTCAGGCGCTGGGCCGACGCTCTCTGCCTGTTTCTCGCCGTTGACGGCATCGATGTCCATCTTGTCCGCCATCTTCGGTATCAGATAGACGGTACTGTGGGAACGGAGGTGCGGGTGTTGGTGTTGGTTGATGTCGTGTGCTTGGGGAGACCAAACTGCAGCTGCAGTTGAGCTCTGACGGCGACGGTGGCCCTTGCTCTGCCTCACTCGGCTGAATCTCGGATGGTTTGTCACATGGAAACGCGACTTTGACTTCACTTCGTCAACAACAAGTACCACCACCACACACCGCAAACATCGAATTTTAAACCAACGCAGGACGTGTAAAAGTGGACACACGTTTTGTTGCTCTCATGGCGTCCCTCTTCAACTCCCACCTGGAGCAGATCTCCCTCTGCGCTACGTCCATTGGCGAGTTGCCTTTCCAAGGACCCAAGGCCTTCAGCAATGCTCTGCTTTCCCAGCACGACATTACTGCTTTGATACGCGACACTGAAGCGCACGAGCGAGCATTGTTCCACCTAGCTCCGCCTCCTTTGCCCAGCAAATCGGCCGCTCAGGACTTTGTAGCAGGACCTCCAAGTGGTCCCGCACAGTCGACGACTTCCCGCAGGGCTACTGTTTATGGACAACGTCAGCCCAAAAGTAAAGCCGTAGCAGCCGTGCTTGGTGGCGAGCTTTATCAACGGACCAGAAAAGAAGGCGCCGCAGTTCGACAGAAAGGCGAGGTCGATGTCGAGGTCCTACTCGAAGGTGCCGAGAAATTGTTGGGCGTCTACCCAGTTCCTGGCGCCGCCGAACGAATCACTCAGCTCAGACGTCGGCATCAGCAACTTGCTGCGAACATTGCGCATTATGAGACTGTCGTGAGCCAACAAAGCGCAGAGCTGGCTAGCATGAATCAGCCTACCTACGACGATGACATTGACGAGATTCTGGATGATGAGCCAACTGTGTCAGCACCTCCTATGACCAAAGAAGATCTTGAACGTGAAGAAGCTGAAATTCAGGAGCTTGAACGCAAGAAGAAGACCCTCGAAGACCGCGTGACTGGCATGGAACGAGATCTGGGTGGCTTGATGAGGTAGTGCAGAGACTGCTGGGACACACGCTTCATTGACTGCTGGCTTAACGCCGTTTGCCGGGACCCATGATAGTTTTGCAGCATACACGCTCGAAGTATGCATGGTCTACAGGCATGCCAAAGGACCTCTTGCATGGAAGAATGTCTCCCAACGGTGTAAGAGCTCTTCCGCCGCTGCGCAGGTTGAACTCCTCAATTCGATCATCCATCAAACATGGCGGAGCAAAACGAATCCAAGCATATTGTCGAACACGAAGTTGAGCAAGATGATCAACAAGGCGCATCGAGAACTACCGACGCATTCGACCTTCGACGCCTCGAACGTGACCCCGATCCTATGCAGTACACAGATGAGCGTCGGCTGCGTAACCAGATATTTTGTATGTAGCTTGAAGGCTTTGAGGCTGCAGCCAGTCCTAATCTGACCCGGCCTGGTGACTAACAAGCACTAGGCAAAGCCCGAGATCTTTACCTTGCGCCGGCTACTGCACAGCTCATTGATGGACTCACAGAGCTCCAGGCCCATCTCGCAGTCATGGTAGGCGGAGAACTCGGTGTCTATCGAGCGGACTTGTTGATCTTTGAGCACAATGGGATTGTCCTGGGCCAGCCAGAATCTACGAGAGTAGAGGCACTGCGAAAGCTGCTAGAGAGATTGACGGATCACTGGGATAATTGGCAGCTGAACCTGGCTCTTGCTGGACAATGAAAGTGTGGTGACAGTGGCAAAGATCGTAGTCTCTGTTGATCACAATGACAAGAGTCCAGGTCTTTGCTGTCCTTTACCGAGGGCACATGTCTGCGACGTCTGTTATTCCGATATTACAACAAATTCTTCTACATATGGCAGGCTACAAGACTCAGTCGCGACATAGACCACAGGCAGATGACAGCGTAGCACTCACAAATACCTTGCTAGTCATACGAACCAGCAAGCTCAGGGGCAAAATCCGCATGGCCAGCAACACCGCAGAGAGAATATTAGTAATTTACGGCAAACACTTCGAGTCCAGGCACATCGTCGAAGCAACTGTGGCTGGCGCTAGTGACTTACCCTCGACATCACACCGGGGATGGCTGCCCGGGTCAGGCTATTCAGGGGCAAGATCCGGTTGGTTAGCAAGACCACAAGCGCGACTCAAATGATGTGCGACAAACACTCTGAGTAAAGGGAGAGCACCGAGGCAATCAAAACTTGCAGTATTGACTAATACTCGACCGCCCCCTACTAGCTGTTTGGCCGGCCCAGGCTCCCCGAGGCGTTTGCTACAATGGGTGACTCCCAAGGAAGAGGGTATATAAGAACTGGCTTTGTACCCCGTAGGCCTTCTAGATTATCAGAACACGACAGAAACCACAACCATGCCCTCCAAACCTCAAAGCAACCAAGTCCGCCCAAGACAGCAGTCCTTCAGGGCGGAGCCCAAGGCAAGCAGACCAGCACAAGAATCCTCGAGACCTAAGATTACAACTCAGCGCAAGCATCACTCCAGTGATCGCGAGGTCGTCGAACGCATCACCGAGCAAAACACAAAACACAATGCGGGCGCCCATCGCCCATCGAGTCACCCATCGAGAAGTCACAGCGGGAACAAGGCCGGCAAAGAACTTTCTCATTCCACAAAACAATTGGCCTCCACAAAAGACCAGTTCTATGGCCAGCAATACAGTTCCAAGACCGCGAAAGAACCAAGCATCATTGTGAGATCCATGGAGACCAACAGGGATGGCAGCTGGAAGAATAGAAAGGTTGAGATCTCCAAAGATGGTGGCTACAGGGCGGTACGTGTCTATTTGCAACGCACTTACGAGATGTGTGTGAATGAGAGGCTAATCTGGGCGTCGTATAGTACGAGATTCAGGGAATGGCGGGAGGTGCTATGTGCTTGACGGATGTGCATAGGAAGGCGATTGATCGTGTGTTGGGGCGGTGAATTTCGCTTTGAGGTGGATGTGGGATGGTGTACTACGGTTCATGTTTCCACCGCGGAGGACGGATTGGAAGTTGTGATGAGCTCTGCGGAAGTGATTCAAGTATCGACTTATCAGAGCGATGTTTTAGATAATGGATGCACATATAATGCAAGCAATCACGCCAGGAGCAGAGCGTCAGACATTCACCTTAATTAGAGTTTCACTAGCCCACGTGCACGGATCACATCAAGAATCGACTTCATTCAAAATGTTCCTGCAATTATCTCACCTCTTCATCAAACATGAACCTGACATATCCAGTCAACCAAGCACCTTCTAGTGCTTCTCGACCTGCGTAACACTGATCTCCCCCTTGTCATCCGCATTAACACGGTCAATCGAATCCCTCTCAACATCAACATCCTTCGTCGGCACGGCACCGAACAACTCGTCCATCTTCTCCAAACTTATGCCCTTGGTCTCTGGGATTAAGAACCAGGTGAAAACGAACATGCAGAAGCAGAAGGATCCGTAGATGAAGTACGCGCTGTGAGCGCATGTTAGCCGGAAGTTCCTGCAATCCAAGACTGCGAAGCTTACCCATATCCGCCCTTGCCCACGGTGGCAATCATATTCGGCGTGGCCCTCGCGACGAAAAAGTTGAACAGCCACTGCGTCGCCGCTCCCAGCGATACATTCAACGCCCTCAGCCTCGCCGTCGGGATCTCACTAACGTAGATCCAGCAGACCGGTCCCCAGCCAAACTGGAAGAACACAGCGAAGAGATAGATGCACACAATCGCCACGTAGCCCGCTGCTGGGACAGGCGCACCGGATTTGGGTGGCTCGACTCGGACGTAGATTCCGATGTAGTACATGCAGAGGCCTTGGGCGATGGAGGTCCAGAGAAGGGAGCGGCGACGGCCGAGAGAGTCGGCTGCGAGGGCGAGGAAGAGGGCGCAGCCGACCATTTTGAGGACGCCGTAGATTCCGGTGGCGAAGAGGGAGGATTCGGTGCCGTCGAGGCCGAGATTGGAGAAGATTTGCGGTGCCTGTGGAAATGAAGGTTAGTGCTGTTTTCTCCAGGGCCTGGTCGGATATCTTGGCTTTGAGTACTCACATAGTAGTTGATAGCGTTCGTACCTAGAGATTTCGTTAGTCGAAGGTTCACATGATAAAGGCATTTCGAACTCACCAGTCATCTGCTGGCAAATCATCAAACCAACAGTGATGAGTGCACGCTTGCGGTTGCCAGGTATCGTGACCATCTCTCTAACCAAGTCTTTGAAAGATGAACCACCGGTCAAGTGGCGCTCATATTCTAGTTGGTCGAACATCTCCTTGATTTCGGCTTGGACGTACTCGTGGGACTGAGGGAGGTTTCGAACACGGGAGAGGACTTGGGTCGATTCTTCCCAACGGTCCTTGCGAGCGAGCCTAAGGATAGTCAATTTTCGTGCAAGTAGTGTGGTGTGTGATGTATTACTTACCATCTTGGTGTCTCACTGCTGAAGAACATGCCGAAGAAGAGTATCAAGGCGGGCAGGCCCTGTAGAGCCAGGGGAACAACGTATTGGACAGTGCCCGAGCTGTGCAGAAGCGAGCCATAGTTGATCCAGAACGCAATGCAGACACCAGTGACGATGAAGAACTGGTACATACCCGTGAGCGCACCACGGATAGCTCGAGGTGCATTCTCGGATGTGTAGAGGGGTGTGACCATGGACGCTGCTCCTACACCGACACCAGCGATGAATCTGAACAGCGGTCAGAGATGTCTAAACAGACAATTTGTTTGTCTGCGCGCACGACATACCTTCCAATGTACATGACAGGAAAGTGACCATTAGCAGCAGCTTGCATTACAGCACCAAGTGTTGCAAGACATGCAGCGATCATGAGTCCATAGCGTCGCCCAAGCCTGTCGGCGACGAAACCAGCAAGGAGTGCGCCGAGGAAGCAGCCAGCTTGAAGGGTGGATACGATGTTGGCTTCAAGGTTTGCGGAGAGTGTCTTATTCTCGTTTGCCTTTGGTAGGCCGTACTTTCTAGACAAGAATCAGCATGTTGTGGTCTCGAAGAAGACAGCCAGCGTACTCTCTGAATGGATCGAGCTTCAAGACTCCTCCGATGATTCCTGAGGACGATTCAGCAATGCCTTTAAGACTGTACTCAGACAGTCGAGACTCACCGGTATCCATTCCAAACAGCATGCCACCAAAACAAGCACTGGCGCAGAGAAGATACACCCTCCAGTTATAGATCTCAGGCGGATCACTCTTCGCCGCCTCATTGCGAATAATCTTCTGAATGAAACCCATGATGCCTCTCTTCCACCTGCTGGTGAGCAATACAAAACAGAATCAAAACCCACGAGCAGCGAAGCTGCGTCCTTTTCAACAGCGACCTCTCACTCCAAGTATCATTGGACGGGTAATATATCACTCCTTGGCAGCCACGCCCCCGGGTCAAAGGTCACCGGCGACCACCCTCAGCCTCAGAACGAGTCGACACACACCTCAAACGTGGACGTCCTCGTGCCATGCTTTGTCAAGTTCCACCAAACCGTTCTTGTGTCCATGCATCTGTAACGCACCCCAGTCGTGAACCCCAGATCCCCGCAATGCCCAGACGGAGCCATGCACTCCGCTGCACGATCCGTGGCCTAGGCTCGTCGCATGCGTTGGGGGTCGACAGGTCAGAATGCGAGGATGGATGAATTCTTCCGTCAATGGAAGATTGTCCTTGAGCAGTGGCGTTGTTGGTAGCCAGGGCTTGGGAGGTTGTACAAAAGGATTCAAGCACCTGGGGGAAGAACCACTTTGGGGGTCGCAACCCTTGAACGCCTGGAGCCGACATGCGAACAGGAGAGATCTACATTTTAGAGGCGCCTGAACGAGAATGGCGCAACGATGGTTGTGAAGCGATGTCGAAGATTGCTTGTAGTCGTTCTAGGATTTCATCTCTATCTGTATGCAAGGACCCATAGTATGCACGCTAGTCAGCAAGGCGCCCACGCTATGCATCGAAAAACTACACATGCTTTTGTAACAATCAAACCTGCCAATGGACTTACTACCATCCCCGTCTCTTCCCTCTAGCTTCCATACCCTTAGCCTTCTGCTTGAGCTTCTTGCCTTCGTACTTCTTCTTCTTGTCCTTGGCCCATCGCTCCGGTTCACTGACAGCTTCAATTCGCCTCTTTCGTCGTCTCTCATCTCGTCTCTCCCTCGTCTTGCTTCGAGTCTCCGCTAGAGCGGAGACATAGACTTCAGGTCCGATCTTCTTCTGGATCAGTTCCAGGGTCTCGTTTGCCTTGTCTTCCAACGCCTTGTGCAGCTCGCCAGGTGGTTTCGGCACGCTGGGGTCTGTGAGAGCGTAGAGTGGTCGGAGAACAGTCTGCAAGTTGGGGATAGAAGTCAACTGGTGCAAAAGGGCCGCGAGAGTCTGCAATGTCGCCGTGCGGGACATGATGGAAAACTTGTCGGCCATGAGCATGGACGATAGTCGACGCAGGAGGTGAGAGAGGGCAGATGAGTTATCGCTCTCAGCGTGTGCAGCATCCTCTTCTGCCTCGTCCTCATCAGCGGCCTCAATTTCGTTATCGCTCTCCCGATTGTGGTCGGTCCAAGGCATCTCATTAGCAGCAAAGCATCGGCCCATAAACACCAGATTGCGCACAATTTGTGTCGTAAGAGTTTGGCTTGTGGCCAAGGAAATTGCTCGGAGAGCGCGCAGGTTGACACTGCAAAGGCGACGCATGTCTTCTGCACCAATCTCTAGACCACCTGAGCCTCGGAGGGGCAATCCTGCAAGACCGTCGGCAGTCTTCGAGGATGTACTCGCAACATCCGTGAAGAATGTTCCTAGCAGAGAAGCAACGTGCTCCTGTACTTCCACATCGTCGGATGACGGGATGCGCTGTATGGCTTGCCACAGATTTACTGAAGCTTTGGAGAACCCTACCGCAGGCGCGGTCTCCACCAGAACGGCAAATGTCCTGAGGCTGTCTCGGATGACCTGTGGCTCGGCGATGGTGTCCTCCTCAGCGCAGTCAGAGATGATATCCTCTATCTTTTCACGGAGGCCATCCAGTCTCTTCAATGGCAACTGCCTCGTGCGCAACAGCACTGCCCAGCATTGTAATGCTCCGCCCTTGATAGTCGACTTTTTCTCCTTCTTCAGCCAGGTGTCCATCAGAGACAGGGACTGAGCGAGCTGTGCATCGCCAGCGTGCTCGAACAGTCTAGCAACCAGGATGCGAGCCATGTCACGGCAAGAATCATCCGTGTCGCCAATCAACACTGGCAACAAGGACACAAAAATCCGCGAACTGATTTCGGCCAGTACCTCGCTTCCAATCTTGCCTAGCATGAGGTTCAAGAACTCCATGACACTTTGTCGACCCGCGGCATGCTCGTATTGCAAATTGCCGACCAGGAATGAGGTCTGCTTCTGCCATCTGTCCTTGCCTTGTGGGTATTCCATGACGAATTGCAAGTACGCACCCCTTCCGCTCTCTCTGATGTTGCGGTCGGGGCTAGTCACCATGGCCTTGCCAACTTCGTCCATCGTCTCATACATCTCAGTAATGACAATCTTGCGGCCAAGTGTAGCACGCAGAAACTTGTAGATGATGCCTTGCCTGTCTGGCTCGTCAATGTCCGTCTTGATGCGTTTGAGCACAAGCGCTACGTCCTTTTCTTTGACGCCTACTGAGCGCTTCTCCCGGAGTACAGACGTGATGAGCTCAAGAGCAGCTTTGGCCGCGTCGGTGCTCATGCTTGGCGCTCCTTTGATGATGGCGACCGCTTCTTGGACGTATACCGGAGCGTTGGCCTCAAGTTGGGGGAGCGGTACCCTCATGATCGTCGAGAACAGCCTCATAGCTGAAAGCTTGACCTCCTCTTGTCCCTGGATAAGTGCATCGCCTGCCATTGGTAGGAAGCCAGCCATGTTCTGAGGAGTCTGCAAGTCCTCATGCCGCCGCACAACCTTGCGCAGGAGGTTCAGGGCAAAGCTGATCAGCTTGAAGCGATAAGATGTCGTAGCACCCTTGTTCTTCGATTTCTTGGGCTCTTCGGGCTGGATCAGGTACCTCTTGGCTCGCTCGTCAACCTTGGCTTCTTCCGCAGGTTTGGCTGATTCCTCGGCGTAGACACGACTAACAATTTCCCAGCAGAACGAGAGCATGTCTCTGCTGTCAGATGCTGGATTTTGATCCAAGCCCTTGCGAAGACGCGCCAGGAGTTCGTCGATCTTCTTCACGGTCTTCAGATCAAGCTTCTCGGACAAGAGAGATCGGATAGGCCTCACGAGCTCACCAAGTTTGGGCACGAGCGTGGTCTTGGCGAGCAACTCCATCGTGTCAAAGCTCTTACTGCTCTTGACCTCCTTCATGCCGCTCTTGTATTCTTCCGCGTCCTTTTCTTGACCAGTGACACCGAAAATGTCGTCCATGATGACCAGCATAAGATCGGGCAGGCACTCATCCAGATCGCCTGGTTCAAATTTCCCTTCAACGAGCAACGAGTGCACAGTGAATGAAAGGACGTGTAGCTGATAACCACGCTTGAGAGCACTTCGAAGCTCTTTCAGAATGAAGCCGAAGAATCTGTTTCCAACCAGCGCCGAAATTGAAGCCAGAGCTTTTCTTGTTTGGTCACGGGCTTCTTGCGCACGGCTTCTCAAGACGTGGCATACATCTGTCAGGACTGCTGGAAGGCGCGCGATGAGATCTGAATCTGGCAGTGCCATCATCAGTTTCACGATTGTCACAGCGACAGGCATTCGTCGATCAACTGTCGATTCATCTTTCTGATGAAGATATTCCAGCAAAGGTGGCAGGTAATCATCGATGACGGTCCGTGAGCTGCTGTGGTCTCCAGTCGAAGTGTTGTGCATACCATCCACCAGGGCGCCTAGCAGTCGCAAAACTATCTTTTCCAGTTCGGCCTTGGATTTGAGGTAGCCGGTGTACCGTTGAAACGTGGCACGGAATGCCGATCGGTTGAGGACCTTCGCGAGAGAACCTATCGTTTGCACAGTCTGGTCTGCCAGCGTTCTGCCAGAGTCTCCCTCGATTTGGTCGAACACAAAATGCTCGAGGAGTGGCAGGAAGATACGCGAGACAGCATTCGACGCCAGGTTCGAACCTTCATCAGAAAGACGTCTCAGGGCTCGAAGCCGACGATGTTGCTGAATGTGCAGCACGTTGCTGAAGAAAGACGCCTCGTCGTCTCCACCAACGACAAGCGTTCTCATGCCACCGACACGGGGCCACTCTGAGAGCTTCTCCACAATATGACCGAGGACCTGAAGGTACTCTGCTCGAACGAGCTCGGACGTCTGTCGCATACCACGCTCAATGCCCGTCATCACAGCCTCATCTAGGACAGACATCCACGGACTCGATTCGGACGCCTGAGATGCTGCATCAACAAACAGCTGTAGAGCATGGCAAGCGCTAGATCTGTTGACTCGATCTTCAGGATCCCTGATGTAGAACAGGCAGTTGTGAACAATGGGTTGCCACTGTGCCAGGGAAAGAGACGGTGCTTCGTCGTAGACCCAGGCGAAGGCACGTTCCCGACGGTCATGATCAACCTCGTCCAACCTGTTCCCCATGGCATTCATATCTTCGCATGTGTTTGCCGCTTCAGAGAGAGAAGCGTCGCCTTTCACCAGGGCTTTGAGCACTTGTGAAAGCAAAAGGCGGCTTTCGCTGTCGTGCAATCGAGAGAATAGTGCCGAGACTGTTGAATACAGCTCGTCTCTTCCAGTCACAGCGAACTGGTCAATGAGAGGTAGCAGTGTCCGCAGAAGGCCGGTTTTGGTGGAGGGTGACACTGCCTTGTTTGGTTTGGTTAGCAGTCCGCCGCAAGTCTTTGTGACATTAGCTGCCTCGTCAGGTGATGTGATTCTTCCTGCGAGCTGGGAAAATGACTTCACGCATGCGTCTAAGAGTTCTTTTGACGGTTGCTGGTCAATGGTAGTCCCGACAGCTTTGACAAAGCTGGAGACATGCGGTTGGAGAATAGATGCGTCCATATCCTCTTCGGTCAACTTCTCCACAATCTCCTGGAGAATGAATAGCCGCACTTCTGACTTTGTGTGTTGGCCTTCGAGAAGAAGTGCGACGGCCTCGAGCATACTTACCCCCTGAGCTGCAAAGATCCGTGCAGTAGTTTCGTGTTCGGCCCAAGAAGCAAAAAGTCGCAGGAGACCGGATAAAGACTGAGCATTCTCGGCGACGAAAGTGCTCAAACGCGAAGTGACCAGTTTGTTGACTATGATCGTCCCGTAAGGCTCAAGTGACGCCGGGGTCATGCTCGTGTAGATCTTGACAAGACACTGCAATGCAGCTTGACGGACTGAGCGCAGCAATGACATATCCTTGTCAAGATCGGAGTCTTCGAGCCTCTGCGAAGCGCAAACTGCGCATGACAATATGCTGCTCATCAGCTTCGAAGTGGACGTTTCGAGTTCTGCTCCAAGGACGTGCAGCATGTCGTTGACCATGTTGAGCATACCAAATTGTTGTCTCAGGGGTGCCTTGGCGTTGTGCAGGGTCACTTCTCCGGGTGCACCAGTTTGATCGATCACAGCGGCAAGTCCAATGTCCACGAACTGTCCCAGTGCAAGCTCTCCGAATCGAGATAATGCCACAAATATGGCTTTCCTGCGTCCTGATTGTCCTTCTTTTCCACCAGCAATAGCTCTGCCATATAGCAGGCGAAGCAGGACCGGCATGAGCTGAGCATGGTCTTGTGGCCTGATAGCGTCGTCCTCGTCATCTGCTTCATCTCTCAAAAAGACGGACAGTTCCTCGCGGAAACAAGCTTCATCGAGTAGGTTCAGCAAGTGCTCTTCGTAGCGTTTGACCGCTGGCTCTTTCCATGCCAGCACGGCCTTGAGCGCAGATCTCTGGATCTCAACGTCGCCGTTGGCGCACAGGGAGAGCAATGCATCGTACACCTCCTGTGACTTGTATAAGACCCTGGGATTCACGAAGCGTGCAAAAATTCCCAGCATGGCTTTCTGGTCTTTACGCGACCATCTCTCGGCAGTTGACTCGCTATCTTCATCGTCACCCTGAGAGCCAGCCCATCTCAACAACACAGGCACCAATAGTCGTGAACGTTTCTCGGCAATATGAGGAATCTTGGCCAGTACATTGAGTGCTTGGTTCCGTGCAGTCGCTGTGAAGACTGATACTGGTCGCAAGTCATGCGACAGCTTTTGCAATGCCGATGAGACGCCGCTCATGGGTTCCTCGAATACCTGCTTTCGAATGGCCGCATTCCTGGCGAAATTTGGACACTCAAAATCGGAAAATACCTTGAACCAGTCCGAGTTTATGTCCATGAACGAAGGGGCATCAGACTCATCTGGTTCGGTGTCCGGCTTGCCGTTGAGCCACGATTCTGCTATGGAAATCACGACCTCTTCGCCAGCCTTCTCCTCCGAGAATGCGGACAAAGCCACCATGGAGTCTTCCCAAGCTTGAGAGAGGTGGACGTGCAGAAGGCCGAAGCAGTATGTTGGAATGGCTCTTTTCATCAGATCTCCGTTTGCCAAAGCTGCATATTCCGGCACCAGTCGCCGAATGTTCATTGAGATGGTCCGGCTGGTATCGAGGGAAACGGGCACAGACTCGATGGTTGCTATGATGGACAGCACACTGGGGGCGTCTTCACCCCGCAGTTGATAAAGCTTTTGCAGAATATCAATTGCATCCTGACGGATTGAGTGGGACGGCATGGAGAGGCACGCCACTAAGGCGTCTTCTAGGGTGGCGACTTGGGAATGTTCGGTTTGCGCAGGTTTGACCAGCTTGAGATAGCGGAGCAGGTTCGTCCAGAACTGTTCCCGGCCAATGAAGGCATTGCTGCTCCCGCAGAGCTGAGGCCAAAGGTGTTGCAAAGACGGCTCACTGCCGGCGTGGTCGAGAAGGTGGTGGAAAGCCGCACCGAGCGCAAAGTCAGAAAACTGCGGTTGATCGTCCCTGGGAGTCCTTAGTGCAGCCTCGACGATTGTCAGAAGGTGATTTGTTATTGCCGTCAAATGCTGTCCGTCGACAGCGAGATATGGCAACGCCGCAAGTTTTTGGTTTGCTTCAGCGAGTCTTTCCGTGGAGCCATTCTGGCTCCTGTTTTGAGCAAAATCGGCCAGGGTCTCTTGCAAAGACTTGACCATCTGTGGCGATGGTTTGAGCTTTGAATCGCTCTTTCCTCCGGCAAGACGTGGGATGAGTGAGTACAGAGCATCATCCCCTGTCTGCGCGTGGTCAAGCACAAACTTTTGGAAATGCGGTAGGACAAATTCGCGAAATCGCTCAGTACCGAATCGTGCGACCATGTCGCAGAATCGGAGGAAGTACGGTTGCCACTTGCCGCCCCGTACAATCTCGAGCGTCTTCCTCGATGCCAGTACTGCGTCAATTGTCGCAGTTTGTAGAGATACTGACAGCAAAGCAAGTGCCGACGTCCTCGCTCGCTCATCAGAGCCCGGCAGTTGATCACACCGGGCGATCAGTTCCTGAACCGCTTGCATCATCTTCTTCCAGTCTGAGACCCGGGTACCCTTCCGGACGGATACGATCGTGAAGAGAAGGTCTGAGCAGAAGGAAATGTGGGGGCCGGTCGCCGAAGGTGCACTGTCACTCACGTAGGCGAGCAGGCCGTCCAAGACAGGCTGAAAAGTACTCGACTTGCAATGGTGTATCAAGCTCGTCAAAGTGCCCGTAACGGTCTCCCCTACAACAGTGCTACCAGCTTTTGATGACTCTCCCGCAAGCTTAAACAAGCTCTGCAGTACAACGGCACCACTGTTGTGGATGCCGCCTTGAACACCTTTGATTGCCTCCGTCAGCAAAGTCATAACACCCTGCTTGTACAAATCCAAGGAAGAGCTCTCCTTGGTAGCTTCGAGGTCGCTCAGCATATGTTCGATAAGTGTGTCCAGAGGTTTAGAATCTCGCTGATACACTGTTGCTGCCTTTCTGAGCAAGAAGCTCATCGCTTCTGCCGTGAATCGAATGATGAACGGCTTGTGCGTAGTCTTGCCAAAATACGGCGCCAGAAGATCGTACAAGGGTCTGAGATCTGGGACTAGCAGTCGCGAGAGGTATTTGAACAGCCATGCGAGGCAGGTAAAGCTCCATTCGATCACAGCGAAATCACTGTGCTTGGCCGCGACAGAGGTGACAGTGGCCACAGCACGTTCAAAGTGTTTTTCGAAACGCTCGTCCAGGTCCTGCGCAAATTTCGCCAGCAGAGTAAGAATTGGCTCCATCGCAAGTGCGTCGCCTTTGTCGATGTACTTGACCAAAAGGTCCATGATCTTGTTCTCGTTGTAGAGAACGACGGGCAGATTATCGCATAGCGGCGCAACTTCTTTCGCAAACGTCGTGAACGTATGCGAAAGGTTTGTATCCCTCCATTCTTCCAGCGATGACCCAAAGTGTGTATGTGACTCCTCGACTGCCTCCTCTTGAGCGTCCACATGTCTCTTGCGGCGAACCGGATCGATCTTCAAATTCGAGATGCGCTCGTTGAAGGACTGGAAGCGGTGGTTGCGGGTGGATATGGTCGTGCGTTTCGTGTTCTTCTTCGGCTTGACGACCTTGTAGGCCTTTGCCGGCTTTCCTCTCGATGTCGGCGGCATGGCTACATCTTCTGGCGCATGCAGCGTGAAGGTCGTCAAAAAAGTTCGAGCTGCTCTGCATACGAGAACCAGGTTCGGCAACAATTTTTGCGGGGGCGGGAGCTTCCGCAGGGCCGGTCCGTGACACGCTTAAATTCCCAGCCACATGCACTCGGAAACTGCAGGTCAACTTGACTTGACTTTTCATATGAATGCACAGGTGAATCTGAAATGGTTCCAGCTGATTGTTTGGACTCATGACGGACTACTAAAGGCCAGCGATGCCCCTCTTAGGCTTTGTCTCTCTCCATCCACAAACAACATCTCGGCAACCACCAGGAATAATTCACGATGGGCAAGATCATTGTCCTGGGCGACATCAATGGCCAGCTCTCTGATGCTTTCGGGAAGTTGGCAAAACTCCACACCAAGCAGTCCTTCTCCTTCGCTATCATCGCTGGCAACCTCTTCAACGATCCCACGAACACCACCGACAACGAGCGAGACCAGCTCGTCAAACTCCTCAATGGCGAGATCGAAGTTCCGTTGACCACCTATTTCTCCCTCGGCAACAGACCATTGCCAACCGTAGTCACTGAGAGACTCACGAATGACGAAGGCGAACTCTGTCCTAACCTCTTCGTTCTCGGCCGCAAAGTCTCTGTGAAGACTTCTGACGGCTTCAAGCTTGTGGCGATCGGCGGCGCACATGCCACGAGTCTCGACGATCAGATGAATGAGTACGTGGCAACTTACACTGACAAGTACGTCCAAAGTGCCAGGGACTTCAAAGACGCGGACATCCTCATCACAAGTGACTGGCCTGCTGGTGTTCTTCGAGGATCCAAGCTCACATTCGACAACCCTCCGTCAAGCAATCCAAGTCTGGGCGATCTCGTCGCCACACTGAAGCCACGGTATCACTTCTCAGCTTCTCACGCTTCATATGAGCGTGAGCCCTTCTTTCACGAGGGACCACCGCCACGATCAGTGACGCGATTCATCAGCTTGGCTCCACTAAACAACGATCACAAGCACAAGGCACTTTACGCCTTTTCTCTTGAGCCTTCTGCTCCACCACCCGATCACATCACGGACTGTACAGCATCGCCTTTCATTATGAACAATCTCAAACGCCCGCGCGAGTCGCAAGAAGACAGCCACGATTATATGCGGTTCTCCGATCGCAACGGTGCTGGCTATCATGACCAAGACCGACGACCTCAGAAGAAGAATCGGTATCGAAAGGACGAGCCCCGCGAGTGCTACTTCTGCCTCGCCAATCGAAGTGTTGAAGCCCATATGATCACATCGATTGGAGAAGACGCCTACATGACCATCGCAAAGGGTCCGCTCAGCACTGCGCAGACGTTCCCCGTCCTCCAGCACCCCTGCCACATGCTTATCATACCCATGGAGCATGCCGCTACCTTCACGACGTTCGAGAACGAGGAGAACGCCAAGAAGGCTAAGGCTGAGATGCAGCGGTATCGTGACTCGCTGCACTCACTCATCACTGCAAAGTCGTCGACTGGCGAGGAGGGAGAGGCGCAGCTGGGTGCAGTCACTTTCGAGATCAACAGAGACGAGGGCAGGCACTTGCATTGGCAATTTCTTCCAATGCCAGCCGACCTCGTTAAGAAGAGCATGATCGAAGTAGCTTTCGACGTGGAGGCAGAGAACCTCAAGTACCCGAAGTTCGCCAAGACACCAGAAGATATCGCAGCTGCAGAGGAGGGCGACTTTTTCAAGGCCATGATCTGGTCCGAGTCTGGAGAGAAGGAGATCGTCTTGCCACTGCCGAAGAGTCTACGATTCGACTTTCAGTTCGGGAGGAGAGTCCTGGGCAAGCTGCTTGGTTTGGAGAAGCGCACTCATTGGATGGACTGTGTGCAGCCCCATGACCAGGAGTCTGCAGATGCAGAGGCTTTCAAGGAGATTTTCAAGACATACGACTTCTCGCTCGTCGAGGGCGAGGATGAGACTTGAAATTGTGGCTGAACAGAGACCTGAGTGGCCTGCGACAACCCTCATCGACTACAGATATTTCAGGAGAGAAGAGCACGAAGGGTGGAGTGACGGAGTGATGGATACAACCAAGATGACCGAAGCGAAAGCGAAGCATGCGGCTGCGGTCGCAGGTGCGAGGACTCTTACTTCGAGAATCAATGGTCTCGTGACAGAGACTCTCCTGATGATTTTGGAGACAGCGGAAATCACGGAGAGCAGGATAGACACAAGCTGACGATGACAGCCGATCTCGTGCTGACGGTCGGTCAGCACTTCGACTCGGAATCCACGGCTCTTTGTCACGAAAAGCACCAATACCAAAAAGTTACAATCCAACACTTCCACGTCAATTCGCATCAAGTCCCCACTGTATTTCTCCCTATTCCGTTCCGTTTGCTGTCCATCTCCTGTATCCCCGATCCTCTGATACCACAAGAGGAGGTGACCTTGGCGCCGCGAATTCACCTCCTTCACAGCCACCCCTTACCTTGGCTGCAATTACTCAACTCGCAGATCCCATTCTGACCCAGTTGGATGGGTGTCGCTGTTTGTTGGATTTTCGAGGTGTTGTTCCAACCACACATACTCCGCCGGATGCAAGCGGGTTCCACCACAGCCTCAATTTTCTAGGGGACCGCAACTTTGCGGATGAGCGGTAAGAATGGAATGACGTATCTTGTCTCTCATCAGCGTACCTACGTGTACTGTAGCAGGTCTTTGTAAACATGACAGTATATAGTCGTTCGAAAGACGGTGAGGAGGTTTTTGGAAACCTTCCCGCTCTTCTCACCAGCCAAGCAAGCCCTGCTACATCTGCATCGACTTCCTCTTCGGGCTGCCGTATCGAACTCGATCACAAATTAAGAGGAGTTCATCGCACCCTCTTCTTTCAAAATGCCCGCCCACGAAAGATCCACGCGAACAATCACCTACACCGGCCCACCAGCCGAGAACTCCTTGCCCGAACGCACGAAGCGCTGGCTCGAGAGATTGAACTCGCAGAACGATCGCTGGCTCCGAAAACTTCACCTTGCATCTGAGCGACCGAGGAAGCGATCGCCTTCCATTGACGATACTCGAGGGCAGGTGCAGTTGGGATACTAAGTATCGACCATGCCTCGCTATCGGAGCCCTAAAAGGCAACTGTGAATGAGGGATCGCTAGTTACCAAAGTGTAGGGGTTTTGTTTTGGAACGTTTGTAACGGAAAGACGAGTCGTCGTCGATGACATGTCCAGGCTCCAGCTGTCGGGTCTGGCCTGGACCCTGTCTTATGCCGGCCGTTGAAGGATACGAGTTGGGAGTCGGGACGTTTTTCGCGGTGTCGTGTCTCAGACGTTGGGATGTGTGATCCTTCGTGGCATTTCTGAATGGCGTTTGGCGCTGCCCAGTCGTGGAAATGATTGACGATGAAAAGACGATGAGTGTTTTGGCTATTCTTGCTTGCCACGCCAGCTTGGAGTCTTGGGGTTCTCTTGAAGCGTGCATTGCTTAATGATGACGACGGGTTTGTGCTCAACGGTGGATGAGATTTTGGATAAGATGGGATTTCGGATGAGTGAGAAATGTTGCATATGACAGACAAACATGTACAAAGAGCAGAAAACTTCATACTTTCCACAGTGGCATCCTTTCGTGTTCTGGATCCTTTCCTTCGTTCTGGATCTTTGTGACGAAGTTGAAGAGCGTACTTCGCAGCTCGCGGTGATAGGAGTACCAACACGTTAGTCGAAAAAAGGAGTTCGCTACCACTTACGAATCAACGCAACGGTCTCTCGTCGTGGCGGCCTCACAGGCCTGTCAGCAATTCGCGGCCTTCACGTGGCATACATAAGTTCGGCTTGCCTAGCTCGACACTTGTGCAGTTTGGGAGTGCCGTGTATTGGCACTATTGTGCGGGACGTCTTTTCCTAGTTCCAGAATGCAGTGCCGTGCGGTGGCGCCGTGGTTGATGTAACGGTGAAGCAAAGAGCTTGGGTTTTACGCGTACAACGTAGTTGGCACGAAGTCGCTAGCCAGCTGCAGCAACTGGTCTATGATCAATCATCAAGGCTGATGCAGATCCCCCAGGCGATCCATGCCGTGAAGATGTATGAAGATCGCATCAAGACGAGCAGCAAAATCCGAGCACAGCGAGGGCAGTCCCCTTTCTGGATCGGTGTCGAGATCTTCGCAAGTAGGCCTGGCCCTTGGTGGGCCCTGGGAGAATGCTCGGCCGGCGGTCTGGTGTTTTCTTTGATGGTGATGTTTGAACATATCTTTGAAAGCCATTCTTGCGGGCAGGGGCATAGACAATCACGATGCATCGATCAAGATCTCATCTTGATCTCGTCGTAGCTTCCCCTTAGCGGTCGTACTCAGATAGGCGACACAGATGCGTGCGTCAACGCAACTCGGCCAAGAAGAATCCGTCTTATCATGCACATCATGTCGAATTCGAAGAGCCAGGCTGTTTCCCGTAGAAATGGGCGAAGACTAAGGAGAAAGGAGCGTAACGCTGCATGCCGCGCCGGACCCTGGGGCTGAAGACGGTTGCAGAGCCTCGGGTTTTATCCCGCATGGAGCAGTGTCGCAGCACATCAACAAACAGAAGTTGGTGGTTGATGAGGACTGCGAAAGTCAAGGACTGTTCCGATAGATGTGCGGTGAGTGAGTCTCCGAAGAAAGTTCGCTGCACAGAATCCCGGCTCGATAATTGTGCCTGATGAGATTATTGGGAGCTTGTTCCTTCTACCGGTGAAGCGGTAAGCCCATGCTGTGATCAGTAAAGTTTGAGACCTGAAGGCTAACGTGAGTGACAGCGGACGCTAGGAAACTGTAAGTCAATAGCGTTGACGCTTTGATGTGGTCCTTTGTCCCCGGCGTCGGCTTTCGTTCAGGGCAACTGCTGAAGTGTACAGCAAGTCCATCGAGATCCACCATCAGGAAGTACGGCCACGGCAGTACTAGGAGATCAGAAATCGTGAGCATGCTGATCATTGAGCAGACAAATGTAGATGCCAGAAGCATTCCTCGCAGCATGCAGCTTCAGCTAGTGAAAAACAATATACGAGCTTCAGCTGCACTCTATAGCGAGGCAAAGTACGTGCGTGATCGGAGCTGACCGTGCCGGAGGTAGAAGATGGCGTTTCTCATTATTCCTCGCCAGCTTGGAAGGCGAATGGGACGCCATGCCGGCACAGGATTTCCTGCCGTGAGTGAGCAACGCGAAGGAAGGGAGCAAATGAACGTCCCTCGCCTCGACGCCCAAAACGCTCAAGCTCCTCTGCGAAAGCTCGGCATGAGTCGTGAGACTCGTAATGAGAATCGCATAAAACAGATTGAGCGTATGCCGAACAGATACTGCAGAACCCTCGTATCTTGATGCGAAGCGTCGACAGTTGACGCGGACTTGGTTCCACCCGGTAGATATCATGCGCAACCCCTGTCCATTCACATGTGCACAGGGCCACGACCGTTGCGGGCGCGGCCATTGCTATTCTGTCAATCAATGCTTGTTGATCCTTCGTACAATGGTGCCCGTGCCATGCCCCTCCGTTTCTGGCCCACGACGATCTTTTATGAAAGCACTGCACCGCGCGTGCAGCCACTTCTTGTCAGCTCGGGCTATCTTTGGGCAAAGGGACCCCAAAGACATTGGATGGCTTTCTCTCCAGATTACTAGTATGGGGTGCAGAGCTGGAGGAGGTACGAAAGGACCATTAAATTCTTGAGGTGCCCGCTGGTCTGATCCTGCCGGTCACCGTCTGCCACAGACCTGCATTTGGACAATGACTCGGCAAGGGTTGATACCTGCCTCGAAGTTATCATGATCATGTCCATCAACGAATCACCAGACCAGTCTCCTCCGCCCTCGAGACAGGCAATTCGCCGACCAGCCCAGCAGCCAGGACATCAGAGCTCAGCGAGGGTGCCATCCAATGCTTCAGGTACGCAGCATTCCACAGGTGTGATGATGAGTGTTACTGACTTGATGAAGCTTCCAGTAGCACCCGATCACAAGGTCGCAACTCATCGTATACCGTCTTAAGGAGAGACATTCTTTACCGAGCAATCAATGAGTTCCAGCTGTCCGGGGCAATGCTCAGTTCGTATACAGACTTGCTGAATCGTCTTGGATTTGACCTCACACCGCTCGTCTCCCAGGGTCAAACATGGTACCTTTGTAGAGGCAAGCGAGATGATCGACTACCTTGCCGGCGGATGGTCCCCGAAATCTATCTGAGGACATCGGTGGGGAAGGTATTGAAGGCCGCGGACAAGCCCGAGCTGAAGGGTGATGACTTGGTGGAGGAGCTTGCAACGGCGCTCTCATACGCAATCTGTTCGCAGCATCACCGAACTATCCACAAAGTGGCGCGCGCGATTGAGTCACGGCAGGTCGTCGAGCAATGGCGCGAAGACCGATCTTCCGCGGACACCAGCACCACCACGCCCATCAAAGAAGAGTCCCGGCCAAGCCCGCCGTCCAACCTAGCAGAGGAAGATGCGGAGGACGATGAGACCGAAGATGACCCGTTTGTGACTTCCAAGTCGAAAGAACGATTGAAGGTGGAAAGACACTATCAAGAGATCCTGAGAGGCTCGAGTCGTGAGCGCGGCAGTGGATCAGATGCGGGTTCGATATCGTCAGCTTCCGCGAGTGTATACTCTGAAACGCAGCAGAAAGCGAGAGACAGGCTCGGGTCGTGACAGCATCTGGCTTATTGTTACAATCGACCTTAGGAGGTGACGACAAGTGTGTCCAGCCACTGAACGGCTTGAACCAGAGTCAACGGTAGCAATCTAATACATTGGCGTTCGTCGCCTCTGCGATTCGAGGCTGGTATCCCCTTGAAAGGGCACTACCATGGCAGTCAGCATGGCGTTGCGGTTTGCTATGTTGGGAGTGATGGTAGGTGGGGATGATGGCCGGAATGCAGACTTTGGCGAATGTGTGGCTGCATCATGATGTGTACGTTGGGTGGTCGTCTGTGTTTTGTATTTGGCATGCATACGGGTCAGCTTTTGTCAAGCATTGAGGAAAAGGCGGTACAGATACTGTGTTTCACCAATGGCCGATCACTAAAGAATGCTTAAAGGTTCTGCCTCCTCTCCTGTCTTGCGGTGGGTCTCCGTTCATTTGACGAGCAAGACTGATTCGCTTCAGCAGAGCTGCGACCACCCTGACACAATGTCTCTATGCACTCTGTGAGCGGTGCCACCCAAATGCTGAGCAAAGGGTTGTAAAAATACAGTTGTGTCGATGTCGGCTCGGATTATCAGTGGACAACTCCACCTCCGGTACTTGCACAGGCCTTATGGAATGTCCTCGCCAGCGAATACATCATGGAACTCATGGGTCTTCTTGTTGCGTTTCTTGAGCCTTCCAATAGACCCATCCTTCAAAACTTTTGCCTGCTGCAGTCAGCACATCTATATGGATTCACAGTTGCAAGAGTGCTAGTCGGTAGCGCTTACCTTGTCGTGCAGCAATTCCTTGCTTGAGTAGAGGCTCGCACGAAGGCGGTAGGAATTCTGCGATTTGATGTCGAGGTACGTGTAGGCGTCGCATTTATCTGAAACGGGAGGGTTGAAAGGTCAACGGCTGCCAAAGATAGAGGCCAGGGTGTCTTCTGCTCTTTCGTGTACGTACAGTAGATGGGGAGTCCATTCTTCGCGAGAAGTCCCAGGTCGCAGAGCTCATCAAGTATTCTGATGACATCTTCGGTGGCAGAGAAGTCATACGTGTACACACAGATGAGAGTATGTCGTTCTGCAGGGTCGTACGTTCCAACTTTTGACGTTGGGCCTAGCTTCCCTTCAGCGGTCGCAGTTGCGATCAGGCGCCAGAAGCGTGGTAGGTCCTCTTCTGCTGGAAAGAACATCCATTTGCCAAACGTGACCCTGTCGCGGACTGCAAGGGTCAGAAGGTCCGTTTCCAGCTGGTCGCGGTAAGGCGCCAGCTTTCGGGTAATGGTAGCGGGTTCTTTGCCTATGTTCTGACTTTCAATCTTCGCCCGCTGCACACTGAAAGCTTCTAACAGATCGAAAGCTTCGCCGCCAAGTCTGAATGCTGTGAAGTTGGCCGGTTCTCGATGCACCTGGGCCCAGGGCAACATTGGGCTGCTTACCCAGAGCCAGGGGCCTACTTTTGCGGTATCAGGATCCGCGACAGGTAGCCGGCGGAGAAACGCATCGATTGATTCTTCTTTTCGCTGCCAAGCGGCCGTTGAGCCTCGATCGTGGTCGACTTCGACAAGATCGAGCGTCCTCTTGCCGTCCAAGGTACGAACTGGCTGTACAGAGGAGATAGGTCAGGACACGAAATCGAGAGTAAGACGAGGGTATATGATCTGACATGCCTCGCGTTCTGCTCGCTCTTTGCCCTGAACGAGGACATTTGGCTTGGGAATGATGTCGGCGTTCTGAAGCGTTCCTCGGGGGACGGGAGGTTCGTATAACCGATTTAATGCACGGCCCGCGAGGATATCGTAGTCTTCTCGCACATCGTCGTCGCCTGCAGCAGAGGTCAGATGAATGAGCATGATCCAAATGTCTTCGTACCGTAAAAGCTCGACTCGTCCGAGACGTATCCTTCGGTAAAATCAACCTTTCTCTTCATGGCTACTCATGATCTCGTGCCTGATTAGCACTCGGATCCTGGAGCATCAGCCCTTGAGTGTCAGTCTGGCAGTGTTTCCATGGTTGGTGTCAGGAGGAGAGATATGGCGAGGTGTTGTCTGATGTCGACGTAGTTGATTTAAGGTTTCGCTTAAGTAGACGCGCTAGTAGACACGCGTCTTTCCCGCGCGTCTTCCCAAATCACTTCGAGATTCAAGAACGACCTCACTCCTCACAACACAGCCAAAGAACGAACCGACCCAGAATATCACGACAGAACAACAATCCACACGCAAGGGTCAAATGCCTCACGCAGTATCGCCAGAGCGCGAGTCCGCGGGCACGCCTCAAGACACGACAATTGAGGACACGCCCACCCAGAATGACACCGTTGAAGAGGACAAAGATATCGAGATGGCAGATGCTGCAGATGGAGAAGCTGCGAAACCGACCGGAAATGCTCTAGAGGACATGTTTGACGACGACGACGACGATGAGGATGAGTTCTCCTCCAGTGCAGCAACACGTCCAGACAATAGTTCTCAGCCAACCGCCGGCCCATCGACCAAGTTCTCTGACCCCGAAAACCTCAGACAATTCTATCAACGGCTGTGTCCTTTTCGACCTCTCTTTCAATGGCTTAATCACTCGGCCAACCCTCAGCCGGATTTCACCAATCGCGAATTTTCCTTCTGGTTCCCCGGCAATAAAGTGTTTCGATACCTGTCCTTCCCATCAGCCGACCTGCTGAAGAAGCAGTGTGTTCAGATGAGCCCAGAACGTTTCGAGATTGGCCCGCAGTATTCAATCAACCCCAAAGATCGCAAAACACTTAAAAACGCGTCGGCGTTCAGACCCATCATGAAAGAGCTGGTTTTCGATATCGACATGACGGATTATGACCCAATCCGCACTTGCTGTTCGGGAACGAAGATCTGTAACAAATGCTGGCAATTCATTGTCATGGCGATCAAGGTCTTGGATGCTGCTCTGCGGGAAGATTTCGGATTCCAGCACATCCTCTGGGTGTACTCCGGACGAAGAGGTGCCCACGCCTGGATTAGCGACAAGCGTGCGCGTGAGATGGATGACAGTAAACGAAAGGCAGTCGCAAACTATCTCGAAGTCCTTCGAGGAAACGAAAACGGAAAGCGACTTGGTCTCAGACGACCTCTCCACCCGCATGTCGCGAGGAGCTTGAAGCTCTTGGATCCTTACTTCCAAAACGAGGTTCTGACAGATCAAGACCCATGGCAGAGTGCTGAGCAAGCAGAGAAGCTCTTGAACCTTCTGCCGGACAAGTCACTGACAGATGCATTGAAGAAGAAATGGGACTCCTCAGCCGATAGGAGTTCCAACCAGAAGTGGATCGACGTCAACGCCATGGCAGAAGCCGGCAGTTTGTCCACCCTTTCGACCACACAGCTTCGGGACGTCAGGCAAGACATTAGATTGGAATACACTTACCCTCGATTGGACGCTGGCGTGACGAAGACGACTAATCACTTGCTGAAGTCACCTTTCGTTGTACATCCTGGAACCGGCCGAGTGTGTGTGCCCATCGACATGCGCCGCCTGGAGGACTTCGATCCATTTTCTGTTCCGGTAGTAACTGATCTCATTGCTGAGATTGATGAATGGGATAGAAAGCAGGGCGAAAACATGACCGACGAAGACAGAAGCAAGGTTCAGGATTGGCAGAAGACCAGCCTGAAGCCTTATATTGAGTACTTCAAAGGGCATGTCGCGAGCGTAATGAAAGAGGAAGGCAAAGGCAAAAGACAGCGCGATGAGGAGGGTATGGACTTTTGAGACATGGATTTGACACTACTGGCGACGTGCTGCACTGTCAATATCACACATTTCTGTCACGCATTCCACCTTCACAAGTCTGTCTTGCGATGCGGTTGCTCGTACGCCACCCAAGAGCGGTGTTGCGCACCCTGCTGTGGAACGCCGACCTTCCCAGTTGGTTCTTCGCGAGCACGCGGTGTGAAATTCGCGATGCCGGCGTCACTGCCTGATAGGTTCTTCGAGCCCACTCTGCCGCTTCGGCTCTTAGACACGGGGCGAACTGGCCGATCCAAGAGCAAGCTCGACGGTGGTCCAGTTCCCTCGACGAGTTCTCATCAGTGATTGGGAGCACAGCCGCAGAACGTCATGACCGTCAGCGCTTGACGAAGCGATGGACTCTACCCTGTGGTGTCGAGGCTTTCTCTCCACACTAGCCGCATCGAACTCAGCTGTGCTGATTTGCACATGCAGGACGCTGAGCCAATTGCTGGCCATTAATAAAGAGTTACGATCCGCCAGCTCCAGCTACTGGGGGTTGTTACATCCTTGCTTGCGGACCGATTGAGGGTGGTATCGCTTGGCGCTTGATGAGCAGACATCCGGGGAAGTGCACCCAGCTGCGTGGTCCGACGTGTACGAGACGCTTAGTACCAGGATCTTGCCTTCTGGAGAAGCTTATCCCTTCCGCGAGGAGGAGTGTTGGCGTGTTGTCTTCACGCCAACACTTCTATCGCTACGATCGGAGCATCAATGCCCAGCTACTGTACGTCCTTGTACAGGGTCAGGAGCCGCGCAACAAAGTCCAGCGCTTGCCTTCAATCCACACGAAAGACGAATTGGGGCATCACAGCTCATGATCCAAGCGTTTCCGGCACCTGTCCCTTTGATCAACATCCGACTCGTCTTCGTGCCACCATTTCCCCGAGCTGCATATAAGAGGGACTGGATCGGCACATCAGAAGCGGTGCGAGGTACTGATCGTCGTATTGTGGCGCTGGATGCTATCCCAAAGTCACCCTGATCATCAGCATGAAAATTGCTGCAGTGTTGACGATTAGCTGCCTGGCATGGGTCATGATCAATGATGAGACAACGCACACCTACCGCCCACTTCGGTTGCGCCATCTCCTGCATCGCCCACTCACCCCTCACAGGCAGAGGGCGGCGAGGGCCGCAACCTTATTGGCCATCTTGGCCACCGCAGCAGAGGACCGTGTAATCTGATGAACGGGCCTACTGCCTCGATGAGACCCACACCGGTCTGTCGTTGGGATAGGAATGGCTCTTCCAGACCGGTACTTTCGAAATGGTGCACAGCCTCAGTTTGCTCGACTCTCGGCGACGCAGTCGGTAGCAGCAACTCAGCAGGCCAGTTCTTCGTGTCAGTTTAGTCGCGGAGATATCACAGCGAATGGTGGATGGGAGCCCCATCAAAAGCATTGCTATCATCTTGACTCAAGTACGTGGCACGCAAGTATCACGCCAAATGATATCTGGTTGGTCTTTAGAGGGACCATGCGGAATTGGATCCATTACCCTGGCGAGGAGATCCGAGATCATTGGAGGGCAGGCGGTGAAACGACCATGCAAAAGGCGACTCTTCTCCACGCTAGTGTTGATGGGCGTGAGATTCTCCTGGCTGAACGCAGTTTATCCTTCGCTTCTAGCAATGACCCACAGGGTCCCATGCGTGGCAAAAGCATATCTACATGCAATTGTCACACGTGGGCGATTCCTAAAGGTGGAAGCAAGAAAGCATCTGCACAACCCGAGTCTTTGCATGTCGCCACACGGTAGCTAGTGTTTTCGGCAGGAGTGAATGTCCACTTTGATTGAGCTTGGGGGGCGAATGTCCGGCACACGCTACTCTCCTCGCGCTCCAGAGAGGTCTATATTGGTCCGGTCCTGATCCTGTGCTGGAGGCAGATTCTGGTGCGCCCTGGCGAAGGGACCATTCCCAAGGACCGGATAATCAAGAAATGGCGCCCATGGTACCTCCGCTTGCACAATCTGACAGCAAAGCTCGCTTTTTCGCTAGGCTTGGCCTCGACTCTTCCAACCCCACGCACAAAAGAGTGTATTCATTAATGAAGCTTGAGGCGGGCGAAGGAAGACGGAGACTGATGGAAAGCCAGACCAGCAGTACCGCGCAGATCCACGAGGCAGCTTGGCAGCGTGAGGTGTTGAGGATATTTGAGCATGCGCGGCCTGAAACCAGGGCTGTCTATCAATTCGGTCACGACACCAGCCACGATGCCAGCGGGAATGAGGTCGTTGACAACTGGATAATCCGATGGATGTTGTGGCATGTCTTCCGCTACCGAGATTATCGCAACAGAAGTCGACCACCAGGTCCAAATCCGCCACCGCCCCCGTCGAGCTCTTCTAGCAGCGACGATGAGCAAGGCCCGCCATCGACGGGTTCAGGAGGCGTTGGAGGCAGCTCATCCAGCTCAGCGCGTAAGTGACTTCATACTCGTAGATCATGTCCTCTTAGCTTATGAAGTCGTAAAGCAAAAGCGATCGGGTCGCCTTCCAATCCATACTGGGACCCCATCAGAGACCAGTGGCAGAACTGAATACCGGTGTCCGTGGGGAATGTGCAAGATCGATTGCTTGCAGCTTTTTAGAGCGTCGAAGTTCGCAGCCAAACCGATGAGCCAGATGCTTGCCGTTGCCGATAGTCCCGGTCTATCGACAGTTGCAGCCTGCCTTCAACGATGCACTGGCTCTTATATCCTCGCTCAACTAGATCGGCCGTGTAACGTTGTCCACCGGCTGACGTCGCGACCCTATATGACATTGCCGGACTAGCGTCGAGCGACAGTCTTTCAGGCTTTGTCGGGTTCTCGCGCAACAAGGCCGGTTCGTTCCATGACATGGCCCTCAAGTCCACATGAGTGCTAGAAAGGTTGTAATACACACGAATGTCGTGGAGCAGACGAAAGGAAGTTGGCGTGACGTTGGTTTGGGGTCATGCGAAGATTCGACTTTTTCCCCGGTGAACGGCCGGCGCAGGGGACCAGAGCAAGCAGGAGCAAGGAAATGCGTCAAGCTAGCACTTATCAACCAAGCTCTAACGACAAGCAAACTGCGTCGGACTTTAAGTATGTCACGCCTTCCCGATCAGAAGTTGGACAAGCCAGCCATCTCTTGGAATCGGTTTAGTATACACCGCCTCGCCAAAACCCCGATCCGATTGGGCGGCACCAACACAATGGCTCGATCGACCTGCATCAGGTGGACGGGAAACTCTCAGGCCGCACGCCTAGAAGCCTCTTTTTACCAAATTGCCATGGCGATATTTCCTCTCGTCTGCACCCTCCACGATCGACTTTCAATCGCAGAGTGAGATCTAAAACGAAGGAACTGCACGATTATCGCGCGAGCTTCCCACCACCAACCCTGCGAAGGTCCCTCAAAGACCAACGTCTGAATTCGAGCAGCCGGACTGTGACAGCTGACTTGGAACTCATGTTATTCGCCAGTTGTCTTGAGGTTCCTTCGGAAGATGCATTGGGTTCGCTGGCTTGGAAAGAGGAGATCTCTCCCCGTCAGCCTGCATGTGGCTTTTGGAACCCGTCCAATGATGCGCTGTTGATCTTCACGGAAGCTAGCGGTTGTCTTCTCTTGACAACCAGGTGGCAACCAGATGACAACCAGATGTGGATATCGCCGGACGTCTCTCCGCTTTGACTGATATAGATTGTCGTCGCCAACAATACAGCTCTGCGTCCTCGACCGTGTGGCTGTCATGGACGACAAGTTCACATATTGTAATAAAAAGACGCCCATCCAGCTCGCTCATCAACATTTCTTCCGGCGCTTGAGTTGAAACCAAGCCGTCGTCCGAGGCAATGGCTCGAGCACCAACACGCCGTAGCTTGACCCCAGCGCGGTAATCCTGCGAACGAAGGCTACAGTTGAGACAGGAATTGGAGGTTCGATGCCCTTTCGCGATGCGAAGATCTCCAGGTAGATCTATCGAGCTGGAGTCTCGTAATTCCCTGGCTTCGAGTGCCAACGAAGCAGGCAAATGCTACCGCCCGTTGTTGGCAGCCTTGGTTTTTAGACGTCGGCTTGCTCTTGCGTACATCGGAGAAGAAGGCGAGTTCCTAAAGCCAGTTCCTAGAGTCCAGCGACGTTGGCCTAATTGGGAACTTGACGTCTTCCACCACACATTGACTGGTGAACAACAATGGTTTCCAAGGCCCCTATATCGTCGACAGGACCATTCTTGGCTACTGGAGACAGGTCCGGAAGATGGGCAGCCGGCAACAATGGTTTTCCAGTTTCCATGGGCATCAATGCATATCGGCAAGATTTCACTGGGCAGCAGCTCGCCGGTCATGCCAAAACCCAATTCATCTTTCTAGCCGGCTGGCACTGAGTCATATATGGGAGCCCTCGGTATGTCGTTGGGTCAACACACTTGACCTCGAGAGAGCGAAATCTGACCGGTGCATCAAACAGAGCCGCATGAAGTTGATACAAGAAAGACAATGTTACAAGCCAGGGCCATGACCCGGGATACCCCCTGCTCGGAATTTCAAACATCCCCTAGCTGGCAAACCTTATTTCCACTACTCGTGTACCAGCTCAAAGCACGGTGTGATTGATCAAGTACCAGACATTGGTAACAGCTTTGTGCCAGACAGACATGCGAGCTGTTGACTCTTGCACGAGCAGCTGCTTCAACGACTCAGCGCATGGCTGAACTCACGTTCTCGCCGCTTGCTATACCCTTCGCGCCGCATGTCTCTCGAGTCTTGCTCGGGCAGAAAGCGTATCCACGTTCGCTTGCCCGTACAACGGTGGTGAGCTCCTGCTCATGGTCACCAGGATTCAGCAGTCGTAGCAACTGCAAGGCTCTAAACAGGTTTGAGGGCTCGTCACAGCGTCACAGGCATCTGACACCGTCTCAGAATCACAGCACAGTACACCGCAAGCAAGACAGACCCGGATTGTCCACCACGCATTATCACATGGGAAATGATATAGTGTCCAGTCATGTCGCTGCCCTCTTCCATTGACGCCCTATCCGGGATGGAGAACGAGACTCGGCTCCTCTATCCTTTGCCGGCATCCCTGGTCCTTCACAGTGCAAATCGTCAACTCCCCGCTGTCCGTTCGCCAAATCTTGTGCCAGCCTGGAATATCCTGTCCGAGCCTGACGTTTTGGACAGGGGAATTCTGCGGCGTTGACACGACATCCATGGCATCTGTGACTTTCCAGCCACATCTTTACCGCATTTTCGAAAGGTGTCTCTCCACTTGATCAGGTGGCTCCAATGGGTGTACACCGTACAACGAGTTGCCAGCAAAGTCAATCCATCCAGTGCGGGAAGCTCGGGTCTGATGGCTGTCCACCATCCTTGCCATCATGAGACCTCCACCACGGTCTCATGTTTGCTTGGGAGATGAGGAATCTCGATGTTTTGGATCGAAGGGAGGGCCAATATAACCGCGCCCTCCACCTCCGCGACGAACCTTCACAAGCTCTTGTCAATCCTTCCTCTGTGCATTCCCTACCGTCCTTATCATACAACCGTCTACTGCTACCGCCAGCCATGAGCTTCCTTCACCGCCGCGACAATGATGCGATTCGCGACAACCCGCCGGTTGCCAACGGGAGGGTGGCACACATCCACATTACGGAGCATGGCTCAGATGTAAGCGCAGAGCACCAGACGTCTAGTGGTACATGCTGAAGCAGAACAGTTCTACTATGCGGTCTGCGCTTTCATGGGTATGTGTTCGCCGGGCTATGAGCAGTAGAAATTGTCTCTTGGCTAGTCCACAGTCAATTGCTCCGGCCCCATCAACTATTGGATCTATCACTGACCATGCGTCGCGCAGGCTTCGTCGGGATCATAATGATCGGCTTCTCTCTGACGAAACGTCGGACCGATCGCTTGTTCTACTACCTGACAGCTGCCATCAACATCACGGCGAGCATTGCATACTATGCCATGGGATCCAACCTTGGCTTCACACCGATCGGTGTCGAGTTCCAGAGACAAGATTCCGATGTCCGAGGCTTTGAGCGACAGGTCTTCTGGGTTCGCTATGTTGACTGGTAGGTCTCAAGAGAAAAGAACTCGATGACAAGAGACTGAGCTCTTCATAGGTTCATCACTACGCCACTGCTCCTTCTCGACCTGCTCCTCACCGCCGGCGTACCCGCACCCACGATCTTGTGGACCATTTTCATGGATGAGGTGATGATCATCACGGGTCTGGTCGGCGCTGTTACAGAGACTGGATACAAATGGTGTACGTTTTGTGTGAGACCAAGAGCAATGACTGCATATCTCTGACGCATTCAGGCTTCTTCGCGTTCGGATGTGCTGCCATGTTCAATGTCTTCTGGACACTGTTGTGGCAAGGCCGTAAATATGCTCGACACCTTGGCAGCGACATCCATCGATGCTACGTTGTCTGCGGTCTGGTGACTCTCATCGTCTGGATCTGCTACCCAATCTGCTGGGGAGTCGCCGACGGCGGCAACGTCACCGCGCCTGACAGCGAGGCAGTCTTCTACGGCGTGTTGGACATGATCGCCAAGCCATTCTTCAGCTTCGCCCTCATCTTCTTCCACCGCAACATCGACCCAGCCCGCATGGGCCTCAAGTTCCGCGACTACGACGAAGACTTCATGTACTCCGCCTGGGGCAACGAAGAGAACCGCCGCTTGCACGGGCCCGAGCGCAAGGAGGAGAATACATCGGGTGAAGGTGTGCGTGCTTCGGAGGGAGCAGCAGCACCGGAAGCTACGATGGCCACGAATGGTGCCGCCCCTCAAACTGCGTAAGTCCAATCCGAGATGCGAGTCGAAGTCCTCTTCTCAGAAGAGCTACTGAGCTCGTACGAAGTCGCAGAGAGAGGCACTGGATCCCGTTCTTGCATTCGCGGCCGCAGTGGCATCGGGTCAGGAGAACTGGCGGGGACACGGAACAAGACACTGGCCGAATGTCCAGCAGCGGTGGCGAGTGGGGTCTGCGATGAAAGTATGTCTCTAATAATGCTACGTATGCCCTTGACAAATCTGAGCCTTGTGTTTATGGAACGATTTAATCTATATTGTTTTCCCTGAGCTACAATGAAGACCTGATCGTGGACGTTCCCGGTCTCTGCCATTCGCCACCTAACCAGCTGACTTTCAACTTATCCTCATTCCCAACGCGCAACCCAGACACTTTAGCCCGTAACACTTGGTCTGGCAGCGTATCGAAGCCATTGTCGTCCCATGTCACCTCGTCAGCAACCGTGTCTGGGCCAGTGACCTCCAGCAACACGCCCTTCAAAGCACAAGGCGACTTCAATTCGACAAACGTGTCACCCCGAGCCGACACAATCTTGACCTGAAGTTCTGTCGGCCGCACGAAAGACACCTCTTTGAGCGGCTCGTGAAAGTTGATGGTGTGATCCAGAGTGATCGAATCCTCGCCACTACGCCCTTCGATGAGGTCAACCACAAACACTACGTCCTTGTAGTGCTGAGAAGACTTCAAGCCAACGACATTGGGGTCGATGACACCGAGCTCCAGACTTTGGTTTGATGGCAGTCGGAGACCGGAATGTAGCGTACGTGACCATAACGCCTTCCCACCTGCAACGTTCCAGGCCCGGACTTGGACATCGACAGTAACCACCCTCAACGTGGTGTTGACAGCCCAGACTTCGATATGTGTGTTGCCATGGTTGTGGACTCGTTGCAAGCCCGCGGTTATAGGCTTGTTCTCTCGCTTCGTTGCCCAGAAGCTCATCTTCGGCCGCAGGTTAGAGTCTATAAGACTCCAGGAGGTCACAGGATAGCAATCGTTCAATTGCCAGATGAGCGCTCCGCCGCAGAAATCTCTGTCATTTCCTCGCCATAGTCTCTTCCACGATCTGAAGGCTGTGGCGACTGTCTCGCTTTGCAGCAGTTGTGTGCAGTAGATATACTTGGACAGACTGTGCTTCTCGAGAGGAAGGTTATCTTCGCAGTACTTGTGGAGTGTTTCGGCCCCGCCGCCGCACTTGTTGTGGTACTGCACAAACTCATCCTCGGAATAGTCTCTCCCGTCAAGCAATTTGTCGTCCGCTGGGAAGAACTCCTGAGCAGTGCGCAAGCTCGGCATCGCCTGCATACCGAATTCGCTCACGAAGCGTCCGCTCAGTCTTGGGAAGTCTTGGTAGGGAAACTTCTCGAGATGCCAGACATGCCATTGGTGAATGTCGCCTTCGGTCGGACTATTGCACATGGAGCCGCCAAATGGGGAGCCGGGCCAATATGGGGTGTCGGGCACCAGCTCCTTGCATAGCTTGGGCAGCAAGTGTTCGTAGGTATACCGTGCTGGGAATGTGGATTTCAAAATCGACTCGGGGTCTTTGTCTTCAGCGTCGTACTCGATGCCACTGAGGAGGGGTATAACGTAGTCCTCGTTATTGGCGCACCATAGGGCCACGCATGGATGGTGCCGGAGCTTCCGAAGATTGTCTCTTACTTCGACTTCGATCTTATCGAGGAAGCTTTTATAGGCAGGGAACATGCCGCAAGCGAACATGAAGTCTTGCCAGACCAGTATGCCTTGTTCATCGCATGCGTCGTAGAACGACTCGTCTTCGTAGACTCCACCTCCCCATGCGCGGATCATCACTTGATTGGACTCTTTGGCTGCCAAGACCCATTTTTGATATGTCGAAGGGGTCATTTGAGGTAGGAATGAGTGACCAGGAATCCAATTGGAGCCTGCTGAGAAGATCGGAATGTTGTTGACTTTGAAGTAGAAACTGGTGCCTTCTTGCTCTGAGAATGGATGCTGTACCAGCTCAATCTTGCGCAATCCGATTCGGCGAGTCGTTGTGTCGTGGGTGATCTTGTCGTCCTCAGAAGCGTAAATAGTGGCCTTGAGGTTGTACATGTGCTGTTCGCCGAATGTGTGAGGCCACCACAGCTTTGGCTGCTTCACGGAAATGGTCGTATTCGAGGCTTGCTTAGGCTTTATCTGAACGGACTTCGATGCAAGTGTAGTCCCTTCGTGCTGAAGCTCAATTACAGCATGACTTGCTCTACCTGACGCTTCCAGTGCAACATGAATATCCGCTTCCTGGAGGTTTGGCGATAGACTGACTTGGGCTGAGAGGTCACTGATACGGGATTGAAAAAGCTCGAGGTACGCAGGCTTCCTAATTTATCAAACTTGTCAGCTTAATCTGTCCATGGTCTCGAAGACTTTACATACCACAGGCCGCATGTCATCAGTTTCGGTCCCCAGTCCCAGCCATAGTGGTACTGCGCTTTTCTTGTCGCCAGTCGAGCTTCGCCAGAGTTGAATGTACCCCATACGTGGTCTACACCAGCAGTCAGTACAGTTTCATCCACACTCAAGTTTACACACTCACTAGGATGCTGGGCAACTTCTTCGTCTCCCTTCTGTTCGGCGTTGTCGAAAGCCACCTCCAGTAGGTTCGATCCCTCATGATCGAGTAGAACATCTGAGACATCTATCCTGTGAGTGACAAACATGTTCTCCGACTTGAGGATCTCTTTGCCATTCAGCCAGACTGTAGCGTACGTGTCCAACCCCTCGAATACAAGGTGCTTTTGCACGTTCAAGTCTCGGCGTGCATCGTGCGGGACAGTAAAGTTTTTCCGATATGTCCATGCTTGCTCTCCGACCCATTGGACTTCTGCTTCATTTTTTGCTAAGAATGGATCAGGAATGGCGTTGATAGCAAGTAGATCTTGATGGACCGTCGATGGTATGGGCTGTGCCGGACTCCAAGATCTTGTCCCCTCGGGAGCGCTGGTACTTTTTGCTCTGAACTCCCACCCGTCCTTCAAGGCAATGCTGTATCGTAAAAGCGACATTCTGTTCGAATGCGAAGCGCTTTGGTCCTCCCCTCGGGCTCAAGCATTGGTTTATGTAAGGGTGAGGAAATCATGGTCGAAGGAGCACTCCAGCGCATGGTCCTCGCCATGGATCGCGCATCAAGGCCGCCTATGCATCAAACCATACGATAGCTCGAGTGGTCAACAGGTCGAACGGTGACCGGTCGTGTCGATGTACTAAAGGTGGTGTCTCGTTTTCCCGTTGTTCCGCAGTCTGTGCAGTCATTCACTTCAGCGCTTTCCTGCTAGCGTTGAAAGCCCAGACCACTCCGCTAGACCAGCCAATCAAACGAAGGCGGCCGCCCCTCAAGTGGTCGGACATCAGTGAGACTGAGCGTTGACCCGGCGGCCGGTGTTCACTCATCTTCTGGACCTCGTGTTATCGAATTTTGCCTCACACCGACCATTGGCCTAGAGATAACGCCATCGCTTTCGAGACCAACATGGCTTGCAGGAAGACGTCCTCTTCCTGGGGACCCCGCAGTGATCTTCCTTTGAGTCTCTTTTTGTGCCTGTACGAGATGGAATTTGGCCAATGAATTGAGCCGAGCCTTTAGTACGAGATGGACTCATCCATTGCCTATGAAAAGCCCGTCGGTGCCCGCTCTAGGGAGAAGCCTCTTGCAGACATCACCCCAACTCCAGCGGATCTTTCTCCTACGACCATGACCGAAAAGCCAGACAACAATGCGATCGAGCAGGCCCGTCTTGCGGTTGATGACGCTGAGAGCATCGACAAAGCCGCTGCACAAGGAAGAGGTGTTGACGATGCCTTCCGCTTTGCTGTAGATGGCAGCGACGTGACCTGGACAGAAGCCGAGGAGAGGAAAGTGAGATGGAAGATCGATGCTGTTATTCTACCACTGGTATGCCTTGGTCTCTCATGCGTGTCAGTGCAATGCTGACAACACCACTGTAGCTTTTCATCAGTGCTGTCGTCGGATACAGCGACTCCCAAGCATACGGGTTCGCGGCGCTGTTTGGTCTCGTAACAGACCTAAAGCTATACGCCTTCAAAGTTGTCAATGGTCAAGCAGCCCTTGACCTCTCCAAGTATTCGCTCTCCGCCTCAATAGCCAATCTGGGCGCCGTGGCCGGACAGTATCCGCTACTGGCAGCCGCGCAGTACTTCTCATACGGGAAGTTCAACTGTGCATTTGTGATCTACACTGGCCTGCTCTCGATCCTTACCATTGTGTGCAAAGACTTTTCGGACATCATGGCTTTAAGGTGGATGAAACGCCTTTTGCCGATGATTCGAGCTGACTGAACGCCCCATCAGGTTCTTCTACGGATTCGCAACCATAACTCAGCCACTCGCCATCATTATTACGTCTATGTGGTGGAAGACTCGAGAGCAGCCGCTTAGAGTAGGCTTGTTCATAGCCGGTTCTGCCTTAGGACAGCTAGTCGGTCAAGGAGTGAGTTGGCTGTCTTGAAGGAATCATAGACGCAATGCTTACATTTTCTGTCCCAGGTCGACCTAGGAGCGACCAGCCTCAAAGGAGCGTACGCTGCTAGCCCATGGAAATGGATTTATGTTATCCTCGGCTCGGTGACCATCGGCTTCGGAATCATAGCGTTCTTTATCTTCCCAGCAACGCCAATGACAGCGTGGTTCTTGACGCAAAAGGAGAAGGTCATCGCCGTACGTCGACTCACGACGAACAATACTGGGATTCAGACCAGGAAGTTCAAGCTTAAGCAGCTGAAGGAAGCCGCACTGGATCCGCAGCTGGCTTTGTTAGGAGTATATGCCTTTGCTTTCGCTTTCGCCAATGCCGCCTTAGGAGCTTTCGGGCCATTCCTAATTACGAGCTTTGGCTATTCCAAACGCCATGGAATCGCTTTACTCATGCCGGCTACCGCGGTCGCCATGACCTCGATGATTGTATCAGGAGCCCTGGGGTCAATGTATCCGAGGCGCCGAATTGCAATCGCTATGGTTTGCTGCTTTGTCCTTGTTGCTTGGAGCCGACACTAACATTGCTAGCTCTTCATTCTTCCATCTATCGCTGGCAATTGCATTCTGTGGAAGGTAGAGAGGACCAATGCTCCCGCACTGCTCGCAGGACTTTACATTGTAAGTTAAAATTGTTCTGAACACTGGTATAGAGCTAATGAGAGTCAGTCCACCACCTTCTACGGTGCTCTGGTACAGCAATTTTCACTGCTAGCCGGAAATGTAGCTGGTCACACGAAGAAGTCGGTCACTAATGCCACTATCGTGCTTCTAGCAAATCTTGGCGGATTCAGTGAGTCAAACGGCCCTGAGGTCGATGGCAAAAGCTGACAACACTCACTAGGTGGACCGTGGTCGTATCACGGCGATGAAGCTGCACAAGGCTACCCAACAGGACAAATTTCGGCGCTGTGTCTGATGTGTGCCAGTGAGGCGGCTTTCGCAATTCTCTGGTACGATGCAGTGATCAGCATAAGAAGTGCCTTCGCTAACGCACTCGAACAGGGTTTACTATTACTACCAGAACAAGAAGAAAGCGGCTCTACGTGAAGCACAGCCTGAGTTGACCAATGATCCGAATATTTCATTCATTGATCTTACGGACAAGGAGAACCCGGTATTCGACTACGTGTGCTAAGGCGGCGGAGGAAGGGCGAAATACCATCGCATCGGTTGATAAAGAATTCACGCTCAGATGAATGTACATACAACTCGATCGAAATGTTGAAATATGATGAGTTCGGCTCCCATGTTTGCAAGCCAAGCATGAACTAAGTTGTTCCTGGGGAGTCTTCGTTGGGATTTACCCTCCTCGTTCCGGTCGAAGTAGAACCTATGGAGCTGCCATCTCTCCGACTTTTCAAAACGACTACGCTGCTAATTGCACTCTTAGCTGCTTAGATGGGTTGGGATGGGGACGAATGTCCCGCTTTGAGCGGAACACCAAGGGTAGGTATTTGCCTCGATCTCAGATGGGCTCGCCGTGAAACCGAAAGGTCATCAACTTGTCGGACAAGTCTGTCAATCTTAGAGACCGCCCAACATACTTTGCGAAGATGTGCTGCCTCGGTACTAGGCCGAGGAACTTCGCAAGCCTCGTATTGGGAAATGTAGGCTTCGACTAAGAATTCGCATTCTGAAGGTGGTCATGTGCTGCCGTCCGGTCACCGGAGGATGCAAGAGTGGATGCAGCCCTGCACGAAAGGTAGCTTTGTCCATAGCTCTTCACATACCAGGCATCAAACACCAGTCCGCATTGTCAGCAGAGATCTGTTGACGTGTCGAGACCAACATGTCACTTGCTTTAATAGATTCCCAGGAACCGCGAGAACGTTGAAAGCTTCCAACAGGAATCCCTAGAGAAATCATCACCCGCAAGATGACGCTCAACAAAACCTACCCACAAGCTCCTCGCTCAGACACAAAGGAGCCCTTCCAAAGCGCCAACAACGGTAGTGTCGAAGTCGCAAATCCATACGACTGGCTGCAGAATCTGGATAGCCCAGAGACCAAGGCTTTCGTCGAAGTACAAAATGCCGCTTTCCAAGACTTCCTGCCGGATACGGACCCAGCTATTCTCGGAGCCAAGCAGAAACTTGGCGGCATTCTGATGAATACCTACTCCGACTACTTTGTGACCAGCGCTCCCAAATTTGTCGGAGACAGCGTATTTCTCCGAATCTTGGGAAGGGGCAAACCGTTCGGCGTGACGTATCGCTGGTCAAAGCATGACTTTCTCCAAGGCTCGGCCTTGAGTGGAGAAGAAGTTGTCGCAGAGCCAGCAGTATTCCATGACGAGGCTTGGACCGGGAACGCCATAATCTCATCGGCCTTCAGCCAAGGCGGAAAATACTGGGCATACAACGAAGCTGTATCAGGTTCGGATTGGGGCATCATTCGAGTGAGATCAGTCGACAACTCGAGTTTGCTTCCTGAGGAGATCCATGACTCCAAATTCAATACCAAGCCGGGGCCTGCTTTTGCTTGGCTTGGTGACTTGGGTTTCTTCTACCAATACTGGCTTTCGGCCCAAGAGACGAAAGATGGGAAGAGAAGACCGCAATTGAGATTCCATCGATTGGGGAGTCCGCAGTCTGCTGACGAGGTGGTGTATGAGGATGAAGATCATCCAGAGTGCACTTTGCGAGCGTTGGTGAACGAATCCGGATCTGTGATTGTGCTGGAAATCTTTGGTGCTACGGCGACGTCCAAAATCAAAGTGGCGGAGACTGGATCCGACAGCAAGTCGTTTTCAGCATTGCAGTGGAAGTCTTTGTGCGATGACTTTACTTCTGAATGGGAGTGAGTATGCTCTTTCGTATACTCATAGCTTCGTACTGACAGTGCCTCTAGATACCTCGGAGAGGATCACCAGACAAAGCTGCACGTGTTCTGGACGAACGCGGACAATGGAAAGATTGTAGGAGCCAATATCAAACAATCCGCTGATCTGAAAGTCGTTGTACCATCAGCCGAAGACGAGGTTCTTAAGAGTGCGAAAATGGTAAGGCAGTCGATGAGATCCACTTTACTAGCCGCACTAATTCATTCGCTTAGCTTTCTGATGGCACCGTACTAGCAGTGCGCTCGATTGATGTCGAGGATGAGCTGCAAACATACGATGTGGCGGGGCAGCGAACAGGGACCATAGAAACACCTGCCAAGACAATCGTGGACATCTCCTACGATGCGGACAAGAAGACGCTACTCGTGATGGAGTCGTCGTTTTGCTATGCTCCTCGACTATGGAGTGCTCAAAGAACTGCGTCGAGCTCGAAGAGCAGTGAGAAGCCGCTGAGGCTCTTCAGTACGCCGGCGTCGACATCGTCGAATTCGACGATAAGATCGAAGCGCTTCTTCTACAACTCGGCAGATGGTACTCGCGTTCCACTATTTGTGACCTCTGACGAAGCCGTGGAAATCACTGCGAAGACACCTGTGTTGCTATACATCTACGGCGGATTTGGCATTTCGCTGATCCCTCACTTTCGCCCAGAGTTCTTAGCATTCATCCGTGGCTTCCGTGGTATCCTTGCGACAGCCAACATCCGCGGAGGGAGCGAGTACGGGAGGAAATGGTACGAGGCAGCTTGTAAGGACAAGCGGCAGACCCTGTTCAACGACATCATCGGTGCAGCGAAGTACATTCGGTCTCACGTGACGGGACTATCAGGGAGTCCTGTGATCCTGATGGGTGAGAGTATGGGCGCGTTGAACAGCTGCTCTGTCATGGTCCAGCAGCCGAATCTACTGAGCGGGGTGATCTTGAACGCCGGTGCTTTTGACATACTGCATCGTAAGGAGATGGGCATTCGTGGACGAGGAGCGGAAGACATCGGCGATCCTTACGACCCGGTGCAATTCGACTTTATCCGGAGATGGGAGCCTATGCACAACCTGAAGAATGGGCAAAGGTATCCTCCAGTGTTGCTTACGGCTGGCAATCAAGATGATCTGGTCAGCATGGCACATAGCCTGAAGACGACGGCGGCCTTGCAACATGCCGGCCAAGGTGTGACTGGGGCCGGAATTGTCAGTCTGAAGATAATAGATAATCTTGGCCACGGTGGAAATATTTCTGCGGTTCAGAGAGCTGCTGTGACGATGGCTCGGTGGCTGTGGGTGATGAAAGCGCTTGGTTTGCAGATTCATTACCCAAACACGGTATATTATTTGAGTCATATAGCACCGAAAAATTGTTATGTATAGCTGTGTCTACGTTGCAGATGCATTGTGCTATGGGACGAAGAACGTTGCGTGGCTGGAAGGGCTGAGGTCGAATTTAAGATTGAAGCACGGATCACTCGCCCCACTTTTCTCGCACTGGTCACGCACCAGCAGCAGCAGCCCTCCCTGCGGCAACAATCCTTGCACGCGTGCCGAACGACATCTACATTCCATCCGCTCGCTGTCCAGCATGGACGCTTCTCAAAACAGGCCCTGGGTGCAGGCAGGCTCCGCGCCCTTGGCCTGCATACACTGCCGAAGACTGAAGGCAAGAAGAATGCGAGCTTTGCCGTAATATCATCAGCATCGCTAATTAATCCGCAGATGAGATGTATAGGCGCGGACAACCCACCTTGTGCGCGCTGTGCCAAAGCAGGCAGAGAATGTATAATTCAGCCATCGCGCCGTGGCTTGCAGAAGCCCGCAGGAACTACCACAGACAAGACACGAAATCGAAGACCAGCGAAATCGAGCCGAAATAGTGCTCCAAGATTGGATCTTTCAGACCAGCGAATACCGGACGTTCCGCTGTTCTCGCCACGAGAGGACTCTGGCCGCCCTGAACAGCAAAATGGCTCTCCGTTTGGATCGACTCCGCATTCGAGCTCCAACGATAGTACTAATGCTGGAGCACAATCCAGTCTGTCCTCAGTTTATTCAACCACGATGCTTTCTGCTTTGGCGGGGCCGGACCAGAGGACTAGTGGTGTTAGTCCTATCCACTGACCGTTCAGAAATGCTTACACTCTTACATAGCATAGGAATCGCAAATATCACAGCCACATAACGGACGACCGACGAGAGCCTGGAATACGCAAACGATAACCGACAGCACGTTGCAGGACCTTGTTCGATTGTATGTGGTAACATAACCTCTGTGTGGTGAAGTCTGTACGACGAACCCATTCTGATTATGCCCAGCTTTGCGAAAAAGTTGATATACTTTGTACCAATCCTGGACACCACTGACCTTGACGACATTACCACCGTGGTCTCTCACAAACGACCACTAGCTCTCTGCGCAAGCCTTGTTGCATCGATGTTCGTTCCTGGAGGCGCAAGTGTGCGACCCATGCTCATTCCGCGCGTGGGGGAGTTCCTAGAAAAACTTGAAGGTATCGACCTGCTCTACACTTGGGAGTGATGTCAACCTAATCACTCCGTAGGACCGACCGAAGCGGACGACGATACCGTCTGGATGCAGCTACAGGCATACGCTATTCTATATGCGTATCGACCCTCTACCGATGTCTCAAATCCCTCGCTGGAAAATGACAGCGATAGACGCCTCAACCATTGGAGATTAAAATCCGCCATCGAAGATTTTGCCATGCGTCTAATTCTCCATCGTGCTCTTGACGAGGTCAAGTTACAGGTCAGGGAAGGCACAGAGAACATCAGCGAAGGCTATGCTTTCCGCAAGGCAACCTACTGGCTGTGGTTGTTCACGATGAGTCACCACTTCGCTCTTGTGACTGAGACGCCACCCACAATCAGACAAGATAACAGCATCAAATCGGCTTGCTCGTTGCTCAGTCATGTTTCGAAGCCTCCACGCGTGACCAGGATGCTGGCCGAGGTAGACCTCTGCATGCTTTGGAACCTGGCGGATCTTTCTCTTCCAGGGCTGGCCGAGTGGTGGTGCGCACCCCCTGAGGATCTGGACCCTGAAGAGGCCACCAGAGTACTGGATGATGCTGACGCTGCTCTCGATGTATGGAGCCGCCGTTGGGGGCTCCATGGCGAGACGGACGCAACTTACCCTGGCCTTGACACAAACAACGGGGCAGTCGACTATCATTTCCGAGCGACGAGATTCTGGCTTCGCACATTTGCAACTCGAATAGTCCATCACCAGCACCAATGGAATTCAAATCCGACCCTGAATGTCAATTTGACGCTCAAATCCGCAGAAGCCGCAGAATCGTGTTGTCGCTTCCTTTCGGACATCCCGCCGCTGACGAGGGACAGTGCACGATATGTAAGTTGCTCATCGGTCGAGTCGCATGCAGTATTGTTGGCTAACGAGTATTGCTTAAGATGAGTGACTTTGGTTGGTAAGTTGGCTCCTTCGCCTTTTTCATCGCAACTTGAACTCATAATTGTCACAGGGCACTTCTGGCTTTCTGCGGCATTTATATAATCCGGATTTATGAGCTTTTTGGCCGGACTCTCCCAGTACTGGAACAATACATGACCACGGTGGAAGCATGTGCCAAGTTGCTCATCGAAATGGCGGTCGGGAGCAGCCAAATGCCTCGCATATATGGTGAACGGGTCCTGCACCGTTTCAATGCTGTGATGCAGCAGCATGACTCCGTTGACACCGACGTTGGCAGTCAGGCTGGAGACGGTCATGTCGACTTGCAATGGGTTGACGACGTCTTTCAGCAGGCATCAGCTCTGACCGGCTGATTTTGGTGACGATATCCGACCCACATATCTTCCTACACGATACCTCCAAGTGTAGCGCTTGAGCATTTTTGCGGCAGCAAAGAAGCGGCGTTGCAAGCACTTGCGCCTGCGTCAAGTGGATTGCCTATCAGAATGCCTAGGAACCCTGTGTCAGCCTGATTCGAGTAAAGGAAATGCTTGCCCTACCAGAATAGCACAAATGGGCGGCATTGATTCCTTCTGGAGTTCCAACACCACCGACGCCAAGGCCCAATGTACTCTGCACGCATTCCTTCTTTTGGTTAGAAATTGTGTACAGCAACTCCAGGCCGAAAGTTACTAGCCTGGTCGTCCCCAGGACTGCATTTGAATGTGTTCGATGGACCGAACGGCTCTAGCTCCCAATGCTCTCTCGAATGATGAGCATACCCGCTGCTGCGATGGATCGTCTGGGGAATGCCGTCGTTGAGGTGCGTCACACGATACAATTTTGGATAAGGCAGGATTTGGTCAATGTATGCCGCATATGTTGGGTCCCCAGTGCGGAATTGGCCAAAGGTGTACGTTTTCAAGCTGGTGAAGAAATGAACGAGCGATGCCGAAGCCACGGATGCTATAGCGCCGCCCAGCGAGTGTCCGGTCACGATTGGCTTGTATTCTGGGAAATATAACAGCTGCGCCTGCATTGCCCACAGAACATCGTTGGAGACCGAGTTCCTTTCCATGTCAGCCCATAACACTCATGTTGGAGGGCGGAAATGCTTACCAGGCAGTCAGTGTACCATTGTGGACCTTTTCCGACACTGTCAGTAAATTGAAGCGCTTAGCATGACCTGCTTCATACCTTGCAATCAGGACAATCATCGATGCCGATGGCCTTGAATGGCACAAGCGTTTGCGCAAAGTCCGACAAGAAGTCTTGCAGGTCGGAAGTTCCCCGGAAAGCGATCACAAGCTCCCTGCGCGTGTCGTCGCGGAACAATGTGGCTTGTGTGTCAGTCGAGACATTGTTGAAGTATCGTACGACTGTCGAGTTGTTCGGAGGCATTGCGCATTGACTGGCGTACGAAGCCGCCGCATACTTGGTGACTCGCACGAAATCATCGTACAAGGACGGAGAGACTGCAGTAAAGTCAATCCCGGAGCTGCACTTCCATCGATGGGGAACATACTTGTTGGATCACCTGCTGGAGGCTTTGGGACAGCGACAACTCCAGAGAGAAGTGCTGTCACTGCAGCGAGCTGGACGAGTAGCCTGACTGTCATTGCGGATGTTGTATGGATACTGGACAGTCAAGGGAGCTCATGGCCGTCCATTCTCTGGTTGGCAAAAGCAGCCACAACAAGGTACTATCGAGTTGTCAATCCCGAGGCATGTTCGAACGACAAGCTCGTTTCGGTTGCGAAGCGACTGACCCCATGAGACGCTAATCTTTTGACTTCAAAGGGTTTAAGTCTAATTGACAAGTACTTATCCCGCCCACATGTTGTTGTTGCTCTTCGAACTTCGCCTGAGCACACTATTAGGAACAGTCGTGTACATGCCTTCAAGAGGTTGTTGGGACCACCATCGACTGTCATTCGATCAAGGACTTGACCTGGACTTGAGAACCGTTGTCAGCAGCAATGAGCTCTTACCATCATGACCCACGCACATAGACCAAGAATATGCTCATGACTCCGAAGGCAGCATTGAACACACTCGCCAACACGGCTTATCACGATGAATGGAGAGCGGCAAAGCAGTGGGAGCAACACTTGGAGTCAGTCTTGACTTCCAAGCTACTGATTGTCGGCAAAAGCTGTATTGCGATAGAGGTCCATTCAAAACGCCCGGAGGTCCTATACATACTCTGAAAGTTGCTTGCCCTAGCTTTGAGAATACCGTCAATGTCTCCATGGCAGTGATCAAACGACGACTTTACGGGCGTGTCTTCTAAGCACCTCTCGGCTTATCGGCTACCTCCACAGATGAACACTAATCATTGCAGTGCATCTTGAGAGCACATCTTAAGAGCAAGTATCATCTATCTCAGCAGACACCTTCATCGAACACCGTCACTCGGGCAATAGCAGGAACAATGCCGTCCATTCCAAGAGCAGATCCACCATTGGTCGACATCCCAGAGTCCTACAAATCACTGCCGGTCCAACATATCAAAATCTCACATTACCCAGAAGATGCACCAACAGCAACCCCAGTAATCGTGGTCACGCTCAACCGACCCAAACAACGCAATGCATTCACGCTGCAAATGATGAAGGATTTCGAGCTGTGCTATCCAATGTTCGACCTTGACGAGCGCGTCAAAGCCATCGTTCTCACAGGCAGCGGAGATGCCTTCTGCGCAGGAGCTGACTTGGATATTGGGTTCAACTCTGGAGGGGAAAGAGAGAGGTTGGTTGATCACAGAGATAGCGGTGGTCGATTGAACTTGGCTATCTTTCGCTGCCGGAAGCCCACGATTGTGGCTTTGAATGGGCCGGCGGTTGGGCTTGGGATGACTATGACTCTTGCCGCGACCATTAGGATCGCGCATGCGTCTTCCAAGTACAACATAGTCCTTCTTCTTGCCATGCAGATGCTGACGTCAACGTAGATACGGTTTCGTCTTCGCCCGACGAGGAATCACCATGGAGTCAAACTCGTCTTACTTACTCCCTCGCCTGATCGGATACTCAAATGCCATGTATCTGCTTTCAACGGGAGATGTCTTCCGTGGGGACTCCAAGTACCTCGCTCAGCTATTCCAAGAAGTTATCGAAGACAAACAAGAAGTCCTCAACAGGGCTTTGCAGTTGGCGTCCAACATCGCAGAGAATGTCAGCGTCATGGCCTCATACCTGAACCGAGAGTTGATGTGGAGAGGCCCACCGAGCATCGAGGAAACGCATCTTTTGGATAGCGCAGTCTTGTAAGTTATGCTGGCATCGGACCTGAGACGAATAAGTTATGTACTGACTTGGATCGATCGCTAGGTATCACATGTTCGCGAATCGGGACTGCGCGGAGGGAGTCAAGAGCTTCTTTGAGAAGAGAAAGCCCAAGTTCGAGGCGACGTTGGAGAAAGACGGACCGCCGTTCTTCCCTTGGTGGACTGAAGTCGACACGGGCAGTAGGGCGAAGAGAGCGGGCCCGAAGTTGTAACAGTTCGAAGATCACATGCTGCATGATTGGCGTCGAAAGTACGCTAGTGTTCTCTGCGCTGCGCTACAGTCTTGTCGAGCACTATCCGAAAGATTTATATTTTCTAATAACACTCCCCTCGGTGCCGTTCGAAGAGCAATGGAACTCTCCACAATAAGTCTGCATGATCTGACAGAGCGATCTAGGAAAGCCACGCCGATAGCTTCCCCGGCCGCGACTCTCGGCCAACATCGGGCCCGCCTATCAACGGGTCAGTCTTGCTTTCGGCGCCGCTTGTTAATATTACCTAGTGAAAAAAGTGTAGGCCAGTATGACTTTCTTTGTGGCATTGTCTAAGACCTCGCTTCTTCCTCACTCGCCTTCCAAACGCGTAACAATCCCTCAACATGGCTCCCCTGATCCGCACCATCGACACCGAGTCATCCAGACAAGCTTACTTCGCCGCTGCTACATCAACGACCGCTCAAGAAGTTATACACATCTCAGGCCAACCGGGAACGAACGCCAATGGCTCTGTTCCCAGCGACTATGAATCACAGATCCAACTTGCCCTGTTAAACCTCCACAAGATCATGCTCGTTGCTGGATGCAACATACCTGATATCCTGTCTCTAAGGTTTTATATTGTGGACTATAACCCAGAGCGTCGACTGCATACCGCGCATATCCAAAAGTTCTTGGGGACGCATCGTCCGGCTATGACATTGGTCCCGGTGCCTAAGCTCGCGGGCAAGGTTTGGTTGTTTGAAATTGAGGCCGTGGTTGCGAAGAGGGCTTCTCCAACAACAACATCGATTCCAAAGGCTCTGAGTGCACCGACTGAGGAAGTCGACGTCGTAATAATTGGAGCTGGTTTGGCGGGCCTTACAGCAGCGGCGGACATCATCAAAGCTGGATTGTCCTGCGTCGTCCTCGAAGCGAGAAATCGTGTAGGCGGTCGAACCTGGACGACGACTCTCAAAGATGGTGGCAACACCGATCTTGGAGCTGCGTGGATTAATGATACGAACCAGAGTCGGATGATTGAGCTGGCTCGAAGATTTGGATTGGAGTTGATTGAGCAGAATACGAGTGGGAAATGTGTTCTTCAGACTGAAGATGGGTCGATAGAGCATTTCCCTTATGGAGAGCTGCCGCCGGTAAGTCAAATTGTAATACCCATTTCGATCAGATCATGCTGACGGAACGAATAGTTTGAGGAAATCATCAAGACGAACGTAGCTTTCATCCGAGACCAATCCGAAGCCGACTGCCAAAATGTCGACTGCGCATATCCGCGTGACGTGGACCTCGACAGCATGACCTTCGCCGCATATTTGCAGACGAAGGGCGCGACACCTGATGCATTGAGGACGGCCTCGGTATGGACGAGAGCGATGCTCGGCCATGAGCCCGAAGATATCTCGGCTCTCTTCTTCCTCAACTACTGCAAATCTGGTGGAGGCTTGTTACAAATGCGTTCAGACCGCAAGGGTGGCGGGCAGCACCTCAGGATAAGACAAGGCACATCAGCCTTTGCTGAAGGACTGACGAAGAGCCTTCCCCCGTCGACAGTCCGCTTCTCGAGCGCTGTGTCGGCCATTCATCAGACCGGACCGAACGAGACCCAAGTTCACACGACCAACGGCACGGCGCTCAAAGCGCGCAAAGTGATCTCGGCCGTACCTCCTCCAGTCCTGAAAAAGATCGACCTCCAGCCACCATTGCCCCTGGCGAAGCAACTCCTCGTGGATTCGTACCGCTATGGCTTCTACCAAAAGGTGATGGTCGTGTTTAAATCCGCCTTCTGGGTGAAGAAAGACTTCTGCGGCCTCATCCAGTCGTTCAAAGGCCCGGCTGCTGTCATTCGTGACACGAGTAGTCCCGCTGATGACAAGCATATCCTCACCTGCTTCATGGCGGGCAAGTATGCACAAGAGTGGTCCCAAAAGGAGCGCTCTGAGCACGAGGCGATTCTACTTCAGCAGATTGTTGACGTGTACTCCGCGCCGGAAGCAAAGACTGAGCTCGTGGAGTTCGTGACCCTGCCATGGAGCGATGAGGAGTTTTCGGGATATGGATGTCCTTCGCCTGCGCTGCCACCAGGCGTGCTCGATACGGCGGGACACGCTATTCGGGATCCTTTTCAGAATCTGCATTTTGCTGGCACGGAGACTGCGGAAGAGTGGAAGGGTTATATGGAAGGTGCGGTGAGGAGTGGTGAGAGAAGTGCCCGCGAAGTTGTCGAGGGTCTTTCGAGAGTTGTAGCCAAACTTTAGTTTGTGACTCTAGTATGATAACCATGCTAGCTCTTCTGCTGTCCTGTGCCCAAATTCGCCATCCTGGCCTTGAAAGGCTTCTGATCGTCGACTGTTTGTATGTGCATCGTGTCGTTCATCTCTCCCGAACGTTCGTTGGCCGCTACTTATGCGCTGGGTACCGCTTCTCCATTGTGGGTCGCAGGCAACGCTACAATTCTCTTCCTCCAGCTGAGGTGCTGTCTTCGCTTTGGCCATACTCCCGGCGGATCCATGTTTCCATGAATAAGCACCTTTGGTAGACATATCTACTCCGTGTGTGAGTGAGCCTGTAGCTCGAGCTCGAATATGCGGGACGACGTCTTCGATCAGTCCACCATAATCTGCAAGCGGCGAAGCCATGGCATTCCTCCCTGATGTCGTGCTCTGACATGATCGTCACCAGGTTATTGGGCGTCGGACTCATAACGCAAGTCGGCGGAAGCGTTCGGTTGGCCGTTTGAGTCGACGTTGAACTCAGTACAGGCGCTGAGCCGCTCGTGGTCCACCTGCTCAGTTTTCTCAGGCCCTGTTGGTACGTCTTCATAGCCCATCTGCTTTTCATAAGCCCATCACTGTCGCACCACCTTTCACCTTCCGTCCCATGGATTCATGAGCCCATCTCCCCTCTTCAACATTCTCGACGCTGCACCTCCACTTCCACTCTGATAGTCGTTGAGATCAACACAGAACGGCTCCGACCGACAACATGAGTAGATGCACACCCGCTGTCCACCACAATCGTCATTACTGTGGCAATCCTCGTAAGGCTCCGGGCATCCTTTATTCGGCGGGCCATCATTCATACAGTAGCCCATATCACTGTCATCGGTGTCCTGGTGGCAGAAGAGATTGTTTCCAGAAGGTCCTTTCCCGCAAAAAGAATGGCCGTCGCAGGAAGCGGGGTTCTTGCAGTTGCGCTGGACTTTACAGGTGGATGTATTGGCCTCGCAGTACTCGTTGGATGCACAGGTGGTCTGGATCGTCACGATCTGAGGCTGGGTGCCGATGCAGGAGCACAACGTAGATTGTAAAGATGAGGACTCGTCCATGAGTTGTTTGAATAAGATGGCATCACTTGAGGGACGGCCGTGGTCGCCGCGCCATTGAGGCGATCCATTGTCATCGCGCTTGCTCGCTCCTGTAGATGCTGTGGGTGTTGCGCATGATGTCTCCGTCACTGTGGCCGGAGCTGCATAGTTGTCGGAGCAGTAGGTCTGCGCTGGTGGGAAGTTCGCCAATGTTAGGTACTTAGAGGCCGGTCCAGACGAGCAAGATGATATGTCTGACGGCTCTGCTGCTGTGACCGCAACTGCATACAGTGCCGCTGCGAAAAGCGTCGATGAGAGCATCTTGCAATCCAGCGAGTGACGTCCGGCTCAGCGTGGTGCTGGGATCCTACCCAGGATGTTGAGAATCCTTCCAGATCGCGGGCCAAATCGCTGCAGCGGTCCAGAACACGAGCGTCTCTCGCTCCAGTCGTCCACGCAATAGCCCGTCAAAGTCCTTCACAGCAGGCCCAGCATGTGAACGTCGCACAGCTCATGACACGCAGCGAGAGAAAGAAAAGAGCACCAAAGGAACGAGAAGAGGAGGGAAGATCCACGCACCGTTCGCATGCCGTCCGATCCACAAAGGATCCATGTTCCCACGTACCTTTTTCGCACCACAGGTTCCTTGCGCCGAGAGGAGTTCAGCGCAGAAAGAGGTACATCGATCTGGAAGAGGGGCGGCGCGGCTGTCAGCATCAATAGTGTGTTCGTCCCAATCTGGGGCGAGGGCCATCAAATCGCGGGCAATAGACTTCGTTAACGTCTGCACGCCGCGCCAATCGAATATTTACCGAGCGTCCGCCAACCGAAGAACTGCTGTGGTGGTGCTTTTTCTTCCCACGCGGGCGACGCGGCCCTCTGTGCAGTCGGTAGCTAAAATCCGTTTTGTTTGCTCCCCGTTTGTCTTTGCATCTTTGCGTGTGTACATGTACAGACGCAGGAGGTGATTGACGGGCTTATGCAAGATGTATTGGCGGGATGGAAAGGGGACATGTCCGATATTGTTGTTGGGAGCAAAGAACAGGACTGATGTGGGGGAAACCCAAGACCAAAGAGTCCTCGGCACGGGTGGAGCAATATTGCCGTCATTGATGCGCTGCAGGGGTGCCAAAGGCTCTTGCTGTATTGGGAAGTGAACGACTGTGACGACGGTCAAGTGAATTTCATCCTGGACTACTATAGACATTACATTATCAGCATCCTTGTGTTCTCAAGTAGAATGTCCTGTTCAAAGTTGAACATGCCCTGCATCAAGTCGTTCATCAAGTCATTCATTCGGCCGTCGATGTGGAGCCGGCCGAGCGTGCACTAATGCGCTTCTTTCCATACTCTCATCCTCTATGACCACCTGGCCTTCCGTGTGTAATTGATTTCAGCTCCTTGAAGTTGTGCCAGGAGGGGAACTCGTCTTCCGCTTCCGAAGGCTGGACTTGGGCACTCACAACGGTGATGGCGAGGTCAGCCACGTCCTCGGCATTGACAGCAGTGCCATCCATCTGCATCCGTCAGCAATTGAAATCGTCCTTCTGAACGACAAGACGCTTGTAGACTCACCAGTGCAACCCGCCACTTGAGACTTTCGCGCAGGTAAGATCCGACCTCTGCGTTACTCATGCCAGGCAGGTCGCCGTTGTGTACTTTTTGGAGCAACCCGTCCGTGAGCGGTATCGATCCCGTCACTTTCATCGAATTGTGCTCAACGGACCGCTTGCTAGAAGAGGCTGCTCCCGCATATCCAGCGAAAACAGCGTGCGTGCCAACCATGTTCGGACAGAGAGGCCATGTCTTTGGATCTTCGCTTTGAACGTCCCCGAGGAATATATATATAGCATATGAATTGTTCATCGCAAATTTGGTGGATACGATGTTGGCAAGATAGTGCTGCAGGCGACCCTCCACGACCTCGCCAGGAGCCGAGTGGACTTGCTGCTTGGTCGCCGCTTGCGATACTCTTTGTGCTGGTGCATTACGCTTCACAGGACCGCCACTGACGGCGTTGCTGCCATAAAGTTCTCTGATCTTGGCGACGACGGTCGATCTTCCAGTATTGTTCGCGAGCTCTGGGTATGTATAGCCAAGCGACATAGTATCCATGACATCGTTTGATGTGAACAGCTTCCCACTGGAGTCCATGTGAAAAGGGGTGAGAGCTGGAGGTCTTCGTTAGAACATTGATTCAAGATTTCATGACACGCAGGACGTACGAGTGTTTCCATCAACCATTTCTCCTACATTGATTGTGAACGTGTCACTGACCGCCGCCACAGGCTCCACCTGACCGGTGAAGATGTTCATAACTTGCCATAAAGCAAAGCAGCGATCCATCATCGTATGATGGAGGAAGAAGAGCGGGTCGAAGGCAGAATAGTCCAGGAAGGTCATGTGTCCGTTGCCTCCCGTCATGCCGTGTATCACATCATGAAGGCCCTCAAGGCTGTCTGCGTTTCGGACATTTCCAAATGTCCATGCCTCATTACTGAACTGGGTGAAATTATCGTAGTTGGCGAATAGATTGAAGAGACGGTTCATGGCCGAGTTTCTGTTAGCATCCAGCTGTGACCCAATATCTTGATTCCGGCTGACAGCATTCTGGGTTGAGCCTGATGGACTCCGTAGCGTCTCCAGCCAAGAGGCGAACTAATATCGTCAGCTCAGTACATCAAATAATGGAAGGGCTTTACTTACGGGGTTAAAGAAGAAATCTTCCTCAGACACTGGGTGGAAACGATAGGAATACAAAGGGTTGCGTATAGTTGCCGAGCCATTGGGCAAAGTGACTGTAATTTCGGGAGTTGAAACGCTCTGTGGATAGACACTGGATCCATCTTCTTGCTCTACAGCCCAGTCCCAGTACGGCATTCGCCACCGGCGTGCGGCAGAGATGTATCGTTGGCGCACCTCCCCCGTTGGAAATGAATTCGCAGCGTCCATGACATGCTCGAAAAGAACTTGTTCGTAAAGGGCGAGGTATGGGCGATGCCATGTCAGGAAAATGTTCGACACGTGCGCACAATAGCCATCTTCGCTGTTGCCAGTGGCTTCAACACCGTCCCAAGCCTCATACGGTCGTCCGCGAATTCCTAGCAGTGGCTTGTCAATATTGCCGCTCGATGAGGACCTGACTGTGGCAGCACTCACCACACAGTCGATAGTAAGAGAGCTTGTCACTCTGATCCGTGGCTTGAAATCTTTGCATGCCAAGCACATACAGATTCCAAGAGTCTGCATCCCGTTCCAGCTCTCGAATCTCTAGCCTTGGTTGAACTCCTGCACCTTGTACTCCAGTAACCGCGAAGGTCCCATTATCGGCCTGCCGGCGCATCAATGGTGGTGTGTCCGGCGCAGAGGAAAGGTCTTCTACGTTGTGTCTCAGCAACGCGGATGCCGACGACAAGCAAAGTAGCGATAGTAGTATCTGGGCATGATTTTGGAACGAGTTCGTCTTCATGCTTGCAAGCTCAGATCAGGTAGCCTTGTCTAGAACAAAAGTGAGTGCTGCTTGAATGAAAAATTAAAGAGACACACGAGAGCAGGAGATCATCGTAGCCATGAGCTGTAAGACATAAAGAGCGTGGGTGGGAAGGCGTGCCACGGGGTGGTGTACCAGTTCAATGTCTCTTCGGAGATGGGCGGTCAAACGCAAGGAGACTGATAGACATGCACCCTCGGACAGCTTCCAAGTTGCCAGTGTGTCTGTGACAGGGCCATCTGTTCCTTGCCGCCGAAAATGGGCTGGAAAGGGAATGAACGGGAGTTTTGTGAACACATTTTTGCCGGTAGCCGTGTCAACACGAACACTGTCAGGTTACAGACATGTCGGGACGCAGCTACCGCAGCATGGCACCACCTTCTCTCACGTGAAGCCTGGTGAAGCTGTTCGCAGGTTGAGGAGTTTGGTGTCGTTGTTGCAAGAAGAGAGGTTTCAAAGGAGGAGGTTGGATCGAAGAAGTCCGTCGCCAGGGTCAAGGCCAATCAATTTCCAACGCTCCTGCCGGCAGCCCCTCTCAGCATTGGATCGTCAGGTACCATCGACAACTCCTTGCGCTCACACTACCACCACACGACTGTCTATGTAAACTCCATATTAGCGTGGTGCCAGCCTGCCCTGACGCTCTCCACCATGCACTGCATTTTTCCAAACTTGACCACCGCTAGCACCACGAATATGCACCATGCCTTTTATGCGCACGAAGCTCCCTTCATCATCTGGCCCTCGCGAGGCATCCTGGTGTCAAAACCACGAAACACGCCGCAGCCGGTTTGGAAGTGGGAGGCTCTTAAGATTAGGAATCCTCGTGCTCGATGCCCTGCAACGTTAGAGCGTTGCCAGCAATCTTCGTAATGCAAATCTCAAGGCAAGACACGTTGCTCGACATCGAAAGAGACGGCGAACTGCACCTCGAGAACTCGACAGGCACACCGAAGCCACACCGCCGCCTTGTGCTACTGTGACACGCGATGTGGGCGTTGTCCCGCGCAACACCAGCCATGACAAAAGCAACACTGCGACATGGTGGAAGCAAGGAGTTCGGGCAGAGCCAACGACGGCGATTCCGACCTGTGTGCCTACTGGAACAGGATGTCGCAGCCAGTTTCGCCATGATATTCACAGGGCAAAATTACCAGTGGGTCTTGAAAGCGAATGCTCGTGCTTTCTGTGAGGAATGAGGACCAAAAATCACAGGTGAGGATTCTTATGCTCTCGTCTCTGCAGAGATACATATTCTCTGGATTTTGTCTATCATCTCGCTACTGTCCTTAGTCCGAAGCACGGCATGCCGATGCGGCTGTCCTCAGGAAACCGTATACTCATGAGGATAGCGCACCGTGGCAAGAGACCGGGAATTGCTCCACATCAGCCCAAATTTTCAACAGCAAGCTCTGCAAAATTGCCTGAAGAATGCGTAACACTTACCATCCGGCACTACCGCGCAGTATGACTGGCCACGCTCATCGACCTATGAATAATCGTTCGATTGGATCTCTTCATCATGAGGACTCGATGCGGCAATTTTTGGTTTTCGCCTCCCCCATATCGCCCGATCCAGTAATCTTTCCCAGAGAGCCGAAGGTCGAACGCAATTCTCACGAACAATGATGAGGAAAACTTGACTAACTGAAAGGGAAACGTTTTCTGCTTGTGGTTGGAGTTGGGATTATCTCCACATGCTTGGGAGGGAGAAATAGCAGAATGATCGCCAGGTTGTTCGAACGAACACCTTGTCGCTGGCATCAACTTCCATCCTTCCTACTATGGAAACTCCCAGGTCTATCGAGACGCCCTTGGACGCTGGACTAAATGACTCGACGGAGCGCTTTCAGCTTCGCAACATCTCTGGAATCGAGACACCGCCGGACTATGAGCTTCAAATGCTTCCCAGAGCGGACGGTGGAAAGGATGCGTGGCTAGTGTTGGCGGGTGTGTTCGCCCTCGAATCGGTCGTTTGGGGCTTTCCGTTTTCTTTTGGAGTATTCCAAGAGTACTATGCCTCGCACGAGCCATTCTCGAAGGACTCGTCGACCACTGCTGCCATCTCGACGACCGCCAGCGGTATCATGTACCTGAGCAGCCCTCTGGTTGCGCTTGTGCTTCAGAGATGGCCACATATCCGCCGTCCGTCTGGTATTGTCGGGTTGATCATCATGCTGGCGGCTCTTGTAGGAGCATCGTTTTGCAACAGCTCTATTGGCCTCCTGGCGACACAGGGAATCATGTTCGCCGTGGGTGGTTTGACGCTGTACTTCCCGGCAATGCTGGTGATCGATGAATGGTTCATCCAACGTAAAGGCCTTGCGTTCGGGATCTGCTGGACGGCTACTGGAACCAGTGGAGCCATCATTCCATTCTTGTTCCAATGGCTACTTAATCAATACGGGTTCCGCACTGCACTGAGAGTATGGGCAGTCATCTCTGTGAGCATTCACATTGCAACAAGTCGCCCTATCTTCAGCTAACAGGCTACAGGCATGCATAGTTCCACCTGCGCTCATGGTGATGAAGACTCGCATTCCACCATCGCAAGTCAGCTCGCTCCGCCCGCTCAACCTATCCTTCCTCAAGCAGCAACCTTTCTGGTGGTTCCAAGCAGGCAACTTCGCTCAAGGCCTCGCCTATTTCGTTCCTCTCCTATGGATCCCTTCTTTCGCCTCCGCGCAAGGCTTCCCTTCGATCTCCGGCACACTCGCCCTCGCTCTTCTCAACATTGCAGCTTGTGGAGGTCTTCTCCTGCAGGGCTTCCTCGTCGATCGCTTCAGCGTCTCGATCGTCATGTTGGGAGTCACTCTCATCTCTGCGCTGTCAATCTTCCTGCTATGGGGATTCACGGTCTCACAGCCAATACTCTACGTCTTCGTCATCCTTTGGGGATTATCTGGGGCAGGCTACCCAGCCATGTGGAGTGGCTGCGCGCAAGAGATGGCCAAGCATGGATTTTACGGGAACTCGGCTGGTGCACAGTACGGATACACCATTGATACTGGCCTCGTTATTGGCCTTTTCTGCGCGATGAAAGGCGTCGCATCTTTGGTCTCTGGACCTATCTCTGAAGCTCTGCTGAACGCGAAACCGTTGCATGGCGCGGATTTCATTTATGGAGGAACGTACGGACCTGTGATTATCTTCGCTGGTGTTGGAGCTATGTTGGGGGGAACTGCTTGTATTGGGAAGGCATTCAAGGCTTTGTGATTGATCTTGGTTGTGGAAACTTAGCATTTGATTAGCATGGCGTCTGGTGGATGGAAAGATAGATATAGATTACGAATGAGCGGTAATGACTGAATTGGAGGATGTCGTTAGACTAGCGAGGAGTTTGGGAGGTTTGTTACAGTGCATCTTGGTGGCAGGCGAAGGCGTCGGCATTTATGGAGGTTCTCAATGCATATACTGTTGCTTTCGGATTCTAATCAGAGAATACATCGAGACAAATGATATCATTGTTGCAGGCTTCGATGTTGTGCGATCAGATGACGTGCGAGTTCTTCAAATTGACGACCGTCGATGCATTGAGACTCTTTGTTGGCATCTTATACACCTTCATCAGCACTCAGCAGAACAAGAAGAAGAAGGCGCCTTCCACTTCCGCTCAACCGCCGGCATTCAGGTGTCATTGGTGCCGGGACAGCTCAACGCAGAAGCCTGGCAAGACGTCTTCCGCTCTCACAAGCTCGGTCCAGCTCGATACTTGCCAGAAGACGATGATGAACAACAGCAGTCATGCAAAAGGATATCGTCGAGATCGACGCAGTTGCGACAGGCCTCGAAGTTGCCCATCAATGCCCTCGCCGCCGGCAATCGGCCACGTCCTTCGTAGCGCCGCCGGCAGGCCGCGAAACGTGCTCGTGTCGTCTGGCCTGTGACTCTCCCGGCGACGTCTACAGCAGCCTTTTGGAATAATGATCGAGTAATGGTCGAGTAATGGAAACTATTGGCTTTTACGGGAAGCCGCCGGCATCGATTTCGTTGGGATTTGGATTCTTGCTTGCGATCTGGGGGTCGACACTGCAACTGCATCATCCAGGAAGAAGACAATGTTGCAAACGCAATGGGATTCGAAATCAAGAGTGTGATGAACAGGAGCACCCAGCGACAACGTGAAGTCGTCTCGGCATCGTTTCATCACAATGGCAACCCAATCGATATTGGACATTGCCGGAGGCCTGTCTTGTCTTGGCGAAGCCATACCAATCCGAGAAACATGGCTTATCTTTCTCAACCACACCTCTGCGCGACGTCTGACCGGGCCACTGATAGCAGACCTGCTCGATGCTATCGAGTAATACCACACCCTTTCCGCCCAAGCGAGAGCACGACGGACGCAAGCTCATACGAATCGACGTCTACCCGAGGCTGCGCCCTTTGTTCCTATTGCGTACCGAATCTCTTGTTCTGTTGGCCAACGCGCTGCTGCTGCGCAATGAGCATTCACCTGCGGCAATTGTTTCGATTTTATTCGGCTGGGAGACCCCTTCATAAGTTAAGTTCTCTTATCGTTATCTATGTCCCTCCCACTTCACTCCTCCCACCTCTCTTGCAGGCACTGCTATCTCTCGGTCTGATCTATTGCTCTATTGTTCCTTTGGCCCACGACTCTCGTAGCTGTCAAACTACGTCACTGATCTTCACGTGCGAGAGCAGCAGCACCGATAGCAGCCGTCTTATCGTCTGCTAAGACTACCTGATCGAGAACACTATAGACCCGAGTATACTCCACTTCGACGCGTCCACCATGGCCCCTTACGCGACTGGAACCGATACACCACACAATGTTGAAGGCTCCCCTATACTAGAAGCCATTGACCCTTGGCAACTTACCGTCCTCGCATCCTCACGAGCCGTTGTTGGAGGCCGACTATCAGAAGCCACGATCGTTATATCGAATGTGACTGGTAAGATCAACTCGATATTCCACTCCGTACTACCAGAAACCTCTTTTCCTCCGGGCACAGTATACAAAGACTACAGTCCGCATGTACTATTACCAGGCCTGGTCGATGCTCATGTCCATCTGAACGAGCCTGGCAGAACAGAATGGGAGGGCTTCTATACGGGTACACAGGCCGCCGCCTTTGGAGGTGTGACAACCGTGGTGGACATGCCATTGAATGCCATTCCTCCTACAACGACGATGCAAGGGCTGAAAGAGAAGGTTGAGGCAGCACAAGGGAAGTGCTGGGTTGATGTGGGCTTTTACGGTGGAATAATACCTGGCAATGTCAAGGAACTTAAGCCGCTTGTCAAGGCAGGCGTACGAGGCTTCAAGGGTTTCTTGATCGACAGCGGCGTGGAAGAGTTCCCGGCCGTATCATCAAGAGACATCCAACTTGTCTTCGAGGAACTCGCCGACGAGCCTACTACGGTCATGTTCCACGCTGAGATGATTCCTCCTGTGTCGGCTTCGGTGGGCGATGACGTGCAATGGTCGTTGCCGCCGCTGGAACCTACCGGACCCCTGGACCGATATCAAACGTTCCTCGACTCGCGGCCTTCATCGTTTGAGGTCTATGCCATTCTACAGGTCCTCAGCATGGCTCATTTGTGCCCGAAGCTGCCTCTACACATCGTACATCTTTCTGCGATCGAGGCTATTCCACTACTACGAGACGCACGGGAGAAGGGCGTCAAGATCACAGCGGAAACATGCTTCCACTACTTGAGTTTGGCGGCGGAGAAGATCCAAGACGGTGATACGAGACACAAGTGCTGTCCCCCCATCCGATCAGAATCGAACCAGGACGGTCTATGGAACGAGATGCTCGAACCGGCAGACAGTGTCATCAAGACCGTCGTATCAGACCACTCACCTTGCACTCCGAACTTGAAGTTACTACCCTCGCATGTTGAAGGCGCAGAAGAAAGCAAGTCCTCAAGCTGTTGCTCAAGCACCCTGAAGGGAGACTTCTTCACGGCGTGGGGTGGCATCAGCTCGGTCGGACTCGGTCTCAGCATCTTGTGGACAGAAGCCATGCGCAGAGGCTTGGACGTGGACGAGACGCTACTCAACGTAGCGACCTGGTGCTGCTTCAACACCGCCAAACAAGTGGGATTAGAACATCGCAAAGGCGAGCTCAGAGTTGGCATGGACGCCGATATTTGCGTGTTCGATGACCAGAGCACATTCGAAGTCGAGCCAAGCACGATGCTGTTTAGGAACAAATGCTCGCCTTATCAAGGCAAGACATTGCAAGGCTACGCAAAGGAGACATGGCTGCGAGGAAAGCGGATACATACCCGAGAAGGCGGATTTGAATCCAGGACAAAGCCGAGAGGAGAACTCTTACTTGAGCCCAGAACGCACGTTTGAATAGCATAGCGATAATACCACACATATATGAGAACCTGACTGACTGGCTCTCAACGCATCGAGCGCGCAAAAAGCAAGGAAATATTATTGGCACAGGAGTAGATTCGCCTCGTGACTTCCGCTGGCGGCCGCGTGTAGCGAGGCGGTGTGAATGGCAGGGACGCCTCACTTGGCTGGGAACCGTTGGCCGAGATCTTGGTTCGATCTCACTTCATCCTGTTTTGTCCCATCAACATACAACACATCCCCTCGTCGTTGTCGGCGGAGTTTTGCGGTCATGTAAGAGCGTATCTGTCGTGTTTTAGGCCCAAAGAGAGCGATGTTGCGAATAGCGGAGATCGAAGGGTCGAAGGATGGATAGAGTTGACCACCGTCACCGTGACGTTGTCTCTTCCGTCAGGCAGAGCGAGCGACAGTTTGCGAGATATCGCGACTGAAATGGGGAACTGTTGAGGGCGGAGGGTATGTGCATTCTTGGGCGGACGCCCCTACTTACATCATCACGGAGAGTGAGGTACTTTCTTGGTTTATCAAAGAGGTTTGATCTTCCTACTCTTCTCTACGCTCGCCATCTACCTTCCAAAGCATTCTTACTTTCAGCTCGTCGACAACAACTACCGTTCCGCCACTAGAAGTATCATGGCTACACCAAAGCGAGACGTGAATATCTTCAACGATGATCCACCGAGCTTTAGCAAGCCGAGGACGCAGCCTTTGGAGGTGATGATTGTTGGGCTCTCGCGAACTGGGACGTCCTGTGAGTCTGGGTCTGAGTCTTTAGAGACATGTATGGAGTGGAAGCTGACCTGCGATCCCAGCCATGCTCGAAGCCATGAATATCCTCGGCTACGGAGATATCTATAGTAAGTGAGATGAAACATAGCACTTTTCAGGAAAAGAAAGCTGATACCACACCAGACTCCCGCGTCATGGTCCGCAAGCACCAAGGGCCCTTCTGCGGCACGATCCTGAACAAACGCCTCACAGGCATCGGACCGCCTTACGGCCTCGAGCAATTCGAATCCCTCTACGGCGAACATACCTGCATATCCGGCGAGACAGTCGCCCCCATGGCCGAAGACATCATCAAAGCCTATCCGGAAGCCAAGGTCATCCTAACCGTCCGCGACGACGAGGACGAATGGCTGGCAAGTCTGTGCAGCACGCTGTGGTACAACTACAGCACGTGGTCGCACTGGTTCCTGAGGAAAGTCGATCGCGTCTGGTGGGAGCAGAACGGGCTTATGGATGTGTATTGGAATAAGTTCTTTGCGGGGGATCCTGCCGTGCATGGATTGAGGGTGTATAGGGAGCATAATGCGATGGTGAAGAGGGTGGTTGAGCCGAAGGAACGGTTGTTGGTGTATAGCACCAGTGAAGGGTGGGGTCCGCTTTGCAGGTTTCTTGAGAAGGATGTCCCGGATGTTGAGTTTCCTTGGGTGAATAGGACGCAGGATCATCGGGCGCTGTTTGGGGGTGGGAGGAGGAGGAGCCTGCGAGCGTGGATGATGAATGCGTTTGTGAAGGGTGTGCTTCCTACGACTGCGGTTGCGCTGCTGGTGTTGAGGAGGCGACAGGTGAACGAGATGGTCAGGCAGCTGCTGAAGTGGTAGCTGGTGATGGACGGATAGGGAAAGCGCGACTGCATGTGAATGCCAAGCGGGTAATTGCCGGTAGCGTCTCGAAGCGCGCCGCTATTTCTTGCGACGCTGAGTCTCTGTTGAACAAACACATCGCCCAACACTCGCCAATTTGGCGCTTGCTGCTTTCCGTCCGCAGCGAGTCGCCCACCATGGCCACGTCAGACGAGTTCAACGAGCGCATGGAAGCACTCATCAGAAAGACGCTGCTGGACGAATACCCACACATGAAGACGTCGACTCTCAACAAAATCTGCACGAAGAGCGCTGCAGACGTGGCATACAACTACCAGCGGGAGTGCGGTTCATGCATGCATCTAGGCACGCTAGGCACGTAACTGACATGATCCAGGTCCAAGAACGAGTGCGCTGGAATTCATCCTCTCAAATTCTTCGACCTTCCACGCGAGATCCGCGAAATTGTGTACGGATATGTGGTGTCACCATCGGATGGCCTGCCAATCACCCTCAACAACTGCCCTGCGGGTGTTAGCTGTGCTTGGCGGACCGACACCCTGGACCTCTACAATATCTTCAACACACTACGTCCCTATCATGAGCAGTACGTGCACGGCATGCAACCCGCCATCACTCGCGTTTCTCGCCAGTTGCGTCAAGAGGCCCTCCCGCTCTTCTACCAGATCAATGTCTTCGCTGTCTGCCTAGCTCGTGACGCCCGGGTTCGAGACGAGGAATGGTGGTGGCACTCGCCTAGTCCTCTGGACAAGGAAGCGAAGCACCTCGCAGGTGTTGAGCTACTGTCTAATTGGCTTCTTGCCATCGGCGAAAAGAACGTGTCCAATCTGGTCAAGATCACGGCCCACTACACGGAAGAAGACCAGAAGAAGGCGCTTCTGGACATGGACCTTGTTCCTGCCAAGTGCGCCAACCTTGTCCACATTCAAGACCCGGACGGCGACGACTATCGTCGCACTCGCGCGATTCGGGACCGGCTCAGGCAGTTCATAGGTGGTAACGATGGGAAGAAATCAAGGAAGTGATGCGATGAAGGAGGTCCTCAGTCCGCGGAAGCAGTACCTGCGTTGATTTGTTTTGCAACACAAGAGAGGGAGGGACTCAGTGCTGCTGAGACTTCGAGAATACTGTTAGGAGAAGAACAGATCACTACTACCAGTGGTTTATCGTCAACACAGAGAGTCAATACCCTTGCAATGCCCTAATCCAGATCAGTGCCTTCATATGCGCTGCCGTCTCAGCTCCTGCCCGCATTGCCCCGCCAAACGTCATACGTGCAACAAACATTCACTTCGATATCAGCGTTCCTCCGATCATGAGCCATATCTTGATTTCAAAGCGCGTTTGCTCTTCAACACTGATTCTAAGCAAATACTCGCCAGCGACCTTCTACAAGACTTTCTCACGATCACATAAACCACCGCCCTCAAGGCCATACGCAACCTCCCTCCCCGCCCAACCCACCATGACAACCACCCCAACAACCCAACCACACTTCCCACCCCCCGACCTCCTCCCCCTCCTAACAGAAGTAACGTCCCTCCTAAAATCCACCACCTCCACCCTCTCCATCGCCGAAACCGCCGCAGGCGGGCTCCTCTCCTCCTCCCTCCTCTCCCAACCAGGCGCCTCAACCTACTTCAAAGGCGGCCTAACCCTCTACACGCTCCCGTCCAGAATCGCCTACGCCGGCTGGACGCAAGAGACCATCGCCGCCTACCGGGGCCCGACGACGGACATCGTGTCCGGGCTGGCCAAACACGTGCGCAAGGATCTGGAGTCCACGTATACGCTGGCGGAGAGCGGGACGGCGGGGCCGACGGGCGGGAATACGGAGAATCGTAGGCCGGGGTATGTGGCGCTGGCGGTGTGTTGTGAGGAGGGCGTGTTTGTAAGGGAGTTGAATACGGGGTTGGGGGGCGATCGGGTGGGGAATATGGTGGCTTTTGCGGTGGAGGGGTTGAGGTTGCTGAGGGATGTGTTGAAGGGGGAGGTGGAGGGGGGGGGGGGAAAGTTGTGAGGGTGAGGGACGGGAATGAGTGAGGAGGGGAGGGTGGTGCGGATGATGTGAGTTTGCATTTGAATGGCGTTGGGGGCATTGGGGATGTGGTACGAGCAGTGAGAGGAGGTAATCATCAGAACTTGATGAAATAATCAGTGCAAGAGAGAGAAAACAACAAGACACGTCCCCAAAGAGATACCCACACCTCACGATCACTGTCTCAAGTCCCACCGAGCCAACACAAGCAAAGTACCTTAGTGAACACAATCGAAAGGGATAACAAAAGCCATCTCACTCCATAAAATCCCTACTAAGGTACTAATAATGTGCTTTCGCTCTCATCTCCTCTCTCAATCCAGTCATTCCATTCGTGACATCATATCCAAAAAGCTCTTGCCACTCGCTCCAAAGCAAACGGTAGGGTCGTGGTAAGTAGTAAGTAGTAGTAGTACAGTAATCCCGGGCAGCAGCAGCAGCAACTCAACAGCCCAAGACGCTCTCTCGCTCACTGCTCACAAACGCCGATCCAAGTGCGAAAAACAGATGCCCAGGCCGATACTGTGGCCTCTCTTTCTTCTCTCATCTTAACACACACGCACACACAGATCCCCCTGAAGACCAGATCGCCTCCTGGTGCGAAAGGGGTAAAGTCGTCGATGTCCTTCTCTTTCTTCGCTAGGAAGGCATCAAATCCATCTCGCCCACCTGCTCTTTCAACGACCTCAACTCCTCGAGCTGACTCGTCAAATCGCCCAGAATTTCCGACATGGGACACGCCTGGCTGAGCATGCCGTTCTTGAAAGGCCGGATCATGTTGCGGATGGCGAGGGTGGAGATACACGTCTAATACACACAAAAACAAGTCAGCGTTTCACTCTTCTCAATGTCCCGGGTTAAGGGGCGTGCGGTGATGATCAAGACTCACCTCAATTCTACTGATCTGGTGCTCAACAAAATTCACCAAGAACCGATCAGTAATCTCCCCACCACCATGCTTGATCTTCTCCAGCAGCGCCGTCTCAGGCGGCTTCAGGGACCTGACACCGGTATTCTCCAGCGTGCTGCAGAGCATCTCCAAGCGGAGAGATACATTCCACAGATCCCAGACATTCTCCGTGTCGATGGTGAGCTGGCTGTTCCGCGTCTTCTTCGCCTCGTTCTCCACCTGCTGCGCGGATCTCGACTCGGCTTCGGCTTTCTGCTGTTGCACGATCAGGCGAGACGCCAGGGAGTGTGGGTACATCAAGTAGATGTATTCAGGATTCTCGAGGCCCTTGAGTGTCCGCTGGCCGAGATCCTTGACTTCGAACCCCTGACTAGAGAGCGACCTCAGCTCGCGACGGATCGTCTGGTTCAAGAGATCGTCACTAAGAGTATCTTCCGAACCCGTCGATCCGCTTCGGTCGGACTCGATGTGGCTTTCGAGCATCCTCTGGACTTCTTGAATGAAGTCTGATGACACGCAAATCTGGCCTCCGTCCGCAACGCTCTCAATACGAGCCGCGCGGTTGACCATAGGGCCGAAGTAGTCCATGCGTTTGGTGACGGGATCGATCTCGCACACGGGTCGTCCCCAGTGGATACCCATTCGGACGCTCAGTCCACGGAAGATGACATTGCCGTCGGCATCTTGCATCTCCTCGCCGTGAACGCTGTTGAGGATCTCCTGCGGCCATTGGACTTCCAGAAGCTGACTCTGGATTGTAAAACACCACAGCAAGGCGCTGGTTACAGTCGGGAAGGCGACCATGAACGCATCACCTTCAGTCTTGACTTCATACCCTCCAATGATCCTCAGATGCCGACGCATGACCTCGTTGTGCATCTTGATAGCCGACTGCATGGCAATGGGATACGTCTCCCACAAGATGGTGCTGTTCTTGATATCCGTGAACACAAGCGTAACCTCACCAGTAGGGGCATCGACTTCCTGATCCAACCGAGCAAGCTTCGAATCACCAACAGCGTCCCCACGTCGCTTGGCCTTGCGCACAGTCGTGAAGTAGTCGTCTGGAGATCCAGAAGGACCCATGCTCATGCTGTGTGTTCGGAACCGGGCCTTCTCTCGTTTACGCAAGTCGCTCACGCCGACCATCATCACCATGATCTTGCCAGTCGCGCCGAATGCGATGGCCAGGTCACGCAATTTCTGAGCAGCACGCATCAGGTCACCGCGCTCTTGTCGCGCGACATCGACGGCGAAGTCAGGTGTGAGGTAGTCCCAAAGCTCGCGTGATGCCAGAAGGATCATCTCATCCGACTCCTTGATATCCAGCTTGCACACGTGTGGCGCTGCAATCACACATGGCGTGAGTTGCACATATCCAAAAGCTCGTGAGATGTCGAGTTGATCGTTGAGCTTGCCTTGTCTAGAGACATAGCCACCTGCTTCCCGGATGCGCTGTCGTTCGCTTGCTTCAGCTGGATCATGCTTGCGAGTTATGACCCTGTGACCGCCCTCAGATTGAATGAGCAGACACTGCGCATCTCCGACATTGGACATGTAGAGCTCCATGCCGCGCAGGTACATGACCGTAGCGGTACTTCCAGATGTCAAGTCATCGTCACCCAGTTCTGGACCAGACACGCTTCCTCGATGGACGAGCGCACTACTTGGATGCTCCCGCGAGTCAATGGCCTGTGTCGCTGCGGTAGCAAGATCCTTATTGAGGCCCAGATAGGTACGCCGAAGGGCATCAAGGGGAGTCTCATCAGTCTTCAACTTCTCAAGCTCTTCAATAAAGAAGTGCTTGAACTTCTCGTGAAGATACTTGGCGACCTTGCTGCCTCCTGAGGATAGAGACTGTCCGTCGAACAAACCAATCAATGCTTCGTCCTCGTGTCCCCGGAATCGTGGCACGACCATATCCAATGTCGAAAGATGCTCATTGCGTCCAAGAGTATCAGCCATACCATACGGCATGGTGTTGCCAATGATAGATCCCGCCAGACGCACACGCCTGTCAGGTGCCTGGTCAGGTACCGAGGGAATAGTGAGCGTCACATCCATCAGACCCAGGATCCGCAAGTTGATCAGCGAGGTGAAGTCCGTCAGATCTCGTTGGTCCCTCCCACTGAGAGCCTGTGAACTGGGCTTGATCTCAAGACGCTTGTTGCCAGACAAGTTCAGATACCGGAGCTGACGATTCCAGTTCCAATTCCAATCGTAAGGCCAGTTGGAGACGTTGTACTTCAGCATGTTGCTGCCGACGTCGAGGATAGCCAATCTTTGCACTTTCCCCAACTCAGCCGGCAGGACCTGGAACTTGTTGTTGTTGATGTGAAGGACCTTCAATTGCGAGCCCTCTTCCAGGTCCTCTGAAGGTATCGACGTCAGGTCATTTCCAGACAGGTACAACTCCGTAAGGTGCGTCCATTTCCTGACCGTCCTCGGAGGCACATCGTACAGCTGATTGTACGACAGGTTCAAGATTCGAAGCTCTGGTAACAGCACAAGCTCGTTGAAAACATCGTCCTCAAGCCGATTGTCGGCAAGGAACAGATGTCGCAGGGAAGTTGAGAAGGTCGCGGCCAATCTACTAGACAAAGTCGAGTCCTTTCTCGACCCTGGCGTGATCGTGCCGGAGCTGCTTGCGGTGCTTGGCTTGCCGCCCATTGGTCTACCCGAGATGCTCGATACGACAGAGCCTTTGCGGGAAGCAGTGCCAGGAGAGCTGGAAGCGCTGAGCATACCAGACGCTTGACTCGGCCGTCGAAGTTGAAAGTCTTCCAATTTTCCGAGCTCCTCGAAATCCGGACTGGACTGGTTAGGCAGTTGGCTTGGAGTCACGGTGTAGGTCGTGTCAGGTAGGGGTGGCAAGGGCGCGCCAGGCTTCGGGAACTCTGCCAGCACATTTGACGAGACGTTAAGAGTTTCCAGCCTCTTTGCAAGCCAAAGCTCAGGAGGCAGCATGCTGAGATTGTTCTCTCGCACATCCAGATACCTCAACTCAGTCAAGCGGCCGATCTCCGCCGGCAGTCTGCTGAGTTCGTTCTTCGCAATGCTGAGGTACTCGAGTTTCGCAAGCAGGCCAAAGTGTGGTGAAAGCGAGACAAAATGATTCTTGCTGATAGTCAGTTTGGTAAGGCCAGACATCTTCATGAAGAGCGCGTCGGGCAAGCGAGCCAGCTTGGCAGAGGCCAGATTGAGGACGGACAGGGTCGGTACAGGAGCATTGAGATCGAAGTTAGTCACGGGATTGTGGTTGAGGAAGAGCACCTTGAGGCAATTGAAAGACCCCTCGAACTGGGAAACGGAGTTATGGCCAAGCATCAGCGCCTCCAGTTTGGGAAGCTGTGACACGACGCTGATGTCCGAGATGGCATTGAAGCGGGCATCAATCTCCCGCAGACTCTCGAGTGCCCGGAAGGACTGATCAAAGGGGCCGGAAAGTCTGTTGTTCGTAGCCCACAGTCTTTCAAGATTGGTCAACGTGGACACATCACCAAGGGAGGAAATCGAGTTGAAGCTGATATCGAGATCAACCAGTGTCGTCAACTGTCGCAAAGCATCCGGGAAGTCGGTCAAGGAATTTGAGGACAAGTTGAGACTCCGCAATGCTCTGTACTGCCCGAAATATGAGGGGACCGTGGTCAGCTTGTTGTTCGACAACTTCAAGCTCAGCAACCCCTGGAGTCTTTGCAGTTCCGCATGCTGGAGCTGTTCCAGTCGATTGTTCGATATATCCAAGGTAGTCAACTTGCCCGCGAGGGACAAACTAGGGGGTAACTTCCACGCCTCATTGCTGGTATACTTGATCTCACGAAGCTGCGTACAGCCCTGAATGAAATCTTTGGGGATATCCAAGGTCAAATTCCTCGAAAGGTTCAGGGTAATGATCTCCGTGGCCTTCTGGTACAGTGTAATGGGGATTGTGATCAAGTTCCGTCCGGACAGATCGATATGATTGAATCGTTGCATCTTGTTGAATCCAGGATCGCGCTCCAGACTAGAGTATCCGCTCATCTTGGATGGCAAAAAGGTGAAACGACAAAGGTACCCATGGTCTTCCCGTCCGAGGTCTTCCAGATGGTCATTGTCCTGGTATCCCGCCATCTCCAGCAATCGCTTTTGCATGACAAGAGGTCTTTCACCCGGGGCCAGCTGCCGACTGGTATCCTGTTTGCGCATGACGATTTGATATTTGTCCAGTTCGTCTTGTAAAAACGTCTTCTTTGCCATCATGGATATCAGTTCCGCGGCCGTCGTGTTCAAGCTGGCAGATATCACGGCAAAGGTGCTGTCAGCCCGGAAGATTCGCATGAAGAACATCGATCCAGGTTCATCGTCCTTTGCTACGTTGCCATCGTCATCCAGTTCGGTGAGCCTGCGCATGTTTTCGTCCGCAACTTTACTGACAGCCCAACTTTCAGGTGCGTCCCAGGTCCCTTTTTCTTCACTCACGGTTTCTGGGACTGGCTGCGGCTGCTCAGGAGGCCATCCGGTGTATATGTCGTTCTGCGGGGGTGTCATTGGAGCTCGATGATCCACAATACCCTCCATGTGCGACATGTCTGTGTCGAGGTGCCACAGCGCATGGCCATCCTGGTTATGAGACGCATTAGGGTCTTTGACGGGTTTATTGGTCGTTTCCAAGACATCTGTCGTAGCCTTCTTCTTGAAAGGTAGCCTACTGCCATGCTCTTTCTTGGACTTCGCATCTCCATTTGGGGGTTCAGGCTTGGCCTTGCTAGGCCTAGCCGTCGCTTTGCTGTCTGAGCGCGGTTTCGTGAGAGATGGCTGCAGGCCGGGTAACGAGGTGACCGAGTTCGACTGCAAGTTTTCAGGAGTCGTGCCATCCTTCTTATGCCGCCCAGTTACACGGTCGAAGAGTGATCTCTTGTGGCCTGCCCCTGATGGCGAGCGCTGGTTCGATTGCTGGTTGGTCGCGCTATGGGTACTCCGCGCCGGACTTGACGATCGCGCAGGTTTGAGGTTGAGTGCGGAACTCATGGCCGAGGAGGTGTTACCATCGCGGCGCATGATATTGAACGACTGCTCTCGACTGGTTGAGGGTCGTAGAGGAAAGCCAAGGCCGGTACTCTGCTTTTCGTCAGTACTGCGATTATGCCTGTGGCCAGGAAGATGTAATCGAGAGGTAGTCGAGTTCTTTGGGGTACGGCCATTGCGATCGTCTTGCTGGAAGGAGTCGTGCGAAGGTGGCGGGTTCTATCCATAAACGTTAGCCGTCGCTACCCACTATGACAATCCTCGACTTCATATCTCTACACACCTCTGTATCCTGAAACACCCACGGCGTAACTTCACTACTCGGTTGCGGCGCAGGTGTTCGCGGTCTCGAACTCGAAGGGCTAGGCGGTCCACTGCGCAAGATGGCATCGTTCATGGAATTGTTTCGATTCCTGCCCGACCCACCACCCGGCGCAAAAGGCGGCAGCTGTCCATTCTGCATCGAGCTTGTCTCTGAGTTCTGCCGACTGCTCCCCTTCCCATCAGTGATCTGGCCTTGTACATCTTCCCCAAAGAACCCCTGCAGCTTTTTGTGCACTCTTCCGCTTATGCTGTTCTTGGAGCCGGTCGACGAGACGGTGGTGGCGCTGGCGATGGACGGTCTTCGATCTTCACCTTCCCCTGGGAAGTTCATGCCATTTCCTGGCGTGAAGCCTGGCGATACCTGGCCGAGATTCTCACTGCTGTCGTTGAAGTAACTTCCCCCGAAGATGGACTGCGGCAACTGCGTCGGTCGGTCGGGTCGGTCGTTGTGGCTCCACGCCATGGGGGTCGCGCTGGGAGGCTGTCGATTGATAGAGGGGATATTGGGGTCGGGCGGCGGCGAGTGGTCTTCCCATGGTGCGATGTTTGCGCGAGCGTTGGAGGGGGCGGGCTTGGGTAAGATGGTGCCGGGTGAGACCTCTGAGTCTTGCCGGTCGAGGCTGCGAGTAGAAGATCTAATGTTAGCGAGTCTGTCTTGCATCAGGCTGAGCCGGCGGCGGTATGCGCGCAACATCCAGCCGGCGTTCGCGTCGCGACGACCGACACCATCTCTTTGCTCTTGCGGTACATCTCTTGCGCCGAGGACATTTACTGAGCTTCTTGCCAGGCGACCACATGGTACGTCCTTGTCCGCCTCAACCTTGCTCGATGCTCCCGCTAAGCTCCCGTTGCCCCATACACTGCGCGCATGGCCGGATGTTGTTCACCTCACCACCCCCCAGCTCATCCACTCATTCAAGCGGGATATACATACTGCTGTCTCTTGGTGTGCAGCTTCAGAGGCGCGCCTCGTACCGTTGCGAAGCTGGAGAAGGGCCCGCGCACGGTGTCGTTGCTTCTCGTCGAGTCGGCGCCGGTGCTGCCATGGCGCTGGCCGTCGGAAGAGGAGGAGTCGTTGTTGCTGTGGTTGCGAAGGGTCATCCTCGCCCTCGACCCCGTCGTCGCTCAGCCCATGGACCGTGATATATCGCCCGGGTGGGTGGTGAAGTGGCTTCCTGAGGCCGACGCATTCGAGTTTCGCGGGCAAAAGCACGACGTCTCCCCAAGGCTGGCTGGCTGGCTGGCTGGCTGCTGGTGCTGGTCAGCGAGATGCGGGCGGGCGCAGGCGTTGATCCCAAACCAACACCCAGCTCCAGCGCAAGCACGCTGCCACGGTCCGATCCGAGAGGCGTTCGCTGAGGAATCGATCCTGGTCTCCTTTCTCCAAAATACCGCCATGCAATGGTCAATAAATATTCGATATAACGAGGAAGTGTAGAAGCAGGTATGTTTGGAGTTGTTTGGCATGAATCAAGCTCCGCCTCACTGTTGGTGTTCAAGCAAGCTGGGTTCGTTTCTTGTTCCGAGGCGCATCTGTCTCCACACGGCTGCACCGCACGCTGTGTTCCAGACTCTCAAAGAGGCTCCTTGGCCGCCTTCAGCATCATCAATCACTTATCCCACAGCAGTACCTTTCTCCTCCAACTTCACATCTCCCTTCACCATCAAATCTAAACCCAAGCCATGATTCACAAGTTCTCTGCCTCAGGCCGTCAAACACCGCCCCTCAGACCCCAAGGCTGAACAGCGAGACCCCCTGCATCGTTACACAGCGAACAAAGAAACCAAGCGGGAGGCAAGCTGCACTGTCCTGCACCCAACCCGTGCATCTCCTGCATTCCTTGGGGAAATAGTCACGACTACTGAAAGCATAGGCCAGGGGTTCGTCGTGGGGCAAATACTCGACCAGCTAACCGACGACATGCCAACGTTTGCCGTTATAGTATAGTAGTTGAATCGAGAGTCTAGTCGAAGAAGCCGAATGTACGGGCGTGATCGGTCTCTCCGGTGCAGACTCAGCCTCTCATCCAAAGTATTTGTTACGCAGCCCGCCGCTCTCCTCGCTACCAAACTCGCTTCCTTCGTAGGTACAAGTACAAGTAAATTTTGGAACTTGATGACCGGCTCAAGTGCTCTATCACATACACAGCGTACGCAGAACACTCCATCTACTCACCCGAACAACTATTGTGACCGGATAGAAGCATGAAATGTTTTCACTCATTCCCAAAAGCTCTGGATACGTTCGACTAAGGGGGTATCAAACTAAGACACAGCAACCACAACGATCAATCCCTTTCTCTCTTCCCTACGAAATCTGCGGCTTGTTCCCCATATTCACACTGGGCGGTGGACCCGGATCCGTCTGCGCAGGATAAGGCAACTGCCTCCCCAACTCGCCCATATTCATAAACGTCCTGGGCCCGTTACTGTTCTGCTGGGGATTCGCCATCGACGGCGACTGTGCATCGGGATATGGAAGGCCACTACCATTACTGGGCGCGTTGACGGGTGTCTTGGGCGGTACAGGAGGTGGTGAACTGGGTGGTTGGAAGTCCTGACTTTGTCTTGGGGAGTTGGTGTCTTGGTACGAGTTCTCCGATAAGCGCGTGGAGTCTCGGTATCCGGACGATGGTCGTGCTGCGTGTTGCGCGGGTGAGTTGTATGGTGAGTTGTCGTAGCTATGCGGTGCGTTGTCGTAGCCGTTGTTGGATACGGTGTACTTCTGATCGGCGATGCTGGGCCGATGCATGTAGTGACTGTCCGGCTGAACGGTATACTTCTGATCTGCCAGACTCGGCCTATGCTCATACGCTTGCCCAGGCCGGTATCCATCATCGCCTGGAAGCTCGACTGCGAAGTTGGCTGGTGGTGGTATGGTGTTGATTGGTCTGTCCCAGGGATTCTGATTCTGCTGCCAGTTCTGTTGGTACTGTGGACCATCTGTCCCAGCTTGCCGTCTGGCTTCGGCACGATCAATTCTGGCTTTGGTAATATGAATCTTTGCGATCTTTGTTGCTGCACCGAGGCTGATTGACTGGACATCAGCCTTGGTCAGATATGATCGAGTTTTGGTGCTGATTTCAGAAAGTCGGTTCCACTCGTTCATCCCAAAGTCGCCAACCCCTACTTCGACATTGAGCCGGTAGTAGTGCTCTGGATTGACGCCTCGTGCGGCCAAGTGTTCCCTCAGCATGAATTTGTGCGAGTCTTCGCAACCCTCCAGCTTCGCAATGAGCCTCCTCCTCGCTTCAGCAAATTCCCCCATGGATCCGCCCATGAAGTCCTCCCACCATTCGTGCTGTTTTGCCCCAGTACCTGGTGGACGCTTGCCAGTTCCAATACTCACAAAGACTCCCACTTCTCGTCCGGGCCACTCGTTTTGTACAGCTTCGTCCAAGATCTGTGGTGACGGGTTGTATTTACCAGCTCCTTCATCCAGATACACCGACTGACCAATCTGAATCGGCTTGAAGGCCATCTGAGTAGCTGATGTCGCTCGGCCCGCCTGCCAGATTGTGCAGTTGACGTCTGGCGCTGGTTCCTTGCGCGAATCATACGATCGGAGGAGCGTGATCACTGAGGTGCCTTTGAGTACAGCTGTGACCGCGGTCTTTGTCCTCTTCTCGCGTGTGTCGTACAGGAGTGCATTCGGATTTCCTCTGCTCAAGAATCCAATCGAGGACCGATTGTTGCTCATCGGACTCATGCCAATCTGACTGTATCTGCTGCTTTGGCTCATTGACCGGTGTGGAATAGAGGATGCGATGGTCGATGGTGTGTTTGGCGACATGGGAGTCGCATTTGCCAGGGAATCGTTCCCCTCATCTTCAAAGACAGTATGCTCTCGCACGACCTCCCTAATCACCTCTTCCAATTTGCTCGCCTTGAACATAGTACCTCGATATGGCATTCCCAGGAAAGTCTTGTCCGACTCAAACACCCTCTTGGTCATGCGCACATACAAGTCCTTGCAAGTATCAAGGTCCAGCCGTAGTCTTCCCAGCATTATAGCAATCAACCCGCCAGTACCAGTGCCCGCGATCAAATCGAAGTGGTCGCATGGCTTCGGTATCTCGTGCCGTTGTGGTGCTCTTCCCTCTGTCTCCACGAATGTCCTGTGCATGAGCTCTTGCAGGATGATCAACATCGAGTATCCTCTGACTCCGCCGCCATCCAGACTGAGGATTCGCAACGGCGGGCCTTTGGTGGTGTCTGCGCGCTTAGGCCGGTCGTTCATGTTTGCCCTCGTTGGCGGCTCTTAGGCCGCACTATTGTCGTTATTCAAGTCGAAACTGTCGCGTGCGTGCTCTGGCTGTGGGCGCGGGGTGTCGAAACCGTTGTATAGCGGTTGTAGGTTCGGATGCCTTGTCGCAAAGATCGTGAGGCGGAGGTTCGCAGAGGAGTTACACGCCGAGGTTGCTTGCCTTCCGCGACAGTGTGTAAGTTGTTGTTAAGCCGACGAGGCAATCCAGCAAAGGCTGACTGTAGTATTCGGGCTGTCCGAGTGACGCTGTTACAGTTACACGAGGCCACAGGGCAGATGCCTGAGTGAATGGCGCACACGAGCGAGGATGCAGTCAGTAGTAGTCAGCCGGACGTGGGCGGCGGCTCAAGCAATGCTCGCTTCCTTAAAGCAGCGAGTAGAACACGATCCGATCTCGTATGGCTGTGGCCGTTTCAGGAAACAAGTCTCGAATTCGCCATGAGCATACGATGGCGGGTCAACGAGTTTCCGTCAATTCTCTGCGGTGATTCGCCCAGCCTGCAACTACGTCAGCCAGCAGGGTTGGCGAGCGTACGAGAGCTCGCTGAGGCTGTGTCGACTGCGAGACTCTCACCGCACCACCTCCTACATCGACGACGACTTGGTCTATGGATGTGCTGAGACGGGTCGGTTCAACAGTCGAATGCGATCCCAAACGGAAGTCGATGAACTTTTCGACCGTGGTAGTGACAACGGACCGATGCCGCGAGCCGAGTGAATGTACAACGAGATGCGGTCATGTCCCAGACTTACCACGCGACATGGAGTCGAGAAAGGCAGAGGTTGGCAACTACCTCATCAATCGCATCGACTGGAGGGCGTCAAGATTGAACAGACATGAGGTGAGGTCGCTTCAAATTGGAAGGCTCTTTGATGAATAGACGTCCGTGCGTCAACGCCTTTCTTGAACACCACCATCTCCTACTCTTCATACCACACCATCTTCAAATGCCACACCCTTACACGGAACGCCTTATAACCAGTCTCGCCTCGCTATCAGCGCCATCCAGCGACTCGGATGCATTCCTAGAAGACTGGAAAGCATTCCTGCCCGCGGCACCGACGAGAGGAAGCAAATCACGGACGACAATATTGATGCATACCAACAGTCTGTGCCTATAATCCTTGACTTCGTCTCCCCGCCACGTGGAGTATATGACAGGATCCATATCACGGGGTCCAATAAAGACCGTTCACGCCCTTTGGAATGTAATCCACAACAAGACCACAGAGCCACAGCGCAGCGGTGCTTGAGCGGTCAGAGGCCAGTCCAACAGATCCAGTGTCGTGGTAACTATCCGGCTTCTCGATCCTCGCGAGGACAACCCCTTGAGTCCTTGACGACGACGACGATGATGGTGATGATGTTTCAACAGAAGACTCTTCTCCATCATTCTGTCGGCAGTCGTGTTAGTTCCATCGGTATTTCCTGATTCTTCGATTTTCGATCTCCGTCAGATGTGAAGATCTTGAAGTCTATTCGCTTCTAACGACAGTTGACCAAACACGCACTGCACTACCACAACGACGAAGCAGTGCAAAGGGGATGTCACAACTCTGATGCCACATCATCCTACATGCTTGGGCGATCGCACAGCTGATTTCTCTCACGACGAGTACTTCGCCAGAATCTATTCGCTGCAAAAACCTCCATCCAAACGCCCCAGTTGGTGGTGTTGCGCTTATGACTCCGGATCGATCAACAACCCTACGTGCTTTCACAACTGCGCCCAAAAGGGTCAAGCCAACGACCAGAATCGACTCCACTTGCACCGCTCTCACACTTGTCGGGGAGATCATGTACGGGCCTTACCTGCATATGCAGGGCCGTGCGCAATCACTCTTAGCTGTCGCCTTGCGAGGTGACAAAGACATCGACATAGAGTTGATCTTTGCATCGAAGTGACGACCTTGCCAGCACGCACTGCCTCGTCGTATGTCTGGGCGCTTTGGGGGCTGCTGATGACAAAATGCTGGCTAGAGTGGATGGATCTTCGACGTCGGCCTATCCTGCCGACGATAAGGATGAACACCTAGCCCGATCCTAACCACTCTTGCGACCCCGCAGCACGTGAGGAGGAGCACGCCAGGTCTGCTATCCCATGGATGAGGCCGTCGGTTCCTGGCACAGAATGCCGACAGGGCGTGGGATTCGGACACACCTCTGCTCATCTAATATCGACGACACGCGAGGGCATACAAGCCATTGAGCGAGCTGCAAATCAAGGAGGCCCCCAATCCAGCAAGTAATCTGCAAGATGAAGATCGAAAAGCTCTACACCTACCCAGTCAAAGCCCTCCGGGCAGTAGAGCTGGACTCAGTCCAAGTCACCAAACATGGCTTCCCCCACGACCGCCGCTTCATGGTCCTGCAAGTCCTGAAAGAAGACGACGGCTCCATCAAGTACAAGAACATCCACGTAGCGCACTTCCCGGAAAGCGTACGCTTCTTCCCTAGCCTGGACCTCGAAGGGGAGCGTGTCAAAGTCACCTACAAGCCTGCCAACGGCGGTGAGGAGAAACATGTCGACTTTCCTCTGTATCCAGAGACGGACGATCTCGACGCTGTCGAAGTCGACATGCACAAATCCCCCACCAAAGCCTACAAAATGCCCCAAAAGTACAACGACTGGTTTTCGTCCTGCTATGGCTTCGAAGTGATCCTCGCCCATCTAGGCCGCAACTACCGCGCAGTCCTCATGTCCACAAGCCACAACAAGCAAACTCCCCAACCCTCCAACAACTCAGCAGGAAGCTGGCTCTCCACCATAACCTCCACCGCAACCTCCTACCTCACAGGCTCCAACAAAGAAAACGCCACCCCAGCAGACCTTAACATCCTCACCTTCAACGACTGCGCGCCCTACCTCATCGCCTCCGCCCGCAGCATGGACGACCTACACCACCGCCTCGGCGACTCCCCCAACACAAAAATGGACATCCTCAAATTCCGCCCCAACATCATCCTCTCCGGCGCCTCCGAACCCTGGGAAGAAGACTACTGGGGTGAACTCACCATCACCTCCCCATCTTCCCCCCAAACCAAAATCTCCTGCATCCACAACTGCGGCCGCTGCAAATCCATCAACATCGACTACGACACCGGGGCGCCCTCCACGGGGCCCGAGGGGAACATGCTCAAGCAGATGCAGCGAGATCGCCGCGTGGATCCCGGGACGAAGTGGAGTCCGATTTTTGGGAGGTATAGTTTTTTGGGGGAGGGGTGTGAGGGGAATGTGGTGAGGGTTGGGGATGAGGTGGTTGTTAGTGAGAGGTTGGGGGAGAGGACGAGGTTTGGTGAGTTCTTGTCGTTTGCTTCGTTCGTGTGTATTTGGGTATATTTTGCTGACCGTGAGGTGTTTTCACAGATTGGGAGGGTCTGGCGACGACGTAGTGTAGTCTTTCATCATACACCTTCATATCAAAGTCGTCATATCGCTCCACAATACCGCCAATCAAATTCTTCTTCCTCAAAATCATCGCCATCAACAATATCATTCTCCCTCCCCTTCTCACCTTTCCCTGTTCCTTTCCCCTTCTCCCCACCACCACAATCCACCAACCCCCTAATCCCCTCCAACAACTCCCCCGCCGCCCCAATCTCATGCCTCAACGCTGCCATCCTCCCTCTCTGCAAAATCACCGACGCCATCAACTCCTCAATCGCCTCGAAGGAGATCTCCAACTTCCGCATTGTAGTCCGCAGGACGTGCCAGCCAAGGCCGGAGTTAGGGCTGTCGAGGTTTCTGAAGTCCGAGTTCAGGTGGCTTGGGCGTTGGTAATGATCTGCAAGTCCGCCGGACGGAGGCGAGCATTGTCTGAGGCCGGTGAGGGCTTTGGAGATGCGGTGCGTGATTTCGATGTAGGTCGTTGGTGGTGGTATCGCTGACTTCTTACTTCCGTCCGTTTTAAGATCGGCAGCACGCTTGGCGGGACCTGTCGCTGGGATACCATTCCACGCGGTGTAGATGATCCAAAGAGAATCGACATGCTGACTCGGCAGCCAGAGCTTCAGCGGATCAACATCACGGCCGAACGTCGTCTCGAGACTCAACAGTCCCTTGTTTGCATGATCCAACGCAGACACCATGTCAGCAACAGCTTGCTCGAACGTGATTCGGTGGTATGCTCCGGAGCGTTGTTGTTGGGCTGAGGTAGTACTGTTACTACTATTCGCTGGAAAGTCTCGTCGACCGTTCGGAGACATCGACCGCCAACGATCGGAAAAGTCGCCGCCTCCATCAGAGCGTTGCTGCTGGGCGTAGGAATCGAGGCCGTTGGGGAATCTTCCAAACATGTTTCCTTGCGTGCGGGCAGTGAAGAGGCCGTCTGAGTGCGTGCGTGATGGCGGCGCTCGCCGATGGGAATAGCCGCGCAGTGGCTGGCTCCTTGATGCATGGTCCTTTTCGCGCATGGCTTCGAAGTCTCTCGAGCTGAACATATCGTTGAGCCGTTGAGTCGATAGATATCATTGATGAAGGTGTACGGGTGGAGATTGTTGCGGTGAGCGCTTGCGGTTTGCGTGAGCTTGTGTAGTATCATCACATCTTCGTGTCCTGCTGCCTCCCGCTTGGTGCGACGCAATCAGCCAGACTCCCGAGACACGCATGACCTGCAAGTCTGCGGAGTGCCGGCCTGGCTTAATGCGATGTCTTGCATGATCGAAAGTGACGGATTGCTGGTCGAGGTGTCTGGAGAGGGCGAATGTGTCGAGTGGTTCATGCTTGTAGCGTAGCTGGGGAGTTCGGGTTCGTCGAGCTCGTCTATCGTTTGTCAGTATTATTCGCGCAAGCAATGACAATATCTGTTACCTTCGATCAGCACAGGGCCCCCCGGATCACGTCGCTCTCCCCTGATCTCTTCCAACGACGGTATGCAACACTGTCCACGACAGTAGGTATTCATTCGACGAGTCTCGAGTTGATTGCCGCCGCGTTCGAGCCAGGCCGTCTGACTGGTGTTTTCTGTAATCGTACACTTAGCATAGTCATCGCAAGCACTCACATCACTACTTGCCTTCGTTCCATTCGGTGATCTGCTGGCGAAGGTCAACCCACTCAGCCCGAACCTTGCCCCGGGGGAAGCTTGATTGTGGTAGAGGGAGACTATCTTGCGGTGGCTCGTGACTGGAAGAAGACTTTAGCCCATTTGGATCATCGGGGTCGGGCGATCGCTCGCCTCTTACAGTTTCTCTCAGGCTGCTTGTGGGACCTGACTCCACTCGTCGCATGTATTGGCTGGAATTTGGTAGCTGGGGCCCTGCATGCCAGATTCCTTCTTGTCTAGGGTTTCGCGACAGTAACGTGAATGCGGACTGGCGGATGGTAGGGTTTCGGCATCGTGAGATGGCCATCCAGAGAGGATCGGTCACCCATAGGGAGAAGGACAGGTATGGCGTACCCGAGTTCGGTCCCGAGAGTGTAGGAAGAGGCGGGCATGAGAATGATGCCAACACTTCCCTGGCGAGGTCGACAATCGCTCTGAATTCGGACTCATACGCGTCGTATGCGACCGGTCCTGCCGACTGGTCGACAGACGCAAGCATGGTCCCCACGAGGTGGTTGGCTTTCAACACCATTGCGCGCTTCAGATCCATGTTCGTCATGAAGTCACGCTGGTCCGAAAGGAACGACGTGAAGGCAGCCTCCCATTGTGAGAACCATGGTGCGTATCGCAAGTACTTCTCAGCCATCGTCACGGCGATGTGGTCCCGCGGCGCGGTCGGATGGAAGCCCTGCATGAAGCGCATGACGCTGTTCAGCGCGGTGTGCAGCGTGTTGTGGGCGTGCTCGAGGCTGAAAATGTAGTCAATCGGTGGCAGTGGAGGAGTTTGTCCCGATGTATCGATCTCAGGCCGTCTGCCCTTGTCCAGGAGAGCGGTGGCTTGGACTTCGAGGCGCTCTACCAAAGGTCGCATTTGTTCGATGTCGTCCTCTTCGGCGGGCTGCATACTCGTAACGTTCGGTCGGCCAGTAGCTTGCAGGAGACGTCTTCCTTGAAGCGCATGGTTGACGGCACTGTCGCATCGACCTTGCATGGCTTCGAAGCAAGTGAAGAGGACGCAGGTCGTCAGAGCGAGTCGAGAGCTGGGAATTCTGCGACGGTTTGGATCGTACTCGGTGGCCTCGTCATTAGTTAGACATGAAATGGCCTTGTTGCATTGATTGAGCGCAAACTCCATCGCCTTGGCCTTTTGCTTGTCGTCAGCGAACGCACGTTGCATGATGCACTCGTGCAGAGCCCCTATGGCAGTGATTGCGTGGCGAATGGCAGGCTCGTGGTATGATGTCTGGATGACCATGCGCTGCCAGAAGGCCGAGTCGAAGAAACCGGCCATTTGCGGCGCGCTGAAGTTCACGAAGAAGTTGAGGCAGTGTCGCTCTCGCCAGCTTCGTCGCCACTTCATGTCAGGTCGGAACAAAGTCAGGCTGTCAGGCGTAGGGTAGCCATCCTCATCATCACCGTTTCTCGAGCCCGAGTTCAAAGCCCAGTCGTCTGACATGGCCATTTTACATTCTGGGTTGTTTGGGTCGCATTTGATACCCTTGATACTGCTTCACGTCAGATGTGCTTCACGCGGTATGAGACGAGGCACCTACAGGCACGGGATACATCCTGTCTGCATCTTTGTTCGCGAGATCTCTTCTATCGAGTCGTCCGACGATCTGAACGTGACCGAGCCGTCTTCATTCTGCGAGAAATCGGGGGTGATGAATCCCATCTGCGGTGTCACATTCATGCCATTCATGCCCATATCCTCCAACAAGTCCAGGCTGTCATCCCAAGCCACGTCCAGCGTCTCTTGCACCGGCGTTGCAGCCTCGTCGAACGTGCGTTTTCGCGAATTGTGGCCATTGACGGCGCCATTGCCGTTCGTCATGCTGTGTCCATTGATGCCGCTGCTTCCGTTGCTGCTGGACATGGGCGGCGGCGTGCGCAGCTCCAAGTCGAAGCCATACCAGCTGCCGTCCGATTCCTGCTGGTCGTGCATGTTCGTTTCGGCGGGTACGGTCATGGTGCTCATTCTATGGGTTGTGGTGATGGCGGCGCTCCTGGAAGAGGAGGACTGTCGGTGTCTGCCCCCACGTGGAGAGCTTCTGCTGTCTGCGTCGTCCTGGGAGTAGCTTCTCCAGGCCTCGCAACCGTGACCTTGCGGAGGTCTCGTCTCGCGTCGACTCGTGCCAGCGACAATTCAACTCAGCGCACTCGAGCGCCTGGGTGGATACGCATTCGATCAGGTAGGATATCGATAGTATAGAAAGACACAGAAGAGCTGAGTTCACGGCGACACGTCGACAGGACTGACAATGATACAGGGAAGAGGAGAGGTGCAAGCAGGTGATAGCTGGCGCGGGCCAAAAGGTTAACGGTGGAAATCGGCGGCGCCGTTGGGGTTCTAAACACCGTGGCCGGCAACAAGCATCGCTGGGTTTGGACGCTGGCCCTCAGCCGCAGAGACAGTCGCTGCTTCTCGACTGTCTCGGCATGCCTAGCCTGCAGCAGAGAGCGTGAAGGATGCTCCGTCGCTCGTCACCCTGCGCATGCCCATCTCCCGCCGGCCAGCAGACGCTTTCAGCTGTCGTGGCGGTATCGCCCACCTTAGTCACCCCATCCTGGCGGCAACGCCCGTCGCAGGCGGTGATGCTGTAATGTCCACAGCGACGGGGGCTCCTCCACAGCCTGGCCGTGGACATGTCTTGACGAGGCTCTTTGCTCTATAAGCAAGATAAGCAAGGCAAGTCGGACGTTCGACCAAATTCCGTCCTTGGCCCATCCGGACGATCGTTGTGCACAGCGTTGGTAATCAGCTCTCTCTGCGCGCTTCTTCACAACATTGTCCAGCCCGTCGCCGTGGATAGTTTCATTTGGGAGTCTTCGTGGTGCCTGCAACGGGCGAGATCGATGTGGATCACCTCGGCCAACTCTGCTGCTAGGGGCTGGCCTGTGAGCAGCGATGCGAGAGTGAGATGGATTGATGTACTTCGATCGGAGTCAGCAAGCCGCGACACATTACCTGGCCGTCGTGGTCTGGTGGCAACGACGGTCTGGACTGTCCAGTGTCAGACTCGATCGCATCCTCAGTGCGATGGTGTTCTGGATGTGAACGGTCCTTGACTTCTGTCACGGCCTCAAGCGGGATAGCTGTGTTCCGACTGGACCGCTTAGTTCGCTTAAACTACGACTTTTGTTCACCCCTCGGCCAACTCTATTAGCTATCGACAACGCACTTGACTTTCAATCACAGGATTGTCTGCAGCATCTTGAGCGCGAGAGAGTCCGTCCGTCAGCCTGAGAGGATTGCAATGCGGCCATGCTCGTCCGCCCTCATGCGCCCCGAATAGCATCTTCTACCTTCGGCCACGCTCCCCCGAGAATACCGCACGTCCCGAACGCCCTCCTCGCCCGACCTGGCTCACGCGACTACAGCGCGGAGCCCACGGCCTCGCACGATGTAGCAGTTCTGGGTGGCGGTATTACTGGCCTTGCCTGTGCCTACTATCTAACCCGTGAGCTGCCGACTGCAAAGGTCACGATCTACGAGGCAAAAGACCACATTGGAGGATGGCTACAGTCCAAGCGAGTCCCCGTTAAGGGCGGCTCTGTCCTCCTTGAATCTGGCCCTCGTACCCTTCGTCCACAGTCCAATGGGGTCCTGACGGCGAGTTTGGTACGGAGTGAATCATCACCATCAGTTGGTCTGGAACAGTCGCTGATGGATACCTAGATTCAAGAGTTGGACTTGACAAAGGACACAATCTTCACGCAAAAGCAGGCACCTGCGGCTCGCAATCGCTATGTCTACTATCCCGACCACATTGCCCGGATGCCCCATCCTTCGCATGGCCTTTGGGAGAATGTGATGAATTTGCTGAGAGAGCCTGTGTTTCAGGGTGCTTTGTGGGCTGGGGCTGCAGAGTTCTGGAAAGATGCGCGGGATCCTGGCGTGCAAGATGAGAGCGTTGGAGACTTCTTTTCCAGGCGCTTCAGCAGCAATTTGGTGGACAGGATGCTGAGTGCCGTCATGCACGGCATATACGCTGGGGATGTGTATAAGCTCTCTGCCAGAAGCCTCTTTCCAGGCGCCTGGCGAGATGAGGGTCAGTACGGCAGCGTACTGCTGGGCATGATGAAGGCCGCAACCGAGGGTTTCGAGATGACCAAACGTGAAGCCGATTTCCTACAAGAGATGAAAGGCTTCCCTTGGGACCCTCTGCTCAAGACTACACTGAGTGATAACTCTGTCTTCACATTCAAAGATGGATTGGGTATGCTCACAGACAGGCTCTACTCGAAACTCTTTGAGACTGGTCGCGTGGATTTCAAATTCGGCACTCCTGTGAGCTCGGTTTCGCAGGCTGAGGGCAATACGGGCGTCCAGTTGTCCTTCGGCGGAGCTTCGAACACGAGGAGACACTCTCATGCTGTGTCTGCGCTCTCCCCCAAGCAGCTGAACAAGGCCACGCGACAACCGCAACGTTCACAGCTGATCCCCGAGATCCCCAGTGTGACAGTCATGGTTGTCAATCTTTATTTCCGTTCGCCTGGCCTCCACGAGCCTGGGTTTGGATACCTCATCCCCCGAGCTACGCCTTTCGAAAACAATCCAGAGCGTGCTCTCGGTGTAATCTTCGACAACTCCTATTCTCCAGGTCCGGACGATGTCAAGGAACTTTACTCACAGGACTTGAACATTGACGAATTAAAAAAGCTGCGAGCATCCGACAACCAGATCAACATCAACGGCTTCAGCTGGTACAACATGCCAGACAAGCCGCACACACAAGATCGCCTGTCTCAACCCCAAGGAACGAAGTTCACCGTGATGCTCGGCGGGCATTGGTGGGATGATTGGCCTGCGTACCCTGACGAAAAGGAGGGTTTGGCCATGGCAAGATCGCTACTCCAACGCCATTTAGGTATTACAGAGGAGCCGGAAGCATGGCAGGTAACCCTGGGCAAGGATTGTATTCCTCAGTACACCGTAGGGCATGAGCAGCGGTTGAAGCAAGCACACAACAGCATCTGGGGAGAATACAAGGGCCGCTTACGTGTCGCAGGCAACTGGATGTCGGGCGTGGGTGTGAACGACTGCTTGCGTAGCGCTCGTGATATCGCAAAGAACTTCAAAAGAGATGCGACCGGACTCGAGCATGTGGGGGAAGTGCCCAATGTTAGGCTCAAGCCTGTACGAGGTGGCCAAAAAGTAAGTGATGAAGAATAGAGATGTACATTATTTACATACAAAAAGGAGCATGCAATATGAATGGCTGGCTCGCCGCATTCAGCACAGGTGAAGTCGAAAGGCGAACCCCACGTTTGCGTCAACGTCACCTGATGATGAACATCAACTCTCCATGGTCAGCGACGACGCTTGTTTCGCACAGCTCCCTTCTCGTTTCCAGCCATCAATTTGATATCAGACTGCAACAAATTGACAGCTGACACGGGCCACCGCAGACTCTTCGGGCGCTGGCACGACTGACTCTTGGGCAACATCCAACTGGCCTGGATTGGGCAGCAAAAGGCAAACAAAGCTGCACTTCGCCGCCGTCTCACCGGCCCTTTGCGTAGCTTCACAACCAATCAATCCGTGCTTGCTTTGGACGAGGCTGCGTGGCTGAAGCCCGAACAACACGACCTTTCTTCACGTCAAACCAACGACAGGTCTATCCATTCGACTGTCCTGCCCAACACCAGCGACTCCGTCAATAGCCCAGCACTTTACGCCGGCATTCCTTGGGATACTCGAACCACGCTTGACCTCACTTTCCGGCCTGTGACAGAAGACGACGCGCTCACTCGCCCCGCCCTCGCATCACTTTTTGGCGCGTCCCAGCAGCGAATGCCTGTCACATCCCAGATTCAGATTTAGCAAGAGTCAGGCTCCCACAGGCACTTGGGCCAACACGACCAGGTTCGAGGATTGAGGCACCACCACCCATTCCCAACGCAATCTGACGGCATTGGGCGAGATTTCCAGAACCCAAAGTGACCACACACACGAGTAGCATCGGCACGCCTCCTGCATCATTTCTCTCGCTGCCACGCTAGCGATCAAACTTGGCCGGATTCACTCCCTCGCCCTGGATTTATTTTGATTGACGTATTGCGAGACCATGGCCATGCCCGGCCGCTATGATGCACGTGATGGCGGACACGTCTTCACGAGCATTGGATCAGGCAGCCAGCCTACGAGGACGACTCGCACTTGGACGCAGGATGGTGTTCATTACACTGTAGATACTACCAGCTGGTCGAGTCCTGGCCTTTCTTTTGGAGCCATGACTGGCAGCGCGAATGGAAGTCTTGGTCGGAGTTTCACCACGCCGGTTCGACCAGCTGTGAGGTCGGGAGGTGGTGGTCTTTTTGGAAGTGCATTTGGACTGCTGGAGGATATGCTGTCTTTGCAACAGCAGCGACACGCCGTGGCTCAAGGAAACATGGGTCAGACCCCAAATGGCCGCCGGCGAGTTCATGTGGAGGTAGAGAGCGATACCGATGACGACTTGGCGTACGAGTATGACGATCGCTCGAGATCGAAAGGCGTGTTTTCGAGGCTGAAAGACAGACTCTTGGATGGGAAGCACAAAACTCGCACCCGGGATCATACCTCCAGTCGTGAGCAGTCGCCAGCGAGACGACCGAGACCCGATCGAAGACACAGCTCTTACCGTACGGAGACGAGAGAGCCTTCTCTGTCCCAGCAGCGAGGACGTCCAGTAGATCGGTTCGTGGAAGTGGACTACGATGAGGACGATGAAGATGAAGAGATGGACTACTCTCCTCAGCGCCCAAAACGTGACAGCCACATGCAGATGGATATGATAGAGGCGCTGGAGAATGCCGTGGAGATCGAGAGACGGCAAGTACGAGATTGCAAGAGGCATCTTGAGCAGGCAACTCGACAACCAGCCATCAGTTCGCACTATCTACAGCGACTGCTGGATGATCTTAAGAAGCACGAAACTGCCCTTTTAAATGCTCAGACCAACTTGGACGAGATGAAAGCGAAGCAGAGAAGTTCACGCCCACGCCCAACATCATATCACCAATCGCGAGTACCGCAACCTCAACAGCCAGCGTCAACAAGAACCATGGACGACAACATGTTTGGATCGTTTGGCATTGAATCTGACCCCTTCTTCGGACGTCCACAACCACGATCGCAGCATTCAGACCCCCTTTTCCAGGCCTTCCAGGACATGCACTCCTTTGACCCATTCGGCCGCGGGCCATTCGGAGCCTTCGACCAACTCTTCGAACAAATGCATCCTGCTGCGAACGATGCTCACTTCCGCTTCTTCACCAACACTGGCGCTCAATCCAACCCCAACAACAACCAACAACGCAAGCGTACACGCTTCAGCACACCAAACGGAGGCACTCAATTCCCCAACACAAGCGCGGGCTTCTCTTTCCCTCCACCGCCTCCACCACCACAACCCCCCGCCAACCTCCTCAAACCAGACGAAGCCAAACGCCTCTTCAAAACCTACAACGACCGATGGACCGCCCTCCCCGCCACAGACGCCAACATCCCCTATCCCGCCCGCGGCCTGAAAGCCTCCTCACTCAGCGCCCGCGACTCCCTCTACGCCCCCCTCTGCGCCGCCCACCCATCCACCTGGTCCGAAGAAACCATCATGCAAGCCAACGCGCAAGCCTTCTACCTCGGCGTCGTGGGACTCTCCCCGATTTACAAAGAAGCCCCCGGCACGGGCAGGATCGAGATTGGGTTCGATAAGACGCAGGCGACCCCGGCGCAGATCAAGGATTTGGTGGATGTGTTGAAGAAGGAGAAGATGCGGTGGCATTCGGATCGGTTGGGGAGGAGGAATGGGGGTGGGGGTGGGGGCGTTATGAATGAGGTTTTGCAGAAGGATGAGAGGGCGAGGGCGGTGTTTCATGCTGTTTGTGAGTTGATGGAGAATGCGCAGTGAGTGAAGACCGTTAGCCTTATGGGATGGAAGCGAATTACAAGTGCCTTATTTCTTTGAGTATTTCAAATTTCACTCGTATATGCAACGACTCATTCCAAAACCCCTCAACATGCAGTAGATTCCCCAACATCGCCCCATAATCCCTTCTCCAACATCTCACCCCAACCACCATCCCTCCCCTCCCCCCTCCACCATCAACCTACAACCTCCCCCTCTCCTCCCTAACCCAAACCCCCCTCCTCCCCTCCCTCATCTGCGCCCTCAAAACCCTCCTCAAAATCTTCCCACTCGCACTCTTAGGAACCGCCTCACAAAACTCCACCTCCTTCACCGCCTTATACCGCACCTTATTCTCCCTCACATACCTCAGCACCTCCCTCCCAAGTTCCTGAGAAGGCGTCTGCCCCGGCTTGACAACCACATAGGCTTTCGGTACCTCGCCCGAGTAGTCGTCCGGAATTCCCAGTACGGCGACGTCTTCGATCGCCGGGTGCCCGAGGAGGAGGTCTTCGAGCTCGGCCGGCGCGACGCCGATGCCGCGGACTTTGATGAGTTCTTTGATGCGGTCCAGGATGGTTATCACGCCTTCGGCGTCGATACTCCCTTGATCTCCCGTGTGGAGGTAGCCTTCCTCGTCGAAGGTCTCCTTCGTGGCGGACTCGTTGTTGAGGTACCCCATGACGACCTGCGGGCCCTTGGCGCAGATCTCGCCGGGCTCGCCGATCCCGGCTTCGCTGCCGTCTTCTTTCAGGATCTTGACCGTCGTGCTGGCGCACACAGTGCCGACGGTGTGCGCGTACTTGTAGTCGTAGAACCAGGGCGGGTGCGCGGTGATACAGCTGCACGATTCGGTCATGCCGTAGCCCTGCTTGAAGCCGGTGTTGGGGAACTTCTTCTGGAGGAGCTGCAGCACTTCGTCGGACATGGGCGCCGCGCCCGAGGAGAAGCGTTTGAGGAAGCTGAGGTCGTAGTTGTCGACGATGGGGTCCCGGATCATGCGGATCACGATGGGGGGCACGAGGAGGAGTTCGGGGATGCGGTATTCGACGACTGTGTTGAGCATGGCCTCCATGGTGAAGGCCGGGAGGAAGTAGACTTCGGCGTTGATTAGGAGGGGGAGGTGCAGGACGTGCACGAGGCCGGTGATGTGGAAGGAGGGTAGGACGGCGAGGACGCGTTTGTGGTCCGAGGGGGTGATTTGCATGACCTGGAGGCATTGCGCGATAACGTTCTGGTGCGCGATCATGACCTGTCCCGCACGCATCAGTATCACCTCAACCACACCTTTCTGGAAATACTCACAGCCTTAGGCAACCCCGTCGTCCCCGACGAAAACGACAAAAACCCACAAACCTCAAAATTCGTCTTCCCCTCCGGAATCCTAAAATACTCCACCTGCCCCTGCTCCCCGAACCCCCTCCCCTCCTCAATCAACGTCCTCACGCTCTTAAACCCCTCCAACTCCCCCTCCAGCAAGAAGATATGCTCCCTCTTCACGCCCGCCTTCTCCGCGCTCCGGATTGCAACCTCCATGCTATCCCTGTGCGTCATCAGAAACCTCGCGTCGGCTTTCTGCAGCGCGTAGCTCATCTCCTCGACGTTGTAGGCCGGGCTCGCGCCGCTGACTTTGCCGCCGACGCGCAGCGTCGCGTGCATGGCGACCGGGTACCATATTGTGTTGGCGCTGAAGAGGGAGACGGTCTCGCCTTCTTGGAGGCCGTAGTTCTTGACGAGCGCGGTCGAGAGGTGTGTGGCGGCTTCTTTGACTTGGAGGTAGGAGAGGCGTTCTTTGCTGATGGCGTCTGTGAAGCCGCCGAGTTCATTCTGCGGGTAGCGGTGCAAGGGCGAGTAGGTTGGGTGTTCGAAGAGCCATTCCCAGGTCGTGATATCGCGGGGGACTATGCAGTATACCAAATCAGCATCGAATGTCCAGGATGAATTGATGAATACTCACGAAGGATGTCCGGCTGCAAACTCGCAAACTGTGGCATCTTGAACAAAGAGAGAGACGGAGAGCACGTGTTATACAGTACGGAATAGACTCAAAGAAGCAAACGAGGTGTGAGTTGAGATGAACCTACCTTAGGTAGCCATGCGAGCATGCTGGGCTGCATATTGGCCTTACACGATCCTCGCGACTCGAATCCCGAGGGAAGAGGTGAGGAGAAGAGCTTCGCATGGCTGCAGCTGGGAGGTGAAGTCGTGCGGGGATGTGGACTGCGCCTAATTGCCCGAATCAATTCTAATCAACTTTTGGGGGAGGTGGAGTCTGCTTCGTGCAGGCAGGTCTGCCGAGGGCGCTAGGGATTGGAGGTGAATGAACTACATGTAGGTCGTTGCTTCGATATCGGTGTACGAAGATTTCTTTGATAAAACTAGAGACGAAAGGTAGACTCCCTACGTAGCCTTGGACTAGGAATGGCGATATGCATTCTTGAACATCTGGCTCACCTCAACCTTGCATTGCCCATCCTCAGTGGAGGCAGTGCACAACCATCTTCCTCGATCTTGCTCCAATTGCAGCAAATATCAAATATCCCCTCCCTATACAACCCACCTCTTCCACTTCACATCGCAATCAACCGAAACCTCTCCCCAGCCCCGCTCTCATCACCCTCTGCCCACCAAACTCCCATCCCCCTCCTGCTCTCCCTCGCCGCCAACCTCCTCCCCTCCAAAACCTCATTCCTCGCCCTCACACTCATCGCCACAAACGTCGTCGTCCACCAGTGATTCACCAGCGGGCCTCCCTCCCCAGGCTCAAGACTGCCCCCTTGCTCTGGAACCTCCATGTGCTCGTTCCCGAGCATCTGCGTACCCGCCAGGCTGTGTCGCATGCCGACCGTCCAGTCGATGCCGTGGCGGCTCTGGGAGACGCTGTCGAAGCGTATGGCGGCGAGCCAATCGAAGAGGGTGTGCAGAGGGGTGTTCTTGTTGGCGGGGTCGCTGGTGGGCCGGAACCAGGTCAGGGAGTAGGGATTAGGAGGGTAGCCTCTTCGCCTGGTGAGGTCGCGGAGTTCATGTGTGGGGAGGGCGCAGACGGTGGTCCAGGGGTTGATGATGTTGGGGAGGTAGAGGGTGATTTTCTTGAGGAGGGTGGGTGTGAGCCATTTCTTTCGCTGAGGGCGGCCGAGGACATGGGCTTGCGGCAGGGAGGGGAGCGGCACGAGGGTGTAGGTTCCGATGCCGGTGCATCGCCAGACGACGAGGCCCTCGAGGCCAAGTTCGTGGATGAAGTGGCCTGGGCCGTAGGTCCAGCAGTCGTACTTGTCTGAGGCGATCCGGGCCTTTCTGACGAAGAAAGGCTCGATGTCGATGTGAAGCGTTCGCAGTTCGTCTGCTTTGAGGAGAGTGCGGAGGAGGCCATCGCATTTGCCGTTGCCCTGCATGACGATGAAGGAGTCGAGAGGGTTGCGTTCGCGGATGCGCAGGTGTCTGATGAGATCTAGCTGCCCGGGCCGCCGAACGAGGTCCCTGGTCTCGCGGGAGGTGAGTGTGATGGTGTTGGTTCTGAAGAGGACATCCATCCCCACAATGTTAAGTTCTTTGTTGGCCATCATGATGCTGAGGTTTGATGAGGCAGACATGAGGGACACGCGGCGCAGTAATCGTGTGACTTGGCCCAGCTGTTTGATCGTTCTTGCACCTTTGCTGCCAGATATTGCTTCTCGTGTTGGATCGTCCCCGGCAGTAGTATCTTGTCCACCTGATGCAATCTTGGAGAGGCACCCGTTCGGCGCAAAGTCATGTACCAAGTACTCCACGATCTGCAGCAGAAGCTCAGTGGGCAGGGCCATCAACCCCGACTTCTCCTGGATTCTCTTCTTCATCGCCATCTTCCTTGCTTCTTTCTTTCGAAGAGCCATCGTCGCTAGTCAATCTCGAAGTGTGCTATGTGGTGGGGTGAGGATAGTTGAAAGTCATGCGGAAGTGAAGTTTATTCGTGCGTTTTGTCTCTTGTGCTTACCACTCGAGAAGCCGTAACAAGTCGAGCCAAAATTGTTGACGTTGACATCTTTCTTGGCGTTCACATGTTCAGATCACCTGAAATGCAATTAGCACACTGCAAGTAACCAACACACCTTCCTTCTATATCGCGATTTTGAGAGAAAGTGCATCAAACACATAATGAACGCCGTCGCTCAGATCATGGTCTCGATAGATGTGGATATAGATACAACCGCCATAAGCATGTAAAAAGCGTAAAGATGCTCGGTTCGGTGTGCTTCTCTTCGCGCCGTCGTGTATCTGGTGTTCTCCACGCCCACTCTATAACAAACAGTGAAAAGAAACCCGCTCCGTCGGGTATTGACAGCTGTTGCAGCTGTATCTTGACCTCTAGTCTCCTCTTACACCCCTCTATCCCGCTGAAGCTCCGATTCTTGGTATTACCCTGCTCTTGTATTTTGCTCGCAGTGTTGTAGGTTGACTGGCGTGCTTAGTGGGAGCCAGTCTTGCCAGCCCATTCATTCCACTTGTCCTGTGCAACCTTGCTTGGGTCGTATTGCGATGGGACCACGCCGGCGTGCGAGACACCACCAAGCAGCACGATAAGGGTAACAATGACGAGTCCAAAGATAATCAGTTTCTTGACCGCAGGATGGCGCACACCAAAGTCCGCCCAGCCGCGTTGCATCTGGCCAAAGTGTTCCTTGAGCTTTTCCGCACCAAGCTTGTAGTAGACAAGACCTGCCAGGGCGATGGAGTAACCGAAGGCTTGGATGCCAGAGACGGGATCGCCGAAGATGAGCATGGAGGCCCCAACGAGGAGAATGTCCTTGAGGACGCCGGACAGGGTCATGACGAGGGAGGAAGTCTTGCCGATCTGGACAATCATGTCAGCACCGATCTGTCTGCAATGCTCCGTGCCATGCTTACCAAGAACACCACTGAAACGTTTAGCAGGAAGGCAATCATGGCGTTGACAAGCAGAGTGAAGTATCCAACGTTCTGAATGTCCGCAAGTGTCATCTTTGGCACTTCCACGACCAGCGCGGTGAGACCGTTCATGATGGCACAAGCTGGAGCGAAGTAGTAGAGCGAGACGAGTGGATCCATCTTGAACTCAGCGCTAGAAAGCAGGCGCTGGACCATGACCAGGCGAGTGGCCTCGAAGACGATACCACCGACCTGGTAGAGGAAGCCGGTCATGTCGAATTTGATCTCGCCGTACGAAGCGATGATGACTCCAATCACGATGAGGGAGACATTGCCCAGCGTCTTCATTGACGGTGGAGAGACACCGAAGATCCAAGAAGCAATCAAGACTGCAACTGGTGTGGTAGCCTAGGTATTGTCAGCGTGCCCAGTACCTCCCTCTTGTCTACTATCCTCACCTTCAACATCTGAATGAATGACACAGACAAATACAAATATGTCAAGTTGCCGCAGATCAAGCTCAGCGAGAACATGAGACCGATGGGTACGATTGCCCTGAGGTAGACCTTGCCCGTCATGGGGACCTTCTTGCGCGAATCAAGCGTGGTGGTGAAGCGAGCCATGAGCTGGGTCATGAGAGTCGCAAAGGCCAGATGCCATGTTGTGAGGGCGATTGGGTAGTGGAACTTGGCGGTATCGAGGATCCATTTGTTGAAGATGATGACACTGGAGGACAGCGATATCCAGGTCGCGATGTAGAAGGCGGGGTGGAGGGATGCCTTGGCAGGCTCGGGCTTCTCGGTGGTAGGGAGGACGGGCTCCTGAGGCTGCGAGCGCTCTTGCTCGCCCGACTGGCGCTCCTTTTCGCTCATTGTGAAGACGGCGTTTGTATCGAGGGGAGAGGGTGTCGAGCTGGCGGCGCGTGGAGGAGGATGAAGTTGGAGGGAGGACGCGGGTTGGGTCTAGATCAAGGCAAACAAGCAATTAAACGAGCAGCAGTATGTGCGACAGCAAGGAAGAAAGAAAGGAACGTCGTGGGGTGGTGTGCAGGAATGCAACAACAGCTGCGCGTGAGAGAGGAATCAAAGGATAGAGTGGTGAGGTGAGCGCCCGCCGCCGCCAGAATTAGCAGCCTCGCCTTCCCCTTGCAGAGGATTGCGTAACGTGGTAACGCCGCGTAGCGCAGGGCGAGTCCTCTCAACACGTTCCTCGCACTTGGAGGATGGTACAGTATTTGATGGGCGATTTGGTTTACGAACGCTTCGCCTCGTTACTGTCAGCCAGCCAGCCGCCAGCCGTCGGGAGGCCCGCTGTGGTCTGCTCGTGTCACGGGCGGTATGCAACACAGATGACTACACCTGCGTCCACGCATCTGCACTCCATCCAATCCGTATGGGTATACATAGACACCCGCAGGCGAGCGAATCACCGGCGCAGCCCGCCCTTCCTGCAAACGGCGGAGCAGACTGCCTGCCAGCCTCATCTTGTCTCCTGAGCGGGCTCTTGTGCGATGCGCAGGCGGTGGAGGAGACGGCCAATCGATGATGGAGTGATGGGCAGGCGAGACAGGTGTTATTACCACTCCCAGCACGGCAGATAACCGACAATCTGGCGTATTTTATCCCTTGACACTGGGCCGTTGGTGCAACCGTCATTGGGTGTTTCAGAGGCGACGCTAGCGTTGCTAGACCCTGGTGGGAGGTTCACGTCTGGGAGTGGCCACCAAAATGCGGTGGGACATTATTTGCCAGGCGCACGTCAATCCTCGCCGCTCTCCTTTCTACATAACACCCCTCTGCACCCTCACGCACTGCCGCTCGCTGTCTCCGCCAATTCCACAGCACTCCCGCAACCATGTCCGGTCACAAGAGGCAGATCTCGCGCGCCAATGGCCAGGAAATGTACGTCCAAAAAGTTCCAGCCGCAGCGCCTTCGTATTGATGCACATGCGCTGACACGAGTCCCTCGCAGCAACGTCGACGTCCTCGTTATCGGTGCCGGTCCAACTGGTCTGGGTGCCGCTAAGCGTCTGAACCAGATTGTACGCTCTCATAGGGACAAACTGCGAGAATCCTGAAGCTAACTCCCCCAGGACGGCCCCTCGTGGTTGATTGTCGACAGCAACGAGGTTCCCGGTGGTCTGGCCTCCACAGACATCACTCCAGAGGGTTTCGTATGTGTCAAACACAATCAGAGAACTTTTGACAGCCTCACTGACAATTTCCTAGCTCTACGATGTCGGTGGCCACGTCATCTTCTCCCACTACAAGTACTTCGACGACGTGATCGATGAGGCCCTCCCCAACGAGTCCGACTGGTACCACCACCAGCGTATCTCCTATGTCCGCTACAAGGGCATCTGGGTGCCATACCCGTTCCAGAACAACATCGCAGCTCTGCCAAAGGAGGACCAGGTTCCTTGCATGGAGGGTATGATCGATGCAGCCCTGGAGTCAAGAGTCGTTCGTGCCCCACCAAAGGACTTCGATGAGTGGATTCTGAGGACAAACGGCGCGGGTGTCGCCAATGCCTTCATGAGGCCGTACAACTACAAGGTCTGGGCTGTGCCGACCACTAAGGTGAGGAGAGGACAATAGTGGTGTTAAGGGGTGGATACTGATGAGGATATAGATGCAAGCTGCATGGCTCGGCGAGCGTGTTGCTGCCCCCGATCTCAAGAAGGTCACTACCAACATCATCCTCAACAGAGCTGCTGGTGGATGGGGTCCAAACGCCACTTTCCGCTTCCCAGCACACGGCGGTACCGGTAACATCTGGATCAGTGTTGCCAACACCCTGCCCAAGGAGAAGACTCGTTTCGGCAAGCATGGTGAGGTCCAGCTTGTGGACGCAGAGGGCAAGCGTGTGCTCCTTGGTGATGGCACGACTGTCAACTACCAGAAGCTCGTCTCCACCATGTCTGTCGACTTCCTCGTCGAGAGCATGAAGAACGAGGAGCTCATCAAGCTCAGCAAGGGTCTGTTCTACAGCACCACCCACGTCATTGGTGTTGGTGTCCGTGGTGAGCGTCCAGAGCGCATTGGCGACAAGTGCTGGCTCTACTTCCCAGAGGACAACTGCCCATTCTACCGCGCCACGATCTTCTCCAACTACTCGCCAAACAACCAACCTCAGGCTTCCAAGAAGCTCAAGACTCTGCAGCTCGCAGACGGCAGCAAGCCATCGAGCAGCGAGGAGAAGGAGGGCCCATACTGGAGCATCATGCTTGAGGTTTCTGAATCCAGCATGAAGCCAGTCGACCGCGCAAACCTCTTGAAGGATAGCATCCAGGGTCTCGTCAACACCGACATGCTCAAGCCTGGAGATGAGATTGTCTCGACCTACCACCGCGCCTTCGACCACGGCTACCCTACCCCGACTCTCGAGCGTGAGGGCGTGCTGAAGCAGCTTCTGCCTAAGCTCCAGGATCTCGACATCTTGTCGCGTGGCCGATTTGGCAGCTGGAGATACGAGGTCGGCAACCAGGACCACAGCTTCATGCTGGGCGTGGAAGCCGTCGACCACGTCGTCAACGGTGCCACCGAGCTTACCCTCAACTACCCCGATTTCGTCAACACCCGCGCCAACCACGAGAGGAGATTGGTTGACGGCGCTCAGGCGTTCAAGCAGCACAAGATGAACAACGGCATTCCAACCCGCCCAAAGGAGGCATAGACGGTTTTCGTGAAGAGCGGGAGTCTGGTCAAAAGAGATGGACATGAGTGTAGGGTGAATGCATGATATACCATATAGGAGTTTTGAAATGCTTGATGGGCTACTCTATTGGTGCAAGAGTGAGGAATCGCATTCTGGATGCCGGCTGGAGTGTGCGAGGAGTTGGTGTGTGTCTCCGGCACAGGCCATAGACGTAGAAAAGCAATCATTTGCTGGGCGGTGGCTCGAAAGCTCTTCCCACACACTATCCTCATCATTCACGTTTGACATCAATACTGACACTTAGGCAGAGGAGAGAAGTGAGGGATGTCAAAAGAAGAAAAAAAAAGGATTGCTCTACGAGCCCTGCCAGGTGAATGACCACTCACAAGCAGTACAGATCGACCAGCTGAACGAATACCATTAATGCAACTTCCCCGACAACGCCAGACCGCGAGACCAAAGAACGCTAATGCACACGTCCAACCTGCGCAAGACTCAATTCACTCTCTTGAACCCCAAAGGACCAAACCAATTAAGTGGAGCGAACGTCTACATAGCCTTGGGGCTTGCTTGCTTTTTTGTTTCTTGGATTGGAGGGATACCGCATATGAGAGTTGGCAGGCACTTCGAGAGCGAGTACGTCCGATGAGCAGCATGTCTTCGAGACTGCGGATTTCGGGGCGATGGTTTCGACGAGGAGGAGAGATTGATCACACGCATACTGTTGCTTTTGGGGAGAGCTGGTGAGATGCAAGATATCGTGCTCGACAACGTCGCGAACCAAAACCTCCCATCTTGATGAGGAGGATGGCATGCAAGGAAGGATTGCCCATTCACCTTATACCAACCAGTAAGGAGAAGGCTTTCAGGCTAGGGCACGGAAAGGGTTGCGACTTGGCGGTATAGATGAGTGAGTGAGTATTCCCGTCGCCATCAACCTCTCGGTCACGATCCGAGCCCTCGGAATCATCTCAAGACGATGCTTTTGATACGTATGCACAGGACCGACACATACCACTTTGGGACGTATACGCCTTCGCGGCAACGCGGCTGATGGAGCGGACAATCCTCGCCCGGTATCTTTCGTCATCCTTAGGAACGCTACACGCCATTCCACCGGATCAGGATTCAGTGATATCGTTCTGACACAAACTGGACTTGGACTCGATGGACGAGCGGGAAGCTATATCGAAAGTAGGAAATGGGGTAGGAGTGCTTTCTAGGGCGAGCTTCGAGGGAAGCTGTGCGCTTGGAGCTTTGGTGCTAGAACTAGACTGTTTCTAGCGGTAGTTGTACATCATCAAGTGGTAGGGTTTTTGGTCTTTTCGTTGCGTTGTGATACGTTCAGAGGAGGTGGATGGATGGATGGATGGATGGAACGGACCAGATCGAGTTTGGTTCTCATCGGCGCTTGCACGAGGTGGATCGAGTCTACTACATGTACTCTTCTCAGCTCACTGTCGGATCATCCGCGTGTGGTATGTCATCTTCTCGCTAGTAGAGGCGATGATGGTTGGCGCGGTACATGGTCCTCAAGGTCGTTAGCGAGATTCGCAGGTAGGTAGTAGGTAGGTAGGGAAACCTTCCCGCTGTTAGGATGGATGGGTGGATTATATTGAAGACCGAAGATCCATCCATCTATCCATCCGGTTCTTGCAAAAGGTCCCCCATCGCGTGCTCTTCGTCTTCCTTCTCTGCCTCATCGAACCCAATCCAAGCCAACCACCACCTCCTCACAATGACCACCCAAACAACCACCACCCACCTCGCCGACCCCACCCGCTACCACATCCGCCCCGCAACCCCCGCCGACTTCCCCTCCATGACCACCACCTTCTGCGCCTCTTTCAACGCGCCCTTCTGGCTTCACCTAATCCCCCCGGACGCCGCGCACCACGCCTGGTGGAACGAAGCCTTCGCCCTCTCGCACGCCAACCCGACCGACCGCCAATTCATCGTCGAGGACCTGCACAACGACCGGGCCATCGTCGCCTTCAGCCGCTGGATGTTGCCGCAGGAGGACGGCAACCAGGAACGTCTGTGGCCGGAGATGCGGGAGGGGGAGTGGGATATGGAGCTCGTGGGGGCGTTTTTTGGGGGCATGGAGGAGAATCGGAGGGTGGTGATGGGGGAGAGAAAACATTGGAGTATTAAACCCTCTTTCCACAAAAACGAATCCATTCACTTACAACTTCTCTACTACCAGTGTGCGAACTCCTCGGCACGCACGAAGCGCACCAAAACCGCGGCATCGCAGCCAGTCTGCTCAAATGGGGCACCGACCAAGCCGACCAGGAAGGCCTCGAGACGTACCTCGATGGCAGCGCTAAGGGCCAGCCGTACTACATCAAGCGGCACGGGTTCAAGGCGGAGAAGGATATCCCGATTCCGGATCGCGAGGAGTATGGGTCTTATAAGTATGTCAGCATGGTGAGGCCGCCGCAGAAGGGGTGATAGATTGATGATTGATGTATGATGCATGCGTACTGTAGTGTGGTGTTTCGTGCGGGTCGACTTACTTGTGTTTGGTAATGTTTTTTCTTGCGTGCATGTGTCTATTGTGTTGCTGCTGATGATGTGGTGGTGGTTTGATGTGAAACTGTGACACGAAGTGATACCTCGGGATCCCTCGCGTGCTTGAGACGTCGGGCATTGCACCGTTTGGGAGCACGGCGTGGGACAAGGCATACGTACAACCTTGCACCAAGCACATGCTGTCAACGTCCCCTCTCTTGCCAGGATGTGTGATGAGGAGAACGACAGACAGAAAAGAGGGGGGACGACGTGAGAAGCGAAAGGTGCCGGTTAAAACTCGTCTTCCAGCGGCGCTATTAAATACATTATCAGTCGTAGCATTGTCAACTCTCGAGGGTATCTATGCTACACCGTGACGCCAGGATTGGGGCTTGACAGAAGCCGATAAAACACCGCGCAAGATAAAGAAGCAAGAGAATGACCACCTCCCCAAGCGCAATCCCTCCTGATGTGTGATTATTAGAGTCCCTCGACAATGTGTGCATTATGCCAGAGAATTACAAGAACGTTGGTATGAAACGCTTGCCGTGTCGCGTCGTAAGTATGAACTCCAAGAGATGAAGGATGGTCCTGCCGTACCCATCGCCCAACAGTCGTCCAGAGATTGCGTCGCTTAGAGGGCGGCAACGAGACCAGCGGCGGCCAAGAGACCGGCAAAGCCGAACGAGGCCTTGCTGGCGGCACCAGTGTAGCCTGGGGCGATTGGGCTGGTCGAGGCCGGTGGGGTGTAGGCACCGGTGCCAGTGGCTGGTGGAGTGTAGGCTGGGACGGTGGCGTTGCCGGATGGGTATGGAGCTGGGGCGACTGGGCTCGACGGAGCGACTGGGGAGACTGGGCTCGAGGCTGGGTAGGATGGGGCAGCTGGAGTAGTTGGGGCAGCTGGGGTGGAGCTGGGGAGATGTTAGCATGACTTATCAACAGATACCGCATGGTACTGGATGTCGCAATGTTTCTGTACCATGTGGAGCAGGAGGACACGACTGACGAGTAGGCTGGCTTGGTAACGGTGCACGGGCAGTTGGTGATGGTGAGGGTAGTAGCCTGCGAGAGTGTCAGTCGCATGTCTGCGCGAAGTGTAGTCTGCGCTTGTGTACCTCAGTCACGGTGTAAGTGACGCCGTTGTGGGTGATGCTGGTTGGGCCAGGGCAGTAGGTGGTGTACGAAGTGAGGACCTCCGTCACGTAGCTTGGTGGAGCGGCCGAGGTCGCGTTGGACGCAGGCGCATATCCTGCGGGGGGAGCGTAGCCCTGGAGGCTGGCAGAGGCGACGGCGACGAGGCCGGAGGCAGCGACAGCGAAACGCATGTTGACGGTATGGAGCGTGTTGGGGTGAAGAAGTGTGGGTTAAGCGTGATTCTTCGTCGTTCGGCGTGGGTGGGTTAACGAGTGAATGCGGTCAGAAAGGCCGGAGTGGTGTGTTTGTCTGCGAACGAGAGTGCTGTGAGGAAAGAAGAGGAGGCGGCGAGGTGGGCTGGAAGGCCGGCATATATTGGGAAACAACACCCTCCCAGGAACAGGCTAGATGTATTTCCCCCGCCGTCCAATCATGCAGAGCGCCGTTGAGCCAGTCCTGGATGGCTTGCGGTAATAGATACACTCCCTGTCACTCCATTCGGGCCTCACACCATTCTCTCTTTCTGGCGATTTGGATGCTTCCGAAAGCATAATTTTTGCACTCCGTATCCACTGTTCCCGCCTCCGCCGCTACTGCAAGGTACGGCCTGCAGGCCATGAACCTCGCCGAACGCTCTTTCTCTGTTCGCCCAGAGACACGCGAGCTGCTGCCACTTCATGACTCCCCCTCTCCAATCTAAAAGGGGGCAATATCACCGCCTATCGATGCGCCATTGCCAGGATATCGCTGGCGGCTTGACTGCAACCATTGACCCCAACCCTGCCATTGGTCCAGCCTCCATTAAAACCCTCAACATCACGCGCGACTCTCTCCTCCCACTCAAAATTCTCCGTCTGCTACTGCGCGAGCGTTGGCTGAGGCCGATCACTGCACACTCGTCGGAGCAATCTCCTCGCACCAGAAACACTGTCCATTGGTTCTTGGTCGGGACTGTTGCGCTCTTCGCTTCCTGTCTGCCGAGTAAATTGAGATCTCGGCGTCGTTTCTGCTTCTGATAAGAGCGTCTGACGACGCACTCACCGTCTCACGCCGTTGGAGAGCCTCAATTCGCCTTGATAAACGCCTCCACGGACATGGTTTACCTAGAGCGGCAACTCTACCAACCGGGAATAGATTCGTTACACCGTCAGCCGATAAAGCGGTCGTGAAGCGAGATTGACCGGTCGAATGTGGCGCTAGATGGCTGTTCAACACCATCCTTGGCAAAATCACTCTCATTCAGCAAGGGGTGCTGCCACGTGCACAGCAGACCGAACAGTCGAGACAAAAGAGTCCTGTCGTCGATCCGCTGTCCGTGTTACTGTTTCACAATCTGCGAAGGAGGCGCGAGGTCTTCGCATTTTCGCACACAACAGGATCGCTCACTCAGCCGACGAACGGCTGTGACAGGTTTCGCCCACGCATGGGAGGTGTTGAGGAACCCCCAAGACACATGCCAAATTGGGCCGCGCAGGCCAGCGTTCAGACAAGGGTCTGACCAAAGCACACTGCATGCCGAGTGATCAAATATGTCAACACACCGGACGGCACACACCTCCTATTGCTATCTGGACCGACACAGGGCTGTAACAATTCTAAGCCGCTTCTCTCTTGGCCTTGCACTCATCGTCAACCATCGATAAACATCCAAACGCTAGTTTGACTTTGGGTCAATATTTGATCCTGGTATCCTGGCATGTTGGAGTCCCAACGCCCCGCTGGAGATTGCAAACTGCGGAGAAACATCGAACATCTGCTGTTCCTATCTTCCCGAACGTTCTGGCCCTGGAGGATTATTTTCATAAGGCTAGCAAAGCTATCGAAAGGCAGAGCAGCGTAAATGTCGGCTTCAGTGTCTAGGGACGAACACATCGCCGAGGGAAATAAGTCTTCGTGCCTTGAGGATGTTCGTGCTGTTGTGTCTGGAAGGTCTGTCCAACTCTTGCGTCAGCAAAAGATTGCTTCCACGAACCGAAGATTGGCCGATTTTGCATTCTCGACATTCGACATCACCGAATCGAAAACCTGGCTATGCTCATGATAGCCCATCGCCTACTATGGCTGTGAGTTGAAGACGTACAATTCACGATCACCGACAGCTTCCACGACGGATCCGGACCAAAAAGCAAAACATTCAGCACGAGGTATTCCTGCGTGGTCTCCCACCGCGGTACTAGTCTCGCAGTAACAAGCTTGTGTTTGGCAGATCGGACGGGATACCCAATGCTCTTGTTCTTGTGGCCGAATGTGGAGGATGAGGTGTTTGTATTCTTTATCTGCCTTCAATCATTCGGGAGTAGTGCTGCCGGGTGAGAGCAAACACCTCCTTCTCCGCAGGTTTGGTATGAGCGATGCATCTTGCTCATATCGCACGATCTGTTTGTCTTGATTTCAAATTTGATTTCTTTTCGTCTCCCTTTCACATTTTTATGACAAGCTGGGCGGTGTGCGCCTTCCTCACAGAACTCACGGCTTCGCGACTCCCCTTTCCAACACCCGACACTCCCCGACCATTTCCTTCCACAAGTCAGAGCCCCCCCCCCTCACATTATTAGCCTCTGACAACAATAACACCCATCTTCAAGCATTTGCTCATGGCAACACCTCAACTGAGCGCCCGCTCAAGTGGACGTGTCGAAATCTCGCCCATGGATCTCACCAAAACTTGGCGGGAATCGACTTGTCTTTTCATGGTGCCAAAGGACCATTTGACGGATACAGATGCGTGAGTATGGCACGACTTCTCTCGACGTGCTGTACACTAATGCATCGTCAGTTTCAAAGCCGTTGACCAGCTACGGGAAATGACCAAGAACCCGGAGCAGCGAGTGCCCAAAATTCGACCGCATACCCACTCCAGACGTCCGACAGCACCTCACGACATCTTTCCATTTGTGAAGCTACCTGCTGAGATCAGGGTCAAGATCTACCACTACACTTTGCCCAGGCGTCTCATCCAAAGGCTCCGCTGCTTCACGACCCCAGCTCTCTCGCGCGTTTGCCAACAGCTTCGACGTGAGACCTTGCCGGTGTTCTTCTACGTGAACACATTCGTGGCCGAGGTCAAATCTTCGTTTATTGGTTGTTCAGGCTCGTCATACCGGAACCGCAAGCCTTGCTACGTCGAAAACGATGAGCGGCGATTCCACTCACTCGGTCTACTCAGCATTGCTGGAGACGTCAATCCCCTTTCATGGGAGCGGTATGCTAGGACAGCGATCTTCAGAAACATCGATTTCGTGCTCATGAACCCGAGTGATTCCTGCACTGGAGAGCCGAAGCACGAAAAGGCAGTGCTTAGCCTTCGATCTGGACTCACCATCTCCTTACACGTTCGCCTGGGCAAAGCTCGCAGCGCATTGGAATGCTACTACCTACACGAACTTCTCAAGCGCGGTCGAAAGGTCATATTCGACAACACATTCAAGGCAGGCATCCTAGGATTGTCATTCAAACATCTTCGGGATGTGGCGGCTGCCTTTAGGTTGGAACAGGGGCCGAGACTGGCGGTCCTGCCCACCACTGCTCATCCAAAAAAGGCCGCCCGTAATACCGCAGCAGAACATACGCAACACATACCGGACATTGCTGGAATCAAGACGCAATCAATAGCTGCAAGTCCGTCGACAGAGCCGTACCCAAGAACGTCAAAACCTGCGAACACTCCCGCCATGACCGCCCATGACCAGAGCACTATGGACAAGTTCAGGACCAGTGGAGAGGGAGGCGTTTTGAAATCGATCGCAAAGAGTTCTTCAACACTCGATGCCACTGTCGAGAGCGAGTTCGATTTCCCTGATGCGGAGAGCTACTTCGCCCCTGCCCCTTAATTTGGTATGCGGGTTGCCACATGATGGAGCAAAAGACATGACGCTGGGTTGTGCTCATGATCATGTCGATGGGAGCAACTCTCCTTGGAAGGTGAAGGCTGGTAACCAAGAATAGCTGTGAATGAATAAGAGATATATAGTTCCATGATCAAGTGAAGGGGCGTGAAGTGTCTCACTTTGAGTGACGGGTGGAAAGTGACTGCCGCCTCTCGTTACAAGATGTCTCAAGCCTTCCCGACGCAGGACACCGACTTGCTATTTCTCAAAAATCTCAACAACTTCTCTTTTCCTTCTCTCAACTTCACTCAAACTCTCAAACAGTACTTCAATCTCAGGGGTCAACAGGCGCGGCTGCACGTGAACTCGCGGCCTCATTTCTTGGCATTTCGCCGACCTCCTCGAAGCTCCTTCGAATTAACCACACCTTGCTGGAAACACCACCGCCACAACAAAGTCCATCGCGACCAGCAGTCACTCCATCACGGTCTGGCTTGCTGCTCACAGTGACTTTTATAGCGGCTCCATCTATCTCACGAGCGACGACATTGCCTCGTCGCAGCTCATCACTACTCGGCATGGCCCTCACACGCAGTGCCAACAAGAGACCAGCGCCGTCTGCCGAGTCTGGCGCACCAGACTCATCTTCATCAGGCAAGAGACGCAAGGTCAGCCAGGGAAAGAAGAAGACGACCTCATCACCATCGTCCTCGACAGCTGTCGCGACTTCACCATCATCACTGAAGAAGCGCACAGTTGTCAGAGCCCGGACCTCGACTTCTGCACGTCTGCACCTGTCACAATCATCTCATGACATGCGCACACGTTCAAAAGCCCGCATATTCCCATTCTTCAGGCTTCCAGCGGAGATTCGCAACCTCATCTATTCCGAGGCCTACGGCTCAGACGACCCCGTCGATCTCGCCGACTTACGGCTACCTGCCGAGCTCAAGGTCCCCGAGATCTTCGGCGAGGCTCTCCCGTTCTTCTTCGAGAGCACACCCGTCGTCATCCCCGTCATGTCGAACGTCTGTGTTCGACACCAGCATCTCCATCGTGCTGAACATGAGCGGTATGAGCGGACGGGTCAGGTGGAGCTCCCGAGGATTCTGCAGGAGGGCTGTGTTCCCAGCAAGGACGTACGCTTCAAGTGCTTGCACTTTCGTGCGAAGTGCTGCTGCTGCGATCGAGGTAAGGTTCTGTTGGATGTGGACGTGCAAGTCGTCAACAGGGGAACATCGCTCGGCGCCCTCACGGAGACGGAGGTCCTCAACCGACTGCAAGTCTATGCGAGTGCGGTGGCCGAGTTGGATAAGATGGTTGATGTGGTGAAGGGGGTTGTGGATGAGATCAGCGGCCGTGAGAACTTCAACGGTTTCACTGTCGACGATGTCAAGCGCTTGGCGATGTGCTTCCGCAACGACGAGGATGATGGCAAGTCGCCAGATCACAGCGACGACATGTTTTGAAAGGCGCAGATTGCGAACTTTTTGGGGCAGAGTAGCATGGTCCATGCGCATGGAAGCACTTACGGGCAGAGCGGTACGTAGCATGGCAGCAAGGAGCTGCAGTAATGGAAACGACTAATATCACAATCAACTTTCATTCCTTCACACTATAATACACGTCACCCTTCATCAAGATCCGCGCCGTCCTATGCAACAACGCACTTTTGATAGCTCCGTCCTCCCCAAACACACCGCCAACCTCCAACTTCCCACTCGGATGCGCTACCGTCACACTCTTCCCGCCTTTCTCTACACCCCTCGCCACTTGCGCCGGTAACGTCCCCTCAGTCCTACTTGCCGTCCCCAAATTCAACGCCAGCGTCAGCGGAACAGCTTTATGCGGCTGCTGCATACTCAGCGCCCTCACAATGACATTCACACCCTCATCATCCTTCTCCGTCGGCCGACTAATCATCGCAATCTTCGGAATCGTCTGCGTCTTAGGATCCAACCCCATCAACTCCGCCCCCTTCTGCCGAATCTCCTCCAACCTCGCCATAAGCCCCGCCTTCTCCTCCAAAGCAGCAGGATTGACATCTCCCGCGACCCCGACATCCTCGGCGCGCACGAAAACCCCCGGATTCGCCACATCCGAGAGCGTCACCTCGATCGAACTCCCATCATTCAACTTCACGACATCCACCGCCCTCCCCGTCGGCAACGCCCCCTTCCCCGTCTTCGCCCCAGCAGGATCCAAAAACTCCAACGTAATCCTCGACCCCGTCCCAGGAACCCCATCGATCCCATACTCCCCCTCCGCCTCAAACACCCCCTTCTCCCCATCGACCTCAAACGTCGCCAGAATCACCTTGTTAGTATTCGTATTAAAAACCCTCACACTCACCTCCCTCCTCCCCTCCCCCCCAAATTCCAACAACCCCTCATTAAAAGCCCACGGCCCAATCGCACTCGACATATTCCCACAATTCCCCGCGAGGTCCAAACTCCCATCCCGAATCCCCACCTGCACGAACGTATAATCTAAATCCGCGTCCGCGCGCGCGGATTTCTCCACCACGCAGACTTTGCTCGTCGAGGAGATTCCCGAGCCCATGCCGTTGAGTTGCCGGCTGTAGGGGTCTGGCGAGCCCATGGCGGAGGAGAGGATCATTTGCCAGTCGGAGGGGTTTGGGGGGAGGTCGTGCCGGTGGATGAGGAGGCCGTTGGAGGTGCCGCCGCGCATGAAGGTTGCGGGGAGGGGGTGGGTGGGCATTTTTCTTGTTGGTGGGCTTGTTCTATTTGTGAGGGATCTGGTTCTTGTTTGTTGGGTTTGCTGCTTGTGGAGTTTTGAGGCGGTGTTTAGTCCGCTTAGTTTCAATGTTAGAGGGCGGATTAGGTGTTTGTGCATGGGGATTTGGGTGTTTTGGATGTTGTGGAGGGTTTGTATCTAGATGGGATTTTCTTTCTACATGTTGTGATTCTTGGGCGCCGATGCCGGTGCAGGAGCGAGGAGATGTGAGGTTGAGATGTGTGGTCTTGCAGGATTCGGATACATCCGGTTCTTCGAAGGTATGGAGTGGCTCGGGGATTGGCCGAGGAGGAGATCCGTGATATTGAAGAAGATATATCAGGGTGGGACGGAGACGTAAAGTGTGCCAGTGATGCCAAAGATACGATCTGAAGTGTGAAAGACTGAACGAAAGGGTGAAATTGAAGCCAGAAGAGAGTAGACCATACGGTCTCGAACAGCATGAAATCTTAACGGCTATCGTGAATGCATATGGTCATGTGCAAGAGATCATATCATGGTCAAATCAGACGTCCAGAGGTGCTTTCCCCAAGCCAACCATCTTCTCCTCTTCGCACACGCTCGCACAACAAACTCACGGGCAGATTCTCCCTCTCCAAACCACCCAACCAAGCAACCCCCCTCAAATCGGCACCCTCCACTGCTCAGGATTATAATGCTTCGGCCACACCCCATTCTTCCCCGGCGCCAAAATCCCCTTCGGATCCAGCGCCTCCTTAATCTTCTCATTCAACTTCATCTGCGCGTGATCATTGAACGAATACGTCTTAGCAATCTGATCCATCACCGCCAGATGCGTGCGGTACTCGCCCCTGAAATCACCGTCAGTCGGGCATTCACTGTCAAAAACAACGTGTATCTGGACTCACCACCCGCGCTCCGCGGCATCTTGAATGAGAGTTGTGATGAGCCAATGTGCTCTGCGACGATGTTCGGGGTCTTTGCGATTGAAGACGATGCAGACGATGTGGTGCATTTCGCGCATGCCGACGACGAAGGTCCCTATGAAGTCGAAGTTGGCTTCTTCGCAGCGTTTGCGAGTTACTTCGTATTGGGCTTTGGCGTCGTCGCCAGAGACTTTGGCGATGGGGCTGAAGAAGAGGTCTGGTAAATTGCACAGCATCAGTATCAGTAGCAGTCTATCGATCAACCGGAGAGTGGCAGTGCGGTGTCTGAGGGAGGTTCTAGCGTGCGCTGTGACTTACGTGCTCCGTTCGGCAACCAATCCACCCATTTCAGCTCATCAGTCGTGGGGATCCCCTGAAGCGTCTTGTCTCGAATCTGGAGGACTTCATTGTCGGGCATGTCTTCGGGATGATAGAACTTGGCGCCAGGGATCTGGAGGAAGGAGTTCTTGATAACGCTCAACATGACCTCGCGAACGGGTTCCGGTCCATAGACGGCGCCGTAGAAGTTCCATCTGCCTAGGTTGAGTTTCTTGGCGATGGCGTCGATTTCTTCGTCGGTTAGGGGTTTGTCTGAGTTGGTGTATTTTGAGCGGTTGCCCTGCAATGGATGTCAGTCCCTGAACGTTCTCTCTGACATTGTTGCGTTGGTTTACCATGACAGCCGCATCGAGCAACACATGTCTGATAGTCGGAACGTTCTGTAGCACCATCCCTACTCGCAGTGGCCGAATAATCTCGACAGCTTGATGGAGGTCTTCATCCCTCGGAAACGTCACCATGTACTTCCAGATGTCAGCAGCAGTCAAAGCAGCGTGAGCAGTGTTGCCTACTGATTGGTACCCGCCCGGATTCACCATGAGCCAGATGCCCATCTTGACAACGATTCCCAGCGACGACTGAGTGAAGATGCCGTCGTTGTAAGGCCCGAAACCGTAGTTGAAAAGGCCAAAAGTCTCGTTCCATGCTTGATCTTGCGGTGCTGCGTTCTTGTCGGCCTTGGGGTTGGGAAGGCCGCCCATGCCGCTTCGCCAGAGTGTGCCGTCTGGTAGGATCACTTCCATGCCACAGCTAGAGAATTGGTCAGTGAGGCTCTTGTTAAAGGGGCTTTGTCACATACTGCATCATCCAGTGATCTGGATCGGTTGGCTATGTCAGCAGATATCTCGAGAATGTAGTGCTTAGTCGATATGTGATTTCGTACCTCCGTAGGGAGTGTAGCCTGTTGTATCGTCAGCGACAGCTCATGATCAAAAATGGAAGCTTTTCTTACCAACGCCACGTTCAATCGTATTGCCAACAACAGAGCCTCCGCCGAGATCAGGCGTATCGATCCACATCTTGTCTCTCAAGTTATGCTCAACCAAATAATTATGAAGATCCATGAACGTAACACCAGGTTCAACAACAGCGAAAGCCCCATCCTCGTTCACCTCAAGGATCTTACGCATGTTCCTGCCCATGTCCAGTCCGATAGATCCAGGGACTCGAGGAGCTGAACCCCCATAGCCGACATTTCGACCAATGCTGAACGGCCAGATTGGGATCTCGAACTCGTTGCAGAGTCGTACTATGGCCTGGACTTCGCCCACATTGCGTGGAGCCACGACGGCGGAACTGACGAAGAAGGTCTTCTCAGCCACAAAGAACATCTGTGCAGCATTTTAGCGAGTATTCTCTTAGGCAAGGTTGTCAATTACATCGTGAGCTTTGCTTGGGTCCAGGTAATGGTCTTTCTGTAGTTCATCATCGCTTGAGATGACCGTGGCGTTCTCCGGGCCGACGATCACTTCAATGCGTCTTATGTAGTCCTGAAACTTTTCAAGGCTGCAATTCGGCGGCAGGGTGAGAGGGCGTGCGTCTGATCCACCACCGACAGGTGCACGGAAAGCTGCTGGGCTTGGGCCAACGCCATCTTCGCCTTGTAGTTCGTCGTGCTGCTTCATGATCGTTGGGTTAGGTATTGAAAAGGAGTTGCCAGTGTTAGTGAACAAATCGCTGGAGGGAGCAGGGATCGTTGGGATATTTTATAGAAAGCGAAGTCTCGCACTTGCCGGGTCACAACAGCTCGTGATCAGTTCACAGGCGCTAAGTGAATCAACAGTACTGCCGTGATCAACGAGTGGGGTGCATGTAGTGACCTCGAGCGGCAGCACGTTGATGGAGGATTATTCCCCGCTTGGTTTATGAGAGCTCAGGTCAGCTTATCCAACGGCAATGATTGCACCAAGGTACAGCGTGGGAGATGCTCGTCTTTGAGATTGCCGAGACAGGTTCGTCCTGATGAGCAGCTAGGATACTGTTGTACAGTCATCCCTAGCGAAGTCGAGATCCTTCATAGTCATGGTCATAGCACCAAGACAGTTGTACGATGGTGGCAGCCGTCGGCTATGCTTGCACAACCGCAAAAAAGATGTTCTGCAATCGCAACAGGAGGATGTCAAGGACGTAAGGATGTAGTCGCACTCACATTTAGACTTTCGCCTTCCACGGTCAACCCCACTTCTTCAGCTCTTGTGTACAATGCACCCTACTCCATAGCGTCGACAATTGGTGACCTGAGCGGCATTTCACGTTCGTACCTGAGCGTAGCCAGGTGCACGACAATTCTCGTCGCTCACGCCAGCTCTGCTTCTGAGGTCATGGAGTTGCATATCAACCGGCTGACGGAAAAAAAAAACCGTTTCAACACACTCCAACACCTGGGGACCAAGTATAATTGGGCCAATGGAGTCAACACTAGACCTTTCCAGACTGCTTGGACATTACCGGAGATACTGTGAAACCCACTCCTTACGCGGGCAAGAACACCGCAACTTGTCTACCAGGATTGCAGACGGGAGTTGAAAGGTCTCTCACAGAAAGCTGCTAGCCGCGGGCCCGTGTCATTGTAATCGGTTGAGGTCCCGCAAGTATGCAGCTTTACGAACCGTAGTGATGACGGACGAGCATAGGACATTGGTATCGACTCGTGCCACCGGGGAGAGATCAGGCATGTGCTTTTGCGAAGGCTGTCCGTCCCAGTATCCGTGTTCGACGTGATATTTGTACACATTCGGTGGGACCAGACCCTGACTGTATAGATCAGATGAGCGACATTCCAAATGGTTCTCATGTTTGTATTGGTCCAAATAAGCAGTCTGCGATTCGATGGCCAACTTTACGCGGCTGCTGTTCCACGTCCTGTCCTCCGACTCCTGCTATTGACTAGTTTGAGAAGCAAAGTCATAGTCCTCGTCGATTTCGAGTATGTAAAAGGGATCTTTCTCCGCAAATGCGTCCATGCCAGTTTAATCATGGCTTTTGAGTAAACCCGCACACGCGTGGCCATGGCACCAGCTCCTGCTGGACTTTCATTTCTGTGCCGTTCACTCCAGGCTGGAGGTTCTGAGCAGAAGACCAGTCCGAAGCGGTCGTCTTTATGTCCGTGATTTCGGCTGGCTCTCGAACGTGCGTAGGCGGAGTATCCCACACTTGTCCATGCTGGACTGCTTGACGTCAAGGATTCGACCCGTAGAAGCAGCTTTCATGAGCACCTCATAGCGGCACGACTGGCAGCTCCAGTTCCTGTTTGCAGCATATTGTGGTTCTTTGAAGGGCGAAAAGAGACAACGCGTCGAGAAGTTCGACATTCGAGCTGTTGACGTTGAAGCACGAGCCATATTAGTACGCTAGCGGGCCGTCGCAAACTCTATTGTGCCAAGACCACACACCCGCAAAATCAGAGCGCCTTCCAGCCAGAACAACTCCTTCCCTCGCTCAAGGTCGACGACCCATTCCAAGCCGCCAACACCGACAACATGGGTGTAAGTATCCTCTTCATTGCGTATTACACTGCTCTAGGACTCCATCACATCGATGCGCCTACTCCTCGCGTCCCCCGAGACCGTCCACGAGCCCAATTTCAACCACCACCTTTCGACCTCCCACCCCGTCCCTATACCGCTTCAAAAACACACACACAATGGCTTAATAGAAGGGGACTGACATGCAAACAGATTGACTTGGACAACCACCACGTGACCTCTGGTCACCGCAAGGTACATACCTTCTCACAGAGCAGACCTCCAAAGTGACATCTGCGAGTCTAACACACGTTAGGCGCCACACAGCACCAACCCATACCGCAAGCTGTTGCACAAGCTGTACAGCTTCCTCGACCGCCGCACGGACAGCAAGTTCAATGCTACCGTCTTGAGGAGGTGCGTAAAGAGATGTGTGGGTTATGAACATATTCGGTCAGATTCTGATTCCGGATAGACTGCGCATGTCGCGCATCAATACCCCGCCGATCTCCCTCTCCAAGATTGTCGCCGTATCTGCCAACAAGCACAGCGAGAAGGCACACGAGGGCAAGATCCGCGCTGTCGTCGGTACCGTCACCGATGACAACCGTCTCCTCGAGGTCCCCAAGCTGAGCATCGCCGCTCTCCGCTTCACCGCGACCGCCCGTGCTCGCATTGAGAAGGCCGGTGGTGAGTGCATCACCTTCGACCAGCTCGCTCTCCGCGCCCCAACTGGCTCCAACGTCATCCTCCTCCGTGGTCCCAAGAACGCCCGTGAGGCCGTCAAGCACTTCGGTTTCGGCCCACACAGCCACAAGGCAAGTCGCAGAACATCCAAATGGTACTGGGCATCTTCTAACACCCATCTAGAAGCCATACGTCGAGAGCAAGGGCCGCAAGTTCGAGCGCGCTCGTGGCCGCAGACGGTCGCGTGGTTTCAAGGTCTAAGCCTGTGCGTCAGGCCCATGTTTCGGGACTCTATCATGGCGTGGTCAAGGCGCATATATGGCTGGTGTGCTTCATGAAAAGAGCATGGAATGGGTAGAAGCGCTCATTAAGTGAGGCGCTCTCTTACGAAAAGGCAAGGCATATGGCGTTGCTTCTCCGGCTATGCAGTGCAAGAAATGACAAGACGTCCGACCACCAGTCATCAAAGATGCTCACCTCTTCACCAAGCAATTGATTCGCTGTAGAGTTCGTGGTTGTCAGGGATGTACCCCAGTAGACCCATGTCCAGCCGGAGGTTCGGATGATAAAGTAAAGTCAAGAGAGCTCGTGACGATCGTGACCTTGCAGTAGCATCAACCGGCACCAGAAAGAGCCGTGACACCGTAATTGATGATGTGATTCTTATATAGCCCACTACTCATTTGCCCAACTGCTATGACTCGAGAATAATGTTTGCGTCTCGATTAGGAAATTCAGAACCACGCGCCTTCCACAAAAATTTCTGGCGACCCTTGAAGCAGCTGCCAGCGACTTCCCTCACTTCTCGCTTCACTTTTCTCCACGACGACATGAGATAATACGACAATCGTCCCCGCGATACAGTGACCGATCATGGCATCCGAGAAGACGGTGGGAGTTTTGGGCGGGGGACAGTTGGGGAGAATGCTGGTGGAGGCGGCGAATTTGCTGGAGATTCGAGTGAATTTCCTTGACGCACCCGGCTCGAGCGCGAAGCAGGTCTCGGCGCACGAAGGTCACGTCGATGGCTCGTTTAAGAGACGTGAGGCTATTCAAGAGCTGGCCAACCGATCCGACGTCGTTACAGGTGAGTTTTGCGATCCGGCGAGAGGCCGTGGCATTGGAGCGCGAGGATTATCAACCTCACCCTCACATGAAGAGCTTTCCTCGGCAATAAGCATCCCCAACATCACGGATATTGATTCAGATGCATGGACGGCCGTCATTTTACGGGGATAGTACTGACTATTAACAGTTGAGATCGAGCATGTTGACACATACATGTTGGAGGAGATCGCCAACGAAGGCCACGATGTACAGCCATCGTGGAAGACAATTCGCACTATTCAGGACAAATACGACCAAAAGTGGCACCTGAAGAAGTTTGGAGTGGCTACAACTGAGAGCTTGGCGCTGGAAGAGAATACGGTCAAGCAGTTGGAGAAGATCAGTGGCGAACTGGGCCTCCCTCTCATGCTTAAATCGAAGAAGGACGCCTACGACGGACGGGGAAACTATGCCATCAAGACCAAGACCGACTTCAAGCCTGCTTTGGATGTGTTGGGTGCCAAAGGAGAGCTGTATGCCGAGAAATGGGCGAACTTCAGGATGGAGCTGGCCGTGATGGTGGTCAAGACGAAGGACGGGGTGTTCTCTTTCCCGACTGTCGAGACTCTCCACGAAGACAGCATCTGCAAGCTCACCTACGCCCCAGCGAGAGGCGTCAGCAAGGAGATCAACAAGAAAGCACAGGAGCTGGCAAAGCAGGCAGTCTCCTGCTTCTGGGGTAAAGGTGTGTTTGGGGTGGAGATGTTCCTGCTCATGAACGACGAACTCCTCATCAATGAGATTGCACCACGACCACACAACTCCGGCCACTACACCATCGAAGGCTGTCCGATCTCGCAATACGAAGCCCATCTCCGCGCTATCCTCGATCTGCCTCTCGCCCAAGAAGACCTCGAACTCCGCGAACCCAGCATCATGCTGAATATCCTTGGTGGCGAAGCACCAGACTCACACCTTCTCGTTGCCCGAAAAGCCCTCGAGCAACGACGAACCAAGATCCACCTCTACGGCAAGGGAGAGGCTCGCAAAGGTCGCAAGATGGGTCACATCACGGTCTGCGCGCCCACCATGTCCCAAGCCGAACGCCTCATCCAACCCATGATCGACTTCGTGGACCGCGACAAGCCCAAACCATCCTTCACCCTCTCCCGCACCACCTCGACCACCACCTCCAACACAACCAACACCCCAGCCGAACCCACCGCCCAGACCCCCGAACCTCTCGTCGCCGTCATCATGGGCTCCGACTCGGACCTCCCCGTCCTCCAACCCGGCCTCGAAATGCTCAAAAAGTTCTCCATCCCCTTCACCGTCCGCATCACCTCCGCCCACCGCACTCCCAACTGGATGGCCGAATTCGCATCCACCGCCCCAACGACCTACCCCTCCCTCCGCGCCATCATCGCCGCAGCCGGCGGCGCAGCCCACCTCCCCGGCATGGCAGCCGCCTACACCCCTCTCCCGGTCATCGGCGTCCCCGTCAAACCCTCCATCGGCGACGGTATGGACTCCCTCCTCAGCATCTGCAACATGCCGCGCGGCGTGCCCGTCGCAACAGTCTCGATCAACAACTCCGTCAACGCGGCCCTCCTCGCGACGAGGATCATCGGCTCGAGCGATGTCGAAATCCGAGGCAAATACGAGCAGTACATGCAAGACTCGATGAACGAAGTGCGAGGCAAGGATGAGACGTTGGCGCGGATGGGATATGAGCAGTATGCGGTGGAGTTTCTGAGTAAGAAGTAGCGTTTCCTTTCCTTTTGCCCTCTACTTTGGCACTCTGCTGGTGTTTTTTGGCATGCGTTGGAATGGGGACCCTCAATCATCATAGAAAAAGAAAAGAGCTTCCCTGAAAATCACACACACTTCCCACGTCCCGTCTTCCACAAGCGAAAGAAAATTAACACCTACTAAAACCTCCCTCTCTCCTCAATATAGGTCGCGGCCTCTCCCCAACACCCACGCCCACAGCATCCCTCTCACACGCCTCCTTCGCGGGGGGAAACGGCAGTCCCGAGATTCGAAGGTATGATTCTACGTCGCCGCCTTCGCCGGTGGAGGGGAGGAGGAGGTTTTCGTTGTTGAGGACGTTGAGTAGGGGTTCGGCTTCGGGGTCGAGTCGATGAGGATGAGGGGGATGATGGGGTGAGGAGGTGAGGATGAGAGGTGAGGAGGGAGAGGGAGGATGAGGAGGGAGAGGGAGGATGAGGAGGGAGAGGGAGGATGAGGAGGGAGAGGGAGGATGAGGTGGATGATCGGGCAGGTGAGATTTCGAGTGATTTGTGTATGTTGGATTTGGATCTGGATCTGATGGGGATGGAACGGCATGGGTTGGATTGTATTGGTCTTGTTAGGTCTAATATTGGCGAGTAAAGATCGATGTGAAAGATCAATAGTCTCTGGAAGCTCGATGAGGTTGCTTCGGTGGCTTGGTATGATATTGGCATAAGTAGAAAAGAGCAAAGTATGGTATTGTTGGTATCATCCGCTACTGACTTGACCGAGACATCTCCATCCCCATCTCACACCAATCTAAAAATCCCAAAGGAATAAAGCTCATCTGACGCTCTTGCTTGCCTGTCGTAGTCATAGCTCGTCTTATCTGTATCATTTCATTCCATCTCCCGCAAAAGACGCAAAAGTTGTGTTTCGCGTCCCAACCATCACCATCCCTAATATGTACAATCGAAAGATATCGTTCCTCGAAATCCGCATGAATGTGTCTACACCTCGCCCCAACCGCCCAGAGCACTGCTCATGGCGTGCCCGCTGCCTACGCTGCTGGTCTGGCCGAGATCCCAGTAGTGGCGCGAGCTGCCGCTGCGGGTGTGGCGACTTCGTTTGGTGCTTTGGCTGGCGCAGCTGCTGCTACCGGTGCGTTTCAGCATGAGGGTTTGCATTTGGTGGCGTCGCAGCAGGCTGTCTCGTCTTCTGGTTTGCGCTGCGGTTGCTCGGGCGCGTTCGGCAGCGCGGGAGACGAGGGGGTGTTGCTGTTTGATGATCTCGGCTCTGCGCAGGCCTTCTGGGGATGTGCTCAGTGCTGATGGGCCGGCGGTTGAAGTCACCCAAGATGCAGGCAGGGGTCCACTGGATTCCTCGGCGGCGGTGGGTGCGTCTTCGGTCGCTGCGCTGGAGAATCGTGTCTTTAGATAGTTGAAGATCATCTTCACGTCGACATCTTTCTCCCAATATTCTCGCTCTTGCTGCAAGGCCACCAAGTTCTCGTCAGCTGCCTCATCAGGTTCCTCTTCAATACCCCAGAGTGAACTGTCGGTGGTCTCGGTCTGGGGAAGCGGTGATTGTGGGATTGTGGGTGGGAATTGAGCTGCATCCTGCTCATTTCGCGCTTTGTCCAGACGGCGGCGCTGTCGGAGAGATGGCTGTCGTGGGATGTTTCGTGGCAAGCCAGCATAGTCGATATGCTCTTGCTGAGCGTTCTTATACGTGTTGAAAGCAGTGCCGTCATACTCGGCCAGCTGATGCACGAGAATGCCCAGCTCGCGTGCAATTCGATCAAGTAACTTGATCTCCCAGGTAGGCTCTGGGTCATGGAAGGCAACTCGCGACTCCTGTCTTGCAGCAGCTGCAATGGGCGATGGTTGTGTTGGTGTTGGTGATGCATCATCAACCAGTTGCTCGCCGAAGATAACCGATAGCGTGTTCTCATCCAATCCAATAAGGTCTTGGATGACTTTCCGGGTGATTCTCCTCCAGAACGATTCGCTTTGTTGAGGCTCCTTGATCGTCTGTGGCTCCTCTGGAATGACGGAATCCTGCCGGGTCAAGACCTTCGAAGCCAATGCATCATGTACCGATTGTCGCCTGTCGTAACCACTCGTTGCGGTGCTCATCCGACTCAATCGTCGTCGTCGCCTCCTCGTTTCGCGTTCAATCTCCTCCAACACCGCTCTACTCTGATCCAATCGCCACCTCTCAATGCGCGCTGTCCGCTCATCTTCAGGGTCCAAGTTTTCCTCTTCTTCCAACAAATCCAGCCGTCTCTGAACGCTGCTTCGCCTTCTAGCATGTTTATTCTTTCGATGAGGGTTATGTCGCTCAAATTGCCACAGCTGCTCTTGCAACGCCGCCGATGACGATGGGAACGTTCCAAATCCGTCATGTGTCGGTAGAACAGTCCCGCCGCTTTGATCTAAGTGGTTCGACGAGGCTGAGAAGGGGTGGTGAAAGGCGTGAAGTCCATCGTCCAAGCTGTCCAGTTCGGCACCGTCGTCGTCCTCAGTGCCCTGACATGTGATATCCTCGTCGTCGTCTTGACTGTTGCCAATCGGTTGCGACCTGACATGTGTCTCAAGAGAGCCAAAGTCGGAGAGATGGGTGGCGGTGCGCGGGGTCTGCGACGTCTGTGATATCGACTGGCCGTCGTTCTGGGGTGAGAAGAGGATCCATTCCTGTGATTCCTCAACCGGTCGCGTTCGCGCTGGTGATACTGGAACAGGTTGCTCGGACTGTTTGGGCAGGGAGATGTGACGCGAGGGCTGTGGTCGTTGTTGCGGCTGCTGGAACGCCATCTGGGGTTATCGATACGCGACGGTAGGGACTGAGCGGTGTTGTGGGAGTAGGTTGGCAGCACAGGGCCGCAGCGACGGTGGTGTGAGGTGCAGTGTGTGTGGTTAGTGGCCGCTCATCCGGGAGAAGCAGTAGGAGGTAGTAGCTGTGGGAGCGAGGAGGTGGTGGTGTTGGAGCTTCCTCCGCGATGGAGTGGTGAGCTCACGACTGATCGGCGCCAGGGATGGGAGGCGATAAGAGCTGAAAGCCAACTCAATCCGCCCACGCTCTCGCTGACGGTGGTGATGGTGTTGTTGATCGGGGACAGCTGTTGTTGGAGGGGAAATGGTTGATGATGGCGACGGTGACGCCTGTTTCTCGCCGTGTTGTACCACGTGCCGGGGCGAGCAGGAGGAAGGGCGGCGGCGGCGGTATCGTGATATCGCGCGATGCCTCCAGTAGGCCCGAAGCTACACCACCACCGGGCAGCGCCAGCAGCAGTGGCCGCCAGTCCAAGGTACCTCGACGTGGTAGCAGCAGATGCAAGCGGAAACTGCAGGCCTCCAGCTCCCACCAATCAAAGCCGGATCCAAAGGTCGAAGAAAGGCAGATATCACAGAATCATCATATGGTACGAGGGGCAGGGCATGACGAGTTCTAGTAGCATTCCAGTCGCAAACCGACTGCTGCTGCTGCTGCGGCTCGGAAGGCGAATGCTCGCTCGAGACATTCCTCAGACGGCGCTTGTGACACAGGTCGCCCGTCATGTCCCATGCATCACCTGGCTCATCTTCGCCCTGCCAAAGTCACCAAGTACCCTTCATCACACTCCTCCTCCTGTCTTTCCAGAACATCTTGATAAGCCGCCTCAATCAAGGCCACGTTCCCTCACCCTCGCTCCCCTGCCTGCCTCCCTTCCACGCGTCAGGCCCGCCTATCACATCTCCCGGCCTCGATGACGCATATAGAACTGCTCCCTCCAAAGCTTCTTCTTCCTCCTCGAACCCCAACAGGCGCGGCTGATATCAGGCCCTTCTACGGAATACCCTCACTGTTCTTCTTCACACACCGTCGTCCAGCAGCTACCTACCCGCAATGATGCCATATGCCTCGTCGATTACATGTGCTTTGCTTTGCTTGACTTCCCCGAACAGACAGACGGACTGCAAAAGGTACTTCCAGCCAGGTACCGACCTAACACCAAACCAACAATCCATCACTCATCAGCCCGAGCAAGGGCGAAGGATTACCTTACACACACACAACCTGCTCGTCCTGACGAACACGAAAAGATGACAGCGCATGTTCGCTTCGTTGCTTGCTTGCGCCTCCTGGATTTAGCATCGCATTCCTGTCTCTTCTCCTGTATGTAGGCTTGCCTGAGATGTGGTGTGGCGGAAACAACAAGCCACCCGGGAAGCGTGGAACGATCCCAACTGGATGCCGTCCGTCTCATGCATGCAGGTGACATCCCACGAAACAAACAGATCTCTGCCATCCAAACCCCCCTGTTTCAACACAATCCTCCGACTTTCTGGTCTGTCTGTCTGCCTGCTTGCTTCTTGCGATTCCGGAACTTTTCCTAGGGACGGTCCACACCTCATCACCAACACAGCTGTGCAATGCAGGCGTTGTGGCTCGTATCAACCATCGGACATTCATCCGGCGCCTCTGCTGCCGCCCTGTGTGTGCTAACCTCGACTTCACCTGCTCTGCTCTTATCATCACGCCTTATCGGGTGCTGATTGCAGGACGGACACTCTGCTATCAATACTTACCTACAACCACGGCCTGCCATGCTTCTCAACGTAGCCGTACTCAACCGCTTCTACTCCCTAGTACCTCCCAGATGTCTTTCATCTCTCCTTGCAGAGGCCTGCACAAAAATCAGTCATGAAATCACACTCGCCACAACAATGACTTCACTCCCCTCAAAAAGTACCTCCGTACATGTCCTTCCTAAACCCATCCTTCGCCGCCGGCTATAAGCTCGCCATCGCCCAAGCCCAAGCTAGGATGTGCCTTGTCAAACATATGAGCCAGGAACACGTCAGAAATCCCGGACAAGAAAACACGAGAGCCTAGATAGACAAGCAATACGCCGGACTCTTACACCATCGACGAACGACCATCTTGGTGCTTTGTCGTGACCGTGACGGCGCGGCGAATGCGATTCAGGCTGAACAACGGCTAATTGATCGATCGAACGAGGTAAGATGTAGGAGGGAAGAGGTGGTTGTCGGAAAGTTCAGGAACAACATCTCGTCGGGAGTGGATCTTCATGTGATGAGTGTGCTTTTCGCTGGCGAGTTGCTACTTTAGGGAGTTCTTGAGGCTAGTGCGTGAAGAATGCAAGTCAGTCTCGCCATTGTTGTTGCCGTATCCTTGCTTGACATTTGGGAGGTTTGAATCGGCATGTGAAAGATTTTGTTGGATGGGTGAGTTCTTCATCCGCTTTGCTTCCGCTTCGTTTCGTCTGTATTGGATTGAGGAGATGGAGAGTGGAGAGAGGTGAGATGAAAACGGCGTAGGTAGTAATGATGTCTCGTTGACGATACATACTCCTCCTACACCCCAACAAACCCTCCTCATCACCTCCCATCATCTCATCAAACAACAACCTCCCTCCGTCCCCACTGATGCCCCCCACCACCCAAATCCCCCCTCCTCTCCCTCTCCTCCCACAGCCTCCCCGTCAAAAACCTATACAACCACGCACTCGCCCCACCATACCGAATATTATGATCACTATCCGTGAAAGCCACCATCTCCATCTTGCTCGGACTCACCCCCTCATTGACCAGCAAATCCACCAGCGCCGCCGTGTTCTGGTAGTGCACGTTATCATCGCCCGTGCCGTGCATGATGGCGAAACCGCCGGGGGCCGCCGCGAAGCCGGATGCGTCGCGCACAGAGGTTTCGTTGTAGCCCGCGTCGTTGGTAGCGGGCGTTTTCATGTAGCGCTCGGTGTACATGCTGTCGTAGAAGCGCCAGTCTGTCACCGGGGCGGTGATGAGGCCGAAGGTGAAGGGCGGGTCAGTACTGTTAACCTGCGTCTCGAGGACTTTGGCGGTCAAGTACCCGCCGAACGACCAGCCCCACATGCCGATATGCTCCGGGTCGAGGAAGGCGTTCTGCGCGAGGAGGTACTGAGCCGCCCAGATCTGGTCGGCGGGTTCGAGACGACCCAGATGCTCTGTGACGGTGCTGCGGAAGGCGCGGCCTTTCCAGCCGGTGCCGCGGTTGTCGATCGTGTAGGTGATGTAGGCAAGTTGGGGGTCCGAGGAGATGTAGGCGTTCCAGTCGAGGGATTGGAAGGTCTTGGAGACTTCTTGGGCGCCCGGGCCGCCATAGGGGGTGAAGAGGACGGGGTATTTCTGGGTGGGGTCGAAGAAGGGGGGTAGGCGTTGCATGATGTTTAGGGTGAAGCCTTCCGGGTGGGGGAGTTCGAAGTAGGTGATGTTGGGGAGGGCGAGGGCGGAGATGTTGGCTATGAGGCCCGCGTTGGAGGTGAGGGTTGAGAGGGGGGTGGTTGTGCTGTTGAGGCTGTAGACTTCCTGGTAGGGGACGTCGGGGCCTTGGTACGAGAGGATGTAGTAGGTGGCTTTAGGGGAGAAGGACGCCGACCAGTACGCTGGGACGGTGTCGTCTACCAAGGCAGTTTTCTTTTTCGTGGCGTAGTTGATGCTGTAGACGTGGCGTTCCGTGCTGTGGTGTTCGGTGGAGGTGTAGTAGATCAGGCTGCGGGCTGTGTCGACTTTGAGTATCGTGGCGACTTCCCATTCGCCCTTTGTGAGTTGGATTGGAGAGCCACCTTGGACGGGGTAGAGGTAGAGATGGTACCAGCCGTCTGCGTCGGTGATGTCAACGTACCAGGTCGAGTTGGGTCCGTAGCTTGTGGTGTTGACTGAGCCGATGTATTGAATTGCAAGACCATTGTCGAGCCAGCCATCTGTCCCATCTCGCTCACGAACCACTTTCGAGGTCCCAGAGACCGGATCGACCAGCACATGCTTATCGAGATCTTGAACTCGGTTGAAAGCACGATACAACACCACCGAATGCTCATCCGTCACCCAAGCAACCTCACCCACGATTGTATCATTAGCTTCAAACGCAGTAATAGGAACATTCCGAATATCATTCGTCGCCAGATCCAGAATATTGAACTGCACCGTCGGATTCGTCGTCCCAACTTTCGGATATCGCAGCTCTAGTTCTCTCGGATATGGAGGCGCGACTGCCTGGTTGTTCATGTAGTACGGAATGGTGAAGGTTCCCACGCCAGTCTCGTTGAAGCTGAGGAAAGCAATATACTTGCTATCCGGTGAGAACCAGAATGTAGAGCGGGAGCCGAAGATCTCTTCTTCGTAGACCCAGTCGGGGACTGCATTGAACAGATCAGGTCCGCCATCCGAGGTGATTTGAGTGACTTCGCTGTTGTTGTGGATGTAGAGGTTGTTCCCTCGCACAAAAGCAATGGCACCGCCACTGGGGGCGAATTCAGCATATTGGATGTTGCCAACTTGATCGGGGACCAGTGGAGTAGTCTCGCCGCTTTCCACGTCTTGGATGAGATAGTCGGCGAAGTAGGAGTGCCGATATTGCTTGGTGTAATTCACAGCCCAGAGGACTCGATCCTGTTCGGGTGAAATCCAGTACTCGTGATAGTCGGCCGGGACGCTGTCCGCTGGGATGAAAGTTGTGTTGTCGCCAGTCACGATGCTTTGTAGTCTGAGCGCTCCATCGTCCGAAGTGGTAACATATTGCCCGTCTTGATCTCCAGAAATCCAGTCAACGGCTAGCGACGTTGCGCGGTTCAACGCGGTGGGAGTGGTTTCGTTGTACGTGAGTAATCGCTCTCCTCCTCCCAATGGCTGGCGAGCTTCTCTCTTGGGCGTGATGGCTGTGGTTAGCTGGACGACCAGGCCGAAGGAGAGTACTCTTGTCCACGCCATTGTGCTTGTCTCTCGTGGCAGAAAGGACGAGTATGAATGTATACACCGACTACGTGCCTGCCTCTCTCACCCAACGGCTACACAGCAGCAAGAGTAGTCCCACAGTATCCTGGCTTTCTCTTGTCGTACGACCCCATGTCAACCTTCCGCTGCCCTTTATCTACCCCCTCCACCTCTTGCCAATGCTCTCCTCCATCGCGACATAAACCCCTCCGACCAACCACCTCGCAGTCTCTCACGTATCTCTTGTCGCGTGGGCATCAGAGGGCTTGGCAGTCGCATCGAAAGTGCTACCTTCCTGATCGGTGACTTGTCGCGAGGCGATCAACACGGCTCTGGGGCAGTTTGCTGCGGGCCTGGTGCTGCTTCCAGGTTAGAACGACTTGGCTGCTGTATGCCGAGTTCGGGTAGCGGCGGTTTCGATTCAGTCACGTGACTGGGTATCTCGACAGGGATATCTTCGAAACCGATTGTTGATGCTCGTTTCACATCGCCGTCGACATCGGCCTGCCCCCAATTTTCTTCCTCTCGCACCGCCGAACATCGCAGTCGCACTTCCCACCGGCCTGCTTGCTGCCCGACCGCGTCGTCTCCGCGTGGCATCCCAGTTGCTTCACTTCGCTTTGGACGTCTTGGACAAGGCATGCCAGGATCGCGAGGCGCATCGTCAAGTCCCATTCGTGCATTTCCACCACCATCACCGGTCTGGACGCGCATCTCAGGACACTCTGCGGCCCTGAGTCTCTCCACCGCTCCAGTGCAAAAAATATGCGTTGGCACGACAATCAGAGCGATTAATATCCTGACGGTAGGCGTGATCTGCTCCCAATCCCACGGTTTGCTCTTCTTTCCTTGCTTCTGATTTCTCCCGCTGAACATGCTGAGAGGAGCATAAGAATCGGCGAGACTTGGCCCAGAGGTGCATAGCCGCACGCGAGACTGACTCTGACAACACTGCCGGCAACTCATACCGACTACCTCACCACTCTTCATCACCAACACTTTCAATCAGGCAGTCATCATGAGCAAGGCATCTCTCCTCACTCTGCCTGGCGAGCTGCGCAACATCATCATCCGCGACGTTGTCACCTCGTCATCCACCATCAATGTCGAGCCACTATGCGAAAACTGGACCCAAATCAAACTCCATCAACCTGCCATCGCCTTCGTCTGCAAGACCCTTCGCAATGAAGCACTATCCATCTTCTATGCCGAGAACCGCTTCTTCCTCGGCAAGATCGGCTACCACGACCACAATGACATCCGCCTGTACGACTTCAACCTCCGAATGAACCGATGGAAGGACATGCTGGGGCTTTACGCCAAGTACCTCAGCCGATTGAGTATGATCATCGACGGTCTGTGCTATGCATGGGACGATGGGGTCATGCCGGGAGATGCCATGTACGAGATGGAGGCAGAGTCAGAAGGGAAACTGCACTTCAAGATGAACGGCAGACTGCGGTGTACCTGCCGATTGAAGGAAGGTGTCGTCGAGAACGCATGTCGCGATGGAAGAGTGCTTCTCGATGTAATGCAGGAGTACTCTGCCAGTTACTGCGAAGCCGTTCGCGAAGGGTGTTGCAACAAATGCGGCCTGTCTCGATTGGAGAAATTTGGCAGGACCGAAGTCACACATCAACGGAACTGGGAGGATATCGTGACGTGCTGATGAGACGCACGGCGTCGGCTCTTGCACAAGAAACATCATACGACTACGACAGCACATCTCGGACACAGCCGGTAGCGGCACGTCGCACCCTTTTCTCGCCTCAGCACTGTTGTACTTTTTTCGTTTTCGTTGAGAGGTGACTAATCCATCGTACATTCCTTCACTTCTTATTCTTGTTCTCAGAAAAAGCAATTCGCGTCCCTTGCTTTCATCTCACTTCTCGGATACCGGACATTGGTGCTCCTTTCGGTCGGCAGCCACGGAAAGCTTATTGCAGTTGATTTGAACATATCAGAAACGCCTCACCGCCAATGGACGATCCAACTACTATTTCGAAGAAGAAAATGAACATTTTCAGCCTTCCTGGCGAGCTGCGAAATCGAATATACCAACACCTCGTCCTCCGCGATGCGCCCATCAACGTCGTCGAACTCAAGTGGACCAAGGATCGAACCGGATATCTTCCAGCCTTGATCCCACAGCCTGCTCTTGCACAGACCTGCAAGACACTACGACAAGAAGTGTTGTCTCTCTACTGCGCCGAGAACAGGTTCCAAGTTGGTGTTACATCTGGAGGCCATCAGCTCTGCATGACTGAAGTATCCGAGTCCCTGGAACGATGGGCGTCTTGGTTGGGTCAGGCTGCGAAGCATCTACGACAAGTCACCATATCGGCCAACTGCGAGATCATGGGTCCGAAAAATGCTGCGTACTGGCTGAGAGACTTCTGGGAGATCATCGAGTTCTCGATTCGAATGGATGGTACAGATGGCCTTCAATACCATTTGCGAGGCGATCCATCATTCAACGACCTCTGTACATGCGAACTGGATCGATGGGTCGCGGACACATCCCCAACGTTGATGGAGGTCGTGCTACAGGCGAGCATACTCTGGTTCAACACGACGGACCTGAAGGAATGCGAAGTCTGCAACCGACCTTGCCTGCGCGAACCCGCCAAGGTAAACGACCACATCTACATCTCCTGATCCAACAACGTACGCTGAAAGCAATCGTCCCCGCAGACGTTCTGTGCCTCATCATCAGAACACCTCGCCACCATCCCACGAGGGTCTCCCTCAGAAGAATACCTACCGGCCGACTCTCGGAAAAACTCCTCTCTGCAATCTCAACTCTTCCACCACTCGGCTTTTCTTCTCATCGTCAGAGTTTTCTTCATGGGAGTGCGAATGTCGTCGCCGCTGACGTTGGGCACGGCGGGCGATGTCTCAACATTTCATGTTCGCCGGTTTTTTGCCGGGGTTGGGCCGAGGGGGTGGTGACCTGATTGGTTGGTGGGCGATGTGAGGCGGTATGTCGTGGGCGGAGTGTTCTGCTTGATGTTGGATGGTCGTGGTGCTGTTGTGGTTGCGGTGTCGGCCTTGAGGAGAGTCGAGAGATGGCTCAAGCTGGACTGGATTGCAACGACTGAGGACTGCGCGACGGATCCGTGTGAGCGCCAGAGTGAAGGAACAACATGTCGACACATGACGACGCCATGCACAAGCTGTGCTATTCCAACCAAAGGGTCTAATCATACTCTCCCGGAAACTGTAGAGTCATCGGCCTGGTCCTCGCCATAGACAACAACATCCTATCTGGCCAGCTTCACTTGCAATTGCACACGAGCCTCGTACGTCTCACTGACAAGCCAGAACCGAACAAGAAAGTGAAAACTGCTTTGTCAAATCGCTCCGCTGGTTTGCTGGACCAGCACGACCACAGCTCTGGCTCGAAAAGTCCAGCAGGAGGTGAACGTGAATACTCAGAAGGACCCACCCCAGCCTTGCCCGTGGGCGGGACACGTGCTGCCATGTTTTTGGGGATTGAAAAAGCCCGCTCACTTCGCCTCTTCCTCGAGACGCAACATCTACCTCTGAACCGTGGACTTGTCGCAACAGCACATTCAGGCAGTCTCTTTACGCTGCTGGGTCTGCTAGACACTTGCTTTGAGGCATTGAGAAGCATTGGACGAGATGGCTGTCGAGGAGATGGATTGGGCGAGCGACTCTGATATCGAGTCGGATGATCTTTCTATCAGTGACAGCGCGGAGGTGTGGGATGAGTACGAGGACGATGAGGACGACGTGAGCGACCAAGATAGTAGCGGCGACTACGACGATGGTAGCGACTACTACGATGGATACGAGGGCGATGATGAGGACGAGTTTGATGAAGACGAAGTGGAAGTTGAGGACAGCGAGCACAATGAAGCGGCCGACCACAACGACGAGGACGACAATGACGACGAAGAGGACCGCCCGACTATGCTGCTCTCGACCCAGCTTGCCTTGAGACCAAAGGCCGTCCCACGAGGTCGCTTCCGCCTTCCAACCCTCGCCCCTTTCAATCATACCAAGAACCAAAAGCGCCACCTCCTCACCCTCCCCGCCGAGATCCGCAACGAAATCTGGCACTTCGCCCTCGTCCCCACCCACGACATCTCCATCGGCTCGCGAGAACCCATCCGGAACCTCATCACCGTCAACAAACAAATCCACCACGAAGCCCTAGACATCTTCTACGAAGAAAGCACCTTCACCCTCGGCCTCTACAAGACAATCCGGACCGATATCCACACCATCAACGCCAAGATCAAGGAGCTCATGTCCCGACGTCAGATCCCCCTCGTCCACATCAGAAACTTCAGCATCACCCTCGCCATCTCCGTCGAAGAGCACTACACCGGCCTCACGACCACCTCTTTCTTCCGCCTCGCCGTCCACCGCGCCCAGCAAAACGTCCTCATCACGCTGCACACCATCCCGGGCTTCTACGAAGACCCCGCGCGGGAGAGCTGCGTCTGCGACCTCCTCCCTCTCGTCGCCGCGTTGCGGGCTTGTGATTTCAGTCTGTTTGGCGTCATCTTCCAGGCGAGCCTCGTGTTTCCCACGAGTATGTATCTGCCGGTGGGGGAGGTGTGTGGAGAGTGTGGCAAGCGGAAGTTGTGTTATTTGAATTGGTCGCTTTTGGGGAGGGCAGTGGCGTGGTGGAGGGCGGCGGGGAGGTTTATGGGCCGTGTGAGGGAGATGAGGGGTGGGAAGAAGGAATAGTGGAGAAGAGGGAGCGAAAGGGGGAGGTGCATTGAGGAAGGTGTGGTTGTTTGCTTTGAGAGGATGGATGGCTTTGAAAAGCGTTGGAGCGGTTTTAGGTAGTTTTTTCTTTTGATTGTTTGGAGCGTTTCCGTTGTTCGGTTCAGTATTGCTCCTTCCTCATAGGCTCCTGAATCACATGAAGTCGCGTTTACGCCAAGCCGCGCTGGTGCCTACGGCTTCAACTTCAACATCACTTCTTGCTTGCACTTCGATCTTCCTCTCAGTACGCAACCTCTCGACAAATTTGCATTGTCGTTTGCGACCGCACCGCTTCAACTTCAACATCACACTTCCTACTTGCACTTCGATCTTCCTCTCAGTCCCCAGCAACTCGACAAACTTCACATTGCCCTTTGCGACCACACCAAGTCAAGCAGCGTGTGGTCCGTCCATGCTCCATGCTCCATCTACAACTCAACAGCTCCTTCCTTAACACTACATCAGATTGAAGACCTGAACAAGCAGCCCGCACGACTGAGCCACCACAACTCCTCCCGCCGCCAACATGGCGACTACAATGGCAGCAAACAACGGACCCTGCCATTTCTTCCGTCTGTCGGCGGAGCTGCGCAATCAGATTTACAGAGATGTTCTGGTGGAGAAAGAACAGATCAACATCGACACCCGCGGTCGACCAGGCATGTCCACCAACGTCTTTGCCCAGCCCGGATTCCTACAAACTTGTCTCCAGATTCAATCAGAAGCAAGCTCCATCTACTATGGCGAGAACCGCTTCGTGGTGCGGGTACCCAACCTCGACGTGAGCGGCCTCAAGGCATTTTGCAGACGAGCAGTAGCATGTGGGCAGAGCAAGTACCATTTGAAAGTCTACCGGTGTGGAAGAGGGATGGGCTGGTCCAACATGATCGAGTGGTTACAAGCGTACCATGCTGGGCTGGTGCCCTGCTGCGATTGTGACAATAGCACTTTGTCCATCGCGGATGCGTGCGTACCATCCAAGGTATTTGAGCTCGTCGACGAGCTGGACCCAGACAGACAGATGGCGTGGGACAAGGTGGAACGTATCTTGAATGTGGTAAGGGATATTCTCGATGTCGGGTGGACGTATGAAGGGGCCGGGCTACGCCGTTATTACGGGATATAAGACTGATTGGTGGTTTTGCGTCTGAGCAGCATGTGCGGTCTTGCTATGAGCGTTTCGAGTGATGGCTCTACGAATCGATTCTTTGGTGGTGAGAGGGCGGGAGCGACTGAAGAGTATGCCAAGGGATTTGGACGGTGGCTTCTGATTATGCGTGTTAGAAATGGCCGAGAGAGAGGCAGAGCGGCCTATAATGAGTGTGTATTCATGTCTGAGCGAACAAAGAACATCAATCAACAGAGCCGCTTCAAAAGACATTGCAAATCGCAGCGAGACTCGATCACGGGTAGTGTCGTAAAGCCGAAGTGAGAATATCCGGTCTCAAGATCTTTGTTGCATGAGGACATGGACTGAGAAAGATATGGGACGCTCAAGATGGTGTCTTGCAGATTTCTCGATTCTGGAAAATACATGTTCCAGAAAGTTCATGATCCAAGAATTTCACAAAACCAGGAATTTCTGAAACCAGGAAATTCAGGAACCGGAATCTCCTTTAGAAACGCGCCAAGACGAACATGAGCTAGCGGCGGACCTCGTACCGTAGATACGAACCAATAGCATGTGAGCCCTATCGTCACTTGTGCAGAGACGAGTGTACAGCGACGAGATCTTATAAGGAGAATCGACACATATACACGCGCCTCCAGTACGATCTTTCATGCGCCTGCAGAATCATTCACTCACCATTCTCGACGCCAAACCAGAAGAGACAAATCTTGCCTCTTATGGCTCTTGGCATGACGTTGAGTGAAAGTCTAAATATGTAAAGTCGTACGACTCAATGAACGACAGCTCTAATGGCGAATTGAAGGATGCGAGGGACATCAAGGTGATTCTGGCTAGTTAGGAATGAACATTTAATAATCATTCTCGTCCACAAACCTTCCATTGAACAACTACCCGCAAAGCAACACAACCTCGAAACCCACAACCAACATGCCCACCCTCCCAGCGCAATGGACCCCCCTCGCCTCCACCTCAAAACTCCAACGCTCCTCCCACACCCTCACAACCCTCAACTCCACCCTCTACATCTTCGGCGGCGAGCTCAAACCCCGCGAGCCGCGCGACAATGAGCTGCATAAAATCTCCATCCCCAACAACGACACCAACGCAGCATCCGTCGAATCCATCAAAGCACCCACAACCAACGCACCGACTCCCCGCGTCGGCGCAGCGACGACGAAAATCGGAAACACAATGTACATGTTCTCCGGCCGCGGCGGCGTCGCCATGGCGCCCATCGACGAGAAAGGCGCACTATGGGCTCTCGATTCGGAGACAGATCGCTGGAGTCTAATCTCGCCTTCTTCAGGCGCAGTACCCGAAGCGAGAAGCTACCACACCATGACGTCCGACAACGACGATACCCTCTACCTCCACGCGGGCTGTCCAGAGAAAGGCCGCCTCTCCGACCTGTGGAGTTTCAGCCTCTCGAAGAAGGAGTGGAAGCAGCTCCGCAGCGCGCCGGATCCCCCGAGGGGTGGGACGTCGATGGCGTATGTCGAGGGGAAGGTATATCGGATGAACGGGTTCGATGGGACGAGGGAGCAAGGGGGGAGTTTGGACGTCTATGACATCGCGGGGGGTGAGTGGGAGACGATCACGTATCCTGCTGATGGGGAGGGCGGGCCTGGCGCGAGGAGTGTGGCGGCTTTGGTGCCTGTGAGGGTTGGTGGTAGGGGGATGTGTTTGGTGACGTTGTTTGGGGAGAGTGATCCTAGTTCGTTGGGGCATCAGGGGGCGGGGAAGATGTTGAGGGATGTTTGGGTGTATGAGCTTGAGAAGGGGGTTTGGTCGCAGGTTCAGGCTAGTGGGGGGCAGCCTGATGCGAGGGGGTGGTTTGATGCGGATGTTGTTACGGTTGGTGGGAAGGATGGAATTGCTGTTGGTGGTGGACTTGGAGAGTCGAATGAGCGGTTGGGTGATTTCTGGTTGTTGAACTTTTGAGGAGATTGAACGTGAACGATGTACACGACAGGAGCGGCTATGAAAGCAGGCACACGAGTTACGATATAATACAAACGAGCTTTCCTTTCGTCAAGTTTGCCTGTTCAACAGGTCAGCCATCAATCACACCATCTCAACAGTAGCAAAACGTACCTCCATCTGCCTGTGCGCCTCCTGGATCTGCTCCCATGGGTAGACCTTCTCAATGATAGATCGCAACGACCCGTCCTTGAATCTCGGCAACGCGTGCTCAACCAACTGATCCCTCAGTTTGCCCTGGTACTTCTCGTCTCGACTTCTCAAGCTGCTGCCTTCATACCGCACCCGCTTCCTTACGAAAGCCCCAAAGTCAGCATCAGTATCCTTCAGCTTCATACCGCTCAGGGTCGCCAGGTTGACGATCCTGCCGTCTCTCGCAATAGCATTGAGGTTCGCAGCGAACGTATCAGGCCCGATAAAGTCCACGATGATATCCACACCCTTCCCATCCGTCGCCTTCAACACCTCTTCATCCCACTTCGTCGTCTTGGTGTTGTACGCTGCCTTCGCTCCCAGCTCTTTCACGCAAAAGTCCGTCTTATCATCTGACCTGGCAGTCGCATACCACTCCGAAGCACCATTGACTCTACTCAGCTGCTGTCCCGCAATCGAAACCGACGAGGCGCCCGCATGCCACAGAATACTCTTGCCAGGCTCAAACTCGCCGATCAAGTACATCGCCTGCAAAGCTGTGATGTATACTTCTGGAATCCCGGCGCACTCTTCCCAACTCAATTCATCGGGCTTGTGCACCAGCATGTGCGTGCTCACAGCAATATACTCCGCGTACGCTCCACCATACGCCAGACCAAACACAGCATCGCCAACCTTGAACTCCGACTCGCTGTCTCCCGCCAGCTCTTCAATCGTGCCGCTGAATTCGACACCCAGTGTTCTGGGTGCTTGTGGTGGGACGGGGTATTTGCCTTCTCGTTGGAGAAGATCCATTCGGTTTAGTCCGAAGGCTTTGACTTTAACGAGTGCTTGGGCTCCTGTGATTTTGGGGCGAGGGATGTCGGCGATGTAGAGGTTTTCCAATCGGCCTTTGCCGTCCTTGATTTCTGGGTGCTGTTAGCTGCTGTTCTTCTGAGTGGGCTGGCTCTTCGTACCAATTGCTTTCATGGTTGCCATGGCTGCTTCCTGGAGGATCAGTATTAAGACGAAAGTTCTTGGCTTTAGTAAGGTCCTTTGGTGTTTTGAAAGAGACACACAAACTAGATTGGTAATGAGGCTCTACAGCATCACTCTTTGGTGGGGTCTGCGGGGCAAGATCGCAGCGATGCCGGCTTCCACGCCCCTTCATGCAGGTACATGAACAGCACACGACATCAGCATACAAAATGCATGGAACAGAGCGAAAACACGCTCGCTTCTGTTACCTCGCAGAATTGGAGTCCTCATTCGCGTCTGGGCTCGTTCAGGAAAGACTCGATTTCGTAGGATCCGATTAGCTGCTCATACTACGAGTATCAACTCGTTCCTTCCAATTTCGGCGAAATGCTGGCATTGCCTAGATGATGTCCATCTCACCCTATCACGATCGGAACAATGATTGTTGAGTCAAGCGAATGTTGATGTATTTCCACGTTATCATCATGGGCAATCTTGAATTCTCGCAGTCTTGAACCCAAAGGATCGTCGGTACGGCCCGTCTCAAATCCTTCCGTGTGTGCGCGTACCATCACAATCCATGGACGCTGACCAACCGCTCCTCATATATTCGCCTCAGCCGCATGCATTCACTCGTCGCCATGCAGTTCCACGTGGCATTCGACCCTCAGAACAATGTTCTTGTACATCCTGTCTGCCGTGCTACTGTTTGTAGCCACCACCGCAGTATACCGCCTGTACTTCAGCCCGCTGTCTCACATCCCAGGCCCTAAACTAGCTGGCAAGTCACTCAATGCCAAATGCTGCATGGCGGATCCAATTCCTAATAGGTTCTGCATACAGCTATCACCACATGGTACGCAGCATATCATGACTTGATCCGAGGAGGCCAGCTCGTGTTCGTTCTCGAAGACCTCCATCGTCAATATGGCCCCGTTGTTCGCATTCAGCCTGATCTCGTCCATGTCTCTGACCCTCGCTTCATCGATAAGCTATACACTCAATCCCCCAAGCAGAGGCGCGAAAGATTCTACACCGTTCTGCGTCCGCTCTTCGCGCCTGGTTCAATGCTAGCGGCCGAAGACCATGACCTTCATCAAAGACGACGAGCCGCCCTGAACCAATTCTTCTCCCGTTCGAACGTGCGTCGCCTGGAAGAAGACATCAACTCGACATTGAAGAACCTCTTCCGACGATTCGATGACTGGGCTGATGCGAGAGAGCCAGCAGCACTCATGTGGCCTTTCAAAGCTGCTACCAAGGACGTGATCCAGAATTATGTTTTCGGCGGCGGTGACCAGTATCTGAACATGGATGACTGCAACGAGGCTTTCTTCAGTGCCTGCGGACCAACGCTTCTGACTCCCCTAGGCATTCATGTGCACTGGCTAGTTTCCATCATGAACAGCCTGCCTCCAAAGATGATGCTGGCTATGGTTCCACGCATCGTGACGTTTGCCGAGTTTGTCATGGTAAGAGATTATGTTTTCCCGCTCACATTGTCACCTCTTTGATGAATGATTTGTGGTAGGGTCTGGGCGATCAAATCGATCGTATTCGCGAGTCGACAGAGATTCCCGAAAAGACTACAGTTTTCCACGAACTCTTGCGCAACGAATCGCTACCAGCCTCGGAGAAGACAACCAAGCGACTCCGGGAAGAAGCAATGGTCATAGTCGTCGCAGGCTCAGACACCACTGCCTACACATTGGGTGCTATCGTGTACGAAGTTCTATCCGACAAGACGAAACTGGCCCGACTTAAGAAAGAGCTCGCAACAGTCATGACCTCGGAGTTACCGCCTGCTTCCAAACTCGAATCACTTCCATACCTCAACGCAATCATTCCGGAAGCACTTCGCCTCTACCCAGGTGCAGTCCACCGTCAAGATCGACGTGCTCCTGGCGAGGACCTCATCTACCACAACCCAGAGACGGACACCACCATCACAATACCAGCAGGCACAGGAGTCGGCATGGCGGCTCCAATCGCAAACCGGGACCGTGGCATCTACGGTGAAGACGCAGACGAATTCAACCCAGACCGCTGGATCGATAACCCAGGCATCCGTAAATATCTCTTATCCTTCTCCAAGGGCACACGCCAGTGTCTTGGAATCAACCTTGCGTACCAGGAGCTGCAAACTTTCACCGCAGGTATATTCCACAAGTACGATCTATACGATCCTACTAAAGGGAAAGACGGGCAAGACGGGCCGACGCTGGAGTTGTATGAGACTACCAAGGCAGACGTGGCTATGCATAGGGAATTCGTGACCCCGGCTTTACCCGAGGGTAGCAAGGGATTGAGAGTTGTGATACGGCGATGAAGTTGCTAAGTGACAAGAGTTGCAGATCCAGCTGCATGTCCGCGTATAGAGAGTTCTTAGTCGGGGATTGTGCTGTCGGTGTCGCGAGTGCGGCTGAAAGAACAGCCGGCCACGTTGAGTGAATGTTCATTCGCTGGCTCGGCATTGAAGACGAGTGATTGGCTCAGAGGTAGACCCACTACGCAGTCGCTCTACACGATCAGAATAACACCGGGTGCCCTTGCATATAACCCCGAATCCATCGTCGTAAAGAGTGCCTGACAGTACAAAAGCTCTGCAGAAGGGGCAATTTGAACATCCTCATCAATACTCAATTCCTTCGCCACCACCACCGCATCCCACTCCCTCATCGAGCAAAATGCCAAACAAAGGCATCCCTTTCAACCCCTCCACCGACATCCCCTCCCTCTCCGGCAAAGTCATCCTCATCACCGGAGCCAACTCAGGCCTTGGCCAAAAATCCGCGCTCGAACTCTCAAAACACAACCCCTCCGAACTCTGGATCACCGCCCGCAGCACCGAGAAAGCAGAAGCCGCCGTCGCAGAAATCAAAGCCGTTTCCCCAAACGCGAACATCAAAGCTCTCGCCCTGGATCTAGGATCTTTCGAGTCGATCAAAGCTGCCGCGAAGAAGTTCCTTTCCGAGGCGTCGAGACTTGATGTCCTCATGCTGAATGCAGGCATTTTCGGACATCCGCCTGCCCTGACGGAAGATGGATATGAGATCCATATGGGCACGAATCATCTCGGGCATGCGTTGCTGCTCAAACTCCTGGCTCCTCTGCTCGTCAAAAGCGCAGCAGACGCAGATGTGAGAGTCTTGATCCTGACTTCGATAGGCTGGAGATTGGGTCCCAAGCAAGTTCTCGAATTCGAAACCTTCAAAACCGTCGAAGGCGCGAGCCCGATCATGCGCTACGTGCAGAGCAAATTCGCGAATATGCTCTACGCGGAGCAGGTCGCGAAGCACTTCCCTCAGTTCACGACCATCTCGCTGCATCCGGGGGAAGTTGGCACGGCGCTGTTTTCGCGGGAGCCCGGGGATGAGCAGATCCGGTATTTGCAGAAGGAGGTGGTGCCGACGAAGATTGTGCCTGTTGATGAGGGTGTGAAGAATCAGCTCTGGGCGGCTGGGGCGTCTGGTCTGGTGAGTGGGGCGTATTATGAGCCGGTGGGAGTGCTTTATCAGGAGAAGCTCCAGGAGGGTCATGTTGAGATCGCGGAGAAGCTGTGGGATTGGACGGAGAAGGAACTCGAGGGCCAGGTCGTGTGAGGCGGTGGTGCCGTACTAGTAGGTGTGCAAAACTTCACTCAACCGGTGTTCAATCCATAAACTTCTCTTCCGCGACAGACTTGTTGGTCCAACATTGCGAGAGGGAGTCGTATTCCCGTGACAGAATCTCGTATTCCGATTCGCCCATTTTACGTTTACATGACAGACTCGTCATATCAGCAGGTGAGTCTGGCAATACGACCTGGACATCAAAGAGCCTGGACTGAGCCGGGATAGCAGGCGGCATCAACTCGTCTGCCCGTGGTTCGTCGAGGAAATAGAAGCCACCGGCAAATGGATCACTACTCCACAGTCCAGGCTCTTCAATCTCGACAATCTCTTGTGCAACCGCAGCGGCCGTCGCCGAATCGCAAACAGCTTCCATACTGTACGTTGATCCAAGAAGCTTGACGGCTTGTAGTCGAAGCCTGCGGACGCGGCATTTGATCGCGAGATAGTACAGCGGCCAGATCCATGCACCGTCCACCACGAAGGGAGCAACATCTGCTCTATGTCTGATGCAACCATACAAGTCAGCAGGGAATACAGAGATATCACGGGTAGGGGAACTCAACGCATATCTTGTACTCGCAAACGCTTTCGACATGCAGAACTTCCACGTCTTGATCGACTCTGCGATGATGCTCCGAAAATCGCTTGTAGAGCGGTCATATGACCCTTCGTTGCCATGATCGAGTGATCTATCCGCCATGATCTTGGCAGCAGTGTAGCGGGTCACCAGGCTCTGATACGCAACGGGTGCAAGAAATCCATATTTGGTGTGAAGGTCTTCTTTCGAAGCCTGAAGAGTATCGATCCAGTATGAAAGATCTGACTGCAAGTGGCGCTGACGCTTCACCAACTCGAAGTGCAGCTCATTCCCTGGAGAGGTAACTTCTTTCTGCAGGCCCCGCTCGGTGAGCTCTAGGACCTGGATGAGTATATCGTCGAGGGTATCTCTGGCGTGCGGGATGGAGTCGAATCTATCCGTCAGTGGTGGAGCAATGGAGATTTGCCAGGCAGCTGGCCGAGATGCAGAGATCTGACCGAACAAGATGGCCTGGAGGTTGAGCCTCGAGAAGGCACAGAGGAGCCACTTGTCGATAGTGTCCCGCGAGGAAGACGACACCTCATTGGCAGGGCTGATGATCTGGCGAGCTTCAAAGCTGTTGATGACCTTCACGCCATACTCAAGATGTCGGACCCCGGATTTGATATGCCCTCGCATGAATTCTAAGATGACGAAAAGCATACACACGATCAACACCACACGCACAGACGCCCGGTCCGTCACAGAGAAGCATTTCTGCACGTCAGCGATAGCCCTGCTGTAGTGCAGCAGCATGAACTGTTCCTGCTTGTCCGGCGAGCTGTCGTCGGGACTCGTGCCCACAGGAGCTATCTTGGGCAGTCGCTTGTGCGCACATCCTACCGCCAGGATGGCATGCAATGCCGCCGATTCGCTGTGGCTGGCTTGGATGGCCAGCACCTCCCAGAAGCCCGAGCCGAAGACGCCTGGGAGCTTGATCGTCGTTCGCGACCTGTACCACTCAAAGTACAGCTTCTCGTCCGGGCTGGTATTGGCCAGGCTGGATGACAGCCCCATGCATCGATACACGTCGAAAGTCTCCTGACGTGCCGTGTAGTGGCTGTCTGCATCCCCACCACCCCCTACAGAATGGCGTCAGATCCGAACGTTTGCTGCACACCATACATATTCTCGGCGCTGCCGATGGAATCTGCTCACATATGCCATATCCCTCACAAATCCTTCCAGTCGATTGGCACCGATGACAACAAGGACGTCCCTCATCGCATTTCACTTTGCGGACTTTACACGTCCGACAGCCACCCTTTGTCTTGTTCTTGGACTTCGGCTTCACGAGCTGTACCTGCCCATCGCCGGCTTGCTGGGTACTTTTCCTTATCGCCATAATCCCGTCTGATCCGTCCTGTTAGAGATTGTCGAATTCCAGGCGAAGGGGCGTCATCTACATGGCAAAAGGGCCGCGGTGTCAAGTCTCGGGCTTTTCCCACGGCTGACCAGAGACATTGAGGTCAGCGAAGCTTCAGCCGCGCTGTGGAAGAGCACGCGGGAACCGGCATTAGCGTATTTCCAGCATCATCTGGTTTGCTGGCTCGGATTTTGAGCACTCTGATTGGCTGTATCTGAATGAATCCTTCTTGTCACGCATGATAGTTGCCTGTGAGTCCGGAAGAACTGCAGCGAAATTGATGAGGCTGGGTAAGACAGCAAGAGGTGAAGTGGGTTCGGCAGCGTCGACCAGCCGTTGGATATCAACGGCCATGGTCTGTGCGGTATAGTAATTTCTCTCCCATTCAGGTCGGCCATCAAACTTCCTCCTCATCATCATCCATTCTACTCTTCAGTGCTTCATCGAAGCGGGTAACGAGGGTGCGATAAACCGCTATGCTTTCACACACCCAAGTGCAGCTCTCAAGGCAGAATCCACTAGAACAGCACGCCCGAGCTGGCTATGAAGCCAAGCACATCTTTCGCTGACAACGTGTCGACTGCTGAGAGTCGCAACTGGAATACTCCTTCCACCAAAGCAGAGATCCGTTCCCCTGCTATGAGACCAGAGGCATCCAGAGCTTTCGCAGCCACAGCTTTGAACAATCTCATCTGACCATGAGTGTCGATGGCTATGCTCAGGGTCACCAATGGCCATACCAACACAGCTTGCAACACATCTGCCTGGCAAAGCTCAGCGACTATGGTCAAGCCCTCCTGGAAATGCGGACTAGTCGAGCACGCGCAGGCTTGAAAGTCAACACCCCGGACAAGATCGGCCAGCAGGGACGACGCATGCCAATGCAGTCTTGAGGTGAGCTCGATCTGGCGGCGTTGAGTAGAGTCGCTTGGAGGTGAGCCTCCAGCCCACGGCGGCACGTTTCCAGCGGCTAGGTAGTCGGATATCGCTATTGCTTCGATCTTTTCTTTGTCGCTGAGTGGCATCCGATGAGCGAGCCACGACAGCCTATACATGATGTCCAATAGTTTCGATCCAATTGGCCCAACCCAAGGACAATGTTGCCATGTCAAGGTTCGATCGATGGCTTTTAGGCCCGTCGCCAAGCGTCGTGTCATCGTTTCAACATGATTGATTGGCAAGCCGGACGGTGACTGAACTAAGCAGTTCAGAGTTGTCCTCAAGATGTAACCTTCTAGGAGTATAGCATCATGAGTGGTGGATGGCGGCGTGGTCTGGAAGCTGCTACTAAAGAGCATGTGGGCTGCATTCAGATGGCTGGTGGAAACTCGCATCATCGGATGTCGGAGTCCATGTAGCTGCAGAAGGTCAGTACACAGCTTTTGCATTGACATGAGTCCTTACTTCGAATATGTGTAGCATCAGCATAGTTGCTCTTTGCCATTCCCAATCAGTACTGCCGGCTTCGATTGCTTTTCGAAGACCCTCGACAGCGTGCACATGGTGCACCAGGGCCTGATGTTTCCACTTGGGCGTCGATGGCGATGTCACAGCTACACTTGAGGCTATCCAGGCATGGAGTAGAGCCGGATGATGCTGGTGAGCCTCAAACCCAAGAAGGAACAATGATCCTTCGAACTCATGTTCCCGGGTCAGGACGCGGTGCTGGAATGCCAAAGAGATCTTCAGCAGCGCAGCGAAGGACAATCCACTGGAGAATAAGTCAATGTTCGTGCAATGATAGCTGATGGCTTCTTGATACATACGGCGAAATAGTGGTAACGATCTCTGGCAGAGGTGCTGGCGGCAAATCCACTAGTCTCAAATCGCTCAGACCAGGCGTTGGAGACCTTATGGCGACCTCAAGGCTGGGAGAAAGACTCGAAGGTGACAGCCCATCGAGCTCTCGGCCAGCAAGCGGTGATTTGATCTCCGCACAGCCAACTGAACGCGCTCTCCTGGCCGACGGCCAAATGCACAGATCGTGTTTGTGGCTGTTGCAGCAGCGACCGCATCGGGGCTTCACGTTGTCGCACTTCTTACGCTTTCGCCTGCCTATGTCTCGTTAGCCCTGCTCGTCTTGATAATGGCCAGTGTCTTCGCACATGGTAAGCATCCGCTATCAGACCGAGTCAACTTGGCTCGCTGAGTGACATGCGTCAACCCATCTGCCGTAGCCTGGAAGCTAGCGAACATGGCACGCCAGTCATGACTTGGCGAACGACCAGGCTCTTGTGTAACGTGGTGAGAGGTCGGATGGTGGTTGATGTCGCGGAAGAGGTGGAGTCCGTGGAGAGGAGTTGTCGATAAAATTACGGGAGCGTTCCGCTCCTGAAGCGGAAGGTACAGGCCGAGGTGAATGCCGGGGTCTGTGCCGGGGTCTCTGGGACTTCATGAGGCATATTCGATATCTTCAATCCTTTGACCATTACACAGGTCGCTCGAAGGTCAGAAAGTACCTTTATCGTCAACTACATCATGACTTCCAGCAGATCCCAATCTTCACCCGGAAATGACTATTCCACCGAAAACATCAAAATGAAGATACCAGGCATGGAGTTCATCTATCGACTGGACTGCGAAATGGCCAAGGAGAATCATCTAGTCGGTGCACCTTTTGGCGGCACGAATTCGAGAATGATCATGCCGATTGTAGGAGGGACAGTGAAAGGACCAAAAATTGATGGCACGATTCAACATATGAGCGGTGCAGATTGGGGAACGATGGTGAAAGGTACAGATGTAGGCATATCTGTACCCGAAGACTGACATATTGTCGACTGACGATCTCAGTACATGCGACTAGACGCTCGTTACACCCTCAAAACGCACGATGGACATTATATCTACGTCCGGTCAAAAGGCATATTCTCTCCCCAGAAAGAGGATCTCTTTGCGAAAGGAGAGCCGAGTACGATGGCACAGTCCGATGTAGATTGGTTTACGAGGTTACAGTTTGACGCCGGGCCTGGACCATACGACTGGATGAATGGAGTTTTCGGTATCGGGGTCCTCTCAATGCACAAGGGCAGGATCATAATCGATGCGTATCGTCTGACGAACTTTCCGGGTGAAGCAGCGAAGGATATCAGTGCGAAGATATGAAAATGCAAATAGAAGTGTGCATTCTGTTGGGCTATGTCGAGTTCAGGATCTTGTCAATCACAGCTGCCACCTGTGTCAATTCTTCGTCTTCTTGTTTCATCCCGACTACTTGCACAGCGAGCGGTGCGTTGGCAAATTCGGTTGGTCCTGTATCTGTAGCAATAGAGAGTCAGTGGACTTTCAGCCAGAGTTGTTGGCTCACTTACACAACTGGTAGTTACGTCGATCACGTTCACCATGAATCGCATGCTCCACAGAGTCTGCCTCGTCAACAGGTTGCACCTTTCCAGTAGGGATGATAACGGCTGGGTAGTCCAATAAGTTCCAAAGCGCAGTGTATGAGATGGGACCCCATTGGTCCAAGGGGGTTGCTGTTGTAGGCGCAGGCGGTAGCACAATGGCGTCTAATCTGTTATCAAGCCAGAGGTTGTGATACACCTGTTGTATCCGCGATCTTGCCGCGTTGAGCTTGAAGTAGTCTTCCAGGTTTGCGCTTGGGATACCTGCAAGGTTGATGTTGCGCACAGAACGCACTTCAGGCTCGCCACCGGATGCGAGTAAATTTTGTATGAACTATTATCTTTGTCAGTACAACCCGGCAGGAAAGCATACCTTTGGTTGAGAGACAGACCTTGCTACCATCGAGTGAGAACATTCGCATGATTGTGTCGACCGCCTCTCCCACATCTGGCAGCGAAAGATTAACAATTTCGACTCCGGCATCTCCCAACTTGCGAGCTGACTCCGCGATGTTGCGTCTGACTGGTGGCCACGGTGTGAAAAGACCATCGCGAGACACCACACCAATACGAAGCTTTTGAGCGGCAAGCTGCCCTGTCCACGGTCGATGCAGACATGCTGGATCATAGCGCCACGGCTGCGCCTCCATGATGGTCTTCATGAAATACGTGCAGGAACGAAGGGATGTTACCATAGGTCCTGCCACTGGGGAGATGCCCGGTATTCCTGCTGGTGCTGGTGAACGTTGGCCGCCGTAAGGTACAATGCTTGCGCTGGGCCTGAAGCCGTAAATGCCATTGCAAATGCTTGGAATTCGAATGCTGCCAGCGATGTCCGTGCCCACTCCAAGAAGACTGCCTCTGAGTGCGATCAAAGCTCCTTCGCCGCCTGACGATCCGCCCGCGGTCAGAGTCAAGTTGTTTGGGTTGAGAGTGCGGCCGAATACGTTGTTGTCAGAGTCCGCTGTCATCTAGTGGCTGATCAGCATTCGATCGCATGGATAGCAGAACCACTTGGGAGTTACCATAGTCTGTGGAACATTGGTCTTGCAATATAACACAGCTCCAAGGTCAAGAAGAAGCCTAGGCAAGGATGAGTACAAAGTATCGGGTTCATTTGCCCAGCAAATCAGGCCGGTCGTCGAGTCCACACCAGGTACCCTGAATGAGTCCTTGATAGAGATGGGCAGTCCATGCAAGGGTCTCAATGGCAGGTTTGGGTTAGCAGCTTGTTCTCGGTCGAGAATCTTTGCACGTTCAATGGCCTCGTCAAAGAATATCTCGGTCAAGCAGTTGGTCTGTAGTCTTGGTCAGGTTTATTCACAATAGACATCGAAAGACTCTACATACCAGCTGCTGCGCTATAGCTGCTCGTTTGCAGAAAGCCCGAGTGACTTCCTCTGCTGAATACTTCTTCGTCCTGATATTCTCCAGTAGGTCGACAGCATCATGGTCCGAAGTGATCGTCAACTCCTTGCTGCTTAATAGGCCGCACTTCGCTGGAAGGTCCAGCACGTTCTGGACCGCTTTTGATGGTGATTCGATTCGCCATTCTGATGGAATCAGGCTATCTCGTTGCTCCCGCTTTCCTTGAGCAATAGCCTTGTAGTCCTGCTTGATGGTCATGGTGCAAGTGATCGCGATGGATGGGAACGATAAGAGAGGTAGGGTAGAGTCTTGTCAGAGATACGCGAGTAGGTGTATGATACGGGCAAGCTGGCTGAGCAAGACGGACCTACTTGAAGAGGATGCCATGTTTCCAGAGCGGGATCCGCGCGAAGGCCTGATTCCGCCCGCCCTCACGATGCGTCTCAGATAGGCGTGTAATACGGCAGTTCGATTCTCCACCCGGCGACGCCTCTGTTCATTAGGTATAGTGGCGGTGGCTGCGTGCGTGGAGGGAAGGAGGGTTAGGTCTAGAGTTGGCGCGAAATTCATGTTTCATTCACTTCAGTCGCGATTGACAGAAGTCGTAGCACTGATGTTAACTTGACCTTGGTCTTTTCCAAACAGTCGATTTTGTGCTCTACGCATCTCTCCGACTTTTCACAATCGACTGTGTGTTAATTGCATACGAACATGCTTTAACGGCTCCGCAGTAATGGGGATTGAGGTCCTTCTTTGAGCGGACATCGAGAGTATTGCTGATTCACGGGAGGTCAATCTGACCCATGCAGCGACTTCTGGCAGACGCTAAAAGGCGGTTGAACTAACCGGGTATAGCGCTGCACGGACACCCCTTTCTGTATCAACTACATCTTGTTCGCTTGATACAACAACTCAAGACCAACAAAGAGGGGAAGCCTTATCTCTATAGCCATCCCAATGAACTGCCGAACATCTCAGCTGGAATGGCACGAGGTCTGGAGGCGCCTCGTTGCCCGGCAATCATGTCCATCTCTTTCGTCTGGAGGAGTTGACAGGATATATCAATCGCCTGGGACCGTGGATGAGTGATCTCGTGCATACGTTTCGAGCAGTTCTGTGTTTATCCGAACCATGGCCCCCATCGCAGTTGAAGTGCCTGCAGATTCTATGTCTGACTACGATGTTGTTCCTGGCACTGTCTACTTGGTAGAGGGCTCTCGCCAGGCTGGCGCTCCTCGCGACATCTTGCTTTTGCCGACGCCGTCTTCAGATCTCATGGATCCACTGGTGAGATTGCCATAGTTATAGGCGCCGCTACAGTCACTGACATTTACAAAAGCGATGGTCCAAATGGCGAAAAGCCTACCATTTATTCTTGCTAGTGTAAGAATATCCTCTCCAACAAGCAAGCCACGAATCGCCGCTGACATTCATCAGAGCCTACTCCTCCCTCCTCGGCGCTCTCACAAACTGGGAATCCGTAATCTACCTCAACCTAACCGAAGCCTACCGCACCCCCATAACAAACCTCAACATCGGCCAAGCCATCACGCTCCTCCTCCTCGGCGTCGGGAACGTCTTCTTCGTACCCCTCTCCAACAAACTCGGCCGCCGCTCCATCTACATCTGGACTCTCGTCCTCGTCCTCGCCTCCGAGATCTGGATGATCTTCTCGCGCAGCATCGGGGATTACCAGGGCGCGCACGTCATTCTGGGCCTAGGGGCCGCGCCCTTTGAGGCGTTGGTTGCGATTTCGATCTCGGATGTCTATTTTGCGCATGAGAGGGGTTCGAAGTTGGGGTATTATGTTTTTGGGTTGGCGTTTGGATCCTTTGTTGGACCGATTTGTGCGGGCTACATGACTGTTGATCAGGGGTGGAGGTGGATTTATCAATGGGGTGCGATTTTGACTGGGGCGCTGCTGGTGTTGTTTTACTTCACGTTCGAGGAGACGCACTTTGTCCGCTCTTTCGATGCCCAGGAAGGTCAAGTCGTGTCCCTGGAGAACGTCGGGGATGAACAGCGTCGTAGATCTCTTGGCTCTGCCTCCTTGAAAGTGAAGGAGATGGACAAAGATGTCGGCGCTGAGCTGCAGAGAGAAACTACACGTGGCCTCATAGCAGGCGAAGTCTTCGAGTCCGACTCCTGGACCCTCCAATTTACCCTCTGGAAGATCTTCCCTCACTCCTGGATCGAAGTATGCCGAGAATTCTACCGTCCACTCCAACTCTCGATGTTCCCAGCCGTCCTCTGGGTAATTCACCTCCTCCCACCACTCGTTCCACACTAACTCTCTCACAGTGCGGCATCAACTACGGCACCTGTGTCTCCTGGCTCGCTGTAATGGGAACCACGATAGCCGAAGTCTTCGCCCGACCGCCCTACCTCTTTTCCAGCAGCGACCTCGGCCTCATCTGGATCTTCCCCATGATCGGCTCCCTCTTCGGCGCATACTTCTCAGGACCTCTCAACGACCGTCTGACTCTGTACCTCAGCACCCGCAATCGCGGCTGGAGGGAGCCCGAGTTCCGCCTCTGGGCTTTCATCCCCAGCGCGCTGATCATGCCCTGCGGCCTTGTCATGTATGGCGTCACATCCGCTCATGGCTTGCATTGGATCGTGCCTATCATTGGTACGGGCTTCGTTGGCTTTGGACTGAGTGTCGGTGGGACGGTCTCGATTGCGTATATCGTCGATTGCTACAAGGACATCGATACGCAAGCCGTCACAACGATCATTCTGATCAGGAATATTGTGGGGTTTGCCATCACCTGGGGCATCCAGCCATGGATTGATGGCATGGGTCAGCAGAACGCGTTTATTCTGGTTGGTGTGCTGAGCTTTGTAATCACGGGTTTTGCTGTGGTATTCATTGCTTTTGGGAAGGCTTTCAGGAGGTTGATGGCGAAGAGGTATGCTGGACTTGCTGCCGAGGCGGCAAGGATGAGTGGGTGATTGACGCTTGGGCACTGCGAGGGTGTATGATGTGATGGAGCACAAAGGAATGAACGTTACGTTGAAGAGGTCACCTCAAACAGTGTACAGAGAAACTCGATCTCCATACGTCTCTTGACTTTGGATTTTCCTCGTCTTATCCATCTGCTGGAAGAAAGTCCCATGCCCTAGCAGCGCTTGCTGCCGTGCAAAGAGCCTCTGTTACCTCAAAGAACTCCCCTAGTGTCCTGTCACGCAGCGTCTGCGTCTAAGTCTCGCAATGTAGAGCCGAGCACCTCAACGACCGTTGGTCATGTCCCAGCACAGCTGCCAAGCCTCATGCTCGCGCGTGCCATTGCGAAGGCCCATACACTCCTCCCATGCACTCTTCAAGACCGCGATGTTCGGCGTGGTGACCATAGTGCGCCGCACGCAGGCATCCTCGACGATGTCCACCATCACTCCCAATCGATCCATAGCCAGACAGAACGTGAGGAAGCAGCCCCTCTTCTGAAACTCGGCGATCTTGTCTGAGTTCATCAGACTACCGCGACACTCCTTCAGCTGGTTTCTGGCTACGGTCAGCGCGTAGGCGGTGCTGTAGTGCTGGTCAGTGAGGCCTAGAGCGTTGCGCTTGTCGTTGATGAAATCGCGGAGGAGGGCGTCTTGGGAGAAGTAGGTGGAGAGGGTGGCGATGATGATGTTGGAGTGATGGAGAGCGTGGAAGAGGAGCTGGTGGAATGGCATTGGGCTAGTGTTCTGGGGTGGCACGGCGGATGCAGGCTGGCTGAAGGTGGTGCCAGCACTGCTGACTGACTGCGAGGGTCCGGCGGCGGCGGCGGCGACGGTGCGGGTGGCATTGGCGACCTGCTTGTAATTTGGGATCTGTGGGCCTGGTGGTGCTGAAGAGGTGGTGGAGCCACTTGGAGTACTCTTCGCCTGAGCTTGAGAGCTGCTGTCGCTTGAGGGTGGTGCTGGCGTAGAGGTCTGAGATGCCGCACCCTCGCTGCTCTTCGACATGTTCTCTCCATGCACAGAGTCAGCTCGAGAGTCGGCTTGGGACTTCACGTCCTCGACCATGCTAGATGGTTGCGTCAGTCTATGATGAAGTGTTTCAAGTGGTGCGGCGCAACTCACCGGCCTTCGTGGTCGCGCTTGGAGCCCATCTCGCGGGAACGTGCGTAGTGGTCGTAGACGTGGAGGTCGGGGTCGAAAAATGGTGGAGCCAGACCGAAGTACTTCTCTATGCACCAAGGCGCTAGGAACTGTCGAGGTGGACTGGGCGGTGGCCGATGAGGACTGCGATGGAATGTCAGCGATGTCGTTGGCACTATAGTCCATTGCAAACAGCCACGGGCGGACTCACTCCCAGTCGGTAGACTCGTCGCTACCGATCAGGATGTTCTTGTACAAGTCGTCATAAAGCTCGAGTCTGCTGCAGCTGTCGCGATAAATCATCTGCGGAAGTGTTGGCGAAGGATGTGAGCAGCAGTTGTGTTCGTACTGGCTGCCGGAAGTGCAGCTTTTGTACGAGCGCAGATGTGCAGCGTCTCAGATTTGTTTGCACTTGGAAGAAAGGCAAAATGGTGTTGCTTGAATAGGAAGGTATGACGCTAGCGGACGCACTGACCACCAAGAGTGGTTTTTTCATTTCACTCTCATTCACTTCATGCCTGTCTCGTAGCTTCCAGCTATTACTGCTATTCACTGGCGGCGTAATTTGATGCTGTCATTGTGCCAGGACATGTTCGGTTTTGTCGCACCGCAGTAGATGCCAGGATTGGGAGTTTCGGAGCATCTGCCTCTCATGCCATCTCGCTGTGAATAGCTCAGGTTCGACCTATGCCGCGCCAGACGTTCTCACAGGACACCCGCAACAGTATCTTCAACCCTGCCGATGGCGAGCTCGTATCTTCGTAACTTCATCTCTTCGTACATCATGTGCTATCGCTTGAGTGAGGCAAACCGCTTCTGCAACTCATCCACATCCGGAATCTTGCCCCCAGGGCCGCCATTCGTTTCCTTTGCTTTAGCTACCTCACTCGTCTTCTTCATCGGTTTCAGATTGAGCGGGCCAGGCACATTAACCTTCGGTCGGATGTTATCAGTGCTCGGCGAAGGGGGAGCCACGGAGACGGGGCTTTTTGGACCCATATCCCGTGGAGGAGTTGCTTTGCTCAATTCATCTGCTGCGAGTGGGGCTTCCAGTGCCTTCACCTTCTGTCCACCTGAAGGGTTTTCGTCGTCGTCGTCATCGGCACCGTCCTCTCCTTCAGCGGCCGCCTGCTCGGCTTGTCGCTTGGCTTTGATACCCGGCGGATAGTCCACGCCATATGCATCCGCAATGGTCTCCAAGTATGCCTCAACCAACTCTGGCTTTGGAGGCTCCACCCTCAACTTCTTCACTATCCTATCTGGAATCTTTCCATCCGAATTCTCCACAGCCTCCAACGTGAACTCTTTGCCAAACTTCTCTGCCAACAACGACCGTACCAAACTCAGCTCTTTCACTCCTTCAATCTTCGGCGCCGAGTAAATTATGCTCTTCACGGCCTCCTCCAAACCCGGATCGCACTCTTTCGCTTCCAGCAGTCCCGCTCGCGCTGTGAGCAATTCGCAGTAAAGCTCGAGGATCTCTAGCAGCTCGGTGTTGAGGTCTGATCGGATGATGTTCTCGACTCTTATCTTGGCACTCTCTATCTTCCCTGCTTCGAGGAGCTGCGCCATCTCTCTTCGCTGCTGCTTCGCGAGTGCCGTGTCCTTCTGCTGTACCATTCGTAGTCGCGAGACGCTCAGCTTGAGCTGGACTTTGATCTTGTTGACGAGTGACGACGTCGGCGCCATGGTGGATGTTGGTGCGTTCGAGCGATGAGGCTGGGCGGTCGTGAAGGGTTATTTTCAGCTGGGCCGGTATCTGGTTGCCTTCACATGCTTGCGGGCGATTGAAGTGAGGTCCAGCCGCCCCACTTTTCCAAGCTCCAAGTTCGACTTCACCTCGCGGCAGCGGCACGGCACGAAAACAATCCATCACCACATCAACACCGACATGATACTGCGGAATAGAGGGCTGCCGCGACAGATCCGCCCTTGATGGAGTCTCATCACAACACCTGCTGTGCGTCTACAAACGAGTGATGTTCAATGGCGACGAGCATCAGGAGCCACAGAGTCATCCGTGAATGCACCACATTCCGCGACTCTGAGATCCACATACACACTAATCGCCCAATTGAACGACACTTCGTCCGAACGCACGACAGTGTCCAACGACAGAGGCCACAAATCCGCCGAAAATACAGAGGCATTCTACAACTACTACTTGCAAGCAAAGGCCAGACATGTTGCTCAAATCCCCTGCGCATGGCTCCACACGTTGAAAGTGGAGAAGTGCATTGCGGCATTGCCCCCGGACCTGGCCCATAACCCACTCCTTGTGCTTGAACGAAAAGACGATGATATCGACCTACTCAAGAAAGCTCTCCAGGCTCAAATCGCAACAATACATGCCCAACATGCTACCAAGGATGCACAGCGTGCTACCTACGCACGTTTGCGGGTGGGGATCAAATCCCTCCGTTGGCTCAATGCGCGGCCAGGGATCTACTCTGAAAGGATCGACGCTGAACTAATAGCATGCATCGTACACTGTATGGTAGCAGAACATGCTGACGAATTCATCTGGGAATGGATGAAGGTCAACCATGATGCTGACCTGAAATCTCGTGACAACCCGAACTTCAAAGTGTCGTGGAAGGGTTTCGTGTCTCGTGCTTTCCTTGACAGCACAGCGTACTGGGCTAAGAACAGGACTGAGGGCATCAACGAGGCAATTGCGCTGTTCGTAAACCATCTCGTTCCCAGTAGCAAGGCAATGGGGATACCTCTGACCTACTCCGCTCTTGGGCTCATGAAGCGGCTCATAAATCTCGGGGACAAGGGAGTAGACGTGTCACTCTACAAGCGATTCGCCTTTACTGTTCGTGTGTGGGACCAAGATGCGGCCAGTCAAAACTTCACGATATCAAGACATGCCCTCCAACATCCATCCGATCCGGACCCATTTCCCGCATTGCGCTTTCTACAGAAAATGACTCTCCGCGGCCTAAAAGCGCCTTTGTTCAAGATCTTTTCTCACCTCGAGATGGACGGACGGCTTCCCTTCTGTTTTGGTACCTCGTCAAGGTTGCACAGACGCTTTCAAAAGGGGGAAATCAGAATGCAGCACGCTACGTCCTCGACTTTGGGCGAAGGACACTTCCCTTTTATTTTGATATGGAAACGGCCAACAACTACAAGCATTTGCAATCGTCTGCTCCAGTCCGACGCGACTTCTTAGAAGCACGAGGGCACTATCGACGGACGGCAGATTAGCACTCTCGCCAGTGGCAATGACCCAAGCAAATCCTGCTGAAACGAAACGGAGAGAGGACGGCTGCGTCAACAAAAGTCAAAGTCTACAGGATAATTATGAATTGATAGCGAGACTAGGCGCTCACAGTCAATTGTGGGCTTCCCCAGGGACCACCAGGAATCGTCTTACAGTCGCTTGTGACGGCTCTTCGAGCTCTCACACGAGATGTGCGCTACTGCCAGACGCCCGAGGAGCAATGCCAGCTGCCACCAACGATGGCTTATGCGGACAAAATAAAACCTGTTCCTTCGCATCAGCGCCATCTGCGAAGGGTCGTTGCCTTTTGGTCAAACTACCACCACCACCACCACCCCATGCTTCGGGAGCTGTTTAGGTGATCTCGAATGCGAATGAGTCGCTCTTGGAGACAAGAGAGATAGCGGTTACATGTGATCCTGTCTGGGTTGTACGACAAGGGTATCAGCGCCGAAGGACTCGCATCGAGCTCTGTGCAGTGACACTTGATCGTCCAGAAGACAGTTTCAGTTCGCAAAACAGGGGCGGAAGAGTGGAAGTGGAAGGGCCCATACACGTTCTGGACCACACATGCAAATGAAGGAGATCAGACGCGATGAATCAGAGTTAACAGAAAAGCTGCATTGCATAAAAGGAGTAGAGCTAAGAATAAAAAAGATCATCATGTAAAAAACCATCTCATCTCATCGCATCGCATCGCATCGCATTGCTCATTTCCCGCATTCAAGTGTTCGTTGATCATCATCAATCTGCTCTCGTTCATTCAACAAGTTCCCAAAAAGACGTTCATCATTGTCATCAACAGGCAACGAGTGCAGCATTGCAATGAAAATCCAAAAAGCATCATCCAGGGGAATCATCATAGAATCGAAAGAACCAACGCGAAAAAAAAAAAATCGACGACGCTTATCCCAAGAAAATTCCAAAAACGCCAAGTTTCATGTTCAAAAGTCTCCCATCTCTCATCACGGTCAGTCACCACACAAGCCGGGAAAAACGCGATGCAAGCAAGTCGTGGTCCAAACTTCGGAGGGTATCTTTTTGCAAAATGCATTCCCGAAGCACGTCTCGTCTCCCTACGTTTGTGCGTTTCCAGCATGAAATGATTCGTTTCGTTCCGGTTCGTGTGCTCAAAATAGCAGGTATGGATGCTTTGGGTGTGAGAAAGGTTCGGTTGTCGTTACGGGTCGTTAAGGTCGTGACATAGGAAAATTGGAGTTGGATGTCGGATGGGTGTGGGGTCGGCAGTTTCGTGTGTGGTGTTGGTGCGGTATGTGTTGTTTCGTTTTGGGTTTCGGGTGTTGTTTCAAGACCTGTGCTCGGCGGCTCTGTTGCCCTCGCTGGTGGCGACTGCGACCAGGGCTTCCAGTTTGGCCATGTCGTTGTTGGGCGCTTGGCTGTAGTTTGCCTGGGCAAATCGAGGGTCATGTCCGGACTGCAGGGCATATGTTTGTGGTGGCTGGCTTTGGGCCTGCATGTAGGTTTGGTATCCGGAATCAGCACGTCCGTGGTCGGTGGATTGATGGTAGACTTTTTGTTCGTCCGTGGTCATTGCCGTGCCAGGAGGGTACTCTGCCATGCCGTTGGGGTTGACAATGACAGGGTTGTACTCGTTGACTTGGGACGTCGAGGGTGTAGGCACACCATCACTACTGCCAGAATCCTCGGGAGAAGGACGCTGTATACCGTACATGCCTTGACTGCCGTGCGACGGAGTGATCGGACCGCCATACCATGCGTTTCGCTTGTTCTTTCGCGGTGTAACAGGCTGCTCTGGCATCGACATGTGCTTCGGGGGCTGGACATAGTGCTGCTGGGGTACTGGAGCCTGCTGGTTGAAGTAGATAGGCTGTTGCTGAGGCGGTGCTGGCTGGGTTACTTGCCATTGTCCCTCAGCAGGACCATTTGCAGCAGCGATGTCGAGCCTTGTTAGGCCTTGCTGAAGTCCAGCGTCAGATGGTCGGCTTGAACTTGGTGGCCTTGGCGAAGCATCGACCATCATTGGGCTGGACTGCTGACGAGGCCCTGGAGGCGGAGCGTGGTCAAAACTTTCAATCCCAGGGAGTCGGGTCATCTGGCTCGCAGCCTGTTGCTGAGTGAATGCCGGTCGCGGTTCATCCGGGGTCTGATGATACGTCAATCCGCTCGTGGCCGGTCTCTGCGCATACTGCGAGTTGCTGCTGGGATGCCACGTCCTTCTTCGATACTCCATCTCCGTCTCAGATTCTCGGCGTCCTTGTGAGAAAACAGAACTGGTTGGACTGGCAAAGACGCTGCTATTTTGGGAGAAGTTTGCCGACTGTCCCGAGGGAATGGGGCTGAAGTATGGCATGGGGTATGTTGCATTCTGGTTTTGGAACGGATTCTGCCCAGAAGGGACGGACAATCTTCGTCCTGGCGCACGTGCTCCGTTATAGAAGGAAGACCTTGACAAAGTCGAAGCTGGCGATGCCATTCCTGATTGAAACCGTGGACTCTGCGCTCCGGCAGAGAATTGAGATGTAGGCGTGCTGTATCCCGTCGGAGACTGATTGTAGTAGACGTATTGTTGGCTTGGACTGCCACCCATGCCGTTGTTGTATGTCTCGAGTGACAGTCTCGCGCGAGCAGACGGGTCATTTGCCATGGCCAGGGGCTGCGGTCGTCGTCGAGTATCTTCCGACACACCGACACTGGAAGTCGTAGATCCGATGCTAGACGTGGACAGGTTTCGACTGTGTCCTCTCGAGTGTCCCCCATTACTACCAAGAGTCGACGCACGTGAGCGACTGCCAGGTGGTCGCACTCGGTCGGTTCGAATCTGGCGTTGAAATCGTGTGCTCGTTGCTGCGAGCGAGTCCCCTGGTATTTCCTCATTCACGTGGACAGTCTGCGCATGTTGCCGCAGGTTGTCCAGGCGAGAGAAACGCCTTGAACAATGACATTGGAACGGCCGTTCGCCCGTGTGTTTCCTGATGTGTCGAGCCAGATGCTCACTGCGGGTGAAACTCAACTGGCAAGGTGGAAACTCGGTACAGAAGAACCGTTGCCCTTTCTTCTTCTTCGAGGGCCGTTGCGATTCGCTGGTAACGCTCTCGTTGTCCGAACCGTCGTCTTCTGCGCCATCTTCATCGTTCGCCTCCCCCATTTCGACGTCTATTGACTGGCTCTCCGACTTTGCGGAGCGGTGTGATGCATCTCGCTTTACCGAATTACTCGACTCTTGCGGCTGGTCTTGCGACTGGGCGGGTGTGATCGGTTCGTCTGGTAAAGGCTTCTGGCCTGGCAAGCCACCGAAGCTGTGCCTCGTGGGTGTGTTCGGCGACGACTCGTCGGCGTTCATGTCGTTCTCGGGATGATCTAGCAGACCCGTGGTAGGTGTTGGGGTGGTTGGTGTTTGCGCTTGACCAGACTGTCCATCTTCTGGCACTGTCAGGTCTTTGTTGACGGCAGAAAACGTTGCCATCGACTCGACGAGTGTAGTCGCAGGTTGCTTGCCAGCTTACCGCCGGGCTGTGCGACGTTGAGGCGTGCGCTGCGCACAGAAGCAACGGCTTCCTACGAGTATAGGTGTGGGCGCTCACAACAACTCTTTCCCAGACGTCCGAGTGTGTGCGATCGAGTGTCGCATTCGTCGCAGTGGGTGGTTGGGTGGCAGAGCCGCAAGGGTAAGTGTAAGGCTGGGAGCCGTTACGTCGGACGGGCCGATCGCAGCAAGACTCGGCCAAGCGGTCGTGAAAGGAATGACTCGAACGGAAAGTGTCGGCGGCACGGCGTCTAATCGTCAGTCGCCAGACAATGATCTCGGGCGGCTGCAGTTGTGCAGAAGGTAAGTGAGAGAGGAGAGGCGTAGCACTGGAATCGCTGACGATGATGATAAGGCACGCTTGAAACAGGCTGCGGGCCAGTGCAGGAGGGAAGTCGAGGATTCCCGCCACACTACACGCGGATGCTGACGAGTGAGCGCAGGCACAAAAGTCTCATCAGCGGCGGATGAGGGGAAACAGCGAGACAGGACAAGACTGCGCGCAGGCGAGATGTGCTGCTGCACGGGTCAGGCCCGCTGCGATAGGTGGTTGAGCTACACCTGTGGACGGGAGCGACGATGGCAGCGCGGATGGCGCTTTGCGTTGTTGCTGCTGGCTGGTGGAGGGGCGGCGGACTACTGACTGGTGGGGTCTGTACCGTCGAACTTCTGACATGCAAGGATGGCTGTAGGTTAAAATCCGCCCACGCAGATCGCTCTGCGTTAGAGATCCGCAGCAAGCGTCGCCGGCGACAACGACCGCCCCTACAGGCTGCTGCTGGACACGGCGACAGCGCTGGGAATGAGGCACCCGTCGTCGCAGACTCGCAGAGCGCAGCAGGCTCAAGCCAGAATGCTGGCTGTCGTGTCGGAAGTGGTCGGAATGGAGTGCTGCTTGGGACCAGCTCGATAAGCTCCTCCTCTCGCTGAGAGGTGTGGTTCAGGTTTCGTTTGGTGCGATGACTGCGGGCTGGAAAGAGAAACGGCGGGTGGGAGGGCCTGGCGCTGGTACCTCGCCCAGCCCTCGAACTCAAACGATGTCTACTTGTCCTCGACACCAGGTACAGAGTACGGCCAGGCAGGTACAGCGCGTGGGCGTCTCTGGCACGGTCTCGAACGACCCCACATCCAACATCGCCGCCAAGTTGCCCAAGTGCGTGCTCGCATTTGTGCTCACCTGGCCTCCGTGAAGCGTCCTGTTCGTTGCTGGCCGAGTATCTCACCGGTGCCGTATGTTCACATGCCACCATCGGAACAGCTAGCGGACCTGTCGAAACACCCGGCCTAGGATACAGCTTCTCCTTCAAACGTCAGCTTTGGCGGTGACGGAGAAGATTTCGCCAGCAGGCGTGCGACACTGTGCTGGCGAAATCTTCTCCATATTGCTCGAGAGTGCCCGCTGCCCTCTCTGTGCTTCCCACCTCCGGGATTCTGGTGCTGTGTCTGCTGTTGAGAAGACCAATCGAGGCATGGATAGAAGGATCTTCGCGGCTTTGCGCAGTGGTGTGCATGAGCGCTAAGCTAGCGTGCTGGAGCAATCGCGTCCTGCAAGGGCGAGATACCTCTAGCCAGGTACATAACCTTCGCCCAACGAAAGAGGAAGACGCGGCGATGCCGCCCAAAACAGGCGTTGCATCGAACTCCATACTCTGCTTCGCGGTATATTTGTCGAGTGCCTGTGAAGACAACGCAGCTGACAGCTTACCGCCATATGCGCGGCACAGAAGGTCTTGTCATGTGGTTGCCTCTGAATCAGTTCGCGAATGCAATCGACGCCGGGAGTGGCGCTCTCTCGGTTCCGTCGTGATATATCCGACGCCAGCCATCTGGTGCCTGCCACTTCTCAACCACCCTCGATTTTGTTTCTCCACGTCATTCGAATCGACCAAGCACAGGGTCTTACAAACACCTTTGTTTTGCGCCATTGACCTGCAAAGGCCGTTGCTGTTGCGAGGAGATGGAGCAGATTGGACGAATTTGCGAATCGCTGGAATCGGCATCCGGGCTTCGGGTCTTGGAGCTGGCACAGCAGTCGGGATATCATGCATCGCATCACCTGCTGATAATGCGACGCGAGTCTTGCAGTAGTATGTAGGTAATGCTGAGATTGATAAAATTTTGTCGACTTTGAATTATCCAGAAGAGGAGGTGACGTCGAAAAAGAGTTGTTGAAATGGTCATTCATGAGGAAGCTACAGCCAGCCGTGACTTCCTCTTCAAGCTCGAGATTGCCATTTCTCCGACATGCCATCCACAACTCACCAGGACCGGCGCAATCCCATTATACATGTTGTTGATGTGTCAAGCAAGGCATGGCGGCCAAGTCACTGCGTGCATTTATGAAGACCGGCGACACTGCATCGCGCATCACAACATGCACTGGCGCTATTCATATGGAATTATCCAAATAAAATCTCACCAAGGATCAAGTGAGTACGCCGACAACAGCTCTCAGCTCCATGCTGCAGGTCCAGTCTCGAGAGGGCAGATACATATCGCTCCCGTGGTCATCGACCTGGGCAGTTCGAACCAATCCGAACAGGCCTGCGTTAGTCGAGTCGGAGCTGTTGCTGTTGGAAGACACGAATCGTGCGATGGTAGGTCTCCCCTGGTATTGGACCTTCAATGGAGATGGATCATAGGCCTCCTTCCGGACATGTTCGCGGCTTGAGGCCGGAGGTCGGGCTGGCGAGTAGAGCACAACAGGTAAGAAAGCATGACCACGGAGAAGTGTCAGGATGTCTGCGGTTATTAAGAATAAGTTTCTGCACCTTGTATTTCCGTCTGGCAACGAAGTTTCAAGAGTTGCGAGTGCTTGGTGGCTACATAGTCGAACGTCGTCTCGGGGAGATACGTAACCCACATCGAATCTGAGTGTGATGGCATCCACTTCAATCAACCACTCGCATGACAGACGCAGTGAGTCACTGCCTATACCAAAATGAGTGTTGTTCGTAAGAGACGACGGCTCAATGTGTTTCGTCAGGCTCGCTCGTTGCAGCCAGCGATTCGATATCAAGTCCCAGGCCAAGGGAGCTTCATGATGAGAGAAGCACTGCCGAAGTGCGTCGATATCAAGGGGATTTGGACCATGTCGAAGCGAGTGGAAGGAGGGTGTTGTGTGGTTGAAGTCCCCTGAGATCCATGCCAAGACAGACCACGGACCATCCCGCGCTCGGTCTCTCTGATTGGCGTGACGTTGCAACTCAGGGAAACGAAGCACCACTTGTCAATAAGAACCACATCTCCATCGCCGCCTGGACCCTCAGACTACTTCAGAAAGCGGTCAGCGGCATTCACAGCAATCCGAGAGCCTCGAAGTGCCATTTCCACGACCCTCGCGCAATGCGCCCATGATCGATCGGGCAATTTCTCCTCCACCGACTCTCGTCCGCGGCTGCATGTGAAGCTCCTACTTTAGCACCTACACCTCCGCATCCATACCCCATATCTGCCTCGAACGCGCAGCAACACCAAACCATCACAGTCACGAGACTGTGCATAATCAGCCATGGCCAACCCATACCAGGACGGTGGGCCAGACCCCGAAGGCGCTCAACCCTACGCCCAGGACGGCGGATATGATCAAAGCCAACAATCCTCAACACCAGGCCCCGGAGGAGCAGCAGCTGCTGCGAAGAAGAAGCGTGCATACGCAGGGCAGGCATATGAATTCGGTGCTGGCGGCAATGCGGCCGCGGGAGCCCAGCCTGGAGGTAGTCAATTTCCGGGGCAGCAACAACCACAGATGGGTGGATATGGATATCCAGCTCAAGGTGTCCCACAGCAACCTGCATATGGAATGCCACAGCAGCCAGCGTATGGCGACCCCGGCGTGGGAAGTCCAGCGCCCCAGCAGCCCGTGTACGGCCAGCCCCAATATGGTGCACCTCAAGGCGGATACGAGCCTCCAGCTCCTGGCTACCCAGCTCCTGGCGGCACTCCAGGAATGGCACAACAAGGAGGCGTCCAGGGTATGACACAGCAGTTCTCGCAAATGGGCGTGGGTGGACAGCAACCACCAGCTCAACCTCAGCAACCCGCCGTCCAGCTCAGACTAAACCCATTGCAACCCGTGGATATCAGTACACAGGGCCCGCCGTTCCAGATCGCCGACGACCTGAACCAACCTCCACCGCCTATCATTCTACCACCAAATGTAAGTTCTGATCACTCGTTAAGATTGCTATGGCTAATGTTGTAGTCTTCCGTGACCCCCTCCCCACACGCAAATTGCCCGCCAAAGTACGTCCGATCGACTCTCAACGCGATGCCAGCGACGTCGTCCCTTTTGAAGAAGAGCAAACTCCCATTCGCCCTCATTATCCAGCCCTACGCCGCGCTCCACGATGCAGAGGACGATGTTCCAGTACAGCACGATCAGGTTATTGCCCGATGCAGAAGATGTCGAACATACATGAATCCTTTTGCCAGCTTCTTGGATCATTCTCACAGATGGCGATGCAACATGTGCAACCTCACGAACGATGTTCCACAGAGCTTCGACTGGGACAGCGTGAAGCAACAGTCAGTCGACAGGTGGCAGAGACCAGAACTGAACTACGCTGTGAGCGAGTTCGTTGCTCCACAGGAATACATGGTGCGGGCTCCACAACCTTTAATCTACCTCTTCCTCTTCGATGTCAGCTACGCTGGTGTCACGTCTGGCCTTCTCGCGACAGCTGCACGATGCATTCTGGAAAGTCTTGACCGGATACCAAACACTGACCGAAGGACGCGACTTGGGTTCATGGCAGTCGACAGTTCGCTGCACTATTTCAGCATACCTCGTGACGGTGGCGAGAGCAACGACGCGAAGATGCTTGTGGTCAGCGATCTGGACGAGCCATTCTTGCCGACGCCGGAAGACCTGCTGGTTAACCTGACGGAATGCCGTGCAAACATTGAAGCTTTCCTTGGCAAGCTACAGGGCATGTTCGCCAGCACTCAGAATGGCAGTTCGGCCATGGGGTCAGCACTGCGAGCCGGTCACAAGCTTATCAGCCATGTTGGTGGAAAGATTGTGGTGTTGTCCGCAACTCTGCCAAACGTTGGACACGGCAAGCTGGACATGAGGGAAGACAAAAAACTTCTTGGCACCTCGAAAGAGAACAGTCTGCTGCAGACCCAGAACAGCTTCTTCAAGAGTTTCGCCGTGGAATGTAGCAAGACTCAGGTGTCTATCGACATGTTCTTGTTCAGCGCGCAGTACCAGGACGTTGCTAGCTTGAGCAACCTGCCAAGATATACTGGCGGACAAACTTACTTCTACCCAGCCTGGAATGCTGCGAGAACAGAAGACGCCATCAAGTTTGCTACAGAATTCAGCGACTACCTGTCGTCAGAGATTGGGCTGGAAGCTGTGCTTCGTGTGCGTACTACGACCGGCCTTCGACCAAGCGCTTTCTACGGCAACTTCTTCAACAGATCCAGTGATCTTTGCGCATTCCCAGCAATGCCAAGAGACCAAGCGTACGTGGTTGAAATCGCAATCGACGAGAGCATCACGAAGGCCTTTGCATGCTTGCAAGTGGGTGTGCTGCATACGACGTGCAACGGGGAGCGTAGGATTCGTGTTATGACGCTCAGCATACCTGTGACCCAGAACATGGCCGACGTCTACGCGTCAGCCGATCAGCAGGCTATCACCCACTACTTCGCGCACAAGGCCGTGGAGCGAGCCCTCAGCAGTGGCTTGGATGCTGCTAGAGATGCCCTCCAGGCGAAGCTAATCGAGCTGCTGCAGACGTACAAGAAAGAGCTTGGAGGTGGCAACATGGGCGGTGGTGGTCTGCAGTTCCCAGCTAACATGCGAGCTATGCCCATGCTCTTCCTAGGCTTGATGAAGAATGTGAGTAGCGCAAGATCTCAAATCATTGGATACATTGATACTGACCTGTGTTTAGCTTGGACTTCGCAAGTCTGCACAAATCCCTACCGACCTGCGATCTGCCGCACTGTGCCTGCTTTCCACCCTTCCGTTGCCGCTTCTGATGCAGTACATCTACCCTCGACTGTACTCGCTTCATGACATGCCCGACGATGCTGGTCTGCCAAACCCAGATACTGGCGCCATCGTCATGCCGTCGCCGCTGAACCTCACCTCCGGCAACATTGTTCCCTATGGTTTGTACCTGATCGACGATGGTCAGACGCAATTCTTGTGGCTCGGTCGCGATGCAGTACCGGCCCTTATCAACGACGTATTTGGCATTGAAGACAAGAACCAACTCAAGCAAGGCAAGACCTCACTGCCGGTACTGGATTCAGAGATGAACGAACGAGTCCGCGCCGTGGTCGAGAAGTCACGCGACCATCGGTCCAAGGGCTGCGGCAGTATTGTCGTCCCTCCGCTTTATTTGATCAGAGAGGACGGTGAGCCTAGCCTGCGCCTTTGGGCACAAACGATGTTGGTCGAAGACCGTGCAGACCAAGGCGTCAGCGGAGCGATGTTCATTGGCATGTTGAGGGAGAAGGTTGTTTCATAAAAGCATGGGGACGGGCGAGTGTGAGCGTTTCTTCAGCATGGCAGTATGGGTGGTTGGGTGATCCTATGCGGCAGATGCGGGTATGTGCGCAAGTATGCGCTTGTTGGAGAGCATTAGTGAGTAAAATAGACGAGGAAAGAGTACGTAGGTACGGAATATGAGGAGAGTCAAAAGTTTAATATGAGGTGAATGTTCGACAAACTTTCGGTCTCGGTCTCCGCGCGACTTCGCGTACCTGCGTCAACGCGTCATTCAAGTCTATCACATTCCCACTGTATCAACATTCAACATGCCGAAGCGCAAGCTCGTCAAGGGACCGTCGGATGGTGAGGATGAACTCTCGCCGCCTCCGAAAGATCTCCTAGAGAAGGGGAACGGTATCGTGAATGGATCTCAGGAACCTCCTGCCTCGAAGAAACGCAAGACCACGAAAGCGGCACAAAAAGTAGAAACCGAAGTCGAGCAACCAGTCGAGAAGCCGAAGCGTGGACGCAAGACCAAGCTCAAGGTCGAGGCTGGAGAGGAAGAAGAAGCTGTAGGGGTAGTTGCCAAAACTGCACCAAAACGAGGCAAGAAGGTCGAAGAGGAGGTCAAGGAGGCCACGGTCGAAGAGAACGGCGAAGAGAAGAGCGTCAAGACTCAGCGGAAGAGAAAGACAAAGGAGGAGAAGGAGGCTGAGATGGTGCCTCTCGCCGCGAGGACGGTGGGCCATAAGCTGTTCATCGGGGCGCATGTCAGTGCTGCTGGAGGTTGGTCTCCTGCAAAACAACCCACACTTGAGATAGCTGTACTGACATGATTTTCATCGAACTAGGTGTCCAAAACGCCGTTCTCAACAGCACCCACATCGGCGCCAACGCTTTCGCACTCTTCCTCAAATCTCAGCGCAAATGGGCGAACCCTGACTTGCTCGCCGACCACTGCACATCATTCCACGACCACTGTGGCAAGCATACCTATGACCAAGGAAAGCACGTTGTGCCTCATGGCTCGTATCTGGTCAATCTTGCCCATACGGACAAGGCACGCACAGAGCAGGCTTACACGAGTTATCTGAACGATCTGAAGAGATGCGAGAGGTTAGGGATCAAGCTGTACAACATTCATCCTGGAAATACGGTTTCGAACGATCGTCAAGAGGCGATCAGACATCTGGCGAAGAATCTCAATGCTGCGCATAAGGAGACGAAGAGTGTGATCACGTTACTCGAGAACATGGCCGCGGGTGGGAATGTGCTCGGATCCACGTTTCAGGATTTGGCGGACATCATTACTTTGGTGGAGGACAAGAGTCGTATTGGTGTCTGCATTGACACTTGTCATGCTTTCGCGGGTGGCTACGATTTGCGGACACCGGAAGCGTGGAAGAAGACCATGGACGAGTTCGGAGAGACCGTTGGGTTTGAATATCTTCGAGCATTCCATGTGAATGATTCAAAGGCGCCTCTCACCAGCCACCGAGACCTCCACGCCAACATCGGAACGGGCTTCCTTGGCCTGCGAGCTTTCTGGAACCTCGTCAACGAGCCCCGAGTCGTCGGCTTACCCCTAGTACTCGAGACGCCAATCACAGTGCGAGATGACGAAGGCAACATCGTGAAAGACGAGAAGGGCAAAGAAAAAGAAGACAAATCCATCTGGGCCGAGGAGATCAAGATGTTGGAGAAGATGGTGGGCATGGATGTCGAAGGCGAGGAGTTTCAGGAGATGGAAGAGCGGTTGGCGAAGAAGGGGAGGAAGGAGAGGGAGAGGATTGGAGAGCAGATTGAGAGGAAGAGGGAGAAGGATGAGAAGAAGGCGAAGGGTGGTGGGAAGAAGAGGAAGAAGGGAAAGGGGGAGAGTGACAGTGAGGGGAGTGAGGTGGAGCAGGATGGTTGAGCGCTTCTTTAAGGCTCGGCGCTTAACGACTCGCCCTTGACATGAAATGGATGCGTTGGCAGAGGCCTGTGCCTTCAAGCTGAGGCTGACGACGGCCTGCGAGACGACTTTGTTCGGCCGAGTAACTGTGGATCACTTCGACTACATAGATGCTGCCGCATGCTGAGCCGGTACCCTGGCATCAATCACTCTAATTTCTCTTCGACTAGACTGCTCGTCACTCTCTTCCATCATACAACTGCGACAGTCATGGGAGCTGCCTACACATACGATCGATTCTCCGACCCGCAACGACAAATTCGACTTCTGCACCTTCACTGCAGCGACGATAGGAACTCGTCCTTGACCGGTCAAATTGAAATTTACAATGTGCCCACGGATGGCACAGTCATGGAGCCTCGTTTTGAGGCACTTTCGTACACTTGGGGCAGCGCTACGGCTAACAAGCAAGTGTTCGTAAATGATGAGACTCTGATGATCACGGACAGTTTGGAGTCTTTCCTTCGCGTCCGTCGTCAGCCGCAGCAAGAGTTGGTCTTCTGGGTGGACGCTATCTGCATCAATCAGCAAGACGTCGAGGAGAAAAGCCAGCAGATCCCGCTGATGGGATTCATCTACACCCTGGCGTGCAAAGTCACAATATGGCTGGGTCCGAGATCCGACGACAGCGACTTTGGCATGCAATGGCTCAACGAACTTGGCGAGGACTCGCCGTACGCGAAGATGCCATTGCTCTCAAGCAAATCTCTGCGAGCTGTTCAGAACATCCTCCTCCGACCGTGGTGGACCCGGATGTGGATCGTTCAAGAGATTGTGTCCGGTGGCTTCCATTTCAAGATGCACCACATGCACCTCATGTGTGGTGATCGAGCTGTTTCCTGGATGAACCTCGTCATCGCCGCGGCTCGCATGCGAGCGTATCAAGACGACCAGCGGCAGTTCTTCCCAAACATTGATCGTATCTTGGAGCTCGATGCATTGCGGGACAGTCCGCTCGGCCTTCGTCTTGCGGGTCCCTACCGTGTCTACGTCGAGCGGTCTCTGTATTCGCCCGTGCCCATGCTCGCTCGCTGCCGGCGATACGACGCCACAGATCCACGAGACAAGGTCTACGCTATCTATAATCTCATCTCTGAGAGCATACCGGGTCTCGACCGGCCAGATTACAGAGCCTCCGTAGAAGAAGTCTACACAAACCTCGCCATTAGTCGATATGAGCAAGACGACGTTAAGCTCTTGACATACTGTGGACCATCATCGCTTGATGCTCCGTCGTGGGTCCCCGACTGGTCGTTGAAGCCGCGCTGCCGGCCACTGCCTACTGGGACTGGTTTGTACTCCGACGTCCCTTGGTGGTGTGAGCCTCCAGATGACAGTGCACCCCAGACTGAAGAATATGGCCCATATAGGGACGCACTGGGAGAAACCCGGTCGAGGAGAATTGTCCAAGGCTACATTTTTCGTGGCTACCATTTCCATGGCTACAATGCGTTCGGGGAGCAGATGGCTTTCGAGAAGGCACTCAGAGTCGAGCGATTAGAGCTCGCAGTGAACGAGACTAAGCTCATGAAGGCATTTGAAGCACTCTCGCCATCAGCAGACGCCTCGAAGGGGCCAAGGCCGGGCGAGCTTGCTGAGTTGGACACAATCGTGTCAGCAATGGTCCGCGAGGTGTATGCACGTGCAAGTAAGTCTACCCTGAGTCCGCAAGATCAGCCGGGCCCTCTCAAAGAGGGCGAGCTCGTGACTGAGCGTCAACAAAAGACCAAGTTGTTGAGGAGCCTGGAATACTCTTCTCCGCCGTATGCAGCAGGGGGAGATGTATCATTCAAGGTTATTGTCGACAGCGCAACGGGTGAAGCAAACGTTTCGGGTGTACTCTGGGACACTATAGATACAGTCCACAGCGAGCCTTTCCCGGATGATATTGAAGGGACTTGGCAGAATGCGACCCTGTTCATGGTTGCTGTTGGCCTGTGTAAGGCCCTCGCGACAAATCACCAGGCTGCGAGGGAGCGATACCCTGACATTCGATCGAGGATGATGGCATTTTGGTCCACGTTGCTCGCGGGGCAGATACTGCTGATTGACCAGTCGCATGTGATTTGCGCGGGCGGAGAGAAGATGGACTACATGAACTGGCTGCCTGAGATTGACAAGACGTGGTCAGAGCGAGCTCCACCCTTGACTCCAATGACTAGCGGTCTTATACACTTGCAACAAGTGGTCAACGACAATCGAGAGGCCGCTGCACTGTTGGACTTGAAGACCTTCGTTCAGCACGACTGGCTGCATGGCACAGAGAACGAAGACCGAAAAAGAGACGACGATGAATCTCACGTTAACGAAGACGTCCAGAACTTGTTGTTCGGCGACTGGTCCCAAGAAGAGGGCGCAAGCTACGAAAAGGAGCTCAGTCGACTGGGTTCTCTTTGGCGCCAGCAGCCGTACGATCTCTACCACCGACCCTTCAGTCTACTCAACGTTGTCCCCGATCCATTCTGGGAAGATCGAAAGGAGCGAGACGAGCTAGCCAAGCGAAAGACTTTCGAGCACAAACCACTGCCTATGACATCGCCGGGACCAGGAATACAACCAGGCTCTCCAGAGTACGGCGAATACGAAAAGATCGCCCAGCGCATTCAGGAGAGTGCGAAGAGAAAGATCAGCCTCGATCCACCTGGAACGCTGGACATTGGTATAGAACAGTATGCACTTGGACGAAGGTTTTTCATTACGGAGAAAGGGTACTTTGGCCTGGGCCCTGAGACTGTCCGCCCTGGAGACCGAATCGCTGTATTCTTTGGGCTCTCTGTACCGCTGGTTCTCAGAGACCACGAGGAGTCTGGCTTTCCAAGCAAGACGGTGTTGGGCGAGACGTATGTCCATGGTGTTATGGACGGCGAGGTGTTGCAGCAGTGGCGGGACGGATGCGTCGAGCATGAGAACGTGCTCCTGCGATGACAGCGGTGAGGTTGTAAAAATGGAGAGGGGGAAATTGCATTCAGCCCAGGCTATCGAAGCAAGGCTACTTGTTGCCACGGAGCAACGACGTCAACATCAAATATGGTAGGAAGAGTGGGAAGAGAAGCCACAGGTCGAGGTTCGTCCTCTTCATCCAGGATGGAATCCGCGCATCTGCCGTTTCGAGGTGGGGAGGTCGAAGTTGTCTGCCAGCTGTCACCTTGATCTTGTTCTGGATGCCCTCACTCTTCGAGTGTGAGCTCTCGAACCGCAGTTCATGGTCGTACATGACCTCTTCGATCGTCTGGGCTGCGAGGTACTTCCTCTCTGCATTCGCATGTGCGATTCGTCGAAGACGCAGGACATTCCTTGCGAAGGACCCTTGGACGTCTGTTACAATCGTGCCAATGGCATGCTCCAGCTCCTCGGCTGTGAAAATGTTCTTCTCCAGCCTGATGGCGACACCAGCTGACTCCAGCCGCTTCGCATGGCCGAATTGATCTCCATACATGCCCATGGCGATGACGGGAACCCCATGAAAGACGGCTTCCATAGTCGATGATCCTCCGCAGTGAGACAAGAAGAGACAAACGGACGGATGATCGAGGACGGCTCGCTGAGGAATCCAAGTATCTTGAAACAGCCAGTCCTCTTCGATGGTCGAATCGATGTTCTTCGTCGCCCAAATCACGGCGTCAATGAAACCAGCGTTGATCGCTCCACGTATGCCCTTCAGGAGTCGGTTGAATCGATCCGCGTTCGTATTCACGTGCGTTCCAAACGCGACGTACATGACCTTTCCGTCTTCGAAGCGGTCCAGGAACTTTGCCAAGGCACTGTGTGCCGGAATGGGTGGGAAGCTGTCTGATAGTACCGGACCGACCAGTCGTACTAAAGGCGGAAGATCCTTTGGTGTCTCTAAGCCGAAGAACGAATGCACAAAGTGTACATGATCTGGTTTGGCTGTGCGATTCGCACTTTTGGCTACGACTCCTGCCTCTCGGCGCATAGCCGCATGCTGAGCGAAATGATCTGTTGCTGCGTGGTACATCTGCAAACGCAAGATCTCTTCCCTCATGCGATCGACGAGGCTGGCATGTTCGCTTGTAAGATGCTTGTCCTGATATCCAGGGAGTCCAGGGATGTACGCTGCTGGAGCCACGGCAGGATGCATTTGAGGAAACATGGACGCAAGTGGTAATTGAAGTTCCCTTGCGACATCCACGCACGCATCGTCCAGCCCGTCGGCAAAGACGAAGTCTGGACGGTTCGCTTCGCAGAGAGCTCGCACGTTTCTGAAGACCTCAGGCCACCATTTCGCGAAAAGAGAGAGGCCTCGAAACCCGGCCACTCTTTGCTTGTGAGTCGCAATGCCGGAGGCTTCGAACGTTTGGTATAGCTCCCGGTCTTCTTCTGGCGTCAGATCGCGGCCGACCACGTGGACTTGGGAGATGAAGGGATAGGGGTCGGCTAGCTTTTGCCATCCTTCCAGACATGCGAAGTGGATTGTGTGGCCTCTTGAGTGCAGAATGCGGCATATCTCGAGGATTGGAGCTGTTACTTCTTGTCAGCTTGGTTAATGGCCTTATCAGAAGAACCGTCGGACAGCGTACCGGAGCATGAATATGTGGTGAGCTTTAGCATGAGGCTACAGTGCCACGCAACAGGGGATTGGGATCCTACCTCCCGACAGTCGCGACCGCGAGGATTGTACGAATCGGTCGAGTCTCAAAAGAAGCAATAGAGCGAAGCGTCATGTTTGCTTCAGCGAACCGCGCACAGCTGCGAAGACAGTCGTGGCGAATACTCTTTACTTGTGTAAGAAGTCTGAGTGGTGGCGTGTCGTGCTAACTGGATGCCTGCTGCATCAAGTGCAACCGGAAAAGGTAGCTGCTCACATTTTCCCAACATAGATAACATCGATTGCATATACGCGGTCATTCGTTCACTTTGTGGCGGTGAGCCATACCATTGCGACGTCGACGGGACTCTAGCACTGATCGAGCTTTCAGTACGAACATGACGCTGCGGCGCTGTGAAACAGATCCTTCGACTTTGGAATACAATAACAAGTCAAGGTTGAAGACGCCTTTATAGGCCTTGGGAAAGATGTCCCAGCTCATTCGTCAAAACAATGGCTGCCAACTCCACTCGTCCCTCGCGGGTGTTGCTGTTCGGGGACGAATGCGTCGACAAATTGGCTGCGGTTGAAGAGATATATGACCTGTCTCGCTCAAGCCTGGTACTGCGAAGCTTCTTGCAACAAGCTATTACGGAAGTTCACCACGCCGTATCTGAACTTCGGCGGGAAGAGCAACGATCTTTCGGTCTGTCATCTAACGACATCCTGGAACTGGCAGAGAGCTATGCTGCTCAGAAGCCTCTGCCGCCGATAGTGGGCGATGTGCTGTTGTTCGTCGTGCAGATCGGCCACTTGATCTTGTATGTTTGAATTGTACTTCTGATGATCTGACACTGACTCTTTGGTGTGAAGGCGAGCCGAGCAGGATGGTTCGATACTCGCCCAAGACAATAACAGGACCATTCACCTCCTTGGGTTATGTGTCGGCCTACCAGCCGCATGTGTCGCAGCCGCAGCTCGCAATATCCCTCACGCTGTCGGACTTGCTACTGCGGCCTTGGGGGTGATCGTTCGATTTGGAGCAGCACTGCATCGCCGTTCTCAACTGATCGAGGCGCAATCAGGTGCTTGGGGAAGCACGATTGTCGGCAGTCAGGAGTATGTGGAGCAGCAACTACAGGAGATCAACGAGTCTCTTCCACTTGTTCGACACGCCTATGCTGGAGTCATCTCAGAGACTTGGACGACAGTCTTTGCTCCTCCGTCAACCACATCTCTTCTTGCCAGCTCTGTGAAAACGACGAGCAGACCGCCTTATGCAACGGCGTCCAGTGTCCATGCATCGCACTTGGCACCGATCGATTTGGCTGCAGTAGTAGGCTCTCACTCGGCATTCGAGATTCCTGTGCTACGAGATTCAATAGTTTCCACAAGCACGATGGCACCATGTAAAGCTCATACCTTCAGAGAGCTCCTTACTTTGGCACTGCGGGATATCTCAGAGAAGCCGCTGCTGCTGGACAGGACAGTTCAAGCACTTTCGCAAGCTTTGAGTGGTAACGAAAGAGTTACTCTGATCCCTGTTGGCCCTACAGCACACACAGCGCTCGTCAAGCGAACGCTAGAAAAGAACCATGTCGATGTTCAGGTGTTGACAGCCGACAGACCTATGAGTGATCGGTACAAAGACAACTCACCGGATCGTATAGCAATCGTGTCCATGTCAGGACGATTTCCCGGCGCAGAGAACATTGAAGACTTCTGGCAACTGTTGCAAGCCGGGAAGACCATGCACTCACCAATACCACCGACTCGATTTGCAGTCAGCGATCCAGACCTCAAAAAGCTTTCTGGCTGCTTCTTGTCAAACCCCGGACTATTCGACCCCGAGTTTTTCAAGATGTCACCGAGCGAGTCTATGCAGGTGGATCCTATCCAGCGGATGTTGCTGATGGTCGTCTACGAGGCGTTGCAAATGGCTGGCTATGTGCAGAATTCGAGCCCATCTACTCAAAGCGAACGAATATCTACTTTCATCGGACAGACGACGAGTGACTGGTAAGTTCTTCGAGCCGTTCTCGAGATGACAGCGCTGAAAAAGATTGCTAGGCTGGGCATCAATGATCAACAGGGCGTCGGGACGCATTACGTCCCTGGTAGCCTGCGAGCATTCGCAGCAGGACGTTTAAATCACGTCTTTGGGTGGGGTGGAGGTTCGAGCAGTATCGACACAGTGAGTGAGGAAACCAATCATTCGCTACTTGCAGCCATCTGACGTTACAACGAGGCTCTGTCACATGTGATTTGGGCAGGCCCAGGGTTCGCCGAGACGACACGATCCGCGATGCACCCCGTTGGCCACGACAAGCCGTATCCGCCTAGCGACATGGAACTCGAAGCTTACATAGCAGAGTTTCGAAGATGGTTCACGGGCAGACGTGAGGATTTTGGAACAAATGGATGGGAAGCATACGTCGGCGACCATAACATTGGCGTGTCAGTGGTCCCACAGGCGAGTAAGTCGAATCTCGTGCATGCTCTCTGCTGCTGTGCTTTCGCTAATGAGGCTAGATCACTGTACAATCGTCGAACAACCGCAAGTGAAAGAGCTAGGCCAAATTCTTCTGCAAGTGCTAAACAAGATTGCAATCTTGGAAAAGTGAAGCAAAACCTCCTGACCTCCCCAGGCCGGTCAAAGTTATGTCTCAGACGTAGGTATTACAGCAAGATCAAAGTTTCATCTTATCTAAATATCGGCCATACGAACAACAAACTTAGTTGCGCTCGCTGAATGTGACTTTAGCTTCACCAGTGCCTGTTCTATGCCATCGAAGCCCCCTGGAATCACCTCATACGGATGACCTTTCAACCAGCCATGCTTGAGCCCCTGTGTGAAAAGCATGAACCACACCCTGCCAAATTCCGTATCATCTGGATCTTTATATCCTCTGGGCCCGTACGTCCGATCGTCTTGTACTGAGCCAACCTTGGTGTCTGTTATTTTCAAGTCAGGTCGAAATGTATGGTCCTTGATTCGTAGGAGCATGGTAAGCTTTCCTCCCTTATCTAGAACTTTCTCACAATTCAGATAGGTCCCGTTGGCGCTCACGCAGTCAAATGCATGTTTGAGCGAAAGTCCCTCCGGTATGGCTGCACGAATTGCTTCCACAACGGCCTGGTCCCCTTTGCGGTAGTCAACTATAACGTCTCCTTTGAATGAGTCGAGCCACGGCTCCACGGCACTAGCACCAGCTCCCGCTACGCAAATGAGAGGATGAAAACCAGCGTGTACTGCAAGCTTCGTGGTGTACAGGCCCACAGCTCCAGCAGCACCATATATAAGCAGCGGCTGTGGTTCCCTCGGTGCTGTACTGCTGCTGAATGGTTGTGGCAAGCGAAGCCGTGCGAACAGCCCAACTGCTGCTGTCATTGCTGCAAGTGGGATAGTTGCTGCTTCCTCAAAGGTGGTCTTGGGTGGGAGACGGAAGACACAATGAGCCGGTGCGAGCGAGAACTCAGCAAAGGTGCCATAGTTCTGGCGAAGACGATGCAGAGCCCCTACACGATCGCCAGGACGGAAGCCAACCACATCTGTTCCAACCTTCTCGACCACGCCGGCCATATCATCACCTTCATTTCGTTCCCCAAACCCCCATTCGGCCATCTTCCAGTCTTTTGGATTGGTTCCAGTAACAGCCACTCGAATCAAGACATCTTCAGGGCCAGGCACGGGGACAGATACCTCCCGTACGGAGATTTTGGGCCCAAGTGTGACGACTCCTTCCTTCATCCTGCGAATGTACTGAATTGAACAGTGATTGGAGGCGGTCTGTAGCGATGGGCCAAGTGTTGATTTAATAAAGGAGAAGGATGAGTGCCAAATCGTGTGGAGTGGCACACTGTGAAATCCGAATGCCGGAGCTCGGTCTCACATGTTATTGTCGTCGCTGCTTTTCGCTAGGCTGGGCTTTCACACACTCGCTTCGGCGCTTACTCTTGGTAATAGTCACCAAGTCTGGCCAACAAGAATCTTCACCTCATCTCCAAGTACGAAAACGCCTCGTCGAGAGAGGGGCCGCTGTGGTGGCGTCGTTGCAGAGTTGTATCTATGACTGTCGATACGTACATATTTCCAACCGATACACCAACCTCAACTTTCAAATACCATGCTCTTGCGGCTTAAAGCACATATCGGAAGGAGGGATGATAGTCGCACAATTCTTCCAAGGACTTGACCATCTCGGGATCCGCGGTTCCCTCTTCCTGGAAGCGCTGGTCAGCCGCGTCCCGTTGAGCATTAGACCTCTTCATCAGGATGGACTTGATTGCGATGGCAACCACGGCAACGAAATTCAGTCCTACTAGCACACCATGGCCCTTGAGGTAACGCGGTGGCGAAGTATAGACCTGAGTGGCGATGATGCTGTAGCATTGAATGAAGATCTGCGTGACAGCCCAGGCTGTGGCACGTTTGGTGTAACCCGCTTGATTCAGGAGCAGAAAAGAAGCGCCGAGAACAACACCAGGATAGCTGCCAATGGCGACTAGACAGCAGGCAAAAAGGCAAGCTGCGCGTTTGGTCGTGCAGAGTAGAATGATATAGCCTACTACGCATGTCGATAGGCACCCGAAAAGGAAAGCTGCCTTCTGCTGTACGCGACCGCTGGACATGGTCAGTACTGGCAGCGACACGACCGCGCAAGCGTAGGGGATGATAGAATATAGCTGAGTCTGTACTATTGCGAGCGAAGCCGTGGTCAGTGTGCTGGCTGTCGAAAAGGGTCGCAAACTCACGAGGTGACCAGCCGAATTCGTGCAGGAAAGTCGGAAGAAAAACACCAAACGCAGCGATATTCATGGATGCGGCGCCGATGATGAGAGCTCCAAGCCAGGTCTTTATGTCCTTTAGCGCCCAGCCGATTTGCCAAAGACACGGTTTTGCGTCTGGCGCGTTTCTTTGCGTCGTTCTTCGCAAAATCAATTCCCGCGAAGCCTCGTCTCGAAAGAGCCAACTACCCTTGCGGGCGACCACTTCAGGTAGTCTCGGCATGACGATGAATGTGAGAATGCCCCATGCCACAGAAAATACACCTTCAATGATGAAGAGCCACTGCCACGAGTAGAGTCCGTTTGCGCCGTTGAGGTTCTTTTGGACACCGTAAGAGATGAGTCCGCTCGCGGCACCAGCTATCGGTGCTGAGATGTAGAAGAAGGCTGAATCGCTGTTTTAGCACGTAGTTGGATCATGTGCAGAACTGTTACTCACCGCTGCGTGTAGCCATCTCCTTTTCCTGATACCATAGCGAGATGAACACAAACCCTGTCTGGATGGCCGCCTCCATGATTCCTAGCAGAAACCGAATGACCATGACACCGGCATAGCCTCCTGCTTTTGAAGTACAAGCAGCGAGGAGCCCAAAGCCCAGGCACGATAGTGCGTACACTAGGTTTGAGGGAAGGATGCGCAACAACAGCGCTGCTGGGAGCTCGGCGACCATATATCCTACGACTAAAAGTTCTCGAATCAGCAGACGTAATCGCAGTCGACCAGACCACAGGGTTACGTACAGAACATGAGCAAGCAATTGTAGAATTGACTGTTGTCCAAGTGTAAGTCCTTCTGGAATTCCATGATGCGTGCATTTCCCAAGGCTCCGCGATCCAAGTACGCGAAAAAGTAACAGCCCGAAAGAATTAGGACGATGGAGAGGTCTTGTTTGAGAAGCAGTCGGCGTGCAATTTTGCTGTGGCCACTATCACTGCCATTGATGTCCCCTGGTGAAGCACCTATGTCATCCACCCTCTCAACAGCGGGCTTGTCCATGATGTTGTCAATCCTTTCGATGGTAGCTTTCTCTTTCTCCAGACCACTGGCCATGATATTCGAGGACAAAGATGCGTCTGAGATGTGTGAACCAAAGGAGGACGCACATACAGAACGCTCAAGTTTGTCGTGGCCTAGTGCCGTAGTACGGAGATCCTGGCCGATGATCGGGGCTGAATCCTCGTGGTTAATGTACGCACGCGCTGCAGGCCCAACCAACCCGTCGAGCCTCTAGAACTTAGCAGAGCACGCTGGACAAGAGTACTAGGCGGGGCTACGCCGTGAGGAAGACCTGAGAGGGCAGACTTTAGTAATAACAGGCTAATGCAGGCTTTCACACGGATCGACTCGTTTGTCCAGCCTGAAGCAACGGCGAGACGGCACTAACATACGCTTGGCGTCAATGGTGAAGACCAACAGTTCGGAAACAAGGTGAATATTCAAGTCCTACTTGCACTTCATTTAGATCTAGTAAAGCATAGTAATTGCACCACCATACATGACAAGGCTGAGTCTGCGTGAAATTATTCCCAGTATCAGGCTGTCCCAAGCGGAGCTAGACTGACCAAACGCAAGACCCCATACTTCATGTGTCGCCAGCACCGCGGGGATCAAAACCTTCTCCACATCTCCAGATCCGTCTGCATTAGTTGAAGAGCTTGCCATAGATACTGCAGCGACCCAGTCGACCTGATGTTTCCGGTTCCCAAACCCTACTCAGTTGCGAGCCCCTAACCCTAAAATTGACACTACCTGAAGGAAGGCGGGGTCTGGTGGCTTACTCTTCAGCGCCGATTTCTCGCACCTTATAACTCCGATTACACGCTCTTTCAGTCCAGGATCCGATCCCAGAATCAAGCCACCCTCGCCTCTACCAGCACAAGCCCGCCAACTCCGAATATGGACGCATTGTCGACGTCGCCAAACGCCCACGGCCGAGTCAAGGCTTGCACCCAGTGTCGGCAGCAGAAGTTACGGTGCGATGCGCCGCAATCGGTCCCATGCAGCCGCTGTCGTCGACTTTCTTTGACTTGCACTGTCACTCGTGCCTTCAAGCGCCAAAAGGCCAAGACGAAGGCGGAGCTGGTAGCGGAGATATCGCGCTTGAAAGGAGGAGATGGACTGGAAGCAGGGATCTCGAGCAAGGAGCCCATCGTGAAAGTGGCCAACTCGAACTCTACTGGCTCTGGAAATGGAAACGTGGAAAATTACGCCGTGTCTCCTACTCGTTCTTCCTCAGGCGTCTCTCGGTCAGCCTTTGTTGGAAACGGAGTGCCTGTTGGCCGTGGCACTTCCACTCTCGGCACTCATCACGAGGAAGAATCTACTGAAACTAGTCCTATAGTGACGGACGATGCTTCTCTCCGTGATTCAGGGTCGGCACCATGCTATGGAGTATCTTGGCTGACCACGGCCAAAGCAGAAGCATGCTTTGAGAGCTTTTTTCATCTGTACTCCCCCTTCCTCCCCGGCATTTGGGCGTGCTTGCCGTCTGCGCCGGCCGAATACTTCGCAGCCTCGCCATTCCTTTTCTGGACCATCATCGCTACGGGGGCGCGTCGACATGGTGATCCACAATTTCTACACAAAGTCGCCCATCGTGTACACCTACAGGCTTCTGATACGATACTCTCGGGCGCACAACAACCTATAGCGGCGATAAAAGCTGTCCTTCTGCTTTGTATTTGGCCAATCCCGAAGGACTCGCTGTGGAAAGACCCATCTCCGGCGCTGATCGGAGCCGCAGTACAATTAGCAATACAGCAAGGCCTGCATGTCGCTGGTTCTCGACAAGAGCACGCCTTCTCGCGAACTGTGCTGCACATGACCGAGGAAGATCGCGCCGCCCGAGCACGACTATGGGTGTATTGTGTCACAGTGTTTCAAAAGTGAGTTGAGCAGCAGTTTCTCTACGATGATGTTTCGACACGACAACTGAGACGATGGCAGTACGAGTCTGTGTTGTGGCTTTCCACCGTGGATGCTTGCAGGTGCCGCCAGTGATCGACATTCAGGTGCCACAAGATCAGTACTAAGTCCGCTCATACTCTATCAGTACGAGCTACAGAAGCTGTCAGTCACAGCCATAAACACTATACTACATGCCGTGCAACTGGAAGAGCCACTAGTAGCCGAGGACAGCTGTCTTGACTCGCTCATTGAGGGTTTCGATGCTCAGCTTCAGGCGTTTGCCACTCCTGGAGTCGATGTGTCCGCCACACACTACGAGCTCGCCCTCCTAGCGGCCCGTGTATTCATCCGTGCGACGCACTTCTTCAGTATACCTCCCTTCAGCCAGCGGCGTCTTCCAAGTCAAAGCATTCCTGGACTACTGCTCCTGCATGCTCTCTGCTGCTCACTGACGACTTGTCTAATGAGCTTGGATGATACTACAGAGTTCGTCCTTTACATGCCTTATTACTATCGTCGAGCTGTGATGTTGGCCGGAATCTGCATTCTACGTATCTCTCGTAGTCCTCTGCAAGCCTACCTCCAGACCGAGCCACGGGAACAGGCATTGGCGAATGCGGTCCGTGTCATCAAGCGGAGCAGCATCGAGACTGGAGACACCGACTATCGGCAGGCAATCATTTTAACACAATTGTGGAAGGGAAAAGATCGAGGCGGTGGTTTAGGCAAGATCAGCGGGGATCCGCAAAATGCGCTGCACTTGAAGCTACGGAATCGACTGGTATGTAATGCCTATTGTCGTGGTGGCCAATAATGAGACTTATGGAAACATTGAGCTAACAGCTCTTCAGTCGATGAGTGTCGTCTTCGAATGTTTCTGGTGGTGGCGTTCAGACTTCGCTGGCCTATCCGACCCCTATAATGACGACGAGCCCGAGCTTTTACGAAATCAGGCTGGCGCTGCCTCGCTCCCCTCAGACGGATCTGGACCGTTGAACGCAAACTTCAATACGACGGACATTGAACAGCAGTTCCAGTTGGTAGCGAATGGATTCCAGGACCCGCTTGCAGATACCGTCGACTGGCAATGGCCAGTAGACCTCTTCACGCCGGGGTTGGACAGCATGATGTTGGATAATGGACTGATATAGCTATAGGCAAAAGATAGCTCATCTAGACTAGCTTAATGCGTTTAAATTCTTCCATCCAATCTACCGAGCTTACTGCTCGGGATCAGGCACCGGCAAGTCAACGACATCGACTGCACCTCGACTTCATTGAGGTAGTGATAGCCTTCACATGGCTTTATTTCACATGTCAAGGCTCATATAAATCAACTCTGGCTTTGTTCTCAATCCCAATCGCTTCTTGCATGCCGCGAAGATCAAAAATTTGCTGCACCCCTGACGTCCGCAAGGCCTTTTATCCCGTCTCTTATACCCCCCGAAGCGGACTCTCGACGCTCAGGACGGCGGTTGCTATTGAAACAGCAGGAGACATCATTAGCCGAAGGTCCGTCGCCCGCGCCTAATCTATAGTGATCGCTGGGGTCACGTTACTGAATACCGAATGGAAGCACCGAATTAGCAGGCTGGGTAGAAAGGATGGCAAAAGCAAATGAGAAGGGAGAGGAAGGAGCAAAATGAAAATGAAGAACAGGGGAACATTTTGGGGTGGAGAAAGGCGAGAAACGAGATACCATCAATATTCGGCGGCAGCACACTTGATACCGGCTTCGGGTTTTGGGCGACGAAAGCATTCACCTTCGCCATGTTAATGTCACTGGCAGTTTGAGAAGACTTCTTTGATTGGTGAAGGCCTGAAGTACACGACCAGGAGACGAAGGCATCACCGGAAGGTCATATATCTGTGCACGCGGCCAATCAAGGGACTGGTTGATGTCGATTCCAATTTGGCAGCCGCGAGAGCTTTTTGAAACCAAATTGCATACCTGAACCCCTGTCGATTGTGAGATAAGTCTGATTTGTTGGTATTGCCCAAGATCAGTACTCGAATGCGCTTGAACTTCTTGATGCCGAAGAAGAACAGGAAAACTTTCTGGACGTTTTCCCCTCCTCTCGCATGGAGTGTGCTTTCTTTGCTGCTCGCGTGTGGCTTGCGCTTACCCATCTGATCGAGCCTCAACCATGGCGATCATCGTACATGTATGGGCGTCGAATGCTTTCAATGTCAAGATTCTTAAATCGCTCCTGTCCATTATGGGCAGAGCGATTTCCTCCGCGCTTGGTTTCTGCCTGGCTCCTTGCCTGAAGATGAAGCTCACGGGCCCACTACCTTCCGTATGCTCAGACGGCGTTGTTTGGTTGGTAAACAGACCACTTCGAGGTACAAATATTGTCTTCTCTCCCTTCACCTCCCACCTCCCATCTTCCACCATCTTCAACCATTCGACTTTCCACGCCTCTCGACATCACCTTGCACTGTCCTCGCTCTCTACCCTTTCAGCACCTTTCATCTTCATCATCGTGGACCGCACTGCCATCAACGAACCTCGGAGCACTGTCCTCAACCACCATTACTGTCGACTGCACCTCGCCTTGAGCCTGTCACCAACCACCCATGCTCCCTCAAACAATGACACGGCGACCTCATCTGCACACAAGGTAGGACTCCCTACCACCCCTTTGACTTCTGAGGAGGCGACGACTGGTGAAGTGACGAGTGCTGCGGCCGTTGGTCGTCACAGTCGGTTCGATTCCGTCAGGCCCGATTGGAAGTCAGGGTACTGGAGGGCGTCGGGACTTTTTGGGCTTTGCTCGTTTTCATCCGCACCTACTCAGCTTCCAACAGCTGACAATGAAAACGACCTTTGAACAGATTATCCCATCGAGCCACCGGGCCGTCCACCACCAACATCCACCACCAGCATCCACCACCAGCATTCACCACCAGCATCCACCACCGGCATCCATCTCGACCAGTCTCCACTCAGCTCCGGCAGCCATCCTCCGTCCTCACTCCGCGACACGATCTCTTGGTCCACCGCTGATAAGCAAAGCCTCCATCAACTCCGAAGACACCAGATACAACAGACACATGCTCGACGGGGATACGCTTCGTCGTCCAAGCCATGTTGGACAATTGGTCGCTCTTGTGGCTGCAAAGATGGATGAGGTGGATGACAGGCAGGGAGTTAATCTGTGCGAATCATGACTTGCAGCATTCGTTCCAATCTCCTTGTTGTCCTTCCGTCCGTGACTGTCTCACCTCCTTGTCTTCTTGGTCAGTCTTCTTCAGGCCTGCCGTGTCGCTGCATTCCATGTTGCTGCCCATATCGCCGTACTTCTGCTTGCAGCCATCGGCGCTTTGCAATGATATCTTACCCATGTGTAGATCGCAAAGTCCCCTTGCCACGTCAACGTCTCTTCTGCATCTTGCTGTGTTTCTTCTCCAGATCCCTGCACACCTTGTTGAACCGTTTCTGCGCTTCTTTCGCCGCTTTTGCTTGCACGTTGGTATCATGGTGGTCGGACATGGTTATGGACACTTGAAACCCGTGTCTTCTGATCGCGTGTATCTTTCGAACAATTGCTTGGATTGTGGAGCGATCGGGGCCTTTCACTCGCCGATAGCTCTCGGGCTCGAACTCCAGATGATGTTTGATGGCAGCAACGATCTCGTCACAAGGACGTCCAAGAAGGATTAAAACCTTGGCAGGTTCAATTTCCTTCGGCCACTCGTTTCTCACAGTCTCCGCGGCCAGGCTCAGCGCTCGGAGAAGCGCGAGCATGTCAGCTCTTTCGTGGGGATTGGTAGTCGAAGTTCCCAGGTACTCAAGTGGGACTTTGAATCCCCGTGTCTTCACTTTCATAACATCCTTTATGGTCTTGCCCGATCTTGCGCTTGCGACTCGCTGGACGAGCCCGATTCCAAGACCCTGCCATTTTGCATAGCTCACTGCTGTGTGAACTACCAGCACTGATCGAGGTTTGGTTGGTACTTGAGCTTTGACCAAGTCCATGCTGTTGCAGTGGCGAGGAATGATATAGAGATTTTCAAGCTCAGATATTCGATTCACATGTGAAGACACAGTTCAGGTTGAGGGTGAATCTCGAGAGGGTGAAAGGTGCCGGAATTTTAGAGACAAGAATCTCTCGCGGGAGGAAAGCATACCGCGATATCTGAGGTGAGAAGAGTCCATCAGTCATCTCCGAATTTCCACGGGCGGACTGGTCATGCTGATTGTATCGACAGCGATTTGTCGATTCGCCATTGAGTTCCAAGTCAGCCCGACAGCTGCACATTCGGATAAATGCGGAGCTCAAGATACTGCGCCCTACTCGATTAAAGAAAAGGCTGGTCCGCAGCCTTTTTTGAGCCTTCTTAAAACTTCCGCAAATGCTTGAGCGGTTAATGTTCATCACAAGCACAGTGACGGCAAATTCGGTCTTCAATCTTTTCCAGCGCACTTGATACGATATGCGTCCGTATTGCCGCTTCGAAACAGCGGTGACAAAGTTGAGATTGTGACAAGTTGATCGTTCATATCGTCCTTTACCTTTCATTCGGAATATCATCTTGAATAGTTCACGTTGATTCTCTCACATTCGGCCTCAGATGGGTGAAAATTAGGCATCCAAACCATTAGGCGTGCCTCGCCTGTCCGTAGGGAATGGCCACCCTCTGGTCTCCATGCGGGTAGTCAAATTTATTTGCTTACTTTCTTAATTTTTGATCATTGCTTCCACATTCGGCCACAGGCAGCTGATAAATAGGCCATCCAGAATAATAGGCGTGCTTCGCTCATTTGCGAGGAACGGTCACCCTCTGGTCACCCTAAATGGTGGTCAGATCTTTCTACCTATATATTCAATTCACAAGCGTCTCTTACACATTCGGCCACAGATGCGTGGAAGCAAGCGATCCCGTCCGCTCTCGCATATTTAAGCACGTAATCGCCTGATTAGTACTACGGTGGGTGACCACGTGGGAATACCGGGTGCTGAATGTTTTGCATTTTTGCAGAACGATTTTTTTATTCCGGTGGTGGAAGGAGGATGTTGGAAGCCTTGGCATCGGGCCGAGAATTCGGCTTTTGAGCGGGCCGATCATCATTTTTTGGCAGACCGAGGGCAGAAAGCAATTGCACCTCTTCCAAGACTTGCATCGTATGTTATAAGTTAGAAACTTCCGATTTCAAGTATATCGTGCGAGCCAAAGTGCACACTCCGAGGATCAGGAGTCTGTCTCAACGGAGGTAGCTGAGCGGGAGAAAACTCAAGACGTCTCTTGTCATATCCGTGTCGGACTTTCAGAAAGAAGAGAGAACTCACAGGATTTGAATCCGGCACAAATGGACGATGAAGCCATCACTGGTATGTTGATTCTGATAGAAGCGAGAGAAGAAGGCCTCTAAGGCCTCTCCTGCCGTAGACCTCTGGTACTCGGATCGTCGGGCCGAGAGTCGGGCCGAAACATCCCCAGCTTCCACTTTCACTTCACTTCACCTCCCGACCGACAACTTTCACATCCATCAACGATCTCATAATAGCTGTGAAATCGTCACATGCTAAGTGGTATCTGAACTCTTACACAAACTCGTATTCTGGAAGCTTCATGAAGAATACCAGTTCTCGGCCCACGCTAGGTAACAGCAAACGACAATCTTCATGCACTGATCCGTCTCCAGAATCAGAGCCCTTCTTCAGTATGCAAAGACCCGCAGGCTCTGGAAAAGATTCCTACGACGAATTCACACCGCCAGGAATGTCCGTTGCTCTGCCTCAGGCTGAAGCGGCGGCACTGAACCAGCGCAGTTGCAAAATGCGGCTTCATGTGAAAGATGGACTCTTGCGCTAGTGATGCGACTTTTCGGTCGCAAACGCCGGCGACAGTCTGTGCGCCTCGCATGCAAACGGCGGACGTCGAATTCTCACTTTCAGCTTCCATTCACTCGCCAAGACAGGCAGAGGACCGAGCCGCTCGCTTTGATAGCTTGCATTTCTTCTATTCTCAAGCTCCTCTTCTTACACCATCACCAACTTCAGTCCCCTCGGACAACCATGTCAGCTGAGGCGGGGCTTGACCCTATCGTCAACCGCTACGTGCGGTACAAGGTATGCGAGGTGCCTATTCGGCCTGTGATGCTTTCTTACTGACTCAAACGGGCAGGCTGGTACGAAGCAAGTCGTACAGTGGCTTGCAAGCACCGCGAGTCTCCACTGCGACATCAAAGAATACCTTCACTGCCTCAAGCTCGACTCGTCCCGGTCGATGTGCGCCCCGACTCAATCCCGAGTGCAGGTGAAGACGAGAGAACTCCTCGACCTTACCAACATCATTGTTACGGCCGAGCCACCAATACAAATCCCGATTGAGATTCTCGTGGTCCTAGAAGATGTCATCGCTCTTCGCCGAGCCAGCGCAGATTGGTATTCAACACAGCCAACTTCCAAGGCCGACAATGACGGACACTCGTTTTTCGTCGAGATACTGCAACAAATACAGGCTCTGCTTGCTTCGGCCAAAGGTGCACCGAACGGGACAGATGGACACGCTGCGTCCACCAGTCGCAAAAGAAAGAGTCAGAAGTTCAAGGACGACTTGTCCAATCTGTTCGAATGCTTGGAGCTAGAAGAACCATCTGAGGCACCTTTGGGAAATGTCTCTAGCACTCACACGCCTCGCAAGCAATTCGAGTGCGGAGACTTCTCCGACGACGAGGAAGATGAGGCCTTTGCTCTGTGGTGCTATATCGAAGATGCCAACGACACTCGCAAGTTCGTCAGAAAAATGTGGTTTGACTATCGTGACGGAGAACTTAGCCTAGCAGTGGCAGGTATGGTGACGGAATGTGCTTTCGACCTGCTGCAACATGCACATATTGGTTTCGTCGAAAATTTCCCTTCGCTCAACGACTGGCCTTCACTCATGGCTCATCTCGGACTCCAATGGATCGCCAATCAGAACGTGGCATACGTTTATCCCGCGAGCAGCGCAATCACCAAAAAGCTGCCGCCTACGCATTTTAACACTTCGGATCTGCTCTGTTCCAGCGCGGCCCTACAACTCATGGCCTATGCGAAAGCTTCGGACAACTTTCGCCGGTCGATTTTGACGAACCACGGTGATATCTTCAAAGCGTCCACTGGTGATGTCACACTCGATCGACCGATCACTGCCTTCGAGAAGCCCCTCTTTGCCACGATACGTGAGCTTATCAGCCTTACATCACCAGCGGCGACTGGTGGCCAAGCCGTGGGCTTCTGTCCTACAACAATGACGCTCGGCCTCATCGAAGCCTGCTGCAGCCTGCAAGGCTCACGCAGAACAGAGGTGCCACTCTGGCTGGTATTTGGGACAGCCATTTGCATGGACATCGCCGAAGTTGTAGAGACAAATGTCGACTGTCCAGGAGACGCGGTCCTGGATAGCGTAGCTTACGTGGAGCGCACTATCGACCATCGCTTCAAGTTCCACGAGAGACCAGAGAAGCTGCGGTTCGAGCCAATGGAACCTGAAAACCGCAAACAGTGGCAAAAAGTTCTAGACTTGACCTCCATTCTCAAGGCTGCCATCACTAAGGGTCGCAAATTGAGCGATCCTGCACAGCGGTTGAGCAACCGTGGGAAAATGGCCTGTCATCTCGCAAAGTGCAAGTTCCCTCTTCTGGATTCGCTACCACACTATGCCGGAGAGATGGAATACATACTCAAAATTCACCTGCACGATATCTCCGTGTATGCGGCAAACGAGTCATGGACTATACTTTGCCTGGCGCACATCTACAGAGCTGCACGTTTCTATGGCTTGATAGAAGCCCACTGGCAGGATCTTGATATGGTGATTGCGCACCAGAGCTCGCGCAAACCTTTTATCACCAAGACCAATGCTCATTCTGATGCCTACACGATGCTGCGTCATTTCCTGATAGACTTGGGTGTAGAGCGGTCTGTGCTGTCAAAGCCAGGACTTCCTGGCCCTCCTGACAACAAGACGGTGCAAGCCAAAAGCAAACAGCTCAGCCCTGGAGAAAGTGGATACCGGGCGGCAGTCATTGAGCGCTACAAGGCCGACGAGAAGATCGGTGTCTACAGGACCGACTTTGTTGAAATTTTCTTGACTAGTTTGACTGAAAAGTCTGACAACACCTCTCGGAGTACACACAATTCTGCGAAGCAGATACCGCAGAAATTTGCACCTTCACAGCTGCTCTCGACCATGAAGAGCGAATTGGTGTCTGATGAGCCCTGCCTCAACTTCGATTACTCCTCATTCACATGCTTTTGCGCCGATACAATCATCCAGATGTTTCTGGCAGCTCTGTTTGCTGTGCCTACCCAACCGCCGAGTAGCTACAGAAGTTCTTACCAGCTGACTTACTTTCTGATGAAGGAAGCTGCAGACGCTCAGACACAATCGAAGCCGATCCACACCACTGCATTTGCAAGAGCAGCCAAAGTCCTTGAGCACATCTTGAAGGAGGGAGACAAGGCCAAGAAATTCTCCACGGCGGCTTTCAACATGTCCAGCGGCCGCATTCCAAAAGCATCGTGGCCTCAATTCCCTGCGCAACGCGATGTCGACCCTGCTGTTGCTAAATTGCAAGAATGCTATCCCGTGACGACCATCGGCACGCTGCGCAAGACGATCGAGATGTACGACCCCAACGGATCTGCCGAAGCGTTCGAAAGCATGATGAACACTTCTGCGATGCAAGACTTGCTGCCAGAAGACCAGGGCTCTCAAGATGTAGAGGGATCGATGACAGACAGCGAGCTCCGGGACTTGCTTTTTTCTCCAGAAATACTATCGCGGTTTTCGCACGTGTTCATTGTGGGCGAGGACTAAGGCATGCCGAGAGCTTGATTCAGGAGAACAAGCGAGAAGTGCAAGCACTGGTGTTACGAGTGCATTGCACGGGCATACCCAGTTGAGGTGATGCGCATCTGACAGCAGTTTTGGAGCGTGCGACACTCATACTGTGAATACGCTCATAACATCATCGAGGAAGTTGTCTCCAATCCTAACAGGATGGGAGAGCAAAAGCCTTCTTTACACAAAAGACACATCTTGTGGTACTGGTTATCCGAGCGACGGAGCGAGTTATCCGCAAAAGATGAGGAAGAAAAAGTCGGAGTGGCGACGATGGTTCTGAAAGTTCTAGGCAGGAGGTGTCGTCGTCTCGTCACACATTCCCAAAAAGCGCTGCAATTCACTTCATCCAGGTACCATTGGCAAACCTGTAAATTCACAACACACGGCACTTATATTCTGGAGGCTCATGCCCTCTCCCCTCCATGCTCTTCCATCAAAGCCTTCCAGTTCGTATCTTTGGGCTTCCAACCCAACTCAGCCAACTTGTCAGCCCTCGTCCTCTCACCACAGCCCCACATGATGTGCCCGAACGGGTAGATCTCTTTGGCAGCAGCAGCCGAAATGCTCTCAACGTCACCTGTCAATCCCAGGCGTTCGCTGACTGCCTTTGCCCTTTCGATCATGCTCAAATCCCCAGTGCTCACGAAGTAGTACCCATCTCGATTGACTCCGACATGACCTTGTGTGCCCTCGCTCATCGATTGATCCATGAGAAACACCGCAGCGTCGCCCAGGTCGCCAATGGAAGTCCACGACCATGTAGCCGTACCCTCGCCAACCACGAAGGCTCTCCCACGGTTTTTGACAGCTGCATAATAGAATGCCGAATGTCTCTCCTTCTTCAAATGCCCTTTGCCCCGGCCCCAGAGCTGACCAGGCGAGGCGAGGATCGTGCCGACGCCGCGGGCAATGCTGTGCGCTATGATTGCTTGATCCGCATCGGCGTGGATGCGATCCTCGGGAACAGACAGAATCTTCTCTGCATCCGTGATGTCGCTCCACGGCCGACTGCCTGGGTCGAGGTTTCCTGTGATTGGCTTTGAGAGATCGATCAAGCTTCGTGGGCCGGTGATGCTGATGAGTCGTGGCCGTGGCGATACCGTAGTGGCATTGTCGGTGTTTCTAGCCAGGCCTTCAATCATCACACATACAGCGGGGACATTGTCGCCCCCTGCATGGATCACGAAGTCAACCTCCGCGGCGGTCCTTCTGAGAAGGGGAAGCAAGGACAGGTCGCCTATGACCGCAGTCAGGTTTGGATAGACGGATTCGAGCTCTTTGGCGACTTCTTCCTGGCGGATCAAGGCTTTGATGTGAATATCCGGATGTGTTTTGGAAAGACAATGTAGAATAGTTCCGCCGACGAAACCAGTCGCACCGGTGAGGAAGACGCTGTATCCTGCAGACATTTCTCCTCGATTTTCAAATCCTGATATGTTTGCTCAACAGAATATCGAAAGCCAATAGCCATAACGAAGTCTTATGTAGACTGCAACTGGATGGCAAGCCGTCTATGATGCGAAGCCGAACGCAGCCTTGTCTCCCGACGGAAACCTTTGACTCACATGCGATCGGCGTGGAATTGCCTAGATGAAGGCCACAGATGGAATCATGATCTCGGTTTCGGATTCCAGTCTCCAGCGGAACAGGTTATGTGCCGAAGGGAGGTATGTTCAGCTGAAGAAGCGTGCTTGCTGAAGTAATGCTCCGGAAAATCGGCCTCGGAAGAGAGCGGAAGTGCAGCGGAATCTGGCAAGAAAGTAGACCAGCATCGAAGCAGACTCTACGATTTTGGCAACGCGGCGAAGGTATGCGTCCCAAGTGGGTGCTCGCGGAATGCGGGTACAGCAAAAACCTCGACGTCTGTCGGCCTGCAGCCGTTTTTCTTTGGCATTACGCTCTCCTGCTCGAAGCTTCAGTTCTTCGATGCTTCAGCAGGGCACTCCTTCCTTTAGCGGCTGTCGTATTCGGACAGCTGGTTGTTTCTGGTAGAGATGGTGTGCCGCCTCATGATGGTTGCTGTCGGGACTGTAGAGAACTGCCACGTTGTCATCGACGTCTGCAGATTTCCTTGCCAAAGCTTGCACCCATACGATGGGATTACGGCATGCATGCTTCGCACGATGGTATCGTTGGCTTCCTGGACCAAAGAGGAAGTTGGGCTGTGCCATATGCCAAATTGGCCTAGGCTGAGATCCGGACTCGTCATCCTTAGATCACAGATCTTATTTAAGCTTGCGCAAAGTCACAATGTGTCGAAACCATCATCGGTATTTCAGCCTTCCTTGTGGGGCTTGTCCTTCCCGGAGCCTGATCTTAATGTTGTTCTGCATTGGTAGCTCTCCACGACTCCGGGCATCAGGAGGCTCTGGTGAGGCCGACATTGCCGAAGGTCAAAACCGCTTTTGTGCGTCTTTTGTAGTATCAAGGATTGGCAGTATAAGGATCGTAATACTTCGGTCTCAGGAAAGCGTCGAATATCATCTCTTCCTGTGGATCTTATGGAGTGGTAAGCTGCAGCCCGCATGCCACATGCAATGTAGTGACTGGTCGCTGTTTGCAGTAGGTCATGGAGATTCAGACAAGTCAACAACTTCACCAGCTGCAACTCGCTTAGCAGGCGGTTCACGGTTCTCCTGATCCTCAGACGAGCCCTTCCGTTTCTGCGTCGTGCCCATCGAAGGAACAGCCTCTGCCATACAGGAGCTTGCAGCACCATACTGAACCTGGGAGCCAGTGGCGCCGGCCGCTGATGAAGGTATAATGGCGGCGTAAGAATCGTGCCTTCGGGTGTACGCACAAGAATCGTGCCATGTAAATGAATAAGCTCATCATATCTTTGGCCGAGGAGCTGCCGCAGCATGGCTTCCGAGGCGATGGTTGACAGTAAACCTTGCGTCTCGTTGAATCGGCCTTCCCACCTCTTGAAGTCGCCCTCAACTTTGGTGATTTCGAAGGAAAACGGCACCCTCTGCATCTGAGGTATTGTGGTGATGTTGTCTGGCCTGCTGCTATACGAGTATCGGTTGTGTTTCTTGGTGAACTGGGAAGTCAGGTGGGCGATGTCCTTCTTGAAGCGCACAAAGACCGAACCCCCTCTCTCCTTCGATGATTGGAGAATGTTGTCGAGCTGGTTGCATTCTGCACAGCGGCCACAGCCTCTTGCAGCTCGTGTAAGACTTCCTGGCTGTGGTTCATGACACACATAACGATAGACGACCTGGTGGATGAGGCTCGTGAAGAGCTGCTGAAAAGCCTGTTCTGAGGGTGGCACACCATGCGAAGACATCAGTTGCGCATTGACCTTCATGTACGGTATGAGGATCGAGTGGATGTTGGGGATAATGGTCGACGTAGCCAGGTCGGCTATTCTTTGATGCAAGCGCGAGATGTGCTGCATCGCGTCTGGTAGCAATTGCATCCGATGCATCCTGAGGAGATCGCCGAGGAGCCGTGCCAGATCACCAGACTCAAATGGTCCTGCATTCTCATTGATGGGGCCTCGCCAGTAATTTTGCCGAGGTGCCTCTGCTGGCAGAAGGATGCCTTGTGTTATTGTAGGCATCAATGTCCTGTATGTTTCGACTGCCCGCGGAACCGGAAACTGCACCAAGTGTGCTCGCGAAAGCAAATCGCTAGCAAAGTGGAAGAGAATTTTCGCATCGCTCATCCTACCCTTCAATGCAGGCAAGAGTCTAAAATCGGAATCAGCATACGTAGGACAGCACGTACATTAACACGCACTTGTCCTCAGTCCAGTTGGATGCTTGGTTCCTTACAGCCATTTCGGTCAAGATAGGCACTGCTCTTCCTATCTGACCAAGAGGCATGACCAAGGATTTGGCAGACTGTCTGTCTCTCCACTGCGTGAACGCGTCGTTAGATTGTTCCCCCACGGCTCCCTCGATGCGCCATATGAGCTCCGTTCTTGTCTGAATATCCATGCTTTGCTGCACGGCAGCCTCCAAACTACATGGATTTCAGCAGGTAGTCCCTTCTCCGGGTTTGCGTCCACTTACCAAGGGGCGATTGTATCGAATCCAACCTGTGGCAAGAGCACATGTGCATTGTTGATGATCACGGCTGCCATCTTCTGGTCCGCAGAGAGCAAAGCCTTGGCAAGCTGTGCTACCAGTCCTAATTGGACGCATTTCTCAAGGAGCTCAAAGAAAAACGCTTCGTGTTGTGGCGCTGGACCCCATGATGATGACGGACCTGTAGGATCACCTCGCAGAAACCGCTTCAGCAGATGCTCGGCAATCTTCAACTTTTCTTCGCCAACAGAGCCCGAGTGCATACTGTCGAAATGTGCTCTAATGACCTGCTTCTTGCCCTCCAACGAGTAATTGGTGTTCAATCGAAGATCAACCCATTTCACTTTCGGAACAAGCAGAAGAACCTGTGAGCGTCAGCACTTGATCTCGCCAAGTTCTTTGGCCATACATACACAATCTTTGTACCTGTTATGGACATTTCGTTAGCTACAACGAAACAGCTGGGGTTCGAGGGATCAGACTGACCAATATGTGGTCTCTGCTCCTGCATTACCCGTCCATTCGCCTTCTTCCTCGTCATATGCGCCTTTCGCCCATGGCTCAAGCACTTGGAAGGCAGATCACCATCGTTGCAAACATGCCCTTTGCTTTTTCAGAGTCTCTGTGCGGCTTGAAATGGGCGCCTTCTTCATAGATAAGCAGTTTGTACAGCTCTGCGTGCACGTTGCCGGATCCTCCATTTACTCCGAGGTTGGTGCAGATAGTTTCCAGTATCGATTGTTCCTGCCGTTTCCAGTCTGGGTGAGTAAGGCGAAGTTGACTGGCATCAATCTCCCAAGTGTTGCGCACTGCTGTATCAACAATTGTCTCCTCGCCTTTGCCAAACGGCGCTTGTCGGGTTTTCTGTTTGAGGAGCTGGATGTCTCGGTCGTACAGAGGAGTGCCAAATCTACCGAGTCCTTCCACTTCGAGGCCTGGATTTACTTGGATCTTTGACGGGACATACACAGAAAACGAGCCTGCACAGTCAACAGCATCGAGTTGTGCACCGACGTCCGCGATAAGGTCATCGTGCGTCAGTGTGTCTTCCTCACTGGGCGAGTCGGTATGGGGACCATCCGCACTGTCAGCTTCATTCATACCAGGGGACAAGGCGATATAATTCATCGCAGGGTACGTGTTGCTGGTTTCCGTATCGTCGCTGGGAAACGAAGTTGATCGAGAGGAGAGATGCCGTCTTCTCGTCACAACGCGGCTTCACGCGCGGACATCCTTGAGTGGTCAGTGCGGTGTCACGGTCGTGACGCGACTAAAAGCATATCCTTGAATCCGAACCTCTACCTGTCACTTATCACATCAACTCTTCTCTTTGCCGGTCACTTAGTACCTCTCCGCAATAATCAGCCCATTCAGCGCTGAAACGAGTCCGGAGAGACCGTGCATGACGACAGGCCTGCGCCATTGCCATTCCCTGCTAGGTTCGGTGCAGAGCCCGCCATAGGAACAAGATGCAAAGGAATCAATCAAGTCCAGAGATGAGCCTCAGCACCCGGAGAACGAAAGATAGAAGCACGAGATAAAAACAAAGGTCGATGGGCCTAAAGACTGGTGAAACCTTCGTGTCGACGGCGTACGCGATGGCCCGGCCATCGAAGGTAGATCAGGCTATAATATGAGCGCCCACTAAGCTCTATATGAGCAGCGCCATAGTGGTCCGCCATGACGGTGCGATTCCTTTTAATTTTTGGGATGTCAAGACAGGAGAAGTGATGGAAAGATGGAACGAGGGAAGACGAGGAGTTTTGGGTTGACGGCTTGTGATTGGTTCGTTTCGACATTCAAGTTGGTGCCTGAGGCAAAGGTCTGTGTCGCAGCCTGTAGCCGCCGACCAGGCGAGTACAATGAACAACACGTCTGCAACTATGACCGAAACTTGACATTCCCTCAGATCCATGGCCGACTCACCATTCATCGAAGATCCTGTGCTTCGCGCCAAAGCCCTCAGAGAATACCCTTACGACTTTCCATACTACGATTGGTGCTTGACGACTCTTGAGATCGATCCCAAATTCGATCTTCAGAAGCTTCCAGAGTGGGACGATTCCCTGCAGCACCTTCGCAATGCTGTTGGGTGCAAGACAGTGCTCTGGGGCTGCGATCTCGAGCAGACCCATTTCGTTGTCGTCCTTGGTGAGTGCAATGTCAATTTTCTCTGTGAACAATCCATACTGACAGCTTGAAGCACGAGTGACCGCCGATAGAGATATACGTCAACGTACGATCTCCGTCTGGTCTGAACTGGACCCATTTCTGTTGTCTTCACCACGAACACGGCAAATCGTACTCAACATAGAAGACCGCTTTCCCGGTCCTTCTGAAGTCCATGAACTCGTCTTGATCGACGGCAACCAGGAATTGATCACATATCGCTTTCTGCACAACGTCGACTTTTTCACGAGCAAGGCGATGCCTATGATCTCACACGATCCTCCGGTGGAACTCGCAGGATGTGCTCGTGGCATAACTCACCCGAACGCCGATGGGCGCAATACTATCGCCATCTTGTATACTTGGCTGGGCATGGAATAGCGCAAACGCATTACGAACCCCTCACGAGACTCATGCGAAAGACCAATGGAATACGAAGACATCATAGCATCGCCTATGCGGAGGTTCAAAAGAGAGGAAGCTGCTGTGGATACATATATGCTTCGTCTACAGCGATGGTATCCAGCGGATCCATCAAAGCATTCGCGCCGGGGCTGCGTCATCCTTTAGCGTTCTCGACCAGACCAACTCAAAACACAGAGAGCTTATGCGCAAAACCCTGCGACCAATTCCAGTCTGAGAGGTACCTTTTGCGAACGTTAGAACAAGTGTCTCAAGAGTCGATCGCTGCTTCACTTACATGGCCACAGCGAACCAGCCGTATGCGTCCGCGGTGCGTGCTCCTTGAACTGCATCCTTCTTTGCCAGATTGAAGATCAATGGAATGCCGTAGGTCTTCACCGGCCGCCCTTCCTTGTCCAAGGCTGGATTGCCGTCTTTATCGACCGCTGGTCGATCTGGGAGGCCTTGGCCGTCAGGATACGAGCCATAGAAATGGGCACTGTGGGCTGTCAGTTTCGTCAGGCGCATCCCAAGATATGACTCACAGCTCATGAACCCAGGTCTGCGACATCGATTTACGTGGCGTATCGTCCAGTCTGTCAAATTCCTTCACGGCCTTGGGATCAATGGACAAACCCAATCTTGCGAAACCCAAGTTACACCACGTGATGAAACTCCTTGGCGCCAGTGTCTCCGCATAAACACCATCTCTGCACATCGTATGATCTGTCGACGTCGCACCTCTGAGGATGAGATAGTTGAAATCGAACACCCATACGCCATCCGGCAATTGCATTGTATCTTTGTCAAAAGCTGGAGCCGATATGAGCTGGTGCATGTTCGTTATGATGTATAACTTACTCAATTTGTCAGAGATCTTTTTGCCTGGCGAATACGGATCGTCGTCCTCTGGCTTGAGGAACTTCCAACCATCGGTACCGCAATAAAGACCAGGGTACCCCCCCCCCCCCCCCCCCCCCCTCCCGGGAGGTCGTTGTCCATGCCATACTTCATCTTGTTGAAGATCTGGTCAGGGTTGTCAGCACAGTCGTCAGTTGGATACTTTTAACCACATGCATCTTCAACGAAATCAAAGTCCGACCTCGACTCTGGCAATGGTCCGCCTTTACTGCTAACTTTGACCCCAAACATGGCTGGAGACTAAATCAGCGAGACTTGACAAAGAGACGTTTCAAGTGATGGCTACACTCACAAAGCATGGCCTGGGCTTTTCGATCCCAATCCCAGCGATCTTTCCGACTGAAGAAGTTCGGACGGGGATTCTGCTTTACAGACGCAATAGCGGCGGCAGCGGCATCGATCAACTGAATGATGACTTGTCAACTCTTCCGGCCACCACGTGAAAAGGGGTGTTCTTACGTTGGCAGCTTCTTTGTAACTGTTCGACAGTGCGTCTGCGTGATCTTTGCAGCCGTTGTTGTTGTTCCGATACGGGAAGTATTTGGGTAGGTAGAATGTGAAGAATCTTTCCATGTTGGCCTTTGCGCATACCAAGTCCGGAAATACAAGAAGAGCGAATAACATGAAAAAGAGAGATCCTTGCGATGAATGGCTGGGGACTAAGCGCATCTCCAAAAATATATTATTGAGTAGTGCTGGCAGGGAAAATTATGAATGTATGTATGATTCGTAGAATGGAAGAATACTGGCATCTTGAGACTGACAGGTGAAGGCATACCCATATATGTAAAGTGTTGGCCGTGTACAGCTACGTTGGCGAGCCGACATATTTCTCGCAAATACCATCTCCAATCTCAAAATAGCCCACGTTCACTGAACGAGCGAGGAGGACCGGGGGCAGTGCTAATACTGGTGGGTTCTGCGAAGTGGTGCATCGAGACAAAGCATAGTTGTGGATGGCAACTTAGGGATGTGCCAATGATGGTTGCGACGTATCCGCCCCTGGGGTAGATAGCTATAATTGTGCGATATGTGACACGGCGGGCTTGGTACCATGAATTTGTTGTGTTCGTTTGTCTTCTTATCCTGGTATTTTGGAGTCGACATGGTCTGTGGCAAGCGCGCGGTATTTACTGCTGTGCCTCCTCAACGTTTGCAGAACGAAACCGGTCCGATGCGTACGGCTTGAACGTAAGACCAGACCAGAGGGCCTTCATATCTGCGGTATCTGAAGCAAATGGCGGAAGTAAAATGTCCTGGTCACCTCCCATATCTTTGTCCAGGTCGGTACCTATCGACGCCTGACCAGCTGCGAAGTGACCGAAGTGTAAACGTTACTTATATTTCCGCTTCGAGAGGTCTCGAGAAATTATCTGTGCAGACCTGAGTCTTAGGAAACAAGAGGACCAAGATGGTTCCAGGCAGGCCGCCCTCGTCTGCAGAAGGATCCACGCTAAGAAAGCCTGCGGCAGAGGAAGGTAAACTTCATCAATGGGCCTTACATGGATCTTACCACGCATGCGACCACTGCAAACGCGCGCTTCTCTGCGTATGATCTTACTTAGGGCATCCGACCTGTTGTGTATCCATGACCAGTCGAATTCCTGGTTTTGCCAAGATTACCTAGGCGCCTTCTGCGGCGTTGCTGCATATTATACCACACAGGCTTCGGGGCGAAGCAACAAATCCAAGAGCGCCTATCATGGCGGCTATCAATGGCCGGCACTGGCTCTTCGCCGAAAGCTGAGGCTCGACTCCAACGATGGAAGTTTGCCACCTTCACATATAACTGGCAATGTTCTGGACACTTGAGAACATCTACTTTGAGCTCACTTCGCTTGCACTTCTCTTGAATATGTTCAGCTACTATCGCTTGCTGCTTCTCGCGATCACCGGGGTTATTGCCGCCCCTACTGATCCAGGACCGACTCCAATCACAACGTCCGTTATTGTGGTATCAGCAAGCCCGTCCTCGGTGACCTTTAAGGCTTCTCAAGTATCTGATGCCAGTCGATACACTCAAACAGCGCCATCTACAATTTCTTCTGATGGCCACACCCTAACAATATTTAATGACGGCTTTCTGTGGGTTCCAGAGCCAAGCATCGAATCTCCACCATCAGTGCCAGCTCACATTACCCCGGAAATACTGTCTAGTGGACCAACGATAGTAGTAACAGGCTCAGCTGGTAAATTTTCTTCTCATCCCATTAACGACCTATCGCTGACTTGGCCTTTAACAAGGCACGCCCCCTCCCGTTGTTACTTACAGCGCTTCACAAAATACCCTGCTTAGCAGTCTTACCGCCAAAACAACTTCGGACGGAACAATCATATTTCCCTTTGGCTGGCTTTGGGTACCTATACCTCCAGCAGGGGGACCGTTACCAACGCCACTTCCGAGTCCACCCCCAGAAGCGACTCCGTCAGAAGCTAAGGAGTCGACTGAGACCAGCGACAGCTCTTGTGCATCCACGGAAACCCCGACTGTCACCGTTGTTATCTCATATCCAACAAGGTCTGATGGCACCTTTCAGACTTCGAGCGGGACGCAGAGTCCAAGGTTCGTACATTACCAAGCTCATAGTCATCATTGCTTTGCTAAAGACCAGTAGTGACACAGGTGAGTGTGTAGCTTCACCGGTTACCACTTCAATCACTGCGGCTTTCAAGCTTCCGACCGTTTTCATGTACACTGGCTCTGGTGCTGATAGCGGGCCACTGCCGAAATCTACTTACTCAATCGACATGATTGTTCAAAGATATCTTGACGAGGGTTTCAACAGTCTAGGAATTGGTACTGCCGACTATGCTGCATCGAGCACTCCTGCAGTGGCAACGTGCGCCGACAACACCTACAACAGCGCAGTGCCGAGCGCTGCAGCATTCATCAATGGCCTGATGCCCAGCTTCTGCAGCGATTGGGCAGCGAAGCCGACTGATGCACTGTCAAAAGAGCTCTCAGCAAAAGACCTTAAATCCAGATCGAGACGCACTGCAGCGATAGAGAAGCGCACTCCGCCTCCTGGACCACTCAATTCGGACTCGTTTCCAAGTTGGACTGTTGATTTCGACTGGAAACCAAAGGAAGTAGCGGGAGAATGTTCGAGAGTGGATTACTGTAACAAATCTATCTCAGCGCTTGTTTCTCACTGCCAGGGGTAGGTCGAAGCTTCTTGTGTCTTCTCCGTTCGATATGGCTAAACAAGCTCCAGATTCTCGCTCGCGGATGCATACAAAGGCGGGGGCACAGAAGATGACTGTGGAACGTAAGTCAGCGCAGATTGCACCAATACATTTGAAGAACTATCTCACTCTGAAGCAGGTTTTCGTACAACCTGAAAGGCTACGAGAGTGCCACCACATCCTCGACGAGTGTGACATGCGACCTGCCTACAGTCAACAACATCTCTTCAATCTTCGTCCCACAAGTCCATCCACAGAGCGCTTACGAAGCAGCTGCCCACCAATTCTGCTACGGAGGCTACAACTGGGACGCCGATCCCCACAACACCGAAAGCTGGACAGCCACAAACTACTTCTGGTTCGACACAACGCACATCGACCCAGCGACAAACTTGCCAGCATATTGCATTGGCGCCGCATATGGATCCAACTCACAGATTTCCCCAGCAAGCGCAGCGCTTTGCAAGCACTCCGGGCCCGGCACAGGCCTCCAACACTCGGACAGCAAGATTTGGGTACAGGTCGTTCCAAGTCCAGTGCAAGGTGGGTGCTCGCCGATTGACAAGTACAAATTACCAGACGGTGATCAGTGCTACAAGAACTTGATGAACGTCATCTCGACATGTATGGCCGAGAATGGTGGAGGCAAAGTCGGCGTATGGAAGGAGTCGACATCCAGTGGGTGCTGGGACTGGTGGATGTGGGGTCGAGTACTTACTTGAGCTTGTATTTCTGATATATGACAATAAACAGCATCATTGTATCTTTTCTGGGGATTGTAATGAGCCTACCAGGCCCAAGACCCGTCGTCCTCTCCATCAAATGTCTCTCGTCGTACAGAGTCAATATCTCCATTGCCACGACGTACTTCGACAAGTGGTTAAAACTGTCTGAGCAAGTCCAAATCTAACTTGACTCCGTATCAATATGCACAATAATTGATTGATGTATCACCGAAATCTGCTGGTTTATGTGAAGAAATCTGGAAGACTTCACCAAAATCAAGAGGTGACGTCGAAAAGAAGGTTCGGATGAGGCCCGTGCTAGCGCAAATTTGTGCGGAACAATTCGGCCCGAGCACCCCTTCACGTCAGCTGCTCCTCTGACTGGCGGGCTGCTATCGTCGCGCCCCTCCCTCCATCTCTCGCACATCGCAAAAGACATGCCGGAAGGGCCCCGCATTATCAGAATGTTCTCAATGGTAATGCAGAAGCGACTGCGAATGCTGAAGACTTGTGAAGCTGATGCACAGCTTTGAGAACGCATCCTGTCCACACGCTCGAAAATCTTGAGATATAGTGAGAGTGTTGCGACATTGCGAAGATATGGGCTCTTCACAGACAGCACGAAGAGCGCCCGCGCAAAACACAACCTCATATCGCTCGACAGATGCACTGCGAGCCATCATCACGCCTGCTGGTGATGGCATGTAAAAAGTCAGGCACAATCTCGAGTGTGTTTCGAGAGTTGACAGCCCTTGGCAGATATCTCTGCTTCCAGCATTTTTGCGAGAAGGAGAGGGCGGATTTAGACGATGCAACCCTGGCGCTCAGCTGCAGACCGGGCCGCGTGGATGTAACGCCACAGATATAAGAATCGAGCTCCTCCCCCGAATTTTGCGTTCCTGGGCTTTTTTCGCTTTTCCCACTCACGCTGCACTTCGCTTTGAGTACTGCGCTCTGTCTACAACTTGCCAAGCTCTTCTGCGAGGTCACAAATCATTCAGTCTCAACACCCGAAAGCACAGAGGTATCGTAAGATAACGCTCTGCAAGATTCAGTGCTGAACATTGAATTGCAGATACAAGACTCTCAACAACTTCTGATATTGACGACACAGACATGGCATTGGACATCAAAGCACGCTTCGCCTCATACACAGAGCGATGGATGCTGCTTTGGATCGGCGCCAAATGTACCCAATCTGCCACTTACACACCCACACCACAAACTAACTCATCCCGACAGGCCTCTTCGCCGAGCTCTTCTCCGACGGGTTTAGCAACCTCCTGGACCGTACATTCGCCAAACTATACACTTCTCTCAGTATGCCGCATCAGACATCGCAAGCAACGAAACGCTGATACAAAGTGACAGGCCACGACTTCGCCAAATGCGAAGCAGACCTGAGCCCCGTCCCCCGCTACGTCGCATTGGCTGACGGAATCACTCTCGAGCTCGGCCCAGGCTGCGGGACCCAACTTCCCCGAATGAATGCGAAAGCGCTCACGCACGTCTACGGCATTGAGCCGAATACGGAGATCATTCCGGCTTTGCAAGAAAAGGTCGAAAGCCTGCCTGAAATTCGGCCAATCTACACGACCATCAATGCCTCCTTTGAGGACGAAGCGGCACTGAAAGCTCACGGCATTGTTGAAGCTAGCCTCGATACGATAGTCTGCATGCAGGTGATGTGCTCGGTTCCTGATGCTGTGAATGCAGCGAAAAGGGCTCACAGGCTTTTGAAGCCCGGTGGCCAGTTCTTGTTCTGGGAGCATACCGCCAGTAAGGACAGGCTTACCGTTTATGTGCAGCGTAAGTCAAGCCCGACTATACCTTACAGATTTCTGTCAGCTGAATGTATCAGGTCTCTGGAACATCATCTGGTCGCCTCTCTTGGGTGGCTGCGCCATGGGCGTTGACGTCGAGACGGCGATCATGAACGCCGGACCTTGGGATATTGTTGAGCTTGGGAGGGATGAGGGATCCGAGCGGCCCTATAACCTGCTCCCGAGAGTTTGGGGTCGCTTGGTGAAGGTAGAGCAGTGAGTATCTGCCCATGTCTATGGGCTGCGAGTAGGGTGTGTTCCAGGACTCGGATACTTGATACGAACGTTGCGGCTCAGAGGAACACCTACGAGAGTTGCTCTCGAATGTGGCGAGAGTTACAAGGTGGGAGTTCTCTCAATTGAAATAAACCCGCAGATTTCAATGGATACACAATTAGCACTAAAAGTGGCAGAAAAGAAGCACAAGAGATGCCAAACAGCATACTTGAAACAACGCAACCGCTACTCCGCCGACGCCATTGAAACCCCATCTGCACAAGTGAGCTCAGCCTTGCGGGGTACTGCTCGGGGCACTGACCCGGTCGCAGATACTCGCTTTCCACCGCCGCATCGTAACCAAAAAGTTGTCCGATTTGGGCTCGAAATCTTTCTCTGCGGCCTTGACAAACTCCACAACAGTCTCAGGGCTCTCGAACTTGAACCGATTCCCAGCGTATATGACTGTTGTGTCGTTCTCGAATTGTAGACAATCGTAGAATGAGAGTTCATGTTTTTCAATCTCATCCAGCTTGGCGCCGATGTCCCTATGGACTTCGGGGTCGACTTCGTAAAGATTGGACCGGAGGGTGGAGCCATGTTTCTTTTCGAGGGCATCCATACGTGTTACTCCGTCTTGGAGGATCTTGACAGCCTGTGCGAGCGTGGCACAGGAGTGCTCTGGCATTGCCGGGGGCTGTGCATCGTCGGTTGGATTGGTTGGGTTGCTGGGATCGGTGCTCTTTGAAGACTGCATGGTTGAGGTTCTTGAGTTGAGGTTGAAGCTGGCAATGAAGATTACTTTGCTGTGGAGAATGGAGTTGGTGGTCGTGCAAAAAGTATCGAGATCAGATTAACGTTAGCTGTAGAATTTGTATCTCCCCAAGGTCAGTCTTGACCATTGTGGTTTGTGGAATAGCAAGCAGAGTTCGATTTCCTAACGTCACATGCTGCTGTGACCACGAACATTGCATGCTGGTATTGTCAGCTGTAGAATGTATAACTACCCACGGGACAGTCTCCATCATTGCTATTTGTGACACAACAAGCGGATTTTGATTTTTTAACGTCACATGCTGCCGTGATCATGGACATTGCATGCTGCTATTAGGGCATGCGTAAATACAAGGCGGGCGGCAGTCATGGGGGATCGTTAGAATGCTTTCATGATTACCTTGCTACTACAGAGCGTCATATGCATACAGGGAACGGCTTGACCAGCAATAACGACTGTCTAGCCTTCGCAAGCAAAGAATGTGGGAAAAATTGCCTTCGAAAGGCAAAGCGCTGGAGATCAGGGTTAGTCTCCGGTTTCCGTATGCATGTGACGCTCTGTACACGCGTGCGTAGTCCACCTCGTCTGTCAAAAACAACTGCTGATGGCAGTTGGTCTCAGTCGAATTTGAAGGAATATTTGCTTGACCTCCGTCACGATCGCGGTGAAGGACATGAGGAAGTTGACACGAGGGGTTCTCACAGCAAACTTGTCATTCGACAGAACGAACATTCATCATTACACTGCAAAGCACACTAATGCTGCCATTCTTACGACTCTGAATGCCCTGACCACATCGCCACGATACTTCCTCGCAATCATTCCTCAACACAACCGAACCCACCACCCTAATAATTCTGCGTCGGCCCAATAGGGTTGTAAGCATTCCCAGGACATTGCTGATTCCCTGGCGCAAACTGCTTGAAGTTGCCAGCAAACCCCAGCGTCTGAAACTCCGCGAGGACAGGAGTCGGGTCACCAGCCACATATGTATTGACTTTGCCATTGTTGCAGCCCAGTCTGAGGGAGTCGGGGTATGCTGCTCCAGCGATGCTTAGGTCGCTAAAGGCGGCGGGGTTGTCGTAGGGGGTCAGGGAGCTGCGGCGGTACCAGTTGTCGGGGATGCGTTCTTGGCCTGTTGAGGGGTCAGTAAAGGGCAGGTGATAGGGATGTGGGTGGAGATACACACCTGGATTCCATTTGAAGTTGGGGTAGTTGCCTGAGATTGCGAAGAAGGATTTGTAGACCTCGGGGGAGAGCCAACCACTAGGGTTGGCTTCGCTGTGGTTGCTCATGACTGTGGGGAGGGGTGTCAGTTAGCGAGATGGGATGTCATTGCTTAGACGTACAGTTGATGATGAATTGGTAGGCCACTGGTGCAACGATGGTGCCTGCGAAGGGCGCAGAGACGTAGAGTGGGTTGTGCGAGATGGACCTATACAAAGAGCACAACATCAGGGGCTCATTGTTATTTGGTTAGAGGTACTTGGACTTACCAGTCAGACTTGAAGACATAGTCCTTCGCAAAGCTGTCGAGTGTGTACCCGTACCCAGTGCCAGGCACAGCACCTCGGCCCTTGACAAGGCGGTTGATATACGTGTCTGCAAAGCGAGAAACAACGAGGCTATGTGCGTCGCCATTGGTGACGGGAGCATCACAGCGGGTTTGCGAGCCGTCGGATTCGTAGTTGTTGTGGCTGTACGAGATGCCAGAGTTTTGTGTTACTGGATTGACGACGCCTCGGATGGGACCCTGAGTGAAGCATTTGTCAGTAATGTGGAGACGAAGGGACGGGGTTCAGTTTAGACTTACACCAATGGACCAGCGCTGGCCGACCGGGTCACCGAACTGGTTTATGGCGATGATAGCGAGAGGCTCAGAGACATCTGGACTCATGGCATAGGCGGCGAAGAGGCCGGCAATGGTCTCCGCTTGGGTTGTGACACCAGTGCGGGACAGGTAGCCGTGGTTGGCTGCAGCGTTGAGTCCTGGGCAGGGACCTGAGGAGCGAGGACGGTGAGGTCAGCGAAGGTAAATCCGAGGAGCTTGGTAAAGACCATACCACGAATGTCGGATTTGCCCGGCGGCTTGTAGGCATACTTTCCAGTGGTGCTCACGTATTGATCCGTTGCGTTAAATGGAGCACATGGCAATGGACCGCAGTTTGTACGCTTGGCACTGATGACTGCGGCGGCTGCGACTGTCTTCACTGGAGGGCACTTGTAGTTGTTCCAAGCACACTTGGATGAGCCGCTGCTCCCACTGCTCCCACTGCTCCCACGGTCGCGAGCAACGAGATCTTCCAAGACAGAAGGGTAAGCCGTCGCATAGCTCAGGAAAGCGGCGAGTGCCAAGGAGTACTTCATGTTCGAGGTCGTCGTTGGAGGCTTCGCTTGAGAGGAGCGAGATTGATCGAACTTAACAGGCGAACAGAGCAATGGATCTTTATGCTTCACCTCTATACTCATCTTCTAGACATTTGAGTACTTTCGACAAGTATCGGCAAGCTCCGTCCAGCCTGCATGCGAGGCTGCATAGCTGTTTCCGGCAAAGACCAAGCTGGGGAACGACCTCTCTAGACCAGCGTAAGCAGAAATGCTGATTCGCCAAACACAGGTACCAATTCCAGCCATCAGAGCGGCAGGGCTGAATCTTGTGATCGAATGGTCTGAGCGCCAAGTTCCATGGTCTCTTTTGAGATGTGTAGAAGAAGGCGCGGCTCGATCAGATCCATCGGAGATCGTGGTCGACTGCTTTTTCAACATCACCTGCTTTTTCAACACAGATCTTGATCGAGTGCTTTTGCAGTTGATTTCTACTGGGAGGACGACCGGTCGGTCTTCTACTCGTGCCAATAGCCAATGTCTCGCTGCATTTCCTGTTGAGAGGTGATTCAATCTGTCATCGAAGATCGATGGAGCGCGACAGATTGACATGCTACAGTATTGCCACCGGATGATTAGTCGTCTTCAGTCGGGGAAGAGTGGCGTCTGCAAGAGATGGAGTCAATCGCCATGTTGTAGGCAATGACTCTCATTCACTGAAGTGGGGAACGGGATGTTCAGCCATGTGGCAAATGAGATTGCGGGGAAGACATGTCTGGAGCAAGTAGAATATGTTGTTTTGCCAGCGGAAGGCTCGCTTGTTTGTCAAGCCCAATGGGGTCGGTAGAGGGATTGAGTGGACTTGTTGAGCAGAACCGAATGGGGAAGGAATGTGGCTTTCGTCGCTTAGATTCTCCTATCCACATAACAAGCCGTGCCGCTCTGGGCGGACCCTGATCCGTTTGAGCAACATATTGCATTAGGTCAAGATCTACATATATATTGTGACGTATGTGGATGTTTTGAGAAGACCAGTCACATACACGCGCAAACTCGCAACTTCATGGACGAAATCACTTTCCAACATTGCTCAATGTCTTTACTTCCCCTTCGATTTCGTCTCCGGATTCCGAATGGTGGCCGGCAGCCTCTGGATTGGTCTGCTCGATCAGGTTGTTCAGCATGCTTGGATTGGTGTCGAGAATGAGTGAAGATGCCAAGACAGAGCGCTGGATCACATCCTCGAACAATGCCTGCTGAACGGCACTCAAGCTTTCCAAAGATGTTACTTCTTCCATGTTCAGTTGGATATTGTCCTTCAAGAATCCATCAATACCTGAGGCTTTAACGGCCGTGAGATGCATGAAATTACTAGAGTACGGCCGATGGAGTTCCACATGAAGTAGACCTTGTTCTTCGAGTTGGCGAGAGTTGCAAAGGTCGGCTGGGGCTCATGGCTGGGTGGTGGCCGAGCTTGTCGACGAGAGATTTGAGGACGGCGTCGTAGTCTTCGAGCAGCCTTGGCCATTGGGATGGGGCAGGGCCATCGACAAGTTTGTCTGGAAAAGCACAAATATGCTCAATCTTTGAAAATCAGTCGTTCAACAGTGCGTCAAGACCTTGTCTAAGGGAAGCTCACGTAAACCTTTACAGGCACGTGAATGTCCTGATTTCGAAGTTTGACGAGCGTTTCTTACATGTCTCCCTCCAAGCCGCTGCTATTCGTAGACAGGGACATCGATCTCCAAAGATTGCAAACGTCTTGAAACCATTCGCGAAGCCAACGGAGAGACGGCAGCCTTGCGATATGCCAGGCCTACCGCTTCAGACTAAGAACTCTAACCGTCTCTTTGCCTAACTGACAGCCAGTGATCTAATACAAGACACCATTCCAAGTATAAGACAGTCATGGCTCGTGCACTTCTGTTGCGAGGTATGGCTGGCCATCAAGTCTTTCTCCAACGAGAGAAGCCGCTCCTGAGCTTCGTCTACCCTCCGCTGCTTCTGAGCACCAACATTCAATTCTTCTCGCATACCTGGGCAAGCGGACATCTCCAAAATGCGATTTTTCAGGCCCTCCGTCTCCTTGCCAAGGGTTTCGACCATGCGGCGTAGGGCCGAGTTCTCCTCTTCTAAATGCTGCAGTTGCTGCAGTTTGCGTTCACGAAATGCCTTTTGACTAGACAGCAATGGTGTGAGAGCCATGGCGGAGTACTATTTGATTGACTTACGCGGCTCGGTTCTGCGCTTTGCGCTTGGTTTCGCGCTGCTTGGTTCGACGTTCATCCACACCCTGATCGGAGGGATCACTGGAGCTCGCTGTGCCGCATTTTAGCTATAAGGTCGGCTGGACAGTGTGAAATTTGTGACGTACGAGACAAGTCTGTAACATTGGGGTAGCTCGAGGTCGTTCTACTATCGATAAAAGCGTAATCGAACAACGCGTAATCCTAAAGACATGGTAAGATCTCATGTTATGGTGTCCTTTTGGTGTCTTCTTTGCTCCATCTCTACTGACCTTCTCGCCATCGAAAATAGTCGGGATCAACTTGCTGTGCGATTCTTGACAGAAGTAAGACCATTCGAATTCGGCCGACCCGTAGGCAGAATCAGGCTCGTGAAATGCCTCCATGGTGTTTCACAGTAGTATGCGCCGTGATCTGGAGTATGCGGTAGTCCAGGAGGGCGCTGTCGCGAAATCATTCTCTCGGTCGCAGCCTTAAAGCCTTTGAACATGGCTGGCTCTGGGGAAGCAACCTTCAAAACGTATTCGTACCGCATACCACCACACACCAGATATGGACGGCCATGCGGCGGTTGACGTTAATGCCAATTCGACTATAGTAACGACTTGCTTGGCATAGTAAAAGACCGGTTGCAGACGACACACCTAAAGGGGATTGGCAGGCATAGTGCCTTCCATGATCGTGCATTTCCCTCGATGCGACTCTCGAACCACGGACGGAGGTGCAGCTCCCGAACTCATTTGTTGCTCATACCCAGACCTTGGTTACTAATGCTTTCATAAGCTGCAGTACCACACACTCGTCGCTGATTCAGTGCTGATGTACCATCAGGCTGGAAAGCACCAAGTCCCGGCCAAGCCTTGTCCCGTTCACTCCAGCCGCACATGTCTCATGTTGTTCGTGCATTGTATGACCCTTCCGACCACATGCAGCTGCAGCGGCTTTGGACGTCACGTAGTTCTACAGCCTATTCCGTTCGTGAGGCTCAAAACCCAATCTCGGGCGCAACTGTAGAAACTGTTCAAGCGAGGCTATGAAATATCGACTCTTTTGGTCTAGCTATCACCTATTACACCAATAAGTTGAATTTGCTTCCGTCTCGGTACTCCCTCCGCGACTTCCCCTCTGCTCTTCATATCTTCATGAAATCGACTGCTCCGTACCCTGTAACCGGTCTCTCTCCCTTCTTTCTCGCCACAACCTCAACATACCCGCTGAACTGCGGTGGGAATCCAGTCCCCTCCTCGGCCGGCTCAAAAAGTTGATCGGATCTTGGCGTGGTGACATGCAACTCCACATCCCCTATGACGACAACACCTTCCGAAGGGTACACCATTCCAGTCTCGGGAGACGTATAAGTGTTTGTCGTTGAGACTGAAACGCTGACAGGTACTACAGAGTCACGACCGGTACTGGCGCTCCGGACTGTGGCGAACTGTTTGGGTCCATCAACATCATCGTCCCAATCCCATACGCAGAGGACGGAGAGACCAAGCCATGACGGGACTGGGTCCGGGAAGTTGACGGCCAGCCACCTGAAGGCGTCTTGCAATGAGCCCCACTGTCTGTCGTACCATGATAGTGATCTTGAAGATACGACGTCAATCAACTTGCCGTTCACTTTCAGCCAGCCGGCTGTAGCACCTCGCGGGATAGACCATTCATATCCAGTGTCGCCATTGACCAGGTAAGAGCCCAAAGCGGCATTTAGCAAGACGGGAGACGAGTAGTTGAATGTGAGATCAAACTCGACGCCCTCAACGGAGCTGTAGGCATGGATGCCCTGCAATGGATCACTGCTGTCACTCGTCTCCATCCCGAAGTGATCGAAGATGGCGTGGAAATTGCCGGCCTCATCGTAGAAGTTCGTGCCCGGCGAGACTGTTGGGCCGAATTTGACGAAGAGAGATGGATTTGAGATGCCCATTATGGCGCCCCGGTACACGGGTTTCGCGCCCGGGATGTTGGAACCGTAGTCCATGGCATGGGCGGCGATGTAGTAGTCTTGGCCATTTGAGCCGTGGACGAAAGAGTTGAGCCAGAACGAGCCTCCGATTTTGACGTTGCCGGCGTGTTGCGAGTCAGACAGATTGAAATTGAGCGGAAGTTGGGAAGTCTGGAAAGAGTTAATAAGCGGCAAGTAGTGTTGAAAAACACGAGACATGCCTTCCCTCCAGAAGTAAGATTTCCTTCGTCAGGGTAGACTCTCTGCGTCCAAGATGAGGAAGCGTGCCATGGCCAATCCCAATCAGCGTGGACGGAGGGTACTGATGCACTTAGCACAGTGGTAAACCAGAGGCCGAGTAGTAAGATTTCGTTAGGCATGATGTATGTTCGAAAGGGCAACTGTAATAACAAGCTGTTTGCGTAGGGCAACAAGTGGTCTTTATTATACAAGCCGTCGAAGGTTTTAGCCTTCTCTCTAGGCGTTGCGATATTAGTTACGTTTACTGATTGGTGACCAAGATGAGACATCATCGCTGTAGACATCAAAATAGAGAGCGACGCAACGGCACGAAACTCCTTTGGGTGTGTGGTCAACCATGCTGCTTTAACGCCATCGTCGCTCTGAATGTCAACTTTGAGGGCGATTACCGGCACGAAACCCTTTTAGGTGTGTAGTGTTCTGTGTAGCATTGCTTAACGCCATCATCGCAAGGGGTATTAACAGCCTGATGGTGCTAAACCGTTTTCGGTGCGTGGTGTCTCATGCAGTATGAATGCGAGGTGCTTAGTCCGATTATTCCGTGAACTTCGTAAGCCACGCATAAGCATGCCAAGCATGAAGACCAGGCTTGGAACGGCGTCAGAGGCGATCAAGTTTCTGATACGAGGCAGTCCGAGTCTGGAAAGGTATGTTAGCGAAGATCAGGCTGTTCCTTGAGCACAGTCGTTGCCATCGTGTATTCAATACAGACCGGGTGGAATGAAGAACACATCATCTTGCTCAAAACGACTGAGCCAGTTCTTGCCTTGCGGTAAATGTATGGTTCCATGTCGGACAAGAGTATCCGTTTCATTCTCCATCTTGGTCGAGACTACGATCACTCACAATTCCAGCCCATCCAAGCTACGAAACCATTTTCCCTTCCAGAGAGTCGACGTCTACTTCAGTAGATGTACCAAGTTGATCGACAATGTTGAAACTCCCAGGACTGGCCACATTGAAATACTTCACTCCTTATAATTCGCCTCCATAAACACCCTCAGCTCGCCCATCATTAGCTCGAAATTGGGAGACAGCGCCTCTTCGAACCAGACTGACTGCGTGACCGCGTGCACGGTAAATTGTCGCACGCTGTCGTACCCTCGCAGCCCGAGGGGCGTGCAAGCGTCAACGATGCGCTCGAAGAACCAGCTCGGATCCTGTTTTAGCGCACAAACTTCCATAGCGCCCGCTACTAACATCCAGAATATCACCTCGCCGAGAATGAGGGTGGCGGGGTGGACGAGACACATGCGCAGGGCTGCACTTAGGTTGTTGAGGTGTAGGCTCGTGCCTGGGGCCGGCAGACCCATGCGCCTGCGTACGGGGGCAAGAAAGACGACGATCGCGTGACGAAGAGCATCTGTGAAGCAGCGTCCTCCTTCGTCTGCAGAGGCGTCATTGTCTCCTCTACTACGATCGATGCCGCTGTTCTGGGAAAGGCTGAGGCAGTGATGGCACAGGGGGAGGATGTGAATGGCGTCCAGTTGGACGCCGGTCCAGGAGCTCTCGGGCTGATACGCCGCCAACTGCTCTGATAGCCACTCGACGGTGGCACCCATGTCGACAAAGACCTTAATGACAGCAATCTGCGCAGGGAGTGCACGAGCCCACGTGGAGAGTGCGGTGAGCAGGCGAGGCTTCGCGCCCATGCGAACTCTGCTCGAAAGCGGCTGAATGTGCTTTGGGATTGGGAAGAAGGGCTGCATGTCACGAGTAATTGCCCCTTCCATGTCGTTGCTACTGTCTGCATTAGAGTATTGCACCAGAGCGAGACCCCGTGGATCGAGTTTCTGATTTGATGAATCAGTGAGCACTCACAGATATAGAAAGTGCCGCATAGTGGTGTTGGATTCGATCGTCGCGATGCCACCGCGCTTCTGTAGAATGGCGTGGATAGCGCGCATGTGCACGGCCCACTCGTCCACGTAGTCGTCGTTGCTATGGCGCCAGCTGGATTGTGCCCCTTCCCAACACCACCCTGACAGTGGACCGGGGGTCAAAGTATGGATGGCATTGCCCAGGATGCTGAGAATGACCCCATCGCTAAGCCGTTCCTGCCTGTCGTCAAGCCGTCGGTTCACAGATGTGAGGCCGGTATTGTAGTTATGGACGGCCTCAGACATAAGCGCCGCCCGCACGTTCGTGGAATACCTACCACTCAGGCAGAAGCCCGAAATAGCAAGTACGTGGTAGAGGAAGCCTACGTCGATACTGACTAAATCCCAGGAGACAATGCGGACCGGTGTGATGCTGCTGCAGTCGGTAGTCAAGACTGTCTAAGAGGTCAGCTGCGCCTCTTTTGGGTAGAAAGGGTGATGCGACCGACAGTAGTCTAGGAGATATTGCATTCGCTTTGTCACCTTCACTGGCCATCGTGTGAACGGATCGAGTCGGCTGCCAGCCAATAACCTCGGGATTGGTGCTTGGAGCTCTGGGTTGATAATGTTGACATTACAATGGTTGCTACCTTCGCGCCGCTCTCCCGTCACCTCCTCGATATGCTTCCCGGTCACGACAAGCCCATTGCGTACGGTCGAGGATTTGCGATGCTGGGGTCGCCGCCGAGAGAGGCCAATCTCTGGGAGTCTGTGCTTTAACCTCCGAACTGCCGTTGTCAAGATGGAAGAGGCAAAGGGGAGGCACTTACCTCGCATGACATGCTTTCTGGCGGCGGTGTTGTATCTCTGGCTTTCAGGTCTCCCACGGTTGCCCTGCCCATGCCGGAGCTCGTTTGAGGGAACGAACAGGAACTTGGGCGGGCTACTGTCGTTGCTTCTGCTGGAAGCTTCCGTGATCTGCATGCCTCAGTCGGCTCTTCGACACAGCCTTGTCCACGATGAAAGGAGTCTCTGGATAATGGTAGGAGGACCGCATTGGCCCCATCAGTACTAGAATTCTGTGCCAATTCGCCAAGTCAAGCAGAGGTCAGCTGCCAAGGCATGGCAACATATCGAGAATGGTGCCTTGGTTGTGTGCGCAGTGCTCCGTGCTGTGTTCAGCAATGCCATATGCCCTCAGGTTCGAGGTCGAGACGCCTGGAGGAGTGGTTGGTCTAAACATTAGGGAAGACGCGTTTTATCTGCGATGAGCTTTCCTCGGCTCGTTGGCTCGTCGCAAGACTGCCGCGCGGGACACGTGCAACCCAGCCGGAGATCGACCGGGATCTTCGCTCCAGAAAGTCGACATCAGTTGGAGAAAAATATGTAGCGAGGATAAGTGACTGTTGGTTGGGATTTCAAGCGATGGCCTTGGGAATTTTATTAAGAATCAGGTAGTTCGACTCAGCCGCACCAGAAGCGATGCGTAGTTGACACGCGTTTGGGAGGAAGTGAAGTATTCTAGGCGCAGGGGAAAGCTGGCTTGATTGAAATCACCATGAGCTTCCAAATATCCTCTCCCAATGCCTCGCCCTTTGGAACGCCCCGTGACGAACACTCGAGAGCCAAACGAAACCCTTCGCAGCTCCATCGTCCTCCTGTAGCACCATCTCCGAGCGGCTACCAACAATCAGCGCCGGCTGCGACAGACAGCTACTTCCCACCCGTCCCTTCACCACAGCCGCATACCATGAGCTACGGGCAGCAGCCGGGGATGGCGTATTCCCAGCAGCAGCAGCAATATGATGGACAGCAGGACATGAACGGCTTGACGCAACAGATGGGGCAGATGGGCATGGATGGCGGGGCGCCACACCCAGCGCGGAGGAGAAAGGACAGACACGCATACCATCAGATTGAACAACCTGCTGGAGAGTCCCAAAGCTATGGCGCACCGCCTGGAGGGCAGTTCATGAATGGACAACCACCGGCACAGCCAGGCCAAGACCCAGCATCAGCGCCGTGGCAGCAGACCACACAGCCGTGGCAGTCTCAGCAACTACCACAACCTGGCAGCCAGCAGACCCCACAGGCAGTCGCACCAGCACCAGGCACTTCAATAACACTGCAGCAGGCTGGGTCTCAAGCTGCGGCTGCACAAGGACGAGTCAATCCAGAACAAGTCCCAAGCATACCACTCAGTAGAGACTTGCCAGCCGAGTACTACAAGAGCCATGTCTATCCCACAATGGAGCAACGGCTACCACCACCGGCTACCACGCCATTCGTCGCCTTCGACCAAGGCAACGCCTCACCGAAGCATGCACGGTTGACTGTGAACTGCGTGCCCAACTCTCAAGAACAACTGGCCACGACTGCACTTCCTCTCGGAATCATCGTTCAGCCTTTAGCGAAGCAACAAGACGGCGAGTCTGCAATTCCTGTTCTTGACTTTGGCGAGATCGGGCCACCTCGATGCAGGAGATGTCGAGCTTATGTAAACCCGTTCATGGTCTTCTCAAATGGTGGCAACAGGATGACCTGCAATCTTTGTGGACACCCCAATGAGGTTCCACCTGAATACTTCGCACCCACAGACCCATCAGGAGTACGAGTCGATCGACAGCAGCGTCCTGAACTTACGCTTGGCACCTGCGAATTCCTTGTACCCAAAGAGTACTGGTCGAAGGAGCCGGTTGGCATGCGCTACCTCTTTCTGCTTGATGTCAGCGCTGAGAGCTGCAATCGTGGCTTTCTGAAGGCCATGTGTGATGGCATCCTTGCCGCACTTTATGGCGACGATCTGGAATTTGAGGCGGCAAAGGACGATGACGACGAACAGAACGGAGAGAAGCCGAAGAGTTCGAGTAAAATGCCACCAGGTGCCAAAGTTGGATTCGTGACTTTCGATCGGGAGATTCACTTCTACAACGTGTCTCCTGAACAACCGGCACCCCAAGAGCTTGTCATGTCAGATCTCGAAGAGCCATTCTCCCCAATCTCCAATCACTACCTCTTCACAGATGCGGCTGAGGCCAAATCGAACATTATCACACTTCTGCAGAGACTACCGACCATGTTTGAGCGCATCAAGCAGGCAGAACCGGCGCTTCTACCTTCACTTCTGGCTGGGTTGTCCGCACTTTCAGAAACAGGCGGCAAAGTCATATGCAGTCTTGCAAGCCTGCCGACGTTTGGTCCTGGCCGACTTGCCGTGCGTGATCGTGGGGTTCAAAGCGCCTCGAACGAAAACCCAGAGCAAGAGAAGACTTTGCTGCGGGTTGAAAATCAGGCCTACAAAAAGCTGCAGGCCGACATGGTCAAGGCTGGCGTGGGTGTCGACTTCTTTTTGATGGCACCTGCCGGCGGGTATCTGGACATCGCGACCATCGGGCATGTGTCTGAAAAGACTGGTGGCGAGACTTTCTACTATCCAAACTGGGCCTACCCTCGTGATACTCTCAAGCTTCAAAAAGAGCTATCTCACACCGTACAGCGAGAGCAAGGGTTTGCTGCTTTGATGAAGATACGTTGCAGCAATGGCCTCCAACTTTCTCACTACAGTGGCAACTTCACACAGCACACTTTTGGCGCCGATCTCGAAATGGGTACGATCACAGAAGACAACGCTCTGTCTGCAACATTCAGCTACGACGGCAAGCTTGAGACAAGGAATGATGCCCATTTCCAATCTGCCCTGCTGTACACCACTACTGGCGGACAGCGACGAGTGCGATGCACAAACGTCGTTGCTACTGTTACCGAGAACGCTCGTGACAGTTTGCGATTCGTCGACCAAGATGCTGTACTCTCCGTGATTGCCAAGGAGTCGGCTGCAAGAATACCAGAACGCTCTCTGCAAGACGTGCGACAAGCCATCCAGGACAAGACGACGGATATTCTTGCTGGGTACAGAAAACACCATTCCGAATCTCACCCGCCAGGCAAACTTGTCATGCCTGAAAATTTGAAGGAGTTCGCCATGTACACCCTTGGCCTCATCAAGTCTCGTGCTCTGAAGGGTGGTAAGGAGCCCAGCGATCGCCGGATCCAGGAGGTTCGACTCATCAAGGGTATGGGCGCTGGTGAATTGAGCCTATACTTGTACCCACGCATCATCGCGCTGCACAATCTGGACCCGTCAGAAGGCTTTGCAGACGAGAATGGTCATTTGAAAATGCCTCGCGCTATACGAGCAAGCTTCGGAAACATCGAAGAGGGTGGGGCATACCTTGTCGACAATGGACAAATGCTCATTCTATGGATCCACCAATTGGTCAGTCCCAATCTGCTGGAGGACTTGTTTGGACCTGGCTTCGACGACTTGCAAAAGTTGGACCCCAACTTGAACGACCTACCGGTGTTGGAAACTCTTCTGAATGCGCAGGTGCGCAACATCCTTCTAGCTATGGACCAAGGTGCTGGCAGCGGCAGGGGCTCAAAAGGACTCGCCATTCAACTGGCTCGACAGGGTCTGGACGGCGCAGAGTTCGAATTCGCTCGCTTGTTGTATGAAGACCGCAACGGCGAGGCTAGTAGCTACGTCGACTGGCTGGTCCAACTGCACCGCAGCGTTGGCATGGAGGTAGGAGTACATGTTGCTAGTAGATACTGACTTGCTGACACTTCACAGTTGAGTGGTCAACGATCGAAAGCCACGACTGACGTCTCAAACACGATCAGTGATACTATCACGACGATAGCGAGTAATGTGCCTCGTTGGGGTTGAGCGCGCTTCTCTTTCGAGGAGTGTCGACTTGGGGGAATTCTCGCTGAAGCGTGATAGACAGTACGGCAAGCCGAGACACTGCCCTGCGTGAATCGCTTGAGGGATATGCCAGAGACGCTGCCATGCTGTGGATGAATGCACAGCGAGGGCCCACCTGCTTCAAGGGCGGGCGGCCATAGGCGGCATCGACGGCATGAAGAGACGAAGAAGCAACGAACCATGAAATGCTCTACAGGCTGTCCTTTCGTGACTGCACTGGCACACACGAGGCGGAGGCGAGGCATTGAAGGTCATGGGGACGATGAGCTGGCAACAGCGGACCCTCAGACAAAATAGAATAGGAGCATGAAGAAAATCAAGAGCTCGAACAGACCCTTTTACCTCCTATCACCGACTGCAATTCACTCAACCAGACCCTGAAGCTTGGCATTTCCGAAATCGGCTCCCTCTCGGCTCTTGGCGGACATATCGCACTCTTCGTCCAACGTCACCTCGCTTTTTCAGCTCTGCACAGCGCTCAACCAAAGCCGAAAACGCTTGGTTGGGTTGGAGGATGTAGGTGTACTTAAGATTGGGATGCATCGCGCTTCGTTAGCCTGTTTCGCGCATTGCTTTATTTCACTCTCAGTACAAAAGCTCAATCTTCTCGAAACCTAAGCACTTGAGTCTTACCAGCAGAACACCACCCAATCCCTCCTCCAAACCCCAGAACAGTCCCAGCAACCATGACATCCACCCACTCCTCCGCCGCTTGCTGCTCCACGCCCGTCCCAAAGGCCACCGCCGACTACACCCCCAAAGGCACCTACCAAACCCTCGCCAACACCAAAACCTACATCACGGGCCCGGCCTCCGCCACAAAAGCCCTCTTCCACATCTACGACATCTTCGGCTTCCGCACCCCAACCCTCCAAGGCGCCGACATCCTCGCTTCCGCGGGGTACCTCGTCGTGATGCCGGATTTCTTCGCGGGCAGCCCCGCGGAACCGGCCTGGATGGATGGGAGCGAGGAGGGCGGGAAGAAGTTTGGGGAATTCCTGGGCGGGTTGAAAGACGCCTCTCCTTTTTTGAAGAAAATCGACGCCCTCCTCCCCGTTCTGCGCCAGGCTTTCCCTACCGTGTAGTCCTGAGCCAGCATAGGTTTCTGCTGGGGCGGCAAAATCGTCTCCCTCACCTCCGCGGGCCCCTCCACGCACTGGAAAGTCGGGATCCAGACGTCCCCCGCGCAGGTCGATCCGGAGGATGCGAAGAAGATTACTATTCCGAGCTTGATGCTCGCGAGTGAGGGGGAGGATGCGGAGACGGTGAGGAAGTGGGGTGAGAGTTTTGATGGTGAGGTGGCGAGGGTCGAGAGGTCGGAGAAGGAGGTGCATGGGTGGATGAGCGCGCGGGCGAGTTTGGAGGATGGGGAGAGGAGGGCGGAGTTTGAGAGGGGGTATCAGGTTGTTTTGGAGTTTTTGGGGAAGTACGTTTAGACGTCTAGGACTAAGGAATGGTGAAAGCAAGGAAACGAAAATTCTCAAGATTGCCCTCTTTCCTCACGCAGTCTCTGCACCGCCATCCTAAGCAGCATCAGCCTTGTCAAAGGCGTCAGATCCCACTGTACAAGGCTCTCTTCGCTAGCCAACTCTGACGCCAGAAACTCAGGGTGGTTGTCGAGTAAATTGCCGTAGAATTCGACTTGTCGCCATACATTTGCGAACCGTATTCGCTCTCGTAGGGCGAGGAGGAGTCTGTTGAGCCCCTGTAACCAAGATCGAAGTCGATCACGCAGCTGTACGAGCAGCGAATTTGGCCGTTGAAGCCCTTGTTGCTCTCTCTGCTCGATTCGTTCCGTAAGTTGCTGTATCTGCGCAGCTTGCTCGTCGAGGCGTTGAACCAACGGACGGAGGAGGTCGCCGATCTCCGATAGCGTGACCATACGATCGGTATATGGCGGTGGAGGAGGAGCGTCGAGAGCGGCATTGTTGGTTGACATCTGAGCCTGTGGGCTCCCTGTCTGCGAGGCTGTAGAGCTAGCGGCTCGGTTTCGCGGAAGCCTTGTCGACATGATCATGGAGGTGCTGTGCCGGGCAGACATTGCCACGGGGATGCAATTTGAAGAGCCAGTAGAACATGGTCACGGCTAAGACTTGGTCGTTGCTGCCACTCGTGCATAAAGGCTCTCGAAACCACAGGTCCTTGCTCGATCTACTAGGCGGTTCAACTTTGAATGGAATATTCAGTTCAGAAGTACCTAATCCATATTCAATTCAACGCTGAATCTGAATTGAATGGATTGAATGGATTCAAGCTCTATGATCACATCCCCACAGGATCCATCCCATGCACAGTCCGGACTCTGTAGATCATCCACTTCTCGTTGATCAATCGAAAACTAACCGCACACAACGCTTCGATGTTGACTCCCCTGACATGGCCTTCGACTTGCAAATAAGCCATAACTCTTGCCTCTCCGACCTTCTCGTCAATCGTTGCAGTTCGACTGATTGCGTTGCATCAGAGTCTCGCTTCGTCCATTCGAATCAAGCCGACCTTTCACTCGCTGCGCCTGTCCAGACGGAAAATATCGCCGAGCCCATGAAGCCGGACTCCATTCGCATGTCATCCGTGTGCACCTGCCAGATCTCGTTCCGAGGGTCGAAGTTTCCTTCGTTGAAGGCTTTTACGATTTTTAGGAACATGTCTTCGAGCTTGGCGGCGGTTTCGGTATCTTGAGGTTTCCTTTCGACCAGTCTTTTACGATCGAGGAGGTCTTTGAAGAGCAATTCAGCGGGTATGGCGGCATATTTATGGCTTAGCACTGTTGATGCGTCTTCGGAGGACATGTTGAGTGGCGAAGGGGGCGAGAGCCCATTAAAAGCAGTGAACAGTGGAAAGTGAGGTCTTTTGGTCTCGAAATAGGCGATATATGAAAGTCTTGCAGTAGCAGACTAATCCGAATGCGATTCCAAGTTGCCTCAAAGTTCCGGCCGTCATTGTAGTTGACTTTCAACGCCCTCCACAATACAGAGTTGGAATCAAAGAGCCAAGATCTTGATACTGCTGACTTTCAATGGGATCATCAGGTCGGCATGATGACTGGCTCATCCCAGACAAGGTAGAATTGCAGATCTCACATCTCCTCAAAATCTTGTTCTGGGGTTAGCCTTGCACACTCTTCTCAATTGCATTATTTAAACTTGAGGGAGCCCCGCCTTCTGCGCACATTCAGGAGTCCAGAGTTACTCACTGAAATTGTCCTAGACATGCGGCAAGATGAAAGCATTGAATCTTGGTCTGTAACCAGCACCAAGGTCTTCATTGTGGTCTAGATCAACGCAGTCAACTTATGATCCAGTCAGATTATATCGAGGCCTACAGGCTCTTGTCCTTGAAAGCTTGAAGAACCGTACGTTCGCCACCTTCCATCTGACAACCGAAATTCCACAATGGAGGCCATTCCTACGACGTACTCTTCAGAATCGCGGAACTCCAGATAGGCTGTGAGTTTCGCGCGTCCGTTTCTCACATCAACTTTCGTGGTCATGCTGTGCGTTATCAGGAAGTGTGTGCTTTACTGAAGTCCCAAAGGGATGCTCACGTTCTACAGCTTGTTCTCGAATCGGGTGACTGGTGGGAATTGATTTGCTTCAACACGTGGGCAAGCTCAGCGTTGTTCAACTTCCCGTCGAAATCGAAGGATGGCCGCAGACCGAACTGGCGGCTTCTTAGGTGATATGGATCTTCGTAGTGTTGCCATACCTCGCTATTTGGTTCCAGGTCCTGCCGGTTGATGGCTTCTAACGACATGAGAGAGATCGACTCCACCTCAGCGGCTATTGCGCTCTGTGTTTGTGATGGTTTTGGGGTTCGCCTGCCGGGCTTTTCATCTTGTGGAGATGATTGAGATGGTTGCATAAGCAGAAGTCCGAGGGACCCAGAACCGGAACATGAAGAATCCTTGCCGCCGTCGGCCATGGTGAGTGTTGCCGGAGAGAGAAAGAAACCCACGGCGTGAGGCTGTCGTACTCGAATTCGCGTGACACAGACATCGCTAAATGATACATTGGGGGTCAAGGATTCCGATAAGATTTCGTGTTCAGTGGCGTGTTTTCTCCTGTCCCCTAAAGGTTTTGGGGGGTGTTCGGTCACTTTGATTGTATGCAAGGATTGAAGCTTCGAGTCTCCCATGCGCCCAGGAATTGTATCGGCTGCACTCGTATATTTCAGGATCTCGACTTAGTCATTTCATGAACTGCCGAGTCAACTTGGGTACACCAAGCTCGTTCAAGAGTTTGGGCAATGTTGTTGACCCGAGCCAACGCAGTCAGCCTTCTGGGATATGGGTAGGTAGTTTGATATGTCAAAGCTTAAATCGACCGCGTCGAGCCGCTCTTTGCTCCCAACCAACAATACTTGCTCTGGAGGCCTTTGCGGTAATAAATGTCTATACATGCGCCAGAAGGATGGTGGGATCCCATGTGCTTGAGATTTTTGCGATGCGAGAGCTGGTAATCCAATCGCAACTTAGTTTTATCGTCATCTGTGGCAGCCAGCAAACTCCTCTACACTGTGGTCTGTACCAACACAGTCAATCTTTGATGCATTCACTCACATCAATCCCCAAAAGATCCATCCCTTGGAAGCTCTGTGCTCTATAAATCTTCCATTTCCCGTCTGTCAGTCTGAAGTCGAACACGCTTAGAACGTCCATTAGGCACCCCTTAGCATTGCGTTGAAATCTTGAGTACGATGTGATCTTGGCTCGTCCTGCCCTCACATCTACGGTCGACGTTCGACTATTGCATCCCATTAGAGCAACCGCGACTGGCGCAGAAACCACGAGCAAAGACTCACTTTTGACAGTAGAATCTTATGTCAGGAAAATTAGAAAGAACGTCCTCAGCCGCGAGAAGGTACTCGCGACGGGTCATGTCGCCATTGAACTGGATTTGAGGACTTGTGAGGAACATGTAGACTTCCACACGGAACTTGTCTTCATATTGTTGCCATACTTCGCCGCTGTGATCAAAATTTCGCCTATTGAACGCTTCCATAATCTCGTGATCGGCCCGTTCGAGTTGTGCGGCTACTGCGAGCTCTTTCCTACCCTGTCTGGCGGGTTTCTTGGCAAGTCGGTCACTTTTGCGAATTATCGGTACCTCGGGGAAGATGGTGAATGGAAAATCCAGGGGCCCGGAGCAGTCGTCGTAGTAGGCCATGTTGTGGTCTTCAACAAAGTTGAGGAGGGCTGAGAAGCGCCCGGCGGTCGTATTCGGAGAGATTCGTCATGATGGTATATATCGCTAAACGAATCCAGTTGCGTGTTTCGCAAAGCCTTCTTGCATATCCCTGGCCGGAAAGTCTGGTCCAGGTTCGAGACTTTTTCCAGCCTGTCGACCAGGTTCATGACTTCTTCCCCTGCGGAATTGGAAAGCCAGTCACTCGCATTCGTACGTGCAAGGATCCTTGACTGTCGTCGATCTGTGTACCGGTCATCCGTGTTTGTTCAATTACTAAGCACGACACACACCAATGTTCATGACTCGCATGAACGCAAACCCCTGTGAACGGTTTCTCTCGCTGATGATTATTAGTTGATGCGTCCTAAACACGGTGGCAGAGAAGCATCTTCGATCTGACTGCCGTAAACATTACGAAAGTTGAGGGCAGTCGACGGGGAATTTCAGGATGTTGCACGAGAGAGAAGCGGGAAGCGGATTTACAGGCTCTGGTTACCACAATAGTCTAGTCCGTGAAGCGTGCAGCAGTCACGTGTGGCTTAGCGCGAACCGAATCGGGCAGGAGCGAGTGAATGAAGCATGATGTTGCTTCTTGATACTCGCCTTCGCCCTTGCTTCTCACTGTCGCCATTGTAACCATATCAACAATTCAACACACATCAATCAACACAAGGCATTCAATATCGCATCGACAACATTTCATCTTGACCGTCGCTCACAACCACTTGTAAGCATGCAGGATAACCGAGTCCGTCATGGCCCCAGCGCCGTCCCTCCTGAGCCATCAAAACACCAAGAAGACAATCCAGAAAATCAACACAGCACCGAAACCATTCGCAGAGACAGCGGATCATCCGATGTCAACCTAGAAACGGAGCAGCATGCAGAAGCCGCGACGTCCTCAGCATTACCGCTACCTCCAGCTACAGAGCAGGCCAGGAGTCTCAAGAGCTCAGACAGTAATTTGAGCAGTATTGCATCTTCCATCAAGAGTGGCTCGCCACCGAAACCTGTCGTCACTCCAGACACCCCAGCTTCGGGGCTGCAAACGCCCGCTGCATGCCGCCCTCTCACCCGCCGCCGAGCCACGCATGGCAACCAATATCGCCCAGCGTCTTCTCTCTCGCAACAAGAACCAGACTCAAAAGTCTCTCATCGACGCTCCCGCTCTCACGACACCATGATGCGACTCCAAGAGCTTCGCGAAGGCCTACCTGATCCCCGGCCGGACATTACCCCTGCGTCACCAGAGATGACCACAACACAACCGGACATTTCCTCTCGCCCAGTGCAGCCACCTCGTCGAATTTCACAAAAGGTGGCTCAGGATACCCGACAACTCCGCAAGGAGCTCGAGCAGCTCAGACAAGGGCTATCGAACGAAGACGCGGCTCGACAACGGGAACTAGTCGCTGTGAATTTTGCGGTCAACAGGATCTTGGAGATGCAGAATAGCCAGATGCAGGTGCAAGATTCGTTGATCGATCGGTTCGTAGCGATGGATTTGGAATTGAAGAAGAATGGTCGGGCGGCCGGGAGTGGTTCGTCGAAGTATGGGTCACTCTTATCTTCCAATCGACAAGGCGACAAGAGGAGTCAAGGGGATTCTCGAAGTCCTAGAAAACAGGAAGAAAAAGGCCATACCGAAGAGAATAAGCAAGAAAAGTCTAGCGATAAGAGAAGCGAAGGCGGCTCGCCGAAAGCCACAGAAAGCAAACAGTGCAAACAGCAGTGAAGAGCAGCAACTTTTGAGAGGGTATCATCGGCAGACAGCGTGAATAATGCATCAGTGCAAGCTATCAGAATCTACATATATCCAGTGACTTCCACGCATCAAAGACAAGTCCCAAACACAAACAACAATCTAAGAAACAATGAAGCATCATAACCATATAGTCCCCAGACGCACCCGCGTGCATGAGGAAGACTCCGACATAGAACCAGACAGCCCTGTCGACGACACCAACTCAGCCCCTGAAATGGATCGAGCGACTCAAAGCCACAAGGGCGATGGACTTGAGCCATGGGCAAAGCAGTACTTTCACGAAACGCACAACAAACAAGCCCTCGTACCACCACCACAGCATCGCCATCAGCGCTACGACTCTTCCGACGGCGCAGATGAACAAAACCGCCCCATCGAACCACCGCCGAGACCTAAAACACCCCCCAAATCCCAAGCCCAACTCGACGCAGAGCAACTCCCTCGCCTCAACGAAGAGTTATGGCGATGCACGCAGCCCTTCGACGCCGAGAGACATGGCCAGCTGGTATCGCAATTGAGGGACCTGGTTCACAGACACAAGGAGGAGATGGAGAGGGTGAAAGGGGTGGATTTGAGAGAGTTTTTGAGGCTTGAGAGGCTGGTGGAGAGTTTGGAGGAGGTTTTGCAGAGGGCTTTTGTGAGGGGGGAGGGGAGGGTTGGGGTGGTCGTGTTGGAGGATGTGGTGGGGGCGGAGGAGGGGTGAGGTGAGGTTTTTGCTCTTTTGGGTGACGCTGGTGGAGTGGATAGGGGAGTTTGATAAGAGGCTGTGTAGTTTGAGTGAAAAATGGAGGTGAGGTTTGTTCTCTCGAGTGTGAATGTGAAGTGTGAGGAGGATTGCTGCCTGCTACATTCACATAGCGAGAATCGAGATCGTTGCAACATACCACAAAGTAGATCGCTCTTCTCCACCAACTTTCACGCCCTTCATCGCCCATTCCACCAAAGTCTTCCAACTCCACGAAGCCATCCAAGCAACTATGTAAGCTAATCCATTCGGCCAGCCTCGCCAAGCCGCAACTAACTCTTCATCAGGGGCCAATCCAACTCCACCCCAGCCTCGCCAGAGAATGCCACGGAGCCAGCCGCTGCAAGCCCAAGCCCAGACTCAGACACTGACATGTCCATCTACGAAGCCCACGAATACGAGTACCTCTACCCGTTCTGCCCATGCGACAAGTGCAACAGAAACGAACTCCTCGAGTCGCCCTACGATGATCGGGAGGTCAACGGAGCGGTATGCATCTGCACTCCAACGTCTTGTGAAATGGCGAGCTGACTTTGAGTGTCAGGTGATAAAGGGGCGCATGAATCGGGAGGTAGACCTTTGGGAGACGATGATGTTGTTCTGGCCACGCTGCGGTTGACGTGTTTGCTGGCGATGCGTTTGCCGGCTGACACGATTGATGAGCTGTCGTAAATGCTGTCATTCGTTGGGGAATGCTGTAGCAGCAGGGCTATATATGTTCGATCGCGAACGTATCGACTTTGTGTATTGAATTCAAACAACCAGCCAACACCGACCAAAATGAATACTTCTTGGGAAGATCGCGCTATCAGTACTGCGGCGGGGGTATATGTGTTGGTATAGAAGACGGGTCTTTTGAACGGGCAGGCTTTCAAACCGCTGGCGTGGCGACTTCTTCCATCGAATGATGGAATGACGCAGGCAAACCCAATGGCGCAAGTCTCCATCATTCGTGCCACCACCAAGACTTCATCGTTGACTTATTATCGAACAGATCGACTCTAGCCCTGGCTGATCGAGCTGTCGCCTTGAACCAGATTGATGATGACGAATGGTGTGTCATTGACGATGAAAGCCTCATTGAAGACGCGAGACCCACGGATTCTACCACAAAAGGCCACAGCATGCCAGAACCTCGAGCCTCCGGTATTGATCGCCCGTCGGGGAGCCTTGTTATTGATAAGACGCCCGGCCAGTCACTTCACTCCAGGCAAGACTGCTCGCCGCAGAAAGTCGGAGGAACGAGTTCCCTCACTGACGAGAAGCTCTCGGCTCAAGTCACAACAGCAGAAGAACTGAAGAGCAAGTTGGAACGCCAAGGCCGACACAAAGAGGCGCAGAAGATCCAGGCATACCTTGATCAAGCCGCACGTCGAGATGGTCGGAGTAGTGCAGGGCCTATGAAGCGAATCCGCCCTTTCCTTCGAACCAGAGTGGAACTTGCAGGCCTGGTTGGAGAGGCCGAGAGACAGGAAGCGAGTCCGCATGGTGACTGAGTAGTGGCATGAGCCAAAGTGTAATGAGATATACTTTAGCCCATATATGTTTCTTTCACAATTCCACGTTTGATCCAAGCATCGTATTCAATCCACTGCACTTTCTTTCTTCGGCCTCCACCTTCGACAAGCCGACCTGGGTTCATGACATGACAGCCTTCGAATGTCAACGTGAAGGGAGGCGCTTCGGAATCTGCCAGGACTAGTGCGTGGGGTAGTGGGTAGAGTGATAGCGCAGAAGTCGTGAAATCCCAATGTGTTGGTCGTACGGTGAGAGGGAATGGCGATAGTGTCGATTGTGGCAAAAGCGAAAGAATCAGGCGTTTGGCTTCTGTGACGCTGAAGGGTTCTGGCGGTACGGCGTCGTGCATTGGGGAGTCGGGAAGCTCGGTCATTTGACTGTCTTCAGGCAAGACACTCTCGGTAGAGGGCAGTGCCCCAGACATGACAATATCTTCCCCAGCAACCGATGCTGTTGGGATCTGCTCCTGCTCCTCTGCCTGACGCGCAGCTTGGCCGATTATCACTGCGTTTCTTCGGAAGCGGCCCGAAATGTCGTCTCTGCAGAGAATCATTTCGTGTGCTGGGCCAAACAAGCTCAACCTTGTCGGATTACTGGTCCAGATAGCCTCTCCGTCGACTTCGTCTTTCTTCAGTGGCCCACCCTCAGATTTCGCGTTCGCAAAAGCACGTTTTATTCGACTGGTGAAGATATCGGGCACCGCCTCTCTCGGTAGTAACGTGCTCGCACCAGCGCTGAACGAGGACGCCCAGGGGTCGTTGTCACCGGGGACAAAAATCCAGGTGCTCTTCCGAAGAAGGGCGGGAAAGTCTGCCAGAACAGCGGCCAGCTCATTGAACATCTCCTTGTATTCGATCGAGCCCACACCCGCACCTGCCATTGCCGCTTTGCTTGAGAAGTCACCCATGAGCACGAACGTCATTGGAGGCTGGTCGAGCGCAGAATACTCTTCGAGCACTTTGCGAAGAGCGCTCAAGGTAGTCGGCTGGTCGAGATTGACATCCGAAATAACGACCATCTTCCTTCTCGACTCTTCGATGGTCTCTGAATCTGGTCCAATCATTCTCTCTTCCAGTCGCTTCATCCTGCTTCCAACAGCTCGCTCTGAGCCTTGCCCAAGGAAGTCTGTCCATCCGAAGCCACCACCAAGATCCTCAGCTTTTAGATTGATGCCAAGTGCGAGATCTCGCTTCTCGACTGGTGGGCCTCCAATTTCGAATCCAACAAATCGGCCTCCAATCGTACCTCCTACACCTCCAGTATTCCCCAGCCCGCCAGACCCAGCACCAGCCCAATCTTCTTCGTACACACCGTCTACGAGCACAATCATGCCTGGGCAGAAGTAAGGCTCGCCGTCCTGCATGGACAGAGCATGCTGAAGATCCAAGGTGATGCTTCCACTGAGATCAGTCACGGCCAGGGTACCAGTTGGCGCGATGACAAGCATTCCCAGGATCAAATGTGAAGTGCCACCACGGCCAAGCAGATTGGCGATAGGTGTGATCTTGTAAAACTGCCGTTCGACAGCTGAGTTCTTTTTTCGTTTGGAGAGTACAGGTTGAGCGGCTGAAAGGGATGGCGCTTGAAAGGCGGGATTTCGAAGCAACCGCTGGTGGATGATGTTGTACCTCTCTTTGAAAATCGCAGTCTTGTGTGTAGGCGCGGGAAACATTGACGGTTTCGATGATAGCGCCAAGAAGTGTTTCTTGTCGACATCATACGTAAATCGGGGCTGTTCAAAAGCCGAGACGACTTTGAGCCAACTTCGAGGATCTTTGCCGAGTTCTTCGTGTTCTTCTGGTGCTGGCGAGTCAACATTCAACCCACTCATGCCAAAGCTGCTGCCGCTTCGATCCAGTTCCGGTCGCCTGTTGACGTCTGACAAGTCTACTGCACTATCATTTCCAAAGGCGAAGCTGCTGTGGCGGCTGAGGTTTGCGCCAGACTTTACATTGGTGATTTTCCCTCCACTCATACACCCCTGAAGCGTGTTGAGGATTGTTTTCAGCCTATCACCGTCTTCTACAATGACAGGGCCGTTCTCAGCCTTCCATATCTTGGCCACCTCCTCCAAGACCTTCTCGCCGGTTCCCTCTTCTCGCCATCCCGAGCCACAATGTCGTCCAACGAAAGATGCCAACGCTTGCAGTGCTGAAGAGGTCAGGGTATAGTTGTGCTTTTTCGTAAATATGCGGAATGCCAGCGGTCGTAGTGTCGGGGGTGGGAGGATGATTGGTAAGATGGTCGCTATCTGCGGCTTGAATGCGGGCGGCGGAGGAGGTCGTTGTGCTGGGTCTCGTATAGGATGTAAAGGTGTGCCGAACGCTGGTGACGACGAAAAGGGGTTATTTTCCTGCAGTTTCTCTGGTATCGCCATATTGAGGTGTGTGGTGGGGTGAAGAAATCGATCACATGAAGGGCAGCGACAAGTGAAGTCAAAGTACCAGACGCGCTTGCCCGGGGTGACGCGACGCGCCTGCCGAAAGCTGTCGCGATGGTCCGTGCGTCGCGCGAGAGCTTGGAAGTCGCGACCGACCAAACGAAGACGAGACGCTTGCTCTTTCCAACTTTCTCACCACAACCTTCCTCTCTACAACATCCCCCAAACCTCACAATCGGCGTCGCATAACCTCAAACATCGCCAAGATGAGTGAACCGATCGCCGAAGACGTCCCCGTCGAGCAGCCGACTGCACCTGAAGACCTACCTGCAAAGCTGGACCAGCTCAAGGCATCTGCGACGCACCAGTATTCCCTCAAGAAGTATGACAAGGCCGCCGAATACTACAGCGAGGCAGCCGCTGTGCAGGATGAGATCAACGGCGAGATGGCGCCCGAAAACGCCGACCTTCTATACCAATACGGCCGCTGTTTGTACCGCGTCGCAGTCGAGAGTTCAGATGTGCTGGGCGGCAAGGTTGCCGGGGAGGAGCCCAAGCGCAAGAAGAGAAAAGTCTCCAAGGCACAAGCAGAGAGCAGTGTTGCGGCGACGAATGGGGGAGAGAGTGCGGGAGGCTTGATTGCCGATGCGATCAAAGACGGCGAGCAGAAGACAGCCGAGGAGATGGTCGGCGCTGCTGCGAACGAAGTCGACGGCATGAAGCCCGAAAACAGCTCAAATCCCTTCCTTCAGATCACTGGCGACGAGAACTGGGAACATTCGGACGAAGAGGGTGAAGAGGGCGAAGGCGAGCCAGAAGAGGAGGAGGATGACTTTGCGACGGCCTACGAGATTCTGGACATGGCGCGTGTTCTGCTGTCTCGCAAGCTAGAAGCGGCACAGAACGATGACGGCAAGGGCAAGAGTACAGAAGAAAAGCCAGAAGTGCGGCAGTTGAAAGAGCGTTTGGCGGATACTCACGACCTACAAGCTGAGATCTCACTAGAGAATGAGCGCTTCCAGGACGCCATCAACGATACACGAGACGCGCTCAATTTGAAGGTGCAGCTCTACCCAGAGGAAAGCAGCCTGATTGCTGAAGCCCACTACAAGCTGTCTCTGGCTCTCGAATTCGCATCGGTGACATCGACCGAGGAGACCCCTGATGGTGACTCCAAGGTTGCTCAGGTTGACGAAGACATGCGCAAGGAGGCCGCTAATGAGATGGAGCTCGCTATCGCTTCATGCAAAGCTCGCGTGACGAAGGAGGAAGCACGTCTCGCTTCGCTCGATGCGGCGAAAGCAGCAGACAACAAGAGCGCCATCGCCGAAGTCAAGGACATGATCATCGACATGGAGCAGCGTCTCGAAGACCTGCGCAAGCCTGCTGTGTCGCTGAGTGCCATGCAGCCTGCCGGAGCGCCTGGCAGCGACGAGGAAGCTCTCAGGGGTGTCCTTGGGTCATTGATCGGCGAGAGCAAGGGCGAGCAAGCTAAGCGCTTGGCCGAAGCGACGCAGAACGCGAACGACTTGTCTAGCATGGTGAAGAAGAAGAAATCCAAGCAGGAGGCTGCGCCCGTTGAAGAGGGCAAGGGGAAGCGCAAGGCCGAGGAGGTCGTAGAGGGTGCGGCAAATGGGAAGAAGGTCAAATTCTCGAGCGAAGCAGAAGCTGACGCATGATGTCGCCACAACGGAGCACCTCAGGTTTGGTCCACGAGCTCAATCTGGTTGCTTGCCACATGTTTGCTTACTGTTTGTTTTGTATAGTACGATACCCATCCTTCACCCAGAAGCTTGTCTGCAGTTGCATCATCAGGATCTGATCTTAGATGGTGACGGAGTCGGAATGATATGCCATACCTCCAGACCCCTTCCCCTTCCTTCTCCTACCTCTCTTCAACCTCCAGCATGGCGTCTAACAACTTCCGCCCACGAACCCCGTCCAGCCTTTCATCATTCCCCAACAGCGACGCCGTCTCCCACGCCCAATACGAACATCTCCTTCGCCAGCATGTCGACTTGGGGTTTGAGATTGCGAGGCTGCATAGCGTGATGAGGGAGCATGAGGAGAAGCTCAGGGAGCTGGAACATAGGGTCGAGGTTGCCCAGAGGTTGTGTGCGATTTTGGTGCTAAGGGGCGATGACGGAGTGGATTTGTGAGCCATGAGGCTGATAAGGCGTTGCTCGTGGCGAGTAATAGTCGCCAGAAGTTGTTCGTGAGTCATTTGATTGACACACGGTATGTACAGGCGATGATGGAAACATGCTCTCTGCTTGCTGTTCTGTGGATGACAACGATAAATGCTGTTCGTGGCGGTCTCCTCGAGGTATAAATTCTTCAGTTCAGTTGACGATGAGTAGGTAGTAACCCTTCACTATCAACCAACTTGGAATCCCCGCTCATCAAACACAACGACATACTCACGCCCGATCTCAAGCTGAAGATGCAGAGTTTCCCATTCCCCAACGCCAGCACTGGCTCCGGTGATCTTCCACCACCATACTCAACACCGCCGATGCCAGAGCACTCCTGCCCCACAGCCGCCACAGCATTCAAGATCCTCGAAGAAACCCGTCAGTCCAAGGACTGGTCCATGGATACCAGTCGTGAAGGCCGCTATTCGATAGATACAAATCTCAGAGCAAGCCTGATCACTTTGCTTCTTTCACTACCAACTTCGCTCCTAATTCCAAGTCGTAAGACACGAGATCTGCCGTCACCAAAACACAACCGCCAAGCCATTTCCTTCTCTAACATGAAGCGATCAGACAGCCTTGAATCCAACAGTTGGACCGAACCACCACCTCCATACTCGTCAATGCCAGAGCGTATATGCTCTACGACTGCCGAGGCTTTGGAAATCATCAAGGAGCAACGCCTGTGCCCTTTCAGCGTCTTTGAAGAGAGGTATGGCACTCTCATCGACTCAAAGCCGGCCGTGGTTGAATGTCGTGTCACGGAAATTCGCAAGGAACTGGAGCAGATTATTTCCGCTGACTATCTATGCTATGAGCGTTCCACGAGAATCGTGTATGCCGGGCACCGATTTACGTTCACAGATCCTGACGTTGGGCGTGGCTTTCACAACACTTTGCAGATTGAGCATGACAAGAAAGCAAAGGCTCTGAAGCGGAGGACGCGGAAATTGGGAGTGCGCATGCTCGTATTTGATCTCAACCTGTTGGCCAAATTAAAGTCAAAGATTGAGAAGCGGCCTTTGCCGATGGGAGACTATGTTTGAGATTCTGTGTGCTTGAATTTTCAGTGTATCTAATGTCGATAAGCCGCTGAGAGATTGCCTGTTTCTCCTTTATGACATTTAGTGGATCTTCGAACGAAACTTCCTTTCGCATACATCACGACAAGGCTGAAACACGATTGTGAAGCACAATTGCGATCGACTTAAGTTTGTGAGTGTCATCCACACTTCAGTAAACGTAGAGAGTTGCACAATCAAATACGACAGCAGTATTGCGTGCCGGTATTCACGACTGCTGGTGATCATGAGAATTTGGGTTCTGCTTGCTACTACAGCAATGGTGAAGAGTGCTTCCATGTAGATATAAATTTCTCAGCTAGCCTGACTCCGATTCTTCTTTCACTACCAACACCACATCAAGCACAGCTGTAAGGAACAACAACACCAGTCACCAAACCACATTCGTACTCACACTCACACTTACACCACCTCGTTTGACTCCGACCATGCAACCTTCCCCGAGCATCGATTCGAACGCACCTGTCGACGTCCGTCAATCTACGGAAATGCCAGAGCATGTCTGTTCGACCTTCTATGAAGCGCTCAACATTGTTAAAGACCAATGCACAACATCTATGGAACGCTTTGTAACAAAATGGGCCTCCGTTCTAAGCTCCAACACTCGCAAAGTCGACAAAGACCAATGTGCATCACCTATGAAACGCTCTCTAGCAAAATTGGCCTCCGTACTGAGCTCCAACCCTCGCATAGTCGACAAAGACCAGAAAGCTATCGTGGAAGACATTCAGAAAGCATTCGATCAAATCAATTCGGCCGAATTTTTACACTACGAAACTGGCAACGACGTTGTCTACGCTGGACACAAGTTCAGCTTCCACACTATTGAAACTGCAATGCATTTCAAAGTAAAATCGGAGGAGTAGAAAATGATCCAGCATATCCTCCTTAGATGCATGGTATCATGGTTGATGACGCGTGTTTCCGTAGAGCACATGGACGCGATGGCTAGAACACTTGGTTATATTCGATGAGGGTGTAATCCGTTATGTCTGTGGGGAATGCCTTTCGAAATTTGTGATGCTTCTAGCTTGCTGGCCCTAGCCATTCTTTTGTATCTCTTCATTTTACGGCATTTTTCTAACTTCACGTGAGACAAGTTCAATGGTCGAGTCTCCCAGCTTCGGAAAGCCACTTCCAAGGGGCAAGGCTGAGGTGTTCGTGCGAAGCTGCCAAGTCTCGGTCCGCAAGATATGATTGTACCAAAGGAATTCAAACTCTCACGGCGATGAAAGAAAGCACGTCAGCCATGGCGGTCGTTGGATATGTGCTCCCAGGCTGACTGAGCAAACTCGCTGCTTTTCCCAAGACCCACCCGACTGCACACAGCCTCGTGTTGAAACACGCATCGTTCTCAGAAGCTTTAGCCAAGGTTTTGCCGCACTATCTTGGAGAATGTGAGCAAGAAGAGTCTGATTGTGGATCTGTCGCAGTACGGGTCAAATAACATCAAGATCGTTCCAAAGCTTATGAGTGTTGCGGGCGTATCTCCACACAAGACGTACACTATCCCTTGCGATAGTCCTTCCAGTAAGAAGGAAATGATTTCAACACGCATAACTTCGTGTCATTTGGCTAAGGAAGATTAGCAGAGGACAAGCCGCCACTATCACAGCCTTGCGATGTCATGATTTCCTATGCGTTACTCTGTCTCTGCCATACCGTCGCACTTGATATACTACGAATTATGCAGAGGAAAATTCCTGATGCAGCATCGTATCTCTCGTTTGACTCTGTTCATTTAAAGTTTTCCATCCTTTCACAGATGACTTCTTTTGGCAATGCTCTTCTCAGCCAGACAACGCTGAACGCTGCATGACCTCATCAGTTGCTGCGTGTGGTCAACTAACACCGGAGTCCAGTGCCTTGGCCTACCTATACATGCTTTACCTTCCACAGCTAATAGCCTTTTCCGGATCTGCAGGGTACGAAACATGTTACCGCTTTCTCCGTGCTGACGGAATGGCCGCCGATGTTGCCAGTTACTATGACTCTATCGGGGACGATCGATCTTCAGCAATGCACAAGATTGGTATGCGGCTGACTACTGCAGTCAGAGGCGCGTCTTCATCCGCTTTGGTCGCTGTTCTTTGTTAGAACTCTCTGCTTTCTGGCTTGGACAGCCTTCGAACACCGTTCATCGATTAGAACACTGTCTAGCTCGAAATGAAACAAGGAGAACAGGACAGCATGGTCAAGACTGCCCCCAGGCGAACCATCATCATTGGAGCAGGTCTCAGCGGCTTAGCAGCAGCCTTTCGCCTTACACAACTCGGCCACAATGTGACGGTTTTTGAGCGAAGAAGTGGCCTGTCGACGACCGGTGGTACCATCATGGTCCGCAGCAACGTATCAAAGATTGTCAAAGCATGGGGCTTGGGACCAGACATCGAGGCCATCTCGGACGTTTCCTCGTCCGGCATATACCGACGAGCAGAGGATGGCGAGGTTCTCCATGAGCGGGTGCCTGCGAAGTACACGGAGCATCCGGATTGGGGTACATTTCGTGATAAGCTGTTGAAGGTCTTCTATGAGAATGCTATCACGAATCACGCGGAAGTGAGGTTTGGAATATCGGTCTCGAGGGTCTGGGAAGATGAATACAAATCGTTTGTGCTGCTCGACTCAGGGGAGACAATGGAGGCCGATCTTGTGCTAGCTACAGATGGTGGACTGTCACGCATTCGGCAATGTGTTCTGGGAGAAGATTTGCAGGTTCAGATAAGAGTGGCACCAATGACATTCCATCAGGTAACAGTCAGCAGAAAAGAGCTACTGGAGCATCCTTTCACAAAGCACTTGACGGAGAACTCCAATTTGACCGTTTGGTTCCGGCAAGGGAGCTATGCTGTTGGGCGATACAGCCCCAAGCTTGATCGGTTTGGTGGTATCTTCGCGGTGCCAGCGGACGAAGAAGAGAATCCAAAGCTGTGGGAAGAGGTATGTTCGAACCTTCGGCGTGGAGAAGATATGCTAATCGTGACGAAGTCGGGAAATATAGAGCATGTCCGAGAAGTCTTCTCCAACTACGAGGAACCTATCCGGCAGATTTTAAGCACCGCCAGGTCTTGTGATAGGTGGCGACTGGTGAGATACGACTTGAACCGGACTTGACAGCGGAAACTGACCAAGCTCATTTGCAAGACCGAAATGCCAGATCTACCAACTTGGTCCAGTACACACGGACGCCTCGTACTACTAGGAGATTCAGCACATGCAATGTTGCCTGACGCAGCTCAAGTGAGATAAGCTCGGCCACAACTCACCAGTGACTAGTGCTGATGATTACGAAGGGGTTCTCACAGACAATCGAAGACATCGAAGTCCTTACTCTTCTCTTGGAGCAATACAGCGATCTCAAGTATGTCAGCGAGATTTGGGAAGAAGTCCGCCTACCGAGAGTGGCAAGAATCAAGGAGTTCGCTCTGGTCAATCATCAGAACTATCAACTTGGCGGAGCGCAGATGGTCAAGCAGAATGCGAAGAAGGCAGCCTCAAACACAAACAAGGCTGCAGAAGATCAGCCAGCTGCGGTGGTTCCCGATCGGAATGCCGAGTTCAACAGCCCGGCATTCAATGCTTGGGTATATGCTTACGATGCTGGTGAGGAGATTGCTCAAGTTATTGCGGGACAGTGAATCATGGCATTAATCGTGTTAGAGACTACGATGTGCGGGATCTTTAGCTGCAATCGAGACTGGCGTGCAACGTTCAATCATTACTCCACAGTACATAATACTTGGAAATGAGTTGCTACTTGCAAGATTGTAGTACAGACCGCTTGAGTTGCTCAACAACGGTGGTGAAAGATGCGTAGAGCCACATCCAAGGCAGAGTAAGGCCGTTGAACGCCACGCACCTAACAAACAGCATAGCAATGGGCTATAAGTTGAACGTATTTGGATTCTGCAGCTCTTCATAATCTGCCCAATTGTGCATCGATCGATTCGATCCAACCACAAACATCTGACCCTCCTGAGCTTCACTGACGAATTTTGCACAGTGACTCCCGGATATTGCAAAGAGATCAGCAACAATCAAGCAGCAAACTCCCCTCAACAGACTTCCAATTGTCCACTCAGCCTTGTACGAGTACTAGAAAGTGCGAGCAGTGCGAGCATGAGCACCACGAAGAAAGCGACTGCGTCCGGAAAGGTCACAGCAGCGGCAAACCTCTCCAGCTCGCACACACGATGTGATCTCCTCAGAAATGATATCTCGGACCTAGAGGACCTCATGGCGGATCGCACAGAGCAGATGCAGACTTGTCAGTGGATATGCGAGGACCTTCAGGGCGACCATGAACGCCTCGCGCGTGCGCGTCATTGTGCAAAGAGCAGACTCTACGTCGCATGGAGTCCGAGGCCACCATGCAGCGGAGTGCTCACGAAGACTCTACATCAAGCGGGCAATGCGGCGACAACGATTCGGGTAATCCCGATGTGCTCGATTTGCTTGCCAAGCCAGTCGTGAGTTTAGCTGAGGAGCGAGCTCGAGAGGAATTGCTGGCGAAGTATGGCGGCTGCGGGACGACACGGTAGAATCCTGAGTAGTTGAACTCGGGGCCAGTTTTTTTCCGAAAGTACGAATTTCAAGCTACGTTGAAATACGAATACCGTACAGGACGGCTTCCACCTGTCAGGGGCTTTTTTGTAGCCATTGAATATGAAAGTCAACTCTTCCTCAACGATATAACTACAGACGTGGTAGGACAGCCCCTAGAAGTCCGCAGCCACAAGCTTGAAGATCTCATCGTCTGCAGCCTCTGCAGCGCCAAATTAGCAGATTTCTCGACTGCATAATCTCGAAGCTTGCCTTTCTCAGCCATGCGTTTATTGAAAGCAGCCCTTTCTTCGGGTTGTCTACAGCAGAGCTCTGTGCCTAGGAAACAGCACGGCCCAAGGCCTTCAGCGGCCACAATGCCTGGCTCATTCGTTAGCACATATGTGTAATCATTCCTCAATGCTGAATGTCTCGAACCATTCTCGGCGGCTGGCAAAGCAGATCCAAGCAAGAAGAAGCTCGCAATGGTCAGAAGGCGTGTAAACTGCATGATGGCGTGTGACGGAGTTGTATGTTGGGTGTTCTTGGGTCGACTGGTTGTGACTTTGCACCGGCCACTGTTGTTCATCCACTGTTCATTTATAAGTTCTCTCTCATAGTTTCGGCCAGCGATGGTGGTAGGTCTAGAACACAGGCGCTCGGTGTCTGTGTACTCCGACATCCGCCTTCACTTCTGTTGGATACCCAAACAAAATAGCACCCAAAGCACTGTATCCTGCCAAGACGATTACCGCAGCCAATGGCGTCGATTGAATGGAGGCCGTAAGTGAAGAAGGTTTGAAGGAGTGTTGAACACGCTGACTGCGAAGCTGTCCATGAAAAAGTCTCGAGGTACACCGGCTTGCCCTATAGGTGCACTAGATGCTGTACCAAGTCTTCGCGGCGTTGAGGACGTTCAGTTGACGGACGGCATTTGCCAAGTCCGAGGTGTCTTGTTCAATCATACTGATTGCGGTCTCGGTACATTATCGAACTCCGGAGTTTTCAAATCTCGCCGAGTCAGGTCAATGCAGATCTGAAAGCCATCAGAATCGGAGACGTAGACGTCTGCTTTCGAAGAGAATCGCAACGTTGCTGTCGCGATTCCAAGGCAGACAGCTCTGACTTGGACAAACATTATCAGACATCCCGATAGATCGGTATCAGTTGTGATACTCCACATTTCAGCAAAAGACAGTACGAAAGCAGTGGACGTGTTAAGACGAAGTCAGACGAGAGGGAAGAAAAGGAGGAGGTGAGGTCCTAAGTGGACCCGCTTTTTGTAGCCCGTGCATATTTCCACCACGTCACCTCCTCACATCATCTGCCTCCTATCGAACACCGACCATCTCGCCTTCGACTTACCGCCCAAAATCTAATGTATCTTAAGCAGACTTTCAGGACACGCATGTGAAATGCCGTGGAAAAATTAACCAATCTTCACAACAGACCCTCCAAACAACCGCCCGCTTTGCCGATGTTTCACAATGCAATCTATCTGCAGGAAACCGCAGAACGAGCCAAAAACTGATGTCGCCCAGAACCATTGCCATCTGCATAAATCAACTCCTCAAATCTCCGCCAGATGAGGCTCAAACGACCAGGTAAAATGTATATGTACGTTACTCTTCCTCTCAAGCATGGTCTTCTGCCGATTTTGCTTCACCTCCACCCCTTTCGTCGCTCGTTTCCTTCCAGCAGGAGTAGATCTCCGCGTCCATTCGTTTTTCCACCATGTTCGCTTCTGCAGCACTTCTCGCCCTGGCTGGCACTGCGGCGGCGGGATCCATTCTCTGGGATGGCCGCTTGAACGATTACGAGACGGCTGCATTTCTGGATGACTGGTCCTGGTCGAATCAAGTCGGTCCATACCAATACTACATTCATGGCAGCGGCGTCACCAGCGAATATGTGGACCTTGCCGAAAACTACAAAAACCCAGCCGATTCCGGATCGAATCAAGGCATTCAGATCAGTACCGACAAGACATCGTCCTGGAACGGACAGACGATGCTCAGGACCGAGCTCATACCACAGACTACTGCTGCCATCAACAAGGGCAAAGTCTACTACCACTTCTCGGTACAACACAACCGAACGAACCCACCGACTCCCACCGAACAGCATCAGGTATGTTTCTTCGAGAGCCACTTCACCGAGCTGAAATTCGGGGCATCCGGCGGCTCGAGCAATCTCTTGCAATGGTATGCCAATAGCCAACCCCACTGGAATGTCAATTTCGAGGCTGGCGTCTGGCACAATGTGGCATACGGCATCGACTTCGACGCCCAGACTGTTGAGTTCTATCACTCGACCGGAGCCGAGGACCTCACTTTGACAGCTGGACCAATATCAGCGGCTACATCTTCCAATGGAGCCGATTGGCACCTCGGGGTCCTTCGATTGCCTTCATCGACCGGTACGAGCGAAGCGGCGAGGGAGGACTGGCACTTTTCAGGCGTGTACATTGAGAGTGGCGACATCACAAAATCGATCGCAGGTACTGGTGGAAGCGGTGCTTCGGTATCTGCTGTTGCTGCGAAGGCTGCAGTCACCACAACAACTGTGGAAACAGCCACACCCGCTCAGACGACCTTCACGGCTCCTACAACCTTGCTGACTCAAGTCAAAGCACAACAGAGTCTTGCGAAAGTGTACACAAGCCAGCCACAATCTGAGACTACAACCAGCTGTAAAGAGGAAGAGGCCACCACTCAGATTGCACTCAACCTTGCCCCGACTTTCAGTCCGACTGGAAGTATTTCGTTGACGCATACCGCTCCAACGACGTTGAGCACGTGGTACGCTGAGACAGCCATTGCTTCAACGCTTTTTGACACTTCATCTTCCCAAGCTATGGCTTCGAACCCTGCACTGGTTTTCACTGCGACAGATGCCAACGCTGAGCCAGTGGCTACGGATTGCTAGCTTGTACATATTTGAGAGACGACCGTCCAACATCGTTTTGAACACGCGTTGCGAAATATTGCCATAACTACTTCTCTCTATCCACGCCTTGCTTGAGAAAAGTCACTTCCTTCCCCGTGTGACTTTGCGATCGATTTCTCCTTTATCATTACTTAGATGGGATTCAGCCTTCACTTCAGGGCCAACGTCTTTCATATGAAACATCTCAGCGAGGAAAGAGCAACTGCGTCGAAGAGCAATGTGACCTGCTGACCTCCTTCGAGCGCCTTATCTCTTCTATTATCACACATCCCGTCGCGATTGCAAAAACAACCTCTGTCAACTCCTTTACCTCATTCACCATCGGCAGCCACTGTCACTACTTGAAGAAGACCCAAAACGACCACTCCGATTCATGTTCGTCCGGAGAGAACATCAATCACCGGCCTTTCACAGACAAGTGCATCGGAGGCCCATCATGAACATCTTCCACCTCCTCGCCATTTTCATGGCCCTGCTTCTTTCTGAGACTGCTGCTCAAGGTACTTATAATCAGACGCATTTCGAACCGCGCTGACCAAACCTTTCCCCGCCAAGCCGTAAACGCCAAAACGATGCATTCTATGCTCACCCCAACCAACTTAAGTGTCATCTTCTACACTCTGCCAGACTACCGCATCTTCGCGGGACGAGGACTTTTCAGTGCAAACATCGAGAATGAGAAGCCTCGTAAGAGTTTAGCTGGAACCCAAGTGCCCATCCCATCAAACTGACGCTGAAACCTCCAAGACCACATCAACAACCTGATCGACCCAACCTATATCCAATCCATCGAAGTCATGCCTGGACTTGAGCACTGCTTCTTCTTCTTGTGAGTCGCCGTCGTGCAGTCATCGTCAGTACTTAACAGACACTAAACTTGGACAGTGACGAGGACTGCAAGAATCAAGTCGACTCGATGTCGTGGCCAGGCAGGCCCAATCTGAACTGGACGAGTCTCACCAACTCGTCGATGTTCTATTGCAACTTCACTTCTGACAATACGAACAAGCCGGCAAACAAGATCCAGGACGGACGACGTCGCGGGAAGATTGTAGAGCCCCTGGTGAGGAGCACACCTTTTGATTTGTGAGGGATTTTGGATACCACAACAGCGGCACATGGGAGAAGCGACCAACACACAGCGAGTACAAGCGTGAACGTGGACATCTATACTCATAGAACCGGCTCGGTTAGGAACTAAATTGGCTCGATTTCGACTGAATTGATTGGGTCAGCAGAGGGTGCGGAGGGTTGACATGCGGCCTTCTGGGCATCTTTGAAGACATGAATGAGCGTTACATGGTACGTTTTCAGGGTGCTTTATGGTTTGATGAGCTATGTAGTGACACTCTACTCACCATTCGATGCTTTGACCTGCCCGCAATGATGTCCTCCTCAAGATGCGGGATCAGAATTCTTGGTTGCTGTTACTGATTTATTCACGATATGGTTGATTAGGGAAAGTGTTTACACATCCGACGGAACAAAAGAGCACGTTTACGACCTGAGCCTCCTGTAACAATCCAGCAGGAATCGACGCTCCGTCGCAGCGACGAATAGAGCAAAGGCACCACCAATCGCTCCAACTCGAACAAGCTCCCCGAGCAAGCCATACTTCGCCAAGAGTCCGCTCGTCTGCGAAAGCAGGCCCGGCACCACGACAGCAGCCCCAGTGGCGTACATGTTCGGCATCAAATCCGCAAGCTTAAAGTCCTGCATCGCAGCAAGTCAGCAATCACACATTTGTTTAATGGGAGGCTATACTCACCACACCCCTCTCCCCAAACCACCTCCTCACAAACCACCCATTGAACGCAATCCTTAGCCCCATATTGACGCAGTTGGCCCACACCAGACCCTTCGCCCCCAAACTCAACACCCTCAGGAACACATACGCGCTCCCCGCGAAACCCGCCGAGAAAGCTCCCATCCAGATGCTCTGCCAGTACAGATCCTTCTCAGAGGCGGTTGCGGCGACGAAAGCTTCACTCACGCCGTTGATGGCGAGGAGTGGGATGCAGTAGCAGTAGGTGCCGAGAACTTCACCGGCGCCAGAGGATGACCAACGAGAGCCTGCCACGAGTTGTAGAAGCAGCGGTGCGGCTGTTGGGCCGAGGGCGAAGGCTAGGAGGGAGACGATGGTGTAGACGTGGAGGATGTCGCGCAAGATCGTAGCGGCTTGTGTGATGTTTGCGGGTGGCTGTTTCGCTTGACTCTTCTCACTTCCTGTGGCAGGTCCATTTGATTGTCCATCCTGTTCGGCGGCTGGAGCGCAGAGTTGCGCGAACAGGTTTCGAGAGCTGTCTTCTATCGGCCGGAAGACCATTCTGGCGATGAGACCGCCGTAGTTCGCCGAGAGAGCGTACATGCCCTGATCCTCGAGTGAGGCGAGAGTAGTGCTCACAATGACATCGCCTTGTGTGAGCACATACTTGATTCCAGACTGGATGTAAAGTGAGACGCTCAAATTGAGCAAAGACTTTGACAAACGAGAGTAAAGTAGATCATTTCTCTCTTCCTCAGAGCTGCAAACGAATATCAGAAAAAGTATAGCTTACAGTTTTGAGGCGTACCCACCTCGGCCGGATCTTGCTCAATACCAGCGAGAACTTGTCTGTCGTCGCAACAGGTGCCACGTGCCAGAGGTAGACCACAGTCAAAGTAGAGCAGTACGCCAGCTCGCCCACAGCAAACGGCAGGACACCCAGTTCGACGCTCTGGTACTGGCTCCAAAACACCAGAGCAGCAGTGGAGAATGTCTTGACCACAACAGCGCTTGCCTCAGCTGCCGCACGAGTCTTGTACAGCATCTTCTGCTGCACCGCTACGAATGCTGGCTCGCTGACCAGCTCGATAATCGCAGCCAGCTCGCATATTCTCAACGCTTCGACAAAGTAGGGTACATCGGGATAGCTGGTACTCAAGTACCATTGTGCCAAAACCAGAACGATCGGAATGCCTCCAGCGATGACCAGGTAGGACAGGTTGACGGCCGACTGGATGCCGCTTTTTGGCTGTCGTTGGCATGCTACTCGTAGACTCTCCCGGGCGAAGTGATGAGCAGATATAATGAATAATTCCAGCTGTACTGCGGCTCCCAGAAGTGTTGGAGAGAGAAACCGGAGGAGGACTTGGTTCAAGGCGAAGGTGAGTGCCCGAGAGGATATCTGCAGGAGGATCAAGAAACCAGCTCCTCGCGCAGAGGAAGACACAGCGGAGGACGACATGTTGTATGTATTGTGGTTGAAAGAAGAGGCAACGTTGGACTTTGAAGTCCTAAGGGGTCTGAGGGGCTTCCCCGGCGGAGGACTTGGCATCAATGACGAAGCCGAGGCGACCCCAAACAGTCACAGGTCGTGAGCTCTCGTCTTGTCCACTTCGGCATATACCAGTAATGTCCCTATAACTTGATCTTCCTGCCCCCGTGGCAACTGCTTCTACCATCTACCAACATGCTCGAATTCCGCACGTCGGGCTTCAACCCGTACAGCGTCAAATACTCGCCCTTCTTTGACAGCCGCCTCGCCGTGAGCGCCGGCGCCAACTTCGGCCTCGTGGGCAATGGCCGCTTATACGTTCTCAACCTGACCCCGAACGGCATCGCCTGCGAGAAGTTCTTCGAGACGCAGGACTGCCTCTTCGACCTGACGTGGTCCGAGCAGCACGAGAACCAGCTCCTAACCGCCGGCGGCGACGGCAGCATCAAGCTCTTCGATATCGGCGTGGGCGAGTTCCCTGTGGCGGGATGGCAAGAGCATCAGCGGGAGGTGTTTGCGGTGCATTGGAATTTGCTGGAGAAGCAGACGTTCCTGTCGAGTAGCTGGGATGGCACGGTGAAGATCTGGACGCCGGAGAGGAAAGAGAGTCTTATGACGCTGCCAGTACATTCGTGCGTGTACTCGGCGCAGTACAGTCCACATCACCCGCAGATTGTTACGTGTGTGTCGCGGGACTCACATCTGAGGGTGTTTGATTTGAGGAGTAAGCCGAGCTCGCAGTACCATCTGCAGTTTGCGATTCCCATTCATGGACCGCCGAAGATGGCTCTGCCGCAGGTGAATAGGAGTGTGGGACCGACGGAGTGTCTGACGCATGACTGGAACAAATATAGGGACTCGGTGTTGGCAACTGGCGGGGTGGACGGAGTGGTGAAGACATTCGATCTGCGAATGCCTTCTGGGCCGGTCAATCTACTACCAGGTCATGACTACGCCGTGCGGAAGCTCAGCTGGAGCCCGCACCTCAGCGATGTGCTTCTGAGTGCGAGCTACGATATGACATGCAGAGTCTGGACAGACGGCAGCAACGTCGACAAAGGCGGAAACGGTGGTGGTCTGGGAAGAGAACTGGGGAGGATGGACAGACACACAGAGTTTGCTATGGGCGTGGACTGGTGCCTCTTCGGCGCAGAAGGCTGGTGCTCGACATGCGCCTGGGACGAAAGAGTACTTGTCTGGGACGTGAGAGAATATATGAGACCAGGACCATGATGACGCTTGAACGCTACTTGACATTACGACACGATACTATGATCTGAAGAAAGGGTTCTTTGGTTTCGAAGGCGCCCGTTGCAGCCAACTCGGCTTCTCTGTACGCGGCCATAGTGCCTCGCTGCCCTCCTTGACCGAACCGTCTGGTGTCTCGAATTCGAAGCGAGAGTGGTAGGACATCTTGCTGCTGTGCTTCGACATCCAAGAATCGGCGCCTGCGCTTGCAAGACTGTTTCGGACTGCGTCTGGTTGGCCATACGTATGCTGGTGGGCCTGCCGTCTCTTCTTGCGACGGTTGAGACCGAACAGAAGGATGCCGAGTATTATCATGAGAGCTCCAACACCAAGACCAACGCCAAGGCCTATACCGAGTCGCGCTCTCTCGGAAATTCCTGAATGTGAATAGCTGGATGGAACAGAACTTGTTGCCACCGCCGCTGCTGGTGTTGGCGCGACGGTCGATGGCGTAGCCGAGGATGAGGAGCATGAAGTTCGCGCAGTTGGATCTGAGACTCGGAAGATTGCACTATCCGCCGTGCACCTGTCACAGGTATTTGGCAAATCGCCCTTCTGCAACCGCAAGAACGACCTCTGCATGGACTCATCTCCTTCGGACGCTGTCGCATTCCACATAAAGGACGTCACATTCTGCGTGAAGTTCGCTGCTCAAGATCAGTCACCACCCAAATAAGAATCGAGGCACAATCTACGTACCGGCAAGGACATCCAAAGCGAAAGACCCTTCCTCATTTGGCCCCTGCCACAGCTCCAATGTGGTATACTCATACGGCGTCGTCCAGCTGACGTTGACCAGCTGGCCGGCATCGTATCTCACCGGATCCGAACCATTGAGTCCGGCGACTGGCGAGTTGAAAGCGAGCGACGTGAGATTGGCCTCTAGCACAGCCAGTGCAGCCATTCTTGAAAGCGAGCGACAAGACACACGAACGAATGACAGTGGTACCACAACAGGCGCAAAGCGGCGAGCGAAAGCACGAGGTGAGGTTGGTGTGCGTCGTCGCTTATTCTACTTCAGCGACGGCCGCGGCCTAGCAGCACTTGACTGCGAAAGAATCGTCTGCACGAGATGCGTTCCCGCATCGGAACTATTGCGAATCCATTATGCGCATGCGAACTCTGCTGCGAAAGAACGGAGGTGTGGTTGGTTGTTCAGGCAATAGCGTCGTGGAAGCTTGCATGTGAGCCGGCGGCCGCAAAGCTCTAGAGCTGCACGGTAGAGCTGTTGATGAGAAAATAGTAGCTCTCCACTGGAGCTCTTTTGGGTTGTGGATGGATTCGATACGATGGCGGCTTGCCGCTGAGGTCTTGTCATGTGAAGAGACCTGATGCTTCCTCGTCCGTATGACAAGTCATCGTAGAACGATCATCTCAATACGACTCTCATTTACCTCCTCCAATCCCTCGCCACTCATCAATCCAAACACATAGCACTCCCCGATCAACTCATGACACCCGTCCTCGACTTGCCGGATCACGAACGGCACGGTACCACCTAGCAATAGAGCAATCTAATCCCCAGCTCGACTCTTCTTCGGAACCACGCCCATGAAGCCATTCGTCGAGACGAAGCCGACCCTCCAGTTCTTGTCACGGATCGGTCTCTCGGCCTGTCGAGTTTGAGGACCTAGCACAATCCCTTGTAATCGGGTTCTTCGAAATAGACTTTTTAGTATATCAGCTGTAACTGGAGGTGAAGTCGGAGACGACTCGCTAGTCTCGACGATCTGGCTCTCGCCGTTGGCATCTGCGAGCACCCCTGGGATGTGGTCGTGCCAAAAATTCCGGTGCATATCACGACGGGTTCCAAGTAGAAAGTCGATGGGATCTCTCGCGTCGAAGATGTTGAGGTACACATCCACGTAGGTATCGTTTGTCAGGGGGTAGTTGGCGGGCATTCCCGTGAGGAGTTCTGCCTGTCTTTCGAAATCTTCCACCTCGAATGTTTCTGCGATTGTAAGGGCTTTGATGCCAGCGATTCGTAAGAGGGAATGGGGTTCTTGTCCTTCGGGTTGGTTTTCCTCTTCTGATGCGTTGGCACCATTGGGATCAGACAGGAATTTGAATTCGGGTTCTCGGGCAGTGGCTGCGCAGAAGCCACCTAGAAAGCAGAGGACCTGTGTGGCCCATGGTGTGCTCCAGTCTGGAACCATGATGGCAGGTGTAGTTCTTCATCGCGCGCCTGCACGTAGGACAGCGCCCTCAATGAGCGAGACCACGGATTCGGTTCCAAGGAGCCCAGTGAAGGTGAACGGAACAAATATTGGGATACCTGCATGTACAATTCGTGGACGGGGACCGTGTAGTCGACTGAGATGCTTTGTCCTTCAATCGGGAGGAGAAGGCCTAGTATCCCGAATACTTTGTCGTGGGGATCTTTGGCCCGTAGACTGCGGACATCGACCAGCAAGCTCTCTAGTAGCAACTCATCCGCTCGCATTTTGGCACTGAGAGGGTGGCCGCCCGGGTCGCCGCGGAGGTGCTTGAGGTTGTAATCGCGGACCATTGCCACGGCCAGGCGCTTCCTTCCCATGTCGCGTACAGCTTTGTGGCCATTGTTGAGAGGCGACAGAGGTAATGAGAGCTCAACGAAAGCCTGCACTGCAGTGTCCAGTGTGTCCCAGTCCATTTCCTCGTCGGCGTACCTTAGGACCACATTACGAGCGAGGGCCAGTTCTTGGTACACCCACGTACGGATGAACCACTCCTTCCCCAACAGGCCGTCTCTCAGCGCCCGATGCTCTTGCTGGTCTAGGAAAAGCGCATTATCTTTCACCAGTCTCCAAACATGGAATCCATATATCTGCCATTCCTCAGCCTGGTCTCGACAAGAGAGCGCCGTTCGCCATGCTGCCTCATCGTTGTATAGCGACGCCAGCTTTCGAGCAACCCTGAACGCACTGCGTGCCTTGTAACTGTCTTCGGTGCTCAGCCAAACAACTACTTTCTCTGCATACGAGTAGATCCTTCTCATCTGCTTCACCTGCTCGGCCCGCTCTTCGTGGTCTTTTTGATGCACACGCCGTCCACCCACAGCGACCGAGTATCCCGAGTATCTCGCAAAGCCAATAACATCTCCTTGAGGTTCTCGGTTATGGCGATCTCTGTCTCGAACTGTTCCTGGTACATCTCGAAAAGCCGCTCCTCGCTGTCCATTTCCCCTTGAACGTTCACGATCTTGTTGCACTTGAGAACGTGATTCCGCTCAGTACTTCCCCATACATACGAGACAGCCTCGTACGAAAAGGGGTGAAAGGTTTTGTTACCAGCAGCTATAGTGTCTATTGCCGTGGAATCGAGTGTACATACCCGGACGGAGCATTTCAACTCATCACCTCGAGCGCCAGGGTGAAGTTCCAGCACACGGATTTGACCCGTTTCCAGCTTGTGGATCGGTGGGTCAGTGAATGTACCTGGGTCGACCGCGTTTACCAGGTACTTCCCCAAACGCCAGTCCGAAGGCGAAATGGACAGAGACCAAGGACTTCGATTTGCCGCGGGAGAACTTGCCATGGTCACTGGCTTGCGAGTCGAAGTGGAAATGGGCGCAGAGAAGGACTCGGTCAGTATTAAGAGACATCATGGGCTGGAAGAGGTCCAGAAGGCACAGATAGTGACAATTCGTTGGCGCTACACAACATGATGGCGAGCGTTCGTCTGTCATTTCGTCGCTTCTGCTGATAGCCAAGCGCAGATAGAGATTGTCGATAATAGAACACGGTCGTTCATGGTAACTCCACCGTCTACAATGTACTGCACCAGATCTTGTGAGTGCCTGTCATTTGGGATCAACAAGATAGTCCGTCCACAAGCTCAATGAGATGGAAAAGTTCTCTTCGACACCAAGGACTCATTCAAGCAGCTCAACGATAAACAGAGTGCGAGCAGGCTCGACGGCGCTCGCGTCAGCCCATTGTTGGGCGTCGATAATGTTAGTGTCGTCCGCCCTGCCAACGATTTCACCAATTTGCAGTGACCTGCAGATCCCTACAAGCCCCTGTCTCCACGACCACGCCGGTAAGCGTCATTTTTCATATCCCAGCGATGCATCGACTGAAGATCCTGCTGGGCAGACGGTCGTCATCAGCCTGATCTCGTCCGGCGCGAAGGTCCACCTCCTTGCAGTAGTCAAAGGTGCTAGATCTTAGACCGAGATGATGTTGATGCAAGAAAGAAAGAAGTGACGTACCTCCCCAGCTGACGACCATGATGTCCGCTTACCTAACGCTAGCCACGCGCATTAAATAGGCTCTTACTACCCATTACATACCAATCTCTTACTTAACAACGAGGAGAATGCGAGGCCCAGATGCCGTCGAGATAAGAGCATTGAATGCCTGGTCGTACGTCATTGGAGAAGGGAGCTCTCCTCGCCGTCGGCCTTGTCTTTCGATTACCCCACTGCGGGCAGGACAGACTTGAAAAGGGCCATTGGAAGGTGAGGTGTGATTATTAAATGCATGTCCTAATTTTTCTATCTTGTGTGTGCGTCGAAGGTATAGGAAAGATTTCTTGTGTAACGATAGTCTCGTTGCTACGTCTTTCGATTGCAACGCTTCCGAAGCTTCCGCGATGGGAAAGAAGCGTACAGTCTTCGAATCTTTACTATCGAGATCATCAACTGATATCTGCTACAGGAGTCCAAGCATGCATCTCCGTCGACATCGACGCCGTAGCCGGCTGGCTAGGCTCTTATGGTGGCGAGGATAGCACATCTGATATCTCACGAGGTCAGCATCATTCAAGTCGACCCATCTCCACAACTATCCTCCTAACAAGAACCCAATCCAGGCCTCTTCGCCGGCACAATTGGCGTCCGCCGCCTCCTCAAGCTCTTCTCAAAATACAACATCAAAACAACCTTCTTCATCCCAGGCCACTCCCTCGAGACCTTCCCGGAAGAATGCCGCATGGTCGCGGACGCCGGGCACGAAATCGGCCTGCACGGCTACTCGCACGAGAACCCCATCGCCATGAACGTCGAGCAGCAGACGGCCATCATGGACAAGTGCTACCGCCTGATCAGCGAGTTCCAGCACGGCAAGCCACCGAGAGGGATCGTCGCGCCGTGGTGGGAGAGTAGCCAGGATGGTGCGGAGCTCATGTTGAAGTATGGGTTGGAGTATGATCATTCTTTCTCGCATCATGATTGTCAGTGTTATTGGCTCCGCACGGGCGATAAGTGGATTCCTATTGACTATAATAAACACCCGGACCACTGGATGAAGCCTCTAGAGGGAGGGCCGATGACTGGTCTCGTCGAGATCCCCGCGAGTTGGTATCTCGATGATTTGCCGCCGATGATGTTTATCAAGAAGGCCCCGAATTCGCACGGATGGGTGAACCCACGAGACGTTGAGGAGTTGTGGTTGGATCAATTCAATTATTTCTACCGGGAGGAGGATGAGTTTGTATTTCCGGTGACTGTGCATCCAGATGTTTGTGGGCATCCACACGGGTTGTTGATGTTGGAGAGGTACCTTCTAGCAATATACAGAGTGACGAGGGATGATGGCTGACCTTGTTAATGCAGGATCATCGAATACATCAACAAGCACGAAGGCGTGGAGTGGGTGACGATGGAACAGATCTGCGACGACTTCAAGTCCAAGAACGTGGCGCCCACCGGTGCAATGATGCCCGCGAAACCAGGAGCAATTCTGGAAAATCCGAAGCTGGAGTTGGAGAAGAAGGCATGAAAGTGATGTGATATATGTTTTGAGGTTATGATCTTTCATATTCGTACTCAAGAAGATAAGTAGCGTTCGTAGTATGGTCGTATTGTTTCCCAAGGGTATCATGAAGGTCGTTAAAACATGTCAGGACAGTAACATTCCAACCAGATGAAATCATGCATGCATACGTCCAGTTTTCCATCCCTCCCACATAATCATCGCTTATTGCCCACCAGTGACAACGCCGTGAATTGCTTGCTGTGCTCATCATTCTTCTCTTATGCTGCCAGGCTGAAGTCGGCGCTGACGTCCGCGTCGGTGACGCCTTGCCAGCATATCCGTACTTGTTCGTGGAGACGGGCTGCGGCTGCCTTGCTGCGTCCCTCCCGAAGTGTGTCCCAGCAGTCGTAGAATGTGACGACGCCGCCCTCGTTCCAGAGTTGTTCGGCGATGATCCGCCTCGTCATGACCTCTGTCCATCTGTTGTTGTCCTTCTTGTATGATTCGGTAGGTGTGGAGGTAGGGTCGTCAATCTCGTGGAGTTTTTGCTGTAGGACGCTCGTTAGTTGAGTGTTCTCATGTGTTGCGTCGATTGACTGAACTCACCAGTGCCTCTGCGAGAAGATTCATCTTCCAGATTGATCGTGCGTCCTTGGTGCCGCAGTCGAGGAGCTCACGCATCATCCAGAGAATTCGGTAGTACTCTTGTCTCCATTCGAACGATGTGCATTGTGGGAGTGGGATGGAGAGGAGTCTGTTGATGTGTTGTCGACGAGTGTACGTCTTGAGGTGCAGTGTTGTGGTTGTCATGTTGAGAGTCGCTGTGACTTGATGTGGCGAGGAGGGGTCGACGATGTTTGCTTGTGTTGTGTTGCTGTAGAAGATCGATTGGGAGGTCGTCGAGATATATATCAAAGCTGTTGCGAGTCTAGATTGTTGAACGGAGCAGTCCAGCTGGTAATAGATCCACGGTTTGGGAGCGAGATGCGAGGAGCGTTGTGAGGTTTCAATTCAGCTTGGACGCACATCAAAGGGACCTGCTGACCCTTTTGACTCTTCGCGGTCTTGAATGGCGAGACCAGGAGTAGGGGCTCGAGCTTTAAGGTTTGGCGCGATCGGTGCCGACGGCTGCCACGGAGCCTCGTGGCGTTTGTGTCTCACCCAGGGGACAGGTGGAAGTCTCCCGCAACTCAGCCACAGCCAACCAGGCTTGGCTACGCGCGTGCTCTAGGCTGGTCCAGAGCTCCCTGAAGCTCGACCATGGCACCCATATCCCTGACGTGTGGTATACACGCGTTGACCCATTCGACGTGTGCTGCAGAACCGTGTGACAGCGTTGTTCTTTGTTCGACTTCAACGGAGACCCTCTTTCGACGTTGGCGCTTGTCAGTAACGACCTCGGCCAAACGGCCGCCTCTGAGACATGTCCAGCACCGGCTTGTGAGCCGTGCGGACGTTGATCTGGCCATCATTGCCATGATGACGGAGTGGCCCACGCGATGGCACACGCCTGAGCGTTGCAAGCAACTGCCGCCGCAGAGCAAAAAAGTGTATTTTGTTTACGAAGGCGGTTGCTCACGGCTTCGCATATTCCAGCCACGACTCTCCATCAGCTGACCTGAGCATGGAAAAGGCAGGCTGGCACTGGCTTGTTGAGGACGGCGCTGAGGAGGGCGCTCGCCTGGGTGGTCACGAGCAAGCTCCCGCCACGACACGGCGTGAGTCAAGGTGTTGTGGTCAGGAGATTGCCCTACTGCTGCCTCCCAGGCGACCGGAAAACCCTCTGCTGCTGCTCATCTCGAGCAAAAGCAAGCTGGATGAAAGTTGATGAGGCGTGTAGCATCGCGACGCCTCTGGCCGATCGGTCGCGCCTATGCGCCACCCCGTCCAATGTCCACTGCTCAGGCGTCTGTTTCAGGACGGTGCATCGGGAGATCAGTGTGCGATGCGGTATGCGTGTGGGTGGTGGTTGAGAAGTACCATTGGGCGCATCCGCAAATTCGTACGCTCTCACGTCAAATTACGCGTAGATGAGAGCTGAACGCACGGCATCATGCAGGCGCTGGTGCTGTACGCGGAGTGTTGTTGCTCCATCTTCCGCGACGACGCCTGCTGTGGGTGGTGAGCAAAAAGTACACAACACAAGTCACTCTGAGAATGCCTGTTTGCCACGCAATGGACGCTGATGATGTTGGCACAGCGTGACCACTCACACCTGGCCGTCGTGAAAATGCGAAGACAAGGCCAACCTCACCTGATCGCAAGTCGGGACCCGACTCACCCGACTCACCGAAAGCCCGCCGCCCGCCACCTCACAGCTCTTGGTCGTCGAAGCAAGCATCATATATCCATGGAGGTAATCACGCTGCCTCCGTCTGCCGCCCTGGGGTACCTGTCCTTAGCCATACTTCATCGTCACCTTTGCGGTGCCAATAGGTCGAAAGCGTGCAGACGGCGAAAGAAAGGGTCGCCACCTGGCTATGTCAGAATGGCTGTGCTCTTGGCTGATACTTACGCTTGGCTTTTCGAGGACAATGACGACTCCTACATTTCTCCCTGCATAGGTGTCGTCAAGTCTTCGAAACAACATTACGATCCAAAGTCGTCATAGATTCCACTGGTAGCACTTCGGATTTTGATGGGACATGGAAAGCAAAACTCACAATCCTTGGCCGCGTGATGAGATGTGGCTAGAGCTACCTAGCACTTCAACAGCGTCTATTGAAGTGAAACTTCTTCAGGCCACATGCTCTTCCCCTCATTTATTGCAGTTCAGAGCGAAGCTAATGGGTGAGAATCAGATGACGCCCAGCCCAATGTTGCGGCTACCGACGACTGGACTCGCAGACATGTCACGAGTGGTTTTGCAGCCAGGACTCGTATCGCATAAAATTCGATGCTCTGCCTGTCTTTCACGATATTAACAAGCCCAGCGCTTGTAACATGGACGCATTGTCTGGCACTGCGACGCGAGACTCTGCTCAACCGGGCTTCGCCCTCGTTGCGAGTTTAAGTACGGCAGCGAATGCATAACCTCAATTGTCAGGCGGGGCCTACCGACAGATCAGGCTGACCTTGTGGCTGCTCGAAGGACCGCATCTGTGGATGAAGATTTGGTTGAGTCCATCTCGACGATCACTGAAGCATTACTGAGAGGTGACGCTCATTTTAACTTTTGTCAAATCGCCGACTACATCCATTTTCGCTGAGCACGTTGAGACTTGAATTCGAGCGCTCGGTATATTTCGTTTGCTTCCTGGACCATGAAGTGTGGTTGCAACAAGATCTCTGTTGGTATTGGACACTCAGTCATTACAGCCTCAACCTCAGCGTTCTCTTACTCATGATGACATAGAATATTTCCCCAAGATATGAGTTAACAATGACAACGGCCAACGACAGTGACGAAGTCAAACTCAGTGCCATGTAAAGCCGGCTGATGCAGCAGATGGGAGAGCGCCACAATGGAATTCTTTCGAAGCACTACATCCACAGCCATGAGCACAATGACGACGATGCCATATTATTCATGTTATCACTGGTGTTCTACAGAAAGCCGTTAGTGTCGCACAAGACGCTACATAACAGAACAGCAGATCTCATGTGGAGAGCAATGCCGTGGCGGCTGGTAGAGTTCGCCCTCCACCACTGCGAAAGTCGCTTGATCTGCGAAACGCTTACCAAGGGAGGCACTCCGGTGCCCGCACAAGGTAATTATAGCAAGGGAACAGCAGTGTTCCCGCTTACCTGATGCTCGTGCTAACAAGCGAGTCGACACACAGGCGGTGATCCAGCCCTATGACATTTGCAATGGGTTCTGAACGAGGAACAACATCTCCACTTCCCTTCTACGTTACGCCTCGTGACATACAGCAACTCGACAAGCCGTACTGCCGCGGACTAATCCATGGAGCCAGAAGCGGAGACTGCGTTCTTATACACCTAGCGAGGGACGACGTCAAGAACAATAGTAAAATACCCTTTTGACCTGGCGACGAGGGGACTACCGTCAGAACACAGTCAGGACGCAAACAGAAGAAGAGGATCATACAGGATGCGTTATCTCAGATTAGCGACGGCAGCATCAGCAGCCATGTTCCACATGGGCATGGCAGCAGGATCAGGAACGAACTTTCTCAACCACGGGCAACTCCTGGCTGGGCTGGAGGATCCAGCATGGTTCGAGCAAAATGTGCCTATCCTGGACACGCCCAACTCGCAGATTCAGCAAGTCTACTACTACCGTTGGGGCACATACCGAGAACACTTCTTCTACACCGGCCCGCAGTTTGGGTACATCTCGACGGAATTTCTTCTGGCGGCTGGTATTGGCTATGCTGCGCCTTATGGAGGTATTGTGGCTGCGGCGGGTCATCACATCAACGAGGGCAGGTGGTTGAGGGATCAGAAACCTGGGAAGGATTTGGTGAACTTTGTGAGTTGTGCCTCATTCCTTTGGCGGGCAACGCTGACGCGAGGGATTGCAGTGGCTGGGAGCGCCTGGTCAAGCTAGCAAACCCGTAAACGACAACGTCAATCCTGATACGAGCACATGGGCGACCGAGTATGCGTTTTGGGCCGCGAGTTCCGTATGGCGACAGTACCTTGCGACTGGTGACCGAGACTTCGCCGTTGGACATCTCGACAATCTGGTCAAGGAGTATCGTCAGTACGACAACCATTTTAATGAGATTTTGGGATTGTACTGGCAAGCTCCTGTCTGGGATGCGACGGAGTACACTGCTGCGACATACTCGACGAGCAACGGCGATGACAATGCGGCTTATCACGGCGGCTATGGCTATAGACCCACGTTGAACTCATACCAGTATGGCGATGCTCAAGCGATTGCCGCCATTGCTACTTTGGCGGGCAACACAACTCTGGCAACTGAATACACCAACCGAGCGAGTGCACTGCAGTCAAATTTGATCAAGTACACTTGGGACTCCAGGGCTGAGTTCTTCAAGCATCTCCCGCGAGACAACAACCCTAGCTTGACTCTTGTCACCATGCGAGAGATCATGGGATTCATCCCTTGGCAATTCAACATGGCACTACCGAACAATTACAGCGTCGGCTTTGCACAGCTTCTCGATCCACAAGGATTCAATTCGTCCTATGGCCCGACGTCGACTGAGCAGAGGTCGTCGTGGTTCTTCTACGACGCTACCGAAGGATGCTGTCGCTGGGATGGACCGTCCTGGCCTTTCGCCACTGCGCAGACGTTGACTGCTGTCGAGAATCTGCTCAATGACTATCCTTCACAATCATATATCTCGGCCGCTGACTACTTCACCCTCCTTCTCCGATACGCTTCCACGCAATTCAGAAATGGCAAGCCGTACATTGCAGAAGCACATTGGCACAACATCTCCAGCTGGATCTACGACTCGTACGACCACAGCGAGGACTACAATCACTCTACATTTGTCGACAACATCATTGCTGGTCTCATAGGGTTGCGTGGTCAGAACAATGACACTCTGGTGATCAACCCCCTGACCCCAACATCCTGGAACCACTGGGGCTTGGAGAACACCGCATATCATGGCCATCTGATCACCGTGCTTTGGGATAGCGACGGTACACACTACAACCAGGGTAAAGGCCTTCGCGTCTGGGTCGACGGTACTGCAGCTGGCAATAGAGACACTCTTGGTCCACTTACGGTCAAAGTTGGCTCTGCCGTAAAGCCAACCATCAGCTCCAACATCAACATCGCCGCGAATCCTCTCCAATTCCCCATGGGTCCGCAACCAAACGCATCCTTCCAATCCTCCAACGCCGAGCAAAGCATCTGGAAAGCCATCGACGGCAACGTCTGGCGAGTCGGCATCCCTGAAAACTCCAGCTGGACCACATCCGGCAGCTCCAACGCTCAAGACACCTTCACCATCGACCTCCGCCGCCCCCAATCCATCAACAACGTCCAGCTCTACTTCTACGACAACGGGACCAACGTCCGCGTCCCTACCTCCTACGATCTCCAATACCTCCCCTCCAACAACAGCTGGACCTCCATCCCCTCCCAAACCCGCAGCGGCACCCTCGCCAACAACGCCCAAATCACAATCACCTTCCCCCAACTCACTACCCAGCAAATCCGCATCACAGCCCCCAACCACGGCAATGGCGTCGGCTGGGGCCTCTCAGAATTCCAGATCTGGACGCCGCCCATCTACCAAATCTCCAACAAAAACAGCAACAAAGCCATGGCCGTCCAGAACGGAACCACCTCCGTCCTCCAAGAACCCGCCTCCAACACCACCCGCTGGCAATTCATCCCCGCCGCGGGAGCCTGGTCGCAGATCCAGCACGTCGCCACGAAGAAATACCTCGGTGTGACGGGTGGTTCGACGGCGAATAGCACGCAGCTGGCCATCTTCGATCAGGATCCCACGCGGCAGGATCTGTTGTGGTGGGTCGAGGATCGGGGACAGGGGTATTTCTTCATCAGGAATAAGAAGAGCAATCTCGTCGCTGGGGTCGATGGGGAGTCGACGAATGATGGGGCGATGGTCGTGCAGTATGCGGATACGGATACGTCGGATCATTATTGGAGTTTGCTGGTGGATGTGCCGAGTAGCTAGGGGGTTTTTGTGTCGATGGATCTATGGTGTAGTCTAAGCATGCCATGCGTACCACGTGGTTAGGAACAAAACAAAACAACACGAACCAATCTCCTGTCGCTCAGCCTCACGTCGTGGTATGGTACAGCCGTTGTCGTGGGCCATGGTCAACGCTGGTCATGGCTTCCACGTTCTCGTGAGACATGATTCAGCTACGTACCAGAGCCATCAAAATCATTGCCCGCTTCTCGAACAATCTTGACGTTGTGCCCTAGAATCGTGTCTTTGGGCGCCTTCTCCTTTCTCACGTCATCGACCCAGGCAGGGAGTCAGACATTCCCGTCCCGTCTTTGAGACGCAGGAGTTTTTATGTCTCCGGTGATTCTCTTCCATGTTCGGTGATGGAGTTGACCCACAATCACTGAGATGCAGACGGCGTTCCCGGTCGTTAGTAAGCCAGTGCTCGTAGACAGAAATCGATAGTCAAGCAGTTGATCGGTACCTAGCCCAAGGCCCCCGAGAAACGATATCAACGCAGCAAGAACTGAACAAAAGTCATACTTTCTAGTTATATCAACCTTCCACAAACAACTCTCTCCCCCCTCACACCAAAGCAACATCCTCAATCTTCTTGTCCATACTCGTCCCACTCCCCCCGCCCACCGTAGCATTCGTCGACCCCCTCTCCATCGCAATCCCACTCTTGGTCAAATGCAACGCCAGCCCCTCCTCGCCACCCTCATGCATCGCCGCGCCCTTTCCAATCTTCTGCAGACTATCGCGCATCAGGAACTCGTAGTACGCCGTGGCAAAGATCGTCGCGGGGACGTTGACGAGGATGCTGATCCAGCTGTAGTTGTGGTAGGAGAAGGCTTCGCCGCCGTAGAAGATGGCGGCGACGATGCGTGTGCCTAGGTCCCTGGCCAGGTTGGTGGAGATGGTTATGGGGGCGTAACCCCAGACCATTGTGCCGTAGGCGAGGCCGATGACGAAGGGGGCGCCGGAGGGGGAGATCTGGGAGGGGGCTGTTAGGATTGGCTGGAAGAGTTTGGAGGATGGACTTACGAAGGGATTTGCGGGATCTAGGACGGCCCAGATGATGATGCCCTGGAACGGGATGTCAGCCTCATCTCCCAAATGATCCTGGAGGAGTTAAACTCACGATGTAACTGTCAACGAAGAACTCAATCAAGAACAGATACCCCAGATTATGCTGCGTCTCCCCCGGGAACGAGCATAATATACTCGCAGGCCCGCCATTGAACGCCATATTGGTATGTCCCGCAGCTCTCAGTCCTTCCGTGTAGGCCGATATTTGTTCATGGTACATTCCCATCATGAGGAGGCCCGCAATAAAGGCACCGAAGATCTGCGAGAAGATATAGTACGGGACCTTCTTCCATGGAAAGCCTTGCCAAATTGCGAAGCACAGGGTTATGGCAGGGTTAAAGTGGCCTCCAGAGGTAGGACCGCAGGTGATGATGGCAAAGGCGATGCCGAAGGAGAATGCGAAGCCGATTGAGAAGATGGAGCCGAAGGCAGCGTCTAGCGGGAGCGTACGGTGTCAGCTGTGTGCGATGTGTCGTATTCGATGGTAGTTGGACTTACCTTCTTTATTAACAGTAAAGGCAGCAGTAGCGGCTATCCCGGGGAAGACATAGAAGAACACCCCTGTTGCCTCTGCCATGCATTCACGTAGCCATCGTGGTCGAGCTCGCTCGAAGTCGAGTTTGCGTTGGCTGACTGGTTTGGGTGCGACAATGCGGCGGGCGAAGTGCTGCTGGACCGCTTCAGTGGCTCCCAGTTCAAGATCGTTTGTCCGTAGCTGAAACAGGTCAGTAATCTAGTGAAGTGATGGGTGGTGCGTATATGTCCACTTACACGCTCCATGTGAGAGCTGCTGCTAGCCATGCCGGCCACCTAATTCGCCGAAAGAGATAGCTGGAGTGAATGGGACGAAGACCGCCGGAGATGTGAAGTGGGTTTCAGCCCACGCGAGCGTGATCGATCGCTCTGCACATCTATATACGAAAAAGAGCGGATAAAAGATGAAAGCCGTAACACCTACCTCTTTGGCACTGGCGGGCGAGTAGACGATTCCGTGCAGACCGCCCGCCTCTTGCCTGCGACAAGAGCCGGGGAAATTCGTCGTGCGCATCACTGATGAGACGTCTGTCCGTTCGCGCGATAGCTGCGACAGACGATACGACATCGGGTCTACCGGCAGGATTGGATCCACAGTCCACGCGCCGTAGCTATGCGTGCGACGCCTCGGTGCTGACATTGGGGGACGGCGATGTGATTCGGGAGTTTGCGAAGCCGTTCCTATGCTCAACATCTGGCGCCATGAGGAGAGATGTGTATTGCTCCTTGATGTTGGATGTTCTCGAAAAGCAACAGCCAAGCTTTGGTTCCTGGCAGATGCCATGCACTTGGCTTGTACTATGGCGACTTTAGCCTGTGGACGACGTCGACTGTACAGCGGGCGGCGTCGGCCCTACAGGTTGAGCCGACTTTACGGAGCGACACCGTCTTTGGAAACGAAGTCCACGAGGTCATGCAACGACCCCGCATGGAGAGGAACGCCACTCGAGTCTGTTTGGTGAGGCCGCTGTGAGGGAGTTGAGGCAGAAGCTGCAACCGAAGCCAGCTGATGAGGCCTACCCTGTAAGCCAGAAGTACCATTGCCAGAGATGGAGTCGTTGAGGGATATCGAAGACGTCTTCATAAGCATTGTGGGTCCTTGAAGTCGTCCAGAACACCATCCCCATGGGCAACTCCAGGTTTCGATGCAGCCGAGTGGAGCCGGAGATTGGGGACAAGTCCGCGCGACGCAAAACTCGGCAAGTGCAGCGGCCGCTTGGTTTCGAATTCGCACAACGGCCGCCGGGACAGGCGACTTGTGAAGAATGGATCTCAGCGATGTCGATCGAACCTTTCTTCATTCTTTCTCTCAAGCAAACTCCATATACTCGTTGGGTATCATCGTAGTCAATTCAGACTGGCCTTCTTGCATGACCGCATGCCACATTTGAAGATTTCGATCTTCCGCATCTTCTTCACTCGTCGTCTTCATCACTCGTGGCTTCGTGGTTGGCCTTGTGCTTGGATTTGTCGAGCTTGCCAGTCGAATTCACGGCCGGCTTCGAATCTTCGTCGTCTTCAGAGTCCTCATCGGCGTCCTCATCCTTGGCCGCAGATTTCTTGGTAGAGGCCTCATCGTACTTCGGCCTGGGGACTTGGATGCCTTTGGACGTGAGCACGCCCTCGAGTTGTGGCAGCAACTCAATGAAGGCGTTGAACTGATCCAAGTTAAGGGAGATGCCCTGAAATATATCAGCTACTGAGAGCGCAGGGCGTGACTATTATATGCGACAGCCGAGAGCCAACGAGGGATTACTCAATCGGGGCCGCAATACCCGAGCAAGGGCGCAGACACGAACATACCTTCTTGCCTGGCAGCATTTCGCCATCCTTTTCGTAGAACTCGCGAATGCCAATCATCGTGTTGCCCTTAAACTCCGAGACCTGGAGGCGGCGTTTGCCTGAAATCTGGTATAGATCAATACCACTTCGGGCCGAAGTACATCACGAATACTGACCTCCCAGTACTCGTTGCCATCGGCGTCCTTTTGCATCTCGTACTTGGCAGATTTGGCAGAGGGTTTGGAGGCGCCATTCTTGGACTTCTTCGACTTGGGAGCGTCCTCAACGAAGCCACCGTCGTCCTCGTAGTCTTCTGCGGCAGCGCGCTTGCAGGAGCTCTGTCCTTTCGCCATGATGTCGTACTGCGCGGGGTATTGTCGGTCGATGTCGAGACTGCTTTGGCGATGGAAGGAGAAGATGGGTGATGATGAAGGGTTGGTTGTCTGTTTGGTGCTGTTGAAGAAAGTGAGGCAGACGCGGTCACACGTCGGCACGTGAGAACGCGTGACGTCAGACGCGTCTGGTCACCTCATTTGCACAGACATTTACTTCACATTCACTTCGCCTCACTTCGTCCACTCTCACATGTTCTCATCTATTTCCTCTTTGCCGGCGCAAGCCCGGTAGATTTTTGGTGTTTGACACAGTGACAGCTTTTCCATCACCTCAGCCCGTCGGATCCGACGGTACGCTTCCGCAGCTGGAAAGAATCCGATAGCGGGGATGTTCCACTTCCACGGTCGACAGACATGGCCTGAAGATTGAAGAGTACAAAATCCATCTTGTTTGCCGTCTTTCATTCTTTTGACGTGTCATTCCACGAACCCTCGTCACACTAATCTCAGGTTACGATGAGCGTGCAAAAGGTTGCGTTGATCACGGCGGGCACCGCAGGCCTGGGCGCTGCCATTGCTCGCGTGCTTGCGCCTGAATTTCGTCTGGTACGACATATCTCCGCGTCTTTGGATGACTACTAAATGTTTGCTCTCAGGCGATCAACTACGCCAATAACCAATCAAGGGCAAGAGCCCTGATAGAAGAACTTGAGAAGATCCCAAGCACAACAGCATCGGAATCGCCTCGATTTGAACCGATTCAGGCTGACGTGGGAGATCGTGCGGCGATTCAGGAGCTGGTCAGGCAAACTGTGGCCAAGTTTGGCCGTATCGACGTGGTCATCTCCAACGCAGGCTGGACTCGCATCACCAATTTCACCAATCTCGAAGAGGGTATGATAGATGAGGACTGGGACCGGTGTTTTCTCTACAATGTCAAAGCACATCTCTGGCTGATGCATGCTGCCAAGCCAGAGTTGGAAAAGACAGAGGGCGCCTTCATAAACACCGCCAGTATCGCAGGCGTAAAGCCTGGAGGCAGCTCATTGCCTTATGCCGTAACAAAAGCCGCCTCGATCCACCTCGCAAAGTCCCTGGCGGTTATTTGTGCACCCAAGATACGTGTCAACACGGTCAGCCCGGGGCTGCTACTCACTGAATGGGGCATGAAGTTTCCCGAGTCGAAGAGAGAAGCTGCAACAAAGGCTACGAAGCTGAAACGATTGGCGACAGTCGAGGTATGTAATGGAATCGATTAGAGGTGTGCGATCTACTGACACATGCCTAGGACGTGGCGGCACTTGTAAACACCTTGGCCTTAAACCAAAGCATGACTGGACAGAACGTCCTTCTAGACAGCGGCTCAAATCTGTAGCATCTCCTGGCAACGTTCATCTACTTTTTGACTTCACGAAGCCAGGATCCTCCTTGTGCACTCAAATTTGACCACATTCTTGGCACTTTCCCCCTTTACCTCCTGCTGACCACTTTAGTATCTCACATCGGTTCTGCAGAACAACACGAACATCTGCCATGTGAGCAGTGATTACGACCAGCGCGGTATTTGCGATCAACTTCCCGATACAAGCAGTCCCGTATTGATTGGATCTGCATCAGGCAACCTCACGACTCGTCGGATCATTTGAGCGACTTCAAATCTTGCTGCATGCAAGGCTCCGTACCACTCCCGCGGAAGCCACATGGTCATTGCAAACAAAGTGGTACAACATCGGGAAGCCAAAGTGTTTCACCAGCGCGTTTGTTGTCGCACATTGTAGTTGAGATTACTTACGACGCAAGGGACCGCAGGAGAGAAGAAAAATCTATACGAAGACTGGACTATATAAACCAACGACGGTGCCCGCAACCTAGTTCGACCAGCTAGCCATACCTGGATTTTTACTCAAGATGCTGTCGCTCACGAACCTCCTGGCACTGTCTCCAATTCTGGCAAACATCGCCACTGCTCTCCCATGGGTAGGAACAACAGCGGATCTACATGCTCGGGCGGAGACCAACATCCTTGCGCCTCCACGAGTTGGAGTGTACATGTGTGTTGATGCAGACTGGAAAGGCCACTGCGAGCATTTGCTCAACGCACCTGGTCTTTGCAGTAAGAGCAACACTCCTGCTATCGTCGATGTTTGCTGAATTCATTACAGTCGACCTCCCGCAAGAATTGGCAGGTCAAGTCAGTGCCGTAGGACCGGATAAGCAGAAAGAGACCTTTGCTTCAGGTTGTACGCTGTTCAAGTAAGTTCAGACTAAACCGTTGCGCGAAACAAAGGAGACATGCCCAGGCACTCGCAGAGACATCGGCTGCAAGGGCGAGTACATGGCGGACATTGCGTACCCTGGCCTCAAGAACCTTGCTCAAGCGCCTCTCGCGGGCGCGTACAACGACTTCTTCAAGAGCTACATCTGCTACTGAGCGTGCTCTATCAATGTGTGTGACTCAAGGGGTTTGAAGGAACGGTGAGATTGAATTAAAAAGAACTCGTCGATGTTGATGATGATTGTGTAGCTATCATGAATCGACTATCCATATCCCAAGTCTTCTAAATGAATACAAGGTTCATTGCACCATCGTTTCCGACCTCATCAATTTCCCTGTCAAGTCGCCCCAAGCAACGGCAAGGCCGAAATCCAGAAAGTCCACGCTCATTTGACAGTCGTGCCATCCATCCCAGCAGATCCACCGAACACCTACTGACACTTGACCAGGTAGGTGCATTGTCTCTCAAAATGGTACCTTCCTAAGCTAGCTAGCCCTCGCCAAAATGGTGTCTTGGCATATGCAAGCCATACTCAGGGCCGTCGATCACACAATCTGTCTTTTGCACGCCTTCCCGTCACCAAGCGTCTGACAGAAGTAGTACTCCATCAGGCTTGCCCTGACCACACACCTTGATGGATATGACTTTCGAAAATATATATCAACGATGCCGCCTTCCAGAACACATTTCTCGAAACGCTCTCTCTCAATCTTGGCTGAAGATAAGAGCTGAACCAGTCAATCCCCGATATTGCGCCCAGCGTCTAATGCCCTCGTGTCCACACCTGGGCTCTTTGTGTCGCATGCTACTAACACCTACAGCTGAACAACGCAACCCACGAGATACCACTCTGCCATGCCTTATCAGCGGACGTCCTTCTTCATCCAGGCACAATACCATCGCTAGTCAACCGAATCCTCGCCAGCTTGCGCAAAGACGAAGATCACCGGCGAACACCGACGTCGAATGAAGAGGGTCAACTGCGGCATGGTGAGTCTGCCAAGGAGATTTAAACAAAGCTGTGCTTTACGACCTGCCTGGATGAGGCTATGACGGACGGGGCGACTCTTTACAAGCTCCAAGCCTCGTGGCTTGGCAGATCTTGGGAGATGGAGTGGTCGACCAATGGAGATTGTTCCTGGATTGGAAGGCATGATCACTTCGCTCTTTGTGAGTGTGGTTGTGAGTAGACGTATGGTAGTCGGCTCGTGCTGGTCGCGGGCGAGAAGTGACGGCGAGTTGGGTATATAAAGTGAGTTGACTTTCCGCATTCCTTCTCAGAACAGCCATCATCACCAGCTCAACTCAGCTACTCGACCTCATTACCATTATCGAAAGCCTTCAAAATGAAGTACTCTCTTGCCTTCGCTGCTATGGCGGCTTCTCTCGTCTCCGGAGAGTACACTCGATGTGCAACCCCAAACCCCTCAGAGGAGCACATCGCCATCCTCAACGCCGCAGTGGAAGAAGCCAGCAATAGGACTTTTAGCATCCAGGCCCTCCGCAACGTCGACACATACGTCCACGTTGTGACAACTTCGGCCAAGGCAGGCCAATACTCCCAATCTCAGGTCAACGAACAGGTAAAGACACACCTCTTCACGAGATATCGAAAAATTCGACCGCTAACAACTCAACAGATCTCCGTCATGAACGACGCCTACGCCCCCCTCAACGTGCAATTCAACCTGCTCGACACCACCTTCACGACCAACAACCAGTGGGCCGCGGCCTCCGACGGCAGCACCGCCGAATACAACATGAAATCCGCCTTGCACCAGGGGTCCTACGACACCCTCAACCTCTACTTCCTGAGCGATTTGGGCGGCGGCCTGCTCGGATTCTGCTACTTCCCCGAGGCCAGCCCAACATCCCAAGACCGCATCCTCGACGGCTGCATCAACCTCGCCGACTCCCTCCCCGGCGGCAGCGCTACGAATTACGATCTAGGCTATACAGCCGTACACGAGACTGGTCACGTAAGTCCTCCCCCCTCCCCTTATCACGACCACAACTCACTCACACTCAACTCCAACGTTAGTGGTTCGGCCTCTACCACGTCTTCCAAGGCTCAGCATGCTCTGGCTCTGGCGACTACGTCTCCGATACGCCCATCCAGAGAACTGATACGAGTGGCTGTCCTACTAGCCAGGACTCCTGCCCCAACCAGGCTGGTGTGGACAGCATTCATAATTTCATGGATTATAGCTATGATTCTTGCATGTATGAGTTTACGAGTGGCCAGGTTACGAGGGCGACGAGCTTGTTTGATCAGTTGAGGGCTGGGAAGTAGATCCGGCAGATGGACGCGAGAATGTGTATCTATGTGAGGTTCGGGTGCAACAGGCCCTGGAGGTCTTGAAAGATGTAAAGTCTCTACCAAAAGATCCGCAAAGACAACTTGGAGATTCTCAACATTGATACCGTAGCCGAACACAGACACATCGAGATACAGTGTGGATTTTCCAAACTTTGAAATTGAAAATTCTTGAGATGGTCGATGATTCTGACCTCGTTGATAACATTGACCACTTCACCAGAATGCACGAGACGAACGTTACCATGTCCGAAAAATTCCGAAAAATGACCATTGCCGTGAGTGAATGTTGGTGTCAGAATGCCTCAGGCATGAACCTGAACAACTAAACTTTGACACTCCTCGGAGTTCCAATCTTGCTCCACCACTTGCACTTTCCAGCAACCATGGACTGAAATACCGATTCCTTGCACCGATTGTCATTTCGAAGAGCTCAGCGTGCTTTGACCGACGTCTATACACGACAACAATCCCATGAAGGGTGCACGAACTGCTCCAAAGCGCCAGCATTCATAGACCTGCCCAACATGTCAACCACAGAGATCAAAAAGCCCGCAGCCATCCTCGCAATCATCATCTGGCTAGCCGCCCCAACCATCTACCTAAGCGTAGAATGGTACGTCTCGCGAATGTTCTCGCCACACTACAGCTACCTCCACAGATTCACAAGCGACCTCGCCATCCCCTACGCCTACTACGACCCGAAAACAGGCCACTTGACCAACTCGTGGCGGGCACCCATGATGAACCTCAACTTCGCCGTTCACGGATTTCTCTTCTTAGCTGGTCAGATATCTCTCCTACGAGCGACTGGCGAGAGGAAACTCTCCACGGCTCGCCTGGTCATCGCAGTGGTTTACTGCATCGGCATACTTCTCGTGGCGGCTGTACCGGGCGGACCTAGGGAGCATGAGAATGGGAGGATGATGTGGCATGGTCTTGGGGCAGTCTGCGCAATATTTGGCGGTAATATCAATTCCCTTCTCGCGGGGTTCGCAACACCGGTCGACTCGAAGCCTGTCTACAAAACGGTGTGTCTGTCACTTGGGGCTATCGGGTTCTGTGGGCCTGCCTTGGTCTTCGCTTTTGGATACCGAGACTTGATCGGTGTCTGGCAACGCTTGTCTATCTATCCGACTCAAATGTGGGAATACTCTACGGCGGTCTCGTTGGTCTTTGAGCTGCTTCGAACGGAGGAGGCCCAAGTAAAAAGGGACTGAAGAAGATCAGCAACCACCGGAACGAAAGCAATGTTCAACTCTCTGTACCATCAACAACAGCGTAATCAATCGCTCCCGAGCAACGACATACGAGACAAATACGAGCTTCGTATACAACCCTCGGATTACCTGTATGCCATGATTGGAGGCTACCTGGCGCCGCGTGCTCCCTCGTGGCATCCCAACGACTTCATACAAAATCCTCATCCGAGTCCGAACGATAAATACGTCTCACTTTTGGGGGTGAAGCCCTATATTCATATCCGTGGACTTTTATGCACGCTTCGGGCGAACTGTAACCGTGTTCAGACCCTCCATCAGCCAACCACCTTAGACTCGTGGGCGTTCGGGAAGCTGTGCCGCGTTGCGAAGTGGCTTTCGAAAAGGGTAGGTACCAACGATGAGCGTAATGATTGGTCAAACACTGGTGCGGTCGCTCTCTAGAGGCACAGCTTCCTCTTCACTTACAATGATGTTACATTTTTCCAACAATTCGAATGTTATGCAAGCCGGACATCTGTTTGCCGTGCCAGACCTTTCTGGAGGCTAAAGATGCCTCTGGACCATTGATCACTGGTCTGGCTATATTGACAATGTCTTCTTGACTCCTGAACGACAACATACGTGTTGGATAATTGCCTTTTGGATCTCTGCACCAAGAGGACGCCATGTCGAAGGAGGAGAAGGCGTCTACAGAGAGCAGGACTGGCGAATTGGAGGAAGATCTGGAGGCACGTAAAGCCAATGGGAACAACGAGAAGCACTCTGCAGACAATGAGCCGCACTCTATACATCCGAATAAAGATGATACTACCAAGGACCCCAACATCGTCGACTGGGACGGGCCCAACGACCTTTCAAATCCCCGCAACTGGACGACCAAAGCCAAACTCGCCAACACAACTCTCGTCATCCTCTTAACTCTCCTAACACCCCTCGCCTCGAGCATGTTCGCCCCCGGAGTCCCCCAAGTCCTCCGCGACTTCAAGACCTCCGCCGCCACGATCGCCGAGTTTGTCGTCAGTATCTACATCCTGGGCTTCGCGGTTGGACCCCTGATCATCAGTCCTCTGAGTGAGATCTATGGTCGATACCCGGTATACGTGGCGTGCAACATCATGTTCTTGATCTTTACGGTGGCGTGTGCGGTGGCGGATAGCATGGCTCAGTTGATCGTGTTTCGATTCTTTGCGGGACTTTTTGGAGTCTGTCCGGTTACGTTGGGTGGTGCGTCGATTTCGGATCTGATTGAGCAGGATAAGAGGGGGTTGGCGATGAGCTTGTTTGGGATGGGGCCTTTGCTGGGTACGCGTTCTCGCCAGCGGAGGTCGATTTTATGCCATTGACATCTGTTTCCAGGTCCTGTCATCGGTCCCATCGCGGGAGCGTATCTCAGTGCTGCAGCAGGCTGGCGTTGGACGTTCTGGGTGTTGACCATTGCGGTACGCTTCCTTTGATCAAGTTCTTACGAACACCACTGACCCATGGACTTATTAGTACGGCGTCTGCACAATCGCCCATTTCTTCCTCTGCCGCGAAACCTACAGCCCAATCCTCCTGACCCGCAAAACCCAGAAACTCCAAAAAGAAACCGGCAACTTCGACCTTCGATCCGCCCAGGACTCCGGCCTCTCGAAGAAAGACCTCATCCTCCGAGCTCTCGTGCGGCCCTTCAAGATGCTCTTCCTCTCACCTATCATCCTGCTCATGTCCATCTACGCCGCGTTCGTCTACGGAATCCTTTATCTGCTCTACACAACCTTCACATTCGTCTTCACGGAGAACTACGGCTTCAGCTCGTCGAATGTGGGATTAACGTACATCGGCTCTGGGATTGGGATGTTTCTTGGAATGTTCTTGATCGGTGGAGCTAGTGATCGTTTGTTGAAGAGCAAGGCGAAGAAGCATGGGGGCGAGCTGAAACCGGAGTATCGACTCTTGCCCCTGATGTACACTGGCTGGCTATGCCCGGTGGGACTGTTCATCTATGGCTGGACGTCGGCGTACCACATACAATGGGCTGTGCCGCTATTCGGGACGTTGCTCTTTGGTATTGGCATTATCTCGGCGCTGGTCTGCATTTCGGTAAGCCTCCTTTACTACTGTTCGGAGAGACACTCACTAATAAGCCTCGCTCTCCAGCAATACATGATCGACGCCTTCACGCTCTATGCCGCTTCCGCAATCGCCGCCAACACAGTCTTACGATCGATAGTTGGCGGACTTTTGCCCCTGGCTGGCCTCAGTCTCTATCGTGAGTTGGGGCTGGGTTGGGGCAACAGCTTAGTGGCATTCATTGCTCTAGGTCTGACGCCAGTGCCATTCATCTTCTACGTTTGGGGCGAGCGTATACGGCAAGCGACGAAAGTAACGTTTTAGCCAAATCGAAACTGTCTTCGTTACTGAGCTTCTCGCTTGCGAAATTCCTACGTTACGCTCAGATCAACGGATTGGCCTTGTCAACCACAGGTGGTGGCAACATGCCAATCTTGCTCATCTCACTGTACGCCATGAACAAACTCTCATGCGTGTCCACGAATCCGCTCCAACCAAAAAACCTCGCCTTGTTCATGCTCGGGACGCCGTAAGGATTCGCTGCCATGTCTCCGAATTCGAACCCGGCTTTGACATCTTTGAACGGGTTGTCGGTGAGGTTATGTTTCTTCATGATCTCCTCCCATGCTTTCTGGTTTTCGGGCTTTGAAGCCCACTCCTGGAAGGACCACGCAAATCGCACGGTCATTGGGGGTCCGTAGCCTAGTGGGGTAGGACCAGGTTCGCCACGGATTGTTGTGATCTTGGATTCGTCGAGCTCTGCGAGGTCGTTAGCCGTCTTGAAATCGTGTAGTCAGCCCTTCGTAAGCGTACCTGGCTGTTCCACAGACGTTGTGCCATACCATCTCGCGATTTCGGGCCATAAGCGATTGTTCGCAACAAGGCAGGCATCAGAGGCATTGAACTTCTGATTCTTGCACTTGTCTTCCAGCACGGCCCATTCAGACAGATATCCAGTGAGATACGCCGTGCTGTGCTCAGTGTTGGCCAGCCAACTCTCGTATGTCCCAGGGAATTCGGTCTTTTCTCCCTTGTGAGCCTGCACTGCCGCAAGCACCGCGAATGGATGCAGGGCGTTCATGGCCGCGTTGTTGACTGCCCCAATAATCCACGCAGGACATATGACGTTCCATGCAGAGCCATGATCTTGACAGTATTTCCAAAGCGAATCTTCTTGGGGATAGTAGAAGTTTGGCTCAACGTTGACCCTGGGCGCACTCTCAACGAAAGGTGTACGAGCCGGTCCTTGGTGAATGTTGTAGTTCTTCGCGCCGGTCTGAAGGAGGATTCGAGAGGGCTTGATTCCTGCGATGTCGAGCGAGCCGAGGAAGTTGTCAAGCAGAGCGGCTGAAATATATCAGTGGCTGAGAAGTTGAGGCTCGCAAGGTGTATCTCCATACAATTGACATCACAGAGCTCTTGTGCATTGCTCCAAGCCGAGCCCTTTGGAGGTGGCTGGGCATAGGAGTAGAAAAAGACTGCATCAGCAGTGACACCCTTCTCCTTGAATTGCTTGGCGATCTCTTCCGGCGAAGAAAGGAAATCGCAAGCTACATGTTCGACTCGAGAACGCGCCTCTTTCGGGAGTAGGTTGAGCATTTCAGGCGGAGGAGGTCGGCGGCTTGCTGCCCATACTTTGGTCCATCGCTCGGGGCTCTCCAGCAGGACTCGCATCGTATGGAACCCTGAGATGCCATTGGCGCCGGTGACAAGGGCTACTTTGCCCTTGATCGAAGGATCGAACGTGGGCAGGTTGCGAAAGATGCCTTTCGTCTGGAGGGGACGGCTTTCGGAGCCCATGATTGCTTTGTGGATGAGAACTGCGGTGTCCGAAGGCAGAGTCAAAGAAAGTACGATGTATATACTACCTCTTAGTCTCGAAATGATTCATCAGCACTCTGTCTAATGTCGTGTTCTTTTGAATATTGGATGATTGTGCTTGCTAATCGTGAACCCATCTGAGGGGTAGCTGAACTCCGCCTTTCGCAAGTCTCGAGGAGGTGCATGAACAGCGGATTGGATGAGACATCGCGACTAGAGGTGATGGAGTAGGAAGGATGGGTGTGTTGAGGATGATAGGCATGTCGACGTGCCTTAACATCGAAGTTTGAGAACAAGACAAGGCAGCCATTGGCTCGACATTCACTTGCCGCGGCTGCATTCCTAAGCATCACGTGCAATTTCCGTCATGGCGGCGCAAAATTCTCCGCTTATCCACCTTCATCGTTTTCTCACACCAACATCGTCCAATTTTGCATAGGCCACCAACGAGCACGGCCAGATCCGGTCTTGCTTCAGCAACCAAGATGAAGAATCCATCTCAGTCGATCAATCTATCACCCTCGGCCGCCGTGTTCACAACTGGCGCCGCGAAGTTTACCACTGGCCACAGTTCCATTGAACGGCCTTCCCTGGGTGTTGCATATGAAGTGGAACATTCATCTCCGTTACTCCTAGGCCGTCTAAGCAGCTTGGAGTGCAATTAACAGCGCAGTTGCCTGTTGAAAGTCGGAGAGATGGCAGTTTCACAAGTTCCACAAGTTCTGTTTTGACCGGAACGAGGAGGGTTGCGAGGTCATAGAGGAGGTGTTTGCCAGGTACAACCATGTCTGAACATGACATCTTTCGGCGATCTGCGCGAACGCCTTGTTCACAAGCAAGACTGCCAACAAGCTTCTCGACCAGGCCTTCTCTCCACCAGGATAAGACTTATGCAGGTACACAAGCCTCGACGCTATCTCACGCGGGAATGCCACGCGGGCGAGATAACAGACTTCGCCCATAGACAAGCACCGCACACGATCTGTGCGATGGCCGCCGGCCCCGGCACTTGAAGTTGCGTAGGATTCCACAATTCTGGAACCCTCAGTTCGCAATGCAGCGATAAGACGCTTTCAGCAACCAATGGTAGCACCGATGCGCATCAGTGTTCTGCGAACCACAGGCCTGATAACCGAGCACACGACTCTTCGAGAGCTTATTCGTAGTACGAGGGCTGGGTGTCGAGTAAGCATTGTGACACCCATATTCCGGTTATATGTAGGGCATTTTTCTCCCTCGTGGCAAGCTAGTTCTTGGTCTAAGAGTTTTCTACATTTGCACTGTGCCAAATGCGAAGCATGGAGAGGGTCAAGGCTTCTATCCAGAGGCATACGCCTTCGAAGGAGACTGTCAAGCAACGATGCACGTCACTGAAGGCCTGGGAACTGCCGAAGCAAGAAAGTGCTCTTGCTCCAGATGTATGATCATGAACCATCAGAGGCTCATAGTCTATGAGGCTGACAAGCATTCAGTATGTATGGACCAACAAAGACATGGATCCAGTTCCTCCAGAGGATCAGACCTGGACTATCTGGACCTGGATGGCATACTGGGCCACCGATACTATCAATCTAGGGACTTGGGAGACAGCCAGCTCAATCATTGCCGTGGGCCTGACTTGGCGTGAAGTAAGCCTCCCATTCCACACCACCGACCTACAAATTTTTTGACACAGAAATAGGCCATCCCTATTATGGTCGTGGGGACTTCTTGCGTTGCGATCCCCATGGTATTGAATGGTGCAATTGGTGCGGCACTGCATATTCCATTCTCCGTCATCATCCGCTCCGGGTAGGTCACGTCTTCCTTTCCCCTGCTTGCAATCACGACAGCGGCACCCACCACAACTCAGAGGCCATTGCTAACCCTCTTCAAACGGAAGGTTTGGATACTACTGGAGTTATTTCGCCGTTATTTCTCGCTCAATTCTTGCCATGTTCTGGCTGGGCATTCAAGGAGCAAACGGGGCTCAAGCGATGACAATCATGATCAGTTCGATTTGGCCATCTTACAACAGTAAGTTCAAAACAGCACTATTCAAGACTTGAAAGACCATCCGCTAAAGTCTTTGTGCACCGACAGATATCAAGGATACCATCGGCTACGAATCACAAGGTATCTCAACAGAAGGCATGATCTCTTACTTCCTCTTCTGGATCATTCAGTTGCCACTGCTCCTGATCCCACCAACCAAACTCCGATGGCTCTTCATCATCAAACTCATCGCTGCGCCTATTACTGCGATAGCAATGATGGGATGGTGTGTCGCCAAAGCAGGTGGTGGTGGTGAGCTCTTCAACCAAACCCCCACAGTCTCAGGCTCCAACTACGCATACCTTTGGCTGTCTTGCATGTCGTCAGTGACTGGTTCATGGGCGACTCTTGCGTGTACGTATAGTGAAGCTCCTCTTATGTCTTGATACTTTGCTAATCAATTGTCCTCTTACAGGCAACATCCCTGACTTCTCTCGTTACGCCAGATCTTCGCGAGGCCAGTACATTCAGCTACCTTTCCTCCCTATTATATTTACCGTCTGTGGTGTCCTCGGTATTGTCACAACGTCGGCAACGAAAGTGATTTACGGAGAGTTCTACTGGAATCCTCTGGACATTCTCGCTCACTGGCAACAATCGGGACACGGAGGTCGTGCAGCAGCCTTCTTCGCGGCCCTTTCTTGGTATATCGCGCAAGTGGGAACCAATATTACAGGTATCTCACATGATCGACGTAGTTTGCACATTGCTTCATGACTGACTTTGCTATGCAGCTAATTCGATCTCCGCTGCCAACGATTTAACGGTCCTGTTTCCGCGCTGGGTCAACATTTTCCGGGGCTGTATTATTGCCGCTATCATCGGTGGTTGGGTCATCGTGCCATGGAAGATTCTTAACAGCGCCTCGACATTCCTGAGCTTCATGTCTGGCTATTCCATCTTCCTAGCTCCAATGGCAGGTATCATGGCATCCGACTACTGGATTATCAAGCGACGACGGATCGATGTGCCAGCACTATATGACCCCAAGGGTCGATACAGGTACTTCTACGGCGTCAACTGGCAAGGTTTGATTGCATTCTTGCTCGCTCTATGCCCCAACATCCCTGGTCTGGCCTACGCTATCAACAAGAACAACCACATCACCGCGGGAGCCAAGCATCTCTACAGCTTCTGTTGGCTGTACGGATTCGTCAGCTCGATCTTCATATACGTTACGCTACACAAGATCTTCCCTGCCAAAGCTTCGCTCATTGAGAAGACAATCGATGGTGTTGAAGTCGTGGCCGAGGCCAAGCAGTACCCAAGCGATAGCGACGACAACGAAAAGCATCTGGGCCGAGTCCAAGAGATCCAACACACTGCCGTTGAAGGACACGGCTTTGCGAATGTCGATCCACTGCATCGCGCCAGTCACACGTATGAAAGAGCTAGCATCAGTCATGCTCCGAAAGAGTAGAGACATGTACGAATGGGAAGTGTGCTTGGCACTTGCAAGGATGTCAGATAAGAGATATGTAAAGGTAGAGTATGTTACGATGAGATGACAATGAACCTAAGTAACTTTCCTTTGTTCCATTCAGCGTGCTAGAAAGAAGCTTCCCATCTTTCTGCAATATCGCCAAGTCAATGCCTCTACTCTGCGCCAGAAGCTGGCAGTCTACAGTCTCGACTTCCACCACTTCATCTCAGGAAGAGTGAATGGTTATAAGTCAACCCAGAACGTACAACAGTGTCCCGGGGCGCTGTCCCTTTGACCAATAACTCCCTCCTTTTTCTATATCCTAGCTTTCTCCATCTGTCGAGCACGATAAGTGCCAATCGCACAAGGGGCAGACTACGTGTCCAGTTTCCGCCCACGGAGATATCTGCGCCAATCATGGGTTTGGTGTAGCTGGCTAACTCTGAATGCTGGCGCAAGGGACATGAAGTCTGGACAGTTGAAAGAAGCCCTTCTCGCGTGCAATCAGGTAAACCATCTCGATGAGGCGGCGCTAACCAGGCTATCAACTTTCCCGTCGTCTTCACATGCTGATCGTGCGTATTGATTCAAAGTAGATGTGTTCGTAGTAAGGCGAAACGCAATTCGGGCTGTGGAGCAATGGCCGGACATGGTTGGAGATCACGTCTCACAGACTTACTCGCTGATACTGTCTAGGTATGGCCCAATGATCCCAAGTCGAGAAGTGATCATGATCATGTGGAATCAATACCGAGCTATCCTAAGGCATCGTCGTCAGGCCCTGCAGAAGATGTTAGCAGATCAAGTAGAGTGGATGGGAGTGTTAGCGGGTCCCGATCGATAAGTTGTCCAGTATGAAGGTGTCTCGAACGCACGGGCGGTGCTGCGAGATGGCGAGAATATCCAGGCGGACATGGTGATCACTGCAGACAGCATCGGCAGCAAATCGTACTTGATCATTCTGGGCCGTGGGGTTCGAGCAAATCCCACTGGCTTCTCGAAGGTGAAGTCGAGGTGCCAAGCCGCTAGGGCTCACTAGCGCGCTGCGACGCCGGTGGGCTTTCGTTTGTCGAGCTTCCGCTTCAACTCCTCTCTTCTCTCCTCATAGGTGGTTTCGGTGAGAAAGCGGTTTTGTTGTGCGTTTGGTGGTTTCCTCCTGCGTGCTCGAGCACGCTTTAACTCTTTGCCCTCGCGGGCGATACCTCCTGCTCTGGGTTTGGTTGGCGCCCCCTCACTAGCCACCGTAGATAGAAGGGCATCACAAGTTGGTGCCCGTTTCACAAAATCCCATTTCCTTGGGATAGAGCACCACTGAGTTGGTGACTCGTTTTATCTTTCCTTCGGGATTTCAGGCTCCACAAGTTGGTGACCTGTTTTACATTTCTCCATGGCTTCCTCGCCTTCTTCCTCCGGCCCCTCAAAGGGCACTTCTAGCATGGGCGAGTCCAAGGACACTCGCTCACACATGCAGAAGGGCGGCAAGGGCAAGGGACCTGCGAAGCCCAAGTACACGAAGCTGGACTTGGACCACAACAACCCGCAGATGTACGCAGGCCGACCTCAAGCCCCTCTGCCTCCCTCGGCGCGCCAGCTTCGCGCCGACCGGTTTCGCGACAGGGAGCCGCCAGCACCCCGCCGCCGTCGTCAACAGGGACCACGACAAGAGCCCGAGGGACAACAAGAGCCTCAGCCCCCAAATTTGCTGAGGAGGGACTCGTATCCTGGTCTCGCTGGTCTCCTTGGCACCGCCCCCGCAGCAAACACTCCCAGTGGTGCTGGAGAGAGCCGACCAAAGCCTTCGCCTGAGCCTGTCGCTACCAAGCCATTGCCTCGGCCAACGACGCCGCCACCGTCGGCGCCTCCTCCAGTCGACGACGAAGACACTGAGATGACTGACGATCTCGTGGAACCAGAGGTGACGGGCGAGTCTGCTGCGACTGAGAATGACCTCATCGACTACAGCGACGATGAAGCTGTTGAGGAGCCAGATGCGACGAGTGAGGCGTCTGTCACGTCCAAGGACCTCATCGACTACAGCGACGATGAAGATGTCGAGAAGCCCCGGGACCCTCGGGCGTATGTAGCCGACATCGACGACTACGAGGACGACATGATGGGTAACCTCTTCGAATCCGAGGAGAAGGCCGATGAAGACAAGACATTCCGCGGCAACGGCGATGACGAGGAAGCCGATCTCGAGAACAGCGAAGACGAAGAGGAGGTATCTGAAGACGAGGATGAAGTGACCATCATCACGGATAAGACAAACGGGGGCATCGCAGGATCCAAGCATGCCGTGCCGGTCCAGTGGCAAGTGTGGAAGCAGGAGCTTTCTCCGGCCGACCAGTACCTCGAGCAGGACACATATCCCTCCATGTATCCTGAGAGAGTTTTCGGGGTTGAGCTTGCGCCTCTGACAAACTATCGTGGCCAAGATCGGTTCAAGAAGAAGCACAAGAACGAGAAGGACTGGCACGCGAAGCAGAGATGTACCCTCGTTGTCACACATCAGAACGGCGAGAAGTCCGTGTTCGGTCTTGGCACTTCTGAGATCCGCGCCGCCAACCGCAAGGCAGCCAAGGAAGCCGTGATGCAAGCCGCATCGACGACAGCACAGGAGCTGGAGACTGCGCGCGCAGTAGCTGAAGGCAGCGCTGCACATGCTTCACAACCTGGAGCGTCACCTGATGTCCAACAGGAGGCAGCCCACGCAGCCCAGGCAGTCCTAGACGCCGAAGCAGCAGCCACCGAGGCTGGTCAAGCAGCCGCAGCACTCGAGTCCGAGATGGATCTCGACGATGAGGCCGATGTCCTGGAGAAGGAGCAGGCATTCGTGTGGCTACGATACGAGACGGCCTCCCAGACGCCAGCAGTCATACTCGAGGTGGATTTGGCCATGCCAGGCTCTTCCGAATCGCAGATGACCGAGTGTCACCTCTTCGGCAACAGCGTCAAGGCGCATTACACCTACGAGGAGAACAACAAGGGTAATCTCGTCCCTGTCCGTGACCACACAGGCTTCAGCATGATGAGCAGCGACGATGGCAAGGCTGGTAAGGACATGCTGCGGGCTTTGCCAGACGAGTTGAAGGCCACGTCAGTCGTCCAGAGAGTCGGAGACCCTGCCCAGGGCGCGTGCCTCCATTCGACAGCAATCGAGTTGTGGTCTATCGATGAGGCATACGAGGCGAGCGAGAAGAACGTGCTGCGCACTCGACCCAAGTTCACGCGCGTCGAGCTCGAGCTGTTGCGATACTGGCACGAGCAGAGTCAATCGGTGGAAGGCATGACATTTTTGTCGCCAGGAAAGATGATTGCCGCGTCGGTCTTCCGGGCCGCCAAGGTCGAAATACTGACTGGCAACCTCCGCAAGCATGGCGATCAATTCGACAAGATTCGCGACTACATGCAAGCTGGCATGGCAGCGACATGTGCTTGGGGTCCATACTGGCAATACGAGCTTCAGCTCCAGGATCGGGGTCAGACAATGAGCAATCGCGGGCTCAAGCTCAAGCACTTGCAGGTTCCTCGCCAGCTCGTGACGACGTGGAAGGTAGGACTCGACAACCGCGGCTTTGTCATCCCGAAGTGCATTGTGCCAATCGAGTGGGCAGCGCTCCACAAGACGCCTGTGCATCCAACCACAGAGGCAGGGAAGTTCATTCTCAGCCTAGCGGAGACCCGTGAGGAGGAGAAGCGCCAGGATCTCTTGGTCAAAGCCATGAACGACGCCCGAGTGGAAGCACAATTTGCGGAATTCGACGAGCAGTACCTTGTGTATTTGCGCATTGAGCCCAACGAGAAATTCGTCGATCAGTCTGGCGCTGAGGTCGAATTGAAGATGCTGCTCCCTGTGTCAGGTCATCCGTTCCGAGTTCGCATCGCGGGCTCAGAGATGATGGGCGAGAAGCTCTGGTTCAGTGGCATCATCACCGAGGACGACCACGACCCACAGTACCACCTGAGTGCACGTGTCAAGTACGTCGGCAACGAGGAGTTCACATGGCCAGAGGACCGTGATACCTTCGCTGTGAGAGTCAAATTTTGGTCGGATAACAAGCCGACTTCTCGCAAGATCCGTGCTGTCGAGGCCCTGACGGATGGCCAATTCCGCAAATACGGCGTCGATTTCCAGGCCCTGTTCTTCGGCCTGCTACCGAATACCTCGAAGCCTGGATGGGTCAAGGACTTCATAGAGCGACATGGCAAGCAGGAGCTCTTGAACACTGTGCGCGGCGAGCTCACCCGCGTGGATGCAGAGGGTCAGCGAGTGCATAACCTCAACAAAGAGCAGCTTGACGCCTGGAACGCTGCCCTGGAGGGTGACAAGGGTGCGACCTTGATCCATGGCCCGCCGGGTACTGGCAAGACCAAGGTGCTGAGGTCGATGCTCGACTCGTATCGTGCGGCCAATCTGAAAGTTGCCGTTGTCGCTGGCGCCAACAGCCAAGTCGACCAGGTTCGAGATGCATGGGTCTCGCGGGACACGACCAACTCAAAGGCCAAGGGTAGATATGTCCGTGTCTACAACAAGCATTTCCAGCCACGCGCAATCGCGGAGAAGCTGGCCCAGTGGGAGACGCAGTTTGGGGTCTTGGACGAGGGGGAGGCTCCTACCGTCGCCGTCGACGACAGCTTCGCTCAAGTTGCGGCGGAAGCGTTGTTCGAGCTCCAGGTACTGCCCAACGAGTTTGGCAAGCGTGCTCGAGACTACGTCCAGTATCTCAAGGACCTTTGCGAGGCATCTGGCAAGGCCAAGAAGGGTCTCCTGAAGAAGTTGAGGAACCTTGAAGACAAGATCCTACCCCATATCTGCTCCAAGGTCGACATCTGGTTCGTGACTGCCAATTCAAGTGGTATTTACCAACTCGCAGAGTTTGCGAGGCCCGATGTCATCATCGTCGAGGAGGCCGGCCTAGCATCTGCCGCTGAGATTGCTGTCCCGATGGCAGCCTGGAAGAATAGCGCAAAGACGATCGTTTTCGCTGGAGATTCCTTCCAGCAGAAGCCGCTATGCACGTCATCCGAGCGCAACGAAGGCGGGGACTGAATGGTCAAGTCGTTTTTCGAGATTCTGAAGGACAGTGCCGCTGATCTGTCGGAATCGATCCACCTCCGCGAGCAGTACCGCATGGATCCTGATATTGCGAAGCCTGTGTCAGACGTCGTGTATCACAAGAATCCGCTCACCAACGGCCCGAACACCGAGGAAGTGACGCCCTTGAAGCGGTGCCTCGTCCAACTGATGTCCAAGACGTTTGGCCAAGCGTACTTTGGCAGCAAGCGGATAGGGATCTCGCTCGATGGCCCGGAATACGCCTCCCGTGCCGTACCTGGTGGCACGTCGCAGTTTAACCCAGGAGAAGCTGAGGAGGTTGCATGGCTGTGCAAGCACATGCTCGATTACGTGCCGGAGACCACCGACGAGGAGCCAACACGACAAGTCAAGCCTGCGGATATTGGCATCAGCTCGCCGTACGCTGCGCAGTGTGCAGAGATTCGCCGACAGCTCCAGAGACTGGCCATCACCGGTGTGACCGTGCAAATGCTGGACATCACGACAGGTAGCCAGGTCCAGGGGCGAGAGTTCGAAGTCCACATCGTCTCGTGGGTGAAGAACAACCCGGGCGATCCATACGACACTGGATTCATCACCAATCCGGGACAGCAGTGCGTGCTGAACTCCCGGGCTAGGAGCTTCCTGATTTCTTTCGGGGCATACCAGTTGTGGTGCAACAACGTCGCAAACAACATCGACCAGATCGCCAAGAAGCAGATGTTCTATCGGTTTGCGAAGAACTTCCAGGAGACCAACCAAGTCATCGCCAAGCGGGACTTCCTGGACGGCAAGGCGGGCTTACCTGTCGACACCTACCACTTCCAAGCGGTACAGCTGACAGGGCCTCAAACCATGGGCCAGCGCGGTAATCGTGGTGGCCGTAGTGGCGCCTATAGTGTTGTTCGCGGTGCGGGTCGCGGTCGTGGTGGGCCTCAGCAGGGCGGTTTCAATACCCCCAACCAGCGTGCTCACGGCGGCTGGGATAAGCGCGGTGGTAGAGGTCGCGGCAATAATAATCCTCGAGGAGGCACCACCGGCCAGCCCATTCCCAAGTGGTAAATGGTCGAGATCGCCTCGCTCGCATCCGACCGAATTTTCTCCTCTCCTGTTCCCCTTTGCAGAATCCCTCTAGCTAACCAGTAGGTACAGATGAAGAAGCACGACTCTTCTCCACCCACTTTCAAGAGAGGGAGGGAGGGCGGGCAAAAAAAAAAACCAGTCAGGTTTTAACCTGGCTGGTCACGCGGGCTTTTGGGAGGTTTGGCCATGACAATTAAACCTCTTGACGATTCGGCGAGCGAGAAGTGGTGGAGCTTGGAAGTTGGGTGCGTGGTGGGAGATGAATGAGAGACGCTGGCATTATGGATGGATGGAAAGATGGAAGGATGCAAAGATGGAAAGATGCAAAGATGCAAAGATGCAAAGATGACAGAGGATGATGAGGAGGAGGAAATCGAAGACAAATGGGAAGCGACGGACGGGAAGCGAAGGAAGGAAATGTGGAGAATGCTCGACCAGCCATCTGCCTCGCCTCGAAGGGGTTGCCAAGGGTATGTGCCGATCTTCTCCGCTTTTTCGACGGAATCTAACAATCAATCTCGCAGACATCCTCGGTGTACTTCTGTACCACCACACACACATTCCACCGAGACCTGCTGGCCTGCAACACCCAAGCATCTTGCACAACACAAGGCACCCAACCACAGACGACCTCTCATCAAGCAAGGCGGCCAAGCAGCACCAATCAGCAACTCCAGACAGCTGTACAGCACCAAACAACACAAGGTACACCCACCCACCAGCAACCTCTTAAGCAAAGCGGTGGCGGCAGCCAAAACCAGCCAGTGGATCCTTGACAACAGCCTACCATCAGCCAGCCATGCTGTCGATCAGAAGAAGGAAGTTCCACCACAAAACAGAATACCATCGACCGAGACAGCAAGTGTCAACGAGATTCGGATGCTTCACCCAACTCCTGCAGCCAGTCACCCCAAAGCTACAACGCACACAACGCACACACACCAGAGTCAAGAAACAACCTCGGACGCCACAAACACGAAACCGTGTAACGTTTCAGCGACAAGGCGATTGACTTGGCAGCACCCCTCGTCGCACTAAGACATCACCAACAACAAACCCAGAATCTTCGTGGGCGTCTATTTCATCTCCAAAGTCTTCCACCATGGCTGCGCAGGGTCATTATTGGAGACCTGTTATGGCAAGATCAACTTCTTGGTCAAGATCAACCATCTCGAGCTGCACATCAACTCAAGTGCATGAAGGGTTTGAGGGGCAGCTGCGTCGGTACGTGGTCAGTGGTCGGGGAAATGAGATAGAAGGACTCTCGAAGACACATAGACGAAGGCAGTTGAAACGAGAATGTTTGCACAGTCATATTCGTCATGTTCCATTTGTTGCCGCGCCTTCCCCCACTCCCACTCATTTTCGCTTCCGCTGAGACATTTCGTCTTGGACGCCGGGGAAGGTCAATGAATCATTCATGATGCGATCTCGCCAACTCCCTAAACCTGCCTCAGGTTGTTATTCCCGAGGCTATGTAGCACATGTACATCGTGGAAATGGTTTGACGGCGTGGTGGCAGCAACAGGGTTCCATCAAGTAGTCTTGGGACTTTACGCTGGCGGATCTGGCACGAGACACGATCAGACAGATGCCATTTTCCAGCTGCCCGAAAATTCTACCAACAGCATCAACTACCTCCTCAATTTTTTACCCTCAACTCTCCCTCTACCCGCCGGACAGCTTCTCACCCGCCAAGTGCTACCCCCCACTACCGAAATAACACTGCAGACGATGCTGGCCACACAGCGGCTGACGCAAACCCAAACAAGAGCCTCACACCATAACTGCCGTTGCATGGGTTCGTCCAGACCACACTTGTACTGATGCCCGGCGAGGGACGTGACCATGGCAAGAGCTTACACCTGGCTGTACTACTACACTCGTCAAACGCGACTACGACACGGCCCCAAATCGATTCGACACCCCAAACTCCTCAACCTAGAGCATCTCCGCTCAGCATTGAGGCATCACAAGAGACAGTTTCGAGGACAACCCTACGATTGCCTATGCCGAGGAATTTGACGGCAAGATTAGGGTATAACCATGGATAAGAGAACTGGGAAGCTGGTCTCGCGGCCTCGGTGTACAAGCACATATCACAGCCATGAGAGACAGGGTTGAGATCATCTCCACTAGTGCAGTTGGACCTACCTGTTGCATGAAATTGAGAACGTAAGAAAAAGACAAAGGAGGAAAAAAAAAGGAAACCCCGCCGTTGGCAAGGAGAATGTTCCATCCACCAAGTAGCATTCCGCGTCTCACACTTCACACTTCCATTCAGCAAGGGCCGCCATCCCCACCACAATTGAGCCCCCCCCCCCCCCCCCCCCACCCCCACACGTTGCATAGTCCACACGTGCATTTTCCGAGCGAGCACGCCGCCTTGAAAACGACATCCCTCACTGATAAGTCTCCAAGAGATGCCGCTCGAGCGCGTTTGCATCTTCTGCGGTGACGCCCATGCGGACCTTGCCATCCACCCAGCCATTGACCTCTAGGTCGTCGACAACACCCGCCTTGACCTTGCGCCAATCCTCAAGATACACTTGCCACTTCTCCGGCGACGCCTCATCCAAGAGCATCTCCTGGAACTCCCCCATCCTCGCCTCGGACACCTGGCCCTGCCGCTCGTCCATCAACTGGAAGTATTGCGGCAGATGCCGCAAGGACACACGTCAAACACGCGAACGCGTCCAAGTCAGCCATCTCAAATCTGCTCTCTGTCGCTGCATCCACAAACACGTTACAATACAACCCTTGCCTGATGAATCCGAAAGATCTTCACCATACGAGTCGAGCCTACAACGTATCAATGGGCTGAGAGATCAGACCGGCCTTGGTGTTCGAAGGTCGTGTGGGTATGGTCCGATCTGCTCGCTCGTTGATGGTTTGGTACATGTATGATCAATCGAGCAATGTAATGCCAAGGGTTCACCCGACTACCCAGGACATTGCATCAGACGTCGCCGATTGTTCTTTACCCTACCAATTCGTCTTCATCAACACCAATGGCTCAGACATGGCACTGTCACATGCTACTGCCACACCCGCCTCCGCCACTACCATGCTTACACCACAAGTCACTATAGCGGCCAGAAAGACAACGCCTGGCGACCGCCCTCACCGCCCGCACCCAGTGCAGTCGAAGACGCTCGCTGAGCAAGTCCGGTCCGGAACTGCCATCGACAAGATCAGACCAGAATCGAAGAAGCTGTTCATGCCGGGCTGGACGATGGTCAACGCAGACGACAACACCAAAGTCGTCCACTCATGCAAAAGCCGCAGCAACGGAAGAGAAGGGCAAAGCATGACCGAGCTTCATCCAAGTGCCGAGGGTGTCGACCATCGTCAACGATATGCTGATTGAGTCGACGGGTCGACACTCCCAGCGAAGCCAGCATACCAACGCAAAGTGTAGCAACCTCACCAGGCTTAGCAAAAGAGGTCGGGCTCACAAAACGACAGTTCATCACAGGCGTAACCTCCGACCCCAGAGACGGAGAATTCAAGATCGTAATGGGCAAACTGAGTAGATAGGTGTTGGCTGGGTGGACGATCTCCCACATGCCGCCTTCACCACGCCATCAAAAGCACCAATGTACTACATCCAGCTGGCCACGGAAGGCGATTGCACATCCTTGCCAGCAACACAAACCTGCAAGCGACGAGACCACCCTCGCGCCCACCGCGCTTCACTGGACAGTCCGTACCCTGCCAGACCTGACCAAAGGGCAAAATTATCAAAGTGGGAATTCTGGAGCTTTCGCATGCTGTATTCCATCGGCATTCCAAACGACGATTTTGTCTCTGCCGGCCACAGCCTATATCAGAAAGCATATACAACTCGAGCTATCCTCCCGTTCTAGCGCCGAAACATCTCGTACTTCATACAAAGCGGTATGTAGTCATCAACTTGGCCCCCAGTGCCTTGGTCATGAATGTTCACATTCCACAGGTCAGAATCCATATTACGCTGTTCATAGCTAGACCGACACAAAATCTCTTCGAGGCGTCCGGCAAACAGCTGGTTAAGACAAGCCGATAACCAGTGACACGAAACACATCAACCGAACTCGCTCACATCAGACAATCTACCTATCTGCGACCACACCAAGCTCTATCGTAAAAGACAGAGCTCCATTCGACAAGCCTCGTGGCGGGACCAATACCCCACCACCTCACCAAGATGGCAACCGCGGGAGGCTGCCCCTGTTCACTGCCAACAGATGATGGCGACCGTCGACAAGACATGTCAAGCAGTATGGAAGAGAAACGCAGGTACTGGCGGAGCCAGTCCGTCGTATTTCAAGTCTAAGCATGACCCACGCCAGGGAAGTATGCGCGGCCTAAACCGACTGGACGGCCTGGAATGAGATAACTGCCTCTGAATAAGGCTTTAATCAAATTTTGATTAAGGCTTTAATCGAATTAACTAGCCTCTTTGATAGCTAGGTATCTCTATGACAACCGTCAGAGGTAAGGAATTCCAAAGCCCAGTGCATCAATACCCTCCGCCACCAAATTCAAAGAGATCGTGAATAGCACGAAGACCGCCAGCGAGCTCGTGAACAGCACCAATACCGCCAGCGACCTCGTCCAGCCATATGTTCTTATACGGCTCCGCAACATCTCCGCCGCCAGATTCGAGGAGATCGTGAACAGCACCAAGACCACCAACGACCTCGTCCAGCCATGTCTTCTTGCATATCACAGAGTTTCTGAGACCCTCTCCACCACCAACTTCAAGGAGGATTGTCAACAGCACCAAGACCGCCAGCGAACCCGTCCACCAATACATTCTTGCATGCGACTTCGCAACAGCCACCGGCGTCATACGCAAGCTCTCCATCTACAGGACGCGGTCGGATTTGTGTTGGAGTCGAGTTGGAGTGAACATGCAACAGACGTGACTTGGAAATGTGAGAAGCGTGCGGCTCAGGGCGGGACACGCATATGGCGCACCAGAATGCTCTTCCCATCTTGCGAAGCAGGTGTGACCGCTACCGACCACAAGCGCCATCGAGCGTACGAATGAACTTCCAACACCAAATACCACTGCATTCACGCCCTCGAATGCCAAGTAAGCACACAAGCTCCCTCACACCACAAGCACATGCCAAACCCGCTCCGCCGAATCAGAAGAGGAGATTTATCAGCGACTCGGGGACGCGCTGCCGGCACCATCGTACACGCGCACATCTTCCCTTGCGATACCCTACTCACACATCCTTCTGGCAAGTGGCATCCTCTCGCTATTGTGACCCAAAGCGGTACCTCCGCGACATGAGAAAAAAGTGAACAAAGCATACAGTGAAGAGCTCGCACCACGACAGTCGACAATCTTCCGTCTCCCCTGCTCCGTCGACCCCCCTCCCGTTCGGCAGTAGTCACCTGCAATACTCTCTCTGACTTCATCCTCATCGACCAGCATCGAAATGGTCTCGGAACGGCAAGGTCAGCTTGGCACGGTACTGACACCTGCTGTTGCAAAGAACTACCAACTCGCCTTACCCGTACCATACCCATCAGCGGTATTTCCGCCCCAGACAGTTTCAACCACCGCCACTCGGCAGTCTGTTACGGTTCTTAAAGAAAGTCGGTAATGACTGCGGTTGCTGTTATTCGGCATAGTCACCTCCATACTCAGCACCATCGAGTCTGCAACGAAGCCGACACTACAGTTTCTGCGGAAACAGACCGAAATGTCGACGAACTTTTCGGCAGTCGCCTCCATACTCAGCACCATCGAGTCGGCAACGAAGCCGACACTTGTCCGTCGACTATCCAGTCCCGACGAAAAGAAGATCCGCGAGTCGTTATGGGCTGTAGGTGCGGATGACCTGCATTTCCTGCCAGATTACGCCCCCGACACCGCAAGTTCAAGGCCAAAAAAAAGGTATTAATCAACTCTTTAGTCAGACTACCACCCTGCTACGAGCAAGTAAATGTCTCAGAATAGGTATCTCGATGAAATGATACAGAGAAGTTGGAATGGGTTTCATTTACAAGCAATGGGTATTCTCTAATGTTCATGGTGCTACTGTGGCCCACTAGTCGACGGCATAAGTCAGTCCATGTTAACAAACCACGACAAGTGATGCAATGTGGACTTTATCAAGAATGAAGCATTCGCCATTATCAACAGAGCCTCTCCAGATTCTATGAAGACCCGCTGGACGCCGAGGAACGCATTGTCCAATCTGCTTCTCAGAAACCATGCCCACACGACGTCTGATCGCTCGCTGGGCAGTCTCCCCGTCGTTCGCTTCTCGAGTGACCAATAATGTGACATGGAGGTTGGCCTGAGAAGTATGAAGACGGTAAAGTGCGAGGATGATAGGAACCGGTGAATGTTTTGGTCAGTTTACAGATTCAACCACTCGAAGGATGCCGTTGTGCTCCTCCAAGTAACGCCTCTACGTAGATTCAAAGGCGATCGAAGGCGTGGTGAGAATCGCAACCCAGGGTTCGTGGAAGATAGATTGATAAATATATTCGACTCGACTCCAGGTTGATCACGCCAGACAGAACTGGAAGCCGTCCGTCCGTGATGATGGCTTTTGACCTCAGTCTTCGAAGAGCTCGCGTGGCGTGCTGTGTGAGCTCAAGGCCTCTGCTGCAAGGGGTGAGGTGTACCGTCAAGGAGAGTATGTAGCAGAAGGATATGGTTGCCAACCGCCGCCACTTTAATAACATGACAGACCCGATCCGTTGAGGTGGTTGGCAAGCGTTGCTCGCTATGACGAGGATATGCGACTCTCCCGCCAGGTTTCGCATGAGACCAAAGAAATCGCCCTCCTCACAAGAGAGGCAATCACGTATCGAGCAGCCGAAGATGAAGTATCGGGTCCGTGTGCTCGCTGGGAGCAAGCTGGTCCTAATATGTTCAGCCTCTGACCTTACTACGTGCACGTTCTTTGCATGCCATCTTGGTCACAGGTGTCGTCAGGGGAGGTCGCTGCCCAGCCAAAGCGAATGACAAATTCGTGTGAGTGCTTGAAATGGAAGGTATGTGTCAGTAGGATTTTCCAGATCTGTGCACCTATCGCAGTAGTACATGCTACGTCGCGGAGTTTGTACAGCTCGTCGTGCGAATGGCTAGCTTCTTTCGGTAACATAAAGGATTAGTCTGGTGCGGTCGTAGTCTTGTTGGAAATGTGTAAGATGTCCATTCTTGTGGCTGGGAATGACGAACACTTCTCCGTCGGAAAAGGCCTGCAAGATTATAATTGTATAGACTGCTAGAGGTCGGGCTTATCTCAAGCCAGGCGGTCAAACGCCAGTCGAGTAGAATCATTGATTGGCATTGGGATAAGGTCTCTACTGGAAATGGAGGAAGCTCGAAACTGGGATGACAAAGAAGTACGGGTATTTCCCATCTCATGATGCAGCATCTATGAAGGCTGTTAGGGATTTGCAATTGGATCTTCGTGTAGGTGGTGACACAACCTTGCAGCTTGAATGCGTCTACCGGCGGTGAACTCAGGCATTCTGCTCCGGTCAAGTATGTATTGACCGTGGTAAGGGAAGGAGTGAACGCTCGATAAAGTGCATTTCACCTGGCACGGGGCAGTGCAGCGAACGGTGGTCTGCTGTGGAGATGCTAGAAACGCCTCAAAGGGCCACTGTTAGACGAGAGATCATGAGAGTCAGATGGTCCGAACAATGTCTTTTCTGTTGGCTGGTCAAACGAGACACCATGGCCATTGGTAAAAGTGGTAGCAAGGACTTGGAGACCAAGGGCAATCCCATAGATCCGTCCGCAGCCAGGTCACAGATCGTATGCAAGGTGGTGACAGAGAAGGACCGCCGCCAGGCCTCTCGCATGAGGCCTCTCGTATGCGAGCTGATGACAGAAGCACCGCCGCCCGATCTTTCTCTCATTACTCTTCAGCCTCCACAGTCAGGTCATGAACCGTGTGCAAGCTGGTGGCAGAGAGAGACCATTGCGAGGTATTTCTCTCGTCGAAGCGCAGTCATAAATCCAGCACGAACAGCTGCAACTAGCGCAAATTCTCGCCGGCAAAGGATTTTGAAGTGAACTGGTAGGGAACGGGAAACAAGGCTTCGCGTGTTTGCCTTGATGAGATAGATCCGAGTGCCTCCTGAAAGATTATCGCTTGAGCGCCATGTCTCTCGGTCGGTACTGATCTGCTTCAAATATCTGATGAGCAACACGACTTGCGAAGTTCTATTGCTGAGTTCGCAAGCGACATATATACAGTCGATGTCCATTTCAAGAAGCCTGATTGTGTTGTCTGCCGCATCTGTACTGTTCCTTCGGCCAGAGGTAGCAGAGCGAGAGAAGCTGGAGAAGCTGGAGGAACCGCAAACGGGATCAAGTGAAAAGTAGTCTCCTGAATGTTACTCGCAGCATCTGATGATTGTGTGTGCCGACCAACGTCACAGAATGGTTGCTCATTGACGTATGCAAGTTTAAGCATTCCAAGGCCTGGTGCCTGCCAGGTGCAGTTGAGGCAGGAAGTTGGTGATCGCGATCGTCCCGTGCCTTCTTGTCTTCGCGTCCACTCGTCACAGTTCTTGCTGACCTCGTCAGCTCCTTGTCGGTTTCTTCCCTGTTTGCACTTCACTGTTCCAACCTCCCCAAGCTCAAACCGTCCCGCGTAAACCCTTCTGCAACCATGTTGTGCGATCTCCCATTTTATTCCATTGAATGTCCTCAACCCCACTCGAATCCAGATTTTCTTCTTCGTTGTTGTGATCTTGTCGCATTCGTCTCTTCGAAGTTCAATGAAAGCCCTTCTTCGAGAAGAGCACACAATTCCCTCGCTCCATTCTTCACTTCGCATGTCCAATAACGGCCCGATGCCAGAATTTCGGGTATGAGAAATATCCGAGCCTCCCTGATGCCGCTGTGGCAGGTCATCCCCTGGAGCTTGTCGGGATCAATCGATAGGGCGATTTTCGTGGTTGCTCGTCCAGCTGAGCTTGTCAACTGAGTTTGAGGAAAACGAGGCTAGTCGATTGATGACCGCTGCGCCGAGGCCATACGACGTCTGCATCTGAAGTGTAGGTTGAGAAACACGGACAATCCCAACATGAACACCTCCATCTGGCGGACAGCCTCTATAAGCGGTGAGGATTGAAACGAAGCGGTACGATAAGTCGATTCACAGGACTTCGCCCCATCCATCGATGCTACCTCTAACAATCGAGTGGATGCGGATGTCGTCCAGTAAAGTAAGAGGAATTGTGTAGAGCTTTCATTTGAGGCAGGAGTGGAAGAGCAGCCGCATCTGCAACGCAGGTGAATCGTGAAGAGTCCGAGTATGCATCCTGAGTCGAGTCAGTACGCAATTACTCGTAACATACGGTGACGGGGTGCTTACGGTAAGGACTATAGCCTCTTTGTCATATGCTAAACGATACAGCTTCATAGTCGGCAGCCTGGTAACTCTCGATGCCTCCGTCTTTACACTCGTCCTTTCTGCCACCGTGAGAGATGTCCTCGCGGAGGGGTTTGATGTCCTGAAGCAGCTTGTC